CGTCGAAATTAAAGATATCATACGAATTTATACCATAGTATTGAATGATATAATAATTGTAGGGTCTTATTAAGAGCTTCAGGTCTTTTATAAGCAAGTTTCGAAGAGAGGTGGATTCAGGTTTTCGCGACATTTAATTAAACCTATTTATTACCTAGCATTTGCCAACAGAAGAAGGTGGGTAGGTATTAGGGGTAGCCATTTATCTAAACACCCTTCATTCGACCAGTAATAGTTAATCATGTAGCAACTGTAATAGAAGAATAGCTGACCATCTTTTATAGCTTTACTAGCTGATAAGAGACGTCCCTTCTATTCAATCAACTTTTCGCTTCGTTGAGAGCCAATTAGCGGCATACTAGGTGTTCGAAAACAGTCTTGCTTAAGATCTGATTTTTGATGGAGTGATGGTCCGGTATGCAAGAAACACGTTTAAGTAAGGTCCTAAAGGTAATATTTTGTCTACTCAATAAGCTACCATAATGTAGAGAGATATTCTATTACGACTATTATAAAGGTAAAATACTAGATTTAAACTATTTAGAAGAATACTTTAACCGTCTTATAAGGTTGCCAACAGAGGGATTGAAATATTATTTATCTATTGAATATTGATTTCCTCTTTTCTTTCAGAAATAACTACGGACTAAAAATAGCTATGAATATACTTAAAAGTACATTTCGAATTATGACAGATTGTTGAAATTCATATATAAATTAAATCCCAAATGAGCCGCCACCACAGGCGAGTCGCCATCCTAGAACACCATAGTAAACTCGAGAAAATTGAACATCATATTTCAACAACTACCAGTTGAAATGATTTCAAATCTTGAATTCGGATTATTTGTAGTTAAATAAATATATAGAAGAAGGATTAAGAAATGATCAAGTAGAGTGTACTTAAAGCTAAAATAGATAAATTATACCGTAATCTATAATACCACCATCATAAATTTATTTAATTTAGTTGAAATGAACTGATTCTTTGTTAATACTCTTATCGTTATTCCTCACTGAATATTTAAATTATATCAGGGTTATGGTTGTTGGGATATGATATTCAATTTTTTCGAGCTTAGTATGGTGTTCTGGGGTGGCGGCTCACCTGTAGAGCTTTTTACTCTTATATATTTCTAAAATTATTAGATATGATGATTCCTTACTTACCACGTACCCTAAATCCAATCTAGAAGCCTCATGTTTTTTTGTAGGATATTGATCTCTTAATTAAATTACATGTAGGGTTAGTTCCATCTATATAATAAAGTAAATCCCAAACGACCACCATTTTCAAGCGCGTTTCTTGCAGACCTCAACCCACCTGTTTGAATTCTCTTTTTCACTATGCCTCCCTTGGTATAGAGAGATAGTATCAACAACTGTGGTAAAAAAGCAAGAGCTTTCCATCGATCAACAGGCTAGAATTATCTCTAGCTTTGAGAATAGTGTATCGCTAACCAAACTCGTTGCTATCTATAGCTGTTCCTATGATACAATTTACTCTACTTATAACCACTATGAAGCCACCAAGACCCTTGAATCTCGCCCTAGAAGCGGACGTTCCTTATCTATAGCGAAGCCGCTAAATGCTGGATTTATTTAAAAGCGCGCCGCCAACTACTTTGGAGCTATAGACGACTTGCTGCGAGCATTATGTTAAACTCTTCGCGATCTCCTATATTGGAAATCTTTCGAAGGTATGGCCTTCTGAAACGACGTCGAAAGAATAAGCTCCCTGTTATCCCTCGTCTTAGGAAAGAGTAACTCGAATTCGCTCAAAAATGGCGTCAGGATATAGACTAGAAGAAATAGATAATTTGGATGAATGATCTATCTAAAGAATATATGATTCTAGTAAAGTAAATCACCACCGAACCGCCATCACTACCGAGCCGCCACCCCAGAATACCATAGTAAACTCGAAAGAAATTGAATATCACATCTCAACAACCGTGACACTGATATAATTCAACTATTCGGTGAGATATAACTTTAAAAATATCCAAAGAATCAATTTATTTTACTAAATTAAATAGAGGGATTATAGTAGTATCATAAATTACGATGTAATTTATTTATTTTAGCTTCAAGTACACTTTACTCGATGTTTTCCTAATCCTTCTTTCTATATATATATATATATATATATATTTAATTAACTAGTAATAATCCGAATGGCGAGCTTGGTGATACAAGACCTCGGTGATGCGGGGCAGCCACCACTTATTCCGCTACCGAAAGGGCGGTCAACTTTTTGCCGGGAAAGAAGGAGATTAGATGGAAGCGTGGCTCCATGGAGAACACGCAGAAATATAGTTGAATAAGCTGGATACTTAACTCACCCTCATTGTTTGGCATTTCCTTTGTTCTCGTATTTGGGGGTTTCTGCGTTTTTACATTCGATGGAAGGGGAATGCCCCTTCCTAAGCGCTGGACACGCCTTTCAGTATAGTCAGTTAAATCGGGTCAATTGAATTCATCGTCATCTTCATCATAGTAAACTCGAAAAAATTGAATATCATATTTCAACAATCAATAGTTAATGATTTCAAGTCTCGAAATCGGATTATTACTATGGTTTTCTGGGGTGGCGGTTCGGTGGTGATTTACTTTATTTAGTACGTTATAAGTCAAAAGTCTGCCCATAGTCGGGAATTAGCCCCACCCACCCCAAATATATATAATGACTTCAAACACTGACATCTCCATCATTATTATAGATATAGTTATATAAATTACGTTTAAATTGATCGATGACAGGATAATAATATTTCATTCAATATTTAGTATAATATCCCCTAGCTCTGTGTACAGCTGCTAATCTGCGTGGCATAGACCTAATTAGGCGGTCAATAGTCGCTTGTGGAATGGCATCCCAAGTCTCGCAAATACAGACCTTAAAATAGGCCCACTCAGCTAAAGTTTGGCCTATTTCGACTAACTCGGGGTGCATCTTCCTTAATTTACATTTTAGAAGCCACCAATATCCCGTCTTCACCATCTCTTCAACAACTGCAATATTCAACTAGTAGGAATCCACTACAAGGTAGGTGGATTGTCTACGGTGTTGAGTAGCAGCTAGTTGAAGCTCACCAACTCCTTATTTACTGCAGTAAGATGATATGGAGCTTACTGCAGTAAAACCTCGTTCTCAGTTATCGGCGAATAGCTAGCTACGCCTGCTAAAGCGAGCGACAGAAACCACCTTCCTGCTTCCTTCGATGTATGAATTTTAGCATTATCCTGCTGAAATATATCATTCTCATAGTGTGGTATAAGGCCCTTTTCTAGTGATTCAAATACAGGATTTACTAGTAAATCGTTTTACCTTTAGACCTAGAATCACGCTCCATAACTACCAACTTTGAACGACCCCCAATCCATATACACGCCCATACCATCTGCGAAATATCCTTCACATGGGCTTTAGGATTGATAAATTGACTTGAATAAGTCTCTGATTTCAACAGCCAAACTCACTGAATATCAGAATTTGATGTTCTTTGAACCGAACATTCATCCGAGAAGATCCATTTCTTCCAATCCACATCCTGACACCATTTTGAGCGAATTCAAGTCGGTCTTTCGCAAGACGAGGGCCAAGAGGGATCTGTTGCGACAGCTGAGAAACAAGGCCATCAACATACGAAAAGTATTTCGACCGAAAAGCTTCTGCCAAAACAGTGACTCTGGAACTAGATTAGTATATCACGGCATCCTTGAGCGACACCCTTGAGCGATGTGCGTTCGCGACAGTAATGTCCCGTCTTCATCGTCTCTTCTGTCTCGGACGAACGTTGACATTCGTCCAGGAAAGAGGAGCACCCATATACTATAAGTAGCTAGTTCTCTCCATCAATGATATGACAGACTTCACAACAACCGCAATATTCAGTATCGTAGCAGCTACTACACTTGGTGGATTTTCTACGGTGTTGAGTAGTGGTTCGTTGAAGCTCAACCATTGTTCTCAGTTACGAGCGACTAGCTAGCTACGCTTGCTAAGCGAGCGACAGGATCTTATTCTTTCGACGTCGTTTAAGTAGGTAATAAGCCTCAAAGATTCTCTGTAATGTTGATCGGGAGGAGTGAAAATCGGTAGTTGCAGCAAGTCGTCTATAGCTCCAGAATGGATGTCGACGCGTCTTTAAATAAATCCAACGTCTAGCGGCTCCATTATAAATAGGGGGATGTCCAATTTGAGGGCGAGATTCAAGCATTTTAGTGGCTTCATAGCGATCGCAAGTATTGTAGATTGTCTTGCGGGAGCAGCCTTAGATAGCAGCAAGTTTAGAGGGCGATACACCATTCTTCAGGCTAGAGATAATTCCAGAACGTTGTTCAATAGAAAGCTCTTGATTTCTACCACGGTTTCCACTAATTTCTGTGCCAAACGGAACCATGGTTGGTGAAGTAAACGAAAATTAAAAAGGCGGCTATAGACGACGCGAAAAAAACGCGCTAAACACGGGCCCACAGTGTGAACAGACTTTTGACCCATTATGTACTTTATAGATATAATTGCAGAAGTCACCGCTTCTCTTATCATAGATCAAAGCCAAAGACTACGTATAAGTTGTCGAGCTAGACAATAATATAAACCTGTTTGACATAACTTCATATTTTATTCCTAATTTCCATAGAGTACTGAAATTGAAAAAGACTAGTTCATATCTGGATTAGTGTTCCAAGGTTGAAAGTGACTGAGAATTTCTCTATGTGGACTGACATGGAAGTTCGTGGCAAACTCCCTTATAAAGTGCTCGAAAATCTATGACCCGCTTGGTGGTCGATACCAAGGTCTAGAATTTGGTAGTTATTGAAGCTATCAAGTCTCTCTCACGAACCATTATCAGAACTTTCTCCTCTTAAAATTCACCTAGTAAATCTCTATAATTGCGCTAAAACCTTATATATGAACTCTACCCGGTATAACAGATGCGATATTTGGATACTAGACTATTACACAGGTCAGATGGTCCTCTCAAATCGGCAGAATGTCTCTTGAGGATGCCGGAAATAGTCTAGGATCTCAAATTCCACTTTCAGCCACTTATCTTATCACGGCATTTTTCACAATCTCACTTTACAATGTGATTGAGTTGACCATAAAGATATTTCTGACCTTCAAACGCCGAACTGGTGTCTACTTCTGGAGCTGCCTCGTTGCGACATGGGGGATTGCAATCTACTGTATCGGGTTCGTCCTCAAGGACTTTGGTCTTGCAAATTCAATCTCATACTTCTATGTCACTCTAATCGTCGTTGGCTGGTGGATGATGGTTACGGGCCAGTCGATGGTCTTATACTCCCGTCTTCACCTCATCATGCACAATGAACTTTTACTACGATTTGTTCTAGGCATGATCATCGTGAACGCAATCATTATGCATATCCCAACCACAGTCCTCGCATACGGCGCAAACTCTACAGATTACCAACGTTTCCTCGTTCCATATAGTGTATTCGAGCGAGTTCAAGTCTCGATATTTTTTGGTCAGGAATCTATCATCTCCGGCCTCTACGTTTATCAGACAAACAGGATGTTTCGCCCCGGGGGACAGATGCACGGTGATGTTGGTAGGAAGCTGCTGCTGTATCTGATTTGTATCAGTGTTGTCGTCGCTCTGATGGATATCATCATCCTAGGGCTGGAGTACGCCGGCAAATATACTTCCCAAACTGCTGTCAAGCCAGTCATATACAGTATCAAGCTAAAACTGGAATTTTCAATTTTGAATAGGTTGGTTATTTTTGTGCAGAGGGTCAGGGACCCGACTTCAATATCTTTTGATGGCAGTTTTTATGATATGCAACAGGAAGAGCAATCTGCCAATGAAGTTCATACAAGGAGGCGCTGTTGGTCTTTGGTACTGTTTGTTCGCAAGGCTCGAAATGAAATTGGCATTCCTGAGAAGTAGTGGGAGAGCCGATCAGTGAGAAGTGGGATAGTCTTGATTGGTAATAATGAATAAAATTAACTAGTGAGTGTCCCATATGGGTATGGATAATAGGTAATAAGTATATGATTAACTAAGTATGGACATTGAACCAGTTACTTAATACTACCTAAAAATGATACATGAAATGTTTGTGGTTGATGTAGTGATTTTTCTAGTCATATTACATCAAATAGGGGCTGTGGCGCAATTGGTAGCGCATGCGATTCCAGCTTCGGTAAAACGGATTGGAACTTCCGCAAGGTTATCTGATCGAGACAGGTCAGCCTCATTTTTTTTCTCAACTTTTTTTTTTCCCCCTTCCTTTCTTCAAGTCATTCATTCCTTCATATTGGATAAGTATTGTGACTCTAATACCATTTGATCTTATACTCATTATCTAATTAGTCAAAATTGGGAAGATCTATGCCAAAATCCACCAACTTGACCTGAATATATATTTAAAGCTCCTGGGCTAGTTGCAATGGTGATTCCTAACATTCCTAATTAGAATCAAGTTTAGAAAGCCCATCACCTTTCTTGACCTCCATAGGTATTAATGGCCTAAGTGAGTTGTGAAAGGGAATGTTGGAAAGCTGGATCTGGACAGTCCATTCATGTATGTATCTATAGAATAGAGAGTTTCATGGATCACTGGGGCCCTTGAAGTCAGTGGGAAGAGATCAGATATATACTTCCAGTTCTTCTCCATTGTGGTCAGACTCTACTGTAGAAGTACAGCCGATAAAGTATGAGATAGTTGCCATTTAATAACAGAGACATCTTAGATACATAATCCTGGAACTTCGAAACCTGTTGATAGAAACAAAAGGGAATAAAATGCTACAAACTACCTATTACATGATATGCTGTTTTGAGCCAGCTGCGCTCCACGAAGCTCCATTAAACAGAGCCGAGGAGTTTGTGGAGACAGCAATTCCCATTGGGACCTCGTTTCCCCGAGCCTGCTCAAGCACAGCCTTGTACTATATTGAAAAGTTAGCGAATTTCCTTCTTGTTTGAACGTAGAGAAAATTAGCGTTACCTTAAAAGCAAAGTTTAACACCAGAGCAACAGCTAGACCAAGACACACAACAAGGGGACCAAACATGTTGTCCAAGTCCTTGCCGCTACGTTGACGGATAAGTCGACCGCGCTTCTCATACATGTACCAGCCCCAGGCCGCAGAGAAGAGAGCAAAGAAGGTATAGACAACGGCCAGCACCTGAGCAATGCGATTGTGCTTGCCAGCAGCGTTGTAGAGACCAAGGGACAAGCTTGACAACAGAATGCTGATGTGCAGCCACTTGATGAAGGTTCGCTGATTGGCCAGCCAGACCTTGCTTTCCACGCGAACGGGCCCGGAGTCCTTGATCCAAACTCCGGGGTCTCGAATACCAGGAGGCAAGGACACAACCTCGCGTCCTGTCCAGTTATTGGGAGAGATGGACTTTAGAACAGACGTGAAGCGAGACGGTGGCCGAGATGATGGCTCCGGAATTTCTGGAACCCGACTAGGTGCTACTGTCTCCGACTGGTGGTGCTGGGGTTCGATGACTGGGAGGCGCATGCGAGGCGGCGCATCACTAATACCAGAAGGTCTGCGCAGGGAGCGATGGCCGTAGGGAGATCCTGATAGAGGATAATGAGTGGGGCTATCTAAACCTCCTGCACCCAGGATTAGGCTGCCCACTGCAATTTCCTCCTCTGCTCGCTTCGCCAACCGTTCTTGTTCCTCTTGGTAGGCAGTCTCGGGGTCACGACGAATGTCAGTTTCCAACTCACCGAGCCAGAATGGAAAGCTATTAACATAATCTTCAAACAGCTGAGCCGTGCCATGAACGAATTTGGAAAAGCGAGGGGCATCTTTCACCAAGTGAGAAGACATGAGTTCATTCACCCACTCTGTCTCATTAGCCTTACCACGCAGCTTGATCTCAAGCTGAGCGTGCGGGAAACGAACAATTTCTCCAGTTCTGATGGCACTGAAGGGATAAGTCATGGATGTATCGTCAACATCAGTGCGATGCCACTGGGAAGGGTCACGGCAAGGGCGCTCCGGATCCAGGCAATCTTCCCGAATCAGGGCAAGGTTGGTGTCAAGAGAAATGCGAATGCGGTCATCACCGGGAATCTGGAAGGCGGTACGAGTGTAGTTTGCACGAAGCATGGGCTGCAGGTTGTTCTCTTTGATGAATGATTGCAACTCTTCGACATCCTTTTTGAGAGCTTCTGCGTCCGCCGATTCCCCGTGGGCGATGTCCTCCATACGATGAACCTTTTTATCCAGATGATATTCTCCGTCCAAGAACTCCTTGATATGCTTCTCCTTCAGCTGTACCTTGACCATACGGCTGCTGTCGTCGTCGTTGACCACCTTCTTTTCCAAAAAGATTGGCGGCTTATCTTTCAGCTGGCCTGTCCAGCGTAGTCGCAAGGATCCGGCTTCGGGAGCACGGGCGACTTTCTGGTTGTAGAGGTCAAACTGAGAATTGTCAAAGTAGAGAGAAGTGATGGCTGGGTCCTCGGTGAAGGTGTCAAGGTTCTTCGACGTTCCAGGGTTATAGATTAGGACGGGTAGACGACGAAGAATGTAAGTCTTGACCTCCAACACGTTGTCGGCATGCACCCAGAATTTATAAGAGGAGTAGACGTCACGGCCAAAGGCCCGTTCCGGCTCTTTCCATGGTACGACGTCCTCATTCAGAGACTCTCGCACAAAGGAGTACATCACTGATAAGCGGTGAACTAAAGGTGAGTAGTCTTCAGAGTTGAAAGGTAGCTGTGACAGGCGAACTTGCAGCAATGACTTCACACGGTATCGAGCTCCACGCTTGCGGTCATGTTTCTTGGCCGCCTTGAGGAAACCCGTGAAGTTGATGCGACTGTACTTTTCCAGTTCGCTAACCTCTTTGGTGATGCCGTCAAGTTCCTCTATCACCTCGGACAAGATCCTCCTTTTCTCCTGCTCTTCGAGGCTGGAGGCTTCCTGATCCCCAGACACTACCAATGGCCGCAGCTTAGCCTCACATGCCGACGTGCGCTCCCGGAGCTGTTGCGAAGTCTTTGATTGGAAAGAGTTTACCTTGTCCAACTGTACATTCAAAAGTTCCTGCACAAAAGCCTCCTCGTCTTGCTCTGTCCACTGGCTATCATCGGAATCGCTAGCATCCGCTGCATTATGCTCATGCTCTCGCAGCAGGGCTTTGAGCTTAACGTAGTCAATATAATTGCCCTTCCATGGAGGATACACAGCCTTTCGCAATGTCTTGCCAAACCGCATGATTCCTCAGCTTTTGATTCACAGGTGAACCAGTTGAGAACGTAATTGTGTACTCCACTAATTGCGGAAAAAAACGATAAGGGCGAGAAAGATTGAGGCTCTAGCTGATCCTGCAGGATGAGAGAATAAGCATGGGTCTTAGTTAGGATGCGGTTCGAAAAAAAAAAAACGAAAAGAAAAGAGAAAAAAATGTGATAAAGCGAACACTAGCAGAGGCTGGTTGTGGCAGAGAGGTGCTTTTGGAAGAGCACGTGCTCCTGCGTTTGGCTAAGCTGCGTTGCTATGGGCCTGACTACCCAATGAAATGTATCAAGCTAGTCTTTATCCGGAAGGTATCGTAATAGCTATCCGGACTTATATTGATCCGTGATATTAGACCCACGGCATTTCTAGCTAACTGTATATGGCTCGACCTTGGAGGTATCTATTACATATCTATTATTACTCCGTATTACATACAAAAATCTATAACTCGTGATGAAAAATTCCCCTCTTCATTCAGAGCTGTCACATCATCTCCATGGTGTGTTGACTGAGCTCCACCGACGACCCTATCCTCATGTTCCCAATCCTCCGTCTTGCACGAAACGAGCATCCGTCGCGTTAATTATAAGGATAAAACCAACTTACGAACATTGGCCCAGTTTTACATCTCTCGTTGATCAATCCCTGCCGATTGAGCAACGCCTAGATGAATTCTTCGCTCAGCCATGGGTTCAGCATGGGGATCCAGAGGTCTTGTTCATAAAGCGCGCCTCGAGAGTTGGGGATCGTTGGACCGGCCACGTTGCGTTACCCGGTGGGAAAAGAGATCCAGAGGATGTTGATGATCGAGCCGCGGCGATCAGAGAAGCATCAGAAGAGATTGGACTAGACCTGACGACGGAAGACTGTATCAGTATAGGCAATTTGCCAGAACGAGTAGTCACTACGAGTTGGGGGTCTGTGCCGTAAGTTACCCTTGCTACGATAGATTGATGTGATACCATCTGACCATAGCTTGACTCTAGATTGATGGTGCTTTGTCCATTTGTCTTCCTCACCACTCGCAGTGACTCTCCTACACTCCAGTTACAACCCACAGAAGTGGCATCCACGCATTGGATCCCGCTGCGAGCACTCTTATCACGATCTCTGAGAACAGTGGAATATGTGGATGTGTCACAGCGGTTTACCAAACAGGGCGGGCTATTCACTCGCCTTGCTGTCCGATCTCTCGTGGGCTGGATGGAATTCCCCGCCGTTCGACTGCTCCCATCAGAGACAGTGCAGTGTACATCGATCCCAGGATTCATACCTGATGAGCATAGTGGCAGCACATCCTTACTGCAAAGATTCAAGTCATGGTGTGTTAACAACAATCATGCAGAATCAGGTGACGCGACTCGTCCTCTCTTGCTCTGGGGCTTAACTCTTGGTATCTTCGCCGATTTCTTAGATATGCTTCCTCCCCACACTGCCGTGCAATTGTATCGGTATCCCACGTTTACAGCCCCTGATTTACGGTTTATTTCCGGAATACTGACCTACCACCTGCGCAAGTATAATTCCAAGAAGGCAAGCATGAGCATTCATATCAGCGATACAGCAGTAGATGGTGAGGCGACTGTGACTACCTCCAATGGAAGTAACCAGGCTCTCATTGATAATACGCCTGGGAACTCCTACGCCTTGGGAATCTTGCTGCACGGTTACTATGACCGACTGAGGACGGCTATCTGGGTATTCCTTGCCTGGCGCATGGCCCTTGGATCCGCAGCAGCAGTCACTGCCTGGAGGTTCTATAGTCGACGCTCATGACTATATAAACATATAGATTTACCTGAATATTTTACTTCTAGATCTTTGGTCAATATAAAAATTAAGAACTTATTAAAAAAAAAAATCAAAGCGAGCTGATGAAAAATTAGATGTGCCGTATTTATTATATTCGTCTGAGTTGACTACTACGAGACGCTTACATAATGATTTGGCCGTTTTACTCCGCAAAGTAAACAATCCTTCGTCATAGCCTTTCCTACTAACACTGTCTCCTACTTCCACGTCCATGGCAGCAACTCAGAAACTCTACCCTCGTGGTACAGTTAAAAGAATTGTCAAGGCTCACTCTAATCGGAGTGTGAGTAAAAATGCCGACATTTTGGTGCGCGAAAGTCTCTTCCCCACACTCCTAAACATATCGCTAATGACAGTTATCTGGATGGAACAGATATTTCTGGACTATATGCTGTTCGTGCAAGAGTACGATCTCAACAATCCCTTTTATATTGCCATGACGTCGGTCGGAGCTTGCGCGCAACTCTCGAGGTCGACGAAGCTACACTGGAATCAAACAGCTAACTTACCTTCTCACCTTCTAGATTGATGCGCGAGGCCTCAATTCGGTCAAGAAGATCAGGCGAGAAGAACATATCCGCAAATTCAATCCGTAAGGTCACTGAGGTACGTATCGGGACAGATCTGGTTTGTGGCATGATCAAATGCTGTTTCGGTCTATGAAGAATATATTTCTAACATGAATTGAATTCTGGTATAGAAAACCCTGCGCAAATATCAAGGATAGCACAACCTATCCATATCTCAATTGGAAGGAAGTAGAATAAGGTGGGATCCCATCAATGAGGTCGCGAGCCGAGGTTGGGTCTTTCCTTCCAAGGTTGTGCTTGTATGTTGGCGTTGAAGGATTATGATACCCAAGTTATTTTCGGTTTTTCCCACTTTATCTTTAAAAAAAAGAAAAATCAAATCACCATATCAATAAGTTTCAATTGACTGGCATAGTGTGTGGTAGTGTAGTTGTGGTGATTGTAGGTGGGCTGCACCGATCAGGAAAAGATTCGGGCGACTTCCAGCCGCGTCGATTCTTCATCACAATCTGTATTTTTCTTCCTTTTCTAATTTCCACCTCCCCCTCCCCCCCTCTTCTTCTTCACATCACTTCTCCATTTCCCTTTTCCCTTCTCCATTTCCCATTTCCTCTTTTAAATTCTCAAAGTTCTCTTGTTTTAGCTTTGTGTCACCCTTACAATGGCTTCCGCTTCTGCCAACCAGAAAGCCAAGAAGCATGGCACCAAAGCTTCAGTCTCCAAGACCGAGGTTGAGACCCCTGCTAGTCCTGCTAGCACTACCTCTGACAATGGTTCAGAGCCAAAGTATCTGCTTGACCTGCAGAAGTTTGTCACCCCCGCGATCATGTTTATCATGTTCAACAACTAACGCCTTATTTAGACTCCTTCGCAATGCAGTTAAGAAGATGGTATTTATCTATTCAAATTAATTGGATGAGATCTTATTTGCTGATTGCTATTGTTTGTATTTAATAGAATGCCACTTCCAAAGTTGATGCCATTCTGGCTGAGAACGAAGGCAAAACTCTCGATGAGCTCGTCCAGGAAAAGAAGATCAATGCCGACCAGAAAGCCCAGGCCCTGAAGAAACCTGCCCTCCAGGCAACCATTACACAGATTGAGGAGCAAATTGTTCTCATCAAGCAGCTCATTGCTCAATACGAGGAGCGCATCGCGACTAGTCTGGCTAACCAAAAGGCAAGCTTGGAGAAGGCTCACCAGGATGAGCTTGACGCTGTGCGCGAACATCATTCGGCCGAGGCTTCTAAAGCTCAACAGGAGGATTTGCTTACCTTGAGTAAGTTCCTTTGCGCTGCGTCAAACTTGCGACGCGACGGTGACATCAATAACTGTGAGACCCTTGCCTTCGAGGGTGTTCTCTCCCAGATCTACGGAGGACATCAAAAGGCGGTCGACAGTATCATCAAGCTCGTACGGGGCTCGGACAAGAAGGTACTCGGTCCTTCTGACAAGGAGTTGGACTTTACCTGTGAGTAATTATTGTTCAAAATTCACTCAATTGAACTTGTTAATTAACTTTTTGGTTAGATGCGGACGTCAAGAAGGCATCCGAGCGGTTTGCACCTGTCGAGGACATCACGGAGACCACTCCTGAGGTTACCCCGGAGTCGGACCCAACCATGGTCAATGCCGAGCTGACTGAGATCGACGATCCTTCTTTGAGCGAACAGGTTGCGGCTCATGCTGAGATTGACACTGCTTCTCAGGGTCACAGTGCGCCTCCTCAGACCCTAGACATCCAGTCGACTTCTGGTAATGGGAGTGGCCGCAACCCTTCTCAAACAGAGACTGATCCTACAGAGGCTGGTCTTGAGGCTACCACTGCAGACACCGAGAGCCACATTGTCGAGGCTCCTGTTGTCAAGCGCAAGCGAAACCCCAACTACCGTCGCCGCCGCCATCAGGCTAGTGAGAGAAATCATGTCGGCGAGGAGGCTCATGTTGGCGAGGGAGCTCAAACCGGTAAGGGAGCTCCGGCTGATAAGGGAGCTCAGGTCGGTGAGGGGTCTCGTGGCGAGGGAGCAGGCGATGGCCGTCGTGGCCGTCGTGGTGGACGAGGAGGACGCGGCGGACGTGGACGTCGCGGACGTGGTGATAGTGCCAACGGGTCTGCAGCTCCTGCTCCTGTAGCTCCTACAGTTGAGCAGAACTAGTGATCCGTAGTCGGTATGTTCTGCGGATAAATGAGGTTCCCCCCATCTGACCTTATAGATGACGAACGAAACGAATTTTCTTCTCATGGAGTGAAACATGCTCCAAATTTTTTCAGCTCTCGAGCGTGCATATTCCCAGACTCATTCCAATGTATTCTACTTGTGGGAAAGCTCCGATGAAAAGCCACAGTGAACTTTGACAATGGGCCCCAGTCTTGTAATGTGTAGTCTCTCATCCTTGCAGGGTACCTCCTACTAGATTAAGCTCTATTGCACAAAGCACTAAGCAGGAGACGTTGTAGCTTTGAATGCAAGTACATCCAGCGATTCCATGATGCTGTTGAAATTTGGATAAGGATATTTAAGTACCTAACTATTAGCTATAGATGGGGGAATTGCTAGAGCCACCGCAAACACCCCATCAAAAAAATAATAGCTCTTAAAGTAAATACCATACGAGATCACACGGCGATCAACCCAGAACACCATAGTAAACTCGAAAAAATTGAATATCATATCTCAGAAACCATGACTCCGATAAAATTCAAATATTGGGTGATATATAACGATAAGGTTCCTCATAAAGAATCAACCCATTTTAAGTAAATTAGATGAATGAATTATAGCGGTACCATACGTTACGGTGTAATTTATCTATTTTAGCTTTAACTACACTTCACTTAATTATTTCCTACTCTTTTTTTCATATATATATTTCTTTAACTAGAAATAATCCAAATTCAAGTTTTAGAATGATTTCAAATTGTGACTGTTGAGATATGCTATTCGAGTTTATTATAGTGTTCTGGGTCCGCTCGCCGTATGATCTCGTATGGTATTTACTTTAAGAGCTAGTTAGTGTAGTGGGGAGCCCTATACAGTATGAAGGAGAAAGCGGTCTGCAACGGCAGAACCATCTGGTACCATTTATCTAGAAGTTGTGATAGTTACAGAATGTCCACCTTTACACACTTCTTCATTTTTTGACTCCCTACTCTCACTGAGCCTTCCCTTGTGATTGGGGTTGGTTTTTCCTAGCTGAATCGACCTGCACGTTCCGACCGTGCTGCCTAGAGCGTTCCCCATTTCATTAGTTACAGTGCTGTCTGATAAAAATTCGGACGGAGTACAAGCCCCACTTTTGCCAAGCCAATTTTCTGTTAGGCAGAAACCTCTCAATTCTAGTACTTTGTATGCCATTCGTGCGTTTTAGCTCACAAATTCGAGAGCGTGTCTCAGAGGACAGGTGATGGCGGGTCATAGGATGGAATCACAACAGAATAATATAAAGAATCATAGATACATGATAAAAGTAAAAATAGGGAGTAGGTATAGCTAGTTCTACAATATCGAACACACGCATTGTTTACTAATTAAAGAGGAAGGCGGTATAAAATAGCGGTGTAGAGCCGAAGCACTCCGTCCGAATTTTTATCAGATCCCACTGTAGTTATCAATTCCCGGTTGAGATTATATAATTATAATACCCGCCCGCACACCGCCGAATCTGAGTCTTGAATCTTGAGAATACTAACCACCGGCACCATTCCAACTAGCAATTGGACTTATCATTGTCGACCATAAATACATATTCATTAAATTATATCTCATATCAACCGGGCCTAATTTAAGCTCGGCACTTTCTCATCCAAAGTTTACAGATGACAGCCCAGTACTACACTCATATCAAACTTACCGTGATTGAATAACACCTGCTTTTTCTTTCACTCCAAACATCAACCTCCAAAGGCTGTTTGATTCAAACAGATATTAGATTCTGAGTCTTGATTTTGTTCGTGAGTCGACCGCCAATTTATTCTTTAAAGCGCAATGCCTACTCTCTCTTTGATCAACTTCAACATCGTGTGCGCCGTTTTGGGAGGCTTTATCTCTATCTTCGGGCTCGTCTCCTATCTATGTAAGGAAACATTCTACTTATCAGAAGCACGTGAGTCAAACTTGCACACGAATCTATCAAATAGTTATTGACCTGGGCCAGTGATCTCATTGTTGGCTGGAATCTTATTTTCTCCACATGCAGCCAATTTTATCAGACCAGAGGACTATGCTCTCCACTCTGAACAAAATCTCGATGCAATCACTATGCATTTCACTCGCCTTGTTCTCGGCGTGCAGTTAGTCCTTGCAGGTGTCCAGCTTCCGAAGCGTTACCTACAGATCGAATGGCGCAGCCTGGCACTGCTACTGGGACCTGGTATGGCTGCCATGTGGATCTCTAGTAGCCTCATTATCTGGGCTATGGTTCCTAATTTCAAATTTCTCCATTCTCTGATCGTTGGCGCATGTGTCACTCCGACTGATCCTGTCCTGTCTAATTCCATTGTCAAGGGCAAGTTCGCTGATAAACATGTCCCGCAGGCCTTGCAAAGAATCATTGTGGCTGAATCAGGCGCGAATGATGGCCTTGGCTACCCCTTCCTTTTCTTTGGTATCTACTTGCTGAAATACACTGGCATGGATGGCCAAGGATTCAGTGGCGGCACAGGTAGGGCGATGGCATTGTGGTTCTATGAGACTTGGGCTTATACCATAATTTTGAGCGTCGTCTATGGAGCTGTGGTCGGTTGGATCTCGCGGAAACTGCTTCACTGGGCCGAAGAAAAGCACTTTGTTGACCGAGAGAGCTTCTTAGTATTTGCCATTGCTCTTGCGGTAAGACATCCTTTCAAGCTGCACTCTACAAACAGATCCTTGCTAACTGTTAGTCATCAGTTGTTTATTGTGGGGACTTGCGGTCTTATTGGCACCGATGACCTTCTTGCCTGCTTCATTGCTGGGAACGTTTTTACGCAAGAGTAGGTACCCCGATGAGACTGCCGGGATATAGAACTAACGAATATAGTGACTGGTTCCGTCTTGAGACCATGGATGATTCCCTTCAACCTACCATCGACATGCTTCTCAATCTATCAGTGTTTATGTGGTTCGGAGCAGTCTGTCCTTGGTCGTCCTTTTTGAACAACCCTATCATCCCACTCTACCGCTTGGTGTTCTTGGGAATACTTATTCTGATTGTTCGCCGGCTGCCAATAATCCTTGTTATGCACAAATATATCCGCCAGATCGAGTACTTTTCGCAGGCGGCATTTGTTGGGTTCTTCGGACCAATCGGCGTTGGTGCTATCTTTTACCTGTCGATCAGCAAGGAGTTCCTGAAACAAATCACAGTTGACAACCATGTAAGAGAGGATGCACAGCAAGTGATAGAAGTCATTGATGTGGTGGTGTGGTTTTTAGTGATCTGCAGCATTGTGAGTACACTTCATAAAAATACCTATACTGTATGATTGACAATTTGCAAGATTGTACATGGAATGTCAATTCCTGTCGGTAAAGCCGGGTATAACCTTCCTCGCACTCTCTCGAATGCCATCAGCAGCAGTGTCGATGTATCGGAACCGATCCCGATTTCCATAATACCTCACACGCACAGTACAGCAACAGCTGAACAGACGGGCTCAAGCTTTCGACCTCGCAAACGGAGCCGAACTCATGAATCGCCGCATCCGCCGGTGTTTCGTATTGGGCATTCCGTGATTCCACCACCCTCACCCGTAAACACAGATCAACCCGGGGTAGGTATTATCAATGAACCAGAGAGACCTGTCAATCTCGCCACTCATAACTCAAGAGCCAGTTCGGATGAAGGGCATGAACGCTTTTCCCCTGTTTAATTGTCTGGATGGGTATTGTAATGAGAGATGTATCTCAGTAATCCGGTTGAATCCTGGTGTGTAACAGGCCAGTGCCTGTCACATAGTTCGTGGTTCCACCACTCCTGTTCTCAATCATGTACATATCAATTAACAATGGTTTGTATTCACGATATATCTAGCAGTACAACAAGTACATATCCTTCTGGTTTTGATTGGAGTCAATTTTATTCAGCTGGTCTAGAGTTTGAATGGGATCAGCTACCAGTTGATCTCAATCTTCCATACCCATTGCCTGACCTCTACAGTCTTATTGAAACTAATATTTCCAACATCCACTCACCATCCACGCCACCTACCTTGGGACATGATTCAACGACTCAAATCAACTTCTTGGCAGAAGAACTCCAATCATTACCAATCCCAACAGAAATTTTACAAAATAATGAAAGAAAACTTTATACTGGCATTTCTACCAGCAACGCACTAGATCGTCATTCATGGCATTCCGAGTCAGAAATCAGTTCAGTTGGGCTAAACACACCGTTTGAGCTAAATCATGATCCTATACCTATAATGGGCTCTCAAAATAAATTACGAACATTTTCTGTAGGCGTGACTGGTCTTCCACAACGTAAAAGTCGGTACTCGTTTTCCAAATCACAACAAAATACAGCTCCTATCCATATCCCAAATGCAAGTACCCTGGATCCACTGCAGCGATGGTAAGAATCTCCACCTGAAGATGAACCAGCCTCAATGATCGCTTATGAATGCTGTGCAGTCAACCCCAGCAAAATGCAGCTCTCAAGGCAAACTAGCCAACGTATTTCCCCACCCTAGTGAGCAGTATCTCTCGGAACATAACTACGAAACCTGTCGTGATATTCTGAAGGATGAACGCTCTTTTCGTCGGAAGGGCCATCTCATGCAGCATCTTCGGCATGCTCATCATATGCATACACTCCCACTGATCGATGGTTGGCATGTGTAAGTGAAAAAATATTCAATCAAGATGGTGGGATTTGCGACAAGGCCCTCCCGGACTGGGATGAGAGGATTGACCACCTCGCCAACCACTTTTGCAAAGGACGTTTCAATGAAGGATTGGAAGGGAGATCATGGTCTTCCTATCTCCGTTCAAGCAGAAGCGAAGAATGCATTCCCGCCATGGCTGATTGGGTCTACCGTCTGAGTCAGAAAGTATGGTTTCATTCTTAGCAACAATAGCAAAAGCAAGAGATCAGTATGCGCAGCTACCAGCAAGAAGAGTATATGCCGGTGAAGAAGTTGAAACGTTCAATCTCGAAATATCAGAGCCCTCCCCGTCCAATGAGAACATGTTACAGGCTGGAAGTTTCTTGGACATTTTTACTCGCCACCTAAGTCATTATGCACAAGAGCAAATGCGCAATGGCGTGATCCCAGTCGATGAGATGTTCCAACAGGAATCGAGGGAACTGATGTATAATTGCGAGGACAGATGGAACGAGACAATTACCGATGACCCAGACTAGCTATTATCATTCCGGCGTCTACACTGTGATTCAAGCAAGCAATAAGCGATTTTCGAACTTCATATGTAAACTTACAACATTAGAATCCAGGGTGAAGGAGTTTATCTCCGATGACTTACGATTTTTATCAACTACAGTCAAGTCCGACACGAAATAGAAACTATTTTGGCTATGGATTTGTTTTTGAGTTGAAGTCATAGAGTCGAAACCTTTCGACAAAAGTCAGCGATTTTTTGTTATAACTATCTGTATAGAAAAGTGAGAGAGAGACGTACTAAAGCATACCAAACCCCACAAGCAAAGCGACATTCTCCAAGTCCCCGATTCTCAAACCAACAACTCTCATAAAATGGAATAAGATGATGATGCGCAATGAGAACAACATGTTTTGCCGTAACCCTCATACTCTTCAGATACAGAATATAAGCCTTGACTAAATCTCTCCCCAACTCGCGCGCCTGATACTCATTCCGAACAACTACAGAGTGAATAGCAATAACAGGGCAATTGAGGTCGTTCCAAATAAGCTGCCCGTCTTGAAAGATAGGCCGAGAAGGTAAAGACTCCCAGTTGTCAGGTATTGATTGATATTGACCTTTCAGTGATAGCAGTAGAAGACCATCTCAAGCCAATGATTTGACCGATAACATTCTCGCTCTTTTCTCACTCTTTTCTGTATTGATAAAAAGACACAGACTTAACTGTGGAGCTTGAGCGAGGCGGTATTCAAACAACATTGTATATTTAGTATGTAGCGTGTGCGAGTGTTATCCCGAAGAAGTATCAGATTGATACAAAGATGGATAACTTTTACGAAGGATGTGCTAGAAGGGGGTTCTACTTTGCGCTCTGAGCACCTTTCATGCTCTAGGAATGAATTTTCGACAGCTACAGCTACACATTGCTTAATATCGGCCACGGAGAGAGGACGGAGAAATGCATCTGACCCAACTAGACTAGGGAATTGAACAGGAATAATGGACATGATGGATTTGTTTAGAAACGAAAGCATCAAGACGATCTATTTATTTACAGCTGAGATGAGTCAACTGGTACCTCAACGTACCTAGTTACTTTCCACGCCCTATGCCTTACGCCCTGACCCCGCTCTGACCAGTGGTTAACTTAGAACTTGAAGGATCATATCTAGTCAACATATTTACTTTGATATTACGTATACAGCTACAACAAATCCACTCACGGGTGTAAACAAAGCGGGTTGGGTTTATTAGACTGATGTTCAAGACTGCAGGAGAGTCGATAGGTTTGAGATAAATAGTATCAAAACAGGGGGTATCGTGTTGATAGAGGGAGCACTAACACTGCTTGTGACATCCTTCTTCCATCAAGTTGTTTCCATTCCCACCTTCTTCCATTCAGTTAAATGAAAGACTAGTCCAATTTATGTTGGACCCCGGGGAACGCATTGTCATTTCTGTGAGATTCATAAAAAAAAGGGTGCACGAAAAAGTGACAAAAGAACAAAGTCAAAACGCTTAAACTCTGCTCAGAAACTGGAGACGACGGCGAATAGGCGCAAGCAACCGGACGACGGGGTCTTGTGGGTTGGCGCTAATCAAAGCCATGTAAAGGTTCTTAATGCGAGATTCCAGGTCTCCAAGGAGCTTGTCAGACATCTCGCGCATGTTGGCATCCTGTGAAGTATTAGTAACAGGAAATAGAATGTTAAAAGGAATAACGGAAACATACTATGTTGTTTACCTGCTCGAGAATAACATTAAGCCACTTAAGACGCTCAATTGTGTTGTCTTGGAAATCGATCGAAATGGCCGAAGCCACAGTGAGCAGGAGAAGGTCCGCGCACCGATAAGTCAACGATACAGGATCACAACGGATCATGAGTTTGTCGAAAATTTCGACCTGGTTGGTGGAGCGAATCCACTGAGAGTAAAAAAGAAATGTTAGCACCATTACCTGTCTGAAACAAAAGGGGAAAGAAAAACGGGGAAAAATACGAACCATTAAAAGAGCCTCCTCGCGTCGACCACTCTTAACCAGATGATACATCGTATTCATCTCAGAATCTTCTGCACTCAGGGCAGGAGAAGATGCAGCATGAAGGTGAGCTGTTTCGTCCTGAGTAAGAGCTGGAGTTGCCTGAGCTGGAGCACAAGCGAGTGAATCATACTGGGGAGTACGGGAAGGTGTGCCAGCCTGCTGTCCCATCGAAACAGACACGCTGCTGTTGGTGCGAGTCTGAGTGACTTGTTGAGAACTTTGCTGGGACTGTGCAGCCATAGTTGTCGAAAGACCCCGCACGGTAAGCAAGATTTCCTCAAGTTTGGCTTGATCTGCGCGACGCTGTTTCTCGTAGAGCTGAAGGTGCTCTACGAGTTTGGACTCAGTATTCTGATTGGCCACCTTGAAGTCCTGAGCTGCTTTATCGAGTATAGGAGTGATTGAGGCCTTAAAAGCCTCATTGATGTATGGGCTCAAGCGACTGCTCAATTGCTCAACAGTCAAACCTACAATTGAGCTGACGACAGTGGGATCTTTGAAGACATTGTGGAGTTCATCTGGGAAGGTTGCAAACAAACGATCTCCAAGAGCGGGAACAACCTGCTCTGCGACGACGTCGGACAGAATGCCCCGAATATTACCGATCACACTGTCGGAGAGTGTGCTGGAAACAAGATGAATTATCTCTTTCTGCTTGTGGATCGAGGCATCATCTTGAACGCGACGCTCCTCTGCCCAGCGTTCATGCAGATTATCGAATCGTTTCTCAAGAAGACTTCCGACATCGTGGACAACCTGCTGGCTAGTCTGACCAGTAATTATGTCCATGAGATCAGCGGGAAGGGTCTCGCGAGCAGAATCGGTAGCATGCTGTAAGGGAGGCTCGGCGCTGATATTGCGGTTCGCTCCGTTGGGATCCTCTAGATAGGTCTCCGTGGCAACATAGGTGCTATTGGGAATACCAAAAGTGGCTGCTCCATTGGCTGTATCGGAACTAGCATCGCTAGTAACATCATTAGCACACTCGAGGGGAGGTTCGGCAGTAACAATTGGGGGAGCTTCGTGGGCAACATCGCTGGTAGAATCCACAGTGGCGTTAGAGCGGAGTTCAAATTCTATTAGTGACACCGCAACCAGGCCACGTTCTAGCTCCTTTTTGTTATCCATAGTGAATCTGTGAGCAAAATCTCTTGCGGGGAAGCGGAAATATTGTCTCGAGGAGTACCGGGGGACGACACGTTCTTGTTTTTGCAATAAGTCCGCATAATCAATCATAGAGCGCGAGGCTGCAACAATTCCCCGGTAATAGAAATCCGGGAGTGGATCCCGGAAGGACTGATCGCCGCATCTGATTTTGTCTTGAGGATGAATCTTTCCACAAATATCTTTGGCGACAGAGCCAAAGGTGTCAATTGGCTGAGGCCAACCATTTTCTTCGACTTGAATCAGATAGTGAACCATGGTCTCGTATATACCTTTGGCAAGAGTATTTTCTACGTGCAAACGGACATCGTTGCCTTCAACCTCAACGCCATAGCCTTGAGAATAAGCTGTCGTAACGGCAATCAAATCTTCGAAAGCGAGACGGAGACGTTCCTTTTCCTCGCCTTTCAGAACAGTATGCTTCAGAGAGTGCTCCATGGCCTCGACTGCCTGATCACGGGAAATCTTGCTTCCAAGAGGAATCTTCAGGTAGGCTGCAATGGTCTCATCATCTATAGCAGCAAGCTTCCTGCTTTCAGAAGAAACCTTGGTCTTCTTTTTTCTTTTTCTTCTTTTCCGTGTTAGAGTCAGCAGTAACATCGACGTGCGTGGGTTTCTCCACGACTTCCTCCGCAACATGCTTCTTGAGAATTTTCGCACACAATTGTTGATGCGATGATGACCCAACTCTAGGAACTGACACATCACCCTTGATAAAAGGGTCGCCTTTAGAGGGTTCGCTATCGCTTGGAAACGAAAAGATATCGTCGGTTTCAGCGATGCCTTCACTGACTGCATCAATAGAACGAATGACCTGGTTATCAGAATTCCACCCCAGGTCCTCCTTCTTGATGTTCAGGCAAGTGACGCCATGCGAATGCATCACGTATAGCTCGAACAAGCCAGCATCTTTGGTGCTTCGCTTGTCAGCTGTCGACTTCGTGAGCGGGAGGAGCTCCACGCTGCGCAGTTCGCCCTTGGAGCCGAACGAAATCTCCCGAAGGCCGCTCAAGCACGCAGTAGCGTCAGGCGTGGGCACATTGTGCTTTTTCTCTGCAGCAGCAACAATGTATTCCGCCTGAGACATGGCAGGCAGGTTGTATTGAGGCACAGACAAGTGAACAAAATATATTGAGTTGCGAGTCGGGTGACCAACAACAATGATACCGGACGGAGCATGGTAGGAGACACTGCAGATTGCATCGGACTCATTGTCGTGAGGGAACTTCAATTCCTCCACAACCTTGCCTAGCCCAATATCCCAGAGCTGCAAGGTGTGATTCTGCTTGAGGCCGACCAAGACATATCGAAGAGCAAATCCTCGACTGTAGGCGCGCAACCGGTCCAAGAACAGAACCGAAGTAGGCCATGACTTTTCTGAAGGGGAACCAGTCACGAAGGTATTCAATGAAATCTTGATATCGTGCCCTTTGAATATATTGGCTTGAGATGGGTTCTCCTGGAAACCTTGAATGTCCCAAAATCGCAGTCGACCAGTCTTGTCGAGGGAAGCAATGACAGTGTCATCGGCACTGAAGATAAAATCTTTTCCTGCTTTACCTGTGGAGATCTTCAGAGCATGCTCTTTGAAGAACTTTTCAGTCATTACTGTACGCTCGGAAGCAGTCACGCCATATTCCGTACTCATGGCAGCCTGAGGGGAGATAACGTAGATGTTTTTACCCCGGCTAATGGCGATCATATCAGGATGACAACTGCTTCGTTTGGCCCGCGTTTTCAGCTGGCCACCTGAAGTATTTTCATCTGAAGCTGGGAAAGGCGGAAAAACGAGGCTTTCTGTCTCGAGAGCATCGGACTCAAACAAATCCTTACCCTGCCCTCCGTCTACCAAGGCCCAATACACAGAGCCGCTAATGCCGATACCCAGAATCGCGTGTGAATCGTGGTTCCGAGATGTACAGAGGGCAACATTAAAAATTCTGTCCCGAGTGGACCGGAAGACCTGTCGATCACTTCCATCGTCTTGTCGAATGATTCTCATTCCACCCGGCTTCGCAAGCGCGTAAACTATGTACTCGTGAGTTGCGGCGGTCAATGATCGGTCAAGCTGGTCGAAGTCTTTCTTCAGACGAGCAATGTCCATTATGCCATCGTCACGGAAAGTAGCAATATATTTAGCTTGCGCTTTGATCGTGATCGATATGAACGGATTCAGGGGAAACTCTAGGACAGGTACAATGCGTGTGTTTTCCACACTATCTGCGGCACTTTCCCAGCTGTTGTGGGCCAGAGCTTCACTAACGTCCGCTATCCCATCAATTGGGTGCGTGAAGTTTGTATCGTCATTATCAGTCGACTTCCCAACGGGAGAAGCAGGCTCTACCTCTACCTTTACGGCGTGATCAGGCTGGGTCGAATTTTGGGACACTTCAGGCAGACGGGCGATGTACGGTGGTTCTTCCTTGGTCAGTGCGGCTTTGTACACATTTTGCGAGGCGGCAAGCTGATCAAATGGATTCTCATATGTAAATATCGAATCATTGCCAGATGCTTGTCTGGATGGATGTATGTGTTCAAAAGACTGCTTTTTCAAAGAGGGTGTAGCCGTTTCCAGCTTCACAGACCCCTGGAGGGAAACATGAATGGACCCTGAAGATTCTTGGGGGTGAATTGAATCTTCCGGAATGACCGATGGGGCTTTGGAGGAATTTACACCACGAGTGAGAGGATTGGTATCCAATTTTGAATCAACTTTTTCCGGCTTGGGGCGATTAAGCAAATCAAGCAGCTTGTTCTCAGATCTGGACTCCAGTGGTGCCACAGGCGTAACAGCCGCAGCACCATCCACCTGGCTACTTTGAAGAATCTTCAACAGACTGGCTGCACCTGCATTATTTGAGCTGAGCCGGTCCGGGGAGGAGTTGTGAGGTCCAATCGGGGTTGAATCCTCGACAGAAGTGCCATGAAATCCTCTTTTTCTGCGGATGATGCCATTGTTAAGTAGGTCGCGTCGCCGACGGCGACCTCCAAAAGAAATCTCAGCTGAAAATGAGAGAATGGGTTAAAAGATTGAAATTTTGAAGAGACAGAGATTGAGGAAGTGAAATGAATGAGAGATCGAAATCATGTGGGAATTAAGTGTGGCATTCGGGCTACACCGCTCTTGAGGCCGCTTCCGACACCGCCCTTCATAGCTGCGGACAGCGATGAGCCGCATGCTATGCATGGGGCCATACATGAAGCCTTAGGATAGCTAGCTTTTGACCTGATGAATTGTATAGAATAGTCAGAATAAGATGACAGGATGGATTTGTATGAGATTTGAACTGTCTAATCTTGAATTATAAAAATGAGACTCTATACTTCTGTATATAGAATCACCGGCAGAATCAAAGGTGGTGTACCCAGATAGCTGTCACGTCCTACATTTGCAGGTAAGCCAAGAGTATATTATATACCCATAAGATATCCCATATCATGATATATGGTCACTGATTCAAATTGCATGGTGAAGCATCTAACAGAAGGTCATCTCATCCTCATTCAAAGTTAACTCCAGTGCTGTATTAGATTGAGTGAATTTCTGCCGATAACAGCCGCTTGAGCCTAATAACCAACCAGACCCAATCCTTCTTTCCTCAACTACCAGATTCAAGCCTCTCTCTCTTTTATCCACCATGTTCTGTCTCCGCACGTAAGTTACATTTCAAAGATAAATAAACAAGATATCAAGATACCAAGATCAAGATCAGTTCGATTTGACTTCTAACCTTAGATTGTAGCTGGTTACCTCTGCTCTTCATCCCGACCAACGCATCCCCCATTTTCATCATCTCCTTCGTGGTTCTCACCTACATTATCCACCGACCATGCATCTACTGCTCAGTACTCATACTCATTCTCTTTGCCTCATCTTGTCATTGGTCCGACCGTTGCATCTTCGATCTCCGTAGTAATTGGTTTGCGCCACGCTACAGTTCAGTACTCAGTGACCATGGATCCCTGCCTGGAAATGCTACACTGGCTGCTCCAGTTCCAGGCAATAGCATAGCAGAATTCGCCTTTGACACATTTAACTCGACAGCCAAAACTTTGGCGGGTGCGGCCATGGACAGTGTTCAACAACGATTGGGATTGGGATTGGAATCAAAGCCCGATGAGTGGACGGGTGTAGGTCTGGAGTGGCTGCGGAATTTGCTGGGACGACGAGAATGGACTATTCCTTGTGTAGATGTCAAAGTCCGCCTGTAAAGGAAGATTCAGTACGGATAAGCGTCATTAGAAGTCTATTTGTCTACCGCTCTTCCATTTACATACATATGGTCTTCTTTTCTGTAAAACAGTAGTCACAAAGATTCAAGTTTGACATTGACGTTTTCAATCCTCATCTTGAATTTTCCGAAGTATGTTTCTATATAGATCGCTAGGCTTAAAAAATACAAATACCAGAAAAAGGAGGCATAGAGCAATGAGTTACAGGTAGTAAGTACCGATATACCTAGTAAATACCCTACAGCAAGTAAAATATGGGAACAACATTGTGGTTTGACGAGGATTCTATACCTAGGCCATTACTTCATAGTCAATGAGTGTTATCCACCCCGAGGATTCAAGTGAAATGTGAAATAAACAACCAGTATGAGAAAAGAGCCGAAAACAAAAGGGGGAAAAGAACATCATAGGCAGAAAAATAATTTTGAGTAAGCCCCGAAAATCTTCGAAAGCTGTCCTTCCTAGGTCAGTGGCCTGCTTTCGAGACAGTTTCGAAAGCCAGATGGTGAGAAGTAGTGCTAACAGCAATTGTGACTGCTGGATAATTGAGATCCGGCGTCAAACTCCATGTTAAAGGTGCAGGAGGGGAGTTGATAGAAGTCTCGGGTTCATCATGCGGAAGCTTGGTTTGAGTCACACATATTCCCAGAGCATATAGGAAGTTGGCTGCACTGGGGACACAGGCAGCACATGAGCAGATCTTCAGTGAACATTAGCACGAATTTAAAAGTGAAAGGAATATTGGAAGTATATGGAAGTTGAACAGGAGGAATCTTACCTCGGCTAGCCCATTGGTAAAACATCGCTGTAATGCCACAGGGTCTCCAGTACCAAGAGCTGACAGAACGCAGGTAACGGTACCACTCAGACCGAGGCATGCGTTTAGGTTGCAGGCAGGTGGCAGTTGGCTGACGAGGACGATGTTCTGTTCCAGTACTATACAAAGAGTGGTTCCAAGGTTAGCTAGCGTGCACAGAGACGTCGAGGGTACAATATAATGGAATGGGAAATGTGGCCGAGAGTATCCCAGCAGAAAAACTCCATACAAGACTGATAAACTGGTGTACGGTTTCGATTTTCCACGATGTGAGGTGTTGCTGTGCGGACTAAACCGAACGCGAGGACCAGGATAGCAAGATTGATGTACATTTTGGAACGGAAGTGATGAAAGTATTTTATTATTTTTCTAGAAAGAAAAGGGACCTAAGAGCTTATTTGTAAAACTATATAACTGTTGTTATCAGATGGTTTTCACAGGGAAAGAAAAGAGTAAGTTTCTCAAACTCACATAAGCATCTTCAGTAGGTAAACGACCGGAGTGTCATACCCACAAATAGAGAATAATCGCAAGCGTCAGATCCATGTGAAGGGAGATGATCCACGGTCACACCAGGTGACATCGAGAATTCAGTCTCGTTCCCTAAAAAGAAGTAAGAAGTAAGTAGAATGGTATGCGGCTGCTTCGAGGTTGAAGCGGGAGGAGACTGGTTACTGGGCAGCCACTAGTGGGATTGCAATGACTCGATGATGGCTAAGCAGGACTGTAAGTAAACTGCTTTATAATATTCTATGGTTCAATTGTTAGACATACATTATAACTTAAATACATAGCAATGAGGTATCTGACAATAAGAGGACTTGGAAAGACGCAAGATGACTGAAAAGTAGATCATCAATCATCCACCGATTGTATCAGGAGTAACAATAGATGACAAGGATCATTAGAGGAAACATCACTGGGGACAGTAGAGAACAAAGGAAAAAATGGATCGTGAAACATAAGGTAGCGGTAAGTGGTATCACCAAGTCAAAAGCTCTTTCAATCATCAAAAGCTAATGACTTATCAAAAAAGGGCTGAACGCTTGGAATAGTCTCGACAGCTGAGTGAAGAGGTGTGTATCAATTAGGAAAACAAAAAAAAAAAATTGAGGATTCGAGGTTAAACGACGGGATATGCAGTGAGCTGAGTGCCTTTTATGCAACGTCGGACCTCTCTTCCGCCATGAGAGTGCCATATGTTGGGGCAGGGATGGCCCAGTCATCTTCGGTGATACTGCTCCAAAAGAACCAGACCCCGATGACGGACAGAAGAGTGAAGAGTGTTTCGAAGAGGGTGCCGTTGATTTTCCCGTTGGAGGCTTCACACAGGTGTACACTGATCACGTACTGAAATATCTGGCCAATGGCGAATAGCAAGGCAGTTGCGGTCAGATAAAGCATTGGCCGAAACTCCCCCAGTACTCGTAGTACCAAGACGGCCTCGAGCACATAGTACGCCACCAGGCAGACGAGCGGGAAGAGCTGGTACAAAACGTAAAGGGCAATGTTGCGGTTGTCTCCCGATTTGCTTGACTGGAAGTAGTGGGACCAGTTGAATGCAGTGTCAAGGGCGATGTAGCCCGTACCGATGAAGATCACAAGTGCAGATGCTGAGACCAGGCCCACCGAGGCAGCAGTGCCGTCATCAATCAATTGATATCCTACGAGCCCATTCAAAAGCAGCATCCAGCATGTCGCAGCAATCGCACCTAGATGCACTGCTGAGAAACCCTATATGTCCTATCGTCAGACCAAAGACCTAGGGGGAAAAAGAACTCCCAATTCCTTACCTTGCGAACGGAATCTTCGATCGGAAGTCCACCCACGGTGAAGATTTCACAAATCTCGATGATGATGTACCCCAGAAGAAACAGTTGCATCTCACTATCCACATCAAATTGTTAGTCTATAAAGACCTGAAGGGAAAAGGTCAACTGTCATTCCGGAGGGGAAGGCTTACCGACGCCCGACGGCGGCGTGCTTTCTGTCCGACCTCAATATCAAGCCCAATGAAACCACGATTGAAATGAAAGCAAGTAGGATCGATCCTATTCCATGAGTCTATCAGTACACTGTTCCCATCAACTTGTACCCCAAACGCTGTTTCCTTACCAAGGTTTGCCAGATAACGATGGCCACTCAACGAGATACCAGTCAAAGAGCAACCACCAAAGTGGACATTAGGAGGTTGGTTGGCGACAAAAAGCTGCGGCGAAAACGAATCAGTTCTGATAAACATAAGCTGGATTGCAGCTCACGAACATTACAAACTGGCAATGTAGAGTCGCGACAAAAGTTCTGTAAAAGGAAACATGATTAGGTCGATTTGGGTAGGGGAGCGATGTGAATAACACACGTGGAAATTGCCAAATTGAGTTGAACCCATGATGACTATTCAAGTGGCTGGGTGAGGCTGAGGGAAGGGGGTATTAGAGATTCCCCGAGTCCCTTGGAATGTACGGAGTAACCGTGTAGGAGGCCACAGAGAAGGGAGTAGAGGACAGAAACAAGGTACAGGTTCTCAAATGGAAACAGAGAAGAGAGAAGGGAAATGAGTTATTAGTAAATGTGAAGTGGATGTTGGGGGTCTTGAATTGGAGGAAGGGTGTGGGGTGAGGGAAGAATCTAAAGATCTGGGAAACGGAAAGATAAAGAGAGGAAGGTACGGAAACAAGGTCTGTTCCCACGGACCGTTATTTTAGATCCCTGGGTCATCCAGGCACGAAAATACGGAGCTATCTCTTTTAGGATAAGTTGTTTTATGTTGTCATTATTTACATATTTACATATTTGCTGCTATGTGACTACTACGTACTATGCAGTATGTAGATCTTCGATCTGCCACATCTGCCACATCTTTCATGAGGCGTCATCTTGATTTCGACACCCTTGCCTACTATGTCAACTTGCATAATGCATATTGACCTATTTCTAAGGTCGACTGGGTGATAGATACTCGAAAGAGATAGGTCATAATCTTTAACCCAGAACCATTGGATCCTTTCAGTATTGAGTACCTAAATATAATGTTCCTCCACCTCGGGCCACTTCGAAACGCGAGTTGTCTAGCATACATCCTCCACCACCAACTCAGTTCCGTCATGTGCACCAAGATCAAGCTTCAAGGTACGGCCAAATAGTTCTAGCAGCATCTCAAAGCAGGCCTTTGTAATGGCTGGGTCATAGCGGCCCTTGCTGAGCTCATCACGGATAAAGGCGTCTGTGCGGATGTCAGAATAGAACTAGTCCGCCCCCCAGTGGGGGTGTCGAAACACAGGGGATTTTGAAACTCACGCTGAGCCCACGCAATCTCGTAGAAGCTAAACAAGACTTTCTTCTCATGTAACGTCTTGCGGATCAGATCACGGCCCTCCGGCGGCACATGGTTGTCATTCTTGCCGAATATCTATATATCAAAATTGTCAATTCAATGTACTGCAGATATATATATATATATATATAAGACTTACCATCAGTAGTTCACCCTTGATATCCGCAGCTCTGGCCAGACTATCATCATTCTTGCCTCGTCCCAGGGTATGGCTGTGGACGTCTGTCGCAAAATAGCACACAGCGGCCTTGATTCGGCTATCCAGGGCACATCGGTACGCGAGATGACCACCAAGACACATACCAGTCGCACCGACAAGGCCATTGCAAGTAGAAAGTGAGAGCAGGTAATCAACGCTTAGAGTGGCATCTTCATCATAAGCTGCTAGTTTCTATATTCAAGACAGTCAGCCATTGAAAGCCCGGTGAATTTCTTCAAAGTGATATCTCTCTTCTAAACCGAGCCGAGCTCACCTTGGTAATCTTCCACTTATTGCCATTGTCAGTGTCTTCAGTATTGTACTGCATTGGCTCTGGACCTGTGAATTCATGGTAGCTCGACGGGGCAGCACAGATGTAGCCCTGGCCAGCAATTTGTCGTGCAAAGCGTGCAACAGGACCAGTTACTAAGTGGATTCGATTAGTTAACATTGAGGAAAGAGCTGAATGTCCTTCAACCTAGGCCCACCTTGGTAGATCTCGCTGAATACAACGACACCAGGGAATCGAGCTTGAGGATATCCTGGAATGGTGGGGTGAAAGACATAGATTCCTAGTAGAGAATTAGCATGAATTCCATATGCATGGTGGACTAATCCAAGTTTCGGAGCAGGCGGGATGTGCTCAAGTACATACGCATTGAACTCTGGCCGTCTGCCGTAGTGGCAACATCGTGAACAGTCTCTTTGATGAGCATAACGCAGTATAATAAGATTGATACTAAGAGTGATGTTCTTGTTCTCCTGTATGTCAATTCGTATAATTGACTACAAAACACTGTTACCGATGATAACAAGACATGTGGGGTGGATGCTGACAAAGATTTAGTGTCCACCTGAGTATCAGATCTAGTCATTCATAGTATTTATGTACTACAGTACTAACTGTAGAAAGTGAATTCTCCTACATGACTAAGTACTGATAATGATTTATTGATATTGTTACAGGAAAAGATACCCGAAGATTTGATGAATATTGTACAAGGAACATGTTGTTAGACAAGCATTAAAAGAAGATATCCCGAATCATGTCGAGTTTGAATCACCATGGCATATACTAATTACCATGGCTTTTGAATGGGCTTTCGGAAAAGTCGAAATGTTTCTTGAATCATCTGTACAGAGATCGTGAAGAGATTTAGCAAGAATTAGCTTTACTGATGGGTGTACCATCATTAAAAGACGTACTATTGGCAATTAATAAAAACACTTATGTCAAATACACGACGGAATGGGAACTCACGGGAATAAACAGGTAAGGCACCTGTCGCTCATATTCAAGCCAGGCCTCACCATACTTGGTCCGGCACTTTTGGATATCACGAAGAGCACGGTGAGAGATCATACAGGCAAAGAAGAGCGGGTAGAACCAGGGGAATGGACTAGAAAATCCGGTGATCAAGCCCCAGTTAAGGGCAAAGTAAAGATCACAGGTGTAATGGATCTTGCGAGCCTTACCATCTATAGGTACAGAATTAGTATTCATGATCATTGAAGTCAAGATCCCTTCATAGTAGTGTCAAGTACTTACACCACCCATCAACAAGAATCTTGGAGCCATTGTCAGCAGTGATAGTCTTCGGATTTTTCACAGTCTGCCATGGCAGCTGGGGGAAGGTATTTCGGTGCACAAGAGTGCCACGCTCTTGCTGGCGGAAGCGATTTTTTTGGCTGTTGGTAGTATCCCAGACCCAGTATACAAAGAGGTAGGCGACGAACAGGAACGCAAGGAAGAACCGATTCCAGTGGTACTCCGAGGGATGGTGATTCGCAATATATATGGTGCAATGGCAGTAGCTCAGAGGTACACCAGCCAGATTCCAAAAGATCAGCATGAAACCCCACTTCTCATAGTACATATCCCTAAATGCAATGTGAGTCTTGACTCATACAGCAGATTTTGAGAAACTTACCAGGTGGAAACAATGCACTCCTCACCCTTACCACAGGCGTTTGCATAGAGGAAGTGAGCCATCAAAAGGAAGACCATCTCGCCGGACACATATCCGTAGTTTTCATATTGACGGGCAGCAGTACCCATGGACAGGAACAGCAGGATGAACCAAGGAAGGCGGACCTCGAAGAACATTTTAAAGTCGAGAATTCCGAACATACGTGGGTTAAGCTCCGCGCCCATGAAGAAGTCGTATATCGGGGATCCGGTCATACGGTGTTCTGCACCACGAGCCAGAGCCGAGAAGTAGGCCACGAAAGAGACTAAGAACCCAGATAAAATGGCAACGCTAAGAAGAGGGCCAAATTCATCAATAAGGGTGTACAGCTTAAAAAGACCAGTCACGTGAAGAGCCACTCCCAACACAATGCTAGTATAAAAAGACCAAATGGCAGAGCAGTAGTATGGCAGCTGCTTGCCGCCCATGTGCGGCAGTGGTCGACCTGTCATGGAGATTCCAGGAAGAAGCACGTAGCATGCACCCTCGAAAATGAAAAATACCCAATAGATAGTCCAAGCTTTAAGTGACGGGAAAGCACCAGTATACACCAGATGGCCGAGGTGAGCGAAAAACTCCGAGAAGCTCTGCCCCTCCTCCCGGCTTGGAAACTTGCCATCATAATAGGTTGCGCCAATCCACATGTAGTACATAAGCAGAGGGAATCCAATCATCATAGCCAGAACACCCACTGAACCGCCGAACTCGTAGTGTCCACTGTAGTCGATTTTCGGATCGAGACCTGGCTCCCAGCCGTCGATGAGGCGAGACTTCGACGGGTTCTCGGGGGTGACGACCTTGCCATTAGCTGCAGGCTTCGATGGCGTGTCGGTCTCCTCGATCTTGACCTTGTCTGACGTGCGACGGTGGGTGGCAGCCTTGGAAGTGTCAGCAAGGGAGGAGGTTTCAATTTCGCTCCCGTCAACGACAGGGCTGGTACGGTTTGAGCGACGACCGGGAGTTTCGATGAAGCCTGGGCGATCCATTTTCCTGGTTGGTCACAAAAGACTAACTGTTAGTAGACAGAAAACTAAAGGACAGGATTTAATGGCGGGAAATATAAGGAAAATAAGGCTTGCGATACCTTCGGCGATAGGGGACAGTAATGGATCGCAAGAAGGATAAAATGGAAACAACTCACTTGGGGGTTTTCCCTGTTTGAGAGCGGGTTACTCTCATGGTTGCCTAATCGGAGACCTTATATCCGAGAGGAATTGACAGCGAAGGAAGATGGAAAAAGGCTGACAGATAGAAGAAAAGGAGAAAACGAGGGATGTTTACAGATTACCTCGGTGGGATCGAGTAGCGGGTAAAATTACCAAGTACGGTACTACCAATTACAGCAAACTCCTTCAGCCACGGGTTTGCGGCTCCTTTATTTCCGCCATTACGTCGTGTGGTAATATGACATAGATTAACAGAAATAGTTACCCGGCCCTGAGAGATCTGAATAAGTGGCTTTATCGCACTAGCTCACTCTACGAGTTCCAATAGTGGACTTTTGGCAATTCTATCAACCGTGAGGAGTACGGTGTACATAGTACTCCTTAATATCTTTCGTTCCTTGCAAAGAATTCTGATGGATGCTTGGTATTAGGCTGGCATAATATATTGTTATTTAAGACGGGAGTATGTATTATTTCATCAATTCAAAAAGTTGAGAGTGGGGTGTGAACCCATAGCCAAAAGAGTGAATAGGAAAGAAATCCAAATGTTGTTTATTGTAATGAAGATTGGTATTGTCAAGATGATCAGAAATGAGAAAAAAAAGAAATATGATAACTCTTCGTACCATGTTGACAATAAGCCGGTCAATCATGCGCCTCGGTGACTGTTAGTAGACATCAATGTGATCTTGGTCTTGTTTTTCTTTTTCTTTTTGTTATTTCCCGTTGAAGGCCCTGAAGATTGACTCTCTGGAGCTGCCAGAGCAATCAATTCAGACTCCTGTTGAGCCAGTAGCTCATCTTCCCAATCTTGCCGCCACCCATCGTCGCGGGTGAAATATGGCTTCAAGGTGGGAGAAGTAGATGACACTGCCGTTGTCCCCCAGACAGTACGGACACCTGGCGGAGAAGTGGAAGGTGAAGCCAATGCCCCAAATTGTGACGACGGGCGAGGAGGTGAAGCAGATGAGGCTTCAGGATTATAAATTGATAGCTCAGCTTGACTGGCTAGCGGTAGGAAGTCTTGCGCATTAAAGGGGGCTTCGCTAACATCACCAATGCTGGGTCGCCTGCGCCGTGCAGCTTGCCATCGTTTGTCTTCTTCCTCTTTCTCCGCACGAATACGATCCTTCTCCTCCCGAGCCTCCTTATCTCGGTTGCGCTTTCGTCTTCTATTAATCTCAGTGCGGAATTGTTCCAATACCTCTGGTACCACCACATCTCTCCAGTCACACTCAAGGAAGTTAACTTCACATCCGTGAGGGAGGTGTCCCAGATATTTGACATGCTTGCGCAGTTCATCATCAACAATGTGGCCCGTAGAAATGTGCTCCACCCGTGGTAGAATAGTCGCAGGAAATAGAGCGTATTCTTTGAAGGCAGTTTTGAGAATGCGAATATCGAGGGAAGATAGGTAAAACTGAGGGAGGGCTTGGTAAAAGTAATAAGGCTGGTCGGATAGTTGAGAGACTTCAGTCGCCTTGCTTTTGCCCCTTCGTTGTGATCTCGTATTGGATTCAGGGTTAACTTCAACTTTACCCATGGCCTCCGAGAGATGATCCACTTCATCTATTGCTGCCGGACTTGAGAAAGACTCTGCTAATGGATTGCTTGCGTCCGTGCCAGACTCAGGTACTACTTCATGGGACAAAATAATAGGACTTGTCGTTTCGCGTTCAGATGAATCAGCTGCAGATGTTTCTGCATCAGGGAAAGCGGTCGTTTCTCTTACCCCAGTGATTGACATGTGTTGGGGAACATCTGTTGGATTCCCAATGCCCTTTAGATTATCTTTTGCGGCTGTTATAGCGCCGATTGCCTTTCGGGTCCAAGTATTCTCGTCGCCAAACAAAAGTTCATCTTCAACCTCCTGTCGACGTAGATCTTCAATCTCCGCATTGAATTGCTCTGTCATGTAGTCTTGACCTCCCTTCATGATTCGAGCATAATCGGCGACCTCCGCCACATGGAACCATGGGATATCTTCCTCGGAGCCAAGAATCTCGCCACCATCGCGAGGAAGAGCAAGAGTGCTCTTGGTCTCTCGCCTGACCAATCTCAGCACAACATCACCGCCTTCAACAGGCAGGTCACCTTCCTGGCCACGGAACCAGCGGACAGGCCGAGTTTCAGAGGAATAGATCGAGTCCCAACAAATTGGACATTTTTTCCATCGGGCTTTCTTCTCGGGGACTATACTGTCTTCGTCGGATGAGTGCATATACCGAATCAGACAAGGCAAACAAAAGATATGTCCACACCGGGCCATGCGCGGGGCAGTAGGTGTACATAAACAAATTGGACAACTGGCTTCCTGAGTCAGGGCAGAAACTAGCACTTGAAGCACAGAGGCCCAGTCTAGGTGAACATCGGCGTTGGCCGCCTGTGCATGATAATTATGGTCTGGTGTTACAATGAACCGATAGTTGGCATGAACATAGCGCGATTTGTCAACTGCATGATACCCAGATCCCGCCGACCATGCGTTGTAGCGCCGAGGATTGCGTAAAGGTTGATTTTGCGGTCGAGGTGGGAGAGAAAAGTTCATCAAATGGGTGATGGACTGCTGTCCTTTGCGGCTGTTTGCTGATCTCATGACGGCCTAAGGGAAATATAAGTAGACAACCCTAAGCCCATATTTTTTATAGAGAACCCACTGATTCACTATATTCATCATCATCCAGTAACTTCGGTTTCTTTTGACGATTATGCTGACTTTTTCGACCTTGAAGATTCCTTGGCGTTGGAGCGTTCCTGGAAGATGACCCCGATCCGAAACTACCGGATCCACCTGTACGTCTTTGAGAACTGTCGGATAGAGCTGTCGAGTGAAATGTGGGGGTTGCAGGCGAGATATTCGAGATATTGACTGCTTTGGAGGGTGCAGTATTCTGAGCTGAATTGGACGACATCCCCGAGCTGTTCCTCCGAGTAAACTGGATACAGAAGAATGTTGATGAATTCAATCAGCAACAAAAGGGGGAGAAAATTAAGATAGAGCCTTGAACGAGTGTCGATAGAGGTTGTGTCTGATAAGGTGATCAACCGTATTGAAAGAACGGGATGGGGCCATAAACTACGGCTTTGGTCAGTATAAGGGCACTATGGGTCAAATAAAAAGAGGAGAATCATGAAAGGCCACCTAAAATAGGAGAGCGTCCAGAAGACGCTATGCGTACCTCCAACTAGAAATAGGTTTGTCCTATGCTAGGAGGGGTGGCATTCTGACTCACCGCCTTCATTAATCAGCTCGTTTCTTGACCTCAGCTTTGCTTCGGCAGATGACTGAAACCCGCCTGCCCTAAGCTAACTCCCAGTTCCTTCATTTCTGGGCCCGCTCTGCCCTCGACTTTCTACTTTTTGTAGTCTCATTTTGACAGAATTCGTTAAGTATGTGGTATCTCACTTCATATCCCCCTAGCGTATTGTAGTTGACGCTCAAATTTCCAGAACTTTCTGATCGTGTGGACCGCATCTATCACTACAACCCTTCTATATCAATCGAACTCCCTTTCGCCCTCTACTAGTCAGGCCAAAATGACTGCATGATTGCACCTGAAGCTTCAGGTTTTTGATCATCCTGAGATATTGCCGTGTATGGCTCTCGTCGACCCAACAAGTAGTTGAACAGCAGAGGCAACTTGTTTCTCAACCGTGGTCAGGATGAATCACCACTTGTCCTCGATGCCTCATGGGCAGCCGCCCATGGGTCCATCTCGGCGCCAACATGACTTCCCATACAATCCAGGCCCTCCCAATATGCGCTCGCCCTACATGGGATACCCTCCGCACATGAATAATGGCATGAACGGCATGAACGGCATGAACGGAATGAATGGAATGAATGGCATGAACGGTCATATGCCTCCTGCGTATGTACCACAGCAATTTTCTCCCTGGTACCCCCCTCCATACGGCCACATGCAATTCCCCCCTCGTCAATTTCAACCCCTCCACCCACCTCAACAACTCCAACCGCCCTATGGACCCATGATTGTTTCCTCTTACCCCCACGTACAGCCTATAATGGCTCCGAATCATATGCTTCCTGCGGTCCCCTTACAGCAACCTCGAGCTTCAACTCCGCTATTGTCGAGTATCCCTCCGCCAATCTCGACACCTTCTATACAGCATACAATGCCCGATCACCCAAGATTACAACATCAGCCACAACACTACCATCATATTCCCTCACCGCAACCAACGAAATGGATCATTGTGCCCGCCAAAGAATCAACCCCGGAAAAGCCTGTATATGGTCCCAGGGTAGGTCCACTTCGAATATTGACTAGTAATCTCAATTTTACACCGCGACTAATCACAGAACAGTTGCCATGGCTTTCCGTTCGAGAATCTCCATTTCCCGCCAGGGCTCCCCACAAACGCATCAGAATCCCAATGATCGCATCTGTTGAGTTTCCGATGAAGGATGGGAAATGGATAATCGGGCCCAAGAAACATGAATCTGAGCTCGATTATACCAAGCCTGAAGAGCCAACTGCCCCGGCTTCCTCTGCATCTCAAACCCCAACCACTTCCGTCCCTTGTTCGGATGCCAATACTCCTTCGACCATTGCTAAGTCTCACGCTCAGCAAGGTACGAAGCCTGTCTCTCCGGTTATCCCCGCAGTGCCAAATCTCCCCAGTACTCCTAGCCGCCAGGTGAAAGATACTACCAGCGTCTCATCTGATACTCCAAAGTCTACGGCCCCTCTTGTCACAGATATCCAGCATGAGACAATATCAACCGCTGAGACTTCAACCAAACCAGTCGCAAACAAGACATGGGCAGAACTTCTCCGTTCAAAGACCGCCAGTGCCCCTGTTTCAACCGAGTCAACTGCAGTGCCTATAAAAAAGAGCGAGTCTCTTGCGGATGTTTTGAGCACTCTTGGTGAGGATGTCTCCCAATACAGCGACAAGATTGCATTCCTTGAACCACGAGGCTTGGTAAACACTGGAAATATGTGTTATATGAACTCCGTCTTGCAAATTCTGGTTTCATGCGTCCCATTCCACCAGTTCCTTGATCACGTTGGTCGACGTGCTGCACACAGCTTCCAGAGTGATGTCCCATTGATTGATGCTATGATCATGTTCATGCGGGAGTTCCGCATCATTGACGCCGCGACTTCCGAAGATCAACTGAGAATGCGACTTAAGCCTACCGAGCTTGAACAATACGGTGAAGCTTTTGTTCCAGAGTTTGTTTATGAAATGATTCGTCAGCTACCTCGCTTCAGGGACATGCGCCGGGGTCATCAACAGGATGCGCAGGAGTTCCTTGGCTTCCTTCTTGAAGAGCTCCATGAGGAGTGTGACCGCGCTGCAAAGCATTTCTCCAAGGCCCAAGAAGCGCTAAGTTCTGGTGATATCGCCGGATCATCTGGCGATGGTTGGCTCGAAGTTGGCCATAAGCAAAAGGCTGCCGTGACACAATCATCCGGTGATATGGCTACTGAGTCACCAATCACTCGCATTTTTGGGGGAAAGTTGCGATCTGAGTTCAAGGTACCTGGCAATAAAACCTCCGTTACTATGGAACCATACCAGCCATTGCAGCTCGATATTGGCGCACCCGATGTTCATAACATTATCGATGCTCTAAGGGGGCTCACTAAACCTGAGAGCATCCAAGGCGATTTCAACTCATCGCGCGGCCCGAATGTGACTGCCACTAAGCAGATGTTCATTGAAACTCTTCCTCCTGTCCTTATTCTACACTTGAAACGTTTCCATTACGACAATGTAACTGGAGCCACTCAGAAAATTTGGAAGAAGGTTGGTTACCCTCTTGATTTGGAGATTCCTCGGGAAGTTTTCCCGGCTCATCGACGCAATGTCATGACGGCACAAGGTGGTTATCCCAAGTACCGTCTCATGGGAGTTATCTACCATCATGGAAAAAATGCCGGCGGTGGACATTATACCGTGGATGTCAGAAGGCAGGATGGCCGCGAGTGGATTCGCTTGGATGATACTGCCCTACGTCGCGTTCGCAGTGAAGATGTGGCGGAAGCTGGTGGCGAAGAAGATCCTAAGGTACTTGCGGCAGCTCTAGAGCAGCATAAGCAAGATAAAAACCCTCGCTCCAACATCTTTGATCACATTGACCAGGAGAAAATGGAGTCCGCAGACAGCGAGAAGGGGTGGAGTCAAGTGAACAACAGTAGCTCCAGCGGACACTTCGGCAAGAAGTCTGCCAATGGGGTCTCCCCCTTATCTGTGCCCTCATCAGGAATTCGCACTCCACTTGCAAGATATGGCGTCAATGATAACCGCGTTGCCTATCTTCTATTCTACCAGCGAATGGCTTGAATACCCAAACAAGGTCGATGATCCTCACTCAAAATTCATACATATGCAACCTTGCCTACGCGCCCACGAGTAACAGTGGCCTTTACCCCCACCCCCTTCGCCATCAAAACTCGGTTTATCTTTTCACGTCATCATACCCATCTCATCATTACAGCCAGGTAGCTCTCACCTCAGATTTCTCATATTTTCGTTAATCCTTCATCAAATCCTCATACACCCCTTGATTGTCTGCTTGAATCTCGGCCCCCTTCCAATATGTGGGCTGCATCTTGTTCGATCTTGCACTCGATCATGATACCCCCATTTTCCCAATTTTCTCATGGATATCGAGTGCACTCAAGGCATCATGGTAGTTGAATTCTTATTTTATTTCCTTTTTAGTTTAGCACTTTGCAGAACTAATGCGTGAATGGGAGATTTTTGGGAGGAGCAGAAGATCTATAGCTAATACTATTGATCTTCTGTCGAATTTTTTTATGGCTGCAGCAATAAGGTTATGGTGCGAGGTGCGGTTGCTACGAAGAATACATTTGGCTGGATGTATTTCCAGTTATAGAAGGTCGAAGTTGACCAGATATGAAGGAGTCAAGGAGAACAGACGAGAGGAGAGAACGAGAACATCGAAAAAGTATGTCTTTACAGAAGCACAAAAAAATTCCAAAGGAAATTTTATTTCAATCCCAATATTTCAGTAATGGTACGCTGGATGGGATTAAGAAAAGTGCCCATAAATATACAAGGCTGGGTGTAATTTAACATCAAGCATTGAAATCCACAGTCTCAACATTTCCATCACTCTCGCCATCCACAAATTCGAAACCCAAAGCGCGCCAGTTCAACTCTTTTCGCCAGTGTAGGCCATAATAACTACGACTAACCTGTCCACCAGGCTGATCGTCACCATGCGCCTCATGCTCATGATCGGTATCAAGTGCCACAACAGGCTCAGATGCAAGTCCACCAGTCTTCATGCGCCCTGCACGCGGGAAAACCACAGCGCGAAACCGTGAGAGTAACATGCCCATTGAACAGCAAAGGCATGGCTCGTGAGAAATGTAAACATCAAGGTCTGTGCAGAGATATCCACCCTGGGATCGGGTGCGGATTCTAGGGGCTACCGAGGCTATTGTTGACATGATAGGGATGTTAGAAGGAGAGGCATGCTCTTCACGGGTAGACTTATCATTAGATAAATGGGAGATTGTAGAACCGGCCAATGTAGCAATTTTGGATGGAATTGGACCTGGGCCAAGAGTGGATAAGGGCTGTGAAGGCGAACATCCAAGCTTTGGATCACCAGACTCTGGACTTGACTCTTCGTGCTTCCTCTTTTTTGGAGATGGTAATAGGGGAGGTAGGTTTGCATGAATAGCCGGGGCAACGGAGTTGGACAGGGTATCTACTTCATAAAGGAAGTGTGATTCAAGTGGACTGAGCGTTTGGATTAATTGTGGGTCTGTAGTCGCCGCTGTAGAATTGGATAAATTTGCAGTCTCAAGCTCGTTTAGCGTGTCTTCACGGCGTCGTCGAGCAACCAATGCAATGGCACGCATTAGCGCATGGAGATCCGGTCCACCCTCCATATCTGCAACGAAGGCCGGATCGGGCACTGTACCGTGAAGCAGCTCTTGCCAAGGAGGCGCACCAGCTTCAGAACGACCATAGCGAGCATCACCAGCCACCGCAATGACCGCATCCGCCCACCGATATGTGCTAGAGTTGCCGAGTTTCCAAGCTTCGTCCTCGAGCTCGGCTTCAATGGCCGGGTCGACAATCACAGCACCGATGGACCGGCCACGACCCGATTTTTCTGATTCCTCAGCTACTTTACGCGCCAAGGAGAGATAATACCCAGCACGTGGTCTGATAGATTCTTGTGCAGTCTTGAGAGTTTGAGGCGGCGGTGCGACTGTAGAGCGCGGAGCAGCAGGATTGAAGACAATCGGCCATAGCGTGTTACTCCATTTCTCAGCTTGTTGGGCGTTGAATGGGGGTTGAAGAGGAATTCGTGTAGAGACCAGGAGAACTTTTGGAAGTGACAGATCAGGCGATGAGGTATTCGAGGGTATATCTGTTGTGGATGGAGTAATGGAGCCATGGGTGACGGCCGCAAAGGGAGCGAGCAGAGCCTGGAGCTCCTCAATAGAAGGCACAGGAGGTGGGATTAGAACGAATATGGTTTGGCCAGGACCATTTGAATATGATCCCGCGGCCTCAACGGCAGCTCGAACTGGCGGGGGTAGGATTTCGCGTTTGGCAAAACGACGCAAGTGTGTTTGCGGGATAGAAAGATCGCGAGGGAAGGCGGAATCAAGAGCTCTAGAAACAATGCTGTTATTGGTTTCAGGTTCTATAAAGCCCATGGTCGATCTCACTTGATTACTTTAGACGCGGCTTTGATATTGACTTCCGCGATGTAGGCGTCACCTTCATGTTTGTGGTTAGTAAAACGAAATAGATTTATTCAGAATTAGACGTACCGAAATCCTCTGGTGGCTGTGTCTCCTGGACAGTTCGAATAGGAACTACCTTTCCGTTTAGAGGCTGGAGGCTCTTGATAGTCTCTGCGACATTCATATCAGCGGGTCTTTTGACGCAGTCGTATGCTTGAAGATCCCTCGGTCTGTAGTACTGTACTGGTGGAAAAATATTATGTATAAAGAGAAAGTTTGGAGACTACGATGAGCCTCATGGTCAGAGAATCAATTCACAGAAGGAACGTGGTGACGCCGATTAAAGATTTCCGAAGCCCTAGATCCCGAGCCCTATGCCCTACTTTCCAAAAAGGGATTATTCTACTATTTGAAAGTAGTTATCCAATGTACATCGTGATCATGACTTTTGAGGGATAGTAAAAGAAGTAATTCAATTGGAAATAATTTAATGGGGAATTTTATTGTATAGCTACTCCTCCTGAGGCTGTAATTTCATGATACCAAAACGCCGAAACGATTTTGCCAGAAGACAAATGTACAAAACACCGCCCACCAGGATGTGTATGTCGACAACTCTATTGTTCCATCAACACATGATGCATGTAATTTAGATGCCGTGGCGGACCATCTGAATTGAAAACGACCTCACTGGATAAAAAATTACTATTCATTTGAACAATGCCGAGGTAAAAGGTAAGTGAGAGTGACCTTGATCGCGACAGCCGGGTCATTCGGGATCAATTGAGGCCAGCCTCGAGAATTGTCCCAAAAAAAAGAAGAATATAAGATCGAAACTCGTACTGTTCAGAAAGAACATTTGGAGTTCTCATGCTGCAGGAGTACTGGCGGCTGTAGTTGAAGCGCTTAGGTCGATACGCTCGATTTCGAAGCCATCACATCGTTCTGCCAAACTTTGATAGTAATCGACCAAAACCTCTGGCTCTGGTATGATTCGCCATTGCACTCGAAACAAAAATTCTAGCTCTAGCATGGCCAACTCGTCCATACTGATGCCGCCAACTCGCGCATATGTCTTATTGGTCCAAAAGCTGTCACTGAGCCCTTTACTAGCAACAGTGGCGCTCGTAATGAGGAAACGGTGAATAGTAAGACTTGAGACTGTGAAAGCTGGGAATAATGCACACAGACGGTCGATATAGTAGACGATGCTCAAAAGGATTGGGGGCGAAAGAGTAGCATGAGTCGTAAGACGCTGTAGGTAATTTAGCACGGAAATCCGGGGAGGAGATCGAGAATGGAAGCGCGTCAGGCGACCCTGGTGCAGGGGTATCTTGTCGTTGAATCGGATCAACTCCATGAGCATGCTGGAGATCAGCACTACAAGGTCATGGGGATCGGCAAACTCGTATTGCATTGGGAGGATTTTGACCAGCCCTGCGGAGGATCGTAAGCGCTTTGCCTGCGAAGCCTCAACATCGCGACTAGTGGACTGTCCCACTGGCGACGAGGCACCAGGAGGGTTGTGATCACTTTGGCTGTTGCGCTTGTTAGACCCTAGTGTGTCGGGAGCGGGCATTGAGGTGGTGGGGATGTGTGGTGAATCGGTGGGAGCAGGTGATGTGGCCGTGGCAAGAGTGGCAATAGACTGAGTATGTTGTGAAGAGGCTAATGCTATATCGGGGGGCAGGATTGCTTCACCAGCACCAGTCGCGCTTGCAGCAGAAGCGCGTCTAAAAAGGTCGGAGGGGGACTCGGACTCAGGGGAGGAAGGATCGACAGTATGGCGATTTAAGGCTGAGCGCAACTCTTCAATAGCCACACGAGAAGAACGGGGGCTATTGAACTGTGGAGCTGGAGAGGCGCTTTGGGGATCATAGCGTGGATGTGATACAGCTCCTGTCCTGGGAGAGTGTAAAGCAGCCGTTGAAGGCGAGGGAGAGAACATGGCTTAGGATTGGATGGAGAGAAAAGAGAGAATGGAGTGCTGGAATTGGTATTCACGGATGGACCCGTTGGAAGGCGCGCTGACACCACGTGGGCACACACGAGTTTAACGGGGCTCCTGCGGACCTGGGATGGTGTTGTCGCACGGCCTCATCCTTATGAAAGATCCTAAGGGGAGAGGAGTCAAGATTTGAGATTTTGAAATACTGAAGTATCAGATAAAAATGGGGAAGAGAAAAGGAAAAAGAGGGGCCCAGATGGAGATGAAAATCTTTGAGGTAATTTATTACAATACCATCGATTTCAATGGATCTAGTATGTAATACCTTACTTCATTTATTACTACTTTATTATAAAAAACATGGCAATATGAATATAATTATACAGTTAATAAAAAGCTAACTAATGAGCTATTTTCCTATTTACTTGACTAGTCGATGCAGATTCATCATTACCTAATCTACAGTTAGTTAGTTTAGTTAGTCAACTCCTTAGTAACGCCTTATTACGTAATTTCTAGATCACTTCAAAATTGCGGAGAACGTGTACTCCGTAATTATCGTGGATTCTTGGATATGTCCAAAACTACCTAAAGGAGAATATCTGAACTCAGTGAGCTTTCCAAGGAGTAGCAGGTGTTTTATTCTCGCAATACCCTCTCTACTCATAAGTGTGCTACACGCGGCTCCCCGCTCTTGGAACTAAATCCGGCCAAGTCTCAACGAATCGACTTATCTTCGCTCTGACTCTTCGACGTCTTATCCACAATCATCCAGATCCATCAACCTGTTTTCAAAATACGCAGAACTACAGCATTTGATTCTCCTCCGGTTTACTCGATAAAGATCTTTTTGTCGGGTAGTTTTGTTATCAGCCCAAGCCGGTGGGAGGCGATGGTTCTCGAACAATGACTCGAGCTGCCGTACCGCCTATCTTGTTACAGCTACAAAATTCGGATTCGCTTTCGGGTGAACTTGCTGCCCTCCGGACCATAAAAAATGAACTGATCGGTCATGACCAGCGGAAGGAAGCATATGTTGCTGGTGGTATTATCCCGGCACTAGCTCAAGTACTGACCCGGTGGACTGGGAAAGACGCCTACGGAGTTTCCAACGATTCAGCTCTAGGCCAGGATGGCCCATCAGAGGAGTATGAAGCTTGTCTTCAAGCTACCCTGATCATCGGTAGCTTGGCTCATGGTATTTTCTCGCAGCATTCAATAGTAATGTCCTAGAAAAGCTAATCGTGGCTATATACAGGTGGTCCTTGCTTCCTCGCTCCGATCTTCGCCAGCAACGTTCTTTCACATCTCCTCGACATTCTCTCTTCTCCAGATTGTCCTCCTTTCTTCTGCATTTCTATCCTGCGCCTTCTCAACACCATTGCAGACCGGTTGCCTCTCCAAAGCCAAGACCAATTGCTTCGAGACACCCGTCTGGCTGATCTAGTGTTTGCCCCAGAGACTAACATTAGTGCATTAAGACGAATTATTGCCCAAGACTATGCCTCTCCACATGGTTTGGCCGCCATTGAGCTGACTGCGGCTCTGATTGGGAAATTATGCGCAGAGGAAATCCACAAAAACGCTCTTGCGGAATATGGCGTTCTGGATGCACTGGCTATAAAAATTGCCTCGTTTGTGGTTGCTCAGGGCTTCGCCCTTCCTGGCGCAGAGAAACATGTCGAGGACCTAGGAGCTCTGGGGAAATTGCCACCGCCGGCTCCAGTATCTGCACGCCTGGCACCTATTCTTCGCGCGGTGACCGTAATCATCGAACATTCAAAATGGCGAGCAGATCATTTCCTTTCTTCCCCGGGAATCGTGACCGTCTTTCCAAAACAGAAACCTGGTTTTGCCCCAGCTGACATCAAGCGATGCCCTTGGGGAGCAACCTATTTTTCAGGCTCTGCGGTGCCTCATCACCCTGGTGCCAATCCAGTTGATAGTCTACTACCTTCGGTTCCAAAAGCACGTCCGAAATCATCGGTAAGCTCAATCAATTTCCCACCTTTAGAAGGCTCCGGTCAGCAACGTCACCACAGCCATGCCTATTCTATGGCGTATACGGAGACATCCAGCCCCGAGGACCAAGAAAACTCGATTGTTCCATGGCTTCTGTGCATTCTTCGTTCAAAGGTCGGCATGGTCAGATTAATGGCGGCACGTCTGGTGACTGTCCTTTCCCGTCTGGGACTGACTCAAAAGAGTCGAGTTCCGACTCTTGGTTACCTTCTGGTCCCAATTCTCCTTCAAATGTTGGATAAAGATTTTGAGGTACCAATTGAGCGCGGTGCCAGTGATGATGATGATGATGGGCTCATTACACCAACACAGCGCTTGAAAGAGGAAGCCCCTGCAGTATTGGCCAACTTAGTCATGGACGACCCAGAAATTCAGACAAACGCGGTCGATGGCAAGGCTCTCAAGCGTCTTTCGCAAATTCTCAAGGAGACCTACAATCCAATATCGGAGAACTTGAGGTCAACATGGTATGCAAAAGGAGATAGTCCGGCTCGAGACCTGGACTCACTGCCGCTGGAGTGTCGTCTTGGACCTTCGGGATATTCTCCTACATTGTGCCACACTATGCGGTACCGGGAGGGTATTCTCAAGGCGCTGGCCGCTTTGGTCCCATTCAAGGATGAGTGGCGCAAGGCAGTCTGTGAAAATGGTGTTGTTCCCTACATAATCGATTCATTGAAGCCGCGACCCAGGGATGCACCCGCAAACGCACACTCCATGCCAAAGAACACAGCCGCTGATGGCAACCCGATCGCGACTCTTTTGGCTGCTTGTGGTGCCGCGCGTATGCTTACAAGATCCGCCAGTGTTCTCAGGACCAGCCTCATCGATTGTGGTGTAGCTGAACCACTTTTCTTGTTAATTAAACATCCAGATCTGGAGGTTCAAATTGCGGCTTCTATGGCGGTTGCCAATTTGGCTATGGATCACAGTCCCATGAAGGAGGTCAGTCAGAAGCACAAATCTTGGCTGATTTTCAAACAACTTTGTACTGATACATTTTCCTAGGCAATAATTTCTGGCAACATCATCCCTGTTCTATGCGAGAATGCTCACTCAGCCAGCCTGAAACTGCGCTTTGAGTCATTATGGGTACTGAAGCATGTGGTTTACAATTCAGCGAATGATATCAGAGTGAAAGTCATTGATGGCCTAGGTCCAGAGTTTATCAGATCGATCATCAGCCCAAACCCAGCCCTGCATTTGACTAGCAGGGGAATTGATGGGTTGACTAGAGTGGGAATGGAGGAAGAGGCCGATCAAACTTTGGGCATCGCCATGGGTCGAGCCAACTCAGCCGGTGAACAAGTTAATATTCTCAATCCAATGGATGATGCGCGAGAGTCAGGCGAGGATTTCAAGATGGGTGAAATCATTCCATCATCGAAGATGAGCCTGGATATGTTTCTTCCGGACGCTAAGCGTCGACGCAAGCTACTCCTCCATGGTAATTTAGAACAGACCACTCAGTCTCGGCAGGATGACGTTGCCATCCTGGAGCAGATTTTCGACTTGTTCCGCAACCTCATGTGTGGTTCGGGTGCCCCCGAAATGGTTGATTACATCTTCAAACAGATTGGCCAAGATGAATTGCTGGATGCGTTGGCAGATAATTTGCATCCACGAACCACTGTCCAACTGTCTCATCGCCGAGACTCTCCCAGCCTACCCCTCCGTGTACCGCCCCAGGTCCTCATAGGAGTTATCGGGATAGTCATTCACATTTCAGCGAGCAAGCCAAGCCACCAGCAGGCAATCATAAGACACGGTCATCTCCTGGAGTCGCTGACTAAATACTTCAATCATTCGCATCGCCAAGTGCGGGTTAATTGTGTCTGGACGGTAATTAATCTTCTCCTCGACGACCACGGTGATCCTGCCGGATGTCGAGAACGGGCTTCCAGACTGAAAGCCCTTGGTGTAAACGAACGGCTAGCTAGCCTTAAAGATGATACGGATCTCGATATTAAGGAGCGCACCAAGACAGCAGTACATTTGATGAGATCTCTCGTTCCCGTTTGAGTCGGGCGGTTTCAAAGGTTGATTGTGTGCGAATAGTTGAAGCTTCTTTATTTCACCGTTTATAAGTAAGTCATTTGGATTACCTGGGTAGCTTCGAAATTCTATGAAATAGTTGTTTCCATGTACATGAGTAATCACGTCTTATGATTGATCGTACTTTTTCCGCTGGAACTTCATCTGTTCTTGCAAGGTTGCAAATCCGTCATCCAAACAAGTCACAGGTGCCAAGATGCCTGCACATCCTGATGCTGATATATACCCTGAGGCTACTGGGATAGCCAAAACTTTAGTAGAAAAGCACCAAGCGGAGCAGCCTTTGAAGCTATATGCAGGGTGGTTTTGTCCGTATGTACTCTGAATAACCTAAGAAACACGAACCCAACACTGACTGATGACCTTTTCATAGATTCGGTATGTTTTGATATTGAAAACCATTTTCAAACTTTGATCGTAAACCCCTATCAAATTTAGTTCAACGTGTCTGGCTTTGCCTCGAGGAGAAGCAGATCCCATACGAATATATCGAAGTCAACCCATACAACAAACCCGACTCCCTACTATCATTGAATCCACGAGGTCTCATTCCAACGCTTTCATGCCCAACAGACACTCATCCAAAGCCTCTCTATGAGTCCACTGTCATCATAGAGTATCTCGAGGAAGCATACCCATCTCACGGACCGTACCTTCTCCCCAAAGACCCTTATGAACGAGCACGGGCACGAATTTGGATCGACTACGTCACGTCACGCATCATTCCAGCCTTCCATCGCTTCTTACAATACGAGCCTACCGATGGAGTGGGGGATTTGGAGAGTGATGCGAGACTACTAGACAAGCTCCGACAGGAATAATTGGGCCATGTTCAAGCATGGACAAAGGAGATGCATCCAGAAGGACCGTTCTTTTTGGGATCAGAGATTAGCCTGCCTGATCTTGCTCTGGCCCCATGGGCAGTGCGGTTGTGGGTGTTTGATGAGTTCAAGTCTGGATTAGGCAATGTTTTTGAAGAAGATTAGGTATCGTCGATGCGCTGGAAAAAGTGGCTTGGTGCAATTGAGTCTAGGAACAGTATAAAACAGACAACAAGCGAGCGTGAGTATTATTTGCCCATTTATAAGCGCTATGCAGATAATACTGCGCAGAGTGAATTGGCGAAGGCTTCCCGAGCTGGTCGAGGTGTTCCTTGAATATCAAATTTATCAAGTTTATCAATCAAAAATAAATATCTGCTTTAAGTATGTCACGTGGTGTATACACTTCGGATTATCGTCAATCCGTTATCGCCGCTTCAGAAAACTACGAGAGCTATGGCTGGAAGTGGCAGAAAGAGTTTAACAATCTATATGCGTCACCAATTTTCAATCCTACATACAAATCTGCAGACCAAGCTGCAGCAGTTTTAAATCTCGAATTTTGTGCTTAAACTTGCTTTTTCTAAACCCACGGTCATCTGGAGCTACCATCAAACGGTTGTCCAAAGATAGATTGCATCTCACTCAATTTCTCTTCACTGTGATTGCATTGCAGCTACCGGTCTGACTTAGGCAGTTCACATCTCAGATGGCAACAAATCGTGAGGAGCAGTTCCCTGCTCCTGTTCAGGCTCCTCCTGATCCCCCAACCATTCATCCGTCGTTCATTCAGGTTCCCCATCCTTACATTTGCGAGCAAACAATCCAGGCCTCTTTACTTACATTGGGTGTGGACACATCAAAAGAACAGATACTGTTACACGGTGTGCATTGGATTGATATGTTGCGGAGAGAACTGCAGCTGTATAGTTCACCTGTAAGCTCAAGATAAATTACCTTGCTAACTGAGATATCTAGTCCCTACAAAACTTTCTGCACTGCCGCAATGTACTATCACCTGTTTCGATTGAACTACACAGATTCTGAGAACAACTTCTTGGTAATACCTCTTGGGTATCTGTTCAAAGTCTTTGTCTAATATATGTATATTAGGATGCCGTGTCAGCAGCTTTATTCACTGCATGCAAGGTTGAGGATACACTCAAAAAGTCTCGCGATATTGCGTGTGCAGTCCACAATCTCAAACTACCTCAGAAAGCCCATTTGCAACCAGATGATCCAGAGCTTGAAACCAAGTCTCGAAACATTATTGGACTTGAACGACTCATGCTGGAAGCATCTGCTTTCGACTTCCGCTCACGTCACCCTCAGGTGATTCTCATGACATTGGCCAAATGTGTGTACAAACTAGATCCGGAAGTTACTCGCATGGCCTATCGCATCTCACTGGATCTCTTCCGAACCTATGCTCCACACAAGCAGTCAACTGCATCACTAGCGTTGAGTTGCCTTGAGCTTGCATACCTGCTGATGGATAAGCCCAAAGATGGAATTGTATGGGGAAATATCTACCACGACTGCCAAACAAACCGCCAAAACATTCTAGGTAAGCTTATTCGTCACATAATACTCTTGTCGAATTTCGAAAATTATTCTCTGCGATACTTTGATAATAATCTAGCATCAACACAGAAACCATTTTTGATCTCCTTGAACTTTACACTCACCACCGCCCGCTCACCGACGTCGGGAATCAGTTTCCACCCGAGAGGTTTCTCACTGTCCGGATCCCTCTCAACGCAGAGGCTGTAGCAGGCAACATCCCGCGACACGCATGGTCAATCCGGAAACCCAAGGACCTTGTCAAGCCAATGGAACATCCACTGACTGCCGTCGCTGCCAATGGCGATCGCTATAAGCAAGATGGTGGCCCGAATGCTGCTGTACGATATATGCTTGATTTCTACAGTGCCCAGACTGAGCAGGAAACTGTTTCGAATTATTTCAAAGATCTGGAAGAGTACTGGTCTGAAGGTTAGTATTTGCTTGAATAACGAGTGGAATGAGATGCAACGACCAGTGACGACAATTTGATACCTCACACGATAGAAAAAAAATGATACTTAACTATCAAAAACGACCTCAATCAATTAATCCTGTGGGGTTTTCTTGACACAGTCAAGTGCGAACACTGTACCGCATTTCTTCTGTTAGGAACTCGATTGACCAGCATTATAGGGATATGTATAAGTTGTAGTAGAAGTTTCATTATGCAAGGCGGCAGCTTCAGTATCTGAATTGAAAGATATGTACAAGGTTTAATAGTCCAGATCCACTGACACTCAAATCCAACAAACCAAGGCCGCACTAATTGCAAGCAGGCAAAAAACAACGATAATTGTATCTCCTTCTCTCCAAGTCATGCCGTGCCATGAGCACCGCTCCCATAATCCCAATCGAGTAGTAAAGACCTAAAGGCGGCGCGAATTAATCTAAGACAAAACTTAAGCCCGGGCCAAATGCAGATCAAGAGCCAAGTATGAGAAAGACACAAAAAGAAAAAGGAAGAAATAGAATAAAATACTAGAAAAACGAAACAGCCATGAATCGACAACAACTATCATCCCTATATTTTGAGGGGTTGAAAGGGCAAGGGTAGAAGTGTATTATCACGTCATGCATATGAGAAATAGGTATAGGTGGGGACCAGGAAACAGATGCGAAACCGTTGTGAAGTGCGAGAAAGGAAGTGAGATGGACGTGGAATTGACCATTCGAGGAAATTGGGACAGGGTATCCTCGTGGCCAAATGTGAGAAAATGAATAAAATTTGTGAGACAGGTTTTACAATGGCAGCCACACAGGACTGAGTTCATCGGCGTTTCAGCTCAGTAGCGAGGCAGTCCAGAATCTATGACAGTTAGTCGGATTGAAAGAATACTGTAGGATATTAAACAAATACATACACCCTCTGAAACAGCCCCTTGGTTGTAGAGATATTTGCTGAGACCTCGGACAACCTCGAGCTGTTCGTCAACAGTCATGCCATTGATGACGGTTTCGATAACATCACCGACGCTGGCCTTGTGAGTGGCAATGAAGCTGTGGTAGTACATGAAAGCGAAGAAACCCATGATGAATTGGCAATCCATACGGTCAGTGATACCACCGTGTCCGGGGATCGACTCGCCAAAGTCCTTGATCTTGAAGGTACGCTTCAACCCAGAAGCAAAGAAGCCACCAAAAGGAGCAATAAGGGATGCAAAGGTAGCGAATCCCAGAATATGGAATTGAATGGGTTCAACGTAGAAAGTCTTGTCTAGACCAAGCCATTCAAGAGAGTATGCCTGCGGGATGAAAACAGGATTGGGGACACATTCAAGGCCAGTCAAGACGTTCGCTCCTAGATCATTAACTGGGCAAATGAAGTACTTATACCGCATGAGGATGTTGGTCATGAAAAATCCGAATCCAATGGTGCAGATCCATGCGCCAATGAAACCCTCAACGGTCTTTTTCGGAGACAGCTGGATCAACTGAGTGCGGCCAAAGGTGATACCGCAAACATAGGCAAAGATGTCATTTGTGATCACCAGCGAAGCGGGAAGGAAGAACCAAATCATGCCCTCGAAGATGTTGTTCATCACGAAGTGGGCCTGAACTACAATCAAGTAAAGCGCCATATGTGTCCAGGCGAACTGGGTGAACTGGAATCGGTAGTGGCCTTTTTGCAACGATCCAACAAAAAACACAAATCCTGAGAATAAGGGGTTAGAACGATAATCATCAAGCTGTATGGGTTGTCAAAAGTCACCTACCCATGACGTAAAGAGTAAAGCTGATGAAACGGTGATGAGTTGCCAGAGGCAAAAGGACCTTATCCACTAGCAGGACATGCTTGAAATAGTAGATAACGCTCTCGCCGTATAAGAAATACATGGTCGACGCGAGGAAATACCAGTTCAGCGACTTGGTAAATTTGAGGTTTTTTTCCTTGCTGGGTACAGTGGCAATGGCAATAACTTCCTTGAACGAAACAACCTGAACAGCAGTGACGATACCAATGATATAGATGTGCCCCGAGAACATGGCGATGAAGAAGCCCGCAATCATAACGAAGGTCCATATTGTCCGCGTAATGAATGTTTGTTTCTTCTTCTCGTATTCGGACGGGGCAGGTTTCTAATAAAGGAGAAAAGAACACATCAGTCAAATGATATAGAAAGATGATTTCACTCAATACTAACATCTTCAGGGATCGTGGCTGACTTGGAGACGCCATTTTTGCTGGGGCTGGAGGGTTCCGAGATAGCATCGCTGACGTCGGAGGATACGCTCAGCCGCCGCTCACCCTGAGACAGGTGTGGGAACTTGACATTACGACGGCGAGATGATGACTTAGTCATGATGGGGTGGAGTGAAAAAGGGAAAAGGAAAAAGGGGGAGTTGAATTTGAAGTCAGAATAGATGAGATTTCAAGAAGCAAATGAAGTTCAACATGTGAAGGACACTGAAAGCGGTCAGAGTTCTGTTGAGATTGATATCTGGAGATTCCGATGCACCGCCCTCCCCCGGATTTCAATTTTATTCCTACTGCCTTCAACCTCAACCCTACCAAATATGAAAATGATCCTGTGATAATATACATAATAAGAATTGAATTTTCTTTCTCCTTCACGGAGTAAACTGCCTCGCATCTTCCTCTCTATTCTATTCATGGCTGGGTTATGGAAGACAACGACGATGATTACTTCTCCGACGACTTCGATTCTTTGCCTCCGGCTACATTGTTCGAGTTGGAGCAAAGTGCTTGGCAAGCAAGCCAGGCCCCAGCGACACAGCAATATGTTCAACAAGTCATAAACAACACGGTTCTCCCAGCAGGGGTGTCGGCTCAGCGGTCCGAGGCCTTGAAACAACCCCCTCGGTTGCATACCGGATTGACGAATGACTATGATACGTTAGAAGTGGGTGAACTGGAAGCAGAGGTGCATGGCAGTTTGAATGGTTTGTTGGCTGTTCCGCAGAGTCGTCATATTCTGGTTGCCGCCGAGGATAATGCGTGGCCTGTCAATGGCGGAATGAACGATACCATGGAGATCGACGACTATACGCAGGGCCATGCGCGTCTCAAGCAGGTAACTCGAATTCAATCCAGCAATACCCATCGCAGGTGCTAATGAAGTTCTTTCAGCTAGAGCGGGAAAATGATCAGATCCAACTCGAGCTGGCTGAAGCCAAACAACTGATTGAAACAAAGACAGGAGAAATTGCGATCATCCGCGCAAAGCAAACCAGAGTGATGGAAGGTTACGATCAACAACTGGCAGTCTTACGAAAGACCTTAGCAGACGAAGCCGCCAAGCATAAGCAAGAGGTTGAGGCGGCAACAGCAGAAGGAAAGATGCTCGCAACAGAAAATATCTTCTTACAGCAAGACTTAGCAGAGGAAGCGCACCAACTGCGCGCTTTCAAACAGCGTCAGCAGAATGATGGGAAAAACTTGCCAGTTACTCCCAGAAAATCTCGCCTTCTATCTTTCCGCGATGGATTCGACGATGAGGAAATGGCTGCGGTGTCACCAAGTAAATCAGCAAGTCGATCGAGGCGAGCTACTTCGGTAGTATCTGGCAAAAGGAAACGGCACCCAAGTCAGGATAGTGCAACGCGACTGCAGTTGAGTCCTGCTGCAGATAGGATGATCGTTGATCCTACTCCTGTCAATATCTCTGGATTTTCTAACCAACGTGAGCTAGTGCAAGGGGACCTCAAGGACTGTCAATTAATGAAGCGATTACTGAATCACCGGATGGTTCCCAACCAGGAGACAGATATTGAATCAATGGGAACTGTTTACTTTCCTTCTGAACCAACACGACCTATAGCGAGAATTGTCTTGGAGAATATGGCTGCTCTCACAATGGGCAGCTGTGTGGTGGAATATATGCACACGATCGGCCCACTCTGGCAACGTGCTTTGACAGAACGCTTCTACGCTCCGGTGCCCCGATTTGCGGCCATTGTGCGGTCTGTCTTAGCGATCCCTGAAGTGCCATTCTCTGAGCTCGTCACCCCTCTCGTACCTGCATTGCAAGATTGTGTTGAGGTCAATGCGGTTCCTCGGTTCAAGTATAGTCCCGCTGCGCGAGACAAAGCACGGTCAATTCGTCAGACACCACAGTCGGACCTACAACCCACAGTCAATTCCACCGACGCAATGCGCTTGCTATATCATATCGCGTGTGAGCTGCTACATATCAAAGCTGCTCTTGACAGCTTTTGGCGCAACATGCGTCATACTTTCGTACTGTTGATGCTTCATGGCTCGCAAGTCCTTGATGACATCGTTCTAGTCGTACACCTATTGTCAACCAGTATTCGACCTGACTCATTTGGACCCATCATGTCCTCTGATGTGGAACAAATTGATGTGCAGAAATGGATTGTCAACCGGCTGACCTTCATGCTTAGTGAGCCGGTGCAACCAGACGAGGGTATGCAGCCCTACACGTCACACGACATCTGTGCAATGCGTCTCGAGGTTTTACTGCTGCTGGAGTTACTGGCATTCAACCCTGCGGCTCCATCTCGAGAGCACGGAAGTATTATTATTGCAACTCACCCAACTTCATTAGCCCGTTTGTTCAGGTCGATGCACGACGAGTTAGATGTCCTGTACTCTTCGCCTCCGGAACAGGAATTGCGTGTTTCACTCATTAATGGGATGATGCGGCTGATCTTCGGCATCATGCGCCGCCATGGAAACTCGATCAACCTGTCCGAGAAACTCGCCGGCATCCCTGGCGGCAAACAGAAGCATTTGGTCGTTCTTACACGGCTGGCATTTTGCGATGGTACTGTTCTAGAGGCTGGTATTGATGATGAAACAGTCGACATGGCGCATGAGCTGCTAGAGGAGTGGACAAACCCGCAAGAAGCTGAGTCGTTAGCAGAGGCATTTCCCAGCTCAAGGCGGGACTGAAAAAAGATGAATGCCCTTTTCATGTGAGAGTTTGTATGAGTGAGTATACGCGTAAATTTAGCAAGACATGGCGCTTTGCAGGGGGCTTGGAGTTTGATTAACTGCATGAATGTGGTTTATGAGATCTACGAATTCTGAGATACCATTTACTACCACAATTATATATTTCTACTTCTTTTCCAAATCACCTTGTAGTGAACTTTCCATTTCAATTGATATTTATTGCTGTAAGCTCTTCTTGAAGCCTTATTTGTGAGGCATCAAGGAATCATCTAGTCACGTGATGTGCGGAAGATTTGGGTGCAACGACTGAATGGCCTGCTGAATCTAAGAAGAACGGCTAACAAACATTCCTCTCCACCATCCATTTCACAGAGTCCTTCATCATCATGAGGAACAGGGCCAGCAACACTTTATCTAAAGGGGTATGATCAATTGGTCTCTTGCCAGGCATATCAAATCAAGACGAATGAACTGACCGTATTAGAAAATCCGTCAATCATGGAGTAAGTACAACTTGTATAACCTACAACGATTCCGCTCCCCGGCCACATCGAATCGCACATTCTTCCAGCAAAAATGGTCCGCAAAGGCCATCTCCCGTGCCTACCACGGTGAACAGGTCCGCGAAGGCCAATGGAAGCGCATGTTTTCTCGCCGCCTCCGCAGCGTCATTCCCATGAACACTGCCGAATTGGCTGCCGATGATGGATCAAAGGAGTCTTCTGGCCGTGGATCTGGCTTGGAGAAACTAGGTCGCGATGCGACATCTCCTCGTATCATTCCTTTCACTCAAATGGCATTTGCTCCCCTGGAGCGCCGGCTGGATGTCTCGATCTTCCGAGCGTTGTTCGCCAGTAGTACTCGTCAGGCAAGACAGTTTGTGATTCATGGAGCAGTTACAGTGAATGGGCAGAAGGTTTGGAATTTCCACAAGACCTAAGAACTGAGGTGGATGGTCGAACTAATTTAATTGTCTCTAGATGCGCCACCCTAGCTACCTACTGAACCCCGGTGATCTCTTCCAAGTCGACCCTGAGCGTGTCATGTATGCCACCGGCACCCCAAAGACCAAGTTCGAGCGTCGTGAAACGCGTCAATTGAAGCAAAACGATGAGGAGAATGAGACGAAACCGGAGCCTACGGAAAACAAAGAAGAGACTGAAGACTCTCGGGATACTCTCAAGGCCTTGATGGCGCAAGCCAAAAACATTATGTCTAAGGACAAAGAGATTCTTCCAGCAAAGCGCAAGCAAGAACTCCGAGGATTCCAGAAGGCTGTTCGTCGCGTGCTGTCTCGCTCGGTCAACAGCACTATCTTGACTGACAGCTTGGAAGCCCAATTTTCTGAGCTTACTCTTATGTTAAACGCTAAGCGGACCGAGGAGAAGCCAAAAGAGAAGAAGCAGGAGGCCAAGGAGCAGCCTAAGCAACAGGAGGCTAAAGCTGTGGAGCAAGCATCAGGTGAGACGGCCAGTGATAAGCTCTCAAAGGCATTCGAGAAGGTCGCAAAGGGCGAGGAGATCGATGAATCTTCATTGACAGACGCGGAGTTCGACGTTCTCAAGCGTGCTCTTACTCAAATGCGCGACAATCCCATCGACTCCAGCAAGCCCTACGCCACTCCTTGGCGCCCACGTGACTATATGTCCGCTTTCGCCTTTATCCCCCGCTACCTTGAAGTTAACCAGAACATCTGCGCGGCTGTATATCTGCGCCACCCTGTTGCACGCCCCGGTTCGGCCGAGGTGCCCACTCCCTTCGGTGAGGCAGTCAGCACTCCAGCCTACGGCTGGTACTTGAAGAGACGGTGGTAGAGCAATATGATCATGATTAGTTGATAACTCTGTCATTTGTTTCTTTCTTCATCTCCCTGCCCGTGGGTTTATTACTGGACTTTTGTTATTTTCCCTCTCTTCCTGCATATCGCCTCTGGTGCACACCAATCGTCCGCTTTCATTTAGTTGTCTGATCAGGGAAAGGGCGCCTTGATTGAGACCTTGTTGACCATGGTGTTGGTGCTTTGTTTTATTATTCTTCTTTATAGTAGAGTTATTATGCTCTACCGTGTATCACCATAGCCATGATGGATTGTAAACTGATATATCAATGCCAAAAATTCTATTATCTCATAATATATTTATCAACTTCCCTGTATACATACTCGCGCAGGGTGATTTCTTGAAATATTGAAGGGTCATCCTCTGAGAGTGAGATTTGAAATTATAAATTTGGAGATTCATGAGATGCTGTATGAATCTAAGGTTCTCCGACTTTGAATGGGGATTGGGAGTTCAGTACTAAATAGGGTAACTCCTTGAAGGAAGATAAAGCCCCGTGTATCATCTAGGCAGTGGATTACTTGTCTTACGTCCATAATTGGTGCGCGGTGGCTAGCTGAACTACTTATATAACTAAGTATTTCTTAATTTTACATAATCTATAAAGATGCTCAGTTACTTAGTATCAAATTAATACAACTGAATCATCACCAAAAGAGGTCCTGCAAACAAATCTTGGAAATGAATTCCACTCACCTAAATGAAAGATTGCGTCAAATATTCATATAAATCAGTAGTGCTTGCCGACTCAACGATGACTTGCCATTCATTCATGGCTGAGACTTTGAATCTCAGTGGACCAGGTTCCATTCCCAGTTCTTGTTCTTTAGTTAAGCACATATTTTTGAGAAGCACGTTGACAAACTGAATTTCGTGTCTAAGTGGGTGTAGAGATTGATCGGAAAAGGTGCCATCACGGATCGAATCTAGATATTCCTTCTGGCAACTTTCGTCAATTTCCTCTTTAGCAGACTTTAGCAGCTGGAAGACCGACTGTAAAACCCCTTCTAAAACAGCATGGGGGAGTATAATGTCATCCTGACAGACTTCTCGTGCTTTTTCGTGCAGGTTCTTTGCGAGGAGAGCCAAGTGGTGCAGCTGTCCTCTTAGTGGTTCAGGGTCAATAGTTATCGCTTCATTTTTAAGACGATTAGCAATGTCACTGCATCCCTCAAGGATCACAGCCTGGAGTAACCAAAAAGTTCTGAGCTCTCGTGAATGTGCCATTCTGTCTGTAACAGTGTTGTCTGACATGGCTAGACTAGTGTGGATGAAGAACAATCTTTTAATATGAAAAGCCAAAGGCTTGTGTGATGAAGGTCAGAGATAAACTCAGAACTCTTGATTGATACTGATTCTGAGCACAGTAGAATGTATTTATACCCCATTCGAAGGACTATAAATTTCCTCAATCGAGTTGAAAGAAAGGATTGAGAACAAAGCAAAGGAAAACAAAAATCACCTTTGTGATCAAAGATACATATAGGGAGCTATTTTAATGTACTTTACTTATTTAGTCATCTGTGGCATTGTCCAATTCTTTGAATGGCAAAATTCCAGCTCCTTTCACGAGTTTTCTCGAGCACCTTCTTTAATCCCCAAATTTCACTTTTTTATCAGCGCAGTCTCAAGTATTTTTTTTCGCTCTTTCCCTCATCAATATTGATAATCACTTCTTGAATCAACCTACGATCTACTTTACGAACTACCCAATATTCTTCTCATTACGAGACGGTTCTCACCCGATTTCGCCGTAGTGAATAGCCCACGAGAAAATCCCTATAAAACAGTCAGAATCATACTACGAGATGGTGAAGATAGCTCTCACTCGGTCTCGACATAGACCAGTTTACTCGTGCCAAAGACCTGGTCCCACCAAAAATCGAGTCTTATTCATCAGTTTCATAAGATTGACACTATGATCTGAACTTGAGATACACTACCAAGGTGAAACGCTTCTTTTATCTGTTGATATCGAGGACGGCCATGTATTTCAGGATTACACGGACTTTCATGAGAATCTAGACTTGAGAGCCCATAATTTGATATTTGTACGGTCCACTTCACTTGTGAGCATCTGAAAGTCCAAAGTTCTACTCCTTTAAATTGTGTCCGAGCTATAGAGACTTCTCCTCATCCGGACTCGCGTCACTCATCCCTCGATCTTGAAGAGTTGAACTCTCTGGCACTCTGCCTCTTATGCCTGCCTTCTCTGTCCCATGCGCACAGAGAACCGGCCTAGGCTCACCTACCTACAGAATCAAGTTCTATCCTATCAGTTTCTGGTTATCGTGAATGTACTCCACCTTGTGTTCGAAAACCTGCATCTCACATATGTTTAGAGAAAAATTACCCATTTGACTTCTATACCCATCTACTTCTGCTAACACCTATTTATACCTATATTTACAGAGTTTCGTAATTTCACACGTCATAGGTAAAGTTCTAGAATAATAGAACTAGGACCAATAGATTCAAATACATAGACCATTTCTCAAATTTATATCATCTGTAGCAGTGAATGTGTAGTAAAAAGTGGATCGCAAATCCCACTGAAATTACGCGACTAGAATTTGCAGAAGATTTGCAGAAGATTTGCACTTGATCCCCGCAAAATCCGTGTATATTTATACTTACTCTACATCGAGATTGACCTTGAAGCCTCAATCGTTCACAAATCAATGGTCAGGTATGTTATGATGTATGATGTCCATACCTCGGCAATATAGCCCCTCACAATCCAACACACCGCCCCAACAACTACAGAGCAACAACTTCGACCTTCTCGTTCCAACTGCTCCACAATACCAATCGATAGGAATTACAAACTCTATACAGTCTATGGCAGGCACACAACATGAGTTCTCCAACTCTCATCGCCCTCAGGGGGTTAATAATATGGGTTCCACGTCCAATCTGCGCAGTAGTGTACCGCCATCTCTTTCTGTGCCGATGGTTGTCATTAGGAATAGCGGAATGAACAATACCTCAGCGGGTAATGCAGTTGAAAGCAACAGAAATCAAAACCCACATTGCGAGACAGAAGTACTTACAGATCGAGATATCTTCTACATGCCTGTGGGCGCACAAGCTAGTAGGCAAGATATCCTCGCTACCGATGCTTATACATCCGTGAGGGAGATGCGAGGTATGAAGCGTGAGCATCATGACGGGGAAGAGAGTCAGGGTGCCCGAAAACATAGCAAGCGACTCACGACGAAGGAGGAAATATCACTTTTTGAGATTTGCAATAACCACGCAGGCGGATTTGGAAAGCGAAGTGATATATGCAATTGGTGGAAGAATATTGCAGAGCAGTTTGCGTTGGTGAATGGGAGACCATATTCGTGGCATTCGGTGCGCAGGAAGGTGGAAATGGCAACGAAACAGAGAGTCAAGTTCTTGGAAGAGCAGCAACAACGACAACATGGTCTTTCTCCTGATATTCCCGCTAAAGACATTATGAATCCCCAGTGGGTTGCTGTTCTCGATACTTGGATTCCTACCTGGCAGCGGTGGCTGGAGGCTGAGACAAGGCGGATTGCGAAGCGAGATGAGATGCTTCGAAGACGGTCTGTTCCCAAACCTGCAGGTGGGCTTTGGAAAGCTTATGACCCAGCTGTTCATGTTGGGATGAACTCTCCTGGTAGCCCTGCGCTTCCAAAGGAGAACACGACATCTGCTGCTCAAATGACAACCTACTCAGTAACTACTCCTGTTGCCAGCGCGAATACACTCAGCAAACCTTCCACCTCATTTTCAAGTGGTGTTAAACTACCTCCTGGGTTTGAGACAATGTTTTCCAATTTTACTCAGCCTACGAGACAGCCTGCGCCATATATACCTTTACCACTATCTGAAGCACTGGGATCGGGATCGGGATCAGCTTCGGGTTCGGGCTCATTAGATCCAACCCCACCACCAGATACCCACCCGATAACCGCGATTGATACCATAGGCAAACTGAAAGAACACCATTTCGACACACCCTCAGGCGACAGTTCAGACCCGCGCTCTTCTCCAGTCATCTCAGCATTGATACAAGCATCCGAACCAGCTGAGACCGAATCCTCTCGTCAAGCAATACAATATGAACCAGCCGCTTCATACAATTTAAATTCGGCAGATCTTTATCGAATGAAGGAGGAGCTACGCAAGGAGATCAAAGCTGAACTGCGCCAGGAACTATACGATGGTCGGGGTGCGCTGGAAGAGAAGCTCGACTCGGTACAAAGAACCCAAGATATGATTCTTGATATGTTGAGACAGGAACCTACTTGAGGTGCGAGGAGTCTCGGCATGCTAGGGTTATTTTTTTTTGTCGCGAGCTTATTATTATATTATATGTTATGATACCCCCCATATGCATAAGACGTGAATACAATAATCACAAGATTTTGATTGGTTTTCAAGTAAAATAGTTTTTAGATGTTCTTAAACTTTATAACAGCCGGATTGCCCAGCTTTTCCTACTCCATAGACTCGATTCTTCACGGCAATATCTCCGAGAGATCGGGGGACAATTCAAGTCGTCTAATGCTATGAATGTAAAAAAAAAAGAGTAAAATCCAAATCGAGGATGATCACAATTTGCTCTACTCTAGAAAAAAACAGGTACAAACACAAGAAAGAGCAGTCATCGGCTAAATTACAGAAATAATGATAGAGAACCAAGATGTGCGAGGTATCTCATCTCTCTCTTTCTCTCACTCTCGCGAGGAAAGGACACCTCAATTTGGAAACAAAGACCGGTCTCCCTATAGCCCCAAGGCCCAAAACTTCAAGGCTTAAATGATGTTATATGACCGGTCACGCAAAATTCTTTCCATTAAGAAGTCTAGTAGTAGAAAGTCTCGTCGACGGTACGGCCACGCATCCACTTGGGCTCGGATCCACGGACGTAGATGTCCTCGTAGAGGATACGGTTGGTGTTGTCGGGAGCATCCATTTGCTCGGCCTCGACGACCTCGGCGTCGACGGCGGCGCGAGCCTCCCTGTCAATGGTCTTGAGCTCCTCATCGGAGGTGACACCCCACTCGAGGATCTTCTGCTTGAGTCCGGCGATAGGGTCGTTGGTGCTACGCATGCGCTGGATCTCCTCACGGCTACGGTAGGTGGTACCAGGGTCGGACATGGAGTGACCGCCGTAACGGTAGGTGACGTACTCGAGGACAAGGGGACCCTTGCCAGAGACAGTGTAGTCCTTGCTGTACTGGACGGCGGCCTTGGTGGCCAAGACGTCCATGCCGTTGACCTTGAGACCAGGGATGTACTGACCACGCTTGTAGTACTCGGTCAGGGCGGAGGAGCGGGCGGCGGATGTACCCATACCGTACTTGTTGTCTGGAGGAAGTGTTAGATTTCTCGTAGTTCATTAAAACACCGATGAATTGGTTAAAACATACTCTCACAACCAAATAGGACAGGGAGGTTCCACAGCTTGGCCATGTTGAAAGCCTCGAAGACTTGACCCTGGTTGGAGGCACCGTCACCGTAAAGGACGATGCTGGTCTGGGGCTCCTCGTTGTATTGCTGGGCAAAAGCCAGACCAGCACCGACGGGTACCTGAGCACCGACAATACCGTTACCACCAAAGAAGCCCTCGGCGAACATGTGCATAGAACCACCCTTTCCGTAGGCGATACCTTCACGGCGGCCGAGCAGCTCACCAATGATGGACTTGACGGTAGCACCGCGCATCAAGGCGAAACCGTGGCAACGGTAAGAGGTGATAACATTGTCCTTGCGGTTGATAGCATGCTCGATACCGACTGCGACAGCTTCCTGACCAACAGACAGATGGCAGAAACCACGAATCTTCTTCTCCTTGTACAGACGATCGGCAGCCAACTCCATACGTCTATAATTGAACGCGAATTTCAATGGTTAGAGCTTTTTCAAAAGAGTCAAGAGGGGAAGAAAGGGAGAGCATACCTAATTGTGACCATGTCGCGGTACATCTGCTTCAACTCGGCCTTAGTGGTTTCCAGGGTGTATGGGGGAGGGTCGAGCTCGTAGGTCTCGAAGCTCTCATCGGAGAGGTGAACGGTGAAGGGCTTGTCATCTTCCTGTAGCAGCGCAAGTCGTTCACATCAGCATTAAGGTCCGGCGAGCCTTGAACAGCTTTTTCAAGTTTTCCGGACGGGGTCTCAACAAACCTGCGGGATGTTCTCGGCGTGCGACGACGCGGCGTCGGTAGTCACAGAACGGCGGACAACAGGGGCAAAGGCCTGGCGGCGCAGAGGCGCAGCCTGGCGAGCTGCAACGCGGAAGAACATGATTGCAGAAGAAGCCCAATTGAGAGTTGAGTATGGAGGGGAGAGGTCTGGTTGTCGAAGCTTTCCCAGTCCAGAGGATGTTGGGAACAAACTTTCCCGATTACTTAAGCCTTCCCGTTCGGGTGCTGCCGGTGTAAACCCAGTTGCAAACAGACCAAACCCTACAAGTATATGTAGTATAGATGAGGTACAAAGAAACTGTGCCTAAAAAATAAGTGGGATAGGGCCACCGTAGAGAGTTATTGCGTGGAAAGCAATTTACTCAGTAGGTTTTGGACAAAGTATTATGTCATAGGATTGGTTGCCCGATGAACCATTTCGATGAACCATATCAACAGGGCTCATTGAACATTCTGGCCATTGCTCTAATTTGAAAGTCTGGGAGAGCTTGTCAATGGTCAGAAGTGGAGTCCAACCCTTCTATTTGTCGTCCGATATATCTGGTATTGATCCAGACCAGTCCGATTAGCTAGTTGGCTGGAGGCTGGAATCGTGGTAGGCAGGGTGTTTCTCAATGCACAGATACTCCACTATAAAGCTGGGAGAGGTACCCAGCGGGTACCTAGGTACTTGGCGGATGTCATTGGGTAATAATGTCACCTGGGCACTCTAGATGACCGCTTTATTAGACACAGCACGGAGTACGGAGTACATATGTACAACAGATCTTGAGCTACCCCTCCAAATCGGAACTGAATAGAAAACTTGGAAGGCAAAGACCGATCATAACTGGATGTCTTGAATTATCTGATCTTTCAAATTCCAAGGTTCTATTTCTCTCATATCACTCTCGTTTTCCTACCTCAATGTCTGACATCTTCAAGCCTCACTAGGCAATTGCAAGAACTTAGATACGTAGGATATTAATCTGCACCGGTATTTTTTCAGCCAGGCGTACTCTCCAGGCCTCTACTCTAATAAAGGGGTCTGAGTGTATACCTAGTTCCGTGACTCCCCGTAATGCTCCATATTTTGCGGAGACATGGCGTGTACCTTTAGTTTATTAAATTAGAGCAGTATGGAGTACAATACGAGTAACATCAGAGACACAGGTTGATACAGAATGGGGCTGAAGGAGATTCAAGTCCAGAGCTTCGAAGAAATGAAAATGAAGATGAAGAAAATAGAGTGAAACGTTTCGGTAGAAGTCTCCACAGATGGATGCACTTGGACTAACTCCACTGTCAAATTGGAGTCTGGACTTATCTGGACTTCTCCTCTTTCATATTCCATCAACTGATGCCAAAATCATATATTATGTCCATGACTCGGGCTTGTCAGGCTTCCAAGCACTTTTGATTCAATGATCTTAACCATTTTGATATTTATGCCACGGTTCAATCTACTTAGGTAAGTACAATCCCAGTGCCTGTCATCCTAGGTACATCGTAATAGATAACTCTTCTGATAGTCTAGGATAAGCTGCATCAATAGTTGTAACCTTACGTTTCATTACATGCGATAAATGAGTCATTCATTACATATATGCACCTAGTCACTAGGTAAATATATTTAAATATTGAGGTAGTTACAGCCTTACAAAATTAGAGTCAATACAGAATCCATGATAAATGCTCAGATGTGAATTCTTCATACTTCGACTTCAAGGTATAAAACTTTAACCACAAACACGGAGCACGAGTTGTCCCCAGAGACCGTGGACCACACCTGTCAAATTCCGACAAGGGACAAGCGTCCACTGTGGACCTCAGGGGTCTAGGGGGCTGAAACACGGAGGTATTCAATCTGGTGCATATGAGAGACGATCGAGTCGGAGTATAGACGGATAACCGGAGTATGTATTATGATACAACCCACTTACAAGTTCCAAGGTTTCGATAACTAACAATTTGAGATGGCCAATAATTATCTGATAATTAAAGTAAAATACATACCAAGTACATACGAGTGGGTAATTTGACCCACTTTTTATTTCGGAACATTCTATCTTATACCAAAGCTTCATCAAATTGTAATGAAACCAATAAAAAAAACTATGAAATCTGTCTCTTCTATGACCAGTCTATCTGCAGATACTATATCTGGATAGACGTTGGTGACGTCAGGAATGAGATTGACTTTGGTGGCCAAATTGAGTGTTATTGGCTTCTAGAGTATCTATCGAAGTCTCTAGAAGCCATCAAGCTTTCAAGGATTTTAAATCACCTTGAATAGCCATCTGGTGATTTGGATGTTCTCTTTTCTAATGTGGTTTTATTTAATGCGTGAATAGCTTTGTTTTCCTGGCGGAGAATAGCAATATCTTGGTAATAAGTTAATGGAGAATTTGCACCCTTATAATTTGCTCTAAAGCTGTTAAGAAGAACGCTTGCGCTCGCTTCCTGCACGTAGTCCAAAAGACCATTATGTTCTTCCTCTCAGAATAACATGCGCAAACTCCACTAATATATTAATCCGATCCTACACTAAACATCAATCTGAATATCAGTTTTTGTCCGGCGATTAATCCGTGACAAAAGCTCTTGGGGTAGAAGGGCTTCGCGAAACTGTACGACATAATTATGTTGTCGGCGTAGATACTTCGATGTTTTCGGTGTTTTTAGTGTATAATCTTGACTTAAATTGTTTTCTAGTAGTGATGGCGTATGCAATAAAATATATTAAGCGTTAAGAGCACTCGATTGGGATCAAAAAATGAATTCTAGAAGGTGAAGATGCTGGAAGCAGATCTAATAGCTTTTATGTGCGCGACAAGGTAGATTTCAAGAAAATATGCTTTTTTTGATACTGCCGAATCAAGCGCCATTTTCTAATTGATTAGGCGAGAATATTATCGTTTTAGGAACGCAAAATAGCCTATATCCAACGGTTTTCAAAGATGGGATGAATATATTGGTATGTAAATTTGATCAAATTTAGGTATAAGATGGCTCCTATAACCATTCAAGACCAAAAGACAATATTTTCCTGTTTTATAAACAATTAGTAGCAGGAATAAGAACTTTTGTAGCCGTTGAAGCCCTATTTCGTCTAACGTCTTGCTATTTGGACTAACTTTAAATCGCTAGTCTTCTGGAATCTATAGATCTTCATGAAACCAGACCTTTGAAAGATTAGGTACAGAGTTAAAGCTAAACCATTCGTGAATAATGATAAGATCTTCTTATTTTGCCCAATTGAAAATACTAATATCTTGAATAGCGAATCAGTGTTTTTGAAATTTCCGATCCAATGTCGCCCATATGTACTTTGTAGGTTGGTTCCATGATCAGCAAGTAGTAAATTAGCAATAGTACCGACATCAGAATGGCTAGGAGCAGCTCTACAGTTATCTAAAGAGAGAATCCAACTAGATAGTGTTTCTCTTCAGTTCTAGTCAATTTACGACCATTTGTGCGTTTTTCAGAGCAATGTTTGACACCAGAAGTACAGCGTTAAAGGACTGAAAGAGTGACATCAAACGTAAGCGCATCTTGGTAAATATTGAGTTTCGCCATTCCGAGTAGCTTTGATAGCTAAGAAGATCTTCCCCTCCTGATCAACCCGTTTTTGAGCTTTCTGAGAAACTGTTGTTGGCATGGCGGTTGAAAAAGGAAACATGTAAGTGACGCGTAAAATTTACGGGATTACCCACTCGGTTGTATTACCCACTCGGTTGTATTTTACTTTATCAATGGGCACAACAAGGCTTTGACAAAACAAAGAAAGGCGGGACTTGAATATCCAGTTTTCCAATAACAGGAAACGTTGGCTGATATGATCAAGTCTATTCGGAAATTATTGCTTATATCATCGGTGTATACTTCAATGGTTATAGATCTATGAGTTCCAACTTCCCAGGTTGGAAGGAATACTTGGGTAGAATAAAGAACCCCGAATCTAGATCTGTTTACGGAGTACTCCATAATTACCGATGTCTTCCAAGATATGGATGATGGATCTGTACCTTAGTCCCAAGGGCTTGGAGCGCCACCAAGTAGTTCCAGTTTATGGCCAAAAGCCGATCAAGAGCATTTCTGGTATCGCCCCATTGAACCCCAAGAGGGAAAAAAAAAAAAAAAAAAAAAAAAAGGGGCGGGCCCAATATGTAGTTCATCTACTTGAATAGCCTTGAAAGCTAGGTTTGGGTAAAAACCTAGAAATATAATTTGTATAGTTTATAGATATAAGTCTTGATGCTATACCAATGGAAAGCAGGGATAGTGCGGATATCGGATCATTCAAGCTGTCATTGTGCCACGTTTTTTCATTTCCTTTCTTTTTTTCAATTCTCATGTTTCAGGGGAAGAATAAAAAGAGGATACAAAAAAAGGGATCCCAGACCCACGGATAGACATATGTCATCCATGGCTCGATCATTCGATAACCAGTTTGGTATTCTCAAGTGGACCCGATCTCTTATTTCTTCAGATGTGTTCACTCTCTTTGATTTCGTTAATTTCCCTTTTCTATTTAGTGGCAAAGCCAATTCTACTTTTTTTTTTGGCAAGTATACTTAGTATAGAGTCTAACCTTTTTACGATAGTGCCATCTTTCGCCCCTCTCCTTCCCTTTCTCCCTTCTCTCTCTACTACCTTTAACGCTAGTAATTTATTCTTTTTATTTATTTTATTTCTTATTATTTTATTCCTATTTTATACTTTCGGGGGCTTATTTTTCTGTTTTTTGCTACTCTTTCCCCCATCTAATCCGTCTCCCCCACCCCGATTGAACTTTCTCGGTTTCCTCTATGTGGAAACGACCTTCTCCCACGAATGCTGCTAGGGATGATTCACTTCGTCTTCCTGACATAGGCTTCCTAGGTCGTTCGAAGAAGAAAGCATTTGATCCTGGTAAGTCTCATTAGTCTCGCCTGCTCTGCTTGAAACCGAGACCTGTCGCATCATTGTTCATCGCATCATTGTTCATCGCACCATTTTATTTCCAATATTCCCCTTCCTCTTTTCCCCCTGATCTTCATACTTTCCATTTCCCATTTTGGACCCCATTCTTTATTTTGTATATTGGCAGTATGGAATCTCTTTCATGCCAGCCTTGAAACGTTTGGCCCCCCGCTAATCTCCTTCTGGTTGATCAGATTCCCAATCACAACTATCTGATACTCCTTCACGTTCTGGCTTTCGTCCCTTTCGATCTAGACGTGGTAAGCCAGACCACAGGGAGGACAACTTTGGCAGTACAACAACTTTGACCCGACCAAGAGCATCTACCATAGATAGTTCACATCGACCCGATTCCATCTACCCCGAATCAGAAGCTCTCCAACCGCTTCACTCCCAGCGGTCACTTGTCTCCTTCAATTCAAGATCAAGCAGACATATGGGCCCCATGGAGGTTGATCGTACCCGTACTCGGAGGGAGAGGACGTTTATCGGCAGTGAATGTGCCGTCTGCGAGGAGCCGCTAGAACATATCCTGCGAGGTGAACGTGTTCTGCAGCTTGCATGTAGCCATGTGTCCCACGAAGCATGTTTCTATGAATTTATCCGAGAATATGAATCGGAATACTGTCCGACCTGCAATGCGCCGCTGGCCCTGGACACTAGTCGTGGTGGAAATGTCTTGGATATGGGTTCGTTTTCTCCTTTTGTTTTCGATATTTATACTTCTTCAAATTTAATGAAGTTAGGGCTAATTGTTTTCTAGAGAAAATTAGTAATATTGTCCGCTCGGTGACGACGATGAGCGATACTGCCACAATGCGGAGTGTCTTAACAACCCCGGCAACTCCATGGGAACAGCCACCTCCATCCGTCCGAAAGCCAAGTGATGCCAGTAATCGGTATACCAACAATAACAGTAGTAACAACAGCAACCGAGATGATGCTCATCAATTCGAACAACAAAGTCTTGATGCCAACCAGCGGGAGCGGGAACGTGTTGAACCCCTGACCATCAATTCACAGCCCCGCCAACCTCATTCACGGAACGGAAGTGCAGCCGGCTCCTCAGGTGATTACCATGACGGACAGCATATCAGCACTGGACGACGCCACGATTATGATGTGCAAGCAATGGAATCTGACTTGAGTCCCCGCCCTGGGGTGATCAAAAACCCGATTCCTGCTCCGATTGTGACCGTGCGAAGTGAATTCCCAACTATGAACCGATCCCGTCACCAACAATCACTCACCTGTCTGATCACGGTTGAGGTGCCGGAGGGCAACTGGCTTCCCGATGCAGATGATCTTCAAAATCCTCCAGGTCAATCGCAGCCGGATGAGCCATATTCTGCGCGGTTTGGAGGCTCACAGGATGCTCGGTCTCCCCAGTATGAGCCAACAGAGAACATGGATGAGATTGCCGAGGAGTTGAAGAACCGAGTGGACAACTGGCATGGACTTGAATTCTCACGATTTGGCAAGCTGCGATTGCATGGCCAAATGCGTGTTGGCAAGGATCGGGAGTCATGGCAAGAGTTGGAATGTTATTTGTTTGCTGAGATGCTTATTTGCGTCAAAGAAAAGAAGGTCTCTTACAATGAGATGGGCAAACGAAAGCCCCGTTGCACGCTCAAGGGCTCTATCCTAATCAGGAAGCATTTGAAGTCCCTCGAAGCTGGCGTGGAAGAGCCAATTCTTTCGTTGAACTTGACTGTAACCGAGTTGCCCTGCTTTTTCTTACGCTTCAAGTCACGCAGCCAGCTCAACATCTGGCGCCGTGCTTTACTGGATCTGCATGTGGCGGAGAATCTGTCGCGCCAGAGTGATTTTGAGTTTGATACTTCGGCTGAAGAGGACGACTACCGGACCGGCCGAATTCAACGACAATCTTCTACCAATTCTTCTTACGGTGCAGCCAAGTCCAGCAAATCTGCCATCACTGATTACACTATACCGGATTCGGAGGCTCCTCAAATCCAGTCTTTCCACATTCCTATCGATGTTGTCGTTGTGATCCCCGTTTCTTCGTCCATGCAAGGTCTTAAAATTACCCTTCTGCGCGATGCCCTCAAGTTCCTGGTACAAAATCTAGGCCCTCGGGACCGCATGGGTTTGGTAACGTTTGGCTCAAGTGGTGGAGGGGTGCCTTTAGTGGGCATGACCACTAAGAAGTGGAGCGGATGGAACAAGGTCCTTGATTCTATTCGCCCCGTTGGTCAGAAAAGCCTTCGGGCTGATGTGGTTGAGGGTGCAAATGTGGCCATGGATCTCCTGATGCAGCGCAAGTTCAACAACCCTGTGTCCACAATTCTTTTGATCAGCGATTCATCTACTTCCGACCCAGAAAGTGTCGATTTCGTCGTGTCTCGTGCCGAGGCTGCCAAGGTCAGCATCCACTCTTTTGGGCTTGGTCTCACACATAAACCGGATACAATTATTGAATTGTCGACACGGACCAAGGGATCTTACTTGTACGTGAAGGACTGGATGATGCTTCGTGAATGCGTTGCTGGTTGTTTGGGTGCATTGCAAACAACATCTCACCAAAACGTTAAATTGAAGCTCCGGTTACCAGAAGGATCCCCCGCCAAATTTGTCAAGATTAGCGGTGCCCTTCAAACTACTAAGCGAGCAACTGGCAAGGATGCCGAAGCTGCTTTGGGTGATCTGCGATTCGGTGACAAGCGTGACGTTCTAGTTCAGCTGGTGATCGAGCCAGACAACGCCACTCAGGAGAACATGCCCCAAGACGCATGGGAGAGCCTTGTTTCTGGATTAGAGGCTCTGGGTGGTGGAGCTGACGGTGATGAGCCCCGAGTCGTCAGCGTTGAAGAAGTTCCGTTGATACAAGCCGACTTGACCTACGGTGACCTTCTTCGTGAAGGCCACTTGACTCATTCGCCTCGTCCCTCTCTCCTCGCTATTACCATGCTCCCACCAAACCCCAAGGCCAAGAGTCAGCAGTCAATGTCTCCGCAAATTCCCCCTCACCCTTCCATTGTACAGCGCCGCATGGAGCTGCTTACCTCCGACATGTTGACTCGAGCACTTACCCTTGTCTCGCGGGGCCAACATGATCGTGGAGAGCACTTACTGAATGAGACTAGGAGTATTCTCAAGGGCCTCGGCAAGGGTGGTTTACCACCACTGCCTCCAGCTGCTGCTCCACGTGCTTCCGGTACAAGTGACTCAGGCAGGGGTGATACTCCGAGCTCAAACTCTCCAAAGTCTTCAATCTACGGTGACGGTCATGCCTCCACAGTCTCTGAGACCCCGACTATCTCCCCAGCCGCTGCTATTGACAATCATACAATGACAGCCCTCAATGCAGACCTGGATTCAGCATTGGAGTGGATCAATCACCCGGCAGTATTCAGCCGTGACTCCCGCAAAGCTGTCCTCCAAAGCATTGGTGTCATCTCATCCCAGCGAGGCTTCACCTACCGCACCCCCTCAGAAGCACACTGGGCACAAAGAATAAGTGGTATCCGCCGCTTAACAGACCGATCCAAAGATTGGCGCGAAATGGGTGATGATGCACTGACCGAAGAATGAACGATTTAATCATTTTCCATGATGAACATTTGATCTTTGCAAACATTTAATCCCTCCCTTTTACTTATGGGTTTTCACATATTTTGGTCTATATATATATATATATATATATATATATGGATTTGACTTGATGACTTTTATATTTTCTCCATGTTTTCCTCTCCCTATGATACCACTATTATTTCCACCATGATTCTGTATTCATGATACGGGGAACTTACGTTTATGGTGTTGTTTCTTGGATTGTACGTTTTGTTTCTCTTCCATTCATGCACTTATCCTGTGTTTTTTTTGGGTGATTGGTGGGATGGTGTTTCTCTTTGTACTTTCTCTGATGATTTTAGTATTTGTTATGAAAATACTACGATGATTTATATAACTAACACGTAACCGTGAATCATGACCAAGCATGAATTGATTGATTTTGTCTTCTTGAGATCTGAGTCTACTATCACGCTCCTAATGAGGCATCATGTTTAACCGTAACCACAAACCTTAGCTGCTCGTTCCAATTGAATGACCTTGACATATACGGAGCTATGCCCAAAGATTATCTGTCCATTAAAGTAATCTCGCACGACGCTCCCATTGGTCCCATCCGTGTTGTGAAGTGCCCAGTCAAATCGGCGTAATAGAGTGGCAAGCCCAATATAAAGCTAACAATAAGCTATACTATCTTTTGTTAGGAGATCGAGCATACCTCAGTAGATTTCGTCACATCTTTAGGTGGTAAGGCAAGAAAATTCAAAGGTAGTGTACTGAAACTAAATCTAGTTCCCAATATCATGTCAAAAGCTATTGTCTGGAAGGTCCTTTCATCAATATTTGGACTTGTCACTTCATCTTCGAGCACATCAATTTAGGCTTTCAAATTGAAATGGATCCCAAGGTATTATAAGAGAAAACAGTAATGTACATTGTTGTTGTTCAGCTATATCCATGTATGTTCAAGTACCACATCCTGTTCCCTCTACCGCAGTGTTAGCAAACCCTTAGGAAGTTTAGGAGTATACTCCTTATTAAACCAGTTCAATTTCAAATCTTCCATTCTGAGCAGTGTCTCGTCCAATTGCTTGTCTTTCTTATGTTGTCTCGATGTATACTCCAAGAATAGTCGGCCGTCAACATGGTGTCCATCTTCACGTTTCATAAGTGCACACATAAAAACGGCAACAGGCTCACCACGCAAGTTGGCTAAGTAATACCAATCATACGCAAGATCTCGGTATTTCTCACGCGGATAGTACCGTCTGAAATATGATGAGATATATTTCAGTATGGCATTGACAGGCGATTTTGGTTCATTGGTTGAAGATGTAGGTGTGTGGGTTGAGTCTCGCTCGCCACGGACGGGATATTTACCGTGAAATGTGTAATAGTAGAAATTTGCGAGAAAAAGACAAGCTTCACTGCTACCAGCTGCTGCTGCCTTGGCCATGGCCTCCTCGTAAGCATCCAGGTTGTTCTCGTTCAGCATGAGAGATGCGTATTCTACCAAGGCCTCTGGATCATTATATTTCATTGCAGCAATTATGGTTGCATCGTCACCCTTCTTATGCAACTGATCACGAAGCTCTGTCGACTTGACCGTCTCGGCAAATGACGCTTGAGACAATCCATATAACCTCCATGGGGATTCGAACAAATTGTTGAATGTAAGGTCGCGATGGGGTGGAGGCCGCCGGGATGACGGATGAAGAAATGGAAGCACACCTTTTTCCAGAATGAGACCGGCCTCTTCAAATTGGCGTGCGTTGACATGCATTTTCGCTCGCAAACACATGGCAGGAGGATATCCTTCTTCCGCGAGCCTTTCAAGCTCCGGAAATATAGTTGCATGTAAAGGCAAATTATCCTTCATCATGTTGGAGCTCAACATGCACACTGCACTAGGCGATCTTGCAAGTGCACATGCAGTGTGAACCCACTGTCGGAGGTCATTATCCTCCCGGCTTATGATAGATCCAATATGAAAAATAGTCTCGACATCTATGGAAGGGGTCAAAATTAGTTACGACTGGCTTCCAAGTCAATTCCCAATACAAAAAAAAAAAACGTGTATTCAGGAGCTTACCAGAAGAGATCGAGCGAATGATTGACGCTTCTGGCTTCAACGTCCATGCTGCCGTGATCAGCTTTGCGCCCACATCTTTGAATGTCCGATAACTGAGCCTCTTAGGCAATATGTCATTGTCGATGGCACTTTGGTGTTGATAAATAGACTCCGTTTCATGCCTTTCCAGTCGCACTTCAACGGGTTCACGAAAATCGAGCGATTGCAGAAGGATGCCACTCTGGTCTAATTTCAATCGTCTCCGACGAGTTGGTCCATTCCCCCAAGTTGGTGATTTTCGCAGTTGCTTAGCAGACAGGGCGTGTGTGTTGTTGAATGACCGTTTCGCAACGAGGGTCGCATGGCGATTTGCGGAAGTGATCTTGCATAGATTCAGAGTAACAGGATTTTGTGTAAACTGTGAGATCTGAAACCATTTCTGCAGCGCAGCCTGTGGTCGTGACATCAATGCAGAGAGAATCGGAGATTGGAGTGCAAGGTGCTGTGGTCGAGAGTCGAGAGTCCGCGAACCCGCAAAACGGTAGCGCGGTCAAAAAAAAAATCCGAACTTGTGGGTAAAAACATCGTACAATCTATCTACTATGTAAGTTACAGCGGGAATGATGTCTGTTTTATAATAAACATGCTCAATGCATCAATTAAACAAAACAATCCCTCTGTACCAGAAAGATCCATAACACAATGCGTATAATGTACATTTGCCCTCCACACGGCTAATACAAAGCTCAAGGATATCCTCGAAGCCAAAAGAAATTCCTCCACTTGGTTCATAATCTTGACAAATTGTAAGAAATGACAAGAAAAGGGAGAAAGCGAAGACACAATGCTTGACGCCCGATTCTATTTCTCGCTTCTCGCCGAGTTATTTCTTGTATCCAGTTGTTTTCTTATTCTTTACTCCATGACGACCTTGGCACCAAGACCCTTGAGAGTTTCGACGATCTTCTCAGCCTCTTCCTTAGGAACAGACTCCTTCATGACCTTTGGCACAGACTCCACGAATTTTTTGCTGTCCACCAGCGACAGACCAAGCATGTTCTTGATCTCCTTGATGACCTTGGGCTTGGAGGTGGCCTCGAAAGACTCCAGCTTCAGGTTGAACAGAGTCTTCTCAGCAGCAGCTGGGGCAGCCTCTTCTTCTTCGACAGGAGCAGCAGCAGCACCAGGAGCACCGCCGGCGGCCATGGCGAAGCCACCAACGGGGAGATCGGGAATGTTCAAGCGGGTCTAAACAATTATTATATTAGAATTTTGCAAACTAACAGACTTCTTCCGAAATTCAGTTCAAAGAAAACAGCAATTGGCGATTTGTGAAGGAGTGTATCGGCGAATCAATAGATCTAGTAGCAACGCACCTTCAAGCTTGATACAAGGTCCGCGGTCTCAAGCAGGGTCAATTGGCTGATTTGGTCGACAATCTGTGTGATCTTGGGGTTTGATGGGGTAGCAGTGGCAGCATCGGTCGACTCCCATCGTCGACTGGTGGGTGTGCATGCTGTAGGCAGATATGTAGTCGCAATGCGCAGGGACGGGCGGACAGAGCCGGAGAGGTATCGACAGCTGCGAACTGCGGTCTGAATAGGGAAAGACATGGCGAAGACGGTAGATGCTGAGCTCAGAAGAAAAAAGGGAGTTAAATATAAGACGTGAAGGAGGAGGAAGGTGATAGCTCATCCGCGATGCGAGCAAAAAGAAACGCAGAGTTTCGGGAAAATCCAAGGATCACGTGATGAGGGTTAGTCAGCCATCGTAGGAATCAATGCTTCAAGTTAGTATAGAACCAGACCAGCATCCTTTCTGGTCAACTCGCTCGGAAAGGGGGTTTCTCTTCAAAGAAGATGCGATGCTATCCGTTGTAATTTATAGAGCTGTGCAAGCGGCTTCTCAGGTACCTAGATATTCTGTAGATATAGACTTCTCTATGTCACTTTATCTACATATCAATCTACTGTGTACAGGATAGGTGTACCAGTCAACCTTGGAATGGTTTGGTAACACTATAGTTGAGTTGACCATAATGTATGGTTTATTATCATGCTGTGCTATACACACTCGGCGACTTTTTTTCGTGATATCGTACGGAAATCTATGACCGTCTTGACGGCATCGAAGCCAAAATTCACGGAACTCACGCCTCAACATTCAGGTATCAAGTTCTTCATTTAGTCCTCGTCCCAGTTGGGGTTAGGTCCCGGCGGCTTGGGCCCACCAGCTTGTCTGGCGACGATGATCTGATCGACGCTAAGCACAGTGCGGGCGGACTCGCTAGCCAGGCGGATGGCCGAGCTCTTGGTGGCCATAAGGTCGAGAATACCCTCTTCAACGGCATCCAATGTGCCAGATGGCGTACTTGCCTCCAGATCCACACCAGTGGTCCAATAGGGCTCCTCCTCCTCGGACGAGCTGGCCTCCACTCCATCTGCGGACTTGCCAGCGCTGCTGTTGCGGTGGTGTGCAGTGTAAAGGCGGGACAAGACCTCAGTGGCATCGAGACCGGCGGAATCAGCAAGGGTGCGAGGGATAACCTCGAAGGCCTCGGCGTACTTGCGGATCGCGTGCTGAGGCAGACCCGGTGTTCGATCGGCGAAGTTGGAGATTCGTTCCACGAGTTGGATCTCTGTGGCACCGGCACCGGGAACGAGACGTGGGTCCTTGGTGATGGCCTTTACGACATTCACGCCATCGTCAATGGCGCGCTCAATGTCGTCCAGGTGGTTCTGAGTAGCACCGCGCAGTACGATAGTCGCTGTGCGAGTCACTGCGTTGGCTTCTTCTTGACGGAAGACGGTAACTCGGTCACCACCAATTTCAGTAGTTTCAACAATGTCCACGGATCCCATCTCATCAGGCATAGGGGCACCAAGACGAGCCAGAGGAGTGGCACCAACCACCCGGCACAGACGACGAAGCTCGAACTTGGACAGAATCTTGACAACCAGGATGTTGAAGCGATTAAGGTAGTGCAGTGCCAGGTCACCCACGGTGGATCCGGCAACGACAACACGAAGACCTGAGTCGTACAACTCTTTAATGGCGGTCTCGAGACGATCCTCCTCACCCTTGGTGAAGTCTACCATCTCCTTGGCATTGTGCAGCAGAACTGTACCCTTGGTCTCGGTCTGTGAGGTGTCAATGGGGCAGCTGAATACGCCGACCTTGGCCTTGCGTGCCGACTTGATGATTCCATCCGGCTCGCGTCCGAACACCATACCCCTAATGACCTTGGACTGTTCCAAGCTACCACCCATAATCTTAACGACGCGCACGTTATCCACGTTAAAGTTGACAGGGTTCTTGGGCAGCACGGCTAGGACAGCCTCAGCAACCAAAGCAGCCAGGGTCTCCTCGGTACCGGACTGCTTGCTAGCCACGACTGTTCGAAGGGCCTTGCTGAGCTCTGTCGCTGAGCGTATGTCATGCAGTCTGTCCACCTCGAGGTCTAATATCGCGAAAGGTAAAATCAATTAGTATCTATGAATATTATTGCAGAGTGCCACTTTGAACAAGAACATACCCTCTAGAACCTTCAAGGCAAAGTTTTGTGCCTTTTCATAACCAGAAACGATATCACTGGTCTTCAATCCCATCCGAATGAGCTCCTCGGCCTTCTTGAGCAACTCGCCAGCAAGGACAATAACCAAGTTCGTTCCATCACCCATCTCCGCATCCTGCTGCTGACTAGCCATGACAAGCAGTTTAGCAGCAGGATGGACAACATCGAGTTCACGTAGGATGGTAGCAGCGTCAGAGGTCAAGATCATCTTCTGTAGGTGATTGATGACGATCTTGTTACGGCCGTAGGGGCCCAGGGAGGTCTGGACGGTCTGCGAAATAGCCTGGCAGGCCTCGATGTTACGAATGACAGCTCCATCTTCAGAGTCGTGGCTATAATCAATTGGGTTTGTTTAGCGAGCTGTTCGCTTCTCTTCTGCCCTTGACTTCGTGGGCGGGACAGATAAGGAGGTGGGCAATTGCGGCGGCGCGGGCATTATTTTTTCTTGATTGTATCTTACCTCTGGTACCCAGGCTTGAAGAGACCCGCCTGGGAAGGGCCTGGCATTGATAGCGACATTTTCAAAGGTCACGTCCGAGATAGATGCGACTAGATATGAAGTTTGTGGAGAGAGTTGATAGACACAGTTGTGTCGGGGAATTTTTGGGAGCTCGACGGGGGGACAGTGTGTTTGCTGCGTTTGCACGGAGGGGAAGGCAGACCCACCAGTTGGTTTTTACTATAGTCAACATTTCAGGAAATTTTGATCATTACTTGATTTTATTATAATACAATAGAGTGGATTTTATATTCATATTCAATAATTTACAAAAGTGCCCTTTTATCCAACTAGATCTCACCATTCATGCGATTTCGAAGTGTTTGATCGATAAGCATCGTGGAAACCAGGTACTATTCTTGGAGTTAATGTATGTATTCATTGTAGTGAGTACGAAAATTAAATTAATGAAGACTTACTATAAGATCCAGCATAACTGCATCCACTGTCTTCATATATGGAATCCGCTTGATCGAGCCTGCGACACGTAAGCAACATGTAAGTAGAAATCAGTGGACTTGTCTTCTTACCATCCGCGAATGGCCTCCTCGCGATTATAGCTCTGCAAGAGTAATGATTAAGTCAAGGACTATTGTCTTCAGAAGAAGTTGAGAAACTCACCGAGGGATGTGTGGACATAAATTGTGGCGGGGCTCCTTTCTCTTGCTTTTGCATACGACTCCAGCTGGCATAGAATTAGCATACAATCATTGACGGATGAGGACTGATAAGGAGACCTACAGCTTGACAGCAGCCTCAGGTTTGAAGCAAGCCTTGGACATCATCACTATAATATCTTGTTAGCACTGTGAAGAACTATCGTTGATCGCAGAATATACTCAGTCCGATCTGGTCCGCTTCAGCCTATATTTATTATTTCAGTCAGAATAATTTCATCCAATAGCTGTGGAGGGTAACTAGCCTCCTGAGTCCGTGAGTTCGGCATGCTCCACATAAGATTCAGCAAGAATGAAGACAGCTGCCCCGAGACATCGAACAAAAGCGAGACGGCAAATGCAGCTCCAATAGTAATGAAACTGTTGCTCATTCTCTCAGCTGGGTGGTGTGCTACCACATGTGCAATCTCATGTCCTAGGACAGCAGCTAGTCCATTTTCGTCTTCACAGATGGGCAAGATGCCAGTATAAACAAAAACCTTGCCTCTGTAGATTATAGAGAATTCAGCGTTAGCAATAGAAAAAAATCTAACTGGATGAATCAATGTACCCAGGAAGTACAAATGCGTTGGCCATATTATCATCCTTGATAACATGGACTTTCCAGTTGGCGCCCTCTATGGGTGCTTGTGGAACCAGTCGTTGCAACACTCGATTAACTGTCTTTGCGACAGGGTGATAGTCCGGGAGAATCTTCCCACGCTCACTATTAAGGACTTGACGGTAGCTTTCCTCGCCCATCTTTAACTCTTGGGAGGACGAGACACAGTTGAATCGTCGACGGCCAGTCATCTATATAAGAAAAATATTAAATTTGAAATGTCTTCACATATGTGCGGCAGGAACAAAGTCAAGTTAGGGGAAAGTATTGCAAAGAGTTCAAGGTTCATGAATATGCCTTACCTCAACCACGTCAGTGTTGTATAGATACACACCCGATAAAGCAACTCCGATGAATACGAAATGATGAGGTTTTGCGCGCTGAATAAACTGGAAAAACAGTGGCTGACGACCAGATCCGTTGAAACGGTTGTATCTGTTCTGTTGGTATTTGTATCGTGGACCGGAAGTAAACGAGCGGCGGTTAATTTGAAATCTGGAAGAAAGTCGGCACGAAAGTTGAGATTGGAGGTTAGATGCTGGTAGTCGAGAGTTCCATTGTGTAGGTGTTTCAGGCACGAATGTTTGAAATGTACGCGATACTTGAGCTTTGCAAGGGTTTGAGACTTGAAGCGTAGAATGTCGCGTCAATGATGTTATACTCGCGAGAGCTATGCGTAGGGAACGCCTGGCGTGCTGACTGAACATTATGTTCACTTTGTACTGTTTGTGATGATATTTAATATCTGGCTACTAAACTCCAACTTCCAAGGATAGAGTTTGGAGCTGGGAAGTATTTGCAGAGGATCACAGTCGTCCTATTCCCTAGTAGAAGTTAAATATTTGATATTCTTCAGACGTCTCTCTCATCCGCTCTAACCGAGTTGGTTTGAATTTGATAACTAGATAGCATCGCCGTCGGCCATAAAATACGCACGGGTCCGATGATGCGCTAGTCCCAATCCGGGTTCCCGTTGTATACGGCGAAGAAACATTAAACTCCTTCACTATTCATACTAGATTGAATTCAATAAAGAGATTACTATGAAGAAAATAGAATCATAAAGTTCGAAAGAATTTCATGCAGTACAGGCTAAGATGCGACAATCACCATTATTTCAATCAATGATTTCCGAGACCCCGATTTCCACAGTCAGCTTTGCAACGTAAATGGAACATCTTGTTCAATCAGAGCCAATGTTCAAGCATTACATTAACACATAAGACACATGATCAAAGAAAGATAAATCCACCATCAGAACTCCAGATCTGGGCTCGGATCTACTTCCAAGTAGTATGAAGCAGCCGATTTCCGAAGAAAGGAGCTAGGAAATAAGGACAAATCTTTTTGCACGTGGGAGAGTTGGAGATGTACCACAGTCCCCAAGAGAGCCTCTGGTGATGTAAATCCACAGTCAATAACCCCGGCACTCTTCCCAACAAAAAGGGCGATCATTTCGTTGAATTGGCGGTCCCAAGCCACAATGTATCCTGAGGGTTGCCAAGGGTTGTTTGGTCCATCTCGCATTTCCAGAAGACCCAACTGCATGAGATGTAGGCTTCCAAAGCATGATCGAGTTTCGCTGTTAGTGGAAATGCTTGCACGTATCAGGCCGAGGGAGGCTGGGGTCCACATTCTCTCAAAATCCGTCAAACGGGGCAGTTGGGAGTTGGAAAACTCAATCGGCGAGTGTTGAGGACACCACAGAAGCTCCAAAGATGGAGATTTTAACCAAGCGGCGCGCCTAAGTACTGGGTCTAATTTTTTTGCGCTAACCATCTGCGAATTTCCGTCTTGATCATGCAATAAATCCACAATGAGGCCCAATTCTTTTGCTGATTTTGAGGACCCATGTGCCAGAAGTACTGCAAAAAATCGAGATATATCGTCATATCCAGCACAATCGCCGTCAATAGTGAGTAGAGGCTGCTCATCAAATAGCTTCCATGGAGAACCCGGAGTGATGCTTTGATGGGTTTTGAGTTCGTTTAGTACTCCTGGCATTCGAGTTCTTGACCATCGTATGCCCAGTTGTTCTTCCATGTTTTGAAGGCACATACCAAGCAGCTCTATGTAATGGCCATCACTGACCAAGTCAGGCAGTGCCTTAGCAATTATGACATTATCTAGGAAAGCCTGCAGACCATGGAATGATGATATGTGCGGTAAATCATTACCACAGTTTGTAGAGAGCTTTTCCAATAGTCTCAAGGCCGTTTCTGGTTGTTCAGTCCGAGTCAGGATCTGAACGATACTATATGCAGAGTGGTAAGCTTTTTTATTATCCTCACAGAGAAAATGTAATAGTTCAGCCCATAATTCAACGACGATTTCTGGTCTCCGGAGCATTGAGAGTAACTGGAGGTATGTGGTGAGGTAAACTCGATCTCCTGGGCATACCCTGCGCAATATGTCATGTAGTCTGAATGCTTTCTGTGAACTTGAGCCAGGTTCACCTATAATCTGAGTGGGAAGAACATCTGTGTCGTAATTCTTATTCTCAAATATTGCTGATTCAACTGATGCATACAATGCTTGGATGATATGATCTGCAAAATCCAGCGATTGGGTACCCTGCTGGAAACTCGACTGAATATAACCATGGAAGAATCGCTCAATGTCCGGGACTGATAGTTGGAGAGAGGCATAACACATCCCTATCTCAAATAGCTGTGATTTTTGGGGCAAATCAAGTCGGGCCAGTCTGATGATGATATCATCGATGGCGGCAACAATCTCACTACAGGTGTTATGAAGCGCACAGCGTTGGAGTGCCTCAAATAAAGGCATGCATCCTTTTGCCTGTAGGCCTAGCGCTCCCTCCTCATCAACAACCAATTTCTCGACCATGTGTTTCAAATCAGAAAGTTCAGTCACTCGACGAAGGCGGGTTACCTCTTCATTTCGGTGCATGGGATGAACACCCTTTAGAGAACACCATAGGGATGGAGGTGGATTGTGTTTGTTGAGCGGCCACTCCGTGTCAAGAAGATCTAAAACTTGTTGCTGTAAATTTGAGTTGACATTGTCATTGGGCTCTGTTTGTGAAGTCGAAGCTGTGAGAGTGAATCGCAATAAATCCAAAGACGATGGGTTATGGAAGTGGGCGTCGGGTATTTTTGTCGCGTGGTATCTTGCCAGTATCACCAGTGGAAAGGTACCAAATGTAATGGCAGTAATACTCTTAGATCGCAAGAGAATCCTTGTAGATAAGCCTCGCATGGTTACCGAATGCTTCTTCGATGATCCATTTAGTTAGCGGACCCACGGGTGGAGATGAAGATAAACAAACGATAAGGGGTATCTGGGGTGGCATAATCAATACAAGGAAGGCGGTGTGCATGGGCGGTGTGTTTCCAGAAACTGTGATCTCACCTCTTATCAACTCCATTTCAGTCTTCTACGGCGTATATTCAATCTTTTACGACCACTCATCGCTTTTAGCCTCAATTTTTGCTCATCATGCCTTTGACACAGGAAACTGATCCCGCAAAGGACGAGAAAAATATTGATGCTCCAGTGGAAACCTCAAGTTCTTCGGATTCAAAAGCCGAGAAAAAGGAAGACGATGCCGCTGCCAAAGCACTTGCGCGAAATGAAAAATTCAAAGCACTTCGGGCCAGAGCGGTAAGCTTACACTATCTTTGACATAACTACAAAACCCCTCTCAGTGGATATCGTTACTGACTCTATGCTTAGAAATCTGGCACAGAACGTAACATGAAAGAAACCGCAGCAGAAACTCGACGCCTCGCTACTGACCCGAGCGTCCTTCATTCGCTGTCCCGAAAACACGCATTTGCCTCCCATAACCTGCTCAAGGCCGATACTGAAGCAGCAGGAGAAGATTTCGAACGCAAGCGAGCATGGGACTGGACGGTTGAAGAATCTGAGAAATGGGACCGTCGTATGGAGAAAAAGCAAAGGCATCGAGATGACGTGGCCTTCCAAGATTATACACAGGATGCTAGAAAGGTGTATAAACGACAGATGCGACAGCTGCCCGCAAACTTGGAGGCATATGAAAAAGAGAAGTTGGCTGCCATTGAGAAGGCCGCAGCCAGTGGTGATCTTGAGATTGTCGAAACGGAAGACGGAGAGATGATTGCAATCGACAAGAATGGAACCTTTTACTCCACCGCCGACAGCGTGGGCTTTACAGAGAGCAAGCCAGATCGTGCTGCCGTAGACAGATTGGTCGCCGATATTCAGAAGGCCGAGGAGGTGCGCCTGAAGAAACGCAAGGAACGTCGCGGTGATGATGATGCCGATGTGACATACATCAATGACAAGAACAAGCAGTTCAACCAGAAGCTGGCGCGCTTCTACAACAAGGTAAATTATCAATTTTCGATTTCACATTGACCCTGAAGCTAACATTCTTATAGTACACGACTGAAATCCGTGACAGCTTTGAACGCGGTACCATGATTTAATTCAATATGATTTCATACATTTACAGAGCAGAGATAATACACGTGTGCTGGTCCCCTTGAATCCTGCACCAAGCGTTGACTTGAACCCATCTGGATAATTCATCCGAAAATATCGAGAAACCTTGCGGCAATTCAAGCCATGGATTTTCTCCAGGCCTTTGTTGCTAGCTCCTCAATCTTTTTTGTTCCCACGACACCTTTTATTATCTCTTCTTCCAATGCCTCGACCACCGCCTCACTCACCAATTCGACTTTCAATGGCTTCTCAGCCATAGCTCCGAGGAAGTCAAGTTTATTACCCAGGAAGGTGTTGAACTCTGATGCGACAATGCCACATAGCGCAATTGGCAGAGTGAACTTTCGGCTTGAGTCATACAAGAAACCAGGGCGGATAAATATGCTTCGCAGTTTCGGTAGAGTAGTAGCGATGGTGTCTTCAGCTTGTCTTTTGGTGGTGATGTACCTCGCAGGGAGGGCCGGTGCGCCGGCAGCAGCAGAAATGTACACGAAAGCGGGTACATCTTCGTTAGATGCTTCCTGAGCCAGCGCAATAGCTATTACACGGAGGATAATATGTTAGCGCTTCTTTCGATATACAAATTTCAAACTTTCATTAAGCGCATACCCGAATCTCTGTTCATCAATTCGTATGTCAATTGGCCGTCTCTTTCCTTCGATTGTAGAGCTTCGCCTTCCTTCCTTGATAGGAGATCCTGGCTACCTAGCTTTGATGAGCTGAATGCCCGCTGAAGACCGCTGACGATTGGCTCTGTCCCTTGTACAACGCCCTTGTAATCAGCTTCGAGGAGGATTCCCATGGAGTGGACAACAGCAGTAGCTCCGCTTAGAAATTGCTTGTAGCTCTCTGGCTTCAAAATATCCGCTTTGGCCCATTCCACCGAGCTTGCCCAAGGTGGACGTACCGCAGAGTCCATGACCGTCTCCCACCGTGGCTCGCCAGTTCGACTAGATATTAGGCCTTAGCATTTAGAATTTTCTGGCATATAATGTGGAATATATACCTTAATGATGTGACTGACCAGCCCCGAGCAGCGGCGGACTTGCAGATTCTAGATCCTATAATCGTAAGTTAGTCATTGTGAAGGTTGGCCATATGTATTCTTATAAGGCGAACCTAGAAAACCACTTCCTCCGGCGACAACTAGTCTTTTAGTAGCCATTATAAAGTATTGGTACCAGTATCACCTCAATTTGAGAATAATCTCAAAATATTGAGTTCGCGAGGCTAGAAAGAACAGTTGATCAAGGTTGGAGGGTTCAAGGTACAGCTTTTGTATGTCGTCACATGACGTGCATCGCAAATCAGCTTCGCTTTAATTCCGCCTGCGTGACTTTCAGGTATACACCTCACAACTGTCTTGTCTAAATCATCATCATGCCATCAGCCACAGGAAACAAGCGAGTCCGAGTTAGTAGTCGAATAATTAGTATCGATTCTCAAAATAAGCTAACTCTTGCAATACACAGGGAGTCTCAGCATTCCGACCATTCAGTACGTTCCCGATCGCAGATATTCCCTTGGTCTTACACTAATGCGAAGCGCTCCAGTTTTTGGCAGCGAAGCCCAACTGTTTGACCCGGAGAAGAAACCAGCCAATGCTCCCCCAGACCACACCCATCAATGGCGCGTCTTTGTTAAGGGTGTCAACGGCGAGGACATCTCCTACTGGCTCAAGAAAGTGCAATTCAAACTTCACGAAACCTATCCCCAGAACGTACGTTCAGTCGAGCAACCGCCCTTTGAAGTTGTCGAGACCGGCTGGGGTGAATTTGAAATCCAGATCAAACTATTTTTCGTCCCAGAGTCAAATGAAAAATCGCAGACCCTATGGCACAGCCTGAAACTTCACCCTTACGGACCAGATGCAGAAGGAATGAAGGAGCGACGGGAGGTAGTCATCAGTCAAAACTACGAGGAGATCATCTTCAACGAGCCCATTGAACCCTTCTACGAGGTTCTTACTGGTGGGCCGGGTTCAGTGGCTAAAGGCAAAGGGAAGAACCCGAAACAAGGATTGAGTCGGACGGCAGAAATCCCAGCAAGTGGTAGCCCTAGAAACCCGTACAGCCGGGCTGCTGAGAATACGGAGCTTGATCGAATGTCCGACGCCAGAAGGACGGTCGAGCAGATGATCAAGGAGGAAAAGGAACGACTAGTTGAGCGGGAGAAAAGGCTGGCCGAGCTTCGTGAAAGCGAAGGTGTTCCTGCCACTATCAAAAAGAGGTGATTGATATATTCTCTTCCTTTGTGATCGGCCCGTTGAGCCTTTCGAGCATTTCGATATGCGTGGTTATCAGCCATTGACCGACCAAGCCCATACAACTATCCCACAATCTTCAGCGTATGGTGTCATATTTGCTAAGCGAGTTTCGAGGCCGATCAACTCGACATGTGATGTAATGAATTTTGCAAATCACGACTCGGAAAGGACTCAGTCATGAACGATGAAGTTCTATTTGAAGCAAGGTGAAATACACCCATTCTGCAATAGACGGAATGATACGTCTTCCCCCCTTCCCTCTCCGATATTCTTTGCAAGGCCCGTCCAGGCTTTATGCCCTCGATATTATGAGTACACTTAATGCATTTATGAATTTTTTTTTTTTTTTTTTTACCTCTTCTCTCTACCTGGGTAATAAGGTTACAGATTATGTATGCATCACACCAGTATCCATTATGCAGGCATAATCAACTAAATATATTCAAGCAATCATTCCTATAAAGCCGTAATATCACACATTAATGCCCGGGCAGTGTCTGGCTTGAACATCCATATAATATACCTAGCAGGCAGCAGCCTTAGTATCATCCCTTGTCTGTTTCAAAAAGGGAATCAAACTAGTTCCACCAGTTCCATAAAGTCCAGATGGCTTTGAATCGACCAAACTGTTCACTTGAGAGCTCCCAGTTGCAAGATTCAATGTGTTAGAGGATTGTCTGGCTGCTGATCCGTTTCGAGCTGGCATGATGATATAACGCGTGACAATCTCGATATGGACATCCCGGAAAGCGCCAAGAGTCAAGACAGCTGCGTTGTATGCTTCTTTCAATGGAGACTCGGCCTCATTGGAGGTCACGTAGGGTCGAATATTGCAAAGGGTGGACAAGGTTTCCAGGAAGCGCCTGTGAGGAGCGGGCATGTAGTTCCGCATTTCCTAATTTAAATCAGTGAGATATTACTCCAAGAAGGAAATATAGATATCCCAGGGGCATGGAGGTAAATGCCTTACCTGAATATAACTCGTTCCTTGAGGTAACTTGATATCCCCTGTTGCTGCATGATTGACGCCAAGGAAGATATCAAATGTCTGAATTAGTGAGCTCTGGGCATTACTTCCACCACTATGCTGATGCCACTCTCCATTTCCATTACCAAAATCATAGTAAACACCATGGGGTAGCCCAGCGGCGGCCATGTTTTTGCTTCCAGCCAAGAAAGGCCGTAGCTGATGGAAGAAGAAATCTGGGTCGTTCTTCTCATACATCCGTTGCAGAAGTATCGTGAGGTCACGGATCCCATCAACAAATCTGTAAAGCAGCGCAGTCAGAAGTTGCACATTGTATGTGGTAGCTGCAGAGATAGCATCAACCATAAGCGAGATGAGCTCTCCACCCTTAGCCTCCATAGCCACGGAGATTACGATGAACCACTCCTCGTCCTTTGTACCAGTGAATGAAGTGATCAAAGACACATTTTCTGGGTCAGAAAGGATCTTCCCTGGAGCTGTGGTGAAATTCCAAAGAGTGAGTGCGGCGTAGGTGGCACAAGGAGGAAGTTCGAAATGAGATGAAACCTCAAGAAATGGCTTCGCAATGCAAGGTGGGAGAACCTAAACAGTTAGTATTTAGAAATTAGATATAGCACTTGAATCATATTGATCCTAGAAGAATTAGACCCTGACTTACATCGCTGGGCTTCTCGCCGCCCCAGATATATGCGTGTGTGAAGAAACCAAGAATGCTATAGGCACGACGCCACTCGGGCTCAGTCTCCAGCAATGCCGTTGTGAGAACAGGAAGTTCCTCGATTAAGCACCTGATTTGGCCATTCTGGATAAGATTTGGAAGCTGTACGGCTATAGCCTCCCATGGTGCATAATGGGCATGTGGAAGCTTCACAAGAGGCAGATCGCAGGAGAGGAAGCCATGCTCAGATGAAACGGAGTATTCATCCAAGTTTATTTCTGGTGATTGAATCATTGTCAATAGGATATAAGACGATATTGAATAGAGATGTAAATGAAGTAATAGATGTTTGGAACTTGAAAGGACCTTCGAAAAAGGCACAAGAACAGTGATATCAGCCGACACAAACTATCTAAATCGGGAGAATGATTTGAACCTTGGACTTAAAGCCGGCTCTTATAAGAATACTGCCGGCCTAATTTCAATAATAAGCAATTCTTATATACCAAGGATGCACATAGGCCTACATTGGTCAAGCCATGCTGTATATCAGCCGGATCGGAAGCGGATCAAATCAAGCATCCGGATTGCGAATTTGATATGGATGGGCGGAAAAATTAACAGGGTAGTAATTGAGAAAAATAGGATAAAAGGATGTCCTAATACCAGTTCCAACCTAGCAAGTATCTTGTAGCCACATGCAACATAGTAGATCTTACAGTCCTAAATAGAATCACGCACGAAGCCATGTCTGGATCTGCACCGCGTGCATCACAGCAAGTAGCCTATAGAGATATCACTGGTAATCTCCACTAGTTGATATCTAAGACAGTATTTTTGTTAAATGGATCAAACTCATTAAAGACATTGATATCTTAGATAAACCATTGATATGCTAAGTATATAAGCACCCCGCGTTAGAACGAGAGTGGAGACGGAGGATGGAGGCGGAAGCGGATGTGGCATCCGGCTTGGACCTGTTTTCCAATTTGATGATGCAGTTATAGAACGCACAGCACTTGCAGTTCGACTCTTTTAGTCTATATCCCAATCTTACCCCTCTCTACTCTTAACCTAGGGAGTTTCCGGCAATACTGCTTTGTCAAATCCTCATCATCCCATCTACTGGTTAAACTATAACAACATCAACATGACCGACAGCTTTAACACACCCAAGCCCATCTTCGGCTCTGAGGCTGGATCAAAGGAGTATGCTGCTTCTCTTGATATGGCGGACCCCCTACGAGCACTGCGGGATCAATTCATTATTCCTTCTAAGGCTAACCTGGCGAGCAAGACGCTGGCTAAGCCTGGTAAGTGTGGACCAGCTAAACTGAACCTTAGCTTCATTTCCTTGATGCTAATAATTTGGAACAGGTCTTTCAAATGAACCTTGTATTTACTTTGCAGGTAACTCACTCGGTGTCCAGCCCAAAGCAGTGGGTAAGTATATGGAGGCACAGCTCGACACATGGTCTGGAATCGGTGTCCTCGGCCACTTCATCGAGCTAGAAGGTTCACCTTTGAAGCCATGGCAACTTCTTGCTGAGCAGGCTGCTGGATCTATGTCCAAACTTGTGGGCGCATCGCCTGAAGAAGTCGCCGCCATGGGCACATTGACTGTGAACTTGCACCTGCTGCTTGCTAGTTTCTACAAACCGACAGAGAGCAGGAAAAAGATTCTTCTAGACTGGAAGGCGTTTCCCAGTGACCACGTAAGTATTGAGATCGTGGGAATAAAAAATTCAAAAGAAAAATGCTAAAATCTGCATCAGTACGCAATCGAGTCACAGATAGAGTGGCACGGTCTCGATCCCAAAGAGACCATGGTTCTCATGGGTCCCGACGAGGGCGAGTACGAGGTCAAGACAGAAAAGGTTCTATCCATCATTGATCAACATGCCGATGATGCAGCTCTTCTTATTTTGCCCGCCATCCAGTACTACACGGGCCAGCTTTTCGACATCCCTAAGATCACTCAATATGCCAAGGCACGCGGCCTCGTAGTGGGATGGGATTTGGCTCACGGGTATGCCAATGTTCCGTTCAAGCTGCATGACTGGGACGTCGACTTCGCTGCTTGGTGCACTTACAAATACGGTAATGGAGGTCCCGGCTCGATGGCTGGTTTATTCGTGCATGAGAAACATGGAAGGGTGGATTACAGTGCAGGTGAAGATGGACCCAAGTTCCGACACCGGTTGACCGGGTGGTATGGGGGTGATCGATCAGTACGCTTCAAAATGGATAACAGTGAGTCAATATAGTCTCACCTCGCAGAGGACATAATTCTAATAAATTACAGAGTTCAAACCAATCCCCGGTGCTGGAGGCTTCATAGTTTCAAATCCTGCTGTCATTGACTTGACAACACTTATAGCCTCTTTGACTGCTTTCGAAAACACCTCGATTGAAGAGATACGCCAGAAGTCATTCAAGTTGACTGGGTATGCGGAGTACCTTCTCTTGAAGGATACTACAGATGAGACCCGCCAGTTCACCATCATCACTCCAGCGGACCACCATGCTCGTGGCGCCCAGCTCAGCGTACTGCTTAAGCCTGGTCTTCTTCACAAAGTCGCTGAGCGACTACAAAATGCGGGCATTATCTGCGACAAGCGTGAGCCTGATGTTATTCGTGTTGCACCTGCTCCCTTATACAATACCTTCTCGGAGGTATGGACGTTTGTAGATACGTTCAAGTCTGCCCTGTCTTCATAGAGAGGTTGAGATAAGATGCCCTTTTGAATTGATAGATAGAGGTAGAATTTTTGCATGCATTGAACAGCAACACATGAATCTCCGAGGAAAATTTCCACTCAATGCCGAGTAACGATTCAAAGCTTAAGTCTTAGTATTTCTAATTGTTCATGGATGCCCAGATGACTTTTTAAGACTTGATTATATTGGCTGTACAAGGCAGTTTACATTTTACCAAGCTATGCACTGAGTACTTAGGTACCTGCATGCATAATTACATGTACTGTGGAACATTTGGCATCACACCGGTTTCGTTCAAGGTTAGAAATTTTGTTATCTTCGATATATATATGCCGCATCACGTCAAAAATGCGGTGTACTGAGTCATTCAATTGTGCACCAACATGGTCAAATTGAAAAGTCTGGTCTGTTACGTCGAGCTTTGTAATAAGGTGAACGATCAAGTATCTTGATCTATCGCGCTTTGGCCCTTCAAAACTCGAACTATATTCCCACAATATCATTTCATTTTCCCATTTTATCGCCCTCGTCTCATCTAGAGAGATCAAAACTGCATTATTACTGCCCTTGATGCCCTCTAGGCCCCTCTTCGACGGTGATATAAGGAGGCAACTAGAAAGATACTTGCCCAACCAAAACGCCGGTTTTAATCGTATTTTTATCATATGAGCTCTCAAACTTCTCTAGATATTGTTGCCAGCTTTGTGCTAATGATGGGTATATGTTGGAATATCGGACAAACGACACATCACGAATCCCTGTTCAGAGTGTATCGCAAACGACAACCCTGAACAGTATACATATAACTGTGATGTCCCGTCTTTACCGACTATTCTGTCTTAAACGATGGAACACATTCGTCTCAGACAGAAGAGTAACTTGTAGGATAAATAGCTAGTTCTCACCATGAATGAAAAACCGGATTTTACAACCACTCCCAAGAGGACACAAAGATATTATAGGGGCGTAAAGCGTTACCTGTAATAGGTATTAGAAGTGGGCGTTAGCCTCTCACCAACCTTGCTATACCTTGGTCTAGTGGTATCGACAGTTACATCTCTTGAAATCGAGAGGCAATTCTATCGATCTAGTGATCTCAGCCGGCAAATTCCTCATGTAAGGTCAGCTGAAATATCGACTGAGTTCACACTCGAATGGGGACAAAGCTTCTCTTTTTGAATTGTTCAATCGTTGGCAGCCGTATCTCCGAGGCTTTTTCATAATGTCGGTACACCGGTGGTGGGGCACAGGACCAATGAGAATGGTTACGATGCTGTTGGTCCGATATGAAGTGAATCTAGCGAGTTTTATCTATTTAGTTACAGCGAGGACAAGATTGAATAACACACCTCTTACAACTTCGCATCGACGCACCTAGATCTATTCCATCGAGAATACTAGTTGCATATGCACCGTAAGAATGTCACCGTTCCGACAGTAACGGCAACCTGGAAAATCAGGTAAGATTTAATGGCAGAGGTGAATCATTGTGGTACCTCTACATTTGTGACTTATTTCTGGGGAATCTTATAACGACGTAGGTAAGGTTGAATACTCTCTCTCTCTCTCTCGGAGATACGAGATCTGTAAATGACAGCCCCTCATCTACCCAAGGCTGACAGTGTGTCATTCATGCATGCATGGTTGAGAGCAAGATTATTACAACGTGCTGCTGGAGTAAACGAGTCCACAATTACTTGAACATATTTACAGATCCAAAAGAGAAGTACTATTTTCCATGTTAACAGGCATTTGATTCTATTCATTCAAAGAGTCGCCCAGAAATATTTATTTTACACAAAATGTGTTTTATTTTGCGCCTTAACTCCCCAGATAGATAGCTCGAACTACATATGTACGCCAAGAAATAGTAGCAGCGCACGATGTTTCTGAAAAAGAGTTCCTGATTACATGTTTTTGCACTTTTATTTTTCCATAACGAGGGACGATTTGGATGCATCAATGATCAAATAGGTATTCCGTAAGGTTCGTTCTTTTAAGATGTACGTGAAGCTTCTTGAGAGTGCAGTCCATGGATTGCTATCACTGAATAACGCTTTTCCCGCTTGGTCTTATTGACTCCATACATATGAAAGAGAAGATGGCTGCCTCTCAACAAATGAATATACCAATCCGCCAGTCGCGGTGTTCATTCAAAGAAGAGGGCTACTTTAGCCATCTTGCCATTTTTATACGCCTTGTTGTTGTCTAGAACCCAGCAGTATGGCATTAGGGGAGGGAAAAGAGGTTAGGTGACACCCATTTCCGGAAGTACTGTCAAACACGCCGTACTTCCTGATCGTATGCTACTACTCTGGCACAGTCAGTCAGTTTTAGCCCAACGAGTTTGTCTCTCAAAAATGTCCCTTTCTTTTCCTGTAATGTACCGAAGACCCTGTTTACTGAGTTTCGAGAAGAATTGCAAAACAGTATCGAATGTTTGAAGATTCGTCCAGCCATCCCTTTTAACAAGACCTTTGAAACTGTCAAAAAATTCCTGGACCTCATTCCAGCCCTCGGCTTCAATAAAGTGGCTTTATAATTCATCATGCATGAAGTGATAGGGATATTCGCCGTCAAGTTCTTGCCAATACCTAAAAAAGCGATTATTACCAACCGACCAGAATACTGAGAAAATATCTCGAAAAGTACCTCTCAACGTTGATGAGCACCTCAAAAGAAGGAACGATATCATCACCCCATGTATTTCCGGCTAACTCAACCAGAAGACGCCGGGTCTTCCATGGTCTAAATGGAACGATCTTGTGAGTAGAGGTTTGTGTTTTCTCAATTTCCAACAAATAAAGCTGGAATAGTGAAGATTTGAATATCTTTTTGCTTGATCTGAGCTTGTTTCTTAGGGTTAAGGTCGGTAAAGTTGTTTCAGCGTGGAAGTAGAATGCTACACTGGTAGTCCACGAGTGGAGATCAACATAGCCCTAGTTAGTAATTTCGGGACAGCATGGTTTCTAATCTAATCTATCTCGCGCCAGCCAAAACATAACGCGTAATCTTTGGGAGTGAGTTAGCTCTAGTAAGGATTAGTTAAAGAAAGAAATATGATATAGCCGTATAGTGATGCCTATAGGGACTCTATGAGATGTCTATTGAAAGGAGCTCCTAGTTCCAAAATTCTCTGTTGACGGTAGGACCGATACTAAATTTCTTTTATACCTGCTATTTTATTTTTGAGGGGATCTCGCTTGTGAGATTTGCTGAGACTGCAACTTCTACTGCATCATTGATGAAATATATAGGCTGCTGTAGCTAATGAGAAAAAGGTCAAACCTCGCACACAAGGGTAATTGTGATAGTAAACGCAATATGAAAATGGCACCGATAGCATCTTTGATTTAATAGGTACTACCTCTCTCATCATGGGGAGTTTTGAATCCGGATGAAGCTCATACCAAATCAACCCAAGCTGTGTGCTAATCGCCTCTTCTATGGAAACATATTCCGAACCCACGGGATTATTATACGTAGCACTCCAACCCAAGGCTAGAGGCACGGGAAACAGGGGTCCGGCATTCGGATTTCAGAGACAGGCAATGACTGTTCACCCGTCATCCATAATCAAACGGCAGACATTGTTATATCTTCTCTCTACGAACTTCGTTATTGAGATGCAGCTATCTAATCCAATATATTTGGCCGCTATGCCTTGTAGAACAGCTAAATTGAAGGCCTTATACCTATGCCGAAGCTGCTGGTCTTCATCCCAGAGCCATCGCCCACTTGTATAACGGAAGAAGTGCTCTCAATCAACACCCGGTGCTTAAGATCAATCTACTACAGAGTGGTGCGAACTAATATCCTTGAACCAGGTCAACGGCCAGAATTGTGAATAGCGAATATATCTTTGAAGAGCTAGTAGTGACAATAACTTGGATCGAGGAGATAACGCCTTACTTCCTGGATGTTGAAGCAACAAGTCCAACTGTTGGTACTATCATCTCATGCTTATCATGGGATCACTCGCCGCTTATCGGGTGGGAAGCCACATGCTTATCATGTGACTTCCAGGTACCATATCCATAGCAGCAGTTTCATGATAATCAACCACTTCTTACAACTTACAACTACCGCACGTACTACACGCATACGTAGACCACTTGCGGCTTAAGCTGAAGTCCACTAGCAAGCTATTGTAGATACTCACGACCTGAGTATCCCGACACCAACAGTTATCAAATATTTACGGGGCAAAGACAATCAGCACATTGGGCCTTGCCATCGCGGGGACTGGAGCTTCGAACTAAGTATTTCACGGGACATGTTCTCAGGCCCCTTATTACAGTGTTCTCGGATTTTTCATGCTGACTTCTTGCTTATGTTCTTTTTTAACCACTAATAATAGATTTCTGAGACTTGATACCTCGCGCAATGAGCTCTACACCTGTCTATATTTCTCAAATGCTTGGGCTGTAATTAGCGCCCACCTTACAAATTATGTTGTGTTTATGCACAATTTTGGTCACTACATTTTGTCTGGTGATGGCTTTGTCCTAGATGATTCAAAGGAAGTCCTCCTAGGTACAGCGGCGTATGTTGTAGTGCTGATTAACTCTGTTGGCCTGTTCCCAATATTAATAACTAGTAATGATGCACTTGAGCGGTGACAGCAGATTGAGATTTTAAAGAAGAGCTAGTAATTTAAAGCATGATATCATATATCATATTTAAAAGGCCGATTGATGCATTATAGGCCACTAGATGGCTATGACGGTGGAGGTAGATGTTGTATGGTTGAACCGTAATAATACTCTGCCGTGGTCAGAATGCACCCTTTGAAAAAATAGTTCATATAAGTAGGCCTCATTTTCATTAACTAAAAGTTTCCAATATTTTCCCAGGTATCACCGCTACGAAGAAATTCTTGCCCCTGCGAGAAAAAGTTTGTTGCAAGAATGGAGAAGTCTTCATTGAAAAGAGACAACTGGCGAGGCGAGACCAATAAGTTTGAAGCGTGGCTCTGAGCCCCGGGATATGGAGTGTTGAAATTGAAGGCTTGCCACTGAGAGCTACCGGTTGATACTCTCTCTCCCTGGGTATCGAGGCGTGTTGGTGCAGGGAGTGGCGAAGTCTGAGACACTTCTGCCACCGCAGTTGAAAAAGAGCCATTGCAAAGAGAGTCTCCAAATAAGCGACGCGCAGAGTCAGCGTCACTGTTGGATGAGTATTCTAGAATTTCCCAGAAGCGGGATAGGTCGATTAGAAGACTCTGGTTTTGAGCGCCTGGGTCGGATTGATATGTTGAGGAAACGGCATCTTCTAGGTGTTGTAGTTTCTGCGCCTAATGAAAATGATGTTTGTTAGCTCGAAATGATTGAATGGTATAGTTGGATAATGTCCTACCAGGCGAGCCATATGGGGCCACTGAAGGCCTATTTGCTGGACAAACTTGACGCATTTGGCAAACCTGTCCCGCTTTTCTTCTCTGATATTGGAATCTTCTGTAAAGCTCAACTGAAGCTCGATAGTCGCTACGACAGCAGCACAATATCCCAGAAGTGGATCCGAGACTAAGAAGGATTTCTCTTCGAAGAAATTGACGAAATGAATTATCCACGTGGTGTGCGTTGAGATTAAATCAGAGGTATGTTGCAGAAATATCTCAGGGATTGTACTTTTAAATGTGCGGAGACTCAGTGACAAGAGAAGAGGATGATTCAAGAGGCACAGGGTAGTATGGTAAATAAACTGGTTCAAAAGCCAAGGGCCCCAGTACTCCCGATGTGCCTGCAATTCCTCTAATGATCTATCGCCGAGATTGGCAGGTTTGAACCGGTGTGTGAGAGGCATTCGTGTCTCGAGATCCATTTGCAGCGCAAGAATCTTTGAGTACTCGGAATGGGGAGACCACGGTGGAACGTTACTGGGTTGTCCTCGGTGTCGGACATATCGTGCAGTTCTCGCAAACACCTCACTTAGCATGATGACATATGAAACTATACCTTGGTCCTGGGGCTCGCTTTTCCACATAACTGAGGGGGAAAGATCTTTACCTGGAGGTAGAGTTGGGCTTTGTGGATAAGGAGGGCCTCCCACCTCAGGAAGGTCAGAAATCGAGAAATCTCCACCATGGAGTCGCTTTAAGAGGCATATACTCCAAAAGCATCGTCGACGCTCCTCTCGAAGTACGTTGCTTAATGGGGTACTACGAGGTTCTAGGTCCAGACGAGCACCTTTTGCCAGGTTCACCGCAAGACTGCTGTGAATACTGGAGCGATGTGTGTTGCCATCTGATATTTTGCATTAGTGCCGATAGACTGGACAATAAAAGACAACTTACTCGTGAAGTCTACAAGACTCAGAAGACACAGACATTGGAGGGTTGATACCTCAACTGGGCCCTCTGAGACTCGCTTCATGACAAGGCCACGCGCCACTTCGGCATAGCCATTAATAAGTTCTGTCAATTCTTTGACATTAGGATATGCATCGTCAAAAAAACGAATACTAAGTGCAGTGATAGCATATAGAACCTCAACGTCCCGAGTCTTCAGGCTTGCTAGGAAACTCTTCCGGTGAAAGAGAGGAAGCGGCTGAGAGTCACAGTACAGCAAGTACAGTTCTGCAATTAATACAATTTCTTCCCATGGCGGTAATATTGTAGATTTATTTCCGGGATTTGTCTTGGGTTTTGCCCTGGGATTTGCCCTAGGACATAGGTTCAGTAAAGACTTCCTTCAAGTTGTAAAAGAGAAAATTCATACTCTAGATGATCAAGAACATCACCAACTTTGCCTTCCAAGCTCCGTAGTCTGTCTTCCTGCACAGAAGTAAGTACAGCTCATTTCTATAAATAAGGGGTGTCAATTACCAGAGCGCGAGATGCTGATACGACCGTAACAGGTTTGGATATGAAATTCTCCTCTTCAGGTGGGGGTGGCCGTGGCCGTCGTCTTTCTTCAGCATAGTAGCATTCCTGGTGTAGTCTAACGCACAGGGAGCAATCAGGTTGCTCTCCAGGGCATTTGGCTTTTTTACGCCTTAGGAGTTTGTTAAAAGCATATCATGAGCGGAGCAAGTTATCATAATCTGACCTGCAAGGTTCACAAGCTTGGCGCACTCGTTTCGTCGGGCGATCAAGGTATGTCAAATCTGGCTGGTCCATTGTGAGGGAAGCTAGTTTCAGATAACTAAGTGCATCGCTCCCAGGAACCTTATCATCGCCTGGAGGGCAGCTCTGGACCTCGGGATGTATATTGAGACCTGGAGAATCAGTTGCTTCAGAAGCAAGGGGTGCACTCTTCAAAAAATGAGAAGTAGGGATAGTTTATCAAAGGCCCGACTCAATTTGTGCTCTTGGCCTGTCAACTGCAAGTTGAGGGGTTCAATGTTGAATTGTCGTTCAATATAATGACTAAGCAGATATGTCTCGGACTAACAAAATACGAGTTTCTATGATTGAAGAGATATGGATTAGATATACACAAAACTGGGACAATACAAATTCATATATCTCAATGACTTGCCTAGGTAGTACCAGGGAACAAAAAACAAAGCACGAAAATTCTTCATTTGATTTGCCAGTTAGCCGATTCCCATGCAAGGGTGCTTGCTAATCACATATCAGTAGTTCAAGGTTGATGGATGAATGTTGGTAGGCCTAAATTGCTAGTCTGAAAATAGAAAGATTTGGAAAATTGCCAGCACTTATAGATATAGCATGGGGTTGATTGGTGCTTGGAATGATTTATGTACAGCCCTAATCTTCAGCGTGTTTGGAACCCATCACTGAAACACAAATACACTAAGGGGGTTGATCTGACACTACAGTGTCAAGAATCAGGCTAAGTGCCAAGGTCTCTACCACCAGGTCTTGTAGCCCTATTGAAAAGTTAGTATTTGTATGAACCATTGTCATTGAATCTTTTATCCAGATCAAGATCAATGGAAGTGGACTCACAAGAACCATGCGGCACATGCCGTAGGTGGTAGCTAAAGTCATGTCAGTCCACTGCAGGGATATATTGAACCAGCTTCGAGCAGATAGTACTTACCAGCACCGAGGCCGTAGACGGTAAAGAGGTAGGGGTACATGACCTTGCCGCTACCGGCGGTCTGTAAAATAGAAATTATCAGGTTATGTTCGATATATTGTAGGGAATGGAATGATCCATTCAAATTGAACTGACCTTCCACCATTGACGCTTGCCGTCGTGGTTCTGGAAAAGACGCTGGTAGTAAGGGACACGATTCTCGCGGAACACGAATCTAAAGCAAATATTGTATTAGTGGGGGTTTCTCAAATTTATATAATAGGGATTAGTCCCGAGTGATATCAATGGCAGTTGCAGTTGGGCCAAAAGACACCCTAGGACGAGCAAAGCGAAATTTGGTTGCGAGACCAGGAGCGCATTGGGGGAAAGTAGTGCAGAATTCAGGCAGGCAGATAGGTCTCGACATACCCAGCCATACGAGGCGCAGTGCGGAACATGTTGGCGATTGAAGGGGAGATTCAAGGGGAGATTTGGAGAGTGATGTGGGAGGTCGATGGCACGATTGTCCGATGTTAAGTTCGGGAGCTGCAAAGATCACCTGACTTTCCTCCTCCTTCCGTCCACTCACAGACGGGAGCTTACTAAGATTATATAATATCCCGAAACGGGTAAAGCGTCGGTTCTTGCGTGAAGCCGCTTGATAAATCAAGATATAAATTCAAGAGAGAAGGATGGTAGACAAAAAGTTGCCGTTTTTCTTTTATACGGACCCAACTGATGCGACCGGCTCTTCTTCGTCTATTGAAGAGGCCATCTGCCGTCTCACTTCTCGACAATCTTGCATCCACTTCAACCGGCATCGAACAGCTCGAGACTCGATACACGCGTCTACGAACAGATTCACCATGGAACAGACACAAACTTCTCAACAGGAGCGACCAAATACAAGTCAATGATGAAACAGAAGATTCGTATCCCCTGGAATTGTTGTCTGTTCACGAAATCGAACCTTCCGAGTCCCACGTTCCGGATCTTTCCCAGCGCGCAAATAAACCCAACCCAGAAAACCCATCAAATCTTCAAATAAAAGAGTTACGCAACCAGTTTGAAAGATTGAACTTTGAATCAGATATTGGACACACCAACGACCTCGGGACGAGGTTAGTAGACCGTCCAGAGTATAAAAATAACTTTGAGCTTTGGGAAGAAGTATTGCGGTTTCGACAACGGTACTATGGCAACAAGGGGACAGCAGAGATTTGGAAGGGATTGACTCTTCGTGTAGAGGGCGTTCAGCTACCTTCGACTGGAGATCGCGCAGGCTTTCTTTGGAATAGCTTCGTGGAGCTAGGGTTAGAAGACAATACTGTTCTGCAAGAGGTGGTGAATTACGCTATCAATATGGCTAATTCTGGAGTCGAATGCTGGCCGCAACTGCATGAATCTATAGTAGGCGGCCTCTTGGATCGAGGATTAAAGGAAGAGGCCATTGAACAACATCGGAAGCTAATGAAAGCTGACCTCATCCTTCCTGATGGCATGGTACGTATTCTTCGGCCAGCTATCTGGCCAGCCTATTTGAATGGCAAAAAGCGTCAATTATGTCCAGGCAGATCGCTATTCTTCCCGACAACCTTATTACGTACTGTCCGAGACCTTTGCCGATTCAATTATTACTATCTCTCTGGGGATTCCAGCAACAGACGTCCACGCATCTATGCCCAGGTAATCAAAATGACTCTGGAGCAGGGTTGGGGAGGAGAGGCCTTCTTCATGCATAAGTTTTTGATTAAGTACGACGACCACCCACTCAAAATTGAGCAAGTACTGCCCTTGTTGCGTCATATCAGAAAATACGGGAGTCGCATGGAATATCATGAGCTCCAGCGTTATGTTGAAAGAAGATTCCCCAGGCCAAGCAGGACGAAACCACTACGAGCTGCGAAGGAACCTTCAAAACGCGATCTTGGGGCCAGGCTGTTCGCCACTCGAGCCCTCAGTTTTGAGTTGGCGATCGGAGGGCTCAAGATGCTTCGTGTATACTCGATTGGCCCGGAAAGTCTACGCGAAATGGCGTTGAGAGCTCATGGTGGGCAAGACATTCTGAACAAACTCAAACTTCTTGAAGAGTCTTGCATATCTATCGAGGACTGTGTCTTTTCGCGGCTGGTCCGGAAACTAGCAGCACAGCGTCGAGAACTTTTACTGTCAGACTTGCTAAAAAGCGACCAGCATCCGGATGTACTCGAAGATTGGAAGATGCAGGAATCACTTCTAATATCGTACTATTTGGCGCAGGATTGGCCCCAATACAATATTGCCCTGGCCGCTCTAACCGAACTCTTTCCGCGTGCACCGGATTTGTTTGACATACACTTTCGCAAACATATTGCCGCCGGGGAACTCCAAGCTGCATTCAAGGTCGTGGATGAGTTGACCTTGCGTGGCTGGGGATTAAGTGCATATAGTGTGGATTATATGGCTGAATATATACTGACGCCTCGCCGTCCACGAAATCGACCGCCCCCCGGTATAGGCCACGCAGTGAGGGATGAAGTGATGTTCATCTTCAAGATTCTTCAACGCGTAGTCTCCGCAGGAGGCTATGTTAGCGCAAAGTTCTGGATAGAGTTATTGAGGCGCTTGGGAATGTGTCATTACTGGGATGAGCTGAGAGAATGCTGTCTCTGGCTAGCCCATCACTACACTCTCAGCACTGATTTCAACCCGAGGCCTTCAACTGTCCAGCGAGATGACAGGATATTGGCGACTATATTTAACCCCGGGATGCAAAAGGCGATCATTGCTTGGGGATTCTTCTTACGGGTGACTAGACGAGGCGCATTCAAATCCATGATATCACACCCAACCACAGGCGAGAACCTAGTCCCATGGGTTCGTGGTCATCTTCTCCTTCATGAGATGGAACAAGCTGGCGTTGTAATCTCAATGAATTCAATCAAACGATCGACCCGACAACGGATGACCCTATTATTTGGAAATATAGGTCACTCGGCACGTCGTATGAATCGCATGCTACGACGAAACAATCCATACCAGTTCCACCAAATCATGCAGGATATTGACCGGGCTTGGGGAGAGACATTGTATACCAGAGGGGAGCTTGACCGGCCGCAAAAGTGGCTTCACCCTTATCGCACGAAGAAGTCACTGAGGCAATCCGCACGAGTCAAGTTGTCGCTTAGACGAGGATAATCCCATAGAATAATAGTATATTTTCTTATTTTATGTAATTTTTCTTGGCTAGAAGGCTGTGCAACTCAGTCGTCGTAATTGTAATCAAACCAAGAAGTAAGTTGATATTAAGGCGAAGTAGGGTCCAGTAAGATTTAATGATATCCAATGAAAAGACGATATTGGATCCACATCTATTCTTAGTTGAGACGGCAACGCGGCCTGGACCCGCTGACGTTGTCTATTCAATAAACATTCTTCTTCTTGACTTCGTTTATATCTGTCCTTCAGATCTACTTGCGTGACTTAAGTTTTTATTTTGTTTTTGAAAATATTACACTATGCGACCCTTTTCATTCCTTGCTTTGTTGCCTGTGGTGCTGGCCAACCCATTGAATGTTCGCAGCACTGCCTGCAACAACAGTCCCGACCTTTGCTCCAAAACATATGGTGAAATAACTCATCTTGGAGCCCATAATAGTCCCTTCTTGAAAGACTCTAGCACCAGTAATTCTATGTTTGGTAATCAGTACGCGCTCAATTCTAAGCCCCGTTTGAACGCGATCTAATATTTTTCTTTGTTGACAGATACTACGATACCCCCACCCAGCTCGATGCAGGTGTCAGACTAGTCTCTGCCCAAGTACATAAAAGCAACTCAGAATGGCACCTCTGTCATTCAAGCTGTTCATATCTAGATGCAGGGCTACTGAGTGATTGGTTGGCCGAGATCAAGTCTTGGATGGACAAAAACCCTAACGAAGGTACATCTACCAGCCTTCACCGCAATTTTGAAGCTTGAATATACTAACCAAGTTTTCAAATAGTGATCACTATTCTCCTCGTGAATTCAGATAGTGCAACTGCTGCGGAGCTTAACACCCAATTTACCACTGCCAACCTCACGGATCTCGCGTACGAACCTAGCTCAACCTCGTCTTCATGGCCAACTCTCCAAACAATGATTGACGATGACAAGCGACTTGTGGTATTTGTAGCATCTCTGACTACCAGCACAAGCTATCCATATCTACTCAACGAGTGGGATTATGTTTGGGAGACACCATACGACGTAACCTCGCCATCAAACTTCACCTGCAACCCCGACCGTCCCAGCGACACCTCACTATCCTCCGCCCTATCTGGCAGTTCACTCCCGTTCATGAACCACTTCCTATATTCCGACGACCTAGCTGTCATTTCTGTTGAGTACCCAAATACCAGCTACGTCTCAGTGACCAACGCGGCCTCAGGCGGAGTGGGTAATCTCGGAAGCACAGCAACAAAATGCAAAAAGGAGTACAATGGCCGGCAGCCGACTTTCATCCTTGTGGACTTTTTCAACAGTGGACCGGCTATCGATACAATTGACAACCTCAATAATGTTACGAATGCAGTGGGCCGCACTTCTGTTTCGACTTCTTCATCGACCTCTACCAGCGGCGGTTCCACCATCAACGGTGTTTTCAAGAGTCTTGTCCAGCTTGCTGAGTCGGCTAGGTCCGGTTCAACCCCAACTATGGGTAATTGGATCTGGGTCGGTGGAAATTGGGGTAACATTCTTGGAGGAGGTATTAATTTGAGATGATCTTTTATCTTTTTTATTTTATTTGCAGCGTTCTACTATTCTCAGACTTCTTTCGGTCTAGCATAGATATGATATGATGCGTATATGTCTGTGAAGCATGATTGCAATTGCCATGCCGAATGATTGGTGTTTTGGGTTTTTTCACCCCTGGGGTTCGGGCTATTTATATAGTATTACTTCAATAAGATACAATCGAATGTCCAAAGTCTTGAATCTTATGTACTTGAACCCTTAGATCAGCAGAGAATATTAAATATCAAGCCTCGGAATAATACGTAAGCACCTGGATATCAGTCGACCTTCCCAGTTGAAATGATAATTTTACTGGTCTTTGCTAAGCAACTCTCGCACTTTGTTCACCTTGTCTTCAAACCCTTGCTGCTTATCCACCCTAAGAAGATATTAATATCAACCTCTCAAGACACGAATAAACATTTACCTCGATCCACTGCGAATATCAGACTGAATCCGCACAACTCCCTGCTGGTGGAGATAAGTATGGGTCTGTCCGATAACCTGGTGTACTCGGTCCCAAGACCCCTCTATTATAGTCATTAGTAACGCCAAGACCAATGTCATACAATGCAGGGACAAGGAGTGTAACAGGAGAGGGAGAAGAGTTTCAAGTTTGTTGCATGAGAGATGAAGTGAAAGAATAAGGATGAGGATGAGGATAGGTACCAAGAGTTGTTCCAGCAGAATGCATAGAATACTTCAAGCCAGACTGTTCGATGAATCTCTGGACTTCAGCTACCTGAGCAGACACTGAGGCTGAACCAGTGCCAATCTAAGGTCTGTGAGTCATGTAATAATCAAATCAGCTACATATGTAGGTCAGCCTTACCGGAATCAGACAAAAGTCAGCCACACAATGAGTGGGAGTTGGAAGAGAGGCTGATATGGGGACTGATTCTGACATTGTGATTGGCTATTCAGAGTGACTAAGCAGAAGAAAAAGGGTTGAAGGTGGTGAGATGTGATTCTGGGTCTTTCTTAGTATTTATATGAAAAGGGGAAGTGGGGAGAGGAGAGCTGTGTGCGCTAACTACGTAGGTACCACTAGGTAATAGTAACAACATGTAAATATGTACTAAGTAGGTAGGCAATGTGCGTAACCAGAATAGTTCTAGTATTGGATCTACCTTCGTTCGATCCGACTCTACCTAGAGGGTAGCTAGTGCGACCATACATCTGTACATCTGTACCTCTCTACCCTTTCTAGGTATAGAATGTTCTTCCGCTCATGCAGAAGAACAAACTGATCGATTTCCGACGTGCATCATTATGACAGGCCAATTCTACACGGCTGATATATCCGATTAATAAATGTGGACTGCCGGTCGCATATTCAGTATTTATCTATGAAATGAAGAAGAGAAGTTAAAGAACAGATCGATGATCGACTCCAAGGATAGACTCCCCACAGAAGCCACTAACCCCTGCACGTCATCCCGTCCAAACTCCTCCAGCTTCCTTCCGATCTATCTTTAACTGCGATCTCTTCTCTCTTTTTTATCCCGTCAAAGCGGCAGTCTGGTGGACCGGACTTCTTGCTTCACTTTACCCACTTATTCCGTACATCTCCGTTTCTATCCCCTTCAGCACTGCCAACTGCCAGATTAGGCTAGAATGGCATAAATTGCCACTTGAAACACGTTCCAGATTCCATCCGACTCCCCTCTTTACTCAATCTAGCTATTGGACAGCCCCAATCATCGACCTACTTCATGCACAATCTTACGGAGTAGTCTCTCGTGACTCCCATGCGGCCTCAAACAAGGTTTATACTGTACCTATTCATTCACCGACTATTCGATCTCTACTAGATATCAACCGCCGTTTCTCCTGTTGACTCAAGTCATGATCAAGTATTCCCTCGACCTCAATCTTCCCTTACTCACCCCCGAATGACAAAGCCCAGCCTCTTGGAACTCCCACCCGGGGTTCAACTACTTTACTTGGCAGAAGGTGGAGCAAATGTGATCTACCGCTTTGTCGCAACGCCGGTGAAGTCTGCATTGGCCGTCAAGAAGGACCCCAGATGGTCACTGGGGCCAGTTACCATCGATAGCATCGATCACGCTACAGTGCCGAGTTTGTTCAAAGGAAAATTGCTCCGTCTCAGAAAAGAAACCGCGGCAGATATCTCCTATAAAGAAATTGTCAACAACTTCGATACCACCGTCCGACCGCTATTTAAGCCCGAGGAGTTGGTCGACCAAAACCTCATTAGACTTCCCGAGGGTCTCATTCAACGCTGTAATGAACAACTTCACATTTCTGAGCTGAATGGCCAGCGGCCAAAAAAGCGTCATGGCGGATATCTCTGCCTTCATGAGCCATTTGGCCTGCTTATAACCGATATGACGACATTTGACGATCCGGGAGCAATATTAGCAGAATTCAAGCCAAAATGGCTGACTCAGTCACCCACGGCACCGACATCGGCACATCGATGTCGAACATGTGCTTTGCGCGAAATGAAAAACCACGACGCACGGAGAGTGGGATTAAAAGAGCAGTGCTCTTTCTGTCCGCTAGATCTTGTATCCGAGCGATTTGAAAACGTCTTACGCGCGACTGCTTTGATCAAAGGGTCTCATGATCGAGCCCGGCTAGCTCGTATCCTATATCGAAATCCCACTCTTCAGAAGCTCCAATCGCAACAAAAATCCTGGGCGAGAGTTGGGATGCTTGGACCTTCGCCCTTATCTCGAGCGACGTGCCTTGATATGACCCTCCGCGACTGCACCATGTATATCAAAGTAGGTGTCTCTTTTGCGATATGGCGAAACTTCACTGCTATTCGATCTTGAACCTAAATAGTTGACTCTCTGAGCAGATTCCTCGCGATGAGAGTTCCTCCATCGAAATCCGTCTTGGCGACCTTGACCTTAAAACTGGCGCGGGTGGTAAGGCGAAGTATTGGCGAGATATTGAATTTCAATTAATCGACGGTGCCTGGTACTCTGGTTCTAACATCAGTCAAACCCAGAGCGTATGTACACTCCAGAACTAATAATAACTTATCAATTTAGAATTCACTTCAAATGACCACGTAAGCTCAATATGAGATTCTTTTGCTCTCTTTTGACTAGGATTTTGTGGATACTGATATATTGATATGAACCTGATGGTTGAATCTCAGAAGCAAAGAAACCGGTCTAGCATATTCATAGTTTATACCCTCAGATCAGGGCGCTGTTGAAATAGATTTATAAGAGGCTCAAAGAGGACTCGCCCTTTGTGATTGCTCGAACTCATCTGAGCCTCTCCTTCAGCCCGAAGCTCATCCCATGTTATCCACTCCCACGCAGTACATTTTTCTGGCTCCATAATCTTAGACTATTAGCTCTATGGCTGGGTACCTAGGTATCTCTCAAAAGGTCAGAAGAGAAAGAAAATCAACATACCTGTGGCTGAGTATTAGGGTCACTAACGACACCTACCATAAACACAGTAACGTAATGTTTATCGGCCATAACATGATTCGTAGCAGTTAAGAATTTTAAATTGTGGATCTGAAGACCTGTTTCTTCGAAGACTTCTCTTTTTGCACAAGTCTGGAAGGATTCCCCAAATTCAAGGTTACCTCCTGCTAAGGCCCATGTATCTGTCGAAGGGTGCGTAAGCGGTTGGCCAATATTTTATGCCCATGTGATAGGATACCTGCGCCAATGCTTCCCTTGCGTTTGCCTAGTATGAACTGGCCCGCGGCATTGAGTACAAACACTCCAACCCCAACTTTAGGCACCATTTCTGGAAAATTGAAAATGGAGGATTCTTAGTCGAAAGTTCGAGTGTGATAGTTTTTTAAAGAGCTTTTCCTCTTGCTGCTTAGGGTAAGTCATGAGTCAGCACTTGAGAGCGGGGCACAATCAACAGAGAAAAGACCTCACGGAAACCCACTAGCTTAGGGCTCTGTCCATTCACTATACCTTGGAAGTGAAGAATACTATATGCAAAGAAAGCATATATAATATATTATATGATCCATATGATATGAAGTCAGAAGTCCTCATCACTCATGATAACCACTTTGTCAAGACCTTGCATCTGTGCAGCACAATCTATGCTTCAGGCGCAGCAGAGCGTGATGTAGGAGGAGGAGGAGGAGGCTGTGAGCGTTCCATCACATAGATTATCAAAAGCCGTTTCCATCCTCACTATATATCACTTGGAGAAATCTCAGAGGTGATGATGCCACATCAACCTTAGATCTATTTAGTTCTTACTGAAAAGTGTAAACGTTTGAAGATAGTATCGGCCTGGTTAAGCACATGACCGGAATTATTTCTGCTTTATTCAGTATTCCATCTGTGAGCTTTTTATTCCTGAGATCAATTTCTCACAAGTGTACCCTAGGAGTCACCTGGGTACTCTTGATTGCTTATTGACCCCTGCTGGCTTTGCAGTCATACCGCAGCAAGCTCCTTCCAAGGTTATTTGGAATAGAACTTGAATTTTGGGTTATATTTTCCTGCGGGCACCACCTAATACGATAAGATTATCTCATTAAGTGTTTTTCAGCTAATATCAACAGTTGCTGAAACTGGTATATAAAGAGGCAGTTTGGTAGATTCTTTCAATGTTTAATCCAAGGTTCCATCTAAATATCCTTGGATATTTCGGAATATTAATTGATGGATGAACACCCACTGATGGATAGGGAAAATTGTCTTACCCTTTCTTAGCATACCCAGGTGATATTCAGTTCTGTTGATGCCAAAGTGAAAGAAATTCTTCAACTCCAAAATAACCAATATATTTGGCAACGTTAAGAGAGCACGATGGTCTTCAGCCCTACAACTTTTTCGCTACCAGTACACACGTCACCTTTATTTAGGTAGTCTCTCTTGCGTCATGCTACCCAACCTGAGCATAAAGCCTATCAATGAGGATCTTGATGGTATCCAGTTTGAGAATAGTATCGAATATTAATGAGCCATGTCTTCAAATTGCGATTCTCAGAATCGATAAATCTATGACAATATTGAAAAATCAATCCAGTAAAACTATACCTTGCATGGAAAAAGGATTCAAGCCCCCTAATAGGACAAACCCTGTCCCTCAGACGGGTGCGAGATCGAAATTGGTTACCATCTCGCATGGGGGACTGAAGTTAATTGTTATGCAAAAAAGTCCATACTGAGTCCTGGAGTACAGTCTCTTGGGCCCCAATCAGGTCATGAAATCAGACACAAGAAAGCTAACACTATACCCTGAATATTAGCATAGACGCACGTTCACTTTAGTTTTACATAACGCTCCCTCATCTTTCTCTTTCATTTGATCGAAAGCTCAGAACGTAATAGAAGACAGTTGAAATTACAGCAGACTGCGGCAGCATTCGCTATATAATGAGACCCACCAAGAACCAACATGATAGGGGTTTACATTTCATCTGTATGAAGACAGTGATGTTTTCCTGTGAGCAGATAAATGACATCTTACAAAAGAAGCCAGGCCATGGAGCCAGATACGAAAGACTGAACACTTCACCATAGATATCTGATGGGATGCGCGTTCAATTCAGAAGTTGAGGAGCATATGAATGCTGGCGAACAAGCTCTGGGTGTCCCAGACACGCAAGTTGTCTGTACAACTGTTAATATCCTCAAGAGCTCCAGCAAAGAGCGCTGGATGAGGCACCAGGAATACTCGATCCTGACGAAGATGGTATGATTCGTTTTGAGGAAGCCGAGACCGACTTGATTTGCGCAGAACGGGATAATTCCAGCAACTCACGGTTGGTGAGTAGCATGAGGCCCTTTGTTTCACTTCAAGCGCTATCGAAACGAATTCAACGAAAAGCGGACACAGCGTCATCAATAACCAAGGCTACATCAGTCGTATTCCATCCATTTGACAATATTTGAATTTATATATGAATTGGCCATTTCATTGCAAATTTTGTTCATGAATGGTATCAGAACAGCCGATGATGAACCGGAGTCATTTACGATAAGATCTCGATGGAAGAAGTTTCAAATACTCCTGCAAATCAAAACAGTACCTTCTAACCTCGGAATATGCTGTAGACTCGATCAGTCCCTGGTGTGCCGCCATATGGTATAATATAAATTGTATAGCTCTTTACTGTTTCATACTATTCCGCTCTCATTAAACATTATTGAAGGAGTCAGTGACGAGCATAACCTTCCAAGGATATCGATAAGTTCTCAGATGGCCAGGGTTCTGGATTATGGAACAAATTTGAAATGCTCCATGATATTGGAGACCTCACCGTCACCTCGGGATCCCTGGCCTACATGCATATGTTTGCCCTGTTTGATCTAATATTTGCTTACTCTGACTATGACTCTGACTGATGTTTCGTCTAATTCCACTCTTGACCGCTTTGAAATACCGGCAGAAGATGTCACCGCCAAATGCGGTGAGTCACCTGACTTTATGGTGCTGATCGATATCTGTGTCATGTGCACATTTTCTGCCGCTTCTACCAGACCGCCTTTAGTCTCTTCCTTACCGCATCCCCCTAATACTTGGGACCAAATGCTGAGTCATCACCATGCAGATGCATTCAGAGAAGCCGCCAACCTGGAGATTAGCCAGCTTACTAAAAGGCACACATGGGATGAAATCAAATCATCTGATGTCCGCCACTTAAATCAGACTGAATACGGCAATCTCCGGCAGAATAGATGCTATAAGCATCTATTCTGCCGAAAATAGCCATTTGGTCTGATTTTGATCAACAGTACTGCCACTCTACCGCTATGAATCAGAGCAATATTGCCACATAGAACTAACAGAATACCTGTCAGAAACATGTCTGGTGAGACTTCGATCAAAGATAGTATTATGTAATAATCTTGTTTGAGGAATATGGTGTCATTCATGGCATGAATGTCGATCAATTAATGGATGCTATAATTTAGATAGTGTTCAAAGTTTCCAAGGTCAATAAATTCTTAATTTAATTCCAGTGGAAAAAGTCTACGTAGTTAGATCCTTAGTTTCCCAAAGTCAATTCAAATGTTCACTAAAGGGCGTCTTGATATTGAACTTGATACTGAATATACTGAATGTTTCAACCGTAGAAGGTTCCGGGATTATCATAGTCGGGCTATATGCTCGGTTGATATTACGAGTGACCTACCTAAGTCCATAGAACGCGAGGTTTGTGCAGGTGCTTGATACACCTGGTGTAGGTAGCATAATATGATTGATACCGGTGACCATTCACTAGGTGGTCCATTGTAGTCAGACTGATATAATAGTCTTGGAAATACAAGTTAGTAGCAGTACCTAAGTAGCACCTAGTATTCTTATAAAGCCGTTGAATCATGCAAAGCAAAATGACTTTTTTGAGCGGCATTTAGCCTGAAGGAGCTCTCTCACCGATACAATATCGGAGGCTAACCTGGCCAAGTATATACCATACAAGTGGAGCATTACGTGCTTGTGAACCGGTTGTTCATAGGGCAAGATCCTACGCTAAGTTTGGAAAGATAAGGTGGGTATACATTGAATAAGCGCCACACGGGCCCCTACCAGTACACTAACTAAATCAGTATCAGTGTGTTTGTATTGAAGTAAAAGACTGTATTTTGGCGGGCTCAAGGTGATGAAATGAATATTTCATTGGGTACTATTTCGGATATTCTTTTCTCCTGTGCTTTAGCGTTATATCCAAGGTATTGATATGTTTTCTAATACTAGTATGATTTAAAGCCATATGGGGCAACTCAATGCATTTTCAACATGTAAGCTTGAATTGGGTATGATTCACCTCTATCGGCCGACTCAGGGCAGATATTAACATACCAATCCATGATGCATCTCGGATCTACTCCGTGCACGTAGTGCGCACTACAGTGGGGCTCTGCCGTCTACATACAGGAAAGAGCCATGACATCGAGATATCGCGATTATGATGAGCCCTGACGTGCTCTCTTATCAAGACAATAAAAATGGCAGATGCAGCCAAACTTGTTGCTATTCAGGAGAAGCAGCAGCAGGCCTAGAGCTTTCCACACCAGAACTCTCACGCCCAACATGGCTTTTGAACGTATGGCTCATATCTACCGGTCATGTTTGTTCCAGATTATTGTTGTTGGACTGGTAGCATTTTGCGAACCTGGAATTTGGACTGCTCTCAACAATCTTGGAGCAGGAGGTAATGCTAGTGTAAGTCGGCTTCTAGAATTTGAGACCTTGAATAAGTACCGCTAACATATCGAGTAGCCCCAACTAAACAATGCCGCCAATGCCTTGACTTATGGACTCATGTCTGTGGGTTGCTTTCTTGCCGGTGGTGTCACAAACAAGATCACTGCAAAATGGACCTTGTTCATTGGAGCTGCATTTTATACTCCTTATGCAGCTGGTCTCTACTGCAACAACCGTTATAACAATGAATGGTTTCTTCTGCTTGCTGCTGCTCTTTGTGGAATTGGGGCGTCTCTTCTATGGGCCAGTGAGGCCGCCATTGCGGTTGGATACCCAGAAGAAGAGAAAAGAGGAAAGTGAGTTGACATATGAACCATATAATTAGCTTCTTTCCGCTGACAGTCATCCCATAGGTACGTTGGAATTTGGATGGGTATTCGACAAATGGGACCTCTTGTTGGAGGAGCTATATCCCTCGCTCTTAACATCAACATCGCACACACCGGCAAGGTCACATACAAAACATACCTTGGACTTGTTGCTATCTCAGCCCTTGGAGCCCCATTCGCACTTCTCTTGTCCCAGCCACAAAAAGTTATCAGAAGTGATGGCACCAAAATCCCTTATATGAAGAAGACAAATTTCTCTATTGAGGCTCGTGCCATCTGGAAGCAGCTTAAGAATAAAAATATGCTTCTTCTGATCCCGATCTTCCTCGCTGGACAGTTTGGTCAAACCTATCAGTCAAACTATCTTACAAGTATGGCTTCTCAATCCCTTCATCACTAATGAATGTTGCTGACAGAAAATAGCATACTTCACTGTTCGCTCCAGAGCCCTTGCATCCTTCCTCACAGCTGTAGTTGGCGCCGCAGCAAACATCTCAACTGGCATCATCCTGGATCTGAAGTATTTCTCTAAACGAACCAGGTCTAAGATTGTGTGGGTAGTCGTTCTAGTCTTCGTCACGGCCTCTTGGTCATGGAATGCCGCGACTGAGACAAAACTATCCAAAATGACCGAAACACCCTCTCTCGACCTGGGCGACGGTAACTTCTTCAACTCAGCTTTTACTGTCTATATAATGTTCCGGTTCTTCTACGAGATGCTGCAGACATACATCTACTGGTTGATGGCTGAGATCAAGGGAGCACAGGCAGACGGCGATGTCGCGAGAACAACCGGAATCCTGAGATCATGGGAGTCTATAGGCAGCACAATAGCCTACGCGGTTGGCACAACCAACTGGGGCAACTTGAACCAGATGATACTGGGATTTGCACTATGGGGTTTCACTATCCCATTCACAACCATTGCGGTTTTCGGCAATATGGCCCAACTTGACACGTTTGATGTGGAGGACCAAGCAAGCAGCAGCAATCTCGAGACTGAAGGGGTGATTGTCGGTCCTGAAGGGAAAGATTAGATGAATAAAACTTAGATTTAATTCTAAAGACCAAAATGAAGACCCGAAGGCTGGAAAAATTTGAGCCCTCCAACCTTACAGGATTCCGCGGTTCCTTGAAACGCTTCCTTCTACTAATTAAGCTTATGGACTTTGATACATTGATAGGTAGATCACCAGATCAGTCTGTATAAAGACCTACCCAGAGTTTATAGATGAGCAGCACAATCTTACTCGCCGCGACTGACGATGACAATCTTGATGGTAATGATCTCTGAGTGTCTGATAAGTAATAAGGTATCACGTTCATACAATTTCATTGTTTTACTTGATACCTTGGAAGACTTGATTATATTTTTTTAATAAATAGATCAAAGACTTCAAATGGGCTCGAAAGAATCAAAAAATAGCTCAAAAGAATCTTTGTAAAGATTTCTCACTCCAACAAAGATCATTATCTAAACTATTGATTCCATTGTTCAAATAGGCTCTGGTATTGCAAGACCTATACTCTTATCCACCAAGTCAAGTATAAATCTATTAATGGTTCCCACCTATAGGGGCACATCGAGACTTGACGCAAATTATTACAAGATATTAAGCAAAGTCAAAATTGAACAGTCGCATAACAATGGAAACCCCGGAAATTTTCATGGAGGCTCGGGCTAAATGGGTCAAGCAACTTGATGTTTGGGCTCGAGGAGATAAACGACTATGGAGCCCAATATCAATTGCAAACTGGCTCGACCGCCGAGCGGAAGATCTAGATGATGCTAGATGGCTTATCGATCTAAGAGTGGTAGAAGTAGGCCTTTGCTTTCAAATTCGCACCCAAAACATCCGCAAAGAAATGTGTTCGCTGAAAAACAAGCTCAATATGCAAATTCTAGTTGAATGGGACGATATCATATTGATGCGAATGCTGGCTAGACAAGTTGCGAGACTTACCCTATATGGATTGGACGAGTCTGATAGCTATGCACAAATGGCACATTGGGAAGCAAAGGTTTATGATATGCAGCTGAGGTCCCGAGGGCCAAAAGCTGACCAAGTAGTGGAACAGAGACACAATGAGCTTTGTGTCATTTGGGGAAGCCTGTTTTTCTCTTCTACCATATGCAGGTGTGCACAATGCAAAACAATGCAATTCGAAGCAAAGGAAACATCAAATTTTCTGAGACTTCCAGAGGCTCAACAATGATCAAACAGATACCAAGCCCATTCTTGATGAAACTTTAAATGTTGAAGAAAATCCAAGCATCAAGTAATCCGTTATTTAGTATTCCTGCACTGAGGCACTTTGGCCCTGTGAGGCTGGTTCACTATCAATCTTGGGAAAATCCAAGTGCATGAGTCAGATATCAAAAAAAAATATTTGTTTTGAAGTAATTTCTTTCCTGTAATGTCGATACCACTAGACCAAAGTGGGGCACAGGACCAATGGTTCCGATGCTGTTGGTTCGACATGAAGTGAATCTAGCGAGTTTTGTCTATTTAGTTACAGCGAGGATAAGATTGAATAACACACCTCTTACAACTTCGCATCGACGCACCTAGATCTATTCCATCAAGAATACTAGTTGCATATGCACCGTAAGAACGTCACCGTTCCGATATGTAAACATTGAATTGGTCTGTATCTCCGCGTTTAATATCCTCAGGCGATGTAATCGAGATAATACCTTCCGACAGAGCTGTAGGTTCCGGGTGCCAGCACGCCTTGCATTCTTAATGCGTTCCATCAATAATCCGATCACACGGCTATCTTCTTTTATATGGCCAAGGAATCGGGGACAGATATCATGGCCCTCGATCCATTGGCAAGCTGAGGTCTCACTTTCTCTATATATAGGATCTCCCAGTCAAAACGAGCGGATTTAACCACAATCGCATCATCAAACAGGGGGAATTTGACTTCATAAATGGGCGAAATGGGGTTGCAATCCACTTCGTTTTTAATCACTCCCCAGCAGGTAGTGGGGTCCAAAGCACATATCTATATGTTCTTCATTATACTCCATACAGATCAGGGTCTACGGTGAGATATTTTATGGACCTATTGGCCAGAGGGCGAGATAAACTCTTATCATTTTCGTCAACTTCTGCTTAAAGCAATTCGACTTTCTTTAAATGCACGTCATCACGACGGGCAATCATCAGACAGAAAGAAGAATCCGAATATGTTGAGGTTTGTTTTCCTAGTTGAATCTATTTCGAGATCATGAAATGCTCAACGTTGTAGCGTACTATTGATCGAAAGCCCCGGAGACTCGAAAAAGTCAGAACTCATGTGAAGGGTACCTGGTTGACCCCTGCTGCCAGCGGCTCTGGAGAACACGTGGGGCATGTGGAGACAAAAGCTTCGTAAATAATTCTGGTTTGTCATTGATGATAAATATCCATCAAATAGCGGAATTAAGGATTTATAATCGCGCAAAATATAAGGCCGATTTGCGATAAAACACATGCAAACCTTCCAAACAAACCAAGTCAAACCAATTCAACCAATTATATCTCCATTTCGACCGCAGTGTACCAGCATCAAAGGATTTCAAACATTGACGAAGATGGCGTATCGCGCTCTTCGACCGGCTTCCACCCTTCGCTGTAGCCCCCGTACTCTAGGATCCACTTACAGACCAGGCCCTACTTTATTATCTGTCCGCACCCCGCCTGTATCTCCATTCCCCCTCCATCAATTCTCATCCTCTCCCAAATCCCCTTCCTCTCAATCCAAAATGTCTACCCAAGGCCTCATCGCCGCCGCCCAGGGCCGCCGTACCATCTACCAGCTTGGCAAGACCAGCCCTGTTGACGATGCCAAGATCGAGGAGCTCGTTAACACTGCCATCCTGAACGTCCCCAGCTCGTTCAACACCCAGTCCACCCGTCTCGTTGTCTTGCTGCGTGAAGAGCACGAGGCTTTCTGGCAGTTGGCTCTGGACACCTTCCCTGAGGGCTTCCACGGCAAGCTGAACGGCTTCAAGGCTGCTTTCGGCACTGTAAGATCTCACCTCGCGTGCGGTCCCCGTATCCATTGACTTTATACTAATACCCTTTAGGTCCTCTTCTTCGAGGACCCTGCCCACATCAAGGGCTTCCAAGACAAGTTCCCCGCTTTCGCCGACTCATTCCCCATCTGGGCCGACCACTCTAACGCCATGCACCAGTACTTCCGTACGTTACAACTATTTATCACATTCCTACCACCTAAAGCCGAGTTCTCCCCTTAATCAAGATCACATATTAACATGTTCGTAACAGTCTGGTCTGGCCTCGAGTCCCTCGGCTTCGGCGCAAACCTGCAGCACTACAACAGCACCAACGGCTTCGCTGAGAAGTGGTCTATCCCCGCTGACTGGCGTCTCATTGCCCAGCTTGTCTTCGGTAACCCCGAGGGCGCTGCTGGTGAGAAGACCCAGAAGCCTGTCGAGGAGCGTGTCAAGTTCTACGGCAAGCAGTAAGCGATATATACCCTCTTGTGTAACCGTTCGCAGGTCTGACGCGCTTTCGTCTTTGTATATATTCGTCTGTGCGCTCGCACATGTGAGATCGGCATTATGATAACCCCTTTTTATAAATATATCCTGTTTAGTCCCTTGGCAAAAATCGACAGAACCTTAATCTCACCAACTCTAACAACAGTTTGGGTTCGTTTCTCCTCTTCTAGCACCTTTTACCCTTCTTCTTAAGCTTATGAGCTTTTGCCTCTTCAGATCCCTCTGATATTTGCTAGAATAGCTCTTCATAAAGAGCTATTCGGAATTGACTAAACGTCAATTACTATAGACCCTATCTTTCATAGGATATTTTGCAATATAATGCGAATTAACAATAGATACATCAAGAATCCAATAAAATATTGGCCACCAAGAGCGTAAGCAATTTCTACACGTCTCGTAGCTTGCACAGAGCTGATTCGCGCGATGAACAGCTCCCATTTGGTGATTATCATCATTAAATATTCGAGGGATAAGCAGCTCCTTTTGAGATGAATCTGAATCTGAATCTCTAAATGGCTCACGCACGATATTCGCGCTAGTAGATGTTTTTGCTGGTCGTTTTCGAAGATGTGGAATCCGATCCATAGGTTTAACAACATTATTATCATACCACTCTATGTGGAGGACAGAGTCCACAGAAGTTGTATAAAGGTCATTTCTCGTATTGATGACTTTTTTGACTCTTTTAGTGCATTTAGGGCCTCTGGGAAGCGAGATCTTGAAGCTTTTGAAGGTTAAATCCTCAAGCCTATCAACCTCCACAAGAGGCTTCTGTAACTCGCTCAAATCTAATACAATATATATCCTTGGTCAGCTATAGTGAATAGGTAGCGACAACATTTAAGGGTTCCCAATATTCAAGACATGTAACACGAGTTTTAGAAGTAAAAGGTTCTATCTTATACCACCATGTTTGACTTCTAAGGTTGGCTTTAGATAGTTGTAAATCCTCACTAATAGCAGCCTTAGGATCAGTGTCAAAAACATGGAAGAATCGCTTGATTTGCTGAAAGTGATAGGAATAGCATAAAATTTGGAGGTAAATGGAATGAATGGCTTTGAATCTTGCTGCCAATACTTCATCCTCTCTTTCAGAGTCGGGCACTCCTATATAAATAATTATAGCTAGGAATATCATCAGAGTGTAGCATCAGACCACTTCTTAGATCCTGAAGACAGTCAGTCAAAGGTTAGAAGAAATTCTTTTGTATACGAGGGGATAGATATTGATTGGATCAATTGATTGATCCAATTTTTGTTCTCGAATGATATCTATGTTTTCAGGTCTATCATTTGATGTCACTGTTTACATTCGTTAGGAGTACTACAGATTCAACACTTGAAGGCTCACTTAGTATTTGAGCTTTGTTACTTATGCAACCTTGGAAGAATTTGATAGCAGAGCTATTCCATATTTGCATGGAGATAGTCTAAGTAAGAAAGATAAAAAGCCTCATAACAAAAGAAACACCCTTACCAAACAGAAACAAACCACTGAATAATAATTTACCGCGATTCACGATACCACAATGCAGGAGGGTCACCTAGACACTCACCAACAGTAACAGCTAAAAACATCAGCACCGGCCCCTAAAACTTACAACTGGCAAAAACTTACTAGTAAGCCCACGCACCTCAATAGCGTCCAGCATATTATACATAAGCAGCTCAACAGTAGTCCGGTAAGTATCATGGGCGAGGACGATATTCCCACCAGCGTTCAACTCAGCCAAAAACTTCTCATAACTGCGCCAGTTTGTATCAGGACGATCATTCTCAAAGTCCTTAGTGTCGATGCTCGTGCCGATAACGTGGTACCCCAAGTCGTTCAGTGTGGACAGGACAACATTGTTGGTTAGGAGGTAAGGGGCGCGCATGTAGGTTGGGGAGCGACCGATTATGCGCTCGAATGAAGATTCAAGGTCGGTCATTTGGGATGCTATTTCTTTTTTGGAGAGGTTTGGGAGGTATGGATGGCTCCATCTGGAGTTTGTTTTTAGTCTTCATCCCATTTTAATATGTGGAGGGTATTTGTACGTATGAGAGCCGAGCTGGTGCCCTTCATTCAGAGCTCGCTTGACCAGGTCTGGATATGCGTCGATGTGACCTCTGTTGGCACCGTTGAGGAAGAAGGTTGCGTGTGCACCGTGCTCAGCCAGCAAGTCTAGCATCTGGGCTGTGTATATCCACGGCCCGTCGTCGAAGGTGAGGGCAATTGTTCCGGAAACTGTGCAGTGGTTGATCACGGATCCAAATGGGACTTTGGAAAGCTGAGTCACGTTGACGGACTCTTGAAGGATGGACTGGGAGGTACAGGGCTGAGGAATAGCGACTTCCAGTGATGCTGTGCCCAAAAGAAAGACTGAGGTAGGTACAGGCAGGTGCATTTTGAATGAGTGTGCAATTAGGATAACTGGATATGAGTGAGGATCTAGGTATTGTCTGAATAAAGCGAAGGAAGGAAGTTAAGTCGGGTGTAGATGTTCGATGGAGGCAAGAACGGATATAGTTGCTGCCAACTACACTATAGCCATGGGTGGGATGTCCTTCGACTCCGATATAGGGACTACTACAGGGGAGATAGATGTTCAATAAATCATTGAGACCAAGTCAGAGCCAAAGCACTAATTCAGTCTGTAGCTATTAGGCGATAGATGCAGCAGCTAAACAAAAACATAAGCAAGCCACCAACAATTCGACATAAATTAGGCAACACAGATCATCTGGGGGACAAGAGTATATCACAAAGAGATAAAGAGTAAGACATTCGCCTCGAGCATTTCGGCTTCTCCAATTTTGACTTAAGAAAAGCTTCTAAACACGAAGAGAGAAGAAAGTAGAGTTATTCCCAGATGTCCGCATACAAGAGAGAATGAAGCATTTAACCCTTACGAGTAGACTTCTTCGTCAGCTTGCGCTGACCCTTCTGGTTCTCGCGCTCAAGGAATTTCCGCTGCTCGTCCGCAGTCATACCACGGAGCAAGCGCTCACGCTCATCCTTCTTGATCTTCTCTGCTGCGAGCTTGCGCTCCTCGGCCTTCTCCTCCTCTTCGACTCGGCGCAGCTTCTTGATCTCATCCTCACGGATGCTGCGAACTTTGCGCATGACCTCGGGGCGGAAGTGGCCAGCAGCAACAAGCTTGTCGGTGAAGCGCAGGAACTGGTTGAAAATGGGAAGGGTTGAGGCGTAACCGTCAGCGGGAGAGAGGTTAACGGAGAGCTGGATACGCTTCTTGGGGATAGTCTCGTTGATTCTGTAAGAATGTATGTTAGGAAATTTGCTGCAGTAGTGACTATAATTTGAGGAGGAAAACATACTTGGTGGGCTTGTCAACAGGCTGGTCGGTGGCGATCAAAAACTCAAAATCGTTACCGGCCTGTTCGATGGCCTTGATAAGTTCCGGAGTAAGAAGAGTCTCAGTGATTTCAGCATTCTCGGACAATACGCTGACCCAGGATGGAAGCTTGGGGTGGTCCTTAGAGTAAGCCAGGGATGCGTCGTAACGCTCAACGCGGAACTTAGACATATAGCTCTTGTGGACAATGGCCCAGATGAAACCATCGTAGGTTGAGTTGTTCACCTTCAATGGGTTGGTATCTTTAGCCAAGACAGGGACGAGATCCTTCTCCTTGCCGTCGAAGGCGTACAACAAGGCCTCGTACTTCTCAGAAGGAGCCTCCCAGCTCTCGAAAAAGAAGCTCAGGACATACTCCATCAAGTAGGTGATAGGGTTGTAGCGCTTAGGCATCTTCAGGTTGACATCTACGAAAGCAACATTCTGACGACCTGACGCATAGGTAGTGAACTCGTTAGGCGCCTTCTCCTTGATGCTGGTCTCGGGATCGGCGACCTCCACTGTGATAGATTCAGTTTCGGATGCTGACCGAGGAACACCGTCAAAGCCAACCACAGCAAACTCCTTCTGCAGCGCGGGAACATGGACCTTGGCCCACTCACGGGCCTTGCTGCGATTGTGTCTCGTGCCCCAGAGATGGAACAGGACGATAATCAGGATGAATGGCATGATCATAGCCTCCTGCTTGAAATCCGAAGGCGAGGTCCGCTCCCAAACCCGATACCATTTTGTGTAAGGAGTAGCGCTCACACCAGTGGAACCAAAAACCGGGGCAGTTGTATCTGCGACAATGGCGGCAGGCGATGGGCTCGCAGCCTCGACGAAATCGGCGAAGTCTAAGATAACGATGTTAAGCCATTGTCTCGAGCCAATTGCGCGAAAAGAAGTCAAGAAGCTTACCATCGTCAGAATTGGCAGCGCCGGATGGCTGGGCGCCAAAAATGTTCTTGAACAAGCCCGCCATGGTTAGATTGAGGATGATGGAAAAGGAAAGGAGGTGGGAAGAAGCGAGGTGCGGAGCTCTAAGCTGCGGTGGCATTTAGCGCCCCCACGAATTCTCCATAGTTTCTACGATCCACTGTGTCATTCTAAATATCAAAAATATCAAAAAATGTCAAAAACGTCAAAAATGTCATAAATTCTTTCCTAAATCATCTTTCATCCCATCGAAATTCATATGGTATCCAGCGAAACAAACGAAATTTTTAAAAAAAGACATAGAGAGCGCCAGAACAGAAAAGAAAAAAAACCACACTTTAATACACAAATTTTAGTACAACCAACACGCAAAAGAAATGGCGATTTTATAGGAACAAGTCCTGAAGCAAAATAAAAAGTCGTGAGGGGTCGTTATATGTCGAGACTTGCTCGGATGAAAAGAAATGGTAAAATGAGTGGAGAGAGCACGCGATCAGTGATCAGTGTCCATATGCCGGAGGTGGAGCATCTTCCTGGGCGCGAGTCCAGAAGTTGCTGCATGGGTTGTTCATAAGTTTTTCATCGCGCATGCGACGAGCGATTTCACCAGCCAGTCGTTCGACTAGGAGAGAATCGACCGATGCACCAGAGAGCGGGTCTTCCTTGCTGAAAGGAAGTATAGTGGCGGGCAACTGCGACCGAGCGGCGCCGGATGAGGGACCAGGCTCGGCCTTCTCCTTAGGCCAACCACGTAAAGTAGCACGAGGAGTGGTATCCACGTCCTCCTTCTTCTCCTTCTTAGGAGCGCGAATGGTTTCAGTAGAGTAGGATGGCTCTCCAATTTCATGTGACAAAACACTGGGACGTAATGGTATCGGTCGGGAAAGGCTCAATCCATGTCGGTCGGGGATAGTTGGGAGACCGAAGTCGCTTTGCGGGTGGAACGGAGGTGTCACTGGGTCATCGCACATCTCATTCACTCGAGGCAGAGGCGCAGAGTATATAGACGGAGGACAGCTGGATTCTGTTATGGCTTCGTCGCTGACACTCATGGCGTCATCAGTGGTCTTGGGGCGACGCAGATCGACCACGCGCTTCTTTCGCCTCCGGGAGTGAGCCTTTGAATGTCGACCCGCGCCGAGCTGTAGTCCAGAGTGTATTCCAGAGGTGCTGAATGAAGAGCTGCGGCTTTGTAGCGACGCAACGCTGGCTGTCTCGTGTATCGACGATGCCAGGCTACCAACCTGTGAATGAGTTCGAGACATTGCTGGGCTCAAGGGAGAGATAATACTGGCTGGGGAGTCGCTAGAATCGTAGGGAGAAGTCCAAGCCCGGTAAACCACTTCTTGGATGGAGGGCGTGAACAAAGATAGGGTTCGTTGGGAGTCGGTCAATGCGGCAAGGCGAAGGAGATTCTTATGTGAAAACAGAGAATGCGTTTCGACCGATGAATCTAGAGAAAGAGATGCGATCTCAGATTCGTTCAATGCGTTACCCAGTGAATCCACTGGATCTTGCGGAGGGCTGGCCAAAGGATCCTGGCCCGGGCCTTCGCCTGTCTCTTTGTTCATCTCCTCTCCTGTGCGATATTCAGGAACCCACAAGCGAAGTGACAGGCGGTGAATGATTGCGGGCAGTTCGTCCATAAACAAGATTCGTAGCTGCGCTTCTATCGCTTTTTGAAGAAAGTCGCGCACGAATGGGATTGAATCGAATGTTGACGAAACCTTCAACGACTCCAGGGGATCGTTTCGAAATACAACCGTGATTCCTTTTTGCTTGGAAAAAACTAGAATAACAAAGCCGGAGAGTTTGAAGTCGGAGAGGGTAATTTGAAGGGGGATAGTAAGCGGGGTTCTAGAGATTCCATAGATGAGCACAAGGAGCAAAGAATATTTTGCGACGCCGACATCAAAGAATATAGAATACTTACGCTGCGGCTAAAGGTTTTGGCGATGCGAAAGCAGGTCTTGTGATGAGGTATGTGTTGAGAGGGTTGGCTTGAACGCGAGTCTTCAGCGTCAAGAATGCGTCGCCGGAATAAGACATCTTGAAGATGCCACGAAAGCGATCTTCTGCCAGATCGCCAATCTCCAGAATCTCTAGATCTGGAGGCATAGAGCCCAGGTTGAGTTCTGTGACTATAATATCATCGACAATGATGGGAGGTTTCGGTGATTTATTGAGCGCGTCTGTAAGAAGTTCTTGGGCCCGAGTGTAAAAACTCGCGTCCGCCATAAGTGGCGACCAGTTGAAGTTGAACGCCATGCCCGAGCATTGAGAAAGAGGAGAGAGTCGTATAAAGCAGTGAAAACCAGTTATCCCACTGGGGTGCGGGATGGAGGAGGGTGGAGGTTGAAGTCGGGAATAGGAATATGGGAAAAAAAAGGAAAAGCCTTCCGGGTCATCGCGTGCCCACTGATGCCCCGACCAACTTTGTGACTGATTCTTGTCCCGCTTTCCGTTTCCGTTTTAACTACTCTTTCTCCTTTGACTAATCAGTTTACTTCATAGTTAACTATTTTCTTTTTGAATCTAATGCAGTAATAACTTATTGCATGTTCCCTCCAGAACTAAAGATTTCTCCGGGGTACGTCACATCAAGTGATTGTTGCATGAACTCCACTTCTTCCGAAGAACCCCGAATATCACATTCCCAGGGGACCTATTACATTTCTTGCTATTGTTAGGAATCATAGAATGATCGGGGCTGTTCATACTACTAGCAAACTGGGGGAAAGGGGTAACTAACTACATCTGGGTAAACAGCCAAAAGGTCCCATTCAAGCCGCTTGAATTATTAAGCGGGCCAGAAAAAGTCAATCCCCCGACTATCAAGACCTCCTGATTCTTGACTATTCCTGACTATTCTTGACTAGGCCCCTTTTTCAGGGCTGGGGTATCATCATTGGTACAGAGCCTTCATTGTATACGCCATACACTTCTAGTCGAAGGCTTCATCAAACAAATGAACCCGTATTTTTCCAAAGTTTCTGATATCTTCGAGTTCGCCCTATGGTATGAGTTATCTTGTATACATACAAAGTATTTACATCTTCCGCAGTTCTATGCATACCTAGAGACTAGATATGAGAGAAAAGCAAAGAATGTACATAGTAACTAGAAGACGACTATCCCTTTTCTACTCCGTCTATGCCGTCCACACCGATTCAAGGTTTGACTTTTGAGCCACCCAAAGACTTGGGCCGATTGAACCGAATCCTTACAGTCAATGCTTGGGAATTCTAACTAGTCTGATAGCCAAGAAATATTAATTAGAGTCTGGACTCTGGCCACCTAGGTGCAAAAAGATAGGTATTGCCGAATCAACCCCGACTAAGGGCTATACTTGAAACAGAAATATTAAAACCTTCTACCTAGGTACCCTCACATCGGCAATCAGCCCTAAGTAACAGGCTTTGCATCACTGTACTTGGCTATCTAAAGGCCTTGAAACCGAATCATACTGATTTACTGTCTAGGTACCATGTACTATCTGAAGAGAGACGTCTGCGCTCAACTAGTAATTACTTGAATATACGTGAACTTCATCTTAGGTCCTGCCACATCTAGTGCAACTGCGTGTTGCTGTGGTCCTGACAGTCCTCGAATGGTGGCGTTATTATATTCTTTGTGGCAAAGTATAACACGGGCCTGTGATTGGCCTGATGTGTCAATATGGCTCACCACGACAACAATGCACTAAACTACTTTGGGATAAACGTCAATACTGTGGACCTCATCGAATCTGCCCTCGACATCAATCTCTATTAAATCCGCCCCTCTTGAACTTCCAACTTGCCCATGGGACGGTATTGCCAATAATTATAGAACAACCTATCTATCTACCCCGAATCGCGTTAGACTGGTTAATCCCGAGTCGCGCAACACAAAATGGAACGCCAAAAGCCCGCGACAAGGACAGTCGCGCCGCGAAAGGTTTATGGTAAGCGGAGGAATAACGCGACGCGCGCTGTCTTTTTCGATCACCAAAGCCCTTCAAGAGTCTCACCACTTTCATCAAAGGATGTCAATGTGAGGATAGAGGCTATCCAGACGAAGTTGAGCAAGGTGACACTCAATGAGGTATCAGCGTCAGAACCACCTGACGTACATTCAAATTGTACTTCGACTTCTATTTCGACCTCCACTTCCAAAGTACCAAAGCGGAGTTCTACTTCCAAAATCAAATCTCCATTAAAATCCCCTCCTTCGGTCCATCTTCCTCCCCCACCATCGTCCCTTCGACAACCTCCCAAGAACCTAACTCGACAACCCGTACGAACTACTGCTATTGAAACCCCAAAACCAATCGCAACCATGATTGATCTGAGTTTGAACGCTCCTAGTGCCGCTCCTTTTGCTCTCCACGTCGATGAAGACGAAGATCCCAATATCACCACTGGCCCCACTGAACTCAATGTCGCCGAAGTTACTGCTGCTTTGGCAAGCCAATTTGTTCCAGGAACTGAGGCTAATATCAATATCCATCCCATCTTGAATGGAGACCTATCCTCTACTTCCATCCCAGCTACCAACGCTAAAGTTGATGACCCTGAGTGCATGTCCAACGTTCCTACTTTCATCCAAGATGAAAAGACAAACGACTATGTTCGTCCTATCTTGTGTTTGGCTAGCTCTCGCTACGCAGCGTACAAGGTTCAAAATTTCGCACGATGGGGATCGTCCAATGCCGACATGTTCACCATTGTCAAGCTTGCCGAGGGTTCTTACGGCGAAGTTTACCAACTGCAGTTTCGCGAGGACCGCGTCAACACTGTCTTCTCCAAGTCCCGATTGGACAGACTGCGCAAACTTGGAACCGGAATCCTGAAAGTAGTTCCTCTGCGAGCACGGACTGGTATGGGATCGCGCAGTTTTACCACCATTCCAGAGATTGTTGCCGAGCTCAAGATGTTGAAATATCTTGATCCTATTCCTGGTTTTGCTCGCTTCCGCGCTGTCGATGTCGTACAGGGTCGTTTGCCTGAGCCTTTCCAGGATGCCTGGAACAACTACAAGCGGCTCCATGCCGAGGACTGCTGGAATGCTAACCCGGCTAGCAAGAAATCATATCCAGATACACAGCTCTGGGCGATTATCGAGATGGAGAACGCAGGCTGTGAGCTTGAGAAGTTTGGCTGGACCTCAATTTTCCAGGTCTATGATATATTCTGGGGAGTTGCTATGTCTTTGGCTCGTGCGGAAGAATACGCCCAGTTTGAAGTATGATATTCTTGACTTCATTCATAACATCCAATGTGCTGACTTCTGTTTAGCACCGTGATCTCCACATGGGCAACATCTGCATTAGGTCCAGGCGCGCGGATGGATCTACTAAGCCTCCTACTTTTCGTGAAATTGCGGACTGGACTATGTACGGTCAAACCTCCAAGCGCATGTCGCCCAGCGGTTTCGGAATCAGTGGCCTCGAAACCACCATCATTGACTACACCCTTTCCCGAGCTGTTATCCGTGATGACCCCAATGATCCGGAAGGTTCGTTTGAAGTCGCTTCGACCGATCTGGACAAGAAGCAACTGTTCGACTCCACTGGTGAAGACGAGGGTGAGGTGCTGCTTCGTGATACCTACCGATTGTGAGTTCTACAGATATCACTTTTCTACAATCTTCAAATAACTAACAATCTTAATAGCATGCGCGCTGCGCTATATCACGGTCAGCCTTCACAGACCGAGAAGACTGCTGATATTCCTGGCGTCTGGGGCGAGTACTCCCCGCGGACCAACCTGGTTTGGCTCGTTTTCCTTCTCAAGTCCCTCCTAAAAAACGTCGTGCCTGGGCTTTCTGAAGAGGAGTGCGAGGATCTAGGCAAGAACTTTTCGCCTAAGGTCATGAGGTTGGAGGAGGAGGAGACGTCGACAGTGGCCCAGAATTTCAAGGAACGACTTGATAGCGTTCTTTGCCTTCTGGACTTCGCCACCGGCCACGAAGATATTTGCTGCGCGGCCGACTTGATTGCGTATGCTATTGATTCCAAGTGGCTGGTGGCTCAGGATTTTTTCTAGATCGGCCTCGGCCAGTTAAGGACTTTTTGATTATTTTCAACTTATACCCCATCATCTTATTCTAGCGGGGGGATATCCTAAATATTATGAATTATGAAGTTATTCAGAGTTTGAACTTTATTTAAGGTAATAAACCAAAATATAAACTATACTAGGTATTATATGGCTGTTGGGCTCCGAATATTTGACATGATTAGAGCGGCTAGAACTCTGGAAGTCGAAGATGTATATATTAGAGATATTCCTAGATTGGAAGAATAGGTGAAGAGATGAGGAAGGAAGGAGAGAGACTAACTACTCCAGAGCTGTGTATATAGTACAAGCTGCGTACGTATATATATATATATATATATATATATACGGATATGCTAAATTATAAAAACTGCGTCAGTGAAATTGGAAGTGAAGGTCACTAATTATAGAACGCTTCCACCTTATTCTCCAAGGTTTGGAAGACTTCTGATTCATGGACCTAGTCGCATGATTCCGTACAAGAGTAGATATAGGAGTAGATACGAAGATGAAAGAGGTAGAAACCTAGAATATGTTCTTCTAAAAGTCTAACTTATATAATAGCACTTCTGCTTGAGATAGAAAAAGAGATTGAGCGTGAATGGAACGTGATGTTCCTCATCAGTCATAAATCGTCGTATGAAGATCATCATGCTCTCTCATCTCGACATGAGGAAGCTCAGTAGACTGCCTGCCGTCAAGCCTCCTACAAGCATCATACTCATAAAGCCACCAGCGGCATGGCGCTCCTCAGCGGAAACCCAGTAGGTGGCACCCATCATGCAGCTAGATGCCAAGAATCCATTACTAGCTCCGAAGAGAAACTGCACAACGAAAAGGTAGAAGAGGTCGCTCTGTACTGCAGCGCCTCGACCGTTAATATTGCACAGCAGGTAGAGCGGGATAAATCCCACACGGGCAATCGAGAAGACAAGTGCAAACCAAGGTCGGTGTGCTAGTGAGAGTCTCGGGATTGCCACGGCCATACGACCTAGGAAATCGCCTAAATTCCAGACAAGAAATGCAAGTGGGATAAAGACAGGCGCGTCATACATGCGAGATTTCTCAGGGTTGTTGACCGACAAGATTTCCGCAGTATAGACTGGGAATGACATCATGGTGATCGTGAAGCACAAAGCCACGGAGCATGACAGATACCGCAGCTTATTGAACAACGACCACAAGCTTATTGACTTGCTATGAGCACCATCCATGAGGGACTCGTTCTCGTTCTCATTTGATGATTTTAGCTGGGGACTGGCCCTAGTTTTGATCAGATAAAAGAAAGCCAGAAGAGTGACCACTGATACACCGGTGGCAGTGATGAAGTAAATGAAAGCCGACTTCGGCGATGATCCTTGCATATATTGGTCTTGATCACTGGAAGCTTTGCGTGGCACGGCCAAGACAGAGGCAATCTGGACAAGGCACGGAAGAACACCAGCAACGCCTTGTCCAGCCATGATCGCCTGCGTATACTCTTCTCTTCCAAAGCCGGAGACAAACGCGAAGACGCCATTCTGGATAATACCCGTCGCCAAGCTTGCGCCGAAGACCATGACCATCAAAAATGCAAAGTAGGCCCGGACTGAAGCATCTTTCAAGAGTGTTGACAATGCCAAGAGGGTGAATACAATGCAATATATAACAAGTGATATTGTGATGCGGCGCGTGTAGGAGACGTTCTTCTGGATTTTAGCCAGGGTGTATACCGTTCCGAGGTTGGTGACGGTTGAGACTGAAAGGATCGAAGACTGGTAATGAGTGGCTATCCAATCATTTGACTGGAATCGACTGTAAAAGTAAGGTGCAGCCGCTAAGAACATGTTCCTATACAACTCGGGTGCCGATTAGTGTACTGAGTGAGACCTTTGAGAACATGCGTTCTGCGACGAGATAGAAGTTGCTTCCTCGGGAGATCTCACCAGGACCATAGCATTGCTACTCCCAGAAGGAGGAAGATGCCATATTCCAATCGCGAAAAGCGAGACCACGGCCGAGCATGTTCCCTGTCGGTGATTTCAGCCTCCACGTCCTCGAGGGGCTCGTATGCGGCAGGCCCAGCTGTAGCTCTGCGCTCAGTTATAAGTTTACGAACATAGTCCATTGTTAGAAGTAATATTTGCCTAGTGAATTACAACTGGACTTGAAGTTGAGGGAGTGGAAGCTTCCCCATTGATGTGGACCCTCGCATCTGTGATGATTCAGCAGACCAGGTGACCTCGGGAGATCCACTTGCAAGCCGCCATAATAAGCCATAGTTGACTAGATATCAAGAAGTGTACAAAATTATGGGTAATGAAGTTAAACAACTATGGTTATATGGAGTAGTACAACTAAAAGCTTAGAGTCACGGCCTGAATTGAATGGCAGAAGGGAGAATGGGTATTTATTTCTGTATTATCGTTTTTATCTATGCATTGCAAGCCCATAAAATCTATTCTCTATCGATATTTTCACGATTAATCCAACAATGCAACAAGAGTATGAAAAGAGTAATTTCCAAAAAAGAGCTGAGTGTATGAGTGTCCACATTGGACCTCTCAGTAGGAGAGATATAATCAAACATAAGAGTCACAAATCTATTTTTTGATAGGTGTTCGTTCCTCTACTTCTTCTTCTGAAACATTCTCTGCCTCTTTTTCGAGCTCCCAGAGCTCCTCAATCTCGATAGGCCGGGCAGGAGGGTTGACGGGTTCGCCACCGCTCATTTGCCATTCCATGAGCTTAGTGAACGCGCCATCTGGGCGGGAGCTGAGGTCCTTGTAGGATCCATGTTCTGCGACAGTGCCATCAGGGGCGAGAACGATGATCGTGTCTGAACGCTTGATCGTAGACAAACGATGGGCAATACTGATGGTTGTGTTGTTGCTACTTAGCAGGGCTGCCAATGCCTCGTTGACCAGTGTTTCCGACTCAGCGTCAAGGGCAGAAGTTGCTTCATCAAGGATCAAAATATCTGGCTGCTTGATAAGAGCACGAGCAATGGCGATGCGTTGCTTTTGTCCACCAGACAGCTGGGCGCCACGCGCTCCAACATGAGTGTCAAGTCCATCCGGCTAGAAACTTTGTTAGCATGGAAAGCTACATCGATATGATGTGGTTGGACGTACAAAGTCACCGATAAACTGGCAATTAGCCTTGCGCGCCGCAATAACGATTTCTGATCGCGTTGCATCAGGTCGGCCATAGGAAATGTTATCAGCGACAGTCCCCGAGAACAAGACAGGCTCCTGTGCAACAACACCAATCTTTCTACGAAGAGACTTGGCATTCATACCACTGATATCCTTGCCATCAATGAGCACCCTACCCGCCGTGGGGCTGTAGAATCGAAGCAAGATGGAGGCAATAGTTGACTTGCCACCGCCAGAGGGACCGACGATGGCAACGTTCGTTCCTTGCGGAATCTCAAAGTCCAGATTCTTGAAAATAGAAACAGCGGGTCGAGTTGGGTAGCTGAAGGAGACATTCTCAAAACGGATGGGACCACGAGCGGAAACCACCTTATCACCCCTGGTAGGATGAATCGTTGGTTGTCGGTCTTGGAGCTCGAATAGTCGGCTTGCAGCACCCACGCCTTTCATAAGCTCCGAATAGAAGCTTGAAAGACCAAACATGCTGGATCCAGCGTATGCAGTGTACATTAAGAAAGAAGTCAGCTCACCAATACTGATAGCGCCGGATTGAACCATGCCTCCTCCAACGTAGAGCAGGCATAAAATCGTCATGTTGCCCATTAAACCAGTCTAAGAAAAGTCAGTTACGAAATTCACAACAGACATCTTTATAGATACTGACCGAACTGAAGAAAGCAGCGCTAATGAGAGATTCCTTCTTGCCGGTTTCAAAGATCTTGCGGACTTGCTTGTTATATCGATTCACCTCAAGAATTTCGCCTGCGAAAGACTGGCTAGTCTTCACGTTACCCAGGCGCTCCTCGGCAATCTTGGTCAATGTGCCTAAGTTTTTCTGGATCGTTCGACTGAGGTTTCGGACTGCTCGTCCATAAAAGAAGGCACTCAGACCAATTGGCGGCAGTAAGAGGAACAGGATACTTGATAGCTTCAAGCTGGTATAGGCCATCAATGTGAATCCAGCAGCACCACTGACAGCGGCACGTAGTCCATCTGATAAGTTCTGGGTGATACTCTTACCCACAATAATGGTGTCTGAACCTAGGCGAGAAATCAAGTCACCGACTCTGTTTGCGTCGAAAAATTCGGCATCTTGGATGAAGGTTTGGCGGAATAGCTTGGAGCGCAATCTGGCAACGATACGCTCACCCACGATGCGGAGAATGATGATGCGACCATAGTTAGCAGCTGCGCCAACAACCAGAACTCCACCAAGAACACTGTAGAACATCGGAAGACTCATTCCAAACAGCTGGCCGCCACCCTCAGCCACCCTCTTCGTCGCAGTATCCATGATCTTTCCAATTGACAAGGGGATGGACATGGTAATGCCAGAAGATATTAGCAAGAAGAAGAAGGCGAAACCGAGCCATTTTGCTTCAGGCCGAGCGACCAGTAGGAGTCGCCAGATCTCCGCAAAACCGGATTTTTTGCCCGATGCACCATCCTTGTTTAATTTTGCTCGAAGATTAACTTGAGCAGCTTGCGCCGCTCTCTCGGTCAATTGAAATCCGTTATCTACATCGTCTTCTTGCTTTTTTGGAGTGGCGGTGTCTGAGATAGTCGGAGGAGAGGAGGAAGGTGATTTGGCCTGAAAGAGACGGGAAGTATAACATAGCGACCGTGTTTGAGAAACAATCTTGGACGTAGATGATGAATACTTCAAGTTGTTCTGGGGAAGTAGCGGTGATAGTTCGACAGGCCGGAACACCCCAGCTTTGCCGTAGAGAGCTCCAGAGGCAGTAGAGTAGAGCTGATTGACATAACTTGACTGGGTATATTGGATGAAAGGTCGGTTTGCCTGTGGAGAGATAGTATGAAGTATTGCGCTCTGAGATATCAGCCCCGATCCCGGGATCCGGGCGGGAAAACGTATACTGCGCATTTTCGGAGTATTGGATGTAAGACTCGAATGGAGGTAATGTATCATCGAAGGCAGTCAGAGAATGCCATTATCACACGGGAGTAGAATTAGCTGTTCCGTATAGTCCGCGACAATAGCGCGACAGTGGACATGTTAAAGTCACCGAGGTGCATGTGGAGATGCGAGATCGCAATCCCATGGATCCGCAAATGAAGGGCAGAACCTCACCGCCTATAGAAGCTAATCGAGAGCTTTGGATCTATTTCGTCTCTTATTTAGGAATAAGTCTTCCTTCGAACTCACTTTCTTTACAACCAAACTTGAGAATTGCTCCTTGAATCTGTTCTTGATTCAATTCACTTCCAGCGCCTCTTTCCATTCAAGTCTTCCCTTCCAACTATCACCTCTATACCCTCCCCCACCTCAGACAATACTGTATTGCACGTGCGTCATCGGTCATAATGGTGATCAACTACAGCAAATGGGACTCTTTGGAGCTATCTGATGACTCGGACATTGAGGTTCATCCCAACGTTGACAAGAAGTCCTTCATCCGAGCAAAACAAGCCCAAATCCATCAACAACGAGACCAGCGACGCCACGAGATCAAAACATTGAAATATGAGCGCATTATCAATGATGGACTTATCTCACGTATTGACAAACTGCTCGAATCCCTCAAGGAGCATGAAGACTCGTCCTCAACTCCTGACGAATTTATTTTCCAGACGATCATGGAATTTGCCAGCAACCCCGCGGACGATCAAGCCCCACCACCCCCGGAAGGAGTCTACACACACGAGAAAGAGCAACCCAAATACTCCCACATGATGAGCTCTCTAGTGGACCAAGTGAAGAAGGAGTTTGAAGCTTCCAAGCCAGACAACCTCTTCAAGGCATACATCGACGGTGTGCAAGTCCATAAGAATAAGGTTGAAGATCTTCAGAAGGAATTGTTGGAGAAACTTGCTAAACTCGAAAAAGAGGAGGGAAGTAAGATCACTAGCGACACACTGCATGAAGGTTTCAACACTTCACATATCGCCAAAGCCGAGGAAGAAAAGCCCGCTTCGTCCAAGGAAACTCAAGTTGAGCTATTGAATCCCGGTGCGGGAAGTCAAGCCTCTGCGACTGCCGAGGACAGCGACGCCGACGATGATGATGACCCGGCGAATATTGAGTGCAGTGCTTTGGCCAGAAAGTTTGCCCACCTTAAGCCTGGTGATTACACCGCTTACTTGCAGTTTATTGCAGCCAATAAGTCAATTCTCGCAGAGAAAGAGACCGACGGCCTGCTTGTCGAGGCCTTTAACAGCCAGATGAAGGGCGATGAGGCTTATGCTCACCAATGCGTTCACCAAGGCTTGCTCTTGCAATACTGCCGCTCTTTGGGTCCTGATGGCCTCCAGTTGTTCTTCAGCCGGTAGGTTTCCAAAATATTTCATGACCCCAAAACCTAGCTAACAATGGAACAGCATTACCAACAAGGATCACAGGGCTTCAGGCTTATTTAGTAAAGATGTTTACGATACCTATCACCGCATCAAGAGCCGCGCAGCCGAGCTCAGTAAAGAGGGCTCTGCGTCAAATGACCCAGCTGGCGTCGAGCAGATTCAACTCCACGCCGTGGATCCCAACACCAAGATCACTATTAACATCCCTGCTCCAAACAGCGAGAACCCCGTTGAGATCGAGGCACGCAAAATCTTTGAGGCTTTTCCTGAAGATCTCCAGAAGGCTCTGGCGTCTGAATCTCTGGACGAGGTGAACGTGGTTCTGGGAAAACTGTCTGTCGAGGATGCAGAGTCTGTTGTCGAGCAGCTTGGCAACGGCGGAATGCTCAGCTTGGAGGAGGGAGTGATTGATGGTACCACCGAAGAGGGCAAGAAGAGGCTTGCGGAGATCGAAGCCGAAGCGAGACTGGAGAGTGTGGAGGAAATCGGAGAGCCTGCCGGCGATGTTACTGAATTGGACTGAACATTCAACTATCATGAACAAGGTCGCATTTCATAGATTATGAACAAATGAGTACGCTCATCATAAAAAGAAAACATTGGTATTAACTATGTCAGTAGGCGGGAAATTCTTAAATTACACAAATTCTCCTGAAGACGTTGCTGCATGGAGTTAAAAATAATAAATAATAAACCTCTCTAGACCGGCTAACTCATGATGTATGAAAGCTAAAGAGTAAAATCATCGGGAACCACATCTCGCACTCTCCTGGGTGTCAGTGATATATGGAATCAATTTCCAGTAACTCCTGCGCCCTTCAAACGCTTGATCTTTGACTCCCCCCTCGTATCTCAACAGAAAGAAAGTATTTTAGATGCCAGTTGCTCCGGGGGCCTCCTGATCTTTCCGCAAGTCAATCAACAACTCACGGAAACGCTCCTTGCCGGAGCCGCTAGCACCGCCAGTGGCTCCCTTACCCGAAACATCAACCAACTTGGCAATGCGCTCCCAGCTAGTACCGCCAGCGGAAGTGTCCTCACGATTGGCCAAGAACTGCTCGGCTTCGGTGCGGGTCTGGGCGCGGTGCTTATCTGCCTTGTTGTTGTAGGAAACGTAGAAGTCGTCAACGTCCTCTTGGGCCTTCTTGATAGTGGCAGCCTTTTTCTCGTTCGAAACCTCTGCGCGGCGAGAAATTTCAGCATCTCGCTTCTCGCGCCACTCTCTAATTAAATAAATATCCCATGTCAGCTTAGCGGTAGGTTTGCTGCAGACGCCATGCGCCTCTCCGCGTTGGGTGGAGTGATAATGACTTACCGAACGGGCTCAGCTTCCTCCTCAGTCTCAAAAGTGCTTTTGTATCCAGTGGCAGGGAATGGGGAGCCAGAGCCGGTGATAGTACCGCCAGGGGCGACTCGCTAGTGGGGACACCTCCGTGTTAGCTTCGCTTGAATGGTAATACACCAGAATTCCATCATACCTCATTCTGTGTCTGTGTCTCCATTGAGGGGAATGCGGACTCGAATTCGCCTATTCCTTCGTTTGATTGGATGTTATCGCCTCCCAGCAGGTCATCCTCAATCACACCGTCGGCCACATGGTCTTGAGGGGTTGCAAATTGATCGGCATCTTCTCCGAGAGCGGCACGTTCACGAGCAAGGAAATCATCATCGGCATCAGTGTTAATCGATTGGGGAACCTCAGTTTGGCCTGAATAACATCAAATTAGTTTTGATTGCGCGGACGGGGTCGGCGGCTGTAGTGGTGAATGCGTACCCTCAGCGAAGTCCTCCAGGGAGGGGAATCGGTCAGCCATTGTGATAGTTTGATTCTCGATTCGTAGTAAGGTATCAGAAAGGAATTAGATTTAAAAAGGGCGAGAAATGTGGTAATGATTATGGGTGTGGATGTAGTTCAGTGCTCTCGTAAGTGACAGTTGTTGCCGGGGATTCGGAGTAAATACTGCCATAATCTCCTGGGCGGTCAACAGCTTAGACGTAGATAAATGTTTTGTTGCTGTCAGCTTCACGGGGTACTCCACTCTATCTCTTTCTCACTTTCATGTTATTGCCACGTTATTTGAGCAGGTAACTTGCTACAGCCTTGTTCTAGGATTAGTTTAACGCTGTTTTATGACTTGGAAAATTCAATTGCTTCTCGGTTATCAGCATCTCTAATCAACCCGATCATTGCCCTCCGACGCCTTTCCTAGCACCAATCCACATCTTTCAATTCCATACTTTCACTTCGGTTTTCATTCGAGATGGCTTACACGGATGATGCTGTAAAGGCAAAACTATCTGCTCTCAATGAGACACAAGAGAGCATTGTGACAGTTGCCCAATGGGTGATGTTTCATCGGTATGAATACACAACTACGCTTCTCCATTGCATTTGATTTCTGCTAACATCAATTTTTGTGAACAGACGACACGCCGACCGGACTGCGCAGATCTGGCTGCAGCGAATTCGTGACTCGACGCCTCCAAAGCGACTTAACTTGATTTACCTGGCAAACGGTACGAAACATTCGGTGCTTCACGAAGTTTCGCTTCATTTAACTAACTGGACTGTAGAAGTTGCTCAACAATCAAAGGCACGGGGAAAGGACGACTTTTTGATCGCATTCGCTCCCGTTGGTCAACGCCTGATAAATTCCGCACTCGAACACTAACAAAATATTAGATCGTTGTTGAGGCCACGGCATTAGCATACACGAGCTCGACGAAGGATATCAAGCAGAAGATCCGTCGCGTTGTGGAAGTATGGAGACAACGCAATGTTTTTGAGGCACCAATCATAAGTGCTGTCGAATCACGAATCAATGGTAGATCCTACGTCCAAATTATCCGGGCTACGCAAAGCATGATAGTTGACCATATCCCAGAAATCGATGAAACACAATCCTCCACCAAAACCAAGACCCTAGGTGGCTCATTCTTCAAGGATTCTTCCACAGGATCTGCTCCAACTGAACTCCAACCGCTAACCTCCCTACAAACCGCTCTCACCAAGGCCGCCATCTCCTCGAATACCTTGGTTGCGACTGCCAATACGGATTACAAAAGACTGAATGATTCCAAGGCCGAGAAGCCCACACCCCCAGTTCACGCTGCACGTCTCGGCCAGCTTTTTAAGACCCTCGCCAATGCCGAGAGTTCAGTGTCGGAATCAATCAAGTCCCGGCGTGCATTGATTGAGGCCCTCGAAAAGCTTCTTGCGACTAACCGCTCCAGCCTTCTGACAGAGGTGTCCTTGGCCGGGGATCTTGCCGAGAAAAAGCTTCAAACTGATGCTAAGAAGCGCGAGGTTGAAGACGCCATTATGCGCAGTCTTCCCACCGATAATGGCTCTGCCAACACGGGGGAAGTTGAATTCTCTCGCCCTCAAGCCGAAGCCCTGACTCCTCCCCCCGTCGAGGCCCTCACTCCTGTTGGATCCCCACAACGTGACATAGAAGAAACCAGCGGCTCCTTTGGCGGTCCCTTCCTGGAAGAGTCGTCGCATGTTCCTCGTGGACTGGTAATTACCGGCAACACACACCCTGATAATGGCACAGAATTCCCTGATCTGTCTAATATCTCTCCAGTTGGAGGTAGTGATTTTGATTTCGGTCTGATTGGATCAGGATCAAAGCGCCGCAAAGTGGCACATGAAGAGGATGGTTATGAGCCTGGTCAGTTGGAGGCTGACGTGGAAGCTCTGATTAAGGAGGAAAGCCAAAATCAATAAGCGCTCTATCTGCCGAAATGCCGTTGATCGGTATAAATTACTGAGGATGTTTTTATTTGGAATTTCTCTTTCCAGCACGCTGAATACCACTTATTATGTTATAGATATGGATTACTGAGATATGTTTGCTTCCGGGAATTTTGCTTCCTAGCACCCAATTACCAGCTGATATTTTATCGACATGGATTACGGAGTATTGAATTATGTTTTAACTGTTTGGAATCCTGCTTCCAACACGCTGAATATCACATACCGCTTGATCTCGTATGAATATGGATTACGGAATAACAAGATATGTTTTACCCACACCCTAACCTCGGTTTCTACCTGCTATTTTATCAATGAGAAATAGATACATGTCATACTGTAATTGTACAATATCGATCTATATTGAATTATCAGATCGCTCTATCAGGCACCATCGATCACTCCCAAAGACATGACTGGAATGGGTATCTCATGCATCCGTATTAGCTATTTCCAACCTAACAAAACAAAATAATTTATCAAAATATGTCCGGGTCCATCCAACGGTCTCGCGCAAATCGGGCATCTAAGTAACGACGTTTTAACCGATTGAGTGACAAAACTAAGCGCATATCCAAAGACGAGTCTTCTTGTTGCGGTGGTGGTTCGGGTGAGGAACTACTTCCCTTTGGTTTCACGACCAACAGAATAATCATACCAACAACTAGGAGTAATAACAGTAGCATGACTTTGCGTTTCGTGTAACGTCGTTGATAGTTTGTGGCCTAATCTCATGTTAGAGCTCATACATACAGTTAAGGAAGAGTTGAGGAAGCAACATACCACTTTCAGTTCTTTATCTGCGGACTTGACATCGGTGGCCATTCTCTCCACATTGTAGTCGATTCGATCTAACATGGTTCCCTGGTCGATAATCATGGTTTGAAGCTCGCGGAATATGTCAGAGAGCTCAATGATACCCTTCGCAATATCATTGATCTCGCGCTCGCGCTGTGCGATAACAGCATCATTCTGACCCGTCATTCGTTGGGATGTCTGCATCAACATTGTCTGGGAGAAGGACTTGTCTGCATCTGATTCCATCAAGGAAGGGTCAGAATAAGGGTTCTGAGGTGTTTGTGCCTGATCGAAGGGCGTTGATAGTCCTTCCAAATCTCGTAGTTCTATACAAAAAGGTCAGTTTGGTTCCCCCGAGCAATATGAGAGATAAACAAGTACTTCTCAAATACGTGCTCTGTCTCTTCCTGAAACGAGCACTAGACTCCTGGACCCTGGCCGCAAGGGAAATTTGAATATTCTTCGCCATAGTCTCTTCGCCGTTGCTGATACTACCCTGCTGCTTGGACTCGCGCACCATTATCTCGATCCGCTGAATCGCCTTCTGACAATCATGAAAGCCACTTGTGATCTCCTGGGTAAGGCGCTCGATGACACCCTCGTCTTGTCTCCGAACATCCTCGTCTCCGAACCCAGGGAGAAGATTCTTATGGTGTAGTTTATCGAGCTGCGCAGACTTTTGCGCAATCTCCGCCAATATCTCCGAGACCTCTTCTTGTACATCTACCCAACGTGGGGGCAGGAAGTCCATCTCAATAACCATGTCTCCTTCTTCTTCAAAGCCGCCAGAATCGGAGATCAGTCGCCGGCTCTCTTCCGGTTGGGATGGTGAGTCGAAGCCATTGGAGGGACCAAGGAAGCGTGGCTTTTTGGCTGGATGATGTGCAAAAGACTGGCGGTATGATATATAGCTTTGAGCAGGCGATGTTTGTTAGCTTATTCTTCCGGTGGACAGAGGAGCTGATCGAAGGAGCGTACAGATTGGTGCGATCCCGCCACATTGTGGCTGGGGACGGAGATATGGGTCTGTGATGCTTATTGACAGGATGTCGGTGTGAATTCTGATACCATTATAATGGGGTGACAATGTAAACAGGGTCCCAGTTGTGCTGCCAGATTAAGGAATGCTGTCGAGTTGAATTATGATGAAGCCGAGCGGAGTTCCAAGTCGGAGCTCCCCACTTAACCAGGGGTGGTAAATTACGGTATTCCATGCGTACTGGCGTGTATTTCTGCAGCGAGCTAACGTATTTAATCTGTATTGTAGCTACTCCAAATACCGGTAATAATCCCATCGAACTATAGCTTTATTTCTAAGTAGGCTTCACATACAGCCTTGGATATCAGATTTGTCCATATATTTCAGTCTTATATTGTAGTTATTCACCTCATCGCCTATCTGGAGATTCTGTCAACATATACAGGTATACTGTCTCAGCACATACAAGATCACATATGCACAGGTCAGTGTATTCCAATGTTAATCTCGAGCAATGGATGATGACTCGATACAAGTACCTAGTATCTTCAATATGTAGGCCTGGACTTACATACAGAGGGAAAATTAACCTTCTAACCCCAAAACCTTGGAAGATTGGAAAGACATTGTAAGTTGGAGATTCAATAATTAGCTGTTTTGTTATTGCAGGGCTCCTAATTCCCATTCCATTCCAGAGTTCCAATCAATCTCCAATCATTTTTCGCTTTTCGTAAGTGATACAGATTTGAAATTAGCCCAAGCTGGAGAACTGCTGACCGCATGTACATATTGCTTGAGCTATGATTTGGGAAAAGAGGGGGTGATATATCTACAAGGGTTTGAATATGTTCACTCTAGGCCTCATGAGACCGCGAGCTTTGCGGTATTTCCCCGCAAAGTCCTAGGTATGTTTCTTTTTTTTTTTTTTTGGAAATTCAGCTGATGTCTGGTTTGTTTAAAGGCTTGAAAGCCTTTGGGCAAGCTTCTGAGATCCTAGCCGTATGTGCATTCAATGAGGCCCGCTTTGGCGACCCAATGGACTGGAAGATGTCTCGGTAGAACCTGCACCAAAATCCATGCTCGTCAGGTGTATGCCGGCATCATGCGCTCCAGATGTCGTATTCAGGATTCAGCCCTATGGATATCATCTGCGAGGATAGCATGACACTAATCAAATCTAATCATACCCGAAGAGGTCCGTACGGTGCAGGCATCGAATATTGAAGTACGGAGTACTTTTGTTTCGAATATTGGGGTAAAGCCTAGATACTAAGCTTTTTTCGCGCTTGTAACGGTCTAGGCTCAACTGAAATAGAAAACGAATAAAAAACACTCACAGTAAATACGCACAAAAGTCATCGAAAGGCAAGTTCAGCTGAGTTGAAAAGGTCATGGCAATCGTACGGGGGTAATCTTACTCTTCCACCGCCTTTGGGTTGAAGGATTGTGACTGGGTACGTTCCAGGTAAGCTATTTTGTGTACGGTACCATCCATGTACCCAGGCTCCATTCCCCTTTAACACCTTCTCTTCTTCCTCTTCCCCCTCCCCCGCCTTAACTCTTTTCTTACATTCTCCGTTTCGACTCAACACATCTCATCATGGTACGCCTTTATCATTTCTCCCCTCCTTTCCCTTTGAAATTGGACTGGCAAACTCCCCACTTTGCGGGGCAGCGATGTTTGGAATTCGGGACACATCTGAGGATATTTGGCTAACGTTCTTCTCTTTGCTTTAGGCCGACTCCCTCACTGAAGAGCAGGTTTCTGAGTATAAGGAGGCCTTCTCCCTATTTGTAAGTGATACTCGAAGATTGGAATTTGATGCGAGGACTGTTCTGACGTGACTCGTAATAAATAGGACAAGGATGGCGATGGTGAGTGCGATCACTGTCAACTAATGGGACTGCGGCTAGCGGCGCCTGCTATTACCATTTGCTATGATATCTATACTGATATGGACGATTCTTAGGCCAGATCACTACCAAGGAACTGGGCACTGTTATGCGCTCGCTCGGTCAGAACCCCTCCGAGTCTGAGTTGCAGGATATGATCAACGAGGTTGATGCCGACAACAACGGCACTATTGACTTTCCTGGTACGAAAAAAACTTCGGCTAACTAGCGCATACACCTGTATTAACTTAAGCTGTCACAGAGTTCCTGACCATGATGGCCCGTAAGATGAAGGACACCGACTCCGAGGAGGAGATCCGAGAGGCTTTCAAGGTTTTTGACCGCGACAACAACGGCTTCATTTCCGCTGCTGAGCTGCGCCACGTGATGACTTCCATCGGCGAGAAGCTGACTGACGACGAGGTTGATGAGATGATCCGTGAGGCGGACCAGGATGGTGATGGCCGAATTGACTGTACGTTCATGGTCCCGCAGAAGATCTATACAGTTCCACATACTAATTTTGACTAGACAACGAGTTCGTCCAGCTTATGATGCAAAAATAAATTGGCAATCTTGGCTATATCTGTCATGTCGAGTTGAACTCGCGGGTTTTTTCCAACACTTATTATCTTTCAATACAAACGTGTATGTGGTTTCAAGGCTACGCTTGGACCATGAGTTGGAACGAGGGCAACAGATGGAGGGATTGAGACAGTGATGGTCTCCACATTTTCATTCTGGAACATATGAAATTTCACTGTTTTAAAATTCCGACCTGAATCTGGAGGGCAATATCAGCGCCAGGTCCCGTTCATTTCTGTAATCGTAGAGGCAATACGCCCATTTATCTCTATCTATTAAAGCGAAGCACCTCCATATACTGTCTAGCAACATCCGCCCCAGCCTGCGGATCCTCTTCCAGAAGCGGTCCACCAGAGATACCCTGGCCGATCTTCCCAGCCTGATACCGCTTCAATCGAGCTTTAACCTCCGTACCAATCCCAGGAACAAGAATAGCCTCTCTAGCCCCATCAATGCCAATTCTCGACCAAAACTCATGAATCAAACCCGCAGTAGCAGTATACTCAGCATCAATATCAGCCTCATCAATAACCGAGAAATCCAATTCAATCCCCGAATCATCGTCATTGAGGTCTCCAGTCGCAGCAGAGTCCTGACTCTGACCTGCAGCAGAAAGCGAATCAACAATCGACGGGCCGCGCCACTCGATCTCTAAAACAGTACCACGCACCCTCGCAGTCGGGAATGTCTGCCGTACGTCACCAAGCCGAATACGGAAATCACCAACGTCATAGATAATACCAGCAGGCACAGCAAATGTAATTCGATGACACCAAAAAGGCTGACAGGCATATGTGAAGTGCTGAAACATCGTACCAAAGGACGACATGGGCAGAGTAGTCATCTGCATCGGAATATCAACCGCCGCCTGAGCGTTCGCACTGACACCAGACAGCGAGACCGGAGTCACAGCTTGAGGCGTATTGACAGCAGCGCCGACACGAGAATTCACGGCGTTAGATGGAGGCACAACAACATTGTGCAACTGGCCTACTTTCTCTTCTGGCTCGGAGGTGTAGATGAAGCCGCGTGTTGGATAGTGGGTCAGAGAGAGAAATTGCATGTAGCGCGGCTTAGTCTGAGGAGAGTTCGCTTTTGGAGGAAGGAGACCAGGGGTATCTCGCATTAATTTGTGTTCCATGGCCCAGCGGCCTGTGGGAACAAGATCTTCATCTGGGAAGGTTGAGCGAAGGCGCTCTGTGATTGTTGGGAGCACCGTAGAGGAGTTTGGATGGGAGTGAATAAAGTAGACGCTTTTAGGCATTAGATCATGATTGTAAAGTTTTTTTGCATTAGTAGAGGAGCTAACCCTGTGACTGGCATTTTGAATATAATTCTTCTCAGGTTGGTCCCGAAAGAAGGATGAATGAATGGGTAATGCGATAGACCCCGCGGTCACTCAGCTTAAGAGATGAATCTTTCCAAGTTGATCAATGGTGCTCTTGTATCGCCTTCCACTTTTTTCAACGAGTTTAGACTCAGAGTAGATGGCAATAGAGCTTTTGTTATATCCCGATCTCAATACTCGGGCTTTGAAGAATCTATCCGATGATTAGCATCACGATCACTCGGAATATTAAGAATGTGGAGGATATTTCAACAGACAGTACCTAGAGGTAGTAGACCCTTGAATTGTTAATATAAAACTATAGTTGGCAAGGTATTTGGAATAGCTCAGGGTTATGTAGTGACCTTGAAATGCTCGATGGCGGGATGTTCAGATGCAAACAAGACAAACTCCCGAGCTATTAAACAGCCCTAGAAACGACTACCCCTATTAATCTCCCCAAGTCCAAATGATTAAAGCTTCAATATGTTGATGGGTTTGAATTACTAATTCAAATTGGAAAGTACTGAAGCTATCGCTGTGTCAGTTCACTCTCGTCTACTATGCAAACCAGTTTCATCGAGACCAAGAACACTTAGACCAGCAACAGCATGCCACCGGTGGAGTAACATCGACCAAAAGAATAGGCTTTGTATAAGCTTTTCAATTCACCTTCAATCACCTGAACAGTGGACTGTATTCTCGGGTATTTTAACGTAGCGGGGACTAGGGGCTAAACACGGCTGAGATGTTACTGTCAGAAAGGATCCATCTGGGCCAATTCAGAACACACAATGTAGGTATGTACTGTATAATAACAGTTAGCTAAGCTTTATCTCCGAGATTCTTCTAAATTCATCACAAAATCTAACACCACAGCTCGCTCTACTAGTAGTAACAACTGAAGTTGAACAAGTTAAGTATACTCTGTAAAGCCAAGTCCAGACCCGCTGCTGCGCCCCGCTGAGTCGATGTCTCTAGCCCTGATCGGGTTACACCCAGGGGATTTGGTGGGGTCTTTCAGGGCTTGGCTGACACGGTACAGGCTATCCCCGCCCAAAGTCTAGGTCGTCAGTACCTCCAATCTGAGAGCTACAGTCTGAACATGCCTGGACCCTGGATAGGCCTAGCAATGGATCTCGATTTGGAACCTCCTTACATTTTAAACTACCTAAGCACCTCGGATTGGCCACATTGTACCCCCCTGGACATGCCATCTCTCCAATCATGGTCTAGCAGATCTTTCCCGTCTTGCCTTCACATTTGAACGCGTGTCGCAGTTATTATTCCACTCCTTGTTGATCACTATTGTAACAAATAGCAGAGTTGGTCAATGGCTTCCTCCACTGACGTGGTTTATCCACACAGTTTTTAATTATCTTTCTCTTTCTCTTTCTCTTTCTCTTTCTCTCTCTCGCTCATCCCTTCGCTGTTTACAGCTTCTTGAATCTTTTACTTTTCCCTGCATCATTCCTTGAACCCATCTCATTCTACTTTCATTCATGTTTTGTATCAGGCTCTCAAGGAACCCCGTCTTTCCTTAATATTGCTTCTATATCGTCACTCCTTCGTACATCTCTGCTAGACTATTACCATCATGGTCGCCAATCGCAAAAAGAACCGCTCTCTCACAACAACCATTTTTCTCCTTATTGTCGCATACCTTCTCTTAGTATGGCTCCCTCTCAGCCGTATAGGTTCATCACAAAACAAGCACCCAAACCCCACTCCAATAAATAAAAAACTCCCCTCAAAGGATACAATTCATTTAAGTGAAGCGACAGAACGCTATCCAGTCACTTCATACATTCCATTACCAACATCACCATCTACAATTCCTCGCATTCAATATGATTTCCCGAAAGAGTCCAGGAAGGATCGAAAACAGAGAATCAAGAGACAAGAAGCTGTCAAGAAAGCCTTTATGTATTCTTGGAACGGATATAAAGATCACGCCTGGCTACGGGATGAGGTGTCACCCAAAAGTGGGCGGTATCAAGACTCGTTCAGTGGGTGGGGTGCTACTTTGGTCGACTCCCTTGATACATTGATTATTATGGGGCTCGACGATGAATTCCAGCTTGCTGTGGAAGCTCTCGACCAGATCGACTTCAGCACCACCTTTAGTGATCAGGTTAATGTTTTTGAAATCGTTATAAGATATAGTATGTGACCCCATATCTCTCATCTCAGGTTGTTTGTTCCTGGTACTAATTGATTGCAGTGGGTGGCCTCATCGCTGCTAATGACCTGACTAATGGAAAGTATCCCATCTTGATCAGGAAAGCCGAAGAGCTTGGTGATATGATTTTTAATGCATTTGATACGCACAACCGAATGCCCCAGATGCGCTGGGAGTGGGCCAAATCCGCTCAAGGAGAAGAGATCAAACCCTCCGAAGTAACGTCTTTGGCTGAATTAGGCTCACTGACTGTCGAGTTCACCCGCCTGTCGCAGCTCACCGGCAATCCCAAATACTTCGATGCCGTCCAGCGGATTACAAACGAGCTTGACCGAAGTCAAATGACCACCCGCTTGCCAGGACTATGGCCAGTCTCCATAAATGCAGATGAGTTGACTTTCGACCGGTCCGAGTTTACACTAGGCGGTGCTGCAGATTCGACCTACGAGTACCTTCCAAAGGAACACATTCTTCTTGGAGGACAAACAGACCAGTACCGAGACATGTACACGAATGCCATTGAGTCCATCAAGAAGAACATGCTCTTCCGAGCAATGACAAAAGAAGAAGACCGACAGGTTCTTTTCACTGCCAACAATCGCGTGATGAAAGGTGGACTTATGAAATTCCAATATGTCCAGGAACACCTCAAGTGCTTCCTAGGTGGCACGGTTGGACTGGCAGCAAAGATCTTCAATCGTACAGAAGACATAGCCATCGCCCGCGGACTGACAGATGGCTGTGTCTGGGCATATGACCAGATGCCAACAGGAATAATGCCCGAATCCATGATATACACACCATGCGAGGATATGAACCACTGTCCGTGGGACGAAAGCCGCTGGTACGGCGACGTACTCGGACAGCCAATGAAATCAAGAGGCCACCTCGAAAGAGCACAACGTCTAGTCGAAGACGAAGGGATCCCGCCTGGCGTAGTCCAGTTCCAGGATCCAAGCTACAAGCTCAGGTGAGAATCAGAATCAGAAGTTCCCAAATTTAAGAATTTACTAATGTGGGTCTGCATCCAGACCCGAAGCTGTGGAATCAGTTTTCATCATGTACCGCATCACTGGAGACAGATCTCTCCAAGATACGGCGTGGCGCATGTTCCAGAGCATTGACAAGGCGACACGCACTAAATATGGCCACTCAGCTATTGAAGACGTGCGCAATCCACTTCCGCAACTAAGTGATAAGATGGAGAGCTTTTGGCTTGCTGAGACTTTGAAGTACTTTTATCTTATTTTCTCTGCGCCTGATCATATCAGCTTGGACGATTATGTTTTGTATGTCTATTCCAAGTCTCCTTATCTGATTCCAGACTCTAATCCCTCTTTATATTTAGGAGTACTGAGGCTCATCCGTTCAAAAGACCCTCTGAAAACGCATGATTTGAGAACAACGGTCCCAGTCAATATTCTTTTGTGTAGCGTTTGATTGATAGATCATAGGCAGATGCGCGGCGTTTTATTTCATCATGGAGTGGTCCTCGTGGAATTCTGAAACTAAAATTGGGAGACAATATTCAGTTTGTTGAATGTTGAACTTTGATATATCAAATTGAAATTTCACGGATTAATAAGTTCCTCACACTACATGGATAGAGTGATCCAGGATCTGACCTTGAATCTTCCAGGTTGCACTGGCAGCTGCCGTGAAACAGTGGAAGGATTGGAAATAACCATGTTAACTAGTTAAGCTTGTCTAGGAATTACTAACGAGAATGTCATCTGATTATTGATTGGCCCATTGTATGATCCGGCCATGGAAAGTGTCGAAGGAACACTAGTCAGTCAGTGGATCTATTTCTGTGGGCTGACTAGTCTCGGACGACTTAAATGTATATCCGGATCGTTGTTACCAATTTTTGGTAGATTTTCTCATCAATTGTTCATTGTCCAGATAGTCGATCGAGATCAATTAATGCCCTCTTTCAACTGGGGCTGAATTTCAGGGAATGAGAGAGATCGATCGTGGAGATAAGAGGTGGGGAAGAGAAGAAGTGGAGCCCCGATCCAGTCACGTGACACAAAAATGTGGCGAAAAGGATCTGATAATTCCTGATAATTCTATATCCGAATCCGAATCTGATCTCTCCCTTTCTGAAATTTTGATCTCCCCTTCAATTCTCGTTAATTTTCTTGATTCGTGCCATGCGGTATTAAATTAATCCATTTACCCACTTGGTCAAATCAAATAATTCCAACTTTTCGGCACCTGTCGCTGCGGCACTTTTCCGCCTCCGGTTTTCGGTTCTCGTCCCACCCTCCACAATGGGTATGCTCGAAACTGCACTTTCTCCTTTTATACAGTCAACTTACAATCGACAGTTCACGCTGTCAATACCATGCCCTCGAGAATTATCCCTCGCATGGAGTTCGAAGAAATTCCAGTCTCCTCTACCTCCCACCCGGATAATCCAATCCCAGAAGAACCTCGGGTACAATCGTTGTCCCTAACCGCCTATAACTTCGACGGTTCAGTCGATTCTTTAAATTCATTTTCTAATGGCTCCGATTCCCCTTCTACTCCTTTAACCCCGCTCAGCGAGACCGAGACCCAGACAGATGAAGAGCCCAAAAGAAAGAATTCCATGTCCCATGGACGACGGGCCTCAACCGTCCTGGTTTCTCAGAACGCCGAAGATATGCAAAGAGTTTTGGAGAATGTAGGGACGGGTGGTACACAGAAGATCCAGTCGATGTGCTGTGGCGGGGGTTGTTGCCGAGACCAGCAGTTGAAGCAGCCTCTGGACGGCCCCATCTCCGGCTTCAATTCGATCACTGCACCTTCCAACGAAGCTTTTGACAGTCTGAAACTCAATCTGAACCTCCTTACACTAGATAGCCAGCTTTCAAACATTGCCTCGCTTCCAGAAAAAACCGTCTCCTTTTCTCAGGCCCCAACTTATGCGGCCAATATCAAGATTGAATCGTCCGAACATCCTCCATTATTCGTGCAGCCGCACCCTCCCTACGAGGTCTACCGTGCTCCTCTTTATCATGCTCGTGAACTGACAAAGGGTGGCGCTGAGAAGCGTACTTACCACTTTGACATTGACGTCACCGATTACCCAGCCGAGAGCGGTATGGTAGATTTTGTCGTTGGCGGCGCAATCGGTATCTGCCCCATGAACAAGGAAGAGGAGGTTGAAGATGTTCTTGACCTACTCTGTGTGCCGCGATCGATGCGGGATAAAAAGGTTCTCATGAGCACAACCACTGGCCGGTGGCCGACCATTTGGGGTGACGACCAGGCGCGAGAGCTGATCACCACACGTCGCGAAGTGCTGACTTGGTGCTCTGATATTCAAAGTTACGCTCCAACCAAGGCTCTGTTCCGTGTGCTGGCCGAGTACACCGAAGAGCCGAACGAGAAGAAGATCCTAGAGTATCTTTCCTCTGCACAGGGCCAGGGCGCATTCTGTGACCTGCGTACCAGCAGTCACATCAGCCTTTCTCAGCTGCTACATGCATTCCCATCTTCCCGCCCACCTCTCGACCACCTCCTATCTGTCCTCAACACTCTCATGCCCCGTTTCTACTCTCTCTCCCAGGACCCCCAGATTTCCTGCCAGATCAAGGGCAGCGAGTGTCACCGACTGGTCGAGATTGCCGTGTCAGTAGCAGAGTCCAATGACTGGCGCGGTGGAGCCCGAACAGGCGTGGGCTCCGGCTACCTAGAGCGTCTTGCCCAAAAAGCGATCAAGGCTGAGGCTGCCGGCGAGAAGATTGAATTGACCGTGCCCATGTTCCGTGGTCTCATGTCCAACCCTCTCGCTAAGCGGTTTGCGTCCGATGGCCCTATGCTCTTGATCGGAGCCGGAGTCGGCATTGCTCCGTTCCGTGGGTTTGTCCAGCGCCGTCTCCAGTCTGCTAACTGCGCCAACAAGGTCTGGGTGCTTCAAGGCGTGCGCGACTCTCTTCTCGACGAATTGTACAGCGGCGAATGGGGCGTCCACGAGGATAAGGTTCGTACAGTTGTGCAGAGTCGCCGTGGCGAAAGCCGCTACGTTCAGGAGGAGGTCCGTCACCAGGCCGATCTGGTCTGGTACGTCATCAACGCCCTCGACGGCCGAGTATTTGTTTGTGGAAGTGGCAAAGGAATGGGCGAGGGTGTTGAAGCTGCTCTGATCGAAGTTGCCATGGCTAAGGGTAACTTGAATTCCCAGGAGGCAAACATGTTTTGGCAGCAAAAGAAGGAAGCTGGCCAATACATCGCTGTGAGTTCATCTGACGTGTTCCCTATTGATTGGGATCATTCATCTCACTCTGTGATAAGACTTTTTACTAACTTATTATAGGAAACTTGGTAAAGAAAAAAAAAAAAAAGTCGCCGAGACCTGCTTTGTTTATTTTACTGTCTTCTGCTTCAACTTGTCGGCACTTACTGTACATACGCCGAAGTTCTGCATGCTTCATTCCAATTCCTCTTCCTTATCTTCTCACTATTTGCATCTCTCGTCCCCAATTGACTGGAGACTTCTTTCCAGATGTCAACCAATCCAATCTACTGCGAATCCATCAATTCATCTATATTAGCGGGCGGATATTTGTTTTGGTGTTTGGTTGTTCATTTCGATCGGGTATTATATGGGTTACACTTCTTACATGCCGCATAGATTTTCCCAAATTGGAATATGAAATCTTCCTGGCATAATCATCGAATTTTAAAGACGTTAAATAAAATCATCACGGGCTAATCAGCCACATTGGCGGAATGAGTCACGTGGAATCCATGCCATAAGCTCCATAGAGCAAATTACAAATAGTAGACGAGGCCATACATATCTTCAATTTTTGTCTGTACTTAGTACATAACCTGTATTTCGAAACTCTTGCCCTGCCGACATCGGCACCCCACCAAACCGATAAGTACCTAGAAATCCAAAGCGGGGTTCAGAACTTCCCCTCCACAAACCACCAAAATGCCCACTCTCCTCTCCAGCAAAATCGCCTTCATAGGCGGCGGCAACATGGCGTCAGCCATAATCGGCGGCCTCATCTCAAAAGGTGTGCCAACCTCAAACATAATAGTCTCGGAGCCATGGGACGTGAACCGCGCAAAGCTCTCGGCAACCGGCATCCCAACAACAACGGACAACGCGTCCGCGGCATCGAGCGCCGACATCGTCATCATCGCCGTAAAACCGCAGGTAGCACACGACGTATGCACTGAGCTTGGCGCATCATGGACATCGCGGGCTTCGCTGCCGATCCTCGTTAGCATTGCGGCTGGTATCACACTTGCTAGTTTGCAGGAGTGGTCGCGGACGACAGACGGACGTGGCGCGCATGTTGTGCGTGTTATGCCTAACACTCCTGCGCTTGTCGGTGAGGGGGCTTCGGGTGCTTATGCTAGTGCGGACGTGAACGGAGATGAGAAGGAGCTTGTTAATGCACTTTTGAGTAGTGTTAGTCAGGCTACAGAGTGGGTTGATCGGGAGGAGTTGCTTGATGTTGTGACTGGACTTTCTGGTGAGTTTTAAAACACACAAGCGGCTTGATAAAATAAAATAAAAAGAGAGAGAACTATACTAATGCAAATTTACTTTCTAGGCTCTGGTCCCGCTTACTTCTTCGCTATGGTCGAGCACCTTATTGCTAGTGCTACTGCGCTGGGTCTGCCAAAGGACCAGGCTACCCGACTCGCTACGCAGACTTGTCTCGGTGCTGGCAAGATGCTTGTCGAGTCGTCTGATGAACCGGGCCAGTTGCGGAAGAACGTCACTAGCCCGAACGGCACTACCTATGCGGCTCTGCAAACCTTTGAGAAACTTGGGTTTGAAGGTATTGTTGATAAGGCTGTACAGGCGGCTACGTCGCGTTCTGCAGAGCTGGGCGCAAAGTAAAGGGAGAAGGGAAAAAGAAAGGAAGGAAAAAGGAAACATCGAGTTCAAGTCAGTATGACCGTAGACTGACATATTAAGTGAATAGAATTAAGGTTTACCTTAGAATAGGAGAAGAAGAGATGAAACATAGTGTGAGTAGAGTATAAGTATAGTATAAGTATAAGTAGTATAAGTATGAGCATAGTATGAGTATGTAGTATTGAATAAATTCCAATTACCAAGTAACGGGAATTGAAATGACAAATTCCTGCATGTTTGCCATTTCCCGGAATAAGATCCGATGATCTGCGAGTACATATTTCACAGGAGTTGAAAAAAAAAAAAAAAAAAAAAAAGAAAAGAAAAGGCTGGAATACGAAAAAGGGTCCACAGTTACGAATGTATACGCGATACGCGAACTGCATGGGAAGGAAGAACTACTGTCACTTTTGTATATGGAGTAGAGATAGTGAAACAGTAAAATAATAAAATGAATGTAATGTATTATATTATATAACATGTAGATATCTGAGATGTCATATGCTGGAGATCTTGATCTGTAGTTCTAATACTTACTAAGTACAGATCTCTGCCAAGTCATCCTCGATCGATCTGGAGATCCATTACGGAGCTACTGATCTATCTATTTGGTATTTAGTATTTTATTTTTAATTATTTCCTCATTTTTATGACCTCCCAATCCATGGATCTCCAACTCCTTTTTTCTTTTAATTTCCATTTCCATTTCCTTCTTTTTTTTTTTCCTTTTCTTTTCTCCCTTAGATCGTTCTGACAAGTGGATCTCGGGCACAAGGACGATCTTGCCCTGGATTTGTTATGTCTACTTCTTGGTCAGATCCATTTAATTTCATTTTTATTTAATTTCTCGGAATTTAAGAGTTCGAAGAATCTTCTCCCCTGCTTGACATATAGTACAGGCATACGACTACTATATACTACTACTACTAATACTACTACTACAAACTAATACTAGTCCATCTATTTTAATCCTTCTTATAGATCAACTACGCTATATACCCTAGCTCGGTACTGGAGGACTCCGTAAGATTACCAGATTTGACAGGAACCAGTGGCATCTGTCAAGTCAACCTTGAATCTCCATGATTTCTATGGCCCACTCTGCATCGGAGTTGGTGGCTGGTCTCCACTCATCGTCATTTCTTTTTGTTTTCTGATCCCCCTGGTTCTCTTGTTGTTCCATGGGATAATTTGATGTTTTATTTTATTTTATTTAATTTAATATTTAATATTTAATATTTTATTTTATATTTATTTCAATGCCCCCATTCCACAACCTTGCATACTCTTGGCTATGTCAACGCAAATTCACCCCCATTTGCCCTAAAAAGGTCAGTCCCTTCCACTTCCGTGTTATCCACGTTCTATTCTAATCCTACATATAGTCACTCTACTTCCTTAACTTTTAATATCTCCATCACACCATCGTCTATGTCACAGCCCCGTGAACCAGAACGAGACCACGATACTGAAATGGCCACTTCATATGCATCTCGGCCACCGGCCAATCAATCACAGACATTACCATCATTCCGAGAGGTGAGCAACATAAGTCACTTATACTTCTATACCCCTACTCACCCCATATTCAGCTCCTCCCTGCCCATCTTCACGATGAGATTGACTCCTCGCCCTACTTCTCTCGACGTCAACATCAACATCAACCATCACAGGACCGTCGTACTTCCCCACACTCTGGACACATGGCATCCGATCCCCGATCAATCCCAGGCTCTCATGCACACCATGCGGAAATTCCCTATGGAGAACATCACCACGAATATACCACCCGTTCCGAGCATCACCTATCAAGAAGACTAGAGAATCCGGCTAGGGGTCCAAGTCCCATTCTGCCCCCGATCAGGGATCTACAAATGTCAGACCGACCCGGATACGATAATAGAATGGGACCAAGACCCGACCTATACGCACACGATTATCGTCCTCAGCAACATGTCCATTCACCCATGGACCACCGCGGAGAGCACTACTCACAGCCTATGATGCACTCACAATACGGCCATCCAGGCATGCCCTACCAGCATGATCCAGAGCAAATATCAATGTCCATGTCCCCGCCAGGCATGGCACTCCCGCAGGCCAACTTTGGAATTATGGGTGACGCAATTGATCCCAAGTCGAAGCGTCGAAGGGGCAACCTGCCCAAGCCCGTGACTGATATCTTGCGCGCGTGGTTCCACGAGCATTTGGACCATCCGTATCCAAGTGAAGAAGATAAGCAAATGTTTATGACAAGAACGAATCTATCTATAAGCCAGGTGAGTCCTACACATTTTCAGCTATGATTGAGCGCTATTTACTAACATCATCCAGATCAGTAATTGGTTTATCAATGCCCGACGACGCCAACTACCCGCCCTACGCAACCAAATGCGAAGTGGTGGCGACGCAGAATCACGGAACTCACCATTCAGCGACGTGGACCAAGAAACCATGCACTCTCCACACCATTAGAGCTTTCCGCAGATCGGTTTCAGCTTTCAATCATGTTTTCCTCACGGCCTTAATTTCCTTTACCATCTATACCACCACAGGGCATCAACAAGCGAGTTATCTTTTATCAGTACGACGGATGTTAATTTATTATTTCATACTTATGTTTTTTTTTTCTTTTTCCGTTTTCACGTCTGTTGTTGATCTTCTAATTTACGATTTATGGGTTTGGGCTTGAATGAATGTGGATAAATGCAAGTTTCCTATTGGTTTCATCTCGTTTTTGGCCCTATTTTCTCATTTGCTCTCCTCTTTCCAATTTATGTTTCAGCATTGACATGGACCAGGAGTGCAATTTTCTTCAGATATCATTATTGATACCCCCCTTTCTTCATGATCTTTTCCTTTTCTTTTTTTCTCCCTCTCTCTCTTTCTCTCTATGCGGGTTGGAAAGGGGTTTACCTATTTAGGTCAATTATGGGGGAAGCTTGAACATGAACCAGGGATTCCATCAAGGAAGGTTCTACACGCATCATAACTTTTATCTCAGTCCTGGTTGAGCCAGGCATAGCATTTACCATTTGACATTTGCATTCAGCATTTGCTATGTGTCCCGTCAACATTAGGTACCAAAAAAAATGAAATGAGCAATTCGCATCCCACAAGTCTCGTACTTCAATGGAACGGCCCCCTTCTCCAGAAAACGTGGATTTTAGAATCCATGGGACTGAGCTAGTGAGCGGCACGGGCAGAAACCGCATTTTTCGGGCTGGACCTATGATCTTGAACAAGAATAATAGCCTATGGGTCTAATCCGTGTATCCCGAATGGACATGTATAGTCCAGCTGAGAACAACCTTGGAACACCCATGGACCTCAAGGTTGAAACATAGTTCAATACATGTGACTAGTCAAATGTCAAATATGCAGGGGAAATAGCCGTGACAGATGCCGGATCACCTCAATATTGGGTCTCAAACCTGCCAAACCATGGATCATTTATATCCAATCTTTTTCTTCCTTCCGTCCAACTTAAAATGCTGGGACCTGCCATTTCAATGACCCCACTCCGTATTTCAAGAAACCTTCGAGATTCAATGATCTTCTTTCTCCACGGTGACGTATAATGGTCAACCCCTTTTTTGACAGCTTAAACTTCGGCGATCTGCCGAACAAGCTTGATTGGGTTTGATAATTACTTTGTTACGCTGATACGAAGTAAACCCATAGTTTGGAACTAGTTGGAACGAGATTGAAACAACGACGTTTGGAATGTGTCAACGAGCTTCAGCACTGACATGTAAGAAAAAGGATGTCCCGGGTACTCATGAAGAAGAGGAAAATGAGAAAGAATGTGAGGTATTGTCTACTCTTATTAGAAAGTGTAAACCTTCCAGAAGACGTCTATACGTCACAGAAGCTCATTAAAGTTTATTAGAAGTTGGGAAGATTGAATTTTCAGCCCCAGTTTCATCTAGATCTATTGCCACGTGAAGTTCTAATTTCTAATTCTGAAAATGATCTACTTCCTGAAAGAGATTTCTCGGAAGAACGTCGGAAAATCCTAGAGAGAAGAGAAGGGGTAAGGAAGAAAAGAAGTCTTGAAAGTCTCATCCTGAAACATGTCCAATGTTTCCGACATTTAAGATTTATTAGGAGTTTTAATTGATTCCGAGTCTTAGCTTGGTTCTTGGGGTCCTCTGCGGCTGGAAATGAGGGTTCGACGATCAAACTCATGTTTCAATCAAGTATCATCTTTTAATTCTCGAAGTGACCAGATCTGTCACTTTATAGTACTAGCTATACTCCATACCGCAGATCATGTTCGGGTTTAGGGATTGGTCCTGTCATTTGATCTGATACCAATATCCACTCAGAACTCGCACTCCCAACAACCCAACCCTTGGAACCAAAGCCCGAAAAATAATTACGTCGTAGACAAAAAGGGGATAGATGTGCATTAGACAGCGGTAGCCCGGCATGATGAGGCGCGGCTATGCAAGCCTTCCAACTCAGACACGCCCGGGGAATGGAACCTTGGAAACAGGGGCAAAAAGCCCTAGAAGGATCGTGAATTTATATAGGTCGGAAATCAGTAGTGACCAATCACCGTACAAAGAAATAGGTTCAATCGCACCCCTTTCGTTCTGCCACGCAGACCTAGATACAGATGCAGCTCTGTTGCTACCGTAACCACTCTTGACTCCTCCCTCCATTCTACACGGTATTTTCTATCAGAACTCAAAACGTAAGGGGCGGTATAGATTCATCACATAGCGGTGAAACAACGGCGGACCCGCAGCCGATGGCTCTGACAGTCCTCAGACCTCATACTATCATGGAGTACGTGTCGTGCACGGGGGACGACAAGTGACAGTGACAGTGCAGGATTTTATCAATTTGTGATTTACCATGAAGTTATCAGTCAAGTCCTTCATCTAGGGTGGAGACATACTACGTGTTTCTGACATGCCGAAGTTGGGCCGCTAAGTTGGAGCTGTACATAATGTGATCTATCTCATGTCAAGCCTAAATATGACGATGGGGCTGCATACCTCTTTCACGAGGGGTTCATCGGTGACCTTGATAGGGGGATCAGCATACATGGCATCACGACGGAGAACGCGGAGATAATCATGACACCTGAATGTCCATCCAATCTTTGTGGGTGGATACAGATGCCATTGCATATGCATATGCATATGCATACATTGTGCATGTCCTAACTTGGCAACAATTCTCGATTCTGTGCATCGATCTGAGTGCAGCATCGATCTGGGTACACTCACGGAGTACATATGTAGGTTAATCAGGATATTAACTCCGTAACATATTCCGCTTCCCTACTGGATGCATTCCAAGGTATAGCTACCTTACCGCAGGAAGGGTTGTACTGGGCGTTTGCATCCCTTCCCACTTTTGAGATTCACTTTCAAGATTTATCCGTACTTTGCAGAGACATTGCGGAAACGGCGTTACTGCAAGTGTGTCTGTCAAGCCAGATTGATCTTCGAATGGGACTATTAAAAGTCTGTTTTTTGTTTCTTGGTGATTCGCTTGTCAGATACTCTTATCCGTCTCCCAGATCGACGAGCTTGGACCCACCGTTCTCGTTTTCGTATGCCGCATAAGCATCAATAGTCATCTGCTGGCTGTTCGGCGTAAGGCGACGTAGTCGTCGTTGTTCTGGATATGGAGGCTAGTCGAATGACGCTCGGAATCCACTGCGGTGCTTTCAGATCTTGACTTTTGTCAATTTTGCGTATCCGCGCCACTTTACCAAAGCTTCAAAGGAATAGTCTAGCCTGCCCAGATTGAGCTCGGGCCTTATCTTAAATCTATGGGCATTGTGAAATTCTACTCGTGGACTGCTTTTTGACGTTTAAACTCCGTCATTTACATTAGAAGTAGTCCTGTTCTGAAGGCTTTCCCTTTCATCCTCTATTTATATTTATATATTTTTTTAAATTATATTCAAGTTCCATCTCCATTGTATCATTTATCTCTCCTTTCTACAATAAGTCCCGTAAACCCTGCATTCACACCTAACTCATTCCTGTTCCTTCCCAACATGCCCGTCGTCGATTGGTAGACAAAGCCACCTATTCCCGAAGGCATTCCAACCTTTGAGCAGGTCTGATAACCTTGATTCATCATGTTGGATAAGCGAGATATCTAACCTCAACCTTTCAATGGTTGAGAAGAAGGGCCGCTGGCGGAAATATTCTCGGAAATGACCTAGCATAGAAATTTGGAAGAGATCCAGTTCAGGAACTTGGTACCTGAGCTGCCATTTTACAAAACGGCTTGTTTCAAAGGGGTTAAGCCGAATGATAACTAATTAAAACAGCCAAATAAACGCGGTAATATACTGTATATAGACACCGCCTGCTCGAGAGATGACCTTAGGATATCCATAAGTAAATGGAGATGAGATGTGAAAAGGAAGTAAGCTTGTAATCCTTATTCATTTGAGTCTATATCGCTGACAAGAATGAGACATGAGTAGATCTAATGATGTAAGTGTTCAATCTCCTTCCATATGATGACCAGGTGGACATTGTGACTGTATGATTTATTGCTAAGAAATATGGACCCTGTATAGAAAGTATGTGATCAAGAAGTCAACTCCTAAATCTAACTTAATAACACCATTTCGAGTGTGGCATGCATGATACTACAGTACCTAGGTATCAGCAACCCCAATCATTGTAAGAACTGAGAGTTGCTACCTAGTTATATGTCGATACCACCAGACCAAAGTGGGGCACAGGACCAATGAGAATGGTTACGATGCTGTTGGTCCAGCGACATGAAGCGAATCTAGTGAGTTTTATCTATTTAGTTACAGCGAGGACAAGATTGAATAACACACCGCTTACAACTCGCAACGATACATTTACAAAGTAGATGCATATGCAACAGTAAGACTGGTCAAACCATCGTTCCGACATTATATAACTGCTTTCAGCATATTCGCATCAAAGGCCTGGTCATGGGAAGCTTGTCGCGAAATGATGGCGAGGTTGGGTAGAGCTCAGTTCCAGCCCTCCGAGGTTGGTGAAGGGTTTCCCTTTATTGATGGGTTTCTTTTACCGTTATGCAAATAAAAGCACTTTTTATAACAAGTTTGTCTATCTCTAATATCATTTGGACTAGATGCATTGAATCAAGAAGACATGACCTAGTGTATTTGGTAGGGCTCTTGTGTTTCTCGAGTACGGAGAGTAAGTAGGAAATATAATGAGTCAATGGTACGGAGGGTAATAAGTGCCACCGCAAAAAAAGGTATGGTACTGTAATCTAGAAATACAAACTGACCGCCTGTAACTATATTACATCTTCTAGGCCCATTTTTATACATATTTGTAATCAGGCTCAACCAATAGGAAAGCCTCAAAATTATTGTTTATAAAGTGTCGTAATCTAATAACTAATCTCACCTATAACAACTATCTATCATGCCACGCCCCAACGTCCCCCTCGAAGCTCATAAGCAAGAGATCATTGATCTTTATAAAGCTGGTAACTCAGCTGAAACTATTAGTCTTACTCTACAAAACCATGGTATCAACGTCACTGCCCGCACCATTCAAACTCGTCTACGAGAATGGAATGCAATTACACCTGCCTCAACCCTTCCTCAACGCCAGCATCTTGAAAGACTTGTTTCTAGTCTTTTCCGGTTTTTGAACACTAAGGAGATTCTCCATGTGCTTCAAGAGCAAGATATACCCTGTTCAACACGTACACTCTGTAGGATACGGCAGCGACTTGGCATTAAGCTTCGTACTAATGACCCTGAAGAACGTGAGCGACAAAAAGAAGAGAGTAAGGCATTACTATAAGATGAAAACGATATTGGAGAGATTGATACATATGGCCGAAGGTATCAATATAACTTCTTACGCAATAAAGGTCAATTTTATCCTATGTATGAAGTCTCTCTCTCTCTCTGTCTCTCTCTCTCTCTGTCTCTCTCTCTCTCTTCTCTCTCTCTCTCTCTCTCTCTCTCTCTCTCTCTCTCTCTCTCTCTCTCTCTCTCTCTCTCTCTCTCTCTCTCTCTCTCTCTCTCTCTCTCTCTCTCTTTTATTTATTTAATTACTTAACTTCTCCTAGGCATAGGATTGCTAAGATCTATAAAACGACCAATCCAAATGCTATTGAAAAACGTCGCTTAGGGCTTCAACGTCGAAAAGGTGCTTATATTTGCCCTGGCCCAAACTGGATATGGCATGTTGATGGTCATATAAAGCTTGAACAATTTGGATTTGAGATATATGCAGCTATCGATGGTTACTCTCGCTTTATCATCTGGATATATGTGGGAGTAAGCTCTCGAACAGCGGTTAGTGTATTATTTCAATATCTAAACTGTGTTTCAGAGAATGGCTTTCTACCACGGAATATGCGTTCTGATCTTGGCTCTGAAACCATGCTATTAGCTGATGCACATTTCTCTCTACGTCAATCAGGATCTCAGGAACTAGTTCTAGCTTTAGTTCCAGCTTTAGTTCCAGCTTTAGTTCCAGCTTCAGTTCCAGCTTCAGTTCTATCTCTAGTACCAACAATATCACCAAGAGTAGCTATAGCTATAGCTATAGCTTCAGCTTCAGCTTCGGTACAGCAGCTACAGGACTGCTTCTTCTATGGCCGAAGCACCGAGAACCAGAGGATTGAATCATGGTGGGTGCAGCTAGTATCATCATGTACTCATATTTACTATGACTACTTCCACCAACTAAAAGATGAAGGCCTTTTCTCAAAGGATAATATTGCAGAGCAAGTCTCCCTTCTTGCAATCTATATGCCTATCATCCGACAGCATATTCAATCATTTACTGAAGTATGGAACATTCATCCAATTCGAGAGCAAAGAAACCGGCCAAACAGTGTTCCAGGGAAGCCTATTCTAAACTACAATTTCCCTCAAGAAGGCATTCATGATCATAAATAACAATTTGATCCAGATCTTTTACAAAGGCTACAAATAGATATACAGGAGTGGGATGGCAACGAATATCTACCATTAGCCACCCTTACCTGGTGTCAACAACAGCTTCAGGAAATTGGAGAACAACTTACGGGGACTGGATTTGACCCTGAAAATCCCCTCCTACATCTTCGTGGGGACTCGGGCCAACCATATCGCATAGTATACGAGGCTCTCCGGCAGCGAGCACTTTTACACTATGAATCATCTATAGATCCTATCCTAGGTATTTGTACAAAACCTCATGGTGCATATGATTAAGCCCTAAGAGTAGAAATGGTTTCGGAAGAAATAGTTGAGGCTGAAATATAGATTTTCTATGATTATATTTAGTCTAGTTTAAAACTTTTCATCATCTATTTAAATAAATAGCCTAAATCCTAATATTTTTCTCTACTAAGCAGTTCAACTCTTAATCCATCTCTCAATCCAACTCTCAATCCATCTCTCAATCCATCTCTCAATCCAACTTTCAATCTAACTCTTAATCCATCTCTCAATCCATCTCTTAATATGGCATTAAGAGAGATAGACCAAGATTTTCCATCTATTCTCCTCAGTTCAGTACAAGCTATTTTACCAATTCTACCACTCCATCTACAGCCTCAATCACTTCTCCATCTATAGCCTCAATCACTTCTTCATCCACAGCTTCAATCACTACTCCGCCTATAGCTTCAATAGCTTCTACAATTCCTGCCTAATCAAATAGCAATACTCGATTTAGTGACTTGAATCGTACTGCTCAAAGTGTTCGGAGGCGCTATATGGGTTTACCTAGTACACCTCCTCGTCCACAGTCACATCTACAAGAGTCAATTCTACCAATTACACATTGTCAACTCCATATACAGCTTTACATTTGGGAAGGGGCGAAAAATATCAGACGTCTTAATATATCTGCTTCGCCAACTTTTCCTCTATCAATGAATATCTCTGATATTCCCTACTTCGTCAATCATGAGCTACTTGGAACAGGATGCTTCCCTTATGATGCATTACAGCAGGTTGGATACCAAAAGCGACTTTGGGATAAAGCTATACTCGCTAAAAGCGTCAACGAAGTTGGGCGAGGAAGTAGAAGACATCTTACTCCTGATCTTCTTGTTGGGATGGATCGCTTTATGCACCAGCCCATAAAAGACCTCTGTCAACAGCTAGAAATGGATAAGAATATCTCATCTCACGTTTTAGTGGCTCAACACCATCCAATTCATCTCCAAGGGTATTTCCAGTGCCATCTCCAGTGCCATCTACAGTGCCATCTCTAATAGTAGCCACTACTAAAAGGGGGCGGCCAAGCACACGACAAAGCCAGCGAGTTCGGAGAAAACGGGAATGATATAGCTGCTTTAATCAATAAATTTTACTTCGCTATTTTACTTCGTTATTCCACTTCACTATTTTAATAGTAATAGATAGTATTTGAAGTTTGACTTAGTCAATTTAGGGCTATCGACTAGTAATATAGAGTGATATGTGATACAGGTATTCAAAGATTCTGCCAGGTGTAAAATATGTATTCTGTTTTCAGTTTTATGGGTTATTTCGCGGTGGCACTTATTAACCTCCGTACAATGGTAAGGTTGGTGTTATCCAGATACTGACAATGTTACTTCAAAACAGTTGTAGTACTGTTTACTATTCTAACAAAGCCAATTCCACGATCTGGTTGACCAAATCAAATGGCGTAAAATTCAATCCCACAAGGTCCATAATATCAATAGTGTCTGTCGATTGATTCATCCACTGTATCAAATACGCAACTAATGCTCTCGCCTGCGCTTGAATCTTTGCTTTGGTTGACTTCTGCCTGGTAATTCCAAGGTTTGCTATCTAAAATCAAGATTCAAACTGGTAGACTGGTAAGTATAGAATTAGATCCAGATTACACCACAATCTCGGAATTGACCGGGAAAATTTCCAATCATATGTGTCCGATCTCGGGAGACCTTGAAGTTTGACTTACCAATTTAACGATATTTGTCTCCAGGGCTTCTTGGTGAATGTGCCTAGTTAGTTATATAATAGCGGGGCTTATAGTATCTAAGTAATTTCTTATGTTGTACCTAGGATGTCCATAGATAGAAGGTTATATTGATCCGAAGTATTTAAACTATTGGAGGCTTGTAACTATGAATATATACCTACCTGAGTATATTCCAGCCTGAATCCTACTCAAGCTAAAGTAAGGGTAGTTTATTTGCCATAAAATCTGGACTTTATGGTAGTATTCCCTAGGACAGAGACCCTTTGACTCTTTAGTCCATTCCGGGGTACAGGACCATAACATACCTAGACATGAACTTCATATTGATAGCTGCATGAGTCTATGTAAATAGTTGCAGTCAGTCAATTACCCCTGACTCTTCCAAGGTTTTAAAATTTCAGTATCATTCTTAGCTTCGAGATGATAGTCTCCTAGCTTGGAGGCTATTGAGCAACGTTGAAGATTGCTCGTGTTTAACGTAAATCCATCCAAGCTTGATACACGCAAATACCTTGAGCTTACTTTCCAAACCAACAGCCCCAGGGTTAATGGAACAAGTAGCCTTCGAGTAACTGAATACGGAATACGGAGTAAGGTACGAAGTTCTCCGTAGCTCTGGCAATAATCTCATGGTGGAGGACTACGTTAACTCCCCGAAGGTATGCAACATTAAACGATCATATGAGCCTGATTGGCCAATTTGATCCACCAAAGACATATTGGAAGCCTTATGACTCTTACTTGAGTCTCGGCGATCTTTTTGCAGTTAGAGCCCGCCGATATCGCAGCTCCAGCCATTCCTTTCAAATTTGAATCCAAGTCCTTAAAGAAGGGCGCTCCCGGTCTATTTCAAGGTGTCATCTGGTTTAAGATTACGTTATTTTTCACTTCTTAGTGGAAATGACGAGACTCTTCTGATGTAAACTGTTTGCTTCACTTTTTCGAACATCAAAGGTGCCATCGACATCTCCGATCACTCTAACAATAACAAGCTGGACTTAGGTAGATGTCGATGACCATAGAAATCTTCTTGACCATATTGCTTCATCTATTTCATGCACATAACGGATCCGCATGGGATTGAGACGCGTGGTCACTAGACAATGGATTTCTGAGCTTAGCGGAGCACAGATCACGTCTGATTTTGCTGTCAATATCAAGAATCTGGATCTTCTCGAGTGAACAGCATTCTAACGTGAAGAAGGAACCAAGCCGAACCTCCATCGAATAACTTGCATAATGTTGGAAACCTGACCAATGGTATCCTCGTATGACTGGAATCGATTCTTGCCCGACAGCGCAGCAACACATTGATTTGTGGCATCTTTTAAGAAGCAGACAACTATTCAGCTGGTAGTGCTATTCGGAATTCATCACAGGGCCTCGATCAGCCCATGCATGGGTGAAAAATCGACCTTCCACTTGACGTCGCGGAAAAAGCATGAGCGTGAACGTGATATCCGAGATATCCACTTCGGCCACGAACTACAATGGCACGGAGCTATACCAGGTTATCTCAAAATCCCTCCCGATAAAAATAAAGTAAGGCATGTGACTGGCAAAAAATACACATCTACCGTCGTCATGGCGTCCCGAATTGCATTTTGGAAGGCAAGATAGGAGTTCGAGAACGTGTGCCTCCTGCATAGGAGAATAAATCTGCCAGGACAAGCTTCCAAGCTTGGAAGAGCCCAGGCTTGATCCGGAAGGCGGTTTGTGTCGGAATATAAAAAGTGACAAAAGTTCTTATCTTTGAGACATGATGCGGCTTTTTTCGGCTTTCACATGAATGACTATCGGCAGGATCATATTGTCGATAAACAGCTAGTCCTGATCAAGAAGGTACGTGGAAGCAAAAGGAAAACGCGCCCAACAATTGTGGCTTTCAACGATGCCTGGGCCGACCATCTGTGCTCTTTCATCGGACAATGCAATCTTACGGACATTCTCATTGATCTTTTACCCTTACTATGAGAAAGTGCGATTTTCGGCAACCCAATATTATCTCTGCTGTGCAAACATTGAACTCGGAGGAACTATTGGCCCAATCTCCGAGGCTATATGGGAACATGGAATATGGAGAACTACGTACTAAGTCGCTCTCTAAAGATTTGACTGTTCCTTGCAGGGTTTAGACTCCGGCGCAAAGACATCCCCGTTGAGCCATCATTTCCTAGTTGAGATATATATCCTTGACCGGTAACTGGTCCGAGGAATCGATCGATTGCAGATTCAAGAAGTGGAATTATGTGAGGCAGAGCTTTCCAGGGAGACATTCAGACCAGGCACTCCGACTGTCCGACTCTCGGCATTTGATGATCTAAGTGGATCTTCATCTTCAAATGCCCAGACACTTGCATCGGAAATCCCTTTGAGCCATGATGCTTGGCTCCGGGGTAGTCCGTGTGGAAAGGCTAATAACCAAAGCCTAAGCAATCAAGCTCATGGCCTCTGGGATTAGTGCAATTCGCCCCTGGAATGAGGACTCAGAGCCCCAACAAGGCAACTTATTGCGCAATCAGTTCCAGAGCGCTCAATCCAATTGCGTAAACTAACAAGACCAAAATCCACTAACGGACAAAGCCATCTTCATAGCTCTGTTCATGGCAGAAATGAGTGGATCTAATAGGTGGAGATGTCAAAACCCGGGACTCGGCTAATTTCTTCTATCGGACTACCTTTTCCTGTTTGGTTGAACGAACAACCAAATTCGGGTGTTAATCAAAGCTCTGGAAGCTGATTTGCCATTCAATCAGATTTGAGGAGTTGGCACGGGGGCTTCCGCGATAAGCAAGTCAAGCCCTAACTATATGACACACGGGAATGACGCCTCTTTTTCTTCTTTTATACTTTTACCTTTCTATTACCTAATCTATATTTTCTCAGTGGCAGCTGAAACTCGAACTTCATGGGATACAACAAGGGTCTAAAAGATCAATTGGCTAACGGATTAACGGATAAGACTAGCATGAACCTATACAAGAACTAGTTAGTGAACCGGTGTTAGCCGGGGACAAAAAGTTACAGAGTTGCATTGCTTGTTGATCCCCCTCTTAATCAATTCTAATCAACTTCTTTTCTTTCTTTTTTACTTCATTTAACCGACCCACATGATATGATAGCATGTCCACTTTGCATCACGGCAAGGCCAAAGAGGATACTCCATCACAGTGCAGACCTCGCTAAAGGTACGGCTCGGAAGATATCCGTTTCTGTCCCTAGACCTAAGAACCTGGGTTAAAAAACAAAAACAAAAAAAAAAAAAAAATACAGAAAATACAGGAAATCGAGCACCGGTGGGGGAATCTTGCGTGATAATAGATAGTCTTGATTTTTCTATTTAAAATTTCTTCTATTTCAAGATGATAAAGTGGCACCATGCATGTGCTGATTCCAATCGCCCCTCTTCCGAGAGCCATCCTAGGCCAGCGAATACTCCAAAAGGGAAAAGTGAATAGTAGAAAATTGAAAGAGAAAAAGCCATACGCAAATAAAACGGTCTCTAGTTTCCAAAAGAAGGCATGGTTAACCTCTTCTAGAAGGCCGAGAATCATTTCAGATTGGTGAGAGATTACCCCAGGTCCGCCATTGAGTGGATCAATGTACCTGCGCATATCGTCAGTAATTATAGGCTTGTCGCAATTGGCTAATAGAACTTGGTCATATTGTTTGTTAAATATATCACTTCACCTCTCCACTTGGGTCTATGATCTTCCTGCTGTTGATCCCTCCAGGCCTTTCCCTACGCCCTATCCATATCCCCTATCCGGGCTTCCCACTTCTACCCACCTTTACCTAAATGATTTAAATACTTCTTTTTACTTTCAATGCCATGACTCGTACCGAGCCTTCTAGGAGTTTGTCGTGGGAGACGAAAAGTGTCGTTGCTGTCGATGATGCGGTCGGCAATGACCCTAGACCAAGAGGTCGAATTCGCCGATCTATGACTGCTTGCAATACATGTCGCAAGTTGAAGACTCGATGTGATCTGGATCCTAGAGGCCATGCTTGTCGTCGGTGTCTTTCTCTAAGGTTTGTGCCTCTCCAGATGTCCCGAGGTTATCGAGACGGATCTATACAGCATGCATACCTGCCCTTTTACCTTGCCCATATTGCCAGTATAAGAAAAATCAAAGAAGAAAGAAAACGTGCCGATCATATGCCGATCAATTGATCGTCGAACACTCCGCTAACTATATATATTTGAAGACTTGAATGTGAACTTCCCGAGACTCCAGATCGATATCACGACAACGCCTTCTGGTCCGACGCCAATGCAGCCATCCCCTCTCTCGAAGAACGCCTTGTATCCCTGGAGCATGGCATGGGTGAAATGATAGATCTCATGCGACACATGGTTAAAAGTTCCTCCAGCAGCAGCCCAAATGCAAATACCCACGTCACGAGAAACAACAGTATAGATGAAGCGATGAGTGATAGCAGGACAGGTCCCCTATTCGCTCTCAAGCCAGTGCAGTTCATTCGGGATCTTCAAGCCGAGTGTTTTGGTGAAAGAGATCACTTCTCCTCTGAGGCGGACCTCATGGGAGATGTTGTCTCCCAGGGCATTGTAGATGCCAAGCTATCTTTGAAACTAATTGAACTGTGCGTTCTTCCAGCCCTTTCCCCTCCCAGAGATTATACTAATCGACGACAGATTTGTTGATTACTTCAGCCCATGGGTCTCAATAGATCATGCATCAAATATTCAGCGCAATGATACCCTTCTTTTCAATACTGCATGTCTCCTGGCTTCTCGGTATCTCCCTGGCATGCCACCGAATACAACCCACGATATTTCACTTCAGGTGCAGCATGCTGTCACCAAGACTCTCTGGAGGAAGACCCCATTGACAAACGACTTGCTTCAGGCCCTGGCCCTGCTCTGTCTCTATCCTACAGCAGGCCACAAGGAAGGTTTCATGGATGGATGGCTATTGAGCGGGATCTCAATCAACCATGCCTTGACCTCCTTTACTTTCCTCAATGATTTACCTAATAAAGTAATTTTGACGGATGAGATGTTATCTCAAATGCGTCTATGGAACACCTTCTGTCTGACCCATCTACAGTATGTCCTTTACCTCCTTCTTTGAATTCAATCTAACGTAGCCTTAGTTCCGCCCTTGGATACGGACGTACTGTCAACGTGCAACTACATTATCTAGACCATTGCCCTCGCATACTAGATAATCCCCGTGCAACACAAGAAGATGGCAGGATAGTCGCCGAAATCCAGCTCTACCGGATCGCTCTAAGAATCCAGAACACTCCGCAGCGACTACAATTTGTCGAAGCCGAGTATGAAGAGATCGAGAAATGGAAGCTAGAATGGGCACACCTTCTCAGTAAGCCACCCAATACCCCTTCCAAAGAAAATCAATAAAAACTCACAACTCCACAGCCAGCGAAGGACAATCAATTCTAGAGCTGAGCATCTGGTTCTGCCAACTCCTCCTCCACCGAACCGCCGTGCGCCTGCAACAAAGCACGGATCTCTTCGCAGCCGAAATATGCAGCAACGCCCGACTGATAGTATCCCGATCAATGCAAACCCGCTTCTCCGCTGCACCGGGTTTAATAGACCATGTGTACTACATCCTAGGCTACGCAGCACTAACCCTCTGCGACTACAACTCCTCCGATCCATTGATCGACCAAGTTCGCGCATTCCTGCTTCACCTCGCCCCAAGTAGCGAACACATCTCCTACCGCATCGCTTTTGTAGTCGGTGAAGTCCAGCGTCGCTATTCAGAAGCTACCTCCGAGCACACCTCGCCGAGCACGGAAGCCTTGAAGAGCGCCATGTTCACAGCGCCGCCGCCTCGCACGGAGAGCATTGATATGACTCAACTCATCTCTCCCGCTGGGTCGATTGAGGGACTTGAGGGCTACGAGTGCTTTAATCAGTTGGTCCCTAGCTATGTGCCGTCTCAGCAGGCTTTCTCGGCACCGGCTATGTTTGGGGCAATTCCACATGTCACGGGTGGGGCTATGCCTATTGCACTAGTTTCGAGGGCCATGCATGACTACTGAAGCGGCAGATATTGATGGAGCTTTACCTAGCTCAGGCTTATCTCTTTCTTCTGTCTTTTTTTCCCCTGACTTCTCTTTATATCTCTTCTTTTCATCTTTCCTTTTGTTTTTTTTTTGTGTGTGAGAGAATTTTTATTATGACTTAAAGTGAATTGTTTATCGGCGTTCCATAGCGGTTTCTTCTTGGTGGTTATACCTTGTTCAACTTTTCTTTCCGTTTTCTTGTCCTGTGGCCTAAAATAATTGATCGGTTGCAGGTTTGCTGGGTAGTGCATTCACGAATATATTAATTGCTTTTACCGCAAGACTTTTTGTATCTAGTTCGGAACAAAAATACTTGGGTCGAGTCCATGTCTTTGATAGTGGCAATGCGGGTAATGGTGCCTGGTGGAAAAAGGGATATACTAGAATATATGATATCTGACCTGTTACTACGTATGTATTTAAATACCCATGGACCTGGGTTATGCCCACCTGGGTAGGAGTGTTCTTAAAATCCGTTATGAAACTGTATAAAATGTACTAAGACAGGCATATATAATTTGGATGGCTAGGAGATTCAAAAAGGTCAAATATTTGTGGTGGCCAAGAAGGCAGAATCGAAGTAATGTATAAAAAAGGGGAAGAAAAGATCTCGATAACACCTAGGTAGCCTTCCATAGAAACATGAATAGAGTTGATATTGAGTCCGTGTACATCTTAACAGATCAAGTTTAAGTGCAAAGACCAGATCCATCAAGCACGGAGGACGGATACAGAATACGGGGCTCTCCACTTGCCATTGGAACAGCCACGTCTCCATTATCGTCAACCTGAATAGAGGAGCAGGTGAAGATCTCTGTGACATAAATGCCAGCAGTGAAGCCAGTGCTCGGCAGCGCAAGGGTGTATTCACTTCCCGTAGCACCGAGATTAGAGAGAACAGTGACTGTCTGGGTTCCGTTGTAGCCCTTACGCATGGCAAGGGTGCTATCGTCTTGGTAGATGGGGTAGTTCTGTCGAAGGTTGTTAGAATTGATAGGACAGAAATCAATCGGGCTTGGGTCCTACCTTGTATGTAATGTAATCTGAGCTGGCGTAGATGGCGTGGTTTCGGACAGCGTTTACAACGGCAACGAGCTGGTACAGTTCGCTGGTAGTGTTGTATTTAGAGAGCCAAGTAGCTTCGCGGTTGTACGGGTCGTTGCTGCCGCTGTAGTGCTGCTCCTGGCCGGCGTAGATGATAGGGATGCCGTCTGCCATGATGGTGAAAGCGACAGCGTTCTTAGCGAGGGACATGTCATCGGTGTACGATGCAAAACGGGGATTGTCATGGTTTTCCGAGAAAGTCCCCAGCAGGGTCGAGTCACTGCAGGTTGATTTGACGTTATCGATCATATCGGCAAGGGCGCCAATGTCTCCGGTGGTAGACTTGAAGGCTCGGACAAGAGGGAAGTAGCTGATCTGGGTTAGTGATTTTTCCTTTCTTCGCAAGGAATAAAACATACAGCGGATAGTTAAGCAGTCCATCCATGACTTCCTGGTACGGGCAAGTGTAGCTCGTAGCTCCTTCGAGAACCTCACCAATACAGTAAACGCCAGCAGCGGAGTTGTAACCAGGCCAGAAGTCTTTGTTTACATGCTTGACAGTATCCACACGTAGGCCATCAACTGAATATAAGGTCAGTTCTGGAGAACGGAGATGATGAGACAGAGAAATAGTTATCTTACTTGAGTAGTTGGAAACCAGAGAACCGACCCACTTGTACCAGATATCCTGGACTGCCTGCGACTCTGTCTTCAGATCAGCTAAGGCGATAGTGTTATCACCCAACCAGCAATCTTGCACATTAGTCTGGTTGTCGTAATTATCGACCTCACAGTGGGAGTGGTAGAAAGCTGGGTCGTCGAATTGAGGGAAGACGCTGGTGTCCATGTCGGTGCCAGCACCTTTGTAGCCCTACGGGGGTTAGTTTTATTTCCAAAAGCTGTTTAAGAGTATCAAAGACAAACCATGTGGTTGGCCACGACATCAACCATGAGGTACATGCCGCGGTCATGAACTGCCGTAGCCAGATCTTTCAGGTCATCAGCAGTGCCGAAGTTCGAGTTTACATCGTAGCTAGATAGGTTAGCGAGTTAAAAATCGATAGAAGGGTGTTTACATACATATCCTGTTGCCAGTAGCCATGGTACGCGGTTCCATCGCTGGTATCGCCTTCGACCTGTTTGGTGACAGGCGAGATCCAGATGGCGGTAAAGCCCATTCCTTGGATATAATCCAACTGTTCAAGCCATTAGCATAAGAGTCATAGCCGGCCGAAGTATAGGGGGAGAGCTAATACCTGATCGATAATACCTTGCCATGAGCCACCGCAATATTGCTATGTATAAAATCAGTTTCCAGCCCCTAGAAAGTATCAGGGATTAACTGACTCCCATCTTAGAAACACAGGTAGCTGTGGTTGAGCCATCGGTTCTAGCAAATCGATCGGTGAGCAAGAAGTAGATAGAACGAGTGCGCCATTCTTCTGGAGTGGCGCCAAATGCTGAGCCAACAAGGCCGACAAGACATGCAAGAAGCCAAGGAGACATTGTAAATTAGTGAAAGTTGAAATGAACGACAAAAGCCACCAGGGCTTTGAAAATGAAGGTAAAAATGAAGGTGAGTAGTACCTACGTACTATGAAATAAAAGACTGACAACACAGCATTAAAGCATACAGGAGGAATAACTACTTTAAATGTGATATTATTATTGTACGGAGTACTTACTTGACTTGTCAACTTGAAACGAAGGTCTAAAGAGGAAACATCTGATGACTATCAAATTTGATATTAGAGTTTAGTAGCTTACGTCTTACGCAGATTTAACGCCCGCTCCACCAGGAGATCCAGGGATGGACTTCAAACTCATATGTCAAGCTATTGATTAAAATAGGAAAGTGATTCCAAAATTGCTACACGACTTCCACGATCGAATTCTCCATTTATCATTAATGAGTTGAATACTGGTAAAAAAACGACAATTCTGATACTCAGATTTAAGATTATCAAGGAACCGAGTGCGATCACCAATTTCAGGGCTCGAAGGATCACGGGTCAAACAAGACCTTCAATTTCTACGGAGAAGCCGGACCAGTAGATTTGCCGTATCGGAAACCAATCAGTCTCTGCTATCAGCTCGTCTGTCTCCACTGGAGCTACCAGAAGGAAGACTCATAACTCCTTCAAGTCCCCACTGGGTTGTAATAAAGTACGAACCTGTGTCCTTGTAATTAATTAAGTTCTAATGAAAATTTCATAAATAAAATTTGTATTACTGATAGGTACAGGTAGCGGCCGAGATTGTCGTGCCTGTAATTCCAGATGAATTATCATATTTTGGCCCTATGGTCAATACGAAGATGGTCGGTCTATAATTAGTTGCTATTTTCAACAATCCCCTTTTTACTGCTTCTCGTTGACATATGGCGTGACCAGTAATATCAGGTCTTGTCCATCGCTCATACGTTTACTTCTCCCGACAAAAATGAAACTAGCAGTTGTCACCAAGATTCTTCCAAAATGGTAGGCCGTAGTATGATCCGACTCATATGCTACTACTGGAAGCTCGAATAGCTGACTGACATCAGTTTGAGCCAAGCAAAAGAGACAGAGTTTCCAAGTTTGCTAACATTTCCAATTCACTAAGACCAAGGACTTTGATATGGAGGCCTCGGGACTATCTAGGTCGATAAAATATCGTTCTATATAACTATCCTGGGCCTGATCGAACAAGGATTCAATTTTGGTCTTTGGAATATAGGAAGTACTTTGAAATCTCATACCTAGCCAGACCGTACGGAATATAAACAGAGTACCAGTATCTGAACCGTGCGTGAGGCATAGCGTTACCTATTTCTATTCGGGGATATCAGCATTTTCGTCCGAGTGCATATATTTACATTAAAAGAAATGAGCTTGGATCCTTCACGTTCGAGTTTATCCTCGGTAATTTCATTTTCAGCGTTAATTTATCGAGCTAACAGTTACTTGCCACATATTTTAATTGTTTGATCTTTACTGCATGACTACGTTTACTTGGCAATGCTTAGCCACCTGCACCTACATACTACCATCGGTTCAAAGTTTCTACTAAGCTGCATATCTAGGTATTCCATTTACTATTTACTCTAATAAGTTTAGTACTTGCACCGCCGATTTTCTAACTTGGACTGAAAGGATCGAGCACATTCTAGCCCTGTGTGGAGTCTAACACCGACAACAACTAATTTTCACCTTCAGATGTGAGACTTGAATAAGGTGTCATCCAATCAGTCCTTAAATCTGAATCAATGGGCAGTGGGCACCCCTTTATCACATTGACTTAATGGACGGAGCCATTAATTAACGGGACAAATGTAGTGACAAAAAGCCCGACTTACGCGGATTGACCAGACATGATCCTTCGAACTTGCCGATCTCCTGGTATATACTCCGTATAGGCCGGACAGAGGTAATGTAATGCCATCGTGCAATTGGACGAGCTGATAACAAGTTTGATACGTCAAATTCTAGTTCTATTCAAATCAATACATACTAAAAGATGAAATGCTTCCAAGGTTGGATACAGACTTCAATATATTTCCAAAGGCTACCTAGGTAGTTTCTCTGCTCGCCTTACATGTAAATAAAAGCAAGTCAATAATCTCGACTCTACCACTTCAAAATCCAATTCTTCTCCCAAGCCCCATAAGGAGTCAAATCCTTCAAGCCACCAACACTCAGAACCCTCGCAGTAGAATTATAACTCACTCCAGAAACCGGAACACTCTTCCCATTAAAAGTCACGGAATCTGGCACCGCATCCAAATCCACACCTAGAACAGTGACATTACCTAAAGAGTTAGTCTCCACCCAGTCCCCGCTAGCCAAAGCACTAATAGTAGAGCCAGTAGCCGTAAACAAGACTTTCAATGTAGCATTAGGGGAAAGACTCTCCCCATCATCAAGGTACAACTCACCGTCCGCAGAACCGCTTCCGTCCAGTGCGACGAGCAGAGACCAGGGAGAATTTCTGGCAGCGCGGGTTGTAAGAGCTGGTTGTTGCATGGGGAGGATACTACCCCCGCGCACGAAGACGGGGATATGACCCAGCGGTGCAGAGATGGTAGTATTGACACCTGGTTTTGCGGGAACTATAGTCTGATTGTACCAGTCGTACCAGACAGCACCGTCGTTCAAGCCGGGGAAAATACCCCTGACTGTGTCGGTTTGCGGCGTTAGGACGGGGATTACCATTATCGACGAGCCGAGGATAAATTGGGTGTCTATAGCTGCGAGGGAAGGGTCATTGGGGAATTCCCAGGCCAGAGCACGCATGACTGTTGACCCGGTTGTGTGTGCTAAATAGAAGAGGGTGTAGAAATAAGGCAGAAGCGCGTAGCGGATGCCCATTGCTGTTTTTGACGCGTCTATGACAGAAGCCCATTGGTACGGCTCTTGGCTGATGGTCGAGAGAGTATTGTGATTTCGGTAGAAGGGGAAGAAGGCTGATAGCTGCATCCAGCGGTTACAGAGCTCTTCGTCTGTATTTCCATTGAAGCCGCAGGTGTCGACGCCGAACATTGGAATGCCGAATAGCGAGAATGACAGCGCTTGTGGGATGGAGAAGAACATGTATGCCCATTTTGAAGCGTTGTCGCCGCCCCAGTGACCAGCCCATTTGCCAGACCCTGCGAATGTCGAGCGGCCAATTATGAACGGGCGTTTCTCAGGGAAGATCTGGCGCAGACCGCGATATGTTGCGTTGAGGACTTGGTGGCCGTAGAGGTTGTGCACGTCGTATTCTTGAATTCCGTCTGAGTGCGTGGCATTGGGAGAAACGGCGTGGACGCTGAGGTCGTGGCCATCTTGGTCGTGATTTATCACATACGGAGGATAGTTGATATCGCGCAGCCCCGGGGTGGGAGTAGTATGTAAGTAAGACGTGCTTGCTGATGCAACTTCTTCGGTACTGGTAGTAGCAGCTTGGCTGGATGAACCCGCCGATGCAGAAGCTGCCTCGGTCACGTTGCTCACTTCGAACCACTCCGGATAGTCATAGATAATATTATTGGGTTCTCCAGGAAGCAAGAAGCCAGGGTGGACTGGGTTCAAGCTTAGGTTTTTGCTTCCACAGCTGCCAACGCAAAAGGATGAAACTTCACTCATGTCGATCCAGATGCCGTCAAAGGCTACATTCTGGTGCCAGGTGACGAGCTCATTGGCCCAGAAGTCACTCGCTTTGGGGTTGTGCCAGTCTGTAAACACGGTATAGCCTGGCCATACAGCGCCAATGTAGACAGTCCCATCTGGGTTTTTTAGGAAAATATCATCATAGGCACCACGGCTATATGTTGCATAGCTAAGTGCAATCGTCAGTAACTGATCCAACGGGTCCCGGGAAAAGAACTTACACATCGGATTCATTATGAGGGTTCGGTATATAAAGAGCTGAGTCCACGATAGGAATGTAGTGACGGCCACTATTGTGTAGCTTATTCAAGAAGTCCTTGGCACCACTGTAAGGAAAGCGATTCTGATCATTGTCGAAATTGCGATAACCATGCATGTAATCAATATCGTTCCTGAGGTCTGAATAAGCAAAATATTCCCAAAGGGGAAAGTTTGAATGGTCTTACCAAATACTCTCCAAGGGAATTTCAAATCTTTCAAAATTGTTCACGACATCTTCCAATACGGACCAATTCTCATAGCCCCATCGGCACTGATGGTATCCAAATGTGAAATACTGCTGCATGGCAGGTAGGCCGATAGTGCTGACTTGATAGTTTTTGGTAACTTCAGCTTGTGATGGGCCGGAGTAGAAGGTCAAATCAAAACTACCACCGAGAGTACGCCACGTGAGATTCCGGGGATTAGTGATTATTTCCTGGCCATGGGCATTTCTCAAGAATACGCCGTGGGAGTAGCCGACGTAGTCTTTAGACTGATCAATCCCGTCACTCGCAACGTGAGTATGGGAGCCGTTCTTGCCAACTTCGTAGTAGCGAGTATCCAGATAGAACGGATGAGATCCATAGACATTGCTATTGTTGAGAAGTCAGTTCTCCCCGCAGAAGTTAGAGTTTGTTGGGTTTGATTTACCTGTCTATGGGAACGCTAATGTCCGAAGCATAGATAGTCAAAGTCAGGTTATCCAGTAGACGGAACTGCTGAATGTGTTCGCCAAGACCGTACAGGTTATAACCACTCGGCAAAGCAGTGACGAATTCGATAAACTGATTCTCAAAGACCAAAACAGTACCCGTAGTCTCGAAAATAACATCCTGAACGGATCTCCGAATAATCTTGAAGCCGAAAGTGGGCTCATTCGTCACTTGAATCTCGAGATCGTTTGGAAGATTCGAAGGCTCGTCGGCCTTTGGTCTAGGGACGAGATTCTCCGAAAGCTCGAACCAAGAAGCGTTTGAAGAATCGACGTGGCTCGGAGTAATGTGAATATGTAGTCTGTCGAAAGCAAGGTATTCGACTGAGAAATCTAGCTGATCGACATCTGTCCCATACGCATTGCACGGCTCACCCGCCAACTTTAGCGTAGCCGTCACTCCCTTCGATGTATACTTCAAATTCCCCGCTTTATACCCAGGACAAGCCAGCTGTGCATTGACGGCATGTGGATCATCAATATTCGCAATCAGATTCGCACCAAAGTCCGCAGAGGCAGGAATGGTGTACTGAGAATATGCTCCAGTCTCAACTACACTTGGACTGAGTATAGATGTAGCATGTATAGCCGAAAGCACACAACTACCGACTAGAAGTTCAGCAAAACTAACCATTGCTGCCAGCTTCAACTTCGCCTCTGTTCCAATTGAAGTCTTGGAAAGAGGACTCTCGTCTTTTTATGCTGTAGTGATTTTGACCAGCACCTGACCCTTCCTTTGTAGTTTGAAATCAGACCAGTGAACCCGCTGCGACAGTAGAAAGCACTTTTCGTTCATAAATACTGACCAGTACCAATGGTACCCGCAAATCCCCGCTTAATCCCCGGGGCACTGCGGGGATAGGTGGAATCAGGCATTGCATGGAGTTGAGTGGCTTCAAACTTGCTTTAAACTGGTTGTGATCGTCATTCTTGCGCTTATAATTAATAGCCGGATTCCAGGGTTCAGGTTTTAGTATAGTGAATATTCCTCGATGTGTGTCGGTTGGCCATTAGCTGGCGGTCCGATGAAAACCGAGACGCAGGAGTTAAGCAGACTTGAATCGCTGGGAAATATGCCCTAATTAGTAAGCTTGAAGCTTGAAGATAACGAGGTACGGCGAAGGTGAGTTGTGACGTAGTACCTAGGAGGCCCCCAACTTGTAAGAATAAGTGTATCATTCGTTAATCATAATCATATACATAAATTACAATACTACTTTTTTCCCTTCCCCTTATTCTTCTTTTTTTCTTCACCTCTGGCTCGGGAACAGGAACACTAACAGTCCCTTCAACGATATCCTCGCCCTGCCCTTGCAAGCGCTGCGACCCACTAATAAAGAACGTCAAGTCCCGATTCTGCTCGGCAAGATCAAGCTTCTCAGCCTTCAGCGTGGTATTATCCGTAGTCAGAATATCAACTCTTTCCATCAAGCTCTGATTCATAGTCTTTTCCTCGCGGTACTCCTTTTCCAACTGGCGGGCCATAGACTCGAACTTCTCGGCGCGTTTCTCGAACCGGGTCCGATCACGCTCGAGACAGGGGATAGTATCGCCGGAAAGCTCGTTATATTTTTCCTGTAGGTCTTTCAAACAAGCTTTTGCCTTTTTGGCGGCATATTCTGCTGCGGCGGCTGCAGCACTAGCCTGTGATGCTTTGTCGGCTGCACGCTCGACGATCTCTTCAAAGTAGGCGCGCTGGCTTTCGAGCTGGCTTGTGAGGAGGTGTGTGTATTCAACGCTCATGTTCTCTAGCTTTTCGCGGGGCACGGCATCGCCCCAGTCTGGCGGGTCCAAGGCGCTGTGATCTGCCGCTGGGAGCTCGACCAGTTTACCGTCGGTTTTGCTTTGAATGATGCGGTGCACGTAGGCGTCTCCTACATAGTCCCAGACGCGCTGGGAACTGAGGTCTATGGCGAAGGCGTGGGCTGTTTGTTTCCAGTGGTCAAAAGCGTGCGCACCGTCGTAACGTCCACATCCAATCTCTCCACATATCAGACAAGCCCATAAGTTCGATTCGGTACGACAAGTCGCGCACTCGACTGGATCACCATCGGAATCGGTGATCATGCCGCTCTTGCGGAACTCGTCTTGAGTGTACCGGCACACAGGACAGCCGCTGCCTTTCCATTTCTGCAGACACGTGCAGTGGAAAACATGCTGGCAGATAATGGTCAACAGACCCGTAGTCTCGTCCATTCGCTCCAGACAAACGGGACATGTCGGCAGTTCAACCAGCGCCGGCGTCGGTGGCGCAAGAGGTTTTGTAGAAAGCTTCGCTTGACTAGAAGAGACAGCAAGCCGACCCGGTGTCGGTATGGCATCAGCGTCATCGACGAAAGTAGAAGGTGGCCCAGGCTCAACGACCTGGATCTCAACCGACTTCACAAAAACAACATGGCACGTCTCAGGCTGCAAAGCATTTAGTAAATTATTCTTTGGTGCTCATCAGTTCCACATACCTCCATACTATTAAAAACCTTCCCATTCCACTCTTTCTGCCACTCCATAGCCTTTCGCCCACTGCGAAACTTCATCAAAACCATATATCGATTCGCGCGTGGAGTCCTGATCATCCTGAAATGACTGACAACATCACTAGTCTTCTCACCCACAAACCCCAAAAAGTCCGACGAAGACAGATAAGAAGGCACAGCCAGAACACACAAAGTCGAGCACTCATCCTCAGGAGACTGAGCCGGCGAAGATGCCATCACAGGGAATGGATACGATGCGCCCGCATCGGCCGAACTAGTCCCCATCCCAGTTCCGGACTGCGATATCTGCTGTTCACCGGGGTGTCGGGCTGCGGCAGCCGAGCCCTTGAGGTAGGTCGGGTAGTCATCGTCGCTGTTGAGGAGATACGGCGTTTCTAGGGTTTCACGGTATAAATGCACAATACCCCAGACGCTATCGCCGACTTTCTGATCAAGAGGGATGTAGTGACCCTTAGTGCGTAGACCACCTAAGATATCGGTTCCAATGCCCGTGGCAACAAGGTTTTCTTCTTCGCCACCACCAGAGGCACCAGTATTCTTGGCACGACTCGGAGAATTGGTTGGCACGATCATGTCAATACACTGAATGGAGATTGTATCAGAGCGACAGTCGCTTTCGAGTTCGGCGCGGGTTTGGGGAGATGTAGTCGGACGATATTCGGGAGGCAGAGACAGATTCTCAGTGACTCTGGAGCGACCGAGAGGGGAATGAGACTGCTTAGGTCGAATATTTAGTGTGAATTCTTTGCTGGCGTGTATCTTATGAGGGTGGCTCCCCGCACCGGATGGGGGACTGGAGCTCGATGGCCTGCGCCTCTGAAATGGTAGGAGAGCTTCCCATGCAGGGTCTATAGCGAGAGATGGTCTTTTTGCTTTTGTAGATGATTGGCTTCTGGGTCGGCAAATTTCGAAATTCAAGTGGTAGAAATATGCTGGCATCCCGGGCGGTACATGTGGGGTGAGACCGTTGAAGCCGCGATGTTTTTCTTGATTGCGATAAGATGGTGATGATATAAGCACCCGGACCTGTGCTGATGTGGCGATGGCAATAATAACAACAACGAAATCGTACCGTACGAGGTTCACCCTAGCGCCATTAGTGGTATTATTGTTCGGCTCATTTTTGAGACTGCATCGGAAGATCATGTCGGTCTGAAATTAAGTTTGAAGTGGCGTTCAGGCTCGTATTTACAGGACTAAGGCAGATACAGTTTACATTGGGTAACAGCATAGTGTTAGCGATAGCGAGACTGACTAGCAGTCATACATGGTATTGTAGATATTGACTATGAGGGCGCACCAGCACACAGTGTGGGTGATAAGAGAAAGAAATAGGTCATCGTAAAACCATGTGAAAATAATAAGGAAGCCTCAGCTTCGAAACCAATCCAACGCCGACTGCTTGGAAGAAGTCCATGGCAGTTAATAAATAAAAAAGGAGAAATTTACTGACCGCCACGCAGACGGAGGACCAGGTGGAGAGTAGATTCCTTCTGAATGTTGTAATCAGACAGAGTTCGGCCGTCCTCCAGCTGCTTGCCAGCGAAGATAAGACGCTGCTGGTCAGGAGGAATGCCTTCCTTGTCCTGGATCTTGGACTTGACATTATCAATGGTGTCAGAGGACTCAACCTCGAGAGTAATAGTCTTGCCGGTGAGAGTCTTGACGAAAATCTGCATACCACCACGGAGACGGAGAACCAAGTGGAGAGTGGATTCCTTCTGAATGTTGTAGTCGGACAAGGTACGGCCATCCTCAAGTTGCTTACCAGCAAAGATAAGACGCTGCTGGTCAGGAGGAATGCCCTCCTTATCTTGGATCTTGGACTTCACATTATCAATGGTGTCAGAGGATTCAACCTCGAGAGTAATAGTCTTTCCAGTAAGAGTCTTGACGAAAATCTGCATACCACCACGGAGACGGAGAACCAAGTGGAGAGTAGATTCCTTCTGAATGTTGTAATCGGAGAGGGTGCGACCATCCTCAAGTTGCTTACCAGCAAAGATAAGACGCTGCTGGTCAGGAGGAATGCCCTCCTTATCTTGGATCTTGGACTTCACATTATCAATGGTGTCAGAGGACTCAACCTCAAGAGTAATAGTCTTGCCGGTGAGAGTCTTAACAAATATCTGCATACCACCACGGAGACGGAGGACAAGGTGCAAGGTGGACTCTTTCTGAATGTTGTAATCGGAGAGGGTGCGACCATCCTCAAGTTGCTTACCAGCAAAGATAAGACGCTGCTGGTCAGGAGGGATACCCTCCTTGTCCTGAATCTTGGACTTAACGTTATCGATGGTGTCGGAAGACTCCACCTCGAGTGTGATAGTCTTGCCAGTGAGAGTCTTAACAAAAATCTGCATACCACCACGCAGACGCAGGACGAGATGAAGGGTGGACTCCTTCTGGATGTTATAGTCAGAGAGGGTGCGACCGTCCTCAAGCTGCTTGCCGGCGAAGATCAAGCGCTGCTGGTCAGGTGGGATGCCCTCCTTGTCCTGGATCTTCGACTTGACGTTGTCGATAGTATCGCTGGACTCCACCTCAAGGGTGATAGTCTTGCCAGTCACTAGAAAGGGAGGTTAGCAGATGAAACACTTCGAGTGGCGCAGTTGGATAACTCAGTAATCCGATAGTAAACTCACAAGTCTTAACAAAGATCTGCATGGTTGCAGTATGTTTGATTCAGTAGCAGTAATGGGAAAGTAGATAATGAAAGGTAGTTATGGAGGGGGTGAGAGGGTGAGAGGGTGAGAGGTTGCGAGGCTGGGAGATGTAAGAGTAAGAAAAGGAGGAAGGGGAAGGTTAAGTAGGAATGGAGAGGCAAAGTGTCTGACTAAGACTAGGCAGTAACAGTGGTTTGGGAAGTTGCTAGAATATGCCGAGTGCCGGATGAGTCAAGTGAAATAGGAACAGGACAAAAAACGCCACCTGGGAAAATCTTATTCCTATTCTCTTATTACTTCTCTCATTGCGAACTAAATTCAGTCTCAACTGCTCGTTTCACTTGTATTATGATATCCATGACGCTATCTATGGCACCATCCTTGAGGGAATCAATGACGTTAGTTCTCTTATCGCAAAAAGAGGGGGTGGAGATCCCGTGGCTATGAATACGTATGGATACCGTATTCTATACTTAGAGCGAGGTCCACCGCATCCGGCTATCTCTTCTACCTTATCCTTACCTTACGGATAAACAGAATCAATCTTAACCATTTCCAGTTAAAAGCAATAGTATGTAAACATGATCTCTCGATACGGGAATCCTCGCCGTTTTCCTTACTCCGAATCCAGAAAGAGGCGAGAGATCAATGATTGCCAAAAGATAAGGCGGTCAAGCCTATATTTCTTCTCCTTAAAGGAGGCAAAAAAAAGTAAAACAAAAATAAATACGGCCGTCCACAGTCATAAAAGTTCGTGATCCTCGTTGATCGCGAAAACAAAGCTATGCGAGAAAAATATACCACAAAAAAAAGGTCAATAAAAACATAACGGAGCTGGAAATGAGAAAATGTCCAGTTAGGAAAGATTTCAAAATAACAGATTGCCAAAATATCACAAGATGCAAACAGGCCCAGTCTCACTAGGAGAGGACTAAAAAAAAAAAGCAGGAGATTTCATAAAGAGTGAGGGAGAGGATGTGCTGGCGCACGCTCACGACCGAATTTCTTAGTGGCGTATATGCGTAATTTCTCGTCCAGGTCATGGGATGAAAAGCATTGGGGTGCAGAAACAAAAGTCGCTGGACTGTACTCGCTAGTGAAAGACAGTAGTCGTTGAAAACATCATCGTTATGATGCGCTTGCGCATCGTTGGGTCATTTAGTTGGCTCGAATAACAAGACGGGAAACAAATTTGTTGGACAGGCAGTCGAAGTCATGGCGGTTGAATTTAGTAGCGGTGCGGCTACGGAGGTATTTTTCTGTTCGAGTCAGGCTAAGTCCTGTACTTGAAGGATAGATTTTACTTACCATGTTGTTCAACATGTTGTCGGACCTCGGTCATTGTGTTACAGACGTCGGGATTGGAGTATAGTAGTTGGTGATGTTTCTGTGAATCCCACTCTGTGAATGGAGGCAACTTCTGTGAGATGGCCTGGAACAGTCCGACGATGACACCCACAGGGGTCGTCTCCATATCAGTGCAGAACTTGTCAACCGCGGCTTGGTCCGGTGTACGGTAATGGCTGTCAAACTGCATCTCCTCCCATACGGCCAAGAGAATGGAGGCTAGGATGAAAATGGTAGGCCAGTTCTTCAGCTTCTCACCACTGTACACACTCGAGTAGAGCGAAGATAGCTCCTCCAGCACATCCTTCTGGAGTTCACGCCACATGCTAGCCATGGCACACTTGATCTGGAAGTTAATCATGACGGGTGCCATGGTCTTGCCTCGGAACTTGGATGATTGATCATTGATCTTCCCTCGGAAGCTATCCTCGTCGCCCAGGCCCTCGATCATGGTGACATGCAGAGTCAGGTTGTAGGCGACAACCAACTTCAGCGCTTTTCGGATCACCGGGAGCTTAGTGCGGTAGTAATAACGGAATGCAGTCTTGAGCATCTGGGTGAGGAACGGGGTGCCTTCGAAATAGTCATCGACAAATTTCTCAAAAGTACCGTTCCCGTCAATATGGCAGTCTAGGTACTCGGAAAGCATAGCATGCGAGATACCCTCCATGCCAGCGGAGAGTTTGGCAGTCTCGACTTCGTATTGTGTTGGCTCGCGGTGCATAGACTCGACCCAGTCAATCGTGAAGCACTGTTCATCCCGTACGTACACCTCGCGGGCTCTGATGGGCATGATTTGTCCATAGCCGTGGGTGATATACAAGGTACGTTCTTGGTCCGAGAAGCCCTTGATGTTACCGACCGAGAAACCCATGGAGATGTGGCGCTCGTAATCGGCCTTCCAGTCCTTCATGAAATATCCAATCTCTTTAATATCGATGCGAGTACAAGGGACCTGCCATAGCCGAGCGTGCGATGGCTGGCATCCAGCACATGGCTCACCCTTATCACAAGTCTTCTTAAGGAACTTGCAGCGCAAGCAAGCGCGCAGCTTCCGGATCTCACTCGCTTGCTTCCGCTGGTCGGGCTTCAGAGGGCCTTTTCGCTTGCCGACGCGCTTCTCGGTCGTCTCCGGCTTACCGTTCTGCGATGACTTGCGAACCTTGGTCTCTGAGGTCTTGGCAGCGATGGGGCTCTTCCTCGATTTCCGACTGGGAGGAGATGCTGACGAATGTGATCCCGATGAGCGAGTCGGTGTCGTAGACTTTTTGATCGGAACTGGGATAGGGCGCACCATGACGCTGGGACTAACCGCAGAGGGTGATCGAGAACCAGTGGAGGATGAGTGGTCCTCGCAACGCATGATAGCGTTGCTGGGCGGGGAGGTACTAGCGTACCGCAAGTTACAGCTGTGGTAAGAATAATCTAAATGATCTGATCCAGGCGAACTGATCGGGTTGGAAATATCAACAAAGCTGCCGTAAGAACCAGAGTAGGAAGACTCGGAGAGACTTCGGTCGTGAAGGGTCTGAGTAGGGTTAACAAAGACACCTTGCTCCGGGAAGGTGAAATCGAGTGAGCGTCGGTGGTCGACAGTAGTCCATCCGTTATCACTGCTAGAGAGGGAACGGACCTCGAGATAAGTATCTGTAGGCGAACTACTATCTAGAACTGGGTGCGGGGCGTAAGAGACGTCGGAAAGACCATTTAACACCGGCATCAGATCAGAGTGAAAGTCATGATAAGCATAAGGCACCATATCAACCTGACTTGGCATGGAAAGGTAGGGAGCATCGAGCAGACCAGCACTCATATGGCCCTGACCGGCCATGAGATCCACTGGGGAGGACTGAAGGACCATTCCATAGCTAGTAGTAAACTGGGGCACAGAGGATGGGTCCTCGGTCGAATATGGTAATTGATGATGTGGGTGAGGGGTGTGCAAATGTTGATAGTGCCAATCGACCATCAGGCTCGGGTCTTGGGCCACCGATTGTTCAAGTGGGTGACCGCTGGTTTGTAGCGGCGGTAGCGTCGAGAGATCGTGGGTTTCCTCTGTTATGTTTTGGTCTACCGGCCATTGATGTAGATAGGTTCTTTCATAGTCGACCAAAAGACCATCCGATAAGTCGATATTTGACATAGTTGGTATCTTCTTTGAATGAAGATTCGTAAAGCTGGAAGGAGAGGACCAGCCTGGATGGTAAAAAGGGCTCTTTCTTTCAGTAAGAGTAAGAAGGAAGCCCACAAGGAAGAGGGAAAGGAACCGAGGCGGTGGGGACGGCAAAGCAGCGGTGAGCAAGAGGAAGCGCTAAGGAGGGAAAGTGGAGTATAAGTATCCAGTCGTAAGTAATTCATTAATGCCACGCCGAGTGAAAAGTATTCCAGTTGTTCGGTTGATTTTCTAGTCTTAGATTGATGATTCTGGGGAGTTTCATGATTCCGATTATGCTGTTCTGGAATGCGAACAGGATTTGCCTTATAGTTCTTGACATACTTTAATTCTACCTCCTTATTTCATATACAGTTATATTCATATATTCATATATATTTTACATTCGCACTCTTCGGAAAGTAAACAGATATTTCAACTGTATGAATGGTATTTGCCCCTCATCACTTTAAATCCAATAATGAGATACTCGTGCCACGGAACTGAGACACGGACGGGTCGGGAGATTAGGAGATCAGTGGATATAGGTGCGTGGCAATACCACGCTATAGGTCTGTGCTCTTAGTGATCTGACCGATCGTGATGATCATAACACCCTATTCCATTAGTAGTGAGAACAAAGGATTCTAGTTCTTCCCTTTTTATTCCTCGAACTATCCCATCATTCGTAGTCTCTACCAACACTAAGTCTACGCCAAGTGGAGAAAGGATCACTTATGCACCACAGAATTGCTGGCAGGGATCTCACCATGTTGTGGATACTACTAAATAAACGAAGACAAACCTTGGAAGCCTGGCAAATTTCAAACTTTGAAACTTGACCCTTGACCCTTGAAGAAGGCAGCAGGAATCAGGCAGAAATGAGACTTGACAGGTCAACTAGAGGCTAGTTATCTTGTGCATCAAGCAAGGGAGTAAAAGTACAACAACGCAACAACGCAAAAACACAAAAACGCAACAAAATGATGGGGATATGCTTCAGCCATCGCCGCATGCCACATTTCGGATCCATCACATCGTATAACTTGAGTCTTATTGGTTGAGCTTGTACTCCATACTGTTTCCCCCCCTCTGACATGCAGCGGAGGATTCAATAGCTTGATGCATGTTCTGGCATGACGCACCTCGAGACCACGAGATCCGAACCTTGGTCTGGTTTCTTTGTTTGTACGGCTTCTTGCTTCTTGCTTATTGACTTTTGTTTCTTTCAACGTGGAACTCGGGGATCTGGAATGAACGTGGGAATGTCGAATGGGGGATGATGTGTGGAAGGTGGAGGTCGAGGTTGAGAATGAACGGCTAGAAACCCCCGCGGAAAAAAAAAAAAGTGGGGAGAACAATGACAACGTCAATCCCCTACTCTTCCCCATTCATCAAGTCGAAGAGAAAGAGAATTGAGCTTGTAAGAAGGTATTCAATTAAAAAGGGAACTACTCTTTATCCATTGCAAGATATTCATATAATTGGATATTTCCTCTCTCTTCTCTACATGCCCATCGTTTCATCCCATCGACGTAAAGTGCGATTTCCAAAGCCCCCAACTCCTATCGCCACAGAAAAGCCAAAGCCAAAGCCGAAAAGGCGCCAGATTTCATCCGGAATGGCCAGCCAAGAGTCACAAGAGCCACGACCGGGGATCCCAGCCGTGTTCACACAACCGCCGCTCATTCGTGACCCGCTTGTGACGGAGACCATCGATCTGCAGGACGCTACTCTTGAAAAGTGTCTACCTTTCCTCAAGGGAGTTCATGACAAGCAGAGTGGTCCTTTTAATGCATATGGAGTGCCCACTCTCAACCGGGATGATCATGTAGCTTATCTTTACGATGCGCTGGAAGATTACCCCTCGGGGTTTGCTATGATGGATGCGAGTCGTCCATGGATGGTGTATTGGAGTTTAACCGGCCTGTTTCTCATGGGAGAGGATCCAATTCAATTTCGTGAACGGTAGGTTTATTTTTAATTTCACCATTTCGCTTATTCTGCTTATTTCCTAGTTTCGTGAATATTCTACTCTTTTTTTTTTTTTTTTCTTATTTCCAGGAGAATGCGGGGTTCAGCACTACATGAAACTAAAGAGAATGCAAGACTAACCCTCATGCAGTGTGCTAGCAACCTTGCGCCCCATGCAGAACTCTACCGGCGGCTTCGGTGGTGGCCATGGTCAACTATCACACATCGCCGGAAGCTATGCTGCCGTTTTGGCACTTGCTACTGTCGGGGGTGAGGATGCATTCTCCATGATTGATCGACACGCCATGTGAGTTGTTCAACCCCCACAAGCATTTGTATTTTTAGCTTCCGATTAACTTAGCTGTGTAGGTGGCAATGGCTCGGTCGATTGAAGCAGGTTGATGGAGGATTCCGAGTGTGTGAGGATGGAGAAGAAGACGTGCGGTAGGTCCAATCACATCTGCAATGCATGATTCGGACTCTAATCATCTCAGAGGTGCATACTGTGTCATGGCCATTCTCACTCTGCTTGATTTGCCGGTGGCGCTACCTCCCACCTCAAAAGCCCGGAAGGCTGGCTTAGAAAATTTAACTGACGGCCTGGCAGAATATTTATCAAGATGTGAGCTATTCCTTGCTCGTCTCTATTTGTCTGTGTTTGTATTTGCTGATCTTTCTATATACAGGCCAGACCTTTGAAGGTGGCATCTCTGGAAGTCCTGGTGTGGAGGCACATGGGGCATATGCTTACTGCGCATTAGCATGTCTGTCTCTCTTAGGTTCCCCGGAGGAGATAATCCCCAGGTACGGATCAACAGCAGCTCTCCTTGGCCATAATCTTCCTATTTTCCTTTCTTCCCATGCTGACATTCTTAAAGATACATGAACGTGCCTCTACTAGTCTCTTGGCTATCTGCTCGTCAGTACGCCCCAGAGGGCGGTTTTTCTGGCCGAACAAATAAGCTCGTCGATGGATGCTATAGCCACTGGGTTGGTGGATGCTGGCCAATCCTGCAGTCGGCTTTAGATGGAAAGCCTCGAGGTTCCGATATCCCAATAGAGACAGTTGGCAGTCTGTTCAGCCGCGAAGGTCTGACCCGATACATTCTCGGGTGCTGTCAATCACCATTCGGAGGCCTTCGCGACAAACCCGGAAAGTAGGTTTAATTCTCTCGATGCACAGATGTAAAGCTGACGGTATCACGAAAAGAAACCCGGATTCCTACCACACTTGCTACGTCCTAGCAGGCTTGAGCGCACTGCAGCACTACCATTATCGCACGGACACTAGCTCTAACAAGAAATTTGCAGGCGCTTTTTCGTGGAAGTCAACCCCGATCCGGGATGGCAATGTTTACGAGCGGAAAGACCGCTTAGAGCCCATCCACCCTCTCTATGGAATCCCGTATCCGGCCGCGGATGTCATGCGGCTCTGGTGTGAAGCCCAGCCTGTGATGCTGGTCTGAGGGGGTTTTAACGCATGCCGTGTCATCCGATGGGGCTCGGGTTTGGGTTTTTAACAGCGAAACGTCACTTGCGGTGCACAGCGGGAGAAAGTCACATAAGGGATGACTTGATCTAGAGGCCCTCAATTAATCTAGCAGCATCGCACAAGAAATTTCTCGTACATAGAACCTATCGTGTACATCGCACACATTTTTACTCGGATTCCCGCCGCCACGCGAGAATCAATCCACGCAGAACCTGGAATTTTCAGACGCAAGGGATATTATCTTAGAGGCATAGTGCAACGTCAGAAGAGGCAAAAAGGGCAATAGAAAAGGTTTAGTTCATCATCCCCTAGACTCTAGTCTAGACTCATAGTTCTAGTCAGTTTTATCAAGAAATCTAGTATCTGTATATGCTGCATTGATACCCTCTTCACTGGGCATAACAAACACTAAAATCGCAAGTCAAGCTGCAACAGGCCCAACAAGGCAAAAGACATCGTCACAATGACTATCTTCCAGATGCCAACTCATCATGCATCGAGTAACTCAGTGTGTTTGAATCGCATCTTTCCGAGAGGGGGTACGTGCATTGAATCTCGAGCCCCTCCTAGACGCGTTCTGCACAACATCAACGGCTGCCAATCACGATGTAGACTGATTCTCTGCATCGCGTCTCCATGAGGATCAAGGAATTCAAAGGATTCTGGATGAGATACATGGTAACTACATGGTAGATGCCAAGCTCTGTTATCGTGCAGACAAAGAGTATTAGATATTCAGCGAATACTACGGTATACTATTTCCACGCTCAACAACAAACTCAACAAAATTCCCTGCCCCATTCCTATCCACTGCCCCTCCATAATATCAACTAAATTCAGCAAATATTGCCCAAATTTTAGTCTCCGCTAAAGGACCAATCGATCAACCAATAGAATAACTGGGAATAAAATCCCACCACCGGTTGCCCGGCGTCTTTAATTTCTCGGCTTGAAAATCCATTGGTTGATAGCTATGCCAACACATCAGTCTTATATACCCACCGAAAGAGAGAGGGAAAAAAAAAGAAAGCCAACAAGACAATACAGGAGGGAGGGGAAATTGGAATGATCGAAGTAGCAGAAACAAAATGCAATAGTGACCTTTTTGAGGAGACTGCCTATGTTCCCGGTCTTTTGCGTTACCTCGCATCGGACTTGATGTTGATTTCGATATTGCGCCTTGTACTGATTTTTAGGAACTGTAAGGATGTCGCATATACTGGGAGTCATAGTCGTAGATTTGTTCTTAATGCCTCTTATTTCAGTACACAGTTTCACATAGCAAGAAGCTGAATGTCCTGAATTGAGTATATTAATTTGGCTCTATCGCATTAACCTACCCTTCCCTTCTTCCTCTTTTCATTCGGCCTTGCCCTCAACTGTTGACACGGTGGATGTTCGATACAAAGTAGTTCAATTGCAGCTCTTTTCAATCCAAGTTCAATGTTCCGTAGTTATCTGTACTCTGTACTATGTGCTTTGTCTGTACTTCGTACCGCCATCAATTGCGAACCCACGGTCTCCGTGGAACCTAGAACCTGTGCTGCTGGTACTGTATACACACCGTCACAGCAGATGGTATGACTTCCGACTCCGAGGTCAAGGTCGAGATCGAGCCTTGGAGGTCTAGGACCATGTACATTGTCTCCAAATGCTCATTGCCCCACTTAAGTCTCAAGTCTTCTATACAAATACGAAAGATAAAAAAAAGAAATTTACAATTTATACAATTTATACTTACATTTGAAAGTGATATCGCCATCTGAACTCCTCGATTAGTCGATTTTTGGTATTTATCCCCGCGGTCTCTTGCAGCTTCTTCGTATAAAACCGCAAACTTGTATATGTATGTTCTAGCCGCGTTTATTCCAAGGTTGTATACGTCTACCTGAGTTACCGCCGCTTTTATTTTTGAATTCGACGAGCCATGTAGATTTCAGTCTCGCCCTGAGCTTGTTTTCTCACTTGATAAGAAGACCGTATAAAATGCAACGCGCTAGTAGTATATCATTGTTGGAAAATAAACCAAAAGATCCTTCAGCACTGAGTGGATGGGCTCCAGGGCTGTATTTGTCCACTGTTAGGATCTTTCTAGTGGATTATTCAGGTAGCATTACAAGGGATGGAGAGGACAGAAGAGTAGACTCGAGTCTTCCAAGGTTTTGTCCATATGTTAGAATTTTCTTTTGTCAGTACATCAAAATTTGCATTTTATTGGGGTGATTAGATCGAATACCGTACTCAGCTCTACTCATCTCTAAAGCAGCAAGCACCACGTACTAAAATGGAAGGGGAAAGAAACCCGGTACCCATGTATCAGTATATGTGGTGTGGCCATTCTTCGAATTGACTTAAACATATTAGTTTCTCGCCAGTTTTCCACTTCCCCAAACTATCCCTCGCTCTCCAATCCTGCCTTCCCCGAAATTTCTAGATACACGCTAAAGTAGTGTACGGCAAAGAAACCTTTCAGGGCAATCAAAAACCAGGCCCAATCAACGGAATCAAACTTTACACTGTACAATCTGTCCATGTCGGATATCTGCGTTGGCATCACCATCCGCATATCACTGTACCTAGGTAATTGCAACGCAGCTCGAGTCGAGACTCAGCTCTACCCGTTACCCGTTGAGCCGGCCAATTCAATGCTATCTGGGTAGTCACCTCACCTTTTCGCTGCAATTGGAAGTCGAAAGCTCAGAAACGCCAGTCTTGCGTAAAGTACGAGGGTCTACTTCCAAAGCTGGGCAAGTCTAGCTCCGATTACACCGACTGCCGACATGTATTATATTCTCTACCTGGCAAGTAAGTTTCTTTTGCATGCATTTTATTATGCATTTCGTCCGTATCATTCAGTTGCAATGCCCCAATTCATTGAATCTTTCCACTTACCCTGCTATTTTGCGAACTCCACTCGCTGCCAGGCTCAGGAAACATTGTCTTAACCATTCCACACAGGCCTCTGTCGCCGCCGTCAATGGCCAGAACCTTCTTACGAAGCCTACGCGGCAACAGCAGGGTACACATGTGTAGTACGAGTCAACAACCGTGAATACCAGACTGATACAGTGTTTCAATCCGAGACAATGGCCCGTGAAAGCGCCGCTATGCGCGCATACCTGATATGTCGAAATTTCTCCGTCAACGATGGCATGTATCCGGGGGTCATAGTCATGGTGGTGCAGTGCAGGGCATCCCGGTTGCCATTGGCACTGGGCGCAAACCTGGCCGCGATGATGATACCGACACCTCTGTTAGTAGCGGAAGTTGGAGTGGGGATAGTAGTCCTGAGCGGACGGTTGCTGGCCATGGCCAGGGATTCAATCAGAGTAGCAGTCTCAGCGGGACTGATGATCGTCAGCCTGTTGTGAGTGTTCCTGCGATATTTCCTATAATTTCCAATAATTACGAGCGGCATGAAGTGGACGATGCATCATATTAATTTTGGTGCAGCACTTGTGACTTCCGAGGATCGACTGCACCCCGGAGCTATATCTCGAGGCAGATGAGAGGCATTTTGATCTTGGGTCTTTTTTGGTGGAGGTCTACACATATCACGACTTATGAGATCGCTTTGAAGCCTCACATTAGATGGAAACGCGACTGCATTGCGATGTCGAGTCAATGACTGCTATTGTTTGTTTCTTTCTGTCTTTCAGTTCTTTTCAAGTTGCCCTCAGTTGTAACTTGCTGTGCCCTCATATAGATGGAGGATTGATATCAATTGAGCTGTAGGGCCGCTCGAAAATATTAGTAATCAAACTTATCCACTCTACTGCCACACTTCCACGCCACAGTTAGTAGTGACGTCATTGGACCAAGACAGGGAAGTGAACATGCGCTGTTGACGACGCTGTACCTGGATCTCCCTGTTAACTTCCGTAATTGACTAGGTCGAGATAAGCAGGCCCAATTGTACCCTCTATACTCCAGAATTTCTCGAAGCGCCCTCTGCGTCATGGATTGACTACCTCTGTTCGACGCTCCTACCTTCGAAGTTCTGACTATGCGCTCTTAACATCTCAACGGCCCAATCCAACCCAGAGTCTCTTTAATTGAGAGAAATACACAACTACATAGCTAAGCAAACGAAAATGCGGCTCTTACCACGAGGCTACTCTGTCTTGGCAACAGGAAGTAGGGGACTGACGCGTGAAGCTGGAACACACTCATTAATGGGATTGGGTAGATCCTCTGCCTTGTGTCGCTCAAGATTATACTCTGGGTATATAAAGCCACCTTCAAAGGAATATAATGTAGTATCTACCTCATCAGCTCTAACGAGACTGGGCCAGCGCCCAAACGCACGTATCGGAACCCCTCAAGCTCTCCTTGCACAAACCCAGACTCGATCTTTCAAAAGGGCAAACTATATCGAGAAAATTGGCGACAATGAGAAGGCTGAAGAGATACTGGAGTCGCTTCATGACCAGGCTCATCCCCAAAGCAAAAGGGCCGAGAGCCTCAACACGGGTAAGCCAGAAGCTAAATATACCTGTTCATAGCTTCAGTGCTGACGATGGAACCTCGAAAGGAAAAATGTTGACGACACCCTCACGTCTTTTCAAACTAATAATCCCACTGACGACGACTGGCAATTCAGGCCAAGACAAAGGTATATACCGCAACATCATCAAGTTGCTACCCACAGGCTAACTTTCCCAGGAATCGAACCCATAGCTATCTTAGTCCACCCGCAACAACCACTCTCATACCTGGAACGACTCATTCAGTCCGAACTTCCACCAATAGAAGGCGCGAAGGGACAACTCCGTCCACCAGCCGTATCTTTCATAGCCTTGCAGCACGAAGACAACTCCATCAAGCCCAAAAAGCGCATTGAAGATGACGTGGAACCAGACAACAAAGATGAGGGTGCGAAAAAAGAGTATTCCGGCAAAGCAGTCGAAAAGCGCCGCCGCTCGCGAGAAGAGGACTCAGAAACGTACAGCTACCCCCGAAAAACCGATACCAGTCTAGATCCTCTAAACGGTGAAGCAGAGCGATTCGTCCGCTGGTCGCAAGCTACTGAGGTGGGAGATTTCATTCGAGACGCAGCACGAGCGCGCGAGTTCATAGTCTCCATCGAAGGATCACCGGCCGGACTTGGCCAGATCCGCATCACCGTGCCGTCATTTCTTGAACGAACGTACTTCCTCCGCATGCGGCTGCGGAAGATCTCGCGGCATATTCAAGCCCTAGCAGATATCAAACATGAGTGCGATGAGCTCGCACATCGCGGCGCACAGCGTGTTGCCGTCGGTGGCTTTGGAGTTCTCTCAGTTTGGTGGGGCACTGTCTACATGTTGACCTTTCAAACAGAGCTCGGTTGGGATACTATGGAGCCGGTGACTTACCTGGTCAGTCTTTCTGCGGTGATGGGTGGTTATCTGTGGTTTTTATATCACAACCGTGAGATATCGTACAAGTCTGCATTAGAGTTCACAGTCAGCACTCGACAGAAGAAACTTTATGAGCAGCATAATGTTGATTTGCAACTCTGGGAGAATTTGATTGACGAGGGAAAGTCTCTTCGGAGGGAGATCAAGAGTATTGCTGCGGAGTATGATGCTGAATGGAATGAACGGGCTGATGAGCAGGATGAGCGGGTTACAGAGGCATTGAAGTCAAATAAGGACAAGAAGAAGGAGAAAGACGACGAAAAAGACAAAGATGAAGAGGAAGAAGAAGATTGATCTGAGGTTTATCTGATAAAAACGCGATTAAAATTTCATTTGTTTTAGACTTCTTTTCGGATATTCAGCATTGGCATACAACTCAGTTCTGTTAATACTTTATCTGAACATAAATACAGAAGAAATATATGATTTCAACAGCTACAAATGCACCAAGGCCGCGAAGAAAAGCAAAACAGCTAGAGTGTCCCATTTCGCACAGGGTCATAATAACCCTTCTTAGGTGCCTCCTCAACCTGTCTAATCCTCCTATCTGCAGATAGACGCAATTAGTATAAGCCAATTGGCAAAAAATGATGACAATCTTACCATCAGCCACGCCACTACTCTCCCCCTTCCGCCGATTTCGATTATTCCTTACATCCCGCGAACGGAAAACACTGTACAACAGCCACCCAGCCACCCAATTCGGACCGTACTCGCCATTCGTGACGCCACGATCGAACAGCGGACGAGTGAGCGGGCCAGCACTGCGCCAGATTTCCATGATAGCCCAGCGCTGGTGATCAGGGCGGATGTGGTGCCAGAAGAATGGGGGGCGGGTGTTTGGGTCGGCGCGCACGTTGTCGAGGAGGTGGGAGGTGTCTTGATTCATGCGGTTGTAGACCATGATAGCCTCATCCTGACAGTGAGTTAGTTTCAGTTTCATTTTCTAAGGACGGTAAGGTTCTAGACCGCTAGGTTGTCTAGATGTACTTACTCGCATAGCGCGGTAATACTGCTCATGCTGTGGATCATGCGGGTTCAGGCCTAGTGCGTGCATGAAATCTTCTTTTGAGACTCGAGGACCGACGGGGGCCATGTCGTATAGTTCACCGCAGATTCAAGGTTCCAAAAGTGAGAGTTGTTTGTGGTAGGTATAGACTCGGCGTAAAGAAAAGGAGGAATTGAATAAAAGTATCAAGACCAGACTATTGGAGGCTTGGAATATCCGAACAAAAGACCAAACGGACGCTTTATATATGTAAGATAGTTAATGAGAAGGAACCTTGGAGAACCTTGGAAGCTGCAGTGATGTTGTATAGAGTAGGCCCTTGATTATCAATTTATATCAATGATCCGAACATCCTCGTCGGTATGGCGTTTGAACCACAGATAATGTACAAGCCCATTAATGAGGTCAATGCAATCAGATCTCACCCCTTGAAAACGAAGCGGGACGAGACATTAACGAACGATATTATCAAACAAAGTAGCAATCGACAAAGTGGACAGCGGACCGAGGACGGGGCCTTGGACAATGCATATCGAGTATCTGGAGACTTCCAGGATTACCAGTGTATGCCACACTTTAAGGATACCTATAGATGTAGAGTCTACTGCGGATATAATAATAATTACGAAAAAAAAGAAAATGTGGGGGGTGCAGTCTTGACTTCACCTCCTGGTATTAACCGCAACCAGTCAAGACCAGAGCTGGACGGGCCTATACAGAGTCAAGACTGGAGCAGCCACAAATTGCAAGCTTCTCATTGATGAATTGCCCGTCGTACAATGGGCATGGGCAACAATCTCAAATCGACATCACAACCCCAACCCCGGAATTACGGCACACACGACATTTTGTTTGTGGGTTAAAGGGCGATGATACTACGGCCCAACCTTGTCAACCTTGGTAGCAAGAGATCTCCTGATATCTCAGCTACAAATGGACTTCGGGAGATAGGCAAGAATCACAAACGGGTAGAATAGCTGACCGGGAGAGTAGTGGTGCGGTAGTACACACACTTTCTATGGAGATGTCAATAATTTCAATTTGCAAACAGGACTATCTTGAGACATTACGCGGGGTCGGGGACTGAGCGTTAATTTAAGCTCGAGGGGAGAAGAGAGAAGAATATCTATCGAGTCTATTATCCGGGACAGATTGGAATACACTCATACCCGTATTGAGGCAACCGTTGTGGTTTGCATCGGATCTAGATCTAACGAGATCTAGACCTCAGGAAAAGGGCATAGTCACTCAAGAACAGAAATCCAATCCACAACGGCTCACTCAGTACAAGAAGAGAGGGAAGTTGACAAACTCTTTACCCCAACAATCAACTGACCGGTCCAATTGACGCGTTAGTCGCCGGAGAAGTTGAGAACTGGGAAATAATCAGCCTTGAAAACCTACGCCTTCACACAGAGGATGACAGGGCCCAACCCAATCACCGCCACATACCCTATTCAAGAACCCGGGAAATAATCCAATAGGTAGAAAGCCATGTACCATCCCGCACACGACAAAAAAGACTCGCTGGCTCCATGCCGTGTGACGCAGTAAGCCGTATACCCGGACCAGAATGGAATTGCAATCTGGCTTGCCGCTAGCTGATGGAGATAACGACCAGCTTACCTGCTTTTACTTGTAAGCGGCGATACCGGTTGGATGGTGAGGTTTACTACTTCTGTTGGGCCGTTGGCATGCATACTATGTTCAGTATGGGGAAATGAGACACGAAAGCACCTGAGCAGCAGAATATGCTCTCTATATCATATTCCAATAACTGAGAATATGATGGTCTCAAGGATCGATCACGCCAGGGCTCCTTCCCAAGTTTGTTTGCAGAAAACCCACAGGCAAATTATTCCTTCCTAGAGTCGCTGAGATCAGTCCAGCCATACGGACTATATGAGTCTTCTCCCGAAGATCCTACTAAGACAAATATCAAACAGCTCAGCTCACTCTCTATAAAGTATTCTAAACCTTGATTTCTCAATTTTTTGTCATGTTTTATACCCCGGGAAACTAATTTTTGTCATCACCATCCGCGTGAAACAGAAGAATTCCATCCCAGGTTCCAAGGTTCCCGGAGCATACAACCTTGTACTTCAAGGCCCAGTAAAAGAAGCCAGATTGACCTGTCCTTGAAGGATCATCTCCATCCCAGATGATGTAAGGTTGAAAGATGCGAAAGCGAGGTCGTGGACAAGGTGACGAAAAACCATGGCGCTCCCAGTGCATATGAACGAACCCTTGGAGCTAACCTCGGAACTCGACCTGGGCAGCTGTGTCGTTTGATCGTCTACTCTAGTTGATCTTCAGTCACCCGTTCAAGGCGGATGTAACCTGTAAACCTTGGGGCTGGTGGATTAATGTGCAATTATTTGGCTTACTTATTAATTTTAGACAATGCATCGGCTTTGCACGTCCACCTGAATATAATTTGATTCTTTCTCGGCCTCAGATGGGACTGAGATCAGTCAGGGGCTAGATTTGTCCCCAGTCGTCTCTCACCTCGTTCTTATTCTAAGGTCTTTATCGACCTACAATTGGGGGGCAAGATACACCTCAGCATATAATAAAAAATTCGGCATGGAAATAGATGGATTATTCAAAGGTTAACCGGACTACCGAGGTACCTAGATAGTCAATAATCAAGGGCTGAAAAGGCATGTTACACTTCAAACCACTTATATACAGCTCGATCCATGCAAGTTTCGACAACTCGTCTTCCATTCTCCAATTCTGGCTCAAGTTCATCGAGTCTGAGGTATTCGAAGCAAATATGTCATTTAAAAAAGTAGCATGCTTCGAAGGTTGAAATAGTGGCATAACTTGTCAATTCTGGAGGGACAGAACCTATAGGTGGCCACATATGTTTTCACCTCGGGACCTATGGAGTGAGGTTCAAACGGTGAACATTGGAAGACTCTTAATTTGTCTCGCATTTTAAGATTTTAAACTCATGAACTATGATCTGGAGACCCGACAAGATCCAGTCATAAAATGACAAGAGTTCGAGGCACTTGACGTAAGGGACTTTTGTCCTCGCTTAATGGACTACCAATCTATATCGAGAAATCGATCTAGATTCATCTACTCGATCGTCGAATGCAGTATGCACCACAGCCATATTTCTGGATTGATAGGCTCAGATGCATTGAGCTTATATCCCCTTGTCTCCATGCGAAGTGGCCGAAGGAAGCTTGTAGGAAACTTATTGGTCACTCAGTAGATACGACACGCTTTGTCTAGATTCACTTTTATACCCTTCTGCCCGTTCCAACTCCACTAGAACATTGAAATAGTCTTCAGACATACTCTAGGCTTACCTTCCGGCTACCTTTTACAGAGGAATCATTCGTTAACTCGATACTTGTCATAAGACAAAACGCGAGCAAGGCAGCTAGCTATGTAGCAGCATTCGGATTCAGTATATCTTCTCTCCATAGGATGTCCATCCACTGCTCAAACCCAGTAAAGATGGTAGAAGACGGGAATCTTGTATGTACGTCAAGAAAACCATAAAACCGGACAATAATAAAAAGGAGGCCATGACAATGCTCCAATCCGTCGCTAAAATAGATAAAAAGAAAGAGAGGCAAAAGTAGGAAGAGGAGAAGAAGTAAAAAGTGAAAAGTGAAAAGTGAAAAGCGATCACAAGCCCATTATTTCTTCTCGGGTTCTTCTTCCTGCTTAGACTCCTCTTCCTTGGCGGACTCTGGCTCTTTCTTGGATTCGGGCTGCTCTTTTTTGTCGTCCTTGGTCTCGTCCTTGGTCTCGTCCTTCTTTTCGGCTTCAGCTGGTTTGGGCTCTTCAGGCTCGGGCTGTTCACCGAAAAACAAGCGCAGGAACTTCTCAACCTTGGCATATTCGATCTTGACGTCCTTCAGCGTAATATCGATGTTCTTCAGCGAAACCTCACTGTCGGGCTCATCGATGGCACCAGTTTCATCCTTACCAGCGCCGAAATTTTGGATCTTTTCGCATGCATCCTTGACGTGGGTGAGACCCAATGTAGCTGAGGATCCCTTCAAGAAGTGTCCGAGTGCGGACAGTTCAACCAAGTCCTTTGCTGTACTGTAGGGAGGTTAGAAGCAATCCTGGTAACGTGATATTTCGAGTGACGTACAGGGCGTTCTCCATTTTCTTAAAGGTTTCGTCGGCCTGAGTAAAGAATCCATAAACGATGCTGTGGCTGAATTCACGCTCATCATCGTCATCCATTTCGAGGATCTGCTCGAAAGTGCTCTCGTCGATAATATCCTTGACATCGGAGAGCTTTGGCGGGGCCGCCTGATTCAATGGTGAGTCTCTGTATGCATAGCAAGGGCCAGGATGTTGTTTACCTGCTTTGGTGGAGGAGCCATTTCTGTTATGGAGATGAATTAGGCGCAAAAGGCAAAAGCAAGGAATCAAAAATTATTCCGACAGATTCGTAAGATGGAGATGAGTCCTAAATGTGGAAGTTGAGTGGATTGTGGTGGTGTCTGGAGGATCTAGTCAGCAAGTAATTCCCCACAGAAATGAATCATGTAATCAAAATTCGTGTCAATAATCATGTGATGCAATGAATAAGATTACAAAGACTTGGTAGCTTTACGCCAGAAATGTATTACATATCAAGGCAGCTGAGGAAAGTAGTAGGTTGTGGACAGGGGTGAAGAGGTTGGAAGAGAACAACATCTTAGACTCTAGCAGATCAGGAATACCAAGCCACCACGAGCTAAGACCGATAAAGTGGGTTTGTCAAGCCACTGACGAAGAAGATGGCAGATACAAATCAAACGAAGGCAAAGGCAAAGACAGACGACAGCTTACAGTGCGATATAGCGATATGGGGGGAGCAGAGAATGAGGTGGGGAGAATTGAGGGTTGGCCGATCAGTATAAGGCGAGCGAGGTGTTTTTTCTTCTTTTCTGCAACTGCAACTGCAGCAGCTGCGACTGGCCAAGTGCAATATCAAGTGAAATGGCAGTAGGAAGAAGCAAATAAAGAAGATCAAATCCAGTCGGGTATAGGGAACATAAGGTGATGCAGGGCTAAAAGGAGGGGCAAAACTTGGAGACGCAGCTGTTCTTACCTCTTTATCAGTATCAGTAACGTCCTGGAAGCCTAAGAGGGAAAATGGAGAGGCGACAAGAAGACACAGGAAATGTTAGCGAGATGGAAAGGGGAGGGCGGAGACGGTTTGGGTAATTATGGGTTATGGCCAAGAGAGAGAAGGGAGAACGGAGGGGCATTTTCGTCTTTCCTTTTAACCCCCCTCCACACTCAACTTTTGATCCTTTCTACCTTATTTGTATTTTAACTTCTTTTATATCTTTTCAATTTATTTCGTTCATTCCGTTTTGTTTGAATATTTTATATATATTCTACATCCTTACTACATAATTGCATTGTCTGATACTCAACATACCTCATATCTGATATGAGTGAAACCATCCGAACTGTGAGATCATCGGGCCATGTAGCTAACTGTACCAAAGGGTAAATGGATAGTGGAGAATCCCCTAACAGGGAACGTAATTATGGAATTATTGAAAAAAAGGAAAATAGGGCTGTATCCATGTTAACCGGCAAACAAGGCCCAAACCTAACCGGGAGATTATAGTGGCAAGAACACCCCTCGTTAGACGTCATAGCCATAGTAGAGTATGCTACTAGTAGTAGTTTAATGGTTACAATACCGAGTAACGGTTGTGAATCAACTGGAATAGTAGCTAGCTAGTCTGCCCTAGACTGCCTTCGATATATTCCCCCCGAGTATTTTTTTTAAAAATGCAGGTATGAATTGCTATCGGTAAAATATGATCCCGGTTGGGGGTCTCGGCCCTCCGGAGCCAAATATTGAAGACTCTTCATGCGCTTCAACACGATTTGACGTATAAAAAAAGAGGACCCGGTCCGGGTATAAGAAGATTAAATATGACGTGTAAGGACTTCAATAAAATGGACTTGTCATATATATAGTAGAATGGTTTTAATTGAACTTCAGATACGCAATGCTAGGTGAAAATGCTTTTCCCTATATATAGGGGAAGATGGTGCCTTTTTTTTTTTTTTGATGCGTGGTTCCAACGCCACCAATCAGAAATTGTATATAAAGCCATGACATCAGGGCGGAGACCCAGTCCGAGCCTCTGATGTCACTGTTTCTCCGTATCAGAATTACTTAAATACGTTGAACGTTGAACGCGCTAGTGTTTAAAGCTTTCTCATATCCTATCTATACTCCTTTTGGTTTTATACTACTTTGCACATCAATATAAAGTACATTTCATATGTTTTAAGTCTATTTTGCATAGATCTCAGATGTCGCCCAAGTAAATACAGCAAAATCCTACTAGTCATTCTCTGATGTCAGCTTGCATGCCGTTAATTTGCCGTGTTTAAGTACGGTTACTAGGTATTTGGTGCGACTTGATAGCAGGATGAACTGATGAGCTGTCATCCCCGTGGACAGTCGGTAAATATTATCAAGTCTTCTATCTCTCTTGAGTTCTTCCATATATACTCTATACCCAGGACTAGGTACTGTATCTAGCAAACTACTCCGAACGCCGTTACATTGTATAGACCCTGTAAGTCAGCCCATGGATTATTGACCAGCAGCCCATATTCATGGATTCCTCCAATAAACAAATTCTGGCCCCACTGTCTCTTCTCTCACGTAACTAAGGGAGGAGCCCGTGCCAATAGTGTGCTCCTAGCTTGTGGGTATTACATTTCCCGCGCAAACCGCAGCTCTCGCCATAAATGTGTGATGGAGTTAGAAAAACAAATACTGTGTATACAGCTGCTCAGCTGGCTAGGCGCAGTCTGACACCTATGCAGCCCTAGAGTGTGGGACAAAAATGAGTTCATGATGTATAGAGAAATGGACGGCCGCATATCTAGGTACCACCTGCGGAGATGATACATAAGAAAGATAGGGTAGATCTCCAACGAAAATTAGAAAAAAAAAAACAGACGTCAGATGTGACAAGTGACCTCAAGATCACGAGAGTGGAAGGCCTAAACCCCAGATACTCCCCACACAGTCAACCTTCGACACTGCTTCTAAGAAGGCTTATGTAACATCCGAGGTTTCCCTTTTCGGACTTCTAACCGCCTCAACAATTGACAGCAAGACAAAACACAGATGAGCTCAATTCTACCAACGCATTGAGCTTCCAAACCAACCACCCACCCATTAAAATGGCATCCCAAAGCTCCAAACCAGCTGCACCGCGCTCCACAGCGCCAGCAGGCTTAACAAGACTCTATCTCTTCACCTACAACACCATAAGTCTAATCCTCTGGGCCTCCGTCTTTAGCTACACAGCATCGCTACTCCCATCCCACGCACAGAAGAACAACCTTCCCGCAATCTTTGGTCAGACTTTCAGCCCGCTCCTGCTCACGCAATCGCTGGCTTTGCTGGAGGTTTTCCACAGTCTTGTCCGCCTAGTGCGTGCTCCAGTCACGACAACTGGAATGCAAGTTGCGAGCAGACTACTTGTTGTCTGGGGCATTCTGGCGCAGTTTGGCGGGGATATTGTTGGGGGCGCGGATACCCAGATTGGGGATTATGCTTATTTGGGCTGTGTTGCCGCATGGGGTGTGACGGAGGTTATTCGTTATGGGTTCTTTGCTATTACTTTGTCGGGGAATAGCGTTCCTGCTTGGTGGACTTGGTTCCGGTGAGTTATAATTTCCCACATATTTGAGGTGGGATACGAAAAGCTGATTTCATTCTTCCAGCTATAACACTTTTTACGTTCTTTACCCTATTGGTATCTCCAGCGAGTGTACCCTCATTTTCCAGGCCCTTCGTCCTGCTGCTGAGGTTGATCCTCTTTTCCGCTGGTTCCTTATTGCCGTTCTGGTCATATACGTGCCTGGTATGTTTCTGCGAGTTTTATGCGGTTGAATGGTTGTAACTGATCTATTTTAGGCTCCTATGTCTTGTACACTCATATGATCGCACAGCGCCGCAAGGTCCTTCGTGGCAAGAAGCGTTCTGATTAGATGTCGAGTCACACCGGCTACATTCTGCATCCTGTCATGCAGGTTACCGGAGGAAACGAAGGTTGGGCTCGGCTTAGGGTTTCCAAAACATTCTTATGCCAACTTTGATGCGAAGAGATGGGGAATCAGTGCTAAAATGCCCGTTCTTGTATAAATTAGCTTCGAGGGAAGTACCGATAAAAACATCTCAATATCCAGGATACCTTCTAATAATATTGATAAGTCTGAACATCGAGTCTGCATATGGATCGTAGTGAAGTGTAAAATCTATATCCAATTCAACATCTCAGACGGAGCACTACAGCTCGCGCATAATGTCCTGTACAGCCTTCGCAGCAAACCTTTTTCTCTCAGCCTCAGGCAAATCAGCACCCATATCTAGAAAAAGTCAGCACAAGTATGTAACCTGCATCGAATGGACCTACCTCGTATGGCTTGCATGCGCATAATCAGCCCTTCCATCGACTCGACCTTAATATCTTCATCCTCCCCATCATCCTTAAACGACGCATTATCGTCAAACGTAAAATCATCTTCATCTTCCTCATCATCACCACCGCCCCGTTCAATAGCCATCCGCAGCCCAAACATCTCGCACTCCAACTCATGAACTTCATTTCCAAAGCCACGAGAATGCGAGGACCCGCCGAATCCAGGGATCCCATCCTCACCGTCCGAATCTTGCTCTGTGTCAAGAAGTGAATCCGAAGATCCAGTCCATTCATGCGTCTCAAGAACCTCTCTAATCCGAGGCATTCCCTCATACTCTGCAACGAATCAGCACAGCCCTTCAAAAGTACAGAAATGAACTTACCGCCGAATTTACTCTTCGTCTTTTCAATACTTCGATCCTGCGGATCCCACTCAACAACCTCCCACCCCAACAACCCAATATCGAAAAGCTGATCTTCCCACCAACTAACCGACAACGGCACATCGAGATCATCCCCAAGATCCTCGTCACTCCTAAACCCTTCATTAGCACCACTTGAAGTCTTGCGCACAGCAGTCTTCCGCGGCCCAACAAGCACAAACACGCTAGAAACATCACCAAGCCCACCACGCTCCTCTTCAATCCGCGCCTTTACAGACCCAACCTGTCGCATTAGATCCAGCACAGCGGCAACATCAGCGCGCGCAGCATAGTCTTCAGTCGTGGTCAAACTCTCCCTCGGAGACTGGACGCAAACGACCAAAGCACCAACTGCGTCGCGCACGATATCCGCCTCAGCGCTCAGGAACTCTGTGTGCCATTGTTCGGCTGTTGCGTTCGTGGAATCGGTACTAATAGGGACTTCATCTACCCAGACTGGGACGTCGGTTTTGTAGTATTTTGTTTGGAGGCTTAATGGGCTGTGGGTTGTGTAGCCTGCGAATGAGGTTGTTGTTGCTGGAGCAGCATCTGTCTGAGGAGTTGTAGGTGTAGGTGTAGGTGGAGTTTTGGTCTTCGTTTCTGGCTCGGGTGTTTGGTTTGGAAGATCAAGGACTGGAACTCCGGTCAGTGAGTGTAGGAGCGGAGGAATTATTGAAAGCGATTGTGAGGGTGGTGAGAGGATTAGGAGGCGTCGTGGGTTGGTGATGTGTTTGACTCGTGGCTTTGAGGGATCGATAGATTCGAGGTCGAATATCATGTTAGGCATTTGTAGACAGTGAAATTATGTGGCTCAAATGTATCTGCTTTGCGCGATGGTTTGGAGTAGGGTAGGCGGGGTGTTGTGAGGAGGGAAGTTGTCCCCGCACCGAAATAAGTTGTGGAGATGCGATTATTTACTACTTCGTTAGTTATTAGATTCGATACAACAATTACATAGATTTAAATGGTCCTTATCTGGCTTTGCCCACTATGAAGATTTCTATTGTAGACTTGATCAGCCCATTAAATAGAGCGACACCCACTTCAGTTCGTGGAAGAGTCATGCTAAGAGCAAATGGCCGAGTCAAGTCGAATCCAAGCTCAAGCCAAAAAGCAATGTATGCACCAGGTATTCATTCGGGTAATTGAACGATACATAAGTTTTCAAGGACAGTCAGTCCAAAGCCAGGCTTGGTAGAAGAAGCCTAGAGAATTTTCCCCTAAAAACAAAGAAACACAAAAGACGAACGCCAACCACTGAATTTGCCAGGTCTTCCAAGCCGGGCTTTCGTCCTATTCTCAACATACATCTAGCCTCGTCCAGGAGGTCCACCGCGACCAGCGCGTGCCCGCTGAACAGTGGCCTTACCACGCGCTAAACCAACACCACGTCCACGCTGGTTGCGAGTCTTGAACATGGCAGCGTTCCTATTGAGAAAAGATCCGTTAGCAAATGTGGAACAGTCTAGAATTATATCGGAGTGTTTGCTCCATAGTAGTGGTTGCTGTTAGCTCGCAGGTACTTACTTCAGCATGTCGGGAATAATGAAGTATCGAATGTTGCTGCCTCGAATGTAGATCTGCTCTAGGTGGGAGACTTTGCCGTCGCGGGCGGTAACAGTGACACCGGACATTTGCACGTTCATACTATCTTCGGCTGTAGGAAGGGGGAAAGAAGTCAGCGAAATAATTCGAGAGCAGATTGTCTCTGTGTCAGACACAGAGCATGCCACAAATCCCCGTCCAGGTAATATAGGTATTTCACTTCACGAACCTTCCAGCAGTCTTCCTCGGTAAGTAACACCGGTTGTGAGTTCGATAGTCACATCATGGCCCTAAAATTATTTAGTTAGCGGTCTATTTGCGCAAGTCTGATAAAAACCTCGGTCTAGTAATTAAACCATGCCGAAAGGTGCGAGAAGCATAAGGAGTGGGAACAATCTACCTGCGATTCGTTGAGGAGCTTGATCGGGATACCGATCGTGCTGGTGAGCTTGCCCATCTTGGAGAAATGTGCGGCGCGGGAGAGTGAATTGAATCAGAGTCAAAAATTCGAACAGCGGGGGAGGGGCGCAGGGACTATGTCAGTGAAAATGACTGGATTCTCTTCCACGGAAAATGCAGAAGTAGGGTGAAATGGTATGTGTTGGTGGGGGATGAGGGACGAAAGTGAAGGTGTCGGAGATCGCGAGGTGAGTTTAGTTTTGCGGCTTTAGCTCCTCCAGTCCGCTCTTGTGGATCCTTTTAATATTAAATTGCTAATTCGACCTTCAATTACATGCGACTAAATCAATCGTGGGACCACCGTTGAATACGTACGATTTATACAGATAATGGCCGGCTCACCAAACTCCAATATACGAGGCTTCAACCATGCCGTCCAAACACTCCTTAAACAACCTGCCCAGTTCCTCCCACACCTCACAATCCCAACATTCACATACCTCCCCGAAGATCTAGGCCCTCACCTAATCGCAAAACCTCCAACTACCTCCAGCACAGAAAAGAAAATACCTAAAATCCGCGCCCTAGTCCTAGACAAAGACAACACCCTCTGCACCGCGAAAACAACAACCTTCCCACCGCAAATCCTAAAAAAGCTCCAAGAACTGCGGACATCACCAACCTCCCCATTCCACCAAACCCACAACCCAGATTCAATCCTAATAGTTTCCAACCGCGCCGGCAGCCATCCAAACTACGACAACGAAGTCCGCGAACTGGAAGCGCAGCTCGCGCATCTGCGTATCCCCGTATTTCGGGTTCCGGCTGGCACGGACAAGAAGCCGTTCTGTGGAGACGAGGTTGTGCGGTGGTTTCGGGAGCGGGAGGTCATTCAGTCGCCGAGTGAGATTGCGGTTGTGGGGGATCGGTTGGGGACAGATATTATTATGGCTGGGTTGATGGGGTCTTGGAGTGTTTGGTGCAAGGAGGGTGTTTTTGAGGCTGGGAATCCGCAGAGGAGTATTTTGGAGAAGATGGAGGTTTGGATTGAGAAGTATTTGAGGGAGAGCAGAGGATTGAAGGCGCCAGCACCGAAAGGTTGGGATGAGAACTAATGCATCCTAAATACCTAGGTGGGATAAATTCTTCGCTCAGAGGAAAAACTGCCTGTATATTATCATTAGTTCATCGGGGTTTATAGATATAATGTAAGATATGGTGATTCTGACCCACGTGAAAACGAAGAGGCTTTAAATACGAAGATAAAGTTATATCAACTAATAAGTTGCATGGGACAAAAAGGAATTTATTCAGAGCTTAGTATCAAATCTCGTACTCGTATATCGCACAGACCATCACAACTTCGCTTCTAGCTCGTCCAAAATGAAGTATATCTCAATAACTCAGGGACACTCACTAGAAGAATCATTGATTTTTGGAGTCTGCAAATGAATGGGAGACAATCCAGGCGGGAAAGAAGTACCTGGACCCATCTTCGAGAACGCAAAAACTCACAAGAGAGGAAATAAAAGAAAGAATTGCGGGGGAAAACCTCCATCTAGTCAGCCTATTTGGCCAATCGACAGAAAGGAAGGTCGTGGCAACAGCGTAGAAGAATGGAAAAAAAGCTGGCCAAGGGGGAAGAAAGAGTTCAAAATCAGGAAGTCCTGACAGGAACCAAAAAAGAGAAATAAAAAGGCTATCAAGAATCGCTTAGGGCCAGCCCCAGAACGGGAAAAGGGTATAAAGACAAAAAATGGCAAGACAGAAGGGATATATGTCACGGAATCAACAGAAACGGGGACAAGTTAAATCAGATAAGCTTTCCAAAAATCACCAAAGAGATACGATGTTGTCGGTTGAAGAAAGGGCCCATCGCTGAATAGCTCTAGATAGGCAGTTTTTCATGACCGTTACAACGAGAACCCTCCAGAATGAACCCAAACCCTAATATACGCCACAAGGACTCCGAAGGTCGTAAAATTTCGAACGGAACAGTGAGAAAATGCGTTAGGAATTCAACCCTAGAATCAATAAATTTAAGGACCAGCAGGCATTCCTTGAGAGTTGATGTCATCAAGGTTGACTAAACCATGGGAGTAATCGAGGGCCGGCGAACCGTGACCAGACATGACATGATGCATAGGCAACTCTAATGTGTGAGGATCGTGCGAAACTGCGTATTGAGCGTTATGTTTGGAGAACATATCATTCATGGAAAGGCCATCTTCGAAGCCCGGTTGTTGGTCGTGGGTATAACCGTACATATCGGGATGAGACATGCTAGATAAAGGAGGAGAGTGATTGGCGATCATGGGATCAGCGGGGCTGACAGAAGAGTATGGAGATGTTGCGTGTGACCCAGTTGTTGAGTTCTCAGAGGGGCCTCCTGAAATGTAGGAGAGATTGAACTGGGAAGCCATGGCAGCGACTGGAGTGGAATCACCTTGTCCAGTACTGCTGAACATGCCTGGGCTGGCGAAGTCAGAGGGAGACGCGGTAGTGGCTGCTGACAGAGGATTGGTTCGGAAATCGAGTCCATATCCATCAGTCTCAATGCGCAGATCTGTAGGTAGACCTTGGTGTGTAGATTGGGGAATAGGGGCATAGATATTGGAATCAGCAGGATTGAATGTTGGAGTCTGCGGCACGTGGAAAGAACCCATGGGAACCTGCAGGGTCGAAATATCCACAGCTACTGGCATTGAACGACTTCGTTGGCGCTTGTGACCGCGAGCGGGCTGCATGTTGAATCCCAAGTGGTTCTGGTCCTGATAAGGATTCACATACGGAGCTGGGGGAAATTCGTTAGGCTGGGAAGCAGGGCGCTGAATAAAGGGCGGGGATAGGATAGCAGGCGCGGCAATGTTGGTGCTGTTGCCACTGTTGCTATTACTGTTTCCGTATGCCAGGCGGTTCTGGAATGACTCCAATGAAACAAGTTTCGCAAGCTGCACACTCAAGACTTTGGGATGGCCACCCAAGTGGTGAACCATAATTTGACTGGCCTGTTGCTCCTCAGTGAAATCCCCACATTGGTAGAAGCCTCCAGAATTAGATGAATCCATGTAAAACATCGGCGGGCGGTTCAACTCCACCACTAAACCGCCAGGGCGGGGTGGTTCACCGTTTGGCCCAGGATGAGGGTCTCCAGTTTCCAGGGTGATATTCTTGATATGGGCAAAGGGGTACTCAATCTTGTAGCCAGCGGAATCGTTGTTGATGTAGTATGTCATGCAAGCCTTGTCGGGTGAGTAGAAAACCACTAGGTCCATAGCATTTTGGCCAATGCGCCGCCAGCTACCGACAGTCAAGGAGCGACAAGTGAAGTGTGAGATGACCACCTTGCCCGACTGATTAGCCTCATTTGCGTACATGCCGGGTGCCCCGTAAGGAATGGCACGTCCAAAGGAATCACGGGTTCCAGGCTTGGAAGGGTCGTATTGCATGGCGAGATAATTGCGCATCGACTCGGGAATAGAGTCACAGCCCTCACCAGTCTCGATGCTCTTCTTTGCAAGCATCTTTATTTTCGCGCGACGGTTTTGAAACCAAATTTGAACAGATCGCTCAGTCATATTGATATCATTTGCGATACGGTCGCGGGTAGCAGCAGTGGGTGTGGGGTTCTTGTTAAATTCGACCTCAAGTGTGACCAGTTGATCTTGAGTTGCGCGTTGGCGTTTGTTGTTCTTCTGCTGCTGGGTCAAGGTACTCTTGCGCGGTGGCCGGCGCGAGGAATTTGAAGGGGCCGTTGCACTTGACGGAGAAGGTGAGGGGCTGTCGTTCGAAGACAAAGGTGAGCCCATGCTGTTTTCAGGGGTGTCTGTCATTGATGACATGTTGCCGTATTATCCAAGGTATAGAGGCAGAAGCAGGGTAGATTTAGATGTGATTTTCGGGATGTTGATTGGTCTGTAAAGACGTTTTGCGTGACGATCCAGCCGATAAGTAAAGATATGGTAGAAAATGATGGGTAATTTCCAAGACCTCAGTCTCTACAAGCAGCTTCAAGCGCGAGAGATAAAAGTGAATGAAAGCGCACTGGCGAGGGGAGTAGATATCAACTCTGGTTCGATATTGTCCACGTCAGAAACAGGGTGGTTGGGTGGTGGTAAGGGAGCGTCGCAGAAGCGTCCCAGTTAAGGAAGGTGGGAAAAAAGGCTGGCCTATGCAGCTCAAATATAATAGCAAGGGCTATCAATAATCAACCGAGTCTAATGACTTTAAAGGTTGTAGAATCGCAAATACCAAGGTTGAATCGATCAACGGGGTAATAACGGAGCCGTTTGGAGGGGGTAACCGTTCAAGGAAGTGAAAGAAGTGGGAAAGGATTGAAGGAGTGGTACGGTCGTCGTAAAGGAATGAAACGAACGACCTTTGCTAGAAAAAAGAAGAAGAAAAAGAACGTAGGGAAGGATAGAAAAGACGACGCAGTAAGAGGGAGGAGGGAAGAGAAGAAAGGCGGCGATCAGGAGATGCTGACTACACAGGTCTATTTTTCACTATGGGCTCGTGGGGCTATCGCTTCCGACCGCCAAACATCGGCCTCGACTCTAGCTCTTTTCAGATCTATGTAGGACGTATTATTCTTTTCTTTTGCTTTTTCTATTTTTTTTTTCTTTCTTTGCTTTTTTGTTCTTTCACTGGGGTGTATCCTAGTCCCTTTTGCCAGGCTTTTGTACTTTTGTTTCCCACCCCTGCGTCGACCTGCATCTGCCCAAACTACATTTGAGCCTGAGCAACGAGGGCTTCTAGGACTTTACTGAGAGAACAGCCTCGGGGAGGGGGTTTCGTATACGCGCTCCTTACTCCTTTTTCTTTCTCTTACTGGGTATTCGACCAGCGGATTGCATAACAAGCCTTGTCCCACTTGGCATTGTCTAAAACAGGGGTAAATCCTCCACCATAAACCCAACCACAGGTCCCCCCAGTAATGAGATGAGACTCACCGGCTTGGAACCAGGGAGCAAAAACGAGATAGTAAGATGGGGCTGCATTAACTCAAGCCTATTCCTCATTTATTGTCCTGATCTCCATCAAATGCCGCGAAACCACAAAAAGACCACGGGTGATTCACGGGAGATGCACGGGATCTGAAACGCTAGGCTGTTCATTATTCTCGATCCGTCACTTTCTCCCCTCTGATGAATAGCGTATGCATAATCTTATGGTTATATCACGAGGCTAATGTTCCGAACGAGAGGCTTGGAACTAAATGGACGTTTCGTCCATGTCTCGTGCGTTGGAAGTCATAACTATACACTTCTGGAAAACCCGGTTCTCCCTGACTCGAGAACGCCCTAGTTAAGCGCCACCCGGGACTCCCATGGTTCGAAGGACCCAAGTGGGACTACACCAATAATCATACAGTTGCATTTTGGCCCACGATGACCCAAGTTTGTGGACTGTCAGACCAAAACAGGGACAATATTCAGGTACCCGCCTCGGAACTTGTTTTGATTGGCTTTGAAATTTGACAGGTCATTCTAGACCTGTAGACGGTTGAGTTCATCTTAGGCTGCAGTGTTGGACAAATTCTTGCGATTACAGATGCAACCTGTTGCTAGGGTCCCGCCAGTCTGTATCCCGGTTTTGGCAACTGTTGCGCTTCCCTGTAATACTATTGGCTCGATCTTTCCGATGCCGGCAGGGATTATGAAGAGAGAGTTCTTTGTCTGCGTACGTGACACTGACGACCCCGTGCGATTGTGTATTCCGTGGCATCCGATGTAAGAATTATCGGATATCAGTTCTGGTTGTACAGAGTACGGGGTATCTTGAAGAAAGGGGGATCAAAGGTACAGAACAGATCAACCTAAAGAACTTTGTACTACGATTGTGTGTCAGACATGATATACCAGGTCCTTCCAAGGTTCCTTGGATCTCCAACCCAGGTCCAATTTTCAAGGTTGGTGTAGATCATTCCTTGCGAAAATTCAGCTTCTAGACTACTATTCCGTCTTCTACTGAACTCTGAACTGACGACTCTGAGCCCGGGATATTGCCAATTGTGGTCCATTCAAGCACTAAATACTTTTTGAAGCTTATCAGCACTCCAGTCTTGTTAAAGTTTTCAGCCGGCAACGTTGAATTGCCACTGCCAAGAGTCCAATTTTAGAAATGATGAAATCTGATTCAGAAGATGAATAGACAGGCCTGTCTTTGGCCTGGATATCTCTATCTATTGGTAGGATCGTAGTCATCTGCCAAACTTGTCGGTCCAGTTGACTGGATTTAAATTTGATCAGTCATCTCCCAAACCAGTTCTGTCGCATTTCTAGACTTCGCTATTTCTCTCTGTAGTATTCAGTCATCGACTCATGCTTTTACCGCACCCAGGCTCGGTCTTCGGGGGTAACAGCCTCCCTTGCAGTTAGATAAACGAGCCGGGTAGGGAAGAGTCTGGCCCACAGCCGGTAGATAACTTATCCATGAATCGAAAGCAAGTTTGTGCGAGGTATTGGACCCGAGCACAGCGGGTTGTATTCCGAAACACTCGATGGGCAAGCAAGAGATGCGTAATCTAGTTAAAGCATCAAGTAAGAATTTCCAATAGTGAGCGTACATCATTCTCTGGGACATCCTCACTCAAGTAACGGAATTCCCACAACCGAAGCTCATTCTGCAGATTATACGCCTGGGTTGAAATATTGTCAACAGAAGCTCCCTGCTCAAAAAAGGTTCTCTATATCACAAGCTAAATGTGATGCTCTTACCAAGAAGCATATGAGTGGTTGAGGGGATCCTGTCCTGTTGTGAAAGGAGGGCTCAGTAGCGTCCCACCGTGCCGGGTCTGGTAAAGCACAAAATTCCAAGGCGCATACTGGCTTCGTTGTCGGAAAATGGCCAGCATCACATTAACTATGGTAAACCGTTGCACTGCCATGTGCGTAACAACGCTACGTAGTACCTGGTTAAAGTAACCTAGCGTTTCCATGAGAAATGAGGCGCATCTGACATGTGGCTCTACAATACCCTAGAGCACAACTGCAATGAAAAGGGCGTCGTAATTAAGATCATTTACTTATATAAGGCTTGACTCATAAGCCCCTGATGTGTCAACAAGAGAAAGATCTTGTTTTATAGTTCTGAGCACTTGTTGACGCTGCACGGCCGTCGAGACACTGCCGAGGTCGAAGTTGAGCATCGGCTCTGTAGCTATGCAGACTATAGTCTCACGAAGAATAGGTGATGATAAAGAAATGGACACTCATAGGTATGGATTGTCAGGCCCATCCATTGCTGGAGCAATTGTGGAAACGATTCTCACATTTAGTATCAGTTGGCTCCATCTAGCAAATTCCTGAAACACGGCCAACTTAGAGTACTCCCACGCATTTTTTTTTTTTTTTTTTTTAGAAATTAGAATCAAATAGACTTTTGATTAGAATCCGTGGAATATGCGATAAGACATAGTCATCTATGCAGTTGAGACGAGATCTGTGTGTCTCTCATATCGGCTGTGCCTGTTGAACCCATTTAAGTCCTGAATGCCATTGACAGTCGAATCCTCAAGGGCACAAAATGTGCAATTTGGTCGCTTCCCACCACACTTGCTGTTTTTCTTTCGAAACTCAAGACACACTGCCATACCACTTGATTAGTATACTATACCAAGGGATAAGACCTAGGCCTAAGTGGGTCTTTTACCATTTTGAGAGCGTGAAAACCCTTCCACACGGGGCATCTCGCCAGTGAGACTTGGCTAGTTTTTAATCGACAATCATTATGTCTAAAATCCCTATTTGCCCAGGTAGAATAAGCGCAGGTTCCCATTTTATTCAAAGTAGTACAGACATTGGATCATGTAGCGGGCGATCAAGAAATAGTCGAACCTGTGCACAGCATCACCATATCGTAAGTTGTAGCATCCAGTCCCATTAGCCAAGTACCTAGGTATGACCACTTTCAAGAGGTGCATCTCCCGAAAGGTCCCTAGTATACTTCGCATTCTTGTCTTGATGCTACTATTCCTTGTCCTTATTGGTGGGTCGCTGGCTGCCCTGTCTGTCTTGTATGTGATGACTTCTATTGACTTGGCTACCCTTATTTAAATATAGCTTGCAGGGCTTACTCAATTGAATATCCTAGATGAAAACATCATTAGACCCTAAGCCTTAGAAGTAAGGAAGAATGATCGGAACATAGAGAATGACTCTTCCACTAGCGGGACGTATTGATAGCGCCCGGAATAAGGCACCCTTTCGGAGGTCTGGAAGACTGGTCAATAGAGTTCTCAATTTGAAGTCCAGTCTCAGCGATAGTAGTGGTGATGATTTTAGTAGCAATTCTTGGCGTATTCTTGACTCGTATGTATCGAACGCTTCCGTTGCTTTTGATTCGGAGATGCACTGAAACGCCACGGCGAGGACAAAGACAAAGTGGGGTTGAGATAATGTTTTTTTGAGACACGATATACTGTAAATATGAGCGTATCGAAATTTTCACGATAATACATATATATATAGAGAGAGTCTCAGAGAGAGTAGAGAAACAGACAGTATAGATAGTTTTCTAGCTCCCGAGATCTTAGATGCCAAGGAATGTGAAGGCAACCTTGGCGGAAGCTTAACTACACGCATCCGCACGTGGCTATCACAACCTTTAATGTTGTGCACCTGGGCAGTACCTAGGTTAGTAATAGGTATTTCACAAAAGATAAATTTGACTGTAGAGTGGGTGCACACTGTAAGGATTTGCTGCAAGACTTGTTCCAGAGATCTAGTGAATTTCTTCACATTCGTCCGCTTTATTCTTTATAATATTACAGACAAACAAATTACTTTTTGTTATTATCAATCTACCAATCAGCTGATTCTGACTTGTTTTAATTTGATTACTCAAGGGGTTGATCCTAGATATACTATTCTACCACTTAGGTAACTTGAAGGAACCTTTTCTCATAGCACATAGATTCCCCTCGATGTCTACACAAGATTACAGCTATTACCTAGGCAAAGTGGGTCATTCAGTTCATTGCTTTGTAATTAGCGCGGTAAATATTTATCACTCTTATAAGAAACAATGAATGGATCTAAGGGCATATCAAAACTGAAGTGAAACCAGAGTAACTCTAATTGAAAGTGGCTAGGGGTTTATTAAGAATTTGAAAGGTTCAAAAATCATAATAAGTTGATAGGGGAGCTTTTTGAGGTGCTCAGAGTTGGAGAATACTCAATCAAGATACATCTAGTAGTGAGCAAACAGTCACTCAGCGTTTTTGAGCCCTAAGTGTATTAAAGATACCCATACTCGCGTACAAATTCTTGACCTTGCACCCACTAATGTTCTAATTCCATAAAACCCAACTTTCTCAATTTAAAAGTTCTTCTTCCTCGCAACTCCTTCACATCCACCTATTCTCACAGACTTTCAACCGGCTGTAACCGCAACCATGGTGAAACGCTGGACCTCTGATCGTCGTGATCAAGTAGGTTGAACTTATGAAGATTCCAAAATTTCTATTTCTCTGGGATTAATAATTCCTGCTTTAATGGATGAATATATGATACATGAAGCTGACATTCTGACGCAATAGCTTTTGCACGCAATAGTCCAGACCCACAAGATTGATTTCAATGCAGTAGCCTTGCGTATGGACGATGGTGCGTCATTAATTCCTCAAACCTACCTATGTAATAGCAATACTTACAGAATATTTATGAAAGAATGCACCCCTAAGGCACTCCGCTGCTTCATAGACGGTGTGAAGAGACGAATGGACGCAGGAGTCGCACCCACGGATGATACAAAGGTTCTCGACAGCAGTGATAATGTTGCCACAAAGCCTGCCACAAAGTCGGATTTACGCCATTCACAGCGCAAGAAGCTCAGTGCTGCGGCCACCGCCAAGAGATCCGCTGCCAAAGATGCTGGCACCGAGGGTACCAACGGTGCTTTTGCTACCCCCGATGGCAATAGAGATGATATGGCTCTGGATGCCATCTTGAAGACTACCACCAAGGCTAAGCCTTCTTTGCGTCGTTCGCAGGTTCATCTGGCCAAAGATGCAGCCGAAGCCAAGAATGCCGTTGCCGAGGATGTTGGTGATACTCCAGAGCCTTCTTGTCACTCTCGCAAGCGCAAGGCAAAGGAGGACATCAAAGATCTATCTAAAGATGGCAAGACCAAGGCTGTGGAACCTACTCATAACAATTTGGAGAGTGACAAGGTTAAGAAGGCTTGCTTCAGCTGGCTGCCCGAACCAGAGATTGCTCGGGGAATTTCACAGGAAGATTTCATGATTCTCAAGGAACGTGCCTCCCACAGCGAGACCGGGGTTATGGCTGGCTTCTTGGCCGACCTAAAGAGCCTGGAAAAGGGTATTGACCCTTACCCCCTTTGAATGCAGTACCATAGCTGCTCGGGGATTTGGCTACAAAGACTTTTGGTGCTATTTAGTTGTGGGTGTGGTTTGCATCCTTATAATTTTGCAATCTTCGTTCTTATTTCGAGATTTCTCAGAGGGGGATAGTGGCCTATGCCAAGTATTGTCCAAGGATGGATAACTTTCCCTCACCAGTCTGGCGCCCATCACTGAGATAGCTCTCTAGCATTCCTTGAAATTCATCTTTTATGATGCTCTCTTATACCTCATTAAAGGTTACAGAGTCACGAATTGTCCTCTCGCTCAAAATTTCATTAAAATTTCAATATCAGATGATATATTGTTTGATTATATTTTTAGTTCCTTCACGTTGAGTAGCCTTGATGCATGCTTATCTTGTAGTATTAGCATCTTGGATCGATCTTAACGTGTAAAATTGCGAGCATAAAATGGTAGTGATAATTTTTTGAAGAGAAATCTAACAAATTAAATCTTGGTTAATCAAAGACGAATTATTTGATGGAAAGTATTGCATTAACCTAAGACCTCATAGATGATACTGGCTGCCCGATCAAGAATTCTATCAATCTCAGCTCGGGTTGTGTTATAAGCTGGCGCAAAGCAATTATAATCATCATTGGCTCCATCAGTTCCAGCATTTACAGGCATTAGGGAAATTGCACAGTCCGGCTTCAGATCGGCTGTATGTATTTTCAAGAAATTGTGTCCGGCGGGGGATAGGATTGATTAGTTTTTCTTATCTTGAAAGAATTCAATTTAGTAGTTTGTAAGTATGAATAAGAAGAAAAACACCACGGAAAAGGAAGACTTACTACCCAGAACAGTCCGCGAATGTTACGAACATAAGGGGGGGGGGGGGTATGGTTGTCCAATTTCTCATTAAGAGCCTCTCCTAGATATTTACCCATTACACGAAACTCACGAACTTCCTTCTTCAGACCTTCAGCCAAAAGTCTATCATAAAACCGTCAGTGATTTTCAGAGCATCAATATGGGCTGGTATACTTATTTTGCCACTCGTCTTCTCTTCCACATATGCACAAACATGCTCCCCCAACGTCCACCTCATATTTTCTAAATAACACATCCATATCAATGACCGAAATACCATCGCTCTCTTTTGACCAGATATTTTACAGTAAGGGTCAAAAATAGTTTCGCTACAAGCTACCTTGCATGGGAGAAATTCTCTTCAAGGGTTTATTTATCTTTCACTCTATATAGTCAAGATTCTAGGGTAGGAAGCCCGGGGTGCTAATATCACCCCATACAACTCATCTTCGCCCCGTTCTCACCTAAATCACCCGCTCTCACTATCACTGCTTTATGGTGAGCTGGGGGCTAAGGTCTTTCCGATTTTTGACCGCGTTCTATAATAGGCTTAAATACGACTGAGCGGACGGGAAGCCCTGTTCTCCACACACTATGACCATATGTATGAATGTATGAAAGGAGTGATAACTTAGATCAAGATAGCGTAGACCCAGGTATTAGCTATATTGACCATTGCCCCAGGGGTGAAAGGAGCGAGTCCGTAATATCCGGCTAGGTCCTAAGTAAGAGCCTGACGAGAAAACACACCTGGGCCTTGTTCACACGACCATTGTATTGACATGCTGACTTTGTTGATTTCTCTCAAATCAAGGATTCACGATTAATTGTTGCTATAATTTTAACGTCGCCGTTCACCGTTCTGAGTAATCGATCCTCAGCTTAAGCTTGTAGGGTGCCATAGTATCGCCGCCAAGCCGCCCCAGAACAATTAAATAAGGCACCTTGGAAGTTCTAGCCCCCAGTAAGCAAGAGAGTGATCGGGCTTATTTTCTTCCTATTCCTTTCCACGGTGAACCAATATCGGGCTTTTTTGCGAGAAATAGTGGCTCTTTACTTAGTACCGGGTCCAATGAGACTGAATAATGGCCTAGTCTCATTCGCTGATATGAAGGTTCAAATATGCCTGGAACGATGATCGCTTGAGTCTTTGAGATTGAAGCTAATGATCGATCCACATGAAGCTAGGAGCTAGCTTAATAGACAGGACACTTGATATAGTACTCAGTATCTAAGACTTTTATCAATTGATAACAATAGCGCTTAATTTTCTCAATATTAATAGTTAAAGGACAGAAAAATCAGACTTCATCCTGTAAATGATCAAATTTTACCTTTTCACCTGAGCAATCATTGAAGAATTGTAGTTGAAAAATTTTTGAGGACAACATCATTGGCCAATCTCGCTATTTCATTCAGATCTTTCTGGATTCTAGTAACTGATCCTTCACCTAATCCTTTGCATGTATTTTTATGAAGTACCTTCCTGAATTGCCTATTTTGCATCAAATTGGCGACCGCCCCCACGTCAGCCCTGCAACAAAGAAGTGTCTGTTTTCAGGGCCAATCCTTTCTGGAATATGAATATATTAGCATTCCTTCCCTTTTAGAGCTTTTTCAGATGGGATAATTTCTTTTCGAAGGAAATATCTCAACTTCTGCATAATAGCAACAGTAAGGAAATCGTTTCCTTCCATTGCAGTGGGGCTGGTCTGATAAGCGAACATCATAGATATAATCGACCACTTTACACGCCGTTATGTTTCGATCGCCATTTCTGTTTGTTCTAGCACTTTGTGTGTTAGGGCTGTTGAGCTCCTCACTGGTCCAATGCGCGCCTACAGCAGTTCCTCATGTCACCACCGATGACTCTCTTGATGAACAGTCATCTCCGATCATTTGGAGTGACGAGGATGACGACGTTTCAGAGTGGACTGACTTGTCTACGAGAGACAATCAACTCGAGGCGAGGGGATGGTTGAGTTCCTTGACAAAGATCACTAAAACTGCCAAGAATGTTGCAAGCACCGTCAAAGGCACTGTCACTCAGGTTAAGGACGCTGTTGAAGCATCCAAAGATCTTCTTGCGGATTTCTCCAGTCTTGCGACAGACGCCAAATCAGCGACAACAGAAGTCAAGGAGAAAGCACAGGAAGCCATCACCAACATCGCCCAGCTCCCAACAGATATCCTCACGAGTCTAAAGGACGAATCGAAGACTCAACTTGAAAACACACTTGGAGAGTTGACCACAAAGGTTTCAAGCAAGCTTCCAACCATCGCCGGACTGGATGAGGCAGTATCAGTGGCTCTTGTTCACTTGTCTTCAGAAGCTCTGAATAAACTGGAGAATGTAGCAGACACAAAAATCGCCAAGCTAAACGCAACTACTGCTCATGCTGCAGAGAGCATAAACGGCCTGTTCGAAGCTCCGGCTAATGAGATTAATTCATTCCTCACCGATGTGGATGAGAAATATCTCCAAAACTTGACCAGTCTGGCCGATGAATATCTCACAAAGGCCGGGGATTTCTGCGATACACTTGGAGAATACATCGACAATGTCGAAAATTCCGTCGATGCGGTTTCATCCTGGACCACTATCAACAATGCAGCAGAAGAAATCAGCACTCTCGTCATTTCCTTTACCGATGCACAGACTCAAGTGGCTGCAGTTGAAGAGTCGAGTGGACTTTCGGATGAAAACAGGATCACAGCTAATATCTTCGTGGAGTTAAGTGAAGATAGGCTCAACTCGTTGGAGTTCTATTTGAACTTTTCAGGGAATCTAGGAAAGAGAGACACTGAAACTACCACCACCAAGGACGTGGTGAAACGTATATTGGATCAGCAAGATCAGGGCATTGAAGAATGTTAGGCTTGGTATATATCTGTATCATACTGTCGGTCAACACTTCTGTTGGTCAACACTACTACCGGGCAGACAGTCTACTATAGCAGAGGTATGTGAGTGATAAAAGATGTGTTTATTTCAAATGATAGCTGCTTGCTCCATAGAGTCTGCTCACTCCAGTGGCTACATGATCTCCGAGTAGTAGTAGCAGCAGTTTGAAAGCGTAGATGTAAACAATTGATAGTTGATCGATAGTCGAGAGGCGATGATCTCTAAGTGGTCTGCTTTCAATTTTAGAGTAATCAGGTAGTAGAAAATTGTATTGTGGCTAGTCAAATTTCTTGAAACTTTTCTATGCCCTTACGGCTTGAGTGAGCCTATGCCAAAGCGAATAGAGATCATCAAACCAGCCAAGCGCCTCCATTTGTGGCTATTGTAGACCCCGTCACGAAACGATCTTTCATGAGATACAAGTAAGCTTCAGCCGCATCATCAGGATACCCAATATCTTTGGTCAGAGACGCTTTCGTATGCTTCTCAATAGCACCTTGGACCATATTTTCAGGAAGTCGCTCCATTAACTCTGTCAGAATAAATCCTGGAGACACAGCATTCACGCGCATAGGCGACAACGTGATAGCTAACCCCTTCATCAACCCTTCAACAGCACCACAGACAGCGGGTGGCAACCAGGACGACGGTTTCTTACTCTGCGTTCCTGACGTCAAAGTGATAGATGAGGATTTGCTCAAAGACATGTACTTCGGCGCATACTTGGCTAACGCTATAGCACCGAAGAAGCGGACCGTGAGGAATGCATCGACGTGATTAAAGGTAGTTTCGGAAAGAGGGACAAGTTGGGGTACGTTCCCTGCGGTGAAGACAATATGGTCGATAGGCGAGGTTTTGGCCGCATACTGAAGAAGATTCTCGATAGTTTCCTCAAGTGTGTCTCTTTTAGAGAGGTCTGCAACATGGCTGCGGACTGCTGATGCACGGACTGGATTGCTATCGCGTAGGCGACCCACAGCTTTTTCAACTCTTTCTTTAGAGGATGAGCTGACAGTTATGTTGGCACCATCTCGGAAAGCTTGCTGAGCTACTGCAAATCCAATTCCTGAGGTGCCGCCAATGTGCAAAATATTTTTGCCGGCGAGTTTGCTAATCATGATGACCTGATTTTCGGTGATAGGAAAGAACAGAGAAATTTTTGATGAATGTTTTAGAAACAACTGCTGTAGGTACAGCTTTATACTCCCAGATCAATCACTCAAGATGGCCGGACAAAACTCATCCGTCCGAAAATCGGACGAATCCTTTGGCTGGGCTAAGTGCAGTCCAGAGCTCTAGGAACTTCCTAGAATTACTAATTAGTTAGTGATAGCGATAGTTAGGGACAGCGATATGTATTTTCTATGGATAAATATTGTACACGTCGGTAGCCAGCATGCTTGAGAACAGCACCTCTAACTAGACATGGGCATTCGGTAAACTATTACCAAACTCATTTTTACCCAATTCTAATTTACTTAAGGCCTAACGACGGTAAAACTATCACTAGGGACTAACAAATGCTGAGCAGGTTATAGCATTAACGATATCAGAGTATAGAAAGGAGAATCGAGAGCGGTTCGTGATTGGACGAAAGAAGCGGGTTTCGAGATAGGAGGAGTTTCGTTTGTTTTCATCTTTCTTCACTTTCAATATTTCAAATACTAGTGTGCACATTGCCTAGACTGCATTCTTAGTAGGGATTTGCAGCACTAGTTTTCCACGCATATACCGCTTTTACATTCTTGTTATAAAGTCTAGAGCGTTCAGCAACATCTTTATAGATTCTAGGTTCGGCTATAATTCTCTAAGTCAAGATAGCGATTCTTTGACTTATCTTAGCTAATTCCATCTTTACTCTCCAATTCAGTAATTGTAGCCGTATCTGAACTAAAGCTGCATTAGAAATCAAGCTATAATAAGTAATAAGGGTGAACTTGATTACGTTCAGAACGTCATCCTTAACTTCACAAGGAATGAACCGATTGATTTCTCATTCCCATTTTGAGATAAAGCCGATAAGATTATCATAAGCCGACTTCTGAGACGTAATCTCAAGGAATTTCACCTCAATCTCTCTATACCGAGGCATCTTTGACTTCACATGGCATCCTGAATGTCTTCCTTCAGCAATTCCGCCTGGTGCTTGAGACTTTCTGAGGAAAGTATTGGCCTAGGGGTCAAGGTTGATATGATAAGACTTGTATGCAAGACAAAATATAGTGCAAGACAAGACCAACGATATAGCCTGGAAATATTTTCCTGTTGTCAAGATTCTGTCACTTACATTTGGAAAGTCGCTACCAATATTTGGCTCAATGCCTTTGGGGACAAAGCCTAACCATTCTCTGCAGTTCATTTCCGCCGCGAACATTTGAAACGACCGAGACACCTTAATTATCTGCAAAGTCTTGCGAATGGACCTTCAATTCCTCATGGAATCTGTTGTAGTTGATTATTCTTCGCTGCTTAGCCCCAGTTAGCACACAAATGAAGCAGCAACCCGTGCCAAGTTGGATCTCAAGTAGAAAAGAAAATGTCATTTACTAGAAAATTATTATATAATACTGTCGGTTGACTAGGTTATTACCAAAGCAGACAGCTATTGATATCGTTTCTGTACGTATATAATAGGTGTATGCATATTGGGTAAAAGTGAAGTGTCATTCTAAAATGCTCAGATGAATGAAGATATAGTAGCTGCCATGCCAAGATCACACGAACTTGGTATGTCAGCTGATCTTCGTTCCAACAAACACTTAGGTATTCGAATCTTGGAAGCCAGTTGAGTACCTCAAGAAAAGTGAACATAAATTTTTGGAAATAAAAGGAAGGTGAAGTTGAAAAAGTGTGAGAGCGAAAAAAAAGACAAGTAAGGAGTATATCCTTATTGACTAGCGTACTCAAAACTATGCTTCGCATTTCCCGTAGACTTCTTCCCGGTACTTGTCAAAACTCTTGATTAGACGCCAACCTTCTTCGAACTAATGCTATGTCGTACATAGGACGGCATCTTGATAATAAATATGGTCACTAGATGGTGGAAGTCCACCATATCAGTAGACTAGCGCCCTGATCGATGAACAGTGAGCGCACCAAAGACCAGTTCATCCCTGTTCCCCCGTTCGGGATACTAGGTGGTCTCCACGGGTATAAATTGTATGCTAGCTGCTAGGTCTTGAAGGGCTCCTTCAAGGATCAATCACTATACTTATCTGAATATACTTTTCAGTATGGGTCAAAATTCATACCCACGTGGGTATGGGTTGGGGTATTTTTGATGCCTTAATGCCTGACTTTTGCCTCAACCTAAACTAAATTAGGGTAATTGGTGCCTTGGTGCCTGATTTTCGCCTCAATCTAGTAGGATCGGGGGTAGATCGTGGTGTCCGGGAATATCGATTGTTGTCTAGGTCGTTGATTTAACGATGACTAGTGTCTGGGTCGTTATTATTTCCTCTTGGAGTGCGATCACTCTCGTTTTCATTATCGCTATTATTATCTGGGTCGTCTTCTAGGTTTACGGTGTAGATCGTGTGTAGTACGCCTCCGATTTGGCTTTTACGTATGTACCCTTGGTTATCTAGGACGCTTATATACGCCTATGGTTCCGGCCGGGGTGATGAAAAAACATGCGAGGTCTAGTTCTGGGTCTTGCGCTAGACAGGGGGTATTTCTATCGGTATTTAACCTAGCCGGGTGGCTGGGTTGGCCGGATATTCTAGTAGTCGGGTGGTGGTCGTTCCTTTTAGACCATCCAGTACGCTATTTAATAGATCTCGGAGTGTTAGGGCCCTTATGGTGCCGTTGATGTCGTTGAAAACGCCTTTAATATCTTCGTCGGTCTATTTATGTTCATCTTCTCTTGTAAGACATTCTGTTAGGGAGTCAACTAGTTTTGGCGCCTATCTCATATATACTCCATACTAGATAAGTATGCGATACACTAATTAGAGAGTGTCCTATTGGAGTTTCATGAAGTCCTCTTTAGTCTAATTTTCGGAATCAGCTTTGAAGTCTGCCCAGAGTTCGCGGTCCATAACTCCCGTGGTTATATAGTAGCCAAGTCGTGTAGTTGCGTATTCCTCATCTTGATCCTAGCTATATTCCCATGGGTCAAGTCCATTTCTGTTATAGAATTTGATTTTCTCCTCTTGTGTCATTTTGTCCTATGATTTGTGTGCCTCTCGGTTGGTCTGGTCTCTATTTATATGTTCATCGGGACGTGGCTGTTCGGGGTACCCTTAGCCTCTGCTCTAGTTAAAAGTGGGTGTAGGGCTAGTGTGTTCCGTGTGCGATTCGGGCATACTTGCTCGTGTATAGCTGTTCCGAGTGCGTGGTCTATACAACGGTGTTCCGTCCATAATGGCGGTCAGTGGATCTGAGCTTTCGTCGTCGTCCTGTGGGGCTAGGTCTTCTTCTATGATTAGGGATTCATGACGTGCGAATTACCCTCAGATATTACACTTTCATTCACGGTGTGCAGATTTGATTAACTGTGGCGTCTGGTATGCTGGTGGTGCTATATAGCTCCTGTAGGTGATGCTAGGAGGCGATTGGCTGTATTCCAGTATAGATCTGTGAAGGAGTCGGACAGCTCATAAGTGGGTTCTGGTGTCCCATAATTTAGAGAGGGAAGATTTTTAGGGGTTTTTGGGTATCCCCAGTTTTTCCAATGCGAAAAATAGTCGAGTGTCTTTCGAAAAGTAGTCGTAAAGGAGGTGTTGAAAAGTAGAAACTAAAGTATAGTTTTCTAAATCAAACTTGAAAAATTGTGTTTTTGGAAGAGTGAATAGGCTTGCCGGTGCCAATTTGTACTCTTAACGGTGTTTTATCGTATTTTTCTTCGATCGAATTTGGCTTATCGTCGTAACGAGGTTTCGTGGTTTTGAGGATTTTTCACAATGACTTAGTGATATAACCTCCAAGTCTGATTCAGCTTGTCAACTGATCAGTATCGATCAACTACGTTGAAAGGGCAGGGTTCATACGTTGCACTCTATACTGGAAAAGGGTATGGTTCGTCCTATATTCTAAGTATATACGGTGTGCAAAGTGGTGTGAAACGTGTTCGATTCATCTAGCTATTCGAGTTCCTAATACAGTCGTTCCCCCGTGACTCGGGGGTCTGTTCGTTCCATTCCGGATTGTGGTATTGCATGATTGCAGTATCCATGTTCCGACAGTTCTATACTACATCTGTACATCTGAGAATAGTTAGATGTCAAATTCGATTAGTGTTGAATAGATAAAGACCATCTTTTTAACTAAAATAATTATATTAGACTAATATAGATTATTGATTCTTGATAGATATAGTAGCTATATTAGTATTAATTTTCTATAGATCTGTAAACAGAATAAGGTTGAATTAGTGTTTTTACTTAAGTAATCATTAAGCAGCCAATCGCGATTACTGAGTGCCCACTAAGCTCTCATTGCTGGTCTATCACGTGATGACAATAGGCCGTGAGCCTGATCCCAGACTGAAATTTACTCACTATGTAAGCACTGTCATAAAGCGGTGGCACCTGAAATAGGAAAGCCCCTTCATAGCCAAAACGGTACGCAAAGCTGCCTACTCTTGTACATATACTTTCGTTCGTCAATGGCCGAGACTTAGAATAAATACGAACATGTGTTTGAAGTTGCCACCACATAGTGGATATTGATGCTTGGGGGGACCAATAACTGCATTCAATCGAGGTGCTAAATTTGGGCTGCATTCAGGCTGATTCAGTTGATCCAGTAAGATCCACCGCCCTTCTTGTCTCAAGTAGGCTGTGCTGTATCACTGTCTTTACTGGTTGCTTTCAATTAAACAAATTCCCCATCTTTTCGCCGTTTCGAACTGAACTAAACTGCTTTCGTATCCACCTTTTTTGGTTTTCTACTTTCGGGCAATTTGAATAGAAATCCTTAGAACGTTTGGATGTTAAGTCCATTTCTATCTTTCCGCCTGATCTTTGATTTCTGCTTTTCCCACTTTTTCCACTCTTTCCCCCTCTGACTCCTCTTTGGCGACCCAACCGTACACTACAACAATATCGCGCCATGTGCTTAATGAGAGAATGATTGGCCTTTCTACTCGACTTCAATCACTCCTTAAGTTAGACACTTCATAGGGATTTCTCGGTCGACTTTCGATTGCCGAGATCGTGCGCATTCCCCGCCAATGTCTAATCACGAGTCATTCCATGACCAAGACAAGACAGAAGAAATCGCGAGATCCTCTATGACTACGCCACGCAATCTGTCCGAATCAAACGCACACCCTAGCCAACATATTCGCTTCTCGACCGATATCGATTCACCGACAGAAGAGCGTCGTACAAACGGGGATCGTCGTCCCAGTTCGCGAGGTCTGACCCTTGACACCGTGCAGGCGCAGGCGCATGCGCCCTCTGTCCGAACCTCTACTCTTTCGTCTACGTCACCTCTCTCTCCTCAAGCCAACGATGCGACCCTCTCCCCGACCTCCCCGCAGAGCCCCGATTCAAACGGTCGGTCGCGATCGCGAAATCGTGGCTATTCCCTGCGTCGGTCCATCTTCAACAAGAGTTTTCACACACAACCAGAGGCTGAGCAGGGTTTTGACGGTACCCTTGATCGGAAGGAATCCAAGGATCAGCCAAGTTCGGCGGTAGATGAAATCACCCCGACCCCTTCAGCTCCTTCAGCCCCGGATGCGCCCACCAACGTGAATGACTGTCGACTGAACTCTGTTACAACCGCAACTTTGGTTGCCAATACAAAGGATGAGGCGTCCGCTTCTCTCTCGGTTCAATCATCGGATCTTCCCCTCAAAGAGTATTATTCAATGGTTCAAGATCGATGGCTGGAAAAGAAAGCGAGCACGACTTTATTCTTCAGCAAAATTGAGACGTTTTTGACCGCAGCTCAAAGATTCATACTACGTACTACAGAAATCCCACCTACCGAGGATGGACGTCATATTAACTTGGACCCGTCTTTGGTTGAAACTTTCCTCGACGAGCGCACTGGCAAACCCTACGTTGCGAACTGGATTCGGTCCAGTCGCTATAGCTTCTGGAGCTTCTTCCCGCGTCAGTTGTTGGCTCAATTCACCAAACTCGCCAACTTTTACTTCTTGATCGTTGCCATTTTGCAAATGATTCCCGGGCTGAGCACGACTGGTACCTATACCACGATTGTTCCGCTCCTGATCTTCGTTGGCATTTCCATGGGCAAGGAAGGGTTTGACGACTGGCGCCGCTATCGTTTGGATAAGGAGGAAAATAATCGTTATGTGTCGGTGCTCAAGCCCAGGCAGAATACATACCATGAAGGTGCCTATGACTGGGTTGAGACCAAGTGGCTGCATCTCCGGGTCGGAGATGTTATTAAACTCGAGCGCGACGAGCCAACTCCGGCCGATATTGCCCTACTCTATGGTAGTGGTCCAAACGGCGTGGCCTATATTGAGACGATGGCTCTTGATGGAGAAACGAATTTGAAAAATAAGCAGCCATTGCAACCAGTGGCCAAGGCATGCTCGACCATAGAAGGCATAACTAGTAATGCCCTTCATTTCGTTGTGGAAGACCCAAACTTGGACCTTTATAAATTTGACGGCCACGTTACAGTCAATGGTCAGGAAAAGCTTTCCTTGACTAGCAGTGAGATTGCTTACCGTGGTAGCATTCTGCGCAACACTGACTGCGCATTCGGCATGGTGATCTATACCGGCGAAGAGTGCAAGATCCGCATGAACGCCAACAAAAACCCACGGATCAAGAAGCCCACGCTGCAATCAAAGGTCAACCGTGTTGTTGGGCTGATTGTTGCTATGGTCGTGATTATGGCTGTTGCCTGCACAATAGCCTACAAATATTGGCTCCAAGACGTGGGCCAGCGATCATGGTATCTCGAGAATGCCGCCGTACAGTACGGTCCTGTCTTTACTTCTTTCTTGATCATGTTCAACACCATGATTCCAATTTCACTCTATGTCAGCATGGAAATCGTCAAGGTTGTGCAAATGTTCCTCCTGAACGACATAGATATGTACGATCCCGAAACCAATACTCCACTGGAGGCCCGCACTTCTACCATCAACGAAGAACTCGGCCAAGTGAGCTACATTTTTTCCGACAAGACTGGTACCCTGACCAACAACTCCATGCGTTTCCGGAAAATCAGCGTTGCTGGAACTGCATGGCTGCACGACACGGATCTTCAGGGGGCTGATCAAGGCGAGAAACTCATCCACAAGAAGCGAAAACTTAAGGGAAAGAAGGCCATGCGCCGAAAGTCCAATCTTTCTGAGGCTCGCGTCGATTCACGTCCTTCAAACCTCTCTGTCCGGGCCGATCCAGTGCACCGAAATGGCATTCACCGTACCGCCGAAATGATCGAGTATATTCAACGCAAGCCATTTACTGTTTTCGCTCGCAGAGCCAAATTTTTCATTCTTGCGATCGCCCTGTGCCACTCCTGTTTACCTGAAGAAGATGGTACGGGTTCCATCTCGTACCAGTCCGCATCGCCGGATGAGCTTGCTCTGGTGATGGCGGCTCAAGAACTTGGATACTTGGTTCTTGACCGTCAACCGAACACACTGACTATTCGCACATACCCCAACGGCCCTCACGAGCCCGCACGTGATGAACTCTACGAGGTCATGGATATAATTGAGTTTTCTAGCGCGCGGAAGCGTATGTCTGTCGTGGTGCGCATGCCAGACCAGCGAATTTGCCTGTTTTGCAAAGGTGCTGATAGCGCTATCATGCGTATACTGAAGCGCGCTGATCTCGCACAGGAGAAGGCAACTGAGATCGAACGCCGCGCCAGTAAACGCAAGGCCGCCGAGGCAAATCAAGTCATTCGCCGGAATAGCGAGTACCATACCCGCAAGGATAGTGGTGTTCGGACCAGCATGAGCCTCGCCCGACGCTCCTCAGTGTCTGGTCATCGGGTGTCAAATCTGCGCGAGAGCATTGATGTCTGGCTGCGGGACCGGGAGACAGATGGAGGTATCCTGCACCGTGAATCCAACAGCGAGTTCTATAGCCCTCGACCGTCTGTACAGGTGGGAAGAAACTCGGCTGCAATTTCAGACTCTGGCAGCGAAATGAACGAGGAGGAAGATGAAGATCTTGTGGAAGAGGCTCTTGTTGTGAACGAATCCGCTGTCTTTGAGCGATGCTTCCAACACCTGAATGATTTTGCTACCGACGGACTTCGAACCTTGCTGTATGGCCACCGATTTTTGGATCAAAACACATACGAGACCTGGAAGACTGCGTATCAGGAAGCCACCACCAGTATTATCGACCGGCAGGAAAAGATCGAGCGTGTGGGCGAGGAAATTGAGCAGCAGCTGGAGCTGACTGGTGCAACTGCCATTGAAGATAAGCTCCAAAAAGGTGTTCCTGAAGCTATTGACAAGTTGCGTCGTGCAAATATTAAACTGTGGATGTTGACTGGTGACAAGCGCGAGACGGCCATTAATGTTGGCCACTCCTGTCGCCTCATCAAGGACTATTCCAACTTGACCGTTCTCGATCATGAGAAAGGTGAAGTAGAGCAGGACATAATTGACTTAACTGCACAGATCATGCAAGGCCGTGTTGCTCACTCCGTGGTGGTAATCGATGGACAGACACTGGCCACGGTTGAAGCAAACGAGATCGTGCGAAAGCGCTTCTTCCAGCTGGCTATTCGCGTGGACTCTGTGATTTGCTGTCGTGCCAGCCCCAAGCAGAAGGCATTCCTTGTGAAAACAATCCGCACACATTTGAGCGACTCAATTACTCTCGCTATTGGAGACGGTGCCAATGATATTGCCATGATCCAGGAAGCGCACGTTGGTATCGGTATTACCGGCAAGGAAGGCCTTCAGGCTGCGCGTATTTCGGACTATTCGATCGCGCAGTTCCGATTCCTCTTGAAGCTGCTTTTGGTTCATGGACGCTGGAACTATATGCGCGCATGCAAGTACACTCTTGGCACTTTCTGGAAGGAGATGCTCTTCTACCTCACTCAGGCCTTGTACCAGCACTGGAATGGGTACACTGGGACTAGTTTGTACGAGTCTTGGAGTTTGAGTATGTTCAATACTCTATTTACTTCGCTTTGCGTTATTTTCTTGGGCATTTTCACCAAGGACCTCTCGGCATCGACTCTGCTGGCTGTTCCGGAACTCTATACCAAGGGTCAACGCCACGAAGGCTTCAATATTCGCTTGTGGGCGGGATGGACGTTGATGGCTGCTATTGAAGCCTTGATAATCTTCTTCACCATGTACGGTCTATTCGGCATGATCCAAATCAACATTAGTGATGTCGATACGTTCGCTCTCGGTCTCCTCACCTTCACAGCATGTGTCACCATCATCAACCTCAAGCTTCAAGTGCTAGAAGTTCACAACAAGACATACATGTCACTAATAGTGATAATCATCTCCGTCGGCGGCTGGTTCCTATGGAATCTTATTCTCTCCCAACAATATAAAATGAAATCCGGCAAGGGCGTCTACTACGTCCCAAGCAACTTCATCCACCACGTTGGAGATAGCCTCCTCTTCTGGGTTGTTCTCCTCGTATCAATAGTAGCAGTCCTCATCTTCGAACTGACTGTCAGCACCCTACGAGCCCTATTCTTCCCCACAGATGTCGACATCTTCCAAGAATACGAGCAAGATCTTGACATCCGCATGCGCTTCGAAGAAGCCTCTGCGTCAGAGTTACAGCAGGGCTGGAACCATGGCACCAAGAAATCAAGCTTAGAACAAGCCCGTGAAGCAAACGAGATGGAAGCTCGCGAGCGTCAAGTCCAAGAACTCCTCTCCCGACCCCGCCTCATGAAAGATTCAAAGCCTGCCATCGCCAACGCTATCGAGCTAGACGGGTATAGCACAAGTGCAAGTGCCAGCTTCAGTCGTATAGGCAGCACAGCACAACCTGTCGCTGTCACCGTCGACGCAGATGCAGATGCAGCGGACTCGTGCGCTCCCCGTCGCTCCGTTGAGATCCATGAACTTCTTAGTAGGGGTTTCGGCTCTATTCGAAAGGGCCACCTTAAATGACATCACGAGTTACGTTTTTATTGCTAATGTCTATATCTCTTTTCTACTTTGATGTCTATATATACCCTTCACGCGTAGGGGTGCTTTCTGATTTTTAGATGGTTTTTGGTTATTTTGCTCATAGCGTCCGCCTTTTTTTTCAAGTTTATATCATCTTTAATTTCTTTTTGTGAGAATTCCTTTATATCCGAATATAATTGTCCTCGAAAAAAACCCCGTAATTGTTTTTTCTCTTTCTTCTTTTTGAGGGTGCATAGATGATAATCTTTGCTTATAGTCTAGAAAATATTGGTGGAAGCTTGTTACTTTGGATGTTTGAGCACATCGATTCATTTATTACCTTTAGTATCTACTTAACATTCCATGAAATAATGGAATGTTCGAGACTGAAACCCGCCCGTATGATATATCAACTCCGAGTGACTGTAAAGTAGCCCAGCAGGTACATGTGGATATGTTTATATTGTTTGCATTTATAAACATACCCACACCCACCCTCAATATCTAACCTTGGAATGCGAATTTTGCGTCACTGTTCTAGAGGAGCATAGGTGCTAAGGGTGTAGAGACTACTGACTGCTCATCTGTCCAGTATTTTCTACGGTCTTGCTGTAGTGATCGGCCTCATTGATGGATTGCCTTCGATATGGTAACCTGCCTGTTAGCTTTTGAAAAAAAAGTTGTAAGTTGTACGTTTCACCAAAGGAAGTCTACATATATGCGAATTTTTTATCTGGTCTACAGTATCGGATTCTTAAACCTCGATATTGGGAATTCCTGGTCTGCATCCATCCGATCATGACCTGAGCATTTGAAATAACTAGATAATAATCACATAATAATCATTAGATCTATTTATGAGACTATACCTGTGAGCCTTAGTAATTATCATCTTTCTAATACTCGTACTTTTTTACTCACCTTCACTTCTAACAGGGCTTGTTGCATATAGAAGCCATTGATCTCCGGGGATCAATATTGTTTGGGCACTGCCTATGAATATTCATGCCAATTTAGTATCACGTCCCTTTGGCTTCGCCTATTAGAGCTCTTCTTCACTAAATTATGGATTAGCTTTACCGCATACAAGCTTCCTGACCCATAATTCCACTAACGAAGCCAGCCTCGGAGGCTACGAATAACTATGACAACTGCTCTGTACATCCAAGCACTTTAATCTGACTCCAATCTAGTGGTGAACAATAACTCAATTAAATACCACGTGGACAAGAGTATCGTAAAGACACTCGAAATATATGTGAATGACGTCAAACAAGGGTTTGATGGATAAATGTATATCTAAACGGCATGTATGACGGACGGCCTTGGCCACAAGAAAGATTCCCAAGCTGTGCAACCTCAGTACTATTTCCGAAGCTTACTAAACACCTTGAAAGCTGGAACTAGAGACATGAAAGATCTAGAAAAAGCAAAAAAAGGAAAGGACCAATATAAGTTGATGAAGTCAGAGCTCTAATACACCTTTACTGGAATGGAAAATTTAAGATCAAATCTTAGGCTTGATTTCACACAATGGAATCAAATATATACATTTGACAAACACGCTCCGGATCGTGTATGTACATTCGTGGAAATCTCTCGGCAGGTATTATCACGCTGGGTGAGTTTTGAAAACTTGAACTCGTAATCTAGCTGATGTTAGAGAGCTGCAGGAGATCAAAGTTGGGGAGAAACATACTGGTATCAATCGACGGATCTAATTTTAAAGCAGACCAATGACAACATCACCGTAGATCTTCGCATCAAGGTCGAGGCGAACCTTGGCGTGGAGGTTCAGGTGAACCTTGATCTTCAGGGCAGCCTTGTCACCCTCTTCCTGGACCAAACCTGGCATGATGAGGCCACCATTGGCGACACTGGGGCCACCCTGCTTGGAGATCTCATCCTGGAAGTACTTGTCACGACGGCCGCCGATGGTGCGGGGGGCGTCGAGGGTGGTGCTAATGTGGGGAGATGGAACGTTAGCAACAGGTTCACGTTGAGCCACAGGAACACGATCTGGTGCAGCCGTGGGCTCAGGAGCAAGAGCTGAAGCAGGAGTAGGAGCAGGAGCAGGAGGTGCAAGAGCAACCGGCTCCGGCTCAGGCTCAGGCTCTGACACCGCGGGGGGCTCAGGTACAACAGGTGCTGGTTCCACCGGGGCTACAGGCTCAGGCTCAGGCTGAGGAGGCTCGGGAGCAGGAGGAGCTTCGGCAACAGGTGTGCTGGGTACACTTGGAGCGTGCTCCCCGCGCCGTCTTCCAGCAGCTGAGCCAGGTCTGGACCCCAGAGAGGCCCTCGACCCAGGTCTCGATCCTAAAGAGTTTCGGGACCCAGATGAAGGTGGTCGCGGTCTACTGCCCATTCGATTGGACATGAGCGGAAGTATAGAAGGAAGAAGAGGTGAAGATGTAGAGTAGTAAACAATTCATCACGAGGGGGAAAGAATGGGTGATCAGGAGAGTTGATAGTATAGTTACCTTCCAGCAGTGTCAGACATCTTGAAGATTGAGGTGGCTTAGAAGAACCGGTTGGTTGGTTGGCTTGAGAGAAGAGTAGAGAAGAGATGATTGTGGATGAAGAAAGACTTTTTGGGAGGAGAAGATGGAGCTATTTAACCATTTTCACGAAGACATTGAAAATCAGAAGTTGAAGGTAAAATGTCCGAATTAGGAATGACTACCTGACAGCAGCCCAAGGTGTCTAGACCATACACGTTTCAAGTTGTTTAGCTGCAGAAATGGTGCGATGTATGGACTGCAAGTGGATATTCAGATCCACTTGAATCGAGTCCACTCAAACATCTGCAAGTCTCCACTTAATTAGGGCGGTAAAGGTTTGTATTTAGCAGCTATACGCTGATGCCCTTTTCCCGAAATCATACCATTACCCTTGTCCCAAAATTATCGATTATCATATTCTATCCCATACGTGATACCCAATCACAACATAAGCTCAAGATGGTTTTGGGAGTCGTGATGATCGCAACTATGTTGCCTACTATGATAGGTCTGAATCAGGCTACTCAGAGTACACGAGACCAGGAGGAAGATCGAAGGGCCAACGCCCGCAAAACCCGCACCCACCTAATGGCAACATGCACCCTGGATCAAGGAACTCTGGAGCAACGCAAAGAGATACACAACGCCCACGTCCAGGTGGGTCTGGACGGCAAAGTAAGTTCCGTTTCATGCAGTAATATCAGGAATTGAAATTGGGGAGGAGATAGGAAATGGAAACTGATGCCGTTTTTCTCCCTCAATCTAGCTCTACATCACCAAACATCCTAGTTCCACGATGGTGCCGTTCAATGGTGGCTACTTCACTCACCCCGAGTTTCCGCCGGAGAATACGGCCGGCATGGTAACTGTCAGTGGTGAGGAAACCCCCACCCTTCGATGGGTGTTCCTTGATGCTCTTACCCATGAGCTACGCTGGGGTGGTCGGGATGAATCTGCCGGCCAGATTTGTGGTCCCTACGATTGGACTAAGGACGAGCTCTACATGACCCTCGATGGCTGGGAAGGATGGCTGGCAGTACGATTGCCAGAAGATGAGGATCAGGCTGAGGGTGACGGTGAAGATGATGAGATTACCAATGGGCGTTGGAGGTTGTATTTTGATCAGAATGATAATGGGGCCGATCTCCCATCGGGGGCGCAAGTACTCGAGATTCGACTCAAGCGAGTTCTATCAGATTCCTGATCTGACAGTGTGGGGTTCCGGGTATTATTACCTTGGAATTATCAATTTGTTTTCATTGTCATAATTAGTTACGGTTATGATGCCGGTCCAAAATAAACCGTACCTTCTACCCTTTTTACCATTGAATTGCACTCGGTTGAGGCTTTTGGGGTAATAATGTCCTGCATAAGTAGCTGCATTAGCTTGATTTATTGAGTTCATACTATTCGGATAATTCCGGCAAAATATAAGAGTATTTTTTATCGTTATTATTATTTACTTGCATTTCCATCCTTGTCCAGGCCCAATCTTTCGATGATTCGAATCACGAACAACTTCTCATATTTCGTATTGCGTGCGATACGTCTATTTGATCACTTAAAAATCGGGAAAAAATCTGAATGGATTCGTAATTGATACAATCTAGCGCTAATCAGCTAGTCACACATAGTGAAGTAACTAGTCTACCAATTAGGAAGCCGACATAAGTTATCCAGATCACCTACCTCTGTAGGCACTCCTGGTAGATTTAGCGCTTACGGCGCATCGCATGTTCTCTCCTAGTCTTACAGGGTTCTAAAGTGGACTGCAGCGTGGGGTCAAGCCATTTATTTTATTTCTAACCCGAGTCTACCCGATTGCATTTATCTTGTTCTTTTAGTATGATTGCGATTAATACTGGGAATTGATAGTATGATGAAGAGTACCTGATCAGATTATCGTATAAAATCCGATCTTCTCCGTTGTAGTATCCATAATATCCATATCCGTAAGCCCAAATCTGACTAAGTCCCGATTGGCGTCTTTAAAGACTCTAATCCGATCGCTCGGTAAAGCCTTCACATAACAGTCTAACTAGATCTTAACAAGCGCTCTCGGCGCTTCGGCGATCAATCGGAGATTCTTAATTTATTTTTATTTCTTCAAAATGACATTCTGACCTAGACAAGGATATTTGAAACAGAATACGACAGAAGCCAACGCAAAAGAACGGCAATTATTCCTCTACAGTAGTGGATTACGCTCATACTCGGATTGACAATTCAGGCAAGAGATGGCCGCATCGAATCGACGGCTCGAGACCTGTCTTTCCCGTTCCTCCCGTTAGTACTTTCCATGGTTCGTGCTATTCGCGTTTGAATATGGAGAGCTACTCTAAGATTGTAATGAGTCAGGTTCTATGTGGCAATGTGGCGGTCTCACTGTGCTATAGGGGGTTTCACTGGGAGTAGTAAAACTGACAGGTATAATCTTCTGATCTGAATCTCTGTCTAATCGGCAGATCTACAGATTTTCATTCGTGTTTTTAATTCGGGACCACATTTTGGCCCCACGTTCTTTCTCATGCACTCCACATCGCCCACATTGACATACTTCACTGCATGCTCTCTAGTCTAGCCCAATAAGAACGTTGGGATCAAAATGAGGGGGTTGACGATAGAGGGAAAGCAAGCCACCTATCCTTGTCCCTTATTGCCACGTTACTCCAGAGATCTTCCCCTTTAGGGGATATCGGTGGGTTCAACTTGGTTAGCGTCATTGAATCGTATGATGTCTAGACTCCAACCTTGAAATTTTGTTCGGGCTGACTTGCCTCAGTCTCGGCCGTTTCTTCACATCGGAGACATTTGCGCATTCATCTACATCACTTTCGCTTGAAAGGAGATTGAAGTACGGAGTACTTCTTACGAAGTGCTCGCGTGAGAGATTTTTGAGGGATTTTGTCGTAGGTAGCCATGCATAGCCAAAACTCCGCTGGTCCGTAGCTATGCACTACTCAACTCCATTAGGCCCCGATCATCCAGGAAGTGAACCAAAGGGAACCGAATCAGAAAGTTGGATAAGAGAGAATGGAACCCACTAGGTCAAGTGATGTGGCTCTAGGAGGCTTGACATAGTGGTTTTAATTTTGTATGAATTTACTCAAGACAAGGTTGTCTCGGAGACATCTTCTAGCCACCTTCTAATATGTTCAACCTTGTAATATTCAAATTCAACTGAGCTAGATTGGCCTGATTCAGATCCGGTATATATTTGACGCACCATCTTCAACCATTCATGATTCCACAATGATTTTTCTTCTGTCTGAATCCCTTCTGTAAAAAAGTCCACGAGATCAAATGACGTGTTGCAAGGCTAGACAGGCGATCACTAGGTACGTTTTTCCCCTTCGCTTTTTAAAAAGATAACTGCGGTTTGGAGATGGATATTGGAATTCTCCTTATTCCTTAAGAGTAAACATTTAAAACATGATGATACGCATTCAGCCTGAAAGACCTCCGAAGAATGCATGCGAAAGCGAGAAAACCTAGAGAGGAGGAATATAGTGCTGCTATATTGTCTTTGTTAGCGGCTAGCTGGTAGAATAAGAAAACCTACTGTTGGAATATGGAACAAAGCAGTCATGTGATCAAATTGTTACTATATAATAGATAGCAAACTAAGAATGAAAACCAGACTTTACAACCACTTCAAAGGACAGACAGATATCATAGGGGCGTAAAGCGTTACCTGTGATAGGTGTCAGAAGTGGGCGTTAGCCTATCGAATAGCTATTCCACACTTGATACAGGTGTACCGACACCTACTCAGCAGCCAAAAAGCTTTGAAAATATAATCTCACCAATTGCATCAAGCTGATTTTACGAAGAGGCTGCTTGAAAATGCTTGTGTATACTATGCCCGTAACTATCCATATTGAAATTCCAAAATCACTTGACGACCGCTATGGCATTGCCATTCCCATGATCGTTAAATTAGCCTATGACCGCAATATAGATGCAGTATTACTGGGAAGTAAGTTTGTAGGACATCAACTTCGCTGAACGGGGGATAAGGACAAAGTGGCAGATCTCTGAAAGTATTCGGATTCTTTAAATCGCCCTTGGCTCGCATAGTTTTGCACAAGGTTATCTATACAACTATACAAGTTAAAGTGTGCTTTTGTTCCCTCTCTATACCAGATATAGAAAAAGACCAAATATTAAAGAAACAGAAACATATAACAGTCAGGATTCGCATGTGGTCACCCACCATACTACTAACTGACGTGTGGCTTAAACGCGGAAAATAGTGAGTGGGTGTCGCCTGAGTGAGCAATGGGTGAGCGCTGCTTTAGCGTTGCGGGACCGGGGATGAGCAAGGTGAGTATACAATAAACAGGGTGAGAATCGGGTGAGCCAGGGTGAGATTGGGGTGAGGCTAAACTAAAATCAGTTACCGAGGGAAGATGGAGGACGTAAGGGATCTGCACCATGTGTGTACTCAATAGTTTACAAGTCAGATATACCATCATATATATCTATAGAGTGGAGGTGGAAAAAATGTAATGATATTGAGTCTCCGTAAAAGGGAAGAAGTGAAACGGCTTTAACGCCTGGAATAAGCAAACATATGCCTTAGATACTCTTGTGGAATAAGAGAATAATAATAGGAATGAACGATTGAAACCAAATGGAGGCTGAGCAGGGAAGGGGGGGGGGGGAGGGGGGTAGAAAGAGTATGGGTTGTCGACGGGGCAAGGGCAAGGACGGAGGCAGAAAGGAGAGCTGAAAGGAGCTCAGGAGAAAGAAGCAAGCTTCATCTTGACAATCACATGACTATGATCATAGGTTTCTCAATAAGTTCTCAGGCATGAGTGAGGCCCATAATGTTCAAATAATAGACGGCACGGGAGCGCAATTCGTCAACATGCAGAGGTAGAATATCGTTGGGGTTGCTTCCCCATGGCAAAGCTTGACCCATTACCTCTCTGCGAGTTAAATTGATAACCTGTTGGCTGCTATTGGCAGGCCGGGGGAATATTGTCTATATATTTCAAGCCAATAAGTATGTTGAACAAAAGTTCATAGACTTTCACTGTTGAGGTTTCACATACCATAACCTCAGTTGGGATAGGCTGTCCCCAGCGGAACACTTTCAAGCCCGCTGAGACTTGGTTGTGAACATTCTTTTTCCATTTGATAATAATAACAACTGAAGTTTCACCCTGTGCTGCATTGAGCAGTAAATCTTTATCGCGCATGAGGGCTGGAGCGGACTCAGACCACCCCGACTCGATGGCGAAGGTTGGGTACGGTAATGAGTTGACACAAAACAACAGATCTGGCTCTTTCTTCGAGCCGCTCAACGGTCCTGTGGTATAGTCGATCGTGGTACCCACTCCAAGGCCACAGAGCCGATTGTCTGCTTGTGACCATAGACCAGGCACAGTCCGCCATTCCTGCATTTCTCCCGAGATCCATGCCTGGTGGCAATCATGGACACGGACCGGCATTTTAAGCCTTAGAACAAGATCTTTGCTATTCCAAGTTTTTCTATACTTTATTAGAGGGAATAATAGGTAGTGGTGGAGTACTACTACTTACCTGTGTGGATATTCCTCGTCTAGAGCTTTAAACACTCGGATTGCCCAGGAGGGAGGCACTTCAGTGTAGGAAAAATCCCCAGGTTTTTTTGTCCCTGCTAAGCAGAGTACCTTTGCTTCAAAATCTTCGATGGTATCGAAATCGTTGACTGACGTAGTGAAGTAGAAAGGAGAATGAACATGAGGATCAGTGATATTTAGGTGCTCCATGGTTAAGAATGGAGTACTTCAAGGAATGAGGTACTCGATGGAAATATTAAGAGGGTGACAAGTGAGATACCTGGGAAAGTGCGAGTGAGGTGGAGTGAAGTAGGAATGAAGTAGGATTGAGGTGTGAAAGTGAAAATGGACAAAAACCTTAAAAGTACTCCTCATACTAACCATTCTTTTCTACTAATAATTATATAAGAAGAGGACTTTCAGATTTCTTCATCAAAAAGAACTCAATAATAACTTCATCCACAAAACACCCATGGACGAAAATGAACCCGGGACTGAAGCAAAATGACTGCATTTAGTCAACTCGACAATGTTGGAAAATCCTCGGTATCGACCTTTTATTAAACAAATCGTCTCATCAAATCGTATCATTGTTTATATACTGAGGTAGCTTGATAGACCTCAAAGGATGCCTAATAAGCCTCCTTCCAAGGTTAAAGCTCGACGAACCATTAGCTATAAAAATTCATATCAGTGTATGGGTACAGGTTAGGTTTAATCAGTTACACAATTATCTAGATAATATTTCGGAATAAAGAACAACTCTTGAAGCCCGTCAAGAGCCCTTCTATAGACTCCCGGAAATTAAATATATCGAGCGAGTGGCAACCACAGCCTCCATTATCGTGGTCTATTCTTTGGCCGACCCGTCACTGACTAGCTAATCTCTGATCGCTGGTAAAACCGACATATTGTAAGTACTGCAACCTTGGAGGCTGCACTCCTCTTCATAGCCCTCCTCGGTTTCCGCTTAGGCTCCCGTAGAAGACTCACGCTGTTACAGTGAATGAGTGTGTTTTTTTCTGAGGGGGAGGCCGGATGTTCATACACCCGAAATAGGAGCACGGTCAAAACTAAGGGCCATCAAAAAGTGATCGCAAAGTAAACAGTATTGTGAGGCATAATGCTCCTTTAGGTATGTATAGCCTGTGCGTAAAATGAGTGTTCAATAGTTAAATAGATGCCTCTGATTATTCTCAGAGCAATCAATGAGCGATTAGTGAGCTTGACTCTGAGCGCCCTAATAAAAGCGGCGGCAGCTCAGATAGGAGAGCACCAGCAGAGGAAATCAGGTACGTATAGTGGCCTAGGCACTTTTACCAAGTACATAGCATTAGTACGGCCCCTGGGTGTTTGAGTTGTTGGTATCGAAACGGGGACGCCCATTCCTATAGTAGTTTAATCTGAATGCAACATCAAAATACCAACTCGAACCTTTATCAAGTGACAACAGTATTCTGGCCTCTTAAATTTAGTCTCTAAAACACCAATAAGTTGAATATTACTCTTGAGTTTTGTATTTATTAATAGGTATATGTCATCTATAAAGTACAAAAGCGCAATTACCAGAACACGACATTTTCAGAGAGATTCCTGCGCTTTTGAATTGTTGCAGATCCGATAATGGTGTACAATATTACCACGCAACAATAAGAGCCACTATCGAAAGCAGTACCCCAATAAAGTGATTTGTTGACCAGTGATTCACATAGGCTGTGCCGGTGAACACTACGGCCACTGTACTGGTGGTGGAGCTTGCGCTGTGAGAACTAGCACTAATCTTCGATAGAGCTGCTGAGCCGTGTGGAACAGAGGAGTAGGCTGCAGCGTTGATGGGTCCAGAGCTAGGCAGTGCAGAGGAAGATATTTGGATTGTCGGCTTGGGCTGTCCGTACCGTGACAAGAACGACTGTGTAGTCTCAGACCCGGAGCCTACAGCTAAAGCACTGATCTCAGATTATGCGGCGGAAAATGCTGACACCGAGACAACGAAAAATGGGCTTGATTGGGCAGTCGAGGTAGCAGAAGCGAGCTCCGTAACAGGACAAATAGTGGTTGACACCACAATAGTATTCGTTGTCAAGAAAGTGCTCTTATCAGAGGCCAGACAATCCGTTGCGCTGGAGGGGCAAGCTGTCACGGTTGCAATTCGAGTTGAAAGCACCAATGAAGTGGTCATTTCTACTTGCAAAGACTGGCTACTCAGTGAAGCACCGCTACTTCAGCCTGGAACGGTAGTTCTTGTAGAGTGAGCTTCCTCAGCGATAGGGCATATTGTTGTTGAGACAACAAGCGTTTCTGTGGTCACGAAGGTGCTCTTGGCCGAAGCTGGGCAATTTGTTACTTTGGATGGACAAGCCGTGATGGTTACCGTTCGAGTGGAAAAGATAGTGGAAGTGACCGATCCCTCATTAGTGAAGTGGCCACCTTGTGTGGTAGCGCCATTATCCGAATTATATTTGCTGTCAGTTGTAGGCTGCTCTTCTGTAAGAGGGCAGACAGTTGTCGAAACTACCAAAGTCTCGGTGGTCACAAAAGTACTTTAAGCTGAAACTGGGCAATCAGGTTGTGAGGATGGACAGGCTGTGACCGTGGCAATTCTTGTGATCAGAACTGTGGATAATGGGGTGGTCACTACCGTTCGATCTGAAAGAGTGATATCGACGAAAGTGGCTAAACCTCGCAAAAAGAGAGAAAGATGTCCTTGGGACTAAGGAGAGATGACTTTTCATAAAAGGAGAATCATTTCTAATTGTAGATTTGTATTTAGGAAAGCCGGTAAGTGTCAGCTCAGCCCTGAGTGAAAGTCCCCACCCATCGGTTATTTATCCATATCTACCACGCTAAAGCAATGGAATGCCTATAGATTAATTTTCAGTTCATCATGATTCAAGATGCTGTTGATTGGGAAAATAAACCAGTGAAATAGATTATAGAATGGGGTTACCCAGGAATGAGTCGAAATCTCGTTAATGTGTATATACATCTGGATGAATGAGGCTCACCTTTGTTCCCCAGTTCTTTCAAAACCAGAAAGTGGAACTGAGAGATCATGCCATAATAATCTAGAATGTAGGAAACCAGTGCTAATTAGCAGCGGGTGAGAAATTAGGGTGCTTACGACAACGAGCCATACACAACCCATACACAACCCAGTCATACAGCCCTGATATAGTACTAGCAGTGCCAAGAGCGCACCCACGTTCCGTTCCGTGTGTACACAATGTTGGAATTCCTAGGACATTTATTGCTCGATTCTCCTCCTGCTCCATTCTTATTGGCTCCCGATAGGAACTGTCAAATGACTAGTCCTATTCTAGTCTAGCTCTCTTTATTAGTCAGTTTCCGCACGCTCTTTATTTAGTTACAGAAGTTAGATTTACTATGTTTGGATAGCCACAATGCATCATCTTCCACCCGGTAATAAATTGTAATTTATGAAAGGAGCCGGTTACAGACAAAAGCCTCGCAAATGCTAGGACTTTGCCGAGGGCGCTTGGACGCAGCTCATTACAAACAAGATCATATCGCTGACAACTTCGGTCCTTATTATCGGAATTGTAACTTTCTCTCTCTTTGATCCCACTAAAATATCTCGGAGCCAGCTAGTATTAACAGGCCTTCATAAAAAAGGCGCGTTTTCCCAGAGTCCATAGCAAGGCGGTCACCAGCCGCAGAAACCTCGAGCTGAGGAGCGCGAAGAATATCACACCTCACGATTGAAACTGCGTCTCCTTCCTCCAAACCTGCAATCCTTTCATATTCTATCGATCGACCTTCAACATGAACCCATACGAAGCTAAGCTGGCAAGAATACCAACAAATGACCGATACTCCGACCTTCCACTTTATGGTCAATACAATCAATCAATCAATCAATCAATCAATAATCTATTAACCTGATGCAGCCTAACTAGTAGCGTATGGCTATGCAGGCGTTTCCTCCGGCGGAAACGAGAGTATTCCAAACGCCAGAATGTCAAGGTAGTAGATACAAAGGAAACATGGCGTCGTGCCATTATAAACCGAAATCCCAATCCCTCTGTAAACCATAACGCCTTCATGCATAGTAACCCGTAGATCTCCCTCAGTAGCCCACTCCCTTTGTTTCCCCTCTCGCCCTTCATAGCATCCTCCTCCCCTCGTTTCAGTCCTTTTGTCGTTCGTTGAAGTTGTCGATGTATTCGTCCTTGGCCTCTCGGTAGGCCTCGGTATTGACGTTCCTAATACCCAGCGTCTTCACCACGCTGCGCCATTCGTAGCCAGTTGTCGTAGTCTCCTCTAGCCTGGGTCTTCGTCTGATTCAGGGTCTGCTTCAGCGTCTATATGTCTAAATTGCCCGAGGAGACCTGTTTGGATCATGAATTTCGCCACGTAGCGGGTGGCCTGCGAGTTTGATACCAAGGTATCATAATCAGCCATCTTGTTCGACTCCAAGTCCGTCCGTGCCCGGATCTTGGTCAACGTCTGCCTCCTCAGACTCGCGTATAACGGATACTACAGGAGAACGTGTTTCGGCGTTTGAGACTGTTGGTACAATGGGAGTTGAGGTATCCGTTCTGATTGGACGGATACTCTCACTCCTAATTGGACCGACCAGCCCCAAGTAGGGCAGTGGAGTCTCTTTTAGTTCAGGAATAGATAGACTTAAATAAGACACACTTTACAACTCCAGCAACACGTACGTACAAGCATACCTACTGTGTTCAGCGCGCGAGTGTCGCCCCCGACAGAGACCCTTCTTCGCAGCTACACTCGTCCGAGTCAGCTTCGTTGATCTTCAAGAGGAAGTGTTTTAGAGCAATCCTCATTGATCGCATCTGGATTTATGGTCGATACTTCCCTGCTTCAGACGACTTCCGGCCTGACCCTAAGCACGCCAACTCGGTCTCGGAAGATTCACTGAAGTACTGGGCCTCTGTATCTGATCTCTGCAATCCTTCTAATAGGATATATGAGGGCTTGGAGGGGACTCTGGATGTATTTGCCCTCGGTAGTGTCATCATCAAGTCAAGCCATCTCCACGCTCGGCTTCAAGGGAGATGCGCGAGTCGAGACTTCTCCTATGCAGATGCAAACGAAGTGAAGGCAACTGCCCTGGCAAGGACAGTGTTAAAAGATGTCAAAATTCCGATCATCTACTTTGCGTGGAAGATCAATGGCAGGGATGTCTTAGTGCAGGAGAGAATTCCTGGTGTCGGCCTCAACGTCGCTTGGCAATATATTTTCGCGGCACAGAAACAACTGTTCAAAGAAGAAGCACGCGATATCTTGCGAAATTTGAACATAGTCAAACCTCCTTCCTCAAGCACGACCCGATGCTATATTGTTGAAGACACGGATCCTGAAGCACACCGAGTAATCCAGGGGCTCAAGTACGATATCATCTTCGGAGAAGATAATCGTGATCCAGATCTATCCTTTATGCATAACGACTTTAGTCTATCGAACTGTATTGTGAACAATGAAAAGATTGTAGAGCTTATCGACTGGGAGATGGCAGGTTACTTTGGGTGGAAGACAGCTGCTCAGGTGTATGTAAAGATCCGAACTCCTCGACGAGAGAGCTTCGCAGCGCTCAATCTATCCGAAGACGCTTTGAATGACATACTTCTCTATAATGATTTATATGAAGTCTTAACGGCAAAGTAAACATTACTTCGTCCACCCATCTACCCTTGGGTCAAAAATAGAATATATCATAGCTAGATTAAATCTAGATAATGCCGCTATGCTATACCGTAACATAATGCCGTAACATCATGTCGATACCACTAGACCAAAGTGGGGCACAGGACCAATGGTTCCGATACTGTTGATTCGACATGAAGTGAATCTAGCGAGTTTTGTCTATTTAGTTACAGCGAGGATAGGATTGAATAACACACCTCCTACAACTTCGCATCGAGAATACTAGTTGCATATGCACCGTAAGAACGTCACCGTTCCGACACATCAAAACTGTCCATACGGTGATGGTGCCATTGGACTTAATCGTGGGATTAATACCGTCAGCCAAAGACGCCTTTTGTCTATATCATCGCACTGTAGTCATGTAAGTAATTAAAAATGTGAACTGATCAACATAACCATATGTCAGGAGAGTGTGGAGTGCCTGAGAGCCGAGAGCCGCAAGCCGCATTGTTCTTGCCTAACGAGTTGCCACTAATAAGGAGCCATCTTGTCGCTTAATCTCAAGGATGTGTCTTTGGTTGGAACATAGCTGGCGAAGTCAATCGTAGGAATCCGAAATCAAAGGCGTCTGATGTAGGAGCGATCTGATGTTGCTATAACTAGACGGTAGGTGGGTTGAAGGGCAAGCAGACTGGAGTAGCGCATGCCACTTAGACCGAGATTGACCAAATACATGTGATAAAACGGATTCAGGTGGACGTAGTGGGTCATTCACAATACGACTGACTCATGTTGAGCAAAGAGAACTGACGATACTATTACTGAGCTGGATTTCTGTCTCCGAGCTCCTTAAACCTTGAAAAAAGATTGATGCATTCCTCTCCTTCGAGGAATTAAAAAAGGGCGTATGTATTTCAATGAGCTATTATCAACAATAAATGAATGTACAAAGACTTTGCTACATAAAAGTAGAAATCCATCAAATCAACAACCGAAAAAAAGTATCTGCAAGAACTCGAGAATATGAACCGCGTTTAGACAACGACGATGGTTTGATTCAAAGTCTCCAAGAAAGGCTCCGGTCCAGCCTGCAGAGTCGAGGTGTTAGTCTTTGAAATTTGATGTAGGTTAGAAGGAACCACTTACCCCGATCAGGGTGGCATGGGCCACATTTATTTGAGCAGATCCAGCGGCGAAAGTGGCCGGGATCTTAACGCTGAAGTTCTGGTATGGGGCTAAATAGCTCTCGTGGTATACAGGCTTGAAAGCACCGTTGTAGAGAACATTTCCTAGGACATCGCTAGGTGATTGGCAGGCATCGCCACAAGAGGTGATGCCAATAGCAACGGCCATCTCCTGCGAGCTGGTCAAAGAATTCTGAAGACATCATTAGCTCATCGGGTTATCAACCAGGAGAAAAGGCAAAGACATACGGGACGCTGGACCTGCACAATGATCTCACTGCCGGCAGTGACCTTCTGGCCCTCAGTAGGCAAGCCGATTTGAGCAGTTTGAGCCAGAGCGGCACTGGCAAAGGCAATGATGGAGAGGGAGAACTGCATTGTGCTGGCTGGCTTTTATGCAAATGAATAGAATAGAAGTTTTAAAAGTGAGTGATCCTTAATCTTTGAAGCTTGGAGTAGATTGGAGGAGTTTGTTGTGAAGATGTAGTTTTACGGTGGAGATCATGGTCCTATTTATGCCCTTGACCAGAGATTAACGAATGTTCTCTAAAAGAAAACCAAATCCCTCGGAGTTCGGAGTTAGCATAATGGCTCGTGAGGCTATAGTAATTCGGCAAGTCTCATGTAGATTCCGGTAAGATGTCTTGCCTAAGTGGCAAGACCCACCCCTGTGGAGACTCCTTCCTTCGGAAAAGCCATTAGGTTGGAGACTGGAGCCTGAAGACCCCCTGAGAAGTCATTAGATTGTAAGCTGAGGTCTCTTCACCAACCTTTTCAACTGATTATTGATTACTTTACGAGGGTTTGCTTATAAATTTTCCGTTTCGGGGAATCAGCTCGCAACCCTTAGAAACAAGGTTCCACTAACCCGTATCGTGGCGCGGGCTATCGATTTCCCGCGCAAATCATAACCCTAAAGTAGCCATGGCGTAGGCTAAGCCACACCCTTTAAATCCTCGGAGATGTAACGGCGCCATGTAAGCCAAGTATTTAAATCATCTTACCGCTATTTTAATCTTAACTCTGGTGATCTGTGGATCTTTCACTTGGATGGGGTATGCGTGGCGCCGAATAATTTCATGTTTAATCAACTTTGTCTCCCCAGGTTCCGGTTAAGCCGAAGGTCCTGCTAAAAATAGAGGGACCTTAGGAGCTCAAAGAATATTGATGGAGGAACCTTGGAAAACTACTGGCTGGTTTTTGATATTCTTGAAATGACAGAGCTAAGTATGAGACATGGATCCTTACCCTACCGAGGTAGATTTAAAAGGAAAAGACCCTTTGAAGAGATATTGGAAAGTTATCTGGGTATTTTTAACGGGTTTGACCAGCGCCAGCATACAACGCCAACTATATACGCTATTAGAATATGATATCTGATTTTATACTATGTTCTTAACTCTTTATGTCAAAAATTGGAAATTGGATGAAAGGCATAAGATAAAGCAAATTTAGATATATGGAAAATACTCCATAAATTACCAAAAAATTAAATTCTAGCATAACTTTTATGTCGAACAAATATTTAGCTACAGAATAGTGGAAATAAGGGTGTATGGACTGTTTGCACGCTCCACTTAAATCATTTAACAGATATTTACCCCTTAATTTACCGTTATGTTTAGTGACGATCACCCGATTTTAAACCCGCAAAATAGCTGGTAAATCATGTGGGATATTTAGTTTCCATGACATTTTGGGTTGAGTTTTGACCCAATTTAACCAACCCAATTCTCATATAGCTGCTTCCATATTGGAGGCATCCTAATTATTCAATTGAAGGTAGGTAAGAAAATGGAAATATTGTCATATGGGTGTCGGACCCGCACTAAGTAATTTATGAAAGGGGTCGATTGAGGCATAAAATTGTTAAGGCCGATACGGCCCTAGGTCACGATCTATATTTTGGATGTGTTGAATTCCGAATCAACAGCATAACGCAGGAACTAGAGTACCTCTTTGTCTTTCTTACCAATGATGTGAGCAATCTGGGAGATATGGAACCCAGCAATTCCTGCAATACTCGAGATACGAGATTATGCAGATGAAGTGAAAGTAGATGAAAGGAAAATAAAACCGTGAATTTACTAGGATTGTAGTATAATGAAAATTCTGTAATGTTAACCGGGTGAATAGATACACTTTCCGTGATAAATGGGTATCATAGAGTACTATCACTGAAGAAAAAGGAAAGGACGTGGCCTGGGGTGGGGGCTGTTCTAAATGGAAGCCACACTCAAGCCTCATCTATCTACCTCATCTATCTACCTCATCTTCGTCATAGCTATCGTCACATTTCCCTAAATCAAAGATAATGACGACTTCTGGCTGGACAGATAGGTCCTTGGTAGGGTCTTTTCTATCATGAAAGACTTTGAAGATGTTCAAAATAGATGATGGAAATGGATGGGCTATTGTAATCATCCTCATACAAGGTTTTATGGCGCCCAAAATCACATACAACGACCCCAAAGGCATGCAAAGCCTTGACCGCAGCGAGCTGCCCCCGAATCCAACTCTTACGCTCAGCGGATGCACTTTTCCCCAGTCACGCAGAGTGTATATCCAAAATGGAAGAGCAAGGATCAGCATATCTTGCCGGTGTTCTTCCCACAAGGAAAGAAGAGGTATCCATTAGAGCTCTGGTGAAGTGCTTTATATACGTGGCTCTCATTCAAATAACTGGAATGCTTCATGACATGGAACCTCTGTGAATTGGCATACAAATCATATTTGACTATTGTGCTGTAAAAGACACAGACAATCAAGACACTCTTAGGAAACATGAAGCTAGACAGATCCTCTAACCAGTCTTGGTCAAAGATAAAATTTACAAGCAATAAAGGTAGAATAGGGACTTAGCGATACAGCTTGGCGAATGGCACTAGTGGAATATTCTCCCCAGTTTGCTTAACCTGGTGCAAGGTATTATCATGGACCCGGGATTCACTGATGACAACGCAACTTCGAGGTCTAGGGACTCGGACAATCGGGCCCAGACTTCCCATGTCATTCGAACGAGAAACAGGGCAGACAAGTCAGTCTCAAATGCATCAACTAGTGTGATCGTGAGGTTTCCAGGTATCGTCCGAATGATCTCGCGAAAGATATCCGTGCGATCGCGGGCGCGACCATCCAAGTTTGTCACGCCCACCGCTTCGTGGTATGCTTAAACTTGGCGAAGCATTGGTTGCAGGCGTGGCGCGATCCGTCCTATAAGGTAACACGATCGGGTATGATCCGCCGAGAACCGTAAAGTAAGGGGTTGCAGCAAGTGGAGGTTTCTCGTGCTACAAGGGATCAAAGATTTTTGCGATGGTGATAATCAAAAAATTTAAGCCACTTAAATCGCGTACCGCTTTCGCAAAACGCTGCATGAACGAAAGGCCCGTCTTTCGGGACCGAGCAGACTCATACAGTCTTCATGCGGCGAGAATCTGCATCGATCTGGTCGATATCGATCGAGCTGACCCCAAAAAACAGCAATCAAGGATTGCAAGAGCGTCAATATCGGCATAAAGTGGATTACCCGTGAACATATGATATTGAACAAGTTTCCAGGGCAGGTCTTGATTTCACCACCCGAGGAGAAAACCAGGTTCTTTGTATCGTCGAGCATGCTGTGCCCAGCATAGGCGAAGATGAAAAGCAACTTGTCGGTGTATGATGCTTGTTGAGAAGTCCTGAGATAACACCCTGCATTGTCCAACCAGGTGTGCGATCCGACTTCAGAAGCCTACAGTTCGTAAGGATGACACCAAACACGTCAGTGAGCAGTATTTTCAATGTCTCGACATCTTTATGGAAGACTTGTTTTCGTTCTCCCAGGTGAGAGTTAGAACGAAGATTGTAAAGGCGGAAGATGGATGCGGTGATGGATTTGACATATCTGACAGGAAAGTAGAAACGAATCAAAGGGCACAGATGGAGTCACTAGTGCGGGAGTGGCTTGAGGGGTGGAATCCGTATGAAGTCTAGAAGTTGACAAGACCAAATGGTCTGTTGTGTCGATCATATATAAATTAGGACTAGTATAACACAAGCGATACAAGCTAACCTGCTTATGGCTAGCGTGGATTTGAATATTTTCCAATAAATACAGGCCTTCCTGCCGGACCTTGCTTGGTTTTCTTTTTCTTTCTTCATCATCAGTAGAGGTTTACATTAACTAATGTAAATTTTTATAACCATGGCTCCTCTACGGAGGCTTGCTGAGGATTATCCTTGCTCTCCCTGGATAGTCCTCCGTTCCCGGCCCTGCAGACGAAGAGTGTTTCTTATATATAACTTTGCTAGGGTTCCTTCAGGGAGCCTCATGCGCTGAGTTGTGGAGGAGGCACGACAAAAAACCAGAACATCTTCATTATTTTTACCCTGTCACGACTTTCCTCTTTATCTAGATAATTTTCTTACATAATGAAGTTTTATTTTGCACACCTTTTCACTTCGCTCCTTGTACCAAATTCATGTACAACTCTCTGCTATGTCTGCCTACAAGACGCTACGAATATGAAGCTCAGAAGTTGTGGGGCGTCAATATGGAGTTTTCCTTGTCGCTCCAAAAAAAACCGTTGACAAATCTTTGTGGAATTCTGCCCGAAGGCGGAATAAGGTGGATGCTGATTGGTGCTGGTCTAGAATACCGATTGTACGTATCTTATAGTTCTTCCTCTGCAACTGCCTCACTAATCTAACTTATCATCAAGGAACAGAGTAGTAAGTGCACTATTCAATCTCCCTGCCGCCGTTCTAAACTGTATACCTCCATGAATATCTTCATCTCGAAAATCGCTGATCAATCATGGCCCAAAACAGAGTCCGAAAAAAAGCCCGAACAAGAACATAAAGAAGAGAGTCACTTTCAATATACCGGTATCATCAAATTCCGGCGGGTCGCCTGCAATGTCTGGATCGTCTGTGTCGGGAAATTTTTCGGAGTCAGTCCAGGATACTGTGAAGCAGCAATGCGGAGATAATTGCTGGAATTGTGGGGCTCCAAACCCCCAGATCGCACACGTCTTTGGCAAGAAAGACAAACAGGTACCTTGATTCCTATATTTTTCAGCTGTTAAGGTGGTTGAAAATCTCTGATTATAGCTCATGACCTGGGATCGCGCTAGCCTGATTAATTTTGCACCTGGATCTGCGGCCAATGCAATTCCTCTATGCCCATCCTGTCACCACCAATACGATTGCATCTCATCACCTGGGCTAATCATCATGCCCGTCGATATCTAATACTTCATCGACTTCGAAGACCGGAACAAAAAAGAGCGCAAAAGTGGCAACCGGAATAGAGATGTACCAACCACTGAAGAATACACAAAGCATTGTCGTCTGAAGTATCCTCAATACTATTCGGAAATTGCTGCTGGGGGAGAAGAGGGTAAAGAAGAAGAGAGTGAAGAAGAGAGTGAAGAAGAGAGTGAAGAAGAGAGTGAAGAAGAGAGTGAAGAAGAGAGTGAAGAAGAGAGTGAAGAAGAGAGTGAAGAAGAGAGTGAAGAAGAGAGTGAAGAAGAAGAAGAGGGCGATGTCGCAAAACAGTACGGGCTCTACCAAAGAATCTTTTTGAAGGATTTCATCTCGCCATTCTTCGTGGATTCAGTAAAGACCGCCAAGTTGGAGCCTTTACAGTGGCCCGGAGCGCCAACTGCAACATTCCGACACTGATTTCAGGCAATACAAGATGCCACTTTTCTCCGGTTGCACCCAAAAGACGTTGAGAAACTCTTGAAGCTCTACAAATCCTATTTTGCGACAGAGGAAGACTCCGGCAATGGAGTCCTCGAAAATGTCAAGTCGCCTCCCGATAACAAGCGATCTGCCGCTGATGAAGAAGAAGAAATATCCCCTCACAAACGGGCCAAAGCAGAACGAGCTACGCCGAAACGGCACTATGGGAGCGGGGAAGTGTACATGTATGGGCCTAATTTCTCAACCCACGATATGATTCAAAGATGGGGTCGCTTGTGTCATTAATGGGCCAAGGTGGGTTTCATGGAGTTTCTGAGGGAGTTCAAATCAAGCCAGTCAAAGAAGTGGCAGGTGCCACAAATGGTGGTCTGCTGTTGCCCATCGCTCGATCAGAGTTCGTCTCTGTTCATCCCCTATTCGGCCTACAAATCTATCAGGGGCAATGCATTACTCAGGCCGCTGCGATCTAGCCTTGGGTGATGAGGTTGCAGGACTGCAGATAAGGCATAAGCTGTAGATGATGATTATAGATACAGTATCCTAGTATAGTTCGTATAATAGTTACTGGTTAATATAACAGCAATTCTTGTCATCACAAATAATGTTATGCTACTAGTCTATTTAAATATTCTCTGTCCTGATTTCTACAGCTTATGTTTCTGATTTTCTCTCGATCCTCGGATTCTTGCTCTATCAATTTCTCAATATGCCAACCAATCTCTCTCTTGAATACCTAGTCAGCCACAACTTTGAATCTCGAGAACACCTCCTAACTTCTCTACGCCAGCATGCAAAATCTCATAGCTATGGTATTATAATTGGTCGATCAAATCCAGGTAAAATATTAGGATTTGTTGAACTAGTGAAGGGTACATACTATGGAAATAGTACCTGACGGAAATGTTGTCCTTTTTTACTTTATGCGGAGAAGCCTATAGATTCAGATGAATGGGAACTATAGGTGCGGGATTCTAGTCATGATCATCCAATTCAAGATCATTCAGCATGACAGATTACACATGAACAACAACTTCCACCTGGAACAGGTGAGCCATCTACCCAGACTAGACCGCAGACTGGAGTATCTAGGCTTGCTGCGCAACCTGGAGCACAAATTGCTGGTATAGAAGATTATGTCCAGTTTATCTATGCAATAGATGCTTTAATAGCCGCTCATACGGATGCCGCTATCGCTCGATCAAAAGGGCGAGCTAGAGAAAGTAGAAAGACCGTGATGTCCAGATTTGGTTATGGTAGAAGAGGAGCTTGGCCGTTTCGAAGAACTAGACGAGATGGGGGAACAACTAGAAAATGTGGAGGAGCTGGGCTATCTCGAGCAGTTAGAAGAGCTAAGCCATCTGGAACGACTGGAAGAGGGGGAGGATGTGGAGGAACTGATTTATCTAGAACGATTGAGGGAGCTAGAGTAACGACTGGGGGCATCACTTACACTGAATGCCTCTGGCATCCACATGCTCTTGCCTGCTCGCTCTCTGCGATACAAGGCCCTTTCCACCGCCTATATCCGTGCCTGCTGCTCCCAATAGTAGAACGATGGATGAATTTATGTATTGTAACGGGCTGAAGCCCGGTAATGGATCATGGTGCCCATTATCCAAGTCTCAGCATGAACATAAGAGCGATACTCTTTCAGGCTCGACCACCACGTGGCTTTAGAACTTTTAATTGTCGATTCTATGATTCCTTTACTCTCCTGCAAAACTTTTAGAATGGAGTGAAAAATGATAAGGCCTAACAACTTCACTTAATACTGAATCATCAATACCTACCCTCATTCCCCGGGTTTACACTTGGGTACCAGATTACAAAGGAAACCTTTGAATAAGAAGAGCTCAAGCAGATAACAAGATTACAAGCTATAATCTGTCACTGATAAATCACTCATCATTGATTATAGTGTGTGCCTTCCAATCTGTTCTGTTCCTGCCAATTCCCTAGTAGCAACTCGCAGCTGAGCCACTAGGCAAAGCACCGCACGGAATAGTATTCGTGCAATCATAGCCGCAAGAATTTAGATCAATATAGCAACCATTGGATAGATATGCTATACCGCACTCTGATACGTCGTCAAGTGAAGTCATATTTTCGGCACTACATAACATTTATTAGCACGCAGAGCTGAGTAAAAACGTTTAACTACTATCAGGAGAGGTGCTTACGCTTGCTTTATTTCCGCTCCAGTCATGCCGACGGTGTAATCTTTGCAAGAAAAACTGGCAGCACAGCCATAGCCGGAGACAGAAGAATATACCATGCTCTCACTATGAACTGTCCACGTATATGAGGTCTTCGCGACATAAGTAAAATCGTCCACGTACTGGGCATAGGCTAATTTGCATGCTCCAGAAAGTGAGCTGCATTGACTGGAGCCTTGGTTATTACCCCATACTTGGGTCGGCCCTGATGAAGCAGATGTAGTCGTGGAGCCAGGAGTAGAGGTACTTGTGGTAATGGTAGAGGAAGTACTTGTAGTGGAAGCAGAGGCACTTGTGGTAGGAGTAAAGGAAGTACTTGTAGTGGAAGCAGAGGCACTTGTGGTAGGAGTAAAGGAAGTACTTGTAGTGGAAGCAGAGGTACTTGTGGTAGGAGTAGAGGAAGTACCAGTACTGGAAGAAGAGTAGACACTCGAGGTGTAAGTATTCCTGATGGTAGGGGTAGCAGTCGTGGTGGGAGTAGAGTAAGTCCACGTGAAAGTACTCTTGATAGAAGTGGTAGTACTTGGGGTGACAGGGGTGCTAGTTATAAGTGTTGATGAGGTGGAGATAGGATCTGATCCAGAAACAAAGGCTTGAGCGGCGTCAACGGTAAGCGCAATAGATGTTGTAATAGTGAAGCTAATCGAGATTATCGATGTTCCCGAGGCTGAGTCTGTTGCGGAATTTGTCGTAGCAGTTGAGTCTTCTGAGCTATCAGTAGTTTCTGAGATACTACTTGGTGATGGGAACATTGCTACCGTCAGCCAAGCTGGCACAGTGAGCGGAACGACCATAGTGGCAGCTGAGCTCACGAGAACTGGCGTTGCAATACCCCCAATGATCAAAGTGATCGGTAGCAAGGTGCCTACAGAGATAGAGGGCAATTGATCTTGCACATCTGCGGGAACATCCTCTTTTACAAAAGTCACCGATTGGGATGAATCATCAGGATTGGTCACAACGACTTCTTGTGAGCTGCTCGTTGGAGAAGGCTCTGCAATGGATATCGATGACAAAGTCACAGTATAGCTGGCAATAGATTCAGAGGCAATAGAGGCGGTTGAGGCTGATTGACCGACTACAACTGGTAGTGCTGAAGAAGAGACTGTATCGATTCCAGTGGATTTAATACCAGCAGAGCTTGAGATAGCACGCCGGTGCAGATAGTTCACATTTTTTGCACCAGTCAATGTAGCTTGTAGCAAAATAAGGCTAGTGATGAAGTAATTTCGACACATCTTATGTTGAAATGTTCGTAAAACAGTTGTTGAGGATACTCGAGAGAAGAATACTCTGGAATAATCTTTTATTTACTTAGGTAAATCTCTCAACGTCCATTTGCAAGGATGGCGTGGTGCTTTCTAGTTCTAAATGTGGATAATAAGCCCACATGTTTCATATTTTACTGTTTACGAAGTAACTTAGCATACCCCATAATCCTATTCTAGACACAAGTATCAGACAAAAGCACGTATTTTGCAGGGTTTGTGCCCAGGTGGATCTTCTCACTTTTGCACCATTATATTGTGAAACAAGCTTCCCAATATCATCCCTGTAGAATAAAATGAAGGATGTCATGGTGAATTAAGCTAGAAACCAATGAAGCTATAATCTGCAAAGGTAGATCAGAAATGTGCAGGTTTAGGAAGGTGCTCAAGCGGTCTTTTTTCAAGGCTCCCTAAAAAAAGCTTACCAACTTACGACCTACAGGTTTTCTCCACAATTAGTAGACTAGCAGAGTAATTCTCGATTCCACATGTTGCTAATATCTACTTAGCTTGTCTTTCCAAGATGCTTTTCAACCTATCTTCCATCAGGTCATATCGCGGTGCGTAAAGTCAGTACCATGATCTACTCTCTTTTATTGCTGTCTTTTGGCAGCTTCGTTTCTTCATATCCCTTCAATGAAATAAGGAATTTGAACCCCCCACTACGACGCTCTGACGGAGTTGGATATGGATACATTCCCGCTGCCGACTGTAGCTCTCCATGCGAAGTCTACTTCAATGCAGTCACGACCACTTTGACTATCTCGGCACCAGCACAGACCGTTACAGTTAGCGGTGCTGTGAGCAATCCCGTTACGGTCACTTATTCCCCTGTCACGACAGTCACAACAATCCAGCCCTCAGTTCAGACTCTAACTCTTTACGGCGCCGAGTCAAACTACGTAATCCCACCGACCAATATTGGCTCAGTGAGTCTGCACGCTGAGGGTACTGTTGAAATGATAACAGAAGGTCTTGCGGCCATGCACATCTCTTTTGAATCAGAGGTATTGCTGGTTACGGAAGATAATCCCGAGGTCACATACCGGCCTATGAACCCATATAAGCTGCAGAATAATTGTGCTTATGTTACTATGGCTCATTTGTCAAACATGAGCTTATTTGAGTTTTTGGGTGCAAATGAGCTGATGCAAGACGTAAATGGTATTTCAAGCAATCAGATACGTGGTATTTTGGAAGGTTTACCAAACTACACCTGGGCGTACGTATTGATAGACGATTCTCCCTGAAAGTGGAATGATATCTGATAATATTTATTTAGTTTTCAGGACTTTAATGAGGGTGATACTCTTGATAATATCAGAGGCAGCATGATGAATCCTCCAGAAGGAATGGGAGTTTGCTATCAACGCAATAAGGGTACTGGACATTGTGTCGTTTACAAGGGGGGTTTATTTTATGACTACCAAGCCGAAGATAACCCCCTTGGAACAAGAACGGACGCTGGTGATGATATTGAGAAGATGATGTTCCCACGTCAGGTCAACGGGGTCTGGGTAGCTGGTCTTGCTTTTGCTATAGCGCCCCGGGAGTAACATGCGATTTTTCAGTAGGCAGGAGAGGAGTGCTGGAGATCTTTCTTGGCCGGTTTTGTTTTTGATTACTGTCTTTATTTTGTGCCTTCCCTCTTGCAACATATGAAAAGGAACTAAAACAAAAAAAAAGAACATACAACTATGTTAGAAAAAGGCTCGGCAGCAAGGTTCTGAACTTGTTTATCTTCCATATTGTTGATCACCTGGCTTGTGAGAATACTACCTAGAGGTCTAAGCAGACCCCTGAAAGCAGGAACTGTTTCAATTTCTAGTCACAGCGCTCAATGTATATTCCAGAAACTAAAACCAATCAGGTTGCGTCCAGAGAGATTGAATAGAACGAAAGTCCACATAATCCTGGATGGTCTAAGATAAGCGTCGGTATACCAAATCCTCTAGTGGAGGGGTCCCAGGGTGCTTAAGCTCACCCAATCACTCACTCTCACTCAAATACAAAAAGCAGAGGTGAAAATGAAAAACCAAAAACATACAACAGTCAGGATTCGCATGTGGTCACCCACCATACTACTAACTGACCGGCGTGTGGCTTAAGTACGGCTGAGCGGACGGGAAGCCCTGTTCTCCACACCCTGTGGTCGTATGTGGTAGTGAATGAGTGTTCACGATTTATATTACCTAGGTAGAGAGGTCATTATGGTGAGCGCTGCTTAAGCATCGCGCGACCACACCGGTCAGTTAGTAGTATGATGGGTGACCATATGCGTATCCTGACTGTTGTATGTTTTTATTTTTATGGCCTTTGTTTGGAAGAAATATCAAGCCTATTTCCTCAAAACAATGTTTAAGTCCCTCGCGAGCATCGTGCTACTTTACTTCTCTCAGTTATCTACATCAAATATACTTATGGCGACTTGCGAAGATTGATTGATATGTTAAGCATTCAAAAAAGAATTTTCAAGCAAAAGGAATGAAGAGATGATCATGTGAAAAAAGATCAGCCCAAGAAACTGACGATAGATTCAAAATGTCAAAACCTCGACACCGCGGGAATTCAAAGAGAAGCGGTGAGGGCATTGATTAGTAGCGACGGGGAGGAGGCGGATAGCCACCGGTTGGTTGTTGCGGCGACGGTCCGCCATATCCATAGCCCTGCTGCGGTGGCTGCTGTCCATACTGGCCATACTGACCAGGAGCCTGCTGTTGAGGAGGACCGGCCTGCCATCCAGGCTGGGCGTTATAACCAGCGCCGGGGCCAGGGGCAGAGCCACCAGGAGGCGGCTGGTTATAACCGCCGTAGGGTGCAGACGGAGGCGGGGCACCCCCGGCACGACCGGCAGCTTTCTCGTCCTTGGTGTCATACGACGAGTCGATGGATCCAAGCATCAGCTTAGCGCACCAAAGTTCACGAGTCAGATCGACGGGCGGGATAGCTCGGGCCATCTCATCCTGCTCAACCTCGAAGTCTAGGATTATTTTGTTAGTCTTTTCATATGGTAATAGAAAGTAGAGCAAACTCACTAGAGGTGCAGTCAATCAGACCGCCGATCTGGGGATCCTCGTCCAATTCACCCAGGAAGTCACGAGCCCGCTGGTCATTTCCAACTTGAGAGAACTGGAACGAAACGGCGCCACGGCCATATCGGGTACGAGATACCTCGTCGATAGCGTGGCGGATCGCATTACCAACTGCGCTGTGAGCTTCACCGGCTGGCTGACCATCAGTGATGGTGATCACCAAAACTGGCTTCTCGAGACGGTTGGCTCGGGCAGGTGCAACGACCAGAGGATCGATGACCTTGTTTTTCAAACCGGTGCCAAGGGGGGTAAGTCCGGAGAAACGAACGCGGGAAACTAGATTGTTAACGTCGTTTGCGTTGCGGATGCCATCACCCTGTTCAGAAGAGTTCATGAATCGCACAGAGATTCCATCCTCATCAAAGGTAGACGCAGCGGAGGCCACGATACCCAGAATCTGTCGCAGTTGGTCCTTTCGGAGACCCTTCTCTTCAAATTCAATAGAGCCACTGTCATCTACATAAAGAATGACATCATACAGAGCCAGCTTCATGACATCAGTAGCAACTTCCATGGGCACACGCCACTCGTTAATCAGTCGATCAAGCTTGCCTGGCGCATCCCGGGAGAGCGACTGAACGAGGCGCTCCAGGCGATCAGGTGGGTAGAAACTCTCGAGGCTCTTTTCTTGGATGGCGCTGACTAGGAGCCGGCGGTAAGCGTCAACCATCTGTGGGGTGGTTGCTTGAGGTGGGGGTGCGCCACCGGGTGCTCCGTACTGTCCAGGGGGTCCAGGAGAAGGTCCCGGGCGGCCCTGTGCACCACCTGGTGCACCATACTGTCCAGGAGGGGCTCCGTATTGTCCAGCAGGAGGGCCAGGTGAAGGTCCTGGACGGCCCTGTGCACCAGGTGCTCCATATTGAGCAGGAGGAGCTCCATACTGCCCAGCAGGGGCAGCAGGGGCAGCAAGCGACGGTCCACCATGAGCTCCGGGATACGGTGCATTCTGGGACGGGTACTGTCCTTGGTTCTGTTCATTCGTTAGCATTTTTTTCTAACATAATGAATATTTAACAAAGATGACGAATGTATCGAAATACAGAGCGACGCATATGAAGAAAGTAATCGGGATAACATGTGGGCATTTGTACATATGACGGTTGTCCAGAGTAGGAAGGTTGTGGGCTTTGGTATTGTTGTGGGCTTTGGTATTGTTGTTGACTTTGATATGGCTGGCCTTGGTATGGCTGGTACCCAGGCGCCGGCGATCCATAAGGCTGAGGCTGTCCTTGAGGTGGTGGCGGGGGTGGACGTGCGTAACCTTGTTGAGCAATAGCGGGACTTTGCACAGGCGGAGGGACACTGCCCCTATGGTATGCATTGACTGTAGATGCGCTGTTGTATGGCTGATAATTTTGCTGAGGTGGGCCGCCGTATTGGCGGTATGGATCAGACATGACGATGGTTGGACGATGGATGGACAGTTTGAAATCAAAGCCGAGGACCGTTGGAAAAGAGGGGGGAAAAGAAAGAACAAATGACAGAAGGAGGGGCAATTGAGGGGGAAAAAAGAAAAGGAAAAAAAGCAAGGAAAAAAGGAAAAAAAAAAAATATATCACGCTTACCGGTCCCTGAGAAGGCGGGGGAGATCCTGGATACGCCTGATACTGTTGTTGTGGTTGCGATGGCTGCGATGGCTGCGACGGCTGCGATGGCTGCGACGGCTGCGATGGCTGTAAGGTGGGAAATGTCAGTAAGGCAAAATGACGTCTTGCTAACCAGGCAACTGAATAGACTTACGTATCCACCTGGACGTAATGCTGCAGGTGTCGGAGCTCCTGGAGGTCCTCCAGTGTAGCCAGTTGGCGGAGCCCCTCCATATGTGCCCGGGTTCTTTGCCATATTGTTCTGGCTAGCGGCTATCTTCGACGCAAACTGTTGGTTGATGAGAGAGATGTAGCTGGGTTTGGAAGTGATTAGCTACTTACACCCATTCTGTAATCCAAGGGTTTGATAGGGAAAGGTAAGAGTTAAGTGAGAAGTAAGGCTGAGGGGAATGATGACGACAAGGCATGAACTGGCGCCACGCCTGATTCGGAAGTATTCGGCTTACCTTGGGAATGATTTGGATGTGGAGTACACAGCCAAGGAAGTACAGTCATACGAGGTTCAAAGCGGAGTGTCAAAATCTGGAAGCACAAAAATACAGTAGTCAGCATAAAAGAAGCACAAAAATAGTATGTACTAATGACCCTTCGAACAAGCTCAATATTCTAGAGAAAACGTGGTCAATTGCTTGCATCAAGCTTGAAACAAGCTGTCGATTTACTAAGCCAGTATAGGCTTAGTCATTAATGCTAATGTATCCACCTTCATCTAGAACAATTGTACCTTAATATTCATCCTCGGAGTAAGAGGTGCCCAAGATCAAATGAGCCCAAAGTGACCGGAATTTGAATGCAGAAGGAGATTTATTCCAATATTTACTTAGGAATAGCTTCCAGGTCATTTTACTTCACTTAGGAATGAAGTATTGACTTGGCAGTCAACATCTAAATGCAAAAGTACTATGTAGCTTGGGGGCCAGCAACGTCCACTAAAGTCTAGACACCTAACTAGCTAAGTAAGTAAAACAACTTGGTCATTCCTTTGATCAATCACAATTCATACTATCTAGTGAATAGGCCTCATGATGTGTCCTCAGAGCTCTGTAGCTCAACATTCTATGATACAAACATGTGAAAAAAAAACCCTAAACCGGCCAATAACAGGTGTACCTCGATATGTGGCCCTGTTCGGAACCGTTGGAAAGCGGAAGTTTATGGGTACTCCTGAAATGCATGATATTCCCATGGCACTTTGAAACATTCCTGTCATCTGCCTAGGTACGCAGGATCTCTCATAGCCCATTATCTTGGCAGTTCGGCATTTCATCCCCGCTGGGAATAGTGCTAGCTGTGCTCCTCGCTATAAAATGTACTTCTATACCCCCCTGAAATTGAAGACGAAAAGTTTCTCCAAGTTTCTCATCATGTCCGAAGTTCTGCGTTCGGCATTTGCACACCAAAAGCGGCCGCTTTTGTCCTATGGCATTCAGTTCCCTGCTGCTGCCGCTAGACATGTCGCGGACACCTTTGATGCATCAAGGGTCTATATCTTATGCTCGGGCTCACTAGCGCGTAATACAGATGCTCTTGACAGGCTAATTGCCGCTTTGGGCCCGGAGAAAGTGGCCGGTAAGCGCATTGGCATGAAACCACACACTCTATGGTCAGAAGTACTAGAGATTGTGGCCGATGCACGCAAAGTACAGGCAGACTTGATTTTAACATTGGGCGCGGGAACTTTGACAGATGCAGCCAAGATCATAGCCTTGGTAAGTACTTCCTTATGATTGATGACACGGGACGATCTCGCTGACAGTTTCTTAGGCACTGGCCAACGAGGTGAAGACGTATAAAGAGCTTGAACGTATCTCCGAGGGCCCAAATCGACTACTCAATATCGGCGGATCAACCATCCCTATCATCTCTGTGCCGACTTCATTATCTGCCGGGGAGTATACTGACTGGGCTGGTGGCACCGAAGACCACTCACATCGAAAGTACATGTTTGGGCCTCCTCTGCTCGGGCCCGAGCTTGTGATTCTGGATCCGGAGCTAGCAGAAGCCACACCGGACTGCATCTGGCTTAGCACCGGTATGCGTTCCGTTGACCACATTGTCGAAATGCTTTGTGCAACTGTACCCAAGACTCCCGAGTCAGAAAAGCTCGCACAGGATGCACTGCTTGGTCTGGTATCTGGCTTGTTGCGATGCAAAAAAAACCGCGCAGACCGGGAAGCTCATCTGCAGTGTCAACTCGGCTCTGTCGATGCCATCGCAGCTTGTATGAGCATATCACTTGCTCTAGGTGCGAGTCATGGAATTGGTCATCAGGTATGTCTGAGAGATCCATCTAGGCAGACTATACTAACAAGCTACTAGCTCGGTCCTTTGGGTGTCGGCCATGGTGAAACCAGTTGTATTCTCCTACCAGCAGTCTGCAAGTTCAACGCCCTGCACAGCGCAAACAGAGAGACCCAAGCGCGTGTCTGTGAGGTTTTGACCAAGGATCCTATCATCTCCCAGGTCCTGTGCGAGCGCTCTGTCGACGCAGCTAGCGCTGACCTCGGCGACATTTTGGACGCAATTATCCGAGAGCTAGGCATGCCTCGCACTCTGGCGGATGTACATGTGGGACGGGATAAACTTGATATCTTGGCTGTGAATGCACTGCAGGATCTCATGTGCCAGTCTAACCCGGTACCACTTACACAGAAGGAGCAGGTTCTACAGATTCTGGAGATGGTTGTTGTGTAGCGAGAAGTTTTTAAGATTCATAGATTTGATAAAGGGAAAATTTCAATTAAAGCTTTGCCATATGAAGATTTTTGGATGCTCTTCGGTGAAGGCAAGCACCCAATTTTCGGACTCTGCTGCTCATAAAACTATCGCCACACCTGTCAAGCCAAGTATTTCAATACTGGCTCGACCGCTGTCATATAATCTCCACTTCCAACAGATATGGTCTGTATGATACTGGAGGCTCTCGCCATGGCATACGAGCTTTCCGTTGGATCTTTTATCTCTTTGGCTTCCATGGTGCGGTTCGAAATTTCCTTGAAGCCAAGGCACTCGACGAGCAGCGCCATATTTGGCATTAAAGGATCAGGCCAGCTCTGATTTCCAATCTGGTCTATAGGCTAATTGTGAGCAAGGAGAGATTTTTATGGTCAGCTCTTGGTGTCCCTAAACATCAACTCACCATGATTGAAAATGACTATGTCGAGAGTCAACCCGTCGGTGGGCCCACCAAAGCTGACCGTAAAACTCGTTCGCGCGTCATCTGGCGCTACATGGTGAGCACCCTCGATCTAGTGGTCGAGAAGACCCAGATCAGCTTCAGCAATCCGTATTATTATATATGTATGGCCGGCAAATCCACCCGCCAGTGCCATCCGGAGTATCTCTCACGTAAGGCATATGTCAATCTCTCATAGCTAGGTGCGCTGGATAGCATATAAATTCACACAGATGAGATCGACGAAGTTGTAAGCCATATGGACTCTAATAGACTCACCGTCGTTGTCATTATGGCTAGTATAGACTGGTTTGACCTAAATGGTGTCGCCGCCGTAACCCAGATTACTAAACTGAACCGTATACTGAAGATGGGTGGCTATGTACTACTTCGCTCTTCGGCACTACGCCCCTGGTATATCGATATTCTCGAAGCCTATGGCCTTTCCTCTAAGTAAATAGGCTCTAGAATAGATTGCGTATGCATTGATCGAGTCAATATGTATGCATCATGCTGGCTCTGCACTAAGATAGAGAATCTACCCTTGTTGACGCCCGAGCCCGAGATGGAATATATAGATGTCCCTGATAATAACTGTTTGTCTCTATAGATATCTGAATGAACTACTCAGGAGAGAGAAGAATAATCAGGAAAATGATATCATGGATGCGTAGAGAGAGAAGAGAGAAGAAGAGAGAAGGGAGAGAGGAAGTGAACTATGAAGGAGCGAACTACTAAAGTGGGGTAAGTGGGGCAAACGCCCTAAATACCCTATTCTACTAACACAAGCTAATACGATTCTAGCTACCTTAACAAACGCGCTATCTATATTAATCTTAAGGATATCAAGGAAGATAGGTTCCTATTCTTTACCGAGGGCAAGAACTGCGGAAAAATATACTACTCTTTAGTCTTCTTCTATAGCTATATCTTAGTTATATTAAAGGTTAAAGGTACCCCTTTGATGAATAGATGGAATATAGCATTAATAAAGCGAAGAAAATTCATCCGGGGTTAACTCCTGGCCGCTATCCAGGTACTTTGCTTATTTAAGGTGGTCCTTTTAGATTATGGCCCGTATAATAATCTCTATCACGACGAAGAATAGAATCCGACCGTCTGCCTCGTTGATTTTGAGTATGTGTATCAATTCACCGACCGTGACGATCCTAAGGATATGCCGGTCCAACCGGAAATTCATTCGGTGTTTAGAAACTTCAAGGATGATGACACCGACTTCGATAGCGATGAAGTGGAGGATGCGGATGAGAGGGAGAATGATGAGAACGAGGATCAGTAGATTTTTTTTCTATAAATTTCACGAATTCTATAGTTTTTGTGTTATGAAGTTTATGAATTTCTATCACTAAACGGAAAAATGCAACCAGGAAGAAGCATAGGAGCCCGGCTCCAGTGGATAACATGATCGACCGGTCTAGGTGCCCTAACTCCTTCCCCTACAGAATCGTGACCCCCTTCAGCCAGCCGACTCTTCCTCCTCTCTATGACACTATGGATACAGCCCGCTGAGCCCGGCCTTCTTCAGCCAAGTGTTGCACATCCTGTCGATGCCCATCTGATATCAACTGTCAGCGTGCTCTGTCCAACTTAAAAACAAAGCTTACCTTGGCTTGACCAGGACTCTTCATTCTCAGCAGCAACCCTCATGAAATCGTCTTCGGTCAGCATGTCGATTCTCTTGAGCTTCTAATCTTTCTTGGTGATTGCTGCCTCGAGATTTGTAATTTTTTTGGTCATCTCCTCGATGGTGGCTGATTTCTCCGAGAGCAAGCCTCTGAGGCCTTGCTCTCTACTAAGTGAATATGCATATTCGTAGGTTGATGTAATTTTGATTGAAATTTGGGATGATAGAGCGATACAATAAAACATTCTGCCGTAAAATACGTTATCTGTTTACTGTTTTGTTTCCAAGTGACGTCATCGGCATCCGTAATTATTTAGTAAGAAATTATTAGTTAAATAGTAAATATATTTTACCGGCTTCTATCTTTCTCTTCATCATTCTCTCCTCTCGTCAATTTCTTTATGCCAAGTATTGAACAAGCTGTCATTCATTCGAGTAGCTTTTCTATTTCAGTCTACGCAAAAGATCTACGTAAAAGACCTTACTTTAACCTTCCTAAAAGGCTAGTCGTGCAGCACATCTGCGTTTCTTTCTCTTAACCGCGTCGAACCTTCCCCTTGCAAGATCAACCCTCAACACATCGACTCGACCATGTCTAGTTCATCGAGAGTACCCATATCTTTTGGCCCCCGGAACATTCAAATCTTTAACGGTATGACTGGAAATCATATCGGTGGTCTCTTTCAAGCAGGCTCGATTACCAATGGAAACTTTCTCTCGATGCTTGGTATTTTGATTATTACAGAGGTGCCTTTTACAGTCTCATCAAGATTAACGGGGCAAAATATTCAACCTGATAACCAGATACTGAGTCTCGGTGACTACGATATTCATGTCACGCCAGTTACTCAAACCATCACAGTTAATAACGAGCCTATCTTCCGACGAATTATTTCCCACAATGTGACTGGCAGAGAGGAGTGTTTCACAGAAGATGTCCGTCTTCGTGATAAGATTTGTTGTTTTTCTGGCGACGCGGTACTGACATGGCAGTATGATATGTGGGAGGGGTGGGAAGCTGCACACATCTTTCCCGTTGCAAAAGGATCTTTGTGGAATCAATGGGGCTTTGGTCGATGGATCACGAACGGAGCAACTGGTAGACACCTCAATTCAATCAATTCAATACAGAATGGGTTTTTGATTGGCTCTACACTTCACAAGATTTTCGACCATTTTCGTGTATCCGCCAACCCTGATGACGGTTATAAAATTACGACTTTTATACCTTTGACCAGACCTATCGATGGGCGGATTTTGGAACTAGTCTGCCGCGATCCTAATGACCCAAATCGCATATCGGATAATCTTCTTCGATGGCACTTCCGTCAGTCCATCCTAGTCAATATGAGAGGGGCCGGTGAGCCCAGTTGGGACGATGACTTTCCTCCCGGTAGAGATGTAATGAGAGTCATTCGTTCTGGCCCACTACCGGAGGAACGAATGGAAGCTGAGCTCTGGGACCGACTGGCAATGCTAGAGATTCGTCAAGACGAAGAGGATTGGCAGGGTGAGACGAGGAGCACCGAAATTCAACAGGTCGAGGATGATGAAGAATGCTCACAGGATGAAACAAGCAGCATTGACTCGGAGGCCATCGGTTGGTGAGAATTCAGGCTTGTATTTTTATTAGGCTTATATTGTTGTTGTTGTTTATATCATTAGATTTGTATTCTTAGTACAAGTATAACTAACAGAGTACCTAGGTACTGGATGTACTGCACTTTAGATCTGATTCCCATGCTCAATGACTTGATGTACTTGCATTGATGAGTATACTCTCGGGGCCGATAAACGAGACTGCACTCCGAGCGAGAAGCGACATACCTCTTTGAATAGTGGACCAGTTATGTGTATTGAAATCTAGATTCTGCATGATGATTTCGATAAAGCCAAGGTCAAACTGATTCGTCTGACTGGTCATCAACTCCACGAAATCGATCACCTCATGTGGCTATACGGCGATTAGATGGAGATATATTTTTGGGCCTAAAATGCTTGGGAAACACAGCAATCTCAGGCCAACATTCAACTTTGTGTGTAATATCAGTATAAACCGAACTGAAGAGATACACTAACCGGGCCTTACATACGTTACATAAATTACACTTAATTTCAGACCCTCACTACACGAGGGTCCGCCACCCAAATGGACTATTTTTCTAAATTCCTACAACCACCACATTTTTAACCACCACTCCACTAAATATATAATTTTTTTATATAAATATAGTATGAATTAGAGACTAAATTATAGTTAAACCCAAAAAGAATTATTCTTTAAGCTTTTTTTTCAACCTTCCATGCTTCCTAATCTCAACCAATACCTCTTCCACTTCCGTCGTATCTTATCTTGATGAGCTTTTTCATTAAGTGTCGATCAACTACGTTGAAAGGACAGGGTTCACACGCTGCACTATATACACTGGAAAAGGGTATGGTTCGTCCTAGATTCTTAGTATATACGTTGTGCAAAGTGGTGTGAAATGTGTTCGATTCATGTAGCTACTTGAGTTCCTAATATAGTTGTTCCCCCGTGACTCGGGGGTCTGTTTGTTCCGTTCCTGCGAAGGGCTAATACTAATCTTGAATGCAGAACTAGTGATGCCGACAAACTGTCTTTATTAAGCTTGAAGAGAAGAGAGAGAGAGACTAGCTATGGACATGTGGCAATATAAGGGATGCGGGTGCGGGTGGCACGTGACGAGCATGAGTGGCACAGGCATGAATGCTAAAGCAGGCACCAGCCTGTTACAGTTCCGGGTTTATGGTATTGCACGATTGCAATATCCATGTTCCGACATTAAGCTTATACTTTTTTAGCTTCATATCTTTGACCTGATCAGAAGTAATGGTACCTGTGGTCCTTGTGTAATGATGAGAAGCACTATATCGGGCGTGGCGTGCTGCCATGATAGCTTTTGTGTTGTCAAATCTCCGCTATAATTCTATGGCTAGAGTAGCCTGAGCCTCTAAGCAGGTAATAGATTCGCGATTGGTGACAGGACGATTGAATGACTTCTTTGGCTCTCTTGTAATGATCTATTGGTCTCTTCTAACATTAATCTGGAAGCTAGTCTCGTCAAAGTTATAGATATCCTGTTGACAAATACTATATTCTATGATTACACGCTCATTGTTACGGGATGAATGCAGGAATTTGTACGCTGTAAAGATCCGATTGGTAAACAAGAAGAATTAACTAAGGGAGGGAAAGGGGTCCTGGGGACCGGGTGTTCTTATAGCTCGTTCGGCTCCGCACAGATGCCAGGAGCGCAGTCTCTCCAGAGAGTGAGCATTTCATCGGGTATCAACCCGTTACACCTAGTCTATAGGCTGTGCTCTCTATTTTCTTCCAGGCTTCTATACTGGTAAGTGATTTCCGAGGAAGCCGTCGTTTAGTGCGTTAGACCATGATGTGAAGAGATAGAGATAAGATAGAGATACGAAAAAGATGTGGAGGATAGATAGAGGGAGAGATAGGTATTCTAAGGCGAAGTACGATGAGGTATGGTGAAGTGGCAAGCTCCTTATACCAGAGCCAGCCACATGGCCTGAGCAGAAAACTTCATAATATGTATCAGACTTCTTCTAAATTTACGATTAAGGGTTCATACTTCCTATGTGAAGTAGCTAAACGCTTCTATTATATCTGACTCTGTGCGCAGAAAAATCAACCTCGGCGCTAGATTCGCTATAATGATTTGTTAGTGGTGTGCGTATCATGGCGCCTATGTCTGCTATAAATTAGTTAGAGCTACTATTTAACATAAAATGTTCGGTCCTATACGGGGCGATTACCACTGATTCTAGCTAGAAGTGTGCTTCAGGCCAACTCGAGGCATTACCCAGTGGTCTTCCAGAATCCAAGAAAACATGCAGTAATCATTCATTGCCTTAATAAGTGGCTATGTGCAGATAATAAGGCAGCAGTGTTTCAGAAGGGATGATAATATCCAATAGTCTTTAAATATTCAAGGATCAGTACAGTAGTCATGCATTAGCTTAGTCTCACTGTTGCGACAGCCGAGAAACAAGGCCATCAACAGACGGAAAGTATTTCGGCCGAAAAAGCTTCTGCCAAGACAGTGACTCTGGAACTAGATTAGTATATCACGGTATCCTTGAACGATATGCATTCATCGCAAACGACACCCTTGAGCGATGTGCATCCGCGACAGTAATATCCCGTCTTCACCGTCTCTTCTGTCTCGGACGAATGTTGACATTTGTCCAGGGCAGAGGGGCACCCATATACTATAAGTAGCTAGTTCTTTCATCAATGAAAAAGCAGACTTCACAACAATCGCAATATTCAGTATCGTAGCATCCACTACACCCAGTGGATTTTCTACGGTGTTGAGTAGCGGTTCGTTGGAGCTCACTGTTCTCAGTGACGAGCGACTAGCTAGCTACGCTCGCTAAGCGAGCGACACTCACCCAATCTCACCCTAGCTCACCCTAGCTCACCCGATTCTGACCCTGTTTATTGTGTACTCACCTTGCTCACCCCCGGTCGCGCGACGCTAAAGCAGCGCTCACCTATTGCTCACCCAGGCGACACCCACCCGACTATTTCCGCGTTTACAGCCACACGCCGGTCAGTTAGTAGTATGCTGGGTGACCACATGCGAATCCTGACTGTTGTATGTTTTTCTTTTCTTTTTTTCACATTTGAATGAGAGTGAGTGATTGGGTGAGCTTAAGCACCCTGGAACTCGTGCATTGGAAAGGCCCATCCGCAGTTGTATCGCTTGTCGGTCTCGCAAGATAAAGTGCGACCGCCAAGTACCATGCGCCAGCTGTTCTCGATCCAATCTGGAACGTGTCGGTTCACGGGGATCTCGATGCACTATTACTACTACGTTGTACGTGTAATAAGTTATGCGGTAAGATGTGTGTCCATTCTAAGTTCCCGCGATGGAATAGGATATGCCCCAATTCCACTAGTTCTATTCACTTCCCGAGTTCATTCACTGCAGTAAACCAGATTCCATTGGTTCTAACAGAATGTGTTTATCCTGCTGGACAAGGAAGAGCTCCCAACCTCGTCGAGAGTTCGATCAACGTGTGCTTAATCAACTAGCGCATCTCGAAGCCCTTGTTAGGCACCTTGACATGGAATCTCATCTGTTAAAGGATCCAGAATCAAAGGATGGGTTGAATCAAGTTAAACGCCAGTACGGTCGGCTTGTAGTAGATGAAGGTTGTAGCTGCTATGTGAGCAATATTCTATTGGCCAGCTTAGGTGACGAGGTAAAATTATCACTCGCTTTTGCCATTTAGTAGTTGCTGAATGGTTTATACAAATTGAAGAGCTTCGCGATTTCCTAGATCAGCCTGTATGAGACGAAGAGGATTCCACTGACTCTATAGCATCAAATAATTCATATTTTTTGCCATCTTTTGGTTCGAGCGCCGCCATCATGGGGCTTGAAGTGAAGGTTCCATCTCTTCTCACCTACCATCCAACACTCTCAGTCTATAGCCTTGTTTGAGATATTTTTTTAAAAAAAAAGGGTTGCTCCTTTGGTGCATATTTTTCATCGGCCAACATTGGCCACTTACTACTGAGATGCTATATCGTCACTATCGCTAGAGTCCTTGGATCGGAATACAGAAACCCTGCTGTTTGCCATCCACTATTCCACGGTCATCAGTATAGATTCAAAACACTGCGAACTTGTGCTTGGAACTACACGAGCAACAGCCGTCAAGCATTATTAATTTGCCATGGAATAAGCGATAGCCAAGCCGATCTTCTTAACATTCAAAATGTAGTTCTACTATAAGCAGTAGTCTTGTTCTTATCGGCCCTACAAGATAAAGATTCTTCCCGCACGGCTCGGTCAATGACAGCGCTCATCTTCCATATCGCACAAGCTATGGGTTTGCATCGAGACAGAGGTCCCTTTAGTCTCAGAATTCTTGAAATAGAGATACGTCGGCGTCTCTGGTGGCATATATGCCTACTAGATATACGGTCTGCAGAGTATCACGGGTGTGAGCTTATTATCCAAGAATATAAATTTGATACCCGCATGCCCCTCAACATCAACGATAGTGATCTTAAAGCCGATATGATAATACCACCCACCGAATGAGAAGGGGCTACTGAGATGACTTTCTGTTTGATCCGCTGCGAAATTATGCGGATAGTGTGGAAGACTGGCTATGTCACTTAGCAACTTGGCCAATTAATTAGGCAAAGGTCCTTTTCTCTCTGACCAGGTAGCTTTGGTGAAGGACTTACAGAAGAGACTAGAAGACGGATATATCAGACATTGTGGTATTACTGATCCGTTCTATAAGGCCTATGTGACTGTGGCTAGGATCTTTATTGCTCGTACATGGCTAGTGATCTACTATCCAATTACCAACAGGGACGATTGCACTATTAGTTTTCAGGACCAACTTTTTGAAACATTGATCAAAGTGCTTAAGCTGTCTGATATATTACTCAAGAGTCCTGACCTTTCACAATGAACATAGAATTCAAAGACACATGTTTAATGGCATGCGGTGGCTTTTATCCTATTCAAGATTTGTTCACGACCTCCGTCGGGAGATTGTGATAGGGCCTGGGGATATATACAGACCGTCTATAATCAATGGAAGATGAAGGAGCATAAAGGTAGTCTTTGGCGACCTATAAATTGGCTAATGACCAAAGCAAAATACGTGCGCGAGATGCAAAAAAGCAATTTGGTTCTCAAACCAGACTTGTAAGCTGGCGATATGTCCAAGAAATCTTCTAATTCCTCCTCACCTACTCATTCTCAGCTCCCTGATTTTACAGGGGATTTTGCAATGACATCCGAGGTCATAGGCTGTTATATCTCATGAGCCACTGGTCTGAATGGTAACTTATCCATGGAGATTGCTCCGTTGATTGAGGAATTTTCTCGGAACTGCATATATTGTTCCATTCCAGATACTCCAACTGTCGTAAGATATGGGTGACTTCCTTTACACGTGTATTCGTAAGAACTGCAGTTGTAGAGATGATGTGAAGTGTAGATTCTACTACTGCTAACTGAAACTAAAGAAGACCTCTGTCCCACTCATTTGGGAGGCTGTGTCCAATGGGAGTCGCTGGTGGAATCATTCAATCAGAAAGGATGATTCCGACTTCCCATATTCGGACACCAACCCCTGCTGACATCGATTATATTCTCAGAAATTGGATGGCAAGTTCTTATGATTAAAAAAGAATCTAGCTTAAAGCTGGGCTTGATAGGTATAGCTTGATAATTCAAAAATTTGGATAAATAATCTTCTGGTAGTAGAGAAAAGTTCAGGAATCCATGGATCGTGGTCTATCGTCTGGATACTGAGCATCTTAGAAGTACCTCTACCTAGCCGATTAGCATTCCAAGGTTAAAAGCTCTATATTTAGAACTATAGATTGTGATATCCGTAAAACAATGCAACATTTGGATGCTGCTCGTATATTACGGCAAAGTAGTACCTGAATATGCTCAAAATCAAAGTTTCCACGTTTCAGCACCTTGCGCTCCAAACTGTTAATATTTAAGCGTATAGGAAATCATCTCGTCTCTTAATTGAACAAATTAAAGGAGTTCGATGCCAAGCCACAGTACCCTTCTGATTACTCTGCCAAGTGAGTGATTGTGAGCCCACATCGATATCAAAATTCCAGACTAGCTTGGTGATAATGATTTGTGACTCAGTCGTTATCAATTTAACTATATTGTGAATAAAATCCGGACATCTCATCAACAATTGAGCACTCACTTGATCCCCAGGTATGTCCTTGGCCCGTAGCTAAAGGGTTCAACAACGTCTAATCGATCATTGAAAAATGGCGAGCTATGCGTCTCGAGTAGCCATCTGTCAGGTACAAAGTCATCTGGCCAGTTGAAATTAGAATGGGAATGATAAGCGGCATGTTGGTGGACTCCGACAGTTATGCCAGCTAGCACAAATTGGTTATCAATTATAGTTCCACCAGGAGGGGTGATTCGACCCGTTGCTGAGGGCGAAGCGCAATGAATACGCAGTGACTCTTGCATCACCGCGAGTAAATATGGAAGTTGTCAACAGCTGAATTCGTGATTGGTCGGTCGCCTTAGCCTTAGCACTCGAAACTGCACCCCTCTTTTATCTCTTGCCGGAAAGCCCAAACTACCAAACCTATAGTGATCTGTTTCCATACTTACATGAGAATAAGCATTTATGCCGCCCGTTCTTCCATATGGATATACTTTCATCGGCAGTGAGCGTTGTCGCGGTCATTCAACTGACGGGAAGCCTGGTGAAGATTTGCGGGGGCTACATCCAAGAGGTAAACAATGCACGAGACGAGATTATCAAATTACAAAGGGCGATCACGAGCGTACAAGGAATTCTCCAAGACCTCGATAAATTAATTCAAAGCCACAACAACACCTTACCTACTTCCTCGCGTTTAGTCAGTAATATTACCGATTGCCTCTCCGACCTCCGAGCCTTAGAAGCGAAACTTGATCAAGGGAGGGGAAAGACGCTGATGAGAAAACTGGGACTCCGAGCCTTGAAGTGGCCCCTGAAACGCACAGAGATGGAGGCTATTGTTCAGAATCTTGAAAGATATAAGTCGTGCTTTAACTTGTCGTTGCAGCTTGATCAGACGTATGTTTTTGCGGATATAATGCTCTCACTTGAGGATATTTAACTAAGAGATATTTAGAACTCTCATCACAGGAATGATTCAGCATGGTGAGCATGCCAATCAGAAGATGGATCTTGAGAAGCTGCCCTTTGCGCGTGGGGCCGAATACAACTCATACCCAGATCAACATGAAGATGAGTGTCTGCAAGGCACGAGGACCGAACTTCTTCAACAGATAAAAGAATGGGCTTTTTCACCCAACACAAAGTGCCTCTTTTGGGTTAAATGGAATGGCTGGAACCGGGAAATCCACGATATCTCGAACTGTGGCAAAATCACTCAAGGAGACCAAACACCTAGGAGCAAGCTTTTTCTTTAAAAGGGGCGAAGGTGATCGAGGAAATGCCACAAGACTTCTCCCAACACTTGCAAGGCAACTAGTGCTTAATTTTCCTGGGCTAATTTCTGGCCTGCAGAAGGCACTTCATGACGACCCGGACATTGCTTCAAAATCGCTAAAAGAGCAGTTTGATAAAATACTCCTTCAACCACTGCTTGACTTTAACCAACTTGATAAGCAATCTCCTCATACCGCTGTGATAGTGATCGATGCCTTGGACGAATGTGAACATGATCAAGATGTACGAACCATAATCAGATTATTGCCTCTTCTACAAAAGGCACCCGCGATTCGCCTTCGTGTATTCTTAACAAGCCGACCTGAACTGTCGATTCGCCTCGGCTTTTTAGAGATCGCGAACCATGATTACCAGGACCTAGTTCTTCATGATATCTCCATAAAAGCGACAGAACAGGATATATATCTATTCCTGAAGGACAGATTTGCGAAGATCAGACACGATAGAAATATTTCTCGAGACTGGCCGAGCGATAACGTCATCCAACAATTAGTTAGAATGTCAGCTCCACTGTTCATTTGTGCCGCCACCGTGTGCCGATACATCGAGAATCTAAGATGGGAACCTGTATTACGGCTGACGGAGCTATTAAAGGACCAAGCCAAATATGCCGCTAAGATGGACAAGACGTACCTGCCAATTCTGACGCAGCTGATAGATGACCAAGAAAATGATGAGTCAGAACAGCAGCAGCTCTTGCAAGAGTTCCAGGAAATAGTCGGTGTCATCATTCTTCTCGCTGTTCCACTTTCAATCAATGCGCTCTCCCTATTTCTTGAGCTTGAGCCAGAACTAATTAGCAATCGATTAGAATTATTTCAATCTGTTCTAAGTATTCCGAAGAAACGAGATCTGCCTGTTAGGACTTTACATTTGTCATTCCGAAATTTCTTGGTCCGATCCCAGAGCAGATTCTTTGTGGACGAGCCCAAGAAACATATGGATATCGCCATGCGCTGTCTTATCACCATGCGTGGTCGCTTAAAGAAAAATATTTGCAACCTGAAGGGCTATGGAATTCAAAGAACTGAGATCGATACCATGTCTATCCATCAGCATTTACCAACAGAGCTAAAATATTCCTGTCGCTATTGGGTACATCATCTGTCACAGAGTAAGGATGTTGCTGCTGCAATAGAGGATATCTTCTTGTTTCTCCGAGAGCATTTTATACATTGGTTGGAAGCAATGAGCCTTCTAGGCGTCGTATCAGAAGTTCTGGAGATCATTGATCAATTGCAGCTGGTGATACGCGTAAGTTTCTATAGGAAAACCTATGTGATTATGTACCGTTACTGATGTAGAGTGACTAGGATTATAACGTATCCAATTTCCTACATGATGGCAGGCGGTTCGTCCTTAAAAATAGACAGATCGCTGATGAGGCGCCCCTCCAACTTTATAGCTCAGGACTTGTATTTGCACCTAGGATGGCAATAGTTCGGAGGGAATTTGAAGAAGAGCTCCCTAGTTGGATATGTAGGTTTCCAAAGGTTGAGGAAACCTGGAGCTCAGAAATGCAGACTCTTGAGGGCCATTCCGAGTCCGTCCAATCTGTGGCATTCTCCCCAGATGGCCGAATCCTGGCATCCGGCTCGAGTGATAAAACAGTCAGGCTGTGGAATACCACCACGGGCGTGCTTGAGCAGACCCTTGATGGCCATTCCAAGTCTGTCCAGTCTGTGGCATTCTCCCCTGACGGCCGAGTCCTAGCATCCGGCTCAAGTGATAAAACGGTTCGGCTGTGGGACACCGCTACGGGTGAGCTACAGCAGATTTTCGATCTTTATTCTGAGTCTGTCCAGTCCGTAGCATTCTCTCCAGATGGGCGACATCTGGCGTCCGGATCAGATGATGGGACAGTCAGGCTCTGGGATACCGCCATAGGCGCGCTACAGCAGACCCTTTACGGCCATACAGACAAGGTCCAGTCTGTTACATTCTCCTCAGACGGCCAATATTTGGCGTCTGGATCAAATGATAGGACTATCAAACTCTGGGATACCACTACTGGCGCGCTGCAGCAGACTCTAAAGGGCCATTTAGACTCCGTCCATTCTATTGCATTCTCCCCAGACTGTCTGCTCTTGGCGTCTGGCTCAAGAGACGAGACATTCAAACTCTGGGACACAGGCACAGGCGCGCTCCGGCGATCTCTCGATTCTCATTCAGATTTGATATGTTATCCAGATTGGATCGCATCTGTGACATTCTCCCCCGACGGCCGACTCCTGGCGTCCTGCTCAAAGGATAGGTTGATCCGGCTGTGGGATACCGCCACAGGTGTGCTGCAGCAGGCTCTTGAGGGTCATTCACATTGTGTCCAATCTGTAGCATTCTCTCCCGACGGTGGAATACTGGTGTCCGGGTCAACAGATAAGACAGTCAGGCTATGGGATACCACTATAGGTACAGGGCAGCAAACTCACGAGGGCCACTCAGATTGGGTCTTGTCAATAGTCTTCTCCCCAGATGGCCGGCTCCTCGCGTCCGGCTCAAGCGACAAAACAGTTAGGCTATGGGATACTGCTACGGGCACACTACTACGGACTCTTAAGGGTCATTCACGTTGTGTCCAGTCTGTGGCGTTTTCACCAGATGGCCGAATCCTAGCATCCAGCTCAAATGATAAGACAGTCAGGTTCTGGGATACTGCTACAGGTGCACGCAAGCAGATTCTTAAGGGTCATTTAGATATAGTCTGGTCTGTGGTATTCTCCCCTAACGGCCGACTCCTAGCGTCCAGCTCAAGTGACAAAACAGTCAGGCTGTGGAATGTCGCTGTAGGTACGTGGCAGCAGACTCTCGATGGCCATTCAGATGAAGTCCGTTGTGTGGCATTCTCCCTAGACGGCCAATATCTGGTGTCTGGATCAAATGATAGGACGGCCAGGCTCTGGGATACCGCCACAGGCGCGCTACAACAGACCCTCTCCGGCCATTCAGGCATTGTCCGATCTGTTGCATTTTCCTCTAATGGCCGACTCCTAGCATCTAGCTCAGATGATAAGACAGTCAGGCTCTGGGACACTGCCACAGGCGCGCTGCAGCAGAGTTTGGGTGTTCACGGGCTGGTCACCAACCTGGAATTTGTCCAAGATGATTCACATCTAAGTACCAATCTGGGATACCTTAAAACACAGTCCGAATGTAATAATAATGCCTCCTATTTATCTCAAGAGGAAGCTGGGATATTTATTCTGAATCGTCAGTGGATAACCCTTCACCGCAGAAAGGTGCTGTGGCTTCCTCCTGAATATAGGCCTTGGTGTTCAGTGATTAACGGGACTACACTTGCCTTGGGACACGAATCTGGGCGGGTTTCATTCATAGGATTTTGTGATATTGGACGTCAGTAGTGTTCCATCTTCACTCCAGATAATGATAATAGCAACCTACTATCATCAGTCTGCTCTAGAGGGGATTCTCGACTCCTCAATACTTGTATTGTTGACACTACGTACTGGCATGACAAGACACTACAAATTGTACGACTCTCCCAAGCTCTCTGTTTGGGCCTTCTTTTTGAAATTTTTTTCGAAATATACAAAAAAACAGATTTATGAGTAGTCTGCAGGTAAGCAAGATAATGGAAGCCATTGTTTGCACTGCCTGGTACCGAGTAGTCCCTCAAACTGTTATTTGGACATAAGGAGTGGCAGAGGAAATTGACACCTCGCCAGATTTTCGAGCCCCTTCTGTTGTTCTCGTGTTTGATTTCAAGTAGAGATGTTAAGCGATCTGCGGTCATTTGCGGTTTAACATCTCTAGATGTGCTCAATCATTTTACCGTTCTGTTCGTCACCAATATAATAATGGGCCAAAACTCCAATATCAGCTGTAAGCTGGTTGAATTTGTTAAAAAGTGTAACTGGTGGCACAGTGCAGTACGAAGCACGTGACCCGCGACTTCTGTCAAATGGAGGTCGACTACCAAGGAATAGTGGATTCTAGTGGGCAAATGAGAACGCAGTATGCGTACTAAAGAGTGTATGTGTATCTATTGTAGAATGGAGGAATCCCATTGTGGGATTCCAATGCTGACTAAAATAGACTAACTGTAAATGGAATCGGGCCTTTGACAACTTCTGTCAAAGTGTCAAGTCGACTGGTTCAGACTGGCCAATCATTCAAATGCCACAAATGAATGAAACTGAATTACTAAACTAGGGATGAAGTTCGCCTAAAATAGTGATACAAAGTGGGTAATGCAAACCCTACAAACCAGGCCAAATCAGGCTAACTAGGCTCAATCGAGCCTAAACCACCACCCATTTGACACAAAGGAAGTGGTTTGGTCTGTTTGCATGACCCACTTTTAGGTGTGTCCCAGTTTCTTGACTGCCCTTTAGATATTGAAATGTGATACCGGAAACTAGTAGACTTCGATGCATTTGGATATCAATATAACATTTTACAATTGTGGTTGAACTCATCGCTGGTTAAATAACCGTCGAGCTGAAGACATTTTTGATCATATACTAGTAACAAAGCAGTTGGTCAAAGAGCGAGAACCTCAAGAAGACCCTTTCCCCGCAGATGGAGGACCTGATCCAGCTTAATCCACAACTTGGACCGTACATCTGAGTCTTGACAATAGGAATGTGGTGGCGCTTCCCAAATGCGATTGAGATATTTTCCACCACTAGTGGTTCGCCCACACTCCGGGCTGGTTGCCGCATTTGTAATTGCCAAACTACCTTGTTGTGGAGTGATAGCGATATAACGTAATAAGAATGCAAGAGCTCGCATCGAAATGTCATTGCTCTTCAAATCGTTTGTATGCCAGATTCCCGAAGCGACGAAACCGGGATGGACACCGTTGATTCTGATATGAGAGTACTCTGGGTGCTTGAGGCAATGAAGCTGCAGCTCTGTGAGCCATATCTGCAAATATAGCTTATTGTTGTGGTAATCGTTCCCTCTCATTTCTTGGCCACCATTGAAATGATCTAGGTCGAAGACACCAAAGTGATGAACGCATGATGTGGTACACACGATTTGGGGATCCGCGCTGCGCCCTAGAGAGGGTAGGAGTCGGAGGGTAAGTAACAAATGAGATAAGAAGTTGACCTGGTGAACTAGCTGGAACCCATCCTTCGTAATTCGAGTTTTAGCAGTAGATGGGGATCCCGCATTGTTGCACAGAATATCTAGAGTGCGATCACTCTTCAACCATCTTTCGCAAAAAGTCTCGACACTTTTGAAATCTGCCATATCTATCTTCCACCATTGAATTATTGAGATATGACCCTGTGCCTCGGCAAGACGCTTGCATTCTTTCACGGCTGCTGTGGGATGAAGTTCGCCGAGTCCCTCAGGTGGATCGCGGCAGGCCAGGATCAGGTTTGCTCCCCATTCCGCGAATGACTTGGCCGCCTCTAGTCCAATACCATTGTTAGATCCAGAGATAATCACCCATCTCCCTTGTAAATCTGTCTTCTGGACATGTCGCTCGCTGAGAACAGTGTTATTGAGGCCTCTCGCGGCCTGGAACACATTGTTGAATGTCAACCCCGCCAAAAACTGCAATGTCATATTGACGAAAGTTGTACGATAAGCAGGAGACAGAAAGTATCACCTGGTCACCCTATAATTTTTTTTAATCCTTCGCTTGCTTCAAGTTCTCCAGGTCTTATTTAATACTTCTCCATTCGCCTGAACTGAATATAAATTGTACAGCCCTTGGCGGACATATATACCGGTATACCCGTCGAAGTTTTATGGTAGATGACGCAGTCAAAAATCTTGAGCCTCAAGGTACTTTTTGCCGGCAGGATGGCAGTGCGAAAATGGTTGGACATGTGGTTCCCACATAATAGCTGGCGCTTAATTCGCCCTAGATTGACCGACCTTGGTCGGTAGCCTGGGCGCGCTGCCTAATATGGTCAAGACTAGTTTCGGTGCTTTGACTAATTTTGGATAACAAGCATTATTTAAACCGTTTCCTATTTCCGGTAGTGTGCCTGACTACATAAAACGAATCCATTCCACTCATGATCCTTTTAGGGGCAGATAATTCGATTGACATGTGCTTGGGATCTTCGAAATCGGACATATCTCAAATTTTTAAAATTGAACTCGGGATGAGAAGTATGCCAGGGCAAAAAGATGGAGGGCTTATTTATCTTTTGATCTATAGAGGAAATATTCTAGGGCGCTAAGCTCACCCTCCAGCTGTAGCTCCCAGAATCTCATTAGAAAACATTCGTTTTCTTTTATAAGTTTGAATTATCCCTACTTCATATGAAATATTTGAGAATCCTGGTAAAAAGGCTATACGCTGATGTTGATTCTTTATGCTTGTATTATTCGGGTCTTTTTCTTCCCTAAAATTTAAAAATTACTGTCAAGTACAAGTATTTGTAGCAGTTAGCTATTCAAAACCCCAAAGATTCCAATTAACCTTTTAGGGCCTTCTAATGGAAGCTTTAACCAGATTGAGTAGTGCGTACGGTGTTCTCACCTTGGTTTTAACGGTTTCTGGAAGGTAAAGAAGAGCTTGACTGGCTTGAAGAGGTCTAATGGGGTTTGCTTGAATTGCCGGACGAAGCCAAACCAAATGCGCTGAAAATCAGCTTAGGAGTTGTTGCAGAGTTAAATGACGATGACTCGAGTACGTTAGGAGTAGCTTCACTTTTCAGTGAGGGCCCTGAGCCTGAACCAAATAGACCTCAAGGCTCAGCATTCAGGTTCTGAGGCCCACTAAACGCGGTTTTTTGGCCTTTCGGCGTACTGAAAATGCTTTTGCCGGTACCCCTATTCAAAGTAGACCCTACAATAGAAGATAGATTTCTCGGCAGTCCTGTGGCAACTTTCCGGACATTAAATTTGCTCAATGCTCGCGAACCAGCTTGCGGCTTCTCCAATTCGCCGCTCAGACGAACTCGCTCATCTATGTTAGAAAAAGGCTCGGTAGCAAGGTTCTGAACTTTTTTATCTTCCATATTGTTGATCATCTGGCTTGTGAGAATACTACCTAGAGGTCTAAGCAGACGGTTTTCAATTCCAAGCGTGGCAACGTTATCAATAAAAGTGATGATAGAAGTCTGATCCTATTATTAGCACTCTTTCAGACCGATGTAAAATTTAGTATCGAGCAAGACGCTAACTCACATCATAATATGTCTGCATCTGATCTACAATATCCGCTGCTGCAAACTAGCTGTTTGTCGACTCCAGCTCATTATTGACTTTCCGAAGTCGTTCAATAGTAATAGACCCATCTTTATAAACAAATTTTGATCTCAAGGGTTGCTCCAATCTACCAATCCAGCGATAACTCCTGGCTTTCTTCGACTAAATCGAAGTCTTTACTATTTATGACCGCTTTTACTCGCTTCTATCCAATTAACTATCCGCATCTAGAATTACATTATTCCCTGTTCCCATACAAAATTAAAGTTGAATTAGTCACGAAACCACTGTTTCTCGTTCAAAACGCGTCACTTTTGTTCGGGCTCCGAGTGCTCAGAAAAGTACCCTCCACTGCAACTTTATCAGCAAAACTACCAATCATTCCAAGCTTGACGCGTCTTCCATCAAAGATGAATCCCCTGCCTCCCCGCCTCCCCCCATTCACCCCCGCCTTGCTCAGTATCAACCAACAGGTCCTGATGACGATACCGTCAGGGTTATTCAAGCGTTCCTAGATTTTCTCCCCCTTGCAGGAAGAGTCTCCATGGAACGAGACATCTTGCCCATGACGGATCCTCAGCTTAATCAGCACATGGAGTCTCTAGTGCACCATGTTCTCCTCCCAATGAGGGCCCGTAAAACTCCAGCCTCCATACCTCTATCTCCACGGACAAGGGTGCAACGTGAAGTGGAGAATCAATACAGCAAAATGATATTCACGGCTAAGAGGCTGCAACGCCTCAAGGAAGATTGTCTTTTACGCGACGATAATCGGTGCGCTATCTCTCTTGTCTCAGACGAAAAGAAGATGCCCACCGGCTTTCAAGGAGATACATGTGACACTCAATGTGCCCATATTTTACCATTTTTGCTCTCAACATTCAATAACGATCCAAAGGCTCGAGAAAGGCCTGAAGTCTGGACAGCAATCATATGGTGCTTTCCAATTCTCGATGATCTCGCAGTACTCTTCACGCACAATGATATAAACGACCATCGGAATCTGATCAGTATGGACAAAGAGGTACATGATCGATTCGGCCAGTTTAAATTCTCTCTAGTAGCCACTGGCCTTCAGGACCAATACACCTTACATCTCTGGCAACCACGATATCTCAGACATGTACGAGGAATTAATATTGTGCAGTTCAGTGCACACGGCACCCGATTCGACTTGCCATCCAGGGAATTAATCGAAATCCATCACATTATGGCTCAAATCCTTCACGCATCCGGCAGAGCTCAATGGATTGAACGTGTTCTGAAGGATATTGAGGACACATGTGTCCTGGCGCACGATGGATCAACGAACGTCACCGATATGCTGTGGGGGACCGAATTGGCACTCATGAGTGAGTTGATTCAATGCTGATATGGACCTAGGTCTGACTTTTTATCATAGGCATTCCAGAATCATAGTTTATTAGCCGCCCTCGGACACCTGACGAAGCATATTTTGACCTCAATTTACTAGGTACGAACTCCACTAATTACATGTATTCTGGACGACGTAACTCGATCCAATATAATGCCCATATCTATATAAGAGGGCTTCAGGTCATTAAATAGGAAGGACCAAATATGTGAGGAGTCAAGGTTTTACAGCTTCTGAGCTTCTTCAATCACATTCTTTGCAGGCTCCCGGCTCCACATGCGGTCCAACCAACCTTTCACAAAAGGACATTTATTCACATCATACCCGTCTTCTTCCTGTATAAATTTGGTGACTGTAATCTGCTAACTGGCCTAATCCAAATCCGCAACGAAACCTGTCCTCTCACCCATGACGCCCCCCCCCCCGGTTTCCTGCTTACTCAAGAAATCATTCACAATCCCCGAGACCCGGTTAATCTCGTTCACACAGCGCTGCAACGCACTGGGCACCCTCTCGGGGTGGAACTTTTTAAACCAGCACGCCTGGCCATAGTATGGACCTTGGCCGGAAGCCTGGAAGAACGGCCACTGACGCGCCAGTTGGGCTTCTTTAGAGCAAGGCTCAAAACTGTTTTTGCGAGAGGTATCGTACCGTTCCACCAGATACTCAATGATAGCGCCAGGTTCTCGGGGCGTGAGGTTATTGTTTGTGTCATAAATCCAATCCTCTAAATCTAACTCATACGTCGAAGAATATTCCGAGGCAGAATGAAATCTTACGTAGAACAGCATGAAATGATTATTTGGATATTAAAATGGGGAAAGCTTTGATTTCAAGATAAAATACGGAGTAGATACTTGCTAGATATCCTATGAGCTGACTAGGACTATCTCTGCATGGTGACTACCTTTTCAGAACAGACGTACACATCATCATCTCCGCTCGAAAGACACGGTTGATCTTATTCGAGAACGAGGCCTTCGGTATAAGCGCAATCCTCATCCCAGGCCGCAGCTCACGTATCCAATGCAAACACCCGGCAGAAATTGTATCCTGGCTCCAGTAAAACACTACCGGCTCTCCTCTACCTGAAAATTCCTCTCCACCACACTCGCTCAACATATGCCCATGCCTAGGCCACGTACATGAATGTGTCTGTGCCTGCTGGGACCCCATGTGCATATTCCAGAAGCAAATCGGGCCCGTTTGGAAAATTGGGCCAACCGCTTCTTTTGAATCCGGGCCAGTGGCCTCGACCTTGGCTGCCTCCCACCAGGTGTATGCGCGGTCACTGGTGCCCTCTGCCTGTTTCTGGTTGTGGATGTGGATGTTCTCCTCATAAGAGACTGCTTTGAAGATTAGCTGGCGGACGGGCCAACCTGGATAGCCTTTTATTGGTGGTGTGCGGGCGTACTGAACAGCAAAGACTGTTCGTTCGTCAATAAGCATTGGACGAGCAACTTGGACTTTAGACTGGATCCAGTACTCGGCGATGTCGAAGATGTATCCAATTATGGATGGGGGTAGACTTCTTTGAGACGCGACCTTGATTAAGAAAGCGGCTTGCAACTGATCTTTAGGTTTGTGAGGAATATAGAAGGATGTTGATGATGAAATTTCCACCTGCAATTGCAGTTCTTGGATCGACGGTGTAGCAAGACTACTCTGGGTCTTTATTCTGGAAACGGCACCATTGCCTAAGAGCAAATTGGCGACATCTGGCACTTTTTCCCGTATCACGATGTCGAGTAGCATCAGTCCTTGATGATCTTGCGCTTGCAAGTCGACTTTCAAAGACAGCAACACTTCAGTCACCATGCTGAGATTATGTTTAACCGTCAAATGGAGTGCTGTCTCCCCGATGGTATTTCTTGCTTTGGGATCAGCGCTAACGGAGGCGAGGTATTGAACTATATCTGCATGTCCGGTTTGCACTGCTTCCACTAGTGCCGTCAAGTTTTCTTGTCCGGGCCTATCTATATCTGTTAGGTTATCGAGTTTTTCGACACAAACCTGAACGGACTCAACGCTGCCACTTTGTGCTGCGTAGTGCAAAACTGAGGAGTCTACAGTGTCGATTGACTCCAGCGAATAATTCGGCGCGAGGTCAAGCAAAATCTGGAGAACTCCAGGATGTCCGTGACCAGCTGCAAGCCTAAAGCGTACTGTAGACAGTAGAATAGCAGGGCGCAAGAAAATATAGGCATAAGACCATTAATAGAACACCTTGATGACTTCGGCGTAGCCGTGAAAGGCTGCCTGATGGAGCGGCAATGACCCTCTGTCGTCCTCGACCAGAGCCTCAGCTCCTTGCTCTGTCACGATTCAGTTCTTCGATAGGACCTCGATGTATGGACCCTATGATATAATGATTAGAAGAGTTTCACGAGGGCCTAGCACAGACACTGCTAGCACGAGGCGGTTTTCAGCTAGTAGTATGGTGACCAGACACTAGCTACCTCTATAGATTTACTCCGATAATCTATGGTACATACGACCACAGGGTGTGGAGAACAGGGCTTCCCGTCCGCTCAGCCGTACTTAAGCCACATATGGAACGCGGAAAATAGTCCAAAAGCCCTTCGCACCTAGCTCACCCTAAAGCAGCGATAGAACTCCCCTTAGGGTGAGGGTGGGTGATATGGGTGAGCTTGGGTGAGCACCGGGTGAGCTTAGCACCCCTGCCCCTGCCCTAGAATTTTTCACCTTACAGACCAAAAAATAAATAAATCCTTAGAAGGGCCCTTCATTTGCTTTGGCATACTTTTCATCCGGAGGTCAATTTTGAGAATTTGAAAGATGTCTGATTTTGAAGATCTTCAAAAGATTGCCGCCAAGCGTGCTGCACTTTGTCGAAGGTGGATTCTAGTAAACGAATAGGAATGGGGTATAGAGAAATGAATTGTATGTGTGTATACTACTAACGTGCCCCTCTTTTAGCTGACAATCAGATGATAGCCCTTTTTATGAGAACTTTAAGCGACACATATTAATTTGATTATGGTATTAATATTATTCTAGGACAATAACTTAAGGTCTCTAGATTGGAGTGAGCCATGGCCCGAGCCAATTCACATCTGTCGTAAGTATTTCTCGGTACATAATGTCGATACGGCGATACATCTGTTCTGATTGGACAGATACTATGAAGGCTCCTATTGGTCAGATGCAGCCACAAAGTGGGGCAGAGGAGTATTTCAGTTAGATGTAGTTATTGAAGACACCTCTTACAACTCTTCATTACCATTTTACCACTGCAATTGCAGAACCGTAGGACACGTCGAGTATCTCGACAATAAAAATGTCGCAAAACTTCATATGTTTATGATTAACCTCACAATATAACCCGTCACTACGCTGTCACCCAAATGATTGTAACCCACAGATCAAGTCATCAACCTTCTTCATCAAAATGCGCAGAGAACTAGCATGTCAATCCATTGCCCGGCGGCTGTCAAAACTGAATACCTGGCTGCGGACTTTAGCTTTATCCAGCAATGAACGAATCAATACTGACGTGTTTCGTGACTAGAGAACCTTCAATGACGAGATACAAAATGCGCTCTAGACCGTTGACCTGAATGTACACGTGACAGTCGACGACACCACTGATGATTTTGTCGTTAGAAGTGAGCGTGGCTTAATAGGTCGTTTCGTTAAGCATGTCTGTGACCCCGTCACCAATATACTCGTTGTAAACGAAATCTCATCACGCTTTACTGACCGAAAAGCCGTCTATCCCCCTTCAGAAATCATACCAGATATTGTACTCGCTTCAAAAACCTCAATCAAAATGGTTATTGAGTTGAAAACTTTTTGGGCCTGTAACTTCGAGTTAAGCATAGCTTGCCCGATGGAGAAACTATATTTGGCCGAGATACAGCTTGGTAAATTAACCTTAGTTATAAAATAAATTATACTAATTCATAAATAGCACAGCTTGTTGTCCAAGTGCGGGATTGCAGCGTTCAATATGGCATACTATCTGTAACGGGTCGAGCCCGGTTTAGATTGTATGGTCTACTGTGAGACCATACTGCTGTATCTATCTCCTTTCCTAGTCCTTGTTTACCAATCGGATCTTTACAGCGTACAAATCCCTGCATTCATCCCGTAACACTATCTACCTATAATGCAACTGCTTTTGTAAGACGAGACAGTGATACCACATCTTCCATTAGTGAAGCATACCTAAGAACTGCAGCAGGTATTAACAGAAAACCGTCTATTAAGCATTGTGTACTAGGAATGGCAATTCTAAGAAATTCTGCTAGCCTATAAGGAATCACACGATGTTTTTCGGTTAAGGGGAAAATATGACAGACTCCCTTGTTGTGACAAAACTCCTCTAATGGCGAACTGCTGATCCGGGTTTCTAGGGTGAAGATGGTATTTACACTAAATAGCACGAAAAAACAAAAGCTATTTTCGAAGGGTATTGGCACGACGAAGAGGTCATCATCAAATATTAGGACGATAATAAGATGAGCGAGATCAGGTTTGAATTAATATATAATAACTCTATATTTGTAACACTTTCAACAATATCAGCACTTGCTGTTACGGGATGAATGCAGGAATTTGTACGCTGTAAAGATCCGATTGGTAAACAAGAAGAATTAACTAAGGGGGGGAAATGGGTCCTGGGGACCGGGTGTTCTTATAGCTCGTTCGGCTCCGCACAGATGCCAGGAGCGCAGTCTCTCCAGAGAGTGAGCATTTCATCGGGTATCAACCCGTTACACTTGCAATGAAAGAGGAAATTTATTTCTAATAGGAACTTTATAGCATGTTAATGAAAGGCGTAGCAAGTTATTTGGAATTTATCATATTAGGGGTTGTTTCATACAGTGAAAGCAAAGCCTGAACATCGGAATAGAAGCAGACTAGAAGTCCGAATAAAGTTGATAACACGCGCAGGCTTTAGGCTGGTGCCATTTTAAACCCGTCCTATAAGGCGTCCTTTAAGCCATCCTGACTCTACCTTTTCTATAGAATAATATAAGTCTGTATAAGTCCGTAATTTTGACTCATATTAAATTTCCTTGTTTACTTATATGTAAGGGTTACTGGATTTTACAGAGAAGACAAAGATGGGAACAAGAACTCGATAACATTTCAAGACTGATTCTTAGAGGAATCATGGGGGATCCGGGTACGGATCGGTTAAGTAGTTGTGGGTATTACATAACGGTCACATGATTTCCAGGTTATCAACTCCGTGACATTATATCCTATAACAGCAAGGCTCCCCTAGTTACCCTGGCTTCAAAACATCTCTTATAGTAACCGCGGTCTTGAAAAGGGTGGAAAGTCTTATTGCATAGGAGTCTATTCTAAAGGAGGCTCTTCTAGCGTCGATAAAGGAGAAATCTGAGAAACAAGATAAATAATCAATACCTGTAGAAGACTCAGGACATAGACAGCAGCACAGCGAAACGCCAGTAGCACATACGGAGGGTCTTGCTCCCCTTAAGAAAAAGCCTTGGCAGTTCTGGGCTGTGTTCCTAGCGCTGTGCATGACCACTTTTCTCTCGGCTCTCGACACGTCTATTTTATCGACTGCCCTTCCGACTATCGCGCTCGACATCAACGCTGGTGAATCGTATATATGGATCACCAACTCTTATATTCTGTCGTCGACCGTGGTCCTCCCTTTATTCGGCTAGACGGTAGATATATTCGGCCGTCGATGGCTCCTGATCCTTTCTGTCATCATCTTTGCACTGGGAAGCGGTCTTGCCGGGGGAGCAGACAATATAGTTCAGATAATTGCCGGACGAACCATTCAGGGCATCGGCGGTGGCGGTATTAACACGCTTATTGATACTGTCATCTGTGATCTCGTTCTTCTTCGCCAGCGAGGAAAATATGTAGCTCTTATAGCAGCTATATAGGTAGTAGGGATGGTGGTTGATCCCGTATTAGGCAGTGCCTTTGCTAAGCATATATTGTGGCGCTGGGTTTTCTACATCAATCTTCCTCTATGTGCCGTGTTACTGATATTACTTATGTTGTTACTTCGAGTTTCCCATCCACATTCAGGTGATGCCATATAGTAATAGCTGCGCCGTGTCGACTATATTGGCAATATCATTCTCATAGCCACAGTTATCTCGGTTTTGCTAGAACTTAGTTAGGCAGGAGTTGATTATCCTTGGTCCTTATGGAGAATTTGAACACTGAGTTTGGATTATAGGTAGGAGAAAGAAGGGAATAAAGGAACATGTATGGACTCTATTGGTTACTAGTACTTGCGAGCCTCTAGGTATTTACTAAAATTATATCTTTGTCGCTGAGATTCCTTCTTTAATACGGGGTACAAACACTTGAATTATAGATAAGATGCAAGGGGAAGAGGTGATTAGGTTCACCGACGCTCGGCCAAAACACCTAATATGACGAGACGATGTCTTGTCTTACCTGGAACCGGTATATAAGTAGCGCACTATTAGGGGGCCCTAATAGTAGAGGTAGTAATAAAGTTAAGAACGTTAAGCAGACTTAGGCGGTATAGTGGTTTTATAGAACCACACACGGGAACGTATAAGGACTAAGTGCGCTGGTCCCATATATAACATTTAAGCCTCAGGCTTCTTAATCAATTATCCGATATGGTGTAAACGGAGGTGACGATAAAATGGCCACGATTTGGTGTGGCATCAACTCGAAAAAATCGTAGTGTTTTCACCTCGACATTATAACCAACACAGTCTGATACTAGTGTCGACGCTATACCTAGTAAGGCTGAGTGAGCTAATACTAACGATTACATCGAAGAGAGGTGATTATTCGAGGAGTCCTGACACAGCTTGTATACAGAGCCGTGAGAGCGCTTCCATCGTGGGTGCAGATGGAATGAAAAATAACCGAGTCTGCCTCTCGAAGACTTTGCCCTTTAATAATTCTCTGAATCGAAAGTCTAGCTAAAAAACAAGCCAAAACCACAACTGTTGCGACAGCCGAAAAACAAGGCCGTCAACATACGGAAAGTATTTCGGCCGAAAAGCTTCTGCCAAGGCAGTGACTCTCGGTTCGGATAACCACTCGGAGGAACTAGATTAGTATATTACAGCATCCTTGAACGATATACATTCATCGCAAACGACACCCTTAAGCGATATGCATTCAAGATAGTAGTATCCCGTCTTCACCGTCTCTTCTGTCTCGGACGAATGTAAACATTCGTCCAGGACAGAGGACCACCCATATACTATAAGTAGCTAGTTCTCTCTATCAATGAAAAGGGCAGACTTCACAACAACCACAGCATTCAGTATCGTAGCATCCACTACCAGATTGGTGGATTTCTACGGTGTTTAGTGGTTCGTTGAAGCTCAATGTCACGGAGTTGATAAATCTGAAAATCATGTGACCAGTATATAATACCCACAACTACATCCCAGCAACCCCCATGGGTTAGTATGTTAGTGCTTACTCCCTTTCAGAATCTTTTCTTTGATTTACCATTGAATGTAGATTCAGAATTTCATTGTGCACACAGTATCATCTTGGCGGCTGTGGGAATGGACCATTGAAATCTTGGTCCCTTTCCATTCCGGGAGGCAGGTCGCTATCACCTGGCTCAAGCTCGAAATCCGGTTCATCACGGAGAATTCTTTCCCAGGTAACCTTTGCAACAGCCTTACACTCTTCTTCCCTAAAATCATACGGCCAGCCGAACTGTTCCTGGAGAGTTTTCTTGATCTTGAGATACTAGAGCGCCACGCGATCAGAATATATTTATGAGAGACGGCAGAGAGCGAGGGAAGAGAAATAAGCTTACCTCTTCGTCGTCATGCTTATCCCAAAGAGCACAGATATTCTTTGTTCAACTGGGAATTATTTCAAGTGATCTAACCCTCTCAAGATGAGTGGATAAAAATGTTGGAGCATGAAATGGAGGGTAAGAGCGATAGTTGTCCAGATCGTCTCCCGGGGGGCCATCATTAAAGTCCCAGACTCGAATTGTGTCTGTTCATATTTATGTTAGTAAGACGTCTTTGTTTTGCTTCTTTTGGGATCATGAAAACGTAGTAGACTAGTCTATACTCACTCTCCTTTAAATCCATAATCGCAGAAGACCCCTCATCAGTCGAGCAGGTAAGAGCAATCTCATGAGGGAGCAGAAAATCCAGCCTCGGTTCATTAATGAAATCACAGCGGGATCGAGATGAAGCTTTTCACAAAGAGCCTGGTTGATCATATGGCCACCTTCGGGCGGCCAGATAAGTTCCCAGGTAGCGATATAATTCAGTTGTTGATAGAGATGGTAGGTTTCATTGATGATCTTGACGATCATGTCTTCGTTGTATGGAATGCGAGGGATGTGAAAGTCTGCTATGGGATCTTCTTGGTCGGAATTTGTAGACATGGTTGGAATTGGGCTGGGGGGAGCTGGGGGAGCTGGCTGTGGAATATATATGCGCTGATTTGAGTACCAATACCAGTGGATGTTGATGGCTACTGGATCTTGATTTCAACCCGGAAGAGATGGTTATAGATGAAGGAAATATATCTCGTCGTGCAACACCGGAGGAAATCTATGAGGAGCTGAATATGGTCAAATGAAAGTCAGAGGAATGCAAACAGGAATTGGAGGCAGTGGGCTTGTCATATGATGACGAAGGTCCCTCTGCTGACACCCAATGACCACTCCTCCAGTGGAAACAGCCACGGGTACTTTGCTGTCTAATTCGAGGAACGTTGCTATCACATCGCGGCCTATTGAGACTGAAAGGGCTCATTATCACCGAGAAGGACATGAAAGACGAGACTATTCTCATGGACATTCTCATCAGCATGTTTAATCATCTAATCCATAGGGGTACTTAATTGTAGTCTGACACAATTATCTTACCGTCTAGCTCAGATTTTCCATATACTTCTTGAGTTGAATTCCGAGTGTCCTCAATCGGAATTTCAGTACATTTGGGCCAGTATAATTAGTACTAGTACTCTTAGGGGTCCAAAGCTAGGGGTCCAACCCGCATGACTGTGATGCATCACGAGAGAATTTATAGAGATGAGCCCATGGAGCGAAACTTGAATTGTAGTAGATATTTGAGTTAGGAAATAATACATTATGTAGTCGCATGAACACATTAAGATAATCTTTTAGAACAGCCATGACACAAACTTCTGGTAGACCCAGTGTCACGTAGAGGTCAGCACGGTTTTACGGATATCAGTATCCGTAATCGTAACCGTAGAAATTCTACGGTTACTGTCGGTACACCGGTGGGTATAGCAATTCGATAAAGGTGATGAGAGGCTATCGCCCACTTCTAACACCTATTACAAGTTGCGCTTTACGCCCTATAATATCTTGTGTTCTCTTGAAGTGGTTGTAAAGTGTCGGAACGGTGACGTTCTTACGGTGCTGCTGCTGATAGTGGTCGGCAACAGATAATATCTGTAGGATTTGGGAATATCTGTATCTGTATCTGTGTTAGAAATTAATTATCTGTATCTGTATCTGCAAGATATTCTACCACCGCCATATAGTGTCACGTGTATACTATAAGATGTCAATGGACGTGGTTTGGGACCCACTTTTAGGTGTGTATTTAAGCCAGATTACGTTCTAGTTAGAAAATTCAGTTTCATTCATTTGTGGCATTTGAATGATTGGCCAGCCAGTCACAGTTTATTTGACAGTTATGAGCCCGGAACGCATCTAATAGCTATAGGATAATCTGTCCAGAAATGTTCTATATGAATTGCCAGTAACGGGATTGAACTTAGGGTTCCTGGGCAGCCCGCGATCTGCGTCTGGGCCATAGGTGATAGGCGCAGTTTCTTTCGAACTGATCCGAGAGATTCTTCCAGATAAATGCTAGCTTATCTACCTTCAGATTTCTTCTTTTCTGAACAAAGGTGAGGATCTCCTCCATCTCAAGGAAGTCTTCACCACCCGATAACCTGGACCCATGGTTCCCTTCCGTGAACATGCTTCAATTACTACCGGATATAGTTTCCGTACTGATGTCATAACTGGCTAGCTATACAGATGATCCTTAGAAGTGTCCAAGTCTCGTTATCACTATATTGAGGCTCCAATATTCTCAAAAGTTGTATTCTAAGGCTTTAAGACCAATATTGATTCCAAGAGCTCTTCACCTCGCTGATACAAGAAGACACAGGCCTTTAACTTGGGGAACCTTTCTATATGTGACAAAATCAAACATCGATCATCTCAACGCCACCATGGCGCCGGTCCTTCGCACTGGCATCTTAGGCGCCACCACCACAGTCGAACAAACCCTCCTCCCAGCCCTAATCTCACTACACACCCACTTCGATCTGAAAATAATATATGACCAAGCGCAAGAAACAGCTGAACACTGTCAAAAGAAATTCAATATCCCACAGAGCACAATATCGCCTGTCAACGTCCTTCGCCATCCGGAAGTAGATCTAGTCCTAAATCTCCTCCCCTTCGAATACCATGAACAATATACCATCGCGGCCCTCGAAGCTGGAAAACACGTTATGGTCGAGGTACCCCTCAGCCTCAGTATCCAGGGTCTACGCCGTATTCGTGCCGCAATGAAGAAGGGGACAGCCACATGCTCGAATGGGACTGGGCCGAAGGTCTTTGTAGGCTGTGTTCGTCGCTTTGCTCCCTGCTTCGAAGATATTTTCAAGAAAGAACTTGCCTCTTTGGGTCGGGTGTACTATGCTCGGTGTCGTAATATCACTGGACCGCTAAGTATCGATTCAAACGATGCTTACGACGCTAGCGATGAGGTAAACAACGCTATACGAAGTCCGAAAATATTCCATGCACTTCTCGCCGACGTCTTTGGATCCGAGGAAGATATTACCACTGATCGTATCGCTTTCTGTCGCTTTCTGGGTAATATAGGCTGCCACGATCTAGCCCTGTTACGTGAGTCACTAGGTTTCCCAGATGCTGTGGCCAACATCGCCATTACAGAGCCTTTCTACTCGGCAATCTTCCACTACTCTGACGGTAAAGAAGGACATCCGTTCACGCTCCTCTATGAAGCAGGTTGTGATGCTGTTCCACGCTGTGATGCCCATCTGACAGTCTACGGTTCGAAAAAGACTGTTAGTCTCAAGTATGATTTCCCTTGTCCGAGTCAAACGGGTTGTCAGGATGCATGTGTGCGAGTTATTGTTGAGGAGGTGGAGACGGGGAGGGACGGAAGCCATATAAATTCCAATGGGGATGGGAATGGCGTTGTTCCTCCCCACATTAACAGAACTGAAACTGTTAGCTCTTGCGCGGAGTCGTATGAGAGGGAGTTTTTGGCCTTGCACTCTTATCTTGTTGGTGACACAAGAGATTCTACAACAACTGATGAGAATGCACTGATGGATTTGCGGCTGTTGCAGAGGATCTTTGCACATTACGACCGACAGTGTGGAACTATTCGGACACCACTTGGTTGAAAATAGTAATTTTGGAACATTTCACGAATCGGAAAAAAAAAAAAAAAAAAAAAAAATAACGAAAGCATTCGGTCATTTAGAAAAAAATCTTGGATTCATATTTTCGACACTCATGACCCAACCTTCCAATGTTAGGTGACATTCGTTTATATCATACTAAGAATCAATCGTAATTAATAAGGAATATTTCCAAGGTTGAACCAAGGACTAGTTGAGTCTCATGGTTTGCGAAATTGTGCTCGTATCCAGTCAAACTATCTTGACAAAAACTTATCGCTTGCCCTTCTTCTTATTCTTCTTTTGGGCACCTCCAACGGAAGATTTCTGCTGTATCACAGTAGTCTCTTCCGCCTTCTCGATAGCGACAACACCACCCTGAGTACGATCCGCAGCACGTTGCTTATTCTTTCGGCCCTTAGGACGGTAAGAAGATCGGTCGCGCACAGGGAGCCAGCGTTCAGGGTCCGGCTTCTTCTCAGGATCAAAGTCCTTGGGTAGACGAGACTTCCGCACGCGCTTTTTGGCACCTTCCTTGTCAGTGGCAGAACGTTTGCGAGCCCCAGCAAATGCAGCTGCGGCGGCGGCAGCTGCTGAAGCAGACGGCGTAATTCCGGTAGACTCCAAGGCGGCGATGTCAATATCAGCGACGAGCTCGCTCACTTTAGGCAGACTATCAAGCTGAGACTCAACTTGCGAGTAGTCGAGCGTAGCTTGCGCAGCAACATAGCCGGCGATGACAGCGCGGTCGCTGTTGTCCTGTTGGTACAGTGACTTAAACAGGTCACCCGCCATGACCAGGTCGGACTTTTCATCCGAGTGAAGTAACGACTTTCCGGCAGCACGGAGAAGAGATGTTGGTGCGTCAGATTTCTTGCTCCAGTAGGAGGCGGCCTGAGAGAGAACAGAACGTATTTGTACATTCCGACCCTCTAGTCGGTAGAGAGAAACAAGAACGCTCAGAAGCCCAGGGTTGAATCGAGCATCTTGGTCGCCTTCGGAGATCGATTCTTCCAAGCTTTGCAGCGTTCGCTCTACGGCAGTGATTGCGGAGGTAGTGTTGCCAACGCTGACGTAAAGTTGGACTGCGGTCAGGAGGATTCCCAGGTCCTTCGGACGTCTCTCCAGGAGGGGCGCAATCTTCTTGAGAGCCTTCTTACCAGTCTCTCCTTGGGCGTGTGCAGCGGCATTATACACAGAAAAGAGGTTGGTGCTGCCCTCGGTGGAAGGGCAGGCGCTTTTTGAAAGTGCCTTGTTTGTTGATCTGATCATGCCATCATATTTCTGAACAAGAAGATCTGCTGCATAAGAATTGCCCACAAGAAGAGTTTCTTGAAATGCAAACAGCCTGTCATTGTCTATGGCATCCGGGGTCTCATGGAGGGCCTTGTACAAAACGTAAGGGTTGACTGTCGTCTGACGAGCAAGAACAGTGTTATTGCGAGCAATCTTCTTGGTGGATAGTTCAGAGATGCTATTAGGAAACAAGATTAGCCTCTTTGTGATGCAAACGAAGTATATCCTGACTTACTCTTCAATAGAGATGTCCTCGAGAAGAGACTCCGCCTGCTCCATCTTGCCTTGCCGAATTAAGACATATAGGTATTGTACTAAGATCGGGAGCAGTTCGGCGACTCGGTCTTCAGGTGTTAATTCATCGGACGTTTGGCAGATATCTACAGCATAGTCAGCCATGTTCTAATTGAAAGTGAAAGTTTGATTTACTTTTGGCGCGGTTGAGAAGCATTTCACCTTGAGCAAAAGCTCCCTGGGCAATACTCAAACAAGCAGCATTGTAAGCCGTCTCGAAAGACTCCAGGTCCTCCCGAGATGGTCGGTCATGGCGCACATATTCGGACTCGCCCTTCCACTGCAGCTGCGCATCCGTCGCCCACGAGTTGATGCTTAGATCATTCTCCTCATATCCGTACGATTCCTTGTCTTTGGATAACTCATCGTAGATTTCGGCTGCTCGGCGAAATTTCTCGATGCGGTAGCTCTGGGAAGTGAAGCAAACGTTAGCTTCATGAAATAGAGTAGTAGCAAAAGAACAGAAGCCGTACCACTTGTGCTTCGAGATGGCCAGCGCCTCGACCACTGGCCTTTGTGACAGCTTCGAGAGCCTCCTCCAGTCGTCCACCCTTGTACAATGCATATCCATACTCCAACCCTGCCTGCTTCTTCAGGGCATCGCCTCCGGCCTCCAGTACTCGAATAGCATCATCGAATCGATCAAGCTTAAGTAGAGCGATAACCTTGATATGCTGGGCAGTAATATCGGATTTAGACTTGGCGAGGATCTCATTGCATGATTGAAGAACCGCATCGTGATCTTCAATCGACGATTGCTTCAATAGCGAGCTTAAGGACTGCGCAACCATGATGAGGGTTGCGCGGGGTTTATCGGGGGCACCTGACTTTTTAGAAGAGCCGAAAAGGTCAGTGTTGAGCGATTAAAATCCACAGTACTCAGTTGAGCTCAGTAGCCTTCAAATCAGACAATGGTGTAGTCTGATATCTGCCGCAAGACCACAGTGTGCGGAAAGGATGCTTCCCCATCGGGCAATATTGCGTGGAAGGGGCGCACACCCCACCGTAATAGTCACGTGATACGATCTTGTGTTCGTCATCAACTAACTGGAAGCTTGCTGTCTTATACAGTTGCAGCGCTAATGCCGGTTGAAGGGCTATCGCTGCATCTCTTAAACCTTGGCATTTTATAAATGGGGAAATATCTGAATTCGGCGTGATTCACAATGTACACTCTCTGGATTGCCTAAGAGTTCGACCAAGAAATCAATTCAGAGATAAAATAATCCAGCATGGTAAGGTGAAATCAGAATAGAGCTGCTTTGATCTGTTGTATGTGGATTGTGGGTTTAAATTACATCTAGGCATCACACGATATAGCCCTGGCAGTCAAACTATCGTCCTTGGAACATTCCAAGGTTTTATCTTTCACCTAATGTACCTCAAATACCAGAATAACATTTCACTGCCAAGCCCATTTTTCAAAGTGTATGCGGAGTCAAGTCGCCTGTAAGGGACAGCGTTTGAACCCCAAATGAAGACGTGATTTCTCTCAGATTCTCAATACCCGCCTTCCTCTAGCCAAGAGTATACTGCCATAGTGCAGGCCGAGCTCGCCAGTCCACATCCTTATGTTTTTACCCACCTAGGAATAAATCTTGGTAGGTGTCGGAACGGTGACGTTCTTACGGTGCATATGCAACTAGTATTCTCGATGGAATAGATCTAGGTGCGTCGATCCGAAGCTGTAAGAGGTGTGTTATTCAATCTTGTCCTCGCTGTAACTAAATAGATAAAACTCGCTATATTCACTCCATGTCGGACCAACAGCATCGCAACCATTCTCATTGGTCCTGTGCCCCACTTTGGTCTAGTGGTATCGACAGTAGGTGAGGGTGTTTAGCACATCCCCCTAACGCGATAAAGATGACGAGTGGCTGCTACAATCTATAAACCCAGTCTTCAGATCTGTTTTATAATCATCAACTATCACAATGATTATACTACGTCTCATACTAAAATCAGATTCAATTTCTGAGTCTTTCTGCCATCACTACTTGAAACGTCAGCATTCGACAAGAATGGTGTTTCCAGTATTGAATTTTGAGGTTTCAATGGCACAGACCAAATCGGCATCGCTATTTTCTGTTTGAGCTCCATGGGTTCAGCGAAATTCGCCAGTTATTTCAATATCAAAGACCTCATCCAAGAAAGCGAAAAATAATCAACAAATTGATAGGCTTTTCATAGGCAATGAATCTTTTGGCCACATGTGTTTGTTCACAACTCTTGAGATATCAAAATCATCAGACTTCAAGTCTCCCTCCATATTCCGCGTTGTGGAATAATTTCCATATCTACATCCCTTGATATCTCCGTTTCTACTCCCTTAGCTACTATTCTCGATTTAGTTTTCATATCAAATCACTCACAGCTATTAAAAAGTGCAATATTCGATCAAGAGCCAATTCTCCCTCTCAATTTCGCTTTCAACTCCACTTGAACCATTTTATTCCAAGGTTAACTGCTCGTTTCCAAGGAACCTACTCATACATAAGCTGACTTCCCTCCACGTATGCTTCTTCCCTTCTACCTACTCTTCCAACCTAGCAAATAATTATTTTTCATGACATTCACACATTCTCTACTATACCTCAAAACACATGCATATCGTCCCACTGTTGGAAAATGGAAACAGCTAGATAATGCACCTGTCTCAAAATCTCGATGCAAGCCACACCTGACAAAGACTGAATAGCCGGCGCTCGTAATCGAAACAGAAGATTCGGAGGGCATTGCACAGCTCATAACTAATGATGTGGTCTTCCATGTAACAGGACTGCCTTTCAACACCTTGATTGCAACCCGATCTAAATAATTGGCAAGAACATGCTGCAGAAGTCATCCTCGCTAATTAATGAACAGGATATAAGAAACTGTATTGAAATCATCCCAGGCAGAATGGTGGGCCGATGTTATCGAGCAAGATGTTGATATTGCCAACCCTTGTACGAAGGTTTACCACCAATATCGAATATTTCTCTTACTCATACCTAGGAATTTCTTGGCGTCAGCAATTCTTTGTTTACCCCGAAAGATTATTTTCATTATAAAGGCTTACACCAAAGAACGGAAGCCACATTCAATTGTCTTCAACAACCATTTGGCCGAGATCAATAATATTCATGGCGGGGTTTTCCGTTGAAGATGTATTTCTGCTTTCTCATCTCTTACTACTAGGCTAAGCGAATGCAGCGAGCGATCTTGGAAGATAAAGATACAACCAAACTCGAGACGCATTGCCAACAAACATCGGTTCCAATACCGACTGTGAAGTCACTGAAGCCAGTCACATTTCTAATTTCTCACCTTTTTCAGTCTGTTTTGACCATCTTGGGCAATCATGTTCTCTCTCTCTCTCTCTCTCTCTCTCCGGCCTTTGGCGAGCAATTAAAGTTATAGTATTTTCATTATCATATGCAGCGGATAAATTTTAATTGAAGAATAAGTATTTTCTAGATTTCCTTTATATTTTGTTTTACGTTGAGATTTTGAGGCTGAAAAGCATCTAGTTAATCTTCTATGAGTTGATTGAACGAAGGCGATAAGAAAAATATCAAGCCATACACAGAAGGGGCTAGGAAATGGCTGGCTGCACATTATCATTTAGCACAACTCCACATCTCGACACTTTTGGACATTGCCAAATTTTATCAAACACCCTCGGATTATGCCAAATCAACTATGGGGTACCCGGGATGAGAAAATTAGCGACGGTGGGGGTCTTTCTAATATATAGCCAGCCCTTTGAAAAAGGCATTAATTGATTAGCGCATGCAAAGCGTCAAGTATCACTAATATTCGAAGAACAAGGCACAGGAATGTATGCAAAAGTACTATTTTCGAACATGATTTCTGCGCACAGGCTATAGTTGAATTATGAGTATTGATCAACAAATGGTTACCATAATACCCCCAGAAGACCGTTCTCAATCGGAGACCGCAGTCAAAAGCATATTTAATAGAGAATCAGTCTCAAACCCTGGAGAAGAAGCTATCTAGGGCGGGCCTGGACCCCACTCAGTTAAGGAGGCCCACTTATGGAGACGCTGGCGTTTGAGACTGGACCCTGGGTAATTCTTGTATCCACTAAAAATGAAAAAACGGAATTCCAGTGTCAGTTCACAATCCTTGTAGATCAGTCAGAGGGATCGACACCAATGATCATCACAATCAAAATGTGGAGGTGAGGATTGATAGAGAATTGTTGCATAAGGAAGTATTCCGAAGAGTCCTAGCCCCTCTAATGTTTTGTCTGTGCGAAGAACTGGAACTTTTGCACAGTCACATGAAGACATAAGCACTGTAACCTCAAACCCTGGAGCACTATATCTGGGTATTGACGCGCGGACGTGGAGAAGCGGGATAAAGAGGGCGAGTCAGAGTAACGTGTTTAAGTCTCCAGGCCTTGGCATGGTCAAAGTCAGTTTGACCGGGGAAGATCTTGTACATTTTACCGTCCATTTGATGCTATATCGGCTTTTCAAATGATATGCAGAGTGGTTTTGAATATTGACATGTCTCAACATGATCAATTGGCAGTTCAGAAAAAGAAAAGAAGACAGAAACGGAAAAGGGCGGGTAGAGTTGATGTATTATATTGGACGGACCAAGTACGTCATAGCAGTGGGCCAGAATCACGTCCTGTTAGGGAAGTGATCAGCGTTGCCTCTTTGGGGTCCATGGAAACTCAATATTATCCCCTTGATTTCCCGTGGCGCTGTTGGTTATGTTCCTTTACCTTTAGTCCTACTCTATCCGCCCGTCTCCTGCCACTAGATCATATATAGCTGGTCTTTGCTCGACCGTGGACCTTTGCATTCACAAACGCGTGCGCGCAATGCCGATGATTAACCGGTAACCTTTCAGCTTCCTCCCTTCGTGTAACAGCAAAATCGAAAATCCAGAGACGCACATATCAGTCGCGATACTCTTCACATACAGATAATGCTCCTTCAAGGCCGAGAAAAGGCGATCCCGGCCACCTGGGCCTGGAAGAAAATGATGCGCTTTGTGGTCATCTTTATATCTGTGGCAGGTTTCGCCGCTCTATTATGGCCTTCGTCCGATGAACACAATACGCTGCTATATACCCCCTCCAATATTACCATTTCCAAGTCCGTGAAGTGTGATCCAGATCTTGAAACCTTGCGCCGACTCGATGTCAAGACACTAGCCGCCTACACGCGTCGGGAGATGCTAGTGAATATAACGGACGAATCGCTACCTATAACCCATGCGCTCGATATGCCGCTACTATCCATGAAAAATACTAAGACATCGCAGCATGTAGGTGTCGAGGAGATATCAGATGGCTGCACCGTTCCAATCCCAGTGTCTGTGCAAGTCCCCCAACCACCGAAGTTGGCCGATGCTTCTCACATTGATTTTGGCGTTGCTACAACTATATCGCGACTGAACGACTCCCTGGATCAATTTGCTCATTGGGCAGGCTATACACGCACCCGAATTTTTGCTTTGGTAGAACCCGAGAAGGATAGTGGAAATGGAGTCAACTATCTAAGGACCAAGGCCGACGCTCTTGGCATTAACCTGGTGGTCACGGTATCTGATGACGACTATCTGTACCGCTATTTTGCCCTCGTCCCATTGCTGCAGCAGAACATGCGCGAGTCAACACGCTGGGGGTGCATTATCGATGACGACACGTTTTTCATCTCCATGGCGGCTCTGGTAGACGCAATGGATGGCTACGATCATACAAAGCCCATGTATGTTGGAGGTTTATCAGAGGGAATGCCACAGATTGCTGTATTTGGCATGATCGCGTTTGGAGGCGCTGGCGTCTTCTTGTCGAGACCACTCTTGAATGAAATCACAGCCGTGTACAATGAATGTGAACAGATGACATATACCGGTGACCGCCGTCTCGCTAACTGCATTTACCAATACACAACAACGCGATTGACCGTGGACCATCGGCTCCGCCAACTAGATTTGATGAAGGATGCCTCTGGATTCTTCGAGTCAGGCCGAGAACCACCTCTGTCGGTGCACCATTGGAAATCCTGGTTCGAAAGCAACATTCCCAAGCTCGCTGTGATCTCCAACCTTTGCGGAGACACATGTCTGCTGCGTCGGTGGTTCTTCAATGACAATTGGTACCTGACGAATGGGTTCTCCATTGTTCAATATGGCTTCGAGAACACCCCTGCCCCGAACGACATCACCATGGAAATGTCCTGGGAACCGCACAATGGTGCAACCGACGAATCTTACCTACACGAGCTAGGTCCTCTCCGCCGTAAGGACGATGGTAAAGTCAGCTACCTACTCGAAGATGCTATCGTCGACTCAGATGGCCGTGTAAGACAATGGTACATTAAGCGTGATTCGAAGAACGGTGATGAGATTATAGAGCTCTTGTGGCGTAAACAGTGATGAGATTCTGATAATGGATTTGGTATAGCGTTTTTCGAATTTCCTGCATAGACTGGAATCTACATGGTGTTTTTCTTTTCTTTTTTCCCATACTTTTAGGTTTTCTTAACTGGTGCATGGTCTTTAACACATAGGTTCTTGAAATGGGGTGCTTGTTTATAACCGATGATGCATTTGATCTGATTCATTATTTGATATCTGTACTTATTCCAATGCTATGGATTATAATTCCCTGCTGAAAGTACAATAAGTTAGCATTCTCTTCATATTTTCGTAGAAAATGGTTGAATCCCGTTCGTATTTACTAATTTAAACTATAGATGTCTAGATGTAACATTACGAGAAAAAGAAGTGTCTCTCAAGCATGGAATGAGTCTATGCATGCCGATGTAGCCTCTTTCAATTCTTGATCTGTACTAGCATAGGTCGATGTCCAGGTTGTACATCTGGGCACAATATGTATCATGATCAGTATTACTCTGCAGTGAACGATCGATAGTTACCCATCCCATTTTTCCAATTTCTTATTCACTGGTCCTCAAAAAGAAGACTTACTTGCTTATTTATAGTCGAATTGTGCTAATTTCAAGGTCTGCAATAACGGATCTGCGTAGGTCTTGAAATTGCCCTGAAGGCCCGTCGTCGTCAATTATCCCTATATCAAACTTCAACTCATAAATTCCTCCACTCTAAAATATCGTGTAGTCCTCGCAATACTCCCAGAACGCCAAATCATAGCTTCATCGGGGTATTAATTCGATGCCAACTTGTATAAGCTTCTTCTTCTTAAAGCTTTCGTGTGACTAAGATCAGGTCCATGTCCGTTGAACCTATCACGTAAAAGATCTCGCCCTCCCAAACTCGCACGTCTTGTAGCGATCGAAGTTCTCTATCTTCTTTTCGCCAAATTGAAGTTTGTATTTCACAAATGCATTATCCGATCAAGGCTTAGACCCTTTTATTGGGCGAAATAGGCATGTGGTGTCGAGGGGTCACGTCCAGATTCAGAAAGAGTCACCGATGCTGTGTAATGAGATCTTTACTTCGCTCTTCTCAGGCATCATTCATGAATGTTGAGATATGTAAGTGCTTTATTCTCTTAAACTTTGATCATGATTAAGAGATCTATTGATCCTAAAAGAGATGGGATCGGATAGATCGTATGTACTTAACCTTTGCTGATATCCTGACTCGAGATGCTTGAAAATATCCAGACTAACAGAGGTCTAATGTGAATGAGAGGTGATTTGATGTTTACATCGACTGAGGTCCAGCTCACTTGAAGAAATCCGTACTGACAAGATGTGATATGGATAGTTGTTATGTGCTTGCTTCTACCCAGAGGCTATACTTAGGAGATAGCCTCGAGATATCCAGACTAATAGGTTGATAAGATGTAGTACGTTGTCAACCACTTCCCTCATGAAAGATAACTTGGATATTTCAAAGATTGTTTACTGACAGACCTAATTTGAAAGCTTGTACGTGCTTATCCTTCCACATGACAGATTACTTGACAGTATTCGGACTACGTATGAGGTGCGGATAGCCTGTACGGGATTGAGTGAACCCTTTCCTTGAAATATAATCCTGGCTGCCAGATATGGAACGCTTGTGTAAATACTTACTCCCTGGATTGAAAATAACTTGGAGATATCTAGACCTAGACTTACAGAGATGCGAGTAGATCGTTTGTGCTGAGCTTGCTTCCTTTTTTAAAAAAAAAAAAAAAAAAAAAAAAAAAAACAAATGATTTGGAAATACCATAGACGTTGGATGCGAATAGAATGCATGTGTTCAGTACCCTTTCACTTGATATATGATCAAAACATGATCAGGCTCTAACGGTATGTGCATAGGCTGTACGTGCTCAACGTTAACTGTCTTTCAAGTGAAGGGCTGAGGGCATCCATACCAACTGTTCGCATTCTATCTCTGTTAGTCTGCATATCTACAATCTATCTTTGAGTGAGAAAAGGGGGTGGATACACCCTATCCATGTCCCATATTTGTCATTCTGGGTATCTTAACTAAAGTAAATTGATCTCTTATGTAAACGAGCGCTTGGATTTTCCGAAGGGTTACTAACAGATTGGACTTTGGTAGATTGTATGTTTATATCATTCACATGCGATCCATGGATGACTCGGAGGTATCCAACCCTTGGAACTGACAGAGATTAGATTTGAACAGGACCTCAGAAGGTACGTCATACTCTACACGTCTTCATCTACTTAAAGCTGCTATCAGACTTGGTACTATAATTATCCCAATATTAATTCTACGCCACTTTGAAAATTTCTCTGGAAAACTAATGTTGGGTGCTATAACCCTGGGCTTACTTCAATTGATATCACCGAGAAGATATGATCTATATAAGAGTTCAGAGTCACACCTGGGCACTGTCATCGTTTCATATTTCCTTCCGACTTTCCCAGGTTCTACACGCCCATCGCCAAGGCTCGGGCTGGGAAGTGTCTCAAGTGTCAGTAATTGGACTTTGGTATTGTCAATAAAATTCTAAGGTATTGAATGGGGGTTTCAATTGTCTCGGTTGAGGTCTTCTCCTATACTATGGAGGTCTTGAGTTGGGTTTCCCTCGGCCTTTATGCGAATGCAGAGAGTCCTTATACTACGTTTTATGGATGGATTCATCTAAAAACAGTGGTATGCCTCTTCACTAGCTTTAGATATAAGCCAGCCTTGAACCCTCTCCTACATATATTGGTATCACCACCTGAGCAGATAACTCTACCCAAGATGATTCCTGAGGTCACGATACCCCAAGCAACTTCTTCCGGTGCTAGTAGCCGCGGTAATTCTTTCTCCAGTCCTCATTACGGATACAACTGTATTAAATTAAGTTCAGTTCACGCTATTCGTTCGACCTCAGGAAATTTGTATCCAGGTAGCCTGCCATTCCAAGGTTGCACGTGCCTGAGGTGTACCGGTAACGGCAGAGATCGGACGGATTTCTAAATATGTTGTGCTGACCCGCTTGGTACCTTCCAAGGACCAAGGTACGACCCCGGGGGCAATCAGAGTTTCTGAGAAGATTCTAGAAGTATATTGGTAAGGCTCAGCCGTTAAGAAAGACCCGTGGATGGCAATAAGGCTTGGAACCTTAAGAGTTTTTGAGGGCTCATCCCGCTGACCTCGGAATAATTATAGATCAATTACCTTTTTAGGTACTTCAAGTTTTTCCGAAAGCGCTCCAATACTCACTTTTAACAGTGCGCTCAGAATAGATGTGAGCATGAACAAGATCTGGACGTAGTTGCAAGAATCTAGACTGCAAAGCTCGGATTACATGTAGCACCGCTCCTCAGATTAACTGACTAGCGGCAGCATTCATCGGAATAAGCGGAATTCTAGGAGTCGCTTTGAACCTGGAAAGGCAGGGATCGGACGGGCTAAGCGGGTGTGTGTGGATTCAAATGCGAGCGCTCAGGGCGTGATAGGGGTATCCACGCCGAGAATATCTGTACGTGCCTTCCAATTCAGCCGATTGATGGATGGGCAATGCGATGGAGTCATAATTGGAATAGGCAGCCTCCTAGAATCTTGGAAACTTTGGAAGAAATAATGTACTTATCGTAGGTACATGTAAGATAAGATATCTGTGGATGCCTTGCATGGTTGAGTATTTTTAGCCTACAGCCGAAGATCGTTATAAACGAAGAGCTTTCTCACATGGCCATAGGCGGAACTTCTAATCATGATTCATCTCACTGCACTTGCTCTTATTTATCAGAGATTTATCCGAAGCTGGCCTCAAAGTAATGTATGCCTTCAAGGGAAAATACCTAGGATACCCCCTGAACGACGATTTAGAGCTACTACCTACTGTTCCTGATCCTTCAGTGGGATTGCAAGGCTACAAGGCTGCAAGGTTATCACATTCGGCCGAAACATGAAGGATTCAAATGTTCGGCAATTTATATCAAACTGTCGAATTGTTGAAAAACCTACTCTACATGAGACCTCAGGACTTTGAAGGATGCAAAGAACCTGGAAAAGTAGAAATAGCCACATCGAGTTAGGGATGTAAAAGTAATGTGAGAGATCCTCCAGGTACTGAGAATCAGAAGGGAGATTGCGGGGCATACACTAGTGAAGAAGAAACCACAGTAAAGATCAGACGTGCGATTGCGGCGGAACGTAACCGTGCGAAACACACTAAGAGATGATTTATAAGTTTATTAATTCTAGAGGGATCAATAAATCTCAAAAATGCGCTCGAGGAGATGAGCCAAGGATTACATCTCGATCTCATTGATTTGTATTTTGATTTTTGAATTTAAATTATTAGTCCGTGTCGGACAAGGTGAACTGCGTGGGCCAGTGCACGATACCCCAGTGACATCATGACTACAGATAGTTTACAATATCTATTCTTCATCCCGATGTACCTTGGTCAAAGCGTTGAAGGGGTTGGCCCTTTTTGATTTTCCGAGTTTTGTTTCCAATGTGAATTTAGAAAGAACTTGACACCTGGACACATTTTCTGGAGCAGAAAATCAGGGGGTCATAGAAGACTATCCGGTATGGAATATTAATCCGTTACTCCGTTGCTCCGTAATGCTAGCTACTAATAGAATTATGGATCCTAGCGGAACTTGATACACCTAAAAGCGTCTCAGCCACAACCATGTGGAATCACCCTCAACCAATCAAGTCTAGCTCTCTGTTAGTCATGGAATCATCATAATAAAACTATATATAATAATAATCAAAAATAAATATTTAATTATTACACATAAACATCAGGAGTAGAAGATACATCATCATTAACATTGATGACACCGCTCTTTTAACAACACATTAGTGGATTGTGGATTATAGTTAGTATAGAATGGCCTCTAACCCCTGAGAGGTGTAGTTTGGCATACTTGGCTAGGTACGAATACGTAGTACGCTAAGAAAGAGGGGATATCATGCAGTGAATCATTATGGAGGGGTCAATGATCACTTTTGCTTTAACTTCATAGCTCTTTTCTAATTCCTACCGGAGTGAGTTGGTCATAAACCCCCCTTTTAGGACCTGTAGGCCCACCAACGTATCGGACAACACATACCGACTTGTCTTCAGAGGACTGAATACCCCCACTATCCGACTGGATCTGTGAGGTGGCTAAGGTGGACATGGGGCAAATGGTGACCGCTGTTCTGACCCTTTTTTCTTCCCTTCTATGACTTCCATCACCCTTCGAATTTCCTTCTGGAAGGCCACCAGAAGGTTAGGGGAGGCTTGGCATAGCCAATCTAAACGCGATCCTCCAGCCCGCTGGCTCCATCGGGGGTGGATAGTGGAGACTAGTCGAGGTTGAACACGGCCGAGTTGTGCTTAGTGTATGGAAGGGAAAAGGGGGAAGGAAAGACAAGATGGAATTCTTAATTACCGAAACACTTTAGAATGGTCTCCACTTCTAGGATCGTCAGGAAATCCGGGAGGTTTTGCCGCCTAACGGTGTTGGTAGTTCTTATGGGAAAATGGTATCTTAGGCCAAGGTTGCACGGTCAACTTCGTTATACGTTTCGACACATTGACCTTGGGAGGAAGTGCAAAAGCACGTACTATGTGTTCACGTCTCACCACAGTGTAACGAGCCACATCGTGTCCCGAGTGAGATATGAAGATGTGAGATGTGAGATGTGAGATGTGAGATTCATGGTTTCCAAAGGTTAGCTTGTTTCAAAAACTTCTAGAAAACTTGCTAGGAACAGGTCCTCGAGATGAGGGGGTGGAAAGAATAGATTGCCACCGTGAGAAGGTTTCGGCTCACACTTTAGGCATCAAATGGAGTATAGGCCGTCTGTCACCTTTACCTCGTGAGTCCTGAGTCATGTCGCACCATAGTAGTAGAAACATGCAAGTCATCTCATTAAGTTCCGAAAAACATCGTATTCCAAAGGTTTCCCCCTCCTTTGACGTGTACGCCTTTGATATCTTTACCTGTTTTACGGACAGTAGAAGTTATTGTTGTTATGTTGACACGGGAGTAGATGATATCCCGTTCAGTGATTGCCCCCTTTCATGCAAGTTCCAAGGCTAAGACTTGGTCAAAGTCTAACTCCAGATATTCCTATCTCTACAGGCCTTGCGTCATTCGTTCCTCGAAGATCCGTTAGGATAACTTTTGATGGTTGTTTCACACTAGAGGTGGGTTTAGCCGGATGATCTAGAGACTGCCAATAAGGTAGACCGAAAAATGATCAGTTAGAAAAAAAAAAAGCAAGTAAATCATCGCTCGTATCCACTTCCAATTTGTACAAGAGACAATGCTAGTGGAGCTGTTTTGTAGCCTTCTGGTGCGGTTGGGTTTCCTTCTAGCGCTTCTCTGGGTCCCGGCTAAGTGAAACTAGCTAGACCAAGTGTAAATGGAGTACTATTAACAGCTAAGTATTTTAGCATTTTACTATTTTAGCATTTTACTATTTTACTATTTTAGCAATTTTACTTTTCCTATTATTATTTATTTCTAATTTTCCGGATCGATCGAAAAAGGGTGGAAAATAGGGGAGATGTGAAGAACCGGCTGATACTACTATATTGAAGGAAAAAGGAGTTTATATAGAAATTAAAATATAATCAAATGAGATTAAAGGCTAGAATCTCCATTGAGAGCTTCAATTTCCAGTCTATTAAGTGGGGTTGAAACAAAAGCGAGGAAAAAAATAAGTTGGCTAAACTAACTAAATAGGTGATGTATGTGCTTTGTACTTCGAGCCTGAGTGGCACCTACCACACCTAAATAATCACAGTATTATCTCCCTTTATTATCTTCCCTCAACCCCCCTCCCCTTTCCTCTTTTCTTTCCTTACATTCTTCGGTATCTCAACCCTAACGAACTTACATCTATCTGCTTCCCGACATTTCCCTCGACTCCTCCTCCCTTTCAACCTCTGCCCAACTCTCCCCAGCCTAATACCTCGGCCATTTCAGTCTGAAGTACTTGATAAAGAAGGTTCGTTTTATTCTAGGTTGAATGGCCTCTACATTGCGATTCCCCAATTGTGACATCGCTGCTTCTGGTCTATCTTTCGTGCGCCTCCTATCTTACCTGGTGTTGAATCTACGCTCTGGAAATCCTGCGTGATCCCTTACCCGGCATCACTGTGGAGAACTTGCCATTTCAGGCCAAAGAGTCAATACAAAGAAGTGAATGGCGGGCTCGATCAGGTTCGAGGGGGCACATAAGAATACTGGGCCAGGACCCGTGTTTTTCTGTTTGGTGATCGTCCCGCTAACTCTGCTTATTCGCGACAGAACTGCTCCCGCTTCCTCCGCATTCCCCCCTCACGGTCATCTTAACCATCCCCCTCTACTTATACCTGGTCGCTTCGACAGGTGTTGATCTCGCTTGATACGTGTCAAAGTCAGCGTATTACTGCACGCTTCCCATCGTCCTTGACCCCGTAGCTGGATTTCGGCTTGTTTTGAAAGTCTCGAAAAAAAACCTTAACGCAGGACTCCGATCGTCATCACTGTATTGGGCATCAACTCGTTTCAAACAAAGATTACTTGATAAACGCGCGTCTCACTTGACGGAAGCGCCATCCGGACGAAGTTTCATTCGACACCATCGTGGACCCAAAGAACCTCGATTCTCCTCGATCAAGGTCTTGCCTTCATCCCGGGTTTTGGTGAATACTGTCAAATTGTTGGTTATTCATCTCTCAAGCTCTACAAACACGCGCAACCCGTTTAACAACGGCCAAAGCAAGAAAGGACACGTCTCTGCGCTGTCCTTGACTACGGTCGTTTCTCTGATTGCTGGATCGGGTCATGGACTTCACGACCATCCTCAACCGGAAAAACTCTGCTGCTGCAGCAGCCGCCGCCGCTGAAGCACAATTGCACCACCACTACCTTCAAAGTGCTCACATGAATCACCACTCAAACATGAAGCCCGAGCCAGGTGCTTCGGACAGCCCCGTGAACGCTTACCCCCCTCACCAACTGGATTCAGGGCTGGCTGAATCCTACTATTACGCCCAGGCCTCCGGTTCTGCTCCTCGCAACATGGGCTATGTCCCTAGTGGATATGCCGGTGACCACCAGATGCAGCAGGCAACCTCCCTTCCTAGGACCGAGAACGAAGCTCCGCCAAAGACCTTTCACTGTTCGACTTGTAACAAAGGGTTTGCTCGTCGCAGTGACCTTGCGCGACATGGTGAGTGCTTAATTCTGCAAATATAACCCTCGCCCCACTAACGATCTCTTCAGAGCGGATTCACACTGGAATCAGACCTCACGCCTGCGACTGGCCTGGTTGTGGAAAACAGTTCATTCAACGCTCAGCACTGACCGTACACTCGCGAGTACACACCGGAGAGAAGCCGCATATGTGCGAGCGCTGTGGCAAGGTATGTTTAACTTACTTGATCCTAATTTTTGGAAAGGTTCTAATAGTTTCGTATAGCCATTTAGTGACTCCTCGTCTCTGGCCAGACATCGCCGCATCCATTCCGGAAAAAGACCCTACAAGTGCCCGTACGCCAACTGTCAGAAGACATTTACCCGCCGTACCACTTTGACAAGACACCAAAACCACCACACCGGGACCATCGAGGAAGCTGCTGCGGAGACAGAGGCCAACCTGCGTCAGAACAAAGAACGGCGTGCTGATGGCATGGATCATGGATCAATTCACTCCACTCCGTCTCCTAGCCACCATTCGTTGTCACCTGCCGGTGAACTTCCCCCGCTGAACATGCATCGTGAATACTACATTGGCAGTATGCCCATCCCACCCCATGTTCGCGGTGACTTCTCCCAAGCTAGCCCTCGTGCTTCCCCCACCGCCACCTCTCCCTCCCTCTCCAGCTATGGCAGCGCACCCCACGTTCGGCCGTCGATGACGTCTCACCCATACGCTCTTCCGCAACCGCTTGAGCCCCCTGCCAACACTGACCACCGGCCGAACAGTGTTACTGGAAGCCCGCACATGACTAGCATGGGATGGGCCTCGCCTTCTCATGGTAGCATGCCGTCGCCCGGATCCCCTCATGATTTCAGCTATCCTGAGCCCAGCGGCCCGGCATACCCCACTGCCATGCCTCCCCACATGTACTTCCCCAATTCTACAATTCGCCGGCCCAACAGCACCGAGCCAGAGAATTATGAGACCAAACCCAGAATGGGCGACCACACTTGGTCTACAGCAGTATGATGATGCAGGCTAATTCGAATCATCGATTCTCTACCTGACATCCATACAAGTCATTTCCTTTGTTGATCCGAATTTCCTTTGTTTGAATCTCATCATTGCATATCTCCCCTTGATTCGTATTTCATTCGTTTTCACTACATTACCCAACTGTGCTGTATTGTTTTGCGTGCATATTTGCTTCTTTGTGTCTATACTAAGGGGCGATTCCTCCCCTGACGGAGTCCGAACAGCATGTGATAGTGTTCCAAGTTCAAGTTGCTCTTAATTGTTTATTCATTTTTTTTGACAGGCGTTCTTGCTCTCAACAACATACTACACTCATTTTTTTTCTCTAAACTTCCTTCGGATGACATGGAGACACGATCAGACGAGGAACAGCATAGATAGAGCGTGGAATTAGGGAAGTTCTTTACTGGAATAACATCATATCGGATTTTTGGGAAATAGGGGTCTGGGTTTGTCTTTTTTCATTTCTTGTTTTTCCAAGTCGCAGGGCAGACTGATCCATCGTGTCGGCGTCTTATGGTATTTGGTTTCCTTTCCATCTTCCCCTTTTGCTTTTCACCTTTTTCTTTTCTTTCTGTTTGCTTCATACACACTCTTAATCCCTTGCTTTTTATACTGTTATCTTTTCCTTGTCTCTTTTGTCTTGTCGTTCCTTGCCATCCCATCCGAATACCACTTTGTATGAGGTTGATCCTCTATCTGTTCTATTCATGTATGATATTAGACAGTCTAATGATTTGATTTTATCCGTTCAATACTCCCTGGTCAAGGTACTATGTACGCTACCTTAGTGTCTAACTCTCTACTATTGAAATGGGGCGGTAGCGTATATAGCAGATCGTTGAAGTAAATAGTACTTGAAGTACTTGGGCTCAGGTTTTTCCGCCTACCTAGGTAGTAGTTTTCTTCGGACGCTTTTCCTTGTACAGTTCTTTGGATGCAAGGCACCGTTTCGCCGTACTTTTCTACCATTGGTTATGAATTATTGAGCCCTATGGGATACCACACACACACACCTGCCCTCTGGTAGCCTTCTCATATTAGTTCTTCTCTTGTTTACGGTAGCCCAACCATATTGGACTCTAACCCTTACACTCTTACTGCCTAGTTCCATATCTGAGTTTTCAACATGTTCCATGTGGATTTAACAACCTTTGATTCAGGCACAGTGCGACATTGAAACCTTAAATTGCTCGTGGCATGAGTTTCTAGTTAGAAGATTTAGATCTGTGAGGCGAATACCTATGAGCCAGTAATCAGAGCTGCGTAGAATAAAGAGACCTTCATAAAACAACCTTGAGATACTAAAGAGAAGTTCGGTTTGATAGCCTAGCAGGATATTTACAAATGATGGTACTATATTGACAAGGTGTCTTGGGTATTATAAGTTCCCTGTAAAGGTGTTTCCAGAAGAATAAACATTTAAAGCCTTGACATGAAAACGATAGACACTTGGCGTCCTACATGAAAGTTTGTGCAAGGTTCAGTGCTGACAAAACCTTGGAAAACCACAAGCCCAAGTTCCTATTACTTGCAAGACGACCACCACTGAGTAGTTTCGACGCATGTATACGGGGACTGGCACTGAGTAGAACCGGTATATCCAGTGCCGCCACACTGGTCCCACTGACCAACGAGGGTCTCAGTAGCGCTGGCGCCAACCGGTGCTGTTGAAGTAGCTGTGGTTGTAGCCTTTGTTGTAGTATACAAAGTTGTAGCTGCAGTTATAGTTGAAGAAATAGTCGAAGAGATAGTTGAAGAAGTAGTTGAAGTAGTTGAAGTAGTTGAAGTAGTTGAAGTCGTTGAAGTCGTAGTTGAAGGAGTAGTTGAAGTAGTTGAAGTAGTTGACGAAGCGGAGGCACTGAGGTCACTGACAACCGTGTTGAGTAAACGGCTATTACCGTAGAGCTGAGACATATCCCAAATCATGATTCCTCCAAAACTACTATACTGCTTCGAGTAGGAAATAGCCGCTTGAAGCTGAGAGCCATTCGTATAGCCAGAACCAGCAGCGCTTGAGCTGGCCGGAATACCCAGAAAGACCTTCACGTCGGGGTTCAAGCTGCTCTTGGCCCAAGTGTCCCACTCATCGAAGTTGAAAATAGATTGAGTAGTAGCGCCAACGACGAAGTTAGTTGTTTCACACCAGTTGTTATAGAATTGCACCATGACAAGATCGAAAGCAATGGCGTCAAGCGTCGACCCGTCGGCAGAATCAGGAAAGGGGCACTGGGGTGCAGCAGATAGATAGTATTTCTTGTCAGTGGCGGCATTCATTAAGCTGCGTAATTCAGCGCCGAATGCTGGGAGGTTAGTGGCTGTTGACTCGAAATCAAAATCAAAGCCATCGATGACAGCGTCTCCGAAAGGGCGATCAACCTCCGCACCAGTTGGACCGAACATATCCCAAACTGTCTGCGCCGCATTTTGGGCATCAGTTGTGGAAGACCATCCTCCCTGGGTATACGCGGAGCCTCCAAGTGACAGAAGAATTGTCTTGCCGTAGGTTTTCTGGCAGATCTCAATATCATCCCTAGGCGGCAGTTAGAAAATACAGGAGTGGTGAATTAGGATTGACCTACGCGATCTGAGGACAGTCGAGGAGATTAGAGTTGTCAGAGAATGAGGTGCAGTTGTCTCCAGCGTTGGCAAAGTTTGTAATAGCAGGAGTAATGCCGTTCATGAAAGCAAGAGGAATAATCTAGCAACCTATTAGTATTATCAGCATGTGATTTTGAATATTTCATACTCACATCAATATCAGTGTCTGGAGATCAGTAGAATTTGCCCAGTTAGCTAATTGTTTCGCTCGATATGAAATATCGAGTCAACAGATCTTTATGAAGACTCACTAGAGCAGTAATAGGCGAGTCTCTGCTGAGCAAGCGAGCCTTTAGCCTGATTGAACGAATTCTGTCCTAATTGTTGACTATATCAGCTCTGTCTTTTCTTTCCATCAGCCCACTGTAAGAAACTGTTCATACCCCAGTATACTGCAATGTTCGAGGATGATGTAGGATCAAATCCGGCATGAACAAAGGGGATGAGGGCTGAACCCAAAATGCACAATATGGAGAGCACCTGCATGATTGAGATAGATTGAACGATAAAACTTCGTACACAGTGTGCAATTGAAGATCTATAGCAGGATGCTTTGATACTGCTTGATAAGGATGGATTGAATGGATGTTATCGTTCCAAGATTGGAGGGTCGAGTATACTTCCTATATATGCGCCAACATGGCGATGCTATCAGGAAAAAGTTACATCAGGAGATTTGCTCTAAGGAGGCGTAGGTAGAGTAGCATAGACTCTCAAGATCCAAAAGTCTCATGTGTTTGTGATGTGTGATGATAAAATCTTCTAGTGTCGAAACCCAGCGAAGCTGCAAGTAACAGTGTAGACAAAAGACTCAGGAATATCAACTTTTTCATGGCTGATGCTACTCTGGCCCTTCGGCCGGGGTAGCAATTCGAAGCTATCAAGCAAGAATCGCAACGTTGGGGTTTCAACGCTCGAAAGAAATCCATCACATTGATGATATGCAACCTTGGAATCTTCAAATGACAGGGGAATAGTGAAGCAAGGTCAACTGAGGCTTGATATCAGACATTAAAGAAAATTTAGCCTGTGGAAGATCTTATCTCCATATGGAGTAGACCAATGGTCGTTGTGTCCATGCAACTGTACAATTAATCAAATCTTAAGAGTGCAATCAAGACTTGAGGGCCGAAGAGATCAGACCCCGGGGCACGCGGCCACTTTACTGGTAGTATTGATGCCACCAATTACACTTAAGCTCATTACCCCTTTTGCAAGGTTTAATTCCTTTCATTTCTCTAGCCATGTGGTCTTATCTCCTATATTAAAGTCGTCCTTTTGTTTTTGGATCTACAGCTCCATGCATGAAGCAGAGCTGGACTTCGTCAGGTGTAATGTCAGATGCCTGATTTTAAATCTCCGCCAATGCACAGGGCCTGATAGGCGCCCGCGAAATTGAATGGCGCTGGTCCATCACTTATTTCAAGCTTGTGGGGATGTTGAAATAAATTGAGGTAGTAATGTATTGATTACCCTCAGGTGAGTGATTCATTATGATGGTAGTACTCAAGATATGGGAATGGCAGAGGCAATTAGTACTAGGGGAACAACCTTGAAGTTCAAGAGAGTTGATGGCTAGAGATAAACATGTGGAGATGATAAATGTTTAATACTAGGTTTGTGAACTAAGAAATTACGTCACTTCTCCGTTCCGTGAAGAGCGGTCAATATACCCCAATCATAAGATCTATATCAGCCCCGGAGGTTGAGGGTAAAAGGGACAAAGGGACAAAGGGATATTTCACCTGCTGCCCGCATGATGAGACGCATGGCGCTCCACTGTTCCTGCGCCACATGACTTTTATTTCCATGAGTACCGGAAGATATTGAATTTACAGTATTTTACTCCGCACGGAGTACACCGACGGAGATCAGGTGACACTTCGATATCGACTTTTCTGACCAACTGACCAATAATCCAAATATTACGAATGAATGGACACTGTATTTTCTAACTAGCGCGAGAAAATTCTCAAGTACACACCCAGACTGGCTTATGCAAACATAATAAACATAGCCCTGGGTTAACAGGCAAAAGATATCAGTGAGCTTATGTAATACTCTCAGGGTGTACTTGGGCATATTTTTATAGACCAGAAATTAGCGGGTTTTGTATAGGAAATCAAGTTTGCTGCTATTTTCTTCCGCTATAGCAGTTGCGGAGCTGCTTTATCCGGGTTCACTGTAAGGGCTCACGGCGAAGCCGAGCCCTTTCTAAATATAGTATAGCGCCTTGAAAACCCGAAAGCTGATCGGGCCGATAACTCTTTTTTACGAGATTCACTACTCTAAGCCATGATGAAGACCTGCGTTATTACATTCGTCACAGGCAATTCTAACAAAGTAGTGGAAGTCAATGCAATATTGGGAGAGTCGCTTACCATACAGGCTTGTGCGCTAGACATTCCGGAGATACAGGGAGCTGTGAAGGAGATTGCGAGAGACAAGTGTAGACGTGCTGCCGAGATTGTAACAAGAACTGATCTGATTTCGAAAATTGGTTGATATAATAGGCTAATTTGGGGCTAGGTCAATGGGCCAGTTATTGTTGAAGATTGTTCGTTGGAATTAAGTGCTTTGAATGGACTTCCTGGTCCATATATGTAAGTTGTTTGATCTAGTGCTCAAGGACTAGGTAACAGCTGATAGTATGTGTAATGCTTATGTTTATTATTTAGAAAATCTTTCCTGGCATTGGGTAGTGATGGCTTGAACAAGTTGCTTTATGCCTATGCGGATAAAGGTGCAGAAGCCGTGTGTACCCTTGCCTTCTCTGTTGGTCCAGGAGCAGAGCCATTGATTTTTCAAGGAAGACTTAAAGTAAGCCTGGGAATTTCAAAATTAAAATGTGCATTCTGACCTAATTAAAGGGCAATATCGTTCCTGCTAGGGGCCCGTCTAATTTCGGTGAGTATAATCACCAATAAAAATGCTCATGTAGCCTTGGAAAGCAATACTGATGATTCCTCAGGCTGGCAACCGATATTTGAGCACAATGGGGAAACTCTCGCAGAAATGGGGGATGAGAAAAGAGTAAGAGCTAAACAGGCCAGTTTTACCAACGTACCTGTAACGACTGACGAAATTAAAGAACAACATTTCAGATCGATATCAAGCATGGGCCATGTTTCGAGATTGGTTCAGTGCAGGAGGGATTTACCCAAAAGAAACCTGATTGGCCTCTCCTACGGTTCTGCTATATGCCATGACCAATCATAATCATCAAAGTACTGTAACTATACATGGAATTTAAAATTCTTAATCATCATTGGAGTGAATGGTAAATGCGTGAGCTACTTTATACAACAGCTTTACTATGCTTTTTCAAACTTATTTACCCGGATTTTGGCCAACTGAAGCTTACATGGGGCGTAATTCCCTCCCACTGTTTGTAAATTCTGTCCACTTTGACAACCTAAGATTCTATCTAGATTTTTCTCTGCTTATTGTCAACACAGGACTGCAGGGTCGGTCTAGTATCATCAATTACCAGCTTATACCTATTAAAGTACGTTATGCCGTAGTGGCGAGGTTAGTGATTGAATTAAGGCTATTACCTAGGTAAGAGGAGCTATAAGCAACAAAAGTATTTGGGGATGGTCTATGTTTTTCAATTTCTTTCACTTTCACTTTCACTTCCTGTCATTCATGCTCCTGACCAAGGTCAAATATTCAACTTTATATTTCTTATACCTAGTCACAGTTCTATTCATGGACTATCTGCTTCCTCCATGTCAGAAAGACAACATAGAATTCCTCTGCGTTATGATCAAGTTGGAGAGGAGTGCCACCATCAGACGCTAAAACAAATGGCTTCAAAGTCGGGACTGGAGGAATCGGCTCCTGTACAGGCTCGGGATCTTCACTGTGCGGGTGCCAATCACGTGGTTGTTTCTTCAAGTCCGTCTCTTTCGCTCCAATCCAAGTATAAGCGCTCACTGATCCAGGATCAGCAATCAGACATAGACGCTTATTATTTTCGTCCTGCATGGGGAACTTCCACTGCAGAGCACGTTTAATAATACCATCAAGCTGATCCTTCTTTCGTAAGACTGTCTCAAACTCAATCACCACCTCTTTAAGACTAGTCACGAAAGCAAACTGATTACCCCAAGCTCTTTGCTCTGGAATAAAAGGCCGGTCCATTTCCCATGAACGAGTTCTTCCAGACCGGAATGGATTTATTCCAAGAGTTTCATCATACTCCCAGTACCACCAGTCTGTATGGCGAAAAGTGATAGTAATTTTCTTGGGCGCAATCCTGCACTCGCCTCGTAAGCTACGCCCGCCATCACCAATCTTCATCTCGTTCCAGATTTCAGACCAAGGTCTGTCTTCCAGGAAATACTGCTGAATAAACAAGTGTATATGCTGCACTTGCGTCCGTTGCTTCGGGGTCATCTTGCGAAAATATCTCACTGGAGATGATGCATCTTTGATGTGAGGCGGAGGGCGATAAAACCAGAATGTATGCTCGTTGACTGCCGGTGGAAGGAGTGATGCTTCGTTGTAGATCTTTTGGCATGTTTGGAGAAGAGCGGTCTGCGCTCGTTTCGGTTTGTTATACCCAGGCCGGTAGTAGAAGGCATTTCGTCGGTAGAGTGACTCGGGGCTACTAGTTCCCGCTGTAAAATCTTCAGACTCGAGAGAAAATGCATAAATAAGATTGCGGATCTCGGCTGGAAGGACCAAGAGAGGGCAGTAGGTCTGAGGTTCCGTCGGGAGTGATGGTATGAGTGCTGGGAAGGTTTTTGATTCCTCTGCTTGTCGCTCTTCCCAGTTTCGTCCTGTGCGCATCTTGGTTTTTGGCGGCTAAGTTTAGGTCAGGAGTCGATTAGAGAATATAAAAAATATTCACGTATTTATAGAGATGACTAGATATGTTGATTAATATTGATGTTCACCTATCGCGCTTCAAGTGGGCCCATTGCTGCCTAAAACGGCTCAGACCCCGATGTGTCAGGGCCTTTTGTGCTCTTGTGAAAGGGACAATTGCTTAAATAGGAAAAGTGCCTTTATCAACTAGTATAAAGAAAATATGGTAGACTGTACCAGGTAGAGAGTTACCTAGCCTCTACCTAATTAAGGTATGCGATGGAAGCTCCACACCACTCTATAGATCATACATTCAACTTTTGTTTCTCCATAAGTCCAAGATCTGTAGGTAACTACCTAGAAATCAGTGATAATGTCTACAACTTTCCGTTTTTGGACTTGTTGCTTTTCAAAATGTTTATCTGCTACTGCGATCGAAATTTTCTGTGAGTGCTGTATGCAGCACTTCTGTGCCGTTCATGATGTACCTCCAACTCATTGCTGTGAGGTACGTGAGAATTTTATAGCTATATGAGTACCTGGGTAGGGCACGCTTTAATATCATGATAAAATTAGTCTCTTGACGAGGAATGGAATGCCGCGCAATCCCAAGTGAAATTTGGGACGAAGATAAGAGTATCTATCTATATGTATCCTATCTACTATAAACACTAGATACTGGTTGTTATTCATGTGTTAAAAAGGGTATACGGAAGGTAAGTCATAAATAAATAAGAGGCACCTAGATATGCACTCAATCGATAAAGGCGACATCCTTTGAATACTCCGTAAGGCGCGAAAGGCCATTTTTAAGCCTTAAACTATACATAATAGTTTTAAAGGCGCTGGTTTAGTGCCTTTAGATGCTAATTTTATATTAGAAAAGCTGAAAATCCAGCTTCGCTTCCTCTGATTGAGAATGAGGCCCTAGTGCCCCACGACATTTCTTCTAGTAGTATTAGTGATCTAGAGATCTTTTAGGCTGTTTCGAAAGTGCAGAAAACGAATTCACCAATGAAAAAAGGTCTAGAACCTTCATCAGAAACCATTCAATTCGCCACCAAAATATCCATGGATACTATCAAACAATGGTATGATACACATCGTCAGCTAGCTTATAAGCTTGTTTTTTCTGAGATGGTGCGGTATAAAGCTACCTAGGTAGGTAGAAAGTGCCAGCAAAAAAAGATTAAAAAAAAGTGCAAGCCTACCTAGGTAATCAAAATCGGATAGCTCGTAAAGGGAGTATATGTAGTTTGGAGATTGGAGCAGATGTCGTTGTGGATAAAGGTGGTGCAAGTCCATACCTAGGTATATCCCGGTTGGCAGAGCGGCCGGAAACCGCGTGTCGCACAGAATAGTTATTTGGTAATAGTGCTTACTCTTCAATAATTTTCGTACGCGGCCTTTTTTCACTTTAAGATGGTACTATGAGAAACATTGAGCACGGATCATTCTCGCTTATAGTATCGAAGTGCACGGGTTTATGCCGATATCAACATAACCGAGAAGTTATAGCACCTAGGCAGTTAGATAGAAAAACTTATATTATGAATGCGGAAATGGGACATGCAACAGAACAAAAGAATTTTAAAGGGAAACCCAGGGTTTTGGTCAAAGTCTAGACGCAAATGGATGAATGACCCGGTGGCGCGGATAAGTGGAATACGCAAACGACTTGACTATAGACATCACTGATCATCAGCTTTTGTATAGATCTTCAATTTTGAGAATTCGAACAACTTAGAGAGAAATTATCGTCTGGCATTAATTAATTCAAGGCCTCAAGCACCAAAGTTCTGCTTATTGTCCAACATTGATATGTTGGACAGTGGTCTAAATTACGCCAAAACGCGTCACTCGGTTGGAGAAAAACTGTGACTGAAGTACCCACCTTATCTGGGGCAATTAAATATGCTATTATCCGCCTGCTGTATGTGGCTTGACTATTGGAGGGCATAGACTGGGTGATCACTCAAGCGAACAGGAGATTAACACAGGCCCTGACATAGGCTAATTCTATTTTTTTTTCTCACGGTCTAGCCTGACAAAGTCCTGAACATCTCTAGACCCCTATGTGGGAGCTTAATCTCTTTCCTAACAGCAGTACAAGTGAACTGAACTGTTTAGGGCTGTTGCAACTATGAGCTCAAACCCGAAGGATGTGTTGAACACTATCAACCTAGTTACACAATGTCTTTGTATTCCAATTGTCACATTCTTTATCGGCATACGTTTCTATGTCCGAATACGATTCAAGCAGATCATAGGACTAGATGATTGTGAGTCACTTCCTTTCTCTAACACGAACTATTCTAACTCGACCTAGATACTTGTACTGCAGCATGGGTAAATATAACATACCTAAGTGCTTTGCGATAAGAACTCACATAATATGGATAGCTTCTATTTATGGGATACTGTGGAATCAGTATAGTCAGTAAGTAGAAAAGCCATCCTCGATCCATCTACAGTCCCATCTAACTCGATATCAGTTGGTGACTATGGAGGAGGATACAACATCACCGACGTATCAGATCAAGACCAAATAGAATTCAAAAAATTCTGCTATATAGCCACAATTCTCTACTGCCCCATGGCCCTTTTCTCAAAGATTGCCCTCCTCTCGATGCTCGCTCGCATCTTCGCTCCATACCGCCACAAAGTACTCTTCATCCACATCTTCCTCGGCTGTCTCTGCATATACTATGTCATCGCTCTGGTCATCAAAATACGCATGTGTAGCCCAGTCCCCATGTACTGGCGTGATCCGATACCCAGTGGTTCTTGTCTCGATCAGACAGCTGCCTTGATCGCTGATTCGGTGATCAGCGTCGTCAGCGATGTGATTATTCTCCTTCTTCCACTGCCTCTGACTTGGTCGTTGCAAATGCCTAAAAGTCGCAAGCTGCGCGTCATGGCTCTGCTCGGTGCTGGCGGTCTTGCAACGGGATTTTCTCTTTTCCGGCTGGTTCTTGTCTGTTATAAGGGCCATTCGGCCAACCAGACTATTTTCTTCATTCAAATTATTCTATCTGGGTACATTTATCTTATTCCCCATCTCTCTCTGTGTCTACTAATTTGAAAATCCTTCTAGTAATGCCGAGGGTGGCATGGGCTTGATCTGCGCTTGCTTACCACTTCTCAACGTCCTAATCTCCTACGCCCGGAGAAACTACTCATCACAAAAATACTATCACGAAGCCACCAACGTCCCGCTCGATGGCCAAAAGTCAGTTCGTAATTCAAAGAATCCGGATATGTCAGCCAATTTTGGTGATCAGAGCCATCTTATTTCGTTCGTTGGTGTGCCTGGCGCCTCTGACGAGGTCGATTTGACTTCTCCTGATGATGGAATTGTCAAGACTGTGGCTGTCTCGCAAACAATCGAGACACATGCTGATGGGATTATGCGTGCTAATTCTAGTAGTACTATCACAGGTAGTTTTGCGAGTCGGTAGCTCTACTTACACTACCTACCTACCTACTCAAGTTTTCGTCCACGCTGGGCTGTATAGATAGATACTTTCGTTTATGCTCATATATTTGTATACCCGTCTACTTCATTCCTGACTTAATTCTCAATTTTGCAATACCGATTTAAGTAGAGGTTCCTTGTTATATTCTGCTTGGGTATGTATTATTTGTACTCTTTATTATATGTTGGGACAACTGTCGCTGTAACAGGCTATCGAGAATGATCGAACAAGCCCGACTGAGGCCATAGTCCATCAAGACCAGCGCCAGCAGCATCCAATCCAGCCGACCAAGAAGCATCTATAAAAGGCCATTCAAACATATCTGTCTCCAGTTCATGATGGCTTCCAGTCCCCGTCTGCTCCCCAGAAAACGAGCCCTCACCATCAGGACCAGGCGTCGGTAACAAATCTCCATCGCGCTCTTCCAGACAGATCTCGGCTGAACTAGACCTTCTCTGTGCACGACTTGGTCGAGACCGAATATCACCATACTCGTCCAGCGTACCCGCCAGTGCAAAACGTCTTGGGCTTTGCATACCAGATCCAGAATCAGCATGTTTCTTCACTGATTCGTAAAACTTATTTGCGCCCTGAACTGCGCGCCACTATAATTTGAGTTAGTAAATTCGCTCAATGCGGTTAATGGATAGACTAAAATCTTACCCAACTCCGGCCAACGGGCCATAATCGACTTAATCGCTCGAGATATATCATGTTTCGGCCCTTTTCTTCTATTGCTTGCTCGAGTCCGCCGGGGTAATGCTGCGGAGCGATGGTTCCGTACATGTTGATGTGGGCAGCGACGAAAACACTGAACCCGGAATAGGGGGTCATGACGGGGGCCTCTGAGGCTTCTAATGCGGATAGAATGCCACCGATCAGCTGTGCCGCTTCGAAAAGTTCTTTGATTGTTGCTGGTTCGATTTGATCTTCATCTTTCACGTCATGGAAAAAGTCGGAATGGGGTTTGAGATGTGAGAGGAAGCGATCACGATGTAGAAACAATATGCTGCATTTGGTGAGTTTCCATGCATCTGAGTTTCTAGACCTTTCTCAAATGAACTGAGAGAAAGAAACATACCTCATATAATAAATTAAGTTGATGTATGCAAACATCTCCCCATATCCGAGTGCCACATGAGCTTGAGCGATCGTGATAGGATATTTCACAGTTTTATCCTGCAGGGATCTCCAATCGTCCAATTCTCCCTTGAGTCGTTTCCAGGTCTGATGCAGACACATGATAGGACCATGCGAAGAAGCGAGCGCACGTCGATGCTCATTTGCAAATCTCAAAATCCGCACAAAGATGTCGAACCCACGAGTTACGATGGTGAGTCCATGTTCGACGGTGAGGTTCCTTGCAAGTGAGCATTGCTTGTTCATATCGACAGGCATAAGCCTCCTCTCAGGAACATGATTGAAATTAAAATCACGATCGCTGATGGGAAGCGGAACAGAAATCTGGGAAAATGACAAAGCGAAGTGCTGTCGGGCTCCTGAACTGAGCTCACAGTCCTGGGCAAAGCAACACCAGTACGTGCGCACAAGTTGCTCGTATTGAGTCTGGGATGCTTGGAACTCGTGCGGGCTATTCTCCATGCTATCATCGGCCATTTTTAGAAGCGATTGAATCATATAGGTAGCCATTCCTGTGAGGGTTAGTTTTTACTCGATCGGCGTAGATCCGGGCATGTTGATATTGTTGCAACATACCACTGTACATCCATGCCTGGTAGGGCTGGCCAGTTCCCCACTCGTAAAAGGAGATCATAACAAGAGATTGTGCGAGATACAGCGACGGAATCTCCATAGCACGATGCGCCAAATGCTTCCGGGCGTACGCTGCGTACGTTTCCTCATCGCCGAGGTCCTCGCAGTTCATAAATCGCACACATAATGAGAGAAGTGACGCAAGAAAGATCGGATCAACCGAATCGATGTTAGAAGAAATGTCGGAAATTAGAGAAGGGTAATGCAAGAAGTTTGTGATAGGGAATTTCCTGCGATAGGTTTCCACAGCCTTGATTAGAGTAGACGATGACAATGCCGAGATGGGGTTTCCCTCGGCATCCGCATGACGAGGTGCAGCACTTGGACTTTTATTGCTTTCTGAAGAGACAGCCCTTCGTTTTTGCGGTACTCTGGACTTGACAACTCGACCTTCTCTCGGTTTAGAAGCACGGGAGTCTGTGAGTGTGCATCCGTCAAGCTTGCTTTTTTCACAGCGTCGACATGGTGCGCTTCCTTCATGGAAACATTTAACCTTGGCTCCGCTATTTAGACAGTTAGAGCACTGATGAGTAACAATGGACTGTGGATAAGCCTACCGACAAGAGTCACATGATATTGAGAGCCTCATTGGTCTATTAAAGGGTATGAGTATATTGGATTAGAATTACTGTGTAGGGAGATGTCATGTTTGAAAAGGATTAAGATTTGTTGACTTAATGGCACTCATACTTTCCCGCGGAAAACAGGCAGTAATAGTAATAATAATTTCGGGCAAAGATTTTGCGTCAGTCAGTTATGATAAGGTCACGTGTACTATTATCAATTTCCACATCTGATACCTACTATAGTAGTTATTACGAAAAGAAATTATTTAAATGGTCTCGTTTCTAGAAAACAATAAGACACCTCTCTAGAAGGAAATCGAGTGTTCCTACTAGTACTTGTAGTAGTAGGTTATCCAAAAAAAAAAAAACTGGCGCCGCCCGGAATCGAACCGGGGCTAAGTCGGTACATTGAGGATGCTTTCGCAAGTAACCACAACGACTCGTCATACCACTAGACCACGGCACCGTGGGGGATGTATGGAGATTGGGAGCTTGAAATATCAAATAAGTTTGAGAAACCAAATGCTGGGAGAACATTGACATCGGCAATAGAAAACTAAATCCAGAGGTTTACTGTGTGTGTACTTTGACAGTGATCTGATTCTTGAATTTCTTGTATTATATTAATATAATGTTTCATGGGCATACCATTCTAATTATTGACCGATTCTTTCGTCAGCTGCCGCACCCAGACATTGAACTTATCAACCTGGAACTCATCCGTAGCCCACGATGTAACAAGCCGTATAGAAGCAAGTCCATCATCCAATTCCTCCCAAATATAGAAGTTGAACCTATCCTGCAACCTCTTAATGAGCCATTGAGGAAGGATCGGAAACACCTGATTCGTCACCGTCTCCGCCCCCATTTCATACCCCATCTCAATGAAATTAGCTGAGATCTTCTCAGCCATATCATTGGCATGCCTTGCCAAAGTAAAGAAAAGTTCATCACGGAACAACTCCATGAACTGCACACCGATAATGCGGCCCTTGGCCAACAAAGCTCCATGCTGCTTGAGGTAGAAGACGAATCCTTCAGAGATAGCCTTCTTGACCACAATCGCCTCACCAAGCAACGCACCGGCTTTAGTTCCGCCGATCCAGAAGATATCAGTGAGTTCATGAATATCCTTCAGCGTCATATCACTTTTCTTCGAGCTCAGTGCCATTCCCAATCTTGCGCCATCAATCATGAGTAGCAGATTTAATTCCTTGCACAGAAGCGACAGATTAGTCAATTCACGCTTAGAATATATTGTTCCGATCTCAGTTGCTTGAGAGATATAAACAAGTCGTGGCTTAGCCATATGCGGACCAAATGTATTTTTCTGAAATGCTTTTCGCAGATTCGCCGTGGTCATCTTGCCATCGACCGGCGAAACAAGAATCAACTTATGTCCGGTCGCCTCAATTGCTCCTGCCTCTTTGCAGGCGATATGGCCAGTGTCACATGTGATGACAGCCTCGTAAGGGCGCAGACAACTGGCAATTGAGATGAGATTTGCGGATGTTCCACTCGGCGCGAAGAAGATATCTGCTTCGGCTTCCGTGCATCCAATCTTCTCGCGGATTAATTGGCGGGCTGTATTGGAATATTCATCTTCTCCGTAACCGACTTGTTGAATTAAATTTGTCCGTAGGAGAGCTTCCAGAATTTGAGGGTGTGCTCCTTCGCTATAATCGTCCATGAATCGATATGGAGGGCTTGGTGCCTCTTGGCAAAGGCTTGATGACGGCATTCTTCTTTTCCGATGTATAGAAGGAATTGGGCTGGAAACTTGCCACTTGTAAGAAAATAAATATAATCAATGCTTCTAGAGGCAGAAACAGCACAAATAATTCGTATAGACTTGCCACTCCAAAAACTAAGGGGGAAAAGAGAGGCAAAACTTGAGTCAGAGAAACTAAATAGAATGTTCGGGAAAGAAAAGAAGAAGTATCGGAAATAAATCGGGAATGTATTGTGGATTTATTTCCGAGTCGGCATTCGGGATATTCTGTTACGTTGTTATCATGTAATTACTTGAACTATGTGGGTCTATTCACTCACCTTCTTATCTTCCCGATATGTCGCAATATTTACGGGATTTGCTAGGATAAGCGGTGAAACCCTGCTTTCATTCTATTTGTATTCATTGGTTGTGCGGAATTACTGGAACGGACGATATGGATTTGACAGGTGTAACTATATCGAAGTCATGAGACCTCGATGTAGAAATATGAGGTGGGTGTTACGTCTTACATCTTACAGGGGTTGGAAAGTCGCTATCAATTACCAACTCAAGAATGTCAGTCAGAGATTCAATGTACATTCCAGATATAATGTGTATCAAGAACAAAGGATGAAAAAAACAAAGAAAATTCCGCTATTTACACCCAAAAGGTCAACCCCAGTGGGCCAAGGCCATGCAAGCTAATGCAGAGTCATGGCCCTAGAAAAGTGATGATTATTCAGCCACCTCAGCCTGGAGATGGTCGTACTCTTCAGAAAACCATTCCTCTTCTTTAGGGTCCGTAGGAATACGGTGATAGAGCCGGACCCGCCAGCCTCGAATCAACATATAAAGAGCCATTATGCCAAACATGACAAGCAAGAGTAAAATGACCGTGAAGAAACCACCGATGGTGCGGATGGCCTCATAAGAGTTATGAATCATCTTAGTTGCTTTCCGGACCTCAGCAGTTGCCGCATCATCGTCTGATGCGGAGCTAAGATCAGTGAGCTTATCTATTGAACCGCCTCCTGCAGCCTTGACGACTTTTACTGGGTCCTGCGGCTTTGGAGACTCTATATAACCTGAGTAACCAACAGCCTTCCAGTTGGGGAACTTAGTACGGTGCACCATGGAAGTACCCAAGACGTGATTGTCCTTGGTCACAGCCTCGACAGATACCCAATCCATATAGCCAGGGACCATGAGCATAGTTTCGAAGCCAACCTTGGCGACCTTGCTTATGAAAACAGGCCTGTCGAACTCGGAAGCCTGGGCATAGAATTTCCATGACGCTACATCGGTGGCACCATTCCAACTGACATGCAAGGTGGTCACTAGGTTGGTTTCATCGGTACCAGATACGGACGAAACGAGATCAGGTGGCGTATTAGGGCGACCGGTGAACTCGGCTTTGTAAGCTCGGTAGGTCGAGAAGCGCGGAGATTGGAAATTGGCAGTCATAAGCACTTCTCCCTCTGGGGAGAACTCGGAGATATAACCACCCTGACTCCAGCAGACAAACATGTTTGCATTTGGTAGCACCTGCGAGTTTCCACGCAGCCGTGTAAGACCATGGTCGGGACGGTCGTAGCGTCGGAGAACCTGAGCAGTCTTCGGACCCTCTGGACCAGCCTGGATATCTACGATCAAGGCAGATGAAAAATCCTCCGAGTTGAATTCTTCGTCAGACGCATTATTCAAGAATGTGATGATGTGATGCGTTCCTGAAGACTCTAGGAATTTGGCAGCGTGTTGCTTGGAGAATCCAAAGTCTTGGAAAAAGTCACTTATACCACTTCCACCGAGACGCCACATTATAGCCCCATCAATGCCAGAGATAAGATATATGGTGTTTGTGAATCGCATGGAAATCAGGTAATCACCATTGGAGTTCTTGTCGACTGAGTTGATATGAACGTAGTCCCAGCCTGGAATCCCCTCGGTAGGTGATCCTTGGTTGTAGTGTACACTCTCCAGGAGCGGGATCGGCTCAAAGGAGTTCCAATGGTAGAGAACCTCTGCGTTGTGAAGATTGATTTCGGAGAATCCACCGTATTCAAGCCATGTTTTTTCCCCGGGACGTCCATATGCCTCCAAAGTGATCTCCTGAGAAAGATAATTCGTAACTAGGGCCGTCTTGCCGTTATCCAGGACGTTAAACTCATGAATGTCGAAATTTCCCAAGTCGTCCCGGAGAGGAACTTTGTAAAGGGTTTCGTAATCGGGTTTCAAGATATATCCAAATCCACGCTCGTTATCACTATACTCTAAAATCAAAGAAATATGAGGCATTGGCCCAATACTGTTGGTGACTTTGAAATCGAAGACGTTGCGGTTGTTAAACATGGGCGATCCCGTCCAGACGAGGTGCTGTTCAATAACCGGTCAGCCGTCTAAGGTTTTTTTTTCCCTGAGCCCTAAATGTGGATTTGACATTTTGACATACTCCATCTTGATCATATATATGGGGGCCAGTCTGATATGGCTCGTAGATACTCGTGGGCGCATCAGGCTCGATATGGAGGTATGGTGAGACAAACCAATATCCCGGTGCGACGCGATCGCGGTGCTCGTAATTAATATCAAGTTTGAGGGCTCTGATTTCCGGAAGCTAGAAAGATGTTAATCAGCTGGGCTTTCCAATGTCTCCATTTCTCGCCACTTACTGTAACAAAGGACATCAGGTCATCTTGCGCAGCGACATAATGCGCCAAGAGCAGCAAGCGGGTGGACCAGATCATAGTGTGCAACAAACGACAGAGCCAAGGAAGAACTCCGGGATAGCCATGAGAGAAGAAGAATCAGGCTAGGGGAAAGCGCGGATCCTAGGCATACGTACAATGGATTGGCAAAATCCCTGGCGATTAATCGCCGCGTCTGCAGTGGAGCCAGATGAAGCGGGATTGGGAAGGGGTAACGTGGGTCCATGCCAGCATTTTCATTTTTTAAAACAAAAAGAAAAAAATGAAGTGAATCCAGATAAATTTGACATCTAGGGACTAAATATCTTAAATATTGATCGGCTGGAATTGATAGATGTAGTACTCCGCAAATGTGCAATTGCGCCATTTAAGGGTCTGATGATGACTGTAATCCTTCAGTGCCAAGACCGGGGATATAATGCTTATTTTATTATTTTATAGCTAAAGAGGTTTATCTAACACGTTGAAAGAGAAATGAAGAAATCTGTAAGGCCTCATGTTGAGGACTGCACCTTGAATATTCAACTTGACCAGTCAGTATGCAAATAGTCAATGCATCACTTCAAGCTCTTCAATGAGTTGTTTCATGGGCAGCCCACATCTACAGATCAGCCTAATTTCCCATCGTGGATACATCTTTGAAGCGCCATGAGAGTATGCCTCTTAACATTCTATCTTATGATACCGCCGCATAGATGATAAAATAAAAAAAGAAGCGTATACTCGGTTTCGAACGCCTAACCTCCACTTTTCATCATAGCAGAAATAACCTCGTAACACCCTAATTAAGGCCGTTTAGTAAAAAAAAAATGGCAGCTTCTCTTTGATTGAGCGTGTCATCCTTAGTGCAGGGGCCATGCTAATCTTCTCTGTATTTATTCATCTGACTTTTTCCCAGAAGGGACATAAATTGACTCAAATTTATGAATTATATACCCTTTTCATGTTGCCGCCTACAGCATTCTGCCACCTGGTTCCGCTTCCCGCAACTTCAATTGAATAAAACGTCCAACTTTCCAGCGTCCCACGGAATGAACTGTAAAATCATAGATAGCTTCTCACAAGTTATAACCTATTGTAATATTCCCAGACGAAAAAATATATATATCCACGCACTCCAGGGCTATGACTCGATCACGTGTCCTTGACTTCCAAGGTTTTTATGAAAACGGAAATAGTGCTATAATACCCTAATCGAATCTGTTTATTAAAAAGAAAATTGTGGTTTCTCTTTGATTGAGCATGTCATCCTTAGTGCAGGGGCCATGCTAATCTTCTCTTCAGTTTGCTCATTGACCGTTTGTTCCTAAGAACGAAAGTTCGACCTATTTAGTGGTTGATATCCTTCATTTCATTCACGGGGTATATTCACTTGAAGTGAGGTGGAAAGTTATGGGTTAATATCACGTTAGTGATTTTGCTTATTTACGCCGCTTTAATGATAGTTAGGCGGTTTTCTTGATCTACGGACATCAAGAATTGGAGAGAAGCAGCGATTCGTCTGAATTTCAATCATTGACACTAAATTGCCATGCACTGCACAAATGACGTGTTCCGGCCACTTTGCAGGACAACGCATTACCCTGCTTCTCCCCCATACCCCACTTACAATAGATGTAGTTAGGCTTTTTCTCACCTTGATCTTTCATATATTCCTTGGAAGATCTGCTGGGAGTTACTTGATAGCCGGCAAAGTGAGAGACTAAAACATGGCAAAAAAGAAAACGCAGCAGCGCAAGTCCAATGAGGTGCCCAGGCGACCCATCACCCCAGAGATCTCTCCTAAGATTGACTATCATCGACCTTTGTCATCGTGAGTTCTTTGAATGAGTTACAATCGGCATTTTCTGACCTATTCACTGGCCCTACGAATTCCCTCTTGCGACCCTCATTATAGGGAGCAAGCAATATAGCATCCCCGCTCATTTCCTTCGGGATTACCAAAAATTTCCCTTTTCATCTCTTGGATCACCAACTATCATCATGTCTAATATTGACGAAGACGTTGGGCACACAGTGATCCACTTCTTATACACAGGCGGCTACGAGACAGTCAACTCGCCCCTTGAGGAAGGCACGTCAGATCTCGCCAGAGAATACAAGAGGAGCGTTTTAGTCTACCATGCGTCAAGGACTTGGGGCCTTACTGATCTTGAAATACTTGCTCAGCAAAAGATGCAGCAATTAGATGAGGAGCTTCCTGTTCTTGAAATACTGCGGGTCATGAGGGACGTGTTTTCAAGCCTCCCCGCAGGCGAAACCTGGCTTCCAGGGTACATTCAAGGAAACCTGCAGCGATTACTAACGTCCGATGATCCATGGCTTGATTTATGCGAATTTTACGATATTATCGGCCAAAACCATCAGTTTGATAATGCGGTGATGAAAATGATTATCGAGATACTATCTATTCGCTTGGTTTCTATGAAAGATCAGCACGGTAAGTCCCCTCCAACACATCAACGATACGGTAATCAGGCTGAACCAACTTTTTGCTGCATCGTTAGTTAAAACACCGAACTCCATCATCTCAAATGAATCTCCTCTTCAAGGGCCTATCTCCAAAGAGCCTGAGCCTTCCCTAGAAGAGACTGAGTATTTGCCTGAACAGACTGAGTGTTTGCCTGAAGAGCCTGATTATTTGCCTGAAGAGACTGAGTATTTGCCTGAAGAGCCTGATTATTTGCCTGAAGAGACTGAGTATTTGCCTGAAGAGACTGAGTGTTTGCCTGAAGAGCCTGAGTATTTGCCTGAAGAGACTGGGTGTTTGCCTGAAGAGACTGAGTGTTTGCCTGAAGAGACTGAGTGTTTGCCTGAAGAGCCTGAGCCTGTCCTCGAAGAGCCTGAGCCAGTTCTGAAAGAGCGACCTGCTGAACGGGATAGCGAACTTTGGACCATTTCCCGAGTGCCTGCTGATGCTGACAGCTGGCTGCGCGCTTCTTTGTTGCCCGGAGATACGCCTAATGCCGAAATACTACAAGAGGCTTCTGATCAGGGCCATATAGCGAGGATTTCAAGCGAGGACTTAACTCTGTACGAAAATTGGGAAATTCTATCTTCAAAGAGAAGAACTAAAAGGGCGAGCAAGCTTAGGTCTAGAGGACTTCCTGTTCCAAGCGAGACTGGTTTCGTTTTAATAGTTGCAAATTGAGAGTGATTTGAAGCAAATTCGGCCGGGCAATCAAAGCATTCACTTCCTGTTTATATATTGGTAAAGGGCCAAAAATAGATATGTTGATCTACAGGTATTGATGTAATCCTTGGGCCCGGAGCAAATCGGGGGTTTTCGTTCTCTGGTTTAGAACGATCATGAATACCCTCTTATATGATTGGTTTGATATTACTCCTTTCTCCACTTTGGAGTAGCATGGTCTCCCCAGCAAGTCAGGACAGACCAGCCAGCCCGGATGAGTCCGGATGGGCAGTGGTTGACGGATGGTGATGGCTAGACGGATCTGGCTAAGTAAGGCCGTCTTCCTCACTGAGAAAGAAGGTATACAGGCGACGGTCTACATCGTAGGGATCGTCGCTGATAGCTGATATGAGAACCGTGGCACATCTTAGGAAGTAGGAGTTCGGGAGATGATGTATATCGTGGGGATCTACTGAGACACTCACGTTCCTGGGAGACTGGGCAGTCTAGAGCTTCTCCAAGGTGGAGCAAGGGGTAGTCGGGAAGCAATCACACATTGGCTTCTCTGATCCATTGTTATAATAATAGTTACTCCCCCGTTTTTGTTTTCATCTTCGGCCATCTCTGACGTAGCAAAGAACCGACTTATAATCATATCACGGATCAGATACAACTTCGAAGTAGGAAGTCCAGTAACCAAGTTGTTTCGCCTGTGCTTAAATACTGACATCTCCTAGACAGGTGGGTAATTGTAGAGGCAGCCTGCCTCCTCCTATGGATGGAGAGGCACACCAGGTAGCACTTGCGGGCAAAATGCACCCTGTGGTGTTTACTTACTGTATTTTATAACAAAACTACCAGTCTAGAAAGCGGTCTGACATACGTGCGAGAGTGTGAAGGTATAGCTGAATTCGAAAACTACTAAAGTCAGTACAAAAAGAAGAGAACTCTGCAGAAGAATCCATACTTGAAGGTACGTTTGACCTCCCGCTATTCATACTTAAGACATGGAAAATAAATCCTAGATACGCTACTACGGCTTCCAAAGATATCTAGCAACCTAGCCAAAGAAACCATTCTCACGGATTTTGTTGGCCTAAGAATCGTCAGAAAGATATGGCTCATCAAATTCAGACTCAGTTGTGTTCTCGTCGTCTGACGAGTAGGTAGTATTCCCCTTTTTCCAACGATCCAATTGGCTTCGTTGCTTCTTGGACACGACAAAACGCTCCTCAAAGACCGACCGCACTGCAACTCTAGTGCCCTGTTTGAAGGTGCCTGGATGCGAGACAACGAATAGCACGGCGTTGTAAACCTTGGCAGGATCTTTTTTTCATCGCTGAATTCACCATATACTATCAGAAATAGAAGTCGGAATGCCGCGTCCCGTGCTCGAGATTTATCGCCCTTTATAGCTCGATAACGCTTATAGTCGAGTTCATAATCGGTTTTGCAGGCCCTCAAATCTACAAAGATATTATCAATTGACTGTCCGGCAAGTACGTCAACCCCGAGGAAATCATATGTGTCACAAAGAGTGTGATACTGAGGGATATCACTTCGCAAAGAGCGGAAACATTGCCGATAGCCTGATTCCAAGCCCTTGAGAGCAACGTCAAACAAGGCAATATCGCCGTGAATGAAATCAGTTTTTTGCGGCTGGGAAAGATGTTGAAATCTGACAAAGGCTGATAAATATGGTATCGTCGAGATGTCAACATTGTGGAAAGTATCCCCAATTTTGATTGTTGTTTTGCGAGATTTTGATTCAACCGCTTCAGTCGATCGCGTTTCGTCGCCGAGTTTCAAATAAAGATCATCGGGTAACATCCTGCTCCCTTCTTTCTTGAAAACCGCAAGGCTGTTACTTCGACCGTCATATTTTACGACAGTATTCCCACCATTCTCTCTCACCACTCTCATGATTTCCTTAACCAATATAACCAATCTCCAAAGGTCATTAGCATGATTTCGTTCCCATTCAGCAATCTCACGAGTGACGTCCTTAACTTCCGGCAGTCCAAATGTGCCACCATTATGGTAGGCACGGACAAGATTAGGTGTTTGCGATACCCATAGCTGTGGAAGAACGTCTTGGATGTTGAGAGGATTGTGGGACACGCGTGTTTTGATCTCAAGAGTTGAATTAATTGGGACCTGTTTTCCTTTTTTCTCAACCACTAATTTGGACTCTGTGGCAAGATGAGAGTTAGTTTCGGGTCGCGAAAGAGACAGATTTTCCATCATGTTCAGAAAATTGTCATTTTCCGAACCCACACTTTGAGGTTGAGGTTTTGAAGCATTTTCAAAGTAAGCGTCAGTCTGGTAGCGGACTATGAATTTCAAATCCCCCAAGTTATAGGAGATAATCCGATGATGTCCAGTACTGCCAGATACTTGGTTTGTTGTGAAAGCTTTCTCAAACTCGTGACCGTAGCCTCTGAAGTCGTGTCGCCCGATAAATGTATGTGTTTCGGTTTCTGCCCGACAAAAAATTACTGTATTGCTTGTGGCCTCAATTTCAATGGTGAAAGGCTCCAGTCCATTTCTAGAGACGTTTGGATTCACGAACGACAGAAGTTTGCGGATGTTGTTTCGATCAGTTACCAAGTCAACTTGGTGTATGTTATATGAAGGGTTTTCAGTATACAGCGAGCGAAAAAGTGGTTCGAGCGGACTTTCAGGATGGCGAAACGCATTTTGAGCAATATAAATGAGCCCAGAGTCTTTGGCCACTCTTCTGGGGGTTTGGGGTGGAGACCAAAGAGGCGGGCAGCCGGGGACAGCAATAGTGGGGCTGGAAGATTCAATCCAATTATAAGAAGACAAATGCTCCACATTCGTGATAGATGGCCCGATCTTCTCATCTGTCAACTCCGGGCGAGGTATGTCTGCGATCCAAATAGAACCCATTGTCGCTTTGCTTGGTTGGTGATATTGTGATAGCCAAGGTGAATGAGATTTGGATCGAGTCCCTCAAGGTATTTAAAACAGCACAAGTCCTATGTATTACCCCGCACGGGTTTGGACAACACATACTTGGATAATCTGGCCTTACCTTGTGTGTACTATTCGTCTAGTTCGCATAGAACCTTTGAATATCCCTGTGACTCTCCTTTGCCGAATGGGGGATTGGGGAAGGGAGAAATGAAAGAACCCTACAGGCTGATGCCAAGAACGATGCTGTATGTGAAGTGTGAAGTATAGGATTGTCTATGCAGACCGCACTCTACGCTGCCATTTGATGCCATCAAAGCTACAGGTTAGGCAAAATCCTGGAGATTGATAATATAAGTTGTGTTCAAAAGTATCTAGCTATATAGTTATATGATGTATCCGAAAGGCCCAGCAAATTTTATTTTCCTCCTTTATTTGAGTTCTCGAAGACTCAGTACCTTTTGGATGTGCTCATATTGGAGGTATGTATTCTTTGACCACGCCAGCAGACTGGCTGTCTTGATCACATTCTTGATCTGACGACCGTTCAACTCCACTGCTGATAAGTTGTCCAGCTCCTCCTCAGAAACAACATCAGCCTTGGTGGATCCATTCAAGAATTGAGACCAGACGTGGCGTCTTGATTTTACATCAAGATCGCTATATGCGATTGAAACGTGGATACGAGATTCAAATGCAGGATCAATGTGCTCAGATCTGTTGGTAGTCAGGAATAGAATTCCCTATAGAAAGAATTAGTCACTGCTGTTGTTTCAAGGTCAAAGATCACAAGCTTACCTCGTAGTACTCGAGCAATCGTAGGAAAATTGAGACAAGCTCATTTCTCACAAGATCATCTGGAGATCTGGCCTCCATAAACACATCTGCCTCATCAATAAGTAGGACAGCACCCCAACGAGGAGTCATGCGTAAGATATCCTTGAGCTTCTTCTCCACTTCGTAGTTTGCGGTGCCCAAATCACCGGCGCTGATAGAGTAAAGAGGCACCTTCATCACTTCAGCGACACTCTCTGCAGTAAGAGTCTTTCCCACACCAGGAGGACCACTCAACTGCATGATAATTCCACGACCCTTGCCTTGGACCACATCGTCAAAGTCATCCACTTGCTTAGACTGTGCCTGGGCAAAGGCCAGAATAAGCTCCTTCAGATTCTCTTGACCCTTTGGCAGAACCAGAGAATCAAAGGCGCGAGTATTCCACTCGATATCCGATGTGGAGTCGAGGTAGAACTTCAACCATTCCTTATCTTTAAGAGAATAACCATAAACCATTCCGGACGCAACGATTCGTTGCTCATCGGTCAGTACATCATCGACATTCTCATTATTAACATATATCGACTTTTCGGTATGGAAGATACCGAAAGCCTCTGCGTCAATGATGATCCGGCTTTTGACTTGATATCTGACAACATCTTCGCAGCCATCGCGGTAGAAAAATCCAAAGGCAAGGCCTTCGTATTGCTTATAGTGGAAACCCTTGTGCTCTTCCCAGGCCTTGCCCTGGGCAAGCAGAGTGTTCCGGATAGTGTCCTTGTTGGCGTGATATTTCAATGGAGAGATAGGCAGTGATGTGATCGGCTTGGTTCCAATGAAGTAAGGTACCTTGAAGGTCTCATCGTCAAATCCGAATGATACGCCGTCGTACTCAATGTAATTGGCACTGATGATCCAAGACTTCGTTCGACAATCAATGCTGGCATCGTCGAAGAGAAAAGCACGAGTACGGCCATAAGATGTGTTGATAATTAAACCGTCAGGCTCAAGAATAGTCCACAACAGTTCATGGGTAATCACACCGTTGGAAGTCATGTCTTTTTTGCTGGCAAGGACATCCCGGAGCTCCTCCTCGAAGATATTGTAGAACAGATCCACATGCTCCTTAGTGGTCGCATCCTCTTCCTCATCTCGGGCCTTGATTAGCTCGTCCCACCGGTGGACTAGCGGTTTGAATGGCGCGGTGAAATCAAGACGTTGCAATGTGGTTGTGACACCGGGGTACCCCTCCAGTGCTTTGCCTAAGAATTTCTTTAGAGGTTCACTTTGAACAACAACAGAGTGAATCTTGAGGCTTTTGCGACCATCGTAGCATTTTGCGTTTCTGATGATCAATGCGTACTGGGCGGAGTCTGCGTCTTCGGCTGGAGCGATGAGGCTTTCGGGTAGATCTTTGGTCCAGGATGTCTGCCCGGCATCGTCGGGCATGGTTTGATAAACATTGTGAACTTTGCAAATTGAGCCTTGAGGTTCATATTTGACTTTATCGTCCTTGTCAGTTTTGGTATCGCTCTCTTCTTCAGTTGTGGTATCTGTGCCATTTGAAAGTTAGAAACTGAGATTCGCTTTCTGATGACTTTATACTTACCAGGTGTGGCTTGTCCAGATGTCGTCTCTTCAGAGGTAACCTCTCCATCCACTGGAGGAGTTTCGATCTTTTCCTTGACATTAATTTCCGACATGTTTAAAGATATATAGCTGCAATGGAAGAAAATATTTGAAATGAAAGGGAGTTGTTGAGAAGCAAGGTAGAAAGAGAGGGGAGTGGCTCTTTAAGCTGGCAGGTAGAGAAGGCAGAAGCCAGCAGCGGCTGAATTTCTACCTGAACCAGATTGATTGTACAGATTGAGTGGGTCATTCTGAGCCTATTCCTGAGTCACTTATGACTCTGACAAGTGGCTCCAATCAGCACCAAGAATAGCCGCATAACTGTGTAGTTGATTAGTGTGGAGTTGGAAATCCATGATGATTTGTTATGCGTCGCAGCGACGAAAGGCTGAAACCCACAAACGTTGATGGAGCCTGCGGCTAAATCTAGGTAACTTAGTCAACACCGGACAAGCCTGGACAAAATAATTAAGGCGGGGGATCATTTGGGGGTAGAGCCTAGATTCCATCATGCTATCATGCCATGGCCCCCCACTTGTCAAGGCTATTGAGTCACTCGCTTAATCTTGATGCCTACTCCTTCAGCTTCAACCTGGATCTAAACCTAATTAAGTTATCGGAGACTGAATATGGCATCTTCCCCGCCCCACATATAAATATCTAGGCTGAAACTTGGATTTTAGGTATTTTAGTTAAATAAGCGTAAACCCTGCGGCTGAATTTGACTTGAGCGGGGATCCCGCTAGGTCCGTACTTAAGGCACGCTTCCCACCGCCTTTTAAACTACGTTAATATAGGACTTAATGCTTTCTGAGATAATTACCTGTCCATAAATAACGTAGTGAAAACATACAGAAAGGTTCTATGTTTGTATTGCTTAATTACACCAACCAGATGCGACGCTCCAAAATCCACCCCAGATCACTCCTTAATTTTCCGAAAAAGTCGACGAATTTCCACGCTCAAGGCTCAATGTTGAAAGCCGTCAGACGAGCCTTAATAGCCTCCTCCGAATCCTCAGTATCAAGCTGACTTAGAACACCAGAAGCGACGTCATAAATAAGACCGTGAACCTGCAGTCCACGCTCTTGGATAGCGCTGAGTACAGCGCCCTTCTGCTTAACAATGTTGAGACCCTCACGGACGTTCAACTCGACCAGCTTTAACGCAGCCTCATCAGTAGGTAAAGACTGCAAAATAGCCAAGTTGCGCTCGCGAACCTGGCGCAGAGGCATGAGCCACGGGTCCAAGATTCCAAGCTGCTTGTTTCCCATGGCGGCGGCAACTCCACCACAGGAAGTGTGGCCGCAGACGACGATGTGACTAACACGCAGGTGCACGACGGCGTACTCGATAACGGCGCTAGAGCTGAGATCGCCTGGGTGGATAATGTTGGCGATGTTGCGGTGCACGAAGACATCACCAGGTTGCAGGCCGAGCATGCTAGTCTCGGGACAGCGCGAGTCGGAGCATCCCAACCACAAGATCTGCGGAGTTTGACCGTTCGCCAGGGTCGGGAAGAGGTCCGGGTGCTCACGAGCAGTTTGTGCGGCCCATTCCTTGTTCTTGCGCAGGCCAGCGGAGAATTTGTCTGTTTGAGTCTTTTTAGTTTCTGCGCTTGTGTGTTCGCTGGGACTCTTGTGATTGGTGCAGAGGAAAGAGCTAGAGGTGGAAAATGCTGCGGGAGGAAGCGCATAGACTCGCAAGGAGGGGTAATTGGGGATTGGCAAAAAGGATTGCTGGCGGTCCTTGATACGTGCAAGCACGCCAGGACGTACGGCCAATCGTGAAACATTCATGACGAACGGTGGGGACGGGAAGTGACTCGGCCAATAATAGAAATAAAGGTGACCCCTGAGTAGAATTGAAATGTGATGGGAGAAGGCGCAGCAATGTCTATGTAACAATCCCTAAGGGAATTTCCTTCCGCAAGAGTATGTGGTAAAGATGTTGGGGAAGGGGGAGAGAAAGTGGAAAGAAGGGAAAGTGCCAAGGAACCATGGAAAGAGCAAGAACCGAGCCGGGAAACACACGTACCTTCAAACATGATGATCAGATATGAAAAAAAGTAAAGGGGAGATTTGTAGAAGATGAAAGTATGGACTAAGACGATTAAAATAAAGATTTCGAGGGATCTGACGATCAAGCGAGGGGTAAACGTCAATTCGAATCTATGGAGTGAGAGGCCGGTCGAACCGAGGGGTGGAAGTAGGAAAGGCGCGGATTAGCGGGTCGGTTAATATATGGGCTACAACCATTGTACTAGTAATAACCTTCATTTCATCTTTATATATTCAATGCTTTTTTTCACCATGACAGAAAATGTAATATAAATAATAATAGCTCATGCAGCACCTCCACGACCTCCAACACTCAACAAGGTCTTCTTCTGTTCATCGGTAATACGAGCTGTGGGCAGAGGACGTGCTCCGGCCACAGTTGGTGGTGGGAGGAATCCGGTTTGTACAAGATAAGAAGAATACAAACCAACTAGCTCCTCGGTAACACCGGCACCGGCGGATGCATCGACACCAGACCAGGCTGCGTCAGCCTTTAGAGCTGCAGCCGCATTAGTATCATCTAACTCCGGGGCCTTGGTGTTGGACGGAAGATCGGCAGTGACGAAGTGGTACAGGGGCATCCTATTGAAAAAAAGGGGTTAAATTTAATAATGTATCTCACGAAGGGGTTTATCACTCACAGTGCATGTTGCGACTCCTTGTCATCGTGCTGGCCGTCATTGACATATTGCTCAAGGGACTGAGCCCATGGAACGTAATCAACCTGTGGTACATCGTAACCATAGCTCTGAAGCGCACCGAGGAACTGGTTGAACCGCAGACGTGGGTGTCCAGTGACGTGGGCGACGCCGACGGGAGTGCGTGGCGGGAAGAAGGTACATGCGATAACGATCCGAGCCACATGATCAACAGGAACCATGTTCACTGTGTTGTTGATGTTTGGCCGAGAAGACAACTGAATGCAGCCCTTGAGCATGCGAATCAAGAAGTCATCAGTGTTGGTAGTACCAGTGTGAGAGTCACCCAGAACGTATCCAGAGCGAATAATGGTGCCTCTCAGTCCACGGTTACCAGCCTCCTTAACGAGGTATTCACTGGCCCATTTGCTCTGACCGTAGCCAGTACCAAGTCCGACTCTGCTGCCATCGAGATCGTCTTCTTCGCTCACACCAGTGCCACCGGCCGCGATGCTAAGCTCAGACTCTTGTACATAGTGATCGTTGTCGAGGGCACTAGTGGAACTGACAAAAGCAAACTGCTTGGCCTTACCGGTGGCGCACAGTTTCAGAGCATCGATAGTACCCATCACATTGGGAGCTCTCAGAGTTGAGTACGGGTAGACCCAATGGACGAGCGCGCCGTTGTGAATCACTGCATCAACACGGTTGGTAAGGTCATCCCATACGGACTGCGACAGACCAAATTGGGGCTTGCCAAGGTCACCACAGACAGCTTCGATTTGGCTCGTCCAGGCATCCTCCCAGAAACCATAAGCCTTGCAAGTAGATCGAACACGCTCAAGAGCCTGTTCATCGCTCTTGGCACGAACCAGAACGACGACCTTGGTCGAGGGCGCTTTACGGGTGACCAGATCACGTAGAACATGAGCACCAAGGAAACCAGTAGCACCAGTGAGGAATACTGTAGGCTCGCTGGACAAAATATCATCACCGCGAGTAGGAAAGGATTGGGGCAACTCGCTGACCAACTGTTTGGCATCCTTCGAGTATTCATCATTAGGCTCATTGGCAGTGGGCGCAGCAGCAGAAGAAGCCTTGTCGCCGTTGATCTCAAATGTTTCCGCGTCAATCAGACGATCAATCTCACCGGCGAAACCCTTGAGAGTGGGGCTGCGGAAGATGGCATTCATGCTGATGTCAATGCCGCGCCACTTACGGCGCAGGTCGAAGAACATTTGCTGGGCCAGAATACTATGACCACCAAGGTCGAAGAACGAGTCGTCAGGACCAATCATGCGAGCAGTCACGTTGGGAATCAGCTTAGCCCAAATCTGAGAAAGAGCTTGCTCAGTCTCGGATAGTGTCTGCATCACGGAAGAACGGCGACGCGGGGCGGCCGCACTAAGTTCCTCGGTATCAGGGAAAGGCAGGGCAGGCTTATCAATCTTGCCATTAGGGTTCAGCGGCATACGCTTGAGGGGAATGATCACACTAGGGACAGCATAGGCAGGGAGCTTGCTGCGGAGGTGATCACGAGCATCATCGCGGAGAGGGCGGAAGCGACGAAGCATACCAACCATACCCTCAGCCGAGTCATCATCCGTAAGACCCTTGCTCTCCAGCCATTTGGCCCACTGGCTCATATCAGGTACGAAGTAGCTGACTAGGGTCGGCTCCTCGAACTTGTCTCGACGGACCAGAGTAACATTTTCACGGACTAGGGGATGGCGGGAAAGGTGAGTGTCAATCTCTCCCAATTCAATACGGAAACCACGAATCTTAACCTGGTCATCGGCACGGCCTGAGCACTCAACGTCTCCAGATGGGGTGTAACGTCCCAGGTCACCACTACGGTAAAGTCGGTCTCTAGGGCCAACATAGAACTCCCGCCATGGCTCGTTCCCACCCTGGTCATTTTCGACCCAGACTTCGGGCTTGACAAACCAATTGGTCAGGAACTTCTTCGCGCTCAGATCTGGGGTTCCCAAATAGCCTTCAGCGAGACCGGCAGCACGCACGTAGATCTCACCCACTTCACCGATGGCACATATCCGAGTGGGGTCAAAGCGGTTGACAACGAGCATCTGCACGTCCAGCATTCCACGACCGGCCGGGATGACATCCTTCATGGTATCAAGGAAACCCTCCTTACTGGAGTAGCTGGGGATTTCGTAGTAACTGACAGCACGCTGGGTCTCGGTAGTTCCGTACATGTTGACAATGTTCACATTCGGAGCCAAACCTTGCAGTGAGCGACAGTCACGCTTGATCAAGATGTCACCGACAAAGAATGCATGGTGCAGGTTCGGGAACTGAGCAGAGGCACCGCCAACCAAAATCTGACCCATAGCCGGAGTAAGATGGGTAACAGTGGCACCATAATTCTTCATCCACTCGGCGAGCTTCTCATTTTGGATGTCCTCTCTGGCAGGAACCAACAGCTGTGCACCCAAGAATAGCGGGGTGAAGATATCTCGCTGGATTGGATCGTGGGCAATACCGCTCAGCATCGTGAACTTCTCATTGGGAGTAAGCTTGAATGTCTCAGACATCCAAGGGAAGTAATAGGCAAGGGAGAAGTGGCGACCACGAACGCCCTTAGGGCGGCCCTCCGAGCCGGAGGTGAAGGACAGAGTTGGGGTGGAATCAGGGCCCACAACAACGCCAACGGGCTTTGACTTCAACTCAACTTGCTTGGCAAAAACATCCTGGCCATTGATCGAACCACCCAGAAGAGTGCCATCATCTTGAAGAGCAAGTGATGGAACCTCGGTGCGGAGATCCAAGTTCTCATTAATGAAAGTCCGAACAATGTCGGACAGCTCACCAGAATCACGGGTAGCCTTGGCAATATTTACCAGGGCACTAGGACGAGCGACATCAAGATAAATATTTTGGCGCTCAGGGGGGTATGCAGGATCAATAACGGAGAAGGTAGCACCGGCCTTCAAAATACCCATCACAGCAACTACCAGATCGACGCCGCGGTAGGCATAAACCATGACAACATCCCCTCTCTGAACACCAGATTGTACTAGATGGTGTCCGAGGATGTTTGAAGCCTCGCTAATCTGTTTATAGGTGAACTCGCGGTGCGTAGAGTTGCTCGACTTAGTTTCCACAACGCACAGCTTTTCAGGGTGCTTCTCGGCGTTTGCGGCAAATATTTCATGAATAGCACCGCGGTACTTAGACCAGTTGAGGTCGGCTGTAGGATCGGGCAGAAGGGCGAGTTGATCCGGAGTCATCATGTCAACTCGACCTACAGGCTCTTCAGTGTTTACAGCAGCATTCTCAGCAATCTTAGCCAGCTGTTTAAGAATTGTGGCAATACGCGCACTCGAGAAGAGACGTTGATTATAATAGGCACCCAATTCTACCTGTGATGCCGATCCCGGGGCGATGTTGACCACCAAATCGGTGCTGTCAAATGTGTTGGCGGGATATTCTTGCGAGGCAGCCGGAGCATCGTAAGCAGCAAAGCGGAAAAGGATGGGGGCTCTTTCGGACTTGGATTTGTCTTGAATGTAGGAGCGAAGACTGCCTAAAGGCACGATCTCAGAAGCACCTTCGTTGAACGCCTACACACTTAGCCAAGGTCTTATAGATATTGACGATGACAATGAATTTAACGTACCTTGTCGACCTTAGCATAGAGCTGGGTAAATGTCTCAGAGGAGTTGATGGGAACTCGGAGAACGAATGGACGGCCATCTTCGCCCACGCTGGTTCCCACTGCGATATCCTCATCGCCGGTCAAACGGGCCACAAGAATGACAAAGGCAGTCAAAAAGACAGTGAATTCAGAAGATGACGACGCAGACAGCTTCTTCAAAGCCAATTGGGTTTCCTTAGGTAGTTTGACAGACTCAAATGCCTCAATGACCCGCTTGCTATCGCTATCAGGCTTTTGTGTGTCGGGATAGTCACGAGTCAATGGCGAAACAGTGAGGTTATTTAGACGTTGCGACCACCTTTCTAGGCGGTCTTGCAAAGCAGTTCCCACAGCCATGGTTGCAGCTGTACAAATGCTTGATATTTTTTTAAAGGAAGTTGAGATGAGTCAAATTACCCCATCTTGACGGGAGGGGCACAAAAAAAAGTCCGACTTCGCCGTGAATTAAAGTCGCTGATTGGCCATAACTCCCCCACATTGATTATCTCGAATTGTGCACTTTTAGTCTCATGTAGATGGTCATATAGTACTGTTCTATTTTATATACTTAATAGAAGGCAAAACAAAGGAATCTAAGATCTTTGACTTAATTCTACCATCTAAAATCCAGTGGCAATCTGATATTCACGGATAGTTAATTAGTGATACCGATGATGTAATTGGATGAGTCAGCCATTTATCTCAAACCTCAGGCCATAAAGTTTACCCTGTACTTTGTTAGTCAGTAGATGGTCAACTTCTCTCAGGAGTCAAAGATCGTTGGAGGACAAAATTTATATCAGCAATATCCCTTCTATTGCCTCTTTCAATGGGAAACCCTTGTAATTCTATATAGTCCGTTGCCCGCCTATACCCAATCGAGTCGCCGAATCCGGTGTATTCGAGGCGCTGCCCCCAAATAGCTTCTGGCGCGCAACTTCACATCCCTTCCTTCTAATTATTTAACAAACCCTTATCAAAGTTTATATTCGCTTGCATGCGCCAAAGATGATTCCCCATAGGAGTACGGGTCTTTTGGCGATCATCGTTTTTGTTGCGCTTCTTCTCTTTATCTTCTCATCCTCACCTATCCCTGAACCAACCATCGAAGGCGAGGAAAACCCCCCAACGCCAGCGAAATTGCCTCTACCGAAGCTTCCTCACCTCAGCGATATACATCTTCCGTCTTTACGCCCTCCTTCACACGAACCACCTCCAGAGCAGAAAAATAGCACTAGTGGCGAGTCAAAATGGTTTAGCAATTGGGAATGGCGAAACCCATTTTCGTCCGCTATCACTCTCGATGAAAACAGATCTGTTCTACCTCCATTGCCCGATCGTCGACCCATCTACACATATTACAACCCGAAATACAACCCTAAGAAGTTTGGCGGCAATGAGCTAAAGGAGGCGAAGAACGCCGATGGCCAACTCCTTTTGGCCTGGCGACGAGCTTGGTATGCGCAGGGCTTTAAACCAGTGGTTTTGACGCCCGGTGATGCGATGAAAAATCCACACTACCAATTGGTGCAAACACTTAATCTCAACCCAGACATGGAAAACGAGGTATTTCGTTGGCTGGCGTGGGGTCACATGGGATCAGGCTTGCTCGCCGATTTTGAGTGTTTCCCTATGGCACGCTACGATGATGCTCTCTTGGTAGCTCTTCGAAGAGGCACCGACCCGGAGTTTATCACCCGATTTGAAAACTTCCAAGGAGGTCTTTTCTCGGCAGAGAAGCATCGCATTGATGATGCGATTGATGTATCGGTCAAAAAGCTGAGCGATCAATCTGCGTCACTTGTAGATCTTATGCCGGCCGAGATCTTCAGGATTGAGAAGCCGAATGCCCTGGCTTACTATCGATCATCCGCAATCAGTTCTCACTATCCCACTCTGCAGGAAAAGATCGGCAAAAAGCCTTTGAACGGCCCCAGTGGTCGATTGCTTCTCGTGCAGTTGATTAACTCCCACCTTCATAATACTTTTCAAACCTCTTTCCCGGCCGGCCTGGCCGTACTGAAGCCTTTCCCTCAGCACACTACTGCCCTGGTCGAACCCGCGCTGCGGCTAGCAAAGTCGCTCATTGAATGCCCCGAGTCTCCGGTCCCCAATTCCTGCCCACCTAACCACCCTGAGTGCCGCCCCTGTGGTTCTGCAAAACAACCTATGCGGATAAGCCAGCCATCCAGCTACAAGACAACCCCATTCCTATTCACTATCGGCACGCTCCCGCACCCCTACACTCTTATTAGTCTGCAGAAGAGCTCTGATAATATCACCGCGCGGTCAATTCGTCGAGAGACTGCACGGGATCCATGGTTAATTGATGTTACCGCAGAGGATCTTGGACCCGAAACTCAATATCGCGGCACCGGGTTAGCAGTTGGCAGTTCCTACCGGGCAATGACATTCAAACAAGTCGTCGCCGGAGACCAAGGCAGGGCCAACTCACTTTGGATGACTGTTGAGTCTTTATCTGCGGAAGCTGGCCAAAGCCTCCCAGCCGACCTCTTAGATGAGTTTGAGTGGGAATTTGGGTTCACTATCCCGCGTGGAGGTGCTATCGATCCAAACACGGCTGGAGACAAGGAGAGTGTACAGAACAAGAACCCCAGCCAAGAAGGAGTTGGCCGAGAGTATGAGCTCATCCAAAAAGCCCGAGTCCTTCAGGCAGAGGGGGACAGTATAACAAACGTCGCCGAAGCCTGGAACCTTGCTGATGCTGAGGTCTGGCGCTTTGTGAAAGCGTATAGGTGAGTTTCTTCAATATCCATCTTGTCATATTCCTTTCTAATTTCTTCTTTTTTTTTTTTTATTTAGGGCTCGCAGTGTGATTGAGCGCAAGAAGTGGGAAGAAGAAGAGAAGCAATTTGCTGGTGCCTCGCATCAGTGATCTATATATTATGTATTGATAATCATTCCAAGCATTGACGGCGTCCGGATTTGGCATCTCGAATCCTTATATATATATAAGGCATCAAGGCATCCAACCATCAACTACATAGAAAGCAAGTCGTAAAAGTGAAGCTCATGACAAATGTAAAGATCGACCGAGATGTAATTTGTTGAATTGCCTATACTTCTGCCAAAAATTTCAACTGTTCCATCGGCAATAATAGCTATAGAGATTGTGAAATTGGCGCCGAAAATGGCGGCTTTTGATGAAACAACAGCCGCCTTTCTAACGCCCTTTTACTAGACCTTCAACTTTTCCAGCTTGCCCATATCACTTCCATCCACCAATACAAATCTGCATCCATGTCCGAGATTACAAGAAGAGTTATTCGGAGCCTCAGCCTTTTCACTCGCCCGAGTGTTATTCGCTTCCTATGTATAATGTGATTCCTGGTCGGTCTGTCACCCATCAAAATTTCATAAAATTGCAAATTTTTAAACCCAGATTTGAGAACCAAAACATAATAAATTTGACTAAATAACACGATTCTGACACTGTTTGATCTTATGCCCTATCTTACCACACCCAGAGCAGGTTGTCTGGCGCCTTGTTTTAGGCATTATAGGCAAATCAGTTCCAGTAGACACATTGTAAGCAGCTTCACCATCAGATATATGTGTCACTTCACCATTCCCACCACCAATATTATTCTGAATTGTTTCTAAAACCCCTAAACTACCCTTATGAATAGCCTGCTTCTTACTAGCTCCCCCCTTTTTTCACCTGTTTCTTATTCATTTCTAAATGGCCACGACAATCATGTAAATAAATATGATGAAGTGTTCGGGTCGTGGGATCGTAATGCGATTGGATCGGCCTTTTATTAAGTGATGGAATCAAATCAAGTGACGGTTCTGGACCTAAACCGAGACGAGATTTCGATTTTGCCAGTTTTTCGAGTGTCCAAGGAAAGCTAGGATCACTATCGCTCCCTGATATCAAAGGAAGTGAAGGTGAAGATTCAAGTCGAATATTCAACTTATCTAATACATGATTTGGGTCTAAAGGGACTAAACCAGTAGCTTTAAAGCTATTGATTATAGTATCAGTTTTAAAAGCTCCATGACGCACATCAGGAAAGATATCAAGGAAATCATCTTTATCGATCGAATTGACACCAAATCGCATCCAGTCTGATACTGCGGCACCATAAAGCTTCTTCAAAGGCGAAAAACAGCCTACATCCAAAGGCTATAAAAGATGTGAAGCATGTGGTAGCATACAAAGTGCGATAATATCGTTTTCTTTGCAAATTTGATCGAATTCAGGGGTAAGATGGCTACCATGACCATCTAATATCAAAAGGTAAAATTTACCTCTTCGATTCCTAATATTAGGAATAAAGTGTTTCTTTAGCCAATCGACACCAATCTCATCGCTAGTCCATCCATCTGGGCTAAGATTGATTCGCCAATTACCCTCTTTAGGGAGCTTAGGAAACCACCGTTCAAAAAAAAGCTTTCCCTTTAAAGATGATATAGGGCGGAAGAGCTTCTCCAGAAGATCTTATAGTTTCAATAATAGTTGTAACGGGTTGATACCCGATGAAATGCTCAGTCTCTGGAGAGACTGCGCTCCTGGAATCTGTGCGGAGCCGAACGAGCTATAAGAACACCCGGTCCCCAGGACCCCTTTCCCTCCCTTAGTTAATTCTTCTTGTTTACCAATCGGATCTTTACAGCGTACAAATTCCTGCATTCATCCCGTAACAATAGTGACCCATTCGCGATTCCCAGGCTGTAAAATAGCTCTCCGACCATGATATTCAGAAGATATAATGATTTTTTGGGTCGCATTTACTCCTATCGCAAAGCCAGATTCGTCAAAGTTGAAGATGTCGTTCGAATCTATACCATGTTCTTGGATAGTGTCTTGGACTAGTTTAAACCATGGTACAATGATTCTAGGGTCTTGAGCTTCAGCTCTCCTATGATCATGTTTCTGAGAGAGACGTGAAGACAGGTTTTCGTGACACTTAACAAAGCCTGTTACCCAGTTTTTGCCAATAGAAGGGGTGTCGGAGGTGGCTGAAAAATGCGACGGGAGTAAAAGATTGACCATATCTCTAATCATAGCAGGGGTAAGAACTGCACCTCTCTTATCCATAGTGACTAGCCAATTCTCCATCAATTCTTCATCAACCTCATCAAACTTATGGCCAGTTGGTCTCGTTTCCCATAGATTTGGAGTGCCCTTCATTCTAGCATATAGGGTTGATCTTGGTACACTAAATGAGCGTGCAGCAGCTGCGACAGAAGAATATAGACCATCTTCAATAGCTTGAATGGCTAATAAGATACGTCCCTCCTGCTCCAGTGATTTCTGTCGTTTTTCAGAGCGAATTGGGGGCATAGTGTGTGTTTGAAAACAGAGAGTTGCTATGAAGACAATTTTATTTGGTGGGTCGTCTCTTGGCACTGCTAATTAGTCTGACAGAAACTGTCAAATGGCCAGTCCTATTTTAGTCTAGTGTTCTTTATTAGTCAGCTTCAGTACGCTCTTTACTGCAGTAAGATTTACTACTGCGAATACACACACATATTTGAGATTGTGAAGTCTTCTGATTGGTTCTTATAATCCCACTTCCTCGCCCAAGTTGACAGTTATGAGCCCGGTTCGCCGTTAATTTACCCTGAAAACCCCCCAAAAACGAAGAAGATTAGGGAGAGCCAAATGATTACCCCGCAAAGCCAGAACTACAACCCGCTGTAGATGATGAATCGCGAAAAATCAATGAGGCTCTCCGACGAGATTGGAGAGATGATGTGGAGGAATTCAAATACCTTAATGCTAAATGGACAGCGCGCCAGAAGGCAATTGGAGAAATAAACGAGTTTATTCTAAAGCATTTAGACACTCCAGCAGGCTGTGGGACAATAGGTGTTGTAAAGAAAACAGGTCGAACAGTATAATTTGCCTTATTTTCAGTCTCTTCTGCCTTCGATTCTGCAGGTTTTGTCGACTTAGCTGCTTCTAGCTGCTGCTCTAACCACTTCTTCCAACCAGGGTCTTTCTCCAAGGCTTTTCGTGCCTTCTCTTCCCAGTGTGGTTTGGGTTTGACATCTTCTGGACGCTGGTCAGGGTTGAGATTCCAGCACTTCTGTAGCGGGAAAGAGCAGCCACAGGGGCACCCCTTCGCCTGATATCCCTTCTTTTTCGATGGTTTCTGGCTCTGATTCTGGTTCTGCTTCCCTTCGCCAGCTTCAGGGAATCCTTGGAATGTTGCAAATGCTCCCTTAACTCCACCCTTCTGCGCAGCACTCTGGGCCAGATTCTGGACATAATACGTCGTTTTGAAGCTATCAATCAAGGTCCTAATCGATATATCTTCACCATCAACGACGATTCTACCATGCCAATTCTGCCACCAAGCTGGTAGAATCTCTCGCACCAACTCCAGGAATAGCCAAACTGCGTCCTCGCTCTTAGCTGAAGCTATCTTCTCTGCTTCTGCCTTTAAACGCAGGCTTTCCCATGCTTCTAACCAAGCATCAATCTCACCACCCTTCTTTGGCTGGGTGATCATCGCAATCCTCCACTGGCTGAAAATCTCAGCTTTATATGTTGATGTGCTTCCAAAACGATTCTTCAAGAATTGGAGACGCTCATGTGGTTGCTCATAGTCAAGGACTAATTCAGCCAGAGCAGTGTCTAAATGCTTTAGAATAAACTCGTTTATTTCTCCAATTGCCTTCTGGCGCGCTGTCCATTTAGCATTAAGGTATTTGAATTCCTCCACATCATCTCTCCAATCTCGTCGGAGAGCCTCATTGATTTTTCGCGATTCATCATCTACAGCGGGTTGTAGTTCTGGCTTTGCGGGGTAATCATTTGGCTCTCCCTAATCTTCTTCGTTTTTGGGGGTTTTTCAGGGTAAATTAACGGCGAACCGGGCTCATAACTGTCAACTTGGGCGAGGAAGTGGGATTATAAGAACCAATCAGAAGACTTCACAATCTCAAATATGTGTGTGTATTCGCAGTAGTAAATCTTACTGCAGTAAAGAGCGTACTGAAGCTGACTAATAAAGAACACTAGACTAAAATAGGACTGGCCATTTGACAGAAACCATTTGTCACGTGACTACCGGGCTGTGGCGATGTGGCGATCTCCGCAAGATAACCGGTTCCACTCAAGTGCGGAGTCGTAGATAACATAAACTCATCCGCATAGCTTTCTCCTCTCACTGGCCTTTTAGAAACTGGAGATTTCTAATACTTATATTCAACTTTGATCTCAACTATTTAATGTTATGGTCCCCTTGAGGCGCTCGTGAAAGAAAGTTTTGGTAATTTTCCACTTCATTCCTGCTTCACAATGACGCCTGGTATTATAGACGATTCCCCGGTGGCCAAGACTACATCCTTGCTTCAACTCACCGAGGACTGGGACGATACTATCCGATTTTATCTCAATGGATCTAAAGTGGCTGTCGATGCCGTCAACCCTGAAGTCACCCTTTTAGAGTACCTGAGAGGCATTGGCCTGACCGGAACTAAGCTTGGATGCGCAGAGGGTGGGTGTGGGGCTTGCACAGTGGTAAGTAGTTGTGAAGACCGGTCGACAGCTGGCTTTTGACTAACATAATCTATGTAGGTTGTTTCGCACTTTAATCCCACCACAAACAAAATTTACCATGCCTCGATCAATGCCTGTATCGCTCCGTTGGTCAGTATAGATGGTAAACATGTCATCACGGTGGAGGGAATCGGAAACGTCAAAGATCCTCATGCGATCCAACAGCGGATCGCAGTGGGTAATGGTAGCCAATGTGGTTTCTGTACTCCTGGAATTGTCATGGTACGTCTATGGACTTGTTGAGATTGGAGGCATACCTGATGACTTCTTAAAGAGCCTTTATGCCCTGCTACGAAACGATCCAAATCCCTCTGAACATGTGATTGAAGAATCCTTCGATGGCAATTTGTGCCGCTGTACTGGATACAGACCTATCCTTGATGCCGCTCAGAGCTTCAACTCTCGGAACAATTGTAAGAATGCTACTGCTGAAGGTGGCTCTGGATGCTGCATGGAAAAGGTTGGTTCTGGAGGGTGCTGTAAGGGATCTACAGGAAAAGGCGGGGAAGAAATTGTCGAACAAAAATTTCCAGCTCCCGACTTTAAGGCGTATAGTCCAGACACGGAGTTAATTTTCCCGGCTGCTTTGAGGAAACATGCATTCCGGCCACTCGCCTACGGCAACAAGAAGAAGAAGTGGTATCGACCGGTGACAGTTGAGCAACTACTGCAGATCAAGAGTATCCACCCAGAGGCAAAGTTGATTGGTGGAAGCACAGAAACACAGATCGAGATCAAGTTCAAAGCCTTACGATACACTGCCTCTGTGTATCTAGGCGATATCCCCGAACTGCGACAGTTCACCTTTCATGATGGGTATCTGGAAATTGGTGCCAATATCTCATTGACGGACCTAGAGTCCATTTGTGACCAAGCAGTGCAGCGATATGGACCTGCCCGTGGGCAACCCTTCAAGGCTATCAAGAAGCAACTGATGTACTTTGCTGGAAGGCAAATTCGTAACGTTGCATCTCCAGCTGGAAACTTGGCTACTGCTTCTCCAATATCAGACCTGAATCCGGTGCTCGTCGCCACAAATACTGTTCTAGTTGCCAAGTCCCTCGCAGGAGATAAAGAAATTCCAATGACTGAATTTTTCCAAGGCTACCGGAAAACAGCCTTGTCCCAAGATGCCATCATCGCTAGTCTCCGCATCCCAGTTGGTGCGGAAAAAGGCGAGTATATTCGGGCGTATAAGCAGTCCAAGCGAAAGGATGACGATATTGCCATTGTTAACTCTGCACTCCGCGTCTCCCTGTCGGACTTGAATGAGGTTACCAGCTGCAATCTTGTATTCGGCGGCATGGCAGCAATGACTGTCTCAGCAAAGAATGCCGAGGCAGCTTTAGTTGGTCAGAAATTCACAAATCCCGCAACGCTGGAAAGTGTCATGAGTGCTCTGGAAACGGATTTTGATCTTCCATTTGGTGTCCCCGGAGGCATGGCTACTTACCGGAAATCTCTTGCCCTGGGATTCTTCTATCGATTCTACCATGATATCTTGTCAGGACTTGAGGTCAATGCCTCAGAGCTGGACCCAGATGTGGTTGCTGAAATCGAAAGAGCCATCTCCTCCGGAGAGCAGGACAAGGAAGCGTCCGTTGCATATCAACAAAAGATTCTTGGTAAACCCAGTCCCCATGTTTCAGCATTGAAGCAGGCAACTGGCGAGGCTCAGTATACAGATGATATACCAGTGCAGCAAAATGAGCTTTTCGCCTGTCTAGTCTTGTCTACCAAAGCACATGCCAAAATTCTCAGTGTCGATATCTCAGCGGCACTAGATATTCCAGGTGTTGTTGATTATGTCGATCATAAAGATCTGCCCAACCCCAAAGCCAACTATTGGGGCGCACCAAATGCCGATGAGCGATTCTTCGCTGTTGACGAGGTCAACACCGCTGGACAACCAATCGGTGCGATACTTGCGAACAATGCCAAGATAGCCGAGGAGGGTATGCGGGCCGTCAAGATTGAGTATGAGGAGCTTCCGGTCATTTTGACTATGGAAGAAGCAATTGAGGCAGAATCATTCTTTGAACAGAAAAGATTCATCAAATGTGGTGATCTCGACGAAGGCTTTAAGCAGGCCGATCACATCATTGAGGGTGAAACGCGAATTGGTGGACAGGAGCATTTCTACCTAGAGACAAATGCCTGCCTCGCTATTTGGAAGCCAGAAGACGGCGAGATGGAAATTTGGAGTGGCACGCAAAATCCTACAGAGACGTAAGTTTGATTATCCGCTGCGAATTCGAATTTGAGCTAACTCGGCATTTTTAGTCAATCTTACGTAGCCCAAGTCACTGGTGTCGCCGCCAACAAAATTGTCTCTCGTGTCAAGCGACTCGGTGGTGGCTTTGGTGGTAAGGAAACACGTTCTGTCCAGCTGGCCGCAATTTGCGCCACTGCTGCTACGAAGCTCAAGCGGCCGGTCCGCTGCATGCTAAATCGTGATGAAGATATCATTACCTCAGGCCAGCGCCATCCTTTCATGTGCCGATGGAAGGTCGGAGTCACTAAGGAAGGAAAGCTGTTAGCACTTGATGCCGATATTTATGCTAATGGCGGCCACACTCAAGACTTGTCTGGTGCCGTTGTGGAACGAAGCTTGTCGCATGTCGACAATGTCTACAAAATTCCTAACGTTCACGTTCGTGGTACAATTTGCAAGACAAATACTGTTTCCAACACTGCTTTCCGCGGTTTTGGTGGACCCCAGGGGCTCTTCATTGCCGAGTCATACATTGAAGAGATTGCAGACCATCTCAAAATACCATCTGAGAAGGTTCGTGAAATCAACATGTACCAGGCTGATGATAAGACACATTTCAACCAAGTTCTGAAGGACTGGCATGTGCCCTTGATGTACAAGCAAGTGATGGAGGAGAGTTCATACAATGAGCGACGGAAGGCAGTGGACGAATATAACGCGAAACACAAGTGGTCCAAGCGGGGATTGGCAATTGTGCCAACCAAGTTCGGTATCTCATTTACAGCCCTCTTTCTGAACCAAGCAGGAGCCTTGGTGCATATATACCACGATGGTAGTATTCTTGTTGCTCATGGCGGTGTTGAAATGGGACAAGGATTACACACAAAGATGACGGCGATTGCTGCCGAAGCCCTCCAAGTACCTCAAGATAGCGTGTTCATCTCCGAGACAGCCACCAACACCGTTCCAAACACATCTTCAACCGCTGCCTCCGCCAGCTCTGATCTAAATGGCTATGCCATCTTCAACGCTTGCGAGCAACTCAACGAGCGTCTCCGCCCGTATCGCGAGAAGATGCCAGGAGCAACAATGAAGGAACTGGCACACGCAGCCTACTTTGAAAGAGTCAATCTTTCAGCACAGGGATACTATCGTACTCCAGACATCGGCTACGTATGGGGCGAGAACACAGGACAGATGTTCTTCTACTTCACACAGGGAGTCACAGCCGCCGAAGTCCAGATCGACACACTGACCGGAGACTGGACTCCTCTACGAGCCGACATTAAGATGGACGTCGGCCGCACCATCAACCAATCCATTGACTACGGTCAGATCGAGGGTGCCTATGTACAAGGCCAAGGGCTCTTCACCACTGAAGAAAGCCTATGGCACCGCGCCTCCGGCCAGATATTTACGCGCGGGCCCGGAAACTACAAGATCCCGGGCTTTCGTGACATCCCCCAGATATTCAACGTGAGTTTACTCAAAGATGTTGAATGGGAGAATCTGCGAACCATCCAGCGCTCGCGTGGTGTTGGTGAACCTCCGCTTTTCATGGGAAGTGCCGTCTTCTTTGCTATTCGTGATGCGTTGAAGGCTGCGCGGAAGCAGTGGGGTGTTGAGGATGTTTTGAGACTGGTTAGCCCTGCCACCCCAGAGCGCATCAGGATTAGCTGTGCTGATCCCATTGTTGAGCGGGCGAGGGTGCATCCTAAAAAGGGGGAGAAGAGTTTCTTCGTTGAAATTTAGGGGGTTGTATTTGTCGAGCTCGAGCATGTAGATAGGAATGACCAATGACTACGGTATCATCTTGCAAACTATTTTATCAGAAATAACCTTCGGACAACCTTCGGACAACCTTCCAAGGTTGGAATGCACCTGGCATGACCTTCAGAGTCTACTAGCGTATTTTACTTACTGAAATGGGGAACGGTGCCACCGTATTGCATTGGTCTGCGAAACCAGATACTCCCCAGATGGGCGCAGGGATCGGAGGGCTAGTGGGAGACGAAGAAGGAGACTTAGGAGAAGCTCAGAGGAGAAGAAGTCTGATGGTCTGATCTCTAAAACATATCACTTAGTTATATACACATCCTGATTAGTCAGGCCAGACTGCCACCTGTCTGCCTCCCCACTACATTACGTAGTTGGCCTATATAGACGCGAACCTTAGAACATGATTGATTAGCGCATTGAGATTGATAAAATACTCAATAGCTCCAGTTAAAGGGGTTTGAAAGATGCTCTGCTAAATCTCATCGATAATAGAGATGAATAGAAAGAAAGGAAAAGTCGAACGCCAAAGCGATGCAATAAGATCTTACGGATATCAATGCTTCTCGCCATACTCAACATAGTTACTCTTGCGCGTATCAGACGAAGCCTCAACCTGCAAAGCAGTTCTCTGACCGGCAAACCCAACCTTCTCATCACTAGGATATTCGGAGTCAATGAACGGATTGTTACTACCAGAAGCAGCAGCTCCAGGAAACGTCCTTTCATGTCTCTCATAAACCGGACTACTCTCCGGAAAACCTTCAGACTGTGTTCGCTCATAGCGCGGAAGGCCAGCTGTCTGCTCGGATGTACCGGAAAAGTTATCGGTTCTCGGAATTGCGGTAAGGGGGACGCTTGTAAAGCCTTGAGAGTCGGCTGGAGAGATCGGGCCAGGGTGGCTTGGGACTGCGTCCATGGCATGGCCGCCTCCTTCACCGCGGTTTCGGTCGTGACCCCACCAGAGGAACATCGCACGGATTACGCCGATCAGGACGATAAGGACCCAGATTGCGAATACGGCGGTGGCAATTAGTGTCTCTTGGCGAAGGGCTTCTTCGAGCTTCTCAATGAGGTCCACGACGACTTCGGTAATTTTGTTAGAGGTTGAGTCGCCAGCACCGGCAAGGAAGCTGTCTGAGGGGTCTGAAGAATTGGAGATACTGTCCGAGGCACCTTTGGAGAAGATGTCGTCTGGGAAGTTGGGGAAGTCGATGTGTGCGTTATCGTGGACCCATGTGAGACCTTTTTGCACACTTGCTATTTTGAGGCCGATCAAACAATTGAAGACTTCTTCGATTGGATCGTAGAATATCGTGCCGCCAAAAGTATCATTTAGAACACCGGTTGTCTTTTCGACGAAGGTATTGAGAGTACTGTTAACCGCAGACGTACTCGTGTTGACCCATCCGAAGATGTTGTCGTTGAGTTTCGTGTCGAAGCTGTTGATGGCCGAGTTGGCACCGTCCGCCCATTCGTTCGAGGCATTGTTCAAAGCAACTACGACTTTATCCGCAAACGCTCCAACCTCGGTGGTTAGCTCTGGGACAGTCTTTGCAATGACCTTCAGCAGGATGTATTGGCACAAGCAGGCAAGCAGCGCGGCGATACCAATTGCAAGAACGAAAAGTGCCGGCAATGAGGTTGCGTATGCGACGGCCCAGCGAACCAGAATTTGTCGGCGGCTGTTGCTGAAGTGGCTTGCTGCCTTGATTCCTGCTGCAGCGGTATATGGCCGGGAAACAATGTAGACAACGTCCATCGGGTCATGGGCTTCCCTTCGCACGAGTTCGGATCGCTCTTTCATATGACGCCATCGTCGAATCTCCTGCCATGCGACCGGAATACAAGCCAGGATGGCAGCGACTACAATGACAGCAATAAAGATTTTCCGTGCGGTGATCGCAATGTCAGTAGCCCCGTCGAAGAAACTGTTGATCCCGTCATTGTCGTCGCAGAAAGTCAATTGTTTCTTAACTGGAACTGAGAGGGCTGATCTGTCGAATGAATAGTTGCCTAGAGAGATATTTACCAGTTTCTTGACCTCTTCGAATGGCAACTTGATGATATTCTCGGTGAAGTTTTGGACCTCGCTGAAGGTCGGGATGGTTTTGTTGAGATCGGAAATATCGGAATTCACGGAAGAAGGAATAGACCAAGAGGTCAGGCCGTCCATAGAGCTGTTGAGATTCAAGGTCGGGATAGATGCGCCCAGCACCTTGGCGGCTGAGCTGACAAGGTCGGAAAAGTCATCCAATCCACTCTCAAAAGTTTTGACTGTCGACTGGATGTCTGACTCGACAGCCTTGATTGTGCTGTTCAGAGCACTAACCACGTCCTCCAATAGTGCAGTGGCTACATCCACTGCGCCTCGCACGGCCAGCGTGATAAGACAAAGATAAGTCTGATACATGATTTTGATGATAAAAAGAACGATTTCTTCGACTCCGGTAATAACGAGCTGGAGCATGGTATTAAGAGCACCAACAGATTCATTGATGCCCTTTACTGCCAGGTCATTGACTCCAGAAGCGAGGTAATGTGGCATTGACGCCATAGCGCTGCCCATCGTTTCTACGGAGGTGCATGCGGAGAGTGCCTCGCGCTTCGCGGCTGCCATGTCATTCCGTACAGATCCGATAGCCAACAGGACACGAACAAGAACAAGTAGTAGGAGGATCGTCCAGCGATTAATCCATACTTGTGACAACCGGGCTCGTAGGCCTAGGTATGGTGTGAGACCGTCGGGGTGTAACGGGATAATCCGACCCTGTTTACTGGGGTCATGAACCCCATATGGAGGCAGGAGAGGGAATATCGAACGTCCAGGTCTGAACATGATATCTGAATTTGGAAATTTTTCAGAAGAGGAGGTTGCTGTTTGTTGCAGCGATGGTCAGGCGTGACAACGAGGCTGAGAAATGTAGCGATTCGTAACGTGAAGGGATTTAAAAGAAGATGATTAGAGGAACAGGTTGTCAAAGGGGATATTTATGGATTATTAATTCGAGGGATAAATAGAATCAAATCTATTCAAGGAGCATGATGAATAGATCCGTGGTTGAAAGTGAAAGTGGAAGTGGAAGTTGTTAAGAACGGATGAGATGGGGTAATTTCTATAGAAAAGGCACGAAACTATAAAAAGAGAGAAGAAAGAAAAATCGATAATAGCTCCAGATGAAACCTTCAGGTCCTGATGAGGAATTATTTTAGGTATTCAGGCGCTAACAGGGTCTCCATGAGGTCCTATTCCAGTTATAAACCTCCATCTGAAGCAGTTAGCCACCCCTGGTTAGTAAGAAGCGACCACTCAGCATGAGCCACTCCGGATGCAAACAAAGAGATCCTGAAAATAAAGCCTGCAGAATGATCGTTAGTGCCCCGATTTGTTTCATCTTCGATCAAAGCGCGTAGTGTGGCTCATAGTCAAATCCGCCGATGGCCGCCAAAGATAGATCTCCGGCGCTTAGTATCCGTCGCTACGAGCCAATCATCTTCTGGCCAGGAGATGCAATTCAGAAGTTCTTACATTAGTCTGGCTGACATAATGTGTATCGCATGTTGGAACTTGGGGTGGTCTTTGTTTTGATATTGACACTTCGCAAGTTCGCATGATAGCCTTTGTTTCGAAATTGTCGGGCTTCAAAGATGTAGGGATCTTTTTTTTAACTTCAATGGTGATTAGATGGCTTGTATCAACTTAGACTTGAGATTCAAGGAATCAAGATCTGAGTCATCTGATAATTCTGATTCTCAGATAATTATGAAAGCCTAAGGAAAAAAGATGCATTGTATTGTAGTAGCAATATCCATTGAGAAATAACCAACTCGAGTTGATCAGATCTAATTTCACGTGACCTTATCACGTGAACAACTGTACCCTACTTATCCAACCTCATAAATTAGAACAAAATACTGCTCAACGTTGAAACCATCTTCAAAATCATCAAGATTTTCATTGGAAATGAGATAGATCGCCATCCATAACATAAAGCTGAACTCTTTACTATATCGAATCCAGACTCAGTCTAGTGTTGAATTTACAGATGTAGACATACAGAGTCGGTATCATAGCGCCTGGTGTATTTGGAAAAGAAATCCAACAATGAAGAAAGGACTGAAATTTTTACTATAGAAAATATAATTTTAGTGTATTGGATGTCTTTACAGCACATCTTAGAAAAAGTGTCTCCAGCGCTTGGGTTACACACGTCCTCGACGTGCTACGGAGCATATCTTCTTATTGTATATTATCCTAATAAGCTTCTCTTGAGTCATGTAATTGTATTTTCCAATTCAACACACTGTGACATATCTTGGGGAGTGTTGCTTCGAGACTTGATCTATACAGATTCCTTCGAATAATTTCGATATCGCTTGGTCAATAGTTTGTGCTCTCAAATCAGCAAAGGTGTGGCCACAATCATCTCTCAGCAGCATGAAATATCCTTTATTGGCTCACTAAAATGTTTTCTGGGGACACTTAAAATCATCTTTTTCGCTCCACTAATAACATCAATCTCTTTCTCTTCAGGCCACTCAGCACTTCAAAGCGGTCAGATAAAATACCATTTTAATCATACCTCTAGGTAGGTATGGGATTTTTTTGGCAGAATTATTGTCACCTGGCGGTATTGTGATCGCGGTAATAGAAGAGATTGCTGGGCTCATTAAGATACAAGTCCCACTAACTCTCATTTTATTCCGCTTCTCTTCTTTTCATCTTCCCTCTCAACATTTGAGATAACTCAACCAGGTTTAGCTTTCAAGAACTTCTACTGTCACCTGAACTCTTGTCCTTTTCCTTCCTTTATTTCCTACCTTTACTTTAATCGATCAGGTAGATTCATATTTGATATCTTAACTGTGCAGTAAGTTCAAGGCATTTTAATGATATTTTTGCGACCCATCTCCCACTACTCTCATCTTCTACTCCCGAGATTCCAGCTGTTGTCTTCTATGACATGTACCCTGGGTTCCATCACTCAAATCATGATGAAACGTGTGATGAATACCACAGTAATAGTTCTCATTTGAGCTAAGGAAATTGACAATAATCATATGCTCCCAATCATGCTATCCCCAGCTTTGAATTATTTGTCAGCACTGTCATCTGTATATGCACGGAAGACTCCTGAACATGAACGAAAGTACTGCAGACAGGATTCGCACTCTTATATGGCAATATCAGGATATCTGACTTCACTCGAAGAAGATATAGGCATAGAAGACAAACCTTCACTGGGGAAGACCTTCATGACCTAGTATCAATGGCGAGTCTGGATATGAGGATACTAAATATGGGCAGTCAACAGTCGCATCAACAACAGCAAGCCAGACACTCAACAGTATCGTGAGTTAAATACCTAGGTAAGTAAAGTAGGTCTTCCAGATCATCCCAAACATGCCAGTTCTTCCTCACAGTATTCCCGATTCTGCTCAAGTCCTCATCTTTTTCTGATATCTCATCATATGTTCTCTTTATTGCTTTATAAACTGCATTTGTCATTTTCAACCAAGCTTACACAATTAGAAAGACACTTATGTCCTGCTATGGAAACAAAGGCGGCCCCTTTACCCCTAACAGAGTTCCTTTTGCCGAGCTACAGCCCGCAGGTTAGCATTCATATTCGTAAAACTAAGCTCGTTATGAGCTACTCTAACTTAGCAAGCAGTGCCTCTTCCTCGCCGAGGAATTCTTGCCCCTCCTCTGGCGAGTCTTCCCCAACGTCCTGTCAGTATACCTCCTCGGAAACCACCAGTTCTCCCAATAGCTCTCCCAGCTCGTCCCCCAACGCCTGACCCCCCACCTCACCACACTCGCCATCGTCTTTCTAAATCCCAGAAACACAAGGGTCGAAAGCAGCGTACTCGAGACAGAATGTTAGCTGTCGAGACAAATGACTGGGATGTTAGTGAAACCTCTGTTGAGACTTCTCTTCTCATGAGTACGACTCCTCGTCATCACCCCAACACCCTGCTTCAGGGTCTTCTTTCTCCTATCGCGGAGTCTTCATACTCGAATGCCACAATAAAGTCACCCGTTAAGAAGGTTTTGAATTGGGACTACGGAGGCTTTTTCTACGACCTCAATTACATTGGCTTCAAATGTGCCAAGGAAAACTGTGATAAGCAGTGCGCACAGGGGGATAGCGATACCCGCATCTGTCCCGCTTGTGGGCCTTGCTCTGAGGTACGATACTGCTCAGAGGATCATCTCATCATGGATATCAAGGCTCACTTTGCGAAATGCGGCGAGTATGGCCAGTCCACCTTCATTCACCCTTGTCGAATGAGCACTATTCGGGATGAGCATATTCGGGGACCTCCCATGCTTCCCGCCGAGTTTACGGAGACGGACACTGTTGAGCGCCACCGGCAAGCAGTTTGGTTCAACTGTATGCACCATTATGGGGATTATTTCATCTTTTCAGACCAGTATCATCAGACGGTAGATGCTCTGCAGGGACTTCATTTTGTTCCTCTCTCCGAACTTGCTGTGCTTTTCTCAGGCGAAGAACGGGATCGATTCCGCCGAAGCTTGGCTTTGGCATTCTTGGACGGCGGAAAAGCCCTAGAGCTAGTCGAGTACGTCTACCGCATGATCCGCGATTACTTCCGCAAGGAGGGTAAGTGGAACAGCGAGCTTGAAGGTCAGGTTCACCACCAGTTGGCGTGGGAGTTGGGATACACGCTGAATCCCGCCGAGTTAGGCCTCCGACACGCCTGTGCGAAGGATTGGTTTGGTGCGGAAGGAATTTGCCGCGATGAGATTTGCAAATTTGAGCGAGCCAGCCATGGCTATGACGAGTCCTATGGCGGTTTGCAGAAGGGATGTATCCGAGCTGAATCCAAGAACTGGCTGTTGCGCGCTGCTCGCTTCACCCACCCTTCGGGCTTGTCTATTCAGGCCCGCACCATGGGTGAGGGCTGGGGAAATATGGTTCCGAAAATTGATCGACGTCAATTCCATCGTGGGGAGGGATGGGATGGCTTTGGCTCTGGTCCCATTGAGATGGTGAAGATGGATTAAGGGAGAAGTAGCAAGCAGGTCTTTCCTTGGCAGCCTCGGAGAGAATCCGTTGATGGAATAGCCTAGATTGGAATCTAGATATGTATAATATCAAAAGAAACTTTTATAATTGACCGTTGGTCTCAGTACTTGTGCCTTCAAAGGCAGCTTGTAAAGTCTCTCTTCCAAGCTTCTATCTCTTCTCTCATCTGAATGCCATGTCCTGCGATTGTCCGATAATCAAGGCTATATTTTCCTGTTCAGGCTACCAAGACTGAGATTAGGGCTTCATAACGTCAATCTGATTCCACATGGACATTGTGGATTAAATTCGCAGCAAACTATCTCAGAGTGGCTGGACATCATTTCCAAAAAATCGCCTTCTGATTCGTTCGTGAAAGACCATGGAATAATCATGAAGAAATATTGCCGACATAAACTCTAACACTACACTAAGAATGAATCAACATCTCTTCATTTCTATAGGCGAAAAAATTCCAAAGGAAATTCAGCACGAGCAAAAACATTATCGAGTCCACGGTATGCACTCGACCACTCACCTCGTCCAGAGAGTATATCCTATTGGCTATCGGGTCTTCCAGCAATTCTTTCTCTTCATCCAACCAGTTTTTCTGTGTACGCTTTCTCATTTTTCTGAACATTTCTAGCTCAAAGCTTTTTCCTGCTTTCTTTACGCATTTTGAGGTTATCTATGGACGCTTACAAGCAACAAGAAATGACAGCCAGATTACCAATGACATATACTTTCATGACTTACCTAATACACTCTACAGATGGCTCTTTGAAAATCCTCCTCGAGGGAGTTGCTAGGCAGCATCAGTCTAACCTCACTCTCACTTCAGTTTTACATCATGTGCACCCTCACTTTCACCTTCATTTTACTTCCAAATTCTCAACTTTGCAAGTCTGAGTGCCTAGAACCTCCCACCTGCATGCTATAAACCCCCTCTCTTTTATACTCTCAACCCTTTGAAGCTTCTTCCTTCGACAACCATCTTCACACATCAGCCTTCTTCGACATATTGGGTGATAAGAAGTCAATACATTCCAGCTAATTTCCATCAAATTGGTGATCATGGGCGCACGCACGAGCTACCATGATCCTGAGATGATCGATGGAAAGTTCTACCGGATCCGCTCAAGCTAGGCCCTGCTGAGGACTTGTTCCCGGCTTCAAGTTCCACAAGAAATAGTAGAAGAACCAGACCACGAGAATTTGATATTTATGGTCTATGTTTAACTCGATCTGAAAGCTGAAAAATCCATGTATCGGCTTTGTCTGATGTTAAATATGGCTGTCATGTCCCTTCACATGCATGGAGAGGGGGATCAGGCATGGCCTCCCAATTTATGACTCGTCTTGTGCAAACAACCACTTGATATAAAGTGTACAGCTTACATCAGTGGTGCGGTGGAGAGACAATTGATATCTCGCCAGGAGCCAACTCATGTGTGGTGTGGCAGCAATCAATCTTTATTACAGTTCATCTAACTAACAAATCTATCACAAGCTGTACAGCACGAACTCAGTGAACCCGAAATTGCGCAATTGAAGGGGTGAATTTATGGAGTTAAGGAAGGACTTGGAACTGATGGGAGAGTGGTTACAGCAACAGCTAGCAGTATCCTGATTTGTCCGACAAAGCTATCCTCGTGACCGTGACGGACGTGGAGGCCGATCTCGTAGTCGTGCACCTGGCCGCGCTTGAAGTCGTAGAAGTCAGGGTGGATCACTTGGTTCCGTTCGCATAGCCGTGATGCCAGCTCTCGCACATGGAAGTCGAGGACGCGACCATGGTGGCATTGTTGCCGTGAGAGGTTGTGGTAAAAAGAACCTCCACCACGAAGGTCTCGATAGTCTCCAAGATCTACAACAATATTACCCCCTTCATCCTCTCCACCAACCTATACAAAGCCCAACAGGCAGAGTTAGAGCTTGCTGTCATTTAGCTGGGAAAGGGCATCAAACTGTAAATGGAGCCGATAAGAGAACCATCAAGAAGTCGAGGAAAATTTTTATATTATTGTAAAACTGAAAGGATACGTAGAACATAATCTTTGATTGAGATGTCATTGTAGAGAACCTTGGAAAGAATTTCCAAGGTTAAACGTCCATTTTTATTTTCCTCTTTCCCATCGACATCTCATCTCTAAGCTTAAACTAAAGACGATTTTGAATCGTACTTTGAAATTCATAACTTGTCTAGCACTAAATTCCCACAAGTACTGCAAACATGGAGGTATCATTAATCTAACAATTTTTCCCCAAGATCAGGATAAATGGCAAGAGAGGGGACGCTTTTAGTCGATCTGGATCAAAGGTTTCTTCTTAGATCGGGATCTCGCTCTGCGCCCAAATCCAAGTCCTCTAAGAAACTGCGCCCAAGAAGCTGGTCTGGGAGATATTCTTGCTTGACCTTACCATCCACATAATTCGGATTGTATTTGTATTCCTTACCGTAACCCAATTCCTTCATTAACTTTGTTGGGGCATTTCTGAGATGAACAGGAATGGGCAAGCCAGCCACACCCGGTTCGTTCAACGCAGCAAAAGCGTTATTAAGGCCCCGGTATGCGCGCGTACTCTTTTTCGACAGGGTCATGGCAACAGTGGCGTGGGCCAAATTAATGCGGGCTTCGGGGAGTCCGATCTTTTCAACGGCCGTATGTGTAGATATAGCCAGTGTCAGCATAGTATTGTCCGCTAGGCCGATGTCCTCGGAAGCAACGACAATCAGTCGGCGAGCGATAAAAAGGGGATCTTCACCAGACTGGATCATGCGGGCAAGGTAGTATAGTGATGCATCCGCATCACCTCCGCGAATAGATTTGTGGAACGCGGATATTGTGTCATAATGTTGATCGCCAGCACGATCATAGACGAGGGTTTTGGTCAATGATTTCTTGAGGTCTTCTTTAGACATTCCCTGTCTTTTAGAGAGATCCATGGCCAGTTCTAGGAGATTGAGAGAGGTGCGAGCATCCCCATCCGCAAATTTGGCGAGGTATTGAATCAACTCGTCATCCACTAAGCTGGAAGGAGAGTACTTTGGGCCTTCCACTTTCAAGGCCCGTTGGAGAATAGCCCCAATATCTTCATCTGTAAGCTTTGCTAGAGTGAACGTTCGGCATCGAGACAGAAGTGCATTCTGCACCTTGAAGGATGGATTCTCAGTGGTGGCGCCAATAAGAGTCACCTGACCGCTTTCAACTGGTCCGAGAAAAACATCTTGTTGTGTTTTAGAGAATCTATGAATCTCATCACAGAAAATAATTGTCTTTCTTCCTGTAAGACCAAGTTCACTGCGAGCTTCGGCGAAGATCTTCTTGCACTCCGCTATCCCAGAGCTTGTGCTGTTGATCTCCACGAATCGACTCCCGACCATTGATGATATGACCCGAGCAATAGTTGTCTTTCCAGTTCCAGCATGGCCCCACAATATCATACTCGGTACTCGATCTTGTTCAATCAGTCCACGAAGAATACCAGTAGGACCGACAAGCTCCTGACCGCATACCTCGTCGAGAGTCTTGGGTCGCATTCTCTCAGGCAAGGGGGCTGCTTTATGGAAAGAGTTGACCTTAGGGCGTTTCGCTGCTCTTGGCTCTGTTGAGTCCCCATTTGATTGTTTAGCACTAGATGAGGGCTCGAAAGGGCTCGATGCTATTGGTCTCTTGTTGTTGAGCGGACGTGGCGTAGTAATATTCTGTGGGAATTCCCTCTTTATATTTGCTTGCGCCGAAGCTTTGCGGGCTGAGGCTGATTGAAAGATGCTCGGTACAGCTGTTTGAGCTGATAACTCTCCGGGAGAAGATGATGGCTCTTCCACAAAGCTTTGACATTCTGAATCGATATGGTCGTTAATCTTTGATTGTGAGACGGACTTCCCACATATGGGACAGGAGACCATGATGGCTGTATTAGACTAAATAGTAAAACTTTTGAGAAATTGACAAGTAACTTGATTGATCCGACGCGTCGCGATCTGCTTATGTAAAGTGAAAATACGCCTTGGTGCCTTAAAAGGGTACGATAAGACGAACTAATCAGATGCCATTATGGAGAAAATGCATGTACTAGAGCTGTCGATCATTTGTGATCTGATGATTTGTTGTTGATTTTATTCATAGTTGAATAGAATTCTCAATATCTCCGTCGCTGTCGGATAGCGTCATTATAAGCTTGTACCTCCGATGTCAACTAAAGTTTATTGAAAGGGAAATAATAATCCGCAGCCGGAACACGGAGCACGTCATTGGCAGCCGTCAAATAACCCCTCTGAAACTACATGTTTCCCCGCACACTCTATTATGACTTCTACTGAATTTCTTCCTAGAGTCTGTACCTTTGTGAATTTTGCTCGAGTCCGGCCTAATCCTGCATCTTCAATTTTTTCTTCTCAACGACTCTCTAGATTTGGCAGGGCAATGTCCGCAACAATCGCACAGTCGGACCCATTTCGGCCAGCTAACAGAGTAGCTGGTCAGCGACAGGATGTTTGGTATGTCGCTGAAGACCACACCCTAGACCTTGTTAGAGCTTTTTCACTCATTGATTTATAGGTCCATTATTAACGAGGCAGCCGCTGCTTCACCCATTCAGCCAATTGTGAATATGGGCCAAGGGTTCTTGTGAGTCAGCCTATCAAGGAGTCGAAATTGACCTAGTAATTGGAGACTTACATTATCTTGCCTTTCACAGTGGCTATAACCCTCCCCAGTTTGCAATTGATGCTGCTAAGGCTGCGCTCGATCGAGTGGAGTGCAACCAGTACTCGCCGACGAAGGTACCATTTGGACAGATTCCCTTGATGAATCCCTAGCTCACACTATGCAGGGCCGGCCTACTCTCAAGAAGGCTCTTGCGGACGCATATTCGCCCCACTTTGGCCGAACATTGAACCCCGATACCGAGATCTCGATTACCACCGGAGCGAATGAGGGTGAGATTCAAAAGGAAGCTTGAATATTATGATGTGGGCTAAATATGAAGCATTGAATTAGGAATGCTGAGTGCATTCATGGGCTTTATTGAGCCTGGTGATGAGGTTATCATCTTCGAGCCGTTCTTTGACCAGTCAGTTTTCCATCTTGGTGATTGTCACATTGCGAGTGGGGCTAATATTTGGAGTAGATATATCAGCAATATCGAGATGCCTGGCGGTGTCATTCGATATGTCCCTCTTCACCCTCCCAAGGATGGTGCTACGAGGACCTCTCCTGCTTCTGAGTGGGTTATTGATTTCCAGGAGCTAGAGAACACCATCAACTCCAAGACTAAGATGATTGTAAGCACATTCAGAATGCATATTCAGAAGCCGGTTTCTAACTGTTTGATAGGTCTTGAACACACCGTAAGAAAACACTTCAAATTCGAAGAAATCACCACTGATTTATCTGTTGTAGTCACAACCCCGTTGGCAAGGTTTTCTCACGCGATGAACTTGAAAAGATCGGAGCTCTGGCCGTGAAGCACAATCTGATTATCCTATCTGATGAAGTTTATGACCGTCTTTACTACGTTCCTTTCACCCGAATTGCCACTCTGTCTCCAGAGCTGTACGAGCGCACCCTCACAGTCGGCTCTGCTGGCAAGGCCTTCTACGCTACCGGATGGCGTGTCGGTTACCTGATCGGACCCGAGCACTTGATCAAGTATGTCGCAGGTGCACACACTCGAATCTGCTACAGCAGTGTCTCTCCCCTCCAGGAGGCTGCCGCTGTTGCATTCGATAAGGCAGACAAGGTTGGATTCTGGGACGAAAGTCGAAACGAAATGCAGCAGAAGATGAAGCGATTCTGTGCAGTCTTTGAGGAGCTTGGCATTCCGGTAAGTCAAAAATTTTGATCTTTTTTTTCGTCAGTGCTAACTGGCTTATCAGTATTCCGACCCCGAAGGTGGATACTTCGTGTTGGCCAATATGACCTCCGTTCAACTCCCAGCGGACTATCCCTTCCCGCCCCATGTTGCCAGTCGTCCTCGCGACTTTAAGCTTGCCTGGTTCCTTATCCAGGAGGTCGGTGTGGCCGCCATTCCTCCGACTGAGTTCTACACTGAAGAAAACGCTCACATTGCTGAGCACTATCTCCGTTTTGCTGTGTGCAAGAATGATGATGTCCTGGAGGACGCGAAGACGAGATTGAGGGGTCTGAAGAAGTATATCACTCAGTGAAAGTGATTATTACTTCGTGTGTCGCGTATAGATTCTTTGGTATACACTGTTATTTGTTACTGAGACTATCAACCTAGGGCTTCAAATGGAATGTTTGTCAAATAAATCTCTATCCATCCTCTTGTCCTGTTGTGTATCTCAATCGCATTTATTTTTAGATCCTTAGCCACCTTTCTAAACTGCTCTCAGCTGGGTTCGGATTGAAACTGGCTTTGCAATTATGACGCTTATAATATCCCTCTTAGACTGGACTAAGTCTAAATTAAGCCTCGGCCCATCCCGCTTCATCCAGAGTTGGTAATCGTCCCTGCCAAAGTAAACCTTATTGCACTAATTGCTCTCTTTCCTATCTGAGCATACATTCGCTTTGGTCCACATTCTACCCCGGGTGGTGACCAGATACTCGCGCTCACGTCCGAATCTTGACTGAGCTTATCTCTTCCTTTGTTGACTGAATAACATTACCTGCCACCCTTCGATATCTCTCTTTCAGCCACCATGGACGGCCAAGGTGGTCTATTCACTCAGTATACTGAGCATCGACCGTCCGACGTCGATCCCTTTCTCTTTGATCTTAAGCATTCCCTGGCTGATAGGCCCATGTATTCGGTATACTTGACCTCAGGGTCCCAATCCTACTCTTCCAAAGAGAGCTAACACTTCTTCTCCAGCCCCGGCCCAGACACCCCGAAGTCGCATCCTTCCTGGATTATGAGGCCTTGTCCGTTGATTTGCCTCAACCTTCAATCGAGAGCGAACAAACAGATATTTTCGAAATCCTTCCGCCCTTTTGCCAGCTCCATTTTCCTGCACCAGACTTCGTTGAATGGGAAAGACATATGCAGAGTCAAGTAACCCAGGATATCTGGAGCTCCAGCGATGCATCAACCTCCTCACTTGGTCGGCTTCTTGGGCGCCGTCGACGTTCAGATTCGGTATCTCCTCCGGATAACATACCTGAACATCCTCCATGTAAACGACACGCCGGTCCCCATGATTTTCCTTCATCCGCCAACAATGAACATACGTCAACCCTCATTAATGGAATACTCACAGGGCAGCAGCCTCGCGACGAGAGAGTGGCTTCCATGGAACATTTCTTTGGTGTTGACCCTTTTATTTCGGAAGACCCAACGAATAAAACCCGCTATCGAGAAAGGAAATTGCGGTCACAGTTGGATATTGAGCAACGAAAAAACGACATTCGACACTTAAAAGAGTTTGGCGGTGCGTGTCTGTGGTGTCACCGAAGCAAGAAGAAATGCGGTGCTGTCTACCCTTGTCCATCATGTGTCCACCACAACCGCAAGTGCATTCGGAACTCGGGCGAACTGTCCCTAGCATCGCTTTTGGTTGAACCTACAAAGGACTCTTCATGGGCAGCCTTTGGTCTTCCTCTACAAGCGGCACTTGATAGATTTCAGGAAATGGGAGACCGAGCTTTTCATAGAAGGGAGTTCTTCAATGCTGTGATCCACTTCGGTCAGCGAAATGCTTCATTGCTCGACAAGTGGAATATTGAACTAGCCCACGATGACTTGGATTTATCGCAGCTATCTAAGGTCCAAATCAGCACTGCTCTTTTTCAGTTGGCCAAGAAAACCAAACCTCATTTCCACTGCTCGGGGCTTGCACAACTTGAAAATAAATATGCATACCATCCTCTTGTTAATGCTGCATTGAAAATGGCGAGACTCGTGATGACTATTGGTGGTCTGGCGAAATCTCAAGTTCATGCACGCGTATCCGACCTTGATCAAGGACAAGTGGTGGTGTTTTTGATTTTTCATGTCTGCTTTCTCGACTTGACGTATATGTCCAACCAGTTTGCCAATGACCTTTGCTCGGTACTACGCAAAAAGCAGTCACAAGATATGTGCAGATTTAATATACATCGAACAAGCAGCCACAAGGATCTAAACCCTGTCTGGGTGGCCATTGCTATTTACTTCCGCGTCGTCAGTGGCTGCTTGGACTTACAAAGGACTCAAGTGATAGCAGGTCTATTTGGCCAACTGGAAGAGCCCTTGATGAATCTTCGCAGTACTCTGTTGAACACTGTCAAAGTTGTCAACATCCATAAAAATGCCAGTCTCAAGTCCATGGCCAGGCACATTCTCAAGACCCAGATTCCTGAGCTTCCAACTAATCATCATATTTTCGACTTGGCTTTATCACTTGTGCCCACTGACTCTGAGGATACTATTGCATCCGCCAATCTCATACCAGACCCATTCGCCGAAGACCAATACGATCTGAACACCTTCCTGCATGGATTTACAGAGCTTCATGTCCGGCCAGAGGTTGCGCAATCTGTTCGTACACTAGTTCATAGTGCACCTCCCGAAGTCTCAGCGCTAAAACCAACGTCAATCCCTTTCTTAGCGCCGAAAATTCCGCCTACACCGGCTCCCTAGGCCAGTAGAAGAGCATGACATGTATGATCTTGTCCTTGAACCGCTGTCAACCAATGTTTTCACTGTGTTTGAAATATAATGCCACATTGACTTGGTGGGACTGGGCTGAAGTTGTTCAAGATCATCCGGAGTGCCTTCCAAGTACCACTTTGACAAACTGTCACTACTGTCCCTGTTTCTTGTCTGTTGTTTCTTCTCTGTAGTTCCTACTCCTTGCTACCCTTGTGAACATACTCGACTCTTTCTGCGATCGTTTGTACCTTTCCGAGGTTGTACAGATATATTTACCATGGACGGGATACAGCCCTGGAAATTGAAGTTTTGTTTTATGGTACGGTAGATAGTCTTTGCTTCTGTCCAGTTTTCCGTTCTTATACGTTTGCTTGCTTTATCATTTCAATGGATGTCATCTTTAGTATTAATGCATTCCCTATCCCAACTCCCTCCAGTCCGTAATTTTTTTATCCTTTATTAGACACTATTAGGCTCATGATCGTCGCACAACAACCGCAGTTTCATACGGCGTCAACCCAGCATCCAAAACCTCAACCCAAAAAGAAGAGTTCAAAAAACAAGGCTCATAATCAGGCCAATCGACCTTAGGACCAAGCCAAACGATCAGCTCAACATGACCCCCATATAAATCAATATACTTCGAGATTAACTTCGGATCACGCGGGTACACAAACATCCACGCTTTAGCCTGTTTAGCATAGGAGGATAACCCCCAACCCCCGCCAACAACATGCATAGCCTCCTCGTCGATATATCGATTGATGCTCGAGTCTACCTCGACACCCTGTACAGAGATATTCTTGTCACTAAATGCGATCAACCCTTCCAATAGGCCGGACCCACTGCCCACTGATAGAGTGAATCCAGGGCATTGGGGAAGTATCGAGCATAGGATTTTGATGAATGTTGTGGATATACCAAAGCAGCAATCTGGGAATCTTTTTGGTGATTCAGATAGTTGGGCTGATATTTCTGATAGAGACATGTTCACGTTCTCCCTGAAGACTCAAAAGAGCTTGAATTCTTCAAATATTGAGTGGTTCAATGGTTTTGGGCTCAAATGGCTTGTTTGAAATGTTATGGCACATTTGGGGCGGTGGGTGTAATGGATTCACCGCCAAAAGCTAGATTATTCTGCCATGTCCGTCAGTATTCATCCAACACCTTTTACTATAACATGAACTTCGAATTTGAACGCATGGTGTCACCAACAGGGTCATAGGTGGAGACCAAGCCAGCAAATTCACAGCGAGGTCATCGCCGTGTTAGTCTCTACGACCTACCCCGCCCACCTTCAAGTGCATAGATTTTCCCACTTTTCTTTTTCTTTCTTCATCATCTATATATGCATGGGTCTTTAGTACACCAGTGAGGAGAAATCTGAGGCTACTATTGCTGACTGAAATTTATCAGTTATATCTACCTGGCTGTCTTCACGGTGGCCAGGCAATTTTTTAACCAAAATTGTGATCCTATCACTCTTGACCTGTGTCTAATCTTTTCATTGCTTGGTAGCCCTTGTTGGCTGCAGGTAGAGAAGAGAGGTTTGCAGGTGTGATACTTTTGAAATTATCACGACATGATGGGTAGCCTAGCGCATCGTCGTCTAGTGTATGCATACGTAGTGATGTATCGGTTTGTTACCTAGAATCTGAAGTTCAGAAAGCCTGAGAAGTAATACCTGTGTATGCTAGAATACTTAGTAGGTAAACCTGGAAGCCTTCGAGCCCAATGATTAAATGTCCCTGTCAAGTTTGCAAATTCAAGTTAAAATATTGGCATTTTATGGCAAGAAAAATACGATGACACTAAATACCTCCTTCTCGCGAGTCCAAATAAATGAAGTTGTCAAAAAACCTTGGAATTACTGTAAAGGGAAAAAAATCCTCCCAGTCTTAAGGCCAAGTCCCGCGTTCCGTCGCGTCAGGAATCTCACTCCCCAACAACAAGTTTCACGTTTCGAATTGCACATCTACATCCCACATCCCAAACCCACCAGAATAATTCCAAGTATACGCTATACATCAAACCTCAGATCAAGACCCCTACAACCTTTGCAGCCATGGCCTCGGGCCAGCCATTTGGGTCGCGCTCCTACGCCGGCACCAAGCTGCCTGACCGTTCAACCAACCCCAACGCCATGCCATTCAGCACCTCAGCTTTCTCCCGCCACCGGGCTCTAGGAGCTAGTGCACCTAATGAGTTCGCTGGCGAAGGTCATCAGGGCCAGCAGAATGCTGTACCTACCGCGACGCAGTCTCATGGGCCGGCGCAGGATACGAACCCGTTGAATCGATTGACGGAGGAACAGAGGGAGGAGATTAATGAAGCTGTAAGAAACTCAACTCCTTCCATACCATTGCACATTTCAATCTTGCGTTTTCGAGATGTTTGGCGAAAGAAACGGGCGTAAATCACCTCAAGAAAAGAACGCGGAAAAAAAACTATAATCGATGCTCATCCCCTCTCTTCACAGTTCACCCTCTTCGACCTCGACCGCGACCGCCACCTAGACTACCACGAACTACGCGTCGCCTTCCGCGCTCTCGGCTTCACTCTCTCAAAACAAGAACTAATCTCCCTCCTAACAACATACGGAGTACCGCGCCCACAAGTGCAACAGCAACAACAACAGCAACCAAGCCAAGCACCCAGCAAGGCGAACACAGGCCCAAACCCGCAACACCCATCTAACCTCCTCATGCCTCTATCCTCCTTCCAAGCCGTGACAGCGCTGAAGATTCTAGAGCGGGATCCGCGGGACGAGATCCTGCGTGCCTTCGAGCTATTCGACGAAGGCGGCAAGGGATTTATCGGACTTGATGATCTGAGACGTGTTGCTCGCGAGCTTGGAGAGACGGGACTTGAGGAGGAGGAGTTGAGGGCTATGATTGAGGAGTTTGACCTTGAGGGAGTTGGCGGTGTTACGCGTGAGGCGTTCGTGGGAATCTGCTGGCAGTGATAGCCTATAGCCTATCGCTATCTATACCTTCCAGTAAGATATCTAATTCAGCATTGGGAGGCAGGCTTTTGTTGATTTTTGTCCGCCCGAGTCATGTTGGTGTTTCTTTTTTGGCTTTTGTTGATTTCTGTCGGGTGTTTGTTTGGGATGAGTTTACATCAGTTTGCAACCATTGAAAAGAATAGCTGTTCTGTGAGCTCGACTTACGGTCCTATATTTACAACTGGATTCTGTACATCTACGAAGCCTGGCTGGAGGGTGTAGATTAAATAACGTATTGTCAAAAAGGTACCACGTGCTATTTCGTAAAGCGCGAGAAACGTAGTAGTCGCCAACATTTGATGGCAATGCTGAAGAAGCCTAAATATCACCATTTATAAACCCCAAGAAACGTCCCATGAAAAGAAAAGAAAAGAACAGAAATATACTAAGTATACCGCGGGGGTGGTGACCACGGTGGTGGTGGCTGCCGTGGATATTCATTATTATAGCCATGCCACTGATTCGGAGGTCCAGGCGGGGGATGAGGACCCTGGGTATAAACGGGACCAGGAGCGTAACGACCCATAACAGGAGCTGGCATAGACACCTTGCGACCTGATCTACACCGATTGAAGATACAGAAGAGCAAGGCAAGCACGATGAGACTTCCTACACCGACGCAGATGCCGATGACGAGCTTCTTGTGTTGATTTACCCAGCCGCCGACGGAGGAGCCCTCGCATTGTCCATTATTGCATTTGCCTCCTGATTCACAGGGGGTTCCGTCGAGGTAGTTTTGGTTCAGCTCGATGCAGGTTGTTGTGCCGTACTGCTGCGCTACTTGCGGGGAGCCGCACACTAGACTGCATGAGGGCGCGTTGGTGTTGTCACAGGCCCAGGTGTCGTTGCTGTTTAGTAATGAGCCCATCACGGTTCGGCATTGATAGTCTCGGCTGGTGCACTGGCCGCTGGCGCAGGTTAGTCCTGACGATGAGCCGCAGGAGTTTCCGTCGTCCTTGTACTTGTCATCCGGACAGGCGCTGGATGTACCGGTGCATGTCTCTGCGATATCGCAGTCGCCCGTACTGGCACGACATACGGTGGTGGATGACGAGTATTGGCATTCACTACAGCAGCTGTCGTTGGAGTCGTCGCACACAGCGTTGTTCTTGAACTTGCACGTCGTTGCGTCGCAACAGCTGTTGTCGCCGCAGCCTTCTTCGCCGCCGCAGTCGCAGTCTTCGCCGGACTCGACGATGCCGTTGCCGCAGGTGCTGCCTGTGATTGTTACGACGCCGCGGTTGTCCGAGAGACAGGTGGATTTGATGCTGTTGCGACCGATGGCGGAGCAGATGTTGCCGATGGTGCACGCGGAGAAGGTGGTCATGGATGACTCTGAGTAGGGATTCATGATGTATTTGGCGTTTGCATCGCACGTCGATGATGTTAGAGGGCAGCACTGGGACGAGGCATCGAGCCCCTCGTTACAGGTGTCGGTATCGCAATCATGGACTGCTCCAAAGGTGTGTCCTGACTCGTGGGCAAAGATTTGCCAAGCAGTTCCCTGGTTGCCAACCACCACATTTGCTCCCGAGACAGAGCTATCCCCGTCACTGGTGACGCTGTTGGTACATAGCTGTCCCATCCAGGAAACACCAACCTCAGAATCGGTAGGGCAGCCCGTCATGAGAGTCCAGTATGCGTTACTATCCTTGTTATCGGCACGCCATTTCGAGAACTCATTCAAACGCCATGTAATGTTTCCTTCGCTGCAGCCGATGTTCCATGGGAGAGCTGCGCTGGCAGTGGAGGGACAAGATGGTTCGTTGACGGTGAGATTGCGCAGGCCAATCGAGACATTGAAAGACTCCTCGTAGAGATTGGACGCGGTGTTGACCAGGTTGATGACCCAGTCCTTTGCCGCAGCCTTGGGAGTCGAGTTGGTGGATTTGAAATAATTGGTCATTTCACAATCTGTGGCCACTCCAATCAACGCTACCTTTTTCGTCTTGGGACATCCTGTGCTGTCTCCAATCGTGGCTTTCAGATTCACTCCGCCCGTATTGCCCGAGACACTGCCAACATCGGATTGCCGCTTGCTCAGCCCAAACAGCGAGTTCAACGGGGTGATGCCCCATTGACTGTCTGCCGATTCAACCTCCACTCCAAAGGGGAAGATCGAGTTTGTCAAGTTGGAATTGTAGTCGAGAGTGTCCGCGACGCAACCAGACGCTTTGGTCAGCGACCGCTTCTTCAAATCGGGATGCATGCGAATCATGTCGGAGTCACGGTAGACCAGCATATAATCGTCATCCCGACGTTCAATACCGATATCGATCGGGCGCTTCTTAGCCAAATACGTAGACTGCAGCTCGATGTGGTGTTTTTCGTTGCCCAGGCTAAACGCGCCTTCAAATAGCGGGTCTGCCCCATCCCTTCTCACGCTGACTCTTGCCCAGCCGGCGGGCGTCCATCTCCCCTGGCCAGAGCCGACCAGCGCGCGACCCCGGAAGACTTTGTGTTCATGTCGGAGAAAAGGTTCGCCGTGAGTGACAGCTCCGTCGGCGTCAATGTACTGCACGTAAGCATCGTCGGCCAAGATATCGTGATTCGGCTCTAGTTCTAGCTTGATGCGAGTGTCGTCTCTGTGTAGATTGAAAGTAAGGTCGAAATGGGAGAGGTAGTCTATTTGGTGTGATGGAGTGCGAATATTTGCATTATCGATCGGTGTGATTTGGCGAATAGCTTCGGATGCTTGAGATCGCGCTGCGAACCAGTCAGGGTTCACGTCCAATAAGCCGCATAGAGAGTATTAATACCTTGAGATTGAATAAAAAGTCCCGATACCGCAGTCAACAAGGGTATCAAACTCTTTGAGAACCTCATATCTCAAGAGTCAAGACTAAATCTTGTCTAAGATTGAGGAACCAAAGACTGAAAAAAGTATCTCAGGGTCTTGGGTGAAAGAGGAAATATCCAAGACCAAAGAACGAAGGCCCACTGTGGTAAGTAAATTATCCACTATGGAGCACAGCCCCTTTTTCTCTCTTCCTCTGGAGTCAAATATGGAGAAGTAAGAAAAAGGATGAATCATGATCGATCCAGCTCTTCAACGCCAAGGAGAGAGAGTCTTGGCGACAACTGAAACATCTATTTGACTTGTTGTACGATTCTGCCCAGATGGCGAACGCGTATGCCTAGCCTTGGTGGTCAGTGGTTTGTTACTCAAATGATTCTTGTCTAACTAATTGAAACTAATCTTGTGGTTTCTTATCGTGACGTATGATATTGCTCATGGACTAATCTAGCATAGTGAGGGACCGCTACTCCACAGATCCTACATTCAATACTCAACACATCTTCATCGTCTTCCTCTCCATCATCCCACTCTTCAACGTCAGATATCTGTACAGGATCTGCTGTCTCTGCCAAGTCGGCATTTGGCTGGGGAGCTTGGAGCTGCGCCACCTGGACCCTCCAGTTCCGTACCGTTTCCTGCTGTCGAAACATCTTGCCAATGTCTCGCCCGCTACTTTGCTTGTGGTCGCCCGCCGTCTCCATTAAATTTGTAACAGCCACATTCATCAGTCCGAGATCCCAGCCCTTATCAGGGTGAAGCTTTCGGAACATGCCGAGGAGGTGGTCCTGCACAAGCCGTTCGGCCAGGGCATCTATGTTCTCATCGTTGAAAATGAACGTGGGCAATGACTCAGACCGTGAAATTCTATTAGCGTTGTATGTTCGTAGTCCATCTGTTTCGGGTGGGTTTCGAGGCCGGGTCGAGAGTCGTAAGGTGCGTGGATGAGCCAGCCAGCGTGATGTAGATGTAGATGTTGGAGATGAGTCCTCGCTCTTTTCCAGTAGATCGGTTCGCATTCGCCGGATCAAACTTCTGGCTAGAACTACCAGTTCGCGACGTACAATCTCGACATTGGTGAAATGTCCACGTTTATACGAGTCCTCGATGCTGATCTGCGTGGGCAAGTCTCGCCCTTCAAGCACCTCCGAATTGTCCACTCCATGTAGAATGTTCCACACTCGCATGCCGATCCCTCGTGGTGAACCAGGCCCACCGAGAGTTTTCTCCATCAATGCCGGACCCATACCGGGAAATAGGCGGACATCACGCACTGTAACCTTCCTGTCCTCCGAGTTATGCCCTGTTACCCGGAGCCTCAGCTTCTGCGCAAGCCGTGATCCAATCCCTGGTATTTGACGGATCTCATAGCTATCCAGAAACTTGGTAACATTGCTGCTCTCAGTGCCGTCGTGGGCAACATAAGGCGGGAGAAGAGTGGTCTGGTTATTAGGTTTATGGACGCTTCCCACCAATTTAGCTAACAACTTAGACGTAGATACTCCGCCAGTCGCCGTAAACCCCTTCTCACTCTCTAACCGGCTCCGCAAATGGCCTATCAAATGTGAGCCAATAAGCAGTTTCATATCGAGTGAAAAAGAATCCCGTGGTACAAATTCCTCCACATCTAGGTACGTAGAGCCACAAAACCGGGTAGCGTCGTAGGCAAAGCCAGCAGTTAAATCGTTTCGATCCAAGTAGAAATACGAATGAACAAGGTCATTCTGGTTCAAGAGTTCAGCGTTGAACTCAACCATATCAGTGGCATCGAGAGAAAGCTCATCAAAGCCCAGTCTCTCGACGCGTCCACCCCAGATGAAACCGCGGATGAACAGGTAAAGCTCTTTAGATGCATCCCGGAACTTGGTCAGATCCTCGCCGAGGACTATCACCACGTCGGGACATATAAGCTTCGCGTCTTTAATTAGCTGCAGCTTGTGCAGGCCGCGCCGACGGGCCTCATAGTTACAGGTCACTACTATCTGCTTCTGCTGCACAGCTAGTGGCACTGATTTGAGGGCTGGGTTTTCCAATTCAAAGACAGAGGCATAGAAGCAGTCATAGTCCTGATAGTGACATAGCGTCAGTGTGGTATCACGTGGGACTGGGTGGAATGCCGTACGAGGTGAAGGATGATTCGACGGTCATTGCGCGGAGTCATGAGCCCTGATCCGAAGATGATAGATCTGAGATCTATCTAAGAAGTCTCCATAGATCTTAGATCTTAGATCTTGGATAATGATTGAATCTGTGTTTATGATAAAGTGGCGCAAATCAAGGATCTTGACTCAGATTATGGCTGATCAATGTGGCGGTGTCATTGGCTGAGTCAGCACAGATCATGGCCTAGTTAGTTAACTAGACTATTTACAGAGTACGGGGTATATCATTTGAATTAACCAAAATCTGCTTTAATCAAAATTAAAAATTATTCAGCGTATTCACGAGGGCTGATTACTCAAACTTGAAATCTATGCAAATATGATCCATATATTGACTTAGTCCAAGGTTTCACGCCCGTCCTGCTTATAGTTGACAACGACAGAAGGCTGATGAATGACTCCGCCCCAAATTCTACGACACAAGGATTCAATCCCCGAGTGCCCAGCCCTATTAGCGTTTAATTAGGCTGTTACGAATAACCTAGGCATCAGCAGTAACCAGTTTATTAAACATTTTACAAACACAAGGCTGAACAATACATCAAACAGCCAGCGTGTTGTGTCCCAAACACATGACTCGCAACGTCATGCTCAGAATAATTGACGTTATCCGTGTTTCTGCATAAATTTCAGATAAATTAGTAGGGGCATAAGATGCGACACTGCAATAGATAGGTTTCTGTCACAAATTGTGAAGAAACCGCCTTGCGGCTCTGCCAGGTGTGCCTTGGAACTGAAAAATGAGCACATGGTGGAGTTGTTGGAGACATGCGTACGCCCATATCATGAGACAGGTCATGGCGCAGTATACGGACCCTCTTGGCTACACCGTTATACCCACACGAGTTCACCGTTCAAGTATAGAAACCCCACATTGCACTATATACTTACTGTTCACCGCTGTTATCCTATTGTTAGTCATGATATGGTCCCGAAGGATTGTCAAAGTTGTTTAAACATAAGACGAGTTATGAATTTCATCCAATCAGACCATCGCTGATGGGTAAGTGGAGATCAACTGTCAAATTAAATATGAACTATTAATATAGTGGCCAATCACCTCCACAACTAGCGATCCATATCCCAAGGCTTTTCCGTCCCACTAGCGTATGGAAGAAGTCAATTGAGTCCGGGGCTTGAACCAATGTTATGATGCGTTACGCAATCCTTGTTCTTTTCATATTTCTTTGAAGCTGAAAGGGCGATCCAAGCACCGACACTAACCATCAGCCACTCAGCTCTCGCTACTACTCCGCAAGTCCCCGGTAACTAAACAGAGCAACTTGGAATAGATTATACCGCTTCTACCACCGTTCATCTGCAAGACCATAATTAAATTAAGTCCATGTATGTATAGGCTACTTTACGCCTTTAAAACTTTCATATTCGCGCTTGATTAATTCAAGATGAACATTCCATACAGGTATTTAGTGGGGCGTACTTCGCATTGCGCCAAAACAAGCCTGCCGGGCTACTATCCTAACCATCCATTCGTCTACCAATTACGCAGTGTTTAAAAAGGGCTAGGAACTGTTTGGCTACTAAAGTAAGTTGATCACGATCATACACGCCGGACCACATGGCTCAAAAGTAGAGTTCTTCAGAAAAAGAGTTGTATATGATAATAAAAAATAATGCACATGTTTTATTCGTTTGTCTTTAAATTACATGATTGGCCCTCCAATGCTATAGTGGACTTCGTCTTATATGTGGGATCTTCTGTCATTTGAGCTTTTCTGGATTAATTAGTTCTAAGTTCTCCGCGGCATCTTGAAAGGCACGACAGAAGATTGCACCAGAAGTCGCACACGATATTCAAGCATCTTTCTCGCGTTTTACCTTCACGCCACAAAGTGGATCTGGACCTAGTCTGCGGAGGCCTTGGAACGCTATTTACGTCGACATATCCGATGGTACTTCATGGGGATCTTTCTGAAATGAACATTCTTTTGGATCCCGGCACCGGCCACATTACTGGTGTAATCGACTGGGCTGACAGTATCTGTCTATTTGGGATTTCTCTATAGGGTCTCGAAAATATCCTAGTATCTATAAACCATAAGGGTGGCAATATCGACCCGATCACGATGCGCTCCGACTTGAATTCCGGCACACATTCAACAACGCTGTTAGAGAAATTTCAGATGACGACAGAAAGACAATCCGGACTGCAAAGATGGCTGGCTTGTATCTCCGGCATGGATTCGATTGGGAAAGGGGAATGCGAGAACCTGTCAAGGAATGCACTGTAGATGGTGCATATCTTGATGCTTTTTGTGCAACAGATTGCTAGACAGTCAGCATAAAGCCCCCATCTTCCGAGCCATATGGACCTGGGGGGTGACATGATGATTAGGATAGACGCTCTGCTCTATAAAGATTTTCCATCGCCAGGAAAATATATTATCAATCTAGTTTTAAAATCTACAAGGAATGATTCACAATCTGAGCAATATAAATTATCATTGAAAATTGCCATTACTCGGAATTACGTTTTTGATTGACAGAGCATATATATATGAATGCTGGTACTGTAGCCTGGAGGGAAAGTGAACTAATCTCGTGTTGATGTATTATACGTGATTTACGTTATTGCAAGTAGCCAGGGGCTGTGCTCCACGTGGCCCTACGTATTACTGCAAGGTAACTACTAACTTACTCCGTAGATTACACTAGGCTACTGCTCGACACGAAGCCAACCTCTATTTATGAGACCAGCACAGTAATACAGTCTGCTAATACCTACGGAGTAGTTAACCCTGAAATAGAATACATAGGTATCAAGTACTTCTTCAACGTCTTGCATTACTTGAAACTTTTGATATCAAATTGTTTCCGATGCTAAACCGCTTCCTGACGTTAAGTGTTGTGGATTCATCCATAAATTCTCCTAAAAAGAGACCACGGCAATTTTTCAACGGCTATTTATAAAGGCGAAAGAGTGCGCAAGAGGTGGCAAGTCGGGCTCGAGTCAGATGAGGTTGTAGAAGGGGCGGTCAAGATAATCTCGAATATTGAATCCGTTGATCGTTGTAGATCATGAAGCGCGGCCCACGCGAGCATGGACGAATTGGCGTTTTCATGAAAACTTTAAATTTTTCGATTGATACGCGTAATGCGGAGCCTTAGGCTATATTTACTCAGAATTGGAAGCAGCGAATCATAGATAAATGTTGGAAGATTGAACTTATGTAATGCTGACCTGAACTAAAGCGGCATACTAAACCGGAAGGATGTGCTATAATATCGGATGAAACTGGCTCGTGATAAGTAGGACCTGCATATGGGTCGGATACTTGAAATTAAAGTGGAAATTGGCATCTGTGCCCTAGTGGGGTCACATCCCGATCTTTTTATAGAACAACCTCCTGTTCGAACATGTCCTTTATTATTTTCTATTTTCTATTTTTTATTTTCTAATTTCTAGTTTTCCTACAATTCCCACGTGAATTCCAATATTACTGTATCACTACGAATTTGCCCCATTTTTCCCATTTTTATTACATATTTTCCATATTAAATTAGACATAGAATGAATCCAGGCCGATCTCTTTCCCCCACCGGGCGGGATGTGGCGTCAATAGTTGCTTAAACCTTTGGACAAAATGTTTTTTTTTCTTTTAAATCCTGAAGATCCAAATAAATGATAATGCTCTTATTTCTCAGTTTCCCTCTTTCCATCCATGCCATATCACTCTGTACCTAGTTAAAAAGGTACAGGTTATATCAAGGTTGAACACCAAACTCAGTCACGTTGCATGCAAGCGCCGACTGGAACTATTATTAGTGTCGACCCCGCCACTGATATTATATTTCCCTCTTCCACGCCATGCTCGATGCGATGACACCCTTCCATCCTTCGGATGTCAAACAGTCCTTCTCTACAATGTCCTGTCTCTCAACACCAGATCCACGAGTATCACGACCAAAACTCACCCTGCAAACCTCCTCTCTCCCACGCACCTTTGGCACCTCCACAACAAGCCTATCTCTATCCTTCACAGCGGCACCAGGTGCCTCGCCCACAGTCCGCAACACATTTAAAAACGCCTACGATGTCGCATCTCCTTCATCCGCAACAGCCTCTCCCAAGGGCACTAGCGTCCACTTCAATAATAGCAACAATAATAACAACAATACAAGGCTTATCTCCCCCTACATTCCTCACCCGGGGCAACCAAAGCATAATTCCCTCTCCAACACAAACAATACACACCGCAGCAGTCCATACCAACTGCCTCTAGGAGTACGGAGTATCCTGCGCAACTCCCCGCTGGAAATCGGACCCCGGCGACGCTCCGGCTCCATCTCCGCAGGAGCTAGCGTGCCAGGAACACGCCGAGTGTTCTTCCCAGCCAAGAAACAAGTTAGCTACAGACTGCCACTGGAAGAGGAGATCCGCACAGAGCGCTATACGGCCCACCATCTCGATCTGGTGCACGAAAACGAACAAGAGGCCGAGGCTGTGCAGCAGACCAAGGCAGATGCACGTGCGGGAGATCCACCGGCCGATCCCGCTGATTTCGAGAACGATTCCGACGCACAGTCTACTTCGTCTGGCGATGACGCTAGCGCTGACGAAGATGTTTCGGGCTCGACTCTTTCAAAACATGAAAGGAAGAAGCGGCGGACTGTGGGTATTCAGCGTCAGGTGCGGGCCGTTGCTCTGTTAGATGGTTTCGGCGCCGCTGATCCTTCTTACAATAACCAAACTTCTTTCCCTCAAACACCTCGTGTTAAGCGGCGGAGAGAGTGGAAGTGGACTCTTGGTCCTATCGAGACTGAGAAGGTTGTTGAGAATTGTCCTGACAGTGGTTATTCTGATACGCCCATACAAGGTATCCCTACCGTGGACGAGCCTCATGTCACTGATCAATGACTTGCACTTGCCCTGACCCTAGCTTCTGGGGCTGGGAGCCTAGAGATTACGAGATATTCCATGACTTGTCTTTTTTTTTTTTTTTTTTTCGTCTACTGCATAGCTATTTTTACTTTTTGACGAATTATGCTTTTGTCCCATAGAGGGCGATGGTGGGGACTTTTTTTACATTAGCGGTTTTCTTCTTTTTTTCCATCCCGCTTACTGTGGCGGGCTTTACTTTTCCCTATCAATTTCTCACATGTTTTACATTGCATTTGCCCCTCGTTTCTTTCTGATGTACGGTGGATATTCCATACGGAGTATAATCATTGTCTCGTGTCATCTTGGCAGGTGATGAGAGTTGCATATGGTCATCACCAACTTTTGAAAGGTGTAGGCTAGTGGATAGTCTAGAACAATATCCACGTCCAAGGCTTTTTTTTTAATCTAATAATATCTTATGTATTTATTTACTTGCTTGCTATTTACCTAGTAAGCACGAAAGGCTTCGGAAATTTTATCCGGTGGATTGCTAAAATAACATCATAATACATGCCCCATAACTCTTAACTAAACAATTTATCAAGTCTCCGTCTCAATATCGGGCTCACGACCCGTCAAATCCCCAGCCCCAATCTTCTTCTTAAGCTTTCTAAGCGCGAACTTGGCTTCATTCTTTGCAAAAAGTGCATTGCGTGCAGGACGCCACTGCATCATCCCCCGCTCCTGTCGCTGCTCAGTACGTTTGTTCGCTTTGCTTGACATGCTGCCGCTAGCCATCGACGAGGATGCACCTGCACTGCCTCCACTAAAGGTCGACAGTCGGGGGGATGACAGTTCCGACTCCTCAGTGGAGTCGTCAGTGTCGTCATATTCGCCCTCATAATGTCCAGCTGGCGAGTTCGCCGCGCTGGTAGACAAGCCATGTAATGGCGGTGGTGTGATAGGATCATGGGCCGGTTTGTCTTTGCCAGGTTCTGCGATCTTTCGACCTTTTCCATCCGTGTAGGCGCGCGGATCTTGTCCGAATGCACCGCTCCAATCTGTGCCTTCGCGATCGATCCAGCGGCGGCGTTCAGAGGGATCGGCTTGCTTGAGCACGTCGCGGCCGTCGATGAGAGACTGTTCGTGCTTGGCTTGCACCTCTTCTGGAATATCGATTGAGACAGTGCGAGTTCGCACGCCTTCTGCCATGCAGGCTTCCCATGTCTCGAAGGTCTCACGCGAGTCGTTGTCCACGACAAACTGCTCGTGCGACTCGTCAATGCCCGGCGAGAACTTACATCGGAACTGAAGTCGGCCAACCTCCTCTAGGTCCTGGAGGCCTGGAACTTCCTTTGCACGCCAGTTTTCTTCTGTGATGTAGTTTTGCGTCAGGCGGGCTCCGGCCTTGGTAGTCCAGATCGGGATGTCGATTTCGGTTTCTTCGTTGTCAACCAGATGCTGCAGCCACACGATTGCGTACGCGGCTGCGCCCCGCTTGCCCTTGATGTGGAACTCGAAGATAACCGGTGAGCGATACCGATGCTTCACTGGCATGCGGAGGGCATCGCGGAAGCTCTCATCTGATGTATCGTAGACTAAATCGTTGCCTTCTAGCTGGCACGAGCGGCGAGAGAGTTTGTTTGTGCTGCCACCAGTGCGCAGCTTGATCTTTGCCACTCGACCATAGTTCTTTGCAACAACCTTCTCCCCTTGGAACTCGAATGTTCCAACATCCCAGCCAAGCATGTTGGGAGGCAGCTTGGTCTCGACGTGTCGGAGCAAAACGGAGATACGGACTCGACCAAAGCCAATACCTCCGTCAAGCGGATACCATCGAGTGACTTGGGAGCTTGTCTGGAAGAGATCCGATATCTTGATTGGGACAACGCCCAGGATGGGGTCGTGCTCGCGGTAACGTTGATCACGTACAGTGACTGTTACAACGGCGGACCTCCAGTCACGGACAAAGCGTTCAGTCCCAGCATTGAAGATTGGCTTAGAGCTAACGGCTTTCGCTCTTGTGCGGTAGACCTAAGAAATCACGATTAGTTAACGGCCTTGAAATAGCTGTTATCGTATTGGCAACCGGTACATACCAATTGATCATTAATCATGATCTTGCAATAACTGGTAGGCAAGTTACCACCTTCTTCCTCTGTGTTCTCTCCGAATGGTTTCGCCGGCTCATATTCCTTGCCCTTGCGGTTTCCATCGCTTCCCTTGATATTTTCAAGCTGGAGGTTCACGATCTGGTGCACGACGACATGAAGAATTCCACTGGGCCAGAGAGGGTCAGGCGGGGTGTGTGCAACAGCGTCCTCTTCGTCGTTATTGATAACGCCCTTATCATCCTCAAATGTGGGGTTACCCTTTAGATTCTCAGGGAGATCATGCTGCTTGCCATCTGTGCGCAGCTCGGGTCGCAGCTTTGGCTTTCCAAAGTATCCGACTTCCCAGTGCAATTGACCTGGCATTTCACTGCCTTCGTCCAGCCCTTGCAGTTTCGAGATCTGCGGATACATACGCCCCGGGTGCTGGAGCATCTCCCGAATAGGGAGTTCCACCTTCCCGACAATGTCGTCCGCAGTGTTGCGGTCCGAGTCCCAGAGCTCGACGCTCAAGTTCTCATTCGCTTTGATCAGCTCGGGCGTTACCAGAAGTGCTGCAGTCTCCTCCCAGATTGGATTCAGGTCATCACAGATGACTCGAGTACAATACATGGGCTTTCCATATTTTGAGAAGGAGAGGTTGATATATGGGTCACTACCACCACCGTCGCTGCCGCGGCGATCTTGCTTGCTCAGACCGATGGCACGATGAATTCGAATCCACATGACTCCTAGAGCAGAAGTATCCTTGTCAATATCATCGCCCGACAGCATCATGCCGAGATCCATTGTCATGGACTTCGGCGCGGCAAACATAGAGCAGGCAGTGCTAATGGCATAGTTGACAAAGTTTGAGATCAAAGGAAGGTTAAGAACGTTGATCCCCGTCTTGAACATGGGCATGCAGCCAGCTCGCACATGTGGAATGCCCACCAAGGTAAATGTGACTTCCTTCATGAACGGTGGCTCGGGTGTCATTTGGAAACGAAGACGGACTGTACCAACGAGCTCAGTCAGTTCAACAAATATGGGAAAGGGCACACCGAACAAGCCCCGGATGCCTAGATAAAACACCATCTGCATATGCATGTTTCGTGCCTTGGAAGAAGCACTCTGACCGGATGGTTTGGCGTGGTAAGCAAAAGCGGCCTCCATATTGTAATAACTGCCTCCCTCTTCGGCAGCAGCAGCTTCCTGGGGGTCTTTGTTACGCATGTTCTCCTCGTGAATGTTGTCCTTGAGGTTCTGGACATGATCATCTGGGAGAGAACGCATGCTCAGAATACGGAGGGCATTGTTACCCTGGTCAATTTCTGCAATTCGGACATTCTCGACAACCGTGGGTGCTGATGCTTGCATAATGTCTTCAATTGTATCGGCAATGGGCGCCAGCATCTCTGGGTTCATAAGGCCCCATACAACGCTGAGAAAAGAGTTCATCCACTCCACTGACTCTGGTAGGAGGTTTGCAGTAGCCTGGAATATAGTTAATAGTTGTAAGTATGTAACTTTTGACTCTAGAACGCACTGTTTTCCCACGAAGTTCCTCACTACTCCATTCCATATCCTTCCCACTTCGTATAATCTCGTGCATCCAGAGCCACACACCACTCGTAATGCATGCAGCAAGGGGAATGAGCCCCCATAGAGGGCTGCCAAAAAACTTTCCGAATACTATGATGGCAATTGGTATACCAATACATACTCCTATGGCTTGCTTTTCCAGATGATCGTACATAGGTTGAAATGTGACCGTTGGTGTAGGATGGAAGAGAATATTTGTCTTCTCTCCACGAATAGGGACATCTGACGTTGTGCCATCCGCAATAGGATCTGGGGGTGCTGTGATGTCCTGTTTCTCCTTATACTCAGGTAGAGGTTGATCGTGGCTTGTTTTAATGTCCTTGATTTTTTTAGCCTTGCGCAATACCATTTGTATGGATAAACTTACGGTTGATCTTCCAAGATTTGCATTAGGGACGCTCAGCTGTACTAATGTCAGTTCAGAGCTTGATTCTGTGTTCTTGGTGAATCCACGTACCTTTGGGTTTTTGGCAGCTTCCATCGCCGACTGATCTAGATCCTGCACGCCTATTTCCTTGCCAGTGACAGGATCGGTAACGTTATGGATCTTATCCTTGGGGACTTTGTGAGATTTATGAGAGGTCACGCCCTTTTCCTTTGTCGCTTGTAGAATTCTATTTTGCTCTTCCTCGTCAATCAAGAGGTCTCGCTCTTTCTTCTCCTTGTCGAGATTGTCAATAAACTTCTGGACCGTCGGAATGGGATTAGCACCACTCCAGTGACCTCCCATATGCTGCTGCCTGGGAGACGCATTCCCGACCGGCCTGGTGGATGAACTCATCCTGACTGAGTAGTATGTTCAAGTCGAAAGCTGCGATGCAGTAGTAGATCGGGACTACGGACTATGGAGTAAAGAAGAAGTACCGACAAAATGGGCACATTCACAGAAGCCCTTTATGATTGAATATAGGAAATGAATCAATTGAAAAGTGGAAATAAACGAGAAGTGTAAAGACAAGAGTTGTAATGTTAAAGCAGCTCCGGAACTACGTCATCGGTACAACCTGGTAAATCTGATGACGCCAATGTCAATCTATGCCACAGATCTCGTATGAATCGGTAAATGATCGTCCTTTGCCTAGCGCTCGCTCCTTACAGACCCTGGTTTCGTGACAACGAATTGAAATCCTAGGTTTTGCCCAGCTCTATAACAGCACATCCAGGCTCTTTCGGTAATCAAACTTACTGTAAATAAGAACTTACTGAATATCTTGCTTAGTTTAATGGACGTCGTCACGTCTGGCTTCGACATGATGTCACCACTCTAGGACTGATTTTAGCAGTTTGGTATCTGATATATGAACATCGTTCATCTCTGGACCGAAAATGAACACTCTACCTAACCTGCACGACCAATTATCTCGACCTCAGCAGATCTATCTACCTGTCTACACGGTAGGAAGACGTACATTATAGTACGTAGATCGGGTTCATAGTAGGTCTTGGTCTTCCGCTGACCTTCCAAGGTTCATAAATGATAAACTTGATACCTAGGTAGACGGTACTTGAGTACATCAAATCTCCAAGGTTGGTGTAGTGTACTGCTTTCCAGTCAATATTCCTCTTGGACATGGGAGTGTATTTAACCATCCACATAGCTCCAATACGTGCAAAATGAAGTCCAGAACATTTGACTTCTGAAAATGATCAACATTGAATTGAAAGGAAGTTAGCATTAAATGCCATAAGTAGCTTCACGTATTTCCCGCCGCTTTTAAGAGAGCAGAGTCCGAGTCGATTTCGGGTAAAAGCGGCGGGGATGATTACTAAATCAGAAAGGGAAAGCCAAGAAATGGTAAAGGTAGCTTGTACAGTTCGATGGTTGTAGTCAACGACAGCGGATATTGATATTCTTATCGCCATTTGTTTCCCACGAACCGAACCTCATCTACATCGCAAGATAGCTTTCCTTGAACCCCCCACAGTTTTACAGCCTTAATCTCTCCCATTTCCCTCCCAACAGCTTCATTCTAAAATGTCAACCGCCGAAGAATCACCGGCTCAGCGAGCCGCCCGCCAGCGCCGTGAGCGTCGCGAGGCCAAGATCAGAGAAGGAGGTTTAGCACGCCTGGACAAGATCAGCAGTCTTAACGGTCGTACTCCACTGGCCGGTATGAATCGACACCCCTCCTATGATCTACCAGGATCAACCTAAGCTAACTTGAACCTCGTACCAGCTCGCGAAGATGCACCCTCCCCATCCCCTCAACCGGTAGCAATCTCTCCATCTCCATCCCCACTGCCAGAGAACCTACCATCGCCATTCCAACCTCAACAGCCAGCAGACTTCCCAGCAGACTTCCAGGCACAGCAGGATGCTATCCGCGCTCTGCTTCGACAGGGCATGCCTGGCCCAGACCAAGATGAACAATCCCCCGAGATGGAGGACCCAACTCTCAAACTCCTGAATTCTCTCTTGGGCGCTATGCCCGGCGACCCCAATGCGCCTCCACCCCCGCCCGGCGCCGCAGGCGACATGCCCGCTCCGGCCCTCAACCCGGCAGCTATCGCCTCAGCTCTCGGCGTGCCTCCATTCCTTGCAAATATGCTGGGTGGAGGAGCCCAACCGACTGAGGCGGAGCAAAGATCCCTGCGTATCTGGAAGGGTCTACACATCATCTTTGCACTCGGAGTAGCATTCTATCTGGTGTTTATCATCGGGGCTTCAGTTGCACTGTTCGGAAATCCGCCTCCTAAGCCTTCCACGGTCCAGAATCCTTTCATGATCTTTGTCACGGGCGAGTTACTACTTACTGGAGGCAGAGTACTTCTTGGTGCTAAGCAGAGTGGACTGGGGATAGCAGTTAAGGTCTTTAAAGATATTGTCCAAGATGGCAGTCTTGTTATCTTTGTATTGGGGCTTGGGAGCTGGTACAATGGCGAGTGGCAGGGCTACTAGAGTGGACTTGCATATCTTAAAATTAGCAAAATAAATATCATGGAAGATCTGAGTTGGCTAAGGCTAGAAATATTATTGTATTATTTATTCATACCATCCAGATTGGCTTCATAAAATCATTGAGTGGATGCTTCTAGATATCGCTGGAATGGCAGAATGGCGCATTTGAGGACATTCATCGCCGAAGCATCCAGGCCCCAATCCCCTACCCACTGGCTCATACGCGCACCATTTTTGAAATGTTCCGAAAGATGATTCGCTCGAACAGTCCAAGTAAACAATGAAATATCACAGAACCCACACCGACTCTGAATATTAGCACCAGAGCCTCTCCATGCATCAAGATCAGCAACAGGGCTCTGGACGCAGCCGTGAAACTTGCGCAGATGCTGCCACAAGTGATCTTTCCGGCTAAACGATCGCTCTGCCAGGGGCTTTGTAGAGCAAAACTGGAATTCATGTTCATCCCAGTGTGCTGAATTCGGGAACGAAATGCCACAGAAACTGCAATCTGCCATGTGAGAACCCCACGATTCTCGCAGTTCGCTTGGGTTTGGAGTGCAGATCCAAGTGTCAAATGGAAGGTGGACACTCTTTTCATGTCGTGACCAGTCATGTCGTTTCCTGAACGATTTTGTGCAGAAAGTGCATTGATATAGGTTGTCTTCTCCAGAGTATTTCTGCTTTCGTTGCCGTCGATGTCGGGGTGTCTCGGATGAGAGTGGAAACGGTAATGCCATTTCTCCAGACTGATGACTCCATGCTGAGCATATGCTATCAGAGGTCTCTGATGCTTGACTCCCAAAGCTGGATACGGAGGAGGTTAGATGTGGAGAGGTTTCGTCGAAATTGAACAGATCTATGGTGGACTCGTCGAAGGGGAAAAGATCCATGGCTGTATCTATGGCGTCTTGGATCGTAGATTCAAGGACAGGCTCATCATCCGGTGGTGACACCTGCCACCTCTCAATTGGTGACATCGTGTCTAGCGTACTCCTGACAAGAGGTGATCCAGCGCGATGGCGAGATCTGGAAGGCAAGTTCGACATGTGAAGTTTCTGCTTCTGTCGTCGGCGAGCATTCGCAAACCATATTGAAATACGCTTTTGAGAGAAGCCGGTTTCCTCTGAAAGCTGAAATTTTTGATCCTCGGTTGGATATGGATGCTCTTGATTTTGGTGGAACCACTCACGCAAAATCCTAGCTCCTTTTCTGATAAACTGCGTAGATTCTTTCCTCTCTTCCAATTGAACAGGGATCATAGGTTCATGCTAATACAGATTCAGTTTGTGGTCATGGGAAATATCGATATCAGGAACGTACGGAATCTTCGGCATGTTCTAGTAGGCCATGCAAATGGCCTAGAACTGGAGTAAACGTTTCAAAACCACTAGGAAGGCGTTTTTCTCCTTTTGCCAAACTGCATTCCCGAAAAAGTGCCACACAGCTCGCGCAAGAGGTCACTGGATTTGGATTTGCCGATGTAGTGCGCAAAACCAGACACTGAAGGCGATATCTGCGGCAATGACTGCAGGGCACAGATGGAAAGTAGGCACCGTCTAGCCACTGGGAGATTTTGGCAATACTCGGTGAAGATTGGTGAGGCACATTAGGGAAAGTATCTCCTGTATTAATTTCAACTGATTCTATCGGGAATTCAGCAGTATGGAGGGCTGAGTGAGTAGATATCTCAGAAGGAACGAAGGACTGGGAATCAAATCCCGTCCCTTGAGGGTTTTCTGGGGTTGGAAGCTCTGATGTGCAAAAGTAGAAGTCATCCAAGGCACTGAAGGTGAGGGCATGTTCATCTTGCAGCCAGTCATCGCATACATTATCTTCAAGCATATTCTGCTGTGATTCTGATGGCGGGGCATCGGAGCTGAATGGTTGATGTGAGCTCATGCTGGATTCCAAAGACTGACTCTCTCAATCACAATTCACGGAATTATTACATTAAAATTTAAGTTTATGCAACCTCCTGAATCAAATATCTAGAAACAAGAGCTCGATGTGACGCCTTCCATATACATGATTAGTCATCGTGACTAGGCATGTGAAAAAAAAAAAGACATGACTGTCGACCCCGGCAGGACTCGAACCTGCAATCTCAGGTTTAGGAAACCTGCGCCTTAACCATTAGGCCACGAGGCCAGTGTATAAAGACATCTCGCAAATTTAATTAAATTGAGCCTCATCAAATTTCACCCATGAGGAAGTCAAGATAAGCATTGTTCTGAATACTTAAAAGGAATCATTCACCACATTCCCTGCAGTCGTGGAAAATCTGACGTCATCAAGTAGTCTAGCTAATGATGGCTGACCAGGTGTCCCGGGGCTTATGTGCAGCCAGCTATCTGGAACTAGTCAAACTGTCCTGGCACCTGTAATTATTCATTCTTAGCAAATTTGAGCAAAATATCTTCTGGAATTCTTAGGTCTATCCGCGGAACTCACATGGCTCAATTTATGAGGAAAGGCCTACTACAAATGCTGCAACATCACTAGAAGCGTCAAAAAGATTTGAGTCATAAGAAACAAAAATATCAGCTTGATGATACAAAGAAGCCCAAAGGTCGGATGGCGATTGCGCCTGTCAGAGATTGATGACAGCAACAGCAAACTAATGAGGGAATGTTCTAGAGGTGACAAAGCTATTCACGGACGTCGTGGATACCTTCATCAACTCCAACCCTCAGATCGCCGCTCTAGTTTGGGGCGGCATGAAAACAGCTATCAGAACTTCCAGCAATGTTACGTCCTAATTAACCTAGATAACTCGTATGATTATGGATATAGGAAAGTCATGCCCAACGTACCAGCAATTTGGTCAGCTTCATCCTAGAGGGCCTAATCTGAGAAGAATTGATATGACCACTCCAGGGCTGCTGCAACGAGCTAGATACTTATAAAATCAAAACCAACTTGTTTCATTTACAATTCACTATATATAATAAATGAGATAATTAGCCACTCTTTGAGCCTCTTTTATTCATGTTGATTTGCCGTCTTAAATTCTGACTAGGTTTTTTAATATGTATTCTTGTGGCTTGCCTCCAATAATTCCATTGCGACTGGAAGCATCCATAGATGATTGACAGGGTACCTGATACTCTCGCGGCCCTTCTGTGCTCAGGAGAACAATCACTGAGTTCTCATTGATGACTTGTGATCTCTCTGTAGCCATAGCTATGCGACGGAGTGCAGCCAACGACGCACCACCACAAGGACCAGAAGCCACAGAGTTTGATGCCAGATACTGTACAGCGTTATGACTTTCATTAGAAGATACCATCACACAAGCATCGATAAGCCGCTGAAGATCAGGCCATGCCATAGATGAGACAGTACCACAGTTCATGCCATCCATGATGGTAGTTGAAGTCTGGACTGGTGTGGGCTTCCCAGCTCGGAGACTGGATAAAAGACAAGGCGCAGAATCGGGTTCAACGGCAACAACTGACACACCTCGAGACTTGCAATGCCTTGTGACAGCAAGTGCAAGACTACCAACACCAACCGGTGTTACCACCATACTAGCAGCCAAGTCAAGCTGGGAGAGCTGTTCCTCAACTTCTTTCATCATGGTCGAATACCCTTCCACAATCCATGCAGGGACATCCTCGTATCCATCAAAAGCGGTATCCTGGATCAAAAGTACGCCCTTGTCCTTTGCATACTCCCACGCTTCTTGAACTGCATCGTCATATGTGCCTTGAAAAACCGACACAAGCGCCCCCTCTGAAGCAATCAAATCACGTGTAGACTCATTCATCGATCGAGGCACAAATATCTGGGCCCTAATTTCAAGTAGCCTGGCCATATAAGCAACTGCTCGACCATGATTACCTTCTGTAGCCGTGACGAGTGAGATCGAGTTCGCTTTCGCTTGTGATGCGAGCTTTTCTAGGGAATTTTCATCTGACGAGAATCCAAGATGCCGCGCAACTGCTCGGAAGCAACCCCATGAAGCACCGAGGACTTTGAACGACGGTAAACCAAATCGGTTGCTTTCATCTTTAACGAAGACTGCTTGAACGCATAATTCGGCTGCAAATCTTGGCAGAGATACGAGCGGCGTTGGGGCATAGTTAGGGAGGGATTTGTGGAATTCCACAACACCCGATGCGGGAGCATATTTACAGTGCTCTCTTGAAGCAGCGGCGTTAAAATATATTGAATCCGTTGATGACATCCTCTCGAGGTTAAATCCAAAGTTAAAGACCGGGGGGTTAGTAGTATCTCCCCTACTGTCAGGGCACCGTGTAGTTCTTGTAGTCCACCCAATGGAGCCTTCCGCGGACATCTGGAGATTCCCGTTGACGTTAAAAACGCCTTCTGATAACATTATCTGAACCCATCACCCCCAGCAACCCACACCATGAATAAGGATAATCGTTGATTTGACATCGGAACAAGAAATTTAGAACTCAAATCAAGTCAAATTTGCTTAAATGCCAGGTTTCTCTCTAAATCATACTTTGTACGGCTTCACCGGAAAACACCGGAAAAACAATACTCCTAAATGGATAAAAGTTCCCCACTTTCCACGCTAATCAATACAAAGTACGTCCGTTTTCAAGATATGAAATTATGTTTGTAAGTAGACAGTGTCATGGAATACTCAATCGCTCATTACATGAATTCTGCCAGCTTGATTTCTTTCTTCATTATATAATTTTTTCATTTTCAGCCTGTTTAAGAAATCTGAAAAGCCTCAATGGGAGTGATTCATCCAAGAGGTCTGCGGGAATACTGCCATATAAACTCCGAATATTCTTGCGTAGGCTTTGCTCCAAAGGCTGTAGATAGTATTGCCATATTCCAAGTTTCAATCTAAGTTATGGAGATCTACACCGACACAGGTTATGCTCAGATCCAGGATCATTTTTTTTGTTCTTCTGAAACCCTTCGGCAAAGGCAGTTTCAAGAGTCCTTCATGTCTGAAGAGAAGAAAGATCAAAACTGGGTCGGCTGAAATTTGGCTTTCTGGATCGAGGCCGAATGGACCACATAGCTCCGATGATCATTACACAGATACGTATGTGAAAAGTTAGCTGAAAGGAAAATCATATACTCATTAAGCCATACGAGGTAGAAGAAGATACTATGCATTGTTAGCGAATATTGGCCGAATTTAACTCTGGATCTTCAATGATAGCGATTGCCAAGGCTTGCCAAGGTGCTCACCGGTAATTAGGCTAGTAATGCAGACCTCGGGAAGAGTGAGAGGCTGCCTGAATACGAACTAAGTATACTATCAAAAATCCCGAACATGTCCAGAAGAGAGCTTGAACTCACCTGATATCCAGATGTAGGACCTCGGAAGCTGGATATCCCGTCCTCATATTTTGAACAGTGACGTGATCTTGGAGCCGCCATCACCTTTCAATGTTGGAATAGCAGGCTGGTCTGTAATATGGACTAACTGTTCTCCATCACCGAGTTACTGACATCTTGATCTTGTTGCTGACTGCTCTATCGAGGAAGTTGAGTCACAATTGCCTGGGTGACAAAAGTACGTACTACTCAAACCGTCCTTGACCGTTCACCTACTAAAGACTGTCGTCATGATTCAACCTTGAAAGTGTCATTTTTCGAGATCTTATGATATAATTAGGTCTCGACAACATATTAATAGGGCAACAATCCTAATATTTAGCACGTAGTGCATAGTTAACCTTGGCGTCCAATCATCCTAAGGTCATACCGACATTAAGGCTCGACTTGAAGTACATCTAATCAAAAAGAAGTAGGTAGTATTCAACTTGCAGCGAGACAAAACGAGATTTTTCCATTAACAGGGCATTACCTAGGTATCCCCTGGGTGTAAAATGTACTACATACGTAGGCGTAATTGCCAGTTGTCGTGCATAATTAGATTATAATGTCCAAGCCTAGATACACGTTGATACTCTTGAAGTAATGGTGATTAAGATATACATAGAGAATGCAGCTAAACAGTAGCGTCTTCGGAGGTGGGAAGGGTCTTCAGTGAACAAGGTTAAGAAACGTCAGGTAATAGCGACTGTGGACATAAGCTGGACCGGAATCGACGGATTGTAGCGGATAAAAAAGAGAGTGAGTGATGGTTGAATTATGCGTTGGAATGGCCAATCAAATAATAGACGGATAAAATCAATATGGTTGAATCTCAACAGTTACGTATTAATAGGATGGAAATAATACGGCATTCTCTCGGTAATCCATCGGGACAGAACCTTATGGTGGAGATATTGGAAAAGTGCAGCGTATTATTGGGCCACCGGTTGACCAATCCGGCTAGCTTACTGTAATGACTCCAGATCCATTGAGCACGAAACCCCTGGGTTGTTTATCTTTTTTTATTTTTTTTTTTTTTTTTCGCGTTGGGACAAGTGGATTGAGTGGAGTCTTATTCTTAACAAGAACCTGCCTGGTAACCTCCTAGTCCACTGGATTACGGAGTACCTAGTATACCTCCGCAGCTGGTAGTACGAAGTAGTATGAGTTTTCACAATCACACGAATTACACGTGGGTAGATTCAGATGTAAGACAACATTACTATAAAGAAAATAGATATAGTTCAAAACCTAAAACTTACCTTAAAATGAATCTCGGCAATTCGGGCTAGGGGAAGGGTCTAACTAAGAAGGGACTCGGTAGTTCGTACCTAGGTAATACATTAACATTTGAATGGATGAATCGGCCCCTTAGTTAAAACTAAGCCTTGGTTACTACCACTTAGTCTCACCCCCACACTCCGTGCTTTATTGTACTCTACCAGACCTCCGTGCCTTGTTGTACTCGATAAAATATTCTTATTATCATTCGATTGACATGCCACTGTGATTACATAGTTCAACCACATTTGCCATGTCATGTCATGTCATTGTTATATTTAATATTTAATTTTATAGATCTAATTAATTAAATTTTTTTTTTTGGGAGGGGAACGTGTCTAATTGCCTAGTTAGTCAGCACCCCGCGTCCAATCTCGATGTTAGAGATCTACATATAATACTAGATGGACGATGATAAGTAGTAAATTTCAAGTTTGGTGGTGTACTGTTCAGGTAATCTATAGGTAGAGACTACGTATGTACTCATCTAAGTGTGAATGAGTCTATTTTGAAGTAGTTCTTATCATCATATCAAAAGAGTTCCGTATACAAGGACGTCATCTTTACCACGAGGCAAGAGGTCCCACTTGAATGTTCCCCAGTTCCGCATCTAAGCCAAGAGAGCACACGCGGGGTACAGATCGGGTCGGACAAATGGTTCCTAACGGTAGAAGGAAGGCTTTGGAAGCAGCACGGGATATGGTCCAATAGATGAGCTTTCCCCGGAGCAACGGAAAGGATAAAGAGCAGTTCCCCGCATAACCGATGTCAGCGCAGGTACAGTAAAATAAGTTACTTGGGTATATTTATGGTGATTACAAGTTGTTGTAGTGGTGTTAACTCTTGATCTACTAAATGTAACAGCATTGTTGATAGTATACAAAATACAATGTAGCTTCAAGTACATAAGGGAGTGCACGGTCCATAAGCCCGCATCCGGAGTTGTTCGACGCTTACCCGAAATAGTGACATCCGTAACGGGAATGGAATCCCCACTGAATAGGAAAAAAAGGAAAAAGGAGTGTATAAAGTATGGAGATAAATAAGAGTGGTTCCCGGGCTCAACTCATATTCTACATTTACTTTTATTTACATACCTACCTTGAAACTGCTACTCCCCCCCCAACCTTGAAATCTAGTATGTGATTATGTGATTCTTTGATCTATTTGTTTTCCTCACCTGCCTTCTCACGGCTCTTTTTAAGAAGCTTAATGATCGGCTTTCAATTGATTTTGTGCGTTCTTCACTAACTGTAGTCTTCAAGCCATTTACTCCTTTCTTTTCTTCTTCATTTCATTGCTTTCGAGAGCTTGTAACTATGTCCGCCACGAAACCCTCAGTGGTAAGTTCGACTCTTTCTGTCCTCGCTCTAAACGCAGGCACCACAGACTAACGCCTATCTAAGGTTCACGAGGCCCATGAGGTCGACACTTTCCATGTCCCTCAAGCTTTCCACGACAAGCATCCCACCGGAACACATTTGAAGGATCTCGATGAGTACAAGACACTATACGAAGAGTCCATTCGCAGCCCCGACACCTTCTGGGCTCGCATGGCTCGGGATCTTCTCACTTTTGAGCGTGATTTCCAGACTACTCGCGCCGGTTCATTAGAGAACGGTGACACCTCATGGTTCGTGGAGGGTCGCCTGAATGCCTCTTTCAACTGCGTCGATCGACATGCTTTCAAGGACCCTAACAAGGTTGCCATCATTTACGAGGCCGATGAGCCCAACGAGGGCCGCAAAATTACATACGGAGAGCTTCTACGTGAGGTATCACGAGTCGCCTGGGCTCTGAAGCGGCGTGGTGTGAAGAAAGGTGACACAGTTGCCATCTACCTACCCATGATTCCTGAGGCTGTTGTTGCCTTCCTGGCTTGCTCCCGTATTGGTGCCGTTCACTCTGTCGTTTTCGCCGGTTTCTCCTCCGACTCGCTGCGGGACCGTGTAATTGATGCCCAGTCTAAGGTGGTCATCACCTCTGACGAGGGTAAGCGTGGTGGCAAGGTCATCGGTACTAAGCGCATTGTCGACGAGGCTCTGAAGCAGTGCCCCGATGTTTCCACCGTGCTTGTGTACAAGCGCACCGGTGCCGAGGTACCCTGGACCGAAGGCCGTGATCTTTGGTGGCACGAGGAGGTCGAGAAGTACCCCAACTATATTGCCCCCGAGTCAATGAGCTCAGAAGACCCGCTTTTCCTTCTCTACACCTCCGGTTCCACTGGAAAGCCCAAAGGTGTTTTGCACACTACTGCCGGCTATCTGCTCGGAGCCGCCATGACTGGAAAATATGTCTTTGACATCCACGAAGATGACCGATACTTCTGCGGTGGCGATGTGGGCTGGATTACTGGCCACACATACGTCGTTTACGCCCCGCTCCTGTTGGGTTGTGCCACCGTTGTTTTTGAGAGCACCCCCGCCTACCCCAACTTCTCCCGCTACTGGGACGTTATCGATAAGTACGATGTCACACAGTTCTACGTTGCGCCCACTGCCCTTCGCTTGTTGAAGCGGGCTGGCGATGAGCACATACACCATAAAATGAAGTCTCTGCGTATTCTGGGTTCCGTTGGAGAACCCATTGCTGCAGATATTTGGAAGTGGTACTTTGAGGCGGTTGGAAAGGAGGAGGCTCACATTTGCGATACATACTGGCAGACTGAGACTGGCTCCAATGTCATTACTCCTCTGGGTGGTGTGACTCCCACAAAACCCGGCAGTGCTTCTCTTCCCTTCTTTGGTATTGAGCCTGTTATTATTGACCCAATTTCCGGCGAGGAGATTATTGGCAACGATGTCGAGGGTGTATTGGCATTCAAACAACCTTGGCCTAGCATGGCACGCACCGTTTGGGGTGCGCACAAGCGTTACATGGATACCTACCTGAACGTTTACAAGGGCTACTACGTAAGTATTCCTACCTCCTATTTTTGAGGGATTGTTAAACTGACTATTCCATAGTTCACTGGAGATGGCGCTGGTCGCGATCACGATGGCTACTACTGGATCCGTGGCCGTGTGGATGACGTTGTCAATGTATCTGGCCACCGTCTTTCCACTGCTGAAATTGAGGCCGCCCTGATTGAGCACCGTAAGCAGATTTTTAACATCTCATCAATAATACAAGCTAACCTTCTATCAGCTATGGTTGCCGAAGCTGCCGTTGTCGGTATTGCCGATGAGCTCACTGGCCAGGCAGTCAACGCCTTTGTCGCCCTCAAGGAGGGCAATGAGACCAACGACCAAGTTCGCAAGGATCTCATGATGCAGGTCCGCAAGTCAATCGGTCCATTTGCCGCTCCTAAGGCTGTTTTCGTTGTCGAGGATCTCCCCAAGACTCGAAGTGGCAAGATTATGCGCCGTATTTTGCGCAAGATTCTCAGTGGTGAGGAGGACAGCTTGGGTGACATCTCAACAGTAAGTTGTTTTCCATCTCATCACCTTACGACACCCATACTAAATAACTCAACAGCTGTCTGACCCCAGTGTGGTCGAAAATATCATTGCGACTGTCCACGCTGCTCGTCAGAAGTAAAAGGTTGCATGAATTGATGATAAATGATTTTTGAGAAGAGTGTGCTTCTTTTCATCCATCGTGTTTCATTTCGATGGGTTATATTATATGGATACCATGCTCTCCTTTGTATGGTACGCTTAACTTATATGGGTGTGCAATATCGAGCTGTTTTACACTTTGGGAACTTCCCCGGTTTTTATTTGAGATTCTCCATTGGGAATATTAATTAGTTCTGGATTCTTAAGTTCTACCATGTTCGGCCATATTTAAAAAATTCGGCTTATTCCGAAGTAGTCAATGAGTGCCTTAAAAAGCTGAGGACAAGGGTAGAGTAAATAAACCTCCTCTCTCTTCTTCTCCCATCTCTCTTCCACCTTTCCCTCTCCAACTCCCACTCTTTTTTCCACTTTTCAATCACCATCCTTCTTCTTGATTATTTCTCACTGCTATCGTTTCGTTCAAGCTTTAAAAACACATTGACAAAACCAAAAACAACTGCAAACATCTTCTTTACCACAAGATACCGTTTCTGGTTGTGGGCCACCCCGAGTTAGGTTGGGCGAGTCCAAGTAAGCAACACGTGACGGAGCTCTGTTTCCCGTGCTGACATAAGAGCTGTCTTAGCAAACTTGAACCTTACTACTTTTCTGTCGCGTACACTCCTCTCTTCGTCAACGCGCACTCATTCATTCCCCCTTTTCTTGACGACTTTCGCCTATCAGACTGCGCGCACCCTATGATCCTATAAGATCTCCAGCTCGCAAGTGACAATATGTCTTTCGGCACCGGCGGCTTTGGGTCGGGAGGTGGGTTCGGTCAGAACAACCAGAGCACCTTCGGTTCCTCTGCCTTCGGAACCCCCAACGCTTCAGGTAGGTCTCACATTCTGGCATTGTATTCCCTGCGCATTCCCCATTCCTTTCATCGTTTGTTTCTTTATTCGCTTGTGTTACCCTGTGGCTCTCTACCTTCAACAACAATCCGGTGCTCCTGACGTCGACCCACGATGGCACGACACGCGCAAGGCAAATGATTCATATTCAAAATCGACAACCTTCGCCGTGCCAGACAAGACCTTCTTGCTCCCATCCTTTCGATGCTCAGCGACACCGCGACTAGGAGGAAGAGCGCAAGGGCCTGTTTTTCAACCCAGTCTCTCTGACCGCGATCCCAACCCATAATCTAGGCTTTGGATCCAACAATACTTTTGGAGCTGGAAACACTGGTGGCAGTCTGTTCGGTAGCGCCAACAATTCCACGACAACCCCTAGCGGCTTCGGCAGCACTGGCGGAGGTACGTTCTCATGACAACAGAGCCTTGCGACGTTGCCCTCGCGATAATCCTGGGCTTTTCCTCCATTGCGCTCATTCGATACATCCTTCCACGACTATGTAACATCCCTCCGGTTGGGATAGAGAACACTAGTCGTGCGTGTTCAATTTTCTCAACTGTCTTTGGCATTAAAGAACGTGACACGCATCAGTGTAGATCTACAAACTTATCCATGGATTTCAAGGACCCCTCTCACGATATCCGATTTACGCCTGCTTTTTATCGCTAAAACTTAAAAGTGTTCATGCATTGACTAACATCTTTCTCCACAGGTTTCGGCGCAAACACACAAAATAATTCTGGCGGCTTTCTTGGCAGCCAGCCTCGAACTGGAGGATTTGGCGGCACTGCCGCTCCAGCTACTGGAAGCCTTTTCGGTGGTGCCACGGCCTCTGCAGCCCCTACCTTCGGCACGGGCGCTGGTACATTCGGAGCCAATGCTACAGGCACAAACGCCTTTGGCGCCCCTGCCAACACCGGAGGTCTCTTCAGTGGCAATAAGACAACAAGTGCCTTTGGCGGATCTAACACCGGCACTGGTGGCTTCGGTGCAGGTGGAGGTTTTGGTGGAGCCGCTGCCACAACTACCCCGGCCTTTGGAGGGGCAGGTACTGCTCTCCAAGGTAGCTTGCCTCCTTGTGAAGGAACCGGTAGTACCCCATTTGCCCCATTCACTGAGAAGGACACCAATTCTTCTGTTACCAACCACTACCAAAGCGTCAACTTTATGCCAGCGCACAGCAAATGGTCTTTTGAAGAACTGAGACTGGCAGATTATCAGCAAGGACGTCGTTACGGAAACGGAAGTGCTCAGCCGGGTGGTTTCGGCAATTCAAATTTCACCTCTGCGTTTGGCGGTGCCCCTGCAGCAACCGCAACTCCTACCTTTGGTGGCGGCGCAGCCAATACAGGCTTCGGCGGTGCTACAAACACCGCTACTGGTTTTGGTGGATCCGCAACTACTAATAATACTTTTGGAGCTAGCAACACCAATCCCCTTTTCGGCGCTCCAAAGCCTACGACTGGATTTGGGGCCACGCCAACCTCGCAGCCCTCATCGCTCTTCAGCGGAGGTACCACTGCAACAACTGGAGCAACCGGTTTTGGAGGCACACCAGCAATAGGTACTGGGTTTGGAGGCGCTTCTGCGGGCAACAGTCTGTTTGGAAATAATCAACAGCAAAACAAGCCCACTGGTTTTGGTGGAGCTAGTGCCGGTGGATTTGGTGCAGGAGGAGGATTCGGTACACCCGCGACAACGGCAGCTCCCTTCGGAGCCAATACGTCGACCACTTCGACTTTCGGTGCCCCACAACAGCAGACAACAGGAAATGCATTTGGCGGTGGTGGCGGCTTCAACACCAATACTCAAACTCAAAGCAAGCCATTTGGTGCTAGCTTCGGAGCTCCTCAGCAGCCGTCGACTGGCTCGACCTTGTTTAGTGGTGGTACCACGGCTGGAACCACAGGAGGCACTGGTCTTTTCTCAGGTCAACAGCAGCAAGGCGCCACTAGCAACATATTTGGCGGTGGCCAGACCCAACCCGCCGCTACAGGCAGCTCGCTCTTTTCTCAAAACCAACAACAGCAAAAGCCTGGTGGTGTGTTTGGTGGTTCCCTTGGTGGAACTGGAACTGGGTTCGGTCAGCAAGCAGCTGCTACAGGCAACTCGCTCTTTTCCCAAAACCAGCAGCAGCAAAAGCCCGGTGGCGTGTTCGGCAGTTCCCTTGGTGGAACTGGCTCTGGGTTCGGTCAACAGGCATCTGCTCCCGGTAACTCGCTCTTTAGCTCCCAAAACCAACAACAGCAACAGCCTAGTGGTAGCCTCTGGGGTGCCTCGCAGTCGCAGCAATCTCAGCAGCCGGTTCCTGGAAGCATGAGTGCTTCACTGCTTGATGGCAACCCATATGGCAACCAATCTATCTTCTCGGGATTACCAGCACCTAACGCCCCATCTCCTGGCCCACTGGCCACTCCGCTTGCGTCTAGTATGAAACAGAAGCAGCGAACTCCTCTGCCTGTATACCAGATGACTCCCAATGCTGCTAACCGCCTCATTACTCCCCCAAAACGCGGATATGGATTCTCTTACTCCACTTCCAGTAGCTCTGCCAGTACCCCTACTGGTTTCAGTAGCAGTTTGTTGTCTTCTGGTCCTGGAAGTAACAGCCTTCGCGGTAGCCTTAGTGGCAGTCTCCGAGCTCCTGTGGGTGGCAGCTTTGGTAGAAGCTTTAGCAAGAGCTATTCCACAAGCAATCTGCGCAAGACGTTCGACCCCGATTCTGAAAGCGTTTTAGCCCCTGGCGCCCTACAGATTGGTAGTGGCCGCAGCACCAGTGGCCTCAAGCGGCTGACTATCGACCGTAGCTTGAGAAATGACCTCTTTACGCGGCCAACGAGCCTTTCGCCTGCAGCTCCTGCAGCGATCACCAATGGTGATGATTCCGCTGCTAAAAAACGGGTTAGCTTTGGCTCGACATCTCCCAACATGACGGGTGGCGTGTCGGGTGGTGAGCTTGTACGGGTTGAATCAAGCAGCCCAGACCCAACCTCCGAGGACCTTGGCTTCCTCCGCTCTACTCAACGAAGCAGCAGCAGTTTGAACGGCGTAGAAACTACCCACCGTCCCGAGATGGAGTCTGTGTTCCATGATCTTGCCGTCGTTCCTGAAAACGAAGAGCTTACGGAGCCTGTTCCTACCTCGACACAGTTGACCCTTGTACCTGCCGTCCCTGCCGTCCCTACCAGTGACCCCAGTCCTGGTGAGTATTGGATGAAGCCCTCGATGGCTGAGCTTAACAAAATGAGCCGCGATCAGCTGAAGAATGTCGAGGACTTCACTGTTGGTCGTCAGCACTGTGGACAGGTCACATTCAACGGCACCATCGATCTCACTACTGTCGACCTCGACAACCTCTTTGGTGGTATCGTGGACATTGGTGTTCGGAAGATTACAGTCTATCCCGACGAAAATGTCAAACCGCCCATGGGTAAGGGATTGAACGTTCCCTCTACTCTGCACATTGAGAATTCCTGGCCACGCAGCAGAGATAAGAAGCGACCGTCTGCTATCAATGGTCCACTTTTGGACAAGCACATTGACCGTCTGCAGAAGGTTACTGACACCGAGTTCATTGACTACGACCTCGACACTGGAACATGGGTTTTCAAGGTCCCTCACTTCACCACGTATGGGCTTGACTATGACGATGAAGAAGGTGAGAACCTCGACCCAGCCACTCTCAGTGCTGGCCCTGACAACTCCACCCCTAAGGCTCAGCCTCAGCGCGATCACCCTATGAGCTTTGAGCAATCTGCAACTTTTTCCATTGATGAATCGTTCGTCGGTTCCATGATCGGTGTCGAGGATGACACTTTTGATTTCAAGAAGCGAAAGCTCGTTCCTGGCTCGTTTGGTAACCAGGCCATGGAGGTTGGCGATCACGACATGAGCGATGAGGATGACGAGTCTTTTTTAGCTGAAAGCTCCACGGGTTCAACTACCGAGAATGACTACGATGTCACAGAGAGCCAGCAATCTGGCACCTCCGTAGTTGGATCTGATGAAGACGAGGATATGGACATGGCGGGCTCCTTTCCAAACCTTCATCCCCCCGTGGAGCGAGATGACTCTCGGATCACCGAGCGTCGTGACATGGATGAGGACCTTACCCAGTCTCATTTCCGCCCATTCGGCACACCCCCAAAACCTCGTCTGAACCTTAGCGGCGACTGGGCCGACCAGCTTCAGCGAACTATCAGTCCCCGGAAGCAAAACCGCGACGCACTGCGTGAAATCCAAGCCAATGCCTTTACCGATCGACCTCTCTTCGCCGATGCCAAAGCTGGGAATACGACCTCCCCAAAGAAAGGATTCACCAACAGCATCGACTTGATGAATTCCTTGTTTCAGTCGCCACGCAAGCAGAATGCGCCTTCGATGAAGGCCCCTAAAGCGCAGCCTAAAGGCTTTGAGGTTCGCATCCCTTCCTTGCTTTACACTTGATTTTCCACTTGCTCTATCTTTCCTAAGCCCAACCTGCCCTTTTCCCCTTCCCATTCCCAATCATTATCTTCTTTCTCCTGACCTGTCCTATCTTTTACTCAACATGTATCTAACTCCTCGCAATCACTCCCCAATCCCCCGCCACTTCCCTCACACATAGTTAACAAAATTGAAATGTTATGAACCCACAATTAATACTTTTTCTTGTCTGTACAGTGGCCTTACAACAAGCAACCCAAGACCTTCGCTGGTGACAACCATAAAATGACTGCAGCCGACGCGCATTTCGTCGAATTTCACGAATCTTTCAAGCCGCGATGGGGTCCAATGGACAGCATTGTCTTAGTTAACACTGACATGAAAGGAGGGCCCCTCGTAGGTGCTAATAAACGCTGGTCACAGCGTCACACTATCTTCAGTGAAGGAGGAGACCTCAGTGTTCTTGGCTACAACCAGTTCCCCGAGTCTAAGGAGATTCTTGACGTACAGAAGCAACAGTCGAAAATTCGTCACGTCGATGGCATTCCTCTTGTCCGCTTGGACAAGATTAATCTGCGCCAGTTCGCATCTGCACCCGCCAAGGACGAGGAGCACTTGGTTTGGCAGCTGGCCAATGTTCTGTTTAACGATGATATCGAGGACGACATCTCTGCGGGTGTGCCACCGCAGCTGCGGCACAAGTTCGCGCATCGCATTAAGAAGGATCGGTTGACCCGTCTGTGGAGTGGCATCATTCGCGAACAACACGACCATCATCTGGAGCACATTTCCTCGCCAGAGGAGCGCGCGATTCACCTTCTCTGCGCTAACCGTGTGGAGGATGCGTGCAAAGTGTTGATGGATAACAGGAACTTGCACTTGGCCTCTCTGGTTGCCCACATTGGCCGGGATGCCACCTCGCAGGCTGATGTGGCTAACCAAATCGAAGTCTGGCGCCAGAACAATATATTGTCCGAGATGACTGACCCTGTCCGTGCCCTCTATGAGCTGGTTGCAGGCAACAGCCTTCGCAGTGAAGGAAAGTCAACCGGCGCTATCGAAGACCGAGTTTCTACTTTCGTCTTCTCTGAACAGTTCCACCTGGACTGGCTGCAGGCTTTCGGTCTGCGTCTTTGGTACAGCGTCACCGAGGATGAGCCAATTGAGGCTGCTGTCGCTAAATTCCTCGATGATCTCGCCACTGGTATTGAACCGGCATTCCCCCACCCCCTCAGTGCTGGTTCTCGTCCATCGCCACAACCTGATTCAGATACTCTTGGTCGTGAGTCCCCGCTCTGGGTCCTCCTTAAGGCCTACTCGGCAGCCAATGGAAGCACCAAGGTGCCGACTGTTGAGCTCCCCGCAGCCCTTCTGCCAGAATCGTTGTCAGGTGATATCCTGACCAACCGGCTCTCTTTCCAACTTCACCACGTTCTGTCCACCGTCCTGGGACAGATCGATGCTATTAAAATTAATCAACTCCAAACCGATCGCCTTGTGCGCGACTATGCTTCTGAGATTACAGCATCCGGAGACCTCGACTCGGCTTTATTTATCCTCCTGCACCTCTCGCAGCCCGAGGACCGACAGCGTGCTGTGCAAGAAACTCTTGCTCGCTTCGCTGCTCACCTCCCAGGACCTAATGCTGGCGATAGCTCGGAACCCGACCCAACTTGGGTCTATCTAACTCATGAGCTGCAACTCCCAGAGGCATGGCTCTGGGTTGCCAAGGCTCTGTTCGCTCGCTACAGCGGCGATGCCACCCGTGAGGTCGATTTCCTCATCCACGGCAAGCACTGGAACGACGCCCACGCCACCTTCTGCCGCGTCGTGGGGCCTACCGCCGTCATCTCCCGTGATTATCAGACCCTCGAAAGTCTGATCACTGGTTTCGGCGATAATCCTGAGCGCAAAATCCGCGGCTGGTCATCCGGCGGCGGCATCTACGAAGACTTCTTGCGCCTGGCAACCGCGCCCCGCGGCCGACGCGACGTATCTCGCATAGGCCGTCTCGTGTACGCCCTTGTGTCGGTGAAAGATCGCGTAAAGGGCGTCTCAGGTCTAGATGGCCTTGAAGAACGCGTAGCTTTCAAAGAGATGAGCCGAGCCGTAGCAGGCTGGATCACGCAAGAGGGAGTTCAAGTCCGTTTTCCCCCTTTCCCACTTTATAACTGAATTTCGAATTGAGCTAACATTCCTCTTTTTCTAGGATATCGATTCCGCCGCAGTTCTCAACCTGCCTTTGACAGTTAGCTCCCGTATCGCGCAGACAGTAGAGTTGAGCCGTCGTTACTATGGAACTATCATGGCTGGAGGAGTTTAGTCTTGATGTCATTTCCAGTTGTCGTTACTATTCTATGAGTACGACCATTACTGGTGGGAGTTTAGTTTTTAAAGTATCTCTTAGAGATGTATGGCATCCCCTTTTTGAGCGTCATCTATTTTTTTTTTTTAGCTCAGAACTTCTTTCCCTTACCAGCTGTGTTCGATGTGAAAATGTATTCTATTGATTGTTTCAACATCGATCTCTTAAACACTTGTGCATGTAGATTTAAATGTAGTTTGCTCACTTGGTGCTTAGAATCAAGCACATTTGCCAAACCCCCGAAATCTGGACTATATCCAGTTATATATAGTAGCGAAGTACCCGACCTCCAGTGCCTTAGAGCTAAGACTAGACCTCGAAAGTTTTCTAAGTCTCATTTGCTAAACGAAGTAGACCCCTAGATCCAAAGCTTAAATTTCAAAAAAGCTGTTACCTCTAAATCAAGAAAGGAGTTGAACAGGCTGAACTCAGTTGCTTGACCAAGTCCCCAACGCATCCGACGTTTGGTGCCTTAAATTCGGCCCTTTTAACCTAAGGCAGTACCCGAAATCTGGTGCCTCACAACCAAAAACCTCCAATTTCCGGTACCCGCAGGCTGAACTACCCAACAACTTCCATTTCCATTATCTCATTTATTCTCCCACTGTCCGTCGCCAAAACCAAACATCTGATTTCTCACATTCAATTTTTTCTTTCATTTTTCTTTCTCAGCCTTATGATGGAGGTAAGCCACTTGTCCTGAAACACCCAGACTTTGGATCATCGACTGGGATGAGGCCGGGCTGTTCCACGAGCCATCCGAAATTGGTCATATCTGATCTGGTTGCAAAGTGATTGGGGCCCCCAATTATGAGTGGATAGAGGAGATGGAGAAGTATCAGCACCACAGCAAAGACTCGCCTGGAACCCTATCTCTACCTCTGTCTCTCGTCTTGTAGAGGACACAGTCTCACCCACCCCTGCTGGGTGTGGTTCTTGAGTGCGTTATTGCAAGAAATTTGCAAGAAACGAGGAGTGAAGCGTACATAAAGTAGCCAGGTTAGAAACCACACTTCCAAATACAGTGTTTGTTCATAGTCAGCAATACCCAGGAAAATGAAGAAGAAGTCTTGATATAGTTCTAAGTGGGTCAATATGGAGAACGCTAAACTCGAAGCGTGTAAAAGTGGAGAAGGCTTTTTACGCGGCAAGAACAAATTCTCGACCACAAGTCACGTCTGCCCAGCCTTTCCTAGAGTTATCCACAAACTGCCTCTTCCAAACCAAAATCGATAAGGAGAAAGTTTTGAATTCTATGATTCGATCAATTTTCACTGGTCTACCGGCGCATGTCGCCCGCCCGACCTCGGCGCCAATCGCAATCTTCAAGAACCAATTCACCCAACCAATATGGCAATACGCTGTACGCTAGACTTCCAACTATACCACAGCCAGAATAATGATATAACTAACACAAAATCCACCAGAATGCAACGCCAGCTTCCCTCCGAGCCACCCGCCCTTTCTCTAGCACATCCCCTGTCTCGTTCACAGGCTCCTCAATCAAGAGCTCCTCACCTTTCCGCTTCTCCTCCGACAAACATGACGAAATAGAGTACCCGGAGGATGATCCGTATAGCGCCTACCCGCCAAAGCGACATTGGCCCCCAGACATGAAGAAGCTTTCGCCGAAACACCAATTTCGCCTAGAGCGCAAGTACCGTCGGCGCGCGGCGCTGAAGTATGCGCGGCCCAAGTTTATGAAGTTCCTCACAATTGCTCAGTGGGGTGTTATTGGATGTCAGTCATACAGAAAGAGATCTCGTTCTAGCGCGCGGATCCTCGATATATGGAATTCATGACTAATTGAGTCCAATTATAGTTGTCGTTGTTTATGCAGTCCTTCTCATGGAATGGGACACCAAGGATACACCGTTTGACGGGGTAAGTACATTTTTCCTACAATCCTTGGATATATTGATCTAACAGCCTCTTCTAGCTCCGAGAAAAGTTCTTCGCTGGATTGCGTTCGATATTCTCAACGCCTCCGCCTCCAGGTCCCCTGAAAAGCGCCAATAAAGATGGTCCGGTTTCCCAAGAGAAGTAGTTGGAAGAAGCACTTTTATATCTCCAAATGCCACATCAGGCATTTAATTTGTAATAGTATCGTATATACAAGTATAAAGAGTCTCCGACAAACTCCATACCCCGAGTTTACGTGACGATATTAGATCTTTTTTCAAGATTGGGCTGATCTTGGGGAGGCATTATACAATTTTCCCAGGTACTTCTCGGAAGACTATCCTCAAGTTCCTTCTCTAGACTTTCGTGGGCAGAAATGTGTTGCTGATTCTCTGTAATCGTGACAGATCTATGCCAAATCAGATGCATAGCCAACGAATTCATGAAAATAGAACTATACGTACGTCGGGTTATCATTATTGTCTTTCGTCTTAGTACCAGCAGCAGCGGTCAACTTGATAGTTTTTTCGCTCCTGTTCTTGCGCGGCCGTCCACTGCGAGGGGCAGTTTGATTATTGACGCGGAATTTCTCGCGCCTGACTGTTGATTTGATGGTCGAAATTGGAATGTCGGGGTATTGCTCGTGAATTTGGCTGTATGACCATTTAGCTGTGTTTTTGAGTTCACAGATCCGGGTTCGCATGAATGGGTCAAGTTCGCGTTTTCGGCGTGTGGCAGGAGGACTAGTTACCATGGCGTTGTTGTTGTTGAGGTTGAGGCGTGGTGTGGTTAAACTATAAGTCTGAACCTGGCTGCAAGCGTGGCGGTGGGGGCATGGGGACTCAGACTTTTGACATTAGGCAGAATATTGTACTTTTCACGCCGCCTTCGTTACATAGGGTTCTAGACTTTTTATAGGGAATTGATATTCCCACGACTCCCTGCCTTATTGATTGGGCATCAAATCCGCACTCCCTTCCGCTTTACTTACCGCTCCACCGCCTTTTATCATACAGGGCTTTAAAAGCGCTCAGAGTGGTGACAGCACTCAGAGTGCTTCTCAAAGACCTGTTCGGAATAAAAGGAAAATTTAGGAGACTGATAAGGAATATCATCTGTAGATAACTCAATAAACGTGCTTCAAATGCTTCAAAATAAACATGTAATGCGATACCGTAAAATATAATCTTTAGTGTGCAAACCAGAATATAAAACGAAGCAAATACAGGAATACTAGTTCAACATGAAATTTTTGTTAAGGGAATTTGCAGTAAATATGGCCGGAAATGTAAGTTGAGGCTGACAAATACATAAATTTAATTCTGGCAGAATATATGGCAGAATGAATAATGTCGTTGGTGCCTTAAAACTTTAAGAATAAGAAGACCCTTAAGCTGATCGCAAAAACCGCAGATTACATAGTATAACCGCGACCCACTTTTACTATAAACGCCCTCCACTTCGTGTCGTTTTCTACTTTCCAAACCTTCACCCAGCTTTTTGCTTTACTTCGTGCCGCTTTCTTACTGCTTCCCGCTGCTCGCCTGCTGCTTTCAACCTTGGCAGATCCATGAGCTCTGAAGTCTATTGGAATCCTCTCGCAGCGCTATAAGCACCATCTCTTTCGGATTTGCCAAGTCGCTGGAGTTAGAAGAGGCCATTTCCTCTTCCTTTTCCCTTGAAGCCGCTTTCCTGTCACTATCCTCTGTGCGCCGAGTCATGGCGGATACTTATGGCTCCAAGACAGTCATTCAACTTAGGCAGGAACTTAGGGATCGCAAACTCCCAGTCAGCGGTCTCAAAAGTCAGTTGATTGCAAGACTTCGCGAACACGACCAGACGCGCTCGGACCATGAGCCTCATCTCAACATATTATCAGTCGCACCTGACCCTTCGGCACCCTTATATCGCCACCAGAGATCACTTCAGACAGTGATTGATTTTGTTCCAAAGCAACAGCTAAGCCAATCGCAACGAGATCAAGCCACTTACTTTATGAATGAACTCTGTAATATGTATGGTATGTCGCAGCTTGTGGGAAATGAACCATTCAAGAGCTACAAGCCTGCAGCTCTTGTTACTGCTTTATTACAATATAATCCTAGTACTCAATCACAGGATGAAATCTTTAAGACTCTACTACCCTTTCTCCACGAACAGCTCACCGAAACCGAAGATCCTAGCCCGAATCCCCGGCCGAGCTTTGATCACACTCTTATATATTTAAATGCGTCTTTAGGCAATAAGGATGACCTCTGCCGCGCACTTGAATCCTTTTCTGCCTTCATGATCCATAATTTTTTCCTGCCTAGTATGTTATTCCTTTTACCATTCTATTTTGTTTTATTAATGTAAAAACAACAGTCAGAGCTCGTGGAGGAAAAACTGAGCAGCCTACACCAATATTACTACAAGCTGATCAGAGCGAAAGTAACGTCGGAACAACCAGTCGGTTGAGCAGTCTTCGAAAAAAGTGTCTATACCGTGATCACCACCGTTGTGTCATTTCACGTCTATTCGATAGAACAGAAGCCCGAGTCCGAGCAAAACAGAACGATGGCGTCGTTTTTGATGATGATGGTATTCAAATCCAGAAATTCATTGAGATGGATAATCTAGAGATTGCTCATATAATTCCACACTCGCTGATGTCAAGAGCCTCTACGGATGACAATCTGGTATGTTCGACTTATGAAATATTATACCAATCGACTTATGAAATATTACACTAATCATACTTATCCGTTATTTAGTCTGAAATCCGGCAAAACGCATGCAAGATTTGGAAGATGTTCGATATTGATGCCATTCATCTTCTTGAGGGCTCAGGCATCGACAGTCCTCAAAATGCCCTTACTCTCACCCACTCCTGTCATTTGTCGTTTGGAGAATATGAAATTTACTTTGAAGCAGCGAACCCCCCAAACGGGTATAGGATTCGTCATGTGAACGAAGGTACTATATTTGCCACTGATTTGTTTCCTGTTGATCGTGACCTTTTTCTTCACCCTGATAAATCCGTTGATCCACCAGAGTATACAGGCGGCGGGGTGGCAGGGTCGACCCCGCCACCCTACCACCCGACGAACTTTTCGTCTTATCGGCCAATAAAAACTCTGTATTTCATTTTTTGTGGGTAATATGATACATCATAATAAGTTTGTCGGGGAGCTAAAAAAAAAAGGTCGTCGGGTAGTGGTAAATAGCCATCTTATGTGGTAATATGCAAGATTTGACTTATGGTGCTTCAACCCTACCACCCCGCCACCTAGCTTCAATTTTCGATAATTTACCAGGAATTTGTAAAATGTTTCTTCCTTCATTCAACAATAAAACAGTCAACTCAATTCAGATTTTGATAATATAGATATAATTATTAAAGGAATTCCCAAGAATAATACTTTGGAACTGGTTTTAGGAACTTATTATCATTTTTTGGAGTTTTCATCTAAAATTATAAAATTTCATAACAATATATCTATATCTGTATATATATCTGTAGACTGTATCTATTTACATCTCAGTCCTTGCAAATCGATTCCTATCTTTTACCATCTTTTACTGATCCTTACCATTATTTACTAGATTTTATGATTTCTTGAAACATATCAACTATTATCTTTCCAAATTAAATATAATATCTTTATAAATCTTAATTTTAAGGATATCTGTATAAAAATAAACATCTTAAATAGTCTTTTCTTAAATCACTTGATATCAAAAACCTTAAAATTAAAATATTAAGCACTAAGCACTAATCACTAAGCACCATTATACTACTATTGTAACAGGTTGAATCCTGGTGAACTATCACGTGGTTGTACCACGTGACCCACCAACCGCATACCTCACGATTCCACCCCGAATTGTTTACGTTCTTCAAGGATTTTGTAAACAGCATGTGCCTAGCTAGTTCTGAATTCAAGATTAGCTTTAGCCCTTCACAGCCATAATTATAAAGATTCTTAAGAAAGTGAAGGCAAACAGAAATGAAAAAAAGAGAAATCTGTATAAATAGAAGAGAATTTGTGGGTTCATAAATTGAATTATGAGAGATCATATTCTTAGAAATTAAGCGATATATATAGAGAAGTATAAATAGATAAAAAAAGCAAATACCTAAATCTTCAGTCTAGTAAATAATGGTAAGGATCAGTAAAAGATGGTAAAAGATAGGAATCGATTTGCAAGGACTGAGATGTAAATAGATACAGTCTACAGATATATATACAGATATAGATATATTGTTATGAAATTTTATAATTTTAGATGAAAACTCCAAAAAATGATAATAAGTTCCTAAAACCAGTTCCAAAGTATTATTCTTGGGAATTCCTTTAATAATTATATCTATATTATCAAAATCTGAATTGAGTTGACTGTTTTATTGTTGAATGAAGGAAGAAACATTTTACAAATTCCTGGTAAATTATCGAAAATTGAAGCTAGGTGGCGGGGTGGTAGGGTTGAAGCACCATAAGTCAAATCTTGCATATTACCACATAAGATGGCTATTTACCACTACCCGACGACCTTTTTTTTTTAGCTCCCCGACAAACTTATTATGATGTATCATATTACCCACAAAAAATGAAATACAGAGTTTTTATTGGCCGATAAGACGAAAAGTTCGTCGGGTGGTAGGGTGGCGGGGTCGACCCTGCCACCCCGCCGCCTGTATACTCGATCCACCATCCCCAAAGCTTTTAAGTGTTCACCGAGCTATTGCAAAGATTCTTAAACTCAGCGACGCAGGGGATTATATTACAGGTATCATTCGCGATATTGATGATGTCGATGAAGTCGGCATCGAAGAGGATGGCTCAACGCCCCTTGGGGAAATGGTGCATCTTCGCATCTTGTCCCATTAGGGACATATGACCCGCTAGGTCTTTATCATTATACTATTCACACAGACAATACGATCATCTTTACCTAGGTATTTTGCTTTGTTCGAACAACAAGTAGCTTGCCCCTCATCCTGGTTCGTCGAGTTCTCCTGGAAGCATAAACTATAAGATATTCGAGCAAAGTTTCATGAGATGCTGATCCGGAGGAGAACATTGATATCTCGAGTATCGATATCGCAGATACCAAATACGATGATACCGAACGGCTTTCTTATACCCGTCAAAGGCTTAGAAGTACCTAACCTTGGAAGTATATGCAGTAATAAGAGCAGAAGAAGGTCTTTAAAAAGATATTTGTAGCAATTTAATTGATTTTATTCTCATTTATGTCATCGGTCATGGACTCCCAAAGACACAGGTGCCCTCCAGTTTTCGTAGCGAACAGAGATGAGATGAATATAAAGACAGAGCATCAGTTCTGGCATCAATCTTTCTCTGAATTCCCAACCTGCACCATGACTTGTCTTCATAACATCATGTCTGTACTTAATTTGTAACACCAATCAACACCACGAATGCCAGAAAGTCCAACATCAAAATCCCAAAATAAGACTCCACAAGACAGCTCAGAAACTGGAGATGATACTAGCCTTTCATAAGTTAAACCACAACGCCTAATCATGAAACGTAAAAAAAAAAGTTCAAAGGAGGAAAGAAAACATGAGGTAGAAAGAAAAGAACAAGAAATCATCAGTGAAGGAACGGTAAATATCAAAGCCAGCTGCGAAGGTCACTCGATGGGGTTTCGGGGCCAGTTGGGTTGTAATTTTCGGAGAAATCAAATCCGAATCCTAGATTCAGTTGTGGTGGCTTCTCATCGACAAGACCCTTTTTTGGACTTCCTGGTGCCTTTTTGGGAGACTTAGTTGGTGATCCTGGTTCACTAGAACGAGAAGGGCCCTCGCGCACGTAAACGTAAGTCCAACCATCCTCGGCTGCTGCAGCGACCCAAGTTCGAAGGCACTCATGAACAGAGGAGTAAAATTTCTCCTTACAGGTGCGAAGGGTGGCCCCCATAACCTTCTCAAAGCCGGAAGCACGCAGATCCGCACGAAGCTGGTTGCGCTCCTCAACAGTAGGTAGCAAGGAAATCAAGCCACTCATCAGATCAAGATGAGCAGCCAGATAGTTGGTTGCATCCCACTCAACGCCGCCTACGTATGGGGCTGCAGGCACAGGCGGACGAGGTAGAGGGAAATGTCGCTGTGCATATGAACCTCCTCGTATTTCAACAAAGGTGTCATCCGATTGATAATTCTTTTTGGGTAGTGGAATGACGTTAAGGTGGTGTAAGAAGATCCAAAACACTTCTTTTGTCACGTTAGTTACTTCTTTGCACCAGACCCGATAGGGACGAGACTGATATATGTCAGCAATAAAAGCCACAGGCTGCTTGCCTTCTGTTGGAGAAGGATCTCGAAGGTAGGAAAGGATTCGCTTGGCTCGTTGAGCAGGCATCTCACTCGGAGACCCATCAGCAAGCTGAGTGAAAAGAAGGTTGATGATGATGCCACGAGTGGTGAATTCACTCGGGCCCTTCTTCTCCTCGTCAAACAGCATTTTAAGCAGCGCAGGGAATATCTCTCCCTCAATGCTGGCAAGCTGTGCCAGAGCGATGGAAGTGGTGCATAGGCCCTTCAGACATAGCAACGCCTCATGGAGTAGTGTGTCCTCGTGATCCTCTCTGCGAAATTTATTAGTAAGTGCCTGAAAATAATGGAATCGAGGATACATACCGCCACTCCATTTTCATAATACGATAGATAAGCTGAACAATTTCATCCATGCCTCCTTCGGTGATGAAGCCGTTGACCCAACTGACTGTTTCGTTGCGAAGAAGGAGACGTAGCTTGTGCAACTTTCCAACTTCAACCATTTCTGGTTTCTGAATTTCTCGTAGGTAGTGCACAAAGTCGGAAGGATCCGCAGCTGTATCCACGGCGGCTACATCTGAGAAGGATGCAACAGAACCACCAGGATGAAGAGTCGTGTACACACCTACAGGCTGAGACAAATCCACCGACCGCGGACGATGAAAGCTACCTCCGCTCTCTGGGCGTGGCTTTTTGCCGGGAGATGCAGAGCCTCGCAAGGTAAAACCATGATTTCTAGAGTGAGATCGAGAGATTTTACGATCTTGAGGGCGGTCATCTTTTGATTCATTTCCACGTCCACGACGACTGCTGTCGCTGCCATTCGCACTGTGAGGAGTGCCATTTTCAATTCGATCCTTCTGGATGAAGTCAGCCTTGATGTTGGTATCAAGAGATCGCATCTTGTCACGCATGTTGTGAGGAATATTTCTAGCATCCTGCAACGAAGTTAGTCTCATAGCCATAGGTAAATACATTTGTGAGCACATACCAGCAACTTCTCAAATTCATTTTCGAGATCTTTCGAGTCAAGGTGTTTCTTTACATCCAAGTCCTTCTCCTTTGCATTGAAGACAGATATTGCAGCCTGCACTCGAGATATTTTCTTCGGGCTGTGTTGGTTTTCCTTCATTGGAGAAGGCGAGCCGACAGATTTGGTGGGTGAAGGTGGGCCAGCTGATTTTGTAGGAGAAGGTGGAAGAGGCATGTTCTTGGCTCTCTCAAACATGGACTCTCTGGGGGAAGCAACACTGACTCGATCAACCGCTACTCTATCGTCAAATGAGTTTCGAGGGATATTGAGCGTCATTGCGTTCAGATTTCGGCTACTTTGAACGTATTCCGACTTTGGTCGGTGCTTTCCTTCACCCGTTTTCGAAAGAGATGGCTGCTGGTAATCACAAAAGTTGCGTTGCTGAGCTGGACTGTAGCCCTTGGGTGTGTAGAGCTCAAGCTCTTCTGCCACACTTCTCCGGTGGCCCGCTGTGCTTGCTGTCGAGCTTTGATGAGGTTGATGCATAGGCGGAACATATAGTGGGTTCGTGCCTTGGGGCCAAATTGGGGATGGCATGCCGTCGACAAGATCTATGGGGCTTCTGTTCTCTTTGTCACGACTGAGCTTCTGGCCATCCTTCTGGCCATCACCTTTGTGTCCACGCTGTGATCGCTTCAGGATGGCCGAGAGACTGGCTGTAGATTTGGTCTTCTTTGGCTTTATCTCATCTGACCCCCGACGTGGGACGTCCTCAGACCGAGGATCCTTCCGCTCCATGTAGCTCTTCAGTGATTTCAGAGAGACAGAACTCTTTGTCTTTTTGTGCAGCGCACCCTTACCTGGCTTTGGTCCGGGTTCAGAGGCTAGACCGTCGTTTCCCCAAAAATCGCGGTTAGGAACTATTTCGGACAATGGGAGGTGGCCGGGCTCAGGCGCAGGCTGCTGTGTCCATGGGAATGGTGCATGTTCATTTTGATTGATGCTGGACTGTTGTGGAGGCAGTTGATGCGGGAGTTGTTGAGGCAGTCGCGGAGACTGTTGTGGAGGTAGTCGTGGAGACTGTTGTGGATTCCTCGCAACATCGGCAGACTGTTGTCTTTTGTGCTGCTTGGACATTATGGAGCGAAATACCGACGACCGGGCGGGTCCACGACTCGCATCATCAAAGATCTGAGGGCCAGAAGTCTTGGAAGCCATAGCTATCACCTTTGACCAGCAACTAGGTCTAAAATATCAGCGCCCAGACTCGAACGGGTAGGGACAGGTTGCACTCACGGACAGGTCGTAACAGAAACAAGCTAGAAAAGAAAGAAAAAATAAGCAAGGAAATCTCGGGCAGTCCCAAGGTATAGCCCAAGGAGAACCTTGGAAAGGAACAACAGCAAGAACAAAAGGTGAACTGAGGAATCAACTGAAGAAGAAAGTCAAGAAACCGGGCAGTCGGGTATTTTTGAGTGTCTTGCTTTTGTCGGCAACATCGAGGATATGATCTCCGCTTTGAGTTTGGACCAAGTAGCTAGGCCAACTAGCGTAGTGAGTTGATCCTTCCAGGGTTGGGGTTGGTTAAGTTGCGAGTGGGGAGTAAACAACGTGCGGATGATGCGGTTGCCAGGGGCAACAGGAGCAGCTGGCGGTCAAACGTGCATTTAATCAAGACATGTCATCTCGCATTAATATGCATTACGATTATTGAGTCTTACTAAAGACCTAGGATCCGACTCTGGGTGGATTAATCTCTGTGAATATAGATGTGATATTGTGATAGACATCGGTTCGATATAGAAGTACATAGTAACTCGATGTAAACAACCCTCACACGAGGAGAGAATAGTAGATTTCAAATTGTTCAAATTGTTCCAGTTCACCATATGTAAGTTAATTAGTACGAACTACAGATCATTCCAATATTGTTCTAACGGCTTTGTTTATGTTCGATAGGCTATGATCCTGGTCGTTTCAATTTTTATACTTCATTCTGTGGGTCCGGGCAACAACATCACTTTCTTCTACGTCGTATATCCATTCATCCGAAGCCCCATGGCTTGATATTGTACGCTCATAAGTTTAGTCAGAGGAATATTACAACAAAATATCGGCCGAAGGTGCCCAACTTCGCCTTTTACTTGACGTCCTTGGCAAGCCCTGCCAGGATAGGCCTGTTCAAGTTTCGTCTCAAACATTATCCTATTCAGCTCCATATTTCCACAGAGTAATCTTACTCCTTGTCTAGACGGGATCCAATATATCCCAAGGTTGAATCCATTGAAATTAGACACATTCAATACTTGTTTATTATGTTGTTGATCCATGGATGTTGATATTGATGGTCAAGGGTTGAGGGAAAAAGTTTTGCATTTCCCCGCATGACGATCATGTACTCCAGAGAGCTCCAGGCCTTATTCCAAAGAACTTAGAATATACTGAGACATACATATCCCAATAAACTACTATTCATATTCCTTACGTATTAATGTTGCGGTGTTCCATACTTGGCAAAATCCGTCACAGAATCATGATCAACGTTTTCTTTTCATCGTCTTTATTCGGGCAGATTCGGATTGCCCCACAAGGTCCTCGGCTGACTACCAGAAAATGATCACCGAAAAATGATCACAAATCTGCAAGGACCTCCTAGTCAAGCAAGATCTAGAACACTGACAGGGGTGCTCACTCATCCCACAATGAACTGCCCCTCGCGAAATGACGAGACTTGGGATCACCCAGACTGGAATCAGAGTCCGCCACTATTTAGCTCGGACACAACCTCTCGCAATGATTTCAACGGCATTGTCAATACCAGAGCTCATCGTTCAATCGCCGCTAATGCAGGGCGTAGCACTAGTAATGACACGTTATCTATTGACCACCGACCGCATATTTGCGAAGATCAAGGACCCGGCAATGAGAAGACCCTAGACGGAGAAGTGATCGCTGATACTTCCAGAGTTCAACCACTCTCGAAAATCAGTCGGTCATTTCTCCGCTCTTTCAAAAATCATGTTACTTCATCAGCTGTGCACTGGGCACATAGTCTGATTAAGTTCGGCCGCTTTATCGGCCCGGGCTTCCTTGTCGCTGTCGCTTATATAGATCCTGGTAATTACTCTACGGATATTGCGGCCGGTGCAGAATACAAATATGCACTATTGTTCATTGTTCTCCTTTCTAACCTATTCGCAATTCTTCTCCAAACTCTCTGCATCAAGCTGGGTTCCGTGACTGGTCTCAACCTCGCCGAGAACTGTCGCAAGCATCTACCGCGATGGATGGTATGGATCCTTTATGTCCTTGCAGAAGCAGCAATTATTGCTACCGACATTGCAGAGGTATGGGTACTATCGATGGATATAACGAGATCTATCACTAACGCTTTAAAAGGTCGTTGGTTCTGCGATTGCGCTGAATCTCCTCACACCAAAGATTCCTCTAGTAGCTGGATGCGCTATCACCTTAGCGGATGTCTTTTTCCTTCTTCTCTTCTGGCAGCCGAATGGGTCTATGCTCGGTCTGCGTTTATTCGAGTTCTTCGTCATGGCGCTTGTAATGGCTGTCGTTGTCTGCTTTTGCATTCAACTCTCCCTGATAGAAAATCAGTCTGTGGGAGAGGTCTTCCGAGGCTATCTACCCTCATCTGCTATTGTAAAATCGGAAGGGTATGTATAGCCACTTCTTATCTGTACCTACTGACCAAGATTACTTATTGGGACGTTTATAGCATCTACCAAAGTTGTGGTATTCTCGGTGCTACAGTCATGCCACACTCTCTCTTCCTTGGCAGTGGAATAGTCCAATCTCGCCTGAAAGACTTTGATGTCACTACAGGCTATGTCCAATCTACCGTGCCTCTGGGCAGTAATGGTGGTGAAGTAGAGTATCGACCCTCCATCCATGCAATACGTGCCTGCCTCAAGTACTCTGTCATTGAGCTGGCACTATCCCTTTTCACCTTCGCCCTCTTTGTCAATAGCGCCATTCTCATTGTGGCCGGTGCCTCTCTGTACGACGTTCCTGGCGGCTCATCTGCCGATCTCTTCGGTATCCACAATCTACTTTCAGCCTCCGTCGCTCCAGCTGCCGGTCTAATATTCGCCCTGGCCCTCCTTCTTTCGGGTCTATCCGCCGGTCTGGTGTGCACAATGGCAGGGCAGATGGTGAGCGAAGGCATGCTGAACTGGAGAACCAAACCCTGGGTACGGAGACTTATCACCCGTACAATCAGTATCATACCCAGTATCATTATTGCGGCAGCTGTCGGTAAGGAGGGGCTGGATAAAACTCTTAATGCTAGCCAGGTTGTGCTCAGTGTTATCCTACCTTTCGTTTCTGCCCCGCTGGTCTGGTTTACTTGTTTTAACAACTACCTGACTGTCCCTGCTGAACGGACTGACGAAGCTGATGGCGAGGTTGAGGTGCAGCAGATCTCGATGCGGAATCATATCGTGACTTCCGTTGTCACTGTTATCGTGTGGCTCATCATCGTTGTGATGAATGTGGCTCTTCTCGTTTTGCTCGGAATGGGCAAAACATAAACATGCATTGCATTGCTTCCTCGAGCGAAACAAAATATAAAGACCCATCTGAGCTCTGGGGTCAATCTTGTTTTCATTTAATCTCAAAGTTTTGCTACTAGTTACTTCTTAATCTCTCTCTTTCCATCTCGTAATAGTCAAGTAAGTGCATATTTGTGGGATATGAAAGATGTTTTTGGCTCATAAAGGGCTATTAAGAAACCTAGCATAGAACAATAAACCGGTTCAACTCCATAGGCTATACTAGAAACACTTCTCAAAGGACTAAAACGATTAACCCAAGCCGCCAGCCGCCTCTTTGACCATGGTCTGCTCCGGAGGCTCATCAATAAACTGCGGCGGCGCCACCTCATCCTGCAAGAAACTGGGCATAGCATCCTCACCAATACCCGTATCAAACATAGACTCCTCACCTAAAGCCTCAAGCTCAGCGTCCAAGTCCGCCTCATCAACCTCTTCAGGCACATAATAAGCGCTCGAGATGCTCTCCTGAATCTCATTGCCAACCTCCATCAAATCAGCCATCTCGTCCTGCATGCGCTCGATCTTGTCAATGTCAATCTTGCCATATTGCCTCTTTAGCTCTTTGGTGGTTGTTTTCATCGTGTCCACGGTCGTCATAACGTTCTTCAGATTGTCCTGCATCATGCCGGCCTGTTCCATGTTCCATGATTGCTGGGAGAGCTGGTCGCGCTGGGCCTCGTATTGTTTTCGGCGTTGTAGGACTTTCAGGGCCTTCTGGCGGAGGGCTTGCTTGCCAGGCCCGTCGCGCATTTTGGAAAGCTTGGTTTGGTAGGCTGTGAGCTCTGAATTAAGGGCGGTAAGTTTGACGTCGATGCTTGAGACGCGGTCGTCTAACTGAGGATGGGATTAGTATCCGGGCAGGCTTTTCAGGCGTTGGTGTCAAGTATGGGATTGCCTGAGTGTGTTTACCTTGCTGATTGCACCATCCAGAGTTGGCTTAGGCGCCGTGTTCTTCGTGCCGAAGAGACGATTCATAGTGACGGTGTGGAGCTGAGGATGTGAGGAATAGAGGTGGTTAATTATTTTTTTCCTTGTAGATGGGTGGTAGCAAAGAGCCTCGGAAGACGTGAGAGAATAGTCCAAGTTCAAAGTGAGTGATCTTCTGAAGATCGGCCTTTACACAAAGTACTTCGCAGGCATCGACAATGCGGCGACGTCAGTGGGGCCCCACGTGATTGAAGATATATTCTACAACAAATCGAGAAGAGAGAAATTGGAGATTGAACTACGAGATATCACTCTCACAGATATAAACAAGATAGCAATTATACAGGAATATAAAACTAGGGAAAAGAATGAGAGAAATAGCCGGAAAGTCCAAGGTTTAGGGGAGTACGAAGTAGATTGGGCATAATTGGTGTAGCGAGTACATAGTACCTTCCCCCTCATCCCACTTAAGCTGGTGATACTTGTACCTGGTACATTTCACTTGTATGACTCTTCAAGTCTTCGATGACAGCATTGAAACAAAAATGCAAATGACAGATGATCGTAAAATTCAACACAAATAGTTAGAACATAAAATACACAATTATATAATCATGTCATGTCATTGCCGGCGTGACTTGATCAGACCCAACAAGCACGAGGTTGTCCAGCCTGCATTACGCAGGGAGCACACTGTGGTCCCTTCCCAACAAGGCTGATATCAACAACTCGTTTAAAGAGGAAGAATAAGAAATCAACGTTAGAACCTAGATTCTCCGATACTAGAAACATTGTGTTAGATTGTTAAATAAGTAGAATCAAGTCAAGACCAAAATTGCATAATGCCTTTGTAATCGCCGAAGCGACTCTTATCTGCCGTGCGATCCCCGTGCAATTAATGAGTGTCCACTACCTAGGTAACTAACCACACTACCCTCAGGTTTCAAGCTCTCATCTTTCTACCCTTTTCCCACCACTCCTACTTCTTAATCCCTGGATGGATGGTAGTTGAGAGTTATTACCTTTCTTAATCTGTGAAACTCAAGCCCCCCATTTCTGCCTTTCTTCAAACCCACACCGGAAAGTGGAATTCCGTCCCGAGCTCCCCTCCTCTTCCACTCGTCATACTCTTTGCGGAGGTACGTACCACTGCCAATCTGATCTACCCAACCTCCTCTCATCCTTTCAAATTCTCCCTCACTTGCTTCTGCGCCGATCTAGTGAGAACTGGTCCTGTTAGGTCCAGCCGCTTCTTGGATCCACACCATCTGCTCCGTAATTGATGCAATCAAGGCCGCGATCGCTAACACCCCAAGCGTTAGATTCGCTTGGAGATCCATCTGTTCTCCTCTATTTACAATCATCTTGCACTCGGCGCAGTGGTCGAGGTTTGACACCCCCGGCTCCGGCTTTTCGCGATCCTATCGGTCTGCGTGTGTGTGCACGCGCGACGTTGCGCCTTGCGGGCGAAAACTTCCATCCCATCCCACCTGCTCAAAATCCCCCACCCCGGAATTCCAAAGTGCTCTCAGATTTAGGATTTGAGATCGCAGAGACTTACGACTTGAAACGTCCCATGAAACGTACTTATCGCCCATATACTCCATCATGTTCTGGCGTTTTGGGGGATATGCGAGTATCTCCACCATTGATACCCTTCTCGACAAGCCCGAGGTCACTCTCGAAGACTTGCTGGATGAGCCGGAAATAATCCAGGAACTGAAACAGCATAATACAAAACTCATAGAATATCTACGCGAGGACAATGTCTTGAAACGGCTTATGGACTACGTGATTGCACCGAGCTTAGTTAATGATGATGATGACAATGATGACGACAATTCCAATCAGAAAGATGCCTCCCAGCACGCGAACATGACTTCTACCGCGGAGAAAACTGACGGCGAAGCCAAGGACGATCCTCTGAAGGATGTTCTGGGTCAGGAGTATCTGGACAAAATCGAGAAGAATCGATTGAAACATGCCTACATTGCGTGCGAGATCCTTTCATCGGAGAATTGGACTATCCTGGAGACCATGATGGAGAACACTTCTTATTTGCGCGACTTCTGGGGCTTCCTTCGACGATCTCCGCCTCTGGATTCTCTGCAGGCAAGCTACTTCACCAAAGTCAATGAAACTCTGCTCGATAAAAAGACTGAGGAAATGCTAGAATTTCTCAAGTCATTGGATGGCATTGTTGCTGCTCTGTTGCAGCACGTCGACAATCCCATGGTGATGGATCTTCTGTTGAAGATTATCAGCCTGGAAAAGGCCGAGGGCGGTCAAGGTACCGTAGATTGGCTGCAGTCTCAGGGCCTGATTCCCACTCTTCTGAGCTTCTTGGCTTCAAATTACCCTGGATCCGTGCAAACATCCGCCGGTGACTTCCTCAAAGCTATCATTACCATCTCTGCCAATGCGACTCCCAATGACCAGTCGTGTATTGGCCCTAATAGCCTGACTCGTCAGCTTGTTTCAACTCAATGCGTGCAGCAACTCATTGATGCCATGCTCAATGGCGGTAACCCGCTGACTGTGGGTGTAGGAATCGTCATTGAGGTCATTCGTAAGAACAATTCAGACTACGACCCCGAGCATATGGGTGGCCCTGATTCCATGCCCACACCCTACGACCCAATTTATCTAGGAAGCCTCCTTCGTCTGTTTGCCAAGCATATCCCCGACTTCATGGCCCTGATTCAAAGTTCACAGCATGCGGTTCATGATGGAACTCAGTTAAAGAACGTGGACCGGGGTCGTTTGAATTGCGCATGGGGAGACAAGATCGAGCCACTTGGCTTCGATCGCTTCAAAACTTGTGAGTTGATGGCAGAGCTGCTACATTGCAGTAATATGGGCCTCTTGAACGACCCTGGCAGCGACGATTATGTCCGGCATCGTAATGAAGAGCGTGAGCGATTGATCAGCGAAGGATTTTTCAATCCCCATCGGGATGAACAATCTGGAATGGATTACAATGAGACCACTGTGGACTTCACAAACGGATCAGCTTTTGAGGAATCGCCGGAGAATGCAAAGAGTGCACCTAGTGCTGGTGAGGAAGAGGGATTTGAGAATGTCAGTGCTTCAGGCGTGCTTAGCAGTGAGAAGGAGCAAGATAAGGAAGCCGTTGAAGATACTACTCCTTCAGAGCCCCAACAACCAGTGCCAGAGGAGATCAATCCCGAAACTCTCGTCAAAACCCCAGCCGAAACTTCAGCCGAAACTCCAGCCGAAGAGACTGCAACTAAGAGCGAAGACGCGTCGGCTGCTACCGACCTTACAGAGAAGATCGGTGACATTAAACTTGAAACTGAACCCGAGGCGTCTCCAGAAAAGGCGCAGGAAGAGACTTTGCTTTCTCCTCATTCTGAAGACATGCCTACTCCACTTTTTACCGCCACAGAAATAATCGTGGACTCGCCTGCTGAGAAACCAGAAGCTCCCTCCGCTGTCACTGAACCTGTACAGGAATCCGAGGGTGTCAATGACGGAGGTGCCGAGGATCCTGCCGATCAGTACATTCAATATGACACAGACGGTCGTCCTGTGGTTGGAGACTATCTCAAGATCCAGTTCGTTGAGAACAAAGTGGTTCCTACAATTCTTGTAAGTTGACTCATTGAATATTTAATGATATCATCTCAACTAACATCCCTAGGGGTTTTTCTTCCGCTTCCCTTGGAACAACTTCCTTCACAATGTTGTTTATGATGTGGTTCAACAGGTTTTTAATGGGCCTATGGAACGCGGCTACAACCGCGCCCTAGCGATCAATGTTTTTGAAGTTGGTAACATCACTACCGCCATTGTTACCGGCCAGAAGCGCAGTGATGAGACCCAGCGAACCCAACGCATCCGACTTGGCTATATGGGTCATCTCACACTTGTCGCCGAGGAAGTTGTCAAGTTCAGCGAACGACACCCACCGGAGCTGCTTTCCCGGTCCGTCATGGAGGCAGTGTTGGATCCGGAGTGGATTGACTATGTCGAGCAAACACTTTCCGAGACTCGGGAACGAGATAACGCCATCCTGGGTGGCGTACGGCCTGAGATGGCAGGCGCTTCTCGCCAGGTAGCTCTCAATTCTGTCGCCTCTGGCCAAGGATTTGGCAGTTCCAACGCCCTTGCAGAGGCAGGCTTGAATGGTGGCATCGGTGGCTCGGCTTTTCAAGGATTTGATCTAAACCAAGGGAGCGTATCTGGAGGTGCATTTGGTGGAGGCGGTGGCATGTCACTCTTAAGTGACTTTGCCAGCTCGAGTGACGACGAAGACGAGGATATGGAGGAGCATGACGAAAAAAACGCCGGTATTGCCGACAGCGGGGATTCTGAGAATGTGGGTGACATGTGTTAAGTGAACTACCTACATTATACCCCACTTTTGTCTTTGGCTTTGATGTGGGGGTGAGTTATGTGGCTTGGGACAAGGCTGGTTTGAGTTGAGCTGTGGAGAGTCTAGCAGTGGCTGAAAGGTCATTGATTCTCTAGAAATTGGTAGGCTTCTGTCTATGGTTTACTACCGTTGATCGTCTCACGCATGCTTTATCTCCTCCAGCCTTGGCCCTCTCATTTGAACACCCGCATCCCATTCAAACGTTTAGGCATTTCAATCTTCAGGAAACCGAATCTTGAAGTTTATATTCATGTTTCTTTCTTTTTCTGCTTTTGCATCATCTCGTTCCTCTTTTTCTCTCTCAATTTCCCCATCACTTGCGCACATTGGCTGACTCGATTTTTTCTAGACATCCTCGATTTCTGGGAGTCAGCCTATTCCCATATTGCCGCCACCCCCGGCTCCTCTGAGCACAGGCCCCTCCCGAGCTCGCCGTCAGTTGGCAGCACGCCTTGCTGCCCAGAAGCAAGCGAATGAGGATGTCGGACCTGAAGATGACGAGGACAAGGCGGATTGGAGCAGCAATCCATTTATCATTGCTGGCATCGATGATGATGCTGAAGGCAACTCTGCCTTCCCTGATAGCGATTTCGGAACACCTGCAGATGCCGATTTCTCTCCCACTTTCCCTGAAACCGCTGGGTTTAGCCCACCGGACGACTGCTTATCCAATTCCTTTGACGAAGATGGCAATGGACATGCTGAATCCATGAGGCGAAGTGTCCGTGTTCCTCTCGAAGTTGAGGAAGATGACGATGATGAAATGGGTGAGATGGTTGGCCCTACTGCTGCTGGCATGATTGATTCGGATGAAGAGGACGAAGCCATCATCAACGAATCCCTGGGATACTCCAACTTCCCAGGCCCTAGTCGATACTCTGGCTTCCGTCGTTCCCAGTCCGAAGGTTCACATTTTGATGACGATCAGAATGATAGCAGTGATGGTGAGGATGATGGGCTAGTGGAGATTCTAGTCCCGGGACGCAAATCCTCAACCTCAAATTAGTTAAATACCCGAATTGACTAACTAAGATTCTCCCTGTCCGCATTCACATTGTATCTTTCTCAATACATCCTGTATACGATGCTATATCCGTATTGTGCATTGCAGAGGAAAAAACACGTTATGGTTTTATGTTCGTGGGTGTCTTCTCCTTTCGTTGTTGTCCGTTTTTTTCTTTTTCTTTTTCCCTCATTGTAAATACCTTTCCATCGTTAGTCAATTCTCTGGGGGCGGGAGTCTGTTGACCGAGTTTGTTTGCATGGATATTTCTGTTTAAGCTATCGCATGCGTGGAGAGTATAGCTAGTCTATGGATTCGGTTGATTCTCCTTATTGGTATGATTTTGTACGATATATACGAGACGTCTAGAGAATGACCTCCAACTTACGATCTAACTGCAACCTTTTATCCTGTATATCTACCGGTATTTTTGCAAACATATCGAGGTTTATATCTCCATATACTTACTCTGTGTCGCCAATAAACTCTCGATGTCAGAATAAAAGTGGGCCATCCCGCCGAATCTTCAGCGGATCAACGGCCTTTATTAATTGATATTTTCCACCAACCTCGGGATTCTGGGTCAGAACTTTGAGATCGCCTAGGTATCTCCAATCCGAGAAGATATTGAAGTCATCAGTTCACTAAAAAAGATAAGCTATGTCTTCTGTTACAGAGTAGGTCAACATCCATGGATTGTGGTACCGAATGCCCCGCAAGCATTCCAACGTTTTAATATATCGACAACATTATCCTTTTATCACTTCCAGAGGTCTAACGGCAACACAGAAAAACGGATAGCCACTCTCTAGAAGCCCACAAAGCTCTAGTAGACTGGGTCATCAGCCATGGAGGCTCAATCGACGAAAGCGTCCGCGTAGCCCAGGATGCCTCACGAGGAGTGCATATCCAAGTGAAAGCCGATTGGCCAACACCTGTCTCCAAAGAGACACGAGTGATAAATACACCAATTACTGTGACAATGTCCTACTATAATGCAATCAACCACAGGTCCGCCAAGGGATCATTTCCAAACCGTGGTGTAGATCTTCCTCGCGCGTTCATTGACGCTGTTGGGCCCGAAGAGACGGCGGCGTTCTTCCTTATGGGCCAATTTCTGCTTGGGGAGCAGGGATTTTGGTTTCCGTATTTGCGAACTTTGCCGCAGCCGGGGCAATTGACGACGCCTTTGTTCTTTGGGGAAGAGGATGTGGACTGGATTCAGGGTACAGGGATCCCTGATGCGTCTGTGTTTAGATTTCAGGTCTGGGATGAAAAGTATGAGTCTTCCATGACTAAATTGGAGGAATTGGGCTTTGGAAATCTGGAACCGTTTACATGGTAAGTTGAGGCTTGACTGCGTTTCTCGGTCCATACTAATCTGTTGGCTTTATTAGGGACTTGTATCTTTGGGCTTCGACTATTATTACCTCGAGAGCTTTCTCATCAAAGGTTTTAGGTAGTGTCATTGATGAGTCTGATTCTCTAGATGGAGTGTCTGTTTTGTTGCCAGTCATCGATCTTCCTAACCACCGCCCACTGGCAAAGGTCGAATGGCGGGCAGGCGAGAAAGATGTCGGGATGATTGTGCTAGAGGAAGTTGCACCCGGCCAAGAGCTCTCCAACAACTATGGACCTCGTAACAATGAGCAATGTCTGTGGTATCGCGTTCCAACTATTTATACCCAGCACTAACATTATCTAGTGCTTATGAACTATGGATTTTGCATCCCCAACAACCCCACCGACTATCGCGTTGTTAAGCTAGGAGTCAAGTCTGACAGCCCACTCGGCCAGGCTAAAGCTCGTCAAATTGAGCTGTTTCCAGAGGCAGCCAAAAACACTGATGATCACTACTACATCTTTAACTTGTTTTATCCACTGCTGGATCCAAATGGCCCCATGGAACACTCGATTATTTCGCCAGCTTTGTTCAATGCTTTGACAGTGATGGAGGCAAATGAACGTGAGCGCAAGAAGATTGAAATCACTGACTCAAGTATCTCTATCCAGAAAGGCTATGGCAATAACCGTAGTACTCTCGCAGCATTGGCCCAAGTCTGTCTGGAACTCATGTCTCACATTAATCAGCTCCAGGTCACGGGCAGGGATCTACAGTCGCAACCAGGAAACTTGAAGCAAAGCTTTGCACAGATATACCGGAACAGTCTGTCCACAATAGACAAGACTGCTTTGATTATCGCGACTTGGGCTATGACACGGGCTCGAGAACAGGAGCGCAGCGAAAGTCGGGATGATACGGAGGCTTTACTGAATGAGTACTTGACCAAGATCCCGGCTGGCTATTTCTCTGATGAGACTCTGGCCCAGATCCGCACGCATGTATTAGAAAGACAGTCCATTATTCCAAAGAATGGTGAACTGTTCAGACTGCAGGAACTTTTTACGTTGCTACCGACAGAGCTTAGAGGTCCGGCCCAAAAATACTTGGCTCGCTTGTTGACGCCGCTAGAACTCGGCCCTGATTTCCTGTTTGCTCTTGTGATCTGTTTCTTTGTTGCTACTGCTCATACAACCGAACTGCGGTCGAAACTTCCATCGCGTCTAACACGATGGATGGACTTTTTAGTTGAGGAATACTCGCTCGAGGTTGGAAATGTACCGGAATCCCCGGCGAGGCAAGCTTTGAGACAGCTGTCCAATGGCAGACAGGAAATTATTGCAGCTGGTGCCGATGATGGAGTTACCTGGCTCACTTTCAACAGCGAATGGCTTGATGTACAATGGCTGCAATGGGCATGTTCAGTGGCAGAGGGAGAGCGGGTGCTGATTCCCTTCGACCCACTCCAAGTGCTGGTGAACGATGAACCGGCAATGGTGAAACAGGCAGTCTTGTATGTACCGCAAGAGTAACTGGAAGGAAATCTCATCATTTGAATTCCCTCAAGCCCATAGTTCATCGTAATTTTCAAATATACAAATATAAAAGAAGAAATATACAACGACTGCATCATTGGTCAGATCTAAAGAGCTACTTATGTCATCAAGGTCACATGACCTCCAGCCAACCACATCGCATGTAAAGGCGGATCGTTCAGCAAAGCGCAGGAATTGCCAATTGACAAGTGCCCGCGAAGCTCCCCCTTCCCTTCCTTTCATGACCGTTTGACTGCAACACGCATTGCCATCCGCCATCATGATATCCAGAGCGGCGGCTCCCTCCACCTCATCCCTCTCCCACTTCACAACCCGCGCCCTGCGCACCCAGGGGACGACCGCCCGCTCCTTCGCGACGGTGCAAGAGGCTCCTCCCGTCCGACACTATGGCGGGCTCAAGGACCAGGACCGCATCTTCACCAACCTTTACGCCCACCATGGCACAGACCTTAAGTCAGCAATGAAGTATGGTGATTGGTACCGGACAAAGGATATTGTGTTGAAGGGTGATGACTGGGTGGGTGTTCAATTGCTCCGGACTCGGCGGAACCGTGGGGACAACTTCTTTACTGACGCTTTCTTAAACAACAGCTCATTTCCGAACTTAAGGCCTCTGGCCTACGTGGTCGTGGTGGTGCCGGTTTCCCCTCCGGATTGAAATATGTAAGTTCTCAATGGCAATTGATGATGGGCCCTGCAAGCTCCTTCTGACCAATTGCTTCTTCATTTAGTCGTTCATGAACACCAAGGACTGGCAAAAGGACCCCCGTCCTCGCTATCTCGTTATTAACGCTGATGAGGGTGAGCCCGGTACCTGTAAAGACCGTGAAATTATGCGCAAGGACCCCCAGAAGCTTGTTGAGGGTTGCTTGGTCGTCGGTCGTGCGATGAACGCCAACGCCGCCTACATCTACATCCGTGGAGAGTTTTACGAAGAGGCCACCGTCCTCCAGAAGGCCATCGATGAGGCCTACGCCGCCGGCCTCATTGGAAAGAACGCCGCCGGCACCGGTTACGATTTCGATATCTTCATCCACCGCGGAATGGGTGCTTACGTTTGTGGAGAGGAGACCTCGCTGATCGAGTCTATTGAGGGTAAGGCTGGCAAGCCCCGTCTCAAGCCCCCCTTCCCCGCTGCCGTCGGTCTGTTCGGTTGCCCCAGTACTGTCACCAACGTCGAGACCGTCGCCGTTGTCCCAACCATCATGCGCCGTGGCGCCAGCTGGTTCTCGTCTTTCGGCCGCGAGCGTAACGCCGGTACTAAGCTGTACTGTATCTCCGGCCACGTCAACAACCCCTGCACTGTCGAGGAGGAGATGTCCATTCCCCTACGCGAATTGATCGACAAGCACTGCGGTGGTGTCCGTGGCGGCTGGGACAACCTCCTGGGAGTTATCCCCGGTGGTTCATCCACTCCAGTTATTCCCAAACATGTTGCCGACAACCAGCTTATGGACTATGATGCTCTTAAGGATTCCCAGACTGGTCTGGGTACCGCGGCCGTTATTGTTATGGACAAGTCCACTGACATTATTCGCGCTATCACCCGCCTGTCGGCCTTCTACAGACACGAGTCTTGTGGTCAGTGCACCCCCTGCCGTGAGGGAAGCAAGTGGACTTTGCAGATGATGCAGCGTATGTCGACCGGTAACGCTCGCGAGCGTGAGATCGACATGCTCCAGGAGTTGACCAAGCAGGTTGAGGGACACACTATTTGCGCTCTGGGCGAGGCCTTCGCCTGGCCTATCCAGGGTCTGATCCGTCACTTCCGTCCTGAGATGGAGGCACGTATCGCAGAGTACCAGAAGGAGATCGGCGGCGAAGTATTTGCTGGTGGCTGGAAGCCAGACAGCCGTGCCGAGGGCAAGATGATCTCCCCTGCCATGTAAAAAATCCCTTGCTATAAACCCTCATCTATTTCTTTTTTTTACACCTTCCAACCCCCTTCATAACCCCTCGACACTCCAAAGCGGGCGCAGGATACAGATCGCTCTACAAACTAGATTTCAAGTCTCTAGATTTCTCTTGAGCTGACCAGTAATGTTTTGGTCTCTCTCTCCGCCCCAGATGTCATAGGGGGGTTGTCTCTATATTTTCCTATATCTCTTGTTCCTATCCCTTTTCTGTCGCGTCTAGGTTCTTTCCTTTCATGTACAGTCGGTAGCAAATTGATGCATTTCATGTCTTCAAGACAGTGTTTCACACGGTCTTATACTAGCTAAACGATACTGTTGGCGCATAATAAGCCAGTCTTTCAACTACACAACACCCCGAATCCAAGATAGAAGAGGTCTCGCTCAAGCTTCAGCTCGTAGATGACAACATTGCATTCCGCACGCGATCAAGTTTGCAAACAAGGTAATAGACAAACCAACGGCCAGGTGCACACCAACAAACCAATATCCTCATCCCCGCCACCACATGCTAAGTAGCATGCTGGTGATGGTGAGGCTGCCCAGAAGATTGAACTCTTTCTGGAAAGAGATTGCCCAGAAAGCGATGGAATAGGACCAGAAACACAGGGCTTGGAATCCAGGACATGAAAAGCCGTGCCGTTGATCCTGTCATATGATCTCAAAGAATGAGGAGCTTCAAAACTTTCCAAGATAAAACTGCGATTACAACATCTAGAGATATTCCATTCTTCTACCGACGGAATCTCCCTCATTCCCACTGCTATCGTAACTTGAACCCTCTTTGTTTACGGATTTCTTTCTCATACTGTTTTATCAATGCGCTATCTTCTATTTCGCACCCATTCGCAGGTGGGTACATCAAAGTACCTACCTAATCTTTGCTTCGACCATGATCGTCTTGGCTGCTTTCACGGCTCCGGCCGCAGTTCTCCTATAAAAATTCTCTCGGCGGGTCTTCGATCTGACTGGGGTCTAGCAGACGTCGCTATTCAGTCAGTCTAAAGTGGGAGCCCGTTGCCGTCAATGACGAAGATTGGATGGTGGAATGGTTTGAGAGGTGGACCTTTCGAAGTGCAAATCTGTCGAGCTTGCTTGCGGACTAGGATGATGCACTCTAGGATGATGCACTTGTAGATGTGGAGCAGCTAATATTTGAGAAGGGCCTGCTTTCGGATGTCATCTCTCATGCCGGTTAGGTAGCTAAAGAGATTCAGATCTTCGTAAGTGGCTGCAACAGTTGTTCGGGTACGACTGTTAGAAGTCGGCAAGATCAACTGTTCCAAATCCTTAAACACATCCACTAGATCTTGGATGCGGCGAACGCATCAAATTTAGTCACATAGAGAATGGACATTGTATCGCTCGCTATTAAGATAGTAGAGTTAGCCGATAGAAGATTCTTGTCTCTTGAGATCCGGCTGATAATAAATTCCATTCAGGAATCAACGACGAGGGATGAGGATATGACCGAGGAAAAGAAGAAGTTTGGGTTCAAGAGTTGGAAAAGGCTCGAGAAATTCTGTCACTGGCTCAAGTTCTTCAAACCCATTCCCATATTCGGTAATGGAAAGTTAGAAATCAGGCATAGATATTCATCTGTCGTAACTGGTGATGGCATTTGACTCCCGCAGTAAGGAAATGAGATTATCGATGTATTTCCAGCCTTCGCTAAGAGCTTGAGGTCCTGGGTTCCCTCTTGGCTCCTGTTCATCACGCTCTAATCGCTTGCGCTCTTGCTCTGCCTTCTCCCTCAATCTCTTGTTTTTGCACGTCAAATACTCCCGCTAAATCTGGGAGTGGATGTCAGGGTGCACTGGGCAGGACTCGGTGTACCCGAGAGCAATTAGCTGAATCTCGGTCAGCTTGCAGAAAAAGGATCCAGCTCCATAAAGTCAATACCATTCTCAAAGTGGAGAAACCGGTAACCCACACCTTTCAAGATGGAAAAGTATTGGGTAGAGGAACTTAAATAGCCCCTGATGATGGGATTATCAGCTTTGAAGGACTACTTATAGGAGTCACTTCCAACGTTCCAATTTATGGATGTCGATGTCATAGACACTGGACAAATATAGCATAACTATACAACTTTGAAAGTAAAAGTGAGAGTCAAAGTAATTTTAGAAGGTTGATTGGACTGATGAAGACTATTCCAACTATACATGTTAACGGGTGAATCTAGTAACAAATCTGACCGGATGAATCATGCTTCATCATGCTTCATCAAGTTTCAAAGAGTCATCATCACTAAGCTAAGCCTCATAACTAATTAGGGCTTCAACTTCAATGTGACTCAGAATAAGCAGTGGGGCCTTATCGATAAGGAGCCAAAACTAGTACAGTCATCATTATTATTTTGTCCATTTAAGAACCTTGGAATATCCAAACATCTAAACATTCTGAGCCCTTGGATTCCTTCAAAGGTTATGCCCAAAAAGCACAGAAACCCCTTTTTAACAAGACCGAGTGGTTCAGCCCACCACTCACTCACGTCGAACCATGGGGAGTCCAGCTACACCTCTGAAACTCGCTCGGTCAACGATCTAATCACCCATCTACGCCGCACTCAAATAACCAGTTCACCTGAACATCAGAATTCCCATTCTAGTAGTTTCAACGCTACTCGGTCTCTTCCGCCAGCGTTGCGCAATGTTCTAGAGCTTCCAGAGACACTCCCACCTCGGCCACGCGATGCGCGGCGCACACAAATCGGCGGGCGGCCGAGGCGTCCACCCCCGGGCCCACCACCTCCAGATAGCTGGGGTGTAAGGGCCTCTGAAAATGTATTAACGCAACCAGAGTTGGAAGAAGGGAAAGTCATTTATCGGCTTGATCGTCTTCCCGGATGCGCATTCCCGGGGGAACAAAGTATCTTACATCAAATTCTCAAGTCCATGTCCAAGAACTGGGCGTTCCATCTGGAATATGATGGAAATTTCTTGTCTCAGATTCCAGTCCATATAAAGGTTTTACTGCTCAGCTATATCGCCGCTTATGGCATCGAGCAGAACCTGAAAGACCGCATGGTCGGATTAAAACCACTATTCCTCAGTGAGGCTGAAATGAATGCAATGAACGCGGAAGATGAAGATGAAGTTGATGAGCCCGACGAGGCTGCTGTCAAAAGCTTCAAAAAGAACAAGCCCGACGATTCTATCATGCGGTTAGATTTGGGTCATGCAATTGGATACTGGATATCTATCAAGCAGCTTACCAACGAGCTTTTGATCTCGAACAAAACAGAGAATTTAGAAGATGAACCCCCAAGCTCTTGGGATGAAAGTCTCTATGAGGAAAGGATTCCCAAGTCCATCCGTCCACGACTCCGCTTCAAAAACATCCGCTACCTCTCCCTGGCGCATCCCAATTCGCTTAACGCAAACTGGAAATCTCTCCTCCATATAATGCCCCACTTATCAACAATTACCCATCTATCTCTTGCCTGGTGGCCCACTCCAAATCGCCATGGCTCTACTAGAAAGCCTCAGACTGAGAACGAATGGGCCGAAGCAGCAAGTACTCTCCGCCTGCTCTCTCGTGTCACTTACTGCCTGAAATGGCTCGACCTTGAAGGCTGTTCGTCCTGGTTTTCCGCTCTTACTTGGTCGGGATCTGGTTCGAATGGCGCTAGTTACCCTCGCGGATCTTGTGGCCCGGAGTGGAACGGGTCGTGGAGAGATATTGATACTATAAATCTCTCTCCTGGCTGGGAACCATGGAGCTTTACGGATATTATGTCTGGTACTGATGGTGATATCTTAACTCGCAATCCCAGCACACTTTCTCGTGCGCTGGATCGGGCGGGCTTGAAGGATGACGATGATCGTCAAAGGGCTGAAATGGAGATAGCAAGCTTGCGTGAGGTGCATAATCGCGCAGAGTCTGTGGCTCGAGAAATCAATCAGATTCGAAAGGAAGATAAAGGGAAGTGGATGCGGCTTGTTTTGAATTAGAGCGTTGATTTTAATTTTTTTTATGACCGGAATGCTGCATTGGATGGGCGCATAAGCATAAAATTGTATATAGGAGCCGCTGCTTTTATGAACTTCCACTGTTCTTCATTCTTTACCAAATTGCCTACGTATTATCTCAGTGCCGGATATAGCATGACAGTGGAGGTACCCCAGTATGATCAACCATTTCTAGTGGTGCCCAGGATCCATTATATAACCGTGAACCTGTCCATCGCTGCCCAGATACCCCCCACTGTAATAGGATAAAAACAGCTTTCGTTCAAGCTTATATGTATCGAAAACATGAATGATCTATTTCCTCATTCTGATAGCTTGGCAAATTTCAATTGATCCGTAAGTAAAAGGAGTGTATTATTGACGAAAGAAAGGTTGAAGATACGTAGAGATTCTCTGCAAGTTTGAATGATTTATTGTGCAATATGCACTATACTGTCACAAGCAGTCCAATAGTCGAGAGGAATAGACCTGGGCTAATAGGACTCTCTCATAAAGATATTTGCATCTTTATGAAAATTCTGCGCTGCAGCATTTTATTTGTTTGGTCATTCTCGTCGCGTTCCTACCGACTGCGCTGCGCACGTTCGGTTGCTTTCTGCTCGGCCTTGTCACTGTCATGCTGACTAAATTGTGTCCACTCAATCCTTCTTTTGTTGCCTCGTCGCGTTCCTGTTGAAAACGTTGTGTCCATTCAGTTCTTCTTTTCTCCGCCTCGTCGATTTTTCACTCTGTATTTCCTATTGGAGTGAGACAACTAAGAGACACTCCGAAATTCGATTATTCATCACCCCGAGCCTTAAATGCTTCTTAACGCTCCATCGATCCACAGGTTCAGGTGTGATTATTAAACTGAATAGACCCCACCTCATGTACGAACTTCGATGTATGAGTGATCACAACTCATATTAGCAATCAGAAAATCGCTCATCGCATCCAATCATCACCATGTACCATAGAAGTTGTTCCCAACAGTTGAGATTTAGCTCACTAGACTAATAATATAAGTTTGAGAACAAGCCCGAAAATACCACCTACCATCTCTCCTGAAAGCTTGAAGCCATTTTCAAGGTTTTGTTGTAGTAAATCGCCTCATCGGGAGCTTCATAATGCCTCCATTCCCGTCGCCCACCACGACATGGCACACGGACACATATCCTGCCATTGGCCCACGGAGACCTGAGGCATCTATGGTGGGACGAACAATTGTTGTCACAGGTGGAGGGGAAGGTATCGGCGCATCCATTGCACGCTCATTTGCCAAGGCGGGTGCATATAGTATCGTCCTGATAGGACGGAGGAGTCAACTCTTGGAGGAAAACAAGACCCAAATTCTTGCAATTTCCAGCAAAATTAAAGTTTTGACTCTCGTGGCTGATATTAGCAGCGAGGATGATGTCAGTAGAGCATTCAAGACTATCAAGACGACAGTTGGAAGCCCCGATGTTCTTGTCAGCAATGCCGCATACTTTGCTGGTGCATCACCGATGCTTGAAGAGTCAATGGAACAGTTTGTTTCTGCTGTAGATATCAATATCAAGGGGTCATTCTTCGTGCTCAGGGCCTTTATGAGTGTCGCAAGCTCATCTCCAACTATTATCAATATCACAAGCGCCATTGCACATATGCCTTCGGCTTTCTTCCCTGGATTTTCGGCATATGCTTCTACAAAGATAGCCAGCTTGAGGATCTTCGACTATGCGCAAAGCGAAAACCCTGACTTGCATGTCGTTCACATTCATCCAGGGCAGGTCATGACTTCCATGTCGAAGAAGCTGGGCAGAGAAATCTCAATTGATACCGGTATGTAAATTTTAACCAAGGTTATGAGAAGGAGTGAGGAAGACTAACCCTTATTAGTGGATCTACCGGCAGACTTTTCGGTCTGGGCAGCTAGCCCAGAAGCCAAGTTTTTGAAGGGTAAGGTAGTGTGGGCAAATTGGGATGTGGACGAGTTGAAGGCAAGAGCAGAGGAAATTGCTAGTAGCAGCCTGTTTACTGTGGCTATTGAAGGTTGGCCGTTTTCTTGATCTTGATATCTTGTCACGAGACAACCTTGGAAATAGACAGGATTTTCCAATACACGCTAATTGAATGGATGTTCTGATTTATTAGTATATAAACACCTGTGCCTAGATAGTAACATCTATATGGATGGGAATGCGTGTAAAAGGTTTGATTGCTCCGAAGCTATATTAGAGACAACTCTTTTATATTAGTGTGACTCTCTAGGAAACAATAATGATTGTCCTGCGGAACTACACAAAATTGTAGCACTGTGGCTTTCTTTCCTTGAGTAAAGCTGCTATAGCATTTTTTGAAAACTTACTAGCTCAAGGCACTAGCACCGAGTTTCAACAAACATCTAGCCCACTTCATGTAGCGACCCCTATTAAATCCAATCCGATTAAAAGGCCTTTTTAGTCACAAGAAGTGCATCAGCATTATTTTCGATTACTTCAGCCTTCAAGGAGAAAATTATCTAGATAGGCATAACAGGGTACACATGCCCACAGTTCTGACATAAATATCTAGCTGTGTGGTGTGCGATACAGTTAATAGTTCAGATGTTATACAGATTGTGTTGATAAAGACTGGGATCAAGACCGACATATACAACATCAAGGAATGGATTTTAAATTGCAAGTAATGTACTTCAAAGTTCCAAAGATCCAGGATTGCACATTGTACCTATGTATGCTCCCGCAAACTACTTCTACATCTTCTCCTGCCCTTCCTTCGCCGCCTGCTCAAGCGCCTCCACCACCTTGTCTGGGGCACTTAAAAACGCTGAATGCGATGCATCAATATGAAACTTACCCGGTTCACCAAGGATTGCTGCACAACTCTCTTGCAATAACAGAGGAAGCGCGTTGTCTTTATCGCAAAATATGTAAAAGGATGGTATGTCGTGCCATGACTCGTAGGTTATGGGTTCAATAAAACATCTTAAGGGTTGGGGTTGTAGCTTCAAGATGGCGGTTTTCTGTGCCTCGGGGGTCATGTCGTTGTAGAAAATATCCTCTTGGTAGGCAGAGTCGACATAACCATCATCCTATATTTATATTGAATGAGTGATATATCTCCTGGTTATCAGACAAAAATAGTGTACTGACATTGTGTACCATCCAAGGGAGCCAGTTTCCAATTAGATCCAGGCCAGACTGGCCCTTCTTAAATACAAAAGCAGCCAACCAGACCACCATTATGACACCGCCGGATAAACCAGACTGCGCTCTCATCGCCCAACCGAGGCCTTCAACGGCACATGGGCTGACAGCTCCTCCATAAGAATGCCCAACAATGATGACTTGGCGACCCTTATTCACTAAATCATAGACGATGCCTCGGGTATATCCAACATCAGCGTAGAGACCAGTCTGATTGTCAGGAGAACCAACAGATGGAGTTGCAATGGGCACTGATTCAAAGCCGCGCTTTGCAAGAAGATCGCGAACGGCATCAAAGACATCAGGAGTATGCCATGCACCAGGCACGAAGACGAAGAGAGGCTGATTCATAACTGACATTGCGATAGAATTGCAGTGCTGCAGATTGATTTTATTTCTCCGTAAGGACAACCAAAGGCCTCAAGGATCCAACATAATAACTAATTAAACTAATTCCGCTCTAGGCAGCCCCAGAGATCCCACGTTATCACCTGGTCCTGTGAGACAATTTAGGTATCACTCATCAAGGGGGCTTTAGCTCACTCATCAACCTGCACGTGATAAACTCATAATAATCAGAGCAAGTACTACGCTAATCAGATAGCTGCTTTTTAATTAGCTTATTAAATTTGAACTTAACTAGTGAGTTATAATCCTAAAAGGTTGTAATTAAAAGGTTGCCCTTTTTCGACGCATGTCACTTACGAAAATGGCCACAACTTCTGTTCTTCAAGCAGACCGAAAATTGTGTGTTGAGGGTAGAATTTCAAATTCTTGATGTCTAAATAACCCAAATTGGGTTAAAAATCCAATATCTCCGGTCAGTTTCTTCATCAACGTTTGACAAATGTAGAATGATGATGCAACTCTGGAACTGGATAGAATAGGGAAATGATATTTTTTAAAGATAGTTGAGAGATAAAGAAGAAAAAAGAGAACTAAATAGTTGAGATTTATCTACTCTATTGAGTAATGTCTCAACCAGCAGTATTTCATATGCAGAATCGTAGTTCAAATCCAATATAATTACAGACCAACTAAGACTGCAATGATACTCTCTGACATGAACCCTGTAATAAAACACAAAGCCCGCTTCTGGCCATCTGTAGGCTTAATTAGGACCAAAATAGTAGCACTAGCAATGTGAATCCTTGATCCATCATCCTCAAAAAGCAATTTCTTATCACAACCGGTCCATTTCTGTTTCTTTGGACGAGTATACCACACCTGGCTTGAGCCAAGTTTATTACTGTGCCTCTCACTTTTTGCATAAAAAGCCCTTGTAACACCAGCAACGACAAATCCACTAGCATCATCTTCCTCAGTTGAGTACGGGTCTATATAATAGCTTGGATTGTTAGTGACGGTATAGAAGTTGATCGTGTCCTCAATATAAATAGTGGTATTGCCCTGCCTTTGAGAAATGTGCAGCTGACCACCCATAGCACTCGAAATCACAAGTTCTTTCGGTTTGCGACCTTGACTGAGACCGTTATTGTTCCAAAGTCCAGTCAGCGCAACAGGAGCCTCTAGACTGGCTGCTGCATCCGCTGATTCCAGATCTGTGATCTCGATGTGGACAATGTTGGACCATCTAGCAAAAGGCCACATACCTTCAACAAAACGCATGGCTCCATCACCATAAAAATTATCGTTCGTAACATAGAACGAATGTAGGCTCACAACATGGATTTCATTTGGTGTATTTATAAGTGGATGCAGAATTGACCGGACATGATTTATATATTTCGAATGGAGGACGTAGTTGAATTGCTTCATCTGAGAGCGACCCCTTGCAATCTTCTCTGAACTTGGATGTTCGGCAACCTCAAAGTATTCAGGGTTGGGCAAGTGGTTAATGGCAAATATATAGACATAGTCTTCCTGAACGGGGTCCTGGATAACGTTGATACCATGTGTCACAAATGAACCTTCAAAGTTCTCGAATGTCAGCCGAGTGGATTTCAGGGTATATGGAGATTGCATGAGTTGAATGATCGTAATTTTTATATTAATCATGATATCCAGTATGACATAATACCTCCGGATCAATGATATGAATCTATCCACGAGTTGGGGCCTGCGGCTTCAGGCGTCCTATTGCTGGAAACCACCCTAAGCGAGTATCATTGGTACCTCGCATGCAGTGAATAGTAAATTTGCAGGACGGAAATAGTGTAAATCTTCGCATTGAACAGTATCTTCCACACGGAATGGACCTCGACCTTCAGCTAAAATTGTTGGAATTGGGGTATAAAAAGCACCTAAAGTTGTTGAAATATGAACAACAGTGGGAAACAATAAAGCCACAAAAATGGCAAGAAATGTGAGAATAGATCAGCTGAACATTGGGAATAAAACTGCTAATGTTTTGAATACCAAGTTTAGAAATAAGAGTATTTCTCCTGGTATTGTTCTTTATGAGAGTTGAGACTACAAGACCAACAGTAATGATGAAATCTTGGATTTCATGGCCCGAAAATAAAATTAGAACAAGGCGCCTTGACGTCTATATGATCAGTAATCATTTGCGTTTTACTTGTCAGATCAATCGGTCCGTCATCACTGCCCGTGAACGTTGATAAATCATAATTTCAGAAATCTTCCCATAAGAACCGTCATGACTCATAGACCCTAAAATTAGATGTTTGATAACGGATATAAAGATTAACTGTATGATATTTAACTGTTATGTAGTACTAGTGACTAAGTCTAGAATTTTGATGAGTGATACTGATCTTACCAGTCACCTCAGTATGCAGCGCTCAAGTGAAATCGCCCAAGCCACGAATATAATATGACAGAGTTGCCGAGAATAAATCCAGTCTTTATTCTACTAACTTTTATTCTCTTTCAATACTATCAAGTTATATGCAGCAATGAAAAAAACAATTCTTGTCATTGGTGGGACTGGTGCCCAGGGAACTGCAGTCACTAAGGCACTTCTGGAAGCAAAAGAGCCGTTCAGGGTCAAAATATTGACGAGAAGGCCGAATGATCATGTTTCTACTGAGATATTTGCTGCATATGATGGTGTGGAGTTTGTTGAAGGTAAAGAAATGATTTTTTTTGTGATGAACATTCAGCTCAAATCATGACTAGGCTCTTTCATGGAAATAGCTACGGTCAAGTCTGCATTACAGGGCTGCTACGGTGTTTACGTGAATACAGATAGTAGGTGCTTTCTTATGATGATCTACCTCAAAAACTGTCCTCAGCTTCGATGGTACATGGAGCCGTGCCTAATTAAAAGCTTTGAAATAGGCTTCACTGTGAAGGAGGGAGATGAGATGTGGGCTGCGATTCGTATTTTCGAGACCGCTAAAACTGTTTCCAATTTGAGACATTTCGTTTGGAGTGGTTTAGACTACTACTTGAAGGTATTATCAAATATCTTTTCACTTTATCAATGTTATCTAACGCTTTGTCAGATGGGAGGCTATGATCCCAAATACGCTTGTTTTCATGTGAAGTTCGTCCAGCCTATTCAAAAAGACTGCTATATGCTAATTTACTGATAAACTAACTTCATATCACTAATCAGTGCTAAAGCTAGAGTGAATGACTGGCTGAAAAGCCAAGAATCTTCTCACGAGGATCATAGTCTTGCATGGACTATCTTGAACACTGGACCTTATATGGAGATGCTATACGGTCAGTTGAAAAATCTCAAAGATCATTTGAAGCAAAAGACTAAATCACGGTCTTCTGTGCTACAGGTGGGAGCTTTATCCCTCAAATCCAACCTGATGGTTCTCGTGTCTTTTCTCTACCTCTGGGTAAAGGAAGTCTTCCTCTGATATCACTTATGGATTTGGGTGTTTTCGCTCGTATAATCTTTGAAGACCGCGAGAAATGGTCAGGTCAAATTCTTGGTGTTACCTCCCAGTTTGTCACAGGTGACGAGATTGCCAAAACCTTGACTAAGGTAACGGGCATACCAGCTAAATATGTAGCTTGTACTGGAGAGGAGTGGGTGTCTCGGATTCCTTGGGCATCTAAACCTGTTGCATCGACTGATCCAAACGGCCCCACTAACAGGGATAACTGGCTTATGTGGTGGCGAGCATATGAGGATGATCTACTTATTTCGGAGAGAAATATGGAAGAGTTGAAAAAGATTCATCCTGGTCTAAGAAGCTTGGAAATGTGGATCAAGGAGACCAAGTATAATGGGGACGTTAGACCGCTGTTGAAAGGGCATCGATATATACAGGACTAGGAATATCCACTCGGCTTCAAACAAAACTGAACCAGACCGATAATACAGCAGAATTTTGACTATCGTGGATCACCAAATACATTCATTACAGCCACATCTAATGAAGATTCGTCCTCTGGTAGACACTCATTTTTTCTCGGCCAATATGGCTATAGAATAGATTTCCAAAACTATGGATACTGTCAAGGCATTCTAGGCTCTCTTTTTTCAGATTTTCATTTCTTTCCAAGATTATCCTGAATTCCTTCCCCATAGACTTAGAATCGTCTAGAATCTGATGGAAAAGACTTTTGGTAATCTCTGTGTTATGCCGTACTCCTTACAAATGGGTTAGGTCTGGCCGTGGCACCTAAATAAAGTCTACTCTGTTTGAATATAGAAAGCAATCCTGAAAATACTGCTGAGGTTTGCGTCCGCTAACTCATCCCTTTTGCCTTCTCAACCCTTACCTTCCTATGATCAACCTCGAAAGCTATTTCCATGGCGGATCTACTCAGCCTCTTCTCCTTTCAGCTTGAAGACGTAAGTCAAACCCCGTTTAACCTGATTTTTGTAGCTCAAAAAATGCATCACATCACTTCCTCAGTCGTCTTTGCGTCGATCCTGAACTCTTTAGTTGGCTGAAGTCCATCATTAGGTAGGAGTCCTTTGGCGACTGCCTTAGGGAAAGATTCAGCCACAATAGTCGTCGCGTCCTGCCACACAGTGCCGGCTTCGTAACCTGAATTACTAAGCTAGCTTCCAACAGGGACTCTACAATTGAGTGCTTTGACATGCATGAGTGCCACATCATCCACATAGACGCTAGCACCTGGAAGCTAATCTGGAGACTTACCTCCAAAGACGGACCCAGTAGTGACTGCACTCTTACCCACAGTGATATCCTTCAAGTCTTTTACGAGCTCGTTTTTGCCAATCACGAAAGAAGGTGGGTGTTGGTTATATTAAAATGGGGGTTCTAATCTCGGACAAAGGACTCACTTGCATGGAGAGCAGCGGCTTTACTAGCGTTTTACGCATGAGATACAGATAAATATGAGCCAGATTTTGGTGGAGCCCTAGGTATATGGCCAAAAACCACATCAATGGGAACCTCCTCATCGAAAAATGCTTCTAAGGAACCATTGTGACAATAGAAGAGGTGATAACAACATGTTTGATGGTAGGAGAACCCATTGCAACCTGCAAATTTTGACTGAACCAGCAACAGCAGGCTCGATGAGTGCTATGTTATTATCAGTTGGTTTAACATTTCCTTTCAGGACGATGGGAGAAGCAATGTGAAGATTGTAAGCGGCTCCCTTGACTGCTTCATTAAAAGCCCCATCCACCAAAAGGGTTGGAACCATAACGAAAGAAAGATAGCCATGAATCTTAAGAGCTCTGCTAGGGGGTGCAAGAAGAATTCATTGTTTTTTTTTTTTGACTCGGATCGAACGGCTGCTCGAACGCGGTAGCCAGCTTATAGAGCCACGACAGGGGTCTTGAAGCCAACATGGCCAGTGCCGCCAGTGATCAGAACGAGGCCAAGAGAAACATTAAAAGAGTATAATGATGAGAAACTCAGTAATTGAGGATTTGAAGTGAAGTCTGGAAGAAAAGACTGATAGCAGTTGAATGTTAATAAAGAAAGAATAGGAATCTGGACACTTTAATACATTTCTCTCTAACTATTCTAAATCGAGATACATAATTCGATGGATTGAGAAGGAATCTTGAAAGCTGAGAATGGTTTGAAAATACAAGGGGTCCAACCGATAACAACTTGATCTCACTTGCGTATCTAGTAATTTCGCATACCCAGTACTGTAGATGCATTTTTATGATGATTTATCTTCCAAAATGCCAAGATGTACGGAATCCGATGGAGGCAACCGCGACAAAACCCCTAAAACAGTAAACAGAATACGTATTTTACACCCGGCAGAATGTTTTATTACTGTCCGAATATGGGAAGTCGGAATCATCCTTTCTGATTGGATGATTCCACCAGCGACTCCCATTGGACGTAGCCTCCCAAATAAGTGGGGCAGAGGTCTTCTTTAGTTTCAGTTAGCAGTAATAGAATCTACACTTCACATCATCTCTACAACTGCAGTTCTTACGAATACACGTGTAAAGGAAGTCACCCATATCTTACGACAATTACCTGTATCGCTCTATCATCGCAAATGTCAATTGAAATTGACTAAGTCCAACTTCAATACTCCAACTTAATACAATCTACAACTCTAACTCTACTACAATTTACACCATTGAAGTAATAAGGTAAAATAAAATATTCAACTGCATTGATGAGAGCACTTTTAAAGCAAATACTTAAAAAAACGCATGAAAACCAATATCACTCGATTCTTCTTCGAATTTGTAAGGGTTTGAGTCCAATGCGGTTGGGCTACCATAAACAAGAGAAGAACTATTATGAGAAGGCTACCAGAGGACGGAGGTGTGGGTGTGGTATCCCATAGGGCTCAACTCCACTAAGGTAAATTGGGGACAAGAACAACTCTTGAACTCCTTCAAGAGTCCAAAGACCTCAGAGAGTTAAATACATCAGGAAGTGGCAAATCTCTAACTAGCTTATCCGGGGAACCCCTGCTTCCCTGACAGCTGGTTCAGCCAGCTTATGTAGAGAGTCCATTGCCTCTCTCAGCCTTCTTGCAACCCACGCCGTTACAATATATGTGCATGATGTCGATAACTGTCCCCACTATAACTCGATTCGTTGGTTTTCAGTGCTTTTACCAAAGAAATGGCAATCCTGTAGTTTCTAAGGTCTTGAACTTGGTGTATTTAGAGCCTCAGCTATAGCTATAGCTACTCTTGGGTGTTGTTGTGGCAGAAGATTTGGAACCTGGGAAACTAGATTAGCTTGAGGCACTGGTTTTTGAAGCAGAATTGGCTCGACTAGAATGTCTGGTTCTCCTGACTGGCGTAGAAGAGAATGCGCATCGGCTAGTATCATGGTTTTAAAGCCAAGATCAGACTATAAACAACATGGTAGAACACCACTTTCAGAGATATAGTGTAGATATTGAGATAATACACTAACTACAGTTTTTATACTGATTCCAATATATATCCAGGTCACAAATCGAGTGTAACCATCAATATCTACATATATCTCAAATCCAAACTGTGCAAGCTTCATATAACCATCAAGATGGTGTATCCAGTTTGGTCCAGGGTTTTTGTAAATACCTTTACGACGCTGGAAACCACGATTTTGAATATTATCTGGAAACATTGTTTTATATATTTCAGCAATTCTATCACGAGCAAAGAATTGACCTTGGCTCTTCAGAAACACATATTGGTATCGATAACCATATGTGTAAATATCTCCAACATCTCTCTCAGCTTGAAGTATAGCTTCAATCTGCTGCTTCTATTACTCGCGTTTATCAGGGTTATTGACAAGAAGCTTGATACCAAGTCGCTGCCGTATACTAGTAAGTGTACGTTTTGAACATGGCATACCTTGTTCTTCAAGTATTTAGAGTATATCTTTAGTATCAAGATATCGAATAAGGCGTGAAATAAGCTGATCGGCATTATGACGTAGGATAGGGGTTGAGATAGGCTTGTTAACATTTCATTCTCGTAGGCGACGTTGAATAGTACGGGTAGTAAGTATAAGATCATGGTTATAGAGAAGGAAAAGGCGAATCTCCTCAACTGAGTCACCAGCTTTATGAAGAGATCGATAATGGCCTTTTCATGAGCCTCAAGAGGAGCTGGTGGGCGCGGCATAGTGGTTTAAGAGGAAGTGGAAGATGAGAGGAGCACTGTATAAACAGTATTTTTGCAGCTCCCTGATTGGTCGAGCCTGATTACTAATTGGTAATTCTGTTACGAGCGGTGAGATGGCACTTTTGGATTACAATACCATTCATTTTGTCGCGGTTGCCTCTATCGGATTCCGTACAAGATGCCAGCTGCCAGCTGATAGTACGGATTTCCTAAACACCTAAGCGTTGTATTCTTATGGTTAAAGTGATTATCAATCGACTGCCTTCACCCAAAATAAAAAAGAATCATAACTATTTACCAGCTGAGAAAGCTGGCAAACCCCTGGAAAAAATATCGTTTCAGGGTAGCTTCCACCTTTGGAAGGTTTACTGTTTTGGGAATTAATTCACACCTAGCCTTGTATCACTCATCTTATAGTTCACTCATCCTATAGTTAACTCATCATTTTTAAAAATATAGACTCAAGATGTAATGAAGACATCAAAGTGAGTGGCTCACAGAGGTGGACACGTCACTTTTTATAGCATTTCATTTTACAGTTGTCCCCGTTGACTGCATAGTTATAAAAACTTAGCTCAACCTTCCATTATTTGAAAAAATATATTCTTCACATCGATTGAAAGCATTTCCAACATCTAAAAAATCAAAATGGGTCGTTTAGAGGGCAAGAAAATATTGGTCACTGGTGGAAGCAGTGGGATTGGACTGGCGTCTGCCTGTGCCTTTCATGATGAGGGTGCTTCGGTTGCAATCTGCGGCCTCAGCAAAGAAAGACTGGACACAGCGATCAACTCCATCGGCCCCAATACTGTCGCCATTCAAGCTGATATCAGCAACCTTTCTAGCCTCGATGTTTTCTTTGCTGAACTGCAAACCCACGGCTTCACTCATCTGGATGCAATCTTCGTCAATGCTGGACAAAGTCAGTTCGAACCGTTCACTGCTGTGACCGAGGAAACTTTTGATAAAATGGTTGGAGTTAATCTGAAAGGTGTCTTCTTCACTGTTCAGAAGGCTCTGCCCTTCCTTCGCCGAGGCAGTTCGGTGGTTCTAAATTCCTCGGTTGTTGCCCGAAAGGGCTGGCCAAATTGCTCCGTTGTCTCTGCAATGAAAGCAGGGCTGAATAGTTTTGCAAAGACACTGAGCTCCGAGCTTATTGAAGAAAAAGGCATTAGAGTCAATTGCCTCAGTCCTGGACCTACCGATACGGCCATGTTTGGCCGTATTCCAGGTGAAGAGTGCGGAGAGGCTACAAAGGATTTGCATCGAGAAAGAAATCCCAGTCGAAGAATTGCGACGTCAGAGGAGATTGCCAAGCTTGCTGTTTATCTTGTGAGCGATGAGAGTACATACGTGGTAGGAGCCGACTTTGCCATTGATGGAGGTGTTGGAGCTGTTTCGCCCATTGGTGCTTGAAACGTACGATTTGTGTTGCACCGATATACAAATACTTTTGAGGTTGTTCATGAATGAATGAATGAATGGCTCTTACCAAAATATTCATCTTGATATCTATTAATAGGTCATATCAGCTAGCAATCAATCTACTCTAATCCTTTAGCTACATATGTTTTTTGATATGCCTTGTGGTCAGATTGAACCCAAGGTTTTGAATTTAACCTGTGTATGAAGTCTTATGCGAAACGAACAGATTAAACCCTGAGAGGTCCTACTAACTCTTAATAATAAAACTTTCAAAGTTGAGCCTAAGAACCTTCCAAGTTCTGTTATTTGAGACTATTAATTGATAAAAGTGCGTTAAATAGGAACTACATAGCCGTCGATGACACCGCAGCCTAAAAATAGATAGATTTCAGTCACTGACAGTCACTTTGCTGAATGGTTATAATTATGCAAGTTGAAACCCTTTTTTCCTTCTACTAGTCCGCAAGTGCTATTTAGTTCGAAGAAAAGACCGAATCAAAAGACCGAATCAGGCAACAGAAACTGATGCGTAATTCCGTGCCCATATCGCTACCCACAGAGACCTAAATAGACACACAAAGGCTAGTTTCCAAAGCGCTTTCGACATCATGTTTTCTAAAGCCCGGTCCAGTGGAAAGACAAACCGCTCGATCAAGGATATCTGGTAGTGCTGGTTAATCAAAGTTGCTAAATTAATTTGAAAATCTCCAGTAAACAAATAGAAAACACTCACTATCCAAAAGTCTGCTCGCACTGAGAATTACTGTACGATAACGCTTCGGCTGCCATGCAGGTAAATCTTCTGGTATCTTGAGTTGTATTAACTGTGACTTCGAAGTGACCACAATTCCTCTTGATTGCAGATAGACATCCACATCCTTTGCATTGAGGAATTCATTGCCTGGAAGGAAAGAAGGCTGCGCTTCGAGGTCAGATGTCGGAAGGAAATGAGGAGCTGGTAGAGGTGAGAGATCCTTCAGCTCAAGTAATTTGCTCAAAGGGCTCTGCTGGGTTGATATAGGACCTTGAAGCATGTCTGTAGTGGGTCCTAAAAAAGCCCCTTGGAGCGATTGTTGCAATAAAAATATCATGCGGCTGGTAATCTCTTCTCTAGTACTAGCCTGAATGCAGTATTTGAAAGCGTAGCAGAGAATGGAGGACGGTGTTTCAGCGTTCGTAATCAACTCATAGCCTCTTTCCAAGGCAGAATGTTGCAGCCGTCTGGAAAATGGAGGTGTTTCTGTCGTGCTGAATGAACGAGGAAAAAGGAAAGAAGGTTTAGGACAAAAGTTCATTCCATTTTGATCCCCAGACATGATTGGCATAGTAATCGGATTGCGGCTCTGTGATGACGTATTGGGAGAGGATATCATCCAGCTTGTTTCCAAGGTCAAATTTTCCACTTCATTTGATGAGTTTTTGTCGGACGGCGGTTCAGTTTGGGAGAAATCCAATTCAGAATATGATACCGCGTTGGGTGACTTTTCTAGGACAGTCTTGTTGCGAATAGTCGCCGCCGCTATTAGTGTATCACCCTGTCCATTATCAGCATACGTACGAATTGTAAAAGCCATTGTGATTTACTGACTTCTTCTACACGAATATCTTTGGTGAGATCAGCCATTAACCTCATAGTACGCTCGAGATGAGCCATATGTACTGGATTTTGCTGGGCAATATTGGATTCATAGCTGACCGTATAGAAATTATTGAAAATTTCGTATAAATTGTGGATAGTGGTCCGGAGATCATTGCATTCATTCCTCAAATCTGCTAATGCATTCTCCTTTCGCTGACGATAAGCTCTTTGTGCTAGTCTGACCTGTACTTTTCGCCGCTTAAAGAACGTCAGCCGCTATTATCCTTGACTGTCTTCATCAAGGGAGAAGTGAGGTTTGTGTTCTCGCTTCGCAACCCACTTACTTCGGAGGATGGCTCTTCTTCGTCAATAAAATCATGGTAGTTATGCTTGAGAGGACGTTTCTTTGCTTTGAGATTTTTTCTGGCTGTAGTCCGAGGAACTTCCGAGGAGTTTCTGCTGACCATCACTCCTGTGTGAGAACTAGAAAATCCATTGTTCTCGGTGGCGTTTCTGGTCCCATTTGTGCTATCATGGAAACCCAGTTGCTGGAGATTCGGTTGCTGCTTGGTATTAGGAGTTGATGTTGAAATATTAGAATCCCAAAATGAATTTGTACTGTGATTGTTAATAAGAAAGTCATCCCAGTTGATTTTGTGAGCTTGTTCATCCATAGGGATTAAAATACTGGAAACGTCCATTGTTGATGTGGGTAGTATAGAAGACTTCATCTGATTCTAGAGGAATAATAACTAGTGAGCTAAGGATAGCTGGTTGCATAATGATTACTTCAAAGCAAGAACGTTGAGCGCTTAGAAATAATGATTATTATTCAACTCCGACTAGAGGCTTGGCAGTATTTCAACTACATATTCCTTCTACGACTCTCCTCTTGTGGAAAATAATTGAATTTCACCTTTCCAAGACCTTTAAATATCCTTCATCTGTATAGAAGTTGGACAGTAGACTATAGAGAGCCTAAGAGAGGCTTAGCACCTTAAATTCGGATTTCCATTGTTACAGTGGTTACAGTGCCAGACATTGCCAATTCTTGATGAATAATCTATAATTAATGACCGAACTACCAATCATAGGCGGCAATTGAAACATAACGGCGAGAAGAATTCAAAGTTATCCAATTGCCAAATTTGCGATTAAATTCAGCTCGGAATTTTTTATTTCGAACTATGCCTCTTTTTCGTTAACCTGGGCAATTACTGCATGGCAACCAACTTCTAAGGCAGCCGGGTTCAATCTTTCACCATGCTTTTCCATCATCTTTTCAAACAAAATATAACTTGATTCAGGTTTTCCTCTAACAATTTCCTCAAAGTCCAGGAGATATTGAATTGTTGTGTTCAAGAACCGGGGTGAGTCCTCTCCATCGGGCCGCTTGTGTCCGGCTACAACCCACTTCGGGTTCAGTGTCTTGATAGTCTCAATAGCTTTGATCCACTGTTTTCGCTTCTCAGGGGTTGCTACCTCTCCTAGCATCTGGTGGACTTCACCGTACACGCAGTCTCCGCATACGGCGAGCTCAAGGTCCGGAGCCCAAAGGGCCGTGCTGGAGTGTGTGTCGGTCTGTCCAAGCTCAATGACCTTGACCTCGTACCCATCCACGTATATTATACTCCCCGTAAGAGGCTCGGCCATCTCAACATCGGCTTTTTCGGGTACCTTTCCAGGGAAGTATACGGCCCATCGTGCATCCCATATAGCCGGCTCAAGCTGTTGCTTCATATGTTCGACTGTGCCAAGAGTTGCAACAGCTTGAATGCCAGGGAAACGCTTTTTGAAAAGCGAGATGCCCAGGAAGTGGTCTGCATGGCCGTGGGTGATATAAATTCTTGTAAGTTGACGATTGCCAAGCTTCGATAGCACCCACTCAATGAGCTCTTCATTTTGCTCAAAGGTGATAGGAGTGTCGACCAGAATCGCTTCATTTTCACCGTAAATTAGAGTGGATGATATTGGAGACCATTTTACCGCTCCTGTGATTGGTAGAGTGATGTTGTAGTTGACATCAATTTGAGGAGCCACGTAAACTTCGAATTTCAGTGTCATTTTTGAATTAAATCTAAGCGTATTTTAGTTGTTGGTGGGTCGCTATATTATTGATATGTGGAGAAATAGCGATATTTGAAGAATGAATTGCAAAATATTTTGACTGATTTAATTCTTGGTTCCTTTTTTCGCCAATATGTAATTTATGTGAAGGGGAGTAGAGTTGAAACTCAAGCCAGCCAGCTTGTCTTGCATTTGATGAGTGAGCAAAAGAAATTATCTCATCTTTTCGTCTTGTTTACTCATCCGATCCATCAATTACGAGATGAGGCGGTGACTACACGCTCATGATAACGTTTTGACATCATTTGAACCGGAATTCGGCTGAATTAACTAGTCCCGTTAAGAATACACGGGAATTCAAGCTATGCATCTCCAGTATTGTAACATTGAGATTGACTTTTCAGTTGACCTAGAGAGACATATAAATGACGGGTGTTTCTTCGAACACTGTCTTGCCTCAAGTTCACACTTCCTTGACAACAGCAAAAGCATTTACTTACTACTGCTTTACCACTATTTCCTTACAATTTAATCCACCAAAATGCCTCTTTGGAAAATCTACCACGGCCCCAGCACTCTTACGAGGGAAGCGAAGACCACTATCGCTAAGGGAGCCACTGCATTTTATGCTCAACGTGGCTTCCCTTCGTGGTATGTGAATGTACTTTTCTTTGAGTTGAGCCCTGACAACTTCTATAATGGGGGCTTGCCGAAATCTCAGACTGTAGGCGTTGAAATCATCCACATTGCGAGACATTGGGATCCAACAAACAAACAAGCCGCTGTAGCTGTTAAGAATGGTGTCGATGCTATCCTAGGCCCTTTCACGACTGATAAGGGCCTGCATCTCGAATTTGCTGTTCTGGAAGGTCCAGCGGAGTTGTGGCGAATCAATGGAATTGATCCACCGGAGGCCTTTGGGCCGGATGAGCAGAAGCAAGCCGAAGAAAATCGTAAGATTCTGTTCGACCAATATGGTACTTGAATTTTTACTCTTAGTCTGCAATGAGGGAGGCTTCGAACTTCATGCAAGAACCTTGGAAGAGACCATTTGTCGGTTTACAGATGAAGGATGGTAGGAACTTGGAATTTCATAGCTTACTATTACATGTACCTATTCGTATATATTCATCTGGAATCATTCTAACTTTGAAGTGTTACCTTTCCAAGGCTATTTAGTAGTGATTTTAGATTCTGTTCATATTGACTTGAATCCATACGGTGTTGCTCCAGTACTTAAGCTTCTACGAAAGATAAGTATTTGGTACACTCAAATAGAGGACTCTCGATGAAGTCTTGGAGACATATGTATATGATGAAATTAATTAAATTGATAGCTGCATCATCAACTTCCAATTACTGCGGGCTTTGGCCACGTAACCGTCCGTATTATTGACTAATCCTCAGTTGATTTGTGATCATTAATATTGTTAGTTAACTAACTACCACCTGGATTTTCAATTACCTAAGAACTAATCCGTATAGAGAAACCTCGCGAGTCGAAATTAATCTAATTTAATGGCCGAGCTAGTAGCCATATACGCATGTAAATGGTTGTTTTGTTACTTTAGGGCCCGGAGCTGTATGGTCAAAGCTCGACACTAGCTAGAGTCCTCGTCTTCTTTTGAATTGTCCAACAACAATTCCAGCCACCAGCTTTTAGTCTATGAAATTTGGGAAATTTGGGGAAGCTCCAAAATCATCTCAATGGGACTGGTCGATTCCAAGGTTGGCTGATAATACCTAGATTTTAGCCGAACTAAATATCTTGCTGTTACGAGATGGATAGAGGAATTGTAAGCTGTATTAATCCGATGTTGATCAAGAAGAATTAACTGAAGAGGGGAAAGAGGATCAGGAAGCTTTTATGCTTCGTCTAGCCCCGCATAGGAGCCAAGAGCACAGTCTCCTATGGAGACTGGGCATACTATCGGATTTCTACCCGTCACACTTGCTGGCTCTCTCTTAGTTCCATGAAGCAGCCAAAACATCTTCATAGACCTTCTTGAAAACTTGGACTCTCATCTCATCAATGAATCTGGCAACCTTAAGACACTCCTTGTTCTCCTCAGTCAATCCACCAAACACAGATTCCGCTAAGTCAAATTCGATAGTCGTAAAGCCGGGCTTGGCCTCGTGAATAAGACTTACGATAGGTGCATGTTGCGCTGCTCGAATATCATGTACCGTCATCTTTGTCGCAATACGAGAATTTCCCATGGTGTATTGTCTGGCATTTTGATTTCTTCCAGCCAGCCTAGAAAGCTCGCCATGGTCATGGATTGCATAGATACTGAACGGCTCATCCCCACGCATAGCATTAACAGCAGCTTCCAGTTGTTTTAGTGTTTTTGCAGCTTTCAATGTATCGTCATTGTATCTTCCGAGTCGACTTTCGAGGCATTGTACGAATGCTGACCATGGGACTGGAAGCTCGATTGTCTGATGAATCAGGCTCCTAGTAAATTCGGTAGAATATTCTTCGAGTGCCATTATATACTAGGAAGCGTGACAGGATGCTCAACTTTTGAGAGAAAGTATCAGCGATGCCAACATACCGTGGTTTCGAGATAGGAACTTACCTAGATACTTGAAATATGTGGATGAATACAGTATTCAAACCAGTAACCAAGTCACTTGATATTTATACACATACATGTGGGTAGCCTTGGATACCACCGCCAGGTAGCCCTAGAGGCTAAGTTGCCACAGTAAAACCGAATAGCACTACGCGATTCATTGGCATTATCGATGGATTCCTGATTACTAATTCAATTACCAAATTGGAGTTAAATAATCACTCATCAGGTAGTTACTAGCACATATTTGAAGATAGAATATCTGTCGGTTGACTAGGTTATTACCGAAGCAGACAGCTATTGATATCGTTTCTGTACGTATATAATAGGTGTATGCATATTGGGTAAAAATGAAGTGTCATTCTAAAATGCTCAGATGAAAGAAGATATAGTAGCTGCCATGCCAAGATCACATGATCTTGGTATATCAGCTGATATTCGTTCCAACAATATCTTATATTAATTGATTATTCATAATTGACAAAACAAGAGCCCAGAGTTAACTAGTCAATGAATCACTCATCAGTCATCACCCCCAGAACTACCTAGAAAGTAATTTTCGTGCAGATCAGTGAGCATATAGTGATTAGAGGTGTACTCAAGTTCTACTCAAAGAGCAATGGGGGCTGAGGAACTGGTAGGAAATCCGGTACCAAAATTGTTTGATGAGTGATGTTAGAAATCGATCTGACCCCACAATCCCCTAACACGAGAAGAAAATTGGCCTGGATTTTGTACATACAAGCGTAAGTTAGGTGTTCCTACTCACTGCGTTGTGCTCGTTCGATTAATTTCTGCTCGGCCTTGTCTCTTTCATGCTGACTACTTTTTGCTCGTTCAATTCTTCTTTTTCCCGCCTCATCACGTGTTCATTCTGGTTGCGCTGTACGCGTTCGGCTGATCTCGTTGTAGCTGATATTTTTGTGCTTTAATTTTCTTTTGCTGCGACTCATTGATTTGTTGACATAGGTTTGCCCGCCGAGCTGCTTTCTAAGTGAAATCTCAACATCCCTAACCATTCTCGAAATAATGCCCTAATCTTCTTTCCATTGCAACATTCTAAAGCTTAAGCATTCATCGGATGTTTACTGCTTTCCCTTCTTATAGAGCATGATTTTAAACATTCTCATCGCTTAGCTGCTAGAGAATTGGTCAGTCAGTATAACAGCGTGTTACGGGATGAATGCAGGAATTTGTATGCTGTAAAGATCTGATTATTAAACAAGAAGAATTAATTAAGGAAGAGAGAAGACCTGTTCTTATCCCCTGGGCTGTCGTATTGTGTCGTTTTAGCGCGTTTTTTCTGCCATACAGTCTCCACGATTACACCCAAAAAATTAATAGATCAATACCTAATATAACCAATTAAAACCCATGATAGCTTTTCCAATAACCCCGCTTACTATCATCCCGACCTAAGGGCACCTCTTAGCACCTATATTGAGCTTGCTATCTGGCTTCATTTCATCCAGACTAAGGTCGCCTGGGTCAATCGACAGTGGAGATGATCGGATTAGAGAAGAAGGAGCTACATATGAGTTAATAAAGGGATAACCTTGGTCATCTTCGAATTCCATGGTATAGTTTAGCAGAATAGAGACACGAATGCGACTGAGCGCGTACACGAAATAATAATAGTACTTTTTTACAGCCAATCAGAGCTATTTATTAATAGTAGGTAGGAATTACTGTTTCTTAGGAGCGGTCAGATCTATTAGCCACTCAAATCTATATATTATACTCCACTTTGGTATACGCTAAAACTGCACAATACCACAGCCGGATAGCTCGTTCGGCTCCGCACAGGAACCAGGAGCGCAGCCTTTCAGAGACTGGGCATATTGTCGGGTATCGACCCGTTACACTCCCTCTCGTCTAATGCCTAGATTAAATAAAGTGCTTTCTAGGAGCTTACATCAAGAGATAAGAATTTCTAGACTAATCAAATAAAATGTGCAGTAAGATTGCCCACTGAATAGGAATGAGACTCGCTTTCACTTTCATTTTCAGCTCTAATACTTCACCAAAACTCCTACATATCTAAGTAGGTAGCCTATCGATGTCTCTGATACAATCATACAAACCTTAGGAACCCATTCTAAACTAACTTGCAGCGGTCTAGAACAGGATCCAGAAGTACGAAAATGGAAGACCTCACGCATCATTTTTATTTAGCTTTGATGTGTTTAACCCCGGTGTGGCGTCAGGAACAGGTGTATGGACACCAACTCTTCCTGTGAAGACGTAAACAATATTGAGGTCTTCAAGACATCATGAAAAATCCCCACCTAGGCGGTTGCCCAGAAGAATGGGAAAACTTTAGTGACAGTGAAAGCTTATATGGGGACTTGTCGACTGGGTAAGGTGTCTCACTTCGTAGGAATAGTTATATCAGCTTTAAAATGTCATGGACACCAAATCTCTGATCACTTTAAAGGCCATGAAGATTAAAAGTAATAAACTCCTCATTTTTTTCTATTCCTTAAACTAGACAATGGTATCATGGCATAGACTCTGGTCACGCCTCGCTCTTCTCTCTTAGTTTCCTCTCGAGGTCTAATTACGTTGGCTTCCGGCCACGATTGAAAGTTTTCAACGGATCAACCCTTCCACTCCTCTTGCCCTTGCCACCCTTACGGTTGTGATCTCTAGCCTTGCGAATACGGTTCTCGGTAGTTTTCTTGAACCCAACGTACCCAACATTGTCCTTTGAAATACCCTTGCGTCCCTTGGCGGGCATCAAGTATTCAGGAATGTGCTTGAGATGCGGCTGCACACGGGCAGCACGTAGCTCTCCATCGTGGCGAAGCTGGCGTAGTTCATCGGGATTCTCCTCGAAATGGCGCTTGAGCTTCTCGCTCTTGATTAGTTCCTGGCGGATTTCTCGACCACGTGCTTCCTGCACAGCCAAGCGGGTGATAACGCGAAGGGCATCGGTCATACGGTAGCGGAAGGCATCGACCTGCTGCATTTCGAAGTGGTAGGGCTTGACCTCGTGGCCCAGCTTGGCCTGTCGCTTAATGATCTTGGCAAGGACGGTCTCGTCGTTCTTGGCGCTGGCCACTGCTGTAGGCCGGTGCTTACCAAACTGTTCTTTGGGAATAACAAATGAGAGTGCCATGCCTGCCTTTCCAGCGCGGCCAGTACGTCCGATGCGGTGTGTATAGGACTTGGAAGTAGTGGGCAGATCGAAGTTCAGGACACAGGCAACGTCGCGGAAATCAATACCGCGCGCAATTCCATAATCCTTTTGTTTGGCAGTCATCTTGCGTCGCTTCTCTGGTCGAGACTTCTGCTTCTTGGATTCCTCCTGATTTTCGTCGTCACTCGAGCCCATTTCATCTTTGTCATCCTTCTCCTCCTCCTCATCATCCTTATCATCCTTCTCTTCTTGCTCATCTGCCTCATCCTCATCGACAGTTGCAGCTTCAGTAATCTTTTTGCTTGCCTTGGGCACTCCCATAATCTCTTGGTCGTCGGCCGCAATAATGATGTCGTAAACGCCCTTGTTGAATTCTTCGACAACGTGCAGACGCGAGTTAATGGGCAATTCTGAGTTGAGCACACAGCACTTGATACCGAATTGTTCCAGGAAAAGCTTCACGCGGTAGCATCGATCAATATCGCCAACGAAAATGATAACCTTTCCCTTGACCAGCTGAAGTTTGAAAATGACGTATGTAAGAAGGAACTTTTCGTCCTCAGCGCATCTGTAGCATATTAATTAGCATCACAAGACATGATAGACTGGGTATTGATAATTACCTGACAACAAACTGGCTGACTTCGGCACCATTGTCTTCCTTCTCCTCCAACTTTAGAATCACTGGACTGCGGCAGAACAGGCTCTTCAGGGTATCCACCTCAGATGTGAGAGTAGCACTCATGAGGAATGTCTGCACACCACGAGGAATAGCCTTTGAAAGAGTATTGATGTCGTCGTCATATCCATATGACAGAACCAAGTCGGCCTCGTCAATCACGAGGTGTGTAAGCTTCTCAAGAGAGAGGGCCGAGTTGTTAACATTAGCTAGGACCCGAGTCGGCGTAGAGATCACAATATCGGGGAAATCAGCGAGCAGGCTGCGCTGGACGGCATCGGACACTTTCTGGGTCAAATTGACAGAGCGTACATCCTTTCCACAGAATTGGCTGAATGAGGCAATGACTTTTTGGACTTGCTCTGCAAGCTCACGAGTCGGAACAAGGATAAGACCGACAGTGGCTTTCAATGAGGGATCATTCTGATTTAGAGAGGCCCATTAGTACTCGTTATATAGGGGGAAAATATTTCATAGTACATACAGATTTTTGTTGCAGGATGGCTTGGAGGATGGGAAGGACATAAGCAGCAGTTTTTCCGGAGCCAGTCTTTGCACGAGCTATGGAATGTTAGTTATCCTTCTATGGGGTAATAGCTGAAGGAATGCCTTACCCAAGATATCCTTTCCTTCAAGCGCCAACGGTATCGCCTTTGCCTGCACCAAAGTAGGCTTGGAGAACTTTTCTTTAATTAAGGCCTGACGAAGTCTGGGATCGAGACCAAGAGCTTCAAAATCAAGTTCCTGCTCCTCTGTTTCCTCAGGCTTAGGGGATGGAACATCATTGGAATCCAACTTGCGCTTCATCTTTGCTTTGTTGTATGAAATTTTGAGAGTGAAAGTTTCTTGGTCTTGGAAATTTCCGCGGGCGGTGATATTTTTATCAAGGCGGTGGGTCGTATCTGCGGCAGATTACTGTTATCGTCACGTGCTTTTGAAACACAAAGGTGAGTTTCTATTCTGGCTGGAACATCATCTGAAAATGAGAATTTGATTTCAAATTCCAGTTCATTATGACTTAACAGTTAAATGTTTCATTGTTGAAGTTGCTACATAAAAGATAAAGCTACATGAACGATCTAAATTCTACCTTGATATGTGAAAGCTTAATCCTGTCTTCGATTCTGTATGTGCAAACCTGATCGATAAACAAGCTCTCACTTTGCTCCACGGAACTTTTTGAAAGCCTCAGTGACGCTCATTCCTTGTTCCAATGCCTCCTTAACTTTCGCTTCAATACTAGCCAGTTTGGGCATCAATTCCAAAACAGGGCCAAGCAAGTCGCGTGGAATAGCCACAACACCTTCCACGGGATCGCAGAAGATAATATCCCCCTATAAAAGTCTTAGGACATTCTTTCCTCTAGTAATTAATGTATAAAACTCACAGGAGACACCGTCACACCGCCAACGTTAATAGGTACATTCCGCACAGCTGGCTTTGCTTCAGCACCTGTACCGACAGTCGAAGTAGCCCGGGCCCAGATCTAGGTATCTGAATGAGTTCCTCAAATTTGATTGAAAATAACAAATCACAGCAGAAGGGCTTGCTTACCGGAAGTCCTGCTGCTTGTAACTCCCGCAAATCACGCACTCGACCACTAACAACAGTCGCTTTGATGCCCAGAACTTTCATACGGGTTGCCATGTTGCCACCGGTCACGGCGCAATATTGTCCATTTGGCTGCTCAATAACGACGATAGAACCCACTTTAGACGGATCTACTGCTGCAAAATCGCCGGTGTAGTCTACCCAGTTTTTACCTGGGGGAAATCCGTGTTTCTCGGGGTTTTCAATTGCGATTGACGGTATGCTGTCATTTTTAGATAAGAATTTGAATGTTGTCGCTGGGGCAGCAACTTTCTTTGCTGTGTCGTTTCTTCCAAAAATCGGTGAGAATGGGACTAGTGATGCGTTTAGCTCTTGTAGATTCGTTATGGATGGGATTTGGCTCAATGGATCCAGCTATATCTATGGTTAATATGACAAGTGTCCTACCTAAATCGACCAAGTAGCCTGCTCGCGGCACACTTCCTTCCGGGACCGGTTGTAGCTTCAAGAGCGCATCAGACACCTAACCGTTGATAGGACGTTAGAACAGACGAGCTTCGGGTGAAAATGGCAGTTTCGTAGTATGACAACTATTTGCTAGAAATGACTTACATCGCAAGCAGTGTATTTCTCTAGAGTGGTGATTTGCTCGTCAAGGGTGGCAGACATTGTGGTGGTGTGCGGGGTATGTAGAAATGCACTATGAAAGCCACAGAGATGAATAGAATATGGAAATAATTATGATATTAATAATCTCACTGAACGAAACATGTCCGTACGTCATCTTTCACCCGAGGATATCTACTCAACCGAGAATCTCCGCCGAATCGTGGTTTACCATCGGCCTCCACCTCTATTTAGAGCCCAATTGCTGATTTAGGCCACATGGTAAGATAAAGTACAAAAAAAAAATTGAAGCCCTGAAGAGCAAGTGTCGTTATGCGCAAATATTTCTTGTTTCGCCATAGGTTGTAAACAGGAAGACAATATGATTTCTTATTCAATTACTGAAGGTAGAAGTACCCGATATAGGAAATTTGGAAAATTGAAGTCATTCTCGAAACAAATGTATAGGGTCCGGTCCCTTCCAGCTCACCCTCATTAAAACAATACCAATATCGCTGCGTTAATACCTTCGCGGTCTGTAAAACTATTGTGCTGACTGAATGGGTGCTTTACTCAGCAACCCAGACAGCTGCAACGCCCATTCCAGTGCCAACGCACATGCTGGTAACGCCAACCTTCTTGTTAGTACGCTTGAGTTCAGTCAACAAGGTGCTGACCTGACGAGCACCGGTGCATCCGAGAGGATGGCCAAAGGCAATGGCACCACCCTTAGGGTTGACCTTCTCTATTGGCAAGCCCAGCTGGTCCACACAGTATACGCACTGCGAAGCAAAAGCCTCGTTGATCTCGTAAATATCAACCTGATCCTTGGTGATGCCAGCTTTTTCAAGAGCAATGGGAATGGCCTTCCACGGGCCGAGTCCCATGAGAAGGGGATCAACGCCAATGACGCTGGCAGAGACGTACTTTCCGATGATTGTCTGGCCCAGGCGCAGTGCAGTGGAGCGTTTCATGAGCAGGACGGCGGCGGCACCGTCGGAAATCTGGGAAGCATTACCTGCATGGATGGAACCGCCCTTGACAACAGCGCGAATCTTTGACAGCGACTCTTCGGTCATACCGGGGCGAATACCGTCGTCGGCCTCGACGTTGATAGTCTTGGTCTCACCAGACTTGGGGTCGACCCAATTGACTTTTAGGGGAGTAATCTCCTCCTTGAAGAGACCTTCCTTCTGGGCCTTCTCGGCCTTCTGGTAAGAAGAGGCTGCGAACGCATCCTGAGTGGCACGTGAGACATTACGGTCTTTAGCCATGTCCTCGGAAAGGATGAGCATTGGCACCTTACAGTTGGCAGACGCAGGGTGGCTCTCTAGAAGCTCGGAGAATTCGGTAACTGCACCGGGGCTAGACAAGGAATTTTATTAGCGATTTAGGATATAAAGAAATGATGTAATAAAAACTTACCCATACTGCAAGCTCATGCTCTCGACACCCGCACCGATACCCACGTCAATCATATCAGACTTGATGGCATTTGCGATGTCGATAATGGCCTGCAAACCACTGGAGCACTGACGGTTCAAGCTCTTGACCGCAGCCGAGTCCGGAAAACCAGCAAGAAGGGCAGCCGCACGGAACTCTGTGGCACCGCCACCGGGGGAAGGACGGAGCCAACAGCAATATCCTCGATAGCCTTGGGATCAATACCACTCTTTTCTATCACGGCTTTGAGGACACCAGCAAGCAGATCGGCAGCCTGGGTATCCTTGAAACCTCCCTTGCCACCTTTAGTCAGAGCTGAGCGCAGAGCACAGGTGACAACAATGTCATCGGGGTGTTTAAAGGTGATATCATTGCCGGCTCCAATACTAGTGTTGGGATTCTGCGTATTGAAGTTGAGATGAGACTCAACTTTCGCGAGACGCGGGACGATAGATGAAACTACAGAGAGAATCATAGTTAATTTCAAGCACTGGAAAGAAGTGGTGTTGATGGATAGCTTAGATGGAGCATACGCACATGTATTCATAACGAGATTTTAACTGCAATGGAAAATATCAAGGAGACGATTACTCCACTGAATGTCGCGGTTAAGAACAAAGATAGAGAAATCAAAGATGGGGACTCCACTGCTTCAAGATCTCGATCAGATCGTTTAAGCTCATGCTGGGCCGAGGCATGACGGAATATCGGATAAATGATGCTCTCGGACTACTATTATTCCGATAAAATGGGAGCATACTTAGCTAAGACCGAAGCATGTGATTATCAGGGCTTTTGGTCACATGATATTGGTTCATTGTGGTTTTAGTATAATCAGGCTAGTATAAACCACCGTTATATTGTTTCCAGCATTTTAGTGCTCATCCCCTCGCTGCTATTGCTCACTGAGTAGTGGGCATACCTCTAGGCTCTGAGTATTATATAAGCTGATTGATCTGCTCACTGAGTATGTCGATACCACCAGACCAAAGTGGGGCACAGGACCAATGAGAATGGTTACGATGCTGTTGGTCCAGCGACGTGGAGTGAATCTAGTGAGTTTTATCTATTTAGTTACAGCGAGGACAAGATTGAAGAGACACACCTCTTACAACTCGCAACGATACATTTACATAGTAGATGCATATGCAACAGTAAGACGAATCAAACCATCGTTCCGACAGAGTATCATGTTACACTCAGAGAGTAGTCCGATTTATTTACTGAGCAAATTCTGGTAGATCAAATGTTGAAAGGTCACCGGCTATGTAAGCTGCGGTTATACTAGTGCATGAAAATAAGGCTCTTCGCACTGCAAATAATAGAAAAGAGCTGAAAAGAGCGCTTCCGAATCGCCAAATATCTAATAAAGGTGATGTGGTCAGACCTTTATGCATATTCTAAGAGATGCCCCAATAGATCGAAAGGCCAATTCTGAATATCAGAGTCTGCCAACTTCATAGGCCCCTCAACTCCAACAATGTGAGTGTGAGGCTTGCAGAAAGCCTAGTCATAGAAGATAGATCTGTCTAGGTCGCCATTGATAGCTCTTTTCAGTCGTCTAGTACAGATTTTTGGGATCTTGGAAAAAAAATGCTGGTCTAAGCGGGTGGCCCGCTTAGGAAATATGTTAGTACAGTTATTATATTAACGCATAAGTTGCAAAGTAATATCAATTTAGACTCGTTTCAAAATATCTCTGGCTTTTCAATTTTGTGGGTTGAAAGATAGGTGATTGGCAAGAAGAAATCCCTCATTACCATTAATCTCTCTACTTAAGAGAGAATCCACACCCACAATAATTCAAAAATAGTAAAGGCCTCAGAATTCCTTGGGACAAATCCTTGTCATCTGTTTACTGCCATCCTTTATAGCCGAAAATAATTGTAGAATTTCTCGGTCAGCAGAGAAAATTCCGCTGTGGAAATAGGTACATCAGTAAAGAGTTATAACAGCAAGCTCAGACTTAAGTCCCTTACGGTAATAGCTCTCCAACAAGCCACGGTAAATCTACGGATTACTGGTATTGAAAGGACAAGAATTTATTGACTCGATATTAGATGTTTTTATTTGATCATAATATACTATTACTCCAACCCTTAGACAGAGAATGAAATTAATATATAGTTAATGATAGAAGAGAAGGGTCAGAATTAGAGTAAATGAAGTGAGAGTGAGAGAAATTTAGGTGTCATCTTATTATATTCCTTAAAATTTTCCGAGATTTTTGTGTCAACTTATGAAGCTGCCTTTGTATTTCATCTTTCTTTATCTCTTCATACACACCTATATTGAAAAAATATAATAGAATCCAAGTGGGCCCTGGATCTCTTCGTATCGAGACCAACGGTTTTCATCATTAGAGTGGATGAGGGTCTAACATATGCAAAGGGTGATGAAGAAGTCCATCTTGGCTGAATTTTCGTCCAGACCGACCTCTTCATCTCAACCAAACTCATCCTCGATCGGGCCAATCTTAGGATCTATCTGACGAATAATCTTTTGAGTATTCCCTCTTGGTGTTGGACTTGAAGACTAGAATCCTTGATCCTACTTATTTGTAGCCTTGGAATAGCCCTTTCAATGATAGATCATATATTAGCCTAGATACCTTCCGAATTCATCTTGGGAAATTGTTACCTAACCGCTAGGTAAATCAAGAAGACTGTCAGAAAGCCGAATCTCCTATTTATGAATGTTTAATATACGCATAAATTAATATATTTCTGCTCAAAAAGCCATATTTGTTCGAGAATTAGAGTATTCAATTCATTTATCAAACTCTGGCTTCTGGAGGATTGTTGATATTACTATAATTAGTGGCTTCAGCCAAGGTTTAAAAATCATATTTCACTCTATACCTAAGTATTGTCCTACATATTGCTATAGTGGATCAGTCCTGCAGGATTCCCAGAGCCTTCAGGGCCATCTCAAATAATACCTTATGTTTATTTGTCAAACAATTCACTCAAATCACTCATAGATGTATAAGTTTAATCTTGTTTCCTTTGAGATAGCTGAAGTTGAATCTGCTTTTTCTATTCATCATTGTTTCACTATTATCTTTATCTAAGATCTAGGTTCTACATTGGACTCTAAACCATGTGGTATATTTTGACACTTTTAATCCAGAATTGCTTTCTGTTGATTTTTTTCCCAATATGGACTTTAGGGTCCCCAATAAACACCCTCTCAGATGAATCTAGTCTGACAGTGACATCCGTCTCCGTTACACCTTTGTTCCTCGCCAACTTTCCAGAAAACACTCATACCTCGACGATTGGACGGAATGGCGAGGCTACCCCAGTACCCGTTCTAGGTGGTTCCGAATGCTGGGTTAGTGTCTATAATTTTCAAATATGGAAGAAATCACCTAACACAGTCCGTTCTAGTTTTGCCCAGACAATGAGAGTGGTAATACCATAGGAGGATGGGCCCTACTAGGCATTAATGGCCCAGGAAAATTCCAACCGACCATTCCTACCAATTTTATAGATCCTATCCCTGTTATCACAGTGTCAGCAAATGGAGATCCAACTTATACGCCTTCTTCAGAAACACACGATTTGGCTACAGAAGTCAAAAGAGAACTGCCAAACCCAGAGGTCAAATACGATGTTGTTAAAGACCTTAGGTACCAAAAGCTAGAGAAGGCTTATAACAAATACAGAAGCTCCAATCCTAAGCTGAAAGAATGGGATTGGAAGGATGGCGGTTCCTATGCTGTCAGAGTCAGTAAGTAGATACATTTCCCAATGCTTCGAAAAAAATGCTTCGAAAAAGGATTATTCTGGAGCTAATGATTCAAAATAATAGATATCAACAGGAAAGTTCTGGGCGTATCAATTCCAAAGCGTTATCAGCTGGCTGTTGGTAAAATCACACACCAGTATGATGATGCCGAATCGTTCATGGACGATGATTGTAATTTACAAATTACTCGAAGAGTCCACGTTTCTTATCAGGGACTTGGATACGATATATCGGCAGGAGACACAGAGACATATTTCACGTTCAGCTTTAGTAAACTTTCGTCCTCTCATTGGGGGATGCGAAAGGATACTGATTGCACTTTTCTCGGCCCTGTCAACCCCGATATAACACAGGCCACAATTATGACCCTTGGAATAGATTTGGCGGCAAAATTGAACGAGTCAGGACCGCCTGAGTCGTTCGTAAACAAGTGCAAGGACTTCGTCAATCGGTTATATAAATCGATCAGTGGTGACTGAGTGGCAAAATCCTATTCTTTCAGCGCCACGTAAAGCAGGTATCTAGGTAGGGATAAGAGACAGTCTGAATCCCCAAAAATTTAAAAGTCATGCCATTATATTGTATGTAATCTTGGAATATGGTGGGCACCGCGTTTGTAGATCTCGTCCCGTTGAGCAAAGTGTTTCCTACCTATAGATGAAAAACTCTAAGATTTAATCGAAACTTCAAAGTAATGAGATGAGGGTAAAGTAAAGTTAACACATAAGACTATAGTGGGCAGTCTAGTTTACTCCACTATTAGGGTCCTGGGTGTAGAGTATTGGGCCAAATATAATATTGAACTAACAGCTGTCAGCGTCCCAAGGGCCGGGATAGGTAGAAAGAACACGAGATAAGCTAAAGCTCTGGTGGAAGTGAGGATAAGTACATTATCACTGGTAGTAAAAATACCGTGGTGTGCTAGTGAAGATTAGATCTGAAGGAAGTAAATAAGGAGCCTGACGAGCTGAGATGTGACTGTTAGAAGTAAAGCTCATGGCTATGGTGGCGAGGCCACCGCTATCACTTGCCGGGGGAATTTGCTCTTCTGGGGTAGTCTGAAAGATGAGGTTCATCTCTTGAATCCGAACTTGCGTCGCCTAGACACATCATTGACCCTAACCATACTAAGGATGGTGATCAGAGTAATTTCGCTGACTTTTACCAGCACCCACAAACTGAGAACCTCTTTTTTGCAATTAAGGAGACCTCACACAACTTGAAGGAAGTCAGAACCGTCGTAGCTTTACTTGACACATATATTAGACGCGATGTCACACTTTTCATCGGCGCAGACTTTTACAATCATCCATATCCAGTCTTCTCGGGGACCGGGTGTGTTGGATCCAATTAGGTCATGGCTTCTCAATACTGGCACCCATAATCTCTAGGTTCCAAAGTTTCAACTGTCAGGCCAAGCAGCAGCTACCTTGTGTTTTTATAGCCCACGAGGATGACACGCCATCATCATCCTTCCATGAAATGGGAATGGCAGTTTCTCACATTGCAGAGCATTACCATAGTTCTTTAAAACCACTAAGGTTTAACTGGCTACAGCAAGCCCACAGGCAGGCACTAATAGGGGGTTAGGGCGAGACTGACGTGGACGTAGTTGCAAGCTGACACCTTGCAGGAACCGTGCGACTCATTGACTCTCACCGTGTTGGTATTATAGGTATCAGTATGGGTGGCTATTTCACTCTACAGGAATTAAATTCAAAGGTAGAGCAACTTTAAAGTACCTCGTGATCTAGTAAGTCCCAGTGAATGGTAGTCTTTTCAGCCAATTAAAGATATAGGAAATCATCCCATCCTCCTTTAATACTCAATCGAACTTTATATTTTCAAGCGACACTGAGGAACATCGTAGGAATGGCCAAGTCCCCGACTGATAGAATAGTCCCCAGGTCCCCATTTATACTCTAAGGAGTAGGAGGGAGTTCACTGTATAATATGTATATGTATGTGTTAGCATACTCGTCAGTATATCTATGTACCTAAACTGCTTTAGTCCGACCTCGGCATCTTCAATAAGTCAAGACTTGCCGCACAGAAATCATTTGCAGATCTTCCAGATATCAGAGTGGCATCTTGAACAAATCTGGACTAGAATAGAATGATTTTGAGAGTAAAACATCAATATCTAAATTTACAAATATTTATAGTACAAGCCGAGGGAAAACACATAGGAGGGAATTAGATATCTCGGACCCAAGAACCATCTTTCATGTGCCCCTCACGCTTTGATCCCTCCTCAAGCCAGGTCTCGACAAGACCTTCTTTCGGATCCTCATCCGGAAGACCACGAGATCTTCGCACATCTAATACGAGGTTTCGAATCTTTAGTGTGACTTCCTTGCGTAGCTCAACAGCTTCTTTGTTGTGCAAGAGTTCCTCGCTCAAGACACCAAATGGCAGGTCTTGAGATTGAGGATCGGCCGCAACAACCTTGGCCTTGAGATTTTGCCAGCGTGTCCGTACATTGTCAAATACTTCCTGGGAGTCAACCTTTGGGCCGAAAGTCACACTGACCTTCTTGCCGGGACGGGGAAGGAATCTTGGGTACTCTCGGCTCTCATGCATAATATCATCAAACCCTTCAATCCACATAGGGACCACATCGGGGCACTCGCTTGCTTCAAGGATAAGTCGCGCGATGCCCCACTTGAAGTATCGCATGGTTTTACGCGGTGCTTGGTGGATCTTACCCTCGGGAAAGATGTGTACCCAAGAGTATGCATGGCAGGAAAATGCCGACGGTGCTAGGTGTGCATCGTTACCATTTGTTGTATATGCGACGGAAAGCTCGGAGAAGGGATCAACGCAGACGTTTTCGAGACTGAACTTTTGGAGTTCCGGGGCAGCGCGGTGGTGGTCGACGGGGAAGGGGCCATTGGAGAGCAATCTAATAGCCTCTGTAATTGCTGGTTGACCAAGTCCACCGAATGGAGAATGGGCGAGGCGATGTGTGGGTAGAACTTGTCCCAATGAGAAGAAGAACGAAAGGGACCTGTAGAGCATCCTCTGTCAGAATCGCGCCAACCTTCTGCATGTGGTTCGGATTGTAGATCTACCTTGTCTGATAGCAGATATCATGACTACCAAAAGACCAACGCTTGTTCCAAAATCGGAATGGAAGCAGTCCCCAGATCAAAGGATCGTCCATACTATTGTTCATAGAAGGTCAGCAGTGTCCAAGCCCTAATGCCAACACACAATGCGATTCAAGGTTTCTTGCAGACCTACACGCTGGTATGGTTCGAGACTAAACTCAGGAAATCATTGTTAGCAATATGTTTTGTATCAATCTATACTCCGAATGTGACAAAGTACCAGTAATCAGTCCTTTCGTCCTCTGCGATGGATCCCTGCGCGATTCCAGCAGAGCAATGAACTCTTCACCCCCATGAACCTCTGCATGGCTCAATAGCGACAAGAATGCGCGACAAAGTCCACCGACTCCCCACATGGTCATGTTTGAAAATGACCGCCATGGAAGAGACGGGGCATCCCCCGTTGCGCCGGAGTCCATTCTGCTGAATTTTGGGACAGAAGCTCTACAAAAAATCCATAAAAAGTTTTTGGTTAGCTTATCAAGAGGTTAATGGCCTGTCAATTAGCCGTTTTCCCGGCAGAACCAGTGATTGCGCAGTAAGAGACTGAACTAAAAAACGTCGCGGAGACACTTTCCAATATTTTGAAGTCACATGACCTCACTGATTGATAGATACCAACGCACGGACCAATCGTACCTCCGATTTGTGGCACGATTTTCGCCGCGGCCACTACTCACTATACCACATTAATCCAGCATGTTTAAGCCTACGCAAAGCCTATTTGGAGGTCTCCTCTGGTATGAGTCGTCTTTGCCCTTATATGACTGAGGCTTTCAGAACTAACAATGCCCTTCCGGGCTCATAGGAAGACCCCTTGGCGTCTCTCTGCGCCGCAAAAGGCCCGGCAGCGCAAGCGTCTGCGCGCTGTGGACAATGTCGTCGATACCGTTAGTGCTGCCCTAGAGCGCACTGGTCAGACTTCAAAGGCTGTTGCCCGGTGGTATGCGGAGATGCCACGAGAGGAGGAGATGCTGCCCAAGGACAAGTACACTCTCTTCGACAAGAAAGAGAAGACTTACCGGAAGGGTATTCACAGTATGTCGATCCCATTGAATTAATTAGTTTGCTCCAATGTCCATTCGCGGGCTTTTTTGGCGTGATCATTGACTCATTCTTTTCCTACAGAGCTACCCAAGTGGACTCGCGTCAGTCAGCGCGTGAACCCTCCTGGTTTCTAAGATACAAACTCCATACTCCCCTCGACCATACCATATACCACTCGGCATTCCGAAAATCCGAGTTCTTTTCTGTACTATACGCCCAAAGCTCGACTCTCACGCCTCCATTGAGGGGTTTAGTTCAAGCTGAAACAGCATCCGAAGGATTTCCGGAGTTTTATGGCAATTGCGAAAAAAATCTAGGCCAGCTCTGGGAAGAGCCACAGGGGCCTACAATGTTCACTACCCAGCGATTAGAGCCTTTGCAATTCAATACTTATAAGAACATTTCTATTCGGCATCTGTAGGTTCCAAGAGACTAATGATATAGGAGGGAGTGGACAAGGAGTGGGAGCAATAATAAAGATAAAGGCAAGTGATTGCCAAACATATGAATATCTCATCAAAAGGAGTGGATGAACAAAACGCAGGGTTCCAAAATGAATGTCAAATCATAGGCGAATGTATATCAACAGATGGCAAAGGTGAATGGGATGCTTGGCCGGCCTCCCTAGGCCCGGACTTAAACGAGGGAGTACGGCAATATCTATTGATATTTGCTACGACTTCCTTCACTCGATTTCGATTCACATGCCCTTCATGAAGAAATTTATTCAGACGATAGCCTCGACGCACTTGCTGCCAGTCATCAAGCGTCTCTTGCCATCCCGCGCCTCCTTCATACCAAGCATTCTTTTGCTTTGTCGACATTTCAAAGCCCTGGGGAGGTTTCCGCAAGATCCAAGAAGATGGGTCGGTTTTTCCGTCTGGGGGCTCTTCGGCCGAATCCTCATACAGCTCCACAGTGCGGAGAACACACCGAATACCGGACACCCTCCGCTGTCGATTGACAGCCGCACGCCATGAGGATATACGAGGAGTATGTGCTCGTTTCCGTTCGGCAACTTGATACTTTGGAGTAGGACCCAGAATCGGTTCTGGATAGGGGACATTCCATCGAGGATCTCCTCGCATTCTTCGGTCATGTTGGGAAACTCTTGAAACGGGATCGGTAACGAGCCAGGTAGCTCGGTTGAGCCAGTGATTAGGCAGCAGAGAAAATTGATATGACTTGATTCCTGGAGTGGTCTCATCGACATTCCAAACTAGCTTCCGTTCCAGCCCTTCCATTAATCGAATCTCACAGTCGTTCAACGCGTCAAAGGGAATCTTTTTCCTTCTTGATATTTGTACCGATGACGGAGAATAAATCTGCAGGTTCGGTCTTGTAATCCTGGAGCCCCAAATTTCACGAACGTCCCTGGGGGCTCTGCTTGGTATATTAGTTAAAGAAAGCCAAGGGTTCTTTGATGAGACTTGTGCCCGCCGAACTCTTATTGGAGCAGTGTTATGCTTTGCTCTTTGCTGGCCATTCATGAATGAGCCATGATCTCTATTGATGCCTTGTCGGGGGATCTGAGAAAGCTTCAAATCTGAAGTCTTTGGGCGTGAAATCCTGTTCTTGATTGGAGAGGCCAGAGAAATTTCAGACACACTTTGATTTGAGGCCAAACTGGCCATCATTTCCATCAGAGGTGTTCCTGGTGGACCCGATGAATCCCGCTCACCCAATACTGTTTGGCTCCTCTTTATCTGCATCTGAGCTGACCACATACGATGTATGGGCTGTCGGTTGGTCTTAAGCTGTGTTACCGTATGAAAGCTTTGGTCCCAAGCAGTTTTGTGGACAGTTGATTGCATGTGAGGATGGCTGCTAGGTACATCAAGGAATGGTGATATTTGTGGAATACTTCCATCGAGTCCTAGGTGTAGCCAATAGCTTGACTCTTGCTTTGGGCCAATGATCTCGTTGGTGATCGGTGATGATTGTTCTTCGTGAGATTGGGTCGATGGCCATCTCACCACCCTTGCATCTGACCAAACAATGTCCTCCGAGCGCTCATCTGAGCTTTCAATATTGAATCTCAAATGATTGACACTGCCGATTTCGCCTGCCATCGAACGAGGCATGCTGTCGCTCCTGACCCTTATGATGGGACGAAGGGGGGCGATAGCATTGAACTTTTCGGGTACTCTGTGGTTTCCCATCTGTTGGGAGACTTTGGATACCGGTTTACTGAGCAATGCCCCATGGCACTCGATGGGCGAGCCTGGATTCCAAATCGCATTTGCGGTAGTAAACTCATAGCTTGTGAGACCCTCTGGCAGCCATCGCAAGGGTTGCTTGTCTCGTTGACGAGCTGTCAGTGCCTCCTGTTTGGGATCCCACCATATCCACCGGTAGTCCGTCCGAGTTGATATCCAAGCCATCCAACTTCGGATTTTCTTAAATGGCTTGGAGAAAAACGCTTTGTTTCGTTCGTGAATTTCTATCGAAACCCAGCCGTACCACGTCCTAGCATAACGAGCTGTTGTTGGTTTCCCTCCATTCAACACCCTGTGTCGAGTCAATGAGCGCATGAATTTGCCAATCTTCCAGAAAAGAATTGCAAGAACAAATATACCAACCGTGCCCGCAAAAAGCTCACCAAAAACTACGGGGTCAATGGATTTTGTCACTATGACCGGAGATGAAGAGGGTCCTTTGGGGGCGCGAGGTGGTGCAGGAGAGAGCGAATGAGTCTGTCGAATTCCCAGAGGTGCCATCTGTTTGATTCTAGATCTCCAAAGAAAGTCTTAATGATAGAAACTTTGGTTGGCATTCCATGAAAGACTTGAATGATTGCTGAATTTACATTTCTGGTTTACTCTAAGGTGCCGCTTCCATTTCAGGAAGGGACACTGACTCTAATTTTTTCTTAGATAGTGGCAGGAGCTATACCCATTGGCGGCTGAGTACTCAGCAGGCGATACTTGTATACATTGGTTATTGAAATGATTCGCCTGTTATGCTATATTACTCTATGTCGTGGCGTCTATATATTGCTTTAAGACCAAGAACCTTAGTTCAAAGCATTTAAATCCGCTCTGTCCAAAATAAAGCCTCTGCCGGAGCACTGATTGCCCTTAGTTTGACTCTCCACTATGACCGCTGGGCTTGCTTGAATGTATAGTGAGCCCAGTGCCCCTGCTTATGCCTCTATGGCTTCGGCCACTACGACAAAAACATTACCTGCCTCCATATCCGTCTCTTGATTATACCAGAGGTGGTAATTTGGCTTGACATGAGCCAGCCCTTCTGATTATTATGCCTGGCAGAGCCGGTGCAGTATTGTGTAGACTGTGGACGAAGCTGGCTGTCGGGAGTTCGCAGAGCGGCGACGTGTGTATGGGCAAGCATCAAGAGAATATTGGAAAAGTCCCAATAGTGCACATGTCCCGCCGGACACAATGACACATAGTCTTAGTTGTGGCCTACTGCCCAGGTAGGACAGTGGCCTTAGTGGTTTTAATAGGGTTTTCGGTCATAGTAACGGTGAGCCATCAGACTCTTCATCTATATCGGACGTTTATTGGATTGTCAACTGCCTTTTGAGGAAGAACTTCGAGTGTGATATCCACCTCAGAACCGGCGCAGGAGGATTCATGGTCCATGTTGACCTTCTCGAGCAGTTCCCATGCTAGACTTGCTGGCGCAATCTGATACTGTTTTCTCTCCTCTTCAGCAAAACCAAGGTCTGCGCAATATGTGAAATCTGGGCATTTTCATCGTCGCTCTTGCTATGGTTGTAGGCTGGTTGCCAGACTCCAGAGATATATTCGAATACGTGTTAGGTCCAATATTCTCCTCTTTCTAGTCTGCCAAAAGACCCGGCTATTGAATCACTTGTTTTGTGGTGAAAGAAAGATACAGCCGTTGGATGTTAATTTACTGCGCCTTAGATAAGCACGTTTGAGCTCCTTTCCTTTGTTTTAATGTTGTTGTCAAGAAGTGTGAATTGACCAGTATATTCTGTTTCAACTTGGTTGAATCGCGCGATGATCGCGTCTTGGGCGCCTTGAGCATGTCAGCATGGTTCTTCAACCTCCACAATATCACCAGGCTCTTCTCTCAAAACTGAAAGAAGTAGCCATGATTTCTGTGCAGGCCAACAATGCCACTTCACACGGGTACATTTCTTCCAACAGACCTGCCCATATCAGAGCAGTCTCATACAGGATGCTCCCGCCGCTTGACCCCAGTTAGCAACCGCTATGAGCTCGCCACCCTTATTAGCACCAGTAGGGTTTGTTGCTCCTGCTCCTGTTGAGCAGCAGTCGAGGATATAGCATGCTTTTCCAGGGATCGCCTCGATTACACTGCTTACACTGCTTATTGGGTACACTCTATAGTGGGTCCAGTGAGTTGACCAGTGTTAGGGTTTGCTTCTCCACTGTTATTTTAGGTTATTAGTAAAAAAACATTCATGAAATATGAAGTCAAGGAGTGTAACATACCCAAAATACCACTTATCCTGGATAGTCTGTGCATCGTTTGCATGTCCAGAGTACACATAGATCCGTAAATTATTGTCTCCGCTATTCTTATGTAACCAGCTTATCATTTTCTGCAGTGTATTCATGTAGGAATTTCGAATAGGGATAACATAGCTTGTAGTCTCAAACCCGTAGTATTTTTCAAATGCTTCAAGTAGCTGCTTTTCTAAAGAAGCAACCCCCATTGTATCATTTGCCCAGTGGAAAGCGAAGACTTCTCTTCAAAATCAGCGCCAACTTCGCAAGTCAAAGACTTGGTGACTGTTTGGCCAAGCCTTCACTCGATAACCCAATTGTTTGGATGATACTATCCGGAAAATACTAAAAAGCCGATGAGGGTTGGAAGTAGGAGATTTGAATGCGGAATGATACCTTGCATCATGATGGAAGAGAGGAATTAGGTAGGCATTTCTCCATAGCCTGAAGCTGACAATGTGTATCCACCATGACATAGTTTTTATAACAATAGTATCCACGAGGATGGATATTGGGAAGGGAGGTAGGAAAAAGGTCCGTTGTGATGCCAGAATTGAATTGAGTACGATGTTACCTAATATAGTCAGGATGGTGGCGCTGCATGATTCCTGGTAAGGGCAGAGAGGTCAATTAGCTCTCGTTTTGGTGGTCCATTATGCGGAATTTGACTGTCCAACTCCAGTTATTAATACTCTTTGTGCTCAGGAACGACATAGAAGGCCTGTTAATGAGGTACGCGGTGTCGCGAGACTACACCAAGGTTTTCACCTTGGTATAACCTTGGTATAACCTGCCCATTGGTAAAAATGCTCAAGTTTCTGGTTTGAGAGAGTAACAAAACCTCTGGTCACCTTCCCATGTCTCCAGGTTGGACCATCGACCAGAGGTCGACAGTGGTGATTGATAGAGAAGTCACTAGTGACCGAAAGCGACCATCGAAATATCTGTTGCGCTGGTCCATGATATCTAGATTATCGATCGAGGCTACATGCTGCAACATGCTCGTGGCATTCCTCCCAGTTCAGTGCAAGTCGAGACATGCCCTCAATTATTCTGAAGACTCCAACACGGAGTAAACCTGTCGCTTGAGCTTCTTTGAGGTTCAACCCTCCGTTAAGGGCCATATTTTCTTTGAGTGCTGATATCCATAGCCAGGTGACTTCAACTTTTTGCCGTGAATGAGTGTTATATGACAAATAGTGATTTTATCTGCCATCTTTCATGCTTGAGAGGTCGTCCTTTCTTCACAAGTGCTAATATTATCAGCCTAAGGTAGATTCCCATTCTCCTGTCATTTTGTCCCTTGTTTTGTTTCTGAAAGATGCAGTAAACTTAAGTCGACAGATATTCCAGATGACGTGACTTTGATTTTTGGCCGTAAATAGGTGTTTCGTGGAGATATGATTTACCAAGTTGATTGAACATGTGCTTTGAGATTGGACCCATATAATTAGTGATTGAACGACAGTAATTCGGCTGTTTGATACAGACATTCTGCGGTTGAGATGGAAATCTGGTGCGGTGTAGATAGAAGGGAACATGTAGAAGGGAAGATGGTTTAGGACAGCCCGGATGCCCCTATTTATACCTTAGATGTATGGGACGCAAGCTACCTTGAACGCCGTTAATAGAGTTAATATCTTTACTGACCTTTGTGGTAATGTTTTCTAAGACCATTCACTTTACTCTCACTTTCTTCCTTTATTTTTGTCTCCTACTTCTAGTCTTATTTCCGAGGTCACTTTGAAATCAAATCACATAGACTACTTATTGTCTGATACTATAAATCTTTGATTTTTGCTTCATTTGAAATCCAGGACCACAATATGAGATATGTGCGTCGTGAACCCATAGATTTAAGGCTAGTGTATATACCCTAGGATTTTTATCGTTTTTAAAAGATATAGATAGATATAAAATTGCTATGTATTACCTAGATAGGCAAGTATCAATCACACTAGAAGAGGAGAAGAGTATTTGCGAAGGTCTACCAGGTCACCCGTCGAATACAACACGTACTCCAGAAATTTCAAGTAGTCCCAACCAATACTCTCCGCTGCAATTCCCATCAAACAGAGTTGATCATCCCGACCAGGGCGACCAGGCCCAGTGATATTCTATGAATCTGCAGTGTAAGTAAAAACTCCCATATACAACAACGATTGCCTCCAAAGCTTGAACATACCGGCTTCATATTAATATCAAAAAGAGCAAACTTTGACTTGGGGCCAAAACGGCGAATATCAATCCGAATCGGAGCAGTCGTTTGAAGAAGGGTTGCAACAGTCTCACATTCTTTCATGATCGCTGCATAAGCAGCATCTGTTTCCATTTCTGCCGAGGAAATGGCCCGTGAGTTCACAGTCACAGCCACCTTTCCGCTATAAGGCGCAATACCATCAACATGGTTGAAACGTATGACAGGTGGCAAAGCCCAGTGATGAGCATATCGCTCCTGTGAGTCTGTTCCTGAGAATGACGCTAAATGTTGGGATGGTGGCATCACTGTAATTGTACCCTCTTCTCCGGCCAAGTACTCCTCAAGCAAGACACGAGGAGATTCTTTGAAGAGGAAGGCAATATGATCTGCAAGATCAGCTGCATTCTTGCAGATCTTCACTCCGTGGCTGCCACGGCCACGAACTGGCTTAGCGACAATAGGGTAGTCTTCCTCACGAATTGAACTGAGGATATCATCACAGGTCTGTGTGGGCACAGTACCACTCTGTTCTGAAGACTGTAGATCATTGACAGTCCACGATCGGGGCAATGTAAATCCCCCATATCGACACAACTTATCATTGACAAACGACTTATCGTCAAAGATATCAGCACATAGAGGCGGCTGACCAACAACTTTGATACTATTTTCGTACGGAGTCAACAGAGATGATGTCTGCAACGGATGATCCTTGAATAGCACCGTATTTGCCCATAAATGCGTGGCATCCTTCTGCACCGCGGCTAAAATTCCCGCTTCTGTATCAGGGAAACACCAATGATCCTGATTTGAAGGATCTGTCAAGTCATCGGGTGTGACTACTTTCATCCCAGACTGGTACAGAGCATACGCAACATCTGCGCCAGAGTCTCGATATCCTAGTCAATCAATGTCATTGGCGGGCCACATATTATATGACTTCTGTTTGCCATGTTGCGTACATACCACCTGGCTTTGGAGGCTTGCTCACCCCATCATACACTGGCGGGGCAAGCGCCTGAAACAGCACAGCAACAACTGGCCTTTTGGAGGTCATCTGTGCGAATGAGTTTGTTTTTAAGGCACTCTGTTTGAAGGTTTAGATGCGGCACAATATCTGAATCCAAAGCAAAAGTGGGGGCGGGGTTAGATATCCCAAGATCAATATGAATTATTGTTAATGTCTGCTGTGATGAACAGACTCCATATCAATACAGTTTAAGATATTTATTTCGTAACTATATTGGAGTCGATGAAGTGGCGAGGATCGGAGTTCCAGTTTTCGGAGAAAAGTCCGATCAGGCTCGCGGGAGAAATGCCGACTAGCGTATGACGAGGATGAGCTAGATACTGAGGAGTTTTTGTGATGTTCAATTCGGATGTTGATCATGTACTATTCAAGATTCCATATCTAGCTAATAGAAATCCAACGAGCCTAAAGGTTTGAGATAAAAGCGACCTCTGGAACGACGAATTTAGGGTAACGCAATAGAGCCGTCAAATAATTTATTTCTTATGGCGCTAAACGGCCAGCACGAAGCCTCAGCTAAGACTTCGGAGGTAATCAAGATAAACTTTGGAAAAAATACCAGAAACACGAAGACTCAAAACCCGATCAACGCATTACCAAAGGAAAGCGACAGGAAAAGAGACGTGGGCGATACATGCTCAAAGCTTTACTTTTCCCAAGTGCAGGCACAAACAGGCAGTTGCTATCTGCAGCTACCTGTACCCGGGAGGCTGTCAATGTAGAATTCTCAATTCTTCCAGGTGATAGCTCATGCACTCGAGGTTGTAGAAGGTCCTTATCGACGAACATGGACGGAGAGTACCATGAATGGTGAGTGAAATTCAAAACTGAACTTATAGCAAGCATTCAGCTTCCCTTATCCTGGCGATATAACTTCTCAAAGCCATCGCGAACAGCCTCACGCACACTAAAGCCACCAAATAGCCAGTCATTTGAATGCCGACCGTAATGGTTGACAGTCCCACTGTAACGGCGATAGTCATCGTTACTCTTGCGGATTGAGCTTGGCTCACGTTTGATGAGCTCTGGCTTAGGTGAATGAGGGTGAAAGGTATGAGACATATCTGAAGAAGTCTTCTCCGAGTAAGGAGTACTCCTTGGAATGTCGCGAGATGTAAAAGTGTCGGAGGATTGTCGCAAATCGCTCAGAGGGATATCGAAATGGGAAGGAGATTTGGACTTTGACCAGGACAGTTTCGATGAGATTTGATTAATCGATCTGTGAGTTTGTTGACTTTCGTCGGAGCTTTGAGTGTCTCGAGATGAAGTGGAACTTCTTGTTGATACTCGAGCCAAAGAGTGGCTTGGATAGTATGATTCAGGCATTGTTTGAAGTAACTTAGAAAGTGGACGAATATTTCAAAGATGAAAACTAAAAGACAGCGGTCTCTCTCTATTTATCTACCTGTTTATCCTCCTCTACCAAGGTTCTTGTGGGGCACAAGTTCCGTCTCTGAATCATAGCATCCTATAAGGCAACCAACCAGAACGCAGAAGAATATTCCAAAAAGTACGCTCAGACACATCAAAGGAACGCCCGGGTAGGTAGCCAATCTTTCCCGCCGTCATAGTCGAAAATTGGCCAATTGTAGTGTCATGTAGCCCCCACTGTTAGTGGCTAGTGAGTGCTTTTGTCGGTGAGATTTTAAGAGCTAAAGAGAGCGATGACCGCCAAATGGACCCAGCAGACCAATGACAGATTGTTTCTGCCTTGAAAGAGCCTCCAAGACTCGGTGGAACCCCGCAGATTCACCGCTGAATACGATACGATATGCTAGTACTTCGTACTACCACTGTGGGGATAATTTTAATGCAATCCATCGCCTGAAGTCTGCTAGAAAACAAGTATTTAGTTCTGATCGGTATCACTTCAGCTTTCCACAGCGGAATCAAGCAACACTCAACAGGGCCAGGGTTGAAGGTCAACTTTGTTTGTCTGTCAGCTGAGAGGCTACTGAGCCGAAGCAACCAAGGTGACGCAAGTTGTCCTGCTTGTTATCTAAGCTAATCAACGTCCCTCTTTTGGTACTTTTGCACTCATTTTCTTTTGGGAAAGCTAGTTTATCTATATCATCGTCAGTGGCAATATTGTTAATAATTTCTTCGAAGATACTGAATTGATTCCATGCAGGTAGGTATCAGAAGATCGTATAGCCCTCAGGGCCAGTAGTAAAAAATGCAGTATGTATGTATGTACATGATAAATCCAAACGATCAGAAGACAAAGTCCGATCAGATGAATGTCAACCAAAACTTCCAAGTCTCTCATACTGAGTGAACGCTTCAAGTAAAGATAAAGCAACAACTCCCATGAATGCATGCTTGGCTTCTAGAAAACAAAAAACGCAGAAGAAAACAAAAGAAATTGAAAGAGAATGTCAAGAGTTTGGCAACAAGTTCAATCTGGGCAGCTCCAATATTCACTCCTCCTCTTCAAGCGTCCACAGACCAGCACCAGGCTCGGCCCATGATCTTGGTCGCTCAGAGTGCGTCCTCCGATGTGGCCTCTCTAATTCAGGAACCAGGTTCGGGGTACTATCAGCCTTATGTAAAGTTGGCAGAGCCGCCCAAGTCAAATCAGTAACGACCACGGTCTGTTTTGCCGATAACCGCGGTAATATCCAGCGATAAATCCTGCGCCGACCGGTCTTTCTAGTTGGCGAAGTAACAGCTGATCGAGTCCTTTTGAACAGTGGTCGACGAATTAGTCGACAAAAAATGTTCCGCCGAGCGTTCTTTCGAGGGTTGGGGATGATCGTGGATATGATTATCTCATCCTCTGGTTCTGGTTCCTCTTGTGACCATACACGATGCATTCGTGGACTCAGTGGCGGGGTTCGGTCAATACCAGCCATCTCAACGTCGTCGGTCATATCCTCTAGAAAGAGAGGTGCCCTTATAGTCGTTTGTTCAAATGTCAAGGATGGTGCCCGTAGGGATGAGGATGCGTGTTTAGACATCAATGTGCGTAGGTCAAGACTTTGCGCCTCGCACGTGCATAGTTTGGAGTTGGAACCGCATTTACAGTGCGGCCAGGAGTGGTTTCTTCGGTGGCGGCGTAGAGGAGCCATGCTATGCTGAAATGCAGGGAAATAAATAGGAAAATATGTATTTAGTTTGCATAGGGAATAATTGCAGCTTTTATTTCGTTCTCATGGTGGACATGATACTGGATTTCGCAATATTCCTTTGATGAAATGAGTCAACTTCTCAGCATGAAAGATTTTTTTGGGCGCTGTCCTCGTTATAAATTAAATCTCTTGGCCGAAAGCCATGGACGGGCGAACCAGTCCACACGTGCCAGGGCAAATGGCCTGTAAATGGCCCGGGTGACTGGCTATCATCCTCAATCTTGCTGAAATGACCTGACTAGAGGAAGAAACCTTGGAACGTAGGAAGGGTTGTGGGTATATTTAGGTACTGAGTACCTAATGATCTGCATATGGGTCCAGCAGATGTGGTTCCCAGCCCTGTGGGTGGATTCGAGTTCCCGTGGTCTACGGGTGGACTTGAAGATCGAAGATGCGATCCATGGCTGTACCTGGTACCTAGTTTTAGTTTTACCAAGGTACCCGAGTGCATTCCTGGGTTATCACTTGCATATATCTCAGAAGACCTGACCGAAGCTAGTTACCATGGCGTTGGCACTGCATCGAAATCTGGAGTAAGATCGAAAATGAAATTGGGGGCTGATCTGGTCCGGAGGCCCAATCGCGGGGCAATAGTTATGCCTAAGTCCCATGACCAACCATCTCCAGCCTCTGAAGAACCTGATTTTAATTACAAAATTGAAAAAAAGTCCAGATATCCCGTTTTCTTTCAAATTTTAATTTCAAAATTCTCAATTTTAAAAGCAGCAGTCCAATCAAAACGTTAGAAGGATTGGCGAAGTTAAAAGGCTGGGGCTGCACGTGACTTCAGCTTACAGGCAATTAATCGATGGATGTTTTTTTCTCGCTAGTTGTCTATTTCAGTGGGCTATCAAGAGAAGAAATAGGGAATTGCTACAGCTACCGCAAAACCAAGCTTATATCAGCTACCCACCTCATCAAAAAAATAACAGCTCTCAAAGTAAATACCATACGAGATCACACAGCGAGCGGATCAACCCAGAACACCATAGTAAACTCGAAAAAAATTGAATATCATATCTCAAAAACCATGACTCCGATAAGATTCAAATATCCGGTGATATATAACGATAATGTTCCTCATAAAGAATCAATCTATTTTCAGTAAACTAGATAGATAAATTGTAGCGGTACCATAAGTTACGGTGTAATTTATCTATTTTGGCTTTAACTACACTTCACTTAATGATTTCCTAATCTTTCTTTCCATAAAAATATTTCCTTACCTAGAAATAATCTAATTCAAGATTTAAAATGATTTCAAGTTGTGGTTGTCTGTTATTTTTTTTGATGGGCTGATATAAGCTTGGTTTTGGGGTGCCCCTAGCCAAAAGTTTGGCCCTAGCAATTCCTGATGAGGTGGGTGGCTGACATAAGCTTGGTTTTGCGGTGGCTGTAGCAATTCCCGAAGAAATATATGTGATTAGTAATATTTTCTCTGTAGTTACATTTGATGTGTGCATAAATAGTTGTCCTGGTGCATCGATCATTGCAGGTTCGGACTAGCATTTTCTGGGTAATATATGCAAAAATGGCTATGCTTACATCAACCAACACCAAGTGGTCTAGTGGAACTGGACTATCTTATCTTCCTTGGTCTAGTGGTCATGATTTCCGCTTGTCATTAATACTGATAAGCGCGGGAGACCGGGGTTCGATTCCCCGAGGGAGAGATTTCTTTTTACTCTTTTTTTTTTTCTCCATCAACAATGAACACCTACTGGAATTACTGCATTTGTAACTAAACAATTTATTCAGACACTACATTGCTCTAACTGAAGACGTGCAAATGGTCCACATTTTATATAACCCGTAGTATTATGTCACAGACATAAACATCAACTTATCCAAGGATGTACTTTCCCGAAGCTACCTTGTCAAAGGATCCTGTAATTCAGGTGTATTGGGCCTTATATAAGTCTGCCTCGAAGTACTGCCAGAAATTCATCACGGTCTATCCGCACATTAAATCTGCTCAACAATCGGGAAGGAAGATTATCTTACCTACGCTAGTTTCAAAAATAAATGCAAGAGATCCCTCGTGACTCTCCACAATTGTCGACTTAGGACCTCGAGTCATAATATTCATCATATCAAGAGTCACTCCACGAGAATAAGGCAATCGCGGAAAGTTCACGCGAGTACCATCTCTAGACTTGTCAGCAAGATCAGATGGGACCGCCATCGTCAGCCACTTATTTCGCACATCGTCCTGCCAGCGTGCCGCAAGCTGGAACGAATCTCCCGCTCGCCGCCAGAGTTGAAGTCTAGCTGCTCCTTTCTCGGATTTCTTCTGGCCAAAAATAGGCCGGGTTTTGGTAGATAATGAATGTATGCGACGTGAATAGAGAAGTTCATACAAAGGTGACAACGCGCTGAGGAATGCGCGAGAAATAGCCTCATCGTCGAATTCGACTGTGGCTGGCCCAATCTCAAGTTGGCAATGCGAAAAGCCGATCGGAGAGTCGGCCGCGTACAGCTGATCCACATGGTTTGAAATATAATCGGTATAGGAGGCTCTAGGAAACTGGATTTTGAGTGGCTGATTGTAGACAAAGTCTGCATCACGATAGAGATAATAGACGTCGGAATATTGCCATGAATCGTTATTTTGAAACAAGACTAAAGCTTTGCACTGTTTTTGCTCCATGTTCGTATCTACCACGTCGTAGATACAACCTGAACTACTAGGCTGTGACCATGCAAAGCATGTCTTGAAGTTCATCTCAAGAATGGCGTTCTTCAACTCCACAGCTGCTTGTGGTGTGCGAAAGCGCAGACTTATGCCGAGATTTGGCATACTGTCGTCGTATACATAGGAGTGCAGCATGTTATAGTTACCGTCTGTTTTGTCAAATCGCTCCTGACAGGTGTCCGACCATTTGAGAAGTACCTGGTTAGATTCGTCTTCGTGGTAAACCCGAACTCGACTAAGTGGAAGGAAGAGCTCAATGCAGCGTGAGGCCTTCTCTGCTACAGATAGACTGATAACCATTCTTCTCATGCAGCGCCAGGCCTCACTGAAGGATCTCTCCAGGATGCGAACTTCACATGACTTTGATACTGCTGGTAAGTTTATGGGAATCAAATTCGGCATCTTCGGTTGCTCTAGCGTTTCCACATAATTCTTAAAGATGACACTCTCGGTGAATTCTTTCGAGTGAAGTGGTTGCCGTAGTTTTACGGCATTGAAGTAAGAATTTGGCATTGCGATGAAATTGGTAAGGTGCGCTTCAAACTGGAAATATATAGTGACGCTGGTATTGTTAAACTTGAAATATAAGGGTTCCGAGATCTGAGTTCCTGGAAACCTAGCCAGAGCAGCATTGGAAATCTCAACCATCTGTGGTAAGTCTTCAGGTACAACTACGATAATATCAGCAATTATTCTTGGGCTATTTCATGTGGAAAGATCTTACAGTCACGTTGAAGACACAAAGACCCACTCTGATTGCACAGAACAATCTTTGGTTCACTTTCAACTTCCTTTGCAGTGAGCAAGAGCATGTAAGGCGCGCGCTTGGTGCGCATGCGAAACTTCTTGCTACCTATTCCCGCATTTACAAATGTGCGGTATAGGAATTTTTCTTCCTCATTGCCGGCATCATCCTGATTGACAGCTATCCAACGTGTATTTTCAGTACCGAAGGAAAGGTCTGTTATATTGGGAGTCTCTTCATATTGAAGAGGTTCCCAGATTTCAAGATTCTGCGAAAGTAGCATCGACGGATCAGGGATGTCTATGGATGTAAATTGAGAAAGCTCCTCATTAATACCCTGTAACACATCAGCATATCTAGATTGGTTTTTGGAGCATGTAGGGCCTACCTCAGAAATTTCAGCAATGGACTTTCGATTCTCATCTGATAGCAAAGCAGGTGAGCTCTCATCCTGAAGGACAATGTTGTAAAGAATGTATGAGGCTTTCAACAAATTTACGTAGGCTTGCTGGGAGTCACTCCTGAGGTCTGTAGTTGGACTCATACTACCTCTGGCATTGACATAGTTATGTCTACTGCAGTTGGCGAGTGTATTCTTTGCTTTTAATAGCCACCATATGGCAACAACAAGCCAGTCTCTCATGATTATTGTTCGAACTTGAGGCCCCCCAATTATTGAAGCCTCAAAAGCCTTGATAGTCTCAAAGTCCGGCCTGTGTAGTTTGCTTTGTGGCACATACCGGATCGGCTGAGTGAGTTTTTCTTCTAATCGTATTTGATTCAGCCCGTGCATTACTCGGTCGACTGCCTCCATAACATCATCATATCCCAGATCTAGGCTTGATACCTCACTTTTCTCATGTAAGCCTTTTTTATCAGAATCGGCTTCCCAGTAGATCTCCTCAATTTCGTGACTGTACACTGAATCTTCGTAAATAATCTGATCACTTCTATGTTGAGCCCCGCCGATTCTCCCATTCACCGTCTCAGAAAGGGAATAGTTGGAATTAAAGGACAGCGGCAAAGTAGGTGTTATTCTAGCATAACTGGTTCCTCTTGACCTCAGCGAAGCGATCGAATTCGATGAGGTGGATATCCGTACTAGATTCGGCCCATCTCTTAGAATCCTGGGAGATATTCGAGGCCTAAGTCGTCGAGGCACTTGAACCGGCTGTTCATGCTCACTGGAACTCTCATCTTTTTCGCTCTGTGGCAAATTTGCGATATCTAAATCTGCGCTAGAGAACGAGAATGAGTCGTGCAGAGACTTGTCCATCTGATTTGACTCTTTCATGCTTCGTTGCAAGAGGACACTGACGGCACATTAGAGAAAAACGATCATAGAGGAAGTAGAATATTTGACTCACTTTCTGATAGAGCCTGTAAAAAAACTAAGATTACATGAATGAACCAAAATCTTAGACCTCAGGTCTTCAACATGTGTCTGCTGTGTGCTCCACTTGATTTTCTGCCAGAATTGCTTTCCCTCACCGATACCAGCCTCTTGATACCGCTGCAAGAGAACCTTGAATTGCTCCAGAGCTTGAAAACATGCATTGAGACATCGTTCCAGAACTACTTTGCGACCTTCGCCCATTTTCTCAAGAAAGGGAGTTTTAGAGCTGAAGTCATTCTCCAGTGTTTGAGCAATATGTTGCATTAGGCCCAACTCTTCAACTAGACTCTGGAATCCATCGGGGGCGTCCTTTGTGATGGGCTGGCATCGGCTGTATAGTTCCCTTGTCACTTCTACAAGAGTAGGGATATCAAGTATAGTGAGGTTCGACGACATGATATGGAATCTGGCTAGATACAGAGACTGTAGCTTGAATGATTGACTAGAAAAGCAAGTCAGTAGATAGAGCACTACCCTTTGAGTGAAAATCCAGCATGAAACCTTGTTGAACAATCCAGCTTACGCCGCCCCTATCAAATCTCTGATACCGTTTCAACTGGATGGAGTAAACAGATCTGAATTATTTAAAAGCAAGAAAGTAGACACGAGGGAAATTTCAATTTTTTTTTCTGGCAATGTGAGAGGATGGGACGACTTAAAAGAAATTCGCCTTCGGCCCAAAGATAGGACTGTGGAAAGATAAAGAAGAATCATTACGGTTTTTGAATCAAGTAAATTAAATCGACAAGCGGCATAAAATCCTGGACTCGGTCGGCTCCTTTGATCGTAGTTCTTGCTAATGATGGATAACAATGCCAGAACAAAGAAGACGAGACCCTGGCTATTCAGTTTGAACAGTGAAACTGAAAGGTGATACACCCATGGACGAACAATGCTGATTCCAAATCACGTTCACTCTTATACCTGGAAATCAGAATTATACCTAAGTTTGTGCGTGCTATACGGAGTACGCACATCTAATCTGGCTGGGTTTTTTCTTGAGAAATAGATGTGTGCTTGTTGGATCTCGAAACGCATTCTTTTATGCAGTTTAGAAGAGGGCTCTTGGCTAGCTGTCACATTTATCAATGGAAATTACTACAGGTACATATACTACTTCTCTAATTAGGATACTAATTTTCAAGTTCTATTCCCGATTCAGCGTAGGACGGTATTGTGGGTTGAAGGCCAGAGACCCCACGGCCGGGGCTGCCAGCGGAGGGGGTTCGTGCAATAGCCTGGGGGAGCTGTAGGCCAAAGCGTAGACAGAAGCAGATCCTTTCTACCTCACAGTATCCATAACTTTCATTTTCTCGATATCGCTCTGGCAACTTCATGCAGAAGATTCAATATGATTTGAGTGGTAGTGTATTTGTGTATTCCTGTACTTGCACCCAGTATCGATGCACAGGTGCTGAGAAGAAATATGGCTAGCGAGGAAACACATGTCTACCTGTGTTTCCTCGTAAGCTGTTTTGAATCGAGAAGTGACAGTGTTCCAAAGTTTCAGGAACTCTCTCTTCCCTTTTTTTATTCCAGATCAAATTGAGATTGTGCTCTCCAGCTCTTTCTATTCAAAATTTGTTCCTTTTCCGCTCCTCTACTTCAAACTTCAAAGGATTCCAACGCGTGTGTAGGATATGCATTTGGAAATGCGCCATGATCAACTCTCGCCGAACAACGGTTAAGCACTTTCTCTATTTCGTACACAACTGTATTTAAAGTATAGACACTTGTATGCTAAGCTTCGGTCAGTTTAGGAATGTTTCTAGTGAGCCCCAATGAAAATAGTTTGTCTTGATGGGAGATCAGAGTATAGAGGCTTATTGACTATATAGGAGTTGCGTACGCTGATGTAGACATCACGCAGTGGCCATTTTCCAAACTGCGTACTACAAAATTCGCGGTATTTGATGATGGATATCTCGGACAACTTCCATCATAACTCAATACACATAGCCATTCCAACTTTGAAATGCCGTCACAGTATTAGCATCTGCAATCGCCTTCGCAACATCTCCCTTCGAGCTATTCAAACCAATCTCATACCCGTCATAACCACAGCTATCGAGCGCCCCGTCCTGTGTCTGGTCTTTACCGGGGATAACCTGCCAGTATAACTAGGGAGTAACGTCATTAGCATCGTGTTTTCTCAGAGTATGATGGCAGACAACTTACCCATGGCATTCCAGCATCATTGAACACTTTGACCTGCGTGTCAAAACTATCTTCATAGCTTGTAGAGACGCCCCACTCCTCGATCATAACGTGCTTGCCCGTACTGTTAGCCTTTTTCAGCACCGAAGCATCTCCCGTGACAAAGTAAGCCCAATCGCTGGCTTCACTCATATACCCATGAATGCTCACGATGTCGATCGCATCACAGTAGAGAGCCTTCTCAAGTACGTTATACTCGTGGTCGCAACAGTACTGAGATCCTCCAATACCACCTGTGGCCACCTTGACGCTAGAATCCCCTAGGAGACCTTTCATCACTCCTGCACGGCCACAGATCCAGTCGTTTGGATCGTTGTCGTCTAGTTTGCCGGTTGAGCCGATCATAGGCTCGTTCTGGATATCAAAAGCGAGAATGACATCAGACAGCTGTGACCACTTCTTGCCAAATGCTGGAGACTCGTAGTTGAAGATGGCAGCCAGGCGGTTGTCGTAGTCGGCTTTCGCGGATGTGGATGAGTAAAAAGTGTCAGAGTCTTTGTATTTTTTACAATAAGCGTCGCAGCCATTTGCGCCGTTGAGGACGCCCGCATCGTGAGGAGAAATGATGGCTTTGATGCTGTAGTCACTCAAGATCTCGAGCGTAGCATCCAGGGCCGCAAGAACAGAGGTATTATAAGTTCCAATAGAGCCTGGTGCTTCCAATTGATTGATCGCCACTGTATTGGTGCTTCCCTTTATGCAGTTTCCTGAGATTCCCGTAACTAGTAGATACTAAATGTAAGTAATTGACCGCTGTACGGGTCTACTGGGTGACATATACTGACCCCAGAGCCGGACTACCTTGACACCCCACCCAGCGAGCGTTCCAACATAATCACGCTGTGTGTTAGCAGGGAGTCCATGCAGAAAATACAGATTGCTCCCGGCAAACGAATTCGAAATCAAATCAGCAGTCTGATTGGTTGTAGGAGAAGCCGATGTCGAGCTAATCGACAAAGCTGCAACGAATACGCTGGTTAGAATTGAAAGTAGCATAGTATTTAATGATCATGTAGATATCTATCACGAAGAGTTGATGCATTATATACCTGTCTTCTCCTTTTACTGATACTATCTCACACAGAAATGAATGTTGATGTCAGACCCAGTTTTTAACGTAGCCCAGCTATTCCATTCTACTGTGTACAATCAGGCCAAAAAAGTGGGCGAGTTCCCGTGTTGTTAAACTAGCGCCCCAGGATTCGGAGTACTAACCACCTTCAATCATAGGGTGGGTCATTATGGGGACCAGAGCTGTCAGAGAAGTTAAGAGTCCGCCTTGCTCAGCCCTGATTTAGTAGATTAGGCTTAAAAAAGCCTGGAGATTGGCCAAGCAAAAAAGCTCCCGCGTGCTGTAGTGCATATTTTCAGCCCCGAAATGGAGATATAAAACACGCTACGCTAAGTATTGCAAAGATCCATATTCTAGAACAGGCTAGCTCTAAAGTCTTGGCAGGTGTGGACTGATATGTGCATATTATTAAAATTAGCTTACGGTATTCTAATTTATTATGATAAATTCGGTATGGGGTAGGTCCGGCTGCAATACAAAGCCTATGGATGCCCAAAGCTTCTTCCAGGCCTTCTAGTCTAAATTGCCCAAGATAATAACACTCTTTCGAGCTACATCGTCATCAAACTCACAGATACGTCAAAGCTATGCGCTCCCAAGATCATCTCTCCATTTTGATTCTGCCACTTCTCTTTGGCTCAGCTGCTCATGCATCAGGGGCTACTAGTGTCTTCATCAATCAAGTCGTTGAGTATGCTAATCTCTCACCATGTGCTGCACAACCAGTCAGCACCATCGTGCGTGATATGGAAAATGGCTGTGGCGATGGTGGAAAGACAACATCTTTATCTTGCTTTTGTTTCCAAAGTTCGGCGCACTTCGCAAGCGTTATTTCCAAGTCCGTGGCCTTGAACTGCAACGAGTCCGACAGCCAAGTCACCACTGCGCTCGATGTTTTCGACGAGTACTGCTCATTGGGCACTGAATACTTCAAGACGGCTACTGTTTGTATGGCTATAGTTCTTCTCAACCCTTAACTATTCTGACTTAAGACTAGCCTCATCCGAGCCGACTTCTGCATCAGCCAACGCGACGAGTACGGCGACGAGTCAAGCGACGACTACAACGGCGGCTTTAGCCACTCCAGCTGCAGTGGCTTCTAGCAGCGACGCAACGAGTACTACAGCAATTTTAGCTACTACAGCTGCAGCGGCGTCCGGCAGCGACGCAACGAAAGGCACCTTGAGTTCTTCATCTTCTAAATCCAAAACAGCTGCAATAGCAGCCGGAGTCGCTGTGCCACTAGGGGTTATCCTCATTTCACTTGGAATATTCTTTCTCTGGCGTCGGCAACAACAAAGGTCTATGACGAGGATAGACAGTACAAACGATCCAAGGGCAGGTCATCTGGCGAATGGAAATGATGACTCTTACAAGCTAGGTGCTACCCCTATAAAAAAGGGAGTAGACGTGGAGCTCGAAGAAAACCTTCCACAATTGTGGGAACATGACGGAAGAGAGCTTTGTGAGCTGGAGGCTTGGGAGAAGCCTGCCGAGCTACCTGCCAAATCAAGCTGAGTGGTCAACATTCAACGCACATTGTGTTCCAGTGAATCAAAGTTGAGGAGTTAGGAATATTGACCGCTCAGCCATGGCAAAAGCTTTATATAGATACCGCGAAATTACTGTCACACCTTACATAATGGAAATTGATGCTAACTAGTTAACTAACTATTTAATAAATAATTCAACTTTCGAATTTGAAACGACCACCACGTCTACAATTTAATGTCGATCTTTCTAAAATTAGAATATATAAAAAGAGCTTCATTTCAGACTGGTAATTATTTTAATCTGATAGAGGAAGCATACAGGAAAAGGTGAGATAAAGTGGTGGAATTCGAAGTGATTGTTGGGAATATAGCCTAAATAGGTATAGCTCTGTATTTGTATTTCAAGGATGACCTCTATTTTACCTGGACCCTAAGCTTAAAACTTAGGCTGTCATCCCTAAAACTAACTTTCACGTCCATTTTTAATACCTGGCGTAAACATTGCGCATCAAAATGTAGAACCAACACGCAACAATTAAATAGTAATGGAATTATGTGATTAGGATAATGATTGTCTTGACATGATATGCACACAATGTCTCACTGTTAATCGAAGAAATCGCTTCAAACCATAGAAGGTTGACCGTTGGTTGCTTTATCAAGTTCGTTTTAGTCAGCGCCACCTGGCTGTACTACTTCATTTTCCGTAGTCGATATATCTAGGTAGCGTTTGGAAAGCGAATCACACTATAATGAGATGAGTCAACGACAATTCCTCGGGTAAAGCCTAAGAATACTGATCAATTCTCATTTTGATATACGTTTATGGACAGTTTATTTCCTCATTTTCTTCCCCAAGCTCCAACCTTCAAAGTAATAATCAAGAGAAGAAGTCAAAGATTCTTTGTGGTTTTGAAGAAAGCCCCACACTGACACCTGAGGCAGGAAATCAAGGCCCCTATTTTTAACCTCCGGAGCCACTAACTACATCTAATATTATATTTCATCTCAACTTCAAAGGCAAGAGGTTTCGCATACCTACCTAAGGAATAATCATCTTTCCATCCACCATCAAGATGGAAGTCGAAGCGCCCTTTAACCTTGACGTCCAAACAGGACTTTGTCTCGCCTTCGCACTTTCATTCATGCCAATCGCCTACGTACTCGGCCAATTCCTGATCCCAGCCAGTCACCCAAGGAATCGCTTTCTTTTCTTCTGGCATGCATATGACGCTCTAACTCATATCTTCATCGAAGGATCTTTCCTCTACGAGTGTTTCTTCAGCTTCGCGCCAATTGCAGAAATACACAACAAAGCACCCTACTTCTCTCAGTTCCTCAACCGACCAGATCGTTTATATGGAGCAGCCTACGGCACCGGCCCCAGCGCACGTCTATGGCAAGAATACGCCAAGGCCGATAGACGCTGGGCAGGTGCTGATATCACCGTCATATCTCTGGAACTATTGACTGTTTTCATTGGTGGCCCTCTAGCAATTTACATCTGCTATCTACTTTTTAAGTCTTCGAATGTGGGCATCAGTGCCAAAGCACGTGGCTCAGCTAAGGCGACTCTCTGGTTCTGCTCTGTTATGCTGGCGACCGCTGAGCTCTATGGTGGTTTTATGACCTTTGCGCCTGAATGGTTGACTGGCTGTTCGCAGCTTGCCACTGAGGATCCTGTCTATCTGTGGCTTTATCTTTTCTTTTTCAATACCCTTTGGGTATTTGTTCCTATCTGGGTCTTGTGGGAGGCTGGCAAAGAGTTGAAGGATGCTTTTATTGGGCAGGAGGTGCTAAGTTCTGAGCGAAAGAAGATTTAAAATTGATGGCCTTTGGTATTTCTATCTATGATACGTATATTAGGTCTGGGTTATCCGTTCTATTGATCTTAAGTCCCTGCCCAAGCGACTTGCAAGCGAGACCGTACATTTGTTATCAAAATACCTAGGTAGCTTTACGAACCATTTCCCTTCCTCTTGCTGTAGTGGACATCTATCTTCCAAGCGTCTCGAAAGAAATATATGCGGTTTACCCTGAAATACCTGCGCACTACCCTGACGAATCAATCAGGCGTCAAACCAAAAACCTTGGAAGACGAGAGGCCATCAATAGCTTGCACTCTTCACTTTCTTTTCACTGTCCGCAAAACTTTTATAATAACGTTAGTAGACTGTATATTTGGTAAACGGAAAGCAAGTCCAATGTTTGGAAACATACACTTCTCTTCGGTAATCTCAAGAACAATGTGTTCCAATCATCTCGGCTGCAATTCCTTTTAAAGAGTCCTTAAGAACTTACTCTGCGGAGCTGAAAATCATTTTGCGCCTCGTCTGGTTATCATCTGGGCGCCTAAATAAATATTATGACTATTAAGTTGAGAGAAACATATCTAGGCAGGTAGATAAAAACAATGCAGATTGGGAGAAGAAAACTCACCAGGCAATAAGAACGACCTTGTTCCTTTCGCCGCCTGTTGCCTCATTGTACCTGAAGTCTATGGCTGCATATCGGCAATCCGAATCAGGTAATTCAGAGAGAAAATCGTCAGTACTCACTGGCGGAAGTCTTCTCCACGATAAACTTGATCCACATTCAAGTCGTAGATGATATAATTTTAGGTCCCGTTTTTGAACAGCTCGTACTAGCTGGCACAATCAAGTCCTATATAAAGGGCCTATTTTCACAATTAGGTAGATTAACGGCTCAGGCTGAGAATCAGAGAGTTGCTCGCCATATCTCAAAATCCCTGTAAAAACTTCAAATCAGTTGATGAACTGTGGTCTTGGAAGACAGATTTATGACGATGAAGAAAAATATTTAAGGAAATCTTAGTTTCTTATAGACATCCATGATGGGGTAAATAACAGATGACGGGATAGTTATTTGCCAATAGTATAGATCATCAATATCCAATGAGGCTAGCTGTATCGGAAATCTGGGAAAATTAAGGAGACATCGCGCACTGTGGATCGATCTCAACCAGAATTATGAACACAACAAAGACATTTTGTACACATTAATCTCAATTACGGAGTAATCCTTAATGTTAGATAGGTTCTATATTCCCGCATTTCAAGGCTTGCCAGAGGTCTATTTCCACCTAATTTATTTTATACAAGTCATCCCCTCATCTGTCTGCATATTGCAATTTTAGCGCCTTGGCAAGATAGAAAATTATGACTGGACTATTGGCTCTTACTAATAAACCTATTCTAAATACTATTTAGGTAGTTACGCACCTCAGGGTATTCAGACGGTCGCATCTCCCCTCTCTATTTTTTACGTATGCGTTGCGGTTTTTAACTATGATTCCAATGCCCTATCTCCGATAGGTAAGTCCATATCATTGAGCCTATCTGTCGCTTCATCTACTGTCTCATCTCATCTACCGCCACCTGAAAAAGCTGCCCAACTCCTTAAAGCAAACCTAAAGCTAGCTGATATGCTTCCCGAAATCCGGGCTTTTGAGCCTCTTGAAAAGACTGAACCTTACACTCCGATATCAAGCTATCGGACGAAGCCAAAACATTTCACTGAGTTAATAATCTTTAAGAACGCAATTTACTCCAAGGAAACCTAAAGCACTGACCTGGATTGAGGAGTTGCATAACATGAGTGAATATCACGTGATGAACTGCGGATCGAATCTCCACTTGAGCCTCAAAGCTTGGCCTTAACCTCCACTTTCTCACTTGCTCACATCTTCACCATTTTCGCTTCGTTCTTTAGCTCAGAAAAATATAAAATGGATTGCTTTACAAGCTGATTTGCTCCTAAATGTAAAGAGACTCCAAGCTCCCAAACTTTTATCTTCTACAGTCAGTTTCGGTTTTTGCTGTGCGCATGGTCATCATCAACTTCCTGGAAACCATTATTCATGATAAGCCAGGTGGTGTATCGGTAACACGCCCTGGAGCAACCCTCCCTCGGGGCCACTCGGTTCAATTATGCAGCCTGACAATCATCTTTTGTTTTCGTTTGGTGATGAATTTCTCAGCTTGTTTCCCTAGGTCAAGAGACCGATATGATATGCATACATAGAACCCGACAAGCTTCATGCATTAATTGGTACTACGTACTACTTAATGAAGATAATGCTAGGACAGAACCATGGAACTAGCGATAGCGGTAAGCGCTGAATCAAGAACATAGACTCATAAACTCGTAAAGTAACCTTATGTCTCAATCCTCAATCTTCCCGATTCTTCTCCCAGAACCAATGATAAAAAGTCTTCCACTCTGCAGCCTCATCCTCAACATAATCACCGACCAACTCAGCCGTTTCATTAACCTCATCAGGCCGTCCCTTCAGACTGGACATCGCATCAATCCCAACCTTGGCACTCGCAACTGCAAAAGAAGTAGATTTATCAGCAGCCTGACTAGCCAGGACATTCTCAGCGCTCTCGCGCGTTCGTTCAGCTAGGTCACGGGCACCTTCACGTGCGATCTCACTGTATTCTTCTACTTGTTCGCGAGCTCGGGCGAGCAGGTCGTCTGGGGATGGATAGCGACGGAGTATGACGAGGAGAAGGTAGTACATCTTGACGATGGAGGCATATACCGCATCCTTAGCTAACATTGTGAAGCCGTGCGAGAAGAAGCTTTTGAGGACTTCGCCTGATAAGCCGGTGTAGAGACCTGCAGTGCCTTCTTCACGGTGGATGGCCAGGACGGCAGAGAGAATCTTGGGCGTTAAGGTAGTTTTGATGGTATTCAAAGTAGAAGGTCTACCTTTTCCTTTGTTGGTTGGCGGCATTGAACCCGACATAGCCTGCGCTCTTGTCTTCGCCAACGAGAATGGATATGTCATAGACGATGCTGCGGCTTTGCTCATGGCCGCCAAGAGAAATGTCAGTGCGATAGAGGCTTTGCCACCCTTTGAGCGTGGGATAAAGGCACGTTTCAGCACCTCATTTAGGAAGAATGTGATGGATGGATTCAGGGTTAAGACTAAAGATGCGGAGTATCCAGACCAGAGACCGCGAAGGCCCTTTTCAGCACAGATACGAGAAGCTATTTCCCTCGTGGAGAGATTCTTATATGTGGGGTCTTTGCGCGCACCGGTTTGTTTGCGAGTGACGATGTTCGACAGCGGGGTAGTGAATAGTTTTGAGAAAGCGCCCGCGACGACACCGATAACAAGCTCATCCAGGATGGGGAGGATGATATTCTTGCTCTTCGCCGCACGGGCGGCACCTATGCGCGCGACGATTCTCCGCTGGCGAACAATTGAGTAAGCTAAGAAGAAGAGGAAGGAATCTGCGATCGCTTTGCATGTATCCTGCGTAAGGCCCGGGTAGAAGCCTGCGAAGCCTTCGTCTGCGTGGATTTTGCGTGCGGCGTCGACAAGGTCGGTATATTCTTCTTCATCTGGTTTACCTTTGGATCCTTCGGCGGTCTTTTGGGTCTGTAGTCGAGCAACTATAACGCTGAGAGGGTAGATGGCGACGTTTGAGATTGCAGATCCCACTGCGCCGGCGACCGCATTACCTAGGAGTGGCAATCCGGGACCGCGGAGGGCTGCGGTTTTCCAATCTTCGGTTTCGCGCTGGCTTTCCCAGCGGTAAGAAGGGTGGAAGGCATCCTAGGAGGTATCATCAAGAGTCAGACAGGAATATGGAATTTTGTTAAAGCGTATTGCCAAAATGTGGATGGAAATGTACCAGTTGAGATTCATATGAAAGCTTGTATTCAGCCATGGTGGACAGGCAGTGTGAGATTAGTGACACTCTCCGACCGTGAGATGCTCGATGTTTTCATGTGCTTCTTGGTTCATTGGATGAGTCAACGGCTATGCGGTAGCAAAAGAAGATACAGGCACATTCTTCCAAAGTGAAGGATGATGGTCCAGCCGGTGAAAACTTTGTAGCCGAAAGAACTGGGCACATGAACGTGAAAATCAGAAATGTCAGAATAGTTGGATAAGAAAATACCGAGGTTGCGGAGATCGATTACATCATGCCGATTATGTGGGCCGTGCGGGAGCTTTGACTTGCTCAGGGCTGTTATGTAAGAAATGGAACAACTACTACCATGGACTACGTGTTACTGATTCTAGGGGGAAAGATCAATAGGAATCCTTAGATTGATACCTCAAGTGCGTTAAAAGCATCAAAAGACACATATCAAGAACAAGAAAGCCTATTATAATCAGATTTCTGATAGCAAGCAAAAACGACCAACCCCATAACCCCATGAGTTAGCACTAGACTCAAGAGTCCAGCACAGTCATAATGAAAGAATTTCAACTCATCACACCGTAACACATGAAATCAAGTGGGAGCATACAAGACTGTATCTGTATGCTGCACCTCGAAAGGAAAGATTTAAGAAATCTAACCACCAAATCCGTACAGGGTACGGCCCTGGCGCTTGAGAGCGTAGACAACGTCGAGGGAGGTGACGGTCTTGCGCTTGGCGTGCTCAGTGTAGGTGACGGCGTCACGAATGACAGACTCCAAGAAAGACTTGAGGACACCGCGGGTCTCCTCGTAAATCATGGCGGAGATACGCTTGACACCACCACGACGGGCGAGACGGCGGATAGCGGGCTTGGTGATTCCCTGGATGTTGTCACGCAAGATCTTGCGGTGACGCTTGGCGCCACCCTTGCCGAGACCCTTTCCGCCCTTGCCACCTATATATGATGTTAGTTGATGTATTAACAGCAATGATTATGCAAAAGGAATGACGATGGCAGCGACATTAATGACAGTGGCAACAATATCGATGATAGTGAGGTCAATAACAATAACAGTGAAGTCTTGTTGAGGCTGGGAGGGCAGATATATTGTTGTTAGGGTTATATATGATGGCCTGAGGCATCAAAAGAGTGACGCCACTTCAGTCACGTGTAAACCCAGGGGTATCGTCAACCTCATGAGTTCAAATTGACCGCTCAAGCGCCCAACAAGCAATAATAACAAGAAAAAACGGATAAAAAAAGTAAAGGAGGATACAACTTACGTCCAGACATATTAATGGATAAGAAGGTATTGATGAGTTAACAGGTGGACTTATGAAAAAGTGGATAGCCGACAGGTAGAGCGTCGGAGTTGAATGACGAGAGTAGATGAAGAAGGGAAAAAAAGAGAGCAGCAAAAAATCGTAAAAATGGGTTATGGCTGACTTAAATACTTGAACTACTAGTTAATTAGAGGGAACAAAGTGGAGGGGGAAAGAAATGGGTTAGGTAAGCCAGTTATTTTTTACATTCTGCTTTGCCGTTGTGATTGGCAGGCTGAGAGAGAGTAAATAGGGTGTAATGAAGAGCAGGATTTGAGAGCGTCTTTTTGGGCTTGGGAAACCCGCATTTTCCGCTGCGGACAAAGAGCGGGTTTATCGTGTCATGTGCTGATAGACGATAAGAGCGGGTGGTCTAACCGGGTATAGTAAGCTAAACATGACGAGGTAATATCACCAAAAATATTGAAACTGAAAGAGCTGTCCTACTATGGAATATTCATCCATTTTGGAGAATAAATCTTGATAAAGAAGAGCTAACTCTGCAAACCCTATGTAATGTACAGTATTCCCACTCCCAGTCCCTAAATACTGGCTCGATCTAGCTGAAATTTTCAGAAGATCTATCCATCACCGCACGCCTAGTTTGGGCCATTTTCGCCTCAAATCTGAGCGGTGCTTAATAAATATATGGATTTAGATCTTCTGAAATTTCATACGTTACATAGGCTTTGCCGCGTGTCAATTCTCCCATAAAAGTAAAACATGACATAAGCGTGTGTTGGAATCTTAAAACTTCCCTTCAGCGGTTGCACCATTTCCAAAGAATCATCCGCGTAATAGCCCAATCTTCAACTCAAGCTCCTTCTGAGCGCATGAAACTTCATCAAGGGCACTGGTACATCAAGGATGGTCGCACTATGATACCATGCCCTCCGAATAAACCCGACCTCCAGGCCAACCAAGCTATTGTCACTGTGCTCTATAACCACATGGGAAGTCTCGTAATCGAATATGATTCCTCCAGGGTGGAGATTTTCGGGTTTAGAGTGTGATCTACCGAAGCTGAAGCAATGCGGCTTGTCTTTAAGCATATCGACGTTCTAGTACCTAAGGTAATTTTACTGGTTTCCGCTCGGAGGAGAAGCAAAAGAAACTGAGACTTGTCTAATCCCATCTCTGCTCCAAATCCCCCTGCCACACTTACTGGATGACTATTATTTCCGGCACAGTTCTAGAGCAGAAACAGAATCAGCTGGATGAATCTAAATAGTCAATCTGCCTTCAACTATGGGACATGCTATCAAAAAATCCGAACTATCCCTCGTCCATCAGAACTTAAGGGTCTCTATCAGTGTTCTGCGGATGGCTCTGGACCCAATGTTAGAGGATCTACAATATTTCGCTCGACCCCTTCTAAGTGACTCAAATGTACGTGCGAGGATCTATACACACTGTGAGGGGCATTTGTATCAGGAGGAATTTCCCAGTATGCTGCCCCAGTCGAATCGCTCTGCGTTCACGCATGGAGACATCACGCCACGTAATATCATAATTAGCGAGCAGAACAAGGTTAGCGGAATTCTGGACTGGGAATTCGCGGGATGGTATCCCGAGTAACCTGGGAGTATGCGCAAGTCATGCGTCCGGCTTTCAGGGGGGCTGGTCGATCTGGAGAAGACGGTACCGGAGCGGTGGGATCTCTCAGGAATCAATGCTGCCAGGAAGATTTTGTTTCTAGTCCAAAAAAGCCTAACGCCCATATCTTTGATCTAGAGATATCTTTGATATTAAGATAGGCTTCATCATCAGCATATGTTCATGATAAGCTGCCCAAATTTTCAGAACTTTCTACATTCGTCTTTAACCTTAGACTCATCGTAAAATTCTTTCAAAGCCATGGGCGATTATGCCATTTGAAATTTGTCGACCTGCCCAATTCCCATGGAGACAAGCTTTGCTACCATCACCGTCCAGCCTTAGCAGTTTTCGGTGACTAGCTGTCGCTTCTCTGCATGAAGGGGATCTTCCCTCTCACGAACGAGGATTGCTTGTTTTTCGGTGATAACAGCCAGTATATAAGGCCTAACCTTGGAACCTTGGAAACCATTTAGGGGTTTTTATCGTATTCTTCATCAAGGGAAACAAGCTAAAGCCCACTGACATCGTTTCGACTCTTGAGGACTTCCTTGCAGAAAGAAAAAAAGAGAAAAATATATATAGTAGATTATATCCAGGCTTGAGACTGGGGGGTTGAGCCCGAATCATCTTCGATTTTCTGGCCTGGAGTAAGGTTTTGCGCCAGGGCAAGCTACCGATACACCACCTTGCTTGTTATGAAGAAAGGTGCTCGAGGAGTAAATGATATCTTACTCATATTTAACTAAACTAGTTATCCACAACTCCTACGACTGCCCAAGGTTCTTTTCAGACGGCGGAGGTTTGTTAAAGAGAATTTGAAGGCTGGGTGCGGATATTCTCGCAAGGCGATATTCGGATCTATATTACATTTATAGATATCTCTATTTAATTTGTTCCGGAGTGGACTGCATTTACCCATATGTAATGTGAATATGTAGTCTGCAACGGAAGTTGTGTATCCCATTCCCAGCTCCTTTCTCACAATGAGGTTCAAAGGTGCCTAGGTAGAAGGATACAATACCCACTCACCAAAACCTCGACTACCTTGAACCATAGAACGATCAATCTACAGTAAAACGTAATCCTCGGGTATGGCTCAGATCCACATATCATTCGTGTTCTCTTGTATCAAATAAATGTCGCGAGTGAGTAGACAAACGCTTCTCGAAATCATATCACTCAAATCAAACGCAAATGATAAAAAACAAAGATAAGAAAAACAAACTATTCAAAAATAGAAAACACCATCACACCATGCAACGCAAAAGGAAACCAAGTAAAATGACAAGGGCCAACAAACACAAGTGCATCGAGAACAGCAAGCAAGGAGTGGAATTGAAAACTTTTTTTTTCTTGCAAAGAGATAATAAACTGCCCGTCAGACAGAAGAATTGAAGAAGCCTCGAAGTGGAGATGGCGTGTGTTGTATGAGCGGCCAAAATGGGCAATAAAGCGAGAAAAGGTCATTATCGTCATGAAATGCGTGATACACCAGAATTGTTGGTGAAGCTGAAGCAGATAGTAAAAACTATAGCGGGAACAATGAAAACCGCATTAATGTGACACCGCGTCAATAATCTCTATCGACGCTGGATATCTGTCATGACTAGTGATCTGGTGATAAGCAAATAGGTTCCGCGGTTTATGATACATCGCAAGAACGATATTTGCTTCAACGGATGCGGCCAGGAATGATTGGAAATAATACCATCAAAAGATCGATGGGAAAAGGCAAAGTCCACCAATAACAAAAAGGATCACCAAGCGCCAACAGGAGGTGAGAATGCGGAACGTGTGATCGAAGGCATGGAAAAAAAATCAACCAGGGGTCCTGTCTCTACTGAAGAGGTGTCGAATCCACTTCAGTGGAACTGTCAATATGATGATACAATGTCGTGGATGAGGACAAAAAAAAGTAGATGAGACTCTGGAGTGATTGTTGAGCCACTCTGTAGAACTCACCCTCTAATTATTTGCGACGACTGAGTGTCGTTAAGAAATACATTCTGCATGGGTTTGAAAGCATTACGGTATAGCCGCGGAGGTGATGATCGCGGAGATGTCTGTGGGCTCATAGGCGCCGATGACACTGAAGAACAGGATTGGCGAGGTGACCCAGGAGTCGGGGAGAGTATGGGTGCGATGGATCGGGGGGAGAGAGGGGGGAGAGAGTTTTTGGAGTGGACTGCCGTGGAATGTCTTGACTAGGCACATTCACAGGAGCAGTCTGTGCTGTGCTTTGAGACTTTGGGGAGCCATACTATAAGAGAGTTAGTCAGATGTTATAACGTGGTCAGTAGAAATGCACTTACAAAGCAGTACCGATCCACCAATTCCTTGTACACCGAGGACTCAAGGCATGGTTTGCCATTCAACAGAGAGGCAGGTTTCTCATCCTCCACCGGAGCTCCATTTGTGTTATCATTCAATGTAGGAGAACGTTGACCCGAGGGTTCGGTTACCTCTCCACTTGACTTGACTTCAGGCTTTTCAGACCGTGCTCGTGCGGTCAGGGTGGTACGGTCAAGGGGAGACTTGGCTTGCATCGCAGCACTCAATGAAGCCCCAAAGTCATAGCGATGGCCAAATGCCTGAGGATGTGGTTTTTCTCGACGCTTGGGTGGCTTGATGGTGTCGATGTCGTCCACTGACTTTTTACTCTTCAGTGGTTTGGAGCCAGTGAACGGACTGCTGAAAGAAACGTTGGCCTCGGCCTTGGGGAAATCATTAAAGGATGAAGAGGAAGAACGATGATCAGGGGACGAGTGCCCAGAAAATGTTCGACTGTGTGGAAGAGAAGGTCGAGATTCAGACGGCTTAGAGGGCTTCTTAAGCGTCTTAAAAAAGTCAACCTGATAGTTCATTCCGTGGTTGTTGTCCCAATACTCCTTGCCATCGACATTATAACGAATGCAAACAAACATCGTCTTGCTCTCGAGGTCGACTTGATCATTCAACTTAATGTCAAAGGTAAACCGATCATACCCGTCATGGGCATGCCTGCGGCGGATATCATGGCAGTAGACGGCGCCAATTTCCGACGTAGTCCTCCAAAAGTCAAAGGTAAACCGAGCAGCCACCTTCTTGTGGAATGACAGGTTTGCCACCGCCACAGTACCCACCAGTACGTTCTTATCACTTGACAGAGATAGCTTCTCCAAGCGGACGGGGTGGGTTGGATGAGACGGGAGGTTTTTTGGGAAGTTGCAAAGCCGAAGCTCCCACTCCCACGAAGGTGCGACATTAGGGAACGGGAACTCAAAGTCGGCATCGTGAGTTTCGACAGGGGAGGTCTGGGCACTCACGGCCAAGGGCTTATCAAGCTGCAAGAAATGACGAATATGTTCTAATTGCGAGTCAAAGTGCACCGCCTTGGCATAGACTGGTGTGCCCGGCATGCTTGACGGTCTCCGTTGTGTAGGCCGAAGAGCCGGGCGAACGAGCTCACCAGACTTCTTCCGCACCATAGACGGCTTCTGCAATGAGCAGATAGACTCGGCATCACTGTCATCTGGAGAGCTGATCAAAACTTCATCCCGTTTGCGGTCGATATCTGTTTCAGTGGAGGAGCGGGAGTGGGAGATCTTCCGAGCTTCTTTCGACAAGCGCTTATTGGAATTCGAGCCTAACTTCAAACTGGGTTTCAGGTTGTCTTTAGCTGAGCTTGACGTCGAAATAGACGTTGGAATTGATCTGGAAGGTGATTGACTTGATGAGGATGGAGCCTCGGTTCCGAACTCATCTGCGGGTCCCATATCTGGTGATGTGGGTTTCCGTTGCTCTATACCCTTGACTGCAGCTGTGAGTTCTTCGATATTGATACCCTGCTGCAGTGAGGAGCACTCCTCGTCACTGGAGTTGAGAGCGGATTCGGGAGGAGACATTATAGCCCCGGGTGGAATAGCTGCATTGTTCAATGGTGGTGGGGACTGACGTAGAACAGAGGTATTAGAGCCAATGAATTGAGGTGCGGTGGATTCCTCCGATGACCGCACTGTGGGTTTGCTGCTGATCGACGGGGTCCTCCGATGCCGACGAACGTATGAGGTTGAAGAATAAGGTCGGGAGTTCTGCAGGAGTTCCGACTGCGAACGAACTAAACCAGCTCGTTCAGAACAGCCGTCGGTAGGATAATTGGAATACTCAATGTGCTGCGCGGCGAGCGTCGGCTTCCACGGCGCGGTGTATGGCATCCGGCCGGATTTGTGCCAAGCACGTTATTGCTCAACGAAGTGAAGGCACAACGAAGTCTGGGGAGGTACGAAGGATGTCAGTGTCGACTCTTTTTAATCCAAGAGAAGAGTGGGAGGCGAAAAAATAGACGGGCGGAACAGACATAACCATGCATTAGACAGGAAGCACGATTGACCGGGGGTTAAAAGGACTTTTGGTAGAATAAATGCAGAAAGGTAGCACGAAAGGAAAGAAAAAAGAAAAGCGGCCGTAGATCAAAGGGTATCACCAGTTGAAGTAGTACGGTCAAGAAGCGAATGCAGAAATCTGGACGTTGGAATGTGGGAGGTTGAGGAAAAAGAGCTTATCATACCGTAAAGTGATGGCATAAGAGGTTTAGAGGAACGGTGGCGAAACGAATCTCCACTTGATAGTAAATTTGGATCCGAGAACCATCAAAATTGAGAGGATGAAGAGAAGGAAAGTAAAAGAAGAAATGAAGATGATAAATTAGAAATTGGATGATTTGGATCAATAATCACATCACTTTGTATCCAAGTATCCGAAGATAAGCCTCTTGAATTAAGAAGCCCTGGAGAAATATCAAATCGGAGAAAAAAAATCAAGGTATTATAGCTTTCCAAGTATTTTCTTTTTATTTATTTTTTATTTATTTAGCACAGACAGGGAAGGCGTTATTTAGTGGGTTTGCCGATTAAAAAAAGAAGTGGAATAATAAGTGGGCCATATACTCGACGCATTGACTCTGAGAATACTACCAAGAGAGAGAGAGAAGGAAAAAAAAAAAAAGAAAAAAAAAAGATTGTGCAGTATTCTCTGATGTTTCAAGGGGCTATCTCGGTTCCATTATTTCCATTATTTCCATTATTTTCATTATCTGAATGATCTCTTTTTTGTGACTTTGAATCAGATCCAGTTTATCTCGTACTAAGTAGACTGACGTATTTGACGGGAGATTACGGGGATCACGGGGGTGGAGCAGTAGAGTAATATACAAGTATTTATACAGTATGCTTGTATACTGTACATGTAACTATAACACTTATCAAAGGTCCGAGTCACCCTGATATCGAAAGAACCAAAATTTCAAGTAGTATTAGATTCTCACCCAAACCCAATAGTATACGTGCTCATCACGACCATGGAACAAACAACCATAAATCACCATTTCCATACCATTTACCATACAGTGTTTTATCTCCCCTATATCTTCCTTGGTTCTTCCATTCCAGGGCCATGTAAGGCGGTCACACTAGAAACTTAGATCAGACTCTAGATTAGACTCTGTGGGACACAATCTTTTCCTCTTTTTAAGTCAAGTCTCTCAGTGACATGCATCATGCAGCTGGATTGATTTTTGGTCATAGCGCCAGAAGTGTGAAGTGTGGATCTCTGCAATCTACTTTGTACAGAGTATAATCCGTACAAGGTCTCTACTCAAGACCTTGGACTACACCCATGGACATTTTATAGAAGACATCTATAGATAGTACTTTTCACCTTACTAGGTATAGGTACAGGTACATGTACATTGATTTGATCTGTCTTGTGAATCACATCTAGTTCATAATTTACATAAGTATATGAAATAAACTAGTGATGTCACACTGCATGATAGGCTTGAGGGTTCCAAGGTTCTTCAAACTTCCTTGGTTTGCCTCACTTGGCAATTTAGGGCTCTGGCCTCCTTCAAGAATTTCTATATCTCTGCTTTCAACTTCTCAACTCTCATCATGCACTTTATCTAGCAGCCGCTGTTGGCTTGATCACTTACATTCTACCTATCTCTTGTGCTGGTAGAATATGGATCTAAAATGACTAGATTAAAACTCTTTCCTAGTTCGTCTTGCGGCTAAGTTACTTTCTTGTTTCACGATAACCGAAAATTCAATATCCTAAGGTTCCAACTTAGATACAATTCTTACTGCCAAGGTCATTGGATACTATTGAATTGGAATGAATTGAAGTAAAGTTGAATATAAACCAATAAGCTACAGCATCACAGTACATTTCATTACTTATTATTCGATTATTTCCAAGTCAATGCTTTTATCAATGTCAAAACCCTGAACGGGGATCCACACTCGGCTAGATCATCTCAAGGCCGAGACTCCAGGGTCTGGTTCATCTGACATTCCTAAGCTAACTTAATGGCTTTATCCCTGCGGCTGCAAACCGTGATAAACAAGGCACGGTGCTGATCCTCCAGCCTTCCAAGGTTTTTGCCCTTAACCCCCTATTCCGTCTCAAAATGGACACTGGCATAAAATTCATTAGTATCTCCAGAATCTTGGAAACTCATGCGACCATCCGATTCATCCCAGATAACAATCCCGACGTGACGGTTGACCTCTTCCGACGATGCCGCATAATATAAACCCCCGAGCGATATCTCCCGAGTCCGGAGTTCTCAGTCCCGTTGGCTGAAACCATCCCCCCTTATTTTCATTTTCATTTTTACTTTTATTTTACCTTAAAATATTGCCTGCGATCGTCATCTGGTTATTTAGAAATTATCCATTATCGTGATGCAGATTCCGTCACTTTGTGTCCACATCGTTACCAAGGTACGGGGCAAATCGACTCTGGTACTGTCGTGTAGATCTATACAGCCTTTCCCTCATCTAGAACATTTCATCGCCAATGTTTATAATTTCGAAGCGCCAGAACCGGCCAGAAGCCACCCATGTGATTTGTTAGTCTAGCATAGAGAGTTCAGCCGGAGATCTTAGTTTCTGGCCATGTCGTTTACTGTCTGTACTACTGTCATCATTATTAGATTTAACTTTGTTTCTCCTTTTTTACTACACCGCTTACAATTGACTTCCCCAGTAGGCGAACCTTGGGACCGTATTGCATCGCCCTCCTTTGCTCACCGGCGACCTTAAAACTTTGGATCACTTACGGGGTAACGTTGGGTGGCTGAACTTCGAACTTTGACTATATATATATTTACTCAACATTGAAGAATTACAACGTACCCTTTTCGGCTTCTGTTCGAAATTGTGGATAACCGCGGCCTCAAGTTACAAGTTGACTACCTTATGCATGCAATCTAGATGCTAGCATTCGCCTCCTCCGCCCCACCTAGTTTAAAGTCCAGAGGGACACGAGAAAATATGAGTATTGAAATTTCATCTCATCATAGTTTAACTACCCCGCGCAGATCATTGCGTTGGCGCCAGCTCTTACACTAGACCCAAGTTCGGATGATCAGTCCCCACATGAAGGATCATGCGTTGTGCAAGCAAGAGGCTCCGGTTCTTATTCGTGGCTTCTATTGACTCGACGAGCCCTTTGTTACGAAGAAGAGATTTATACAAAACTTGTTGTCTTTTCATCCTGATCACAGGGAATAGCGGTGTGTTGTAGGTGTTGTCAATTGGCATTTTAAGGTATAGTAAAGATCTATATTGTCTTTCTGGGACATGTTACGAAAAGCTACTAACCTACATAGTCACAAATGTTTCAAGGACAAGGCCTGACTAATTATGCCATCACGCTAGATCAAATCAATGTAATCCCTGCATTGCATGAAACACCTGACCGTTTTAATAACAAGGATGTACGGACACGTTGACATGCCTATCCTATCCTTATCGCTTCTAGGTACTTACCACATCAGCAATGGCCTCATTTCTACCTAGGCGAGCTTGGCAATAGCAATATCCGCCCATTTCAGTCCGTGCGATACAAAAACCACAGCCCCGCTAAAGTAAGAAATTGAACATTGTCGAAGCGCTCAGCGCTCAGTCTAAAAACCATGTTATATTATGTTAGTGACTTGTTTGCATGGCATATGCAAGCCATGGAGCCAATAGCAGAAGAAATGCAAAAAACCATCCAATCGGCCATGATCTAGAACTTCCCACCCGCTTTCCTCGCAGAGTCAGTGCAGTTGATCCCGAATATCTGACTCGACAACGCTTGGACGGTGGGGACCTTGAGGTTGTTGATGGCTTGCTTGGTCCTGCACTCCATGCATTAGTTGGCACGGTGAGCTGACACTTGTGTATAAGCATTGGAGGTCAGTGCGTAGGAATTGTTTTGATCTTTACTAGATATCTACACAGTAGTTCACTTCCTTCTTCTTTGTGGGGCACGGATAGAACTCGTATTACCTATCCTGTACCTCAGTAACACAGACGTTGGATTCTCAATTAACTTCAATGGAGCTTAATTTCTAATTTCTGATTCTCGTATAACATGCACGGACCTTTTGGCCGAACCAATTTACTTCTCTTCCTGTTTGATCGACCATAGCACTTTTAGATATCATTTTAGTAAAATAAGTGATTATTAATCTTCTTCAAGTGCTGCTAATAGATCAGCAATATGTTTTAACAGCCTACATTTCAGGACTTATCTAGGGAATCCATGTGCCACCTGGGCAAGTGCATAGAGCTCGCTCTGAATACTACGAGAATTACGAACAGGATTCACATGAAAACAGTCACGCTAGGCTCAGCCTACTCCGAACTATGAATGCAGCATGTATGCCATACCTATTCCTGCTTCTTCCGAGTCGAAAGTACTTTCTGACGGGAGAGGCGCCAGCCATAAACCAGCTATCAAAAGCCACCGGGCAAAGAGTAAGCCACAGCCCCCAACGTTCTAGTTTCTGTTTCTGGTAGCAGGTGTCCAATTACCTTTTTTGTTCCATAAATAGTAGGTGAAACGATGAAAGAGACACAGATATTTCAAGGATGCTAAAATAAGTCAATAAAGAACTCGTAATGAGTCAGGTCGTACTATTCCTCTACCCTGGAGTGGCCCGAATTGGTTGCTGGGAATACAATTCCATGAGACCATACCGTTCTACAAAATATTCTGTACTACTTACCAAATGCTAACTGATAACAGTGTACCAACTTTGGGAAGTACCCAGGTGAGGGGAAAGTGTATATATCCAGATCCCTGCACTCTTCACCGTCTGATCTACCACCCGCACAGGTACAGCGGTGTTGGACCACTTGCAAGTCTCTGGGCTGCTGATACCGCGATAGAACCTTGGAAGGGGTCCGAGGGAGTTTCAACCCTTTCAATCTAGTATTTTTGAGTACAGTAACAAGCCACATCGATGTGAAGCATACTAAAGACCCCAGTCTTTTTGATTGCCAATTGCGGGGTGCATCAACCCCTCGTCTGCCACTTGCCATTTCACTATGTCCTGCGAAGATCATGATATCTCCAACAAATGTAAGAACCCCCGTGATGGCTCCAGAAAGGAACCCCGTGAATAAAGCACAGCCCTCAGCGCTAATAAATAGTGTGGATCACAAGACAATGAGACGATCTGGAACACTACCTAGAGCGAGAATTGGGAGCTCAATCGTCCTAAGCCTTGAATCTATTCGCTAGACCTTCCCCTTTCAAGATCGTTATCAACCCCTCACTTCCCGAGCTCTCCATGCTTTCTAGAAACTCATAGTCTTCTCAAGCCAAGAACACAATCAGCTTCCTCTCAGATATCTGCCCTCTATTCGCAATATTCCATTCACATCTACGAAAGCTCATCGAAAGTTCATACCTTCGGCTCACTACAGTTCCATACTTGCATCGTGTACCAGAAATCCCGTGCTAAATGACCTCTTGCAGTCTATATAGCCGAGTGTATTGGTCACACAACTAAGTACCCACCATTCTGCTCATCCGATGCTCAGAAGACTCAAGTTACAAAGCCTATTCCGGCATTCCGGCTCTCGAGCGCAGATTCCATCAGCCATGAAAAGTTCACCAGAGCTCTAAGCTCTATTAGAAAACAATATTGAACATAAGGGTCAATTTTCCGACTTTTTGCCTCCCAAACACTTCAAAACTCAACGATGGTCAGATCCCTTTAGGGAGGGGAAATGAGTTGGCTGGCCATGGCCACAACGCCACAATACCGCCGACGTTAGACAAACATCTATCTTGGGAAACTCGGCCCTCGTATCCTCTTTTCTGTACTCCTCTCCGGTGGCGAGATCTTCTTTCTATAGTTTTTGGGGTTAAAGATGGCGGGTTGAGAAGGTGATGCCTGTTATGTATCTCGTCTGTTACTAGCAGGTATTACGGCCACTACCAATAGAATAGGGCTGGATCGTTTGCATGCCACCCGGGCTTTTTGGAGAGGGGACGTGTCTTGCATAACCGCCACCTCTTGCTCGGGAGTGGCAAGTGAATCAGTGAATAGATACACAATTGACGAAAGATGGTCCAGATTGTTATACACACGCTCGGTCCTTGGTCTACTCGGGCCCGGGGGATTTGCTGCTGCTACTGCTGCTGCTGCTGCTTCAGACTTTATTTTGAAGAGTTATTTTGTTTTTGACTAGTATTGAACGGAGAACCTTTATGGTATTTGCTTTTCTTCTAGAATCATATCCATTGTTATTCAAATTGATGTCGTCCTAGGCTGATTAACAAGCGCAGGTACAGTACAGACTCGCACAGAGAATCTGCCATAAAGACAGGTAGCAATTTTATTCAGATCAATAAGCTCTCGGTTTGAGAGAGTGTTGAAGTTGGATGTGCTACTTCAATAAGTAGATATGGCTTTTCGAGTATAGAACAAGTTGACCAAGGAGCTGGATTCTCGCTTTACAACCAGGATATCAGCCATTGAGTTAGTGAGACTACCCATATGTATCCAAGGCTCGTTAGTACCTGATACAAACAAAATGCCCCGGGCCATTGTTGTCCTTCATTAAGTCAATTCCTAGGGTGTTTATACTCTGTACAGTACTTTGTTGTTTCTGCTTGATGCAACAACTTTCATATCAAATAGGCTCTAGAGCTTTTTTTTCCTAGACTTGTCTCAATAATTCAGGTCTCAGTTCCTGAAGCCATCTGGGTTTGCATCCGTATACTTTAGGGTTAAGTTCATCATAAATGTTAACTAAGACTCATGGACTATTACATAGTATCAAGTATGACAAGCTCTCTATATTTCACCACCTTTGTATAACAGGTGAAATGAAAGTGCCTGATAAAAAATCATCCTCTAAAAGTCTTCATTTATACTCTATTCAAGTACGTGGGGAAAATGGCTGCCAAATTTAGAAGGCGGGATATCGCGGGCGATAAGAGTCCAGTGGAGTCAGAGAACCTTCCTCTTAATTCCACCATCTGACCTTGGGTCTAACTGTCACTCGTTCCCTGGTTCTGATCTAGGACTTTCTACCATCAAAAACACAACTAAGTACCGCTCATGTCAGGACCTGGGTTGATGGACGTCGAGAAGGAGCTCGCATGTTCAGTGAGTGTGCATAATTCCACTTCGATTGTCCTTCCATTCCTTATTCCTTCCCCTTGCGTAGTGGAGACTTAAGCTAACCCAATCTGCCTTATCAAGATATGCACCGAGCTCCTTTATCAACCCCTCACTCTCCTTAACTGTCTGCACACATATTGCGGATCATGCTTGAAAGACTGGTTCTCGGCGCAAGGTTCCCGCCAAGTACCCGCCGGGTCATCTAGATTCACCTGTCCATCCTGCCGCGCTGAAGTGCTCGATACTCGTCCAAATGCGACCGTTACCACATTGGTTGACATGGTGCTGGCCGCACAGCCAGACCGAGCCAGATCAGCCGAGGAAAAGGAGGAAATTGCTGTGCGCTACAAGCCTGGGGACCCAATATTTCCCCCGCCGCAGGCCGAGGAGGATAGCGGAGATGAAGAGGATCAAAGATTACTGGAGGAGATTCGGGATCTGAGTCTTCGTGAAAGCCAAACGAGTGCGAGACGGGAGACTCGTCGGGCTGGAGATTCGAGAATACGAGGAAGAAGTACTCAACCTGAGAGACCTGCAGATGATAGCCGACGACGAAGACGGGAAGGGGACACTGCACAGCGTGACGAAAATGCGCAGCGTTCTCGGCGAATCGAGCATCAGTCGAGCTTGCGATCCATACTCAGCTTGTCTTCGGAGGCGGAAACTATGCAGGATGAGATCTTGGAACAGATCCTTAAACAGATTATTGAGGAGGGCCTGTTGGATGATATTAACTTGGATGAGCTTGGACCTGCTCAGGAGGAGGAACTGAGTGAATTCATTGCGGATGCTTACCGCCGAAGACACATGCAGCAATCCAGCTCTCGTGGACAAGGCAGCGACCGTCAGAGACGATCGCAATCAGCTCGAAGACCGACTGAGACGACTATAACCGCCCGTGAGAACACAGGGAGACGACCACCTACGTCAAGACCTCATCTACTCGATCTGAATCAGTCAGCGAGTGGTAGACACGAGCGACGGAATTCGGAACAAGTCATTGAACGACGACGAACATCGCCTGTTCGGGTAAATCAGGTGTCAAACTCGGAGGATGATTTGCGGCTTGCTGTTCGAACATCCAGTGATATCACAACGGGGCGTCCTCGCAGCTCTGGCGCAGCACGGGCTCGAGAGTCATCCGGGCATCGACAGCGACGAGCAACGGAATCGGAACAAAACATCTCTGCGACGTGGTTGGCTGGAGGGAGAACAACGGGTCAATCTGCAACCAACTCACCAACACTGCAGGTTCCCAGCCCACCAGAAAGTTCGGCTCTACCGCTCTCATCTCCACTGATCCCGCCCAGATCTGAGAGACGGAGCAGACCCTCGTCCTCGCGATCGAACGCCCCTTCCTCAAGCCTTCAATTTATTGAACCCTCCATATCTTGCGACCGCTGCGGAGAAAGGAATATCCAATACGAATTACATAAGAAATGCTTCCAATGCAAGGATGGGAATTACCACATTTGTCTGAGATGCTACCGTAAAGGGCAATGCTGTCCCCAGTGGAAAGGGTTTGGTCCTTCAGCACAAGCAAGCTATAAGCGAATGCTAGAATCTTCAACCCACAATTCAGCACCAGTTCGTGAGAATGGCCATATTCTCCAGTCTTTCAAATTTCAGAGACCACCAGAAGCTGCCCAACTGACTGTGAATGGCGAAAGGCAAACTACTAGTGACAACCCAGCGCGGCGTCTAGAAGCCGGTCTCTTCTGTGACATTTGCCTTTCCTCGACAAACGAATGCTATTGGAAATGCAATCAATGCAACGAGGGTGACTGGGGCTTCTGTAACCGCTGTGTCAATCAGGGTCGATGCTGCACACACGCCCTCTTACCGATTCGACGCATTTCAGAAAATTCGGCATTTACACCATCCAACGCGGTCGAGCCAGCCATTGGCACAGTGACTGCCCCATATACGGAATCCTACAAGATCCTCTCATTCTCCACAAACTGCGATATCTGCACCTACCCAATCCCGGCCTCAACAACGCGTTTCCACTGTCTGAAATGCAACGACGGCGACTACGATGTATGTACAAACTGCTATCTCAAACTCGTTGCCACATCAAAGATCAGCAAAGAAAATGGACACCACGGTTGGCGCCGCTGTCTAGCCGGCCATCGCATGATAGTTGTTGGGTTTGAAGACCACGACGATGGCCAGCGGCGCGTCATAGTCCGAAAGCTTGTAGGCGGATGCGCCCTGAAAGACGAGCATCTGAGTCGCTTCCCAGATTCCTCTCCGGCTGTAAGCCCGGAATTAGGCGTTGGCGAGTGGAGCTGGACAGAAGGTCAAGAGCGTCGCAAAAAGACTACTCGTCTCCGAGGCCCCGAGCACGCGCTCTCGGAAGCGAATGCAGCACCTACTCCTCTTCGCCGCTTCCCACCTGATGGTGGCGTAGGTCTTACCGTTTATGCGCGGTGGGCTTGGTATCCGGAAGGAGAGGCCGCTCGCGAAGATGAACTGGCTTTTCCGCGCGGAGCAGATATAACCGAGGTGGAGAACATCAATAACGATTGGTTCTGGGGTTGCTATGCTGGTCGCACTGGACTATTCCCAGGTGCGCATGTATCCTTGGTGGTGTCTGAGCCATGAGTGAAGGGATGTGAATATCGATAGTTTGAATTATGTTTGCATGATTTATGATGCTCACGAAAACCATATGAATGTACTTTTCTGTTTACCAAAAGATTCTCGAATACAATATATGAGTTATAGTATGAGATTCAACCAAAAAGAAGAAGAAAAACGGGTATATCATTGTAATCTCTGTAGGCAAGAGAAGCACTATTAACTAACTACTGAATTTTAAACCGGATATCAAAAACCATAAGGAAGCGTCGAGAAAGAAAAAAAAAAAAGTCAAAAGCCAAAATCACTGCAACAGCGCAACCATCAACTTGCCATAATCACCAGAAGTCTCCCCACGCACCCGATCAATAAGATCCTTGCCATACCGATGTCGATAAGCACGCTTAACCTGATCTTTATGCGCCCGGTTCCAATGAGTCCGCACAACACGAATGACGAGCTTATCATCCTTAGTCCCCATTCCAGCCATGCATTCCTCAAGGAGGATAGCATCACGCATAGCAGGATCCGTAGCAGAACGAAGCATATGCAACAACGCATCCTCCATGTGGCCCGAGAAATGGCGCTCAATATGCTTTTCCAGAGCTGTGTGGTGACGAGCATGGAAAGCCTGGTCAATCGCGCGAAGTTCACCATCCGACGACCGTGCAAAGATACTGCAGACTTCATCAACGTTCGCGCGATGAATAGCATGTACATCAGCGTCGATAGTCTGTGGGATAATAGGCGTTGACTCTTCATGACGCGAGCCCCGCAGAACCATCTTGAACAGCGTAGCAGTCTTGAACGACAAATCGTCCTCGACATCCTTGCTAAGCGAGTGGTGGAAAGTGCGCTCGTATGTAGTTCGAATAGCAGACAGATCTGCATTTGACCTGCCGAGCAACACATCGTTCATAAGCCACTCTTTCGTCCCGAGGCCTTTGATCGACTCGTTCGCGCAGTTGACGTCATGCATGAGTGGGCCGTCGATCACGGCCAGCAGACCGTCACGCAGGTACCCGCCCGCTTCGGACTTGACATCTTTGTACAGATCGCGGCGGATGTGCTGCATGTATGCTGAGCGCACGGCCGCGACCTGGAGCGGGTCAAGGCGGGACAATACGGATATCAGGACCTTTTCGTCTGTGCCGAAGCCCTTCATTGCTTTCCGGAGGGCTTCTGCATCCGCACGGAAGTCTCCTGGTGCTATTTGGTTCGGTGCATAGCCGAGGGATGGCATTGAGGGCGTACCTATTGGCGGTGCGCCGTAGCCTGGGCCCTGTGGTGGGAAGCCCTGCGGTGGGAAGCCCTGTGGTGGGAGACCCTGTGGTGGGAGGCCCGGGTTGCCGAGGGGTGGGCCTGGAGGCGCGTAGCCGTGGGTTGGTGGGCCGGGGGGTTGGCCGTAGGGGGCGTGGTGAGGTGGTGGTTGGCCGTATTGGGGCTGTTGTGGGGGGCCGCCGTATGATTGTTGGTGAGCTGGCGCATGGTAGCCGGCTGGCGCGCCATGGTATCCGGCATTTTGCGGGGGAGGTTGGCCGAAATGGCCTTGTTGGGGTTGGTAGTGGCCCTGTGGAGGACCGGGGGGAGCACCGTAGCCTTGTTGGAGTGGGTATGGAGGCTGCTGAGGGTGCCCGTATGGGCCGTATTGCTCTGTGATATCGTTAGCTGTGGTCTGTATAGGGATTAATGGATGACCTACGAGGGGCACCGGGTGGGGGACCGGGTGGGGGACGTTGATAAGACATTATATGTTTAGCTGTAGGAGGTAAAAATTGGGGAAAGAGAGGTTAAGTAATAAAGTGAGAAGTAGTAAGAAGAAGTAAGCCTCGCCCCAAGAAATTGTGGCGCAGTAATATAGTGGGGTTGAGATCACAGCCTTGTGGATCTGTACTGACGTAGGATCGCGATCATAGTTACCCTAGAAATGAAAAAAAAAAAATGACTTGAGTTCTACATAAAAACGGAAATAAATTCATTCAAAGTAGAATACGAGGATAATTACCTGACTTTTACTAAGACCCCAAGTAACCCTAACCTCTCACAGAACTTATATAACTTCAAGTTATACGCTATTTGATGATTTAAGTGGAGAATCATAAAAAATACTCGTTCGATAGGTATTTATCATGTTCAAGTACTTCGTACAAGCCCCTCAGTGTTGCCAAGGGAATATTCACTATCACTAACCACAGTCCTATATATGATTTGACCAATACAGCCATATTTGGGGCAATATTCTATTTTTGATATTTTTTGCCTCTTGTCACTTCAATGTTCCATTTGTTCTTGATCTTTGAATATCGCATTTCTATTCTACAAATATCGTTGCCTATACGAAACATCCCTACTACATTCAAGACAGGTAGAACTTTGTAGTCTGATTATTTCCTTAACCCACTTAACAAACTTAACATATGATGTAATTTGATTATTCCTATATTAAAGACTCATGCATTGAAACCAAGTAGACCGCGAGGTCAATGTAGTATAACGCTCGCCAAAAATGCCACGAAACCGCCCAATCGAGAACATAAAAACCAAAGAAATAGCAATATAGAATTAGAAAAGACATATAAGGCTATGCAACAATTCAACCCGCAAATTTAATAAAGTCATGGTAGCTCATCAAGTAAAAATCATATAACATCGAATTGGTTCGTTCATCGTAGAAGTTGCAGTTAAAATTGATCATTACACGCTCGCAGTGCGCCGCTTGGGCTCACTGGGCTTCTGAGCGTAAGCGATAAGCATTCGGAAACCAGTTCCTTGCCTCTGGCATTCGCGGAGGATTCGCCGGTCATTCCACATTCTGTTGCTGTTGTCTTCGTCCGGGAGGACGGGGTCTTCGTAGCATTTCGTATACCACCAGCGACCGACGCGGGCGACGATCTTGGCAATTGACTCGTCGTTTGCTGCGGAGCGGGAGGGGTCTGAGAGGAGGTCTCCTAGTGAGACGTTGAAGATGTTTAGATCGTCTGGTGAGGATGGTTTGGTCTGGGAACCTGTCGTTGCGGTGACGGAGATGGTTGGAAGCGTAGATGCTATGGAAGTGGTGGTTGAAGCAGCTGCTGTTGGGGAGAGAGATGACGATGTTGTCGAGGATGATGACCGGAGTACCACTCCTACTACCGGGATGCAAACCATGCATCTGCGCAGATTGTCGAAGCCTTGCGTCCCGAGGAGACGCTGGATGCTGTCACTGCTTGGCTTGAGGCTAATGGCCGGGTCAGCGAGGCAGGTCATTTCTTTCAGGCGGCGGACTGCTCTTCCTGTGCGAACGCCCATGTTTACCATGTCTCTGTCCAGCAGACTGAGTTCAATGTACCCTCCTGTGCAGAGAACGCGCTTGCATTCCTGGATGAGATTGTTCTGGATTGACTCTGGACTGGCGGCCGGGAATCGCAGGACTGTGACGGCGAAAAAGTCCTTGGGGAAGGGGAGTGGATTCTGCAGGCTGGCATGGTAAAGAGTGTGGTGATTTGTTGGGGGTTGCCATGCTGCTGGATTGGAGATTTTGGTCGATGGCTGGCCACTCAGACTGTACACTTCTGCGTCTGGGTAGGTTAGAGAGCAGTAGAAAGACCAGTCGTCATTTTTGAGACCGTCAATGACAAGGATTCTTCGTGATCCTTCTTTGACGTGATTGTGTGCAGGACTGAAGAGCACTCGTCCAAAAGACAACCACCGACTAGTCATAAGGGATGCAGATCGCATATTAGTGCTCGTCACAGTGTCCCAGTCCCGCTCCGAGGAAGCAAAGCTAGATTTACGATCATCCAATGTTTTTTCTTTAGTGATGGAAGCAGGGGCAGGTGGGCTAAGGAGCTCCGACTGCTCTCGAGCGGTAGTTGGAGAAGCCTTTGGTATGTATGAGGAGCCGCTCAGTGCCTTGTCAATCGACTCGTGGTCGGCAATATTATTGCTGAAGAATGGCGGAATGGACGCATAAACAGAGGAATGCAGTGCAGGTGCTATCACGGAGCGGCGTAGGTGAACAGAAACATCACTATTGCGGTTTGACTTGTCTCCAGGGCCTGCCTGGAATATCAACCCGTCCTGTAAGGCCTTGCTTGCCGCTGTTGCAAGCTCGAATTTACCTTGATCATCTGCCTTTCCAGATCCGTTTTGCTTGTTTTTTGAATTTTCTGGAGAGAGAGTATCAATCAGATCATCATATTCCTTCCATATCTCATCTTCCATCGGTGCTGTGCCTTTGTTGGGTAAGACGGCAGTCACGGCTGCCACAGCCACTGTACTGCTCGATGACAGAGAGCTCGGTGAGAAATGGAGAAACTCATGGCTAGAATATGGTCCGGCCAGAAAATCCAAGGCACTGACTTGTTCAGGGGCACTAAAGGTCTGACTTGGATTATAGCTCCAGTCTGGTGCGTTGCTGAATGGGTTGGCAATAGGATGATGCAAGGATACTTCACCGGTAGACTGTCCTTTGAAATTACATGTATCCAAAGTAACAGGGGATTCTGCATTAAAAGGCCGGGAAAACGATTGCATAGTCGGCTTGTGCTGTCTGTCACGTCTCGACACAACCTGAGGTATGCGACCCACAGAGGCTAGTCGTCTTGGACGCTGTGCCTCAACACTAGACTCAGTCTCACTCATCATATTGTGATTATACAATTTCACTTTTGGAGAGCGTCGATTATGGGTCTCGAAGTCGCCATACATCTTTGGTGGTGATGGTAACAATATCGACTGTTGCTTTTTTCTGATATTCAGGCCACTTGGAATGTCTGTAATTTTTAAGGCTTCTTCTTCTTCTGTCAGCGGTGAGTCATCCAATGTATCCAGAATCTCATCAAACTCGTCAGAGTCGATATCCACAAGTGCGTAGTGTGCAATATGGCGTTTTTTCAGGACAGGTGTAATTGCAGCATGAAGCTTGGAAGTTTCTGGTGCAGGATCGGGGGAGCTCGCAACAGGCACTTTAGGCTCTTCGGTGCGAGTCTTTTGGAATATATTCCAGCGAGAAGATTTCGCTTTCTTAGCATGCTGGATATCCTTCTTTGGTGATTCTTGTGGCACAGTGATCGGATTCTGACTCGGCATTGAAGACTTCGGCACAGTGGCCTCAGCACTGTCAATGAGTCCATTTCTCCTGTCCTTTGGCACCGGCATGCGAGATTTCCAAGGTTGTGAAACATCTTGAGCCACTTGGTTTCTTTCCGGGCTTCTACTCTGCGTCAATACCAATGGTGTTGAATCAGCCTCGCTCAAAGTCCCCGTGGAGCTTCCTCCCAATGAATCGGTTGATTGACCCATAAAAGAACTGAGTGGAGTTGTATGAAGTACGCCCGAAGAGGCAACACTTTGACTACTTATGCTTTGCTCGCTTTGAGTTCCTGAAAGCGAAACACCATCCATTCCCCCTCCGTTGATCACAACAGGTTCCAGGCGACTCATTAGGAAGTCGTCCAGATTTAGCTCTGGCCGACTAGTCATGCTTTCCTTGCTGCTGGATATCGATCGCGATGTGCTTCTTGTTGTGCTTGTAGAGCTAGTCCGAACAGCATTGCCGTTGCTTGCACTCGCTTTCCTGCCACGCTGGGCATACTTCCCGTATCCTTCATGACCAGTCCCTGCTGTCGGCCCCTTTCGCGCTGACCGACTCTGTTCTGCAGCGTAGTCTTCTAAGTCTGCCTTGGACCTCTTTGGAAAAATCCCAAAACGCTTTGATGCAGTCGCTGTCTTCTTCGGCTCGACTTTTTCTCTCGATAGCTCTCTAGTCACGACCCGAGGTCCTTTTCGACCCAATACCGGAGATGTGTCGCGTGAAGGAATTCTAGACAAATCCTTAGAGCGTAAGGAGTCCATTGAAGCTTTTGCAGATTGACTTGGGATCGGATTTGCTTGGATAACAATCCGGGCCCTCTCTGTGGACTCGCGCCTTTTGTGGCCTGTCGATCGGATAAAGTGAAGATTGCTTTGGATAACAGGGGACGCCTCCAGCTCTAAGTTATCGGTGCCTTGTCTGCTCGGCCGTGGTGGTGGAGTCATAGGTACAGTAGACTCGTTTGTTATCCTTTGTGAATTGAAAACTTCTCGTTCGGCCTGCTCTACTTCTTTTCTGGCCTTTTCAACATCGATGTCGGAGTTATTTGATGGACCAGCTCCTTTGGGAGGGCTGAAATTCACTGATGACTTCCTTGGAGGTGGGCTGCGAGCTGGGCCATGATAATGGGCCGGGACTTTTGTCACACTTGGTTTTCGCAGGACAGAAGTGGTTGTGCTTGATCCATATCCAAGTGATCTTTGCGGAAATGCAGCTCTTTGTGTCCTCAGTTCTGATCGCTCACTTTGGGCACTTTGGGGGCTGGAAAGAGCTTGTTGGGGAGATATAAACGGCAGTTTCATCTGAGGTGAGCTAGGCTGCCTTGGACGCCCAATCTTAGATGGCAACATGATACTTGGGGAGTAAGATGACAATGAGGTCGGTGTCGAGCCGCGGCTCCACATCCCCGGAGACTCGGAGTACCTCGTTGAGGGACTACTAGCGAGCGGATACAAAGATAATGGATTCATTCTATTTTCAACCACAGTGCGAAGACTGGCAAGCTCTGCTGGCTCGTGTGTTTTTGGCGTTTCCACTGCACTGTGTTCTGTCCTGCTGCTTGAATTATTGGAAGATGCAGACGTCGAAGGCCCAGCTGAGTGTGATAACTCTGGGGTGGCTTGCATCCTAAACTCCTTCATATCGTGAACTGAAGCAGGCTGTGGAATCACCAAGCTAAGTTTTTGAGACTGTGCTGAGTCCAAGTGCTTGCCTATTGTCGGGGCTTTTCTGCGAAGGACATTGCGAGTCTGCTTGGCAGGGAGAGCGTGATGTCTCGGTGCTAATTCAGGTGGATTAATAATATCAGACGCTGATAAAGACGTCGGTATGATCTGCACTGGAGTCTTGTATTTGACACCTGGGGTTCGAGATAATGGCGACGTTATACCAGTAGTATTTGGACGCGGTAGCAACGATTGTCGTCTTGATTGGCTAGAAGATGCTTCAGGTTGACTATTATCTTCAACCGCCGATAGAGGTGAGCCCCGACTGCTTCTTGAATTGTTATTGATTGGCCTGGCAAGTTGCAATCGGGGCAATCGAGGGGCAAATATAATGTCGCTGGTAAGCCCAGGATGCGACGCATCTGACTGCCGGGAAAAGGAAACATTCGGTGGTATGCGAGGCCCTGGATTGTACGACGACATTGAGCGACGCTGACTTAAGCCTCCAGCTCCACACTTGGGCGCTGGAATTTATTGATGGGTACATGTGCTGAAAAGAATGATCCATGTTAGCAATGAGCCTTGGAAGTATACAGATCCATATTGTATACCTCAATCTGGGCGATGGGGAAACCCTAACATTTCCCCGATCCAATTGAAGCGAGTATAGGAGATCAATAAAAAGAGAGCATGAAAACTTACAATTTTAAGACATTAATTAAGTCGAAGGATATCCGATCTGGAGATATAGGGTGTATAAATGTACAGCCCTAACACCCGAGATTGCAGAAATGAGGTATAAGTGAAGTAGCTATTAAAAGATAAGTACTAAGTCATTCAGTTTCAGTATAGAATAGAATATCATCGGACATTTTCACTGCAATTATAAACAAATGTCAGATTGAAATAGACAGAAGCTGCAGGTGCTTCGCCACAGTATGGAGCAATGTGGCGCCGTCTAAGTAAAGATTCCACTAAATCTCGGCCACGTCGAACTTCGAAGATCTGGTAAAGTGAAGATTCAAATAACGGTTAAGAAAAGATGATTCAGATTCAAACAGTTAGAAAAAAGACTCAAGATTCAAAAAAAAAAAATGAAATCAGGGATAAATGTCACCGGACTTTTTGTATGCTGACGCGGAATTTCCCCTCAATGTGGGGGGCAAAGAGGGATACTGTCGGTACGCATTATATGTGCGATGTACGGCAGCGCCGGTACGAAATCAGGGGAGTAAAAAGTATGATTTATCATTGGTGCATGTGAGGCTTAATCTGTGATTAGTCGAGGCGGCGCTACTGGGGGACCTGTAAGAAGAATCTGCTGTGCCGGCCATTAGAGCCAAAGTACGTACTATCACAAATAACAGTAGCATGGTAGAAAAAAAAAGGGAAAAAGGTGCGCACGGAAGCCCGCATCGCATGGCTGTAACATTCAAAACTTTGATGATTAAAACCCGGTCCACTCAAGACAAATTCCCACCAAGAGGTGTTGGTGAGACCTAGTAAACGAGTCGACAAGGGTCCTGGTCGAATGGGCTCATCCGCGTCTTCCTGCTTGGTGGGCAAATCCTTCGGGTATATAACCGATATGCAACTAGAGGTACAAGCTGAAACTATTTGGATATGCGCTCACTAGGCCTGGTCAGGGTCTCTTTCTGCATCTGCGTTTGCGTTGCCTCGTTGACAACTCATCGACCGGGGAGGCCGAATCCGATCTAACGGCATCATCGATCTGTCCCCAGGAAATGAAACATGCTTTTTTTCTTGTGCACAGTAGCTCTGCATTCAAACTTTGAAAGCTGACAGGGCCATTGCTTCGAAGCCGGAGAATTTCTCAACGTGCTCATTCCCCCGGGGTGAGTTGCAGGGAATAGTAGGACTGTGCAGGTACAAAAATACCAAAACTGCCCACTCGTGCTTCAAGATAACGTGACACGTTGTCACGCTATAGATCAGACAGTCAATCCCCAGTTCGTTGAGGATGATCTAAGGAGCTGTATAGCCGTTTTTCAGAGTCTGGAACAGCATAGACCGTTGAAGTGTTGACAAGTCTGACGATCAAGAAAGATGAGTGCTCGTAGCTCGGATAGTCCCATGCATCGGATCTCTTTCTGGAATCAGCATACTTGACTGAAATCCGGTTGACTAGTAGAGACTAGAATCTGAATAACCAGTGAAGCTCGAGGCAAAGCCTAGACTAGAGCCCGGGAATTTGGAATCGCCTTCCCCGTCGTGGAGACCAAGTGGCGCTGGTGATGATCCACCAAACGGCCCAGCAATGACCGTGCTGACTGAGTGAATGACCTAGTTAGCCGCCCTCCTTTCAGTCTCGAGAGCCATTACTTATTTAGAAATAAGTGTGTTCTGGCTTCGGATTCGTCGATCTAAGTGGAGACAGCGGTAAAAGGAACAATGCCTAGAGTTCGTGAGCCTGGATGGCGTTTGTAGGCTTGAATCATTGCGCGTTTGCTGAGGTCTTCCAAGAGTTCAAGAGTCCAATGCCGAGACTAAAGCATCTTTTTCGGTAAAGCAGTGGGTTTGTCGATCCCCTAATACGGCGATCTAGAGGGGAGGGTCAAGGTGAAAGGGCTGTCCTGACCCGGCACTGGTCAGTAACAACGCTGCAGGAACCAGAGGCTAATGCAATATTCAGCTCGCCTACTCAGCCTTTTGTAGAACTTGCTCGCGATATTCAAAATTCTGATAGCACCGATACAGTAATCATGCAAAATAATTACAATACTTATTCCTCTGCTAGTCTTGTCTACTACGTAAGTTGTAGAAAAATTAAATCAAATTCAAGGGTTATTCCTGATTAAACGCCATGTGTAAAAGAAAAGGTTTCCGGATAGCGAGAACAGTGAACTAAGTAGCAGTAGCAAAGCGCTTCTTGCGAGCCTCCATCGCCGAAGTATCCTTCTCACTCCAGTTTGGCTTCTGTACTCCGCCCTGGACCTTGTTACCAGCTCCGGCGGTACGGTTCTGGTTCTGGTTGCCGCGGTTTGGACCGTTGGATCGCTGACCGCCGCTGCCGTTGCCATGGCGGCCCTGGTTCTGGCTCTGGTTTTGGTTGCCATTACCACGCTGGTGACGGCGGCCCAGATTTGGACGCTTGCCTCCAGGGCCCGGGCGGTCGGTACGGACGCGCTTGCCATTGTTGTTGCGCTGAGTTTCGCTGGAGAGAGCTTCATCGAGACCCTTGACACCGACACTGGTCTTAGTGCTATCACTGACCTCAGGCGCACCAGTAGAGAAGCGCTTGGCGCGTAGAACAGCCTTCTCGGCCTCCTTCAAAGCAGTCGCGGAGTCTTCAACGGTTCCAAATTTCTCGGCGCGGGCCTTGCGCTTGCGCAGCTCTTCCTCCAGCTCAGTGGCAGGAAGTCCACGAGTGTAATCGACTGCGGGCTTCTTCTCAGCTTCAATGGGAGCGGTCTCGGTAGTTTCAGCGGGGGCAGCCTCGGTCTCAGCGGCGGCAGTTGTGGCAGGAGCGTCTGCGGGTTTCTCGGCGGACACAGCAACGGGTTCGGTCACGACAGACTTGTCAGCGGCGATAGAGTTTGTACCCTCACTAGGTGCTGCCACAGTGACTGTCTCAGTCTCAGCAGGTTCATCGTCGTCCCAGTCGATGACATCTTCGGTGTTGTCAGCGGGCTTAGTGGCCTCAGCGGAAGCTGGGGCCGAGCTCTTGTCATCGTCTTGCTGGAGGCGGGCGACCAAATCGGCTTTCTTGCCAGTGTGAGGCAGTGAGCGAGCCTTTAGGACCTCGACCAAATCAGCGTTGGTCTTTTTGCTGTAATCGGTAGCCATTGTGAAAGTATTGAAGTTGAAAGGTGAGACTGGAGAAAGTAGTTGGAGGTGACAGGTGCGGAAAGAGCGAGCGTGGAAGGAGCGAGAGGCAGGTTTGGTGGTCAAAAAATGAGGGGTATCAATTGAAAATCGTGCGACGTTCTGTGGCGATTATTTTTAAGAATAAATAAGAGAATATATGGACGCTGTGGTTAATGAGGTAGTTTGTACGCGACCTGCCAGATCGCGCGCGGGTTCTCTCGTCACGTGGAACGACATCCGATGTCATATCAACGATGATGTCGGCGCAGATACTACGCTTCCTCAACGTCCAAATTTTGGAAATAGGTTGATATATTGAAGAGAGTATTTGAAGATAATCTGAAAACTGGGAGCCAGGAAATTATAACGGAAACTACCTAGATATCGACTTCACTTATGTGTACATGCATGCACCTCCAGTAGTTCATGAATTCTGTCACATCCCATATATATATATATGATATTTCTAACCAAACAGTCTAATTAAATCATTATAAAATCCGCCATGCATCATAGATATCTTCAATTGCTAGTATAATGACTAGATGTGTGCTAGCTATCTAATAGTCTAATATTTATTGTAATATCCCTAGCTGCTTTCACAGAAGCTATTCTACGCGGCATGCTCCAAATCAGGCTATCGACTACATTTTGATCAATCTCTCTCCATGCCTGTCTCATTAGACCATGAAATTCAGTCCATGTAGCCTTTGATGAACTGGCTTGCCGGACATCTGGTCTGATTTTTTATATCTGGCGTTTTAAAAAAGTCAATAGCGCTGAAATCGACTACAGTGGCCATTCCATTACTTCTATTCAATGAATTTCATTGATTTCTTATGAGATAGCAGCTTTATCCATAGTAGAATCATCTTGCTAAAACATCCTCCCAGGCTCATAGATAGATAGAAGGCCTTCTTCAAGACTATCAAGGTATGAGTTAGCGGCGTGGCGAGCAGATTCATTTCTCTCCAAAATTATGAGCTCAGAGTTCGCCCATCAATCCAGATAGCCGCATATACCATCTAGAAGATATTTCTACTTTCTAGAAACCCTTGATTGACTAGATCTTAGCGATAGGCTCTCTAATGAAGCGAAAACCATATTGAGTGCTGTTATTAGAACGTCGTTAGACATTCGTCGGAAACATAATTGTATCCTACGCTTGGAAATGTCGATATTTTCGGCAAAATTCACGACAATGTCTAGCAACTAGGTTATTTATAAGGATTCTCTACTTAGATTTTCACTTTTTAAGCTTATATCCTAAAATAACTCTCCGAATAGTTCTTGGATGGAAGCCAAAATCACATGTGGTTTAGACATTTTTAATTCCAGAATTCGATGCTTACACAACTGCTCGGGTATTCTCTGATAGGCGAGTATTTTTGTGCGTCGATTTTCACTGATAATATAGCCAAATTGACGCAGTGGTGGATTTTTGAATTTTAAAAAGTGGTGAGTGATGAAAAAATTTAAACAGCGAGACAAAACTTATGAACCACTAAAAGACCTAGACTAGTACCGGGAAGGATATAGCTCTTGAAATAATAGGAAACTGGCCACAGAGGATCATTCTTGAACATTAGCACTATCCACATGCCTTTATATTTCTATTTCTCTTTACTGAGGTCCTCTACTATCATAAGGGGCCTACCTAGGTATTTACTCAGTACTGTGGCTTATCACTATATTCCGCATCTCCTGATGCACCTCTATGGCTTCTCAACCTTGGAAGACCTCATCACACACCCTGATACACGTATATGAGTCTCAATAGAAATATTATCAAGGCGAACTCTTAACAGCTATCCGCTCAAGACCATGCTACCATACTATATGAATCGTCTTCAACATGGAGAGAATAGGCGCCAAGAGTTTCTATATCTACGACATGGCCGTGAGATCGTCGAAAATGGGCAAGTCACAGAAAAGAAGCAAAAATATGATAAAAGAGACTGGGTTTGATCATTCAACCAATCATGAAGCTGTCAAGCTTGTTTCTGATGTTTCTGACCTGCTATCACTCTCCCACTCCTTTTCTTTCTTGATCCCTATCTTCCATCTAGTTATCTTAGCTGGTATGGATTCTGTTTCTGAAGATCGGGCTAATGAGCGTGTTGGCTTAAGAGACACGTACATTCAAGCTGTGAGATGCCTCATTGGTGAATTACTCTCCCCTAGGAACGACCGTCAGATATACTTCCACTGCCAATATCTTCCCAGCGAGGGCAAACCAAATACAGTAGATATGCTCTACAGCGTCTAACACAAAAGGGAGAGATAGAAATTAAGAGTCATTGGAGACAACGCTAATGAAAAATCCTAATGTTAGGGACGAAAGCTCCTTGATCGCTCACTTGAATTAGTAAGTTTGCGGGGCGGGTATTCCTATTACCATATCTGGGCAAAACACAAGTTATTAGAAGACCAGACAACTCGTTCGCATGTACTACTTATAACTTGATCTGGTGCAGAGGCGAAGGAAGACGAATTGCTCTTCGTGAGATAACATATATTGTACTGGCAATCCGAAATCACATAAGCCAGGAGGAATTTGAGAAGATGTCACTCTTCTCGGTATATATAGTTAAACGGTTCACTCCAGGCCAGTCTCTCCAACTTCGTGTATGCTTACATTATAATTATGAACTTTATAGGTGTTGGAATATGGAACAAAGCAGTCATGTGATCAAATTGTTACTATATAATAGATAGCAAACTAAGAATGAAAACCAGACTTTACAACCACTTCAAAGGACACACAGATATCATAGGGGCGTAAAGCTTTACCTGTGATAGGTGTCAGAAGTGGGCGTTAGCCTCATCACCTTTATCGAATAGCTATTCCACACTTGATACAGGTGTACCGACAATAGGTGCTCTTTGTTTCATTTCTTTGCCCACTATATGGCATCTATGACGTTCCAAGCTCAGCAATTCCGTTTTCTTTGGAATTCTGGCATCGCCTATCTTTAGCTTTCACCGTAAGGCCGAGGCCAAGTCGAAGGATTTTTTAGTGTTTTCCTTTGTTACCACTACTACGACCCGCGAGATGCCTGGAATATTAATTTTCAAACGACAACACCAGAGAGGATATAAGCCTTCCTAGAAGAAGTAGTATCACCATTCAACTTAAAATACCTATTAATAACATCTTAATAATGTCATCTCTGATTTCCAAGGTTGAGAGCTTTTTGATATATGCACCCACTTTCAGGTGATCGTAACATTTAGTCCTAGCCTGATCCTGAGGTTTTCGATACTGTAACTAATAGCTAGGCAGATATAAGATAAAAATATCTAAGAGAAAAGGAGACATACTAAATATTGATACCCAGGCGGTGATGACAACCAGAATATTACCAGCCTCGGCCTCGAGCTTTTTAAAGCCCCAGCATACAGATTTGGTGATTTAGTGCCAGCAGATAACTTGAAGAGATTCAGATAAAGGTATAATCAATGGATAACTTCTCACGGACTCCAGCAGCTACCTAGTAGCTAGGTAGGTAAAAGAAACGAGATACAGCCCTCTAGTAAAAATTGAAGAAATAGCCATGGAATAATAGTGCCAGGCGCCGGAGTCGAACCGACGTTACCTCGGAAGTCACTTCGGACGTCCCCAATGAGAAAATGAGGCGTGCTAACCACTACACTAGCCCGACATGTTATTGTATAGATTGTCCAGGAGTTGAGCTATAAACTACCCTAGATGGAAAGAGAAAACTAAAGATAAGCGTAGAGATCTAAAACCTATTCGTATGAGAACATATTAGGCAATTCGAATCATTCAAGCTGTTGTGTCGTATGAATTACGGCATAGAGGAAGAGCGAGTATAGATGATGTTGATCAACATCGGGCTCCAGATCAGGTAAAAAGTGGAGAAGGGTCCACAAAAAAGCGGAGGAAAACTTGACGTTTTTAAGACCTCGGGAGCAAAAATAAAAAGGTATTTTGGTAGAAAATCAAAAAGAACTTTGGAATTATTAGAAATAAAATGTCGTAGACATGAGGCTCCTTAACGTGTTCAATACGCCCGTTTATTATTCCAAGGTTCCATGTCCGAGTCTTGACATCACTACCAGCGAAGCCGTGAACATGAGGGTCAGAAATATATTTGAAAGCTTGGGAAACAGCTGCAAGCTTACTTCTCTCAGTCATATCATGTTCTATTTTCCAATTTCGAAGATATCAGCAGATCTCCAGAGCTTTTTGACATATGCATCTAAATCCAAGGTTTAGGCCCTGCTGCATGTTCATTACCTACATTTAGTACTCGTGGACTTCTAAGGGCGGAAGGAGATAGTTCAAAGTATTTTTTTTTTCAAAAAAAGAATAAGAATGCTAGGCGCTGGAGTCGAACCGGCGTTACCTCGGGTTTCCTACCGAAGTAAGACTATAATGAGGCGTGCTAACCACTACACTAGCCCGGCATAGTGTTAAGTTATTCATACAGGAAGCCGATCATAATATAACCCAGGTGGAAGCAAGACAAATATGGCTCCATTAATCTGTATATATACATGAAGAGCATCTAGAGTATTCAAGCTGTTGTGTCATAAATGACGGAATAGGGGGTAAGGGTAAACCTTAAGACGACCTCGCGAGTATATATCTTCAGATTCTACGATCATAACTAGGTAAATAAGAATCCGTAAAAACGGAAAAGGATTAGCATGCATAAAAAGGGAAACATCTGCTGAGCAAAAAGAATAAAGAATAATGCCCGACCAGTCGAACCAGGTTACATCGCTAGGCGAGCTCACCCCCACACCAGCCCGTTATGCAACTGAGGTAGAAAGAAAAATAACATGCAGGAGTATCAAGGGAAATATCTAAATGAAGAGTTATATAAGGCTTAAAGGTTCCGAGGACTCTTCCTAGCCCCAGATATCAGGATATCTGTTATCCATAAAACCAATATTCGGCCGCATATTTAATCAAGACGGATTTGTTCTGACCAGCACAGGTCAGTGGAGGGGATCCTCCAGATGTCATCACTCGGTAGACCCTCTAGATCACAAGTTAACACATAATTATGACTGAGCAAGATCTTAATGACAATCTTAGAAGGGCTTGGGGCTTACCTCAACACCATTGCCTGTCTTGCGCTCCAGCTCCAGCCAAGCAACATCTTCACTTGACACGTTGCTACATGAATTGGCGTCTTTTATGGGGGCATCAACAGATGCCTTCTTCGTAGCCACCATCCATGCGTTGGCTCCACCAAGTCGCAAATCAAAGTAGGGATCTCCGCTGGCATCAAAATAGTGTTCTCCTATTATAAGATCTGTCTTATTCGTAGTAAGGCTCAGCATTTCCGCCATAAAAGCAAGAGATCCGAGTGAAGTACGTCTAATGACAGCAGGTACTTCGTGGAGCAGGGTCATTGAGGCCGATGCAAGGCAGGAAGCATCAAAGAGTGCAGCTGCAGCACCGACAGCTACAGGTTTTGCGGAGGAGTTGGAGGTTGAACAAGAATAGTTTTGGGTTCCTCGACCCAATGCGACGTACTTGAGGTTTAAACTAGACGATGGAGTAGGGAGTTTGACTTTTGTATTATTCACCGGAAGAGCTGCAGCTGATAGATTGCAGTTGCCTAGGCTCATATGATCAAGCTCGTCAGAGATACGAGCGAACATCGTGGCAAATTGTAAGGGTCTGGAGACATCAGAGACCACGCCAATGACCCCAATTGTCAGGATTGACACAAATTGAATGATACGCATTTCCGGTCAATTTTTTGATTGTTGAAGGGGCTGCGTGACCTTGAGAAGGGAGTAGTTGGCGATTTGAATAAATAGAAATATATCAAGGCAGAAGTGTAAGTAGGAGTAGCAAGAAGCACGCTATTAAACCAGTGATCTGACCCGTGGTTCTAGTCTTCAAACAAAGAAAAGGCTTTTAAAGATTTTGAAAAAGAAACGTTTTCAATTAACGAACCTCGAGACTTTCTTAAAGGCAACATACAGAATTTGAGCACAATCAATCTTGGAGCTGTGCCTCGGTTATTAAATTTTGCCCTTCAAGGCTTCCTCCAGGGCTACTTTTAATCTTCAAATCCAAACACCAATTACAACATTCCACGAATTTTAAACTCAGAAGACTGTTTGAGGTCAAGGGAGCTTTCGGTACTAAAGGTAGTCTCTTTGTTAGTCACCTCTGCCTGTGAATGAGAGTTTGATGAGCAAGAGACATGGTACTTGGCCAAATCTGCAAAGATCCAAAGCCCCTAGCTCATTTCTCACGGCCAATCTAGTCTAGCTTAATGTAACCACCTCGCATATCCAGGGCTGGAAGGCGTTACACCCCCACTTTGATTGTCATACTAGCCGCCGGCAAGTTGCAACGTCTAAAGGCCCAGCAAAAGGGCTTACTTGGAATAAAATAACTTGTAAAGCAGCCTTGAAAATGCCCTAGGCATACTATATTGGCAGTGCCTCTAGAATTGAGAATTTTACCCTAAATATCCACATATCTAATAGTGGCAAGTCATTTCCTACTAGAAGAGTCTAGAGCCAGCATGAGAATCGAGATGAATATTTCCTGGGGCCATACTCCGCTGATACAGTGCATGTGTGACATAAATAGCTTCTAAGCGCCCTTTGAACGCCACTGAAATTATGTAGGGACAAATGCACAGCCTGAGGCGTATTTATTTTCAATCCTTTCATGCTGATTTAGCGAAGATTCTACAACTTCACGTCCCCAGCGTGTGGATCGGAGTTCACCTACACTACTTCCTATCTTCAATCGGATAATCAATCTTCCGAGCCGCCAATTTGACACCATCACGTGCCCCAGTTAATCTCTTAGTCATTAGCGCGACTTTCACGAGCGTGGTTTTCACCAGCGGAGATACCGATCATCAACGACACAGCTTCTCCCCTCATCACTCATGCTGCCGTTCTAACGGTGCTTACTCCGAATGTAGCTGGCTACTACCTGCTCAATAAAATTTCAAATCCAACCTGACTTTTTGACACTATGTCTGACGGTACGCTTTACCCTACTCCTCTTAACGACACCTTGCTAATCTCAATGACAGCTGATATTGAGGCCGTCCGGCGGCTCCAAGCAGAACGCAATGCTGCTGCCGCTTCTAAAAAAGGTTCAAAGACCTTTGATCCTGCTGATCAACGCACTGACAACTCGACCAAGGCCTCCCTTACCGAATCCTTTGATACAACCTTGTACGATCGACAAGGTGCGGATAGGTTTGCTGGATATGAAACCTCCATCGCTGTGAATGAAAATGATGATGAAATGGAAGATATTGGTGGTCATAGCCTCGTGGGCCAGTACACTGCGACCAGAAGTCAGATTGATGAGATGGCACATGGAAATGGAGTCGAAGAAGAGGACATCCTGCTTGGTCGCGAGAAATCAGCACGCATCGCCGACCGGGAGACTGACTATCAAAAGCGCCGATTTGAGCGTGCTATCTCGCCCACACGCGCCGATCCCTTCGCTGCCAATAACGGAAATGTGGAAGGAGAGGGTCAGACGTATCGTGAGGTCATGGCCCTTCAGGAGCTGGAAAAGGAAGAAGCGCGTGTTCAGAAACTCATTGCAGAGAGAAGAGAGCGTGGTGAAGATATCCCTGAGCATCAGGCTGAGCTGAAGATGGACGTAGACGACAAAGAGAATGGCGATGCCCAATCGACTGCCGGTAGAAAGCGAAAGAAGCGCTGGGACAATGCCACAGATTCTACTGCGGAGACAGCTACCGACCAATCTGATGAAGCGAAGACTAAGAAATCGCGATGGTCCGATACACCAGCCGCCGGTGCGATGGAAGCCCCCAAGCCTCGCTCCAGATGGGACCAGGCACCTTCTCTCACAGCTGCGACACCTGTCGGTCACCAGGGTCTTGCTACTCCCATACACCCGTCTCAAGGCAGTGCACTTTCAACGTCCAGTGGCTTTGGCCCCGATCCCTCCGGCTGGTCTGACGAGGACCTCGATATGATGCTCCCCACCGAGGGCTACCAAATTTTAGACCCCCCTGCAGGCTATGTGCCTATCCGCAACCCATCACGCAAATTGATGGCCACACCAGGCCCTTCTGTCGCGTCCGGATATGGAGGCTTCATGATGCAAGAGTCGGAAAGCATTCATTCGATGGGCAAAGAACTTCCCACCGATATCCCTGGAGTTGGTGATCTGCAGTTTTTCAAGCCGGAGGATATGGCCTATTTCGGTAAGCTCATGGATGATGGAGATGAGAGTGGTATGTCTGTTGAGGACATGAAGGAGAGAAAGATCATGAGACTGCTTCTCAAAGTCAAGAACGGTACTCCGCCTATGCGAAAGACTGCTCTGCGACAGCTTACAGACAATGCGCGGAACTTCGGAGCGGGTCCTCTTTTCAACCAAATCCTTCCTTTGCTCATGGAGAAGTCATTGGAGGACCAGGAACGTCACTTGCTGGTCAAGGTCATTGACCGTGTGCTCTACAAGCTCGATGACTTGGTTCGACCATATGTCCATAAGATTCTAGTCGTCATTGAGCCACTGCTCATTGATCAAGACTACTATGCTCGCGTCGAAGGTCGCGAGATTATCTCCAACCTTGCCAAAGCTGCTGGTCTCGCCACCATGATCAGTACCATGCGACCCGATATTGACCATGCCGACGAGTATGTGCGAAATACCACCGCTCGAGCATTTGCCGTTGTGGCTTCTGCTCTTGGAATTCCATCTCTCCTTCCGTTCCTCCGCGCTGTCTGTCGCAGTAAGAAGTCCTGGCAGGCTCGGCACACTGGTGTCAAGATTGTCCAACAGATCCCTATTCTGATGGGCTGTGCTATTCTTCCTCATCTGAAAGGCCTTGTCGACTGCATCTCGGACAACATCAGTGATGAACAGGCCAAGGTCCGAACAGTCACTGCTCTGGCCGTTGCAGCTCTTGCTGAAGCCGCCAATCCATACGGTCTTGAAAGCTTCGATGAAATCCTTAATCCTCTCTGGACTGGCGCTCGCAAGCAGCGCGGTAAGGGCCTTGCCGCTTTCCTGAAAGCCGTTGGCTACATCATTCCCTTGATGGATGTGGAGTATGCCAACTACTACACCAAGGAGATTATGGAGATCCTTATTCGAGAGTTCTCCTCTCCAGATGAAGAGATGAAGAAGGTAGTCTTGAAGACAGTATCACAGTGTTCAAGCACGGCAGGTGTCACTGCCAGTTACCTCAAGGAGAAAGTCTTGAACGAGTTCTTCAAGAGTTTCTGGGTGCGACGCATGGCCCTTGACCGCCGGAACTATCGTCAAGTAGTTGATACCACTGTCGATCTAGGTCAGAAAGTCGGAGTCGGTGAGATCGTTGATCGTATCGTCATTAACCTGAAGGACGAGAGCGAGCCGTACCGTAAGATGGCTATGGAGACCATCGAGAAGCTTATTGCCTCGTTGGGTGCTGCGGACATCTCCGAGCGTCTAGAAGAAAGACTGATTGACGGTGTCCTATTCGTTTTCCAGGAACAGAGCATTGAGGACGTTGTGGTCCTGAATGGATTTGGAACTGTGATCAATGCTCTTGGCACACGATGCAAGATCTACATCCCCCAGATCGTCAGTACCATTCTGTGGCGCCTGAACAACAAATCTCCCACCGTGCGACAGCAGGCGGCCGATCTCATTTCGCGCGTCGCCATGGTCATGAATTCATGCAGTGAGGAAGCCTTGATGGGCAAACTCGGTGTTGTGCTCTACGAATACCTAGGTGAGGAATATCCCGAGGTTCTGGGCTCCATCCTGGGCGCCTTGCGATCCATCGTCACCGTGATTGGTATCAACCAAATGCAACCGCCGATCCGCGATCTTCTTCCCCGACTAACACCCATCCTGCGTAACCGTCACGAAAAGGTCCAGGAAAACACAATTGATCTTGTCGGTCGTATTGCCGACCGTGGCCCCGAGTCCGTTAATGCTCGTGAATGGATGCGTATTTGCTTCGAGCTACTGGATATGCTCAAGGCCCATAAGAAGGGTATCCGTCGTGCTGCTAACAACACCTTCGGTTTCATTGCCAAGGCTATCGGTCCCCAGGATGTGCTTGCGACTCTCCTGAACAATCTTCGTGTACAAGAACGTCAATCGCGTGTTTGTACGGCTGTCGCGATCGGTATCGTGGCGGAAACCTGTGCTCCCTTTACTGTGCTTCCCGCCTTGATGAATGAGTACCGCGTGCCCGAGCTCAACGTGCAGAATGGTGTCCTCAAGGCCATGTCGTTCTTGTTCGAGTACATTGGTGAACTCAGCAAGGATTATGTCTACGCTGTTACACCGTTGCTCGAGGATGCCCTGATCGATCGTGATCAGGTCCACCGACAGACTGCTGCCAGCGTGGTCAAGCACCTCGCCCTCGGCGTCGTGGGTCTCGGCTGCGAGGACGCCATGGTCCATCTCCTGAACCTCATCTTCCCCAACATATTCGAGACCAGCCCCCACGTCATCGACCGTATCATTGAAGCCATCGACGCCATCCGCATGGCTGTCGGAACCGGTACAGTGCTGAACTACGTTTGGGCCGGACTATTCCACCCAGCCCGCAAGGTTCGCACTCCATACTGGCGACTTTACAATGATGCATACGTACAGGGAGCCGATGCGATGGTTCCTTACTATCCCAATTTGGAAATTGATGGTATGGACCGACCAGAGTTGTTTATCGTCATTTGATGCGGCTATCTGGTACGGCCTGTTTATTTCTTCTGTTGCATAATTATCTTCCCTTTGGATTCTTCAGCCGGTGTCTTTGGTTTCTTTTCGGACGTTCGGCGTGGTTGACTGTAATACCAAATTTCAAAAGTCAAGAGATTAGATCAATCAATCATGAGTTACTCTAAATATGAATATGGATTCTAGAAAAGTACCTAGGCACCTAGCTAAGAAGCTTGAACACTAGGGTTTTATACGTTGAGCCCTCTGTATCTCCGTCACCATGGGAACGGTCATCAAAGCAACTCGATTCAGCATAAAATTGCTCTCCCATACAAACACTACCAGTGATTTCTAACATTGAACTTAAAATTCAACATATATCAGACTTCTTGACCAGCCCCTACCTGACTCATCTTGTATAGAGTAGATCAGATCTCCAAATCTAAGATCAACAGCCAAGCAAACTTGACTGACAGCTAGCGATTGGCAGTGATCGCTGAAAATCATTGTCAATCATCGTTAGTCATGATCATCTCGGGTAGACATCTACAACAGTCTGAGTGACAGTCTGAGTGGGTTTGTTAGATTGCTATTTTGACCCTTGCTATGATCCAACACCGCCTCCTAATATAGATTAGCGTAATACGACACTGTTTCAAGCGACATTTGGCCGCCCTGAAATTAGTGCATATTATCCAATGGCTATCCGTCAAATTCCACCCGGGTTCTACCTATAATTGATGAAGTTTCGGGGCTTTTTTTGCCTTTTTTACTAATTTTTTATTACATCTGAGTAAGATAAATTGAAAAAAGCCGTTGAAATACAATAAACAATATTGAAAAAGTGGCAGAAAATTCGCTCTCAGTGGGGCTAGAAAGTAACAATTTAACAGAAGGGCCATACTCCATCTCATACTACCTCACTGATTCCAAGTTTGACAACAATGCCACAACCATGCATGTGGGAGGTACCTAGGTATTCCACACCATATAGACACCGTGGACTTTGAAAGAACGACATCATACCTATGTAGAAGTGGCAAATAGGAAGAAGCAGAGAAGTCCAACCCCTTTTCCATCCCCCATCATCCAGTATTACAACCCGATATTTGCCACCAGGATGCAAGAATAGAAAGAGAGATTTTAAAAAAACCACTCAAAAACCACTCAATGTGCAAGATAGTCGTCGTAATCACCCAGGCACAAGGGGATGAGCCTTAGGGTCATTGTTAAAATGAAGACCCAATTTTCCCATGAAAATAGCTAAAAGGAAAAGGAAAAAAAATCTCAAAAAATCTCCACAAATCAAGCTCCATAGGGTGACATTGCACAGTTCATTCACTGAAGACAAAAATAATGAAAAGCCACAATCGTATGCCAAGACGTTAGAGTAAGAAGCCAAATACTCCACTGTCTTGGCGCAGGAAGTGGACGCGTCAGCTGTCTCCTCCAGGGACTCAATATTCTTGATTTTGACTTCACTCTGATTGACCCCATCAGACGTCAGGTCGGAAACTATCTAGCGGGATCGAATGATAAGTTCCAGGACCCTTTATTTTAGTTTGAGATTTTAGTGTTTCATATGTAGATAGTGTGTTTTTATTTAAGTGGATATACTCCATACTCCATAGTAGAGCTCCCTCTAAGCTACCTGTATTCCTATAGTCTATTCACTCCGTACATACTGCAGGATCATTATTTATGCGTCATCTGTCTAATCAAACTTAAAAGGAGAAGTATGGCTGAATGGTTCCCGTCTGTCGGTATCAGAATGTACATTAGGTAGTAAAATGTAATGTATTTACTATGTTAAGTAGGCAGGTACTCTAGCATCAAAACACAGCCTCCCCCTGAATTGGATATATCCTTGGAACAGTGCAGTTATCCCCTATGTTACTACCTACTCCATAGCTAGTTAAGATCATCCCCGAACGGGGAATGGGAATGAGAGATAACGAAGCGTTTTCCAGAGAACCAAAAAATTCAAAAATTCAAAAATTAAAATTGAAAAAAATAAAGAAATCTCTCGTCCATGGACAGGGCTTACAAAAAAAAAAACAAGGGAGCCGCGTTCTCCGTGCAATAGTTCAATGTCCATCCACATGTATTACCAAGTAGAAGTTCTCCTTTTTGCTTTTTTACTCTGTACCATACAGAGGTGGATTTAAGGGTCTGGTCCACTCAAACGATCTAGGTTTAGAGTTTTGACCTTAGTCATTTTCTAGTCATTATTCATAACGAAACTATACCAGTTTGTTTTGTCTCCAATAAGAATAAGTGGGACTGTGAACTGTTGTGGGCACTCCTCCCCTGACTATCATTTATTTCCTTTCCTCCATTTCCACGATTCAGTAACCAAGTAGAGTTCAGGAGGTCTTCCCATGTTGCCCAAACAGATCGTGGGAATATGCAAGGAATGAATGCCGAGGGCTTGATGATTGATCCACTTTGGATGGAGCTTTTTTGGACGTTGCCCAGCTTCCGTGGTATTAATGCAGGAATCAGAATCAAATATCACTATTTCAGGCCAGGTACATATTCCTAGCAGGATCTATATGTGATAGATATACCTCCGTACTTGAAAACAGCCACCTCTTACGCAAGTGGACATGAGAGACCTGGGATAAGGGTTACGGGTGGAATGATTGGTTGCAGGTGGAACAGGGAACTGTAGTCCTAGCTCTGACTGTGTGTATATTCTGCTGGCTCCTATTCAAGACAATGATTGATTACGCGGATAAAGTCTGCAAGGAGGAGGACCCTGCAGGCACTGCCATCGTCAATGACGATAAACTGGTGGATTCAATGTCAGTGTTGTGTTGTCCCATATGCAGCGGGTCGTCATTTCATCTCATTTCCCACTTCTCTTCCACTTCCCACTTCAAGTTGACACCCCTTTCACCCGTTTCCATTTTTGGTTTAGATCATGGATGTCAATTGTTAAAGTAGCGCCTCCCTCAACCTCCCCTTTTCATGGAGCTAGTCTAGTCCTCTGCTAGCCTCCAACCCTGCTAGTGTGGCTCGATCCACTTTCTGATCTTCTGCACGTGCGTTGATTGAGGGAAGCTTGATCCGTGTGGTCAAGGCGGGTAGGAATATAGTCCGTAGTGCATACTTGGTAGTATGTGCAGGAAGCAACTAATTTCTAGCCCACTGTCACTTTTCATTAAAGCACCGTCCTTCTATGCAGAGAGACCGCCACTGAAGCCGGAAAATGGACCAGGAGCAATGAATGTACGACGTACGGTTATGGAGCACATGGAGCCGGCTAAGTTCCCCTACCTAGGTAAGCTACGTAATAAGTATGAGTAAAGTGGCAGAGACTAAGAGACTACCCGGGCCTTGCATACATTACATAAAATTACTTTGTACACTTCATTTTATTACAGGCACTTGTGTAGGGCCCGGCACCCAAATGGACTAATTTCCAAATTCCTATAACCACCCTGAATATAACCGCCAACAATCAGTAAATGTATCTTTTTATTTAAGAAAGTATGAATTAGTGACTGAAATGGAGATACATTTTCAGAAACTCCATTCCTACAACATTTTTTTACCTTCTGATCTCGATTAATAACTTTACCCTTCCGCCATGCCATCTCTTGATCGGCTTTTCACCGAGTTAGTACTCTTTGAGCTTCAATTTTTTTTGACTTGATCGGAAGTAATGATGCCCGTGACTCGTGTTTATTGATCGACGAGAAGCATTATATAGGGCGTTATGTGCTGTCCGAATAGCTTGTGTTTGCTCAAATACCCGCTGTAATTATTTAGTGAGGTGATAGATTCGCAATTTATGATAGAACCATTGAATGTTTTCTTCTTTGGGTCTTTTTTGACGATCCATTGATCTCGTCCGACAACTTGGAAGGCAGTTTCATCGAAAATTATAGATATCTTTAGGACAAATACTATATATACTCTATCATAACGCGCTTATAGTCTTGAAACCACTTCTTAACCAGTGGTCACCAGTTTATGGTGGTTTATTATTGGGTCTAAATGGGCCTCTTTACGAATCGAGTTGGTTATAATTGTAACTTGTCCTCGATTGATTAATAATTCCGCCTTATGGAAATAGTTGATTTATTCACAAAGAGCTAATTCGTATGCAGAATTAAGCTTACAGTGGTTAGATTGTCGCAATTTTCCACCAGACCAGCGCCGAAGAAGCCGGCCGCGAGGGACCGCGAGTTCGCAGTTTTCGAGATATTAGGTTTCGATTGAGAATAGAGGGATTTGAGGGATTTTATAATCCGATATTCGAATTCTCCATTATTTTAGGCATTTTTGGTAGAGTTGTTGACACAAGAAGAGAGGTTGGAAGTTGGAGAACTAGTCCATTTGATTGTCAGGTCCTCATATAGCGAGGGCCTGCAATGAAGTGTAATTTATGTAATGTATATAGTATGCAGGGCCCAGTTAGTACTCCGTAGACCTGATGAAGAGGAAAGTACAGACTAGGATTTCTTCCTGAAAAGGAAACTGCGCAAAAGCAGAATAGAAAAGTTTCCACCGAGTATGGGTCGAATAAACTGGAGCTGTGAACGGTGGAGTATATGTGGATAAAGCACTTGTTTCAGATGATGTTAGTTCCCAGGATCGTACACAGGGATCAAGTACTGGACCAAACGTGCTGCGGGGATTAAAATGAGTGTACACGTCATCACGCCGTGGGGTTCAGGCAAGTTTCTTCTGATTGGTCAATCACTTAAGGTCGGCTATCGACTAATATCCACCAATAATATCATACCAAGTGGATATACTTTCCTTTTAGGTAATTCTTCCACTTTTTCCTGTGGATCTGGTGGCGTCTTGATGTTGCACGGAATATGTTACAGAACTGTGTTCTGCTTGGACTTAACATAAAATAAGAAAACACGAATACGAATCATGGGATTCAGATTTCAAATTTCAGACGTATCATATCTCTATAAAACTTCTTGAACAGTTTCCGATTACCTTGGACGATCTGCCGTGGTGGAAACTGCCAAGATCGGAGCCCCCGTGCAGATGACATTTAGTGTACCTTGACTTTGGCGTGTATGATCGTCAATAGTCTACACGAGCTTAAAATATGGGCTGAGTGATCGACTGATAGGAACAGTTTGGACCTCAATAGTTTAATCTAATGGGCCGGGGTGTTCCGATGGAAAGGGATAGGGATGTGGAGTATGCTGACCGCTGTTCTGTACCGTTCATTCATCTTATTTCATTTCATTTTCCAGCGCTTTAGTCGGCAATCCATAGAGTTTTTTTTTTTCCTTTTTCCAGGTCACTTCCTGGTTTAAGTCTCAAAATTCAAGAGAACACACCATGCATTATTACCATCCCTAGAGGGGCGTTTGAAAGACACGTCATGACAGAACGAGCCGTGTTGTTCCCTTCTTGGTCAAGCGCAGCAACAAGCGGTCAAACTGTTGAAGCTACTTAGTAGAAGGTCCACACTCTCCCGTGTGTAGACACAAAGCTCGGGCCTGGTTCGGTGGAGCTTTTCAAGGTGGATTGACATGTTATCCGCCCCTCGCCGTACTATCCATCCATCCATTTCTCCATCTCCATCTCCCATTTCTCTCCATTCATAACGGTTTGTTTCACGTTCTAGGGTTGCGACGTTTTACCCTGTAAGCCAGATAGGCCCGTCTGTAACGGTTTCTACCTGGATCATGTTTGAAGTATAGTGTCATGAAGTACTTTGTGACAGTGAAAACCAAACTTGGAACTTCCAACTTCAATCTTGGCATAGACTACTGAGGTTGGATGGAAGCTCGGTAGCTTTCGAGTGGGCCTCGGGGACACGGATGGCTGAAAGGGGCGTTTTCAATGGAGACTGACTATGCTTGTTCTGTCACTTTCGTGATTTGATTTCATCCTGTTCCGTTCTTTATCTTCTTGACTTTTGTTAGTTCGCGCATGGACCAAAAGACATGACACAGTCACCTGGGCACTCGTGCCCAGGTGGATGTGGAACTAGTTTGGTAAGTGTAGCGCTTCCACCCGACAGTTAGTTTGATTCTCCTTTGGGTCTGGACCCAAACTCCTAAAATTCATGCAGAAAAACTGATCGCCGAGTCAAATCCCGGTTCGATGCTAGTACATCGAAGCCTAAACTCTGTCAGAACAACTCCGTTGATACTGTGCCGTAGTTTGTGTTCCAAGGGTTGTTAGAGTAACATTAGATCTTGATCATTTCTTCTTCACTTTAAACTTCCTTCTCCATGTGTCCAAGACTCAATGACCCACGCTCTCTGTCGAAAAACACGGCCCACTAACCATGGATCTGCATGGATTGGGTTTTTTCTGGAAAACTCATCGAGATGGTTGGAGCTCCCTGGTTCTTGGGACGGGAGTGCGGAGAACTGGCACAGGGGTACTCCAACTCCATGGTATTTGTATACTAAGGTACCTCAAACTCGGGAGTATCAGATTTGTTTCTAGTGACCATGGACTTCCAAGCCTAAACTTCTTCCAAGTTCCCCTGATCCTTTCTTTTTTCTTTGCTTGGCATCTGGTTAATTATTTATTGCAATAGCCAATTAGTTATACTATCTATACAGACACTGTCACATTTTATCCCCCAGGGGAGGCAATATATTGCCTCCCCCGCTGAATTGAAGTGTATCAAAGTTAATGAATTAGAGTGTATCAAAGTTAAGTCAACTATAATTCGGGGAACTTTGAATATTGAACATTGAACCTGAACCCTGGAACATTAACCTTAGAAATAGCGGAGGCCTTCAGCCTCCCTCGGCAAGTCAACCAGAAAGTTTGTCTTGCCACGGGGGAGTGGAGATGTGATGCACCAGTAAATTAATACTCAATAAGGGTTAGAGGCATCTGTATAACCTCGGTCCATTTTGTGATGTGTCTATCCCCCAGCCTAATGACATATGTCATTACTTCTAAAGATTACTTAGAAGTTAGTTATTATATGACAATGCAATAGAAAATTCGCGAATGATATGACATACTAGTGGGATTGGGGCTAAATGATGTTCATTCAATTATATTAAATAATGGAGTGGAGATCAGGTGCACTGTACTCCGATGAGGTAAGCTCAAACTCTTCAAACGTCATCACATTCTTATCAAAAAAAGGGGAGAATGTTCAGACTATTGATGGGTTTAATTTGATGCACTCGTTTTTACCGCGCTAAGCTATCTCCAGCCCGTGTCGAAGCCCTGTGCTTAAGTGCTTAGGTTAGGGTGATTAGATTGGAAAAGTGGAATCGTCACACTTTCCTTATTTGCTTGAGAGGGTCCATAACCCCCACAAACATCCAATCATGTCCTATTTTGGTCTGGTTTGCCATCAAAGTCCAAAGTAGCCCAACCATACAGGAAGGGGTTCAAGCTTCAATTCCCCTCTTCTTTACAGATGGAGGCTTTTGGACATGTCAAGTATTCGAGTACTTTTTACTATGATTATTATTTATTATTTATGATATATTTGTTTTCCCCTGTAGATACTCTGTATACCTCTACTCTGTACTGTATGTAGCCCCAGAACGGGTATACCCTTTCCCCGCTACTTTGAAACACAGACCGAACCCAGGTCGTTGCATCGTTCCCTTTTTTTTTTTCTCTCTCTTTTTTCTAGTTTTCCCTTGACCTTTTATGGAATTTAATAATATCTTTTTTTCAAAAAATCATTATTTTTCTGTTACATTTGCCCTACTTTAGTCTAGTGGATTTGGAGACACGGCAGAAGACGGACCAGTCATGTTTAGTCTGTGCGGGGACATTCTCCTATGTTTTATTTCCTACTATTTCTAAAATCCATAATTCATAATATTGGACTAGAAATAATAGAGTAGTATCTAGATGCTCCATTCCTCAGCCTATCTAGGCAAGGAGAGTTGTTTAATAGCAAGTAATAGTCTCATGTATGGAGTAAGTATATTTAAAATTAACAGGAGGGTCCGAGGAACTGGTTCCCGTTAAGGAGCCTTAAGGAATTAGGAAAATAAGAAATAAGAAATAAATACCAAATCCTGCAAGATAAAAATAAGGCTCCAGAATGAAGTAAAATAAGTAAAATAAGTAAAATTACTGTATTATTTCCGCAGATCTTTTGAGACGGCACGTCGTCAGTGGCACTTTGAGAGTATCGTGCACATCGTATATCCCTTCTTAAGCTACGCCGATCCCCTTCCCCAGACTGTTTCTCTTTCAAAAAAAATTAAAGATCTTCCGCTTATCATTTGTTTCACTTTACCTTCACTCACCTTCTTCACCTTGAGTCGATCATCGAATCTACTCATTCACTTTTCGAACTTCTCTTCGAAGTTCCATCCCTATCTCTATTCCCACTTCTTCAGGGCGCGCGATCCATTCGCAACACGCTGCCAACCACCTTCTCCATGACGATGGTCATTGAAAATCAGAACCGTCCTTATGGCGGCATGGGCTTCGACACTGTCTACCCACACAACCCTCCACAATTCACAGATCCTTGGGCTACCGCACACACAACTTCCCATTCAACACCTCCCGTCTATGCGACTGCCATGGGCAACACAACCATCCCCATCAACACTGTCAAGCAAGAGGAAATGAACCGATCAGCCATGTCCATGCCCTACTCAAATATCCCAGTTTCGGCTCCATCACTTGTCCCCGCCAACAACTACACCACGGGCTACGGCCCTGAAGTTATGGGCATGCAGCACGAGGTGCCGCGCACCGCCCTCGACCACACCCCAGCGTACACAACTGCTCCACCAATGACCAGCTATGCCCCGGCCACCTATGCGCCAGTCAGCTACGCTCCCCTTCACCCATCTCAAGATACCCGTCGCATTTCGCACTCGTAAGCTTAACACAGCTAGAAAACGGGCAACTAGAAATATTCTAACCTTTTCTAGTGATGGTCGCATGTCTACGGCTCCCGTTCCCACTCCCACCTTTGGCGATGCCCTCGACGCAAGCCGAGGAATGGTCGCGCTAAGCCAGGACTTGACTCCCCGAAATATCTACGGTCCCAGAGGCACACGAGGTTCTACCGATTCATACGGTTTCCCCTCGACTCACTCTTCCGCCTCGTCGATCTCATCGGGCAGCAATTACCCTTACTACAGTGCTTCCGTGGGCTCAGTCGATTCCTCAGTGACAGATTACAGCTCAACGACCTCTGAGTCGTACGAGTCGCGCACTCTCCCCCGACCTACAAGCCTTTTGGCCGGTAGCGCACCGCCTGGACCTCAATCTATGATGAGCCAGTTCAGCTCCAAGATGCCGTCAAACACCCAGAAGAAACACAAGTGCAAGGTCTGCGACAAGAGATTCACTCGTCCGTCTTCATTGCAAACTCATATGTACAGCCACACTGGAGAGAAGCGTAAGTCAATCATTCTTACAATCACCATCATAGATACTAACTTTTTTTGCAGCATTTGCGTGTGACGTTGAAGGCTGTGGGCGACACTTCTCAGTGGTCTCAAACTTGCGTCGACACAAGAAGGTTCACAAGGGCGAGAAAGATGTTGGCTCCCCCGATGACGACGAGTAGATTTTCTTCCGACGTTCTCGTCGCTGATGAGAATCATATTCACCCTTTTCATCATGCGATCTTACACACCAAAAGATACATCCTCGCCCGAGCTATCTCCTCCCACCTATATATCTCCTTTCTCCCGCCGAGCGGATCGGACAACTGCGTTGTCTATAACTCTTTTTGCTGTTCGGCTTCCTCTCTGTACAACAGTTTGGACTCTCCATTCTCATTTTATCTTGTGCTCCGATTTCTACAAGAGTAATGAGGAAAACGGAGAGAGCCATATGCGTCATCTTCTCTTTTTTTCAATCCCACTTTATGACTATAGAGGTACCGACTGGTTTGCGTTCCTGTGTTCATCTTTTTCTTTCGCTAGACCTGGGAGTCTCGTTTTTTTATCCTCTTTCTTCTCTCGATACCAATGGGTTTGTGATGATTCGATGCTTGTTCTATCTTTGTCTCTTTTGTCCTCTTGTCTTGGGCTTTCTCTTTTCCTCACATTTGTTTCTTAATATTCTCCTCACCTACACCTCTGCATACAGTCTCCGCATGGTTTAGATTTTTATCCTCTTCTTTCCGGTTGGTTTTGTTTAACCCTCTCTCATTTTCTTTTTTGTCTGGTCCTGTCGAGGAGCTAGTCCTCTGTTTCCACCGCGTCTGCTGTGTTTCAATAATTACACCGGATGTGTAATTTGGGAATTGGTGTTGATTTGATTGATACCCGTGGCATTGGTTCGAAAGCATATGTTTTCTTTTTTTATTGTTTTTCCTTTTCATCCCAATTCCAAATATCTTTGGCGGAGTCTACACGGGGTGTTTGGTCTATGATTTTCATTATCAGGGGCAAGGACTCGTGTTTTTTCCACACTACAGTCGCTATAATACAGATATTGTCTAATCCACAATTCAGCACTTTATCAATATGTTTTTTTCAAGTACTAGTCGCCAAGATATTGCACATCTTCATCACAACTCGTTTACCTAGCTAGGTATTGGGGTAGTGTGCCTGTTAGACTTGGTCTAATAACAGGTATTAAGCCAACCCACGTTCAAGCACCACGCTTAGAATTCAAAGATCAATGATTCCGGTCCTGAGATTCTAGTTCTGAAAACGCGGTAAACAATTCAGCCCAGTACAAAACCACTACAAATCTGCAGTCTCCAGAGGAATCCTCACTAGCGACTAAACAATACCCAAGTATCAACTAACAAGAGTCTAGTTCTTCGTCCAGGCCTAGAAATCCTTAACCCAACCATCCCAAACAAGAGATTTGAATCCCACCCATCCACGCGTACAGTACATGTATCCCAAGTCGGGTACCCACCGCAAACTAGAGCAGATGAACCCTTGGACTGATCCCGAACACCCCTGGCCATGTTCACTTTCATTCAGTGTTCTGTTCTGTAACCTTCAACCTGTCCGGTCCCCTGCATACATTTGCCGAGGCTTCCCATGCTTTCAAGTACGGGTTGATACTCAAGTACGCAGTATTATTGTACTACCTGTCACTGTTACCGGATCCAGCCTGGTTACTAATACTTTATACTCTATATTCTCTTCACACGGAGGTACATGTACTAGTACTGGAAGGTAGGAGTAAAGTAGCCATGTCGGTAGCCGGTTTTGCGTGAGAATGTCTGTTCTGTTCTGTTCTGTTCTTTTCTATCGGCCCACACATGTACTGCTGCGTTCTGGACCCGCGGTTGCTGGCGGTTGCTGGCATTCGGGTGGCTTGGTTGAGATTCCGGTTAGGTATTGGATTATAATTTAGGTCGTTAGAGGCGGGTTGTTGCTTAGGTTTGTTTTTGATGGAAAAGAATTGTTTACCTAGGTAGGTACGTATGCTGTGTGTGTTGAACCTACACAAGTAGCTAGGTATCCTCGCGAAGGAATTCGACACTTCCAAGGTACTAGGTACCAGAAAGGTGAACTAAATCTCAGGAAGAGAGCTATTTAAACCAAAATGAAAGCTAAATCTTTTGATCGGGTTATCTAATCTATGAGTCCTAGCTAGTGGTATAAACTAAGGAACTTGGCTCAATGGTCTTCCAGATCAGATTACGATTTACACTAAGCGTCACTGTTTTTCTAACCGCATGTACATGACGATGTACAATATGAAACGAGAACGTTGAAGCCCATGAAGCATCTCGTCGGCTGAGAGGTTCTGACTCGTATATCCTGTGTAGTCCTTGGCTAGTTTTTTTCATTTTCACTCATCGACCCTCGGGCGAGTGATGCTTGATCTTTATAGTCCATCCACGGACGACGCTAGAGTGACTGTCCAGATGCTCACAGGCTCACACACTTTTGGAGTAGTAGTTGGGGGTGGCAGATGGATAGTTAAGCCACACTACGTATCTAGGTAGTAAATACATGGTCAAATCTGTGAAGTCGAAAGTTTTCCACAAATCTAGGAATTGACCTTACCACTGCTCTTTTGGGCACCATCGTCATGCAATTGGGAGATTTTACTGGCGCGAGTGTACTACTTAGCCAAAGGTTCTGTCATGGACAATCACTCCACTCAGGGTTTTTCCATAGCCCCTGATCTATTTCGTGTTGAAATACAGGACAATATCGACCCCATAGTCAATAAGTCGACAATGGTAGCTAGAACATCCGAATGTAGTGTCACGCTAAGGGCTTTGTTATCTTTCAAGAATTGTCAAGAAAAGAGACTAGGAAAGTACTAGAAATCAAAGGAGTATCATGGTTATGAGCAATCTCCGTCTGATCAATTAGAATTACGTTTAAATGAAAACTCTCGTTGTCCTAGCTGTCATTAACGCTAATTCCCTCGTGTAGGCTCGCTGTGGTCAGCGAAGTCCACCCAGATCACCTCTCCTCGCGATTCTTCCAGGCTGCCCAGGCCCTCGAAGTTAATGCGGTGGCTTTCGAGCCCCTTGGATATCGGTTACAGGATCAAGAATCCCATAACACCCAAACACGAGAAGCCTTCATGGAAGTGGACTTGACAGTAGATCCCAGATTTTCAGGCCGCATATTGACTGCCATACAACGCTACTTCGCTAAAATCGACGAAGTCACTACGGTAATTGAATTCCTGCGATTCCAATCGCTAAAGCTGCCTAACGGTCCATCAATATACACCAGACCCGCTTAAACTATAGCCCAAACTCCTAACTTCTAGTCTCTAGTTTGGATACCCTCCGATCACAGTTAGCATGTGACAAAGAGGGGATAGAAACTCTGCCATACTCTGCCAGATCCGCCGTGGATTATCAAGCCCTATAATGGTTGGCATGATCTGGGAGTCTCTGGGGTGGCCGCCAAGGAGGGCTTAGTTTTCGCCGTGGAGAGAGTGGCCAAATATACAGCCTATGCAGAGACGAGCCAAAAGAAACGGAGACCCAATGGTAAACGACTGTGCTGACTGAGAAATATTGCGATGGGCCGGAGGTAGACTACAATTCTCAATATGAGACAACCGGATTTTCTAACAGTGGATGAAAGTGCAAACAACATATATGAGCCCATCCCTGCCACTAAGGCTACTTCAGGGCTGTCAGGATCAACCAGATAACAACCGGCGCAGCACACAGTGCCCAGGTGTAGTTCTCAAGATAGCTGGTGTCGGTCTCAGAAGCAACTCAGTATCGAAGCTGGCATGGAAAGTCAATCCGACTGGAATAAAGCTCAAAAAAATCTCAGGGGAATCTCATTGTCAACCAGAGAGGGTTTTATAAGCCTCGTCATCGGTTAGTCGCTGAGTGAGATGAGGATCAAGAGTATTCGGGATTCTGGAGGTAGGAATATTCTTGGGAAAATTATGAGCTATCTTATGGTGCTCGTAGTGAATGATAAAATTCACTCCTAATGGGCCTCCTTGATGCATGATGGTGAAAAGCAGAGTATCATCGTAAATTCGGCATTGGCTTGTGGAGTGAAGTTTGTACGGTAGATTTTGAGATCCTATGTTGGTTCGTGATAGTCAAGCCGGGTACAAAGCCTTTGTAGTAGATTTTTTGCAAGCTGATGAGATGATTATTTTGTCGTATCTCCTGGCAACTCTTGGAAAGAGTTGTGACATCATAGTAATGGGATGCTAGAGAGGTAGCTTCGAGTAGATATAACTCAGTAAGGGAATTAGCATGTCAGGTAAATTATCGTTTGTCACCGCCCGTAACAAGATAGTAAGACACGGGAAAATGATTGAGCTGCAAAACTTTGGGCTTAGAAAAAACACTGATCGTCAATTTAACCTTTTAAAGTTTAAGACCTATAGATCGACGATCTCCTAGAATCAATTAGAATCCTAATCAAATCTTCACATTTCACACACATGAATCCAATCGATTCGTAATATTGCAATTCCAATCTTTTAGATATCGGTAAAGCGGATGTAAGGGTTGACCTCACGAACCTCACGGAACTTCCTCTTCACATCAGCGGTAGAGACAGACGGGGGGCCCAATAACATCATCCCCAGTCGGCCAATCGATAGAAGTAGTAAATCTATGCTTACCAACAGTTTGCAAAGAGTCGATAACACGCAGAACTTCAGCGGAGTTGCGGCCAGTCGAGGCAGGAAACATCATGGCGAGACGAATCTCCTTACTCGGGTAGATGGTGAAGAGAGCGGATAGTGAAGATGATAAACTTCTTGTCAAATTGTTAAGTCATGCTGGTCAATCATATTATACAGGAAAGTGACCTTGCAATAGGCATCGGCGATGAAGGGGAACCGCACATCAATCGAGCCAACTTCGTTGACGTCCTTGATCCACTCACTGTGCAAGCGCTCTGATAGAAAATATTAGTTTGGAACTTTGAAGGTTGGAGTTTGGCTACTAATGAGACCAATCATCTTCATTCCGCGCTTTTCAATCCATTCTTCAGTTTCGCAAAGGCGCCCAGTTCGGTCGTACACACGGGAGTAAATTCCGCTAGGTGCGAGAAGAGAATAGCCCAGCTGTTGCCGATGAAGTCGTGGAAGTCAATTTCATCCTTTTTTGTGAGCGCCTTGAGGTTGGGAGCTACTCATTATTGGCATCGCGTCATAATAGTCAATCTCTCGAATGAACCGGTTGAGTAAAGACGCAACCAAGGCTGTTCTGCAGGTGCCGCAAAGAAGCGACGGAAAGCGGGCCACGACCGGAGCAGGGAGAGATTGGCCAATGGAGTAGTTCTTGAAGCAGCTCTGAATACAGTTTGCACGGAATATTGTATTGGAAGCCATTGTTCAGATTTTCCTTCTAAATGTTTGAAGGAGTATATGGCTTATCTCAGTATTTCTGCTATATAGATTTATTTTTAACCTGAACAACAACAAGAACAGCTATGGTAGTTCAGTGGTAGAATACTAGCCTTCCAAGCTAGTGGCCGGGGTTCGATTCCCCGTCATTGCATATTCTCATATCATTTTTTTTCGTTTGTGAATTTTTTCCTATCATTTTATCTCGATTCAGCTTCAGACAATAATTATGAGAATTAAGATTTAGTGCTGGGCAGTAGAATTTAACCTATATCTACTTCCGCAATAAAACACTAGCCACCAGAAGGCGTACCTGATAAACTGCACCTGTCTTGAAATATTCGTGATTAGGCCTGGATGGTCAAAATATGTGCATGACTGGACGCAAGCTTGAGACACTTTCCAAAGATTCTAGTTATTCAAATGAGATTTCTGCCGTGGAAAACGGAGCGAATACCTTTGCGGTCTGATGTCGAGGTTCACTAGACGAGTGTCTGATATTTTAGGTGTTGGTGACGGGTGCATCCAATATCCATATGTGGATTTGTATGTTAGAATATACCTAAGTTGGTGCCCCGGGAGCTTGAACCGCTCTACGAAGAACTGGATAAACCGAAAGAATGTCTCAAGAATCAGTTGTTCACTATACACAGGGCTTATGAGAGAAAGAGGAAAAGGAGAAGAAAAAGACAAAATAGAAAGCGGGACATAATAGAACAACGCCATGAGAAGAAAACATGGAGAATTGGTACACTTGGTGCAGAGTCAAGAGTCAAGGGGTCCAAGGTCCAAGGGTGTCATAGAGAGGATGCGCGGGGCATTTCTTCTTGTGATATAAATTCCTCTAATGACACAGAAGACGTCTAAGGAAAGGGGATCATTTCAAAGGCTTCTTCCTTTTTTCCGTTTTTAATTATTTGCGTTGCGAAGGTGTTTTACCGGTCAACTTCACCGAACACCAGATCCATGGTTCCTAGTGAATATTAGCATTGCGAAAAATGAAAAAGGTCATGGAAAGATACGCACCGATGATAGCGACAGCATCAGCCAAAAGGTGACCACGAGAGATCTGGTCAAAGGCACCTAAGTGGGCGAAACCAGGAGCACGAATCTTGCAGCGGTAAGGGCGCTCACTGCCATCACTGACAAGGAACACACCCATCTCACCCTTGGGAGCCTCAATGGCAGAGTAAGTCTCTCCGGGGGGTACAGAGTAACCCTTAGTGAACAGGAGGAAGTGGTGGATCAGAGCCTCCATGTTCTCCTTCATGGCAGCACGGGGAGGGGGCGAAATCTTATAGTCTTCCACTCGGACGGGTCCAGCAGGCATCTTGTTTAGGCACTGATGAATGATGCGGAGAGACTGGCGGAACTCCTCCATACGGCACAGATAACGGTCGTAGCAGTCACCGTTGACACCGACGGGCACGTCAAACTCGACCTGGTCATAAGCGTCATATGGCTGCGACTTGCGGATATCCCACGGGACACCGGAGCCACGGAGCATAACACCAGTAAGACTCATGTTCAGGGCATCCGTGGCATTGACAACACCGACACCTTGAGTTCGCATCTTCCAGATACGGTTGTCAGTGAGCAGTTCCTCGGTCTCGTCAATACGGTCACCGAACTGGGTGGCCCACTGATAGATGTCGTCCAAGAGACCAAGGGGAAGGTCCTGCGAAACACCACCAGGGCGGACATAAGCGGCGTGGAGCCGGGCACCGGAAACTCGTTCATAGAACTCCTGTTTTCACGTAATCATTGATCAGCCATTGCACATGCTGATAAGAGGGTATCAGATACTCACCATGAGCTTCTCACGCTCCTCGAAACCCCACAGGAAAGGAGTCAGGGCACCAACGTCCATTGCGTGGGAGAGGATGGACATAAGGTGGTTCAGAATACGGGTGATCTCGCCAAACATGGTCCGAATCCACTTAGCACGGTCTGGGATTTCAACGTTCAGCAGCTTCTCGACGGCGACGGCAAAGCACTGCTCGTTTGTCATCATGGAAACGTAGTCCAATCGGTCGAAGTAGGGCAGAGCCTGCATATAGGTCTTATACTCGATCAACTTCTCAGTACCACGGTGGAGTAGACCGACGTGGGGATCGGAACGGACGATCTCCTCGCCATTGAGTTCCAGAATCAATCGGAGCACACCGTGAGCAGCCGGATGCTGAGGACCGAAGTTGACGGTATAGTGTCGAATCTTGCGGTTCACCTCCTCAACCTCAGATTCAAGAGCAGCAGCCTCAGCATACTCAGAATCAGCCAGCCCCTTGTTAGCCAATGCGGTGAACAACGGGTCGGTCGGAATGAGTCGTGTGGCCTGGTAGCCTGTAGCCTCAGCATGGCGACGAGGAGCAGTGGTAGTTATGGAGCGGGAACGAGGCACAGATGTGTTGAACAAGTTGGAGGGGCGTAGACAGAGCCTTTTGGGCGCATTGCCCGCTAGGCGAGCAAAAGAGACGGACATGAGGGAAGATGAGAGGGAAGATCCAATGGGAGGAAGAAAGACGACTGGGCGTCAGTCCAGGCGCATTCAATGGTAGGTGGATATTGGGCTCTGCGGTAAGGGAAGCCTGCCGTTGAAGATGAAGATGGACTCGCGATCCAATTTGGTAGGGTCACGTGAGGAGCTTTCCCGTCATCAGGCGCACGCTGGTTGGTCGGTCAGACTACTTATAATGCACCTACGCTAATGATGTATATGGATATCTGCATAATAAATTATTAGTCAGCTCGTACTTTTCAATGATCATTGAGTACAGAATAGACGGGACATTCTGCTCATGCCTCAGGCACCAAGAAAATACTTCGAGAAATATTTCTTATCGCGATCGTCGAATTTCTACTTTCAACCTCTTTTACCTCCACCACTCTCCCCACAATGGCCCCTCTTGTTCCCTCACAGGAGGAGCTGCAGCGTCGTCGTGTAGGCACAGATCCCTCCCATGAATATGCTGGTTGCTCACATTATTCCCAGATCATCGGCATCAACGCAGAAACTGTCACTAATATTCCCTCGACTGATTTTCCTGGCCATTGGCCTGGAGAGTCTAATGGATGGGCGCTAGACCAATTCAAGAATGTACGTGCTAAGCATGATATTGTCTATCACGTTTACCCGGAGTCTTTACTCACCACTAGTGCCTACAGGATTTCAAGGTCGAATACCACCGCAACGACCCGTACGAGGCCTCGTTTTCACTCATTGGACTGGACGCTGCTGTCGCAAATGCCTTTCGTCGCATCCTAATGGCCGAGATTCCCACACTGGCCATTGAATATGTTTTCATTCACAACAACACATCCGTCATCCAAGATGAGGTGCTCGCACAACGATTGGGCCTGATTCCGCTGAAGGGCTCTGTGGAGGGAATCAATTGGATGCACTGGTTTCCTAAGCCAGCGGAGAATGCTGACCCTGAAGCTGAGCCTGAAGCTAGTGACTACAACACGATCGTGTTGCAACTCAATTTGGAGTGCACCAAGAACCCGAATGCCGCTCCTGGAGAGGACGATCCTCGCAAACTGTACAACCACGCTCACGTATATGCAAAGGATCTTAAGTTTGAACCGGTTGGTCGCCAACCTGAGTTCTTTTCTGGCGATGGAGCCATCCAGCCTGTCAACCCGGATATTCTCATCGCGAAAATGCGACCTGGCCAGAAGATCGACTTGGAAGCGCACTGTACCAAGGGCATTGGTGCAGATCACGCCAAGTACTCCCCCGTTGCCACTGCTAGTTACCGTCTTATGCCTGTCATCAACATCTTGCGACCCATTATCGGAGCTGATGCCAAGAAGTTTGCTAAGTGCTTCCCTAGCGGTGTGATCGCTCTTGAACCTATCACTTCCGAAGAGGCTTCGCGCAGTGGAAGTGGATACGAGGGACATGCTGGTGAGCAGAAGGCTGTTGTGCGGGATGCATTCAACGACACTGTTAGCCGAGAGTGCTTGCGTCACGAGGAATTCGAAGGCAAGGTGAAGCTAGGACGGATGCGCGACCACTTCATTTTCAACATCGAAAGCACAGGGCAGTTTGAGAGCGATTACCTCTTCCTAGAATCTGTCAAACTTCTTAAGGCGAAGTGTGCCTCGTGGAAGCGTGGTTTGGGTGATCTGATGGCATAAGGCCGTTAGTAATATCATGTATGCATTTAACTGGCGTTGGATTTTCTCAGCTTTGTTCGTTCTATTTACGAAAAGTTCCAAGGTTCGGTGTAAAATTTGGCTTTACGAGGCCGGAGGAGGATATACAATTAGTGTTAGAACTCAAAGGACCGACCGTGTCTTTTAATTCTGTCCAAGTTGGAGCTACATATACCTAGTGGACCCGAATTTATGTCGTGTAATGCCTAGGTACCCTGGAGGTAAAAAAAAAATAAATAAGAATGCATCGACTTACTACATACCTAAGTAACCGATCAAACAGATGCTGACTTCAACGCGAGTTGGATTCCATCAGTAACCCTTCCCAGATCTGTGGCGACATAGCTCACAGGGGAGAGCATGTTATGCTGACCTCGGATTACCTGAAACTCAAGATATAACGGAAATCTATAGTAAAGGCCGGATCACTGACCGCAACCTCTTCGCCTTCCTCGACAAGCTCGCCCAGTGTGAGCTGTAGATTTGGTCGGGTGTGCTTTTCCAATTGAGGTGGGAAACGCTGGTAAAGGGTTTTCTCGCCTGTTCGCAAGCTGGGCTTCTTCAGTTGTGCTACCGCGCTCTCACCCAGAGTTTCTATGAAGTCACCCAGTGTCATCTTGGGATCGATGACCATCTTCTTGGCAAGATTTCCACACACGGGGCAATCAGGGCTCTTCTCCGCCTGGAATGTGTAGGTGTAAACCCCCTCCTCGCCAGCATACATCATATAGTTATCCAGGTATGGATTGCATGCAGTAGCAATTTTAAGAACCTCGGATGTTGTAGACGCGGCAATCATCGCATTAGTCGATGCAATGGCTGGAATAATGTTCTTCACCACGCCCTGGGTCATCTGGAAGGTGACTCCATCAATGTGGAAGTTTTGCGCCCGCTCAAGAGCAACATGGTACACCCACGAGATGTGCTCCATGTCGTCACCATCAAAAGTATCATTCGGCCGCTTTTCTTGCCATGCGATCTGATGGGCCCATTCAATACAGTGCTGGGGTTGACGTGGAATAGTGGCAATGGTGCATAGAGGCACTGCTTTACGAGGAGCATGCATGTCTAGCTGGCACTCAATGCACGATGTTAATGTAGGGAGGATTACACGAGCCTGGCCCTTGAATCCTGGGGTTTCCCCGTTAGTTATATCGTTATCACAAAGGAAATCAAACAAATACCTTCTGTTCCACCGTCGACCAGAGGCTTCAGGCTCTCTGGATGATCCATATCGACCATATCGACTAATGTAGAGTTGATCCAGCGACGAGCCTCAATGCTGTCCAGTCCACAGACGATAATCTTGAACTGCATGTAGTAATCTTCATCCTTATCTTGGATCTTGCCAACGTAAGGAGTGATCTTCACTCCCTTGACACGCCTTTCCACAAAAGCGGCGGCAATCTCAGCTTTCGGTTTGCCAATATCAGCTTGACGGAACAGAAATTGACGGTTAAGATTCGAGATATCGATGGTGTCTAGAAGTTTTGGTTAGAGTCATGTTGCGATAAGACAGACCGGATTGATATACCCATATCGATGACATGGATGTCTTTGAATCCTGACAGCGCAAGATTCTTCAATATTTCACATCCTAGTCCACCAGCTCCGCTACATCAATGTTAGCTAATGAAGAGATATCACTGCAATCAAAGAAACGTACATCACCCTAAATTTTATATTAGCTTAGCTATACATAAATACTGTCAAAAAGAAACTTACAAAACCTTTGAAGTCTCCAGATGTCCAATAGCTTCTGGGCCAGAGCCAGGAATAAAGTCTTCGGTAAAGGGGCCAGGTTTGGACAACACTTTGTAAAGATGCTTCCTGTATTATGTATTAGCATGGTGGAAGATGATGGCCCCTGTAGATGGTTTTTCTGACCATCGATCGAAGTTCTGCCGACCTGGCACCAGGGTACTGTCTAGGTGCATTTTGAAAATTCCACAAGGTACACTTGTAAATTCAGTGTGATTCAGTCCTAAACTTAGTCCTCAATATCAACGTCTTACTGGGATCATTTAATACCCAAGATGAATTGTGAGTAGTTGATGAAATTAAAGCAGTTTGGGCTTAATCAGTAGATTATAAAAATCAAAGGTATAATATGTTGTCAGGGGGAAGATAAAGATGTTGGGATGGACGATGATGATGTTGATGATTAGAACAAGAGATCAAATTGTGGCCAAGATGCATATGGTTCACCGCCCACTGCTGCCTGATTTATTTGCATTTGTGTTTCTGGGTGTGTGAAACTAACATTAGCTATAAACCATTGAAAGTCCTGAATTTTGAGTGCTATTACTAGTATTCAGTATACTTCTATAATTTACAGTCTCAATCAGGGAAGAAGAAAGTGGAAATACAAAAAATTATGTAATATTCTGCCCCTCCATAAATAAGGTCACATGATATGTCCATATACAAGCATCCACAAGCATCTTGGAACTCAACTTTGTCGCAACCCCACACTAACATTATGGATGATCTTCTAACTGCTGGTCAGGTTGTCAAGAGCGACTCTGATCCTCTCCTTGCCATTGCATCAACCAAAACTCTTACAAAACCTACAGTGGACTTTGCTCATGATCTGTCGACAAATCAGATTATTGAAGTGCTCAAGTCCAAGCCTAGTCTTGATGATCTTTCTACAGCCCTGGAGGCGATTGATCCATACAAGAAATCTCAGAAGGTTGATTTTGACATGCGAGTTCCTTCAACCGCTGCTACACAAATCCTACAAATTCTTGTCATTACCACCATTCCAGATCACTGGGAGTCTTTAAACGCAGAGAAGAGAAACACGAAATTAGCAAAGATTCGGGGATCTTTATTAAGATCCCTGAGTAGCATTGCTGGCATCAATGCCATTCTGAATCAAATTCGATCCATGCTTTCGGCTGCTCGCGCACCAAACTATTATCAGAGTATCCGTGATTTGGTTTCAATTCTTGCGACTCTGATGGAGCCAACAGATTTCCTCTCGCGTGCTTTCGCAGAGCTTCAACGAATTTCTACCCCTGCCCAGCGCCAAGTCGCATGGAATCAAATTGTCTCGCTTATCGCCTCCAGCAAAATTCTTTCCGTGTCAGCAGAGGCACAGGCTTTTACTAATGATCCTGAAGCGAATTACTCTTGGGTTGGAGACGGCGCTAGCTATTCGTCCTGGCTCGGTGCCAGTATTTCCCATTTGATTTCACGCCTTCAGGACGACAAAAGCGACTGGAATTTGGTGGCTTCTTTGACGGAACGGGCATTGAGTTTGGGATATCCAGGTAATTCCTCTTGTCAATTTAAAAGACTGTGGACATAATTTGCTAATCACTAAGATAGCGATCTTACTTCGTGGGATTTGGCTGCCCTTACTTCGTGACAAGGCAAACTTTGAACCATTCGGATTGCTACTTGACAACTTTCGAAATTCTAAGGTTCTCGCGCTCCGAAGAGTCCTTTGGGATATAAAGAATAGGTACCTTTCTACATCTCTTGAGAGCACATCTATCACCACGGAAGCAGTTTCAGGGGTGGCGGCTTTGTTGTTAGCTATCATCGGAGACCGACCGTTGTTGAAGAGTGATATCTTGCAAAGTCTCGCAGCAAAGGAGCCTTTCCAGAACACGTCACTAGGTTTGAACCGGGCTATTCTGGCCACTTGCGATGAGGATCATGGTATGTGCAAAGAAACCAAGGAACGTTCGTAGCAAGATCGACAAGTTGACGTTCATCAATAGACACACTTAAATATTTGCTTTTGGAGCTTCTCACGCAATTTGGTGAAAAACCCAATATTGAACGCAGGCAACAAAACGACCAAATTTGTTAGTTGAAAACTTATCTCATGAGATACTTGGTAAACTAATGCAATACAGTGATGGCACAGCTTATTCTCCTGGTAGCAGGTCGACTCAATCGACTCCAGAAATCACAACTGAAAGATGTTGGACGCTCCAAGGCATTTCTTGATGCGGTCTCTAATCGGATTGCCGCCTCTTCCGACAGAGCAAGATTTCTGGGCATGATTATTGGCACGGGAATTTCCGAGCTCATTGAAGAGCCTGGCAAGTCTTTGAAATTTGACCTCAAAGAAATGCAGGGCATTGAAGCTCAGGGTTATCTGAGTCTCACCAAAGTGTATGATAAGATTGGTTCAATTGAATCCATCCGCGATTTGGAAGATGCAGGTGGAATGAAACCTCAACCCCCTGGGGTGCAACGCACCAATACCTCAGATCCTGAGCCATCGAAACCGATCCTTATCAGTGAAATGACGGATGAAATCATCGAGGAGCAAGAAGATTATCCGTTCATTCCCTATGAGAAACCCGACGATGATGCAGAGGATGAAGATGATGATCCAACGCTTGTTCGACGTCAAAAACCAACAGCACCGGTGTACATCCATGAGCTGATCGCAAGTCTCCGGGATAATGAGAATGTGGATCGTTATCATCTCGCTATCACTACTGCCGCACCGTTAATCCGTCGCAAGACTGGATTTGGTACTGAGCTGGTAGAGCATCGCCAGGAACTAGCTCTTACTCTTGTTGGCCTTCAAAATGACAACCACCACCCGCAATTCCACGAGTGTCGTCTCCAAAGCCTGATTGCGTTGATCGTTTCACAGCCACTCCAAATGCCCGACTGGTTTTCCGCACTGTTGTTCGATGGCGATATCTCCCAAGTCCAGAGATCTGCTATCATCACGGCTCTTGGGCTCAGTGCTCGCGAGGTAGCCGGGAATGGCGAAGATGACGCCAAAACCCTGGGTCTTCCAGCTCTGAAGGACACCATGTTCCCGTCCCAGAAACTGTCTCCAGCATTGGATGCCATGTACAATGAGTCAAAGGAGTCCCCTATTTCCGTTCTCACGAAGGCAATGTCGCGTTCGACGCTTCAACCTCTAGCAGCTGACATCGCGGACTCTGCAAGCGGCCCAAATGCCCTCAAAGTGCGAACTTTCTCGTCTCGCATAGAAATTGAGAAGATGCGAAAGCAACGTGATGCCGAGAGACGGAAGAGGACTGCCAAAGATGTCCACAAAGTCCTTGCGGAAGGATACTTCTACCCACTCACTGGCCGATTTACTGCTTCGATGAGGCAGTATTCTTCGTAGGTTGAAAACTTCAATATTTGAACACCAGAACTTTTTCTAACCTGATCTCTCAAAGTTCATCAATCTCAAATTACAACCCATTCGCCGTACCACACATCCTTACACTGTTCCTTCAAACCATCTCTCTTATTTTGAATACAGCCGGTCCCTACACCATGTATCTTCCGAGCCTCACTAATGAAACCCTCTCATTGACTTTATCACTTTACACAAGCCCTATTTGCAGTGACATCACTATCATCTCCGCATTGTTGAATTTATTCTTAACGATCTTAGATCTGAATATCGCTTCTGGTTCGAATGGCGAGGAACGCTTGGTCACTGAGAATGCGGCTCAGGTACTTGAGCTACGCGAGTGGGCATCACAAATTTTTGAAAGTATGCCATCTGGTCAACCTGGAACTCTCGACGATCCAGTGGAGCAAGCCCGAACTCTTTCAGCTGGTGTTATGATTCGTCTTGGTGAAGTAACAGAGCGTTACCAGGGTCGGCTGATGGGTGTGAATTCGGGATTCCAATATTAAGGCTGAGCTGGCCTCAACCCAAAAACCCCAAAAACATATGGAAATTCCAAAAAGCTACATTCCCTAGCTAGATAACGGACAATATTATAATGTATAGTTTTTGAGGTAATATGGTATCATGAAACAATAACCCTAAACTGGAAACCAGGTACTATTTGGCTTCCGCAAAGCCGCCCTTTTCAATAGCGGAGTCCATAATACGATCACCGCTAACAACACCGGTTGTACAGATAATAATTTTGCGACGTGGAGCCTCCTGAGCGGCGATGAAACGTAGCGCAGCAATCTCCGTGAAAGTGATACCTCCAAGGAAGAACACGTAAACTGTCTTCGTGTTGGCATTACCGCTAACTGTCTGCCGCGCACGAATAGCCTTGTCGTCACCTTTCTGGACGATGCTGAAAGTAGACCCGCGTGCACTTTTGGCCACATCTTCGAACCCGAGCCAGCCAGGAGACGCAGCACTAGCAGTATTTACGGACGCGGCGGGTGTGCTGCCCTTGGCGAGGGACATGATGTAAGACTTTTGCAGAATGCATTGCACTAGTCGTACACTGAGGGGAGCAAATCCACTGTAGACATATGATATATCGTTGGGGTCTTTCTCGCTGACCTCTTCGATCACCAATCGTAGATTCTTGCGCAGATATCCGTAATTCGTTTTGGTGCCGGATTGCCCCCCGCCGGTGGGTAGGAGCATTGTTGTTGCAGAGGATCGGGGCTGCAAAAGCTCCATTTTCTCTAGCGCCCAAAATGTAAGAAGTTGTTGAGGTCCATACGCCTGTACGATCTGTCTTTTGAAGCTCTCCAGATCTCTGGGGCGCAGGCCGCCAGACATGCAAGATTCCAGGCACAGTAAGCGAAGCACGCTCTTCAATGGGACATCGCGAGCGATAAGCTCTTCAATTGTTTCGTGCTGATATGTTGGATCAGTACCGGCGGCATTGTTTTGCTGTACTTCTAATATTTTCCGAAATGTCTCAGAGCGCGTGAGACGCATAATCTCTTCAGCGAGATTAGTGTGAATTCGAAGGCTCTGATGCTCCAACTGATAAGTAGGTAGCTTATTCACGAAATCTCGAAGTTCATTTGTTGTCTTCGCAGTATGACGGGTTTCATATTCGTTTTCCAAGCGGCGGGCTACCTTATTCAGAATGTCGCCCACAATGGCAAAGTTAGCGTCTCGTAATTGGTTGAATAGTAAATCCGATGCATCAAGCTGAATCTTTCTTTTGAGCCCTTGCTTAGAATGTTGAGGAGTCTTGGAGGACTCCTGGGCCTGAGGGCCTGGAGCTTGCCCCACGATGCTAGTATCGACATCGGCCTGATTGTTCTTGATACCGACATACTCATCGATCAAGCCTCCATATGTGAGTTGTGTCAGCATGGGAGTAGCAAAGTCCACATCGCGGTCGATGATGATTAAACTTTCTGTATCTGCACTCGGAAGCAGCCCCCGAGCAGATGGATCTGCCAATCCGGAGCTTTCCTCCGCATCAAGTTCTTTGCGCATGCGAAGCAATAGATCTGCTAAGCGACGGGCATTGTCTCCTTTGCCGACGATACGTGGAAAATATCCATGCCTCTGCTGAATTCCCATCAGAGCCTTAGCGGCATGGAAGATGCAGCCGGGATCTTTGTGCTGTATAAAAGTCAATAATGCTTTCTCATGGCTTTTGAAACTAGGAAACGTACGAGGTAAAGATCACTGAATGCATCGTCCAACTCTAAGGATAAAACATCTTGGTCGAGAGGCAGGAAATGAAGTGGGAACTCGGCAATATTGGCATCTCCAATGATGCCAGCCTCTTCCAGCACGACATTGCTGACTAGAGTGCGTCTAGGAGCGAAGTAGATGGAGAACTCATGTTCCACATTTCCGTTGTTTTGCAGACGTTTGATTTGCTCTAAAGTAATGTTAGCCCATACTGATGGCACTCAATCGAAGAGACATGACGGGAAAGAACGCCAAATGAATGAGCTGATCTAGAATCGATCTCGGGCAATTTAACATTCAAATTACACAGATATAGATGATTGGTCTGCATAATAAGGATGACTTCCCATCAAATTGCCATCAGGTCGTCATCGAATCGTGTCCTACGTACCTGCCACTGTGCGAACATGATGCGCATTCTCGCCACGGACCAGGAATACAACATTGCGTTGTGATGAGTCAATGTTTGCATTTTCCAACAAGAAGACTCTGTCTACACCATATTCTTGTAGTACGGAGAACTTGACGAACAGGCCAACTGGGCCTGCCAGCTCCTGACTGATGACGAGGTTCTTCTTACCCCGAGCCTGTACACCATTAGCATAGGCTCTTGGACATTGAGCTCAGTACTCACGCCTTCAAGCAAGGCCAGTAGGTCCTTACGGGCCTTGTCTCTAAAGTAATCAGCATCACCCAGGGGCGCCATTGCTTTAAGGTGGGCTGTGTAGTTAAGGCAACAACATCCAAAAATAACGGGGGCGACCGGTCTAGGTTAGCGCCACTGACTAATTGTACGCGTATGGTCATAAGTGGCCAATTTACCTTAACGTATAGTGTTATCTCGGTAATTACATTTCTCAAAATTACCAATAGTCCTTGGTCTGGAGTTCCGTTCAGGCGCTCCCCTGAGGCGTAGATCAAATCAGCGTCTGAGACCCTTTTCTCTAAACCCTTTTTCACTCTTACAATTACCTTCACTTAGCTACATTTAACAGTCACCCCTGATTCAATATTTCGATCGATACATAGAAATTCGTTGACAAACATCACATTTCTTCCCATCATGGGTTTATTCAAGAAGTCCGATGGCGACGGCGACGACTCGAACCGCCGAGCCCTCTTTGGCTCTCGCTCAAAGAACAAGAGCCCAGCACCTGATTCAAACCCCTACGCGAAAGCTATTCCCACCGATCCATATACAAGAGCTAAGATCAATGCTGGCGTAGCTCCCATGCCAGCCCACGAACAGGCTGCATTGAGGGCTTCCCCCGCCTTGGGGTCAGCACCCCACTCCATTCCCTCTGACAACAAATACGCACCAAACAAGTACGGCAACCAGGGCGGATATGGTAGTGATCGATTTGGTAGTGCTGGTGCAGGCGCTGGCGCATCGCGATCTGGTGGATACGGAGGATTAGGCAGCACTGACCCAAATGACCCAAATACCGGAGATGCTGCCCGGAACGAACTTCTTGGCGGCGCCAGAGATCGTGCTCAACGACCTTCAGGAGGACCTTCAGGAGGCCCACCTCCACCTTACTCAAATGGTCCGAGTGAACAACCAAACTATGGTGGCGGCAGCAATGAGTATAGCATGGCCACATTCCAGGAACGGCAGCTCACAGCCGAGGAAGAAGAGGCAGAGAGCGTGCAAGCTACGAAGCAGGACATGCGTCATATCAAACAAGGCGATGTCTCATCCACACGAAATGCTCTTCGCATTGCGGCGCAGGCTGAGGAAACAGGTCGCACGACCCTTGCCCGTCTGGGTGCACAAGGTGAAATGATCCACAGTGCAGAGGGCAGTCTGGATATGGCAACTGTCCAGGGTCGCCTTGCATCCGAAAAGGCCCGCGAGCTGAACACACTTAATAAGAGTATGTTCGCCGTGCACGTTTCCAACCCGTTCACCAGTGCTTCTCGTCGTCGTGCGCGTGACGAGGCAATTCTCAATACTCACCATAACGAACGTGATGCCCGTGATGGCACCCGCTCTGAAGCACACCAGTCAAATGCTCGTATGGAGAAAGTGTTCCGTGATATTGACCGGGAAGCTGGCAAGCAAGGAAGGCCCAAGAAGGCGAATGTTACTGAGCGTGCCAAGTACCAGTTCGAAGCTGATAGCGAGGATGAGGCCATGGAAGATGAGATCGAGCAGAACTTGGATCTACTCAGTGGTGCCGCTGGTCGATTGAATGGTCTTGCCAAGGCTACTGGCCGCGAGCTTGACGAGCAGAATAGACACTTGGAGCGCATCACTGGAAAGGTTAGTAAAACGGAACTCCGAGCTGTCAATTTCTTACTAATTATTTCCACAGAGCGACTATGTCGATGATCAGCTTGCTATGAACAGGGCCAAATTAGACCGGATCCATTAAACCTGCAGCTTGCAGAGCTGATATGCTTTAGGCAGCTTAGAAACACATTCGACGCGTGTTACGAATACGTGATAATAATAAAAAATATTTCAAGTTCGACGAATAGATTGACAATTTAGCTACGGTGAAGATGCAATAATTTTTTTCAGTACCTAGATATCAGGAAATCTTTGTACTTCCTTTTCTCACTTTCTTCATTCCAAGACTCTATACTTCTTATATATCCATTTCTCCTCCCTGAACACCACTACAAGTACATCTTCTTCCCAAAATATCATTCAAGCAGCATGGGTCAGTGTCCCCCATAATTGTATTCGAAATCACAGTGGATCGCGACAAGGCTACCGTATTGATTGATTATTCCACGTGACTTTGTCCCCTATCTTACAATTTTCTGGATGGAATTAGTAGCAATGAGCAATCAAGTTCGTAACAAAAATGGCTGAGTCCAAAGTAGTGAAGGCACCTACTTTCTTGAGATTTGCAAGTAAGTGACTTTCTATTGGTAGGGTACATCTACAGTGTTGACTATAGAACAGGCCCCAATGAAAGACGCACGATCAGCCGTGAAGATGTTGGATTTTACAACACGCTCACCATAGCAGCAATCTACGAGGCCGCCGATGGAAATCTGGACCTTAATTCATCTCAAACTTTCATTTCACCTCTGAAGCAATGCATAATGAAGCACCCCTTCCTGAGCGTGATTGTCAAGAATAAGGACACCGAAAACCCATTTTTCGAGGCAGTTTCGAGATTAGATCTCAATGACCATATTTCTATAATTGGCGACGATCAGGTCAAAGAGCGTAAAGAGATGGAAAGTATTGAAAATATCCTACCGCCAATACTTGACAGGCCATGGCCTGCTGATATACCACCTTGGCGAATCGTCGTCCTCCCTCTGGCGTCCGAATCTACAGCGAAGCGCTGTTTCATAGCATTTTCATTCTCCCATACTATTGGAGATGGTATGATTGGACATATCTTTCATCATACCTTCGTAGAAGCATGGGAATCGACTGCGGCAGAGTCTTCATTGGTGACGCCTCCGAATGCAGCACTTACAGAAGCCTTCGACACACCAGAAAGGCTTCCAATTTCCTGGGGCTTCCTCCTTAGGCCGCTAATATCTTTGCTATTACCAAAGTTCATAGCAAATATATTTCATCTCCGGGCATCCAGCAGCACAATCGATGCCGGAACCTGGACCTCCACACCCATATTCTACGAGCCATCAGCGAGCGAGAATAGTAGAGTGAGAATACTTGAACTCGAGGGTTCACTAGTCCAAAAGACACTGCAGAGTTCAAGAAACCACGACTCAAAACTCACAGCAACACTACACCAGCTGATCGTCCGAGCATTGAGCAAGGCCATTCCACAACGGGACATCACCAACTTCGTCTCTGGAACAGCCGTTGACATGCGAAAGTCTATTGGAGCGCCAGCTGACACATGGGGTCTTTTCGTGACTGGTCATTACGAGGTCCACCCACGCGTATCTGATACATCGCAGCCGCCGTTGCCAGAGGAGATGTGGCAGGCTGCGAGCTTGGTGACGAAGAAACTCGCTGAATGCGCCACGCAGCTGCAGGATCAACCAATAGGTCTGCTGAGATATGCACCTAGTATCAGGGGCTACACACTGGGCAAACTTGGTTCCCGGAGGGACTGCTCATTTGATCTGAGCAATTTACTTGCCTTTGATGGGATTAGCGATGCGAATAGTAAATGCAAGATCACTAAAATGGTCTTCGTTCAGCCTGGAAATGTGCTTAGTGCGCCGCTTCAGTTTAATATTATCAGTGTGAAGGGCGGTTCTTTGGTTTGTGCTGTTAGCTGGCAAGCTGGAGCATTGGATGTACCACTAGATGAGGAAAAAGCGTTCGTTGATGATATATGTTCATCAATTCGGGCGGACTTGGAGGCCCTAAGGAGTTGATTGGCTTCATTTCAGCGACCTCCGGATGAAAGACTTGGGAATCCTGTGGAAGTCGTATGAAAAAAGCAGAGAAGACAACACTAACAACAGACATGCACGTATATAGAATCTACGTATACCGTATATTCCAAGCAAAAATCTACTTTACAGCAAAGAGCTGTGCACTGATATACTCGATATTCGCCGCAGCCAAGCTACCAGTATTGCTCAGCCAAGCTGCCGGACATACCAGTAGCCAAAAGACGAGGCTTCATTTTCTCCATACTGTTCTGGAAAATCACACTGCCAACCACGAAGGAAGAAGACATGACCAGATGGCGAGAAGATAAGCACCGCAAATCCCGGTATAGCCAGCTCCTGAATGTAATTTAGTAGCAATTGTTGAAATAGCTGTCGCCTTGATTGTTTGATCAAGTGCTGCGACAAGCATTGACAACTGGAGTATATTTTTAGTATAATGGAATATAAGTCGATTTCCATGGGGCTTACACTAAGAGCCAGCATGAACGGGTTAATTCTAAAATGCTTAACAAGCTGGTCGTTCATTTACCAAATAATATCTCCAGCATCTCAAATTTCCAATATTTGACAACTATTTAGGGTTAAGTAGTGGAGACTAGTGCTGTCGATCTTATCGTTGTCTTCATACTCTATTTTGGAGCAGGAACGGGAAAGTGGGCACGTAAATATAACCATAATAAATCAGGTAGTCTAGCAAACAAACGCGATGTTTTTGTTATATTTAGCTTCTAAGATACGGTATTGATCTGTAAACTAAGAGAGGAATGGTACAGTAGATCTCTGAGGTCATTTTGTTGCTATACGCTGGTCCTGTGTTGTAAACTGCCAGTTTAGAAAGATCAGGAGTTAGGAGTCCCCAGAAAGGATGAACCATTTTACGATGGCTCTCATGCGCCAAAAAGTTGTCCGACTAATGTATACAATTCTGTCATGAATAAATCAATAATAGCGTGGATTTAGGCCGTCTCAACTCAGATCTATAACGCTGAGGTCGGCAGTTATAAATGGTTTCAAAACCACAATCAGATGATACCTTCAAAGAGGGAATTCAAAATAAAATAGGGAGATATTTGACGGGTAGGACAATTGGAGATTTAGAGTCGGATTAGATATTTTCTGGTTGATAACGAGGTGAGTCGTTAACTAATTATAGGCCCATATTTACGTGCCGACAAGGATTTTAGTAATAAACGACGATAAACACAACATCGTTCTTTGTGTATTGTTAGACTAATAGAGGGCTGGAAGTAGTCACTAATCATCTATCTCAAGGTTGACAATAAGATTCCTCACAAATGGCCCAACCTCATAAATATGAGCCCCGAGCCAATCCTGGAATCCATAGTCCCTAGCAGTATCACTAGCAAAGCTCTGTAAACTAGATTCACCCAATGGACCAAAGCGCATAAATTTCCGAGATTGGGAATATGGCTCCCAGGGCTGCTTCCCATGTGCAAAAGCCGCCCAAATCTTCGCAGACTCCAAAGCGACCTTCTGCGTTTCAGGGGGACAATTTGAAAGCTCGTTCAGGTGCATCAAAATAGCACACAGACCGTGATAGGATAGGCCCTGAGCTGGGCCTGGGAATGGAGATGGCTCATCCCAGTGGTATAAATAGACGTGATCTCTCCAGACGTCAGAATTGATAGAGGCATTGGCAATACCGACGTTGTGGTAATTGAACAAAGTGTTCCCGATGAACAGTCTGAATGCTTTACGAAAGTCTTCTTCTGATTGTGGTTCACGAGTGAATCCAAATCGGGCGTAGAGCTCTCCAGCTACCTGTGGTGAAAATGCCTCGTCGATACGTTTGTGGAAGAGAGCTTGCGGTAGCTTTTTCAAGCGGCCGTCGAAGATTATTCCTTCGACTGACGTATCGCCAAGGATAATCTCTTTGCATCTTGTGTCGGTGACGCTGTCTTCGTACTTCCAGCCTAGGGATAGAAGCTTGCCATCCGCGACGGGACCCATGGCTGCTGAACCGGTGTTATTTAAGATATCCTGCACACTGAGTGCACGGAGCTGGGCTAGTCTATCTGAGGAAGTAGATGCCTGGACACCAGTTCTCTGACATAGTCGATCCCATTCTCTCTGGAACAGATCCTTCTGCAATGGGCTTAAAATGGGTCCAGAACCAGACATCAAGATGGCCCGATCGAACAAATTGTGACCAGCCACCAAATGCAGATGAATACTCATGCTCCCAGCACTGACTCCAAATGCAGTAATATTAGATGGATCACCGCCAAAGTCAGCAATGTGCTTATTAACCCATTCCAAGCCGTTCCGCTGATCGATGAGCCCGAAGCTACCTACAGGGTGAGATCTCGAACCACCATCCAATTCATCATCTAGATCCTGCGAAGCCGCAAATCCAATGTGACCGAGTCGGTAGTTGATCGAAACCAAAATAACAGGCGTTCCATTCTCGCGAGCGTGGTTAAGTAGTGCCTGTGGGCGATACCTCGCGACAGAATTGGCACCAAAGGCAAATCCACCCCTGCAAACAATTAGCGATGTTCCGTATTTCCTGGTAATTGTATAATATCATACCCATGAATCCAGACCAGGACAGGAAGTGGCTTAGAGGTTGTATTGTTCAACGCTGTCGTTGGAACTGCAATATTCAAATTGAGACATCTAAATTCGTCATCGCCGGGGGAGGGGTCGGGTGTTCCGCCAGTGACTAGGACGGTGCGATTGGGCTGAGAACAGCGATATCCATGTTTTGTTGCATCGAAGTCTTTGTCGAGTGAGTGGCGGGTCTCGCTGTGCGTCCAGCGCTTGTTCACAGTTGCATATGGAATTCCTTGGAAGAGTGCGATGTCACTTTCCTTCTCTAATCGCCCAGTAATGTGTGCACCAAGTGACAGTGCATTGAGAGAGACTGTATCTAGATCTGACATGGGTTTTCTAATTTCCAAAGCGCAACGATGAAGATGGAAAATGAAGATGAAGTCCAAGATGTTGTCGTTCGGGATAGAAACCCCCACTAAGTATTAGTTCCCGACTAAGCTTAGACCAGATTTACATAAATTTTTGTCTTGTTTTTGATAGAAAATATGGATTGAAATACAAAGTAAAATGTATTTCTCATCCTAATTAAAATAGTAGGGCTTTGCTAGTATTTTGCTTTGGACGAGAAGTGCATGACTATGGTCGGAGTAGACCTTGATCTCCGACTTGCGTTTAAAATGCACCTAGCTTAACAGACACCTCACACAATTTAAGTACAAGCTACCCAGCTCCACGTTTCCAAGGTAACCCTTAGAACAGCCGGAAACTGTCAATTCAACCCTGGAACTGGCGCTGCAGAAATTGACGTCATGAACTCATCCGAGATCGATCATCGATGCGATCTCGATCTCGTCTTTAATACCACCACACATGGCGGGGTGGGGTGTCAGTTTTTACAAAAATTCCAATTCCTACAATGAAGCCAGCCGAATCTCAGAAAGTAGTGTTGTACTGGCACAGAACAGACCTCCGTCTCCACGATTCACCAGCTCTACACGCAGCCCTAGCACTGAAGCCCTCAATCTTCATCCCAGTATGGACATGGGACCCGCACTACGTCTACAAAACCCCCGTCGGGCCAAACCGCTGGGCCTTCCTATTAGAATGCCAAAGAGACCTATCAGCATCCTACGCAAAGCTAAACAAGAAGCAAAAACTCTGGGTCGTGCGCGAAGCGCCGCAGACCGTGCTGCCGAAGCTATGGGAGGTGTGGGGAATTACGCATCTGGTATTTGAGAAGGATACAGATGCGTACGCGCGTGAGCGGGACGCGGCCGTCATGAAGCTTGCGGAGGAGGCTGGCGTTGAGGTTGTTGTTGAGATGGGGAGGACATTGTTCGATCCTGATGAATTAGTTAAGAAGAATGGGTTTAAGCCGACTATGAGTATGAGTCAGGTTCAGCATGCTGCCGAAAAGATTAATGGTGGGAAGCCGGCGAAGCCTCTTGATTCTCCGTCTGATATTCCTGATCCGTGGGGTGGGGACAGGATGGACATTAGTAGTGTTCAGCATGAGGCTGCTGCTGAGGCTGAGTCTGATATCAACGCGGATCATCGTGTTACGGAGGAGAGCCAGTATACGAAGATTATGGGGCCGAGTGATGAGTTTAGCGTGCCGACGCTTGAGGAATGCGGGATTGATCCCTCGCAGGTGAAGACTCCTCATAGAGGTGGAGAGACAATTGCCTTGAAAGCGCTGGGTGATTTAATCAAGGACTCCGAGTACATCGGCAATTTCGAGAAGCCAAAGACCTCACCTGCTGATTTCGAGCCTCAGTCTACGACGCTCCTTTCGCCACATCTACATTTCGGTTCGTTGTCTGTGCGGAAATTCTGGTGGGATGTGCAAGATGTGTTTAACAAGCGCAAGGCGCATCATAAAACGAATGCGCCGATTCCAACTAATATCCCCGGTCAGCTGCTCTTTCGGGATATGTATTTCGGTGCGCAGGCTGAAGTGGGTCATGCCTTTGCTCGAACTCATGGGAATAAAGTTGTCAGATTCATCGATTGGCATTTGCAGTCGAAGAGTCCTGAGGAAATCGCAGTGGGAGATGGTAGTGTTTATGAAATTGATTCGCCTGAGGCGGAGGAGTGGTTCCAACGCTGGAAGGAGGGGCGGACTGGATTCCCTTGGATTGATGCTTTGATGCGACAACTGAAGCTGGAGGGGTGGATCCATCATCTTGGAAGACATAGTGTTGCTTGCTTCCTGACTCGTGGAGGCTGCTATGTGAGCTGGGAGCGAGGAGCTGATGTATTTGAGGAATTGCTGATTGACCGTACGTTTCTCCCAAGAATCATGATTGAAACAAATGCTAATATCCAATTTAGATGAGGCAGCTTGCAATGCTGGCAACTGGATGTGGCTTTCTTGCACGGCCTTCTTTGCGCAATATTATCGTTGCTACTCACCAATCGCATTTGGGAAGAAATGGGACCCTGAGGGCTCCTTCATCAAGCGGTATTGCCCCGAGTTGGCTGACTTCGACAAGAAATACATATACGAACCTTGGAAAGCGCCAATATCAGACCAGAAGAAATGGGGTTGCCGGGTTACGGGGGATGGAAAAGACAACGGGATTCCGGATGGAGACTGGAAATTATATCCAAAACCGATGTTTGATTTTGATAAAAGAAGGCAAATCTGTCTTGATAGTATGAAGTATGCATATGATGTAGGTATGCATGGAGACGACAGTAAGGTCTTGGATGGAACGTGGCGAGACTCTTTTGAAAAAGACCGCTCAGATGATGAGAAGCCGAATAAACGGCGTAAGACATGAACCCAAAATATGAGAAAATAAAAAAGAAATTTGCAGGAAAGGGAAAAAAAAACTAGATACATAATCATAAATGTCAGATCCGCTGAAACGCCTCGTAGCTGAGTATACAGGTTGGACCGAGAGGATATAACCTCTGGGTACTAAATTAGTAATGTCTCAAAACAGGGACATGAGATTTCGTAACTCCAGATGCAAGTATGCCTTTAGTCGTACATCTACCAGAAGAACGAGTAGACAAAAATCAAGATGGTGACGGCGGTGGCGAGCGTATATTGCAGCTCAAACCACGCAGCTTGTTTGCCAAATGCAATGTCCTTGCTCTTGGCGGTAGGGTGTGCGACACCAGTCTTGGGGTCGCGGATCAACAAATCCTCGCGCTCGGGCATTGAAGGCGGGTCAATGGCGTAGGAGACAGGAGTCCACAAGGAAGTGCAAATGAAGAGGAAGGTGAGGGGGGGCCAGAATGCGTGAGTGATCAAGCAGATGATAACATCCTTGGCGCTCGAGTTGATGGAGAAGCAGCGGTAAGAAGAGATCACCACACCGATGAGGGTCACGTAAACAAAGGCCAGATGGAAGAGCGCCATGTAGTTAAACAGGACCACAAACATCCGAATGAAGATGTTCCGTCGTTTCTTGGGGTCACGCTCGTTAAGGGTTGATCCGAGAGATCCGGTGGGCTTAAAGGCCTGGGTTTGGCCTCCGAGCCAGCTGGGCAGCATGAACGAGCGAACGATGCAGAGAGCGATGTAAGGCGACATCCACAGCTGGTAGCGGGATCCTCGCTGACCAGTGTTGTAACCAGCCGGGATGAACAGTGCAAACTCGCAAATTCGGTTGGCAACGGTGGTCGCGAGACAAGCCCAGATGAGCCAGTGAAGCTCTTCTATATTAGCGTAGGCGACCAATTGCTTACCCCACAGAAGGATAATTGGAATGGCAAAGAGAGAAGCAGTCAGCAGAAGGGTGTAGAGACTCAGAGTGGCGTAGAGGAAACCGGAGAAGCGCTGGGCAAAGGTCATCATCTTGATGCCGTCTCCCCAGAGGCAGAACTTCAGCTTGAAAGCCGTGTCGACAGTTCCAATAGCCCATCGGGTACGCTGCTTGAGATGACCACCGAAATCTTCAGGGACAGTTCCAAATTGGAGAGGCTCGTGGACGTAAGCAGTCTTCCATCCCTTACCAAGCATCAGGGTCGATGTCGCGACATCCTCAGCCAGAGAACCGAGGGGGAAGTTGCCAATCTCCTCAAGAGCCTCACGTCGTACAACGTAACCAGACCCGGTACACCAAGCCACACCCAAAGCATCCTTAATTGGCTCAATGACGTGGACAAAGAAATCTAGACTTTGTGCGAGTGGATCGGACGCAGGGGTATTGTAGAACAACTGTGGGGGGCATGCAAGGGCCATCTTGGGATCGGCCAACAAATGAGGAAGGACGGCGCGGAGCCATTCTTGCTCAGGAATCTGTCATCTTGGTCAGCGTGTGTTTCTCAACCTCAACCGATGCTTGTTCTATTTTCGGAACTAGAATCTGGGATTAATCTCACCATATCAGCATCAAGAGCGGCCATAAACTGGCCAGCTCCACCTGGCAACTGTGTCACTGCGTCCAGTCCGTAGTTCAGGTTACCAGCTTTGAAGTGGTGGGGCACTCCAGGGATCTTTTCACGGGCCATGTAGAAGACGTTTGACTGGACCTGAGCGAGTTGGTTGCAAGCCTCTTCGAGAGTCGCTGACTGACCATCGTCCAGAACAATGACGCGGAAACGTTCTGTGGGATAGTCCTGATCCACGGCACCACGAACGGTATCGAGGACAACCTCATCGTCTTCACCACAGCAAGTCACGAAAACGTCCACGGAAGGAACTTCATTACCAGTCAAGCGGAGCTTGGCGCGTCCTCTTTTCTTGAATGCCATCATGGTCCAGCCATTGTGCAATAGAGAGGGGATGGCGGTAGAGACCTCAATTGCGACGAAAACCCAAGCTCCAGCAAAATTGTATCCAGCGGCGTTTTGCGCTGAGATGATGCAGTAAATTCGAAGAGCGAGGTAGCCGAGGTAGATGATGGTGTTTCCAAAAGTCAGGAACGGGGTTAGGAAGAAAACCCAACGCTTCCATCCTTTCCAGGTATCTGCATCATCTCGATCACTGATTTTAGCGATGGATCCGGACTTGACCCAATCCTTGTCAAACTCCGGGGCAGCCGCGTCAGTAACCAGACGGGCAAGACTTTGGTGACTCTGATGAATCTGTCCATAAGGTGACTGTTAGATAACAGCACGTCCATTAGTTTTTCTGGATCTCTTTCGAAAAGAAAAGAAGAAACAAAAGAAAGAAGGATGGAAGAGAAACCTACCAAAGTTGGCGAAGTTGAGCGAGAATCATAAGGCGTGCCGGCCCATGATTCCGGGATATCAGAGTTGCGAGGTGTTGGTTGCAACCATGGCTGAGGAGAACCTGGGTATTCTGGAGGGCTGTAGCGATGGGTGCTCAAACCAGGTCTGAATGGAACGACATGTCCATTGGCAGGAGAAGGAGCCTCTGTCAATTGGAAGTCGAAGCTAGTCTGACTCTCAGCAGGCTGATATCCATGCAAGTCAGTCATTTCCTCTTGATCCGGATGAGGGTAGTAGTGCCCGCTCATGATGGGGGATATGGCTTGAAGACCTCGGATGAGAAAGGAAAGCTGGAACGAGTGGTCATATAGGGAAAAATGTTGAAACGAGGGTTTAGATCAAGTTAGATCGAACGAATGTGGCCCCCTATAAGGGAGCTAAAGAAGACTAAAAGATGGGTACGGAAAGATGTGAAAGAGAGAAACCGAGAAATTCGGGGATAAGTAGAGGAAAGGAACGATGGATCGCAGGGGCTTATCAAAGTGTCGCAGAAGTGTTTCTTGTTTCTGATCCAATCGAAATGAATTACAAGCCCCCATATGCAATAGTGTGATATGTGCGATTGGTGCGTTTCGTTAGTCTTGCCAAGAATATTAATATTAATATTAATAGAAAATTAAAAATACTTAGTACCGATGTAGTACTTGCTGACCAAGAATAGGCAGCTTTTTTTTTTTTTCTTTTTTTTTTTTTTTATAATTAAATTAATTGCTTCTTTCTTTAAGCTTCATACTAAAGAGTCTGTTTTCGTCATATCCAGGTTATCTCTAAACGCCACTAAAAGTCATTATCCAACGCCTAACTATGGTACGTGAATATGGTATGATGGTTTATATGAGACATGAATAATCTCATGTGTAATTGTGTTAGTCTCTATAGTTAGCGGGACACTCCACTTAGTCAGTAATTTTGAGTAATTTTGAGTATTTTTGAATACCCTTGAGTATCTTGTAGTATTTTCAATGGTACTGGTTTAATTACAGGATGAAAAACATACCCTCCTACATGAGCTCCGCACGGCTCATCCCAGGATTGAACCAGGATCACAAATTTTGACTGGTCGAGTTTCTTGAGATTAAATTACAAAATAGTTCTAAATAGTAACCAAATTACTTTATTAATCATACTAAATCCATACTAAAAATACAAGTAGAACATGCAGGGGCGATTCCTATTATCAGGTACAAGCCTTGCCACTTTAGTACCTGCCACTAGTCCAAATACGGTATCTTTTATTTCAATCGCTGATAACGTACACAAAGTCCCCGATTCCCGAGTCAGATCATTACAATCTCTCCTCCCGTCAACCACCAACCATGGCTTTGGTATTGCGTCTATTAGTGAATGCTGGCTTGCTAGCTATTCCCATCGGTGCTACTGTTGGTGCCCTTGTTGGAATTGATGCTCATCGTGCTGCCACTGGTCAGTCTCCGCTGTTCAGTGGTGAGAGCGATTCAAGTGGCAGTGGCAGTGGCAGTGGTAGCAATGGAGGCAGCGGCTCTGATAGCACTGGAGGCGGCTCGGGAGGTGGTACACCTACAATAAGCGATGGAGGCAAAGTGACCACTAAACCCTACTGCGACCTTTCATACGGAATCACTCCTCCCACACATGGCGATTCATTCACTTGTAAGTCGATTTGACCCGAGGCCGAAGCTGAACTGTCTCGGAATCCATGCACACACCTTCCCCTAGTTTCCTTTACAATCCAATCTCCAAGGACGACACTAATAATGATTCAGTCAATCCTAACCAGTGGGGTGTCACATCTACTTCTGTGGGAGAGTTGTGCTTGAATGTAAGTCCACATTTTCCACTCCTATATGTCGTTAGATGCTTCAAACTGACACAAATTTCCCTCAGGTCACAACCTTCTCGAACGAAACCTATGCGACCGACTCAACCGTCCCAGCCTGGAGTGTCACCTGGCAGTACGATCAAGGTTTATCGACCGCACCTGTGCACGCCTTCCCTAACGTGATGGTCGACGACATTTTCCCCATCTCGTTGGATTCTATGCAGGAGATCAACTTCGATGTTGAGTGGACTTACGGAGCAGGCAACGATGCTGCCGATACCATCGATGAAACCTCCCTCACTGCAGTCAATCTTAACGCCAACGTTGCCATCGATATGTTCTTCGACAGTGACAAGACTACCTCTCAGAACAGTACTTCAGCCAAGTTCGAGGTCATGGTTTGGTTTGCGACCTTTGGTACAAGTACTGACGTGATCGGTCATGACGACGGTATCAAGAAGACGATGAAATTGAATAACACGACTTTGTAGGTCACATATTCCCATATTCACCTACTCTGCTAACTCTTGTCTTTTTTAGTAATCTTTATGGAGGTCAGAACACGGCCACTAATCAATGGGTCTACACATGGAAAACAGCTGAAACAACAGGCACGTTCTCTGATGATATTTACCCGCTGATTGAGTATCTTTACACCGAGACTGGAGACGACTACCCTACGAAGAGTGACTACATGGGTGTCTTCCAATTCGGCACTGAAGCATTCTACTCCGCGTCTAATGTCACCTTCAACGTCCCAAGTATGTCCATCGACATCAAGAGCTGAGCATTTTTGAGTCTGTACATAATAGGCATACTGTTCTCTTTTTGGCGCATTTAATGATTGAAATGTCAATACAGCGGGCAATCACTATGGGGTTCTTATGTCTGTGGAATGGCTTGTTTCCACATCTTTTTTTTCCGTTCATACATACCATTTTAATAGAGTGCTTTCCGCGTACTTCGATAAACTCATTCTATTCATCTACATGCGGCAAAGATCCACTAGTTTGACAAGGCTGATGATTAAAATGTGGAGAGAAACAGTTTCAGCCCTGTCTTGGTTCAATGCAACCAAAGTCAAATGCGACGACTTCTAGGGCTAATATTGGAAGGGAAGTAACTGGAATGCGGATACTTCAACCTCTCTGCTTTCGTCCCGCAAACGTGCTGAATACAGCTACGGCATTACCAATGCAGATGAGACCTGCCAAGGTATTAGTAATTACGAAACAAACCGGTATGAGCTAGATACTTACCCAGAATAGCATTCATATAGAAAAATCCGATTACCTGCGACAGGGAGCCAGACAGTATAGGTCCCACGATGAGCCCCATGTTGAATGACATCTCCGTCAGACCAAAAGCTCTACCCCGCCCACCATTGGCGCCAAAGATCTTCGGGTACTTAAACTCATACTCCTGCACAACAACTATGTTTCGAGTGAGTTTGATACCTAGGCTAGGGTGTTGGGCGAAAAGCTGGGGGTGGGGCGGTTAAAAGACTTACCGAGGATGTTCAAAAACCCAGCATTTTGGAGCAAGTTCTGAACAATGCCGATCCCGATGATAGAGGCAACGAAGATAGCTTTCCCGTGGGTCTCGGCGCTTGACCATGGGAATTCACCCGGAACGCCCATGCACAAAAGCAGAGGGGCAAAGAGCGACCAGCCAGCAGTTGTGGGGTCTCTAAGCCCAATCCGGTCACGGAGGGAGCCAGAAAGGGGCCCCAGGAGAATTGATGGAGATCGCATTGCGAAAAAGGCTACTCCTACAGGGAATGGCCCCCAATTGAAGATTTGGCGCAAATGGACGGGGAACGTCGCATTGAATCCTGCCGTTATTGTGCTGAACGTTGTGACGCATAGGAGGCTGGCTAAAACGCGGCCATCTCGGAGCATGATTGTGTAGAACCCACCTGAAGGTGCATCATCTTCAACGGTCTGTGCTTGTGGCTGTGTGCTTTCTGCGTCTGCGCCAGGTTTAGGTGATAGCAGGGGTGAGCTCTCCGTATCTGTATCTGCTGTATCCTCTCGCTGACCGAGTAGACCCTCGGTTACTGACGTGTCATTTTTTTTGTTCTCTGATACTCCCTTTTCTGGTTCAATCATAACGAAGCGCATAATGACATCTATGAGGAGAACGACTAGTGGCACGGACCAAGCCAGCCAATATCCAGCCAATTCGAGCAACGCTCCTGCTATAATTGGTCCTGAAATCACGCCGAACATCACGAAGGACATACATAATCCCATCATCTTACCTATGCTTCCCTCATCCACATTCTCCGTCAACATGGCCATGCCAGCAATCCATGCTCCAGCACCTGCAATTCCCTGCAAGACGCGTCCTAGGTAAAGGGCCCAGACTTGATAGTTATAGGTAAGCACTGAATCATTGGAGTCAAAAAACAAAAAAACGAATGCACGTACTTGTTGGGGAAGCCGCCACCAGCACAGTTCCAATAATACAAACGGCAAGATACGTAAGAAGAGGCGTCCTCCTCGTCGCAGTACTATCAGAAAAAGCAGCCACAAAAGGTGTCGAGATAAGAGTCATAAAACCATGCAGACTGAGCAGTCTCGTTATCAGGTCTTGAGTCTGCGATGGGTCTCCATGCAGCCGAACCTCCAACATGTAAGGCAGTATAGGAGCCAGGAAGGAATAGAGAAGAGTTTCTATACATTGACAGGGTTAGCCTTGTGGGCTAGAATGCGGCTCTGAGTGGACAGTACCAGCAAATAAAGCAATACAGGCCGTTGACACAACTAATGATCTGGATGATCGCCATTTGTACCCATATGGGCGCTCGCCTGAGAGCTCCATTACAGTGTTTGAAAATATACGATATATCAGATTCTGAGATTTTGGTGGGGCGACATGAGTGTGAGAGGAAAGAGGAGAAAAAGCTGCATTGAATCCGTATTTGGTAAGGCTTTCCCGATGACTCAATTGCAGCTGCACGCTGCGGGGTCCCAATGTGGCAGTTAGTTCCAAGGCTTTTTTTACGAGATATAATATACATACAGCTACAGGTTTTGAAAATGGAGTGGTAGTTCATTGAGTAGTAAAACTGCTTAATTACTTGATTATGTCAGTATCTAGTTCCTGTAAACCGTGATTTCACATTAGATATTTTTGGCCTTGGATATGAACACGTGAACTGACGTGATTGCATTATCTCGTCGAGAATTACTGCATTGGCAAGAACTGATCGAGGACCATAGAAGATGAAAGGATATACCTTGGGAAAATAAAAACTTGCATTGAGAGAGAGGTTTGCCAAAGTGCAAGAACCTGTTCAAGTGTATTAATTTTTGATGTCCAAATAAATATTTGTATATATATATATATATATATATATATATTGCTTCGGAAATAACAACTGTGTATGGTAGCGAACCTTGGAATTGATAATTAAATCTCCTACTCCGTACCAATGATCTATTAGAACAGGCTTTACTGTTTCTAGATTCAGATATTCCTGTTCCATCAATTGTACTACGCAGATTTCTATGGTTTCGGAGAGTATCCGTCCATATACCGCAAGCCTTTTCCCAAAATTAGAACAGTCATACTCATCAAAGACGTAAAGCTCAAAGGCTAATATGTTCACCGCTATAATCCAGGCTTCACCGAGAGCCTTCATTGAAACTTGTTGAGGTAAATTTGACTTAATCTTGAGAAACTGGACTTTGTTCACCATAGTTCAAATAAACTTAGGCTTTTTTAGGTGTATTTGGTGTATTAAGCGTATTTAGTGTGTTTAGTGTATTTTTTAGTATCAAAGTTTGGTAATGCTGCCAAAAGTGAAACAAGGTAAGGTGTAAATATTGGGGCTGTAATTAGGCTTGATAGGCTTGATGTCTGATACCTACCCGGGTAGCCCCCACATAGATTTCTTGGAAATTTAAATCCTGTTCGTGGGATTCTCAGTCTCAGTTGATTCCGGAGGATGTTCACCTGTCTTACAGTTAATAAAGTTTATTTCAAGGTCGGGAAAGCTATGGAGGAACCATAGGAGCTAAGGAGCTACAGGAACTATACACGGAATGCCGGGATGTCTCGGTATCTGTCCCGCCTCTAATTCAATAGTTCACCACGTGGATCTCTTTTTCAAAGAGAAAATAACAAGAGAACAAGCACCGGCCGCTTTGTCTTAGATAGTCTTGCCTTTTTATAGTAGTAACGTCGTCAATATCACTTGGTCCAAGGATCTCTGTGGCTAGAACCTATTTCTGCCTTTTAAAGAAATGTTCTATTATGACTTCTCAGACCCAGTTAAGACTTATTCCCCACTTGAACCTTGATTGAATGAATCATATAATTTATGTTGACTGGCAGGATTTATGCAAGACTTGAAAGGATCACGGCCGCATAGGAGAGGAAGAGATATCCCACTGTTGTTGCCTGAAGCCTCATCAAATGTTGATACAAGAAAGTGAAAGTTGAAAAGTAATATGTTAGTCTGAAGATGAGAGGATCTGGAGACTGAGCCCTGGACCCAAGGGGTATTCAAAAGGAACTGAAGGAGAGGGGAACAACTACGAATGCTCCCTCCCCACATCCTCTCTCTCTCTTTCTCTCTCTGAGAAAATTATTTAACCGAGGCACTAGCATTCACAGTATCTTTACTATCAAGGGGAAGATGTGGCACAAAGCATGCACCTCGAGATGATGGCGCACAAGATGAATGGCAACCCCAGATGAATGTCTCACCTCTCTAAAATCTCTTGGACTGTAGGAGGTTTCTTCAGGATTTAAAGGGTACACTCAAAATTCAATAGATTGAAGATCCACTCAAAATCAGACTTCCGGCCTGTGAGATGAAAAACTGGCCGTAGGAAAATTATGGCTGCCGCATTGACAATCTGTTCATATTCGGACTCATTCTTATTTCCCTGAAGGATTTATTGCTCCCGATCTTCTGCTCCTTGCGTTATTGGTGACAACATGAAAAGATGTAAGCGAGTTTTGAATTCTCCTCGAACCGCTCAGACTCACTTCAACGAAAAGGAGCAGAGGCTGGGGAAAGTCTCTGACGTGACATTTCCTGTGCAGGAGGATCTGAAGGGGAAGCCCTGGTGATGGCTCAGTAAACTTTGTTTGATTCCCAACATTGAACAATACAGCCAGCTAAGAACGAAAGAACGAAAGGGCACCTTGGAGGACGATCTAATCTCCAATACGTACGTCGTAGGAATCCCTGATTTAAGAATTGCGTGGGAACAGGCTGTCTAAGCAAAGTTCACAAACCACTTCGGCTGCTTTGACGTCATACTTTCATCTGATAGAGCTCTTGATCTTGCTTGCTGAGCCCCGGATACAGCATCATTTCGTATAGTAGCATCACTGGAGCAAACAAGAGACAACACAAATGAGAAGCCAAAAAAAATGAAAAGCTGACAGCTACAATGCACGTCCGTCATCATCATCACGTTTATAGGGATAAAGTGATAAGGTATTTGACATGTAAGGACGAGAGGAACCCTCGTATATGCCCTTCGGGTTTTGTGTATATCACGTACTCACCTCCGCCTCTGACAAGTACTCTGGCACGTACTCTGACAAGTAGATCCTTTTATGCCATGATAAGGGAGTGATGTATAAGGAGGAAGAAGGCAGGAAGAGAAGGGGTTGCTTCTATACCCTTGATCCCCTGGTTGTATCACCTGGGTTCTTCTTTTCAATGGGAGTGAAGTGAGAAAATTTGACGGTCAAAGGAAAATGAAGTAAAAGTGAAATGAGATGTCAGCATTTTAGCCAGTCACTGCCTGTTTTGACTACTCTATTGGGTAGTTTGTGTTGAGGATGCCAAAGGGTCATTAATGATGAAAAAAATAACAAAGTCCGAACTCAGAACATACTTCTTCTAATGTATATAAAATCTAGAGTACATTTTCTCGTTCTTCATGCTGTGGCTTCTCTTCATTTCGTGCCTCGTTTGCTTTGACTGCATCAAGTCTTGCTTCTTCCCGAATGACACACTGATAGGCGGGAAACCTGCGAGCTGGCACTCTAGCAGCGAAAATCTCGTCCAGCTCTTCCAATGACCGATTATTCATCTCCGGCATGAAAAAGTAAAAGAATATCACACAGATAAGGTTTGATCCAGCCCAAATATAGCCGTATCGAGCACCCTGCAGAAGAATACTGGTTAGAGAAGATACACAGAACAACATTTCAAGTAGATTTCAGACCTACCCAGTCCAGGTGTTCCGGATTAATAAAGTATGGTGTGCAAAAGTTACATAGCCAGGCAAGTAGATAGCCCAGGGATGTTGCTGTGCCAATTGTCCACGCACGTAATCTTGAGCTTACCAGCTCTGTCGCGACAGGGTAACTGATAGCTCCAACGCACCCGTTGTAGAAGAACATAAATAACGACGTAAAGGCAACCAGTGTCTTACCTGTCGGTAGGCTATTCGGGCTCACTGTTGCTGCTATCCCGGTTACTAGTTGGCAGACTCCGCAAGCTATAGCTCCAAGAATTAGGATCGCTCGACGACCGAATACATGACGAATAGCATATAAGCCGATGCTGGAGCCCAGGAATCCAAAGCATGTATTCATGAGAGTGAATTGGAAAGCCTTGGAGATTCCACTGATTGTGAAAAAGTATGTCTGGTAGCCGATGAGAAACCACACTCCAGATCCAGTCTGGCAGCCGATCATGCCGTAGCATAGTAGAGTTCGCCGAAGATCAACACCTGGTGCTGTCAGCTAGAGCTAAAGCTGTTCTTGATATTGAGTAAACTTACCTCTAAACATGTCTATTGCTGCAACGTCCTTTTGGACGCGCTTTTCCTCTTCAACACCCTTAACCATCTCTATCCACTCCAACTCTAATAGAGATGGAGTAACAGTCGTAATACCAGCACTACCACGTCCATTGCCAAGATCGGAACTGGAGCTGGAAATTGCGAGAAGAGTTGCATAGCTCTTACCACGAAGTCTTTCCAGTGCCTTTCTTGCCTGCTGCTCCTTGCCACGATGTAGCAGCCACCGCGGACTTTCTGGCACAAAGAAGAGTGCCACAAATAGAACAACGGGAACAATATACAGACATGCCAAAGGAATGCGGTATGACAGTTTGTCAAGTCTCACTTGCGTAGAGTTGTCCACCACTGCTCCTATTATTGACCCAATATTGACCCAGAACGAGAATAGCGCAACCATAACTCCACGCAGGTGGGATGGAGCCACCTCTGAAGTCCAAATATTGGAGAATGTGACTAGGAAGCCGTTGGCAAACCCAAGCAGCAAGCGTCCCAAGTATAGAACGCCCGGCGTGGTCGTTCCTATTTGGATTCCGACAGCTACTGCATTCACGATACAGGCGAGCCATAATGCTTCTCGGCGACCAAGATAATTGGCAAAGAATCCTGCTACCAGCGAGGATACAAATGATCCCAAGGTGAGAAGAGATGTTATAAGTTGTTGTGTTGTACTCTTAATCACACATCTTCAATATTAGCTTCATCGGTTTAATAGTAAAGATCCACTCACAGCAATCGCGTATCCGGTCTCACTGGTCGGATCAACGTATCCGAATACTTTGAGAAATCCAGGCATAGCCTGCAATGCACCAACTGCAGCCAGATCAAAGCCATATTGCATATTCCCCATAGAGACCAGACAGCAGAATAAAAGACATTTGCGATTCTGCCACAGCGACGTCGATGATATGCCAGTTTCCATAATGAGTCCAATATAGTGAGAACCTTGGAGTGAATCTAGAACGAAATTGAGTAGCCCTCTATGCCGAGGGCGAAATCATCTTGCGCGGTGCTCTCACATATAAACTGTCGTCCGGGTGCGAGACCAAGTGCCATATGCCGAACAAACCCCACACGAATACCGACCTGACTCTAAAGGATTTACATATTACCTTTTCTGTTGATTTCATGACTCGGAAATCTTCATATGACAGGGGTGGAGGGTTGATCGACCATCGCTTTCACCAGAATAAGAACAGATTCCCCCGCAAACCCCGCATATGCACTCCAGACCCACGATATCTGGGGCAGTCAGCCCCACTGAGCTACCCATTGACAGAATTCTCTCCATTATGTGACTTGCTCAGATTTTCAGGGAGGTTTTGACCATGTGGGGTCGTGCTGCAGGCTTGACGTGGTTCTTGCGACTGGACCAGCGATGCTTAACAGCAAACCTTACTCGACTTTTATGGGCAAATTTGTCCACTGAAGGATAATTCCTATCTCGGCATTTCCAATCCGATGGCGGGGCTCACCCGACTGGTGGGCACAAAGTGGCAGTGAAGGAAGAAAGTGTGTCGGCTTATTGAGTTGGAGGGCTAACGGTACATATTGACCGGCAACACCCTGGGCTTGTCCTTTGATTTCTTTGGCCTCGAAATATCATCAGATAGGCGTCAGCATGGCTGTGGAAAATATTCAGGAGCTCAAAGCCCTAGTTCGAACTCAAGTGACTTTCAGTCATTTGAAACCGAGCAATATCAGCATCTCGACGGCAACATCCGTCGCATTGATAGGACTCAGTGTACTTTTAGCGGTCGACTATGGATACATGATATACCTGCACTATAGAATGGTCATTAAATCTTCAAAAAGATTCAAAATACAAACATTCAAACAATACTAACAGCCATCACAGCCACCGGGCCCATTCCCACTGCCTTTGATCGGAAACACGCACCTTCTACCCGACCAAAAACCATGGATTTACTTCGAGCAATTAGCAAAAGAATATGATTCACCCATGGTAACATTCTGGACAGGTCGACGACCAACAATTTGGATCTGCGATGCCTGGGTAGCAAGCGAAATACTAGACAAGCGAGCCGCAATCTACGCGTCCCGACCACGAATGGTTGTTTTCAGTGAACTTGGCGCTGGACAATCCAATCTAGTCAATATGTACTATGGAGATAGATGGCGACTGCACAGAAAGCTGACCCATATGGGCGTTGGACTACAACAGGTTCGGAACTACCGGGGTTTCCAGAACGACGAAAGTAAGGTTGTTGCATTCGATCTTCTGCAGGAACCAGCGGAATACGTCAAGCATTTTGAGCGCTACGCGACAAGTGTTGTCTCTATTATTGATTTTGGAAGACGCGTCGCTTCTTTTACCGACCCCATTATCACTGAAGTAATTGCCTTGATGCACCGCGCTGCTGATCTGAACGTACCTGGAAAGACATTTCCAATGCTAATGGAGTCATTCCCCTGTAAGATCTGTGATTGATTCTTATATTCTGATTGGCCTCTGGTCAGACTCTACATCTTACTAAAGTTGCTTAGTTCTCGCCAAATTTCCGAACTGGATGGCACCATGGAAAAAAGGGATGGGAAAAGGAGGAAGCGGCAGACCCTTCTTTTATGCATTGACGGAAGAAGCTGCCAGAAGTTCCGAACCGAACTATTCAAAGAGGATATTTGAAGAAGCAGCAAAACATGGTCTCTCCCAAATGGAGATATCATCACTGTCTGGAAATCTCTTCGGAGCGGGGAGTGACACTTCAAGCTCGACGCTTGTGACATTTGTTCTGGCTTGTTGTGCTTTCCCGGAGGTATTGCCAAAGGCGTGGGAGGAGCTCGATCGTGTGGTAGGTCCACATCGGAGCCCAAAATTTCAAGATGAGCCCGACCTTCCATATGTGAAAGCATTCATGAAAGAGGTTCTACGGTGGAGATCGGTTGCCATTATCGGAGGGCAGCCGCACGCGCCTATTAAGGACGATTACTACAAGGTAAAATCCTTTACAGTATCATTGTATACCATCTCGATTCACTGACAAGGATCTAGGGGTTGTTGATTCCACAAGGAACATGGGTTCAGGGAAATATATGGGCTATTCATCGCAATGAGCGTGATTTTCCCGAGGCAGACCGCTTCAATCCAGATCGATATATTGCTGGAAGTCCTGACCAGCGACCTTTCCCAGGAGAGAAGGGGTATATGACATTCGGCTGGGGAAGACGAGTGTGCAGTGGCCAAGGGCTAGCTGAACAGGGAACATTCATAACGATTGCACGCTTACTTTGGGGATTCCGCATCGAAAAGGCATTAGATGCTCAAGGAAACCAGATTCCAGTGGATATTTTTGATTACACGTAAGTTGCTATCCTTTAGTCTTTGCTCCGACTGTTATAGTGGACTAATTGGAGGGGCTTGTTCTAGTAATGGCCTCAATATGAGACCCAACCCGTTCGAATGCAGATTCACTCCTCGAAGTATGGATATCCGTGCTACTATCGATAGGGAAGGACTGCAGGCATTGCAGGATTTGTCTCCCTATGATGGGGAGTCAAAGTACCGCATGAGCACATATTATCAAGAGAAGCCGTGACGGGCTAGCCAAGCGGTTTCTCTTGCAGAATCTCACCATTTAATAATAATATGCCTTGGGTGGTTCATCAACGGACGACGAACAGTGAGCTTTACTCTTATTTTGATGTATTTGGAAGGAATACGATTTCCTATGTACTCTTCAGCAATGGAAATTGGGACCTGATGTATTTCAATGCAATCGATATAATTTTTTTCTCTTCTCTTTTGTAGCTCTTCATGGATTCAGATTCTTGAAGCTTTTTGTAAGAGCCAAAGGAAACGTGAAAGACTTGGTTCTTTTACATTATAGAATGCAGAATATGTAACTTTGAACTAAATTCAGTACCCACTAAACTTTCCAAGGTTCGAGATATCAATTATCAATACTGTTGCAAGCTGTTCGATATCATAATAGGTTCTACCTATTTAAGATACATCGTTGGTAACTAATATAACATCTGCGGAGTATCATATGCATAATTTATCTGAGATACGGATTCTACGAACTTGAAAATTGGACTTTAGTTTCACTATTGAGCATTCTTATCAATAGCCGTATTGCTTTTACTTTTTACCGAGGTGAAACCTTTAACAATTCATTACAAAACAGGGACCAGAAAGATGATTTGATGACAGGGTGATAAGTCACATCAACCTTGCAAAGTGACAAGTCAGTTTAACGCTGATAACACCTGTGGACGTCTCCAGGGCTTGTCAGTTCTAGAACCTCGAAATTGTTCAAAGGCCTTCCTATATATAGACACATGTATACAGAGTACTTGGGCTGATTTGTAGACATATTACTGGACCGGTAATAACTGAGACGGAGCCTGGGATTTGTTTTCTCGTTGGCGTCTGCATTATTGCTTGTATTGGCAAAATACCATTTCTTATTTATCCAGGATCATGCTTGTAACTTCATCTCAACCCACAAACGTCATGCCAAATACGGAATGCGAGCTTATTTCGAAGAAGATATATTTATTTAGCAGCTGAGATACTATCAAGATCAATTATTCCTTTGTGGCTGTTTCTCATCAAATATCCCAGGAGCTTGGTGGCTTAAAGTCACTAGCATATGAGACCCCTCCGGATTTATGGGTCCAGGCCTAGAATGCAGATATCAGCTCTGATATATTCCCTGTTCTCTGGGTTGGTCAAGATTTAGTCATCTGGATTCCACATGCTATATCTTGGTGATTGCCAAGCTGCTTTTGACCGATCGTAAAGACTCATGGATCTTATTCTCGGCAATATTAATATCCAGAGCAAGCCATATGCTCACTAGTGATATCTACGGAACCTTACATCCGATGACTGATCGCCAACTCCAATGCAGTTGTTCATGAGATGGGGCGATACCATGAGCTAGCACCTCATAGCTCATTTTTATCGATCATGAGGATGAAGATCAACGTATGATGCCCGGTGAGGCAATGCGAAAGAGTCTTTTAGCTCAATGTGTTCACTTTTTTTGAGCTTGAACGCGTTGGAGTTTATGAGGCTCACTTTCGACCAAATGGTATACACGGCATATATGGCCATTATGACTGGCGGCTGGTTTACAAACAAAGTAAACACTGTGATTTCGATATCGAGATAGTGGAACCCACTGATCTCTTTGCGGCCAATGTCAACAGTGGAACAAGTCAAAGGAGACGTCACAGAGTATAGTGTCATGACCACCCTATAGCACGCCAGCCCGCCAGCACGTTAACGTCAACATTTCGGCTTTCAATTTCACGGGAAGTTGTTCTGCTGCGGAGATAGTTCGGTAGTTAGAGATAGAAGTATATCTCAAATCTACACATCAAATCATGCTCCTTGCAGTTTCAAATAAATACAAAACGATCTCGATTCTGTACCTGTTGACCGGCAATGAAGCAAGACCGAAATTGCCGTAGTCGTAAACGTAAATCGTGCCTACAACCAACTTAGTAAGTATGCGACCGTGATTGCTTCTTAACTGTCGTAGGTGGGATGGATCAAATTCGGCAGATGAAAGAAGATGGAATAGCCGGGCATCCTATATCGGTTCACCCAAAGAATAGAACAACAACCAATGAGGAGCACTGCCGAGAGGGCTTAAAAAGTCCACATATTTCATTCAAATCCTTTCAGTTCTAATAGATCAATGATCATACGTGAGAATTAAACTCCATTGCCCCACGGCAGTTAGATCGTTATACTCGATTACCGAACATCTTCCTTTTTATACAATCGAGACACCGGAATATCGCCAATGGATACTTTGATCGCATGCCATGATGGCCCCTCAAAGAGTCCAGTTAGCCAAAATCTGCCTTGGCTTAGCTCCTAAGCCAAAGTCGACGGCAAAGGCTCATGTAGAAGTAAGAGTACGAGTAGCAATCGTAGTTATTCTGTATTCTGCATTTAGTAGATGCGGAGAAGCTAATAATCAACCACCGATGAAGATCAATGATGTAGTAAGAAGGGTTCCGGATAAAAATAAAAGGAAGATGGAGTCGAAACAACGGGTGGAGCGGCAAGCGGATTAACTTTGGAAATATTTTTCTGTAATGTTAGCCACTGCACTTAAAGGAGTCTCGTCTTTAAAAGAATCACATCTGCAGCCCTTCTTTTAAGGTTTCCGTTCAAACAATTTGTTTCTTCGATCAGAAATCATCATTATGGCTACTCCACAAGCAAATTTGCCTCTCGATGTGGTCATCGTCGGGTATGAGTCCCCTTTTATGAGATAGAACCACGTTGCTAACATTGAACAGTGCCGGTATGATTTGGATTTCCTGTTAATCGTCAGGGCTATGTACTCAATTGGTTTCTTTTTGTTTAGGCATTGGCGGCGTAGCAGCAGCCTTGACTTTTGGTTTGCGTGGCCACCGCGTCGTGATCCTTGAGTCCGCCCCGAAAGTATGTCAAGCCAATCCAATTCAGGATCTAGAGAACACCTACTAAAATGTCATGAAGCTCTTGGAGGTTGGAGCTGGAATCCAAATTTCTCCTAACATGCTGCGTCTTTTCGACAGTGAGTCGCATTGAGAAAGAAGTGCGTGGATCGACACTAACAAGGACGCAGGGTGGGATGTTTCGGAATTAATGTACAAGCAAGGTGTCGCCTTGGAGAATATCTATGTTCGACGATGGGAAAACGGCGAGCTCCTAGCCACAATGCCCGTTAACAGGAGCTTCGGCAAGCAAATTGTCATCCATCGAGCTGACTTGCACAATGCCCTAATTGCAAAGGCAACAGCGTTGGAGAATGTAGAGCTGCGAACAAACTCCCACGTGGAAAGTGTCGACTTTGATGCAGCCACCGTCACATTAGCTAACGGCACAATCGTTCGTGGAGACATTATTATCGGTGCTGATGGCGTCAAGTCCAACATCCGGAGCCAGCTATTGAATGACCCGACATCCAAGGCCATTCCTACTGGTGATGCTGCGTACAGAATGCTTCTGCCTCGCTCCGTGATGGAGCAAGATCCTGAGCTGAAGGCGCTTATCGATGAGCCTCAGGCAACTCGCTGGCTGGGACCTGGTCGCCACATTATTGCGTACCCTGTTCGGAACTATGAGCTGTACAACGTTGTTCTTCTTCACCCAGACAGCAAAGATGCCGAGGAGTCATGGACCACTAAGGGCTCGAAGCAGACCATGCTCGACAACTACAAGGGATGGGACCCGAAGCTGCAGAAGCTGCTTAACTTGGTGCAGGATGACGAGGTCTTGGAGTGGAAGTTGTGTCTGCACCTGCCCCTCAAAACCTGGATTCGTGGATCAGTAGCTCTGATTGGTGACGCTTGCCACCCTATGCTGTAAGTCAAAAATTAGTGATCCTTTTTTCCTGCACGATACTAACAGTTTTCAGCCCTTATGTTGCTCAAGGTGCAGCACAGGCAGTCGAGGATGCAGCTGCCCTAGCTGTCCTTTTGTCGACAATCACTTCTAAGAATGAGATCCCTCGTGCGCTGCAAATATACGAACAGTCTCGCAAGCAGCGTGCAGAGACGGTGCAGGCTTCTGGTTCGGAGAATCGCGTCACTTTGCACTTGCCTGATGGACCAGAGCAGGTTGCACGTGATGAGCAGTTCAAGGCATCTGCTACCGGCAATAGCCCAGATAAATGGGCTGATCGTGATACCCAGACATTCCTGTGGGGGTGGGATGCAGAGAAGGCTGCATTGGACGCTTGGAACGGTACGTCATTGGTCGACATGTAGGTTATCTTGCAAGGTTCGAATGCTGACTTTTGGAAAGAAACAACAGTTTAAATACCAAAATACCAACCTGCGACATATAGCAGATTTGTAGGGCATCGGGAGCTACGTAGGTAGCTATTTATAGTTATAGTTCAATAATCTATTCCAAATGTCCTCTACATATGCACCTGAGCATACCTATTTCGGATCAAAGAATCTACCTTTTCGAAGAGTTGGTACGAATCTGGAAATGGTAATTTTTTCTACTTAATTCATTATACAATCATTCAACGCGAGGACCCACATCAAATATACATCGGTGGTGGTAGAAGCGTAAAAAAGGGTCCGTCGTTTTTTCTCAATGAGAGCCAGGGACGCTCAGCATGTGGCTCTCCAATCTGGCCCACAAGAGGAAAGAAGATCTAGACTTGTTGTTCTAGAAATTTACAGCCTCTCGCCAGCGGCAGCCTTCATCTGGCCGTACTTCTTGAGACGGATAGCAGACACACTGATGAAGCCGCTGGTCTCAGCGGGAGCGAAGTCACCAATCTCGTCCATGCTGGACTCGGTTGCGTCGTAAAGCTTGGAAGTCTCGGAAGAGCGACCGAGAACAGAGAAGCTGCCCTTGTAGACACGGCAACGGACCTGGCCGTTGATGGTCTTTTGGGAAGCGGTGATGGACTCCTCAAGGAACTCACGCTCGGGGGAGAAGTACAGACCGTTGTACAGGAGCTGTGGTGACGTTAGATTAGGAGGGCCGTTTAGTTGAGAAGGGGAGAAACTAACCTTAGAGTAGTTGAAGGTGACGAACTGGTCACGCAGAGCACGAACCTCACGGTCCATCACAAGACCCTCAAGGTCACTAAACTGAGTTAGTTACTGAAAGACCAATACGATGGGGACATGGAACTCACATGTGGGCGGAGCGCAAGCAGGTAAGACCAGGGGTCTCGTAGCAACCACGAGACTTGATACCAATGAAACGGTTCTCAACCTAGTTTAGGTTAGTACTTGCTTCTCTGGTCTTGTTGGAAGTCACATACGATATCAATACGGCCAACACCGTGGCGGCGAGCAATGGTGTTAGCAGTCAGGAAGAGGTCAACGGAGTCGGTGACAGTCTTCTGTTGGCCATTCTCGGTGTACTCGAGCTTGACAGGGAGACCCTTCTCGAAGAACAGAGTGAAGTCCTCGGGCTTGTCAGGGGCAGCCAAAGGATCCTGAGTCAACTTCCACATGTCGGAAGGAGGAGTAGTATCAGGGTCCTCGAGAATACCGGCCTCGTAAGAGCAGTGGGCCAGGTTCTCGTCCATGCTCCAGGGCTTGGACTTGGTGGAGGTAACAGGAATTCCCTTCTCAGCGGCGTAGGCAAGGAGATCGTTGCGGCCGGCGAAACGCTCGTAGAAAACAGGGTCGCGCCACGGAGCCAAGACCTTGATCTTGGGCTGCAAGGCATAGAAAGCAAGCTCAAAGCGAACCTGGTCATTTCCCTTACCGGTGCAGCCGTGGGAAACAGCGAAGCATCCCTCACGCTATTTGTAATCAGTAAACACTCCAATCTTCGACCAAAAGAATATTCAACATACGTTAGCAACGTCAATCTGAGCCCGGGCGATCACGGGACGGGCGAGGGAGGTTCCTGTACGTCTGTCAAAACCAAGAAATCATGGGACATCGATAGAGCGATATATACCAAGCAGATACACATTCTCGTAGACAGCATTGCAAGCAATGGCAGGGAAGCAAAGTTCCTCAATGAACTCACGGCGGAGATCAACGATCTCGCACTTGAGGGCACCGATCTTCAGGGCCTTCTCGCGGGCGGCTTCGAAGTCCTCTATGGTTGCCATTTAGTAAAATGTCGCATTTTCAAAGATAAATCCAACTGTACCTTCCTGGCCAACATCGGCCACTATACAAAAGGTTAGCAATTTTTTCTTCTACTGAATTTCTCGAGTCACAAGAAAAGACTTACTGAAGCAGACAACCTCATAGCCCTCCTCAATCAAGTATTTGACTGTAAATAAGGATCAGCAACTGGAGTTGTATGAGGATATCGAGGGAATCGGGAGAGGCGTACGGATACAGCTGGTGTCGAGGCCACCGGAGTAAGCTAGGCAAACCTATGAGCAACAATGGGTCAGTTGAGTTGAGCTTGACGATTGTGTGGAGGGGGAGGACGAGATTGGATATGACAATTGTAACTGTGTCAATTGATAACTAACCTTTCCCTTGGACATTTTGAGAGTTCTGAATAATCAAAGTAGAGGAATTTGAGGACTTGTACGAGGAAAGTAGAGAGAGAGGTTGAGTCACTCGAAAAAAAGGTGGGTTTTTGGTGCGGGTCTGGGTCAGACTTCTTGGCACCGAAACCGGCAGATAAGCTCACAGATAAGGTGAAAATCTCGAGGATCAAGTATTTAAGGGCTATGATATAGGTACTCGTTAGGAGAATATAAGATACTGGTCCAAAATTCATTTGGTGACTGGATTTTACTTGGATTTATTAGTATTTTTTGTAAGATAATTACAGGGCTATAACAGGTGATCAATGGGTAGTCAACCCTCGCCCACTGTGATAGGATGCTTGATTTTGAACTTGAAATATGAGTTTCCAGAAAATTGCTATCGAACGTGCAACACTTTGTCAATGGTATTTGGTGCTCAGTTATAGTCAATTGACAATTCTTTATAAATCTCCAACCTCATCTCCGTTTAAAATTCGCTCATTCATTTCCGCAAACTCGTCTACACCAGGCCAAGACCAAGCACGTGGCGATTGAGGCGGATTCTCTGACATACCTTCCCTAATAAATTTGAACTGAGCATGCTGGGAATCAAATCCTATCATGCCATGTTTTTCCAAATCTTCAAGAAAATGCTCCCAATCTGTTTGTCCATCAGAGCTCCATTTTATCTCTTTAAAGCATCGCTTCCACTCTTCACCCTTAAAACTAAAAAAATAGACTAAGCGCTGAGCAGCCTGCCCATGGTATTCAACTTGACCCTCTATCCATCCACAGCTCTGGGAAATTAGCCCTGATATGTCCAATTCTAGATGTTCTATATCATCGTTGTTCAAGCACCGCCTGACTGGTAGTTTGTCAAGGTTTTCCAAAGATAATATAGTAGCACTATTTATATCTATTGGAAAGTAGACAGTGAAGACCTCATGGAGCGGTTTGATATATTTCCCGTGATAGTGATCGTTAATTACTGGGTCATAATAGTCTGAAGGACCGATTAACCAGATGAGTTCTTGGTGTGGGTCAAGAGCTTGTGTCAATCTTAGAGATAGCCCTGATATGAGAAAGTGTTCTCTTGCTTCACTCTTTTCCCATTCTATTATATATCAGATATATACTATTATAGCGTCTTAATTTATAACACCTCACCGATAACTATCCACTCAATGCCATTTAGCTCCTGTGGACGAGCTCGCGCAATTTGAGTGTGCCCTTTATATTGAAGGAGTTCTTGTAAAAGATAGAACAATGTGCTATCATCGGTTATAATCTTTAACTGATAGCCATTATATCAATTTCTCATGTTGAGATACACATCTTAACGGTGTTGTAATTTTGGATACTGCGGCGTGTGTAGCGGATCGAGTGACAGGAGGCATGGAAGAGTTGATAAGATATGTGTACTCTTAGTGAGATGAGTGGAAAAAAGTAATAGATTTTTAACTCGTGAGAAAAGGAGTCACTTATGTATTACAATGGGCACCCGAATAAAAATAGATTCTAGCATAAACCTATCATGTGAATTGGCGCAAAGCTTTGCCTTGATCACCCAATATTCAAATAGACTTAGCGCTGTTTCGATTGATAACTAGGTAGGGGTTATATAAAATCAACTCTTTCCATCCAGGTATGATGTGCACAAGTAGCTCCCGAGGTCTGTAGATCCCGAGATCTACCTGTGACTCTAGGAAGATGATGGTCAATATAATTTTACCAGCAGACGAGTTAATTGTAGATCGATACCTACTTAGGTATGGTTTTATCCCTCCCGGAGTGAGCTAGGAGATTATTTAACATTTATATATCAACGACCTAGGTATTGTTTTGAAGATTCATCAATCTCCTCGCCATATGTTCACTGGTGGCCTTGTTAATGCACCGTGACAGTACGATTTGTACATATACAGGGGACTTGAACAATAAATCTCTTCATAATCAAAGAGAAGAGTCAGTATTGGGAGAGGCTTGTCAAAGCTTTACCGAAGAAATTAAATAACAGCTGAAACTTTGCTCAGGTGGAATAATCGGAGCCCTAGAGCAATTAAGATCGTGTTCATGACCAGCGAGCTGTAGTGATTGAGCATTGATATCTGGCTAAATTCTACTACAATTGCAACTTGAAATACTCCAACTTTTGAGCGATACCAAAGCTAGAAAATAGATAAGTATTAAATCAGCGATGAAAGTTAAAATGCTGAGCAATTACCTACGTGCTGGGCATTCACGACTCACGCACGAGTTGTGTTGATATGAGGTCATTTCTGTTGCCAAGAGATCACCATGTGCGGCAAGATCCACATGGCTTTAGATCATGACGAAGCTTAAACTATAGACCTCATATTAATATATTCATTGTAATATTTGTTCCATTATAATGATGTGGCGTGAATGAGTTAATATAATTGAGGAATTATCTTCAAGTTCTATCCTAGAGTTGTTGATGGTCTAGTGTTTGCTTTAACTTATTCAGAATCTTCAGAATAATGATAATCCATACACACACATGTTGGTTCAGGAGAGCATTTTCTAGATTTTAAAGAAAACATTCATATCTCTGATATTTCAAAATGCTCTTTTCCAAAAACAGGCGTTCTTCAATCTTTGTAGACATTTAAATTAAAATGGTTAACATAAAATGTAATTTACAACAGTTCAGACTGACGTGGGAGGGATTGTAAACAGGGTCAATACAGTTACCAAAAGCTATATTTGATCTGATCAGGGCAAGTAGTCAATTGGCCAACAAATAATATAGCATTGTAGTATCGAGGAGCTAGTAGCATATAACAGATACTAGATAGAAAATACATAAGATATTATGAGATAGATGGGATGTAGACAGACAGAACAAGGAGATTAAGACGAGACAGCGCTGGTTTAACCAGGCAGTAGCTTGAAATGAGATCATTCAGCTCACCCACGAAAAAAATATTTGACAGGCGGCGTACACAGATTTGAAATCCAAGTCAACTTCTTCCCCTCCCACTTTTTTCCTTGCCCCATTACGTTGATTTTTTTTTCTTTTCGCTCCTGATCACCAAAGCAATAAGAAATCAGTAGATATGGAAGGTTTATACTCTTCCTACCCCTTCCAACAATGCTTCGATCCCATTGGCTTGATGGCAGACCCCGAAGATGAGACCATGACCGATCAATTCTTCGATGCCGTCGAGTTGATGGGAGAACCCGAAGACGTGGTGATGACCGACGCCCCTCAGTCTTTCGATGCCATCGAGATGATGGGAGATTCAGAAGACATGGTGATGACCGACGCCCCCCAATTCTTCGATCCCATCAACCTGATGGGACATCATGAAGGCTTCATTCCCCACGGCACTTCCGACCTCAAGTGGTAAGTCAAAATAATAAATAAATCTTTTTGTTGATTAAGCCCTGCTAATAATGCATTATTTATAGCCGTATCAACCGCGCGACCACCCGAAAGCTCAAATCGCGCTTGCTCTCCCTCCCGGCCAGCAAGTTGGGCAAGAAGTGCGTGCGGCAGAAGCTTGCATTGCCGTGTGGCAATGAGCTGTCTAAGCTTCGTGTGGAGAATATCAGACTTCGCAAGGCCCACGCATTGATTACTCACGACTTGACCGCTGCTTACGCGGAGGCTCAGCGTGTGAAGCTCTCGACCGACCATGCCGCCAAGCAGGCCGCCAAGCAGACCACAGAGCTAGAGGGCAAGTATGCTCAGCTCTGCACCGAACACGCCGCCAAGCTGGAGGCGCAGCGGATTCAGCTCTCGACTGGGCAGACTACCGAGGTAGCGAGCATACGTGAAAGCTTGCTAAAGGACTTTCAGGCCACGCTAGCAAGAGAGAAGCAGCTGATCTACGATCAAGCTATGACTCACATTGCTAGCCTGGAGTCCAAGCATGCGGCAGAGCTGAAGGCCCAGCGAGGCAGTGATGAGAAGAAGTACCAGGCTGACTTGGAAAGAGAGAAAGGGATTATGCATGCAGAATCCGTGACTCGTCTTGACAGCCTGAACTCTGACCACGCTGCCGAGCTGAAGAAGATGGCAAAGGAATGCCAGGAAAGATTGGATACAGAGAAGAGTATCCAATTACGACCTCTGATCTCCAGCTTAAAGGAGAAACATGTCAACGAGATAAAGAACATGCGGGGTGAATTGAGGCAGAAATATCTCAAGGAGACCAAGATGCTCAAGAACGAGCTTAAGAGGGAGACCGAGGAGCACGAGGAGACAAGAAAGCTTTGGTCAGATGCCTATGAGAAGCTGAAGGCGATGTGGGATGCGCGCGAAGGAGACGGCAACCCGATGGAAGACCTTTGCAGATTGATGGGTGGCCTGTAAGGTTCAGTACAGCCTCCACCTTGCCACATCTGCCTACTCCAGCCTATGCTCCCCCATCGACTCCGACTCCGATACCCTCCCCAGCTATAACAACATGACCTCTTGGAAGCATGGGTGGGGGTTAGGTTGTTGTTGAAGACGTATCTCTCCTTGGGGATCTATGGACTCGCTGCCATCCTTCTTCGCTTCTGGCCAGTATCGTGCGGATTTTGTTTCCCGACTGGCCTACTCTCGCTCCTTCTTCTCCAGCATCTCCCGATATAAATGTATCGCTAGTGTCGTGTGGATTTCGCATCCCGACTAGCGAGGTTAATAGGCATGGACACGTCTGACAGAGTTCGCGAACAACACCACCTGGTCAGTGGTATTCGCTCAGCTTGGCTGCTTCAACAGCCAAGCTCAACTCACTTGACGTCCCTGTCCATGCGATTAGCCTCGATACATCGCCAGTATCGTGCGGATTTTGTTTCCCGGCTGGCCTATTCTCGCTCCTTCTTCTCCAGCATCTCCCGATATAAATGTATCGCTAGTGTCGTGTGGATTTCGCATCCCGACTAGCGAGGTTAATAGGCACGGACACGACTGATAGAGTTTGCGAACAACACCACCTGGTCAGTGTTATTCGCTCGGCTTGGCTGCTTTAATGACCAAGCTCAACTCACTCGACGTCCCTATCCATGTGATTAGCCTCGATACACCGCCAGTATCGTGCGGATTTTGTTTCCCGGCTGGCCTACTCTCGCTCCTTCTTCTCCAGCATCTCCCAAGATAAATGTATCGCTAGTGTCGTGTGGATTTCGCATCCCGGCTAGCAGAGGCTGATACTCATGAACATGTCTGAGAGAGTTTGCGAATAACACCACCTAGTCAGTGGTATATTCGCCTGCTTGCCGCTTCAATGGCAATGCAAACTCCATCACTGTCCTTTTTCATGTTATCAGCCTCGATTCACTACTTGTCCGACATCTCTAGGATCCCTAGTTTCGGCTAGCAAGCTGCTGATAGTCATAGACAAGTTTAATAGAGTTGCGAAGAATACCACCTGGTCAGTGGTATATTTGCCCTGCTCGCCACTTCAATGGCAAGCCAAACTCATCCGACATCCTCGTTCATGATATCAGCCTCGGTCTATCAATTTTCCGTCACTTCTCATGATTTGCAGTTTATGGACGTTGTGACGCAGCATGTATTGATCTCATACTCATCCCATCCGAATACGATTATGTTCCCTTATATTCGGCCATCTGCACAGTTCGCAGCCTCTACAGTACCTTAGCTGTTTCCTTCGGAGATTGCCGTATTGATGCGCTTACCACGTGACCTACACTACTTCGGGTTTAGCGTGAAAGAAAACGGCAAAGCGTCATCCTCTGTGCGATTTGAAAGATAAGCGTCGACATCCTAGAAGTCGCCAACGATATCTGGTATTCTGGTATCTTGGTTTTTTGAGCCCTTTCATCGCTCAGCAGATCACCTGATTGAGTAAGCAAACGATATTATCGCAAAAAAAAAAAAAAAACCCAAACTTACCCCGCGATAAGTCTTCGGTCCACCTGACTTTTTTTTTCTCACGATCAATCTTCCACGTCTTCAACGTTTACGACTTTTGATCCCGAGAAATTTCACATCATTTCTACATTCACGATATTTGACGATAAGCCCACCATGTCGTCGACTTCAAACCTCCCATACACCTGCAACACCTGTCTTGTTGCGTTCCATCGAAGCGATGCACAGAGAGATCATATGCGCAAGGACTGGCATTTATACAACATGAAGCGCCGCATCGCCTCTCTGCCACCTGTTTCTTTGGAAACCTTCAATGAGAAGGTTATTGCTGCCAAGGCCACGTCCACTGAGGCTGCCGCCAAGGCCTCCTATGAGAAAACCTGTCACGCTTGCCAAAAAGCATTTTACAGCGAGAACTCCTATCAGAACCACATCAAGAGCTCGAAGCACAAGCAGCGCGAGGCTCGTCTGAATAAGGAAGGCGACAGCGCCTCGGTCATCAGCTCGGCATTCTCTATTGGCGATCCTGTCGGCAAATCGCATGATGGTGATGTTTCCAAGGTCATCGATGGTCTTAATGCCACTACGATCAACGAAGAAGAGGATGAGGACGAAGATATGGAAACCGCCCCCACCCAAAATGATTTCTCCTCATCTCAGTGTCTCTTCTGCCGGACTGAATCCACTGATATCAACGCCAACGTTGATCACATGTACAAGGTACACGGAATGTTTATCCCAGAACAAACCTACTTGGCCGATCTGGAGGGCCTGGTCCACTATCTATTCCGCAAAATCTCCGAAAACCACGAATGTCTCTACTGTCACGCCGTACGAAACAATGCCGACGGCGCCCGGACCCACATGCGCGATAAGGGCCATTGTATGATCGCATTCGAAGCCGATGAGGAGCAGGTTGAAATTGGCCAGTACTACGATTTCCGCAGCACCTATTCAGATAACGAAGACGAGGACGAGGATGAGGACGAGTCTATGCCCGACAGTGGTGCTGTTAAGACATCTGAAGGCGACGATGCTGGCTGGGAAACCGAAACCTCTGCTTCTTCCATCGAAGACAACGAAAGCAGCTCTCACAGGAAAGCCCCACTCATCTACCAGGATGAATACGAGCTTCACTTGCCATCCGGCAGAAGTGTTGGTCATCGCTCGCTGGCTAAATACTATCGCCAGAATTTGCACAACTACCCTACCGCTGAAGAGCGTGCTACTCGCATGCTTGCCATTCAGAATGGAGAAATTGAGGAAGATGAAAAGCCTCGTGGCCGCAACCACAATCGTGCTCTTGTCACCCGTGCCAACGGCGGCACAGGAATGATCGGTGTCACGGATTCCGAAAAAGAAACCATTCTTGTTACTGAACGCCGTGAGAGAACTCGCGCCCTTCGACAAGAAAACCGTTATGCGGCCCGACTCGAAAGAGCCAACAACTCACAGAAACACTTCCGGGTATGTCAAATGGTTATCACGTTATTTCTCACATACTAATTATTTCTTCTAGGACCCTCTCCTGCAGTGATCGTTTCCAAGTCCGATCGAATTTCGAATGCAAGTCGCCAGTTGTGAAGATATTCGCCCTCCCCCCTTCCTACCTGTCCATCTAAAACAAACCATCAAAATGATAAGATGCAGGACGGGGGGAGGGGCGAAACAAACCAAGGGCATATCCGGGTCAGCTATTGGGTTTAAAATCGAGTGGCCATCCTATTGCAATGAATTCACAGCGACAGGATGGCCAAACTGGCGGAGGGGAGGGGGAAAAATCAATATATTTTCCCCCTCGACACTAACAATATTTCTTACTCATTATCAAATATTCTTATTAAATAGACAAATAGTACTCTTATTCAATTACCTTCCAGTCATGTAATTCCAGGCACGGTTGATGACTATTGCGCTGAGTGGTGATAACGCATATATACCTAGGAACCTTACCACTATTCTCTGAACATAAAAAACCTATCTAGTTGATATCCATCTCTCCATTCGAAAGTGAGTTTATAATTTATGGTTTTCTTTTCTGAGACACGTCGACTGATCAATCTTATGCTAAGCTTTTCGCTTATACTATAACGAGCGAACCGGTAAACTTCAATGATCCTACTACACAAACCGCACAATTTGCAAAGCATAGCGCGCATATCCTATGGGAAATTTCAACTCTTTAATTTCAACAAGCTCATCAAAGTATGAGTTCAACACACGGTCTACACTACTGATATCAATTGAAACAGAAGGCTGTTTCTATGAATCTTTTCAAAGGACTTTTTAAGCAGACTTTTCAACGGACTTCTTCAATGGACTTCTTCAATGGACTTCTTCAATGGACTTCTTCAATGGACTTCTTCAATGGACTACTTCAATGGACTACTTCAAATACGGGGTGGCGTTTCGGATTTTGCTGGTCATGAGTTCTAAAAGACCGCAGTTTCTGGAGAGTGGATTCCTTGATCACTTTTGGCTGGAGATGTTTATCTGTCTATAGATTGACTTGCACGATGTTCGAGATTGTATAAAGCGGAGAGGAGAGTGGAGCATAGTGCAGCCAATGATCGGTGCACAACAACAGATCTCCACAGAACCTCAAATAGCTGTAGATTTCAACGTAGAAGCTACCTGTTCCTAGATGGGCCAAGGTGGCATCAACTCTCTACTTCTTCATACTATTTAACTAACTCTTAACTATAGTAGCTAATAAATTATTTCCCTACTTATATCTAATAATAGATTTAAAACTAAGTTTTGATATTGTAACGGATCATCAAAGGTGGCCGTAATATTATATCCATGTGCGCTACTGTCTTAGTATATAAGTGGTTCGATAGAGGAATATCGCCTATCTTAAATAGCTTTAATAGCTAATTCGATTCGTCCCTCCTGATCAACCAATCTTTGGCTTCGTTGGGAGCGAATTAGTGACATTGTAGGCGGTTGAAAACAGAGGGTTACTAGCGATGAATTTTTCTGTTGTGACCCGACTGAGAATCACGTTACTGTAACCATCCGAACTACTTGCTTACCTAAATAGTTTTAGTTGTAGTGTATTGATCGGTATCAATAATACGACCATGGAAAGCTAGAAGAACTACACGGCCAACAACCACGTACTTTCCTATCCTGGCTACTTTTCGCACTCATATTGATCCTTACCATCCAAAATTTCCAAATGGATTTACTTCAGAGATACCTTCGCTGGTTCACCAGTGATCCTGACAATACAAACTCTGGTGACCTTGATAACATAATGGGTATGTTTGTCCCTGTTTCTATAATCCTGAGATCTTGGTCTTAAACGTGAAACTATAGCGACCAATCCACTTCGATCACCCCGAACGGAGACTGTGCGGCAGCTTGCTGCAATTCTTCAAGAGTCGCGTGTTATCCACGTACGAGGTACTCCGGCATCAGGGAAAACAACACTGGCCGCACTTCTGACAGAGCATTGCCTTGAATCGAATATCCCGGTTGTGACATTCTGTCGCCCAAAATTTAGCCCAAGTGAAGATTACAGGACTCTGATCATCCAAGAGGCCCGAGGACTAGGATACACCCATTTTGATCACGCCTTCGTCTCCGATGGAGAATACGTCCTCATTATTGATGACGGACACACGACATTCAGTGATGAACAGCTATGGTACTGCTTGGTGAAGAAGCAGAGCCTGAGCCCTACCGGACCCCAGATTTGCATTCTCACTTCCTACGGAAGCCCACTGTTTGGCCTCGACGACATCACTTTAGGGAGCCCCCCGGCATTGCTCGGAGCTCAACAACGCGTTTCCATCACTCCGTCACTCCTCAGGTTCTCTCCCAAAATTTCACTTTTCTATAACCATAATGAGTTTGAGGATGTTGTGGATAAGTTTTGCAGCCCTGATCACCAGTACCGAACTCCCCTGTTAAGGCTAGATAAATCCGCTCGCAAGTACATCTTTGATTTAACCTCGGGTCATCCTGGTGCTGTCGATGGCGTATTGAGTATGCTTGTTCAAGTAAGTTCCTCTTGTTTGAAGACTGCGAGTCCATTTTTCTACATCAACACTAATCATAGTCATAGTTTTATCACAGCGAGTTGAAGCATACCGGGCTCATACTGAGCAGTGACCATATAATTGACACTCTGGACGACGAGAGGAATGCCTTTACCTCCGTGATACCGCAGTCGGCCGGTCTTTTCCGATACAGGAATACGCCTCCGCTAAGGCGGTAAAAATACTGCGCCAAGTTTTGGGAGATGGGAAGATTAGAAAAGATCTTAAAAACAAAGGAATCCGGGAATGCTACTATAACGGATGGCTTCATTCGGAGCCATTAGACGTTTGTGGTGAGATAGTTTGTGTTTTCCCCACTTGACTTCACGAAAAGTGAGTAGTATAGTCCTCCATGAATTACTTTGATACTCATCGAGTTAGGTTTGTCGAAAACTACTGGACGAGTACCACACAAGATTTCCCGATTGACCGATTCCCCACCCTGGACAAGCTGTGCCAACAGATCCTATTGTCATTTTCTCCACGAAATTTCACCAATGCAGTCCGAATTGGCACAGCCGCCATGGTAAAGCCGTACGAAGCGGCTTTCCAAGACGAGTTTTACCGGGCATCTCACCAGGTGTTGGGATATGCCATGAATGTGACAAGCGAGTGGTCCTCGGGTGGAAGAGGAAGAATCGATTTTAGGTTCGCCCAAGTCCAATGGGGCGTGGAACTCCTCTGTAATGGCGATCGTCTGAATGAACACTGCGATAGGTTCTCCCCAGGAGGAACATACTGGCCCTGGATCGCAAATGGATCTTTGAAGGACTGGTTGATAATTGACTGTCGAACCACTCCCCCTTGCCCTAAACCAAACGGTAAGAACGTAAGCCATGAATTTGGTTCTTCCATGTCCATCCATCCAGGTCTTCCATGCTAACTGAATCTAAAAGAGCCAAAACTTTGGCGAGCAATTTTTGCTGCTGACTTTGGCTCTGTGCAAGTGTTAGACTGCGAAAATAAGCCACTTTTTCCTCCACTGGCCCTAGCATCCTGAGGCAGTTGGATTCATTATTCTCTTGCTACGGCCTCACGTGCTGTCGGCCATTGTTTTCATGCAGTTTTCTTTTGTGATTTGGAAGGCCTGGTCACTTCAAGTTTTGCAGTGTTGTAACCATGATATCAACCTTGAAAGTCAAAGCTTTGCTCTGTGTCTGTTTCATTCTTTTTACAATAATGATTAGACAAAAACAAAATATGGTCCAAGAATGTTACCGAACAGATGAATACGTATAATATTCGTCAATGTTTTTTGCTTAGTAGTATTCGTATTCGGTGACATGATGACATCCATATAAGGAATCCAGATCATCACTAGGTATTGATCCAATCAAGTCAAATCCCCAAAAGGCATATTAGTTCGTTACTGTGAGGCCGATAATTCCAAGAATAATTAATCCGGCTGATCCAATTCGCAGTCAGTACTCAGCCAACCAGGAGCTTTGACTGGTACAGAACTTGATATATCTGTAGCTACAACTTAATAGCTATGTAATACAATGAGTGATGAAGCCGGCTATAAGATTGTGAAATATTTATAGTAGCTAGTTCCCGAATTAAATGGAAAGTTCAGATCGCCATGTTCATTCTTATAATGATCTTAGCTGAATATTACACAACTTTTCAGTCGAAAGTTATCTCTTAGTATAATTTGATTATTATATAGATTATGTGGTGTCATTAACTAATTGTCATTAAATGATCTACTTATTAATATCAGCTAATAACCACCCTTAAAAAATAAACTATACCAATTTCGGATATTTAATACTGTTTTCATGTCCTTCTTATAACAATCATTTCCAAAATCCTTCAACTCTTGACCTCTTTTCAATGCCGTTCCTCAACTCTACCACAGACCCCAGTCCTGTAGAAAATACTGGGCCTAGTGTACAATGGAGATTCGCCCGGTATCTGTTCCACTGGCTCAAATCGATCTGGAGTTTGTTCACCTGGTGTTTAAGTCTCGCCGCATAGACTTTTAATACTTTTTCATCGACCATAAAATGGCAGACCAGCACTAGACAGAGGTACTAAAGCGACATATTATGTCCGCTTTGACAGCCTTCGAATTTTTTTTCATCGAGGTCCCAATAATCGTCTTTTCGATGGTCTTTTTCACGTTTACGGTTACAGCTGTCCTATTTTGGACTATCATATGGTTTTTGATCATTAGCCCGCCAGCAACCTCTAATTTGAACAATGTAAGATAATCTTTACTCCTTGAAGTTTAATTCCCGAGTGACTAACGTTTCATTCTAGTCTATAGAGAAATTTCCCCTAGACGGCCTCGACATCTCCCTAGTTTCAGATGAAACCTTGATTAAACTCTTTAAAACAGCGCCTGTTCTTCATGGCTACCAAGGAACACGAATTGCGCGCTTATCAGAATCGTCGATCCTTAAAGGTGGGAGTGGTTCATCACCGTGTGAAGCCAGAATCCTTGAGATCATCGCTAAGGCTGAACCATCAATCCGAGTACCTACTATCCATCGCGTGTTGAAGATCAAAGAATGCTTCTATGGTTATAAATGCCTGATTTGGATGGACTTTGTAAGCGGGAGACTGGTCCAGGATTGCTGGGAAGACCTAAGTCGGCGTGAACGTAAGGATATCGCCTCTCAAGTGGCCACGAGTCTCAACATATTACACTCCATCTCGCTACCAGATCAGATACCAGGACCTATTTTGCCCGGCCCAATAGGTCCTTATACATGTTTTGCCCGTGGTACGTTTTTTACCGATGCAGGGGATGGCCCATTTAACTCAACAGAGCACCTTGAGGCCTGGTTTAATCGAAGACTTAAGATCACCCAGAATTTCAAGCAAGCACCTACCGACTCTCCACAATTTCGTTTTAATAAACTGGTTCTAACAAATTTCGATATTGCGCCTCGCAACCTGATTCTTGATTTGAATGGAAAAGTCCGGCTTATTGACTGGGGATTTTCTGGGATATATCCAGAAGGATTTGATTTTGAAGAGATCTCTATACGGAGATCTCACGCACCAGAGTTTCTGGATATGGTTTTGGAACTAATTCCTGGGTATGAAGATTTGTCGAAGCAAATGCGAACGATTCAATACGCCTTGACTACCGCTCAATGGGTTGATTATGATTGGACGAGGGAATAGTGCATCAAACGCATCGATAATCTATTGTTAGCTTTACTAGAGATTTAAAAAGCTGAATGAAAAGGGTGGTACGAAGGAAGAGATCAATTTATCACGCTTTTCATCGATTTTCCTTTGTTGGCTCGAGAGAGGTGTCATACTTCGATTCGAACTTCTCAGCTAGCGGAAGGCAGCCAAAGCTGACCTGAGGGGTTTTGTACTCCCCAAGTTTAATGTTCCAACGGAATTTATCTCCAGCCCCGAAAGGAGCTGCATCACTTGGCTAGTGGCTTCCACTTCCCCTAACTCTCCATCAAAGAACGTCGTACCGCCATTTCAAAGGATGCCGTCCTTTTAGAGCCAGACTTCGCACAACCTAAGCTTCTTATCTTATTGTCAGTCCTGAAAGAAGCCATGCTTCCTGGCTGTTCTAAAGTCTCCTCTTTTTTTGAGTGAGCGCGAATGGACTCGCTCTACATTCGACAGGAGTCATACTTTCACAATCGACTGCTTGTTCTGCGTCTGGGTATCTTTGCTTCAACCCCCAAGAGGAGTCGTGCCATCGTCTCAAGCTTACCCCGGCAACTCGGCCTTCTTAGAAAAAAAAATCTTTGCTGTCCGAATAAAACTGGTTATTTTCAAAGCTGCTGAAGTCTCATCCTGTCCCGTTGCCTTATTGCCCCATCCTTACCTGCCATATCCCGAAGTATGCAGTAGTAGTACTCTTACACTCCAAAATAATATAACTAAAAGATGTAGATCAAGTTTGAAAGACGATAAATTGACCTCAGATCCAGCCATGGCTGATAAGATCTTGATTTTTAGTTGCATTAACGCCCAAAATGTACGCAAAGAGAACTGAAGACGCCAGGTGGGTATCACTATGAAAAAAACATGGAACTCCGCTTCTTGTCCAATCGGTTCCTGGGGGGTTCCTCCTTGTTACGCGAAAAACCAAAGAAACTGCTTTTTTTAGGCTGCAGCTGCGGTTGTTGTTGTTGCTGCTGCGTGGGCTGAGGCGATACTTGTAGAGCCCCGCTACTAGTAATCTGTTGATTGAATCCTGCCATAGATTGGCGCCGAATAGGTGGGGGATGAGAGTGGGTAGGGTGGGACGGCATGATATGTGAAGTCGATTGAGCTCGGGGATCCAATCCACCGGGAGAGGTAAGATATGGGCTATGGCTTTGTGCAGGGACGGGTACTCGCTGAGGATGTTGTGGGCGAGATTGCCAGGGAGGCTGGGGAGTAGGTTGGGGAGGGAGATGAGCGAGGGACTGTGAATACTGGTGGGGGTATGGATGAGGCGGCCCACTTTGTCGGGGTGGTAGATTTGGCCGTGCAGGAGATCCTGGATCGCTGGGGTTCTGCAATCGTGCTTTCTGCTCTTCTTGGCCGTAGATCTCTTGTAACCTTTTGGTCTCTTTGTCAATATCTTCTTGTTGCTGACGCCGGGCCTGTTCCTGTGCTCGTTTCTCGGATGCAAGAAGCTCCTCAGTGCGACGCGCTTCTTCCTGTGCAAGCTGAGTCTGCCGTCCGGGATCATGCAGAGAGGTTGGGTCTGTTTGAATGGTCAAACCTGTTGGTGGATGCTTTGAATGTGGACTCGACTTCGACGTCTGATTAGCCGGGCTCTTTCGGCCCGGCGGCGCAGTCTGCGGTCGACCGTTGATCAAGGCCGGACCGCCTGGAACAATGTGGAATGCCTCCTTCGCAGGGCCAAAGAAGATGTCTCGGATAGCAACAGCGGCTAGTAATAGAACAACCTCTAGACCCTTGAAATCTTCCATTTCAACACGGTAGAGATTCGGTTCGTAAAGAGTGAGCTCACGCAAGCCTTGGAAAAGCGCCACTGTGATATCAGGCTCGCGTGATTTGCTTTTTGTCTCAGGGATACTGGATGACTTGCCATGCAACAGACATGACATGTCCTTTGACAGCTTTCCATCCTTACGCCAGCTGAAGCGAAGCTTCGGCGTCACGTCTGAGATGGATGGGTCAATCTGCGTACGATCAAGTCTTGAAGATGAGGGAACCCGAAATGTACGCTGCGGCATTTCAAACATCCATTGCGCAGGTTTGTTCCATGTCTTTGATTGGTGGCGAACGACAATCTCCTGGTCGGGATTGTAGAGATTAATAGTGAATTCCGTTGGCAGGATAGGTTCTGGAGGCGGTACGTTGCCACCATTGGCACGAATATTCTCTGCTGAAAGGCTTGGTTGGGTCCATGCAGGAACTACGGCCACTTCCCCAAATACGATATCCGGGACGTAGGGGTCGTAAAGGGCAACACCGTAGCGATTTTGTGACGAGGGGGCGGTCGGGTCGAGGGAACGAAGAGTATATGCTGGCTCAGGGTCATTGCCATGATGACTATGATATATCGTATTCTGCTGAGGCGTCTTAGGATTGGTCTTGAGAAAGAACGCTGGTGGAGGTAAGCAATGACGTCGTGTCAAAATGAGTAAGTCGAGAGAACAACTTACTTGGCAAATTTTCATCAATCATTTTTGCCCAAGTTCTAGAAGTGAAGGATTTCTAAGAAGGAATATATGAAAGGAGAGGTTAAAGATAAGGATCCATGGGTTCGAGCTTAAACACGGGGAAGATGATCGACTAAAAATAGGTAGTAAGCCTTAAGTACTTAAGGCACCAAGATTCCGGAGATCTACCCCACTATATTCTAATTCTTTTCAATCTCGCAGGAATCGGCTATGCTTTCGGAATAATACTACAGCCTACGTGTACATAATTAAGAAACCTGGCTGCCTTGCTAAATATAGCCCCGTTCATGATTCAAGATTTACAGTGTATATAGGTAGTTTCAAAAGGAGTTCACATGTTTCGTCTGTCATCAAAAAGCCGAAAGATGAATAAAACCTTGGAATATATAATGTTTCGGATTAGCTAGTATTTCAAGGAAACCTTGGAACAGAGGCGGTTCAGAACTTACCTGAGTTGTCTCAGAAGCCTTGAGATGTCCACTTTCTTCTTCTGCGCCACCAATATTCCCAGTGGGCTGTGACTTTTACTCCGCAATGATGCATAGTCTGTGCTCGCCAATATCGATATCAATTTGTCTAGATCTTCCTGTTCTGCTAGATATGATGTCAGAAAATATGGCAGTGGGAAAGGACCTACCAAGTCTAATATCGTGACTTATTGTTACCTATTGTAGTGGAGACTAGGTCACCTGATATTAGTGGAGATTGTGTATTTAAGCATTCAGTTGATAGATGAGATCAGATCACCTTTACCTTATTGACCCCTTGGTTCTCCTTACTTTCTCCCACATGGCTCCTAGAGGATGGACTCTGACTGCATCTACTATACTCCATGATTTGGCTAGGTTCGCAGACTAGCTAGGACGTCCCTGTTCCCCGTATCACTACTTATTTTGGTTTCAGCTTTAATGAATAATTTTAATTAATCATCCACTTAAGTTTCTATTGACCGCCCAAACTCCATAAAAGTCGGCACTATATTTATATCATGTGGAAGACAGGGCTTGGCAAAATGTGGGTTTTTGAGTAGGAAAGTCCGAACCAACCGTGGATTTGCAAAAATTTGTTGGGAATATGTAACTAACTAGTTATACGCTACCTGTCGGTTCACATGGATCTTGATGCACTATTACTACTACGTTGATACGTGGAGTAATTGTGCGGTGAGGTGTGTTCATTCTAAGTTCCCGCGATGGAATCGGATATGCCCCGATTCCACTAGTTCTATTCACTTCCCGAATCCATTCACTGCAGTAGTCCAGATTCCATTGATTCCAACACTACCTGAGCTTTGCATGTATATAGTATGGATGTGTTGGGTATCGTACAGCATTACTCCGGACACCATTATCGCACCGGGGTCATTATCAGAAATCTTTAAGACAGCGGTCAGTTTCTAATAGATGATAGATCAAAAGTATCCCTGGCGTACCTCGAATTTCATCAGCAACATTGCCAATATTTCCATGATTTTTGCACGAGCCAAATGCTGGCCAAGACAGATGCGTTTGCCCGCTCCAAACCATATGCCGCAGCGTTCCATGAGCTTTTGCTGATCCTGGCCTGCTTCTAGCCATCGTTCAGGGCGAAACACTACAGCATCTTCGCCATATACACTCTTATCCAGATGGATAACTCTTGCGTGGCACCCCACTGTGATTCCCTCTGGGATTTGGTGGCCAGATACTTCCATTCCTCCCTTAGGCACAACCCGATCCAACTCATCTGAATTAGCATCGCGCAACGTAAGCCCTCTTTGATTACAGCGTCCATGTATGGGAGTTTTTATAAATTTTGGAAGCTCGGGGGATAGGCCAGTATTCCTTCTTGGAAGGCCTGATCAACCTCTTTCTTCAGGCACTGTAGGGTGGCTGGACTTTTCAATAAATAGTAAATTGTCCACGCTAAGCTGATACCAGTGGTGTCTGATCCCACAAGGATTGTCGAGAAGGTCACCCTCACAACTCTTTCTTCAGAAAAGATAGCTGGTTTCTTTCCTCGAGCGTTGAGATAAACATCTAGAAGTTCATCATTAGTCTCTAAGCCCTTCTCTTGCTTCTCTCTTATCTCTTTCCGTAATTTCACACGACTTAAACATATGCTAACTAGAGCGCCACTTGGCCCTATCACCAAGCAAACTCTTGGCTCGCAATAAGAGATAAGAAATTGACCGTTATTTTGACAAATAGATTGTTTGTGGATGGTCAAGAATAGAGAAAGAAAAAGTTCCGATTGTTTGATGGTTTAATTACTAGTTTCTAGAAGCTGACCTTCCCCAAGGTCGATATTTATATTGCCCATGAGGTCTAAAGGGTCGGCCACCTTCTCGAACCATAGCTGTTCAAGGCCTCGGGCTCAAATCCCGATATACTCTGGAATTTATACTGCTGATAGGTGAGCAAAGAGAACTGAACATATCAACGCATATAGAAAGATAAAAAACCCACCAAGTCTTGCCAGACCTCCTAGTCCCGCCAGTTTCTGTGCTATTGCAAGTAGACATGGGCATCGGGTCGGGTTGGGTCAAAATCTCACACTTAACCTAACTCCATTAAGCAAAAGCTGATGTTGACTAAGCCCCAAAAACAAGTTTGTCAGATATTTTTCATATCAATCTTGGAAATAATTGCCTGGAAATTCCGAATATGTAATTATTTTTTATGTATTATATGTGGTTGCTGAGCTACAGGTTTTCAAAGTTTGCAAGTTCTGCGTATATGAGGTCAAAATTCAGCCTAATTCAGACTAGCGCTAAAAATACTGGTCCAGTACACCCCACTAACTACTTGAGGTCCTAGTTTTAATGCCTTACTGTGTAGATAAATTTCACTATAGGAATTAGTTACGCACGATAGAGTGATTGATCATAACCTTATAGGCGAGCTAAAGAGGTTAATCATGATTTATTGGAAACCCCATTATGAAGTTTCCTGCCGCTTCTTCCCCGCATTTCAACCATCTCATCTTGGGTTCTCATTATCTGCAGGTGACCATCTCACTGCATATTTCTATATGCAGACGTCAATCTTACTGCAGATTATGGTCGCCGTCCAGATATCCCTTATTTAGTTTCTACTGATAACTACGTGATAATGCTAACCTAATTAGGTTAGATTATTGTTGGAATATCGGACAAACGACATCCCAGTTTAGACTACATCACGAATCCCTGTTCAGAGTGCATCGCAAACGACAACCTTGAACAATATGCATTTATAATAGTGATGTCCGGTCTTTACCGACTCTTCTGTCTTAGACGATGGAACACATTCGTCTCAGACAGAAGAGCAACTTATACGATAAATAGCTAGTCCTCACTATGAATGAAAACCCAGATTTTACAACCACTTCAAAAGAATACAAAGATATTATAGGGGCGTAAAGCGTTTCCTGTAATAGGTGTTAGAAGTGGGCCTTAGCCTCTCATCAACCTTATTGAATCCACCGGTGTACCGACAATACTTAAGTCCTTAGTATGATCTAGCTACATATAGGTATGAAATATGATAGTTTCTTCTCTGGTATATAAGACTTCGATAATGATTTGGTGCCCAAATTGCCACGCCAAGCTATGGACAGTACTCTACATCGCCAATTTGCCCGCGCCACTCAAAATGAACGACATCCAGGATCTTTCTGAGATTTTCTGGGTCCATGAGACTGCGGGTACTATCAGCTAGCCAGGCCAAGTGCGACTTTGGAGAAGATCGATACAAATGGTATGATATGTCCATCTCCTTTCGAGGTCTCGTAATTTGAGGTTTTTCATCTCCGATGGTGCCGTATCCTTCCAGAATCTCAAGGAAGTCTTGATATTTACTTCCTGACAGCGATGCATATTCACATTTTGGATAGTCTTCCACCTCATGCACTTCAAGTACCAATTCGAACAATTTATGGTGAGAAGCCATAACAGCCCAGTTGCAAAAGCTCATTACCACCATAGCGCTGATTCGTGAGGACTTAACAGCTCTATAAACCTTTTCCAGACAATCAGCAATAATTCCATCGAGATACTGGCAGAGGCAACCTCGGATTCCTCTAAGGACCGTGTTTTCTCTCTGCTTGCGCATTGTATCGCTGCGAAAGTCGATTAAGTCGTTGATGAGACTACAAACTTCCGCAAGCTCCATATAATCTTTCTCGGATATTTCCTCGCCAGTGGCTATTGATGCTGCCATAATACCAATATATATGGCCACATCAATATGTCGATGAACATTCATTCCGGTCATACGACTACCATATGTGCCGGCAGGAATTCTTGGTTGGGCATGGTCACGAAAGTACCCAAGAACGCGAAATTGGATGGTTGAAGCGACAAGATTATCAAATTGCCAGTCAGTTAGAATACCAGCAAGGTTGCAGAACTTCAGGAAGGCCATGGCTGCCCCTCCAACACCCTGCAGTAAGGAAAGTGTCTTCTCATCTGCTGCCTCACAGTAATCTCCAATCAAGACATCATTCCCTGAATCAGCTATGGCTCTCTGGAGGCCATCATCAAGGAAGCCAGCTCCACAAGCCATCGCAAAGAAGTATTTAGCGTCCGCGCAAAGCTTCACCTGTTCATGGGTGGGGTATAGTTGGTTGTAGGCAGTAATACCAGTATCACAATGAGGATTTGGCCTTCTGTCAGGAGCTTGCAATTTAGGAACTCTATCAAATGTTCCAAAGCAAGTATTAGGAAGGGGTATTTGATCCGAGTTGGCCAATGCTAATTCCAACATAGCATCTTCAAGTTTCTTGGCGCTGAAGAGGTCACGAATATTCCATTCTTCTCCATGTTTATTGACCACCTCTGCCGCTTTCATCATTTTGCCGATTGCCTCGCACTTGCTGAGTTGAACCAACGACTCTATACTAACACCTAGGGGTGGTGGGTAGAGTCCAGTACAATTACAATTTGTCCGGGGATCGTAATTTTGGCTGAGAACGTTGGTTTCATCGCAAGATGGAGGGACGCTGCCTCCGAGAATGATATCTTTGGTCTGAAGCTTTCTTTTGAAGCTAGTAACGGCTTGATCTAGGGTGTGCTGGTCAAGGAGTTTATGGATATTTTCGTCGCGAAACATGGTAATGATTTCATCAAAAGGTAGAATGTCATCGTTACTTGTGAGGTCGTTATCAAATGGTAGAAGCCAAGAATCTACCCATTTCAGGTAGACAGATAGTCGTGTATTATCAATGGCCATGCTTGTATATGCCTATTCCATATTCTGGTACCTAGGTAATACTTTCTCGAAACATCTTCTGAGTCCCACCGAGGGGAATGGATTTATATATCCACTACCCCTTATTTTATCCACTGCCCCTTATCTTTTTATACTTTCAAACTCTTAACAGAACCCAAGGTAGACGATGGGCTAAATCACGGTGAGTGACGTAGCTCTTCTTATATAAAGCTCCTTATTAGGTCCTACACTTTCTCGATCGTCTCTAGGCCATATCGAGTTGTGATGTGCAAGATTAGGCTTCTTAATTTAGCTTAATATCCACTCAATCAAGGATCCAAACTTCAGGAGACTTTCAAAGATCCGAAAAATTCAAGATTGAACGAAAGACGATGTTGGAATGTCAAAGGTCCGATACGGGGTTTATGCTGTACGTAAGCAGGATCCATAATGTGTGTATTTAAGCGGGATTTCATCCCTAGAAATAGAGTATTATGAACCTAGATAAGTAATGGTTGAATAAACAAGTCTAGGTACTCGGGTAAAAGAGCTGATAATGGAACTGGAAAGTGTGATTGGTTCGCTATAGTCTACCAATATTGAGGACTGATAAAAGTTGGAAAGCCCACCCAAGTATAGAAAAGGTCTTAGTGGGCATTTTCCACTTTGGTCTCGGAAATTTCTTTTCTTTTCTTTTCTTTTCTTTTCTTTACTTTTATGTCACGGTGCCAGCTCAGACGACTACTGATTGATTAGATAGTGCGGGCCACGTGACCCGCAACCTCATGTAAACTCAGAACCTTGTCTGAATGTAGCTCTTCAAGCTACGTCTTCGTCTTAGCCTGCCAGTTAATGCAATACTGTCTGTCCAGTTCTAGTATAATTCTACTCACCTGCCCGCCCCGTGACACTACGTAGCTTCTACCCTATACTAGAGCTGCCGCCCGCCAGCATGCCCTGTCCTGAACCGCCCTTGAACGCCGATTCTATTGAAGAATTCCTGGCTCACGTCCAAGAACACCCCGACGTCTAGGTGCTGTACCTCCGGAATATGGAGGGCTACTCTCAAGAAATTGAGAAAGATAACCAAACCCTCCGCCAAGCCGCGACTGAAAGCGAGGAGACTCGGCACCGCAGGGAGGGCGTTATTAGATATCAGGAGGAGCGCATCAACAGCTTATACGACAAGATTGTTGGGCTCGAAGTCGAAAAAAATCAGATCCTGAACTCCGCCCTGCCTGCCGTACGAACCCCCCCCCCCCCCCCCCCCCCCCGACCGAAAACACTCCTGCCCAAGGTATTGAGAACCTAGCAGATATCCCTACGCGAGAACTTGCACCGACTCCTACCCTGGGTCCCCGGTCTGCCTCCCTTAGTGAAAGAATCCCTGACCCGAAAGAGTTTGATGGAACTCGCAGCGACCTCCGCCGCTTTACGCAGCAAATCCATGGCAAGATGAACGCGAACTAGGACCGTTTCCCGACAGCTACTGTCAGACTTACTTATGTCGCGGGGAGACTCACTGGTAAAGCGTACGAGCTAGTACTGCCAAAGATCTCGTACGGAGTTCCCCAGTTTATAGACTACCCGCAAATGCTTGAATATCTCGAGAAGGCCTTCGGCGACCCTGATAGAGTCCAGAATGCCCAGAACCGCTTATACCAGCTCCGCCAGAAGAATAACGACTTTAACACCTTCCTATCCGAATTCCAGCGTTTAGCCCTAGAGGGCGAACTACACGAAGAAGCTCTGACTCCCCTCCTGACATAAGCTATCTCGAACGAGCTCCAGGATATGCTCTTGCATAACCCAGCTCCGTCCCGCCAGTTTCATAGCTACACAGCCCATCTTTAGTCGCTCGATAACCGCTTCCGCCAACACCAGCAACAGACACACCGTGCCCGCCAACCCACGCCCTTAGGTAGTACACCCCGGGAGAAAATCGCAAGGACCTCGTACGCAGCTGCCGCGACAACGAATATACTACCTAGGACCCTGACTCCCGCCCAAGGCCCTAGCGAACCTATGGATCTCTCTAAGGCCAAGCTCACCCAGCGTGACCGGGGGGAGTGCTTCAGATGCGGATCCAAGGATCATCTAGTCCGGGACTGCCTGCTACCTGACACCCGCCCCCGTTCCCCTGCCCGCCTATATTCTAGCCGAATAGAGAACCCCGCCCAGGCTGACTCCGCTGCCTACGCTGAATCTGCTGATTCTGACTACTCTGTACTCCAGCCAACAAATGGAGTGAGCCTGGCCTAAATCGCGACCAGGTGAAACTCAACCGCGTGCTCCGCCTATCCGCAGCTATGCTGGGAGACTCTATCGAAGAAGAGAACCTCCGCGCCGACGCTTTTATCCTGCCTATAACCCTGACCCAGAAAGAGACCCAGGTCCCTACATACACTATAGTAGATAGTGGTGCAGAAGGGAAGAGGTTCGTCGATGAAGATTGGGCCCGAGACCAGAGCCTTATATTCGAAACCCTGAAAGAACCTATCCGCCTGGAGGCCTTCGACGGCCGAGAGCCCGAGAAGGGCCACATCACCTATTTCGTACAAATGAACATGAGGGTAGAGAACCACTACGAGAAGAAGGCCCTATTCCTCGTCACGAAAATCGCTCACTACCCTGTTGTACTAGTGTAAGGGTTTGAGTCCAATGCGGTTGGGCTACCGTAAACAAGAGAAGAACTAATATGAGAAGGCTACCAGAGGACGGAGGTGTGGGTGTGGTATCCCATAGGGCTCGATTCCACTAGGGTAAATTGGGGACAAGAACAACTCTTGAACTCCTTCAAGAGTCCAAAGACCTCAGAGAGTTAAATACATCAGGAAGTGGCGAATCTCTAACTAGCTTATCCGGGGAACCCCTGCTTCCCTGGCAGCTGGTTCAGCCAGCCAGCTTATGTAGAGAGTCCATTGCCTCTCTCAGCCTTCTTGCAACCCACGCCGTTACAACTAGGCCTGCCTTGGCTTAAGGTCCACGATCCTAGTATTCATTTCGCGAACCATACCCTCGAGCTAAATAGCCTATACTGCCAGAAGTTCTGTAACACCCCCAGTAGGGCCCCGAAGATCCGAGCCCTGCATGATGTCCCGAAGAAAACCCGCCCTATAAACCTGCCTGATCGCCCCTTTGTCCTGGAAGGCCTAGATATACGGTCTATAAGCCTAAGGGCCTGCGCCGCGTACGCCCGAAGCGAGAAGGGCTATCATTTGTTCTCCGCGTCTATAGAGACACTGGACGAGATACTACAACCGAAACTAGACATGTGCATGGGTTGGGTATGGGTCAAAATTCATACCCATACCCAACCCATCAGGGGTAAGGTAAACCCATACCCATATGTGTATTTTTGATGCCTTAATGCCTGATTTTCGCCTCAACCTAAACTAAATTAGGGTAATTAGTGCCTTAGTGCCTAATTTTTGCCTCAATCTAGTACTAACTAGGTGACAAATATCACGTGAAATAAAAGTCTTGGCAAAAAGATGGGTTTATGGGCTGTGGGTTTTACTTCAAACCCATACCCAACCCATATGGGTTTTGGGTAAAATTTCTGACCCATACCCAGCCCATTATGGGTTGGGTTGGGTTGGGTATGGGTTTACCCAACCCAATGAACATGTCTAGTTACCAAACCGAGTCAGCAGAAAGATCCCACCGGATCAATCAATGGAATATAAGAAGCCTCAAGATTTAATTGGAAAGAAAAGTTAGCATGCTTCTATGTATCATGTAGGGATTGTACTCAGCCAAATTTGATTGATTTACTTGGTTCAACGTCGGATGGTATCCCATTGCGGAGGTGATGGTGTACTGTGCTCTGTTGGATTGCTGAATGAGAAACAGATACTAGAATGATTTTGGGCATTATATAGATTTTCAGTTCTCGTGGAAACAGCAACAAGGCCTTTATTCTACCAAGTCATTTGCCATGTTTTTGTCAGGTTAGAAATCGTCTTTGATTCGAGTTCAATGGCCATTGTAAGAAAAGTTGGTTGAAAGAAAAGACTTGTAGCTAAAATAGTACACAATAGCAACTCGAAGCACAGGTCTTTGGTAATCTTTGTTGTATTCTTGGAGACAAGAGATGACAATGCGATAATACACAAATGAGACTAAAACAGTCAACGATAAAGAGCAAGGTGTATCTAGGTATGGTTAAGAGTAAGAACTGCGTTTCAAATGAAGGCTTTTCTTTCCTTCTGTGTTTGTCAATGTGTCAGATTTATCTTTATCAACGATATAAAGAGTCAAGATCTATATAAATGTACACCCTCGGACTACACCGAATTCTGTGCCTTGGGGGATCTTACTGGCTTTGAGGAATCCGATGGTCTTGCTTCTCAGCAGCACCATTCACGAAAGCCTGAGCACCAGCTATCTTCTTAGCAAGATGTTACTTCTCCGCAATAGCCTCTGCCTCAGCGGCATACTGATCACTCCAGCCCTGAGTGCCACGCTTGTAAAGAATTCTCTGCTGCTCACGGTCTAAAGTCCGGCCCTCCTTTCCACGACGCTTCCGCGATTCAAGAGTCTCAACAACGGTAGCGTTCTCGCCCTCCAATAGCCTTCCCTGCAAATCATATTTGTCAATCTCTTCGACGAATTCGTAAGATCGCCATTCCGTATTCTTCCAGCCAGTACCTGGATGGTAAAAAAGGCGTTAGTCATTGTTGTTGAATCGTAAATACTCAGTTCTGGCTTACCATGATATAAAGTGCTGTCCTCCCAATCTTGAGTGAGATAATGCAAAAGACTTCCGTGAGTAACAACAATAATCTCCTTCTCAGGACGGGCTTTTAGCCAAAGGCGGGCGTCGCGTGCGCGCTCATCAATGGCCTCGTTGGTTGCCGCGTAGCGGCCAGTCTATTGACCCCACCCCCAAAACCGTTAGCTACAGCTCATTTAAGAGAACATGAATAGTGACTTACGTTACTGTTCCAACCCTCTCGAACTAAATTCAAGTTAACGGGCTTGTCCGCATACTCCTCTCGTAGATCCGAAGGATCAGTACCTGTATCGCAAGGAAGATCTGATGTCTCTTGCAAATCTGACAGGGCAATAAGTTTCATTTCAGGGTGAGTGGCGAAAACAGGTTCAAAGCTCTTGAGAGCAGTGTCAATTGTGCGATGCAGCGGCGATGCGGTCACCAGATCAATCTGGGTGTGGTATGGGAAGTCCTCTTGCAGCTTGCGGCATTGCGCATGGCCGAGGTCTGTAAGGGTAGGATCGGGAAGAACAAAGTTCTCTGCACTGAGATTGTGGAAGCCCTAGAGATAATGCATCAGTCTATCTGAGCAAATAAAAAAGTGCTCGAATCGTTAAACAGCTATTGACGTGGGGTACACGCTATGTACAGCCTTGCAATTGCCGCAAGCGACGTACCTGAGCATGGCGAACGCAATGGATGATGGGAGGCATGTTGTATGTGAATCAAAATATCACTATTCTAATTCCAGAGAGGTCAGTTCTCCATTGCAAAAAGAAAAAAAAGAAAAAAACCAAAATAGATCAAGAATGACTCTTCTCGGATAAACGTGGGGTAGAACGCCATCATAGATAGTTTCACGGATTCAAGGGTTGAGCAAGAGCGACTCACATCAATTGATATTTGGAATTTGCCCAAATGAATAGAAAAATGGCTTAAATGAGAAAGAAATAGTCAACGCATAAAATACCCAAATTGGATAACGAGGTAGGTGTCCAAGATGAGTCAAACGGACCGAGCATCACTCCGCGCTTGCTTCAGTCTCGCCACCTTCAGGGCACTTTCTCCACATAGCGAAGCCCCACGTGGGACCTTTAATTTATCTAAGCTCAGTAGTATGCAGTTTCCATGGTTATTTCTTCGAGATTTTACAATTAGAAGTAGAGTTATAATTGTTTGTAATGTCTGCGCTAGTTTTATCTCGAAATAAAATGGGTATAGATCCGTTTTCTGGACTTGAATAAATACTTCTCAGGCAACACCGAAACCTTGAGCATTTTCAAGTGCCTTATCTAACTTCTCGATCAATGCTTCTTGAGAAGAATATTCTGGCAGCAGCAGACGACCGAAACATGTCAAGCTCGTTGGAAGACGCTGAAAGGTAAAATTAGTTAGTATGAGTAGAATGATACTGGTGAGAACATATATAACTTACCAAATCTCCGACACCGTTTTTCTGAATCACAAACATGATACTTGATATACCGTTGACTGGGATTCGGTCACTCGCAGTGACGAATTCAAGGAGTCGCGCCTTCTTCTCGGCTGGGTATTGCTTGACAACATGCCAGAAGTCGCGAATGACGCGGTGACTGGGCCCAAATCCGCCCTCATACCGCACATGATTCTCGAGCTCTTTTATATCGATCTCTTGGATACCCTCGACGACCGTCTTCAAAGCCTCTGGAGTAAAAATAGACAAGGCTGAGCGGTCAAGACAAGTATGGAAGCCCCGGACGAAGGCTTCAAATTGGGAACGAATTGACTTGTCCGTCAACCAGAAGATGTAGTCTTTGACAAATTGATGTCGGTTCTGGTTAGTCACCAGGGCTGCTTCCTCGGAAGGTGCGGGTGACTGGAGTGGCAAGGACTCGTGAACAGGCCACACTGCATCACGACGCACTCTCTGCATATCGACTGTTTTAATTTGGCCAAAAGATTCAAAGCTGATCTCATAAGTTCGCAAGAATATATCACCGACATCGCCATCTGACCACTTTAGAAGAACCTCAAGACCCTGGACGAGTTCCGGCCATCCGTCTTTGATGTGGTCCAAGTGTTTCACCTTCAGCCCCAATAGCTTCCGATAGAAAGCAACCGGGAAATTGATTGGGAGAGTAAGCCCATTGTATACTGCAATAGATATCAACGTCCCAAGAAGTTCGAATTTGTACAGTGGTTCTAAAGAGCAGGGGTAAAACCAGGAGATGCGATGACGGGTATCCATGGTGAACATTCCGTGAGACGGATCGAGTGCTTCTCTCATGATAACACGAAAGAATTCCTGCTGGACGCCTCCGTGATCTAACCCTTCCTCTCCCTCATCCATGCCCATCTGGACCTTGAGTGGCCGCATAAGTTCTCGCTTTTCTCGCCGCCACAGCTGATCCATGGCATCTGTCAGGGTTCTGTCTCTGCGGACGACAAGAACAAGGTAGGTTGACATAGAAACCTTTAAGCGCTCAAGCAATGCAGTATCGTCTCTGACGGAAATGCTGCCGAAGGCAGTCTGAGTGACATGTCTCGTTGTCGTCATTGCTGCCTCGAAGTACTTAGCCATTGCAGAATAGTTCAAGGCTCGGAAATATATGACAAGGAATGAAGGTGGGAATAAAAAGGGGTATGATAAGAGATGCATTGTGCGATTGTTTGACAAGTTGCCCGCCCATGCGACGGGCATGTCCAGAGGGTCCAGTCGCTCTGCAAGAATTGGTGTTTGGAAAATCTCTGGAAGCAAGCCAAGCCGATTTCGTTCTTTGTACATCAGGGCCATTATCTGTATGGCACCGCCGGCAGCACTGCTGCGGGCCATTTCAGGGTTGCCATCCCACTCCCGCAAGAGAAGAGTTCGAAGCCACTCGACAATCAGGGGAGCAGGGCCAGGGGTTTGGCTAGATTTGCCTTCAGCTCCAGAAGACTCAAGGTTATGATGTTCACTAAGATGGTCCATGATGCGGTCCAAGACGCTGACCCGTCGTTGTTTTGGGAGATCAAGACCATAACCTTGGCGAGCCTTCAAGATTTCATGATATGCAAGCCGGGCAGTAAGAGCGCGAACGAGGCGGTTGACTAGACGAAGAGCCAATTCATGGTCAAGCCGATCAGTCATCTCCACAGCCTGCTGGGCCTGCTCAGGCGACAGTTTTTGCAGGTCGGCAGATGATGCAACACCGCCAGCGGCACGCATTCGAAGTAAATTATGCCAGGTTCGGACATCAAGAGCTGGGACTGAGCTGACCAAAGTAAATAGAGCGACAGTAGCGATGTAGGCTGCGTCTGCGTCTGACAAATGCTCATCATTGAATGCCTCGGACATTCTTCGTACCACAGGAGGGGCGGCTGTCGGGCCAGTCATTATAGAGCTACGCGACGAACGGCGCGAATGTCGAGCAGAGGAAGTAAAATCTGCTGGTGGTAAGAAAAGCTTATCCAAAGCGCTCCACACGCTGTGCAACACAATATCCCATGGGCAAATCGTATGGAGGAGCTGGAGGGAGCCCAGAAGATTTGGGACATCAAGACAACTTATTATCGTGGATTGCTTGGAGGTGTTCAATCCCGTTTCATCCGTCCCAAAAGAGCGTAAGATATGTCTGGAGCTGCTGAAAACGAAAAACACGCTTTGCGCAATAAATGGAAATACCTGGCACTGGCGAGGAGTGGCAAATCTCCATTCAGGATTATCGAAACCACCCATTGACTGTATGCGATCAAGCTCTTCTTTCCAGATTTCTGAATCTTCCTGTGATTCAATCATAATCTGTCTCAGACCATCAATGATGTGAGGATTCAAATGTGTCACTGTCTGAGCTAGAAATGGAGGGTCAGGCGACTGACGACGGAGTTCATGTTTTGCTTTGCGATTACTTGGAGAGTCGATGTCAACGTTGGACTTCGGGAGCGGGACGCGAGGATTCACGAGACTATCCTCAACGAGATTCTGATTCAAAAATTTTCCACTATCCCAGGAGACGCGCCGTTGATTTTTGGACCGCTCTGGTAGACTTGTGTTTTCCACTTCCCCAATTCGTCCACGATGCTTTTGTGGCCGGTGTTTCAAGGCCGGAGGAGACGGCAAAGGGGTAAATTCGCTAGTGGGGAGATGTGTGTTCATGGCGAATTTTTGGGGTTTGTATTCAGATGACCTTGCTTCTTCGATAGCGGAGCGTGAGGATTGTCGCCAATGATCTACTTCTGTGATCGAGAGTCGCTTGACATGCTGGTTTTGAAATTTGACTTCGACTGCCGTAGGCTGGGGTCCGGAATTCCGTGACGATGGGGTACGAGGTTGCGGATTCTGTGGATGCGATGTGGGCGTTCGTCGTACTGGTTTTGGATTCCTCGTTTCATTGCCTTGTTGCCGTTGTTCTTTTTCTGTATTCGAAGGTATGAGATCGGGATTCGGGTGTGATAAAGACTGCCTCGCTTTCGATGGGAAGGTTTCCGTGGTTCGACGTAGTGGAAGCCATTCAACCATGCGTAATGAAATAGTATCGAAAAGGTTTTGCGTAAAAGATTTGGGGTCTTTTAACGGCTGTTCAGCCGCGCAGTCAAAATCATGGAGATAGTAGGCACTTGGGTAAGTGATATTCTGAGAAATTTCTGGCCCTGCAGCATTACTCGCAAACCCCGAGGCATCTGCCTGGGAGATCTCCATTCTGTTCTTGAAAGCATTTCCGCCGTTACGGTTATAATCGGTACGAATGGAGCCACTTTGCTCCTCGGTGGCGTTGGCAGCAGCTGCCTGGGCTTGAAAGGCGCGGGATCTTTGAAGGGAAATCCGGTGGTAATCATAGACTGTTAACTCAGATGGTAGTCTTGGGTTATTGCAGCATAAGCCACTTTCGGCATCATCCAGGCTAGCGAGGTAGCAGGCCAACGTTCGCGCGCTTAGTTCCGTGTATCGGCGATAGGGGCCATCACTGGTTGTCCGACGACGACTGGCGCAGGTTGGGGTACGACATCCAGGATCGTCACATCCATGAAGCAGCTGGTTTTTATATCTTTGTCAAAAATACATTAGTTTTATCCCGTTCACTAGTGGTATCAACGGTCCGTTTAGGCGCGACGACTGACCTTCTAACTAACGTGTTATATCGTCGCCTACGCTCATCTCGATACCATGGAAGTACTCTTGATGGATCGGTAACTTCAACGGTGTTCTCAACGATTGATTCTGGTGCATTTGGTGGAACTTTGGAACGGTAATACTGAGGTCGCTCAGCAGTGGACCGCGCAATGTCTGGGGAATCGAGGGAAGCCCCGCGGAGCCTTGTCATTATAAAAAGGGTCGTCGCATGCCGGGGCAACCCAGTATCAATAATAAATCAGTAAGATCTCAAGAGGGAAACAAAAATAAGATGGCTTAGAGGGGGTGTCAAGTTAAGAACCAACAGCCTCAGCGCCGTTCATCCTGAGAAGTGGATACATTTGGCGTTGCTAACGCACGGTCCACCTACATACGTGATTCGCCCTCACAAGGAACCTCTTTCCGTCATCTCTCCCCTCCTCCCAAATGATGTTACTGACCTCGCAGCAATGAACTCGTCCTCATCTCGTATTCTGGCTATTAGGTCGCCGTTGCTTGGTCTGGCTAAACTTATATTCCTCGGTCTTTATAATCTTCCCCTTACGAAGGCGGCACCCGTTCTAACAACCGGCTTTCTCTCCCGTCAATACCTATCTGCATCCGAATCCCCTCGCGAACCTAGCGATCCGAGTCTATGGCTCTATCTAGGAATCTCGGCGTTCCTTGTGTTGAGCGGTGGAGCATTTGCGGGACTTACAATTGCTTTGATGGGACAGGATGAAGTCTATCTCAGGGTCATTCAAACCTCTGGCGAAGAATCCGAAAAGAAGAATGCCGCCAGTGTTCTCAACCTACTGCAGCGTGGCAAGCATTGGGTTCTCGTCACCTTGCTGCTAAGTAATGTTATAACAAATGAGACATTGCCAATTGTCCTCGATCGGACTCTTGGAGGTGGATGGCCTGCCGTACTCGGAAGCACTGCCCTGATTGTTATTTTTGGAGAGGTCGTTCCTCAATCAATCTGTGTTCGCTACGGTCTACCCATCGGAGCCTGGATGGCACCATGTGTGCTGGTTCTGATGTACATTATGTCACCTGTCGCCTGGCCTGTCGCCAAGCTGCTTGATAAACTTCTTGGAGAGGATCACGGCACAGTCTATAAAAAGAATGGATTGAAAACACTCGTCACTTTGCACAAGACACTAGGCAAAGCCGGAGAACAACTGAACTCCGATGAAGTGACGATAATCAGTGCAGTTCTTGACCTCAAGGAAAAATCGATCGGATCAATTATGACACCAATGGAGTATGTCTTCACCATGTCCACTGACACCGTATTGGATGAACGTACCATGGATCACATCCTCTCCCAGGGATTTTCTCGCATCCCAATCCATGCTTCGGATAACCCAAATAATTTTGTTGGCATGCTGCTGGTGAAAATGCTCATTACCTACGACCCAGAAGATTGCAAACTTGTCAGTGACTTTGCGCTAGCAACACTGCCTGAAACTAGACCTGAAACCAGCTGCTTAGATATCGTCAACTTCTTCCAAGAAGGCAAATCTCACATGGTACTTGTTTCTGAGTATCCGAGTGAGGATCGTGGTGCTCTCGGAGTGGTCACCCTTGAAGATGTCATTGAAGAATTGATCGGTGAAGAAATTATCGACGAATCCGATGTCTTTATTGATGTCCATAAGGCAATCAGGCGAATGGCCCCGCCACCATCCTTCATCCGCCGTCGCGATTCGGTCGAGGCACCTCCTACCCGATTCCAGTTGCGCACGCATAACGCCGACAATGACGGTCTACCTGCATCTGAGGTATGGATCACTGAAAGGAGTAGCAAAGATCGCATTCGAGAACAGTTGAGGCATCTAGGTCCTTCCAATCTTGCGAGTCGACCCCGAGAAACTCGGTACCATGCTGTGAAAATCAAGCGCAACCCCGCTTCACCCTCTATGTCTCCTTTAATAGAAGGGCTACAAGCTTACACAGATACACCACAACTCTCTATCCCAGATGTAGTTCGTGAAGAGCATGAGGGTGAACTGTCTTCTAGTCCGATCCGCAAAACCAGCAGCAGAGATGGTAGTGCCACAGATTTCACTAACTATGAAGCAACTCGCAGTGGCTACATCACAGAGCATGTTGTAGACGTGAATGGCATTCAAAAAGTCGTGCTCCATGCAAGTGGAACAAGTTCTTCCGAGGGAGAAACTCGAAACTCGCCGCCTCAGTCTCCTGTGAAAAATGATACCCAGAAAGCTACCAACAAGAAACGTCGCAATAAGAAGAAGCGTGGGCAGAAATCTTCTGTTGATAGACCCACGGAGCAGCTGCCTCTTCTAGAATCACCAAATGACATTCGTGGCGACTAATGTCCTTCACTTGCATGGCCTCTCTCATTTGGCAACACTATTCGGGGGACCATGCTAATCCATACCTCTTCAGATCAACTGACATGATCTCTCCCCCTTTCCCCTAAATCTCAAATCTTTCGGTGAAAAGTCTCATTTTATTGATGTATCGATCTCTGTACTGCAATGCATAGCCTCTTCCCCAACAAACAAAATCCCACCCTCCAAAGAGAGGCTCAAGTGTATCTATATAATAGTTTTCTTGTCTGGATGCTTCTTTGTATACTTCTTGTGAAATCTGCTATCAACCCATTGATACCACATACCTGGCTTTTTTCACTCAAATCTGGCTTCATGATATACCTAAAGATATGTCAGCAGACTTCGTTGCTGACGTCCTTGCTCGGCGAAACTAAAAAATATATCCTTGATGTACTTCCACAGATACCTAGTCGTCGGTTCATCTACTAGTACCGGGAGACTCAAGGAATCAAACGTCCATAGATTCCTTTAGAGACACTGCTTCTTCTTTTCCTTTTGAAAAACATGTAGAAGATTATCATGGCTGCCAGCCTTTCGGTGATCCTGCTGCTAGTACTGGTCAGAGGCTAGCTTTTGGTAAGTAGAAATAAGTTGAACACCTTTGGAATTGGACACCGTCGCATGTATATTTCGCGATGAGGTAGATCTTAAGAGACTCAAAAAGACCGCTGCAATAAACAGCCCTAGAGAGCTAAGCAGAAAAATCAACAAAACTTTGAAATTGCTGAACCACACTGAAAGTGATACATAGGTTATCTTCATCTTTCCGGAATCATCGAGTAGTCCGATCTATCAATCAACTTACATTGGGAAATATTGAACTTGATTCCAGTTCTGAGGCCTGACGCTGTCCGAACACCCTCGGAGACCATCTCCAAGATACTCATTTTCACTTTGGTATCTATATTCCAAAGTTGACTTCACCTTGATTCAGTTTCTCAGCTTAAAGTCAGATCTCCTATATCTACCTTACTGCTGTCTCTTCAAAAATCAGTGACCGAGTGATCTCACTTCAGCTCTCTTCTCACTTCAATTTAAATAAGAAGTAAGCTGAACTCTAGGGGCTATGATCAGACTTCATTCGCCTCTCCTCTTCCATGACATGGCATTCACTATAAATCCTGCCATTAAGAAGTCACATACATTTTCTTCCTTCATCAACCATCTTACCATGAATCCTTCTGGTCGATTTGACGGAAAAGTTAGTTTTATCATGAAGTTCAAAGCGCGCCTACTCTCCTTCGCGGCTAGAAAGTCGAGAAAGCATGAAAAAGAAGCTCTCATAGTCGTGTGACAATAAGATGTCTAGTCTTTGCACAGAGAACGACCTTCTCGAAGGCGCCCACAGCTTCATGGCATCCTAGTTGCTGCCCTAGCTACTAATCCGGAGGCTCTATAGGGCAAGCTTCGGGAAACACAGTCAGTGATTGTGTCTGAGTACAAGGAGCAACTTGGGAGAGAGACCAACATCGTCTCAGAAGAATGGCTCTTCAATATTCCAAGCCTGCGCACTGCCCACGCTGCCGAGCTGCAAGCTCAGCGGGTTCAGTTCTCAACTGGGCAGACCGCCGAGTTACTCTCACACGCGAGAAAGCTTGCTGAAGGATTTCCAGGTCACACTGTCAAGATAGAAGCAGCTGGTCTGTGACAAAGCTATGACTCATATTACCAGCCTGTTGTCCAAGCATGCCGCAAAGCTGGAGGCCCAGAGAGGCAGAGATGAGAAGAAGTATCAGGTCGACATGGAAAGAGAGAAAGATATTATGCATGCAGAATCCATGACTCGTCTTGCCAGCCTGAACTCTGACCACGCTGCCGAGCTAAAGAAGATGGCGAAGGAATACCAGGAAAGATTGGATACAGAGAATAGTATCATCTAATTAACCTCTGATCTCCAGCTTAAAGGAGAAACATGTCAACGAGATAAAAAAATATGCGGGGTGAATTGAGGCAGAAATACCTCAAGGAGACCAAGATGCTGAAGAACGAGCTTAAGAGGGAGACCGAGGAGCACGAGATGAGGAAGCTTTGGTCAGATGCCTATGGGAAGCTGAAGGCCATATGAAATGCGCGCAACGAAGTCAGCAACCTGATGGAAGAAGGGGACAACCCGTGCAGAACGATGGTTAACCTATAAGGCTCAGTACTTTAAACCTTCAAAGTTGAACAAGTGCCACGATCTTTTATGACTTTCCAGTTCCAATAGTAGATGCGCAGTCATCCTCCCACTTTTTACCAATCACTCGCTACCATGAACGACCGAGCAGTTTGATCATATGAAGTTGTTGCTGGGGCTATGAGGCAGTCTATGCTAAAGTACCTAGGTATAGAGGTTAATTTTCTCGGAGTAACACAATAAGCAATGCCAGCACTACCGAATTTTTCCTTTTTTTTTTTTTTGTGTGGAATAGGAGTAGGGCCCAGAATTGTAGATGAACCTCCCAAGACCACCTAGGACCTAGAGCACAGGCCCGTAATCCGCAGAGGCGTTGAGTGTATATATAATTGCCTGATTATGCGTTCTGATGCAGGGAGAGAATATCAAGGGAATATCTCTGTAAGCCTCACTGTTGTTGAGGCGAAGAATACCGACTTGGCTCGCAGTGATTGAATCTTATGTTTACACCCAGTATTACCTGAAATTCCTTGTAAAATAAGAGGGCTCCAATACATGCGCCTCCTGGCTAAAGCGCTTGGGTTCGGGAAGCTTTTCTCTTCATTCTGAATCTCGAATTATTGCTCACTTTTGTAAAAGCTCTACTAGCTTCTTGCAATTCCACCTTGGAAGGTTGCTGATAACGATACGATAACTATTGCGACTGTGTGATACCTAGGTTATTACTATGCAAGGCGACATGTTTATTTCTCCATCCACTAATACCTTTGTCTCATAAATAGCAGTTTGTGCCTTATTAGGCGAGCTGTCCTTCGCTCAGTATATCTACAGTTCTTGTTGTAACTCGGGAATTTAGCGTCCATTTATCATACCCGCGATCCTGTTTATCCTAAATAGGAAATGTAGATTCCCAATTAGGACTAGTATATAATATCCAGTAGCATTAACTGACAGGTATTCTCACCTGAAATGCTTACTCTTTTTTCTGACAGTCAAACTTTCCAACTGACGTCCAACTGACTTCCAACTGACCATGTCGATCAACCCCAGTTCAGAAGTTACTCTAGCAATTCGCCAGCAGCCCAACCGAGTGCTGGTGGCAGGAGATAAAACCAAGCCAAAGCGCAAATCTATCGATCCGCCTCCGATAATCCAGCTTTGTGTGCAAGAGCCGGGCTCATATCTCGCACAGTAAGTCTGAATCTCCTTGAATAAATCTTTTCCTCGAAATTCGGGTATCGAGTATAAAGTTGCTGAATACTTCTCATAGACACTACACGCAAAGTCCTTATTATTTCATGTGCTGTAGCCTACACTATGCCAAAGAAGATGCCCCAGTGCTTATTTCACAGCTTAAGGTATTAGAAGGAGCACTCACTTCTTCTATTCACCATTTAAAGGATGTGAACAACAATGATGGAGGCTTCTTCGTTTTTGGTGACCTCTCTGTCAAAATTCTGGGCGAGTTTCGACTGAAGTTTACCTTGTTTGAGATAAAAAGCAATCAGGCCATCTGCTTGAACTCTATCATATCGGACATATTTATGGTCTATCCTCCTAAGATATTCCCAGGTCCAATGGAGTCTACGTTACTCTCTCGATGGTTTGCAGAACAGGGCGTAAAGCTCCGCATTAGCAAGAAGTCTCGCAATACCATCGGTTCCTCATACCGGGGTCCTCTGCAGAGACAAGTCCCTACAGCTAATGCATCCATTGCTTATCCGTCAGTGAGCCAAAATTACTTGCACTACGTGCAGCGACAGAGAACCCCTCCAGTGGGCCGGCTTTTGAATATATCCAGTCACCAGAATATGCCTACTTACAGCAGTATCGGGAGCTACTACACTATAGCTACTTCGACTATCAACACAAACAAATGACCTCATGTGGCCCAGGACTGTGACACTCATCCGATGCGAACTAGATATGCTTAGAATGATCCGAATTATCGGATGAACAGGGTTATGTTAGGCTCTTTCCCTCTTTGAAGCATTATGACCAATTGCAAAACTTGGGGGTCTTGGATTTCTTTACATTCAGCTAGTCCGTCGCAGGCAATCCTGTCTCTTGAAAGCCATGATGCGCTCTAGCTTTCAAAGTCATCAAATTTCAACCATGGAGGCCCCATAATTTTTCGTCAGCTCAATTTCAAGGCTATGTCCAGAAATGAATCATGCCCACGTGCTTGAAATCCAATCGAGATTTGTGAATCCTTTATCGATAGGCTAGGGAGAAGTCATGCCACCCAGCCCTAATAAGCTTGTTTAAGTGGAGACCTCACTCGGTATAATTTTGGCAACGAGGATCGTTTGTTTACATGGCTAGAATTGGAATTTTGTTCGAGATCAAATTTTTCATGAATCCCAGAGTTTACCTAAATAGCCATAGGATTTATTTTCTGAAACACATTGAATCTTGCCTAGGCAGTGCGTCAATTAATATCAACTGTTGTAGGCGCCCTGAGAAGATGGGCCCACGTCCGGAGCCCGCCCTGAGCCGAGCCGTTGGCATTTTATATCCAATGCTATTGCAAGACTGAGGCACATCTAAATTTCTCGACACTGGATTGGCGAGAACGGTAACCTCGAAGCCTCACAAGTTTTATTAGTCGCAAAACAGCAAAAATGGATTGTCTACAGCCATAAGGAGGCGTGTTATGTACAAGAAATCCACCAATGTCTCCAGCCGCGTTGTTTTCGTTTGCGTCTGGCTCTCTGCCCTAGTTACCATGATTCTCTTTCCAATATGTTCCTTAGTTGTTCTGGCCTTACAGGCTCGAGCAGCTCCTACCCCTTTGGAAAGCAGCGCATCTACGATAGCATTGGCAAAGGCTCACTTCGAGACTTTAGCCAAGACTGCACTTCATGTGAGCAATGAAAACATCACCAAGAAGTCTCCTCATTTATCTGGAAATTGCACACTGGAAAATTTGCATATTCGTCGCGACTGGAGCGCTTTCTCCTCTGACGAGAAGAAAGCCTACATCAAGTCCGTGCTTTGCTTGCAGGAAAAACCAGCGCTGACCCCTTCGACGCTTGCCCCTGGAGTCAAGTCACGATATGACGACTTCGTGGCTAGTCATATCAATCAGACGTTGACAGTCCACTTTACGGTATGACTAATTATTCATGAAATGTGTCGTTTAAAGCTTGGATGCTAAGTCTTAGAAGGGCAATTTCTTAGCTTGGCACAGATACTTCATTTTCGAATTTGGAGAAGCTTTAAGAAATGAATGTGGCTACACGGGTGATTATCCGTGAGTTGAAATGCATAACAGTATTTGCTTTTGTGATACCTAATATCTTGTAATAGGTACTGGAATTGGGCTGCTGATACTGCTGACATGGAGAAATCAGAGGTATTTGACGGCAGCGATACGTCAATGTCTGGAAACGGAGCCTATATTGCAGATCGACCTGATATAAAATTCTCCGTCGGCGATCTTCAAGTCACCCTTCCCATCGGAACCGGAGGGGGCTGTGTTGAAACTGGTCCATTCAAGAACTATACCGTCAACCTTGGCCCCGTTGCTCTTGCACCTGGAGGAAACGACCACCCTCTCGACTATAACCCACGCTGTCTTAAACGCGATTTGACCACGGCCCTTTTGCAAAACTACGCAAACTATTCGTCAATTGTGCACCTGCTTCAGAACAACGACAACATCTGGGACTTCGAAAATCACCTACAGGGTGCTCCGTATACTGGATCTATCGGTGTCCATGGTGCAGGTCATTACTCTATTGGCGGCGATCCTGGTCGCGATGTCTATGTGAGCCCAGGAGACCCGGCTTTTTGGCTCAATCATGGAATGATTGATCGTGTGTGGTGGATCTGGCAAAACTTGGATTGGAATAATCGCCAGAATGCTATATCGGGAACCAATACGTTTCTGAATCAGCCACCTTCGGCAAACACTACCCTTGACGATGTCATTGATCTTGGGTACGCTAATGGTGGCGGTTCCATTGCCATACGGGATATTATGAGCACTACGGCGGGACCATATTGCTATGTCTATGTGTAATGATGGCGGGGAGAGCAGAGAGATGACGTTTGTAACACGAATAATTAATGCATTTTGGCAAATTAATATTAGCTGATTTTAATTTCCGCGATATTATCATGCGGTACCACATGTCTATCTCGTTATTTCATTGCTCAATGAGCTTATCAGTACGATCAGCCCACTTGAAATAATGATTAATCCTGTCCAAGTGGGGTTTTGAGTAACTCACTAACGTGTTTCCCAGCTAACCCGTTATCCCTGTTAAGCCGTTACCCCATCAGAATTTCAAAAAACGCATCAATTTCAATTCCATATTTAAGCACAATATCATAATTAAATTGACTAAATAACACGATTCTGACATTTAGTAGTACTATGAAGTTTCTTATGACACCTTGAGCAGGTAATTTGACGTTGAACAGGGGGTAAAACTAGCAATTCAGTCTCACGAGGGTCATTCTGAGCAGCTTCATCATCAGATATATACCTCTCTCACCACCATTCTCTTCAATGACAGGCTTCTGGATCTCCTCTAAACCTCTTAACCTACCTGAAGGAGCCAACTTCTTTTAAGTAGTATTCTTCTTTTTCGTCCGTTTCTTATTATCTTCTCTAAATGGCCACAGCGAACATGCAGAAAAATATGGTGGTGGACCGTCCGGGTAGTGCGATCGGAGAACGTCTTCCACCTCCTTTTAATAGGAGATGGGATTAAACTAGAGGAAAGCTCTAGAGCATAATTAAGACGAGATTTAGATTCTTTAAGTCGTTTCAAGCTCCAAATAGTATTATCGTCGCTATAAGAGCCAGAAGATATCGGACAATCAGAAGGTAATTCTAGATCTGGCAGACATTCAAGCCGAATATTTAGCTTATTGAGCACTTCTGATGGGCTCGAATGTACTAAGCTAGTAGCTTTAAAGCTATTCATTATAGTATCTATCTTCAAAGCTCTTTGATATGCATCAGTGAAGATCTGAAGGAACTTATCTTTATCGATTCTATACCGCATCAACTCCGCAACACGACCACCATGGTATTTTTTTAGTAGCCTAAAGTAACCGATATCTAAAGGCTACAAAAGATGTGATATATAGAGGTAAATATAAAGTAATAATATCATACTTTTTATAAAGATTGTCGACAATAGGTGTTAGATGAGAGGATTGCTCATCAAGGATCAGAAGGCAGTTTTACCTCTTCGATTCCTAATATTAGGAATAAGATACATCTTCAGCTAACCGACACTAATTGAATCACTAGTCTGACCATCAGAGCTCTCTTATTCAAACTCTAATTAGGCTCCTTTTCCTCAAAACAATGCTCCATAAATACCTTTCCTTTAAAGAGAATGTAAGGTGGATGAAATCCGCGATCGGAGGATGAAATTGGCCATATTTTGACACATGGCACAGATAAGAGCTGCTCTTCTAGGTTCCATAGAGAGTAGCTATTCTCCATCGATTATTCTTCAAATTTAGAGAACATATGTTGAGCTGACTATTTAACAGCTAGCTGTTCAACACCCTTAAGCCGATCGACAAAAGTTGAGCGTGGGATGCCAAATGACCGTACAACAGCTGCGATAGTAGGGTATTTGCCATCTTTAAAAGCTTTTAGAGCTAATTCAATACAGACCTCTTGCTCTATCAATTTTTATTTCATTTTAGGGCGAATTGGTAGCATGGTATGTGTTTGAAAACATAGGGTCACTACGGAGACTATTTATTTAGATGGGGTAACGGGTTAGCCGGGAAACACGTTATCAACTGGTTGAGAAACAGAGATTGGTAAGCATCGGCTTTAGCCCTGTTTCAGACCGAGCAATCTTCCAGTTTTATTTGTAATATCTGGTGCTGAATATACCAAATATCGGGATATAAATCGAGAAACAGAGATTGGTAAGCATCGGCTTTAGCCCTGTCTCAGACCGAGCATCTTCCAGTTATTTGTAATATCTGGTGCTGGCCATATACCAAATATCGGGATATAAAACGAGTCCCGGAGGAGAAACTAGATCACAACCAGATACTCAATCCATTCATAATTGCAGATTCCACGGACGAATACATAAACCAGCATGTCTAAGCTTCTCGTCGTCTTCGGAGCCACTGGCCACCAAGGCAGTTCAGTGATAAACTACGTACTCAACGACCCAGAGCTCTCACAAGAGTACAATATCCGCGCCATAACGCGCACCACAAATTCCGAAAAATCGCAACAGCTCAAAGAGAAGAAAGTCGAAGTTGTAGAAGGCGATGTCTCAAACCGAGCCTCTATCGAGAAAGCCTTAACAGGAGCACACACAATCTTCGCAATGACAACACCATCACTCGGCCCCTCCGCACTCGAAACAGAATACAACCACGCAAAAACCATTGCAGACGTTGCTATCGAAAAAGGAGCAAAGTACATAATCTTCAGTACACTTCCCTCAGTCGCCAAGATCTCCGGCGGAAAATACACCAAGGTGGCTCACTTCGATGCGAAAGCGAAAGCTGAGCAATATATCCGGAATCTCCCTATCAAAAGCGCATTTATCGCATTGGGATTTTTCATGGAGAATCTTCTGCTCATGCCTTTTCTTGCGCCGCAGGCTGCGCCTGATGGCAATTTGGTCTTGAGTTACCCTCTCTCACCGGAGACTAGGTTTCCCATGGTTGATGCTACTGAGGACACGGGCAAGTTCGTCGGCGCTATACTTTCCCAGCCGGATAAGTATGAGGGGAAGACTTTCTATGCATCTACGAGGCTATATAGCTTGGAAGAGATTACTGCCATCTTCTCCAAGGTGATCGGGAAGACAGTTATCTACAAACGAATATCTACGGAGGAGTTCAAGCAGAATTTGCCCTTCCTGGCTGATGCTTTTACTGAAGGATTCAGCTCCATAGAAGAATTTGGTGCTTTTGGTCCTGATACTGAAGATCTGGTTGCTTGGGCTGCTGAGAACGCCCGTGGAACACTCAGTACCCTTGAGGAGTTCTGGAAGAAGAACACTGTAAATAGCATTTTACGGCCCTATTAGATAGGCACTTTCAACTACTTGAAAAAGAATTGATAATAAGATTAATTGATTCAACTAGACTCCTGCAATACTGTTGAATCGAAGTAAATATACATTGGGGTTTTCCGGCGTTGAAGAGACATCGACATCAGAAAGTAATAGCACAAGCGCTCAATGCAGCACCTTGAATGACCAATTCAGCTGTAGCACGATAGGGAACATCCCGATCCACTCCAATAATCATGAGAGCCTCTGATCTTTTTTCAAATGGAACTTCCATGGTACCATCATTGCTGCTGGTGTTCTGCTCAATGCCAGTCATCAAGTCGGGAGGTCCGGGGGCAACGGTCATGAAGTGAATTTTCACGCCTTGCTGGTCAAGAATTCTACATACAGCACCGATCTTGCCGGGTGAATCATAATTTTCGCAAATCAGAAGAGTCCCCTCGGGTTTGAATGATACATCAAAATTTCCGATACGAGTGATCAAAGGCCGGCCGTCGGAGCAAGTGCCGGAGACAACTCTCTGTGACTCGGGCTCAGGAGAAATTGCATCAATAGCCTGAAGAGATCCATTTGGGGGTGGATGTGCGATGAGAGTGACCAGCGAAGAGTAGGCAGAGCGGTCTTCTGGGTCACGGCAGTGTCTTTCCGACACGAAGATTCCTCGTTCGCGAGCAATAAATTCAGCATTGAGCATGTTGATGTTGGCTCCCCCATTGCTCACTATGGGTGAAATAAGGCCCCTGATGAGAGCAGCAAACAAGGGCTTTGTGTTGCTGACACTTGTAATTTCACCTTTGTAGATGAGATCAAATTTGCTTCGATTCAAAGAACCTCCGAGAGGCATGTTAGCGCAGTACTGGGTATACAAGCTTCCAAGCTTCTCCACAAGAGGAACAAATGGCTGCAGCTTTCGATATTCCCCTGGGAGGATTAGAGGTGTGTTTACAGCACTTCTTGGCAAATCATCCTTTAATACCTGCATCACCTGCTCGCACACGTCTCTGGACACATTTTCCTGGGCTTCGATCGTGGAGGCTCCGAGATGAGGTGTCACAACTGCATTGGGGTGAGCAATTAATCTTTCTGCAGTCGAGTCTGCAGCTGGTGGTTCCGAAGTAAACACGTCCACAGCAGCACCTGCCAAATGGCCTGACTCCAGTGCAGCTAGCAGTGCAGCTTCATCAACTATTCCTCCACGTGCAACGTTCAAAATTCGAGATCCAGGCTTCATCAAAGCCAGTTCAGCGGTGGAAATTATTCCTCTTGTGGAGGCAATCAGTGGAGTATGGATGGTGACAAAGTCGGCAGATGCGAGAAGCACGGGCAAAGTCAAGATTAGATTGACTGAAGCTGAGGCTGCGACAAAAGGCGAAATGTGTGGATCAAATGCATCGACTGCCATGCCGAGTCCATTGGCCAGGCGAGCCACTGTCATACCAACTGGAAGCACATGTTAGATCAATAATCAAGACAAGGCTTTGCTCTTCAAACGTTACCTTTTCCCAAGCCGATGATTGCAAGGGTCTTTCCTTTCACCTCCACTCCAACGAGTTCGTTTCGACCCCAATTGCCATTCTTCAGACTGGCACAACCCTGTGGAACTTTTCTGGCCAAGGACATCATCAGGGCGATTGTATGCTCTGCAGCGGCCCCGGTATTGCCTGAAGGTGAATTGACCACGACGACGCCAAGCTTTGTAGCTTCATCGACATCTATGCATGGATGGATTAGCTATGAATCTTCTTTCACGGTGAGGTTGGGACCGTGTTACTTACCCACATTATCGACACCGACACCAGCACGAGCAACGACTCTCAACAATCGTCCAGCTCGCAGAACATCTGAAGTAACCTTGGTCTTCGAACGGATGACAAGTGCCTGGTAGGCAGGAAGTATTTCGACGAGTTGTTCTGGGGTAAGATCAAGGCATTCATCCACCGCAAAGGCACTGCTCAGTAGGTTCAGTCCATCTGAGGAGATATTCTCGGTGACAAGGACCTTAGGAAGAAATTTATCGTAGAAATCCATGTCTTGTAGTCAAAAGTTCAAGTATGTAGAAAATGCAATGGGAAACAAACTGGGGAAAACTGAGGGTTCAGAGGGCACAGATGAAGTAAGAAGCAGGCGCCTTCCCTTTACGGAAGGAACAGAGAACAGTCCTTTGTCATAATACAAGAACGCCTGGACAGTCAAACATGCGTTTATTTCCTCTATCTTTCTCTCTTTTGTCCATATTAACCCACAGCAATGATACAAAGAAGCCACAGACATTAAGCACTAAGCATACTTCAACAGCAATGCCTACTAATTATAGACGATCAGACAAACTTGTAGTCATTTATGAAGCCAGGTTTTTATTCTTTGATCTGACCACTCGGGTAGATTGAATGGAGAAACGAGGACATACAAATAGTACGTAGTATAAGAGTGGGCATCGGGTTAATAGAGCATTGATTGAGTATACGAGTGGGTCTGCTTGGCAGAAAACGGCCGGCTTTACATTTCACTCAAGCACATTCAAGACCATTCAAGACCATTCAAGACCATTCAAGACCATCCAAGCACATTCAAGCACATCCATTGATACACAATCCAGAGGCTTAACACTCAATTTTACAGAAATTCAAACTGATTCAATTTCATCGGCAAGACTACTCCATCGATCTCCGCATCAGTGGCGATTGAACTCGCCTAAGTTGAATGATCCAACCTGATGTGATGAGGTGGAGCTAGAAACTGCTGTCAATGGCAGAGAAAAATTCTCATTGCCCTATTTAGGAACAAGTGGGACTGCGGCATCCGGCTCCACTTGAACCCTGTCGGATGCTTTCCGGCACTTGAGATCTCTTGCGTTTTGATTCCTCCGCTAAGCGTCGGGATTGAAGCGAGATCTATCTCTGAAGGCTCCACTGCCACAGATTGATTTACCTCTAGCTTTCTGGAAGCCTCAAGCTTTCAAATCCTGAGCCCAAGGCCCACAGAATCATTCAATCAGCCATACGATGACAGCACTATGCTTATTAACTGACCCCCGACATTGACCATGGTGGGAGTTCCCCATAGTACCGGCTGTTCCCTCTGTCGCGAACGACACATCAAGGTGAGGTGGCAACGATCCCAGCTAATTGACAAGAAGCCGCTAACGGGCAATCTATACCCAGTGCGACGAGGCCATCCCCGAATGCTCTCAATGCCAGCGATATGGCCGTACATGCCCAGGATACCGTCGCACATTTCGCTTCCAAGACGAGGGCCCAAGTCTTGTCCGGCGACATCGTTCCGCCCCGCACCGCAGGGGCCGCGGCATCTCCACAGGATCATCAACTCCGACCACAAGCACGGCCCCAATCACCCCCACGCGCAAATCGTCCCAAGACCCAATCGAGTCTCCAGACAATGTGGGAGTTGCGGCGAGGGTGCGCACAAATGCAATTGCATTGATGCGACGGCACTCAACTGTCGCTCTCGATGAGAAGACGTCGCCTTCTCTAGTTCGCAAATCGTTTCAGGCGGCGCAACCACAATTCTTCTCAGACTTTATCAGTGCTTCGTTTCCCACATTATACTTTCACAATCGCTTCCGCGCTGGCAAAAACCTAGGTTTTGTAGAATACATCAGCACGAATTTCGGAAAGAATTCATATTTTGACTCCGCGACTTGTTGCTTGAGCTCGGTTTATTTGGCACACCTGACACAAGACCCAACTCTTTTGTTGAAAAGTCGTCAAATGTATGGGATTACGCTGCATGAGGTCATCAATGCCCTCCGCAAGCCTGAACATGCAATGTCTGACAATATGCTTTGTACCGCCATGTTGCTGAGTGTCTACGAAATGTACGCTCAGTCGAGTCCCGATGCCTGGGTCGTCCATTCCGACGCGGTAAAACAACTTATGGTGAGCCGAGGCATTGCGTCGCACAATTCAGGATTTGGAAGATCCTGCTGGATCGGGTTCAGGGGATTCCATATTGCTACTGCAATCTACCAAGGAAAGCCTTGCTTTCTTGATGAGGAAGGCTGGCAGAACTACGCCGAGCAGATTATGGCCGAGGACTCCGAAAAGCCCGGTGAGTGGGCAGCGTATGCAGTCATATCTGATAAGACTTTTATGGAGATTGCCAAGTGTCCGCGGTATATCAGTGAAGCGCGTGTTCTTCTCTCAAAGTCCACGGCTCAAGACCGTGATGATATCCGAAATCTTATCAACTGCATACATAACACTTCCCAAAAACTGCATGTTCTCAGTGCTGAGCTCCGTGCCTGCATTAGTGCCCATAACCAGCGCGAACAGGGTATTATCCTACGCCCAGGAACATTTGTCGGGCCTGTCCCGGAGATCTTCCCGGAAACCGGCCCATCACTACTACTGAGCGGCGCAGAAAATATCATAAGCACTCTTTATGAGATATCTACTCGTCTCGAGGGTATGCTTCACTGTCTAGCTCTTGAGGACATATCCCAGAAATCAGTCTCAAGAGATGAAAGCAATAATACATTCACTCTCCCCTTTCGGATTTACTCCGAGCTCGGCCATGGTCCATCTCGAACATCCGATCGAAATGATCCCCGTGCCGTCATCTGGCTGGATCGGGTTGCTTCTTCGATGGGTGTTCTCGGCACAAAGGTTGTACCGGATGAGACACACGGATACGTTGAAGAGGAAGACCCGTCTCAGGCGTCGACCTGATTTTCTGTCATGACGTTGTACATATTCAAATATCCATCGATGCTAAACCATATTAGGAATGCGGCTTAATCCAATAATTATACGTTAAAGAGAAAACACTGCTGTCATTTGAAAGCTTCAAGGTACAATCGATCTATACCTTCAACGATTTCAAAGCCGCTATATAAGCATCAATTTTAATGAACACTGAAATTAGAAGTCCAAAGATTCCTCAAGCAGGCGCTTCAACTCTCCCTTTTCCGCCTGAAGCTCCTCACTCAAGTTAGGCGCCAGCATCAGCACGCGTCTCTGTGGAAGAGTACCCTCAACTAACCCATCCAGATCAGAAGCCTTGAAGCCCAAATCCTTCAAACCACGCGGCTGATCACCCAATTTCAACAAGAACTCCGCAATCGCACCACCAAGCACCTCACCCGCGCTCTCACGCTTCACATTGGAAGTATCCACCCCAAACGCCTCTGCAGCCGCTAAGTGACGATCAGGGTTTGACGCACCCGTGAAGCGGAAAACCGCAGGCGCGGTGACAGCAACTGAGACTCCATGAGGGATAATCGGATGGTCGACATCGTACCCGGAGTGTTGATAGCCTGGGTTCTGGCTGGAGATCGGATAGCTCATGCCGTGGCAGAGGTGAACACCTGCATTGCCGAATCCCACTCCGGCCAATGTTGCAGCTAGTAGCATCTGCGACTGCGCTTCATGGTCATCTGGGTCTCTGACTGCGCGGGGGAGATACTTGACTGTGCTGCGCAGAGCCTGGAGGGAGAAGATGTCCGAGATTGGATTTGCGCCTTGGTAGGCGGGCCGATTGATAGGGTTTGTTGGGCGCGGTGTGCGCTCGTTATATGGAATTGCTGTCCATGATTCCAGGGAGTGGCAAAGTACGTCTAGGCCTGATGAGGCGTGGACGGCTGAGGGCATTGTGCGCGTGTTCAGCGGGTCGCAGATGCCTAGTGTTGGCTTTAGGTTTCGGTGGGCGATTCCTGTCTTGGCTTTCTTTGATACGAGGTCGAAGATGGCTGTTCCTGTTGTTTCGGAGCCTGTGCCTGCTGTTGTGGGCACGGCTACGAGGGGCAGGAGGGGCTTGGTTACTGGCAAACCTTTGCCTAGGGGGGCATTGACAAAGTCTAGGAAATCTGCCTCGGGAAATACGGTGTATAGATTCATCAGTTTGGCTGTGTCAATGACAGAGCCACCGCCTAATAACTGCATTAGTGGGTTTAAGTTTAATTGGAATTCTCATACGCACCAACAGCCAGAAATGCATCCGGTTTGTACGGCTTGGCAAAAGCAATAGCTTCTTTAACACTGAAAGTGATCTTAAGTGAGCGATAGCTAGTTCACAGTATTTCCTAGGTAAACCTACGAGCTGTCCTTGGGTTCTACCCGAACCTTATCAAAAATGGTGAACTCAATACCCTCGCGGCTGAGACCCTCGACAGCTTGCTTCATAGCACTAAGCTTAGAGACAGTCGAGTCGGTGACAATGCACACGCGTTTGGCACCCATGTTCTTGAAATCCATGCCAACCTCCTTGGTAGCGCCCGACCCGAATCGGATACTCGACGCGGCCATTTCAAAGGCATACTCCTTTTCACGTGAGGGATCAACTGGAGTAGCCAGGTGTCGACGGACATTATTCATCATTGATGGACTCTTGTGGTTATGGTGGTGGTTGGGGTTTGAGTGACACGGACAACTGGGAGGGTGAGTATACTGCACCGTGCGTAGTAGATTCAAGGCACGGTTGGCGGCTGTAGGGGCTACCCTGATTGCTGGAGAGACCATATTGACGATTTATAATATCAACGTCCTTTTCGAAGGATGTCAAGGTGTAAAGAAGATAAGCTGACGAAGGGAGGTGAGAATGTGGTAGTTGGGGAAAATGCGGGGAACCTTCCAATCGGCCAGAAGGCCGAGATAAACTATCAAAAGCTGTCTATTCTATGTTTTGCCAGCATAGTTTTGGGATTTGAAATCGATTGAATGAGCTTCTTTTTAGCGAGTAAGTTGAAACAACTATCGTCTTCCCAATTGACCCTTTCCCGTGGTGTATGTTTTGTTGCTTCTTCCGAGCCTCGATGATGACATCAGATCTGAGAGATACAATCTCCAGCTTCGACTAATTATTTATCACATTCTGTGCAATTTATCAGAAAATTGATATCAAGGCTCAGGAGCTTTTTTCAAATAGCTTCCAATCTTTTCAGTTAAATGGGAATCAAAGTCTGCCCAGTCAATGGTGGACTGACAAATCTCCTGTTTAGGAAATGATCAATATTTACGGTGTATTCAATAGCAGAAAAGAAAAGGCAAGAAAATGCACGATCTACTAATTTGAACTTCATAGTATTTGAAGGAGACGATAGAAAAAAGCTCTTCATTTTTGATACTCATTGTTGAATCGTGAAAGTAGAAGATGATTGTTGATTTGGATGAAGAAACAAAAATTCACACAACCCAAAGTGAGCTTCCTCATAGAAGGATCCCCTGCAACTCAGCTCAAATTGGAGAGGCTATAAACGGACGCTCATCCCAGTCCAGTTTCCGGGCCCTAGGCATTTCACCAATGCGACACCTCGACCCTAGTCATAGTCAACCATTTCCCTGAAAAAGGCGGTATCTGAGAATGATGTCCTTGGGAACCGAACTCGTGCCTTGCTGGGTTCCAATTGGGATCAACCTACGTAAACGTGGAAAACTACCACTGGGCCATACTCACCACGACGGTACTAAGTGCTCAGAACAGTCATTTTTCTTGACCCACTTGTTTACCCCGGATTACATAATCCAGATCCACGCATTCTTGGCACAGTAGTTAATTATGGGGATTGATCCTACCACCCCCTCCTCTCGTACCACTCTCCCTAATTATTAGCATGCTAATCAGTAATTATGGCACATTACGCCAACCATAAGTCATTTTTCTCGGATTATTCCGAGTCGAGCAAGATAGGCGTACGGCGATATATAATCCATCTATACATCGCCGGACAGAAGAAGGGAATCATACATATCATGACACATTTGATCCAACGTTGATTTTATCTTGAATGCAAACTTGGAACAAAAAACATTGCATATAGTTTCGAAGACAGGATTCTTCGATTAATTCTCTTGCATTGATCTAAAAACTAATATCGCTTTACATTGATCTTTATTTAATCCATACAAACTTTCCAGGTGTAGCCATCCATGCATGGATCCTGATGGATCCATCTCTTCCCATATTGTCCAAGGTTCTTCCTTCTATATTCAGCCCCTAAATATACAACTCATGCCACACAAAGATGCAAGACCAGATCCCCCGACGCACCAATCCAGCGAACACTCATTTCAGCAGGAGGGACTCCATCCTTCCATTCAATCTGGGGATCAGCTGGCTCCAGCTTGACCGAGTAGCCTTTGAACGCATCGCCAAATACGTCAGTGAGGTCAAACCACACCTTGCCTTGATCGTTGACGTTATAAGCAAAGACAGTCTGCGGCGCACTGTCGTATAGTCCGTTGGCGTCGGTGCTGATCTTCAGTGCGATGCCGCCTGTGGGCTGGTCGTAGCGATATTGCTCAGCATAGTTTTGATCCGGGCCAATAAGCGATACGGGGCGAACAGTCGATCCTACCGACCATAGATAGACGGGGAACTTGCAGTGGTTGGAAACGATGGCGTTCCCGAAATTTTGTGCGGGTAATGCACTTGGCGTGGGCAATGTACTTGGTGATGCGGATGGAGTAGGAGTTGAATTGGGTGGAGTAGGTACTGTTTCAAAGGAAGATGGGGCAACCCAGTCTCCATATGGAAGGGGATCTCTTTTGTCGCGGAGGACGTGTGATTGTGGGCGAGCGAGCGCAAGAGTGGCAAGTGAGAGAATAGTGGTCAGCTTCATTATGGCAGTAATGCTTGAGTCTTCTGTAAGGTAGTTAGCTGTTAAGACCAGGAATATGAAGAGCTTTATACTTTGTATTTTAGACCTGGTTTCCGCTATTCTGAGCCTCACATTCTCATCACCTAGGTCGAAACATTGCTCGAGTAAAATCCCAATGGGGTACCTAGGCAGAGCATTACCCTAATCGGGCACTTGGACGTCTCCAAGATCGTTGACAGTGTTCTTTCTGGACGCCACTACATAGTGCGAGGATCCCAAAGCACATTATGAAAGGGATAGAAAATTTCGAACCATCATGACCGGATGGTATAGCCCAATGACTAGACAAGAAACACCGGCATAATATGCCATGTGAGATAATTGCCATCTTCAGAGCTGTCAACAGCGGTCTAGCTAACAGTGGTCTAGATCAATCTTATCGGAGAGCCCTGTGGTATGTGGCTTAGTACGAAATGTTCCGAGGGCAGTGCCTATTCAGCATTAACAACTGGGGATAACACCAAGGAATACCAGTCAGTACTCTAGAGTTTAATTTACCCATATCTCTATTGCCCAATGGGAGCATTATAAAGATGAAGTTCCCAGGTGACATGTCGCACCAGCAACGCGTTCCAGAGCCTTGCATCGAGTTGTATTAAGGAATGCAATCGATCAAGACCCATTGCAACGGAACTTCATTTGAAGCCACCTAGGAATGGTAAAGTAGCCATAATTTTGAAAGCTAGCGAGGTACTTTACTAACTACTACTGCCTAGGCGCAACAAGAAGTAACGAACAGTGGAAGATGTCCTGAACACTGGTATTCGGTTTCGACTCCCTACAGATGTCAGAGGTCTATCGTAGATCCAGTTCACCGCGTTAAGGAGAGTATAACAAAATATTTTCAATTGCGAAGCACTTTAATAGTCTTGAAAACAGTTATTAGCCCTATGAGACGGACCAGGTGAGCTATAGCGAGCTCCCGAGGTCCAATGTTGCTGCTCTCCTAGACCCCATACACCTAAATAAAAACCCAATAACCAGGAATGCTACAGATGACAACCCCTGAGCATCAATGACCAATTTGAAGAGGGAAAAAATTGAAGAAGGAAAAAAAGAAATTGTGAAATGCAATGACGGGGAATCGAACCCCGGCCACTAGCTTGGAAGGCTAGTATTCTACCACTGAACTACCATAGCTGTTCTTGATGCAAGTTGATCAAGTAACAGTATCATGATGGGAAAGCTCAGGTTTATTTGATTTTATGTGAACCTTGGAAGACATCAAATCCGGGGTGATTTGTGGGGTAATTCTCTAACGGTGTGAAGATAACCTCCGTACCTAGGGACATGCGATACTTCCATTACTAATATTAGTCACCATTGACATTCAACTTCAACATGTTACATTCTACGGAAAATATATGTCCCACTCAGATAGATTATTCTATCTTCAGATTCTCCTTCAACCCCTTGCGTACACGTTCTATGTAAACCCTGAAATCGCATAATTGGCTTGACTCGAGGTTAACGCAGTATCCTTAGCTCTATCTATTTGAATTTGGTCACCATGCAGCTATACTCGGCTGCAAGCCGATCGGCTCTCGCTTGATCGTACGGAGTATATTAGGAGTTCGGATTGGGATCTGGGTGCCGTATCCAATTCAGTATTGTTACATTAGGGACCTCGGCATCGTTGGCACTGGTTTCAACCGTGAATCGCTCAGATTGGCTTTGCTGGCCAGTGTGAAGGCTCTATATTTTTCTTTCTTTAAATCTACATCTCTTACTCTTGCTTAACGCCAGCACCATGGGTCGCAAGCTAGGACTCTTTCGAGCGGCCTACCTGGTATCAGCTAGCTGTATGGGCTCCTTCGCATTTGCCTTCGACACTGGAATAATCAGTGAGTCTGTGACATCCCAACTCCATAAACTCGTCTAACGATAGTGTCAGGTGGTGTTCTCGCGTTAGAATCATTCCAGCAGGATTTCAGATACAACCACTACACCAAAGCCCAAAAAACCACTATCAACTCCAACGCAGTCTCGATCCTCCAAGGTGGAGCCTTTTTCGGCTGTTTCTTCGTCTCCCCGATCGCTGCATACCTGGGCCGGAGGACTGGCTTGATTATCAGTTCTATCGTCTTCTCTATCGGCACTATCCTCCAGATCATCAATAGTCACAGTCTGGGAACTTTCTATGCAGGTCGTGTGGTTGCAGGGCTGGGCATTGGTGCGGCGACCGTCTTGGTTCCGATGTATTCGGCAGAAATGTCTCCTAAGGAAATCCGGGGTCGACTGGGGGCTTGCTTCCAGCTGTTCTTTGCGTTGGGGGTCATGATCGCGTATTGGACTACATATGCTGTCTCCAAAGACCAGCATAAGGGTTCCAATCAATGGCAGACGGCACTCGGGCTGCAACTTCTTGGTTCAACATTGTTGCTCGTCGGAATGTGCACTGTCAAGGAGAGTGCGCGATGGCTTGCTTCGAAAGGGAAACTGGAAAAAGCCCATGAGTCATTGAGGTGGGTTCGTGGTGGCGAGGAGACCGAAGCACTCCAGCAAGAATTTGAAGAGATTCTAGCAGGCATTGATGAGGAAGCACGTATTAAGGAGAACTTGACCTTTAAGGAACTTCTTCTCCCCGTGAACCGATACCGACTATTCATCGCTGTCACGATCCAGCTCTCGGCGCAACTGACCGGTAACACATCTTTGGCCTACTACGCCACCCAGATTTTTAGTGCTGTCGGAGCTGGCAGTTCTGCCAAGCTAGTCACTGGATTTTTCGGCGTTGTTAAGGTAGTGGGTGTTCTCACATTTCAATTATTTGTGCTGGACCGGGTTGGGCGTCGAGTTCCTTTCATGGCTGGTGCCTTTGCGATGGGATCATTCATGCTTATAATCGCTTGTATCCTGGCTACTCACCCTGTCAGTTCCGATTCGACTTCAGGGCCCAGCTCGGCTGGTATTGCCTGCATTCTCATGACGTACGCAGAGGCATTCAGCTTCAACATGTCCTGGGGTCCGCTGCCATGGCTCTATGTCGGAGAGATCTTCTCAAGCCGCACGCGAGAACTCGGGGTCACAGTCGGAGCAGCCTCTCAGTGGCTGTTCAACTTTATGATGTCCCAGGTCACTCCCCATGCGGTGACTAACATCGGCTGGCGCATGTTCTTGATGTTTGCTATCTTTAACTATGCTATTATTGGGTATTCCTGGCTAGTCCTAAAAGAGGTGAGTGTGATTTTCTCACAAGGTTTGCTCGCAAGGTTTCCCGAACTATGCCACTAACTTGATATTAGACTTCAAATCACTCCTTGGAAGAGATGCAGGAGGTGTTTGGCGGCACCAGGAGACAGAGTAAACTGGAATCTACAGAGTGTGAAGAACATGCGGGACAGTTGGAGCTGGAGACAAAGCATAAGGAGCAGCCAGGTACTGTGCAACAGCAGCAGGAGCTGGGATCTGTGCGACCAAATGTTAACAGATAACAGCTGAATACATAATAAACAAACCCCTTCAACTTGTTATTCTTTGAGAGACTCGACTTTTGATCTGCTCATCTCTAGACTTGTATTAGAAGCCTAGTAGCTTAGTCCTTCGTCTGGCTTCCAAGCTCGGCCAAGAGCATGTCCAATGTCTACCAATGGTACACTGACAGGGTCGCAACAAAGATGTACATACTTTGCCTCCGCGTAACGCGGATCAAAATAAATTAAAACAGCACGACAGTCCAATGATAAGACGAACCGCGACTGAACCGGTGTGCGCGGCTAGACCTTTGACCTCTTTGTGCAAGTCCGGTCTTAAATGACATACCTCTGGAGCCCATCACTCATAAAATTTTGACGTATCCGATCGGGTCTCGTTATGTTTAACCCCTAGATCACTAAGCCATCACTCTCCTGGCCAAAAGAGACACTATTCGGGCATTTCTTACCGAGGATGAATCTCAGAATAGGCGAACTTTAATGTCGACCTGTGTGCAACCGTCAACTCGAGACGGCACATTATTTCCAAGGTTTTCTTGGACAGTTTGCTTCTTTTCCGCTCTGCTCTTTTTCAGCTCTCTACTCTCCCAATCAACCTTCTACCATGAACAGGGCACCATGAGTGAACATGTATCCCGACCAACGGGATCCGACGCCCTAACAATCGAAGCCTGGGCCCAAGGCTTCATGGTGGGAAGTCTTATAATGATGGCCGCAGTCGCAATCTCCAACATGAAGGCGCACATACTGCTACACAAACTAATATTCGCAGAGGTAAAAAGCCAGCCCTGGACGAGAGCAGAACGTTGGGCCTGACAAATTGATGCTTAGTTGATCCTCGGCATGTTCCATGGGACATTCATCTTTGCCCACGAACCTGCATATGGTTGGTATCTGTCTGTCACAGCCATTGGACTCAATATATCCTGGATGCTGCATAACGTTATTGCGTGGATGAAGAATAAACCCTTTCTCTCGCGACGGGCTTCCCGAATCTATATTATCACTGTCGTGCTTTGTTGGCCTTACTGGGTCGTGGAGATCTATGCGAACTTCACCTATTTTAACAATATCAACAAAGTATTCCTAAAGACACGGCCTTACGAGCCACTTTTCCGGTATGTGAACGAGTTCTACGATCTTGAGAACTCCAAAAAAATATTCCAAGCATCCTTGAAACCTCAAGTGCTCATGGGACTAGGGATCCATGGTGGGTTTTCACCACCTTCTTCCTCTTCTACACCATCAAGCGCGAGTATGGTTTCGGCCTGTGGGAGTTAGTTCGAATCAGCCCACGATTCGGAGTCATGCTCACAGCAATGTGTCTCTCGATCGCGTTCATAGTCATCGATCTACTCAGCGTGGTACATGTATTCGATGATACAATGCAAACCGGAATTAACCCATTCTGGAAGGTAAGTCTCTGTCAGAGTCTCCCTCGAGTACTTGATTTCAAGATTCTCCAGGCTTCTAGGCCCTCTTTTGATTGATCCGGCTGATAAACTACAGCTATCCTTTGTCTTCAAATGCCTCTGCGACACCGTCATCTTAGATGACTTCAAGACGGCATTGAACCGAATACGGAATTACTGGCTGCGAAAACAAGCTAGCGGGGAGATACTCATTTCTCATCCTTTGAGTGGACGTACTCCGCAGCAAAGAGACGATGGTCCAAGTCCAGACGAGGATGTTGAGGCTGCGGCAGTTGGAGTCGTTTCTCATCGACTTATACAATCTGACAAGTCATTTTCCGTGCCGCGAGTGAAACTGCGTGGAAGCACTTGATTATCATTTTCTTTGGTATAGACTCACTCCCAGACTCTCCTTTGAATATTGCTCTGACCGCTCTGGGATAAATTAGTGTAAACGATTTCAATGTTGGTTTCATGGGTACTGCCCGCTCTTAATTAATTATAGTCATCCTATACTCATCCTATACTCATAACATTCTCGGTTCCGGCGGATCAGGTTAATCGCGGAACCGGTTCAATGTGGATATTCTAGTCGACTGGACCTTCCAATATGCAAGACATTGAAACCGATCAATTCGACGTCGCCACGATTCAGTTTCTAATCACGCAATGCAACCCTTCTAACTCCGTATGAACCATATATATACTACCTAGGTAGATCTTGTAATTCCAATTTATTTCATCCTTCGCATCTACATCTCCATCCATACTCCTACACCGTCACTTCACCAATCCCACATTACCCCTCACTCATAAACCAAAATGGCCCTCGCAGTACCCAGTACAGATGTAAGTAATCGCCACTCATATACAACGTTTGAATGTAGAATCTAACCTTGAAATCAATCCAAACAGCCCAAGGTCCTCGTGGCCCAGGAATCAAGCCCAGAATACACCTTCAAGACCTTCACCGCCGAAACAGCCTGGACACTCGGCAACGCCCTCCGCACGAGAATCCTCTCTCTCCCCTCAAATCAGCGTCGCCCAGCCCTAATCTCCATCGCGCTAGCGACAGCTCCGAGCGAGCGTGGCTCCCTGCACGTAATTTTCCAAGCCACGACGGAGAGCGGCACAGTTCTGGACAACGAGAACTGGGTGCGACGGAAGCGTAACACCGTTCTGCGCTTCGGTCTCTCTAGTTGGACTATGCGGCAGAAGATTGCTTCAGGGCTGGAGGTTAGTGCTACAGCTGATGATGTTGAGGCTGCGTTTGTCAAGAAGTTTGGGTTGAATAGTGCTAGTGGGGCTGTGGCTGATGAATATGCTATTCATGGCGGTGGGTTCCCGATTCGGGTTCAAGGTGTTGATGGGGTTATTGCTGTTGCTGTTGTTAGTGGATTGACGCAGGAGGATGATCATCAGGTTGTGGCTGAGACTTTGAAGGAGGTCATTGCACAGGGAAATTAAATCACCCCTACATAGGGAAAATGAACGTAGATATCAGGTTTACTTGGTTATATAATGAATTACAAGTGTAACGAGGGAAATCCTGCATGTGTGCAAAAGGTATCATGGTATTGGGGAGTCGATTCGACTCATGCAACAGGGGATACCACCCCGTGCAGATTGAAACTAGAAACAGATACAAAAGCAAAATAAAATGAACTCCAGAAATAATGCCTCAAAAGTGATTTTACAGTTCGTCATGGTCCAAGGGCTCATCGTCCTCAGGGGGAGCACCAGAGCCGTACAATTTGCTGGTAATGGGGTAGGCAACGCCAGAGAGTTGTTCCTTCTGCTCCTCGAAGTCCTCGGCGGTCGCAGTGGCAGCGTTGTCCTCGAGCCAGTCAATGGTCTCCTTGACAGCATCAAGAATAGTTTGCTTGTCGTCCTCATCGATCTGGCCACCAAGACCAGAATCGTCGCCAACCTGGTTCTTAAGGCTGAAGGCGTAGTTCTCGAGGCCGTTACGGGCTTCAATCTTAGCCTTCATGGCCTTGTCCTCCTCGGCGAACTCCTCAGCCTCAGCGACCATGCGCTCAATCTCCTCAGGAGTGAGGCGACCCTTGTCGTTGGTGATGGTGATAGACTCAGCCTTGCCGGTGCCCTTGTCGCTGGCGCTGACCTTGAGGATACCGTTGGCATCCAGGTCGAAGGCGACCTCGATTTGAGGGACACCGCGAGGAGCGGGGGGAATACCAGTAAGCTCGAAACGGCCAAGCTGGTTGTTGTCCTTAGTCATGGAGCGCTCACCCTCGAACACCTGGATCAAGACGGTGGGCTGGTTATCAGCAGCAGTCGAGAAGATCTGCGACTTGCGGGTGGGGATGACAGTGTTACGGGTGATAAGCTTGGTCATCACTCCACCGGTGGTCTCAATACCCAGAGTAAGGGGGTTAACGTCCATAAGAACGACGTTAGTGGTAGCGGAGTCTCCGGAGAGAACACCTCCTTGGACAGCGGCACCGAAAGCGACAGCCTCGTCGGGGTTGATGTTCTTGCTGGCCTTCTTACCACCGAAGAACTCCTCAAGGAGAGACTGAACCTTGGGGATACGAGTAGAACCACCAACCAAAACAATGTCATCAATCTCGGACTTCTTAACCTTGGCATCCTTGAGCACCTGCTCGACAGGCTTAAGAGTGCGCTTGAACAGATCGATGTTCAGCTCCTCGAACTTAGCCCGGGTGAGGGTCTCAGAGAGATCGTTGCCGTTGTGGAAGGACTCAATTTCAATTTGAGTAGACTTCTGGGAAGACAGAGTACGCTTAGCCTTCTCAACCTCGCGCTTCAGCTTACCCATAGACTTCAGATCCTTAGTAACATCAACGTCATTCTTCTTGTTATATTGCTTAACAAGGTAGTCCATGACCCGGTGGTCGAAATCCTCACCACCGAGGTGAGTGTCACCAGCGGTAGCCAGAACCTCGAAAACACCGTTATCAATAGACAGAAGAGACACATCGAAGGTACCACCTCCGAGATCGTACACAATGACCTGGCGCTCATCACCGGTCTGATCCAAACCATAGGCGATAGCGGCGGCGGTGGGCTCGTTGACAACGCGGAGAACGTTTAGACCGGCAATAGTGCCGGCGTCCTTGGTAGCCTGACGTTGAGCGTCATTGAAGTAGGCGGGAACAGTAACAACGGCGTGGGTGACCTTCTTGCCAAGATAGCTCTCGGCAATCTCCTTCATCTTTCCGAGGATCATGGCCGAGACCTCCTCGGGGGTGAAGATCTTAGGAGTGTTGTTAACTTCGACCTTCACGTTAGGCTTGCCATCCTTGTTGACAATCTTGAAAGGGAAGTTCTTAGAGTCCTTCTGCACATCCTTCTCATCGAACTTGCGACCAATCAATCGCCTAATACTTATTAGCCTTTTGTATCTTGTGGAGAATCAACTGAGTGAAACTTACTTGACATCGAAGACAGTGCGGGTAGGGTTTGCTGCGTATTGGTTCTTTGCGGCGTCACCGACAAGACGTTCCTCGTCGTTCCAGGCGACGTATGAGGGAGTAATTCGGTTTCCTTGGTCGTTGGTAAGGATCTCGACTTTACCATTCTGCATCACACCAACACAACTGCGCTGCTGATTAGCCACATATCTCAGGAAGTTTCGAGTTTGATCGACTCACGAGTAGGTAGTTCCCAAATCAATACCGATAACAGAGCCATACTCCTCCACGGAGCTGTTTTCCTCAGCGTGAGCAGTGGAACCAAACAGAGCCAGAGGCGCAATCAAGACAAAAAGAAGGTAGAACACAGTGGTCCATGTGAAGGGCTTGGACGCACTGGGCTGACTCATGAGTCGCGCCATTGCGATAGGATATTTGAATGAAAAATCACAAAGAGTGAAGAGATGCGATCTAAAAGCTTACGAGACGCGCGCCGTTTAGTGTAACAGCGGCGAGAGTTGACGAGCTATGCCGTACTCTGGACCCTCGATAGTAGATTTGAGTGGGTTGCCGAAATGAAGGGAATGGACAGAGAAGAGAGTTTGGAAAGGGCAGAGAGGGCGTTCTTGTATGAAGGGTCGAATGCCCAGCGGCCATGCTGGCCTTTTCTCAGTTCAGGTCACTTTTCGAATGCTGATTGGTCGATTGGGGGCCGGAAGGGGCTGAGTCATCCATTCAAGGGCCCAGTGTTTTAGATTGGTACCGCCTTCCTATATAGGGATAGATATTTCCAGATAAGGAATAGTGGCAGGGGCCAAACCAGGGAAGGTGTCAAAATCCACTCCTCTTTTACCAATCATCTTCTATCGTTCACGACTTAATCGAATTCGCTAGAACCATCAAGTTGAAGACCCCCAATTTTAGGGAGCAGGAGGCAAAGACAAGTGGCCTGTACGACAGCAGGAGGCAAATGGAGGACACTGTGGCCAATTATCAGAACCTAGATTCGATGTCGAATATTTTACGGAGTACTGACCGCGACATGTAAATCTATCACACACTTTCTTGCTTGAATAAGAACGAAAGTACGATGTCGGTAGGACAAGATATAAGTGGCCTGCGAAATCTGTCCTGAGGTGTAAAGCTACCTACCTATGGTATCTTTTCTCATATCCATTTCCACATGGATACCTCCGTAGGTATTGTCCACTGAATTCTGTTCCTTTCCGACTCTTAGACAGCGCTTTCTGTGGCAATCGCAAGAAAATCAACCTATCTCGAAAGACTTTCCATATAGAAGTAGCATGTAGGAGTTCAATCCAAAATCATATTCAAGTAAAATAGTTGCCTATTCTAACAAGCCCGCTGCAACGGTCGAGCCACCAGAGCGTAGAACAATGCGAGTAGGCGCCTCCAGGGGCACAGCCTGATCCATCTCGACCACAACACGCACCACAGTACCCGGAGCCACAATCTTCGGTCTCTTCTTGATAGAAGCACCAGAGGCCTTATCAAGGCTGGCAACCAACTTGCTGATACGACCAGGTACATGAAGGCGACCACGATGCACATCCACCATCATGGGCATCAGATGCTCAAAGGCAAGGACCTTAGCGGTGAATGTCGCGATAGCGGCAATGGGCGAGGAAGCACGACAGACAACATCACCTGAATGTAGGTGCACTGGGTCGATATTTGCCAGGTTGAGAGTCACGTTTTGACCAGCTACGGCCCAGTCACTGGGTTCACTGTCCACTTCTAGGCTTCGGATCAATGCTGTCTCGCCACTGGGAATTGTGAGAATCTGATCGCCGACTTGTAAACTGCCGGCATCTAGACGGCCAGAAATTGATATCGGGTTCTGTACGCCGCCTCGGAAGACGTCGCCGATTGTCATGCGTAGAGGCTTGTCTAGTGCGTAGGTGAACGGCTCTGATGTCTCTAGTTCTTCGATCAATGTCCGGCCATTGTACCAAAGTGAGGTTAGATCTTCGTAACGTTTACTGATGTTTTGTCCGAGGACACCAGAGCATGGCACGAACGCGATGTTTTTGGCTTGGAAGCCGGCAGTTGTCAAGAACGAGGAAATATGTTGCTCGATTTCATCAAAGCGGCCCTTGTTCCATTGAACAGTGTCCATCTTGTTGACGGCCACGACAATTTTCTGCACTCCCATGCTACGGACGAGCAAAGCATGTTCCTTTGTTTGGCCTTTCAGACCAGACTCGAACTTGCCAGTGCTTGCGTCAATAACCAAGACAGCAAAGTCAGCTTGACTAGCGCCGGCAATCATGTTAGGCACGAAGTCACGATGGCCTGGAGCATCAACGATCGTAAAAGCAGTGGTATCGGTCTCGAACTTGTTCGTCGCAATGTCGATTGTGACACCTCGTGCACGCTCTTCAGATCCTTGATCCAATACCCATGCCAGGGCAAAGGAACCCTTGCCGATCTTCTCGGCCTCCTTTCTATACTTTTCTAATGTCCGCTGGTCGATTGCTCCTTGGTCAGCGAGCAATCTACCCATAAGTGTACTCTTTCCAGCATCGACATGTCCTTGAGTCAAGTCAGTCATCCTGTTGTACTGAGTAACTATTTTAATAGGAATACTAACCAATCACCACGAAGTTTGCTGCCTTTTTCTTGTTCGACTTGTTGAACTCTGCAAGGACATCCAGGTTCTTACTCTTCACAGTCACTTTCTCTTCCACAGAAAGATTGTCCATGCCGTTAGTTATATCAGCCTGGGCCTTTTTATTCCCTGATACTTTGGAAGCCGTCGGTTTTGACTTGAATCCTGCACATTATTAGGCGTGTGATTTGGAGCCATTTTTGCGAAACGTCAAACCTTTTTCTTGAGCACGGAGCACCGTATCATCGGGACTGGGGCCTGCAAAATCAAAAGGTTTAGCATGATCTTGCCCGTATATTTTCAGAAGATCCAAATGGCTGGGCTCGGCAATCCTGGGTCCAGCTTCGTGGCCAAGTATGGCACTGGCAAACATGGATGGAGACGCGCGCATGCTGATTGCTGGCTCCAATAGCTCGGATGTATCCTTGAAATTCTCTTCTGCTTTTTCTGTAGATTCAGGCACAGTTGCAGCTTGAACAGGCTCAGAAGGTGGCACATTAAGTGCTGACGACGGCTCTGACAAACTGAGCTGTCCTAGTCGCAAAGTAGAACTCTCATCGGAAAGTTTTGAGGGCCTAGCATTCGCAGCTAGTCTCTCACGCAGGGAGAGGGGTGTACTCCGTAGTTTGGGCGAAGATATGTCTGACTTCTCAGATTGCGCAGTGATTGGAAGCTCAGCCGGAGCTGCGGCCGCAGCCTTTTCAATCTCCCTCTTCTTTCGAGCTGCAGCCAGCGCGGCAAGCTTGGAGACCTTTCCCCCATTCTCAGGCGCTCCACCCAACAAGCCAAGCCGAGGATAAAGCGGCTCGATGAGGATATCAGCCTTGCGATGGGCAGGAATATTGAGCCAAGGACAATCACGAAAGAAATCGGCAGCCGAAAAATGAGCTGAAGATGAAAAATCGGGCACTAAAACACATGTTAGAACATTGCCCACACCTCCAAACAACGTCAGTCTTGGGATATATAACACAAAATTCAAAGATGTTGAAAGGTTTGACACACTTCGTTTTTCGTCTTTATCGAGATCAAAGCCACGATTCCATGCGCCCAGCTCAGCCATGATAGATTGATGTAAAAAATAATGCGACTGCTTACCGTTTTGAGCCTTGGACTGTTGCTTCGCAATCTCTTTCTCCTTCTTGCCTAGAGATAAGCCATTAGCCTTGATGACTCATTCTAGCGTCTTCGGGGGCTGTCAAATGAGCCATACCTCTCAAGTAGTTCACGGATTTTTCGATGTCGTTGTAGTAATGCCATAGGGCTTCCTGGATCTCTTCTTTCGTGGCGGTCACTGAGGGCTGCCCCGCGCGGAGCTGCTGTAAGACTGCCGAGGTGCATTGTGCCAAAGCCTCTTGCTCTTCGGGATCTGGTGAGTCATATCCATCGTCATAGAAATCATCATCATCGTACGCCACGTTCTTCACCCGGTTGTTCGACATTGAGACGAGGCAGGGTATTTCTGAAGAGCGAGGGGGTCGCGGGGTGTGTGGGTGGGAGGGTGACTGCTGATTAGAAGAAGTTAAGGGTATCAATGTAAACAAAAAAGAAAGATGGTGTTTGTTTTTCAAGATTCAAGAAGGTCCGAGCGATAGAGAAAAAGGAAAGGAAGGGAGATCTTGAGATTGCAAAAGCAGTGTTGTTGAGTGGGGGAGATCTTGCGGCGGTTCACGTCATTCTCCACTTAGGTCAACTGTCGCTCAGTTTACAGGACTCACTGTGTTTTTTTTTTTTTTTTTTTGATTTTTCAATACTTGGAACTTGGTATGCTACATTTGTACATATTCAAGAAAGATAGATAGAAGTTTCTGATTGATTTAGTCGAGATAGGTTGGCATTGCTGGCGTATTCCGAAGATCCTGCCAAGCGTATGGGGATAACCAAAACAAGACAAAGTAAAAGAGAGGATTACATGGAAATGCCTCTGAGAGTGACCAGAGATACTATCTAGGTAGTTAGAGCACTACTTATTTTCGTAATCACAGCATTCAAGGGGCCGAGCTAATGTATCTGTTCAATCATTTATATGAGTACTAGGTTATCAGAGGGGAATATTCAGATTTTAGTCCATACCTCGAAAGAAGCACGCAGCAGTGATCTGAGAATTTGGATACCAGAGTCAATAGAAGGCTTATCGCAATGGACTTTCACCAAAAAAGTCGCCAGCACCTGGTCCGGCGAAACTACCATTGCTTGGAGTTAGAGCGATGGATCGTCGAAAAGCCTGGCGGGGGGTAGAGGGTGCGCTCATGGGGACGTTATTAGCGGGAATAGATGTTGATGCTCCATTAGCATCGGGAGTGCCAGGTACATTGCTACCACTATTCTGAATCGTAACAGCAGTGCCGGGTCGTGACAGGACGGCGGCTACACCATTCTTGGGCGGTGGTTTGAAACCCAGTTTGGATCCCTCACGGAAGATTTCCTCAAGCATCTGTGCTACAATGCCTGCGTCTTCATATTCTTGGAACTTTTTCCAAAGGCGCAGTGCCATTCGTGCATCTTCAATGGAGTCGTGGCCTTGGACCGTGTCCAGGGTTGGCTCTTCCTGAATGTATTCCTTGAAGACAGCCCAGGCAAGGTAGCGAAGGCTGAGACGGCGATTTTTGCTTGGATGAAAGAAAAGATACTGCGTGTCCACAGTTTGAGATTTGGGGACTTGAATGTTGATCTTTCGGAAATCAGAAGCCAGGCCATGACCCACGAAGATGCAGCCCAGGTTGAGAAGCAACCAAAGCTTCTTGTAGGCAACTTTCAATGGAACCAGGTTGTGCTCGCTTGTCCGCGGGTCCAAATCACCAGGCTTGATGCCTGAATATTGCGTAACATAGTCCACAATTGGTTCCCGGATGGTGATGTAGTCGTCAATAAACGGTACACCTTCATTCAAGCCCGAGCCACGCAGCACCGAAACTCGGGCAAGTCCGCTCTTATTGGGTCTCACTATTTCCTGGGATCCGTCGGCTTTGACATCTATCTCCGCCTTCTCAAGATCAACAAACTCTGTGTCCAATGCCACGGGTGTACCAGCCTGTGGTTTCTCCTCATCGTTGAGAGGATTGCAGGATTCGACATGATGTCCTCCATTCAAAGACCACTCGCGGAACAAGAGAGTAGTATCGAGATTGCTTTTCCATGAATCGTCAACACAATTGCGAGCATCTCTCACCTGGAAAGCCAGCACACATGGCTGCTTCCAGGTTTGAGTGAAGCGAAGGGCCTCATCTTTCTCAACCTCCGCGACCAAGAAGTCATTGAAGAGATGCCATTTGCTTTGTTCCTGCTGCTCACGATCTGAGATGGACGTGTTAATGAACGAAACCAAGTGCGGCTTCTGGTGCTCAGGAATGTCGATCTCTGACACGAGACCGACCAAATCGTACACCACAAGACCAGGCGTGTTGTTCTTTATCCGAGCTTGAAGTTCCTCGCCGTCGAAACACAAGACCTGACCATTATCGAGGACGACACCAACGGCATCGGGTAGCCAGCCAGGAATAGACCACAAACGACGACAGATGGGATTACTGGAAGCTGCATTAAGCAGGAGAACAAGAGGCATCCGGTGTACTGTCTTCCGCATCATGACTTGCTGATAACGACGGCAGTAGTTGCACCACCCACGATTCTGTGTTTCCCGCTCGATACTCGCACGTAGGATATTAGAAAAACGGCATATTGAATTACGTCGGATGTGTTTCATGTCAACATTGGGATAGAGCAGCTCACTGGCAAGCGAGTTACCTGGGCGTACAGTTTCATTTTGACAGAACATGCATCGAATTGATTCAGAGGCAATGATTGCAATGCGTTGTTCCAGCTCTTCAGTGTTCGGTTGAATCATGCGGTAATTTTGCTCCACTTGTGTCAAAAAGAAGCGTGTCACGGCTTGGATAGAAGTTGAGAGAGATTTGTTAGACAGATTTTCCTCCAAAATCCCCAAGTTGGAGGCTTCTCGGAAACTGCTGAACGTTTTCAGCAAGTTGGTTGCCTGACAATTTTGACCGTTGGCTTTCTCCAGCATGTCAAATAGATAGCCTAATTCGCACAATAAACATTGTTCGAATATGCAGGAGCCAGCGGCATGCTGAAGGGCGAGGTTTCGAAAGAGGGGGATGAATTTGAGAAGCTGAAGAAGGGAGTTGGTAAAGGAATTGGCGATGTGAGTTTCAAGGCCGGAAAATTGAGTCTTGTTGTAGAATCTGCGTAAGGTCAGCGAAAGTCTTATAAAGGATGTCAGATGATCCATTACCGGAAGTCAAAGTCATCTACGCCAAATCGACTGTACTTGATCTCTACATTACTGTATTTCAGAAGAGGGTCGTCCTCATTCTCGCCACTAATGTTGGCACCCGCCAGCCCCTCGGTGACATCGGTTATGGAGCCCACAGATTTCGATTTGCCATGGTCTCGGGCTTTCTCACTCAAAAACTTGGGTGCCATCAAGGCCGGCTCTACGCTAGACAGCGCGCGTGTGTTTTCCACCTGGTTTCGACGGGTCTTTCTCGGGTTCGGGGCATGATGGCCCATCTCTGCTGGACGCAGATATGGAATTACAGAGTGATCTAGTGGGGCAGGGGGGCTGCCAACTTCATAAATCAAATGGCTAGGCCAAGCCGAGTAGAGACGCTCGTGGTAGTAAGGCATTCCAACCATGCTCAGAGGAGTTTCAGGAGACCAGTCCACCTGTGTAGGTCGTGTGAGGACATCTGCAAACTCAGTCTCCTTACTCATCTCGTTGAAATGAATCTTGGATGGCGAGCCCCACAGATGGATAGAGCATTCGGCATCATTGACGGCAAGTGCTTCGCCTGAAGGTGAAACCTCAAGACCAAGCATCAGGGAAAGATTGGCCTGTCGCAAATTGAATGCGTTGGGGTTCATAAGATCTATCACTTGCACCTGACCAGACTGTGAAGCCACAAAGCTTGTTGTGTGGAGTTTTGGGTGCATACGAATGTATGCTGCCCCGGCATGGAAAGGAATAGGAGGTAGGGGTGTTAATGTCTTGAGGTCATACACGTTGGCGAGCGGGTCAACAACGGGTGCGGTGTGGTGGCGGACCGAAAAGCCGCAGGTAACGAGCAAGTCGTTCCGCGCATCCATGTCATTAACGGCAGTGCCGTGAGCCTTCCACGATTTGACAACACTGAAGTCCGTAAGACTTAGGGCATTGACAGAGCCCGTATCTGTAGCTGCGCAGAGATATCGACTCTTCTTCATAATGGTGTAATTGGACTCGGTGGGCAACTTTTCGACGATTGTACCCTTGTCAATGTCCACTGTGAACATTACGCGCTGACAGCCAGCCACGATGATTCGATTAGTCTGTGCAGTAAAGCTCATGCAGTGAAGATCGACCATTTCCTCGTGTCCAAGGTGCCACTGGGTCAGACCGCGTCGCGTAATCATATGCACGCTTTTTGAAGAGATTGAGATCACGCCCCGCGGATGGAAAAGAATTTGTCGCACCGCGCCCTCCGAGACTGGATGAGCTCGTACCGATGTGTACCGTTGGAGGTCTGGTCCGTGGAAAGAAGAGATGCGCCCCTAAAAATAGCCAGAACGCACATTAACTTCGGTAATACAGTCCAAGGCATCTGGAAGACTCACATATTCATTTCCTGTCCACAAAAGCTCCTGCATATCGTCAAAAGCCACCGCAGTAGCAACTGAAGGCATGCTATGCGGACTGGATGGTGGCAGCGGTATGCGCGACAGCTCATCCCAATCGGCCTCCATTTTGAACGCTTCCGAGCGCCGCTCAAATTTCGCCACCTAGTACAGGTTTTGAAGTTCCGTATGCCGGCTTAGTAGCCGTACCGTTCACCCTTGTGGGAACACACCGAGGGCGAGAGCATCGTCTGCAAGTAGACGCGATTGCGGGGAAGCTAATTATTAGGAGGCTTTCAATTCAGTATCGATATCACGTATGATATGAATCAAAATAGTAGTTAATCGATAGAGTGATAGGTCTTGGGTTCAGTATTACTGCATAGTAAATTTGAATGAGGAAACTGTCATCGGTGTAGCGTCCAGATGTTGTCGTCTACCATAACCAGAAGGTAAATTATATCACGTGATGCATATTGATAAAGCTTCTGCCACCGCCTTCTTGCAAAATTATCGAGGTACCTAGATGGTATCCAAAAGCATAAGGAGTAGAAAGCCCAGAGGTTTCATTAGTAATTGAGATTACTCCCGATGTCTTGAGGATCAAAGGTAACGCGCTAGTAGTGGCGTTACGCGTTTAGATGATTATAATACATCAAGATTCAAAGAGCTATCATAATAGATATGTACGGTTAAGTTGATTAAGTTAACTGCTATATATACAACAGTCAGCCATAGAAAGGAATTCAGCATACAAATGAGAACATGAACTTGAAGCGGCCATATTAAATACAGTTTAATGCATTAACTTGCTGCTTGAATAATCCCAGTCAAGAAAATCCGGCTATCTGTAGTAAGAAGCAGGGTTGGAGGTAGATGCACCACCTGCTGAGGGCTGATATGGCTGGTACTCTCCAGTACCCGGAGCCGAAGGTCCTGGAGCTGGGTTAAAGGCCGTGTACTGAGCAGGTGGCTGCTGTGATCCGGGAACTGGAGGTGGTTGGTGGGAGGGAGAAGGCTGGTGGGTAGGTTGAGAATTGGGGTACGGCGGTTGGGCTGAAGCATGTTGCTGGGAAGAATATCCATGTTGGGGAGCACCGGATGTAGGCGTCACCTGAGAGTTATCTTCACCTGGATAGGCAGTAGGCGAATAGTCCTGACCTTGTTGATGTTGAAATTGTTGGTGGGGAGCAGAAGGCGCTTGGCCACTTGGTGGATAGCCAGGATGATGAGCAGCGGCAGACTGTGTTTCCACAGGGGAGTCATAGGCAGTTGTTCCTAATTCTTGTGGGTGGTCATATGTAGACTGAGGTCGGTGGTGCATGTAAGGATCAGAAGGCGCTTGGGACTGTCCCGGCTGAGGTGTTCCTCCTGCAAACTGGCCAGGAGATTGCGTAGCTGGCCGATAAGGCATTGTTTGCTCAGCACCACCATAGAATGCACTTGGTGGGTAGCCAGCTGGCGCGGCAGCCGGATATCCGAATTTCTGCTGACCAGGCCGTCCGTATGGCTGTGGTGGATGGGCCATGGAGGCCTCCAACAAAGACTCGTAATCACGACGGGCCTTAATAAACTTCTCGTTGAGTTGAGTGAACTCATCTTGACAAATATAAGCATGTGTCGTTTCCCGCGAGAAAGATTAAAAGACTTACCTTTCTTTTGAGAATATTTGCCAATCAATTCTATCAGCTTAGGTCGAATCGCTAGTGTGGAGTGATAAAGTGTCGTGATCTCCTCATTCTCCTGAACGTTGAGATCTGAGCTGCGAGTGCTTAAAAGAGTCAGGAGCTTCTCGACATTCTTGATCTGTCCAAAAACGTCTCCCTCCATTTGCGCCTCGTGTTGCAGCTCCTCAACTGTCGGGTCTGGAAGCTTCTCTACATAATTGAGAGGGAAGATACCGGTCTGACCACGTAAAGAGCCCTTCCACCAATCTTTATAGACTGATTCCAAAACAGCAATGGTATCTCCCTTGCGGAATTGGAGCTCCCCAGGTTCGGAGGGCTGGAAATCAAACAAAGCTCGAACTCGCGACACTGTGGCTGCAGATGTTCCAGATGCAACTGGCTGGGATGCAGCAGCCTGTGGTTGGCTTCCGGCAGCGGATGCCGCAGATGCAGGTGTGGCAGCAGCAGACGAAGATGTTTCGGCCTGGGGTGTGGGAGCCACTGGATTCTTGTCCTTAACAGAAAGAGCCAGTGCCATTTGCAGCTCCTCTTCCTCCTTTCGGCGATCGAAATCTGTGATTTCGCTCTTGACCGGTTTAGAAGGGGGCTGTAGATTCGGATCTTTGTATTAATTAGCAATGATATTCAGCGTTTTCGAAGTTCAACAATGAATTTACTCTGGGTCTTCAGCTTCATATAAGCTTGCTCCATAATGCCAAAGTCAGGGTTAGATTTGAAAAGCTCAGTCCATTCCTCCATACGTTCCAAAATCTTGGACTTGACTTGTTGATGTGTATTCTATCAGATGCCATAATTGTCAGCTAGTCGTTGTGACATTCATGCAAGAGAAAAGATACTCACACGATCATTGGCGAGACGCAGAAGCGCATCCGTGAAGCTTCTCGAGGCCAGTTCGCGGTGAATTTTCAGGCCGCAGTTTTGCGCGAGAGAGTTGCTAAGCTGGACAAATAAAGTCAGTACATCTATAGGTCATCGCGTTAAACTTATACTGTGATTCGAACCTCTAGAGTGTAAAGTTGGACATTGGCATTTCGGTGGGCCAATCTCTTAATCATGGCAGCAACTGCCTCTTTCGCGCTGTAAACAAACAAATAATGGTCAGTATCTTCTTCCAATTATACATAGTAATAGACAGCTGAATGAGGAGTCAACATACCCTGATTCTTCGCTGCCAACCTTGTCACATACGTCCTGTACAACTCAAGTCAGCTTCATGCTCCGACCCGTTGATGATGCCAACGTCGGTCGATCATTCGAAGTCACGAACCAAGATGTATTCCCAGTTTTCAGATGTGAGGTTCTCGTCAGTCGCCTTGGCTAAATTATTGCGCGTGTCAGTTATTGCATATGAGCAAGCAGGTAAGCGTTTGTTGCGCTCCCATTGCCAGCTATGAGGCAACGAAACCGCTATGAGATCGACGAAACTCACCGATGGCATCGTCGAAGGCGTTCTGCTGTGCGCGAAACATGTCTATTGTGTTTCCTCGTCGGAGGCTAGACGCGGTGATAGATGTAGGATGTCAGACCCGGTGCTCAGCTTTGGACACGTAACTCAGACTACGTCCAGTAAACCTCACTTCAGGATTTGGAAAGGTTCAATCGGTCGATAGCGATCAGGACTTCACCGAGGACAAGGCGTTGTCCGTAGTAGGGAGCAAGCAGGAAATGCGGGGAGGTCGGGAGTGGCCTGGAGTTCGCAGATGCGGGTGGGATTAAGACAACACAGCAAGATGAAACTTGGGGACGAATATGAGTCTTTGAGGAAATAAAAGCCAGGTGAAGTTGAGGTAAAGCTGGTAAAGTCCTTATGAGCGACAGAAAGGTGCAGGCTGATGTGTTCGGCGGAAGCGGCCCACAGTCACCTGAGTAAGCTATGACGATGTCTAGAGCTTAACCTTGAGGTAGAGAGGTACATAGGAGCTTTATAAGAACACGAATAATAAATGGCTGCCTTGGCAATGATTATCATTTATCGAGAAACTTCAAGCTTGAGTGCTTTCCATTATGTTTTAAATTTGTAAAGAGGCTTGTATAGGCTCCTACTTTTCTTATCGCCTGATTTGCACACTCGTCTATCGCTTACTAGATCTGATATTGATATCTCCACTTTACCCTCACTACTAAGGCATGTACTATGTACAGCCACAATTATATGTGAGTGATGGATCGCTTGTCCCCATGATGCTATTATGCCATGATGCCGGCTAAATTCAGCTGAAAGGCAATCAAAACGGCAGAGCTATATTTCTACGACTCTACTGTTATTGCTGGATTTGATTCTCCTAGAAATATTACCGATCACGATATATGAAAACAGAGGGCAAAAAGTGCTGGATAATTGACATTATGTAGTCTAACATTGTGTATAACTAGGTACCATGAAGCCTATCGAAAACAATGAACCTTGGAAAAAAGGCCGAGGTGAAAGGAATTCAAGACCTTGAAATCAAACCCGTGGACCCAATGTGCCCAGCTGGCATACACATACTATATCTCATTAGACCCTAGAAACCCCCTTGGAATTAATGAAGTGAAGTTAAGGGAAACCCCAATCCACAACCGAAACACTAAGAGGCCAGATTCAAACAAAACAGGAGTGAATCCCCCAAGTAGAACTACACATAGACATAGTGCTACATAGACCAAAGAAGAAAAAAGAGTAGGAAAACAAGGAAGATGATAATTAACAGGCTTGTGGACACATATGTTTTTTTTATCACAATAAAAGAGGGTCATCACGATATAGAATGGTAATATAAAGGTAGAATAAAATGGGTACAGGAAACGGGACTCCCGATATGTTCATACCATGTCGGAGATGTAGATAAAACATCAGGAGTGATGGGGGTATCTGAAAGAGACAGGAAGAGAGACAAACAACAAGACAAAATACAAATGAGGAAGGCTATAGGATCTTGTTGGTTAATTGATTAGTTACCCTTTTGGGCCTTTTCTTGGGCTCGGCTGAGACGAGCTGCCTTGACCAAGGGGGCAAGGTGAGAAAGGGGGGAACAGAGTGACATGAAAGGATGCTAAATTTGATGATCAGTAACTAGTTAAATATATGTAGGATAGCGAGGGTGCATACCTTCAACAAGTCGTGGGCTGATGCGCGCTTCTCAGGATCAACCTTGAGTGCCAATTGAAGGAAATTCTGGAAGATAGTCGAGAGTTTGTACTCTTCCTTGATGGTCGGGGTTCCATTTGTGGCAATCAAGTAGAGTGCACGAAGTGGTGATTCGTTCAAGTAAGGCGGTTCACCTTCGATCATCTCGATGGCCATGATACCTAAACTCCAAATATCCACCTTGCGACCATATTCCTTACGAGTCACGACTTCAGGTGCCATCCAGTATGGTGTACCTACCATCGTGTTTCGTTTGTGATGCGAGTCATTGATTTGGGCACAGAAACCAAAATCAGCTACAAAATATTAGCCGGGGTCGTGACAATAACAAAGGTAACATTAACTTACTCAGCTTAATGTTGCCTTCCAATGAGAGAAGAACATTATCAGATTTGATATCACGATGGATGACACCCTTTGAGTGCAGGTGTTGCAGGCCATTCAAAGTCTACGCACTGGTTAGCACTATATTCAGACAGATTAACTATGCGACCAACCTCTCTACAGACTGCTGCAATCTGTCCTTCACCCATGATGTTGAATGTTACAACGTCTGTGAGACTGCCGCCTTCCATGTACTCCATCACCACCCAAAGATCAAGACCATGGAGATAGCTCTCCAAGAAATTCACAATGTTCTTGTGCTTGCTATCTCTCATGACCAAAATCTCGTTGATGATAAGGTCTTTCTTGGGTTGGAGATCAAGATTCATCTGTTTGATGGCGACACAGTTGTTGGTGCCAGCTTCATAAGCAGTGAATACACCACCAGAAGCACCTTGTCCAATCTTGTTAAGGTTGTAATAGATTTGAGTGGGATCTCCAGGGTGACAGATTCTCAACAAACGTTCTCGAACGTCCATAACAGTGCTTTGTCGCTGGCGTTGGCGAGGTCGGGCTGGTGGAGGTGCTCCAGGCCCGGCGCCTTCGTTGGTAGTTGAAGGTGGCGGCTGTGGTGGTGGTTGCTGTTGCTTTTTGCGTTGACTCTGACTCTGGTCTAGCTGTCTGGATGCAATAGCTTGCTGTGCAGCCATGGAAGCTTGTTCCTGATGCTGTTGGTATTGTGTAGGCGAAGTAATGACATTGGAGCCCTTGGACACGGGGGTACCATTGCGAGAGGAGGAGGGGGTGCGATGGGGGGCCGTATATTGTGCAGATTCGAGAATGGATGGAGTGCCGAATGGGGTGGGTTCTTGCGCAGGTCGGGGTGAGGCTGCTGTTTGGGGTTGAGAGACAGGAGGTTGAGGCGGGTCGCGCGCTGGTGTTATGGCGCCCGGTGGCTTGGGGGGTGCACGATGCGGTACCAACCCACCCACAGGCGGAGACATGGTTGGACCAGCACGAGGAACTGGAGGCGGGGATCGCGGATTCTCAAAGCTACCTGCATGATTCTGAGGGAAACGAGGGCCAGTGGGCGATGTGCGGCCGTTGCCAGCAGTGGTTGCGTTGTCAAACTTGTGCCACACTTCGTCATCTTCGTCATCCCCACGAGTATTCTTTTCATAGAATCGCATGATGTCGACCATGGTTTGCGGGTGCTCCTCCTGCTCTTTCTTCGAGATACCATTTTCTTGTAGCAGCCGCTGCCATTCCTTGGGTAGACCAGTGAACTGGCCAGTTTGATTGTCATAGCCGACGTGGGTGACATGTACCGGGTTCTCCGGGGCGGAGATCTTGATATTGCGAGGGGAACCCAGCATACTATTGACAAAGCTCGAGAAGCTAGCCTTTTTACTCCTACCCGATCGGGGCGGCTGACTATCCTTCGCTTCATCAGAATAACGTTTGCCAGGAGTTTTATCAGACTCCCGATTGACGAGTGACCCCATCCGACTCGGCAATGTAGTAAAACTGGCGGACTGTCGAAGTGGCTGACGACCACGAGTATCGGGGCTGGTGTGATGAGATTGTAGCTGGGGCCGCTGGCTCAGGGCTTGGGGTTGGTGATCTGGTTCAGCACTATTTTCATCCAGAGCACTGAGCATACCCCGCATCTCGAAGGGGGTAGTTAAATCATCCGATTTCTGGTCGTAGGAGAAGCGATTGGAGGTTCGAGTACGGGAACGAGAGGCGCTGTGGCTTCTGGGAGGTTGGTGAGATTCTTCGTTGATAGGCGAAGGACCGGCACTACTTTGCTCAACCGACGAGGATGACGAGCCAAAAGCAGCGCCTGCGTTTGAGCGCGATCGAGCGTGCTCGCGGCTATTACTAGGGGAGGAACGTGGATAGACGGGGGCCGAAGGGTGACGTTTCAGAGTGGTTGTGCTTTGATGGCTTCTCAGAATGCGCGAGCTAAGGCTAGTTGAATCTTTTTGAAGTTTGCTTGAAGGTCGGCGGAATTTCAAGGAGAAATTACTCTCTGAATTCATGATGGAAGGATTCTGTCTCTACACGAGACAGATTGCAATTGGGCCGAGGAGGGGTCAGGAGAATTTTCCAACCAGCCAAAGGGAGGCGACCAAGAGTAGTTGTCAGCAAGCAGGGATCAAGATGTCTCTTCTTCCGGAATGATTGATGTATTGAAGAAGGGGAAATCCACTTCCTTTGCACGTGGAAAAGCGGAGAGAGAAATAGGAGTGGCTGGAATATGGTGGGGGTTGAGAAGGGAGATGACCAAGTATATAGACACTGTACAAATTACTATTTTTTTTTTTGTGTTTTGATTTTTGGAGGGATTCGGAAGGAAAAAAAAGACAGGAAAAGTATGAAGAAAAGGCTTTTCCTTTGAGTAATTCTAGACTCTTTTTTTCGACGGGTCATGTCACTTTAATTTATTAATTTGCTTCGAACGGAGTAACCCCGGGCCAAGAATTACCTATCAATCAGCCACTTTTCCATCATTTCATCATTTCATCATTTTCTCATTTCCTCGATGTTATAGAAAAGAGATATGATCAAGCTTATATCCATCTGTTTCATAGACTTGTCAGTACGTACTTCAATGTTATTAATGTGGTGGTCTCGTTGCACGTGATTTCGAGTATTTGATTCTCCCGGCATATTTCTTCCCTTATTTGATTTGATTTGGAATGATTTATATAAGATGACAGAATATAAGCAACTGATAGGCCATTTCTTGTTTTCTGCTCAATTGAGAGCTGGATACTCCTTTTTTATAAGGAATCACGTGGGTCATATTTGCACTGTTTGGTCAATCGAAGTGGGTCTAAGAGAGCCGATCTTGCATCTCGCATCTCCACTATTGATCAGTGGGTATCTGAGATAACAGGGAATTTACATCTTCCAACTGTGGTTCAAAGGACGAAGGACATGCAGCTTCAATATACATTCAGGTATATGGATGCCTAGTATCAAGAGAGATAAATGGGCTCAGAGACAGTGGGCTTATTTATACTTTTAAGTTTTGAGGTCGAAGATATTCAACCGTTTTCCTAACATAGGCAATGTAACCCAGGAAAGGTCCAGATAGTTCACCGTCATAATCTGTGGCTTTGTTTCTGACTCTGGAGCCAAGCTAGTGTGCGAACTAAAAATGGGGCTCTTCACTAGCAAGCTCTTTCTGTTAGCACTTAGTCGACCTCTTTACTTAAATAGGCATAGCCGACAACTTACTCTTGAAAGATGCACTTTTCAAACGCTAGAGCCATAAAATCTTCAGCCCATTCTCCGCACTGATAAAGAGATGTATCAGGATACAACTGTTCTCCACGCAACGTCAACTGGATTCGCAGCGGCCCTACTGCTCGACAGCACTCCAGCTCGCATCTGGGCAAATCTTTAGCCACATAGATCCAATCAAAAATATTTTCTGAGTAGGTCTTGGATCGTAGAGTGTACTGTGGAAAAGATCCCCGGTGACATGGTACAGACGCCCTCTATCGGCTCTGGGTTGGGTTTCGATGTAAATGGCTACATGGTTAGCCGCTTCACATACAAACTCGACGGTGTAAACCCCAAATAACACCATATTCGAGACTCTGAGAGATCGGGGAGCATGTTGTTAGGTTAACTGGGTAGGAATTGCTGTCGTACCCATAGACTCAAAGATGTTTTCAATGTGAATGAATTGGAGAGGATCTGAAGCTTGAGTCGTTGGATTTGAAAGGTAAGATAAATCAGAAGATTGAAGATAAAAGAGAATCTAGCGGTGAAGACATTATCTGAGGCAGCTACATACTAAGCACCAACCTGGGTAGTAGGTAGACCCCGACATCCATCCCACGTAAAAAATAAAATAATCAAATTTCGCTGATTGGGCCCTCGAGGTTTTCTCATTTCTGCTGAATTGTAGATTCAGATGGAGCAGCAGAAAATATCAACAATTGCATCTACTCCGTATATAACGAGCATATGGCACGCTAGACAAAGTGCAGTTAGTTTGTTCAAATAGAAAGTGGATTCAAGCACTTGTCTGACATCATTCCACGGTTTAGCCGAACCCGTGGACTTGATCTGCGGAGTCTGTTAGCCCCTGAAGAATGATATCAGATCTTCCTGAAGAAAGGCAGATATTCAGAAATATCTCAAATTTGAAGAAAGAAAAAGTTCTACCATCATGGCTGCCACCCTCTTCCAATCCGCCAATGCCTCGGCATTCAGCCTCTACGACAATGCTTTCCTCAAAATCACCGGGTCTTCGCCGACTCTCGAGGTGATTGCAGAAAACAGTACATATCCATTTGCCCATGAAGCCAGCGTATATATCCCATCCACGGACGAGCTCTTCATTTCCAGCAACATCTTCACCGACCCAACCACTAACAAATCCACAATTGTGATCACAAAGGTGAATGTGACCGCGAACCCAGTGACAGCAGAGATCATCGACTCCACAATCCCTTTGCCGAACGGCGGTGTTAATAACGGCAACGGGATCCTCTGGGCGGCTCAGGGCACTCTCAATGAAACGGGTGGTCTATTCCAAATGTCCACCTCAGCTCCGTATAAGTCCGAATTTATCGTGGGTGGTTTCTACGGACGCCAGTTTAACTCTTTGAACGACGTTGTCGTGGCTAAAGATGGGGCTTTCTGGTTCACAGATCCAATCTATGGCTCGCGACAGGGTATTCGTCCTTCACCCAAGCTGCCTAATCAGGTTTACCGATATGACCCTACGACAAAGGGCGTGCGTGTTGTTGCCGATGGTATTGGTCGGCCGAATGGCATTTCTTTCTCCCCTGATCAGAGCATTCTCTATATCACTGATACCGCCGAGACCAATGGCGATGGAACCAAGGATGTGCTCTTGTCTGCGACTATGTGAGCTATCACATTTCTATTTCTAGGTTCAATTGCCCACTAAACTTTTCACTAGCTATGCTTTCGATGTTTCGACTATCAGTGGTCAGCCGTTTTTGACTAACCGGCGTGTCTTTGCTATGCCAAGCGACGGAATTCCTGATGGTATCAAGGTTGACCAGCATGGCAATGTGTATGCTGGCTGTGGAGATGGTGTCAATGTTTGGTCTGCGGGCGGTGTCTTGTTGGGTAAGATCCTTATCACGAACGGCACCTCCAACTTCTCGTTTGGCCGTAATGGTCAGATGTTCATTATGAACGAGAACAAGATCTATCGTGCTCAGTTGAACCATAGCATCCAAGGTACTTTGACCGAGAACTAGTCTAGTCTCTTAGTGAAAGGTCAATTTGCTCGTGGGCGCTGTGTAACGGATGGTTGTCGGTCTCGTACCTGCATGTGGATATTCAATGGGGTAAAACTCTGAAACTCTGAAACTCTGGAACTCTGAAAATCTGAAAATCTGAAAATCTGGAGTTTCTATAAATGGAATATTTGAAACATGCTCTATCTCCGTGAGAGATATCCGCCATGAAAAGTTCAAAGTCGTTGAATAGTATTGTTATCTGGAATACATAGATTGAAATAGATATGGCATGATTCTAGTCATGAAAGTCTCAAGTACTCAATTTAAAACATGACAGCTTACTCTTGTAGAAAATGCCCAGATGCGTCTTCACCCGCACTATTCCGGCGATGGAACTAAATCCGGTTATGTACATCCATCGATAGACTCTAACTTTGTAAGGTCGTAAAATTGATCTGGTTTCAACGTGGCAGATCTTGCAGACCGCAACGTTGAAGACGAAAACAGAGGAAATTATCTCACCAACACGAGGTTTTACTCCCCGCGCAGCTGCATCCTAAGAATCCACTTGAGCGCTTTCGGAGTAAACGTTGAGACTTTGAAAATTAGACCGACGCAGACGCACGAACCCCTAGTAGATTGGGCACCAAAGGCCTGGGTGCACCTTGCACTTACCGTAAGCGAGTCAGCCAGCCTATGTCGTAATATCGCTCTGTCGGGTCGTTGGGGAATAGAAAGTGAGCGAACCCCAAGATCCCTCCATATCGCTGAGCCCCTACCATAATCACCTATTGGTCTTTGGAGACATAAGGTTATGCTAAAACTCGTGTTATGACAGGCCTGGCAAAAATCAAGTATTGGTTAAACTCGTGACGAGAGCCAAGAGTGCAAGGAAATACAGAAATCTTATCTTAATCTGGAAGCCATCATCAGTATGTGTTGTCCTTGTCTACTTGTCGGCTCTCGTCTCATCTCAGCCCTAAACACTCGATCCAAGGCATATCGGGCCTCCGCAATTTCCTTATGTCTTTTGATCCTTTTGATGTCCTAGTTAAGGATCTAATGATAAGTGACACCCCTGCTGGACTGTGATAGCTTCATGTTTCACGTTTGTACGGCTAATATTTAGACCTAAAATACGAGGTCCTAGTCTAGTATAATTTTCTCACGAGACGCGTATCTTCGAATGTTTCCCAGTTCCCTCCAAATTAAATTTCTGAATATGTAGTAGATGACCTTTGGATCTACGATCCTGCAGCTCCACGCTTAAAGCTAGGGAAAATCATAAAAGCATCAGGTCAGCCCTCATTGGCAACAAGTAGCGGGTATTCACCGGAATGGGCCCACTAAGCAGAAGCCTCTCCAGAGCCAAATAGACTAGCGTGCGCCACAAATGTCCGAAACCTGATGTCAAAACATCAGTAATTGTTGAGAGATTTGTTGAACTATCACGAAATTCTCGGCCGAGCGAGTGTTCTATTGGCGATAGAATTGGCGACTTGAGTCACGAAAGCAGAAAGGATCAGATAAGCAAAGAGTCCGAAGATCTCGCCTTGCCCTTACTTTTGCTCACCGCAGGGGAATACAGGCCCAAGCACTTGCGTATGCACCCTTGCGGTATGTACGGAGTATCATGCACCTGTGACTCCTGTCGGTAAAAAAAAGAAATCCTCTAAAAGTGCTAAAACCGATTTGATAGACTGGCGTTGGACATGACGGAGACAAAAGCATGTAGGGGAGCGAGAAAACTAGGTAAATGGCCGAATTTCAAATGTGAGAGCTCACATAAGGGGAATGTGCACATCTATGATCCCTCCTAGCGGTTTATAGTGGATTCATAGCGGGTCTTATTTGAAAATCTCACCAAGATCCACTAGGTTAAGATGTTACTCCCGGTCCCTACACTCCGTATGCAGAACGTACAGTCGAGTTTTATGCCCTTCCATGTCTCCCTTGGCGATCTCCATCTTCCCACGCTTGCGGCTGATCAGTGCCTGATTTGAGACTTGGACTTGGCCTGCTAGTACCTCCGTACTGCCATGTGCCTTGCATTGATAGGGTGGACTTGCATAGAAGTGATGCTTTGATTGGCCTACCGAGGGTCTCAAGACATTTTGTTCATCAAGGTGTAAGATGCACATTCGAAGACGAAACCCCGCTGCCCGACCCCAACTGAGCACTTGGAAGCAGACGACTTCGGGACGCTTCCGGCAATTGTTACATAAATTGGTCCTCCCATTCCCAGGTTCCGTTCACGGTTTTATCATTATTTTCTTCCAGTGAGCTCTTCATTTCTTATACTCTGCGGACTCCCAGCTCTCCATTTACTCACAGAGCTAAAATGCTTGCTTTACTCTTCTTCTGTATAGCTTTGGCTGCCGCATATCCCACCCGCGGAGTTTGTAGTGGTGACTGTTGGACGAAAGATCCTTCTGTCATCCAGCGAGTGTCTGATGGGAAATTCTTCCGTTTCGGGACTGGAACTGGAATCCCCATCATAACCTCGGATTCTATCAAGGGCCCATGGACATCTGTTGGTGCAGTTCTACCAAGTGGCTCTGAGATTACAGTCACTGGCGTTGACAGCACGGATATTTGGGTATGTGATCGACGTTCTTTCCGTTCACGGATAATTTCCATTACGCAACATCACTTACTTGAATTCAGGCTCCGGACGTTCACTACGCGGATGGCACATACTACTTGTACTATGTCCTCTCTCAGATCGGCACCCAGAATTCTGAGATTGGCGTGGCTACCTCGACTACCCTAGAATCTGGTTCCTGGACCGATCATGGTGTAGTCGGTATCCCCGATAACAGTGCATATAACAGAATCGACCCGGCCTGGATCTCCATTGACGGCCAAGAGTACCTAAACTTTGGATCTTTCTGGGAAGATATCTTCCAGGTGCCCTTGGCCAATCCCTTGCAGGTCGACTCGACAGCGCCCTATGAACTCGCATACAACAGCTCTCTCAACCATCGCGAAGAAGGATCTTACATGTTCCAAAATGGCGACTACTACTACCTCCTGATCAGCGGTGGACAAGCTGGTGACTACACTGCCACTACTCCACCCCAGGGTGAAGAGTACCGCATCAGTGTTTGTCGATCAAGTTCCGGAACTGGCAACTTTGTAAGTTCAACCCCGCAAATTTGCAGCTCAGCATTCAGTCACGCGTAATCGAGAAACTTACATGATTCCATAATATAGGTTGACCAAGATGGTACTGCTTGCACTGAGTCTGGTGGAACTCTGTTGTTGTCTAGCCACGGACAGGTCTATGGCCCCGGTGGACCGTGAGTTCGATCCTTCTCCCCACATTTCCAATGGTCGATCACTAACAACTCCACAGTGGTGTACTCCAAGATAACGACGTTGGGCTCGTCCTGTACTACCACTACTACCCACTCGCAAAGAAGCAGGCTGGAGGCTCCAATTCTAATGCTGACTACCTGTTCTCCTGGAACGTTCTTGGCTGGGAGAACGGCTGGCCTTACGTCGCCTCCTAAACGACTTGTCTTGTCTTCACTTTCCAAGATTGGAAGTCTCTTGCAACTGCACTTCTTCTATACATATCACTTGCGTCGCTCCACTAAAAGGCGGACTTTTACTCTTCTCTCTGTCAATGCTTGGGTCCAATACTTCTTTTTAAGGGCATTCATTTTTGATACCCATGTCGGTTGGCTATTTGGCACACTTCGCATTACGTGTCGGACAGAATATATTAGTTAATCATTGAGTTAGGCCAACTAAGCTAGTTATTAGTTAGTTAGCTCATGCACATTATATAATCTTGGACTGTTCCTACCAACCTAGGTGCATATCATTTGTACACCACATCCATATTTAGTAAAAGTCTCCCGAGGTCCCAAATAGACCTCTGAAGGTGCTCAATTCTACCGGTAGGTGGATAGAACCCGAGGCAAGCGATTAGACCTACCGGATTCCCCATGCCAGCTCTTGGTGTACTCCTTCCATATTAGTGCTCGTTGCTTTTGCTCACTGAGTATTATATAATCTCACTGATCTGATCATGAGTATCAGATGATTTAGCCCAGCATTGGACGAATTTACACCACGATCTCCAATATTGCTTCGTACTAAAGCCGATCGGAGAAAGCCATTCTTCATGAAAGGAGGGCGGCGAACAAGTTGCCTCACCAATAAGAGCACAAAGACCTTAATGCTACTATCAGCAATTCAATGTACGCTGGTGCTTGGAAAATACTATAAGGCAGAAACCATTGGCTTCCACAGAGCTTGCTCCTAAGAGCTAGTCCTGACATACTACGATATTTTCCTGGAGAGCTTGATTTTTGTTGGCGAGCCAATTATCTAGGAGTCCTACCCTAAATCTTATGATCATCTCTGTTACCAGTTGACGATGATGAAGAAGGTGGGTTATTGAGCCCCTTTCACTGCACATGTACTAAGTATAATTATTCCTATGAGACTGCCTATAAGAAGCTTGCGGAATACCAAGAGACGCAAATCCCTAAATTCTACGGATTACATATTCTCTTTCGATCTTGAGGTGCGTTCTAAGTTTCTGAGCACCTCATGTCGCCAGATGTGACGAATTACGGGCGATTGGGGAGGTTTGGCGAGGACGGAACGGAATATTTTCTTCATTGCGGGGAGAAGCGTATAAAGAAGAAGACCGAACAGGTGAAGAGGACTCAGCTGCTGATTCCATGTTCTCAAAAACATAATTTCCTTCAATAACCTAATTTACTATTTAGTCCTAATTAGGGTATAATACTCCTAATTAGAGAATATATCACGTGATATAAATGACTAGACCGCTGAGTAAGCAGAGAGTGGTCAGTGAATCTGTGAGCGCACCTGAGATAGGAAAGACCTATCTCCAGGACTGCATCTGTATTGTCATGTATTGCCCTAACGTCGACTAGTTTTTCACCTAGGTCCAGTTGTTTTCCAAATTTCCTTCCATAGCTTTTCTTTTTCTTTTGCCTGGGTATGAAGTTTTGATATCCATTAACCTTGGAGGCTCGGTAGCAGTAACGTATCAGGATAGCTGCTTTCCAAACTCGAGGATTGTGTTGGATACCTACTGTGTAGCCCTAGAACGATAATTTGATAACTGGTTATTCGAGCTCCACAGTCCGAACACAGTACACTTGAGAAACTTGAAGAAGGTGCCATGTAGTTGCCAGCACATTCTACGGAGACTAGTGCCTGTCACGTGATGTAGTTCGCGAAGGACACGTGAACCAGTAGTTCATCAACCCTGGAATTATTGAGGCTTCATGTTCTGATTCTCTATCAGTTTTGGAATATTGAGAGTCTTTGAATAGGTTCCTATAAATATTTCACAACATAATCAATTTGGCGTTGAAATAAGTCTTTGACGATGAGACGGTAGACCTGTAAAACGCCGGGACCATTACCCCGGGTGATCATCTCAACCAAAAGATAAAATTGATAAATAGGCCAATTGATACAAAAGAAGAGATCAATTCCTGGCAATTAAGTCAATTGACATTCCTTCGTGTCAACTTTATTTTCTGGTACTCGTGGCGCATCGGCCTCGGAGAAAACCTCCCCGGAGCCTCGAGCTGGCCTCTTCTGTCACTTTGTGTACTTCTGGGGCTCTCTACCTTTTACTTCTACTTCACCTCCCTCTCTCCCCCACACCTCTCTCTCTCTCTCTCTTCCCCCTCCTTTCTCCGGGGATTCTGCATTTTAGGGTGCGAATTTCTTTAGGGTGTCTGCCTCTTCCCCAAATTTATTTCCACCCCCCTCGATTTCACCGCGGAATTATCAATAAACAAGGTGCCTCCCCGTCTTTACTCGATTTCAGAGGTAAGTGTCAACTCACTTCTTCCACTTCTCTCACTTCTCTCACTTTTCTCAATTATCCTCTCTTTCTACCCTCCTGTGCTTACAACACTGCAATTTCGTGTTGATTGCTGATACTGATTCGGTACAGTCCTTGGTTCCCTCCCACCAACCTCCAGTCTCAATACCTCCCTTTTCATCTCTCTCGTTCGTCGCATCCGTTACCGTTTTCACAATGGCTACCGAAGCCCCCACTGCCGTCAATGGCAGCGAATCCAAGTCTCTCGCCGCCATGCTGGCGGAGCAGCACACCCGCGATGAAGTCCACAAAGTGACGGTGGAGGATGTTATTGATGAAGAGGATCTCAAGCACTCCTCTCAACCCGTCATCCAATCATCGGAACCTGCGGTTGCTTCCTCGTCGGAACCATCGATTGTGGCAGAGAACCCCTCCCCCGCGCCCACTCCTACGCAGGCCCCAAAGAAGGCCCCAGCCTTTGACGTTCGCTCGGAGGAGCTGTTCCCAGCCTTGGGAAGTGGACCCAAGCCCACTATCCCTACTGCCGCTACATGGGGTGCGAAGCCTTCCGCGGCATCAGCTCTGGCAAATGGCCTACCACCCCAATCAACGAGTTCGTGCATATCCTGGTGAACCCGGTTCGATGAACATTTCTAACATGATACATTGGTAGTAGATATGCCTCGAGTGATGTCTCTGCCCGGAAAGCACACTGAGCAACTTCGATTGGCCCCGTCCCAGATGCTGCCCCGTGGACAGCTCAAGAAACCTCTGCGCGACATTCTGCGCGATATTTCTCGCAAGTCCAAGGCCAATGTTGATATGCGCGGCGGCCCTGGTGGCTCTGTCATCTTTGAAGGTAAGGGCTCTGTGGATTCCGTCCGCCAAGCTCTGAAGCAGGTCGCGCAACTGGTCGGATCAAAGGTAGATCTCCCCTGTACCATCGTATTTGCCGATTCCTTCTAACTGATCGTTTTGTTTCTCTGCATTTAGCAATCTGTAAAGGTCCCCATCCCAACCTCTGCCCGTGCCCACATCATTGGTCGTCAGGGAGCCGTTGTCAAAGATATCCAGACCCGTACTGGTGCCCGCGTTCAGGTCCCACGTGCCGACGATAATGCTGCCCCCGTCGACGACGATGACTGCGACACTATCGACGTTTTGATCGAAGGTGACGCAGTTGCCGCAGAGATGGCGCGCCGAGAGATTGAGGCCATTGTGAAGGAGCGAGGTTCGAGCATGAACTTGCGCTTGAAGACAATCCCTCCTGAATTTTTCCCATTTATTGCTGGAGCGCACGATGCGGCCTTGAGGGAAATTGAGGAGCGCACAAAGGCGCAGATTAACGTGCCCCGTTATGACACTTGGTCTTTCCAAGCCCCTCCACAGGAGGCAAATCCCGGCCAGGTTAAGTTTGTGCCTGTTACTGACAAGCACATCACTTTGTCTGGAGAGCGGGCCGCCACTCAGGAGGCTCGCGCGGAGATTGAGCAATTGGCTGCCAATCTTCAGCGAAATTTGACTCTGCGTCAGCTGGCAATCAACCGTGGTCAGCACCAGTTTATTCTTGGCAACGAGCCCGACGCTTTGCACAAGTTCCTTGCGGAAACTGGATGTGCGATCGTTCTCCCCCCTTCAACTGATGACAGCGAGTTCCTGACCATCACTGGTCCCCTTGACCAGATTGAGAACGGTATAAACCATGCGATGGACCTTGCTACAAGCATGCAAATGGCTAGCATCGATTTGTCTCGTCAACATTCCTCCTCTGCGGATCCTCACGCTCATGCTCGCGCTTTAACCCAATACCTTCATCGACGCCAGGTGTTGAAGCAGCTTGAGGCAACTTATGACGCACACATCGCCCTTCCCCACAGCGCCGGAGGCCCAGTCACCTGGGAAGTTTACTCCCGTGACGGTAAGAACACTATTCGGGCTCGTTCCGACATTATGAACCTTGTTCAGGCTCATCCTCCCTCTCGTCTGCGCCACATTGCCGTTGACCCATACTTCCACCCGTATTTGCGGTCCCGTGGTATCAGCAAACTCCAGGGCGACTACGGTGTTCACCTTTTGATTCCTGATGACATCGAAAACGGTGAAGTCGTACTTGTCTACGAAGGTCCCACCGCTACCGCCGCTCACTTTGATGTGCCTCGGCAACGCCCCTCCCCTGCAGATGTTGCAGCCTTTGAGAAGTCTCTACAAGAGGCTCAGGATTATCTCCTGTCTACCCTTGGAAACCAAGGAGATATCGTCTCCCAGGCTGTCTCAGTCCCGGCCAAATTCCAGGAGAAGGCACGAAAGTTCATCCTCCGCGAACAGGACTCCATTGAGGAGGGAACTATTCCTGTCCGTGCCATTATTGGTGAGCCGAAGGGTTCCAAGTGTGAAATCTCCCTCCGTGGTCCTTCGGCCTCTGTGGCGGAGCTCGTTGCCAAGTTGGGCGCTTTTGTTGTAGAGCAAGAAAAGGATGACCTTGAGCGTGGATACACCACTACTTTTGACTTCCCCCAGAAATTTGCCAACTTCTTGATTGGAAAGCGGGGTGAGAACATTAACAAACTCCGAGAGGAGTTTGACGTGGATATCAAGGTGGAGAACGGTAAGGTTGAGGTCAAGGGACCCAAGGCGAAGGCAGATGCTGCACGCATGCGCATTCTCAATATGGGCAAGAAGCTCGAAGACGAGACCACCCACATTCTCAAGATTCCTGCGCAGTACCACAGTGAGTTAATCGGAACAAAGGGAAACCAGGTCAACCGCCTGCAGGATCGCTACTCTGTTCGCGTACAATTCCCCCGTTCAGCCCGCGCAGCCGTTCCTTCAGATGACCAGTCCGTGGTCAGCAGTGATCATGGCGCTCCTCGGGGTGGCCGCCCTCAACAGGCTGCCGACGAGGTGTACGTGAAGGGTCCTAGCAAGGGTGCCGACTCTGCTCGGGACGAGATTCTCAGTTTGTTGCAGTGGGTTGTTGACCATGCCCACTCTGCATCCATTTCCGTGGCCCAGAGCCAGGTCGCGTCTCTGATCGGCCAGGGTGGTCGTGAGATGGACAAGCTGCGTGCCGATACTGGTGCCCAGATCGGTGTTCCCAGTGCAAGTGATGCGCCCGACGCATCGGGTCGCGTTCAGATCCGTATCAAGGGTACGAAGCAACAGGTTGCTGAAGCTAAGAAAATCTTGCAGCAACGGGCGACAGAATTTGATGCTACTGTCACCAAGTCTATTGAAGTCGACAAGAAGTACCACCGGGCCCTGATTGGCGGAGGTGGTGCCAATATTCGTAAGATTGTAGTCGATGCCGGTGGCCCCAGCGATGGCAGTGCCGCCCGTCTTGTTAAATTCCCTCGCCCTGAGAGCACAGAATCCACCATTCGCCTAGAGGGTAACGGCGACGTTGTTGACAAGATTGTTGCTGCTATCCAGGCTTTTGTTCAAGAACGCGATGACCAGGTCACAGAGACTCTGGACGTTCCCACCGTTCAGCACCGCGCCCTGATCGGCAAGGGTGGAGATGTTCGTCGTGACATTGAGTCCAAGTTCAAGGTCACATTGGATATCCCTAAGCAGGGCTCGGGCCGTACTGAGATCAAGCTCAAGGGCCCCAGCAATGCTGTTGCGGAAGCTAAGGCTCATGTCCAGGATCTCCTGAAAGCCCAGCACGCTGATGTTGTGGATGTCCCACGAAACTTGCACCATGCTGTCGCTGACAGCGGTGCTATTTTCCGACGCCTGCGCAATGATCACCACGTCACTGTCCATCACTCCGGCCAAGCCCCACCCAGCAACTCTGCTTCTGAGCAGACCCGCGATGCGACCAACGGCACATCCCTTCCCCTGATCACCGACGAGCCCAGTGCTGCTAAAGATGCTCATTCGTGGAAGGTTGTTGACAGCAGCAGCGCTACCGATACTGACGCGACTCCTTTCCCATGGGTTCTTACTGGCTCTCCCGAGAACGTCGCCAAGGCCCGCGCTCTGATCGAGAAAGCCATTACCTCTGCTTCGCAGCAGTCCGCTACCGGTTACTTGATCCTGCCCGACCCCAAGACCTACCGTTTCGTCGTTGGCCAGGGCGGTAGCAAGATCAGCTCCATCCGCAAGAAGACCGGCTGCCGCATTAACGTGCCCAAGGACCAGACTCTTGGTGAAGCTATTGAGATCCGGGGTAGCGCTACCGGATTAGAGGAAGCTAAGGACCTGATCCTGGAGGCTGTTCAGAATGGCTTGAACGGCTCTGGAAGGTGATAAATCCTGCACTTCTTCATTTGAACGTTTTTTTGAGTCTGTTCAGCTAAGGCCTGCAGAACATATGCCCCAACATACACCTCTCCCTATCAGCTAGCGGGGCAGGGGACTTCTTGTTACTAGTTGATGTTTCGTTCCGTCCCAGATTTATATGGGGGCGGTTTCTAGTTTTATCTTTTATTCAAAAAGAATGATTACTTCCTGTTCCTTGTAGATTATCAATTCATTCCTCATATACATTCATGGATGCGGCAACGTATTGACAGATCATAAGAATCGATCCGGATCTACCTATAGAATCCCCAAGCCGAGGGCTGTAAGTGATGCCTTTCACGTGGCCAAGGTTCCAAGGCTCATTCCAAGGTTGATACACTGCAATTCCAGAGCCGGAAACTGTACCGGGGCATTCACCATCTGTGGACACCCTGCCCAAAGGCATCTATATCTATATCTATATATAGGCTAGTCTATTCCATTTCCATGCAGTTGTCCTCCACAATTTCCGACAGACGAAGTGTTCCTTTATACAGTCCCCCATTACAACCCAACAATCAAGACCCATGCCGCCGATCCATCTGCGAGCCGAAAGCCATAAAAGCGGCAAAACTCCCAGTAGTCATGAAAACAGGGCCCCAAAAAGCCGGAACGAACTGTCCCTTCATCAAATACCGTCTCATAGACCAGTATCGAAAGAACCCATAACCTAAACACCACACACCAAGCAACTGGCAAAGCTGTGTAGCGGAAAACGCATGTCCTAGCATCGCACTCGTGGAACTGTCGACCTGTGCATGGTCGGTTTCGGTGCTCTTGTTTTCGGATGCTGCTACTTCCTGCTTTGAGGGCACGGGTACTGGGGCAGGTGCGGGTGGGAGTAGCCCGATACCTAATCTGGAGGATAGGACTCGGTCTATAGCGTCTAACCGGTCAAGCGCTAGGGCCATGGCTGCGAAGCCGAGGCCTGCCCGGGTCCATGAGAGGAACGTGCGCTCGTTGGCGTGGTGGTCGCGCTGTTGGGAGCCTGTGTTTGCGACGCGCGCCGGCATGACGCGGCGGAGGAGGGAGGCAACCATATCCCTAGACCTTGGGATCAATATGGGGAGGCTTGAGGTTGGGTGTGATAGATTTAAAGATTAAAGATCGATAAGCACGTGGCTAAAATTGCATCTTTGGTCCTCATCGGCCGTATCTTTTAGATCTACGGTACTTGCCTTGGCAGTGGTAAAGTAACTCCTCCGATACAGAAAGATCCATCAGTATTAGCACGTTCTGATACCGTGTTTTTTTCTTAATTTCTATTTCATTGGAGCAACAAACTACTACTGTGTATGCATTCGGCGATTAAAACCTCACTATGACCGGTTTGGTGCCTCGATTACATTACCACCACTATTATTGGTGAGTTGAGACCCACAGCGTATCAACTTATGCACTCTTATTACTCCGCGTGGAGTACTGCATTTTTGCACTTAAAGTAATTTCAAAATTGACCATGTTTGTCCTCTTTCAAATCTCTGTAGCCGTAGATGAGGTCGAACGTCGGCATTGATATCATTGTTTGCTTATTCGGACGAGAAAACAGTCGCTCGGGCGAGAAAACAGCTATCTCGGGCGAGAGAATGGCGTCATTTGAACTATACAGGCCATTACCCCAGTACTGTAATAAATCCAAATCGAAAGACTTAGGGCTTTGATATGAGTTCAGAACCTACAAAGCCATCCTTTTGTATTTCAGTGCTCTTTGCTTGGCTTAAATGACTATTAATCTTGGCTAGGTACTTGAAAGCTCTCTAGCTACGAATATGCATGTCCCTTAAGTATTATAAGAAAGACATTTTAGTTTACCTAGATAGGCAGTTTTAACCTCACTTTTACTTTGATCTCACTATAACTTTCATTTCACTCTTACTTTCACTTCACCTAAATTTTTCATTCCCTATCTGTCTAGATCGCTAGTCCTGAGTGCTAGCATATGAACCAGTATCTATTTCTTCTTCTGTATTGATTATTCCTCCTTAAACACCACCTACTCCTTCCAGGTGGCTAGATACTCCTATTGACATGTCTCGTGTGATGACAGAATGCAACAAGTGCATCCACAAGCGTGGTGATGGGGTGTACCTACTTAAGGATATACTGCAAATTCGGGTTATCAGTTACCATCGAGCTAACAGCTTTGGAACTGCCCTGAAACTTTTTCAACAGTCTGTTTGACTGTAACCAGAATCGAATCAATTGCCACAATCTATTAACTTCCTTATCAATTTTGAAGGAAAACCAAAATTTCCAGCCAACTTGAGCAATGTTCAGAAATTCAAATGGCAACAACACTGTTCTACCAAGTATTCGTGCATTTGTTTACATCCTCATGTAACCTTGGAATCCGTCAAACAATAAGACAGAAAAAGTGGCCTACACTCATTGAGTTACTGCAACAAAACGATGACTAACGTCGATCTGGACCTCGAAACAGAATTGCAATACTGCCGCCAGCTTGAACTATGTCTACACGATTTAGATCTAGTCATGCGATGAATTCTAGTCTATTCTCCGCTAGTACCAAAGGCCGAGGTGATGGTGCTTTAGCCGTTCTTATGGGTGTGCTTGGCCCCAACTATGTCTCAAATATGGTCCTTTTTCTCTTTTATAAAACATGAAGGCTCACAGTCGATGACGAGGTCCATACCATCGACAAGCATATATCCACCCCCTGGGAAGATCTCACCAGAATTCACCTATAAAATACATGGCCTTGAGCATTATGTTTTAACTAGCTTCCACTTTCATTTCACCTACGACACTCCTTCACTTTCTGTTTACTGTTGGTGACAGCCCTGACGTGAACTCGAGAATTCACTGCCTGCCTGCCAGAATTCTATTTTTCTCATGCATCGACCTAGCTACCCTACAACTAGGGCAAGGCAGTTCCACTTCCACTTCAGCCCTTGGAAGGCTCTTCGGTCCAATCCATGTATAGCAAACGAAATATAGGGTGATTAGAATTTCATCATCAAAGAATGAAATTTCCTCGCTGTCGGAGCTTGAAGAAGGGCCTCGCTATGGAGTATTTCAAGTTTCAGCCCATTAAAGTGCCGCTACCCAAAGGAAACAGGAGCAATGAATGTTTCACCCTGCAAAATTCATGTCTTCCTGAGCTCTTTAGGTATGGATCCTAACATCCTCACTTGACCATCATGTCATGCTTACCTACCGGAAGACAACTGTGGATAATTTGCCAGCTTTCGAAACTCCTCTATTCAAACATTTGAAATTTTTTTACAAAACTTTGAAACTACACTATATGACGATATTGAGCAACCACCTACGCTCAGCACAAGCATCTAGCGAGTCTCAGCAAGACTGACCTCCCGAAATCAACCATACGAACAATCAACTAGTATGGGATAATCTTCAGTTTGCTGCGCATTTGATGAGGTTGAACAATCCAATCCGGTTGTACCCCTTATTTGCCAGCATGAAGCCCTCCTTTAAAGAGACCAAGTGGCTTTCGATGCAAAGCACTGTGCAGGCTACCATGGTGAAAGTGTAACTGTTTCCCCCAGACTGGATTTCACCTCATTTTGACCTCACTTCCGAAGTCTCAATTTGCCTAAGATTGCTGAAAGTAAATACAAGTATTCATTACCAGCAGGGCTGGTTGGCATACACACCGGTACTTCCAACTTCCTCCTTATACACCTACACACTTTACAAGCAATGATCAAGCTTGGCCGAGAGTGAACCCCATGGTTTCTTGCTCCCTCGCTTCGAGACCAATCTCCATCACGGTTACCGCTACCCAGAGTGCATCACCCGACTGAGGGATTCGATGGTTCAATTTGATAGAGGATGACCTTGCCAGCCGATTATCAGACTAAGATGCACGAGTGCTATCAGATTCCTTTGCGGCTCAAAAGCTCGGAGCATCTAAAAGTCTTATGTCAACTACATCTGGTATATGTCATTGTGCTTGATCAAACCAACGACAAGCAAGAGTACAAAATGAGTGAATCACCCGGAAAAGAAGAATGAGAGGCCATACAGAGGGTTGGCAATCAATATAGGTCAAAGACCATTGTACAGCGATTTGCGAGAAAGGAGATGGGCTTCGCAGCATGGCTTTGCAAGCCCCCAAGCTGATTTGGCTACTGAGAGTGAGATGTCACCCGTAGACATTATTCGCTGCCAAATATGGCCAGCCCAGTTTGGTTGATCTACCCGGAGTCGGCCAGAAGTTCATACCTGGGTGTAATACTGAAGTTGAACTAAATATATTTACAAAAGCTTAGAGCCTTGGATTCAATCAGGCTAATTATTGTCGTATATTATTTTAATCTATTCTCGGGGTAGTATTGCAAATAGCATAACTGTATAAAATTGATCAAATGAAAAAATAAAATGCTGCATTTACAAATCTCACACAAATAAAATATGAACTCACAATCAGTCTGATGCTACCAATTCAGCCTATTCAACTTCAATGGCAGATGAAACAACCTATGACCAGAATTATTAGGCTGGGGAAGCTGGCCAGCCCGAATATTCATTTGCAAAGATGGATGTAATAATCTTGGTGCACCCAGCGTTGCATCTCGCTTAGTCCGCAGCGCCACAAACTTCTCCTCAGTAATTGACTCTCGAAGATGCTTGTTCTGCCTCTTATGGTCACCAACGCTCATCCAAGGAACAGGTGAATGGCGTTCCTCTGGCGGGTAGTCATGGCCTGGCCAAATCTTGACATGTTCTTCCAGAGCAAGAATCTTGCGGGCTGACCTGAAGAGATGGGTTGCGTTTCCGCCGGGAAAATCACATCTTGCAGATCCGATATCTACATGGAAGAGAGAATCACCACAGAACACATTGTCTAGCATAAACTGTTAGAGCGAGATATGCAGTGTATTAGGGACTTCTTGGTGACTCTTACCTCCAATATGATATCCTAGATGGTCCGGTGTATGACCGGGAAGGTGAACAGCCTTTGCAGTCAAGTTTCCAAAGGAAAAAGTCTCGTCATCGTCGAATAACTTGTCAAACACGCCTATATACTCCTCTTTCGGTACTCCATATCTCTCACCGAAGAGTCGTTGCACCTGTTCAATGCGTTTCCCAATCCCAACTGGTGGGACATGCACTTGTATTTGAGAAAGGCGCTTCTGGAGATACGCAGAAGCAGTGAGGTGGTCTGCATGAGCATGCGTTTCAACGATCCATTCGATTTTGTAGCCTTTGTCTTTGATAAGACGTAGTATATCATCGGCTGAGATGGTAGTGATAGTCTGGCTGGCCGGTTCATAGTCCAACACCGGATCGATGATTATGGCGGCTGAAGTTGATGGGTCGGCAATGATATACTGCCATGTACCGGTCTTGGGTTCGAATACATTGTGAATGGTTGGTTCTCCTTTTGCAGGGGTGCTATATGACCTAGTGTGAAGCAAATCCTGATATATTTTGATGGGGCGAGGAATAGAATAGGTGTTACGATATAGAGATTGAGGCTTTGGGAGTCCTCGGTGGTTATATGCGGTTCTTTCTCCTTGCTGGCTTGAGGTAGTTATGCTGGCGTCCGATGAAGGGATTGCCCCACTAGGCGTCAAATGCCGACTTTCTCTCCACAAACGACGATAAATGGCATTGGCCCGAATCGAGATCATGGCTGTTCCAAATGGGTGAGTTCTAAATATGTATCAATTGGTCGGACGAAAGATATTGGAGTGAGAAGTAAGATTGTGATTGAGGTTGGATTATATAAGATTGGGGGTAATTTAATTAAAGGTCGCCGATAATCCGGCGATAATCGATCTTTTTTTGAGTCATACAGTCGCCGATTAACAATCAAGTAAGTGATAATACAGTCGGAGACAATAAGTTGAGCATGAAGTACGGATCATGGAAGCCGAGTGGATCCTGTAAAGGGTCTGTATTGAAAGTTACGGATCCACGGCCGAGAACAAACTTCTTCCAGTTAATTAGAGCCTCTGTCTTTCCTTTATCCCTCATTTATAGGAAGAGGAAAGAGAAGAATTAATATACAAAATGTTTCGCCAAGTAACAACGGCGGCCAGCCGTGCACATGCCGTGCCCAGCATCCGCTCCTTCGCAACCGCCTCACCCGTCAGCGCAGCCCGCAGCCACAAGGTCGTCGTCGTGGGCGGCGGTTCAGCTGGTATTTCAATCAGTCACCAGCTGCTCCAATCCGGCAAATTCAAGACACACGACATCGCCATAGTTGACCCGGCCGAATGGCACCACTACCAGCCCGGCTGGACTCTCGTCGGCGGAGGACTGAAGGACAGAGAGGAATTGCGCCGACCACTACGTAGCCTGATTGATTCCCAGCTCAAATTCTACAACGAAAGCGTGACCACATTCACACCAGAGGGCAACTTCGTTACCCTCGGCAATGGCGACAAGATCAACTACGAGCAGCTGATCGTCGCTCCAGGCCTCAGCATCAACCTAGGCAACATCAAGGGTCTCCCCGAGGCCCTGGCCAACCCGGACGCCCCCGTCTCCTCCATCTACACCTATGATACCGTCAACAAGGTCTTCCCCAACATCGAGAAGCTCAAGAAGGGTTCCGCCATCTTCACCCAGCCCGCCGGTGCCATCAAGTGCGCCGGTGCCCCGCAGAAGATCATGTGGCTTGCACTGGACCACTGGAAGCGCGCTGGTCTATACAACCCCGGCAACCCATCCAACTCATCCATCGATATCAGCTTCGCAACCGGCTTACCAGTCATGTTCGGAGTGCCCAAGTACAACGCCGCACTGACAGCCATACAGCAGGAGCGCGGCGTCAACGCTCTTTTCCAGCACGACTTGATTGCCGTTGAAGGCAACAAGGCGACTTTTGCCCGGCTCGATGGAAAGGAGGCTGTGACAAAGGAGTTTGACTTCCTGCACGTCGCACCGAAGATGAGCTCGCCCGCTTTCGTCAAGGATAGCCCTCTCGCGAACGAAGCCGGTTTCGTCGATGTCGACGATGCCACTACCCAACACAAGAAATATGCCAACGTCTGGTCTGCTGGTGATGCCTCAAGTCTCCCTACCTCCAAAACAGCCGCAGCTGTTACAGCCGAGGCGCCCGTTCTCACTCGCAACTTGCTGCAGGTGTTGGATGGAAAGAAGCCTGATGCTGTGTATGATGGATACACTTCCTGCCCGATGACAACTGAATACGGCAAAGTTATGCTGGCTGAGTTCAAGTACGGCCCTGAGCCGAAAGAGACCTTTGGAAAGTGGTTCGGTATTGATCAGTCTATTCCCCGTTCCAGCTTCTACTACCTGAAGAAGGACTTCTTCCCTTGGGTATACTTTAACTCCATGGTCAAGGGTAAGTGGGGAGGTCCTAAGGGATGGACTAAATAGAGTATAGGGAAGATGTTGGTGTATTGAAATACTGTATAAGACTTGGATGATTGAAATCACTAAAATAATTACTACACATGGCAGGATTGCCCTAACTTCATGTTAAAACACTTTAAAGCACGGCCTAGCCCCTAGATCAATACAGCAATTATTATACTCCTGTCATACTGATACCATATTGCATATCGGGAATGCACTTCTTCGCCGACTAATGCGCCAAATGTAGAAGCGGGTGTAGCCGACACTTTTCAGAACAGATCTGGAGCTTATTTCAGGCATCACAATTACAATTTCGAGTTTCACGGCTTCCCTGACTGCCATTGACTCTTATGTAATATTGGAAAACGGAATCCGAAGGAAATCCGTTATCAAGCCTACAGTTGATCTAAAGTCTAATATATGCACAGAAGCAGCTAGAAACATCGGATCTACTCCGAATTCTCCAGATAACGGGAGCATTAAAAGCCGAAAAGAGCAAAAGTACTACAGTAAAGCCGATTCTCACCCCAAATAACCAAGGGACCGCGAACAGGATAAAAGATCAATATCAAGATCAAGAAAATAAAAAAAGATATTCAATAAGAATAGTATAAAAAGAAGAGGAATCTGTCATAAACGAAATGCATCCATGAATCCGTACAGGTGATATCAACCCCGTAGACTCTTGCTCCTTTGCTCCCGAGATCGTAGTTCTTGCTGAATTGTTTTTTTTCTTTATTTTCTCTTTCCCCCGATTTACTTTCTGCTTTGCAGTAGTAACTCTTGAGTCCACTATACTCCTCTACTGCTGCTTCTGCTGAGCCTGGAGGTAGTTGTAAGCTCCGTAGGCAATAGCACCTCCGATGAGGAAAATAGCGTAGAGACCGACACCGAGACCGGCAGGGGAGGGACCGCTGGATGAGGAGGGAGCGTGAGTCTTGGGAGCAGGGTCACCGGGCTAGAAGGACATAAAGTTAGGAATTTGAATTCTGAGATGCAAGGGTTGTTTGTTCCCTGGAGCTATTATATCATACCTGGCGCTTCAATGAGGCGACGAAAAGGCCGTCCAAGATCTCGCGCGCCTCGTCGGAGTGGCCGACGTCCTCGAAAGCCTCGGTGCCATCGACACCGGCAACGTCCATGAGGACTTCCTCACCACCACTATAGATGATCCGTTAATATAAGCTGTTCTGGTATATAAATGTCTAGAGCATCGAGTCACGGTGTGACAGGGGGTATGGTCCGCTGCGGTCAAGCCAAGATGGAATTGTTTGCGCGATTAGGGGGCAACCGTTGATTCCACTCCTTGGCAAGACTAAGGCCCAACAGAGCCCAAATGACAGAGAAGATAGGGAAAGTGCATAGTCCTGGAGAGTACGTACGGGTGCTCATCGACGAAGCTGGTCACATCATAGACCTTGTCGTGAATGACCATGTACAGGTCCTTCTTGGAGGCGTGGGCGGAGACCTCCTCGAAAGTGAGTTGCTTGTCAGACATGATGGACCGAAGAATCTGAAATGACACGAAGAGCGAAGAACAGATCAGCTAGGGCTTGAAGAAAGTAGAAAAGAAGAGGGGGTAAGATAGCAGGAGAGGACAAAAGATGATCCGTGTTCTTTTTCTTCTTTAGGAAAAAGAAGGTGATAGAAGGGATGAGATAGAAGATAGATCAGAATACAAAGATAGACTCACCCGAAAAGACAAAAAGAGATAGAGACAAAAAGAGATAGAAACAAAAAAAAAAAAAAGGGACAGAGATCTTGATATGTGCAAAAGGAAGCCAAAGATCGAAAAAGAGAAAGGGTTAATTATTGGTACGTGCGTTGCTCCTTCTCCGCCGGGGGAAAAGCTACGGATGCCGTGGTGATAACCGATGGGCTGATTTCTATTTGAAGGAACGTAAGGGGCGAAGTTCGGGCGAATTCTACACCGGTTCTTTGATATTATATTGCTTATTCTTAACTACGAGAATTAGGGATGAAGGTGGTGCAGGACTCAACGAATCAGAAGTTGCTTATTATATTGTCAACAGGCGGAGTAACTATGGAGCCGATGTACGATCTACCGAAGTATACAGAACATCAACAATCAACAGATTCTATGAACATGAGTTACATACATAGTACATAGGTACTCTATTCTATCTCAATGCTCAACGCTAATATATTATTGTAGTGCTCCGTACAACCGCCTCCGATTTCTCCAACTTCCCCGGCCTCTATTTGCTCCAATCCATAGCCTCGGGAACTGATACATCGGTTATTAACCACGGGATCCATCAATCTATTACTGATAATCCACCGGTCGATCATTGATCTACTTTTTAAGTTGTTCATATAGTCATGGAATTTGGGTACTGGATGAAAATGTAAGCCATAGTACCTCATCTCTAGATCGTAGCTCGTGACATAGAGGGGAGAGCATGTATGGAGCAGAAAAAGACAAATAAATCTGTGGAGATAATAAGAAAGGAACAGAAAGAGGAAAATACGCTCATTTCGCTGGGACTCGCTCATAAAAGACTATGTACGCCTGCTCGTTTTGCAGCCGGTCTCGCCCTCTGAGATCACGCGGGTTGAAATCGGTTGCCCTTTCGTCATCAAATCTGCGCCAACATTGACGCTCGGCATCGCGCACAAGGGAAATGTAATGTCCACTACCCATGGACGATCCAATATGGCGGAGAACAGCAAACGCGTCATATGTGAATGGGGGGACCGTGGCACCGGTGGCGGGTGGTGCTTTCGAATCGGTAGTCGGGATGGGATAGTTAATGACAAAATCATCCATGCGCAGTCCATGCAGAGGAAATTCAATGGGGGTGTGGATCTTCCGTGCACTTTGTGTCTTGGAGGCAGAAAAACGTTTAAAGTGGACCACCAGAATTTGTGGAGCTCGTGTCATAATGATTTGTTTGGTCGCCATGCGCTTGCATTTGCAGTGTGGGCACTTCCAAACTTCATCACCACTCAGCATCTCTTCTTGACAATAACTGCGAAGACACTGGTAGATGTCTCCAGTACCAGTGGCAGGAATTTCCACACTGATACTATAGAAGGCCTCGTACGTAGTGGAGGTCTTTTGACAAGTGGTGCACCGAAGCCGGCTTGCATGCTGCCCAGCAAAGAGGGATGAGATGAATGACTCTTCCCGGTGGCTGTATCGGTCCCATTCGATCTTGGAGACTTTAGGTACGGGCATTCTCTCCCGTTGCATCTCCTCTGAAAACGTTAATGGCCGGAGCGGATTGCGCTGCCAATTGATGTTCAGGTCCTCATGGAGGCAGTCCACCACAAAATCGAAAAACTCCTTGGCATCCTGCTGTCGATCGATGACCCATTCTTGGTTCAATCTACCACAGAAGTTGCGGAATGAGGTTGGCATGATCACTTCCACGTCGTTCTTCCAGAGGGACCGGATCAGGTTCGCATAAAGGCCAGGCATCACACCCTGCGACCCCTTCCAGTTCTTTTGTACATAGTAGCGAAATCTATCGTCAATGAAGAATTTGCTCATCACGATAGTTGCGCTCAGACATTGGAGTGTAGAATTCATGTAGCAGGTAACACCAAAATTGGTCAGTCCGGTGCGCGGAAGTTTCAAGCGACTGAGAAGAGAACTAGGCGTATACAAGGCAGTTCGAACGGCCGAATTCTGTCGCTCTAAATGAGGCTGGATCTGCCGACCATCTGCAACCCCACTGTAACTAGGCCGCGAAATAGCAGGAGGCGGCCGAGACGGAGCTACAGGGATGGCGGGAGCATCATAATTGGGAACTAGAGGTGCAACAGGTCCAGATTCCGCATATACCATCGACTGCTGGACATGATGCGGCTCTGGGAAGCGGCGCAAGAAATCTTCGTACGTGTGAACGAACGGGGCAGGAGCGTGTTCGTTCTTATCCAGCTGTTCAGGTTCCTCGCTCACCGATTCCGAATCCTCTGCTAAGTAAGTGCTTGTGTCAATTTCCTCATTTTTAGACTTTTCCATCCATGCCGACAATTCCTCGTTGTTGAGAGGCGTGAACCCTCGAAGCCTCCGTTTGCGCACTTCAAGACTGGAGTTGGCGCTGGCCACGGTAGGTGTTCGACCCAGGGGGCGACCTGGTTTCGGAACAGGCTTCCGGTTTTGCAGTGACCCCATGACAGCCGCAGTCGAAGAAGTGGCAAGCGACTGTGGGCCAAGGAGATCAATCCAAGCATCCAGACCACCGAGGAGTAGAGCAGGAGGGCGCCCCGCCTTAAGTGGTTTATATTCGTTAAATTCATACAAAGTGTCGTAAAGAGCTCTCAAATGTGGCGCTGACGTTCCAACCGGTGAGCCTGCAAGGTAGCTAGTCGACGCCGTACTTTGATCATAATAGACAACGAGATCAAATTCATTCCGTCGTTCGAATAGTGCTTGTTCGTATTCTGGGGACACAACCAAGCGCTCCTCAAGTTCTTCCGCTGACACATTCTCTTTCAAAGCCACCGGGTCGATGGAGATGATGGACTTGGCATAAATATGGCCGTTGTCATATTGATCTCGAGGGCGAACATCGATCAGTAGTACGCTATATTTTCGCATATAATCAAGGAGGTCTGGTGCTGAAACAGTTGAACTGAATGGTAAGTCGGGAGAATTACTGCGCGCAGCAAAGACACCATTAGGTGTTTGTGACCTGTACGGACTATCATGAACGCCAGGGCTAGGGCTTCCATGCGGAGAATTGGCAAGCTGGGAATAGCGTCGACTCCATGATCGTGTGCTTTCGGTTGAGGTTCTTGGAGGGTTCGGTGGTGGAGGTTGCGATGGAACGGTGTAGATGGGACTGTAGGCGGGATCGGGAGCACGGGGAAGAGATGTTGCGAGAGGTAATTTTGGTGGTACGTTTGGAGCGGGTGATGAGGAACCCATGCTGCGAGGGCCCAGGGGCCGCCTGGTTGGTGGCGCATATGAAAGGCCAGAATTACTGGGTGGAGTGTTAGACGTATAGCTTGATACTTGCCCCGTAGGTCCTGAGGGAATATGCAATTCATGGTCGCGGGGTTGCATCTTCAGCCTTGCAAATCGTTGTGCCAAAATGTCGTCTACGGGACTTGAGAATCGCTTGGAGTTTGACTGTTGAAACTGGGTAGGGCTCGGCATCCTTGCATCGCTCGTTGCTCTGTCACGGTTCTCAAGTCCCCACGTAGTAGACGCGGGCTGCGATTTAGATAGTTTTGGTGAAAATGACCCAGTGGGTTGTACATGGGTCTTCAAATTGTCCTCGATAATCTCCTGCTTGATTGCGTCCATTGTTCCTTGCTTTGTTCGTACGACCTTTAATCCAATGGATATCAAGTCAGTATTTAAACCCGTTAATGAGACGAAAAGAATTTCTTATAATGGAATTATCGTACCCGCATCAAAGTCGCGAACTCATTGTAAAATCCGGGGCGCTGGGTAGTTATGGTCCGGTAATCTGGATGGTGAGGAATGAGGTTTATGGTAATCTCCGAGGCTCGCAGATACTCCACATAAGCTCTGTCGGATTCCTCATCATCTGCGAGTCTTTTCGCTTGTTGGATCGCCTCATAGGCTATCCTCATTAACACATCGATCTGCGTATCTAGTCAGTCGTTGGTACCTTCCACTCCTAAAAATATTACTTACCGAAAGGTTCTCGCTCGTGCTCAGCAACGCTGCTTGGTCCTGCAGGTCTTTGATATTGGGAAACCTAGGTCGTGGTACTGAAGAAGTGCCACTATGATATGAGATCGGCCTGGTGGCCTGACCGTGGGAATGCATATTGCCCCCCACCGAGTAAGGACGCCCCTTCCACGGTGGTATGTATGGTAAGGATGGTAGAGTCGCTGCATCGGGGGGCATGGTCGAGGCAGAGGAAGTATAAGTATCAGCGCATGACTGCTAAAGGAAAGTTACAAGGCAGCAACAAAGAGTGTCGAGTGAATGATATCCATGGGGTGGAAGCGGGTCTGGGGTATCATGACAATACTTCCTTACTCTCTCACCGCCTTGACCCTATGACGCCAGGAGACTTAGTCAACTGCGGGCTGGCGTGGAGCTCTGCTATCCTTCATTTCACTGTTGCCTAGGCTTTTTCTACTCTTAATTCATTTAAATTGAACTTGCGAGTCTGTTTAGTGTGATACTGAGCTTACCATTCTACATTATGGCAGGCTGGTTTTCCTCCACCTCGCCGCTCGACGAGCAGATCGAGCGGGCGACTGCTTCCTCGCTGTACGTGGTCATCGTTATTATTGCAGCCTAACCCTTCAGTATAGCTGACCGAATATTAGAGAGGACATATCGCTTAACTTGGAAATTTCTGATTTGGTGCGATCGAAAAGCGTGCAGCCCAAGGATGCAATGAGGTCCTTGAAACGCCGCTTGGAGAACAGAAATCCAAATATACAAATTGCGACTCTCAAAGTGAGTCATATTCGCCTGGAACTTGAATATGCCAGATACTAAAGCGTGCTTGTTGTTTACTAGTTGACCGACACTTGTGTCAAAAATGGCGGTACACACTTCCTGGCCGAAATCGCCTCTCGTGAATTTATGGATAACTTAGTTTCACTACTGAAATCCGAAGGTGCTCCAATGAATTCTGATGTACAGCGGAAGGTACTGGAACTCATACAGAATTGGGCTATGGCAGCTCAGGGCCGAATGGATCTGATGTACTTGGGCGAGACATATCGCAAGCTACAAAATGAGGGATTCCAGTTTCCTCCTAAAACAGACGTCAGTGGGAGCATGTTGGAGAGCAATGCGGTAAGTTTTATTTGAAAACTTTAGATGGAAACATACTAAGTCCTGAATTAGCCGCCTGAGTGGATAGACTCTGATGTCTGCATGCGTTGTCGAACCGCCTTTAGCTTCATGAATCGCAAACACCACTGCAGGAATTGCGGTAATGTCTTCGATGCACAATGCTCCAGCAAGACGCTTTCTCTCCCTCACCTCGGGATTTTGCAGCCTGTCCGAGTCGACGACGGATGCTACGCCAAACTAACTTCCAAGTCGCTTCCTCCACCGGGACTCTCTGACAGATACGCATTCAAGAACCACTCTATCACCAAGTCTAGTTCAATGGAACCCCGTGGAGCCAGAGTAGATACTAGTTTCGATGATGATCTTCGCCGCGCCCTCCAGATGAGTCTGGAAGAGGCAGAAGGAAGAGGGCCATCAGGGTTTGTATCACAGACTGGCAACGTCCCCCAACCAGCCCATGTTCCCCAGCAAGTCTCTGCACCTCAGCCAACAAGTGATGACGAGGAAGACGCAGATCTCAAAGCTGCAATAGAAGCGTCACTTCGAGATATGGAGCAGCACAAGCAGAACCATGCAGCTGCTTTGAAGAATAACGTACCATCAGGTGTCCCCTCGGGCGCCTCTGCCAGCACTCCGGCCCCGTTACCGAAGAATCCATACGAGCTGAGCGCTGTTGAGACAGAGAACATCCATCTCTTCTCGACTCTGGTAGATCGACTGCAACATCAGCCACCAGGCACCATTCTTCGTGAGCCCCAGATCCAAGAGCTCTACGATAGTATTGGCGCCCTTCGACCCAAACTCGCCCGAAGTTATGGCGAAACCATGAGCAAGCACGGTGAGTCCATATTCCATGAACCGACTCCACGTCCATTTAGCTGATTGATATAAGATACCCTGCTTGATCTACATTCGAAACTATCGACCGTCGTTCGTTACTATGATCGTATGTTGGAGGAGCGCATGTCCAATGCATACTCTCAAACAACTTTCGGCTATGGAGCCGCTCCTGGAGCGCCTCAGTACCCGGCCATGAATGCTACTCCCTATAGACAGGATAGGACGACTGGTGCAGAGAACTTCTATTATGACAACTCCGCCGCAGGGTACGCGCAAACTCCAAACAGCGGTGTGCCGAGCAACATCCCCCATGTATACCCACAACAGGCTCAAAGTAGTCCTGCAGAGTCCCAAAATAATGCTTGGAACTACAATCCATATCCAACTCTAGCATCACCTCCACCCAACAGTGTCGCGCCCAGCAACCAGGCTCCTCCAGGACCCGCAGGTCCGCCACAATTCTCGGAGACGCCTTACCAACAGTCCCCCATCGTTCGGCGCGACTCTCAGTACCAACCAAGCGCACCAGAGCCGTACTCTGAGACAGTACAATCGCCCGCTTACACCACTGGAGCTGGCATTCACCAGCAGCCGAACGGACCTCCGCCTCAATCATACTATTACCAACATCAGAACCCTAATACAGTACCATCTGGATATCCACCCCTGACTGGCCAACCGGGACCATATCCGGAGGCCGGAGAAGTTCAGGCCCCCAATTCCCACCATCAGCCTCAGCCACCTGTGGAGGAGAGCTTAATTGAGCTCTAGCGTGGACTAAGCATTTTTTTTCTGATGGCGTTCTTTTCTTCTCCGTTGGCTTTCTTCTCGATGATACCTGGGATCTTCTATGATTGTTTCTCAATTGTAAGTAGTTGTAGTTGTAGTTTAGGACTAGACCTGTCAAGTGGGGTTATCTCCAAACTACTCAATAGTCAGAAATTTTGGTACTCCGGATGTGTAAGCTAATTTATGAGTCTTAATCTATATCTTCAATCTATATCTCCAATGTTCAATCTCCGTCTATAGTCGCGTGTACTCTCGAACACAGTAGATAATTTCCATTTATCTATGAATCCTACTATGGTTGTAGTGAATAATTGACTAATTTTAAAATTTATCAATGCTACTCACTGACTTAAACGGGTTCTAGACTTGAAACCAAGGTTTTTTGCGACTCCACATCCATTAGCTCGTACCGTAATATTACATCGCCGGAGACAGCGACATCGACACTTCCATCTTCACTCTCGCACAATCCTCCTTTTCCTTTCTCATCCTTTCATACCCCCATCTTACATTCACTTATGGAAACACAGCCTAGAATTTGCTTGCAAATACCAGGGTAGAAACCCATTGCCCGCTTGGTTGCCTTTTTCCCAACCTGCACTACCCTGCTGTGATACCTCCTCACCTGCTTCGGCCAATCCCCTTCGATGACTTGTGTACATCGCTGATTTACCCGCCTTTCTGGTCCTTTTGCCGCTATGCCCACCGGTACATCCTCCCCTGTCAAGCGTCCTGGTCTCGGCCGCCGCGCCGTTTCCTCGCATGCAGTCATCACGCGGTCCAACTCCAACGATCTTTCGCAATCGCACACATCCTCTACCACAACCACCTCCACCAAAGCAACCGCCGGCCCCAAATCTCATCGTGCACACGTGGTGGGTGGCCATCGCAGTCATACACGCAACCCTTCTGTGAAGAACTTGGCCAAGTTGCAGCGCTTCCAACTCCCCGAAACTACCGGACGTCAGCATCAGCGAAAGAAGTCTGCCCCCGTAACCCCGGTCGCCAGCCCACCCAAAACCCCCGGACATGTGCGTTGGAATGAAGATTTGCACGACCACCCCAAGAATCATTCTATGAAAAGAAACTACTCTACACCTGCGCTCAGACGAAATCCATCAGCTACAGGGAAGAAGGCGCTGGTCACTGGAGACCGACCTATTTCAAGTGGAGGAAAGAAGAAGACGGTCGGTTTTGAGCTAGGTGATGATGATATTAGCGACGACGCTGAATGGGAGGATACCACGCAATCACCCGAAAGCACTAGACGCAACTCGGTCGCACCATCAAACCCTAGTTTGGAGAATCCCCAGGTCTTGATCGATCCCCTTACCTTTGTGAAGCGATCTTACCCGCAAATGACTCGTGCAACAAGTCTCCCTGACTCGATTGTCAACAACTTTGTCAGGGATCAACTTGATTCGGACGAGGAACATATTGATTCAGACGACGATCAGCCAAAGAACAAAGAAGCCCGCAACGGCCACGACACAGAAGATAATTCTAGCCCTCCAGACGAACGAAGTGATATCGCCAACCGGCTACTCGGTCGGTCATTCTCGGCCAAGGCACCGCCTGCCATGTCTTCCATTTCTGCGATGGCCAAGACAACGGACTCGACTTCGCGCAATGCTTCCTCTAACAACCTTACCGGCCAAGATGATGTACAGCGCACATTCTCCACCACCAGTCTTGGTTTGGCCAATATTGCTGGCAGCCAGCCGAACGCTACTTCATCATCTATGGAAGGCGGCGTCTCAAGATTCATCGTTAACAATAAGGCCCAAGCATCGTCCCAGGCCGACTCCGATCCAAATACTCCATCCTCGTTTCTCCCTCACTACCACCCTCAAACACCTCCATCACCCAGCAAGGCCAACCCTACTGCTTCCCCGGCAAAACCACGGGGTGCAGAGCACTCGCGGACCAATCTGAAGCTCTGGCTTCAACGCACTGCTACTCTTAACAATTCGCCTCCTGATAATCATGGTGCATCTACAACCGTTTCTACGGCGGTCATCGACCCGATGTTCCAAGCAAATAGCCATCAACGACCAGGTACTAGTGCCTATGACGCCGGTCGCGCCATGAACGGCGCTGGTGGGGTGAGTGTCCCCGGACAAGACACGGAAGCGCGCCACATCCGCAAGGCATATGACAAGACATCTCTAGAACTTATAGTGGTGCGCCGATTCCAATCTCCCACGGGAGATAGTTTCAATAGACTTCGCACTATTTCTCGAGCAGCCAAGGCTGTCCCTAGCGTCGAACAAGGGGCCACGTTAGGAAAGCCGGTGAAATCACCATCCTTGCCTCTGCTTCAGAATCGAAAACAGAGTCGGCTGGACTCCAGTGCTGATTCAAAATCATATCTGCCTGATCCTCAATCGTCTACCTCCGATGATCAAGCCACCAATAGTGAATCCACTGATGCCGCACAGGCAACAAAGTCCCCGCACCCATCTCACCGCATTTTATCCACTTCAGACGAGGCAACACACAGTATACCAGGCCATGATGAAGAGTTTCCTCCAGTCAATGAGACTGATATGATGATGCGCCGCATGTGGGAGAGTCGAGAAGTGGCTAGTTCGGCCTAATCGGGGTTAATGTTTACGTTCATGAACTTCGACTTTTTCCTTTTTTGGCAATTCCCCAGGCGCAGTTTTCAATGTCACCACTACTGATTAGAATGATTATGGAACATTCTAATCCCCTGCTCCTTTTTTTCCCTATGCACATAGCCTCACATATTTCCCCCCGAATTGTTACTAAACTTAATTGGTTTCGGGTGAGATGTCTTCCGGAACGACCCAATATGGCGCCACACACATAGCATGATTAATAGTGTTCCTTTGATTTGACCCTTTATCTTGAAAGCAATTGTATACTTATTTTTATATTCTTCTATTCAATTCTATTACAGCAATCATGGATGTACTGCCGCAGCTCGTCGGCAGCCAAATGCTGCGAATTGGCGCCTATGTGGTCGGCCTCTTCACACTTGCAGTAGTCCTGAATCTCATCAGCCAGCTATTCTTCTACAAGCGTAATGAGCCTCCAGTTGTCTTCCACTGGGTGCCCTTCATTGGAAGCACCATTGGATATGGAATGGATCCTTACAAATTCTTCTTTGACAACCGGGCAAAGGTATGCAGCTCTATCTACAGCAATTGAATACATACTTACCCAAATCTCAGTACGGAGATGTTTTCACATTTATCCTGCTTGGATCGAAGACCACTGTCTATCTTGGAATGGATGGAAACGAGTTCGTACTCAATGGCAAGCTGAAGGATGTCAATGCCGAAGAGATCTATGGAAAATTGACCACACCTGTGTTTGGATCCGACGTTGTTTACGACTGCCCCAACTGGAAACTGATGGAGCAGAAGAAGGTATTGCTGATACCCATGCACATGATGACCCTAAAGAATATTCTACTAACAAAAGACTTCGTAACAGTTCGTCAAGTACGGACTCAGCCAACAAGCCCTGGAATCCTACGTCCCCCTCATCGAAGACGAATGCAACCAATACATCAAATCATCCGGAAAGTTCAAGGGCAACTCAGGCACAGTCGAACTCGGTGACACTATGGCCGAAATTACCATCTACACATCCGGTCGCACCATGCAAGGCGATGAAGTTCGCTCAAAGCTCACCTCGGAATTCACTGACCTTTTCAACGACTTAGATGCCGGCTTCCAGCCCATCAACTTCATGCTTCCCTGGGCACCACTTCCTCACAACCGTGCACGAGACCGTGCCCATGGCAAAATGCGCGAAGTCTACCTGGAAATTATCCGCCAACGTCGCGAGGCCCTCAAGAAGGGTGGCCCGCAAAACCATGATATGATCTGGAACCTGATGACTTGCTCCTACCGCGATGGCACCGCCCTTCCCGACAAGGAGATTGCTCACATCATGATCACCCTCCTTATGGCCGGCCAACACTCCTCGTCATCAATCAGCTGCTGGATTCTGCTGCGCCTTGCTTCAGAGCCCGAGTTCACTGAGAAGTTGTATCAGGAACAGGTCAACGCATTCGGTGCTGACCTCCCATCTCTCAAGTACAGCGACCTGGACAAGTTGCCTCTGCATACTGCCGTGATCAAGGAGACTCTGCGTATCCACTCCTCCATCCACTCAATCATGCGTAAGGTTAAAAACCCTCTTCCCGTACCCGGAACCAACTACGTTATCCCCACTTCCCACACAGTGCTTGCATCGCCTGGTGTAACCTCTCGCGATGAGAAGTACTTCCCCAACCCCCTGGTCTGGAATCCACACCGCTGGGAGACCCGTGTCGAGCCCGAAGAGGACACTGAGACAGTGGATTACGGATACGGCGCCGTTTCAAAGGGTACTCGCAGCCCATACCTACCTTTCGGAGCTGGTCGTCACCGCTGTATTGGAGAGAAATTCGCCTACATGAACCTCCAAGTCATCATTGCCACATTTGTACGCAACTTCAAGTTCTTTACCGTTGACGGTAAGGTCGGTGTTCCAGAGACGGATTATAAGGTATGTTATTTCACTGAATGGTGCTTATTTGGTACTTTGTTTCTAATTCTTTCGTGCTTGTCAGACTCTCTTTTCCCGGCCTATCCAACCTGCTACAGTGCGGTGGGAAAAGCGCAACTAGATCGTTGTTTTTTCTTCGTCAGAGATTTAAGATACAATTCCAGAATCAAAGTTAGATCAGATAGTAATTTAATAGTTATGAGAGATTGAAAATTTTAGATTATCTACGCAATCTTCGACGTTTTGAAACTTAAATTTGATAAAAGGATACTTAATTGAAACTTCGGTATAAATACATGATGGAATGGAACATAATACTAACCTTCCAAGGAAACATGTTTCTGTCAAGTAGCAAGAGTAAAGTGGAACGAGGTAGTCCTGAATAGCCAATGATATTTGTGTTCCCCAGGATGTATGGAAATGATGACTAACACGGAGAAAACAGACTAACTAAATGCAGTAAGGGGTATGTGACCAATTAGAATACGAATTTCCCAACGAGCTGATTAGCGCGTATCCGAATGCGAAGGTAATTTTAACAATGCGCAATGATGATAAATGGCTTGAATCTCTCAAGATGACTCTATGGCAAGCTTGGAGTGCACCAGAAGAGCATATTTCAATCATATTTGAGACGATTTACCTTTGATTAAAGTTTTTGAGGATTTTCAAATACCAATGCAGCTCTGGGAACACCGATGATAGGTCCTCAAATACTAAAAGGGTGGCCAACTGGGAGTTACGGACTGCTTGGTATTATTGGATCGATAATCATCTCGCGGCGATTGAAGGGCAAATCACAGGATAGCTGAAAAATGGGGAGGCTCGTCTCCGAACGACCACAGGAGGATCTAACCCATTTACAAGTTTATGTCCAAGAATGGACTAGCTCCGACCGAATGCGCTTCCATCAGCCCAATCCGCGTACTGGTATTCCAAACAAAGAGGGAAGTAACATTACAACAACCAACAATTATGCTATGTGGGAGAATAACAGCCTCAGGCCCTTGGGGTTATAGCCAAAATACGAGATGTCAAAGAAGCACTTTAGTGCAGCAGTCTATCGTGACTGGATTAAAGTTGTGTTTTTTTTTTGGCTAATTACGTATCTCACTGCTATATATGAAGGTGCCTGATGGCTCTTGGAAGCGCGAACTGACTGGGGTTCAATTATTTGGGTGAGGATGACCAACTGCGAAAACATTGAAAGAGATGGACGAAGAAGAGATACATGTCATAAAGCGTGAAGCGAGCGTGGCGAGTTCAACAGAGATGCCCGGTTTGTTTTCAAGTACACTTCCAATCTTGGTACGTTGGAACCTTACAATTCGGGCTGTTACTTTACATTCAAAGTACATCTCTACCTGTGTACCTTTCTGTTAAGTATTTCTATAATGCGAGCCCACCTTAGTATAGCCGTGGACGTAGGTATAAGTGAGGCTCACCGGGTCTACCTACCTACAGAAGAAGGTAGGGGGCTAGCGTATTGTATTTTAATTTTTTGTTGAGCTCATTACTTCGCTGGACTAGTCGATCACATCACTTGGCTTTGAAGCTACAGGTGAGCGAAGTAGATTCTGCACCGAGTGTCATCTAATACCTATTACTCAGGGAGTAAAAGTGGCGAGGGGGTGAGGACTACAGCTGAAGGGGAAAGCCAAGAATTGATAGATGAAACTCGGTATATATCACGAGCCATGATGCTCTCCAGGTGGTTGGGCTTGGATTGGTCAGGGCATTCTAAGGACGGTGCCAAGTCCTGGTCGACGGCGTGGCCCGAGCCGCACGGGCGGACCTCGGAGTTCCAAGACATTCTTCGACAAAGCATTGGGCTCCCCTTGCATTTCAGGTTCACGTGCCCAAAGCTGGTTGAGGTTGGCTTTCTCAGCCCTACGTCATCTACCGTCCACTAATCCAAACATGGCTATTCTCCGCATCCCTAATTGATTTAGATCGGAGATCCGAGGTTCGCTACAAGCATGGCTTCAAACTTGTCTGCTTTCAGTTGTGAAGACCGCTACTTCGGTCAAATACCGGGGAGAAAGTGAATTGAAGCATCCAAGGATGGCTAGCCCTGAACGCTCAGATCCTATATCACAGCTGATGTTACATTAGTCCCTATTATTCTGCGGGGTTTAATCCACGCGGGCTCAAATAATTCCGTCGAAATGAAGCTCCTTATGGTTCCCTTGGTATTACGGAGGTGGATTTCAAGGTTTCCCCTGAAGCCTTTGGCTGTCGCTTAAATTCATAGCTTATTCTGTAAACTTGCCTATTAACCGAGACTCGCACCACCTGTACTCAAAACTAAGTGTTTATTGGTACTGATATGCGATAAAATATAATTTCTACCTGATTTATTGGAGGAAAATTGAATACTCGACTAGAAACACGTGGACACTCGCCGGCATTTCGACAAAACAACATTCATCTCTCGATTCGTCATGAAAGGAGTATAAGTAGGCAGGCTAGACACTGGCCTGGTACAATAAACTTTTTTTGAATACCTGCCTCCTGTCTCCTTCAAGCCACTGAGAAGCTTGTGAACAATCTATAACTCGTTAACCAAAGCATTGGTGCCTTGGAAAATGTTCTCACGAGTCACTCCCGAGCGCTCCTGCGTAATTTTCTTAGGGCTTCTTGCCACGGGCTGCCTTGTCACTGCCGGGCCCTGCGACCTCTACGCCTCTGGTGACACACCCTGTATTGCGGCTCATAGTACCACTAGAGCCCTGTATAGTGATTTTGACGACGCACTTTACCAGATTCAGCGTGACTCCGATGATACTACTACTACAATAACGCCAGTATCAGCCGGTGGTATCGCAGATTCTTCTATTCAAGACACTTTTTGTGCCAATACGACCTGTGTTATCTCAATAATCTACGACCAGTCCGGCAATGGTAATCACCTCACCCAGGCCCCTCCAGGTGGATTTGATGGCCCAGAATCCAATGATTATGACAACCTTGCCAGTGCAATTGGCGCGCCTGTGAATTTAAATGGCAACAAGGTGTATGGTGTCTTTGTCTCGCCTGGAACCGGCTACCGTAACAACGACGTCAGCGGCTCAGCTACGGGCGACGAGCCCGAGGGAATGTATGCAGTTCTTGACGGAACTCATTACAATGATGCCTGTTGCTTTGACTATGGGAATGCGGAGACCAGTAGTACTGATACAGGTGATGCTCATATGGAAGCCATCTACTATGGCGACAGCACCAGCTGGGGATATGGTGCCGGCGACGGCCCATGGATCATGGCAGATCTCGAAAATGGTCTATTCTCTGGCAAAAGCGCTACCTCCAACACTGCTGACCCATCGATCTCTTATCGATTTGTCACTGCGATCGTCAAAGGTACGGCTGACAAGTGGGCAATCCGCGGCGCCAACGCTGCATCTGGCTCACTATCGACCTACTACAGTGGCGTGCGTCCTAGTGGCTATGACCCAATGGAGAAGGAGGGGGCCATCATTCTAGGTATCGGTGGTGATAACAGCGTCGGAGGCCAGGGCACGTTCTACGAGGGCGTGGTGACTTATGGCTATCCTTCAGATGACACCGAGAAATCGGTGCAGGCGAACATTGTAGCTGCCAAGTATACAACTGCATCCCTGACTGGCGGACCGGCGATAACTGTCGGAGACTCAATCTCGTTCCGGGTCACGACGTCTGGCTATACGACGCGTTACATCGCCCATACCGATTCTACAGTGAATACCCAGGTGGTCACCTCGTCCAGCACAACCACCCTTAAAGAGCAGGCCAGCTGGACGGTTCAAACAGGCCTTGGCAATAGCCTCTGCTATTCGTTTGAGTCTGTCGACACACCTGGTAGCTATATTCGGCACAATGGTTTCGTGCTTTATTTAGATGCCAACGATGACACCAAACTATTTTACGAAGACGCCACGTTCTGTCCGCAGGCTGCCCTCAACGGCGAGGGCAACTCGATCCGATCCTGGAGCTATCCCACCCGCTATTTCCGCCACTTTGAGAACGAGCTCTATGCTGCAAGCAACGGCGGTATCCATACATTCGATTCTGCAACCTCATTTAACGATGATGTGAGCTTTGAGATTATCACCGGCTTTGCTTAGTTTCTGGTCACAACCTCGGAATGTTCTAGATGGTGAATTTTGCTTTTTTCTTTCTGTTCAACTCAAGTTATGCCTTGCAGTGGCGATGTTATTGTTGTACATATCAGCCCTTACTGTTCATATCAAATACAATTTCTAGGGCAAGAGTAACGCCAAATCGACAATTTTTAGTGTAGCTTCATTCGTACGATAATGAAGAATTAAAGGGGAATTTGAGGCTTTGAAACTGTGAACGCCTGACTACTCCCATCTATCGGGAGATCCTCCTGAAAGCGAGGCCTGTAGCTCAAGGCTTGATTTGTGATATAGCCGTAGATATAAGCAAATAGAAGGGTATTCTAATTTGGATCTAAGTTCAATCCACCATACACTGCGACTTGTTTTGCGGTACCACAGATATAGCAACAAAAGTGCCACAGGGTCCTTTTCCGGAGTAAACCTTTAAACGAACTATCAACACTGCGTGTGAAGAGTTGAGTTTGACCTGTTGTGACCTGCTTATCAGGAAGATCTAGAATCTGTCATACTGCGTAGGCGGCACAGAAATACATATTATTTTTCGCCGTAAATGAGCAATCGAGGAGATGGCAGCCAAGGAAGGCCTTTGAAATGCCAAATATTCCGCTCTCTGGTAAGAGTGGATATATATCAGCAAAAGTCGCCTCCATGACGTGGAAAAGACTGTCTGATCGTAGCGGGTTCATTATGTGCGACAGGGACTCTTTAACCTTGCTCATACGTAGCCAGTCTAAATTAGAGTGATCAGAGAAGTTCAAAGGCCATGCTTCTTCTGGTGCACATGCATTAGGTGACGAAAAGAACTACTCCAACAGTCTACGCTAATCAATTGTGGTCATATGTAAGTGCTACATCTAGAGAGGCGTGCATTAGAAACGGGTGCTGTAGGCCATATATTAGCCAATCTCAGACCCATGTTGTAAAGTCTGTGGTCCCATATTGATTCTGTATCGGGGCGACAGAATCGCTATGATAATACCTACCGTGAAGGCTAGTCCCGGGATCTTGCAATTAACGTGTATCATATTAGGGTCAACTGGGGTAATAAAACTTCTTCCAAGATATCGAGTGATGAAATCTTGATATTTTGCGCCTATTCGATAAATGTGAGTTTTTTGGACGTCTAGACAGCACTGGCCACAGAGGGTTTGAGCTTAGCTTTCCCTTGATTTTGGAACCAATGGAATCTGGTTTACTGCAGTGAAGTGAATAGAACTAGTGGAATCGGGGCATATCCGATTCCATTGCGAGAACTTAGAATGAACACACATCTTACCGCATAATTACTCCACGTATCAACGTAGTAGTAATAGTGCATCGAGATCCCTGTGAACCGACACTTGAACAACCAGTGGTCTCCCTGTGTCAGCAGCGATGGGTTGTAGGTCGGGAATATTTGACATGAAGTTGCATAGTACCCCGAATGCACCACATCTCCTACAGCGCGGTTTGCCTTCGTCGCACTAACCGACCAAGGAATTTAGTTCAGTCAAGCACAAGTGTGTGAAAGCCGAGCCACCCACCCTGAGCTTTCTGGGCTTACAATTTCGACAGCCAAATCTCGACCTCCGCAGAGTCCTACGCTCCTGAGCCTCTCCTGGACAATTCGAGGCCATGGTCAATTTTGTACTGCTTTGGGCAGTTTGATTATGATTAGTTTTCAGACTCTCCGGGCTCAAAAAAGATTCAATGCGGAAGAGATCTATAGCAAATGTGGTCAAGGTCAGCCTCAAGGTCACCTCCACATGGGCACATCCACACACTAACTTACTTTCGGACATCCCACGTTCCATGCTAGACCTTTTTTCAGATATTGGGATCTCTGATTGGTTGCGAATTCTATGTTCAACTTTCAGCTCATGAATTATATAAGGATAAAATTCCCCAACCTTCCAGGAAGACTCAAGCATCCTCAATATCTTAAGAAGAGAAGCTATAACACAAAAATTTCAAATCGCCATTCACCTAGCCGCCATCTCCCCGGCCAGAGGCCAGCCTTTAAGCTCCAGACCCGCCCAACCCCAAAGCCAGGACCAGACAAACTCCTAATAGCTGTCAAATCCGTAGCCCTAAACCCAGCAGATGCTTATATGCGTGACCAAGGTCTCTTCATACCCATGTACCCAATGGTCATTGGCTTCGACATGGCGGGGTTAGTCCGTGAGGTCGGCAACAATGTCCCCAAGAGCAATACCTCATCCTCTGACAGCATGCTGTACTTGTTCCAGACGATAGTTGTGGATGCTATCATTTCGGCGGCCAGAGCAGACGGGTTAGTGATCCGGCATTGTTTTCTTGCTATTGAGCAGCTGGCGTCTTGTGAGACTGTGCTTTAGGCATTCATTGGGGAAGATCAAGAAGAAGAGAAGACTATGACGGCGAAGATAGCATCGGTACCTGTGGTTCCTTCGGATGCCGAGGTCGTGGACGGGGTGGAGATTATATTTGTGATGCCATCTATGGTAGAATAGGAGAGGCTAGAGCAGTTCCAATGCTGGCTTGGAACGTGGCTGAGGGGGAACCTGGCAAAGGAGACCATCAGACCGAGCCCGGAGCCGAAATTTGTGGAAAAGGGTTTAGGGACTATCAATGCTGGGTTGGATAAACTACTCCAGGGAGTGAGTTGTACGAAGTTGGTTGTTGAGGTTGCGGAGTGAGGGCATCAGGGGTGTTGGAAGTATACCTAGGTACCCAGGTACGCATCATAGAAGCAAGTTAACGGAAGATTACTTGTACTCTTAGACTTACGCGGCCTGATGTTCGGTCATTTGCTTTCAACCCCCTAGGTAGGAGCCTGTTATAACAATAATGTGTCGCTATTAACGAGAAAACTTTACGTAAGAAGTAGCAATCTTGGAACTTAAAGTAGCTACTCTATAGAAGTTGAATAGGGCCCTCAAGTTATCGTCCCCACTCATTTACTCCACACTGTAAGAATAGCTTCATGTTGAAAGGACGTAAACATTGTCAGGACGCATAATCTGAAAAATCTAGAACTTGTTTCACCTTGGAAGCGATGATGAAGAAACAAGAGCAAAAATAATGGTCCTACTCTGGATTTATTTCAAATGTTATCTTTTGATGTATAGGTTACCCATAGAAAGACTTTACCACGCCATTTTCCAAGACTTTTGTGTCTTTCTAACCCATATTTTTTGAACTCTTAGCTTTACGGTACGTTCAAATAAAGAAAGCAGAAAGGCAAAAAGCAAATCAAAAAAACGTGGGGAGGCGCACATGAACCGGAATAGTACATACTTATCTGAGACCAATAGTTAAATATCGGCCGAGAAAATTGGGAGAGACGCAGGTGCAGTAAGAGTAGGAAGAGTCTTGGATCCAAGATTTGCAGTCAATAGGTAGGGTGTTGTGTGATAGACAAGGATAGTTGTGCAATATACGAGGTGGGTTGTGCAATAGATAGGGCGAGAAACGTCACCGCCTTGCTCTGGTTGACCCTCTTAGTTAAACTCTCTCGGCGTCTGTCTGCATATATTCATTCTAGCGTCTTGGCAAGTTAGAGCACAAGATTCATTTAACCAATCGGAGTCTTCATTCTGCCGAGGCGCTAAAATGAATAGATGCAGACGAGGGGAAGGCATTATTGCACCTTCATCTATCGCAATAGTGCTTGGAAATTAATACATCTATTCTATAAATCAAGTATACCTACTACCTAGTAGCCTAGAACTATAGAATAGATCCATCTCCCTTTATTTTCGTTCATCTGTCCATTCCTCCAAAGCCTCAGTAACCTACACCGCAATCGAGGCAATGGCAGATCTCATTTCTAAGAATCCAGATTTATCGGTTGATGCTCATGGAGCGGACTCAATTGGAGCTTCAAATAGCATTCAGGGTAATGCTGAAGCTGAACGAGCTGCCTTTCTCGCCACATTCAGCGCCGAGGAAGATAAGGCAATTATGCGAAAGGTCGACTGGAGGTTTCTTTGGTTGATAGGTTTAATCTATCTCATCAAAAACGTACAAAATTCTTAGTAAAGCCCCAAAGAAATGAAAATGACTGACCATTCATCAGATTGACTACACAAATGCAGCCTCAGTCAAAGTTCTCCAGGTCGGAAAGCCTACCAACGTTCTCAACCAGCTTAATATGACAGCGGATCAGTATAATTGGGTCCAGTCAATCTACTTTGTAAGTAAAGTATGATTCAAAGATAACAGAATTGCTACTTATATCTCCAAGATAAGCTATATTGTGTTCGAAGTCCCAAGCAATCTCATTCTCAAAAAAAGTGTTGCCTCGAAACTGGCAATTCAGAATCCTGCTCTCATGGGGCATAGTCTTGGCTTGTCATGCAGCAGTGAAGAATAAAGAAGGTCTTTATGCCGCCCGGTTCTTCTTAGGAGTGATGGAGGCGGGTATGTTCCCTGGTATCGCTGCACAGCTATGCTCTTGGTATCGCTCCGATGAAATGGGCAAACCAATAATGTGGATGTTCGCCTTCTCAAACTGTTCTGGCATCGTGGGCTCTCTCATCGCTTACGGAATTTCATACATGGACGGAATGAAAGGTCTGAGTGCTTGGCAATGGGTCTACCTTCTTGAGGGCATCCTCACTATCTTATTTTCGGGAGTAGTCTATTTCGTTCTACCCGATTACCCGAAGTCGCCACGCTCTAGCTCCTGGCTCACACCCCGAGAACAAGAATATCTCGAAGCTAGGCTCTCAGAGAACGCACCAAAGACTAGCGATGCAGCATTTAGTACATCAGAAGTCCTCGCCTCTCTACGCGATCCGCGTATCTGGTCATTTATGCTTTCTCAAACCCTCATCAACCTCGGTGGTTATGGACTTAGCTGGCAATTACCTACTGTGACGACTAGTCTCGGCTTCACCGGTCTTCCCCGTAACCAGCTGCTCAACATTGCCCCAGCCGGTGCCTCCGTACTAGCCATCGTGTTCGCCGGTTGGTTCATGAAGCGCGCTTATGTCACTCGACCTGTGTTCATCATGTTTATATGCGCTGGCTGCTTAGCCTTCTTCATTGTCCTCGCCACGACACGCGACAAGATCGCCGTCTATATCGCGTGTGTGTTCGGGACGATGTTTTACGCTGTTTTCTTCATTCCATTCTGGGCATGGCGCTCAGCGACGTTGGTGGGCTCAACAGGCACAGCATTTACGCTTGCATTTCAGTCTTGTGTCGGCCAGGTTGGCGGTGTTATCGGCCCACAGATGTTTCAGTCCAAGTACGCGCACAATGGGTATAAAGTGCCGTTTGCAATTTGTTCTGCGGCCATTGGGGCTGGATGGTTGGCCAGTGGGCTTACTTGGTGGTTGACAAGAAATGTTGAGTGGGATGTGAAGCGCATTCGAAGGCTCAGGATTAAGGCTGAGAGAGAGGGTAGAGTCTTTGCTGATGACGATGTGAAGGTTATTGAGGAGAGGCAGTTCTATGGGAAGGGATTTAGAAAGGATGGTACTGCTCTGTAAAGCTGGGCTCATATTGGGTAATGGACTTCAAAAGATGCGACTTACGACTATGGACTCTATGTACTATAGATGTGTGTATCATAAGAAGAGGCTGCTCACACGCCAAATTTTACAAAGCTATCCATAAAATCCGTAGTAATCTCCACGCTGTACCCCGTCAGCTTTCAAGCTCGGAGTTCGGCCCACTTTCATTCATCTTTCTTCCCTTCTCTCTCTCTTCTCCATACATATACATGGGCCTTGATACACCAGTGAGAAGAAATCTGATAAGATTAATTACCTATATAGGTTAGTGTGGAAAGTGGAGACATGTTTTACGCCCATCAAAATAGCTATGAAATTAGGGCTAGCCACCACAACTTTTCCTGACGTCGTGTGGACCTGAAATTAAAAATTATTATAGAAATTATAGTAATTTGAAACCTCTGAGATTTCAGCGCCGTACGAGCCCAAAAAGCAAATGGGATGCACTCATGTCCCCCACTTTTTTGACACTTTGATTGGATAATGAATTGGGATGCACTGCATCCCAGCAACCCTCACGGGTTAGAAGATACCAAGTCTTCAATCTTCCTCTAGAAGGTTCTATGCAAATTCAGCAAAAATAGCTGTCCTCGAAAAGAGAACCTGTCCTCTATAGCTATCTTCATATATACCCTTCTGAGAGAGCCCGGTGCTTTCTAGCAGTCCGTCTAGAGTCAAGTTTGATAGGCAATAGTGACAGTAAGACTTATTCTTAATCTCCAACATTGTTCGTCATGCTGTGGCTTTGGATCTTCTTGGAAACTAGAGGTTATTGGCCCACCCGCCATATCCTCTAACCGTCAGTAATGTTCAGCCTGCACAAAGCGGGAGTGTGACTAGTATTCCTTCAACTGATATGCTTTTCATTATTCCTGGACCTCAGCCACCTATACGAAAACATTTTAAATGGTTAGAATGACGTGCTGATGAAGACGCGTATAAATCCCATTCTTGTCAGGCCATTTTATTAAATTACCCGGATCTTGAACTAATTCCCGAAGAACCAGTCACTGGCTTCTTTAATCAGCGAGAACCTAAAAAGGCGTAAAGCTCGTCTCTTCTTTCACAGTGTGAATTAATGGGCCAGTGTAATGAAATAAACAGAATTGGCCGATGGTCAAAATCTCGGCGGCGCCAAATATAATGTTTTTTGATCAGCCTATCACCAATTCTATGTTACAGCTCCTGCTTGCCAAAGAAATTTTGCTGCCTTACGTAATTTTCCTTGGTCACAGTATAGCAGTGCAAGATCGCGAGCAGTGGCAAGAGTTGATGAGTGATTTGGTCCTAGTGCTTTCTCCCTCCCAGCTAGCGCCCGCATATACATCTGCTCAGCCTTATCCAGCTTACCTTGGTCATGGTATAGAAGCCCAAGGTTGTTGACGGTATCAAGGGTTGATGTGTGGTCGGGTCCTAGTGTTTTCTCCTTCCCAGCGAGCGCCCGCATATACATCTGCTCAGCCTCATCCAGCTTGCCTTGGTCATGATATAGATTCCCGAGATTGTTGATGCTGTCAAGGGTTGCTAAGTGGTCGGGTCCCAGTGCTTTCTCCCTCCCAGCTAGCGCCCGCATATACATCTGCTCAGCCTCATCCAGCTTGCCTTGGTCACGGTATAGATTCCCAAGGTTGTTGACGGTATCAAGGGTTGATGTGTGGTCGGGTCCTAGTGTTTTATCCTTCCCAGCGAGCGCCCGCATATGCATCTGCTCAGCTTCATCCAGCTTGCCTTGGTCATGATATAGATTCCCGAGATTGTTGATGCTGTCAAGGGTTGATGTGTGGTCGGGTCCCAGTGTTTTCTCCTTCCCAGCTAGCGCCCGCATATGCATCTGCTCAGCCTCATCCAGCTTGCCTTGGTCACGGTATAGATTCCCGAGATTGTTGATGCTGTCAAGGGTTGTTAAGTGGTCTGGTCCTAATGCTTTCTCATACCCAGCTAGTGCCCGCATATGCATCTTCTCAGCTTCATCCAGCTTGCCTTGGTCATGATATAGAAGCCCAAGATTGTTGATGCTGTCAAGGGTTGCTAAGTGGTCTGGCCCTAATGTTTTCTCATACCCAGCTAGTGCCCGTATATTCATCTGCTCAGCAGCAATAAGCTGGATTTGGGATCGAAGCAAAATTGAAACGCGTGATAGCTTATTAAGTTGATCAGGTGTAGGATCATAGACCACATCGAGGAATCGTCGATTTGCTAGTCGTGTTGCGTGACCAGTTGAGCGGGAAAGAACTATATTTCCAAAAGAATCTCTGTCAAATCCTCTCGTAGTCGCCTCGACGCAATCTATAGCAAACCAGTAATAATTTGTGTTAATATCCTTATTTAGCGCGGCTAACGTCCAGTCATGAACACAGTTATGCATACTCCACGATACTGATGATGAATCGACTTCCAGAAAGTACCAATCAGTCAAGACCGCCATTACTCCCTGGAACGATAAATCATCTATGAGTATATCGTGAATCCATTCTAGAGATGTATCTGTTAGACCTTCAGAAAAAAGTTTATACCAAAGGCCCTGGTTGCCAAAGTAGGCCAAAAGTTTTAGTAGCTTTGCCGCATCCAAGTCTTCTATCTTTAGACGGTCGTATGAAATATCCCATGTCATATAGAGTGTGCGTTCACGATAATCCTGGAGCTGAGTAGGGCGACGCGGATCAATGTTCCAACGTTTTTCATATTCTTGTAGGTAGCGCTCGAACGTAAGAGAACTACGTTGAAGATATGTCCCAGCAGTAGCTAAAGCGAGAGGAAGGCCTCCAAGTCGCTCTGCGAGGAGCTTTGCATAAGGATCTGATAGAATGGTTAGTTTATTTTATAAGATAGGCTGATTAACATACCAGATTGAACATTCAGTCGTTTTGAGCGGGTTTCGAGGATCGCAAGGCCATCTTCAATACTCTGAAAAGCTTTGATATCAAGAGTTTTAGTGCGTCCGGTGATAATATCCGGTCGCCGGGTAGTGATGATAATAACGCCTTGAGAGGCTGGCGGATAGTAGTCACTGATATTGAACTGGTCTGAATCATCGTCATAGTTATCAAAAATAATCAGCCAGCTGGGATTTTTTGTATCAGAAAGCCAGTAGTGTATACGTCTGATCACCTCCTTGCCCTCTAAAAGCTTAGAGTCCTGTACTTCAAAAATGATGCCTGCGATCGACCGAAAGCTATCTATAAGTATAGCTTCGCTTGTTGCATCAAGCCAGAAAACTGAGCCATAAAAATCAGATCGTGACTCGGCGTAAGTGAGAGCAAGTCGAGTCTTGCCGATGCCACCCATCCCACCAAGAACTAGGCATCGTTGACATTGAGTTCCATGTAAATGCGCTGTCATTTGATCAAGCTCAGGGACACGGCCGATGAACAGCTCTCGCGCCATAATTGGTGCTTTCCGGAGACAGATACCAACAGGTCTACGAAAACTGAAGTCCTCCTTCTGCTTGATATCTACTATAACAGTTAGCCAGAGTATTCAATTTTGGCAGAAATATCTTGAATCATTCATTCAAGTAGGTAGAGTGCAAATATATAAGGAAATAAAAGGACGCTGTCCCTTTATAATCAAAGTAGTTGAGATTTCTGCCTTCCACTTTATTGCCGACTTCGTAGGAAGTCTACATCCATACTGCTTACCAAAGTTCTGGATCTCTGCATTCCACTGCTTTCCATTGCTGTTATTGATATACTGTCTCCCGTTGTCGCTGTTGTTGTTGTTTATCTGAGTTCCTGTACCATTATTCACGGGACGTGACGAGATTTGAAGAGAGTTCATTCCCTCCAAGAAACTTTTGCGTTCGATTTTTCGCTGCGGATCTGCAGACATGATCGCTCAGCGGTTGAAAACAACTTCAATACCCTTAGTGATCGGCTTATGAGCGAGATTTCGAAGAGCTGACTGAGAGAAAGGCGGGGCTGTCTGCCTTAAAAAGGTGGCGATGCACCTTCCTCGTGATTGATAGAGCATACTAGCGCCATAGATACTAAATGTTAATGATTGAATTGTCTAATATGATATGTTATGCGTCCATAGTTCGATTTTCATGACCCCTACAAGCGCTAATAACTCCACAGGCGGTGACATATATATGGTAGGTTTACTGATGAACATAAAGAGTTATTTTCATTTCTGTCTACCTCATATTTTTGCGTCTGATTTGATTGGCGCTGGCACGGACCTTAGGCACACACTAATGTAGTAATGTGCAAGTGATCACGCCCAAATATCTAATGAATAATCAATTCACATGTGTCCCAGCCGATACGCTGATCCTAATCACTTATAAGGACGATCAACCCATCTATAAGCAGCTCCACTTATTTACTTCTGAATAACTTCATAAAGTAGGCGCAATGACCGAAGGACACCAAAGACTGACCAGTGACAGATGTGGCTTCTCAGACTCATCTTATGAGCTCTAAATGATTGAAAATAATTGGAAATGAGGGGATGGGAAAGCAGGATCTTTAAATTTTGGCAAAACTCCTACTAGACAAAGTCCTAGTAATAGATAGAAAGTGGTCCGACTAAGTATCGATCATCCCGACCTCTGGTAGATATTATCTGGAGTTCCCAATGCACGGCAGAGGTCGAAAAATGCTTTGTTACTCCAACTTTAAATTTATAACCCTGTCGAGTGGTTGGTTATATATGGAAAGTGCCATTCAGGTGATCGTAAAATTGAGGCAGTAACTACCTGGGTACTGACATCGGGACAGAGCATATATTTCGAGGAATTCTATCAACCTAAATCTATCCGTACCAAGGTAGAGAATGAGTATCTCTCTTGGGGAATAAAATCACCAGTAATTGTATCCAACAAGAATCTAAAGAATGGCTAACAGAATCAATAGGTATAGTGAGACAAGTGGCAACACAATAAACCATATGAGAAGACTGATTGATAGGAACAAGAAAAAATATTGGCAAAGAAGATTCAAGAAGAGAAAGTGCCGGTCTTATTCGCGGTCCTTCCCCTTGCCCCGTTGAACACCATGACCATGCCCTCCACGGCGGGAGTTCTTGCTCGGCGCACCAGTAGCAGCATTAGCCTGCGTCTGCTTTGTAGCATGACCTTTGAGATTCTTCGTAGAGATGGCATGACCAGAGTTTGGAGAAGACACTTGCTTCGGGCTTTGGGATAAAGTCCCATCGACAGGGGCGTTCTTGTTGCCGCCACGACGCCTGCGTGAATTAGCAGCAGGGCCAGATGATTTTCCACGGCCGGCTTTAGCACCGCGCTGCTCAAGTTCGGGCTCCATGAGCCCCTGGACACGTTTGCTTTCTTGCTCCCACCATTGTTGGAATTCTTGCTCCGCCTGGATCTCTTGCATGTTATGTTTTGCGGTAGCTGCTTCTCGAATTTCGTCCTTTTCAATCTGTTGCTGGTGCAGAATTGCTGTCAACGAAAGGGAGCCGTAGGAGTGGGGATGAGACTCGGAAGTTGGTCGTGGGATGTGCCGAATTGATTGGATGACAGGCTGTGGTGATGTCTTAGGGAGTGATTGCTGAGAGGATGTGGGAACCTCTGATGGTGAAGGTTTGGAGAAGGGTGACTGCTGTTTATCCACTGACACATTGCGAGTTTTTGGCCGTGGTGGCGTAGAAAGTGGCGCTGAACGAGATGGAGATGTTCCCGCTACAGTTTGTCTGAGAGTCATGGAAGGTTTCTGAGATGGCTTTGCAGGCTCAGAAGCGAATAGACTGGGACCACTCTGGCCCGGAAGGGGGTCGGCCTTTCCAACTATTGTGGGAAGAGTACCTGGTTGTGGCATTTGCCAAGGATTTTGCGCTGCTTCCTTTGCCTTTTGTTGTGCAGAAAGCTTCTCCTGTATCTGCTGTTGCTGCATCTTCTTTCTCTCTTTTTGAGATAATCTTGCCGCAAAGTTGCCACCACTCTCACGGCGGCCGGCCATCTCCAGGGTAAGGTTTGATACTCTAGATTGCGACGTCTCCCCCATGATGTCTTTGAGATCTTTCTTTCCATTGGAAATGGGCGAAGACCATGGTGGAAATGATGAATCTGGCGGTGATCCCAATCCCCGCTTTTGATGTCGTGCTATCCCGAGAGATGCAGTCGAGGATTCGCCGGATAAAATGTCCCGTGGGGAGGCCATCTGCTCGTCCAGGAAGCTCTGGTCATCGAGCGATTCAGCCTCGGGAATACTCGCCCCCAACAAAGGAGAGTCGGGGTATGATCGACTCTCCAACACGCCCAATCCACGTATTTGAGATTTTCCCTTGAAATCCCCAGGTGAAAGACCACCCTCATCGTCCATCTGAAACATTAGATCACTGACTGATTTTTTTGCTTGAAGTATTGGGCTGTTGAAGGGGCTTGAGACTTTTCGCGATGTATCAGCCTTATTTTTACGCGCTGATGGAGATGCATAGGTCTTCTCGATCGAAACCTGTCGAGGTCGTATATCAGACGATGCCACCTGACCGAGATGACATTGACAAGCAATTGCGTCAATTCGGCGTTGTTTGTCTGCTTCGACCGAGGAAGCAATCTCTGGATACTTCTCTAAGGCATAGGCTTCTGAATTGCGGCCACGCGACACCGGGTAGCATGCCAACTGATTCTCATGGCATACCTTATCAAGCTCACGAAGGATGTCCTCGTCAAGATCTTCAAGATATCCATTTCCAAGCACAGCCTCAAGATCAAGGCAAATATACTCAAGAGCTGCCTCTTTGAAATCTTTTATAAATATAGGTCCGATTGAATTTAGAAGGTAGGAGATGTTGCGAGTTTTGACAAAGCGGCCTAGCATTTTTTGACAAATTTGCGACAGCCTGTCAATCATCAGCTCGTTGGCAACGTACATCACGTCCAACAACAAATCGATAAGATCGTCGACGGTCTTGCATCGGACTTCATCAAACAAATGTTCCTCAGTATCAGCGTACAGGTATCGCAAGACAAACTCGAAAGTTGAGCGATCTATGTGCTTCAGATCGATACTGACGGTGTCTGAGGGGTTCCTCTGGCGCATCTTGAGCCACATACCACCCGAGTGGCCATGGAAGAGCGCATCAAAGAATGGACATCGTTGGCACACGTATTTGCTGTGGACTTTGACAGAGTTGCCACCCTTCAATTGCACAACCACATCTGCATCATTGAAGAACGAATGATGATGGATGGCAATTGCCATATCAGACTTCAAGCTTCTGTCCGGTTCGACCATCAATCTCGCTGCTCGTTCAAGTGTCGGCAGGCCAAGATGGAGGGCAATTCGCATAACCTCAGTACGCACCTGACGATAGCGAGTCGCATTGTCTTTTGTACTTCTTGCCTTGTGCCAAAAATCAAGAATGCCATCGGTGTATAGGAAGAAGACCACGTTCATGACGGTCAAAAGGTCAACGTCATGGATTTTGATTTGGATATTTCCATCTTTTCCGTACTCAATATCAAGTATGTCGGGTATGGAAGCAAAGTATGACACCCGGAACTCTTGCAAAGCTTTTCGAAGGACGGGGCTTCTGCCAGTCAAAAGAAACTCATGCACTGGGATCCGTGCATCGGATGAAGAAGCAGTCAGCCAGACTTGCCCTGGAGAATGGAATGAGAGAATTTGTTTCTCAATGTCTGATGATAACAATAGGCCTCTTTTGATCACTACAGCCGAGGATAAAACGATTGAATTGATATCATCATCAAGTATCAAATCCACATCGTCGGGTGCAGGTGTCATAAAGGGCGACAGGGGTAATAGATCATCCAAAAGAGTACTTTTGTCGATATAAATTTGTTCTTTGGTCACGTCACAGTCCCGCTGGGCAACAGCATAAGCCCCAAATGCATTGCTGCGAACAGCTACTACCCTTGAGAGCCCTGGAATGCGAGCAAATTTATACTCTTTCGAGGAGGTACCATCTTTTCTCTGAGTACGTTTCTCCTTTCGCCATGCTGATCCTGCAGTAGTGCAAATAATGATTGATCCATCTTGCCCCACGTCGACATCACTGGCTGCCATGTGGGATTTCTTAGCAGACCAAGCCCTCACAGGATTCCCTAAGGAATTGCGGATCTTGACAGGATTTGTGGTGGATGTTGATCCTATTTGCACTTCAGATATGTTGGCTTCAGCCGTGTAGATATCACCAGAGCTTGACAATGCGCATATAGTGTTGCCACCACATACTAGCTTGACAATATGATTTACAGCAATGTCGTATCTTGTCGCCATGAAGCTGTTCCGGATAAAGCTTGAGCTGGCCTCAAGTGGGAAGGAGAGTTTTGAGTAGCCATACTGAGAGAAAACCCAGACCTCGTGATTTTGTAAGAGCACTGCAGTGGCACGATCAATGGCCGATACCATCTGAATCGGACAATTTAAGAGAGAAGCCCCAACACGCCGAGGGGTAGTTTGAACTTCGAGTGATCGGGCATCCGAATCAACCAAACCTAGTTGACCCTCATTCTTACCAAATGTGTATAGACCAGAAGTGCTGAAGACAACTGAGTGAATTGAAGAGGCAGCTGCCCCGAGAATTCTTTCCTTTTTAAATGGATTGAAAATCTGTCGAGGTGCTGTCTGCATAGGAACATCATTACGATTACTCGTTCTAGGCAGGCTGTAACCAAGCTGCGCAAATTTGTTGCTGCCCCAACTAAATATCTCACCGAACTCGGTAATGGCAAGACTGTGATCTTGGCCCAGTGCAACCGACATGACCTTCTTGCCTGCAAGACCACCAGTCTCGATGCAGGCAAATGTGAATCGTGTAGACTCGTCCCCGGTTCCTAAACGGCCACCGGGTCCGAATCCACACATAAATAGATTGGCCTCGGGGTCATCCGTGATGATTGCGGTGTGCAACTTGGACATAGCAACGTTTTGAATCTTGATCGGCTTGTTTGTGATGACAGTCGGCAGCTCCTTCAAGTCAGCGGTGCCGATAGTATCTTCATCAGAAATGCCCTTTTGCTCTTGATATTCGCGATAAAAGCGATACAGAAGATGCTCTGGGCGGGTTAGAGTGACCCGCTCTGGAAATTGCCGATCATCTTGGTCTCCAAGTCCAAGGTTTAGATTTTTGTTGCTTCCAAGTGTGAAGACCTCATCGGCAGAAAAATCCGTCCGTGACTTCTGAGCACCTCGGACTACATAGGCATCATCATATCCCTCGTCAAAATTTGAGGCAGTATCACTTCCCGCTGTAGCTAGAGCGGTAGATCCATGCCAGTCAATTGGTGAAGACATCTGCTTTATATCGCGAGATGTAATGGTTTCTCCATAGATATCGAAAGGGCTATAGCCCTCACGGTCCTTAATCTTGATCAAATTCCCAACCGAATGGCTTGTATGTCCCAGTTTGTTGAAATCTGTTGCATCGCGCGAATCCCGAGCCATCAAAGCCATGGCAATTGTAGCATTTCCGGCGTAAAGGGCCCGGTGCAGGGCGGTCCATCCACTCTCCCAGTCTTGCGCATAAATATCTAAGAACGGAATTTCAAGGAGGGCATTCGCGAATATCGGGGCGGTAGACTTTGGCGATGAAGCGACGTGGTGCAGAAGGGTTCTGCCAAAGTGATCGCGAGTATTGACATCGGCGCGAGAAAGAGTCGCATTTCCCTTCTGAGGGCCTGGACGATCGGGGGCCGAGGTTCCAGGAGATGCGCCATATATCTTCTTCTGCTTTGAAGTATTAGGCGATGAAGCAATTATTGGACTTCCACCTTTAGATGGGGAGTTAGCTGCGGTTAAGGCCAGTCCTCCGAATCCCCCTGCAGCTCGCGGTCCTGCAAACGTCGCATTTGCGAGGAACTGCTGAAAGCTCTCCACATCATCTTGAATGAAAAACTCCCAAAGCTTGCTACTCATGTGCCCGGAGTGGTTGGCTCACAGAATCTCTTGTCAACCCCAAGCTTGAGCGTCGCTGTCACCACACTGGGCTTGACCGCGACGTAATAGCTGGGAGACAAGAGGGTCCTGTATCGGAAGGAATGAAAGGGGCCGATTTGATGACGAATCGGCGCGTCTTCAGTCAATGCGATCGATTCTAGGGTTTGAACAACGCGTTAACACAAAACTGATTGTGGGATTCGAAGCGGGGCGTTTGCACGTGGCGATCCGACCGATGATATTGGGATGAGGCGATTTAGAACGCTCGCTACGATGGCAGTAATACAATCAATCAAGCGTCTCTTCTTTTGCTGACTTCGTCATTCTACAGACAATGAAACCTAAGGACCAATAGCAGAGCGCATGTCTTCCATGTTCTATCTCCCGCATCCCGTGGGGCACCGATAGGACACCAAGTATAGTTACTTGGAAGGGTTCATTCTGATCTACGTTCCACGGACTCTAAAACATGCTTACAGCATGTTTTCTACACTGATTATTTCAGATCTATGACTACATAGACAATCAGAAATATGGAAGACGAAGTAAGGAGCTTAGAAAGTGATGATATCTATCCATATTGGTCATGTGACATAGTCATGTGACGGTCATATACTGTCAGCTGACTCAGCGGTTTGTGCTGTTTGCATTATAACTAAAACACAACCGAGTGGAGATTACAATCGAGCGGAGAAAATGACCCACTTTTTTTAATATTTTACATTATTTGCCCCATAACTCCATTGAAATCAGTAAAACTATGTAAATAACCTATAGAATCGGGCGCTGTGGACACATCTCTCTCTTATGTCCAGTTTCTTTACATATTCCGCATCTGCGTGGCCGCTGGCGTCGTGGAGAAGATACCCGGATTTGGCGTCCATTTACATCACCACCATTTGCATCACGATTTATTGACGCGTCGATAAGCTGACGGCCTTCCTGGATAGTAAGGCCACCTTCAATGGCCATTCGCGTATTCGGATGTGCCTTTTGTTTCTTCTTTTTTTCATTGGCTTCGCGAAGAGCGGCTATTTCCTGATCTTGTATTGCCATACGTTGGTGTATGGCTACTGCGTCTTTTAAAAACTGGTCTAAGATCGGCTTTATTCGTGTAGATGGTGATCGCTATGCTGCACGTAATGGAGATTTATGTTGACGACGTATATCCTTCTGTGTCATTGGCGTTCTTGGAGAGTATCTCTTACTAGAGTCGCTACCCCGGGATGGTGGTGGTGGTGTTGACGGACGAAGCAAGATAGTAAGCTTTGAAAGCACCCCCTCTGGATCAAATGGTGTAATTCCAGTAGCAGCGAAGGCATTAGATTCAGATCTTATAGCTTCTTCAAGCGCAGAAAGATATATAGCTAGAAAATCGTTCTTGTTGATAGAGTTGAATCCGAGCTCCATTTTGATACCAACCTCCCGGGAATAAGAGCGCTTTAAAGCAGCAAAGCAACATACATCTAAAGGCTGTAAAATATGAGATAAATGTGGAGGCATACAGAGTGGTTTAATGTCGTTTTGTCGGCAAATATGATTGAAATCGGGTGTAAGGTGGCTACCATGGCCATCTAGAATCAACAACCTGTCCCCTTTGTACGTATTATAGTAGAAGGGATAAATAGTTCCTGTAGCCAACGAAGGTCTATTTGGTCTGATGTCCAGCCATTAGGGTTTAATTAAATGCGCCAATCAGGTGGTAAATTGGCGTCGCTAAACCAGCTTTGCATCATGTCTTTGCCCTTAAATATGATGCATGGCGGAGGCGCCCAACCAGTTGAATTTAAACATTCAATAGCTGTAACCCACTCACGATTTCCAGGTTTTACTTTGTCATTTCGGCCATAATAGCCTGCCTTCGTAACGATTTTAGCAGTGGCGGTTTGTCCCATTGCGAAGCCAGTTTCGTCAAAGTTGTAAATATCATCTTCATGAATCCCATTCTCACGAATCGTCTTTTCAACTAGTATAAACCAGTCGCGAATAATCTTAGGCTCCTATTGTTTTGCGCGTTCAAAATTATAACGTTTTGAATAGTGAATATCGATTTCAGGTGTATGTTTAACAAAGCTCGAAACCTCGTTTTGTCCGATCGTAAGAGGTGGGTCGATTCTACGGTCGGCGAGTAGAATATTGGCGATTTGAGCGACATAATGAGGTCTAGGGGCAGATCCACGGTCGTCTAAATAGAAAATCCATTTGACTAGAGTTTCCTCTTCAGACTCAGTCAGTTTATGAATATTTGCGCGTGTGTCAGCGCGATATATAACACCGGATTGGCAACGCCGGAGAGTAGTATATGGGACATTAAAGATAGATGCAGCTTGGTTTGCATTGTCAATTTGGCCTTTTTCTAAAGCTTGAATGGCTAATAAGATCCTACCCTTCTGTTCTTCTCGGTTTTGGGCCATTTGATAAAGGATTCTCCACTCGCTTGTAATCCCAACTCGGTTGTGTTTTACTACTAATCTATATGTACCTAGAGACATTCATTCATATTATAATTGGTTATACACACCCTAGAAACTGACATATATCTACAATAGACATATGTCTTCACCTCGGCAAATATACGTACTACTACGGTGTCCAGATGCTAGATAATACCGAGTCAACCGATCGATCAAATTTGATTGAAAGACGGAAATATTTTTTATCGCCATCATCTACCAATATCAACCTTTCCTTTCCTGTCAGCTTCATTTTGAACAATAACCTCTTCGAAATCTACGGTAGACGGATTGCTTCCCGAGATATCCGACTCGGAGATGTCGTTATCAGGTAATTCAGTCCTTCCTTTGCGTTGGTCGCTATTGTCACGTATTAGTTTTTTATTCGTACTCCATTTGAGTTATTACTTACCGTCTATGAAGGAGAACGGCGGCCATAAAGAGGACCCAGAGCAAGAAGTAGAAGCAAAGTGTAACAGGCCAACCCTTACGCCACCTCGTCGCTCCGTTGCCATTTGGTGCTGTAGTAGGGAATAGCAGAAGCGGAACCCAAATTTGGAAGGAGTAGCCAAAGGTCATCATAGAACCCTGCAGCAAAAACATAATTGTCAGCCTAAATATCCTATTCTGACTCTTTTGGGGAAATTTAAGATCTTAGAAGTCTTACCATAATCAGAGCTCGCTCTTCGGAATCGTTACTGACGACTGTATTCACTATGGAATAGAGAATCGGACTTAAACACCCAGCAAATCCGAATAGGTACCAAGCAACAAACCTATAGTGATATGTAAGTACTCGCGATCGACACGACATGAAATGCGTGATCAGATAAAAACTCACTTCAATGCAGGCGGAATGTTCCAGACAATCATACAGATTGTCGAGAAGATGCAGCATACGATGCCGATGGTGTAAATAATCCATTCTGGATAAATTGCGGCAAGGGTAGTTCCAAACCACGAGGTAACGATAGTAATTGCACTGATTACCGTGGGCAGCTTGTTGATTTGGTCAACTGAATATCCCTCAGCTTTAAGCCACAGGTTCATATATGACGACGGGTAGCTCATGAGAATCATGCATCTAGATATACGTGTTAGAATAAAGTTCGGTAGATTAATGCCCAAGTGTGACTATGTGTGGTCATAACTCACGTGTAGCATCCAACAAAAATCCAAATATGCCATCGTTTCAAGGACCGCTTGAACACATCAAGAGTCATCTTCCCTGGACGACGAATCTTCGCCTTCTTTCCTCTTTCCTTGGCTAATGCAATGTCATCTTCTGTCAAGAAGAATGGGCGCGGGGAGTCGGGGATTCCTGGGAATATGATGAAACCAATCAGGGCGACAGGGATGGTGAAGATGCCGTCAATGATGAAGAGCTATCAGAGTAAGCATTAATGAACTACCCTTTTTACTTCAGTAAAATGAATTTACTTACCCATCTCCATCCAGGCATACCACCAACGCCCGTTAGATTTTTATATGCAGCAGCCTGCAAGTATCCGCTGACCATAGAGCCAAGGGGATTGCAGATAAACCAGGTACCTGCTCGCTTGAATAGTTCTGGCCCCGAATACCAAGACCCTAAGATGCAGGTAGTTAGTGAGGAACTCTGTTGCAGAGATTATACCGAGCTGTATACGTACCGAGAATGAAATGAGTTCCGGCGAACACTGGAGCTTCCAGCATACCAACCAGGGCGCGGAGTGCATAGAGCTGCTTCACATTGGTAACACGGCTCTGAGCAAAAGTACAAATTCCCCAAAGGAGTTCTAGCCCAGGGAGCAGCCAACGAGACCTATATCAAAGTTGAGTCAATTGCTATTCAACCAGAGGAAGACAAGACTCACAGGCTTGGACGTGACATCAATAGCAATCCAGGAATTTGAAATACAACATATGCTGTGAAGTAACAGACATTCATGTAGTTGAGCTGATTTCCATTAAGATCAAAGTCCTCTTTAAGCCCACTGGTATAGGCATTGCTGATATTGGACTGGTCTAATTTTTTGATATTAGTTCAAATCCAGGCTTGACAGCGCAGCCTTGGAGCTCAATTCTTACCCAGATATTTCACAAAGACTGCCAATATTAGTAAGTGCATTCGTTCAATGAACTATAACTTAGGACTCCTCACTTACAGCATAAGCAAGCAAAAATCAGAATTGACAAGTCCAACTTGAATAGTAATCTAAGAATCCTGTCAGTAGCTGCAGAAATAACCCAATCCAGACCACCCAGGAAGTGAGATATGCTTACTTTCTTTCCTCTGCAGGATATGATGAAGGATACCAATTGAATACCTCTTTGAACAACCCCAGAGGTCCTAGCCTTCTGGTCTTAGGCTTCAATTCGGCCATAATAGAGAGTGGTCAGATTTATGCACGAAGACTTAAAACAGCAATCAGATCCATATGTGCATTATTACCTGCAGCTTCTTATAGTCCCGGTGTCATACAATGCCCCTCAGATAAACGAGACCGAGGTCATTCGCTATTTCTGATATGCAATTCCTCCACATCTTGTCGCCATTATTCGTTTTCGGAGAGATCCCGACTCTCACTTCCAAATTCGCTGTTTATTTCCAGGCTAAGCGGGTGAAGCGAGAATAAAGTACGATGAGTGGTAGATGCCACAGAACATCACAGTGCAACTAGCAAAACCGCGACATGCTGACTGCTGATGACGTGCCCCAGAACCCGGTTTCCCCCCCCCCCCCCCCCCCATTTCCCAAATTCTCATATCTCATTTTTATGGCTTGCTTGAGATCATCTTACAAATACGATAACTAAATTAAATAGAAAGTGCGGGGCTCAATGTAGCTGTTGGGATTTATATATTGGTGCATGTTCCCTTGATGTTCCGCTTGCTCATCGAAACCGCATATTGCTAATTCTTATATATTGTACTTACTTCCAAGGTCGACAACTTCACCACAAAGGAACTTCATCATGCCTGGAAAGATAATTGAGAAATATGACCAAGTCCCTGTGACCAAGGAAGACTGTATGAATTGACTCCTTCCATATAATCATTTGAGATTTTCGCTAACACTAATATTTTCAGTGCCTTGGGCTGAGCTTATTACCCTTGACTTGAGCCAGTATGAACAGCCTGGTGGCAAGGAGAAACTCGTCAAGCAGTTGGAGCATGCTGTTCAGCATGTCGGTAAGTCCCTTTTCTTCCTTTTTTTATATTTCTCACGCTTACATGTATTCAGGATTTTTCTATGTGAAGAACTTCAACATTAGCCAAGAAGAGGTTGATAACCAGTTTGCTCTGGGCCGAGAATTTTACAACCTTCCAGATGAAGAAAAGCTCAAGTACCACAATGCAAACGACCTTACCAGGGGAGAGTATAATGGATATAGGCCATCCGGCCATCGCATGTAAGTCTATGGAACATAGCGTATTCTTTATTGAGAATATGAGGCTGAACTTCGTCTAGCCTTGGAAATGGAGTTAAGGATAATATTGAGGTGTACAATATTCCCAAGTTTGATGGCTTCCATGAGCGACAGCAGCCTCCTATCCTTTCCGATCATATTGAGGAAATTGAGGCCTTCAGCCGGGTATGATAAACCGAGCGGTGGAACCTATTGCCAATGCCGAGTGCTAATCCTGAACTACAGAAATGCCACACCGAAGTTGTGGAGAAGCTTCTTCGACTGTTTGCAATCCTTCTAGAACTCCCTGATGAGGAGCAGCTGGTCCGCGCCCACCAGTATGATGTCAAAGGTGAAGACCACCTTCGTTATATGCGCTACGCAGCACGTGATGCAGAATTGAACAAGAAGGTGGGTGATCTGTACACCCCTGGCCACACAGATCTCGGATCTGTCACCCTGCTCTTCCGCCAGCCCGTGGCCGCTCTCCAGATCCTCAATTCTGAGGGAGATTGGAAGTGGGTCCGTCCTCAAGACGGAACTATTACCATCAACACTTGTGATGCCTTGACTGCCTTGACCGGAGGATATATCAAATCAAGCATTCACCGTGTCCATGCACCACCCCAAGACCAGGCTCATATTGACCGTCTAGGTGTGCTCTATTTCGCCCGGTAGGTTGAGGAATCTCTTCTTTCATAGGCATACACTGACTTTAATATAGACCCAATAACAATGTGGTTCTTGACCCCATTGATAACAGCCCCGTCCTGCAACGCCTAGGACTGACGCAAAATGCGTTTACCGAGCTAGGCCAGCATCTCACCACCGAGGAGTGGGTCAAGGTGCGACAGACACAGCAGCAACGCCGGAACAAGGCGGGCAACGTCTCTCAGGATGGAAAGTTCACCTATGAAGCTAAGGACCTTCAAATCATCCCTGGCTTGCAAGCTCAAGTCTACAATTAGAGAATTACTCTGCCCAGGCGGGCTATCACTAGGTAGTCATCAATACAAAGAACTATAACTAGTTCTACAATAAAGAGCTTTTTTATTCGAAAACAACCTTGGGACGCTGAAACTTGAAAGGTCGCTTTGCTCGTTCGCAATATATAATAGCCCCCGAGGCCTGGACCTCGGGAGGTATCGAAAAGGCAAAGGAATAACTACTTGATTTATTCAAAGATGAATCGAGACGAAAATTAAGAAGTTTCATCCATTGACTGTCGATACCACTAGACCAAAGTGGGGCACAGGACCAATGGTTCCGATGCTGTTGGTTCGACATGAAGTGAATCTAGCCAGTTTTGTCTATTTAGTTACAGCGAGGATAAGATTGAATAACACACCTCTTACAACTTCGCATCGACGCACCTAGATCTATTCCATCAAGAATACTAGTTGCATATGCACCGTAAGAACGTCACCGTTCCGACATTGACAGTTGTTGAAACATGGATCCCGATGCCCGGGGCCATCTTTAATATTGGAAGGTTCAACTCCGAGGGTTCCCAGGGCTACATTGATACAATATCAGGACATCGAGAAGAATGAAGTGACCAATAATATCTAGTCCAATGAGAAGAAAACTTAATAGAAGAGTGGCTTAGGGTTTTCGATTCCAACATAGGTACCAAAATACCACCCCGGGGCTGAAGCTTATAAGGTAATTTGAACATATATACGTACCAGAGTACCTATTTATTAACTACAGGGCTATAACTTGATAATCTTGAAAGATTTAGGCTTGTATGTCACGCAAGAACCAAGGTCTAGATCATGATCTAGAATACCTCGGATTTTACCCACTAATCGAGCATGTGCAGCCCTATATTGCAATTAGGGATCTTCCAAGTTTGAAAGATGCCAATCAATTGACTTACAAATCGAACAGCTTGAGGCTGATTTGTTGCCTTGTACTCCGTACTGATTCATTTTTTAGTTCATTCTTCGTTTGCTATCATAATTGAGAAGTAATGAATTTTCTAAAGAGACACACATTGTGTCTGTAATGATGATCTTATATCATATTTACAAATCTAGCCCTTGGAGGGGTATATCCAATCAATATGAAGTTATTGCCAACCTTCATTGGTGCGGGTAAATTAAACATCATCTGAAACATTTGAACGCGTTTTGTACATAGATATGAGGCTTAAGCAACATTTTAGATCTGCGTACCAAGCATTTCCATATCCTGCCTCAGATAATTAATTAAGCGCCAGGATTCATTGCTTTGCTCAATGAAGCGCTCCACTTGATAAACATGTAATAAACCCTTGTCCAAGTTTTGGTACCTGATAATAGTGAAGAGCGCTGAGACGGCCTCGTGAATGTAACAGATATAGGCAGTATCCCGTCGTATAGATGAGACCCAAATATCTGATTTGTCGAGAATTAACCTACATTGTGGCCTTCGTACCGGGATATATTCTAGTGCATAAATAACCACGAAATTCCGGGCCTGGTGATAGCTTTTCCAGAATCATAATATTCTATCTCTAATAATCACTCACCATGATCTCTGCCTCATCGGTACGACTCGTGATGACGGCCTTAATGGCTTTCATGATGGCAATGACCACTGCTCGGCATCTTCAGAGCACTAAACATCACGCTCGAAGCACTATCCTGTCCCCTGCCGCCGACCCATTCTATAATCCTCCAGTAGGATACGAGTCAGAGGTGCCAGGAACCATCTTGCGCCAGCGTAATATCTCTGCTGCTGTTTTCGGAATTATCAAGGATCCAGTGAAAGTCTATCAGCTGCTTTACCGCACAACAGCCGTAAATGGTTCGGCGATCACTACCGTGACCACTGTCTTCAAGCCCTCTTATGGCAAGAAGGATAGATTCATCTCGTTCCAAACGGCCTATGATAGCTTGTATTCCGCGTGCGAACCCAGCTACAACTACCAGTTTGGTGCCAACGAGACAGAACTCATCTCGGCCGCAGAGACTTTGATCCTGCAGGCGTATCTGTTGCTCGGATACACTGTTGCTTCATCCGACTACGAAGGGCAAGAGGCAGCATTTGGCGCTGGTCGCCTTGCTGGCATGGCCGTTCTGGATAACATGCGTGCTGTATCGGCTTTTAAACCTTTGGGATTCACCACTGACACTCCTAAGATCGTCGGTATTGGTTATTCGGGCGGTGCTATTGCTGCAAGCTGGGGAGCTGCTCTTCAGCCCACCTATGCTCCTGAGCTTGATATCAAGGGTTGGGTTTCAGGTGGCACCCCTGCCAACCTCACGGCCACTATGCTCTCCTTCAACGATGGCGAGTATGGCGGCTTCATCCCCATCGCTCTTGCCGGCATGTCGCAGCCTTCCGCATATGGTGCGACATTAGCTCCCCTGCTTGACCAGATCTTAACATCGGACGGTCGGACCAAGATTGAGTATGCCAAAACCCACTGTGCCGCTGATAATATCGGCAACCTTTTCTTCCAGTCCATGCTCTCCACTGACTTTCAGACCCTTGGAGAAGCATTCCTTACCAACACCGTTTTCACGGACATCATGGAAGATTGCTTGTTGGTCGGCAACAAGACTGAGACTCCTACTTCACCTATGTTGATTTACCACTCCGCGGTAGATGAGATCATCCCCTATGCTCCTGCGAAGGTCCTCGCCGATACCTGGTGTGATAACGGCGCAGGGATTGAGTTCATCACCTTTGCAAATGGAGGTCACATTACCACCGATGTGATTGGATTGCCATATGCTATTGAATTTACGGCGTCAGCTTTCGAAGGAAACCTGACTAAGGGATGCACACGAAAGACGCAGCTCGAGAGTGTCCTCAACCCCATCTCGCTCGCGACCAACCTCGAGCCGCTCGGCACTGATTTGATTTCAATTATTGTGGATCTTGGCAAGGGTGATTCGAACCTGAAGAATAATGTGGCTGCTCTGAAACAACTTGTGCATATTTAGATGTGGAAGAAGTGAGAGGGTACCCGATGGAAATCCCGAGACCGGAGGGATAAAACGCCATCAATCGATTTTGTACATATAAGATTAGCCCTGACTTGCAACATTTGAAGGAGTTCAAAATATAATTAGCCAAACGTCAAATGTCGACCTATTAGCTTTGACTCCAATCATTCAGATGCCGTGATCGCTTGCGTCATTCAACCTCCCTTATGCCGAATGCGACTATAAGCGTGGAACGTAGAGTCCTAGAGCTCAGAATACCTATATCACAGGCAAGAACAGGATTCTGATTTACCCTTGCCTCATCTCTGTCTGAGCCTCAGTATATAAGAATAAACGATGCCTAGTAAAAGGTACTGTCGATCATTACCTATAAATACTTGGTGGTGCTGACTCGATCAGGTGCGGTCTAGGCCGATGTATAGCTTAGTAAAGAGTGAAGAATATCCTCGTTCAAGACTGAAAAGCACTCCAACTAGGATAATTTTGAGTTGAATGTAAGAAATAGATTACAGAATGTTCTGCTTTGATGTAGAAAATGAAGGGGCAAAAGGCAAGGAAATGGCGTGCATGTAAGGCAGTGTCAGCAGTGGCGTCTGTGAGTCTATGAGTCTATGAGCCTGGACGTGTCGAGTCACCGGATATGCGTCACTGACCTCCACCTATCTCTTAGTAGTGCTTTATCCCCAATAGCCTACAGGTTATCATTTCTGTTGTTGATCTCAGGCCGCATTTGCCCGTTGATGTAACCGGTCCCACGATCATTTTGGCCTTTCATCGCAACATTCAGGCTGCATCTTCTTCCATTGTGCAAGTCTCCAAACTCCCAACTCCAAGTGAAACATACCTCCCTTTTGCTCCTTTGTTGGCATTTCACCTTAAATAGTGTGGCTTGATAGCATGGCGTTCGTTGTGTCGTCGTCTCATTGAACTGATAACAGACTCCGCTCCGCTGATAGCATTTGCACTTAACACCCGCCTGTCGGGGTAAGTCTTCATGACCTGGATTTCTTCCCGTGCATCACTAATTTTCCTAGGCATGCTTCAATAGTCTCTTCGTCATGCATCAGCATCCTCGTACACCTGCGGTGCCTTCGCAGGTACCGAACCTCCCCGCCAAACCCACTCCGACTTCGCTGCGGGAGGACCTCAGAGACTGGGATTCGGCGCCAACGTCACCTTCCACTGACACTCGGCCAAGTACAGCCCGGGGCCTGGGAATTGATGGAGCAGATTCTTCTGATAAGCCAAGGGACTCTGGCCCAAGCAAGGATGCTATGGCAAAGCTCTCTCAAATCATAGCCGTATGTGGCTTCCGGTCCCAACCTCGCTGGCTTTGGCTTTGGCCTTGGCGTATTCAAACTGACATCCTTCCTTTTCAATATAGAACTATCATACTAAAGCTGCTCTGATTATCCTTCAATCGCGTGTCGAACTCCCCCCTGCCTACCAGAAGGGCTCTGATGTGCCGAGAATAAATCGTTGGGTTGGTTTCACCGCTCATTCTTATATCCCATATCACATATAAGCAAGACGGCTGACTTTACTTGCTGATTTAGTTCAATGTCGAGTTAGACGACTCAGATACCCTCCGAGAACCCCTACGCACCTGGAAGAACTGTGATGCCTCGGAGAACCGCCCCCCACCTCTCGTCATAGAAACATTCCTAGATACTAAGGGTCTCACGAATAATCAGACTCTTGTCATTCTAGATGACCAGGGGAAACGATGGGACGTGCAAGAGTCACTTGCTGCTTCTCGGGGTGCTGGAGCACAAACTCCATACCAGTCGGGCTCTGATGAGATCATTCTGGAGCGATGGAGGATAGAACTCGGGGAGCCTTCTAGCAGCCCGCCTGCCGATCTGGGCTCGATCTTGCCGACGGTCTATAAGAAAAGCATCGTTCTTTTCCGATCCTTGTTTACATACTCCAAGTTTTTGCCTGCTTGGAAGTTATGCAAGCGCAGTTCACAGGTTCGCATGAATTCTGCTCTGAAGATCAGATACCGTGTGGCAGATGGCAGCTCTTGCAAGGACCCGACCATAGACCACTTGACGGCTCCGTTGTATGAGGGGACTGAGAAGGTGGTTGATGTTTACAAGTTTGGAGTCACTGAATCGCCAGCTGGGCCATTTTCAGTGCAGGTCAGTTATCGGACTAATTGTGACTTCCGTGTGGACGACTCAGAGGCATTGTTGAGCTCTCGGTTTATGGGCGCCGACGATGACATATTTCGTCCATCGCTACCTGCGGACGAAACAATGCGTGCGAATATCGAAGTGGGGTCAGTGCCAGTTGGAAGAAGAACGATTGATAACCCCGATCATTCGCGAGCGTATGGAAGCCTATCAACATTTCACCAGGTTGGCCCAGCTACGGGTGCAAGTCCCATCTCAGCTTTGCGCGCCGCGAGAGATTCTGGTGCAGTATCTCCATCGCCGTCCGATTCACCTACAAGAATAACCCCCGTCAAAGCTGCGCCAATTGGTCGTGCTGCGCAACTTGCAAGTGAGGGAGGAAATTCCAACTTCCAGCGACGCCCCTCTGTGTCTTTTCAGCCCTTTAAAGCACCTACCCTCTCTGCTTCCCCTTCACTCGCAGATAATCCACTAGGTGTATCTCCGCGCACATCCTCCTTTCGAGTCCCCATAGGAACCTCTGCAGATTCTCGGGTTATGCCCCCGCCTTCAGTGGCAGCTGCAGCACGAAGACCTCCTCTTGCGTCCGACAACGTACTTTCCTTTTCTAACTCCACATCACCCCGTTCCGCGCCAATTTCACGCTACACCAGCTCATTTAGTCACCGACGCGGCCGTCTATCTGTTGGAAATTCCAATAAGATGGATGATGAAATCTCCAGTGGTAGGTTGAGTGTGGCATCCCCCAGCGCTCAACCTGGCTCTGCCCTTCTTTCCGATACCACTGGCACTAGTGCAGATTCAATTGCACAGGACAGTGAGGATATATCCAACTTCCTCAAGCTCTTAGATGCTGCAAAGGGCGCATTGGATGTCAAACCTGGCGCGGTGAGTTCATTCCGACAGCCGGGTACCGATTGCCTCGCCCGCTACCAAGCTATGCGTGAATCAAACGACGCACTGTCCGAGTCAATGGCTGCGTCAATGAATCCAAACCGTTTCTCAGTGGTGCCGAGGACACTATCCGGGGTCCCACCCATTGCTGGAACATCCGTTTCGACTGTGTCGTCTGCCGGCAAACCCATGTCACCGCATACTCCTCATACACCCCACACACCAGCTATCCGATCCCGCCTTAGTTCCAACAGTGTTGCCGATGACATCGTCGCAGAGCATGACCGCCGAGGAGTCCAGTCCCCTACAGGTGAAACAGCTCGCCACCCAGCAGCGCAACGCATCGCGCTGACTGCTGGGGCTATTGACATCCCAACATCTCCGCGAGTGTTTGATCCAACCTTCCGGGGAACGAGCTATACCCATCACAGAGCCGCGACCACTGACTCGGACGAGGTCTTCCCATTCGGATTGCGCAGCATCAGTCTTGGAACTGACGAACTGGGCAACGCTTCCCGCCAGACTACTCCTCACGAGAGACCTCCCTTTTCTCGTCAACAATCTACTACTGGCAACTCCAACCCCCCTACTGCTGTACCAGTTCAGCCCGAGGGGGCAGTTCCCCAAGACCAATCTGTCCCAGTCGCAACCTCGTCATCGTCTACAGCTAACGTCTATCAACCCCGATTCGCTAGCTCGCGCGGCCGTGGCTTCTCTGGTGGTCCTCACTCTCTCAGCTCTGCATCAAGCTCTCTTGCCCGTGGTGCTACAATCCCACCCCATCTCTCCGAGCGTGAAACCGACCGCGATGGCAATGCCAGCGGCAGCAACAGCGGAAACTCCACCCTAGAGATCCGCCGCGGCTCGCAGCGACCTAGTTCCAACCGCGCCCCACCATCCAGCCAATTCGAAGATGACGAGCCCCTGCTCTTCGCCATGAGTGACTTTGGAGTGTCTCGCCGCAGCCTGGATGAAAACCGCCATGGCAACCACGGCGGAACGGACTCAAACAGTGCCTCGCGACGCGGTAGTGGCCGACGTGGAAATGGACTTCCTAGTTTCCACCACTGGACCTAAATGACCGACCTGACCTACTTCAATTGACGACTTTTGACCGACCATCGCTTATTCATACCCCTGCGCAGTTTTACCTTATCTTACAAGGTCCTACGACATCGACTTTTGATTACAATACCCCTTTTACACCTGCAGGATTTCGTGAGCTTACTTAGTTTTCTCTCTTCAAAATGATGAACCTCAAAGAGATTACAATATTTTACATCGTTTTACTGGTAGTCTCACTTTCTCTATTATCATATTAAGTATGTAACAGCTGGGAGTAAAAAATACAGGATTGATCCTAAGATTGGTTAAGGGTTTAACATTTCCACCTGCCCAGGGGCAAGTTGAACTATGGATGGTAAAAATTATAATACTCTTCATTCTCCGAGCTCTCGTTTGAGGTATATGACATTAAGCTCTAGATGCTTGATGACCCAATAATTCAACGTATGCATAGTAACAGAGTTACACTATATCTTCTTGATTCCTTGGAGTAAGAATTGCTAGCAAGATCTATCAAACCAAGCCCAGAAAACACCAGACGCCAAGCACTCCGAAATATGTTCAACAACTTTTCTTTTTCATGCCATAGAGCTTAGAAATCACATGCCTCGGAAGGCATTTCCAGACGCGCTGCGGCGCTCCTTTGAGCGGAACTCAGTCTTGTCATATTGAACGGCAGGCTGATTACGCTTCGACTTCGATGCTGGCATGAAGCTGACCGAGCGCTCGCCGACGACACGGTCTTGGCGTGCAGGTTTCGAGCGCGATTTCATGTTCTGGGCGCGTGAGCCGAATGAACGGTCGCGGGTCGAATTGGTTCGTGTCGAAGAGGAAACCTGCATGCGAGGTGGGGGTCTCTTAGTACGCTTGTAGTCGGTGGAGGAGATTTTGTTGGAAGTCTTGGTCTTTGCAGGTCTTGCGGTTTCACGAGTCTCGCGGTCAGAATCAGAATCATCGTCGCTGGAGCCAGGGACCTCGTCAATGGCTTCTTGCTCGACTGCTGTCAGGCCACGCTCCTTCTTCTCGCCCGCCACAGGCACAGTGCTGGGGTTGATAAGCTGGAATTCACGAGATGTCTCATCCACAGCGAAATCTTGGTCCTCGAACAGCTTGGCGAAACGGCTATCGCGAAGCACGCCCTTATTCTCCTCTTCTGCTGTGGCATCGACCATATCTTCATCACCGCCACGGGCCAGAACGCGCTGAGCTCTACGGCGCTCACTCTTCTCCTCTGCATTTAGCAGTCTCTCGGCCAACCTCTTGTTAACCTTCACAGCAGCCTTCTTCTTGCCGCGGATGCGGCTCTCACGCTCCTTGTCGATCTTCTCCTTCACTCTCTTAGCACGTTCCTCCTCCCAAACGTACGGGTTGGTAATCAATCTCGCCTCCTCGTACAGACGCTGAGCAACGAAGTAACCGTGCATGTATGGTCGTAAGAGGTTGGTGCGACCGATAAGATGCTCCAGGTTCAAGGTGCGCAGTTCGGGAATAGTCAAGAACTTGTAGTTGTCGTAAATAGAGCCGGCCTGGGCGCTGGTAAATGCGCTTGGGTCGTTGGGGTCCTCAGCCATCTCCTCCACCAAGTTATCCAAGAAGGAGCACCACTTGGGTGCTGGGCCAAGCTGAGGAATGAAGAAAGAGTGTTGTTGGCGGCCTTCGTTAGCTGTGAGCAACATACCGCTGTCCTTACACCAGGCCACCGAGTTGATGTCCACTGCTGGTTCCACCGAAGTCCAAGGTGTACCGTCCCGGGGATCCCAGAGCTTGATGATACGCTTATCAGCAGACATAATCTTCGGCTCCATAGTTGCCTCTCGGGTTGCGGTTGACGGTTGAAGGAATTTCAAGGTGTGGATGGGGAAACCGTAACCCTGGTCCTTCTTCAGAAGGGGTACGGGAGATCGCAGGTCGTAGAGGTGAATCAATCCGTTTGAAGAACCGGTTCCCAGAGTCAGTCCAGAGCGCTGGAATTCCAAAGCGGTGATCTCGGATCGTGCATCTCCATGTCCCATCTGTGTGGGCGGCAAAAGCACACCCGCGCGGCCCTTTGCTCGAGGGTCCCATAGCTCCACTGTACCAATGGATGTACCAAAGGCCAACAAGTTATGGCTCTCCTCTGCGATCGCAGCAGTATTCACTGCACCGGTGTTGATACCTCCTTGCAGGGCACCGCCACCGCTGGATGTAAAATCGTCGCCTCCGACATCAACTTCATAGCTGCGCATGTACCTGCCAAGCTCCAAGTTCAAGCGGAATACTTCTCCCAACCCATCCTGATTGACGCCAACAGCGGGGACTAGAGCCTCAGTCGACTGTCGGTCGTATAATAGGTCACGACCGTATCGTGGAAGGCGGGTAGTGTAGTGACATCCTTGCGGGTTGTGAAATTCGAGGGAGCGGTCGGATTGGAGGTGTAGAGATTTGGAGTAGTCAGTTGATAGCAGAATAAAAGTTGTATTCAATGCCACGGTGTGTCTGGCCCATGACAAAGATAGTTGCGGGAGATAATGGGTGTGAATTTGCGGCTTATATGTTCCTAAAAGTCTCTATATCAGTTTCGCTCACAGACTCAGAATGACAAGATGTCGTCCATACCTGTGCTCATGACCCAGTCTCCATCCTCACTAACACGGATACACTGGCTGGCTTCCTCAAACTCGAAGTCTTGCAGAAGTTCCACGCGGTTCGCATACTCGGGATCATCTTTCAGACTGCGCTTTCTTCGTCTTGCAAGCCATTCAGGTAGTGGTCGTGCAGTATTAGATCCAGAGATGGTGTAAACAGGCACCTCGGACTGATTAGAGAGCTTCATGACGGGCGATGGGAATAACCTGTCGATCGCGATAAAAGAAAAAAGAGATCGATAAAAAAAATATCAAAAATGCCGATAACAGAACACGTGACGTGCAGCGGGATGGATCCAATCACTGGGCCTCGGAGCGTTGGCCCCGTCGAACATCCCCCGGAATTGCGCTGCATGTCCTTGTTTTGCATTGCAATCCTCGATCTACAAGATCGCATTTGCGCTAAATAAAAAATGAGTTGTCCTGGCTGATTGGGTCAGGCTCGGAATTACAAGCTGTTTGCGCGTGGAATTATAATAACAGAGCGCGTTCTACCGCTGGAAATGAGGTCCCCGTTTAAACCGCCATCAACCTATCTCCAAATTTGAATGCTCGCGAGGTCTTCTCTGGGACTATTGAATCATGGAATTCCCAGGAAATGCAAGCACCAATGTTCATCTTATTGTAGGTATTTGAACATGACATGTTTCGAGCTGCTACTGATTGCAAATTCCAGGATGGCTTCTCCACCATTTATTGGCGAATCTACACCGAAGAGCCAAGCATTGGCCAACCTGCACCAGAGGGGCCATCTAATGGCTATACGATCTTGAAGCATCTTGGTCGTCTGAAAGACCTAGAAGCTCGACTGAGGAATTTAAATTGTCTAGCATCTTGTCCAAGGCGCCTTGGGCTATGGGTGTTCTCTCCTACTCCAGACTTTGAAAGTTTAGCTTCTCTGTACAAAGAAGATGACAAGGAATCTAAAAAAATTCAAATTGAATCGAGCATTCTTAAAGGTGAGATCGTGCTGTTCGACACTTTGATAATGTATGTGTATTAATGTGAGATATAGTCTCCGCCTCAGGCAGCGTTGCCTCTCACGAGCTAATCAAAAGCTTGTCACTGGAAGGCCAAAATCAATCTTTTTCACAGCCTTCTATGCAACAACGACAACATCAGGGCCAAAATCAATCTTCTCGACGACCTGATGGATATAGCAGCTCATCTGCCATATATTCTTCATTTATTTCTGCCGTCACAGGTGCACTCAGTTTACATCTTATTCGCAGCGTGGGGGCCTTACCACTCGGGTCCCGCACGCTCTTTACTGCAATTGAAAAATTCGGATATGAGAATTCCCGGGTCGACAATGAAAGTCCGCTCTCCACGTCCTGTCTTACAACTCTTCAGGTGCAATTAAATGCCCCCGGAACATTGACCATCTCCACTCAAACTATCTCCCAAGCTGGCATTAAACGGCTATCTAACCCCCAATATGACATAGCCGATGATCTCAAAGTACAGACAGGTACAGACCTCTGGCTTAGTCCCAGTGGCACAGTTGCCCGTCTTGTATCAGCAAATATTGAATCCCAGAGTGTTCCTTCGCCGGGATTTCCACCTTCCGGGGTTGCCTTGGCGCGACGAAAGCAATGGAAGTTGGATGTTACACATTGGGTAGCCAACTTTGGCCTGCATATAGACTCCATTGACGAGGAGCCCTGGGTCGAAGTAGAGGTCTGGGAGCCCTTTTTTGCTAGGTTTGCCGGCGAAGCATGGCGCCAGAATGATGAATCACAATTATCCTCCCTCCCTTTAAAGCGTATGCTATGGCCGGCGCGATTCTGTTTCCAACGAACTGGTCCACCGGTACGAGCCTCTTGGCTTGAACGCACTAAGGATGACCCACTTGATTTTGCAGAAAAGTGGTCTTCCGATGCAAGCTCCCTGAAAATGCCTCCTCATATGCTTAAGAATCCTCCGATTCTGGAAGAGCCTCAAACAAAACCCAACGACGCGTCATCTCCCAGAGCTGATAACCTCGACAGTCTTGAGAGCCTTTCTCGCATGGCACAATATCCCGACTTGCAGAACACTAGTCTAGTTTATCCCACTCCCCCAGAGGGTGTTATGGCTATTGGGTTAAACAGCGCAAATCAATTCGATGCTACCCCCGACGATGTTGCATTCAAACTGTCACCCGTTCTTCCACAAGATACAAAGAATCCTGAGCTCTCTCCTGATATTGTAATTGGAACTAGCCGATATGATGCAACTGACGATGAGGACTTATTCGGAGAGATCAATGGGAGAGACTTTGGGTCCAAAGGGATCACCGATGACGATTTCAACTTTTTTGATGATCCGGACCTCGAAAATATGGATGGCGAGACATCAATTGACCAACCCGAGGAAATCCTGCAGCCTATTAAACAGTCAGATGATCCAGAGGACAAAAAGGTTGATAGTGAAGAGCTTCTCAATGGGGGCCCTGCCCACAGTTCAATTGCTGCTGACGCTGTCAAGGAGGAAACATATTCCTCTTTATCAGACGCAGTTGAACCAGAACAGAGTGATGGACAGATGGAATTAGACGGATCTCAATCTCCTCCAGGTAAGACAGCCCAAACTGTCAGTCCGCCATTGAGCCCTGTGGAAATCAAAAAGATTTTGTTTTCCGGGTCACAAACACAGGAACTCCAGACTTCCGAAGCACGTCTTACTGAGAAGGGCCACTATCGCCCCGTTGCCTTCGAAAGTAGAATTGGAGAATGGGATCAAAAGTACGGGTCAAAAGGCAAATTTTGGTTTGCTTCTGGCAAGGTACCAAATGGATCCGATCAAAACACAAACACTATCCCTACCATTGGACTGGCACATCGCAGCCGAGCGGGTACCACTTCGAGTACCGCAAAAATTTGTAACAAGGATGCGTCGCCATTAACGCTAGAGTCGTCTTTCGATTCAAGCTATGATAGCGACGACGATAGCGACGACAATAGCGACGAAATATCTTTACATTACGCCCCGACCCCGAATCTGGTGATCCTTCCATCGTTGAAAAGAAAGCGTCTACCTTCTATATCCGATATCCAACCTGCTGCATCCCCGGCCAAGTCATCGAGCGGGCCTGATACAAGCGCTGGGCTGCAGGTCGAGAATTGCACATTTCTGGGAAACTTCCTTGCTAACTTTTCTGATTGGTCTTTCATCGGCTACTTCTCCACCCTTCAAATCCAACAAGTACCTATACTTCTGCGACGTGAAGATCACATCGCAATTGCCCAGATTGTGGTAGATCAAATAACGCAGTCGTCTCTGGATTATCCATTGGGGGGTCGAATCAGTCTTTTTGGTCTCGAAAGTGACATCGTATCTTTTCATACATGTATTGAAGAAGCCAGCTTTCTTGGAGAAGTTGTAAAGCTTGATCTCAAGGGATACACTTCTTTGCAGGAAGATACAACTGACTCCATCCAGGAACCCAATGGCTCTATCACCAAGATTTCAGCTCCCCATTTTCGGTTTCGTCGTGGTAAAGAGTTCCTCGAAGCTCTTCCACCGGCGGTTTCATTTTGGGAGACTTTCGGTCTTGAGCCTGCTCATGGAGCAAAAGACGTTTCGGCATATTGCATCCATCCATTTTCCATCAGCAAAGCAGCAGATGGATTTCTGCGTCGCTTCGGTCTTACGTATGAGAGCTGCCACTTTGGAAATCATGCGCGAGGCGACAAGTCAGTGACATTCAACAACGGATTGCGGTCATGGGAAGCCGAGTCCTACAGCTATGCCTCAATGATGCAATCCTTGAAGGGCATGTGCGAAGAATTGGGTATGAACGTTCCAAAGATTCACTGTTATATTTTTCTAATCTTTATTAGGCACGGACTTGGCACAAGCTTCATCAAGTGCAGATACTTGTGTTGTCTATATCGTCAATCCCTTCCCTCACGCAGCAGCACTTGCCGATGTCTGTGCGGCCTTCTGGCACCTTATGCAACAGTTGGTGGCCGATGCCGATTTCCGACAGGCGCCTCAGGTCACAGAGGTCGCTTTACAAATTATCCCGATGGATTTTATCGTATCACTGGATTCCATGGTGGTACCTACGCAGATGGAGTATTTGAATCTCGCACAAGAAGTTTACAATCGCTGCCGCCCCATAGACACCGACCCGAGTCCTTTACTCTGTACACCAGCTGTTGTGCTTGCTGATACTGTCCCAAAAGTTATTCATTTCCGTCTTGCATCTGACAAGGGATCACCGCTTCAAGATGGGCGAGTCCTACATATAGCGTGCTCTAAGAGCGCGGATCAGCGCTGGCTATCAGTTGCATGGACGGACGGATCTGGGTCTCTCCAGACAAGCATGTCCTATTGTCTACGGTATAGCAATCGAGGACCTGCCAGGTTGCTATCCGAAGTAAGGAATGAGATATGGACCACTACAAGACACATCATGGACAGATATCAGGCTCGGTGGAAAGTTATACTGGTCAATTCCGAGCCCATTGACCCAGAAGAGCTAGAATGTCAGATCCCAACAAACCCCATATGATTGGTGAAGCTTGCTAACCTTCAATAGTCTGGACCACTCTGGCAGCACATCAGAACAAGATGCGACCAGGATCTATAGAGCTGATCATTCTGGCTGTCAGCACCATCCCTGATCTAGTGCTCGAACTACCTGTCTCTCCGATGACCACGGCTGTGCTGAGCTCCAATTACTCATCTACTCCAGTCTCAACTCCCAACCCTAGTTTGAGTGTCGCTTCTCCAGAGCAATCGGGGAATGCTCCCACCCCCGGCGCCATCTACAACGCCCCCACACCCACCGAGCCCTCCTTCGAACCGGATTCAGAGCTTGTGCTTGCTGATCTGTGTGACGAATCCTGGGCAGTCATTCTCTCTCACCGTCTCAACACCACACCTCATGTCACTGAATTCCGGCCTGCTCTAGCTAGCGGGTATTTACTTCGACGTAAAGGCGCTAGCGACAGTGACGGCATATTCTCGGCGACAATCAACCTCATTTACTCATCACAGACATCCCAATCTCCACCCCCCGAAGTTCTTTTGAAAGATATCATAAGAATGTATCGCGATCTTGCATCAATTGCCCGAGCAAGAGGTTTGCGCAGTGTACAGAGCAATACACTACCCTGGCATATTGCTACTGCCCTTCGAGCGCAGGAGCTCTTGAGCTATGTTTTTTAAGCGATGGATATCTGGAGTGGCATTATTATTATTTGTATTTACGTTCTTGGTGGTGGCGTCTTGCGGCATTTCTTGTTCTATCTAGACGGGACTATCTGTGGGTGCATTCAGTGCATTTTCATTTTTGTAAATTGGAGATACCAACAACCGCATGGGATTTTCGTGGAAGCGAGGGCATGTATTTCTCATTTTTCTTGACCCTGTCATTTTCTTTATTGTCTATTATCTTTTATCTCTTATCTTCTATGCATCTTGGAACATTTGAAGTGCTTTTTCTTTCTGCATCAAACCAGACCTATCTATTTGTCAATGACAGGTGTGAAACATTCATTGAGAATGAATCCCCAACTCCAAATTAGTCTAACGGACTTGATACAAAATATAAATGACACATAATTATTTGTTAACATATATTCAGATATAACTTGATATTTTCTATCATACATACGCACGTGGGGCGCTGATCGATCTTATCAATAAACTGACCAATATCGTCATATATTTCATGCAACTTATAATCACAGCCTTGTAAATAGATCATATTTATGGATTTATAAGAAAGAAAAAAAAAAGTAGAAAGAAGCCAGATTCCATGATAAAATGACGCCCCCCTCCTCCATAACTCCAAAAATACAACCGAAAGAGATGCAAAAGACATGAAAGACTCAATATTTTCCAGGTTCGATGCTGCATGCAAGTTGTATCGCCAAAGCTCATACAATCAAAAGTACATTAAAGACAGATTGAATTTTCAACGTGGTTTCATGTCCGGGTATCGTTTGTTTTTGTTCAGGCATTGAAAGTAAAAATGGTGAGAGAAGTTGAAGGCTAATGGCCAGAGATCGTGATCTAGATCGGCCAGGTCATACCTGTTCAACCTCTTCGTCTTCAAATTCTCGTTTCTGGCCGACTGAGACATGATTCTGGACAGCGTAGATGGCAAAGCCTGCAATTGCGAGGATGATGAAGAGGACGATGATGATGACTGCGATGACAATGTTGCGCTGCATTATGGAGGCTGGTGACCCAAATGAAGTCGGTTAAGTGGTATTTTATTGTGATAGCTTCAGTTGAAATAAGAGTTTTAAGTTGTAGATCTTATATTATCAATTGATCTGGCGCAGACGACGGGAATTATGGATTGGTTTCGATGATGACTTCGATGAGAATGACGGATGAATTGGAGAGTTTTGATGGATATGATGGTCAAGTGGAAACCGAAGAGATGTTGGATGATGTAGAAGTGAGAATTTAATCTGGCGATTGCTCTGGAAGAAAGCGAGTGTAGACTTCGGGGTATAGAGACCTCGAGCGTACTTCGATATTCTCGGATCCGATTCACTTTCCCGATCAGGAATATGGCGAGTAATGATTATTACAGTGAGATTGAGTGACTCGAGATCGCAGAAGGTAAATTACTTCCACAGACAGGAATGTTTGCAGGGGAGTTTATAACAGAAGTTGTTCCCAGCCTTTTTTTTCCTTGTCCGCGGTGGCTGGGAGATCGAGATTAGATGGGAGGCTTTTGGGCGCTAGTTTGGGGGCAAATTACACCTGTACATTCTATTTTTATTTATCTGATACGAAATCAGGGACTAGGATCTTCGCTAGGCTACTTCGGGTTAAGAGAGTCTTTCACATGTTTTGTATCGTGTTAGAACTTATTCGAAAGGCTGAACATAAAACTGTATTTTCTGTACAAACAGAACAAAGTGTCCAAGTCATGTGATCCCTGAGATCAGATTTGAAGACCCGGCGGAAAGAAACATCCGCCGAGTGGACCTTTTGTGAGCAGCCTCAGACCCCCACTCGAACTGATAATATACGACGTGGAGGTGATCTGATTATTTGGTACTTGCTCAACAACATCGTCAATTTTCTTCATCCACATGGGATTAATAGAACATCGAAAGAGAGCAGCGTAGTATTAGTCTACTTTGGCAGTGGGTATACAGTGACTGCCGATCATAACCTGAAATATCAAGATGAATCCCAAGTGCTTTGCTACCGTTTGACTTAGCTTCGTACTAATTAACCTTAATAGACACTGACAACTTTGACAACGCCCCTCTCCCTTAACGAGTTCAATCGCAGGTATTTTAGCCGAGAATAGCCTTTGAAGTCTCCACTCTTCATTAGGAACTAGGAACTAACCCCTTCGCTTGAAGAGCCTAAACCAATAGTTTCCAGGTCCACTAGCCATACTAATGATAGTGGCGCAAGCCACCAATGCTGAATCATTGAGGGGAAGAGGGGCATGAAATGCCAGATCGAGCCACAAGAACAGGAACTCCTGAGGTTTTTGAATGATCATGGGAATGATGTCTTGATGTCTTGATGTCTTGATCTCTTGATCTCTTGAATCTCATTGAGGCTTAGTCTGGGTTATAAGTATGACTAGGCATCGATATAACGACATTTGAATGCTTCCCTTATCTCAAGTGCATTCCAAGGTTCTCGTATAAATACCCTTCAAACAACCTTGAAAGACAGATGCCAGTCGATGATAGGCTATAGATCACATGACCCGAGCCCAACATCCAGTATCTCGCGATAATCATTACCATCGATCGATCATTCAAAATTCGGTCAAACAAGTTGAAACAATTCGAGCCATCTACTCAAATCTATGGAATATCCAGAATCTCTTGCTATCTACAATAGCTTCGTTTTTGTTCGATACGAAACATGCTAGCCCTACTACTCTAGTGGTCGGAAATAAGAAGCTAAGATCCAACTAGTTATCGTTCATCGAGCCTACTTCTCGTTCGTCAATGTCTTTTCCTCGGCGCAGGATCCCGATTCCCGCCGCTAACAAACCGATATGATTTATGTCATTGGAATCTAGACTGAAGACTAGAAGATGTAACCGCAACCGGAAATTCTAGTATTTTTTAAGCTTTAGGCCTTAGGATAACCCACGGATGAGATTATATTATGGAATTTTGATGATTTGGATACGATTTTACGCCACTCAAACTCTGCTTCCACATCTGGGCAGTTGACAAGTTGATGCTCGACGAAGTGTGGGGCTCATGTTTATAGGATCTTAAGGATACCCTGAATACCTAGCGAGTACTTCGTAGTTCACTTACCCTCTAAGTTAATCTCTAAGTTTATACCTCAATCCGTCACTAGTAAGTAAGCGCGAACCAACGCCCGCCTACCAGAACATTGGTTTTCCGAATTTCGTGTTCTGGGCAGTCTGGGCGTCCCAAACGATTGGGAATCAGTCATATACCCGCGGTTCTCTTAAGTTGCCAGGATTATTAAAAGCGATCTAAGATCTTACTGCTTTGTTTCCTGCGTTTCATTCGTTCTTTACCCGTGCTTGAGCCATACCTTCACCTCCATGTGACAATGAATACACTCTTCTCCCCTCGAGGCCATGCGGCCTTGGCAATCATCATTGTCTTTACTACCATTTCAACGATCCTTGCTTCTATTCGAGTCTTCACACGGGCATTTATCGTGCGGCAGATGGGTGCTGATGACTGGATGATCATAGTGGCTCTGGTATGAAAGTCGAACTATACAATACAACCGTGGAATCGACGAGCTAATCTTTATTCTTTGTTCAGATCTTCTCATGGATTCACAGTGGGTTGTATATTTCACGTCCGTATCCCTTCCTTATTCTTTGATTTTACGCCAACTAACATCCAATCAAGAGGTTTTCCATGGTATGGGTGAACACTACCTGGCAATCCCAGAGGATATCTACATCTTGCAGATGAAGGTAACGTCTTCCCATAGTCCCATAGTCCACTGTGGGATAGCAACCCGCCATGGCTGTGGCTAAAACCAGCAAAGATCCAAAAAAACTAATCAATATCCCTTTGATCTATAGGCCCTCTGGGCAGCCATCCCAAGTTACCAGACAAGTCTATTCAGTACCAAACTCTCAATAGTCCTGCTGTATCAACGCATATTTCAAACCCCACGAATGCATCTGGCATGTTCTATCCTTTTCTACTTCCTAATCTGCTATGCAGCATGGACAATTGCCACTGCCTGGGCCATCTGCGTTCCAGTCGCCAAGTTTTGGTATCCCTCCATTTCCGGATTCTGCTTCGACAAGAAGGCCCTTTGGTTCTCTAACTCGGCCATTCACATAACAACCGATATCTTACTCTTGGTTTATCCAATGCCTCTCCTTAAATCTTTGCAATTGCCTCGGAAACAGAAGCTCGCTCTCATGGCCGTCTTTGCTTTGGGTGGATTGTAAGTTCCACTAATTTCCCTCCTAACAATGGATGGTTACTGATATTCAACTTATCTAGCGTGGTGATCACAAGTATTCTCCGCCTACAGAGCCTACTGAGGAGCGCCAACTCCACAGACCCAACCTGTAAGTTCCACAATATGCATAACTAACTTGGTTTGTCGAGAGAGCACTGTAACTCACAGCTTTACCTAGATGACAACCTCGGTGTAGCAGAATGGTCCGGAATCGAATGCAACGTCGCAATAATCTGCACCTGCCTCCCAAGCACACGCGCATTCATGTCCAGAATCTTCCCACATGTCTTCTCAACCCGCAGCAACGGCTACCGCAGCAAAACAACCGAACCTTATCCTTTACGATCCGGCGCCAATGCATTTTCAGGAACAGGCGAAGACACCCATATACAGGCTTGCGTTATTGGTGGTCAGGATGACTATGCTCTCGATGATCTGACACGCTCTAACTCACAATGCTCGGATCAGAAGCCGATGGATATTCGTGCTGATTATGTTGGGATCAAGGTTACGACTTCTGTTCAGCTAGAGTCGACTTCACATATCCATGAGGATGGTATGGAAAGTACTCAGGACCTTGTTCGCAAGCAAAGCGTCTAATGCGTTATTTCTTTTGTCTTTTCTCTTTTGTCGTTTGATTTTTGGAAGAGTCTGGTATGGCGTTGAAAGGTGGTTCTTTCCCTCGGGCGTTTTATTGGAGTTTCATCTTGGACCAAATAGTTTTTACTGATACCCTTCTCGGTGACGAGACTTACATTTAACATGAAATATATTTTATTAACATGACCTAGTAAGGTCTATTTGATTGAAACATATTCTAGCTATGGAAATTTACATAGCAATTCAGACTCAAGATTATCGTATTCAACGTCATAAACGATATAAAGGGGGGATAGGAGAGACCTGCCCATTCTGCATCCTGGAACTGCCCGCAATCCAATGTGAAAGAAAGGGCTGGGGAACCAAACAAGGCTGAGAAGGGACGAAGCGTAAGCAATTGGGAGTCGGGATCGATGCCAAACACCGGTATGTGCAAATAACCAACGCGCATAATGCTACCACTAATGCAGAGAGAAGTGCAAGCTTGATAAATATCTCAATTCAGCATTTGACGTAAAAGGTTTAATGAAGAAACTTTTTATTCCCACACGTTAGAGAAGAGGTCGTCTGAACCGCCGAACCCGCCTTGCTTGGTCGAGCTGGTCGTGGTGGGCCCTGATGAGACAGGGGCCGCGCTGGTCCAACCCCCAAAATCTTCGTCAGCGGCGACAGCTGGAGTCGCCTTAGGAGGCACACCCCATCCACCTCCAATGTCATTCGCCGTCAAGGTGTCGGGAATTTTCATCATGGATGAGGTAGAAGAGGCAGGAATAGCTTGAGTGGGCGCCGGGGTAGGATCTGGGGTGTTCCATGCATTACCACCCCAGGGATCCGCCATGATGTTGGCTGCAGAAGTCGCTACAGCCGGGACTTGAGGCTTGGGAATCGCCGGGGGTTGGAAAGAAGGAGTAGACAGATTGAAAGCAGAACTCATTTCTTGCTGCGGAGAAGCTGCAGAAGGCTTTGATGGGGGTGGGGGTGGGGAGGAGAGACCGAAGAGGTCATTGGAAAGGGATGACGAGGGAAGGCTGGGCTTCGCTGGCTTTATGGGGTTTGAGAACCCAGAGAATCCGAAATCTTGTGAGTTCGAAGAGACGGACGCAGTACGAGATTGTGGCTTTGGCGCAGAGAAGCTGCCAGTAGGAGAAGTCAAACTATCGAACAGATCGCCGCCGGCCGATCCCGAGGGGGAAGTGACCTTGGGAGCTGCGGGAGTTGACTTGGCAATTGAGAAGTTGGCCAGGTTGGAGAATGGGGAAGGCTTGGTCTGGGGAGGGGGGACGTGGTTGTAGGGAAACTCAGGCCACTGAAAGCATCGGTCAGCCCGCCCATGTTCGAGGACATGGAGGGGCCTGTCGGAGATGCCATATCGCCAAAAGAGTTTTGTCGAGCGTGCTGGGTCGGAGCTGGAGCAGGCTGGGGCTTCGCATACAAGGAGAGAATCGATTGCTTCAGATCAGGCCGCGACAGACCGGTGGGTGCAGCGGGTGTTGATGCGGTACTAGACGGGCGACTACCAGCGGAGGGTTGGGCGCTGCCGAAGAAGTCAAGGCCGAGTAGAGAATCAGCGGGCTTGTGAGTCTTTTGCTGTGCAGGCTGGGCTTGTATGGGAGGAGCGCGATGGGTGGGCTCAGTCGTGCTGGGACGAGGTGGAGCTGAAATCATATCATTATCATCGGCGAACAAATCGATTGATGCCTGTTGGCGATGCACGGGCTGGCTTGGAGGCGCGACTCGGTGCCGTTGAGATGCGGAGCGTTCGATCTTAGCCTTTTCCTGTACAACTGCAAGAGGCTAAAATTGTCAGTTTCTTTTTTCTAATCCAATGCGCATCGCGAATGAAGCACTCACTACGTCGTCATCGCCGTCGTTGAGGGTGGATGGGTCTGGAATCGGTCCATCCATCACCCAGCGTTTCGCTTCGTATTTGGTTCGAATGAAATTCTCGAGCTTTCTACACATGCATGCACCGTCAGTCATGATCCTCATTGATAACATCAATGCAATCCACTTACGCCTCGGACGGAACGTGGCCGGGAGCGAGCTTGGCCTCCCAGTATCTATTTGGCGTTAGCAATTGGCCCACATGGTCAGTCGTATGCAGCTTACTTGTTGGCTCTTCCGTTGCCCCATTTCAATACACTCTGAAGTTGTTCATCGGTCCATGCGTCCAGATCGACTGACTTGACTCGACTAATGTGTGTACCCATACCTCGATGGATGCCCGAACATCTGATACAAACAAAGATACCCAGGTTCCATGAAGCCCATCGTGGATCTACAAAAGGCAGATATCAATAAAAATTTACTCCAAGGAGTGAGGGCGAATCAAAGTAGAACTGAAGCTCATGACGTTGAAGTTGAAGTTGGAGGGGGGTAACACTCACGTTTATTGCGCTTGCAGTCGGCACATACTTTGTTAGCATCAAGTTTCAGCAGAGTTTTAATTGTCTGCTGGTTCTGGGCCGCCTGGCCCGGGGTAGGACGTCGTGACATATTATAGATCGATTGATGCTGAAGAAGAAAAGGGGAAACAATCGGTGAATCTCCCACAATGCGCCGCCGGTGGCGGTCGGGGTTGCTGCCTTAGGCTCCTGGCACCTACGGATAGGGTGCCAGTAATGCAGTTCGAGTTTATTAGTTATGTTTTGACTTTAATTATGGATTCTATGTAAGATTGTGAAGACTGAGAGATCAAATCTCAAGTCTCAGAACTTCGATATTGTGAATAAGACTACCTGGGAGGAAATAGCAATGCGGTTGCCTAAAACTCTTCGGTTTGAAGTCTGTAGTATATATATTATCGCCTTCAAAGATATAATAACTGAAGACTTTCAATGTTGGTTCAATTGACTATTTCCATTCACGTTCTATTATCTCTATATTCAAGCTCCGTTATTTTAGACTTTCTCATCTTCAGTAAATCGCAGACTAATGCTATTCACACAATGGCGTTCGTCGGTTGGCGTGGGATATCCCTCGCCCTGGAAGACGTGCCCGAGATGGCCACCACAGTTGCTGCAGACAATCTCAGTTCGCTTCATACCAAGGGCAAAATCCACATGTCTCGTTACAGCCCCAGGAACTGAGTCGAAATAGGCAGGCCAGCCACAGCCCGACTTAAACTTATGGCCTGCCTTGTAAAGAGGTGCATTGCATCCCGCACAGTTGTACACTCCCTGGGACGGCTGATGTTTGTCGTATTCACCAGTACCTGGGCGTTCGGTGCCTTTTTGTCTCAGGATTCGGAATTGTTCTGTATGTATCCTGATTAGCAGGGTGTTTTGTTTAGCCGAAATGGAATATGGGCTGAGGACGGACCGGGGTTCAACACAGCCCTCCACTGTTCTTCACTTCGTTGGTCGGGGTAGGACATTGTTCCAGTTTTCTCGTTTGAGTTACTTTTGGAGCTGAAGAGGGCACCTAAAATTGGAATTTTTGGAGTGTCTCTGAGTGCCTTGATGCTGCGACTGAGCTGCTGGGTGTTGTGAGTGAAGCTTGAGTGAAGCCGGAAACTGGTGTATTGGCTGAGAGTACACCGACGAGATAACTTGAATAGGCGTACTGTTTGATATCGCATGGAGGTGGTTGTAATTGATCGCAGCGATAAATATTGTGAAATCGAGATCAAATGTTGGTAAGAATTCGGTCACTTTACGTCATCCATAATTTGCGGGGGGAGCTTCTATACGTTTCTACAAATGGAATCTTGAATGCAAAAAAACAGATGGATTTTGCAGGTATTGATTTGATAAAGCTCTATGCACTTGATAAGAATATAGTATCTAAGAATCATTAAATATAACTAAAATCGGGCCGAATGTTGAGATTTCAGCAGCATCCCATTGACGGATATCTTCTGAGTCCCCTATTGTTTCCGCGATAAATTTCAACCTTCTCTTTGACATTAAAGCAGTATTGACAGGTTCAGCGACATTAAACTGTAAAATTTTCATGACACCTGCGAAGAATTCATTGTCACCGAATATACAAGACCTTCAGGGGCTGCAGCAAGTGCTATCTTGGGAATCTGAGTGCAGACGATATCCATGGATATCCATGGATATCATAGCCCTGGTACTCCATATATCCACCTGGTGAACAGACCGAATATGTTTGGCAGGTATTCTTGGGACCTCAGGATATGTGGAAGGTGAAAAATATGTATCAAAGAGGAAGGATTGAATATTTCCGTTCGAAGGTTCGTATACAAAACTGATATACTCATCGTCGAGCCTTGCCTAGCACAAGAAGAAAGCCGCGGTTTACTTCGACTCGCCAGCCCTCCTGCATTAGCATCTTGCTCACAGCAGGGCCCAACCGGGAAGTACCGTCATGGCTATGATTACCAACGCCAGTGACAATCTTGAAACCGCCATGTACGTGCTTGCCGCCTCCGCGGACGTGTTTCGTATCTCCCAGGCCATCCCACCATGCGTCAACTCGATCGCGAGTAATGCGAGTTGCATTGGCCACTGTGACACCGTGTAGATCGAGGTCACAGTTAGAGGATTGCCCATCTACAAGCCTGTCCGACGCTATTGATAGATGTTTCATTCCAAGTTCGCGATATTCTTGACCCCGTTGGCGATACACAGCTGCTGCACCACTGTACAGGTGATTCGACTTGGCGCGACGGGCGGCTTGTCCTGCTTGTTGATATGCAGCTAAGCCGGCTGCAAAGTGCGCATCGGCAGTTGCTCGTGCCTGTTCATAGTTGACACCGAATGCTTCGTTCTGATGGCTTTGATGAGTGGAAGTCTCTTCTTCATTACCGAGTTCAATTGGAGCGGCAGTGAATTTGATAATGTCATTCAATGATGATTGTGGCTGTTGAACCATGACTGCTGCCAGATCCTCCGTCGCGGAAATCATATTGTCTGTAATAGCCAACAACCCGACCAGCGTGGTTGTTGATATAGAGGGATATTTTTGTGAAAGTTCAGCCAATTGTGTTGACATCACAGAATCCTCGTCCAAATCATGGGGCTCTTTCGGAACATTGGCAAGAGCCATGGCTCTGATCGTAGCAGGCAGAAACATCCCATTCGCATGATATGCAGATTTGACTTTCTCTTGAAGAAGATTGGGAGCCCTAGAACAGATGAATTCGATGTCCGCCTTGCCGGTTTCCCATTTATTGAAAATGGGAATATCATCGGGACTTGCCCCCTGTAGTGGGGGCTTGTAGCCTTTCTTGCGTTTCTTCTTGCGGGCTGCTCGACCAGTTCCATTGGTTTCTACAAAGCCGTCAATTCCCTTGGGCATAAATATTTGGCAATCATCTTCGGCCTTTTGTGACTCGTCAAAGAATGCTAGATTCAGCAGGATATCCATTGATTTATCGATATCAAGGTTGCTTTTCTTCAGTGTCTGCTCTACATTGAGACGAGACACGCTTGGGAACATTTGCAAAAGGGAATCGACTTTATCATCATAAGTCGCCCCAATAAGCTCAAGAGAACCATCGGCCATGACAGTGTAAGTAAATCGAGATTTGGAACCGTCACGAGAAGAGTTTCCACCACTCTCGGATATCAGCAATGAGGGCGTACTGGTCATGTCTGTTTGGGTAGGTATTCCATCGGAAAGCATCTCTCCAAAGTCGCCCTCATCAGCAACATTATTATTAGCCGTACCAGATGGGTCAAAGGGAAGATTTTCTTGTTGAACGGCAAGTCCCTTGATAGAGTCTAGAACTTCACGAAACTGCTTGACACTTTCAGGGTCGCTTAGATCAAAGTCTGATGCAACTGCAGCGAAGAGAGCAGAGTCAACTGGGGGACAATAGGCTTTTTCGAGCTCCTAGTGAGTTAATATTGCCAGAGTCAGAAATAGAGGTTAATATTAGAATTACAATGATACTATCTCACCGCCCAAAGGTTATTGCTGGAGTTTTCCATGATAGCAATTCAAGGAGGTTCCAAGGTTCGAAAAGGGTGGGCTTAAAGGCGCACCTGATCTATAGTATTTCTTAAAACAGAAAAGGAATCAGGGTTTCAATGTTGAAATCCAGACACCAAATAAGAAAACACCGAGTCTTTGTTCTACCTACTAGATATGAACCTAATCAAGATACACAAAGACGCAGAACTTGCAGATAATAGCCTATTATTGACCGCCTTCACCCCACTTTATGATCCGCCTGCTCTGTTATTCTTACTGCATGACGAGAACACTTCACTTATGCTATAGCGAACTAACTCTAGTAGCCAAATATCACATTTTCATTTCTAAGGTTGTTGCTACCTGTTGCACATCTCATTCAATATTAGCCCTAAACTGAATCTGGCTCTCCTGATAAACTAACAAATGTCTTCTAAATAACGTGCGTCACGGTTGACCGAGCGTCCCGGTTGGCCGAGCGACACCTCAAAATATTTACCCCGAAATCGACCCTCCTTTTTCTAACACCAACAATGCCTCCAATTCGCACTCAAAAATCGAAAGATTTGGAGCAGCAGGAGAGTAAAGTCTTATTAGTAATTCAGGCTATTAAAGATGAACGATACTCCTCTGCTGCTGCCGCTGCTCGCGCCTTTTCAGTTCCTGTCTCAACTTTGAAAGCGCGAATCCAAGGTCGCAAATCGAAGGCCATAACTCGCCATTCTCGCCATAAATTCTCTAAAGGTGAGGAGAAATCGATGGAAAAATGGCTCCTTAATATGGACGCTAGAGGATTCGCTTTTTCGCATGAAATGTGCCGAAATATGGCGAATCTGCTCCTCCGCACCCGCGAAATTGTCCCCTCCGACACCCCCCCTAAAGTTGGCAAAAACTGGGTGACAGGATTCCTTCAACGCACCGAATCTCTTCATACGCGAAAATCTCGGGCGCTTGATATCCAGAGGGCGCAGACAGAAGATCCATAAGTCATCCAAGGGTGGTTTAATCTCGTCCAGAATATAGTCACAAAATATGGTATCCTTTCAGAGGATATCTATAACTTCGATGAGACTGGATTTGCGATGGGTGTTATATCTTCAGAGTATATTATATGCTCCTCAGATTACTATGGTAAACGAAGGCTTCTTTAAGCTGGAAATCGAGAGTGGGTTACTATTATTGAGACTATCAACGCCCAAGGTGTTGCGCTTCCGCCCTATATCATCCTAAAAGGGAAACATTTTATGGAGCGTTGGTTTGACCATCTACCCCCTAAATGGTCACTAAACACTAGCCTAACTGGTTGGACTACAAATCTAATGGGTCTAGATTGGCTGAAAAGCCACTTTATACCTAATTTGGTCCAGAAAGGGAGATATATTCTGTTGGTTTTAGATGGTCATTCTTCGCATCGTACGCCAGAATTCGACCAACTATGCGCGGACAACGATATTATTTGTCTATGTATGCCAGCTTATTCATCCCATCTATTACAACCTCTTGATGTAGGATGTTTTTCGGTGCTTAAAAAGGTATATGGAGGCCTGATTAGTGCTGAAATACAGAATGGAGTGGATTCTATTGATAAGGATGATTTCCTCCAAATCTATCCTTATATATGTAAAGCAACATTTAAAGCATCTACTATAGTGAATAGCTTCAGGGGCGCTGGTTTAGTACCCCTGGATGCTAATCATGTTTTAGAAAAGCTGAATATCATGGTCGAAAACCACCCTCAAGACCCCCCTTAAGACCCCCCCTCACGACCACCCTCAACGCCCTACTTCTTCAAGCAGCAGTGACTCAAATCGGCCTTGGAGCTACTCAAAAGTCCAAAAATCGAATTCTGCTATCAAGAAAGAACTCGAATCTTCCTCAGGAGCTTTAACTTCACCTCTAAAACGACAAATTTATCGGTCGCAAGATGCGCATACTCAGATGGCGATTCGGATGATGATGATGGAAGACCGTATTCAGCGATTGGAGAATACTGCGAAGAGAAAGATAAAAAAGAGAGCGGCTAGCAAGAAGCACAGAGGCCATGAAGGGAGTCTTCGGAGTTTGGAGGAATTGTAGCAAAGCGTGGTTGCTCAGGAGAATGGTAGAGTTGAATATATATCCCTAGAGGATGCTCCTGGACAACCTATAGAAGATGTTCCATTGCCTACTTTACCTACTATTAGGCGACTCGTCACCTGTTCAGGTTGTGGAACCAAAGGCCATATATATACCCAGTGTCCTACACGCGTTAAATAGATAATTAATTCATGTTTTGGTGTTAAAAGTTGATGTTGAAAATCTTAGATTTTTTAAGTTCCAAATGCGTCGCTCGATCAACCGGGACGCTCGGTCAACCGTGACGCACGTTAACTAACGAGATTACTTTTAGAGATGACTCAGCCTATATTATTTTGACGATAGTTATATTAATCCGCTCTAACATCAGGATACTTTCGCAGCCCCTTTATCGTAGACCCTTAGCTATCTGGTGGACTTGAAAATGAAGACGACTGCACAAGTAACTCAAGCCCATGACCTCTCAGATTCCTTCAACTATGGGAATAGGAAGACGGGGAAAGATTTATGAAGACCACCAACCTCCACTACCGTATCGAGTAGCAAATCAAAGTCAACAATCAGGAGGTGTCAATAGACACAGAAGAAGATGTTGTCTTGGTCCCAGCACCTTCTGGCACCTCTCGCTAGAAACTCTTCGAATAAGTCACCAACTTCCTTAACCTCTTCACCCCGTTTGCCTTGTTCGCTTCAATATTTCTGAAATGACAGAAATTCTAAACAGAACATTTTATCTGGGTATTTCTCTTATAGTTAACTATAGAGAAGGAGCTGGTTGTAAGTACTGGCCAGTCAATCAATTAGATACTGTGGTTGCTATTTGCTGAAGCGTCTCTTTTCGAGGTTGGGCCAGCCGGATGTCGTAGCTTGCTAGAGTTGGGAGGCTGGAAAGTGGCTGTGTGATCGAATTGGCTGTTTCGGGATCGGCAACATCGTAGAGAAAATGCAGATTCAGATGAGAAGGCTAGATGTTGGCTAGGAACTTGCCCATACATTCTTGTTCTGAGAGCACAGATTAGACTTTGGGGGACAATATTTAGAGAGCTCCAGGGCTGCATTCTCGCTGCATTCTCTCGATAAGGTCGAACCTGGTTTTTTCATTGTTCTGAGATGGAGCTCTTTGAAGATGGGAGATTTGCACTTTGGCGTCTAGTCTATAGAGGTGAGATCTATTCGAACCTGCTTTACCGTACATGTATGTTGCACAGGGCGCATGATTAGGCCAAGTGCTGGCATCACGTATACCATCACGATGTTCAGTCTCATTTAAAACAATTAGCAGATCAGAAAGATTGGTCAGATAATCTGATGATAGTGTCAGAAGTGGTCGGTGAGTATTATTCTGATAATAATCAATGTAAAGATCCTATACACAAAGGATGAGACTTTGGTATATAGCTTCCGTCAATTCAAAAGCAAGCTAAGCTCAACTCTGCTTGAAGTTTATCACTATCTAGTATATCAGAAGGAAAGTTATCATCATAATTGTCTTCCAGAACGGGTTGAGGAGAACGGCTCAGATCTATGGTGTCGGGAAGCTCAACCAGGCTCATAAATTCGAAGGCGAATGGAAGCTGAAAGATACAGAAAATATGCAGAGAAGTACGTCTCTTCCTTATTAGGCATCATGGTGAATACTTTTGGGACGAATCTCAAGTGCATCTGCGTAGACGTTGGAAAATGGAAATGGAAATGGAATTTTGTGCGAGGTTGAATTGAGAATGAATAAACTTGGGAGAACTACGAAGATATTACCAATTGAGCTCACCGCTTCATACTCATGACACCGCTTGCCAACTGATGGGTGAAATTCTGAGCCCTGGTGAAACAAGTTCAAACAACTTTGAGCAAGCCGTAAACACTTCCGTGAATCAACATTGGAACCTTTTGTTATTGTGGATATGTGGAGAGTTTTTGAGGTCGAAAACTCCACTACAGTCTACTGTGTAGTTCTACCTTTGGCAGCTTAGAATATGAAAGGTTAACCAAAACTATTAGCGGTAAAACTGATTTCGAAAACTACTGTAAATGTGGAGGTCATATTGGAAACGTAAGTGGGCTCGGCCCTTGTTCTTGTCCTACATAGATCCATGACCATGATGAGAGAACATACTCATGGAATCCAGCAGTTCCGGTGTGCTAAGACCCTTTTGCTGTCTGACCTTGGGTATTGTCTCTCATTTCGACATTCGATGTTCATGAAGAAGAGTTCTGTCTGCCATTATTCGGGTGCTATGGTGGTAAGTCAAAATTTCCGTGCCTTTCCCGTGTCTCGGACATCGATATGAAACCTATTAACAGACTCTTTAGGCAATCTAGGCATCAATACTGATATTGACCCTTATCTATCTACGTGCTGACTGAGTAACCATTCCTCGCCAAGTATCGAGATAATTACAGGTGATCGGTACCCATACTCAACAGGCTGCAGCGGTGATCCCAGAGACTATGTACCTGGACCAATTAAACGACAATAGAAGGTCCAACATGCATCAGACCCTCTCACTTGCGAGATATACAGGTACAGCACAGGAACTATGCCGCGCGGCCGATTAGGCTGCGCAGCATAAATTGTCCGATTAGAGATTGGAGTTCAGACCAAGGATAGACCTTCTACAACCTACATCAGCCTTTGATCTTCAAATAGGCAACTATTTGATACAATAAGCCACTCAAGTACGCATCACAGCCTTGGAGAATATCGTCATTGCCTTTGCTTCTTGTACTCCATCAAGTCTTGGAGCATGAGACATGACGCTAGGCATCGCGAGTAGAGGTCTGGTTCGGAAGGAACGAATTCGTGGCATGAGCTAAGACCTTTGGATTTATCTGCTTTCCTTTTCTTATAAAGCCCACAACATGTTACTTACCGACTTTTCCTTCTTCTCCCTTTCAACTATCACGGCCCGCCAAATACCTTTTTCAAGATACAAAGTATACAGAATCATATCAGTCTTTCTAGTTGATGGTTAACTCGAAGCAAAATGCGTATTTCCATCGTCTCCATCCTAGCAGCTTTTGCCGCCACTACCTCAGGTAAGACTGGAATGAACCATAGAGCGTGTTCTCATGTCTAATACATACACAGGTCTTGAGATTAAAACACCTGCGGTAGATCAGAGGGTTGCCCAGTCCAACTCTATTACAGTGAGATGGTCATCAGTATCGTCAGTACCCTTAATACTCTTTTCAAACAATGTGTGGCCAACCAGAGTATTAAATCCCACCTACATCTAGAACCGATCCACCCACTATGGACATCTACCTGGTCAACCAGGCCGTCTATCCAAACACGCAAAATCTGGTTGCAACCAATGTGGATACTAGTCTGGGCGAATACACAATCAACGCCAAAGACGTCAATGTCGACGTAGGGTACGTGCCTCTTTTATTCTTAGTCCCTTTGAAGCAGGGCTGATTGCTATAACCCGAACAATATAGAAAGGGGTACCAAGTCAACTTTGTCTCGCCCAATGGTGGTATTCTAGCTCAGTCGCAGCAGTTCAATGTGACTCCAGCTAAGGCTACGGAAGCCTCTACCTCTGGTAAGGACTCCAGTACTGCCAGTGGAAGTTTATCTGCTTCTGCTGCTACCTATGCATCAAGCTCGATGCTTCCCACTTCCTTCTCAGCTTATACATCCCTCCCAGTCTCTTCGACCACTTCTATTAGTTCGACTTCTGCTTCTTATACTTCTTCTTCAGCAGCGTCCCTTACTTCCTCGACTGCTACTCACTCATCCATCAGTTCGTCTACCCATACCATCCCTCATTCATCTACTGCTTCTTCTGCCCTTACTTCTTCTTCTATAAGAGCTTCATGTGCGTCTACCCCTAGTACGAAGACTTCTACCATCTGCATTATTGGCCTTGTTTCAATCCGCTTCAATCACTTGAACATCATATAGAGTAGAGATACTGACTTGGATTGATAGCTTCTTCCACACTGACCGACACGATTACCTCGTCGACTACGAGCAAGCACACGCAGACAATCACATCCACTTCTGCAGTTCCTACGACCACGAACGCGGCCGGTATGCTTTCACCCCCGAATGCCGGAAGCCTACTTTTGGGCCTTGTGGCACTGGCACTTTAAAGATCTTTCCGAATGCACGAGTTTTGATTTGAAAGTGCAGTTAAAATTTACCAACCTTGGAAGAGTGTCGGGTCTGCCACTTGGGTAGAGATTGGGAGGAATGGATCGTATTCGGGGTTTCGAGGTTATTTCTGCTTGAATTAAATGATTTCAATGATTTTGATAATGCCAGAGGATCTATGAGATGACTTTGCTTATTTAATATGAATTCCAGTTTGTCTGCTCGAATTGCACCAATCAAGGCGGTTCCGGAAACATTGAACCATATACCTCGGCTGAAAACTGATTTCTCCGCAATGAGACTACGCCATGGTGTAACCCATTTAAAGCCCTAAAAAGCTCAGTAGATTTCCATTTTCATCATTCTTTGCCATCTGCATTCTTGAAATAATCTCAATATGCCTCTGCTCACTCTCCACCTCCTAACGCTCTCGAAAAACACCGACCTACAATCCTTCTTTCAACAACTCCAACATTCAACAAAGATCATCGTAGCCTCTCGCCCAAGACACATAGTAATCAATCCAACAATACTGGATAACACCCCACTAGCGACAAACACCTGGGACCTACTACTGCTCCTCCAAAGTGACAATCCAAACACTCAAGATCCAATCCCAACCCATCTACGCAAAAACATAACAGCCGAATACAAACTAACGACCGGAATCCCCTCAAAGCTTCTCTCAGCCTACTCAGCTCACTCGGCACAATTGAAAACCACAGCCGCGACAATCCCACTCACAGGGTCTCTAGACAAGATCCTCCGCGAAGGCAGCAAAAAGACATCTCAAAAGCTCGAAGTTTCACCGCAGCTCTTGGAGTTCATGGCCTCTTTATCGAAAGAACATCCTGGCCCAGTGACCATGTTGAATCTGCTGCATTTCAACTTTCCAGATGGGAAGAAGAGTTATTACCAATATGGCCAGGCTTTTGTGCCTGTGGCTGGGAAACGCGGTGGTGATGCTAAGCTAGTCGGCAATGTAGTGCCGTCTCCGTCGGGGTTCTTGGCTGATTCGCGTGGATCTAAAGCTGAGCAGGAATGGTGGAATGAGATTTCTATCGTGCACTATCCGTCTATACGGCATTTTTGCGATATGTTGGCTGGAGAGGACTATCAGGCTATTAATGAGAGATATAGGTTGTCGGTGAGTTATATTCAAAATGGTTTAATGTGCATTTGCTGAGTATAGAAAGGCCCTGAGAGATACATTCTTGCTTTGTACGACTGAATTTGAAGTTGAAGGGTTGGGAGGGAATTCAAAACTTTGATTTGTACAGACTAAAGATTGTGGTCGATATTATACATGAGACTGCTCATTTGAGCTTGATGAAATTGGGTATTTAAGATTAAAACGAGTGAAAAGATTCATATCACAGGCGTTGGCTTTGGCTGAACACGCTGTCATTCGGACGATCCCAGGTTCGGATGTGGCCTATCATGATATGGTCAGCCTTATATTAGTTGAGATAGCAAGAGAATCAACACATACCTTCGAGGGAAGATGTCATGATGCAATCGTTCTGGAATCCTAGCCAACAAATAGGATCTTCGCCAACAATTTTGGACTGCGGTATATTCAGCACTCGATCACGAAATTGTAACTGCTTATAGAACTAACCATGATTGGAGGCAAAAAGGCCGTTCGGGCACGTGGCTCAACGGGATGAGTCGCCAGTGGGTCGATACCAATATCGAACTTATCTGTTCTATTCGAGTCGGATCTCATCCGGTTACCGCCACTATCAGCACGGTGTCGGTGGTCGGGCTGAGAATTTGGTATATAAAGGCTGTTGCGATTACGAGCGGATGATTGGTGGTGCTATTCGAGTGAGTCAGATGAATTCGTAGACTGGATTAAAGGACTGGCGAAAACGAACCGCACGAGGCCGATGCAGCATGCCAACACTGAAATCCCAAAGAAGTAGCCGGCAGTCATCACCAACACTGCCGAAACGATAGGTCCTCTCATCACAACGCCACGGATCAAATGCCACGGACGACACCCATGAATTATGGCCTTGGCATCTTGCGATAATCTTCCGTTCGGGGAAAGACCAGATTGTCACGAGATCATCCTGGCCACCGGTCAAGATGTATTTACTATCGGGCGACCAGCAGACGCAAATCATGCCGCCGTAGTAGCTGCCGAAAATGTCCAGAATCCTATTTTAATTAGCTGAGAATACATGAGACGTAATAAGATATCAACTGACTCTTCTTTCAAGTAATCCATCAGACGGAGCGAGCCATCTTCCATCACAATTGCTAGGTGTCTCTGATCTGGAGAGAAGGCGAAGCTCGAAATTTTCTGGTTCGCTAGCTTCCACAGTGATACCGGATTGCTCTTCTGGTTCCTCGAGTTGACAGACTTGAGAACTGCAAGGGGGAATCTGCTCGGTCCATGCTCGTGGGGAGTGGCAGGCTCTGGGGTGAACATTGCATCTTCCTTCTCCTTGTCGTAGACCACTAATGATCCATTTGCATGTGATGCCATGAAGAGGTTTTCAGACCCGGGAAGCCATTTGATGTGCGTGACTGGGGAATTGCAGATAACACCGTTCTTATTGATACGAGCATATTTCTGTGACATGGGCTCGTACCATATGATGTCACCGGCAGATGAGCCCATGACAACATCCAAGTGGGTGGTAGTCTTGGTCAATTCGTTGATATCATGGCATAGCATATGCGCCTTTGTGAAGAGCACCTTGGTAAGGTGCTCCTCCTTTTGCGCCGAACTAAGGTCAAGCCATTGGAAAGCTCTGTTGATATTGGCAAAGGCAAACACGCCATTCGGGTCACGTTCACTCAGTCGTTTTGCCGAGGTCTCGTGGGTGATGACTCTTGAGACAAAAGAAGAGCTGCTCTTGATAATATTATTTTTCGGCTTCCGTCGCTTCAGCACATCCTTGTCCTTTACTGGTTGGGCCGGCGGCGCGAGGGCAGGATTGCCGTCTCCAAATTGAGGAACCGGTGATATTGCCTTCATAAAAGTAGGTGGCTTCTTGCGAGGATCGAGGGTAACCAGAGATAACTTCACGCCACATGTTGGAGGTGTTGGAACAGTTGAAAGGGGGTTTGGATTGATTATCGGTGCTTCGGAGGGGTGAGGCGGTGGTGTTGCCAACAGAAGGTCATCTTTAAGTGTGTATGTTCCTACGATGGTTAATAGTATTAGTAAGGTGGTTAACAACCAATGCAATGGGTGCATTTCTTCAGAATCGTTCTGAAATTCCCATTTTTACACATACCTTCTCCCATCTGGAGAGGGCATCCCCCTTCTGGGTGAGTGACCGTGTTATTAGTTTCGATAACAGGGACCGCCATACCATTCGCCGCCCCCGCAGCATAGGCTATGGGGATGGTATAGCGTGGAGGAGGGGGTGGTAATATACTGATGGGTTTAATTAGTTCATGATGAAAAAAAATAATATGTTATGAGATCCAATTGTCAATATGGCGCTAGATTCTTTTGAGGCGATGTGAAATGATGCCTTGACGATTCAGATTCACGATTAAGATTCACAATGAATTTGGGAATTATGGGCTTCAGGGTGTGACGAGGCTTGTCTTACAACATGGCTACAGATTTTCAAATTGCCGGTAATCTGGCAATAGGACCTGTATTAAGACCAAGAGAACAGTGGTGTGACACAGGCTAGACAAGGCTAGCTCGGATGACGAGGGTATTGTGTCGTCTCTGCAGAGGATAATACACCAGTATCAGCTTCCCATTAGCCTTTCTCTTCAGACTCTGGAGCTGATGCTGAAGCGGCGATGGTGAGATTGCAGCTTCCAGTCGCGCTGCGGAAGCTTTCCGGGCTTATTGTAAGACAGGTGACAATGTCATACAATTATTGAACGAACAGGGCCTGTCCGAATGGGTACTAAAGAATGGGATGAAAACAGGACAAATTGCGAGAGTTGGCAGATCAGCGAAGTCGTCCGGGGTAAGATGAGCGGAGATAGCAAGTTCCGTGCCTGGCGGGGCGGCCGGCTTTAACTCGTGTGCCGACTTGGCGCTATCATCTCCATCATATTAATGACGAAGCAATTGGTAGTAGCACCAGGTATTTTGTTTTACGACTAAGCCATAGAGACTTGGACAATGATATTCCATCCCATATCTACTTTACGTCCTACAGAACCCAATATAGTACCTATACCTAAGTGATTAGAACTCATTCATTGGGTATTGTTTTAACATAGATAGTTATCCTTCGCTATTTTTTTTTTTTTAAAAAAAAATCCTTTTCAACTTCCAACACGACGCCATATCATGACTGCTGCCGCCCCGGCGCAGACTACTGCTCCAAGCGCAATGCCCCAAGACATCCATTTCCCTTCAACATCCTCTTCACTGCGTGGGAAGACAGTGCTAGGCTCCATGGCCGCCTCTGCAATGTGCACAAAGACCTCCTGAATGGAAGTCCAAGTCACGCTCACATGGAGTGGCGGACTGGGCATATTTAACATAGCTGTGTACTCATGGGGTTGATACTCTGCGCGCTGAGTGGTTCGGTCCAGGTCGGCTTTAAGGGCAATAAAGACACCAGGCAATTCCTCTAAGTGAGGATATTTTGCTCGGAGTTCTAGAATGTAGGAGAATGAATCGGGGTCAGACGAGTCATAGGTGTATGCGATCACATCACACTGGTCCAGTAATTTTACCTGGTTATCCAATATGGCGGGTTCCAATTCACCCAATTCGTCCATGATCAGATAACACTGCTTTCCGCCAGGTAGCTCAACCGTGTTCACTGCCGTACGAGGTTGAATAGTAGGATGGTATGTCGTGCTAAATCCGCGTGAAAGATGGGCATCGAGCAGGGCCGACTTACCGGACCCAGGAGCCCCGATCACATGGCATTGTACCACATTCCGACCAACACGCCCAGGGCGTTGCCGCCTTCTGCGTGGTTTCGTCACTTTCAATGCGGCTGTGATAGAAGGGTTACTTCGATCAGAAGACTCGAAACCTAGATATGCGAGGTACTCAAGGGTAGTCTTTGGTGACATAAAAGTTGTCATACTCCATTGGGCCAGCCAGCCCTGAAGTGTTACATGCCCGGCTTCATTACGGACTGTACAAGACGGGAACGAACCATCGGCCCATGATGCAGGCAGACCAGGGGTTGGGGCGAAGAGTAGTGCCAGCTCCTCGTCATTCAAGCCCCCGTCATTGTCTTTATCAGAGAGAAGAAACAGGTTCACAAAAAAACGATATCCTTCTGGAGAAAGTTCAGCCGATGCAAAAGGAGGCACTTCGAAGCGCGGATGCAAGAAGCTTTCCTGTAAAGAGAGGTTGTCGGTGTACTTAAACGCCCGCAAGATAATCCACACTGTCTCGTGCCGCCCTTTCTCTGCATAGAGCCTGTTTAAATGTATGAATCCGTGGCAGCCAATGCCTGCTTCGTTGACAGATTCCGGGTAGGTTTTCTGAATAGTCTCCTTGATGTGGACCAAGTCTTCCACGCTGAGAGGCTTCCCGAAACACCGTGTTTGGAATTCCGCAATCTCCTTGTCAGATAGATATCCATCACGATCCTTGTCGGATAGATAGAAGATGCGTTGTAGAGCAGCCACAGCGGCAGGCTTCAGAGCGGCCTCCCTGGAATCGAACAGCGGAGCTATAGGATGAGTGACTGCTTTTTGGCAAACGAAGAACGCTTCGTTCACATTGCGATGTTCACGAGCGCTAGTCCGAATGCATGAATCAATCTCCTTGAACTCCGCCATTAGAGGAAGCATTTCTTCCTCGATCACCTGCGCCTCGCTGTGAGCTGCAGCAAGGTCAGACTTGTTCGCGCACAGCACGACAGGTACATTGACACCAAGCGATCTGAAATACGGTAGCCAGAACAAGGCGACGCGCTCATAGCTGTAGTGATCGGAGTATACAAGTAAAATCACATTGGCCTTCCTTATCTCGCGCGCCAGGTTGGATCGTTCTTGTGGCAGAGCCGATGTATCAACGACCGTAGTTGTGGTCACATTTTCTGGGGTTCCGATTGAGGGAGGTATCGTGATCTGAGGGAGGACAGGCTGGATCTTATTTGTGACGAAGACGCCTTTGACCAGCGAGGTGATGAGGCTAGACTTGCCGGTGCCATCGTCACCACAGACACAAATCCTGACTGTGGGTTATTAGCAGGAGCGTTTGGATTTGAGATCAGACCTACCAGTAGCCATATTTTAGGCGATCATTTGAGTTGTAGTTGTTGATAGGAATACGCGGGCGATGGGGAGCTTGCCAAGAAAGTGGGTCGCAACAACCAATCCCCGATCTCGGGGTATACGGAGTTAAGACGCAGACTGCCTACACAAAACATCTTCTGAGTTGGGATGATAGGCATCAGTTTCTTGGAGACTGTTCATGAGTTTTATAAATTTATCATAATTCTACAAAATTAGAGAGTTGGTGTCGAATTGTTAAAGATGAAATCTAGGTGAAGTTTAGATAATCAGCGAATGGATTTCCCTTCTGGTCGCGTCGTCAACAATCCATGGATTGCTCTTTTTTTGTTTTAACTATGTTATTCTTCCTTATCTAATCCATTCCATTGCTGACCTGAGTTTAGGGATATGACTATAAAAGCGATGACTTTTTTCGATAAGCGTCTATCTTAACTATGAAACATGCATAAATTTACATAAATTTACATTACGTAATTGATATGTAGTCACCGGATATAAATACTTATCAGTTTCAAGTTAATACTTTAATACCAAAAGTATACTCGGTAGTTTAAACACAATTAACGTAAAGTTGGTACTTATGTCCCACTAATATTGCGACCCCCCTCATTAATCGTATTAGCCAGTATGATGGAAGAGACTGAAGAGAGAATACCACGAAAGATAGAATGCGTCGTTATTTATGTCCAGAATTAGCATTTAACTTTTTGGTGTTGAAAGGTGGTACATTTACTGCACGAGGTCCACCTTTCCAAGGCTCCGCCATATCCTGACTAAACACTGCCCGACATTTGAAATCTGGTCATCACCTCACTCCCTCTTTCTTTTGACTTGAATCACCTCATACCCTTTCGCAAACTACCTCTAATATGGTTCTGGGTATCCACAACCCACTGCCTTCGTCTTTGAGCAGTATGTCCCATTTCTATCCCCTGCCCATTTCCCCGCAATCGCTTGCGGCTCGCCCGGCTAACCACTCTCACGCGCAATAGGTGAGTGCAAAAAGGCGTCTAAGATCTTGACTTCATTTATCGATCCTAAGAGCGCTTTTGGACCCGACAAGGTCATTCCACCGGACGTCCTCGCAAATGCAAAGGTAATATTCCCGTACTCGCGCGGTATTAAGACTGTTTGGCTGACGTGACTCGCTCTTTGTAGGGACTGGCAATTCTCACAGTCTTGAAAGCTGGCTTCATCGGTTCTGGTCGATTTGGATCTGGTCTTGTCGTCGCTCGCCTTGGTGATGGCTCCTGGTCAGCCCCGTCAGCTATCATGACGGCCGGCGGCGGCGTGGGTGGCCAGATTGGATTTGAATTGACCGATTTCGTCTTCATCCTCAATGATGCGTCCGCTGTCCGCACGTTCTCTCAGGCCGGTACTCTCACGCTAGGTGGTAATGTCTCGCTAGCTGCAGGACCAATCGGTCGAAATGCTGAAGCCGCTGGTGCGGCCAGCACCAAGGGCGTCGCAGCTGTCTTCTCCTACTCGAAAACCAAGGGTCTTTTCGCGGGTGTCAGTTTGGAAGGTAGTATTCTGGTGGAGCGCAAAGATGCCAACGAGAAGATGTATAATAGCCGTGTCTCAGCATCACAGCTACTCACCGGCTCCATTCGACCCCCGCCCTCTACCGACGCCCTGATGCAGGTCCTCAAATCCAATGCCTTCCGAGGCTATTCCAGCAGAACGAACAGCACATCTATGTACAACAACGATCCAATCTACGAAGATAGACATGATAATTACGATCGTCGCGATCGCGCTAATACAACTAATGAGTACGAATACCGTGACCGCCCGCAGCGATCCAATACATGGGCAGATAACACTTATGATCGACCCAACGGAGGCGGTGGAGTGGGTCGTTCTGCGACCTCGCGTATTCAGGAAGAGGATGGCTATGGAAGAAACCGAAGCCAAAGCAACAGCTCTGGGTATTCCAACAGACCCACCCGCCCTACTGCTCCCAAGCCTGTCTTTGCTCAACGAACAGGTCAAGCTGCTGAATTACGTGCGGATCAGGTGGTTGCGCTCTACACATTCGACGCGGATCAAGAAGGTGACTTGGGATTCAAAAAGGGGGAGATTATTACAATTTTGAAGCGGACAGAAAAGGCCGAGGATTGGTGGACGGGTCGAATTGGAGACCGAGTTGGTATCTTTCCCAGGTAAGCATGGGACACCTTGTTGCTGCTGACCACAGAAGCTGACGGTATTCTCAGCAACTATGTCGATACTTCCTAAACATAGCACACTTTACAAGCCCGTGCACACCGTATCAGTCCCGTGAACATATTCAGCTTTGATTCGGTTTGAAAGGCTTGGTCTCTCTTTTCCATGATTCCAATCTGATACGCTTATGACTGAGCGCTGGAGTTCTTTTTTTTTTTTTTTTTTTTTTCCTTTTTCCTCTCTTTTTTCTATTTCACTTCTCTTCTCAGCTTCGAGGACTTGACCTATTATTACGACACCAATCATGTGCGTTCATAGTATTGGATGATTATGCAAAATAACCTTATTCTTACCATTCGTTGAGGATGGCAACTTCCTCCTTTTTCTCTTTCCTTTGCTTACGCCCCTGCACACCCCGCAGGCTAGGCCTAACCATTCCCTTTCTCGTGTGTAAAGTGACACTGCATCCATATTATAGTGTCATTGGTAAGAAAACGCGATGCGGGGAATCGAAGGGAATAATATTTAATTCAAAAGTGTTTCGATATACACTTCGACCCCTGTTCCTAAACGACGGTGAAGTCAACTGATGAAATAGTCGGCTTCGACTGGTATAATTAGGGGTTAGGTAGAAGCCCTAGGCCAGATAATGTAGAAATGTAGAAATGTAGAAATGTAGAAATGTAGGAATGTAGAAATGCGGAAATGCGGATATGCGGAAGCAAATATCAGAGTGGAGTTAGTATTAGTTAGTACTCCAGTATTCTGAGATAAAGTGAATACCCATCGTAGATCTTTCCTTCCAAATTAGGAAGATCAACGATAGACCGAACCAGACTTTTGTTTTGTTTCATTTGGGTTGAGAAAGTGGAGAAAAAAAGGACCTGAAAAAAGAGTTAATCGAACTAGAACTAGAACATGTCAGGTGTTGCGACCGAATCACCTCCCGCCAAAATCCACTTCCATCCTTGAATCTCTTCTCTTCCTTCCAAACTTCATCCAATATCAAATGACGGCCCCGGTATTTACCGGATGATGATCTTCGACCTTTCAACATATCCCCGCTTCAATGACCGTTCTCCTGTACTTGCAACAGTGACGCAGCCCCCCCCCTCCTGAGCCCGCCCTTTCGTCCCTGGCTCTATTGGGCTTCTTTTGGTAGCTTTGTAGCTTTCTAGCTTTCCCCTCCAATGCAGGTTCGTCTTGCTATTCACCACTCTTCTTTCTTGACGATCTATCCTGATGGCTCGGGCGAGCCTCCACACCGACTTCCTTGACCCCGAATAGCCCCTCCAAGATCGCCCCTCGTGCTCCGATATCGTGGATTGAATCGGTCCTAGTTATGGCTCTGCTAGGAATATCTTTTGAACTAACATTTGTTGGAACGGTCAGGCTTCCATGAATGTCCCCGAGGCTGGCGGAGGACACGCGGCGCGGAGGGCCCATACAACCCATCTGTCGATTAGCGACCCAAACCACCATGTGACCGAGGCCATCGGGCATATGTACAACGACGACTACGATCGAAATGAACGCAACGATGCAAGACGCCTCAGTTATATATCTTCCCCTCTCGGCGAGTCAATAACTACAATTCCGCGGACCGCCGCAGGCTCCGAGTCCCCGCCTCCAACGTCGCTACAATATTCACCGACTTCAGGTCAAACAAAGCAGACGAATGGAGGACACTTACGACCACCCCTGGCTGGCCAACGGTCCTTTGAACGAGATAGTGACTATGGGTCGGATTTGACCGGATTGCCCTCCGAAACTGCGACCGCTTCCTTTCCTCTGAACGATATTGACTACGAATCCGATCCTGCGGCGGTAGTTCAAGAGCTGAACAATCTGGCTGCTATTCGGCGTATGTCAATGGATGTCGCGGCTGCAGGCGATCCTGATCTTCCATCATTTGGCAGTGATTTTTCGATTCCATCTCTACCACCCTCCCCCTCGACCGACGAAAATGATACCTCTCGCTTGTTTTGGGTCCCAGCGAGCTTGCATCCAGAGCTGGCACCAATGGAATTCAAGTCGTTTCTCGAGAGCAAGGCTGACGTAATAAAAAGGAAATCGGTTGATTTTTCTTCTTTAGGCCCTGAGCGACAGGGATCTGGCAGCGGGCTGCATCGAAAAAAGTCCATGCTATCGAAGCAGATCGACATTTCTACTGGTTACACAGATGGTGCGGAACGGCTGGAGCGGAAACGCTCTCAGTCAACGAGGCGAGATCGCATCTTGAGTCCAAACTTGCAACAATTGGAGACTTTGGTCGATGATTCAAACACAAATAATAAGGATTTACTGATCAAGGGAATCCAGAGTATTTCAGTCTCTGGAGCCGAAGACAAGCCAATTCTACCTCCAGCTCCGCCGGGGCTGGGCACTCTTCGAAGAGCAACGCGAACACAATACCGAAAGAATACCACTCTGAAGAAGGGCGAGAAGCCGCTTTACTCCAAGAGAGTTGGGAGAGGCCTTTCAGAATCCGCTGGGTCAGCTCCAAAGACTGACGAGCAGCTCAGCCGCATGTCGTCAGATACAGCCCCCGTAACTCGAACATCCCGGTCTCCCTCTTCATCATCGCACGGTGCTGCTCATTCTCCAACACCCCCCGCTAGCTCAACAACATTCGATCCGATCCACCGTAGAGAGGCCGAGCCGGAACGAGCTATAACCAGTCCGACACCCGACACTGCGTCAGATTCATCGACTGAGAACAACTCTACTCATGGCCACCAGTGGCATTCTCGCATCAGCACGAATGGTCGTTCCACTGTGAACACACCTCAATCCAATCAAACTGTTCCTTCTATCGTTGAAACACCTCCGGAAGAATCCAACCGCCCAACCTCAAGTCCATCACCCACTAGCCGAGCACCGGAGCGCGATGTGCCATCCGCTCACTCTGCCAAGCCAAAACCGCCCATGGATACCACTCCCAGCAAGCGTTCTTTAATGAATCCCAACCCCGGCAGAGATACCACTCCCTCAATTAATGATTTGGCCAGTAGCACCCAAATGATCCCTGGTCAGAATACTCGCACAGACAGCTTGTCTTTCATCCCGACCTTGCCCGAAGATCGAAAGTCAGAAGACCGTAAATCGGAGGCCAAGAAGTCAAAGAAGGAGGATGGTAGCCGCAAGTCCAGCTGGCATTGGCTGCTGGGAAGTGAGAAGGACAAAGATCATGATACTAAGAAGAGTAAGTCGAAGTATGCCGACAAATCCCATCACCAAGCGCGTCCGGATACACCGCAGTCATCCGCGGAAAACACCTCCAAGGGCCGCGAAAGTCTCGCTCTGGATCGTTTGGATCCAAGACTGGAAGAAGAGCGACGCAAAGATGGTGTTCGAAGGGCTTCAGGAGACAACAAGAAGGAGAAAGACGGAATTTTCTCTTCCATATTTGGTGGCAGCAAAAAGAAGCACGGCTTAGAAAGTCACCACCATCGGAAGAGTTTGTCCCGCAACCTGTCCCCCGACCCTCCAATTCGGCAGCTGCGGGCAGACCTTGACTATCCTTGGACTCGATTTTCCATACTTGAAGAGCGTGCAATCTACCGCATGGCTCATATTAAACTTGCAAATCCCCGACGTGCTCTGTTCTCGCAGGTGTTGCTAAGCAACTTCATGTACTCATATCTGGAAAAGGTGCAGCAAATGCATCCCCAAGGCCAAATTGCGGTGACTTCCTCTGGATCTCAGAGACAACAATCTAAAGCTCAGAACCAGCCAGATGAGTACACCCAATATCAGCGATACCAGGAAGTAAGTGCAACCCCACGGCTAGGAGTGATAATTCGATTCACTAATCTCTTTTTAGTCTCAACAGCAACAGCAGTATTCAGATAGTGCCTATGATGACCCGTCCATGTATGACTACGAGGACGAATCACATGATCGCTATCAGGCTGAGAGAAACCAGCAGGCCGGCTATCAAAATGGTCATGGTAGCTACGACATGGGCCAATACCAATATGGGCACTCAACCTTTGGTGACGATGTTCAACTGGATGATGACGATGATGATGATATGTGGTGAATCAAGAGCCGGCGTCTTCACTCTTTTTTCTTTTTAGCCTGCTATTTTGCCTTGTCCTTTTGAAGTTGAAGTCACGGAAATACCCACACATTCGTCGGTCTTTGCCATTCCTAGAAGCCTGTACACAAGCAATTCCCGTCCTTGAATACTTCCTCCTCCCCCGTTTTATTATCTTTCCATCCCTTATCGTTAACCCTCTCGTCTGAGCTTGGGTTTGTATTGATTAATGTTTGGGTGGAATTGACCGATAGGAGATGTCCATGGCAGTTTCCATTTGACCAATTCCTGATTTGCGGCCGATCATAACATGGCCCTTGTGCATCGCCATCTAGTCTGTTCACACTGTCTGATCTCTCACTTCGCATAGCGTATGGGGTTTGTTTTTGCTTTTTTCTCTACCTCTGGCCTATTTTTGAGTATTCATCACTTGGACTCTTTTCTCATCCATCTTGAGACTCCTAGCCTTTTATTTCATACCAATGAACAAAATTTTTCCTTTTCTACTTATGCCACCAGAAACTTTTTCCCAAATTTGAAGACACGAAAGAAATTCCTACTCTTTAGAAATGAATTCCATTATAAAAGTATGGCTCTCATTTTCACATATAGTCTATTCTAAAACCTTGGGTCACCCATCTTGAAGGTTAAACCCAAGATGGAAATGATCAAAACTCGACTCAAGATCCTTCTCTAACTTCCCCGAATCCCGTATCTTAAAGTCGTCATTATAATCATACAACGCATCCATAATACTCCTCCGCAGCCGTGGCTCCGAAGTGGCTACCCACGCAAAAGTCAAGCAAAAAATCAGGTACGCAGCCCCAACAGGCCTATAGATAACCGACCTCTCCGCAAGAGCCAACGCCTCTTCAGCCAGATAATTCGCATCAAAGGTCGCGATACCATCCCGAACACCTAGTACTCTAAGTAATCCATTAAAGAAGAGCGTAATCGTAAGTCCTATGCCGTATGTACGCTGGTAATGGGCGTACATCAATTTAGCAATGAGCTTTTCCGTCCTGGACATTTGGGTTGTGTTCAGAGCTGCGATGTCGTTCTCTGATGCTCGGAGCTTTATTTCGCTAAGATTCATCTTGCAGGTTTGGTAGGTGGACCACACTTCTTCGTGGAGATTAGTTTTGTCGCCGCCTGTTTTGTGAGTGTGTTTTATGCGTCTCATCAGGTCTGGGCCATGAGATAGACAGCGTAATATTCTGCCATCTGGGGTAGTTTCGTCGAATTCACTCCTGACCAGATCGTGCCATTCTTCTGGTGTGAGGTCTATTTTATCGTTGAAAAGACCCTCAAATAGCTTTATATATCGTCAGTACGGATTAATATACCTGTATCAAACAGGAACGAGTCTGGACGTACGACACTTCCACGTAGTGACAAGAACAACTTCTTCTCAAATTCATCTCGAGGCCCAAACGATTTCCTAGCTTTGAGAATCTGCGCTGCGCCTTCAGAATGGCCTGACCAGGATTGAGTCGACTGGCCCATGAAAGTCTGACACACTAGCAGCACCATGACAGCACAGAGCGTACTAGAAGAATGTGCATGGACCCGATCGTCTAGATAGATGCGAAGTGTCCGCAGAGCGTGAGAATATTTTGTCAGTGTCTCAACACTCGCCTTGCGACCGATACAAAAGCTGCCATGGGCTGTCGTCAGCGTGTCGATGGCATGGTCCAGCGCCTCATTTGTTCCGAGACGTCTAGGGATATCTTCGAGGAATCCACCAAAGGCCCACCAGAGATTATAGCGCAGGTCAGTAGAGCGGTTTATAGTCTTGGTAAACGCACTCCTCAACAGTGAAAGTTCGTTGCCAGGGCTTGAGCATGGAGAGGGGTAAACATCCATTTGACCTAGGGGAGTAAAGAAAGACTCTGGCTGCATCACGACAAAATCATGATTTGGGCTTGATCTTGAAGATTTGTTTGAAACGAGGACTGTATAGTCTTTTTCCGCTTGGAATTTGAAGCGTTTCATGCCTGAACCTACGCATTTCAGTTTCAAGCGGATGCATCGTGCGCAAGCGGGTTGTTTCTCATCGCACTAGCTTCGTGAGTGATTGAAGACTTTATCCTTAGATTATGGAATTGTACCTTCTTTTTCTGTTTACGACATGCGTCACAGGCTCTGCCTGAAGGGACTCCAGGCATGCTTTAACTGGATCAAGGGCCTGATCGTGGGCTAGTTCTGTACCCTGGACAGGGATTAGGTATATAGACAGTGTCAGATATTGTGAGTAGCACAATAAGCATTGAAGATGACAAGGACTTTCATATTTTCACGAAAGGAATTGTTAGCTGGGCTGGGGCAGTTGCATATCTGATACTCAAGCTAAACTCCTTTAGGTTGTATAGAAGTGGGGTTTGCATTTCACAACCTCACTTCATTCCTGGTTCCCGATCTATTCACGATACAAGCACATAGCCTTGTAGTCCTGTGATTTGATTTTCAAATTTCAAGCTTCACATTCATCATTGATTATCGAGAACAACTCTTGAAACAATCTTTCTAACTGGACTAAATATCGCCTTGGAAAAATACGAATCTTACATGCATGGCAGATGAGCGGCCCTCCAAGCGTGCACGTCAAGCCTGTGAGCCTTGTCGGTAAGCTGTTCCATACATATCTATTTGACCTATTCTATACTTAAATTCAAAGACGTAAGAAATCACGTTGTCCGGGAGAAAAGCCTACATGCTCTTTCTGCGAGCGGCTAGGTCAGAGATGCGTATACTCTATTGGGGAAGTGGAAAAAGACTCCAGCTTTGCCAGAGATATAGTAAGATGTCTTTTGAAACTATTCAAATGTAGATGCTGACTGCTTTCTAGGAGGATCGTGTCTCTAGAATCGAAAGCAAACTTGAGCAATTGATAGACTATATTACGTACGTTCTCAGGCTTTACTATTCCCAATGATGATCGCTGAGTTGAATGTATAGTCGGCAACAAAGTCAAACAAGTGATGTTTGCCCGTCTTCTACAAGTTTATCTGCAACTCAGCCTGCCCCATCGAATCCCCAGGATTCTGTCAGCGACTATTTATATCCGCAAGTTATCCTCCGTTTGTCATGCAACCGGATCGCTAACAGCTGATTCAGGGCGCAATCTTCCGATACTTCGGCCCTTCAGCTTTATCTAACTTTTTGCAACTCGCAGCCTTTGCCTTTATTCTACTCGAGGCTTCCAGTTACATCATTAAAAAATAGGGACCAGGAACTTGTACTTGCTATGGAAGCTACAGGCCTTCGTTTCAAGGGGCGGGGCATTAGGGATAGCCAAGTCGAGCTTGAAATCAAGTCTAAAACCGAAAAAGCAGTTCAAATAGTCATGGAACGGCTAGCTAATGGGACTGTAGAGTTGTCAACTATTCAGACGCTCTGCATTCTGAGCATGCTAGAATATACAGGTAAGAGACTAGAAATTTTCTGCTGCTTCTAGGCTAACATTTGTTCAACAATTAGCTGGTCATTTAGTTCGGGCGGGGTTCTATACTAGGACAGCCTGCTTCTTAATAAATAATATCAGGGGTCAAGACCTGGAGTCCTGGAACACCTTGGAGGAATCTGAGCACGATGAGCGAAGGGCATGCCACGCAAGTGTGATAATACTTCAAAACATCCAGGGATCTGTGCAACCAACGCCTCTCAAAGATATTTCTAGTCCGCTGGAAACCATGTTACGGAAAGACCTTAGTCGCAGCAGCAGCAGCTCAAAGCTAGATATAGGTCTCAATAAAGCTAATATGCATATCAGCGACGGCTGGGCTTTGGCATGCAGATACGCCATGGATCCTGTCACAGTCGACGTGCATCCCCCTTGGCATCCACAATCAGATTATGCAATGATAACCTACCGGCATACCGAGCACGAGAGCTGCATGCCGCTGAAATACCGACTTCACGCTAGCCGATTCCAAGAACACCCACCAGCTGAGCTAGAGGCGCATCGCGACTACTGGGGGCCTTGGATTTTCTTCCAGATTGCCTGGCATGCTGTACCTTGCATCCTCAATCATCCATTTCTACTTTCTATGAGATTGAGGAGCTTTCGACGAACGATGCCACAGTCCTTCCTCCGCAATTCTTTTGAACAGCTCACTTTGCACTCCGGCTGGATAGTGCATCTTCTTGAACTTTTCGAGACGAAGGGCTTTGAGGTATCGGACCCAACTATAGGTCACTGTGTGGCTGTTGTTGCGACGATCCATCTGCAGCATAGTTTTACCGACGATCCTGTATTCAACAACAAGGCACAAGTAAATTTCCGGAAATGTCTTCGGTTCCTGCGCGGTATGGGCACCCGATGGCCACACATTGATCGACAGGTAAATCTTAACAGATCATTTCGACAAAAAATTGATTAGTAACGCTCCATTAGGTCCATCAACTCGAGCAGCTACGAAACAGCATCTCCCCTGGCGGTCTAACTACAGAATCCATTTCATCGGGATCTAACTCGCGAAGAAAATGGTCCGTGAATTTACAGCTACTGTGGAAAATCATCGTCTATACGCATGCCGCAAAGTTGCCGGACTCCACAGGAGATATCTACGGACCAGTACTAGCTAAAGATAGCCTTGGTAGCTCTGGGGTGTCTTCAGTCAATATTGCTGAACCTGACCTCGCTCTAATTGGGTCTGCTGGCATTGCAGGACATAAAACAGTTGCCTCGGAGTGTGTGACCTACCCGCCAGAGCAAACTGAACATGCAGCCCAGTTACACCAAGAGCTGAGCAAAACATCTCCGGCAATGGACGTTCCAAATTTAATAGAGGATCCGAATTTCGAATTCCGCGAAGGAGAGGCATTGTTCTTGCAACTTCAAGATTATGAGAGGGCGTTCGAAGACTGGCTTAGCTTGAACCCCATATCGGAATAATAGTGAGCATTGGAACATTTGAAGAGTTGTCACTGATCATAAGTTCCAAGGTTATACTACTTCGTCTATTGACGCGGAGCCGGCCCGTTCCCGTGTCTCCCGGCCTCCCGGAATAAAGCCGGGTTAACCATGTAATATTTAAAAACCATAGTTAAAATCAGATGTAAACTTTCAAGATTGCTTTTCCTTATCAGCAAATATGTCTATCCTCAAAATTGATCCAATTGTGATTGTGGGCGCCGGCGTCTTCGGGCTCTCGACCGCCCTCGAGCTCAAACAGCGTGGATACAATGATATCACAGTCCTGGACCGATATACGCCTCCAGCAGTGGATGGAAGCAGCGTAGACATCTCTCGCATTATACGAATTGACTATGGTGACCCAGTCTATTTCAAGATGGCCCGTGAGGCCTACGATGGCTGGAAAACAGAGTATAAGGATCAATTCTACGAATCTGGATTTGCCCTACTATCCGAGACAGCAAATCACGAATTGATCACCAAATCCCGGGAAACAATTCTAGCTACTGGAGGCCACGTCGAAGACCTCCCACATGCGACTGAGCTCCTGAATTCCTACCCTAATATACCATCCAAACTCGCCGGCCTTAGCGGATATCTCAACCGACGAGGCGGCTGGGCCAACGCTGCAGGCAGCATTCAGCAGCTGGCTTCTCGGTGTAGCGTCGAGGGAATCTCGATCGTCTCTGGTCCTCGTGGTACGGTCACGTCACTGCGCAAGAAAGGTTTGCGTGTGGTGGGCGTCAACCTCTTTCATGGAAATTTCATGCTCGCTTCAAGGGTTATTGTTAGTACGGGCGCATGGACAAATCGGATTCTGGACATAGCCCACGCTGCTACGGGCTCAGGTCATCCGGTCGGAATGATCCAGTTGACACCGGATGAAGCTCGCTCTTTGGAATCCACCCCGGTGATAATGAACCTGAGCAGCGGAATCTTTTGCTTCCCGCCAACTCCGGGTTCAAACATTCTCAAGCTTGCACAGCATGGGTACGGCTTTGCAAACGAAGTTATTATCCAAGATAGTGGGACCAGCAGGACTGTATCTACTCCTAAGGTTGATAGTAATGTGCTGTCAGGGTATCTTCCCGAGGACGCCGATGAAGCCCTACGCGAAGGCTTGCGTCGATTTTTCCCCAAGTTCGCTGATCGACCGTGGATGAAACGTCGATTGTGCTGGTACACTGATACTGTGAAGGGTGACTTTATTATCGATGATCATCCGACGCTGCAAGGACTGTTTGTTGCTACTGGTGGCTCAGGACAGTAAGTGTTGCTCAATTTAAGGAAAATCCCTAGATTGGAACTAAGACTGACACTGCTGTAGTGGGTTCAAATTCCTCCCAATATTGGGGAAGTATATCGTGGATTGTTTCGAGGGTAAAGCATCGGAGGACTTACGAGAGAAGTGGAGACTGCATCCATCGCCGGGGAACTCGTCCAATATTGCTATGGAGGGTGATGGAAGTCGGGCTGGTGCTCCATTGCGAACACTCGCCAGTATCGAAGTGGCCAAGTTGTAGATCACTTGTGCGTCTAGTCCATTCAAGGAAGCGGGTCTCGTATGGTATTTTCCAAAGATCCAAAGAAGGACAAGGGAACCATTCATCCAACTGAGATGCTCTTTGTTAAGGCATATGCATCAAGATAACTGCCTGTTGTATCTAAAATGAGAACTATCAATTAAATCATGTTTTTTTATGAACTTTGGATTTCTTATAAAATCCCAAGATTGAAGGATATTCTTCCTTTGCATGTCGGGATTTTTTGAAACCCAAAATTCAGTTATTTTTCAATCTTAAGGGAGATGATACTGGATGTTCTGATGAGCAGTCCCCATAGACAGGTCACATGACATACCCCGTTATCTCCGACCGGGGAACCACTTGTCACTACTCCCTTTCATTCCAAGTTTCATCAAGAAGTAAGAAACATACCCCACGAAATAACCCTTGGCACATTTCAAAAGATATTTCAATACTATCGAAATGAGTGACGCCTACGAACGCGAGCAGTATGTCCTCACCCCTGAAAGCCGTCGCCACATACAGCTCCGACCGAACAGCCTTGATATTCAATATATAAAGATATTTCACTGACATGTGAATCCTAGGCAGAACAATGCGCTCTTGAACTCCCTTTCCTCCAAAGTCTCCGCTCTTCGATCTGTAACAATTGACATCCACGATAATGCGCGGGACCAAGACACACTCGATCACACCGTAGGTCTTCCAGATTCATGCCAGAGACCTTGATGTTTTCTCAGACTAACCATAGTTTTTTCTGTCCAGAATGATGTGTTCTCCTCCTTCTCGACCAACTTGAAAGGCAGTGCCAGCCGTTTGACACGAATGGCAAAACAAGGTGATACTGTGGCAGTGCTCAAGGTCGCAGGTATCTGTGTCGGAGCCTGCATACTCCTCTATATCATTCTGAGCTGGATCTTTTAGGGGGCCAGGCACCTCCAATACCCAATCCTTCAATTTCCGTTCTCATTATGAACGCCCTTGCTGGTCCAAGAGTGCGTTCTGACTTGGACAATATCATTACTTGACGACTACGTCACAAAATGGCTCATTCATTCATTAATTGCTGCCATGGCTTTAATAATATTCGCGGGATTCCATCGCATATATTTTTGGTTGGTGGGAACACTCATTCAAGACACGGACAAGATAACCAAATCCGCTCTGGAGGTTGGTCTACTTTAATGCGTTTCCTGCTGTGATATTTGTATCTTATGGAAGTCATGAAAGTCATGAACAAAAATCCCCAAATACATAAGTGAATTTTAATTGATCATATATTTGCATTTTTTTCACTTGCTGTCGAGTCTGTCTGGGTTTCTTTTTTCCGGCTAATCCCATAGCTATGCAGGCCTATATAATTTGAGCTTACTATGTACATAGATTTTCGATCCATGATCCTTCGTAAGTTCGGGATGCTATCAAGCGTCCGGTTAAATGCGTATCTACTAGCTTATCTTGATCATCAGTGGCAAGTGATATTTCATGCAAACGGGGCATTTCAGTACCCTCAGGAACGAATAGCGTGTCCGGATGGATGACACGGGCAACGTTCTCATATCAGCCACTTAAGTGATTGTGTGCCCCAGCTCGCCCTTCAGCTTTCAAAGGTTCACTTGACAGAATCCGTCACAAGAGACATGGACCCTACGTAGGTAATCACTGGGCACGTTTATGTGCCCTAACATTGACCGTGACCAGGTCATGATAAGGTAGATCCTTATCGCTATTTTACTCTAATCTGAGTCGTAGTCAGATTGGCGTTTGCATGGCATACCTAACGATCAGCCTAATGATCAGACCCTCCCAGTTCTGGATTTACGGAAAACTCCGAAAGACCACAAACCATGTGGCGCAAGGAACAGCCTTGTGCAAGGGCATTGCACGATTCGGCGCGAAAATCCTTATCCCCTAGTCTTGGCAGATGGGGCGATCAATGCTTGATAGAAACTATTATTCCCGTCTCGGCATTTATTCATCTGTCAAGAATTGCATCGTATCATTCGGGAACAAATGATGGGATGTGAAATACTATGCTATCCCGGCATTGGAATTCTCAATGGGTACCGGCCGCATGCCGAATACCGAATACCGAATACCTCGATCTTGCCACGGGAAGTGAAAGTGAAAGTGAAAGATGTCAGGGGTATTGCATATGGAGTGGAACGGGCCTCTTCCTTGTCCCTAGTGAATTTTCTAGGTATGATCCTTGCGATGATTGACAGGGGATTTTGTATCTTTGACTCTTGGGTATGTATGTTGTGGGTCGAGATCTCTGTAACTAAATGGGTACACTACTGGCCTCCAGGAACCTTGAAACTCATTGATAAGGCCAGCTCGGAGACCTCAAGAACCAACCTTGGAAGAACCACAGTAGTGACTATGAAGTAATGAGTTATTTTTATCACGAAGAGTGGAAGTCGTCATAGTATAAACCTCAAATTCAAACCTTGAAAGTATGACGATGAGAGTGAGTTCTAAGTTCTATGAATTACAGGTACACCGATAGCTACATCCAGCGGTTCATCTTAGAAGTTAGCGATCAAAATCCGAACAATGATCTACTTGCCGCGGTGGGTCTAAGGGTGAAAATTTACTGTATACCTAGGTTAAGCGGTCCACGGATGTACTCCGTAGGAACCTCAAGTTAAAACCTTCAAATGTTTCCATTTTTATCTTTTCATTAGATTGCTGTCTTTACCTTGATATGGAAGGTCTGGCATTCCTTCCATACAGGTACACACCAAGTTACGAATTTACCCGAAAGCTATAAAAGCTATCCGATTTGATGGAATTAAATGGAGGATAAAGAAAAAGAAAAAGCAAAACGAAATAATCCATGTAACCGCCACGTCAATGCGCTTCTGCAAGACTGAAACATGTACAGGTACAGCATTTTCCAGATCGACCAAGGCAGGCCCGATGGCAACGCGAACGCATAATTGGACAGTCGGGATTCCGGTGGAGTGGAGCTGCCCGTGAAGCCGTGAAGCCGTATCCCGTATGTAGGCCGGCCGAGACCTTTCCTAGTGATGACTATTCCTTCATATCCCCCTGTTTTACGAAGTACTAAAAGCCTGAAGATTCTCAAAAGTACTAACTATTGAGTAACTACTAAAACTAGTAATAGGTTGGGATCCATGTTTAGGATTATAGTGATCCGGACCCTTAACAGGCTTATCTTGTTGAGATGGCCATGGTTCGTCAGATCCAATCAGAAAAAACTGGATGTTGGTCGGTGAGCAAGTTGACACTTGTGGATCATAGGTGGATCTACTTAGTACCTCCGAGAGCTTGAGCTTTGAGTGGAAATCCGGATGTTTCCGAGAAAAGAAAAGGGAAAAAGGAAAAGAAAAAGAAAAAATACGAAAATTGAAACGGACGAGAAAGGGAGAAGTCGGAGGATGTAGTAAAATGATTTGCTCATGTGCCGATCATTCGCGTGGCATAGTCCACATGGATTTTAAGCATGACGGACATTTAGTATACAAAGTATGGTTCTAGTACTCTAGTAGGAACAGAGTACTTTACGGAGTGGGACAGGAAGATCAATGATCATCTCGACCTAGCCCTAGTTCCTAGGAAAGTCGCATCTAGACATCTGCAAGAGAGCATATATGTCTACCTGCATAACATGCAGGTCATGCTTTAAGAGCCCGAATAGATGGCGTGATAGGCTCTGGATAAACGAATAAACGATGATAGGGAAATAGTTTATAGTACGAAGGATAAGAACCATGATTCCATCGCTGACGTAAAAATACATGAATTTATCCGTCTAAGTTGAATGGTCTAGACAGATCGGTTTTCTTGAGTATTTTTATGGCTACTAATCCCCTATTTTTTTTCTTACTCCTGATCCCTTTTAGTTCCTCTAGTCTTCCCTAATTTTTTGTATCGCCACTTCTCGCCGGAAGCGCCGAAAGCGGCACATCTCCACTCATCCGCACTGTGGGACCCCCGTTTGAGTCTTGGGTCTTGCGAACATTGACCGGCAGATCACAGGAGGAAAAACGCCTTTTTGTGTCACCCTTTCTTCTTGCTAATCTTCTTTTCCTCCGACATTCCAAACCCCCGTTTGGCATACTCTACTCTCTCTCGTGGTCAATCGGCGACGCGATCGCGACCCCTCAAATGGCTCTCAGCTTCTTCAGCGGTGGTGGGAGCTCAAGTAATGCGAAATATTTTGATATTCGGTAAGTGGCAGACCAGGGATTTCTAGATCCTTGAGATTAGTTGTTGGATAGCTTCTCACGGGTCTACAGTCTGAACGATGACTATATCGTGTTCCGTGGCGGCGAGCACGAGGCTGCCAGTGCCCATCTAAAGGGGACCTTGGTGCTGTGCTTGTCTGAGCCTCTCGCCGTAAAACACATTCGGCTCGAACTCACGGGCATGTCACGGGTTTGGTACGTCATGCTAATATAATCGCGACGTCAAGAATGCTAACCGGAATGCCCCCTGTAGCTGGCACCTTCCTTCAAGTTCGTCAACCGGTGGCCGAAAGTCATGGCGAGAACGCGTCTTCTACGATAAGACATGGCGGTTTCGGGACCCTGGCAAGGGCAAGACAGAGATTCTCGCAGCTGGAAACTACGAGTACCCATTCGATGTAGTTTTGGATGGTGCAATGCCAGAGAGTGTGGAAGGTCTCTCAGAGAGCTGGGTAATGTACCGCTTCAAGGCTGAGATCGGGCGCAAATATGCCAAAGATATCGTTGCGCGAAAGCCGCTTCGTATTATCCGGACGTTGGATTCAAGTGCTCTGGAGCTATCGCATGCGATGGTAACTATCATCTTTCTCAAATCTTGTAGTGAGCTCAGGCTGATATTCTACAGTCGGTCGATAATATCTGGCCGAACAAGATTGAATACTCTATCAGTACTCCGACGAAGGCAGTTGCGTTTGGTACCTCGATCCGGGTGGATTTCAAATTAATACCCCTGCTGAAGGGCCTGCGCATTGGACAGACGACGTCACAGTTGATAGAAAGCCATGATTTGACGCTCAACCCGGAAGATTCCGACCATATTCGCAATACATACAAGACCACCCGGACTATCATCACAGACGAGCATGAGCTCGAAGAAGATAGCATCGAAGTCATTGATGAGGTAGCCGAGGGCTATCAGTTTACACGCTACCTAGACATGCCCCCCACATTGACACGCTGTCTGCAGGATACAGACACCAAGGGCATTAAAATCCGCCACAAGTTGAAGTTCCGCATTCAACTACACAACCCTGATGGCCACATTAGTGAAGTGAGTTGGACCGAAATTCGTGAGTCGTTTCCATGCTAATCTTGTCGTAATTTAGCTTCGTGCCACCCTTCCCGTTTCTATCTTCATTTCTCCCAGCATCCATATCGACGAGAATAACAACATCTGTGAACATGATGGAGCGACAACAACATCGGCAAGCCAGAGGAGAGCTGCCGATGACATTGCTACTAATCAGGCCCCTCCACTGTACGGCGAGCACCAGTTTGATCAGCTGTACAGCGAGGTTGACCCCAACGGCTACCGTACACCGGGACCGGGCAGTGGACCAGGCACACCGTTTGGCCCTCTCAGTCGCAACATTTCATCGGAGAACCTGGCATCGATGAATGCTTTGACCAACACTGATATCTCCGCTTCGGCGCTACATCGTCGACTGCAGTCCCTGAACGCGAACTACTACGCTGGATTCCCATCTCCCAACGAGAGTTCATTCGAGTCAGAAAGCCATCCCAACTCACGACAACTCAATGTGCATTTCGATTACTTCGGGCCAACATCTGGTCCAACATCTGGTCCAACATCTGGCTCCACAACGCACGGCCCAGCAAGCCCTGAGCTCTCTCGCAGGCCTTCGGACGAAATGGACCCGGATCGCATCCCATCTGGCATGGCGACTCCCTTCCATCCACAATATGCCGAGGTCGAGACACTCAGTCGAGTTCCCAGCTACTCGACTGCCGTGCGCGCCAACATTGGATTTTCTGATTCCAACCTTCCCGACTACAATACAGCTATATCGACCAGCTTGCCGTCAACGCCAATGCTCCAGTCACCACAACAGGCCTATCTTCGCAGTGGGCGGACTAGTGGGATATTAACACCATCGGAGGTCAATCACCCTGGTTTACACAATTTGCACAGCTCGAATGCTGACGATGCGGAACGCAGCCTTCGACTAGTACAAGCCCGCGCTAGAGCGTGATACGCCACGGTGAATGCCTCGATCTATTCCCAAACAGAAATATCTCTCGTCTCTCCTTGATTCCCCCTCCCCCCTTTCGAAAAGCTTCTCCTCAGTGCTGGTCACTGGCATCATCAGCATCCACATCATCCTCTTTCTTCTTCATTCAGCACTCAGAATACTCCTGGTGTTTCAGCATTTGACAGACACTGTCTGCTCTTCTACGGCGTTCGGCACCCTTGATAGACAGGCTCGGGGCACTTTTATATTTTCATAGATATGAACATTTAATTTTCTCTACGTTAAAAGATGACTCGCTGAAGGGGACAATACCTCTCCACAGCTTGAACTACTTGAATTGCTTGAATTACGCACATGGCCTTCTTACCTCACGTATTACTGACGATTTATCAGCCACAAATGACTGGCCTTGATTTTTCCTTCTCCCCTTTCTCAACGTCTCCACTACTCTCGATTAAGCTAATCACTGTAGATCATTGTAGATCTGGTACCGAGTTCATCTGTTTCTTATAATTGTCCGCATGTAGAAATGGGCCCGTGGCGTGGAATCCCAGCACCATGGTAACTTTGCCTGACTGAGCTATATTAGTAGACTATACTTAGCGACACAATAATTACTTACAACTTACCTTTTTGACCTGGCTAAAATCGCAACCATAAATCTTCTATAAAATTAAATGACCGCAAGATACAGAGATATCTGGTACGGCTTTTAAACTGCAAATTCTAAATTCTAAAATATTTGGCACCACTGACGCGGGCAGTGACCTCATAGGTATTCTTAATCTGATCGGGACTTTATTAAGAGACCATCCATCTCCTCTATGATACCCCACCTTCATTCAGCTAAATTGGTACTAGCATATTGCGCTTGTACGATAATCCGGTAACCGTCTACAGACTACATAGTACACGACAATTCATTGAATCTACTCTTACCTTGATTTCACGACTCGGAAGTTGGTTCCATTGACTGCTTATCATTACCAGATCTGAAATCTACTCTTCCTACGCTTCCGACACTTCCTCAGTAAACAACAACTTACCCCTTACACAATGGCGAGCCCCGTCGAGTACTCGCTCCCGAAGCGGTCGTCTACTATGCATAGCAACCTCACTCGCCGTACCTCTATGAGCGACGATGAGGCTATTCCCGACACTGATAGCAGCGAGGTTTGTTTCCGATATCACCCCACCTTTGGCGGGGTAGCAACATCCACCCCCTGCAAAAGTGAACTGAAGCTAACAACACCTCAATTGTGATAGACTACCAATCTTTTGCTTGAGCGTCTCCGAGCATGGAAGCACATGTGCGGTTACCTCGAGGACTATGTCTCAGCCACTGCCAAGGTTTCAAAATCTCAGTCGAAGGACCAGGAGAAGATCTTGAAGGTATTTTCTTGCCAAGGTTTAAAGCGTATCGTCCATTCATCCTAACTTATGTGAACAGACTGTCAGTGAACCCTTGAAAGAGGGCCATCACTTCAGCACCAGTGCTGGGGGTGTGGCTGGTCTATTCGAGAATATTCGTAGCAACGCTCAGGTACGAAATCTCGATATACTTTTTTCATCGACAATTGCTGATCAATTCTCTTATCTGTAGGGTATGGTGAACATGCACCTGGAAACCGAGAAGAACCTCAAGGGGTCGGTTCTCCCGACCCTCGAGCGCCTACACAAGGAAATCAAAAACAAGTCTAAGGAACTCAGCGCCGGTGCAGCTAAGGGAGCCAAGGCTGTCGAGAAGGCTCGACAAGCCACCCAGAAGCATATTGAGCTCTTGGGCCAAAACGCTGCCACGCACGATGCCGCTATCGGCAGCAAGATTGAGACAGCCCACGACCCTTACATTCTTAAGCGCGGCATCAACCACCGCCTGAACAAGCAGGTGATTGAGGAGAATAACCACCGCCAAGATATCCTGGTCGTGCAGAACTCGTTCCAGGAATTCGAGGCCCACGTTCTGGAGACCGTCCAGGGCGCCTTGGACCAGTTCTTCCAGCTGATGAACGGTCAGTTGGATCGCCAGCGGGCCATGTACACCGATATTCTGGGCAATGCGAAGCGTATCCCTGCTGATTTCGAATGGGTCAACTTCTCCATGCGCAATGAAGCTTCGTTGGTGAACCCAGACGGACCGCTGCGCTCATTTGCGAGCATCACTTACCCGAACCAAGATCACAAATCCACACAGCCTCTGATTGAGGGCTCGCTCGAGCGCCGCTCTCGTGCCTTGATCAAGGGCTACAGCACTGGATACTACGTTGTCACACCGGCTGGCTACTTGCACGAGCTCAAGGGTGACGATGATTTCAAGAAGGACCCCACCCCAGAGCTGTCTCTCTATCTGCCCGACTGCATCGTCGGCGCCATCGACGGCGTCAAGTTCAACGTTAAGGGCAAGGACGTGTCCAGCGGAAAGGTCGGAAATGCCTTCCACACCAACACTGAGTTGAGCTTTAAGGCACACACTCCCAATGATGCTGAGAAGTGGTGGACTGTCATCAAGGATGCTACCCGTGGCCCTACTCATGCTGCCCCAGTAGCTGCAGCCGCAGCACCACAAGCAGTAGCCTCCCCAACCGTAGCATCCCCAACCGCAGCCTCCCCAACCGCAGCCTCCCCAGTTGCAACCTCCCCAGTTGCAACCTCTCCCACTGCCGCTGCTGCCACCATCCCTGCCACCGCTACTCCTCCCACCTACTCCGAGAAGGAGAAGCAGCCTGAAGGAGCCGCAGCAACCTCCTCCACTACAGTGACTACTCCCACTGTTGAAAAGGGAGCTACCAGCCCTACTGTCGGTGTGAGTCGTTCTGCCAGCACAGCTAGCCACTTCCACACAGCACCCGGAGGCTCAGCGGTCGAGTAGAAAGTAGAAAGTCCATGGATCTGACTGTTAGTTTATCTTCTGTCGGGTTTCAATAACTTCTGCTTTTCACTGTCTGGACTGAGTATGCTATGCAATGCGCAATACGGTTCGTGATGAATATTTGCATTTACTTCTTTGGTTTGTGCTTTGTTTCTTTTTATGTCTCTTTTTCGATCTTCTAGCCCATCTATTACTAAGTGAGATTTGAGCGTACCCTGAGATTTTAATTTTTATCTCTTGGGATTATTGTCTTTTTGTGCATACAATGTCAATTTTGATGATATGAAATGATTTAATATCCTGCAAATAATAATTTGACTCACTATTGAATTGAGATTTCTATACCTGGGTACAGATGGCCATGTTCGTCCTATACCCCATATGATCACCAGTCTGAGAAGTAGCATAAATAGCCAAGTAATTATTAGGTAGTATATGATTTAACGACACTTCACACCTTACTAAAATTAAAGTAAAAATGAAGGTTATGTTTGAAACCGAGTGCGCATTTGTTTTTTTTTTTTCTCTGAAGAAATATAGATCAAGAAGAGGTTTTAGGCAGAGTTATATAGTGGTGTGATTCTTAGCTCGATGGAGTTTGGATTGCACTCTGAACTTATTTACCAGGTATAAATTGTGAACGACCGAGCCGACCTCTACTAATGCACTTTGAGGATATTTAAAGTGATAGGCCGAGTATTCATTGCCGAATTTACAAAATAAAAGCCAGAGCTGATAATTTTGATGAATAAAGAGACAATGGGCATGTCACTTCCTGCACTCTTAGAATACGTGGTTAGCCCATAATATTAAACAATGTGTATATGGCCATATTGTCCAGTTCCCATAAGTCACATTCTTTTTCGAGTCACTGAGCTGAGTCTTGAGCTCATTGAGGTACGCGCCCATTTCTGGAGACAAGCTCATCTTTCTTGAAAGATTGATCCACTGCTGATATCAGCCATGATGGGAAGGACTAGTGTGGAAATCATTGTTTCCACGGTCATTTGACCTGTGAGAACCCAGTTCAAAACTTGGCTTCGGGGTATCTGAACAGGCTTCGCTCACGCTACATTGATGACTGGGTCCTGGTGTTGTTGATCTTCTCCAAGCGAGGGAAAGTTGAACATTGGTCATCGAGGGTAGAGACTCGAACGAACTCGTCAAGGAATTCGCTAGCCAGCCTCGATATCTAGCCTTGATCTTGAAAATATCGGAAATCTCTTTGATTGCTTCGAGAAAACCATCGGTGTAAACCATGCAAAGTCAAACCGCACAACAGGGAATGGCTAAATTGGGGAAGTCCATTGACAGGACACGTTCGGAATGCTGAGGGTCTTGTTCTCGCTGAATGTATAAATCATAGATTCATTCATTTAATAAGAAATACTGGGGTATGAATTTTGAAGTACAGCAGAAGGCGCAAATATGGTCAGTTCAGAAATAGAAATCAGAAATCCTCCGGGCTCTCCAGGTCGTCCAGCTTCGCTCCGAGGAACCGACCCAAAGCAGCACATTTTGACTCCAGAGCAAGCAATACCGAAGGAGGAGCTGAGAGGTTCAAGCTAGCCAACCGCGCGAGATCGGCACTGCGGTCAATCTCAACTTGAGTATCGAGGTTGCCATTGGAAAGAGTGTTTGAGACGGGAGCAGCCACAGATACACGTCCATCACCTGCAGTCGCATCAGATGTGGCCCCATTCGCGTCGGCGGAGATGCCCTCGATGCCAAGGTAGTCTGGATCGATGCCGCTGGCTGCGGCCTCTGGTTTACCGGGTCCCACTGCTGCCAGGAGGAGCTTATCGCCGATTCGAGTGACGACCGCAACGGAGTCTTCCAGCTCAAAGACAATCGAGCCGACATCTCCCAGCGACATTGATTGTGCAGTAACGTAGGACGAAGGGTGACTGGCCGGGTTCACGCCAGTCAGGTTTCCGGTTGATGCGGTCTTGGCGTAACAGGTATATGCGGCTCCATATGTTGCGCTAAGGTTGCGCAGCTGTCGGGTGGAAAGGGAGGAGGCATAGGCGAAGACGGCGCCGTTGGTAGCGAACACACTAGACAGAAGCTTTGGTATTAGTGATTGCGCATGGTTGAAGAGGGGGTAGATGCTCCCGAGCCTCTACAGAAGCTGAGGGTCAATGGGACTTACAAGATACTGGTAATCTCAGGCGGAGAAAGGTTATCCTCCAAAAGGTCACTCAGCGCCTCCGAGTCCAGCATCTTGATATCTGGAAGACCGGGAATCATGCTGTCGGGTGCAGACTCGATGGGTGCCGGAAAGATAAGCTCTGGGACAACCTTGACGGTCTGGTCCTTGGGAGGAGTCCAAGAGCAGTCTTCTGGAAAGAAGAAACAGTTGTCACTGTAATCCTGGTCGTCGTGATCGTATTCGATAGGCTCGTCAGAATACTCCAACAAGTCTTGAGCGAGCGCGCTTGAGCGGGCCCAGTAAGGTAGGAACGGGGCGTCAATGTGGGTCCCGAGGTCAGAGCTCGCAATTAAATCACATTCCTCCATTTTCAAACCCATGGCTTGATGCAGAGAGACTCAAGAGGTTCAGATTCAGGTTCAGATTCAGATCCAGGCTCAGATCCAGACTGAGATTCCAAGTGAAAACAACTCAATCTGTCAGACTCGTATTGTTTCTTATTTTCCAATTTGAACGCACGTTGACACGTGACCAGGTTTTCATTGCTAGAGTAGGCAGGCGCGAACAAGACAAAACTCGACAGTTTTGAGAGCTTTCCCTATTCAAATGTCCTAGTCTAAGTCCAGATGACAATTGTGAATGTATCAAGTCACGAATGGTTCCAGTTGAGCCCGGTTACACGGCTACTAAGGAGGACATAGTGGTTTTATAAAGGCAGCGTAGCACTGTAGAACTGAAGTCATGCGACACAACCGCGAGGCTCTCTGAGAACGCCACGTCCCCGGTGCAGATTTGGGGCAACATGTGTCAGAACGTGTTGAGGCATAAATATTTGATTGGAGGAGGGGAACCAACAGGGCAAAGAGAGCGCTAAGCGTGGGTATTCAAGAATGCAGCCTAAGAGTGGGTTTAGATGTGAAACTAAGACAGCCAATAGGAATATATAACCAAGAGAAGTGATGAGCTATGAATAATGGAAATTGACGACAGTCAACTATAATACCTCATTGTAGAGTACAGAACTTAGCTATTAAAGGGATCAACGGGATCAATGCGACTGTCCTTGGCTTACTGCTCAGGTGCCACAATTGCCTTCTTCCTGCAGTGATATCAGCCTTAGAGCATATTTACCCTTCAAATTCCAACCCTTCTACTACACAAAGTGACGAAGCAAATACCTCTGTTTTGGGGGTATCCCTACCTTCAAGCCATCACCTGCAACTCAAGCCCGGGGACACCTTTGCATCTTTGCCTAATGATTTCGATCGATTGACCAACGTACTCACTCTCGTCATCATATTGCCACCGCATTGTCTTTCCATACCTGATTCGATGTTGCTGTCATCTTTCAGATTTGATCAAAAAGCTAAGCTTACTCCAAAACACATACCAATCAGATCCCAGCTGCCAAAAATCTTCTATAACTCATAGCCTTGTCCTATAGGCAATGAGGTCATGCTTAGTTGGCTCAGTTTTAGAGGTCCATCACATGTAAGCTCTTCTACAAGTGATGTCTTTCCCCTCCTCCAGTCAACGTCAAATTAAATAAATGTTACTGCGATGATTCGTACTTCGGCTATACCCGAGATCTGCAGTTAGGCCTTTGCCCCGGACGTTTCAGGTTTCAAACTCTTGGAACATTTTAGCATATCACCTGTCAAGTAGGTGTTAGTCTGTACGCTGTCAGCGGTACTTTGTTCTTCAATCCTTTAGATATCCAACTCTTGTCAAGAGTCAACCTTGAATTTATATGCTTCAATGGGTGGAGCCGGCGCTGAGTCTCCTGATTGGCCAATTGACTTACTCATCCGCAGCTTTCCAACACTTCAGCAACCTTGGATCAACATACAATGGCGCAATGCGCGCTTTGATATACCACTCATGCCATTTGGCCTTGAGGAAGAATCCTCGTACCATTCATCTCTTATATCGGGGACTTTCTTCGTCAACATGCATTGACAAGACGTTTTCACTTCCCGTTGGGAACAATGGATCAATATCGCTAAGGTGAGTCGTGTCTCATTCCCTCAGATGATTTTATAATCTTGATATTGACGGTATCAAAGAGTGACACGCCCAAAGAGGTCAAGGGCCACTGCTAAAAGCGAGCCTGAGTCACCAGAATCCAATGTCATTCTCTATCTTCCTCCCGGGCCCTTATTCCGGGGACCCAGTGCATCTTCTGTCCAAACCCACGTGGACTCCACTCTTGACGAGGTGTCCAGTGACTTGTTGACTCTTAATGGTTCGAGACTGGGGCCACCAATGCAGCATTTGCTTTCATCCTCAACCTCTGCTACTGTTGTGACAGTCAATTATCGCTTTGGTAAGGTCGAAGAGAAAGCATTAGATGCGCAGACTGGTGCAAAATCGTCAGAAAAGATTTATAAGTATCCGAATCCTGTCCATGACACGCTTGTCGGTTTTGACTGGATTCAAAACCACCTTAAACCCACACAGCTGGCGGTCTTCGGCTCGCATATAGGCGGGTCGCTGGCACTTATGCTAGCTCTAACAGAAGCCCAGTCACTACAGGCTGTCGCTGCTTTTGATCCAGTCTGCGACTGGACAAGTCTCGATGATTACTGTATAACTGAGAAAATAATGGACACAGAAGGTACGTCAAGTGTCAAGCAAAAACGATCAACAAGGAAAATTGCACCCACGGATTTGGTCCCTCTACTTGAGGCACGTGAAAAGTTTTTCACATCCCCCGAGAAATGGTTCGATTCGTTTGCCTCACCGATTCTCTTTCTCCGCTCTGCCGGCAAAGAAGTTCCCAAATCATTTCCTCAGTACCTCATAGGCCCTGACTATCCAGTCCCTGTGCTCAAGAACCCCGAAGATCAGACTGTTGCAGAGTCAATTGATGTCCTGAATAGATATGATACATACTCTGATTTCGACGTAGGTGACGAAATCGACCCTGGGCGAGTTGTTAAACGCAGAAAGTCTATTTCTCGGTGGCCACCATACGGCCTAGATTACGGCCTGAGCGGTCAAATGTGGAACGAGCCAAGCCGTGGCATTGGTCGTTTACAGGTTACCCTTCCATGGGTGCGAATCTTTACGCAGGGACAGAACACTAGCCTGAACTCAGATTCAAAGCAGTCTCGACCAAGTCATCATAGCAGAGAGCCAAATCCCAGTTCCACAGTTCTAGCCCAACAAGGGGTGGAAATGATCTCTGCCATGCGGAGAGCCTGTTTCTGGGGAAGAGAGAAGGGATATGGTGAAAGGAGAGCCAATATATCTCATAGCGATGAAAATCCAGACCAAGAGATTGGATTTTGGATTAGGAGTATTTTTGATAAGACAATAAAGGATTGTTAGCTCTAATGTTCAGTTAATAGCCCCGATTACCTGAAGAAATGATCTCATGTTCGCGGAAAAGCATGAAGCAGATCACAAATATCTATATTCTGATTTGGACGAGGTCGTTATTGAATAGGCTTGTCTACATACGAAAGTACCTAGCTAGACTCTACCAGGTGAAAAGATGGATGTGTTGGTACTCCAGAATTCCTTCTCAATGGTTGCCGACGCGGCGGGATCATCTCGATCTAAAGGAGCCTCAACGTCGTATTCTGGCGTAGGGTGCACAACCTCCAGGCTCAGCTTAGGATCTTTAGAGTATACCCTCAGTCCTACCACACACACTGCATTCCAAGGATCTTGAGCAGGTCCATCGAAATCTTGAGAAGGTACAGCGTTCTTCGCGATAGACTCCTCGGGTGGCATATCAATGTCGCTATCAAATTCGAAGCCTTCAAGAAATTCCACATCGCAGCATTCCAAGCCGTCCATATCAAGGCGGGTATTGAGGCTTGGATGCGACGACTGAGTTTGCTTTCTATCCACGCTTGAATGACGTAGGTGCAAGCCATTGAACTGAATAGTCGGCACTGAACCACTCGGCGTAGCGACTGGGTAGCTAGCATCGCTCGAGATACTAGCGAATTCTGTAGGAGACTGAGTCGGTTTCTCATTCAGGATTTGTTCCGACATCGGCCCATTCATCTGGGCAGCTTGTCGCACAGCCATCCGTTGCTGTCGGGCAACCATCTTCCGCTGGCGAATCCATTCCTTTTTGAGCCTTTTTTCTGTTTCGTCTCGTAGCTGCTTACGCTCTGCAGCCTTTCGTCTGTCTCCTTCCTTTCGCTCCTGTTCAGTCTCTGACACCAGGCCTTTGGCATGGGCCAGATCATAGGATAGTCCGACTTGAACGAGTTTCTCCCGTTTAGATGGCGCGAGACGACGTACGGTCTCTTCTGTCGGCTCGGCAACTTCATGGCGGTAGGCAGTGATTTTCATTAGAACATGATACCGGCCCGGGTCAAGGTCAATTTCGGCATTTATGGACCGATGCATGAAGTGGCTCCTTTGGCTGCGAACCATGTAGTCCTCTTCGCCATCTTTCTGAACTCGGAACTTTAGCATAAAGCTATACTCGCCAGTAAGACCTCTGAAATAACGTGTGTCGAGCTGGTAAAGTTAGTCAAGGTCTATATGATGTGAATGCGCACAAACCTGGGATAGGACGATGACCGTTGGTCCGCTCTGGGTCACATTCATGATGAATTTTGTACTGTGATAATCAGCGGACCAGGGGACGTTCAAGGTAGTCCATTGCTGCGTGACTGTCCACTCATCACCAAAGAGACGAGTTCGATCAAAGTGCTGGTATTTCTTGAGGAGATCCTTGTACGAGATCCAAAAGAACTACCCTCGAATTAGCAATTTGTCGAACAAAACCAGACATAGATATACAAACTCCATCGTTTCCAAACTTGTGTCCAAGCAGTTCTATCCACTCTGCTGTCCATTGCTCAGTTCCGTCACCCCAAGCACCATGCCACTCTTTCTTGCCCCAGGGATTTCTATGAAGATGAGTTGACATTCCTGATGGAGGGAGATTGCAGATGCTACTTACCTTAGTCGGAGTAGACGGTGGCCTTTGATCTCTCGAGCCTCCATAATTGAATAAGAGTGATTCTCTGACAGGCCATCATTTCTAGCTCTTGGAAGACCTTTATACTCCGGATCCAACCAGTTGGAAAACATTCCAGTCCCACAACCAAAGAGGAACTAAAATCATGTCAGCTGAATGCACCAACAGTTTTGTGGCTTCTCCCAATTACCTGCTTGTTGACCTGCATAAGCTCCTCTGTCCAAAAGCGATCCTTGTCGAGAATATTGCTCGAGAGGATCTCTGATGTGACTCCCCGGTCAAGTCTTCGATCGCTTCGCCAACAAACCCACCCTCAATCGCGGAATAGTCACCGTGAGCTTTGGCAAATGCCTTCTCCAGGAGAGGCAGCCAAATCTCATTCGGATCCACGCACTGCGCAAAGTATAGCGCCCGCGAGCCGGTCTGGAAAGCTCGGCGATACTCTTCTTCAGAGTCGATACGGTTGATTCCATCCCAAATATCTCTTTCGTCCATAGATTCGTCATAGTCCGCCGCACGAAGATATAGCTTATCATCTACAATGCACTGCTGCCATTCGCCATCTGGTGTTGCTGTCAGTCTCTTACCAGCCCGGCGCCAGTATTGTGGGCTTACCGCGATGAAATACAAATCCATAGATTCCAATCACTTCATCTCGAGCAACGCAGATCTTCTCAATCAACTCCTCCTTGTTGCCCATCGTCCCCAGTGCCGCCATGAGCCAACAATCCCCATCATAACCCTGGCGCACATCTGACGCTGTCGGTCCATTAACGAAGAACTGGGGGTTCTCAAATATTTCCTGTACCACATTAGCTAGCTATTTGACAAAGATATTGAGGAATTTTCCAACGAACCGTCACACGTTTCACTCCGCGCGGCCTCATCTCCTCATTTAGCTTGTCCAGTTCATCTAGATAGTATCTGCGACGAAACTTGAGATCAAGCTCAATATCAAAATGGGGATCGGTGTATTTCTGATTCACCCGCTTGCATTCTTTAGAAATACGATCCACGGATTTCTGACACTCTCGTCGTGCCTGCTCGTATGACTGAACAGCCTCTTCACCTTGGATCACTCCATTTGGCACTCGCCTGGCTCGTGTGCGTGCATATGGGTTATCTGGTAGTATTGTGTACACCTTTCCCGGGTACTTGGTATTGAATTGCTCCCAGAACTGCTTAACACTCTCCTGTGGCGGCTGGCGACGCAATCTATGAGGAGGTCTGCTGTTTGAACGAGATGAAGCAGGGGGTATGGAAACCCCGCAGCCCATTTCATCGTCAAATTCCATGATGAAAGGTTATATTGAGGGCAGTCTATGGTGCAATTGTTCTTCGTGTAATTTATAAGGACACAAACAGGGAGCGTTGAAGAGTTTCTTGTATTCTGAACTGCTAGACGGAGAGCGCTTATTAAAGAAGTAAGCAGTAAGAGGCTCTAAAATTACCCCATTCCACGTACCTTTGTACGGTCTCTACGGGCTTGCCGGTGCTAAGCCCAGCTTGGCATCGTTCATAAGCGGTCACTGCAAAGATGCAGGGATGTCCGTCGGGCTGGCGATCTAAATACGAACATACCAGCATCGGCCCCCAAGTTTCTCCTCAGCTGAACCTGCAGTATCCCCATTAAGGCTTTGGTTTAGAAATCTTACATGATATGAATTCTAGAACAGGTTTGAGCGCATATGAGTGCAGGGTTAGCATCTCACGTGCGCCCCGATTTTTCAGCTCTGATACGAGGTTCGGATTTGATTGGTCCTATTTACGAACATCGCAGTTGAGTCCTTCAATTAGAAATCGAAAAGGCTGTGGTATTTGGCTGTTTGTCTCTATGAGAACATGGTTATCATCAGCCGAAAGGGTATGTGCGCCTTGCACTGAACTAAAAGCCAGTGATCAGAGTAGTCCTGCCCTTGTTCACTCCCCAACTCCTGATACATAAAAAAAAAAACGAGAAACATTCCAGGGGATATTGTCATCCACTGACGTGAATAAGGTTACAAGGAAAAAACAACCAAAATTCGTAAATCCGGGGAAATCAATCAGTGAACGCCGTTACCGGAACCCGAACCGCGGCCCGAGTAGTGAGCACTTCCATGGCGGAAGTAGGGATGCAAGCAGGCCTGCTTAGCAGAAAGGCGGTGCGCAGGGTCATATTCAAGCAAGGCGTCAATAAGCTGCAGGCCAGCCTCCTCCAGGCCCGGAACAAGAGGGGCATCGGGGCGCTTCCATTTGGGGAAGGTAGCTTTGTAATCCGGGAGCGAGGTGACACCAGGCCAATCCTCTTCATTGGGGGTACCGAGGATGCTGGAAAACATATTAGCACAAAGGAGTCCAAATGTTCAGAGAAATAAGAAATACATACCGGAAGATTTTGAAGATTTCATCAATCTCAGAGTCACCGGGGAAAAGAGGCTTGCGAGTGCACATCTCAGCAAAGATAGCACCAATGGACCACATGTCAACTCCGGTGGAGTACTGACGTCCACCCAGCAGAATTTCCGGTGAACGGTACCACAGAGTAACGACCTGGCAAACCCCAAATAAATTTAGAGTCGAGCCAATTAATTAACTACTCGATGGGGATTACTTACCTCGTGGGTGTAGGTACGCAGCGGGACACCAAATGCGCGTGCCAGACCAAAATCAGCCAGCTTCAGGTTACCATCGCGATCGATAAGCAAATTCTGGGGCTTTAAGTCACGGTGCAGTATACGGTGACTGTGACAGTAGCGAATGCCTTCAACCATTTGTGCCATAAACTTCTTGACCATAGCCTCACCTAGACCAAGGTTCATCATCGATCCGTCTGGAAGAGCCTTTCCACGACCGCCCTCGCTGACGGGGAGAGCCTCCATGTACTTCTTCAAGTCGAGATCAAGGAACTCGAAGACAAGATAAAGCTTGTGACCGTCAGCGTGAACAATGTTTAGCAGCTTGACGATATTGGGGTCCTGCATTTCCTTTAGGAGAGAGATCTCGCGGATAGCGGTACTAGGGACGCCTTCATCTTCGGCCTCGAGACGAATCTTCTTCAGGGCAACGATACGGTTGGGATGGTTCAGTTCACGGGCCTTGTAGACGACACCGTAGGTACCTAGGAAGACGCATACACAGTTAGATGCATTCGAAAACATTGTAAACAAAGGAAGGAAACAGTCAGACTGATACCTTCTCCAATCTTTTCTATTTTCTGGTAGTTCTCCATAATGACTGGAGATGCTCAAGATTCTTGTCTTGTTCTGATGAAGGTTCTCGTCTAGTTTTGTTGGCGGAGATATTAGACAATTGCAGAACAGACAAATAATGAGATACACGAAATGGGAGAGACGAGAGAGAAGGAAGGAGGTGAAGCAAGGAGGAGAAGGAAGGTCCGGTGAATATAATGACCCATAAAGTACCTTGTTTGAAAGCTAATTTCTGAGATCAACAAAAGAACTTTCGCCGGATCTTCTCGTCACAATGAGTTGGTTGTCGTAAGAGTTGAGCCGAGAACCACAGCTTGGCGGGGGGCACAAAAACAAACAACCCCCACGTCGTGGCAAAGGCGGTGAACGCGTAATTTTTTGGTAAATCAGCCCATGCCGATCCTCTTGCTTTTTTACAATCACTATGGCGCATATCAAGGGTCTCAATGCTCATGATCGGCCTCCTGAAGTGATCAGGCAATGCTATAAAAAGTACTCCAAGATCTCTTTAGCAGATGTCGACCAAGACCCGGCAATTCTCGACCTGCAACGACTAGATCCGCAAGACCTACCTCCAGCCATCAAAGCGTCACAGTCCCTGCCAAGTCAGGGCCTTCGAATGGCATTTGATGACTTCGTTTCTGGGCGCCATGAACGAAATATGGAGCATGCCCCGTCAATGGAAAACATCCCAATATTCACTCACGACTCGATCACCGGTCAGCATCGACTCACTTCAGTTCTTTCCAAACTGACCCCAGCAGGATAATAACCCTTTCCTGACCCCTCACAGGACTCCTAATGATTCCCTCTCTTTTCCCACCGACCATACAGATTGAACTGCTATCCCGGCTACTACATCGAGACCTGTCAAACCCCGAACACAAAACAAATTTACACATACATTACGACGTTACCTATCCCGAGGCGGACGATAATATGCATACAAGGTCGTTCTTTGCGAGTGATCCAGCTCTCATTATGCATCCTAAAGACCCTCACATACACAAACCTTTGACTGTTCAAAGCGCCTGGGAGAAGAAACTCCGCTGGGTAACTTTAGGCGGCCAATATGACTGGAGCGCAAAGGTGTACCCTTCCGAAGCTCCACCGCCCTTTCCGCAAGACATTGCAAATCTCTTGCGCACCCCATTCCCTGAGACTGAATCTCAAGCGGCGATCCTAAATTTCTATTCTCCCGGAGATACGCTGAGTGTTCATCGAGATGTGAGTGAGGAATGCGATGTAGGGTTGATCAGTATGAGTTTTGGATGCGATGGCCTATTCCTGGTCAGCCATGACGATGGCAACGGCTGTGGAATCATTCGAATTCGGTCTGGCGATGCCGTTTACATGAACGGAGCTTCACGATTTGCCTGGCATGCTGTACCAAAGATATTGCCTCATACATGTCCCAGCTGGTTGGCGGACTGGCCATCCCTCGAAGAAGGTTCTCCTTACCAAATATGGAAAGGCTGGATGTCTGGAAAACGAGTCAATCTCAATGTTCGGCAAATGACCAGCTCTAATGCTCCAGAAAACGCTGGATTGGTTGAATAGATATAATATACGTCCTACGACGGCCAGCGGCTTTTGCTGCCAGACATGCGTTACATTCCCCGCGACCTATGACCCTACACTACAGAGTCTCAATAACAAGATGATTCTTGAGGCATTATCACGTTGTTATAACTTCTAACCGCTATTATGGATTTCATGTCTAGATACAGACCCATAAGAGAATTCCTACACTAACAATGTTTAAGGTCCATTTAAATAACATCCATGTAATGAGTTCATAGATATGACTTGAATCATCTAATGAGATTTGAAGAAAGATCTACCAACCTGTTCCCTTTCCTTTTCTGATAAGATCCAAGTTCAAGATCGATGACTTCATGATCGGAGGCTAACTCCGCCAAGAACCCTAAATTCGGGGTCAACGCATACCATATGCGGAATGCGAAACATGCAGCTCACATAATCGGATGGCTCATTAGTATGATTTAGTGTTTATCGTCATTGATTGCTGGCAACCGGGTCTCGACTCTAGTCATGGCTTACTCAGATGTCAGGCCCTCAAATTCATCGGACATTTAGTATTCCGAGTACCATAAACCCTGTACTTCGTTTTGACGTAATATTCTTTTGATTGGAAAGATAACTTGTTCCTTTTTACCTTTGTCACTGGTCACTTCCTGCTTTCTCGTTTCCTCAAACCGTATGCCACTCACAGGAATATTTTTTTCTGTCACATTGTTTTTGGTGCCACTTGAACTTCTTTCCACCCGCAACTATTGACGGTGTCACTTGTATCCCTTGTTATTGGATTTTTCTTCTCCTTATCGCGAAGGGATGGCCCATGACGAGTCTTTGGGTGGGAATTCAGTACCAGGGGCCCAAACAGATGCACATACTTCAGCGACGTCGATCGCCAGAAGTACTCACAGCTCCTCACAATCAGATCGTGACGAGGAGTTTGAACCAATCCAAAGTTTATCTTCCAAAGAGCAGGATGGAGCTACTGGAGCTGCCGGAACTGCTGGAGCTGATCAGTCCAGTGAGATATTTCTCGCGCAAACAATATCTCGCCGACGCAGTCATGCTTCCGGCCACGAGGGTGAGGAATGGGTACAGATTGAAAGACTGATCTCACGCATGTTTGGCCATGAGAGAAAAGCCAGTTCACAGGAAGAGAAGACTCGACATGTTGGCGTCGTTTGGAAGAATCTTACCGTGAAAGGCGTTGGTCTTGGAGCTGCCCTTCAACCGACCAACGGGGATATTTTCCTTGGACTTCCTAGACTCATTAAACGACTTTTGACCGGAGGCAGGAAACAGGCTGGCACTGGAAAGCCAGAAATACGAACGATTTTGACCGATTTTACGGTATTCCTCCCTTGGATATAATACCAAGACTTCATCTGACGTTTGAACCTTAGGGCTGTGTTCGTCCTGGCGAGATGCTTTTGGTTCTTGGTCGCCCAGGATCAGGCTGCTCAACATTTCTCAAAGTGCTTGGGAATCAGCGATTTGGTTATGAAAGTATAGATGGTGATGTGCGATACGGTGGAACCGATTCTGAAACCATGGCTAAGAATTATCGTTCTGAAGGTAATTCAAAGATTCTTCATATGGCCAAAGATTATCCCAGCTAAATCAATAGTTTCTTACAACCCCGAGGATGACCTTCACTACGCCACGTTGACTGTGCGCGACACGCTCCTATTCGCTCTCAAAAGCCGAACCCCAGACAAAGCTTCTCGAATTCCTGGAGAGAGCCGTAAAGAGTACCAACAAACCTTCCTATCTGCGATTGCCAAACTCTTTTGGATAGAACATGCAATGGGGACTAGAGTTGGTAACGAACTCATCCGTGGTATCTCTGGAGGGTAGGTTACCTATACCAAGACTGGATGTCAATCAAGCTAATTCCCTGACATTCTAGCGAAAAGAAACGTGTTTCCATCGCAGAGGCAATGGTCACTAAAGCCAGTACTCAATGTTGGGATAATTCAACCAAGGGCCTCGATGCAAGTACAGCTTTAGAATATGTCCAGAGTTTGAGGAGCTTGACCAATACTGCTCAGGTTTCCACCTTAGTAGCTTTATATCAGGCCTCTGAGAACTTATTCAATTTGTTTGATAAAGTAATACTTATTGAAGATGGAAAATGTGCCTTCTTTGGTCGATCTGAAGACGCAAAAGCATATTTTGAAAACTTGGGCTTTGAGTGTCCTTCAAGATGGACAACCCCTGATTTCTTGACCTCCGTCAGCGATCCAAATGCAAGACGTGTGAAACCTGGATGGGAAGATCGGATTCCTAGAACTGCAGAGGAATTCCAAGCTGCATATCGCCAGAGTGATGTCTTCAAGGCTACAATCACTGATATTGAAGGCTTCGAGCGTGAAATTGAAGCACAGGAACAGGAAAGAGAAGCTGCTAGAGGCACAATGAAAAAGAAAAACTACACCATTTCATTTTGGAAGCAGGTGGCTATACTTACTCACCGTCAATTCTTGGTAATGTTTGGAGACAGAGCCACTCTAGCTGGTAAATGGGGTGTCATTGTTTTCCAGGCTCTCATTGTGGGAAGCTTGTTCTTCAATCTTCCTGACAATAGGTATGTACTGGCCTATCGCTGTACCTTACATATGTTTACAAGGATCGTAAGCTGACTGTTTTTAGTGGTGGAGTCTTTACTCGAGGAGGAGTCATGTTTTTTATTTTGTTGTTCAACGCTCTGCTTGCACTCGCAGAGCTCACATCTGCATTTGAGAGTCGGCCGATCTTGATGAAACACAAAAGCTTGTAAGAGCAAATACACAAATGTCGAAAACCGAGCTAAACAAACTTAGTTCATTTTACCGACCTGCAGCTTATGCCTTGGCTCAAGTTGTGGTGGATGTACCGTTGGTACTCATCCAAGTTGTTCTTTTTGGCTTGGTTGTCTACTTGTGAGCACTTCCTTGTAGACCATATATTGTGCTCTCAACTAATAACAGTCTCGTAGCATGGCTAATCTTGCGCGAACTGCATCTCAATTCTTCATCAATCTCCTCTTCACTTTTATACTTACCATGACTATGTATTCGTTCTTCCGCTGCTTGGGGGCGCTATGCGCTTCGCTGGACGTTGGTTAGTAAAGGTTCATGTCATTATTACCGTTAAGTCACTGACTCTTCTCAGCTACTCGCCTAACTGGCGTTGCTATTCAAGCGTTGATCGTATACACCGGTACGCAATTTCCCTATTGCTACCGTTTTCAATAGCTAATCTCTAATTACAGGCTATCTCATTCCTCCATGGAAGATGCACCCCTGGCTGAAATGGCTCATCTGGATCAATCCAGTACAGTATGCATTTGAAGCTTTGATGGCGAATGAGTTTTACAATCTGAAGATCCAATGTGAAACACCTTTCATTGTTCCGTCGGGCCCCAGTGCATCTTCGGGCCATCAGAGTTGTGCCATTCAAGGAAGTACTCCAGACAGTCTGACGGTTCAGGGATCCGACTACATACAAGCAGCCTATACGTATTCCAGATCTCACTTATGGCGCAACTTTGGTATAATCATCGGGTGGTTTATCCTTTTCGTCGGCCTCACCATGCTAGGAATGGAACTGCAGAAGCCGAACAAAGGCGGGAGCTCTGTGACTGTCTTTAAGCGAGGCCAAGCTCCAAAAGAAGTTGAAGACGCCATTGAAAATAAGAATCCGCCTGCGGACATAGAGTCTCCAGAGAAGTCTTCTAGGCCGTCTAGTTCTCGGGATGAGGAAAAGAATCATCAACAGGTCAAAGATATTGCCAAGAATACCTCGATCTTCACCTGGCAAAGTCTGAACTATACTATACCTTACAAAGATGGACAGAAGAAACTGCTCCAAGACGTCAATGGCTACGTCAAGCCAGGTCGATTGACAGCTTTAATGGGAGCATCGGGCGCCGGGTCAGTGATTATTTCTTTCAAGAGGAGAAACCAACTAATTTCTTTGAAGTAAAACCACTCTCCTGAATGCGCTAGCTCAGCGGATCAATTTTGGAGTCGTCACAGGTGATTTCATGGTTGACGGAAAGTAGGTATTTCTTTTATCGCCCAAGGCTCCGAATCAATCTCACAGCCATATAGGCCTCTCCCCAAAAAGTTTCCAAAGGGCGACTGGTTTCGCAGAGCAGATGGATATACACGAACCGACTGCTACAGTTCGTGAGTCATTGCGCTTCTCAGCTCTCTTAAGGCAACCGAAGGAAGTACCCCTACAAGAGAAGTATGACTACTGTGAAAAAGTGATTGATCTATTGGAGATGCGATCTATCGCTGGCGCAACGGTGGGATCTGCTGGTACAGGCCTAAACCAGGAACAACGTAAACGCCTCACGATTGCAGTTGAGCTTGCTAGCAAGCCGGAGCTTTTGCTTTTCTTGGATGAACCGACATCAGGGCTTGACTCGCTGGCAGCATTCAATATTGTCCGTTTCCTCCGAAAACTGGCGGATGCTGGTCAAGCCATCCTTTGCACAATCCACCAGCCATCCGCTGTACTTTTCGAACAGTTTGATGAGTTACTTCTGCTTCAGAGTGGTGGGCGTGTTGTCTACAATGGAGCTCTTGGTTCCGATTCCAGGACGTTGATAAGTTACTTTGAGCGAAATGGGGGAAAGAAATGCTCATCAAAAGAAAACCCAGCCGAAGTATTTATTTTCGTATTACTGCTATGTTTCACATGCTAACACACCTCAGTACATGCTTGAAGTGATCGGAGCCGGAAATCCAGACTACAAGGGACAAGACTGGGGCGACGTATGGACCAACTCGACGGAATCCAAGCAACTTTCCACAGAGATAGACAACGTCATTAGCTCACGTAGAAACGTCCAGGATGAAAAAATTACCAATGATGATCGAGAGTACGCTATGCCGCTCTATGTGCAGGTAATGGCGGTCACCAAAAGAGCATTTGTGGCTTATTGGAGGCTTCCCGACTACATTTTGGTATGTCATATCCTCTGAACTTGATTTGAACCAATTTAAATCTCTAACATTTGAGGGAATTAATCCAGGGCAAATTTATGCTTCACATTTTCACAGGTCTTTTCAATACCTTTACATTTTGGCACTTGGGAAACAGCTATATCGACATGCAATCCAGACTCTTCTCTGTCTTCATGACTCTAACAATCTCACCTCCACTCATTCAACAACTGCAACCTCAATACTTGCATCTCCGAAGCCTGTATGAGTCGCGCGAGTCCAATTCAAAGATGTATTCTTGGGTTGCATTCGTGGTGAGCGCGATCCTACCTGAATTACCATACTCAATCGTCGCGGGTTCCATATACTTTAATTGTTGGTAAGTATATCAGTTCCTCAGTTCCTCAGTCGGTAATTGCTCATATCATCTCACATAATCTAGGTACTGGGGAGTCTGGTTCCCGCGAGACTCTTTCAGCTCAGGCTACACATGGATGATGCTTATGCTTTTCGAAGCTTACTACGTCGGTTTTGGACAGTTCATCGCTGCTATTGCCCCTAACGAATTATTCGCCTCACTACTTGTCCCTTCATTTTTCAGCTTTGTGGTTTGCTTCTGTGGAATCGTAGTACCATACTCTGCTCTGCCTCATTTTTGGCAGTCGTGGATGTACTGGCTCACGCCGTTCAAATATCTGCTGGAGGGTTTTCTGGGAGTTGCCGTTCACAATGTCCCAGTAAGGTGCGTTGATCGTGAAGAGTCTAGATTCAGTCCACCATCTGGGATGACCTGTCAAGAATATGCAGGGTCATTCGCCACACAGTCTGGTGGCTATGTACGCGATGCTGCTGATGGGCTGTGTGCATTTTGCCAGTACTCCACTGGAGATCAATTTGTGAGCCTATTTATTGCCAAGTGTGTTGTTTATGCTAACTTATACCTCTTTTACAGGCCGCCTCTTTCAATGTCTTCTACTCTAACAAGTGGAGGGATTATGTGAGTGTCTTTCGACTATGCTGTTTATTATTGACCTAACATATGCCAGGGGATTTTCTGGGCGTTTGTGATATTCAATTTCATGCTGGTCTTCGCATTTTCATGGTTGTATCTCCACGGTATTGGAGACTTTAAACGCCGGCTCAGTGCTCGCAAGACCAGGAAAGGGAAAGGTGTCACAATTTAAGGGGAAACTAGAATGTTAATTTTATTTTATGTGATGAGAATGTCCAATAGATCCAAATAGATTGAAGTACTGGTCTCTCATCACTCATGCAGAGTACGTAGAATAGGTAACGTGGCTATGATTTCTATCGGTAATTATTTCCCAAGTATAAATATGAAGTAGAATAAGGGCGGATATACCAAGTCTTGGCCTTTTGAGCTCTGCCTCTACGCCGAAAATCTTGGCACGATCCCACATCTCCTCACCCCCATTTCTTCACATGTCTTATATCTGAAGGCTGTTGCTTACTTTAATTATTTAAAGCTTCAGCCTCCAGTTTCTTTCTTGGTTTTCATGCGATTCATTGTTTTCTTTTTCATATACCCGACCTTTTTTGCCGACCATGAAGGAGGAAAGTCCGAGGGAAACGCCCGAGGACTCACGCGACGATAGTCAACTGTCTAATTCTAAGCTATCAGCGAATCAAGCCTTCAAAGATCGGAAATGCCAGTACTGTGATCAAGCCTTCACATCCTCCTCATTAGGCCGCCACCTTGACCAATTCCTTTTCAAGAAGAAGCCCGACGGTATTCACGATGTGGAGGAGATCCGGCGAGTTCGTAGTGGAATCACCCGTCGCCAGGCCCGCACTACCTCCGGTAAGCGCGATAGTACTCCTGATCGTGCTCAGACAAAGGGACCCTCTCCAACTAGAGACGCGGGTACAAAGACGCGGGAAGCTCCAGTGCGCATGATGTTCAACACACCGACATGGCATGCAACTGGTGTTATCAACGATATACCCAACCCGAGTCGGGTGGTAGATGGACCTCGACTTGCGCCTGCACCTCCCCGATCAGGTTCCATGCAATTACCCGAATTTGCCAGTCGAGGTGCTAATTCTAATAGCCCTGACACTATGAAGGCTCTGGAACTGGCTTTGCGCGAGGTGCTGGACAACATCAAAGCTGCAACGTATGATATACCTTGCATCTATTTCGCTGTTTCGCATCTTGTCCTTACAAATTTCTATATAGTTCCCGCTTTCGACCTCGAATATCACCCTTCGACTTCGATATTCAATCCCAGACCTTTCCTTCCCTTTGCCTCCAACTCTTACCTCCTCCTCCCAGTCTCTTCTCCATTCATCCATTTCCATCACCCAATTCATTCTCGCTCCAGCCTCCTGGGTTAGAGCACCTTGATATTGTTCGCCAGGCGTTGCGCTCGAAAATAAACCAATGGCAGTCCGATCAGCTCTCGGGTGATTCTACCTCTCAAAAGAGACACATGGGCGCCAATGTCGACCAGAGTATGATTTTCCGAACTGCACAACAACATGAAGAAATAGGTCTTCGCCACCTAGAATTGGCCTTCAGTCATTGGAACAATCTCCCTCATGAAAATCGTCGCGAAGCATGGCAACTAGAAATCACGCGTGCATTCGCCCGCGAAGTCGAGAAACGCAAAGAGGTAGACGAGCAGCTTGCTCGAGTGCAGCAAGAAGCAAATCAACTTCGCGCACAGGTTGAGCTTCTTGGCTCATGCCAGTGGCCGCGTGAGTTTGCCCTATTTCCTCCAGACACGCTGCCCATCTCCCGCAATGTTTCACGGGAGCTGGATGCAAGGAGCAGCCAAATCAGTTCCGACTCTGCTCGGTGGGATTACGATAATTTAATTGCAAAGTGGAAGCGTGTCGTCATGCACGACAAAAGTATGGGACGGATCGGCGTGGGATATGCAAGTGGGAGCCCACTATTGGAAACTGAGAACCAGCAGCGACAAAGCCCCGATATTCGCCCTCCGCGTCCGGGTGAGGATACATCTAACCACCCAAACCGCTTGCGGCCTTTGCAATCCACTGCTGCGATGAGTCCCGATGTTATGACTGCGACCACCACCACGCCTAATTCATCGACCCATTACGCCTCACCATATTCGCATAACGATCCCCGCAGTCCCCCAGGCGGAGATAACGGGGCCCCACAAGCTAAACGTCCTCGCTTGATGAATGGATCGGATGGTCTGCAGGCTGCGGCGTCTGTTGATCCTACGTCTTCTACAAGCAAACCATCCGCTCCCTGGCCTTCTTCCACTACTATGCTCTCAAACTTCCCTCCCCCGTCGGGGTTGCCCCCGCCTTCCACTTCTAGAAGTTGATGAAATTGACGATTAGCAAGTAATTAATGAGATCTTGGACATCATGGCGGGTAGAGAATCATCACAAACAAACGCTTGGATCAAATATAGTAATACTTGGAGTTGAATGCTAAATACACTTGTCAAAGTGGTCCATGTTCTTCGTACATAATTGAGCAAATCAGAAAACTTACCAGTACTGCGAATAAAATCCCGCCGCTAAGTGTAATACTACCTCTCTTACTAGGCAGAACATCCCCGTCCTGTTCTCACGTGAATATGCATGTCGATGTGGAGGTGATTATCGCCCAATGTACCTCCCATAAAAGTCCTGAGGTCAAGTGAGATCTCCTCGACACCCTAACATGATTGCCATCACCGGCATGATTGTACGTTCAAAGGATTAGTCTTCTAAATTTATTCTTACTTTTGGATACAGGGAACATTTTTATTGAGTTCTGGCTAAGTTATTGCAACAGTAGGTCCCGCGGGAGCCTTCATAGCCTATATCATTATGGGATTTGTCACTGCTGGTGTCTCGTATACCACCGGTGGAATCACAGCATCTATGTCCTTGAGGCCGCTTTTGAGGCCGCTACTTTGCTGCAACATTTGTTATTACCTTCTCTCAAAATCATCTCTTCCCGAGGTCTCCAGGTACTTTGCTCCCTCAGGGCAGGATGTGGTCCTCTCAAGATATTCTAACTCTAACCCATCTCGCCTAATTAGATCTGAAATTTCAGCTTTTGAACTAAAATATTATCATGTTAATATTACTACATATGATATTGCAATATGTACAAGAAGTAGGTAGGTTCGCTTGATAGGAAAATCAAGAAGATTAAAGAGCCACCTTGGCCAAAACATCAGTAACCAGTTTAACATCCCGCTCCACATCAACTCTCCAGTTGGAGATGGCAATTCGACAGGCTGGTGCCCCAGCCCAACTGGTCCCAGACACGAACATGCGTGAGGTTTCATTAATTTTGTTTGCCAAATCACGATTCAAAGACTCATCGTTGGCGCGGAAAAGAACACTCATAAAAGTTTGATCCACAAGCTCGGTCTTGGAAGTTGCCTCCGGCAGAGCTGTGTATGCAGGGTGGTCATAAATCCATTCATTAATAGCCCGAGCCAGTCTGATCTGCCGCTGTAGCATATCCCTATATCCATCCTTTCCATAACATAGCAAGGAAGCATACACTGGAAGAGCCCTAAATCGGCGGGAGTTCTCGATTCCGATATTCAGAGGTGATGGGATAGAAGGACCATCCGTGGCACCTGCAGACAAATAGGCTGCGTTTGCATTTTGGAAGACATTTATTGCAAGGTCTGGGTGTCGGCAGAAGAAGAATCCACAGTCGTAGGGGACATTCAGCAGCTTGTGGCCATCGCCAGTAATGGAATCCAGCAGTTCAATTCCTTCGGAGCCTTTCTTTATCGTAGAAAACTCAGGGCTATCGTCCAATACTCGACTAAATATCCCAAACGCACCGTCAGCATGAAGCCATGCTCCATACTTGTCGCAAAGTCTGCGGATTTGACCCAATTGTTCTATTCCACTTGTTGCAAAGCGGCCAGTGTTGACCTCTCCACAGGAGATAGCGACGATGCTGACTTTGTCCACCCGGGACAATTCTTTTTCCAATTGCTCTAGATCAAAACGAAGCGGGTCATCAGCTTGGCAGACATTGCGAACGTTAGCCCTGCCAATGCCTAGAACTCCAGCGGCCTTGACCAAAGATGAATGCGGCAGTGTTGATAGCACTTGAACTCCAGAAAGTCCTAGTGCGTGTAGTACTTCAAAAAGACCGTGCTCACCGACACTCGTGATTTGGCTCCCTGCTCTTTCGGCTGCCTTTTGAAGAACAAACTCTCTCCCACAGGCTAGACCAATGATATTGCTTCCTGTTGCGCCTGTGGTGAAGGTCCCGTTATGCCACGTGGTACGAGGGAGGTTAAACAGATCAAGAAGCAAACCGAGAGCATTGTACTCGACATCGGTGACAATCGAGTGGTTTGCGAGATGCACCTGGACATTTTGATCGTATGTAGAGACAACATGGTCGGCGAAGAGGGCCGCGGGTGTCGTTCCACCAGTCACGAACCCGTAGTAGTTGGGACTTATACTTCCTCCATTGAATGCAGGGACTATATCATCCAAGATGTGTCGTTGGATGGATTCAAGACTGTTACCAGCGTCGGACAGTGTAGTGGGAAGCGAAGCACGGGCTTTGGCTAGGTTCTCAGAACTAGGTAAAACGCCAGATTCCCATCTTCCGGAGCCCTGGGCCACTTGCCAGAGATTTTGGATTGTTTGGCCTTCCATTTCGGTAATTTGGTCTCTCTAAATGCTCTAAATGTTCATTCGGGCTGTAATAAGTACTCGAAGTCGGGATTTGCCCCATTTTGGAGCTCCGGTTGGGCCTTCCTAAAGCAGCTAGCGTGTAATTAAGATGGCAGATAATCGCGATCTAAAGAGTGGAACCATAGCAAATTTCAGACACGTGATAGTGTCAAAGGATCGAAAGTTGGCTACTGATATATCCTAAGAACACTATACTCTCGTGGTTGAGCTAGAAAATATACTAACCACTAGCGATGGTTAGTGGTCAGCAACAGTTAACATCTGTAGGATTTAGTAATACATTCATCTGTATCTGTATTAGGAATTATTTATCTGTATAGATATTCTGCCACCGCCCTATAGTATCACGTGTATCCTGTAAGACGAATCCTTCCGCCAATATGAGACGACCGCGTACCCTAAGATAAGCCTTGTGGCGGTGCGGCGGTAGCAAACTCAACTATAGATTCCCTTTGACCACAGAATTCAATCCGCGGCTTTAAGGCGGGCTATTGACATGACCTTCATCATGATCACGTGAGAGCCGAGGAAACCCCCATCAATGACTAATCATTGGAACAGCTCTTGTGGCCAATTATAGAAAAGTGGGTATTTATATCAACCTCGCGATACACTGTTGCCATGGCTTCACAGACAATCGAGTATATATAAAAGATTTCTAAGGTCAAAGAATGAAACCATTGCTCAGTCATTAACTACTTTAGATGTCCTGACATGCCAACCTCTTAAATCTTACATCCAACTCGAAGTGAGGCTTTCAAGTCAAAGACAAAACATATATCACAGTTTCCATGAAGTCTCCACAGCAACATCAATAAAATCATTATTATATGCCACACTTTAAACTCTTCGAGGTGAATAGGGGTTTGCCGAGCAATGACGTTGCCAGCTACAATGAAAATGAGACCAAAGAATCTTTTTCCGAAAAATGAATTCAATGAATTCATCACTTGGCCTTCCGAGGAAACAGGCAAATGAAGGCATCATGGTGAACTGTTCACTCCATATCAAGGAGATCAAGGAGTAATTGTAATGCATTCATTACATTACATTTTGGTCGGTTTTTGGATGGGGCGAAACACTGAAATCAATCAAATTTCCAAGGTTACTTAGGTATTAAGTATTCATAGATTCATGGGAGTATCGTACATACCTAAGTAATTACCTCAATTCTAACAATTGAATATACGAACTCTATTGCCTCGCTAGAGGTACTTGGCATATCTTAGAAAGCCTACTTGATTAAATCAGGAACTAGTTAAGATCATCGATCACAATTAATAACTGGAATAACTACAAGAATCATTTATTAAACTAGTTAGAGACACCCGTGGAAAATACAGTCTCTTCTAAGCCCTGAAGCATAATGAGTGCCCACCTGGGCATGTAATACTGTAACTCCAAATCCTAATACAATAACCTTGGAAACCAAAATATTCATTTGTCTTTTTTAAAAAAATAAATAAAAATAAAAATATAAAAAATAAAAAATCATCGACGACGACCAGCACCACCCATGTTATCAGTCCGGTCGGCCATACTGACCACTTCACCAATGCCGGCTGCCTCTTGCTCATCTTCGAGTGCCATGATCTCTTCTCGGCTATCCCACCATTTCTCTTCGGCCATGTCGAATGCGTCCTTGCGTAATTCCTTGATGGTCTTCTCGTCAAATATCCCCTTGTCTTTCATATGTTCGATCAGTACCTTTTGCCATTCTTCGGATGTTCTGGTGAAGAACTCGCGTAGACTTTCGAAGGGGCGAGGCAGTGGCCTGGTATCAGCAGGTGCGTCGGTGTCTTGCTCTTCCTCAACTTCAAGCTGCTGCAAATCCTGGGTTACAGACGGCACTGTGGCGTCTGTAGGAGCAGTTGAGGAGGCATCCAAAGACATGGCATCGCCTTCTTCTTCATCCTCTTCGTCGTCATCTTCGTCGTCATCCATATCTTCGTCACTGTCCTCATCGTCCAAGAGATTCCAGTTCTCAGGCTCGTTGTAAAAGACCTCCTTGACACCATCAAGCTTGACTAGATCAATTGAGTACATATCGTCAAACGTGAACTCTCGATCCCCTCTTTCAAAGGTACCACCATAGATGAACAGGGTATCATCCTGCACGGCGAGCTGAGCATTGAATCTCCTGTGTGGCATTTCGAATCGGACAACAGCCGGCTTGGCAGGCTCAACAGGTTCTTCCGTGTTCGGTGTACTCGATTGCATGAAATCGTCATCGTCGTCATCCTCACGAATTCCACCCTTAGCCTCCAAGGCCTTGAGATTCCTCAAAAGTTCTTCTTCGTCCGCCTTTCCTCTGTTACGTGTCTTATTGCCCTGATTCGCCTGCTGCTTCTTTCCAGGCGCACGAGGACGACGTAAAGTCAATGGGAAAAATCGGTTTCGGTCGGTAGTCCATGCAAACAGCTTGTCGAAGAACTCGCTGTCGATTCCCTCTTCAGTCAATTCCACATCATGAACACCACCGAACATGATGCCTCGTCCTTTGTGATACGCCATGGTCGTTCCTGCACGTGACGGGTTAGGCGTGTTAGCCGGCTTTTTCCGCCGCTCCCAGCGGATAATAGGTCCGACTGATGCTCCTGAATCAGATTCTGGAGGAGTAATTCTTAGGAACCAGGTATCTTGGTGGACCATAGGCCGCAGAGATATTTTCTGGGGTCCCTTGCCCGGCTTGCCACTAGGACCACCGGCAGCCTTCACTCGAGAGTATCCACCATAAATAACTGCTCCAGTTTCATGTGGAAGGAATGAGAAGGAAGAACGTGGATCTGGCTTCTGAGACGCAGCTGTCAATGTAGGGTTGAACCAGGTGTATTTCTGACAATCGTAGATCCAAAGATCTTGCAGATACTTGGTTTGCTGGGAAGTATCTTGGAAGCCGCCAAATAGAATGATATAGTTCTGAGAGGTAGTTAGCATACTTCCGTAAAGGAATACTATTGTGTGGTGCATACTTTGTAGTAAGTCATTCGGTGCCCGCTGCGGGCTGGAGGACCTTTGCTCTTGGTCTCGATACGAGTCCATTCTCGAGTTCCGGTGTCAAGATGCCAAAAGTCATTATAATGATAGAATGTCCCCTGCTTGGGAGATGAAAACTCTCCTGATATGAGTTAGCCAGGTGCCTACATATCTTAACGGATATGGATTGATTCGTACCTCCGAACAAGTATACACCACCCGTGTTGCCTCCACGACACCAAGCATGACCACTACGGGGCAGTGGGCTGTTGGGACTACTAACTTCTCTCCATTCACCTCGATCAATGAGATGAACAAAGAGATTATTGAAAAACGTTGCGTGGGTCCCATCAAAGTATTCACCACCAAATAGCAGCAATTCGTTCCGATTGGAAGGGGATGCAATTATGGTAGATGATGACCGAGGTGTTGGCGGTGCAGAGGGAGTCTCAGTCACCTTCAAGAATCTAGCCTGTTCCTCTGCATACTGAGCGAGGATGGCATCCAGATCGGCATCCTCTGCATCACTGTCTATATCTTTTCCCTTTGCTTTAGACCTTTTCTCCTTTTGTGCGGTCTTCTTTGATTGCTTCGCTGCAACACGCTCTTTGTGCTCAGCGGTCTTCTTATTTTTCTTCGCCATTGAAGATACCTGGTTCCTGTATAGATTTTTTTTTGCAGCTTCAAAATGCGCGGCATAAAAACGGCAGTTTGTTCAAAGGCGGTAAATCCTCGGGCCTCTAAAGTTGATAAATCGACGCGGAAAATTGGTTAGACGGCCTTGGGGTCTTCTTCAGCGTCGATTTATCACATCCTTTATGACGTTCCTATGTTTAACTTCTTGCTGTTATTCTATTTCTGTCCTACGTATCCAACTAAAACGAATACACTCATTTGGCCTTCGTGTCTTTTCTCTTTAGATAACAGTGAGATGGCTATTCTCGGGATAAAGAGAATGTTTATGTTTATTGACATTTTTGTCTATCAGCTTTTTTCTTTGCGCTCTTTCCTCTTACATCCACTTTGAACCTAGGCCCAAATCCAACTACCTCTCTATCTACACCCGTATCTTAAAAAATCTTTCCTCCATAACAGACGATGACTATTTCATATTGTTGGCCATTTGTATAGATTACACTCAGGTATTACGCAATTGTCTGTTCAACTCGACAATCAGAGTTAAACATCCCAAGGGTCGGTCCAAAAGTACGAAATGAACAACAGCAGGATGAATTTATTCGGGGTTTTTTAAGATCTAAGAAAATATTGATACGTTATCGATTATCCTCACCGCTCACGTGCTAGGCGCGTTATCCTGACGCCAAAGGACGCGATAATAGTCAACACCACAACGCTATGAGTATCGCGCCTCTATGACGAAAAACAATTTGGCTGGGCATCTTCAGTGGCTAGTCAGCCGAGGCCCTTCCTTGTATCCATTACTTTCTGCCGAGCCTCTTCCCATACGTCCGAGTCACGCATCTCAACAGCCTACGCCGCCCTCAGATGAAAACGAACTATACTTGGAGACTATTTTGGAGGACACCGAGAATACGCCTGGCGATAGCATGGCAAGACTAGTGCATATGCCTCAGTCTACTAAGAAGCCTCAGTCAATCAACATTTCTGATACATGGCTAGAGCAACCCTCGGCTTCTAAAAAGTCCTCAGCAAACCATTCGGTCCAAGGTACAATAATGGAACTGATGAGCGTGGAAAAATATATTTTGTGCTGACAATTTATTGAAATTAATAGTACCCCAGCTCGACCCATCGTTATCATCTTTAAAAGCTGTCCGACCCAAAGCGACTCCCCTCCGATCAAACAAGATTTTTGAAAGCTCATCCTTTGACGGTATTGAGTCGATTGATTTGACCGGCGAACCAGAACGAACCATACCCCTTTCTTTGTTCAAACCAAAATTTGGAGAGCCTCGTCGACTATGGGGCGAGGAATCTGCACGCGATGAGCCTCGTGAGGCACGAGGCAAAAAGCGAAAGAGCGAGGAATATTCATCGGATCTTCTATCGCCCTCGAAATCCTCGCAAAAAGTTCGTACTCTTTCAAAGGCTAGCAAAACTGCATCGTGGACGGACCCGGTTACTAAGTTGGTGTCAACTTCGAGTCGAGCCGACCGAACAAGCCCATCAAATGCCACAAAAAGCCTCAAAGCCAAGTCTCCAAAGGCCTCATCAAGCCATCGAAAACAGGTCATTGCTGATTCCGATGATGAGGAAGATCCATTTGGAAGCTTGCTTGATGATGGAATCGACGACATGATCTTGGATGCTCCGGGATTGTATCCAACGTTACCCAAACTTAGTCCTTCGGACGATGAAAAGAAAGAGAAGAAGAAAAGGAAGGACCACACCCAAGACTCACTATTATCAAATGAATCGCCTGTTCGTGTTTCATCTTCCATCCGGCCAGCATCTAAAGCAACAGAACATGCCCCGAAGATTTCGCAGTCATCCCCCGGGTTAAAACTGCCTAGCTCTCAAACCAAAGACGAACGGGTACTGAAGTTTCTCGCTCTACCAGCAGATTCTCTCACGCAATCAATCTCGCGGTTAGAGCAAACCCTTGAAAAGAACGCGGAGATTGTATACGCTCAAGCAATGCAAGGCCAGCCAGCTCCTGACTTGATTGCTGAGAATAAGCGACTTATCTCCCAGATTCAAGCAATCAAATCCTTGCAAACTCAAATTGTTGCTCATAAAGAGTGCATGTCTCGCAAAGAAAGCCTCAAGAGAAACCTTATGCAAGTCATCTCTCAAGGCTTGGACCCAACATCAATGCCAGAGCTTGTCAAAAGTCGAGCAGTCGAAGCAGAGCTAGAAAATATTGAATCAGTTATTCTTCGGCTCATTCCGCCGGCCGGAGTTCTAGATTTTGCGCACGATTCACTTGGCTCATCTATACAGACGTTGCATAAAGAGCCTGTCCATGCAGATGTGTCTTCAAATCAATGCACCGACTCTGATTTTGACTGGGACTCTCCACCTCCGCAACCTCGGCCAGTTCAGAAGAAAGACACACATCAGAAGCAACAACATACTTATGTTAGCCCAATAAAACCGAAAGTAAATTCCCGCGATGCAGATGATTTCTCAACTAGCCTCACTCGAGACAACAACAAGAGATCTCCCGTCGCCAGAAACATGGCTTCACCCATAAATCTCGATGATTTTGATTGGAATGATAGTGATGATGATCTTCTGGAGGCAACGAAAAGTCTTGATCAGCGAAAAAAGATGCCCGCTCAATCACTGTACTCTATAGATCGTCATATCTTTGCAGAGACATCTGGAAACACTCCTCAAATGCCCCCACCAAAGAAATCAGCTGACCCAGGCACCTTTTGGTCCAACCATCCTTGGTCCCAGGAGGTTAAAACGGTTCTTGCCAGAAGATTTCATCTCCACGGATTTCGAATGAATCAGCTGGAGGCTATTGATGCGACTCTTGGCGGAAAAGACACTTTTGTGTTGATGCCAACCGGAGGTGGAAAGTCCCTATGCTATCAATTGCCCTCTATTGTGCATGGTGGACGCACCCGTGGTGTAACGATTGTCATATCCCCACTGCTGAGTTTGATGGAAGATCAGGTGGCTCACTTACAGAAACTGGATATCAAGGCATTCATGATCAATGGCGAAACAGATCCGAAGGCTAAAGCATGGATTCTTGGGCAACTGTCTCACTGCGGTGGAGAGAGCCTGGAGCTGCTGTACATCACGCCCGAGATGATCAACAAGAATCAACAATTGGTCAGAGCCCTCGAAAACTTGAATCGACAAAAAAAACTTGCTCGTCTGGTCATCGACGAAGCTCACTGTGTCAGTCAATGGGGTCATGACTTCCGTCCAGATTACAAGGAGTTGGGAGAAGTCCGCGCAAGACTCCCTGGTGTGCCGCTCATGGCTTTGACTGCCACTGCAACAGAGAACGTGAAGGTGGATGTCATGCATAATCTCAAGATGACCGACTGTGAGGTATTTTTGCAGAGCTTCAATCGCCCGAATCTTACCTATGAGGTGCGAACTAAGGGCAAGAATGGAGATGTACTAAAAGATATTGCGGAAACAATCAACAAGTCCTACTCAAAACAATGTGGGATTGTTTACTGTCTCTCGCGCAACACATGTCAGCAAGTGGCAAAAGATCTCAAAGAAAAGCACAATATCAAGGCCAGGCACTATCACGCTGGGCTGGATGCAAACGAAAAATCAACTGTGCAGCGTGCATGGCAGGCGGGAAGATGCCATGTCATTGTGGCTACCATTGCCTTCGGGATGGGAATCGATAAACCTGATGTACGATTCGTGTTCCACCATAGTATCCCCAAAAGCCTCGAGGGTTATTACCAAGAAACAGGTCGTGCTGGTCGAGATGGCAAACGGTCTGGCTGTTTCCTCTACTATGGCTATCGTGATGTCACGATGCTCAGGCATATGATTGAGAAGGGCGACGGCAGCTACGAACAAAAGTGCCGGCAAAAACAAATGCTGCGCAACGTTGTTCAATTCTGTGAGAACAGCAGTGATTGTAGGCGAGTTCAAGTACTTGCCTATTTCAATGAATATTTCCGCCGAGAGGACTGTGGCAATTCGTGTGATAATTGCAAATCTGATCTGGTGTTTGAGGATCGTGATTATACCGACTATGCTTCCTCCGCCATCAAAATTGTACGACATTTCCAAAGACTGCATGAGAAATTAACTGTGCTCTATTGTGCGGATGTTCTCCTAGGAGACTTGAAAAAACCCAGAAGTCCACAACACCGACAAATTCCATGGTATGGAAACGGAAGGCAACTGGATCGAGCGGAGGTGGAGCGCCTTTTGTATCGTCTGTTAGCTGAGGATGCTTTGGCAGAAGACAATGTCATCAATAAGAAGAATTTCGCTGTCCAGTACCTCATTCTTGGTCGGCGTGCCACAGAATTTGAAACTGGGCAGCGTCGATTGAAACTCAAGATTCGCGTCTCTCTAAATGGGAAAAGTCGGGGATCTCAGCCGGCACAGAAGTCGAAGGCTGGCAGCCAAACTTATCCACAGTCCACTATGGTCTCATCCCCCGTTCAGTCTGCTACCAATGGTCGCCAATCACGCTCACAGCGCGCCAAGCCGATCAACTATTCAGACGACGATGAGAGCGATGGATTCGAGGAAATTCGAGTTGCTGGTAGATCGCAGCGAGAAAAGGCTCATGAAATGGGGCCGCCCATTACTAAGGATCAAAAAATGGATCAACTTGATCACCTTCACCGTGCAGTTGTTGAGGACTTCGAGGCAACTGCTAAAGGATACCTCCAAACTGTAAGAATCGCAATTCTTCCCAAATCTTGTAAATTTTCGCTCATTTCTTTCTAGGAGATTGTTGACAAGGGTCTTCGCGCTCAGCCTTTCCCAGACTATATTTTGCGTGATATGGCCATTCGTTTTCCGAAAGGTAAATCTTCTTAGTACTCTACAGTATGAGTTTGTGCTAACATCCAACTAGATTTACATGATCTCCGTGCTATTCCAGGTATCGACCATGACAAGGTCGATCGCTACGGCCCTCACATTCTCAAACTTGTGGTCAATGCCAAACGTCGTTATCTTGAATTAAAGAAAGACGCCGAGGACAACGCGAAGGACGATGGAGTTGTACCGGACCCCAATCATCACAATGTGATTAATCTCAGCAGCGGTGATGAATTCGATGACGATGATCTTTTTGTCGACCAGATTTCTAACTTTGATCTCGACAATACTACGGAAGATCCAATGGATCAGACCACAGACAGCATCACTAGCCGTTATTTCCCTCCTCCTTCTCCAGGCAATGCTTACGAGTCTGTCTCTGCTCCTTCCGGTTCAAAGGGACGCAAACGTGCAGCCGCTCCTAAACGTCCTCGAGCAAAGGCTGGTAGTTCCTCTATTGGCTGGAAATCAAAAGCCTCCAAATCTAGAGGCTCTAGCAGCCGTCCTACAGGCCGATCATCTGCTGCATCCCGAAAAACTGCTAACCCCAAGACCTCGAAGTCCACGATTGGAATGATGCCTATTTGATTAATGAATATCTTTTTATATCCTTTTCTCCGTTTGTTAATGTTGGTTCTGATCTGCATTGGTGTCGTGGAGCATCTATAGGCGTCTCATACATGCTCAAAGGCCGTTATATTTCGGGCCATTTTGAATACATTGGAAGGATTAACAAGTAGACATAATACCACATTTGATCCCTTGGGATAAGTCATTTATTCATTCTTCATTTACCTTAGCGAACGACTGAAATCAATTAGTCGCAAGCGCTTGGCATCTCTCGGGTGAAATTGAGCTACTCTGGCTCCCACTAGAAAACGTGAAATCGCCGAATCACGTTTGAGATCTACATAAGAAGTGCCCGCATCCAATAGGGCATTCAATAACTCATGCACCTCTTCAGCGGCAGCTTCACGTTTGTTGTTGGAAGTGGTACCATCTACATTGCCGCGAAGGAATTGATCGATCCGCTGTTGACCCCCTTCCTGGGGCTCGGTGGGCTTCTGCTTTTTTGGTTTCCCATGGGCGGTGTAGCCTGCCTTTAGTGTGGCATCTGACACCTCCAATGCGTCCCCAACAGTGGGACCCCCAAGGTCCTCAGCAGCAAGCATAGGAGCCAAGGTCTCATCGATAAAGTGGACCAGTGAGTATTTTAGATCTTTTGAGGCTTGAAGTAGTTCGGTGTTCCTCTCTTGCTTTTGACCGATCACCTCTTGAGCGACCTGAGATGGGGTTTGTTTTTGCTTTCGTGCATTGAGATTTCGAATAATCTGTATCCGCTCTCTCAGTCCACTGGCAATTAGTTGTGAGTCCTGAAGATTGGCCTCTTCCATTTTAAGGCGCTCACGGTCTGCGGATAGCTTATGTGCTGTCTGAGAGACGGCAGCCTTGCTCTCAGTGACAAGCATGGCGGTTTCTTCAACTGCTATCAATGAGGGCAGGATGGGATCTGTAGCTGGTACCTCATCTGCCGTTGCAAGTAGTGACTCGTAGGCTTTTTGAATCCTCCGGTTGCGAGAAACACGCGCCCAGATGTCCTCTTCATCATCCAAAAGGCCATGCGAATGAATCTTACGGAGCTACGATAGAAGGTTGGTATTAGTTATAACTATCGTAGGGATAAGGGCTGGTATACTTCAATGAGTTCATCCTCTTGGAGTCTGAACTGCTCTTGGAGCTTTTCTAGGGTCTTATCTAAGCGATGAGCATAAGCTTGCAGGGCGGTTGTACTAAGAGGCTCGCTGGTCGACTCCTTCTCTGTAGCTTGACGATTCTTAGAAAATTTCAGAATTTTCTGGATAGTTTCCTCGGATATGTCCATGGTGAATCGTGTATTCCGATGTATCATTGACGCAAAACAGAGTCGCGTACAAAGTCGCGCGTTATATAATCACGTGATATGGCTTCATTGGGTTAGCTCCGCTTTTCGACCATCACTCTTCACTACTCACTTCCGTTTCATCTCTGACCATCTTCAGCGAATCCTCCCCCTTTCAAGTGTCCATTTCCCCACAAGGATTTTATCATTTCACAAGCTTGTCTCCCCTAGCGATATTGTCTTGTCTGAAGTGAATTCTAACCTGCCCAATCTCTTTATCCCACCACCGCTCGTTCTTGCTCAGTCGCATTTCGACCCAGAGCTCACTTTCGAATTGGCGTCCAAAGCTCCCCATCCCCACAACCAAATTTCCCCCCGCGCAAAGGAAAACAGGAAACTCCTTCAGGATCGCCCCAAGTTTTCACCCTCTGAGTTATCTTTCCCACCCGACAACAAACCTACTCACCTCATCCATTCACATCCATAATCTCTTTCCTCCACATCAAATATCCTTGTCCATCACCCGATCTTTTTTTATCGCCAGCACCAGCACGTTTTCCACGGGAACACCTGGTGTACATAAACGATCTTTAAAAAAAAAAAAAAAAAAAAAAAACTCAGATCTTTTTCATCTTTTGACTCCCGACTCCTCTCATTTTAAGCTCAGAACAGCGCAGTGGAAAGTATGTCTGCTTCACCCACCAATCCATCAGCGGCTACCACCAAGCGCCCCCTTGAGGACCCCTCTTCCCCTTCTGGACTCACTGACCAGCCTGATGCCAAGCGCCCGGCTCTGGACAAGGTAGCTCGCAACGGCGACGAAGCCAAGGTCAAGGAAGAAGTGTCTACCAGTCAGGTCAGCCAGATCCCCGCAGTTGACGACTCTAAGGATGTCCAAGGTGACACAGTCGTCCCCGATGCGCCCACCGGCTCCAACGACACCGACAGCAAGACCAAGTCCGAGCCGCAGCCCATTCAGTCCACGGCCTCCCACGGTGATCGCGCCACCACTCAGAACGAGACCGAAGCCGACGAGTCGACTCATATCTACATCCGTTGCATTATCACCACTCAGGAGGCAGCCACCGTTATCGGAAAGGGAGGTGAGAACGTGTCCCAGATTCGCCGTATGTCCGGTGCGAAGTGTGTCGTCAGCGACTATCATCGGGGTGCCGTTGAACGGATTTTGACCGTCAGTGGCACCCAGGATATCGTAGCCAAGGTAAGCTTCTTTTTTCCCCCTCCTTGTGCACATATGCCGGTCTGTTGCTAAATATCCTAGGGATTCGGCTTGATTATCCGCACTCTTAACAATGAACCCCTTGACGTTCCATCCACAGCGCAATCCAAGACCTACGCTCTGCGTTTGCTAATCCCTCACATTCTCATTGGCTCAATTATCGGCAAGGGCGGAGTCCGAATTCGCGAAATCCAGGTTGCCTCTGGAGCTCGCCTCACTGCTTCCGATGCTTGCGCTCCTTTCTCGACTGAGCGCTCGGTGACCATTCTTGGTGTCGCCGATGCCGTGCACATTGCCACATATTACGTTGCCGTTACCTTGAGCGAACAATTGACTGCGCGTTACAATGGACCGGCCGCTTCCAACTATGCCACTCGTACTGGTGCCGCAGTTACACCCGTCCCAGGTGGTATGATCGTTATTCCCTTTGTTCCTATGTCCATGGCTGGCAATTGGGGTCAGTCGGATCATTACAACAAGCGACCCCACCAGGCCCCACCCCCTGCAGCTGGATACGGTGCTGGTCCCTACGGCCAAAATGCTATCCAGCCTGCTATGCCCTACGTTGCACCCCCTGCTCAGTACCCTGTTGCACCCCAACACCCCGGCCAGCCTCAATTCATTGGTCCCCAGGCCCCTAATGGCCGAGGACCTCCTACCGGCCCTGCCGGTGCTATTCCTAGCGTTGGCGGCCTAGTCACCCAGCAGATCTTCATTCCCAACGATATGGTCGGTGCCATCATTGGCAAGGGCGGTGCCAAAATCAACGAGATCCGTCACTTGAGTGGCAGTAACATCAAAATCAATGAACCCCAGGACAACAACAACGAGCGTCTGGTTACCGTCAGTGGAACTCATGAGGCTAACCAAATGGCGTTGTACATGCTCTATGCAAGACTCGGTGAGAAAGGCGATATCTCCGTTGTACAAATCAACACTAACTCCGATATTTACAGAATCCGAGAAACACCGTCCGTAAGGACGGGTTAACAAAGTCCGAACGTTCTCTAACTAGAACTGGACAGTCAGCCAGCTTACGAAAGCATGGTTAATGAGCTTACTAAAAGCAAACGGTGGCCAATGATAATTTTCTTTTCCCAATGATTCTTTACCAAGACAACTAAGTTGGTCTTTTGCTGTACTTTACCTATGAGGCTTGTGATGATCAATCTCACTCAATATCCAGCCTTGCACCCTCCCCTCCCCGTAGCACTTGATCACGTCTCTCTCTTTCTCTCTGAACTCATAAATCCAAATCCCTCCAATCAAATTTCCCCATCATCTGATTTTTGATTGAATCTTATGGAAGCTAACAAATTTCGTTTCCAGTTGTTGGAAATGAATTACGAGGTGCTGCAGGTGGTGGTTCGTCCATAAAGGGGGGGAAAAAAATATCCCAAGGAATATGTCGGTCCAGCAGCAAGTAACAGGTCTGTATAATTGAACCATAATACAGAGTACTACTCCTGTAGTCACAATCCCATCCATGCCCCTAATCTGCTTTTTCCATTTGGTCGTGAGAACCTTACTTAGGTAGGAGCGTTTCAGCAGGACTAACATGAATCCATCAAGAAAGTATTTGATCAATGAGCCAAGTCGTCTCCAGGGTTATCAGACTGAGTGAAAGCTAGAAAACTTGGCCTTGTATAGGTATATATGTGCATTCATATATCATTGATGCATCTTAAGATGTGCTCGCTTGCTACGGCACTTCCACGTCTTGGCTTCTTGATATATGCTTACACCTGCATATGTTGGTATCTGAATTCGAATCAGTGGGAAAATAACTTTGGAAACTTGAAAATGAGGCTCTTTGAGAGTCGGGAACTTACATATATCTATATTATACCTAGTCATCAGAGTGATCATCTCTCTGAGATTGGACTGTTATAAACCTCTAGATGGGGGGGGGGCCCGTGGATACACCTAAGTGGTCCAGTACCGTGGACATACCTAGGTGGTAGGTAACCATTCATCCATGGATCCATGCTTCCCAAGATTCCCAATGCAGGTGTTGTCATTCTGTTTATCTAGGCAGATAGTAAAGCAATCACCTACAGGAACCTCGGGGTTGTTAAATCACTAAAGTACTTTCTTCCCACTTTTTGGCTTTTCCCTTCCATTTTAGTGAGTAGTCAATTTTCATCAGGAATATCGGCGGAGGTTCCTGGGTGGCTATGATAATGATATAGGCCACTATCGTTGTCCGAGTAAGATATCATATATCGAATTATATATTATATTACAGGCGAAGAGATCAGTACAAACTCTATGGTACCGTAAGAACATTTAATCTTTCTTATCTAAACCACCACTAAATTTGCTAATAGTATTCAAATTGCTCATAATATTTATTCATTGCAAGCTGTGTCAAGCGTCAAACACAGATATCAAAATCTCGTGATTAATGTCGGTAAAAATATTACGTGATATCATCCTGAATAGCCTTGTGAACTAAAAAAGATTGTAATCAGGGCACTGTTCAAAAAGTGATAAATGAGGGGGAAAAGTAATGGACTTGATATTGACAAAAAGAAAGAAGATCGAATGTCTTCTCAGGAGAGGAGATTCACGGAAGGTACATTAAAAAGGAACTCACATGAGACTTCTTATATCATATAATGGCTCAGATGTCTCAGCTAATGGAAATAATCGAAAAATTGGAATTTCTTTAGTACCTCATGTCACGAACACCAGTGAGCTTGGCCTTATCGACCGACTCATAGAAAGAAATCTATCCAGATTTTGCCTATTTAGTCTCTATATTTATCAACCATCTCATCATTTTACTCCCGTGTTCTTCTTCCCTCACGATTAGGAGCCACCTTAGTAGTTTTGCAGGGGTAACTGCACGGGTTGTGGCTGACTCGGAGGCCAAAGATTATTTACACCCTTCTGAACGAAATATCCATATTCACCATACCACCCATAGGTATCAGCGTTCATTATGACATGGGGACTGTCAGAAATTGGACTGCCACAGTTCCATGCAAGCTCAGCACATTCAACTAGCCCGTACTCCTCATCAAACCCGTAGTTGGTCGGTCCAATCCACCAAAGATGAGTGGCCTCGTGCATAATGGTGAGGGCTATAGGGAGGTGAGTCTGTGCCAGCAGAAAAGGCTCCGCCCAAGTTTCACTTACCATCTGTGCCGTCATAATCTTCATCGTGGTATTCTGCTCTGATCTCGTCCGGGCTCCTGTTTTTCATTTTATCGAACCTTGGTAGCTCAAAGAAAAGTGGGCAGAAATTTATGGTGCTGCTGGCCTCGTTAGGGAAAGATCTTGTCGTTGCCCAGTCCGTATCACAAAATTCCTCCTCATCATATACAAATGAGTCTAGACAGCTGATAGTCACTGGGGTACCGGCAATGCGACCATTGGTTCCTGGATTAGAATTGAGTTGGCTAGCCAAGTTCTGTAAGATTGACCTGATTTGCGTTGTGCCGGCTGTGGAACTTTCAAGCGCAAACAACTGAACGTATCTATCCAAGCCGATAGTTAGCCACCAACATTGAATAGGAGAAATATGGAGATCAAGAACAACGACAGACCCTGGATCTTGCTGATTTATACGCTGCTGCGCAGCTAAACTCAATTTCTCTTGTCTAACCGTTGGCCATGTCTTTGTATTGAATCGTGTCCAAGTCACGCTAATAAGCTCTAAAGCACCAACCCAGGCTCGCTGCACTGCAGCACGTTTTGTCTCTTGCACATTCTGGGGGTTTGGGTCACTGCAGCTTGAATCCCAGGTAATGCCGTTCTGATTCATGACATATTGGCTATCACGTTTAGGGACACCAAGTCCTGCAGCTAACTGCAGAAATGGGACCTGCAAAACTAGAAGCAGAATGAGCTTGGGAGTTCGAGCTACCATTCTTGTAGACAAAAATAGCCACAAAAATGCAAAAAAAACCGGGGTTTGTTAGCAAGGTCAAAAGGGGTCATCTCATATTTTAAATACCCTTCTTATCTTCCACCTAGGTATCTTGTTTTCGGGGAAAAATGTCCAGGCCTTTACTAATCATCTCGCATATAAATAGGAGCCAATCTGGAATCTGGGGCCAGAAAGGGACTAAAGTCTTTGAGGATGGCATTGAACATCACAGCCAGCTCTCGCCAGGTCGCTCTTGTGGGGAAGATGAGTGAACATCAGGATATCTCTGGCCAGGATTGTTCCCCTCAGCGTAAGCCTATATCTTGATCCTCATTCCCACACTCACATGCTTGTCGTGTGCGTGAAAGGATTCGCGAAGGTCGATCATACAATCCCACGTGAGGTAAGATCATGATCATGAACAGGCAAAATCGGATATGGTTGGCCACAGTTTCACTTCTTTGGCAATAAAATCAGGGGATCCACTCCCTTGGTCCCTAGCCGTAGGTGTGATGAGCCGCAAAACCTATGTGAAGTGCTAAATCGACAGTATCATCTGCTAGGGATTTATTGCTTTAAACCCACCTATATAGATGCCATACGCAGGGAATTTACTGTATTCTTGCAGCTGCCATGCTCACAGCATAGATAGTACGCCTAGGTCGCAGTTGCCATATACACAGTGTTATAGACGTATGAGTCCTGAAAAGAAAGGGTACTCCACCAGACCCCGACGGGGCGAAATGTGGCGTAAAGGCAGATCGTCACCCCGGATGTATTTTAACGCATTGAAGTTCTGAATATATTTTCCGGCGATATGTACAAATAGTGAGTGCTCCACAATTAGGGCGAAACAATTTGGCCCCCTTTCTATCCTGATCCTAAATGTGCCCGGCGTACCCAAACAGACTTAGCACCTATTTGAGGTTGAGCAAGGAAGTGAGGCTGAAGATATAATAATCATCATATGTCACCATCTGGCCATCATTGTTGCAATTTTCCGAGGTTTATTGTCCTCCATTTGTCTGCATCTAAGAAATATCGACCTTGCAAGGTTTAGTTGACGTCGATGAAGATCCCGGCACATCTCAATGCTTCGCAATCACGGGCTCAGCACCGAGATATGGCTCTTAGTCATGATGGTCCTAGGACAACCATCATTGAAAGCTCTCACAGAGGTATCCAGGGATCTTCATGCGCTAGGCACGCCTATCCTGTATTCCAAGATTGACCTAAGCATCCACAATCTCATTCAACAATCCACTACAGAAGGTGGCCAGGAAATCGCCCAAAAGATCTTTGGCCAGCAGAACCTGTTTATGCAGCAACTTCTCGACCGACCAGAGATGGCCTTGCGAGTGCGATCTTTCACTTGGACAATGGGTTTGCAGCAACTATGCGAGCTACCTCGATGGTCGCAGAAAGAAGGGAAGCCATCCCCAATCCTCCAACTGGAAAATATCTACAGGCTCTATCAATCTCTACGCAATGTCACCTTCGTGGATATTAGTGGAGGAGATCTCCATGATTATCCCTATCCATCACTTCCTCCTCTCTTCCCCGAGGCCACTCACATTCGCCTTAGCGGCCAGATGCATCATGCTCTCGCCTCAGCAATACTCCATGGCCCACAACAAGCACCTTTAAAATGCTTATCTCTTAACAATCTTTTAGAAGCTGGCTGTCTTAAGGACGGTCAGAATTTCCAACCACAATACGACGCTCGCTTCAAGTATCGGCCTCAACTACTGCCGCTAGAAGAAATCTGGCCTGATAATGGGAGCCCCATCCAGGTAGCACCGGGTGAGATGGTCCGCCTCTTAGGCCCTGCGCTTCAATCCCGTTGTTCCCATCTGTGTCGGTTCACATTTAGTATCCTCGACCTCACATCCGAGTCTAGGCTCAGGATTCTTCCCCCAGGCTGGTGCACTCGGAACGCAGCTATTCACGACGAGTTAACGGCGTTCTTTCACACTATCCACCCGCAAGAAGTTACGTTGTTGTATTCACGTCTATCTCCCGAGCGAAGAGCAGAGCTCAAGTCCCGTTACTGGCGACGCCGTTGCCTTGTATCCTCTCGGCCTTCACTCTCTCCCAAGCAAAGGCTCCTTCAAACTTTGCTGGAAGGCTGGCCAGAGTTGCAAAGTATGGAGATACGTGGGGGAAGTCGAGATTCTGACTTTCCGAATGCATCAGTGGAGCCCTTCTCATCACCTGCAGGCCGACAAAGTCTGGAAAATGTTCGAGTCTGCTTTGAGCCGCATAGTTGGGAAACCTATTACGGTCAGATCGGAACTGCCGCTACCATTAGATGAAGCATCAGATGAGAACTGAGCCTATTAAGTAAGAAAACACAGCATTGATCAGATATAGTGTAACAAGTTGACTAAGGAATCATGGCAGCACGATAGGAGTTGGTATATATATATGGCTAACAAATTAGGAAAAACTCCACGCTTACTCCGTAGTTACCCACGTATAAATAAAAGACATTAACGTAATAAATATTGAGTAGAAAGTTTACTTGGCTAGGACTGAAGCACTTGGGCAGATTCATCGGGAGGACTAAAAATACCTGTAGGTTGATCATGCTATTTCAAGGTTGACAGACCTCAAGGCGTATTAGTCATAAAATTAACTTATCACAACTAGATATGGCAGATTACTGGGCCTTTCTTTGAAGTTTGAGAGTACAAAATTAAAATTCATTTCCTGGACATCAGACATAGGTTACAAACCTCAGAAATACACAGAACCCCCAGACTATAAATCATCCACGGTTCTGACCTTCCGCTCTTTCTTTTCAATAGCGGCCTTGACGTTTCCGATCAAAAGCTCGCGACGCTTAGATTTCACCTTCCACCGGGCACTTTCCTCATGGACAGCTATCGCATCGATACCCTCAACACTGCGGAGGCGGGAAGGCTTTGCAGAGCCGTTGACGCTGGTTCGGAAGTTGACACCGCGAGAAGCAGACTCGGGTGTATGGTAAGCGCTACCATCGGGGGTATTAGGGAAATGAGCAATGCTCTTGCGCGGCGTTGTAAAGGGGGACCCTTCACGGCTTGGGGTAGTTGCGGAAATGTCGACTCCAAGTTTGCGCATCTGAGCCTCAAGAACGTCGATGTCACTGCTCTTACTCTCAGCCATGTGCATCATAGTAGCAATAGTGGAGGTGACCGCTTCAACGGTGGGCCGCTTCCGAGATCCGCTGGAGCTTCCATCGGGACGGGGCATGTCAGCCAGCTTGGCTCGTAGCATGGACACGCCCTGCTCGAGATCGGCCATTTGACCTTGGAGTTCAAGGAGTGTGGTGCGAAGGTCGAGTTGGAGAGCAGCCTGCTCTGCGGAGAGAGGTGCCAAGAGAATTGCGTTCGCATCAGTATGGGCATCGAGGGTCTTGCGAATGCTTGCGCATTGTCCGCGCAAGTGAAGAATGTCCTTTGTGATCAACTCGCGGCACTGCTCCAGTTTTTCCTCTACACCTTGCACACGCCCTTCTTGAAGCGAAACAGAGAGGACAGGGACGATATCTTCGAGCTTCCTAATGTCTTGTAAAAATACCTCCTCATCCAAAACATTGGCAGGCTCCTCGCTTTGCAAAATGCTGAGGATATTGTCGAAGTTTGACGATTGAGAGTCCTGATACATAATGAAAGACTGCAATGAACGGGCGTTGATACCCAATGTATCTATCATCGAGTTGACATCGCGGTAAAGTCGTTCAATCATGCCTGGAATACCTGGCTTTGTGGTATCGCCCATGTAGTTTTGGTGAGGGAGGAACGGATCAAGTGTAGACACAGGCTCAACGGGACGAGCAAGGTCAGCCCGAAGATTCTCGTCGTCGTCATCGTCTGACAAGGCAAGTGCCTCTTCTTCCTCCTGCTGGCGTCGCTGGGCTGCCAGACGGCGAGCCTGCTCCTCCTGGGCAGTGTTGCTGGCCTTTCTCAGTTGGGCGTTCTGAGTCAATGAAGCTTTGCGAGCGAAAAGAGCATCGCCAGCCTTGGACTTATCGGTTTTGTTTCCGAAGAGTGGGTTCTTCTGAGAAGTGACGCGAGTAGGACTAGGGGACTGATAAGCGTCGAGGCCGATTTTTGTAACTGGTTCAGGCGGTGGAAGAAGAGGTTGCTTCGAGCCAATTTCTCCAAATAGCTTGCGTGGCTGCGCTGTCGCTTTCGAAATGCCACCAAACAAACCTCGAGTCGGAGTCTTACTAGAAGATACGCTGAACGAACTTTCAGCCGAGGGTCCGGGACTGGGAATTTTACTTTCGTCATGCGTAATCTCCTCTCCGCTATCACTGAAATCAGACTCATGGTCATCTTGCTCTGAATCCACATCTGAATCAGGGGCCGGGCCAAGGTCCTCGTCCTCATTCTCTGACACATCTGAAACCTCTGATTCTAGATCTGAGCCGTCAGAAACCAAAACAGGGGGGTCATCCGTCTGTGTGTTCTCAGGTTTGGGGGTGGAGTCAACCGGCAGAGGTACATCATGATCTTCGGATTTTGGTACAGATTCTTTGGACATGAAATCTGGAGGAAGAGGGGCGTCATCAACCTCGGGGGGTGGGTTCTTGTTGAAGTATGGGTCTGGTGGTAGTGGCGCATCGTCCATTGAACTTTTAGACACATTTGATGAAGCAGAAGTATCTCCTGCGGCGTAGATGTCCCGACTAGAAGGATCAGGCGGTAAGGGTGCCTCGGGGAAGAGGGAATTGGAAGAAATGGACGTCTCTTTCATGGGTGTCACGGTCTTCTCTGAAGGAGCTGACAGAGGACTTCCTATTTGGCTTTGAATGCTAGTTTGTGAGTTGGGTTGAGGAGTGGTCGTCTGAGTAGCAGAGATGTTGCCAAACAGTGAGCCAGCTGGGCTGGAAGTTCTGGAGGTACCAAACATAGATGGCGCACCAAAAGGGGATTTAGATTCAATTTTAGCCGGTGGTGCAGACACCCCTGAATCTTCCGCATCATCCATGGCTTCCGAGTCCGGTCTGGAGGTCAGTGTTGATGTTGACATCGAATCACCAAGTTTTCCAAGAGCAAAAGCACCTGTTGCTGCGTTTTCAGACTTAACTTTGTCATTATCAGACTGAGGTCTGTTGTCGGCAGCAGAGCCATCTGGCTTGAAAGCAGACCCAAGAACGAAGCCACTGTTACCAGTACCAAATGGACTTTTGACGTCACTGGGTTTTTGTGAAGATGAGGTGGAAAAAGGAGATATAGATTGAGATGTACCGCCAAAAGGAGATGAAGATTGAGATTTACCACCAAATGGAGATCCAGTTTGTGGTTGAGACGCCAGCATAGATGTTCCCGAAGTCGCTGCAAATGCAGGTTGGTCTGGCTTTGTCAGTAAGACTGGCTTTGCGGTGGCAAAACTGCTGAAACCACCTGAGAAACCAGAGAGCCCAGTACCACTGGCGAGCAGAGATTTGGCAGCGGGGGGTTGACCGAATGGAGAAGCTGCTGTGCCGAATGACGGCTTGCCAAATGATGGTTGTCCCGGGGTGCTCGTTGAGCCAAAGGCAGCGCCAGGCTGAGATGGTTTTCCGAATGAGGGTGTTCCAAAAGATGGACCTGGAGCAGATGGCGTCCCAAAGGCAGGGGCTCCAATTCCACCTATTTGGGATGGGGTACCAAATGCAGGTGCCTGAGTCGACGGAAATGCAGTGGCCCCCATGGCAGATGGGCTTCCAAAGGAAGGAGCTGCCGCTGGTTTACCAAATGGCGAGGGCGCACCAAAAGCCGGTTGCCCGAATGCAGGTTGTTGTGTAGCCGGAGCTGTCACTGAAGATTGATTCTGGGACAGCCCCATTGCGTTATTATCACCTGCGGCAAGACTAGCATACGGCACTTTCTGTCGAATGGCCTCAGAGTAGATGAACCACCAGGAACAAAGAACGCCATCATTATTAAGCAGCAGCAGCCCCGGGAGAGGAGTCGAGCTCTCTTGAATATCTGCACCAGGGATTGGCGCAATGACAGGTTCAGTTGCCGACAGATCAATAGCCAGACCAATGACAGAAGTCTCATCGGCTGATTCTTTCAGGGGGATGTTGGCTCGTTTTGAGTCGTCACCAACCTCCGTGGTCGTAAACTGGCCAACCAGGGCTTTCGAGGCATCATCACTTGCCAAAGGTTGTTCGGAGCGGGTAACAAGGCCGACATCAGCGGAGGAGGTGGAAGATACGATGAGGACGTCCTTCAGGTACGGCTTATAGTCGCGCAATCGTGCAATGAATTGATATGCGGGGGTACGCTTCATACCAAATCCCATTGTTGAGCAAAGGTCTGGCAATTTCTGGATAAGGAAGGGTGCCTGTTTTCGTCGCGTTATGATGTAGTATGAAGAGTCGGGGTTTTGGCCCATGTCATCTTCAAGAGCATTTGGTGTATACACTATGAAGAATACATCATTCTCAAGCCATGCAATAGACGACACTGTTGAAGTATTAGCAAATGAAACTCTGATGGATAAAAAGACCTACCATGACTTTCGCTCTGTAGATCAGAAGGCCGAGGAACTTGTGCCTTGACGACTCCATCCGGAGTCATTTGATCGGCTGTTCCATCAGCAAGACCAGCCACGAGCTGCTTTCCTTTGTTACTCCATGCAACACTGCTGACTCCAGTCTTTAGAACGGGGCCGTTGGCACCAGAAACGAGATTTCCTGCCTTGAGATCTGCAACAAGTAGTTCGCCGTTGGCGGTGACCAGGGCGACGAGCGAAGAGTTGGGATCGGGGTTTGGAACAAGAGCGCGAATCGATGCGCCATTCGTTGGAACGGATACGGCTGGTTGGGCGTTGCCCTGGAGAAGAGTGCTGGTCTGGAATACGGAAATTTGCGAGCCATTCTCAGAGGCCAGTATTAATGCCTCGTCGTTTGCAGTGAATGCCACATGTGTTGGACGCGCAGAGAGGGGAATTGTCACCTGTGGTTGGAAAGACCTCGTTTTAGCTTTATCGCCGGGCGCACTAATTGCTTTTCTGACAGAATCGGTAGTTCCTATCACAAGGACATCGGGACCAGCACCAACAACAAGACCATTTGTCTGCGCGACAGCCAGCAGCGAACATGTCGGGGAGGGAAGGGCGTTCTCGGGCCAGGGTGTGGGAAGGAAACGGATATTAGTATCACCAGAGATGCCTTTGAATCCAATCTCCTAGATTTTATGTTAGATGTAACGTTCAACAACATTGAAAAAGAACTATGAGGTACGTACGTCTGTAAAGACATCTGACAGCTCCGGGCCAAGCTCCGCTGACGGGCTGCCTCCACTGGAAGTGGATGTGCCAAAGTTGAACGCCATTCTGAAGTGCTAAAATTCTGCGGAAACTATGCGGGACCGGGCGGTTACAGGTGATGGAGTCTTAGAAGCATTGAACGATGGTGAGCTCGGCGGCGTCAAGAATGAGCGTCGTTGGAGTGCTTGCGGACTCCGATTGAAGAGATTCACAGTACGCGCAAAAGTATTTGCGCAGTCTCTCCCCAAACAGAAAAGGCAGTGTAGTACTAAAGATCCTGGGTAGGACCGCGATGGGAAGAAGAAGAAGGAAGGAGAGCGTGAGGTAACTACTTGAAGACCGCCTAAAAATGTTGGAGGCAAAAACACACGGTTAACACCTGACGGGTCAGGCACCAACTAGGCTGTCGAGAGCTTCGTCACCCCAAACAGCTTCAACTTCGCTCATCATCTTCGTTCCCCATCCTACACTCATCGCTCCTTTCACGCGCCGCCTAGTTTCCTCCATTTGGTGTTCTGAATTGTTGATATCTGTCCATTCTTAAAATCTAAAAACTCTCCTCGAGTCGTTCTTGCAACGTCATCATGCCGGGCTTCGACTTCTCTAACTACAACCGCAACGCGGCTCTTCACGCCAGGGGAGTCCCCCTTCCAAAAGCTACCAGCACCGGTACAACTATTGTCGGGTGCATCTTTGATAATGGCGTTGTGGTATGTCTTTCAACTATTGCTGGTACTAGAATATACAAAGATCCACGGAAGCTGACACTAGTGTGATTGCAGATTGCAGCAGATACCAGAGCGACCAGCGGTCCCATAGTAGCAGACAAGGTATCACTCCCATATAGAAGAAGACTTGATATATGGGTCACTGACATATGAGCCGATAATAGAACTGTGAGAAGCTTCACTACATCTCCCCAAAGATCTGGTGTGCCGGCGCTGGTACAGCTGCCGACACCGAGTTCACCACTGCCCTTATTAGCTCCAACGTCGAACTACACTCGCTATCCACAGGACGTGATCCGCGAGTGATTACCTGCATGACCATGCTGAAGCAGCACCTCTTCCGATACCAAGGCCACATCGGTGCGTACTTGGTGGTGGCAGGCGTTGACCCGACCGGAGTCGGTCTTTACACTGTGCACGCGCACGGTTCAACGGATAAGTTGCCGTACGTGACAATGGGATCTGGTTCACTGGCAGCAATGTCGGTGTTCGAGTCTATGTGGAAGCCGGATCTGGATCGCGCTGGGGCCGTGGCTCTGTGCGCCGAGGCCATCAAGGCCGGTATCTTCAACGACTTGGGATCCGGTAGCAATGTCGACGTGTGTGTCATTGAGAATGACAAGCCTACACAGTTGCTTCGCAATTATGAGAAACCCAATGAGCGTGGTCTCAAGGAGCGCAATTACGGTTTCCCCCGTGGTACTACCGCCTACTTGAACCAGAAGATCATCAGCAAGGAGGACATGAAGAAATATGTCACCATTGAAACCTTGTCTGGGGATAGCAGCTTGGTTGGTGAGAGAATGGAGGTAGATGTTTAGAAATTTGGAGTTCTTTCGTCGCTTATTGGATAATACAATATTGCATCTCCTTGCCAATGTGTTTATGAAAGAGGAAGGGCTTTGCCTTCAGACACTTTAGTTATGATTCCAATCGAACTGAAAACATCAGCTCTGTCAAATGAAAATTCAAGGCTGCGCTTGAAATAATGAGTCAAAAATAAAGGTACATCTACGTTTATGGCGCCGGAAGTAGCTTGCCTACTAATACCGAAATATGGAGTCCAAGGTTCAAGCCCATGTTGGCAACTATCAACCCTCGAGAACTTATAAGTTCATATGTATGTATACGGCACTACAAGGGTTTATTTTCCCAATTTCTGTTCTCCAAAATGGATGGGTATATATTATTTTTTGGCAAGCGGAAGCGTACTTGCATGTGCCCAAGTGGTATCTAGAATATAAATACAAGCTAGACCTCACAGTTCCGGGGCCGATTATCAGTTCGACCACCCGCAATCTGCGGCGCAGCCGTAAGATCCTCAACGACATCAGGCCCTTCAAACTTCCCAACAATCCATAAGATATACTCATACTGAGCAACGGGCACACGACGTCCCTGACGACGATACCGTACAACTCCAGCATGATACATAGCCCTGACCAAAGATGGGTGCACAGGGCCACCATGTCTCCTTAGATAGTCATAGAGCCAGTGGATGAGGTGGTAAGATCTGGAAGGCGTCAATTGCTCGCAGCAGGAGAAAGCAACTGCCAGTTGATGAATCAATTCGACGGCATCGTGAGGATCCGGGCATTCGCTAGTCCGGGGTCCAGCGTGGTAGCGTACGAGGACCTTTTCGTCAGGGTGGGGAATGGGCACCCAGGCTTTGTGTAGGCATATTTTCATTGGTGTATGGTTGCGGAGGAGTCTAATGAGCGACCAGACACTTTCTGAGTCGCCGGTTCTAGCGAGGTGGAGAAGGTTCTCTGCGGCTGCAGGGCTCGTCAGGTCTATGCGGCGGAGCATTTGCTCGTAGCTTCCAGTGAACAAGACTCGGATCCCTTTATAGTTTGATGGGTTTGCCCAGACATCCTCCAGGGATGTCTGTGCGGTTTCAAGTCGCTCGAGGGTTTTGCGGGTTGTTTTTGTGATTAGTTTCTTCAGCTTGAGGTCAACCGCCAGCAGAAGAAGATGATTATATGGAAGATCTAGATTGTGAATTCCACACATGAAATCTGCGAGAAAGGACCCATTCTTCTTCTGGGTTGTTTCTTCGTAGAGGTTGAGAAGGGACAGAATTGGACGATCAGTTGTCCTAGGGCTCTGGTTGTACATAGGGCCTGAGGCTCGACATAGAGAGCGCAGGCACCATATGCGCAATATTATCAAGTCTTGTGTTAACTGACTCATGGAGTTGGTAGTTTGTCGTGAAGATTCGAGAGAGGGAATGGATGTATATGACCACACTTGAGCAGCTCCAATGGAGGGATTTGTCACCTTCAATAAACAATCTCGCCACAGCTCAAGAAGTTGGTTCCGGCCTTCTGTCCCTTCATGAGAAAAGACCAGCCGCTCGGTAACATCAATGATACAATTGGCGGCACAATCTGCGTTGAGCTCGTTCAAGAGCATGCTGGGGCATGGAAGAGTGATATCTGTAGCAGACGCATCCGTATTTTCCAGCCATGTCAAAATCAAGGCTGAGGGCCATTGGCTGTCAGATTTTGCACCATGCGTCTCAATGATAATTTCTGCAGCAAAGCGAAAACTGCGTATGCTGAGAAGCTGCTCAAGCCAGTTATCCACAAATGCTTTGTCCAAGTCGCGATAACCGAGAATTTTGCAAGTGCCAATAGCTTTCCATAGAGCGCGATAATGTTTCAATAATGAACGTTGATCCCACGTCCCCAGCGTCTTTTTTCTCTCAATGATGATATTTGGTAGTGTTTTCACAATCAGGCAAATTTCATCCATTGACACCAGTCCCAATTCCAGTGCGCGATTAACCGCATTGAGTACGGCAATTCGGTATGAACGTTTTGTTTTTGTTTGAACGAGCCACTCGACGGCAGCAAAATAATTTCCAGAGCCCCGTGTATTCAAAAATGGGTCATCCAGGAATCGGATAACTTGCGTAGGGTTTGCCGCGGAGCGTGAAAGTAATGACTTGAATATCTGCCGGCTATATGCAGGCTCGCGTTGGAGATCAATTCCTAACTGACGAGCATGATCTCTAGCATCGTCTAATTTCCAGTCCTCACTTTGCAGAAATTGGTCGAATGCTTCGTCCTTAGTTGGATGCATCGACTCGTGTACTGTCAGTGGGGAGTTTCTGAACATATGCGAGTTGATGGAGTCGGGATTGTGATCGTAAAAGGACAGAGGAACTTCAAATGTACCAAGATTATCATCTTTCGGAAAGTCAGCTTCTCAATTACACTCCTCTTATCAGATTTTTCACGTACCTTGACCGAGATGTGTTCTCTGCCACGAGTGGTCGGTCCATTTCATATGCTCTTTCCCATTGCGACCAAACAAACACGCGATGTCCTCAGCCGAAGCACCTCCAATACCGGCCAGATCTGTATTCCTCCGTCTTGCAAGACGCCTTCGAGCCTCTAAAGGGCCAGGGACGCAGCTACCATGGCGTCGCTGGCCATTGGCGAAGCGACGGAAGGTCGCGGCGAGTAAGTCATCACTTATCCACAGATGATCGAGGGTTAAAGCAGTTGGTGACTTAACAGCATGCCGGTAGGCATGTCTACCGAAAGACATCAGTCAAAAAGTGGCATATGCGAGCCAATTGCAGAATGAAAATGGACGCCTCGCGGACTTTGGCTGCAGCTTCGTCTCCGGAACAGATCTTGGCATTTGGTGACTAAGCGTGCCGCCCATTGAGCATCATTTTGTTACTAAGGCAACTTCAACCTGTCATGCGCGTTCAGGAGTTGCTCGAAAGACTTTACTCTAAAGGCCTTGCTCGACACATCAAGATTGAAGAACACCCCGTTAAATTCCCATAGGCTTTTGCTATGCTATAGGCACTAATAAGGTAAGCTAATGGCCAATATTAGCCGATTTTCGCTCTAGGCCTCTTTACTTAGGGCTTATAATCTTCGAAGAGACTACCTCGGCATGTCTCGGTGTGATCGGCTCAAGATTATAACTTATCCATGCACTATGATCAACATATTGAGCCCTGTCAGATAAATATTGATATTGTAGGGAAAAGCGGCTCAGGGTTTTGAATGCGGTTTGGTTACAAAAAATACCACAATACTAGTCATTTCATTCATACTATGATCCAACATCCCCTATTTACCTAGGTACCTAGGTACTTTAAGATACTCAGACCAGAGCAATGTAATTCAAAAAGACCTAGATTTCCCCATGCGCCGATGCAATGCATATGTTACCCGCAAATGGTGTATCTCATGCCAATCATCTCAGCAAAGAAATTATCGAATAGTGCAATTGAACGTGTCGTAGCCGCCAAGAGGGGGACAGTCATGTCATAGCCTCATTTTCAATGTTTTAGAGTGGTTTCCTGCCCGTAACAACAAATAAATTGTTATAGGCATGCACGTTCCGATCCTGAATGCTCTTTCTCACGTCAACAAGGAAGACTTCAATCTCCGGTTTTGACCAACCCAGAGCAAGAAAAGGCTTATAAGACCAGCCAGATAAAGCCTCAAGCCAGTTTGTCTCCATATATCGACCAATTTCCTTCCATTTTTTGTCTTCTGGCCAAGGATTGGTGGGAACTTTGTATACCCGTTGTTCAATATCCTCAAATCCTATTTCCTTCATCCACTTCTCAAGCCGATTTGCAATTCGAAACTGTCGTGCGGGCTCGATCTCTTCACTTGAGCGCTTGTTGAGATCATACCAGTCGTGGAGGGCAAATTCGCTGTATCCATCTGGATTTTCAGGCGGCATGGTGCTATCGTCGCATTTTGGTTTCGGGTCTACCTCATGGCATTCAATATATGCGCCGGGTTTGAGGTGTTTATATGCCTTTTGTAAAAGAGATTTGAAGGATGGAATAGAACCTGATAGGTGTCCCATGTGAATGTAATCAAAGTGGTCTGTATCCCAGAGCCACTCGTCCTCTGTGGCATCGTCGATTAGAAAGTGGACGTTCTCTGGAACTTCTGTTGGTTGTACTGGTGACAGATCCGTTCCTGTGATTGTGGCATTTGGAAACAGAGATGCTGCAATGTAAGAAAAGAGCAGTTGTAAGTTAAGGAGGTTTTCAATGTTATGTCTGCTTGGTTGTTGTACGGCAACTTACCCATTTCTATAGCCCATAGGCCAGAGCCAGTCCCTACGTCCAGTATTTGCTGGGGCTCCTCAAGAGGAACAAAAAAGATCTTTTCTTCAAAGATCAATTTGCACATATGATGTTGGAGTTCCATACGCTCAAGCTCTTGCTCATCGTTGGGATAAGGATAGGCTAAAAAGACAATCAGAATTTGCTTCCAATGTTCGTGGCCAGTGCTAGAATCGCAAACATACCTCCTTCATGGTACTTGTGATACCGTCTTCCATTCTCAATCGGGTAGTCTGTTACACTGTCCGTAAGTGACTGCGTGTCACTGGCCATATAAGTTAGCATGGTTCTCATGTACTATAAGATCATAGATTATTACCATTCACTATTTGGCTCCTGGATATTCTCTATTAGTACATATTCAGAAAGAAGTAGAAGAAAGACAAGTCAAAGATAGGTGGATCGAAACTCACAGTACTCATGTTGATCCCCTTCTTATATCCGGTGGGACCTCCCGGGACGGTAAGAACTTGACAAGCCAGCGTGGAGGATACTGGGACGGGGAGGATAGATGTGAAGCTCCAACCCGGAATGTTGTTTAGAAAAAACTTAACAAAACCCTGGAAAAAAGCTAGGAAACGAGCGAGCTTAAAGCTAAACCTTCCAGGGACTGAATCCTACACCAATATACCGTAGGTAGTGTGTAAAGGGCGGGGAGCTAGTACCTAGTGAGTGCGCGAAGGAACCGACGAGAATTGGTAATACTCCATCTTAGGTTCCACTCTGCATCAACACAAGCACCAAGAGCAGCAAATATCGTGGAGAAAGGGCAAATAGCAAGATTCAGGCAAGATTCAGACTCTAATTCTGATTCAAAAGAAAGATGAGGAAGGGGAGGAGAGAGTGGGGGGAAAGAAGTTCTGGGAGTGAGCCCGACAGCTTGGATTAAGTTATAATTTGGCAGTGCGGGAAGACGATCCGGTTAACTATAAATCAGTTTACTTTGAGCTGCTGGAAAAGGTGGGATCGACATTAATAATTTCGTAGAGAAAAATAGACCTTGGCAGCCGGGGGGATGAAGTGGAGTACAAATTGCATGGGGTACCGAGTTGGAAATATACCGGACACATACCATGAATATCGTCGGTTTCTCTAGGCGCTTGGGGCGGGGCGATGAAATAAATTCAGTTTTAAGGCAAATCCTCTGTCAGGGGAAATAACGAAATAATAAAAGAAGAACTGGGGAAGATACGACATGGTATATTTTAGCTGAAGAATACGTATAAGATACGGCGATACTTAGGTATACGATATAAGTATAACGCACATTCTATTTGTTATAAGAGCGGACTATACTCGGTATGGATATGATTCAGTTCTGGGCAGTACTTCGGCTACTACGGCTACTACTACATTGACCAGGTAATTCCTGCAAAATAAATATCTTACTGATCAGACACGTTTTTGGCAAAAGCCTGGACCTAGCAGGAATATTATCCAATGATGGTGGATACCAACGTACCAGCGGGCTGGATATTTGCAACCAGTCCACATGGGCCGCTTCACCCTTAATGCATCGAATTTTACGGGTTTCCATAATCAACACTCTTGCATGGGCAAGATATTTGCAAGGGTTATGATATTCCAAAAAGCCACAGGTTCATCTCGTTCCCGTAAATGAGAGTAAGGTAATAGTAAAACATCAAGGTTTATCTCTGATAGACCCGAATGGAGACAGCCCCGCAGTGATTGAGCCCGGACGTGGAAAAGGTGGAAAAGGTGGACAGTACAAGTGCGGACATGGTGGAGCAAAAGGTTTATGGCATGACAGCACTATTCAAGCTTAGAATTTCACCTATTTCCTTTTTCTTTCTTTTTTCTTTTTTCTTTTTTTCTTTTTTCTTTTTTTCTTTTTTTTTTTTTCTCTCTCTCTCTCTCTCTCTTTTTATTGGGCTGTTCCCTGTTCCCTTCCAGCATACTAGTATTAAGATGTTTGTTAGCATTACGGAGAAATTGCCCCTCCGGAAGAATAGCTTATCCTCCGCTGGCACATTCCAGTTGGCCAAGTTGATATGTCAGAATTCAAGCCCTAACCGGAACAATCTAGAACACCTAAATGTTTCATTTATTATTTCATTATTATTATTATCATTATCATTATTATTTCCTTTTCTCTTTTCCCTTTTCCCTTTTCTGGAATTCTTGATCTAAAGTCGGCTTACATTCAAAGTTAAATTAAAATTAGAACTGACTTGAATGCCCGACAAAAGAAAGTTCCCATGTAGGGCAGAGGGGGATTATGAGAGATCTCAGAGAAAAGCGAAATGATGGAAATAATAACTCGGTGTTTGCCTTTTTAGACCTCGGGCTCCTTCGTATGTACTTTTGCCCATTCTCCTGAAAGTACACGATTTTTACCAGCACCGAGTAGTTAAATTGTCGATCTAAACTTAAACGAAGCTGGCCAGAACAACGATATTTCCCAAGTTTGAAGTTGACTTACACAAGTAAACTACTCCATACCATAACTAGCTAGGGTCCGTTAGATAAGGGGTTAGTGGTTCACTGGGAACAACGGCGTACCCAGTAACCAGATTTCAGGATATGGCCGGATACTAACTGTTGCATAATGAACCCTGTCCAAAAATACCCGAGTTGCCAGTTCATCGGGAATCCCGAATCCCATCCACAGGGGTCTTAGCAGTTGGACGAGTCAACGCATTGTGATGCTGACCCGCCTTGCTGGGTATGTTGTCCGGGGTGTACCATAGTGTCGGGACGCAACTGCAACGCACGGATTTTCTACTCCGTACTTTTCTCTTCTTTTCTTTTTTATTCCTGGTTGATTCCATAACGCTTCTGCAGGCAGATTTGCAGATTCTCGACAGCCTATGACTTCACTTATTCTGTCCTTATTTTTTTTTTTTTTTTTTCTTGGCAGCGACCGAGGATTTCCGTGGTGGATACTAATGTAATACCCAACTAGACGGTGTAAGGTCAAACTTCCTTCTGTAAGATGGAATAAGGCTGAATAAAAAACCTGGTTCGGTGATTCAAGAACAGTGGTACCGCATATCGGTTCATTCTAAGGTTTCCAAGGCTTTCTGGTGTAAAATACAAGAAGGATCATATCCTTGTATACTTCGAGTTTAGGTTAACCTTACACAACTCATGGTTGAGATCAGATAAAATTTTGCAGATCTTGTTGACTAAACCATGTGGTGTCATGTAAAATATTACTGCAACAGAGTCCTGGGATTTTAAAATGTTGGACGGAGTATGACTCCGTACTCCGGAGCAGGTAACCAGCCACTTAGGGTAAACATTAATGCAGTACGGAGTAACGATGAAATAAAAAATAAATAAAAAACCAACCTCTCATATCAATTTTTACAAACTAAAACGAGGCTACGTGGCTCGCAAAAGAGGATCCCACGATGGTATGATAGACCGTTCCAGGGAAATGTGGACGGATATCATCCCCACAAATAGGATTGGAGATAGTACACCATACTTACCTGTGGCTTCTTTATCAAACTCAATGGCGATATCTATTTAGGTAACTAAGTACCTACATGTAGTATCTAGGTATATTGACTGCTAAATAGTTGGTATGTAGATGTAGGAGACGAACGACTCAAATATTTGGTAGAGTACCTAAACAGGCATTGCTGATGATCGGCAATGGAGTCCCACACAATTATCTTGCAATTACAAAGTGAAAAAAACATCCCAAAGAGACTAGCCAAAGTACCCAAACCAAAACTCGGAGTGACGCAATCGTTAAAATTAAAGAGAGAGAAAAAAAGACAAAAGAAGAATTTGATTTGGAATCTCCTACTTCTTACCTACTGCCGGTCATTACTCCTTTGACTTCGTAGGTACAAAGTAGAGAATTCTAGACCAATCAGTAAACTTCTAAGTAGACAGATATGCATGAAACTTGTGTTCGAGCCGTGTCAACTGCAGCAAAGAATGGAGTGTAAGGGCTACTTGATAAGCGAGTTGCCCGAGAGGACAACAAGCGGTCTGAGGCTTAATATTGGTGCATTTACATTAATCTTCAGAATACTCGCTATTGTCGATGCCTCTAGTTTTCATAGTAAATACTTAGCAAAACGATTGAGTGTGTTGTTTCTGATAGAAGGGGCTTTGACCATTATAAAAATTGCACAGCAGAGTAAACATCACAGCTAAGCCTTAGAACTTCCTGTAAAGTCGGAAGAAAGCAAGCCCTAGACTGGGGTCGGAGGCTCGGGACCCAATGAGATACCTGGGTGAGCTAGCATGACTCGTGTTGCAGTCAATTTGATTACTTGAGTCCCAAATAAAGTGAATGGAGAGAAATTTACTTGGCATACACCTAGGTAGCTTCACCAACCTTGAAAGTCATATAAAATATACCTAGGTAGACTTCTGCCTACGATAACATCTAATTGGGCCTTTCCTGTGCTATCTCATCCTGCTTTCCCTCGCTTGGTAGGGTAGAGCTACCCCAAGCCTTACGAGTGGATCGTTTATTGATCATCTTCGGGTTTGAATCTGACCCGGTCTCTCGGTTTCGCACTTCTAATCTGTCCACATCTAAAGCCTTCTGCCCCGCATCGCAATCTTGGGTGCGTATCATATATGCAGATCGTCATCTCATAGGCTCTCTACCCTGCTGGTTAGGATGGATATAATACCAAGTCGGTTAGCTTCCATCCAATAACAGAAGGGAACGTTAATGTAAGATTCGCTTCGACATGGTTCTGGATGAGCTAAGCCAACGGAATGATGTCGTATTAGTGACGCGTTTGCGCATTGCTTACTCCCGAGGTCAGTAGTTTCTTAACTTCTGTGCCCTTTGAACTGCTCAACCTTTTTCCCGCGGTATGTCTAATTCTGGACCTCTGGACTTCGCACAGGCCTTCTAGAATGAAGATTTTCAAGGTTTCTCGACCGGTCTCCCGAGTTCCCCTATCTGACGTGGATTATTAATAAGAAACTCATGTGGAGTTACAGGCATTCAAAACCCCCAAGAATCTGAAATGTGAAGTTGTCTCCGATATACTTCACTACAAAGAAGGAGTGCACAATCAGGCATATCTTGAATAGAGAAATCCGCTGGACGGGAGCCTCTAACTATGCAAATTTCTGGCATATGGACTTGCCTCACATCACATTATCCGCGATAAATTTCGTGAAATTTATGAAAAGTTAGTGGAGTGTGATTGTCTATCCTGTAGAAATGAGTCAAATGACCTACCATAAGTCATTTCAGATGCACTTTCAGGATATAAGACTTCGGGGATAACTTTGGAGTTGTTAGAAGGCTGAGCATTGTCACTGCCCCGGTGTAAATAATGATTAAAAACTATTAATAGTTAACAAAAGATAGATCAAGGGCCATGATTAATGAATATCCGCTACTCACCAGGATGGCTTGACAGAAATATCTCTTATCTCTGCCCATAGGCTTAGCGTACGTCGTCTATGAGAAGTTGAATCCGGGGAATACAAAACCAACTTCCTAATTAGGAATAGCACGGCTTCGTCGGATAAGTATAATTCCGATGACCGATATCTGCTATGACGCACCTTACAATCTGACATCTTTATCTACCTTTCTCATCGATCCCACGCGTTTTTATCACAACTTCATATTTTCCCTCGCAATTGACGCGCTTTTCAGTATCGAGCTGTAGATATAACCCAAAATCATTCATGTGAACATGAACTAGATATGTCACGCCGTTTTCCAGTCCGCCCCTCGAGGGGCAGGACAACTCGTCGTCAGGCATCCAAAGAAGACGAGATCCCCGATGTTTACCAGGAGATGCTAGAAGAAGCCGAAAAAAGATACCCCGAACAATTTCGCCCAGATGGCCCGGGCTCACAAGCACAAGTCAGACGCAAGAGATACAAGCCTCAAATTTCAACAGATGGCGCAGCAGATAAAATAGAATCAGATGAATCAGACGTGGAGTGGGAAGACGTCACAATACCCACTCCTGCCGTTATATCTACAGGAGTTTCAGTTGTTGAATCTGCAGGAGGCTCGGCCGTTGCATCTAGAGGAGACGATGAAATTCTCGCCATAGATCTTGTTCCGGGGTCTGAGAGTCAGCAGAACATTCAGAAGCGGAAACAGCAGAGGCAGAAACGGGCCACTCAATACGAGAAGAACCTGCGTATTGAGTTCCACAAACTTCATGTGCTTTGTCTCGTGGGTCATGTGAGTCTTCGAAACAATTGGTGTAACAGCCGAGCATTGAAGGTGTGTATTAATCTATTCTCGCTCCATTACGATTGACTGACCTATATCTAGCTTTTTTTGAGTCCGCTAAATACCGAGATGAACAAGATGTTTCTAAATTCCCAGGAAAAAAATTGGGCTTTCCATCTTGAGGTCCAACATTTCATCAGACACCTGAAAGTAGCAGTGAAAAAGCTCGTTGAGCTATTTAGGGTGACGAAGTCAGGTTTGACTCGAGCTGAGTGGGCCGAAAATGATATTCAGTTGACGAAGAGAGAAGTACGCCCAAGCCTACATTTTGTCCTAGTTGATAGCTAATACCTATATAGCAGGCGATACTCGCCCATACAGAGAATTTCGAGGACAAAAAAGCGTTCATATCGCAGGCTCAACTTGGGTTTGGATCCCGCGACTTCATCGCCCAGCTCCTTTGTGCTCTCCTACGCGATGCTGGCGTTAAAACAAGACTGGTATGCTCGCTGCAAGCCTTGTCAATTTCGTCTACCCAATCCAAAGTCACTAGTTTTCATACACAGAAAAAGTGCGACAATACGCCCCCTTCCTCAATTTCATTAACTCAGCCATCACGAGTGCAGAGGCCTGGGCGATCAACAATTTTTTCACGCACCGCATTGCCTTCACGCCCCGCAATGCCCTCACGCCCCTCTACTGAACCCGGTGTGTCGCTCATCTGACCCTACATATCTGCCGTTTTCTATTTCCTAAAACTAACTTCCACAGTACTCACTTCACGTCCTGCAGACTCAGAGTACCCGGTGTTTTGGGTGGAAGTGTTCGATAAAACATCAAAGAAATGGATGCCAATCGATCCATTTTCGAAAGATTGGACATGGAGCGTGGGATCTTTTGAACCTCCTGCTACGCATGCGCTGAACAAGATGTCTTACGTAGTTGCCTTCGATGAGGATGGCTCCGCTAAGGATGTTACAAAACGTTATGCGAAAGCTTTTAACACCAGAACCTTTCAATATAGGGTGGAATCTACGCCTGGTGGAGAAGAATGGTGGAATAATGTTATGAACCACTACAAGAAGCCACTTCCCGACGAACACAGCGAGGCGGAAGACATCCAGATGGCAGAGAAGGTAGCAGCAGAGCCTATGCCAACCAGTTACGAAGGCTTCAGAAAACACCCCATCTTCGTCCTCGAGCGTGATCTGAAGGAACACGAAGTTGTATACCCCAAAACTTCTTCCTCGATTTTCTCATTTAAAGAAAAACAGATGCCTGTATATCGCCGCGCCAATGTGCACACCGTGAAGAGTCCTGAAAATTGGTTTCATCTCGGACGCGTGGTGAAAGAAGGACAAACTCCTCTCAAAGACAATAAGCGCATCAAAAGTGGAGAGCCACTGGGATTCTGTCGCATTCCATGGTTGCGCACGCCCACGCCTGGACTCTATGCGGAGTGGCAGACTGATATCTACCAGCCACCACCAGTGGTAGATGGAAAAATACCTACAAATGACTATGGGAATGTAGACTTGTACGTCTCGAGCATGGTGCCGTCTGGAGGGTTGCATATCAGCGACCCCAATGCGCGTCAAGCGGCGAAAATTCTCGGAATTCACAGCGCACAGGCAGTCATCGGGTTTAACCACTCCTCTCGACATCAGTCAACGCCGATCCTCGCAGGTATTGTTATTGCTTCAGAGTATCGAGAAGCTCTTGAAGAAGTTTTGATTGCTATGAAAGACGATCAACTCCAAAAATCGACTCAGGACAAAACCAACATCGCCCTTCAAGCCTGGCGTGACCTCCTTTTGAAACTTCGAATCCGAGAAAAAGTCAAAGCCTACGCCAGCGAAGATGAAGACAGCAACGTTTCTTTATCTGATGAAGATATGGATGATGTTTACAATGTTGAAGAAGCCGATGTTGACGATGCTGAAGAGGTTGAAAAAGCCGATAATGCCGGTGGGGGATTTCTCTCAGAACAGGGTTCAAGGTCCCGTCGACTATCTGTTACTCCCTGGCAACATTTTGAATTGAAAGTGGTTCCAAACGAGCCCAAAATTGACACTATGGATAACTCAGACACAGTGCCTCTGGAACCTATCATCCGCCCTGACTCTCCTACTGTCTCTCTGCCTGACTCCCCTATCGTCTCCCGCCAGGGTCCTCTTGATCCTAGTTCCCCAAATTCGATTACGACCCCAGCTTCAGTTTCAGCCTGGGCTTCGGCTTCAGAAGACGACGTTCCAGACTGGCTACTTTGAATGAACCTACGATTGTATTAACGAACTTGTACTAGTCACGAATTATGTAATATTAACCACTATCACCAATAGTTATTCTACCAGATATCAACACTTTGTTGGACCGTTTGATTAGATCAGTCCTACTAGTTATGAATTTTTCAATGTATTACATGTAAATATCCGTTTAAGCTCCCACTCACTATCCTATCTGAAAAAGTATCTGGTTTGAAAATTGCAAGGTTGTTTCAACTTGCCTGACGTTTCCCAAAGTAATATTTAGCTATCTTCCAATGATTCATGGGGTGACTATCTGGTTATGAAGCACTTTCAATAAAGAGAATCCCTACCCGAGACCATAATAAATATGATAAATCTCAATGTTATACTTCAACAACCAGGGTTTTGGTGAATATCACATCCTAGACACTTACAAATACAAATACAAATTTTTGAGGTATAGATGGAAGAGACAAATTTTGGTATTGTAATAATATGATTATTTGATTTGGGTTGCCAAAAAAAACTCTTACATTCTTCTCAAAATTCTAATCAGCTGAAGTTACTAGCAAGTACGGCGTACGCTTTATCGAACATACGTTACTAAGATAACATTGAGATTTATGATACTTAAAATGGGTATTTACTTGAACTGATTATTTAAAATAACTATTGAAACGGGAACGCTCTAGGCAGTAAGGTCGGGACGTGCAGATCAATTCAGCCAAAAAAAAACCAACCGCAACCACAAAAGAAAGTTCGATGAAAGTAGGGAGTCAAAAAGTGAAGAGGTGTGTAAAGGTATCCATTCTATAAATATTTATCACAACTTCTAAATAGATAAATAAATGATATAACTCGGTTCTGCCGCCTCAGACCGCCTTCCTGGTTCACTACGTACTGCATAGGGCTCCCCACACTATGTAAAGTTAGATTGATCACGTGTTGGCGCGTTCTGACGCGATCGCCTCAGGCGCCGACCTTGGAACCACATCATGCCGGGCAATTATCGCTCTATCTATTCGACCTTCATGTTTATCTCCTTAAATCTGCAATGAAGCGCCGCGAAAAAGCTGATGTATCACCAGAAATATCCCGTGATAGATTCCGAACTCCCAAACGACCAAGTTCGCCACCACTATCGAAGACGTCGACAAGCACTATCTCAAAAAGGACAGGATCTCCTCATATTTCAGCATCCACGCGGTGGAAAAGAAGATCTCTTCCAAGCTCAACATCCCAGTCAACACTTACACAAATCGATTTTGTGACTCAGACTACGCAGCCAGATGAAGAGCAGCTCGACTATCTCGATGACATAGCAACGAAAAAGACCAACCCAGTGCGCAAAGATGATGAGTCTGAAGATGATATCAACCTCCAACCACCAAATTTGCCCTTGTCAGGTGTATCCACATTCGAACGATATAATGACCATCCCAAGCGACGAAGACAAAGCCTGGCACCAGCTTTAAATACAAGCAAACGCAAGATCCAAACACCGAAAACAACTCTTGGCAGCAAGGGCAAACGCAAGTCCACAGACAAGTCGTCTACGAAACGCGACAAAACCTTGACGCAAATGGATTTCGTGCGTCGCTACATTACAATAGACGACGATGACGACGATGTGAACTTGAGATATACTCAACTGGCCATGCCCAATGATTTCTCCAGCAAAGCCAAACAACAGCCAACGAGTGAAAAGAAGTCTTCTCTTACCACTCCCGTCCCTCAGCCTGTCAAGCATCATCACAGGACCTATGAAGGAGAACTTGATCTATCCACGGGCGAGCCAATATCCGACCTTGGACAGAGCCAAAGCGCGGATCTAGACAATGCAACCAAGGGTTCATTGAATCCTCCAGTTACACCTAGGAAGTCTCGGAAACTCGAGATTCCATCCTCTCAGTCTCCTGAAAGCCCAGGAATTGCAATAATCACATCGTCACAATTCTGCAGTGCAACTCGTTCCCCTTTAAAACGCAAATCGCCGAATATCACTCATAAACTTGAGAATTGTCACAATGAGGAATCTTCAAGCCCCCAGCAGGATGATGCGCAAGGGCAAGGAAACATGTCACCCTTGCAAAAGCCAACTTCCCGTTCACCCAAGCCGCTTATATCTTCGAGTCAACATCACTATATGTTGGAGCGCACCTCAAACGAACCTTCTGTAACCTCAAAGCCCCAGGGTCTATCACCACATGATTCTGAGTCAAGGCCAAAAATTGGTCCGGGTTCGAGAATGGTGGTCTACGAAACAGATGGAGAGACAGATGAAAGTGACTCTGGAGGTTATTTAAGTGACGACTCGCAAGAAATTCCCTTGCCGAATGCCGAACCTTCTGCGGGGCTAGACTTCGAACACCAATCCGAAACCCTGATGTCTGATTCTTCCGTATTATATCAGAGGATGCATCTGGCTACACAATTCCCCCACGAGCCTATTCCAACCCTGAACACCCAGGGGCTATCGGCTTTGTTCGCCACTCAAGGCAACACTGAATACCTTGAGCCTCTGCCGTTGCAAAGTATAACACAAACCGAGGAAGTAGACCAGACTGAGATTGTGCCAGAGTCGTCTCCAGCTCGAGACGCGGAGAGTAATAAAGGAGAGAGCCAGATTGTGTTCCAGCGACCTCGGGCCCCTGACTCGGTGGTTCAAGTTGAATCGTCTCAGCCCGTCGACCGGAGCCATCAACAAGTGAAGGGGGTTCTATCTCGTAGTCAGCTTCTGACATCGAGTATGATGGATAGTGTTCCTCTACCCCAATTTTGGATGGGAAGCCAAGATAGTGTTGGAGAGCCCTATAGTCTTGACCGGTGATATCAAAGCGTGTAATTTATGAGTTATGATCCTATCACCACATTTATACAGCTGTTACTATCCTAGTGTTTACGATCACTCTTCGTAACTTTCAATAAATTCATCGCTAATTATCATGGCAGCGTACCAAGTACGGAGTAATAGCTTACCTGAAGATGGGGAAAATAAGCGGGGCGGTCGGGTTCCACCAACGAACGCGAGAGTTCCACCTCAAATGTTTGTCGATATTTCTCTCCTCACACTCCCCCCACTTGGGAATCATGGATTTCGCTTATGACCACATTCAGGAGGAAGTCCTCACTTCGCATCAGGAGGGACCGTCCGACTCCAAGGAGGAAACAACCGATAGCCTGAACTCCGAGTTCCAAGACGCCTTTAGCGCCTTCTCTGCTAGTCCATGGGGTACTCGGATCGGAGGACTCTGGGACAATGTTCGCAAACAGGGCGAAACTTACTACGAAGGAGCTAGGCAAGAATATGCTGCGGCCAGCGAGGAAGCAGTGAAGGGGTTCTCAGGCCTCAGGGACACCATAGTCGATCGGACAAAGGGGCTTTCACTCAGCACAGCGACGCTTACCGGTGAAAGCGAAAGTCAGAAGGATGGGGCGCACACTCCCACGACATCAACAGAAGATGGAACCAAAGAGCAGGCAGGTCCTAGTGGTGAAGGCTTTGTTTCCAGACTCAAGGCCGAAGCTGCACGCCGACTCAAGGAAATCGAAAAGGCCGAGGAGGCTGCGGATGAAGCTATCCTACGATTTGGGATGAGCATTGGCCAGAAGCTGCGTGAAGCTGTCAGTATTGTCCCACCGGAGACGGATGAGTCGGGCAAGCTTCTTTACGAGAGCAAGGACGCTGATGGCAAGCGGGTCATTCATGCGACACGGTTCGATGCCCAACTGCATGTTATTCATTCGAACCTAGACAGTTTCACCAAAGACCCTGCTAGCGACAAATTCCCCGAATTCAAAAAAGACTTCAATGTGGAGAACAAGACTGATGAGATCGCTTCTCACTTGGAGAAATATCCCGAGTTGCGGTCTGCCATGGAGAAAGTCGTTCCAGAGAATGTAGTATACGCTGATTTCTGGACTCGTTATTATTTTTTGCGCTTGGTTATTGAAACCGAGGAACAAAAGCGCAAGGAGCTCTTGAAGGGTATGTCTACTGCTATTATCGTCTAAACGCCCTTATAGTACGCGTATTAATATATTGTTGAAAGGTGCCAACGCCAACGATGATGAAGAGGTTGCATGGGATGATGACTCTGACTCCGAGGCGCCGCCTACTCCTCAGGTCCGTCCTGGTGCTAAAACCCTCGCTCCTGGCAAAGAGGTTGAAAAGACCGAGCCTCGCCGATCCAACGACCAACAATCTCAGGCCGATAGCGAGTCTAGCTATGATGTTGTGAGTGGAGCTGCAAGTCGCACGCCCGGTAGTCCCAAAGAGAAAAGCCCGATTGCAACTTCCAAAGATGAAGAAAGTGACGAAGATTGGGAATAAATTAGGTGTGCTTCTCGAGCCATCAGTGGCCATATAAGAGCTGTCAAGCCGGTTCTTTGAAACGTCTCTTGTCAATTTGGATTTCATGTTTCAGGAGTTCGGTTATCACATATATTTCAAGGCGTTTTTTGGAGCCTAGTCTGCTCCCGATTGCCAAATCTTTTCATATTTTCGTTTTGAGCGATGAATGTTATATTTTCCCATTCTCTTGCCTGTCTAACTCTTAACCTGTAGATTTTGTACCTAATTATTCAGTGCACTCTTAACGTGCCATTTGCATACCATGCCTGCTCAGTATTACACATTCATACCTACGTAGTTCAAGGGACGGTAGACGATTCTTATGGTTCCGTACTCGGGCAAACCAAAAATATGTGAATAGGAAAATGTTTCTAAATTATGTTCTTTCAACAGCCTCATCAGTCAACGGCACATGGGCAATTATCGCCTTGACTGTTGACCGGTCAGGTCATATTCGTACATACATGCACAAAGCATAAAGATTACCTTCTTGCTTCTTCATTTCTAGATATCTCTCGACCGCCGTGGCATTCTACTAAGTGGCGAACTCTGTCGTGGTGATTCCTCGTGCGTATCTGTGTATGCTGGTGTCATATCTCGCAGCCCAGTTTGGCGTCTCTGACCTGGGCGAACACTGAGAGACCCCCGCCTCTGCGTTGAGTCCGGTGTATTCTCTCGAGAATGAAATTGTAAGCCACGTGCTCCGCCGGTCGAAGAGTCCTCGTCATCTCTCGAATAGCCAGAAGGGCTGCCAGGTTCTGCATGGTATTGATAATCCTCTCCGCGGTGCTTGACTGGACTCTCATCGTAAGGATCCCATCCCACGCGACGTCGTGCTTCATGTCGAAGGCGCTGGCGGTGTTGCTCGTCGCCACCGGCACCGGTCGTAGAGGATTCCTCAAGGAAGAAGTTGAGGAGTTCATCGCTGATAGAAAGGTGTGATTGTTGCTGGAATTGTTGTAGGGAGGTAAGGCGGAGGATAGTTTCAAGGAGGGAGAGTGATGTTCGGATGTTATCAAAGAGGGGATTTGAGACAGTTGTGGTAATTTGATTAGGTGTTGGGGATGGGGACGGAGAGTTTATCTTGTCCTTGAGAGACAGCTTAGCTATCATGCTTGGGTCTATGGATCGCTCTGCTACTGGGGTTTGCGGGCGTTCTGTCTCGGACTCAGTATCCGAAGACTCGTCTTCATTGTAGACCTCGAAAGCAATCCATTCCGGGTCTAAACCAGCAGGCAGTCGCCATTCTTTGGGAATCGAGTCTTCATGCAGGGAGACGAAACTTTCATCGAGAGAACTGTCTCCTCCCAATTGCCCGTCAAGTTGCGCTTGTTCTTCGTCAAAGTCTTCCGGTTCTGAGACAAACTCATCCTCCACATCGTCGTGTTCCATCATTCGCCGAGGTGGAAGAGCATTCACATCTCTTTTGAGTAAAATTACTGGGTTATTTGTTTCCCCATCGCTGGCAATGTTAAGGATTCGTCCTGTATCCGCATAGAATATCTTGGAGATTTGATGAACAGGTAGAATCTCTCGGATGCCTGCATTCGGAACGCCTTCCCAAGCTTGAGGCTGCGGGTCGCCTTCTTCGAAAGTATGGACTCGACCGTCATCCAAATCTTCAACAATTAAGACTTGGTAGGCATATTCGTCAACTTGAGCCATCCCTGGAAGCTGTGGTAACCCAAGATGATTTTCAGAGTAGTAAAGGTTAATTGGAACGCGTCGCAGTTTCAATCGAGCTTTGTGCATGACTTCCTTCCATGTTGCTTCACGAACGGACTCTTCGTCGTGAGGACGCAAATGACTGGCAAAGAGCATATACATGGACAATGTAAAAGTCGGCCCAATTTGAACAGCTTGAGACTGTGACATGGCATATTGAGTGTCACCCGCAGTAAGAAATGTACTGGCTTGCAACAATCGCGATGGTGATACTGTTGAAGGCAAATTGGTAGAGAGCTTAGCGCCAGAAGTCGTGATAGCCAAGTTCATAAGGGGCACTGCATCCTCGATCCGAGCAAGCAGTCTCTTAATATCTTTGATGATGAGTTTTATTTCTGCATCCTTGCTTTGTCGATCTCCGGATGACTTGGATCCCTTTTCTTGTGATGCAGCAGCTCTTGCCAATCGCTGCCCAAGAGCCTGAATGTCCCAGCGGAGGGATTTTGTGAGCGTAACTGCAGACTCAAGAGATGTATTACCTCGCGCAGCACTATAGGTATCATTAGGACCGGTCCAAAAATATTGCGAGAAAGATGCATCCGGCTTACATCAATTCGATCATATCAATTGACGGAGATATCACCTGTTTGTTTTATTAGTCGTATTGCTGTAGAATTAATCGTGAGTATCATACCTGTATCTTACTTTCAAGTCGTTGTTGCAATGTCAAGAGCTGATCACGGTCTTCGCTGTCGATATTCTGGATCACGAATATATTAGCACCTTTTCCCCATATAGGTCATTATGTCGCGCCTACTTTGAGCAGGCGTGATGATTGGCGCATTGCATAGGTGGCAGTAATTGCGATTCCTGAGCTATTCAATAATCAGTTATATACTCTCGGTCTATCGTTCCTTGTCTTACCGAATGGCATAGTTCATTGCCTGCTGGGTGAGCTGCATGTGATATATCGATTAGGTAACTGATACATAGGTCCATCGGTACGCGAGAAATATGTCGAAAACGTACACGAGACAGAAAAACATCCATCTTGATGCCTGACTCTGATTTCAATCAGCAACAACCTGATTCCAACGATTCAGGCCCGAGTTGAGTGACGCAGATTCCGGCAATAAAGCTCGGAGGCTTATCGATAGAGAAGGTCGTTGCCTAACAATCAAGTAGGTGGCGGGAAATGGAAGCCCAATGGAAGGGACTACAAGTTTCGAAGAAAAGACCGTAAAAAAGGACTGTCTGCTTGAAGAATGGAATCAAGTCTTCTTTCTGTTTTGTTTTTTTCTTATCAACTTTTTAAACAACAGATCTAAACTTGCATAATAGCTACACGTGACTGTTTATCGCGGGGTGCTGAGTCATCATTGCAAAATCAAAAACGTCCCCTCATTGTGTTGAACCTAGACCTGGAATTCTAAACACACTCGTGTCCTTCATTGCGTCCCGGATTCTCTTTTTAGGATGTCTAACCAAACACCCGAATCTTGGGAGGATGAACTCTCACAACAGACCAAAAATGTCAACCTGAACTCTCAGGGCCAGCCTCAAGCACCCGCCTTCCACCCCGGCGCCGCTACTTTCCAACCAGGCGCTGCCACCTTTGTCCCCGGTCAGCAATTCCAGCAATATGGCCAGCAGTATGGCCAGCAGTATGCTCAGTATGGCCAGCAGTATGGTGGCTACCCCCAGCAGCAGGCCTATGGCCAGTACGGCCAATATGCGCAGCAGCCCGGTGGTTACAACCAATACTACAACCAGCAGCCCCAGCAGGTAGCGGCACCCGTCCAGTCGGTCCCCAAGCCTGCTGCCAATGTCACAAACGCTGCCCCACCCAAGGTTAAGGTTCTATCCATTGGCGCTACCTCGTCTTCCGCCGCCCCCAAGACTAAGGTTCTTTCTATCGGTAACCCTTCTCCCGCGTCCACTCCTGCCGCAAAGACCGACTCTACAAGCAAGGGCGATTCAAAGGGCGCCGCAGCAGCTGAGGCCGGTGCCAAGATAACCGCCGCCAAGGCCATTGAGAAGACTGAGAAGAAGACCGAGAGTGGCAAAACTTCACCTACACCCTCTGGTCGCTCCAGCCCTTCTCGTGCTGCAGAAACCGCCAAGGCAACTCGTGAAATCAATGAGGTCGCCAAGCAACAGGCAGCTGATGTCGATGACGCAACACTGAAGGAAATTTACGGTGAGCGACGAGAGCACGTCAACGTCGTTTTCATCGGTCACGTCGATGCTGGAAAGTCTACTCTGGGTGGCTCTTTGCTCTACTGCACTGGTATGGTAGACGACCGTACCATGGAAAAGTACAAGAAGGAAGCTAAGGAGGCTGGTCGTGAGACCTGGTACTTGTCCTGGGCTCTGGATTTGACTACTGAGGAACGTGCCAAGGGTAAGACTGTCGAAGTTGGTCGTGCATTCTTCAAGGTCATGATTGACTCACCAGAGGGCCCTATCGAGAGACAGTTCTCAATTCTGGACGCTCCTGGTCACAAGTCTTACGTTCCCCACATGATTGGTGGTGCTTCCCAGGCCGATCTTGGTGTGCTCGTCATCTCCGCTCGTAAGGGTGAGTATGAGACTGGTTTCGAAAAGGGTGGTCAGACTCGTGAGCACGCGCTGCTTGCTCGCAACAGTGGTGTCCAGAAACTGGTTCTTGTCGTCAACAAGATGGACGACGCAACAGTCGAATGGAGCAAGGAGCGTTACGATGAGTGCACTATCAAGATCAGTAAGTTCTTGGAAGCCCTCGGCTACAAGAAGAGCGACATTTTCTGCATGCCCATCTCCGCCCAGCGCACTATTGGTGTTAAGGACCGGGTTCCCAAGGACTTGGCTCCCTGGTACGACGGACCATCCCTTCTGGAATACTTGACCGACTTCAAGCTGCCTGAACGTAAGATCAACGCCCCGTTCATGATGCCTATCAGTGCCAAATACAAGGACATGGGTACCATGGCCGAGGGCCGCATCGAGTCCGGAGTCATCAAGAAGAACAGTACTTACCTTATGATGCCCAACCGGACAGAAGTCCAGATCTCTGCTCTCTACGGTGAAACTGAAGATGAGGTCAGCAATGCTGTCTGTGGTGACCAGGTTCGCCTGCGTCTGCGTGGTGTGGAAGAAGACGATTTCTTCCCTGGTTTCGTGCTATGCTCCCCGAAGCGTCCCGTTAACTGCGTATCTGCTTTCGAGGCCAAAATCCGTATCTTGGACCTCAAGAGTATCCTTACTGCTGGATTCAATTGCGTGCTTCATGTCCACGCCGCTATTGTGGAGGTCACCTTCGCTGCTCTTCTACACAAGCTGGAACCTGGTACTGGCCGCAAAAGCAAGCGTCCTCCTCCATTTGCCAGCAAGGCCCAGACTATCATTGCCCGTCTCGAGGTCACTAGCGCTGCTGGTGCAGTTTGCGTTGAGAGGTTTGAGGACTATCAGCAGCTTGGACGATTCACTCTGCGCGACCAGGTATGTTTCCATCCTAATATTTTTCTCTTAATCTCCACTTTTTTAACCGTTTGAACTCTAGGGACAAACCATTGCTATTGGTATGATCACCAAGCTTATCCACGATGAACCAGAGGCGTAAAGTGCCCCCGTAAATCGGGATTTCCGTTGAGATGAAGGAGGAATCTCAAAATTATACCACGGCGCTTGCTTTTGACAGTTTTCCAATCCAAAAAGCTTGATGGACATATTTTGGGAGCCTGTTGAGATGGAGTACGCGGACAGACTCTCGAGTGATGATGATGCACCACAAGCAGTTAACGATCATGATATTTTACTCATCTATAGATTTATTGCTTCTCATTAACAGTGTACCTTAGCTGCATGCGTATTCCAAGGTTTCCTCGAAACCTACATCAACCTACTTTCCCATGGATATTCAAACTGTTAAAAAGGATGGATGTACAAAAAGCCCGGTCATTCAATCGGTTTCTCCAGCTGTGAGTTTTGGATAGGTAATTTGAATCACCTGGGAAATTGGTATCTAGGCATAATATATGGAATTATCATACCCTAGGAGTAGAAGTATATATGCATGCGAAATCAAAACTTTGGAACAAAAGAGCGGGAAGTGATGAAATCTATCGCCTCTTCTTACCAACAACCTTAGTAAAGCCATCCTCATCAACCTCGGGCTCTTCTCTAGGTGCCCGCACCAACTCAGGGGCTTCATCCATATCCATATCAACATCATCATCCTCACCATCCGTTTCTTGTTCCTCATCTTGTGCCTCAACCTGCTTAAACATGTTTGCTGCAGCAGACCTCTGCAGACTCTTGCTCTGCCAAGTCTCCCACAAGGCTTGAATATTCGTGAACTCGCCACGCTCAGTCTGTTGCTTCATCTCCATGATATCGACAGCAACATTGGCAGCACTATCGTCATCCACGACAACATCGAACTCGTCATTCATAACCTGAATCAGAATATCCTCGATATCCTCAGCGTCGGTTTCAGGTCTGTCACCTAAGATTTCGGAAATGGCACCGCCGAGCCAGGCACGCTTGTCCTCGGAGGTTGGGCCACCCCAATTAGATTGTACGGCAAGTGTGAGGGCGGGCCAGTTGTTCAGAGCAATTGTGATGCCTAGATCGAGGTATGAGGCAGCATTTGTAGCTGCGGGGGCGTTTGCTGATTGTGCGTTCATTTTGTAGGAAAGCGTGTTGAGATTTTGCAATTTCTTTTGCGATACTTCGTACTGGGCTTGGAATCTCGTTTGAGTATATACCCCGCAGAATCGTGGAGACAAGGATGGATCGCACGCAAGGCAAGGCCGATATTGAAAGTTATGACTTCAATTGGGATGTTTGGTAGATGGGTCTCGTTGTTTGCAGTCAATGTCCTATCAGTTCAAGATCTGTGTGTACTGAGAATAATGTTTATCTGGGAAAAAATTTGGGTTACGATTAGATAAGATAATAGTATTGGTCACATGATCATAATGGAACCATGACTTCACGGAGCGGTATGTCAGTGAGGTTGGCTCGCTAGGTCTGAGCTGCGTTGGCAGATTTCCTGTGGAAAAAGCATATCATGAAGTACACTTACAAGTTAGAAAGATTGCAATGCTAAAAAAGAAAAAGCTGATCAGATTGGAGGTTATTGAGTGGAAGAAAAGCAGTGAGGGTTGGGACTTGATATGGAAAGAGCTACTATTATATATGGGCACGTGAGATAATTGTGGTTCACCTTCGAACTCTGAGCACCACTCGCATCCCAATGTTTTCTAGCTCAGTTCGTTCACGTAAAATGGTGGGCAGTATAGCGGGCTCAAACTTTTTTTTCCAATATCTGATTCCTGATGCTTTGGTGATAGATCTGGCATTCTCTATCGAGTAAATCCACGTTGCCGCCAGCTCCATCCGCCATGATATCAAATAGGAGCTGCCGATGCTCTAAACGTATTTCATTCTCGAACTCTTTTGTCCAGAATTCGTCAAGATAAACTGAATGATAGTGAATGTGAATTGCAAGGTAGCGCCGTAAACTATGCATGTTTGCTGTTAAATCCATCCACTTCTCTACAATACTATCAAAGTATTCATGAAGTGATGGAATAAGCTCCTGAAGATCAGCGAGAGAATGTGGAAGAGAATAGTTCCATTCCGTAGCCGAAAGTAGAACCACGCCAGGTAGAACAGTATCATCGGCCTGTAATAAACCAGTAGCATCTGAAGTCATTGAGGGAATCTCCATGATCTTCTCTGCTAATACTAAGCGGGGAGCCTGGCTGCTGAGCTCTGGAATTTTTATGAAACGCTTATTCGGTGTTGTACGAATATAACCGTGGCTGACCAATTGTCTAGAAGCCTCTGGGTCGGAGACGAGAATGAAGAGATCAAACACAAGGGTAGGCACGCCATGGTAGAAAAGAACATCCTCTCCCCAGATCTTACATGGAATACCGACTCTAAGTAGGCAATCACATGGCTTGTAGCGAGGATTCTTAGACCCAGTAAGTCGAGAAGTCATGAGTTGTTGGTCTTTTGGTTTTCGGCAGAGACGTTGGAGAACATTCACGATGGGCTTAAAAAAGCCGTCTAATGGCGCCATTTACCGCTGTGCAGATGAAGGCTTGCCACTCTTAAAGAAAGATTGATTTATAGAGTGCGGACTAGCGTGGTCATCTGAAGAGCTTTTCAAGGTTTGAAGCAAGACAGTTTGACCTGATCCAGTTGTGGAAGTGGGAGATGACTTGTAGAAGATCACGGATATTCATGCGATCGATTCATTGGCTATTGACGATCGGCAACAATTGACTATTGTTGACTTGAAATTTTATTCAAATATGGGAATAAACGACAGATAGTTATGTAATTGATTAGTTACTCTGGGACTACATATAATATTACTAACACATGACGACCCCCGTCATCATCACTTGGTGGTTCCATTTACATCCTCACACGCTGAACAAACAATAAAAAGACACAGCCTGTCAAAGCAGAAGGTTCTGAGGGAGAATCTTTGATATAGTTGCCGAGCTGAAGGACATTAGCTGCTTTTAACAACGGTGACATAGACCCCTGTTCACCTTGACTATCCATCAGTCTTTGGCACTATTCCTTTTTTATTATTATTTTTTTTTTTGTAAAAAATATCAAAATGGGAGCAGTATCTTGTCAAATAATTTCTGATCTCCATCTCGAAACTCACTCCTTATACGGAAACTTCCAGTTTTCTCAAACCGCCTCATACCTCGCTCTTCTTGGAGATTTTTTTCATTTTTGGAAGACCAACTTAGCCGCTACTCGGTTGTTTTTTTCTTCTTCTAGGGAATCATGATCCATATCATCTTTCATTCAAAGTTACGAAGACAAAGATACGCAACTTTCAGGCGTCGATGGACAAAAAGGCTTTGATAGGCAAATTTATTTTCCTCGACCAAACAAGATATGATCTGAATAAAGACTTAACTGTTCTGGGATGTACTCTATTTTCCCGGATCTCTTTCCAACAAGGGTTCGCCATTGAAAGTCGCATGATTGATTTTAAAGATATCCTAAGGTGGACAGTGGATGACCATAATGCCGCCCACGAGTCAGATCTTGAGTGGCTCAATGCTCAAGTGTCTAGTATAGCTAGAGATGAGCCCCAGAGGCGAGTGATAATTTTCACCCATCACAGCCCGAGTGTTGATTCGCGGTGTACAGACCCAAAACACAATGGTAGTGATGTATCAACAGCCTTCGCCACAGACCTTAGTCGCGAGGAATGCTGGAATAATCCTGCGGTTGTGACATGGGCATTTGGCCACACGCACTTTAATTGTTATTTCACAGATATGGATGGGAAATCTATTATATCTAATCAAAAAGGTTATCGCTTAATTCCAGCAAAGGGCTTTGATGCAGGAAGGGCTTTCAATATTGGAGATCGTGAAGAAAATGTTTAAATCAAAGTCGGCTCCAATTCACTTCACGCAGCTTTTAGAACCCTAGTTTTTATGTCCTCATGTTTTGACAAGAATTCATCTTCGAGTGCTGCTTTTATCGATTGAGTTGAGAGGCCTTAGCATCCATGTTCTTTTTACGAGGTAAAATTTGCAGGTTGATAATGAGGTTGGGAGAACAGAGGAGAAGAAAGGTGAAAGTTATTTCGATAGTATTTGAATTGAATTGCGGTTTCTGCTAACCAGTAAACGAATCTCTTGAAGTGCATTCTGTAACTTTTACTTGAGACTATATGGTACCCACTTTGGCAGACTGGTTATCAAGGCTGGAATATGGACTCTAGACCTCCAGCGTCTGGAGACCGATAGTGGAAGCGAGCTCAAGGTAATGAGAAAGAAAAGCCATGCTGCTTAATAGAAATGCTCTTGACGTCATCAAGAACAGATGCTATCAAAGTGCAGTGAACCCCATGAGAAGTATAGTCAAAGCAAGATAGCCCTCAATTTTTGGGAGCAGGGTGATTGCACCATTGAATTGAATGGATGATGGTGAAGTTGTCGACTTTCCAGTGACCGTTGTTGGTGTCCCTGACGCTGTAATATTGCTTGCTGAGAGAATTTCATTGACTTGAACCCATAGATCACATCCAGTGTAATCTATTGTACCAGAAGACGCTGAGTTATCGAAGATTAACCCTGGAGTCGTAAGATTCTTCCCCTCATTCTTGAATTGTGGCCAATCAATCTCTTTAGTTGATGGCTTGCCATTTCCTGCCATTTCAGTCCATAAGTTCATCATCTGGCCGCCCAGTTTCCATTCAGCAGATGTAGAATTGCAATCCCCACTGGGAAGATATGAATTGTCTAGATTACCGAAGACAAAGGGAATTTCAGCAGTGTGGGAGGCCGCGAATAAGCTGACGTCAGTATCATTAAATGAGTACAGCCAAGGACAAGTAGAACTGTGGGCGAATTCGTATGTCCACGCTGGGATATTATTGCGAGACGCTTGCGCAGCACCATGCCATGCAGGGCACCTGTAGGTGGAATCGGTTATGACATTTGTCATAGCCAAAAAGATTTCGGCCGAAGTCGTGTTGTAGCCAGCCTGGGAAAGCTGACTGACAGACTTAAGAAGAACTTCAGCCTTTGATTTGAATAAAGATGGCCTATAATATTTGCCAACAAGCGAGGCGGCGTTGCCAAAATTTTTGCGAAGAAAGTCTTGGTATAACGATGCCGTTGGAATTTGTTTAGACTTGACGGCCCACAAGAATGTATAAACAATAGCCTCATCAGAATCTTCGTGTTATTTGATTAGCGAGAATTCCCAGCCTGTCAGAAATATAAAAATAAACATACTGGATCCAAAGACGGCTGGAACTTGCACTCCACGGGTGTAGGGGTCTTCGTCAATAGTATTGCCATCCACATAGGGGTAGAAATTGTGAGTTCCTTGACCCAGGACACTGAGAGTACCCCCTCCATAGTATCCAATTCCCTGCGTCAAGTATTTATCGGCTGGGTACGCGATATAGAAGTCAGAAATTGTCTTTGATTGAAGACAGGCTTTCTGTTGAAGGTTCAGCTTCCAGAGTCAATATCATTAATGAAGAGTCGTGTACTCACATCACTAGAATTGCATTTGAGTATTCGAGCGAATGATGCGCCAACCTTTTGCTGCGTTGAGTTTGCGGTAAGGGTCCTACCACCACCCGATTCAGAGATGATACCATTGATCAAAGAAGGTGCTCGAGGAAGAGAACCAATGATATACACGTTCTCAGCGCCAGCTGATTGTCCAAAAAGAACGACCTTTTTCTAAGATGAAATACGCATGTCAGCTCCGCTTTTTCGGCTCTCGGTTAGGATGTAATGCATGTTCACATACAGGGTCTCCACCAAAGGCCGCGATATTCTCTTGAACCCATTCTAATCCCAGAATAAGATCTTGAATGCCCTGGTTACCATGTATTCCAGCAGTTTCAAGGGCCATAAATCCAAGGGGACCGAGCCGGTAGTTGATCGAGACAAGAATGGATCCTGCCTCTGCAGTGTTACAGCCATCATAGAGGGGGTCCGAGACCGAACCCTCTGTTTCAGATCCACCGTAAACCCAGACTTTAACGGGAAGCTTTGAATCTTGAGTTGCGGTAGATGGCGCCCAAATATCCAAGTAAAGGCTGCAATGGTGGTCAGTATGATCTCCCATCAACATAAAATATGAAATATTCGGAAGGCCGGAGACCCGATGACTCGTCTTACCAGTCTTCAGACGAAAGTGCAGTTGTATTCAATATCTTCTCAGTAAAATCATCCGAGAACTGAATGCAGGTGGGGGCCGAAGTGGTTGCATTCAGTTTGCCCTGAGAATATTGCTTTTTGTAGGCTTTGGGGGGCTCAAAGCGTAATTCGTTGACTGGGGGCTCGGCAAAGGGGATTGACTTGAAGAATACTGCATCTTTACCATTTTCACATCTCCCACCCTGGACTGTGCCAGCATTGATTGTGACAAGAGGAGAGGATGATGCCGCGGCTGCCAAAGCTGACAGAAAAGCAATTGAAAGCAGCTTCATTGCAATTGCAAAGGCTAGGAATTTCAAAAAGATGGTGATTGTATTAAATGAATGAGAAGGGAAAATGACACGGGGGCTCTTGGCCTTTTTATACTGGTTCTGACTTCGTTTATTGTCAATATAAAAATTTCAATCACCCCGACAAAACGCATACTGACAGGTACCCACTACTGAATTGACATCATCCTCAGCCTTTTTGAGATCGACAGTCTTTTGGTTTTAGGGAATAGACACTACTCCATTTACAGCACATATTGCGAGCACCAATAAGCCTCCGGAACTTTTGAATTGACCAGTCTCGCCATACCTAGCGTGTCCCCATATTCCAAACTTTACTATAAAGTATGCCTATAGTGATTTCATATCGAATTGGTTATTTCAATTAAAGGAAGAATTACGAAAATCAGGCTGGCATCGGGCGGCCCAAAGGTCCATGTCACACTGTAGATAAAACAAGTAGAAATAACCCGAATTGTCAGTTTTCTTTTCTCGAAGCTTGTTTATACCCTTCAACGGGATCACGGATTTTATATATATATAAACATGGATATAAATAAACGAACGTGAATCGCATCTTCAAATCAAGAATTTTCCCACACGTCAGCTGCTAGTTACGAAAAATGATGATTGATATACGTCTATATTGGGATAATTGTGCTCTCACAACTAGATTATCTACAACCACTGACCGAGGCGACAAATAGCTTTAGGACACAAGTCTAGGTACAGCAACCCACTTAAGAGTAAATCATTACTGTTTCAGGGCCCGGAATACCCACAGCCAGCTTTCTAACTTGAATACATTTCGTTGTCCAAAGTCTCTATTTTTGTATACTGGAGGGCACCAGGAGCCACGGGTAATTAGCGCAGATTAGAAGAGAAAAGTAAGATTTAATTGGAACATATATGACCTCGTGAAAAACACAAACACTAGATTACTTTTTAGTGCTCATTGTGAGGGAGCTTCTCTAGAGCTGATAGGCTCTCGCAACTTCGACCATTCTAAGTTTAGCGTCATGCGGCTGAGCTTCCAATGAAGTGAACTTACAGATTATACCAGATTGACGATCCCCAGTCTCAGTGAATATCATTTACTGCACTTTTCCACTACATGGCTCGTACTATTCGGTTACACAATCTTTAATTTAACCTAGCATCGTACCAAAACCTGCAAGCCACGCGTTCTAAAACTCGCTTATAGAGGCTTGCGCATAATCGTTAATCTTTGCCCTATATGGGTTAGATCCTTGAGCTACATCGATCACAGCTCACAGGAATAACAGCCTTCTCGGCCATCCCCAGCCTCGCCGACTTCGTTCTTAATTCCTTGCAACTATTTCATACTGGTCACGCTACTACTCATATCATTGGCGGTATTTGTATAATGGTATATGATGGTAAACCCAGTAAAGGTTGTGGAACCTGTCGCTCGCGCAAGATCAGATGTGACCAGGCCCGACCAGGTTGCCGGGAATGCACTCGAACCAACCGAGAATGCCCTGGATATCGCGACGAAATGGGGCTGATCTTTTGTGATGAAACTGAAGCCGTCGCACGGAAGGCGCGGTCTGTCTATTCTTCTGTCGCGGCTTCTACCTCGTCGTCTTCTTTAAGGCGCCCAATTCCGCCCCAGTCGACTAATTCCAGTTTCATAGGGCAAAATTCTGAATGCTCTATAATCTCAGGCTCTTTTACGGGCCTAGGCGACCCTGAATTTGAGTATGGTTCTGATACTGACCTCCAATTCAGTATGCGCCGAGCCAGACTGAGTCCTCTGGGAACACATCCCAACACGGGAGTCTCAAAGCACGAGGCTATTTGTTTCTTCCTCCAGTCGCACACTTTTTCAGGTAACTTTCTGATAAAGGACACTTTGGAACATTTCCTCATGGCGTCTAGTGGGTCATTAGGCCAGCGAGCCATACAATCCAGCATAGTGGCGGTTGCCAGCGCCATGCTCTCGCGTGTTCAAGGAGCTGGAGCATTGTATCAAGTTGCATGTAAGGAGTACGGATTTGCACTAGAGCTTGTCAATCTGGCACTTGCCGATCCCAATGAGGCAAAGACAGACCAGACACTTGGTGCAGTTGTTCTTCTATCCTTATATGAAGTGAGTCCCTTCAACATCAAGAAAAACAAGGTCATATGCCAATGTGAGTAGATCGTTGTATCAAGGTCTCCGCAAGGAATTGAGGGCTGGGCGAGCCATATTTGTGGAGCCGCAGCTCTCCTACAGTACCGGGGCCATGCACAATGGCAAAGCATAGTAGGAATCCGGCTTTTCCTACATTTGCGATATCAGGTCGTAGGTGGGAGAGTATCTATAGCGCTATGAAGAAAAGTTAATCAATTCATAGGTCACAAGCTGCCTCCAGCGCGACAGTCTTGTACCCATCTCTCTATTAGAGTGTACCATCCTCGATACATTCCCTGGAATAAAGAATGATTTTGGAAATAGACTTATTGTGATCATCGGCAATCTTGCAAATCTGCGTGCAAAAATCCGCTTACAAGTATTGACCAACCACGAAAAAATACTGAGTGCAGCCTGTGCTATCGAAGCTGAACTTCTTAGCTGGTTGGCTGCTCTGCCACCGGATTTTACATACAGTACCCATACACTCATGCCACTAGACGCTTCTTTCAAGTACCACTGTCATGGTATCCAACCCTACAAAAATTTTTATCACATCTACCCAGACATCTGGTCGCCCAGTGTCTGGAATCACTACCGCTGCGCACGTATTCTTGTCAGTGAGCTTATTATATCCCAAGTCCACACGATATCCAAAATATCGCCTGCGTCCTTATCTGAAGATTTTCGTTTATACTGTGGGTCTCTACGCTCAACTATACGTCACCTAGCCGTCGACATCTGCCGCAGTAGCCCGTTTCTTCTGGGTGCTTGTAACTTGGAGGTACCTCCAGAAACGCCTATTCTCCCGCCAGAGAGCTATCTGGGCGGTCTCATGCTGCTTTGGCCTCTATTTGTTGCCGGAATGGTCGAGGGACCGACTCATCCACATCGTATGTGGGTAGTACAGTGTCTTCGAATGATAGGGAACAGGTGGGGGCTAGCGCAAGCGCTAGCAGAAATGGATATTCTCATCGTGGACCCTGGTATGTTTTACTCTGCAGAGATTTATGGAGAAGCCGCTGATACTGCGGTTGAGTCGTCCGTGCTTCCGTTCTCAGTCTATCATGTACCTTATGAAAGTCTCTCTGCTTTGAAGGAGTTTCGAGAGCTTCAAGCGACTTCAGCATAAAATCTTGATCCAAGTATTGGGGCTTGAGGTCAAGCCACTTCTAAGCTAGTAGCAAGCGATATCATATCTATTACTACCCAGATGGGTTTTCGTTAATGACATTTCTTGATACCCACTACTTCACGAAGCGTGAAATTCTGCTTGTCATGATGCTATGAATAGGCATAATGATACGGCTCTTCTCAGAGGATCCCTCCTGTGTTTTCCCCAAATTGACCCATTGATGTAACAGAGCTTAAGGCCGATATTAGGCATTTCTACTAAACTGTCAAAGAACTAATCTCTGTCTAAAATTGCACACGCGCATTGGAATGGGCATCACCTGTGGAGAAACACCACATTATCTTCCACAACTTCGACTTTCGCTGTACGACCTTCCTGACCACCAGTCCACAATTTTCGACCTGGCCAGAGTTTCCACAGTTCTATTTTCGGAAATGAGCTGGGCCCGTGGGAAATCTTTCAAGAACGAAAGACTGCTCCCTCGACATCACCTCCCTCAAAAAGTCACGTCTTCGACGCATCAACCCTGCATTAATTTTTGATCAACTTCGACTATTTTAATTGCCCAAAGCTAGCTCTCCGTGCTCGATCCCCTCGCTTCTCTTCCATCTAATCTGTGCAGCATATGCATAATCAAAAGGATCGCCTTGACCAGTACCAAGTTACGAGCAACGACGATGATACCGTGTAGGTTCTCCGGGCATTTCTTACCTACCTATTCCCTGACGGAAAACGAAACCTCGAAAACGACATCCGGTATCTCCAATCTGATTCTGAGATTAGCCAGCACATGAAACCGTTAGTGCACCGCCTTCTCGTACCAACGATGAAGCGTCGAACTCTAGTCATATCAGTATTGTCTCCTCATCTTGGCATCCAAGCCGAAGTCGATGAATGATAATCTGATAAAACCGAATCAGTTAAGTGACTTAAAGACTTTCAGGATCAATGTCTCTGCCGATACAGCATCATGTGCGCAATACCCCCGTGCGAGAAAAAAAGACACTTAAATTAGGTGGTCGGAATACTTCACGTAATACCACTTCTCCACGTTGTAATATCCATATACTCCTTTCTCACTTCCTATGTACCAGAATAACCAAAATACTATGGGTTTATTTACCACACTCTATATCCCATCTTTCCTTTTTATTGTGGACGAATCGTGAATTTGGAAGATTGATATGTCGCTGTAACAATGACATCTTCTATGGGCGTACTAGTCCCGTTTCAGATTATTGATACTTGTAGTCACCTATCTAGGTGCTATACCGTCAAGTAGTTTTCTCCGCTTACTAGCCAGCTTTCACTTTTTTCAACACTCCAAGTTAAATCGAATTCTGAATACTTTATATCTACACTTCAGTTTCCCGACCTGTTTCATAATGTCGTCCTCCACCAGGTCAAGCAGAATCGCTCGAGTCCCCGCACATCACCAGAGAGACTTGGACGCCTTCAAGCAGAGGTCTACAAGTATTGATGTGGGATCCTTCTTCAACTTGAAGATGCGCGAGTTGGAGAACGAACTCATGCAGAGCCGCTGCTTCATTAATGGGTTGACAGCATCAAAGCAACAGGGTATAATCGGGGACAAACAGTTCCACGACGAACTCGAAGTTTATTTGCAGGAGTTTTTTGAGAAACACAGTACCTCAAAGATCATGAAGCGCGAGGCCGAATTCCTTGAAGAAGATTTCCAAGATGCCATACTGGCAAAGAAGCCCCGTCATGGAGAGATGGAGCTGGAGTTCCTCGAACGATCCTACTGCGACACGATAATCCCTCGGGTCATGGCGGCTAGTAATAATGCATTGACTGCCAATAAATCAAAGAAGAGCAAGCAAAGCCAGTTTCGTGCAGACGTGCACGAATACTACGGTATTTCTGGCGGCGATGATTCATTTTGCCATGTCTTGAACATGCACCTCAACGGTAAACTCATCAAGGCTGCACACATCGTACCAAAGTGTCTTAGTCCAGAGGAAGTGGCCCATTTATTTGGGCAAGAAATGATAAATACTATGGACGCCCGCAACGGTAAGCAATTTTCACGCTTTGATGCTTTGATAAATTCAACGCTAATAATCATGTGATAGGTCTTCTCCTCCACCGGTGTATTGAAAATGCCCTCGACTGTGGGGATATTGTCATTGTCCCCGTTGGTAGTGAGATCAATCAACCTTCTCGATGGAAGTGTGTTTTGATTAATGAGGCCAGACGCAACGATATCATTTGGCAAGGCTTCTACCAGACTCCAAATAGGGAAATCAGAAGGTTTAATGTGAGTATAGAAGCAATGATTCCCTGAAGAGGATGAAGCTGATAAAATCACAGGATATCGATGGCAAAGAGCTTACCTTCACAAACGATCACCGCCCCCGGAAACGCTTTCTTTATTTCCGATTTCTCATCTCATATCTCTGGGCTAAGCGGAAGGGGCGAGAGATTTCCGAAGAAAAGGTCCAGGCACGGCGCGTGTGGCCGACGATCGGCCGATATCTTCGTAAATCGACACTCCAAGCGCTATCCAGGTGTATTTCAGGATCCGAACTGGACCACAAAATGGCAGAGGCTAAATTTGATGGCCCTGATGATGAGGCAAATGAGGAGGCGGGGTATACAATGTCTAAATCCATCATCGATAAAGCCGATCACTACAGCGCCACGGTGGATAGCATTTCACGTATGACACTGGATGAAGAGACTAGCGATTCAGAGGGCAACTGAGTGGGTGAAGCTCTAGGACTTAAGGTTCCGCAATTATTTTTGATATTAATGGGTGTTTAAGGTCCTGTGTATACGTGGATATTGGCTTCAGCCTATTATGGTCCTACCTTAGGTAGTCACACACGTGTGTAGAGTTTCTCAATAAAACGTCCACTTATCTATATACTCGATTCTGGTATCATTAATAAGCAGTAGATGAAGAAAGAGCTCTAAGTCTTCTGCTGTGAGGATAATTGGTCTCAGGTCTTTTGAAATATGTTTAGCTGGTGATTTGGCTGGTCGAAGAATTGTTGTTTACACAGCACGTAGTTCTCTGAAAAGTGGAATGTGCATCCAACCTTGGGACCTTAAAAGGTTGAAGGCAGTTGATGAACACAGCCCTGAGACTTGGTAGCTGACAGAATGAGGCCGTCAAAGGCCTATCTTTTCAGGGCAAGGTTGTTTATAAAAATGTTGAGCGTAGCCTCCGACCTACCCCAGTCCTCATTCTGTAATCACCAGTTCTGAACTTCAGAGTTCGAAGCAAGCATTGCGACTTATCACTGAACTTCACTTCATATGTGAATTACATGAGTGAGCTTCCAAAACTGTCACAACCTGGGCATATGTTAATTCGGGCAAAAGATTTCAGGGTTGGATGCAGCTGAACACCTAGACAATCCCGATTTAGGCTTCGGAAGAGTTGTAAGACCTCAATTTTATGGACTGGTCCAAATATTTTTTATTTTAAGATGTTCATGACCTTCTTCAGGTATATAGACGTAGATTATTTCATACTAAAAACTTCTAAGGTTTTGATTAAGTTCCTGAGAATCAAGTTCCGCATGTATGAAATATTGCCGAGCCAGGCTACTCTTGAACCAAAGCTGACTTTTAACGTGGACTTTATTGTAATGGTCTGAATATCGCTCAACTCCTGCAAACCTATTGAGAGAAGGGTGTTCCCAGCTTTTTACGTGATGTTCAAAAAACAAGGGTATGTCATAACAAATTTCCTTCTAGCCTGCGTTACAAGATACTGATTCTTGATATATACATCACTCACATCAAGCTATTGGCAGTCAGATGTTTTGAGCTGGTGACAAGCCCAAGTATCTACATGGGCTTATTGCTCTGGATTATTTCACCTGTTTTCTAGCTTTGGTCTACCATCTTCATCTCCTGGTATCCGAATAGGCAGAATCTTGGAAAAACATATCTACCAGATCTCCAGGCCGAGATTAACATATCTGCCTAAATCAATATCGAAGAGGCGGAGAAGAAAGACATGACAACTGTCACCAAGGCATTTCAATACTCCATCTAGCGGAGTCGATACAATTTACAAAGCTTTTAGCTCGAAGGCTCAGAGCCTGGAAAGAGGCATCATCTATGGTATAGGAGACAGAGAAGTATAGACCGGTGATGAGATAAAGCAATCTTAAATATGGAATTCAACTGAGATCATACTAGACAAGAAATGTCTCATTGGTGCAAAATCGGCTCTCTGAAATAAAGCGATCAGATAGTTGCGCTCCAGCTGCAAAGAAGTCGAAGTTGTTGATTGCAAATAAGTAATAGCTGCTATTAAGGGCACAGGAACCAGATGCTGTCGAGGCATGCCCGTACTTGAGTGCAAGAATAATGGCATACATCGGACAATATTCCTGCAATGATCATGAGGCTCGATTCCAGGTGTGACCAAACTTCCGTGGCAGATCACCTTGCATGCATCGTACGCTATAAGACCTATGGTCCAATATAGTGACATGATATGCACTTGGGCTATTCGTTCGCGAGTCGTGCTCTTGGACTCCTGCCAATCCAAATTTTCGGGGATAGTAATTCCTGAGACTCCTGCAATATCGGTCTTCCAATGAATTAGTTTTTTCATGGTGCTGCAACAAGCTTCATGAAGCCATCCCTGATGGCATGACAGATCCATTTTATCATTGCGCATATTGCAGCTATCAAACTCCTCGTATAAAATAGCTATTTCCAAGAAAATATCAATAAGATGATCCTTTGGGGTTTTCTCATGGTATAGCCATGGTTGGCTCATCCATTCTGGCTCACTTAGTAGAAGTCGTTTTCGCTGTCTGATACCACACAGTGCCTATTCATAAGAATTTTAGTACCATAGGCTGACTATTCATCATTTAGTCACATACATAATGGAGCCGACCATCAACAAAAAATCTGTGTGCTTCGCCAGTCGCGAAATATGATGGCGGTAGCGATAGAACTATTGCGAGATCACCAGATTGATGAGTTTGCCAGCGATTATATTGCCCTTCATCACATCCCCAGTCACTCCCATATAATGCCTAGGTCTGATGGTTAGTAGGTATGCCAAAATCGTCATGGTAAGGAAGACAGAGCTATACTTCATAAAAACTACATAGCCTAGCGGCGCCAAGAATTTCAATACCAGGCCTCTTTTTGCTATTGATCATCTTGCACATTTGTTGCAGCGAATTCCCGAGAAGAATTTGAGCTTGATCTTTCATTTAATGGGGTGTGTTCAATCTGAATCTGTTGGCAGCAGTGCGGAGGAGACGGCTTTTCGGTACTAGATTTTGAAGAACACTAATGGATCCACCCAGTGTTTGCTGTGTAGAGTCGAATATCGATATATAACAACCATGGGGTAAGTAAGAGCTCCAGAATAAATCGGTAACTCCTAACGCAATTGCAGAACATGAAAAGGTGGCATTGGCTACTAAGTTGGTAGGCAAGATACCCTGCTTAGAATCCATGTCTGAGTTTTTGGATAAAGAACTGCGGAATGTCTTTTCCTTGCTCTCGAGATGCTGAAAGCGTAGCGTATCGGTGTCATATTGGTGGATTACAAGGGCTTTAGAGTAACCTTCGCACGGAATGCAAGCCTTTCTGCACTCTCCGCATGATGGTTCTTGTTGATCACACTTCATGGTTTGTCAGTTATAGTATTTCAGAAAATTCAGTGTTTAACCCCTAATTGTCTAGAGATAGTTCACTTACGCCCTTCTTGCGGCGCCTGCAAGAATAGCATCTTCGGGATTGACCCGGGATGCCAACCATATTTATTATGGAGAGGAGATCAAGTCAAGAACTTTGAAGAATTCATCAGTGTTGATATATCTGACAAATACCTATACAGCTGGCAAAGGCTCAAAGACTACTGCAGAAGTACCACTCAGGGGCGCAAAGTGAGGTTGGCATTGGCATTGCTCTAATGAAACAACCCTAAGCTAACCCAAAACGGCAACTCATGGCGCTGGCTGCATAATAGTGGGAGCAAATCAAATACTGGCCAATCAACAATCATCTTTCAAAGTTTCAAGGTTGATGATTGTTCGCTCATCTATTGAAACTCTCCGGATTACGGGTTTGTGTAGGAAGCTGACGTGTATTAATAATACTGAGGAGCCAAGTCTGACAAAATAAGCAGACACTAAGTTGCATTTCAAATATAAAAAGGCCATCATGTCTCTGTAGGTAGCTTTGGAAGCCATTGCTCTCGATCAGATTATCTTCTAACTATCCACTCAATCGTTATCCTATCTATCCGTTCACGATGATCTTTGCTGGAGCTTTTTTCAGCATTACCTTGATGCTTCTGTCTACCATCACTATCGCTTCGGCTACTTCCCCTCCATTCTGCCGAAATGATATCGCGAGCAAACATTACCACGAGCAGATACTGCACCAGTACCTGAAGGTCTGGAAGGGAGTGATCTCATCTCGGTGACCAATCGAAGCCAATTTGGGGCCTTCATTGAAAGATCTCGATCCGGATGGAAGCAATACACATTCGAGCCACTTCACTAGGCCGGAAGTGCACACACCATTGCTGTGAGATGGACAATGAACGGTGTACTTGGTCAGAACTTTACCCTGTTTCCAACGTAAGTCGAATTGCTGTTTCCACCATGATCTCAAGTTAGCGACCATTAACTCTTAAATTGATAAGGACATTGAAACCTGGATCTAAAGTTGCATACAATGGAATGGACTTCCTCACTCTGTATAAGTGTACGGGCTTGATCCGTCACGATGAAATTACGCAAGATCTTATTTCTTACTTCCATCAAATGGGCTTGGAAGGTGTATCAGTTTAAAAGTTACAGGTCACCAACATATACAGCAAGCAGTGTGAACAATCGGCTCTTTATCGAACGAACGCCTGACCTGGAATTGGAATATGAACGATAGATGCAAATCAGACAAATAGAGGGGGCAAGTGCAGGAGTTTTAGACCCAAAATATTTTCTCTATAAACTAAAAGATAAAAGAACCTCAAGTATGGCTCTTCTTTTGCCTTGGCATGCTTCTCGTCAGAGTGTAATATAACAATTTGAAAAATTTCTGATTTATCTCCAGAAGATTGCCATCAAACATGCCGCGCTTACTGTATGCGTGGAATTACATTCAAGTCTCCTTACAAGCTGGAAAATAACAAAAATAGCGCCCAAGGTTCAAAGGGGACTTTCACTTAGGAAAATCTACTAGGATAAAGATGAATAGCTTCTTAAAAGGAAATCTTCATGAAAGTTTCTACATTATGAAAAACGATAGGTTAGTTACCATCGTGAACGCTGTCCTTGGCTCCGTGAAAAAATCGATCACACGAGAAACCTTAGATGACACGCCGATGCCGTACTTCTATAATTGAACTGTAATAAGCTAAGTATGCTTTCAATCCAGCTGTCACAAATCTCACCTAGTTCCCCACTAAAGCATTCGAGTTCTCTTTATTTCATACGAGATCAAAAATATTGCTTGCTTCACGATGTCTGTATTCACTAAAAGTACCACTACCAATCATGTTTCATCTTTTAGCTGCTCTTCTATGATAACAGGGAAGGTTATACTCGTGACCAGTGTTTCTCCTCAATGACCTGGTACAGAATTCTGCCTTTCCATCGCGAAACAACCTCCCAGACTGATAATATTCGCTGGCCATTAGTAGACATTAAGCACAATTTTCGACATGGCTCCCTCGGTTCAAATCCTTTTCCTTAAGTTGAGCTTTGCCTCACAGGCTCAACTTAGAGAAGCGGCCAAGTGAGTGACTTTATATAGATGTGGAGCATGTCGATTTAATGGTAAACAAGATTGGGGCCAATACCAGCAGATTTTAGATGGTGTCAAGATGCAGCTTAGCATCAATCATATCGGTCATTTTCTCTTCACAAACTTGATCATAGACAAGTTGATTTCTCCGAAAATGGACAGGATGTGTCGAGTCATGAACGTAAGTAGCAATGGGCATCGTTTGTCGCCCGGAAGATTTGAAGACTGGAACTTTGATGTTTGTTCCCTTTCCTTTGCCTTGAAAATGGACACTAACCGCGTAAGATCAACCAGGGGGGAGGGGTCAGCAGTGATTCAAAGAAAGGGATCTTTTCAAGTTGGAAGTCCGGATGAGCGACACCACTAGCATACTTCAAAAGCAGCCTAGCCCATCACAAACGGGATATGAGAATTCTGATCGTCATTTTCATCTCTTTGGCAGGGAATCTCGCTACTAAGCTTCTAAGAGTCTTTATAAACATCTGGCGCCATTCATCTGGTATTATCACCGGTAAATGCCATCCATATATTGGCGGTGGTCTCCAATATGGTAGGATATGTTAACATCACTTCAACTTCTATGAAGGGATTCAGAGATTCTTCACCAATCAAAAGTCCATGAATTTCCTCCGCAATATGTCATGGCTTGGCAGCCTTGGCAGTGGTTGGTGTCTCTTTTGATGTTCCATACTTGTTCCACGGGTGAGATGAGGCAACCACTTAGCCCGAGTTTCAATCAATTGTGTGCTCCAGCCACGATATCAATTTCAATAACAACCTGAAATTTTCGAGTTCGCATTCCCGAAAAAGTCCAGACCTGCCTGTAATCCTGGGCAGCAAAATACCAAGGAATTCTTTCTCGTATACGGTGGAAACCTAGATATGTACAGCGAAATACAACACGCACACTGGCAGTGAGCTGAATCAGCTAAATCAACAACCAGTCTGGTCCAACCATTTATTTAAGAAGCTTCGCTAAGAGTTTCCTTGCTTTATTGAAGAATTGATATTGCTGCAGTTAGTTCCACTTTGTATAGTCTGTGCCATTTACACAGCTTCAGAATGTATGTGGCATGTTTGAGAATTGAACATCAGCTCGGCGTCACCGAGAATTGTCAAAAATAGGTCCAAAGAACCGACCAAGTGATGCCCGTGTCACCGGTGTTCAACTCCCTTCCAAAGACCCCGAGATCAGGTACTCGGAGACCGTTGGTGTTGACAGTATAAATACTCTGATCATCCAGGGTAATCAGGTTAAGTATCCTAACCAAGGACTACAAAGGAAAAACTCCGCCAGCCATTTTGCCAAGCTTGGAACAACCTTCAAGATGTTTACATCCTCGATTCTTCTCACAATTACCTCCATTGCATCTGTTGCCTTGGCAGAGTACCGTCCAGATGAGCGTGTCGTGCTCGCAGACTGTGGCATCCACCCACCAAATGGTGAATCAACCTCCCGCCAAATCATGTACTACCACGCTGGCCCTTGGGACGCCCAAGGAACGAGAGGAAAATGGGTTACACCCGACATGATGATCGACGTCCCCTGGGACGGATCTTATCCCTGGCGTAAAAACGGAGTGAAGCGCAAGATGCCTAACGGAGACGAATTCAACATCGTCATCGATCCCTCAATTCCGGACTCAAATATGCGACTTGCCGGTCTGGCTACCCACACTATGGAAAACCATGCTTTCGGATGTAGAGCTCACCATGAGCGTGGTATCTACATCCTAGATGATGGTACGGAATGCGCATCTGCTTACATCTGCGACCATAAGAGTGAGACTCGGCCTGGTGGCGGTGGTGGTGATGCTCCTGCACCGGCACCTGGGAAGACGACTTCGTCTCTTACTCTCTCTTCTGATGCGATATATGTCACGGACTCAAGTCTGCATAAAGAAAACCTCAAGCTTACTGATCCAAACTCCGTCTTCAATACTGTCTTTGATTCCATCGAGGGGAATGGATGTCGAAAGACCGAGTATTCAATCTCTGACTCCTGCAAAATCTCGTACGACTGCATGTTCGCTGGTGGCGATAATGATGTCAAGACTCGGAGTGCTGCCGTTGCTAAGTTCTTGCATGTCTCGGCTGGACCTCAGGTGAAGAAGTCCTGGTATGAAAGCACCACCTATGAAGGTCAGTGGGGTATCCCGAAGTATCACATTGGCTATAAGTATCCCCGCAATGGCCAGATTGTCATTACACATGATAGCGCCATTCAGTCGCAACTTTCATTTGAGATAAAGTGCGGTGGAAGTTGGTTTTGTGATAAAGGCTGTACCGAGTTCACCACTGGAATGATTGCTTTGGGCTATGCTGGTGGCGCAGCGCCTGTTGGTGTTTTTGGTACTTTGACTGCTGGTGCTTGTGGTCTTTTTTGCTGACTTCCATACCTTTTTGGGAGTTGGGGTCACAGGACACAAAGTGATATCCTAGCGGGAATAACAGGAGTATATACGAAGGCGAATCTATAATAAGAAAGACATATTATATTTGCTGTTAAATCGCGATCAGTATCCGCAGCCGTCGTAGAAGCTATTCTTTGGTTCTCTCGAGCTGTACTGATTGGGGAAAGTGAATTCATAGCCTTCGTTCAATTTCAATCAATAGTTTTGGTCTGGTACAGGACATATTTCAAGCTGGAATTAGAGATATATGTTACCGGATCTGCTTCGGTCTATACAAAGTAGACAGCTAATCGGGACGAAGAACGCTTATCTGAAGCATGGGTAATTTTATCATCTTTAGCTCAGACGTTGTGTGGGTCAGAACTGAAACAACTGGTGTGGCTCAGACGGGTGAAGATATATGTAAGTAGAAGTCAAGTAGTTACACTTATGAAATGAGTTCAGGGTCCATAGAAGACAATCTAGACTCACGCCAAGATCAGGTAATCATAGTACTGCGTAAAATATAAAAATAGATAATGACGCAAGCTTCCCCAACTTGTCAAGTGCAGCGCCGATCATGTTTACACTCCCAAAAATCAACTTCCATCTTCCATTTCTCTTCATCATCTATCATATCCATCATGCGGTCTTCTGTCAAGCCATCTGCATATCCATTTTTACCCTTACAAATCATTCGTTTCCTCTCTCTACTTTCAGCTGTCGTCGTCGGAATCATCTTAGCAGTATTTATTTCTCACCTCCACACTGACGGATATAAGTTACCTTTTGCCTTTCTCATCGTAAGGCCCACAGTAACACACAACACATCCAAGCTCGATACTAATGCCAAAATCACTAAACAGCTCCTCATAACCGCCGCTCTTTCAATCGTAAATGTCATCTTCACAGCTTTAGTCGGCTGCTGCTGCGGCCTCCCTACCAAGCTGTCACTAGCATTGAACATCCCTCTCCTCATCCTCTGGGCCATCTCCCTAGCCCTTCTAAGCTATGGAATGTCAAGCACAATCCTCGCCTCCTGCACCAAAGAGTACTGGGGCAACTCAACCGGCATATCTGTCTGCCACAGCTACAAAGCCCTATTCGCATTCACAGCCGTAGGAACAGCATCATACATGGCCGCCCTGGCACTAGACGTGATTGTGCGCGGTCGCCAAAATCGTCTGGGCGTTTACGATCCTATGAATAGTCAAGCTGCGTTTGCGCCCGGCGAGGATCCCATGGATTTTAAACTGGCCGACCGTCGCAGCGAATCTGTGTCTGCTGTGCATTATGACGCTTCACCTGCATCGGGTGGTCACCATGCTACTTTCTCGAATGGGGCTGAATATAGCCATGCTGGTGAGGCACGGGGTTATTATGATGATGCGCAAGCTAGCAGAGGTTATGGGCGTGTTGATGCCTATGAGCAGGACGAGTATCATCATGCTTCTCGTCAGACTGGTTATGATGCTGGCTCGTACCGTTGATATTATGTATATACGATTTGGTGTTTTTTTTTTTTTTTTTTTTTTTTGGATCTTCTGGTCATGTTCTCCAAGAGATTAGGTTGTTGTATGGATGATTTGATTTTTGAGCATGTTTTCTAAACTGTCGGATCTTTGGTGTTACTACGGTTTTTTTTTTTGATGATTGTATGGAAATGAAATAGGAGTCGATAGATGGATTAGATAGCTGACAGCTCTTTCAATGAGCTGCTTTCTAGTTAGGAGCACAACTGCAATCAAGGCAAAGCAAATAACCATCTAGAGACAGTATTGAAATCATTAGATATTGCTTGGTATTGGACGATGGGAGAGTACTAATTTTTAAAACAAAGAAGATCAGGGTCGTAAACGTTTACATGATGACCTCGTTGGCGACATCCTGTGGAAAGTATCAGTTAGCATATAAATAAGATCAAAATATGAGCTTGAACCTACACGTTTGAGCTCTTTGTAAGGCAGGCAGACGCAGTTCTGCACCCGGACCTCGTCACCGACACCGCACTCCTTGCCAAGAATGGTAATACTCTGCACCTTGACGCCTTGCTTGACAATGCTGGTGGAGTGGCTGGTAACGGGGATTGGGGTACCCTCCACACGCGCCCAGGCGCCGACGCGGCTGCTCCAGCCGATGATCGAGTGCATAACACAGGCATCATGACGAATCTCTGAATCCTCAAGGACAATAGCGTCCTTGATACGAGCACCGGCGCCAACGACAACACGGGCACCGATGGAGACATTGGGGCCAAGTTTAGCTGTAGGGTCAACCTCGGCTGTCGGGTGAATGTAAACAGGGGGCACGATGGTGGCGGAAGGAGCGGTGAGCTCTTCAGACTCAGCCTGGAATGCTTTCTGGAGGTAAAGTGCGTTGGCGGGCAAAGCCGAACCAGCGGTCTTGATCTGGCGCCAGAAATCCTTGGTCTCGTGAACGAAGAAACGGTTGCTGTCTGCGAGATCAGACAGAATATCTTGCTCAAGGCGGATGACTTCGTTCTTTTCGGCATCCTCATCATCATCGGCGGCGATGAAGGATGACTCAAGGTTATCGGAGGAGGGGTACGAAAGGAGACGGGGGCGGGTAGTGCGACGCTTGATGGCGCTGCGAATGGCGGGGAAGATGCACTCGGTGGCGAACAGGTACACGCCGCAGTTGATAAGGTTGGAGATGTGTGACTCGGGCTTCTCGACGTAGTGCAGCACGCGCTTGGTATGCGAGTCCGACACAATGCAACCAAAGTTAGTCGCGGCCTCGTTTCCAACTCGGGTGCCCAGAATCACTGCTTCAGCGTCGCGCTCCTCGAACAAACGCAGCATCTCACCCAGAGGGAAAGAGCAGCAGACGTCAGCATTCAGCACGAAGCAGCGCTCCGGCTTGCCCTTGAGGATGGCATCGCGGAAGTGGTACAAACCACCCGCAGTGCCCAGAGCGGTGTATTCGCGCAAGTACTGGATGCGGAATTGGGGGTATTCCTTCATCGCAGAGTAGATGAAGTCGCGGAAGACAGTCTCATCGTAGTATCCAACCAGCAAGACTTCGTGCACATCAGGGACCTTGGCCAGTGCCTTCAAGCAGTGGTGGATGATAGGGTGGCCGGCGACCTCGAACAGGGGCTAGAAACCGTAGAATGTTTGTCAGATTGTGGACCTTGCAGAAGACAATGGAATTGTATAAGAATATGTACGCACCTTGGGCACATCGAGTGACAATGGGCGGAAGCGAGTGCCTCGCGAGGGACCTCCGACCTGTTGATATTAGTTTGTTGTTGTTGTTGTAGTACATGCAAGCGCCAAGTGAGGGGCGAGCATTGCGTCACATACTAAGATAACGGCCTTGGTAGAGGCCTGACTGGCGTGGTTTCCAGTAGGTACTGTAAGCATATTGATTGAGAGATGAAGAAACAATTGGACGAAAATGAAGGATAAACTACAAAGTACCAGGTGGCCGGAATCGAGAGCTTCTAACGCCAAGACGACGCTTGCGGTGGGGTTTTGCTCACCTGACACGATCTATACCTTAATTTTGAGTCCGCCTTTTTCTTACATGCTTGAGTACCCAAGTACTCCGTATATTTGGTGGATAATCTGACATTTTATTAACATATTGAAAAGTGTTGTATCTGCATTTTCACCGAAGAATTAACAATTTATTTCAAACTGGACTAGCATTCTAGAAAGCAATGACAACGATTTAATCAACAATCAATCTGGGCAACAACATTTGGAGCGATGAGAAGACAATTTCATCTTTGCAATCAAGTAACAATCAGGCAAAGTACTCGGTCCATTCTTGTTCTTCCCCGATGGTTTGCTCTTCTCCCGTTTCAGAATTCTCATTGGGATGAACTGAGGTAATCCATGTTTGGGCCTGAGTAAGCTTGGCACGCTCCTTCATTAATTGGAGTCGACGAGACTGTCTCTCCGGGTCTTCGGCCATGAGCTCAACGCACCGGTCTTGCGAGTCGGCCCTGAGCTCATTATTCATCGTTATTACAAGATCATTTTGACACTTTGATCGAATCTTCGACTCAACCAACAGGCAGATAACGTCGAGGAACCGACTACTGGCAATGTTGTAATATGCGCGCGAGCTCTGCAGATGAACATCAGTAAGAGTACCAAATCCCTAAGTCCCCAGTTGCACTCACGGCCATCATTTCCAGCTCCTCTGTATAGTCATCGGGGCCCAGATCAGCCTGCTCAACCTTGGAAACGTTATCTTCCAAGTACTGCCTATGTCGCAGGAAGCATTTTGCGCGAGTCAGATGCCGGGCTGATTCCAACTCGCCCAAAATCAAGACCTTTTGTGTCTTGTGCTGGTTTTGGGCTAGCGTAAACGGTCTGTCATATTCGACATTGAAGTAGTTAACGGCATGTCTGACCGAATCAGCTCTCATATCCTGGGAGAAGGTGCTAAAAACCTTTTGCAGTTCACGGTATAGCCCTGTCTGGCGGTATTGAGTGGCAATGACATCATCAAGTGTTGTCATCAGCGCTTTCAAGACTACTCCATGAACTGCAAAGGTGTAAGCTTCAAGCAACTTGATCCAATGCTTAATACTCTTGGAGTTAAGCTGGCGGATAGCACTTGGGTCGATCTGATTGGGGATGCCAGCATGACTAGACTCTTGCTTTATCAGCCGGACGTCCTCCAAAGAGAATTTTTCGGCCGACGACTTCCAAGCATGAAAATTTCCAGTGATGTACATTTCCCCTTTTTCAAATCCCGTCTTGATTCCCGATCCTTCTACAGGCTTTGATTCCATATCACGTGCTTTGCGCTTCAATCGTCTCGGGGCGGGGCCAGACACGACCTCACAATCGGAATCATACTTCTCGGCAAGAGTGTGCTCATCGGATTGGGCAAGTGTTAAAAGCCTAGGTCTGGTGATCTCAAGGGCTTTCTTGAAGTCTGTATTGATATTGCTCCATTCACGTTGCAACTGGTTACTCCGAAGCCCTCCGTTAAATAGAGTATTTAATCTCAGTCTGAGCGTGATGACCTTTTCCAAAAGAATACACTGTAGATTATCAGCGGGGGGAGCTGGAAGAGTACGCAACTCGATGTCGATTCTGTTTGCTTTGTCATCAATCTGTTTGATGACAGAAGGAAGACAGTTTTGGATCTGAGTTAACAAAATCGAGGACAATGCGGACTGCAAATTTTGCACCCCGAAGCGGTCCTGGAACTCGCCCAGCTCTTGCGACCAGAATGGGCTGTCGAAAAATGTCTCTTCATCCTTCCTCGCCTCGGCGTGGTCGACGTTGGTGTCGGGGTTGTTCTTCACCACGAAGTACCCATGGCCCAGCTGGAACTTGCTCCCATTGAGCATTTCAACCCACTGGGTATGGTCAAGGTCAAGTGGAAGACGATCAGGCTTTGTCAAAACCCCAAGCGTTCGGTCTTTGGCAGCTTTTATACTGCGAATGATTCGAGCCGCGCTCGAATTGGTAGCATCATCAGTCATTGTCAGAGTGAGCAAAATTATGCAATTTGCCTGTGAAATATGCTGCCTAACCATCTTCTCAACAAGGTGTACCAAATAGGCGTCTTTATCGTGTTCAGCCTGGCTGATAACACCAGGGAGGTCGTAAAACGACAGTGTGGGGAAATGAGGGCCAGAAATATCCAGACGGACAATATTTGGCGAGAACAAAACCTCAATATCGGTCGAGGTTTCGGCGTTCTTACCCGGGATATAATCATTATGGTTTGCACTTGGATTGAGAATCGCCAGCTGGGCCCAATAGATCGCATTTTGAACTAATTCTTTGTCTGTGAGGGTTATGAAGGGGAATTCATCCCGCCCACCATAGGAAACCCAAGGACCAAGACAGTCCGGCAACTTTGAAAGCTTACGAGATTTCTTCTGCGGATCATGGGTGTATTTGTTGGACAGATAAATTGAGCATGCCCAATTCTGGTCCGGTTCAGTCTCACAGAGATTTATCTCCATAGGACATCTAGTGCAGGTCCCAGCACTTCGAGGCACTTTTATTTCAGAAATTCCTTCAATAAGGGAGCTTTTGCCAGTGCTCTGGTCACCAACAACACAAATCTTGGGCAGGGCAATCTGATTGTCCTCTATGCCAAGATGACTCAGGTTTTGTATCTTTTTGACCAGTTCCTTCATATCACGGGCCAGTATATCCAGACTTGACGAAATTCCGATGGCTTCTATCGATGGGTTGATCAGTGATGGCCACTTAGTTATTGATGGAACTTGACTTTACCTTCGGCTTTCGGCTCTCTGGTGTGATTCCCCATGGCTGCAACTTTGTAATGTATTGTTCAGGGTAGAGACTATGTCCAGGCATTTCGGGTGCTTAGATGGAGTCCAGCAAAGAAAAAGAGAAGGATGCTTACCTTTTTGGAACCCTTAGACTAATGTGAATGATAGGGTTGACAGCCCAGGGCTATGAAAAAATGAAAAATTAATGGATAGAGATGGATGGAGAAAAGGCAAAGAGAAAGAGAGAGAGAGAGAGAGAGAGAGAGAGAGAGAGAGAGAGAGAGAGAGAGAGAGAAAGAGAGAATAGCAATAGGGTAGAATCGTTATTTACATTGAGTTAGACCTCCGGAGCCTCAAAATATCAAACATTGACACGATATCAAACTTGGTATCCGAATCAAACATGCTAATTTTAGAAATCCAAACTAAGGTATGAGAACAACCTTGAAGCTGGTCCAAACTAACACTAGCAACCTTGGGTAAATATATTGAGGTCCAAATTTCCAGTCTTGGAACTGACTCTTATCACGCAGATTTAACAAGACAATATTGGTGATTTTGTCTGCCCCTGATTTAGCATACTCAGTAGCAAAAGCCTGCTGGTTCAGTAGAGAAACACTAGAAATTCATGATACACGTCTTCAATCAGTGCTCCATAGATATCAAGGCCCGGCCCTAACTTTGAATGGGCGGGGTAGAAACCCCACTGAAATGCCCTAAGCCCTAAGTCCATATCGAGTAAGCATCCGTGATAACTATAAAATCATGTATTTGAAAGTAAAAAGAGAATTGGAAGTAGTATCAGATGGACTTTCGGTGAATAAGAGGATCCATTATCAGGAAATCAGTAGGGAGTTCTCTAGATACTAAGGTATCGTATACTAGGAAGACTGCAAGATGGTTAGTAAGTGACTCATTTAAATCTGTAGCCAATGAGAGATCGACGGGGTCACTGCCGCCCAAAATTTCAACGCCCCTCCACCTTCATCCCACCATCCACTCTCGATCATTCTACCAGACATCATGGCGGATTCTAACCCTGTCAAGGAGGTCGAGACCTCAATTGCCAACCTTTTGCTCGATGATGTCACCGGCGAGAAGGTGTCCAAGTCCGAATTGAAGAGACGCCAGAAGTTGCGCGAGAAGGAGGCCAAGAAGAAGGAGAAGGAAGCTGCTGCTCCTCCCAAGCCTAAGACTGAGAAGAAGGCATCCGAGGAGGATGAGGAGGCTAACCTTACTCCTAACGTCAGTTGATTCAATATCCTTGCGCAGCTCCTGGACTGACATCGCCCCACAGCAATATTTCGAGATCCGCAGCAAGAAGATCAACAAGCTGCGCGAGACCAAGAACCCTGACCCTTACCCCCACAAATTTCAGGTCACCACTGATCTGCGCAACTTCTTGAAGGAGTATGAGGGTCTCGAGAAGGGAGAACAGAAGCCCGATGTCCCTATTCGCCTTGCCGGTCGTATCTTCACCAAGCGTACCTCCGGCGCCAAGCTCAACTTTTATGACATCCGTGCCGAGGGTGTGAAGGTTCAGATTCTGTGCCAGGCTCAATTTGCTACTGGCAGCGTTCCCTTTGAGGCACAGCATGAGCACCTCCGCCGAGGTGATATTATCGGTATTGTCGGTTTCCCCGGTCGTACTGCCCCCAAGAACCGTGCCGATGGTGAGCTGTCTATCTTTGCCACTGAGGTTGTCCTCTTGTCGCCGTGCTTGCACGCTATTCCCTCCGAGCACTACGGTTTCCAGGACAAGGAGCAGCGTTTCCGCCAGCGCTACCTGGATCTGATCATGAACGACCGCTCTCGCAATATTTTCCGTACCCGTGCCAAGATCGTTTCTTACATCCGCAACTACTTCGATAGCCGCGACTTCACTGAAGTCGAGACCCCTATGATGAACGCCATTGCCGGTGGAGCTACTGCTAAGCCCTTTGTTACCCACCACAACGATCTCGATATGAACCTGTTCATGCGTGTTGCTCCTGAATTGTACCTGAAGATGCTTATTGTTGGTGGTCTTGAGCGTGTGTACGAGATCGGTCGTCAGTTCCGTAACGAAGGTATCGATCTGACCCACAACCCCGAGTTCACCACCTGCGAGTTTTACCAAGCATATGCCGATATGTACGATCTTATGGACCTTACCGAAGACTTGGTTTCGAACCTTGTCAAGACTGTCACTGGTGGATATGAAACTACTTTCCACACCCAGGACGGTGAGGTGTACAACATCAACTGGAAGGCCCCCTGGAGGCGAGTAGAGATGATCCCTGCCCTAGAGGAGGCCTGCGGAGAGAAGTTCCCTCCGGGTGACCAGCTCCACACCAAGGAGACGAACGATTTCCTCAAGCGCATCCTGAAGAAGAAGAATGTGGAATGCTCAGCTCCTCAGACTAACGCTCGCATGTTGGACAAACTGGTCGGTGAATTTATCGAGGAGACTTGTGTCAACCCCACCTTCATTACAGGCCACCCGCAAATGATGTCTCCCCTGGCCAAATACCACCGTCAAAACGCCGGTCTGTGCGAGCGTTTCGAGGCCTTCGCTGCTAAGAAGGAGATCATCAACGCCTACACTGAGTTGAACGATCCCTTTGACCAACGCTTGCGTTTCGAGGAGCAGGCCAACCAGAAGGATCAGGGTGATGACGAGGCTCAACTCATCGATGAAACCTTCTGCACTTCTCTGGAGTACGGTCTTCCTCCCACTGGTGGTTGGGGTATGGGTATTGACCGTTTGGTCATGTTCCTTACCGACAACTACAGTATCAAGGAGGTCCTGACCTTCCCCATGATGAAGGAGGACAAGTCTGCAGCAGAGCCCAAGTCTGCTGCTGAAGTTGTCGGCGTTGATGTCCAGCCCGAGGAGGGAATTCGTATGTTATTGCTATCTTGTAACTTCCAGGAACCGATTTCACTAACCTGCACGATACAGCCCACAAATGATTGATATGAATATTTGAGAGATGTTGGTATCTACTGAACGTATGATGACAGTCTTGGTCTTGCATATTGCTTCAACGGTTTCTATGAATACGCCAGATAAATTCTAGGTATCCTAAAAAAAGATATCTCGGCCTCGCCCGAGAGTTATTGACCATACTGCTGTTCCACTCATAACTCAATACTTGTTGGTAAACTTCCAATTAAACCCATAGTCAAATACTGCGCTTTGTGTTCATTTCCAATAACGGAATTTCCGTACATGACTCCCATATAAAAGTCACCGTTTACCTCTCTCACCTCTTCTTCCATCACCCCTCTTCCATTATTTTGTTTTTCATCCACCTCTGCTCTAATCTCTCTTCCCCTTTTTACCGCGACACCATCCTTCGGACTTATTCCTGTTTCATCATCAACTCTCACCATCGCTTCTTCAAAGTGAAATTCACTAACCATCATTCACACGTCTCATAATGGACACTAACGGACTTGACGTTCATCCTAATTCGAAAGTCACGCTTCCTTCCTTTGGCGATCTCATAAAGTCGATCAGTTGTCAGACTGAGTACTACTGTACCCTTTGCCACGGTCCTCTGATCCATGCTCAAATGGTAAGTCCTTATACTACAACAGTCGAGGGATGTCTTCGAGAAACACCTTCACACATTCAATCTTTTTCGCGTTATCAACTGAATCTTCTCCCCCTTCTTGACTTGGTCCTACATCTTCTAGTATGAACGAAGTCATACATCAGACATGTCAACTAACTCGTATATCAAATAGGATATCTCGACGCTTGCCCCGGCCGAACTTCCAGCTCATATCATAAATGCCTCAACCGTGTCTCCTGGACCTGGTGATCCCTCTCTCACTGATGAGGACTACGCTGTTACCAGTCATCACTTCCCTGCTGGATCTCATGGACCTCACCAGAACGCTGCCCTGAGATCGACAACTTCTCATCTTGACACCCCAGCTCAGGGACAGAATGACCGACCCACTGTCTATGGCAAGAAGCGCTCCCCCAAGACCATGGGAGTTCAATTCACCGACGTGGCAGCCCACACTGCCAAATGCGACATTTGCGACAAACGCAACCGTGATGGCATGTCCCGCTGCTTGACCTGTGGTTGGCAATGCTGTCGCCTGTGTCAGGTCGACAAGAAGGGTGACCGATCCCACAACTCCTTCAGCCACAGACATGAGGAAGAACTGCCTGTATGTACCCAGCTTTGTAAATGGTGTTTTCCGTCGTTTGTATATATTGATCATTATTGAGACATTTTCAGAGTACTACCTTTGGCGGAAGAACTCGCCAAGCTTCCAAAAGCCAGGTGCAGCTTAGTGGCTCTGGTCTGTCTGTTGAGGACTTCGAACGTCGCAATCCGCCTCGTCGTGCTCGTCCCTCAAATTTCAAGGATAATGAGTGATGATGTACCGCACGGAAACTAACGCTTGAAGGCACAATAACTCGTTTTATCTGTGGAGGGTTATCAAGAAGTCAAAAGGTCAAGATTTTGAGCTTGGGATATACAAAGAGTGTGATTTATTGCTAGTTGGCCATTCTGGGCTACACAAATGCAGATGATAGATAATTTTAATCGGAACTGGAGGAACTAGCATAAAACGTTTGAATTTGGATATTTTGATTTATATGCTTACGAGACGTAGCAAACATGATCAATATATGACAAGCTAGTAGTAGGTGGGATATAAATGCATTCTCGACTCGAAAAGGAATGGAGATAGTACAGAGGACCAAGTCGTGACGGCGGTAGCGACCTGCTCTGGCGAGTATAATCTTACAATAAAGTACAAGTCCTCAACCTTACACTCTCTTGATAGGAGAGGCAGCTGAGGACAACGGGGTTTGGCCACGAGCCTTGATGGCCATCTGCAACAACTTTGCGGTGCGAGATGGGTGCCAGACACGGCTTCCCAAGATGAGAACCCAAGTAAGGAGGAAAACGCTACCAGCCTGGTGGGCAGAGGCAACATGGGTAGGTACGAGGTAAAGTAGAGTACAGATACCCAGAGTAACCTGAAGACAAGCAAAGCCTACCACACCATGCATACCCTTCTTGGCTGCACGAGGCAAAAGGCTTTTCATTGCGGGGGAGCGTTTTGTGTAGAACATCAGAGCCATGATAGCGGTGAAGGTGGTCACAGCGAGGATACGGTGGTTCAGCTGCACGAGGGAGGGGTTCTCAAGAATGTTGCGCCACCAGAGGTCAGAACGATCCTCGTGGCGGGAGTAGTGGGCATCCCACAGCTCGGAGCTTGGGGGTGTTAATCCATTACCCATGTACGGGAACTCGTTATAGATAAGACCGGCATCTAGACCGGCAACAAGACCACCAGACATAGCAGTGATGAAAACCATAGCGGCAAGACCAGCCACAGAGCGGCGGAAGAAAGCTAAGCGGGGGTCACGGAGAGCATCAAGGGACTTGAGACCCTCAACGGGATCCTTCATGAGTCGGTGAGCACGGAGAATGGCAAGGCCGTTCCACAGCATGGCAGCGTAGCAAGTGAAAGCGGCGCCCAGATGAGCAGTCAGGCGGTACTGGCTGACACGCGGGTGACTACCAGGAGCGAAAAGGTCATCCTTCAAGCCGGATTTAACCATCCACCAACCAAGGAAACCCTGGAAACCAATCAGAGCAGAAATACCGAACAGACGCCACGCCATGGGCGTAGTGACCTTCTTGCGAGCGACGAAGTATACAGCAGGCAGGACAAACGAGAGACCAACGAACCGACCCCAGAAGCGGTGGATCCATTCCATGTAGTAGATAGATTTAAATTCGGCAAGGTTCATATTCGGGTTCAATTGCTTGTATTCGGGGGAGGCGCGGTACTTTGCAAACTCCGATTCCCAATCTTCGTCGTTCATGGGAGGCTTCGATCCAGTGACAGGTTTCCACTCGGTGATACTCAATCTGTGACAAAAAAAAGATTATTCCGTCAGCGTTACAAGATCAAATCTCGATCCACAACAATTCACAAACCCAGATTCAGTCAATCGAGTCAATCCGCCAAAGACCACAAGGCCAAACACACTCGCTGCGCTACCAAGTAGCCACCATGCGACGGCCTTGTCGCTGATCTGGGTAGAGCTTGACGAGACTTTGGCGCCAGCTTCCTTTACGGCATTGATTGCTGCTGGCGCCGGGGCTGATCGCCGGATGGTGGATGTAAAGAACTGGCGATACTTGTCGGTGAAGAAGGTCGATTGAATCTTCCTAGATTGAGGAGATTGTATCGAAGCAAACTGGCGGACGGAGCTCGTCACAAAGCCCTGATTCCGTAGACTTTGTCGGCAGGTAAAGATGTCCCTAGACATGCGGGGAGCTAGACTCCGCCAAATTGGCAGAGGGGTCCCCAGTGAAGCCATGATGGGCAATAGAAAAGCTGGAGAGTCAAAGAATGAGTGAATCTCTCGAATTTGAAGTTCTAAGGGTCCCGAATCATGCAATGGGATGTGGGTCAGCCAGACCAATCAACAGCTTCAGATTTGCTATATGATTGTGCCATGTAAAACTAGATTTATCAGCAATGGTAGTAGCTCTGCTCTATTTTTTTTTAGATATTTATTTAGGTACTTAAAATCAGAGTGGGATATTTGGTAGTCTGAAATCAGGTGAATCAAAGAGCTCAATTGAAACAATTGCTTGAAACAATTCACTTTCATCGTGGAATAGTTATTAATTCATGTAATTGTTGTGCCTGAGGTGTCGACATGGACTGTTATCCGCAACTCACAACACTCTTATCGATCTGAATAATAACCTTGAACCACCATCTTGTCAATCAAGCGTCGCCATGTCATATGAATTGGAATCGAAGAAACGAAAATTTCACCGTGTGCTGGAATCGATCTCTAAGCCCCCTGCCATCGATCTTACCCCGAAACCCACGAGCACAACGCCTGCGACAGCACAAGATCATCCTCCGACCAGCCTGTCAATCAAAAAGGTCCGATTGAACAGTAAAGACACCTCAAATCTCGCATCTGTATCAACATCCACTTTGGCTCTCCCTCGATGCTCGCGAGTATCATCCACATCCTTTAAGCGCCCGGCCTTCGCACCTTGGGACCGCGAATGCTTCCTCGAGCGGCTGGAGACGTTTCGTCGCGTAGACCGATGGACCTCTAAACCTCCTCCGATCAATGAAGTCCAGTGGTCAAAACATGGCTGGGTTTGCTCAGATGTAATGCGCGTGGGCTGTGTTAGTGGTTGCGGTGGCTCTGTCGTGATCAAGCTGCCGGAAGATATTGATGATCTTGATGGGTACGATGCGGAAAAAGCCCAAGAGCGAAAGGAAGTTTGTAAGTTTCTGCGATTTTTCAGTTTATACCACGAATCCTCGGTTATTCCGGTTTACTGACATTATCCAGGCGCGAAACTCGTGGAGGAGTATGAGAAACGACTAAGTGACGGACATAGTGATAACTGCCCATGGCGAAACAAGTGGTGTGATGGTATGTTTCCTTGAAGCTTTCATTCGTTGATATGTGGGTTTCTGACTCCTTAAAAGCCACTATTCAACGTCTACCCTTGAGCAACCCTGACGTGGCCCTCTCCGGGCTTCGCGAGAGGTACTTGAATGTGGTCAAAATGGGTGACAAATTGCCCGCTGAAGATGCCTTTGAATATCTAGAAGGTTTTGACCTTGATGATACTATCAAAATGCTGCCTGAAGAGTGGCTAAAGCCTGAGAAAACGCCAGAGAAGACAAACGAAGAGAGTGTGGCCAGTGCGGAAAAGGTAGAAACACCCAAAGAACCGACAACTGAACCTGTATCAATCAACCGAGCAGCATTTACACTGGCGTTTTTCGGTTGGAGTACAGTAGACGATGGAGGTGCCGGTCTTGTCGGGTGCAAGGCGTGCTTCCGTCGTCTAGGCCTATGGATGTACAAACCCAAGGAAAACGGAGATATCACCGTCTACGCTTCTTTGAATGCTGCTACCGAGCACATGGAATACTGTCCTTGGATCGACGGCTTAGCTCAGAGTGGAACGGGGTCTCCAAATAAGCAAGATGGGTTGCTTAGTGGCTGGGAAATAGTGGCCCAAGCGGCCAAGGTCAAACACCGCCGACACGCTCGATCTAGGATGTCTATGGCTTCAATCAATACTGAACCAAGTACACCAACCCCAGACCTGGATCATGATGGCTTGATTGATGAGACTGCAACTCCTAGAAAGACACCTGATCGAGAATGGTGGACCAAGTTCCGCCGAATGCGACAGGTCTTGAAGACCAAATCACCTGGGCGCAAATCTGTGGCTCCAAAATAGTAATCCCTACTTTCATAATCTTACCCAGATATTATTTCTTTCATCGCATAGCATTGCGTACGGTGGAGTTTGGAATAGAGAGCAACCGATACTCCGTACCTAGGCACATCAATAATAATAATTTTCATCTTTCAGACGCTTTCGTGGTTGTGAAATCACACCGTATTTAGAGCCTTGAAATACCGAGTTACAAGTTTTGATCAGTATTGAGGTTAGTAATTTAAATAACCTAGTGTCGATTGTTGATTCTTAACTTTGTAGAATAAGTCTTCACCCCGATCAACAAGCATCACAACCTAAGTAACAACACGTCCTAACTGGAAATTAATTCTAGACGACATTACTTCCCTGCTGCCTTGGTACCTCGCATGCTCAAATCCGCACAAAAACAGTATTTTCTCGTCTCACACATCTTAGCTTTCAGCATCAGCACCACTTGACTCGCTGACTACATCTTCTCTAACGGAGACAATGACTCTCTTCAGTGCAGCTGAAAAGGGAGACCTGAGGAAAGTTCAATATCTTATCTCACAAGGTACTTACGTCGGTGCCAGCGATTATGGATGCAATGCAACTCCCCTCCATGTTGCCTGTGCACAGGGGCACGTAGAGGTTGTGCGAACTCTTCTCATGAATGGTGCGGATTTTGAGTGTGATTCCGATAACTATGAATTTCCTATGCACGCTGCCTGTGAGGGAGGGTCCCCAGAAATTATCAGACTCCTGCTTGACGCAGGTGCGGACGTCGACATCAAGACTCTAGATGGCAGAACACCTCTTGAGGAGGCTATTTTTGCGGGACATTTAGAGGCCACGCAAACCCTTATCGACGCAAACGCGGACATCCATGTCAAAGGTGGCTTCTTTGGAACTGCGCTTATTGCTGCCGTTCATAGCCAAAACATCCCGGTAGCGCGACAACTTCTCCGAATGGGAGCAGACCCGAATGCTGAGGCTGGCGAGTATGGAAATGCTCTCATGGCTGCTATGCAACCTGTAAATAAGAAGTCAGGAGAAATACAGTGTGAAAGACTGGAGATGGTGTCCCTTCTTTTAAAGTATGGTGCTGAACCCGATATGATTACCACCGTCGTGGGAGACGTGTTGAGCGAGAGGGTTATGGAGCCCCCTCTTTACTCTGCCATTATGTCATCGACTTCGAGAACAGAGGGGATTGAGATGGTCAAGCTTCTCTTTGAATATGGCGCGGATGCCAATATTCAATGTGGTGAATATGGAACTGCTCTCGGCGCTGCCCTTTCTCTTGGAAACTCATCCTTGACGGAGCTTCTTTTGGATAACGGCGCGAATGTCAATGTCGGAGGCGGCGAACATGACACTCCTCTCATTGCTGCTGTTGGTAGCAGCAATTTGCCGATGGTAAAGCTTTTTGTTGACAGAGGCGCGCGTGTCAATACCATCGGCGGCGAATACGGCACTGCTCTCCATACTGCTGCTAGTATGGGGAACGCTACCCTAGTGAAGTATCTTGTTGAGAGTGGTGCGGATGTCAATATCATTGCCGGCAAATATGGAAGTGTCCTAAGTGCTGCCGCTTATTCGGCGGATCGCAAGTTGGACATTTTGCTGGCTGCACGTGAGGATGAGGCTAGGAATATTAGACGTGACGCGAATCCACGTGCATATTACGAGGTTGAGTTACAGTCTTCGCCAAAGCCAATTGAACCATTGGAACCTGAAATCATCGAAGTACAGTTCAAGGAATTGTTCCCGTCGATCAAAGAGATTTTTGAATTTCTTCTTCTTCGAGGCGTGGATCCCAACGCCCAAGGCAGCAAGTATGGAAGTCCCCTTCACATTGTCTCCGCCTATCATTTCCAAGAACATGCTCTTGATCTCTCAAAATTTCTGATTGAGTATGGCGCAGATATCAACTTTGTGGGCGGCAAATTTGACACTGCTCTTCACGCAGCCGCCTACAAAGGACATGTTAACCTCTTCCAGTACCTTCTCGACTTGGGTGCGGAGATCTGCATTCATGATCGCGAGGGTAGAACTGCTCCTGATCTTGCCACTCAAAACGTCTCAGAGATCCTGAGGTGCGTTCTAGTGAAAAAGTGGATTACTTGGGAAAGCTGAACGTTGGTGATAGGGCCATGTATGACTAGTTATTGACTAGTTATTAATGTTACGAGATATGAGATTACTCATCCGCTGTACGTCGTAGCTGACCATCTAATTGGTCTATTCAAGACCCGCAATATCGGAGCTTCTTTAATCTCAGACTTAATCTTCACTTCTTTTTAGTTGACTTTATTCAATTCTTCAATTCCTCATTCTTTTACTATCTATCTCATCTGCCTGGATCATCACTCTATTTCCCACCTTTGTTCGATTCTGCAAGCATGGAATCCCCCTCGGATGGTCCCAGGTCATCAGGAGATTTTAAGAATGGAGCTCATCCTTCCCAAGATGAATCACCAGGCGGCAAAAAGCGCAAGATGAATGAAGGTCAAGGCAAGGCAAACGACAGTCAACAATCATCGTCCGGTCCTCTCTCAAAGCGCCAGCGGATGCAGGAGCGACATCAAGCACGCAAGCGTGGCCGGACGCCGCCTTCAGTCTTCTCGCGACGCGACCGCTCTCGTAGCCCGATCAACTCTACATCACACGACGCTCCATCTGCACGGGTTCGATCGCCACTACAGCCTCCCTCGCCGCCCCAGGAAGAAGCACCCCGACAGCGCAAAAGACCTGGTGGCGGCGCACGCCTGGGTATAGCTGACCGCGAGACGATCCGACGAAGACAGGAAGAGCGTGAACGCGAATATGAGGAGGATTTAAACCGCATGTCTCGAGACCGTGGTGTCACCGATGTCGTCCGACAGCACTACAATGCCGTACCACAGCGAGGTCGAGAGTGGCGAAAGACTGAGAGCAAGATCAAGGGCCTCCGAAGCTTCAACAACTGGGTCAAAAGCACCTTGATTCAAAAGTTCTCACCCGATGAAGAATTCACTGCGCGTTTCAATGACACCAAGGACTGGGCCAATGACAGTACCGGCCCGCCGCCAATGGATAACAAGGGGCTACTTGTGCTGGACTTGGGATGTGGCAAGGGTGGTGATTTGGGCAAGTGGCAGCTGGCTCCGCAGACAGTGGAACTCTACGTGGGACTTGACCCTGCCGACGTCTCTATCGAACAAGCACGCGATCGGTATCTCCAAATGCGATCTGGTCGGGGTCGTGGCCGCCGTCCGCCCCAGTCTCTCTTTCATGCGGAGTTTTCTACGAAGGACTGCTTCGGAGAATCATTGGGCGATATCAACATCGTCAAGCAGGTAGGAATTGATCTCAATGTGGGGCCTGGTGGCTCTATGATGGCTTCCCGATGGGGAGGCGGTGGCTTCGACGTGGTAACATCGATGTTTGCCATTCACTACGCCTTTGAAAGCGAAGAGAAAACCCGCCAGATGCTCAGCAACGTGGCAGGCTGTCTCAAGAAAGGCGGTCGGTTTATCGGAGTGTGCCCTAACTCGGATATGATTTCCAGCCGTGTCATCGCATATCACAAGAAGCGCAAGGAGAACGAGGCTGCCAAGCCTGCAGAGCCAGAGGCACCGGAAGATGGTGAAGTCCAGGAGGAGGATCGGGCTGAATGGGGAAACGATATCTACGGCGTCCGGTTCCCTGGACAGACACCCGAGGACGGTGTATTCCGCCCACCTTTTGGATGGAGGTATACCTACTTCATGCGAGAGGCAGTCGAAGAGGTTCCTGAATACGTTGTTCCTTGGGAAGCATTCCGAGCGTGAGTTGCAGCTGTTTATCTGATTTCATTGTGCTCTACTGACTTTTCAATCTAGCTTGACCGAAGATTACAACTTGGAACTGCAATATCGCAAGCCTTTCTTGGATATCTGGGAAGAGGAGAAGAATGATCGGGACTTGGGACCGTTGAGTGAACGCATGGGTGTTCGTGACCACGCAACTGGTGCATTGGCGATGACGGAGGAAGAGAAAGAGGCTGTCAGTAAGTAAACTGGAGTTATACTCAGTCTTATTTTTTGCTAACTCGATATAGGCTTCTATCACGCATTCTGCTTCTACAAGGTCTAGTTACTTAGAACAATAGATCAACACGGAGTTCTACTCCAGCGAATCTGCCAAATCTCTTTGCCTGATTATTACTAGATCAGCTGATAATAATGATCGCTGTCCAGTATTGCCCTATATGAAAAGCTAAGGGTCAAGGGCTAATTAGAGAAAATGAAAGTCCTAAAGGAAGAATACCAAGTATAAACCGTGGGGTGTAGATAAGGTACCACGATAGGCTTATCACTCCACTGTAACCTAAATGGGACTAGCGTGGTCGCGACGCGTCAAAGATCCAAATTGCTTTACGTCTTTTATCATAAAGAAGTTCACTCTCCAATTTATCTCCCTCTCTCACAGCATCAAAGAAAAAGGCATATTCTTTGTCTTCTCCTACATTTAGTCGAAATGTCCTCAACTCCCGCGCGAGCACGTTCAAGAATAGTGTCTCGCACACCAGTAACTATGCCTCGACGCATAGACAAAGCAAGACCCGACACAGTCCCGGAGATGCCAGAGTATGAACCTCCATCGGTTTCTCTAAGGGCAGAAGCACAGCGCCATCTCGCCCAACTGTTAGAGTCACAAGAACTGCAAGTCGTCAAGACGCAACTCCAGCATGCGACCGAAAAGCTCGGTATTTCTGTAGGCAAGGTGACCGAGAAACTGACAGATGCACGAGTGCAACATGAGAGAGACAAAAATAAGCGACTTGCCGATGGGGAAGAATGGAATGATCAAGCGGCAGATGAACAACTGGCGGAGACGGAAAAAAGGCTTGGTGCCCTTACTGGACGGATAGACGAGGAGATACGCTATATCATTGACGGCGAGACTCGCTTGGAGGAGTTGGAAAATTCTATCAATGTTATTGTTGCGGAAGAGGCAGATGCGCAGGCCTCTATGCATTCCCCAGTGGAGCGACGAACACGAAGTTCCCGGCAGCAGCAGCAACATGATGATGACGAGGATGAAGTTGACCCGAATCGCGAGACTACCCCGGAACGAGAAGCAAGGGAGCGCAACACGGAGAATCCACCTAGCGGGAGATTGGATAAGATGTTAGAACAACACAATAAAGAGTGGAATCAGCTATCATTGACTGAAAGGTATGCTGCATTATTTTCTTCTTTTTTTTTTTTTTCTTTACAGTTGCTGATTGTCTCAGGTACTCTAAAAATAACTCCTATATCAATTTCTACCGCCATGTACACAATGCGAAATTTCCTGGTGACGAAAAACCTCCCCTACCACACTCTTCCACCTGGTTTGCGCATCTTGAAGATACGAGTGCAGGATCGCAGGTCCAGTCTCGGACCTCGGCTGGCCAGAATCGATCTAAGCGCAGTCGACGCGAACCCTCGCCGGCGGATTCAGACGACATTGCCATTGCAACGGAGCGCATCTCATTGAAATGTCCACTCACACTACTGCAATTCCGTGAGCCAGTCACCAGCACTAAGTGTCTACATAGCTTCGAGCGAGAAGCAATTCACGAAATGATCTCCACCAGCTCCACTAGCATCCCGACTCCTGGCACCAATGGACGAGGCGGTCAACGAATTCGTGTAGTCAAATGTCCCGTATGCTCAGTTCCTCTGTCCGTTGGCGATCTCCGCCCCGACCCTGTTCTGTTACAACAAGTGCGTCGGGCGGAGGAATTGCAGGCGCGAAGAGCTGAAGAGGAACAATCAGAAGAAGAATCAGAAGATCAACATCAGTCAAACCGTGTTACGCTAGCTAGCGACGCGGTTGATGCAGACAGCGACATTGACGTTGATGTCGAAGTTGAGGATGACTCAGATGCGCCACCTATTAAGCCTGAGCCTGCAGCTACTCAGCAGGGAGTCGATACTCAGGAGATCCAGTCTGAGCTAGAATCAGCATCAGTATCGGCATCAGCATCATCATCGTCCGAGTCAGTTTCAATGGGCTCAGGGTCTGAATCAGGGAGTGAAATGGATGAGGACGAGTAGAATGGAACGTGATGTCTTATCTTCATCCGTCATCATGAGTGGTGGAGATAAGAATGAGAATGAGTTGGATGTCGAAATGAACCCTTGCTTATCACTACAATCGTACTTATGAGCCAACTAAGTTCCGAGTACCATCTGGACAGTATAACATACCGTCTTTATTTTGTACTCAATACAGATTAACGGTTTCCCCACAGATAACACTAATCCCAACATAGAATGGTATTGGTAGCACATGTAATTTCCTGCTCCGTGTTTAATTTTCCGAGTACATTCAGCCCCTAATGGAATTAACATAAATATGGTAGGGTAACAGTTGAACAGTTCACGATATGGGATATCACGCGACAAAGTAAACAGAGGGTGTAACTCTACTATCAAAGCGGTCGCTTAACAGAACCCAATCAGAAGTCCTAACCCCCGCAAACCGATAGAGGATCATCTTACAGGGTTTAACATGGAATACGGGCTTAATTGATTATGTCCTTTAATTTAGGAGATTCCCGATGTTACCTTGACTAATGGTCGTATTTTTATCTTTCTTTTTTCCACTTTTTGTTTTTGGCCCCTAAAAATTGAATTTAGGATGGCAGCCGGAGCTACTACTTCTATTCTTCCTTCTCACCCCCAATCCATCTCTCTCTTTATTTCCACCCTCTAATTCCCTTCAATTTCTCCCCCTTCTTTGTGATCCCACCACTTGGTGTTATTGCTCTAATGGCAGAGATTGAATCCAAGTCTGCTCAAGTGGCAGCGGAAACCACTTACCCTCACGAAATCACCTCTGTCGATCACCCGATCCGCCCCAATGGATGGATGTACAAGTCCATCGTTGGATCCTCGTTCTACTATGCTTCCCCCAAGTTCCAGCTGGGTATGGTTGCCTTCGTCTGCTTCCTCTGCCCTGGCATGTTCAATGCTCTGAGTGGATTGGGTGGCGGTGGTAAGACCGATAACAGCTTGGCTGATAAGATGGTATGCGACGCGCCCCACAAACCAAGTTCATGGGTTAATCGATACTAATGAACATGTCAAATTTTTAGAACATCGCGCTTAACTCTACTTTCGCCGTTGTGGGTTTCTTCGCTGGAACCATCGTCAACCGTATCGGAGTTCGTCTTGCCCTGTCATTTGGAGGTATTGGTTACTGCATCTATGCCATCAGTCTGTTGGTTTCCGAGCACAAGGATGTCGGTGGTTTTAACATTTTCGCCGGCGCCTTCCTGGGTGTGTGCGCTGGATTGTTGTGGGGCGCTCAGGGAACTATCATCATGTCGTATCCTTTCGAGCAGAAGAAAGGTCATTACTGGGCTTGGTTCTGGGGTATCTTCAACGTCGGCGCCTGCATTGGTGCTTTGGTAAGAGACCCATCCCCTCACCCCTCAGCTTAATCACAATCTAATACTCAATTCTATCCAGATTCCCCTCGGTCAGAACATCCACGTCACCGAGAAGAAGAATGTCAACGACGGTACCTACATCGCGTTCATCGTGTTGATGGCTTTCGGCGCAGTCCTAGCCCTTTTCACCTGTGATGCAAACAAGGTGGTTCGCGAAGACGGCTCGCGTGTTGTTCTGATGAAGAACCCCAGCTGGAAGACCGAAATCATCGGCCTGTGGCAGACTTTGGTTGCGGAGCCCTGGATTATCATGCTCTTCCCCATGTTCTGGTCATCCAACTGGTTCTACACTTACCAGCAGAACAGCATTAACAACGCCTACTTCAACACTCGGACCAAGGCCCTAAACAACTTCCTCTACTGGTTCGCCCAGATTGTGGCTGCTTGCATCATCGGCCCCCTGCTTGACATCGAGAGCATCCGCCGTACAACTCGCGCCCGCATCGCCCTTCTCACTCTCTTCGTCCTAACCATGGCTATCTGGGGTGGTGGCTTCGCCTGGCAGAAGAAGTATACCCGCGCCGACGTGGACTCGAAGGACTTCAAGGCTCTCGATTGGACCTCCCACGGTTTCGTCGCCCCTATGTTCCTGTACTTTTTCTACGGAATGTACGATGCAATCTGGCAAGGAACCGTTTACTGGTTTATGGGCGCCCTCGGTAACTCAGGCCGCAAGCTCGCCAACTTGGCCGGCTTCTACAAGGGTCTACAGTCCGCAGGTGCAGCCGTCATGGCGAGTGTCGATAACAATAAAACCTCCTACATGGGCGAGTTTGCCTCCAACTGGGGTCTTCTCGTCGGCTCCCTGCTTTTCGCCGCCCCCGTAGTGTTCATGCATATTCGTGACAGCATTCCTCTCGAGGAGGACCTAAAGGGCACTGATGAGACCGCCGCAGACGTTCTCCCTCCTATCGAGGTTGAGAAGCGCTAGATGGGTACATCCCGTCTAATGTATCGATTATATCGCTTTATGTGTCAGTGGTATCATCTCAGTCGGGGCTTTTTTTTATGGTTGACGCCCCCCTGTTTAACTTTTATGTCTTACGATTGTAGTACCGAGGTACACTTAATGATATTCAAATAAATGAATCAATCCAATCCATGTGCATGTAGCTGGGTAGCCCTGGAGTTGAACTACTAGGTTCTAGATGATCGACCAGCTCAATGGATTCAAGTCATGGAACCTTCCAAGGTTCCAGGAAGATCTACTCGAATGCTGTACGCCGGGTGCCCTAAGACGCTGTGTAATTTTTCAGGGTATACCTACCTAGATATGTATCACCAGCGATATTTGGGATGTTGGTAACATGAAACTTAAACTGTTGCACTGCCATTAGATAATGGACCAGGTCTGACTTGATTCTATTGTACAAACTGCACAATGCCGTGCTATTTCAAGGTCATAGATATTTCCCAATGCGGTGCATACTGATACCGGGGGAGGTACCATACCTACCTACTAGGTACACTGGATGCCTAATTACGCAGTTTTAAGATTGGAAGACCAGAATAGATCGTGAAAAAAATGCCATATATGGGTATTCTTTCCCTTTTTTAAGAGAGACTAGTGCTAGTAACCGAGATCACCCATTGACTCGGAGAATCCTCGATACTTTTTCCAGCTGGTTGTATAGGAAGAAAGACAGGTACTGAGCGGTATAGAGTCAAGGGTATTGCAAGCTAGAACCATGAGTTGATAGACGCTACATCTCTCATGAATGCATGTAAGAATAGTTGAAACAGCAATTGTCCGATGCAGACTGTTGAGGGTATAGCAAGTAGTCGACTAGAATATAGTTGACTTGTCAATGAGACAAAAACGAGTCTAATTCAGATAACTTGTCAGCTGTGTCTCTTTTTTCTGTGTAAGAATGAAGGGAGATCATACTGTACTGAAAGAAAGAAAAAAGAGGACAGGGAAAAAAAAGACTCGAAGCTGAACTCGCATCAAAAGGGCATCCTCTATTTGGTGATGAGGTTAAGATAATCGGCCACAATGAGGGTCACCATCCTGCGAAGTGGGTCAGCAATCAAATCAAGGGTTCAAAAAAAGGTGGAGAAACTAACGCATGAGGCGCGATCCGCACATAATAGGTACCGAAGCCTCGGTAAAAGCGCAACCAACCCTCCTCAGCAACAACCTTCCTCGCACAATCCAATACACCCCGATAAGGCAATATCCCAGTCTTTGGATCCTTTTGCTGCTTCTGCAGCCTAGTCTTGATAAAGTCAAAAGGCAACGACAAGAAACTAGCAAAGAAACCAGCAATAGCTGACGCCGCAAACGTCTGATTCTGAGTCGACAAGCTCGTATGCGACTTCAGCTGAGTCTTAGCCTCAGCGAAGAAAGTCAGCTGTCCCATATTCAGTGCCATGGCCCGGATAACAGTCGGTAGCGCACCAGCCCATAGCGACGTGACGCCCTCCGCACGCGCGATCCGTCCCAATGCATCGAAGACCGACCGGTAATTCGCCCGTACGTCGGGCGCCTTGAGTCCGTCAGCCTGCATGCGCACCAGGGCCAGATCAGCCGGGTTACCGATCATAGCAGCAATACCACCAGCTGAGAGACCGGCGAGCGCGCGCTCGCCGAAAGTAACAGAGCGATTCGCGGCTTTTGCACGGTTGTTCAGGGTTGTGATGAAGGTGTCGAAGAAGCCGAGACGGGCTGTGGTATAGACTGCTTGGCGTAAGATTCCTGCCGAGAGACCGGTGTATAGATCTAGGAATTTGCCGGTAGCGATGATGTCGCGAGTGATTCCTATTGCGGAGGGACGGGGTCCTGTCTTTGCGCCTTCGCCTGCTAGCTGGAGACGGACTTTGACCATGTCTACTGGCTGGATGACTGCTGTCGCTGTCATGCCTGCTAGACCCCCATTTATAAATGGTAGGGCTGCTCGCATATACGGGTGGTGTAGGAGGTCGGAGGGGGCTACAGCGTTGCCAGTTTCTTTGATGGGTGTAGCCATGATTGTGAGACAGGATTCAAACCAGATCTGGGAAGGTCAATGAGGTAAGAAAGTATAGATTCACTGTAGACTTCCCATGCACTGGTAAATGGAGGGAAAGAGGACTATCCTCGTTAGAATGTTGAAAGGAAACGGCGTCCATGGTAACTCACTATGACGTATGAGATCAGTTGTACAACAGGTAGAGAAGAGGAGGTAAAGCGGGGACGTAGGTAACAAGTATATCAAGTAACATATGAGGGATAAATCGGGGGTCTGAGGGTTATAATGTCTGTATACTTACTTACAACTCAACCGAGACCCGAATAGCCGGATTTCGCCCTTTGGCCGTTCATATACTTTCGTATCAATGGGGAAACTCGTTCCATTTATACGGCCACATTTATGCTCTCTAATGGTCAAGTTACATGATTAATGTTTTATACTACCAGCAACCTTGGAACTGACAAGTTAATAATCTCCTAAATATTAGTGCCTAGGTAATGGCTACTTTCTCCTCCTGTCCCCCGCTCCCGCTTTCCGGGGTTTTAGTCTAAACCATATCTAGCTCATATCCACTTTGTACTTACCATTTATGTTACACTATTTCGAAAGTCATTCATAACAAAACCAAGGTCTTTGTAATGCTCTGATCACATTGACCTGAGTATGATAGATAAAAGCCACGGAATGTACCTGGGGGTAGAGATAGGTATAGATACGCAAGTATAGAAAAGTTGAAGGGTGGATACAACGATCTCCACACCCGAGTTCCCCGCCCAATAGCAACAAAATAACGCCGACGATGCAGTAGTTCATTCAGATCATTACAAAAAGCAAAGCACGTCTCGAGCACAGGCTAAGATCTTCACGGAAAGCGGTTTCGGCATGAAAAATGTATTAATTGGTATAGGTCATTGGGGAAGGCAATCTAGTTTAACAGTGGTGGATACCTGAAGTATGAATATGATAGTCATCATAATCACACTTATCAATTGATTTTAATAGACTAGGTATCTAGGTCTTGAAATCTTGCAATAAGGCAATTTACCTAGGTACTAACCAAACATTCATGTATCTGCGCTTAATCAACCATTGAACCCCCCAATACACGACTACTGTCTTCGTATTATCATAGATAGAATCGAAATATACTAATACATAAGTGAGGCGTAAATCAGTGGGTCACCCTTATTGCGAAAACAGCCTCAGAGAGGAATTCTTTCCCAGGTACTGGTGAGAACTTTTAGGAATCCACCGATCCAACCTTGGAAGCTCCGAAAGTTGACCCTCCAGAATAACTCTAGTGCTCTGAATACAGAAGATGAATATAATATTTACTCAACTCAAGGTCATATTTGACCTCGGGAATAGGACCTTGCGAAATAAAAGTAAAGAAATGATAAGAAACGAGAACCATGGTAACGAAGATCTAGAAAAGAAAGTTATAGGGAGATCTTTGACGACTGGGAAAGAGAAATCTCGTTGAGGCCAGTTCAGTAATTCCATTCGCTGGATGTCCTGGATTTCATCTAGATACTATGATCATCAGTCAGTTAGTCATTCCAAAATTCCGGGGTGTCAAATTGCTTTTTCATTGTGAATAGCTTCAAGATACCTAGAGACGAGACGAGATCAAAAACTCGAATGCAGGTTTTTCAATTAAACAAAAATTCATCAAATACTCCCATAGTAGGGGCATTGAACTATAAAAGACCGCTGGACACAGGAGAATTTTAAGTCAGACTTTTTGGTATCTCTGGACACTGATTAGGTCCCTCAAATAGACTCGATAAATGAGTTTTAATGTGAGAGCCCAGGCTCGACCGCCTATCGACCATGATCGACTAGGGCTTAATACCACTGGACTTGATACAACTGGACCACGCATCCACCGAAAGCAAAGAACCCAAATTAGGTAGTCACAACCTAAGGATTGGAATAATAGATCTAACTAGGTTATCAGTACATAGGTGTGTCAAAGCAATCTGGACTACGCATATTTGTAGGTTAATTCTGGTAATGCTTTCTAATGTTTGTAGAGAACAACCAGTATATGTTATGACTGGAGCTGACCCTCTACGTGGATTTGTCACACTTTACAACCGAGGTCTCCTATAATCTATGCTAATTTCAATCAGAAACTATCTGAGCCCAAAATTGAATACCGGATTCCAACTACCTAGTCTTCAGTCATTTAGCAGTAAAGTGGGTGACCAAATGATCTTTCCAAAGTACTGTCATAGCTTTGATTTTTATTCTTTTAATTCTGATTTTTGAATTGACTGAAAAGCAGCCCTGAATATGAAAATGCAATAAACCAGAAGACGGAGAAGAAATCCATATATATATCGAGTCAAAACTGCTGCTACTCTATCCGGCTGATTATGAGATAACTTGTCCCGAAGGTTGGGGATAATCGACAATAAATCAACCCAAAGAAATTGACTTGGAAATTGAAACATCTGTTTGTTGAAAACGTGTTGAAGGTGAAAAGTGATACTAAGCTTTGAGGCTCGGAACTAAAGCTCGGGCCGAGTGGATAGTTTAGTGTATTTAGGTGGGCCTTGGGATCAATGATGGCAAAGATGATGATGTAAGGAGGACCTCTACCCTTTGTAAAACTTGCAGCACTCTCTAACCGTTACAACACAAATCTTTATTATCTATTCGTCCCCACAAAACGGTTATAACATGGCAGCCGTCCTCATTACTGGCGCAACAGGAAAACAGGGGGGCTCACTCGTCCGCAACCTGGTCTCCAGACAAGCTCCGTTTGAGATCTTAGCTGTTACTCGCAACGCCCAGTCCTCGTCGGCTCGGAAACTAACCGAGTTATCGTCTAAGATCAAGATTGTCGAAGGAAATTTGGACGACCCAGCTGGAATATTTGCGAATGCCTCGAAAGTGACCCAACAGTCGATCTGGGGAGTATTCAGTGTGCAGGTAAGGAATTACTCATTCCAGTCAGCATTCTCGGTCACTTATCAGCTCTGTCTAGGCAGCTGGGACTGGCTCCCTCGAAGAAGAACAGGGAAAAGCACTGGTTGATGCTTCATTGAGGGAAAACGTCAAGTTCTTCGTATACAGCTCTGTCGACCGCGGCGGAGATGCTTCATTCCAGAATCCAACCAACATTCCACACTTCATCCACAAACACAACATCGAGCACCACCTTGTCGAAAAGACGAAGAACACTGAAATGAAGTGGCTTATCTTGCGGCCAACGGCTTTTTTCGATAACCTCACCCCTGACTTCCTCGGCAAAGTGTTTGCAACCAGCTTCAAACTGGCTCTGAAAGGGAAGCCCTTGCAGTTAGTGGCGACCAGCGACATTGGCTATTTTGCGGCTGAGGGGTTCTTGAATCCTGAGCAGTATCAGGGTAAAGGTATCTCACTTGCTGGGGATGAGTTGACGTATGATCAATATGCAGACATCTTTTTGGAGAAAACGGGTACGAAGATCCCGACCACGTTTGAGCTGGTCAGTCACGGTATCATGGCTGCGATGAAGGATCTTGGATACATGTTTCAATGGTTCCATGATGAGGGTTACAAGGCAAATATTACTGAGTTGAAGGAAACCAATCCAGGATTGAAGGACTTTGCTACTTGGTTGGAAACAGAGAGTGAATTTACAGAGCTTTGAGTGTTGGAATATGGAAATTGTTGGTTTCAGAATGGGTTCCTTTTTCTAAATATGATCTTGACCTGAAATTTACAGCCGTTGAAACTTCATAGTCTAAGCTAAGTGCAGAGCATCTGCTTCCAAGGTCAATTCGAGAGGAAGAATCCACGATAGAGTGGAAAAGTTTCAATGGCGCAGATTATTCCCTACCGCGAGGTTTGAAGTCATCAATCTATTCAGCGTCTTCTTTTTCAGTGCTGGGTCAAACAGACACACATAATAGACCTAAAATTCAAACATTCTTGAAGGTTCCAAGACTTTCAAGATCAACACAGCCTCTTCGACAATAACAAACATTGAATCACACTTGGTATTATGTTGAATTCAAAAGCATCACATCAGTACCTCCCATCACCAGTTGATGAAAAGAAAGTTTATGAAATGAAAATATTATACGCTAAAAACTGGGGTTTCAGCCTCTGCTCCATGTGCAGTCCAATGCTGAGGACAAGAGAGTAGATTGTATTCACGAGATAGCCTGCCCGACCAGTTTATCTGACCAAACTTTGTTGAAGAAGAGGGGAAAGAAAAAGGAAGGTTATCTTGTAAAAATAAGTATACTGCTATAGGTGAATGGTGTAAGCGATGTGGAAGGTCACAAGAGGATTCAATCAGTGGCTGCTAGGGTCTTCTATGTAGCTAATTGCGTTATAATTGAAGTGTGTAATTCATCGATTTCATTGGCTATCATAATAGGTAGTCGACTAGATATTCCGACTGGGCCAGTCGTCACATATCCATATAGAGGATAGATGTTCAATAGAGAAATAAGAGATAGAAAAAGGAAAAAAAAAGGAAAAAAAAAGGAAAAAGGAACTAGACCTCGCGTTTGTGATACAAGTGCGAGAGTCGAAATCCGGGGAATAGATCATAACGACAAAAGCAAACGCAGCACGCCATGCAAATGACTAAGATAGTCTTGGAAAGTAAAAACAGAAATGGCAATTTTTATATCCGGAACGCATCTAAGCAGTCTTGGGAGCAGCGGCAAGGACCTCAGGGGTGGCTTGGTCTGAGTACTTCTTGAAGTTCTCGTTGAAGAGCTTTCCGAGCTTGTTGACCTCGTCACCGAAGGAGGCGGTGGCAGTCCAGCCGTGCTTGGGGTTGAGCAGTTCACTGGGGACACCAGGGCAGGCCTTGGGGACGGGTAGGTTGAAGACCTCGTAGTTCTCGTACTCTGCGCCAGCAAGCTCGCCGCTGTGGATGGCGTCGAGGATGGCGCGGGTGTACTTGAGGGGGCAACGCTTGCCACCGGTGGTAGCACCGGCACCGACCCAACCGGTGTTGAGCAACCAGGCGTTGGCCTTGTGCTGCTTGATCTTCTCAGCAAGCATGGTGGCGTAGCGCATGGGGTGCAGGGCCAGGAAAGGCTGGGCAAAGCAGGAGGAGAAAGTGGCCTGGGGCTCGGTGACACCGTCCTCGGTACCGGCCATCTTGGAGGTGTAACCAGAGATGAAGTGGAACATGGTCTGCTCGGGAGTGAGCTTGGAGATGGGGGGCAGGACACCACGAGCGTCGCAAGTCAACAGAATGATGTTGGTGGGGTGGTTGTCAGTGACACAAGGGATCTTGGCGTTCTCAATGTATTCGATGGGGTAGGCGCAGCGAGTGTTCTCGGTCAAGGTGGTGTCCTCGTAGTCAACAACACGGCTGACGGGGTCGAAGACGACGTTTTCAAGAACGGAGCCGAACTGGATGGCGTTGAAAATATCGGGCTCCTTCTCGAGGGTGAGGCCAACGCACTTCGCGTAGCAACCACCCTCGATGTTGAAGACTCCAGTGTCGGTCCAGCAGTGCTCGTCGTCACCAATCAGCTTACGCTTGGGGTCTGCGGAGAGAGTGGTCTTGCCAGTGCCGGAAAGACCGAAGAAAACGGTGACATCACCATTGGCACCCTCGTTGGCAGAAGAGTGGAGGGTAAGAACGTTGTGCTTGACGGGCATCTCGTAGAAGAGGACAGTGAAGACACCCTTCTTCATCTCACCAGCGTACTCGGTACCGAGGATAACCATCTCCTTCTCGGCAAAGTTGATAGCGACGGAGGTAGCAGAAGTCATACCCTCAGTGAAGCGGTTAGCCGGGAATGAACCAGCGTTGTAGATGACATAGTCGGGGTGGAAGTGCTCGAGCTGGGCCTTGGTTGGGCGGATGAGCATGTTTCGCATGAACAGAGCATGGTAGGCACGGGCACAGACGACACGAACGCTGATACGGTAGCGCTCATCCCATCCAGCATAACCATCGATAACATAGATGCGGTTACGGGTGTTGAGGTAGTCCACAGCACGCTCACGGTTAATACGCCAGACCTTGAAATGATGGTTAGTATGACATCATCAAGATCAAGTTGGTTCTGCAGCGGGGAAGTCAAGTGACAAGGAGAAGGGAAAGTGGCAAATGGAGGAGAAGAGGGAACAGGAGGAAATTGGGAATGATTCCAAACAACAAGTCAAGACTCCAAGACTCGAGAAGAATGAAGATCCAAATGCCATAAAAGCTTGAGTTGGACTGCATATGCAAGGATCCTTGGTGGAGAACAGGGCTGAAATGCCATGCAAGGGCAACGTATAGAAAGAGTAACAATAAAAAAGGCTCATGTCTTCAAATACGAAGAAGCACGATAAAAATAACTCACATCAGGGTTCATTGGCTTGTTCACGGGTCCCCACCATATCTCATTTTCGGAGGACTCTTCCTTGACAATACGCTTATCGGAAGGAGAACGACCAGTCTTAGCACCAGAGTATGCACTCAAAGCACCACTTGATGTGATAGCAGAGCCAGTCTCGTACACAAGAGCATCCTCATATAGAGCAGGGACAGCAGGGTTGGCAATCTATGAACGAGTCAGTATAAACATCAACAGTATGGTCAAAGATAGTTCTTACAATTGCAACTCGGTCGTAGTCAATGTGGGCAGTCTCATGTAGCTCCTCCTCCAACTCGGTGTGACCCTTGCTAGGTCTAAGATGTGTTAGTGAATGTTGTCGACAGCGGGGTATATGGTACTTACTGGACACCACCAGGGTGGAGGGCAGTGCGATTTACTGAAGTGGCAACCATTGTTCTGAGTGAAGTAGAATGATAGTTATTGTTGCGTTGTTTCGCGAGTTGCTGTTGAAAGAAATCTGAAGCAAGAAGTCCAGGAGAGGCCGGGCGACCTAGGGGTATATAATTGATTTCAGCAGGGGCCATGGTAAAGTCAGTTATTGGTATGCAGGAGGTTCTCGTCCACTTCGCCCCAATCTCCACAGCTCCACGGGTGATGTCGGGGGCGTAAGGCCGTAGTGGATGAAGCTGCGACGTCCGAATTGACCCGATCGGTTTAACGAAATGGATTCGGAACGAGAATATAGTACAGAAATACTTTGAAACAAGTTGATAGATGAAACGGGACGGTAGTTGTAAAGAGAAAGAGTGAAGAGCAGGTTGAGAACGGTAGATGTACGGTCTATGAATGCAGTTTCTTTGATCTCCAATTTTTTTGGTTTCTATACAGTTTTAATTTCCATATTTTCTTAAATCTCTTTTTCTTTTTCTTCGTACTCCTAGAATCATTGTGACGCAACATGATCTCGTATTTCAACAACTACCGTAGATTACTTGGATTGTTACCGTAGATACCGATATCTGTTTCGCGGGGGAGAGGATGACATAATATCGATGTATCATTTGTCCAGCTACTTCGGCTCTCCGATTCCATTTCGGAATCGACGGCAAAGGGCCGGCTGCAAATTCGGAATCAAGATTGGGCAAGTTAATCCTTCTGTTCAGCTCCAATAACGGCGTTTGACTAAGCCGAGGGATGATGCCTCGCGACATCGTTTACGGCGGTTCAGGCCAATCAGAATCCATATAAAAGAGAAGTTCGGGTGGGCTGAAGTTACTCCCGCTAGATCAACAACTATTTTCGTACTATGTCGCTTTCCCTATTGGTTGAATTCCGACGAGGCATTAATTTCGTTCCAGATTCTCCTTATATTGTATGTATGATGTGCGTTAGTGGATCCCATACTCTGTACTGTTCGGAGGTATGAGCCCCATAGTAGCAGATATCGCGCATTGGAATGCGCGATTTAACTGTATACGGAGTAGTTACTGGAGGGATATTAATTTATGGGCAGTAGTAGTACTAACTTGTCAGCTCAACCCTTGAATCCTATGGTTAAATGCTAATGCTCCTCCGACCAGTCTGGAACAAGCATCTCCAAATGGCGTAAAAAGTGGAGAAGGATTTGCCTCCGCAAAACTTGAACTTCTTCATCCCGATTGATCCAACTCCCCGGAATATCCACTTCCTATCTTTCTTACGTCAATTCCAAGGTTCTTTCCTATTTCACCCGTGGCGCGTGACCTTGAATACAGTCTAGATTTGAGCCTAAGGGATTATGGCCTGGGTCGAAACACGGGGTATTCACCGCCCTATTTGACCCGATCTACCGAACCCCTCGGCTTGGTTCATCGGCTTAGATCTACCGTATGACTTCCCCTCCTTTTTGGTCCGGGGAAGGCGGGGACTGCCGGGGTATGATATACTAATATAGAGTTGATGAAGTACCTACTTCTGAAATTTTGGACCTTTTAGCTGATATTACGTGTGACTTAGGGCTACTGTAAATAGTTCCTCGTATACTAACTACCCTATTCTGATTGGCTACTTACACGAAGTACATAGTATTGCATTTTCCTGCCCAAGTCACTTCAATTGGCCCCACCTGAACACATTAAGGAATCATAAAACAGAGTCATTCGAATAGGTATGCATTGCTGTCTGAAATTGACGAAGTATGGTTCCAAAGAGAGAATCCTGAGCAGACGTCTAAACCTTCCAAGGTCGGATGATGTGGAATATCAGCCAAATATCATGATGACGGCTTTGCCCCATGGTCATGCCCCAAGGATACCACCTTCACAGCTCACCTGTCGGATCTTTCGCTTGGATTTATCCAACCGACAAACTAGTAAGCACAAATCACAAAATAGGATGAGGTAGCTTCGACACAGCGCATAGTTCATCATTCACATTATTGATACGGTAAACTCACGCGAAAAGCTGCTGACAAGGGGCCCAGAGAATTGATAATCCTTCAAGGTCAATGATAAATTGGATATTGGGATCCAGCCAGGTGGAAATCTTCCAAGTACTGGCGGTTGGAAAAGGATGAAATGATCGTCGCTCGATTAGGTAGTGTCCTTGTTTTTCGAGGCAAAGTTGACCTGATTTTGAGAAATCGTTTGGATTGAAAATATTTCTGATACCTAGGTAACCTTTTTATGGATGCAAACCCAACTAAATTGTGGAAAATAGGTGTAATTGTTGGTATTCCTGGAATTTTGAGTTCCAAGGTTATATTTTACCTAAATAGTATGCGTCTTCAATAAACTAGAAACTGCGCCAGTATGGCTAGCAGATAGCTTGAGTTTGCGAACTTAGCATAACTAACTACGCAAATACGTTTTTCTTCTTTTTATTAGGCCTGTAAGTGACGCTCCGCTGGCCCTCCGGGAGCCACTGCCGTGGAGGCCGTCAATTCTAAGCTCATTTCCAGGCTCAATTCTAGGCTGAATACATAGTCTCTATATTTTTAGTAGGCTCTTACGTCGCCCACAAATGGCGGGAATATTTAGTTAAATCCGAGTTCCTGCATCGAACTGGGCCTAAAACGTTAGTGACGGCTGTGAGAAGCGGATTCCGGGGGTTTGAAGTCGACTTGAGATCTATAGGAACTGGGACTGAGATAGTCACTGCTGGAGCAGGAATCGGGGTTTTCGCTTTCTTGGACGCTTTACCATAGCCGCTACAAATCGAGCAGGTCTTGAATATGCGATTCCCTTTATCCGATTGATAATGGTCAATGGAGCAGGGTTGATGGCAGGCATTGCATAGTCAGGGTTTCATAGTGTCTTCCATCTCGTTGGTTATGGAAAAGAAGAGAGAAGAGAGAAGAGAGAAGAGAGAAGATGTTAATAAACATAACGATATAAAATTTCCTGGCGAATCAGCGTTGACGCCGTACCGTGCTAAGAACTACTATTATGGCGTATCTCTTACCCCGGGAAACACATACTCTTTATGCCAGGTGCAGTCTCACCGTCTCCGAATCCAAATTGGATCCTGGCAGAAAGAGTGAGCATTTCCCGGAGTCTTACAGCTGTAGCCCTGGTATGGTGCTCCACAATTAGGGAATTTTAGCTACAGATGAGAGTCCTCAGGCAGGGAACTATTTCAGTAAATAGCTTATCGCTTCGCTCAAGCTATGATGTAAGTTTATGGGTGAAAGACTGTTAACTTAATTGAATTTCACGTTCTGAAAAGGAAATTGTGGGTACACAGTTACACCTGCAAAGTGGCAGCTAGTCTACGGTAGTAGATAGATGCTCTGGTTTCGCGTGGTGTGGTGTGTGTCATTCTACTAGTCACCTAATCCTAGAATCTAGCTATCCTACTTATCGCATTAACTGATGCTGAATTGAATTCCCCTGGAACTAAGTGAATGAATACCGTCTCCGGTGAGTTCCAACAGAAACATTTACTTCAATGTCCACGCTTTGCGCTACGATGACCCCCGCCATATTTTGGCTGTTACTCTATAGTAGTCTTCTTTCTACTGCACACTCTAACCCCGTACCAAACATTCTTCTCGGTAGGCTGAATAGCGTCAACTCATCTGGGAAAGTAGAGCTGCCCTCGGTTATAACCAAGCTGCTGCGATTGCGATTGTGATCTCTACAGCCTTTTTTTGCAAAATTGATGCCATCGGACTGCTTAAAATTATCAAGAACCCTTTTATGTCCAAAATTAGGAAGAAATGCGATCATTGAATGGAAATCTAAGTCCTGGTGACCTCAATCTATGAGGTATGCTCGTCGTATTATGGCATCTGCCTAAGGAGAAGTTAGACCTTTCTGAACAAACTGTATTTGCTTTGCCGCCAGGGCTGCGCAATTGCCTGAAGTCGTGTTAGCTATGAGCGATCAGCCTGGTGATGATGGTTATGATGGCTGTTCCTGATTTCCCGGTAAGAAAAAAACTATCAGTGGATCTGATAGCCAGCTGCATATCGTTTGACGACAACATCCTAACTGCGTTGTCTCACTATGCTGTATAAACGGAAATATCCTGGGCAAGACTGAACGCTGTTGATAATAGGATGAGAGAAATTTTCTTCGCTTATCTCCCCACAGAAACCATTTTTGCACAAGAAATGTCACTTTGACAGTTCTGGCAGTCATCTCATATCTGAAAAAGTACTCCCAGATCTTCCACGAGAGCAATGAGATCACTATCATCCTTGTTATCGTCTTGTATTAACCTAATCAACAAGAAGTGAATCCTGGAGAAAAGAATGACTCTGCGCTTTTTATAAGTTCTTCTACAACTCATGTATACCCCGAGGAAAACAAACCTTCCCAAAATGAACTGCCAGAGGTCTATACCTCTACATCTATATCTAGCCGTTGACTTGGATGGAAATTCTTCTTTTGTCGCTACTGCTCTTTGTCTATCTATGTATGGATATATCAGCCGTATGTCGAAGGGAGTACATTTCTGGTTGGCTTCGACTGTTTGCTTATCATCCAGCGTATGATCCTCGTCATATTTAATGTTGGTGGATTGATCACTCAGATATCCATGTGTTGATAAGGATGTCAACTGCGGGATCAGATAAAGATATGAAACCTTGGAATGTTCCGAGTTTGAAATAAAGTCATAGAATAAGATCGAATAAGTTCAAATGCTGTTACACCATACAATACCTGGGTTATAAGTCAACCTTTTTACTTCACCGACATGGATCTGCTGATCTGGATCAAAGCGGGGCTTGGAGGGGCTTAGATAAATACCTTCGTTTTTTTTTTCTTCCTTCTCTCTGACCTTTCCCCTAACTATTATTCGTCTAAAATACTTCGTCTACACAAGCATCTCATTCAGGTAGAGTCCCAGTCTTGAGAGATTGAGATTTCTTGAGAGTTCTTAGATGTGCGATGCTGACTCGTAACAGGTCATCCAATATCCATCATGCACCCTTCTTGCCCCAAGTGTGGAAATTCTGTTGAAGGCTCTTCCAAGACCTGTGGATCTTGCGGCTCGGTTTGTTAGAGTTGAACATCCATCATATTCCAATCTAATGCCGTCCAGGTTTGCCCCGTCTAAGCCCTTCGCGATGTCGCCGGATATGGAGCGATGTTTGCGGCACTATGCCCAACATCACGGATGATAATATGGGGAATGTGTGCGGTGTTGTTGGAAGTCACTTTTTAAGCTAATAAACATCATGCAATCATGCAAGATCCCGAAGAAAAAACACTTAGACCTCTCACCCGATAGAGTCCACAAAGGATAGTAGTAATAAATGACATTGATATGTACGAGAACAGAAAGTCATCTAGACATCTACATGTCCAGGGGCATGGCAGGTTTGTTCATGAACGCAGGGAAGATAAATCAAGATAAAAACTCTACTCTCCAGTCGATACGTGAAACCAGTCATTCATAGCCGAGACTTGAGGGAACCACTCAGCCAGCTCATCACAAACATCAAGCCTTTGGACGTTAAAGGCGATGTGGCCTATGCAGTCTTGCGCCACTGGGACCAGACACCGATCAAACTACTAACGGTACCAGCGATACCGACGAGACCATCATCCAGACTGGAGATTCCCAGCGCAGAAGCAGGGACAGTCAAATCGCACAGATCAGAGATGAGCTGTATCCGAGCAGCAGAAAGCTCCCTAATAGAATAATCAGAACGTAGTATTCCAACGGCCGGAACCTAGTGTAGACATACCTCTCAATCTTCTTGGCCTCAACAACACCCTCACCCTCCTTGCGGTTAATAGCTTTCTCCTTCTCCTTCAGGCGGAATAAAGTGTAGACACCGGCAACAGCACTGCACACCAGACCGACAGCCCAAGAGCGATACGCACTATCCTGCAGTCGCTTCACAGAGGCGAGTTTTCGGTATCCGATCACGTCAACAACGGTCACGGCGTCCAGGGACAAATATCCAGCATATCCGAGCTGGCGACCGACAGCCAAGTAGCGTAGTACTGGGTCAATTGGGTTCTTATTGTCAAGGGCGACGGAGGCGGCCTTGAGGTGCTCGGCAAACTTGCCGATGCGTAGGATCTTGCGTGTAGTGCCGAGCTGCTTCTTTACGGCATTGTAGGGTTCGATTGCCGACTGAGGCTTGTTTGTGCGGTACAGGTACCAGGCGTAGAAACGCGAGAAATACTGGAGCGTGCGGAAGAGCTTATCGCGGCCAACTGCGGGTTTTCCGGTTGGTTAGCGGGGAGAGTATTCGATGAATTTATCAAATATTGTAGAGCGGTCTCTTAAGTGTAGTTCTCTGGGTAGTTATGGGGAGTACACACTAGTTGTCGCGACGTAGCGCAGCCAGTGCGCAAGGGCTGGGTGGTAGACGAGAGCGTCGGCAACCATGATTCCGGGTCAATTTCGATCACCTGAGCGGTGTTCAGTTAAGCTTCCGACCCTGGGAGAGTGTACAACGTACGAACAAGACGGGATAAAGTAGTTGAAACCAAGTCCAGAGGACTAAAAAGGACAGAAAATAGGAGAGGAAAGGTCGGGGTAATTGACTGGTCCAATTCGAACCTCGGTTGACGCGATTGACTCGGTGGAGTCTGTTTTCCCGTGACCTACAATTCCGGGGTAAATTACTTGTGATTGTTACCACTTCTGGTATTTCAGATCTGATATACACGTGATGTTTATATTTACTATTCACTACAGGCCCATAGCTAGCTTTCATTATCCTAATAGCCGGTTAAATTTACTACGAGTCGTTAATGCATTCATACCAACTTCCCTTGAGTCCACCTGGGCTGAACTCCCAGTATGATCAGAGCCCGTCATTCCGGGCGAGTTTGCCATAACATAGCGCATATAGCATCTAGGAATGCGTGGAGGTCGTAAAAAGTACTACCCTTTCAAAGGAAATGCTAGTCAACAGACTATGATATGATAAACTGCAGTCTAGAGTCCTTAAATTAGAAGATGCCTGAGCGAGGAGGGGTCGTAATCTGTTATATTCTCTTGAGGCGTTTTTCTTCTCCTTCGTCTTCGATTGTGACTGTAGCATCTGCTCCCAGGAAGCTGGTCTCTGTAATTGGAATGTCACTTCCTCTGCATCTTCACATAATTGTGGAGTCTGTGGGAGCTAGGAGGGATAGTGAAATGATTATTTTTGGGATTCGTGTTCTGGTAGAAGAGTAGTTTGTCTGCAAGATAGTTCGACACGAGAAACGTTGTGTAATTTATGAATGGTGTTTAGCGCCAGAATAGACATAAAATCAAATCATAGTACAGTATAGTGGTTTCCGATATTGCTCGTACGACTAGTTGTACGATAAGTCTCGGGTGTTTCGATTAGAGTGAATAAATAATTCCCGTGTCTTCATCAATACATGGCCACTCGTTACAGGGCTTCCTCAATCATCATACAGAGAGCCCCAAATTATTTGATAGTCAGATCAATAGAACCAATATCAATCAAGAGAAGCAATCAACAAAGGTATTGTAGTAAATAAGTCGGCAATTCTCCTGGAACAGTTAAATGCGTCGGAGTCTGATATCAGACTACAGTTGACATCATTTGTTGCCCAGAGTAGAGACATCATATCCATTGTTGATCAAGTATGCACGGAATCTTTCATCCTCGCTAGTGATGGTATCCTGCAAACTTTCAGTCAGTTTTCAATGAATTTCAACAGAAAGAGAGATTTTTTATCGTACCTGGTTGATCTCAGGCAGAAGGAACCAGGCCAGGGCGGCACTTAAAATGCACAGTGAACTGGAAATGAAGAATGGATCCTGACCAGCACGGACTGGGTTGGGAGCATTTTTCTGTGCAATTGGAAGAACGTAGGTACCGACAAAAGCACCGATTTTACCGATGGCAGCAGCGTAGGAATAGTATTGACCACGAACAGCTGTAGCGCTGGTTTTGGCCGCACATAGACCAATGTTATCACCAGGGCCAAATTCACCGAGTGCAAGGAAGATACTGTTGAATGTTAGACAAATCAATAACTGAGTCAAGTCTTCTTTCACTCACCCGTAGACCACTACGAAACCACCGACATTTTCATGGGTGCCCAGGTACTTGTAGCATCCGGACATGATGAATCCCACGATACCCTGGAGAAGAACACCAATGGCCAAGGTTTTGCGGGGACCAATCCAGTCACTGCAGAAGGCACCAAGTAAAGATCCTGGAAGGTAGAAGAGATACTCCAGGGTTGTCCAGCCAAAGGTTTGCCATAAGGGTGCACTATCACCGGTGATGATGCTAATCCACTTTGAGGCGAAAATACCAAAGGAGTAGGATGAGAAGTCATAGATAAACCAGATCAGTGATACAACGGCCTATGACTAGTTAGTGAATATTCTCTTTCTTATATCAAACTAATTGCACGATCATACCAAACGCTTCCAGTAGAACCTATAGTGTGGTCAGAAACTTATTCCTCACCGGCAAACCCAAAAACAGCGAGATACTTACTTGATAATAAGCCAAATGGGGAACTTGTGCATGCGTTCGCGGTTAAATTCTTCAGGTTCCTCTAGCTTTAACCGGAGGTAGATCAAGCTCAGAGGAGGAATGATTCCTAACCCCAGAGCCAAACGCCAAGCAAGGCGCAGGTGATTCTCAGTAGTGATAAGGACCAAAATCATGGGAACAAAAGCTGAGAGAACAAAAGCGAAGTCAATCTGGAAGTTTGTGAACATGATGAACCAACGGTTACGGTGACCTTGCTTCAGTTCTCCAGTGTTCTCAGCGCACGCGACAGATCCAGCCGGGTACTCGCCTCCAATACCCACACCGATGAAGAAGCGGTAGGCAGTAAGTGCCGCCAGCATGCCATAGACATCATCATGTGCACCATAGGAACCAGCGCAAAGAGCGGCAAAGACGAAGAGGATGATGGTCGAAATCATCAAGGACCACTTGCGCGACCAGTGGTCACTGGTATAGCCAAAGATCAACATGCCAACAACGGTTCCAGCAAAGGCAATGGACGAGACATTCTGGCTTGCAGATGAGTTGGCATAGGCGACCGGGTATATTGTTTCTAGTATAGTATTGACTTGGCCGATGACCTATAGTATAAAATGTGGGTCAGTTGTCTGTTTCCCGCGAATAGCATTTGTTTATGTGGGACCGAAAGTATGTGGCCCAGCCGCATAAACATGGGCTGAATTGAACAACTTTTCTTTTCGTGAACGTACCCCATTGAGATAACCATCAGAGAATAAACCAGCTCCACAGGCGATGGTGGGCCAAGTGCGCTCCCAGCGACCCTTGGGGAGATTGTCTAACGGAATGACATTGACGGCGGCAGCTTCCAGTTGGTCAGGGCCCTTTTCCTGGTAGGGCTCTGAAATGAACTCTTTCATTCTTGCAGATCGACTGTGATAGCGTTTGTTCTCCTGCAGCTTACTTTCTATGTGTTAGCGATGATGATGAGAGTTGGTTCGATCCCTGGACGGGAGGGGTTAATGTACCGGATAACAACAGCGATTGTAAGAGTTGAGTGAATAACGAAAAGTAGATAACACTCTGAGATATCCAAAAGAAAAAGAAAAAGAAAGAGAAGGTGAGAGGGAGCTCCGAGGATTAAGTAGGCGAAGAGGAATGGAAAGGCCACTAGTTAAAAAAGAACCAACCAAAAAATGAAGATGAAAATGGAGATTAAAATGAAAATTAGATTATTATCTAAGATTGCCCTAATCTACATAACGTGAGCATAAACGTGGAATCTCAAGAACGTCGTAACTAAGAGTTATCACAGTAACGCTGCTAGTAGGGCATAAATTGTAGATCGAGCTTTCAGTATGAGAAAACCAATCACCTTGGAACGTGCTTTCGGCAATCATATTACATATGCGAATATCATCTGACATCCTTACTATTTCAGACTACTCAGTAGGTACTCGAATGAAATTTATGCGTGGGCCAAGCGGATCCCAGTTGTCTTTAGCGGCGGAAAGAACCATGAAATGGCAAGTCCGCTCATGGTGATTGGAGAAACATAATTCGTTTGTCTATTTCTATGGAAAACACCTCCCCTCTGGGAGCTTGTTCCGTTTAAAATTTATCAACTGGGGAAGCCTCGGCACGCCACACCAAGCCCCATACGGTCCAAACCTATATTAGGTAAAGTGTGTATCAATATGTCAGAGAAGAATAAGCCAATAGACTGGCAGTTTGGAGTCACGACTGCTTTTCGATAACTAATGGGATGATTGTCTTGCGAATGAATATTATAAAATATTATAAAATTGGATCAGGGGGTCATCTATCATCAGTCAGCTTCGCCTGGGCAATTTCAAGACTCGAGGCATGCGAGCACTCCGCATTAGTGGAAGTATCCAGGTGGGGAATCAGAGCTCTACTATCAAATGACAAAAGGCTTGGTTGGGGCATCATGGTTGTGATAGATACGATGATTTGATAAGGGAAGGATCTACAGTTATAGATGCAACGGTACGGAGTACTCCGTAAAGGATTGAGGAGATCCCTGCACAATGAACTCCCATGTCTTAGTCATCATAACGAAGTTGGGAATTTGTGTCCTGAGGCATCAATAGATTCAGGCACCAAGGAACTAAGGCAAGAAGGGGAGTTCGGATCGGAGAAACAATACCCCAGCTGAGCTTGGCTCCAGCTACGTGATGCACCAACACAACTCCATCATCACCTTCAACTCCAACCCATCCCCATCACCTTAATATCTCTTCAGTCTCCACTCGCCATCATGGGGTCTGATCCACAATATGTCAAGTACCCCGACCTTATCCTCGCCCAACATGTCTTCAACCTCTCCAATCCTGCATGCACCCCATCAACCCGTCAGTCATCCGTAAAGAAGCTGCAAGATGTCATCTCCGAACGCAAGATGGCTCCCTTTTACCGCTTTTTGGCCCACCCGACTGAAGGTATCTTGAACGCCACCGGAGAAGGAGTGACACAACATTCTCACGGTGCAGGCACCACCAAACCGCTTATCAATTCCAATATGCTGGCTTCTCGGAAGTCACCACAGAAGATTGATTTCCCATGGGATGAAAAGCTGTATCAGTCTTTAGTGGATGACAACAAAAAGGAGCTAGAAACTATTCAAAAGGAGGAAGAACAGGCAGAAGAGGCCGCAGGCGAGACTGAGGTTCAGGCTGCACGAGGGAAACGGGCTGAATTTTGGGCCCGTGTAGGAGACAAGGTAATATTTCATCAGTCTTATATCAACGGGCAAAAGCTGACACGTCTGAACAGGACAAAGCCATCGAGTCGCACGAAGCCCTCCTCGAAAAGACAGGTTTCCTTGGTACCAAGATTGACTTGGTTCTCGCAATGACCCGTATCGGCCTTTTCTTTGGTGATGCTCAATTCGTCAAGAAAGCGATCGAGCGTGCAGAGACCTTGGTGGAGAGTGGTGGTGACTGGGATCGGAGGAATCGTCTCAAGGCATACAAGGGAATGCACTTGCTCACAGTGCGCTGCTACAGCCTTTCCGCACCTCTCCTCCTTGACAGTCTATCCACATTCACGAGTTACGAGCTCTGCAGCTACTCTTCATTGGTGATCTACTCAGTGCTTGCAGGTTCCCTGTCCCTGAAGCGGGTGGACTTTAAGGCTAAGGTGGTGGACGCTCCCGAGATCAAGGCTATTCTTGGTACCGACGAAGCCACATCTGGTCCTGGCTCACGGGATGAAGAAATGAAGGATGCACCGGCCACCACCGGTACCTCCACTATCGTCAACCTAGCTACACTGGGAACTGGTGCCAGTGAACAACCAGAGAATGAGACCCCCGTAGACTTCTCGCCCCTCGCCAGCCTCGTGAACAGTCTGTATAATGGCAACTACCGCTCCTTCTTTGTGGCTCTTGCTGGCGTTGAGGATCATTTCTTGACACAAGATCGCTACTTGCACGAGCACCGGGCATGGTTCGTCCGTGAAATGCGTCTTCGCGCCTACCAGCAGCTGCTGCAGAGCTACCGGGTGGTTGGACTGACTAGTATGGCCAACGACTTCGGCGTGACAGTGGACTATCTGGACCGGTATGTGATATTATAAGTTACTGACGAAAAAGGCTAATGAATTATTCCAGGGATCTGGCCAAGTTCATCTCCAGCAACCGCATTGCATGCACTATTGACCGTGTCAATGGAATCATTGAGACCAACCGACCAGACGACAAGAACAAGCAGTATGCAGATGTTGTCAAGCACGGTGATTCCCTGATTACGAAGCTTCAGAAGTATGGACAGGCTGTTCGTCTTCGGGGAAGCGAGCGGGCTTAGAGTCGATGCAGCGCATACTATGTAGCATGCGAACTGTTTAGAATCACTTGTCACTAGATTTCAACCATCCATATCTTCTTGAGCTGCAGAGTGCCCTTCAGTTTGGATATCTCCATCTTCCTGTGGGGGCACTAGATATAAGGATCCATCGGATCAGGTCACCCTTGGACCCTTTTATCGCATAATCTTGCATATCATCTGTAGCATAGAAGGGGAGTCGAATTAATCTGTGCCAACAACTGTAGTCTGTCGATATGCTGCGGGGACTCCAGGCACATGTGGTGTCGATTTGTGGTGTCACAACTGTTTTTAAGAATGAAGGATTCAGACTAAAATAAATAACACTCAATTATTCAATGCTCCAAAGACTAGAACCATCGTATGTTGTGGCCGAGCACAGCTGGCTGATTATTGGCGGTACATGCGGCACCGAAGAAGTACTTTTCTTTTTATGACGGGGCTTTCCTAGTTCAGGTGCTGCTTTTATGATGGCGCTCGGCTCACTGAGTAAATATTGGTCTGGGCTCTCTGCCCATTGCCATCATGTGATAAATCATTATTGTCAACCTGAAATTTGACCGTTCAATTGCTGAATTCTCTATCTACGGATGAAAATCTCTTAAATACACGCCCGTGTGGATCCTGCAAATAGTGAAAACAACACTCCTATGTTCTTGGTTGACAATTATAATTGAACCCTGAAACTAGAGACTAAATTACAGGTTATTTACTACAAACCAATCCATTACTCTACCCATATGGTCTACCGATCATATTGCCATAGAAATAAATAAGCCGTTGACACTGTACAGACCATTTGGCCTTTTCCAAATAACTGCTTCTGGTACACTAGGTAGCCGCATATACTGTTAGAGCTATTATATAACGCTTGTAGCCACAGTGCAAGCCCAAGCAGCCTACCTCGAATATTCGTAGAGATACTATAGAATAGCAGTATCTCACATACTTCAGGGATATAATTAAAGCGCACGTCGATACAGTATACTTCTCTCTAACCTGTACCGAGGCACATTACGTTACCCTAACGATACATCTTCCGACTTCCTGCGCGAGCTGAAGAAGCACCAAAACGCAGACCCTCTCCTCCGCGGCTTTGAAATAGTAGAAGAAGACGACATTGACGACGAAGGCTCTTTCTCTCCCTCGAACACGTGCGATTCAGATCCAAACTCAGGTCCAACTCCAGAACTAGGCCCAAAATCGCCCTTGTATTGTTTATACAAGTACCAGCACGCTATCACGAGGAAAGTAAGAGGTATCGAGATAGCAGTATATAGCCGCCATAAATCTGTCACGACAAATGACCACGCCGGCTCCCCGTTGGTCTCATTCTTTGTTGTGAAAACCCCTGAGGACATGAAGGTCTATTTTCCGTCAGCACCAACAGTGCATCCTGCTAGTTATCTTTCCGTTTCAAACACAGTAAGACGAGTGGAACGAGGAGTCTACTAGATTGGTAGGTAGGTAGGTGGATGTACATACCGCCACAGCCGTTGCAGGCAAAAACACCATCGTCAACGCCGCAATTGCATTCATACTGGTACTATCTCTCTTCATACTCGCCGCTAGTCCAATATTATTCGCCGCATCCTGCTGCGTCACGAGGTTATAGACGAGATTCATAGTTGAGTTCTTACGCTCTTTGTAGTTCTCAAACCACGCTTGTTGTTTCTCCATCGAGTGGATGATGTAGCTGATTGTGTCGAGGGTGCTCTGGCTCTGGTCTGTTATATGGCTCTGACTGGATGCGCTGGTATCACCGTTAAGCTGCGCCGTCATATCTTTGATCCCCCGCGCGGTAAACAAAGCGACAGTCGCATTAGCAATATGCGAGTCCGCATTCTGGGATATAATCTGGAGCTGCTTGGTCAGGTTTCCGAGTTTGGAGCGGTCACTGGATTCCAGGCCTGCGAGGTAGTTGTCGACTTTATTGACCTATATATATTTATATATAATGATTAGTCCCAAAATAGATGGATTCGGTGCGATATGACCAGTTTGGTGATGACAAACCTGCTCCCACATGAACCGTTGAAATCTCTTAACGTGGTATTTTGACGCCTCGAAGGATAGATATGACAGCATAACGTGCAAGTCTAGCGGACTAGCTGTTAAAATTTTCCCTATTTCATCACCCTGCGCACCGTCCCGGTGACTCTTCAACGATAACTTAAGAAGAGACTGCAGAGCTGCAACACTCGTATCCCTTTGCTTATGCGAGATAACGTAGACTGTTAAACCATGCTGCAGGTCATGCCGCATATACGCGGACAGAGGGGCACCCTGGACTTGAAGATTCCACCGTGGATGTTGGCAATAGAAGTCTATATTACGTCCCCCACGCAAGGGTACTGATTAGTAGGCTAGAGCTAGGACGGGACTTGACTTCTTACCGCATGCAGTAATAGACCCGTCTGAGGCACTTTTTTCCCACCGTTTCTTTGGCGCCCAGTAATCTGGTCGGCCGAGCAGGTTCACTAGGAACGCGGGGCTGAGAGAGAGGGAGTCGAAGAATTCCTCGACGCTGGCTTGGGCCATGGGGATTGCGTTGCCCCAGGAAGTATTGGGTGCTGGGGTTAATGGAATAAAACTGCCGTGCAGTGTTAGTAGGTTAAATGAAATCAACAACAATGGTCATTTGAGAAGCTTACAATACTAAGAGTCTAGGATGTAGAGATGGATCGAAGTTCATTTGAGGGCGGCTATTGGCTTCCTAGATGTATATTTTTTGGTTAGGCTATCCAAATTGGGGACTTGAGGAGTTCGAATGAGAAAGGAATGAGACATACACGTAGGAGAGCACTCAGGGTTTGATTATTCAATTGTAACCACTCTTGTGATTCGTTAGGCTTTGTCCACTGTTCCTTAGGGTTCATAGGGAGGATGTAAACGCACCACCACTCTCCCCTTCAATACTAAGGCATTCAACATTGGTCTCAGCCAAAAAGTTATCCTCCCGGTTCAAATGCTCACGGTATTCGACGGCCGTAAACAGCTCCTGAGGCGATTTTAACCTCGACAGAGGATATTTTCCAGTATCCAAGTCATAGTTCAAGGCGAGTTCATCGACTTCAAGATCTGCGATGTAGGCGTGCCGCTGGACCCAGGTGACATCAAGTGACATCGGCCGCCTTGTTAGTTTTGCTGTGACCAGTTCGGTTTCTAGTTTTGAGTCGGGAAGATGAACCTCAGAATCCGGTGGAGCCGTAGCCGCGGGCAAGGGTGTTCTTTCGGTACTTATGTTTGGCAGCATTGTGATTAGTGGTAGAGATATCTAGATGTGATGACGGCGAGTTGAAGAAATGAGTTAGTTAGTATATAGCATTTTATGGGGGTGAAATACAAAAATGGTCAGCCATTCAATCTAAATGCTAGTTTTTTCCCCTCGAAAACCTGAGGTGCCTCGTGCAATTAGCCTCATCTGCTACGAGTAAGGAGATACGTGCATTCATTTCATTGGTAACGAAGGAATCAGCCTCCTTCGATATATGCATTCCTTCGATACGTGCATGAATTTCATTGGTGGCGCAGTAGTTCGCCTTTCCTGCCTTGCAAGAAGCCTGCCCCTTAGTAAAATTTTTTACAAGACTCTATCTTGGATAAAACGGGTGTAGAATTTTTATTATGTGCGATATTATGTGCATTTAAATTATTGGTCGTACCGTCTCAGCCTTGTATCTCCACAGTATACGTCCCAACCTACCACTCGAAGGGTGAGGCTTTTCCTATAACGAAACGGATGCAAACATATTATTGTTACACTGAATTTGCTTAGACTGGAGGCTGGCTGCCTTGGTTTATCAGCTGCATAGGAGGAGTTCTTTTACCGCGAGGCTCAATCTCAGGGCAAGGATGGGTGAGAAAGACTTTGGGAGGCAGTGATGAAGAGCAACTACATGCACGAGCTACCAGTTATTTCTTATGATGGCATCATATGGGATGAGAGGGGATTTTTGGGTGTAAGAGCTATATAACGACCTCTATCCTGTTGAAGAATTTCTACCTAACAGGTAACAACACACGATTGATATCTCTAGATAATTGTCTTATTCAGGGATCTCTTCTACATCCCAATTTTCACATTACATCTTGTTCACTAGCCTGCCAGTCTGATCAATAACAATGGAGGAACATCTTGAATCGTATAGCCATATCTCGCCCGATTCTGGCCTCCCAATAACATTACATCCTGTAAGACAAACACCATCCCAAAGGATATCGCCAATACTAACAAAGTCAAAGAATTTCAACCCAAGAATCAACAACTGGAATCCCCCCAAACCGCTCTACAGTGAATTCCGTCCACCAAAAGACCGAGCCCTCTTCGCAGACCCCTCAAAACCAAACCTTTTCGCTGTAGCCACCCCCACCGACCTTACAGAAAGTATCGGCACAGTCCTTAGTAATGTCCAACTCTCAGACCTAACTCTAACCCAACTCGATGAGCTCGCCCTCCTTGTCGCCGAACGCGGCGTCGTATTTTTCCGCAACCAAACCCTAAAAACCAAGCAACAAGAGTCCCTTTTCTCCCACTATGGCATTATCGACCGCCATCCTACCCAAAGAGAGAAAGCCCATCTCCTCGTAAAAGGCAGCGGACACGGTACCGACACCCGTGAATTACTCAATTACACCCCCTGGCCTTACGCCGGGTGGCATGCTGACGCGAGCTTCGAAATAAACCCCCCGTCGTACTGTATGCTACGCATGGAATCACACCCACCTGTTGGGGGTGATACGGCGTGGGTCTCCCAATATGGACTGTATGATGCGTTGAGTGCGAGCTACAAAGAGCTCTTTGAGGGGTTGCATGCTGTACATACTTCAAGGTTGCAGTACGATACGCTGCTTGATCTTTGGGGGGTTGGGCCGAATAGACCGCCTCTAGATATGCATCATCCTGCTGTGAGGACTCATCCTGTGACGCGATTGAAGGCGTTGAATGTAAATGAGGGGTTTGTTACTGGGTTTGCGGAGTTGAAGAAGCTCGAGTCTGGTGAGTTGGATTCACTTTACCGCCTACTGTCTTCTACCTGTCGATTAGAGTATACTTACGTGTTTTCCAACGTAGATAAATTATTAGACTTTGCGCTACAACTGATCCACTCTGCTGATGATCACCTGGTACGGTGGAAATGGGAAGCTGGGTCTGTTGCTTTTTGGGATAATCGGTATGTCTCTTACCTACTTGCCTCATCTAGAAATATGACGCGAGTTTTGTCGACAGTTGGAGTGAAGAACTACTAAGTGTTGGGAAAAATAGGTGCACACTTCATCGCGTGGTTCCAGGCAAATACAAGGAAGAAACTCGAAGAGGTATACGGACAAGGGTTCTCGGGGAGAAGCGTAAGACCTTCAATATCAACGTATACGTATCTATTTACTAACCGCAAGCAGCTTACCTTGACCCTAGCGGCGAGGGCCGTGAGGAGCGTACCACAAGACTGGCTGAAGATACTTCGAACAAGGAGTCCAACGAATTCGGCTCGTAAAGTTGCTAGGAGGAGTTGTGGATAGTAATTCCTTTATTGGGCCACTCAACACTAGAAGACATCTACGAAGACTATCAGCACCTGTGAAGTCAAGCTGTTGGTACCAGCATTGGACGAGTGACAATCAAAGATATTCGCCAGATCATCGAACATTTCCAAGTGAAACACAATGCTTGTTTTACATTAACTATTTAGGCTTTCTTGAAGTAACAGTTTACTAGCTTTCAGTTCTGTATTCTCTCTCCGTTGTAGCTTGCTATTGATAGTTGATATTGTATAAGGATAAAATAGTTGATCTAACTCCAAGGTTGTGAGCAAATCTAAAGTTAGGAGGAACGAAATAGAAGGGCATGTCCACCCATAAACCGGAAATACGTTGTGGATACGGAATATGCAAGTCTGCACCTAAAAATCTACGGGGTTTTACAGAATGCATCTGAGTTTTTGTTTCTATTTCAAAATGACCACTATTCATATCGCCATCTCAGACCTTTTGGTTATATAAGATTTGACCACCAATCACGTTCATAATATCCTAATATCCTAATAAAAAACCTAAATAATTCTAACACCCTTACCCTCTTACCCTCACACATTATTCCTCGCCCTTATACCTTATTCCTCACCCTCTCACCCTCATCCTCTCACCTTATTCCTTATCCTTACATCTTAACGATTACCATATTACACAGTACGACCTCTGGCTCCTTGTTTTGAGCAATACTTGTGGTATTATGCAGGGCAATGCTGTCCTAAACAAGCTGAAGCTATTGATTTTCGAGATGGGGTGCTTCACGCTTCAAAAATTCACGAGCAGCATTAGTACCATCAACCTCGAAACATTTATCTGGTGTTGAGAGACTGCTTATATGGTCCACCCAAGGTCATGGAGAATGGCCGACAGAGCATGAACTTCGAAGTCTATGTTCTCGTACATAGGGATTTTGGAGGCGAGTATAGCACCAAATACCCAAGAGCGATAGATACGATGAAGTCATTGGATCACAATGGGCAGAGGCTCAATATTCTCGGACTTGGATACTATGGTAAATACGAGAGAACAGGGGCCGAGACGGATCTACAACTGGCCATCCAACATTATCAAGAGGCCGTCGAGGCTACACCGGTAGACTACCTGGAGTGTGCACAGAAGCTCAATAGTCTCGGGCTTGGATACCGTGCTATATACAAGAGAACAGGGGCCGAGACAGATCTACAGCTGGTCATTCGATAATGTAGGGATGCGCTTAATCATCGCTCATCTCGTATCATCGATCGACTTAGTCCTAGCAGACACTTACTTCTTCTTTACCTTAAAGCCAAAGACTGGTCGATAGCACATCAAGCTGCATCTTCTCCAATATCCCTTATTCCTCGACTCACACCTCATTCTCTCAATACTTCAGATAAGCAGCATTTGCTCATTCAAATTAGTGGTCTAGCTTCGGATGCTGCCACAATTTCCCTGATAGCAGATCAGACACCATATTAGGCCTTACGACTTTTTGAACTTGGTCTTGGGGTCACCGTAGGCTCTATCAATCAAATGTATGCCGATGTATCCGGTTTTTACAGCATCATCCTCAGCTGGTAGAATAATACATGAGGCTTCGGGATCAACTCAATGCTCCGACTCGCCTAGTTAATCAGACTAGTATAGGACCAGGCATATTGCCTCAAGTTGGATAATGCTATAATGCTGGCCAGAAATTTGAGAAGACTGTTCTAGCTATACGGAGCTTGCCTGGCTTTAATCGATTTCTCATGGCCCCGTCTGAGGATGAATTCAAAGCCGCTGCCGCTTTAGGGTCGATTATTATCATAAATACTAGCATTCATCGATGTGATGCACTCATAGTCGACGAGCACAAGATCAAGTCTTTACCATTTCCTAAGCTTAAGTATAACGATATCCAAGTTTAAGCAGCGACTCTAACAAATCCGGACATGTTAGATATATGTTTGCTAGAATAGCTATGGGATACAATCGCTCAGCCTATACTCGATAAGCTAGGACTCACCCAGATGTCTGATGGAATAGTGGTTAAGGGCCAAGATGTGTCGATGCGGGCACTCAGGGATAGCTCCAAAACCACTCACTATGCCCAAAACTAAGACCAAAAACCTGCTCTAAAGGGTACATTTACTACCTTTCAGGGGCACCAGGAGGCCTCGCATGGCCAACCTCATGGCCAATATCATGATCAATCTCATGGTCAATCTCATGGTCAGTCTCATGGTCAATCTCATGGTCAATCTCATGGCCAATCTCATGGCCAATCTCATGGCCAAACTCAATCTGACCAAGCATTCCAGGACAGGAAGTGCCCTGAAGGGGTAAAGCTGTGGCCAAAAGCAGTGAAACGAGCTCAGAAAGTCCTCGAGGCAGACCCAAAGTGGAAGAATTGGGTTGAAAATAAGCTCAAATCGGCTACAGACAAGTCTCAATCTCAAACCGAGACGGTCGATCAGAGCGCAAATTACACCATTCAACCCGTGTTTTTCGTAACCAAACCACCTGGAACTAAGCCAAATTTGTCTCTAGGGGGTGGGCAATTCACTGAAATCGAGTCAAGTTTTCTAAGGAATCCGGCATTCTTGACGATCTCTGATAGCTCGCTCTTAAAAACAGCTGGATACTAGACACTGGAGCTAGTGTCCATGTCTGTAATAATAGAGATGCATTCACCACATTTAAGCCAGAGATCAACTCTCTGACCCTAGGGAAGGGGTCTGTCCCAACTCTGGGTAAAGGCCAATGCATAGTCAATGGAATTGACCCAAAAACAAGGAGAGCCAGGTCTATTGAGCTCTCAAAGGTACTATACTCTCCAGTTTTCAGTGTAAATCTCTTCTCATACTGCGTGTTCAACGACAGAGGAGGAGACTGGAATCCCAAGGGACAGTATCTTACTGGGAAGGATGATGAGCCAATCTTAAGCATTAAGAGAGTTCAGAATCCAGATTTACTAGTGGTGGAGGCTTTTTCGGCCGAAAAGATTCTCCCAGATTCAGCTGAAAAACCTATCCTTTCAGCCAAAAACCAAGCCTTTCTTGGAAACCGCGATGTTAGAAACCGCGATTCTAGAAAACCACTAGAACTAAAAGGATCACTTAAGCTATGGTACCGCCGGTTAGGGCATCTGAACTACAATTCAGTGCAAGAGCTACCTAAACTGGTAGATGGTGTAGTAATTACGCCCCAATCTGGCCAGATTCCTGGCCAAATATCAAGTCCATGCAATGTTTGCAGTCTCTCAAAAGCTCCTGGACAGGTGTCCAGGCGCCCATTGCGACGCCATTTTGGCCGCTTTGGCCAAATATCTCTCGATTTGATCCAAATGAATCCTGCATATAATGGAGAGAGATGGCATGCTGTTCGATTGAATACCTCAAGCCATCAACCACAACGAATGGCCTTGGTCATCGATAGTGATAATACCTTTTTCGTATAGCTTGATGACTGGTTGTTTATTCACATCTTGGTAATACCAGTAAATAGGATTAGTGGGGTCAAGCATACACTTCAAGCAGGCCACTCTCTCCTCGATAGTAGGGGGTGGAGGAGTAAAGGGTGGGGACCTTGTAACCGCTATCGCGGAGGTCAGAATTTGACAATTTTAATCTAAGATGGGTATAGACAGTGAAGAAAGAGTAGATAAACTTCCCGAGATGTTAATCGCAAATTTTTAGACTTTCGATTGCGATGACCGCAGATCGCTTAAGATCTCTATAAACGCCTAAAGTAAAGCATAAAGTAAAGTAACTAAATAATGACTTATTAAATATATAACAATATAATCTAACCTAATTTAAACTAGTGCTAGACTAGTGATCGATCTGAGTTCCTCTTTTATCCCTATAACATAACCACCTAATCATTGTAATCATCTTTCATGGAATCGGGCTCTTCAGAGCCTTCGCTTTAGATAAGAATGTAAATGATCTATTAAATTTTTCAAGATTTTGAGATATGCACACGATATAAGAGTTAGGAGCAGAACTTAATTTGAACGAAATTCTAGATTGAAAGCAATCTAACCTCACAGTCAAAGATCAGAATTATGCACACTCCTATCAGCACGGTAGAACAAGCGAGACGCCATCAAGTTTCACAGACGATACAATCGAAGAGATTAGTTCAAATGTAATAGTCGTACTCGACGATGTAGCCGTAAAAGTACTCTCGAGGATATGCCATACCTGTTTCGTTGTCGAACCAATAGCGATCGTATACCTAGTATTCTCAGTGTTATCGAATGAACAAATCAGTCTGGTCGCGACGTTTCCACCAGTTACTTCATATTCATATGATATGGTATATACTTCTCCAGCGACGGTTGAAATTGTCTGGGATATCGTAGCTGTGCTTGACCCAGTAGAGGGGATAAGGAGATCGATTGAGTAGTCGGTGTTATCGCCGCTCGAAAATTGATATTCTCCACTGCCTGTAGCTGAGAAAGTCCAAGGAGATAGTGTTTCATCGGCAAAATCAGGGTTGGAGACGACGTTCACTCCACAGGTTGGAGAGCTGGTGGCAGTGGAAGAAGCTGTGGTAGTCGTGGTGATTGCAACTGTCTGGGTGACAGTTATGTCGATAGTTAACGTGGTAGACGTTGTGCTAGTGACATCGATAGTTTTGGCAACGGTGGTTTCGACCGTGACAGGAACGGTGGTGGTAACAGTGACTAAAGACGTCGAAGTTATCTTGGCTAAGTCTGTCACATCGAGCGTAGTTGTCACGGTCTCCATGCTTGTCACAGATGACTTCTCAGTAACAGTGATATCGGCAGACTGAGTAGTTGTCTGGCTAGTCACAATACTAACAGTCTCGGTATTGGTTTCAATGATTGTGATATCAGTCGTGGCAGTAGTTGTCACACCAGAAGTGACACAGTCAGTGACAGAAGCGGTTTCCTGGACTGTTATGTCTAGGGTAGTTGGGGTAGTTATTTCGCTGGTCACTGTGGCGGTAACTGTCTCAGTTCTTGTGGTGGGGCTCTCCACTGTCAATGTGAATACATCGAGGAAGGAAACCGAAGAAGAGGTTATGGTCGAAGTGGCATAATATGTTATTGTTTCTGTGATATCGGTCGTGACCGTGTTGGTTTTGACAGTTGTCAATGTACCAGGGGCTTTTCGAGTGATGAAATCCGTTACAAATTTTGTAACGTAGATAGTAGGCACGCTAGGCGCCACAGTATGGATGGTCAGAGTTTCAGTCACCTACCAAATAAGTTAGTACTTAACATATATGACCAAAAAGATATGAACATACCGTTTGTCGAGCAAGTGTTTTAGTAGTGTACACTTCAGAGTTCCAGTCTTCGAAAATCAAGATAGAGCATGCACTATATAGATCGGTTCTGTGGATGCCCCTCAAAGCAGAAGGAACTGGCACTTCACACTCGTCGATCACATCTCTCTTATTGGCTGAAGCTTCTACAGTAACAACAGCAGTGGCAGTCACAGTTACTTGATCAGTCGCAACCGAAGTGAATGTTGTAGTCGTGTAGTCGGTAACAGTTGCCAGAACAGTATTAGTTGCGGTTTCGAGATCAGTCTGAACAGTAGTCTCGGACTGTGTGCTGGTCACAGTGACATCCACATCTTGAGTTGTGGTGATTGATACAGTGTCAGTGGCAGTTTTAGAGACAGTATCAGTAAAAGAAATGGTTATAGTCTCGGTATGATAGTTGGTTATTGTTGCAGTTCCAATATCCGTATAAACATTGGTGATATAAGCTGTTGTAGGCTCAGTGAAGAAAGTTGTGATGTACGCCGTCGACCAGTCGGTAATGGTGTTGGTCAATGTTTTGGTGGTAATGTCAATGAAAGACTCAGTGATTGTTGCAGCAGCATAATCAGTGATTGCCTCCGTCAAGGTATCAGTGATGACACTGGTAACTGGCACTGTAACCGTTTCGTATTCCGGCTCGGCCAAAATGCCGATCAGAACAGTAGAGATTGTCACAGTTGATAGATCCGTGATCGCCAAAGGAACCGTTTGAGTCAATGTCTTTGTTGCATAGAGAGTCGTGGTGCGGGTTGGTGGCTTCAAAATTGTTGATGTGAAGTGCTTTGTCGTCGTCTTAGTCACTCGATGAGGATGATCGGTGACAGTTCGGGTGATTCTGGAAATACTTGGCTCTGGGACTACTGTCTCAGTTTTGGTAACAACCTCGCAAGTCTCATGGATAATTTCGCGGCAGAAGGGATGGCCTTCAGGATATCTTTCTATCCGACGTACAACCTCCGCTAGAGGACCTTCTCGCAAATTTGACCGTGGCTGCACAGAGCATGATCTGTCATGATGATCATGGCGTGGAAGCAGATGAGATGGAAGAGCCGAAGTGACGGCTGCGTACGTTATTGCTAAAAGGAGTGGTGATTTCCAAATCATGGCGGGTAACGAGGGTATAATAGCGAGCGATACACAGTGCAAGATGTCAGGGGTATAGATAGATTTGAAGTTTTATATAGACACTTCATCGGGCCCGAAAAAAGTGGCGTCTGTATGGCGGCTGAATTTTTTGATCAGGAAACGAAAACATACCTTTTTATGCGACCTATTTATCGATCTTGATAGGCTCAGATTAAATTTAGTGGCGAGCTTAAAGGCATTACATCCGGATCTAGTCTTCATTTGGGAATGAAGCCTCGCGTTAGGCAATTTTGAGTGTAGACCCACTTTCCACTCATTTACGGCTGAAAATGGTCACAATAACAATTGAATTGTTCAAATCCTCTGATGTTTATATGCTGTGATCCGGCAATTCACTGAAGATTTCGTAAATACTTGAGACGCTAACAATACAATCTATTTCGGCAATATTTAATACCTGAAATATAAGGCGAAATATAATGAAAATATATTCATTTGGCTGCCCTAATCAGACGGGTGAAAGGGGTAACTAGTGTACTGGGGAGCCCTAAAGTATTTCACCACTGAACGGGTCACACTACTGAACGGGTCACCCCACCAATTTTACGCGTCAGTCTGGTGTTTCCATTTTCAACTACCCACCATGCCCCCCCTAAATGCTCTATATGTCCAAGACAAACAGGATCAGGAGAATAGGGTCTTATTAGCTTACCAAGCTTACAAGAATGGCGATATATCATCAATGCGTAAAGCTGCAGCTATGTTTAATATACCATTTTCAACCCTCCAACGCCGCCATTCTGGTGTCCAATTTCGTCTTGAAACACACCCACCGCAGTCTAAACTGACTGAATCTGAAGAGGATTCATTACTTCAATGGGTCGTCTCTCTAGATGATCGCGGCTGTGCTCCTAGAACTAAAGATGTTGGTAGAATGGCTAATATCCTACTCGCCGACCGCGGAACCAACCCTCCTCTTACGATCGGTAAAAACTGGGTTACTAGGTTTGCGACGCGTTTACCTGAACTTAAGACGACCTATTCAACACCGCGCGATTTTACACGTGCGCGTCAAGAGGACTATAATGTGATCAATAATTGGTTCAAACTGGTTGAAAACACGATCGCAAAATATGGTATCACCACCGACGATATCTATAATTTTGACGAGACTGGGTTTGCGATGGGACGATGTGCGACCGCGAGAGTGGTTACTAGAGCTGGTTATTATGGTAAACGCGCAAAAAAACAGCCTGGTAACCGGGAATGGGTTACTGTGATAGAGTGTTTAGGCGCGTCTAGTTACGCACCTCCACCCTGTATTATCTTTAAGGGTAAGGTGATGATGCAGAGCTGGTTTGCTCCTGATCTAGGTTTACCACCTAATTGGCGTCTTGAGATTAGTCCTAATGGCTGGACATCAAATCAAATAGGGCTCCGTTGGCTTGAAAAGCTCTTTATACCTGCTACTGCTCGTACTAAAGGACGGTATCGCCTTCTGATCTTAGATGGCCATGGTAGCCATTTAACACCTGATTTCGACAAAATCTGCCAGGAGCATGATATTATACCATTATGTATGCCTGCGCATGCGTCTCATCTTCTTCAACCTCTTGATGTTGGGTGTTTTGCGGTGTTAAAACGCTCTTATTCTCGGCTGGTTGAGTCTAGAGTAGAGCTTGGTTTTTCCCACATTAGTAAAGGAGATTTCCTAGAGATATATCCTACTGCGCGTATTGAAGCATTTGCATCTGCTTCTAATGCGTTTGCTGCAACTGGAATCGTGCCACTTGACCCTACTAGGGTGTTAAAAAAGCTTACTATGCGCGTCGATACACCACCACCACCACCCTCTATAGGAAGCGATTCAAGTCGAAATTGGACACCTAAGACGCCTAGGACGCAGAAAGATTTACGACGTCAACACCAAGCTATATTACGCACTGTATCTCGAACGCCACCAACACCATCTAAGAGAGCATTAGACCAGATAGTAAAGGGTGCAAATTACCTATATCAAGAGAATGCTCTCTTACGCCTGGAAAACAGAGATTTACGCGCCGCCCATGAGAAAAAGAAAAACACAAAAAGAACGTCCGAATCGTCAATTAACAGTAGTAGGGGGTCTTACAATTCAGGAGGGATTAGACCTGGTTGACGCGTCGAATGGTGGCCCTAAACTTAATGATGCCAATTTACAAGAGGGCCAGGCGCCTGTAAGGGCGCCTGTAACCCAACGCCGGTGTGGGATATGTAAGACACCTGGACATAGGAGGGAAACCTGTCCTAGTAGGCCCATTCAGTAGTTTTTTTTTACTATATTACATAGTAAATAATGGAGTTATTGGGATTCATAAAAATAAGTGGGTCAAACTGACCCGTTCAGTAGTGTGACCCGTTCAGTGGTGAAATACTTTAGAGCGTTCCCCATTTCACTAGTTAGTTAGTAGTATGATCCATCGAATCAATACAAGTACTAGACCAATGAAATCTTTCATCAAATCTTTCATCAAATTTTAGCCCGAATGTAGAATCATCAAAGCTTCTATATCGTCATCCTGAGATACAAAATTACCACTGGCATTGTATGTCACCATAATCCATCGCAATCTTTTTGACATCTCAATTTCTTGAATCCTCAGGTTTGATACAAGAGATATGGCAGCCTTCTCGAGCCCTGGAATTTTCATACTTTTGATTCCTCTGAGAAGAGAAGTAATTAATGAAAGGCGATCTTGAGTTGTGGCACTCCAATCTCTTTGCCTTCCCTGAAGATTCTTCGCAAAATATGCGCTCATTTGAGAGCAGCCTATTTATATCCAGTTAGCGGAGTTTTGTCTGAACCACAAAGGTATAGCTTTGCCATACCAAGTATAATCAGTAAAGGGAGAGGGGACAACCATCCAATTTGTGTTGCAAGTAGAGTCTTTCTGACCGATACTTCTAGTACTCGCGCCCAGGTTTCATGCAGCATTTTTGCATATGTGCTTACACTGTCAACATTCGTGCTTATAAGTGTGAACGCTTTTCCATTCTGAGCAGGAGATCTTTTAGCCCTGAGCGATCGAGAATGAATAAGGCCAATAAGAGCCCCTTGTGCCATTATCTGCAGCCTGATGAGCCGGTGTCAATATAATGATGTAGATATCTAGTTGACGGTGCTATTAGAATAACTTTTCAACGAATTTATTCAAGAGACTTACCGCAAGACCATAATGTATGACAGCAATCATGAGGACAAGCCAGTATGCTGAATTATTGTTTATTATCTTCAGGACTGCTTCTACCCACCAAGTCAATGTTGATACTCAGAAGGATCGGCTGCGAATAGCAAAATACGATCAATAAGAGACGTGGCATAATGAGCGATAGAAGCTCTCTTCAGAAACAGGTAAAAAGAACGTGAAGCACGGAAAACTTGTTTTCTGGCCTTGCTAAAAGAAGTGTCAGTGACCTCTGGGATTCTGTCTTGAGGAAATCCACGGTGACGCTTACTTCTCTGGCTCCAAGCCTGGATCAACCTTTTTCGTAAGAATTTTGAGCAGAGTGCTTCGTCAAGGTTTGGTAAGTGATTTTGAGTCAAAAATTCGTGATAGCCCTTCTTACGAATATGATTGATCCACCAAAACAGCGACCAAAGATGCTCAGTAGCTCACCAAGGAAGACTTCAACCAGCGCGATCTCGACGGCGAGATCCCCTTCCATGCTCAGTATGAGATGTGGCGTAAATTGTATGTTCATTGGATTCGGCCTCGTGTATACCCTCTTTTATTTCTAACTTTTCACAAGCTGCTTAAAGTTCAGCTGATGTTGGAAATAGGATGATACTTGACTTCAGATAGCTTTGGACTCACAGGTAGACTGTATCGTTTCCAAGTTTATAGGTATTAATGGTGAATTGAAAATTTACAAATCAAGAATTAAACAACATACCTTGGACTAAAAAAAAACAAAATATGACAACCAAATAGCTTATCAGGTGAATATCTAGGTAGTCATTCTACCTGAAGCTGTAAAAAAGCAACATCGCTTGTTCATAGTGAACACAAATTTGAAAAAAAGGATTGTCTATTGTGTTAAGAGCTGATACGATGAAAAACCTTGAATTTAGAGCTACCTAACCACGAGGTCAAGCCAACAAAAAGAAGTAAAAGGCAAGGCTGATGCCAGTAAAGAGACAAAGTAAAAGGGAGAGGCTGAAGCCAGCAAAAGACGAGATAATCACTGCGAAGTTATAAAAACTTTCGCTCTTGGGGTCCTGGAACTGGAGTCTTCAAGTCGGGCTTCTTTCTCTTCTTGCTGGGGGACTAGGGTCCGCTAGTGTCCTGACGGCCCTGTGATCGAACATTCTCCTATGACCACACATTCTCCGGTGACGTACCGAGATCCTGAGGCCTGTCTACCAGGCTCAACTTTTCTATCAAAACGAATGGCTCCTCCTCCACCACTTCTTCTTTGGCCGGGACAGGGAACAAAGTACCATCGTCGCTGTCACTCATTTCATCCCCATCATCATCGATGTCACTCATTTCATCCTCATCTTCCTCTCCTCCAGTACAAAGTGCTGCGACGCGAAGAAGATTCCATTGCAAAGTAAGAATTTCAATGGAAGGGAGGGGGAGCTTCTCCGGGTCAGAAGTCTTGATGGCGATGACATCGCCCGAAACAAGGAGCCGGCCAAGTTTATGACTATATAAACCTAGACCAGGACCGGCCAGGCCGCCCTCGCAAGCGAGGGAAGGACGCAACAGCAGTCGTGTTGTTGTGTTAGGGGTCGGATTAACCTTCAGCCAATATATTTGAACAAGAAGAGTGTGCGTATCCGATAGCCCGACCGGCTTCAATGCAAATCGTGCCTCGCTCCAGTACCGATAGACGATCGGAGATAATGACAACATGTTCAAGCACTGCTCGGTGCCGTTTGGACCAAGTATTCCTGCCAACCAGGCTACTTTCTTCTCTGGGGTCCAGAACAGTTCAAGGAGATCCCAAACTTCGCAACGCAAAGACATATCGGCATTGAGGGCATACGAATATATGTAAGCGATGTCGGGGGCAATTGCGTCACCCGTAAGGACGCACTTCTTTAAGTCTCGATTGCCGCACTATAGCTTATTAGCTTTGAAGGTTATTAATTGATCTGATTAGGCTCACCTTCTCCTTTTCTTATTTATTATAGCCTTGGATAGATTCTTCATCTTCTGAAGTAACTTCTTCACTTTCTGTTTCTTTATCTTCCATGTCATCATGGCTGCGCTTCCGCTTGGGGGCGTGGGCCCGGCCGATCCCTATAAAAACAATTAGAATAAGGCAGCTTGTTAATGAATCAAAGTACTTACAAGAAAGAACGGATCTCCGATTGTTCGCACAGACGATCTTAAACATAAGTGCATCGCCCAGGTCGAGGAAATTACGAAGCATTTGGAGGTCTGCGAACCAGCATAGGGCCCAGAATGCGGTGGTTGGGTTTTCCAGTGTGATAGGGCGCTGCATACTTTTATCTATCGCTCCAAATTGATTAAAAAGGTAGTAAAACAATTCGTTGTGGGTCATTGAACTCTTCCTCAAGCGCCGTAGCGGCCGGGGACAGTAATTCGGAGGTTTCTTCAGGCGACTCCCACATCGGTTCTGGCAGCTGGGAGACTCCTTCATACTCTTCAGGCATATCTGACAAATCTGACATAGCGTCGTCTTCTTCAAGTGAGGAAGTCATTTTGACTATGACGAAAAAAAGATGATATAGAAACGAAAGAGGAAAGAGAAACTAAGGAAGCTATTGTGGGTCTTCTACCTGCGCTATTCCCGATATGGATATCGCATAGTCATACTTTCAATATGGTTATCAATTCCCGAGTCAGTGGAGATTAGGAATCGCCTGTGGAAATCGACTGCTCAACTGACAAAGAGGATACTCGATCTGATCAAGTGCTTCGATCTACTATCTCATCCACTTTTAATTGTGGGTCAGTATCAAGTGGGGGAACTTCAGCTGTATCCAACAGCAATGAAAGAATCAACGCTTGATTCTTTCGTAACTGGAGAACCTTCAGTACCGATATCCATAATGTGCTTGAATCCATTGGCCTCGATGTACCCGTCACAGTCGACGAAACCAATGATAATTTTGTCGGAAGTAAACTTGGTTTGACAGGTCGTTTCGCTAAACATGTCTGTGACCCCGTCGCGAATGCACTCGTTGTAGTCTCGCTCTCGCTATGCTTCGACCGACGGGCCTACATTCCCGCTTCTCGTGTCATACCCGATGTCGTTCTCATGTCGGACACTTCTATCAAAATGGTGACTGAGTTAAAGACTTTCTGGACGTGGAACTTCGAGTTCATCCTAGCTCGCCCTTTGAACAACCTACATCTGGCTGAAGCACACCTTGGTAGGTAAACCTTAATCTTACAATAAATTACACGAAACAAATAGCACAGCTTGTTATCCAAATGCGGGATTGCAGAGTGCAATATGACATACTGTCTACCTACAATGCCACTGCTTACAGTGATATCACATTTTCCCTCGGTGAAGCATACCTTAGAACCGCAGCAGGTGATAACAGAAGACCTTCTGCCAAGCAGTGTGTACTGGGAATTGCAATCCTAGCAAATTCTGCCAACCCATATATGGAAAGCCCGATTTTCAGCCGGAAGAGGTATGTTCGGAATTATCTACCCTTAAGATGGCACTTTCTCACATATGCCTCTATAAATAGCTGATCTATGCACCCGTGCAAGTATCAACCCGCGATTCGGGGATTTCGTTTAGCTCATATCACATCAAGCGATACTCCTGGTACTTCTGCCCCTGCTACTTCTTCTCGCGCTCTCCCTTACTCCGTGCCCATCAAGAACCACACCGTATTTTTCAGTGAGAAGGAAAACGCGACAGACTCCGTCGCTGTGACCAAAATCATCAAGTGGCTAACCACCAATGAATTTTTCCAAGGTGAAGGTGTTGGTGGCCAATGGGTCGAAAAGACTAAAGCCATTTTCGAAGGAATCTGGCACGACAAAGAAGTAATCATCAAATGCTGGGATTATTTCAAGATGAGCGAGATCGGGCTTGAACTAATCTCATTATATAGTCTACTGAAACCAGCTAATAAGGTTCTAGCTACCGGAATGAACGCGCCATCTACCTGAACCTCCAGGATCTAAAGCCAGATAGGTTCCCGTTCTTTCCAAAGGGCAAGAACTGCGGGCAAATACACTGCTCTTCAATCTTCCCCATTGGCTACGTTTTAGTTATATCAAAGGTTAAAGGTACTCCTTTGATAGACAAATGGAAGACAGCCTCGATAGAACGAAGAAAGTTCATCCGGGTCAGATCCTGGCCGCTGTCCAGGTACTCTGCACGTTCAATGTGATCATTTCAGACTGTGGGCTGCATAACATTCTCTATAATGACGAAGAACAGAATCCGACCGTTTGCATCGTTGATTTTGAGTATTTGCATGTATTTGCCGATAGTAAAGATCCATCCAAGGATTCGCCGGTCCATCCGGAAGCGTATTCAGTATTCAAAGACTTCAAGGATGATGAAATCAATTTCGATAGCGATGAAGATGAGGATGAGGAGGACGAGGGTGAGGATAAGGACGACGAAAATGAAGAATGATCATGATGACAATGAGGATAACGGGCTTCTGTTTTTACTTATTTTTTGTTTTATTTTATGAAGCTTATGGAGGTCTTGGGGATATGGGGATATAGGGAGCTTTAGCCCTCTTCCATATGGCATACATTTTTAGGCGCAGATAACAAGCGATTCAATTTTATCAATACATATTTGCTTTCCGGTACCCATTCCTCTCTCTATAAGAATCATAGGAGGACTAATCCCTACTCATTTGCTCACTAAATACTGAGCTGTCTATTTAACAAGAAACTCCATCTCAGCTCAGAAACTAAGAGCACTGCTAGTTATTAGGACAAACGGCATCCTGGTTCAGACTACATTACAACACCTATATCAAGAGTGCGTTGCAAAATATACACTTGAACGGCATGCATCTGCAACGGCGATGTCCCGTCCTGACCGACTCTTCTGTTTTAGACGATGGAACGCATTCATCTCAGACAGAAGAACAATCTTGTATTATAAGTAGCTAGTTCTCATCATTAATAGAAAAGCAGACTTCAAAACAATCACAGCATTCAGTATCGTGGAAATTACTTCCAGTTCGCTGCATTCATTCTCCAATCCAATAAACTGTGCCTTGCGAGTATCATTCGTGTTCCATGCTACTGTCCACACTGTACAGTGATTGGGGTTAGACTCTGGGAATAGTGAGTACCCGAGACAAGAGTAACAGTAATACTATGTGAACTAAACAAAGAGCCCTTACAGTCTTCTATATACACTCTCCAATAGATATAAGGACCAAGAAGAGTGGCTAGAAAATGGCAGGTGCGAAGAAGTGCACTAACATCGACTAGGTCATTTAATTGATCAGCTACTATAAGCAGGACCTCATTTGGGTAGAGCATGATAAGACTTGTCGAATTTCTCAGATCTTCTCGTGACACAGCGGGTTGATTAAACATTTTGTCAGATAATAATGGGTTGTAGCGGATGAGAATTGAGAAAATGAAGTATGGTGGCTCCAGGGTGATGAACTCGCGGGGTGCTGTGCCCGAATAAATAAGTGAATGAATGAGTAAAACGATGCAGTTTAGTCATGTATTCAACATCCTTTTTTTCCACCTCATATTTTTCTTCAATATGTGGTCTTTCCTAATACTTCATCTGTTGAACAGCATCCTCGAATAGCTTGGTAATATAAGATGGAGATAACTATGCAGTACGTATGAGAAGTTTCTTATCTTGTAAGTTAAGGATAGACTTCGGTAATTGAGACTCAATTTTGTGTCAATATTCAAGTCTAATGAATACCTGAAATCCAAAGCCATCTACCAGGAACAGACTCCTCACCAAATTTCTGTATATACTACTATTTTGTTGCCGAGGCAGTAGCTCCAAGATGACCAGCAATAGAGAGAACGCACGCCAGTAATGTCTTATTAACAGCTTAATCTGGCGGTGCAGTGATGAAGGCCAGGGATAAGTAGATCACACATTCGGCTCCATAGTGGGCACACACAGAGCTGCGGACGAGCGGGTGGTCCAGAATTTTGTATCTCTTCGGGGAGAGCAAGAAATTGTGACAGTCTTATTACAGACCGGAAGCGATCAACAAGAGTGGGATGAAGAAAAGAGTACGCAGACGCGAGGAATTCGTTAATTCAAGATCTCTGTAATTAGAGCTCCTATAGATAAGACAAGCAGAGTCAGTCATCTCATATTATTCGTGGGGATATACCTGGACCTTAATCCAGATCGCAACTCCAGCAAGATAGAATGCAAAAATACTCAAAGGTGTGCTCAGTCCTAGTGAGCAAAAGCAGCGAGGGAGCACTAATACGGAAGAGGAACGCCAAGAACTGTCAGAGAAACAACGGCAAAAAGTTGAAGGTACGATCACGTGTGGGATCACTATTAATTAACCGGGCCTTATATTACACTTTAGTACACTTCATTACAGTCTCTCGTGTAGTAAAGTACGTAAGACTCATCAATTAACCCCATGATAATCTTACTCAGGCTAACTTGATGTTCCTGGCCCTAACTGGCCCTAACTGGCCCTAATCGATCTAAAATAGTGCCGATTCCACACCGCCCAATAGAACCCCTGTCATTATTTTCCTTTAGCCGTCACTGAGTCATTTTCTCCACGTAAACATCCAAAAGGTCCGAGTGCAACTCGAAGGTCATTGGGTCGACTTCTTACCATGTCCTGGCAATTTAAGCTTGCCTCTGGCCTACGGGCCTCTCCGCTGCGGGGTTCTCCGTGCGTGACGAGGTCAGTCCTACTTTCTCCGATTTCGAAAATTGGGGGATTCTCCGCCTGGCCAGGTACGTTTCTATGTTCTACCATATATAGGCTGTTCTCTCTCTTCCTCCGTCCTAAGCTGTATGATCGGTAAATGGATGCCTTTTGCTCTAAATCGATCCGTCGATCTCGGCCTTAATTTGTACATACTTGATATATTTGACAACCTAACTACTCTTAACTAACATTCCTCTGGATTCACTCAGATTCTACAATGTCTCAAACAAGCGTTACCTGTACCACGCGGACCATGTCCACTCTCAAATCCTCGAAATGCCTGAGCATCAATAATATGAACCCTTCCATCAAAGCGGCCAAGTACGCCGTGCGCGGTGAATTGGCCGTCAAGGCTGAAGAATACCGCCACCGTTTGGGTCAAGGCGACAAGTCGTTGCCCTTTGACAGTGTAATCTTTGCCAACATCGGCAACCCTCAGCAGCTAGACCAGAAGCCCATCACCTTCTTCCGCCAGGTACTCAGTCTAGTTGAGAACCCGCTTTTGCTGGACAACTCCGAGGCTCTCAAGACCTCATTCGGATATCCTCAAGACGTTATTGACCGTGCCACAACGCTGCTAGCTGAAATCCAGAGTGCTGGAGCTTACAGTCACAGTCAAGGTGTGCCAGCGATTCGCAACAGCGTTGCCAAGTTCATTGAAGAGCGTGACGGCTTCCCTGCCAATGCGCAGGACTTGTTCTTGACCGCTGGCGCTTCTTCTGGCGTCAGCACCCTTCTGAGTGTCATTTGTAATAGCCCTAATGCCGGTGTATTGGTTCCCATCCCCCAGTACCCTCTTTATACTGCAACCCTTGCGCTTTTGAATGCGCACTGCGTCCCTTACCTGCTTAATGAGCAGAAAGCGTGGGGCACAGACATTGATGTCATGCACCAATCTATGAAGGACGCCAAGGCTGCCGGCATCGAAGTCCGCTCCGTCGTCGTTATCAACCCCGGTAACCCGACAGGAGCCTCGCTCAGCGCAGACGATATTAAGAAGGTTATCGATATTGCCGCTGAGGAGAGCCTCGTCATCATCGCCGACGAGGTGTACCAGACCAATGTCTTCACTGGCGAGTTCATCTCTTTCAAGAAGCGTCTCCGCCAGCTGCAGCAGGAACAACCTGGCAAGTACGACGATGTCGAGTTGGTATCCCTACACAGCATTTCCAAGGGTATGGTTGGCGAGTGCGGCCATCGCGGTGGTTACTTCGAGCTGGTCGGCTTTGACCCGTTGGTTCAAGAGCAGGTTTACAAGCTCGTTAGTATCGGACTTTGCCCACCGGTCGTGGCACAGTGTCTGCTCGAGACCATGGTCAACCCTCCCAAGGCCGGCGATGCCAGCTTCGAGGTCTACAATGAAGAATATACTAAGATCGAAAGTGGTCTTCAAAAGCGTGCCCTCGCTTTGTACGATGCCTTCCAGCGCATGGAGGGCGTTGAATGCCAAATGCCCCAGGTAGAAACATCCATATATCACTTCCCATGAACTTTAACTAACCATTTCAATCAGGGCGCCATGTACCTTTTCCCCACCATCAACCTCCCAGCCAAGGCCATCGAAGCCGCCAAGGCCGAAGGTCGCCCCGCTGATGAATTCTACTGTCTCCGCATGCTAGACGCAACCGGTGTATGCGTCGTTCCAGGATCTGGATTTGGTCAGAAGGAGAACACCCTTCACTTCCGCACTACCTTCCTTGCTCCCGGCACCGACTGGGTCGAGCGCATTGTCAAGTTCCACGCCGAATTCCTGAAACAGTACGAGTAGAGATGGTATGAGATTTACTAGGTTGATCAATACTTTACATTTTCGGTTCTCGTTCATTTCGATGTACACTTTTTACTTTCAGTTGTCTCTCATGTTTTCACATGTGTGTTCGGATTTTGATTGAACATTTATTCTTGACTTGACGATACCAAAATAGACTACTTACCGAAGCGGTGGAGCTGCTGATCCTTTGTTCGCTGTCCTTCGGCTAGCTCCTCTTTCCAGAGGTTGGAATAAAGTAGATATGCTCCATATTTAACAGCGGTGGTATACGAAGTATGATGTCATATGGCCCACAATAGAAGCATACTATCAATATGTCTGATGTCTGTTAAATATCATTTAGACCTTAGCTCCAAGAATCCATGATTCTCCGTGACCATGGATTATGATAAAATATTCAGGATGTGGGTTTTCTAAGGCTATAACGAGAAAGGTTGGCCTCACAGCGTCGACTACGAGTTACAAGAATTACCGATTCCAGGCCTAGCGAAGGTCTACAGATACCACCATGTCATTCCATCCTGCATGACATTCAAACCCTCATACCATAACCCCAACCTCACCAACCTACACGATTGCAATAATAGGCTATCACAGTTCCGGCAAGCAATCCCTGCTCCGCGGCCTGACAGACTACAAAAAACCAGTATATATAAGCACCGCAACCTGTCCGCGCCAGTGTCTGACATGGTGAAAGGGCACAAAGGCCATAGTTTGCACCCAAATAGCCGCTTCATAGTATCAGACATTAGCGTTGGCGAGCTAGATAAGTGGGAACGCTGGCGGCGGGAGTTCTACAAAGATGCTGATGCGGCAATTTGGGTGACGAGAACAAGGCTGCATGGCGATTTCTACGAGTCTTGGGAGTGGATTGGTGAAGAGATGAGCTTTCGGCGGCGGCGTATGGCTCATGATGGGTTTGATCTCGCTGAGGTGCCGGATGAGGGGCTTGATCGTGGTCCTTGGCTTGTTCTGTTAAATCAAAGGGATACGGATGATGCTGTATCGTCAGAGAAGGTTTGGGAGGGAGTTCCCGTTCACAGGATGGGGTTTAGGGAGTTTCGGGTTCAGGAAGCTTCGGGCTTAAAGTGGGAAGGGGTTAATGAGTGGGTTCAATGGTTGGTCGGGCGGTTGAAGCAGTCTAGGTCTCGATAATTTGGCTCTGAGAATGAGAAATTAAATGATATTGCCTGAAAGTGGATTGACGGTGCACGACTGGGTGTGCAAACACTTATTACTTGTCCACGGTGCCCCTTGATTTCAAGGATGCAAAGGCTTTTAGATATTAAGATGACGTAGAAAGAATGATTCCAGGGCTATCTAGATAGGTATGAATTTAAGACTCCAAATTTCAAGACCATTGAATGTAGGTTGGTTATAGATCTATACATCGCTGTGATCTCAAGACAACTTGGTCTGTTCTAAGAATCACAGTGAATTTGAATCAGAGACAAGCTAGCATATTATGACAACTACCTAGGAAAACAATTGTGTTGGTATTAGGTTATGAAATGAAATAATTTTACTATACGTAGCGAGTTGTGGAGAGATATCAATAAGTCAGACATGCGAAGCCGAGGCATTGGATGTAACTATATATAGACTTTCAAGTTCACCGTAACTGTAATACCTAACAATCTTGTAAAGAAAAGTAAAATCTTCGTCACAGCAGCCCTCCGGGGCTGCAGAGTCTGATACTTACAAAATGCCGAATTATCCGATGATCGTCGTACGACGGACTACTTCGTCAGAACGATGGTCACCTGGATAGCTCCTTGCTTCGGCCACAAATGTAAGCCTCAATGGTAACTTGTGAAACAGGACATATAGTCCGTAGGTTATCATTGGCCTTGAGACTCTCGTAAGTTAGCTAGGCACACTAGCTATTAAAAGGATTTAAAAGGCCTTCAGATCTACATGGGTAGAAGTTACTACAGGATAGAGTTCGGGCACATTGAAGACTCATTAGAATCTATCACAACGTGGAAAGAGTCCTTGGATGAAGTTAATGGATTAAAAATCAATAAAATCACTCTTTTGACCTTTTCCAACATATTCACCATAAACCTGTGGAGATTCAGTGGAGATTCTTGAACCGAGTATCTTTACTCGATCCGTATAGTACCAAGTCCAAAGTACATACTCACCCGCGAACTCCGTAAGACAGAATCTCAGCCGAAACGATCAACAGGACCTCGACCATTACCAAACATCTAACCAGCAAACCCCTTGCTGGAAGAAAGTCAAGCATTGGCCAAGCCCTGCGCAAAATGCTTGTGTCGACACAGGCGCCGTGGTATGTGGTACATGCGATCTGTACAGTTGGTATGCATGGGCATGGACTTCGGGACGAACTTGAAGCAGTGGCCGGTTCGGTATACCGTACTTAGTAATGGGGAAGGGAGCATTTGTGCTGATACTGGTCTTGGTGCGATTATGTAGTACAAAGGATCGCTTAAACGCTGGGATAGAGCATGCGTGGTCACTAGTTATACTCCGTCCTACAGGTACATTGGGCCATACCGCTACTTGGGTCTTGCATAGGAGCATACATAAAAATACGGAGTACAGATCAAACAATAGCCGGGCGATATTGGTAGGTGACAGTCTGACAAAGCTCCGAAATAAGAGATCTTGAAGGTTCAGACAAACCTGCTTGGGGTTAATTTGAGCTTTCACCGCTACATTGTGTGGAACTTATTAGAATACTTCAGGGCTCCGTGCCCTGTTGCAGATGATCTGCAGAAATGCATCGGAGTGTAATCAGTATTGAACGGTAAAAAAAATACCGCCAAAAATTGTATTTGGGGGTAGTCAGAAAGAAAAAGGGATGTCTATGTTTGTGAAAGAGAAGGGGAAAAGAGGGAAGGGCAAGGATGGGGAATAAAAGGAAAGGGCGAGAGAATGTACGGTGGCGCAAGGCACGGGCCTATTTTCCAAACCTTCTAGATTCAAATACTAATAGAAAGAGATCTAGATGGGCTAGTCAAGAAGGCAAAGGCGTATATCATCATCCTTCATTAAGGTCATGAAGACGGTATGGAGGTGGTGGTAGGGTGGAACCCAGAAGTGTGTTTGTTACATGGCAGAAGTAAGCCTCGCGGCTATGAAGCCCAAATCTGGCGGAAATAGCTTTCATCCATAGGTGGCGTGGATCCGTTGTCGAAGAGATCGGCTGGCCAGATTGGCACTGAGTCTTGCGTTTGGGGTATGTTGAACCCATCCTGCGTCGGAATCGGCTTCTGGTCAATTCCCATGCTGGCCTGCAGCTGATGCTCCAAGGCGGCAGTGGATTCATTGGCTGACTTGAGGAAGTCGTCGATGTTGATGGACGACAGATCTTGCGATGAAAGAATCTGCGTTTGAGGCAGCCCAACCAATGAAGAGGCAGTGCTAAGACGAAGATGGTCCAGATCTGAGGCTTCGCTCACGCTGTGAAGATCATGCATATCACTGCTCGCCGCGTAGCCCAGGCTCGGAAGCGGTCCAAACTCATCGACTTCAGATATGTCGCCAGACGATGAAGGCGGCGGCAAACCAGAGGGGTATGAGTTATAATCGAAGCTGGCATAGGATGGGGTTTGCGTGCTGTTTGCAGCTGGGGGATTGGAATATAAGGGGAAGCTTGACCAATCGACGGACGATTCGCCGAAAGCACTTGATCCAATTGGAAGTTCCGAGTCTGGAGACATGGAGAAATAGGGTTCTTGATAAGTATCTTGAAATGACATGCACGTAATTGGCGAATTGGAGGAAGAATAGTTGAAGGAAGAGACGTCAAGAGGAGGTGGCACGCGAGAGATGATCTGCTCGAGGGGAAATTTGTCCATGGTCGGTGGGGCCGATGTGGGCTTTCCATCTACAGGCTTCTCCATCGATGTAATCGGGAGGGTAGGAGCGAACTTTTCAAGAAAAGGATGGTCTAGCGGGGTTTTGGTGATTTCCTCTGTGGAGGCTGTGGTACTGTTGGGAGAACCGTGGGAAGTCTGGGACTGAGATGGGAGTTCCATTGGCAGCGAAAGAGGCTCTTGGATATAAGTTGCTTGAGTCAAGGACGGGAGATGATCCACTGACCGGCGAGAAAGGTCAGCGGAGTGGTGGATGGTATGTGATCGTGGGATTGTGTAAGGCATTCCACACTTGTGGGCCATGTCGTTATGCTTGTGAGTAGGTTTGTGATGACCATCGCGGAAGATAGTCAGGGCCAAAGTTGACTCTGATTTGGCTGTCGTAAGAAGAGGTTTGCGCGGGAGCTCTACAGGCACTGCTGGTTGAGGCGGGGGAAGACCAGTCTCTGGAACGGTATCTAGGTGATGTTCCTTTTTCAGCGCACAGGAGCAGCGCTGGCCGTTATTACAGCCACAGCGATGAAGAGCGTTATCGGCATGGCCATCCGGCGAGTCAGACTTCTTCTTCTTCTCGCCACACTCGCACTTGACGTGAGTTGTTCGAGACTTGCGTAGGCCGCGACAGTGGGTACATTGAGAGACTGGGCGGCCCTTTTTGTTGATGTGGGTCAAAGGGCGGTCTGTAGGGAATGAAGAGTGAGCTAAGGGTTTCAGGGGTAATACAGTACGGGGTAAAAAGGTAAGACGTCGATAGAACGTGGGGTGATCGGAGAATAGAGAAACTGACCACTGTGGTGGCAACTGCTAACGCGGTGACCCCGGACGCAAGCTTCACAAGCCCACTTCTCACCATCAATGAGCATTGTGATTACTGAGAGGTACACATGCGATGATCGCAGTGTATATTGGGGATTTTTTGGTATAACGAAACAATAGAAAATAAGGCGGATCGATGGCCGCGAAAAAAGGCCGTCAAGGCGGGTATACAGCCGGTTCGTCGAGAGGGCCGGATTGGAATAGAAACAAAATGGGTATCTTAGTTAAAGGGTTCCCAATGCGTGACAGGACGCCGATCCAGCAGTATAGAAAGAATTCGTAACTGAGGGTCGCACTGGTTTCGCAGGCAACAAAAAGAAGAAATTCAAATGGGTATCGAGGTATCAAGATATGAGGTATTCGAGGGTAGAGGGGGAGGAGGGATAGAGAGAGAGAGGACAAGAGGGGGACCAAGCCTACGCACCGTTTGGCGCCGGCCGTGAGACAGGACACCAAGTACCGGTAGTGGCGGCCAAGATAAAAAGCGTCGATATAAAGTGTTAAACGAACACCCTATACAAAGAAGCTAAGAGGTGAGAAGAGTGGGAAACGAGGATTATAACTCTGCATCGGATTTTTCGCTGCCATATTGGTCTCTATGGTTTACCGTAGCACATACCAGGACATGTTACAAAACCGTTACAACCCGATGGTATTTTACTTGATTTATACATATACATGTACACGGGACAATCCCTTCCCTTTCCTGCCCTTTCCCTTCCCCTTTCTATACGATTTGTACCCAAGTTATTTCAACTGCTCAGTGCTCAGTATTGTCGTGTCCTGAAGGTTCTTCTCAGGGGCTTAACGCTGGGACCACTAGACTTTTCAGAAACGCCCGAAGCTATGGATTTGACGCCCAGCCCAGCTGAGCCTGTTTTGAACGTAATAAAACATCTAATAGCGGGGGCCAATCGCTCTAAAAGAGAGCCGCCCACCTTTTTTGTGGCAAGATCCTATTGCCGTCACTCCGGGCACTATCATTGACTGGAGTAATTCCCGGTTTCCTTTTTCCCGGTCACTTTGAGAATCAGCATATTTTATTCCTCATCCTAATGTTGGGATTCTGTTCTGTTTTGAATGGTTTAGGTGGAGTCAAGGATACGAACCAGACCCCCACTACCTCCTCGGGATGGATCTCGCTAGTAAAATCTGGGGCCGCACATCACAGTGAGAATTTGAGAAATGACCTGTAGAATTTGGCTTGTAGACTTAGCCCAGGAGGGATTCCAGTTGTTTCAGGCAATTTTAGGGAAATAAGTTAATAGTTCAATGTTTTGTATACAAAGGTACGAGGATTCAGGTACCATTCCACGGCGGGAGCTTTCCACGATCCCTGCAGGGGTGGATCGTCTAGACATTCAATATGCCAACAGAAAAGGATTTGATGCAGATATTCCTGCAAAAGAGGGCAAAGGGTAAGGAACAGTAGGAATACGTTAGTCCTATACGCATGTCATAGCGTTGAACTAAGTAGGAATGGCGTCACTTTTCCTATATTGGGCGTACTGCATCTTAGTAGTAATCAGTACTATCCAATCATTGTCATCTATTTCAATACAGAGCCGTAACTTGCCGACTTCAAGCGGTGTCATGCGCTATTCTCCTCCAATAATACTATGCCACACCTTTAGTTATAGTACTGAATACTGAATATCACACTCCGAGATTCAACCTTGATATTATGTACTCAGCTTCTAGAATCTAGTACTTGGATATCCAGTAGTCTTAGTATCAGATTCCCATCGATCTATTCTCCTTGAAATGCATCAATCCATCTGAGAGTGGTCCAAGCTTTCCAAGGGTCCACCTGGCTACGTACGGATAGGCAATTCACTCCGTAATAAGTAGAACACACAATCCATCCATACCAAGGTAATTACCTAAATAAATACCTAGCCATCAACCCTTCTGATTGTGTTCTCACGAGCTCAATGTTGCAACCTTGGAGCCTTGGAAGATTGCAAGGTTGTAGTTTGATCGATAATTGAGTGATGAGAATTCATTATTAGACTTAGGATTTACTACAGACTTTCTACTTTCAAGACAGTCTCGAACTCATATACTAATACTAGCCGAAATTAACACTTGACCGCGTGCCGTAAGACTCAGCCCTGGAGATTGCTTGGCAGCCTAATTTGTCACTGATCTTCCAACGCTTGGAAGTACCTAGATACCCGCTTCATATGTACCTAGGTGTACACTTCGCTGAGTTTTATGGATTCAAGGGTGGCGATCGAGAACAAGCATGGATAATGGATTACCCAGTAGCGAGATGCAATTAGCCTGTTTAGGTGCGGAGTAGTTATGAGGTTGAGAATAGTATGGAATTAGACCCTTTGACCGCTTTTCAGGCATCCTCAGGCATGAATGACTTACCGCCCACCGATGCGAGGTTCTGCCAGAAACCAACTTCACTCTCGTCGGAACGGGGCCGGTGGGAAATAATATTAATCCGCTGGACGCAGAAACAAAAGGCCGTCCTCCGTGTGATCATCCCGAGGGAACTATACAAGAAGCTTAAAATAAGATGATAATAACTTGGAATGATCTCTCCAAGATGTAGCTCTTCTCTTTTGCTGGTGTTGCTCAATGCGGACCGCGCTAGCCCCTTCACAAAATTCCCCCGCGTAAATTTGTTCAAGCAAAATAAAACCTTGCTTTCTCGCACTTCGCGTCCTCCACCTTCCACCCTCTCCGGAAGCTCGCTTTTCTCAACACAACTCCCTTTCTAGTTTTTTTGCTATTACCTACGTGCGATGAATTCTCGAGAGCAGTCTGACTTGCCTCCGGGGCAGTCGTACCCTTCACCCAACGGCGCACAAATGGCTCAAGGCGCCATGCCCTACTATAGCAACCGACAGATGACCGCCGACGACATTCTGACCGCAGAATTGTCTCGTGAAAACTCTGGACCTGGCCTTGATGGGGCAAATGGTGTCCACCACGGACAGGGTATGGTGTTGGGCTCGTCGAATGCTGGTGACATGGGTCGAACCGCGTCGGATGAGCAACACCAGCATATGATTCAGTTTACTCCGAGCCAACAGGTTGGCGTTGACCCTAATCACGATCTGAGCTATGGAGAACAGAGCGCTCGTAAGCGATCTAAGATCTCTCGTGCTTGCGATGAGTGCCGTCGTAAAAAGGTTTTTTTTTCTCCATATCCACCCAGACGCGCCTCGCGACCCACTAGCTAATATCGTCCTCATTAGATACGCTGTGACGCAAGCTCAGAGAGCGGCCTCGATACATGTTCAAACTGTCGTCGCCTGACTGTCCAATGTCAGTTCAGTCGCGTGCCGATGAAACGTGGTCCCAGTAAAGGGTATGAATTAGGAATACGCGCCTTTTAATATCATGCCCAACTAACAAAGGCAATAGATATATAAAGGAATTGGCTGAGAGACTTCACACTCTCGAAAGTCAGATGCAGCCCGTCCAAACTGACGTCCCTTATCAATCCATGAACGATGTGTCCCTTCAGCGCAACTACGGTGACTTCACATCCCCGGTGGCCGAGTCCTCCAGTACTCGCAAAAGGACTTATTCGGTTTTCGAGGGTCTGCCGAGCTTTTCCCAGTTCAACACTCGCGGTGCAAATGCTTTTGATGTTGTGGAGTCAACTTCAGATCCATATAACCCCACTGTTACTGGTGGCGGTGCCCCGAAGCCTGGAAACCTCTTCTGGGGCCCGGATATTCCCTCTGGTCTGCCATTGGACCTGTCGCGAAATGAAAATGAGGATATGACCCCAGTCACTCTCGATCAGAGTGCTCTCGATGAGTATGTGAAACCACACTAAATACAAACAGTGAGAACTTGATTTAACAAATTCTATAGGTATTATGAGAAGGTTCACACTCTTTTCCCGCTTCTTTCGCATACCCACCAGGGTACGCTGGAGCTCCTTCACCAGTGCAACCGTGAGTTGCAGGAGGCTTTTTGCTATGCTTTGTACACGGTCACTCGCACCGACTTGTCTCGCGTGGCAGGTCACTTTGAAAAGGTCGGGTCATTTGATGCCGCGATTGAGCTTGTACTCTCTCACGCCCGCCAGCCGCTAATGCTTAACTCCACTGCGGCCAACGTAGTTTCTCTGCAATCTTTGGTCCTTCTGATCATCGATTGCGATTCGCGCGGCCCCGACAACTTCCTTTTGAAGGATGGTGTCCCGAAGCAATCTCTAGTTCAGGCTGCCAGCAAGCTAGGATATGACCTTGCTAAGAACCAGGGACAACTGAGAAGCGTCCGTGCAGCAGATTTTGATATTGACTCGATCGCCAATCTTACGCGACGCAACTGGGTCTCTTTGATCATTCTTACTCGATGGTACGCGGTCAGTGTTGCGGATGCGACCGTGCTTACTGGCCAGGAGATTGGTGGTCGTGAAGATGAAAGAGTGGTTGGCCAAATTACGATGGGCCTTGCCGGTAGATCTCCCTCTAAATTTTGATTATTCGCAGTGACTGACCTTGTCTTTAGCGTATTCGAGTTTCCTCTCGGAAATTGTGACCATGGCTACTGTTGATCACAACGTCTGTCAGACCAACACCGGCCTCGGCCGCATGGTTGGAGCTAATATGGTTGCTTCCCTCGAGCGTCTAGCCGAGATGGAGGATGTTTTCAAGGTCCATGAGCTCGCCGAGGCTACACGCTTGCCATTTGAAAGTCTTCAGAACCAGCTCTACTGGACAGTGCGTCTGCTCATTAAGCGCCATGTCTATGTCTACAGTCCGTATGAAATAATCTACTGCGCCCAGGAAATAATCAATGAGCTCCACAAAGCCACTGTGCAGATCCGTCGCCCAACCCCATTCGACCTGCACAGTCTGGCCCTGGCATCCATGACTCTTCTCGAAGCTGCCATTCTGCCAGAACATAGCAGCGAATGCTGGGACTCACTACTCAAAGTTGAGGAGATTCTCGACAGACGCGCAAAGCCCTTGGCCGAGTTTGTTCTGTTCGCCACCCCGGGGTGGGACGCAAAGATCCGTGTCTTCCTCGAATGGCGCCGTGCCAAGTCCCAGGAGAGCCAACTCCAGGAAGCTGTCAGCAGTATGAACAAAGTTGGTTCTTCTCAGCCTGTCATGGGCCCGAACGAGCAACGCTCTCTCCAGCACCTCGCCGATCTAGCTGTTGGCGCCGAAGGCACCGTCGGTCAGTCTTCACCCCCTCCCCCTGGTCTTTCCGCCGAGAGTGATGCCTCCCTCAATCTTGCTCCGCAGCTCTCCACCTCTGGGATTGGTCGGATTGTGGTCGACTTCACCATGCTCACAAAGGAGGGCTACCTGAATGTTTTCTCCGGTTTGATTTACCGCCGTCGCTAGGTCGGCGCTTTGAGCGGATGCTATAACGCATTGTCGCTGGCTAAATTCGCCCATACCCTTTCTCGAATGTTGCTTCTAAGCTCTACCCTGCTTTTTTCATCTCAAATAGTACGCAACTTTTGTCTTGTCTCCACTTTTGGGCATTGTTCCCCATTCATTTTTCCCTTTGAAGGTTGGAAGATAACGCAATACCTATTTAATGGTTTTTTTTTTTTTTTTTTTTTTTTTTTTTTATGTCTGGGGCCAGGCGGTTATTATGAAATAGTTTCAATCAATTTCCTATGGAATCACAAGTCGTACTTCAAATAAAAATGCTATAAATAAAGCATTTCAGTCTTCATATATAAAATATACAGCCTATTCATGTCATCAGCAAAAAAATATCAATAAAAGTATAAAAAATCTTCCACCTGGGCAGTCGTCGCGACATGAAGTATAGATATAAAAATTTTTATATCCGCTGCAGTGTTACGGTTTGATACCAAATGCAAAGCGCTTCCACACACCCTCGGTATCCTGGCACAGTGTCATGAATTCGTCATCCTGGAGGAGATCACACATCCAGTCCTGCAGGAAGGCAGTCCGCTCCGCAGTGGGCGAAGATAGATATAGTGAAAGTTCATTCTTTTCTGAAGTCAGCGGGCGCTGCAGGTGCTGCAACTGTGCTGGTCCACGTTCTATGATGACACAGTCACTGCTACCAGCTGGCTCGGGGGACAGTGCTGCGGTGACGTTCATGCTTTCGAGGCGTCCCCTTTCCATCACATGGTTTGAGACCGGGACTGGGGTCGAGACCGGGCATTGCTGGACCTGGCTGGGTTCAAGCTCGTCTTGGGACAAGGTTACCAGGGAATCTTGATATGTTTGTGTCGGGACAAGTGACTGAGACTGCGAGTCGGAGGCAAGCGAAGCGTAACGCTCTATTTGACTTTGAGTTCGGACTTCAACCCGGATCTGTTCTTCAGCCGTCGTTGGAATTGTTGCCACATTGTTGGATGAGCCCTGTCGGACGAGCCCTTTGCGGGTGGGCTTCAAGAAGGGCAGATCTCTTTTTGGTGGAAGCATTCGATCAAGTTGGGCCTCGTCATAGGCGGGTGTAGAAACAGGTCGAGTCAAGGTGGGTCGAGTCAGTTTGGGAATGACATTGTCTGGCTTGGAGGTAGTCTGTTTTGGCCGCTCATTGCCTGGGGTTATACCTTTAGGATTATATACTGGTGGTGGTCCTTGGTAGATAGATCGCTGATACGATGTGCTCGTACATGAAGAGGGCGGCGGGTCAGGTGCTATCAAGTGTTATACAACGATCATAATGATGCCATGAAGGGGAATTACGTACTTGTTATGCTGCCAGGGGCATAACTTGGCATGGCAAAGAAGGGAATAGGTGTTGTGTGGCTTGAAGTCATGGCATGACTTTCATCTACTGAAGCAGCTGACATCTGAACAGAAGAGGCCCATGTAGAAGATGAGGTTTGTCTTCGGGGTGCTTGCGACATGCTACCCTCTATCAATGGACAGTTGATTTCACTCAGATGAGCAAGAGCATTGAAGTAATCAGTGGCGCGTGAGAATTTGATCTGGAATCGACGAACCTAGAAAGAGGTCAGTAAATTCGAGATGTAGCTCAGGATTTCAAGATTACACAAACATAGCTTGCGCTTTGAGGGTATTTCACTGCGAGGCATGGTGACTTAACCACGACGGCGAAGAGCTGCTTTGTTGGTCGAGGACCATTTGCTGGGCTCGAAAAATTGCTGAATATTCGAACAAAGTGCAAAAGATCAATCTGCTCCTGTTTCATATGTGACTGTTAGCCTTCAGATGCTCGAGTGAGTTGAGATCAAGGAACAAACCAGGATGCCATCATTTCGAATTACTCTCAGCAGCAGTCTAGGCGGTCCAGTGAGTGTACTTCCTGCAATTTTCTCGAAGATGCATTGTAGGTCTCCATTGGTATTGACATGAGTCCAAGCCAATGGGCCACTGTGGTCAACGGAGGTGCTTGTATAGGAGAACTTGGCAATTGAAAAGTAGGCGATAGCAGGATTGGACTGCATTGTAATTGATTTGGATTTCAAAGGTAGATGAATCAATGATTTTCATCAATTAGACTGAATCGGTTCATTGGAAGACGTCCCGTAGGATAATTGAAGGGCAAGTCACTTGACCTCTCAAGTATATAGCTGGCGTTCAGTCTCATCACAACATTGAAACCTTGAAAAATGAACATTCTTTGAATCATAGGACCAAGGGTATTCAAAGCTTCATTCAAAACATTGAAAATAATATTATACTAATAGAATTGTTGGAATATCGGACAAATGACACATCACGAAATCCCTGTTCAGAGTGCATCGCAAACGACAACCTTGAACAGTATGCATATAACTGTGATGTCCCCCGTCTTTATCGACTATTCTGTCTTAGACGATGGAACACATTCGTCTCAGACAGAAGAGCAACTTGTAGGATAAATAGCTAGTCCTCACCATGAATGAAGAACCAGATTTTACAACCACTTCAAGATAACACAAAGATATTATAGGGGCGTAAAGCGCAACCTGTAATAGGTGTTAGAAGTGGGCGTTAGCCTCTCACCAATCTTGCTATACCCACCAGTGTACCGACAAGAATGTAAACCAAACTTACAAAAGGTCTGAAGGGTTTCTTTTCTTTGTATTAGTTGAGCTGTGTGTGCCTAGATTTACCTAGTAAGTAGCTACATTATGTGCCATGTGTCATATGTTTGTACACACCTCGGGTTTTAGACCCCAAATATATAGAATAACTCCAAACACCAATATACCCACCATAATCATAGATATACTATATAATATACATATTCACATAGGTAAATGATAGGAGAATAAGAATGCAGCCCATTAAAACCCATAAGACCCAAAATGCCAAGAATTAAATACCATATATCTTCATAAATTTTTATGGTATTAGTCTATATAAGAAGTGGCGGAGGGACAAGGACTTCAAATGAAGTACAACCCTTCTTCTCTAATTCGTCCCCCTTTCTCTTCCTCCACTCATATTTACGAACATTCAAGAATTAAAGAGTAATTAGCAGCACTTGGAAAGACTTTAGACTTGATCAAATTGATAATAAGACCAAATTAATAAGATTGGATGAGTCATCATTGTTAAACTACTTTTTGTATTCCTGCGGGAAAAAACAATGCAAAAGTTTTACGAGTCAACAGCTCCCGAATTTTGAATCGGATTTGCTAGTAGTGGGAAGAATCAAAGAGCTGAGAGCTATTGTCGATTATTTCAGGTTTGTCTCTGTCGATACCACTAGACCAAAGTGGGGCACAGGACCAATGGTTCCGACGCTGTTGGTTCGACATGAAGTGAATCTAGCGAGTTTTGTCTATTTAGTTACAGCGAGGATAAGATTGAGTAACACACCTCTTACAACTTCGCATCGACGCACCTAGATCTATTCCATCAAGAATACTAGTTGCATATGCACCGTAAGAACGTCACCGTTCCGACAGTCTCAGTCTTGCAGAGTAAGGAAAGACCTCCAAGTGTGGGGTTTTTGGTACATTTCCGCGGATCTCTAGTCCACATGAGCGAGTAGTCTTCACTATGATGAACTCCGATTGGGTGCGATATTTTCATGGTCAGACGATCAGATTGGGCAGGTGATGCAACATGGGTCAATCACTAATACGAACTTGATTGATATGATTACTTTCATCATTGATTCATCGGCCCCTATCATAATCTATTCATCACGGACTGGTGCCCAACTTCCGGCGGGTTCTCAACCACTTGTGACCGGAGATTATGATATCTATCCCACTGCCAATGTATTAAGAAAGGAGAAAGCGGAAAAACATGGTGAAGGATTTCGAGAAGCCAACTTTGAATCTTACTGTACAATTAGCTGGCCGGTGTGTGGTTTAAAATTTCGAAAAGAAAATAATCCACGACACTGAAAAAAGGATGGAAAATTGTGTCTATTAAACCTTTATGACCATGATTTCAGGCGTATTGACTGAAACCATGCAGCCTCCGAGGCAAATGGCGATAGAATACTGTCAATATGAAGGGGTCAGTCGTCATCGTTCCATCGTAAAGCCCAAAAAGCTGAACAATATTCCCAGTATCCTGGATACTATCCAGATGTTTCCCAATCAATTATCACGAGGCGTACTCCTTCTTGATGGATTTTCTCGCAATGAATGATATTTTTCTTCTGCAAATCACCGTGCGTGAATGTCGGTTTAGAGCCCTGAAAAATAAAAGGAACGTGTCTTCGAAGATATTCCGCTCTGTGAAGTGAGCCTCCGTTACCGATGTACTTTCGCAACTTTCCTTCATTTAAACCGTCTTCAGAGTCAGAAGGGCCATTCACCAATAAATCTGGCTCAAATTTCCAAAAAATTCCATCCAGAAGTTGTCTTTTGCCGAAACTGCCAAGGTAATCTGGGGATGGAAGCTTGCGTAAGTCGTCGAAGTATCTTCGCAGATCTTTTAGTATTTCTTCTTTCTCAGACGTTGTAAGATGTGGCCATGCTGAAAGAAGCGTTTGACCGATAATACGCTCCATGACAATGAAATTTTTCCCGGTCTCTGGATCTGAATAGAGGGCGAAGATGCGCGGGACAGGGATATTTATATTTTCCCGAACAAACAACATATTTTCTCCTTCAATGAGATTGACACCTGGCCCAAATTTCACACCAAAATACTGGCCCACTCCGACTATTCTTCGCCCTCCAGATATCATGCATATGTCCGGGGCATTCTCGATCTCAGTAAAGGTGGGTAGCGGGCAAAGTAGTTCAGTTGCATAGAATGGGACTTTAAATGGTGTATTCATCGTCGCCAACATTAATCGGTTGATATAATGGTTGTTAGATTGAAGGTTAGATCTAAGAGTACAAATCCTGGCGAGCGGCGAAGATAGCCTGATCGATCTAATAGACTGAGCAGCCCGATCCCGGCCTTTCTCGGTTTTGATATCGTGCACGTGCACGAAGCTAAGATTGACAAGGTTCTTGCTCAGGTTTTACGCCCTAAGGCAGATTTTAAGCCCCGCTGTACAAGGGAGATTATCCTGAAGGTATAGGAAATGAACCTAAATGCGCGGAGATTTGACTAAGGACCAGCTGATTATGACGCGTACGATGGCTGTTCTGCGGGTCGGTATCACAGATCAAGGAAAACACTGCCTCATCTTGAGCCAGGGCTCAGAGGGGACCAGACGATGTAGGGAGGCAGATTCACTTGATGGACCGCCGAGGAGGTGACGAGTCGTGCCAGGGACATAAAGGGAATTTGGAGCTCTGTGATCCGGTTCAATAGCAAAGATGCCTCAGAATACAAGGAGTATGATGGAAGTAGGAGGGAAAATTAAAAAAAAAAAAAAAAAACAATTTGGAGGAGTGAGGGACTTTAATAAAACCACGCACAGGGAGCTAAAGAGACTCACTCATGAAGCTAAACTATTTGTAAAATCAAAAAGTGACCAATCAAATATCCAATACCCGTGGCATTGTTATAGGAAACCCGTTGTGTTTCTTCCTAGCAGTACATATATAGATCGAAGATCATGGACCTTTCGTAATTGGGCATAGAGTATAACTATTTACTTCATTGCGTCTCAGCGGCTCTATCATGGGTATAAATCGAGAATCTAGCTCGTTGGCTTTATTTAGTATCTTCTTTCATGGAACCGTTTCTTTCGAATAAAGAGTATCCAGCTGATCTATCAATCCGCCGAGAACCATGTAAATTCGAATATGTATGATCATAAGGAGGGGCTAGGGGTAAATGTGCGAAGAATTCAAATGCTGCCCAGAATGCTACTTGTGCCTCCGGTGTGGCGATGAAACGGGGTTTAGAAAGCACAGCCACTCATGAATCCAGCTTCATTGGTATCCAACGGGAACTATATGTTTACTTTGCAACGGTTGTCGATCCTTTTTTAATGATCATTGAAATCTCTTGTCGTAACCTCTTCATTCAAACAGCGTTGTCCATCATCTCCACCTTTGGGCATTAGGGTATTGTCGGTTGACTAGGTTATTACCGAAGCAGACAGCTATTGATATCGTTTCTGTACGTATATAATAGGTGTATGCATATTGGGTAAAAGTGAAGTGTCATTCTAAAATGCTCAGATGAAAGAAGATATAGTAGCTGCCATGTGTCAAATGAGAAATTGACCGTCCAACCAGAAATGGTTGACGAAACTGGATTGTCTATCTAAGGATGAAACCCGCTTAAATACACACATTATGGGTCCTGCTGACATACGCAGCACACCCCTTAATATCGGCCCTTTGACACCATGCCAAGATCACATGATCTTGGTATGTCAGCTGATATTCGTTCCAACAGTTAGCAAAATCAGTGGCTTTGAGACGGAAGTGTCTTTTAAATTCATACCAACTAAGAATTATTACAGTATTAGATAGATCTGTTTGTCTGGATGAGAGAGATGTAGTACGTAGAAAATTATCTCATGGCTCCAATGTAGGCAGGATTTTTCTTCTCCATTTAGCATGTCTTTCTCTGAACCACCTTACCGAGCTCCTCAGACATAAGGTTCTGTATTTGAGCCTTGACTGTTTTCTGAATTTCTAATTACATGAATATATTCATAGATTTTTTGATCGTGTGTCAATTTACGCCTCATAAGCCAAGCACTGGAAGTCTGAAATTCAAAGTTGACTTTTGCTTTCTGTAATCCACATCGCTGATCCTTTTCTATATTTCTTGTCACTTATTCCCTTCTCACAATATACAATGACTAATTTTAGATTTCGGAGTTTATCTGCGAAGGTTCTACAAACAGGATCTGTGAACTAAGCATCTATAGCAGTGAATTGTCACCAATAGAGAAAAAAGAGGCTTAGTAGGGCGCAAAGCCGCAGTTGAATGGGGTGAGATATTGGAGACTCTAGCCTGATTGGGTTGCATCACCACTAATTATTTTGGCGAGGCTGACAACTTGTTCAAGTGAGGCTGAGAAGTATCCTTCCAGGTCTTCGGAATATTTGATCGTCAAAGTTAGCAACAAACTCGCAACGATTTCAAAGCCACACTTAAGACGCCTAGAAATGTCCGAATATCCATTATTACTAGTCCCAGAGAATAGCTTTGATCGACTTCTTAGCTTTTCATCAACTCTTTCCGATGATACAGCGCACTCAAATCAGCTATCAGGTAGCCATGATGCTTTCACTGCCTTTTTAGCAGAAGATGAAGCTGAAGATCTGCAAGAAGATGAACGGCTAGTTTCTCTCTCCAATAGACAATAATGGGGCTCTAACCGTCCATCATTTGACATAGAATTAGATGTGGCCAATGACTAGCTCCAAAATCAAATCATCATACTTCATCATACTTCATCACACTTGACTTCATTGCGCTCGGAGGAAAAACAATTATTTCAAAAAATGGTTGTCTTGGGAAGAAACAAAACAACTTTTGGCGCGTTGGCAGAGCATCATATGGACAGCCTTGATCTGGCTGCTGGCTATATGTCATATACTTTTATACTTCCTGGGGCCCGACGGTATCTATGGACTTGCTACTGTGCGGAGTAGTGATAACCTCAAGCAGCCTCAATATTTCAATCTCTTTGCTATCCAACTCCCTCTCAACATTCCCTCTGGAGCCATAGTTTTTACCTTAAATTACATGCGAGTGTGTATAGTTGCTCCATCTATATATGATCTCCGTCATCATTCCCAGGAGGCTTATTGTGTCCTTCGCATCGGTTATCAATCACTTGCGAATTGGCGGCATGCGTCTTGGATACGGAAGATAATCTGGATTGCTCTTGTTCTGACATCACTACCATTGCACCTGTTTTACAATTCTATCATATTTCTTTCCGCGCCTTCGTACGATGCCTACGAAATCATGGTATCTGAGGAGTTTTTCAAAGGAGCTTCTTTTGATATATCAACCTTGAATATGACTGAAGATGCGCCTCTTCCATACGGAACTTCTTGGCCAAGCCAGTGGCTAGATGTCCCACAGCTGCAAGAAACTCTTCATGTGTTCAGAAAAACCCTTCATCTTGAACAAATCTGTCTAACTCTGATTGCAGAAACAGATATGGTACGGAAGTCTACTCAAATTTTTGGACTGTTCTGATGATCATCAATTGGACTCAGCATCTTCCTCCAAACAACTCTGCCCTCGCAATTGGAGCGTTGCCTGTTACTCATTATAAAACTCATTTATCCAGGGATTTTATGGTAAAAATCTATGCTTGGAGCCCTAAAGATGGAGTTTTCCAAGAGAATAATAGTCCTTCAACCGTAACTCCTATATAATATCATTAGAGAACATTCACCTCTTGCAGGGGCTCAGAGTATCCTTACTTCATGTGACAAATTTGAGAATTCTGGGGAAAAGACTATACTATGGTACCTATCACTGATCCCATTCAGGTCTTTTTCTTCTCTGAAAAAACTACTGTCAAGTTCCGAAATTTGTAGCAGTCAGCTGCTCCGAATCGCATAGGTGCCAATTTTCAAGTTCGGACCTACCGTTGGAGACTGTTGTCCGACTGAGTAACTGGCACGATGCTCTCGCCTTGTTTTTGAATGACTGTCGGAGGCAATGACGAGAAAGAGTTTGATTGGCCTGAAGAGGTGTAAAAGGGCTTGGGTGAATTGCCAGGCAAAGCCACACCAAATGCGCTAGGGATCAAGCTGGGAACTGTAACCGAGCTAAATAGTGACGAACCCGATGTACTAGAGGAAGTTTTGCCTTTCTGCAATGACCCAGAGTCCGAGCTAAATAGGATGGGAGACTCAGAACTCAGGCTCTGAGCCTTACTGAATGAGGGCTGTGAGTCTCTTGGAAAACCGAAGATACCGCTGCTGGTACCCAAATTCACAGGAGAGCTTTTCATAGGGGATGGACCTCCTAGTGGTACTGATCCGAAGATGTTATGGCCCGAGCTAGCACGAGCAGCTTGAGAAGCCAGCACTGAGCTTGGCGCACTGGAAGTGGGAATGTCTCGGGCTAGTTATATCAGCTTCAGTTCTCTTCTGTGAGAGATATTGACTTACTAAACTTAGATTGAGTTGTAGGGTTGATAAAGGTGGGTTTTGCAGCAATTTTCCGGATATTGAATTTGCTTAATGTTCGCGAACCAGCTTGTAGTTTCTCCAATTCCCAGGTTAGGTGAGCTCGCTCATCCGCTATAAAAGAAGGCTCTGCAGCAAGGTCTTGAACCTGCTTGTCTTCCATGTTGTTGATTGTCTGGCTTGTAAGAATGCTTCCCAGCGGTCCAAGTAGACAGTTTTCAATTCCAAGGGTGGCAACATTGTCCACGAAAGTGATGATAGCCGTCTGATATTGTTATTAGCACTCTTTCGAGTCGGTGTATATTTGAGTTCAGAGTTGAGATACGAACTCACATCATAATATGCCTGCATCTGATCGACAATATCAGCTGCTGCAAACTGATTGTTTGACAAATCCAGCTCATTATCAGCTTGCCGAAGCCGCTCAATAGTAGTAGTAGATCCATCCTTAGAAGATCCTGATTGCAGGACTCGTTCCAATCTACCAAATTGGCGTTCACTCCTCGCTTTCTGAATTCTCGCGAGGAATCCTTTGCTCAAAGGCAATGGATGACCTCGTTTATTATAGGCGGTTAGCTCATTCAACTTTGCCATTAAATGATCTTTCATTTTCTCAAGCCCAGGATCAAGAAAATCTGTCATTAGGAGCGAGTAGGTGTGTTTATTGGCGAGATGTTGCAAGAGGAGGCCGATGAAATCTCTGACGGAGTCCCAACAATTTGTCAAATGCTCTCGAGCAATTTTCTCCCATGGCTTAGATTGTTCTCGAAACAGCTTTCCCACCAAAAGTTGATTGGCACTTCCCGGAAGTTCAATTCCTCGATTTTGACGTGCTTGAATGCTGAAGTCACTTTCAACATCAGGCCTGGTCCTGTATTTTGGCCTATTAATATGCGAATAGGGATTTTCCAAAATGGGCTGAGGAAGAAAAGCATTTTGCTCGGCGATAAATTGACTACACCCGACAGTTTCCATGGCATCAACAAAATACTCGTTCAGTTCGCGAATAATAGCACGAAGACGCCGAAGGTCTTGATGCAAAGGTTCTGTTCTGTTGTCAATTTCTCCGAAAAAATCATCATCGTACATGCCATTCAAAGCTTGAGTGGTGATGCGCTCAAAATTGCTGCTGATGTCGAGTAGGAACCCCTTCTGCTGCTGGAGAGTGCATCGAGGCGGGCCTAATTTAGCTAACCTTGATTGTCGATCGAGTACTCTTTCGTTGATTTCAGCGATGAGCCCTGGGAGATTGTGTTGGACATGCTTTAATAAAACAGTGCTTAGCCGATGTCGCAATCTTTCGACTCCCATACATTCTGCTTTCATACAGCTCCAATTTCCTTTTGCAAAAAATTTCTTTTCTTTTCTATCCCTTTCCTCATCGGATACTTTGCGAGTTTCAAAAGATCTGTTTCGCAATACATGCCACCCAAGCTTTAAAGGGACTTTATCGTTCTTCAGAATTTGTAGCCAAGATGCTTCTTCCTCTGAGTGAGCTTCAAGCATGTCAGGCTGGGTGATGATTCCGATAGTACGCTCTCGTGATCTATCAAATTCCTCTGCCATATTCAACACTCTCTGGATATGATAGTCATTCTTTGCCGAAACTACAGCCAAAATGATGCTGCGCTGATTTCGCATGTATCGTTTAGTGATATCATGAACGATCATGATCCCCTTCTCATCCTGAGATGTGCTATGGGATGTGTAGAGACCCGGAAGATCGACGAGTGTTAATTCGGGCTTGTCAGGTCCTAGTATTTCGACTTTAAGAATGTCATCGCTGAATCCTTCGCTAGTTATTCCTATACATTCTTTGGCTTTCTCAACCAGGGACTCCAACTGATCACTGCTGGTAACCTCGGCCGGTGCAAATGCTTGAATCGCCTGACGAGCTTCTCTACTCGTCCGAGATGACCCAGGCTCGATGGAAACTTTGAATCGAGACTCAGGATGGCGGCGTAGAATAACCTCCGTCGGGAATCTAGTGCAGACATTACTCTTCACTGGGAAACGCACACGAGAAATGGCCTGAAGAACAGAGCTTTTACCACTGGATTGGTTACCGCAGACGATGAGCTGCGGCAATCCCACAAGTCCACCGACTCCAATTGTACGAAGCTCATCGATCTTGTCAAGAAGAGAGCCTTGCTCCGTTTGCAGTTGATAGAGTGCAGTATCCACCTCGGTCGAGCCAGACATATTGATATCGATACCTTTATCAGACGACAAGAACCAATGTCGAACAAATCTCTGGTGGAAATTCAAGAATGGGGATTTTTTCTGAGTCTCGTACCCCTCAAATTAGAACGGTTTCAAATCTTACGGCGCAGTCACTTCCCACCGCGCTAAACACATATTGGAGAGACTATCACCAATCAAGTTAAACTCAGAAAAATTGAATAGAACAAAAGTCCGAATACCCCTGATTTGGCTACGATTTTCCTACGACAATACCGCAAATAATTATAGCTTTTCCTCTGTCCCCTCGAGTTACACCATATCGGACGTGTGTGGTTCTATAAAAGTCCCTCGCTGAACTTGAATTCAAGAACAAAGACGTTGATGAAGTTAAGAATGGAGAAATGATTGAAGAAGGAATTCGATCGCTTGAAATACGACTAGAACTTCATAAACTTCGCAGTTGCCCGCAGTTCCGGTAGACTTTTAGGATGGTGCATATGCTTGCTAAGAGCGCGTTAAGGCCGAGCGCTATTGACCTAAGCAGAGCCTGAATGCTCCACCCGAGCGAGCTAAAATGGGTTCTGGGTTTGTTGACCTTGTGCTCGTGACTATAGACAAGGCAGTCATGGGTCCTAAGGAAATGACCATGAATTTCCGAGGCAAAAAAAGCCATGCTTTTTTTGAGGCCACGCTACAGCCTTCTAAAACTCATCATAAAAGTCTACCATGGTACGTACCTATAGCCTATTCAATATTTCTATTAACAACCAGTCTTCTGTTCAAAGGACTTATACCTCAAAATTTCTCTGAAAATTAATTACAGCATGCCTAAAGAAGAATTTCATCATTCTAGCTTGTCTCTGATCCCTTCTATCTGCCTGAATATCATTTCAAAAATTGGGAAAAAAATTTGGCCTTCTAGCTGTCCACGTGACAGTTTTACGTGAGCACAAAGGTGCAATACGCATAGTAGAGTCTTCTTTTCCGGAATATAGTACCTAGGTATATTCGAATACAAATACTGATCGCGATTCATATAGGTTGATGTTCAATCATCGATACCTAGGTACCATGCGGACCTCAATCCCCCACTGAACATCAAAATTGAATTTGTACGAAGGTGGTTTTTGGCCTTGTAGTGCACATGTTGATACTAAAGGAAGCGTAAGGCGACACGAAGTGCTTGTCAAGTACTTAGGTAACGTTCAGGAATAGTGTTCGGCTAAGTATGATCACTCGGATCCATTGTTATGAAGAAAGTGTATAAGCTAAGATCCATAGATACCTAGATAGCTATAATTTATGGCTCTTGGCCTTAAGAGGTGTACTATTAAGTGGAAAATTCAAGAAAGATGACTTGGTAGACTTTACCACCGAGTCCAATCTAAGTTTGCAGCTACTTAGGCATGCTACCAACAAATTAAATCATAACATTCCAAGGCTATAGTAGTTCCGATGACCCTATGGTCAATAATGGGATATGAGAATTAGAGTCAACTCCTTATGTAGCTTACCTAGGTAGTCTCACGCTTCGGGAGTCAAGGCAGGCATCTAAAGACTTTCCATGATTAAAACTGGATAAGAGAGCAACTCCACTATAGGCCGAGTGCATCTCCTTGATAGCTCTCTCTCAATTTTGGGATTTTTGTCTGTGTTTCGTCTTTTGTCATCGCCCAGGATTTTTTGCTGCAAATACATTCTTATACTTCACGATCTTACCCTTGCCCACAGCCGCTGATTTCGCACCTAGGAGGATTTTTTCCTCGTTGTTCTGTTGGAACCATTCTTGATTATGCCAAAGAAAAAGAAAATGTCCCGCAAATAATTTTTCGTTCGCGATGAGGAATTTTGAAAGCGAAGCTTACTGCGCGTATCTAGGTTATGCGCATTATCCACAATCATACTGTCGGTACACCTGTACCAAGGGTGGAATAGATATTCAATGACAGGGGAGGCTATCGCCCACTTCTGACACCTATTGCAGGAAGCGCTTTACGCCCCTATAATATCTTGTGTCTTTGAAGTGGTTGTAAAGTCTGGTTTTCATTCTTGCTTTGCTAGCTATTATAAAGTAACGATTTAGTCACATGCCTGCTTTGTTCCATATTCTGATACATACTTTATAGAAGGAAAGGATTGGAGTATTGCCTCCGGTATCAGGCTAGGGCTGCGCTATGTCTTCGGGCGGCGGCTTCTCAATGTTCATCAGAGTTATTTTTGCTCGAAGAGCGTAGAACAAATGCCCTGGTTATAAAAGATCCTATGTTTAAATATAGATTGAGAAAGTGACAGTTAATACAGAGTTAAACGCAGACTAGAACTCTAATGTTCCATATGTCAACCTTCTGGTCCCACGGCACCTCGGAAGCACGGTAGATGCACTATATTGAATGAACTATTCATATGATTGAGTAGATCGAGTTTGTTGAAGTGAAGACTTTAGTATATATCGCACTTTGCTTTTTAGCTGGCGATTGATGTGCTTTCGGAGAAAAGTCCACTGTGCCTGTTTTTGAATGCGATTGACTCTGCTAAACAAAACATTCTTCATGAGGCTGGAGAAATCTATCATGTATTCACAATTTGCCAAAGGCGCAGATAGCCATAATAGAGATGGAGCTAGCGCAGTGGCTTCAACCATTCTAAACGTCAAAGCTATTAGTTATCGCGAAAAATAGCAGACCCCTGATGTGTATTCGGAAGTATAACAATATCCCACGAAGCGCATATTTCGTTGAAATATCATACTAGTTTTTAGATGAATTCTGCTTAAAACCGCATCATTAATGTCATTTCCCGATTCGTAGTCTGGACCATGAATCTAATATTGATCAAAACGACGGGTCGCAATGCACCAACGAGTAGAAATTTTCCTGCCATACTTACTAATCTCACACGCTTTTAGACGCCAATCTAAATTCCATTCGCCTGGTGTCTGTGGCAGGGTCGCGTCATAAGCTAATATTGGCCGTATGATGCAGCACCGGATGGATCTTAGATTAATACGTGGCATTTTTGCCATTGGCTCGTATCACTGCGCTGTACGTCCGAAGATTCATTGACTGGATATAAGTACCGAAGAGATGATGATGACGCTATTGGGGCGCCAACGATTCAGGGAGAGCGAACGAATAGATGTGCGATGCTGGGGGCTATGGGATGTAATATGGGACAAGGCAGGCGATTTGAGGGGTGCGGAGCCATGAATGTTTTAAAAAAGACTTGCAATGGTTGGCAAAACATGACAGGAGACAAGAAGTTCAGCATGGGCCGATCTGGATAGCTTTGTAGGCCGGCAGAGGACTAGATAGATCATGGGAAAGCATATACGCCAAGGCAGCTGAAAAACTAAAGCCACGTCGACATTGGATCGAGCGGCATCTGGAGAAATGAAAACGGTACTGTAGACAGGCTGAAAGGCCAATAGGTATTAATCAATGGGGAGCGGATGCGAAAGGAAAACGAAGAAGTGATGAGTGCAGGATAGAGAGAGAAGTAGAGCCGAAGTGGGCGAAGTAACTTGTGAGTGGCTGATCTACAGGTCGGCGTCACCAGCCAAGAAAAACACTACCTCATGTTGAGAGAAAATTCCAAAACTGAGGAGAAGAGGGGCAAGACGAGGCAAATTCAAAACTCGGGGGACCGCCGAGGAGCTGACCAGTCGCGCCGGTGATGCAGGGGGATTCGGAGCTCGGTGATCCTGATCAATAGCAAAAATGCCTTCAGATGTGGGTGAAAGAGAGATGGGAAGGGAAAAATTCCAAAAAAAAAGTTGAAGGGGAAATGAGGGCATTTCATAGAACCACGCGGGGAGCTATAGACTCACGGCGCTAAGCCGAAAGGGATAGAACTAAACTTACGTGACTAATATCTAATATCCGATAACTATGGTGTGGCTAACATCGCCGTCTCTCTCACGGCAGCCGGGGTTCGATGAATTAAGGCCCATAATGACGCCAAGTACAATTGACTCCAATAATGATTACAAGTAAATTTAAAGGTTGATCTGATTAACCCATTCACGTAATATACTGGCTAATTAACGCAGGAGATCAAAACAATGCTTGCGGACGCTGCCAGGCTCGAAGTTCATCCCAGACGGCAGGAGTTTTGATGCGCTTTTTCCAACGGCACTTGACACTCATTAACCAATCTTCGAATTGAACCTTCCTTATCTCAACTTTTCCCTCATCGTTTTTTTGTTCCGTATAAATAAATCCTTTCTTTACTCCAAGCCAACCATCAATGGGAGCTTGGAGGTATTCGTGTCGTGCCCAGCAGCATTTATACCAGAAACCATCTTCGCCCTTGTCAAAGAAATTGATTTGTTTCATGTAGCAATCTTTGCAAAAGTCTGTGCTCATGCAATCCAGACAGTACATAAGTTTAGGACCCTCAGGCTGGAATGATGACACGTCGAAATTTGGCTCGCATACACCGTCGCAAGCGATCTTACTTTCTTCAAAGTTCGAATCTTCGGGGAAGTTCAAATCTTGAGAAAATGTCAAACTTAGCTTTTTGAGTTCCTTGGAGCCCTCATCGGGCTGTCTTTCAAGTTGGTCTCCAGTCCGCTCATCGAAATCAGCAACCCTTCTAGTCTCATGAAAATCTGAGGATGGCGAATGGGTTGTTTCCGAGATAGAATTTGTGGATTCATCCTTAGCTTTCTGTTCAGGGGTAGAATCCTCACTTACAAGCGGCGTGACATCATGATCGCTGCTCTCTTGATCCGAAACCGTATTGGTCAGCTTTGTGGCATCTTTATCGGTAGTCTAATAGGCTGGTTATGTATAGCAGGATTCAGTCAGGATCAGGATATACTAACAGCCGTGGTAGTCTCAATCTTGCCAAGTATCTCCCCATTCTCTACAAGGTCATTCACCTTATCGTCATCCGTGTCAAGAGATGTTATCGCCGGATTGATTTCCTCGAGTGGTGATGATGCATCATCATCAACCCCTCCGACCCGCGAAAACATGAGCGAAAGCGCAACCTGAGCTTCCTTTTTAAACCCCAGGAATGCCAACGCTTTGGCTAGTGCACGGAAAGCACCTTGATCGTTGGAGACAACGGAATCCTCCAAATCGATAATGCATATCTCAAAGGCGCGATTAACGTGAGCCTCAACTTGCTGGGTATTACCTATACTGAGGTACATCTTCGCAAGTGCCAATTCAGCCATTGAAAGGTTATTGCTTTCTTGGAGGATATTCTTCTCGTAAGTCCCTATAACGTTTTCCAATAATTTAACCGAGGCTAACTGGGCCTTTTCAGAGCAAGCATTCATAAAGTACTCCTGGTAGATAGTGACGAGGTTGGGGAAGACGACGTAAGAATAGATTATACTGTACTGGTTGCTGTGCGGAATACCGCTCGTGAGGAGATTCTCAGCCATTTTTGGTACCTTAGCTATGATCTGGTAGATGTTTGCAAGCAACCATGTCATAAAAAAGAGCTTCTTGTCGTCCTTTCCCTCACTATTTTCGCGCACTCCTTCGACTATTCGAATGAGATAATCGACTCTGTTTGATTTCACCGCCGCCTCCATCAGAAGATAAATTCTGTCAGAGCTCTCCGATTCAAAAAGATGACAGAGAAACTCAGCTTGGATATCTGGTTTCTGCTGCGAGATAAGACTGATAATTTTGTACCAGCTCTTATTCTTGGAGTGAATGTCAACAAGGAGGGAAAGAGTCTCCGATATCAAAGAGTTATATTGAAAGCCCTCGTCGAGGCATCGATGGCAGGTTTTGATTGCTTCCTCATCATTTTTGCGCCGATTTAATGCATAGGCATTAAGAAAATATGCTTTGATACATCTTTCTTCATTCAAGTCAGAGCCAAGGGCACTTTTTTCGTTCCACCAGGCACGTAATGCTTCATTCGCATGCTCAGAGACTGAATTCCAGCGCTTATCTCCAACGTCTTCTCGATTGCCTCCGTAGAAGTGCTCCGCGAGTCCCAAATGCGAATAGAACTTCTCTGGCCCTGATATTGACTTCTGCTCGAGGATTTTTTGATAAATATTGCGTGCGAGCTCTTTATCTTTTTCGTCACAAGAGCCATTATGCAAAACCAACGCTGCAGAGATTTGGCATCGAGCGATTTGAATCGGTGTCTGAATGAACCTCTCCTCTATTGCATATTTCAACAGGGAGTTGATTTTCATAGAGCCAGCCTCTTCAAAGTCGTCTGAAGTCCTATGTCGCTAGATATGGTTGTTAAGGCTGTATATAAGCGTTGAAATGTTTAGGTGTGGGGCATACCAATTGGAGGGCAAGACAAAGAAAATTGTAAGGGACTTTGGCATCTTCATAGACCCTGGTTTTCGTCCATCTCTGAAAATGGCCCCGAGCCAAATTTTCTAGTATCTTATGAGGCTCATGAATGACACATTTAACCCATTTCTTTGCCTGAGAAGAGAGGTCTTCTTCGTCGTGAAAATTCATCTTGTTGGCCCATTCTCGAAGGACTTTGAGATTCTCAAAACCACTTGATCCCGGTTCGGTCGATATTTTGTAAACGTCATCCCCATACTCATAGGTATAGCCGTCTGAATTACTGAAAAGATCTTCAAAGATCCGAGAAACTTCGCCGTCGTTGTGGAATACCCGAGTAAGGGCTTCAACAACTTGACGGCCATCTGTAGGGTCCGCTTTTTTAACATCAATATCTTTCAGATGTTTCATGAACCATTGAGCAGCATAGCCTTGGAAGATTTCGCGGAGTTCAGCACTCTCAGCATCCTTCCCGCAAAGTAAATTTGTCAATTTCACAAAGAAAGACACTTTTGATTTCAAAGGCTCTGGTATCAGATCATTTCTGTTGGTCTCAAGATATTCAACAAAAGAGGGCTGTTGGAAAGTGACCAACTGACGTTTGCTGATAGCAACTTTGTCGTCTTTTTTGTCTTCCCCTTGACCCAGTTCTGGGGCGGATTTATCATCGGATGTTTTCGTCACGTTCAAGAAGCTGTAATGTTAGGTGACTCGGTTGATATACAAGGCCTTATGAAGCACTCACTTTGACAGGCATTTCTCAATCTGATCAGCCACATCCAAGCCTGAATTCCGAAACATCGGCTCTTGCTTTGCAAATTCTCGTAGAACATATATACTCAATGATTGCTGGGTGAAAGTGCATAGAGCAAAGATGAACCGGAAGAATTCACGCTCCTTATCACTTTTCTTATTGAGTACGGAGCGAATCATCGCTTCATACAGCCCGTTCGGTTTCGTCAACTCCTTTATCATCTCCATACCATGATTTTCATCATCAGCCTGTTCCATCACCGTCATCGTGATATTCACCGTGGAGATTGCTATTTTAGAAATGAATTAGCACCATCATTTGAGGAATTTGCTTTATAGATGTAGGGGCCTTACGATTCGGGCTATTAACCAGCTTCTGCTCTACTTTGTCCCAAACCCGCTCATCGTATGATCTCAGTCTCTCTGAATTTCTGATTCGGAAGTCCATAATTTTTCGAATATCATTTTCCTTTTTGATCTTTTCACCCAAAGTGATTTTCGGGCATCCTGAAAGTCCAAATCCCTTTTTGGATATCAAGGCGCTTTCTGTTCCTGTCATCAATACTCGAACTCCGCATTTCTCTGGACTCAACTCTTGGAATAGGTCCAGCATCATTTTACATTCTGGCTCTTTCATCACCTCAATTCCGTCAAGAATAATGAGCAACTCCCTTGGGGCCTCTGTTATTTTCTCAAACTTCGTCACTAGGAGGTTTTGCCAAAGAAACCTGTTTCTTGTCTCAGGATTGACATCATTTCCTTTTTCAAAAGCTTGCAAGTCTTTGGCGATGGAATCACTGAGTTTTTTGTTTTGCTTCGCAACTTGAAGGATAGTGTATGCAAGAACATTTCCCAGTTCCTGAGACTCTTCCCTGCCAATCTTGAACGGGAAATAAGTAACGAATGGGGCTGTCCTCCTCTCGAAGTTGTCCTTGCTATTTTCAATAGTCATCAAACTATACTTTTGGATTGACTTGTAACAGTGACAAGCAAAAAATGTTTTTCCAGACCCGGCACTCCCCAGAACGAAGAGATACGGAGCTTTGAGGCCTGATTCCCATGCTTTATAAGTTGAATCGTCCTCTATCCACGAGAATGTGCCGCCCACAAACTGTTTGTCCACAAGCTTCAGCTGATCTTCTATTCGCGCTTCAACATCGGAGTTGAAGAGGTTGTTCTTCTTAAAATGCTCCTTTATCAAATCCAATGAATTTTGCGATCGGCCCCAAAGCGACTGGAGCTCGGAGTATTTTAGCTTTGTTTGCAGTTGCTCGACGAATCGGTCGGGCATATCCTGCATAGCCGCAGATATTGTCTGGATTTGGCCTAGGGTTTGAAGTGGCACTATATCACGAAACGCTTGAATCGCCTTTTCTACATTTGCGCATGCGCCTTGGATGTTTGGGTCTCTTCCTCTCAATAGTGACTTGAACCAACGTTCTGCAAAATTCAGCTCTGGCTTTGATATTAGTTGCTTGATATCACTCACCTTTTCTACTAGTCGAAAATACTTTTCCACTCAACGCACAGAGGTTTACCATAGCAATGAAGATAGCAGTCAGTCTTTCAAGAAAGGTAATGCTGTCTGATTTGAACTTCCGCAGATCTCTAATGTCCTTAAGTGCGTTGTCTAGAGTCTCGAAAGTCGACTCTATCAGGTCGAAATCTTCACTGACGTTTTGGGCGGCCTAGAACAAGGTTAGAGGACTGAAAAAATTACTCCGCAGATATCAAAACGATATACTTTAACCATGTATGATATCGAACCAGTTAATATCTGAACCGGTACAGTGTACTATATCGCCGATCGAAGAGATTCTTGTAAGCTTTGATTCGCAGAGTTTTGGGATATCGCCACATACAGACCCGGAGATGTTGTTTTTCACAAAGCCAAGGCCATCTTGAACCCATTCAAGGCAGTTACCGACCGTTTTCATCACCTTATCCTTCTTATCACGTGGATGCCGCGAATTCGCGAACAGCGCCTGTGCTTTCTCAGTGCCAGTTTCTCCTTGACCAAGCTTTCCATCCCATTTCTCAAAGTCTTTGGAGGAGAGGTTGTAGTCTTTTTTAATCTGCTCCATCGCCTCCGACCATATTTCAGCGACACTTTTGGTCTTCGGAGCTTCTTCGGGTGTTGACTTTCGAAAAGCACTCTTCGAGCCTGCATTTAAGTTCTTTTCTCTAAACGAAGCCATTTCGCATCGAAGTTGAAGTTATATGGAGTATAGAGAGTCTGAAGGGTAAAATGCTTTGCAAGTTGAGGATTCTCAGCTGAGAGGGGAAGTTCCTTACGCGCCGCACGAAATAGTGCTTACTTTGATTATTCAATATCTAACTAATTAGAGCTAGGTATTTATGATTTCTGGGCATAATTGCTTTTTTATACGCTACTTTAGTATACGCCAATATACCCGAGGGTGTTTTTCAGCTCATTTCCCTCCTTTTTTTGTTTTGTTTTGTTTGTTGATTTTTCCCCTTCTGATCTACCTCTCACTCCATAACTTATCATAATAAGGAAAACTAGTTTACAGCATTGTTCTAATCCATTTAGATACTGGGTGAGTTGAATTTTTGAGTAGGCTGAGCTCTGCCTCTCGTTCTTTGCGTTTTCCTCATTCAGACACTCATAAATCTTGCTTGCTTCTTCCTCATGGCCCGGTAGCGAATCATTAATGTTGAGGTCAGTATGTTTGATCAGTAGAAGAAAATCACAGGAGTTAGTTCTCACAGTGTCCATATTAAATTTGCTCCACGAGCACAGTGTAAGACGTACGTCTTTCTTTTCGTGAGCAGATAGACCCAGTCACTTCTTGAATTCGCTCATGAGCGGCTTCTTCAGAATCATATTCCTCCAGCAGACGTCACTGTGCCATAGCATTAGAGAATAGGATGTAAAGCCGATGAAATCATGCCGAAAAACTAACCCTTTGTTCATATAATGTTCGAATATATGCTTCTATCTTCCATGGATTTGAAATAGTTCATCGCGCCGTCATCCGAATATGTTTATCTGAGGTTCTCAGCTGCCAATTGGGCCGGGATCCTGAGATGGGCACGTTTTGTAAATTTCAGAACTAATGACGCTATCTAATATTACGTCACCTTATTTCAATGATTGTTCAATGCGTCGATAGCATAGCCTCTGTTGAGACTCATCAGTTTCTTGACTTTTTAAGTCCAATACTACTACCAAATTGAGAGGACAAAATTCGGTATTGCGTCGTTGACTCTTGCTTCAGAGCAATCAGCAAGAATCTTACTACATTTATAGCTTTCTATATTTTGCTTATCAATTATCGATGTCTCTTTTCAAAATTTTCTAGTCCATCCCTTAGACTGTGTGTGTAGTCTGATCCCGACCTTTCTTGGGTTTCATATCGTGCAAGTGAGCTATAGAGACTCATGACACTAAGCTGGAAGGCATCAGACTAAAATTGATAGCTTAATTCTCCGTATCCGTCCGATATGGTGTAGTGGCTAACATCGCCGTCTCTCACACGGCAGCCGGGGGTTCGATTCCCCCTATCGGAGATAAATCTTTTTACTCTTGCTTTTGAATCCCGACAAGCATTAAACTCAGTAAGCATTAAAAAGCTCGCGTCGCCGGTACTCCACATTTATTTTGAAGTCTATTTTGGCTCAGCAAAGTAGAGTACCGGTGACAGGAGCTCAGGAGATAGACGACGCAAACTATGTTCTGGAAATAAATAAATATTGTATGTATAGTGCCTGAGGCGCCAAAGCCTAAAATGGCCTAGTGCGAGAATTTGATCGGCAAGGATTATTATTGTTCCTGAACGCGCCTGGAGAAAGCGCGGACTTTTAGATCGCAAAGCTCTACCCTACCTACCTACCCTTTCTAGCTTTACTCTCCCACCTCTCATCTCCATCCCACGAATTGGTTTTTACCCCCACCTTTGCTTTGATCGCAACAGTTAAAAAAGCTCTCCCTCAAATCTCTCACCCCCTGTCCCCTCCTTCAATATCCACCTCGTCTTCGTATTTGTCGTCGCGCATCCTTACCTGTGCCTCAAAATCCCATCGCAAACCCAATTTCAGTTGGCTGAATAGGCGCACATTCCTGGCTTTTTGGCCTGTTTTACTCTATCACGCTGCCCAGATTGGGCATTTGAAATCTTATCTTGTGATTTGCCTTAACAACCGTCATCTGCTTTCCGAAAAAGCTCTAAGAGCTTAGACCGCTATTCAAAATAGCTTCTCACACATTCTATCCACTGAGTGATAAATTGTGCACCGTGATTTGAAGGACCTCGACATCTGGGATTACCAGGGAAAATCCTTGGCGTGAAAGCACTCATCGCGGACATTCAGCTCTGATTCTACTCGTTGCTCTTAATTCACCACCATGTCGGCGTCCACACCACAAAGAACGTCATTAAGACGTAAGATCGACCTCAACCTTGCAGAATTGAATGCTAACTATGATCCAGAGGGATTGCGACAGGCTCCAAGAGTCAATCAACCTTTCATTCCGGACACGACCCCTGCCCGCCGTTCCCATCAAAATTCAGACTTCCAATCACCACAGGCGCAGCCCACTCCTCAGATCAACATGAACCCCGCTGCTAACCCAAACAGCGCAAGTTTTGCGGTCGATAGCTGGGACGGTAAAGGACAGACACAACTCCCGATGTCAACTAAGGACGTTTACACTCCAGGAAACCGACCGGCCAGTTATGAACGTCAAGCGAAATTACCAAAGGAACCTGTTAACTTTTATGATCCTCACTTTGCTCTGCGGTATCTAGAAGTTCCCCGAAGTACGTATCACAAATTGAGCCCATCTGAACCGTTTACTGACGAAAGCACTCTAGCCGACGTTATCTACAAACGAGCCCACTATGGTCTCCAATCCAAAATTCCTGACGAAGTTGACTTTGCCCTGTTCCACCTTGTGCAGATCTCAAATCAGAGGTGGGATAAATTTAAATTTGAGGGTTTCCCGTTGCTTGCCGAGACTCTCATGGAAAAAGCGATGGAAATCACTTTTCTTTGCACCGGAGTTCAGTGGGAATTGATTTATGATCCAAAAATATTCAAAGTGACGGACCGAGTGAACTCGCTGAACACACTGGAAGGCACTCGAGATCTTCTCGAAAGGATCAAGCAAATTCCCTTGACTCTTCCAGCTAATACCCTCGAAACGGACGAGTTCCACCACCTCTTCCGTAACATCAAAGAGGCGACTTTGGTGTTGAGAAACATGGTTTTGCTTAAGGAGAACGCATTTTACGTTGCAACTTATGCAAAGGGCCTCCTTAGAGACTTCTTAGTTGTGCTCATTAATACACCCAAGCATCCTCGTTTTAACGAAATCAAGAATGATGCCCTCGACATTGCCGAAGAAGTGACCAAGTTCATGTGGACCGAACCTCAAGATCCGCTTTGGATATCCTTAGTCAACTGCATGCACTCTAACGATCGCGCCCACATTTCTAGAGGTCTCTGGTCGTTGACACACTTCTCCCTTGAAATGAACGAGGTGGATGCAAACCGAGCAGTGGGAAGTCTTTCCAAAGAAAATCTGCAGCAGATGTATTACCATACCCTTTTGGAGCTCGACAAAGAAATTCTGAGCGGTACACTCGACTTGTGGTATCAATATACGCTGAGCCCCGAAAATATCGAGACCATGATGGATGTATTCAGCTTCCCAACTATCTTTGTGCCACGCATGATCGCACTTCTCATGTATGAGGCGAGACCAGGAAAGTCTGAAACTGTTTTGCAGGAGGAGAAAGTTGCTCCGCCCCCGTCTGAGATCCCCCCAGTGCCCAGTGAGCTCATGACAAAACTGATGGAGCTGGCAGAGCCAGAGCGTAGCTCGCAATGGATGCGCTGCTGCTTTGTGGAAGACGCAGACTGTGAAATTACACAGATCGCCCTGTGGCAGGCCTATCAGAACCGATTTGGCGAGCGAGGAGGTATTTTGCCTGCTGCCGAGTTTATCAAGAACGTTAGCAATACCTTCACAAACGCCCAGGCCCAGGTTATCAACGTACCAGGCTCTGCACCCAAATTCATTATCAAAGGAATTCGACCTCTGGCTGCCACCTACTCCCTTCAAGGCTTTCCTTATGATTATTGCAAATGGGCGGATAACTCCCAACCGTCCAAGACTTGTCACCGGGCCTTTATATCCCCCGCTCACCTTCGCCGTCACATCTTTGCAGACCACTTGAACCTCGAACTGGACGAAACAACTAACAATTTCAAAATGGAGGCGACAGAAAACCCCATTCATACCTGTCAATGGGACCGGTGCACACAATTCCGGAGCCCAAATACCAACACTGCTTTGATCACTGGTCATATTCAGACTCATTTGCCTGAAGATCGCCCTGCCAATGCAGAGCCCCCAAGCGCCAAGCGTCTTGTTTTGCAAGAGCGACTTGTTCGCAAGTGGTACTACATGGATACGCCTGTTGATGAGAAGGGCAACCCGTTTGGAGTGGCATACAAAGCAGCCCTGATTCTTCGAAATATCGCCAGGAACCTTCCTGACCGCCTTGCCCCACGATTCGGTAACGTGTCTTGGAAAACAGCATGCTTCGTTGGTCGACGCTCCCAGATCATCGATCTCTGGGACCGCAACCGTGCTTTGCGCAAGGAGTTGACCGAGTTGATTATGATCATCGAGAAGAAAGATTAGTCGTTTTTTTATGACATAATGATCTCAAGGTGAAGCTTCTCTGTACAACGACTCAGCTTCCGCAATTTTTCCTTCTCTTTTTTAGGCATTGATATCTGTATCACTAATACCATGCCTACCCAACTTTTCTCTCTTTATTTGACCAACGAATACCAACAAACTTTGCGACAAAAATCTTACCAAAAAATCTGTACCAACAAAGCATACATGGACCTGGATCGTGGCATCCAGGAAATAGCACTTAAGGACGCCATACAGATGGTTGAAAGGACAACTGTTGAAAGAAATGCAAGGCTTCCCCTGCGGCGTTTTATTTTGTTTATTCCCCCCTTGCCAATTCTCTTTCTGTTTCTAATTTCTAGCGGAGTTGATTCCCAGGGATACAGGGTTGGCGATTATCATAATTCCGGCGTCAATATTTGAGAAAAATTTCAATATTATTTTACGTATTTGTATTCTACGAAGTCCATTCCAAACATCTTACTCCGAGCTCTTGTTCGCCTCCACAGAAATCCTCTCCAAAACCAGCATCGCATCATCTGCCCGCCCAGCTGGAACATAGATATGATCATGGAAGAACCCACTAACAACATTCGTACTGATAGAGTAATCCTTCAACCGATTGGTAATGGCAGCGATCAACCCGACCGCTTCAAGGCTGGAGTGAATAGTGAGCGAGATCTTCCGGCATGGGAAAACGACCTCTTCGAAGGAATGCGCTGCGGCTATAGCTTCTGTTGTCACGATCGTCGTCCCCTCAGCCTCTTGGACTATCAGTTGCGGTTTGATGGTTTCTAGCGGAAGGGATGACAGAGGTTGTTGGGTGTTTATGAAGACGTAGACTTCTGGGTCTAGAGTTGGTTTCATGGTCGCTAGGAGGACGGCGAGGTTGTGTTCGCCGGAAGACATTTTGTCAATTTTCGATAGAATTACTCAGAATTTGTGAGGATGATATTGTGGAAATGTGGAAATGGGAGGTTGGAAAAGAGATGAGCTTTTATGAGTGTCATTCATAGGGCGTACCATTTACTACTGTATGTAGCCTTGGCCCACTTGACCCAAAAATGATAATTAGTACGGGTATATAAAATCAGGTAAAATGAGATAACAAGTTTCTGCTAGCTAATAAACATAGAACTAATGTAGGAAAAGGAAACAACGACCTGCTCAACACTCAAGAGCAAACTAATAATCACCAGTAGGCAGGCCAACAATAGGAACATGCTGTCCATGGAAACCGAACCCAACAGCTCCATTAACATTAGCCCGTCCAACTTCAGCCATAGTCTGAGCATCAAGACAGAGAAGGTAGCTAGTACCTTCCACACCATCCAGCACAACACTCAAAAGCACACCGTCATCCTCACTGACGCCATCAGGGTTCGCAACAAAGATAGGCTCTCCGGGCGAGTGGCCATGACAAGCCCACAGACTAGACTCCAACTTATCACAGTCGAACTTCATAATCCCATCTGTGAGAGTAGACTCTCCACGCCAGGTGGTAGAGTACAAGTACCGATATTGACGGGTAACAAACTTAGTGCTCATGACCGGCAGCTCAGGGGACAGAGACTTTGCCGCAGACCACTCGATAGTAGCCTTTTTGATCTCGGAGGTAGGTGTTGTCGACATGTCTGGAAGGCGGAAACGGGTGATAGTCGAGCGCGATTCTGCGTCTCTATTTGCGGCGAATTCCTTCGCGCTGGGCAGAGAGGACTTTAGGCGTTCGTAGAGCAGAGCGTGGATGAAGTCCGAATTGTCGTATCGGACTAGATCGGCGACTATGTCGAAATTTTTCGGGTCTTCTTTGGAAGGTTCCTGCCACGAATTTATGGTGTGAAAACAGAAGAAAGCCTCGCTTTCGTAGGTTGCTACGAGACCTTGGCCGTTCTTGCGGTCTACTACATACCAGGTTGCGGGCTCGGAGGCATCTGGAGGCAAGATTGAATAGGTCACGGACATCTTGCCTGACTTGGTGATATCAACGTGTGAGTTCCAAACGCAAAGAAGCACGTAGTCTTCCGTGATGAATAGGGAGTGAATGTATGCAGGGACACCAGAGAAAGTGGCCAGGATGGTGGTCTTTCCGGTCGAAGCAGAAACGTGGAATACGCGATAGGTAGAAGTTTTGCCCACTGAGAGGTTGAAATTGAAGACGTCACCTGTGATAGGATCCGAGCGGGCATGTGAGGCTGAAATAGGACCAGTCAGGTCTGGATGGAGGTCCCCCTGCTGAGCCAGGCCGATAGGCTCAAGAGTCTCCGGGTCAAGCTTCTTGAAAGCATTGTAGTCGGTTTTTGCATACAAGTTCTGAATTCCATTCCAGCGGTCCTGGCCTTCAGGATGGGGATCCAGTCCGGGCATGTTGATCGAAAGAGTAACACCAATATTGGGATAATTCACATCGCTGTGAGGCGGTGTCGCTGACGAGAATTCGCTTTGAAATTGGCTGTACACAGACTTGCACGGGTCTGCTTCCTGACCGAAGCCAAATCTGCCAAATCTGCCTGTTTTTCGGACAAAATCAATTGCAGCATCAGTTGAGAAGCGTGAGTTGTACACCACTCGTGTTTGAGTGTCTGTTGAAATTATTTGGAAACGATGCGTTTGAGTGAAGCCATCGAACCAGTGCGTCAGCTGGAAGAGCTGGCCATCTTCTGTTTCGACCTGACTTTTTCCCGGTCCAGTACGATATAGAACTCCAGCTGCATAGGCTGGAATGTGTCCAGTCACGGAAAGCTCGACTGGCTCACGTTGTTCATATTCGGGATCAAACTATATCGGTTAGATGGTGACTTGACAGCAACCACAAGGCCGCGACGACTTACCCCTTTGTCATTAGGCCAGTTGTTCCAAGGCTCATCAGATTTTGAGCTACTAGGTTCTGCTAGAGGAGAGTTGGATTCAAGAGAAGACATTGAAGGATTGAAGCATAAGCAAGTTACTTGAGAAGTTGAGGTTGTCTAAAGACCGGCTAGATCTGGTTTGAAGGAGGAATCGCGTCTCCTTTATACTACTTTAGATAGGAGACTCACAGCAACAACAAAATTGTATATATCCATGGACCCGATTTGATCCGTGCGTCGTGATGAACGGCCTTTCGTGGTGGGGGAATGGCGACGGTCAAAATAAGAAGGGAGAACAACAGTAACATGAGGTGAAGACGATGCCTTTACTACTCTGTAGTACCATTTCTAGATTATCATCTCAAATACTAAATAGTATCTTTTCATTGGCTAAGGTCTGCGACACCATAAGGTGATGATGAACGATGAGAGTTAGCGGCTTCGCTTAACGGGATTCACCCGCCGTAATCCTCGCCCATTCTTCACATTCAATCGAATCCAGAGCCAAGTTCAGAGCGAATCAAATCATCTGATTAACGATCGAAGCACCAAAATCGAGGACTTTGCCTTTGGCTCGTATCTCTCGCCTCGCCTTTCTCAAAGCGGTCTAGTCAAAGTTATCGGATGGATTCCGCCCCGCAGGAGAAGTGGAAATGTGACGAGTGTTCCTCTACATTTACTCGCTTGGATCACTTGAAACGACATTTACTGACTCGTGTGTTTATATTCCATTTATCGAAATAATCAACTAAATTATCTATCAGATACCGATCAAAGATGTGTTTGCCGGTTCTGTGGCGTTCTATTTAGTCGAGGGTAGGTGCTTGGCGCCAAACAAGTAAAACAAGAACTCAACTGACAGCGTTATAAGCGATGCCCTGCGGAGACATTGGAAGTCGTGCAAGTCTCGCTTGCAAAGTGGCCAGGATATCCCCGGAACTCAGCGAGGTGGGAAGCATAAGCGTGCCTGTGATAGTTGCGCCGGTCTTAGGAAGGCTTGTAGTGGGACAAATCCATGTGCGGAGTGTGATCAACGCGGACGACTGTGTACTTATGAACGTCTTCTTGAATATGGAGAGAGTTCAAGTTTCGTTACAGCAAACTCGGGAGAGGCGGTGAGGCTTGAGAATCAGGGAATGGATATTGATACACAGCACGCTGCAACAATCTCAGCAAAGGAGCCCGAGACGCAGAACAACGAAATGGTTGTTGGTGAACAGCCAACATGGAGTCTTGGGCCTCAAAGTTTCTATCCTTCTGCAATCAAGACTTCAACAGATGAGCAACAACTGGCCCTCGAAGATCGGGACAACATTATTGATTCCCCAAAGTGGGATCTTGGGCCGTCGAGCTTCTACCCTCCGATGAGTACTTGGCCGCGCCGGCCCTAACTGGATATAATTGAGATCTATTTAACAAAACTTGATTGATAACATTTTGACAAAGACAAAGGAGGTTGTCAAAAATGAAAAATGATTATCATCAATAACAATAATAATAATCACGTTGCCCCTTTAATAAAATACATGGGATATCTAAGTGAGAATGCACGCCACCGGGAGCTCCAAGTCCTAGTCCGAGTCCGAGTCCTAGTCTGCGTCCGAGTCCTAGTCTAAGTCCGAGCCTGAGTCCAAGTCCGAATTATCTAATCGAACTATCGTGGTAAAAATATGCTCTCCGCGCTATCGTATACATCCCCGATAAAATTTTCATAGTTTGCCCAGGCCCCTTCGCCCGCAACAGGAGTTGCGTCGAAATCCATTGTATCCCAGAAGTTGGGCCATTGCTCAAATTCCGTCGTTGTTTCCAATACAGGACTGGTCTGCTGGCCAGCAGCAACAGTCATTCCCATGTCAATTGGGTAGTTGGTCACATGTTGGTCCAAGGGCATATGCTGAGCATGCGGTATTATATGATTTTGCTGCTCCATGCTGGTGTAGATGACCGGGTTTTCCATTGAAACTGGATCGAGTACGTCGTTGAAAAACTCGCTTATGTCGTTGCCTAGCAATTCTCTCTTTCGGGCTATCACTTGGTTCATGAGTTTTTCAAGGGGGCGCCAGAGCATGCCGTGCTGGGAGTCTGCAATGGTCAAGCTGGATCGATGGTATTCCCTCTTCATTATGGGCCAATATTCGTTCATGGTTGCAGGGTTTTTACAGACGCACAACTCGGCTAGTGCGACTGCGAGAGCATGCCACGGAACCCACATTGAGTTGAACCACGACCACTGTACGAGCGCCGGGTCGTTGTATACCTCCGACATTCTTTGCAGGTTGTCCGCAGCTAATTTAAGTAGACTGTCGCCTTGAACTTGGGGAGGAGTGAAATTCGGACTGCGTTGTATCGGGCGGAGACATCCTAGATGTAGCCAAACACTAATGCTGTTCGCGGTCCGTCTCGAATATAAATGGAAAGGTATCAGATCGGGACTGCTTCCCTTCAACATATTTGATACATTTTGTTGGAAGTCAAGCAGGATCTGCTGTCGTAAAGTCATGGTCTTTATGGACGACTCCATAAAGTCGGAAAATGCGAGTGTTCGGGCTACAGTTTGTGCAGCTGCAATGATCAGCGTATGCGTCATGTCTGTGAATTTACCCTCTGGCTGTTCTTGGATGGGCCCTTCCATGTCGAACCAGATTGCCTCGTCGTCGATATTTGATGGCGGGTGTGATTGAAGCCATGCTGTCTTCATCATCGGTTCGGATGCTCGGTCGAGACAGGCTGCAAGGTCCAAAAGGCCGATGCCCTGCCAACAGCGCCGGCGCATCTCTTGCTCGAAGACATTGACGTGAAATGGTGGTTCTGGCAGATGGAGACAGAGGGCTTGGCCGACTCGAAGAGCCATGCTCATCATAGTCCACACGCGACGACTTTGATCTTGACAACGAGCAGCAAGCTGGTAGAGGAAGTCAGAGTGAGACTGAATGTGCATAGTTTCTGTTGATTGTAATTACCAGTGATATGACATAAGCTTGCAACACAGTGAGATCTTCGGTGGTCACGAAATCCGACTTGATCAGCGCAGCTTCTGTATCTTTTTGGAGCTCGGCAGAAATGGTCTTCTTATCTGTGCCAAAAATCAAATGACACTGCGCATCATCCACAGTCCCGACAGCGGCATAATAGACTGCTACTGCTAACGTAGCAGGAGCCTGGTGGCCTTGCTCGTAGTCCAGATACGGCTTATCTTCGCAGAGAAAGGCACATAGAGAAGGCCTATGCAGGACCTTAAAGAGAGGATCCACGTTTCGTATGTAAATCTCGCACAGCGTTCTTCTGATATCAGGGGAAATATACACTCCTTTGTGAGATTGCGGAGAGCTATCAGTTGAGTGAGAGAGAGCACTCTCTGTGCCTTCGGACCCTACAAGAGATGTCCCGAACCCAGATGACGTCTTGTACTCAGTTTGGTCGTGCTCCAAGCGATTATCGAGAACTGTTCTCAATTCTTGCGTCTGTCACGCAAATTAGCGCATGAAACTAGCAGACTTGGGCGCAAAAAAACCCTCTGACTCACCTGCTGCATAATATCTTCCCAAAATGAACTTGCAATGTAAGACTTTTCCGGGCGGGAGCGAACCGAGTTGGGCTTAGATACCACAGGCCCAGGCTGAGGATCTGTAGGCTCCGCATTATTCACGCGCCATGATTCAATATCTACTTTTGTCGCCTTGGGGTTACTGGCGTTGGGCGCGATCGGTGACAGGTGCGACTCGTCGCGTTCGGCGGCTACCCGTTTAAGGAGGTTCTCGAGCTTGGCAACTCGATCTGCTAACTCTTTATCTGTGTTTGTCGCACGCTCAGTGGTCCTCCTTGTTCGTCCTCTTGGTAAACGGGCCCTTTCTACAGGGACACAGACGAAACCGAGTCGTTGACAACTAGTGCAAGGACTCAGCTTGTCGCACTTCACTTTACGCTGGCGACATGCCTCACAGCTGAGTCGAACTCGGGGTGCAGAAGATCGAGGTTGGGTAGCGGAGTCCCCGTTATCCTCCATGACAACACATTCACATAGGTATTAGAATAAGAAATCTCTGGTTGTCGAAGGCTGACAGAAGAGTGAGATTCGTTAGCTCACTTTGGGTGGAGACGAAGAATGGGGTTATGAAAGAAATCCGTGGGGCCAGTTGGTGCCCACCAGTTGAATTCGGCACCCCACCATATTTCAAGTACTTTAGCAGTGATTTTGGAATTGGAATTGGAAACATGATGGATCAACTAATGCGACTTTATTTCTAGAGGACCGCGCAAGATCAATCTTGAATTTACATACTAAACCTGGAACAGTCATGGTTCTACAAAGTAGTGGTGCTGCGGCATCTGGGATATCAAATCTCACCATTTGCTGAAAATAATACATACATTATTAGGTTGACAATAGAGCTGTCGACAAGTGGGAAGTTCCCTGCAGTACAATTGGCACATGTTCGACAAGAGTGTCACTTGCGGCATTCTTGGATCAATTCTCTGGTATCCCTCTCGAGGATGATTATCCGAGAAGCTTCATTCCGTTCTTGGTCTTTTTAGACTTCTTCACACCATCATGTTTCACTTTGGGCACCACCAGTGGCATTGGTGTCCGGTCAGTCTTGGCTTGAGCTTGAGCTTGAGCTTGAGCTCTGGCTTTGACTCTGGCCTCTTTTTCGGCAATATTTGCTGCGTTTTGTACATTGCCTGCATATCTCTCATCCTTGCCCTTGTAATTTGCCCAGACACGAACCGGCTTCACATCGGCTTTAGCTTTACGCAAGGTAATTGGATGATTACCAATGTACTTCTTCTGCATCTCGTTAAAGGCTCGAAAGTAGTCATCTGCGTCACTGAAGCTCACGAAACCGTACTCCTTGCTTTGCGTAGTGCGTTTCTCTCGAACTACACGTGCCTTCACGAGCGTTGGATACTGTGAAAAGGACTTGTGAAGCATTTCGTCGGTTACTTCGCCTGAGAGGTTGCCCACGAAAAGTCGGAAATGGGCGGGATCCCATTCGACGAGTGTCTCGTCGATCCAATTCTTGCCACCACCCGTTCGCTTTACAGCTATGAGAGAACGTTTATTGTGTCTGGTTTCCACGCGAGGTGGGGTGACAGGTTTTTCGGGCGGATCCTCTGAATACGCAGATTGCCACTGAGCAATTTCGAGCGCTTCAGTTTCTCTATCGGTTGGAGCTAGTGATGTGGGTGGCACGGGGCCGATCAGGGTCTGATGGACGGTTGGTCTGAGAGGAGCAGCCGGTCCGTAAGGGTTCACCGGTCCATAAGTGACCGCGGGCTTCTCACCGTAGGAGGGTGCTCCTGGGTAGGAGTTAATCGTTGGGGCCACATAGGCGGCATATCCGGCAGAACCTGGCTGGTTAAAGTTGGGTTGGTTAAAAGCGGGATATGGCTGAGATGGTCCTATAGGTCGTTGAGGTCCTATGGGTAGGGCGTGGTGGCTGTGGGCTGCGGGATGAACGAAGCCGGGCGCATTTCCACGACCGTATGGCGTATTTCCACGGTAGGCAGATGAATGTGCACCATTTTGGGATGCAGGGGGACGAGGAGGAAGCTGTGTCTGTTGACCTGCAGGAGGTGGGAAAGACATGGTGAATAAAGATAGTTGGGCTGTAGTAGACCAACGTACCTGCTGACTGTTGGCTCAGTCAAATTCTGCTAGATATCAGACCTGAAGTCTTGATACTGGCGTGGTTAATATTGGGGAGAGACTTGAGGGTTGAAGGTTGAAGGTTGAGGGTTGAAGGTTGAGGGTTGAGGGCTGAGTGTGGAGGGTTAAAGATTGAGGCTTAGGGGAAAGACAAAGCGAGATGCGAAAAAAAGTACGCTAAAGGAGTCTGTGGGAGACCGTACAATACACACAGAATCAGGTGACTGAAGTAGGTTTACATAATGAAAATTTTATCATGTGACCTGGTCTAGATCATGACGTAATACGCCTATCTAATATCACGGGAATTTGGATGGAGTACTTCAGAAGCAAGTGGAATGTATTTATCCAATACTGTACTCCGTACCTTGAGTAGAAAGCACCCCCACTCTAATCTCAAGATGGACTAGTTTTGCTTAGTGGAGCTTCATCGGTAACCAAACTGAAGTTTTTCCGACGAAACCAAGTCCGGAATAGTTCACCGATGCGTGGAGAAGCAATTCAAAAGCCTTGATTTGGGATGGTATTCAAATGGAATAAATTACTGGGGGTAAATACTGGACGGAGCACCAAAGTACTGGAGCACAGAGTATACATATGGCTTTTTATAGGTCTTATTCTGCAATGAGATCATTCATTACCCCTCCATTGCCCCGCGTCAAGAACAGTAGTTCCCCAACATGTTAAGGGAGTACGGTTTATCCAATGTTACGTCTATAAAGTATGTAGTTGAAAACCTTGGAAGTTGGGTATTGATCAATGGCCTGACATTGTAGAAAATGCAAAATAAAAAAACATAAAAACCATAAAAGATCATCAACCTGAAGCATTCAGAGGCCGAGTAAGGTTACCGGACGACTCTGCTCCTGTACCGGAACTTGGCGCTTCAGCAAAATATCATCCATACACGGTACACATAACCCCGCTGGTCTTAGTGTCCCACATGACGGAAGGCTCCGTCAGCCTACTTCTTCTTCCATTTCCCTCCCTCACTTCTCTTACTCTTCCATCTTCAAGTTATCTCTTATCCTCCCCTCAATTCATTAATCATGGCCAACCAAGCTGTGTAAGTTCAATCTTCCTCCCCTCCGGCATCGGACTCTATTCCCAATTCATAAACATAATTCACAATCCACCTGTTTTCATGCAAACCTGGACAATCAACGAGGACTTGGCCTTGATGGATCACACTTCAATTGTACCGACCTACATCATGGATGTTGCATCGTGTACTATTTTCTGTGAAATCATCAAAATTGGTGCTTTCTCGTGGATCTGCTCCCTCGGAATTACATGAAGCCTCTCTGTTTCATTCACTTTTAACCTATTTTAATGATTGACTCAAGAACACGGTTGCTGACTATTAGCGCCTGTCTCGCCGGCATCAATGTCGGCGCTCCGGCGCGTTCTGTTCCCAGTGCTGATTTCGGCCTCATCGGTCTGGCCGTCATGGGCCAGAACCTGATCCTTAACGCTGCTGACCACGGTTTCACTGTCTGCGCCTTCAACCGCACAACCGCAAAGGTCGATCGCTTCTTGGCCAACGAAGCTAAGGGTACGCTCCTAGTCCCCTGTCCCAAAATAAAGGGATGTTTTTCTTATGCCTGAGAGGCTAATTGGTGGTTTTTAGGCAAGCCTATTGTTGGTGCTCACTCCATTGAGGAGTTCTGCTCCAAGCTCAAGCGTCCCCGTCGTGTCATGCTCCTGGTTATGGCTGGCCAACCCGTCGATGACTTCATCGAGGCTCTTCTCCCTTACCTCGAGAAGGATGATATCATTATTGACGGTGGTAACTCTCACTTCCCCGACAGCAACCGCCGCACCAAGTACCTTGCTGAGAAGGGCATTGCCTTCGTCGGCAGCGGTGTCTCTGGTGGTGAGGAGGGTGCTCGCTACGGCCCCTCCCTCATGCCCGGTGGTAACGAGGCCGCCTGGCCCCACATTAAGGATATCTTCCAGAGCATCTCCGCCAAGAGCGACGGCGAGGCTTGCTGTGACTGGGTTGGTGACGAAGGTGCCGGTCACTACGTCAAGATGGTTCACAACGGTATTGAGTACGGTGACATGCAGCTTATTTGCGAGGTGAGTTCTGCTCTAATCCAAGTTTTGGAAATTGGACGTGGTAACTAATCCTGATGCCAAAAGGCCTACGATATCCTGAAGCGCGGTCTCGGCTTGTCCCCCAAGGAGATTGGTGATGTTTTCTCCAAGTGGAACACTGGTGTTTTGGACTCCTTCCTTATTGAGATCACCCGTGATATCCTCTACTATAACGACACAGACGGCACCCCTCTTGTTGAGAAGATTCTTGACAAGGCTGGCCAGAAGGGCACCGGCAAGTGGACCGCCATTAACGCTCTTGACCTCGGCATGCCCGTCACCCTGATTGGTGAGGCCGTGTTCGCTCGCTGCCTCAGCTCTCTCAAGGAGGAGCGTGGCCGTGCCTCCGCCATCCTCGAGGGCCCCACCCCCAACTTCACCGGTGACAAGCAGGCTTTCATTGATGATTTGGAGCAGGCTCTGTACGCCTCCAAGATTATCTCCTACGCTCAGGGCTTCATGCTCATCCAGGCCGCTGCCAAGGACTACAAGTGGAAGCTCAACATGCCCTCCATTGCCCTCATGTGGCGTGGTGGTTGCATTATCCGCTCCGTCTTCCTCAAGGACATCACCAACGCCTACCGCAAGAACCCCGAGCTTGAGAACCTCCTGTTCGACCAGTTCTTCACCACGGCTATCCACAAGGCCCAGTCTGGCTGGAGAAACGTTGTCAGCAAGTCCGCTCTGTGGGGTATCCCTCTGCCCGCTTTCACCACTGCCCTCAGCTTCTACGACGGCTACCGCACCAAGGATCTGCCCGCCAACTTGTTGCAGGCCCAGCGTGACTACTTCGGTGCCCACACCTTCCGTGTCAAGCCCGAGTTTGCCTCCGCTGAGCGCCCCGAGGGCAAGGACGTCCACGTCAACTGGACCGGTCGCGGCGGTGACGTGTCTGCCTCTACCTACCAGGCATAAGTGCGAAGTTATGAGGATTAAAAATCAGGTTCAATGTATTTAGAAGCTACCATGAGTGGGACGTAACGAATCAATTCCTTTACCATGTTCATTATGAAATATTTATTCTTTCGTATTGCAAATGAGCCCAGACTGCATAATTAGGTGACGTTGACTGAAGTGTGGAGGGATTTTGTGCCTAAGGCCTAGTAACACGCTAGTCCAAATCGGGGGTTGGCAACGTCCACCCTGTCCATCTTATCGTCCCTCTCCTTCCTCCAATAACCCCGGGCCGTGGTGCATTTTCTTCTGCTTCACTGGTACCTTAATTTGTATTTCTATTATTTTGAACCTTCTCTGGTCGCGGAATTGGAGATCCCTACCTATTCTCCGCTGGACATTCAAGCAGACTTCGTGGACGAGTGAGCTTACAGGTGAGACAGCTCGACGCCAATCGACAATCTGCTTATGACGAATGTCCCGAGCTGGTATCTAAGACTCTGATTTCCCAGACGGTTAAACAATTCTTCCTCACCAATCCTCGGCGATTTTAGACCCGTTTGAAGACGAGGGAAATCATACCGCCTGCGCATCCCACATCACACGTCGCATGGCGGAGAACAAACGCCAGAATCCGGCTGAGAAAGGCTTACAAGGCAGTTCAGGTAGTGCGATAGGCACCGGAATGGCAACCAACACGGTGTCCATGGACGGGACTTTGATCGGGTCAATCGGTGCTCGGTGAGTTTAGACCCTTCTCGTATTCATTACACGTCAATCGATGCATGGTTTTTGTTTGAATACACCTTGCACTCATCGAACTCGCCCTCACATCTGCGATATCAAGACACCCTTAGACTGACGCTGGTTTTCCATCAGACTTCGCATCACGACCGCCGCACCAAATAGCTCAACATACGAGGGAACTCTTTTCGCCGCGGACCCAATCACCAACCTCGTCGCAATTAACACCAATCCAGCCGCGGCATTAAAAGCAAAAAATGATATGACTGGTGATTTCAAACTCTTTCCCATCTCGCAGATCCAATCTTTTCATCTGCTAAGCCTTCAGCCGACGGACGCACAGTCTAGCCTCCCGGCTCTGGATATGCGTGCATTGAAGGCACGCGAGGCTAAAGCTGTTAATGAGCTGCAGGAGCAAGAAGCGCGTCGCGGAAAGGGCGTCACTCGCGAGGCTCAGGATATCTTTGATGCGCTTGGGCGGACAATGCCCGCGCGCTGGGACGGACAAAACATTATTGTTGCCGATGCCGTTTCTATTGCTCCATACTACCGTGTCGATGACTGCCGCCCATTGATAAAGGGTGACACAGCTGCCCTCGCCCGAGTCCGCAAAGTGGTAAGTTGACGCATTTAAGCTATCTGCCATTTGAAATGTCTTCCCTTTCCCCTTGCATCTGAGACAAGGAAAACTGACAACGTTTTAGCTCGAGATGGAGAGAAAGAAGATTGAACTGCGCACCGCCAGTGCTACTATCGGTTCTACTAGCACTTTTTCCCGCACTTTGAGTGATCAGCGCAAGGGTGGCTAAACAACCCATGCACTTCTGGATCTGGATGATATGGCGATATTTGTTATTTGGATTTGCGTTCGAGCATTTTCAGAAAGTATGGGACGCTTTTTCCCTTTCGACGTACCCTTCATGGCAATACCCCTAGTTATGAGATGGATGATTTTACGATTGGAGGAAATTGGCATGGTATGCGAGAAATCATTTTACGCCCCTGGCCGCCAGTAATGGTGCCCATGGAACTTATCGGAGCCAAACGCATGAGAAAATGCTCACAGCGGTCCCGGTGCTCGTTGAAGTCCAAGCAAGGAGTTTGCATACTTTGTGTCTATTCCATGCCACCGATTGCGAATATCCTCGATTAGCAAATAATCAATTGCTTCCTATCTAAACTCATCTCTTCACTTTCAAATTATATCCGGCTATGGCCCTGTAATTAACCAACATCAGGATCCCTAGCAGGAATTGAACGAACGCCCTGCATGCGCTCCACTTCTATTACATAGCAAACCCTGCTGCCAACACCTAAAATAGAAAGATAAGGTGGTCATTATGTCGACTATCTAGCCCATAACCCCCTGATGCACAAATGCAGTACCAATCGCATCCAAAGAGCATCATACACATGCACACACATAGCAGATCCAGTTGAAATCGCTTGGTACTCGGGCTTAAAGACTGATAAATAGTGATGGATGTTGAGGCAAGTGATGTGTATGTGACCCAAGATCGAATCTAGTGCCCAGAGTTTCTGACGATAATTCCAATAATAGAAATGAGAGCTTATCTTATGATGACATGGATGACATTGGCCGCTGCCTTGTGGTGTCTTTCGGCGCCAAGAGAGGAGAAACTATCGTGATGTTAGTAGACATTCAGAAATGAGTGAGTGGATGAAACTTACGGCAGATCATCACTTTTTTTGGTGGTCCTCAGCTGGTGGTTTTTCAGCCGATGTGATGGTTCAGTCACAGACGATTTGAATGAGTAGTAGTTCATGCAGTTTCGAGGACTTTTAGTTAGGTTTGGTAGCAGGTAGCATTGATAACTGTGAAGTCTTATAATGCTCAACTTGTGATAGATGATGAAGAAAATCATCGATTGGCCTATGATAGCCCCATGAGTTCTGATAATGGGCTGGACCATGACCCGGACTATGATTCTGCTGGTATATGCTTGTTCAATAATCCTCCCCCTTCTGCTTTGAGGATGTCCGCGGGTATTACTCCGCATCAGACCGGTGTCGGCATTCTTCTTTTCGTTCAGCAAAGCTGCCACACCCTCCCGCTACGAAGTATTGGTTACTGGAATCTGCGAGGACGCTGTGGATCTAGTGTAGAGATTCGAGCCGATGCTGATTAAGGACTTTCAATACCCCTGGATACTTGGCGACAACTGGGAATGATGAGTGATAAGGCCTCTTGCCCAAAGTCGAAAGGATATGTTCAACAAGTAGTAGATCTGCTCAGTGAGTCCCTTATATTCTGAATGACAAGGATCGCTCGGAAGATGTCCTGGTGTATCGATTGCTGGGCAATTCTAGGCTACTACCTTGCTCTTTATCTTGTTACTTCTGCTCATCTGCTTCTTAACAAGGCAATGAGCTCGACAGTGGTCGGTGATATTGAAGTTGAGATAAAGATTCTTTTTTTAGTCTCACTATTAGGAATCTGAGTAAAGTGAGAGATTTCAAGCTTGCCACCTGTGATTACAGCGTTTCGACAAATTCAATGACTGCATCTTGTCACACCGCGAATTCCCTTGCAAGGTGGCATACATAGTTCCAAGCCAAACACACCCAGAGGATTGGCGGCATGGCTAGATCGTTGCGAGGTAAGTGATAGATGAGATGGATAATGTCTTAGATGATGTAAAAATAGGTATTTATAGGAAGGGAACCTGAAGCCTTAGCCGAGACATCAGAATTAAAGTGAAGGTGAAGATGAAGGTGATTGTGAAAGGAAGCGCGGGTTAACTAACCCTTGGAAGTGGAAGTGATCTATGGATAAATACTTGACCTTTGATAGGAATCAGATGTGATTACTCTAACCTAAATACTCGTAGAGGACTTCGTGATATCAACGGCAATAACAATAGGCAGAATGACTTTTCCGACATCTATTTCTTCTTTGGCGGTGCAACATTGAATTGGAAGTGTATAATATCACCATCTTGAACGACGTAAGTCTTACCTTCCTGCCTGTACTTCCCAGCAGACTTGATTGGCCCCATCGACTTCTCGCCTTTGCACAGGTCGTGGAAGTCCTGGTATGCCACAACTTCAGCCTTGATGAAACCGCGCTCGAAGTCGCCGTGAATGACGCCAGCTGCCTGAGGAGCAAGAGCTCCCCGCTTGATAGGCCAGCAGCGGATCTCCTTCTCACCAGCAGTAAAGTAATACTGGAGTCCCAGCTTAGTAAAGCCTTCAGTAGTGATTTTGCCCAAGCGGCTTTGGACCTTAATCTCGGCCACGAATGCATCTAGCGCTGGCTTGTCATCCCGCAGGGACCACAGCTTCTCCTCAAACTCGACGGAGAAGGGAATAATATCTGAGCCTTGACCGCCGTGGGCCTTAACCCACTCTGCGATCTTGGGCAGGTACTTGCACTTTTGGCGAAGGTAGTCTTTCATTGTAAGGTTGATGAGGTAGATCACTGGCTTGGTAGTGATGAGGCGCAACTTGATATTGTCAGAATCGTCTCTGATTAGTTTAGACTTCTAGACAAACCTTCTCGTTGATCAACTCGATTTCAGGAGTCGTCCATTCTCCATCTCTAACAGGCTTATCCTGTTCCAATAGCTATAATAGATTCAGCAAACTACAAATTTTTTCGATGAGAGGTCGTGCGTAACATACCTCCTTAATTTTAGCAGTCGTCTCGTCAAACAATGGCAGCATCTTGAATTTTCCTCCGGCCTTGCGTACAATTGCCTCTTCGGCAACCTTAGCTTTAGCAAGAATGTCCAAATCCTTCTTACACAACTCGCTCTGAATTGTATCTGCATCGCTGCACCATCAGCATCTATTTATCCTGTGTCAGTGGGTTGGAAGGGAATGCTTACCTAAATCGCGGACAGGATCAACGGAGTCGTCCACATGGAGAACCTCATCGTTATCAAACGCCCTATGTCATCGTAAGTAGCTGCTTCATTCCTCGAGTTTCCGCAGCGAACGCACCGGACAACATGGTACATGCCATCCACGGCCTGAATATGACTCAAGAAAGCATTTCCCAAACCAGCTCCCTCACTAGCTCCCTTGATCAATCCAGCAATATCCGTCACCTGCAAATAGGCCGGGTATCTACTGGCTGGCTTCCAGACATTGCACAAGAAGTCCTGTCTCAAATTAGCTAGCAGCTCACCGTATAAAACTCACAAACAAAGGGGGAAAAAGCATACATATCTGGGATCAGGAACGATACAGCGTGCTTCATTTGGCTCGATGGTGCAAAACGGGTAATTTTCAGCCGCGGCGCTCTGCTCCGTTAGGAGGTTAAAGAGCGAACTCTTGCCCACGTTCGGTAGGCCAACACAGCCCATCTTGAGGTTGGACTTGACGCGTCCGAAGGCGACGACATTGTTCGGCTTCACTTCTGCTGCTTTTGGCGCCATTTTAGAATATACCTAGGTAGTTATCGCTAGGTTTTGAGGATGAGATGGATGGAAATCAGCTCACTCAGTGTCGTGGCTCCACTTTGCAGATTTTTTTGGGCTTATGTATATCCATAATGGCACCAGATGATTTTAAATTTTTAAATTACGGCACATTAGTATGCTACTAGTGTGTTACTATTTTAACACTAATTTTCTGGGTAAATAATGGAGGACTACATTTCTTTGAACTTTTGAAGTTTGAGCCATTAGGAATGGAATTCTCAAGAGTGGATGTGGATTCCAAGATTCCTACGGTTGGGATATTTGGATGAAAAACGCATGACGATTCGTATGTATCAAGAGCTGACAGATGACAACACCTGATAGGATAGTATCAATTCAATCAGCAACAGGCTGCGACATAGAATATAGCATACGTTCAGATAAAGTTGCATTTAGTAACAGGAAGTATGTTATCACGTGGTATATCTTGGCAAGTAAACATGGCACCCAAATGAAGGACTTTAGCGTCAATCCTTGATGGAGGGAGATAGAAACTAGAAAGCTATATAGGGTTCGCAACCGTTTGCTCTGGTGTTCAAAAGGGTGGAAGTTTGGAAGTTTCCAAGTTTGGCATCCATGACTGACCAGGTTATCACGAATACAAAGAGCCAAGATGTAGAAACTTGGAACTATGAAATTAATTTCTGAGATTGAAATAAAAAATGGAAGAGAAAATGGAGGCCTCTTCCAGTACTATGTTGCTCCATCATTCACCGCTAAGAGTTCCGAAACTAATATCCTAAAATACACTTAAACATTTAGTCTACTTTAACTAGCATTTTCTGGAAACAACGTCACAAACACTACCCACAAACCCTTCCAGTCCACTAATCGCCACCTCGGGTGGGATTGTGGTAAGAGACAACGTGCTCCCGCTTTGGAAACCGGGCATGATCAGCACCTGGGAGCCCAATTCGACCCACTCTACAGAGTTAACGAAGGTAAATGAGATGTGCACATCTCCCAGAGGTTTATCCGTAGTCGTATCAGGCTTCGTTCCAGCCGAAAGAGGCTCCTCCAGGCCCGTGACAGGTTCCATACTCACGACCCGCACTATGGCACGGATACTAATGATGTACGCGATAACGTCACTGCCTAGCAGTAAGGGCGGAGAATTGGAGTCTGAGAACTGGGCTGCTGAGAATGTAGCAGAGAAGCCGATGTGGAATGGCGGGGTAGATGTGAGTTTGGAGAAAGTGGGGTTTCGAACGTTCATCAGAACCATGCCTTTTCGAATGCGACTAGCATTGGGCGATTCGCAGTCTTCGGGACTGGAGAAGAACTCGACGCCTACTGTGCCGACCTGGCTTTCCAGTAGCCGGCAGACTGGGAGGCGGAGGGCCCGAACACTGACAACGCGGACCTTTTGCCACTTTGCGCGGAGTGCAAGACAATCTTTACCGGGCAGTGAGAGTCCTCGGGTGAGAGATGCTGAGAACCTGCCGGAAGGGGAGCCGCTGTTAGATGAAACGCCTAAGGATGGGTCGTCGTCAACTAAAATTGGACCGAGCAGCATTTCGTCGCCGATGGAGATATTGCCGTGGCGGACGAGGCCACAGAGAACTAGGCCGCGGCATTCTTGTTTTTTTTCGTTGGGTAAAGAGAAAACCTTCGATGGGGAAATATCGAAGATTTCCTCCACGTCAAACAAGTTTTTAGGGCTCCGAGGATATTCGGTTCTGGATCCCGGCAGACGTTTGAGCGAAGGAATTGGCATATATCGAATGAAAGCGTGAATTTTGCCGATTGCAGTTCCATCAACGGAGCTAGATAGAATAATCGGCACCAAGTGCGGGTTTTCTTTAGACGCTGTGATAAAGCTCTTGACTTCCTTGCTATCTGAATCCACGATCAGTTGGGAATTAAATAGGTTCTTTGCTGGAGAGGGAGCGGACAACACTTGGTGCTTGCGGCCAGCGGCTTTTAGAAAGTTGTAAATCTTCTGAAGGTTCTCGCCCAGTAACCTTCGAGATGCAACATCAAATTTGGTGACGACAATCAAAACCGATAACTCCAATTTCAGGCAGAGCTTGAGATATGCCAAACAGAAATCGATATCATCCGTAGATCCTGCAACATCTTCTCCACAAATAGCTGGTATACAGATAATCACATAATGCGGAGCCCAACCGACTAACCCTCGCATAGTGGATTTAAGGTATCTTATCGACCCAGGGACATCAGACATGAATGCAAGACGACCTCCCTGCGAAGTAGCATGTATGTCATTCCATGAATTAATATCTTCAGAGGCCACGTTGATGACAGAGGATGGCACACCATCATCATACCCAACAAGCTCTTGAGAGATGGAACTAGTGACGCCGGAAGAAATTTCGTGTTGATGTTTGAGAAGACTAATGCGGCTTTTACCTCGCCCATTGTCAAGGAATGAAGTGTTCAGGGTACCAATAAGAGAAGACTTCCCTGCGGTGCTAGGGCCCACAATGGATATTCGAATCTGTTCGGTGTAGGAAATCGGATCGTCACTTGATCCAACAAGACGCATGCTTGCTTGGCCAGGAGACAGCTTGTAGAAGTTCAAATCGGGACTGACTAAGGCCTCTACAACCCAAAGACTCTCGTGTGTGATGTTCTGCCAGGAATATGCAGTCCATTCGCAGTCCCCGACGACAACCCATCTCAAAACTTCGACTTTGCATCCGAGACTGGTCGCCATTACCTCCAGGTTTATCAGACTCTCATCCATTTCATCCATAGTCAAACCTATGAATTCTCCGTCATCAGCAACTCCGATCTCGTACAATGCCCCCTTACTATCTTCTAGACCTGGGAGTAATCGGATAGGTTTATGTGATCCAGCCTGCTTAGAGTCCCAGTCATAAAGGGCGCCGGTCCACGGGAGGGTTTCGGCAAATGCCGGACCCACATTTGACGTAGCTGAATGAAATGGCGACGACTGTTGCAGCCTCCAGAGCATCTGCGTTGTCAGTCCGTGCATTCGCTCCTTTCGGGACTGAGGCGACTTGTACTGCATTGCATGTGAAGACACCGAGTCAGACGTGTGCCCTTCACGACCAACAGAGCTGCTAGTTGAGGTTCTCAAATACCGACGTCGTGAACCAATAAGTAGGTGTACTTTGTACTCTATGGGACCATCTTGGGGTTCCGGCTCCAACTTGGTGATATTGAAGTCCGAAAGAAAGGCACGAATGGGTGTCTTAGAGACTTCGAGTGACTTCTCATTGGGCACTGCGCCGGGGCGCAAATTGCGCGACTTGATTTTTGCAATCTCCTCCGCAAGCTAATATATTGTCAGCTTAACTATTCAAAATAAAGTGCAAAAAGAAGGATAGGTCAGATAATCCACTTACCACGCTGCGCACTTTGGCGAGGGAAGCTGCGTTACCCTTCGCCGAAGAGCGACACTGATTAACCGTGTAAGGAGAAGCAATAAAGACTCCGTCAGGGACAACAATGTTCTGTCCATCCCAGCACGTAGGCATGGTTTGACGAAGCGCGTCAAAGATATCCTGAGCTTCGTGGGAGAAAAGATCGATCACATCAATCGCAGCATTATCATCGCGCAATCCAATCTTCTTGTTCTCCATATCAACCTAACATGCTGTTAGTTTGATTGTCAGAAATGGAGACGAAATGTCAAATGAATTAAGACCTATGTACCAGGCTGCGAACTTGATCGAAAGCATTGCCTTCTGGCAAGGGAATTTCTTTCAAAAGAAGACAATCCTCCATATGGTATGGGGGAGATACGGAGACGACATCAGCAACAACGATATTTTCCTCATCCCAGTGTGTAGGCAAATTTTGGCTAAGTGCATCAAAGATAAGCTGGCCTTTGCTGGCGACATCCATTGGAGGCATGTCGCGAGTTGCCGGAGTTGAGAGTCCATCCTCGAGATCTGGCAAATTGACTTGGGAGGTTGAAGAACCAATCGACCATGGGGAATACACCCGAGGTGGGTCAGGATTGTATGTGAAGATGGAAGACATCTTGACTGCAAGATTAGTTTTTTACGACTCACACAGGTAAAGTGAGTATTCTGAACGTTAAGGACAGAAAGAACGTGGTTAGAATCGAAAAATCAATAACAGTCATTCTTTTACTGCGGTATAAATGGATGTAGAAGTTGAGTTGTTCCTCGTTTGAGTCATGTTTATGTTGAAGAATCACGTGGTGGGCTCCCGGCGCACGGACGAATTATATGAAACTAGTACTATCTGGGCTTTCTCGCAGAGAAATCTCGCTATGTTCAAGTAAAATGACAGCAAAAAAAATAACGATGAAATCGCAAAATATCCATGGATACGAAAAACAAAACTTTGAGAAAACGGCGAGTCGCAACAGAACTTTAGAAACGTGTATATTTGAGCTTTATTCCGACGATGATTCTCGTCCAGTCCCTTTGCACTTGCCTTGTGCCACGTGGATGTTGCGTGCTGTTGTGCGAGTGAACACTGCTCTGCAAATCGGACACTCTGCCTTTGCTACCACTCCTGACTTCTCACGCTGGTGTCGCAAGAGATTGCTAAAAGTAGAGAACTCACGGCCATTGCAGCCATGGTCCCAACATTGGGGTCGAGGCCGTGAGCTTATCACTCTGACTTGACGGTCTGCGTCTGAGGTAGTTAGGGAGTCGGCAGGAGAGAAGACAGGATCAGAGATTAATGAAGCTGCTTGGGAGCTCATAGGAGAGTGGTGAGAGGACCTGTGAATGTTAATATGCGCGCTTCCAAGTTTTTTTGCGAAAGAATCGACTAACGGGATTTGTGACGTGTTGGGGAGATAGTATGAGGGATGGCTCATCATAAAAGGAGGTGAACTATACAGTGAATTAGCCGATTATCCCTGAATAACCGAAGCTTGTGAAAAACTTACGGTGCCAGGAGAGGTTGGTCTGAGAGACCAGTAGAATGAGAAGTGTACGGTCGAACCATGGGAGGACTATCAGGGATGGTCAGATATTATTCTCCAGTGCTATAAAACCTGAGGTCTCTTTGCTTACCTGCGAGAATAATGTTGACGAGCGCCAGCAGATGAAGGAATGTAGGCAGAAGAGGGGGCTGAATCTTGATGATAGCCCTGCATCGGTCCACTGGGATGACCGCCATAGTCAATTGGGATTGCAGAAGAAGGATATGATTGCAGTGGCGGAAATTGAGGAGTCATGTGCTGTGGCTGCTGCTGTTGCTGCTGCAGGTGTTGGTAGGAGCGATTGTCCCAGAAGTATTCTAATCTCTGTCAGTGGAATACTTTTACAGATGTTGCCAGGAATTTCTTACGGTTGGAGTTTGGCTGCATAGTGCCGAAGTATGAATCTGATGCTACCGACATTGGGTGTGGTGTGATTTCGAGACCGCTGATAGTAAGGCTCGGTCAGTAATTTGATGCGCGGATTGAACAAATATCAAACCTACTGTGATTGTTCGGCACTCAGAGTATCCGAGGAATTGTTCGTTTCAAAAGACGTACAGACGGTCTGACCAGAGAGCGGTGTTTCTCGACCAAGAAAAGAACAAGGAAGACTGGATGCGGATTCTAGCGAATGCAATGAATTGACTGAGCCTTGCTGTCGAAGCAGAGTTGGAACAGATTGTGAATGATGCAAGTCGTTGTCCAAAGCTGGCTGTGGACTTTCAAAACGCCACGAGCAAGTTGATGGAAAAGTGGCTTGTTGGAATGACGGCGCCTGCACAGACTCAATTCCAGATAGAAAACCGACTTTTTTTGAGATTGCGCTATTAGATAGATCGGACGGGTTACTGCAGTGAGATGGATCATCGTGTGAGTTAAACTGCAAATCGCGAGACATGGGGGCCTCTTTTATCTAGGTCATGAACCTAATACTGCACTTGGAGCATAGGGGGATAGGAGGATAGGATAGAGAAAGGAGTGAAGCATTCAGGAATGGGCACATACCGAGATAATAGGTGGATGTCTTAAGATCAAGCGACGATAATAGATTTAAAGGGAATTGTAGATTTCGGAAGTATATGGTGGGCGCAACCCTTGATTTTAAACAAATTGCCAGTATGGCAGGGTGTTATGTTATTACAAGAAGAAACAGGTCCCCGCAATTTTACCAAAAAAGCCCGGATTGGATACGAATTTATGAATGGTCCACTAGAATAGCAAACAGAGCGACCTTCTAGAACTTTTTTAGACCACATATCGGGGATTGCGGGCACCAACGTGTGTCGGGAACAGTGATTTTGCCGAAACGGGTTGATGTTGGTACTAAGTATACCCACTCCTGACCCAATTCATCTTGCTTTGAACACGGGCTGTAATTACCAACACGTGTATGATTAACGCTATAACACAATAGTGATAAGATCCTATGATCTTCATGTGGGCCGAAATCGCGCTACAATGGGAGAGTTGGACCTTTTTTTGACCCCCACAAGTTGACATGGGATCCTCTTTTAGACTAATGACCATATTGGGAATCAACGTCAATTGGCGCTCTACCTTGGGAGGGGCCAGGGGGTGTGTATTGATCCTGAGTGGCATCAGTTGGGTGGATTCCAATTTAGCCCCAATACATAAATGGGGCGTTATGAAAAATTGGGGGCCATCAAAGTAGCTTCGTGCCAGATTTTCCTATCTATCTGGGCAAGTCCCCCACTTCGCTGTCGCTCTGAGTAAGTGAGCCCCGGTCCCAAACATAGCTCATCGGGGGTAGGGGGGATTCATTCAAACCGTTTTCCGTACATAATTAGTTACTACATGGCCCCCACGAACCCGCCGTTGGAAAACCTGCCTAGTTATACTATCTAGACTAACGAGATATATTCTAAAGCAGAATCTGATCTGGATTAAAAGGTAGTGTCATAGTGGATTGGGTAAAGCCATCGGGAGTAACGATTCGGATATAAATGACGGTGTGGACAGACCTTGATGGAAAACCCACATAACTAAATCGGGGCTTGCGTACCTTTGCTGATAAAACCCAAAAATCACCCAATCGCAAAATTATATATATTCCCGTAGATTTGAGAATCGATATCTGAACCAGGGCTATCCTATTAAGGAATAAGGACTTGAGATTGAGCCAAACTAAAGGGGTTCAAGGTCGGTCAAAGTCCATCAAAGGCGGTATGGACCCATGGTAACGCTAAGGGGGTGGAGCCTAACTAACTAACAAGCAAAAAACCAACAGAATGGTAGCGAGTAACGCGCCGACTAGAAAGGAGGAAAAGGACATTGTGACAGGGGTGAGGTTGAGGGTTAATTACAGTTAGCGCACTTCAATTTTAATCGGTTTTCTCCAATGTTAACAACTTAAGAACCCGAGGCTGTGGCGCCGCAGGATTTTTCCGGGGCCAACTTGCGATCGACCCGGCTCCCCACCTGCCCAGGTGGGGATCCGCAAACCACGACTGCCATGTGGTCATAAAAAGCCGATGATATAAAACCCCTAAACACGGGTTCATCCCGAGAACATTAGTTTCAAACACTTTCAAACACTTTAATTCAATTGGCCAAAATGATTTCAAGTTAATGCTTTTGCCTTTTTTTGGTTAAAAACCGAGCCGCTTGGCTTCCTATACTGTCAACGATTGGTGGTCTATGTGCCAAGGTAGTTTGTGAGTGGATAAAATGGTTAAGGATGATTTGAGATTCAAGATCGAAGGAATGTCAATCCAATGAGGATGACTAGAATCTGTTGGACTGAGTCCTCAGTTGAAGCACGAAGCCCTAACCAAGCAGCTACAGGGCTACTGTACCCAGTAAGCGGCAGTTACTAACTACTTTCATGGGCTATAGCTTCTAAGTTTAAAGCCCTACAGGGCCAGCAGGATTAAGTAGATAATCTGATGAATTATACTTTAACCCTCGATCTTTAGATTAAGTCAGCATTTGAAGGATTCAATAAGACTCAATAAATATTGTAATTGTATGATAATATCTTAGAAATACTGTTACTTTTGATATTCGACTTCTACTTCGTAGCTCGTTTCCAAGGTCACATGATCTGGAGCTTATTGATCATGTGACCGTTGACACCTTCACCACCGATAATCCAGACAGCAACATCCCGCAAAGCTCACATCTCTTTATCCCCACCATCCTCCGGGTTCTCAATCTGCAAACCAAAATACAGATTCTAGACCATCTCCCAGCTCCTTCATCATGAAGCTCGTTCGGTATGTTCCATTCCACGAAATGCGACACGCGCATCCTGAATCTTCATTTTGAAACTCAATACTGACCAATCATCCAGCTTTTTGATGAAATGCTCTAATGAGTCTGTCACTGTTGAATTGAAGAATGGTAGGTCAATAAACGAGGTCGACCAAATGAATCTGGCCCCAATGTCTAGAACCCGCTCCATGAGCATCTACAAATTTATTGTCGATCATGCTAATAATAACTCAACTCAACAGGCACAACTGTCAATGGCACTATTACCACTGTTTCACCTCAGATGAACACCGTCCTTCGCTCCGTGAAGATGACCCCTAAGGGGCGCGATATGATTCAACTCGAGTCTATCAACATTCGAGGCTCCACAATTCGTTATGTCGTCCTGCCCGATAGCTTGCCCATCGATACTTTGCTTGTGGATGACAACCCCAAGCCCAAGAACAAGGCCCGCAAAGAGTCAGACCGGGGACGTGGCGGTCGTGGAGGTGCCCGCGGTGGTCGGGGTATGGGTCGCGGTCGTGGTGGCGGCCGTGGCCGTGGTGGTGGCCGTGGCTTCTAAATGTCTTTACTATGTTTTCTATGACAGTGCAGACCGGCGTTCTTTCTAATCAGTGTTAAGATATACTGACTTTTTGTTATTCACCACAATGAAATAAAATATTGTGGAGCAACTTCAACTTCGAAGTATTGATACTATTGACACTGGCTTTTCGTTCGATGAGAAGATTGCGGCCTGCAAACCCCATAATTTACACGGAGTAAACCGCTCAAAAAATCAACTTTTTCATATGGATATTCTCCTTACAGCGTAGTGTATTGAGATCTGTTTAAATGGACCATACGCTAGTCGATTAACCTTTCTAACCAGCGGTATTTGTTTTTTTTTTTCTTCTAATTATTTTCCTAATGAATCACCTGATTATGCATGCATCACACGTGACATCTCATGCAGTTGGGCGTAGCTTGCCCTAATTTCCTCTTGTATATCCATGAGGGGCAATACATTCTATCCCGAGTCTTGAAACACAAACCGGAGCAACTGTCAGCCACCAGCCACTAGCAAAAACCACATTACTCCGCTAAATTCTCAAGGTTTTTTGCCCCAAAGTCCCGGAACCCTGGGTCATTGCCCATGCCGCTCCACCCCCACCTGGTCGGTCGATGGTCCCAAACTGATGGCTAGTAAGTATTATTGATATTCATTGAGATGAATACTAGCATATATCTCTCATTGGGCATACATTGGGGCCAGACATCCTACATTGGGTTCACAGCCTCAGTACAATGTTTGAGATACCTTGGCATCGCTATACTGGCGCTAACGGCATTGTAACCTCCTATCGCCGATGCTAAACACGAGATCCCTTCTTCACAGCCATCTAATATCGCAGAGGGTTACGAATGCAGCAGGCTATCAATCGAAAAGACATAGGGGCCAAAACGTAAATTGGGTCTACCGACTTGAACGAAGTGGAGATCAAGTTGAAAAGAGGCCATGCTTGAATGGGTTAACGGATCTCAAATTATCCGAAGAATATTGTATAATCTCTCATGGAGCCATACATTTCTTATAATTTTCCATGATCCGTGTGACGAACCCTCATGGCAATAGCTCTTCCAACGTTCTGATTAGAAAGGTCCTATGTCTATGGGAGCGGAGATTTCTCAGTTCCTACTAAACTATACCGTACTCATACAACACTCATAACCCCGATAACCTTGGCTGCCTTGGCTTCATTTCTAAACTAAAGACCCTGAATCGGCCATGAAATGCCAGACTAGGAATGACCCACCGGCAATTTCCTGTCGAATATTGCGTACAACGGAAACCGGAGGTGATAGTCCCGACTTTGTCGGTCAAACAAACGTACCACACTATATGATTTTGAATGATTATTCTCTTTATCTCTTTTAGGCTAGATTACTTCATTGCGAGATACACACTCAGGATTTAGTGTCAGCAAAGGTTAATCGAATATCTGATCATCTTTTGTGGGCCTTTGAACTTTGGAAGAAAGTTGAAGAAGTCTCAACAAGAACTACAGCCACGTCCAACAATGAATCCGTCAGCGAGGGGCTTCATTGTAGTGAAGATATCCAGCTTGAATCATTGATTGAGAAGTGGATTTAACCATGGAGCTACGAGGCTAGGGAATAATTAATACAAGGCTCCCAAGGTCGGTAATTGAAGTCTGAGATCGTCAATCATCTGTCTGGGGATCAAAACCCTCTCAAATCTACTGCAAAAAAGCATGCATATCTAACTAACTGACACGTCTCACTCCGTACACGTGTACAAAACCTGAACGACGCTAGCACACACTGCCGTGATCCTTCGAGCGATTCTCCCGAGGTCCGTAGCTCGGCCGAATCTCTCAATAAGGTTAAGATTAGCCTCTCCAGCCAGCTAATCAACATTCAACTCCTAATGTTGGTTTCTATAAGGGCATTATTGAAATATTGGCGTTGTGGTAGTGTTATGTATCATGCGGAGAAGTGCTGAATATAGCTATTCATTTCTGAAGAAGGAGGGAAGGAATGGGATCCCGAAAGAAATCTATCCTTTTACTCAGATTAGATTCAAAACCTGCTTAATCAACTGGGATGATGTGCCCTGGCCCTTGTAGCTGTCAAAGTTTAATTCCTAGCTGAAATTTGTAATGACCCTACTCAGATTTACCACTAGTCTTTACTAGTTAACTACCGACCTTGCATCCTTAACGCCACTCCTACCTTTCTACTAGTCATATCAAGTACTTTCTAATTATGCAGAAAAAGGTTTAGTCATAGATAACTCAGTATGGTTTTTACACAGTAGTCAGTTAGTCTAAGATGAGGGTTTTTATGATCGAGGCAGCATCATTTACATCATGCATAAGTACAAAGTACAAAGAGCTTTTTTTAGCTGACAAGGCTGCTCATAGATTGCTACCATCTATCAGAAGAACTAGTATCGCAATTTGACTGCTCATCGTTACTAATGACGGCGATATGCTTCGTAATTCTAAAATACTGTTCAAATGTTGTCTACCATTGTGGCGATATGATTCCAAGGTTCACAAGGCTATGAGCTTTTGTCCCAGGCAGGTACACCGACTCTGTCGACCACCTAGATGTTCATAGCGCCTTCTTCAATAGGAATGAAGCTTGGACCCCACAACAATACTTGGATACGCAGCGGGTATCACAAATCATTTGTGCAGGGATACCGTTCTTGTGGAAATGGGCGCAATCAATTAGGCTTTCCATCTCTCGGGTAGCTTGCCCTGTCACTGTAGGGCTTTGTGTGAAACAATCGATATAATTTGATCAGCCCGATCCAAGAATCCAAGAATTAAAAAGTATCTTTCCGTCTTCGGCAACTTCTAAATATACAGCGATGATGTACCAAGGTCTTTCCTTTTCGTTGATTTTACTTATCTTCTCAGGGGCCATACTTGAAGGATTCACAAAAAATAAAAACAAGCGTAATTGGTTTAGGAGCGGGTTAGTTGAGAATGTGCGCTAGGGTATCACTATGGCGTCAAGTGGCTTGATCTGCAACTTGGTTAAATGAGGTTTCTATTCACAGTCTAAGATGGTCTGGCCGCTCTCTTGGACCCAACAAGATGAATTTTCTTTGGGGGCTGTTGGGATAGAACTATGGGTGGCAACCATGAAGAAGTTCAACCCGACAGAAGCCTTGGCTTGTGAAAGTGACTGTTCTTCAGATCATAATGACTGGCTGAGTCAATTGATCTCATAGTGAAGAAATCATGATTCGTATAGAATGCTAAGAAGAGCAATTTCAGCCCAGACCCTAAGAGCCCTCTCTCCATATCCGCACGATAACCAACTTCTCCCAGCCGGCCTGCATACCACTCGACCCAGCCGTCTCAGCATTCCAGCCACTCCAAGCCCTAATACGCTTTTTAACATCTTCAGGTCGGTTCTGCTTACAAAGCAATACATAGGCCACTCCACGATCGGCCAAGACACCCGGAATGGCATCCAGTAGTCGATTTGTCGCCTCCATGCCATCTGCTCCGCCAGCATATGTCAATGACAAAAAGAATGACTCATTCTCAAATTTTGCAGAGTTATTCATAACTTCTATCACCGTAGGGTCATTCTCTGCAGCAGTCGGTAGGCGTGGCAATTCCGCTGTTGGCACGTACGGTGGGTTGAAAAGGAGGACATCAACACTTCCAGGACGAAGTGAAGTACACAAATCAGCCGTCAACGAGGCAATATGAGTAGATTGTAGATCAGAGTTACTCTGTAAGTCTGTGCTGGGAGTTTGCTGCTCTTTTATAGCTATTGCTACAGTCTCCCGCGTCGCGATGCAGGCATTGCGATTTACGTCTGTTCCCAGAGTGAGAATGTCGCGGCGTCCGAGGATCTTTTGTGAATGTGCTGCTACAAATGCTAGCACAACGCCAGATCCTGTGCCTACTTCAACGACCAGGGGTGTGGTGTTCACAGCGGAATTAGATTTTTGGAATCTTTCTGATAGCCATTTAGATTCGGACTCGGAAGACAGGGTGTCCAGGAAAAGATATGAGTCTTCTGATGGTTCGTAGATTGTGTCGAAGGAGACATGAGATGTGTCTGGCGTGGGTAACATGACCATTTTGTACTTTGAGTAACTTTTGTTGTAGCTTCAGCTTCAACTTCTGCGATGAGTGAATTTTCTTTGCGGCGCCAGGCTCTCTCTCAATCGACAGTAATAACCACGAAGAGAAAAGATTCAGATCAGCTATAGATCAGCTATAGATGAATAAATATTATATAGAAAGAAAGGTTAAAAAAAATTCCCAGAAATATCTGATCTGTAAAAAGTGCAATATAATTAGGCGCAAAAAAAAGTGAAGCAATTCAGACCCTATGATTCGCCGCACCCACTCTCCGCCTTCCGCTCAACCCTTCCTCAATTATGTCATTCTTCTCCCGAAATCCATTTTAACATCGACTTTTATTTAGTTAACATGCGTCTCGCTCAACGCCTCCTTATGGCCACGCCGGCCGCAATCGGCTCTAAATCAAGTCTCAGCGAGGCCCTGGCCATCCTCCCACCGATTCAGCTCTACCGACGCATCCTACGCGTTCATCGCCGCAAACTCGAGCCGGAAATGCGCATTCTTGGAGATTCGTATGTGAAGAAGGAATTTCAAGCACATCGGACCGCCGAAAATCCATTGCATATTGTAGGTCGTGGCGCGGACAAGAGAAGAAGACCGTGGAGACATGACTGATTCATCGTAGATCGGATTCTTGACTGAGTGGCAGCTTTACGCTCAGAAGTTGGAGGGTGATCAATGGGCGGGAGAAAAGCTGGATAAATCCAAGTTGGATAAGATGAGTGGTATGGCAATTTACTCATACTGATCTGTAAGCTTAGAGTAACTAATGTTTCTTAGACCAGCAACTCGGCCAGCTACTTGAGCTCATGCAGGCTCTTCGGAACGAGGGTGGTGAAGGCAATGACGAAGCAGTATAAGTACCTTGGAATGAGCCGTGAATAAATGGTATACCTAGGTCACATGAAAACGAAGAATGGCCAGGAAACTTTGGTCATATTCTCAGTATCATCCAGTATTGTTCAGGTGAACTGGCTCGAATGATCTCAATCCAGTTGTGCAATTATATTGGGAGATGCAGGCATTTCTCATTGTTTGCACGGCTGCTTTTGTACAATACGTGCGCATACATATCGTGCGCATACATATGAACCTAGGTAATTAGTTATGATGGAAACTATCAATATTGATGTATAGTAAGAATGCACCATTCTATCTCAAAAACAGAAGAAGGAACGGTGAAAAAGAGCTTATATTAAGGCAAGAATATCTTGGCAATTCAGAAAGGAGAAGGTACACTTTTTTTCATTCTTTTTTTCACTTAACCGCCTTAATTAGGGAGTCGTGAGATTATTTCTGTTTTGCTAAGAATACGAAGTTATGCGTTTGAAACCGACTACGCGCTTTTTTTTTTTTTTCTTTTTTGACAAATGAAATGAAAACGCTCCTTAGAGCGGTACAATAGTATAGAATTATAACCCTCCTAGGAGCTGGAGAGTTAATCTACAATATATTACCAATATCCTATCCTGTGTCTTACAGTGATGTCAGAAGTAATACAACGCTTCAATGGATATATGGGCGCTTTCCACATGTGCACTAATAGCCTTTACATAAATGATTCACTTGATATCTATTAGCTTTTCAACTGCATCGCTAATACACTTCCATGCTCATAGAATGACCTCGAGATTGTACCTAATAAAAGGAATCTGGATCTTAGGCATATTCGGACCGAAGAAACTCCACAAAAGTGTAGATCCCATGGATCCATTAAGTCAAATCATCTCAATACATTCCATTTATCTATCAAATGTGGAGATATCGGAACGGCGCGCCCTATAAATGACCAGTGGAGAAAAGGAGATAAAAAAAGATGACTCAGTTTAACCAGATATGTTAACTATATATAGTCAAGAACCCTAACTTTAGAACCTCGCAATATACATACACCTTTAAAGGTTACAACTCTCATCAACTATATCACTCAACCAAAACTTTTTTTTTTTTTAAAAAAAAAAAAAATGGGCGCTCTACTGGAAGACCCCTCAACCCGCATCCCAGCACCGCAAGCCCATGCAGAAGGCGCAAGCAGTCTAAAGCCCCGACGAACAACCCTCCCCAAAGCCTCCAATGCCGCCATAACAATTTACCCCATAATCAATGGCGCGGCTTCCCTGCCAAGAGACCTGATAAAGTTCCTACACGCAGAACTCAGCGCCGAGATTGAGCGCGGCTGTACATATCCTATGGAAACGCCGCAGGCGCTGGATGAGTTTGCCGATTACTGGTTTGGGACTTTTGCGACTGTGGCTGTTCTTGATGATGAAGCTGGTGGGGATGGGTTGGCGGAGGGGAGGGACTGGGAGAGGGTTTGCTTGGGGACTTTTTATATTAAGCCTAATTATCCTGGTATGTTGACACGATTGGCACCCTGGAAGAGGAGGGAAAGGAAAGTGTAGCTGATTTTGAGTGTAGGTCGTTGCTCGCATATATGTAATGGTGGTTTCATCGCTACCAGTGCGGCGAGGGGTAAGGGTGTTGGAGGACAGTTGGGTGAAGCGTATCTGGACTTTGCGCCGAAACTGGTATGTTGAACGCTTGCTGGAGTGATTATGGTGCGATGGGTGCTGAATTACTTTTTGATAGGGGTACAATTACTCTGTCTTCAACCTGGTCTTTGCGAATAATCCGGCTTCTATTCGTATCTGGGAGAAACTAGGTTTCAGCGTGATCGGGCGCGTTCCCAAGGCTGCTCGTTTGGCTAACAGTGAGGAATATGTTGATGCGCTGATCTTTGGACGGGAATTGGGAAATTGAGAAGAAACCCACTTGCCAACCTTGGAAGTTTGTACCAAAAATGTATGCAAGGGACCTTCCAAAGAAATATGGGCGATGTTGGTGTAGATAAATGATGCCCATGGTAGACTCAGATAAATGGTAACAAATTGCAAAAATTGTCAAAACACCAATTTAGAAGAATATTCCTATTGCAGACAGAAAGAAAAGGTAAAGTACAAGGGATAATATTCACAGTTTGTGAGGAGAGCAGAAGAAGGGGAAACAATTATACAAACAAATGCGAATAAGATAGAACGCCTGGACCATACTATGCAAAAATGGGGATATCACGCAATGCCTAGCCCTGCTCGATTGCACGAGGGCAAGTATAAGATCCAGGAGACACAATGCAGAAATAGACAAAATACGAAAGGGTTCAATATGGAAGAAGAGGAAGTTGCGAGGATTGAGAAATGTAGGGGGAGAGGAAAGGAGGATTTTTATGGCAAGGTGACAGGAAAATCATCCCCGCCAGCGTGGACGGGTGTCCACTTTCTGTGGTGTAGATTTGTCTTTGTCGTTTCGCTTGGGAAGAGGAAGTAGACTCATGCGGCGATTAGTAGATGAGTGACCGAGTGAGGTTCCTGGACGGGTCTGCCTAATTGGACTCTCAGGTTTGTTTTGAGCCTGTGAGACACTGCGGCCAAAGGAAGAGCCCACTCCCGCAAAACTCATTCGGTTGCGGGCAGAATTGACCAGACCGGTAGTGCTGGCGAGAGCAGAGGGCCTGCGAAGCCGGCTATATGGGGGCGGATCAAGCAAAGTGGACCGTGCAGGAGTAGGGCTTCGCGACGAAGACGCAAAGCGGGTCGACAAACGACTAAGTGAACGACCGGGACTGGGAGCTGGAGAAGAGATATCTCGTCCAGAGGGTGGGACGGTGGAAGCTGGCCGTCGATATGTGCCGCCACTGGAACCGCTCGACGTCTTGTAGGAAGTATACCCGGTGTCCAGATCGTTCAAATTGGTGCTAGCATTCCACCTGGGACGATTGGTCATTGGAGACGCCAGTGGGACACGAGACACTCTGCGCGACGCTGGTGTGGGGGTATAAAAGTTGCTTGGATTGTACGGTCCAGGGGATGTTAGCCCGCTGGGTTTGGGAATGGACGATTTCCGACCAGTATTCGCTGCGCCCTGCGGTATGCCAGAGAAGCGTCGTGAATTGGGCATTGTTGAGCGTCCCGCGGTGCTACCCGCTGAGCTTTCATGGCGACTTGAGCTATTAAGAGGTGTCGAAGCTCCCTTGTATCCGTTACCATATCCACTGTATCCGCTGTAACTAAGAACCACTGATGATGCAGGTGAGCTACTGGGAGTCTCGCTGGCACTGCCCACGATTGGGCTATCCAAGGTAAGGATACTGGAAATCGAATCCCGCAATTGGTGGCCTTTGACGATGTGCACGTCTTCAAGAGATGAGTCCATCACCTTGATACTGGCTTTTAGTGCATCCATGCGTGATTGCATGTCAGAAAGGAGCCGCAAGATTTCACCATTAACTGTCAGACGCTCATTCACGCCCTTCATCGTGATTGCGATCACCCGCTCGATGGCTGGCACGTAGTGCGTCTTTTTCGCCTCGTAATTCTCCATGCGCTTGGATAATGTCGACGGGCTATTAACCTGTGCATTCGCCTCCAGGCTTTCTTGTACTTTTGCAATGCTGCGCTCGACAGAATCAAACATCTTTTGCGCCTGACCGCCTGCATTGCGGAATACTATAATCCACTTGTCCTCTCCCAATTCCTTCCGCAGGGCCTCCGAGTCTTGCTCAAGCACCTTGTAACTGTCCTCCATACGGGTTCGTCGATCATCCAGTTCCTCGCATGCGCTAGGGAATATGGTCTCAGCCCTCGATTGAAACATGGACAGTCTCATAGGCAAGAAATCCAACGATGCACGCAGAGGTTGCATGCGGGCAAATAGAGCCATGAGATCGGAGTAGCTGGAATCGTCCTGCGGGGTCTTGATGACAGGTGTCGAGGAGGACATGGGCAAGACAGGTCCAAGGCTGAGTCTGTCCCTCAAGGGTGATCGTCCCTTTGTTGGAGGGTCTTCTACTATAGTCTCGAGTTCGTTGATATCGAGGCCACCACTGGGCTCAGTGGGCGGATCCATAAGAGCTTGGTGTCGCTTCTCTTCCATCTCAAATATTGTGCCGCTCAGGCTTTCGATCTCCGTCCCCACGTCCCCTAATACGTTGGACCACAGCTCCTCCCATTCCATGGCCAATTCCACTTGCTGTTTCACACCTCTCAGCTTTTTCTTGATGAGTCCCCAGTTCTGTAGAATACTCTCCATCTGTCTGACGATCGTTCTTAGGTCTTCTGCATCCACGTTGGCAATATCGTCTCGGAATTGCACATTTTCAATAGCTTGCGTGTATACATTGACAAGCGATTCAAATCTGGTAATGGCCTTATCCACCCCTTCGAGTCCTTCCCGGCCACCCGCGGCGGCCCACTCCACATCATCCTCAGAGTCTAAACCATTGAGCACATCTGATGCCTTTTGGATCCAAATTTGAATCTGTTCTGCAGAACCATTCAATGCCCGCACAGCCGCCAGGGCAGTGGAGATGTTTCTTATACTTGTCTCTAGCGTCACCGGGTGCGGGAGGGGTATAGATGTAAGTTGGGATAACTGGTTGCTGAAAGAGGCTCGTGAAAAGGAGAAGATCGATTCTGCGCGCTTATAAGATGACGAGATTGAATAGGTACGGGTCGCATCTTTCGGCGGGGGAAGGGGTGGCCCCTCTTCACTTCTCTTCGTGTCGTCGACGTATTTCTCAAAGTCGGTTCGAGTATCCTGTGGCTTGTTATTTGGTAGAGATTCTGATTCAAATCCTGCGCGCGACTGCGCGGGGGCAAGTTCCGCAACAGACATTGATGTCGCGAAGCAGTTGGCTTCTGGAGCGTGAGTAGCGGCCAGAACAGAAGGTTCTGGACCGTCGATAGCCGCGTCGTCGAAGTGATCTGTCCCTTGCTCCTCCTGCTCCTGTTCTTGCGCCTTATTTACCTCCTCTAGGAGATTGCAGCTAGGTAATGCTAGATTATTTGACTCCGTGCGCCTTTTAATTATTGACAATGGGGAGGTAAATGTTATGCCGCCCCAGGCTTGACCTCTCCGCTCGACTTTAATCGAAAGGTCTTGGTGGAGATTGTCTAGCTCCTTGAGGTGTTCTTCCGGGATCCGCCCGACTGCGTTGGGATTCCGGGGTGCACTGGTCACCTTCTGGCTGCTGTCAAGCAGCTTCACCCGAGCCGCAAGGGCAGGAGAAAGACGACGAAGGACGTTTGATGGTCGGAGGTTGGTCTTCTCGGCGCTGGACGGGGTAGTTGGGTCCGTTTCTTCGTCGTAATTACTGCTCCCGATACTCCACAGGGAGGATTTGGACCTTAGAGGACGTAGTGGGGGGCCGGATTCATTGGGGGAGCCGGAGATGGCAGGGGGTGATGATGATACAACAGATACAGCGGACGGCGTCGCGATATCAGTCGCTGTAGAAGGTGAGCCGTCCGATACAGCAAGCATTGGTACAAGCCGGGGGAGGCAGTTTGAAAGGAAAAAGGAAATGCGCAGGGATGAGCACAAGGAATGTTTCGTCTCGGGTAGAGGATAAGGCCCGTTCACCACTTTATTGTTAGGGAAGTTGGAGGACTACATGACTAACTGAGCAGGGTCCCATGGGAATATTAAGCCCTAGTAGAATCGGGATTGTAGTATATTGGGCAGCAACTAGGCTTTTGAGACATGAAACGAGGGTTACGACAATGGCCTGTTATTATGCCTGGTTTACTCTTATTGTACTGTCAGTAATTTAATCCGGGGGTTTCTACACACAGTTATAGTATGAAAATAATCCATTTTATGCTAATTAGTCCTATTAATTGAGATATATGTATCTTTTATCCATATTCAAGGTATCTCTCGATCTTAAAATATTTCAAGCTCAAAGTAGTACTGAAGCCAGTACAAGGGGCGATCTGCAACCCACCTGATTAGCCCTAGCGTCAACATTTGAAGAGACTATAGCGTTGGTTTTCTCATACCATCCATTATATTGGAAAAACATTCGTAAGGGAGGATATACGGAAGTAAATGGCAATATTCAATTAAATCATCAGTTGGGTTAAAAAAAAAGTCACAATATGCAAAATCCCAGAACAAACACCAAATGCGGGGAGAGACAGAGGCAATTTATAGGGTATCTAGCCAAATGTCCAGAAAAAAATCAATATAGAAACAAATCAGACTATTAAATCAAGCCAGCGCTTGGAGGTCGGCCAGGATTGGCGGCTTGCCAATCTCGAACCAGCTCTTCACGAACTATCTTGCACCAGGACAGCAATGCAGCGTCAAATTGCTCCCAGACAACTTTGCTGTTGCCTTGAACTACTCCCATCACATCCACCTGGAATCGTAGCTCCCACCGTAGCTCGGCGGCTTTGGCCCAGAATCGCAGATTCTCCGCTTGCCGGTACGGCTTAGCGATATCTTCATGGTAGGTGGTGATTTCACCAAACTGTCGTTTGGACTTCTTGATTGCAATGTTGTGCAATTGAACCAAAATGCGGCCATCTCGGAACCTCTCCATAAAGGTAGGGAGGGGTTCGAGGGATTCAGCGGCATCTTCGGCAATGGCCTCCCAGGTCGGGAGAGTGTTGCCCCCAGGCATGAGGCTGCGAAGGAAAGATTCTTCACGCGCTCGCTCGCGACCTCTCCAATCTCCGTTTGCCCAATCCCAATTCTCTCGTTCCTTTGCATCGAGAGCTTCTAGGGCCATCTCTTTGGATATCATCTTGCGCACACCAGCAATCCACCCATTCATCACCTCCCGATCATCAGGACGAAGTCCACAAACGAAATGTCGTGCTGCCCAACGCTTCAAAACTTCCAGGACGTTGAAAAGCTCCTGGCGAAGTTCTTTCTCGGTCTTAATTGACGCTAGGCGATCCGGGTGCTCATGGGCAAAGTAGTAGATTTTTGCTGATCGGATCGCCATGGTCATATCATCCAAGACGCACATTCCTTGTGCTTCTTCCTTATTCTGTGGAGTCGGGACCCGTGATGGGTCAGCCTCTGGTGTTTCGGGAACATCGTCAGGGGAGAGGCTCATTCGTGTTGGTTCTCGTAGTGTCAGCTCCTCTCCCTTCCAAACTTGTTCGATAACTCTTTCGGCCCTTGCTAGTGCAGTCTCAAGGTCTCGGCGTAAAGTGAGTAGATCCGGCGGAGGTGGGATATGGTGTGTTTTTATACTGTATGTGCTGACTGTGGGAGGGAGCATCACCTCTCCATCCTCATCTTCAAAGCCAGGGTCGTCATCCGTCATATCAGTCGGGCTGGCACTCAGGTCGTCGGTCTGTCCCTCATTCGGAGTGATGAGAAGCCTGGGTACATTGTTCCTACTTTTCTTCTTATATTCGCGGCTTCGGCCCGTCTTTCCATCCAGAACACCTGTTCGAGCAAAGTAGTACTGTAGGTGGGCAATGCTCCCAAGACTCATAACACTATCGCGATGTCGAGCAGACTCCGAAAATTCCGCCCCCAAGGCACGGATGTACCCATGGCGGCGAGACGATGTCGATACAGTGGATCGAGCATCAGTAGATGTCACGGAGGAGGCAGAGCGCGAAGAGCCGGATGAGAAGGTGCGGTCTGGGGAGGAATATGCTGAGATGGCGGGAGTTGCTGAAGCGAAGGGGTCTGGAGACACAGACCGAACAGGTGTGGGCTCAGGTTCTATGGACTGGGGCTCATCCATGGTGTTTATTTTTCAATAGAGCTACTCCGTATTCCGATTGGAGATAGGGAGCAGGATTTGTCGGAGAGCAATGTGTACCGAGGTTGATTGAATGTGTCTATGGCGGTGGGAGATTGGACGAGTGTGGAGAGAATAAAGGTGAAAGAACAAAAGAAGAAATGAGATGCGAGATGCAAGTATGGTCGCACGGACAACAACGGTCTGATGCGCGATCAACGGCCGAGAATCTTCTAAATTGGAACAAAAGGGGGGCGTTCTTCTCATCTCTTCTTCCCGGCTAACGGGAAACTAAAGGGGCGAGCGGGTCGGGCATACTCATCCTCATTTCCTTTTTACTAAGGACACATTGCATAACTGTTTACTATTTAATCGACACTGGAAATTATTAAAACATTCTAGAACACTTCATAAACATCGAGTTCAGTGTTGCTACATTACCAGGTCGGGTTTAGCCCCCCCGCGTTCCATGTTTTGTGTCGCGTTTCGTCCCAAATATTGGAGGTATAAAAAGAAGAGTAGAGCATCAATTCCATTGTACTATCGAAATTTGGACCAGCTCTAATGATCCCATATTTGGTGTATTCTCCGATTCGTCCACATGGTTCATTGTTGCCTGCAGCCTCCCCCAAGATCCCCCTTTTGATCAACCCATACTGGATATGGATCTTCGACTTTGCGCCACTTACTTCGGTAATCGGCTCTTGAGCAGAAATTATCATGTGTACACCCAAGTAAAGTTGTAGGTGGACAATGAACATGATGAACTCAGTGGAATCCCCATAAGAAAGGTACGTTTTTATCCAGAAGGAAATAAGTGGGGCGTATATCAGTGGGCTGCAAATGGATTCTAGCATGCTGCTTTCTCAATAAGGTCGAATTATCTATACCACTCTCAAAGGTCCAACCTTAGAAGCTTTATAGTAGGGTTACAATAATACATGGACCTCGCAATATGTCTATGACAGTCCACTATTTTTCTCGAAGTTCTTTCTCGATAGCTCTGGAGTAGAGCGGCAAAATGTCGGAGTAAATAAGCATCTGGATGGTATATATACCGTGACTAGAGGCTATGTGAACCTTGGAAGCTTTCAGTGCTTGTAGTGCTGCTGAGAAATCGGACCAAGAGATTGCACCAACAACACAAATATTCTGTGTTATTCTCTTGTAAAATATCTACCTAGGTAACTGTATGTAGCAGATTTCCTTTCCCCAGTGGGGCTTTCCTAAAACAGCTACCGCCGCTCTAATGAGGACGCTCAGAGTCAAACTCAGTGAGTAAATTTCAGTCCGGGCTCAGGCTCAGTAAGCTGCTTAGTCTCGCCATGTCACTGACAGACCGCTGAGGCCTAATAAACACTTAGTGACTACTCAGTGAGCGTGATTAGGCAGATCAGCTACTCCCTACTTACTCAGAGATCGATCAGTGCCATCTATTAAACACTCAGTCCTTTCTCACGCTATACTAAAAGGGGACTAGTTGAAACAGGGGACTGAATTTAGAACTATTTCTGATGGCTGATCTTTCCCTCTATACATATAAGATGACGCAAAAATTTGAATAGGTCTATATTTGTCGGTACACCGGTGGATTTAGAAAGGTCGATGAGAGGCTAACGCCCACTTCTAACACTTATCAGAGGAACCGCTTTACTCCCCTAGAATATCTTTGTGTTCTCTTGAAGTGGTTGTAAAATCTGGTTTTTCATTCATGGTGAGGACTAGCTATTTATCCTACAAGTTGCTCTTCTGTCTGAGAAGAATGTGTTCCATCATTTAAGACAGAAGAGTCGGTAAAGGCGGGACATTAATGTTATATGCATACTGTTCAAGGCTGTCGTTTGCGATGCACTCTGAACAGGAAGGGTCCACTGATGAAAGCGGAGTGAATAGTAATGAAAAAGGCAGTATATTCTTAACCAACTAGAGCGAGGGTGAGTGTATTACAAGGAACGGATCATCGTCGCTGTCATCGCCGGCACCAGCGCGAAGGTTCAAGAATGAATTTGGGTTGTTTTGTAACATAGATAGCACTTACACACGCGGACTCCTGTTTGATACGATCTTTCAATGGTTCCAAGAGGCATTTGCTGTCTCACGAACAGGTTTGTTGATCCGGCTACGGCAGTCAATTCGTTTAGGGATGTTGTTCCTGATCGAGACTCTGTAGGGGGGTCCTCATCAGGTACTTTAGCAACGGACTTGCTAGCTTTGCTTTAAAAGAGCTTTAATGTTAGGGATTACTTGATTTGATAAACCAATGATGCGACTATTTCAAGTACTCCGTTCACTCCACTTTTCTGCACGTACTAAGCCTATTGTGGAATTGAAGTATAGATGGCAGGACCACCAATGCTTCCCCGCAATCTTCCTCCTATGAATCATCACGATCTTTTTTGCGTGTGTTTTTAATCAGCTTTGTAAGCAGTTCGATACACCAAATCGCATATATTCGAGGCAAAAACCCCAAAAATTTGATGAGGAATGAAGTGCTAATCAGCCAGTCTTGGTCAACTCTTGCACAGTTTCTCCCGGTTTAGCATGGACGCCAAAAATCTCATAGGGTCAACATCATCTAGATAATTTGAATTTACCTAACTGATGTTAGTTGCAGTTTGAATAAAGACACGAAGCCATCATGCGCCGATCAGTCGTCCCCGAGCCTCGTGTGCCGCTCAGCCATCTGAATATCGCCGTCATGACTACCTAATCTGAACATCCTGCGGAGCACGAAGAGGGCATTGGAAGGGTTGAATTTCCAGAGAATAGCTGGGCCACCTGGTCTTGCTTGCTTGGTTCATTCCTGATGATTTTTCTTTCCTTTGGCTTTCAGACCGCTGGTAAGGAACTAACTTGCCTAGAGTCGTCATTTTTGAAGATATTTCTGATCTTCAGCAGTGAGATCCGTTCAGGAGTATATCAACACTCATCAATTGGCCAACTATAGTGTCAGTGATGTCGGGTGGATCACAGCGGTGCTTGTTTTCTTGACTTTATTCCTAGGAGTTCAAGTCGGGCCGCTCTTGGATCATTACGGCCCACGAGTCCTGATGGTCTGCAGCGGCATCGCCAATTTTCCGTCTTATATGCTGCTGGCAGAGTGTACAAATAATGGCATTTATGCTTTACCTTGGAGTTCTTGGGGTTGTTTCATCTGCCACCATTACTATCGTTTCAATTTCCGTTCTTAGTCACTGGTTCTATCAGCACCGTGGCCTAGCATCTGGTATTTGCATGGCAGGATTATCCGCCGGTGGAACTATTATCCCTTTGGTCCTTCGAACACTCTACGAGAGTTATGGCTGGCTATGGTCAATTCGGATAATTGCTTTTATGGCGCTTGGGAGCTACACAGTTGGAGCGTACATGGTCAAGGCAAGACTCCCGACTGATAGCAATAGCATGGTGGCGATTGATCTCCGAGCTTTGACTTCACCTCGGCTTTGCTTTCTTGCAGCCGCTGTATGGCGGCTGCCAGAACGTAAAGAGCTGTGGTATATGTCGATACCCACGTCGCCGTCATCCACAGTTTCGACGTCAGGTAGATTTATAATGCTTGCGAGGGCCATGAGGCCTCCTGCGTCTACTGTCAGAATTGGGCATACTGAATAGTAGCCTTATCTGGCTGGCTAATCTCTGCGTACCAAGCAGCCTACATAGAATTCCTGGAAATAGGCCTGCTCTACACGCCTTAGCTCCTCTCATTTTCTTGGTGTAGGATTTTTTTATATCTAGGTTATAATAAGGTTGCTAACATGGGCTATCTATTTAAGGGGTGTTTTAGCTCGGACAAAACTAAGGGTTATTCCAAGTTTTGGATTAATAAGATTTTTAAGTACCGATCAAAGAAGATATTATTCACCGATATACTTATATTTTTCTAATCCCTTGGCATGAGATTTATCACAGTAGCCACAAAACCTAGATAGGAGAAACACTGCTTTGTTGAAGGTGCCGCCATATCTGGTACATAGCGCATTGTAGATAAGATAACTGACGAGTATTCGATGATCCAGACGCCTCCTACTAAAACCTGTCGCAAGAAAATGATTTCATCATAATTGCTCATGAATCCATATCTCATCCCAAGATCAAGCATATGGCCTATTGACTGGACTAACAGCCCACGTAGGTCGTCTTCCTCTTCCATCTTGCTAGCAAACTGATGGGCTGGTACCCATGTTACATTCAGTTCCCTACAGCTTTAAGCTTCTCGGGGTCGAGGGGATTGGTTGCGAGTAACACGGAGTCTGGAATTAAACCATAGCATACGCCTGATGCTTTAAAATCCCCAAAGCGTACAGGAAATTTTCGCGCTTCTAGAATGTCGGCAACAACTTGCCCAATCCACTGGTTAAAGCGGTCCTGTAATCTAGTCTCATCACCAAGCTCGTATCTTTCTTCGTGGATATCACGGGATGAGAGGGCGTGATCAATGACTTTCTTCGACCATAAGTTGCCTTTATCGAAGCTTTAATGTCATCTGAGAAGTCCGCTCACTCTCTTAGAGGTCCTGTAAAAGTAATCCGATGTATTGCATAAGACATTGTGTGGTAATCACTCACTAGGAGGGGAGGGAGAGGCTCACGTATCACATATTTTGGTCGTAATTGGACCATTGATGCGGGTAATCCTAGCAGAGACCGTATTATATGTTAGTATTTATTGAGAAGCATAGTCTAGTTGGTCCCAAATAATGGTCCGAATCACTGAATAGAATAAGGTTTTCAAAAAAGAGACAGGACAGAAACAATTTCAGTGCTGGAGACGACATCAGATGGTTAGTGGGACAAATCAAAAGTAAAATATGCCTATAACAGAGTCTCATTTACAGAATGAAAAAACAGAGCTGGCATAGCCGCAGTTATTTCTTACGATGTTGGTTGATGGGAAGTGTTGGATGTATGTTAGTGCCTCGATCGAGTTGATAATGGTTTTGTTAACGCGAAGGTCCCTTCCGATTTTTTTCTTTCATTTTCCCCACCTTGGATCCAAGTATGCTTCTTCTAAGGTTATTAATATAAGGCCTTACAGGCTGTGTTGATAATCAATTAATCCATACTGTTCTTTTTTCGCTATCACTAGAATTGTATTGAGCCAAGCATAAGAAAACTAGTTCATACCGGAAGCGATGATCTCCCATGGATTCTTGAAAAATGACCCATTCTACCACCTCCATCCCTTGCTGTCGACCTCAAAATCATGGCACTTGAGATCATTGAAGGGATCATGTTCCACAAGTACCTGAGCGAGAGTAAAAGCGAGGTAAATTTTATCATCCCACTTCTTGGTGGTGGGAACCGCATGTTTGAATCCGGAGATATGCGTAAAGACTATTAGCTTATTTAATATTAGAAGTTTTGTTATAACATACATCTCTCCAGTGACCCAGTCGTAATGATCTTGAGATATGTAGGACTCATTGGCCGGCATCCGCACTCGACAATCTTCCTGCTTCTGATGCGTCTTCGTCTTGCTCCATTAACTGATGTCCAAGGAGCTCAGGAACAGCCGCACAGTTAAGCTTAAGAGTTTTCAGGGCAATCAACTCTGCATTCTCATATGGCTCAACAGCCTGAGCAGCACGGATTGTGGCCTTCCGAAATTCAGTTCTAACAGTAGGTATCTGCTTCCAAATTCGCATGGACGCAATATTCTCTTTCTCTTGGGTATCAGTGAGGCGGCACAAAAAATTTCCAGCAAAATATCCAGGGCCGAGGCCATCGGCGATGTCCCGCTCAGTTGAGGGGTTTGAGCGCTCATCAAGCTTCTCAATAATTTCCCAGGTCATAGGAGTTGGCTTTGGCGGTAATTCAATCTTAATCATAGTGCCTTCGAGACCATTAAGGAATTGTAGAGACCCAGTCACGATATCTTACTAGAAAAAGAAGAACATAAGATGTAGTTTTGTTTGAGTGGATGGATGAAAACTGAAGAAGGGTGAAGTTACGTCTCTTTCAACTCGTCATAAGTCACATGATTATATATTTACTTTCCACTACACTGCTCTGGGGAAGAACTCAACGATTACATATTCTCGAGTAACAGCATTGGGACAGGAAAGGTACTCATCTAAAAGTGAATTATATGTAAGCTGAAGCATATGCAGAACCGGTGATCATCTGAGCGCACTAATTCAATAAGGAAACCATTGATGAGGCTATATGAGCTTGCCCAGGAAATAGAATGGAGTTGCCGACTCTATCACAATCAGTGCAGCGTTCCTTTAACAGTTTTGCGAATAGGGATGATTCGGGGTATGTCTCGTTGGAGGATGCAGCGACGAGGGCCCGGTAGGCTGAAGGCTATCTTGATAGTTGGCGAGAAACTTCATAGACTGAAAATTTTTATTGTATGCGTTAATTCTCAATTTACTCTAAGATCAGTCAATTCTCGGTTTCTATGGCTAACTGATAAGAACTCTATCCTGATGCAGACCTTCGCCAGCTTGCTTATATAAGAGAAGAATGTTTATCCAATGTCCATTCCAGCTTGATATCCTTGAATAGGATACATATTGCATCCAGAAGTTAAGTTGGAGTGAAGTCTAGCGCACTTGTCAATAGAGCCGCTAGTTTTAAGCCCGGCGGTATCTATTGAATCATAGCCCTCGGTCTTTATATCATTTCCTTCTTATACAAGGGGGCTTGAACTTAAGACTAGGTTAGTTCTGACCTAGGGAGGGTTGTGAGAGGTGACCTCGCCTATTTCGCTCGCTCTTCTAACTAGGCTTTGAAGGCCTGGCGTAACTGAGCGGGGACTTCTTCGTCAGACATCTTATACGAGACGAGTGCTCGAATTAAGGAAAATTGTGTGAAGTCCCTGTCGCTCGAGAGAGCGATATTCGAATATCGTACTAAGAATAGTGTTCGAGTTTTACTGCGGTAAAACGGCGTGGAGTTTACTGCAGTATAACAGAGTTTGGCGAGCTCCAACTAACTGCTACTCAACACCGTAGACAATCCACCTATCTTGTTAGTGGATTCCTACTAGTTGAATATTGCAGTTGTTGTGAAGTCTGTCTTTTCATTGATGGAGAGAACTAGCTACTTATAGTATATGGGTGCTCTCCTGTCCTGGACGAATGTAACCATTCGTCCGAGACAGAAGAGACGGTGAAGACGAGACACCACTGTCGCGAATTCATATCGTTCAAGGATGCCGTGATATACTAATCTAGTTCTTCCGAGTGGTTATTCTGAACCGAGAGTTTTTGGCAGAAGCTTTTCGGCCAAAATACTTTCCGTATGTTGACAGCCTTGTTTCTCAGCTGTCGCAACAGATTCGGCCTTCCTACTCTAGGTACACCACTCCTATTCGATGAAAATGGCGATATTGTTATCTCCTAAGCAGGCGGTCAATACTATATGTGGTACCAAGAGACTGAGAGAGTCATGAGAATTCTTCTCGATGATCTTGGCGAGATTGTGAAATTGCTCCCCAAACGCGCTCTCATTATGCCTCAACACTTTCCCTGCCTGTCAAATGTCTTAATTAGGCTGTTAAATCTTGAAATGTTTTTGATAAACCCTCAGATTAAGAATTGGGATGAAATTGTAAAGCAACAAGGATTCTTGCTCTTATCGAGCTTCAGGTGCTGGTTTAAAAGCTTTCTCTGCTCATATACTTCATCTTAGGGCTCTTCACCCACTCTGTAATATATCTATTCGCTAGGTGGATGATTTTATCTTTCTTTATAATGAGGGTTCCACGCACATTGAAGAGTGCCAGTATGCATAGCGTGGTAACGTCCCTTAAGCTTTCCCGGGCCATCTCCAAAGAAATTCCGTAAAGAGCTTTAAACAAAGTTCTCACCCGCTCGGGGCTGGACCGGACTACCATCTAGCCTAGATGTCATGCATGATGGCTCCATCGTGGAGCCAATTCATTTTGAGCTTTGTGGATCCCTAGGTTCCAGTGTCCTGCAAGATCATTGAGGACAGAACAAAAGTACATCTGTTGTATGAGAAACAAGGTTGTCAACATATGGAAGCAGAACCGCTGAAGGCGGAAAGCATTTCGGCCGAAAACCTTCTGCCAAAGCGGTAACTCTCGGTTCGGAATAACTACTTGGAGGAACTAGATTAGTAGGGGGCTAATACGTTAACGACTTCGTGCCTTACAAAACAGGTGTCTACTCCACTTTCCTTACCCCTTTTTTATACCGCTTGACCGCCTTTCGTCATAATATATTTAAATACAAATCTCTCCAAATCCAATTCTTTTTTACACAGTCCTTGAGATCTGTATATTCTTAGGGTATTTAGGTGCTTCCCAAAGACTTGTTCGGAACAGGAGGAAAGTACAGGAAGCTGATTATCTTAACCTGTAAATAAGTAATAAAATTGCTCTAAATTCTTCTAAACAAACATGTATAGCGATAAAGTAAGATATCAGGTTAAGTATGCGAACCAGAATGTAAAACAGACTGAATACAAGAGTGTAAAATAGAGAGAGGAGAAATTGTGATGTGACGGTCTGTAAATATCGGATTAATAGTTATTCCATAATACTGGCAGAATATCTGGCAGAATGAATGATACCAAGGTTGGTGCCTTGAAAACCTGATTTATAAGGCATAGGACCGTCAACGTAGGCAGGGGGCCGTCAACGTATTAGCCCCCTTAGTGTATCACGGCATCCTTGAACGATATGCATTCATCGCAAACGACACCATTGAGCGATGTGCATTCGCGACAGTGGTGTTTCGTCTTCACCGTCTCTTCTGTCTCGAACGAATGTAACCATTCGTCCAGGACGGAGGAACCCTCATGTACTATAAGTAGCTAGTTCTCTCCGTCAATGAAAGACCAGACTTCACAACAACTGCAATATTCAACTAGTAGTAATCCACTACCGGATCGGTGGATTGTCTACGGTGTTGAGTAGCAGTTAGTTGGAGCTCATCAACTCTTTGGTGCTACTGCAGTAACCTCCACGCCGTTTTACCGCAGTAAAACTTGAACGCTATTCTCAGTTATAATATTCGAATATCACCCTTGCGAGCGACAAAATCTTCTGAACCATATTGATCAGCACCTAAACCTCCTCGATTCCTTAGCCTCTATTCCTTATTCGTATCTATATTGTAAGGGAAAAGAGTACGCTAGCGCCTTCCAAAGTTATCTCTCTGGCATTACTTTTATAATATCTACTTGATCGAGGAGCCGTAGAATAGTTGGGTTACTTAAAACGAAAGTGGTACCATTTTGACCCATTCCCACAAGAAGACTATGTCTATGCCTAGGTGCCCAGATGTTATGGCTGGTACTCTTCGGTAGTCAAATGCCGCGTTTAAGCCACCTATTGCGGCTGATAGCCTAAAGGCCCTACCTATCTCACCCTAAAGCAGTGATAGAACTCTCCTTAGGGTGAGGGTGAGCCGTAGAGAGTTGTTTCATTGAGCTTAGAACATTCATTCCAGAGGCGTTTCTAGTTACTAAACTAGGCCAAATTAGGGTGATCATCACATCCTAACTAGATTGGACTAGTTTTGCGCCAACGGTTATTCAAAGACTCTACCTCTGTAAATTCAGCCCCTTTCCCTTGATGGCCCCGTAATTAGGTGAATAAGTCGAAGTTACATATGAAAGACATGTCGATCCTATGATCGGCTGAGACATGCTTATATTAGGAACTTCTTCTCTTCGTATATTCTTCTTCCTTAGGAATGATCGACAGGGACTCCACGTTTAATCAACTAGATTCCGGAAGCTTCCATCCACCCATACTTCCATGTGAGGCCACCGTTATTTGCATGCCTTACTGCCATTGAATCTTTTAGTAGATGAATATTTATTATTATATAGTTACTGATATTTTTGGAATTTAGAAGTTTTCAATGTTGAAGGATGAAAGTCTACTTAGATTATAGAACTACCTAGGCTCCGCAGTAGATGCATTCTCCTTTTTTGCCACAAAATTTGTTCTTACTCCAGCGGTTCAAGGCAACCTTCATTAAGTGCAACGGTGTCTGTGCTCTGAAACAATATACATACTTAGTATGCTATGAGGAGCCTCGAAAAGAAGTTATTAAGGATAACTAGTGTTTTTGTATCCACAGCCTAAACATCATGGCTCTAAAGTCATCACCGTAATTTTAGCTAACTACATATTGCAAGACATTAGGCAGTTATGTAAATTGATCTGCGTCGGCCAAAAAAACTATAAAGTCCGCCAAATGCTCTATTATATCTTTTTTTCTCATCCAGAAATCAATTGACACTATCTCCTGCTATTTACCACAACTCTTCCTTCAAGCATCCTCCTTTGCAAAATCATCATGCAGTTCAAGAACATCATCGTTGCCGCCACCCTCGCAGCTAGCGCCGCTGCTCTGCCAGCTACCGCGAGTGGAAAAACCGCTTTCAGTGTTGTGGCCATTGATTCGGGCTCAGGTGTGCAGTACAAATCGTTCGGTGCGACCAAGGGCAGCCTTCTCGCTGGTCTACTTATCCAGGGCGCTGCTTGTGAGGGATTGATTGATAACATCAACTACGCCACCTTCTACATCGATAACGGTGCTCTATATCTGTACAATGATGGCACTTCCGCTGCCCAGGAGGTTTACGTCGACCGTTCTGGAACAGGTAGGTTGAATTGTGTTCCATTCATTCTAGATAAATTGAAACTAATCTATGCATCAATAAATAGGCCAGGGTATTATCAAATACACTTCTGACAGTGATAAGGTCTCCGCTAATGGAGAGCTCACGGGCTGGGCCATCTCTGAGTCATCCTTGCAGTTTGGTGGAAAGGATTTGATTGCTTGCCCAAACAGCATTCAAGGTTCTTGGTCTATCTGGGCAGATGCTGGAGTCTCAAACCCAGGACAGAACAAGGATTGTGTCGGTAAGTTATTACTTCCACTCTAAATTTATTATAAAGTCCTATTCTCTCTAACCAATTACTAAACAGGTATTGTTGCCCGTGTGAGCACTGACTCAACCCCAAACAGCTGTGTTTACAATGAGTAGAGCTTTGGAATGGCTCCCTCAAGAGCTCCTGATTACAGGCAAGTCACTTGCGAGACGGCAACTGAAACTACCTTGATCATGTGCAGATTTCTCTATCTATTTCTTTTTCTCTCTCACTGTTCATTTCAATACATTAATTTTAATTACTGTAATTCAAGTGACAAATTTATATCTTTTTGATTTGCTAGACCAGATTTTGATATCTACTGTAACGTGAGGCCCGCCAAATGGATCTTGGTACCCATTATCCACTCTTACTGCATGTCAAATGGAGGTCTGACTACCAAAGGAATAGTAGATTCTAGTGGGCAAATGAGAGTGCAGTACGCGTATGAAAAGTGTATGTGTGTGTGTGTAACTATGGTAGGAATCCCACAATGGGATTCCTCCATTCTACAATCCATACACATACATACTGCGTTCTCATTTGCCCACTAGAATCCACTATTCCTTGGTAGTCGACCTCCATTTGACACTGCAGTAAGATCACGTGACTCAGGGACCCTTCATCCTCAACTCCACGCCGACTTATTTACATCCTTTAAGGATTTTGTACACAGTTTGTGACCTAGCTAGTTCTGAATCTAATATTTTCTTCAGCCCTTCACATCTAGCACCCTCAGCTACTTTCCCAAGTGGCCATCCGCTTAGAATTTGGGGGCGTCAGTACAGCCTCAAATATTCAATATTAGGCAGAAGCCAAATACTTAGTTTCGCTGCCTGCTCATATATTTGTTTCCCCGTGGATTTATATTGTTTTCTATACAAATACTCACGGCATGTATGACCGAGCTGAACTCTTTTCCTTGCCTCCAGAATTGATCCTCTGTGTTTTCGGTTGGTTATCTACATTTCCGGATATACTACATCTTGCCGCAACCTGCCAAAAACACCGGCAGATATTCCACGAAAATATTGGCACTATCTATGATCATGTCAGCTCAAGGGCAATCCCCTGCCGACGCTATGCACGAATGCTTCTGGCAGATCAGGGTGGTTGTCAGCTAAATGAGACCATGACAGCTCAAGACTTTTTGCAAATGACCCGGAACGCGGTCGTGATGGAGAAATCTGTCGACCGCTTTAATGAGAAGGTCGTCAATCTGATGAGTAATACTTCCGCAGATTGTAAGTATTCATGCTATTCTAATATAGTAATTTTTTTTTGTCTAATAACTAAGTAGATCCTAATGAATATTTTGACCGGTACTTGAATGAATGTGAACGTCTACGATTCATTCGAGCAGTCTATCAACTATGGGGCCTATTTCTCCTTGATCCTGAAATAAGGGAATCAAGGATAAGCAGGCTTAAATACAAAGATATATACGCACTCTTGGATTTGACGCAAATCGCGGTGATCTGGGCTGACAGTTTATTGATCGTCGATAAAGAGATGCTGGACATTCAAAATAATGACTACGTGCTAGAACAGCTTAAATCTCAAGAACTAAAAGAAGCCGAGGAACGCATCTTTATGAAGTATTTCATTGAAACATGGTCTCGTCCTTCTTGGGGATTGTCAGATGGCTGGAAGGGCTATGTATCTATCTGGGAGGATTCGACCGAACAGTGGAAAGAAGCAGTTGTGGGTGAACCGGGTCCGGGTTTACCAATCGAGGACCATTGGTATGATACTTCTGACGAGGAGTTGGTGGGTTAGGCTTTGTCCTTTTATACCCATTGCTCACCCCGGCGACACCCGCCCGACTACTGGCTGCATTTAAGCCACACACCGGTCAGTTAGTAGTATAGTGGGTGACCACATGCGAGTCCTGACTGTTATATGTTTTTTGGGTTTTTCACATACAGCATTTTTCGGACTATCTCTAGAGTAATCAAGGTTGTCCAACTTTTGCATCTCCATCATTTCTATCCACTCACGCTAATAAACCAAAGCTACTTAGCTTCATGAATTGTAAAGTGGCGATCACAAGGCACCAAATGATGCATTATCCAACTCCATTGAATGAACTTGGATATACTTGGCAACGACTGGGAAATGAGGACAAAAGAGTAGATTTTATAGAACCTGGCATAAACTCTCCCTCCTACTTTGCCTAGTAGAGGATCGAACGCTGGCATTACAAGCTTTTCAAGAAATCTATCCCCCAGCCTCTGGTGGGTATTATCTGGAGCTCCTATATGCACTACAGAAATCGGGGGATGATATACTAACTATTTACTCCAATTCTGAATTCTTAATCCTGCAGATCTACGCACTTTATATAAGCTTTGATCTACGCCTTATTTACTTCAGTGGATGTTCTGAATATCTTCGTGAATCAGATATCAGGAGGTGATAAGGACGCAAAAACCGGCAAAATGACGCGTCTTTTAAATCTCATCTAGAGTACCTGGAAATTATTGGAAAGGAGAGGATAACTCACAGGAAAACTTCCAGCTACTGGAACATACTACTTGAGCGTTGTGCACTGCCTCATGACATTGATTCTCCTTAAGTCACGTCACTTTGCAAATCTTGGAAGTTATGACACAGTGACCTCTATATTTGTTGAAAATAATGGTGTTGAATCAGTATTGGACTGATTTCACTTGTTTAGTATTGGGGAATTATTATTGGTTGGGATAAGTGGAGAACTCAATTCTACTTAGTTTCAAGACAGATCTTACAACACTTTGCAGCTGCACTTAGAATTCATAAAGCATATGCAACACGTAAGACTCATCTAAATGGTATTATAGCACCTGGGCAGTCTTTGACTAGGGCCACTCATTATTCACGTTCAACCATCTCCAATCCTGTGCTATCAAACATCCATACAATCTTGACTGCCTGGACCCCGAGCAGAGAGTGCGAAAGATCTTCAAATCGGTCTGTATTGATACTTTCCCAGCTTTATTAATTCTAAATACCTTGACAGGGAAGCAGAGCCATTTACTTACAAAGCCGTGTGGTCTGAGTTATCTATAGAACCTTGGAATGACAAATTGTTCTGCTGTAGATTAATTATATACCTACCTAGGTAAGATGCATTGGCAACTAAGAGTCAAGAAGTAATATGACGTAGGTAACGAGGTTCAAAAACGTTTTGATGCTGTTTATTACAAAGGGACAGCTGAAGCATGACACGTTACTTTGCAAAAGTTAGCAAGCGCTTAGGCAAGACAGATTTCCGAAAAGTAACGAATTCACCGAGACCCCAAAGGGCCGGCAGAGGTTAGTCAGACTCGTATTCTATCTATATTTAGTTAAGACGAGAATCTATCGGTATCGGTGACTCTTTTTTCGGTGTTTTTACTCGTATCCCGGCTCCTCCCGATATCAGCTGTCCTTGTATGGTGAATTTCAATAGCAGGTTCGAAACAAGGGTTTTTGAATTATATAGACTAAATAGATAATAGGAGGAGTGTTGGATCTACTTCTCGCTCGTATATGTAAGTTGGATAATGCTGTATTGTAATCGGATCCTGTCGTCGGAGCCGCAAGTTCAAGGATCTTCAGAGTGGGGTGCATTGTTACTCTGACAGGCCAATCAGAGTGAAGTAGTAACAATCAGGTGCAAGTATCGTTTTCCATAGAATATTCGTTCTTCACGGGCCATACGGCAGAATTCGGGGAATCCGGGTTTGATAATGACTTTTCCAGGGTTTTAAATGGGTATAAAGGGTCAACATTGTTTGAACTCATCTATATTCTCATAATTTCCAAGTGTTCATTTTTAACATCGACCTGTACTCCGTACTCCACACAATTCTCATTTCATACACTTCACTCCTACACATTCCAAGGCTCATCATCAATGACCTTAATTTCAACATTATCAAATGCGGCTCTCCTACGGACTGCTATCAAACCACAGATACATCTTCTGGCCAGAGCATCTACAAGTATCACCATTTCCACATTCTGTTCATACCCTGCCAATACACGCTCCTCGCGCCTTTCACAGACGCGCCCGATATCTTCATCGAACCCGCATAATAAGACCCAAGAATTCTTCCCACCTCCACAAGCCGCGAGTGTGAAGGAGGTAGAAACAGCATGGGCGCACCCAATGTAAGTTATTTGAGGAAGATATTATCGTCCCTTGTGCAGTGAACTGACCCATATAGATACACGGAAGATCAAATGCGAGCTGTGCAGATCGCACATCGAAACGCAACAGAGTGGTCCGATAAGGTTGCTCTGAACGCGGTTCGATTCTTCCGGTTGGGAATGGATCTTATAACGGGGTACAAGCATGTAGAGCCAGGCCAGAAACTGGCCCCACGGTTCATAATGACGGAGAGGAAATGGCTGAATCGCATAATATTCCTAGAGAGTGTCGCAGGCGTACCCGGTATGGTGGGTGGGATGCTGCGGCATCTCCACAGTCTTCGACGAATGAAGAGAGACAATGGATGGTATGTAAAGACTACACTCCAACATGGACATCGGCACTAACACATCTACAGGATCGAAACACTTCTTGAAGAGGCATTCAACGAGCGCATGCATCTATTAACTTTTCTCAAAGTGGCTGAACCGGGCTGGTTCATGCGGCTTATGGTTCTGGGCGCTCAAGGAGTCTTCTTCAACGGCTTCTTCATTTCATATCTAATTTCTCCCCGGATCTGCCATAGATTCGTGGGTTATTTGGAAGAAGAGGCCGTTATCACCTACACCAGAGTCATTCAAGATCTTGAATCTGGAAAGCTTCCTGAGTGGGAGAATTATGACGCGCCGGATATTGCCGTTACTTATTGGGAAATGCCAGAGGGAAGGCGCAAGATGTCGGACTTGCTGATGTATGTCCGGGCTGACGAAGCTAAACATCGCGAGGTCAACCACACTCTCGGTAACCTCCACCAGGCTACTGATCCGAACCCGTATCAGACTCAATACCAGGATCCTACGAAGGATCACCCCACAAAGGGTATTGATACTCTGAGGGGGACTGGTTGGGAGCGAAGTGATGTTTTCTGAGAAATATATTCATTGTTAGTAAAAAGAGGAAGACCATCTCAACTCATTTGCATGATTACAGAGCATGATATCAAACCGTCCACTAATAGGCGCTTTTTGACGGTATTGAAAAATATTCTTCAAAGGATACTACCTATCAAAACACGTTTTCTCTAAGACATGCGGAATTTCTAAAGCAATGAAGACCAGAAAAGTATCCAGGGAGATTTATCGTAGATGAGTACTAACAGTCAATATCTTGAGCTGCTCCGACTGAGTTCAATATTGCCAGGCCTCTCTATTTAGATCAAACATCCGATACGTCTTCAGAGTGGAAAGCAGACTCAGAAGTCCGCATCACCAAAAAATCGCCTTCGCTCTGAATTGGCTCAATCTCCCTTTTCTCAAGTTTCACAACATGAGCGAAGCGAGGTCCCTTATTAATCTGGGTCAAAAGTTTCTTGACCGTCTCTTCGTCGCCCTGAACCTCTCCCTCGACCTATTAATTGACCAGTTAGACATGAGATAGTCGTGAGCTAGAATGATAAATGCACATACTTTTCCACAAATAGTATTTCTGACCCATCCTTTCAATTCATTGCTTCTCGCAGTTTTCTGGGTAAAGTCACTACATGATTGAATCGGGTTAATGTTTTTTTCAATTGCGTATGATGTCATTGACCGATATTAGAGGATAGGGCCTTTACCGGAAGCCAACACCTAGAATAGTTTAGTAAATGATCAAAGTTTCGAAGGCTATCTTATCCCAGCCCCTGAAAATTGCTGCATTGAACAGGTTTTGTATTTGAGCGTTGCAGACGGAATGATAGGTGAGGTTGGTTATTTTACCTTGTACGGTGCCGTGGACTTTGAAAGCAACCTAAAGAGGGTTAGCAAGCTGTATATTAGAAATAAATCTAGGCCTTTACGTACTCGCTTAGATGTCATCTCCAGGATAGTGGTTTAAGAAGATTATCGTTGTTTATGAGTGGAGAGAAATGGATGAAGTACGTGTCGAGTCAGGTGACTACTGTTGATATGGATTCTCAGCGAAGAGCTAATTATATATGTACCCAGATATCGATAGATGATAGGCCTAACAACGGGGCCTTTATATTCATTTGAATCATTTCCCTCATCGTTCTTCAGCTAAGGCAGGAGGATAATTAGTTGACAAATTTTTGGTAGCTTATGTCAATTTGATCAAGTAGGTCTAAAACTAACATTGAATGCAACTAAATCATCACAAAGCTGAAAAGAATCAAAAGATCCACAAGCTGCAGATACAAGCTACTTAGCTACAGCTACAACCATATGATAGTTCAAAGCGAGGAATAAAAGCAAAGTTAGCCAGACTCTGAGGTAAGAGAGCTATTTCTAAAGTGGAGCACGTTATTCTGCCAATTTTGACCGCTTCGAAAGAGCTGACAGGAATCCAATCAATGGAACATATGAGTCTATAAACCCCCAATTGCCATTGTCTGAAGTCATAGATCAAACAGTAAGCAAGCCAATTTCTATGTAACACTGCAATATGATTATAAATTGGGCAAATCGTGGAGAATAGGTATAGATCTGTATACCCCCGCGATGCTTAGCGCTAATTGGATCCGGGGAATACAGACTTACGACCTCGGCCCCTTAGTAAACATCGCATCTCACTCTACTTAATTCTTTGTGCAATGCCCCTGCCGTAAAATGCCTTCCATATTTTCTTGGTTTCGGCAAATCTATTCCCTCAATACCCTCGATACTCGCTTCACCTCCGCCAAAGTCGACACGCGACCTAACAAAGATCGGGCCAATATCGTAACAGCACCACTATGGCGCACCCCCGAATTCTTCGTCTATTACCTCTTCTTCATCACACTTGTTCCTTTGATGTTCAAGACCGTGATTGATGCCTCGAAGGGTGAGTGTCGTCTGAGAAGACCTGCCTTGCTTGGAGATGCTAACAGACCGTCACAATTCTATAGAAACTCTCCCAGTTTACTCTACCTACTCCCATCTTCTCTCGCCAGGATGGATTCCTGGCCGTCAAGTTGTGAGTACTGCGGTTTCATACTTTGTGATCTCAAATCTCATATCTCAGAAGCCAGACTGACACTTGCTGTCTTGACGTTAGGACAACTCCGATGCACAATACGCAAGCTTTCGCGACAATATTCCCTACCTTCTTCTACTCCTGATTCTTCATCCGATTGTCCGCCGAATCTACCAATCTGTGGCTCCCGTGAGCACCAGCACAACATTTTCTAACAATACAATCGCTGCTGGAGAAATACAATTGGAACAGCGAATGCGGTTTGACTTTGGATTTGGACTTATATTCATCACAGCCCTTCATGGAACCTCTGCCTTGAAGGTCTTTTTGATCTTGTTCATCAACTACAAAATCGGCAAAAATGTTTCTCGGTCCTACGCTCCGGCCATCACGTGGATATTCAATATCGGAATTTTGTTCGCCAACGAATTATGCGATGGGTATCAGCTAGAGAAGATTGCCTTGCTATTGACATCTGGGGCAAAGGAGTCTTCTCTGGTACAATGGGCTCAGACCCTAGATAGTTTCGGAGGCATCATGCCACGATGGGAGGTCATGTTTAAAATTACTGTGTTGCGCTTTATAAGTTTCAACATGGACTACCATTGGAGTGTCGGTTACCCATCGACAAGCCCGATTGAAGTACGTTCTTATATTGAAACCGACCCTGGTCTTCCTACCTCACGCCTAGACCTACAACTGACGAATTTTCCAAAGAAAAAAGAACTGGACCCCGCGACCCTCTCAGACCGGGAACGGGTCAAAATTCCAGCAGAGCCAGCTGCCTTCAACATGCGCAACTATGTTGCTTACGTTCTCTACTCGCCACTATATTTGGCTGGTCCGATCTTAACATTCAATGACTACGTGTCTCAACAACGACATACACCACCTTCTGTGACAGGCACCCGCACCGCTTTCTACGGAATCCGCCTCATTTTGACTCTGCTCTGTATGGAGCTGATCCTCCACTATATTTACGCGGTAGCAATTTCCAAAGCCTCGCCAGACTGGTCCCTCTTCACCCCAGGCCAACTCAGTATGCTTGCCTACTTCAACCTGCACATTATCTGGTTGAAACTTCTCATTCCGTGGCGATTCTTCCGTCTCTGGGCACTAATCGATGGAATCGACCCCCCGGAAAACATGGTTCGCTGCATGTCCAACAATTACTCAGCCTTAGGATTCTGGCGAGGCTGGCATCGCTCGTACAATCGCTGGATCGTCCGGTACATCTACATCCCTCTAGGCGGAGGTGGCGGTGGCCATAATCCCGCTGTAACAAAATCGTCCTCCGCGTCATCTGGCATTATGGACAAGATTATGCGCATCCGCAATTTTTTGCTCGTGTTCACTTTTGTTGCGCTTTGGCACGATATAAATCTACGTCTTCTGATGTGGGGATGGCTTATCACTCTCTTCGTTCTGCCCGAAGTTCTCGGCGGCATGCTCTTCCCTGCCCGCCGTTGGCGCTCACAGCCCACTGCATACCGTGTTTTGACAGGTATCGGGTCTGTGGGCAATGTCTTGATGATGGTGGTTGCTAATCTTGTTGGCTTTGCGCTTGGTCTGGATGGGCTGAAGGATCTCCTTGCTAGTCTGATGGGCTCTTATTCCGGTGTTGCATATATGATCTCGTGTTGTGTTGTTTTGTTCGTTGGCGTCCAAGTTATGTTTGAGATTCGCGAGGATGAGCTACGTGCGGGCATTAATCTGAAATGCTAAGCTTGCATCAGACTTGAGGCTGGATGGGCGTATCAGTACAAAATTTCTATTAATCTAATTGGAATGGGTGTTAGGCAAATACATGAAATCATACACTATTTCCTTCACAATATTTAGTCATATGTCAGGCTCTGTGGCTATTCAAAGCGCTAAAGATATCTCAATAATTGTAATTTTTTTATCGTTAATTCATGTAGTCATTAAGTGAAACAGATATAAAGACTATCCGTCTTGGCAGTAGTACAGCTGAAGCTCTCGATCTTTAAAAGAATGCTCCACATCTTGAATCTTCATGCACCCGGTAACACTCGAGCCCACAAGTCCGTAAATGACAGCTCTTGCACCGGATCTTGCCCCAGTACCCGCACATACAACAAAAGTTGCGCCCAGGCTTCGAAGACTGCGGACGACCAGTGCGAGCCGCATTGTACGAAAGAGGCGGCTCAGCTAACAGCAACCCAATAATGCGTTCAGAAGGAGCAGTAGGCGCATATGATTGTAGAAGTGGATCGTGATCATGTTCAGTCTTCAAGAGTTTCTGATCTCGTTCAACATCCTCATCGGCTTCAGTTTCGGCATCCGTTGTCTCAGGTGCAGTCGATGCGCGTTTTTTGCCCTTGCCCTTCGCAATACCAGGTGTAGAGCTCCGTTTTGCAGCAGCCGCAGCCGCTAACGCAGCTTTACTGCCCTTGGCGACAATATTGCCCTTGGCCAAGACAACTGTGCCTGTATTCCCTGAGCCCAACCCTACACCAGCACCAGCTGCGATAGCGGCTTCTTCGTCGTCGAGGTGATTCTTGAATGTTTTCTGTGATTGCAGAATGCGGCGCACGTTCGACGTCGTCTTTGTTCGTGTTCCGCGTGCGCCGGCCTCCTTGGCCTGCTTCACGGGCACGGGGATGTGGACATCGGTTTTGTTTTCGCGGTCTAGATCTGCGATATGTCGTGCTATGGTTGCTGCTCGGCGCGATGACATGTCGCCGCTTTTGCCTGCATTTTGAATTCCACGTTTGCGACTTAGTGCTGGAGCCATTGCGGCTTGTGGATTGGGTCGTCGCTCCGCAACATAGCTGTAGCCGGGGGTGCGAGCTGACCCTCGATCAGGCAGGACTTCGACACGGAACATGGTTTGTTTTGGATGACTTCGTATGTGTTGAAGGATTAAAGAGTGTTCGCGGTTCGAAGGTGTTGATTGAAGATGCGCATCACGTGCATTACTACTCGATAAGCTTTGTTTGTCTTGTTTGCTTTTACTATTCCCAATATAAAAACTTGGAGCTCCTTTGCAGGAATGAACATATTAATTTGCTTGCGGTCATTTCTTGTAATTAATTTAGCGACTCATGAGTTTTGGGGATTCGAAATTGTTAAATGATACTCGATACAAATTGGAGTTGTCGCGTTCAACTGAGAAAGCAGGGAGAGAAAACAGCCCAAACCAAACACCCGAGGTAGTAAGTACGATAGTTTTAAACAGGACAAAAATGAAAGAAAACCCGCCCCTATTTCTTCTGGAGCTTGTCCACCTTCGACTCCAGCTCTGTGATGTACGACTGAAGCTTCAAAGTAGCGTTCTGCAGAGCCTATATAGTATTAAATAGATAGTTCCTCCGAATGAACGGAGGAAAGATCATCACCTCATCAGCTTCTGGTTCAAAAACATTTTCAGGAAAGTAGTCAAGGTGTAAGACATACCGAGATATCAGCTGACAGCATCTCATTAGAGATACGGTAGTCTCCTAGCGCATAGAAGTAGACGGACGCGCCGGCAACAACAGCGCCAGTCAAGAAGCCAAAGACTCTGTTCAAGATTAGTTATAATTAAGCGAAACAAAGCTATATCAGCTAGAGAGACGAAAGGTAATACATACCCACCACGGAAAGCTCCAACAGGCTTTCGAGCAGGCAATGGAGCAGCTTCCCATTGAGGACGGGAAGTTGAGAAGGATCGGGCGACGCGCCCGCGTAGGGGGAGGAATACCTTTTGCTGCCAAGTCATTGTTGCACAAGTTCTAAGTTCATCAATATGGGATCGGACATAACAAAAGTTGATAATACTTACGAAATGTAGATGTAAAGTGGTAAAGACGTTGGATGAGGGAAGTGGCGTTTGAAAGTTGGGGTTCGGGCGGCCCCGGAAGTCTGGGGTTTCTATACTTACTGATCAGGTATACAAAAATATTATTCAGGTTATTTTGAGCACAATATCCACATAATTATAAATCTGAAACAGACCAACCAGTAAGAATTAGTTAAATTTTCATTGGATGAACCAACTACTATCTAGTGTTCAAATAGGAAGAAGTGGAAAAAATGATGTCTAAACTACCAAGTAACGCTAGGTACCTAGGGAGCCGACTTCCGTAATCCACATGGTGAGAGGGAATATTCATACAAAAATAATCAAGAATGAAAATGCATCGCTATAGGATTTATCTATGCAAAACTACGTATTGGTCAGTTCGCCATCGTAGTCTCGTTGAACAGATCTGCCAACAAATCATCCTGGCAAACATTCAATTCCAAATTCTCCATACCATACGTGTTTTCGAACACGTAGATGCTCAGTCGACCAAAGAAGGGTCGCAGCACTCTCTCAACAATCTCATCCTTTGCTGTTTCACGTATACTATCCAAAACGAGCCACGGTCTCCTCAGGCCGCCACGAGAAACAGGCTCTGATGATTCTTCCGTCGACGAGAGCACCCCACGAGAGCCAAAGCTTTGTGATACCTCATCCGCCAAGGCAATTGGTTCCCAGCGGTTGGGCGGATATACCGCATCAATAGTGTCTGTCACGAAGAGCCATTCTATGAGCTGGAAATCATCCGGGGCTATAATCAGAAGGGTATCTAACAACTTGCATGCTTGAAGCAGAGAGCAGGGGTTGTAGAGATCTGACTGTGATCCGGGAGCAACAGCCGAAACAGCTGCCTGTAGCTCAGTGTTGATCAATGGCCAGAATGGCGCGATGGCGGTGGCGGACGTCTTAAGGGAGAGCGCACGAAGAACCATGAAGATTTCTGCCCGTGTTTCGGATGATGGGGATGAAGAACTAGTGGCGGCAAGTAGATCTTCCATTTTCTGAAGCAGCCCTGGGAGCTCGCCTACAAAGTAATCCTCATTCGCAGACAATATCAGCAGCGCGATACGGCGAAGATTAAGTTGAGCCTTGCGATCTGCTTCAAGCCTTGCTGCAGACGCTCCCACGCCAAACATGATTCCAGCGGTGCTGGGAGGAGGAAGACGAGCCAGCAGCTCCGCCAAACGATCTCTGTCAGCGAGAACCCATTGCCGCAGAAGATCCATCCAACTATTCTTGATTAAATCTACCTGCAGGCCAAAGAATCGTGGGTCATTGAAGGCATCAGATATATCCTTCTTCCACACTTTCGATGCTGCTGGTACTTTCGACATTTGTTGAAAGAGTGACATGACATTGCGGTTCAAATTATTGGGGAAAAGGCGAGAGCGAATTAGTGGGCCAATCACATTAGTTGACACACCATTAATGGCGGTGCTAATACGGTCAGAGTCACCTAGGGTCATAATGAATGATGGCATGGAAACTGCGAGGATGCTAAGCATGTCGTCGGGCCCTGTGTGAGAGACTGCGGCCTGGTCGTAATCCGAAGACGATCTGACCAAGAGACCATTATCCTGGTTCAGACCGAGTGGTTTGCTCGTGAAAACAGCAGTAAGTAACCGTATAAGAACGTCCTATAGAGAAATCATCAGTAAGCTATTGCAAAGATGTCATGGTGAAGGTAACATACTCCAAGCTCTTTGCGCATGCGTTTGTCTTCACCAAAAGTTGTATTTTCCAGCTTTGCGCCTAAGATCGCTGCAAACTCAATGAGACGTGGGAGAATTTGTCGATGGGGGAATGGGTTGCTGAGGACATCGCGCAAGAAAGTTGTACAATCGGTCCAAATCTCGTCAAGAACATCATCATCTAGAGAGCGTGCATAAGCAACCAAGAAGCAAGCTAGCTCAGATTCAGAGAGACTGGAGGTTAAAGATGACTTTCGGCTTGGATCTAGTGCGATTGGATTCGTGCGAGTGTAGATCGCATTGAAAACGGCTGGGATGGTGATTTTCGACCGGGTTCCATCAAGAGTATGTAGGAGGCTGAATATTAGCGCCGCAGTCTCTGTTTCACACTTTGTCCACATCTCAACAAGCGTCTCGAGGCATTCGAGCGCTTCAGCTGCAAAGAAATGCTCCAAAATTCGTCGCGATCTGTTGCGCATACGCAGCGATGTGTACTGAAAAGATGCCATTGATTCAGAATCAGGAACAGAGCCCTTCCGATCACCTGCGCCCCACGCCCAAATAGAGAAACAAAGTCGAACGGCATCCTGGAAACAAAGTAGAACGGTCAAGCGGTCATTGGCAGTATTAGCACGGCCCTGATTTCCGTCTGAATGGAAAACTCCGGAGACCATGTTTCCGAAAAAGCCCTGAGTTTGATCTGGACTCTTGGCAGCTGGGACATTTGATTCTTCCACGAGAAGACGCTCGTGCGCGTTGGCAATACACGTTTCAAGACCAGTGAGCAGGGCGATAGTGACTTGCTCAGACCTATCTTGAGGCCAGTCTTTGATTTTTTGGAACGAGAGCTGTAGTCTGCCAAAAGAAGATGTGATCTCTCTGCAAAAGCATTCAACTAGCATGAGAACGATCTGGAAGATTGAATTTGAATATAGCGGAAGTACCTCGCACAACAACTCAATCCATTTGTCTATAATTGGTCGCGAACTTGCCGAGCTGATTCCCTTGAGCAAACAGTCCAAAAGTCGGTTTGGAGGAGGAATGTAAGGTAGAGGGATCACTCTATCTGGTTTGTCGCTACTGAATGATAGTATGGAAGGACTTTTCAAGCGATCGCGAGAGTTGGATCGTTGATGTTTGGATCGAGGTGGTGGAGGCGCGTAAGCTTGGGCAAATCGTACTTTCAGAGCCGCGAGGAGTGTATCGATGATGGCGCCCTGTACGGCGATGCTACCACCATCGTCTGATGCGATGAGAAGACGATCCACCAAGAGATCATCAATTCCAGTTTCAACCAAATCATCTGCGCCGGGACCCAACAAGAGTTGACGCAGTAGATGAAGGGCATTCTTCTGCAAGCGGTCGGACTCTAAGTTGACCTTGAGGGTCTTCGGAACATGGTTATTGATTATTTTGAGAGACGCCTCAAACATGGTCGTGTGAAGACTTTTCACGCTTGGGTTATCTGCTTTCGGTTAGTTAAGTCCGGACAATATTATCAATGAGTGTAAGCCTTACCTGTGGGTTTTCGTGTATCAACATTTTTTTCCGCATGTCCCGAAGTCTGGGTAAGAAGAATAATCCATCCATTTTGGGACAGAGAGGAGATGATATTGGAAGTTGTTCGCAACATGTAGTTGCACTCTTTATAATCATCCGGAGAAATAGACTGGCTATCTTCAAGAACTGTACCGAGAGTATCTTTCTCGAACAGTTCGTCAAACTTGGAGACAAGAATAAGGAAAATTCTGAGATAATTTTTAGCTGATAATATCTTGGATTTCCTGGTATTTGGGTGCTCTTACCGCTGAATAGAGGGCAGGTCTTGAAGCCACTGTTGGACACTTTGAGGAATATCACCTGCGGCCTGGGATAAGAGGTCAAGTACAATGAAAAGAGGTCGCTCCAGCATAGAGCATTGGTAGGAGAACAAATTTCCTCCAACCTCTAGAACCTGCTTTGGTAGCTGCTCATGTGCACCATGGTGGCTGTGGTTCCATAGCACATAGAACTTTTCCGCTTGATCCTCGGATGAGAGATGATAAGAGCCCGAAACTGGCAAATTCACCATCAAAGAAGTTATAGATGCCTCAACGAGGTGATCAGCCCATGAGATTGAATGCAGAAGCCATAAGCAACGCACTGCCTCAACATGGAACTTCGGGCTGAGCGGCGACATATAGAGCCACAGTTGACTGACTGCATTAGGTATCAAGTCACACGCATTCTCGTAGCTTAAATAGAAGCCTGGACTGTGGATGAAGAACATATTCGTCACTGCGGATGTGATCGAAGATATGACAGCAAAAGCAGCTGTACAGGGAGCGCTTGTCAAATTGGATAGCTTTTGGGAAATCGCTTCATATAGCCGATTGTCACGAAGAATGCGGGATTTCGGAAGTTTCATGAGGAACGTCACTAGTAGGTCAAGATTGTCGTGAAGAGATGATGCATCATCATTTTCCAAGGCTTCGACAGACAAATCATGGGATTCTCGAATGATCATCTCGCTGATCTGTTTGGGTGCAAATGGCAAGGGTGGGAGATCAAGGTTGTTCTTACTGCTCTCGTAGAAACTGTGGACTTTCTTCAATATGTCAATGTTTCGAGGTTTCCAATCACCGGCAGATGGCTTCTCCTGTCCTGACTTCCTTGAAAATGCTTTCTCGATAAGCAGCGGGGTCAGTGACCTTAAAATAGTATGCAAAGCATTAGCTGCAGCTTGTGTGTTAACATTGATTCCTGCTGAACGTGAACGGGTCGAAATTTCTCGGATTTTCACAAGAACCGATAAAGTCAATAGAGGAACATGAATCTGAAGCATGTCTTCCTCTCTGACATTGAAGTTATCAAGAATGAAACGAGCAAGACCAAGGTTGCGCAAGACCTCGTCGTTGGCTCGCTCCATATCGCTTGGACGGAAATCCACAAGATGTAGAAGTTCTGAGAAGATAACGCTGCTTTCCACTCCGTCAAAAAAGGCGCTGGCACTACGAAAGACCTCTTCAAATTGATTTTTCGGTGCTTCTTTCTCGAATGCCTGAACGCTATGTATCGTGGGTAGAAAAACTGCCGGGACAATGTATCCACCGATTTCCCAGCGATCCATCAATGAGAGGGTAATTCTGAAAGGTTTAGTTCGCTCCGATGGAACACTTGGGGCCTGATTGATCATTTTCAAAAGACCAGCAACTAGAGGCTGTAGGCCTACTCGGCTGAAATATTGTGACTGGGATAGCTCCTTGTTATCAACAACAGAAGCTGAATGACCGTCCATTGAAGAGCGATCATTTGCAGGCTCTGGACCAAGGAACCAAGCCCAGAGACGACGATTTAAGCCCATATCTCGCCGAGTGACCACGCCCACAGCAGCAATAATCAATGTTTGAAGATCGGTGTCTGCAATACGCGACTGTAAGACTGGTGAGCTCAAAGGCAAGTGGCTCACAAGGAGATCGAGGAAGTTTCGTTGGACCAAGGCCTGTTCATCTAGTAGACCTGAGGCAAAACATCTAATTAGCAGGCCGGGCTCGGGAAGCATCACCGATTCGGCTGCCGCTAGCATTTCAGGTGAAACTTCCTTCACATCTCCAATATCAGTCAAACTCTGCCGACGTTCCGCAATACCTAGTCTAGGAAGATAGCGGTTCAAGTAGGCAAGGACGCCGAGTCGACGGCTGGCGTTTGTGATTGACGCCAGAAAAAGGCATTGCCAAAAATATTGCCCACATGCACCAGTGTCTGGTGTCTTCTGTGTTTCGAGGCGTCCGGCAACATCCCGAAATTTGTTAAGGATACGTAGAGTTGTCTCAAAGTCATCGCTTGTCTCTTCTTCCAACCCTGGTAGTAAGGCTAGAATGATTGCTTTCAGCGCTGGACGAATAGCCCATGGTTCCAGATCAACAATATAGCCTTCAACAAGCGACAAGAATAGTGGGCGAACGGTGAGAGAGGCAAATGTCAAAGTTGGCGCAATGCCTGGAAGGTACAATGGCAGATCGTTGGCCAATCCCTCGAGCTAAGTTAAAAAACAGCCAGTTAAAAATCAACTCTCTTTGGCCCTAGTATCGGCAGCGCACATACCTTTATCAGTCCAAATATGTACGTGTATACTTCGAGGGCTTTCTGGTGGACACCGGACGGCAATGACGGGTTCAGGCATTGCGCCAGTCGTTTCGCAACTAACACTTTGTGGGGTATAACGGGCTGGTCCGGTGGGTGGGTTTGGATTGCCTAGCCAAGGGCCATAAGAAGATGATTCTATGCTCTTTGCGCGCAAACTCACCTTCAGTAGGCGACTGAGAAAGGAGATGTAGTCGGCCCATTCTTGCAGGGCGTTATCGAATAGCGACAACGCTCGCTCAACGCTCGAGGCATAGCGGCGATAATTCTTGTCTTTTTTAATGGATCCTTTGTATTGCAAGTATAATTAGATTATGCTGGCGAAGATTGAGGTGGAGGAGACCGACCTTGCTTTCCCTGTAAGCGCGTGCGCGTCAAGGAGCTCTCGGAGCTTGCGGGGGAGTTCGACCTCGGAAAGGCACTAGGATCAAGGCTCATGATGCCAATTTGGAACTTCAAATTGATGCAAAACCTGCTGACTGCACACCTTCATATTTAAGACATTGAGCAACCCTGGTAGAAAGGGGGAGTTGTTGAAGGGCCACGCAGGCGGCGTTGGATGTTTTGTTCCGCCTTGGGAACACTAGTTAACCGACCTACGTCAGCGACTTTCGTACTACTGTCAACCAACACCATTGAACTCGGTTTTTATCCTAATCCACGTCAGTGGACAAATCTAGTAATCTTCGGGATTGATAATGCGATTTTCACTCTTCGATGTCCCGCGCCCAGCGATTCCATCCTAGAACCGCATGCATATAGCGGGGATAAACATGCCCCAGCAACAGAACAACCCGGATGGGCCTATTGACGAGGACTCAACGGCTCCCAATGATTCCACAGTAATTAACTGTCACAGGAATCGCAGTTCAAGTCCTGAGGGGCCTCGTCCACCTCTACCACCGCGGCCAAACACCTTAAACCTACTGAACGACGAAGCGGCGTCTTTGTCAACTCTACAGGCTGGGGCTACTACTGCGGTTTCCTGCGAAGAAGTAGACGCACAGTCCTCAGATGCTGGGGGAAGTGTCTATTCAACATTAGCGATCCGTAGTGTTGGTCGCGATCTGAAATCTAGGGCAAGTCTGAGTCAGTTGGCCAGTCGTCGGGGGAGTGAAACATGGGACTCAGCAAGCATTCGAAGCGTACAGAACGGAGATGTCGGAGACGTGGAAGCACTATTCAAGGATTTTGTTATCAAATCGTCCGATGATAACTCTGATTCTGCAAGTTTGCTCCACTTCCCTGAATTTCCAGCCGATGATATAGACGATGAAGAGTTCATGCATGAGTTTGAGCCGGTCGGAGAAGTTGATACGGAAGCCAGCAATGAAGGTGACATAAACATAATTCTTGAATCTATTGTCGCCTGCATCTCACTAACTTGCGGTAGATATCATCCTTCAAAACTTCAAAGACAAGCGAAAGCACTATCTGATTCTTTCGGCTGCTGGAAAGCCAATATGGACACGGCATGGTGACGGTGGCCTTATATCAGGCTACGTGGGAGTCATTCTGACCATCATATCCTTTTATGAAGAATCCGGTAGTCACCTGCGGAGCTTTTCAGCGGGGGACACCAAGTTTGTCATTGTCACTCACGGTCCTTTACATCTGGTTGCGATTAGCCGCATGATGGAGAGTGATACCCTGCTTCGACTTCAGCTGGAAGCTTTGTATATGCAAATTCTATCCACACTGACCCTTCCATCCTTAAGTCATCTCTTTTCTGTCCGACCATCTACCGATTTGAAGCGACCACTACAGGGATCGGAGACTCTTCTTTCGTCCTTGGCCGACAGCTTTACACGTGGATCACCATCCACCTTACTTTCTGCCCTGGAATGTCTCAAGATTCGCAAGCTACACCGTCAGAATATCAATAATGCGCTTCTAAAATCCAAAGCCAAAAGTCTTCTTTACGGATTGGTGGTCGCAGGAGGTCGGCTTGTAAGTGTCGTGCGGCCGAAAAAACATTCATTACATCCGGGCGACCTGCAACTCTTATTTAACATGATCTTCGAAGCCGACGGTGTCAAGGCTGGAGGCGGCGAAAGCTGGATTCCTGTATGCCTTCCAGGGTTCAATCACAGTGGCTACTTGTATATGTATGTCAGTTTCCTCGACCTTCGAAGCGAGGTTAGCGACAATGAGGAAATTTCTAAAGATAAATCCGTCGCCATCGTCTTGATTAGTCCGGATAAGGAGAGTTTCTTTGAGATGCAAGAGATGCGTGACTCCCTTGTCGAGGTAGGCATGAAAACCATCAAAGACAGTACAATATCACTGACAAGTAATGCAGCTACTGGAGAAAAACGGCAGTCTCAAAGTGATCAGAGATGCAGTCGACCAGGGCCGACCAGCTCCTACCGACATCGTACCTGGGACGGTTTTGAGGCATTTCTTATACAAATCACGCGGTAACGTGCAGTTTACAATGTCATCTGATGCTCTTGAATTCACGTCAATATCTCGACGACGAAGGTTAGCACATTTCTCCTTTTTCATTACGAATACAGATGTATCTAATGCCCTGTAGATTGATGTCAATATACAACAATATCCATTCAAGCATCCACTCCAGGAACACTAATGCCAGAATCCATCATTGCGTTTCACGATCAGCGAGCTCATTTGCCTGGGTCACGCCAGTCTTTGAGCTTTATTGTGTCGCCGAACCAAACGCAAATCGAAATGCAATACTACAAAGTGCTAACAAAATTGCCCAGTGGGTGCAACAAGAGGAGGAAAGGCTGTTTATCATCGGTGGTGCGGTATGTACAAAATTCGAGGCTGTTAACTTGAACCGAAATTTGACAATGACGAATATCGTAGGTTTTCTAAGCTCTTAAGCATCATTAACTTGAATTCGCTCGAGAAACTAATTATAGTGTCCATCTGAGAACCTTCATGGCCGGTAAATTGTCCTTATTTTACGTATTTAGGTAGGTATCATACCCGATTTGTATTCTCCTTAAGGGTGCACCGCGTAGTATATTATGCGTATGCATGTACAGTATATCCTGGGCCTCGGAAGTATCATCTCGGTCCTCTCCTTGGAAGACCCCAATTTAATCAATAGGGTCATCCCGAAGGTTGAAGAGCTGGCGCATCACCACGTCTGACCTACTCCGCAGACCATCATGATATATAGTGTTGGTGATGAACTGTTTGATTCCCTTGACTTTGGCAGCCGTGCTGGAGGCCAGACCAAAATGCACGTACATATCATCAATGTAGGTAGCTGCATAGACCGGGACCTTATTCTTTGCTAGTTGAGCCTCGTCGTACAGAGTAGGCCAATCATCAGCAGTAGCCAGGATTTCTGCAACCTCTCGAAGTTGCTTCAGTTCGGAGTATGACTCGAACATATCCTTGAAGACCTTAACATGGGGGTCAGTGTCAAATAAAATCCACCTGGGGCATAGACATTGCTTTCCAGATGACATACCATTTCTCCGGTAAAGTAAATCTCGGGTTTCGATTCATCGATATGAAACTGTGGAGACTCGGCACGTCGTCTATCCGCTGACCAGCGCGATGATTTGCTTATTGCGGGTTAGCATGCTCATTTTGTAATTCCCGAGCTTGCTTACCCCTGGCAATAAATCGATTCATGCAGAAGGGCGTAGATGATGTTTTTGTCCATTCCGCCATTACTATCAACGACAGCAAGTGTTGGAACTGTGAGGTAACCAAATACTTCCAGGTCATTCCAAGCGCGAAGAACAATCTCTGAAAAATAGAAGTACCTAAGTAAGCAGTCTGTCTCATCAATTAACAAGCGATGTTAGCCTACCGTGCAAGCTGTCGATACCACCTATGCGCAGTTAGCTAGTCAGCTTCATTCTTTCAATTTCGAGGTTCCTATATCGTACCATGGAATCCGAGAAGAATGCCAAGTTGTTGGAAACGAGCCGGAGTCAAGAATCCTGACGGCAAGGTGACCTCGTTTGTTGCTAGGTAATTCATGATCTTCTTCACTCGCAGAGCATCACCAGGGAACTTGGCATAGTATGCCTGATTCCTCTGTTCAACCTTTTCTGCTTCCATATCAGTATGCATTCTAATTGATTGGACAAAATTACAATTACCATATGTTCGCGCGTAAACAGCATCCGGCTCAGTGACAAGCGGCGGCAATCCACCACAGAGGAAGGCTTCTTTCAGAGCTTCTGGGCTGAATGTTGAATGCGTAAATGTCAACTCTTTTGATGCTGAAAATTCAGACCAACCATAAAAAAGGGGTTCGTCTGACATACAATTTAGACAGGTAAGTAACTGCACAGAAGCCGCCAAAGCTTTGTCCGATAATGCTCCATTTGCGCTGTTCCTCGGGGTAGTCTTCAGTCAAATAGTGACGAATTGCTTCACAGTCACGGACAATGTTGTCAGCTCGGAAGTTCTTGAGATACTCAGCCTGTTTGATAGCATCACCCTGACGGGCAAGGGTTCCTGCGGTGATGGTCGAGCTAAGACCTGTTCCACGTTGATCCAAAAACAGAACCTAGGAATACATTTCAGCTCAAAAAATAAATAGTTTGCTGTGGAAAATTGGCACGTACCTGGTACCCTTTTGTCAGAGCTGGCTCGATCCAGCCATAGTTCTGCGGGGCGCCACATCCAAAACCCGGTCCCCCTTGAAGATAAACGAGCCAGGGTAGTTTTGGTTCTTCTTTGACAGGTTCGACGGGTTTGTTTAGATTGCACACACTGCGGGCAAATAGCCTTAACTTATCGTCGTTTGGCTTGCTGTAGTCCACAGGGACCTCAAAAAACAGCTCCGCCACCCGAAGCTTGCCTGATATCCAATTAGCATGAATTTAGACGTTTGAGAGTGGGTTCGGGGACTTGGATTTCAATCTGAATTACGCACCAGGCACGTTATGGAACTGTCGATCAATAAGTTTGGCCGCCATTATTGAAACGGTATTAGTAGAAGTAGAGGTTGTTGTTCCTGAGAGAATCCACTCCACCTAATCTTGGCGTCAACTATGGCCAATCAATCGAATTATCACCTAATATCTGATTATATTGAATCAAAAAGGGTACTATGCCTAGACTTCAAGTCTGTCCTTCCAAATGTCACGATGTTTGCAGGTTATTCACGGCCCTGCTTGATACCTATATTCAGCGATGGGCACTTTTACTGCTGTTGCGAGAATCTAGGTAATGGTCTTGAATAATATTGAATTGTCTGTGAATGGAACATCTCAGGTACTTTGTAATTGAAGAGTCAATGAAAAGCCTCAGGATATGGCAAAACAGATATAGAGATACCTAAGTATGCTCTTGTCCTCGCGTCTCAAATCCAAATTTCCAATTGAATCCACGACGTAACTTCGTAAATGCAAATGTAATCATCATCTCATCTCATAGAGCCAAGTCTTTTACGCTAGGGGAAACAGAAAAACAAGGGCAACGGTCTAACCATACATTCCATCCCACTCCTCCTTTTCATCCTCTTCAACGAGCTTCTTGAGCGCCTCAGCCTTCTCTCGCAGCTGCTTTGCAAAATCCGTGCGATCCAAAGGACAAGTTCCACGTAGCCGCAACCAAGGCCGCACGCAATCCAAATCAAAAAGGTGAGTCGGATGGCAGGGCAAGCGCACGACGAGCGGGTATTCGTCTTCCAAGAACGGAGTATTGCAAATGGGGCAGGTTTGCGAAGTATCCAATGACGATTTTGGGACACGATCGAGTACTATATCACGGAAATGGCGAGGTCAGAAAAAATAGCTGCAGATGAGATATCCAAATAGGGCAGTTAGGGGGAAGATCTCTCTGGTTACTCACCATCGCAAAACTCCTCGCTCACGCCCTCTACTTGTCTAGGTGGAGTATCAGCTTCGCTGAGGAGGGTCTGGATCATTTGAGTCAAAAGACCCTCGCTGTCTTGCGTCGTTCCCTCCGTTGCTGTGCCTTCTGGTGCCTCACGGCGCATAACTTCCAACGCCTCGGCAAGTGAGAAGAAAGCTGCGCTCACATCTCCTGGTACAGGGACAGCATGGGGCCGGGAGTCAGGGCCTGGTGTGATTTCAGAGAGGGTTGCGAAGAAGGTTGAGAGGTCTGGTCGGCGTCGGCGACCAGGCTGAGAAGCTGCGGAGGGCTCAGTGGTATTATGCTCAACTGTGGCGTAATATCAATTAGTTAAAATAATTCGAGACATCTACTTGTATTCTGAGGGTCAGTTTGGAGGCGTTCATACTCTCGTAGTTCGACATGGTGTGATTTATTTAGGTGTGGAGGAAGCGGAGAGCAAGAGAAAGATTGTGCGGGGAGAGCCCGCTGGTGGTTCGATGGCGCAAATATGTTTGTCCGTTTGCACCTTCGGCTGTCAAGGAAATTGGTAGAAATATGTCAAGAGAGTAAGGCTTCAAGGCTTTATGAGAAAGTGCAATGGCACGGCATGGAATAGAGAAGAAGGTTATCGCGAAGGCAGCAAGTGATAACGCGGCCGCGGGGATCAACATTAAGTAAGCAGGCAGCCGAAGGAATTGATAACCATCCAGCTTCGAACGCTGTTTATTTCGACCTTGGTCTTTGCAACTGTCATTGCAGCCTCACATGACTGAAATTAATGTAAAACTATACTAATAGTCCAAATTGCTTACACAACTAAGTACAAGTCACTGATATTGATATTGATTAATGATATTGATTTTATAATATATTGTTGGAAAAATAATAATACAGTATTCTCTTCCACTGCCTCTGTGTGCTTTCTTACATGTAAGTAGCTGAGGACTGATCAATTGATACCTACTCACTTCAAGCTTAAAATCCTCGGGCTTCGAACAAGAGAGTTCGATTGGAGCGGCAGGGAATTCGACGGAAGTTATTATTTCATGGTGTCCAGCGGGTGGGCATCAAGAAGAGCTTCACTCAGTTCCGTCTTTATTACGAATAGCAAGCTTGCCAGTTTGGTCGATCATAGCTTCGTAGCCATTCTTCTCCAACACGCCACTATCATCTTTGACCACCTCCCGAGCCTCAAGTTCCTCGACTAGGCGCTGGTTCTCGCGATTACCCTCCAAAAGGAATTTTAGACACATGACAGCATGCTCCTTAATGTAGGGATTGTGAGCATCAAAAGCCGTGCAGCAGAGAATAGCCTCGACACCGCCGTAGCGACGGATCTGCTCCTGAACCTCAGGGCATTTCCACACAAGAGACGAAAGAACCAGGACAACCAGCTTTTTGAGATTGCGCCATTCAAACTCCGAGGGGTCCTCGGTGATCTGGGGCGACTCAGGGCGGGAGTCAACGCTTTCAACCCCACCATCGATGGGATCGGGGTCGCTGGGGTCGTATGGCCGTTCCACAGCAACAGGAGTTGGGGATGATGGTCTTGATTGATCGCTTGGCGAAGTGCTTCGAGGTGGGGGTGGGGGCGGAGGCACTGAACCAAACGAAAGCTGGTTGAGCGGGCCCTTGGGAATGCTGGCTTCCAGTTCCTTGATCAACGTCACTAGGTCATATACAATCTCCCACTTCACCAGGAGATTCTTCCAGTCGTTGTTCTCAGTCAGGACAGCGAAGAACTCCAGGAACTGGTAAACACCCTCATATACCCGCTCCATGTCCCATAAATTAAGTGGGAAGTCCTCTGCCAGCGCACGCTCAGCGCGAATCTGGCCTTGTAGATATATCAAGGCACAAGTCTCAGGAATGATATTTCCACGGAAGATAGTGAAAATGTATCGAACAGTTAGAATGTCGACCCGGCTGAGTGGAACCGGGGTGCGTGGAACACTAGATTGGGCCGAGCCCGTCACTGAGGCTGGTGAGTATTTTGCACGGAAGATGTGCGTAAGAATTTTTATCACCACTGCCTGTGCTGGAGAGATAATGTCTTTGGGCTGGCCAAAGTCAGAATAAGCGTGCGACATGAGTCCATTGCGGAGCACAGCTTCCATAATTTGTACCATCATCTTGAAGTAAAGTTCGTCATCAGGCAGGTCCCAAGCAGCAATGAAAATTAGAAGCTCGCGGAGGAGATTGCGTCCAGTCTCCTGCGCAAGAAGAATATGGCATCTCAATGCTTGCATATTGCGTGAGCCGTTTCGCTCACCACCCTTGAGTCCGAAACTATCGACAATGCCAGCCTGAATAATCATGGGTAAGGCTTCAATCTCAGCAGGTCCGAGAACAAGAGGAATATCGGTCAGAAGACCGCGCTGTTGATCGCCAGGACGACCACGGTAGTCATCATCATCTTCCTCGTCATCAACTTCTCCGCCATCATCTACTCCATCGACATCATCTCCATCATCATCTTCGTCGCCTTCGATGCTTCCGTCGGCATGGCCTTCCAGACTATGTGAGTCTTCGTCGCCCACCGTTCCGGCATCACCGGTATCGTAATCTGCATCGGCATCACCGATGTGGGATGACTCCTGTAGACGGGCCATCAATTCGTCTTTAGCCTCCTGCAAAGTCTCAGCTGCAGATAGAGATGATCGAGGCATGCTTGTATCATCCTCCGTCACAACCGCATCTACCGAGTAATCGTTGACCTCAGGAAGGTCAGCCCAGCACAAGCGGGGAAATCCAGCAGTCATGCTCCGGTCAATCGTTAAAATGACTTTCTTTTTAGTAGCCTCCTGCTCATCCTCCTCCGGCAGGGCAGGTGGGAGTTCGCGGGCCCGATCTTGAAGATCCGACCAACCATCAACCTTCGCCCCCAAGATGGAGGTCAGTGCAGCACGAATGTATTTGACTTGTTCCGGATCTCGGCCCATTTCTTGAATGTCAGTCAGGTCTCGTCCCAGAATTTTCTCCATGTGATCCTTGATGTTTGCCAAAAGCAGCATGGCTGCTTCTTCTTTGATCGTAGAGGGTTCCCGAGGGAATTTTGCGATTGTCTCCAGCAGCAGATCTTCGGCAGTCTGGTCGTAAAGTGCCCGAATTGGCGGGTTTATCACACGCTCGCCAATCTTCACAATAGGCGCCACTCCCTCTTGTCGGGCCACAGGGTCCAGAGCCTCCTTTGGCTTGATTATGTTTGTGTCTGCCGTAGAGTGGTAGCCAAAAAGATCCAGCCAAAGTACCATCTTTCTTTGCTCGTTGTGCATGATGAAGTTATGGAGATATTGGAGGCATGTAATGAGTAGACGCTTGTAAAGGTTGACGACCTTCTGCCAGCGCTCCTCATTACGTGCATTTGTTTCACCGTCAAATCCCCTCGCTGTAACACGCACACAAGTATCAATGAGTGCAAGAATTCGTTGGTCAAAGCCTTTTGCGGCTGCCAAGTTTTGTGCCTTTTTGGTAGTCGCGAGTAAGTTCCGCGCGATGGTGCATAGATCATTAAGGCGTTCGATATCTTTAACTAAAGAAAAGTAATTGAAAGCAATTAGATTGGATGACGAGTGTTCATAAGTTGCTGCTGTACTCTTCCAAGCAAAAGACTGCGACTCGAGGTGCGGAATTGCCTTTGTGAGGACGTCTGTGAGGCCTTGCCATATGTCTGGGGACATTCCTAGGTTATGTCTATTAATACATAGTCAGTATTATTGTTCAGGAGAGAAAATGGAGAACAAAATACCTGACTTCACTCTCTTGGTGAGTTTTGTAGAGAATTTGTTTTCCCGCGGCCAGCATGTGTTCCAGGCGCTTGTCATCGATCATGCCTCGAGTTTCATAGTGACTTAAGGTACCGGCTATCACAACTTTGAGCATAAGCTCTGCTGGTGTACATAATGGCTTTGAATCTGCCATCTTGTTGAAGAATTAAATGTGAGGAGAAACTCTTTGGTGGGATATGTCAGGATTGGCATTGAAATCGAGGTTATTATTTGCGACCGCCTTGTTCACCGCTAACTAAAGTCCAGTTTATGCTAAGCTCAACTTCGGAAAACACAAACTCAATTTGCGAGCATGAGCATTGCTAACTAATTATGTACATCATCAGGTGGTAGATATTTATGTGAGTTGTGAAATTCTTGTGTTCCATTTTATCCCTTACAAAATCTATTTCAATAACCTTGGTACTTCTGCCGGACAGTGAATCCCAATGCTTCTCTTAGGTTATTCCATAATCCTAAGTCATAGATATTATCGACATCTCTCATGCTATGGAGTTGAGTCCATAATGGATCGATATCTGCTTCGCCATCTCTATCATAAAAGATCCGATTCGATTGGCGTGCAAAAAAAAACCCTTCCATAGGAGGGTCTTCGTCAGTGATCAAGACTTGATCACTTTGGACAGGCCAGGGTCGATCGCTGAGGTCAAAATAAGGCGGCGGACCATCTATCTGATATCTATTTGCCTTGTAGACAAATCCATCAAAAATGTCTTCTTTCAAATCGGACCATTTGGCACTCTCATTGGTTGTCATGCCAGCCCAAACGAGGTATGTGTGATAGCTCAGAAATGCGACTGCTAGCGGGGCTGTCATCAACATGAGTAGAGTGACGGATCCGATCTTTGGATCACTCGAGATCACGTCTCCCCAAATAGCGATATAGGTTGCCCAGGCTTGCAGTTTCATGTCCACATTTGCCGGAATCATGTCTTGAAGGGTCTGACAGAGGAGAAAGTAGCCAAGTGTGGTTCCATATATCAGTAGAATCGACAAAGATAGTAACAGAGACAGGAAGTAAACATAATTATGAGCTCCGACACAATTCATGAGCCACACGCAATGGTGATCATGTCGCGAGACACATACCCGACAGAAGCTGCAGTGCTTACTGCGTGCCGGCTTGGGCAAGTCGCAGGTGTTGCAATGTCTTCCTGGGTGGAACAGGACACGATCAAAGGGATACCGTTCCATTTCTTGGTCGTGGTTTTCTCGTGTGATAAATGATTTTGTCACTACACACTTGTAAAGAAGAAGATATGGCAGAATGACCACAGCCGGTACCCAGAATTGGTGTACGCTTGACAATCGAGGCCATGCTGTAGATAGAAAGATGCACTGGCCTATTGAAAGCAAAGATATAAAGAATAACTGTGGAGTATTAGAAAATGAGAAAGCTGTACTTGGATGAATAAGCAACTGACCAGTATTAATGGGTGGTTGTCGTGCAGAATATAGCTGCCCATCCGAGTTAACACTCGGATTAATAGCCCACCAAACAAGCTAGAGTCAACAAAAGCGAATCCATTCGGTATGTATGTAGTGAGTGCCAGATGTAAGAAGGCTATAGGCGTTTTACTGTAATTTATTAGGACTTGACACCGGTAATTTCGAGTTGAATAACAGATGAACGAACCGAAATGCCGGTAGTCGACCAAATAGAGCAATAAACACAAATAACGAGATGCTCAAAACGACAAGGGCGACAGTCTGAAGAGTCCCCATCGCATAAGGTTGAAAGCCGTTGCCGATTAATATCGGAGGTTGAGTGCTGACCAGAAAACAAGCAAACCTCAAACTGAAGTCACGGGCTACTCAGTAACCCGTACTCCTCTTAACCAATCCTCGCCCCATAAAAGCTCAAGCCAACCAACCCCACATATTCGTCACATGACATTTTAATTCTGTCAAATTCCAGAGGTATGGGTGACCAGTAAGAAAATGCATTAATGATTGAGATTTGAGTCTCTCATATAACTACTATTTAATAACTATTTACTTATTTAGATAACAAAGTAAATATCTAAATATCTAGTTATTTAGTTGAATATTTAACTAAATAGTTGATAACTAGCCTAGTTGTGTTTATATAAGCATACAATTCTGCCTCAGGCCTGAAAATTCCATTCTCTATATCACGTGAGACTATTCCCAGATCAACAAAGACTAAACTCTTCAACTACACCATGTCTGCCACCGAGGAAAACGATGCTGAGAATAAAATGAAAAAGCGCGATGATAGAACCATTCCTCCTCTCTTTGCAAACAAGCGATTCTTCCTCGCTTTTAACATTCCAAAGCGCGAAAACTTCAAGCGAAACTTACAGGTATACACGCGCCTCACGCGCCTCACTCTTGACGAGTGGCTTTTTCTACTTGGCTTTTGAACATGGCTAATTGCCACAAAGGCACATTCCGGTGTCATTGTAAAACTGGAGAAAGATGCCGATATTATTCTTCTCAAGGACCTAAAAGCGCCCAACGTCCAAGCAGATACGTGCGTGTTCTAAACTTAACTCACCAACCTTAGAAGGATTCAGCTGATGAAAAGCAGGCTTTCTTACAAATTTGTCTTGGATTCGATATCATTCGGCAGGGTTCTGGATATGGAGCCATATCGCATTGGTTCTACCGGACTCCTGGTCTCAAAAGGCAGACGAACACGCACAGGATTCACATTGCATGATGACCAATTAATATTCGACCATTTTGCGGAGATACTGCAAAATGACCCTCATGCTCAGATACGTGGTCGTAACCCTTTCATCGAATTTGAGAGGAAGGTATGTTACTACTCACGAGCCAGTACTTAGAATTGTCATTGATATATCCTTCGTAGTATCCACACCACCCAGCGCAATCGTGGCGTGGCAGATATCTAAAGCAGATTCATGGAAAACCTCGGCCTGGTGGTCATTTGAACCATGTCTCTGAAGACTCATCTCATGTTGAACTTCCTGCTGCGCAAACGATCCCTGATCCAAAAATTCCGGTTGGTGCAGAAAGCCGAGCTCATAAAGCAAGTCCACGGCGTGCTATAGCAGAACCTTGTCCAACGACTCGTATCACCAAGAAACCGAGAATCAGTACTACTTCTGAGGGATCCGCCAGTGCTATTAAGCACAGGCAAAAAAGAAGCGAGTCACACCTCCGCAATGATAATAATGAACGTACTCCACTATCAAATGTGGACACGAATACTGCGTCAGCTTTGAATGAGCCCATTAGTATTTATCAGTCTGCTTTTTGGAAGCAGCTTGAACACTTAGGTTACAGGCCGCAGAAAAACGATAAGCCCATAAGCGTTGATCCTTCAACATTTTTGCTCCCATTTCAGCGTCTGGGATACAAGCCTTGGAAACCCAAAGGAAAGGACGAAAGTGTGGATGAGCTTAACAACTGGATCGCCGCCAAGGTACGCTCAGGATATGAACTCCAGACCGTGGTAAAAGCGCTCCATTGCACGAGCATGATTACAAAAAAAGCCGAAACTGCACTGGGGAAATGGGGCCCTAATGATACTGTTCCAACGGGCGTTCGTGGTTGTTGGACGAAAAAAGACGATGATGACTTGACAGGAGTGGATGCACGGGGCATTGAACGTGTTTTTGCACTACATGGGACTCCCAATGTTGATATCAGATGGCGCTTTCTCAGCAGTGTGACGTCGAAGGAACAATCCAGCAAATAGGATTAATAGATATGATAACGGAGAGAAGATGTATGGACTGAGGTATCAATTCAAGGAAGTGGCTAAATCAAAAGAGAATATCGCAATGTCCCGCAGCTTGCCATAAAATGAGTTGGTAATTCAAGCTCCGATCCCATATTTCAAAAGTCCCGGCGAAAAATAAATGTAGAAACTCCTAAAGAACACCCCAGGGGGCATAATATATTCAAAGCCCTTAGCAGAAAAAACGCTATGCGTCAATGTGAATGTTCAATCTGAAATCACAATCAGAGAGCCTGTATTCAACCATCTTTGAAAACCCTATAAAATGGTCAGCTTGGAAAGCTGACATGATACTCATTCAATTGACTTACAAATGTTGCTCGTAGAACTTGAGCATCTGTTGAGAAAACGTTAAGGTGCCAAACATAGAAAAGTGACACGATTGAAGTAAAATGAGACTGACCTTCCTTGGGCATTTCTCGTAGCATCGTTCGATCGCGACTTGCGATCTCTTTCCATTCTTCCAGAGAAGGTAGACGAAAAGATCATCACTTGCTGGGTCACGGGTGATAGTGTCAACAGTTTCCACTTCTTTTTCCCAACTTTTGCCCTTGGGAGGAGACCAGTCACCCTCCGTGCTGTCCTCGGCAGCCACTACATCAGTGGTGGTTGTTTCAGACTCGGCTTTTGCCGAGCGTCGACGTTTCTTGACGTCGGTCTTAGCAGTAGCAGGAGATTTCTTGCCTCCTAAAGACTTGCGCTTGCTTCCAGGCTTCGCGGTAGGCTTCGCGGTAGGCTTCTTGGGACGCCCGCCAATCTTCACATAGTATTCCATGACGGCCTCTTTGGCTCCACCCCTATGTTGTTTCTGTCAGTTGAACTATTTGGGTTTCGATATGCGGTACTCAAAAGGCATACAGAAGGCCGGACTCTTGCTCCCAGGTGTGGTCGTCGATCTTCGGGTAGCCTTTCCATCGCACCAAAAGGCTGAGTTCACCCTAGTCATTTGTTAACACACTCCGCAAGGGTAAAAACAAGATGCAAATCCATCCCAACTTGCATTATTTGCGAACAAATGATCGACTATAGCCTCGACGACATAACTATCTCATATTAGACAAATCGAACATCCATGAATATATGTTATTGTGATCTTACATGCCATCTTCATCTGTTGCTTCACTTTCTGTCTCCTCATCTTCATTGTCTGCTTTTTCAGACTCTGGTTTGGCGTCATTGAAGGGAATATCGCCAGTCTCCTCATCTGACACATCGTCTTCATCTGGTAAAGACTTAGTAAGAATCCAAGTCTCATTCGAGCAGGCAACAGAGCTAGACCAATATGAACTTACAAGGCATCTCTCCAATCTCGTCATCAGATACTTCTTCAACGGGGGCTAATGAATGTTTAGTAAAAGTTCAAGTCGCATACGCGTGAATGCGACAGAAGCCGAGGTGAACTCACGTGGCATATCGCTTCGAAAAGGCGAGGTCAAATTAAGAAGTCTGGAAAACAGTTTGACGGTGAAGCTGAAGCCTCAGCAATTGTGCAATATAATGGTATTAAAAAGAGAAGTCACTTACAATGCAGTGAAATAGATTCGCATCAATCAGGGTTCTGGCTGCGCGTAGGAAGCTGGAAAGCGGAAAGTTAACGCTATTCCCTTTTGGGTCAGATTTTGGGCGGCCAGAATTTAATTTGTGAACGCAGCTTTGAAGCCCCTCCGCATCGCCAACTAAATTGAGAGACTGTTTTGACGCCGTTTTCTCCTTTCTCTTTTCTATCACTTCTCTTCTAATTTTACTTCTTCTGCCAGGTGGCAGTCTACCATCAATATGGCAATGCGTATGTGTTCCTCTCTATTCCTCTGATGCCCCTCTCTACCCCCCCCCCCCGTGGCTGTAACTGACTATTGTGCCCTACAGAGCTTGATCTCTCCCAAGGTGAATACTTTTCGCTTTCTATATTCAACCATCGATATTCCCTAACACTCAGGATTAGCCTCGGTTCTCAAGGATGAGCAGGGACGTCCATTCATTGTCGTTCGCGAGTACGTTTACCCATACATTATGCCAGTCGCTCTTATGCAATTGTACACTCGGAGTTCAAAGTGAGGGAGGGTTGATCAGTATATTTCTATTATAGTCAAGGAAGGAAGAAGAGAGTCCACGGAAATGACGCTGTGAAGGCACACATTGTGGCGGCGAAGACAGTGGCCAACATCGTCAAGACTTCTCTGGTATGACCTCCCACAACCAGTTTCTCAAGCCGAAACTAATAAAATTTCACAGGGTCCCCGTGGCTTGGACAAAATTCTGATTTCCCCCGATGGCGATATCACAGTCACCAACGACGGTGCCACTATTCTTGGCCAGGTTCGATCCGACCCCTATTGTCCCCCGAGTCGACAGCCGCGAAGATAATGGACGCTAACATATCGGCTGAATATAGATGGAAATCACCAACAATGTTGCCAAGTTGCTCGTTGAACTCTCAAAATCGCAGGATGAGGAAATCGGTGACGGTACAACTGGTGTCGTGGTATTGGCAGCAGCTATGCTGGAGCAAGCTTCGGGATTAATCGATAAGGGTATTCACCCTATTCGGATAGCCGATGGTTATGATCAGGCTTGTGAGATTGCCACTGAACAGCTTGACAAGATCAGTGACGAGATTACCTTCTCTCCTGAGAATACCACCAACCTGCTCAAGGTTGCTAAGACCAGCTTGGGCAGCAAGATGTACGACAAACCTTCTGTATCACTTTTGTCCACTCATTAACTAACTCTCCAATTAGTGTGTCCAAGTCTCACGATCAATTCGCCAAGATTGCTATCGATGCAGTGCTCTCGGTTGCGGATCTCGAGCGTAAGGATGTTGATTTCGAACTGATCAAGGTTGACGGCAAGGTTGGAGGTTCTCTCGAAGACTCTCTGCTTGTTAAGGGTGTTATCATCGACAAGGACTTCTCTCACCCCCAGATGCCCGACGAGGTCCTAGATGCCAAGATGGCCATCTTGACCTGCCCATTCGAGCCCCCGAAGCCCAAGACCAAGCACAAGCTTGACATCACCTCCGTCGAGGAGTTCAAGAAGCTCCAGGACTATGAAAAGAACAAGTTCACTGAGATGATCCAACAGCTTAAGGATTCCGGAGCCAACCTGGTTATCTGCCAGTGGGGTTTCGATGATGAGGCCAACCACTTGCTCCTCCAGAACAAACTCCCGGCCGTCCGGTGGGTTGGTGGTCCCGAAATTGAGCTGATTGCTATCGCTACTAACGGCCGCATTGTGCCGCGTTTCGAAGATTTGACTGCTGAGAAGCTCGGTACCGCCGGTCGTGTGCGTGAGATGACCTTCGGCACTACAAGAGAGAAGATGTTGGTCATTGAGGAGTGTGCTAACAGCCGTGCTGTCACGATTTTCGTCCGTGGTAGCAACAAGATGGTAATACTTGATACCTTTTTCAGGAGAATTGACCTTGAAGCTAACTCGTGTCGCGCAGATTATCGATGAGGCCAAGCGATCACTACACGACGCCTTGTGTGTTGTCCGCAACTTGGTTCGTGACAACCGTGTGGTCTACGGTGGTGGTGCTGCTGAGATTGCTTGCTCCATTGCCGTTGAAGATGCTGCTGCCAAGGTACGTTGTCCCCAATTCCAAAGTTTCATTCATGTCAAATTTACTAATGTTGAATTTACAGAGCCCCGGCATTGAACAATATGCCATGCGTGCATTTGCCGATGCACTGGACACTGTCCCAATGACTCTGGCTGAGAACTCGGGTCTGAGCCCTATTGAGACTCTTGCCTCTATCAAGTCGCGCCAGGTTAAGGAAAACAACTCTCGCCTAGGTGTTGACTGCATGCAGACCGGTAGCAATGGTAAGTGATCTTTAACGTCCAAATTTAATGTCTATCCACTAATTTGAACCCTCAGACATGAGAGAGCACTTTGCCATTGACCCCTTGATCGGCAAGCGCCAGCAGCTTCTGCTTGCCACTCAGCTCTGCCGCATGGTTCTTAAGGTACGCTCAATCTCGTTACTCTTTACTGATCATATACTAATATCCATCTAGATCAACACTGTCATCATCGCCGGAGATGAAGAGGCAGAATTTTAGGTTAATCGCACGTCTTAATGCGCGGTGGACCTGAACTCCCAACAAAAACAAAATGATCTTCCTGGTTGGACTTCCTATGTAGAATATGGCCCCTTACGTAGACTATTCAAGCTGCAATGAGAAAAGGAGTTACGATATCCCATTCTGTTTTCCAGAAGGCCATCTATTACCTACTTCCAAGGTTTCCTTGACTACGATCAACCTTGGAAGCCAACTGGTTTACACAATCACCAGCTGGGCTAGTGCTCAGATGATTCACCCAAGTGTATACTTGATGCATTTGCCACTTTTTGAAAGTTTGTACTTAGACTCGTCAACTCTGATGATATCTAGACCAATGTAGTATTCCTGACCTATAGGAGGTTGTGGAATAGAATTCAGTCATTATACATAGGTAACCACAAGCTGTCTGTCGAACAAGAAGGCCCCAGAGCCGAGTTGAAATATCACACCATAATAGAGTACTCATATACCTAGGTACTCACTATATAGCTACGCCCATGGTCTGTATTGGACAAGCCCCCATTCAAGTCCTTGTTTGCTGAAAAATACTCATAGCTTGAACCTCCTATAGAGCTTATCTTTAGATTCCTGGAAAGCTTCTCTTGCCTAGCACATTCTATCCCGTATTAAGTTTGGTTGAACACAGTAACACAGCGCGTGGAACTGCGGCACCTGTTCCCCGCGACTGGCGGTTCACAAATTTCAGTATTAAAAAGCCATTTGGCGAATACCGAGATGAGCTCAAAGTCATAGCCTGCGAGAACGGGATGGGATGGGAATCTCTTGTGAGACTTGAAGATTTGTATATCGCGGTTTTTTTTTTCTCTTTGCGGAGTACATGTCGTAATATAGCCCAGAATATCTTTATCTTCATCAGGGCCTGCATGCTTTTTATAGATCCTTCTAGACTCTTTAGACCTCATCGGGTGACTCTTAAAGTCTAGGCCCGGAGATGGTTCTATTTCAAGATCAGCAGGATAGGCTTTGCTTATATGCGAGATTTAGGTAGTCATCTCAGGAAAAGATAAAGTTATCAAGATAAAAGCTCATATTTGGTAAGCTATCTAGGTACCTAGGCAGATCTATTTGGAGGACGTCGGTAACAGCGGATAAGAATTAAAGTCGGGTATAAAAAGCAAACTGAAAAAGGCCGAGAATAGCCTATTCCATATTAAATCATCTAGTAAAGTGAGATCTGTCAAATGTTTCTCGGTCCAGATGCAAAGCCATCCATGTGTGACAACACCGACAGGTACGCAAATCTGATCTGGTGAGCACTTCTATCGACAGGGCAGGATTGAAATCTGTGAGACTTTGTTTACCATTTTCATGCGCGGCTTCGTTTACTCCGCTTTAGTCCGTAAAGTGATGCAATGCAGTTGGTCGAATGGTTGACTTCTGCTCGATTTTAAATAGGGCTACTACGTTCGAACTTAGGGCATTTCCTCATAGTCCGAGGTAGCCGCGCTGGAACTACACTCTTGCTGGGCAACACAGAATTGATTCAGATGACACGATGTTGTGTGAAGACAGACAAAGCTCAAGGAGAAAGATAAATTACTTCGCGGACTCCTGAGTGTCACCACTATCTACCAAGGCATGATGCCATCGAATAGGAAAATCCCTCGCGCGGAATGACCCCTGAAATAGATAACAGAAATAACGGTAAGGAAAAGCGAGATCCAGTTTTCTACCTGGCCTGCCTAGATAGGTATAGATGGATGCCCAGAAGACCTCGGCGAAGATATAGTGTCATCAGCCTCATGGCCTTGCTCACATGGTTAGGGCCGATTGACGTGGCCGCGATCGGTTCGTGGCCCATATTTACGTATAATGATCTTGTGCCTGGCTTGTGTCAAATCTGGAGGCATCTTTTTCTTACCGCTACTCTATTTCAAGGTTCCAAGGTTCTGTTTGAAGCTATGAGAATACCACTTCACTTACGTCGTAGATGTTGTTAACGTCACACGATGACGAACCTGTTAGATTTTAACACATCAGATTCCTAGTGACTGATTATTATTCAAGTGATCATGAAGTGTTCCCTGTTTGGTCGTATTGATTTACCCAGTCGCTTTTCAACCTTGGTTATATGTGTCTGCTCAACTACGTACGTAGTACCTAGGTAGCCCTGGAGATGACTAGTGACGAACATATTTAACACCTAGGCATACATTACTACTTTAGTACCCATTTAGGTAGCGATTAACCCATCCCGAGGCCCAGGCACCTGGGCATGCTAGACCTGTGGACTCTTGGAAGTCTTGGTCCTAATCCTTTTCGACTTCCCGGGTTTTATCGCATGTGAATATTTCATTCTGCATAGATCCATATACTCGGCTAATAGTTATATGTGGAATGTATCTGTTAGACTTGATAGGCAATACTACTTCTTTGTCTGATATTTATAAGCAAGTAGCCCGGATGGTCTAGTGGTATGATTCTCGCTTTGGGTGTGAGAGGTCTCGCGTTCGAATCGCGATTCGGGCCACTTTTTTTTCATATTTTTTTTCCCCATCCCTAAAATAAATTTGATCAATGTTGGAATTTAGTCGTTAAATACCTAGGTATCAGGTACTTGGAGTAGTGGGATATCTATGTCAAACATGTCCATTGAGCTTCCCCAAGTCCTAATGTTATATGACTTGCATCTAGCGACCTCGTACGGAGTACCTAGGAATCTAGATACAGGCGTATATTTACATTTCATACAAGTGTTTGAACAGTACAAGTCAAATCCTCGGTCGTCTCTCGAAATCACGGTCATAATACTACCCATGTAAGTTGTTTTAAAGCCATATCCAGGGCTGTGGACTTCGGAGCCTTTCAAAGACTCAACGAGGCACAACATCGATTGATCTTTTCAAATCACACTACCAAAGAACAGGCTAAGCCTTCAAAGGGCCTAGAATATAATACTTGTCCAAAGAAAAGAAGTTTAAAGTTAAAACCAGCATCTACTCACAACAAAACACGATGACTAGTGAGATAAGGCGATACTAAGTATATGGTCTAGACCAGACGCCCGATGGAAGTCTCATGACCATGAATCAGCAAACAAAGAGACGTGCTTAGCCACAATGAGAGTCCACCATCACATCAAGCGCCATATTCAAATGTTGCGCCCGGCTCCAGAGTCGACGGATCTACGATCGGCAGCCGCTGTGACCGTCTAATAAGCCACTGCGACCTGTCAGAAGATAAATGCTAGGTACCTCAATACGCGAATTATCTTACGTAGTATATTTCGGGTATTATATCCCGTACCTAGGTTGCGTTTACAGTCTTTGATCCGCAAGTTTACTTCCAAGGTTACTTACTAGCCGTTATAGATCTCACCCCGTCTACCAAATATATGTAACTAGGTACTAATTGTCATAAGGTTCTGATAAAGGTAAAAGGTACATCTGATTGCTCATGTTTTTTCACCCCTTGAAGACTACCAAAGAGCAACCTTCCTCAAGGTTCAAGTTGTTTGGAATGAGACCAGATCGAAACAGATGAATCGGGATAGTGAGACCTGTAAATCATCACTGTATTTTCAGAATATCAAATATATGGGCTCAGTCTCCAATCTCAGATGATGAGGTGGCTGAATAGCATCGATGTTGATGAGCCCCTTGCAAAAGAGGCTTGAAATGACTTAAAGTATGGGCCTGGAGCATCGGAGAATTAATCAGGCATGCTGTATGCTTTATTGCAGTGAGACCGAGAGCGAGAACGGTTGATTGCAAAATAGATCCTCCAATGTGGAAATGTAAAGTTGGATTGCTATAGTGAACAGTCAGAAATACATCCCTGGACATATACCAATCACCAATACTTCGGAACCACCCGGGCACAACATCATTGGAAGCTCTACAGTATTTATTCACAGGCACGAGATACCAGAGAATTGGGTAGAATATGTGGGGACCTACACAGATCAGCTTGACCCCGAACGTTGATCTGCAGGAGCAAAGGGGAATTACAATGATTTACAGAAAGACCATTGACAAAAGAAGCAATGGTTATAACATTGGAACTATTACATGCCTCACGCGGTACCTTCCTTAATACAGAGCATTTGGAAGACTACGCAAGTGGCGTCGAGTTCACTCCTTGATATACATGCAGATAGCATGGACATCTACTTTCTTCCAGCCTTCAATGTTTCGCACACCGAAAGTGTGGATGATCGCCGCGGATATGCAGGGTTCTACTTCCGACAGAACTGTTGGCCACGCAAGTTCCAACTGAGTTTGAACCAGTTCCATTCAATGGCCAGGAATGGATATAGAATATTCCCCAGATTACCCCCCTTGAACATAGTCACACGGATGGAGGCGATCCTTACAATGGACATTGAACTTATTCCAGACAACTGTCCAAGTATTGACGAAGTGGATTGAACAGATCAATATCCGCATGAATTCCACCCAAGTAGGCTTCATCTACCGTGGTTCATGCTACTGTGTCAGGTGAGCTGTAGAAAAAGCCAAACAAGTGAATTATCCCCTTACGGGGACAAATTAGTGGGACATTCTCTTACACCTTTTTGTCATTTCATGCTTTCTGATATCCTCTGTCATTCAATTTTTTAACCCTCTATTTCGCAAAACTTTATCCCAACTTTCAAAGGTCTTTGTCGAGAAATTGGTCCAAAACTACAAGTACAAGGTACCTGAGTAGACGAGCCGGAAATAGGGCGGTTGTAACTTGGAATGTGATTTGTTGACCTCATCTGGATGTGATGGAAGGATTTACAGATATGCCTCGATAGCAGATTGATTTGTCTAAAAAGTAGAAAAGTAGGCGTTTACTGTCACTTCATTTTATGATGTCTAGATAGAAATACCATGTATCATCATTACATACGGAGTACTCCATACTAAACAATAGATGGCTTTTAGCAGGTGACTGTTCTGGGGCCAAAATCCACGGAACTAATTGCTAGTAGGTCCACTACCAATTGTAAGATTGCGACGATTGCGACGATTGCGACATTGCCCCCTGAATCTAAATTTTGGGAATATCAAATCAGTCAGTGCTCAGCAGCTGACATGAACACTAAACTACAGACCTGAAACAAAGTAAGTTCTTCAACGAGGTTGAAAGTCTAGACTCTGGACTCCAGATTCAAAATTCAGGTCTAGAATAATTCAAGGCAAACATCAAAGAACACAAGTTGGGCTGAGATCTGTATTAGATGTGTCACGGTCACAAGACATCGGATCATGTGACATTATGCTCTCGTGACCTTTGCCACAGAGATCCACTTGTCTGTATCGAGTCTTGTACTTTTCTCCCCGGTATCATAGTATCTTATCGTACCCTGGTCCCAGCACCAGTGCCATGGATGAGTACTTTGTTGAGATCAGCTGGTTCAGCTATTATTTGATCTACTTGCAGGCGGCTCAGCAGTTTCATAATCAGCCACATATGTGCTTATTGCCTTATGAGTAATATGTATATTTATGACTGGGCAGTATCTGACTATTCTTGCTGGTTTTGTCAGATAGGGCATTGGATTTGCCTCCGGGGTAACCTCGGCAAGACTTGTCACTCTCATGAACGGGTCAACGCATAGATTTGGAATGAAGATGTGTGTGTGTGTGTGACCTGTTCCAACACTCTACCATGGGAGACGAGAGAGCTGTTGGCGTGTGCTCGGCGAGTCGAGCCACTTTCCATTTTTGGGCGGTGCGCCGTATTAGACTAGCATTGAGGCTTCCAGACAGTACATAATGCAGCTTCTAGAGATTGCCACTTTCAGTACCACCCGATTGAATCAGTACATACCTAGGTAGGTAAACTTGACGTAGCTAGGCTGAGGTACTTGGCGATGAGCTGTCATCAAGCCTCGAGATGACCTTGGAAGATGATCTGAAGCAGTTGTGGCCCTAGTCAAGATAGTGTCAGCAGCTTGCCCCTAAGGTTGAATGCGAGGCTGCACAAGTGGGGACCTGGGATATGCTCTGCATGCTGTAGGTGATATTGAAGTCGTACATTGGCAAGGAAGGATCTTGTATTTGAAGATATCATTAGAGTCAAGAGGCAGGGTCGGCTAAGTGGACTACAAAGAGGATATCAAAGGATATCAAACATGGGTTAGAATCCAGCACTTCAGGCTCATACTTAGTCTCAGTACTGGATAGATCTTAGTGAATCGCCCATGTGAAGCCCCAGTCTGTCGGGACCAAGTGGAGCACCTATTTCTCCCATTTCTAGACTTCGATCCCCCACAATCAGTTCTAACTTTGTCAACTCCACCTCATTTCCCCAGGGAGACCTTGAATGACCAGGCTAAGAACGCAGATGATATCTCCACATTTTCGGCATCTCGTTTGACGGAAGAGTATCACATGATGGAACGTGCCGTGTAACTTGCAAGCGCTTCTAGAGTCAGTTCGATCGGCCCAGTGCCGAATCGGAAAAGTTGTTTGTTTTGTTCTATTCTTTAAGCTATTTCTGTTGTTCACTGTTGTTCATGGAGTCCAGACCAAGCAAGAACAAGCTCCGCGTGAACAATCTTGTAAATAGATTACCCTGTTCTAGTATGCTGATCCCTCCCTCATTCTGTCGATGCCAGCTGGCAGACTCGTGACTACCTGTGACACTATATTCGACTGCTGTGTTCTATTGAATGTCAACGACCGGTGGCCAGGATGTGGCATCTCGGAAGATAAGAAAGCGAAAGGGCGGTAAGCAGAAAGGGCTTCTAGGCTTTTGTTTTCCCCAAGTACATTCCATCCCACCCGATACATAACACGAAGGTCAGCAAGACTGAAGGAAGCTACTATGTCATATATCCAGAATAGTTTAAACAGTATGAATGATATGATGTGAGAGATGGAAGTATCACATTAGTTCCCCGGTATGTGGAATTCTTGACGTGAACGGACAAACTCTCCAACCCATAACCTTCGAGAACGCCGGAAATATGGAAAGAACTGATGATCTTGGAAATCTATAAATCTGAAAATCTGAAAATCTGAAAATCCGTATATCTGTATATCTGGAATCTGTAAATCCGGATGAATACTTCGACCCCAGAAATTAGTAGATTGGATTGTAGTACATTCCATTCTATCTACCCCCATATCTAGACAGTTCGAACCATCAAGGTAATTCCACGTCTTTTACAACCCTTGACTAGCACTGTGGCTTCAGATCTAAAGTTAAAAATGGGGTTTGAAATGCAGTGCGCCCCCAGGGCTCATGGGAAGACTAAAATAGTTTAACCGCGCTAGAGTCAGCCGGTCCTGGGATCCATGGATTATATTAAATAGCCAATGATCAGAATGACAATTCATCACAGAAAGGCGTCGTCTGTTCTGCTCTGTTCTGTGGCAGATCAAGAGTTCGACTAGATTTACTATCGGTAAAGTGAACTACTGCAATAGATCGGTATACATCGTTATTCCACTTGTCTCTATTATCTTTTAACTCAGGTAACAGACTCTAATGACTTCTATCGTGAGTTAGTCTTGTTGAATATCTTTATACTTATCTAATTAACTACTTCATTTACATTTTCCATCATGTTTCATTCATAGTAACCGGAAACAGCGGACCCCGTGATCGACTGAATTTTCAGTACCTTTTTAATTCAATATTCAATACATGTATCCGTACTGTCACAGATTTACCAATATTTTAAATTCTCTTTTTTATTATTATTCTATTTTCATTTTTTGATTTATTTGAATTTTGATTTTCCCCCCCCTCTTCCTCTAAACTCCACTGCCGCCCCCGTCATTCTTATTATCGTTCCGACTTCCCCCAAATCTTCTTCTCTCTCATCCCCTTCTTCCTGCTTCCTTCCAATCTACTATATTCACTCCCCCCCTCTACAATCATCACTAAACGCGTCAATCTCTCTTTCAACGCGCTTCGTGTAAACCGAATCTAGATCGTCGTTACCAACGTTTCTCCGCAGGTTGTAACAACGAAAAAAAAAAAATTTGCACTCGACGCTTCCAATTTCAACTTCCCCACAGATTCCTTGCACTCCTTCCTGCGATCTACTATCGTGATCAGCAATAGCTATTGCTCACAGCCCCCGTTCCGAATCCTCCATTGACCGATCGATCCTCTCCAACTCTCTGCAGGGTCTAGACTCGACTTTTCAAGGAATTTGACTTTGACATCACTTGCGAGGGTCTTTTTCTCTCAATTTCCAACCGCCGTACGACCACTCTCGGGGAAGACGGCGACCCCGGAACACCTGGATTCTCTCAATCAATTTTCAATCAACGACTGTGACGTCGATATGCCTTTAACAACCCCAGTTCTGACCGTGGATGCGGATAATATCCATAAGGTGGACACTGCAAATGCCCAGAGTCTTCATAGCATGTGGATGGGTAAGCTTGACCAAAATAAAGCGGTCAATGTCTCATTAACTGACAATGATGAACTAGTGTTCTCGAAATGTGCCGACTACATGGACCAAGGCCGTCGACTAGAAAACCTGAGCTGGCGTCTGTGGACTCGCGAAACCTTCTGTGTCGAACATAAGAACCTCGAGCACACTACTTCCGTCCTAAAAAAGATGCGATCTGACTCGGGTGACCTACCGGAGCTTTCAGCTAGTGTCGAGTCGGCCGCATCCGACCAGGCTGAACGCATTGAAGCCCATATAAAGCGTCCTAAGTTCTCTGATTACCGACCCGCTGTGGTTCGAGAAGACTCGCTGGCCAGTCTGGGTCGGGGTAAGGAGAAGCATATCACATCATTGGATCTGGAGCGCATGGTTGTTAACATCAAGGAGCGAAAGAGCCTCGAGCCTCTGGCTCCCATGGTTGAGACACCCGCTCCAATTGTTGATATTACTCCCCAGACTCTGACGCCCACTCCCACCCCTCCGGGATTTTCTACTACCCGACAGCTTCCAATTTTGTCTCGGCCGACGCCGCGTCCACGCGAGTCTACTGAGTCTTGCTCCACCACTGCTCCTGAAGGTAATGAGAGTGATACCGCCCATGCTACCACATCCGACACCAGCGTTTCATCGTCTGGCGTCCTACCGTCTCGCGAATTGGTTAAGTCACCCAGCGTCATTCGTGGGTTCTCGCCGTCCCTCATCTCTTCTTCCTTCCGATCGCAAGGTAGACTAGCTCCCGAGCCAAGCCCTACGCACGCAACTACGCAGTTGGTGAAACCCTCGCCGTTCAATAAGAAGGGTGGCATGTTTACATTGGGTGGATCATCCGGAGATGATGATGAGAGTTCGTTCGAGGACCGCATGGTTCCTAGGCCGTCACTCCGGAGTAGTATGACGGGCAGTGGATTGCGTCCAAACACTAGCCATCCCGCGACTCCGTCAAAGAAGGTTGCCTCATTTAGCGATGAAGTCCGCTCTCATGTTATTCGGCCAACACATGCCGATGAAGATGCTATTGAGACGGACGATGAAATCTCCGAGAGTGCCATCGAGGATGACGAAGACTCTGATTGGGAGGACTCCGTGACAGAGAGCGGCAAGTCTAGTGTGGATGACCGACCGGAACTTTTCCAGCGGGTGGATTCTCGACCTAACTTGGTGTCGCGGCGGTCGATGCTGACCATGATGATGCATCAGCCGACCCGAATGGGGGAAACAATTTCCGCTCAAGTCCTGCACTTCAACGAACTCGCTTGACATCTCCCAACGGCCCTTCCATCCCCACCTCGCCCCGGGATAACGAAGATGAAAGTCTTACCATGCGTGGTCCTGACGTCCCCCGGTCTAAGCCCATCGTTATGAACCCGCCTCCACCCCAATCCGTTGCTCACTCGCCACGCACTACTCGCCGCAACATGCTTGCGACCGAGTTGACCGAGTCACTCCGCCGACACCTCCTCTGGGAACGACAGCAAAAGAGTGCGACCGCCAATGCTTTCCTGAAGCGACGCCATACCACCCACGATATGAAGAACCTCCAAGAGTACCCCGACCCGAATGGACCTCACGCAGGACCATCGGAAGCTGTCGAGGAGGACGCCGACGATGAAATTCAGGATGCGGACCCTTCCAAGAACGGCTCGTGGACCAACTACACAACAGACTACGGCCCGTGGGAGTACCACGTCAAGGGGTGGTAGACTCTTTCCTCTAGTGGTGCTTTTTTGACGTCTCGCACGAGCGAGATCTTTTCCCTCATATATCCTTACCGACACGTATCATCACGATTATGCATTGCATCTAGGCGCATCTACCGGTTTTTTTTTTATTGATTTGGGTCTCATCGGTTCCTTGGACACAAGATTTTTCTCTCCCGATACAGCATTCATTGGGTGTTTGTCCTTGGATCATTGCTTTTCATTCTTAACGGTCGGAGTATTTCTCTCTCTGAGGACATATCTCCAACGACCTTTAATACTCATGTACAGCTCATATTTTCCATATTTTACTACTGGCTATTCGAATCGAATGGATAAGTGGCTATTGCTTCATACCCCCAAAAACCACCCTTTACTTCTTTCAGCGCTGCTGCACTGCATGCCGAATATGAGTATTTCAGTCATGGTTTTATTATAACCTGGCGATTGTCTCTTCTTTTGTTTTCCCCTTTTACTCGATACCAGATACCATGCTTCTTGCTTTTCATGTGCCCGGTTTGCCACACCCGGACCACTTGTGTATGCTATACTCTTTCATATGGCTAAAAAAAACCCCGGTATATCCGAAAAAATAAAATAAAATATTTTCAAGCATTGCATCTTTCATCTCAAATATCTAAATATCTTCAATATCTTAAGCAAGTAGACGGAAAGAGGAAGTATGCATCGGGGTGAATTGGCGGTCTGGAACACGATCGAAGATCCTTCTAACTAGGCATCAAGGCATTTACAAAAAGGTCAGGAATTCCGAGTTTTATAGAAGGTTTGCCGAAGTTAACATCCCTGCTTAGGATATCATGTGAGAATTCTTGTACTTCTAGGGCTTTTTGGTGGCGTTGACACGTAAGATAGATTCCTCTTTAATTTCTCTTGATCTTCTAGTCTTCCAATGGCTCTAGATGTCCATGTTACATTCGGGATGCGTTTTCGGGCGCGGCCCTCATTCGTTTGGTACCTTGGTAGGGTCTGTGTGCTATGTTTTGGTTAAGTACTTCATCAATAGAGAGTATCAAAGGGCCGGTATAATTTACTTCCGAGGTTTGGTGTAACGCAGCTATAATGGATAACAACATTGTAAGGTTTCCTCGTCTGATACTAAGTTAGTTACTTAGATATAGCACTTACATATGCACTATTTCGTTTTAGTTTGGGGGGTTGAATGCGCCAATTTAGCCCGGCAGGAATGGCATATCTGCTCCAGAGCTTTACTTAGCTCAATCTGGATTGTCATGTGGTTTAGAGAAGGATGCAGGAATAATCAGGCAGCCTTATCATCCAAGGTTATAGTGAGTCCTTTTAGACAATGCCTAGGCATCTACTGCGGCCTGATTCTAGAGATGCAGAAGCGTATCTCTAGGGCCCAGCCCCAAGTCTTTGGGTCTTTGAGAGGATATGCTTCCGCACTGTTCGCTTCACACGGTGGAACCTTGAAGTGGCATATGTTATACATTAGCTGCAGTAAGAGCTGGCAGCCTTCCAAGGTTGGAAACTGGCATACGACTTTGATAAGCGTTCTGAGTGAATATGGATCTATACCGGGATTCAGGTACCATCTAGAAGAAAAGCATTTGATCTTGTATTGACTCTCATAATGACAAGATGCATGTGTACATGATGAAACATGGAATAAGACAGAATGACATACCAAATATAGGTGTAATAGGAAAGAAACAATGAAGATCTAGAGATGGGAGAGTATGAAGTAGTGATCCCCACGCTTTCCCCATATGCAGTCATGTAGTGGAGTCACGGGACTCATAACTCGCGGGGAATTCAATTTCGATTCAACCGTGTCTTACTCTCTTACCTCTCACATCCCCCTTTGCTTCTTACAATATCCTACAACCTTGGAATATACACATCTGTCTGGTACGAACCTTTCCAGATGAGAGTGTATTCCCTTTGAGATGTTCCACTTAAAGTGGATATTGAAAAAAAAAAAATTATATATATATATATAAAAGAGGATACCCCACACTAGTTTTCCTAAAACGCCCGACGTCTTAATTCAATTTCCCCGGTCCCACGGTTGACTGGATTCTCCGACCGTGCCCGACTGATGGTGGGTCTTTGAACCAGACAATAGTAAGCAACTTTTCATGTCAAGAAACTGGCTGACTTCAGAAAGAATCCCCATCTTGAACCCAGACCTACGTTCTAGACTTCCAACAATAGAAACACTTGCATATAAGGTCTATTCTCGTTCATGCATCAAGTCCTGCAGATGCCGAAATATTCTCAACTGCTAGCATTCGAGTAGACGCAAGCCACCTCCGGATCAGAACATTCTCTAACCTGAATAAGCCACAAAGACTACAAGACGTTAGTTATTTTGTTCCTCATCTCAGCTTCTCCCGGCCCAAAGGGTTGTGGGTTCTGAGTGGGTCAACCAGAAATTGGGGACCCGGCTTTACTCGCGGAGTTCCCACTTTGGTTACGGATACACCCCGATACAATAATTTTGCATGACAATGATACAATGTGCGGCTCTAGTAATGGGCTTCATGGACAGTTGGCAGCAGCCACGAACTACAAATTGAGTCAACGGTAAAGCTCGGCAGCGAATGATTTCCATTGAATCTTGGAAATAGTGGACTAGAGCAAATGGTCTTGCTGGCTGGATCCATTTACTTGCGTACATATTTATATGGCCATCGGCATGCCATTCTTACTCGACCTGTCGACCTATATCATGAGATCGAGTCTGATGCCACGACATTATTGCTGACCTCCTTTTCGAAGACATACTCATCTTACCAATCGACCAAATCTGGATTTCTCTTCCTTTTCTGGCTGAATGCTATTTCCGAGCTTTCTGGTCAAACCTGTTTACACGCTTCAGGCGGCTCTTGGAATATAACGATGGGTTGAGTTGGACGTGCACTCATCACTTCATATCCATCATCATTGACATTTGGCATCGGCATTTTCATTGACAGTTGTGGATGATTGAATAATTGAATCATCTGCATTGTTTTCAATGTGCTTGATACTTCTGGCCCACTGGTACAGATTCAGTTTTGACCGATGCAACTAAGCATCGTAAGTCTCCTTTAATTCGTTATACAGAACAACTCCTGAGGATCCCGACCTTGCCGAGAGTGTGTGGCATGCCGAGAGGACATGTCCGATGGGTGACCGAATGGGATCCCGACACCGCACAATCCTGGCAGATGCACTCTCAGGCGTAATGTCGGCTAAACCCAAGAGTAATGCATAACGAGACAATCAATAAGTGAAGTCTGATTGGTGTAGCTACTTTGGTTAGCGTGGGGTCGCACCTCACGTGAGTCAAATTGGAGGAGCCCTGTCCTCCGACGAATGATACAGCCTTACTGGTTACTATCTTGTAAAAAGTATGGAGAACAGAAAATAACTGAAACTGTTCAAGTATAATCGGAACATTTTCGGCTCAATAAATATTACCGGAGGACGTCGACCATGGACTGGCCGGGCGTGTATTACTAGTTCTAAAAAGGTTCTGGAAGGGAGCTCCGGTTGGTTGAAGATTTATGCTCGTCTATATTAGGTCTAGTGTATATGTCCATTTTGGGAAGTAATTCTGATACCAATACCGTTATTTACTGGTAATACATTGTACTCTGTATAACCCGCTTTGAGTATGAATACGACCTGGCTTCATTCTAGGCCTAGAGCGTTGAAGTGCTCTGGGTTTGGTGCCGCTTATATATGCTTTTAAGGAATATAGGATCCTGCTTTCATTCATTTCGCTTTATTCTATGGTCATTTCTGGGCTCAATTCATCTCATATCTGATGATGACTGTACCGTTGCGACCGTTGACTATGTCCTAGGGAATCCGATGCAACTAGTAAGGTCTATCATAGCTACATAGGCTTGATTTGTGACTGTTTTCCCAGACTTCAGCCTATCCATATTCTGTCTCGTCTTAAACCTTGGAAGTAAAGCATAATACTAGTTACAAAGATACAGACCTAGGGGTCTCCAGCCATCTAAAGAAACCTATAGTTAGATATCGGTAACTCCGTGGGGGTAACGGAGTACTCTGACCCGAGTCCAATTGTCTCTTTCTTGTGATATTAGTACTATACCAGGATCATAGTAAATAGTTTGATGCCAATGAAACCCGCTTTGTTAATTTTTACCTCGGCAGGGTCAGCCCTGCAGGAACTGTATATATCAGATTTGTGCTCCGTATAGATTCTTCTCACCTGACTCTCTTGACAAGGGTGTTATAGTTCTCCCGGTCAGTAACCCAGTTGCATAATACCTAGGTAACCCATAGGGCTAAACTTATACCCTCGCTTACTTGGTTTGTAGTGCGGAGTGGTGGAATCCGGACCCCCTCATCTTCTCCGCGTAGAACTCGGATGGAAGGATGACGAAAGAGCAAGATTAGCTAGTCAGTGATTTAAGCGGCTGATTCAATCCTGAGGCATTAATCTCGACATTCCAGGTTTTGCTCTCATAAGTAGCCAAGACGAGGACCTATATCTTTTGTAATCCCTTTAAATTGAAACATGACTAGGTAGGTATGATTATGAGCGTTGTTATTTTGAATCTAGCTATGTCATTAAGAATGTCCATTGTTTTCTATGATACATTTCGATAATATTCAATTCACATAGTGAGTCAGTAATAGCAAGAGTAGTAGTGAGTCAAATTGAATCATTGCCCCACTACTTCGTAGAACGACCCACTTATCGAATCATCAAAATTCATTTCTTGTCAAACTTCAACTGTACAAGGGTATATCTTCGTTCCCAGTTCTGGAATATTCAAGTTTTTATTTCGAAGTTTCATTTGCTACCGGGATATATCTTACTCTTCGGCTTGCCTCTTCCAGATCGTCGATCGGTCATCCGCTCTCTGCGTTGTCAATTCACGTCACTCCAACCTTTACCAACGTAGAACTGCTCAGAGTTATCAACCCTACTACCATGGATGCGTCACTTGATAGTGCGCGTCCAGAGCCCCAAGCATGTAAGTTCCTGCATCTATTGGTCCTAAATTGACCTGGCGTGCCCGGTGGTTTGTCCCAATCTATCAAGAGCAAGACATACGATGCACTAGTGTCGGACAGGTGTTGAAATCTGCTATGGTGGTGGATGGGGAAAGAAACTCCGAAATAAGCTACGTGTCTACGACATCAGGCTTAAAGTCCCCCTGAAAGAGTTACCGTACACATCCTATCATTATACTGCTTACTATCTGTCATACTTCCCTTCCGTTCACGGGTTTTCCGCTTCACGGCCCGCAACCTTTCTGATCACACGCTCACCACCATAATCTCATAGCCACACAGCCACACTTGACTACTGATGAGTTGTCAACTCAAGCCCATGGCGCACCCACGTGCGAGCCTAGATCGGCTCGTAGAAGGCGCAAGTGTCGTTATTTTGCGACCAAAAAGGGTATGTGGTCCGCCATTATTATTATGCCTTTTTAGATCGGTGATTCAATTGTCTTTGAGGTTATGTGTACTATGTGTACTCGATAAAATACGTCTATTTGTTCTCGGGAAAACTTTTTGTACATCCTAGATTCCCCGGTGTCTTACCTGGTTGGATCGGAAGCTTTCCTTTTATGTTTAGCACATGTCATAGCCCCGAGATTATCGTTGGCATTGGCTTTTCTGGATCGCGCGTTTTGGTTTGAATTCTACACAAGTCCGAAACTAACATCGCCTAGGGTGTCGTTTGGGAGCGGAATGCCCGTTCATCCATGTCAGTCCTATCAGTGGCCAGAGCCAGACAAGCGCCGCTGACCAGCCGTCAGAATCCCTGTCAGCAGTGGACAAAAGTACAGATTCCGATGGTGGCGTGGCTCTTGATATGCAGAAACTGAAAGTCAGCGAACAACAGCCGACACAGAAATCTGCTTCACATGCCGCACAGTCCTCAAAATCAGTCTCAAGACCAACCTCTAGACCAATATCCAAGTTAGAGCAAAAAGACCCGAGAGAGTTCCAAATCAACCAGCTGAGACGTCGGTTCAGCCCGTCAGAAATTACGGATGACAGTGAAACCGCTCTCACTTTTGGACTGCCTCCCTCGGATCCAGACTTCCCATTTGAATTGGACGCATTGCAATGCGTGCTTCGCGTGCCCCTGTCATATCCCATCAAAGGACGCCCTTCACTGACTGTGACCAACCTTGAGATGGAACATGTGTATCAGGCAAATGTGGCGCGGGGGTTTGATGATATCGTTGATTTTACTTTGCGCACCAATGGCCAGGGAAATTTGCTCAGTTGGTTGAATAGTCTTGACAAGCAGCTAGAGAAGCTTCTTACGACGCTAGAACGGGGCCCTAAACTCACGTTTGTCGCTAATTCTGGAGGCAACGTGATGGGCAAGGAGCCAGAACGGAACAGAAATGAAAAGCAGATTCAGTCTCAGTCCGCTACTGTTCCAAATACTGCCGTGTCAAAACCAGCTCCGAAGGTATCTTCTCCATCACAAGTCTACACGACACAGCAAAAGAGCGAGGCCGAGAAAAAAAGTTTCTCGAGACCAAGCAAATCGAAGCTCGTCTCGGGAGACTCCCATTATTCCAGAAGCTATCCCAACACTCCTTCATCATTCCAATCCAGTCTAATAAACCAGATCGTATTCCTAGATCGCTTCAAACCGTGAAAACGGTGAAGCTTCTAATTCCTCCACTCTATCCACTGGAGCACAGCTCAATCCAGATTCAAGGTAACGACAGCCCAGAAGCAAGATCCGCGGAGACTGGATTTACACAATGGGTGCAAAAGAACGCACAGTTGAACTTGGTCTCTCAGATCAATTACTTGGCGAGCAACATCCACAATTTCGCCAAAACACTTCTTCCGGAGATTGCCGAATATTCGCAGCATGAACACGTTCCATCAAAGACAGAAACGTCCGCGATTGAACCAGAGCAGCAGGAAACGGACTCGAATGTCACTATGGAAGATCGGCCACATGTGCAGGTGATTCCCCGCCCGCCAGAGTGGTCTATGACTGAGCGCGAAAGCGACAGCGAGATCACAGAGGAATCAAGCTATGACGAAGAGTCCAATAACGAGGGCGACGATGAAAATCTCGAAGGTGGTGTCCCTCTGCCAGCGATTATCGATTCTCCCGGACGAGGTGTTGCCCTTTCATTCCCTTTCTTAGAGCTTTATGGGATAGAATTGCTAGAACTTACTCACATTTCAATCACGGTAAAGTGTGATAGATGCAAGGAGACGATGGATATCAAAAACGTCCCACAAATAGCAGATCCAAAGATCTCGCCCAAAACCGAATCATGCAGGAAATGCGCTAAAAACATGACTCTTGGTGAGCTTCTCCATTATATTCCAGATGATGACTCAGCTAATGTGATGTCTAGGCTTCCGAAGACAATTAATGCATTCTCATGCTAATCGTGCTGGGTATCTGGACCTAGACGGCTGTACAATCGTGGATCTTCTTCCGAGGTATGTTTTGAACCAAATATCTCTCGCAAGTCAGCATTAGCTGAGCTAACCTGATTACAGCAACTTTATTCCAACATGCTCAGAGTGTTCAACTGCGTACCATGCCCCGGGAGTATGCGCTGTTCGTGGAGAAAGCGCCATGGCTATTTGTCGTCATTGTCACCGAAAAATGGGTAAGTCCATGTCCCCCTTCCAGATGAATCCGTCTAATCAGAAAAAAAGTTCTCAAGATTCCTGAGGTGAAATTCCTGGCCGTGGGAAGTGCAGGAAGTAAGTTTGCCCTTGCTAAATCGTATATTGTATGAAATTACTAACAACATCAAGTCTCTTCTCGCGCGGGTCTTGCCTTGAAGAAGAAGGTTAGTGAACACATCATATCATTTTTTGCTAGGAGACTAACTTTTCACAGCCCAAGGAAGCCCTTGGTATTGTCGCTGGTCAAGAACTTCCTCGTCGAGGTCGCTGCCAGCATTATAGCAAAAGTTACCGCTGGTTTCGGTAAGTTGCAATCGCAGTCAAGTTGTCACAGAAATACTAACATCTACAAGATTCAGCTGTTGCTCGAAGGTGTTTCCGTGTGACAGGTATGTGCCGTTTCCGCTACGCTTCTTTTCGAGTGAATCATGCTAATAGTTATAGATGCCACGATGCGGAATCTGATCACCCGAATGAACACGCAAACCGCATAATCTGGTAAGTTAATGCAAACCCAAAGCCAAAATAGTCATGTTCTAGAATAATAACATTTGCCCAGTGGGTTCTGCTCTCGAGAACAAATCTACAGACCGGAGAACTGCGGAATCTGTAAGGCTGTTCTAATCGGTAAGAAAGGAAGTGGGTTCTGGGAGGGTGGAAAGGGAACTCGGAATAAGGCTCTGATGAGTCGAAAAGGTAAGAGCCATATAATTCCGAGCCACACTCATATTAAAATCCATTATGCTAACAATTCAATAGATCCTCGCAAATTCAAACGAGTCGGAGGGAGTGTGGTTGGTAGTTCTACCTCCAAAAGAAAGTAAGAGAAATTTGATTCTCTTTAGTTGAGCACTATCAAGATTATCCCATGGAGCAGAGCCTCAAATTTTGATATCAGGTAATTTTAAAAGTAAAGAATAAAAAATAGGCTTTGGCTGGCCTCTACAATTTTCCTCAAAGTAGAAATAGAATACACACCTATTTTTATATTCTTCCTCAAAGAGTACCTAGGAAGTATATTTTATTGCCCATATTATAGCATAATCCATCGAGCAACCGATGCATCATTGGAAATATTTTCAACCTCTAACCAGTCCATATAAAGTACACCAGTCAAAGACAACGTCGGATTATAAAAGCTAGAGTAAATCAACCCCCTTCACTTCACCAGAGAGGTTAAACGCAAAGTCAAGGTCACCCTTCAAATCAAACGCCGCATCAGAAGCAGCTGAGTACTCCCAATGCTCTGAAAACGCAATTTCGTCATAATTACAAGACTGTGCACCTGGAAGCCCTGTAGACTGTGTGATATCCCGGAATATTTCACTTGCAGCCGGATTCCCTGGTCGAGGGAGGAAGCGCAGGACTTCGAATGCTTGCTCCAATGCCACGGGTGGGCGTTCTGATGTTTTGTTCATGAACACAAGGACGAATGCTGCGGAAAATACGGCCCCGAGGTCAAAGAACCCATACCTCGCTTGAAATAGAGGTTAGCTTGAGTGGAGGGTAAAGGATTCGAGCAAACTCGCAAATAGTCTGTTGTCGACGGAGTGAATATGGCATTGCGAGATTTCTGGTCGCTGCGTCATTGCACGTATCGCAGAAGCATATTATTAGTATATATGGTGCCGGTGACTGCGACTTGTCCTGACGCTGAACTTCTACCGTGCTCTTTGGAGCAGCATCAGTCGAGTGCATAGCGTGATGGCTTTGTTGCTGTCAGGGTAAACAGTGTAATAAGATGGAGTTGAAAAGATGCTACTGACCTCGGAAAGCGTTGAATACAGGGGCGACCTCGCCCGTGTTACCCCTTGCAAAGGACGAGAGAAATCTAGAGTCAGTTAAGGAGAAACCGATCGATCTATATCATGTAGTTCTTGAAGAATGCTCTAGACTTTTCAAACTAGTTTGACTTGAGTGGCTGTAGCCTATCCATATAGAGCTGATAACAAAGATTAGCTATAGCCTATATTGCAGTGATGATGCTACTCACAGGATGTGATATTATCAGTGACGCGAGCGATTCTAATATTGATCATTATTGCGACTGGGGATTGAAATTCAACAGCGTGTCGTGGAAAGCCTAATCTTGATTGTCGTTTGTTGGCGCCAGCGGCAAGGCCTAGGCTAGAAGAGATCCGTCTGTGGGAATCAATCAGCTTTCACTGATCTTCTTGGGAATGGATATTCGGCAATTAATCCATGGATGTGCGGGAATACCGGCCGAGCATATATACTGTCAACCAGAGCCTCAGCTTGTATGTGCTGGGGTGGATTACAGTTCTGCTCATTCTCAGGAATATCACATCTCAGAGCAATTGATAATCTCAAAGCAAGTCCAATCTGAGTTTATGTCAGTACAGATGCGTCGAGGAAATAGAACTCACATGTATGTAAGCATTATGCTTTTGATTATACTATTGAAAATAGATGAAAATCGAAGTAAGGATCTTTATAGCGAGGGTTATGAGCCTACTATATACTGTAGCGGAAGTCGTTCAACCGCTTCTGCAAACAGATTTGAGCCCGGGAGTGTGGAAATCGGTTGCTCCACGTCTATCAGCCTACTCATGACCATGACCAAGAGGTACTCTGAATACCAAACGGTCGTTTTCAGCTGATTTCAAGTCTTAAGTGATTGAAAAAGCAGCATCGTGGAATCGGAGAACAAGCGCGAGTCGAAAAGTGCTGGCTGACACCAAGGTAAAAGAGGAATTGGTCGAGTAGATGCTAGGATTCTTCCGTTGATGGGGTGAGGATTCATTTGGTACATGTACCAATGTCTCTATCGAGGAGAATTGATCTGCAACATCCAGTCGCTGTCGTATGTCTGTAGGAGACGGTATAGATCGGGTTAGCTTATCTAAAAGTGACCATACTTGAGATACAAATGTTGGACGAGAGAGGTAAGGTCTGCCGTATTGTTAGTTCAATCCTGAATCCTGAAAAACATGAACTGACCTGAGCTAACACTAGTAATGCCGTCGTCGTAGACGTTATTTGGGGCACGACCCGCCAAATCGGCTGGCATTTCGGATTCAAGACTCTATACATGCCCCGGTCTCAAATCCGAGGACGCATTGGCCGGGAGGATTGGACAGTCGCTGAGACAGAGTGAGCTTGACTGTAGTCTGATGGTCCAGAGTTTTATTTCTCCCCGGCAATAACAGGTCTCTCGCCAAGCGGCTTTTCATAACACTCAATTTTTGTTTCGGAGTTTCCTCATCTGACTAAGAGCAGTAAGCACTTGGTACCTGAGGCCACCTAGGCATCCCAAAGAGGTATTCGGGATTTGGGAGTATCCACGCCTCAGAGAATAGTTTATGGCCGATATTCCCAAAAATACAGTCCCATTTATGTTTCACGCAATCGCGACAGGGCTGCTCCCCGCTGGACCTCACTTTGCGTTGGCGGCAAAATTCACATCTAGCGATACCAGCGCAATGTTCCGAATTGAGATTTATTTATTCACTCACTCATTAGCTGCTCTTGGAAGCATGTTGATTTTTGTGGATTAATGAGCTTACGTCGGAAGTTGATCCTTGTGGAGTTCGGGTAACATCCGGGCTTCGGGTCTACTAGTATGACAGCCATCATCACTCAGCTTGGCAATGAACTAACGTCGGGAGATATTTTTCCTGGAAGATTGCCTTAAATGTTCTTAAAAGGCTGAGTCATCTCCTAGATGTGATGAGGAGTAAATTGCAAAATAATGCCTTGGGCCGGAAAAAAGGAACCACTTTAGAACTTCAAGGGGGATCTATCATAGCTCTTTTGGACCATTAGTGGTATCAGAATTCTGCTTCCAGGCTCCGGGCCAGCATTACTGTGAGATATGCCTATTTCAATGGGCAATCTTGTGACGCAATTAATATTTTGTAACTAATGAAGGGCAACTACTCTATAGGTAAAAAGGGCTGCAAGCAACCTCCAGCTTGGAAAAAAACTTGGAAGTACAGACAGCTAAATCAAGCTCACCTACTAACCATAGACTGGCTATCTATGTATAGTTCATGGTATGGCGTACGGAGGGTATAATAAACGAGCCGGCCCCAAGGTTGATAATTCAATGCTGATCAATTTTTTGTGTTTATTTACATTGAACCGTAGTATATATTGATGCTAATTATTAGGATACTGAAGCAGTTTGGCTTTTGACCAGTGGGCGGAAGTGACACTTCAGCAAAATTGACCGGTAGCCTTGAAGGGCTTAATTTACTAATTATAGACCTACTGCCAGTTGAAGAAATGCGCCCCCACTTGAAATATTTGATGTCCACAACAGCGCAAGCACCTTTGCTGACACCTCAACTTTGAAATGTGATAAAAGTCTCGACGAACTTCGCTAACATTGGAATTAGCTTGACCTTCGGTACCTTCAGAACCGTGGAATTATTCGTGATATAGACTAGGGCTTAAAAACCGCGGAAATCTACAATTCAAGACTTTAAGTCATACAAGGCTGAAGATGTGGATCTACCATGGGGTCAAGCATCTCTATCTGACTACTGGCAGATCTTAGCTAACATCCTCCAGGATCAGCAACTACCACGTAATTCTCAAAGGATTTGATCGCCGTATGTTTATTCCAGAAAACTCTGTTCCTCTGTCACATCTTTCGGCAATATCTTTTGTTTCAAAACATGAATATAAATGGCAGGATCTAAGAAATATAGTTTTCCTTGCAGTGCTTCTACTCCTTCTACATCTATGGAGTCCTGGTTGGATCTTCAACAACGCCCATGAGATACAATTCTCTTCGAAGATGGTTGATCGGAGCCAGTTTTTTGATATCGAGAGTTGAGACATCTCCTATCATTCCGTCAATTGTCACTGTCACGCCATCCTTTGTGGCTAATGTCGCGGTGAACACTCACACGTCGACAATTGGAGTGAATGGAAAAACCACTGCAATACCTATTGTTAGCGGCCCCCAGTGTTGGGTAAGTACCGAATAATTATCTCCAGTCGGCCTTAGTTATGAGCTCTACCAGTCTCTAACAGATTGATCTACAGTTTTGCCCCGAACTCAATAGCAGCAGTACAGTAGGTGGCTGGGCTCTTCTAGGGATTGATGGCCCAGGGACATATCAGCCAATTGCTCCTCAATTCTCTGAGACTATACCTGTTGTAGTAGTCTCATCTGACGGAGATCCATCATATTTTGCATCCCCGACAAAGCGCGACAAAGTTACCATAACTGAGCGCGAGACCGTTAACGCTATTCCAACTACCATCTCATATCATAAGGACGAGAAATATGAAAAGCTGATGAACGCTTACGCTTCATACAAACGTTCACACCCATTAAAAAGGTTATCAGCGTGGGAATGGCCTAATTCTGGTGGCTATGCTATTAAAATAAGTAAGGCAATATTCCTTCAATATTCCCCTCTCTATACGATAGGGAAATATCGCACTACATAACTAATAGATTGATATTCAGACACTTTTAGAAGTGATGCCTTGCGTGCTATTAATCTTCCGGAACATTATATGTTGGCTGCAGGCCATATAAACAGTGAAATCGAGGACGAAGAAGTGATGGATGAAAATTGCCAAGTGACAGAGGTTCGGCGAAAGATCTGGCTATACTTCAATGCCAGCATCTACGACATTGGAAAGGCAGGAAAGAGAATATTGTTCATTGATCGTGGTAAATCGGCCACGCAGTGGGCTACGAGGTATAGTGATGCCAACTTTGAATGGCGAGGCAAGATAAAAGATTCCGCCTCGGAAGAATATATCAAAGCCCAAGGGAGAGAAATCGCGAAGGAGATGGATAAAATGGGCTACAAATTTTTGACAAATAACTGCAGGACGTTTGCAAATAAATTATGGGAAGCGATCAAAGCTTAGGAAGAGCCATTTCACAATTGTAAGAATTCGATTTCAATTTTAATATTCCCGAGCAAAATACCTAGAGTGAGATTGATATATCAGGAAAGCTAAAACAATTTGAGCTAACAGGCGAGTGAAGTAGATATTATATGAATAGACAGCCTGTCGGTTGACTAGGTTATTACCGAAGCAGACAGCTATTGATATCGTTTCTGTACGTATATAATAGGTGTATGCATATTGGGTAAAAGTGAAGTGTCATTCTAAAATGCTCAGATGAAAGAAGATATAGTAGCTGCCATGCCAAGATCACATGATCTTGGTATTGTTAGCTGATATTCGTTCCAACACAGCCTTTCAACAGATACCTGTCACTTCGTTCCAAGGTTTCCTGTAGTACTGGAAAGCCAGATTTCCCCGTGAAAACATACAGGAACAGTCGACCTTGTGGCCAAAAATTGGCTCCAAGATATTCAGCCCTTCGAGAGTGAGTTAATCAGTTTTCCAGTCTGAAACACAAAGAGGCAAGTTGATGATGAGTGTCGTGCAGCTGGAGTCTCAAATATCCGTACGTTTTGCAGCATCTGGGAGTATCTTTTATTGCCGTGCCTTGCTAGAAAAAAACCGTCGAGTTATGCTTCCAAGCCAATGCTCGAACATTGATGCGAAAATGACAGTGGCTTTTGTATTGGCCCTGCTATTTCGCTTGAACTGTGGTATGGGAAGAGAAGGGCATTTTTAATCGATCGCGGATTTCTTTAGTTTTCTAATATCGACCCGGAAGCTAAGTAGGGTCTAACTGCATGATAAGTCAGGAGTATACAAAAACTCGACATAGTAATCATGATCACTGGTGGGGGTATGTTCGAGTGACTAGGTAGGCAGCTCATATCAGCCACACTCTTCAGCGTCCTCCTCACTTAACGCAAATCCAGTACTCCAAAGACTCCCTTTCATAAAAAGAGCTGATTATAGAGTTAGCTCTGCTTTCAACGTCTCCAGTGGGGACTCGGCCCGGAATTCCTAAAAACCAATTCTTAAGAACCGGGTATAACTGTCACTCACAAAGCATGAGCATCCCAAGGTTGTCAACATTTGTAGGAACTAGGCTCGGGGACTGGGCTAATAACGCTGTCGCACCATAATAACCATATGCTACTGTAACTTGCCTGTCGGTCATTGGATTTTCCACAGGTCGTATAAGATCATGATCAAGCGCTTCAAGAAATGAACAAGTTAGTGAACTCATTCAGTATGTAAGCAAGAGGACGAAATTTACCGTTCAGCTCAAAATGAATTATTTCATGAAGAAGCACGTAACTCAGATATGCCTTCCAAAAACCTATGTAACGTTTAATCTGACCATCATACCGTTCAGCGCCATAGTCGGCACGCCGTGCTGCGCCAATAGTTGTCGGTAGTTGAATTCCTGCATGGCACACCATTATGTAACTATTAAAATTTACCACTGCCTGCTGATCTTGGTAGGTACATGCTTTCTCATTAGCTTCCCACCATTTGTTCACTAGCGTATCTATGAAGCAGTTAGTTGATTACTGAAGTAAATCAATGCAACCACCAGGTCACATTCAAATTTGTAATAGATTGACATAGCACTCACCATAATATTGGAACCCAACAATCTGTCTTTTTTCAGCAGAAGTTGGATTAGCCACACGCTTGCCATCCCTCAGAATCCAATACCAATCAAGGTGTGCATCTCCACAAACAATTATTCCAGATCCAGAATGATCAGCCGATAGGAATCGCTTGAGTCGTTTCACCTGGTCTTAGAGAAAGAGAGAAAGAGTCAAATTAGCTGCTGATTCGCAAAACAAATATGAAGAAAAGAAGTTCGACTCATACCATAAACACGATCCCAACGTGTTGTTCCAATAACCTGGCCATTGGCATCTGCGCCCTGATACGTCACGAAAACCTTACCGGTTCTGAATCTGTCAAACCAGGTACCTTTGCTCTCTTCGGCGTCAAGAATCAGTTCTTTGGCATTAGACGCAATGTTCCGTGCCTCATCAAGGGCAGTCACGATGTTGTTCCGAACATCGCCAAATCTTTCGAGCTCCCCATTATCTTTATGTTGCTTCATGTTCCTGCAGCTTGAAGTAATTAAGGTGGCATCCACTTCAAGTAAACATATGCTCAAAAGGATTGCACAGAAACTGCACTTTTGCAGTACCAAGAATAGATTCCTCATACTTAAGATCTGTTGGAGACCTGGTCACTAGACCATTCGCTTTGAATTCATAAAAATGAATAAGTCCGAGTCCTGAGACGGTCCGAAATTAATATAGAGAATGAGAATGGCTCTAATAATTTATCTATGCATTTTCTAAGTGGTCTTTCCTATTCTAAATACCTGCTAGTGCACCTTAACAATCGGGCGTTAGAACGAGAATCCTCCCCAATCCTGCCCCTTCTAAATTTCCGTCTGATTGTGAATTATAGAAAAACCTGAAACAATAGAAAATGGCCCCAGATTCAGAGATGTGAACTTCCAAAGCTCTAGTCCGTATCCTCACCATACCCCGTTGTATCCACCGATTACATTTTTCTGGACCCATTTTGACACAAAAGAAAACTAAACTAGTGAAAACCCTCAAAACTACCTAGGTATTCAATTGAATTATGAGCTTCAACTGACATATTTTGTACCGATTTATTCCCATTGTCTTGGCATAGGATTTAAGTCCTTTGCTGATAAAGTTTTTACCAGCATCATGCGTAGTCAGATCTGGTGGGCTAAGATATGTATCAATCCACAGGTTCGTACAGTCATTCTCGAAATTGGCTTGACCAACACACTGAGAAACTCTTTTCGAGCCCCACTGCCAAGTCCTTAGCGCAGATCTTTTATTGAGCGGGCTCCAGTGTCTGCGCCCCAGACCGATCTGCTCATTGACGGGAAATAATGTCATATCAATGAGGTCAGCAGACATTGCTCTATTGTCGCTCGCTTAGCGAGCGTAGCTAGCTAATCGCTCGTTACTGAGAACAGTGAGCTCCAACGAACCACTACTCAACACCGTAGACAAACCACCAAGTGTAGTGGTCTCTACAGTACTGAATATTGTGGTTGTTGTGAAGTCTGCTTTTTCATTGATGAAAGAACTAGCTACTTATAGTACATGGGCGCCCCTCTGCTCTGGACGAATGTCAACATTCGTCCGAGACAGAAGAGACGGTGAAGACGGGACATTACTGTCGCGAATGCGCATCGCTCAAGGGTGTCGTTTGCGATGAATGCATATCGTTCAAGGATGCCGTGATATACTAATCCAGTTCCGGAGTCGCTGTCTCGGCAGAAGCTTTTTCGGCCGAAATACTTTCCGTCTGTTGATGGCCTTGTTTCTCGGCTGTCGCAACAGTTGGACTTAGTCAAATTCAATTTAAATTTGAGATGATAGAGCGATACAGGTAATAAAACATTCTGCCGGGTGTAAAATACGTATTCTGTTTATTGTTTTGGGGGTTTTTGCATGGTGGCGTCTATCGCCCTCCGTAATCCCGGTTGTTCCGTCATCCTGGTTCTTCCGTCACCCCATCAAAATTTCATAAAATTATAAAATTTTAAACCCAGATTTAAGAACAAAAACATAATAAATTTGACTAAATAACACTATTCTGACACTGATTGATCTTATGCCCTATCTTACCACAACCAGAGCAGGTTAGCTGGCGTCTAGTTTTAGGCATTATAGGAAAATCAGTTTCAGTGGACCTATTCTGAGCAGCTTCACCATCAGATATATATGTCACTTCATCACCATTCCTACCACCAACACCATTCTGAATCTCTCCTAAACCCCCTAAACTACCCTTGTGAACAGCCTGCTTCTTACTAGCTCCCCTTTTTTTCACCTGTTTTTTATTCATCTTTTCTAAATGGCCACAGCGATCATCTAAAAAAATATGACGATGAACTGTTCGCATCGTGCGATCGTAATGGGTTTGAATAGCCCTTTTAGTAGGTGATGGAATCAAATCAAGTGCCGATTCTAGACCTAAATCAATACGAGATTTCGATTTTGCCAGTTTTTCAAGCGTCCAAAGAGAGCTGGAATCGCTATCACTGCTTGATGATGATGGTCGATCTGATATCAAAGGAAGTGGAGGTAAAGAATCAAGTTGAATATTCAACTTATCTAATACCTCATTTGGATTTAAAGGTACTATACCAGTAGCTTTAAAGCTATTAGTTATAGTAGTCGCTTTAAAAGCTCCAGATCGCGTATTAGGGAAGATATCAAGGAAGTCATCTTTATCGATCGAATTGGCACCAAATCGCATCCAATCTGATACCGCAGCGCCATAAAGCTTCTTTAAAGGCGAAAAACAGCCCACATCTAGAGTCTGTAAAAGATGTGAAGCATGCAGTGGCATACAAAGAGCGATAACATCGTTTTCTTTACAGATCTGATCAAATTCAGGGGTAAGATAGCTACCATGACTATCTAATATCAAAAAACAAAATTTACCCCTTCGATCCCTAATATTAGGAATAAAGTGTATCTTTAGCCAGTCGATACTAATCTCATCGCTTGTCCACCCATTTGGACTAATATTGATTCGCCATTCACCCCCTTTAGGGAGCTTATTGAACCATCGCACCAAAAAAACCTTCCCTTTAAAGATGATGTAGGGTGGAAGGGCTTCTCCAGAAGATCTTATAGTTTCAATAACAGTGACCCATTCACGATTCCCAGGCTATAAAACAGCTCTCCGGTCATGATATTCAGAAGATGTAATAATGGTTTGGGTCGTATTAACTCCCATCGCGAGGCCAGATTCATCAAAGTTGAAGATGTCGTTCGAATCTATACCATATTCTTGAATGGTGTTTTGAACCAGTTTAAACCATGGTACAATAATTCTAGGGTCTTCAGCTTTAGCTCTCTTATAATTATATTTCTGAGAGAGGCGAGAAGTCAGGTTTTCGCGACGTTTAACAAAGCCTGTTACCCAGTTTTTGGTAACAGAAAGGGGGGTATCGGAGGTGGTTGAAAAACGCAACCGGAGTAAAAGATTGGCCATATCTCTTAACATAGCGGGAGTAAGAGCTGCACCTCTCTTATCCATAGAGACTAGCCAATTCTCCATCGATTCTTCTTCAATTTCAGAAAATTTATGACGAGAATGACGCTTCTCAGCCCAACTTTCAACACCCTTCATTCGATCAATCAAAGTTGTTCTTGGGACATTAAATGAGCGCGCAGCAGCTGCGATAGAAGGGTAGTTAGCATTATTTACCGCCAGATCATTGTTCAGTTAAACACTCACACATATTTGACTACTCTGTTCCTATTTGCTCGCACGAATCCACTATTCAGTCCCATTTGACACATGTGATATCAAAAAGTGCATCGAACAAATATTTCAAGCAATCCAGAGGTAAAACTTGGGACTGCTGCACATACCTAAGTCTATCAACCACCACTGTGTTCCAATACTCTGTCATTTCGAGCGATATACTGTACTAGTATCTGGCGTACCCGATGGAATGCATGGATGGTCTTCCATCAACCTGCCATATAAGCATTGCTCCTGACCTTGTAAAATCTCCTGACTTCGTTCTTGCAAAGCCGTCTTTTGATTAGCTTTCAGGTATAACGTTGAAAGGTCATCAATCCTTCTGGTGAATATGTCCATGCGATTCTTGGTCGGCAATAAAGACTGCATTTGGCGGACGAGGCTAGTCAGACAACACACGCACTAGTACGTGTTCATTTTCAGCCTCACATCATTTTCGTACTATACACAACCAAGCACATGCGACCTCGGTATAAAATTTGATTCATGATTTTTTTTTTTTTTTTTTTTTTTTTAGTAACACTTGGTGTCAGGGCTGAATGACTGAGTATTCGGCCCGATCTCATGACACTTCCGATAGAAATAAGTATAAACATGTTCTCTACACGGAGGCTCCGAAATCCTATTGAAGTGACTTCACCAAGGGAATATAAAATTTTCCGAGTTCTTGTTAGCAAAAAACAGCTTTGGATTCACTATGATTCTCAAAATGCTCAAAATGCATGTCGACGAAAGTCAACCAGCAAGTAAGCCTATGAATGATTGGGATTGGGATGAAGACGAAGCGAACCCATACAACTGGCCTACGAGGCTGAAGGTCCAGCAAGTCGTGATGATCGCCTTGGCAGCATTGACAACGTAAGTGAGATTTACGTTTACCTTAACTACTTTCAAGGCCAAGGAGTAAGATAGCTAACATCAATATTGGATTCATGTGCAGTTCATTTGGCACATCCTCTATAACTCCTGCTCACACGTACTTCATGGAAGAATTTCAAGTCAGTAGTACTGTCGCAATTCTTCCCTTATCCCTCTACACCTTCGGCCTCGGGCTTGGGACTACAATAGGAGGTCCACTATCTGAGACGATCGGTCGATACCCGGTATACCTCGTTACAACACTTCTTGGGAGTATATTCACTTTGGGAGTTGGATTTAGCCAGAACTTCGCTTCAATCTGCGTCCTTCGCTTTTTTGCAGGCTTCTTCTATTCGCCCTCTCTGGCAATCGCCGGAGGAACTATTAACGAAACATTCAAGCCTGTCACAAGAGCTGTTCCATCAGTTATCTTCGTCATGATTCCATTCTTAGGGCCGGGTATTGGGTATGTTGAACTACGTTTAGACCAAGGAATAGACTCGCTGACAGGAAATCTAGGCCCGTTATTAGTAGCTTTGTCGTTGTTCGTAAGAGCTGGCGATGGACACAATGGACTATACTGTTTTTTGCTATCCTTACATTGATTGCGATACTACTTACACGGGAGACATTTCATCCCATTCTCAAGCGCAAGCGTGCTAAAGAGCTCGGGTATACAATCCCTGGCCCTCCTGCACCACCACTCTCTACACAACTTCGCGAATTTGTCACAATATCTCTACAGCTGCCACTCCAAGTTCTCTTCACCGAGCCTATCGTCACCTTCATCTGCTTATATATTGCGTGTGAATTCGCGACACTCTACTCGTTTTTTGCCGCGTTTCCTTTGGTTTTCGAAGGAATCTATCGGTTTAGTCTTGAGCAGTCAGGGCTTGTCTTTCTTGGAATTGTGGTGGGGTCTGTTCTCGGCGCCATCACTGTCATAATCTGCGACGTACTCTTATATCGCCCGCGAGCGGCGAAATACGTTGACCAGCCAATTCCTCCAGAACTTCGCCTCTTCCCGTCTCTGATGGGAAGTATCGGGCTACCAGTGAGCTTATTCTGGTTTGGCTGGACTGCGCGAGCAGAAATCCGATGGGCTAGTCCTGTGGTCTCGACTGTGGTGTTTGCTTGGGGGAACATGTGCGTCTTCATTAGCACGACGCAATATCTTGTGGATACATATGACTCGTTGACTGTTGCCAGCGTGATGAGTGCAAACAGCCTGGTTAGATATTTGCTTGCTGGGGCGTTTCCACTTTTCACCGTCCAGAGTGGGTGTTCCGAGTTACCAAGTGCCTTGACGAATGACTGCTAACACCTTAAGTAGTGTACACTAATCTCGGAGTTGATTGGGCAACAAGCCTTCTTGGTTTTATCGCAATTGCGCTCTTGCCCGTGCCATGGGTTTTTTTCCTGATGGGACCAAAACTTAGAGGAATGAGTCACTTTGCGACTGCCGCGTTCCACATCTAATTGAGCTTTGATAAATGTGCAACATTATCCCGCGAGGGATCTGTTTTGTTAGACTAATCTATTACTGACAATTTTCGAACATGGTGAAGGCGGGATTATTTAGATTTTTCATTAATATTGGCGCTAGCAGACTGCTCAAAATTTGCATCGCCAACTTTCCCTAACACTATCGTGGATATCCACTTGGTCTCTTAGATAGATGAGGTGGTTGAGATGCTGTACGTGAATCTTAAATTTTCTTCTGGCGTAGGCTAATTAAGACTATGAAAAGTGCACAGCCCAAAAATTGGCATATGAGACTTCTGCTGGAGCACGCAGAAGAGCTGATGAAGTTACGGGATTCGATAACAGTGGTGGAATTCTACTGATCCGGTATTCCGATAGTTAGAGGCTCATAGTTTTCACTTATGTAATCGTAAACTGATTGTCAGCTCTAGAGATATTTCATGGAACAAAGAATCTCAATCAATTCAATATTCTGTATTCATATTCTGATTGGCCAGATCCTGGCTATTAAACTGACAGAGATCGACGAATCATCATCTCCCCGCTGACTTTAATCTGCCAAGACCAATATATCATGCGGTACATACAAAATTAGGATTAGACTAACGCTTCAACCCAGGCACTGATTACCTAATTAGGACTAGCTTAAGAAGTACAAAAAGCATAGGACCTTCCCTTTTCACCAACGCTCCCCCCATTACACACAGCCATCACAAACAAACATCACAACCAAATACCACAACCAAATATTACAAAAAAACCTCACTATGGCTCAGCGTGGAACATTTTCAGACGCTCTCCGAATGGCAGCTGATGAATTCGACCAGCTGCCTGTACCTGTGCCTGTGTGTTCCCCGGAGAGGCTGCCCCCGCCAACCTTAACATCATGGCGGCAATCAAGAATCTGGCAGACAATCTAAATGCCAGTGTCGCTCGTCTGGAGGCCCAGAACACCGCCAGCATCGCTCGCCTGGAGGCCCAGAACACTGCCAGTGCCGCTCGCTTGGAGGCTCAAATCGCCGCCTTGGAGGATCACGTGGTCCGCGGCTTTGAAGAATTACAGACACGGTCTGCAGCTAGGTGAGTGACACCTAGAGCTATTCAGTATCAGCATCTAACAATAACTTCATTAGGGCCTACAATGATATGGCCAAGACCATGAATAGCCCGGCTGTCACTCCGGAGTTCCTGCTGTCTCCTCTGTACAGCCAACGCACTGGACTGGAGATTCCTCGTTGCCCTGCAACTCTTCGCGACCTTCGCCGATTGAGCCGTAAGTTACGTTTCCTTTTTTCCATAGGTCATATTGCTAATGGCTACTATTAATAGGTGGAGAAACAGCCCGCATTATTGGGGAGCTAGAGCTTAATTTTCTTGCTACACGAGAAGAGCGAACTCGGGCTCTGTCACTCGCTTTTGGCGTTCGTCCCCCGCAGTTGTAGTCCGGAGTATTTTCGGGCTCGGGTTCAAGCTCTCTCGATCGCCTTTGGCATTCGTCATGTGGAAGGGTTAGCCCAGGGAGTTTTTTCTTTTATCCACTTTTATCACTGTATCGATACCCTCTATAGTTTTAGTTGGCCGCAAATTCTTTTCTCGGGGACTCCTGAGGTGGTCATTATGTTTTGAAATTACATCCTTACGGAATTTATTCTCAAATGGACTTTTCCATATGCATATTCATGTTGTGAGACTAGCACTCTGCTGAAACATAAGGGGGAAATGATAGATGACAAAATCAGCAGTGTTGCCATCTTGTAATTTGAGGCAAGCGTGTCAAATCTATTCAATCTCCCGGCACGCTGGCCACGTTCCTGGCCAAACGACAGCACAGACCCGGTATCCTCTGGCTCAACGCTATCTTCATCGATGTAGCCAATTTAATTTTGGATGTCACCCGTGCAGGGGGGTACATTTCTGAATCCGTATGGACGGAGGAAACTCCAGCCATGTCAGCATACTCTGAAGATGCAGAGCGATTACTGACTGATGCACTGTGGTATCTGCTCGACGCGCGACGTTCACAATTCTTGATTGGTGGCACTTGCCCGCTCCAGAGAAGAAGATTGAATGAGCTGCAGAGAGGAATATCTGGCCTCAATGGCGTCGAGGATCCAGTCCTTACACGATGCATTAACCGGATATCTCGATACTCAGGTATCATGATAGTGACTGTGAGTATGTTGCCAATGCAAACTTCTCTCAGGATTCTGCTCCATTCTCGTCGCTTGATCTGTTGAGCCGTCGTTTGTGAAGTCGGCTTGCAGCAACATCAGGAATGGTGAGCACTGTTCCTTCTCTCACAAGTTGCTCGAAATTCTCTGAATAAAACATGAGATACTCTATTTTGAAATATCGAAAAGAAAAATTCAAGAATGATTTAATTCGAGTAGGTACGAATATAGATACCAGTCCTGTTTAGACTCATCACGTAATATAGAATTATAAAATGTGGTTCACGGCTGTTCCGGCATGAGACTCATGACGCTAATCTATAATGTAATATAGTTACCAGTCAAATATTTAATATCATAACTCGTGCGGAAAGGCCTTGTGGTCCGAGTAGTGAGTGATGATGTATGAATGAAAGCCCGTTTATGATTTTCCATCAATTCTGGGATTCTATTGGCTGTGGGGCTAATTATAATCATTACCAGGCTATAGTATAATGCTGAGAATCTTGTAATTGGGTTGGCCTTAAATTCTCTCACAAAACTTCCGGCCACAGCTTCAACCGCCATCTGGAAGGTAGCACAAAAAACAAGCAGTCCACCGGAGAACATCGTTGTAGATGATATACACCTATAGAATCACCTATCGAAGACCTAACATGGACTCTCCCAAGGTCCCTTAGCTCCTATGCGCCCAATTCGGCATGTTCAAACATGTTCTGGGTCTGGAAAATAAGGGAATAAATACACTAAGTGCTCTACGCGTGTGATTTCATTGTTTTCTTATTTTCTTGCTTTTAAATATGAAATTCAAAATTTTGATTTTTGAAAGGTCGAGCAGTCAGTTATCTCACGTGGATTTGCGTCCCATTCCGCCGACCTCACCGTCCCACTGTATTGTCTTCTCTCTTTGACACGAACGTCTCTTGGGTCGCTTTTCCCTTGCTCGAGGATACCACAATGTCTCGGCCACTTGCTGCTCCTGTGTCTTTTCTTCCTCGAAATGTGCATTTCTGGAATGGTCAGACTGGAGATTATCTTGGTGGTGTATGGCAAGAAGGGTCAATCACCAATCATGATTTTTTTATGATGCTCAACATTATCCTCATTGTTGAGGTTCCTCCCACCGCCTTATTCAAACCAGCTGGCCAAATTATTCAACAAGATGGCCAGCCATTGAGCCCTGGCAATTATGTTATCAATGTCACATCAGGATCCATCACACTAAACGATGAGCCAGTTTTCCGACGCATCCTCTCTCATAACATCACTGGAAGGGAGGATTCATTCACTGAAGATATTCGTTCCCGAGACAAAAAATGTGTTCTTTCTGGTCTCCCATGCAGAAATTGGCATGTTGGCATTTGGCATGGATTTGAAGCTGCCCATATCTTTCCTATTGGGAAAGAAACCCTTTGGAACCATGGGGGGTATAATCGTTGGATCACAAATACAGCTACAGGGAGACATAGATCTTCAATCAACTCGATCCAGAACGGATTTTTGATGGATATCCACCTACACACGTCTTTCGACCAGTTTCATGTCTCCGCCAATCCTGACAACGGATACAAGATCACCGAATTCATTCCTAGCTCTCGTCCTGTTGATGGCAAGATACTTGACCCTGTTTGCCGCGATCCCACCAATCCAAACAGTGTGTCTGTCCATCTCCTACGATGGCATTTCCGCCAGAGCGTCCTAACAACCATGAGAGGGGCCGGAGAGCCCTCCTGGGATGAGGACTTTCCCCCAGGAAGAGATATGATGGGAGTCATTCGATCTGGCCCACTCCCCGCAGAAAGAATGGAAGTCGAGCTGTTCAGTCGACTTGGAAGTTTGGAGTTCCAACAAGCTCAAGATGAGGAGCGACCTGAACTCAGAGGATCTGATGCTTGAACTGTACTTTATTTGTATTCTTTTATCTTGTTTGTATGATTATGATGTTACGACTGCTGTTATTATTTGCAAACTCTCTGAACTCTTAACTTGACTGTCGACCTTCGTCCTCTCATTTTTATTTTTTATGAACATATTTCTTTCATTGCAGACTAGCTTTTGTGCTCTCTCTCTCTAGAGAGAATCAATTTGAACTTCTCAATTAAAGATCTAGTCTGATGTCTGATAGCTCAAGTTTTCTTGTCTAGCATCGCATCACTAAGTATCCATAAAAAACGAGAGCAAAGACGAGCGCTGTTATAATAAAAACTTAACTAAAAAAATATTATTCATACTGTAGTAAGTCAATATCCCCAAGGTTATTAGCGTCATCTCTATATACAAATTTGTGTAAAACTCTTCGAAAACTAGAACAGATACCTTATATAGGAAGATTATCTGGGGAAGTGGAGATTTCCTCCAATCCCGAGGATGCGCTAGTCTTATTTTGGTAGTTAATATGACTTCTCTTTTTTCTTCTCATATATTTGCATAAGACGCACCACTTTCTCTGGAAAACGCACTAGACTCAAATACTTTGGGTTAGGGTAAAGAGTAAATAACAGGCTGATACCACTCTAAAAGAGGAGAGGAAGAAAAAAGCATATGCTCACCTGTGCTTCGAGTCTCCCGCACCTTCCTTCTAACTGAGTAATTACCCTTCCAAGGTTTCTCTGCAAAATGGAGGTCCTCTCGACTATTTTCTCTTGGCTCTCTACTTGTCAAAGTCCCTTCGACATGGCTGGTTTGTCCTTTCTCTCCAATAAGTAATCTTGGTCTTTGACATGAACGATTCTAGAGCTCGGCCCACTTTGTTCCCCACGGGAACGCACTGTTACCGAACTTGCACGAATGCTCGATGAGGATCGAGTCATACATGTGAGAGGCACGCCTGCTTCTGGAAAAAGTACCCTGGCCAATCTACTCGCTCGCAATTACCGCCAGAAGAAAATCCCGGTCATCGCGTTTAACTGCTGGAGAGATACTTGGGATTACAGGCAAAAGATTACCGAGCAAGCAAGTCTCCGAGGCTACGAGCAGTTTGATGATTACGAATTTGTCAACCATGGTGACTATGTCCTCATCTTTGACGAAGGACAGATGACTTACGGCGATGATGCTTTGTGGATTGGTCTGATCAAAAACCAGAGTGGATCACGATATCATGGACCAAGGATCTGTCTGTTCTCATCATATGGGAGTGCTACAGAGGGACCGGATATAGACGTACTGGATTCAGTGTACAGAAGGGCCAGTCCTTTGGCATACCTCGGGGCACAGCAAAGAGTATCAATTACACCATCATCGATCAAATTCTCTCCAAAAATCGCCCTGTTTTACAACTTGGAGGAGTTTGAAGAAATTGTTGGACTCTTCTGCAGCCAAAAGAGTGGATTCCCACAGCTCCGACTGGACGAAACGGCGCGTGAGTACATCTATGATATCAGCAATGGCCACCCCGGTGCAGTCAGTGCTATACTACATATGTTACTACAGGTGATTCTTGCCTCCATAATGACAATTATCTGGCTTTCCTTCTGATAGCTAATCACGGTTCACGATAATAGGAATACCATAGTGACCTGAAGCACCAAGATCTCGTGATTGATGACACTATGGTCATCAACAGTCTAGATGATGAAGGAAAGGCGTTTAACCATATCAAACCCCTCCCAATTAGCCGCTCGTTCCCTGTGGCGAACATACAAAAAGTCTCCTCCGAGGCTGCAGACATCCTTCGTAAGGCTTTATCAGAGGGAAATGTGGAGCGTGATTTGAATAACCCAGGATTAAGGCAATGCTACGAAAAAGGTTGGCTTCATTCAGAGCCATTGGATTGTGATGCGGGGGACACAGTCTGTGTGTTCCCCACGAGACTACATGCAAAGTAGGTGATCTGATTTTACGGAAGCTATTTGATACTCATTGAACTAGGTATGTCGAGCTTTATTACACTAGCTCGACTATGAAATTCCCTCGCGACAGATATCCTGATCTCATGACTCTAGCCCGAGAGATATTATCGTCTTTTTCACCCCGCAATGTTTCTAGCGGGATCGGACATTTTGGCAATGCAGCCATTATCCGACTATATGAAGCAACATATCAAGATGAGTTTTACCGTGCGGCACACCAGGTCCTCGGCTACTCTATGAACGTGACTAGCGAGTGGTCTTCAAAGGGCAAAAGCCGCATCGACTTTCGGTTTGCTCAAGTCGCATGGGGCGTCGAGTTGTTGAGAGAGGGAGACCAAATTCAGGAGCACTGTCAGCGATTCTATCCTGGAGGAACTTACGCACCTTGGATTGCTGAAGGATCAATTAAAGATTGGCTAGTCATCGACTGTCGAACAACACGACCAAACCCTAATGGTGAGAACCGGAACAGCCCATAATAGGTATTATATGCTGACCTCATGTTAGAAATCTCCGAGAGCAAACTCTGGCGAGCGGTTTTTGCCGCCGACTTCTCGTCCCTTGAGATTTTGGATTGTTTCAACCAGCCGGTTTGCCCGCAAATCCTCCTCACAAACTAAGGGCTCTCTCTCGCTCTCTCTCTCTCTCTCTCTCTCTCTCTCTCTCTCTCTCTCTCTCTCTCTCTCTCTCTCTCTCTCTCTCTCTCTCTCTCTCTCTCTCTCTCTCTCTTTCCCGACACATTGATATAACCTTCTTGCTATTGTTATATTTCCTTATGTCCTTGCACGATTGCTCTAGCCTAAATTGTTCCTGTGGTATTACATTCCATAGATAGTTAGCTTTGGCTCCACAGAATATGATGATATTCTTCACTATCACACGCGTTTCCATAACAATGGCCTTAGTGTGACGGAAAATACAACTTGGAATGCTACATGCTACACACTACAAAGTCTCCCAGCTGCTCAGAGGGAAGAGGAACATTTCCGGCACGCCGCCACAGCCGACGAGGAAATATAATGCGGACACTATGCCAAAATTGAAACACACATTGCTTGAACTAGCTACCAGGCTCTCATAGATATACTCTTGTAAACTGAGTTTTAATCAATTTTTGCTGGGATTATAGAGAAAGTCATACAAAATCTCAGACATATGAGGATCAACGTAGCAACAAAATCATAGGAGCTTTCACTAAATCTACAAAACTATGGGCTTAAGAATACAAATTGAATATCGTCTACACCGTCCTCGTGTCTGTGGTCGGGGGTTCGCGATGGGCCCAGAGCCCGGATAAATCCAGGTAGAATTAATTCTAACATTATCTAATTAGGCTTAGTCTATTTTTATTACTACTTCTTTCTCTTCCTTCTTCTTCTTCCTTAACCTTTCAAAATCTTTATCAAAGAATCATTTATCACCATGTCTTCAAATCCATCAGCCTCCAAATCCCCAAATCCATTAATGTCGCCTACCTCTCCCACTTCTGGGCCTCTCCAGCAGTATCGTTCACCTGCCATGGCTCAATTGAGGAACGACTTGCAGAGCGTTGCAAAAGCCCATAACAAAGTTTATGCCATCCAGCTTGCCATCATAGTCCGATGAAAAGACGATGACACAGGCGCAGAAGACGACTGCAAGATCATGCAGCAGCTGTTTGGGAAGTTGGGTGTGCGCTGGAAGTACTATATCATTGATCCAGCCAACAGTGGGTTTGCTTTCTACCTCCAACAAGAGCTCCATAAAATGCTTGATCATTGCAACTCTTTCAAACCGGAGGATACCCTTGCAGTGTTCTATTATTGCGGCCCTGAATCTTGTGTCTGGAAAGTATAGCATTCCCTGGATAACTCTCCAGTCGCAGCTATTTGGGGACCCCAACCGATCGGACAACGATACTCTAGTTATACTAGACTGTTGTTATTCTGGACTAGCAACTCGCAGTGGAGCTAGTTGCGCCCACCAGGTTTTGGCTGCCTGCCTGCCCCACGAAATATCAAAGCGTCGGGCGCCAAACAGCGTTTCGTTTACGCAGCGAATCTGGAGGGCCGCATGCCACTTCTTTTATCAAAAAACCCTTTCAACAGCCCAGCTTTACCAGCAATTGATGGAGGATTTGCCAAAGGCAGCACCCGAGCCGATTTTGAAGACTTTTGGAGGAAACAGACCCATAACGTTTGTCTTCACACCCAAAGTAAAGGGAAAGCCAGGAGGGCTGCCCACAATCCTCGTACGCCTTCCAACTCAAACACGAGAGAAGAATGTCCTCGCCAAGTTAACCCTAAGCGGCGACACTAAAGTCTTCCCGGTTATGTTCCAGGCCGCAATCAGGACTCTCCCTCCAGATATGAAGGTCGATATTATGGATTGTTTTGAGACCGATGACTCGGTTTTCTTCATTTTGAGAATGACCTTCGAGTGCCTGGCACTCTGGGAGATGGTTGTCAATTTAGATAAGATTGGTTCTATCATTGGGCCCTCCCTAATGACCAAGCCAAAGCCTCATCAGCCCCAACAGCCTCTAGACCCTTAGGGTCCTCAGCAAAATCCGCGCCACAACATTGAAAATGTGCCATTTCGACAGGCTGACCCAAGGAAGCTTCGTAGAGCCAGACTTCTGTAGATCTGCTTTCCCACTATCGCGCGCCTTACTCCACGAAAATGAAAAAAAAAAAAAACAAAACCAACAAAAATCACCCAAAAAAGAACTCAGTGTGATTCAAGCCCGTCTTTATTTCATTACTTCCCTCTTTGTTTTTGATCTCTCTCAGTTGAAAAACTAGCATAAAGTCTTAATACCAGAGACTCTTTTTTATGTTTCGTAATCAGATATTCCAGAATTATCCGAGTAATTTTATAAAGACGAAGATATTTTGCATCTCAACCAATTCAATCCACATTTAAAAGCAAATGAATAAACGACATCAATATTTCTAAATAAAGTAGGTCTTCCAAGCGCAAAGAACACCGTAGATGGAATTATCTAGTCTCATACTCTCCAACCTTGAGCATGCCCAGGCGCGATGTGCCAGACCGCTCCCGGTCGATCGTCATGATCTATTTCTTCTTCTCAAATATATTAAGCAAAAGTAGAATACCTATGAAAGGTGAACGCTGCGTCAGTGTCGCGTAAAGCTTCTCTCCTTAGGCCGTTATTTCCTGTTTACAATCTTGAGAGAATTTCGACGCTTACTTCAAAGAAATCTCAATCCTGGTGTTACCAATATTTTGAGCTAGCTTCGTATTTCAAGGAAAAGGGTTTCAGGGCGAGGGAAGGCTTAGAAGTAGGTTACTACAGAATTCAGATATTGAATACAAATATAACTTTGGATTGAAGTTATGCGCCGCATCCCATCAACCCCCATGGATAGGCCTGTCGAATCATCTGTCTAACTTGAGTCGAATAACCCAAGATAGTAGGTCAAATGGTCTCTTGAAGGTTTTGAAACCACTCTTGTAAGATAAGCTCTTCTTTTAACGATAAATGAAGAAAATGCCATCGCCACCATCAATGAAGCGACAAGTAGCGCGAGGTGGGGTCATTTGCGACTTCAATGCGACTTCAGCACGACATCACCCCAATCCGCCTATGCTTCACCAATCCATCAACATGACCAGGGCATAATATTTGACATCCCGCTTGAAAAACGAGTTTCAGATTCGGCATTGGCAATTTTCTTGCGACTAATGGGATTGCGTGTCGAACCCATAAAAATTAAAATGGAGCGCTTATCAATAGATATGAGAGCTGGGTACATCAAAATTTTAAAGCAAATTCAGAAATCTATTAAGCTATCATTTATGAAGCCATACGCTCAACACGAAGCTGCAATTCCTTGACCATGTCAACCCCAACTCGGGTAGCCTCATCCAGGTTCTCCTCCGGCAGACCGAGCAGGTTGTTCTGTGCCTTGGCCGAGCAATCACTCGGATCATCTGGGAAAAACCCCCTTGCGTAGAGCAGCTTACTAAAGCCAGCCATGTTACCAGTCTTAACCAACGCCAGGCCATCTGCGTATCGCTTCTTGCTATCCTCATGAGTGATCGTCCAATCAGCATCACTAGTGCCCGTGACGTGCTTGACGCTCTCAAATATCTCAGTTTGGTTGATCACAAAGCTCTTGAGGTAGATAGGTTTGTTGAACCACGTTGACACAGTAAGGCTCTTGTCGTTTTCGTCCTCAGGAAGCTCCTTGAGACTGAGTACTTTGGCCACAGCGCGCCCAACCTGCGATAATGTCGATACTGAGTTCTTGGTTTTGCCGTCGTCATACATCGTAAGAGCCCGCTTGTCAAAGTCGAACCCGAGACGCGCCTCACCACCCGCTAGGCTGTAATCATACCAGAACCCACAGCTAACAGTAATCCACTGCATACCGAGACTCTCAATCTCGTCCCTGGCAGCCTTGGCAATGGGTCCAAGCATGATATCCTCTCCAAGTTTAGTGTGCTCAATGTCGCCAGCGTACCCGTTAGGCATGATATATGGAACACCAGCCTTGGCGGCCGCCTGGACGAGCTTGCTGTGGGTGTCGCGGGGCGCAGTAGGGGATACCGTGATGATGAAAAATTGTTGGCCCTTGAGGGCAGTGACAATAGAGGCCTCGTCAGAATAGTCAACTAGGGCGACCTTGACGCCCTCGGGGAGTTTATTTCTGCTACCTTTGCGGGAGAGGGCCGTAACCGAGTGTTTTCCGGTTTTAAGGAGAGCGGCGGCGAGGTGGGATCCAACAGTGCCTCCGGCCTAAGGACTTTCGTTAGTTGTTGTGTATATGGGGCTGGAGGGATACACCTACACCGACAATGGCAACTCTCTCAACGGCGTTTTTGAAGCCGGCAGGCTGGTTCTTGGCGTACTCGGGCATTTTGATTGTTGAAAACCGTCTGTTGAATTGATGATTCAATATATAACGATTGTTGTAATTGTGGCCAAGAGTGGTGGTTGAGGTGTGGTAGCTCTTATAGGTCTTGTAGCTGTTGCTGTTTGAGCTTGTGGGTGTTTGGTTAATTTTCCATGGAGCAGAGAAGGCCTGTCCATTTATAATGTTCAGTCTCGACACCTGCAGAGCCAAACTTCGTTGCCATTCTCTCTTAAGCTAGTCACACTAATCGAATTGGGCAATTCCGAAACGCTTAATTCCGCGCAGCTATTTATTCTCCAGGCACTATAAGGCGGGTAACACATGACCGTCACCGTCGCAGCCGCACTGCGGGGATTGGGCCGCGGCAAGCCTTAGCGTCAAAGGTACTGAAACCCTTGTCAAAGTGCCTAGTGACGTACATAACCGTCGGAGTTACAGATGAATGCCATGATCGTCCCGCACCTCTCGGCCGCAGCAGCCGCACATTAGGGACAGCGGCACGACTAACTCCGCTCCGGTACGCACCAACACCGAAGCGGTGTCAAGTCACCATAGCTGATCTTTTTCCACCCTCTGCTTTTCTGTTTGGTGGAGCGAAATCTGTCCAAGACGCCGGAAAAGTCGGAGCAGGAAAAGAGCGAAACGCAGGAAGAGCTTGTTTAGATGTCTTCACTGGCAATTCTTCCTAATTATAATATTGAATTTCATTATGGACCATCTCAGAGTGCCACACCATGTTTCGACGAGTTGAATCTACACTGATGGGATCGTTTTACAGCGCACCCCTTACGCACCCCTTACGCACCCCTTACGCACCCCCGCGCGCTACTAGAGCTGGATGTCGGGACCGAAAATCGAAAGATATGGCTCGATGAGAAGCTGATCCCAGTCGAAACCCCAGCCAATGTCCGGAAAAGTGGCGTTGGTCTCGGGTTCGGGTCCCGGCTGCGCCTGGAAGGATTCGTAGCCCGACTCTATAGCTTCTAGCTGCATAAGATCTTTCCGCTTTCTTGCTATATGGAGGCTGAGAAGATGCCGCGCTATTGACAATGCCTGACGGGTCAATACTGTTTCCGTTGCCCTAACAAGATTTTCCAACGTCTTAAAGGCAGCAGGGATGTGAGCGGAAGAGGCCGGCGTGTCGATAGCCAACAAGATACAGATATACTGGAAGATACTGCCTATCACGTTCCACAGACGGCCGTGGTTGATTAGCTGCTCAGCCGCTCCTATTGCGCTATTCCCACAATCGATAATGAGTTGAATTATCTCATCCGTTATGCCTGTGTTGAGCTGATAAATGCGTCGATAGAAACAAAACGCAAGGTCCGCCTTAGTCACCACTAGAAACAGGTGAGTGAATTGGAGTTTACTCAATGCCGTGAGACGATGAAATAGTTCCTCCCTCGGAGTTAGATGCTGATTTTCAAGCTGGAACGGCGAGTTAGGCGACGGGATGATTTGGACTATTTGCACGAACTGGTCGGCAACAGACCCCAGTATCGGCATAATAGCCTGACAAGTCACGGACCCAAACGTTACAGCTGAACGATCGTACTCATACGATAGCATATGATGCCCAGCCCACGAGATCCAGAAAATTCGCCTAAGCCGGTCCGCATCATGCCCAACAACAGCAGCGCCGGCGACAAACGCCATCCTTTTAATATTCTCTTCTTCATGTAATCCAACCACTTCACAAAGGTGCATAAGAGTGCACGATGCAATCCAAGCATGACTAGGGCGGGTTGTGGCCCGTAGATAAAATAACCGCATACCCCACGCGATGATATGGTCGACGCATAGCATACGTATAGATCCAGGATCATCGAGGATAGCTTTAGCGTACTGGAGCAAATCAGTCTCCCGCGAGTATCTGTTTGTGGAGAGGAACGACCCGAAAGCAGCGACGCCGGCAGCTATGGCGCTAAATGGGACCGCGTTGCTGCTGGAGCCATGATAATAATCGCGACATCGCTGGGCGTAAATTCTTGGGTCCATATAGTCACCGATAGGCCCCATTGAAGAGAAATACACATTTGAGTAAAAGGCGAGGTCGTCCTCCGAAATTAGTTTCCCTAGGAAGCCATGCGCGCTGGAAGTCTCTTCAGGGCGAATCCCGAAGTTGTACGCGAACGAGTTGATCTTTGGAGGGCTATCAGAGCCAAGAGCCACACCCAGGATGTGCGGGAAAGCCATGGCTGCCGATGCTCCAGTGTATCTAGACTTCTGCACGTCAAAGATCCCGCTCCCGACGCCAGGGCTCTTTGACGATGAACTGTCAGCTCCGGCAGCTCCTGCAGCTCTCATCACCTGAGATTGGCTGTCGGGACTGCGCGATTTGGCGGTGACACCAATCGCCGTAGTACTCCCGCCGCCATTGATTATATGCTTGGCCAAGAGTGGAGCGTGCTCGCCTTCGCCCGCAGTGCTAGAAGTGTCGTCGTACCTGCAGTTATATCTGTAGGTGGTGCACGTGCTGCAAGGGTACTCCCCATCGCATTTTCGCTTGCGCTGGTGGCAAGGTATGCATGCCTTCCTTGCACGCTTGCGCTTACCAATCACTGTGGACATGACTTGCTGTAACTATTGCTATGTCATAATCTTCGAGGCTTAGTTATCACAAGACAATTGGTGGCGCTATTGGTTGTCAAAGGAAATGGGTTGGGACCCACTTTTAGGTGTGTATTTAAGCCATATTACGCCCTCGTTAGAAAATTCAGTTTCATTCATTTGTGGCATTTGAATGATTGGCCAGTCTGAACCAGTCGACTTGACATGGGTCGACCTTCACGTGACCATTTCGCCTTGTCAAAGGCCCGATTCCTGCTTTAGTTTAGTACATTTTAGTCAGCTTGGAATGGCCAACTTAGGCCGTTCCACCTTATAGGTTTACACACCCACACATACATAATTTGACTACAATTTGCTCCATTCCTATTTGCCTATTCGTATCCACCTTAATTGGTTTGTCAGACCTCCATCCGACACGCCTCAATATGAGACCACGTTCCATAAGCCTACAACATCTTTTCGCATTTACGTGTCTAATTCCATGATGATTCATGCACTAATCAATCATGGGTTACTTCATACCTTTGGAGAACTAGTCATAGTCAACCAATTGCATGAGATCTCCAACGAACAGGAATAATCTACTTCCTCTGCGATAGCGAAGACTGCTGAGGTTCTACCTGCCCCTTTCTCCAACTTATGAGACAGGATGCTATGGTCCACACGATCAAGGCCATAACCTACTGGCAAGGGCCGAAAGGGTACAAACCCCTTTGCCCGAGCAATAAGATCACGCACTGCTACCCAACGAGATAGACTCGGGATAGCTCGAGGAAGAAAGTGATGCAGGAAAAGGCTGGCCCATCTGTTTTTAGCCGCGCGCAGGGGCGGAAGGGACTTGAAGACCCGGCGAGCAAGAAATAGATAGCGTTTCATGTCGATGCTAGAGGGAAATGAACCAAATTGCCACAAGCACTAATCGATAACGGCTGCATTAGTTACGCTACTGTGAGCGGCGACCTTGTATCCGTATAATAGTACCTTGGCGGTAAACGGCGTAATTCGCGATCTTCTAATAATCATATATGCGACACCGATCTGGAAGTGCACAGTTAAAAGTCTAATTGTTGGTGAGTAACAAGAAATCAAATGATCCTATGTGATACATGGATGAATTACCTTATGTTTCTCACAGCTTTCTAACATCCGTACTCAAAACTTAAGTTTTTATGCGCGCTTCTTTACCTTCTACATAATATGCCAAGAGAGATGTGTTTTTTTTCGCAGGTCCCCCGCTGCTAAAACTCATTACGAAGCAGTCATCATCATGTACGAAGGAGACGGCAGATTTCAATTTTCCGGTAGTGTGTTCAAGCTCCGCGTTTTGTTGCTGATTGGTAGACTTAGGTACGATCATTTTGTTACGATTGATTTCATCGAGAAATCGTGAAGTCTCCGGAGAATCAATATTCGATTGATACTGAGAAAATCATAGGCCATTTATAGCGAGGCTTAACTATTTGTAATGAGCAGTTTTGACTGTCTGAATGAACTTCCAAGAAAACGCCAACAAGAAAAGCCAATCATCAAGAAATATCTATCTCGTGACTGAGCTCATCAGGTTTTCAAGGCAGGTTTTCAAGGCTGATTTTAACATCAGCCAAGACAAAGCTTGCCAACTCCTTGAAGAGTGTGGGCTTCTTTCCATCATCATCCTTAATCATTCAATCCTTGTACATCTCTTCAAGGCCACCCCCGTATGCTACAACCTCCAAGTATTGTGACCGCTCCACATTTTTTTCGCCAATGGTGACCAGAAACATGCCGAGCTTGAACAAAAGTGAGCTTAGAATCAAACGGCACATTCGGCCGTTGCCGTCCACAAATGGGTGGATATTGACGAAGGAGTGGGTATACTTGGCTGCGAGTGCCACGGAATCGATTTGTCCACCATTCTGAGCATCAGTCATATCACCCTCTAATTCGCGGATCATGGTCTTCATGAGCAGTGGGACTCTCTCTGAGTCTGGGAATGCATGTAGTCCACATGATACATCAAATTTACGATATTGTCCCGCATATTCCGTCCAAGGAGTATCCTCTGCATCAACCTTGTGGTATAGGATTCTATGAGCTTCGAGGATGATTGTTTCCGATAGACCGTTCTCTCGAAATGCACATAAAGGCCGCTGCCTTCGCGTGCTAGAGGATTTCGTGTTGAGATCGAAGGACAGCAGAGGTGTTTGCTAGAACATCCTTTCGAAGCAGTTCTTTTTTGAGGGCCATAAATTCCTCACTCGTCTCCCCAATATCCTTAGGGACCTCTTTGCCCTGGAAAATTGGCATGCATAGCTTCAAGGTTATGCCTTGTTCTGACCCGGCTCGTTCAATCATGTTCGAACCGTACACCATTCGAGCGAGTGAGTTCAGGATCTTATCCTCAAGGGAAGCTTCTTCCTGTGGTGAAAGCTGGCTTTGCAGGTGCTCGGACAATTGGTTGCTGAGTATCATGATTTCCGAGAAGGCCTCATCAGGGTCGAAATCTTCCATGCCGATTTTATAGGCATAGGCGTCGTCCATGGCGATCGTAAAGTTTGTATGTCGCCCCCGGAGGGAACTAGCGCGAACCGTTCCCTTGCCTTGCATGGAGGAATCCATATACTTTCGCAGCGACTTGGTAATATTCATTGTTTGAGCGCGATGACATGATTTTCGTATGGGTGTGGAGGATTTTTCAATTTCGAGGCTATCAAACAAGTCGCAGAGGTTGCCTTGCTTAGCTTTCATAGGGAATTTTGTAATCTCCATTATGGAGAGGGGGTTTGGGTTGGAAGAAAATACGGCAAGGAGGATGAATCATCCAATTTACTATGTATATATTTTCTACTAAGCCCAGTTAGGAGCCTTTACATACTATCCCACGCTATTATAGTTCTCTCTTGTCCTAATGTATATGATATCCTATTATACTCTTCTATATTGTCAATATAATTAACCCTTAACACTGCTATACTAAAAATACATCCTCTTATCTAGGTAGCGAGTGTTGGAATAAATATAACCTTCCAAGGTTATAGAGGATCAGTAAGGTAGGATAATTGTCTTCAAACTTTGAATTACGAGGAATAAACATTTTGGTGTCCAAATGGTTTGTAAATGCGGGATCCTAAGTAATATAATGTACAGAATAAATTAAAACCAGTCTCACCACAACTGTTTTAGTAATAATATTACAGAGTAAAGTATCCAAAGAATGTCAAGAAGACGACAGAGAAGCTCCAGGTAGTCGCCTTAGATGCAGCACCCGTGTATAGAGCAGCAGTAGCAGATGTGCCAGAGATGCCAGAGACGGGGCTAGAAGTTCGGGATGAGGTGCTCTGGATAGCCTCAGCAGTGGGATAAACGAATGTCGAAGACGATGCGGTGGTGGTAGGAGAAACCTTCAGTGAAGAATAGAGGGATGCACCATCAGCACCAGAACCAGACCCAGATCCACTAGTTTGAGAGCTGGAAACGTCCGTTGGGGAAGGATTGATTGTGTCGGTACCAATGGCAACAATTGTCTTGGTTACTGGGATGATCGTGCTGCTAAGGTAGGTTGCTGTCGTCTTCAGAGTTGATGTGCCACGGACCGTCTTATAATCTGTAGTCAAAGTGGCGGTCTTCGTTATATAGATGATAGTTGTGAGGGTAGTGACAGCTTCCTGGCCAGAAGGAAAGGGCTTAGTAGCGGTAGCCGAAACAGTCTTCGTGTCAGCAATAGGGCAAACAGTCACATAGGCCACCGCGGTCTCTGTCGTCAGTGATGTAGTCTTCTGGGATTCAGCGCAATTTTGGATTGATGAAGGGCACACGCCGGTTGGATAAACCTGGGTAGTGAAAACTGTAGATGTAGTGAAGCTTTCAGAGTCGTGATTGGTTTCAACCAAACTTGCGGGTGTGGCGCTAGTATTAGGCTCTGTAGTGGTGATAGGACAGATGGTAGTGTAGGCAACTACTGTTTTAGTCGTGTAGTAAGTCGTCTTTACCGATGCTGGACAGTCTCGAACCGACGATGGACAAGCAGTCTTTGTCAATACCTCAGTAGTCAAGACTGTTGAAGTAGTAAACCGGGAAACAACGGGCGCAGTTGTTTGTATAGAAGTTTGAGCACTGGTGCCGATCGCGATTATATCGGTGGTTGAAATTAAGGTGGTCGTATCCCTCTGAAAATCGGTATAAGACTTCGCAGGCACGGAATTAGTAGGCACAGATGACGTAGGCACCGAAGACACAGGAGACACAGGCACAGAAGTCGTAAGCACCGAGGAAGACTGTATAGATGCAGACACAGAAGACAAGGACACAGAAGAAGGGAGCACAGAAGACGGGAGAACAGAAGAACTACGCTCGGGAACAGACACAGCCGCTGTGGAAAATGGTACCGAAGACACTGGTACCGAAGACACTGATATCGAAGACACTGGTATCGAAGACACTAATATCGAAGACACTGGTATCGAAGACACTGGCACCGAAGACACTGGCACCGAAGACACTGGCACCGAAGACACTGGCACCGAAGACACTGGCACCGAAGACACTGGCACCGAAGACACTGGCACCGAAGAACTGCGCTCGGGGACAGATACAGTCACCGTGGAAAATGGCCTGGAGGAAGAGAGAGCAGAACTAGACGGTTTTGGACTGGCAGAACTTTCAGTGAGTGGAGTAGATGAACTTGGCGATAACAAGATCGATGACGATATAGCAAGAGAGCTTGATAGAACAGCTGAAGAAGACACAGCCTTGGACGTGATAACAGGGTTCGATGCAACTGCGGAAGAAGTAATAGCTGACGAAGAGGTTGGGACCGCACTGGTACTCGGTGCTGGGCAGGGATTGCCATCTAGCCGCATAGCAATATACTCGATCACATTGTTATCCGGATCATCGTAATCATATGGAACATACCGATACGTGAGTGACGAGCTTGGGGAGTAGCAGATTCCGTCAAACAAAAAGGTACCAACACAATCTGCGTACTCCGAGCAGACATCGACGCAGCCCCATATATCATCCTGTTTAGAATTCGGAATGGTAAATCCCGAATAAGATGCAACGTTATCGTCACAGATTACCTGATAATAGTAGCCATTATCTTTATAATACCCATCAACACAGCTGCTGGTCGTGGGAAGGGTGGAAACGGTGCATGTTGAAGCAGTAGGGGTCGATGAGGCACTGGTGGAAAGAGTAATAGTTGAGGTGATAGTCGTCGTGTATTCAACCACTGCTGTTGAAGTGGATAGCTGAGTAGAAGAGCCGACCTGAGTAACAATACATGGATTGGTAGTGAACCTTTCGATCGCTGCAAAGGTGCTGCTGCTAATGGCGGTCGTTGCCGTGACTTCTTTCAACATGATACACTCGTCATGGTACCCATCGAAATTGGCTGCTGTACACGACGCGCTCAAGATGCTACAGTAAAAATAGCAATGGTAGGGATTGGCGGCGACCAAGGTACCGTATACATTCCCCTGTAGGGAAGATGTAGTGCACTGCTCTTGCCAATATACACTACCGGTAGACCACACGGTATTGGCGCACTTGTCACCAGCTACAATAGCAGAGTCACCAGCGATACAAGTAGTCTGGGTGGTAGTAACTGGAATGATACTGGTGATAGTGTTTGTCACAGTCTCGGAGTAGGTTGATGTGATAGTGGAGAGAGAGGTAGAAGCTGGGGTCGCAACTGGGCCGGCAAGTCCTCCTCGCAAGAGCGCTAGCAGGACCAGGGACCTGGACCAGGAACGAGACTGACCCATGACCGTATAACCTATGAGAAGGAACACACAGGCACAGCGCTGAGCGGATTAAACGAACGGACGTCTCAAAGAGACTTGAAGCCTTGAAAACAGAAGGAATGAATAGGTTAAATTATCGGGCAGATGGCGGTCATATTAAAGGGGAAATCTTCCAAGGTTATCATATACATAGACCCAAGCCGCCCAACTAGTTACGGTTAGATCCGATGGGTGGACAAAGAATCAGGTTATCTTTGCCGACGAGCTGAAAAGTTTTTTCCCGCAGAAAATTCTACTTTATCTCACCTCTATAATAGAAAGAAAATTGGTACCAAATTCCCTCGACAGGAATACCAAGAACTGTAGGGCTTATAGGGTACTTAATTCCAATGTGAAGGTTTAGTATTTTACCTATGAGGAATGCTAAATGGACACCTACAAAGTAAATAGAGCCACGATCGATCCCCTTGGCTGGAAAAATGGTAGCTATTAGCGCCTTGGCGAAACATGGAACTATGATTGGTTATCATGTATTACTAAGCTGTTTGATAATAGAGAACAAAATGGGTTTATCTCATCTTCACTCCTCTGTTGACATGTTTTTTGGGACGTGTTTTTCGTTATTTTCAGGAAATTGATATAGACACAACAAATTTCGATAACGACATAATATTCTTGCTTACTTAATTTTACCACCCCAATTTGGATCGTGTTACCATAATAACTAGTATTTACCATTTTATACTCGATTTCACCCTCTATATCTAAATATTTCTCTCTTCAAGTCTCCTGAATCTCTTGAATTATGTATATGCTACCCCAATTGAACATGTTTTCGAATCTAAAGACCATCTTCAGCCTCTGTACGCCAACATGCACTATCTCATGGCTATGTTGTGTCACGGTGTAGGCTCAGGCAGGAATAATACTGGAGCTGATGTAGGAGCTGGTTCATTCACTAGTAGGCTAAGACGAAGATGTAGCTTGAAGAGCTATGTCCAGACGGAGTTTCAAAGTTTACATGAGGTTATGGGTCACGTGCTATCATACGAGACCCTAGCCCTAGGCTAGGACTGTGAAGGGCTAATACCAATCTTGAATGCAGAACTAGTGATGCCGACAAACTGTCTTTATTAAGCTTGAAGAGAAGAGATAGAGACTAGCTATGGACATGTGGCAATATAAGGGATGCGGGTGCGGGAGGCACGTGACGAGCATGAGCGGCACAGGCATGAATGCTAAAGCAGGCACCAGCCTGTTACATTTTCAGTGCGAACTGGAGGCATTGTGGTGATTTAAAAACAGTGGGTTGCTAGCTATATTTCCATTTGGTTGCCCGATCGGCCGGGAACCACTTTAACTAAAGTGATTCATTCTTCATTTTCTCGTATCTGTGATTGTAATTGTCTCTTGAATTCTCACAACTCCAGGGAGGTTAGTAGGATTCAGATGCTCCTGACTGCTATCGTAATCTTGGGAGAAAAGTCTATGTCCTGGTGGTGATTTCACTGATACCACAGCGTTCTTGGGCGCTTCAAGACTTGGACGCTGGGTATTTGAGTGTGTGCCTTTCTTGCTATCCATTCCTGATAAAGGGTATTCGGACGGACTCTGTTTATAACCTTTCTTGGATAGTTTTGATCGTTCATAGGTCCAGCGAAATAAAGGACGGAGAGTGATGAGGCTGCCTGCGATGATTGCAGAAGCGTTCTCAAGAACTGTACAGATAGTCAATCCGAAGACCGCATCTGTGGTTATATTAGTATTTGAAAATTTATCGAGGTAAGATTTTGTACATACATAGAATATCCGGGGAGCTGTAAAGACTGATATATGGAATTCGAACGATACATCCCACAGCCGCCCTTCGAATGGTTAGTTACGCGTAAACTGAGAACGAGGGAATCACATACATAGACCCGAGACTAAGAATAGCCCCGACCGCAAATTTTGTCTTGGCGTTCATCTGTAGCTGATAGACAAGGAATATGGGGAGAATTCCCAGAGTCAAATCGGAGATGAGGGAAAGAACAGTGTAGATATAAGCAGAAATAACTGTGACCTGATTAGATGCGCAGTGTCCTGTCTCACCGGGACCTGGATCTATTCGGTTCCAAAAGTATGAGGCAGGCTGGCAGGAGAAGAGTAAAGTGAATCCAAATAAAAAAGTCGCGGAAACAATGATTGCGACTACTACAAAGAGAATTTGCCGATGTAAGTTGATGACAGTTATTCTCAGGAGTGCAACAGCGATGGAAAGCTTTGCGAATGCGCAGCTCCAAACGTATAAAATAGTAGCAACCCAATACCACTTGGTAAAATGATCAGTATACAATTCAATCCCAGGAACAAACTCGAAAAGCCTACCTCTAGGGCGTTTTTATAAAGTGTCAGATTTGGGAAATCTGTTTGATGATGACAAAGGCCTGTCATGGATCCTCCAATGAGACATGTAGCCATCCCGATAAACATCGTCTGTACGGAGAAGATTTCGTCAAAAACTCAAGTCCCTAAACACATTTGAAAGCTTGTGGTTATACAAACCAATGCAAAAAGCATCAACCCGTCATCCCAACCGAATGCTCGAACAATGTATAGGCGTACAAAGCATCTCAATGCAACTGTGGTGACTGCTAAGGCCAATAGAACGATGCAGACAACGAACATAGCCATACTGTGGCCCACAAGCGGCATTGGGGTCTTCATGTTGAGAAAAATGGCTCTAGTTAGTCTCAAGATAATTTCCAAATGTTGTTTCCCCGTTCAATGAATTTCCCACGCGATTCTTCGCTTCCACTTTGGTCTGTACACCCGAATTTTGTGATTTTCTCGAAGAGAATGAGTAGGTAGCGAGTTTTGTAACTACTTACGCCGTACATCAAAAATATCTACTAGAAGCTGTTAACTATTCGAACTTAAAAATTAAGGCCTGGTCCCTTTTAGCCAGGTCAATAACTGAAGGAGCAGGGTTTGATTAGCGTACCGAAATATAAAAGGCTCCACCGGAAGGATCTGAGAGATCCTTTTCAGAATGCGTTGGCAAACTTTACCTTGAAGGCATGAATCACTACACAGTATTTCAATATGGATGTGCGCCGGGGGTAGTATCTGACTCTTCACTTTATTATCGAATTATCAGATTCCGAAACTGCTTACAAAAGTATCTCATCTTTGTTTGATATCTGCATGGAGTACGTAGTAATCAAACTCCAATGTAGATCGCAGGAATTCCGAGGGTTCGGATAAGGGGCGTTGCAATAGCCTTCCTTCAAACTAATTTAAATGAGTGTTCCAGGCTAAAATCCAGAATGACCTCAAGAGGGAGCTAAGATTCTTGGACATGCAGACCTCGTAGAATCAATCATTGCCCAACCCGGAAAAAGGAGTCGGGTTTATGATCGATGAACTGAACATCTTGACACAATATTGATGCGATTACAGAGTCCCTATTTGAAACTGTTTATATATGTTCATATATGTTCATAAACAAAATTGATATTTTACGGCGTAACTTTAAATGCCTATCCTGCCAAGTGAAAATTTGAAACAGTTGTTGCTCCCTACTACGAACACTAGAAATACTAGTTTAGGCCCTAAATTCCTCTGGAAGTAGTAAATAAAGTGACTTCTTAGTATTTCACTGCCTCTAAGCCGGGATCACTGTAATGAAACGTAATGCAAAAACTTCAATGGGGAACTGTTTTCAAAAATTTAATACTATATTATATCCTCTAGACTACGATAACCATTAAAAATATGCCGTATTATCGTAGTATAAAGGTATGCAACTAGGTTGAGCTGAACAAGTAAAAAAATCGTAGAAAATTGAAGCCGGCATTAAGTCTAGCATTGAGTCCAACATATAACGGCGTTAAAGGAACAGGTATTCGGAAATGAGATTCCCCTGGAATAATTGAAAAAAAAAATATTATTACGGTAACCATGGGAAGCACTTAATGGTTCTAGGTCAGAGAGCCCACCATAAGTTAGAGGCATCCTGGGGTACCTCGGGTTACCCCGGACCGGCTTCTACGGAAGCACTTCCGGAGTCACAGACCTTTTTCCTTAGGAGAAGATATCTCGGGCTCCTAATTACTCATAGAAATTAGCGAGGGAAAGTGTCGGTCAACAGATCAACAGGCATTATAGCCACTAACTGGCGGAATGTCCACCATATCGGTGAGCTGTCAGCCTGCCCGATAGATTGTGGCGCATCAAGATAGTTCTACTCCTGTTCCCCCGTTCAGGAGACTGGGTAGTCTCCGTGGGTATAAAGTATAGGCTAGTCACTGAGTTTTGAAGGATTCCTTCAAGGATTAATCATTGTATCAACTTCAAATTTGATAGTGAAGCGGTCGAGGTGGCGTAGGAAGTTTAACTGACCGCAGATGTTCATAGATATCTTCGATTCTATCCACTGAAAGCTAGGACATAAGGAAGTCTCCCTCGTTGAATTTCACGAGCGTTCAATCACCCTGGCTTGTAATCAATTAGACTTGTTCGGTATGTGGATGGGAGCAGTTTCTGGGGAATAGAATTTGTGTTGTTGATGGGAGATGTCTTTAGTAAACCGACCATAAAGGGAGCCTCTTACTTAACCTAGACACATTGGATTTATGCGTATGTACCTAGGTGGGAGTTCAGGGGGTTACTACCATATTCTGTCCGCCCCTACGGTGGGACAATATATGAAAAATGCTATTTTGCGTGTCTGCTGCGGTAATAAATCTTATCCAGTTATTAATAGGAGTTCAATAAGAGGCAGATCCTCCGAACTAAAATCGTGACAGCAGCTTTTGTAGAGGCGTGGTAAAGTACGCATGCTGTTAACCCATAGGCACTCCGAAATCCTTCATAGTGGCTTAATAAGAGTCACGGATTGTTTCATACCAAGCCACTTTACCACAGATAGACATAGGCATTTCCTCTTCTTCCTTCATCATTATCACACATTATGAATTCTCACTACGTTTCTCCATTCTTCATTCCATATATAGTATTAAGCTTGTCATTAAATACCCATGTTTAATGAAAGACAAGAGAATTTAAAGAACTAGTATTTCTATCGAGTCTTCTTCAGTCGCGACAAAATTTCAGGTCGTACTTTGTAAGGCACTAACTAACAAGATAGGTCAGGACAAATATTCCTCCGACTGCCCAGACATGCCAAGTTCAACGGACCCTGATTTTATTATTGTTTTGATAAGGGGTCGATTTAGTCTAGCTGTGGCAGGGAAGCTTGCGTCCTGATCCAAAATCACAACACAGCCGCTTTCCAAGCACTAATTGCCTCGGGAAAGCAAAAGTACAATCACGCATAGAAAGTTGGTAGCTGTCAAAAGTACCGAGGTATTTGTTAATAGCAGTGCCAAGGCGCACCTAAACACTTTCCCGTGTTTAGGTGCGGCACTGCTAGTGTACTCCGTACATTCATATCACCTCTTTACACTCGCAAGAATATAAAATCTGCTGCATTCTTCGAAAATTTGATCTTCAAAATTAGTGCTCCTGATTTTACCTCGATATAGATAAAAGTTTCGCTGAAAGTGGACGTTGCTACATACTGGCTCGATATTATCCTGATCGTTATCGTCTATGCCATTTAAAACATTGTAAGAGATTTGAGATTGGGAAAAGTAGTTTTGAGAACATTTTATCAGAGGTCTGCTTGATAGTCTATTGTGAAAATGGAGGTAGTATGGTACCAATGCAGTCGCCAAAGCCAACGTAACTACCATCCGTACCAGCAACACCACGAAGAACAACTGTATCCCCATCCTCCAGGAACAGCCGCTCCGACCCATCTACCAATTTAATAGGGTTCTTACCATTAGTCTGCTCCAGCAAGCTGCCCTCGGTGTTGGCTTCAGTGCCAGAGATGGTACCAGAACCAAGTAAATCGCCAGTTCTCAGATTGCAACCGGTAATAGTATGGTGAGCCACCATTTGTGGAAATGAGTATAGTAGATTCCGCGCATTGCTGCGAGAAATCAGGGTGGGCTCCCCACCCTTATTGGTGATCTCAACCTCAAGCGGGATATCGTAAGCGTTTTCAGCCTGTTTCTCACGTAGGTATGGAAGGAGAGAGTCACGATTACCGTCCTCCAGACCTAGTGCACGGAATGGCTCAAGTGCATCAATTAGGACTACCCAGGGAGTGATAGTTGTGCCGAAGTTTTTGGCATTGAATGGTCCTAAGGGTACATACTCCCAGGCTTGGATATCACGGGCGGACCAGTCGTTCATCAGGACTAGACCAAAGATATGATCTTCAGCCTCTCCAATTGGGACTGGCTTGCCTAAATCGTTCGGCTTGCTGATGAAACATGCCAACTCTAGCTCGATGTCGAGTTTCTTGCATGGAGAGAAAGTAGGAACTTTCGGATTGGCGGCGGGATCGATCAGAATTTGGCCTTGTGGGCGGTACAAAGATGTGCCAGATGGTACAATGGATGAGGCACGGCCATGATACGCGACGGGAAGATGCTTATAGTTAGGCTGTAATGCATTGTCCGGACCGCGGAAAAGTACTCCAATGTTATAGGCGTGGTTCAGACCGGCGTAGAAATCGGTATAGTCGCCAATCTGCATAGGAACATGATTTGTTACCTCAGACAAAGGTATTATGGCAGACTTTTGTAGAGCTGCATTTTCTTTCAGGATCTGGGGAAATTTTGTGTCGGCGCGGAAGATATTCTGTAAATACTCGCGTACTTCGCGGTGTACGGGGCGACCCAGAGCAGCAAAATCATTCAAAGTCGGTTGACTGAAAACGCTGAGGTGTTTTTGGACTATGGGCAATTGTTCAAAACCACCGGAAGATGCAAAAACATTCAGGTTCAAGGCATGTTCGCCAATAGCAATAGCTGGTACACGGGCGGACTCGGCAGATATGATGCCGAATGGAATGTTAGCGAGAGAGAATGGTGAGTTCTTGGGGATCTGGAACCAGGAAGTCATATTGAAGCGCTAATATTAAGTAGCACGGGTAGTAGAGCTGAATGCTGAGAGAAAAAGAGACTTTGTATGATAAAGTTGTTCTTTCTCATCAGCTACTGTTCCGGGATGCGGAACTTAATCCGTTCCCCGCATTCCGGAGCGGAAGCTAAACGTGGAGTAATTATCACGGGAATTGCCGCTATGATACACATGGAATTTATTACTCATATTTGCGACTGCATATTTTCAGAAAGTGGTGGCTGATTTGCTTCAGCTGACTGCACCTGAATAACCGAGATCCATTATTTAGCCTATGACTATATCATCATACGAATTATCTAAGTAGCATCCATGGATCATGGATCTATCTACTCGTTGTAGGGTGGAATTGAATCATGGGGCCTTCTAATACCCGCCTCTATGCAAGGTTTGACGTGTAAACCTTGGTTTGAACCACAGACTAAGACATGACTTATCAAACCGGGAAATTTCAAATTGATCTCTTCCTATTAGGTCTCAAATATACAAGTTTTGGAATTATAATGTATTATCTATGCTATTTCGAAAGATAATATATGAAATGTTCCAGTGAGCTTTTATACCCTATCTAATAACGCTGGTTTGGTTCTACAAATAACTTCCTGAGCCAACATTAAAAGATGAGACAGATGCTTGGGGCTATTTTCACGCTTGAAGATTTCTTGGTGGAAGCAAGGAGTTACACCAGGTACAATCTATAGATGAGAAGTAAATTATCAAAACCTCTTACCTAGACATGCTTGGAAATACATCCAGAATATGGAATGAGGTAGTGGTCCGGCTGCTGCCGGTTATCGAAGGGAATTCGAGGCTAACCATCATTGATTCCTCGGTATCAACACCAATTCCAGTGGAACAATATCCGACCACCAGGTGCCGTTCAAGGTGCGCTCTGATACGCTTTTATAAATAAAAAGACGTGGCGTCTTATTTTATAAACTACAACTCTACAAATTCAGTGAATTCAAATCCAACTCATATTCTCATAAAAGAAAGTCAATCAGTCAAAGAACACACTTAGACATCATACATCTGGACAGCAATATGGCTCCATCAGCCATCTCTTCTACTCCTCCTTCCTCCACGGTAAATCAGGAGTCCTTCGCCAGCTACCGTGGCTACGACCATGTACACTGGTACGTCGGTAATGCCAAGCAAGCAGCAACCTACTATATCACTCGTATGGGTTTCAAACATATTGCCTATCGTGGTCTCGAGACAGGCAACCGCAGCATCTGCTCACATGTGATTCGGAACGGGGATATCACTTTCATCCTAACATCGCCTCTACGCTCTTTGGACCAGGCCGATCGCTTTAGTCCTGAGGAGCAAGACTTCCTCCGTGAAATCCACCATCACTTAGAACAGCATGGAGATGCTGTGAAAGATGTTTCATTCGAGGTGGATGATGTCGATGCGGTATACTTCGCTGCAGTGAAGAACGGCGCGAAATCGGTTTCCCCACCTAAGGTTTTCGAAGACTCTAATGGCCATGTCAAGGTCGCTACAATCCAGACCTACGGCCAGACAACGCATACTATTATCGAGAGAAGCCAATATAACGGGAGATTTTTGCCTGGCTACCGTGATGAGCAAATTGAAGATCCTGTGTCAAAGTTCCTGCCTGGTGTTCATCTTTTGAGAATCGATCACTGTGTTGGAAATCAGGACTGGGAAGAAATGGAAAAAATCTGCAATTAGTGAGTTCTATTATCCTCTCAATAAACACTTAAAATACTGATATCGTCCCAGCTATGAGAAGGCTCTTGGATTTCACCGCTTCTGGTCTGTTGATGACAGCCAGATTTCCACGTAAGTCGCTTCTTCTTATGTTTCTATTCCAAAACCAGTATTAAATCATTTTAGTGAATTCTCTGCTCTCAACAGTATTGTCATGGCCTCTCCCAATGAGATTGTTAAAATGCCAATCAACGAGCCGGCTAAGGGAAAGAAGCAATCACAGATTGAAGAATACGTGGACTTTTACAATGGTGCCGGTGTGCAGCACATCGCTCTCCTCACCGACGATATCATCCGCGATATCACCAATCTGAAAGCTCGAGGCGTGGAATTTATCAAAGTTCCCGAAACCTACTATACTGGCATGCAGGAACGACTGAAGAAGTCCGGCCTAGTTCTCAAGGAGGACTTTGAGACAATCAAAAGCTTGGATATTTTGATTGATTTTGACGAGGGTGGATATCTCTTGCAACTCTTCACCAAAGTATGTACCTTGATGCAAACCTTAAATTGCCAACTTTTCTGACTGGCTGATTGCTAGCATTTGATGGACCGTCCAACTGTTTTTATCGAGATCATTCAACGACATAACTTCTCCGGATTTGGAGCTGGAAATTTCAAGTCATTATTCGAGGCAATCGAAAGAGAGCAGGAGTTGCGTGGGAATCTGGTCTAGAGACCATTCATGTGTTTCTTCACTTGTATGGCATGATTTTACGAAACCTTTCCAATTATTAATTCACGAGAAGAGATATTTTTTCTCTTTAGAGGCTTTAAGAACTCCAAGACTCTCCTTGCAAGTATTTGGGAACATCAGTTTATCATCTCTGCCTAAGCTTGTTTCAATTTATAATGTAACAGTTTGAACATTGGAGTCAGTATTTGCATGGGAGACTTGAGGCTGAATAAAGATAACATTTTTAGTATCTAGTCTTTTGAGGCATACAAACTCGATGCTTTGAGTCACCTAGAGTAACAAAGAATTTGAAGTTTAATTTCCTGGGAACTTGCACCGAGTTTCATAAAAGGCTTTTCAAATCGTAGTAAACCAAATTCGCGAATTTCCGCAGGCAGGAAAGCTGGTTCATCAACCTTCTCACGCATGAAATCATGACTCAGCTTGGCATAGAGACCGTTCACAAGTATATGCATCCTTGCATCATGACTCCAACTGCTCTTTCTTCATCAACATGTGCCTTGTCTTTTCTGAAGTTCTCAGTATCTCGGTACTGGTGAAGACTTCCTCAGCAGTGTTCATGGCTCATCATCAGAGCTTGAAGGATCGTCATTACTCACTGCGTTTTCGACTTCTGGAAAACCAAACATGTAATTGCTTAGCCAAGCCATGATATCAGTCATAAACTTTGATGCACCACCGTCCATAATAAACTGGCGGTACTCTTTTTCAATATATAGAGTCCAAGCAGCAATTCCGTAATTCTCTCGAAACTGCGTTGCGAAACGTCGGTCATAAAGTTTCAGTATTATGTCGCCTTCTAGCTCTAATACAGGGCAGGCTAGTCAAATAAGCAATACACAAGAGAGGGCGAATGGTCTGAAATTTTTCAAAATAGCGGTGGTCACTTTTTGTTCGTGCGGTTCCTGGAGCCATATGTCGATAAGTTTACCAACCACATAAGGGGATCTTTCATTATTAGCCTATCTCTAGATAGTGTTTTGGGCTGTGCGATACATACTGGGTGTCATTAGCCGACGTACGTACAGAATACCTAGTACATATATATACCCAGTCTCAGGGGGTAAGATGATTGCCTCTCTAGATAAGGTGAACCTATGTACCTAGGTAGCTCTGAATTCCAATCTTGAAAGGTTGTAGCAAATGCTCACGAGGCAGATCTTGGAATATTCGCTCTTGAGGTCTCAAGATTGGTGAATTAGCGTTGGAATATGGAACAAAGCAGTCATGTGATCAAATTGTTACTTTATAATAGATAGCAAACTAAGAATGAAAACCAGACTTTACAACCACTTCAAAGGACATAGATATCATAGCGGCGTAAAGCGTTACCTGTGATAGGTGTCAGAAGTGGGTGTCAGAAGTGGGCGTTAGCCTCTCACCAACCTTGCTATACCCACCGGTGTACCGACAGCTACAGACTGATATATGGAGATATAAACTGTGGAAGCGATGCTGGAAGATAGACTTGAAGATAAAGTCACAAAAATTCTATTAAACGGCTATAAGATAAAAAAGAGGTCATAACGGCAGGAAATCTAGATTTGTCATCCAAAGGGAGCCGTGGCGCAACGGTAGCGCGCCAGATTCCAGTCCTGGCGGTTGAGCGTTCAAATCGCTCCGACTTCATTGGTTAATTCTTTTTTTCTTCTGATTCGTGGAAATTATCTATACGTTAGTACGCACGATCCATGTGTTGTTTTAAAAGAAGGTCAATTGGTTTTATTTTATGCTATATTATTATTATTCGTTTAATTGCTTTCACTTGGCAAAAACTAAATTTGACAAAAAAATTAACCAATGAAGTCGGAGCGATTTGAACGCTCAACCGCCAGGACTGGAATCTGGCGCGCTACCGTTGCGCCACGGCTCCTTTTGGATGGTGATTCCAAAATAACTTTCCTCATAGAATTTGGGAATATTGCAATGTAGATTCTTAATTAAGATCAGCACCCTAGTTCTGGGCCACCCTAGTTTTGAACCGAAAAGTAAATCATTAATATTTCAAAAAACCCAAAATTATTCCCACCGCAGACATTACGTCTGTATCATATGCTGTATAGCCCTAGCTCTAGCATCTGAAGCTCTCTTAGCTTCTTTTCTGGCTCCTTTTGTCGTTGACGCCCTACTAAAGCTTCAGCCTCCAGCTGTACTGCTTTAATATTTTCTAAGTCTGTAAACCATGTATGAGGGTCTATAGTAATTCTTTTCTTCTTTTGTCTCAACCTAAGTAGTAAGCTTAGAAATTAGAGCTCCGTCAGTTGCCTATCTAGCAGTAATGAGTCTAATAGCTTTGCCTGCTTTTTCGAGAGCAATCCTTTATCTCTCGTCAAATTTTGTTGTTTTTGAAGGACCCCTTAACCTTTTGTGTAGCTTTAAAGCTATGTTCTCTAGCTTTAGCATAGCATTTCATAAATCGAGCATTCTTTATTAGGGCAGCATCACTAATATAAGAAACCTCATTGACCTGATTCCGATATTTAGCTTTAATGGGCCAGAAGGTGCCTAAATGAAGTGGTTAGAGGATATGGCTGCTATATGCAGGTAGAAAGACTAATTCTACTTTACTTTCCCTATAGATTCATAGAAAATCGATACTTAAATGACTCCTATGGCCATCTAAAATAAGCAATCGATAATAGTCTGATGAAGCTATTTTAGGGAGAACGATTGTTTCAAGCCATTTAAGTCCAGTCAAATTTGATGTCCAGTCATTCTCTGAAGTAATATAAAACAGGCCTGGGATATCCTGTTGAAACCATGAAGTTTGAGGATTCTTTCCCTTAAAAACGATTAGGGGTCGAATGGTTTTGCCGAGTGGATTAATTATCTCAACAATCGATACCTATTCCCGATTCTCTGGCGATTTAACATAAGTCTGTTTTTTCCAGCTTGGGCAAGGACTTAAGAATTCGTACAGACTCCTAAGGCAATTCCATGCTCATCTATATTCTAAATGTTTTCCGGGAGTATCATATTACTCTTTGACCCGAGAAAAGAGATCATAGAACTCTTGGATAGCTGCTGGCTGTGTCCCATAGATTCTAGATGTATCAATACCTCTACTAATGCAAGAAGTAACGTATGGACTCCGTTGAATAAATTTTGATAGCCACGCTTTTCCAAGGGGTTTATGGTCCCCACCAGATCGTAAAACGCGGACAGCAATCTCACGCGCACGCGAATAAGAAGGAGGAAATCCTTAGGAACACTGTTCAATAATCTATTCATATAGTAACTTCTCTTGGTCTAGAGATAGTTTTTATTGATCTACGGGGCCTGCGCGAGCATTTTGTGTACCATTCATTCGAAGTTGTAGAGTGAATCTCGAGAGGTTATAAGCAGCAGTAGCAGCAGCTCTTACTGATGTAATTCGACGTGATTCTAAATCAGAAACGGCAAGAGATATTTTGCCTTCATTCAGAGGCATTTTAGACCGATGGTTGTATTAGAAACGTGGAAAATATGGGAAGTGTGGTGACGCAACTGTGTGGCTCAAACCTAGGGATGGCCCAGAACTAAGGTGCTGATCTTAGTGCACCTATGAACGCTGATTTTTGGAGAAATTTAGGTATAAAATTAGTGGATAAATCGTGGTCTGATTGATACCTCGGTAAAATAGGAAGTGTAGTACATAATTTTCAAGAAAATCAATAATGATGAAATATATCTACAAGACCCCACAAATAAACATTGGAACGATTCAAAGAGTGTATAAAAGAAAAAATTGAATCAGCATCACCATCCATCCAGCTTGGTGAATTTAGCCAGAACGCCATCCCTCGGAGAAACAGTAGCACCACCCTCACGCAGCAGTAGCGGAGCATGAGGATCTTTCAGCTCGAGCTCAAAGCTACCAACAACAGCAGCAAGCAAGCAGGCAAGCTCCGCCTTAGCAAAACTCTGCCCGATACAACTGCGCGGGCCGTGAAGGAAACTCATGAAGGCATAGTTGTTCGTTGCGCCCCCAGTATTAGCCTTACCGGGTCCCATAAAGCGGTCTGGATTAAACTCGTCTGCATCTGGCCCCCAAAGCTCTTCCATGTGGTTCATCAGATCCATTGAGATAATGAAAGCGGTATCCTTCGGGATAAACTTGCCCACTAGCGTTGTGTCTTTGAGCGCGACGCGGATGCTGTTTGGGACGGATGGATAGAAGCGAAGAACCTCGTTGCAGACTGCGTTCAGGTAGGGAAGACTATCAATTGTAGCGGCAGCGATGGGCTCGGGGTTTTCAAGGGAGATTGGAGGGAGGTTTGAGCGGATCTCCACTCGCAAGCGGCTTTGCACCTTGGGATTCTTGCACAGCGCGTATACGGACCATTGTAGGGCGTTGGATGTAGTTTCGTGACCTGCAGCCAGAAGGGTCATGAGTTGGGCTACTAGGTTCTCCTCTTCGAAGCTGCCATTTTGAATTGCGATGGACATGATGTCGACTCCGGTATCGTCCTTTGAGTCCATGTTGGCTTTCTTTTTGCGGATCATTTGTCGAGCTGTCTCACGGATGAACTCTCCGCCTTTTTTGATTTGTATGTTGCGCTTTAAGGGGAGCTTAAAAACGAGCCCTGGAATACTGAGCACCAATCCAATCATGAAAATGAGTTTGTCAGTGAAGCTGGCACTGGTAATTATCTGCCTGTATGACTGGTTAAGACGGTTGTTTGGGTTTTGTAATGAATCAAAGTCTTGACCCATGCCTGCCAGTCCGATGATATCAAGTGTAGCACGACTTGACCAGTTATTAACCTGAACGACATTGTCAATGGTATTGCTGGACTGCCTGTCTGCCAGGTCTTCTTTAATCAGCTTAACCATCTCTGAGCTCTTGGACCAGAATATTGGATAGAGATCCTTAATGTGACGATATGAGAATGCCGGCATAAGATCTTTTCGTTGTTTCTGTAACGAGTGTTAATGAATCAGAGTAGAGAAATATTATATGGAAGAAACAAACTTTGTGATCGTCGCCTTCTGCAATAAGAATGCCATCGCCAACAATACGACGCATAGACGTTCGTACCAGCTCTGGCTTGGCAAAATCATAGGCCTTTTCTACCAAAACCTCTCTCAAAGCATTGGGGCTTGTCAAAACCACCCTCTCCAAGTTGCCAACCATGTAATAGCGGAAGAGGCCTTCATTGGGGCAACTCTTCACCCATTGTCTTATTTTTTGATGTGGGGTTTCGTTAAAGAGGCTCTCGGTATTTCCAGTAAGCCAGCGTCGCCGCTGAAGATAATTGTTATGTATGCATCAATTCCCTGAATATGGTCGGGACTTACCGATGGTGTTTGGATGTGTTTCAAGGGTGTGAAGAACCGAGGATAAAGATCAAGTTGATATATGATCTTCCATAAAGTATGTACGGTGAGCAGAATAGCGATGGTCGCAACTCGTGAATTATATATGGTATACTCTGGCTTGAAGTAGACCAAAGCTGTTAAGCCGAGGAAGAGAATACCCGTAGTCATGACAGCAGCTGAGAGGATCCCAAATCCCTTGACTGATAGCTCAACCGAAAAGGGTCATGCAAAGCCCGAACAATTAAGACGAAACGACGACAGCTTTGTGCTAAGTTGACACGTCAGAATAATCAGCACAAAATGATTGTTTTGCAATTGTATGTAAAGAGTGATAGAATCAAACGGAGGGTCGCACAAAATTGGGAAAACGGACTCACCTATTTTACACCGTCAAATTATAGGAGTCGAGATAGATATTTAAAGCTCTCACCTCGAGAACTGAAAAGGCTGGATAAATTGATCCTCGATACCAAGCAACAGCTAAGTTGGCTTTGAACTTATAGTTAGGCGGGGCAGGATTCCCCCGGGCCCGACTAATCCGAGTTTGGTATACCTTGCGAACCAATTTCGTATGGATTTGTTGCTGCCTCGTTGCTTACATCTTAAGTTAATCAGTGATCATCAAAATCGTTTATTACCCTGTAATGAACATACAATGTCATGCATGACATTAGGACCCTATGGGGTTTATAACAGTTGAGAGCGTAGCTAGTTATTTTTAGTATGGAATGACATCATGTCTATATTCCGCTTGAGTCTTCTTCCATCATAAAACCAGGCAAATCTACGCGCTATCTATATCTTTCCAGATCACGAGCTCAAATATAAACCTCCAGCCATAGCAGATTTACTCTAGCGAATCCGGTTGGCCATGCTAATCTCAACATTTGGTTCTTCGGCCTACGCCCAGACTAGGGAAGGATTATTCTGGAAGCCACGGCCAACAAGCACAAAGTCCAGACCCTCGTTCTCCAAAAGAGAGTTGGCCGGGGAGTCCGAGTCAATCATGCCTGCGTTGCCGACTTGCAACTTGTCTCCCACAGCCTTCTTCACCACAACAGCAAATGGCGCTTGGAAAGCTGCCTTGACATGAATGTGTTGAGCGGTGTGGTTACCTCCACTGCTGATATCGAACGCATCAATAGCTCCCTGCTCCGCCAGAGTCTGTGAAAAGCGTACGGTATACTCCACACGCCGGTTTGGCTGGTCCGGCAGAGATTCTTCCAGCCAATCAGTTGCTGAAACGTGCAGGAGGATGGGCAAAGTGTCGGGAACAGTTTCGCGAGTCAATTAGGCGATCCAAAAGACAGGCGATAAAAATCTCATCAAAAGGTATCTGTGGGCATATTGGATTTCAATAAAGTCCACACACCGCTTTAACGGCCCGCTTGACTGCAACTCAGTTCTTCTTCAGTTCTTCGATTTCAGTGTTGGTAAGGGTTTTTTTGGTGTCGGTAACGCCTCATTAAAGGGGATGGTGCTGGGACCTTTTACGTTCTCCATCTGAATAGTAGACTATAGTCTGTTCCTGCTTCTGCTTATATTATATGCTATGTAGTGAGGCCTGGGCTACCTCTAGATCTGGTTGAATAATATATGGGGTCCGTACCTCCCATGGTGCCATAATGAATGATTTCGAGTCTCCTATTCTCTCGGAACTAGATGTTGTATATCTTGTTATATGCGAGGCTAGGGCTAATATGCCTCCCTTCTTGAATCTTTGTGCTTCAAGTGGGCTCTATCCGCTCTGCTTCTTCTCTTTGGCGTCCTATGTGTATCCGTGTAGACGGTGTAGGCTCTCTGGTCACGCCTATTATGGCCCTGTCTGGATTCTTAATGCTGTTTCCTGAACGATTTGGTCCATGAGTAGTTTAGCTGGTGGGAGATAGAGCTCTATCTTAAGTGCAGCTGCGCTTGTCGATTTAAATGCACCAATAATTATTGCTAGGCGTCGTTGAATCTTGGTGAATTCATTAGTGACCCTTCATAGTTCCCCTGCTGGGAGGGCTCTGGCAAGAGGGCAGTACTATGCTGAGAGCCTGTAAAGCATTTGTGGTAATACTACCGCGTGGTAGACCTTTCGCATTACTAGTAGTGAGGTTCCCTATATGGCCCGTGATACCGCGAAGCGCCTCTAGGCTAATATAAGCCTTAGTAAGCAGCTTTTACTGATGTAACTAACTTATGACGGAGTTAAATAACTCCCATGTTATTTTATTAATTCCTCGTCAATAAATTTCTAGAATAATCCGTAGTTTATGGTAGCGCTTGAATATGCAAATATTGAAGCCCCTTATCACACTAACAGTACAAATATCAAAACTAACTGGCTTGGCAGCGCTTACTTTTTAAGACGGAATAGATTATGGGGCCGATGGGGCTCAGAAATCCTCTGTGCGCCCCAGATGTTCTCACATTCAATTTCCTAGTTCCATAGTTTCCATAGTCTGTGTATCAGACAACACTAGAGTCTAAAGCTAAAAAAAATACCAAAGAATCGGATGCCGAGTTTATCCTTATTTCCATTTTCCACTTCCACTTCCAATTCCACTTCATCTTCTGTTTCATCTTTCCCCCTTCCAGGTTTCGTTCTTTCAACCCGATCACATTCCTTCTCCACACTCTACAGGAACAACCAGAGTCCCGCTCCCTTTTCTAGACGCTTAAATTTCGGGGTTCTTCAAAGCCCGATTCGATTGTAAAACGTGCATGCAGCCCCGAAACACTGAAATACTGAAACACTGTCGCTACTGTCGTTCACTTCCTACTCAGGATTCGCGCCCCCTTAGTCACCCGCAATTATGCGCCAGTCACACGATTAAAAGACTCACATTCATTGTTCAATCTTTAATCTTCACTCTTCAATCTTCGCCTTTCGCTCCCTAATCACCGTACTCAATTGCGACCTAACCCGGCTGGCCCGAGGAAGTCACATCCATTGACTCGGTTCAACTCTCTTTTTTATACTCGATCGCTTCCTGACAGGATCAGAAGTTACGCAATGGGGTGCTCAGGCGACCGAGAGAAAGGAGAGGTCTTCATGGAGGAGAAGTGGGACTATGTAGTATGTACTTTGTAGCGACCGAAGTCGCATCTCTAGTGAATGGGCTGACAAGGTTTTCCTTTCTCCAGAATCTGAATGACTTCAAATCAGAATCATGCTTGACCCCATTCTCATACTTCTTTTTATGGGTCTTCCTCATTGTCTCTTGCGCCGTTTATGGCGTGGATACCTTCACTGCCGTCAATCTGCTTGCCTTCTCCCGCTGGTCCGGTCGAGTTGAGCCTGTCATTCCCTTTCGAATCTCCCGTTGGATCTTTGCCATCTGTATTTTAATCTCCTTCGTCCTTTTGATATATCGATGGTTCTGGGCAATTCGTGCTATCCGCTCTGGCAGTGTCACGCAAAGCTACCTCAATCCCCTCGCCGTGCGCGTGCAAAGTTTTCGTGTTCTCGGCAAGAGTGGCCAGGGATGGAAGCGCTTCCTAGTCTTTGCTGAGCTGACCAAGAGTAAGAAAGGCGCCGAGTATGTGGCTTTGTATACATACTTCTCTTTCCACTGTGAGTTGAGATCTCCACCATTTCGCTGAATCGCGCGCAGTACTGACCATTCTGATCAGCTTGGTTGAATACAATCTTTGCAGACGGTCCCCGCCAGGTCCTCAATGCCATCACCCTCTACTCGGTCATGAAGCTGGATCTTCTCCCAGGAGGCGCAGATGCGAAGGCAGATTCAAGCAATTCCGGGGTCACACAATTCTTCGACAACATCAAGATCCTCGCCGAAGAAAATAACCTCCGCGCAGTGGTCTTGTTTGGCATGTTGTTCACCCTCGTCATCTGGGTTCTGTCAGTCTTAAAGCTAGCTTCGGGCATCGTTCTTTACCTAATATTCCTCTTCCACCACATTCCTACTGAGGATGGTTCTCTGAAGGCATACTGCCGTCGCAAGATTACCACCCGGCTAACGCGTATTGTCCGAAAGAAGGTCGACAAGGCCCTGGCAAAGGGACTGAAGCTAGAAGATCGCGCACCGACCAAACCGACATTGAACGCTGGTAACTCGAAACCAACTTTACCAACGGTCGACTTGGACAAGACTCCAGCTGTGACAACTGTGCCACTCAATACCGCCGAGACTAAAAGGCATTCCTTTACGCGTGTTCCGAGGGAGAAAGCTGCGACCTTGCCAAATCTTGAGCAGGACGCCACGCTGCCAAATATGGACTTTGACAGCAAATTGCCCTTGAATCGCACAATTACCGAAGGATCAGCATTCTCTGAATCGGCCTCGCTTACTGGACACGCCGCAGGTATGGGCTATAGTCCTCTTGATCGCCAGCCTGCCCCGCCAATGCCCATGAACGAGTCTCGTTATGGTACTCCGGCGCCAGGAGCCTATCGCAACTTGACAACCCCGGGACCACAGCCATATCGTGGTCAAATACCGACATCTGGCCCACATGCTCGCTCAAATACACCTGGTGCATCTATTGCGGCTAATCAGTACGGTCGGTCTAACACGGCTGGTCCTTATGGTCAAGTGAATGCGACCGGGCCATCTGCAGCAGCTGATCAGTATGGTCGATCGAACACGGCCGGTCCTTATGGTCAAGTCAATGCATCGGGAGCAGCTGTCGCTGCAAACCAGTACAGTCGATCCAACACTGCTGATCCCTTTGGTCAAGCCAAGGCAACCGGGCCGTCTGCTGTAGCTGACCGGTACGGTCGATCCAACACGACGGATCCGTATGGTCAAAGCAATTCGTCAGAAGCCTCTGTCGCCGCTAGCCAGTATGGTCGATCCAACACAGCCGATCCCTACGGTCAAGTTAATTCATCAGGGCCATCTGTCGCTGCAAACCAGTACGGTCGATCCAACACGGCTGATCCATATGGTCAAAATGTTTCACCTGAAGCTTCTGTCGCAGCAAATCAGCACGGTCGTTCTCACACAGCCGACCCCTATGGTCAAGTCAAGGCGGTCGGGCTATCTACCGCAGCTGATAACTATGGTCGATCCAATACAGCCGGTCCTACTGTTGGTAATGACCCGCACACGGCGGCTGACTATAACCACTATGGCAATGGAGTGGATGCGTACGAAGAAGACGATTATGAGGATCTGTATGACATGTATGCAAGCCCCGTGACCCAACAAGGTCCCCCTTACCCGCATCAGGTCTACAGCCAAGATCCATACCAGGCGAGCTCTATCACTCCAGCTAGTGTTGCACCCGCACAAGATCCTTATCGCCCTTATTCTCCGCCTCGTACTGGAGTAGCATCTCAAGATCAGCCTTACCGATCTTATACACCAGGAACCACTGGAACAGCATCGCAGGATCCGACCTACCGATCTTATACGCCAGGTAGTACTGGGGCAACATCGCAGGATCCTACTTACCGATCTTATACACCAGGAACCACTGGATCAGCACCAAAAGATTCGTACCAGCCTTACACCTCCAGCGCCACGCCCCAAGACACCACTCGGTCTTTCGCTCCAGCAAACGCTGGAATCACTCGCCCTCCAGTGAGCGTACCGCCCATCAGAACCATGACTCCTACTAGCGCAGGCACTCAGGGTGGCTACACTGCATTCAATCCTTCAACTTCAGTGTCTTCTCAGACATCACCACCACAGACCCGGAGACCCTCCGTACCAACAGGCTATCAGCCTTTCACTCGTGCCAACACTGCCTCTCCCTCAAACATACACCGTAACGGTCCACCGGCCGGATACTCCTTCAACCGCGCCAACACCGATCGCTTCTGATTCTACCTCTGATTCGTTGTCTTCATTTCTTTATGACTTACAGAAAAGCAGGCCCTATTTCTGCCATTTTATGACCCTCCTTGTTGATAGTATTCATGACCAGCGAGAATCTCGCTTAGATGACATGCTGTATATATTTGGATTTCCCTTACAATACCCCTTTTCTATCTATGATGTTCGAGAGTTTGATTGATTGATAATTCTTTATTATGGAGTATTCTTCTTTTAAGCTATAGTGAGGTAGCTTGTGTAGTTATAATATTTGGGGGTCTTTAATTAGGATTTGAACACTTGTGACATAGCAAGATGAAGTGAGTCGTTCAAGGTGATAATACCTACCTAACCTAGGTGGCTAGTGACTGATTTTCTTGTTCTAAGATTCCAAGGTTACTTACATTGAATATCGAGTCTGAAATTCTGTGAAAGTCCCGAAGAACATTTCTAGGCTTCTGATTTCAAGCCCTGCATATGCGCGTGTGTGTGTGTGTGTGTGTGTGTGTGCGTTTTTTTTTTTTTTTTTTTTTTTTTTTTTTTTTCTTGACGCATTCCAAGGTTATGTATTCAAAGATCTAATTCCATACTGACTCTTCAATAGGAAAGGCGTTATCAACTGGTATATATGCGGAGATAATGGTCTATCGCGCCATCGCAAAACAGCCCACTGAAACTCCGCTTGGAATTTGCTGATAGGCTGGGTTTCCACCTTTATCAGTTTTGATTTCTATCGACCGAGAGGGGATTGAGAGATTCGGAATATAGTCGATGAGATTCCCGAGTTCCATAACAATATTTGTAACATTTTGAGAATTGGTATCGCACCTGTAACTAGTCATGAGCGTTGATCATAAATACCGCATCGGTGTCGATGTAGGTGGTATGTGAAGCGTCGAACTATTGGGGAGCACTAAGAACCTATCCACTGACAAGGGAATGATCAGGAACAAACACCGACGCGGTTGTCATTTCTCTCAACCCAGTCTCTGTAATCGCTTCGCACAAGTCGCCGACAACAGCAGATGTCACTACTGGTATCACCAATGCTGTACAGGCAGTGATCAAACAATCGAACGTCTCCCTGTCTTCTATTAGCTGTGTAATTGTCGGTACAACTCATTTTGTCAATGCCGTTGTACAGCGATCACCCTCGCTACGGCGAGTTGCTGTTGTTAGACTCTGTGGTGGTCCCGATGAGGGCTTCGGACGTGGAATTCCTCCGTTCGTAGATTTCCCCGCAGATCTTCGGCGCTCTATTGAGTCATCGCATATCTACTTTTGCAATGGTGGCTATCAGATCTCCGGTAGCGAGATCAGTCCTTTGGATGAGGCCGAGATTCAGCGCATAGCAGAGGAATTGGTCAGGAGTGATGTGTCAAACATTGTTATTTCGGGAATGTACGCTCCTCTCGACCATTCTCAGGAGCTCAACGCTAAAGATATTCTGCTAAAGGCTATGCTCCAACTTGGAGGACCTGGCTTGAAACCACGCATCACATTGTCGCATGAAGTGTCTGGTCTTGGATTTCTTGCGCGTGAAAATGCCGCAATTCTGAATGCGACTTTGCGCCCATTGGCAGAAAAGACCATTCTTGGCTTTCAACGCGCGATGGAAGATATTTTCCAGAAAAACCTCTACACATTATACTTAACTCAAAATGATGGCAGTGTCCTTGGGGCTTCCGAGGCGGTCGAGATGCCCATTCGCACTTTCAACTCTGGCCCGACCAACTCTATTCGGGGTGGCGAGCTTCTTTGGCGTGCTGCAGTTGAGGCAGATGGACACGATCATAGTGATAGGACTGAGCCACTCGTCGTGATTGATATTGGAGGAACTACATCCGACAGTGGACTTTTACTCCCCAATGGCCTTCCTCAGATGAGCTCTGTGACCAGTCTAGTTGGTGGCGTTCGCACCAACTTCGCTCTTCCTGCCGTCGAGAGTATTGGGCTTGGTGGTGGTTCAATCGTCCAAACATCAGACCGGGGGGAGTTTTCTGTCGGACCGGAGAGTGTTGCGCTCGAGCTACTACAGAAAGCCAGGCTGTTTGGAGGAGAGTACCTTACCTCTACTGATATTGTTGCTGCGTCCGAGCTGCATTCGCCAACGGGAAACAACCCCTTTGAAGGTATGGGCAACGTCGAGTTTCTCGCAAACGTCACACCGAAAATAGTTAGGTCATCCCAGGCTGTGATGCGACGGAAGATCGAGGAGCTTGTAGATCGCACGAAGATCCAGAAGGGTGATGTTGATGTCTTGATTGTGGGTGGCGGTGCGCCTATCATTCGAACGGACGAACCACTCGCAGGAGTACGCATGGTCCGGAAAGTCAGAGGTGGAGGCGTAGCTAATGCTGTTGGCGCTGCTATCTCAGGAGTTTCAGGTGTTATTGACACTGTCGTCGATACTTCAAATCAAACGCTCAAAGAGGCGCAAGAAGCGGTCTCCCAGCTGGCTATTGAGAAGGCGATTTCCAATGGAGGAAAGCCAGAGACGATCCAAATCGCTGAAATTACGATGCTCCCGATTCAATACGTGGACGCTAAGGCCCGCATTCTCATCAGAGCTGTCGGACAACTCGACATTGTATCTCAGCAGGAGACGCCTCAGGAGATTGATGGGATAGACGATAACGTGCTATCAGACCAAAGGAGTAGCAAGACTGAGAGCAAAGAAGAGCAACGCACGGAACCTCCGACTGTGGATCTCCAAACATATCGTCCGGAAGTCAAAGATGGTCAGTGGATCATTTCTGTCACTGACCTGACATTCATCGCACAAGGATGCAAGATTCTGGGATGTGGAGGTGGTGGTGATCCATACCAGGAATACCTCAAAAACAAGGCTATAGTGCTTGCTCACCCCGGAAAGGTGAGAGTTGTTTCGCCAGATTACCTTCCAGACGATGCTCTTGTCGGCTGGACCGGTTGCATGGGCAGTCCAGAAGTGAGCATGGAGCGCCTGGAAAACAACGAGTGCCTAAAAGCTCATGACGAGCTCATGAGAGTGACTGGCAGCCCAGCAGTCTCAGGATTCATCGCCTTGGAAATTGGAGGTGGCAATGGGGTCGTCAATCTCGGAGTTTCCGCTCATTACGACGTACCTTGCATTGATGCTGACTTTATGGGTAGAGCGTACCCTACCTCTTGGCAAGTCACGCCCAATGTATATGGCGCTCCTAACGGCGATGCATTGGTCCCAGTAACTATCGCAAGTGGAGATGGATCATTTATCACTATGAACAAATCTCGTACAGACAGGCTTGTAGATAGAGCCTTGCGAGCTTCATGTGTTGAGATGGGCTGCCGAGCTGGAAGTGCCGGGCCGCCCAAGACCTCAAAGACCGTGAGAGAACAAGCGATCACCAACACGGTATCTTTGGCCTGGTGGATTGGACGAGCGGTGGCACTGGAGAAAAACATCACAGATAAGGCGGCGCGTATCATCAACGAAGTTGGTGGTCCCGGGAGTGCGGCTATTCTGGGTCAAGGCAAGGTAATTAGCGTGGAGCGTGTTCTCAAGACTGGACATAGCTATGGTGTTCTGGAAGTTGATGGAACCCTCAGCGATGGAAGTAAAGCTTTGATCAAGGTCCCGTTCAAGAACGAAAATGCATTCGTTGAAGCCGTGGCAAATGGTGAAGCTAAGATCTTGGCCTCTGTTCCAGATTTGATCGTTGTTATCGATGCAGAAACTGGTGCTGGTCTTGGGACCCCGGAGTTCAAGTATGGCTTGAAAGTTGTGATCATCGCCATCGCTGCTTCACCTCACTGGACAGATACAGAGCGGGGAATGGAGCTTGGAGGACCTGGATCGATGGGATTTGATGATGTGAAGTATGTTCCGATTGGAAAGTACAGCCAGCCTCGGAGCGTCATCGAGGTGTTTGGTTGACGATATGGCAAGCTGTACGACATAGACTGAAAATGAGTGAAAGACCGTGAGCCTGAATAGATCTCGCCTTAATAAAGATATTCAATCTAATCTTGAGATATAATGAGACCCCGGGACCTCGGAGCGCAAATTGTGCCCCACATAGCTTAATTTCACTATTCGTTCCAATGTAATGAGGTCTCGCAAAACTTCGGAAAAGCATTCTATAATTTATGCCTATCTACTTGTGTCATAATGCAGTAATTGAATATGTCCATGGATGCGTGCTAGCTAGAAATTTAGCAATCAGAAGTAGCCGGGAAACAGCCAATTCAGCTTCTTCTGGGCCTCGGGGCTTCGGTGAGGCTGAGCCGTGCTAAATCCAAACTTGATCGAGCCAGCCAAGTGCTTAGCGTTGACAAGGTCAGTGTGCTCATCGCTAGCCAGAGCATCGAGAACGGCGGTAACGAAGCGTCGGGCGTTCTCGGCATTGGCCTTCATATGGCCCATAACCATCTCGACAGTGACGTCGGCAGTCGCCTCGTGCCAGCAGTCGTAATCAGTCGACATGCAAATCATTTGGTAGGCGATCTCGGCCTCCCGAGCCAGCTTGGCCTCGGGAAGGACGGACATGTTGATAACGCTACCTCCCCAGGAACGGTACATGTTGCTCTCAGCACGGGTAGAGAACTGAGGACCCTCTATAGGGAGAGAAAACGTAAGAGTTAGTAGAGTTCAAGATATTGAGTATTATCGTAGCACATACCCATGCAGATGATAGTTCCCCGATCATGCAGAACGACACCGTCGCCCTCTAGACTGTGGCCACAGGCGCGCACCACCTTAGCGATACCCTCATCGAAAGGGTCTCCGAAAGGAACGTGCGCAACAGCACCACCCTCAAAGTATGTCCAGGGTCGCACTCCCTTGGTACGGTCGATGATCTGATCAGGGACGACAAAGTCGCGCGGCTTGATTTGTTCCTGCAGACTGCCAACAGCTGAGAAGGCGATGATGCTTCGCACACCAACGGATCGAAGAGCTGCAATATTTGCACGGGCAGGGACTTCGTGAGGAGCAATCTGGTGGTGCAGGCCGTGTCGGCTCAGAAAAGCGACGGCGACAACCTTGTTATTATGCTTGGATGTGTGGTGGAGGATGGTGATCGGAGAAGAGGGTTCACCCCAGGGGGTAGAGACATTCAGAGAGGCAACCTGGGTAAAGCCAGGGAGTTCACTGAGTCCAGTGCCGCCAATAACGGCAATAGGCACAGGGCCTATTTTTTTGTTATTAGCTTCAGGCGGGGTAAGGGAGGGGTTAGGGCATACAGGGCACGTACCTTCGTATGTGTTTGGGAGAGCTGCCATTCTTCGAGCCAGTTGCTTCGCGGACTCTATTCGAATAAAAGGCTTAGAGATTGACGAAGGCCTAGAGATCGATGAAAGTTGACGAAATCCAAAACCCCAGGGCACCTGCATCTCTGGCGATCAAATTTCATCACCCCGCTTTGATTGGATCGCGGCCCCACGTGGTGTCATCCTGAGGCCGCAAGTTATTTATACATCGTCGATACCGTCACTTTTTCCATGATTATATTGATTCAATCGGACCTAGATAGTTTGAATTCATCTCTTAAGTAGAATAAATTGATTTTACAATCCATTGACCGGGCGGGAGCATACCTCGTGAGATCATACCGTATCTCAAAATAGATGTGTCTTTAAACGAGGCCAAGAAATCAAAGGCTATCTACTGATCGTCCAAGAAAGCTGGCACAGGAATAGAACGGATATGAACCTACTTATCGTGAGTATGTCATAATTTGTGGCCGAATTTTCGAATCCAAGGGCGATGAGCTGTCTCCACAAACAATATCCTGCGATCGTGAACAATGCAAGACAAGATGTTTAATTCTATGCACCTGGATATATCGCTCATGCAGAGGACAGGAAAGGTGTAGTGTTATTTCAGTTGCCTTCAGGGCTTAAGACGACGAGATTTGTATGGATGAAAAGCCGACGTATCATAACTTCTAGGGTAATAGCGGATCTTATGGCTGAACGTTATTCGGAATTGAGGTCGCCCGGACTGGCTGGTAAAATTCCTGCTCCCCTGTTAACTGTCTTTTCAAATATATCCTCGCACGAGTGGCTAAGGGAGCCGCCGGATTCAAAGGTCGATGATTGAGTCATGAGGTCCTTAAAAGGCTGATCTTTAAGTCTGACTGGAAATGACGGGAGTCTTGAAGATGTATTGCATTTTCTACCTAACTAGGTAAGTAATGCGGTATCCTTCATTAAGCTTCCAAGAGCAATGCTCCCGAGGCCTTCCAAGGTTGCTTTGCTTTTAGAAGTTTAAAGGATTTCATTTGTCGTGGCTGCTTGACGCGCAAATCACTTTAAAATGGAGGGACTAGTCCAATTGGATTTGTTTAGACACATTGGCAGAACTTTTGGTGAGCATCTAGGTATTCGTGAACTAAGGTAAACGTAGCAACCTCGGAAATTTCGATAGGCAATATACCTGCCTTGTCAGCCCTTTTCGAACTTCAGATGTAGCATGATAGAGTTGTTCCTTGGAATCTCCAATAATTCCTGGCTATCATCAACAGTCGACTTGGAGCGGACAGTTCTCCGTATTCGTACTTCGTATGTGTTGCATCCAATACCAAATTAAAGTGACCGGTAAGGATCCGGGTGGGACAACCGGCCCGGTTAGGGTTTATTCACTGAGGCTCTGTGGAGAAAATATGTGCACTGTTGCCACTGCCCAGATGTATCATGTATGTGTCCAGACTCCGAGATAGGAATGGTGCAGATGTTCTAGTCAAAATGAATGATTGCGATGAAACTTCCCCGCAATCTGGCCAAAGATAAAGATAACTGACTCCATCGCTCGGGTATACTTCGGGTCCTTCCAAGTGCTCCATCCCCACCCCACCCTCCGTTTACTGAAGAGGTCTATCTGATTCTTTGTACTTCATGCTATTATTCCAAGGTCTACAGGTTGCCACCTACTCATAGTTTATTATTTCTGGGGTGGGTTACCTGAGTAGGTATGAATATGTTGTGTGAATGAATCGACAAATTTACAATTTCATCGCCGAACGTATATTAGAAAATCTATGTACAAGTAGAGATCTATGCAATCCACCACCAGGCCTTTTCAAGCCAGTTACGAGGGATTGGTTCCACCTCCAACTCTTCCTCTCGGTCTATCTCAGCTTTGCCGGAGAAAATATCAATATCTGCAACTGGAGTCATCCAGGGCGTGCGGTACCAGATCTTATGGCCAAGGTAGAGAGCGAAGAAAATAGCGAACACAATGTATGAAACAAGGAAGCCAGATGCTGTGAAAGAACCTGGGAAGAAGATCGAGTAGCCATTGGTGATAGAGAGCAGCGCAATGAAAACAATGGCATAGTAAGCGCCGTATGGTTGAAGAGGAGTCTTGAAAGGAATTGATTCAAGAAGTCCATGGAATTTCAGAGCACTGCGGAAACGCAGATAGGCAATGCCAACAATCACCCAGGAAATGAAACCTCCGACCGTGGTGATGTTTGTGAACCAGTAAAAAACATTTGACCCCGAAGAGGACAGGTTCAAGAATGCAAGCAGACCAATGGACCAGGTGACCAACACTGCATAGTATGGCACGCCGCTCTTACTGCAGCGGGTGAAAATCTTGGGAGCTTGTCCCTCCAAAGCAAGGGAGTATAGGGTTCGGGATCCAGCGAAAACCCAAGAATTGCCAGAGGACCAAGCCGAAAGCAGGATGGCAGCGTTGATAACATGGTTTAGTCCAGAGATCCCTGCGTTCTGAATACCAATAACGAAGGGACTGGCACCGGCGCCCGATGAACCATCACTGACACCCTGAAGGAGGTTCTTGTCGTTATAGGCAACGGTGACTCCAATGACTAATGTGCCGAGAACGTAAAAGGCAAAAAGACGGTAGATGAAGCGGTTAGTAGCCTTGGGAATGTTGCGACGAGGAGAGACAGATTCTCCAGCAGCCGTGGTGATGAGTTCAGGAGAGAAGATGAATGAGAACCCAGACTTGATCAACGCAGTCCAGAATGCCAGGAAGCGGCCAGTGTTGATGTTCTGGACCAGATAGGGTTCCTTGAAAGAGCCAGGGGTCTTCCAGTAGTGGAATCCGAGTCGCTCGTGTTTTGGGCCTCCACCGAAGAAAAGAACAACGCCGAGGATGATGAGACCAATGATAGCAATGATTTTCATTGAAGCAAACCAAAACTCGGCTTCACCATACCAAGATACGGCGATGACGTTCAAGAGTAAAATCACTGCATAGGAAAAGGATAGTAAGCATGTGCCAGGTTAGATTTTACGCTGATAATTTGACTTACCAATGAGAATAATAGCAATCCAGACACCAACATTGACTGGCGTTGACCAATATTCGATGACAAGTCCAGCTGCTGTGACTTCTGATGCCGTCAACATGGAAAATGAGTACCAATAGTTATATCCTATGAGTAAATGTCAGTATTTCGTTTGATTGGTCAGGAAGTCACATGAAAACTTACCAACAGCAAAACCCATGCTGGGCTCAGTGAAGCGGCTGACGAGGTATGGCACAGAAACTCCGCGTACGGGAAGATAGGTGGTCATTTCTCCGAGCATGTTCATAACGAAGTAGACGATACTTGACATAACGATGTATCCCATAAGAAGAGGAGCTAGAATGAGAAGTTAGTTAAATGCCATGCATTGTTTGTTGTCAAGGTATGCTCACCAGGTCCGACAGTCGACAATGTAGCTCCACTTCCAACGAACAAGCCTGTACCGATACAACCACCCAAAGCCAAAAATTGAATATGACGAGAGCTCAATCCACGCTTTGTCTCGCCAGTAATGGCTTCCATTTCCCCTGATTCGGCCTTCAGGTCATCATAGACGATGGCAGGGGCCTTGGCCTCCTCTAGGCCTTGTGGTGACAGTGACATAATGACTTGTATGCACGATTAAATAATAGTGCCCAGGGTGTTGGAAGGTGTATTTATGATGATAATGTGAATGTCTGACAATGTATGTAATTTGATGTCCGATGTGGAGGTAGTGCACTCCAGTCAGACCTCTTGTGGCCAGGGATATAAAGATATAAAAAGACTGAACTTATCAGGACTCAAGTGAGCAAGAATCCTCGGATATATATATGTGGAATTTTTTCTGATATAGCGTTTCGTCAATTTCCAATCTCAGTAAAGTAAGAAAATCCGCCACTACGGATCCATGGATTTCAAAGAATTGATTAGATAAACGGATAATTAGTTACTAGGTTTGCGCAGCAATCTCCAGTTGCGATTATCAGCGATCCACACTCTAACAAATTGTGGGGTTACCAGGAAGATAGGAACTCTGGGTGCGAGATTTAGGGCAAATCTAGACTTCAGCGACAAATAGTAGTCAAGCAGAAAATGGTTCACCGAAGCAGCTGTACCGCCTACTATAGCAGAGACTTTTAGGCCTGAGGCCGAGAAGGATCCCCAAAAATACATACAAAGTTGATTTTCTGCCGGTCCAGGGTCATTTCTTGGCATTTGCCTTGTGGCCCTAATACCCCCATTTGATACCGCAATCTGAAGATGGCTATTTTCTTTATCAAATGCCAATTAATAAATTTATAAAGTAATTGTGGCTTTGTTATATTCTATGGTTGTCCTTGTAGTCTATACAAATCTATACAACACTTCTATGATCAATAAATTGTCCTTCTTCCTACTCCAAGTTGATAATTGATGTTGGATTAAGAATTATTGTAGTTACTAAGTATACCCACTAGAAGATCTGGGGCAGAGAATATGGATCTCACCAAACATGGGGGTTTAATAATGGAAATTCGGTATTTGCAATATCGATTGAAAATCAAGAGTGTAATAATTAGTCAATAATTCTCAAATTCAAACTAGGGCTGCTCGTAAGGCCTGAATTGAACCGGCCCGGGTATACTTATTTGTGGTTCGTGACACACTATCACACCGGCCCGAAATGATTTTTTATGTCTTTTTGGTCGAATAATTCTGTTATCAAGACATTTAAATGTATGATTAACGCACTTAACGAACAGTCATACGATTGGTTGATTTGTTATCAAAGATTGTTGCCCCGGTGGATCTAGTGCGGACTATGCCGTATGATTCTATCGATGCCATTTCTTAGGAATTATTACAAAGTACATAGTTACAGGGGTAAACAGTACCGAGCTACGCAGTAAGTTTTCACCGAGTAGTTGCTTACTTCCTCTAGGGCTGGTTTTGCACCACTTTCAACTTTTCTCTCTTCGAACCAATTATCATTATGATAATTCTCCAGCGAGCACTGGAGCAGCGCTTTTAGTCATCTGGCCTGCTGAATCTCAGCGATAGGCATAATGCTCCTTGATGCAGAAGATTTACACGTTCTAACGTCTTTCGTTCTCTGAATGTCAAAGTAGTCGCTGCTTCCATCTTTGAAGATTCTGGAGGACCTGATCTTACACCCATCACCTGCAGTCGCTCCTGATACTTAGGTAGTATATGGAAATTTACTCGACCAGAACATTTACAAATTACTCGTCGAACATTAAGCGACCAAGCAGCGGTTCTATCTCAACATTGTCTTTGCAATGTTCAAAGATGGTCTAGGAATCTGCAATATTAACACGGTTTTATAGACACTACGTGATATTTAGCAATGCACTATCAGCTATGCTAACCAATTTACCCCCGTCCTCCTTTTCAACGCTTCAATCCTCCGATAAATTCTTTTCAAGTCACCTACACTTGAAGTGTTCACATAGACTACATTACCAATTCCTGGTCCAGTGTAAATTCATTCTATTCAGAATGAACATGAGGTATAGCGGTCTCAAGGTTGACCATGACCAAGGTTGCCCAATAGAAGTGGTCTTCTAGGGACACAAGACCAGAAGACACAGCCTTGGAATCAAGACAATAACCTTGAATATTCTAATGCTGCAATCTCCCGAGTTCATATAAAGATTTGGTACATGGTTTCAGGGCCTATTCAATCAAAAATCTGAATAATCTGAATAATATGTTTAAAGTGCCAAGGATAGAAACTACCTGGGCAGGTTCCAGTCGACGTCGCGGCTGCAGCATTGTCATAAGAGAGGCTGCCGTCCATATCCATGAATATATTATAAATGCGCTAGTTAAGAAAACATTGGATAGTTGGGTTTTTCTGAGATATATGAGTCATGGCTCATGAGATCTTAGGATGTCAGATATCCCAAGATATAATCATTATGCCCATGTATCGTAGATTGTAAAGTGAGTGGACATCGAATGCAGGTGTAGGGCGGAGAGGCTTTGGGGATAAATTCTGCCAGGATGCGGGGCCGCCTAGCCTATGTTATCTCGCTTTTCCTTCAATAACCCATTCCTTGTCAGACCCAAACTGTATGTGCGGACCTTTTGCACTATATCACTCGACTCTTATTCTAGCAATCGATCTTGGGCCTCTCCTGGCCTTCCCTCGCCTTCTCCATTACGTCTCCGCAGACGATGCACGGCCGATCTTGACCTCATTGACATCGCCACATGCACGACTCCAATGCTAGTCCTGCGCCGCAGAACAAACGCCCTCGTGTGGCCGAAGAGAATCGCAAACGGGCCGTTAGAGCGTGTGTAGTCCCATTTATCGCAATGACAAACAATTAGTTCCGGTCCGCTAACTTAGTTGGTCTGCAGATGTGACGGTTGCCGCAGAGTGAAAGAGAAATGCGAAGGGGGTGTACCTTGTCGGCGATGTCTTCGCTATAGTAGACCGTGCAATTTCACACTTATCGATCCCAATGACAAGCACCGATCAGCAGCAACTCCGTAAGTTTCAGCCCGTGCGTCAAAATAGTGTACTTCGATTCCCTGACTCGATTTTTCCATGATAGATTGCTGGAACAAGCAGCCTCGGCCAAACAGCATGAAATTGCGGAAGGAGAACGAGTCCGTTATATGGAGCGTCTTCTCTCCTACTATGTCCCGAACATTACATTTGATATTCAGTCGTTGCGACAGGCTGCGGAGGAGCTAAAGAGCAAACACCGTGACTCCGAATCGGACGTATATTCCACCACCAAAATTGATGCCAATGAACTGGATGATTTGGCAATTGACGAGGAGGATTTTATAATAAATCCTCTCCCGAATAATTCAGCTCGTATGTTCAAATTCTTAAAGCAGTGATTGCAAGAAGCACTTACCAACAGCTGGACACAGAGTACTCGGGAGAATTCTCATACCTCAATTTTTCCAGGAAGATCCGAACGAAGATAGATGAATGGATGAAGACTGCAGCACCGGAGGTCAGTTATCGCTAAATCAATTTTGTAGTTCCAATGTATTCTGACTTGATTCGCACAGGACGAGATTGAGCCTTTTGAAGATCGATGGCGAGCCACACAATTGCAGTCAGGATCAAATTCTATTTCATCTTCGATTGCTTGCCTTCCTCCACGATATGTCGCTGAATTTCTCGTCCAAATATTCTTCAAATATGCGCAGACCAATAATTACTATGTCGAAGAAGAATGGCTCTGTGGGAAGCTCACCTTGTGTTACACCAATCCGTCCAGTTTATCATCTGACGATGCAGGAGCTGTCTGTTCAATTCTCATGGTATTAGCTGTGGGTACACAATTTGCACATATGGAGTCGCCCACACCAGTGAATCGCCTACCACTGGACTCGGCGGCCAACCAGGATCATCACTTTTCAGAGGACGAAGTTGGCTTGACGTTTTATCAGTATGCATCAAAGCTTCTACCTGATCTTATAGCCACTGCTTCTGTTCGCAGTGTACAGGCTTGCTTGTTGATCGGGACCTACCTGCTCCCTCTTGACACTTCCGGGCTATGTTATACATATTTCGGCCTAGCACTCAAGTTAGCTGTTCAAAATGGAATGCATCGGCGTTATCATGGTGAAGGTCTCTCTCCCCGAACAGTGGAAGCACGAAACCGCGTCTTCTGGACCGCCTATACGATCGAACAGTAAGTTGCCTCCAATCCCTATCAAGGCCACTTTCTGATAAAGAGCAGACGAATAAGCATTTTGCACGGTATACCAGCTTCATTGTCAAGTTCTGATGTTGATGCACCTCTCCCAGTTGAATTCCCTGGGTTGATACTAGCGACTCAGCCTTCAAATCATACGAATATGGTGGCATTGATCACTCTAACGCTAAAGCTTGGGGAAGTTTCCAACGAAATGTAGGTACTATAAATCATTCATGCCATAATTATCAAAATTCAGGTACTGATATTTTTTTTTCAAGCTCCTCACTACGAACTTGCCGCAAGGGCCAACAACAAGATTGTCTTGAACGTTTGCTCAATATTCGCAAGAACTTGATTGAATGGTGGTCCACATTACCAGATGAAACAAGCTGTCGAGATCTTAATCCGAGTGGTCCCTTGTTTCGTTCTAACGTACACTTGAAACTCGACTACTGCTTGACTAGGATCTTTGTTGGTCGCCCATTCCTCTTCAGCAATATCAAGGGCCTCCAACAACCTCTCAAGAGCTCATCTGTAGTTTCCAAAGTTCGAACAGCTTTAGTCAAAGACTGTGTGGATGCAGCCCTGGAGATTATTGATCTTTGCCGCCTCCTTCGCGATGAGACTGGTCTTGCCAGAGCGTCATTTACCGAGTTCAGTTCATGCCGCGCAGCACTTCTGGTCATCCTTGCTCAAGGGCTAACTAAGCGCACTGAACGCCTTGGTGCAGCCCTTGAGCAGGGTATTTCCCTAATTAAGATCATGTCAATGGGTGTTGGATCTGCACGCTCAGCTGTCAGCGTCATCGAGGCACTCGAACGTGCTATCCGCCGATTGGAACTCTGGAGCGAGTCACAAGAATCTGATAGTAATGAAGGTTTCACGGAGTCAGCTTATGACCGCTTTAAAAACTGGGAGATGCTTTGGAAGACTGGACCCATTTCACCAGCAACCATCGCATTGAAGCAGCAAGAAGCTCATACAGCTAACGATGCAGGTGCTCCCCAAGATGCCAATTCTCGTGCTTCTACAATCCCTCCATCCACCAATAGTGGTCTCCCCCCAATGCTCATTAATTCCTCGGCGACTTCCGCGCTAAATCACATGAAAATACACGGCTCCGGCACAGTTCTTGATGAAGACGAGGAAGAACACTTTGAAGGTCATGTTCCCGATAATTTTTCTTCCTTGCAGCCCCTCTCCCAAGTGGGTCATTTTGGCTTCGATCACTTCGTCTCCAATTTCCCTCAGGAACTTGGAGAGTTTACCGCTATTCCATGCTTTGATTCTGATGCCCAGGGCCTCTCTGGCCTAGAGCTGAATACTCCCACCGGTAGTGCTGATTCAAATTGGCTGCAGTTTATGAATGAGTGATGTTTTTCAAGCTTTGTTTGGTTGAATTATTTCCTCGGTTTGCAGGTTGCGATGTTAGATACATTATTTCCCTTGTCTTTTTGATATACATGTTCTCGGAAGGTCCCCGTCTCGGTTTTATGGTTTCTATGTGGGAGGTCTTTTTTATTTCACCAGCAAGCTCGTTTATAAAGATATAAGGGGCGAAGATTAGATTCTAGAATTCAAGATCGCTTGCGTCCTCAACTTTGGAAAAGTATCAGAGTACCTAAAGAATTAAACAAAGAGGATATCACTAATCGAACACGACCTTCTTTCCTGAAAAAGTGGTTGTAGCCGTCTTCTCTTTCAGTTTTCGTTTTGCCTCCCAGGAAGGGTGAAGTGGTCCTTCGTCCTTTGCAGGAGCATGGCCCTTTGCACTGCGTGATAGTGTTGGGGCTGAGGCTCCCTGACTAGATTGACTGTGCTTATTATGCGGTCGATCTGTCAAGTCAAAGTCACCTCTTCCACCACGGCCTTGGCCACGACCACCACGACCGCTGGTTGCTCCCTTCCGAGTATCCCATCCACTATCTCTGTTGTTTTTCGCCTTCTTCTCCTGTTCCTTGACGTGATTCGCACTCGCACCAAATTTTTTCTCCCACAAGGCGCGTCGCGCTTGTTGACCCATCCTGTTCTTGCGTTTGGGTGGGCCGGCAACTTGTTCATCGTCAGTAGCTTCAGACTCAGAACCAGACCAATAGCCACCCATCATCAGCGACGGGAGGAATGTTGTGCCTGTTACCGGGGCGGCGGATGCCTTGCTCGCCTTGGCCTTTTTTGGTGGCGGGGATGTCCCTTCTGAAAAGACAGGGGATGACGAGCGAGAGACTGAATCCGAAATGTCATCTAGATCAGGCTTTTCTTTTTCTCCATCGAAAATTCCCTCGCCAGAATTCAATTCTTCCTCTGAGTCTGAACCTGGAGCCAGTCGCGCATCCAATTCTGAAAATTCTTCATCTCCCGACTCTTCGTCTCCGGAAACGCTCATATCATCCGCTACGCCAGAATCTCGAGGCCCTTCCTCTTCTGACCCAGATATAACATCTCCATCTGCCTGCTTCTTTTGGACTTTTTTCTCTTTTAGTGGTGCATCTTTCTTGATTCCCGCATTAATTTGTTTCGCGACAGGAGCCTCGTGGACTCCTAGCAATTTCCGAATCTCAAGTAAAATATTTGGCAACGCATTCTTTACCGGATTAGATGAAAAAAGTCGTGCCGTGATGTTGGCCTCGGCCGTGCTCTTCGGTCCTTCGGTAGAGACATTCTTGGACTCTGCAAATTCCTTGAACACAGGTAGCTCCGCAATGCGCTTTGTCTTGGAGAGCTGTTTAAAAAGATATCGCTCGGATGTAGTCTGGTAATCGAGTGCCTAATAGTTATTGCGAATAAGCATAGGTTCTTCGTATCAAAGATATGGCCCTGCGATTCCCGTCTGTGCTCATACCTTCAACGCTGCGACTTCTTCGGCCAATTTTGTCAATGCAGCCGAGTTGTTTTCGGACTTGGCTGTCTTCTCTCGCCGACTCAACTTCTGGCGCTCAAATCCACGCGCCATCTTGAGGGCCTTTAATATGATCTCCACGCCATGTTCGAACTTTACTGTGAGTCTGACGGCTTTTATTGACAGCTTGCGGGTGTCGGAGTGCTTGGACGGCTTTGAGCCTTCGAGGTCGGAAAGTTTGCGCTTTGGCATTTTTCTCCTGATTTTAAATATTCAAGGAGTCAGGATCAGTAGGTATCGAGCAATTGGTCGTTTTTAAAGAGAAATGTCAGACAACGGTTGTGTATTGAAGTCCGACTAGAGGTTGGTCGGCGAATCTTTTTTTTTTCTGCCGCGGATTGTCGATCTGCCAACCCTCTCCGCCTCACGTTATATAGTAAGTGAGTGCACTTTTTCTGTACAACCTTAGAACGTTCGGTTATTTAAACAATTTTTTATTTAAATTATGAATATCAATACTTTTTGATAGCAGACTGGAGTCTCCTGCAGACTACGATTCAAATGTTATCTCAAACTTGTAGATCGTCAATTTCACGATCCTTAAGAGTGACCGCTTTACACCTTGGGAGTAATCCATCATTGCCTAGCTTAGCTATTTCAACGATTTCGGGATCATAGTTTTATTTTTATTTTTTTGTTTTGTTTGGAAGATAAAATTGAGCTGAGGTGAGACGTGACGGTAGAAATTGGATTATTCTGAGACCGAAGGGTCGTCAGTGATTCATCCCAAGGTTGAACACTCGCATTATTAAAAGGTAATATGTGGGGAGAAATCCCGGGGTCGAAATATATATCTACGAGACGAATCAGGCGAGGAAAGAAAACACCATCGATTAACGATATGTATATACAAACATGGCAAAGAAAACTGATACGCGTACAGGCTCTTTCTATTTCTTTTCTTCCTCCTTCGCCTCGGGCTTGGGAGTGGGAAGCTTGAACTGTAGAAAGATGAATTAGCCTGTATGCCACACACAATATTTGAAACTGGTCTTACCGAGTCGGGTGTGCGGCTCTCACCAGCACCAACAGGCTCCCATGATGTGGAGCCACTCTCGAAGTTGCGGAAAGCTTGGGTAAGCTCAAGGGGCTCGATAATGCAGCGCTTCTTCTCTTCGTCATAACGCAGCTCGGTGTAACCAGTCAAGGGGAAGTCCTTGCGCAGGGGGTGGCCATCGAAACCGTAGTCGGTCATAATACGGCGCAGATCGGGGTGACCGGTGAAGAAGACACCGAACATATCGTAGACCTCACGTTCGTACCACAAAGCACCCTCGTAAAGCCCAGTCACACTGGGAACTGGGGTGGCTTCGTCGGCATAGGTCTTCACACGGATGCGAGAGTTGTAGCGGACACTGAGCAAGTTGTAAACGACCTCGAAGCGTTGGTCACGACTGGGGAAATCGACAGCAGTAATATCCGAGACCTGGGTGTACTCTGAGGCAGTGTGGTTCTTTAAGAAGCTCATGACGGGGATGACACCAGCAGGAGCAGTGTAAACAGTAAGTTCATCCTTCCAGACGGTGAATTGCTGGATGTATTTGGGAAGGCAAGACATGATGTACTGTCCATAGGTGTGGAGGTTTTCGGCACGGTCCTGATACTTGTCGGCAGGGTTGAGGACGGGGGCACGGAGAGGACCCTGGGCTAAGACGATAGGTATCTTGTTAGATCAATTGTACTCCTTCCGATTGAACCAAGTCGATCACATACGAGGCCTTTGCGCCTGGCGCATGTTTGCAGGCTCCGGCGAGGCCGACGCCTTGTATTGCAGTGAAGATGAGGAAAAGGCGCGGGGGGCCATGGTCCGGGCAGTCGAGGCCACCAAGCGTCCGGAACCCAAGCGCATCAAAGAGCGAGTGGAGGCCATTGTGTAAAATGAGCAATGGCTACAGACAAAGATCTTGGAGGGGACTTGAAGGCACGGGCATGTAAGGCGGATTGTGAGGATCGAGGTTGGTCGAATCTGGTGGTCACGTGACGGTGACATAATCATGCGCGACGCTAAACGCGATTCAGGCAATGTCAGCAAAATGAAGCCGCGCTTCAATTTCCTTCCCTTCCTTCTCCCTCGCCGTCCATCTTCATCAACCGCTCCGTTTTCGTTTCCTCTTTCCACTTAACTTCTTTCTAATTCCTCGCTTTTCATTTGTATTAGCTCAGGAGTACCTTTTTCTCTTTCACATTCGTACCCAATATTTGAATCAGGTACTCGGCGTTCAGATTCCCCAGGTTTTCACAGTTTCGCTACAATCATGTCGAGTCGCCAACAGATTGATTCCGTCATCGACGATGATGATGAATTCTGGTATGCACTCATATAATATGACCATCCGATTTGAAGACTGACCCACGTTGAAGCCCCCTTTGCATCGAAGAATTTGACCTTTCAGACAAGAACTTCAAACCTTGTCCTTGCGGTTACCAGGTTTGATGCCAACTTTCATATCGGAGGATTCCCATTTGAATTAACTTCTAATTCCCTAGATTTGCCAATTTTGTTACAACAATATTAAGACCCACAGCGAAGAAGGTCGATGCCCAAACTGCCGCCGTCCGTACGACGAAAGCACGATTCAATACAAAATTCCCGATGTTGAAGAGTTAGTCTTTCCCTGACTGCATTTGTTTGTATGAGTTATAACCCTGTGATCGCATTATAGGTTCAAGGCAGACCTCGCTCTGAAACATCGCAAAGCAGCCGCTGCAAAGAAAAAGGAAGCCGAAAAGCGGGAGATCGAAGCATCAAGCCGCAAAAATCTGGCTGGTGTGCGAGTTGTCCAGAAAAACTTGGTTTATATCATTGGTCTGAACCCAGCAATTCGCGACGAGAACCAGCTACTTCAAACCCTTCGCGGTAAAGAATACTTCGGTCAATATGGTGAGATCGAGAAAATTGTGGTCAGCAAGGCAAAGCCAGGAAGCAACCAACACCAAGGTATCGGGGTTTATGTGACGTTTTCCCGGAAGGCAGATGCTGCACTTTGCATCTCTGCGGTGGACGGATCCCACAATGGCGATCGTATGCTGAGGGCCCAATACGGAACAACCAAGTATTGTTCTTCTTTCCTCCGGAACGAGCAGTGCAACAACCGAAATTGCACCTTTTTGCACGAAACTGGTGAAGATAGTGAAAGCTATAGCCGTTCGGATCTCTCATCAATGAACACTTTGTCCAGCCAACGCCAGCATCAGCAACCGTCGATAGCTTCCCCTGCTTCCCATCCGCGCTCCACACATCCGCCAATCTCTCAGCCAATGCGTCGACAGCCGAGCAAAGATGACTCGATTAGTGGGCGTCAGCCTCCAGACGGACCTGCACTACCTTCTTCCGCCAGCTGGGCCAATAGTCATACGACTATCAGGACTCGGCGTACTAGTCTAACGGGTAGCCAGGCATCGCAGAGTCCTCGGCCAGTCAATGTTACAGTCGCCACTTTTATAGAAGAGCCAAAGAGGCCTGAGAAACAGTCTATAGTCACTCCGGAATCTCAAATCCAACCTGACACACGATCACCAAAACTCCAACATCGTCGATCGAGTGAACCCAAACTTGCTGTAGAGCATCCGTCTCCATTTGATAACCTTATCAAAGAAATTACCTCTCCGGATTTCCGATTTGTCTTTTCCCCCTCCGAGCTTCCAGCAGAAGAGATGAAAATTATCCAGAACTACCCCTCTTTCATCGATCCCTATGGTGGTGTTAAGCGACGAGCTATGCGTGAGAAAGCCGAACAAGAACGGGTCAAGCGTGAGCAAGTACTTTTACAATCTGTCGCAGCTGAGGAGGAGAGCCGCGAGGCTGGTAGTCTGCAACTTGGTGGCGAACCGGAAGAATCTAATACCTCACGTGGTCGACAGTCCCGTGAGTCTCACGGCGCTATCCAGCCTCCTTCTCATCAAGGCACGACTGATAACTCCACCGTTGGATCTCCCGTTTCAGCTACCAGTCTGCAATTCCAAGGCCTGAACCTGGCTGGTCGGAGCTTGACACCCCTCCAACAACAACAGTTGATGCTCTTGAAGTCAGCCGGCAACCAACAATCTGGCTTATCTGATCCCATTAGCTCTGTTTCCTCTTCAGACCAGGCTGCCCAGGTGCGCCAAAACCTTCTACAGACCCAGCAGATGGCAGCCCAGGTCACTGCACTGCAAGCTCAAAGCCGACAACCATCCCGATTCTCTTTTACCAGCGAAGTTGCCACAAAGAATATTAGCAATGCGCGCATGCTGAGTCAGATGCAAGCTGCCACCCCCAACCCGCTGTCAGCCCCGAGTCCCCAATACTCATCTGCTGGTGGGTTTTATGCAAGTGGTGTTCAGGGCCCTCCTCCTGGATTGAAGACAGCGGGAACTCCACCTGTCAGTGGTGGCGGGATGTTCGCGCAGGGACACGGATTTACTTCGAACAACCTTGGACTGGGATCTACAATGGGAAAGCAGGATGCGACCCCTGAAATGATGCGTGAATTAATGCGCGGCCGAAGCGGCACAAATGTTGGTGGTGTACAGAGCCAGGAGGCAGCAAAGCGTGAGTTCATGTTCCCTTTTCTTCAACAGCACCAAACCCCTCCTCCCTTGACTCCCGTCAATGGCCTTCTCGGCTCTTTCTATGGGCCCCAGGCAGGCACTGCGCCTGATTCTGGTAGCGCACAGAAGCAGAAGAAGAAGGGGAAGAAGCACAGGCACGCTAACACTTCCTCCGGCGGAGGTGGTGTAGTAGATCTTGCGGACCCGAGCATTTTGCAGGCGAGAATGCACCAGGCTGGTTCCAATGCTACTGCTGGACAGGCATTGTACGGGAGTCAAGGTGGGTACAACCCCTCGATGATGTACGGCAGTGGTATAAGCCGATGGTGATATACCTGCTGCTGTCACATCGAGTTCATTGTTCCTTGCATACCCCATGATTTTTTTGCATTATTCAATTTTGCCTATTTGCTCATGACTTTTACCTGTTTGCCTTTGTAACACGACATAACTTCCTGTTTTCGTCGTTTTTTCACCACGATGTGCCGGGATTGCATTACGTTTCTATATATTATTCTCTTTTCAATGCAGCCGGGCTGGTAGCTTTGAATCGGTTCGATGGGCGGGCGTGCCCTTTGGCGTATTCCGATGGGTTCAAATTTCTCTTTATTTTTGCATGTCTTTCCCGGCTCATGGTGTGTTTTTTTTCTTTTTCTTTTTCTTTTTTTTTTTTACATTTCCGTGGACATACATGCTGTCTTCTCGGTTCCCTTTTTCGGCGGCTGGTTTATTCCCTTCATCTCATGTTTTTGCATTCGAATCTTCAGATTCGTCTATATCCAGCGTCTTGAAGACCATGGAAGGCTTCGTCATGGATTAATGTACGTTAAGACCTTCCTACCCTGATATAACGACCTTGAACAGGGACTTATTTGAAACCAGTCGTCTCACTACCACTGTCTCCATAGATCATGCCCTACATTATACTGAACTCGGTCCCCTGCACGTCGTATAATTCATTCTTGGGCGCTCTGAATTTTTCTCTTAGTCGTTGCTTTCATCGCCCGTTGTCATTTCGTGCTGTGATTTTTTCCATTTCGTTTTTCCCATTGCACACACCCCCCCCCCTTACTCAACTTTCGAGGCTTTTGATGTTTGAACTTTCATGCTGACATGCATTGACCAGTGAACGAGGACTTTCCTCCACTCGGCAGTGGAGTCAAGGAGAGTCAATCAGTCATCGATACCTTTGGATTCCTCAAATCCCAATTGCCTAACGATTCTACCGGTCGTGTTGGGACTCCCACCCTTCCTCCGGGTCTCCCGCTTCCACATGCTCATCCCTCATCTGCTTTCCATGACTCGAAGCCATCATCCCCGGCACCCATAATGCCTCCGGGTCTCGGTAGTGTTCTGTCACGAGCAAATACGCCTTCCAAAGATTCTCGTTCTACGAGCCCTGATATAACCCGTCTTTCAAACAATTCTTCTCGGAAAGACGCATCTCAGATATCTCTGGGATCTCCCGTTGCTCGAATCAAACACGAAACTAGCATGTACTTCGCAGCCCCGGATAGCCCCGCTTTGAAGTCAGGCCGTGCTTCACCCGTTGCCAAGTCAACTCATAAGACTCGAATGGCCAAACTCGACCTCTCCGCTGGTACTGAGAAGGAACTGTCTTCCAAAGTCGAGAATCCGTTGCACTGGGCAGCTCCACAGGAGATTCCCGCTTTCAAGCCAGACCGTGCTTCGCCTGTTGCCAAATCATCTTCTAAGACTCGAATGACCAAACTGGACCTCTCCGTTGGTGCCGAAAAGGAATCGTCCTCCAAAGTCGAAAATCCACCGAGCATGAACTGGGCAAATCAGGAGATGCCCTCTTTCAAGTCGGACCGTGCTATTTCTGGTACTGTTACTTCTGGAACTGGCTCCGTTTCTGCCATCAGCTCCCGACCTCATACTCCTATGACATCGGCCTCTCGTGTATCTGACTCCCCTGCGCCTCACCAAGCACGCATTTTGCGTGTCGTGGCAACCCCCAAAGCGGAAGTCTCCCGCGCACCGTCAGTCACCCCTTCAGTTGCTGGAACAGGCGTATCGGCATCTAGAAGACAGAGTGTTTCGTCTATCGGCAGATCGGATAGAGGCTATGGGTCGGACGCTGATTTTTACCCATCCACTACAGCCTCTCGTGCCAATTCCCCTCCGGCGCCTCGGATTGGATCTGCTCCCGTCCGTGCAATCACGAAGAGCCAACTTAAAAAGGACAGACGTCAGAAGGCGAAAGAAGCAGAGGCCAAGGGGGTTGTTACTTTGCCTGAGGAGCCCGTTCAAGCTCCAATCATGGGAAGAAAAAGGAAGGCCAAAAAGGCATCAAATACAGCAGATTTGGCAGAGTCACCGCTGACCGAGACGGTAAGTCCTGTCAAGGTCGAGAATGACCCACCGAAGAAACAAGAGCCGCCCAAGTCCGAGCCGACAAAAAAGTTAAGGCACAGGAGCAGCTGGAAGAGATCAAGCCTGCCCCTGTGGAGAAAACTTCTAGTGAAGTGGAAATTGTGACCGAGGCATGGCACACCCACAACACTATTGATCAACTTTGCCACGATGCTGAGGAGGACTCGCGCCCGATCACCGATCTTGTCGCCGAAAGGATGCGGCCGACGCAGGAAATTATCGCCGACATGCACAAATCTGGCAGCGTGGACTTGAAAATGATTGCGATGTTCGCTCCTGCAAATGTCAACCAGCGCACTGACATGAAATGCACCATTGATGACTACGATGTGCCATCTCAGCCCACCAGATTGACTGAGGATCATCGTAAGGCTCTTTTACGTGGTGAGCCAGTCCGTATCGGATCCGAGCTCAAATACCGTTGTCTCATTACACCTCGCGGTTGCGTGATCCGTCACCTTTATGTCGAGGAAGAACAGCAATATCTGGATATTGAGAAGAATCGAGGGAATATCCTTGACGTTTCTTACATTGGAGATAGCTCTGCCAACCTTAACGGAGGGCTGGAGGCCCTCTTCGCGACACCTGAGAAATTCAATATCTGCTGGGTGGATGATACGACGACTCGGCTGGGCTCTATTTCTCCCAATGAAACCCTGGATATCACAGGCCAAGTGATTCCACCGAATGTTCTGTCAGCCATGGAGGCCGATAGCACCCGTAGCCACGACTGGGCAGTCGCTCACTCCGCAGAACTTCTGCAGACGACAACCGCCGCCGTACGATCCTTTGCAGCCGCCACGGCTAAGCAGATTCTCGGTTCCTCCGTTCTGACCGGAAGCGAAGTCACTCTGGAAGATGTGGCGTCCATGTCCGATACCGAGATTAAGAACTTTAGTAGCACGTCTATAAAGGACCTGGAAGGCACCCGCAAAGAGCTTGACTCTGTTGACAAGAAGCTGTCCGCTCTCCTTCGTCGCAACAGGAAGCTTCAACAACAAGCGCTGGGCATCGCTGGAGAATTGGAGTAAGGAAAAACCAAAACTGATGGTGATTATAATCATTGTGGAGTTGTTCGATTATACCCCAAAACCCCCCAAAATCAACACATGTACTATATACCATTATGAGTATGCGTAGAGCAGCGTGTATCTTATTTTCTTTTTAATCATTCCTCTATTTACCTACTCTAATACTCTGTAGTCACAATACCGATACCAAGTGCTGAATGAAATATCCCGTTTGCTTGGCATCAATATTGGGGACTTTTGCGACCTCATTTCCGCCATTTCCAATCTTCTTTGTGAACCCTTGTCAAAACCTCGTATCTGAAAGAAAAGCAAATTCCCCGATGTCATCCTCCACATGAGTCGGAAGTGACATTATTATCCGAAGCGCCCGAATAGTCAAACAGCTCCAACGTCGTCCTTCATTTGTCGGGCTTGAACCGGAGATTAATCACGGATTGCAGGCGGGGCTAGTCCGCAGCCTTACTGCGGTGGAACACGATGTGATCTATCCTATCCACCCCATTGAATCGGTGGCGTTGGAAACGAGACAGATCAGTCTAACGATGAGACTAATTGACCAGAAATGAACCACTGTTCAATCAACAGTGTCCACATTTCCAAGATGGAACCCGCATGAATCCATGCGAAAAACCTCAATGGGATGTGACAGGGCGCTTGCTGGTGTACTTTGTATGTTTTCTCTACATGAGACTGGGTACGGCAGTCCCACTATTCAAGAATGCTCTCGTCATTCGTTTTGATTGGCTAATTTACATACTCCGTAATAAGAAATAGTACGTTACCAAAGAGCCACCCCAAGCTTACTATCGATTGCTGACCTAGAAATGATAGCAATCAAAGACAGCCTGATAATTTCTTTGGCGCCCTGGTCACTTTGTCACTTCTTGGCCCCTGTTCAAGACATATGGAATCATCCATTTCCAAGGCTCATGAAACGAGTGGCTGCATGCTGCATCTTGCTCTTGCTCATTACATATTTCCGACAAATGGCCCAGTTGAGCCAATTCACGCCACATGCCTGTATGGACCCCGCTCTTTTGTCTAGGGTCTCAATCTCCAGTATAAAGTTCTCCTTGGACCCATCAAGATGTCAAGATAGATCTCCAGACTCTCATTCACTCCTTATTCCAGTGCAGCGCACTCGTCGTTCCTTACACGTACATTTGGATCATACCCGGGCGGTAGCTTTGATCCTTCCACTCATTTTTTGGTTTTTGGTTTTTTTTTGGGAACCAGACAATTTCAATTCTTTGATTATCTTTCAATATGCTCGGATTTACTTACGTCTTGGGCGTTGTACTTGCCATGAGCTCCGTTGTTTCAGCAACGAGTATCTTGTTGCCGCTTTACCTCTGGCCGACATCAACCGCGATATGGGGCCCTGTGTATAATGCTGTTGCTACATACCCGGATGTTTTATTCCAGATTATTATTAACCCATCTAGTGGCCCTGGATACTCGCGTAAGATGATTCTCTTCAAGTTGTTGGTTTCATGTATAATTAACAATATGATCAGAATACCCCGAAGATGACTACATCTTGGCTATTGCAAAGCTGAACCGCTATAACAACACTCGACTTATCGGTTACATTCCTACCGAATATGCCCAACGTGACATATCCGAGGTTGAACAGGCCATCTCCGTCTATAGCGGCTGGTCTTCTTACACAAAAAGGAACATCGCCCTCTCTGGCATCTTCTTCGATGAAGCCCCTAGAACCAATGACGACACCACAATCCAGTACATGAAGACTGTTTCAGCAAAGGCCCGGTCAAGCAATTTGCCAACTGTTGTTTTCAACCCCGGTACCAAGGTTGAAGAGGGCTCCGCGCCTTCATACTTCGGCGCAGCAAACTTCATCGTCGAGTTTGAGAACAGCTACGATACATGGACAACAACTATCCCAACTGAGCAGCTTTCTTCCCAGAAGTACCACAAACAGGATGCTGTTCTTCTCTACAATGCTCCTCTCACTGCGGATTACGAAACTGTTGTTGCTGAGGCGAAACAAATGGGATTGGGCGCTGTATACTTGACCAATGTTGCTGATTACGCTTCCGTTGATTCGGTTCACAGGGTTGCCACTGCTTTTACCCAAGCATAGATTACTGAATTGTTCTCGGTTAAGTTGGGTCTTTGGTGTTGGCCAGGACTTTTTTCACTTCTTGGGTCCTTTTTGGACCTCCTTTTTGAGATCTCTTTGATTTAATCCTGAAAAGTACCTATGTAGCAATGGATTAAACTTATTCGCACAAAATTAGTTGAGCCAAGTCGTCACCTATCAATGTTTGGAACGGCAACTACAGAATTATACCACCTTAGGTAACTTGAAATAGAAGCATTAGCTCATATTTTATCGTCTTTATTCATTTTCACTGCCTGGCATAACCTTTCTCTCTCCTTGCCCTTCATCAAATACCACAGCGTTACAAAACAAAGGGCTGTGTGCAATGAGTAATCTAATTTCGGCAGCAAAATGGGATGATAAAAAGACTATGCGACTTCTTATCGACAAAAGCGCGGACATCAACGCCCAAGGAGATTATGATAGCCTGTGAACTGCTATTAAAGCTGTTGAGAGCTCAGAACAGATATATATCTGGAAGATTTAGGCCTAAATAAATTCAAAATTATAGCATCGATTTTGATGATACGTTCAACTTTAATGAACCTAACTACATAATGGGAGTAAATATGACTTAAATGATCATCACCTGTACTAAATAAAATAGTCGGAGAGCTTTTTTGTAAGCTGAAAGCCGCGAATAGGTCAATATTATGGAGTGTATAAACTATAAAGGCTTACAGAGTAGCTCTTCCGCTACACCCTATTTTAAGGACAAGTTTCTATAGATAGATGGTTTACCTCTCTACCTTATGGTACTGGCTAGTGGATGAATACTAGCTGAAATGGCTAGCTAGATGATCAGATGGCTCTAGACAAGCTAAAAAAGCTCTTTATACCTAATATAAGGATAAGAAAGGGTAGGTTGCTTTATGTAACGTTTTTTGAGTATACAGGCGGCGGGGTGGCAGGGTCGACCCCGCCACCCTACCACCCGACGAACTTTTCGTCTTATCGGCCAATAAAAACTCTGTATTTCATTTTTTGTGGGTAATATGATACATCATAATAAGTTTGTCGGGGAGCTAAAAAAAAAAGGTCGTCGGGTAGTGGTAAATAGCCATCTTATGTGGTAATATGCAAGATTTGACTTACGGTGCTTCAACCCTACCACCCCGCCACCTAGCTTCAATTTTCGATAATTTACCAGGAATTTGTAAAATGTTTCTTCCTTCATTCAACAATAAAACAGTCAACTCAATTCAGATTTTGATAATATAGATATAATTATTAAAGGAATTCCCAAGAATAATACTTTGGAACTGGTTTTAGGAACTTATTATCATTTTTTGGAGTTTTCATCTAAAATTATAAAATTTCATAACAATATATCTATATCTGTATATATATCTGTAGACTGTATCTATTTACATCTCAGTCCTTGCAAATCGATTCCTATCTTTTACCATCTTTTACTGATCCTTACCATTATTTACTAGACTGAAGATTTAGGTATTTGCTTTTTTTGTCTATTTATACTTCTCTATATATATCGCTTAATTTCTAAGAATATGATCTCTCATAATTCAATTTATGAACCCACAAATTCTCTTCTATTTGTATAGATTTCTCTTTTTTTTCATTTCTGTTTGCCTTCACTTTCTTAAGAATCTTTATAATTATGGCTGTGAAGGGCTAAAGCTAATCTTGAATTCAGAACTAGCTAGGCACATGCTGTTTACAAAATCCTTGAAGAACGTAAACAATTCGGGGTGGAATCGTGAGGTATGCGGTTGGTGGGTCACGTGGTACAACCACGTGATAGTTCACCAGGATTCAACCTGTTACAATAGTAGTATAATGGTGCTTAGTGATTAGTGCTTAGTGCTTAATATTTTAATTTTAAGGTTTTTGATATCAAGTGATTTAAGAAAAGACTATTTAAGATGTTTATTTTTATACAGATATCCTTAAAATTAAGATTTATAAAGATATTACATTTAATTTGGAAAGATAATAGTTGATATGTTTCAAGAAATCATAAAATCTAGTAAATAATGGTAAGGATCAGCAAAAGATGGTAAAAGATAGGAATCGATTTGCAAGGACTGAGATGTAAATAGATACAGTCTACAGATATATATACAGATATAGATATATTGTTATGAAATTTTATAATTTTAGATGAAAACTCCAAAAAATGATAATAAGTTCCTAAAACCAGTTCCAAAGTATTATTCTTGGGAATTCCTTTAATAATTATATCTATATTATCAAAATCTGAATTGAGTTGACTGTTTTATTGTTGAATGAAGGAAGAAACATTTTACAAATTCCTGGTAAATTATCGAAAATTGAAGCTAGGTGGCGGGGTGGTAGGGTTGAAGCACCGTAAGTCAAATCTTGCATATTACCATATAAGATGGCTATTTACCACTACCCGACGACCTTTTTTTTTTAGCTCCCCGACAAACTTATTATGATGTATCATATTACCCACAAAAAATGAAATACAGAGTTTTTATTGGCCGATAAGACGAAAAGTTCGTCGGGTGGTAGGGTGGCGGGGTCGACCCTGCCACCCCGCCGCCTGTATACTCACGTTTTTTCTATGACGGGTGGGGATTTCCTATTTCAGGTGCCGCCGCTTTTCTGAGGGCGACCAGGCTCAGGCTCACTGAGTAAATTTCAGTCTAGACTCAGGCCCACGGAGCTGCTCATGACCGCCACGCAACAGATCGGTGACGTCCAATCAACACTCAGTGAGCACTTAAGTAATTGTGATTGCTCACTGATCGCTCACTGATCGCTCACTGATTACTAAGGGCATTGATTGAGCACTAATCAGTCTATACCGAGATGGTGTGCATTGCAGAAGTTGTGAATAGTGATGCGACTGACAGTGACTGGCATATCTTTCGAAGACAGACGGACTTGCTGATATCTCTGTCTGGGCAGCATATGCAGGGCCTGGCTATCAAGGTTGTTTGAATCCCGGCCTGACTCGATCCGCAACCTCTATTTCTAGCCGATCGCAGATAGCTAGACTTTGACACGCAGGTTCTACTGAAACGAAGCAGGACCTGGCGTCTTAATGTCGACAAACACGTTTGAGCTCGGCGACGACGATGACTCGCCGCTCCCGGTATGGGGGCCAGGCAAAACCGCTATTGGGAGAGCGCGGCTGCCATCCAGTCGCCGAAGGGACAGAGTCCAGCTATCCTGCGATCTCTGCCGCAGGAGAAAGTGAGTCCGCCCGTATGACCCGCTTAACGTGCTTCGTTTGCACCCGGCTTTGCCTACCCCGCCCATCCACGCTAGTCGCTTCTCACGCTGACACGTCTTGCCCGCTAGGCTGCACTGTGACCGGCAGCAACCGTGCGCAACTTGCACGCAGAGAGGACTCGGCTTGTCCTGCACTTATAGGCGCAGCCCCCAAGCGCTGGAGGATGGCACCACGCAGCCTGTTCGCCCCGTGACTACCGTGCAGGACCGCATCAAGCAGCTCGAGGAGTTGGTGGTCGACCTTATGCAAAAGACGTCAGCGGCGAATGTGCCGAACCCGTCTTCCAGCGCCAATACGCCACTGGCCGCCGTGTTGGATAGCATCGCGGAGCTCAAAGATTACTTTGACAGGGACGATGAGGCGCGTCCGCATCCCCTCGGAACTGCGCAGCCACCGCAGGTAAACCTCAGCGGGCCGCAACTTATACACGGTTTTACAAAGGTCACTACCAGAGACGAGATATTGGCATCGATACCTCCTCGCCATATTGTGGACAGGCTGGTCTCGCGGTATTTTAATTCGTTTGAAATGTCGCCAGGTAGGAAAAAGTAACCCGCTATATAGATTAGAAGGCTTACACTGTGAACTTCATATAGCTGTATTACATAGTGTCCAATTCTTGCGGGAAGTATGTTGCCATGCTGATTTTACATTATTGCTTAGAAGCGGCAGATTCTGACTGATAAAATTTAGTACCGAGAATTCTGGGCAGATAGCTCGGAAACACTAATCATTTGGATAGGCCTCTTGTTCAGCATCATGTGCCTCGCAACCTTGTTTAAGCAGTTTCAGCAAGGTCCACAGGATCAGGTTCCTGGAACGCCTTCTAAAACGAATTCCAAGACATGGTGAGCAATTTCAGGCTCCGCATCGTGCAATGTCTTATCCTCGGAGACTACACTAAAGGGGGCGTGTATGTGTTAGAGACCCTCTTGCTATACATGGCCGTCGAACTATTTCTTCGAAGAGACGCCGAGATTGGCATATGGATCCTTCTCGGCATCATTGTCCAGCTGTCCATGCACATGGGCTACCACCGGGACCCGAAGAACTTTCGCGGCATCTCTCCCTTTGACGGCGAGATGCGCAAGCGAGCCTGGGCCACAATATTGGAGGTGCAACTGGGCATCTCGATGCAAATGGGCCTTCCGCGGCTGATTACGCAGTGGCAGACCAACACCACGGAGCCGTCCAACTTGCAGGGCAACGACTTCAAGGACACAGTCAGCATGCCTGCGTCGCGACCAGAAACAGATCTTACGCCCATGGTCTTTCGCATCGTCAAAGCGAGTATGATGACAGTCATTGGCTACATTTGGGACTTTGCCGCCGACACGAGAGTATGCAGTCGTGAAGAAACGGAACGCATGGAAAAGAGCCTCCGAGACGCGCGCGCCTCGGTTCCCGAGTGTCTCCAGTGGCGGTCCATGGCAGACTGCATCATGGACTCGCCGCACGTCATCATGCAAAAGATTTGCCTCGAAATCATGTTTTACCGCGCCGAGCTCGTCCTTCACCGCAAATACCTGCACCTTTCGCAGTCCAACGTCGACTACAACCAATCCCAGACAGCATGCCTCAACGCGGCGCTAAAGCTGCTCGCGTACCAGCAAATGCTCGAGGAAGAGACGCAGCCGTTCTGCCAATTGCACCACGAGCGGTGGAAGGTGTCTTCGCTTGTCAATCACGATTTCCTGCTAGCGACCAGTGTTATCTGTCTCTATCTGAAGCAGTCGGCGGGCGATGCCAATACGCAAGTAGAGTTCCCGACTGTGCACGACATTCGCACGGCGCTGAACCAGGCATATGGCATTTGGCTGCAGTCAAGTGATACTTCGCGAGAGGCGTGGAAGGCTGCGAAAGCTCTGAGCATTGTCTTGTTGCAGCCAGGATCAGGCAATGTGCGCCACGACGAGCAGCCGCTCTCCTCTTTAGATGTATGGGGCGATTATTTTGAACGTAGGTTCTCACTCTCCTCTACCGAGTCAATTTTTTTTGGCTATGAAGCGTCTTTTGCATCTGTACTAACACTGGCCTAAACAGAATTTGTTCGTCAGTCCCCTCCAATAGACGGCTCTGTTCTGATGGACTGGCCCTTTGCGAACAACGACGCCATGTACACTGCTAGCATCCAGGATACGCCACAAAATCTCGGCTGGCCAATGAAGGGTAGTAAGTAAGCCATCTTACTCTCCGGCCAAAGGAGCTGTCCTGGCTACACGGGCACCAGATCCAAGGCCAGATTGTCTTCCCTGCGACTGGATACATTTCCATGGCCGTCGAAGCTGTTGCTGTTCTTGCTAGAGAAGCAAAGATTTCCTTGGTATTCATTGACAACCTGCAAATCGGCCGAGCTATGGCATTCAAGAATGACGACGCGAGCATGGAGATGACGTTTGAATTGAACATTAAGGCGCAGAGTGATGATCATATTGAAGCATACTTCTCATGCAGCTCGGGTTCTCCACACGACCACAAGACTGTCTTGGCTTTGAACGCCAGCGGTGTGATTCGAGCGACGCTTGGTGAGCAAGCTTATGACACACTCCCCAAATTGAGGCTCAGACTCACAACATAAGCGACGTCACCATTGATCGATTTTACACGTTCTTGAGCTCGCTTGGCTACTACTCCTGGCCATTCCGTGGCACTGCTAAAATTCAGCGCAAGGCTGGCTATGCTACCGGCATCGTGGAAGATGCTTCAGCATTAGAACAGAAAGATGAGCTCAATGTTCACCCAAGCATGCTTTATTCTGCTCTGCAAACCACCTTTGCCACTTTTCTATACCCTGGAGATGAGAGGATGTGGGCGCTGCACGTGCCGACCAACTTTAGTTCCATTGTCATCAATCCCTATTACACGCCGCTAGGTACTGGCAAGCAAAAGTAGTTTGATTTTATTTCCGTCGCCTATGATTACTCCAAAGGTAAGTTCATTACGGATCTTAATCTCTTGACAAAAGATTCCGGTAATACCGCTATTCAAATCGAGGACATGTAGCTCACGCCGTTGACGCCAGCTTTGTCTGAGAATGATGCGGTACTCTTCTCCCGTTTCGACTATAATATTGCACTGCCGGGTGGTGATACGGTGGCAGCAAGGCATTAATTTAAGGCAGAAGATCTGACCACTGCCATGGACTCCGAGCGAATCTGGTTCTACTACTTGCGTCGTCAACACCATTACCGCGCAAGAAAAGGCCGAGACAGTGTGGCATTGCTACCATCTGCTCGACTAGGCCGCATTTATGGTTCCTCAAGTATTAAACGGCTCCGATGCACATATCCCAGCCTCTACTAAATATGATACTTAGGCAGATATTGACAAGCTGCTTCAAAAGTCGGTGGTTCCCCTCCACTACTAACATTATATCTGCTGACAAAATACACAGGTACTACCACCGAACAGATGTTCGTCTTCTGGAGTCTGTGGGCAACAACCTTCCCTAATGTATTCGCGATAAGTCTAAAACCTATTGAAAATTTCAAACTAGTGATGCTTTCAACTGTATAGAAAAGCCCATTATAATTACAAATAAAAGATTATTTCAACTCTATAAAAAATTATATCTTGACAAACTTTCGGCACCTTTCTTCGCTCATCTAAAGATCAACAGCAAACTTGGTTCGGAGATATCCTCGGTAGTGGTAGAAAAGCCACGGGACAGATGTAAGGGCCAGAGTGATGAAGCCAAGTACGCTGTTTCCCGATCCCAAACCGAGCTTGTTATATAGGGGCGTGGCAGTCAGGTCGAGAAAGGCGCCAAAAGGCGAACGAACGAGCAAGTTGGCTGCTATTGACGACGCTGCAGCCGCAGCTCCGAACGAATCAACAAGGCAAATCTGGCCAGGGATGACGACAAGGAGACAGCCAAGACCAATAATGGATGTTCTAATAATGGGCACAATCCAGTGTCTGTGGTAGTAGGCGCTCCAGCCGTACATGAAGCAGCCAAACGGAGTGATGGGCCCAAACCACTTCATGAGAATGAGACGCTGCTCAGGTGCCGCAACGGCACCACCCTGCTTCTGACTGAGAAGCTTATCGCTAAGCACGGAGAAGAGGACGAGTCCGCTAAACATGCCAATGCCCAGACCAAGGTATGCGATACCGGAAATACCTTCGTCGAAGCCGTAGACGCCGTGGAGGACGGTGGGGAACGTGGTAAAAGGATGAAGATAATACCGAGCATGAGACCCGTGTAGAGGGAGATGAGCAGAACAATGGGCGAGAAGATGAGCAGCTTAAGGGGGCGAACGATGGCGCGCAGCAGCATCTGCTTGGTAGTAAGGTTGGAAGCGCGAGCGGCCACAAGATCCGGGTTACCTGTTTCCTTTTGCAGCTGTTTCAACTTTCTGCTTAAAAGGATTGTAGCATTCGTCTCACGCATCAGGGCAAACGTGGCAGCAGTAATTATACCAGACTTTTCCCGGATCGGATTAGCTGAGATTCTATGTCACGAATTATAAAGGGCACATACCAAGATGAGAATAATTCTAAACGTCCAGCACCAGCCGAGGTATCGAGACACGAAGCCCCCAATAAAGGGTCCGAGGATCTATCTCAAGTATAAGCAAGCGAAAAATAAACGCTAATTAAGACAATCTACCGGTCCGAGGATAGGACCCATGGTGAAAAGAGCCATGGCCTTGCCTCGGTTTTCCTGCAGAGTAACGTCGGCAACGGTACCGCCACCAATACTCATCGGACCAGAGGCGGCGCTGCCAGCGATGAATCGAAAAATGAGAAACATTGCTGTGTCGGTGCTGAAGGCGCATCCAAAGGTAAAGGTGAGGTAGACGACGTTGCAAAAGTTTTAGACAACCAGGCGGCCGTAGAGTTCAGACAGAGGGGCGAGGATGAGAGGGCCAATAGCAAAGCCAAGCACGTAGAGACTAACGGTCATGGTTTCGAGGGTGTTGTCGGTGATGCTAAATTCGTCTGCCAGTTCCTTTGCCCCCGCCGCAAACATTGCCGCGGCGAGGTTTCTATACGTCTATCAGCTTACGTTTCTCATCAAGCGCCATCGCCATTTTAGAGAGTACATACGCTGTCAAGGTGGAAATACTGATAATAGCCACATGAATGTTCTTGCGAGACGCGGGCCAGTTGAGCGGGTTAGCAGGGTCATCGGGGCCATCCCAATCAACCACGTTGGGGTCTTTGAGCTTGCTGAGGTCGGTGTCGTTGAAGCCAGCTTTGATCTTGGAGTCGGTTTCGTTGGATACTACCATAGCCAAAATGTCGTTGATGTTGCGCGGCTACGTGCTTGTTTCGCTGTTTGAATGGACAACAAAGAAGGGTATGGCTATGGTATCACGCAGGTACAGAACATTTAATTAGGGCGATGCACCATGGTACATCATTTAACTTTTACATCCCCTCACTCTTGACTCAGTTGGATGTGGTTGTTACGTCGTTCTCCGACCCCGTATCTCCATTTTCGGATCCGCCAGACAATCTGCCCTAACCCAAAACAACAAATATTGGCCGTTATTTCCATTTTTCCCTATTAGCAGAGGCCAGGATGCCCAAACTGTAAAACATAATTAGCGTAGCCTTGCGCCGTGGTGGCTGCTGCCAGCTCGCGCACAGAAGCGCTATAGCGCGGAGCATCGGAGCGGCGTATCGGGGGGCACGATCGGGAAGCTGGGCCAAAATGCTTCTGTGCTTACACTGCGATACGGGAGCAATTTAATCAGCACGATCGGTCTGGATTATTGGATTTTGTCTTCTTATTCCATGCCCTGGCACAAATTCAGCCTTGTTTTGCTTATCGGCCTACTTTCATACTAGGCATTCTATCAGGCTTGACCTGTTACACTTCCTCACGCTCCCCTCACTTCGCCATGCTCTCTCTCCTCTTGGCCCGATGCCACATTACATTCCCGCACACAACAAGTGGGTCTTATCCGCGCGTTGCAGGGGTCAATAGTCACAGCCTGATGCGGCCTTAGATTTAGTGGCTACTTCTTTTCGCACGCAGCCAAAACGTAGCGTCTTACGAAAGCTACAAGCGCTTTCCTCGTGACTAGTACGTTTTAGTAAAAGGATTCGAAAGAGTAAAGGTGGTAGCATCAATTTCGGGACGTACTATAAATACCGGGCAATACCGGTCGAAGGATCCACCCACGGGAGCTCCCGAGCCCGGAAACCTTCAACCAACGACCACGGTCCGGACCAAGAGACATGCACGATTAGAAAGCGAGTAGACCCTCGGAGCCCGTGGAGCCAGCCAATAGCGGAACTAGTAGCGGAAAAATGATAACCAAAGTGTCGGAACATATGTACGTAATTACAATATTACATTGGTCTGGCGTTGGAACTTGGAGTTCTCGTACGAGCTTGAGTAAGCAGGTCACGAGGGCTCCACTCTGGAAGGGTATATTTACCCTCTGATAGCTAGACTTGAATGGACACCTATTCCACTACATATTCATATTGACTTGGTCGAGTAAAACTCCCTTCAGGCTGAACTTGTGGAACGCATGGTACTGTCCTTCAGACGTAGTCTGTCGATAATTAGTCTTTCTATAATATAGATCTCAGATATGGTAAATAGTTCTTTTACCACAACGATTTAAAGACAAGAAGAGCTAAAGAATGGTCAGAATCTAGTGATACAAGAAGAGCTGCAAGAGACTAGAAATGGTATAGTAAAGGTAATGAAAGTCTTACGACAGTGTCAAGATATATAAAACTGTAAGGGATAGAGTCCAATACGGTTGGGCTACCGTAAATAAGAGATGAACAAGTGTGAGAAGGCTACCAGAAGACGAGTGTGTGTGGTATCCATAGGGCTCAATCCCACTGGGAACAAGAATAACTCTTAAGTCCTTCGAGAGTCCAAAGACCTCAGGGAATTAAGTACACTAGGGAGTGGCGGCTCTCTAACTAACCCACCAGGGGAATCCCTGTTCCCTCAGTGATAGGCGGTGTCTTTGGAGATCGGTATTTGCGACCATCTCGAGGCCGATCCTTGATCGGCTCACCGACTCAGCTAATTCCTGACCGCTAGTCAAACCAACTTGTATAGTGAGTCCATTTCCATTCTCAGCCTTCTGGCGGTTCCCAATCTATAGTCTCATTTGTTGCATTTCACGTTGTTACACACAATCAATACGGAACCATCGACAGGGGCCTCTCCTATCCAGAGTTGCCGTCTCATATTACGCCCGGATAAGCGATTTATCCCTAAAGGCCGCACAAGCCATTCCACTGCATACCCAAGGAACCAGGGACCTCACGGGCTGCCTGCGGCATCACGCATACGTAGCTCTATAGGATACATGGTAAGCCACTAACAACTTCCATCTGCAAAATTGAAGAGGTTCATAACCTCTTCTTGTTGGTAATATTGAGGAGCAGTCGCGGCGAACCACATCCGTTCGTCTGTATATATGCTCAGGGAGTCACTACCAGTGTCGTTTAGCATGGTGATATCAATAGCGCTGTTGCTTTCGGTGAACACCGAAGGTAAAAACATTTGAGCTTGAAGCTGATGCCCTGAGTTTGCTTTTGTGACAAGAAAATAGATGAATGAAGTAAGTGGGATGCGAGGTTACAGTAAGACGAAGGTGAGAGTTAGGTGAGATTAAATGAAAGAAGGACAACATCAGGCGAAGACATAACTATCTAATCAGTGAACTTATAATGTTCAGACACGTGCCCAGTCCTACTAAGCGAGCAAAAGCAGCGAGGAGGCGAGCACTAATACGAAAGAAGAAAACCAAGGATTGGCATAGAAAAAACGGTATAGGTAGAATTGCCTTCTGAAATTAGATGGCTATAGTACATTCAGAGTTGAGGGCCGTCACTCAATTACTCAGATTCGGTAGTGGGCGCATCCAAGGGGGTGGAAAGACCGACCCGGTCAACGGTCTTGGTGTAGATAACACCGCCGTTGAGTTTGTCCTCTTGAACCACCAGGTCCTTACGATCAGCATCAACCAGAAGGCGAATCAGGTCGGGGCGCATATAGTGACCTCCCTGTATGAAGTTAGTACTGAATTATAGTCGGTATCATATTCGAAACTTACAAAGTCAGCCAGAGACTTAGTCAGATGGGTCTCATCAAGGTCAATCTGTGATAATTTGTTAGCATTTGCTAGATGAGATTCATAATGTTTTTTGCCTACATCGACGAAGAGTAGACCCTGGAAGTCCTTATCGGGGTGGGGAACTAGGTTCTGTCCATCAGGACCAAAGATACGACCGTGTCCGTTGTAGATGTTAGGGTCCTCCAGCTCCTTTCCAGGGGGAGTATTCAGCTTAATACCCTCGGCGGTGATTGTCTGCCAAGGTGCAAGTGTGAAGGAACCAGTCTCAATAGCATAGGCAGGTGTAACAAGCTGAGCCGTCTTGTCAGTGATCAGGTCAAGTCTTTATATCTCAAGAAGAAAGAATATGCTTACATCCGCGTTGGCCTCAGCCACATTGGTGTAGGGGTCTGGGTACTTAAGGGTCTCCTTTCCAGGATACAAGGGCCAAGCGGCAACGTGGACTTGCTCACCAAGAGAGGCAGCATAGGCCTTCAGGAAAGGGTTCATGTTCTCCCAGCAGTTCAAGTGACCAACACGGCCAATCTCAGTATCCATCACTGACTTGGTGGTATCACCGGTGCCATCGCCAAAGACTAGGCGCTCAACATGAGTAGCCTTGATCTTACGGCGATGGTTGATGACCTGTCCAGCTGGGTTGATCATAATCTGTGTGGTGTACAGACTAGCAAGGTCCAACTCGGAGTATCCAAGAGACACATAGATCTTGTTGCTTCGGGCAGCTTCGCGGATACGACGCATCTCCTCAGAGTCGGAAGGAAGACTGTTCTCGCGGTACTTCTTAAGAAGTGGCAAGCTCTCCTGGTAGTTGACCTTCCAGGCCCAGTAAGGGTAACCGGGGATCCCTAATTGGTTAGTTATAAGATTGATTGGTGCGAGAAGAAGAACTAACAAAGCTCGGGGAAGGCAATGAGCTTGCAGCCTGCCTTTCCTGCTTCATCGATCCAATGAATTGTTCGGCGAACAGATTCCTCGAGATCGAACCAGCCAGGTTCAGCATTGACTGCTGCAGCCTTATACTTCTTGAGAACGGGAGCCATGCTGAAGATGTTGTTTAGGATTTGTTGGAGTGATTAAAGGAAGTCTGATTGAGAATGAAATAGAATATTCATAGCTAGGAGTCGGTATGCTTTTATATCCTTAGATTCATATCTTGTTTGTATGTATGTCATAATAGCATATCCCGCTTGACAGACTTCTGAATGTATGGGGCATTAGCATCACCGACTCGGAAGTGTCAGATCCGGGAAACTCGGCGAATGCTTCTAATATTAACCATTACATAGTTTCAAATACTCGTATGATCTTGCCAAACTTTGATTTCCGAAAGCTTGGACAGAAGTTGTACTTAGTAGATTCGGGCTTTGCTTCATGTTGAACGACGCAATGACCAGGTGGGCGAATGTTATTCTACTTTGTAGTGACAAAAGCAAGGTAGATAGATAGAAGCTCTGTGGAATAAGATACTGGTGAAATCTTCGGAGACCTAAAGCCCTCCAAATATCTTTGAAAGATTCAGAGGTTCCCTATATCCTTTAGTTAAATTTTCTGTATGCTCAAACGCCGGAACAAATAATAGAGATCTCAAGATGCCGTATCGAAAGATAAAACTGTGGGTAGCACAGTTCTCGATGACATTTTGAACCCCGTAGATCCCTCCTTCTAGACACAAAGAGAGAGGAAGTTTGGAAGACACTGGGGATTCCTTCGATAAGAAATCACGCCATACGGCATTCAAGGGTGCTCGAGATTGGGTGGGACAACAGCAAATCCCGTATTGCGGGAGCGTGCAGAATGCCCCAAAGACCTACAACCCCAACAACCCCACTATAGTATAATAGCTATGACTAGCTAAATCATAAATTCCTGATGAAGACCCCGACTAGAATAAGATAACATACATAACTCCCGACCGTTCCGTTATCCCGACCATTCCGTTACCCCACCAGAGGTTTTAGTAAATGTAGATCAAGATACGGAGCATGAATGTGAACTACGTTTACACAATTCAAACTGATTTTATTCAATCGAAACTTTTCTTTGAGAATAGCGTGTAATATCGATAAAACCAAAGTGATGTAATCAGCGCTTTCCACACCGCTTTCAGAGCTCAAGTCGAAATGGAAGCATAGACCCACTATTATTACAAAAGTAATTGATATTGACCAATCAGAGGGCTATAACTGTAGCATCTACTGATTGATAAATCCGGAGGCGCGGAGTAAACACAAATACAGAGTGATATGCATGGCTTAGTGTCGCATTATTGGAGATGAGTAAGGCAATTGCATGGTAGATAGCTAAGGCCTGGATGACAGTGGGTGAAATGGATGATCAAGCTCAAAAATAAATCACGCTCCCTACTGAGTGCACTGACTGGCACCACGAGGACTGCATATGATGGATAGAAAGAATGCATCGTGTATTCACTCGTGAGATATGCTCACTGGTTAAAACAAACCAGTAACTAGTAATCTGATGCCAACTATATTGTTTATAATGTAAAAATTGATCGCATTTGTACTAATGTATGAAATTAAAAACCATGACCCGGAGGTGCTGGGCACTTCTTCTATGCTCTGGCTGTCCATGGAGTAGGACATGAGTTTGAAGACAGTAGAGACTGATTACTTTCTATAGCTTTAGAGCTGTCTCCGAGTGCTTGTGCTAGGTCTAGGCTCTCGAGATACCTTCGTGTGCTCTGTAGTAGACCGTGTCGCTGCGATCGCTACTTCTTCTTCCGTTCATTCCATAATTGAAAGAGCAGTGGAATTAATAACTTGTGGGGTTGATTGGTCCCTTTGCCCAGATAACAAGTGGAGAAGGGTGTTTTAGACTAACGCATTTAGGCCGATCTTATCTTATCTTTATCTTATCATGACGATTTTGGAGGAAGAACGACAAAGTAGGTCATGGAATACTGTTTACAACGAGATACTAAAAGGTATTTATTTAGTACTTATATAGAAACAAATGAATCGTGTATATGTCTATCAACTATAAAAGTATTGTACTTAAGGTAAAGAGAGAAGTAGAGGCAGATCGAGGTCTCATGAAGCAATATATCTCACATTTATTAGCGCTATGGTCTCCTTAAAGGAAAAACAAATGGCTCACTCTAAAAAGTTGTAAGGGGAACAGATCCTATTACTGTTTCTCTTATTTATCCTACAATATTCCAAGGTTAGCAAATTGACGGGAACTAGTGTATTATAGCTATCTTATGTAGCGCGCTTGTTTAAGATGGCCGATGAGATGGAGAAGCTTGAAGATTTTAGCCCCAACAGCTTAATCTTTGTAGTTTTTCTATACTTTTTGGGCACTTCAACTCCCTTTTTGGTGCTATTGACAGTTCTGTGGCACTATTTGATCAACTTCTGATGTTATCGGGGTGTCAGGCTAATGCGCTGTTTGTGTTGTTTGCATTATCTTGCTATTCATTTCCTGTCAAATGAGAACTGAATAGTGGATTCGTGCGAGCAAATAGGAACAGAGTAGTCAAATATGTATGTGTGTGTGTAGCAGTAAAATTTACTGCAGTAAAGAGCGTACGGGAGCTGACTAATAATGCACTAAACTAAACTTGGAATCGGTCCTTTGACAGTTCCCCAGATAGCTATACTTAGCAGAAGTTGCAGGGATAGAGAAAATTTATCCGTAGAACAGTGCCGACCTCTAACGCTGCTACTTGAGGAGTCAAGGGCTTGAATATATCGTTCTACCTCTTGCGAATAAAGGTGCGGATGACAACAAAAGTCCTCTCCATGCCGCCCTTGAAATGAAGCGTAAAAATATCGTGCGTATGCTAGAAGGGGTTTCGAGGACATTTTGTCCAGTTCTCATCCGGATTGCCTTATCTTCATTTTGGTGATATCTCTTTTGGCTATGTTTTTTGTTATAGGTTTTTATGTTTTTTTCCTTTTTTTCCTTTTTTTTTTTTTTTTTTTTTTTTTTTTAAACAGGTATTGGCCATGTTCAATAATTGCTCAATTGATGGATACCACTTCAGAGGTACTATTTGATTTAAAGAACAATGTCTATCGGGGCTAATCTGAGTATATCAATCTACACTGTTATTTAATCCAATCAAAAGTACGTGCCAATTTTAAAACAGGCTACTCACAGCAGCAACGATAGCAAATCCCCACCGGAGATGCGTATCTCTCCGACGGTGTTACTTGCCATCCCGGCGGAGGAAAACAGCCGTGCAGCAAGCATTTATCGGGTACTACAAGGGAATGATATTTAAAGCAACACAGAGAAGCATTGGGAAGAGTTCTAATTTCTGAACCATTTCATCCTGCAAGGACTACTCGGAGTTTTCACTTGCAATGGCTCTCATATCATTCCTTTTTTCGCCATGGGTGGCTTTGGTTGCCCCTATATGGTTCATAATTTATTACACAGTTCCTTATTTCACAAACTATCATCCTTTGCATCGAGTGCCCGGGCCTTTTATCGCTAAATTCAGTAATATATGGATCGGCCTAGGCGCCAGACGAGGCAAGAAGTTTGATTTAATCGATAAAGCACATCGCAAGTATGGAAAAGTCGTTCGTATAGGATTCAACCACGTCTCAATTGCAGATGAGAAGGGATTGAATGTTGTATATGGCCATGGAAATGGATTTCTTAAAGAGTATGCTCCCCATTTGCACAGGTTCCGCCGCAGGCGTGCTAACAGTCTCAATAGCTATTACTACGAAGCTTTCGTGGCACGAACTTATGGGATGTTTAACGTGCGCGACCGAGCAGAACACACCCGCAAGCGTAAAATCATTTCGCATGCTTTCTCGCCCAGATCAGTTGCCGAGTTTGAGCCGCATATGGCAGCCAATCTCCAGCGATGGGTTGTCCAATTAGATCGGATTGCGACTTCTGAGCCGCCAACAGCGAAAAATGGAGGCTTTTCTCGATATAATGCTATGCCCTGGTTTAGCTATTTGGCCTTCGATATCATCGGCGACCTTGCATTTGGCTCTCCGTTTGGGATGGTTAACAAAGGAAGAGATGAGACTGAGGCCCAGCTTGTACCTGGGGGTCCTATTATAGTTGCTCCAGCTGTCGATGTCTTGAATCGGAGAGGCGAAATATCCTCCACTCTGGGCTGGCTGCCAGCATTGCGTCCCTACGCTCGATATCTCCCTGATCCATTCTTCAGTAAGGGTGTTGCGGCTGTGGAGAGCCTGACCGGAATAGCAGTGGTGGCGGTGTCTTCAAGATTAGATGCAGCAGAGAAAGGAATGGTCGATTCTCGTAACGATATTCTTTCCCGATTATTGCAAGCCAAGGATGCGAACGGACAGCCCATGGGACGGGAGGAACTTATCGCAGAGGCCCTGACCCAGTTGATAGCCGGTTCTGATACAATTTCTAACACAGCCTGTGGTATCTTTTACTGGATTCTACACGGAGAGCGCAGTGCTCCGAATACAATCATACCCCGGCTACAAGAGGAGCTGGACAGGGCAATTGGTCGGGATGAGGATATTGCGTCTTACTTTCAAGTTCGAGATCTACCTTTCCTGCGTCGTTGTATCGATGAGGGGATGCGGCTGCATTCCACGTCTGCGATCGGTCTTCCGAGACTCGTGGCAAATGATGGACCAGGTGTTGAATTTGACGGATACTACTTCCCGCCTGGAACTGTGCTTTCGGTTCCATCATACACGATTCACCATATGGAAGAGATCTGGGGTAAAGACGTAGAAGATTTCAAGCCTGACCGCTGGTTGAATTTGACACCACGGCAGAAGATTTGCTTCAATCCTTTCTCATATGGACCGCGCGCATGTGTTGGGCAGAATGTCGCGATTATGGAATTACAACTGATTCTTGGGACGCTGTTCCATCGGTATGAATTCGTTTTGCACCAGTCAAAAATGGAATCACATGAGGGGTTTTCGAAGAAGCCGAAGGAATGTTATGTGGGTATCAGACAAAGGAATTGAGGCTACTGCTGTATGGAGTTCGAAATAGCAATGGTAAAATCTTCAATGAATTATGAGAATTCTATAAAACCTTGACTAGGTCACGTTCCCGAAGAACATCTCTTCCAATGAGGGAAAATCTAGTTCAAGACCCCAGTCGTTGTCCAGCCAAGATGACTTGGGTGCATGACTAGTCATTGATGGATCTAGTTCCTCTGCGCCCTCGGTCCTGGTTACAAACAAATCCGCTTCGCAGCATCCACTAGCATGCTGTCTGATCTTATTCAAGGACCATCGGCTCACCGGCTCCGCTTTTCCTCCACGCTGAATATGCGAGATAACCCGCTCCATGAGGGTGAGAGTCTCACTAACTTCAGTCACGTGTGGTGAGAACTCAGCCAATGTTACCATGGCGAAGGAGCAGAGGAGGTTTTCATAAGCAGGGTGAATGTAAGTGGTCATCTCTGACATGCTTAAGAAGAGTCGTAGGACTTGGTGTGCATGATGAACGGCAAATTTAGCAAATGGGAGTGCATTATCGAACTCAGATGATGTTTTGCCGACTGGGTCGTTCATGTGTTGGAGTGTACGGCGAGCAAGAATAAGATAGGCACATGAGTAGGCAAACCTCAATGGTTCGGATGAATCCAGATCTGAAAACGGGAGCGATTAGTGGCTTTCATATTTGTATAGAAAAATTGACGTACTATAGATATGCTCCTGTGATTTCCGCAATTTCTGCATCTCTGGCCAGACTGGACTCTCTTTTTGAATCACATTGGAGCTAGTCAGCTCCCAAAGAACGCGATATAAGTTTACACCAGATAGTACAAGCTCATCGCGGTGGTTATATGATGGGAATTCGATCACTTTGGCGCATTGATCAAAGTACTGACTGGCTATCACAGGAGGGCGACCGGAGCCGACAGAGAATCTGCTGGTTATTAGGTCATTACAGGAATGAGACCATATAAGAATAGACGTACTGCAGTTGACAAAGGCAAATCAGGTTCCAAGTGCGCATAATTTCTCGGGCCCGACCTTCTTCCTCGATCCCACTTGTCTGTAGTAGTTGTTCAAAAGGGGTAGTGATGACCATCTTCATAGCTGCCATACCACTTAGTAGCCAGGAACTACCATGGTCATAGTCACGCGCAGGTCTAAGATCCCACATGGAGAAAATCAACATTGATTGGATTGTGTCTAGCGACGCAGCTGAAGCTAGCTGGGCCTGACCTAGGAGTACGTGCATATGACGATAAATATCTTGATGCATTTGAGAGCCATGTAGTGATGGAGTGATGTGGATACCAGCAAGGATACAAGTTCCGAAAAGGAGTGAGGATTTGGAGCGTAATTCATTGAGTGCTGTGTTCATAAATAGCCAGCGACTAGATATTTGGATAAATCTAAACACAAGAGTAAGGTGAGCTCAAATAGCCAGCAGTTTCTTGCGTAATGGATCGTACCCTTTGAGAAGTATAAGAGCAGTCTCCTCTGAGATAATCCCATTATGAATAATATCTTCTGAAATATCCTGAATTTGCAGTGGCTGTCGGTGAAGTGTTATATTCTCCCGGATCTCTTGTATAAGGCTCATTGGCGCATCGCGAGCGGTTCGTTCTGCGACTGATTGTGCGACCTATATAATATTTTAGCAACATTGTGATCCAAATAATTCAAAAGTGTTATTTTTCTACCTCAGGCCGGCTGTGTTTGACATCAGTGGTGGAGAAAAGAGAGGCTTGGATCTGGGTAAGAGAGGTTTCAACTGCGCGAAGTCTTCGTGTATATGGATCAGTACCTAGGAAAGGGAGATTGGAATCCAAATCTAAACATACCGTGGATGACAGTCACACCGATGATTTTCATCGTCTTTCACCGACTTTCGATGCTCATTGCGACTCAATAGCAAGGAGCACTTGATACTTTCAAATGATCAGTATGAGCTTAATTTCAGACCTTTTGTCATATTCTTACCCAAGGATTTCACATCGATGGCAATTATTGAAGCTGAGATTTGCCTCACATCGAGTTTTCAGGCGCCTACAGGCTTCACAAGAGCGTGCTTTGCTGGTTTTCTCTGGGGGGTTTTCCCCATGACTGGTTTTCCTTCGCTTTGGAGTTCGTGACTCTGGTAGAGACATTTTCAATTTTGTTTCTACGTCATTGATAGAATATCAATTATTTCCATCTGTTTTATTAACAGAAAAGCGAGGTAAGAGTGGATGCTTATCATCCCACTCTTGGATAATACGAGGTTATACTTGGCTTCGCTACGAAGGTCACTTGACACCACAGGCCAAGGTACCCAGGTACGCAATAAGACTGAATTTCTCAGTAGAATGATGAAACAACCTCCAGCGCTTCAATAGTCAGCTTAGATCTCGGGAATAGGCAATCGTATCCATAAAATCATAGTTAAACTGCCTTCTGCCCTGACCGCCTCCAATCGCAGTACTATTAGTTCCTGATCCCGGAATTTTCTTTCCTTTCTTTACCTAGTCAAGTTCTCCAGTCATTTTTCTTCTCCCAGTATTGTCCGGCTAGGATTCTTACTGTCTTCTCTTCTTTCACGATAACAGAAGTTCCCTGCAGGTTTTCCTCAAGCTGCACGGACCCAGTTGCCTTCTACCCCCACTTTCGGGAGGTAGTAAGTAATGCTGCCTGTATGTCAGAAATTCCCGAGGCCTGACAATTATAAATATTACTATTGACAATAAGCTTGACGTGACTAAACTGTTCTGGACCGCTGAAATGTGTCCGAAGATGACATGGGATCAGTCCCCAATGACTATAACCCAAAGCCGTTGACCTTAGGTCGTCAGTGCGTCTGGTGAGAGTGTAAGGGGAACGGAAAAATTTGTGTGATGAAGGATGGAATTGAGCTTGCAGGCTTCATGTAGTAGCGACTATGTATAATATAAGGGCCACCTGCAATTCCAGCATAAGATGATATACTACTTAATAGAAGAAATGGACGTATAAGGTTAGCGTGGGAAGTGGAGACATATCAGGTAGTAAACAAAAACCCAGTTCTTCAACACCTTCCACTTCCACCTTCCACCTTCAACATTTTGGGTTACAATACATCTTTACTCTTCTATTAAAACTACATCATCACACCCTAGCATCCCTCAAAGGGTTTTCCATCATGGACGGACCACTTCGCTTTATGCTGAAAACTGATCTCAGTACCTCGATTCCACCATGGATCGTGGATGTGATTCTGAAGAATCCTCCGTTCGAATCCATTCAGGGTGTCAACAATTTTCGCAACTTTACTCTTCAGAGTGGGTTTCGTAAGGGGTACGTGTACCGTTCTGCGCGTCTGAACGGAATCTCAGAATTAGGAAAGAGCACAATGGCCAATGACTTGGGAGTAACCACTATCTTCGATCTTCGTGACGAAGGAGAAATAGGTCAGATCCCCAGCCCGGTATTTGCTAATGGAATCTCCACCATCTCGTTGCCGTATGCAACCACGTTAGCATCATTGAAGACGGAAGATTTCGACCGAAACCACGAGGAGACAAGATTGGCGGCCTTCTGCAGGTTGTATATCGATATCACCAAGGCATTGAGTCCAATTTTTCGACTGGTGTTCACTCACATTAAGGATCGACCTGATGACCCCTTCGTTTTTCACTGCTCGCGTGAGTAAATTCCCGTCTGCAGGATTATTGTATTATTGCTAACTCATGCCTTCTCATATTCAGTTGGAAAAGACCGCACTGGAGTCTTGGCAGCACTGATCCTCCTTCTTGCTGGATCGCCCGCTAACGAAATAATAGACGACTACGTTATCACACGCGCGACACTCGAGCCAGCGCGAGAACGTTTGTTGCGCAGATGGGGGAAGTGCAATGGAGATGATTTGAGTCTCCATCAAATGGGTTGTATTGAGATGAGAGGAGCTCAAATGCACGTCATGGCGGCCTTCTTGACCACGTTCCAGACGATTTATGGCAGTATCGATAACTTTCTCACCAGAATCCTCGAGTTTAGTGCTGCCGATGTGCAGCAGATGCGACAGAACTTGATCGCCGCTGCTCCTCCGGCCGCTGCCGGACATTAGATTTCGGCCAAATGAGACGGAGTACTTGGAGTTGTCCGGAAAAGCTGGACTAGCTAGTGCGCCACAATCCAGGGTTCAATTACGGTCGGCATCTCTAAACAACCAGTATTGTCATCAGGAGTTTTATCACGGTATTGATTACGACAAACACTTGAAACTTGTATTGTTTACCTTAAGAAATCTGGCTGGAAACCAGCGGGATTGGGCTGCAGTCAGACTTCAGTCAGATCAAATAAAGCTTTTATGAATAACTCCGTACTTCTACTCCGTAATGCAACCCTTCCGGAAAATCTCTCCCCTCACGGACTCCACAAACAATGCAGATCATCAACTTTTCCCGCCAATGAGCCCAGATCTGGAAATTTGCTAATTGGAAAAAATGGGAATAGGGCATCCAGAATTGTCACCGTTTCTATCCCCCGCCTTGAAAGCCGTGCCATCCACCATACCATACCCATAGACACCGAATGGGGTACTTCGACTGCACAACACAGTGGCACGACACTGTTCCCACTTGTGGGTACAGAATCACAGACTAGCCGCGGCCCTGGACCCTGGTTGATCCCTTGGCACTTGATTTGATGCTGGTCATCTTCCGTCCATGAGGAATCTGGATAAATTGGCGAGAATGCCCTGCACAAATCTGACACCACAAGCCAACTGGTTAAGCCAAAATACGGTGAACTTTTGGGCTGCGACAAGTGTCACCATGCATTCTTGGAAGAAATTTGTACTCACTGTGCTACCATCGACTGCTCAATCTGTGCTTGGCCAGCATGTAGTCGATCTCAGCGGTGATGGCTGGACTGTTAGTAGTGAGGCCTTGAATATTTCAGTTCCAGGCCGTCTACCTTCTCAGGTCCACCTTGACCTATACGCAGCAAAAGTGATTGGTATGAATTTCCACTCTTGGGGTATTTTCTTGTTCTAACATGTACAGATGATCCGTTAGTATTGGAAACAACTCAAAAAAACACCTCAACGGTAAACTGACACCTATTAATAGATACTTTGGTCTTAATGAATTCGATTTGCGCTGGATCCCTTATAATAACTGGACCTACACAAGCAGACCTCTAGACAAGCTGTAAGTGTCCAGTTAAAGCAATTTCGCGGGGGTGTGAGCTAATTATATCAGGTCCCCTAATCCACAATCATCTTGGCTCGTCTTCAATGGACTTGATACTTTCACCACCATTGAGCTTTGTGGTCAATTCATCGGCACAACTGACAATCAGTTTCGTCAGTACACATTTGATGTAACCGATGCTCTAAGCAGCTGCAAGGTCGCCCCTACTCTAGATCTCAACTTTGGCAGTGCTCCTAATATTGTCAACCAAATTGCACAAGATCCAAACTCACAAAGTATGTTTCAAATATCGCTTTTAGAGATCATGGTCTGACTTTGTCGGAAGCCTGGCCTTCTAGACCACAACAAGTGTATGAGTTCCCCAATCGCTGGTTTATGCGCAAAGAACAGTCTGATTTTGGATGGGACTGGGGTCCGGCCTTTTCTCCAGCTGGTCCATGGAAGGACGCATTCCTCGTGCAGTTCGATCAAGATGAAAGTGTTTACGTCACAAACACCGATCTCGACATCTTTCGCAAGGGCCAGATAAATCACATCGCCCCGGATCTAAGTCAGCCCTGGGTTGTGAATGCAAGCATTGACTTTATTGGGCTCCCACCAACCAATCCTTCCATGACTATTGAGATCAAGGATGCTTCATCGGGAAGTATACTCAAATCAGCCACAATTCACAATGTTTCTACGGCAGGACAAAGCATAACTGGGAGTACCTTAGTCGATGCTGATGCCGCAAATCTGTGGTGGCCAACTGGTCTGGGCAAACAAAATTTATATGAAGTGACTATCACTGTCTACAATGGCCAGAAGCAGATACTAGCCAGCGTAAAAAAGCGCACTGGGTTCCGCACAATATTCCTGAATAGGTCCAATATCACGGAGGAGCAAATTGCCCAGGGCATTGCACCTGGAGCGAACTGGCACTTCGAGGTGAATGGTCAGGAGTTCTATGCGAAGGGTTCAAACTTCATACCACCGGATACTTTCTGGCCCCGAGTTACCGAAGCGAAAATGAAACGGCTCTTTGACGCTGTTGTGGCTGGTAATCAGAATATGCTTCGGGTCTGGGCATCTGGCGCGTACCTCCCAGACTTCATTTACGATATTGCAGATGAGCAGGGCATCCTTTTATGGAGCGAGTTCCAGTTCAGTGACGCGCTCTACCCAGTCGACCAGGAATTTCTAGACAACGTTGCAGCAGAGGTTATCTACAACGTGAGAAGACTCAACCATCACCCATCGTTAGCCCTGTGGGCGGGTGGAAACGAGATCGAAAGCTTGGAACTTCCTCTCGTGCAATCAGCGGACCCTGAAAACTATTCTTTCTATGTAGGGCAATATGAAGAGCTGTTCATCAGCCTGATTCTGCCACTCGTTTACGAGAATTCGCACTCCATTTCGTACATGCCAAGCAGTACAAACAACGGCTATCTCTGGGTTGACCTTTCTGCACCAGTCCCGATGGCAGAGCGTTATGATAATACAACCAGCGGCTCTTACTATTCAGATACCGACCACTACAACTACGCCAGCGATGTTGCCTTCGATATCTCAAGCTACCCTGTCGGTCGCTTTGCAAATGAGTTTGGCTTCCACAGCATGCCGAGCCTGCAGAGCTGGAAACAGGCAGTAGCCCCCCAAGATCTCCATTTCAACAGCAGTACAGTCCAGCTTCGAAACCACCACTACCCACCTGGTGGCACGAGTACTCGAAACTACAGCAACTCATCAAAGGGAATGGCTGAGATGACAGAAGCAGTGGAGCGTTACTATCCCGTTCCGCATAAGGAAGATTCTGTCGAAGAATTCAGTGCGTGGTGTCATGCGACACAAATATTCCAGGCTGATATGTACAAATCTGAGATCCAGTTCTATCGAAGAGGAAGTGGATTGCCAGAGCGTCAGCTCGGTTCCTTGTATTGGCAGCTCGAGGATATCTGGCAAGCCCCCACCTGGGCCGGTATCGAGTATGATGGTCGCTGGAAAGTTTTACACTACGTCGCCCGTGACATCTACAAACCCGTCATAATCGCTCCATACTGGAACTACTCGACAGGTGACCTCTCAATCTACGTCACATCTGATCTCTGGGAGAGTGTCCATGGTTCTGTGCACCTCAAATGGGTTGATCTTTCTGGAACGCCTATTTCAGGGAATGCGGTCGTGGTCACTCCAGAGACCATCGAATTCACTGTGGGTGCTCTCAACACAACCAAGATACTCGACACGAACATATCCAAGCTCTCTCTTTCGAACCAGACGAATGCTATTCTCCTCATGTCTGTCGATGCACAGGGCCACCTCCCGAACAACGTCGATAGGGCTGTGTCAAAGTTCACTCACGAAAACAAATTCACTCCCGTATTTCCGAAAAACCTGTCCTTGGTCGATCCAAAGCTTGAGCTTTCATATGATGAATCATCCAAGACTTTCATCGTCGAAGCCAAGAGTGGGGTCTCGCTTTACACCTGGTTGGATTATCCTGCTGGTGTTGTGGGCTACTTTGAAGAGAACGCGTTCACTCTTCTTCCGGGAGATAAACGCATAGTGGGCTTCGTGTTGCAGTTGGATGAGACAAATGGACAGTGGGTGCATAATGTAACAGTTAAGAGCTTGTGGGATCAGACTACTAATGTGTGAGAATGGTTCCTACAACTTGCGCTTCTAAGGTTGAGCAATTAACTATCAAATCTCTTGCCGGAGGGTCAAAGGGAACCATTAACTAACGCCAAATTTCAATTATTATCATTAATTTTAAGGTATAAAAACTTGTAAACCTCCTCACAAATATCATCTAAATCATAAGTAATCATACACTCCCCTCTCCTCTATAGAGTGGTTTCCCCATTATGATCCCCCAGTCTACTCTATTCCACCTTTTTAGTTGTGATTGAGTCTCGCTCTAAGCTTGGCTCCAAACCAGTAAAAGCCGTAGGGAATGAAGACCATCCCAACTCCAATGAAAGCAAGCAGCCACGAAGCCCATTGCAATCCAAGACGATGATACATTTGGGTAATGAAAAGAGGGAAGGCTGCACCACCTCCCGATCGCACAAAAACCTTGGCAGCCAGAGCTGAGGCGGCATACTTCTGATACGAATCAATGATGTAGTTGTTCACGGCGTAGTAGCACAGAACCATGCCGAATCCGAAAGCAATTCCCGATGAAGCAGGTCCCACCCAAATGATATGCTTGTAGGAGGTGGCGCCGAGAATAAAGAATGCAATTGGCACGAATGGTGCTCCCCAAAGGGCAGCGATAAGTCGGTCTTCGGGTGTCGGTGCTCTTTCCGCGCAAATACGAGCGAATTGCTTTTCAATTATAGGAGTTACCACCAGTGCAAAAGCGGCACCGATCAAAATAGGAATAAACATTAGACCGATCTGGCCGTCGTTGTAGTCGTATAGTTCTCCGAAGATGACGGGATAGGCGAAGAAGAATGCGTAGAGCATAGAATATATAAGCACGATGTATAAGTTCATGAGATCAAGCACTGGCTCGGTCAATATCATCTGGAGCGGGCGAATCAAGTTTGTACGGGCGATCTCGCTGAATGTCAGCTTTTTCTTCTCCTGCTCGGTGATGATGTTTGGATTTCCACTCTCTTTTCGAAGCTTCTTGGCTCGGCTTTTGAGAATGACTGGTGCGTAAGTCTCCGGGATCAGCGCAACCATGACCGTGACAGCGCCAGTGAAGGCAAGGTTGACCCAGAAGAACAGGTCCAATCTATGGGATCCAACGTTGATCCAGCCGTTGACAATTGGACCAATGACGGGACCGCAGTAAGGAGCAGCAGCGAAATAAGCAATGGCCATGCCACGTTCCTCGATATCCCAGATGTCGGCAATGGTTCCACCAGCCAGAGACAGACCCGAGCTGGAGAAGACACCACACAGGAATCGGCTAGCGAGTAGGCCTCCAATGTTAGGTGAAAGAGCACAAGGGATGTTCATGATGGTGTAAAGGCTCATCGAGACGATATAGACAGGCCGCCTACCAATGATCTCAGACAATGGAGACCAGAGCAATGGGCCAACAGCAAAACCGCAAACCATGATTGAGCAAGTCAAAATGGCAACCTCCTCGGAAACATTGTATTTTTCCTCAATCAGACCCAAGCCACCTGTAACGATTGCAGAACCGTAGGCAATACAGACAACGAGCAAAGATGCAACCATTGTGATATACCAGCGATAATTGCGGGACCAGTTATGGGGGTTTCCAGCATCATCAATAGTGAAGGTCACAAATTCCACGTCGTCTTTGAGGCCTTTCTCTATATCACCTTCACGATCGCTTGTTTGCAAGGTTCCGGTACTTGAGTTTCGGGATCGGATAGTTTTTAATGTGGTTTCTGGAACAATACCAGTAGCTGTTTCGACGGTATATTCTTCAGGGAAGACTGGTTCATCTGGTCGACCAACATCGGGGTAGTTGACGTCCAATGGCGGAGGAGTTTCTGTGATAGTGTTGCGAAGAGATTCTCGCGTTTCAACCCTTGTTATCATATCGAGAGTCTGATGAGATATAAATTCAGATGTCTTGGTAATTAGTTGATATTATTGATACCAATTGACAAGAAAGGGCGAGGAATACCTTCATTTATAGGTGTATGAGTTCAAGAATTTTTTGGCATAGATAGTGGTCTATAGTTGGTGCTTGCCGAATGATCTCCGAACACAGACCGACCAATATCAGACGTTTTACCCATTCTAGTATTGTTATTAGCGAATGTTTTAGCATCAGCCTAGAATTCGGCCCAGGGGTGCGTTTAGATCGGCTTGTGTTACCCTAGCGTGAACTAGTTTGATGCGGTATGTCATATCAATCAGCGAAACCCGGCATAATGTCGGATATAGCTCGGTGCCGAGAGAATACCGATATATCTTACAGTAGTAAAAGATCATATGCACCTTCATTCATATTGAGACACTGATTGATCGATTGATCGTCAACAGCTTGCGTCATAAACAGTTTCAACTAAAATGGAAAGACAATCTCTTCTGACCATGGCTTTCAAATGTCCTTTTGTAGCTTGGGTTTAATCGCAGAAATTTCGTCCTCGATTATCAAGAACAGTAATTCTGTGCCGAACAAAAGCAGCAATATACTCTTTCCAGGGTTTCATTCTACATAACCATACTATTTCTCTGATTGACCGTTGTTTAGCTGATAAGTTTGTGGGCTTGAAAATTAGAATCAATCAGGTGCTATCAATCCTTCCGGTGGAGCTGTGAGCTGCTAATTAGTTAATACGGTTGGGGGCGATTGGTGATTATTAGCCTGATTAAAGAACAAAAGTGACATGACTATGGATATAGTAAGTCAACTAACGCATAAGGCTGAGAAAAATGAAAATGAAGAAATGACTTTCACTATCACACCTGGGCATTCTAAAATGGACCGGGGCTGACAAGACTATGAAGATAGGTTTATTTGGAATGGAAGATGATTATACTGAACATCAAGCTCTGCATGTCCATTGATATGTTTCCATGTGAACGGGAGATCTGGATAGCTCAAACGTTGAACAGTTGAACTCTGAAGAGGGCAAAAGGACCGAGAGGTGAGCCCATTAGGTAGAAGATAGATATGTTTTTTCTCCTATAATTTCTTGTTGGTCATACGCCTGAAAGTGAGCTGTTGTTATTGCACACCGTCATTTACTTGATTGAGGATAACGTAGCTAGGCAGTGAAAATTCCAAGATGAAGAAGGTTGAAAGTATGTTTGTGCTCTGTATCTATAGCGCATGTAGTAAAATGGAAAGCTTTCATCCCACAGCAGCATCGCATCAACGAACATAAAATCAACTTGGAAGTTAATCAACACGCAATTTCGCCTTTTAAAGATCCACTTTGGTCTGGACTCTGGTGCGTCGACAATTCGTTCAGGAATGATTAGCTATATGAAGCCCGATTATTTTCGACGTTGTCCGTAAGTTTATCGGCCCTACAGGCTCCTTACTCTTGGCTTCTGCCTTTCCAAGCTAACTGCGTCAAATATTATTACACCGCTACCTGGAAATTTTCATGGATTGGGTTAAGATCTACCCCGGGACCTGCTCGTGACCACAATGACGGTAAATATTTACTTGAATTTTCTGGAAATAGCAGCCATTTCATATCTGGGTGATCAGTGGTAGATACATTGGTCATAGAAGTAAAAGATGGTCAGGCTAAAATTTAGCAATGTCACTGTCCTACTAATTTTGGCTGGTTTAACCACCTATTGAATCCATATCTAGGCACTTTATCAACGACCAGGTCTTCACCTTGCCGTGAAATGTGGTCACTTACCCCACTTAGGTGCGATAGTTTCGGCAGCTAGTGACACATTTATGCCTCACATTGCATGTAAGAGAGAAAGTAATCCTGATAGGCAGCTTGGCCGCTGGCTATGGCCGGGCCAAGTCGCTACGTTTGAGCGGAAAAGATAAGTGTATATCACAATTTCCACACTCAGTTATTCTGGACATAGTCATACAGTCGAGGCTAGCCCATAGTACCCTCAAAAACAGGCTTTTTGCTACCAGGGTGATCTGCCGCCTTACAAGCCTTCTCAGCAAAATTTTTGATGTCCTTCAACTGTGACGCCTTGGCATAGCACTTCCATTTAGGAAAAAGTGTTGGAGATCCAGTAGATGACTCGCTGCAGGGTTTGATTTTGAACTTGTGATTGATTGAATTGTACACGTCTTCCACGCCGGTTTTTGTGAGCGGACCACACCCAATAAACAGCCGAATTGACGTATTTGAAGGGCCAAGATCCATAAAAAGGTGGTACTCAGAGGCCAACGTTTCATTTTTGACAGGAGCACATGTCCCTTTCTTTGAATCGTATTTCACAGGGCTCTTCATGTGCTTCGCTGTGCAGATCTTCTCGCTCATTTTTATAGGCGTCTTACACCACCTTAACGCATCATTGCAAGCAAGGCTTTCGGGAGAGAGGTGACACTGAGCAGTGTCAAACTTACACCACTCAACAGCACATTTTTTTGCTTCATCTTTGCTGCACTTTTTTTGACAGGTTGAACCTGGTAAACTGCCTTCCGCTAGGAGGTCTGATCTCAGGAAGCCTGGTTGACAGTTTCCATCGCCGGTATTATACCAGCTTGTGCATTCCTCGGTCAAGTCACAAGTCAGTCGGTTCTTATCTCTCTTGGAGATGTCTGTCAATGGGGTAGACGCAGTACTAGAGATCACGGTGCTGATAGCCAGAAGGAATGAAAGCCAACGATTTATCATGTCGATATATGGAAGAATTGGCGGGGAAGCCAGTTGTATGATGTTCTGTAACCTTAAAGATCTTGAGAATTTGAGCAATACAACCTTCCAAGGTTGGAATATGAGAGAGTGGTTAGACAAAAAATCACATTTATCGATCAGGGATTAGTGATCTCGCCTACCCAGGGGACCTTGTACCTAGGTAACATTCCAAGGGTTAAGAATTCCACTTGAGGAAGGCTACAGGGACCAGAATGCCACCCAGGTAATGAACCTGTCCCAAAGCCAAGAATTTCCAGTAGCCTTGCAGGTTTTTGGAATATGTGCATGCACATATCTCGATCTGTCCACCTGGGCATCCATCAATGGATTAACTTTTGGCTGTAGGCCTTGGAGGCGGCCAAACAAGTACCTAAGACGTATAGTGAGGCATCCATACCTATTTAGGTATCAAGGGACAGAGGTCAATACATAGATTTAGGGACCACGGGTGACAGACTTGGGAGATACCTAATTACCATCTGCAAATGGGTGCCCAGGTGTCTAGGTAACTTCTAGAGCAGCACTCAATGATACACCTTGGTAGTTCAATGCCTCAAAGATTTCAAACTTCCAGAAAGGTGTATACCGTTTGACGGGCTATTAGTGTCCGGTTTGTGGGAAGGAACTTCGAATCAAATCATCTAAGCACGGATGTTCCGATGTACCTAGGTAGGGTATTCAAGGACATACTATTAAAACACGACTAGGGTCTTCAGATGTCGGGATGATAGTGGGCGACATATGTTGGCAAATAGTGTTCTAAGAGTCTAAGGGTTGTCTGCACCTGGAATTGACAGCAATTTTCTAAAAAAATCTAAATCTCGAAGAAGAATAGTAGTCCTCGGGAGTGGACTCAATTTCAAGGTTGAAACTTGAGAGACATCTATATCTGCCCGCGGGCATAGACTCAGCTTGAGATCTGGAATTGCACTGTTTGATCAAAGCCTAGACCACATATTCCGATTGGCCCAATGCCGGGTACGCTACTCCAAGAAAGGCATAATGTGGGTCTCGCGATATCTGGCGGGAGCTGGAGGCCGAAAAGTTGTTTTTCTCAACTCCCTCAATTTCTCCAAAATACCCTACGCCATGTCGACCCGTTCAGCCTGGCGAGCACTGCACTACAGTGCCAAGCGTCGCACTGTCCAGCCCACCACTCCATACCGCTGTTTTTCCTGCACCCGCGCTGCGCAGGATCAGCCTAAATCGGATCAGGAACGCCTGACACATTTCGGATTCAGAAATGTGCCCGAGTCAGAGAAGGAGTCACGAGGTAGGCACCTTTGCATCCAAAGTGGTTCGAATTGCCTAGGGAGACAAAGCTAACGAATCAATTCACAGTCGGCGCTGTCTTCAGCTCCGTCGCTTCCTCGTACGACCAGATGAACGACCTCATGTCCCTAGGAATCCACCGCCTCTGGAAAGATCACTTCGTGCGCTCGCTGAACCCCGGCTCACCACTATCTGCGCGAATCAACAGCACCGAGAAGAAAGGCTGGAACATCCTCGACATCGCCGGCGGGACCGGCGACATCGCCTTCCGCATGCTTGACCACGCCACCAACATCAACCACGACATCGAAACCCGCGTCACGATCAGTGACATCAATGCCGAGATGTTAGCTGAAGGCCGCAAGCGTTCCACCCAAACCCCTTACTACAACACAGACCGCCTGTCCTTTGTTGAGGCCAACGCAGAGCACATGCCGCATATCCCGGATAACTCTGTTGATTTGTACACTGTTGTTTTCGGTATCCGGAATTTCACTGACAAGCAGGCTGCACTGAACGAGGCTTTCCGCGTGCTTAAGCCTGGTGGTGTCTTTGCCTGCATGGAGTTCAGTAAGGTCGACAACCCACTTTTCGATGCTGTGTACAAGAGGTGGAACTTTGGTGCTATTCCTATGATTGGTCAGCTTGTTGCTGGTGATCGCGATAGCTACCAGTATCTCGTTGAGAGTATTGAGAAATTCCCCAGTCAAGATGAGTTCCGCGGTATGATCCAGAAGGCAGGATTCATGATTCCTGGTGTTGGATACGAGAACCTTACTATGGGTATTGCTGCTATTCACAAGGGTATCAAGCCGGTTACTCGAGCTTAATTTGTGGGGGTTTCAAGTTGAGGATCTGAACCTGCTTGTTTCCTTTGAAAAATGCGTCAGGTTTGTATATTATAAAATTTTTCGTATTGTAACTTTATACACGATTAATATCTCCAATATCGGTATACCGACCATCTTCTGAGGTCCTTTCGATGATATCCACTTCATATGTCAGTTGAGAATTGTTCAATCCTAACCAGTAGGGCTTTTCATGTACATCGCAGCTTCGGCCTGGTTCATATCCATCTCCTTTCAGGACTCGGCGGGGATACATTTTTGCTACCAGAAGCTGAGCCCCAAGTCTCCAGTCTTCTGTCTCTCCGTTTCACCTGCAGCCGTACACTTGTCGAGTCCTATCAGCCACAATTTCTGTCTTTGAAAGCAGCTGGTGTTAGCATTCGAAGTTCCCGACCAAAGACATATCGTTACCCTAGACACATGATCAGAATTTTTATCGTTGTATCCTGTCGCCTCCGCTTCGATTAACTCCTGATGAGTGGAAGACGGTGTCAATTCTTGAAGGAGTTGGCATGCAACTCGGAAGCAGCTTATATAAAATCCGTTGAGATGATGGGCTTTCATGTGTAGGATCTCGTTCGGCAGATTGAATATACACTGGATAGTGTATGGTTGCGACATTGTAGTAATCAGTATATGTTGCTATAGGCCCCCGTTCACGAGTTGAGGAACCAGGACTACAGGTATAGTGAGTCTAGGAGGGTCATGGGTATGGATGAGAGTCTTCTGAGCGGGGTGGTCTATTTTGGGTGAAGTACAAGTGACTTGTAGTGAGTACGGTTGTACTGACCAGCCCACTAAGTAAGGTTTCTTACTCTTCGACCAACCATAAGATGATATTCAGCCGAAACAGCTCCTCTGACTCATACATCACACAGAATATGGCACCTTGAGCTTTCTTCTAGTTTGACAAATAGACTCGACGTCAGAGTCCAGGATTAGTCCAGGATTAGTCATTTCACGTGGCTCGATGTGCATTACAGCAATGGCCGTCACTAGTCGTATAGGTTTACCCTAATCCCGACAACATGAGCCGGTGAATAGCCTTGCAGTCAATAGGATTCTGGCCCAAAAATACCGCTTGGGAGGCTAAAAGAACTGAGTAGGTATCATATGTTATTTTAAGATACATTAAAAAGCAGTTGCATCGTCGACCGAGATTGTCAATCGTATGTGCAATCCGGGAAAATCAGCGGAAAAGATATTATAGCCTCACTTCGCTCAACAGTGATAACAATGATGGAAACTACCTGCTTACTCGCCCCACAAGTCTTCCGCCTCGATGAAACCGAGGCAAATGTTGTCTGTCATGTCCTTCATCACGGCGATGACAGATATGGGGTCAGAACCAGCGCGCGATACAGAGACGAGATGACGCAGTTCAGTAAGCGGAGTCAACTCGGGCACCGCGAACCATTTAGAAGAAGGAACGGCAAGTGGAGGGCCCGAATCATTGATTAAAGCATCCGATAACAGCATATCAACGTTAGTCTTTCGCGAAAGAAAAGAGAGAATACGTCGTGGAGGAATAATTTGATCGGGAGAAAGAAAGGCCCATGATTTAGCATTGGGATGCTGAATGGCTGTAAGAAGAAGATCAAGTAACCGAATATCGTTTTTTGTAGAAGGTGCAGCAGTGGGTATTTGGTTGAAAGGCACGAGTATAGTTGAAGGAATCCGACCATTGTCCGAAGAAGGTAGAAGTGTCAGTGGGGGGATTGATGCACCACTCACAATATCGTCCCAGGCAAGAGAAAACGAGCTGGTAGACGAAGGTGAGTTGGTCGGAGGTGAGAAAGTGCTCGATGCCGGGGTCGTGGCCATGGCTGCTGCACCAATCGCACCGCCGGGATGGTGGTTGCGAAAGACGTCGGCAGGGCCCTTTCCCGGGGCTGTGTGTAATTTTCGGGCAGCGGCAATGGCCAATGCATCACCCAGACAGAGAGCTACTGTGGTAGAAGAAGTCGGGGCGCTCACACCGAGAGAAGCTTCCTCTTCTTCATGGATTGGAGCTTGAAGAAGAATACCCAAACCCATCGGACCGTGTAAAGAGAGCAACGGACATGATGCAGGTTCAGTATGTGATGACAAGGCGATGATAGGAACGGTCAAAGGAATGTGAGGGAGCAGAGTAAGAAGCTCTGGCGAGCGACCCGAAAACGAGATCAGAAGGATGGTGTCGTTCTATATTCAAAAAAAGTCAGCCGTTGTAAGTCTCGTTCGTCCAATCATTGCGATGTGGACCGAGTTGACGCAGGGACAAGCATAGCGTACCGGTCGAATTAAACCTAGATCTCCATGCAGCGCCTCAGTCGGGTGAAGAAACGCGCTGTAGATGCCCAGACTGTTCATTGTCGCTTCGATCTTTCGTCCAATCTTCCCACTCTTTCCCACCCCGCATATAACCAGCTTGCCGGCGTTTTGAACGCTACGCGCAATCTGATCTACGGCGCGCGCTAGATCCTGTTGCGCACGCGTATTTGTCTGATAGAGATGCTCCAGGTGCGCGAGAGCGGCGCGTTCAGTGGACATTACATGGATTGCAGTTACTACTGAGGAAATCTCCTTTGTCATTGTCGGCGAGCCTGATGGGTAGGGAGGAGTGAGGGGTCCAGAAAGCATTATTGGAGAAGAGATGTTGGTCATGTTGGGAGAGAGTGAGGGGTCAATGGCTTCATATTAGGGAGGAGAGAGCAAGTGTAAGAGTACTAGGAGATATTTAGGTAAGGAAACCCCAGTCTACGAGCAATACTACGGCGGGAATCGGAGTAATTCTAGTACATGGGCATCGATAGCGAAAGATAACTGGACGGGTCGGGGTTAATCGCCGATCGATTATAAGCCTATTATTTCGAATATTTATTTAAAAAATAGTTGATTTGTAAACTTGGAATGTTCGATTAACTAACAATTTACTTTCGGCTTAAATTAAGCACAAAATACGAAAATATGGTGTCATCAGATAAAATGATGGTGCATAATCTTCAATCCTTTCCGCATCGGGCGAAATCCCCAGATTCAGAGTCGGAGATTTTAGAGGATATACGGAATAAGATTATGGGTATACGGACATAGATTCCAAGGTTCTAGTGAGCCCTCCTCTAAAGTGAAGCTAGTATGTACATCTGGGCTTCTTCTTCTCTTCTTCTTCTCTTCTTCTTCTTTAGCTAATCCATACCATCGTGTGTTGCCAATAATCATATAAATCAAATCCACTCCTGAACACCAGAAATCATTAATCTTCTCTTACAGCGGAAGCAGCGGACGGATGTGTGTATCCAGGACGAAGACGGGGGGTATCGTATCAGTCATTGTCTTTTTAATCGTCGTAGCCGTATTATCAATTTGATTTCCCGTCCTGCTTCTCCTTGCCTTTTTCATTTGTCCCGTCATCTTCATAGAGATGGTGCTGCTCGATATAATGAATGACAGGGACTGGGATGAGATAGCGGACACTCATCTCACGTCGCAGGAATAACCGGATCTTGGTACTGCTGACATCGTTTTGAATGAGTTGCTGGATGACATTGATGTTATCCTTCCACGGTTGCAAGCTGGCCAGAGCCTCGTCAATATCAGTGCCGTTGCGCTCCACAATGAAAGACTGTATAAATGTTTAGTTCGATATCCATTTGTGGACGGAGATGAGACCTACGCCGTATTTGCCAAGAATATGGTCCAAATCCTTTTCGCTCCATACGCCGGGAGTGGACATGGTATGAATCAGATCGGCACCAGCCAGCAAGGCAATGCGCACTGGCTTGCGGGTTCCATTCCCAGCCTCCACACCTTCACGTACTGTATTGATCTCGTGGTCGAAATGGTCTAGTACAACCGCAGTGGGCTGATACTCCTTCTGCACAGGCTCCCACGTATCCACCATCAACCAATCCGAGGTTTGATCGACTGCCAGCTGACACATTGCAACCCTACAGAACAATCTGATTAGCTTCAAAGAAAGAAAAGTGTAGAAACAATGAGTCCTACCGATGTTCTGCGCTCGCGAGACCAGCCTTGCGATAAGCGTCCGAAACGGGTGACAAGTAGCCACCGATGAGTTCGAACTCTGAGTTAAATTTGACATAATCTGCAGCCATCTCAAACATACGGAGATGCAAATACGTAATGGGGGAGAAGGAGCCACAAGCCACCAGCAGAAGTGGGGTCTTCTCAGGGTCGTTCATCTTGCGCCTGAGGCGTAATTCGGGGAAGACATAGTCGGTCATAGGAGTGGGAGGGATATAGGTGCGAGCCTGATGCACATCATCACAGTGCCCTCCAACCATTTCCGACATTTCAAAGGGGGCGAAAGATGGGGGAAAGTGTGGAGAGAGAGAGGTTGGGAAGTTTTAGAACCTCGGGTTTGAAGAAAACGCGGGGCGGCAAACGAGCGGAAAGCGGAAAGAGGAAAGCGGAGGAGAATGAACCGGATTGAGTAGGTAAGTATTTATTCAAATATGGAGTTGAAAAGTGTAGTTGAGTGAGAGGTCTGATAAATCTGATATCCGATGATTAATAATTATTCCGGTGAGTCAATCGAGGCCAGAATATTATCCCCGCCCGTTAGCATCTAATGATGTGAGAAGTACTAGACATTGGGCCATCTCTACAGTTTTATTTCTAGAAGGATTATATCTCTGTACGCTATCTCGGTAAGATTCAAATAATTCAGGGTGTTCATTGGCTTATAATATTAGTTAATACTCAGGTAATACCTCATAAACCAAGATCCAATAGATCCTTCAAAGATAGGCAACATCGGTAAGTATACTGAATCTTACGGAGTACTAGGCTTAGAATAAAATAAAATAATAAGTGCCCAACGTACTGTGGGCAGAATATCAATCGGCTGTACAGTGTACTGTTACCTGTTACCGCTGTCTTATATCATCGTTGCAGTCTCGCTTGCTCTTCTGCCACAGACCAACTTCCCCTTCTTCTCTCCCCCAACACTTCTTGATCTTCTACTTCTACCCTATACCTTTCTTTTACCTTTTCTTCTTTATCTTCTTATATATTTCATCTTCTTCTTGAACCTTTTCTGTACTTCTGCTGGATACTACCTTATCTTCCTAGTTTCCCTGCGTCCTTTTCCAACGTTCACTGTCAACACTTTGTACGGACTGTACGGACTGTACGGACTTTACGAATGGCGGATTGAAACAGTGTAGAAAGTCTACCTCAACATAACCCTGATCAGGTAACTTTATGGCAAGGCGAAGACCCTCTATCAATCGCCAGGACCCTCTCGAGGATATTTCCGTCTCCCCCGCAGGAGCTTCTGCCCCGAGGTAAGTAGCTATAATGTCCTTTTATCACCATTCCTCCAAATTTCATCTATTGTTTGCTTTGTCTGTGATACTTCGCACCTCATCTCCAAGATCTATGTGAATAAACACTACACTCGTTGTTAGCCTTGCACATCAGACCGCTTTCAACTTGCGTTCTGGTACATACCAATCTTCAACCTCACCCCTCATCATCACTTTGTCTTTCCCCCCCAATTTTCAATCACTGCGTCTGTCTGGACCACCTTGATTGTTCCTTTATCGTTTTATTTTTCTTCTTCAATCTTCGTTTCTACGTCCACCTACACGCACTCTTTCCAATGAAATAAACTTCTCACCAAAATGACTCCTAGGTCTACTCGCTCTTCGGCGAGGCTTGCCACAGATCTTTCTCTCGTCACTGAATCTGCTGCAGCCCAACCTCAATCTGCTCCAGCCTCAAGGAAACGTAAAGCGCCTGTGCGTTCTCGACCAGCAGCCCCGCCAGTCCCCGCGGTGACATCGCCTCCTCGGCGGCGTTCGAAAAGACAGAAGACCTCAACACGTCCTCCTCCACCACCACCTCCCCTTCAAACTCTTCCTCCTCCGCCCCTTCCCACAAGTTCTCGTCAATCTCGCCACACAGCTATGTCACAACCTGGGTGAGTAAAATTACTCATGATTATAATTTATTCAAGAGACGCTAATGTATCTTCATATCATCAGACCATCCTCACGAGGAACAGAAGATGCCAAGTCAGCAACTTCTCCAGCACCTTCGAGACGTCGATCCGCAAGAAATGGTGGGGTTTCCTTAAATCTCAAATTACTAGGGACTGATTTGCTAATCATGGTGGTTGGACAGATCGAATTGCAGCCACACAATCCCCGCCTCCACGGCGTCAGAGAAAACGTTCCTCCAAGACAAACGCCGACGTATTGATGCGGGATGCGGAGGACGATGTGGATGAGGATGATGATCATAATGAAGAGCACGAAGGGACTCCGGCTGGCGAGAGCCATGATGATGCTGCCACCAACCCTTCCGTCTTCGATGAGGATGATTTGGATCCATTCCAGAGCAGTCTCTTTGGCGGTCGAGGCCCCATGGGACTACAAAGCACTCTCCGAGCTCTCAGTGGCATGATGTCGGGCATGCACACTCGACTGCGAGATATCCTCGCTAATTTGAAAGCAAAGGACGACCCTTCTCTCCAGTTGATTGCTCTCCAGGAGCTTTCCGATCTTTTGCTAGTCTCTAATGAGGATAATCTCTCCGGCCAATTCTCCCCTGACCCGTATGTTAAAGAGCTGGTCAGCTTGATGCAACCGAATCAGTTCGGCGAGGAAAACCCAGAGATCATGCTCCTGGCTTGCCGATCGCTTGCTAACATGATGGAGGCTCTTCGCGGATCCGTGGCCAACGTCGTCTATGGTGGCGCTGTGCCAGTGCTGTGCCAGAAACTTCTGGATATCCAGTTTATTGATCTTGCCGAGCAAGCATTAAGTGTAAGTGTTTTCTCAGACCGATCGTGGCTCCACAGACAGCATACTGACTAGGATGTTTTCTTTCTTTCTTTCTTAGACTTTGGCCAAGATATCCGTTGATTTTCCGGCATCGATAGTACGAGAAGGTGGACTGACAGCATGCTTAACATACTTGGACTTCTTCCCTACAAGCACCCAGCGTACTGCGGTAACAACTGCAGCAAATTGCTGCCGCAACCTCCCTCATGACTCTTTTCCCGTGATTAAAGATGTGATGCCGATCTTGCTGAATGTTCTTTCCAACGGTAGTGATGCCAAAGTTGTTGAAAACGCATGTCTTTGCGTCTCCCGTATAGTTGAGAGCTTCAAATATCGGCCCCAGAGCTTAGAAGCGCTGATTGAACCTGAATTACTCAAAACCGTTCAGCGACTTTTGCTGCCTGGTACTTCCAACTTGGTTGGCCCACATATTCACACTCAATTCCTACGTGTTCTTGCGATCGTCGCCAAAGCTAGCCCCTCTTTGTCTTCAGCCTTGCTTAAAATGAACGTCGTTGATACCCTGTACCAGATCTTGACTGGTGTGTCTCCACCTCCGGACTCAGACAATACTTCCGTCAAGATGGACAGTGTTTTGGTAATGCAGGCGTTGATCCACCGACCCCGCGAGCAGGTGTTTGAGACACTGAATGTCATCTGCGAATTGCTCCCGAGTGTTCCCAGCGACAATGCCTCTCGAACTGATAATCTTTTGAGTGCATACTTCGATAGTAATATGTCAATTGGACTGAAAGCGCCCAAGGCAAAGGAGACCCCGGAAGATAAACAGGCTATGCTAGAAGATTGCAAGCCCCAAATCAAACGCTTTGCGACAATCATGTTCCCGACCTTGACTGACGCCTACTCAAGCACGGTCAATCTGCACGTCCGCCAGAAGGTACTTATTGCTCATCTAAAAATGCTTCACATCCTAGACGCGAAATTGATTGAAGATGCTCTACGTACCGTCCCGTATGCGTCCTTCTTGGCTTCTATTCTTTCGCAAAAGGACCACCCATCCCTTGTATCCCTCGCTCTACGTTGTTCTGAGCTACTATTCGAACGTTCGGAGCACGTTTATCAACATCAGTTCCACCGTGAAGGCGTCATTTCTGAAATTGCCAAGTTAGCACAAGCGCCACTCTCTAACAATGAGCAAGACAAAGGTACGGACGCTGAAATTGCTCATGACGTCGACATGGACCGAGCTGAAGAGAACACCGAAGACGATGATGATCTTGACGATCAGGATGAAGATCTTGACGAAGATCAAGATGACGATGATTCGGACTCGGATGCCTCGACCCCTTCTGGTCGACAATCTTTGGCAAAACTTGACATTGCTCTCAACGATCTGGTCATCCGAGATGCCCAAGTTTTCATCAAGTCCTACGAGCAAGGTCAGGGTGCGACTGTTCGGTCGGAAGCACTTAAAATCTTGACTAACTTGCAGTCTTTGGCGACAAAGATCCGGGCTTGTTACTTCTCCCGCAGTCCCAAGGATGGTAAATCTCTCTTCGAGACACTGGCGTCCTACTTCGATGGAGATGCTCTGGAAAGCATAACTAGTTCAGAGCTGCAGAATTCGGGCATCATTGATGTACTCTTGGAGGTTCTAGGTGACTTGAATTGCCCACACATCAAGCTTGCCCGGTCGAGCTTCTTGAAAACATTTATGGGTGTCACTATCTCTGAAAAGGCCAAAAGCCAGAGTACCGCAACTACGCCCTTCAGTGTCTTAATTCGCAAGCTTCAAGATTTGCTAAGTCGGACCGAGCATTTTGAAGTTCTCACCGTGAGCCACAACTCGTTGGAGAACACTCGCAGTAATGCTACATATATGCTTGGAAAACAGCTTCGCCTCAAATTGGCTGCGGATGAGGGATGTAAAGTTCCTGCCCCGTACAAAAACATTATGGTTTCGATCCATGCCATCGCAACCTTCAAGGCGCTGGAGGATTTCCTACACCCACGAATCACCGTAACGGAAGCTCCACGGCCGTCTGGCTCTCGGGCCCGGATACTTGCCCAGATTGCCGAAAATGCTCGTGTGCGCGACCAACTTGCTTCACATTCAGCCAGGGGCTCAACTACGGGCAATGCTTCTGAGAGTGCAGGTGGTGGACATATTGATGGATTTGACTCGGAGGATGACGACGATCGTGAAATGCGGCGCGTTCGCGCACGAATTGATCAGAGCCTTGGGCGACAACTTGACGGTGGAGATGAGCCCCTTGAGTGCGCTGATGAGAGACAACTCAGTGGCGATGAGGACGATGACGACGACGACGGCGAAGCGCAAGAGGATGAGGAGCTGAATGCCATCGTAGATGATCTTGAGGACGAGTTGGACGATGAGCCTGTACAAGATACCACTGCCGTCAATATGGAGGTGGCATCCTCAGGCAAGGTCACCGCACGCAAAGAGGACGGAACCAGAGTCGGAACACCCTCTTTGTCCACCGAAGCATCGAAGTCTTCTTCGCACAACTCTTCATCTCGCACTACTGGGACCTCCCTGGCCACTGCTGGCCGCCCGTTCGCATCGTATGCTGCTGCCATCACATCGACTCCCCAGGACTGGCATATCGAGTTTTCTGTGGATGGCAAGCCCATTACAAGCGACACTACTATCTACCGAGCCGTGCACCATAATCGTGCCAATTTAGACGAATCGAAGACTAAGAGCGTCTGGTCAGCCATTCATACCGTAACCTTCAAGCGCGTTCCCGGCCCTCCGCCCCCAGAGCCTTCAACGCTTCCCAGCAGCGGTGTGGAAACTATCTCTGTCGGGAACAATCTTGAGATGCCATCTTCTCTCAGTAAGGATGCTACTACTGCTTCAATTTTGCGCTTGCTCCGAGTTCTGCATGACATGAATGCCACAATTGAGGACATCTTGACCGAGACTGGTGACCACATTCTGATCACCCCAGAGCCTCTGTCCCAGTTCATCAACACCAAGCTTACCGCCAAGGTCAACCGACAGCTCGAGGAACCATTGATTGTTGCTAGTAGCTGCCTTCCTGGCTGGAGTGAAGATTTAGCTCGGCTTTACTCGTTCTTGTTTCCGTTTGAGACCAGGCATTTGTTCTTACAGTCAACTGCATTCGGTTATTCTCGTGCTATGATGAGATGGCACAGCTCTCAAAGTGTAGATGACCCCCGTCGTGATATGCGCCGCGATGACCGAGCGGTGCTCGGCCGTTTGCAGCGACAGAAGGTTCGAATCTCTCGCGCTCGCATACTGGACTCAGCCATGAAGGTCATGGAGCTTTACGGCTCTTCCCCCAGTGTACTTGAGGTAGAATACTTTGAAGAAGTTGGAACCGGTCTTGGTCCGACTCTTGAGTTTTACTCAACTGTGTCCAAGGAATTCTCGAAGAAGAAACTCAAGATTTGGCGAGAGAACGACTCTAACTCATCTGGCGAATATTCCTTCGGCAACCGTGGTCTGTTCCCGGCTCCGATGAGCGATCAACAAGCTTCAACCGACACAGGAAAGAAACAATTGAACATTTTCAAGATCCTTGGAAAGTTTGTTGCCCGCTCCATGCTGGACTCGCGAATAATCGATATTTCCTTCAACCCCGCCTTCTTCCGTATTGCCGATACTTTATCCTCCGTAGCCCCTTCACTGGGCACAGTCAAGGCTGTCGACGAAGACTTGGCCAGGTCGCTGGTCATGTTGAAGCGTTTTGCCCAACAAAAGCATGATATTGAAAATGAACAATCCTGGTCGGCCCAGGAAAAAGCCAAGGCTATCCAGCTTATTCAGGTGGACGGTGTGCAAGTCGAAGACTTGGGCTTGGACTTCACACTGCCTGGTTATCCGGCCATTGAGCTGACTCCCGGTGGCTCGGATATCGAGCTGACCATCGAAAATGTCGATGAATACGTTGACCTAGTCATTGACATGACTCTGGGTCGCGGCGTTCGACACTACGTGGAGGCCTTCCGAGTCGGATTCTCTCAAGTGTTCCCTTACTCTGCCCTGCGTGCGTTTACCCCCAATGAGCTGGCCATGCTGTTCGGCCAAGCCGAAGAGGACTGGTCAATTGAGACTCTGATGGACTCCATCAAGGCCGACCATGGATTCAATATCGATAGCAAGAGTGTTCGCAATCTGCTTCTGACCCTGAGCGAGTTCGACAAGCAACAACGCCGGGATTTCCTCCAATTTGTCACGGGAAGCCCGAAACTTCCTATTGGAGGTAAGAAGCCCATATTCCTATGAACTACAGATCCCCGCTAATTTGATTCAATCCAGGTTTCAAGAGTCTCACACCTATCTTTACCGTCGTCTGCCGCCCTAGCGAGGCCCCCTTCACTCCGGACGATTATCTCCCCAGTGTCATGACCTGCGTGAACTACCTCAAGCTGCCCGATTACAGTAGCCTTGAGGTTCTCGGCGCGCGACTTTCAGTTGCCATCAAAGAAGGACAGGGCGCGTTCCATCTTTCTTAGTTTATTATTTTCCCACATCTTTCATTCCATTCTCCCCCGTCCTTTCAAAAACAGGACTAGTTTAATGATGCGACGACATGACTTTGCTGACCATTTGATCTCCCCCCACCCCATTCAATCCACAATTTTTCGGCCGGGCTCATTCCTCGAATTTTTATTTTCATTGCCATCTGGATTGAGGGGCGTATGCGGGAGTTATTCTTCGATATTGATATTAGATAGCAATGGAGCACCATTTTTTATGTATATCGAAGTTCTTGTAGGCCACAGTGGACTTTAGTTTAAGCGATTGTAGCAAACACAGTTGATCTCGAGGTCAGACAACGTTCAACACCTTTATCAAACTTCCTACACGCAGACTCAGGAACACTACAGGATACCCCCCGCCTTAGAAAAGTTTATTACCGCTTTCGATTGTCAAAGGAAAATGCTACCTAGCATCCTTGATGGTCTGAACAGGCTGTTCCTCCAGCTCCCACGAGCAGCCATTCCCCCTTGCCCAACTAAGCGTTGATAAATGTCCTTAACAAGGATTTCTGGGCTTTACTAAGGAAGGTGCCTTTACAAAAGAAACCCGCCTTAGACGGAGCTCTGCATTCATCAATGCTGATGAGTTCATGAACAACTTGCACATCAGATACTGGATCAAATTCTCATGCGCAAACCTACTCTGAGGTCTAAATGAGGCAACGTCAAAGCTCAAGTAAGCAATTTCATAAAGCATACGGATCTGTTTGAGTGACATACAAATTCGGTTCTTGCACGATGAACGGTTACCAACAGGGCGACCTTCGACAGAAATGAACCAAACCAAGGCTGTCAGGTTCTCATGCATGCCACTTTGGCCACAGCTCTGGCAGTCTTACTAGAAAAATCACTTTAGCACTCAAAGCTCTGGAAATCTCAAACAAAATTTGGACGGGTATTACAGCACAACAGATACGAGTATCAAAAGGCTACTTTTGCCATTTGACTACTAACCCAAGCCATTATGTCGTTTACAGTAAATAGGCTCACAATTCCCTCAGCTCTCCTTGTTAAAGGTAGGACACAACTGACCCTCGGGTCACTCCTGAATTGTTTAGGAGTTCGTTATCCAGAGAGGTTTTGCTGAAGAGCAGCAAGTTTTAGCACGATTCTTTGCTTTTTGCGGCGAGAGAAAGTGTACTGTTATCGCACCGACTATATCTATCGCCTGGCTGATACCTATCTCCAACGTATTGGTGCTTTTTCGGTAGTGATGGTCAGCTTCATCTTCCCCATAATACCCTTTGCTGGCAGTGTATTCCTGAGCATCTGAATTTTGGCTTGGATTTCTGAGCCGTTGAAGATTATATGATCATGCAGGCTTCGAAAATCCGAAAACCGTCCACACCTGCTCCAGCATTGAGAAACATCCCGGTCGTAGTTGCCGCCGGAGTTGTAGTCACTAGAAATTCTAGAGACAAAATAGAAATTGAAGTCAAGCCCTAGAGCTTCTGTCAGATACATGAACTATGTCTTGTTGTGTTCCCTATTGCTTCTATCAATAATGCATGATGCTACGGTGATCATATCCATATCAGCGATGGGTGCAGCACGAGTTTAATGCGACTACCTACCTACTTCGATAAGCACTTGTGAATCTGTTTCCATGGATCTTTGCCTTTGATATTCATCTTGAATTAATGACCTCTATTCTTTAGTGGTTTCTCGGTCTATTCTATCTATTATCTATAATCTATAATCTATTAATCTCTCTCTCTCTCTCTCTCTCTCTCTCTCTCTCTCTCTCTCTCTCAAAAAAAAAAAAAAAAAAAAAAAAAAAAAAAAAAAGGAACAATATATACCAAAACTTCAAGCATATTAGCTTCCGTAAACAGACACCATAGACTAGAGACAACGGTCAGTATGATATTATTAAAAGTAAGCAGCATAAACTTACGCTGGCAAACTTGGGTTCGATAAATAAAGCTTTCGCCTCAGCAACCATAGCGGCACCTTCACTGTCTTCGCTCAACAAAGCAAGATCAACAACCAGGTTCCTTGCATCAATAGGTGTGGGCAACGACAACGGTAGACAAGTCAAGCGACCTTCAACCCAAGCCTTCCGCCCATCAACTTTAACAGTCTCAGCACGCAGAATATATATGCGATCCGGTATAGCAGGCTTTCGGAAATCAACATTCAAGTTTGCCGTCATACCCAGCCCACTGGGAAACGCAGCAGAGACACAACGGGCAAAAGCCTCGTCTAATAAGACAGATAGGAGACCACCATGGACATAACCAGGGTGCCCGCATAGATCGCGACCAATATGAAATACGGAGACGAGGCTGCTTGCACCGGTCTGACTTGTTGACTCGGCCTTTGCGTTCGTCGCCTTTTCGCCTGGAGATGATATCCACAGATACGGCGCAAGAGCCAGCTTGCCTGTCCCTGCTAGACTTCCACCTATGAAGTGGTGTTGTCGGAGTTCGGGAGGGATAGCGAGATGAGGTCGTGATTCTTTATAGGTTTGATGGGATTGGCGCAGGGCTTGGACAAGGGGTATTTGCGACACAACTGCGTCTATCTTGTCTGGGTCTGTTTGCGATACTGGAGCTATATGCTTGGGTTGAGACTGTGATTGGGATTGTGATTCGGATGGCAGTGCTCGCTCGTGAACGACCGTAGAGCGGGACGGTCCCTGCTGGTGCAGACATGCGACCTGGGCAGGCGAGAGCGAAACTCTGGCGATAGGCGCAGATTTGCGCAGCAGGCGGGTGATTTGAGGGAGACGAGGCATGTTTGCTAACTATAAGATCGGATCAAGATGTTAAATTTGAGAGCCTTGGAGGAAATTGCTCAACTCTACACCTACATACCGTCGGGATTCTATAAAGGCCGAACTACTGCCCCGGTATCAACCGATAGGATTCTAAGGCTACCTTCCCCAACAGATTTCTGATTCCTAGATATCTGACAGCAACTTGAGGACGTCGATTGAAGGATTTGGCAGATATCCACACAATTCGAAGATAGAGTTAGGCTCTCGATATCAATACCGGTATGAAGAAGTCTAGATCAACAATTGAACGCGTGGGGTGAAGAGTCTATCCTGATTTTTTCCCCTTAGCCCAACCAGTGGGCTCTTGTGGGTCTTTTCGGCCCTACGCTGCCGTGTCGGTATGCCGATATGAGAAGCCTCTATCTAACTAATGCATTCTAAATCCTAACGAAGAAAAGACAAGGATGGTCACGAACAGTTCACCCAGAATCAAGAGGGATCCAATTTGATTGATGAAAGACAGGAAACGTTTGCCAAACATGACTAAAGCAGCATCCCCGGCAGATGGTAAGATGGGCAATGAACATGTTCCACCGGCTTGGTTCGTGTTTAGGATGGAAGAACGCATATCCATAAATAATCACAGTGCCAATGATCTGGCTGAAATTGCAGATGCGAGTTTAGCAATAGAAGCAGCAATCAGCTAATAAAATACAGAGATAGTAGTGCTGGAAAATATGATGTATTAGAGGTATAAGAATGAAGAGCACGCATGGCTTACAATTCGTATATGATGGTTAATGATCTATACTAGGTATTGATTATTCTAACTCTAGCGCTACCTATGAGGACCTCGATATGGAGTGGATATTCTAAAATTGATGAATATTGTGACGAGTTTATTCCACAATAAATCAATTCTGATAAAGAGAATTAAAAGCTCAATGGGTCCAGATGACCCAGGAAAGCATTGTTGCCTTCACCACGTAGCAGGGCCTCGATATCCACTCGTCCAGCTGTGAGATACCGCTCACTGACACCAATATTGATGCGCTGAGATAGCAATGCCTTGAGCTCTGCACGAAGACTAGCCATTTCGCTCTTCGAGATACTGCTATTTTGCTTATCACGCGCCTCTCGTCCACCACCACGACCTCGACCACGACCCTTAGACTCATCGAAGTCCTCACTGTCATATTCAACTCCGAGATCCTCCGCTGCAGCACGCATCCAATTACCCTCAGCTGAAACCTTTTCCTTGGCGATTGTAGAGTCGGTGATGCGCTTGGCTAGATTGATGCGCGGCCGCACACGTTGAACCACACGACGATCAAGATCAATGGACTCGAGGGCAAGTTTGGGTCCATCTCCCTTGGACTTTTTGAGATGCACCTTGGCAGCAAGACGAGCCACACTGACGACTTCTTCAGGAGAGCAAATGATAATACTCTTACCGTTTGCACCAGCACGAGCTGTACGACCAGAACGGTGAACGTAGGTATCTGCTGCGCGGGGTGCATGGTAGTGGATGACACAGTCGATACCCTTAATATCTAGACCACGGGCTGCAACATCAGTTGCTACGAGAATGGAGCTAGGGTCTGCCGTCGGTGACGAGAATCGCTCTACAGATCGGAGTCGGGCCTTCTGGGCCATAGACGAATGCAGTCCAAGGGCGGGCAGTCCAAGGTTTTGTAGCAATTGGGCCAGACGGCGGACAGCGGATATTGAGTTGGTGAAGACAAGGGTCCGGTGCTTCGGGTAGTAAAGCAAAAGAGAGTAAAGATATAGATCCTGTTATACCGCGCGGTTAGCATGAATATGCCTGTGGCAGCTGGAAAAATATATGTACCTTCTCCATGGCAGGGCATTCCACAATTCCTTCTTTCAGTCCTTCGGCCATCTGTTGCACAGGATTCATATCAATGAATTTGGGCTTTTCTTCTCGGAAGTTGAGCTTCTTAAGCAGATACTCCATTGATTCCTTCTTGTTCATCAGATCACCACCTGACCACTGTCCTTTACCTGCTAATTTTTGTTGCAAATCACGGTGGAATGTGGCTGAGAAAACTAGTGTCTGTCGGGCTTTCGAGGCCTCCGTGTGCTCTTCGGCCTCCTCATCCGCGTCATGGAAGTCGTTGTGATGTTTGCGATCCAATGCACCGATAATCTCCTCCACCTCCTTGAATTGGCCCTCACTGAGAAGCCGATCCGCTTCGTCCACAACCAGGAATCGAATGGATTGCATTTTTTTGATCAATCCTTGTCCTGTGCTAAGAATTTCCCATGCTCGCCCAGGGGTACCGATTACGATATCGGCATTAGCCAGTTTTCTTTGCTGCTTTTGAATAGATAATCCACCAGTCAATAGCGCGATGCGGGCGTTTGTATCTGGAGAATTTGTGATCAACTCCCCAATATGCTTTGCCAACTGGTGGGCCAATTCTCGGGTCGGAGATAGGATGAGGGCTATGGGGATAGTCGTTTCTTTTCCGCCGTTGTCGATATTTTTCCCTCTCTGTTCGAGATAATGCTCCAGAATCGGGATGCCAAATGCGAGTGTTTTTCCAGAACCAGTGGATGCCTTGCCAACAACATCGTGACCGTCCAGAATCAACGGAATACAAGACTCTTGGACCGCGGTCGGTTTCTCAAATCTCATTTTAGACAGACCAGTGAGAATTTCAGGCGACAAGCCCAGTCCGTCCCATGCAGAAACGTCGACGCCATCTTCATCTTCGCCGTCAAGGGCTTCAAACGAGAGACCAGCTTGAAATTTCGAACCTTTCGCGGGCTTTGCTTCTTGAGGCTTTGATTCCTTCTTATTGAGTGCCTTAGCATCCTTTCTGGCCTTCGGCTTTTTATCTCCTTTGACTTGTTTCTTTTCTTGTGATTCGGCCGCGGGAGTGTCTGTCTTTTTGGTCGATTCTTCGTCGCTGAAGCCCGACCACTCTTCACCGTTATCACCATCAGTTTCTTTCAAAATAGACGTCTTTGATGTGCCGGATTTTGCCTATTTCCAGCAAGATCTCAAAATTAGTTGTGATGAGATGATTTAGTGGATTAATCTCGTACCTTAAATTGCACTTCTCCGTTGCCATTTGGCCGAATGATGTCCACTCCTTCAATCTCTTCCAGTCCAAAGAATCCCTCAGCGTCATCCATGCGATCTGGAAGAGCTACTTCCTGCCAGTTCAGCTCCTCAGCGCCGATAATACCGTCCCATGAACTGTCGTTTGCGGCTTGGTCAGCCTTGATAGCCTTCTGGCGCTTCTTGGACTGAGCCCCCTGGGCCTTTGAGTCGCGTCCTCTTTTCTGACCCATTGTGATCTTCGACTCTGGAATATCAGATATGTCGGTTGATCTGCGACGAGAAAAAGCTGATGAGCGGATGGCCAAAAAAAAAAGGCGGCAGAAACACTCCGCCCGGAAATCTTATCGGGGTTTTTACTCCCCACCTTTTTCCATTCGCCCTCAATTGATACTTGCCAGTTTTATTCGAAATGGGCAAGTCTTCCAAGGATAAGCGCGATGCTTATTATCGCCTAGCCAAGGAACAGAATTGGCGCGCCCGCTCAGCGTTCAAGTTGATACAGATCGACGAGCAATTCGATCTCTTCGAACACGAAAACCCGGAAAAAGTTACAAGAGTAGTAGATCTTTGTGCTGCTCCGGGAAGCTGGAGTCAAGTACTCAGTCGTGTTCTCATCAAGGGTGATAGTTTCGGGCGACGGTCATGGGTCGATAAGAAGCGCAGAGAAAAGCAGATCTTGCAAGAAGTTACCGGTTCAACAACAAATGATACCGGAAATGAGATTCAGATCGGCGAGAGCGACCCAAGCTCTGAGCTGAAGCCTCGCAAAAATGTTAGAATCGTCTCGATTGATCTCCAACCCATGGCGCCTCTCGAAGGTATAACCACTCTTAAAGCCGACATCACACACCCCTCCACAATCCCTCTACTTCTGCGCGCTCTGGACCCTGAAGCCTACGACTCGCAAGCGCAATTTTCTTCAGAAATTCGAACGCCCCATTCTGTTGATCTCGTTATTTCGGATGGTGCGCCAGATGTGACAGGTCTGCACGACCTGGACATCTATATCCAGTCGCAATTGCTCTATGCTGCTCTAAATCTCGCCATGGGTGTACTTCGCCCAGGTGGTAAATTTGTGGCCAAGATCTTCCGTGGCAGAGATGTTGACGTCTTATATGCACAGTTACGTACGGTCTTCGAACGGGTTAGTGTATCCAAGCCTCGGAGTAGTCGAGCTAGCAGTTTGGAGGCATTTGTGGTCTGCGAAGGATTCATTCCTCCTATCAGTGCAGAAGGGCTCGTGGGAATGGCGGCATTGAAGAATCCTCTTTTCGGTGGCTCTGCAGCACCAAAGCCTATCTCAGAAGATGGCAATGTGGGTATTGAGGTCTCTGACGATCTAGACCAAGATACCCTCGCTCGAAATGTAGTGGCAAATACAATATCGAGAGACAATGCCTCTACACCAAATCACTCCTTTGAAGTCCGCCATCTTGAAACATCAGAGCAGCCGCAGCTTCAGAAACTGTCCAATAAATTTGCGACGGAGAATAGGTGGATACCTTCTTTCATTGCTTGTGGTGATCTGTCTACATGGGATTCAGATGCGTCGTATGCTCTTCCTCCGGACCATATTAGTCTGGATCCGGTGCAACCGCCTACTGCGCCGCCTTATCGTAAAGCCTTGGAGCTTAAAAAAGAGAAAGGTGGCGCGTATGGTAAAACAAAATTTGGGCAGCTAGGCAGGGCCTGATCTTATCATGGACGAAAATGAAACAAAAATCTTTTAGATAAATATATGAATTCAAATGTTGAATAGAAAAGCGATAGATCATGTAGTGTTTGTGAACCATCCACATAACGGAACTACGAATTCCGGACTCATTGCTACTCTGGACATATTTAATTAATACTTCAAATGAAAGAAAAGGTTGTATGTAAAGCCTTCAAACGGAAAATCCATATATACTTCAATGTTGGTCTATGTAAATTGCGCTATAGTCCAGATGGAGGTGGTCTAGAAAGAGGGGGTAAAACAAAACGCAAATGCTCATCCACGTCATCATGCAACTTTTTAGGTGTCTAGTAGACCTCAAGAACATAACGCTCAGCATCCTTGAGCTTCTCAATCTCCTTGCGAGAGTCAACCTTCTTGCCGTTGCTCTGGGCATCGGTAGTGATGGCCTCTTCCAAGACAGCGGTGACATCAGGCACAGGCCAGGTGGGACCACACAGGTAGAAAGCACCATCTTCCTGCATGTATGCCTTGATAATCTCGGGGAGAGTCTGGCGCATACGATCCTGGATGTAAATCTTCTCAGGCTGGTCACGAGAGAACGCGGCACCCACCAGAGTGATCACACCAGCAGCCTGGTAAGCTTCCCATTCCTCACCGTAGCAGTACTCCTCGCGCTGGTGACGAGAGCCCATGTACAAGAGAACTGAACCAATCTCCTTGCCCTGGGCCTTCTCGAGAGCACGGTGCTGCACAAAAGCACGGAAGGGTGCAAGACCGGTACCGAGACCGGCCATGATGAGAGGCTGAGTTGACTTGGGGGGCAGCTTCATCACACTGGACTTTACACTGACAGTAACGGGGGTTCCAGGTTGCAGGCTGCTCAGGTAGCGAGTGGCTTGTCCGAAGCGGTCGCGGCCGTGAGGGTCAGTCCAGGTGACAGCGACGATCATCAAAGCGACAATGTTTGGGGAAGCCTTCTGGCACGAGGCAATAGAGTACTCGCGGCGCTTCATAGGGCCGACAATGCGAATTATCTCGTGGAAAGCAGGGTGGGCAGATGGGTATTCGAGCAAGATATCGGCAAAGGTGACAGTGTCAACCTCGGCGCGACGCTTGAACTCAGCAGCGCCGTCGGGGCCACCGAGAGTGAGGAGGTCAGTCTTCTCCTTCTCCTCAGTGGCAAACTCGGCAAGGGCCTCGTAGAATCGCTTGGGAGGGCGACCAAAGATATCGACATTGTGGATCAAAGCCTGGTAGACGGTGCGGTTCTCGAGAACAGCGGGATCCTCACGGCTGGGAACTTCCACGATGGCATTGGGGTCCAGTCCGTAGAACTGAATGAACTCGTTGACGTCCTTGGGGTCGTTCTGAGAGTGGACACCAAGAGCCTCACCAATGTCGTAGGTAAGTCCAGAGTCGCCGAGGTCAAACTCAATGTGGAAGATGTTACGGTCGTAGGTAACGGGGGTCAAACGGCGGTTCTCCTTGACGTGGACGGTGAATGTCTTTGTCGCAAGATCGGGACGAAGAGCACTCTTAGTGTCAAATGCCTCCTTGAAAGCCAGTCCTTGAGCCGCAATCTGTGAGCCCTTAAGGAGGCTCGCAGGTTCGGTTTCATTCTGATCGAATGCAGCAAAGCTGTTGGCGGAGATATCCTTAGGCAGCTGAGCAGCCTCACTGACTCCCTCAGGCTCTTTCCAGGACTCGGGAACCTCAATCTGGCGGAGAGTCTTATCGAGATCTTTGGTAACGTTCTCGAGGGCTTCGGCATTGCCAACGATGGATGCCAGCTTCTTAGTGGCCAAGCCTTCCTGAGAAGGCAGAGCAACACGGATGAAAGAGGCTTGGAGGACCAAGGTATCAAGAGAGGCGCCTTCGGTAGTCAATGAATCAATGACGAAAAGAGAGAGACCACGCTGGGCAACAGCTTGGCGGAAGGCAGCAGGAAGCTTCTTCTCGAGGTCCTCATCCTTGACACCGGGTGCGTTGATAATGACCTTACCGGTATCCTTGACTGAGGCGAGGACATCAACATCTTTAAGCAGCGCAACATTTCCGACATAGGTGACGTCGGCAGCAGCAACGGCGTAGGGAGCATCCACAATCTTGGCACTCTTACGGATATCAATGCGGATGGCGCCACCCTGGACAAGGTTGTCGTGAACCTTGCTGGTAGTGACATTGTTTGCAGAATCAGCTGCGAGTGCCTGGCTGAGAGCGCGGGCAGCATCCTCAGTAGCGGAGTTATCGACATCCCAGAAAGTATATTCTTGGACCGTAGCGGGGTCAAGGAGCTGAAGAGGCGTAGTCTCGCTGGCAGCGTTAACAGGGAGAATGGGCCTCTCGAAGATGCGCTGGAAAGCAGCAGCAGTTGAGATCAAGTCCCAGCGCTGGGATCGAGGGTATTTGAGTTCAACACATTCAGTTGCCCGCTCACGGCCGGTGGCGAAGGTCAAGGCTGCAAGGACGTCCTCATACAGAGCAGAGTGAATACCCTCTTCATGAACAGCCTTCACATCAGCAACTTGTCCAAGAACACCAACGGTCTTGGTAGACTGGGGAAGCACGCGCAGGAACTCCTCCTCGACGAAAGGTCGGTAGACACGAACGTTGACAACACCGATTTCAACACCATCCTTGGCCAAGGAGCGAGCGACCTGGGCAGCAAGAGCAGCCTCAATAGTGCCGAAGACAACAAGAACAGAGTCGGGGCTCGAGTGACCGTGGTACTCAAACGCACCATAGTCAGTTCCAAGCTCACCGTTCAGGGTCTTGAGCAGGTCCAATAGCTTGCCTTGCGCGTCGAGGTGGCGGTTGCGAGAATCGTCGAGAGTCTTGCGAACTGTCTCATATGTGCGAGAAAGACCTTCCTTGTCGAGCACGTCGATGACACGGGTGGACTCGCGACCAACGCGGACACCGTCATAAATGTGAATCGAAGGCAAGATAGAAGAGAGCAGAGTGGTAAACAAGGCCATGTGCTGGGATTCATGAGCAGAGCCACTGGAGACGAGACCCAGACCAAGATCCTCGGCCAGGGACAGAGCCGAAGCATAGTCGGAAACCAAGCCATTCTCATTGGTATAATCGACAGCAGCAACATGAGCCGCAACCGGGCTAGCGACAGAGTACAGTAGCGAGAGTTGCTCAAGAGCAGAGCGCATATATGGGAGAGTGGCTGAAGATGCCACAATTCCCTGAGGAACATGGCGCTTCTTCAAGTCAAAGTCCTGGGAGAAGATATAACCCAGGGCCAAGTTTCCCGCACCTTGACGGGTTTCCATGGCCTTGACCTCAGGAGACTCGCCATTGGCATTCTTCTCTTGGCTTGCAGACCATTGACGGAGAGCAGCATCGAGGTCAAAGGTCTCTGGGGAATAAGAGAAGATCTTATCACTTAACAGATACGCCACTTGTTGAATCAGAGTCTGAGCTGTGACATATGTAGGGCCTGAAAGGGCCGAGAGGGCCGGGTTTGTAGATGCCATTTTATTATATAGTGACTCTTGTCTAGATATCGTCCACCGCTTAACGATATCACAGATAAGATGACAATAAATAGATCACCACAAAAAAGATGTTCAGAGGAAAGAGGAAAGTGACCAAAAATATTTTGTATAGAAAGATCCTTCCGTATTAGGTTAGCGTCTGTGCTAGCGTCAATCACGCAATCGAGGATTTCTAATTCTCAAGCCCAAGAGGCCGAGGGCGGGCAAAAACTATGATTTTGCCTCTTTGCCGGCAGTAAACGGGCGGTGTAAACCGAGACATATAAGGCAAATTCAGGCAGCGATGGGGAAATTTCCACGTGATCTGTTGCAAACCCTCGGATCATTAAATGCGGAGAAACTCTGGGAAGCTCGGTCAAACCTAAATGTATAAAAGCTCTCCATCTTCCAAGGGTTAGTATCCGTACCCCTCTATTTAATTAATCTTGGAAATAAACTCCCAAGCTTTGAGTCCTGAACTCGTAAAATATCTTCCGAGGTTACTTTACTGAATCATAATTCAACATATTGAAGACTATACCAGTTGCCAACTCCCTAGGTCGAAATGGCGGGAAACTCCGTCAACCCTATCCCTTTCTCTGAGCCACCGTATTTGCGTGGACTCCCTTCGCCGTATTATACTGCAGCCCATCGTCACTTCCAGCAAGCCTGCCGTAAATTCATCTGGGAGAATCTCACCCAATATGCAATGGAATGGGAAAAAGCAGGAGCTGTTCCAGACCGTGTTTTCAAAACCTTTTGCGAGCACAACATGTTACTGCCAAACATGCCAGCTCCACTACCAGTAGGTTGGCTAAAACGCCTCGCTATCAATGATATCCTGGGTGTGAAAGTAGAAGACTGGGATTATGTTTACACGGGAATTTACTGTGACGAGGTAAGCAGGGAATACAAGATCTATTTTTCCTAGGTACGGAGCAATGGGGCCGTGCTAATCGAAGGATTCCATGATAGTTGGCACGGTCAGGCCTAAGCGGCCCTGGATCTTCGCTGAATGCCGGCTTCTCCTTTGCAATTCCACCAATTCTCAAGTTTGGAGGTGATGAGCTGAAAGAGCGGTTTCTTCCCGATTTACTGACGGGAAAGAAACGTGCTTGTATTGCTATCACGGAGCCTGAGGCCGGCAGTGATGTTGCGAATATAACGACCAAAGCGGTCAAAAGTACAGATGGAACATATTATATCTTGAATGGGGCCAAGAAATGGTAATATGAGAATTGAAAATCACTGAAATGCACGTGGAAATAGGGAGCTGACCTTTGAACAGGATTACCAACGGCATCTGGTCAGAATATGCAACCATGGCTGTGCGGACGGGTGGACCAGGTCCCACTGGCCTCTCACTGCTGATAGTTCCCTTGAAGAACTACCCTGGTGTTTCTATGAGACAACTCAAGGTCGGCGGTCACGCCACTAGTGGTACTACATACATAGACCTTGAAGACGTCAAGGTTCCAGTGTCCAATTTGGTCGGCACAGAGGGCGATGGTATGCGCATGATTATGACTAACTTCAACCATGAGCGCCTCGTTATCTCTGTTGGAGTCACTCGCTCGGCCCGTGTAGCTTTATCCGCTGCATTTTCATATTGCCTCAAACGTGAGGCTTTTGGCAAGAAACTAATGGACCTCCCCGTGGTGCGTCACCGACTTGCAAAAGCTGGTGCTGAATTGGAGACCATGTGGGCCTGGATAGAACAGATTCTGTATCAACTGAATCATCTCAGTAAGGATGAAGGGGACCGTCAACTTGGCGGGCTGACAGCTTTGGCTAAAGCCAAGTCGGGCATAGTTCTCAATGAGTGCGCCCAATGTGCTGTTCTGTTATTTGGTGGCAATGGCTACACTCGATCAGGCCAGGGTGAACTAGTAGAAGGTTAGTACTCACACTTCATATTACCATTATATGTTTCTTGGTTAACAATGTTTTCTTTAGCTATTCTCCGTGATGTTCCTGGTGCTCGCATCCCCGGTGGCTCTGAAGATGTACTACTTGACTTGTCTGTGCGCCAACTGGTCAAAATCTACCAGGCACAGGAAAAGAAGCTCACCCAAAGCTCGAAGATCTAGTACCGAAGCACTCTGGACGAAAGTTATCTATGCTCTGGCATCCTGCAAGCAAGACTATTGTATTTAAATGATTGCCATCATCTGGGCAGTTAATGTTGAACTATAGTTTAAGTACGCCAGAAGTAGGGTGTACCTAAGTCACGTTGTAGAGACCACTGTTTACTGGACCGAGTGGCTCGAGGATCCATTTTTGTAATACCAAGATAGTGGCACCTGGGCGGTTGGATATCAGACTAAGACGACAGTTGGTTACGAAACTAGCAGCAAGTGGTGAGAAGCGAATGGTGCAAGCGGCGACTTCTTTGAATGATTATATGATTGAGGGAAATAAGTACAGAAGTAAACATGTTCCAAATATTAGCGGTGCAAAATTGGAGAAGGCCACATGCCCAGTTGGGCAGGTGCTATGGATCAAATCAATCTCAAAACTTATCAGATCTGCTTTGCCAGATCGGGGATAGATGAACCATCAATCACCCACACTTTTTCACTGCCAGTAGGAGCATCACCATTGAAAGCCTTCAAGCCGGCAGTGACTGCAGCTTGTCCAATAGCATCGGCATCCTGGGCCCAGCCATTCTTCAAGCTCGAATGAACTTTTCCAGCCAACCCAGCAATGAAACGGAAGCCAGCCTCGATCGGTCGGCTCTCATCGCGCGTACCAGCAATCAAGCCAGGGCGCAAGATAACAGTATGCTCGAAACCAAGCGCCTTAACTTCGTCCTCAATTTCACCTTTCATCCGTGAGTATGGAACATATGATTCCTTATTTGCCCCTGCTGCAGAAATCAAAACACAAACTTTGGTGCCGGCCTCGCGGGAAGCACGGGCAAGCTCAACATTCAGTCCATGGTCGATTTTATACTGATTCTCAAAGCCTCCAGCTGCAGCCTTGGTTGTACCAAATGAAGAAATGTAGATATCAGGAGTGGGCTGCAGAGCAGAAAGTTGACCAGCCCAGGTTGAGCTTTCGTCGGAGATAAAGGTGGTGAGTTTGGTTTGAGCTGCAGTGGCGGCTGGAGGGGTACGGCGGGATATTGTGTCAACATGTTTGACAGCTGTATTGGATAGGAGGCTGGTGAGGATTTGTGAGCCCTGCACGTATGTCAGTGTTAAGTAAAGATATATGGCTATTATTTATGGATTTGCTTGAGGATTTTGTCGAGGAAAGAGGAAAATTGATTCTTACCACCATGCCCGTAGATCCGATCAAGACTACATTTGCCATTGTTTAATTAAGTTGAAGGTGCTCGGAATCAAATTGGGTGGGAAGACACTGAGGGGTGTTTCTGAATATTCAATGTGCTATTTCGTCATAGGGCGCTAAGCCGAATATAGAATAGCGCTATTTATATCGTGAAGTATAGATAAGAAGTCTGATAAGTATAAAATGGAGATGAAAAGTCATTTGAAGTTGAACTAAAAATTAATGTTTCCAATATGGGAAACAGAAGGTCAATATTCTCCTGGTTCAGTCAACACTGGGTAGATAGATAGGCCATCATGTCTCCTCCGACCTTCCAAGGTTTCTTCTCTCTACACACTCCAACTGAGTGGGGCACCTGAGCAGAGCAAAGAGAATGATAGATCTCAATTTCTTGGCAACCTGGTCGCTTGCCTACCGTCATCCACTCATATCCCCAATCTGGTATGGAATCCTTCAGCATGGCATGCTCTGGCTCATGACTCCCAAGCCCAAGTCAGATATCAGATACTAGGGTATCTAACTTGATGTGGTTAACAACAGGGTCCCACTGAACCGTCACTTGGTTTTGAACCAGAATAATTCTTTCATTTTTTCAGTCGTCAGACCAATGTACAGTTGCCAGACCACGACACGGACTGGAATACGCTAGATGTGAAACAGCGACAGAAGATATTGATGCAAACTATATGCGTGGGGTGTGGTTTGAGATGGAGCCTCCGGCGAGCGGCGGTTATGTTCTTGGCCTTTTTTCTCTCAAGACATACTGTTGGTACCAGGGTGAGAATCCCAAATTCCGCAATATATGAATTACTTTCTGGGAGTAGCATGGGTTAGATTGAAGAAAATGCTTGATAGTAGATGTTATTCTGACCCACCGCGTTGAGTGATATTCCCTCCTTTCCCTGGATACCAGCCCAAGGCCACAACTTGATAATGTAAGGCCTGCATCCGCCGTGATGCTCCATGAAATCCTGCACATGGTGACCACGTGGGATGGGTACGGAGATGGCGCGGAAAACGGGTCAAATATGATTGTGAATTATCTTTTGATTATTTCCCCTGTTTTCTTACGTGTGGCCTAGAACAAAGGCTAATTCTCCATTCACGCAGATTAAATGCTTGACTATCTTATCATGGAAGTCAGTTACCGCCACGGATGGAACAGTTGTGATGAAATATTCTTATCAAAATACTGAAAATTATGTCTATTGTTTGCTTTAGCTTGGTGGTACTTTAACTCCAGAACGGATTGGAGCAACACGACACTGGCCACCTTTTATGCTGGATTCCTCCAACCTTGGGGCATTTACAGCTAGATATGGCCTCTTAAAGCAAGGTTCTGGTACATGTTTGGCTGAGAACTGAGGAGCTGGAGCCTCATTCACCTGTTAAACTGTTGGGAAGGTTTAATATGTGTCATTCTCGCTATGGTGCCAGAGGACCATCAATCACAAGTCATGATTATATTTCCAATTATCATGATAGAAAGACTAGCTATCCCTAATGCCCAATGCCTATTTAGGCTTTCAGATAGAAGAGCACCCTCATGATTTGAACCTGGCACAATGAAACGTTGGAAGATATGTAACTCCTCTATTTCTCACTTGGCAGACTAACCATGTTCAGTGAATCCTTCCAAAGTTGAGCGTCAGCTTCAGAATTGAAGGCATAACTGGCATACTTTCCCGGAGTTAAGGTATCACCGTCCTCAGCACGCTCAGCAATAGAGCAGTTGTCAAGGTATAAGCCGCCTTCTCCTTCCAATTCTCTAGAAACTGCAGCCCATAGTGTGGTCGATGCACCCTGTTCAATGCTCTTCTGGACCTTCAAAATAAATGGATTTGACAGCATCGCTTGAATCTCCTCTTCGGGCAAATAGTAACCGAGATTAGTCGCAATAATACCAGGATTCAGACTCAGCGCATGCAGGCCGCTTGATCCATAACGACGTTCGATCTCGTTGGCCATATGAATCCCAGCCACCTTTGACTGAGAGTAGGATCCCCAGGCAGTATAGTTGCCCTTCTGGAAGTGGTAGTTGTCCGGGGAGTTCAGTGGCTGAACACGATGTCCCGCACTAGACACAACGACAACTCGAGATTGGAACTTAGGAGAAGAACCAGCCAGCAGTGCGGGCTTGAGAAGGTTAAAGAAAAGGAAATGAGAAAGATGGTTTGTTGCAAATTGAACCTCATGACCGAGCTCCGTAAGCTGTAGGTCCTGGACGGCCATGATAGCGGCATTGTTAACGAGAAGAGTGATTTGATCAGTCTTGGACAGAATCGTTTTAGCAGCAGCTCGCACACTATCGAAAGAAAGCTGATCCATTTCGACCAGCTCCATCTGAGTCGGATCAAAGAATTCTTCTAGAGCTTTCTTTGCTTTGTCGAGGTTTCGTGCGGTGAGGAAAAGTCGTGCTCCCGTGGCAGCGATAGCCCGAGCTGTTTCGATGCCAATTCCAGAGGAGACGCCGGTGATGACGGCGACTTTGCCAGTCAATTTTCCGTCCATTTCCTCGTCTTTGACAATCTGGAGGGCCGTAGGCCGGGCGTCTCCAGCACCCTGCGCGTTGGCGTGAGCTTCGGCGTAACGGGACATTCCAAGGTTATATGTAGATGTGATTGGTATATGAAGTTTGAAACAAGATAGAATATTTTGTTTAGGAGTAACTGAACGAGTTTGTGAGGAAAATTGCTAGTTTTATATCTTTTTCTTCCAAAATTCCCACCTTGGACCCGAGTTTACTTACCTATTCTAAATAGGAAATTTATGTCAGTTTAGTACATAGCCCCACTGTGATCCACTCATGGCTGACATTTTCTGCCTATTTCGTCCTAGTGGATAACTCTCTGACTACTTCCTGATGAAATCTTTCAATCTTTTAATCAACGCAGTTTCTTTACCAAAGTATTACTTATACCCTTTGCTTCTCTTGGATAATAACGCTATGGAGTTTTCAAGTTCTGACTTGGAGCCTCAATCGGCCAGTCCTCTTTCCAAGGCCGACGAAAAGCGGCTGCGAAAGAGACTCCAAAACCGTTTGAATCAGAGAGCCCGTAGTGAGTCTTGACCGTCAGTTCACATCAGTAGATGTATTGGTGCAGCCTCCTTAGACCGGTCAGCTGACACGAACACATAGGAACCCGTCTACAGGCAGAAGCATTTAATTATAAGTCTGAGCAACAACCATATAAAGTGCATCGTTGGAGAGCTGGCTTCAATAACTATGAACTAAACAAAGATGAGCTTCGCCACAAAATCCCAAATCATGATGTGATCAACTTCAACTCAAATATTCTGTCGGCCTCCGTCACAAAATTTACCCCGACGGCTCCGGGACAACCTAGTGTACAAATATCCCCGTACACCGATCAATTGCTCCACCTTGTTCAATATAATGTCTTTCGGGCACTTATTACTAATAAATTCATTCTGGGGAGTAAGGCAATAACTATGGCACCGAACAATGTGTTTATGCCGCTTGAGACATCATGGCCCACGTTCTCAGTGATAATGCCTACGGCCTCAGGCCTCCCAGACAGTCTGATACCCACACAGTCCCAAATGAGTATCAATCACTCAGGATGGATCAATATGATTCCGTTCCCTCAGATGAGAGAAAACCTCATTCGCTGGGAGGGAAGTTTTATTCATTGGGACTTTGTGAGCGATATCATAGGCAGTATACTAGAAGCTAGTCTGTTCGCCCAATCGGGGAATTCCATCTCTGCCAGAGCAGATTCGGATGCAGAGGATATTAAATTCATATCTAAAGCGAATCAGGATGACGATGCCAGTGAAAGAAATGGTCTTGTCGTTTGGGGAGAGCCCTATATACCTGAGAACTGGGAGGTCACACCTGGATTTCTTACAAAGTGGGCGTGGACAATGCATGGATGCCATGAACTGATAGCCTCAACTAATCATTGGAGAATGATCAGAGGGGAAAAGAAGCTTCGCTTTCCTATCTTCTAACTACCTAGCTATGATGGCTGCACCCAGACTTCGGTAAAATCATCTCTCTATTTTGAAGAAGCCACATCCAGGGCCGACAAAGTGCCTAATTGTGCATGACCAAAAATAATTCATCCCAGATTTTTCTCCCTCTACAAATACTGCTGTCCTAAATATGTTAAATAATATTATCGAAATACGCGTCATTTGCCAACCCATCATATCTCAATAGCCATGGTTCTTGACACTATCTAAATTTACTATGCCTCTAATCAAACCAACCACCTCTATGAAGTAGAAGGAGCTCTCTTGTGATGAGCGTACCAAAATCCTTCTCCTTCGCATCTCCTATATCACGGAGAAGATTGGTTATACACGCAATCAAGTTCGCTATTTCTGTAAAAATTGCCGCCTTACACCTTAAAAACGGCGTTGTAGACGTATTACGAAGCTCTCTAATGAAGATATGAGTGAGGTTTCGAGTATACTAGATCAAGCCTCCATAATCGAACGAAAACTTATGATCTAATCTGCCATCAAATTTGTCTTAATATATGTGGCGAAACTCTCCGACTTAACTTGAAAAAACGCAGAATGATATCTCATCCAGCGGTTGAAAAGCCGCTACTTGATAGTCCTGGAAGTCGAGCTAAACGCCTTCAGTGGGCTCAAAATCATATAAATTAGACTGATGAGTGTTTTATCCAATCTGGCTGACATCGCCGACCTTGGATTCTTCTTTTTGATGATGAGATGTACTATGACACTGCTATTATATAGCAGTCTTCGTAACGAGAGGTTTCATATTATGGGTATCATTTGTGAGTAATATTAAAGAGTCATATGTATGGAAACAAAGATGGGGTTCTATGAACTCTCCTCGATTCTGCTCGATTCTGCCAATTTATCTTACCTTATGATATGTCGTTTTATCATTGTACTTTTTAAATACGACATTGATGTATTATTGATGCGTTTTTGATGCAGGATGGCGCCAGATGCCACTGATTTTGCTCTACTCTTCCTACGATTGGTCAATATACGACCCGTATACTGACCACCCTTCATACTCACCTCATCCAAATCCTATGGAGAATCTATGGTCGTATATAAAGGATTGAATGTCAGCAGAATTTGGTTCAGAAGATATTAATTATTCTGTACTACTACAGCAGATTAGAGAAACATGGGATACAGTGCCACCGTGGGTGCTGGAAAGGTATGTCGAATCTGTCTGATGCTTAAAGCTGTTAATAAAGCTGAGAACAGACTAGATGGGAACAAATATATTTTGAACAATTTATATTACGAAACGTGGTATTTCTGACTACAAAGTACGTAGGTGGGAGCTGGCAGAATTTGATTTTTTGTAAAGAGGGGATGAATTATTTCCTGTAAAATACGCCTAATCCGCGGAGCCTCATCGGTGTAGAACACTGGCACCATCTCCCTTGACATGAACTCTATCAATGCTCCTTTCCACTCTCTTTAGTTCCCTTCCAAGCATTTATATCTTTATTTGCAGGGCTCGACTTCAACGGATTGCCACTTTTCCCTTCCTGTTCACTTTCCCTCCCTGTCTGCTCGAGCTCGCTTTCCGGTTTGGTGGTTTTGGGATCAAATGCAGAGTGATGTTGGGTAACCTCGCTGTCCGTGCCAGACATTGTGCCCTCTGAGCGCTCGGGGTTTATGGAATTGCGATCTTGAATGTTGTTTTTGGTCCTTTCGGTTGCATCCTTGAAGATACTGGGGGTCGCACTGATAGGGCGAACTGAGGTCCTGGATAGAGGTGATGCCCATAGACCAGGAGCAGAAGGGAGGTGGCGAGCTGATTTTGAGGCAAGTTGTTTCCACATTATACGTTGCTGAAGACAAGATGTGATATGGAACCGTTGATCAGTTGGTTGATTTCAACTTGCGTATTATATCTTCCAAGATTGCAATTGGAGAGGAAGAAAATGAGGGATGAATAAATGGATTAAAAGAAAGCTGTTATTTCAAGGTTCGGATATTTCTGTGCAATGTGAGTACTATGAAACGTAATCATACAAGTTGAATTGCCCTGTTCTATGTTGGTTGAGCTATATCATGATGACGTCACGACTAACCTTGCCCTAACTACATCGACTAGGCAATTCTTGGTAAGTCGTCTTAGTATTGGTATTTTGTGATTGAAATTTTGGAATTTAGTTAATTGGGAAAAATACTGCCACGTCAATTATGCCTACAGGTGACATACCGGGATTTATTTCCAGTAACGTGATGCCTAAAAATAGTTGATTGCTCTCTCGTGTCAAAGCAATAGAGAGCGAGAATACCTTGAAATTAGCTTGGAGAAGGGAGAAAGGTACCTGCGTGAGTCAATGAGCAACACGCGGAATTCAGAAATTGTACACCAGAAATTATTTTTGGATGTGTTATGAAAGTGAATAAAGTAGAGTGGACATAATGATAGCAATACGGTTGTAAGATCTTGGACATACAAAATTTGGATCTCCGAAATAGCAGCCATGTAAATATTACATGTCGGACACATAAAGGCGATAGTAGCACCTGGCAACATACATATGTGAGGGTCCGTTTTGTGAGGGTCTGAATTGGTCCAATAATTGGAATTTAGCCAAGCTCAGCGGCGGCATTGACAAGATGTTCAAAATAGTCCTCGTACATGCCGGGTGGGGAATTCTTCTACTAGCTGCATATGACTGAAATCCCAGTCAGGGCTTATCATTGGACACTGGGCTTACCTGCAAGTGATGATTCCACCTTCACTCGGCCAATCTAGATGCAGCAAATCGGCCCAAAGGTGGTCGCTTTTGAACCACAAAGCTCACAGATTCGACCACTATTTGTCGCCTGAGAAAGGTTTGCGTGTAGTGGGTACGGGAGCCTCCGTTGACTTTAAGATCACGGGATCAGAAGAGCCCAGCAGAGTGGGAGCGTGCATGCGGGTCTAAAATCCAATTTCAACGTTGTGAGACGGAAGTCCAGAGGCCATGGCACATAAAATGGGCTAGAGATAGCATTACCACGATTTAGAATACGCTGTAGGTCCAATTCATAGCTTCTCTCCTCTGGCAGGGACCAGATTTATCATTTTTTGATAAATTTCAAGTCCTATCCCTGCTAAGCAAAGTTTGGGCGTCCAATCCCAAATTCAGAAAAGAAAAGTAAAGTAAAAAAGCCATGGTCTCAGCGGAAAGAGCGATTGCAGGTAAAATGGTAGGGGGGTCTGGGGCGGTGATTTGAGAGATTCTTCGGCTGATCCAACCATCTTTCGGTATGAAATAGATCAACCATTCGCGATTACGCTGTATGGGAATTTTGACCCGGATTCAGATATGGCTGGTTGCTAACTCAACAGTGTGTCATGGATGATCTCCTTGAACCCATCAATTGATTGGAGCAACATTCTCCGATGATCGTGCGATGTATTGATGAAAAGACTCTCCGGGTAGGTCGGGGATGAAAGCCGAAAACAGAGAAAAAAATGCAGCCACTTCCAGATTGAACCAAAAAGAAGCAATACTCCTACACCATCATCTCATGGCGAAATAGAAATTGAGCATTGTGTGGAGCCTTCACGACATCCCTGAGAAGCTGATCAAAAGCCCACGGTCTTCTAGCCAATTCTCACTCAAATAATCAGCGTAACGAGCCAGATGCAATGTGCCACGTCAGAGTTACCGAGCTTTGGTGCAGCTGCATGTGGTAATGTGTTTCTGCGGGTATGTAGGAGATGTTACGGTTCGTGTCTGCGACGGAGGCCGCACGGGATTGATGTCCTATCATTTTCGTCCAAACAGATGATATGGGTGATGACGGGCCACACACATGAGCTGAGGCAAATGCAGGATCCCCTCATCTGCAGGCTTGAATGATCAGCTGAATGAAAATGGAGCTGTAGTCGGCCAACCCCCGACTGGGTTAATGCGTTGAGTGTGGAAGAAAACCCAATTCTGCGGCCCGTGTCCGTAATTCGAGAAGATACCAATAACAGAGCCTCAGTGACGCGAATGTTGCCACTCGGCAAAGGGATTATTGGATGAGAGGCATTGAACGGAAGCATGCGGCAGGCGTGGAACGAGGACCAGGCTTCATTTCTGATACCCTTGAAGGCCTCGGCCCTACCTATGGATAAAAGGCAGCTAGATTGGGTCGCAACCACACCAAGTCCAGGACTATGCCCACGTTCTAAAATGCCCACCCATTGTAGGAGACATAATGACAAGGAATGGGTGAGATGGGGCCAATGGTGCGAATGCACATGCGCATGCAGTCACAGACAGCAGTACCAAAGCAATGGGTAAGTAGAGGGCTCTCGCTGAGAGAGACATAATAATTATACCATTGGACCAACCAAGGGACTGAATATGTTGCAAAGAAAGGGTGGGTCGGTAGAACATTCGATTGTGGTGGAGGCACAAGGAAGCTGCAGAGCCATATCACATTCGGAAAGGATATAAAAATTTCTTTTCGCTTGAGAAGCAGATAATCCCTGGAAGATGTCTGATAATTGCATGAAGGTGACAGCTGGCAGAAGCCAAGAGCAACTCAATCATGCAGGATCAGCCATGCGGAGCGCAACATTATCACAAGAGTCTGAGTCTATGCGAACGGTATGCACCTCGAGGCGGGGAAATCCAATTTGGCGACGACATAGTTGCAATAGTTGACAATAGGGAATGGAAGACTGCAGCCGTGCGTTGAGGGATTTTCCACCCATCTCCATCATGATACGGCAAAATTTGCCACGGGAAATGTGATGCATGCATCCTTGAAGCAACGGTTCATTCTTGATGTGGCTCCATCCAAGATACCTTAGCATCTTACAGTCTCCACTATCTGTAGAACCGCTGACAGCCAACCGGATCAAACTCGACCAGGTTGTAAGGTGATTTTGATGAATTGGAGACACGGACGATAAGCCGTCCCGCACCGGCCAGAGTAGATCAGCAAGTGGACAACATGGTCATCGAAAGCACACCGGTGACATGGAAATATCGACCAAAACATAAAAGGTCTTCTGGGTCCCCTTGATATGCTGTCGAGTTCCAAATCATCCCCCTGGGTTTCAAAGTCAAAGTTGCATATCAGAAAGTCAGGTCCATAGATATTCCTTCCAGAAATATACCTTCAAGCAATTGTGTCCACTTCATCGAACATTCATCAAAACTTTTGCTTAGGAAAGCCGAGTTGAGCCTATCAAATTTGTCAAGAGAGCTTCGAAAGTTGAGAAGCAAACCAATCGTGTCGCCCCCTTTGAACCTGAAACAAGACCCCTGGGCAAGAAGCAAGTAAGTTTGATATAACCTAGTTACCTTTTGGGATGGAGTGGCACTAACACAGCTGATAGTCATGTGCTTTTACAACCAAAAGCGGTTCACGTGTGGAGACTGGAGCTGGACCAGCTTTGCCCATCGATGCAATTACGAGTACCGCACCGGCGAAACATGCGGTATGAGACTCGTGAATATGACTGAGAACGACTGTAACAAGTGCCGCCTCTGTGAAAAAATCGAGACGAAACATCGGCGCCGAAGCGCCGAGGTGGATCGTCTCGAACGGTGGAAACGAGAGGGTGCCACGTTGGTGGCCTCAATGGACAGGTGCCAGAAGCTCATTCAAGACCTGGAAAAAGATATCGGCATGCTAAAACGAGAGCGTGAAGACCGTCGAAGAACCCTTCTCAGATAGAAATCGGCCGTAAATCGGCGAAATTGCTCGTTTTGACCTAACAAATCGCGACAATGTGTGTATTCAGTGGACTGTCCTTGTCATCTTTGGATGCCTTTTCTTCTTTTTCTTAGTGGTGAATTGTCTTTTGGAGCGTTTCATATATCGTGCACCACATAGGCGCGCAGCACATGATTTGTGACATCGAGTCCGAATCAAGTTTATGCAAAGCGATGGTCCTTATGGCCCCATCAGGCCTGAAGAATGTAATGAATTTTTCTTATTGGTTGTGTTGTAACATATCCCAATAATGCATAGGCTGTCTATAGCCAGTAGATATAGCAATGGGGTCTAGATACCAAGGAATCCAGGTCATAAGCGCCGTGTTTTTCAGGTGAGCGGTTCGCTGAGACGACAGGAGGCAGCAGAAAATGGGGTTTTTTTTTTCTTTTTCTTTTTTTTTCTGCAGATGCCCGAGTGAGATATGAAGTCCTAAAAAGGTGAGTCGACAGCCATTCAATTCAAGCATTGAAATTCATAAGCATGATCGATAGATTCGAGAAAAGAACTCCACATCAGACTTGTGGAGGGTGAAACAAAAGCCCCTCTTTCTTCAGATCACGTGGTGACACCTAACTATAAGATTAGTAACCTGTTTTGGGTACCCGATTTTTGTATTGAGAGATACAGCAATCCAATCATGATAGTTGTATGGATAGTAACCTAGTTAGACAATTCTATGTGTTCTGCCTCAGACATTGAATCAATAGGCAGATACCTACCTAGGTAGACCCCACAATGAAGGGTAGATCGGGACCATCTCAAGTGTAAACATCTAAACTGATAGATATCTGGAAATCTCTAAGTCAGCACTTGAGAACTTAGCAGTTTCAAGGTTGTGAAGTCCACGGGTGGATCGTAGGTTTGGATTCTTGAGGGCTGCTACTCTTCATGTTTGTAGGTAGCATATAACGTTGGAATCTTGATCGGATTAGCATCAACTGGGCAGTTGACGAGTTTCGGAAGTACCTAGGTAGGTCCTCATTTGGGGTCGCTTGAATAGAAAGGGCAGGGGGGCAAGGGGGCTCTTTTCTAATAGGGGTTGGAACCTGGATAGATTGTAAGAAAAGCCTGGCTAAAATTTGAGAAAGTGATAAAGAATTCAACGGGGTCAACGGGGTCAACGGGGTCAACGAGATATAAATTATCCGCACCACGCCTGACACACCTTCGCTGGCATGATCAGACCTCAGGAAAATTTACAATTCCAAGTGCCCAAGCATTGGCACCAGCGGCACAGGAACATCAGCTACACACAGTACCTGTGCCAGACTACATGTACGAGTCTATTTGAGCCAACAAACATCCATCGTCACATTAGACCACCAGATTGGGCTTGAAGAACCAGCCTTTGAATGTATGCCACGTCACGGGCGGGAATTGGGCAACCACTGCAGTAATAAGCATAAGACACTTGCTCGTACGAAAATTGAACATATTGAAGTGACGCAGAGATATGGGTAGGAGTGTAAGCTCTTGATTTTCAAGCGTCTGAAGGGCAGTCGGAAAAATATATTATCTCTATTTTATGTCACCGGCCTCGGGCTCATCGTCAACCTTGGCCAACCCTTGCTCATGGAGAAGTGCGTCGATCTCATCAGCGGTCCATAGGTGGTGGTAGATCTTGCCATCCTTGGTCTTGCCCACCGTTGCGAACTCGACTGGTAAAGAGAAACAGCGTGTCAGTACTAGGAAGAATTGAAGCATACAGAACTGTACAAGATGCAAGTCTCGTGCAGCTATTGAGGACCCAGGAAAAAAACTTACTTTTCTCGCTGCTAAGCTTTGACGAATCCATCGTCTTGCTCAGAACCTTGACAGCCATGGCACAGGCTTCCTGAAGAGTCGAATCTTCTTTGTAATCCTGCTTGAGCAGACTCTGTGCACTCGCGTTGTTCGCACCGACACTTGTAGCTTTCCAGCCGCCGTAATTTCCACTAGGGTTACTCTGGTACAGTTGGAACTGGCGGAGGTGATCCCATCCGGCGTAGATGAACGACACACCAAACGGACGGAGACCTCCGTGTTGGGTATAACCTTGCTTCAAGTCACACAGTCGGCGCACGAGTTGCTCGCAAGGGATGTCTTCGTTGTAAGTGAGGAGATAGCGTTGAGCGTTTTGACGGGCGTAGTTGATCAGGATGTTAGCATCGGCGTTCATACCAGCCACAGCGCAAATCATGTTACTGCCAATTATTAGCTCATGGTCATAGTTGAAGGCCAAAGATAGGCCCCATAGTTCTTGACCAGTGAGGTATGGACGTACTCGTTGATTGTGTAGAGCTTTTCAGCGGAAGTATCCTGTTCCAGCAGCTTGCTAGTAACCTTTCGCTCAGCCGCAAGGACAATTCCATCCTTGGCTAGGATACCTAGAGCTGTACCAGCGTGCGAGATAGCTTCGAGAGCATACTCGACCTGATACAGTCGACCTTCCGGAGAGAAGATGGTGGTCTGTCCAATAGCGTCATTGGTTAACGGGAGCTGCAACATAAAGGCTGGGGGGCTATCAACTCACCCGGGAATCATATCGCCGAGACATCTTGGATAGAAAGAGGAAATCAGATAAATATGGAGAGCTAGAGTAATTAGGGTAGATGAAGAAGAGCAGATGAAGGAGTGATGGGGTTGATGAGCTCCAGGAAGTTCCAGGCAACTCGCCCTGGCGCGTCCTCTCTGTCATCCGCCTAACGCTCGGACCACTTTCACCACACCAAAGCTTCATCTCATTTCATTTCATCTTCCTCTTTTCTCTTTCAGCACACAACTGCCAATTTTGAACTCAACGCTCTCCCCTCATATTTACCAATCACCAATATGGTTAATTCATCTGATGTTCCTCCACCTCTACCTCTAGACTGGACGGAACATACATCGCCAGCAGGTCTGTAGGTGCACCCTCGCTTTTCTTGGAATGAATTCTCTAAATTATAGCTCTCTAGGTGATAAATATTATTACAATTCGGTTACAAAGAATTCGACATACACAAGGCCTCGAATACAAGAAATTCATCCCATCCTACCTGTAAATGCCGCTGGTCCTGCCGATTATTATCAAGCAGGTTACTTTCCTGGCACACATCAGTATGACCAGTCTCAAGGACAATATTATCAGACACAGGGACCGCATCACCCATTTCAGTCACACCACCAGTCTCAAGGATATAACTCGCCTCAGGTAGCGCATAGCCAATTTCAACACAAACTTGGCGAGTCTCAGGGAGGCCCAGCATGGAAAATATTTCGAGGTGGACAAGGTGGACCAACTCACAGAAGGCCCAATATCCGCTACGATCGAAGACGGCGCCGTGGCCCAGACAGACCGGTTTCTGTCCGCAATATTGACTGTGAACCATGGATTCTCGTGAAAACTACACTTGGAAGACGGTTTGTTCACAACACCGAGACCAAGGAAAGTTATTGGAAGATTCCAGAAGAGATATTAGAAACCGTCATCAAGCATGACCGCTTGCGTCCTGGAGATCCCACACCAGGTTCGAAGGAATTGACCAAATCTCTCGAAGAACACGAAGGTGGGGAGGCCACCGAAGATAGCGACGAGTATGAAGAGGTCGAAGCCGACGACGATGAGGGCGAAGTTCAGCCGTCAAAGCGTGCACGGGCTGAGAGTGAGGCTCCTGAGTTCGAGTTCACAGAGGAAGATATGGCATGGCAACTTGCAGAGATGGAAGAAGAAGGCGGTCTAGATGAAGAGTATCAGACGATTGAAGATGAGACGTTGTCAATCTCCAAAGCCGAGAATGAAGAGGCTCAGCGGTTGGAGAATGAGAGGCTGGCTTCGATCAAAGCTGAGACTGACAAAGCGGCTGAAAACGACTTCCGTCACCTACTCGAAGAAGCCCAAATTGACCATTTTTCGCCGTGGCGCGAGGTCTCTTATGACAAAAAGCTCATTAACGATCCCAGATATGCCGCAGTGGAGCCGAAAACCCGCAAAGTTTTCTTCGAGCAGTGGCACAGAGATCGCATGACGCAAATCCGCAAGCTCAAAGAAGCTCAAATCCAGGCCCAAGAAAAGAAGGACCCCAAGTTGCAGTACTTAGAGTTTCTCCAGCAATATGCGACACCCAAGCTGTACTGGCCGGAGTTCAAACGCAAGTATCGAAGACAACCAGCAATGAAGGAGTACGAGTTCGACGACAAAAATCGCCAAAAGCTCTTTCACGAATATATCTCTCGATCCAAGCTTCCAGAAAGTACACGCAAGTCAGATCTTTCAGCCTTGTTGAAGTCCGCCCCGCTGCATGCTCTTAACCGTTCCTCCAATCTCGACAGCCTTCCAACAATGATCATCTCAGATATTCGGTACGTTGTGCTTCCTGAAAAAGTGCGAAACCCCTTGATCGAAACCTACATTTCAACACTTCGACCGCCTCCGGAACAGATGCAGACTGCCGAGTATTACGAAGAACAAGATCGGAACCGGATTCAGAGCGAGAAACGTGCAAAGGCTCTTGCAGAGCGAGAGAGAATTGTTTCAGAAGATAAACGCCGACACCAGGGAGATCTTTCCCGAAGCAAACAGCTTCTCAGAGAAAGTGAAGCTGTCGTTGCCGAGGCCATGATCGTCCGAAAGAATAGCTTATCGAGTTACATGGATGTCGACACAAAATCGACTGCAGCGGAAGAAAAGCGAGACACCGAATAAGCATAAATTGCAATTACATGCATGATTGAATGCTTGGTAGGGCTTACCTATACCAGTTCTTGGAGTTCCTATTATGAGTGCTCATTCCCTTGCTGCTTTTTCTCACTGAGTAAAGCTGAGCACACCTCTAAGTCTTACAGAAGCTCACTGAGCTGAGTAAACTTCCGTTCCTGCCCGAAGTAGCAGGAGCGACTTGATTCTCAAGTACCCTGATTAGTTGTCTTGATATTATATTGATTTGGTACAAGAATGAAGGACCATAAATGTAAACTAAACTTAGAGAAATAATAAGGAAATACAACAGGATAAAGGTCACAAGTAGTCTAGTAGTATATGGTGGAGCCGAATTCTCCTTTGGGTATGGACTGAGTGAACTTTAGCCAATCACGATGACTTATCCATCACCTGATGATAATCATAGTTAATGCGGCGGGCCCTGAAATAGGAAAAAACGGAATGTAAAGCTACCTGGGCTGTCTACATAAATTGAAAGCCGTAAATCTATCTACTGTAAGTGACAAGTCTGGAAATTGTCTACAGCTCCCGAGTAGAAGCGAGAGGAGCTTCAACTTCGACGCAGAATTCGACTAAACATTTGAAAGACAAGTGCCAGGCTTATGCTAAAGCCCAGGAATTGCTAGGTAAGTACATTCACGGCAAGAACTGGTAAGTGCCATTGGGAACATTAGATCAACTAAGATTCGCCAAAAATTCCAAGGTTTATGCGATTGCAGAATGTGCTCTTCATTTTTTTGGGGGGTATCACAGTAGATTAAAAGAACAATCTTCCTTACAAGACATTTGATGCTGACATCGCCATCCTCAGTTCGATCCTCAATTCGCGATCATTTGAATCGCCAATCATCCCAATCTTCCTCTTCATCATCTTCACTCTCGCTATCCACTGCTGCCTGTTGTTCTTCTGAAACCGTAGGGTTGTCTCGAGCTGCATCCATTGTATTCTGCCGTAGCTCATCCCGTCTATGTTTCAGCTTTCGTACCCGCTCTTCAAGTTGGTCCATCTCGTCAAGTTCGTCTTCCATAAGTCGTGCCGCATCTTCACGTTCGCCTTCCAACTCGGCTTCACGTGTTTGAGTTGTGGCTTTATCTCTTTCTTGCTGTGCAACAAGCTCAGCCGCAGTTATAGGTGCCGCGGATATTGTAGCATGGGCCGTAATAACGGATTGAGCGGGAGGTAATTTGGTTGGTTCAACTACCTCTCGTTCAAATGCGGCCCACTCGTCTTCATTGACCGCTTCTTGTAGTGGTACGGCAGGTACCGGAGACGGACTTAATTGTTTTGCAGACGCGTTGCTCATATCGTGTTCTTCCACTGGTAATTCTGGACCGACATCTTCATTCTCCTCCATGGGTTCAGAAGCCTCATTTTGCATGGTGTCCTCGGTCTGCGGAGATTGAGCAGCCTGCGCGTCTGATGCAACCTGGACAGCATCCCGCCCATTTGATCGGAGCTTTTTGCGCATGATACCATCGCCATTTTCCACCTTGCGCTTCTTACTGACGCGGTTTCCAGTAGTATTTGGCTGCGATGTAGCCTTGCGCGAAGCTAGTTCATTCCGGAGAAGCGAACGCACGTCCGTCATGATGTCAGATATGGAGGGAAGTTCGGCTGGGAATATTGAGATATCGATAGAGTGATGGTAGAGGGTGTATGAATAGAAATTAGGGTCTGGTTCAGGTACTGCGTACGGTCATTAGAAGTAGTAGTTTTTTTTTTTGCTCTCAACAAGTGGGGAGTTTGGAGAAGCTCCTTCCATTAGAGCATTCAAGGGCGCGTGGCTGGTGAAAGCACGTGACTGGATAACATAATCCATAAGCCACACAACTGCACCCGAGGTTCCTTCTTCCTGATCTTCTGATTCTCTCTTCCCTCCGTCATCACTCACCCATCTCTGAAATCATCGCGCTTGTATCTGTATGAGCAAGCAATTTAGTATTCATTTCAGCGATCCCCTTCAGCTTCTTAACCTCAAAAGGATTTCTCAATTCGAATATTTCCAACGACCCCGCTCCTAATCCAGGAGTCGCGACGCGCAGCAAGGGATCGCAAGATTCATCAAACACGACTTGGAACGATTGGAGTGTTTTTCTTATCCCCCACATCCGTGCAGAGAGACTTCACAGACAATTTTTTTTTCCTTGATAGAGGGCAAGCCTTGGGTCAAGCATTAGTGTGGGACCAGGCACAAGGGCTGTTGTGCAGCTTCTTCTCTTGTGTATACTTCATAGCCCCTTTGAGCACGTAGAGACTTTGGCAATTGTTTGGTTGCAAGCGCGCATCCACATTTCCTACACTTGAGCAAACGAAGACACTTTGTCTTTCATCACGTCTGTAATTCTCTTGTTCCCAAGCAAAGTTTTTTGACATGGCTGGTAAGCGATCGTACAACCCCAGAGCAGCGTCCTTACGACCAATGTCCCAAAAACCAATGCCTCTACGACCAAAGCATGGAAAAAAGGCATCGGCTCGGATCAGACGTGACCTACAGGACAACAAGCTGACTACGACACCAGAAGAACCCCGCCGCTCAGGCCGAGCTACCAAAGGTCAACACAAAAACCTCGAGCTACCAGATGCCCCCACTAAGAAAGGAAAGAGCAAAAGCCCGAAAGACAAATCCAGCAAAGCCTCCGCCGAACCCACCCCCGGACCCAGCGAAGGCGAAGGTGACGGCGATGAAGAGGAGATCATTCGATGCATCTGCGGTGAATATGAAGAAGAAGAGGATGTCGAGCGGGATATGATCTGCTGCGATATGTGCTCAGCATGGCAACATAATGATTGTATGGGGCTTGTGTTCGCCAAAGGCCATGAGCCGGATCACTATTACTGCGAACAATGTCGACCCGAGAACCATAGAGTCCTACTGGACAAGATCGCCAAAGGTGAGAAGCCCTGGGAAGAAGTCGCCGAGCGACGCCGTCGGGAGCTAGAGGAGAAAAAGAAGCGCAAAAAGGGCGGCAAGAAAGGCAGCAGCCGGAAGAACAGACCAAGTGAGAGTAAGATGGAGCCTAGTACCCCAGTTCCGACTGGCACATCTGCAACACCTGGCCCTACACCTGTTCCTGGCACTAGCCATTCCCCCGCTCCAGTCACACCTGCTCCCGCTGAGTTAGAGCAGAATGGCCATGGTACGGAGTCTAGACGCTCTAGCACGAATAAGCGCAAGTTGGAAGAGACTCCAGTGGCAGAGATGGTAAGCTTCATATCCACCACGGAAGTCATGATTCAGCTAACTGTTTTCACAGGAACCTAAGGTGAAGCACCAGCGAACCTCTTCACAGTCGACCGCAGTGAGAACCTCAACGGTTAAGACGGAGTCTCCTGTTGCAGTCGCTGTCCCTGTCGCTGTCCCTGTCGCTGTTAATGTCCCTGCCCCTGTCACTGTTGCCACGGGTGCTGTGGAAGACCTTGAGATCCCTGCTCGTAAGAGTGCAGCTTCAGCTCTAGTCAAACTATTCGTAGAACAGATCGCCGGGGCTCAAAATAAGAGTCCAGCTTCGACTCCTGCAGCACAATCAACGGAGGCTGTGGCAATCCAAGTTGGTCTATCCATTGAAGATGCCTTGTATCACACTTTCTGCGAACGGACAGGCGAACCTACTGAAGCATATAAGTTGCAATTGCGAACGATTCTTTTCAACGTAAAGAAGAATCCTTCTCTGCGGGATCGTTTATTAGTAGGTAGTCTCTCTCCGGACTCGCTGTCCAAAATGAAGTCGGAAGAGATGGCTAGCAAGGAGTTACAGCAGAAGGACGCCGAGATTAAACGTGAAGCAGAGCGGCAGCATATTATCATCGAAGAAGAGGGCCCCCGAATCCGACGAACGCACAAGGGGGATGAGCTCATTGAAGACCAAACTCACGCAGCAACTGAATCCGTCTTTTCCACTGTGCCTCGGCGAAACGCGGCCGATAGCCCTGGCCAAAGTCCAGTAACGCCGAAGCTGGTTCGGGAAACAGAAGGACAGAACCGGAGTCCCCCTCCTGAAGGTGAACATCATGACCATGTTTTCCCTGAATTTGCCAGCAACATTCGAGAGCCAGACATTAGCGGTGGCAAGACCCAGGCGGATGCAGAGATTGACAACCTGCTCCGTGATGATGAACCCGATTCCCCTCCTTATTCGCCCAAAGATTTCGACGAAGACGGCACTGTCTGGCGGGGCAAAGTCATCATGTTCCCTGTATCTGAGTTCATGTCCTCGGCTAAGCATGTTGCAGGCGCAGATTTGAGTGGACGGATTCCATGGAGCCAGCTTGTGCCAGAGACATTGCTTATTGATGGCCGCATTGACATTCAACTGGCCAGCAACTATCTTTGCGGATTGCGCTTTAGTTCATCGACTGACGTATCTGTGATTGCTATCAGCAGTCCCGAACACCCTAGCGAGCGTGAAGGTTTCAACAAACTCTTCAATTACTTCCAGGTTCGCAAGAGATATGGTGTGATTGGCAAACACCCGTTGGCAGCTGTGAAAGACACCTATATAGTTCCTATTGAGTCCGGCACTGTCAAACCAGAGTTCATCGAGCTCTTGGAAAACAATTCCCTCGATGGTCCTATCCACGAACGAATGTTGCTTGTAGTTTTCGTTATCAAGACCAGTGAATCCAACCCACCATCTGTCCAACCTTCTTCTCTTCGGACCAGCTTGGAGCCAGCAGTCTCCGCGAGTCCCTTCACAGCCCATGAAGCCACACCTCAACAACCCTCCTCAATTACAGCAAACCTTCCATCTTCCCTTGCACCTGCTCCTATGATTCCAGTCCCCTACGGCCAATACCAACCATTGCAGCCATTGAGTGGACTTCCTGCTGCCTTTCACGTACTAGGCGAACAAGTGAACGCACCGGCCATTCAACAACTTCTCAAGACAGCACCCGGAGTGGACATGGCGCAGTTGAAGGTCGTTCGTGACATCCTGATCCGACAGCCCGATGCTGCCACCAACTATCAGATGCTTATGGACGAATTGTTTGAGATCCAGGCGAATGGTCACGCTGCTCAGGCAGCTGTCTAGTCTTTTCCTACTGACAACCCTACACTCTATTTGGGCTGTTTGGTTTCTCTACTCATGCTTTTTTTTCGGTTACTAGGGATGAGGAACTGCATGGTAGTCTGGTGTTTAGGATGCTCAGGTTCCTCGGGGGGATTTATGGGATGTGGAATGGGATACCCACGGCCAATCGTTAACGGTCTGCAACTGCCCGTAAAATGCGATATCATTTGAAATGAATTCATGCTTTTAAGTCATCCAACATTCTCATTCGTTTATTTAGATACCCCAGTAGAAGAAATCACTTCTCTGAAGTATTTTCTTCCAAATAGTCATTTCCTAGAATTAAGCAATGATGATTGTAGTTGAGAATTCTTTAAGTTTCATGATATTTTGTTTTAGTACTTAGAAGACCAAAAGTAGAAGGGGAATATTGAAAATGACTAGGAAGCGCGTGGTGGGTTACTTGTACTTGGCATTGCAATCAAGTTCCACCCGCAACCAAAATAAAAAAACTCCTGTGCTATGCGAAAACCAAGAGATCGAAGTACTGGAGGCAGATGGGATGATCAATACCGGCTTCGTCCACCGCGACGGCCGCCTCGTCCACCTCGACCATACCCGCCTCCACCTCCACCATAGCCTCCTCCGCCGTAGCCTCCTCCTCCATAGCCTCCGTATCCTCCAGCTCGGTATTCATTAGCTTGGGGAGGTCGATTACGGTTTCCTGCAGCGTACGGATCATCATCCTCAAATTGACGAGAGGGTGGGCGGCGACCCTTCAGCTCGGAGCTAAGCTTCTTGAAAGTCTTGCGCATCTCCGAATAACCCATGTGCATCTTGCCGAAGAAGTGATCGGCCAGTCTACGGTCGTTATCGAGGCGGCTCAGATACGCACCGCAAACGTCGCAAACCTGCAGTTTCTGGTGGCCGGAAGGTCCTGATGTATCTTGCAAGTTCTTGAGATCGCGCTCGGAGGCTTCCTTTTGCAGCTTGAGAGTGCGAATTTTGTGCATCTCTGTAAGCGAGGTTGCGACTGAGCCGGTCTCGCCGAGGATGGACACTTCAAGGAGGAGTGTGTCAATAGTCTTGGACAGGTCCGAAATTTGTTTGTGCTATTTGGGGAGTCAGTGGGGTGTCAAATAGGAGGGATTTAGACCTACGAGGTCATTTGCTTGTTTGATCTCCTCTGGGGTTTTCTCCAGTCGGCGCTGCGCCGTTTCGATTCGGCGATCACAGTCGCCAATGTAGCCCTCCATATCGCGAGCGTAATCAAATTCAAACCCCCACTTTGCCTTCTGCGAGGGAGTTGAGCCCTCGTACTCAGACTTCAATCCATCGTTATGGACTTTGGCGCATGGGCCGAGATCTTGCTTTGTGTTTGTGAACAGGTCGTGGGGGCAGGTTCCCACCAGGAATGAACGGCAGACTTTAGGATCCGAGACTGAAAGTGTGGAATGACCCTTGGTGCTCATACCAGGAGCAGCTGGAAAGAAAGGTGGTTGTTAGCTCATATCGGCGGAATGGGTAGAGTAGCTTGAAGCTTTATTCGAGCATTTAAGCAATTGCACTTACTGCCCATGAGCTGCTGGAGCAGCTTTCTCTGTTCAGCGGCCATTTTGAGGTCCGATTCGTCAAAAGAGTAGAAACGGAAAAATGCGACAAGATGATGCGAGCGCTTGAATGAACATTGCGAAGTGAGGTTTTTTGATGCTGGTGCTAACAAGGCGGTGAGGGCGGTGAGGAGCGTCAGTTAACATAACAGGTGGGCTTCATGCAAGACTTCGCATCTCGCACAAATCGCTTGCGACCGATGTCCAGATCGCTAATTTATCCCCAGGGTTTTCTCCGGTGACCACTGTGCCCATCGGACCTGATCCCTATCGTGGATCCAAGCTTCCCCGCCTTGATTCAGACCTCGAATAATCATTTTATGTACTAGGGGCCAGCGCATACCAAGCTCCGGCATGAAGTGATGACGGTCCCCTCACTATTTACTCTACTACTGGCACTTGCTGTCTCGCTTTGGAGCTCCAATGTATCAGCATCACCAGAATACCATGAACAACTCCTCCTCCAACCCCTTCCTCAATCCTCCCTTCTAGCTTCGTTCAACTTCCGGAGCAATACCTCTCAGCAGTCGTTTGACAACCAACATTTCCGATATTTCCCACGTGCTTTGGGCCAGATTCTTCAACATGCACACACCAAAGAGCTTCACTTACGGTTTACTACAGGGAGGTGGGATGCTGGAAGCTGGGGTCCACGGCCATGGGATGGCAGTAAGGAAGGCGGTACTGGTGTAGAACTATGGGCATGGATTGATGCCAATGATGATGATGAGTATGTGATAGCTTGATCCCTTTCCTGCCGAGTATTCTAACATATCATGTCCAGAGCATTTGCGAAATGGATCACCCTAACCCAGTCCCTATCTGGACTGTTCTGTGCTTCGCTGAATTTCGTGGACTCGACTCGGACGACTCGACCGGTGGTGTCATTTGAACCCACTGGGGATCACTCTGATGCAAATGGATTACACCTCCTCCATGGAACTCTACCTGGAGAGGTTGTTTGCACAGAGAATCTGACACCGTTCTTAAAGCTGCTCCCGTGCAAGGGTAAAACAGGTATTTCCAGCCTGTTTGATGGCCACAAACTATTCGATGCAGCATGGCAGAGTATGTCTGTAGATATGCGACCAATCTGCCCAGAAGAGGGCGATTGCATTGTCCAGATTGAGCAGACGGTGGACATGGTTTTGGATATTGAACGGTCGAAGCGACCTCGAGGTAAGTTATTACTACGTAGATTCATGAACGAATTGCTTACAGAATCGTTTAGATAACCCAATTCCTCGCCCTGTCCCGAATGACCAGTTAGTCTGCGATACATCGAAACCTTATAACTCAGAGGATACCTGCTATCCATTGGAGACAGTGACCGAGAAGCCTTGGAGCCTGCAAGAAGTGTTTGGACGCCCCTTGAACGGTGCATGCCCTCTTACAGACTCCGATGGCTCCAGCGTCGAATCTATTTGTCTCCGAGTTCCACATGAACGAACCGTATTTACCTCTGACGGTGCCATTGAAGCCAAGAAAGATGATGGCTTCAGTCGTTGCTTTACCTTGCCGGCTTCTGAACCCTTTGACCTCATGGTACCTGAACAAACCATGAACTCTCACGTCCCAATCGAGGTGCCCATTCTGCATGCCGAGAGAACTATTATCGGTCACGGCCAAGGACGCGGTGGCATGCGTATCATCTTCGACAACCCGTCTAATACCACTGCAGTGGACTTTATCTATTTTGAAACACTTCCATGGTTCATCCGACCATACATCCACACATTGCAGGCCACCATTCGCGGCCACGATGGCGTACGACGGGAGATCCGTGCTGACGATCTTATCAGCGAGACCTTCTATCGACCGGCCATCGACCGTGAACGCGGCAATCAGCTGGAACTGGCACTATCCGTCCCGGCTGCTTCTACGGTCACCCTCACATATGACTTTGAGAAGGCGATTCTGCGCTACACCGAGTACCCACCAGATGCCAACCGAGGGTTCAATGTTGCACCCTCTGTCATCCGCATTCTGAACGGCGAAGACAAGCCCGTCTACATTCGTTCTACCAGCCTTCTTCTCCCGCTGCCCACACCTGATTTCAGTATGCCCTACAACGTAATCATCCTGACTAGTACTGTGATTGCACTCTCGTTTGGTACCATCTTCAATATATTGGTGCGACGAGTCGTATCTGCAGATGAAGCAGCTGCCCTCGGTGCTCAGACTCTCAAGGGCCGTATTCTCGGCAAGTTGTTGGCTATCAGAGATCGCATCCGCTCAAAGTCTATCAAGATTGAGTAGGGTCATACTCCATTCTATATGTATTTTAAAATCATTCATTTCACCATTCCAAGATCTAGTACACCTCGTCACAATAAACACATGTCATCCAGATATAGTAGTGACGGGAACTATTGGCCCCAAATCTATACCCCGTGTTCCAGATTGATGAAGCCCCACCACGGCTACTAAAGAGTATAGTCGTTTAGTTTTGATTACTTTCAATCACAAAGTAATAACCTAAACGCAACGTCAGATGGGAAAGTAAGCTGTTCGTTGTTTTTATCTCGAGGTCTTACACGGAGTAAATTGATTGACATCTGGATGTCGGGCCAAGTACTTAAATTACTTATTTTTTCGGGTTTCATGATCCATACTACAGTTCTTTATCATACAGCCTCGAAGAATTTTGAACTTTGAAATACCATTGATTGCATTTATTGCATTTATTGCAGGATGGTATCCTTTGACAGGAAAGAGAGAAAGATCTTTATGGAGCCGAAGAACAAAGAATTTCAGGATAAGCAAGCCTCATACTAAAGAGAAAGAGCAAAGGAAATCACTACGGAGTATCAAGGCCCATTGGAAACGTCGGAAACATCGGAAACATCGGAAACATCGGAGCTCCAGGGCCATTTATAATTCGGCATATGGAAAATTTGTCATATTATGAGGGTATAAAGTTGAAAATGTCGACCGGGGAATCAGACAAGTTGCGGTCAAGCACTTCTGTGATACCTACCAAGCACATTAAAGTTCTTAGTTCTTCATGGAAACAGTTGGAAGGAATTGAAGAAATTGATAGATCTAGAACACGAGAGGCTTTGAAGAATCTGGAACGTGTAGCATATGGTGTCAGCGAATACGAAGAAGTGCGGGGGGTTTTAAATCTGTCAGACGATTTGGAACGTGCTCTACGTGTAATTATTTAGTAGTTATGGAATACCTTGATTACTCGATTATTCCTGCAGATCGACAACTAGATACTCCCAAATTAGGCAATATGAGGGGTTTCTTGCCAACGCTATCGGATCTACTTTAGCAAAGCTAGCTAGTTTATGAAGGATTCTACAGATCCTTCCAATGTTCTAGACTCCGATCATATAAGAAATGTTTATGATAATTAGTAGGATAGATAATTGCTAGCGAAGTTCAGCCGAGGAAAACTCGGCAGGCAGTTCTTCGGTATTAATTCAAGTGGCAACAAATACTACTAGAACCCACTATGTGATAAATCAAATATGGCCAAAATAGGTTAGTGAATTTAAACTGAAATGCCGTTGACTCCAGGGCCAACCTAGACTGAATAGGAAAGTATTGCATCTTCTTTTATAGATGATGACAACCATGGATCGGAACATCAACTTCCATGGAAATCAACACAATTTCATTTCCATGTGTGATCAATTTCCATGAGCCAGCCAATCTTATTCATGGAATCTGATTATCTATTACTCTTGAAAGCAAAGTTGGAACATCTAGTCCTGATACGAGAAATACCAAGCCGCGGCGTTCACGGATGTGCTGTCTCACTGTTTACTCCTCTTTTCTAGGGCTTTTTTTTCTTGTTCTCAACCCCACTTCACTGCCAAACACATCTAGGGCATACACTGGGCCACGAATTATGAGATCCAGACCATTGGGCTCCACCGTCAATAATTGACTATATTCCCCCTATTGGCTACCAATTCAACAGCCCTAAGGGATCCAACGGGAAATACTGAACTGTTCCTGGTGCCATTCAAGGCCTTAGGTTAGGCAGACCTGCTGTTCCTCAGGTACCTGGCCAACCACAACCCTTAATTAAAGCGTTAGACCTCTAGGCGGCCCAGGAACCAGATGGAACCAATTCCCCGTCGCGTGGCGCCTCGTCCCTTTTTCTTTCAATTTATTGCTTTTTTTTTTTTTTTTTTTTTCTTTTTTTTCCCTTCACTCCCTACTCCACTATGCCACATACATAAAGGAGACTGGCCTGCTGTTTTCTCTTCTTTTCTTCTTCTCTTTGTCTCCTATCCTTAAGATCTGTACAGTCTCTACGACCTCACCCTCTTTCCCCATACTCTCTTTTATCGAATCGAAGGCCGTGCCTCCATTCAAGTCAATCCTTCCCACTGTCTGTAGACCAGACACAAATCCAGTCCTTTCATATTCCAGTTACCGGAATATCCTAACAATTAAATCCGACAATCATTATCTGCAACAGATCTTCTTGAATTTTCATCTATCAAAATGGCTTTCCTCAAGACTCTTCTCATCTCCACCCTCGCCGTTGCTGCCTCGGCTCATCCCCTCATTGGACACCGCCACAACCACGGCGCTCCTCCCACTGTGACTGTTTATGATTATGAAGTTGTCACTGCCATTGGCACTTCCGTCCCCACCCCCATCAGCAGCAGCATTGCAATTCCCAGCAGCTCTGTCGCTACTCCCTCCAGCTCTGTTGTAGCCTCTCCCACTGCCACTGCCGTGTCTGGTGTCACTATCGTCAACAATATGGACAAGTCTCTCTACGTCTGGTCCACCTCCGACACCTCCAACGAGATGGAGACTCTCTCCAGCGGCGGCGGCTCCTACAATGAGGACTGGCGCATCAACTCCGATGGTGGCGGTATCTCCATCAAGGTCTCCACCTCCACCGAGGAGAGCAGTGTCCTCCAATTCGAATACACCCTCGGAGAACCTACCATCTGGTGGGACATGTCCTCCATCAACCTTGACAAGAGTGATCCTATCGTCGATGCTGGTTTCGCCGTTAGCATCTCTGACACCAGCTGCACCACTGTCACCTGCGCTCCTGGCGATTCTTCATGCTCCGAGTCATACCAGCTTCCCGATGATGTTGCTACTCGTAGCTGTGTCTCTACTGCTACCTTCATCTTGACTATCGGTTAAAAAAAAAAAAAAAAAGGAATATAGGAAAAATATCTCTGAATAGCAATATACCTCTGAGTTTGCATGTGCTCAAGGGATGTAAGGTGCTTGGTGCTTGGTGTTTCATTCTAATTCTTGTCCATTCTTTTTTTTTTTTTTTTGATTTTGATTTTTCTGGATTTCATTACCTTCTCTGAACAAACTTGAACATAGACTTTTGATTTCATCGACTTTAAATCATAACATGAAAGTGAAAGTACGATATTCGTACTAAGATGACTAAAAGACGGGAAAAAACAAACAAAAAACAAGCGAAAATGAGATTTTCGATCTCCTGATTTTTCTGTTTTTCGGAGGATGTTTTATAGATCCGAATTAGGAAGTGATCGTTCTACCCACGTCAGCAATACATGAACATCGACGTTAATCACAATTACTTGTTCCCATGAGAAACCAATCCAATAAAAAAGGAATTTATGGAACATTTGATAAAGTTGTCTCTATATCCTCAGTAAATGAAGAACGGATATGCGATTATGCAGAATACGAGGCCACGTCATCTCGTTTAAGCATTGACCAAGTGGAGATGAGACTTTGACTAATTGCCGCCTGGAATCTGGCATCATCTCCCTCTCACACAATATCAATATTAGTAGCACTAGTGACTTATTTAGCACTTTCACTAGTCAACGTCTAGTTCCCGTGGACGCGTGTATTCCAAAAAGAACTGCCCCAGATGTTCATAGCCGGGATATAGTACTATGTGGGACATATCAATCCTTCGAGCTAATGAGATCGGCCGCCCTAAAATTAAATTAGAGGATATGATAGGTTCGAAGGTCGACTGTTCTAAGGGGTGTTCTTTCTAGAACTCTCACCAGCTTTCTTACTGTAAATCGTTATACACCGTACTCAGCTCCTGTTTCACCACAACTTGTAGTTTACATGTCTTGGATAGCGTTGACTATATAAAATTGATCTCCAAGTCATAAACCTCTTTAAACTTAGTCTCATTTATGTATTGTCTATAAATTTGATTTCAGGTCTATTACCCCCTGGCTATTTGTGACAAGTGATTCGCCGGGCTTATCTACCGCCCGCTCAGCGAAGGCATGCACTTATGTACTGTTGTTGGTGCGCCTAGACCTAGGTAAGGGGATACCTTGATTAAGGGGGCACGGATACAGAGGAATTTCAAATTTAGAGTCGCCTCATCTGGGAAGAACCCTACAAAGATCCGTGATCTGTCTCCTCTCAAATACCCTAATCAAACTTGCTTTTGTTCTCCTCAAGCCACTGCAAGAACCCCACCGGTTCACTCTGTGTGTACTTCTGAACGTTCCCACTCGCAGCCGTATAATCAGGAGCAACAAAAAAGGCCCCTGCATCATGTAAGACAGAATCAGTAAACCACTGAGCAACAAGTATCGCCATGCCACCAGCAACAAGTGCCTCAATAGCATCTTGCTCCGAGCACTTGACGATTCGAATCTGTCTATTCAAGACACGGCCAATGTGCCCGATAGCTTCTTCGGTAGACATCTTCTCCGGGCCAACCAAGCCAACAGCATGCTCCTGCGCGCCATTAACAAGGATGGCACCACAAACACGTCCTACATCTTCCGGTGCAATGAAATCCCACTCAGCACCAGGATTAGCATGTAGCACCTCCCCGCTCAAAATGCCCTGTTTATACCATAGCGAATTACTAGAAAAGAAGGCCCCTCTCACAGTGACGAATGCCTCTTTTCCAAACACTTCTTGTAGGCCAATCTCCACTTGCGCATGCACGAACGGAATTATCTTGTCAGAGGAAACATCACTCGCTTCGCCCTCGATCGTAAAGCTGCTTAGTAGAACCACAAATTCAATCCCAGCTTCTTTGAGCGCTTCAATACTGGCGCGCATATTGTCTGGTGAGCCGAACATCACGTAGATAAATGCCCGCGTCGCTCCTGTTTGCTTTACAGCACTGAGGATTGTAGCGGGGTCTGTGAGGTCTGCGTGGACTCTTTCTGCGGGGATGTCGTCTAGAGTTGGGATTGATTTTGAGGGGTCTCGCATTGCGAGAGAGACTTTTGCGCCGGAGGCATGAGCTTGTAATGCTGCGTAAGAGCCTACTTGGCCTGAGGGGCCGAAGATCATCACGTTAGGGGTTGCCATTGTAGGATTGTTGCTAGGTAGAGGACCTGTGTAAGAGAAGGAACAATAAGAGAGGAACACCCCGCATTTACATAGGTGCTAAAATGTTCATGACGTGACCTTCCCAGGTAGGACATTTGGAACGTTCTAATGTCTTTGTTTGATGCCGTTGGTCAGAAATGTCTTATCTCTGCGCCTCGACATCATACTTATGCAGTGCTGCACTGTCGAATCTCGAAAGTTCATTGTTTCCATGATGATTGGTAATCTTGTAAGTCTGACCACTAAATGTAGATTTGAAATACCTACAAGATATTAAAGTACCAGCAGTCATGACTCTTGAGATTAATTATTTCCAATTCTTTGCTGTCTGGACTCATATTGATAAATAGCTCTGCTTGCATATGGCTAAGATATCAAACAATTTTGGCACGAGACTGCTCGACTCTGTAAGTCATTCTACTTACTCCTCCCGAACTACCACCTCCCTTTTCATGGAAATTGCATTGGGCTGCATGTCCTTGACCAGCTCTGTAGTGTCTTCTCCCTCACTCTGACTCGAACTCATGCAGGTTTTCACGTGGGCAGAATAATTCCCCCGTCCTAACTCAATATCAGAATACATACAATCGGGACCAACTCGCTTGCGCGGCTCGCTGCCGATCGTATGTTGTGCTTCCTGAAGCTGGCCACCGCCACTTGGTCGTTTATGTGAGAATACAGGCTCGATATATAAACGGAAGAGAGGTGCCAACGCAGGTAAGCTGACAATTGTAATACTCAGCCAGAGCTCGAGGAAGCTGACGAGGCCTATGCTGTACAGTCCGTATACAAAGTCAGCTGCTGTTTTTGGATCCAGAGTTATTATCAGACGATAGACCATTACTGCCACGACGCTAAAGAACAGTCAGCGTATGCACTAGCTCATATCGACAGCCTTACATTAAGCCCATTCCAAACATCACTCCTATTGTGAGCTTGTTACTGATCGACATCCGCAAATTCCAGATAGCTGGTATGGGTAGTAATGCGATTGCTGTATCCAGTATGATGTTTAATGTGATGGATGCGATCTCCTGGTGACTTAAAGGGCGACAGTAGCCCCCTGGAGTTGGGTGCCATTGATAGGAAATCGGGTGGCATTGCGTAAGAAATGTAGGTAGAAATCCAACGAAGTACCCAATCACTAGTCCACTCACAATCCAGACGGTAATTCGAATTGGTCGAGAGGTACGAAAGAGGGAGGTATAGAGGGTGAGGATGGAGAGTTTGCAGCATACGGTGCTGACCAGCCAGGTCATACTCGATCCAACAATTATCTGGCGTATTCAAGTTCATCAGTATCAAATCAGACTTATTCGGTGTTCAGTTTTAAAGGTTTTATATTCTTACCTTAAACTGAACCTCGAGTTCATGCTTTGACAATGTTTCCGTATGAGCTCCTAGCCCGTTGGCGACGGCCCAATAATTTAGCCCTGTCATCGCACACGCACTGATCTAATAGCAATCAGAATATGACTGGTTTTGGTATCTCATAATACTTACATAGGCGGTAATCACCAGATAGTCATGTAGCTGGAATCTCTTGCGTGTCAGATGAATTGCCCAGATACGCAGGCCAACTATCGCGCTGGTTAAGCACGTAAACACGGCCAGCCATATGGACATCTTGATGCCTTGCGGGCTGACTCCCATGTTAGCGATTAAAAGGATGGAGAGTATGGGGATATTCTCATAGTATACAGCACTTGAAATAAACGATGATGTTATAATCTAGGCTGTTTTCTCCATGATCAGCAAGCTGACAGGTGTGGGTGCACAGCAGATACCAAAGTAAAAGGTAAATGGTGAATAATCCATGAGGGTTCGTTCTCAAAGCTGAGTTGACGCTTAAAACTCAAAAGTGTTTTTCACTCTTTCTTTCTTTCCTTCACTTCTCACCTTCTCTTCTTTCTCTTTTCTGCACCTCTTCAACCCTCCACCTTTTGACATTTCTGTCATCTGCCAACTTCTAACAGTGATTGATCCATTGTAATTCATCAGGTTTCATCTCCTCTTCAGTCTAGCTCATCCTTTGGTCTTACAGGTTACACCATGGACCCTCCAGGGATTCCCTCCTTCACCAATACCTGGCATAATAAGCCTTACGCGGCCATTTACCCCAAACGCCCAGAAGTGAGCGCCAAGGGCAAGACAGTGATTATTACGGGAGCAGTAGGCCCAACTTGGCTTTCACTTGCAGATCATATATGCTGACCTGTGCAGGGCGGTGGAATTGGTCGTGCGACTGCATATGCCTTTGAAATTGCCGGCGCTGCGAAAATTGTGTTGATCGGACGCACTGAGTCAACCCTCCGAGAGACACAGAGCGCTATCGTATGTCCGAGTGAAGTGTTCGTCGCCGATGTTACTGATGAAAAGGCCATCGCCGCTGCCGCTGCCGCTACGGGACAATGGGATGTTTTGGTTTTGGCGGCAGGATACCTGGCCAAACCTGGCACAATCGCGAACTCACCCATGGAGGAATGGTGGAAGAGCTTTGAGGTTGGCCTTAATCTGTTCCTGAAAGTGCCTGAATACTGACGCAAATTTAGACCAATGTCAAGGGAAGCGTGATTTGCACTCAGGCCTTCCTGAAGACCGTCAACCCTGAGCATGCAACAATCATCGCCTTATCGGCCGCTGTTGACTTTCCTGCTTCGCGGCTGACAGGTCTTTCCGCATACATCAGCTCTAAATTGAGCCTGATTAAGGTGATGGAGTTCCTGGCAGCGGAGCATCCCAAAGTTTCTGCCATTGCTTTGCACCCAGGCATGATTGATACCAGTATTCTGCGAGCTACTGGAATTGATCCTGTGGAGCACAAACTACCTCTGGATGCTGGTAAGCTGCATATGATCGACACACTTTCTACTAAGCTAATTCTACTGCTGCATAGTTGAGCTGCCTGCCCAGTTTATGGTCTGGCTGGCCAGCCCAGAAGCTGCTTTCTTGAACGGCCGCTGTGTCTGGGCGAACTGGGATGTTGATGAACTGAAGGAGCGTGAAGAGGAGATTGTTTTCGGGATTTCGTTGACCCCCACAATCAACGGCTGGCCTTTCCCTAAGGGCTGTGGAGATAAACGCAGGGGAGGTAAGGAAAGTGGAGCTAAGGATAGTGTGGAATCATCTGGTTCTAACTGATTCCTCTGTCAGAGCCTGTCTAGTGCTCAGACTCAGACTACCTCGGACCTGCAACGATGCTTTATGAATTTGACTACTTATTCCTTGATGGTTTCCAATGAAATGGGATCAAGCCTTCGCTCTAGCTTCTCTCTAATGACTATGATTTTCCTCAGCCTCGAAAATGAGGTTTTATTCTTGATGTAGAAGTCTACCTTCAGCTCTCTGATTATATTTCTGTGTAACATTACGAGGGTAACATACTACTGCAATGCTTTATAGATGTGTCACACGCAAGTCGCCTGACATAAATACGCAGCCCTGCCAAGATGGTCGTTTCAGTGTCAATCCTCTCCAAAATAGAACCATAATCTCGGAATGCTAGCAGCCTTGGAGAAAGTCTGGTTAAGAATGGCATCAGCCCTTGTAGACCAGGTAGATTTCTATTCGGACGATAAATTTGCAAATCTCCTCAAATTCTAGCCCCATTCACCTCCACCCCTCGGAGTATCTTACATTCCATCCAAAATGAGCCACTTGACGCCGAGCGCATATCCAAGATTCACTCAATCACACATTGCACATTCAAAGTGGGGTATAATTGGGTGGTACATGATATATTCCCCGACGCCATATTATTTGTCTCGCAATTGGAAAAGCAACCGTAAGCGACCAGGGTTCGAGGTAAACTGGTCCCGCAGGTCTTTCCACACTGGATCCCCTGTTTCCCCGGATGGAATGCTAAATTTGTATTTTTGGACCAGGCTTGCTGTAATCAGCCGCATGTCGTTCATTGCAAGTGCGCGACCGAGACAGCTGTGATGGCCTGGAAAGGTCAGAGTTGGATAGGGATAGGTCTTTTTTCCTATGGGATACCGAGACTTACCTGTTCCGAATGGTGCAAATGCTGCTTTGTTGCGTACCATCTCTGGGTATTTGTACCATCGTTCGGGGATGAACTTGTTTGCTTGTTCAAAGCTATCCTCTCCTATCGGGTATTAGAGGTAAGTATGCATTCTATCTCGAGAACTTGGACATGCGGAAAGTGGATCGGAACTGGGGCCTTGACTCACGGCGAGAGATACAGAATCTTGGAGCTACAATCGTCGTCTCTGGGGGAATATATACTCCCGCAATCTTGACACCATCCGCCAAAGTTTTCCGATTTCCGCCAGTAGGCAGGGCAGGATACAGTCGTAAAGCTTCGAGAATCGACCCCTCGAGATGTGGACAGTGCTGTGACAGTGATCGCAGATCTTTCAGATCCACATCTTCGATTTCCCGTTGGATAATATCAGTATGGCGTGAGTCTTTGGCTAACTCATAGAACAACCCGATCATCACAGCGGCGGTAGGTTCGCTCCCGGCAACGATGGCCAAGATACTATCACCAGTAAGCCATGGAAACTGTGCTGGGTTGTCCACTGCATCCTGAAGAAGATAGTACGCGACGTCGGGCACTTTCGATGGGTCCTCTGGGTCCTGCATACTGTGGGTACATTTATCTAGATTATGGGCACTTAGACGGTCAAGCATTTGACTCTCACACCATGCCACCATCTGATACCAATCACGCAGAATCCACACACGTGGACACAGCTTGAATGCGATATGGATAAACCAAGGGATAGGACTTAATGGACCGAGAAGCGACAGAGCCCGCTGCAAGAGGAGGACGATATGATGTGACTGTTGTTGAGAGAGCATATTGAAGGTCCGACTGAAGACAAAGTCTCCCATGCGATCAAAACCAAGCCAGTAGAAGATATCATTGGCCTCAGTAACTCGTCCCACGGAGATATTGGTATCGATGCAGTTTTCAAGTTGACTGAGTAAAGGAAGAAGACGGTCCTGGTATTGTACCAACGCTGAGTCGTCAGTTGAATTGCCCTTTGAAGAATGAATTGCCCATACCTTGGGATGTAAAGCCCTTGTTCCACTGCCGGCGCCGCAATGCATGTGTCTCCTTCACTCTTGCAGTGACTAAAGACTGCGAGGGGCTCAGTAGGTCATACCAGTCAGACTTGACGCAGGTCGCTTGTGGCCCGTCCATGGCCATAAAAACGTCTGGATGGTAAACAGTAATTTCACTGGGACCTGAAGCACATGATAGGTTGTCAGGGACCAAATGAAGCAAATGAGTATACATTTAAGCGTACCGGTTCGGACAAAATCTCCATATTGTCGGTGTAAGTCTTCCAATACCAGGAAGTTTTGGCCACGGCGACACTTCCAAGCATGCCAGATCTTGGTGGTGAGAGCCCAAAATGGGCCTGGAAATGACTTCAGTCGGTGAAAAAAGACACGGTAAATTGTAATGCTGGACATTATTGCCAGCAAATATCCTAGAATCATCCAGAATGCGTTCGTGATGGAAAGCAGTAGTAATAAGAAGTATACCAGATGATAAATGACGATTTTTGGAGCGTGGATGTGCCACTCGCCGTGAATAAAGACATTCCAATGAAGTGCCAGACCAAATATCCCTCCTATCAGGGCATGGATAGATTGATTCATAGCTAGAGGCTGGATCATCTGAACGAAGCTAAATTGGTTTGTCGAGAAAGTGCTAATAAAGGAGAAAAGCCTTCAAGCCCTAACTGAAGTTTGAAGTTGATTGAGCAGGTGGTGGAAGCACAAGGGATCCGACAGCGATACCAAGGTATAAAAGCCTCAATGTCCCATACGTATGAACCCGTGGACGTTGGGAGAGAAATAACTGCATTTCATCCCGACTCAACTTTCCAAGGTTCTCCCAATGGCGCCTGGACTCCGATTGGTACAACTTCCCTTCCTTATTTGGCAGTTTACGGAAAGCAACTTCCCAACTTTTGTCCTGCCAAACTCTACCTTTGGGCTTCTTGCAGCCTCCGCGGCGCCACTGCTAACTAACCGTCTCGAGCGAGTCCCAGCGGCCAATCTTCTACTTCTGGGATTTCCCCGTGTACTTCTATTCAACTGGGTCAATGTACTTGTGTTCGACCTAGCCAATCAACGACTACCGGAATCAAAAGTTGAGGATAGGATCAATAAACAATGGCGCCCACTTCCTCAAGAGCACATTAGTTCTGAGACAACGCAGCATTTGTTGCTGGCTGCTATTCCTATCACTCTAGGAATTGGTACGATGCTGGGAGTCGCGACTAAAACCTCTTTAATCCTGATTCTGACCTGGATGTACAACGATCTACGTGGGGGTGACGAGATAGTACGAGATGTCATTATCGCCGCAGGATACGGTCTCTATCTATCCAGCTCGCTAGAAATTGCCATCGGCTCAGATTACCACATCACCACAGATGGGATTTACTGGATTTGCATGATAAGCGGCATCATTCTGACCACCATGCAAGTACAGGATCTCAAGGACCAGCCTGGTGATCGAACCCGAGGCCGAAAGACTTGGCCCCTGATCTTAGGAGATAATGTTTCACGATGGATGATTACTGTCTTTGTTATGTTCTGGAGTATCACGTGTACCCTATTCTGGGATCTTCCATTGCGTTGGTATGCATTGACGATGACCACTGGGGTCTGGGTTGGTTTCAAAGTGTTGCAGGGGAAAGATGATTCCTGGGCTTGGAAGTGGTGGTGTTTGTGGCAGGTAGTAATCTATGGACTTCCTTGTCTGGCAGTATGTGACTGAAGAATTGCCACAACGCCACCTATCTAGGTACCTACCTATCTAGGTAAGTAGATGCCTTTGACATTTGAAGCTGTAAGTAATTGGAGTATAATCAATAATACCCCATCGTATTCGAAGATGATGAATCTAGATCTTACGGATAAATATTAAATCTTTCTTCAAAATATTACCTGTCGGCAACTTAGGCTGCTTAGTTTACTATTGAATCGTATTGATTACTTTCTTATCAATTTGGCAGGAGGAAGACCCCTGGAGGACTCTACGAATAGAAGAAATAACCCACAGAGGTATATATTCTCGTGACAACCTTGGAACATTGAAAGCACTTTTACTCAACCATCAAAGCCCTTGGAACATTTGAACAACCTCAATGTTTGCTTCCACCACTTTCGAATCTGCCCATCAAAATGCGTCGAACTGGTCTTCTTCTTCTTCTTCTCGCCATCAAGGCAACCTGCCTATCTTGCCGTTGCTATCCAGGTGATTCCTGCTGGCCCTCTGCGCAACAATGGAGCGACTTCAATGAAACCATTGGTGGCAGACTAATTTCCACTGTGCCAATCGGTAGTGTATGTCACACAGCGGGCAGATCTGCATCCTATAATAAAATAGCTTGCAGCGCTTTGCTTTCCGACTGGGGGAATCCGGCTACACACTATGAGAGCCCTTCATCTCCTATGGCCGCCTGGTTCGCTAATTTTTCCTGTGACCCGTTTTCGCCGTCGTACACACCCTGCAATATTGGCGCTTTGCCGCAATTTACGGTCAATGCGACCAGTATCGACCATTTTCGCTATACTTTACAGTTTGTTCAGGAGCACAACATTCGTCTAGTTATCCGCAACACCGGTCATGACTATTTGGGAAAATCAACTGGTCCGGGCGCATTGGCATTATGGACTCATCATCTCAAGGATTCCGAGTTTTTACAGTATAATTCATCTTCCTACAATGGCTCTGCATTGCGACTAGGCGCTGGCATCCAGGGTTTCGAGGCAATGGCTCTTGCTCATGCAAATCAAGTTGTTGTTGTGACTGGAAACTGTGAAAGTGTTGGCGTTGCTGGTGGATATACTCAGGGTGGAGGCCACGGTCAACTAGCTTCCCATTTTGGGCTTGCTGCTGACCAGGTACTTGAGTGGGATGTTATTACCGCCTCTGGAGATCATCTCACTGTCACCCCATCCGAAAATCCTGACTTGTTCTGGGCTATCACTGGCGGGGGTGGAGGCACTTATGCGGTAGTGCTGAGCGTTACGGTTAAGGCACACCCTGAGATGGTCTCTTCTGCAGCAACCTTGACATTTAATGGGACAGACGTAGAGCCAGACATCTTTTGGCAGGCCGTGCAAACTTTCGTATTAGGAATTCTCCCATTGATTGACGCTGGAGCCACTGCAATCTGGACAATATCAGGATCTATATTTAGTGTGACACCTATCGCTTTACCGGGTGGCACATATCAACAGCTGCATGATGGGCTCGCCTCGACTATAGCCTTTTTGGATCAGTACAACGTCAGCTATAGTATGTTTCCAATGCGTGAACTCGTGAGACTGAGCTAAATTGCTAATTGGTTATAGCATACAATGTCACTCAGTTCTCAACTTTTTGGGACAGCTATACTGCAATGAATCCACATAGCAATGTCACAGAGGCCCAGATCGGGGGGCGGCTAATGCCACGGTCAACTGTGGAACAAAGCACTTCAGCTCTCATCTCGGCTCTACGAAATATTGCCACACAAGGTATTGTGATTTCAGGTGTCTCACTCAATGTGTCTCGCCCTGAGATACCACTTAATGCAGTCAACCCTGCTTGGCGTGAAGCAGCCATTTCCTTCGTGCTGGGAACGTAAGCTTGAATCCTATACTTCTTACAGACAATCTAACTAACCGGTACAGGGCTTATGACTACACCAACCGCTCAGCAGACTTGAAAAATCAGATATTAATGACAGATATCGTCATTCCCAGTCTAACCGCACTGAGTCCTGGTGGTGGTTCATATCTGAACGAGGCAGACTGGAACCAGCCAGACTGGCAAAGTGTGTTTTATGGAGAGAATTACAACACCCTAGAGGCAGTGAAGTTCAGGTATGATCCAAATCATATCTTTTGGGCACGAACGGCTGTTGGAAGTGAGAAATGGATCCAAAAATACGATGGGAGATTATGCCAGGCTGTATAAAGCATAGACAAAACATTGGATATTGGCAATTTCTTACTCAGCACCTATTCTCGGCATATATAGATGAAACATGGAGATATACCTACCTCAAGAGACTCGATCTAATTATGCAGCAAATCAATTATTAGCTGACAAGATAAGTCCCGGGCCTTCAGTTTTGTGATTGAATCTCGAATGATCTTGAGGGGAACTATTCAAGCACTGTAATAGGTCACTTTGACATTTATTTTATGATGGACCACATCTGTTTCTCCTTTGTTTTGACCTTCCCGTGGTCATCTTTACTATCAAACAAGATACTGTGATTGATCTACTTCTTGTAAATAATGATGCTACACTCTACGAAGCCCTCTAGTACAGTCAATGAAGAGATGGTATAGATCCTACTCGATCAAGGTACAAACGTAAATCAAAACATTGTTAGGCCCCTCCATGCTGCTTCAGCCAATGGCCATCCGGAAGCCACGTAGAAATGGCTCAGATTATTATACATTGAGGTGGCTACATTGATGTTAAAACAAAACCTTTAGTATTGCCCTTTGTCCTGCTTCAACCGATGGTCAAGAAAAGGTAGTTCAAGTTCTCTTAGATTGAGGCACTCTCATCACTAGATACTAAATCTTCAGTTTATCCACCTGTGCTGCTTCATTTAGGGGGCAGGAATGGGTGGTTCAAATACTACTAGATCATGGCGCCGATAAAAACCAGTATACCAGATCACTAGAGTTTACGGTGAAAATTAGACATAAAGGAATAGTATGAATGCTACTGGGTCGAGGAGCTGATATCAACGCCGAATACATAAAATATTATAACGCAATTTATGTTGCATCCTCCAGGGACCACGAGAAAATGGTACAAATATTTTTAGATCAATGTGATGTCAATACTGAAAGGATAAATTATGATAGAGCATTGGTTGGTGCATCAGGGATCGGAATATTATGAGCATCCTTGATGATATCAGCCGCCCTTTCGGCAACTGCATACACCGTTGCGATGGGATTGCCATGCGGGATAATAGGAAAAATGCTGGCATCAACAACTCGCAGCTTCCGTGTTCCATAGACAAACAAATTCTGATCTACAACACCTCCATCATCACGGGGAAGCATAGCCGCCGTACCACAGGCGTGGTGAGCCATGTTCACGACTTGAGAAGTGTATTCTTTCAATAACCCAGGACCATGTTGGTCTTTCTTACACTCACTGTCGTCGGAGTCCCCACAACAACGAACAAACTCCCGAAGTTGCTCGCTATGAATCAGATTTTGCAGGTCGCGGAATTGATATGCCAGCATCTCCTTGTCCAGGGGGTGAGAGAATTTGAAGTCAATTGTTGCTGGTCTGAAAGGGTAAATAGAGTCGTTGAGCTTAACTGTGCCGCGGGTGAAGGGATAACTAGTGACCAGACCAAAGTGAGCAAGTTTGTCTGAAGTAGACAGGAAGAATGATGCGGTAGCTTCATTAGAGTCCTCGATGATTGATTTTAGAACTTTCTCCGATTCAGTCTTTGGCACAGGATAAGTGCATAACAGCTTCTTCTGTTCCTCTGGAGAGATCCGCGTCATTGCCAGTGCCTTAAACCCAGGCTCGATGTGTGATTTGAGCGGTGTCGATGTAATCATCATGAGATGATTCTGCAAGTTCTCTCCGACTCCGGGGAGATCAACCAATGCGTGAATATCATGTTTGGCGAGGAGATGTTTACACCCCACTCCCGATAGCTGAAGCAGCTTCGGGGATTGCAAAGCTCCTGCTGCCAAGATGATCTCCTTTCTCGCCGAGAATTGCATAGTGTTCCAAAGCCCATTATTGTCAGTCCCTTGCTTGACCTCAACTGTAGATGCAGAAAGATGGTCGAAATGGATACGGACAGCTGTTGTATTCGTGTAAACTACCACATTTGGACGATTTGCGATGATTGACCCATATGTGGAATTAGCAGAGCTTCGAAGCCCCGATGCTGGATCGATGGTTGCAGAAAAAGCACGAGAGCCGATAGTTTTCCGTTCTGAAAGAATATCTTCCACATAATCATAGCCCTTGTGGCGCAACGCATTACACCAGGCTTCAAGTAGGGGATGGTTCTCACGGTCTTCCAAAGCAGGATATGAAACCTGGATTGGGCCAGTAGCTAATTTGGATTCACCCAAATCCATTTCTGGGATCAACTTAGGAGCAGTCACCGAGTAGCTCTTTAGGAGGTACGGGCGAATCGACTCCCAATTCCAGTTGGGATTTCCAAGCTTTGCCCAGGCATCGATTCCAGCTGGAGACGGTGGGAGAAAAACCATTCCATTGAGCGCAGAAGACCCTCCTAGCATTCTCCCAGCAGGGTGTTGATTTTCAGGCTGGAGTGGAAACTCGGTAGAAGATACCTGGTGATATGTTAGCTTGTGTTCCATGAGAAAGTGAGGAGGGGGATAATCAACAGAACCTGCTGTTCAACCTGAAAGTTCCAGTCGACGTCTGACTTCTGAAGCTTGGGCCAGTTCTCAGGGTTCTGTACCAGTGGGTCATCGGTACAGTCAGGGCCACTCTCAATGACAATGACAACAGTTTTGGGGTCCTCTGAGAGGCGGGCAGCCAGAACTAGTCCAGCCGTTCCACCTCCGATAATGACGAAGTCTGCTGCAAAAGTCTTTACTTCAGGAGTCTTTGCCATTTTCGTGAAAAATCCACTTTGGAGGGGTTGTTAAAATGATGGAAAGAGTAAAAGAAGATGTAATGGAGGAAGAGGAAAGAGAGGTGAAGGAAAAAGAAAGTAGACAAAATCACGTTTCTTTTAAATCCGCCCGGTATAATGTCGTCGCCAACATAATCAATGTGTTTGTCACTACACTTTCATGTAAGCATTCCCATGGTTACGTTCGTGTTATCAATGATCTACACTTCAAAACGCAATAAACATATTGCAGATAATTAACCTAGCTCTTGCATGGCTTGACTGAATTCTTCTGAAACTAGTATCAATTATAGTAATTGGATGGTTTTAGATCCACTTCAATCCAATTATCAGATATTAGGTGAACTCAAGATATGGATAGAAGCTGTTGCTATTTACTTAACCAGTGTTCTGATTAGTAAGCTCTCCGCATTTCTCCGCATCCAACTTTCGACTCGAGAACATCCATTGCCTTGGTAGCCTCAATCAGCGGTATATAATATTGGCACCTAGTCACAATAATACAATGGTAGATAGTGACCCGAGAACCATAGCAACGGAGCAGACCCCTCTGCTTCGTGATGCTGACCCCGCCAGCTCCCCCGCAGAAAATCAGGAACCACTGGCCGAGGAGGCCACCACCAAGGAGCTACTGCTCATCCTGGGGAGTATTTGGCTGGGAGTTTTCTTAGCGGCATTAGGTGCGCATTACAATTCAAGACGTTCATACATACCGGGAACATTGGAAGCTTGAAAAGCTAATACTCCGACTCTGCTACACAGATACTACCATTGTCGCGACATTATCTGCCCCCATATCTTCCTCATTCAATTCGTTCTCTCTAATTTCATGGCTTGCTACATCATACCTCATCTCAAATGCCGCCTGTCAGCCCCTGAGCGGCCGACTGACCGATATATACTCGCGCCGTTGGGGCTTGGTCTTTTCCAATGTTTTCTTCGCTCTTGGTAATCTGATATGCGGATTGGCGAAAACAGAATGGGTCATGATCCTAGGCCGAGTGGTGGCGGGTATCGGAGGGGGTGGTCTCACAGCTATCTCAACCTTTGTAACGTCGGATCTGGTTCCTCTTCGAAAGAGAGGTGTCTGGCAAGGTATTGGTAACCTCTGTTACGGCGCTGGCAGTGGCCTTGGAGGCGTTTTTGGTGGATGGGTGAATGACACCTTGGGTTGGAGATGGGCTTTCTTAATCCAGGTCCCTTTCCTAGTTATATCGTGTATCTTGGTCGCAACCAAGGTCAATATACCCGTGAAGGAAACCGATCAGGCCCGGATCAAGCGCGTTGACTTCCTTGGTGCTATTACCCTGGTCCTTACTTTGGTTACACTGCTGATTGGGCTAAACACGGGTGGTAACCAGGTGCCATGGACACACCCTGTGGTTCTCACCTCTCTGCCTCTGTCCGCTGTTTTCCTGGGCATTTTCATTTATGTCGAGGCTTGTGTCGTGTTGGAACCCATAATTCCTGTCCGACTCCTTCTAGACCGAACGGTAGCGGCGGCTTGTCTGACAAATTGGTTTACTACCATGTCAGTCTTTGGTCTACTTTTCTACCTCCCGCTTTACTTCCAAGTGCAGGGGCTTTCGGCGACAGCAGCAGGCGTACGCTTGATCCCACAAGCCCTAGGTACATCTATTGGGTCATTGGGCTGTGGAGTTATAATGCGAGCCAGTGGCCGTTACAAACTCCTCAATGTGGTGGCCATGGCGTTACAGATGACATCGGGGGCACTGATCTGCACTTTGAACCTTGCCACTCCTGCATGGCTGCCCTTTGTCTACTTCTTTTTAGGAGGAATTGCATATGGCAGTATGCTGACTATTACATTGGTCGCCTTGATATCGGCAGTGGATCATAAGCACCATGCAGTGGTAACCTCTGCATCGTACGCTTTCCGTAGTACCGGAAGTACGATCGGCATTACTATTGCCTCGACTGTATTCCAGAACACTTTGAAGACGGGTCTGTGGTCCCGCTTTGGTGAACGCCAAAATGCAGCAGAGTGGATATCTCGGATTCGGGATAGCTTGGACGAAATTCGACGTCTCCCCGGAGACTGGAAACCAGGAGTGTTGGATGCATATATGGTGTCGCTTCGCGCAGTGTTTTTGACTTTGTTGGGACTAACTATATTGGGGGCAATCTCCAGTATAGGCATGAGGGAGCACAAACTACATAACAACCTGTCTCGACGATAGAAGAAGGGAAGAAGTACGAAAATATGAAGATTGACCGCCTTGGCTTGTCCAATCAGCGGCAACCCGATACAAGCCGAGATTGGGATTCCGATTCCGATTCTGCAACTCCTCTCGTCATTGGATTCTTATTCCATTGTGGATTTCATTTCCTGCATTTGTTACTAAACTTGTTTCTTTCTGGCCCATCGAGCATCCAATTATACCAAAGTCAACAAGTCATTTCAACCCCTGAAATTCAACGGGCCAACGCAGTCTCAGACCGCTCTGAAAGGGAGGATGCATATAAATTCACGATAATAGAGTGCCCCAGTCACCGCTCAATTGCCTGATCCACAGCTCGAATCAACAGTGGATAAGCGCTGAACACATCTCCTATTGGATTTATCTACTTCGGATCGCGAAGTTTTCTCGATCGGCCTTCTCTGCTCATTTACCTTTCGTCTATTTTATCTTATCTCGACTCTCCTCTCTCATGGTATGGTAGTTGGACTGCCACTCGACTCATCGGAATACCCTAGTGGCAACAGCGTTTCAACGTGGCCGCGGGTTGATATGGCGATAGAGAAGGAAGTTTGTCGGGCTTGCTCCCAACAAGATGAACCGCCATTATTAAAGCGACGCCAACGACTACTCATATCGACAGAAAGCGCCTTCGCCGACACATTACTCCCCACTCTCGTCAAAAACCCTTACCTCGAACTACGTTTGATTACAGACGAACCCTCGGCTTTGCTGGCAGGCACGAATAAAATCCCGCATTACATGGACACGGTGGATAGTCAAACATTTGATAAGAAAACAAGCGCACGGAAATGGCTCAAAGCAAAGACAGCCGAGCTCTGTGAATGGGCGGATATGCTGTTGGTTGCTCCCATTGACGCTGGCTCCCTGGGCTCCATGTTGGCTGGTTTGACAAACACCTTGACGTTGGCACTGCTGCGCGGCTGGGTGTCGTCTAAACCCGTCACCCTTATCCCCGGAATGACAGTATCGGAATGGGGTCACCCACTGAGTACCAGACAACTTAAGGAGATCGAAACTTTTTGGCCATGCATTCAAATTGTGAAACCACTGCTCTGGAAGTCGAATGGTCCTGAAGACTTGACACTATTGCCATGGGACGGGTTGGCAGAGTTGCACAACAGACTCGAAAATTCATTACAAATACCATCATGGGATGCTTCTTCAGCGGATACGAGCTGTATTCAGGTCAATGAAATGGCCGGCTTGTCATCAAATCCGAATCTTTCTTCTGTGAAGGCTTCTAACAGCAACGTGGTCCAGAGAAACCGATCGAAATCAGAGCTTCATTCACGGTGTCTGCCGCTTGAGTTATGGCTCAATGTATTCGAAGACCATTTAAAGGACTGGGAAATTGCAAAAGCCGTCGGCATACCCGCTAATATCCCCGTTCCGAAAGAGTGGCAGATCCATTCACTCAAAATGTCTACCCCCGCCTCCTTGGAATATACTATTCTCCGCGGCTCGTTCGCCGCCATCAAGAAACGGATTGACGCACTACCCAGGTGGAAACCGTTATCTGATCTCGCATGCCATCTAATTGTCAAATTTTCTCGAACCGACATCCTCTCATATCTCACCGAAAATCATCTCGATCTACTCTGGACGACATCTCGTCTCACAAATATTCCCTATCGCGCATCTGCCATCTACGGTAACCCCACAATATTGACATGGTGGCGCGATGCCCCAGCTCTACCGAATAAAGAGTATATGGCTGACGCAATGGACGGGGCATCCAGAGCTGGATTTATAAATGTTCTTAATTGGTGGCGACAATCTGGCCTTGAACTCCGGTACACTGAGCGTGCTCTTGAATCTGCCAGTGCCGAGGGACGTGTCGATGTTCTGGACTGGTGGCGAGAAGCATCGGCCAAATCCCCAAAGACACTGCCAATGAAAGTGGGCAAATCAGTTCTCCTGGCCGCCCAGTCGGGTCGAATCGCATCACTAGCCTGGTGGGATTCATCTGGCATTGCATACAGCAACGCAGAGAATATTGTCCGGATAGCCAGTACGCATGGTCACGTACATGTGCTTGACTTCTGGCACCGACTGAAAGGCCCGAAGATGATCTTCGACAATCAGGTTCTGGTCGGTCCGACTAAGAACGGACACGATAATGTTTTGCAGTGGTGGAAAGACTGCGGGTTACGTGTTGAATTCAAGACCTGCGACATTGAAGAAGCACTCGAAGATGCAGTCTCAGGTTCTGACGAACGTGTCCGCGACTGGTGGGAGCGTAACGGTCTTAATCTGGGCGTTGGAACCAGAGAGTGGATGAAGCCGAAAGTGCTTTGATTTTAATCTAATCGAGCAGCCCGCATTTTTCTTCCTCTTCATCAACCTCTCAGCTTTTACCCACGACTGTCGATAACATCTATAAATACCCATTTGAATATACTCGTTTCCCAATAACTTGGATCCACAAATTGTGTCATCGCAACAATAAAAGAACCGCGTACCTACAGTGTGATATCTTCTCCACAAATGGTAAATTTGGGGGAATCCATCAACAGGTGATAATTTGCCGGCCCTCGTGTAAAGCACCTAGACTATCTATCCGCCCGCTTAATCAGAATATTGGACACTCAGCTGTTCTTAAAGACCTTCAATGAGCAAGAAATTCTTCACCTACTCAAATGCATCAAGCGCCTTCGTCAGAAAGCTCTCTATATGTGTACTGTTAGGGATCTGAACTTCAAGAATCAATCCAGTCCGGTGTTTCAGGTTCTTTCTCGGAACAAGATCAACCAATCCCGGACAACTATGTGGAAGCAGACATTCATGATTGGTAATATGAAGAGGATTCCAAACTCTTGCAAGCTTGTGAAGGAGCATGCTGAGCCTACACGATGATACATCTGGTGGGGGGTTTATCGTTATTCCATGGAGGTGGAGCACTATATGGAATGATATAGAGAAGGCTATGGCTATGGTGAAGCTATTTTGCATTCCAGGAAGTCAACAGTGCAAACGACTTCGTTCAATGTGGCATATGGGAGAATCTGCTTTTTGCGGCTCTTTGGCACGCATACCACTATAAGGAGTTGAATATCCTAGACGCCGTGGCATGGCCTATGTGGCCATGTGACCTTGGGCGAAGGTCTACGCAAGCACGCCCGGTATTTCTGTACGAGGCAGTCGAAAGCAGACCTCCTAATCTTGAGAAGACCTTGTAAACAATCTAATCATCTTCAATGCACAGAATCTCCTATATTGGCACTCTTCCCCTAGTACATCGATGAGATCCTCTATACAGCCCTATACAGCCCTATACAGCTCTACAGATAGGTGATTTCTTGAAATATTGTGAGGATATTAGTCGTGGGCTTTTTCACTCACCAGCTTCTTACTGGTGAACTCCGCGTATCTGTGTATCTACTTATACCTGTGTTCTGACTCTAGAATCCACCTGGGCATGGGGAAACCTAAATCTTAAATAGTCATTGCTCCATATTACATCGGTGTGGAAACATATGACCTCTGATGTTCTATGTAAGAGAAGTTAGAAACTACCGGTTCATTTGTAGAACAGAAGAGTTTCTCGTGGGTTAAAAATTATGGTTGTCGAGCAAATTACTTCAAATGTTATTGAGCGGGTGAAGTCTCGGTTGAAGTTTTTTAAATTCTTCAAAGGGAGAGTGTATACACACTTAAATTATATCTACAGCTGCAACCACGACATGTGGATATACTGTTATGGGCAAGAAGAGTCTAGGTATAGCGATAAACGAGTCACAGCGAGCACTTGATAGCCTGGATTGGCAATTGTAAAGTTTATACTTCTTTCCTAGAGGAATATCAGCAACCAGCCAAGATAAATCCAAGGTGGATCAACCTACCAGCTATAACCCTTATTTTCAGCTGTCGAGGTAATAGCATTGCGATCCCCAAAAGGATTGTTCTCATCATCGTCATCTTCCTGTTCTGATTCACTCTCACTGACATAGACGCGCCGCGAATACGAAGCAGGCGGCATGCTGAGAGGTCGAGGTGGCCGCGGGGGCTTAGCTGGGTTGACAGACAATCCACTAAAAGCGTTGTTCATCTCCTCCTCAATATCCATTTTCGATTTCCAATGCGGTGACATAACATCATCATCATCACTGTCACTATCATAGTCGACGCTCTTGTCCAGCACTTCAAAAGCCATCAATGCCGTTACGAGCTCCTCATTTGCGTGAATCAATCCTCCAAGGAGCTCCCCACTTTCGATATTCTGTATGTATCGCAGGATTTGATGTCGTAGTGTCTTACACTTTTCAAATCGATTAACGCATTCGGCATCCTCACTCACTCGAGTGGTCTCGCGATTCACCAATTTCAGCGCGTTCAGAAGATTGGTACTGGCGACAGAAGATGAAGCCAGTGTTTGCAGGATCTCTGGCCGTTCGCGCTCCATGTTAAAGTTTCTCGAGCTTAGGGAGCTTACAGAAAACATGCTTTCTCTCTTCCTTTGCTTGTCCTTCTTTTCCTTTTCCTTAACTTTCTTGTTCTTGTATTTGGGGTCACTCAAAGACTTTGAGGGGCCGTGACCTGTCGATATCGAAACCGTGTGTCCCATGGGTGGTCCAGCGTGGTCAACACCCTCACGGAGAACCTTGGCCTTGGCTTGCGTGGCAGGTTGTTTCCGCGGAAGCTGCTTGTAGAGTCCCGTAATACGAGCCATGCCTGGTGTATTCTTGTACGTGCTAGCCCATTGACCGAATATCTGTTTACATTTCTGCTTGACCAAGGGATCGGAGATGGGATCTGTTCCCGCGATGCGCAGTCTTTCCAGGAGCGACTCGTCGGCGAAATCGCGAAGGAACCTCTCGCCTGCATTTTGAACCAGGAAGTCTAATATGGTGAGAGAGCGAAGCTGTCGATGAACATTGCCATATTTCCTGTTTGGCAAAAGTTAGTTCAGTGGCATTACATATTTGTGGTATGCGCCTCACAGTTTTTTGCGTAGTGCCCTACTGGCTTCTTGTGGTCCGCTGGCCTGTATGCGGACAACCTCTATCAGGTCAACGATACCACTGGAATCTTCCACCTCATATTGTTCACTGGTCAGAACCTCAACCTGTACGGTGACGGCCGAGTACGGCTTCTGTGACTGATGTTAGTTTGGTCACAAGACACCTTGCGACAACCACATAGACTTACCGATGAATGGAACATGGCTAGTAAGAATCGGGAGTATGTTCTGAAAAAGCACGTGTGTTAGGAAAGATCCAGGTAACTTAACGAGAGTCACCAACCAGATGAATCAACCACACCGCACTTCCCCGCCTCATCTGTATGAACCCCGCACGAGTCAAAATTTATCGAGATGTGGATTTGGAGTGGATGAGGTCAGGGTTGTGAATGAGGAAGGTCTGGGAGACTTCGTCAGTCTATACACTTCAATGGGTATTTTATGGGCGTCTCGCCACCACACGAGAAGGAAGTGAAGAGAGGTGACGTCGGAAGTAGAGAATCTTGGCGTCAGGCAGGCTGTGAGTTAACTGATAAAAGAACTAGGAAAAGAACTAGTCTGTGGTCAGCAACAGTTGACTCTCCTGGCTTTATGAACTAAAAAAACTAAAGCAGACGGTGAGTACAATAGGAAGTAATGATCGACAGATTAAAAGTCACCAACTCAATCGTACAACCGACACAACCGACTATCAACCTTCGCTCAATCGGGCTTAGGGCGGGGCTGCATTAACTAATCTTCATAAGTCCAAGTTAAACTAAATGAGTACTTGAAATGCCAATAGTAAACATTCTACTAAATAAAATCATTTGGAGTCAAGTAGAACGGATCCTATGATTCATTCCTAATCGATGCGTGTTCTATCCCGATTTCTACTCATCTCAACCCTTATTCTGGCCCTCAGCGTAGCTTTCAAAATCCGGTCCCGCATTTCCCTCCTCTTCCCCTTCTCATCCTTTTCCTCTTACACCAACATGTCTACTACCCCTTACCAGAACGAGCGCTACATCGCCGAGCTCGCTGTTCAGCGGGCAAGCGTCCTCACCCAGAAGGTTTTCTTCGAAAAGGCCAAGGGCACCGTCTCCAAGGACGACAAGTCTCCCGTCACCATTGGAGACTTTGGCGCACAGGCTTTGATCATCCAGGCCATCCGCAAGAACTTCCCCAATGATGAGATCGTCGCTGAGGAGGAGGCTAGCTCCCTGCGCGAGGACAAGGCCCTCAGCGCTGAGATCTGGCGCTTGGTCAAGGACATCAAGCTGGACGATGCGGAGAGTGATAAATTGCTGGGTGGATCCATTGAGAGCGAGGCCAGTATGTTGGACATCATTGACGAGGGCAAAAGTGCCGGTGGTCCTTCCGGCCGTATCTGGGCTCTCGATCCTATCGATGGTACCAAGGGCTTCCTGCGCGGAGGCCAGTACGCTGTCTGCCTTGGTCTGATCGTTGATGGCGACGTCAAAGTTGGTGCTATCGGTACTCCTAACCTCCCGGTCGATGCTGCTGCCTCCATTGATGCTAGCACCAGCGCCGAGAAGATCGGAACTTCAGCAAATGGTGTCCTATTCTCCGCCATTCTAGGTCAAGGAGCCACCAGCCGCCCGTTGGCCAGCGGCAGCCTAGCTCCCAGCTCCCCTATTTCCATGCGCCCCGTCACCAAAATCGCCGAGGCTGTATTCTGTGAGGGTGTCGAGGCTGGTCACTCGGCCCAAGGCGACAACGCCGCTGTTGCTGGGCGTCTTGGCATTACTGCCCCCAGTGTCCGACTAGACTCGCAGGCCAAGTACTGCTCCATCGCTCGTGGTGCCGGTGACATCTACCTCCGTCTTCCAGTTAAGAAGGACTACCAGGAGAAGATTTGGGACCACGCTGCCGGCGACATTATAGTGCGCGAGGCTGGTGGGCAAGTGACTGATATTTACGGTGCCCGGTTGGACTTCAGTAAGGGCAGGACCCTGGCTGCCAACAAGGGTGTTGTTGCAGCCCCTAAAGCCCAGCACGACCAGGTTATTGAGGCTGTCAAGGCTGTGCTGAAGCTGTAATGTGAACTTGAAACTGTCCGTTGGTTATGCCCATAGCAAGCTCCAAGAGTTGAGCATGTTTTGAGCTTTTGGACAAATTACGCTTGATGCGTTGTGGAAAAGAGAGCGCAGAATAAAAAAAAAGTATACATATGAAATGATAGTATAAGAATACACGGAACCCAAAATGCAGTGTTCCACAAGATACCAATATCCCCAAACGCTCGTCGCCTATTTGATCTTCTTTGCCTTGAGCTTGATTGTCTCGCCGTTGACAAAGATACCCTTGCCCTTGTATGGCTCCGGTCGTCTCCACTCCCGAATCTCCGCCGCGAACTGTGTTACTTTACGTTTGTCGACGCTCTCCAAAAGAATACGGGTCGGCTGGGGTGTGCTTGCCTGGACACCTTCTGGAATACCCAGTTCAATTGGATGCGAAAAACCGACCTTCAGCGAGACGAACTTTTGGCCGGGATAGGTGGATTTGACAGTGGTCGCTGTGTCTTCAATTGTAGCCCTGTAACCAACACCAACCATACTCAGAATGCAAATGTGACCTTCGGAGACACCGGTGACGTGGTTCTGTAGGAGTGAGCGGGCAGTGCCTGGAAAAGAAAATCGAATTGTTTAGCATGCATATACGGGAGATATAACAAGTCGGTATAAAGACATACCCCACATAGCTCGCTGGTGAGGCTCTTCGGGATTCTGCACAGACAAAGTGGTCTTCAAGGTCTCTGCATCATATTTGACATTGAGGAAGGAAGGGAGGTCAAGGGTCATCTCGCCTATAATGCCGAAGGTTAGTACTCGGCTCATCGCTCATTCAGTTACAGTGTTTACCCTTCGGTCCCTTGATATGAGCGGCCACCGTTGGAACATCCTTTCCTCGGGTGCGAGAAGATGAGGTGGGCAGATCGACCAGCTTCAATGACACTTCTGGGGGGACGGAGATGGAGGCACCTCCGACTCGGGATTGCGCCGGGGAGGTGGTTGAAAAGCATTGTGCACGAGCGGGTGAGAACGCAGGGGTCAGGAACAGAGGTAATGAGCCTCGTTGGAAAGGCTCTTTGAGGAGCTGCCGGGCGCAGCGGTGAGATAGACACGACATGTTGATTGTGATGGTTGAATATATTGCCGCAGACTCGATGATTTCGTCCAAGGAATGAGCCCAATTGGGTTAGCTTACACGTGATTTATATATGGTGCCTAAAATATCAGGAGTAAATATACAACCCTGAATCAACCTGATGATACGAGAAGAGAAACCCAGAAATTTGATCTCAGTAAACAATTCAAAATCTGGAATTTGTCTCATTGGTAATTATGACGATTTCAGGCAGATCCTTGAGTCCATATAGCCTCAAGCTCTAGAAAACTCAAGAAAATAAAACTAGTCTTCATTCTTGCATCCAGTCTGGTGATAGAAGTGTGCACTCTCAACACTTTCTCATTTTTCAAAAACACCATCTCAAAGCTCGTGAATAACGTAACTCTGAATCAGACTCCCACAATTTTCCTTATCAAAGCCTTGGAAGTGATTGACCTAGTACTGGTAGACAATCTCTCCCACATTTATTTCTCTTCCCTCCTACACCTCGCCCACCTCAACCCTTTTTTAACATCTTTGGAAAGCTCATTTATCATGAAGACTCTCACCTATCTCTTCGATATTTTGTTGATGCTTTGCATTATTCTGATCCAAACCTGCGAAGCTGGCAAAGTCGTCGCCGTCAATGGTATGTAGACTAAATTGACCAATGTTTTCATCTCATTTGACTTTTATTAGTTGATTCACCTTCCACTGCGCTAAACGATGACTCTAATGATAGCTGTACTCTTTCCTATCTCGGCATTGCCGTTTCGGAGACTGTGCTATTTGATGAAGCTGTTCAAATCCTCGATGCTCTGAACATCTCTCCTTCATGCAACAGAATTGCTGCTGACACCCTTATGACCTCGTGCCAGTCAATCGGAAGTAAAGATGGCGTCCGTATTGAGATCAACGACGTACTGGACCGTGTTCGCTCTATATATGCTGCCAGACTTGCCATCTGCGAGCTCGATGGTGCATTTGCATCAATTCCAACTTCATGCCTCCCCGTGGCTGTTGCATCCAAAGTTCCCAAAAGCCGCTTCTACTTCGATATTTTCAGCAAGCCTCACTCCCGGGATGTCAATGCAGAGGATATTTCCGATAAAGTCTTACAGCCTTGTCTCAAAGCTCTAGAGTCACGTCCCCAGTGGTGGACCTCGTATAGCAACAACCGCCAGAATGCCATGGTTCTTTGCCATGCTGCTCGGCATGAAGCTGAAAAGGAAGACATCTTGAGCTTGCACAAGGACATCACCGACAGTAGCATTAAACTCAACAAGGGTCTACAAGCCGCCATTCAAAAGGCTGCGATGGAATCCCAGCGGAATGAAGAATTTGCTGATGCGCTCAAAGTTTTTCAGGACAGTTTTTTGGAGAAGGCTTCGTTTATGGAACTCGCATTCGGCAAGTTCGAGCCTCGTATCAGTAAGATGCTCGCGATGACGGCCGCAGTTCTGGTAGTAGGCGATTCCCCTGACTCTAAATTCTATGCATATAATTGCTAATCACTCACTAGGGCCTCGATGATTTCGACCACTCTATTTCACTCTCCGCTGGAAAGTTGGTCAAATTGAACGAGGAATTGGAATCCATGTCTAAGGTACGCATTTTAGCTTCAAAAGCGCTGGAATATATATTTTGACTCGGATAGCGCTTTCATTCTCTCGAGACTTTTCTTCAGCGATCCACCGTACACGCTATTGAACTACAAAAGAGCCAAAATGCCCAAACCCTCGCTGCTATGACTCATTCCGAGACCATGAAGGAGATTACGACTACTGCGGAGCTTGCCCAGGCCTTGGTCGAAAAGATCACGATCGATGCTGCTCAGCTCGAAAGACTTATTACGGCGTCCCGATCGACTTTTACAACCATGACTGGGATCAAGTGGGGAGGCGTCGCCTCATGGCCTACCTTTATTTCGATAATGGTGGCCCTGTACTGGCGCTTCCCCAATGCGGCAGCGATGGTTTTGTCAGCTTTTATTTGTAAGTACAATCTTCTAAGTCGATTCATACCGTCCTTAGCTGATATTTAGAATGCAGCTCACTGCGTCATCAACCACTTTCGCCAGTACTTGGGCTTCAATTTCTAGTTGTTGCTAGTTTTCTTTATAAAGAATTCAGCTTTTAATTGCTAACCTAGGTACTATGTTTGTATTCGTAACAGTTTAAATGACTTCCAAGGTTAACATTCAGGTAAGTACTACCTACTTGCTTTCTATCGCTTATTTTCGATTTGAGTGTATTTTTTCTGATTTAATGGAGTCGAACTGAGAGCGAGGCCACTTGGGTACCGATGCATTCGGAATACCTCAGATGTCACTTCACTATCATTCCCCATTCATTACCTTCCTAGGTGTTCGGCAGCCATGTCTGCCCAATGGTACTCATGAACCTAGGGAGACTATAGTATCAACCTTGGAATAACCCGAGCATAGAAGCCGACCTCGAGAGAGAAAGGAATTTAACAAAATTGGGCAGGCCACATTGAAAGCCTTCCAAGTTTCTTAATTTTGAAACCGAAGTCCTCCTTCTATGTATACTTTCAAAGTTTTCTACTGTTTCCTCCTTCTCTTTATACCCGGACATCTCAAGGACTTACCTGATCTGTAATCAAGACATCACTCTCTTTTCGCCTTATTTACCTGGATGATTCTTCAATCATAAAACCTGACACGAAAGCAAATCCATGTTAAAAAGACGCTCTTATCCTCCTCTTTTCATTCAGTGCACCTTCTACATTTAACCCTGGAATTGGGCCTATGATTCATCAGCCTTGGAAACCTTTTCATGGATTCCACATCTAGTCAACTGTCAACCCTTATTTGCACGGGATCTAGGCATCCACGTGACACTCTCCCTTAGTAACCTCGTATTGATAATCGGCAGCATTTCTTATCACTAGTTTAGAGATCATATCCCGGGCTATTCATCATCTTCAGGGTCTTTGGGGCCATACATAATCTCATCAATAACCTCTTAAGCCCGTGCAGGAGAACATCCAATGGGTTTGGGTCCAATATGAGAAAGGTTAGCTAATATTCGTTACGAGAACCCCTTAAAATCAGTATAACAAATTTAAACTATGGGTTTCTTTTATCAAACTCCCCAGGTGTCATTTTAGACGTAAGGGCGCTCTGAGCGTTGAAGTAGATTTCAATATCGGGAAGCGGGGCCTGGTCAGAGCTTTTATTGCTGTTAGTGGCAGTGGAGGCATCAGACATCCTTGTGTATGTGTATGAGCGAGTGTCTTTGTTTTTCTGAATGATAAAGCGGAGCGAGATTGATGAAGCCAGACACGTGGTTAGTTCTACTCAGTACCAAAAGCGGCGAGGGGGTACTAATACGGAAGGGTAACGCCAAGAAGTGGCAGAGGAAATCCGGTACATAGGCATAGGTAACCTTGAAAGTACTGCTTATCCCATGCAATCTCGAGCTACTTGTATTTGTTCTAATGTTTGGAATTGAGGAGCAAGCCAGGCCCTCGTAACGAGCCCGGAACCGGACCGGAGAAAGAGCAACGTTGGAAAGCGCACTCCTAGGTACAGACAGAACCATAGAAGTGAAGATGGCATCACGAGTAGGCAAGACTCCAAGTTTAAAATCATCGAAATAAATTGAAAAGTAAACAACCTACGTGCACATTAATCACGTGCGTTATCCTAATGGGCTCTTGTAGACGCCAAGATATACTAGCATCACTAAGTAGGTCTTGGCCTTTCTCGTTGTTGTTCGTCCACATCATTTCATAATTCCACTCTCTGCGTATCATTTTCTTCGAGAAATTAGGAGGTAACAGGACTTATAACAAAATGCCAGGCGTCCGTAAGTTTCATTCCTTCTATCTCTGTCTACGTGGTACTCCCCTGGATGCTATTGATAACAGACTAACCCCACATGAAGCCCCCGACGCGTTCAAGCAGGTGAAGAAGGGTCTGAAGGCCTTGTTTCACCGACGATCGTCCTCCAAGAAGCCAAAGCCAGAAGAGTCCCAGTCAAAGCCAGAAGAGCCCCAGCCAAAGCCAGAGCCCCAGGTTGTCGCTGAGCCCGGGAATGCTCCCGTCAAGGCTGAGACCCATGGCAATGATGCTGATTCCGCCATTGTCGTGAAAGATACGCCTAATGAGCCTAAACACACTGATGTCCCACCAGTCGTGCAACAGACTTCAGCTGGCAAGTTCTCCCACGCTATGTAGCATAGCTCTTGTACTAATGCATCGATTGATATAGATTCCCCTGAGGCAGCCATCAAAGTGGATGAGCCCATCGAGGCCAAGGCCGAGACGAGCGCCAGCACCACTCAGGAACAGCCTGTTCAGCCGGTTCAGCCGGCTCAGCCGGCTCAGCCCGCTGCCCCCGCTGCCCCGACTGGTAAGGTTTCATCATCGCATCTTATATTGAAGCATAAATTCTGACTATGAGACAACAGGGGTGGCTAAGTAGAGTACCAAATGCTTAAAAGCTTGGGCGGTTTCTTCTTTTCTTTTGTCTCTCCATACCAAACCTCCCCCTTAATTTGTACTACTTGTTGACTTTCAAAGAGTTGGGATGTTATTCAGGCGCTGTGTATCAAAGCAACAGAACACCTTCATGGTGCCAAGGGGCTTAGTGTCATGAAAATTGCCAACGAAGCTGATTTTTAATTTGAGCTTTTTTAAGTATATTGTCGTTAGCGTCGTGTTTCTTTTAGATGTAATATGAAAGCCTCACTATTAGGGTGAGCAGCCCCTGTTATTCGTCTCCTAAGCCTCCGTGTCCACCATAGAAGTATCACCACCAGCTGCAGCTGCAGCTTTTTGATCTCGTGCCTTCTGACGACGCTTGAGCTGGCGCTCACGGTTCTGCCGTTTACGTTTCTCGGCTTCAGACTCCTTGGCCTTTTGTGCCACTGCAACTCGCTTGCGCAGCTGCAGACGCCTCTTCTTGCCGGGCTTCTTCCGGGTCTTCGGCGACTTGGTCGGGAGTGCACCCTCGACCACGTAGACCGGAACTTTAGAAGGTAGTTTCGTCTGGTGTCTTTTGAGATGCGTGACACGCCATGGACGTTCGCATCGAGGCTGAAATAATTTTAGTTCAGGTCTAATAAGTTCGAGTCAAGCTCAAGCTTGATGTAGCTTACCCATGCTTGCGAGGCCCATGCCATGATATCTTCGCCAGTCACTGCCATGTCTTCAAATTCTTGAATTCTTTTTGCTTGTAGTGCTTGGTACGTCGGTTCTTTCATTTCATATAGTGTCGGGTTGGAGAAATAGTACTGCCATCCGCGAAATGGCTTGATGAACCGCCCCTCTGAGGGATTCAACGGCGACGGGGACCGTAATCTGATGCGAAGCTTCTGAGTTACTTCATTGTCATTGGTTGTTTGATCAACTTTCTTTTTATCGACGATCTGTTCTGCAGACTCTTTCGATTTCGTTGGCGCGCTGAACAGCCGGAACTCGAATTCCTGCTCCCCATCTTCATCCTCAGCTTCAGCTAGTGGTACTGTCTCTTGAGTTTCATTCCCATCTGCATTGATATTGTAGAGTCCATCTAGATCAAATAGTTTCCCCAGACGGGCGCGAGCATCTTGTAGTTCAGATTCGTCGACTGGTGACGGCAATCGAGAGGTAGTGGATAATATCTCATCGCGGCCGATGCTAGAGGTAAGAATTAGTAATAGTCCTAGTAAGCCAGTTATGGTAGCATTGATCCAAGATACCTTTTCGCCGCAGCTTGATCGAACATGATGTGCGCAATGTTGTAGTTGAACGAAGTTCACTTGTCGATAAAAATCGCCTTAACTCCACGCACGTGCTTTGCGTTGACTAACTCCACGCATATTATATCATTGCGGCCACGCACTCATTGATCGTGATCAAATAGCATCGCACAGACTCCAGCCTCAACGCAACCTGCATCAGCAGATCGATAATTTTTTCCCTAAATCAACTCACTCCACACCAGCGCTATATCTCTTTCGCTCATTGTTCCCTCTTCATCTACACTCATTAGTCACTGAGAAATCCCTCATCGCCTTATCTAATCCTTACCTAGGGGTGCTTGGGTTCCACTACCCCCGTCAATTATTGGGCTGATATTAATGCCTCGTGCTGGTTGCATTGTGCTACTCCATTCCGAAGACTTGCCCTTGAAATCCATATAAATGGGTATATGTGCTTCATGCCTGGGCGGCAACCGCCAGGAGTCTCCCGAGGTGAGTTTAGTCTCTCTGCTGGGTTGAGTGACCAATGTTCGCGCATCACCTCGGTGTCATGCGCGAGGCGTGGATTACCCTTCGAAGAGATCAAAATCCTAACGACTTTCATATTCAGCCGGAGTCTTCGCGTCTGCTAGACGATGATCCCTATCAGGCCGGGTATGGCTACGGGGCGCTCAATCATGCGCAACAACAGAACCAACCAGATCCGGAATATGTGAGACGTGAAAGAGAGGCGCTGGATGCCATCTGCCAGCGAACATCCGAGTAGGTCCCAGAGATCAATACCTTGATATTTTCACCTTTATTTAGAGTACTTTCTAATCCTATCGCGCTTGCTTGAACAGTTCCGTCATCGATATCTGGTCCCTTCAACCACAGCCCCATCTCCAACCTCAAGCTACTCTCCAAAAATCTCCAAAGACAGACCAGACCCAACAGCCTGTCACAGTATCTGAAGGTCAGACCAGTCGTCCTACCTCTGATGGGGCTGTACCTAAGCACTGGGGTGAAGTCGTCGTCAACCCAAAACGGTCCCGTCCTGATATGAAGGCGAGAACACCAGCCCAAGATGTCTTTGGAGTTCTGAAGGTCAACTGATTCAGATATCATTTCCTTGGAAAATCTCCGGCATGATAACAATGGTCAACAACAAAGGGCGGAAAACAAACTATTACCGGGCAATCACAAATGCGCCCTTCCCTCAACCTCGGCTTTATTGAGGTCATCTCTTACAACCTTTATCATTTTATCAATTTAACCTTACCTCTTCTCTTACTCGATATCATTTTCTTCTTTTCCATCGATCGCAGGTCGACTGTCTCGCTCGCACATATACACTCACTCTGTCTCTCTTACACTGTTAATACCCTTGTTGCAGGCCTACGTCAACATCTCCATACTGAGACTCTTTCCTATTTGTTGCTTCTTTTACTCGATGCCTGTCAGCAGGGCTGACCTTCCCTATCTGCACTATCTTTGATTTAGATGTCTCTTCACTACAGGCGATTGTTTAGCTTGGATATTTCTATTCCTTACGTCGTATGTAAATGTGTAAATTCAGTGGTAAACTTATTTATTGCATGATCCTTTAGTATTTTTCCAATATTTATAGTAAATCATATTGTCCTTTACTCCGGCTGGGTATGGAACTCCAGTAGCCCTGGACCAATATGTGGACATGCGGCCTTCTTACTTATCTGCGTACTCCATCCTTGAATTCAACTATTAGCCGGGGTAATTGCAAACCAGAGAAATAGAATGAAGTGAAATTTGTTCCTGATAATGTATTAATCACGCACCATGGTTAAGAAACGCCCGCTAGTCCAAGTCCAATGGGTGGCGAAGATACAAGGAATATTAAAAGGGGAAAGATGCAATATGTTCGAACAAATCCGCATTCAGACCAAAGTGAGATGGAAATGATGCTTTCACACATCATCCATGGTTCCAGCGGGCTCTTCAGCGTCAGAGTCATAGCTACCAGCTGAGCTGAGCTCGTCGTCGTCTTCAGTGTCCTCGCCTGCCTCATCAACAGCCTCTTTGCTTGCGTATCGGGCAACATATTCTATGAGTAACAATGAGACCAAGTTATGAGCGATCGGATGACCAGAGAACATACCTTTAACCTTTGCCTCGTACGCTTTAGGTTCCCGCATCATCAAGGCTGCGGCCTCGCCATTGAGTGGGTCCGATGGGTTGGGATAGCGGAGCAACTGTGGAAGAAAGACTTCGAAGATGTTAATCATGTCATACATGGGAGACCATGTCTGATTAATCACATCGAGGCAAACGGATCCGGAGCTATAGAAGGAATCAGTTGAAAGAAAAATGAGGAGAGTACGTCAGAAACCCACAGTTCGTCGATATTTGGATGGAATATCCGGTTGACAAATCCAATACTGGGGCTCTTGTATGGATACTGGTCAGGGAGTTCGACATGGATCTTCCAGAGGCCACCGATAAAAGGTGCTATATGTAGTTAGTATACTTCTGTCAACATTTTGGGAAAGTGATGACTTTACATACTTTCTTCTGGGCCTTTAAACCGAACATAGAATTCTTGCCTGAGTTTGAAATTCCCGGTTAGATAATCTTCCTGGTTTGTATTTTGCAAAAGGATGGAGAATACACTGATATCAGATTAGCACGTGGGGGCTTTTTTCATCCTTGATGAAGTTTTCTCACTGTTATCGTTGACCAAGGTCACCTCATAGTCACTCATGAGCCTAGAATATTTCATTAGGAACGTTTCAACCACTAAGCACTGATTTGAGATGAATGGGTCATCGAATTGCCAAGTTCATAGAAGATATTGGGTATATGGAGGGAATTGGTATTCATACATCCTAGATCAACTGTCAGCATAATTCCTCACCAAAGAACAATATTAGATTCGTACTTCATGACCTAACCAAGAAAAAGCCCTTGTTAGCATATGTAGGGACCTTGGGACTGAGTACTCTTATACTTCACGCACTTACATCTGTTTCAATTCTGCGCTTTGGGCTGGACATAATGGCAGTATTGGTTGGAAGATGTGGCTAGGAATGTAGATGGGGCTAGGTAACTTGGAGGTTTGTATGAGGTTACTGGTGATCAGTTACCCCCCAAAGCGGAGCGGGGAAGTAGCACGCGAGGCAATCAAATAGAGTGGAGGGGTGGTGAAGGAACGTCGTGCGTTCCGAAGGGAGGAATATCGGTAAGGAAAAGTGAAATAACTTGATATCAGGAGAATTTATAAGGACGGAAGAAGCATGTAAATGAGCAAATGTATTTATCGTTGAAGAGCGCCTGATGGGCAGGGAGATGACTCAGCGACGGTCCGATGCATCATCCACTAACTATGGTACAGGGTGCTAGGGATGTAGTCGGGACTTTCATCACGCAATTGATACATGGATCCTGATCTGCCGATATTATTTTACAGAGACAAAAACTTCAAGAAATGATTATGGGTCTCTGATCGACTGCCTTTCATCATATTGTATTCACTTTTCACTCATTCTGCTTTGTATAATGATGCATGGATACTAATACGGTAATACAACTATGACTACTATCAATGATCTCTACGACGAGATGAAGAGAGCAATCGAAATTGAAAGACAAACAGACAGAGGTAGTAAGAGCATAGAAGAGAATAGCTCATATGCATTGCTTGAATATTCTAGTATTTTTCTAGACTTCCTGTAACTTCAGAGAAACAATTCCACATAGGACAGAAAAGCCACTCTGCGGCCAGAAAATTTGGTGAGGCATGAAGTTCACTTCATGAAGACCCAAATTCCAAGTAAAATTAATCGTAAATCGGGTGAAAGCCTGTTCAGCCAAACGCTGGTGTCATTGAATAAGCAACAATCAACACATCATCCGTTTTGAAGCACTGCAAATATTGTTAGACATGCAATCGTTTCACAAACAAAGGATGAACATACCCTCCACAGACCACCAACACCCTCATCCAGGCCAGGTGCAAAGACACTGTTTACATAGCAAAAGACCGAGTCTGTCTCCTTGCAGTCTAGCTTCTTCCTCAAGAACTTGACAACAGTCTCAAACTTTTGCGATGCGCTGATCTTGAAGACTCTATTCTTGAGAATTGCAGCTGATGGCAGAGGTTGGAAACGGACTGTGACTGAAAATGGAGTTAGTTTTGAGATACTAGCCACATAGCATAGATTTGGACCGTCTTTATGCATTCGATTGCAGCAAACGACAAGGCCAGGGATTTTGCTTGGAGCCTGATGGGACTTTATTGGAGTATACCTTTGCGATCATCAATAGCTTCAACGTCAGCTAGTGCCTGGTGAGCGTCGCGGGGTAGCCCACTTAGCATCACCGATGCGGACATATTCATCGGCAGATCTGCTCCATGCTCATCATCTGGAATAGGTGTATCTGGACTTGGTGATGCTGAGTCTTGACCCGAAGTGGGGTTATAGCTGAGAGGTTGAGACCCAGGGGAGATAGCGGGGGAGCCACTCTCTGACAGAGACGTTGCATCCATTTTAAAAGAGGCTTGAACTGGTGAGACAGAACTGTGGAGTAAATCTGACAAGGCACAGCTGTAGAAAACTATCGGGAGTATTGTTGATTAGAAGGGTTTTAGCTGGCACCTGCAATATCAAGCATGGCAGCATTCTGGGTCCGGTATGAGCTTCAATTCCAGTACAAATGTAGCCTCTACAACGCCATGTGTAAATCTGAGTCTTCCAAAGTTTGGAGCTACCACCTATGCTGAGCTATAAGAACCAGATACCGCTTTTCAATTCGTAATGCAGGAGAATATTCAATCGACAAGTCATGCATCACTTTAGGACCCCGCTCTTACCGCCTTCGGAGTTAACGGGAGTATAGAATATGCAGGGCAGAAATTATATTTTGTCAGTCGCATGTTCAATTGATTTCACTAGTACTACTGCAAAAACATACAAATAAGAGACGAGACAAGACCATGTTAGTCATGGCTGTCTAGAAACAAGCCTGCACATGCAGACAGAACAGATGAAAAAAAAGATGTAAATACACGGGCAAGGAGGCCCGAAAAGGCTTGAGAGATGAGATCATGTAACAGGATGCAGATGCAAACGCTATGCACTCATCCTCTTTGCAGCTGTGGTTAACCGTCTGTTATGCCATCCAGGTTCCACAATCCAAAGCATGCCCACCTTCTATAATTGAAACTTGTTTTGAAATTTTTTTTGCTTCCACCACTTGGTCATCCGAAACAGGGGAAAGAGATATTTGGGAATTCGTTGTGGAAAAATTCCCTTGACTGCCGATGTGAAGCCATGGTCCTGATGTAAACTTGGTAAAAATTACAAAGAAAAAGTGCAAATGAGAAAGGGAATGGTATGAAACGAGTGGACAACCTCGACCAAGGGAGGTTAAGAGTAGGGTGCAAGATCGGTGCAAGATGCTGTCGATTTCGAGCATTACTGATGCAAGGTGAAAAAAAAAAAAAAAAAAAAAATAGAAACTCCACAAATGCAAAAATCGATATCAGGGGTATGGATATGCGATTCAAAGTTTATCATTCCCAAGGGTGACGCATGAAGGTTGAGAATTGAGGCACAGTCTTTTGACACAATAATGGAAAATGGCAAGTCCCAACAGACAAGGAAGCACAAATGGGCAACATCATGTCGACGTAATGCGCAAAGGTGAAATCATACAGTTGATTGTGCTCAGATCATTCCTTGACTGGTCGTTGAAGCTCGTACAACAAGGTATCGAGCTCGTACCAGTTGGCAAGGTTCTGGGCAAACCGACGATGTTTTCGTGTTATGGTGTGCTCTTCGAAGTCATCGAATTTATCCCGACAGTTCTCGCAGTAGCCTGGCTTTGGGTCTCGGCGACGTTCAGTCTTTTTCTTCTGTCCTTCTTTTTGTTCATCTCGTGGTCGCTTGGTGGGTTGCTTCGTGGTGCCCACGACAACAGGACCCCTCTTGGCATAAAAAATCATATCATCATTCTTTGATGTATTTTTTTGCTCAAGGCCATTGCCTGTGGAGGGTCGGCTCATAGATTCAGCGGCAGGACGTTGAGGAGCAGCCATCGATCCAGCTGCAAAGTTAGCAGTGCCCTTCTCGAGAACTTTTCTCTTTAGGCCATGGACCTCTTTGCTAAGACCTGCTCTAGCACCTGGGGTGGCGGCAGTGGATGAGATCATCTGAGACTGAATGGCAGATGTCACATTAGAAGCTTGAACACCCGATGCTGCAGGCTCCTGGCCTGTGAAAAATTGACCTGTACGTGGGTAGTGAGGAGGAATGAAGCTCTCAGAGCTCTTGCGTTCACGATTTTCCTCAGCTGGAGCCTTTACTGTCCGTTCAGCTGGAATGGGAGGCTGTGCAGCCTGTGTAGTCTTGGTCTCCTCAGCTTTGACTTCAACTTTTGCTGTAGCGGCCGTGACGGGGTTTGTCCGGGAGACGGTCCGATTTTTCAGGGCCTTTTTCTCCTTGTAAGCTTGACGCATGCGTTCTCGTTCATAATCCTTCCGGCTTGGAGGTTCCTCAATAAAAGGACACTTTCCCAGTTGCGCACTTCTAAATTGCGGCCAAATGCCTTCTTCCCGCTTAGCAACGCGAGGGTAGTCGCGAACCATGACTGGTTTCGTCTTTTCATTCATATCATGGATATAGATGAAAGGTCCCTTAAAAAAAGTCATCTCCATTGACGCCAGCGGATCACGATCTGAAGGTCCGTTCAATGCCTCCTGCCGAAGAACGCGTGATAAGGCGTTGTCCCCCTTTGGCAGTGGTACCACCGATCGTCTTGCTTCGAGACGTAGACTCATTGGGGTATGAAAGCTCGTTATCGTTGATTGTAAAGATCATACGCTGTAGCTTCTCCAATGCCCATATCTTCATTCCCATTTGTCTAGCACGCTGCAGGACATCCATGCTTCCCTGGTCTCGAGGGGCTCCATTCTTCAACGAAGCGTGTTTGTCAAGCAAGGAAGGGTTCACTGTTTGCATATGAGCATCACCATTAGCGACATCGGCATCCCCCTCGGTCGGGGCGGTAGTTTTGATCTCAGGCGGGATGGGACGAGAAGTAACGACATGGGTGACGACCCGAGAGAAGAATTTCTCCTCACGCTGTATATATTCATTAGCTAAAATCAAGACAATATTTGACAAGAGTCGATCGACTTTCTTCATATTTTTAAACTATGTGAAAGAATTTTGAGCAGGGCATAATTCAACAGGGGAAACTTACAGCTCCAAGGGAGGTGATCTGTCGAGAAAGCTTTCGATGGACATCTTCTGGTAGAGCATCACAGTAAAAGACGAACGAGGGAAAGGCTTTGCGGTAATGACGTTGCCATTGACGAATTGTATCCATTGATTCCGCAGATGCTTTCTCAGTCTTACTTTTTGCTTGTAACTGTCGATCCTTCTCTCTGGCAGCCCATAGCTTTTTCTCGAAGGCAGTAGGCACACCATTTTTGCTCTGACGATGTGCAAAGAGACTAGACTCAATGCCTTGCTGGATAGTCGACTTGCCTCGGGTAGAAGCCCGAGAATCCTGCTCCGCCGCATCCATGACTTGTTTTTTTGGAGGTGGTTGGCCATAAGGAATCTCCATTTGGGTCGATCTCACACGCTTGGCTGGAATGATACCGGATCGATGGGGTGAATTGGTGGCATTCGGTACATTGGCTAGTGGGCGGCGAGTCGACATATTCAGAGAAGTCTGGGGGGACGGCGGAATGAATACAGCAGCCATATGGGAGTAGTGTCTCGTGATTAATGAGCTGAGTTTTATGAGAAGATGAGACAAAAATGAGTGGAGGGGTCGAGGTAGGCCACGCGACGTGCTACACGTCTTGCAGGGCTTAAACAAGGTCACAACTAAAGCATTGCAATAAAGTAGAGAATTTCCTAGGGGTGATGAGAGCAGGCCAAATTAGACTCTGGAAAAGGCAGGGTTGTGTGGGGAGTAAGGGAGTGTTGGTGTTTGGTAAATTGGAGGAGATGAAGGGTCGAAGGGCAAAGTCGTGTGGTGGAGCCGTGCTCCGTTTGTTGTGAGCGTGCGCCAGACAACCGACGTCGCGCGAAGCATGAACATCAACAACTACATTCTTTTGTCGCGTCAAATAAACTTAACTTTTGTATTTATTTTATTTTGATCCTTTAATTTAATTTTGGTACTCAAGATATTTTATAGTTTTCGTATGTTATTATGCTATCAGCCACCCAGCCACAAACGGTTCCAACGTTCCTACTCCGTATACTCGGATAATCAACAACAAAACGGGTTGAATGTTATACATTGGTTTGAAGGGTATTTTGACCACAACTGTACATTTAAGCCCTTACTATTCTACACTTGACTTCTTAGCCACGCAGTGCCTCGATATCATCGACCTGAATATAGGTTAGCATCTAAATGGGAGATAAGTATTCTGAAACCTACCTCCTTGACAGCTTCAGGGGACAGGACAATCGGGTGTTCGTCTCCAATGCACACGGAATCTTCAATACGAATTCCAATCCCCCGGAAATGAGCGGGCCATCGCTCATCGTTAGGCACGTAGATACCACTGTGGACTAATCAGCTTGTGTGGGGCAAAACATGAGGCTATCGACACGCACGGTTCAATAGTAATACACTGTCCAGCCTTGAGGTTGTATCCTCGGGAATATCCAGCACAGTCATGAACATCAAGACCAATATAATGGCCCACGTGGTGTGGGAAAAGAATATTCATTGCCTGGGTATGGTCAGCAACAATTCCCATCTCATACAATATTCTGGATCGTACATTTCCAGACAAATCGAAGCCAAGTTGCTTAAGCTGGTCCTTCAATCCGTTCTCGGCGATGCCGTGTAGTTTATCCAGTGACAAATTTGCGGTTTCACGGCAGAGGGCGAGGCAGGTCCGATGTACATTGAGAACAGCATTGTACAAATCGCGCTGAGGATCCGAGAATTTGCCATTTACTGGCCAAGTTCTTGTAATATCGGAGATATAACCACCAAGCTCCTATTTCTTTTGTTAATTCTAGGCCTTAGGGAAAGGTTTTCAGTAGTAAAGAATCAGCTTACACCTCCACCATCCACGAGAACCAAATCCCCGTCCCTAATAGTTTTGTCAGTTACACTCAATATATCGAAGTCGTTGTACTTACCGAAGAGCATCATCATTTCTAGTATAGTGGATACTCAGGGCGTTCTAGATATATTAGTTCCTTCGCTCTCGATGAGTGATGAGACCTCGGGATCAATTACCTGGCCACCCGCCACAACAGGGACAAAAGCACTACCATCACAGCCATTCAGCTTGAAGTTGTACTCGAGGAATGATGAAAGCTGTTTCTCCAGATCGAATGTTTGTCGCATGGAGTCTGTAAATGCTCTTCCAGACGCTTGCCCCAGCTGACGCAAGTGTACAACCTCGTTCTCACTCTTGAACACTCTCATTCCATTCAGGATAGACTTCAGCGGCTTCACTTTGCGGTGGTCAATATATTTCTTCAGCCTCTCCGATGCAACCGTCGGTCCGTATAGATATCGATGCAATGACGATCGCGCGCCGACAGAGGGAATATCCGAATAAATTTCCGTAGCTCCAGCTACTATCTTGGGTAAGATGTCTCCGATACTTTCGATGTTTCCTGTCTTTCGGGATGTCAGTTACACATTCTGAGCTTGAGAAAGGACACAAACTTCATCTGCGTTGAAGACATCGGTGGCCGCTTGAGTACCAGACCGGGCACCGTCCCAAAGTTCTGCCTTGGAATCCTTTTCTCGCACATATAGGTGGAAGATGTGATTGTCACCAGATCCATCGTTCGCAATAATCGCAAGTGCATTTGGTTCTTTGAATCCTATAGAATCAAACAATCAGCTCAATTCCAGAGGAAATATCTCCATGAAGCACGAACCCGTCAAGTAGAGAAAGTTGGAATCTTGACGGTACTCATGGAAGATTCCTGGAGCATGGTATGTCACTTCAGAAGCAGCCAAAATAGCTACAGCTCCTACGGGAAGCTTGTTGGCCAAACGGGATCGGCGCTGGGCATATTCGAGAGCGGTGATACCGGGTGTAACTAGATTTTAGCAACTCAGTAAAGACATCTCTAGTATTATAGTCAAATATCACATACGTTCTCCAGGGCTGAGGATATGAGGGTGTGTCTCATGCAATGGTTGTCCGAATTTGAGCTCCGATGCCGCAACAGAGGAAGCGTATGTCCGACGAGGGTTATAAAGGCAAGGGCGTATTGAACGGGTGACTGCACGTGGGGCTGCACGCAGCTGCAACGTGCATTGTCTGAAAATTGACCTGTATTTGGCCATACTCATCCAAACAGCAAAATATTGAACGTGGATTAATTCCGCCGTTGTTTTAAGTCCGAGCGGTACTAGTACAAGGCCACCGCTTGACCGCTTGATATACCGCTTTCAACTCTTAGTGTACTGCCGCTTCTTAGCGGTGTGTAGGAGGAGAACTTAAAATGGGCATATATGCCATAAATGGGCTAATATTATCGTAACGGGAACAATGGTCAGGCAACAAACAACAGAGGAAATAAGCAAGGCCCCTGCACTAAGGACGCCATACTTTCAAAGTAGACCACCCACTTTTCTTTTTTTACTAAACAGCTTTAATTAGGATATTATTAGGTTATTTCCGTTTTGATAAAAATTTGAGGTTAGCGTTCGAAACCGACTACGCGCTTTTTCTTTTTTATACTTCTCGACCTCCGAAAGCGGTACACTATGGCAGAATGAGTCCTTGTCAAAGTATCAAACTTGACGGATGGTTAAATAGGGTCATCACCTTGGAACTAAACCCTGCATTTTGGGGGCTAGATCACCTGATTCACCTCTAAGAGACTAAGATATCTATCTAGGTCCACTATTTCCTTGACTTTTTAATATCATTTTAATAGAGTTACGTGCATCTTAATCCATCTTCAAATGTCGATTCCAGCAAAACAGGCTGCCTTGTCGGTTCCACCTGTAGATCTCCTATCATTCAACGAATACTTGAAAGGCTGCCGTCGTATCATTGCCCTGCTAGGAGCTGGTATTTCTGCATCTTCAGGTCTGCCTACTTTTCGAGGTGCTGGAGGACTCTGGCGATCCTACGATGCAACCTCCCTAGCAACCCCGGAGGCGTTTACTGCCAACCCAGGACTTGTATGGCAATTCTACAGCTATCGCCGACATATGGCATTGAAAGCAGATCCCAACAGAGCACACTATGCATTGGCTGAGCTCTCGCGAAGGAACAAAAACTTTATAACTTTATCTCAGAATGTTGATGGTACTGAAATAACCGTTGCTTGCCCATACATATCCATGTTAATGTTTACCACCTAGGGCTTTCTCCACGAGCACATCACCCAGCAGAACAGTTGCATCTACTCCATGGGTCTCTTTTCGATGTCAAATGTACTTCCTTCTACTGTGACTACTCTCGGAAGAACGATTTCACCGATCCAATTGTCCCCGCATTGGATATTCGAACAGGATCGGGTTCAGCTTCATTGCAGCGAATATTGGGGCATGGGAGTGAAGTTGATATCTCTGATGCCAGCATTTCAATCCCCAAACTGACACCAAGTGACTTGCCCAAATGCCCCAAGTGCGACGGCCTTTTGAGACCTGGGGTAGTCTGGTTTGGAGAGGGTCTACCTTCTGACACACTTACTGCAGTTGATGACTGGATGAATGAGGCCCCAGTGGATCTTATTTTGGTCATCGGCACTAGTTCACGCGTATGGCCAGCCGCAGGATACGTTGATGATGCCAGAGAGAAGGGCGCTAGAGTTGCTGTGGTCAATATGGATCCAGATGACATCCCGGGTGGTAGCTTGGAAGAGGGAGATTGGTTCTTCCAAGGGGATGCAGGTGTCATAGTTCCCGAGCTCTTGAAAAGTATCATTGGGGAGATCTAGTAATCAACTTCAGCTTAGGTATCGATCTCGGCTCCTTCGCCGAGCACATATTCCAATGTTAAATTCATCCCAAAAAGCCCAAACCAGGGATTGAGTCAAGTTGCCATCGATCCAAAACTTGATAAGAAAATTAAAAGAATTAAATTAAATTATACACAGACCGTTAAGGATTAATATAAGACAGTAAAGTAGAGCTTCCAGGTTTGTCTCCTATTGCTGCCTAAGGCGACCACGCGTTGCTAAGGCAATCAGATCCAAACAAGCATAATCGATAACGTCGACCCGCCATTATTTTTCAACACCCCACTATTTGTCACTCGCTTCCTTCGATTTTCCATTAGGGAAGTTTTGATTTGAGGTAAATTAACTTCCTTGGCGTTTTATAACGCGATTCTGCTACTCAAATACCTGTCAATCGAAACCATCAATCCCCACTACACAACGTCAGGTGGAAGATTGCAATACTAACGACTAAAACGCAGGGACTTCATACTGTATCTTCAAAAGAGACCTCTCGTGTTGATCATCAGCTTGTCGTTTACCAGTATACTCAAAACTTTATCGAACTCGACTATATCTCAACCGCAGCCATGGCTAGAGAAAGTGACGCCCCGGGCGATTCCTTCACCCCAAGACGGCCGAAAGAAAACCCACAGGCTGCAGTATCCCAGCAACATGAATTTGGAAAACCTTCGCCGATGGGCCCTCAAAGGTCCAACCACCTTTTTAATATCCCCAAGCAAAATAAAGCACGCGTAGAACATCATCGTCCTCATCCATCACAAAATCCTCCAGTCCAACCAGGTGGGCCATCATCCCAGACTCAACGTCCGCAACCGCAGCCAGGTTATCAACCTGGAGCTCCCCAAAGCCAGCGCCCGCCGGTATCCCATCGAGGTGCTCCATTCGATCCTTTCAAACCTGTGAGACCATCTGCATATGGTGACAATAAGATAGATCTTACAGGAGCGACTCCTATCAAGCGTCCTGGAACTGTCACATGGGCCACCCCCAAAGCCCCAAGACAGTTGTTCACGTCCAAGCCCTCTAACGCGTCGAGAGCCTCGAGCAATATTCAAAACTTCATGAACCTCACAGAACACGAGAATTTTTCTACCCAACGGAGAGACCAGGTGTCAACCTTCGGTGTTTTAGACTACGATGGCTACGTTGATGTGGCCAAGACCAATGAAGAAATGAAAGCTTTGCTCGAGGGTGTCATCGAAGATGACGAGGAGGAAAAACCCCGATCAAAAAAGGGCAAGAAGAAGAATCAAAAGAAACAATCTAAACAGGCCAAACAATCACCTACAATTCCGGAAGTAATAGCCGACACAAGTGATGATCTTGATGATCTAGCTGCTCAGCTACAGGGAGTCACTGTCAGCGACACTAAACTAGAAGCATCGGAGGTTGGCGACAATACAAAAGTGACACCCGCGGAAATATCTGAAGTTGAGGCAAAAGATGAAATCAAAAACGGATCAGACGAAGAAGAAGAAGATGACGACGATGAAGACGAAGACGAAGACGATGCAACTATCGAAGGCTTGAAAGTCACTCTGCTTCCTCACCAAGTAGATGGCGTCCAATGGATGTCTGACAAAGAGACAGGCCCACGTAAAAAAGGAATCTTGCCCAAAGGCGGTATCCTCGCCGACGATATGGGTCTGGGTAAGACTGTCCAGGCTATTTCATTGATGCTCAAGAACCCCAAAACCGAAAACGACGAACACAGCGATAAAACCGAACCGGCTTCCAACAAAGATGATGCTAAGAATAATGGTGCGAAGAATGATGATGAGCCTGCTGTTCGTGTCAGCAAAACTACTCTCGTCATCGCCCCCTTAGCTCTCATCAAGCAATGGGAAGCTGAGATTGCTGACAAAGTTGAAAAGACTCATGCACTCCGTGTCTGTTTGTATCATGGGACCAACAGAGCGAAGGCTGCCGCTTCCTTGGACAGCTATGATGTTGTCATCACTACGTATGGAACTCTTACCTCGGAACACGGAGCGGTCGCAACTGCGAAGAAGAACAAGTCCGGTATCTTCTCGATGTACTGGTATCGAATCATCCTTGATGAAGCCCATACAATCAAGAACCGAAATGCCAAGGCGACCCAAGCAGCTTGTGCTTTGAATGCTAAGTACCGATGGTGTTTGACAGGAACACCACTGCAGAACAACCTCGACGAGCTGCAAAGTCTGATCAAATTCCTTCGTATCAAACCATACGATGACCTTGCCGCCTGGCGTGAGCAAATTAGTAAACCCATCGCGAATGGCAAAGGAGGCCTAGCCATTCAGCGTTTGCAGATCTACTTGAAAGCTTTCATGAAGCGCCGTACCAAGGATATCCTCAAGCTGAACAACGATCTCAAGCCTGATGATTCTGAAGACGATGGAAAGCCCAAGAAATCATCTCACGGGTTCCAGATTACCAAGCGTGAGGTCATTAAGGTGAATGCTGAATTCATGGATGGGGAGTTGAACTTCTATAAACGCCTTGAGCAACGCACCGAAAACAGGTTGGAGCAAATGATGGGTGGAGCTAAGGTGGACTATGCAGGTGCCTTGGTCCTGCTTTTGCGTCTTCGTCAAGCCTGCAACCACCCAGAACTCGTCAAAAGTGACTTGGCCGCAGACAAGGATGTTCTTTTGCAAAATGGAAATCCCAGCAGCCAACCGGCCGCATCAAAGCAGGACGACTTGGACAGTGTTGCCGACCTTTTCGGTGCCCTGAGTGTGTTGACAAAGAAGTGCGATGTGTGTCAAACTGAGCTCAGCCAGGATGAATCCAAGAACGGTGCCTCTCGTTGCAACGACTGCGAGGCCGATTTGAATACCAACTTCATGATCAAAGAAAAGAAGACACACAAGTCGAAGAAAGAACACAAGAAGAGTAACGAACGTGTTGAACCTGAAGTGACTCGTGCCTCACGAAAGAATAGACGAGTGATCCTGGACAGCGATGATGAGGACGAGGAGGATGGCGAGTGGATTGTCCCAGAGGGCCAACGAAATGTGCCTCAACTTGAATCCGATGATGAGGAAGCAGAAGGCGGCGGAGAGTGGCTCGATTCCGATGATTCAGAGACTGATGACGATTTTCCTGACTCACCATCTGGAAAGAGGAGCAAACCCATCGCTCTGAGCGGTTCAGAAGAAGATTCGGAGGAATCTGACTCCGGCGAGAATATTTACGGGAACGGCGATCTCACGGGCGAAGGAGGAGAGTTACCTTCAACCAAGATCCGTCACCTGATGAAGATCCTGGACGAGGAGGTTGCCGACTATAAGTTTATTGTTTTCTCAGTCTTCACGTCAATGCTCGATAAGATTGAGCCGTTCTTGAACAGCGCGAATATTGGATTTGCGCGGTATGATGGTGGCATGAGAAATGACCACCGCGAGGCCAGTCTTAACAAACTCAGAAACAACCGCGGCACTCGAGTATTGCTCTGCAGTCTACGCGCCGGTGCATTGGGTCTTAATTTGACCGCTGCTAGTCGCGTGGTCATCATGGAACCATTTTGGAATCCTGTAGGTCTAACACTTCGCTGAATATATGATATGAGAATACACTCTGACTTTTTGAGCAGTTCGTCGAAGAACAAGCTATCGACCGTGTCCACCGTCTCAATCAGACGATCGACGTGAAAATCTACAAAATGATTATCAAAAATACTGTGGAGGAGCGAATTGTCGATTTGCAGGATCGTAAACGGGAGCTAGCCAACGCGACCATCGAGGGCAAGGCTAGCGCCGGAAAGCTGACAATCCGTGATATGATGGCTCTGTTCGGCCATGATGCGGAGAGTAAATACATCGACACGCAAAAGGGCCTAGACTTGAAAAAGCGAGTGGGCCTATTGGAATCTGCCGAAGAGTCTACTTCTCCCTATCCCACACAGCCTGTTATGCGACCTGATACTCGTACTCAGGAACGTCGGCAGACAAGCCGATCTACACCCGAGGATCCTATTTACGGTCGACGTTGGTGAATGATTCATGAGATGACGAATCTATCTTAGACGGATCAGGGTAAGGATTTTGGACGTTTCTGAGCGTAGGCTCTGGATTTAGAGAATCACGACCAATTTCCAAATTTGTGGCGTTGAGAAACAATTACTTGTTTATCTTTTTATTCTATCACTTGTCTTATATTCCTAGCTATTTTCATCTTTCATTTTCCTGTTGAATCATATGAAATTCAATTGTTAACGTACTGGAATGGTGTCCACTGTGTGTACTTCATCCATCCATGACCCCTCTAGATACCTGAATATTGATCGTATGCATGTATAGACATACTGAGGCTGAGTTCGGGATATAAGCCCGCTAGTAATATCGTTAGAGGCGATGTAAGATATCTGGGTGTCCATGGATGTCAAGATTACGTGCTGACTGGAACGATGCTCCGATCCAAAGAAGCCATATCAGCATCGTCCCGATCACAACCACCCATCTTCAGTGGCGCTTGAATTATTTCCACATGTCGTCCATCAATTATAACAAACTATATAATATACGGTTCTCACTTGAGTTTTCTACGGAAAGCTCATATTTCAAGAGTGATATCAACCTCCAAGGTTCACCAACCCTCTTCTGCAATAAGCAAACAAGGCTATAGATATTCAATAATATACAACTAAGATCTAAAATGAAAACCTGACCGCCAACTCAGTAATCCCGAAGTCCTTCCCCACGATCTAGCGTGACAACCTTGGAACTATTGCCATCTTGATACTCACCCTTGGTTAATGTGGGCTAGGGCTCATTAAAAGAGTATTCCTAGTGGCGGCCCCTGGTGAACCGGAGCCATAGACCGTGACACCTTCATAGATGATTGGTCAACTTTCAACGGAGAAAATTAGAGAGGTCAGCTATTTCGTTCTCGAAGGCGAGATCTGGGGAAAGCATGGCCGTGAACTCGGTATTTTTCTAATGACTTTCAATACTATTCCTCTTTAGCGGTGGAAGTGATTCAGTTCAATCTCAATAATCCTGGATTAGTCACTCTTATTAATGTTCTGCCTCGATAAATGTCCACGACCATTTTTAGGTGAGTTAAACTGATATTACTGCTGTCATAGGTAGTACTAACTGGTGTTGATGGTAGAATCTACCTTCATTCAACAATCAAGGATCCAGATGGGCACCTCTATCCCAAGGGAAGTGGATCTAGCAGAATGCCGCAATTCTGATGAATGGAAGTTCATTTTCGAGGATCAAGATGGCGAAAGTCGAGGGCATGAGGCCCAAAGGACCAGGGATTCATCGATCCGAACCTCTTTTAGCCTCTGCTCAGGACTGACGTCCAACTCTGAGCTCAAACTTCCTCAGCTGAGTGATAATATTGTGGAGAGATTGTTTCCAGTCCGATCAGTCATTTCGTTCGATTCCAAGTCATCAGCGCTTCATACCCCTCCTCTTGATAAGCTACAGAGTCCAACATCGCCAATTCTAGGAGCCCACCAGAAAAAGAAATTGGCAGGTGACAAATCTGAAGTGTCAGAAGAGATATTAACTGTGAAATCATCGAAAACATATGGCGATGAACGAGCGATACCTAAACGTCCAGCGTATAGTACTCGCATGGACCTCCCCAAGAGAAAGTTCTCTGGATCATCCTCATCCTCAGTGCTACCAACTCTGCATAATCTCACTCCGTTTCTCAATAAGTCGCATCATCCCGTGGATGAGACATGTGAAGTTTCAAATCTCGATGGACAGTTACGGGACACGATAAATGAAGGGAGAAGCCTTTTGTCAACGAACATCTTGAATCAAGGTTTGGGGCCTTCGAAAGAATATGAAGGCCTGGCCATTCAGCCACTCGGTGTACTGCTGGTTATCTGTGAGTCTGAAAAGAACCTCACCGTCCAGATTGCCAGCGACAATTCAGAGGAGATATTGGGGTATTCATGTGACGAACTGTTTGAGCTGAAGTCCATATGCAACATCTTGGACCCAGCGCACAGAGCCATCTTTAGATCTCATGCAAAGGTCGTCCTTAGTGATGACTTCGACCTTGAACTTTGCGGCCCGGAGGTCTTTTCTCTCTCTATACCAGCTCCTGGTGTGGGTTCCAGAGGCATGTGGTGTACGATGCACACCAACAAGAGGAATCGAATCTATGTCATTTGCGAACTGGAGCCTGACAATCATCTACCTCCATTATCTGACCAGAGCTTCCAATATTACCCGTGCATCAAAGATAATGTTCAAGTGTCAGTGGACACAGCACGGAACACAAAACCATTGGAGTCAGAGCTCTTGAATGCGCTCCCTTGTATCCTGCAGCAAATATCAAGTGTCCAATCACTTGAAGCACTGATTCAACACAGTGTTTCCAGCTTAAGACAGCTTACTGGGTTCGACAAAGTCAATATGTACCATTTTGACAGCGATTGCAATGGCATTGTTATTGCAGGTTCGATAAACCCATCTTTTGACATAGAGTCCTGCGAGGGTATTCAATTTGAGGAACTGTCGTTTCCTCCAAGTACGAAGAAAAAATATCTCCGAAGCAGCGTCGCGTTCTCCTATCGCAAAAGCAGAGGTACAGCAAGGCTTGCCTTTCGAGAAAATACTAGCAACATAGGGTTAGACTTATCTCACTGCTACCTTCCCGTGGCATCGGATTCCTTGAAGTATCATACTGGATCTCGGGTCTATGCCTACATGTCAATTGGAATAACCGTTTTCGGGAAACTCTGGGGCCTGATATCTTGCTTATCATTCACCGAAAGTTTCAGACTACATCCTCCTGTTCAACGGGTGTGTTGGCTCTTGGGTAATACTATCTCGAGTAACATTGAGAGATTATCCTACACGTTGCCTTCCCAAGTTCCAAAAAAAGGCAGTTTTATTGGCGAGGTACAGTTCAAAACACCTTACAGTGATCTTCTGGGACTTTTTAGGGCGGACTATGCCGTAGCTTCTGTGTTAGATGAGACCAAGATTCTAGGAGAACCAACAGACTCACAAGAAGCTCTGGCTATGCTGGAGTATCTGCGGGCGAAGAAGCCATCCATAGTCTTATGGTCCTCGGACATTGTCTCTGATTTTGAAGACCTTGATTACTCGCCTGGGTTTCAGCATCTTGCTGGTTTCCTCTTTGTTCCCCTTTCGACGGATGGATCAGACTTCATCGTTTTCTTTCGAAGTGACTTCAGTGCTGAGGGATTCCAAACGGATCGACAAACTGAATGGTCTGCGGCTGAATTCGGGAAGGCTTCAATTCTGCCTTTGCTTTATCGAACATTCACAGAAGCATGGCAAGAAAAAGAAGCCAAGAGACAGAGCAACCAACTTATGCGATTACTTCTCACAAACGCAGCCCATGAATTCCGCACACCTCTGAACGCGATTATCAACTATCTTGAAATCGAACTGGATGGAAATCTCAATCAAGAAACCAGGGAGAATCTTTCAAGGTCGCACTCGGCCTCCAAGTCTCTTGTTTACATTATCAATGATCTCCTTGATCTTACGAATGCAGAGAACGGCCAAAGTCTGATGAAAGAGGAAGCTTTCAGTCTCTCGGAAACTCTTCGTGAAGCAACTGATATCTTTTGCGAGGAAGCCCGGCAGAAGGAAGTCTGTCTGCAAGCTGTGCAACGTTCCCCACTGCCCCAAGTTCTTGGAGACCAACGACGTGTGCGCCAGGTGATAACAAATCTGATCGGTAATGCCGTGCAGTATACATCAAATGGAGCTGTCACCATTGTATCTCGTACTTTACTTGATCATTGGGAGCCCGGACACATCGTCGTCGAAGTAGCAATCCATGATACCGGCTCAGGTATGTCCCACGAGGCGGTTGAGACGTTGTTTTGCGAACTAGAGCAGGTATCCAACAAGGGACATGTACAAGACACCAACAGTTACAAGGACAGTTCTTACCCTTCGAGTTTGGAGACTGGCAGTGTTCTTGGATTGGGCCTTGCGTTGGTCGCTCGAATTGTCAGGAACATGGACGGACAGCTCAGTCTGAGATCAGAGGAAGGAAAGGGGAGCTGCTTCAAGCTCAGACTCAAGTTTCCAACCTTATCTCACGATGAGATGTCGGTACACTCCTTCAATGATTGGGATTCAAAATCGAGTGGAGTTTCACGTGATACGCTGTCATATAAGAATGAAAGCCCGGAGAAAAATGTCGACATTGCTTACCATTTTGATGATATCACTTTATCAGAATCTGGTCAATGGCAAGAAAGCAACTTGTTTGTAAATGTTCATCACCTCGACTGCAAAAACGAAGACTCAACAAACTTGATTACAGCCAACCCTCTAAAAAGCACTGAATCTCAGCGATCAGGTAACCGAGATCGACTCAATATCCTCGTTGCCGAAGATGATCCTATAAACAGCTCTATTGTGCGAAAGAGACTAGAAAAGCTCGGCTATTCTGTGTTTATGACTAGCAATGGCAAGGAATGCGCTGCCAAATATCGAGAAAGCCCAAAAGCTTTCGATGTAGTGATGATGGACCTTCAGGTATCATATTCTGTTCAAATGTCCATTTCCAAAGACTAACCTCTTCCAGATGCCCATTGTCGACGGCCTGAGTGCCACCAGGATGATCCGTGAGTATGAGCTACAAATTTTGAAACAGCCGAAATTGTTTCAAATTGAGCCCGGCCATCGAATAGCTGTTTTCGCTGTATCAGCATCATTGATGGAAAAACACTGGCCGATATACGTGGATGTTGGTTTTGATGGGTGGATTACAAAACCTATTGATTTTCAGCGTTTCCATTCACTTCTCAGAGGAGTCAGATCCACTGAACATCAAAGAACATGTGCCTATCAACCCGGAATGTGGGAGCATGGGGGTTGGTTCGAAGGCTGGCAGGCGACAAGCGAAAAAAGTAATGTTGGATAAGGAAAAGTTGCTGATCATTTTGACCAATTGTCCATGCAATATTGTACAGAGAGAGATATATATATGTCATTAGAAGGAGGAAATATTGAAAGAACATGATCAATAGACCTCCGATAGTCCCGAGAAATCGGGCACTGTATCGCCGCATTTGAAAGTTCGCGTGTATGCTTTACTAGGCATGAACCCATTCTTCCAGGCGGTTCGATAACTCCACTGGGCAGCCGATTCTGTACGCCAGGTCCAGTAGAACCAGCCCATGGCAGTCTCGAAGACGGACATTTGCGCTTCGGCATAAGTCAGCAGCCACTTCTTGTAAGTGGATGAGTAGGTTGATACATCTGCAGTAACATCATCACAGCTGCATGTCTTAGCGTCTGCTGTCGGGCAGTATTGAGTCGTGGAACTTGTGTCGTAAGTTCCTTCCCAGCGCGTACCTCGGCCAACATTGTTGAGGTATTTGCCGCAATCTGTATCAGCTTGTGACCATTCACCACAAATTGTAGGCCCCCAGCTAGAAAAATATTTTAGTTTTTGTACGATAAATATCAGCAGATCTACTTACCCATTCGTTGTGCTATTGATAGCCTCGATCATTGTGTACCAGCTGCTGCAAATCAGCTCGATTTTTCGAGTATGGTTCAAGACGATTTCTCCCGTGTTGAAAGTCGTGTACTGGTGCGTGTCCAGATACATGTTATCTGGATGATCCTTGAACATTGTGTCCCATTTGTCAAGATTGAGGAAGCCATCATGAAAGATGACTGTAGAGTTGAGACCATTGCTACGGACAAGCTCCGTTGCGTCATGGGTCCAGTTAAGAACCTTTTCAGTGGGCAGTGAGAGCATGAGGGGTTCATTAGCAAGTCCGTACATCGTCACGATGTTTTTGTATCGGTCCTGAGAGAAAAAAGTTGAAAGTTGATCATGGATTGCGAGGGACCGATTGCGGTTGAGGTCCCCATCTGTTCCATTTAGCCAGGCAATCTTGCCCAGGCGACCGCTGTGATTCCATCCATTTTGACTGCCTGGAAGTCCGTGGAGGTCGAGATTGACACGTAGTCCGTACTTGCGACACCATTCGATTGCACGAAGGAGATAGCGCCAGGATACCTTGGGCAGGTAAGGGTCCCCGTCATATGTTGTGACTGCCCAGTACGAATACTGAAGACGAACGTGGTCTAGCCCGGCATCTCTGATCTCAGCAAAATCTGATTCGGAGTAAAACTCGGAGTAGTGCTTTTCAATAGTCGTGTTCAACTTATCTCCCAGCTTCTCGCTGAGCGTCCATTCATCAATAATACCTTCATCACTTGAGTAGACATCGAATAGAGATGGCATAATCCAGGGCTCGATCGAAAGCCAACCGCCAATGTTGACGCCACGAATAGGCTGCGAACCATATGGAAATGATTCATTCAAAGGTGGAACGTTACTGTTTGCTCTGGCAGAGTCATCCCATGATGAATTGAGGCCCATGATATACAGTCCACCAATTGTCGCGTTGGTAAATGTGACATTGAAACCCTCTGTGTCGTACCAAGTGTATGGATCTATTACAGTTCCCGCTGCATAAGACTGGAAGATTACAAGTTAGAATCACCGTTTGATTTGGTTGCGTTGCATTTGACTCACTGGGATACTCGCACGACTAATGCTGTCCAAATTGTTATTAGAAGGGCTGGAAGATGTTGAAACGATTGAACTCTCACTAGAGCTTGAGTTGTTCTTTTTGTGAGAGGTGAGAAGTACGACGGGGACTATGATAGCAATTGACAGTAACACTGCTAGTATAGCACCAACAACGATTCGTTTCTTCCTGGACCAATTTGCCCAGAATTTCCAGAAAGGTCTTGTTCCGTCAACAGAGCTTCCAGTCCAGCTGGTTTCATCTTTCCAATGCTCTTCCATAGCAGCACCGCCACCTCCACGACGGCGTACCTTGGTATCAGCACTCCGGCCTTCTTCTAGATATGCGCCAGACACAACTCTAGCGCCAGACTTATGCCTCGATCCGCCCTCCATCAGCTCGGCTCCGAGAACTGCAGTGTCAACACCTGCTAGCGCAGCCTTTTTGCGTTTTCGACGCTCTCTGCGAGCTTGGTCGCGGGCTCTTTGCTCCTCTTCCCAGTCCTCATGCTCCGGCTCATTAACCAGTCGAGCTAGTTCATCGGCACTAAGAAGATTAGCCCTACTATCTGCCGACTCCATACTTTGATGCTTTATTGAATTGACAGTAGGCTGCATTGCGTCTCTTTCGCGTTCACGGTCCAGCTCTCTCTCTCGCCGCCGCCGCTCTCGCCTTCTTTGGCGCCGAGCCTCTGCTTCTTCATCTTCATCTCTCGCGTGGCGATGTCGCTCCCTAGTCTCCACTACGGGACTTCCCTCATCCTCTGTAAGATCCCAAGGTCTGCGGTATCCTCCTCGGCGTTCAGTTCCACGTTCGCGCCCGCGATCACGGGTCCGATCTCGAGAATGACCACCATGGCGGTCGCGGCTGCGAGATTGTGACATGAGAAGCCAAGCTCAGAATCAGACCGGTAAAAAAAGGATATGCGGCTTACGCGCTGCAGCCAATCGTATCTTCTGCGTTTCAGCAAAGAATGCTCGGAGCCTCAGACTCAGGGTGAAGGAATGTGAATTACCCCGCGAAACGTGTTCGCAAGAGGAATGTGCACTTGTACTTGGGCGAGATTGAAATCGAAGATCTGGCTTTGTCGGCTCGCATCTGAGATAGATGAGTGGAATTAGTTAAGTGAGGAAGATCGCACTGAATTGTCCTCGAAGGGAGTGAGTGTTTGTTCGTGGCAGAACTTCGGCGTTTCTTGTTTTTGTTGTTTTTCTTTTCCCTAATCGCGTTAGTGTACCAGCAGGTCAACTAAATAAGTCCGTTGGTACTAAATCCTGCGAGACTGGTAGTTTGACAGGTTTGGTTAATCTGTTTTAAAGACGGCCCCCGATGTTGGTTCGTATAACAACTCATACTGGGATCGACATTGAATTGTTGCCGAGCAACAAATGGTGGACCTCGGTGTGGAGTGCTATACGTCATGAGATATTATTAGGAGAATTGGCACTAAGTTAAATAGTGGAAGTACTTTTGTTTTTAATCACTGAATAAAGTATTTCACCACTGAACGGGTCACACTACTGAACGGGTCAGTTTGACCCACTTATTTTTATGAATCCCAATAACTCCATTATTTACTATGTAATATAGTAAAAAAAAACTACTGAATGGGCCTACTAGGACAGGTTTCCCTCCTATGTCCAGGTGTCTTACATATCCCACACCGGCGTTGGGTTACAGGCGCCCTTACAGGCGCCTGGCCCTCTTGTAAATTGGCATCATTAAGTTTAGGGCCACCATTCGACGCGTCAACCAGGTCTAATCCCTCCTGAATTGTAAGACCCCCTACTACTGTTAATTGACGATTCGGACGTTCTTTTTGTTTTTTCTTTTTCTCATGGGCGGCGCGTAAATCTCTGTTTTCCAGGCGTAAGAGAGCATTCTCTTGATATAGGTAATTTGCACCCTTTACTATCTGGTCTAATGCTCTCTTAGATGGTGTTGGTGGCGTTCGAGATACAGTGCGTAATATAGCTTGGTGTTGACGTCGTAAATCTTTCTGCGTCCTAGGCGTCTTAGGTGTCCAATTTCGACTTGAATCGCTTCCTATAGAGGGTGGTGGTGGTGGTGTATCGACGCGCATAGTAAGCTTTTTTAACACCCTAGTAGGGTCAAGTGGCACGATTCCAGTTGCAGCAAACGCATTAGAAGCAGATGCAAATGCTTCAATACGCGCAGTAGGATATATCTCTAGGAAATCTCCTTTACTAATGTGGGAAAAACCAAGCTCTACTCTAGACTCAACCAGCCGAGAATAAGAGCGTTTTAACACCGCAAAACACCCAACATCAAGAGGTTGAAGAAGATGAGACGCATGCGCAGGCATACATAATGGTATAATATCATGCTCCTGGCAGATTTTGTCGAAATCAGGTGTTAAATGGCTACCATGGCCATCTAAGATCAGAAGGCGATACCGTCCTTTAGTACGAGCAGTAGCAGGTATAAAGAGCTTTTCAAGCCAACGGAGCCCTATTTGATTTGATGTCCAGCCATTAGGACTAATCTCAAGACGCCAATTAGGTGGTAAACCTAGATCAGGAGCAAACCAGCTCTGCATCATCACCTTACCCTTAAAGATAATACAGGGTGGAGGTGCGTAACCAGACGCGCCTAAACACTCTATCACAGTAACCCATTCCCGGTTACCAGGCTGTTTTTTTGCGCGTTTACCATAATAACCAGCTCTAGTAACCACTCTCGCGGTCGCACATCGTCCCATCGCAAACCCAGTCTCGTCAAAATTATAGATATCGTCGGTGGTGATACCATATTTTGCGATCGTGTTTTCAACCAGTTTGAACCAATTATTGATCACATTATAGTCCTCTTGACGCGCACGTGTAAAATCGCGCGGTGTTGAATAGGTCGTCTTAAGTTCAGGTAAACGCGTCGCAAACCTAGTAACCCAGTTTTTACCGATCGTAAGAGGAGGGTTGGTTCCGCGGTCGGCGAGTAGGATATTAGCCATTCTACCAACATCTTTAGTTCTAGGAGCACAGCCGCGATCATCTAGAGAGACGACCCATTGAAGTAATGAATCCTCTTCAGATTCAGTCAGTTTAGACTGCGGTGGGTGTGTTTCAAGACGAAATTGGACACCAGAATGGCGGCGTTGGAGGGTTGAAAATGGTATATTAAACATAGCTGCAGCTTTACGCATTGATGATATATCGCCATTCTTGTAAGCTTGGTAAGCTAATAAGACCCTATTCTCCTGATCCTGTTTGTCTTGGACATATAGAGCATTTAGGGGGGCATGGTGGGTAGTTGAAAATGGAAACACCAGACTGACGCGTAAAATTGGTGGGGTGACCCGTTCAGTAGTGTGACCCGTTCAGTGGTGAAATACTTTAGTATTGATTCATAGTTAAGTACTTAATAAAATTCTATATTCAGTTGTCATTGACTCTTGATTTACAAGGCATCAGTTTCATCCCAGAAAGAGAAAGACAGAACCTCCATAACCGATATAAAAAAAACTCCAGTCCAATCCAATCTAATTCAGAAAGACAACATAAACAAATGATCGTGTTCATCAGTGAGGGTATGAAAACTCCAAACGGTAAAGTAAAATGCAGCGTAAAGGATAACTGTAGAATCGAAAGAGATTGCCTACCATGGTTAGTTGAAGAAAATGAATAGATCTGTACAAGGACCAAGGACCAAATAAAAGAAAAAAAAAAAAAAAAAGCAGATCAATTGTCGCTGTGTCGAAGGGGAATCTAAAAGAATGAAGGAGAGGCCACTGGATCACATCCCCAAGTGCAGGGTGAGGCGTGGTGGGATACCGTGAACCGGGATTCTCGTCTAGGCGATATCCAGGTCGACTGAGGTAGATGGTTCGAAGGATGATAGGCAAGGATACCACGGTTCAACACATGTAGCCGCCTATCAGCATCAAATCAAACCAGTCGAGGTTGTTATTTGAATGATAAAGCATCAATGGTAGACTTTTGTTCGTAATGGATTTTTGATGGTTTTTCAACTGATGATCTGGCGAGCTCCTTCCTTGCCCAAAACGCCGGGCTCCGTGGGCTTAGGGCTACGATCACGGCCCTTTTTCCGACTGAGGAATGACAGCATGCCACTGTTGGCTCCCTTGCCTTTGCTTGTGTCGCCATCCATGCCCTCTGCAGGTAGAGTAGAACTGTGGTTCGCCAATTCGCTCCAGCTACCGGCTTCTTCTAGGACCATCTGCACACCACCTCCTTTGCTCGTCTTCCTTGTGGTGCCGCGGGGTTTCGAATTTTGGGGTAGTGGGCGATGGAATGAAGGTGTTTGTGGAGGGGAAGAGTGTGTTGGAGCGGTGGAAGGTGAAGGTGGCAGTCTAATTGAGGCCGAATCGTACGGGTCAAGGTTCTCACTGGCCGATGTCATGGTATCGGTTACTTGACTTTGAGTATTTGAAGAGTTCCGAATAGCTGATTCGGGCTGGGAAGGGTGGCGAGAATGTGAAATGGCTGTGGCAATGGGGATGGAGTCATCAGGATCACTATAATGAGCGTCAGTATAAGTCTCAATGATGCTTGGGGATAAGGAGATGGATGTACGTGGACGTAATGGTGGCCTCTTCGGCAGGGCCCTTATAGCCAACGGCCAGGTAATCAAAGGCTCGAACATCGTCTCAATCAGACGATGAAGTTCATCTTCGCGAATCTCTTTGGCGGTAGCATCCTCACGTAATTCCGCTCGTGGCTTTTGTCGGCGGGCTCGGGCCTCTAAAGGTGCTTCCTCTAGCAATAACTCTTCCAAATCGTATGTCGCATCGAAATTTGTCTTTTCACCAGATGGGACAAAAACGGGGGGAATTTCTTTGCGGACTAGGGCTTCGAAGTCGATCTCGGCGAAGAACTCATGTGTGATGAAACTTTCCCAGCTGACAGCACCGATTCGGCGACTTCGGTCTTTCTCCATCAACGCACCCATAGCCCGCAGACACGGCACTGAAACTGCTGGATTCGTAACAAAGTACTTGGGCTGGGCCTTTTTGATGTTTTCGCTCAGCTGGTCTTGGCTTCGACCTTCAAATGGACGCTAGAAGGAAAATTAGATCAAGAAGCGTATGCATAAAATATAATTGACGTACCTTGTTGTATATGCATTCGTAGAAAGTGACACCCAAGGACCACCAGTCGACTTCAGATAGATATCCAACTCCTTCGTAAACCTCGGGTGCCAGGTAAGCCAATGTTCCAGACTTGCTTGTGAGAGGCTTGGTACGGAAATCTGACGCGACATTCTGCCAGATATATAGTTAGCAACAGATACAAACATCGAGAACGAGGCACGTACAAAATCTGCCAAGTGAACATGTCCCTGTGAATCCAAGAGAACGTTGTCAGGCTTGAGATCACGGTGAATGATACCCTGAGAGTGAATATACTTCAGGGCTACTCCGAGCTCCGCCATCCAGAATCGGACTGCTTCCTCCGTAAAAGTCTTGCGTGAAATGTGGAACCTAAGATCGCCGCCATTCATAAGGTCGACGACAATGTAGCTGGATTACGGTCAGTCAGACCAATTTCATGCCAATTAACTGAATGAACTTACATGTATTCCATATCCTGGAAACCGTAGCGCAGATTGCACAGAAATGGGTGATTCAAGTGCTCTAGCATTCTCCGTTCACGGATGATATTTCGTACACTCTCCGATCGAACAACTAGGGTAATTTTTAGAGGCTATCCATACGTGAAAAGATCAAAGGCAGGAGATTGACATACCGTCTTCCTTCCGGATATATTTCAGAGCAAATGTGAGACCAGTATCTTTTCTCTCGACAATACGAACCTTACCAAATGCACCTTTTCCAACCACGCGCAGAAGGCGGAAATGATTAAGGTTGGCTGGTGGACACTAATGAGTATATGATAACTGACGTCTGACATCGTCCAACATACCTGCATCGTCGGGATTCACGAGCTTTCCTTGATTGTTTCCCATTGTGTCGAGTGTTAAAAGTAGGTCAAGATTCAATTATTTGAAGCAGTATTTTCGTCCAGCAGCAACATTCCACTGCGATAAAACACCCCGAGATCAAATCAATCGTATTCAAATGGCCCGAATTGTGAACGGGCGAGAGATGAAAGGGTGTAGAAGTGGAACTAGAACACAAAATCCATGGGGGAGATCCCGGCGGGAAGATAGCGGAGTGGGGGGTTTTAATCAATTGATGGCGGGCGAGTACAAGGCGATTCGATAAGAATTGCTGAAGATTGGGCTGTCAGGATAAAACGAGAAGATTAATATATGTATCTGCAATCTGATTGAAGAAGCAGAAAGTATCACGGGCTGTTTGTGCAGCAGGGTATGTATAATCTCCCAAGAGACAAGTGTCCAAAAGTACAGGACAAGGAAGGGTCAAAAGGGAGTATTGAATAGACAAAAGAGGATGAAGAATAAACCCCGAAGACCCTGAAATAAAATACCAGAATGAAGTGGGGGTTTAGATTGTCTTGCGCCTTGCAGCTTTGCAGTTGGAGACCTGAAAGAAAGGGGAGAGAGAGCGGTCAAAGAGGGTGGCAGTATAATTTTGGAGAACCAACGACCAATGAAAAGACACGATATATTCAAAATGGGGAAAAGGGGATATGGAGTCAAATGGAGACAAATAGATAGTCTCACTTAACAAGATCGACACTAACCAATTACCTATTCAGACTAGTCAATGCATTGGCGCAAAGTCTTTTACAGCGTCTACAGAGTGATTTTTCTCATAGCTGTTTAAAATCACTATCCTTTTTGTAGTGAGAGTAGATACGAGACCCGGAAAATAAGGAAAAGTTAAATGTTCAAACTCGGATACTCACTCCACAGGGGTCCAAGCGAAATAGCTGAAAGTCTGAAAATCTGAATTGTTGAGAACAAACACGGTTTGCTTGGACTTTTGGTGGATCCTGGCCAGTTCGTACGTCGTAGATACGCAAATCCCTTGACAAATGCTATTAGTATTGTCAAGTGAACCTATCTCACATATCTCACATACGCCGTAATTTCTTGCATGAAAAAGTGGGGGAGGTCGGGAAGGAGTATTATCGATAGGTCGATCCTGGTACAAACTGCATTCCACACACCTTCCATCGTATCCCGATAAACTGCCTAGAACATTCACTGCATATGACTGATCACTTGGCGGCCACGCGGCTTCATACACGTCTCCTAACTGAGGTATCTCGTGGCCGCCACGTGTTATTGCCCGTCGTTGCTTATTTATCTCGGTCACACAGATCACACAGATCACACAGGAGCAGCCGTGGAACACTTGTAGAACATTTGGAAGATCTAGCCTGTTTCCGGGCCAATACCGTGATGCGATGCCGTGATGCCGACCGCATTTCTCAGCACTGAAACAAAATTGAGACTGATCTTTCATGTATGAGGATGGACCTGAAACATTGACGTGGCATAGTCTCCTTGCATCTCGCCGGTCCTGTACTAGGCTTTATTGGAGTTAGAACGCTTTCAATGTACCTCCAACCTCATGAGCTGAGGAGAAGGCTGAGAAGGCTTATTCAGCATAGACCTGTGAAACTGAGTGAGTCATCAGAGCTTGGTCGTTCTTGTATGCTTGTAATATGATCAAAAGATGCTCAATTGGAATGGGTAGTCCAGTGCAATCTATGGATGAAAAGCACTGAAGCAGCCCTTGAGCTATCATACCTTATCATGTGTATGCATATGTCCAGCTCTCGTACATGCTAAGAAAAGCAGTTTTGAATTCTCCGACTTCAATGTTAATTAGTAAAAGGGAGATATGACTGATTATTACGAGAATATGGGTTGCTTGTGCCAAAGCCTGATGAGCTCCAGTCACGGGACGCACCTGCCTATACTAGATTCCTCAGCACAAAGCACCTCCTTTCCCGAGCTCTTTCCATTGGTATTCAACTCATCCTAACCTCTCACATCCTCATACACCATTGAGAAGAGATAATATCCTGTTCACAATGAATAATCCACCTAATTTCTATTCTAAGCAGCAAGGCTCAACTCACCCTGAGGTGGACGGGAGGCTACCCTTACTCATGCAGCGCCCCAAAAACTTGAGTATCGACGTGACAGGATTTTCATTTGCTAAAGAGTCAAGTCATTCCAAGGAATTTGGGTCGCAAGCACCCCCAAAGCATTCTTTGGTCAATTCCAGTAACTATCATGGCGAGAGTCTCACAAAAATGTATGATAGGGCAAAGGATACGGCAAGTGAGACTGTGAATCAGTATGTCCATTTTCTGAACCTTGCACGAGAAGATTACTGATCTGGCATATTGTGATTCTTACAGACCTTTCAAGCCACGCACTGGTTCCATATCGCTTGATATTGACAACTCTGTCACAGATAATTTCACACCACACTCTCATCAAAGTCCTAGAAATTTGACTACCCCACAGCCCCCTCGTTATGAAGATCAGTATATGAGTGGAGAAAGCCGAAATTTGAATCTTAATTCGGGACAAGCCTTGATTCAAAGACAGGCCGTATCTAGACCCAAGCCCAGACAGAACATGCATGGGCCTGGGGATCTGAATTTTGACCTGGTATGCAATTAACTATTTATATGATAGAAAATTTGGTTAACATTATGAAAGACCAGTACGTCCCCTCTGACGATGAATGAGTCAGCCCTACCTCAACGCCAGAGGGAAGAACCTATGGGACAAAGCATTCTCTTCCTTCGAGGCTCACATGATTCAAAGGATGATATGCAAGCTTCGAAGCTTGCTTCGAAGCACCATGTGGGAGGTCAGAAACTGATTACAGACAGACGGCAACGAACTAACTCCAGTAACAAAGGCGATACCGCCCAGCCGCTGGGTGAGGAGCACTTGTTCGAGCTTCTCATTGAAAAGGTCAAGCAACGTGAGGAGAACGAAGCTGTAGCTGCGGCCATACAACGGAAGCTGGAAACCCAGAACGGCAGATTAAAGGCCCAGAATCGAGAGCTGCGATGTCAACTGGACACATTCCATGCAGAACTACAAAAGAGCTCTTTAGAATCCAAGGAGTACCAGGCTCAAATGGAGGGCTGGAAATTCAAAATTCAAAAATTCAAAAATGCGTTCAATGAACTGGGGCATGAGTATGAGATCCTCCGAGTTGAAGCCCGCAAGTTTCAAGAAATAGCCGTGGCTCTTGGCAAAGAAAAAGGCGATCTGACGGAAGCTATCAATCAAATTAGGGTTCAAGTTCTGCGTGCCGAAGAGATCGCTGCAAACCAGCAGGTGGCAATCTTCCAAGACCAACAAAGCATAGCTCTTCTGGAACAGGCCTTGGTGATGTCTAAGGCAAAGGAAAATGATACCAATACTCAACTCTCTGACCAAAAGAGACAAACAGTCCTCCTAGAATCACATATCCAAAATTCGACTCAAGCCCAGGTACAACAACTCAACTTAGTCAGGAATGAACAATTGAAACTGCTGGAAAGGCTAGGGGAAGGCTTGAAAATCGTTTCACACGACTCTATGAATTTCAAAGAGATTCTAGTTTCCCAGCTCCAAGCCGGATTTGATGAATGTCGCTTAACAGTCCAATCTTTAGCCGATAAATTATCTGCGGAGCAGTTAGATGTGAAGGGTTTCGCAACTGAGGTCCATGATGTTTCTGGCCAGTGAGTTTGAGTCGCGTTAGCATGTATCTCCTGGATGATCAATCACTGATATTATCACTCGCAGAATTGTCTATCTATCAAATCGGTTCAGTGAAGACATTGACAAGACTGTCAAAGCTAATACCCAAATGTATTACAATTTCCAGGATCACGTCAAAGGGATTGAACAGCATCTTGGACCCGAGTCTCCTTTCTCCAAACAAGTTGCCCTCTTGGATAATGCACACAAAGCTCTCACAGGAAAGTTAGAGACCTTTGAGCCAGGAGTAGGCAGACTTGATACCTCGATCAAGGATCTCAGGGTCACCGAGACTGATCTCGTCGAGTATTTAAAGGAAATCGGCCAGAAGCTTAATGCGTCGCAGTTTCCACCCAGCCGCCCCGTTTTAGAAATGGAACTAGCTGGGAAATTTGCTGAAAACACCCAATTGCAGCTTCAACTACACGAAAGCACATCCAAAACGGACCATTTACAAAAAGAAGTTTTGGAAATGAAGACAGTAATTGAGGAACTGCAGCAGTTGAACAAGGGTACAATCGCGAGACTACAAGCTGCCCATGAATTAACAATGTCTCTGGAAGATGAAAAAGCTGCCTTCAGTTGTGAATTGAAAATGGCTGAGGAAAAATTTCAAAAGGAGGTCGATGAGAAGAACATGGCATTGACCCAGCTGAAAGCTCAGCATGAGATTCAGTTGAAAAATCTCAGAGCCGAACAAGATGAAAGGAGGATTGCATTGAAAAGCGAATTGAAAGCTCAGAATGAAATTCAGTTGAACAGTCTCCGAAATGAAAAAGAGGAAAAGAACATCGCATTAACACAGTTGAAGGTTCAGTATGAGGCTCAGTTAAACAGTCTCAGAAAGGAAAAATATGACCTCGAGAAGGCATCCGAGGGTTTCATTCCTCGCCTTCAAAAGATTCAGAAGTCCTTGGTCGGTATAAGAAGTCTGCACGAGGATATCATTCTAATTTATAACAGATTGAAGCCAAAGGTATAATCGACGAACAGAAGAAGGAACGTGATTGTTTGGTCAGTACATCTTCGTATTTAAAGACAAGTTGCTAACATTGTCAGACCCAAGAGAAGGAAGAGCAGATTCAAGGGCTCAGGGAATCTTACACAGAGTCCATGACTCGATTGGAAGCTCAAAAGACGGAGATCCAGCATTATCAAGACCTGGAAACTGCATTTCGAATCGAGACTACTAATCTCAAAGAACAAAATGAAAAATTCCAAGAATCAGTTTGTGACCTTGAGCAGAAGTTGGCTGGTAAAGTCGAGATCGCGAGCGCACGAAAAGACCCCATCCAAGAAATCGTGCCTTTTGCGATGATACAAAGTCAGCTTCCAGCACAGCAACCCACCTCGCCCGATGGTGATCCCTCAGACTTTGCCATGCTCTTCATGTCAGATGAGATGTTCTCCTCGACGCCATTTAATGGAGGCAATAGCAACAAATATCAGCCTACTGATCTAGGTGAAGCAACGAATGACATCCAAAAGCAGGAAGGCACCATGGATGATCCCGTAACTCCTGTTGAAAATTCACGACCTCAATCAAAAAGAAGGTGCAATGAGGTGATTCCGGTTAACTTTGAGGGATCTCAACCCGCCAAGAAGATGAAAAAGAAAAAGGAAATCGATACAAAACCAGACTTCCCTCAGGGCCCAGGCTCGGAAGAACTGACCGTATCACATGTTCAAAAGCGGACTTACAGTCGCATACACAGCACGGCTACGCAAGTCCAGTCCACAGCACCAATTGAGCGACGGACTAGTCCTAAGGGACTCATTTCTGCCAGCAGTGCAAGTCAGGTCCAAAGTCGACCCAACACCCGAGCACGCGGAAGACGACGTTCTCGTGGTATGTCAGATAGAACCTGGATTCTCGGATCAAAAAGATGGTGTAGTATTCTAATGATATACAGGCGATCGATATAGTGCCCGATTCCTCCAAAAAGATTGAGTCTTTGCAGTTCAGTGGCGCCCGAAAACGAAAATCCAGTGCTTATCTCAGAATTCATATCGATAAATGCGCTTCATCACTATGATGAGTAGTGCTAAGTGACCTATATATTCATGTTCACGTGCATGCGATAGTCAATCTTTCCTGTCCCCTTCGTCTATGCTCATGTCCTCAGGCCGGATCATCATCTTATTCCAAGCATGTAATAGTTTCAAAGTACGAGATATCTTCAAGTGAATTTGAATATTTGTTTTTCAATTCAGTACCCAAAGCTGCAATGCTTTAAAACGCCAAAAATGCTTCATCAGAAGTAAGAATTGAAGCAGTCGACATGGATATTGTAGTCCTCCATGGTCTTAATATCAACACCTCCCAGGATATAATGTACACACGAGTTTTACACACCGCAAACGTGCTTTCCCCATCAATGCCAGTATCAAGGATTCAAGTCGAAGCACTAGTAAGCCAGTGAGGCAAGGTTCCCCAATCCAAAGTTCGTCCGGTATAGCAGAGGAAAAGAACAAGAGGGGGGGAATGGTAGCCCGTCCAGGTTCCTACTCGCATAGCAACCCCGAAGTATTCGTCGAAAGGAGTTGAAGAAGTGGAATGGAGGGGAAACGAAATCTCGCAAAGCGTTAACTCGTAGAATTTATTTTGCTTTTCCACCCTTGGTCGCTTCAAGGAAGAGAACAGTTTTCTTCACGACAGGGTCGTACTTCAGCATGCTGAGGGGGCGGTGCGCACGCGGACGGATCATAGTACGGTAATAACCCGTCATAGCCATTGAGATCAGCCGGACGGCGATGGTACGAGATTTTGCTACAAGGCAACAGTGTTAGTTAGATATTCCATACTGGATTGCTCTCCAGGCCAGTGGAGGGATTGTTTCCGCGCGGGTAGAGTCAATGGGTTGGGCAATTGAAGTAGGTGCCGTATTTCACAAGAACCGGGTAATAGATCATTTGGGCGTCCTTACATTTCTTGGCCATTTTGCTCGACGTCCCGAGGAGTCCTGCTTCGGTGTTCGATGTGTTGAATTTCGAGATGCGCCGCCGGCAAAACCGCTACGAATCACGTGTTATGCTTAGTCATAGTCATCATTTCAGGATCTACGCAACAATCAAAGCATATTTACTCTGGCCCAAAGGCTGAGATTAATATTCGGCCTGAATCTTTCATTTTTGACTAATGAAGATTTGCTTCTTTGATTACGCAGTATCACCGTCATTGTGACGAAGAACACGGAAAGCCCGGACCGAGAATCAACAAATATAGCAGCTGTTATTCAGCCCAACTTAAGCCGTAACTAACTAACTAGCTATTACTAGCTAACCTTTATCTAGTATTCGATGTAACAGTTATCAGTGTAATCCAGAGTATACTACACAGTCTGGGTCGTACCACTCATTGACATTCGGTCTTCTTGATCAAAAAGCAAATTGAACTGCATTTTGACTCCTCAAGTCGATATTGAACAAGCCCAGCTTCTATATTTGAATGTTTAAGATGCCTTGCCGGGTCGTCACTCATTTGGAAGTCTAAGAACTTAGAAATCCCAGTATATAAGCACAGAACGATAATTGGGAAACTTTCAATGTTGCATGCCGGAAGAATGAGACCAAATAGGAGGTCGATATCAAATCCATAGAAGATACAATCAATTGACTAGTTCACGGCGAGTACTCGAGCTGTTGTCTCGTAGTCCGAGGTCTATAACTCGTACACAGACCTTCAGATATTCCAAGTTAAAAATGCCATCAATTTTTTCCTCTTCCAAGGTTGTTTCTCTAGGTCTGGTCCCATCATGCCACTCTTCTTACTCGTATCGTATTCTATGAAATGAAACTTGATTTGCTGCAGGGGTGTCTGCTCAGGCTAGTGCTTACATGTAAATGTAAGGGCTAGGAACCAAGGTTGCCTTGTCCAACTAAGGTTGAATGCATTCTTCATGGGGCGGCAAACGGCAAACGGCAAACATCTCCGGCCTCAAGTACTTGATGAAACGAAGTTCATTTGAGTAGGTTTTTTCTATGGATATTATTCTATAAGTAGTCAATTGTTTTCCCCAAGCTTCAATTCTTATTTTATTCCATTAGACCTAGGTAATCGTCTGTAGGTATCTATGTGCCTCAGCCTTTTCAGATTATGGCTTCCAAGTATTCCATTTTCGCCACATTTTTGATACTGTTCGGCCCGGCTCTTTGTCAGAGTGTAAATGGTGAACATTATAATAGCCCGAGTGCTGGTCCTCCATCTAGCTTCTTCACTGCTGCAGCGACCTTACCTATCGCTGCACTGCAGACAGCGGCCTCGAAGGCTAGTAAGGCTGCGAAAGATGCAACGTACCCCATCAACAATAGTGATGGAGCGGCAAATGTCACGATTCACAGTGACTGGTTGAATTATAGCCAGGTCAGTATTTACTTTTCCTTTGATCCGCTTCATTCGTCTTTTTAACCGGATTGAATAGGGTGCTGCTTTTGTCTGGATTGCCGACATGGATGTAGACTGTGATGGTATTGACTACAAGTGCAAGGTAATTCACCTGCGCCGACATTTGGGTACTAGATCTTGCATATGGACTGACTGACAAACTACATAGGGTAATGAAGATGGACAATCGGAAACCAACTTCGGTGCCCTAGCAGCATACGAAGTTCCGTGGATTGTCATTCCTGATAAATTTGGCACGACCTACCAAAGTGCACTACCTGGAAACAACATCGGTGCAGTTATCTGGTGAGAATGCTGGATTTCTCACATTTGCTTGGAAGCTGACACGGTATTAGCGATGGCAAGATGTTTTACGGTATCTATGGTGATTCTGACGGAGATGACCCGCAAGTGATCGGCGAGGCATCTTGGTTAATGGCACGCACTTGTTTTCCCAATGATGATCTGAATGGAAATGCCGGCCACGGTAGTGTCGATGTGACTTGTAAGTTGACAGAACTGCTTTGTAAATTGGTAGGATTGGAATCCCTGACCATTGATGTCTAGATATTCTCTTCACTGGATCGGACACTGTGCTGTTTAGCAGCGCTCTGAGTACCAACTACATCACTAACTTCAGCACTTTACGGTCTAAGGGTGATATCCTGATGGCTCAGCTTGTGAAGAATCTTGATCTCTCATCTGACTCGACAACGAGCACTACCTAGATACTAGTATTACCCCCACTACTAGTTCTATTACAACTACTAAGTTACTTGAACTACTACTAGTAGTACATCTACATCCACCAGCTCCTGCCCTTGGCCTGGACACAGCGTCGGTAAGTCCCATTACATAGTTAAAATTCGTAAACTCATATATTCATGTGACTAACGTAAATTAGGTGCTTCTTGCTCTTCTGATAACGATTGCTCTGGTAGCTTGGTATGTACGGGTGGGAAATGTAACTCCGATACTTGCTCTTGGTCTGGACATTGCGCGGGTGCATCTTGTTTAATTGATGATGACTGTTCGGATGATTTAGTTTGCAACAGCGGTAAATGCGCCGACTAAGTTGAAAGATGTCTTCGGGCGGCTGTGAAATTGGGCCAAATGGCGACAATTAAGACTGGAATGCTTCTAGTAGAGAGGCATCGTACTGTTCTTTATCCTTGACTTTCTGCTCAATGAAATCATAAGTATTGAACGCCCAGTAAGGCATAGTGACGACCCAAAATGACGGGTCGTCGCAAGCATTAGAAAACCTGGGCTGGATGTAATCATAAAAGATGGTGAAAAGCGATGATGGACTCTGAAGTGCTAGAGAGCACCAAAATGTCCCCCTCTCCCATCCTTGCTGCAAGATAGAGTGAAGGGAGATCGGTGTCGTGATTTGAAGTTCTTCCTCCGCAAACGCTTCCATGAACTCTGTGTGAAGAACGCTATATTCTTCAGCGTTGACTGAATCAATGGCATCATTGGTCAGCCAGTATGGAGGATGGATCATTTCCACTGGTTTGGAGCAGGCCCACTCTAAGTCGATAAGATATTTTATGTTCCAATTCTCATCGACAAGAATATTCGTCTGATCCATATTAGTGAGCGTTAAAAAGAACGGCCCCCGAGACAAAAGTCGGCGGAAGAACAAGGGCAAGATGCTTCTCATAACCATCAATGCAGCCGTCTGATAGAAACCATCCTCTATGCTGTTCACTGCGTTTGGTTGATGGCGAATCCGATTCTCATGGACATGCATGATGTCGCTTAGATAAGAATCAATACTTGCGTGAGTGACGCTTCGTGGTACATCAACCGGAATATGCTCATTTTCCAATTGTTGGATGTCAAGAGTAAGGGGACGATTACTCAGGCTTAAATAACCACTTTTATCCAAAGTGAACGAGCCAATCTTTGGCAATGGAATGCGCGCCATTGTCAATATCGTGCGGGAAAGGCCATGGAAAAGGTTCTTGCGTAGTTCGGGGTTATATCGTCCAGCTTCCCATGTTTCTGCAAGCATTCTTCCTCGTGATGGCTGGATATATTCGATCAGAAGATATGGTGTCCCCAGTGTAGACTGATCTTTGGTAAAATGGGGGATATAATTTGATGGAGTCGGGTAGCCAAGTAAACTCAAGACGGAACGACGCAGACGCTGGAAAGTGCGGGTAAAGAAGGGAAGATTATCGAGCAAAGTGAACTAAAACAGTCAGTAAATATCCATAAAAAATTCAATATTAATATCAGATGCATACAGTTTCTCCACTAGATAGACCAAAGCCATAAAGCTGTGGAATCGGCAGAGTTTTGCAATTCTCTTCAAGCCAGGCATATGTCCCAGCTTCACAGCGGACCTTCTCATCTGAATTACCTGGACAGCAACTCTCAGCAATCCGATATGGCAACGGAAAGCGAATCATCAGCTGCTTTTCCGGATATTGTTCTTGGTCATCATCAACACTTCGTTCTTGGCCCCCAATATCAACTCGTATGCAAACATTGAAGCTCCCACATATCCAATCCTGTTCATCAACAACATGACATAGTTCAGAAGCGAGGCCGAGATGGTGGGCAACTATGGATTGAATTCGTAGTCGATTTCGGGAAATGTAATCAAAAAATTTGCTCCTTTGGTCAATATAGCTCAACTGATGAAGGATATTCGCATCATCCTCTCTGGCGTCAGAGTAGGAAATTTCACCTTGGAGCAAGCAACGAGGTTTCAGAGAGTCTATTGTGCCCAAAGTGTCGAGGGAATCCACCGAGTTCAAAGAGTTCAGAGAATTCAGAGAATTCAGCAAATCCAGCGAATCCTGAAGATTTTCAGACTGACTTTGCTCAAACTTGGAGCTTGACATTACTGTATCCATGGATTATGTTTAGAGTGGAGAGAAAGTAAAGAAATCAAAAATTTCTTCGAAGGTTGAGCACAGATCCGTACGAGGCCGGGACATAGTATATGATCATGGTGGCTGGGAAAGAGGGGAATCAAGTTTACGCTGACCTCGGGTAATAATTCTCCCGCTGGCCCCAAGTCATAAGAAGTACAATGTCTTGGGCATCAAGATTCAAAGCACTTTGATGTATTATAAAAGTCAAATTAATGGCTATAATAACCTGCATTCTACGCTTGTTAGCCTTATTTGAGGCTATAAACTTACTTGGACTACCGAACTCATGCCCCACTTGGTTCTACCTAAATATCAATCTCCTGATTGGCCCATCCTAATATTTAAGACCCCACTCAGACGTTGAGCTCACCGTATTTTGATATAAATTGGCTAGGCTTGTACGGAGTACCGCTTCCTTTGAATGATACTTGTGCATTTCAAATTATCCTTCACTAACCACTAACTAGGTAAATTCAATTGAAATTATTCCTTATGCCTAACTTTTGGTGAAAAATTGATTCTCCGGCCTTGGGAGCCCAAAGTGCTCGCGAAGAGTCGAACCTGCATAATCCTTGCGGAATATGCCTCTCCTCTGAAGCTCTGGAATCAATTTGTCTGTAACATCCTCCAATCCCTGGGGTAAAAATGGAAAGGTGCATGTAAACCCATCCGAAGCCTCTTCTTTCAGCCAGATTTCCATCTCGTCGGCAATCTCGCCTGGAGAGCCGAGGAATGCTAGCCCGGAGTATCCTCCATAACGTTGTGCAAGTTGACGAATTGACAATCCCTCCTGCTGCGCCAGTTTTTCAACACCTTCTCTGCTCGTCTTGCTTGCATTGGTATCTGGCAGGTCTGTCGGCAATGGACCGTCCGGGTCAAAACTACTGACATCTACCCCAACAACGATGGATAGAGACGCAATAGCACTGTCGTAATGCACCAGACTATCCAATTTAAGCCGCTTTTCTTGGGCATCCTGCTTGCTGTCCCCGACTATGATCATCGCTGCGGGTAAAATCTTCAGGTGTTCCCTTTTGCGCCCTGCCTTTTCCACTCGGCTTTTGATGTCGTTATAGAGCACTTTGGCAGTATCGATATCCCTAGGACTGCAAAAGACAACTTCGGCTGTCTCTGCTGCTAGCTGCCGCCCTGGCTCACTTTGTCCAGCTTGAACAATGACTGGCCAACCCTGCGGCGGCCTGGCTATGTTCAGTGGTCCCCGTACCTTCAACTCGTCCCCAGAATGATTCAAAACGTGCATCTTCTCAGTATTGAAGTATTCACCTGTCTCAACGTTATGCGTAAAGGCGTCATCGGCAAAGCTATCCCAAAGGCCAGTGACAACATCGTAAAACTCTCGTGCACGCTTATAGCGATCGCTATGGGCCATATGCTCATCAAACCCGAAGTTATGGCTAGATTCAGGGTTTCCTGTAGTTACTATGTTCCAAGCCGCTCGTCCTTCACTGAGGTGGTCCAGACTAGCGAAGCGCCTAGCAACATGGTATGGTGCATCGTACGTCGTACTAGCTGTTGCAGCAAGACCAATTCGGTCTGTCACTGCCGAGAGAGCGGAGAGCAAAGTGAAAGGCTCAAATGAAGTGACAGTATGGCTGCGCTTGAGTGCCTCAACGGGCATGTTCAGCACAGCCAGGTGATCGGCCATGAAGAAGGCGTCAAACTTGGCTGCTTCAAGCTTTTGGGCAAAGTGGGCAATGTGCTTGAAATTGAAATTGGCATCTGGATATGAGCCTGGATAGCGCCAGGCACCTGTATGCAATGATACTGGACGCATAAAGGCTGTTAGGTGGAGCTGACGCTCAGCCGGAGATTCTGCCATCTTAAAATTGACTTGCTTGAAAAGAAGTTGAAGTTAGAAAAAAAACGATTCATCTGGATTATTCCGGTTTTCTTGATGATAAAAGCTGTCTTTATACCTGCAGCCTTCGTTACACGTAGCTATACCCCGCCCGTATTTGTATTTATAATCCCCTGCCTGAACACTATAGATATCGATATCGGATATCGAAATGACGTGCTCGAGCAACATCGCGTAATCAATATCCGTAACCATGCTCGGCATAATGCTACAGTGATTTGAAATGCAGTGACCAGAGAGAAAGACCTGTACATCCATACGTAGTGAGCAATTATCTTCGCACCCATGCAGTCAATAAAAATCAATCCTGTTGAATATGTATCTATCAACTTAATTATGGGCACATTGTCGTTATTTATGTTTGCTTTAATTGTTTCTTGAGTATCTAGGCATTGGAGGTCTTAAGTAGAGGGACCTTGAGCCTAAAGGTTTAAGCTTATCGAGCATTGATAACCTCGGTGATAAACTACCCAGTCAGCTTAGAAAACTAAATATTTTTCTCGGCATAATTTGAAAATAAGGATAAGAACTACGTACTCGGCCTTTCAAGGTTGGGCTTCATGGTTTTAAATTAGTGAGATTCAGGCGAAATATATAAGCGAGGGGCCATGAATCTAAGGAGGGTGGGTGATAGCTGGCCCCAATTTTCTGAGTCGCTTTATCACTTTCCCTTCTCGAAAAGATGTAGTTGTATGCATCATCTACACGTGCACTTACCTCAAATGGCATTTGAGAGATATAATAAAAGAGGTTGAGATCAAAAAGACCTAACCAATCATGAGAATATAACATATGGAGCAGAGAGGAGTTTTCCAGGGCCAGAACTCCCATCGTGCGCATATTCAGAAGTCAAAATGTCTACCGGTCGATTCTTGGGGCCCTGCAAGTCCACGCTTTCATAAGCTTAGGAGTTGAACGATTCCTGGACATATCTTACTAAGTATCTTCAGGTACCGCAGCATCAGGGACTACTCTATAGAACTCAAGACCTTCCATTCTATCCCTCCCTTGGGATTTTCGGCATCAGCTAGATCGCACGGTATGCCATTGCGTGCTGTTCTAGGACAAGCCACAAAACCACTGCCCGTGGAGAAGACTTTTTTAATTCTGGAATAATCTGGGACCCTGGGAACTAATAGATATATGAAGATCCAGCCTAGACCCAGGGGTTGGGAACCGCATTTGAGCCCTAAGTGAAAAGAAAAACTGACCCGCTTCTAGACCACAGAGCAAAAGGAACAAACCCCATTTTTTCCCTCTTCTAAGATAGCATCTTGATACAAGTCATAGGAGTATAGTTTCCGTCATTATGGATCCTGCATACCAATTATAGTGATAGCTTCCTTTGGCCCCCATCCGCCCTACAGAAGCATCCTTCAGTCTGATATCCCAGAAGGAAAAATCGGTTCATACCATAATATTTTATAATCTTTGTCTCATTCCGAAGTGAAGTCATAACTTAAGAGTCGATTTAGGACACCAAGCTAGGAAGCAGCAGCCCTCATCACCCGGGCAGGCATATTCAAGGTAACAACAGGTTGATGATCATCTGGAACCTCTTAATTAGCTAACTTGGAATACGTTACCTCCAGATGCTTCCATCATATTCAACAATTTTCCTGGCCATATACATCCAATCTCAAGCCTCCAATGTCGCAGCTTTGGTTATACCCGACTATACCTTGGACAACAGAAATCTTCACGATGGAGAAGAGTCCCCAGATCACATTTTTGCACGAGATAACGCAGTGAAGTTGTTATTCCAAGATACTGAGAACGATGAAATGAAGTTCATTTCGCAGCCTCTTGGAACCAAGTTAGATGAGCTTGGAGATTACACCTTTATGAGTCCTGCTGGATCTGGAGTCACAGTATATGTCCATGACAGTGGCATCAATCTGCAACACGATGAGTTTACTCAATCATTCCCTGGGGTGCGAAAAGGCACCGTTGGGCGGCTATATCCCTATAGGTCAATACTCGACCCCCAACCGACAACAGATACATCTGGGCATGGAACCTGTGTCGCAGATAAGATAATAGGTCATAAATTCGGAGTGGCTAAGGGGGCTGATCTCCTTATGGTGCCGTGGATCAATGTAAAAGACGAGAAATGGATTCAAGCAGGGTTGAGAGCTATCATCAACGATATCAAAGCAAAGAGGAAAAAGAACTCAAATTTTGTGGCAGTTGTGAACTTCAGCTATAAACTTGGAACAGCAAATGATTTAGGTGACCAACTAGAGACTTACCGAGCTCTATATAAGGAGATCTACGACTTGGACGTTGTCATGGTATTTGCTGCAGGGAATGATGGAGACTTTGGCCGGACTGAAGTGGACCATTATCCTGCGCTCTTGGCTAAAGAATTACCGAACGTTATTGTCGTTGGGTCAGTTGATGTCAATGGTTACCCATCGAAGTTCACTGAGGGTGGATCCCTAGTGCATATCTCGGCTCCAGGAGCACTTAACAGCAAAATTGGAATCGAGTGCGCTCAGGGGACAGGAAAGTCTAGTACCTGGAAACTAGAAGGCACTTCAATTGCTGCGCCGACTGTTGCCGGGTTTGCAGCATATTTGATGTCGTTTGAATCCGCATTACGAAAGTCAGGATCTGTGGCAAAGAACGTGAAAGCAAGAATTCTCAGACTGGGCTATATACGTGCGATTGGGGATCTAGAGGGTGTGCCACCTGTGCCTGCTATTTGGAACGGGCTACAAGGATCGCCAGCTTGTTAAAGATCGAAACGACAATTTTGCAACTTTGGGACTTCTTAATTCTATGATCAAGTCAAATTTCGATTATGCCGAGTCGATGTTCTCAGATTCTTCATGCAAATTTTTAGATCATTACCTAGGTAGTGACTTTAGGTCATAATTTCATCTTTTCATGACCTAATATACGTTTGACTCTCTCAGCAGCTTAAACACGGGTTCTTGGCCATTTACTGCCGCTAAAGAAATTGGCGTTTCTGCACTGGAATTCTCAGAGTTAGATCAACGCCATCTGTAGCAAGAAGCTATCGCACAATCTCCTTATGTCCATTCCGTGCCTCACAATTCAAGGGTGTCTCCCCGTCGGAATATTTGGAATCTTGACTAATGTTCTCCGTTTTAAGGAGTGCTTTGACTAAAGCTTGATTTCCAATTTTTAGCAGCACACCATATCGGCGTGCGTCCTTTGATATTTGAGAAATTCGGATCAATGCCTTTCGTGACAAGCAAGGCTTTTTATCATACATGACTCAGTTCGGGACTTCCGCCCTCGTGTTCAAGCAAATGATCGAGATCATCTTCGTGAATCGTCCAACCCCAAAAATTGCTCAGAAAAATTATGCGCACCGCTTCAGCAACGTTCCTGAGTGAGTCAAAAAGCTCAGGAGATAGTATAGGAAGAGAATGATGCAGGTTGGGATGATCGCCTCTTTGCTTAGATACTTGACTACTGCATTGAACGTTGAATTTACAGGTTACAATTAATTTAACTTTCATTATATACCAATTCACAAGAATTTGTCTATCAAGTTTGTTTCATTTCAGGCTGTATACTCTCATTTCAGTTTGAGAAAAGTTGTCAAATGGCCAGTCCTATTTTAGTCTAGTGTTCTTTATTAGTCAGCTTCCGTACGCTCTTTACTGCAGTAAGATTTACTACTGCGAGTACACACATATTTGAGATTGTGAAGTCTTCTGATTGGTTCTTATAATCCCACTACCCAAGTTGACAAAAGTTGTCAAATGAGAAATTGACCGTCCAACCAGAAATGGTTGACGAAACTGGATTGTCTATCTAGGGATGAAACCCGCTTAAATACACACATTATGGGTCCTGCTGAAATACGCAGCACACCCCTTAATATCGGCCCTTTGACAAAAGTAAAAGATCAGGTGACAGATCTACAGTAGCCCTGCATCTCAAGGTACCGAATACCAATACAACAACGGTTACATTGATTAGGAATTTGTCAAAAACATGCAGGATTTTTATCAAATCCACCAAATGACTGCGCAAAGGTTAAAGTAGCAAATAGAAGGGGGCAGACCCTCGCCTTAGTAAGTAGAGAGTAGTTGATGGTGTACTCGGCAAATGGAAAATGGGGATGAAATTGATAGGAAATGGGGGTACATTTTTAAAAATCACATGGAGTGCTCTCCATTCCAGCTTCGTCGCATGGGTAAAGGTGACAGGAAAGTGAAGCAATTCTTAAGACATCAGAGCTGTATGAATTTTAGCTTAGGAACGAAAGAACCCACAGCGACAAGAAGAAATGTAAGTTGCTTTGTCCCGTCCGTTACAGTTTTCGTCATTTTTTTCTCGAAGAGCTAGCTTTACATGCCCGGTCTAAGGGGTGACAAGGATAAGATATAATGAAAAAGACCCAGTCCTAAGAGGCGGTGATAGGACAAAATAAAACGGAAAATATGTCGAGAAGAAAAAGAAAAGGAAGAGGAAACGAACAAAATCGATACTTATACTGGATCGTGGATAGCCAAGATTGAATAATGAGGTCATTAGGTCACAGGTGTTCGTCCTAGTCCCAATTAAGCAATATGTTGATACTCCCAGTTAATCGACCAATGAAACTCTCAAACAGTTAGGGGTCAGCCCATATAGACTCTAAATTGTATTATTCCTTGGCTAATAGTAATTCGGTTTTGATTAAGCGATCAATAGATGTTGTGGTCAATATTACTTTGGCGAATTTCGTGATTAAAATTTCGCTGAAAAACTCATATTCCTTTGCTGAAATTGAATTATATTCAAAATATATTTAACACTAAAGTCAATTAGTAGCAGATCAAATGCTATTATTCTATAGAATAGAAATTAAATAAAGATAGCCACAAAAAATAGTGTAAGGGCGTACAGAGCGCCGGCAGAGAAGGTAAAAGAAGAGGCAGAACCAGTGTAAACCGGGCTAGGGGAGCTAGTCGAGGTAGATGTAGTGGCGCCAGAGTAAGAAGCAAATGAAGAGCTAGCACCAACATAGGAAATAGAGGAGACACCCACACTGGAGAAGCGAGAGGAAGAAGGCTCGGAATATGGAACGGTGCGGGTGTTTGTTACGCCAACTGCGCCAGCCCCCGATGGTAGCTGAGAAGCAACCTCAGGAACAACCTGAGAAGCAGACTGAGAAGCAACCCGGGTAGCAGGAGAGCTAGAATTGACGAGAGTGAGAGTGATTAACTGGGTTGATACGGCAGCGGTTTCACTGTTTGACTTGATAGTAGTAGCACCAACAGTGGTAGCAGCTGCATCAATTCCAGTACCAGTGACCGTCACAGTTTCACCAGCATTGGTGACAGTGGCCACAGGAATTATCGAGGTGGCAGTCACAGTAGTAGTAGAAATGGTGCTGGTGGTTTGAACGAATGTGGCTCCACCTGAAGTGACAGTCTCGGTTACGGGACAGATGGTAGTAGTCTCGTAGGTGACAACAGTGGTAGTGAATTCTTCAGGAATGGTGCTAGAAGCAGCACCCACGCTAGCGGGACCAGAAATTACGGGAGAAGTCTCACCAGCATCGGTGACAGTGGCCACAGGAATTATCGAGGTAGTAGTCACAGTAGTAGTAGAAACAGTGCTGGTGGTCTGAACGAATGTGGCACCACCCGAAGTAATAGTCTGGGTAACGGGGCAGATGGTGGTAGTCTCGTAGGTAACAACAGTGGTGGTGAGTTCTTCAGGAATGGTGCTAGAAGTAGCGCTCACGCTGACCGAACTGGAGCTAGACGATCCACTGGAAGGCTTGGCTGGACCAGCAGGAACACCAGTCTCAGTAGCAGTCACAGGACATATAGTGGTATAGTCAACAATGGTCTCAGTAGTAACGTAAGTCGACCTTTCAGAGGCCGGACAATCCTTCACGAACGAGGGGCATGCAGTAACAGTGGATGTTTGGGTAGTAAACACAGTGGAGGTAGTAAATTCGGTCAATGATGGGCTGCTCGCGGTAATACTAGAGCCAGTTGGGGTACCAGAAGCACTAGCAAAGCAAGAAGTGCAGACAGTAACAGTGGAGGTGATACGAACAGTCGAGCTACTGCCAACAGAGGCACTACCAGAAGCGGATGAGCCAAAGGAAGGGATGCCAGTAGACGAGCCCGAAGGAGCGACACCACCAGGAGTCTTAGTATCGGGAATAGGAGATGTTGTAGTCGATGTGATCGGCCGACGGCTGATAGGAACCGGAAGGGATGATGACAAAGAGCTTGGGCGCAAAGTCCGAGTATCAACCGGAGAAGAGGAGACAGCGCTTGACAACGCTGGTGTAGACTTCACAGGCAGAATAGAAACTGAAGTCGAAGACAAAGACACGGCCGGGGTGGAGCTGATAGGCCGGCGGCTGACAGGGACTGATCTAGATGAGGGAGATGAAGTGGCACTGCGAGAAAGAATGGAGCTCGACTTGATGGTGCTAGGACTTGGGGAAGCAGTAGACACAGATGTGCTGGGGCTAGTTGCAGGACTAGAGCTAGTAATACTGGATGAGCGAACAGGAGTGCTGGTGGGAGCAACAGAGGATACAGGGGTGTTGGAGCTCAGAGCGCTAGGAGTAGCAACACTAGATGAAGGAATAAAGGAACTAGTGAGAGTAGCAGAGGACGACGCAGCGGACGAAGAGGAGATAGCGGTCAATGTTGAAGTCACAGTGCTCGTCGTGCAGGTGGTTGTAGTGATACCATTGACAGCCTTGATATTGTCCACCTCAAGCTGGGGTCCACCTATGCATGCCCAAACAAAGAAAAGTTCTTCACTTGATGAAGTAGGTGACCACGTGGTTGTCAATGTCGTCCAATCCGTGGCTGTATTCACTAACACGCGGGATCTCGTGATCCAACTGGACCAAGAATTCTGAGAGAATCCAACATAGCAAAAGGTCGAAGTGGAAGACCATATCATTTTATAGTCGGCAGATAGAGTATAAGTGGAAGATGTATCCAGTCCAGTCAAAGACTGTTCCAGGTAGGTGAAGGTGGCAGTGGCCAAAACAGAGCTAATGTGAGATATTAGCCATGTGACAATGAAAAAACTACTTGTTCCAACTTTGTGATACTAACAAGTAGTCATCGCCATCAGTGGCATCGCCTGGTACAACCGTGCCATCGTCAGCAACATTGCTAGCCCGCCAATCCGTCCAGTCAGTCAAGTCGCCTGTTTCAAATGATGGATTCAGGATATAGTTGACTTCGACTGGGTTGCAGGTCACAACTTCGCTAGTAACAATTTCATCTCGAACAGCCAAACTACTTCCAGCGTATACCGAGCGAGCAAGTAAGCTCGAAAACAGCAGTGTGCTGAATGGGGACGGCATGGCAAGCGGTACTGTTGAGAATACTTAATTAAGTATGAGTCGAATCCACGTATTGCCCAAACTTCCCAATTTATTCGGTAGTACCCCTTATGTACTCTTTGTCCAAGGAAGTGATACTGGTTAAATCTTGAATGAGTGTGATAACCCCTGAGATGAGAGTTCAAATGAGTGACTGAGATCCGAAGCGGTAGTGATAAAATGGACCTTGGAACGAACGGCAGCTTCACAGACAATTCGGGGGTCTAGCAACGAGCTAAGTAGGCGATGAATACTTATGAATAGGACCTGAAATATCTCTATCTGATTATACTAGTCCTTGGACCCTCTTGCTTCACTCAAAGTCAGGCACACGGGAAATGACCAACCAATTGCATAAGTGAAGCTAGGCTTCGCTCCGACGCTAATATCATTACAAGAGCGTGCCTAGTCCTCTAACGGAGAAATATCGGCATCTCCGATAATCCAGCGAGCTAACGGCCGGAAAATTGAGCAATCTACCCGACATGACGGGTTAGAAAGTGTCCAGTGGGTCTTTCTAGAGTCAAGCCGGCAGACTAGTGATTTGCTGGAATTCCAAGATCGAAATCGAGGTAATTTGAAGCGAGATAGAACGTGGCAGTTTTTTGAACGGTAAAAGCTCACAATATTAATTAAATTTAGCAGAATAAAGAACGGAGTACAGCTGGCCAATTAGGTATGGCTAGTGGCTTCATCGTATGTTCTTTGTTCATTGAATAGGTATAATCACTTCAGCCATGTTCTCTAAGCTAGGTAGAATTAAGTTTTCGGAACATACCTTGTACTCTAACTGTTCTAAGGTTCACCTTATACTTAGTCACCTTCCGAAAAACATCGCATCCGTGGATCTCTTCCGGAAGTTTGATCAAGCATTGCGACTCAAAAAGAGGCTATCACAATCTATCAAAATAAGATCGAGTCTGATCGACGCATCGATATCAGAATTAATGGAATGGATCGGCTCTATCCAATCATTTCTGAACTCTCCGTAGGCCCCGTAGGAAGTGGAAACTACATAGTAAAAGCCTTATATAGAATTGAAATTTGACCTATCGTCATTGGTTGACAAAACTGAATTCTCTATCTAAGGGTGAAAAGCTACTAAATACAGGCCCGTTATGGATCCTGCAAACAGTACAAACAACACCTCTTTTCTAGGCTATTGTACTAGGGTACGCTCAGTATGCTATCTGCTGCGACAAGCCCTGTCAACTGGCATTTACAAATTTAAGGTTCTCTCCGAAGGTTCACCAACCACAATTACTGGTAGAAAGGTGATGATGGAATATCCTAAGCCCGAAGTCATGTGCCTAGAGATTATTTATTAAATATGAAAGCCAGGCGATAATCAGGAAGGCCCGGAATCTTGCAGAAGGCAGACTTGGAGCCCCAATTACATCTCAGCCTTATCCACAACCCCGCAGTGACTCACCAAACAGGAGCCGATCGAAAATTTAACGAATTTGAAGATCTTATAATAGTAGGAAAGTATACTTCTAATTGGATAACATCAATTTTTATCTTCAAAGTAGGGTCTTTGATCAAATTCATTTAGTTCGGGTGTGCAGAGCAGTCAGTAGTTAGGGCTATTTCCTCAAATACCACGTTTCACATCAAAAATGAAGACCACATGAAAAAGGAAATTTGCTGAAATCAGTAGTTACTTGCATAACAAAATGAGTCACAGCAAAATAAACCAATAATAAAATCCAGTCAAGAATATGATCTTTCCTATTGGTTGCCTACCATCACTTGCAGTGAACGCAACCTCCCACCAATAATGGCAAACTTGAAGAACCATAGCTTTAATGCACGATATCCTCTGTATCATCTTCTCGAGTGTTCCGATCGGTTCCAAATTGAGACCCCGACTTTGACTCGAATGATCTGAGCATGTCATTTTCGCAGCTGCAGGGCGCAACCCATGACCTTCCTTGCTGTTCTTGATCAAGACCAATGACTGGATTTATGCCATTTATTTCACAATGGCATGACCTTCTCGCGGTCAGTATGGATATTCAATGTCCAAAACGTATGGAAAGTGAAATTTATCACAAAATCAGGTGTTCGTAAAGTACTGGCAGCAGACATAACGAATAGCAGAGTAAAGTAGCCATTCACTTGTGGTAGTCACCTCGGCGGAAGATGCGGGTAGATTCGTACCGGCGTTCACTTCGATCACGAGAATCGTTAGAGTACAGTGAGCCACGAGGATATTGGTAAATAGTGACGCGGGGTTTGCTACCCGGGAATCGTTCAATGATCTGTGCTGCTGAGATATTCTCCGAGGTGCGAGATCGAGGTCTTGCGTACTCTATGATGGGACGAGGCCCATCCGATACTGGTCCAAAGCGTACTTCTGGGGAGCGGACGGCAGGAGCACGTCCTCGACGAGAGTTGAGCTCCATTCCCCCTTCGATAGCTTCAAGGAGCCTAGTAGCTTCGATGCCTTCGCGAGGAAACTTCACTCGCATTATCTTCCCACCCTCCCTATCCACTACTGAGTAGTGGACTTTACTTTCAGTATAAAAGTACTTGGTGACATCGACTGCGAGGAGGTGGCCACGTTGGCAGAGATCGTTGACCTTGTTCTCGATGGAAAGTTCACACCTTATGCAGTGGCTGGCGTGACGGTGGAACTCGTCTATAACAAGGGCTTCATCATCGTGAAGATCACGAACGACGGTGATACGGGTAGGGCTCGACATGGTGGATGTACGACGCAGGCTGAGGCGTCGTGAATTTTCTTGACGAAGTGATCTTTCTATGTTGGCGAAGGAGGGGCCAACGTAATAATAGGTTGAGTGGAATGGCGACACTGTGAATGATATTTAGGTTCACAGGATGGATGGAGCGAATGACTAGACAATAGATCGCATGGAATGTGTTATCGTCAGGTGGTGTGAATGTAAATGACTTTGTTGTAAGTATGGAAGTATGGAAGGGAAAGAAGACGACTATATAGTTTTCCATGATTGGCACCTGGGCGAGGCATACTGCAGCCTGGATTTCCTGCATTAGAAGAGAGTGGAGACAGTGTATAGAACTCTACTGTGTACTGACTGTCATCCTACTAGTAGTTAGTGTGTGGCTCAGTTGAACTCCGTATTCTAGATCTCAAGTGATTGGCTCGATTATCACAGGGTCTAATTTAAGCCATTTTTTTTCTTTCCTCTTTTTTTTTCTAGTTTATTACCTCATTACTCAGATTTATGATTACTTGCAGCCTTGTAATCCTGGTCCTCTTTGCTGCCTGCCTTCCTCAGATGTTATCTTATTGCAACCCTTGGCAGGCTGTGGCTTGAGCCTTCGTGTTCCTGCGCCGCACTCGGTCTCGTGCACCCCTGAGGTTCACGTCACTTGGAAAATCCAAGGACACCTGGCTCTTTTTTTCTATTTTCCCTTCTTCGGAATAGATTTTGTGGATTTTGAACTAATACTTCTTTCTATTTACTGGCTCCACTAGTTTGATTATGTATTTCCCCGCGCTTCCCCTTTACCCTCCTGGGCCACTACTTCTTCCCTACAGCGTCTATCGAGACAATGGTCCTCGGACCTCAACAACTAACATATGGCGCTTCTTTCATTCTATAAATGATGATACACGGCAGTGTTTCACCTCAATCTACCAAAATCATTCCCCTTGTCAGCATTTACTACTTAATTATCTAGACCGCTTACCCTACCGCCCAAGCATCAGCCCCAAGCCACAAGCACTACAGGGATCAGCGTGAATGCTTGAACTGCCATGACGAATATATCCGGCTATCCTATCATAGTCGTGATTCGTGACATCAGCCACACTTGGTCTTCCTCGTATTACTGATCTTCATTCCTACTTCTTTTGTGCCCGGGCACCTAAAATGGATACAGAGCTTGACATTTTTAAGATCGTCATTTGAATACCCAGGTATTGACACACGTCATAGCCATTCTATGAAATATTATCAGCATTTCCCTCCTGAGCCACTACAGTTCTGCCTTCCAAGGTACCAGCCAAGATCCATGCCTATTTCCCTTGTTACGAACTCTCTCAACCCGGTCCAGACGCAAAATTACATTGTTGGACAATCTATGCCCATAAGACCCCTACATCCATGATGCTGGTCATTTCCATCAGCCACAATCGTGCTACCTAGGTAGGTAAATAGTAGTTGAGGTGGCCTTTTCGTAATATGCTATACTACACTTTGCCTATATAGATCAATATAAATCCAGACTTTCATACAAGCCCTGCCGGGCTAGCTCAATCGGTAGAGCGTGTGACTCTTAATCACAAGGTTGGGGGTTCGACCCCCCCCGTTCGGCTATTCCTACTACGAACCTACGAGTCTTCTTTTTTATTTTTTTATCCTACGCGAAAAACTTGCTGCTTATTAAATTGTAAGCTGAGTGGCTGACCAGTGAATCCACTAACGTGTGGGTCGAACCGGTGAATTGGATACAATCCTTGACTTGAATTACAAAGAAGCGTATTCAATTCCTCGGAATAAGCAAATATGAGACACAACTATCAAACAGCCTTTTAATCTTGTAACCCGGGTTTCTGAAGCTTGTGGCTTGTGGCTTGCGGCTTGCGGCTTGTGGCTTGTGGCCTATGGCTTATGGCTGGTGCTAGGGCCAAAGCGCAAGGCAGATTAGGGTTGATGAAGACTGTATTCTTCCTTTTATATTTGAAATGGCACTCGAAACTTCCGTACTAGCCTACCTAGGCACTGGGCTGATGTTGTGACTTCGTAAATACATTAACATTTTTTCCAGACCTGCCATGAATGGTCAGGGCTTAGAGACTTCTAGAGGCAACCCCGGGAATATTGCCCGCGCCCGCGCCGATCTCAAATGTTCCAAGGTGCTTGGAAATTATCCATTTGATTGCCTAGGAATACAGTTGCTGCCAAGTTTGGCTTCTGGATTGAGGTCTAATTGAATGTTGCTTGATGACATAACTGGGTCATATGACTTAAACCAACATTTACTTAACGTTCCGGAAACCTAATCAAAATAATATCTCCGTAGCAAACATAGCTAGAGATCATAATATGCTGACCTATAGAGTATGGGTGAATAGTTCGGATTAGTTCTTGGATACCCAGCACACCCGCAGAACTAATCTAATCTTGTACGAAATGTATATGTGAGCATAGCAGAATACGTAAACCACACTGATCACTTCAACAACAGCATTGGGAAGTTACCATGATAACCTTGGAATATTTGATGCTATCTTGACATTGATCTCTTGGGAGACGGGTCTAGTAGATATTTATACCAATATTAGTTTTTCAGCCCTGGAGGTGGATAACATTGAAATTTCGGAAGGTTGTATTATGCATGGCTACTTAGGTATGTATGCCCCACCTCCAGGACCGATGTATACCGGGCCGAACTACGGGCCGAGATGGGATAGTTATGCACTATAATCAACCTTGGAACTCGCCGTCTCATCACCACCAGGGTTATAGACAGCCTAGGTGGATATCACTGGACAACTCATCACTGGATAGAAAGATCCCGAGGTATTTGAAAAAAGACCTTAGAATCGATGCTTGAACCTCGAAATTAACTCGTTCATCAATATGGTTGCATGCCGGCGTGATCGAGTTAGATGTGGGGTTGGCAGAATCGCCGGCGATAATATCTAACTCCGCTAGGTATCGAATCCCGAAGACCCTCTTTTGTCGCAGAACTAAACTCATCACCACACTTCGTCTTGATACTACAGAAGCTGTAGTATTTCCACCCTCCGCTTGTGTAACTTGCATACAGCGTTGCGTCAAGTTACGAGATTTTCCAAGCTCGCCGCCAAAGTGCTTTTCCACCTGTAATCAATGCCAAAAAGCGGACCGGTCATGTACTTGGGACTACAACGACTCAAAACTGCATTTTAAAAATGAGAGAACCTTTGCTTCAGGCCAACCAAGGCGCTCACGAGCTCTTCCAGCCACTTTAATACTTAATTAACAGCTTTCTTGGAAACGCCCCTCGCCATTTCGTTGGAAAGCTGTACCTTGAATAAATGGGTCGTGAACTTAACTTCATGGTCTCGTAATCTTCAAGGTGCTGAGCAATAGTACGGTATTTACGCACTTCGTGTTTGAATTGGCACTGGGGCATTCACCACCTGATCTGACCCTATCTGCCTTTTCGCTAGCTATATTTGGAAAGGCAATACATTTTTATAAATGCTCAGAGTTTCAGAGTCACTAAATAGGTACAAGTACAATACATAAAGGATATATGGGGAATAAGCCACGAGTCTATCTAGTGAGAGAACTGATCAGCTACTTGTCTCCAGCTTGTTGATGACCCTACGAGGGAGAATCCTTATCTTATACATTTGCAGTATGACCGCTAATTTTGTGACAGGGAGTCAATAATCATGATCATAATCATCATCAAAATGCAGCTCATCCCCTGTCCCCGTCAGATATCGGCCATTGTAGAAGAGCTGCAGGGCCGTTACAAATACGGTAGCAACAAGTATGGCCGCGGGATTTGAGTCTCGATAGAGTTGCTCAACGAATAATTGTTAGCTGATTCTTATCCCGCATACTTGAGCAAGTTGATTATCTCTTAGCCCAATTCATAGGTCCGATCATGCATCATTCATGGCATCCCCGTTCTAAAGCTCCTTGTTAACCAAGAACCATATTATGGCGAAGGCCTGATCTTACATCTTGACTCACTATCACTACTTGTCGCTGCTGCCGATCTTCAATCAGGGGCTTTGAAACTTCTATCAGAAGCCTATGAGCCTTGAACCCAGATCGAACAATTGCGCCGTCTCACAGCCGAGGCTCAAGACATCGGCTCCTCCCAGATGTGGGAAAATATAATACCCGAAGAATAGAACTTCTCTCTTCATTTCTACATGAAAACCTCCAAGAACTACCTACCAAATGACAATTATCTTTACGAAGAATCAACACATCTTTATTTCACCAATGGATGCGCCGCGGCTTAGAACTGATACCGCGCTTCTCGCCTGACTGCCAATAGTATATAAATTGAAGTCCTCTCAGGCCTTCCAAACCCCTCTGTACACGAACCATTTCGAAATGCACAAGTGAAGCACTCTCATAATATCACCAAACGCTGGTTATTCATGCGTGCCGCAATTTTCCTTCTTTATGATGGCAACAATAAAAATGTCAGTCCTCAAGATACCATCTCTCCAATAAGGCGACATTATTGGCTTGGCCTCTCACAATAGCCCTCAGAAAAAACATGTTCCACTGGCTCAGAGGCGTTGGCTTCAATGCAGGCTTGCTACTACTGCCAAGGTTATCTGATCCAATGTGCTTATATCCGTCGCTGGAATGGTATATCTGACTTTTAGCTCAATTCCCGTATACTTAGCCATATCCATATACAAATTTATTCGGACTAACGTTTCTCAATCTTATGTTAACTTTGGAAAGAAAAGTGGTCTACTTCAGTTTCTTGAAAGGCAGGGAACAATTAGTGAGTTGCACTGCTAAGCAATGAGTTCAAGAGGGGTGATCAGTGTGTTCACCATATATAACTGGTTGGTGAACTGCCCAGCTGGCTTATATTGTATTCGTATCTCAAGCACTCTGTAGTTTTCTACTTTGATTGAATGGAGTTGTGTCTCTACTTTTAAGTTCAAGCTGCCCATAAATGGTAGCTAAAGTTATCCAGGGAGGTAGTCATTCCAGGAAGGACAACCAGCCTCTCCTGGGACTCCCTTGGTCTCTTCAACGTTAACGAGCGGCACTCCACCCATGGAGTCATTGGGGAGATCTAATGTGAGGTTCCCCACCTGGGCAAGTAGCCAACAGTACTTTTAATTAAATACGTCGCACGTGAAAGCCTCTTATCCAATGTTCTCTGCGCCTTGGCAATGATGACTTAACGCCTGAATATTAATTAGCTATCTCCGTTGCCAAACAACCATAATTCCACGCTTGGCATTATCTATGAAAACTGACGACGTGGATTTGCTCTTTCACAAAGACAACTTCCAATATCGTCCTATCTCTTGATGTTGAACGTCGTATACTTCCTATCAGGTTGAGACTGATTGTTTGAGAACAGCTTTGGACCTAACAAAATTGTGATCTGCGTTTCGGGCATAACCACGACAACACAAAATTTCATTTCAAAAATAGATGAAGGGTGTGCCAGAGATTCCATTTGCCAACACAGCTGTTCCAAGGTTATGGATTTCATTGGTCATGTAATATAGTGGAGTCGTGAAGACCAATCAACAAGTTGTATCTCACGAATTTATTACCATATTAGGCTTAGCGGCCACGGGGGCTAAGCTTCGACTATAAGACCAAAAACATCTATCAAAAAAACTCATACAGGGCTGAGCACGATTTCTATACCTCATGTGGATACAGGCTGATGGAAAAAAAATAAGCACTAGCAAAATCTAGCTCTTACCTCTGATATACTTAAAGGATGGGTTCCATCAATCTTTCAATTTCAATTGCATTTTTCCTTCTCGGAACATTCTTTTACTATTGAATCTTTCATCTTAACAATGGACGCCATCCACAACTTCGGCCTTGCAGCTCGCAGAATACATGTGAACTCTAATGCCACATGTGATATGCCTACACATCTCTACGAAGGTAATAATTCTAGTGATGTACATAGTCTATACTATGGACTAACAATGAGTTCAGATGCCACGGAACCGTTTGTGGGCAAGTTGAGCTTCTACCATTTCAACATGATTCTATCTGGTAGCTGTACGGCAGTGACCTTTGTGGCGGTCTTTGCATTGATGTCCCTCCACGCCAATCGACTAAGCAATCCTAATGAACAGTTGAAGTATGTTGAATCTCTTCTATAATTCCATGTATGATGAGATTTTAACATTTCTTCTTTAGAATCATGAGAATCTGCACAATGCTTCCACTGTATTCAATCTTCTCATTCCTATCTATCTGTTTCCCTAACGCATACGTTTACCTGAATGGATGGATAGAAGTTTTCCAGGGAGTTGCGCTCTATTCATTTTTGATGCTTCTTTGCGACTTTCTTGCTCCTAATGATCAGAGCCGGATTTACTTTTTCTCTTCTCTTCAGATTTCTGAAAGGTCGAAGAAGAGCGAAACAACAAATGGCCTGACTTGGCTTCGGGTGAGTAATATCCGAATGAACCATTTCAAGAACAATCTAACCTATGATATACATCTAGAAAACTTGGTACAAGGTGATTCAGTACCCAATTATCGCATTCATTATTGCTATTATTGAATGTATCACTCAATCAAGGGGGGTTTATTGCCTTGGAGGCCATAGCGTCAAATTCGCTCATATCTGGGTATGTTGAAGCTTGGGATATTGAGAATTGAAACTGACATACGTTTCTAGCTCAACATCATCCAGCTCATTTCTGTTTTCCTGGCTATTTCTTCGATTCTTCGGTTTTACAAGAATACGAAATCTTATATGCAAGAGCAGAAGCCACTCACAAAACTGCTGGCCTTCAAACTCATTGTTGGCCTAGTTTTTCTAGAAAAGGTAAGCTACTATAGAAACGAAAATTACACTCCAAATTCAAGCCCCGCAAAGCAATTCATCTAACATAAGTCAATTAGATCATTTTTACTGCCCTCGAAACTAAAAATGTCCTCAGCACATCTTCGACAATGACCTATGCAGACCTCCATATCGGCCTCCCTACAATGATTATTTGCATTCAAATGGTCCCTTTTGCATTCTTCTTCCACTACGCCTACGGTACAGGCCATTACATTATTACAGGATCCTCCGCACCTTTCCAGATGTCACAGCAATATATTGCTGTAGACTCTAATGTTGAAAGTGGCGAAGACCACCAGAGAAGATATCAGGGTGGTCCTCTGGGAATCTATGCTTGGATTGCGCTTATCAATCCGGTGAATTTCTTCAGTGAAATCAAGTCAGCGCAAGCTTTGCTGCGTGGTGGTGATAGTATGTCGATGGATAATGCAAGATAAGTATTCCAAGGTTTTTCACACGCCATTTGAAGGTCTTTTTCTACGGACACACTGTCACACACACGTGAATTCATAGATCGATATTGCCCTCTAACAAGTATTAAAGAATGAACTATTTAATTCTGTCTAGTTTCTTTTTCTTGAACAGGGTTGTAGATCACGTGATTTACTTCGACGTACGTTGTCATATCTCACTGTAGATTCAACAACCTCTAGTTGAAAACATTGAATTTGAAAGGAGATTCTTGATAAACTTTTAATATTCAAAATTTTGTGATATTGGAGCATATCCGAGAACCTCAAAATGGCATCTCATCCCGCAACAATGAAAGCCTGGATGTACCGAAACACATCAGGCGTCCCTGGCATCGGCCTAGAGAAAAACCTCAACTTGGAAACCACAGACGCACCACCAGCTCCAAAGAGAAATGAGGTCGTCGTCAAAGTAGTCTCCGCCTCCATCAACCCAGCTGACTACAAAGTCCCCGAAATGGGGCTTCCAGCGCGTTTGTGGATTGGCATGCCCGCAATTCCAGGCATGGACTTTTGCGGACGCGTTGTGGCTACCGGGCCGGACGCGACCCATCTTTCCATAGGCCAACTTGTGCACGGCTCCCATAGTGTTCCGGTGCATTTTGGCTCGCTGGGCGAGTACCTCATTATCTCCTCTAGCCTCATCGCACCTGTGCCTGAAGGTGTCGATGCGGACCAGGCAGCTAGTGTCTCTATTGCGGGCCAGACGGCGTATCAGTCACTGCTACTCGGAGATTTGAAAGAGGGGGATAAGGTGTTTATTAACGGTGGTTCTGGTGGGTGTGGAGTATATGCAATCCAGATTGCTAAGGTTCTGGGCTACCATGTTACGACTACTTGTTCGGCGCGGAATATCGAGCTCTGCAAGGAACTCGGCGCCGACGACGTCATTGACTATACAGCCGAGAAGGATATGAGTGGTATGCTGCGCGAGCGTGGTATTGTCTTTGATCATATTCTTGATCATGTTGGTACGCCGGATGATTTGTATTACCAGTCTCATCATTTCCTGCGGGCTGGTGGCATGTTTGTGCAGGTTGGGGCATACTCGAACATGGTTCATACTTCCAGAGTAGCCTGGCCCTCTTTTCTTGGCGGTGGAAAGAGGAAGTACAAGATCTTTTTCTTTAAGAATACGCAAGAACATGTTGCTCAGCTTGGAAAATGGTTGCAGAATGGTTCATTGAAGATACCAGTGATACCTTACGAATTTGAAGATGCACCCGAGGCATTTGTGAAGCTTCGATCGGGACGAGCTCAGGGGAAGCTTGTGGTACATGTCAGCAGGCTGTAGTGTCATGATATTGCGTTTGCCTCAAGCTGTTGTGGACTGATTAGTCCTTGATAAAGTCTCAAAATGGTAATTTTTTTCGTTTGTCACATTACCACCACTTTGATAAGCGCTCATATCTTCTCCAAGGCTTCATTGTACAGATCCCGCCCTTTTACCTTCTGGGACGCGAACTTCGCAACATCTTTTTCGTTGTTGAATTCGATCTCACGCTTCGTCCATTCAGCCCCTGGCGTAGCTATGTAAAAGAAAATTTATGATGGCAGTAAAAGCCCGATGATAGAAGCATATGTGGCTACATATCTCTGGGGACTTGCGACCACTTGATGAGCTAGAAGGCTCTCTCTTTATCTTCTTTCATCTTTGCCTCTTCCTTCTCCAAACACTTGTGAAATCCTCTAGATATCTAAGATAACAGACCCTAATTTCTGGGAGTTTTCCGTCGTTCTCATAATCCGATTCGGAATTAACGGGACTGTCTTAGAGCAGCCACCAGGATGCCAAGCCAAATAATTGGGCAGATTCGGTATGTGAACACTCGAGGTCTATAACTTCGAGGTCTTCTGGGTTACAGACAATGAGGTTTGCGCAAATTAAATTTAACTTGCAATGGTCATATTTAGCTTTGACAAGGTCAACCTTGGAATTATTAGGCTCTTGAGAGCTTTAAAACTAATATATTCGGCTCAAGCTTCATTTGGATCGTGAATTAAGGAAGTTTGATGAACAAGCTGTTCTCCATTTTGACCGGTGATATATTGAATATATTTGGTAGTTGTTGTAAACTTCTGGATTCGATCACCTAGAGGTCATTTGTCTAGTTAGCACACTCTAGATAGGTGATATTCGGGATAAAAAAGAAAGGGGACAATAATAAGGCGTACCGAAAGTCTCAAATCCTCCATGGCCACTTTCTAGTCCATAGTCATCGTAAACCTTCCAATCGCGAGGAAAATGTATTAGGCGGTGCCATCGCTGAAGACCAATTCACATCAGTACTAGATAAGCCATGATAAAACGTACTGTCAATTTGACAGGGAGGCTTATCAGGATGGAAAATTGACACTCATGGGCAAAGATGGCCCGTTCTATGGGTCTCATTTACTTTTTCAACCCAAGGATGGCCTTGTGCTTACTTAATTATATCAAGAGTTGTGTTCGTGTCCATAATTTTAGAGAAGGCTTCTTCAGTGTATCATGATGAGAGCTTGCTGAGATTCTGTTGATACGATAGGCTGAAAGTGTTTTCAATCACGAGTGGAGCTCAGATTTACTGCAGTATTACTGCAGTAAATCTCTGGCACCTAATTGGTTTTGTCGGTTAATAAATGGGGAACTACTTTAAGCAGTTCTGGAGTAGACTTGAATAACATACCTCTTACAACTCGCAACAATACATTTACAAGGTAGATGCATATGCACCAGTAAGACACGTCAGTACTCCGATAGATTCGACTTAGGGATATTGTGAAAATTGATCACCGCTGCATTCTTGACGCTGAGAGTCAATCATTACTGTGACTCCTCATATAGGACTGATATCATTTCGACTCCTGTTCTTGAATATTTGTGTTGTAATATATAAACCACAAGTTCATGAATAAAATTATACTCAAGAAAATTCTATTAAATCAATTCAAGCCTTAGTAATACATCTAATCCTATTTCTATTGATTGAAAATCATCGAATAAACGAATGAATCACTATAATTTAGTAGCTGCATGTACCGGGAGACTTGGAACCCAGTCCTAGAGATCAACGAGCAGACAATACTATGTAGTAATATGTATGCAAGTTTTGATAAAGTTGAGTTTCTTTTGAGGAATCGCAGTTACTCTATGATATAAAGTGTACCTAGATCACATGACCATGTTTGCCATGAAAGGAAAGTGGCAGCATTTTGTCAAATGAAAGTGGTAGAAACACCTAGATTTAGCTGTACCAGCACATCATCACCTATTTTCGCGGTAATTATATCTCGCCTTGCTTAAGGGAGGCTGCGAATCAATCCTTGGTTATACGGCCCGAGCCGTAAAGGGTAAATATACAAGCAGGTAGTTTTTCTAGATCCTTTACCTGGCGAACTAGAATACCATCATATCTGGATAGGATTGAGCGACAAGGCTCGGCGTGCCTTTCTTTAATAGCCTTCTCCGGTTGATATTGATCCCAAATCCCGACTGGTCCTTGATTTTCAGCATCGAAGAGAATTCATTTCCTAGTTACAGACTAGTCATAAGATATATAATTTCGAATATGAGAATAAATTCTTATTATAAATTAAGTTGTTGCGTATATTTCAAGAGTGAATTCGAAGTAGGTGTTTCTTAGAAGTAAGGTCGAATACTCAAAGCTGATTGGTTCTTAGACGTAACTTAGGCACTATTTCGTTCAATTGTTTCCAACTTATGTCGCTCTCAGGTAGAAGGCCAGCACTGTGAGATCTATTCTAATGCCTTCTTTAGAAGCTCTACAGCTTCAATAGCAGGTCTATTCCAATTCTCCTCGTTTGTGACCCACAATGCTGATTGCTTCCACATTTCAGCAACTAACTCTGTCTGTGCCGTAGATGTATTTGCAAGGGCACCTTGGAACCAAAAGACGACCTGGCTTCCATCTGGTCCGCCTGTTCCTACACCTGCACCTAGGCCAGTGCGGAATCGGAAACGACACTCTTGTTCTGAATTCTTGAAGGGGTTGCCACCAAGAATCTGTGCTGGTAGTCCAGGCAGCCAGTTAAATAGCAATGTATTCGCGACGGCAGGAATGATTTGGGAAGACGAAAGTCCAAGACGTCTAAATACCTCATTCCAGGGAACACTGGGGTACTTTGTAAAGCCATCCTGAGCAGCTTGCATGCGTTGGAGATACTGCACTACTGTCTCCCCGGGCTGTATAGTAGTTAGAACCAGAGCACCATTGAATGTTGGCCCTGCAATGTCCGAAGCTTCAACGGATGCAAGGGATGAGTGCTCTGGCAAGAAAGGGAAGCTGGATCTCCCAGCCTGCAAGTTGATAAAAAAGGCGTGCGAGTGCTTAGTGTGCGCCATCGCAACGAATGCCAGTGCAGCTTGGAGGATCATTGGTTGAGTAACGCCAGACTTCCGCTGTAGGGCATAGAGCGAGGGTGCAGAGAAACTGAGCATATGTCCATTGTGGGGCTTGCGCTCGGGTGTGATGGTGACTTCTGGTGTAGGGCTCGGCCAAATTACGTTGTAATGTTCACGTAGATCAGTTAACTGGTTGACGTGGTAGCGAATTGCTGCTTCGGCCTGAGGAGAATTTCGTAGACTATGATAAGAGTCCGCCCAGAGTTTGTATGGAACATGGGGCGATAGTTTTCCGGAGAGGGCTTGGTCTAGGTCTTCGTTGAAGAATCCGATAGACGTCGCATCTGCAATCGAGTGGGACACTTTGATATATGTTTAGTATTAAAATTCCGAGAATAGCTTGAATACTTCACTCACCATTCAAAACAGCGGCTGCGGTGCCTGTTTCTTCAACAAACACCAACAAGGCATGGAAAAGCGGACCAGGAAGCTGTGGATGGTATTTGGGTATGTATTCATCGGCCAGAAGTTTCGCATCCGCTACAGTACGAACTGTCCCATAGTCGGTGATGCATTGATCAAGCATTTTTTTGGTCTGTCTCATAATAACATGGAGGCCCAAGTTCTCTCCAATTCCGGTGTTTGATATCAAATAGGACAGCATCAGAGGGTTGTTAAGTAGTGTAGCCTCGAGAGCTTCCCTCACTTCGATCATACTTGATTTCATCGAAACGATTGATGTGCGGATATTCCAAGAATCAACCACCTTTGAATGAGCCAAACTTTGAATCCAGTCTGTACAAGGAACAATGTCTTGAACATCTTCCCAATCAAAGCCATCTTGACGAATCAACTCTTCAACTTCCCGTTTAAGACTTCGGAAGCCGCTCACATCGCCACCAAGATGCACAATGTCTGAAGCTTGAGGAGGCCCAGTTCGTGTAACTTGGACTAGGCCGTTGGGGTTGCTGGGTGGAGGTCCTAAAGTACTGGTCGCAAGCAGCTTGATCTGATCATGAATTGTCTCGGCAGCTATCCAGCTTGGGAGATCAACACTGTGACCTGTAATTTTCCTTACTCGATCGCGAGCTGATACTAGAAGCATACTGTCAGCTACTTGTGATAAAGGAGTCTCGATATTCAGCCGCGAAGCTTCTGTGCCAAGTAATCTCGACCAAACTACAGTGACTGTCTTCGCCAAATCCGATGACAACAAAGTGCTGTCAAGCTCCTTCTTGTCTTGTGATTCAGTGAAGTCCTTGACAATTTGCTTTAACTGGCGCTTATTGGTCTTTCCAGTTGTTGTTAAAGGGAGGGTACTCAATCCCAAGTCATCCAGGGAGAAAACATCTCTAGGAACATAGTCCGAGCCTAATCGAGTCCTGATGGTGTCTTTGAGTTGTTGGACTGCTTCATGACTGGTTTTTGTTTTGATGATTAACACAGGGACCTCCCCAGCGACAGTGTCTTCTGCAGCAACCACCTGAGGCTGAAGCGTGCTCAGCTCGGGGATTTCAGCGAGAAGGTTCTCCAGTTTTGCCATGCTAAGATTTTCTCCTCCTCGCATAATGATGTCCTTGTATCGGCCAATGATATAGATCATGTCGTTCTTTCCAATGAAAGCCTCGTCGCCAGTGTTGATCCAATGGTGCCCATCGCGCTCAACGAACACCTCTGGCTCCGGCTGACAAATGTATCCGCTAATGAGGGCAGGTCCTGAGAAAAAAAGTTGTCCAGGTGTACCTTGAGAAACGAGTTCTCCAGTCTCAGGGTGGCATATGCGAATCATTGACCCTTTCACAGGCTTCCCGGCAGCCAAATAACCGTCGCTCAAGATGCTCTCTGTATCATGAATGATTCCGGTAGTCACAAGGACACCCTCTGTCATTCCATACAAGTTTTCCACCCATGGATAGCCGAGTCTTCCTCGAAGATTCTCTAGTAGACTGGGTGCTATCACCATCCCGGCTGATATGATCCCTTTGATCTTGAGCGTTTCGCTTCCCTGTTCGAGCATCCCAAGAATACTGTGTATCATGGATGGAACCATTGCAATGAAATTGCAGGTCTCGTCCGAAGCAGCTCGAATTACTGACTCGGGTGAGTACTTTGCACCAGCAAATATGAGACCCGCCCCCTTAAGAAGTGTGATGGCTATACAGATATAACCGTACAAGTGATGACCGGGGCCCGTGACGATGATACGATCTTCCGGAGTTGCGGTACTCAGCCCGGCGCTTGGCTCGTATGTTTTCAGCAAGATGCTAGCATCGAGATAGCACCCTTTTGGCGTATTAGAAGTGCCACTTGTAAAAAACAAATTCTTCTCTCCCTGGATTTGTTCTGGGACATCCAAGGCCTGCTCAGAAGCGATGACATTGCTGAAAAGCTCGCACTTGATGTTTGCTTGGAGACCGGCTGGCACTTTCCCCAAGTTATCCGCATTATCACTCAGAAAGAAGATTTCGCTGACATTGCAGTGCTTGACGACTTTGTTGAGCATTTGTTGTAAATCTGTTGGTTGGGCCAAAGTATCAGGGGTCATCGGAATGAAGACAAGCCCAAGTCGGTATGCAGCTAGCATAGAAATCACATACTCGGCTTGATTGCGGCACAAGACCACTATTGGTGTTCCAGGGGAAGCTCCAAGGCGCAGAAGCCCAGCCAGCAAACTTTTAGAGGCTTGCTTTAGGGTATGGTAAGACCATCTGAGATATGGGCGCTCTTCAGACTTCAAGGGTATTGAACTGAAACCGTACAAGTCTTCGGGCTGATGGAGGCATGCAATGGCCAATGCGGTTGGATTATCTTCCACGTTTTTGTCGAAAAGTTCAAGAAATGTCCAGGAGGTGGCCGGCGTCTCAGAGGCAGTGATTATCTCACTTGGTGTGTGCATCTTGGACAGCTTATTGACCAGGGGATAAGCAAGGTAGCAAAGTTTTAAGGGTTAAAAGTAGTTTGTACACTAATGATAGGCATATTTAAAGTGCTATTGCCGAAAGTACTTTTGTTATGTGGATCACTTCATAACCATGGGTACCTCTATTGGTACATTACTTAGTACAACGGCATCCTTACCGCTCGGCTATGCAAAATGTAGTGGGTAGAGGAAAGAGCACTCCTAAGCCTTCCTCTATAGTCCTGTCGGAACGATGGTTTGACTAGTCTTACTGTTGCATATGCATCTACTGTGTAAATGTATCGTTGCGAGTTGTAAGAGGTGTGTTATTCAACCTTGTCCTCGCTGTAACTAAATAGATAAAACTCACTAGATTCACTTCACGTCGCTGGACCATCAGCATCGTAACCATTCTCATTGGTCTGGTGTTATCGACATGTCCTCATCAAGCCAAGATGACGTGCGATTCTAGGCTAAGTCTCTATCCCTCTCAGTGAAATTCTGTTGAATGCACTAGTTGATTAACGCAATTCCTGGTGTCGTTCTGGCGCGGTAGTTATTAGGGCCTTGGCGAGACCTGCAACTATAATTGGCTGTGATATGTACGTACTTCCAGGCCCCACTATGGAGTTAGAAACCCAGCATCAGTTACAGCCTGTCGAAGCTCATGGTTAGCATTCTGCCCTAAAAAAAAGATTATCTTCTCCCAACATACTCCTTAATCCAATTCCAACGTGTTTCATTAGGATTCAGATCAGGTGAGTAAGGAGGCCAGCCAATAAGAATAATACCTCTTTCTGCCAACTCCCTTAGTGTACTTCCACTTCGATAGGCAGGAACATTATCTTGCATCACAATTAGCTCCTGTCCTTGCTGTCTTGCTAAACACACAATACTCTCATTATATCTTTCTGAATTAATTGTTCCCCACTCTTTCTCCCAGAATAATGAAGGTCTCTTCTCTAATCCATAAATAGAGCCCCAAAACATCCAACCAGGGCGTCGTTGAAGTCGTTTGCGGACACATGTTTCATCGTATTGATCCCCAGCTCGCCGAGTAACATATAACGTATATCTGTCGACGATATTCAGCCGTCACCTAGGTTTCATCAGTCTATATACATTTTTCCATTTATCCATCGTCTAATCAATGTGTTCTCGACCTTAAGCTAGATGCAAACATCTAGTATCTTCAGATAGAGGAGGCTTTCGAAGCGCTTTATAGCATTTATAACCTCTTCTAGCTAAAGCGGATCGAAGGGTCTCAATAGAACATTTAAGCCCTAGTTCTTAATAAGAACATCATAAGGTAGACGGCGGCCTCTTTTAGACGCGGAGATAAATTCAATAATCTCATCCATCTTGTTTTCTGATAGCTTATAAGGCGGTCGTCCGCGTCGTCTAGGAGTAGAGCCCTGAGCAGTTACTGCAATTTGAACTTAGCTTTGTGTAACACATAAACGTTAAGCGATTTGAGCACAAGAAAGCCTCTCTTGTTGCCTTAGAAAGCCTCTCTTGTTGCCTTAAAAAGCGCGCGATAAGCCGTATATCGCGGTTCGTATTGAATATCAGCGGCGGAATTGCAGAAAGAGGGCGATAGTCGATATATAACGGCGCCTCAGGGATTTCATCATGTAGGATTAGCTGAGGCGTCTCACAAGGCGCCGGCGGTGTAGAAGGTGCGCGTAGAAACGCCATATTTGGACGCGTACCAAATAAAGCAAAGCTCATTGATATTTGTAGGTATGATACTAGATCTATTTAGGGATATCTAACCTAATATGTGGCTAGCCTGCTATTGGAGCACGCTAACATTTCATGTTAGGTTACCTTTGTAGATGAACATAGAATTGAGCATAGAATTGAGCATGATTCTATATTGGCCGCCTCCACGGCAGTGGCCCCCGGAGGGCCAGCGGAGCGGATTTTAAAAATGCTAGAGGGCTCAACCTAAATTACTATAGCCTGCGGCGTGCGAAAGACTAGTAGTAAACATTCGAAAACTTCAGATGTTGATGATCAGAAAGAGCTCCTTATATCGCTGAAAACTTGCTAACTTTCTCTGCCGGTAAATCCTCATCATCATCCAAGTCCAATAACTGAATTCGGTGTTCCATATGCTCCTCTGTCTGCAATTCCACTTGCTTCTGCATCCTGAACTCTTCCCCAAACCCTTCCTGCCTTTCAAGAGTCTTGCGAGCAGTATCTGGGTCTCGGTCTTTGACACCCGCTTTACGTTCATTAGCTTGTCGTTCCTGTTCTTGTCGCTCATCCTCAATCGCCAAGGCAGCCTCCTCTCGCAATATTTCTTGAGAATCGACATCTTGAAGACCGATAAGGGATATTATCTTCCCCAGTAAGAACTGATATCGAAGATGACCACTGACCATCTCACTCACATCGAGATTCTCCACACCTGGAACGCCTTCGACCTTTTGTAATCCAGCAACTCCAAGCTGAAGGCTGCTTGTTCGATAGAGGAAAGCGAGCACAGAATCATTCTCGGAAAAGACGTTAACGACCCTTCCACTCACCACACTGCGTACACGTCGCCAATCATCGGCATCTGATGGAGTTGGAGATCCCATGAGGATGACCGATTCCACTACCCCGTATGCGCCTCTCTTTGCCAAGTTTTGAAGGCATGAGAAAATCAAACGAGATCCCAATGAGTATCCGATAAGAGTTACAGGCCGTTCTCCTTGTACTTTATTGATCAGGGCATCCGCAAGGACCGCGCCGGCTTTATCAGATCGGGATTTGGCAATGCTGAAGGGGTTATCAACGATACTTGCAATTTTTATGAGGCCCAAGGGCAACATGACTGCACTCATGAGAGTGGCAAAGACGGTGTGAGCCAGAACCTCCCGTCCCGCAATAGACCACGCCGCACTTGTCACCAAGGTAGAGATAGCATGTCCTAGATTCATCAAGTTCTCCGTTTCCCATCGCAGTGCGAACACCTCCGAGTCAGCACCAATTACCCGCCATGGAATCACAAAATCAGTCTCTTCTTTGACCCATCCCGTAACTCCAATGGTCACTCGCAGACGACGGTCTTGTCGAGCAGCATCGGTTTCTTTCTCAGACCGTGATTGAGATCCTCGGAGGGGAATAAAAGCAAAGTCTTCCACATCCTTAGCATATCGCTCCATCATACGCCCTGTCATTTTCCTTTTTACCAGTTAGCTTGACACGTATATCACATAACCGAAGATGCTTACCCGCCATAAGCTCCAAAGAGACCACCGACAATCACACTACTCCCAGCGAGAGCACCAAGGTATCCAGCAGCGGCAGTCGCGCCAAGTCCAAGACCACCTATGATTGTTCCAAGGCCCGCAGCCACTAATGGAGCAGCGAGACCTCCAGTAATACCGATTAATGCGGCTCCAGCAACTGAAGCAATACCGACTTTCCATTTTCGGGAATTGTCTTTCTTGTTGACCTCTTGATTTTGTTTTTGTGTCTCTGGGTCCGATGACAGCGCCAGCGCAGTGTCCAAGAGCCCACGCGCAACCTTCACCTCGTCTTCATTGAGCAATTTAATATCAATAGCAAGACTGGAAGCAACATTAAGCAACAAGACTCGCGAATAGGCGCTGTAGTGCTCCAGACTTAGAAGCAGTAAAAGAAGCGAATGCAGAATGAGTAGCCTTGTCGACTTGGGAAGCTGGGCCAATGGAGATTCCATAGGATGGTATATCTCGCGCATTTGGTTGATTCTATCTTGATCTTCGTTCAAGGGCAGATCATCCGAGTCCACAGGATCTTGAACAGGCTTGTGTTCTTCTCTATCATCATCACTGTTTACAACCTGGCCGATTCTCAAGAGAACTGCGTCTCTCCAGTCTTCAAAGTGGGAGAGAGCGGTAGCCTTAGCTCTACCTTTGGAGGCTTTCCTCGCAGCTATTCTCGGACGAGGCTGCTGAGGTTGACTTTTCTCATCACCCAAAGCTGAAACATCTTGCTGAGGCCTCTCAGGAAGTGGCGGTGTTACCTCATCGCGATCCTCATGAGGATTATCATGAGGCGGAGTCTGACTTGGAGATGAATTGCTTTGAATTGGCTCTTTCGAGTTCTCAAATGTCTCTAAAATGCCAACTCGCATCGACTCTGCGGTCTCTGCAACGAGAACTGTAAGGTCTCCTCGTTGTGACCGGTCCAGGATTGAAGTTAAATCTTGGCCCCCAATATTTTCAGATTCATTCGAATGCTTTGAATCAAATAACGACGCATGTTTCTCTTTCAAATTCTTATTGAGATTTCTAAACATTGTATCTGAATAAAAAGTAGGAGAAATATTCCGACTGGTCGTACGTTGTAAGTTGACGAGAAGAAGTTGACTAAGGTTGAGTAAGTGAGTGGAGCCTCAACTTGTGTCCTTAGGCATCAAGGGTCCAAAAGGGTTCATGGATTCAATTATAAAACATTAGAACCAAAACCCATATAATATTAAGGGGGCCAGATTTATTCCTTGAGAAGCTCTTAATAACTACCTAGGTAGGTAGAATATGAATAATTACAAAGCTATAATGCTTATTTTGGGGTCATCAACCCTTGACAGTCTTTGATTAGTTAATTCAAGGTATCCATTTAGCCTCTCCGCCTGCAGTATTTCCTCCTTAAATTTTGGAGCTGTACGGCGTTACCTCGGTAGCACGTGGTCAACACAGCTCATATTCGTCTTTCTTCGGGCCGTTCGGGCCTTGATTCGGACACTCATCTCCGATGGATCAATATATAGAGTAGATTAAATGCTCACAGGCTTTAAAGAAACTCGAGGATATTTTGGCCGAATACAAGCCCGAATATAGGACCAGTACTCAAAATTCCCCGTGCGCTGGCCGCATCGCAGAGATGGACACAAACAAGAACAAACTACTTGAACTTCTTGATGCGAAACAGCAGCTTTCTGAAGTCGCTGACACATTTGCCAGTTGCCATTTACAAGTAGTCATGTTGTTAGGGGGAGACGTCAACATGACTATAGAGATGGCAAACAATGTCCCTTCGTATTCCGTGAAGGTGACAAGCACAGTTACGGCAATCGACAAAGTGTGTCCGACGTATGGCCGAGGGAAACTCCTGGATGTTGATTCCGCAGTGCGTCTCGAAAATGATTTGCACAGATACTACGCCCTGGTCATTCAGCTATTTAGCCATGCCATCAAACTCTCGAAACAGCCCCGAATCAGGCAAAGATTATCGTGCATCAACCCCTTCGAGTCTAGTCTCAAAAGTCTTTTGGATCAGGAGAGTCATGCTGCAACTGGGATAGAAAAGCAAATACCCCGTGCTTTCAATCAGATAAACCAAAACTTAAAGAACTTGATACAGGACGAAATCAGGGATAACGCGGAAATTCTACGCAAATTCACCAATCACGGCACTTATATCGCGAAATTGATCACACGGCCAGCTAGTCAGTCAAGCAGCCTTATGTATTACGCGCTATTGCACGCTTCGAGAAGAGGCTGCAACGATCTTGTAGCAAGTTTGCTGCAAGTAGGTGCCAATGTGAATTGGACAGTTCTTGGAAGAGTACCTCTTATAGCGTCAGATGAAGACCATCAGTGGCTAGAGACACACTCCCAGTCCGTAATTGTGGACGGCATCAAACTTACTGTTGGGAAGCCTGGACGAACAGCACTTCAAGCGGCAACAGAAGAAGGTCATCTGGAGGTGGTTGAGCGGCTTCTAGCAGTAAATGCCAATGTCAATGCAAGGAGATATATTCATTATCGGAGCGGCGACCTATATCATGAGCAGACAGTTCTCTAAGCTGCAGCTGAAGGGGGTCATTTGGATGTAGTGGAGCAGCTTCTGGCAGCTGGGGCTGATGTTAATGCATCAGCCGGCGGTTGGGCATTTTAGCAGATATAATCGACCATTGTAGCTCCTGGTTAAATCAAGCGTCCCGATAACCTACACAGGTGCAATGGCCCATTTTACCGTGAGGGTTTCTTTATGTGTCATAATTGAGTGGTAAAAGCACAAGCATATATTTGGTATATTAAGTGCTGGTACATAGTCTGGCTGATGCATAAAAAGCCTCGGGCAACTCACCTTGGAATGGATCAGCTTGAACCTGTCTCAACCACAAAGTATTTCCCTTTAGTCTTTGAAGCTGCAGAAAGAGAATTGCCATCCCAGGTTGAACCATCCGGACTATTATTCTTCTCGCCTTGTATGCGTTGGATCCTTTTCCTCCGCCCACTGACATGTTCTTGAGTTAAAGCATCCCGAAGTTTTTCAAGTCCAATGGTCATCTCCTTAATAGCATCGGGGCTTTCGTCGCAAATACTACTGAGTGGTTCGATCCCTGTGGTATGTACAGATTGCATTTCCTTCACGAAATGAATTTGGGACTCAAGGGTTCGCAACATAGACTGCTCTTCTTCGGCGTTCGCTGGTTGTGGTAGGGCCGATAGGCGGAGGAGATGCCGGAGTTGTTTTGAGGTAACTGATGTTGTTTGTTCGGAAGTATTTTTTGGGATCAGAGACTGGACAGACCAGCTTGGCTTGGCGAGTATTGATTCAATGTCGTCATTTGACTTTGCAGAGTATCGACGCAGAAAGCTTGCATAGCACGTGAGGGACTTCGAAAGTCGGGGACTCGCTCGAAGACAAGCCATTTGAAAGAAGTAAAGATACTGTCCCAGTTTTTATACGGTGGTACTTTAGAATCACAATGCCATTAATCAACGTTGTTGCGAAGTAGGGTTGAATTGAAAGCGAAGCCTTGGAGCCGCGAAAAGACGACACCGCCTCCGCTCATCAAGCTCCATCAAACGATAAACCGTATTTTAATACCTCCCCATCTTAGATCTGCTCACCAGTCGCTCTCCGAAATAACACATTACCCTAAAACATGACTCAAGATCCTCGTGTTCTTTTGCAAAAGGTGAGTGCACCCTTTGCATTTCCCCGTTTCTGCGTTTCTGCCCCCGCCTTGTTCTAGGCAATGACGAAACACCAAGCTGACGATGTGTTTTTGCGAGTAACTAGGCCGACAAGCTCTTGTCCAGCGCCTCAGGGGGCATGAGCTGGTTTGGAGGTCGCACCGAGAAATATGAGGCCGCTGCGGACATGTATACCCAGGCTGCGAACGCCTTTAGGGTGCAAAAGATGAGTTAGTTACCCCACGTTGCCATATTAACAGCCTACAAGTTCTAGTTACTGATAGGCCCACTCTTCCAAACAAACAGATAAGGAAGCCGGACAAACCTTTGAAAAAGCTGCCTCAATCCAGACTCAGCATCTCAACGAGCCCGATGACGCCGCGAATCTTCTCCAGGACGCCTTCAAGGTCTACCGCAAATCTGACCCTGAGGATGCAGCCCGTGTGCTCTCTGCTGCAATCAATCATTACGTACTGCGCGGAAACCTGCGCCGTGCTGCGACACAACAGCAGTACTTGGCTGAGCTTTACGAAGTAGAGCTGGGCGATATGAAAAGAGCGCTGGATGCGTACGAGAAGGCTGCGGAGTGGTTCGAGTCTGACAATGCCGAGGCGTATGCAATATCCTTGATTTTAACTTGAAACTAGCAAGCTAATCAAGTGTGGCTTTTAGTCTCGCAAATAAGCATTTCCTGAAGGTGGCGGACCTTGCTGCCCTCGAATCGGACTACTACAAGTCCATCAACAACTACGAGCGCATTGCCCGACAGTCGATCAACAACAACCTTATGAAGTGGTCTGTCAAGGACTATTTCCTGAAGGCAGGTATTTGCCATCTAGCAACTAAGGTATAGTCGCTCTTACAGCTTGCTTTTAATTGAGCGCAGATGCTCATGTTTTATCTAGGATTTCGTTGAGACAAACCGTGCCCTCGAGTCTTATCGTGAAATCGATCCCACTTTCTCATCGACGCGGGAGTATCAGCTTTTGGCCGATCTGCTTCAAGCTGTGGAAGCTAATGACCAGGAGATTTTCGCTGACAAGCTGTTCCAGTTCGATCAGCTCAGTAAGCTTGATAAGTGGAAGACCACACTTCTCTTGCGAATCAAGAACAGCATTGAGGAGGCCGAAGAGGACTTCTCTTAGACTGTCATGTATTTGTTCTGTTGCCTCGATTCCCCGTCTGTGCTTTTAGTTGAATTTTGCTGATGCAAAATATGTTCATTTGGATAGCTCTGTAGATTGGCCGTTAATTTGATATTACCTGAAATTACATAGGATCCTTTGGAATGCTTGGATGGCCAAATTATCTAGGTACGCGAAAACAAATTCAAATAAAATCTAGAAATTAAGAATGCTTGTCACGACCTGGCAGACAACGTTGTGTTTCAACTCAAGAATACAGGAAAAATCGTAATTCATTAAGAACCTTGGAAATGCCTCGAGTCTATTTACTTTTGTGGGTGTCATGACACCAATTCTTGGCTTCAAGATCGTATCATCTCATGATAATAAAAAATAATCCATCTGGAATATTCCAGCTCCAAAAAGAAAAAAAGAATTTACGCAACAACCTCCTCCAAGGCTCGGGCGTGACGAGGGAAGACCCGCTTGTACAGACTGATACCAATGGAATCTTGAGGGTTGATTTTGGCATCGAACAAGGCCTTGAAGTAACCGTGTGTGCCGAGACTCTCCTTGATAAATCCACTGCGACCACGACGGGTCCAGAGTTGCAGTGCCTTGAACCAGCTGATATCCTCGGAGTTGAAGAACATGTATCGGACGGTGACAACCTTCTTGTGAATCTTGAAAGGATGACCAGTGAGGATGGCACGCTTGGCGATAACACGAGCTGGGTCGGATGCGACCACTGTACCAGTACCAATGAGCTCCAGGGTATCGAGGCTCAGCGGCTCTGGCTGGGCATCTGCTGAGTCAAGAACCTCGGGGTCCTCCTCTGTCTTCTTGTTGCGGAATACAAGAATGGGGACAGCGCCCCAGGTCATGGGACCAATCCAAGTGGCAATAGCACTGCGCCCGGGGTGCAGGAAGCGGTCGAACTTGTGCACATTGTTGGGAGTGTTGTCACCGGCAGAGAAAACAGGCTTGACAACCATTCGGCGGGCACCGCACTGGACAATGAGTTCCTCCTTGGACTTGAGGGGCTCCTCAACGAGGGAGCTCAAGTTCATGTTGACGTTGACTACAGTGTTCTTGTGTTCGTGGCGCAACAGCGAGAATAGAGATAAGGGCTGGGCCTTGTTACGGAGAGAAGCAGGCACTGCGCGAAGATGGATGTCGACACGGATACCTGGGTTCACACCACCAACTAAGGCCTCGCGAAGGATGCGGTTCTTGGCTCCCTTGTAGTCACCAATTTGCAACAATCGGCGCCAGTCTTCTGGCTCGAAGGGTCGGTCCTCAGACGTTTCCCAGGCGCTAGTCTTAAAGTTCTTCAAACCTCTGAAGCGAGCTAAGCGCTCTCTAGCCTGAACGTTAGGGTGCAATTCAATCTCGTCAGGGAATTCAAGGTCCTCCTCGGCTTCTTCTCTGCGACTGGCCCGGTACTCCTCCAGCTCCTTTGCCTCATCTTCTGGGGAAGGGTCAAGGAACATCTCTGACTGAGGGTACTCAGAGGGGCCACCCTCGGTCATGGCGTCTTGGTTATCTGGGAATACACCATCTTCCGGAGCACCAGTGGTATCCATTTCCATATCATGATCCTCATCCTCATCCATATCAGATCCAGAGTCTGAGACATCTTCGAGATACCAGGCAGATTGATAGTTAGATGTACCTTTCGGCAGACGCTTGGGCACCAGGGGAATGTGTGAATCGTCGTCTGAGAAGTAGTGGTGGTCATCGAGCAAAACACCCTTGCGTTCAGTTTCAGCGACTGAAACCATATCATCATCCTGCATCTCAATCTCTTCCGGCGCAACATTGGCCATATCATCCTGGTCCGCAGTAGGGCTATCCAAGAGTTGAGGAGTTGTGTTGTTGTCAACGTTCATGGCGTCATCCCGCTTCTTTGTAGCTGGGAGCGGTGCGGCTGTGATGGAATCGATCTGGAAATCGCCCCAGCCCGGGATGTGGGCAATGCGATCGGCCTTCAAGCCCCTGCCACGAACAACACCGGTGACAACGACATCATCAACCACTTCTGAGGTGTTTTCAGGCCACTGGACACTCTCAATCAGCACATAGCTGCGGTCATCACGCCATCGGATACCCTTAGGGGTGGCAGTGCAAAGCGATCGAATCGCATTGGAGCATTCTTGACGAGAGTCAAGTGACAAGACCTTGTCGACAGTGGGGAAAAAGTGGTTGATGAAAGACTTCAACGCAGAAGCAATCTGCGGGCGCTTTTTTGCAGGGGTAATTTTATCAAGACCCTGAGCAACGGTCATGACGTTAGAGATACCCTGGCTTTCAATAGAGCGCAGAAGTAGTTCACCCTCCTCATCAACTTCTTTTTGAGCGGAAGTGACCAAAACCACGAAATCGGCCATACGGCAGACATCCAAAGCGGCAATTAGGTCGAATTTGGATGGCATATAAAGAATGCTCTGTTTAAAACGATCAATACGGACACGTGTGAATCCATCGGGGGAAACATCACTGGAGATGTCGACGCTCTCGTTCAGGGCGCGAATAGTAGCAGCGACATCGATATCAACGGTCAAGGGAATAATGGCGACATTACGTGGTGCACCATTTTGGCCGGTAAAGAGGCTTCCTGCTTGGACCTTCTCCTGGTGCTTCAATTGCTGCCTCTGCCGGGCTTGATTGCGACGATCGAGTTTCGACTTGAGTTGTTGGTGGGGTGTTTTACGAGAGCCCCGCTCAACCTCAACTTTGCCTGGAAGGGTATCAGTGAAATGATCGTTGAATTTTGCGATTTTGAATCAGTTGACTCATACCTTTCGCTGCATCCTTTAAGGCACTCTTGGAAGCATGCTTGGTCTTGAAAGGTTTGTTGGCAGCCTTAGTGGTGTTTCGGTGATGATGCACCGTCTGGGTAGGCGCCATATTGGCACTGGACCCTTTAAATCGGAATGGAAGGGAGTCCAGATTGAATTCAAAATTGAATTCGTCAAGTAGATCTCTTCGCCTTAGGAAATAGAAAGATTGGACGTTATATCCTTCGAGTTCGGAAAAAAAAATATCAAGCGTGCGATAAGAAAAAGAAAAGTGGAGTCAAGCGAGCGGTGAGTGGCTAAATTTTTTAGACTTGGCCAAATTTTTTGGATCAGCTTTTTGGACTTTTCTGCCATCACAAGTTCTCGAAAATGGCGGATTCATCTAGTAAGGCTGTTATGACGGCCGATGACCGTGAAGCGAAACGTCGACTCGCAGAAGCCCAAAAAACCTACGGACGTGGTAGACCGGTTTCGACAAAAAATATCCGCAACAAGAAGCTCAAGGGCAACCTGAAGGCGCAGGAATTCCGACACAAACAAGCAGTTTTGCAAGCTAAGGATGCAGAAATCCTACTTGAGCATGAAGCAGGATTCCTTGAGCCCGAAAATGAGCTGGAAAAGACATACAAGGTCCGACAGGCTGAGATCCAGGAAAGCGTCGGATTGGAGACGGCGAAGAAAGGCTTCGAGTTGCGGCTCAACGACTTTGGTCCCTACCGCGCAGACTATACCCGGAACGGTCGAAATCTCTTGCTAGCGGGGCGGAAGGGTCATGTTGCGACGATGGACTGGCGCGATGGCAAACTAGGCTGTGAGCTACAGCTGGGTGAGACTGTGAGAGACGCGCGATGGTTGCACAATAGCCAATTCTTTGCGGTTGCTCAGAAGAAATATGTCTATATCTACGACCACAATGGTGTTGAGCTGCATTGCCTGTCTAGGCATCTGGAGCCGCTCTATCTTGAATTTTTGCCATATCATTTCCTGCTTGCCAGTGTTGTAAGTCTTCCTTTGACTCTCCAGTGGTTTTAAGGTCATTGCACCGATGCTAACATTTACTTTCTTTTCGCCTAGCAAATGAGTGGCCACCTCAAATACACCGATACATCAACCGGTCAAATGGTTGCAGAGTTGCCTACTCGCCTAGGTGCCCCGACCGCTCTCTCCCAAAATCCCCATAATGCCATCCTTCACGTTGGACACCAAAACGGAACCGTGACACTGTGGTCGCCCAACTCTCAGACCGCACTTGTCAAGGCCCTTGTTCACCGTGGGCCTGTTCGGTCTATGGCTATCGACCGCCTGGGTCGCTATATGGTCTCAACAGGCCAAGATCAGAAAATGAGCATCTGGGATATCCGCATGTTTAAGGAGGTACATTCATACTCTTGCTACCAACCCGGTGCATCTGTCTCGATCAGTGACCGTGGCCTCACGGCTGTTGGCTGGGGTACACAAGTGAGCGTTTGGCGAGGTCTCTTCGACGCAGCCCAGGCCGATCAAGGCAAGGTGAACAGTCCTTATATGGCCTGGGGTGGTGATGGGCAACGTATCGAGAACCTCCGTTGGTGCCCGTATGAAGATTTGCTTGGTGTCGCGCATGACCAAGGCTTCGCCAGCTTGATTGTCCCAGGTGCTGGTGAACCTAACTTCGACTCATTGGAAGCCAACCCCTACGAGAACGTCAAGCAGCGCCAGGAGGCCGAGGTGCACTCTCTGCTTACCAAGCTTCAGCCGGATATGATCTCGCTCGATCCCCACGTCATCGGAAAGCTCGACACCATCAACGACAAGAAGGTGCAGGAGGCGCGCAACCCCGACCACCGGCCCGAGGACCATATGGAGAAGCTCAAGAACCGTGGTCGTGGACGCAACAGTGCTTTGCGCAAGTACCTTCGCAAGAGAGGCCGTACCAACGTCATCGACGAGAAGCGCCTCAAGGTCGAAGCTTTGCGCAAGGAGCATGCTGCTCGTGCCAAGGACAAGAATCAACAAGAACGCGAGGACTTGGGTCCTGCTTTGTCTCGATTCGCCAGAAAAGCTTGATTGTTGTTTTTATTTTCTTTGATGTTGGACATATTCCCATCATCCAGATACCCAGCGGCTTTTTGTGAGATACGGAAGGCTTGGTGCTGCATTTCAGGCGTTGAAAACGGAACCTATCATGAGTGTATAGAAACGGTAACAAAAGCAAATTTACTTCTCGTACGATCAAGTTCCAAAGGTTATTACTATCATTTGAACCAAACCCAATCAGACTCGCAATTGGACTACGCCAGTTTATTGAATCTCTCTATCTACTCATCCACACTCCCGGATCCTTTCACCGCACCCTCCTTCCACCGCTTCAAACTAAGCTCATAAGCACCACTCCCCTTCCAAGCACTAATAATCAAATTGACAACATGATCCATGCCCTTGCCATGCTTAACAACCGCAAAGATAGTCGGTCCCCCCTCACGCATCTTCGCCGCATCCCGCTCCATAACCTTCAAATCAGCACCAACAGCCTCAGCAAGATCAATCTTGTTTACAACAAGCAGATCCGACCCAGTGATACCCGGACCACCCTTCCTCGGCACCTTGTCACCGCCCGCAACGTCGATAACGTAGATGATGAAGTCAGCCAGCTCGCGCGAGTAGTTGGCGGCCAGGTTATCACCGCCAGACTCGATCAGCAGTAAATCTGTCGTGAATTGTTTTTGCAGCGTTTGTAACGCTAGTAGGTTGGCGCTGATGTCTTCGCGGACAGCGGCGTGCGGGCATCCGCCTGTCTCGATAGCTCTGATGCGTGAGGGTGCGAGGGCTTTGTGGCGGGTTAGGAACTCGGCATCTTCTCTGGTTTTTGGTCTTTTGTTAGAATCGTAGAGCTTTCCAAGGTTGTTTCCGAGGTTGCTATAGGACTGGCAGTTTAGGGCTTACCTGGTGAAAATATCATTTGTCACAGCGGCGATGTTGTACTCGTCTCGTAGGGCATTGCACAGAGCCAGCATTAGGGCTGTCTTGCCTGATCCGACTGGTCTGGAAATGTGTTAACTCAGTTTCACGTTTGTATATTGTAGGAGACTGTGCTCGAACAAGGGAAACGTCAATCTATCGATCGATTTGGACTTACCCTCCAATTCCAATCGTGAAGGCACGATCATTCCAGTCACGACCTTCGATTAGTGGCATTTCACGATTGGCGTATGAGCCAGGGCCATCGAGGATCTCGTGGGAGTGACCGTGGCCGTTGAAAGGGTCATCGTGGGAATGGCCGATTCCAGCATCGTGAGAGTGAGAGTGAGCCATCGTTATCGCTGTACAAATGTATTTTGGTATGGAAGTTATCTGAGCGACGAGAACGAGGCGGGGTTCGAGGGTGGGGAAGACGATAACAGAAAAAGAGCCGAGAGCTCCATTATCTGACAGCGGATGTCGCCGATCTCGTCTCTATATCTACACTTGAAGCAGCTACGCGTACATAGCAATTGATCAAGATCAGTGTAATGTATGGATTTCTCATAGTGGCAATATAACAAGCCGTGGGCTAGAGTAGACACCAGAAAATCCTCAATGCACACAGCTCCAAGAAAAAAAAAAAAAAACAAGCCCTACGCCGGAGCAATCGCCAACAGGATATGAAGATCAGGCCATTTCAACCAGGCCATTAAACGAGTAACAAGGAAATCAACCCACAAATCGTCAAAACTCTCAGGCAAAGGACATCCCAAGAAATGAAATAAGAGATGCAAAAGGCAATGAACCCAAGACAACCAAAGAAACGCTTAAAATGGAGATAGAGTACATTAGGATCGGGGTAAATGCCGGACGATGAGGATGGGTGCCGTCTTCCACTTAATAGACATCTGTCAACAAAGGGGTGGCATGAATAAACGATTAAACCTCATCGAATATAAGATTTTATCGTCAGAGTACCGAAAGAAACAAACTGGACATAATTTTCGGAATTCAGAAGATCTCAAGGGAGAGTAAAAGAAAAAGAAAGGGACAAATAACAAAGGCAAAAGCGCTGCCTTGCCCACATACCAAATCCAGCGCCGGCTCCTCTCTTAAATCCATGAGATATGACAAAATAGACAAGAAGTTTGGTGACCAAAGATGTTAGCGTTCATGCAGCTGCCCCTTTCTGCCGTTTCGTTACTCGGGGACTAGCTTTGACCTTGCCGGGAAGAGGTGCAGTGCCATTAGTCTCAATTCCGCCGTCCTCTTCCATTTTGACAGTGCTTGCCCGGCGGCGCTTGTTACCCCCGACATTAGGGCTGTTATTCATAATGACCGGAGATGGTTGAACAGAGCCCGGCATTCCAGGAGGGCCTGCAAGTTGACTCTGGGCAGGGCTGGCGTGGGCTGAGCCGGCCATAAGAGGCGAGCCCTGTGAACCCGGAAGACCCAGATGAGCCATAGCGGGGGAAACAAATTGAGGGGGCCCATTCATGCTGGGGGCCCGGGCAAGTTGCTGCATAGGCATTTGCATGCCTTGCGCCATTGGAGGCGCGAATCCAACATAGGGACTAGGGGTCTGTGTTTGTAGAGTATTGACAAGGTTGCGGAGAGCTTCAGGAGCAGACAATCCTGGATGCGAATGGGAAAATGACAGGAGGATTTGCATCTGGGAAATTGTCTCGGCCACTTCCAAGAATCCCATCACGGCAGTAGGCACGCCGTCGGCAGTGACCATGGATTCTGGGAGTGATATTGACGGGGCTTGCTTCTGTGCCCGCTTCGCAGCATTTTTGGTAAGCTTGGGGCTCTGTTTTTGTTCAGATGCCTCCAGACTCTGAAGATAATTTCGGGAGATAAATTCTTTGTGATTGTAAACGTTAATATCAAGCATCTCAAGCTTGTTATTGGCATCGAAATGAGCACGCAGGTGGCTACTGGTAAATAGCTTTGAACATAATCAGTATAATGCGGAGCAAGACCGAGAGCGAGACATCATACCTGACAATCATTCGGGAACCAGTATATGAAATAGGTCCGCTGGCTCTCGACTATATGCCCGCCATTGGGAGCATCCCGTTCACGGGCACCTTCTACCACCATCTGGATACGACTGATACCACTCGAAAATTGGGTGAGGTAGTACCGTGCAAGTGCCGGAGTTGAAATCTCAAATTGCTTAGAGCCAGTTTGAGGGTTCCAAACACCTTGGCGCAGAACACCCATAGGAGTAAAGAACCGGTCAACAAAGCCCTGCCAGTATGTGAAGTCGCTGGTTTCATTTTGGCTCTAAGATGAAGTAAGTACGACTGATCCACGGTCAAAACATTGAGATGGCAGTGCATACCTCAAATGAACCCAATAATTCGGCGTAGGTGTTCAGGGTTAAAATCGAAGAGCTTTGGCGGTTCATTCTCTGTTGTTGCATCATCATCGCAGCATTATGCTGCTGTTGCTGTTGCGCTTGTGCTTTCATCTGATGCTCCTGGGCAGTCATAGGCTGTTGGCCTTGCTGGGAAGGCTGTTGGCCCTGCTGACCCTGCGGACCTTGATGGGGTTGTTGCTGATGACCCGGTTGTCCATTTTGTTGTCCGGGCTGTTGAGTTTGAGGCAATTTCTGTGGCTGGGGGTTTGGAGTCGCCTGGTGGGTGGGTTGTCCACCTTGGGATTGTACGGGCTGGTTTGGAGGAAGTTGAGAAGGTGGTGGTTGAGGTGTACCGTTTGGGGGAGGTCCGTGTTGTGATTGTGGTGTACCAGCCTGGACTTCATGCATATTTGGAGGTTGCGCTGAGGTACGCTGGGGAGTGTGTTGGCCCTGCTGTGCATTATTTGCCTGCGCTTGCGCTTGCTGAGCCTGGTGTGCCTGTGCCTGGGCCTGGGCTTGGGCTTGGACCTGTGCTTGTGCCTGCTGAATAGCATATATTTGTTGATGTTGCATACTTTGCGGCTGACCATGAGTCATTTGTGGCTGAAGGTGCATATGCTGAAGGTTGACCGGTCGCATTGCTTGGTTGGCCTGCATCGCAGCGATCTGAGAAGCATTAAGCCCCTGGGTTCCGTTGGGTAATGAGACAGGGAGGTTCCCGTGTTGTTGTTGCTGTTGTTGTTGCTGTTGTTGTTGCTGCTGCTGCTGCTGCTGCTGCTGTTGTTGTTGTTGTTGTTGTTGTTGTTGTTGTTGTTGTTGTTGTTGTTGCTGCTGCTGTTGCTGCTGCTGCTGGTGTTGAATCATCATATGTTGACGGAGATATTGCTGCCGCTGATGCTGAAGTAATTGAGGGTTGTTATCTGAGAATTCAAGTCAAATGATTAGTGGGTGTCCGCGAAGAGCAATGACTGGGGTGGGAGGGATCCCATCGGAGCAGTACGTTGGGCCGCGACCGGGGCGGGTCATGTTCTCATATGAGAGACTATATACACCAACAAAGGAAAAAAGGAGAAAAGCCGGTGGAAACTTACAATTCTGAGAAAATGCCTGGGGTTGGTAGACATGCGCTTGGGCGGGACTAAGATGGGAAAGAGCATGGGCGTTCGGCATGGGGCCCCCAGGGCCAGCGGTTCCAGCGCCCGGGGGCATACCCCCCATCATGGGTCCCGCCTGGCTGACTTGAGGCCCACCTGGAGCGGAAACACCAGGATGCATCTGTTGCACCATTCCTTGTCCTGGATGTCCAGCATTTGGATGTTGAGCGGCCATTGGGTGGTGACCCGGGGGCATGGCGTGCTGTGGCATGCCTTGATGGGCAGGAAACGGTTGCGCCATCATCATTGCTAACAGGCAGCAGTCGCCACGGACAAAGAACTACAGAGGCGATCGGCGACTGGCGACTGAAAAGGCGAGAAGAGGGGAGGATGAAACTGGAACGCGACAGGACAGCAGGCCGCTTTTAGCGGATCTCGGGAGCGGAGACCTAGTAAGAAAGATGATAAAAAGGCGAAAGTATATAAGAAGACCCTCAGCCAATTTTGATCACCTGCTTTTGCCGCAGCAGGCTTCGATCTCCTGAAGAGCCAGAAGAGTTAGTTTTGGTGGGGATGATAAGTGAGTCGGGGGGCGGGAGAAGAGGACTGGGGGTGGAATAGGTGCAATAGGTGGAATAGGGAGGGGCTGGGCATTAGAGGGGTTTAAAGCCATAACTAGGTCAACTCACCACTGATCAAATATCAAGAAAGAACACAAGACGATGTATCGCCCGTGAAGGAGAAGAAGATCACCCGGATGGAAGAGGGAACTGGGAGGATCCGGCTCCGAAAAGTGGAGGATGTAACCGAGCAGGACAAACGCGAAGAATAAAGTAGTTATAGAGGGGGGAATATATCGATAAACATATGAGTGATCAACGGAGCAGTTCTGAAGATTGGGGACTTCTTTCTATTCTGTTTCTTCGCCACATTTCACCACCTTTTGGGCTGTTTTTTCTCTCTTTTTTCCAGATCGCAATGTCGTCGCGCTAGTCCCATTTAGGACACATCACGTGAGCCCGTGTATTTGAGCTTTTTTTTCTTTCTCTTCGTTCATTTCTTTTCTCTCAACTACATATGTCTTCGACACCAATATCACTGGAATCATCAGGACAGTTCATATTGGGATCTCCTGATATCCTCTGTTGTCATGATGTCTGATGATACACTCTGATCTCGCCACTAACCAGATCAGCTAATCTTCAAACAACCATCAGGTTAGTGCTGCTGCTTTCTGCTTTTCGAAGTCTTGCCTTGGGTTCGAGGATGACAAACACCTTTTCACTTCTTTACCTTCCAAATCGACCATGACGAGATAGTCCAGTCCTCCCTTTCCCGGTTGGTCTGTTACTTGCCAGTATTATTTGTCTGAGAACCATCTACTTCTATTTCATTATTTTGTTCTGCAACTCTGCATGAGAAACATGACTGATTTGAAATTCTTCCAGGTTCAAACAGCATTCTATACCTAGGTACCTTTATAGCTCTTCGATCAATACCTATCCAATTATATTTCTTTATTTCATCATCTTGTTCCCTGTACAGAGACTCTTGTATCAATCTGTAGCTACTCCGTAATCTGTAGATAAATCTACAACTGGTATCCTAGTCATTTCAACCTTCAAAGGTTGCTGAAGACCAGTTGTGTTTTTATCCATTTAGGACTCGGCTTCATCTATAACTCCAGGAATAATGTCGATCACAATTTGCAGTTCAATATCGATCACGTGATGATATATCTCTTGGTGGAGCTCAGTCTTAGTCAACCCGCATGCAATGATTCACTTTCCGCGACTACATTAAGCTCTAGTGGCATCTGCCCTGGATGTATCGGTCAATGCTCCCAGTTCGGCTGTCTGTCGTGCGCCCTTGTCGTTTCATTGCCCATCGTCGCTATCCCGCACCTACGCCCTGGCGCCGCTTCCATCTATCGCGCCAGTGGCTGTCAACCCCATCGCAGGACCCAAATGAGCCCTCAACTCCCGAAGATATAGTTGACAACTCCCAATCACCTCAGTCAGATGATACTGTGGCCAGCAATGAATTATCTTCCCCTTTCACTACAGATCAGGCTGCGTCACGGCCTTATGGGCCGGCTGTACGCCGGGCCATGAGAAATAGGCTCAAAGGACATGATCAGCAAAAGCAGCAGGATCAGCAATCAAATCCACCACAAACTACCACCATACCTAATTGGTTCTCAGAATACAACACAGTTACTCGAAGCCTCAATGGTCATGATGCAGAACCGCCGGTCCTCCAAGTCGAGATCACCAAGTCAAAATCCATTCCAAAACCAGGGGATAAAAGCAATCATCCAGTTGGTGGAGAAGAACCTCCTTCCTCTGAAGAACCATCAGTATCAAAAAATCGCTATGCTGTATCGGACGCATTATGGGATGAACTGCGGGCATCAGCCAGGGCTGGTTTGCGACTACCACCAGATCAGTATGCCAAAGAGCCAGCAGCAAAAAAGTCACACCTTGTTCTCCAATACCCCGGAAACGATGGCATTTTGTTCTTGAATGCTGTCGTTCAACAACTTTCCCACGATCTCAACACCGATCTTATCACTCTCAATGCTCTAGATATTGCTCAGCTGTTCAGTGAACAGGACTTTGTTGAGACAGGTGCAACATCACCAATCCGTTCTCTGGGCTATGAAGTTTATCGTCCTCAGGGCATATCTCCTGGACCAGAGTCTGTCGACGCTGAATCGGACGGCGATGAAGATATGGACATTTCTCCTATGCAAGGGGGACGGGCAGAGGCTAGCTCCCCTCACTTTATCACTATTGAGCCGAGTAGACAGTCAAACGATGTCTTGTTTCCAAACTGGTCTGGGTTGAGGTCATTGGTTGCGTCCATCAATGGCCAAGTCGATCAAGATGAGAGTAGCTCACGGCATTTTGGCAAGCGCGCAGAGAAACGCTGGTCTCGACTTCTTGATGAGATCATCTCTTCGGCCAGCCAATCTACAGAAGCTGTTCCAAAGGAAATGAAAGAGTCTCCTGAGGCTGAAGCCATCAAACCTGTACATTCTCGTGACACTATTATTCATATTCAGGATTACCGCGACATTCAGAACACACGGGAGGGTGCACGGTTTATCTCGCTCTTACAAAAAGCCATTCAGGATCGAAGAAGATCTGGCACCCGGCTTCTTTTCATCGGTAGTACGTCGCAGGGATTGCAACATTCTTCATCGCCGGATGGAATCAAGATTTTACAAAATGTAATTGATGACAATTTCTCAAAGACTCTCATCATTACACCGGCCATGGAATCAAAAGCGGCAGAGAAAAATTTCGCAGAAGACCAGAAAATTCGAACTATGGACATCAATGTTCGGCATCTTCAGAATATGTTGCGATACCGCATCAACGAGACTTCCTCCATTATCAAGAATAATATCTTTGCCAATCGGGACTGGGAGCTTGACGCAGTATCGATCAAGCAGTCCGGCATCAGAGATCGCTTTTGGTCCTATAATCAGGTTCACTGGGTTGCAACTCTGGCACTTGGCAGTGCGGATCCTAGCGAATTATTTGGTTTTGAACAAATTCGACGTGGTATCGAACTCATGGACAGAGGTGACAAGGTCACCAGTGATTGGTTGCAAGAAAAGGCATCTCAATTGTCTGAGTTCTCGGAGTCTAGCACTGAGCAAACTCGAGAACAGCTACTAAGCTCCCTTCGCAAGACTTGCAACACACATGAGAAAAAGTTGCTCAATGGTGTTGTTGATGCAAAGAGCCTACGTACCACTTTTGCGGATGTTCATGTCCCAGCTGAAACTATTGACGCTCTCAAGATGCTCACTTCTTTGTCCCTGATTCGTCCTGAAGCGTTCACCTACGGTGTTCTAGCCACGGATAAAATTCCTGGTCTTCTGCTATACGGACCCCCAGGTACCGGTAAGACACTACTAGCCAAGGCCGTCGCCCGAGAGAGTGGAGCTACTGTACTAGAAGTGAGCGGATCCGAGGTGTACGACATGTATGTCGGTGAAGGCGAGAAGAATGTGAAAGCAATATTCACACTGGCCAAGAAGCTGAGCCCATGCGTAGTGTTCATCGATGAAGCGGATGCCATTCTTTGCTCACGTACGAGTTCCAGTAACCGCTCCTCTCACCGTGAGCTAATTAATCAGTTCTTGCGTGAATGGGATGGGATGAGCGATACCTCTGCCTTCATAATGGTCGCTACCAATCGGCCCTTTGACCTAGATGATGCGGTTCTGCGCCGTCTACCCCGACGCATTCTCGTGGATCTTCCCACTGAGAAAGACCGCGAACAGATCTTGAAAATTCACCTAAAAGAAGAAAAACTCGACCCCACTGTCGACTTCGCCGAACTGGCCAAACAGACTCCGCTTTACTCCGGCTCTGACTTGAAAAACCTGGCTGTTTCCGCAGCATTGGCATGTGTTCGGGAGGAAAACGATCTCGCCGCAAAGCACCAGGGCGATGAGCCTTACCAACATCCCGAACGACGCACATTGACCCGTGCACATTTCGAGCGGGGCATGGGCGAGATCAGTGCCTCTATCAGCGAAGATATGTCCTCGTTGGCGGCAATCCGGAAGTTCGACGAACAGTACGGCGATCGCAAGAGTCGCCGCCAGAGGAGTCCTGCTTTAGGCTTCGGTTCTCCCAAGGCAGCCGAGTCTACTCCTGATACTGTGCGTGTCCGAGCGTGAGTTCCATGCAGCTAACTTGGGAGAGCTACCATGCTTAAGTATAAACCTGAACAAGATTCACCCCCCTCAATCCCAACTTTGTATCATTAGCGACACGATAGACATGTACCACTACATACCCGAAGAAACATTATGGCAGAGTGTTTAGCAATTCTGAGGCGCTGGTCAAATAAAGCGGGGGAATTATCAGTGTTCCCCGCATAGGATGTAATACGGCTAGTACTGAATCGTCTGGCAGGGGCACAGAGTCTACGGGGCCTGGGGTACCTAGCGTTGGAGATTATGGGGCCTTTCAACCTGTTCCGGGTTGACTCCATTCGGACTGTATAGCCCTGTCCAGGTGAATATACACGTTAGACCTCGGCAGAACTGAATCTTAACCGTCCAATAAGACCATCTTTATTCAAAGTTTCCAAGGTTGCGTCTGGCTATCATCTCGAGTTCAATGAGCAAAAATAGATGGAGCAAGAGCCTGCAATCCCTGCATAGAGTCCATGAATCATGACCAGATCATACGACTTGCACCCCAGGATTAAGGCCCCACAGGACTCCTATAGGGTCAGTTGACGAAGTAAACGGCTACTGCTTACATACTAAGGGATTTCAGGAGTGTCACGAGTGCAGCTTTTACTTAATTAGACATAGCTCTTTGACTATACCTAGGTATAAAACGGCCCACATCCTAGCCTTAGAGAGATGGTGGGGAAGTAGATCTAGTCCCGTTGACCTCAGGATCCAGTATATAATAATTACAATTTATTGAATCAACATGAAGTTAAATAAGCACTATCATCTCATCTGAAAAGTCCTAGTCTTTTCCTGTACTACGATATAAAATCCAAAATGTATGCGATGGGCACGTGCTACGATGGTATCCGTCACTACCCGCAGTCGTTCCCCCCACGTGTGGAACTTGAAGTGGAGGAAAAAACTTCCCCACCTGCCAATTTTCGTCTTTTGAACATTTTCCCAGCCATGGCCGCCGCGTCAGAAAACCGTGACACCGCCATTCAGGAAGCCAAAATCTTCGTCCGCAAGGCTGTTCGCCATGACTGGGAATTCCCCGCAGAGACCGTAACGGCAACGGCAAGTCTGGATCTCGTCGACAAACTTTCTGAAAACCGCGAGGTGGTGGAATGGCGGTTTCGAGAATTTGATACGTCAAGCTCAGATCTAGGAGCTCAATCGTCCGACACTGACGACAGCGATTCGGAGGTGATCAAAAACAGCAATGACCCCGAGACTGTATTGCGGCGCAAACGTCGCCGCCAAATAAATGAGGAAATGGCTTGGAATGAAGGTCTGCGGATGTTCATTGCCAGACGCGATGCCTGGTCTGGCGCTCGTACTCGACGGCAGATTCGTATCAAAGAAAAGGAGCGCAAGATTGCCAGCGTGCAGGCTGATACATCGACTGCTTCTGACAGTGATGATACGACAGTCCCCTCTCTAGCTTCTCCCGCGGCCTCAGATGCTGAGGCTCCTGTGTCACAACTGACTGATAAGGCGGATACACTTTTAATTAGCGAACGGGAGCAGGAAGACGCACAGTCTATCGCCCAAGACGACGAGACTACGCATAAAGAGTCAACAGAAACCGGCCTCACTGTACCCGATCAGACGTCCTTAGGCGAGGTCAATCACTCCATGGCATGTACTATCGACGATAGTGACTCAGAAGAAGAACTAGATGAGCCAGTTATCCCCGTTGCTCCGCCATTTATCCCTGCGGACAATATTGTCCGCTCAACGATCACTCCAAATATCTACCCATCAATCTACACCAAAGTTGTCGTCCAAGGCATGACTCCCACAGTACCTGTCAACTTGGCTGACTTGACCAATGCCATGGTTCAAGGCTGGAAGGCAGACGGGCAATGGCCGCCGAAACCAGCAGTCACATCTATCGTTCTTCAAGACGATGCCTCTATCCCCAAAAGAGACACAGGCGCTAGCGACGGCCAGTCACCCCCAGCGAGACGGAAAAACAGTATCACAAATACCATTCGCAAAGTCTTTCACAATCCATTTCATCGCCGCGGGCCCAGCAACGATAGTGCTATAAACGAACTTCCTCCCAGCGGTGCTGTCTAGACTGAGTCAGTGTTATCAATATGCATTTGGTTACAAGAAATGAGGTCATGTTAACGAGTAAACGCGGGGTTGCATTGTGATTGATTATTTTGGATGGCTGCGTTGTAGTCAAAACATGTTTCAGTATTCCGATTCCCAGTTGATATATTTATTCTCAAGAGATTCCAAGGCTGTTGATTCCGGGTATTTGAATTCCAGAGCTGTAGGATTTTTGCTCCTCCAGGGATGTGAGCTAAGTTCAATTATCTTCACGATTGACGCCCTACGCTTTCCTAAGTGTATGTACAAGGAGAAAAGAAAGCCGCCCAGACAAAAACCGGCAGGCCTTGAACTGAGATTACTTACCTATGTAGGATTCTAAAATGATACATTAAGTACTCAACAGACAGAACCTGCCCATGACCATGGACCAATAATTTCTTATCAAAGCGAAAAGAACAAACATTACTATGACTGTCTAGCTAGCATAATTCCCAAACTCCATGCTAACTATGCAAATATCTTGACAACATAAAACATATATGTACTGGAAACAGAAATCAAAGTATATTATAATCCTCAAACTTCCCCATTACTCCGATAGAAATTCCAATTGATCAAGCTTGCGCAGGAATTCTGCCGAAGAATCAGCGAATGCGGAAGCCGCATTTTCTACCAACGTGGCAATCGCAGGTTCGAGTAGAATTTCCTTGGACTCGTGACCTGGGCGGCTGTAGTAGTACTTGCTTCCGTGAACAGACCAGTTCTTGAGATAGGACTGGTGGTCTTCGAAAGCGAGGCGGCGGGCTGTGATGATGTGTTGGGGCAGGGTACTTGAGGTTGAGTCTGGTGGTTGCTTGGTGGCGATGTTCTGAAATTCCTGTGCTGTATCGGAGGTAGCGAGGTAGGATGATACGGTAACGACAAAGTCCTTGAACCATTGAATGTATGAGATGAGGCCTTCGGCGGCATCTGTCGTCCTGTCAATGTAGTCTATCACAACAAGAGACGAAGATATGATCTCGATGAAGGCGGCTATCTGGGCTAGGACGGTTGTGTGCTTGAATCGGGATTGATTGTGGCAAAGAGGTCGAAGTGCATGATACAATGACTGGAACACGATGTCGAATATCTTCAATAAAGAAGACACACAGGCTGGGTCTGTGGTATCCAAATTGAAGAGTAAATCCTTGAACACAAGAGAGACACTCTTAATGATGGGCTGACTTAATAGCCATGCTGCAGGAGTACTGAATGTCAACTCAAGGTATACCGGAAATATGCATTGCAAGAGAACAGCGCGGAGAGTTGGCTTGTCGAGACGCCCTGCCTCATAGGTATCTTTCATGGCCGTGTACAGCTGGTCTACCAGATGCATTTGCTGGCCTTCAACTGTGGCTCTCTCGTTGATGCTTTGGATGAAAATAGTGAGCGTTTGGACCTCCTTGGAGGAGGAAAGCTTTGGCTCATATCTCTTTAGTTTTGCGACAACGTAACGCGGATCTGCAGTTGGCAGAGGGAAGAAGGCGGGATCAGTGAAGAAGGGCTCGACAGGTCGAATATCGCTTGTGAGTTCTTGCAAAAACCTGACGATATTGTGCACGAAATCAACGTAGGCACCTTGGATAGAGCCCCCAGCTGCTCCATTGCTAAGTTCGCGGTAGTTTTCTTTCATGGAGGTCATCAGTTGCTGAAGTAGTCCGGAATATTCCTGCCTTGTGACAGACACCTCTCGGCTACCTGACGCTTCCAATTGCAAAACATGTTCGCGCATATTTGACAAAAGGCTTGCAAGGAGTGCCACCCGTCGCTGGCTGAGTTCATGCAATGAGATCGAGTATCGATCATCTTTCAAATCCCTGGAAAAGGGGAGATTCTGCAGTAATGGGTCCTGGAGACTGCCGTTCAAGATAGCTTCCGTGAGTTGATGCTGGAACTTCAGCGTCGAAGATCGCTCGGTCAGAGATGACATCCATATGTTCATAACTAGGATTCGAGAGTCGATGAGAATCTTTGCATCCTTGTTAATGCACATCGCCAAAAACTGAGCCGCAAACTTTCGGGTCTGCATTGTTGCTCTTAGCATAGCCCAGGATTCGTCACCGAAAGAACTGAGAAATCTATCCCAGGAATAGAAGCCATGTCGGACCATCAGCTGAGCAATAGATGTCCAGCAGTCTACGATCGTCACAAGGATTGCATCTTCTGGACAGTAATCTGCACCAAAGCAATTTGAAACAAGGTGATACACAGCTGGACGGAGAACCTTTTCCACATACTCGACTGCCTCGCTCACTGGGGCTTTTTGAGTCCAAACTTCATCGATATCTGCCCAGTTATCAAGTCCTTCGAATTCCTGACTATCTTCATCAGCTGGCGCGGAAACCACAGGAGCTGACACTGGAGGCGGAGCAGGGGAGTCTTTCCGGGTATATGCTAAAATAACTCGTATGGCCTCGGATACAACGCTATTCACTCGTGCTGTCTTCGGATTGAACAGTCCAAGTATGGGCTCGAAGGGTGTCTTCGAGATCAATCTGTACGCATGATCTATCGATGGAGCAAGATCAACAGCAGATTGCATACCCGCGAGTGCCATGTTCAACAAGGATTCAATCTGTCGTTGATTTTGAGAAATGGTGCTTTCTATCAGTTCTTTTGAGGCCCATTTGTCGCTTTTACTCTGGGCTTCAATCTCTTGACGAGCCTGCAAATGCTGTTGTCGGAGCTGCGTCAAAAAATAGCTATGCCAATCAGCGAATGGCTCCAGCTCTGAAACAGCCTCGTCAGTTGACAGCTGAAATCGAACAAGTCTTGTCCATGACCGAAGATTGATGTTGCATGTTTCGCGGTGCGAGCTTGAAGGATCAACAAGGTTACGAATGGCTGCCAAACGAGGTCGACATCCATCTGGGACAGCCCAATACAAAGTGCAAAGCAAATCGTGGTGGTTTCTCAGAGCATCCAAGTCTTCATGGCGTAAAGCTTGATCCTTGGGATAAACGCGGCCATGATTCGGGAGTAGGCGCCACGCAAAATTTCTCACTTTTTTTTTGTCATATTGCTGAGACAGAAACCGTAAGCCGCTTGCAATGATCTTGAGCAGGGTATGGAAGCACGGCTCTCCCGCTCGGGCCTCTAGGGAAGGATTTTTATCAAGCTCATCAAGGAATGAAGGAGATCCGTGACTCTCCTCGTGCTTCAAGTTATAGAGAGTCTTTTGAGCAAAGAAATCGTAGAGAGTATCAAGTACATGCTTGCAGTCTCTCCAGCCCCAGGCGTTGATCAAACGATGACATCTGAGGAACAGAGCCCGGCAGTAGGCATTATAGGGGACAGAATGATTCGCAGAATTTGTGTCGTAGTGATCCAGCGCAGGAGATAGAAGTTCCTTAACAAGGGTCCAGTTATCATCCTTGTGTTTAAATCGTGAATTGCGGATTGCAATGCCACGGTGATCAATTTCATTCAAAGGTAGTAATGTGAACAATCCTCGCCATGCATTCTCCAAAATTCTCACATTTCTTTGGCCACGAATGGAGCCCTTAATACACACATCAATATAAAGATCTCGAAGAAGGCCACTGAGAGTCTCCGAGGTGTGTAGGAGCTGTTTTACAATAACGTAAGCTTCTGCTGTTGAGAACCCATCTCGGAGACCCGCCTCTCGTAGTTCAGATCGTTTGATTTCCTCAAAAAGGTGTTGAAGTTCTGCAATACCAGTCTCGCTAAGAATCACTGCAAAGACATCCTTTGCAGAAATCCTGACAAGATCGAGTGCGTCATTCGCAAGTGTTGGATTGACAAGTGCGTGAGAAGCGATCTGATAAATCTGGTTTGAAAAAACAAGGTTGTAGCATGCAATCTTCACGAGCCCATCCTTATTGTAGTCAGTTCCAGTGACAAAAGCAGCCACTGGGTCTCTTATCCTGAAGACAAGGGCCATCGTACGAGTAATGAAGCTTGTCCGATCAACAGGATCGGTAAATGATAGCTTTTCTGTCCCGTAATTAATGATAGCACGATATCTTTCCGAGGCTGAAATCAAGGATGACACAGAGCTCACTGTCTTTGGCGGAATGACACTCTTTTCAACCTCTTCGATCATGGCATCGAAGGCAGATCCCATTTCCGACGAAACTTTCTCGTTCCAAGCACCCCAATACAAGGTTTGGTCCTTGACAGTTACGGGGGCTAGCCCGGCATCACGGTCTAGATCTCGTTTCAAGACATGTAATGAGCGAGAAGACTCCCCACTTCCGATGAAAGTAGATTCATGAAAATAAGTACCATTGCGCAAAGGAGCCATGCCAAAGTCAATAGGGTATGAGGTTTCCCAATTGAAAAGTCCACCTACTATAAGAGATGAAGGGTGAGTGGGAGGAACATCAGTCATCTCTGGATCCATCGAAAGGTCAGATATTGTCAAAGCCAAGTCTGAAACATGATCTTGGATGAACTCATCCGAGTTAACGTTGATACGTTTGGGGGCATGCTTCTTCAACCGACGACGAGATTTTTGTTTTTTTACTGATGTCGACTTATTACCAATGATCGGAGCTGCAGCATACTGCTCTGAAGCAGTATCGATCGATGGGCTTAAGCGGGCGGTATTTGAAATGAACCGATCTAGAGTCAGGCTTGGTTTGAAACTGAGAGAGGTTTGCTGTTGCTGATGTTGATAATCCCGATTCAATAGGATCAATGATTTACCAAACTTGGCTTGAGGCTTCGAGTCATTTCTTGCAGGCCCTGCTAGGCTCGTGGCAGCCGGTCGAGGCGTATTTCGGTGCAAAGATGAGATGACAACATTTCTTTGAACAACCCATTGGTTACCTCTCTTTTCTAGTCGAGCAGATTGATTGGCAATAGGGTTTGTGCTCGGTGACACGGAAGGGGCAACAGAAGCAGCACGTACTACAGCATCCACCGCTGAATCGTGCTGAACATGTTGGCCACCCAGCTCGAAAATATCTGGGGTTTCTGCGGACGCAAACTGGACGGGAATTTGAGCTGACCTTGCAGATGGCGCCGCTCGATGACGGCCACTCAAAGTATTTGCGAGTGGTTTATGCTTCTGAGATTGTAGCTTTGGTCGAGCTGCCTTTGACTGTGGTATCGCTCCATGTCTCCAGTCTCGCAATGATTTGTTTGCGTCTAGAGTGTCCAGCTTTGATCCAAGTTGAACAAACTTTCGAGTTGGACTTTGTCTGCCACTGTCTCGACGCGAGCGAGCTTTCCTGGCAGCAATTCTGAGAAACTGTGGTTGCTCTTTTCGTGGCCGGGATGCCACATCAGGAACATCCAGGACGCCCAATCTGGGAGGTTGTCTTTTCGTAGAAGGCTTTGTTCGCCGTCCTCCATATGAAGAATCAGTCAATCTTGTCTGACGTTGGATCCGAGGTCTCTTCGATTGTCTCTCTTTGAATAAGGTGCTTTCTCTCGGCTTCCCCCGTTTCAAACTCCTTAGCTTCCCATTCGAGGCGCTCTTGCGAGACACTGTAGGAATCATATAGTCTATCCGATTATCTTCCATGATGTCTCCATCTTGATCGAACGGATCCGGAAATCCTACTATCCTAGTGAAAGCCTCATCGAGGGGTTCAGTTTCAGGCCCGGGCTCGGTATTGGTGATTTTGGAGGCGAGATCATCTTCATCACTGTCCTCGGAATCACCAAGATCTATGAAGACGGATCGTTGGATTGAGGTGCTCCCTGAATTTCCAGCCTTCCTGGCAACTTTTCGAGCAACACCTTTACCATCTGTCCGATTAGAAGTAGCATTGCGAGTATGCTGAGATGCCCTTTGTTCATCTATCTTTTGTTGTGCATTGAGTCGAACCCATGAGGCAGGAAGAACTCCTCGAGTCCGACGCTGCATCAATCTCACTTGGCGCTCTTGGGCGGTTTCCTTTGGGGATACGAAAGACGCTTCTGACGAGTCTGAATTTGCCTCGATATCAGAGCCCGCATCAGATATCTGCACTACCTCCACATTAGTTTCACTGATTTTCGGTGTGACTGATTTTGAGCCAGAGACTATAGTTGTTGTTGTTGTTGTTGGCGGTGGCGTGAACCCTAGAGGAAAGCGAAAGCCCTCTGAGATATGTGGTGTATGTATTTTTGGTGAGAGACTTCCTGAATGTGGTGAACTAGATGGGATATCGAGAATGGATAGATGGGTGCGACCATTGGGTGGAGTCTGATTAGCGGTCACAATCTGTGGTCCAGCACCGGCTGTTTTCCAAGCACCAGCATATGACTTCTTCTGTCGTTTGGAAGATTGAGAGCGATGAATGGCGGGACTTTGCTGGCCATTATGTCGAATCTGTCTGAGCACGTCCCCATCTTGAGGCCGATCACGAAAGTACTCTTCTGGTGGTGGACTGGAATTTAGTGCATCGGGATTGAAATTATCTTGTCTCTGGCTTTCTTCCGTAGTTCCTGGAGCCTGGTCTTTCCTGGTTTCTATCGCCATACGGATCGGCTTTACTCCTCTTTCCCTCATTTGCTTCTGGTAATTGGCCATCTCGAGGGCGTACGGGTGAAGTTGGATTGCATTACGTTCTCGAAAGTTTCTTCTCATCTGAGTAGACTGCTGCAAAAGTTCCTGTGTGATTTCCACTTCAGACATAGCTTCATCTGGAATCTCTTGTTGGGCAGCGGTTATAGTTGTTTCCAGCATGTTGTCCAGTGGCTCAAGTAGCTCAAGGGGAGGGGATTTTAGAGATGATGGAGGTGATGATAAAGGCGAATCATCACTTAAGCCATGTGGCACTGGCTGCGGCGTGTTATTAACCTGAGCATGGTTGATCGTGGTAGTTGATTCAGGTTGTGAGACCATCACTACATTCAACTCATCGGGAGAAGAGCTTCGCGATCTTGCAGTGAAGCCTGACTTAGATAGCTTGCGCCGTATTGGAATCGGAGATTGTGTGCTTTTTGGAGACGTCGAGGTGTTCGGTGTGGGATTGAGGCGTCGTGATTTTCGTGCAAACCCAGTAGTGATCCCCGGTGAACTAGGGATGTCCCACATAGTATCATCCTCATTGGGAGAGACTTTAGACAGCACAATTTCTTGCGGGCTCGTTGCCTTCGTGCTTGCCAATCGGTTCCCATATGTTATCCTGCGTCGAGGTTTTGGAGCTCGGTCTTCAGATGCAAGGCTTCGTTGGTTCACAATGTTCGGAGAGTTCCTCTTCGGTTCGATTTCAGCTGATGGACCTAAAACTGGTTCAATGAAGCCGGGTTTCATTCCCTCCACGTCCGAAGGCGCCACTGTTTTCTCTTTATCAATCCCATGGTCCTTGGCAGTGTCTGTTGGCTCAGTAGGAATGGTAATATATTCGAGGTCGATATCACTCTCTTCAATACCGTTTTGCGCATTCTGAGGACTCTCATCCTTGGCCTCGGAGGACTGAAATTCGTCTTCATCATCTGAATCTGGGACAAACCCTCGTTTCCGCCATGGTTCCATTTGCATCGTTGGCGAGGATCCCCCATATCTTTAACGCATCATCGATCGGGGCACTTCAATAGAGCGTGCTATACTGATAGTATCGTATAGAGTCGTTATTAGCACAACTTCGAGGTGAATATGGAAATTGGATGTAGAAAGACGCGTTGATTGAACAATTTGGCGACGCGAACTAATCAGTTGACGATAACGGCCCGCATCTCTGACCTCCATTTCGGCACTTCGTGACTTTCACATTGTATTCTATCTCTCTTGTACATCCCCCACAGTCCAACATGAGTCGAAATTTGATTCCAGCTGTTCTTACTATTGGTGTCGGAATTTATTCTGGTAAATCCGCCGACTTTACTGGCCCAAATCGTCCCAATCGCTTGGTTTCTAACTTCATGTTTGCCCGTAGGCTACTACATCTTCCAGCCAGCATTCCAAGAACTTGCGATTGAAAGAGTGCACGGCACTGTCTCCCCTCCTAAGACTCATGCTTCCGAAAGGGAAGCCAATTCTTCCGAAAGTGCCTCGATAGCTGCCGCAAAGCCCATTCCTCAACCCTCTGGCAATGAGAAGAGTCAATAATTGAGACCTGGTTTTATTGACAAATAAAACGAACTGTTGAACTCTGTCTGCATCTTGCTTCAGAAAATCCTGACAGCTTATGACCGAGTCATAGTGATTCGCTCCGGACTATGAGCAGTCAACGTATGACGAGTTATACTGCATGCGCAGTCACTCAGAAACTCGCACCTCCTCTACCTAGGTATATCAGCGGGCTGTCTCCAGGGCTATATGGCGACATAAGTCCGGTTCGGGATAAATGGGCTATTTTTTAAGTTGGGAGTAAATACCACTGCTGATAAGCGCTGGCTACGATCACCCTAAAATCATGTACATAACTAAGTATAGTGTTTTGAAAGAGATTTAAAAAAGTACCCAAGGTTCAGATGTTGAGTGAAAATTATTTTTAATTTCATTATTCTCCCTGAATATTGGGATAGAAGAAACCCAACGCTATGCCTCTATCTAAGAAGTTTGAAGGTATCTGACCTGTTTTCGAACAGGTGAGAGTCATTGCGTCTGAAGAACCACATTTGAATCACTCCCAATACGCCTGGTTACACTAAAGCCATTTGAATACACACTTACAATACTTCCTCAACCATCTTGCCACTTCCATTGGCACCGAACAAGCGGCCAGCAGGTGTTCCGAGCCACTCTAGAGGTACATTCAGGGTTGAGCCACTTGCATTGCTGACCCATCGCACCATTGTGGGATCGGCCTTCAGGGCTTCCGCGGGCTCTTGATCGGCCGGTGTAGTTTCAACGCCTTCAGCAGTAGCTGCTGCTTGTCGACCGCGCTTCTTAGGAGGCTGTCTTTTGAGCAGCCGGTTGATCGTGTCCATCTATTTATAGAAGAACTAGTTAACTGAGAGAATTCGCATCGAGTACGTCAAAAGTTTGAACTTACCTTTTCTTCTTCATTGCGCTTCTCGCTCAGATTCTTTCGTCGTCGTGCCATTTCGGCTCGGCGCATTGCACGTTCCTCAGCAGTCAAATGCTTCTTGACTTGAGGTTCTGTCCACATGTTAGCTTCAGTTCTTGAAGAGAACACACATCTCGTTCCTGTAGCATGTTGACATACCCATAGGAAGTTGTAGGAAATCGTTGCCCAGATTTCCACGTTGGCGCTTAGTTGTTTTGCCGCTACCCATGGCATTGACATCACTGTCCATATCTTCATCCATATCGTCATCGTCTTCTTCCTCCAGCTCATCAACGTTGGCTTCGGGTATAGCACCCTCATCCTGGTCATCAGGCTCCCCTTCCGCATCAGAGTCTGTCACAGAGAGATGGTCTTCGTCATCTTCCTCATCATCGTCTCCCTCTTCCTCGTCGTCTTCCAACTCAATTTCTTTCTCTTCGACTGTCTTGGCTGCTTTGCCACGGGCTGGTGCAGCTACCTTGGTACTTCGCTTTGGCGGTGGTTGCGACGGAGCGTCATCCATCTCGATATCCTCGTCAGCTTCTGCATCCTCATCATCGACCTCATCTTCTTCTTGATCCTCTAAATCGTCGTCCGATGTTTGGATCTCAACAAGCTTCTTTTTGGGTTCGACTAGACCGGGGTCCAGATATAATCGGGTTCTCTTGGAAGACATTGATGGGACGGCCAGAACGGCTTCCAGTAGCTTCGCGCAGTTTACCAGCGGGCATTTTTAAAATTATGCGGGGAGATCTGCGCAGCTCATCAGTCGAAACTGGTGCTTGTGCTTGAGGTACTTGTATCTGAGCAGTAGCTGAGTGAGTTTTCCTTGTAGTCCTGGTGCTGACATTAGCTTCCGATTCCGACGTATCATCTGGAAGGTATAGCGATCGTCGAGGGCGACGAGGGGGACGAGTGTGCATGTTGATAATGAGGCTGAAACTTGGAATGGTAATTGATAAAATGATGTAGATCCAGCTAGCACTGAGGATAGATGTGGGAAAGGAGATTCAGTTGTCAAAGTGATATGGCAGAACAATAATAGGACATTGATGTGCAGAGGAAGGTGCAGTGGAGGGGGAGGAGACTAGGGAAACATTTCCACGCCGAGACCCAATCATCTCGTGATGGGAGCTGAACTGCGCAAGCCGGGAAGGCACATATACAGTCTTATGCGCCACATAAGATATTCACTAGTGCGAACAAAGCGCACTACAATGACCAGGGATCTAGGATGCGGTCCTGACGTGGTCCTGCGGTGCACCCGGGCTGGGGAAACAGAAGGAAGGTTTGATCCAATGCAGCTGATCAATCCCAACAGGAAGGAACATGTATGACTTACTTTAAAGACAATTGACAGGTTTGTAAATCACATCCAAGGTTGTTGCTGGGTGATAAAGTAAACGGGCCCGTTTTGCCTATAATGCCAGGCGGTGTGGCTCTTATCGATAGTGGAGGTTTATAATACTCATTAAGCCCGTCGATGACTTCCTTTTTTTTTGATGTCATCTAAATAAAAGGTCTAGCCTCCAGGGCTCCATATTATAAATTAGCATGCGGCTGTCGATTGACTTAATCTGAGCAAACCTTGAAATACTAGCCTACTAGGGTGTATTAATCCAAACAATAAATGAATCATGATGCACACTGCTATTAGACCCATAGAGTGGTTTTTAAACAATAGTCAGTTCGAACATTGGATTTTTAGGTTAATTGTACCGCTTTCTAAACCGTTCATAAATGTCGGCAGAATGTAAAAGAGGCATATAGATCATGAAATGGGCCAATATATCATAACGGGAACAATGGTCAGGCAGCAAAAGACTGACGTTAGCATGACCCCTTGCACAAAGGATACCGTACTTTCAAAGTAGACCACCCATTTCTCTTTTTTACCAAACGGCCTTAAATAGAGTGTTATGAGGTTATGTCCGTTTTGATAAAATTAAAAGGTTGAGCGTTCGAGACCAAGTGAGCGCGTTTATTTTAGAATTTTATATTGACTCGAGATAAGAGCCGAGGTCGGGCTCACATGGCTAAGTCCGGGGAAAATCGACTCCTCGCCACTTTTTATTTACAGCTTTTTCCTGCACCACCTATATGTTTGCTTAAGATTAAGCCATAATGTCAGACCCTTCATCTAGGCCATCGATTCCCCATTGGCAGCAAAGATCAGGCACAATCCAGACTGACAAACCTTCCTTATCGCCCGCGCCATCGAGCTCCGATGATGCACCCGCATCAACTTCACGACAGGAGATTATTGATCAAGCTTCCCGATTTCTGGAGGATGAATCAATCCGTGACGCTCCCACAGACCGGAAGATCCTTTTCCTAGAATCAAAAGGCTTGAACCCAGATGAAATCCAACAGCTCCTCGGCGTTTCCCGAAACCCAGATGCCAGCAGCAGCTCGAGCGCAGTCATAGAAAAGGGAAAGGAAACAACCTTAGACCCCCCATCGGAAAATTCTGAAGATTCATGTTCATCCCCTTTGACTGCTTCAACAACTATGTCGCAACCCCGCTCAACCACTCCCTCCGCATCAAGAAATGTGCCCCCAATAATTACATACCCTGAATTCCTCTTCGAGTCTACCAAGCCACCCCCACTAGTCACAATACGCAGCATGCTATACACTCTCTATGGCGCTGCCGGTCTCGGCACAACCATATATGGTGCAAGCGAGTACTTGGTAAAGCCCATGCTCGCGAGTCTGACTAGTGCACGCCATGAGCTTGCCACCACAGCCCAGGAAAACCTGCAAAAGCTGAATGAGAAACTAGAACATAGCGTCTCTGTAATTCCAGCCCACCTAACAGCACGAAAGGTTACTGTGGACGAAAATGTCGATGAAGACGGGGCCTCAGTTACGTCTGATCCGACAGAGCTCTTCCACCGCGATATCGGGACACAGACAATCGTGGAAGACGCCCAATCTTTGAATTCTTCTACTTCGTTAGATACCAAAGAGAATCCTGCTGATGTGCCCACCATTGCGGTGTCAAATCACATGAAGCGTCTTGAGTCGATCCAATCGCATCTGAAACAAGTCAAGGTCATCGAGCAGGAGAGTAGCACGCTTGATGATTCGATGCGTACTAGTCTGAATGAGCTACATCATTATCTGGATAGCTTGGTTTACGCTACTGCACCGGGATATTCGTCTGTTACAGTGGCGTACGGTGCATCTTCCAATAGTGGCTCGAATGCTAGTGCTACAGGCTTACGAAAGAAAGAGCATGATGCCATCGCAGGCTTTAAGGCAGAGATTCGAGGTGTGAAGGGAGCGCTGCTTAGTGCGAGGAATTTCCCTTCTAGTAAGAGCGGCAAAGTGCCTGCAGGTACTTGGTAACGTCGATATAGGCCTATTCTTGCAGTAGAGTTTCTATAAATGTATTGCAAATTTACATTACAGGCCGAACAATTGAAGGCTGAATGAGCAAGGGCTTGGGAGAGGGTGGTGTGCTATCTTGAAGATCTAATCGTGTAATTCATGTCACGTTTATCTGAAAATCTAAAACTCATGAATCCAGGGCCCACGATCCGAAAAATGAAAGTTTTGAATGTAGACATGGGAATTTCTTTTCTCATAACACAGGAAGTAATTTCAGACTAGGCCCCCAGGGGATAACACAAGAAAGGAGACACGCGAAGATTAAAAATAAATGGACAAGAAAACAAACATCAAAGGCGAGGCGCGGTATATCAAGATTCCATCTCATCGTTGATACATGCTACACTAGAGACAAGTCTCGGTTAGAGCTGGGAAGCACTTCACGGGGAAACCTTGCTCATGCTGATAAGACGTTTAACACCGACCTAGAATAGGAGATATTAGTATCGGTGCTGAGAATGGAATTATATTGCTAAACTCACCATCCAGTTACCACACTCGGAATTCCGGTGGGTGACAATGTCCGTGTGAATAGCAAGGGCAGCCTGGAAGTCACGAGACTGAAGAGCGTGAGCTAGGTTTACCATGTCATTCACAGTGTTAGGCTGTAGTAGGTCTTCGTTGTTCAGGTGATCAAAGAGAATGTTCAATCGGCGTTCGGTATCAACAACCTGATTGTGGAAGCTTGCCGGAGCCCGTGCCTTGACGCGCTGCATATCTGCCGAGAGAATCTCGAAGATAGGCGCAGCGTTGGGAGGGATATGAGAGCGATCACCAGGGGCTAAGTCATGTCAGTTTGATGGTGATGATAACTGAAAACGTGTAACTTACGGTGTCGGGGTGTCGAGGGAGCAGCCGCACTTTGAGATTCAGCGGTGCTAGGACGGGGTCCCTGAGATGGTGGAACATGACCCTGAGCCGTTGGAGGTGGGGGAATAGTCATGGGAGGCGGCTTCACAGCACCAGATGGGCTTGGTGCATACGAGTTAACTGGTGGGGCATATGGTGAAGGGCGAGCCTGGGGAGGAGGCGCCACCGGACCACGAGCCTGTTGTATCTGCGGGGTTGCAGATTGGGCAGTCGGACTTGGGGCATAACGGTTTACTGAGGGGGCAGCGCTAGGCGGGGCATTGTAAGGGGATGGTCCCCGAGGGATTGATGTCGGGGGTCCCATGATCCCTGTCGGTGGAGAAAGGGGTAGCGAGGCATATGGGTTGATGGGAGGGGGTGGGGAGGGCCCAGTCGGAGCATTCGCCAGGGGAGACATCACACGGGGAGGAGGAGCTCCACCCTTGGGCGGCGGGGGAACAGATGGAGCTCTGCCGAAAGGAGGCTGTCCAGCAGGTGGAGGACCTTGAGAGATGGGAGGGGATTGGTTGGGGAACGGAGAACTAATAGCAGAGCCAATGGGAGTGGGACGGCGCGATGGTTTGGCAGTCTTGGCCAGGTCATCCGGTAGATCGTTCCATGAAGGAATACTACTAGCAGTAGCCGTAGTGAAGGTCTTAATCTGTGGAGACTGTGTAGATGCCCTCGGAGGAGGGGGGATGACACTGGTTGCAGGGAACGACGATCTCATGCCTGGAAATCCGGCTGGTTGATAGCCGCCACTAGGAGTCGAGTTGAACTGATTGGCAGGCTGGGCGGGCCCTTGAGGAGCATATGGATTGACCGGCTGGGTTGTCCCTTTAGGTGCGTATGGATTGGCAGGCTGGGTTGTCCCTTGAGGTGCGTATGGATAGGCAGGCTGGGGAGGAGCATACCCGTTGGAAGCGGCTGGCGCCCCATATGGGTACTGCATACCGGTATTAGGAGCCGCAGGGGGTTGGTATGGAGCTTGCTGGGGATATTGAAGGCTAGGTTGTTGAGGAAGGGGCTTGAAGCCTGACTTCGCGGTAACAGCCGGCTGGGTCTTTTGCGGAGCTTGTCTCATGGCAAGCTGAATGCGATTACGAGCCACCTCAGCTTCAGGGTACTTCTCTGGGACGAGATCAAGGTACTTCTGGGCCACTTGAAGACGTCCATGAGTGGCGATAACATCCGCGTACTCGATGTACTTCTCGTACAGTGTTTTGAGTTTCCAATCGGAGCCCTTGGTCCGCTCCTCATCCTGGAATTTAGTGACCTGTCGGAAGATGGTGACCTTCTCAATCAGGGCTTGCAAGGCACGAACGTGGATGGAGAATGTGGTGTTATCCGCGTCGGTCTCAATTCCTTTTTGTTCGTTCTCACGCAGCTCCTCGACCCAGATAGCCACTACCTTTTCGAGCTTTGAGCCGGCAAGGAAACATAACGATGCATCTTTGCGGAGACTCTTATCATCAGTGCTCTGAACCTGTTCCTCGAGGCGGTCACCAAGTGCCTCACAGAGGTCAGGGAACTCTTTCTGGTCGGCGAAGGTGCAGAGGGCGGCCATCACCTCCTTCCAGTTGGAAAGATCGGCGTTGTATACAACATCCCAAAGATTCTTACCCACTATAGAGGCAAGCAGGCGCATATAATTAGGACCGGTGGACTGCTTGGAAAAGTAGTACTCCTGAGCTTTTGCGATGCATTTCTGACCACCGGTAATGGCGATCATGAAAGCATCAGACATGCGATCTTCTTGAATCGCAACGTCAAGAGCCTTTTCAAACTCCCCAAGAAGTAGCGCACGTGTAATCCGCCGATCTGCCTCGCTTTCCGACCCGTTAAAAATCTCGAATGGGTTGTTTGTCCGAGCATCCTTCGATGCGGCCAAATCAGACAAGAAGTTATCGGCATCAGAGGTGGTATCGAACATGGATTGCAGGCGCTTGTGCTTCTTGACAAAGGCCTTCGGCTTCTCAGTCTCACCATTGGTCCCCGCATCGTCCTTATCCAAATCAAGAGCAGACAAGCCGTCAGCGGCTTCATCAGCTTGATCTTGGAAGCCTAAGTAATCTATCAAGCCCTTGCGAGGGTTATCAGAAATCAAAGTCTGGATAACCTTCCAGTCAGCCTTTTCCTCCTCACTCGAAGAGGCTGCAGCTCGAGATTCGCAGAGGCTACTGATATCACCCTCCTTCAAGGCGGTCTCAAAGCTTTCTGTGGCATTGCCAACGCTCTCATCAACCTCGAATGGCGTGATCTTGATCTTCGAGGTACGTGAGCCTGATTCGGTGAGGCCAATGGATACGACGCGGCCGCCAAAGCCGAACGAAGCACCACAGGGCCGCTGCATCCATCGGGGAGGCTTGGCAAGAGAGAACCTGGAAACTTGTGGTTGACTCTGAGCCTTGGCGAAGAAATCTTCACCATCAAGAGCTTGGTTCTGGTCGTCAATTGCCTTCGCGTTATCGGTCTTGGTATTTTGTAGAGTTTGGACCGATATTTTTCCATCGAAAGATGCCGTAGCAAAGAAGTTAGGGTTATGCGGGTTCCAGCGAGTCTGGAAAGTCCAGTTTGTGACAACAGGGAATTCGCCGTAAGCTTGGCCAAGGTGCGGGTTCCAGCAGATATTACGGTTATCCTTGCCGGAAGAAAGAAGAAGATCCGGGTCTTGTTCACACCAGGCGAGCGAGAGCACTCCGGATTCGTGGCCCTTGAGAGTCTATGCAAATATGTCAGAATTTATTATGTTATGAAGCTGTCAAATTTTGGACTCACGCGTTCGGGGGCATGTGAGTTTCGTAAGTCCCAAACATGTATCAATGGATCTGACTCAAGCGGGGTTGCAGTAATCAGCTTGGTAGACTATGGACGTATCAGGTTAGCAACAAGTCAGATCCCAATTGCATATATCTCGCACCTGTTGGGGATCCCAGACAACTGCGCTAACAGCTTTCCGGCCCAGATTATTGAGAGTCAAGCTCTCCTTCTTGGTCTTCACATCCCAGACAGTAACAAATCCAGCACTGCTTCCAGTGACCATGATGTGAGCCACCTTCTTGTTCCAGTCCAGACATTCAATATCATCTGTACGAGCTGCATTGTTGCCCAATCGGAATGGGTTCTCGATATTGTTTAGATCGGAAATGAACAGCTCACCCTTTGCGCCACCGGTGGCCAAAAGATTCGAGTGTTTAGGGTTGAACTGGAGGGCCTTGATAGCGCCAGAATGTTTCGTGGTTCGGGAGATCAAAGCATCACTGGGATTCAGTCAGTTTATATGTTTTACCGTGGACAATGCTGGGGTTCGATATACCTGGATCCGGCAAGAAGCTTATCGGCGTTCCATAGATCCAGAGCGCCGTTCTCCAAACCACCGGCAATAACACCACGTTTAGTATCATCAAAATCGGCCCACGCCAAATCGTTAAAACTAGCACCGTACTCCCGTCAGTAGATTGCACCATTGAAGTTAGTAAATGGATCAACTCACCCAGAGTCAATATCAACCTTAGCTATGGGTTTCAGCTCTTCGCTCGCATCCTGGCGATCCAGGCTCAAGTCCCACAATTCAAGGCATGTTTTGTTTGAGAAATCAACATCGACAGCACCGGCCTTGGTTCCTGTGGCAATCAATGGGGACGCAGCTCCAGGAGACCAAGCGAAGGTGGCCGTCCTTGGGATCTCCCGTAGACGGACCATGATGATGGTAGAGGGGTTAAGTTATGGGAATTCGGCGTATGGGTATTCAAAAACAAAAGGAGATCAAAGATTCATCCAGAAGAAGGAAATTCAAATACCACCCCTGAGCAAAACTGACAACGGGGGGTGTGAAGCTTAACAAACAAGCAAGAAAGTAAATAAGTAAACCAAGTGGCCTCCTGTCCTTGGAGGGACCGGGGAACCCACGCTAGTCCCAATTGAGCTCTCGCCAAAACATCCCCGAGGCCTGTTCCACGTGATATCAAGTTCTCTCTGTTTAATTATCAGGCGAGAACGTACAAACACAACACAATCTTTTTGCCTGAAATATTCGACTAGGCTTCACACGATCCTCCAAAGATTCTTTTTCACCACCACATTTCCAAACCCCCAAACCTCAAAACTTTTAACTATCACCATGACTGACACAACACGACTGAAGAGCACTGTCTATGTCGGTGGTCTTGATCAGGCTGTGACTGCTCACACGCTAGCCGAGGCATTTGTCCCATTCGGTGAACTTGTTGATATTTCGCTCCCCAAGCCGGATGCGCCCAACTCCACCGACAACCACCGCGGCTTTGGATATATCGAATTCGAGCTAGCTGAGGATGCCTTCGAGGCAATCGACAACATGGACGGAAGTGACCTTTATGGTCGCACAATCACAGTTGCGGCGGCCAAGCCTCACCACAAGGATACCGAGGGACTAGGTAGCAAGACAGCTATCTGGGAGCAGGTAGAATCTCCCGAATCTTGCTTATTTGTATTCAAGCTAACTTAATATCTTAACAGGAGGGATATCTGGCGAAGTATGCCGTTAGCGATGAGGATCGCCGAGCCACAGAAGAAGCGCAAGGCATACATATGCAGGGATTGGAACAGCAGGATGTTGCTGGACCGAAACCTGAGTAAAGTGTGCCAAATACGATGGTAATTCAAGAACTGGAAAAGGTGGATTTTGCTGTGCTGAACCCTGACAAAACATGATTAGAATGAAGGGATTGGGATTGGAACAAGTGGATTTTGCTGGGCCGAAGCCTGACACAATACGGTGACAATGCTGGCCTTTGAACAGCTTAAATCGAATGCGCAAACTACGATCGTCACGATTTTAATGAAAAGAATATCACGAATGACTACTATATTGTTGAGAGAAAACACTACTAGGATCTATCGCGAAGCTGCAGCCTCGATTCGAGAACGTACAATTTTCTCTACTACTGGTATTTCTCGATTTTCCTGTTATCTGTAACACTATATGCAACAAGGCATTCAAACAGCTGGGAATGAAATTCCTAGACCCTCAAAACTAACATGATGGTACATTTAGTGCTCCTCGCGGCTCTCGGGGCTGTTGCGGTAGATACGCAGGGTCTTGTCCGTCATGAACTTGCGGACGCCGGAGTAACCGGCGGCAGAAACGGCAACACTGTTATATGATGTTAGTTGCTAGGGGGGGGAAGGTGTTGGGGAGTAAAAGGAAAAAAGCGGAAGTCAGAAGCAGAAGCTTCGCGGGCTTGGGCAGGTGAGAGATATCGAACAGAAACATACAGCAAGACGAATCCTATAAGAAAAACATTAGTATTTCGTTTACTGTCAGCATGATTTATCGACAGGACGTACCGAGAGGGAGCAACTCCGGGGGAATCTGCTTCAGTTGGCGCAGACGCTGGGAGATGGTGTGGGCTGAATTATACCAGTTAGTACGATACTCCTTCAAAATAGCCATCGAAGCAGTTGATCCGAATGCATTGATACTCCATCTGGTGTCTAGGGGAGTGAAGTCGTACCGCTGTGAGCCTGCTTCTGGGGTAGGAGTTAGTATCAACCATATCCAATCATACGATCATGACGGATGCACGGTTAAGACTTACAGGGGCAGGGGAGAAGAAAGCCCGTGTGGGCGCCATGCGGAGCATACGAGTGGGAAGCATTGTGGCGATGGTAGACACACAAATATTGTTAAGAGTAGAGAGGATTGGGTAAAAGAATAAGGTAAAGCGTTCCAACAGAGGGCAGAGTAGTGTGGTTCTCGGGTCATTAGACAAGATTTGAGTGGCTCTCGCCTGACCGCCCGCGGTCATAACCGGCACTTCACAGCTTCGATCACCCAACGCCTCGCATTTGCTCTTCTTCCAATCTCCTCTCCCCGAATTATCCACCAAACCTCAATCTCTGCTCCTTGTTGTTCTTCTATAGAACCTACACATCTTCAAAATGGGTGCCATTCCTGAACAAGATCCCGAGGAGCCCGTCGAGACCAAGCCCTTCAAGTTCGTGACTGGTAAGTTTCGGCCCCTCCCCCGAGAAGCGTGGGCCCATTGCCCATTGTGAAGTCAATTGCTAATTTGTGTATAGCTGGTGAGTAATCTTTCTTTATGGTGGAAGTTATATGCTCGGAAGACCCTTGAATGGGCATTGCAAGATCTGGGGTATCATGAGATTGACATTTTCGGACACAACCCATAGGCTACGACGCTCGTTTCCCCCAGCAGAATCAGTACGTCACCCTTGGAACTTCCTAATCAGTAATATAATTAACGACTTATCCGCTGTACAGGACCAAGCACTGCTGGCAGAACTACGTTGACTACCACAAGTGTGTCAACGCCAAGGGCGAGGACTTCCGTCCCTGTCGCCAGGTACTTTTACCTCCTTATCTTTGCTCTACAAGACAGCAGTTTCTGACATAATCTATCAGTTTTACCACTCTTTCCGCTCCCTCTGCCCCAAGGCGTGGACTGACCGATGGGACACCCAGCGTGGTTCGTATCCCATCAAAATCCCGAAAAATTCTGTTCAATTCATACTAACCTTTTCAATCTTAACAGAGGCCGGCAACTTCCCTGCCCGCCTTGAGTAGATAGCCAATGGCCATCTCGTGTTGGTTAATGCGCTCTAGCAAATTTTGTGTGTATTGACAAGATCCAATGTACTATGTACTTTACCTCCCATGCAGGATATCATTCTCTTTCTCCTGAGTTGGAGAAAGAGTGTCTATATACTCTGCCGCTTTTGCAATGATAAAGTTTGTTTCCATGATTAGCTCGTCAGGTGAGGAAAGTGAGTAAAAAGTGAGTAAAAATGTGTTCCGTGAGCGAGTAGGTTTTATAGCGGGGTGCAATATTCAATCGATCACGTTTTCTTGCGAAAAATAGTCTATTCAAGATGTAGGTATATACACGTATATGATTTTAATATCCAAAGGAAACCCCAAGTGCAGACACAATGTACTGAACACAGAAAATGCAAGACCTCGGGGACTGTAATCAAATGATGGCCGTACACGACCATCAACCAGCCCAAGGGTAAAAACAACACAATATAATGCAGATAGATATATACATACCGAAATTTCTTGTTACAGATTTGCTCCGCCCAAGTCATAAATAAAATGAATCACAGATCATGTAGGTGCGGAAAATGCAAGATAAATGAAGACAGATGGTGGGGAATATCAGAAAGAAGAAGCAGTCCAACATTTGATAACTATATGCCCTTCAATCTCCGGTAGAGCTTCTTGTGCTCTTCCAAGAACACGAATGTGGCAATAGTGTGAGGTCCGAGACGAATAAAGCTCGGCACCCAGCCACGGAAAGTCCAAGAAAAGCCTTCCTTGCGGCAGATGTCACGCAGCAAACTGACTATACTATGATGGTGGCCATCAGTGGCGGACGCGCTCATAATGCGAGTCTTGATAACATCAACCGGACTGCACACTGTCGTAGCAACAAACCCAGCCATGAGAGAGGCAGTGAAGTGGGTAGTGAGGTTGTCCTTCATGCCGAATTTCTTAATACACAAGCTCTTGAAGGTATCGTATGACGCTAATTGCGAGGCAGTCATCAGTACCGCACGAGTGGAGTTGGGCCAGACACCTCGGAAGAGTGAGCTAACACCTTCCGTCTTGGTCATCTGTATTATGCCGTCGAACGCGTGACGGTAGTTGCGTCGCTGGGCAAGAGGTAAAGCAGCATCGGACTGCATCCGCACGTTCACCACATCAGCCGGATTACCAGTGATACCGCCGATGAATCCAGAAACAGTAGCAATTCCGATCAGAGTGAGGAGACTTGGTGAAGAGGCATCCGGGCCAGGCGTGACGAAGCGGCCTTTTAGTTCTTCATATATACCGAATCGAGTAGTCGAGTAGGTGATTTGACGCAGCATAGCAGCTGAAAGCTATAGTCCCGCCATATATATTAGCACAATTCCTAGATCAACCATCTCCATTTTCAGGGATGAGCCCTGGGGCTTTACATACACCGCCATATAATCCCAAGATTCCATTGTTTTTCACAATATGTCCAAACGTACCCAGCATGTTCTTCGGCGCATCGGGTGCGCGTGTTTGTAACCGAACCTATGCGACACAATGTCATGATTAGCGACTGAATCGGGGGATATGGGTCTCGGCGAGAATCTTGATTGCAAATACCTTTACTAGGAAAGAGTTAGCAAACACGAAACATGAAGTTCACATATCAATCAATCACATACCCAGATCTAAAGGATGTGTCACACATGCTGCGAAACATGAAGCCGAACCTCCAAACCAAAAAGGATAATGCACCTTCTTGGACTTTGCAGGAGCAAGCGCCGCCACCCGCGTAGCTGGGGACTCCAATAGCTTGCCACTGTCTGCCATTATTAAAATTGGAGAGAGTGTAAAGGGAGGGGTAGAGATGTTGATAACACAAGACGGGTGCTATCCTTTTTTTTCATTCCACTTTTTTTTCAAAGGTTTGACGTAATTTTGAATCTAAAATACCGGGACGCAAAGCTGATCGCCCAATCCTTCTAATATAGCCAATCACATTGAGTACCTTGATACATAGACTTATTAGCCAATCACGGTCTCGGTTCCGCCTCGGGTCCAGTTGTAAATCACTTACCAGCATTATATAATCACGAACTCCTAGTTAACGTGTTTCCCGGCTAACCCGTTATCCCTGTTAAGCCGTTACCCCATCAGAATTTCAAAAAACGCATCAATTTCAATTCCATATTTAAGCACAATAACATAATTAAATTGACTAAATAACACGATTCTGACAATTAGTAATATTATGACCTTTCTTATGATACCTTGAGCAGTTAATTTAACGTCGGACAGGGGGTAAAACTGGCAATTCAGTCTCGAGAGTCATTTTGAGCAGCTTCAACACCAGATATATATTTCTCTCCACTACCATTCTCTTCAATCACAGGTTTCTGAATCTCCTTTAAACCTCTTAAACCACCTAAATGGGCCAACTGATTTTTAGTAGTATTCTTCTTCTTCGTCTGTTTCTTATTTTCTTTCTCTAAATGGCCACAGCGATCATGCAGAAAAATATGGTGGTGGACCGTCCGGGTAGTGCGATCGGAGAACGTCTTCCACCTGCTTTTAATAGAAGATGGGATTAAACTAGAGAAGAGCTCTAGAGCAGAAATAAGACGAGATTTGGATTCTTCAAGTCGTTTTAAGCTCCAAATAGTATTGTCGTCGCTATTAGAGCCAGAAGATATCGGACAATCAGAAGGTAATTCTAGATCAGGCAGACATTTAAGCCAAATATTTAGCTTATTGAGCATTTCCGATGGGCTTGAAGGTACTAAACTAGTAGCTTTAAAGCTACTCATTATAGTATGTACCTTAAAAGCTCTTTGATATGCATCAGGGAAGATCTGAAGGAACTCATCTTTATCGATTCTATACCGCATCAACTCCGCAACACGACCGCCATAATATTTTTTTTTAGTAGCCTAAAGTAGCCTTTATCTAAAGGCTATAAAAGATGTGATATATATAGAGGCATACATAAAGTAATCATATCATTCTTCTTATAAAGATTGTCGAAAATAGGTGTTGGATGAGAGGATTGCTCATCAAGGATCAGAAGGCAGTTTTACCTCTTCGATTCCTAATATTAGGAATAAGATACATCTTTAACTAACCAACACTAATCAGGTCGCTATTCCGACCATTGGAGCTCTTATTTAAGCTCTAATTAGGCTCCTTTTCCTTAAACCAATGCTCCATAAACATCTTTCCTTTAAAGATAATGTAAGGGTAACGGGTTAGCCGGGAAACACGTTAGTTACTAAGATCATACGTTATCTCATCGGTCCTTTTGAGAATTGAGCCCTAAAGCACTTTTACAAAACAATTAATGCAAGCAATCTAGTGGCAAATTACTGCATGATAAACTTGGAAGCCAATGAAATAATGGGAATTAAAGTATACCAGTGCCGAAGTGGTGGCCTTGATAAAGGAGATCTATAGACCAACACGACAATTAACTTCCAGAGCTTAGATCATGTCTACATAGATACCTAGGTAGTAGGCTACTGGTAGCTGTATTTATATTCAAAAATTGAATATTATAATGGTATGTGCCTATATTGTTCTGTTGAAGCTCCGAGGTCCTCTACTCCGTCCGTATCCAGCCTTTGAGATCTCAGCACTAATATCGATATCTCTACGTTGATGATTGTGTCTGGATGTAAACTTAGGAAGCCCATCACTTTTACTGATGATCGAAAATGAGATTTCGGATTTCCTTGGACCCTTGACAGAAGCACGGGAAAGTGGGCAAGATTAAATAACAAATTTATATCAGCCTGTACTTCGGGAACTCATTTTCCCGACCCGGATGTGGGATTCCGCAACTGTTTGTAGAACCAATTGATCAGAATTCAACAACCAGCAATGCGATTACTTGCTACTGGTCGAGCCCTGCGTGTAAGCAGTGGCCGGTGGTCAATTGCTGCACGTCCCGGAATTCTCATCCACAGGCCACTCCGCGAATCGGTTCCAGTCTCTCGGACCTGGAGTTCGACTTCAGTTCGCCGAACAACTGAGCAGCAACCTGCAAGCAAAAGTACCTCGTCGACAGGAACCAAATCGACTCTGAAAATTGAGGGCGACAATTATACTACAGATCAATGGACTAATACTCCTGACACAATTCTGAGCCATATCGGCCGACGACTTTACCTAGACGAGAACCACCCTCTTGCCATCACGCGAAAGCTCATTGAAACGCAATTCCCCGCTCCAGAATTTGGCAACTACTTTGAGGAGAACCCAGCTGTCTCCACAAAGTTTAATTTCGATGTCCTCGGATTTCCGCGTGACCATCCGGGTCGTAGTCGCACAGATACATACTACGTAAATGAGCAAACTGTGCTGCGCACACATACGAGCGCACACCAGCTGGCATACTTCCAGAAGATGAACAGTAATGAGCAGACTCGTCCGAAAGAAGTCGGATATACTGTCATCGCCGATGTATACCGCCGCGATGCGATTGATCGAAGCCACTACCCGGTCTTCCATCAAATGGAAGGCGCGAGGCTGTGGAAGCGGCCTGATAATAACCCCCTCGCCTATTCTGCGGAGACAGCTGCAAAAATACAAGCCGATGTCGATATGATTCCACGACACGACGTTCCAGTTGAAGACCCTAACCTGACGATTCACCCTGAGCGCAATCCGCTCCAGGTTGAACAACATAGTGTAGAGGAGGTCGAAGCCATTGGGGCGCATTTGAAGCGCTCACTCGAGCGTATGGTCATTAAGATTTTAACAGAGGGCAGGAAGGCCGCTATTGCTAGCTCCGGAAGCAAGACCGAGCCCGAGCCATTAAAGGTGCGCTGGGTGGAAGCTTACTTTCCCTTCACCAGTCCATCATGGGAGCTTGAGGTCTTCTGGGAAGGCGATTGGCTCGAAATTCTTGGATGTGGTGTGATCAAGCAGGAAATTCTTATCAATTCCGATGTGCCGAACCGTGTTGGTTGGGCCTTTGGATTGGGTATTGAGCGCATCGCCATGCTGCTCTTCAACATTCCCGATATCCGGCTTTTCTGGTCTCGTGATGAGCGGTTCTTGTCCCAGTTTAAAGCTGGCAGTATCACTCGCTTTGAGCCTTTCTCTAAGCACCCTGCTTGTTACAAGGACGTCGCTTTTTGGCTACCTCCTTCCGCTGTGACCGGCGGTAGCAGCGCTGCAGGAGGTGCTGTGCCTTTCCATGAAAACGATGTGATGGAGATTGTTCGTGGTATTGGTGGTGATCTTGTCGAGGATGTCTCTATGATCGATGAATTCACGCACCCTAAGACGGCGCGCAAGAGCATGTGCTACCGCATCAACTATCGCAGTCTAGAACGAACTTTGACCAACGAGGAGGCCAATGAAATGCACGACAAAGTCCGAGCCAAATTGGTTGGCGATCTCGGTGTTGAGTTGCGTTGATTCGATGATGACCATGTATGTATATAATGTACTCTACTCATACTAAATCTGTACAATACGAAGTGCTATCATACTTTTTTTCGAGCTTGTGAGAGAGATCTTGATATAGCCAACCTTGGAAGTAGGCAACGAGAGGCTTTGATGCCTCCGAAATATTTATATTATACAAAAGGTGAGGAGAGAGTTATTCGAGAGACACCATGCCAAAAAGAAAGGGACATACCACCCCAAACACGAGACAATCCAGACGCCTCCAGTCAACATGCAAAGGTGTATCATACATATCCAACCGACAAGCGGAGACCAGGGAAGAATGATTTAGCCGGATCCAACAAACAACAGCATTCAAATGCTATCATGATCATAACGTATGATATACGGTACAGAGAAAGAAACAGAAATCAGGAAATTTTTAGATTCGAGAGAAGTTTAGTCGTTCTTTACGACACCGACCTTGGCGGCCTATAGAAAGAACATATTAGTAGAAATTCAAAGCAGGTCGTCGAGAGACGAAGTATGAAAACTTACCCGGAGAACACGACCGTTTAGTCGGAAGCCCTTGCTCTGAGTGTACAAGACATCACCGTCTTCCAAGGCATCCGACTTGGCCATGAAGGTGGCCTCGTGCAGGTTCGGGTCGAATTTCTGCACCTTGCCATCGACCTTCTCACTAGGGTCGAAGCGCTCCAGACCGTGCCTCACAAGGGTGTTCATGAGAATGTTCTCGGTCATCTTGAGACCGGCAACCAGGTCAAGGAGGTCCTTGTTGGCCTCAGACTCGGGGGCATTAAGCTTTTCTGCAGGCACGGCCAGCAGCGCGCGGTCGAAGTTGTCGATGCTCTCCAAAAGGTCCTTGGCGAACTTTTGAATAGCAAAGTTACGAGCACCATCCATTTCGCGCTTAGTGCGCTCCTGGAGGTTACGGAAATCGGCCACAGAACGGAGGTATTTATCCTAATACGACAATGAGTTATTCCATTACACTCTACAAGACCACGTGGAATCACAAGAGAAGGAAATATCTACCTTCATTTCAATGACTTCCTTGTTCTTTGCCTCAACCTCTTTGCGGAGAGCATCCTCAGGAGTCTCTGCCTCGGTAGCCTCGGCCTCCTTTGTCTCGGTGGAGTAAAAACGAGAAGTCTGAAGGGCGAAAGGTCGGACAGCTGCTGGCAGGCGTTGTTGCAACCGGGATGTCTGTCGGAGCGATGCGGTGGATGTGGAGGTAGAAGTGCAAGCAGCCAGTACCGACCGGGCGGCCTGTGCTTGTCTGAGAATAGTCCGCTGGAACATTATGAAAAAAAAGATATCAATTGGTAGGATTGAAGCTTGGAAGAAAGATGACGGAGTTGTTCGGAGAGTCAATGCGCCGGACAAATTTGATTATCACGTGTTTTGTCTAGCGGGAAAATGGTACTCCGAGCTACGGACATCTTTTCACGTCTGGGTTCTTCTAATTCCTAGAACATGTTATTTGGTACCTGGAACAAATGCAATTATTAAATCATGTAAAACGAGTTATGAGTCTTATAACCATCGAGCGACTATCACACTATCGCTAATAGAAAATGAATTGTAAAGGACTGTGAACAGAAATTATACGACTGATCAAGCCATGACGTATGAGTTATATTCCTATTTGGGAGCTTCCTTCTCCTCGTCTGATTTCTCCTCCATCTCCATTTCACTATTCTCAGACCACCCCCAAGACCCAGAAAGTAAGGTGGCAATCTCGACAGGAACAGGCAAGCCACGGTGTCTCCCCTTTAAAGTAACCACGGCAAGCAGGAGCTTGCTGATCGTGTGCCATTCGCCACAAAAAGCGTAACTCTTTCCAGGATATCCAATACTCACACCGACACAACTATACGCAGAAACCACTTCAAAAATGATGTTGAAGGTAGAAAAAGCCAGAGGCTGTGACTGGAAGTGACCTGACTCGACCACTGTGATTAAGATAATCACGCAAGAAAGCCACCAGAGATCATTGCTCATTTGCAAACGAACTTGCTCGTATACAAAGCGGCTGCGAGCAAGTTTTGAAGGGCCCAAAAGGTTCACACCCCGGAATGATATGCCGGATTCTTCGCCTTTTTGGGAGATGGAATCTAAAGATTGCATGGGAATAATTCCTGATTTACTTGAATAGGTCAGTTAGGGGTATTCGACAAGGTCTAGATATGACATACCGAATCACTACTGAGACGGGAAAAGCAGAAATATACTTGGAAAAGTTGTTAGCTACCGATGTTCTCAAACGAAGGATGTTGATGTCTCACCATCATAAGAACTGCATGAGTCGTTATTAGTAATTTTATTTTCGAAAGATCAAAGAGATGTGGTAAGAGTAGAAAGAGCACTCACGATATAAAATCAGTAATCCCTGTGGGAGTTTGTCGAAAGACACGACATTGAATCCTCCACCACGGACAGCTATGATATCGAGTCAGAATAAACCAAGTAATTGGAAGATGGATTGGACTGAACGAACCCAGAGCCTGGAAGAGTCCATCCAATGCTCGGTACCGACTTGGGAGTGACTGGATTTCTGCAGGTTCCCCTATGGTCAATATCTCAAAACCACCCCACATCACAGAATTGAGTATGAACACGGAACCAAACAAGAACCAGGTATGCCAAGAAGGAAACAAATACGAGTAAACCTATGAACGAGTGAGTTCTAGCTTAGAATCAACAATCCGAAGTCACTCACTATTTGAGAATGGGCGAGCGTGAAATCTAGAGTCCGTCGCCACGAATCCCAAGTCGCATTGCTAGGCATCATCTTTCTCATAGACCAGATGGATAATCGAAGAATACATGGATAAAGAGTGTTTCCAGCAAGAACTATAAACCCAATCACAAGGAGTACGTAGGGCCTTTTGGATAGTTAGTGGATTACTTACTAACAAGTGCTAGAATGGAAGCTGACTCACTCTCGTTGAAAAGGAACCATGTTATCACTAATAAGAGACATGCCACAGCTCACAAACGCTGATGTAGCCAGAAAAGTACCAGCCCAAAATGGAGAAACTTCGTCTGCGAGTGCAATATCTGGGCGGTGGAATTTCAGCCAACACCCGATACTCACGATACCGAGAAGAAGGATTGTGGTGAAGTATAGCAGAACAAGTATAGATAAAAACGTGATCGCCTTGTATTCTAATCCACATGGATCACTGCAATCAATTGAGCGTCTTGATTGAACACGCTCTGACAGATGCTGCATAAAGCTTTTCAATCTAGTCGCAAAGCTAGAAAGGTAAGCTCTTGCGTTTTGATGTTTCTCATCAATCTTGATGGAATATTTCAGCTGATTTTGGTGGTATTTTTCGATTGTAGGTCTTGGATCAATGGTAGCAATCACTTCATCTGCTAAAAATGAAATTGGTTCATCTTGAAGGGTTTGAACCTGAAAGACTTCTTTCACTTCGCTGGTAATCTTCGAAACTGATTTGTCACAGAAGTTTTTACTTCCATATGTAGTAAATATGGCATACTCTTTTTCCTCTGACTTTCTCTCGGTTTTTACCGCGAGAGCTGATATTTTATATGCGGACTGACGGCCCGTACGACCCCTTGCGTTGTCTAGCAGGATCGATCGAAACATCCGACTCCGAAAAAACAAAATAATGCCGGATATAGGGATAGCGTGTCCCAGCAGCAGAAGGGCAAATAGAGTGACCTGCTGGAAAACATTCAATGTCGATAAATCCACCTTTCCGACTGATTAGCTGTTGCTTTGGTACATGATTGATTATCAAGCTTTACCACGTTCAATCCAGTTCCAGTAATGGTACTGACACTTATGAACAACGCGTCAACATAGTGGAGACTATGGATCTTTGATGTTGTATAAATTATGACACTGCCGATCATGGATACGAGAATAAAGTAGGCATAGTGGATGGTAAGAAAGTTAATTTTGAAAAGAGCAGCCATGATTGGCATACTCAATCTGAAGTCGTCGTAAGCATAGCCCTGAGAAGGGACTGGGATAATCAAATCCATATAAGGGACCACACCTGGGCACGAGCCAGCCCAAGACTAATCAGCCTTACTTCATTGCCTAAATACCTAGCATCTTATCAAGCTTGTCACCTTCTTCAGGGTGTGGAATGTAGGCAAGGCATGTTCTCGCCTCGGCCATGGCCAAGTGCTAAAGAGGCCCCAGGATAAAAGTCGGCACCGAAGGCGTGCCTAATCTATTCGCATCACGCAGGCTCAGCGCGTTCTTCATGATGGATCAGTGAATTCCAGGTATGCAAGGTTTCGGACATGAGAATGTGGATTCATTCTTTTGGTATTTTGCAACCGAAGGGCCTAGAATCTAGATAATCAGAAAACAAGGACTAAGGCTAGCGAACGAGAGCATGAAATTCATACTGTGAGGACATGAATAATAACAGCTTGCACCACCCAACAGGTTATTGACTATGTTCAATTACGTGGGTGGAATTTCCAAGGTTGAACCGTAAGGAAATGACTTGAGTAATTAGACCCAGGGCTAGTTAACAGGTGCCTAGAATACCTAGGGCTGAGATATCCCCTTCGAAATTCCCCCCTGACTCCCATTATCTCCACTGTAATTACATATGCTCTTTGTACTTACTGACGTTAAATTTATATATTGATCTTACTTTGTAGAACTATGTAGCATGGATGGAGAGCTCCGGGGCTTGAAGATGGAAATCGAAAACATAACGGCAACCTTCAGGGCTTCAATTCACCTGGGCATACCCGATTATAAACTTAATATCCCAAATCCATTCACGTTCTGTACTCCCAGCATGCTCTTCTCAATTCCTCCCACTGTAGTCGCTCCTGCCAATTGCATTGTTTTCACAAACTCTTGTTCCAATAAGCCAATAACATCTTCAACACCTTGCTGTGCATCCGATGCCAGACCCCACAGTACAGGCCTGCCCAATAGGACAAAGTCTGCACCCAGCGCCAGAGCTTTGAAGATATCGCTCCCCCTTCTTACCCCACCATCAACAAGAACTGGCACACGCCCCCTGACGGCTGCCACGATCTCTGGTAACGCTTCGATTGTCGACGAAACAGTGTCTAGCTGACGACCGCCATGATTTGAAACCACAATACCATCGACCTTATGCTCGATAGCAAGAAGTGCGTCTTCAGCGGTCAGAATGCCCTTCACGATTATCTTCAGCGATGTTTGAGTCCGCAGCCATGATATGTCTTGCCAGTTGAGACTTGGATCGTGAACATAGCTGGGAAGCTTGTTGGCACTTGGTGCAGCTGCTGCAGTCTTTGACGAGGAGGTATCTTGACCTTCTGGTGCTGTGCCAGGACTAGGGTCCTGATTGAGAAGCGCTATTTTCAGAGGACTTCTTCGCTCATTCAAACGGTTACCAATGACAGGAGTGTCGACTGTGAGCACGAGGGCTTTAGCTCCGGCCGCTATGGATTACATATTAGTATCATCACTCTCTATAACACCTGGGCAGGAACAAATGTCGAGACCTTGCGGGGCTTAAGGCCCCAGCCTCAGTTCACATAACGTACCTTCAGCTTTCCTAATACGATCCAATGAGGCAGCTCTATCAGTAAGAATATAGATCTGATACCAGAATTCGGTGGAATTGCTGTGAGAGACAAAGGTCTGAGCCACTTCTTCTAGAGCAAAAGATGCACTTGAGGATAAAATCAACAATGCGCCCGTTGAGGCTGCGGCGCCTGCAGTGTCAAGCTCCCCCTTTCAGTTGCCAATTTATGGAACGCACTTGGGGAAAAGCCGATGGGAAATGGAAATTCTGTACCAAAGAGTGTCTTCTTTGTGTTGATAGAGGAAACGTCACGGAGTACCCGTGGTCGAATAAGCAACCTGTCAGTTCCTCATAGTTAGCCCTAAGCCGAGAACGTCGGGATTGTTTTGCTTTTCACCACTGCATGTAATGACAGGGGCTAGAATATAAGTTACCTCTCGAAAGCCGATTGATTCCTCCGAGCAGTGATTCCATCGTCTGCAGTAGAACTGTAATAGTTCCATGCTTTATGTTGAAGCTTTTGGTGAGCAATCTCTTCATAATCAGAGACTGTGAGCAGCAATGGAGCCTTCGCAATTTCTTGAGCCATATTTTAATAATTCTTGAAATTAGATGCCTCGGATACAGCCTAGGTCAAGTCGTTTTTTGAAAACTACAATGGAACTATCGAGCTTTATACTTGATTATCTTATCTTTCTCCAAGCCTCTTCTAACTTCTCTTCTGACTTCTAATGAATTAGTTTGCACTCACGCAATTTACCTGTACATCATGCCATAATCTAGGTAAGATGCGGTATCACGGGTGGGGTATTGACCTCCAGGGCGGGGTATAGTCAGTTATTATCTACTTCGTCTTAATGTCGTCAAATTCGTCAGCTAAGCACAATATTACGCATGCTGCTCGCATAGATTAGGATTCAATTAGTTATGATAGTAGCAATGACACATCCATAAATGGCAAAATTGGCATAATTGGCAGTCATATACTGGACCAGAGTGGTCCTTTAGTTCATAAATAATACTAAATTCCAGCCTTTCAAGTTATGTATATAGAACCCTTCCAACTTGGAAAATACACTTAGTGGGAGACAAGCGCGACTAATGGAGAATCTTCAAGGAAGACTGAAATACCTAGACTAAGAGAACCGTCCAGTCCTCTAGCTCTGTATCTAGCCGTGCTAGCTTCCAATATTTGCTCAAGAATCTTTGGGACATTGAGATAATTAGTTCTTTGACTCCATACCCACTATTGTCAAATTGCCGGGCAGAACCCGTTGTGCTCAGTATGACTAATATAGTAGGCGGTGGAAATTACCCAGAAAATGGTCCTTAATAACTTTTTATTGCTTGTTACTGTACGATCTGATACCCGCAGTTCCTTCAGCTCCATCATTCTCCACTCCAATTTAATATGAGAGGTACCATCAAAAACTCAATCAATTAGCTAGGTAGCTGTTAGTCAAGCATGCTACAGCCTGCCCAAGCTTCTATAAAGCAGCTACACTCGTTACAAAAATGATAACAACAGCTTCGCAACTTGGCTACCCGAGGCCGGCAGCAAGCATGGTTATAAACAGGACAACCTTTCCAAAGTAACTGCACCTCCATTGAATAACAACAAGAAAAGAACAAAATAAGACGGCAGATCCCTCCCCAGATTCATTGGATCCAGATCATTATGTTGCAACTATCAAGAATATTCGTGCCCTCGCTGAAGTCGTTGCGAAGTCTGACATTCCTGTCCCCAAGCCAGTTTTCATCATCGCCAAACGAAAAATCGGCTTGAAAAAAGACGTCACATCGTGGTTTGGGGGACAGGGTCACCCCACCAGTAGGAACCAACACGCTCAATACGCCCATAAGCTCTAAAAAGTAACTTGCAAGCTTACAGCATCTATCTCGCGGTCAATGGCAATTGGCCATACAAACTCTTAAAGATACTAGAATTCACAAAGATTTTTCGAAGAAAAGAGTAACTAAAAACAAATAAGGAGCGCAAATTGATATTGAGTCGTTGGGAATAAGTTCAATGCTGTTCTTTTCAAGGCTGCTCCTTCCCTGAAGGTCGCAGTTAGCATTATCAATGGATTCTAAGCTTATTCTTTTTGGCCCCAAATTGTCCCAAAATTTGACCAGTTCATTCACTCTCTTTGGGGGCGTGAGATTCCATAGTATATCTTGAAGGATGCTCGTTTGAAGATCTTCCAGCCGATCCTGAGGTAAGGCTTGAAATTTTTTCACTCAGGTTGATTGGTTCCAAATTCCTGGATTATCATACTACAATCCTGATGCATGGTGAGACCAGCACTGGCAAATGGCCACATTATTTATTATTATGATTGTACTAGTGATCTACTACTCCGACCGACTAACTGTTTGATCTTGACATTTGAAACTTCCAAAATTAAATGTTTAAGGGCCCTAACCTGCCTACTAAAGTAGAGTAGGAAGACTTCTCGGACTTTCTCGTGAGCTACCTCTTAGGAATATACATTCCAAATGTGGCTCAATCATCTAGCCTATGGCTGGTATATTACGTTTACTCTTTCTGTGCTATGTCTATTACGCAATACACTTGCATTTTCCACCCCAAGAGCTGAGAACGATCTACTTAACCGCGTTGAAGAGCAGCAGTTCGAAGAACAGGAATATCATATTCAAGTTCGTGATAATGGCTTCAACCAATGGAAAAAAGCTCTAAAAAAGGGAAAAGAGCTAGATTGTGCTATGAAGGCCACAAAAGACTTAGCTGCTGCCTGCTTTTCGGAAACAACGTCAATCAAAAGTACCTTTACTAAGTTCAGTGATTTCGAAAAATGGGGTTGGCAAGCGGAAGAGCGACCACTTCGCATTTCCAATTTATATGAAACCAATCTTGCCAGTATTATTCTTGATGGCCTTGGAGTCAAGGATGATGATTTGATCTATATCGAGATAGCGCACGATGAAACTGTGATAGTGGACGGTGTAACCTACGCTGTAAGTCATACTATGTACTTCTGAAGTTCCTCCAGGATTCAATTGATATTAAATGCCAGGGCTATACTAATAACGCTTCCGAAAATTAGCTCACAGGCGCACATTATGACAATATGTATGATGTTCACGATGGATTGATAATAGTAAATGATATACAAAGTCCTGGAGCAGTTAACCGGGAATGTCCTGTTGATCATTTGACCAAGCTTCAGCGTTGGTCCGACGTTTCATTTCTTCAGTGGCAAGAGCTCTGCCGCTCTAGACAGCATTCGGTGAAGAAGCTGAATCATGTTGTTCAGACCTTGGTCACAAATCCAATCACAGAAAGCGTTTTATGTAAGGCGCTTGGGGAAACGGAGAATACAAATTGGGAAAAATACAAGGACGGCTTGATTCTCGACAGCAAGGGCGATGCATTCACTGCTGTGCTCGGAACTCCAAATGGCTCAGGCACAGCTTGGATGCTTATTCAACATAAAGATCAGCTTGGACTAAAGAAAGTCTCCCAAATTACTGTTTATGGGATAAAAGTGTTGGAGTTGAAGTGGGTTCCGGCTCTGGTATTTAAGATCGGGGACGTTTAGAACAATCGTCACTGTAAGTATTGACTCCGGTGCATATGTCATATCTGCCCAACAATATCTAACTCATCAGTAAAGAAAACAATAAGTACGTATCTATCTTTCCCCGTTCGCGGGATTGCTTGATTCCTGCAACCCCCAATTACCTTCTCCAATCCGCCTACCAAAGACTTTGACCACGTAGCCCACCGAGACTGGACCAATGATAGTATTGAGAAGAATAGCCCATACTGCCGTGATAAATCCATCCTGGCTTACGTAGGTTGTTTCGTTATATCCAATCTCTATGATCAAAAGTCCAATCTCACCTCGTGCCACCATTGCGGATCCAAGAAGAGATCCAGCGAGCAAAGCTGAGCGATAGCTATCTTGATCTGTCATGTTTTGAGCCGAATCTGCTGTTTCAGTAGATTCATGACGAGAATTCTTTGTAAGCCTTGAGAATCTTGGCGAGCTGAAGAAATGAGATAGAGGAACCCATAGTCCGACGACAACCTGTACACTTAGTTAGCTCAAATCCCAGCGCAAAGAACTGTCTCCATCCATACCTTGGCCACTAGCATAAGTAGCGAGTACAGAATACCCCTCCATATTCTCTTTCCAGTCCAAAGCTCAACAAACGGAATTGCAAATCCAACACTGGCAAAAAACAGCGGCTCCATCAAGTACTTTTGTGTGTCAAGGAGGTACAACTCAAACGTATGCACGAATGTAGGACTCCTGTCATCTTCTCTTTCACCTTGCTCACGGCTCATGACAACAAAAGGGCCATCGGGGTGTTTGCTTGGCAGGTATGTAAGGAATGCACCGGCGAGAAATGAGCCAAACAAGACAGAGGTACCGGTATAGGCAGCAATAGTGATGAATGCAGATAAAACCAGAATCATCAACACAATATTAGAGACATGATCATATTTTGCAAATGCATGCTCAATGTGTTTTCGAAAGATCGGCGCAAAGAAATACTTTGTGAGGATCGGGGTCAATATTGCCATGGCGGCGGATGCCACGATCGGACGCCCGATGATCCAACCTAGGTTGACATGACCCCCACCGTGATGGGACATCTCACCCAAGTCATGAATCACACTAAATTTCCATTAATCCAACATCATAATGGTGCCTAGGTAACAGAAGAAGACTGCTCACCTGGCTAATACAAGCCCAACAACATCGTCAATCACTGCAGCACTTACAAGGACCGAGCCAACTCTTGTTTGCGAAAGATCAATCTCTCTAGATGCAGATGAGATGACTGAGAAAGTCGTACCCAGAGAAGTGGCGGAGAGAGCGGCGCCAATAATGAATGTTTCAACAGCCCCTTCATATTGTCAGTCTGGTGAGCTCGATTCTTAAAGATGGATAGCTTGGTAGAACAAACCGTATCCGTATCCCAGATAAAGCAATAAATAAGAGAATGCGATGGGAAACACGACACCTGTTGTAGCTCCCATCAAGCTCAAAAGAAAGTTTTGCTTCAAAAGGTCAAGTCGAATTTGTAGGCCGCCTAAGATATCGCTATTAGCATCTGCCTAGATAGGTATGAGACCTGGTGCTTGGGTAGATGATTCCTAGATCTCAAGGGTTGCATAATGAATCGTAATATACCTTCAAATATGATCAAGATCAGGCCAATGTAGCCAATAGCGAGGAAAGTTTCTTGCCATGGTAGTAATAAGATATTGGCTAGAGGTTTCCCGTATATAATTCCAACCGCGATTTGGCCAACAATGCCCGCACGTATTATCTTGGCTGTAAAATATTCAGCCAAAGATAAAAAGAAAAAGAATGATATTAGGATTAAGATTTGGACAACTTTACATCATCAGCTATTATTCATGAATGTTAGGGGAATGATTGGACAAAGACTTACTGCCAGGCTCATGATATGCGAGGAAGCCTCCAGCCATGAATAGTTCAAGTTAAATGAATCTTGGAAGTTACGGCCATTGAAAATTCAAGGTTTTTTTTGCGATATAAATGACGGTTGTTCTCTAGAAAAAGGATCACGTGCTTCCATCTATAAAGTCGTTGCGTCACTTCAGGAAATTTAACTAATCAGACGCGACTTAATCTTAGTTTTGCAACCATGGTTCTATCCTCAATAGAGGTCGGCACGGTTTTACGGATATCCGTATCCGTATCCGTAACCGTAACCGTAGAAATTCTACGGTTACGGATACGAATAAAATCTCTACGGTTACGGTTACGAATAAATGCCCTCTATCCGTACGGATATCCGTAATATCCGTAGCTTATATCACGTGTCTAGAACCACATGCAGTTCTAATATATATTTCCACGTCTATAGAGTTATAAATCTCATGTAATTCTCAAGTAAAAGAAATTTCAATTAGGAATCAATATTATATATATTTCTTAACAAAACTAACTCTCTCATAGTCTTGCTGTTTAGAGATTGTCGACGAACACCCAGGATATCCCTTACAGAACTGAAAAGTCTTTCAACTGAAACCTCAGCTGCTGGAATACCAAGGTAGTCCCTTGCAACTGCTGCCATCCTGGGGTATTGATCCTTATGAGCGTTCCACCATGGAAGCAGCCACTTAGAGTCATCTTGGTCTTCTATTAATCCTTCTACTTGAATAGGAGGCTCATCAAAATAGCGATCAATATCAGAAGCCCGAGATACTTCTTGAGAATGTACTTTTTGTAGAAGACGAGCTCTCATACCTGGTCGAGCAGGAGGATCCATAGTTCTAGAAGTAGAACTAGAGATGGAGGTAGCCAAAGGGGGATATTTCTTATGAAGAAAGACCTTAATGCTCTGAATGATTTCTTGGATAACCCCATCTTCAAGCTCTTGTTCTAAAAGAGCAAATTTGACACGTGGATCAAGAGCAAGAGCTATATAATAGATATCTTGCATATCCATAAGATCATAGTATTTCCTATACTTTTGCATTCCAACCAAGACAGCAGAAGAGATATCAGGACTAAGCCCTGCAAAGTCGCCTTCAAAAGAAGCTGCTTCTATAAGGAGGTCATGCAATTCATAGTAAATAGGAATTACTAGACTTATATGAGGTTGCCGCTGAGAGATAAGTTGGGTAAACTCATAGAATCTTGAAAGAACCATGGCAAGATCACGAAGTAGACATGTGCATGGGTTGGGTATGGGTCAAAATTCATACCCATACCCAACCCATCAGGGGTAAGGTAAACCCATACCCATACCCAACCCAACCCACGTGGGTATGGGTTGGGTATGGGTCCCATATGGGTATTTTTGATGCCTTAATGCCTGATTTTCGCCTCAACCTAAACTAAATTAGGGTAATTAGTGCCTTAGTGCCTAATTTTTGCCTCAATCTAGTACTAACTAGGTGACAAATATCACGTGAAATAAAAGTCTTGGCAAAAATATGGGTTTATGGGCTGGGTGTGGGTTTTACTTCAAACCCATACCCAACCCATATGGGTTTTGGGTAAAATTTCTGACCCATACCCAGCCCATTGTGGGTTGGGTTGGGTTGGGTATGGGTTTACCCAACCCAATGAACATGTCTAAGCAAGGATAGCATCTTGAATCATAAGATATGTCGAGTTCCAACGTGTCTCGATATCATACCTAGAACTATAAGTATATATAAGAATAGACATGTGCATGGGTTGGGTATGGGTCAAAATTCATACCCATACCCAACCCATCAGGGGTAAGGTAAACCCATACCCATACCCAACCCAACCCACGTGGGTATGGGTTGGGTATGGGTCCCATATGGGTATTTTTGATGCCTTAATGCCTGATTTTCGCCTCACCCTAAACTAAATTAGGGTAATTAGTGCCTTAGTGCCTAATTTTTGCCTCAATCTAGTACTAACTAGGTGACAAATATCACGTGAAATAAAAGTCTTGGCAAAAAGATGGGTTTATGGGCTGGGTGTGGGTTTTACTTCAAACCCATACCCAACCCATATGGGTTTTGGGTAAAATTTCTGACCCATACCCAGCCCATTGTGGGTTGGGTTGGGTTGGGTATGGGTTTACCCAACCCAATGAACATGTCTATATAAGAAAGAGAGAAAGGAATCTTGCTTACCGAATGAGCTTATCAGGTAATCCATGCGTCTGACAAATGATTTGCCACTGCTGCTGTCTTTGAGGACTTCCAGATACCTAAAGGGCTAAGATTCGTACACGAGCTAGCGCAGAATGCCCAGCTGGTAGGCTCTTATGGTCCTTTAGGATACCACAGGCATCTAAAGAAGATTGATAATCGCCAGATTTCAACTCTGATAGAATCTTTTGGACAATGAGATTCAGAATATGCGCCAGGCATCTAATATAGCTATCAAGACCTATCTTAAGTGAGTTTAGATAATTAAAGAGAGAGAGAGAGAGAGAGAGAGAGAGAGAGAGAGAGAGAGCTTACCCTGAAGATTTGCTGGAATGCTGTAGACTGAAGAGCAGTGAAAGGGATATTCTCCAAGACTATCCATCGAATCAAATTCTCCTCTAATGCCTCTAACATAGATTGACTAGTTTTTGTCCGAAACATAGAAACAATAGATGCTTGCTGAGTTGCTGATGATATCATTGATCCATGTTTTTTCATCAGATGCGTTTTCATATTTGAAGTTGATGTATCTCTCTGGGAATCCAAGATCTTCCATTCTCCACAATGAATACATACAATCTCTCGGTCCTGTAACGGCCCTTTACCCCGTTTAGGATGCCAGAACTTCCCTGGAAGACTGCGGATTGTAAATTGACTCCAAAGGGCTTGGTTTTTGGATTTTGGTGTCTTGGGCAAAGAAGAGTCTAAAGGAGTAGACACTATAGAAGAGGTTGTTTCAGGGAGTTGACTCGCTGAATAATTCGGAGAGATAGATTCATCTTCATCTTCATCTAATGGGGAGTGATAATGTGGTTGCTTTTTGATACGATCACTAGGATCAGCTTCCTCATCACTACCATCATTTAGAACAAGGTAATCCTGTCGTGGAGCGCGTTTAGGGCGTGGTAGGAGACTCATTCTATCAATGAATGAATAACTATTTAGATATCAAATTAGGGACTTCGGATGATAAGTTTCTATCGTAGTATCGTATGATTTATTTAGGCGGTGGCATAATATCACGGATAGAAGCTCTCGACTACGGTTACGGATACGAATAATCCAAAATCTTACGGATATGTATCCGTGCCGACCTCTAATCCTCAAGAACATATACTTAGAGACTTTAGACCTTACGTACATGTAGCACAAACATTACTAGACTTGAGAATTCTCACGGACAGATGATTCCTAGGTACACTACGTACTACTTGTGACTTTTTAAGTGAAATTTCCAATTGATGGAGTGCTGGGATCGAAAAAGGAAGTTGGGTTTATTATAGGCCATTTAGGTCTTTTGAATAGGTCTTTTTGTGAGAATAAACATCGAGATAATAGCACAAGAGATAAAAGAACAGAGGATATGGAGTACAGGGGATAGAAGTACAAGAGGATAGAGAGGAATAATGACCATCCTTCAAAACTGCCGATCTTCCCATCATTCATACCAAGGAGCCTTGAAAGCCTACCAGGAATCGAGGCAACATATCTTTATCTGATAGTGAAAGTCCCGAGTCCAGGCTCGGCCTCGCACAGTCTTTCAAACTGGCGTCACCAGCTTGGCATTTCCTCTGATGGTTTGGTTCTTTTTAACCTCCCAACTCTTACTAACCTGTCGCTCAAACGAATCTAGGCGAGAAGAAACGTGTTTCCATTCCTGAACACAACGATAACAGTTGCAGCGTGCCGATGTAGCATCAGACTGTTGATCGACTTGATATGTGTTAGCTGGTGAAGTCGAATGTCGATGGACTTGTCGAGTCTGAGAATATTGATTGAATTGACGTGTGTTAGCTCTTCCTTTGTAAGCCCCACGGCCACCCCTGTTACTGTTGAAATGTTTGTTATTCCAATGGTGCTTATTATTCGGAACGTTCTTCTTCGGTCGATGAAAGCTGGATTGGTTGATGTTGGGTCGGCTGTCATGGATGAATCTGACTTTCTTTTCATTCTGCATTATTGGAGATCCGTGTTCAAACGTATTATTACCTTGTTGGGTCATTGAAGAAGACCCAGGCGTATATGGACTACTTTGCTGAGCCATTGGGGAAAAACCAGTTGCAAATGGGTTCTTGGGTATGACAGGTTTTCCGGTATTAGCATTGTTCTGGGAACGACGTAGAATTGACTTCGGCTTCAGGATTGGTCGAGCATTTCCTTGATAGGTAGTTTTGGTATTTGGGTCGTTTGTGATATTATTGCTTTGGTTGTGTATATCACCATTATCATTGCCGCGCTTTGCTCCATTTATTTTCTTTCTGTAAAATTCAGTATTTCGCTCATTATGATGGGGAGGAGATATTGACTGGTCTCGCATGTCAAGTTCACCATCATTGCCACGACTAGTACCATCATCGCCGTACTTGGAAGCACTGATGTTGCGCTCAAGGCCACCGATGTTGTTTTTTTTCTTCGGGACTGCAACGAGTGAATGAAGGTTATTCTTTCTTTTAAATCTCCTCACCATTGCAGCAAGAATCAGATGAAGAATTAAAGTCTGTCTTGATTGAGGATGGGGTTGATCAAAGGTGAAAGGTCAAATGTGTTGGTGTGGTGAAGAGGGAAGGAACTTGAAGACAGTGTTGGAAATAAGTTTCACATCACCAGGTGCTCACCTGTATTTATACGTCAAATCAAAAGAACAAAGCAGAAGGAAACTTGGAATAATAGGCCTATTGCTGGAAATTCTTTCATTGAAATTGAAAGGTATACGAAACTTCCAAGAAAATCAGATCGAATTCTAACAGTCTCTACGAAAATGGTTGTTTCAACTAACTTTACTGAGGAAGAGGTCTCTAAAGCACCCAGGATTCTTCCAAGGGAGTTTCCTTCCTCTTGAAATAGTGAGATTTCTATCATCTCACTCCCACCAGTTCTTACCAAAGAGAACATTATGGCAAACGACCTTCCGAAACGATATTTGGATTCGGAATCAGCATTGTCCGCGAGAAGATCACTCTATCGTCCTTCTTACTACCAATTTAACGTGAGATTCTCAAGCTAATAAGATGCCAGGGTTCATATCCGAGCCTAAAGTCGAACAACTGAAGAGTAAGATTGACTACAAACCATTAGTTCTCCTGCTTCTAAACAGCAAGAAACTTTTCACGCCAAAGTACCTTACTTTTCTCCTAACAAAAGCCTCAAAGTTCTAGACTAGAACTTATATATATGCGGTGGAAATTTTTGTTTTACATGGAGCTACTTCAGTGACGATAAAGATATCAAAACGAAAGACCCATCGTCGAACTGGGGAGAGGTTTCGACATACAGCCTTCCTACGAATGGCACTCTGAATGGGATTTCCTGTTGGTATTCCGTAATGTCGTCAAGCTTGATGAGGCTCTTTTGTCTGGTGTGCCTGAGTGCGACCTGAAGCGAGTTTTCTGCATGTACTTTCCACATCCGACTCGTGTTGGAGATGATGTTGCTTTGGTATGAGCTGACCAAGATGAGGGCTCTGTATAACTCCAAACAGAACATTTCTGATTTGATTGAAATACAAAGCTATCACCAACTAAAGACTAAAAGTCCTTGAGTGGGGTTTCATTATTCTGTGATGAACTAAACAAATTTGATGGCTTGAGATTGATACTTCCTTGTCGTTTGTTTGTAGTATATGGAGAGTGACTGGCGCTAATGCTTGTCCATCAGGTACTCGCGATTCTTGGAAGGATTGTTCCTTAACAGACACTGCATTGTATAAGACGATACACATAATCCATCTCTCATGTCTTGCTCTTGGGGGATACAAGTTGAGGTTTCCAAGTTAGTCCCTTTGCGGGAAATAGTCAAAACGAGCGATTAAGATAAACTGAGTGAAAGATTCTCTCGGAGACTGTAGTCCTTTGTCATTCGAAGTGAAAGTTCATTATCCAAAACCGTAGGCACTTTTTATCATTATTGTAGGAATCTAAGATTTAAATCCGCGAAATTAAAATCCACCACCATACGAACTCTGGCCGTAGGGAGTGGCGCCATACGGGGTCTGCGCACTGGCACCCCAGGCACTGGAAGCACCGTTTCCATATGATGTCAAATTGCCATCAATACCCTCAGGCGGCTCATATGCGTCTTGGTCGACCGCACCCATCATCTCCTCCGCAGGACGGTCTCCACCCTCCCCAGTCAATTCGGAAATAACAAGAGCGAGTTTACGCTGCAGAACTAGGATTCCTTGCTGAATAATCATGTCGGGTTCGAGGTTTCCGATGCTCTCTACGTCGAAGTAGAAGCGATCAGGCTCGGCGTCATAGTCAAAAGGGTCATCAGGGTTGGCAGCTGTTTCCCAAGTAGCATTTTCGGAGATAGGCCTGTAAAGATGTAAGAGGGACATGAGGGTAATATAGGGGAACCGAATTCTTTCACTCACCATTCCTTGATAGGATCCTGCTCATACCAGTAGTCGACGTGGCGCAAGTTATTGTGCGGGTCATACTCAAAGCCAACAGCGGAAGTCGGCGCCCACTTGGCATGTTCTTTGGCGGTTCCTTTCTTGGCCAAGCACATCAACTTGATCTCCTGACCTTTTCGCAGCTTGCAGATCAAAGAGCCCTTCTGCTCTGGATCCGTAATTACAGGGTTGCCAATCGTGTCATTAACGCGCTCTCCTGTCTGGAATAGATCCCGGGCATACACTGGCAAGATACCTCCCTCGCAACGCGCATGCAGCAAAAGAGTGATGCTGCAGCGCGGGCAGAACTCCTCGCAGGTACAATCGCGAGTGTACTCGAGATCCCTGTCGCAATTTGTCGAAACGATAGGAATCAGACCCAAACGATGGGCAAGCATCTCATCGGGAATAACTGAGTTGTTGTGTTCGATCTCGATTAGGTCGAGTGCGACTGTGGGGACTTCGGCAAGCATGGCGCGGCGAAGTGAGTTGGCGAAGGAGAGTTCAATGGAGCTCAGTTTGAAGTCAACGCGGGACTCTGTCATCTGCTACTTTTTAATCTTTTTGGTCTCATTTGTTCAAGCTGATAATCAAGGTACCTCTCGAACAGTTATTTGGGGTCCTGTGGACTCCACGTCCATGTCCATCGGGTATTCCATAGTGATTGGGGCAGCTTTATCGCTGCGATGTGAGGGGGGCGATGCGCAATTCTATGCGCGGTCGGGAGAAGCGTTGATTAAGTATGACGTAAAATCCGAGGTGAAAATTGAGGTAGAGGTAATATCAGATGTGAGGTTAGGTGTGATGGTGTGTTCATTGAAAGTGAAAGATCACGGATTTGTTTCTGGGGCATATTCTACACTAAGCCTAATCAGGATACACCAAAACGGAAGCATTGCTACCAGTTCTAAAATGCACACAATTTGCTTCATTACGAACAGAATTTAAAAAAAAAAAAAAATAGCCTAGGCTATGTACTAATATACATTTGCTAGCTACAATGAATAGAGAATGATCAAATTAAAGTGGCGGACAATTAGTTTGCAAGTTGTTAGCAATAATAAAAGTCCAATATATGCCGCTTTTGTTTCTCAAAAAGAGATACAGTAAAATATCTTATCTCAGCTGTAACTGATAGTAAGCATGCGCCCTCACTTCTTGAAAAAAGCCCGAGGATATTCCATCCTAGGATATGTCTATGTGACAGCGAGGAAGCAAAAGCAATGGAAAGTGGCGACAAACGTGGATGGGGAAAACCGGAGCCCGGCCACAACAGGCGCTTTTAGAGTAATTGAGGAATTATGGAAAGGTTGAGAAAAGAGAGATAGCTGAAAGCTGAAAGCAAGAAAGGCCACCGGTCTTTTTTATTTTCTGAGGTCGTGTCGAGTCATCAGGATGGAGTAATCAACCAGCATCCGGGTTTCGAAGAAAAAGAGAAAATAGAGGGGATATGTACAAGCGAATTGGTGGTTTCTACCGCTTCAGGGAGCTGCGGTTGAGAGCCTCCAGCAGCTCAGGGCGGTTTGCCAGAGCAGTGGCGGCCTGGGCGTAGCCGACCCATTGACGCTTGCGCTTGTGCATCTCGGGCCATTCGGTCTCCTCCTTATCGACTCGGACTTCAAAAAAGTGATAAGAAGCCTTGGGCGCATTTTCAGTTTGCAGGTTGGCAGGACGGCCATCGGGGATTAGTCCCAAGTCACGCTTGACGGAACAGATGATCCCACCCTCCTCCCACGCTTCGCGGCAGGCAGCATCCTCGGCGCGAGGCTCATCCGATTCCCATCCACCCTTGGGGAGCACCCAGCCTCCGGGTCCAGCAGATTGGATCATGAGGACTTTGGTCCCATCGTCGGAGAGGGGAACGACACCTGCGACCAGACGTTCGCCTTTGAGGCCATAGCCTATTTCAATTGAGGTCAGTGTGGATCTTTTCAGCATTGTGGAGTATATACTCACGTTGGTTCTTGCGGCCAACGCGGGATTCCATTGATCGTTGTGTTTGAGCCATTATAGAGGATTCGTTTTGTCGATGAGGATGATGTTTCGTAATGGGTGTAGAGAAAATGAAAGGAATGTGGATCCGGGGATCGTCGATCGGGGCGATCAGGGAAGTAATTGAAGCTTGAAGGAATAAAAATCCAGAGGCAACTATGACTTTCAAGCTCCAAAGGAGCCCTGAGAAGGTCTTCGGGGGGTGGTTTAGGAAGCTTTCAATAATTCGGGAGAATGGGGGTTTGTTGGAAGGCGGTCGGGCTTATGAGGGGGAAAAAAAAATATTTTTCCAAGGATTGGTAGGGAAAAAACTAAGTCTTCCGATTCATATCCATTGGGATATAAGACAGGTTAGAAATAGGCATGTTTGTTAAGTAAGGAAGAATTAAGATGGGGGAAAAAGATGGAGAAATTGAAGGTGAGAGAATGGAGGGGCCAAACCCCGGCACTACCCAAAGGTACTACTCCCTTTACTATCTTTTCTACTTCTTTACTTGATGTTTTCTCCTACTTCTTTACTTTTTACTTATGAATATACTAGATGAAAGCTTCACTAGGTCATTGTAATTCTATCCAGTTTTCAATCGATTTAATGCCATTGAAGCCACGAGATCTCGGATCGGACTTGAATCTCGTTATATCCGGTACCAAATAGGAGAATTTCGGGGTTGATTTACTCGGTTTTGAATTAATAAAAGCCGATCTAGTTTTTGAGACGCCATGTTTGTAAGTAAATTTGTTAGTAAATTTGAATTGTGTAGTTTTGATGTTGAAAATATGGCAGCAATATTCTTATAGTATGAAGTAATTGACCATATCTTACTTACCCAACTGTTGTCCCCCCCCCTTCTTCTTCACCCCTCCACAATATTTAAAGTGGGAACCAAACATCTCCCTTCTTCGTCAACTGTCTTGCTAAGTCTTCACCGAGATTTTATTAATCCCGCCTGAACCGCAGGACTCTCAGGACTCTCAGGACTCTCAGGACTCTCAGGACTCTCAGGACTCTCAGGTACAGATGGAGCCTGTTGACGCCGAACGCGCGCGACAGCTGTCGCTCTTTCGGCCACTAGGTACGTCCCACTTATCTTGCTCTAGCCAGTGAAATCAAAGCTCGTTACCTCGTGGCGCTTCCACTGGTTCCAATAATTGCCAAAGTCGGGGAAACTTGGCGGGGGTTTACGAACATACTGCACTTGTTCTGCAGCTATTGGACACCTTTATTGCAGCCCACTAAACATGCCACAGGATACCAGCGAGGCAAATGCGGCTATTGCCATTCAGACGAAGGAAGTCAGTATATTTGCCTCTTCTTTTGCAACCTTTTTTACTGACACGTCATGGCCAGGCGCATCTTACTACACCAGCTCTGTTGTGGTGCAACCCGAGCACTATGAGGAGTTGATCAATCGAGGCTGGAGACGGTAAGAAGGATTTCTTTCGAGACAGTCGTCCATGTGCCTAATGCATATCCTAGATCTGGTTCGCTTTATTACAAGCAGAACCTGCAACGTTCCTGTTGCCCCCAGTACACACTGAGACTCGAGGCGTCTGCTTTTCATGCCACTCGCGATCAGCGCAAGGCTACCAACCACTGGAATACCTTCGTTCTGGGAGATGAGTATATCAGCAAAGTCTCGCAACTTTCTCGTCTTTCTCACGAGTAGGTCTGGTTCATCTGATGTCAAGCCAGTTCTAATAGAATATGTAGAGAAAACAAACACAGAAAGAATAACTTTGATCTGCTGACCAGAGTGCACGAAGCAGAGTACGGCAATTTGAAGCACCCAGTTGATCCTGTCACCAAACGTCCGCTGGAGCCGGCTCATCGTTTCGAGGTCAACATTGAAGGTGACACGATCTCACAGGCAAAATATGACCTGTTTGTCAAGTACCAGACCACCATTCATCGAGAGGATCTTTCACGATGGAGGAGTAAGGACTTTGAGAAGTTCTTGTGCGCCGGCATTAAAAGATCTCCGGCTACCATTAACAGGTCGAATGACTTGGAGAAGAAGCTGGGGTCATGGCACCAGTGCTACCGTCTTGACGGAAGGCTGATTGCAGTCGCTGTCTTGGATTTGCTACCAAGCGGTATCAGCTCCGTCTATTTCTTGTGAGTATTTTTGCGCGTCTCATATGGAGTTGGCTGACAGCTATATGCGTAAGCTATGACCCTGATTACGACAAGTGGGAGCTCGGAAAGCTCAGTGCTTTGCGTGAGATTGCCTTCTCACACGAGCATGGGTATACCTACTATTACATGGGTAGATCTATCCTTTTACGTCACAGGAGAATGCTGTATTGACACTTCCTGCAGGATACTATATTCATAACTGCCAGAAGATGCGCTACAAGGCCAATTTCCGACCTCAGTACATCCTTGGTAAGTCGACCATACTAATATCCCTTCTAGTTCAGTAGCCGATACTACTGCCCAATAGAAAACATTCTGATGACCCAGAACAGACCCCGAGACCTACACTTGGGACCCATTGGATGGCGAGTTCCGCGAAAAACTAGATACGCGTGACTATGTTTCGCTATCAAAAGATCGATCTTCCACCAACATCGAGAAGTCAACTCCAGATTCAGCCATTGACCCTGCTAAGGAAAAGAACCTTTCACTCTTCACCATCAAAATGCCAGGTGTCCTAACTATGGACGAAGTGACAGCCTTGAACCTGGACACTTGGCATTTGCTTTTCCATGGAACCTTTGTGGAGATGTCTGTAAGTAATCCCCTTGGCTTTCTTCATTTATCCTTCGGTTTGCTGATATATCATAGGATCTTGTTGGTTGGGAGACTATGGCTATGGATAATCCACAATCCATCAAGGGAATTGTTTCTGAGTTGGCTGCGTGTCTTGGGCCGATCATTGTCCAAAACAGTGCGGTGGTACTCTTTGACTGAAGAAACAACTGCTCCTGACAGAACCAACGTGAAAGTAGGAAATTTATTTTCAAAATGACAAGCTTTAGCGAGTCTCCAAATTTACCACAAGTTACACATACACATAGCAGAATGGCCCCCCGGTAGTGCTCATCAGATCACGCATAGCAATGGGCCCCCCATTGGAGTATCCTATATCGATGACAGTATCAAGAGTCGTGTTGGGAGATACCGGCGAATTCAAAAAAGTACCAGTACCAGAGATGGCATTCTGACGATTCTTCAAATCCAAGTTTTGCCATATCCACCACGTACGATCAATCATACCGTGATGATGCCAGAATGCTGGATCACCAGGACTGACATAGACATCTCGGGCAGGGTCACCACCCATAGAGTAGTGGCCGGCACCATGAACACCAATGCTTCCGCTACCAGGAACACCCTGCATAACCATCTCAAAGTCCCAAATGTCATTATTGGCAAGGATTAGGTCGACAATTGACGTATAATTTCCCCATTTCTGCAGGATCTTCGTAGTCAGATCCCTTTTCAGGCAGCGGGGGTTATAGTCGAACGGGTTTACTGAGGTGGCAGTTAGGTTTCCAGGAAGCGCGAGTGCTTCTGGGCCCAAGTTGACTTTATAGTCTTTGAATGGACCACTGGTCACACAACCTCCTCCACTTCCAGGCGGGAGATAAATTGGTGCATTTGCTCCTAGTGATAATATCACGTCGGATCTGTTGGCAACGTATGCCCCGTTCCCAGACATGGAGGTGTCGCTTCCATCAAAGACTTGGGATTTCTCCATTGATCCAGCATCGGCGGCCCAAGTCCAATACCTATGGTGGAAACGAATTAGTGAGCTGCCAGGCAAGAACCTTGGAAGATTCATTTGAATTCTGCGAGGACTCACGGATAATCGCCAGTATAGCCACATTCATCGTGCAAGGCTGACTCAAAGTTGTAAATAAACCACCGATGCCATCCCAAAAATGTTCCCTTTTATCAGTTAATAGAAATTCCATAGATGAAAAAGGCCATACAGCTCTCATACCGTGAAATGGATATGTAAAGTTTGATTGATATGAGTAGCGACGAAATCGTCATATCGAGTTCTGGCTCCCGGTACTAGTATTGACGGAGTCCGTGAAGGCAAGCTTTGGAGACAAAGAACTGACTTGATATAGGCCTTCTTTTGTAAAGAAGAGAACGCCCTCCAGTCGCGACGAACACGCATTTTTTTTGGTGTACAATTGTCATTTTGAATATTCTTCTTGGCATTTTCAAGTGCAGTCTTGGCCAATATTGCAAGTTGAGCCTCTGCTACAGCTGTTGAAGAAGACGCAAGCACTGGTATAGAAGATGAGGGTAGAGAAGACGAGCTCGATGGTATAGACAGTGCTCTGACCTGTAGGGCCAAAGCTACCAGAGCAAAGATTGGAGAGAACAACATGACTTATAGAGCTCAAAATGAGAACACTAGAGTATGATGGGTTCGCAGAAGACTTACGGGTAGCAAGGGCATTTAAAGATAAGGAAGCTGGTCGAGTCTCCTCACATCGGATGAATTGCCATTGTTGGAGACTTGCTGCGTAAGATGCGCCTTGCAAGGTTTCCTCCCTAGTCTAGAGCTCAGACTGCAACTATCAGATCCGCAATGTTTCATTCGTTGTCATTGGAAAACAGACTACAAGGCTGATAACCAGGCTCGCGGGCCGGCTCGGGCCTTCAACCACGCGGGAGGAACGGAATGGTTGAACAATGTTACTGGTTTTGGCGGGCTGCTTGCAGTGGGAAAATTTCTGAAATGAGACATTTTAAGCGTACCTGGTAGGCACTGCGCTGTGATTGGCATCGATACGAAAATCTCTTCGGTCCCGGACTGTTTTCTGATTGCTTTTTTCAAGATCGATCTGATCGCGATCTCCACTTAGCTGCAGGATTTAGGCCCATCGTATCATAGCTTGCATATACGAGTCCAAAATGAAATCTACAATCTGCAGAGTGAAAGACGAGTCATGAGCTTCTCAGTAAGGTCTGCTCCCCTTTTCTACCTTCATGTGTGCCTTTTAGTGTACATGCAGGCAGTGCAAGCGATGCAAGCAGACCATTTGGGAAGATATGGAAATACCCCCTACTTATAACTTGGTCTATCACTTTTTTATTTATACATAAGTACCGAGTACGCACTTAGTTACGTACCTGGGTATACTGATCGAAAGATATACAGTTCATTTAATTCACTCTACAAGCTTGGAAGCCCTGGGCTAACGGTAATGACCGAAATTCCCTTGGATCAGTTGTATTTTTAGACCACAAATACTCCCGAAGTCGTCCCTAGGGACATACGAACTTAGATAGCCAAGTTTACTCATCAACTCCAACCATGTCTTGAATCTTTCATATTCATGGATCTTCCCTGCAACCTTGGAACTGTCTGTTGTGTGACAAAAATAGCCGTCAATGTTCCTGCTGTTAATGTGCTTTTTATTCCTCTGCATGGATGCCACGTGGCATATGCCATCATCTCCAGCCCGTTTATGCATAGGCGACCTCATGAAACTAAGCATAGAATATCTATTGATGTGTACCAGTACCATACCAAGGTCCAAATTCGTAGTAAGTCCACAACCCCTGGCTTCCAAGGTCATCAGATGGTTAATAATGATTGTATCTGGCTTTTTCTTCTCCATCTCTGTCAATTTCTCTTATTTGTATTCTCTGACTTTGTCGAGGGCAGCTTTGCAATGATAATTTGTAAAGCTCATGTTCGATGAAGCTGTTTTCGTTTATCGGATACAAGCCGGATACAAGTCCCCCAAACCCCACTTCATCTCCCGCATAAAGCTTAGTCCCTGATATCGCATCAGCTACATCATCCAGCCTGATTTGCTTATTCCTTTAATCTGAAAAACAATGATGCGGGGCGTAGAATACATCTGAAAAGTTGAGTGAGACTTGGCTGGAGCCTTCCTGTGTGTCCCAAACTACTAGGTCTGCCTCAATCGATAGGAATTGTGACTCCCCATATTCAGACACACAATAGGCGAATAATGCCAGCATTTATACTGGCATCTTCCGGAACACATCTGTTTAATATAACTTTGAGTTTCTATCACGCATAGGATTCTGCTACCCGATAAATAGCTCCGTCAATAAGCTCGCGCTCAGCCACGACTTGTTCTAAGAGAAGCCAAAAGTTTCTGGCTCTGGGGTCAATCTTCTCGGGCTCGTATCCATTCCATTTATGAAACCTGGATCTGGATGATGGTTAAGAGGTGATATATGGCAAGACACTGGAGAAAGTCTATACTGGCAGAATAATGATCATAGAAATCTTGTGAGATTGAGGAAGAGATAAGTACTTTGCATGTAACGCTAAAAATGAGCGGATGGGAGCAGCATATTTTGTTAGTATATTACAATTCCATGATACATACTGAGGCTATCCAGGAAAGCGCATAATAGTAATACGCCGCCGAAGGGCGTAGATTATGATGAAGATAAAGACTACGAAAGATGATGCGGATAATTGTAGTTCCGATGAGTCCGGGGTAAAAGTGGGTCTCGTTGGATCAAGTGTAGCTTTCTATGTTATGTTAAAATAGATTAATCTCTTGGTTCTTGAGAATGTCAGCTTTCGATACCACTTTTCCCAAGTTGAAGGAAAGTTATTTCCTATGAGTGTGGGCTTACTAGATGCTTAGCTCTGGTCTTGAGAGTCAACATTCACGGTCGTTTTCGCCAGAATATTCACTCGTTTGAAGTGCTTTATCGACAATGTGAATGGGAGAGAAGAAAAAGGTGAATTGGGTGATACTAATATTTTTGATACCTAGGTAGTGGTAGAGAGAAGTACTGGGGTATATCTCCATCATTCAATGGCACGAGAACCTTGGAATGTCATGTCTTCATTTACATACTCAAGGCAGTCAGCAGGAGTGATGAAGTGATAGGTTTCTCTAAAGACCAAAATGCCATCTGCCTATGTAAAGTGGTCCATGTATATCTCTCTATTAGCCCTTTTGAATTATATAGATGGTGATAAAGTATAGCTCGGTGTCTCATCATGGTATCGAATCACCTAGATAACCTTTGGAAGGCTTAATCATAGCCGGGTAGACAAGAAGTATTTCTTTCCAAGGTTTCATATAAGGGAAAACCAGTATCGAAAGCACCTTCCACTCATCTATAAATCATTCATTGATGGAGAGTTTCTATATATCTTACCTAGGTCGTCACAGTTTCTTGGATCAACTTTTCCCGTTAATATAAGGTTCTCAGGGAGTCTTTTCGAGTGATAGATCCCTTTCCAATGTTAATCGTAACCTTTGAAACTTGACTCTGTTTCATTGTCTTTCTAATTTTGAATCTGGTGATTTGCGCGGACCTCGGGAGTACACATCGCCAGAGTGATTACAGTGTTGCAGCGAAGAATACGTGAGTAAAAACTGATCACAAGGTTCTCCTAAGTGCCTAGGTAGAAGAACATCATCTGCGCTGTTGGAACATTAGAAGAAATAGTGGATGATTAATACCATTTGGGTTTCTATGTACAAAGTACGTACTCCCGCTACTTAAAAACGTCAGCGGTGCAGTATTGACGCAACCCACTGATGGCAAATTCAAACGTGATTCGGCCTTAAACTAGCAAATTCCCTAGCACATGCCGTACATCTCCACCAAAAGGCTAAAAATTTCTTGATATCCTGAGATAAAGAGAGGGGAAGTTGAACTAACCCTGAGTATACATATTGTGGACCGAAAGTAAATGATAACGATGTTAAATGCGACCATTGCGTAATCAGTAAACAAGGACTATAAATATGTAGGGATGAAGCCAGCTGTTTTCATAGCAAGATACAGATCTCTACATCTAGGTAATCTCATTTAGCGATGGCCTCTGAAATTTCAAAAGATGGCAGTGTCGCAACCCATGTGAAAGAACCTAGTCAGATCGACAATCCACTCAAGGTGCTTGACCAGTTTGCAGACGAAAGTTTCAAGCTATTGTCAAAGATACAAGTATCAGATCCAACGCCGGAAGAAGCAAGAGCGATACGGAATAAATGCTTATGGCGAATCCTACCGTTTCTGTGTATAGGTTATCATTTGATGTACATTGACAAGCAAACGGTATGTTAGCCCTGGAGATAACCATTCCAAGGTTCGAAGTTTTAATGGAAGTTTTTTCCGTTTCTGATCATTAAGCCATTAGCTGGGAAGTTCTGCGATTTTAGGGATTATGGATGATGCCCATTTGAATTCCAACCAATACAACTGGCTGTCTTCAATTTTCTACTTCGGCTATCTTCTTGCGGAATGGCCCCAGAACTGGGCCTTACAAAGGTTTCCTGTTGCAAAATGGCTATCCGGTAATCTGATAATATGGTAAGAACTCAGCTCACATCTCTCAACCCACTCGATAATGGCTGATGGTCGCGAAGGGGCTGTATCACTCTCTTGCATGCACCATGCCATAATTTTGCCTCCTTGTTTGTGGTTCGGTTTTTTCTCGGTCTGGCAGAAGCTTCGATTATTCCGGCATTTTTGCTCTCTATGTCTATGTTCTTCACGTATGACGAGCAGGCAGTTATGATGCCGATTATGTGGTCAATCGGCAACGCAAGCCCTATCACCTCTGGTCTCCTTTCATACGGTGTCTTGTGGATTAAGACGGGAGATTTCTCGCCCTGGAAATGGCTTATGAGTGAGTTATTTATCGATATCTTGTGTGCTTTCACTAACATCCATCTTCTAGTCATCACTGGTATTCTAACACTCATCTTCGGTGTGTTGGTTTGGCTTCTCTTTCCTGATAGCCCAATCCATGCCAAATTTTTGACCCACGAAGAGCGTGCAAAAGCAATATTGAGAATCAAGGGAAACCATGCCGGAATTGAACAGAAGATGTTCAAAAAATACCAGTCGGTCTTTGCTCCAACATTTGAATAATGAAAAAACATCTGATCAAAGAAATTAGATTCATCGAGGCTATTCAAGATCCAAAGACTTGGTTATTCTTCTTACACGCATTTTCCCAAGAAATGGCAAATGGAATGACAAACCAATACTCATTGATTATAAAATCATTTGGGTTTACAGTTCTCCAAACGACTTTGCTTGGTTGTGTCAGTGGGTTAATTTCGTTCTTTTCTCTCGGAAGTGCTGCAGTCATTCTGTACAATACTAAGGTAAAATTCCCACGCTGAAATACTTGGAAGCTTATGAGTTGACCCCTTATCCTCAGAATTGCCGAGCTTGGATATCCCTCATTGCATACATTCCCGGTGCATTATCCAGTATATTACTTTTAGGTGAGTCTCCTGGGACTATAGGTTCGAAGTATTCCGACATTAATACATCACAGCTTTGCCTTGGTCAAATCGTTGGGGTCTGATATCAGGTATTTGGGTAAGATCCACAACCGGAATCCCATATGCTGTGGTAATGATCTGGGCGGCCAATGCATCTGCGGGTCACACAAAAAAGACCACTGTAATTGCATTATATCATATTGGCTACGGACTGGGCAATATCATCTCCCCACAGCTTTTCAGACCCCAGTGGAAGGTTAGTCTTTCAAGCTGCGTACATTTTTCTCATCGAGCTAACACTCTGTTTAGCCTCGCTACAAGCCAACTTGGATCATTCTTCTTGTGGTAGGTTCGAATAGTCTCACTCTCTCACTATCTTGCTGACCCTTTCCAGGTCGCTGTGATTCTACCATCAATAACTATCATCATTCTGAGGATCTATCTGAGCTCAGAGAACAAGCGTCGGGATAAGCTTGAAGCCACCAACCAAATCACTACCGATGGGGTTGTGGAAACTACCGACTCTGACGGAGGTAAGGTGGCCCGTATTGTGGATTCCACTCAGATGGACTTGACAGATAGGGAGAATTTGACATTGTAAGTTGAAGTCTCCGGTAAAATGAAGCTGGTATGACATTGATCAACATTGACTTGCCAATAGCCGATACGTACTTTGAAGATATCCATATTATATCAAATAGATTGGAGCCAAGGCCAACGATCTGGGGCGGTTAACTATTAATGGCACATCCATGGATTTTATCTGGAGATTTGCCTGTTCCGAGGATCCACCTTCTCACCCCATATCCTCTCCTACTACTCTGCACCCCTTGTTATAGAGGGCTGCGCGTTCAGCAAGCCTTGCTGATCGGCGGGGGCCGATTGATTGCTACTGATCCTTAGCATGGATCTCTCTAGATTACACCATGATAAATCTACATCTAGATACATCATCCACGGGTAAGTAATAAGAATAACAGATAGGATTCCGCCTAGACATACCCAAATAATTGTCCAATTTAGATATAATATACCACACGATTTATAGCCTTTAGATTGTTGGATGACGAGAAGAGTCCCCGATAGAGCAAAATCAACCTCCCAAATCTGGCCATGTTCATCGAGAGATGCAATAGTTCCCAAGGCTGCCGAGGATACTAGGGAAGTTGAAATACTGATCAACTCTGACATTCCCTCTGTTCTCTGCTCGAAGTATTATTATTATGGTCTATTTTAATATGCTTCAAAAGATGTAGACACTGTAGCTAGACTCATCTTGAAAGGGAGGTAGATCCGAATCTGGATGCTGGATCTTGCCTTTTTCTCGATTCCTATGCGAAAGAAGCTTGTCATGTCCCAAGTGTTTGGTGTGCTCTAAGCCATTCTTTGCATAGCTAGTTGAACTAGTTGGTGCACCTTCTATCCACACTGATAGATATCGAGAAACCCATAAGTACTAGCTAGTGATATATCGTCTTTAAGTGGACCAGCCTCATCAAATTTACTTTTGCTCTCCATATAACTGTTTTCCGTTAGTTTGTTTTCGTTGCTTTTTGTTCCATAATAAATCTGTAGATATTGGCCTGATTCTTTGGATGTAATTGAAGGATATTTGCCATATTATGAGGATCGCGTTCTTAGCCTCTAGGTCCCGGCGGAGATAGCTTCATGATCAAGCATGATCAAGGGGAATGATCTTCTGGTGATCGCTCCTCTGGAAATATTCAAGGTGTTGTCGAACTGACTCTTATGATGCTCCTTGCTTTATATAGACCGCTTTTTGCACAATATCAAGTGGCTAAACTCAAGTGCTATGACCAGTTTCATAATAGCTGAGAGAAATACGCCCAGATTGATCGACCTGGGGTGTTGACCTCTGGAGTTTTGAGGAGAAATTGACCATCAATACTGTTTCCAAGCTTGTATCAACTAAGTGCAGAAATTTAGTAAATTTATTTAGTTAAATAACTACTGAACAGCTAAGCTTACTAATGAGGGCAACAGCGGAGTATCGTGGCGGCGTACATTTAAATACATAAGGGAAAATATGTTTTCGGACACCGCCCGCATTTTGACGCGTTTTGTCGCATAGGCCTATACCCACCTTTTTGAATTATATTTCTTGTACTAACAATGGCTCCTTTTGGCACATAAATTAGTGGAAACCGCGGTAAAAAGCAAGAACTTTCTACTGATAAACGCGCTGGAATCATCTCTAGCCTTGAAAATGGTGTATCGCCAACCAAACTCGCTGCTATTTATGGCTGTACCCGCAGCACAATCTACTACACTCGTGACCGCTACGAAACCACAAAAACCCTTGAATCGCGCCCTAGAAGTGAACGCCCTCCTATATATAGCGAAGCCGCTAAACGCTGGATCTATTTGAAAGCGCGCCGTCATCCATTTTGGAGTTATAGGCGACTTGCAGCAAACACCTCTTTTAATCCCTCTCGACCTACTTTACGGAAAATTCTTAGAGGTTACGGTCTTCCAAAACGACGCCGAAAGAACAAGACGCCGAAAGAACAAGATTCCTCTTAGCCCTCGCCTTGCGAAAGACTGACTCAAATTCGCTCAAAAATGGCGTCAGGATGTGGATTGGAAGAAATGGATCTTTTCGGACGAATGTTCTGTTCAGAGAACGTCTAACTCTGATATCCAGTGGGCATGGATGTTCAGATCTAAGACTTGTTTAAGTCAATTTGTTAATCCTAAAGTCCATGTGAAGGATATTTCGCAGATGGTATGGGCGTGTATATGGATTGGTGGTCGTTCAAAGTTAGTGGTTATGGAGCGCGATTCTAGGTCTAAAGGTAAAGGATTTACTAGCATATCCTATATCAAAGCCCTAGAAAAGGGCCTTCTACCACACTATGAGGATGATGATATATTTCAGCAGGATAATGCTAAAATCCATACATCAAAGGAAGCAAGAAGGTGGTTTCGACGTTGGAGGATTCGTCTTGAAAAATGGCCTGCACGATCGCCTGATATGAGCCCAATCGAACCATGTTGGTATCTTCTAAAGTGTAAATTAAGAAAGCTACACCCCGAATTAGTCGAAATGGGCCAAACTGCAGCTGATTGGACCTATTTTAAGGCCTGTATTTGCGAAGCTTGGGATGCCATTCCATAGGCTACAATCGACAGCTTAATTAGGGCTATGCCGCGCAGATTAGCTGCTGTACGTAAAGTCAGGGGGTATTATACTAAATACTGAATACAAACCTATTCTCCTGTAATTTACATATTTGAATATATAGATTATATAGCTATATCTATAATAATGGTAGAGATATCAGTGGTTGAAGTAATTATATATATTTGGGGTGGGCGGGACTAAATCCCGACTGTCCGAAAACTTATTTTCCATAACGTATGATTCTATGACTCATGCCGTCCTCTCCAGGACTTTCCTTCTTTCTGGAAGTTCCTACATTCCCTATAAACATCACAATGCTGTACAGGTGATCCATATTTGTCCATATTTATCCCACTTCTCTCCATTCCAAGGCCTTTGAAAGGAAATTTGAAATGTCCTGTAACGCAGATAGTATCCCATGGGATCTACTCACTTCACACCTTCGCTGGGCGCCAGGAAAGGCCACACAGCAAATTCGCGACCTGGGACCCCCCGAACTCCCTGGCAAACTCAAGGAATCTGAAGGTTGCGGGTGTGGTGTCACTAACTTACACCCAATCCTTGATTGGCGAGAAACCCCTGAACAGAATGAATTCACCAACGCCTTTGCAGAAGCAGTGACGGAGGCCTCGAAAAAGAAACGTACCCAGTATCCAAACAAGTACAGTATTCCAAGTCCAGATGATATTATCATTAGTGAGAAACTTGTTAAAGAGATTGAATCACATATGGCTGGATTGTATGACGGGTTCCGCGCCGATCAAGATGACCCATTGGGACAATGGCCACCTATCCCGTTCCAGCAAAGGACTGTATTTGCGTTTTTGCACCCTCGGGATGGCGGTGATACCTGTTTCAATTTCTATGAGCACAATCAAATTGGATTTCCTAATTTGGAGATTGTCAAGATGCTACTGATGCTTGGTGAATTGGATCCTATTCTTCGAGCGTGCGCTCATCCAGACCAGGGATTATCGGGTTGGTATGATTGTGCTTGGTGTAATTGTGCCGTAAATAGTGCCATTGAATCCCCTATTCAGAATATACTACTGACAGGATTTCTTAGCCATATACTCTCGGATGGAGCGAGGTCCAGAGAAGGGCATTATTAGCTTACATTGGGCTTAACGTTGCTCTTCGCTTTCCAGAAATGTGGGACACAACAGCTGGTAAAACCGATGAAACTGACTATCGCCATACTGGTTTCTATCAATGTACCCTTCAGAACTGCACTAGATCTGTCTGTTTCTGTTCTTCTATGGCTACATCTTATCCTCATCAAAAGTTCTTTGGTATTCCTGACAAACACTTCTCTGAAAGTGGCAATGTTAGCATAGATGAGAACCACTGGCTATGTCGCACGGATATGTTCAATAAATCCGGCAGTTCTAGATTGCATTCCCACGTCGGAATACTTTTATTCGACGAGTTCCTCAACTTGGAACATGCACTTCCCGAAAATACACCTTATTCATATCAGCCTGAGACATCTGATGTTATATTTGTAAAGCAAGTGCTCAGGTCTTATCTTCCCTTGGAACTTGTGCTTGACATAATGGATTTAGCCGATTATAAAGTCAAGATCCGGCATGATCCCCTACATCCTGCCAACAGAACCGAGTTGAAAAAGTATCTCGATCTCTGCTGGCAACTCGTCATTGGATGTGACATATTGAACAATGAACTAGGGATGGAACCAATTGACTGGCAAGGGCTTGTTCTCCAGGAAGTGGTACATCTTTTTTACAATTCGTTCCATCCGAGGTGGAAAGAAGAGTACGCTTTTGGGACAAAATGCACAAATAGTCAGCTGTAGAGCTAGCCACATAGCTGCCCAGGTGAATTCTAGAATGTGAAGTCCTTTACTTACCCATTATTCATGAGGGTGGGGTGCACTGTATCATATTTAGATCATGGTCTATGGGGAAATGGCGAGGGTATTCCGTGAGATTTTCTGGAGTGCATCTTATTCAAAATACTAGTGCGAATTTCAAGTCCCAAGGTCTATCTCAACCCTCAAGTGACTTGGAATATTCACTGATATAGGGCCAATTCTATGGACCGAGTTTTACCTACTACCCGACTTGAAAATTTTGAAACTGGAATCAAGAACGTATGTCACGTATATAGAATAAAACCTATATAAGTATCAGACGCCGCAGAAATCAATAAAAAAAATGAACATGTACGTGGTGACTATCCACAAGGTAAAAAAAAGAAGACAAAGAGAAATAGCGATGAAAATGGCAAAAAGCAACAAATGCCACCATATGTCTATCCGTTTTGTCTTGCACGCGTTCTCAGCCCCAGTCGCTCTAAGCCAGCCGCAGTGATGGGGCTGATAACTGTTCATAAGAGGGCCAGGGCCAAGAACAAGAAGGGGAGAAACGCCTTAAGTCATCAAGCAGAAACTCCCAAACCCCCAAACCCCAAATCCATGCTCAAGACAAAATGAACTCCGAGTGGAAAGGGAACAGGAAAAAGGAAAACAAGGAAACTAAAACGCCAAAAGCCGAGGGACAATGCAGAGGACGATGGAAACACCCACAATGCTCGGAAGGAATACTGATGGAGAGACCAAAACGTTATATCCCCTCCAACAACTCATCTTCCCCCTCTATCCCTCCTAGCATTGATGATGATGGCTTTCGCCCGGCACCGTATACCAGTTCCATCAGTTTGGCTTTTTGTCGCTCGCGTACTGAGCGCAGGTAGTCGTATGTGCCCTCTAGTCCGCGGATTTGCCCGTCGATCACAGCTTCGACGGGACCGAGCATACGGCCTGTAGCGGAACTGCCGGACCCGACTACACTACCGTCCACGCCCATGAAGCTGACAGAGTCGTTTCTACGCACGAGCGGGCTGACTAGTTTGCGTCGTAGAGTCTCCAGGTTGACTTTTAGCGTTAGTAGACGGCCGCGGTGGTCGACTAGGAGGTGTTTGTTGGCCACGGTACGGCTGCGGACGTTCGCGAGAAGTCGTTTGTTCTTCTCATACTTGCGGACCGCTGCTGCGTCTGGGCCGAGTACGCGGGTCCAGAGAGAGCTGAGCATTTCACCTTCTGCACGTTCTTGGGCGTCGGATTCACGCACGACTGTGCGTTGCAGATTTAGGAATTGGCGATCAATGGATTCAAAGAGCGCAAAGAGGGCGGTTGAGTGGGATAGTTCGCTGTTGATAGACTCTTCTAGCACCGCGAGGAACTCTGTAAAGGTGCGTGTGAGAGTGGAGCGTGTGCGCTGAGCGGAGGTTGGGCCGAAGACAGCGATGACGACGTGTCCCAGGGTCGTGGTGGTTGCGGATGCTACCCCGCCGTCGGAGACATCTCCTGTACGCTCGAGAGCCCCGATACGAGAGAGCATATTGTGTACGTTGTCGAAAACGATGGTGGGTAATGTGCTTGGAGGCTGGGCTGAAAGTGTTTCCAATTCACGCTTGGCCCAATCCATGACAATCAAGATAGAGTCTATGTCGGAGTCCACGTTGGCAAAGAAGCGTGTCAACTCCAAGGATAGCGACTTTAAAGAGTCGGAAAGCTCGTCTAGCTGGCGTACGATGATTGGCGCACTGGTCATGTTTGTACCGCGTACTGACTCGCTCAGATCCCACACGGCGACTCCGGTTTCCTGGAGGGTCCCGATCTGCTGGACACCATTCTCCGAGTAGTAGATTAGCGGTTCAAAAGAGCGCGCAAAGCTGGATAATTTCACCAGGTCTGGAATAGATTGCGGCAGACCAGGCATGAACAAGGCGCGCATAAACGCAAGTGATACTAAGAAAACCACGACGGAGAGGGTTGTATTCGACTTGGAGCTCGTCATGCGGTCAAACTTGCTGCGCAAGTAGCCATATATAGCAGCGATGGGTTCGCGGTGCTGAACTTCAGCGCGCACCGCAAAACGGATGTCTTAAGCCATGCACAAGAACAAGTTAGTGCTTTCCGTGTCTGTGCATGAAAAATTGGGGATTATACCCCCCAGGTCAGACAGTGCATACAGTTACTCAGATTCTCCGCTCCAAAGCCCAACCCGTCATTGTCATCCTCGGGGCTGTGACGCGCCACGCCCGGCCTCTGCGGACCTGGACTGGGGGATCGTCCGGTCTGTGGGGTGATTGCACCGATGGGCAAGGGGATATTTGCCGCGGTGGTGATGTCGGAATCAGTATTTGATCTATGTTTGGTGGGTCCGTGTGGGCCTGGACCCTCGAGCGCATCCTCATACTGTGGGCTTGGCTCGCGCGATTGCGATGGCGATACAGTCAGTCCCACCGTTGGTTTCAGCTCTAGGCGTTCTGTATGGAGGTTGGTATCTCGGCGCAAATAGGGTTGATGCCGGTACCAACCGCTACCTTGGACGTAATCATGCTGGCGCAAACCAGGCGGCGACCAACATTCGGCTACAGTAGGGTCGTCTATCTCACCGTCCGACTCTTCAGATCGAAACCCCGAGTGCTGAGATGGCAGCCCAAAGAGAGGGGAGCGATGCGCATTGCTGTTGTTCTCAAAGTCTTCGAGCGAGGCCTCCAACGACGGATGGTCGTCGAAGACATTGTCTAGCTCATCCAACATGATGGACGGCGTCTTCGGATTTTGGCGCTGCAGGTCGAGGTTTGTCGCAGGCGATGCAGCGCAGAGCAAGGCCGTGCGATCGCTGATACTTTGTTGAATTCAAAACTGGGGAGGGGTTCAAGGGATGGTTAGTTCGAGCGCCTCAGGGCAACTTGAAGTGCACTTTGAGTTGATACAATGGAAAATAGATTAGAGAGAAAGAAGAGGCCGATAAGCAATCGACCCCGCGCCACCTTGCGATGCGACAGGATGCGATGCGACAGAGAAGGGGGGGGGTAAAAGTACTGAAGTAGTACTGGAAATAGCGGGAGTATATTGCGAATGACTGCAGAGATTGGCTGAAGTTATGAGACAATATAAATGGAGATTCAAACACAGAATAAGGCTAATAAGACCATGCAAGTATCCAAGTTGCAGGAGATTGTGGGAACAGGAAAGCCTTGTCGAGCAATGCGAAGGGAACTCCTCACTAAAAGAGGCTGGGCCAATCACTCCGAGTCATGTGGTTAAATATGGAGTATGGGGAGGAAGTAGTGGCAAGTATTCAGGTGTATTCAGATGTAACTTATAGTACTTATCTGTAGTGTCGGTACTATCTGTGCCTTGAAGGTGGCAAAATAGGGAGAGAGTAACTTATTCGGTACCTAGAGTGTACCAGACAATACCTGATCGTACCTGATTGTACCTGATTGCACCAGAAGTACCTCCCCCGGATGCCTGACCGCCACTGTCGCCCAATGGATTTCCTTTCTCTCTGAAACGTTGATCACCGACTCCATTTTACATTCTTACCCCCTGCGCTGATCATCTTACTTACCTTCTGTCCCCTCAAGAGTACCTGCATCAATATTGCATTACGTAGAATCTTGTGAAGAGCAGAGATATAGCACATCTATTGTTGGATCAACGTAATCTCGAATAATATTACATGCTCTCCGTCCATCGGATGCCTTGATATTAGCCCACGGCTCCGTAACCAAAACCAAAAATTAATTTATCTTCAGGACGGTGAGAGAGAGAGAGTACAGAGCGAAATGCCGCGGGGGAATAAAAAAAGAGAAATCAGGTCATTTAAGCGGTAGACTCCTTGAGGTAGCTGTGGAGGGTGTTTGTTAGCTTTGTATTCGTTGTGATATGAACATATACGTACGTGATGAGGTCGTTGCGTTCCTTGGCCTTCTTGAGACCACCGAAAGCCATCTTGGTGCCGGGAATGAACTTCTTGGGGTTCTCGAGGTAATCGAACTAGAGGATATTAGCAAGGATTCAAATCCGAGAAACTGAAAACGACTCACCAGAGACTTCTCGTCCCAGTGGACAGCGGCGTTCTTGTTGGCATCGGTGTAGGCGTAACCGTCAACCTGACCGGACTGGCGGCCGAAAAGACCGTGGAGCTTAGGGCCGACCTTGTTGGCACCGGCGGCGTCAACAGTGTGGCATTGAGCGCAGCGAGTCTGGAAGAGCTTAGCGCCGTTCTTGGCGTCGCCTGGTTTGATTGAAATGTTAGCGACCTAGACGTGAATTGGAGATTTGGCCTTTTCGGCCGCTGCTTAGACTAATGCGAGTTCCTTCTCCCTCATACCAATGATATGCCTGAGGGAGATTAAACCGACTTTGGTCGCGATGAGAGGTACACCGGGGTGCGACTCTTGTTGAATTCTGGTCCTGCGCGTGGAGCAAGAGGCGGGAAGGTAGGAACAGAGCGCAACCAAGTCGACAGCACAGCAGCGCGACAATTGGACCGGCGCACTGTTCATATCAACAGATTCGTAGAATTGGTAATCTGGAAACGACCTAAACTGACTGAAGAGTGGTAGACTCCCATTCAATTCCCTCCCATCTCATCGGCGATGTCCGGACCAGGACCAGAATTTCCCCCTAGGAAAAAGTGGTGGAATGACTTACCCTCAGAGAAAGTAGCAGGTGCTTTGCCCATTTTGAAGAAAGAAAGTCAAGGAAAGAATTAACTATACAAGAGGTGAGATTTGGGGGAAGAAAGGAAATAAAGATTTTCAGAGTTATTTGTAGTCCGTTGGCTCCCGTGATTACTCAATCCACCAATCACAATTGGCTTAATTCATCACTGCGGGCACAACCGGGTTTAGTATTCTTCTACATACACAGTATGTTTGTTTGTATTTCAGATAGTATTATTCTATCTGTAAATTCTTGTATGATCTCCTATAGACTACCATCTCTATATCAAATATTCAAATATTCAGGTATTGACCTCTTGGACTTCCCTTTTCTCCTCAATTCCCTCCCCCAACAAGCACAGTATAAATCCCCTTAAACCCTATGATATCATTACCAAACTTGAAACCGGATTATCTGGCTCTTCAAGCCAGGAATAACTCAGTATTATCAAGGCTGGTTATGCTCTTTTTCCAAGAGAAAAAAAACTTAATGTCTCTATGCCTATAATGTATATGAATGCTGTCGTAGCTCATTAGCTCATATCACCCTGCTCTTGGGTTTGTTCCTTCTCCTCGGGTATCAAATACACGCAATATCATTCGCTCGCCACATCTCCGCTTAGACCAGATTTGAGGCAACTTCTAGTGGATCTTGCTCAATCCGTGTGGATTCGGGATTTAGTCGGTGCTTTTTATATGCAGCATCCGTCGACTCCGTAAATCATCGTGCTAATGGAAAGTGAATTGACAAAGAAGTAAAGAAATTAAAGAAAAGAAAAGAAAGCAAAAAAAAACTGTTCGATTCATGAATTCATCAAGATATCTTCAATCCAAGAAGACCCGGCCCAGTGGAAGAAGTTAAAAATCTCCATCATGCCATATTCCAAATCACGTGCCGTAAACCCCACGTGACTAGACTCCACGTGACTAGAACCCCTTCGGGAAAAACACAAGAACCGCCAGAGCCTCAATTGATATTGATATCAAAGCTACCAGCAAACTAGAACGGCAAAGCTTAAGCTAAGCTTAAGCCACCAATCTCAACTCAAAAATGTCAATCCCCCGCTTCCTCCTCCCCCGAGGTCTCCCAAGCGCCCAATCTCTACGGACCCTGCAACGGAAACAAAAAGTCTCTATCGCCGGACGACGCTGCTTCTCCGCAACCAGCCCCGCAAACGCAAAGGCTAAAAAGCCGGCGAGCAGCAAGCCTCGCGTCCTTGAAAAGCCCGATAAATTCCGCCCGCCTTCTCATCCGCAGCGCATTGTTGCTCCTAGGCGCACGGCGGCTGGTCAGCCTGTTAACTATGGAGCTCCGCTGACGAAGGCGGCGCGTACGGCGCAGGATAAAAAGCAGTATCCTAACATGTTTCCGCCTGAAGGAACTGTTATGTTTAAGTTTTTGACTAGTCGGTGGATTCACGTTTGGATTTCGTTGGTAAGATCTATCATTTCTCCGCTCTTAATTCTAATTTACCGGAGACTGGTATTTTGTCTGGATACGTATTGATCGGTTTATTCTTAGGGTATTCTCACAAGTTTGGCTACATTTACCTTCACCACAAACTTCAAGGCTTCTTCGCCATTCGCTCACCTGCTCCCACCATGGTCGGCGCTCTTCACTTCGCCGTTCGATACTATTTCCAAGGCTTTCCAGGTTTATCGCATGGATGTGCAGCATAACTCTATGCTTGTGCGTGAGCAGCGACAGGGTCGTGTTCAGGATGCTGAGAAGCGGAGGCAGTATCGCGTTGCGCATGGTATGGAGGAGGCGGCTGAGGCTGATAAGGCCGCCGTTGATACCCACTCGCCTGTTGCTGTTGATGAGGGTTTGAAGAAAGGGGAGTATGTTGATTGGGAGGGGAATAGGAAGCCTGTTAAGAAGTGGTTGGGGATTTGGTAGATACTCTCTTCCTCGGATCCACCTTAAAATAGAGTTGTCTGATATTCTCCCCGCAGTGTAGGGGATTGAAACATATCGGGATATCAGGTCAATGGGTCAGTGTAGGATAGGAGATTGTATAGATAGGTGCTACGATATACTGAAAGCTAAAATTATGATCATGAATTCGCCTCTCATTAAAGAAATGGTATCTCATACAATTGAACATAAACATCTTGTCAAACACCTAGTCAACCTGCACACCCTCTAATCCCTCCAGCACCTCCTCACCAACACCACCCTTCTTCAAGACCGTCTTTACTAAATCAGAGATAACACTGCGCTTAACGCCGCCTCGTCGAGGGCGCCACACACCAGGAATCTCCTGCTCTCCTGTAACAGGGTTAAGCATAGGAATATCCTCGACAGCAGGAGTAGGAGGGCCAGTACCAAGCAGAGTCACATTCGCAGAATTTGGCATACCAGGCTGGGTAAGACGGGATGGAGGATCAATAGTGCGGAGCGAAAGTAGCTTCAGACCGTTTGTATCGCTGTCGCGCGTGATTGATATAGCGAGCACTGCGTCTGCGACTGCGATTTCCTCGCGGGTAGGATCGAAGATGACGTTCTCACCGACAGAAATCACGAGGAGGGTCACCGGTGGTCGGGCATGTGATTGGACGGATCTTGTCAGAGTTGACGAAGCTCTCTGGTACAGATACTCAGCAGCAGCCCAGTCGTCGTCGAAAAAAGGATCTTCTTCGCCTTTGGACTTGAGTTTTGGCAGTTTGGTTGATAGCAGAGCGAGATGTGTGGTGAGAGAGAGGAGGGGAAGAGGATATGACAAGGGTTGCGAAAGAAGAAGGACCTATATAAGTTAGTTTCTTATCGTTGTTTCAAGTCCGTGACGTTTTCGATCTTACATCAATATACAACCGCCAATGCCACCCTTTATTAATGACCAGTCGACCCTTCAAACCACCAGACATATCACTTTTATCAGCAGCCGAACCAGTCACAGATCCAACAAGCGCCTCGCGCATCATCTCAGACAGGAAAACAGGCAGGGCATCGTCATCTCGGAACCCAGGAATCTCAATAGACATCTGCACCCACGATCCCTGGCCGGACAATGCAGCAGAGCCACCCTCACTGTTAGGACCCTCTTGCTGTGATGTACCCCGCGTCTCGAGTGTGTCTATCGAGTGGACAGTCTTCTCCACCTCAGCCTTGACGCCGACAATAGCCTGTGTACCATCTGCAAAACCAATGCGCGCGCTACCATTTGTTCCGGGCAGAATGTTAGACTCGGCGCTTAGAGGACGGAATTGTGTTGGTGAGCGGCCGTCTGGGCGAATCGGGCTTTTGGGAAGAGAGAGGGACGTATACAGGTAGGAGAGCTCAGCTGGGGATAGCTGTGGGGTTTGTGAAGCTGATGAAGCCTGGCGTTGTGCTGACATTGTGAGGTTTGAGGTTACTCAATATTTGATAGAGTGACAAAGGTGATAAAGTTCGAAGGTTGATGCGGGCAGGTTCAGAAGTCGCTGATCACCTGCAGATGATTGTGGGAGTATGATTGGGTGTTGAAAGGAAATAATGGCAGGATACTATTTCATGTAATGTGAAAAGTGGGCGACAGTCCAAAAATTGAAGCTGGCAGGATGTCAAGTACCGAATGAAAAAAAGTTCGCGAGCGCATGCTTAATCGGGAAATCTTGAGGTCCCGGATCATTATTTTTCCGCTAGTCAGGTATACTAGACTATGTGCTGATATTGCTCTAGTTTCAAGGACGAAGACAAAAGAGAAGATATTAATCTGAGATTCTGAAAGTATTATGCATGTCAAGTATGTATGTAGTGGGCAGATTGCCTCAAATAGCTAAATTACAAGGGATATCATAGTCTGGAGTCCAGTCAGTTCAGATCAAGAGATAGAACATGATGTTCATCCAATGGGATCATAAAATATTCAAGGAAAGGACAGAGGATAGGGAGCGGGAGCGGGAGTGACAGGATGGCATAAGCCGAACAATGTACAATGTATGAGGACGAGCATATCAACAAAAGAAATGAAGGGAACCATATTCTTCGGAAATGGTTATTTGGGGGATAAGAGATGATGCAAGTGGGAGTGAATGAGTTGGTACGCTATCGCGGCTTGCGCGTGGTATCAAATGAAGATTGGAAGTTGAAATGTTCGTGCAAACGCCTTTCCATAACGCAAAATGCTCAAGGGAAAGGATTCCAGTGATATCCGAGAAAAACAGGTTGCGAGGCCGGATCCATCTATAAAAGGCCTATAGGGGTATGAATGTAAGAAAGAAAAAAGAAAAGAAAAAGAAAAAAGGAAACCCTCCGCAGAGCAACCGATGCTCATGCATATAATCAAAATGGCCAGGCCTGAAGAACAGGAAAGGAAAAAAAAAAAAAAAAAAAAAAAAGAAGCCCAGGAGCCATACGCCAAACTCGATTTATTGCAGATTTTGTTGTTCCTCTGATGGAGAAAAAGTTGGTGTAGAATGTGTAGAGTGATCGAGATGAGTAGGGAAATGGCTTTAGATGAAGTTGGATCCGGGTGTGTAGTATTGAGGGGAAGTCTTGTTAGACTTCCTTTCAGACTCTTCGTATGGAGGGGTCAGCCATTGACGGTTTGAGTGGGAGTGCGCGTCCTTGGAACCGTTGTGCTTGACAGGTGTCTCAAAGTATCCGTCCTTGCCCGTTGGGGAAGGAGTAGGATACGGGCTTGGCATGGCACGCGAGTGGTCATGGCTCGTGATGGGAGATTGAGCAGCGAGTGACTGTGCCAATGCCAGACGTTTCGCAGCCTTGTTAGCAGAATTCAACTCTTCATCAAGGAGCTCGTCTTCCTCCTCGGGTGTCTCGTAGCGGTGGATTGGATGACTAGTTATCTGGTTGGAGCGTCGAGTACGGCTAGAGATAGGACCCTGGGGCATTGATTGCCGCTTTGTGGCATGGCTATCAGCAGAGTTCAGGTTCACGGGAACGTTGCTAAGAGTCGACGAGTCCAGCGTGTATTTGACACTCGAGAGAGCTTTGTCAAGCTCATTCAAATCGGCTTGAGGCTTGGGCTCTAAGCTGGCCCCATCGAGAGCCACCGAGGACCGGTTGGACCAGGGGATGCATCCAGCGTTGGCTTCAACGTCATCGGATGATGTATGGGCCTGGTTGCGTCCTGACAGTCTGCGAGCGCGCTTGCGAAGGTGCGAGAAAAAGCTTTCCTTGGAGGTGGGAGTCAAGTTTCCAGAGCCATTGAGGATCCGCTCGGCCTCAGTCCGGTGGACATCTTGATAGTGGTTTCCATTTGAGTTCACGGAGAGTTGACGGCCGATCTTCTTGCTGGCCTTGGCGGCATCAGATTCAGAGAGCCTTGATGAGTCGATGTGTGCTACAATGGCATTTGCTTGAGCAGTGACAGAGTTTGAGAGAGGAGAGACAGGGCGGATAGAAGGGAGAATTGGCATAGGGGCACCGCTAGCCCAGGTGGCCCGCTTCGTGTGGGCTGGCCGAGCCTTGGCCTGCTGATTCTCGGGAACATTGTTGTATGAGATGACTGGGGGCTGTCTAGTGGAGGTGGAGATGTCGCTATCAATGGTAGGGGCGGGGCTGTCGCTGCGTCCAATAAGGGATCTGCGGAACCAAGAAGACTTCGTCGACAGTGTGGGAGAGTCAATGGGGGAAAGAGTGTTGGTCTTGAAGCTACGATCGGAGAGCTTGCGACCAAGCAGTCTCGAGGAAGTCGAGGACTTGGGACGCATGGGATCCAGAGCGTCAGCAAAGTATTCGTGGTTCAAAGCTTGGGTTGATGTTGGTCGGTTCTTGGGATCCCACATCAGACACCACGTCACGAACTCGCTCAGAGCGGCCGGCCATTGAGGCTGTCTGAGAACGGAATCCATTGAGTGTGGTGCCATCTTGGGGAAGGTGAAGCCCAGCTTGTGGGCCAAGCGAGATCCATCACGCCATTCACCACCGCCAATCCTGGCACCAGATTTGCTGTACCAGTTTCCAGGACTACCCATAATCTCGCAAACACGCCAAACCTGATCAACTTCGTTGCCTCCGGGGAATAGGGGCTTTAGGGTGGCAATCTCCACGGCCATAGCACCAACAGCCCACATGTCAACCGGGGCTGAGTACTCTCCGGCACGCAGAAGGACCTCTGGTGCTCGGTACCAACGGGTTGAAACGTAAGTAGTGTAGGGCGACTTGGAATGTGTCTCTCGGGCGAGACCAAAGTCGGCGATCTTCACTGTGTATGTTGGAGGGGTTGAAGGAGGGGTGACCATGTTAGAATAGCGACTAAAGGCAGAGTCGTTAGGGGCAGAAGTCGATACCAGAATGTTCTCTGGCTTGATGTCACGGTGGAAGAAGTGATGGGCATGGATATGGTCCAATCCTGACAAAATCTGATATAGGATACTCTTCACGTGTCGGCCTTCGAAGTACTTGTGATCGCGGGATTTCATCAATTGGTAGAGGTTGCCGTCCATATATTCCATGCAAATGTGCAGTCGGTGAGTGAGAGGGTCGAGGAAGATGTCGAGAGCTGGGACCAGGTGGGGATGGTTTGGTAGAGTACGGAGGAAGATAACCTCGCGTAGTTCTAGACAAGGGGCTAATGACTCGAAGGTCTTCTTCATAGTCTTAATGGCAACCATGGTCCCTCGGCGGGCAATGTGAGAGCCTGCTGTCCGTACACGAGCCACCGCAACACTACCGAAACTACCATCACCGACCTCCTTCATCACTTGGAATCGTTCCTCTAGAACGACCATTGATGTATTGGTCGTCCCTCGGGAGGGACAATCATATGTGATAGTCATTGTGCAGTCTCCGATCTGCCTGCAGATGAAGTGTAATCTTATGAGCCAGTCAGCATCAAAATGAGGATCGATAAAAATATGACATCGGGTGTTCACACATACTAGGTAAAACGAAGACAGCGAGTATATATCGAAGTAGCGGTATATAATATTGGAAAGTGGTAATAAGTCAATTGGAAGTGACACTCATCATCCGAAATATTTTATGTCGAGCAAGGAAGCTTGATTTCCATTTATCGGGAAAGTAAGGAGTGACGGTGTTGTTGGATTGAGGGGGGGGAAAGAGGGGAGTAAAAAGGTGGAGGGCAAAGGACGGTCTGGAAGCCACGGGCACGATGTAATAAAAAGGAATTTGAGCCAGCCCAGAATAGGAGAAGACCCGTTTGTAGTGGGAGGCGATCGGAGGCCGAGGGAAGAGGAAGCCCCTGATGCGCTGACAGCTAGAAGCTTTCCAGACTGGATCCGTGGAGACAAAATTAAATCACGTTAGGGCAGTGCAGATCAGTCCACCTTATTTTTGGTGTTTATTGAGAAATGAGTTCCTAGGTGGAAATGGAATGAGAAGAAGATTTGAATGAGAAAGGATATATATGAGAATAGAAGAGAGGCCATTATGCCACGAGGGAGGGGCTTGTAGTTATTTGGAAAGTTGAAATCAGTAATTGTAGTGTTATAAAATACATATAAAATACATACTAAGCAGACTAATAACGGGGTTTACTCCCGTTCTGAACCAATGGCACGTATTGTGTGGGACGGAGACTTCCGTTCCTGGTTCCATACACGTATTTCGGTCATTTCAGTGCGTTTCTTTTTGTTTTTTTTTGTTTTTTCTGTTTTTGTTTCTGTTTCTTTTATTTTATTTTTTCTTTTATTTTATTTTTATTTTATGTTTTTTGCGTTTAATTTTTATGCTTTTTTTTTTTCCCTCTCTCTTTTTTTAACTAACACATACGTAATTATGTCCATATTTCCAAGCTTTTGCCTCCTTGCTAGTACTTAGTAGTTATCAAGTCTAAGACCTGTTCGCTTGTCACTTCAATTATTAATTATATTCTAATAATAAATTACTGTGTCTTATTATGCAGAGACAGGGTATATCATAGTTCTAGTCATTGAAGAGGTTGGGCACCTGGTGTGTTCTCTCGCCTTAGGGCAACCACTGGCCCGGAAGCCCCAAGGACTCCAGGATGGGTACGGGGGGTTGGGCCGCTGTAATTTACTCTCCAGGGTCTCTGCAGTGTGAATCTCCCGTTAATAACCTACTACATATACGTACTTTTGACCTATTGCATCTCAAATGTGATTGATATTTTGAAATCTTAGGTACGTACTGAATCTGATCTGAATCTGTCATCTATCATCTCCTATGTATCATCTCTGAAGTAAACATTATACCACTACGTTTCATGCCAAAGTACTATGTACTATGTACTATGTAATATGTACTATGTACTCACCTGCTAGACCACTACTATGTACACATGACCTCTTAGGCAAGGAGATTCCTTCCCGTCATCATGTCAACTACTATGTCATGTCCTACATCGGAATCGGCGGCAATATACGGAGTAGAGAACATCAGTTTTTAATTCTTAATTCCTAATTCTTGATCCTGTTGATTTGATCTTGTTGACCGGGCACCGCCTGTCGCCACCAAATCTATGTACGGAGTACATCCTTTTTATTTACTTTTTAGATGAATCTCCGAGTTGCCCGAGATACTGTGTACATAGTACATGCATCTATACAATAGCTCCAGACTAAATCAGGTTCGCATTGAAAAGATAAACAGAAGAAGCCAAAAGAGATCAAGCTCATATTTAGTAACTAGTAAACCCGTATTGCCCCTTATTTTTTGCTTTTGTTTTGGTAGATTAAAGAGGAGTACACTCTGTACTCCGCAGTAATATCAAAAATACCTCGATTATTACATGCAGTGTGCAGTGGAACACATCTCATCTGTCAAGATTGGCAACGAACCCTTGGGGCGACCGTTTGACCTTTGCATCTTCCCTTCATGTCTCATCTCTTCAGAATTGACACCTCTCTTTCATCTTGTCAACTTTTGATATCGCCCCCAAATGTCAGTTGCCTTTTAATTTCGTCTTTCATTTGATCCTCGGGATGTACTTCTGTGTATTTATTCCCCCCCCTTTTTTCAGATCTCCTGCAGTGCAAGTCGCATTTGGTGGACCAAGGGCCGTACCGACTGTACCAGACAATTACCCGGCAGTGGGACCTGATCCAATCGACTGAAAGACTACGACTAAGTAGGAAAAGCTTGGGCACTAAGACGAACGACGCGTTGAAAAACAAAACAAGTGGAGCAGGTGCACCGCGTATCCATAGCCAATCCAGAGATTCAAGGCATTTCTCTACTTTGCGGTGTGTGGCTCGACACCGCACTCTGGTGGAGTCGATACTCCGCACAACGCTCGAACATCCAAAAATCAATGGCCAGGTCTGGAAGTATTATGGAGTCTACCTGAAATAATGCTATTGGATGGTTCATCTCTCATTGAGTTCGTTCTATTTGAATAAATCAAGAGACAAAGTGGACACTTGAATCTAATTTCAAGGTCAACACAAAGGCGAAAACAATTTTGTCCATTTTGCACCAACCCTCTTGTTAACTCCACCGGATCTTACTATCGTCTTAGTGGCCAGTCGACTCGGGGGAAGACGGATTCTCCACCATTGTGGACACCATCCCACGTACCCGGCCACTGCGATGCGCAGGGGGGATCAACCTTCCCTTGCCACCGGCATAACTGTTGTAGGCTTAGGATTGCACCGCTGCCAAAGTCCCGGGAGACGCCGGCATATTCCTTCAACCTTCTAGAAAGCCATCCTGAATAACTTGTCCTGTTCACACCGACTATTCTTCCATTCCAACAAGATAAGTAGTACACAGTAGCGTCCCCTCCCAAGCCTCCAACGACAAAATACCATTTCCAAGATTCCTAATCCCTTGAGAATATACTTCCGTTTGATCATGAGTAGTAATAAGCTCGGTCACATACCCTTTTTGATATAGCTACAAATCTCCAGGGGCTTGCCTTTCTGCCCCTCTCTACTATTCAAATTAGCTCTGAGGATCCTTCCCAGTTGAGATACCACTAGCTCAACGCACGACTTGGAGACTAGGGCTAGTGTTGGATATAACTCCGTTGTCAGCACTTCAATCTGACCCACAACCCAACGCCGAACACGTTATTGAGCCATCGATCCTTTTTCCACCTCTACACTAATCCTTACACTAACCACAACGTCCCGTACTTAGTAGGTGACAATAACATCGAGATGGCATATCTGAATGTCTACCAGCCCCTCCATTAATCGATCGTCATCCATCGTCCCGTCCAATCCCATTCAACGGTTCCATTGGCCTAGTGCCCGGGAATCCTGGATCAGAGAGAATCACCAAGAGAACCCTCAAAGCAGAAGCCCTGTTCTTATGGTCCCACTATCCCGGAAATAACTTATATAATTCGACGCTTCTGCGTTTATGGAAGGTCATAACCCTACGGCAGCTTTTATTGAAACCTTCTATGGAGACACTTTTCTGAATGAGTGCTTTGCTGACGATCCTGACAGAGGAGGGCGCTAGCAGATATGACAGGAGGCGGGATAGAGACGGCATCGACTCTGACATTGACATTAATCTAACTAGACTAATCCCTAAAAGTTTTTAATTTCTGATGAGATTGCGTACACTGCAGTCTTTTCCTAAATTGGTGAGCTAACTTTGGAAGTTTGTTTTTTTTTTTTTTTTTTGGCACATTCCCACGTTTCAATCTTAGATTCACTGAATATTCTAGAATATCGCCATTCCATCCCTGGATGATCGGGAAGCCAGTCATTCCTTGGTGGGTACCACTGATATTTGGAATTTTGTCCGTGTTTCAACCTCGCTAAGGTTTGCACGGCGCATCGGATAAATTAATGTATAAATAACTTAGGACGATTTTCAGCATCGCGGAAATGAGCCCAAGCTTTTTGTTTTGGGATCTGATATTGGCAGGTATCATTTGATTGTGAAGTAGCATTATTTATGGATCATGCAAATCTATGATTTTACTTGATGGCGCCTCTAGGTATTCCTCGGCGAGGTGGTTTCATCTCGGTCTTTTCGGATGAGGTTTCAGCACGTTCTCCTGGCACCTCGAGGTTTTTAGCCCTAACTTCATCTAGGTGAACGTCTCGCTTTACCCCTTTTTCAACATCTCGGTTACCCGAATCTTGAACCCCTTTCGTTGCAATGTTACCTAATGTCTTCGTATGGATGCTCAACAATGTGAGCTGTTTAGATGGAGCTTCGTTTAGGTAGCCCAGGAGACCACAGCCATAGATTCCCAGCTACACCGACCTCGGAAGCTAACAAAGATTTAGAAGAACAAATGGTTGGATAATTATCTCTTTCGGACCTTCTTTCAGTGTTCTAAATGATTATTTCCACACACCTAGGCATCAGTTGCCCTATTTTGGATTTTGCGAAGAGCTCAGAGTCCTAAGTAGTCCACAGGTGTTTATCCAATGTTTCTCTCCCAGGGGTTTTCTACGTAGGTATTCTGTTCGAAGCCCTCAAATTGCATGTTCAGCTTATGTTTCACCTTACTTCCAGGGTCTACTCTAACTTTCAGCTCCAGTGATAACAAGAATACCCAACATTTTGAATCTCATTTCCAGGGTATGTGACTTAGGAATGAGGTATAAATTTATATTTTTGAATAAAACAGGCTTATGTTATAATTTTCTGATGACACATTCAAATGATGATACTTAAAATTACACATAGAAAGAGAAGTAATTAACTTTAATACAGATATATCATCAAGAGAGAGGAGAGAGAGAGTATTTGTCGAATAGGTTTCTTCAAGGTCCTTTATCAATTGACCACGATACTCCTCAAATATGCATCAATTCATCGAGTGTAAGAACGGAAGAAAAAGGGAGCTGCTTACCAGTGTATATCCACATCTCTCGGAATGCTTCAGACTCAATCATGGTAAATGTGATATTCCCTCTTACTCTGCATTGGATAAAACATTTCCACATATTCGTAGTTGGATTCTTTCTTTTGGAATCCTTTACAACATAATCACAGTGGACACAGATAACCCGGTAATCTGGCGTAGGCTTTCCATCGTAATTACATATCTCTTCTAGAAGTATGGCTCTCGTGAATCGACCCCAGAGTTCTGTGTTGAGCACCTTGGGACGCTTTTTGCTTACTTGATCTTGTAGAATCGGAGTAAAAATCGGTAAAGAAAGAATAGATGCAGAAGCTAAGTTACTACCTATAAGTGAAATTATCGGACCAGAAGGTTAGCTAGCTGATTCGTCTAGACAAATAGAATCATCTTGCGAATGGTGTCGGGGTCTTTTACAATTTAGAGATTCAGTAATCCGATCACTGGGTGTCAGAACGATGGTTTGACTAGTCTTACTGTTGCATATGAATCTACTTTGTAAATGTATCGTTGCGAGTTGTAAGAGGTGTGTCATTCAATCTTGTCCTCGCTGTAACTAAATAGATGAAACTCACTAGATTCACTTCATGTCGCTGGACCAACAGCATCGTAACCATTCTCATTGGTCCTGTGCCCCACTTTGGTCTGGTGGTATCGACACTAGGACTTCATCATCACTTCCGCCATTAAAGCGGAGATAGTTCCATTCCTGTTGCGCCCAGCCCAGTTCACCTAAACCTCCTCACCAGTGTGACATCTTACACAATTGCCCATCCTTCATCAATGGACTTATCCAGATGAGCTGTCACACAAAGCAAGCCATCGGACTGATGAAAAAAAACCCACCCACTTCACCCGTGTCGCAATCCACTATAGGAGTACCGCACACACCATCTGCCATTGGTCCGCTCATGACACTGAAGATGGCATGGATTATTTCAATTCGCCAATCTTTGTGTTCAAAGAGTGAGTGACCCGGAGGTCGCTTAGGCTTACGTATTTGTGCGGCTCTTACCATCATGGCCACCAGTCCTAAACTCATGCCATCAATCTCGCCCCAAGATCCTCCTACGATTTGATTTCTTTTCAAAAACGTAGAGAGTGTTTGAGCTTGAAAGTAGGACTCGTTGGAACATAATTGGACAATATCAGGAGCGAAGCTCACAAGTGCTATATCTAGCTCAGGGCGTCTGTTGCGGTCAAAGATATGTCCCACTATATCTCCTCCTACCCGGAGATGGTATACAGTTCCTTGCAGAAAGACATGATTGGCAACAGTAAGGAATTCTTTACCATTGGCATTCCGCACTTTCAAGCCTGTGGTTGAAGCTGTATAGATGGACTCCGCGCCTGCTGTAGAAGCTGCATATATTTACTCCACTCGACATCCCGGTGTCAATAGTGAATTGCTCAGGTAATTGGTATCATCTTGAGGAAGGAAGGCTTTTTTTGGATCTATGATACTCCGACAGACATAATCTTTCATCGAATGGTAAAAGGGTTCAATACAATGGTGGTAAAAGGTGCCCCGGCCCGCGACTACTCCTGGTAGAGAATGGTGCTCGTAAAAGCGACCATCTGTTGCACCAAGTTCGATGACTGTATGATTGGGCATGTGTAAAATTCCAGTCACGGAAGCGAGCGGCTCGAAAGCCTCCAAAATTTCAATGTTTTGGGCCTTTGACGGGAATGCCATTCGAGACCATCTCAGCGAGGGACAAGCCTTTGATCTTGGGTCAACGTATGAATTTGTGGGCCCTGGATCTCTTCGCACTATTCCAACTGGGGTAACAAAAACTAGCATGCAGCCAATTGTGAGCGGAACAGGTTGCGGTGGGTGATCTGTTTGGTATGAGATGAACCAGGAGAAATGAATTTCTCCATCTCCATATCTTTTTGTGTATCCAGTCCTCCTCGCCCTTGATTGGAAGGCGAAACTTTCGTCCTTCAGGGTCCCACAAGGTAAATGGGGCATCGTCATGCATGTGGCGAGCACCCCATCCTCCAGAGTTTTGGAATCCCTTGGAAAGTGGATGAGAATAAGCACGGCCGCCTGGCGGGGCTCGCCAAGGATTGGGTTGAAACCCCACCATGTCAATGTACATGTTTACATAGGGTAAACATTGCAGGCGCTGGACATCCGGCGACCGCCGGATCAGAATGGTGGAGGCCATTTTCAGAAATTCAGAAGAGAAAGAGAGGAAGTAAAAAGTGGATCCTACTAGACTACATTAGACTCGAACAAACAGCTTATTGGCCAACTCTAAATTGTGGGGCTTTCTTGTTGGAACAAGGTCTTTATACCTAGCCCTGAAGGTAGAAGAAGAGATGCTTATCAAATTCTGGGCAGGCACTACAGTTCAGGCTCCAAGTTTACCAGATCGAAGTGAATTGTAGCTTTGGAGGCTCAGTACTATATTCCAACCTCTAGAAGTTTCAACTCAGGTGGTAGTGCAACAAATATCGATATCAAGGCTGCAAGTATTCGAATGTGGGTAAGGCGGCTTCTTAACTTTTCAAGATTTAAGGTAAAATTAAAAGCTTGAATACCTATCCTAGGCACTTGTAGCTGTCAATATCCTGCAGTGAAGGTATCAAAGATACACAATGGTATTCGAAATATTCCAACTAGAGAAAAGAAGGAAGAGGAATAGGGCAGGCTGAAGATCCTCTTCTCCCCCCCGCTTTCCGTCTAACCGTTTTCATAGCTCCACACAGTCAGCTTCCAGAGTTTGGAACTTGTAAGGTTCATGTATACCAAGGTTCCTTAAATCCATTTTACCGACTAGAAAATAAATTCATTCGAAGCCTCTAAGGCTAGGTAGAATGGTATATCACCATACATACAGGTACGAGAAACTAGGTAAATAAAAATAAACATTGCAATGGACCTCGGCTATAGGAGACTTCCCCTCAGCGCTTTCCAACCTTGGACCAAATTAATGCCCAACCTAAAGCTAAAATAACATTCAAATCAGAATACATTTATGTAGTCATGAAAGAGCCAGGGGCCATAAACTAGTTTCTCAGATAGGATTATTTCATGGTTAAAGTAGGATTACTGGGACAGTATAGGAATAGAGTCATAAGGAGGTCATATTTTTTTCATGAAAAGAAGCCTTTGCATTCGCATGAAGGCACAGGGAAAACAGACTTGGATGTCTGATAAAAACCTGAGCCAAGACCACAAATGTTACCTATGTACTATGTACCGAGTGGATCCAATGCTTAGATGAAGCCCTGAGTGGAAGTTAAAAACCATCAAAAGTAAATGAATTAGAATGACTTACGGGGAGGAATCCAGAGGCCTTGCAAACCAAGCTGACTCCTTGACCAAGGGAGGCAAGAGCACCACCACGGTTGTACTTGCCGGCCTGCTCCTCGAGGCAGCTCCAGAAAGAACAGCCAGCCTTGGAGTTAGCGTTGCCAAGGTTGAACTGGTCAAGAAGACCGTTGACACATCCGTGCCAAGCCTGCTCCTCAGCGGGAGAGTACTTGTTCTGCTGCTGAGTGGGCTGGTAATACTGTCCATATTGAGCGGGAGCGGGCTGCTGGCCGTACTGTCCGTATTGAGCAGGAGCGGGCTGCTGGCCATACTATCCATTCTGGTAGGACTGAGCAGAGGCAGCGGTGGCCAGGATGGCAAGGGCGGCGAATGAGAACTTCATTTTGGCTGTTCTAACAAATCCGAGTCAGTTTGATCCTGAAGTAAAGCTGGAAGGAAAGAGCATACTTTGGTAGGTAGCTGAGGAAGCTTAGAAAAGCGTTTTTGAGATGAGTGAAGAGTGAAGATGAGGTTGATGAAGGATGAATTAGCTAGGTCAATGAATACCTATTTATAAGATTTCCTAGATCTCCCAGCTAGTTCAGAATTATACAAGAAAGAGTTAATAGAGAGAATTGGACTCCCAAATAAAGAGAGTACCATGTCGATCTCTCGATATTACATCTTTCTAGCATAATTCATCAGATAGCTAGCGCCATCAACCCTATGATGATCTTATTTCTCATGTTTATCAACATAAAGATCTCTTAATAGTTGCATCCATCTATGCAGGAGCTCAATCGTGCAGACCTCATCAGCCAGCCACTATCCTAGTGCCATGCATAGTTTAGAAGCTCTTATAGCTCTCATGCCTATAGAGTGCCATCCATCTTGCCACCTTGCATCCATTGAGTAGATCAATACTATCATATCAGCGGTGTAACAATCCATCCTCTTACCAAGGTATGGGAAGATATACTATGGTATGGTCCTGTGGAGTTGTTAGCGTGGTACTTACCCCCTTTTACCGCCTTATTGAGATTAGTCCTAATATAGCTTAGTGTCATACACCATATTTCAGGGACCATGGTAGTTTACTAACCTCGTCGCCTGCCTACACCTCTGGTCGTTGCCGTTATCCCCTGCCCTGCTATGACCACAACTCCTAATTAGATGAAGGGTTGGATAGGGAAGCATTATCTACGTGCTATAAAACGAAGCTATCTTGAAATGAGTCCCGTAAGGTAGTTTATTAGGCCTCAGGAGCTGTTTCAAAGGGCTTGTATTACGAAGTAAGTTAGCTTGATGGTGGCGATGTTTTTTTAAAAAAAATTTATAAATATGTAATATGTTTGTAAAAGGCAGCTTTAATACCATAGTCGGTATTTAAAATATGGCAGAAAAGTAGGTCGAAGAAGTACTGTTTTAATAACTCCACAGGGCTATACCATAGTATATCTTCCGACACCTTGGTAAGAGGATGGATTGTTACACCGCTGATATGATAGTATTGATCTACTCAATGGATGCAAGGTGGCAAGATGGATGGCACTCTATAGGCATGAGAGCTATAAGAGCTTCTAAACTATGCATGGCACTAGGATAGTGGCTGGCTGATGAGGTCTGCACGATTGAGCTCCTGCATAGATGGATGCAACTATTAAGAGATCTTTATGTTGATAAACATGAGAAATAAGATCATCATAGGGTTGATGGCGCTAGCTATCTGATGAATTATGCTAGAAAGATGTAATATCGAGAGATCGACATGGTACTCTCTTTATTTGGGAGTCCAATTCTCTCTATTAACTCTTTCTTGTATAATTCTGAACTAGCTGGGAGATCTAGGAAATCTTATAAATAGGTATTCATTGACCTAGCTAATTCATCCTTCATCAACCTCATCTTCACTCTTCACTCATCTCAAAAACGCTTTTCTAAGCTTCCTCAGCTACCTACCAAAGTATGCTCTTTCCTTCCAGCTTTACTTCAGGATCAAACTGACTCGGATTTGTTAGAACAGCCAAAATGAAGTTCTCATTCGCCGCCCTTGCCATCCTGGCCACCGCTGCCTCTGCTCAGTCCTACCAGAATGGATAGTATGGCCAGCAGCCCGCTCCTGCTCAATACGGACAGTACGGCCAGCAGCCCGCTCCCGCTCAATATGGACAGTATTACCAGCCCACTCAGCAGCAGAACAAGTACTCTCCCGCTGAGGAGCAGGCTTGGCACGGATGTGTCAACGGTCTTCTTGACCAGTTCAACCTTGGCAACGCTAACTCCAAGGCTGGCTGTTCTTTCTGGAGCTGCCTCGAGGAGCAGGCCGGCAAGTACAACCGTGGTGGTGCTCTTGCCTCCCTTGGTCAAGGAGTCAGCTTGGTTTGCAAGGCCTCTGGATTCCTCCCCGTAAGTCATTCTAATTCATTTACTTTTGATGGTTTTTAACTTCCACTCAGGGCTTCATCTAAGCATTGGATCCACTCGGTACATAGTACATAGGTAACATTTGTGGTCTTGGCTCAGGTTTTTATCAGACATCCAAGTCTGTTTTCCCTGTGCCTTCATGCGAATGCAAAGGCTTCTTTTCATGAAAAAAATATGACCTCCTTATGACTCTATTCCTATACTGTCCCAGTAATCCTACTTTAACCATGAAATAATCCTATCCGAGAAACTAGTTTATGGCCCCTGACTCTTTCATGACTACTATAGTATGGCCCTATGGAGTTGTTAGCGTGGTACTTACCCCCTTTACCGCCTTATTGAGATTAGTCCTAATATAGCTTAGTGTCATACACCATATTTCAGGGACCATGGTAGTTTACTAACCTCGTCGCCTGCCTACACCTCTGGTCGTCGCCGTTATCCCCTGCCCTGCTATGACCACAACTCCCAATTAGATGAAGGGTTGGATAGGGAAGCATTATCTACGTGCTATAAAACGAAGCTATCTTGAAATGAGTCCCGTAAGGTAGTTTATTAGGCCTCAGGAGCTGTTTCAAAGGGCTTGTATTACGAAGTAAGTTAGCTTGATGGTGGCGATGTTTTTTTAAAAAAAATTTACAAATATGTAATATGTTTGTAAAAGCAGCTTTAATACCATAGTCGGTATTTAAAATATGGCAGAAAAGTAGGTCGAAGAAGTACTGTTTTAATAACTCCACAGGGCTATACCATAGTATACTGTATAATATGCACTTTCAAGGCCAGTGAAAGACCGCTGCATGAGCGAGACAGATATGTCTAGATCGTAAATCCTGCATGTTGTGGGGTTGGTTATGCATCTTAACCCTGCATATATATGACTTCACGCATTGGCCCGCATCCATTCTTCAAGGGCGGGAGGGAAACTCTGTGTTATCAGCTCAATTCAAACTTATCAAATAGTATCAGCGATTTGAGAATCAAGATACCCACTTATGTCAAATGGTAAGAATACTTAGGAAGCTTCACAAACATTCAAACCCAGGCAATGACCTCGTACATCTGAGCCCCCGAAATGTGTATGCAGGGGTGCTAAAAATGCTTCACTAAAGTACGATAAAGAAACAAAAAGTGATATCCAGATATAGCCAACAACCGAACGAATCCCCAGCTCCGCGATACATCAAAAAGAGCCCTGGGGTGATCTGCAATGCTTCCAGCCCAAACTTAGAAGCGGATTGGATGTTCTCTACCCAAATATGATCAATGGTTGAGCTAAGCCGACATCCAATGAAATCGACCATCGGAACGTGCATAAATCTAGGGCATCTAGTTGTTGCTCGATTAATCCAACACCATCCAGACCCTCAGATCCTTCTACAAACAGTGACTTGCAACCTTGAAAACACTTTTTCAACCCAAACTGAGTGTTCTTCTTGACAAATGGCTGAATTCCAGCCTTTCAGCAAGATCTGAATGCATAATCGAATGGGAAATACTGGGATCCCTTAGAATCGAAATAACACCTGTACTGAGTGCAATAAATCTCTAAGGCGATGTATCTAAAGCGCACCTCCATCTTGCCTGAGAAGAACCCAATGCGTCGTAAAATTGGAAAAAAAAAAAAAGAAAGAGTCAAACCAAGGCGTCTACATCTACTTCCTGCTCATTCTTTTCTTATTTGGGCATACTCAAGACCAGACCGAATCTTCAGTTCCTTGTACGAATATCAATCTGCAATACTTCTCCTTACAGCACAGTGTCTACGTGACAAATGATAATTTTTAACCTTCGAAGGCTGACTATCCATTGGAATGGAACCAGCATGAATCCACTCTCAATGTCACATATGCGTGCACCAGTATGTAGTCCTGGAGCTTGGTTCTTGCATCATGAGATGAGAAATCGGTGTCTCACTTTGTCACGCCTGCAAGCCTCCTTCGTAAGGGCCTTCCGAGGTCTCTATCCGGTGTCAGTGAGGTTCCATTTCCAATATGGATCGACATGACCATATTGAAAGCATATGATCTGTAGACTATTACTTTTGAGGGATTTTATTGCATTGAATGTTTTACATTATTGCTGCGTACATTCAGACCGCTGACGGGCTACATCCATCCCAACCTTGAATTGCCTTGATCCTTACTCAGGCCATCACTTGGCGCATGAGCTCAACTGAGCAATTTTGACAAGGTTGGAAAGGAACTGTATGTATGAAGTTCACAGGTAGCAGGTAATCATCTTGACAATACGGCTATAATTACCTCCGCTCCCCAGCTCACTCTTAAAAGCCAGTCCAAGAAAAAATCCCCATTGGATCTCAACTCCTCCAGCAACATGGCAAAGATGCGGACGGCTTTAGCTTTGTTCCTTGCACTTTTGACCACTCAGGCCCAGAATATTCTCACTGGCCAGAGTCCCCCGCGAAAGTACTCCATCGACAACATTGTCCCAACCACTGACAAGGCCTCTGGTCACGTTAAGTGTTGTCCCGAAGGTGCCGAATTTGACGGAAAGAGCTGTGTTCTCGCCATTCCCATTTGCCCCGAAGGCAGCCAGCGTGATGGTGACAAGTGTGTTTTCCACTCCAAGCCGCTCTGTGACACTGGATACGATCTGAAAGATGGACTCTGCGTGACTACTATACCTCCTACCTGCGAAGATAACACCATCTTGAAGGGTGCTCACTGTGTTCTTGAGGGTACTGCCAAATGTGGAACTGGATACGTTCTAGACGGCAACGTCTGTGTTTCCCTTACACCCCCTTCCTGCCCTGACGGTCAAAACTTCAACGGAAACTCTTGTGCCTCTATCAAAATTCCAAAGTGCCAAGATGGCTCAAAGCTTGAAGGTGGGCTATGTATTGATGAGAAGCCTCCATTTTGTCCATCCGGAACCAAATTCGACGACACAAGCCTCAGATGTACCTCAGAGAAGGTACCTGGTTGCCCAGAAGATACCATTCTCCAAGACCAGCAATGCATCTCAAAGGTTGGCCCTCGTTGCCCTCAAGGAGGTGACTTCAGCCCAAAGACTGGATCTTGTGCCATTATTGAGCGGCCTAGCTGTCCCCAGGGAACCATCTTACAAGATAAAAAATGCATCTATAATGGTGAGATGCAATGTGAGCAAGGCACAGAACTTTCAACTGATGGGGCCCAAAAGTCTTCCCGCTGCTGTCCGTTGAGTATGACATGGGATGGAAAGGTTTGCTCTACAAGGCCAATTGATGGAAAGTGCCCTGATGGTACCCCTGCTATCAATGGACTATGTGAGAAGTACTCCAACCCTACTCCAAACTGTCCTCCAGGAACGAAGCTTGAGAATACACAATGTGTCTTGCAGCAGCTCCCTTCCTGCCCTCAAGGAACATTCCCTGAAGGCGAGCTATGCAGTCTTGTCGTCAAGCCGGAGTGTGCCAAAGATTTCCTCTTGGTGGGTGCCGACTGTGTCTTCCATAAAACTCCTGTCTGCCCTGATAATACCAAGCCAAATGGAAACAAATGCATCAGCTATACCACTCCATCCTGCGATAAATCTGCTCATTGGGACGGAAGGCAGTGTATTGTAGACGGCCATGCTGTATGTGAGGAGGGAATCCAATATGGTGATGACTGCATTATTGGAAGTCGACCTGTATGCAAGGATGGTGCTTCATTCGATGGCTCCAAGTGTGTTTGGAACGGAACTCCTGAGTGTGCTCAAGGAACTGTTCTCAACGTCAATGGATTATGTATCACCAACACAACTCCTCAATGCCCCCGGAACACCAAGTTCCAGAACGGATACTGTGTGTATGGCTCGCCAAGCTGCCCTGATGGTCAAGTTCTTCTCAACGGACGCTGTGAAACTGCCGGCAACCCTGAATGCCCCATCAATTTCTCCTGGAAGGGAGGAAAATGTGTTCGCGTGGTGGAAGAGCACTGCGAAGAAGGCTATATTCTCAAGGACGGCCAATGTATCTCTACCACCAATCCTGACTGTGGAAAGCTGACTTTCAACGGCAAGGCTTGTGTTGCTGAGAAGCCCCAATGTCCAGAAGGAACCTACCATGAAGGTGACAGCTGCTTTTCCGTCATTGACCCTCACTGCCCACTTGGATTCAAGATTGAGGGCTCGAGGTGCCTTTCTGAGAAGTTGCCACAGTGCCCTACTGGAACTGACTATGATAAAGTCAGCAAAGATTGTGTTTCCATCAAGACCCCCGAGTGCCCTAAGGGCCAGACATTTACTGGAACCTACTGTGCGCTTGTCACTGGTACTACATGTATGGACTTCCAGTTCTGTGATACAGAATCTTATGGAAAGGGATGCTTGAGTACGCCCGGCGAAGGAATCACCTGTGACGAAAAACATTCCCAGAAACCCGCTGATACGCGCCAACCACCTATTGGCGTCCAGCAGCCTATGACTGGCGAGTGGTCTGGCAACTGGAATGAGCGCCCAAACTCTGGACCTGGCTACAATCCTACCACTGGGCAATTAGGCAACTGGAACGAGCAGCCAAGCACTGGGTCAGGTTATAACCCGGGCTACAACCCCAATGCCGGACAGTACGAACAGTCTGGTAATTGGAATGAGCAGTTAAACACTGGACCTGGATACAATCCTACCACTGGGCAATCAGGCAATTGGAATCAGCAGCCAAATATCGGGTCTGGCTATAACCCTACCACTGGCCAGCCTGGTAACTGGAACGAGCAGCCAAACACTGGTGGATACAGCTCTGGAAATTCGGGCAACTGGAACGAACGCCCGGCTGTTTGAACTTCTGATCAAAACAATAAGGGCCGGTAGTCGGTCTAAGCCTTAAGCTTGTGAAGGCTGGCAGTAGTCTTCTTGACTGGGTTCAGTTTAGCCTCTTTTTTTCAAAGCAAGTTAACTTTGCACCTGCGGACGTTCCATTTGTTTTTTCCTCCTTTCATTGAGAATTCTTTCAGTCTTTCTAGGGCCTGTTCTAGGCCTAACCACTCCTTGGAAGTTTTGGTATCATCCACAACTTGACATTATCTTAGAAATTTTCAAATCGAATCAATAGCAATTTTGGGCACACTGATTCATAGAAATAGAGCCAAGATGAATGTGACATATGGATTATGTACCAAGGTACCTAGGTAAGTAGTTCCAAGGTGGGGTAAATATGAATATGGCACTACAATAGCTTTCCATGGTTATAACATAGGTGGTTCTGTTTCCACGGTTCCATTGTTGTTTTGTTTTGTTTTGTTTTGACCTAGTATCTGCGTATAGATAGAATAGGATCAGGCTAGTACTAGATCAGTTAAAGGGATACACTAAGTGAATGCAATGCAAAACGCCTACTTAACTAGTACCTTAAGTATGGACATGCATGTACTCTGTACCCGTAATATATGATTGGATTTAGAACAGATCCAATCAGAGGAGCTTAAATGGAGTGAATCACTTTGTGCTTAGTTGATGGCGAAACATTATATGATTTGGGGGCTGATCAATGAAGAGGATTAAGTAAGAAAGAAAGAGCAGAAGAAGTGACGTCGAGAGTGTCGAGTCTCAGGTGGCCAGTTTCGGATCGCCACTTACTGTTGTTTTCCCCACAGCCCCTCCATACCAAATTTCTCAACTTCTCCATTCTAGAGAACTGATATTTTCCAACTTCATCACCATCGGTGTTTAGAGAGGAGCTTTCCCTCACACCAGCATCGATGGCGTACGATGCTTACTCAACTCCTAATACCTACATGGATAACATGAATGACTCGGACCTTCCTACCTACTCACAGCCTCCATATCCATCGCCGTATGAGAATGACCATCTCAATATGCCTCAGCCGCAAATGCCGCCTCCACCTCTTTCGTCTGCCAACGCATCAAGCAGAGACCCATATGCAGAGTTGCCCCGAATGCAGATTCCACAGACCCCTCAGTTTCCCCAGAACTCACAGAGTACTGGGTACATCAACGATGCCGTAAACTCGGCCGTCAATAATGCAAACTCTACATCTTATCTGTCCCCGGACGTCCTGTCGCAGATCACAGCGACGGTCATTCAACAGCTGAAGGCTTCTGGTCTAGATAATCTCCCGGGTCAGACCCCACCACCTCTGCGATCGCAGTCGCAACAGCCTCCATGGTCTGCTGCGCCAGAACCAGTGCCCCGACCACTATCGGCGTCGCCCCCACCAGTTCAACGAAGTGAATCGATTCCCCTTCCAAATCGACCTTCTGTGAAATTTGAGCCGCCCCAGCCTTTCCCCGTTTCCTCCACAGCTTACTCCTCGAGTGATGTCCGTGATGCGCGCCCGATTCCGAAGCCATCACCGGATCCTCTTCCACGTCGCACCGATTCAATCTCAAGTCATGGTAGTCAAAAGCCGGATGCGCGCCCAAAGGGCCCTGATCGGGACACTACAGTAATGGAGATGACGACGCTTGAGAGAATATGGGGAAAGCTTTTTGAAGATGACATTCCAACGAAGAGGCTTGGTCAGTTCCTGCGTGGAGTTGCTTTTCATTTGGTAAGACATCTATCACTGGCAAATGGAGGTAGTTTTCATACTCATTCATTACGTAGATTGAGGATTATCCTCCGGGTAACACTCTCGTTATCACCCCCGCAAAGCTGCAGAAGTTCTACGAAGAAACAGGTATCTCGTGGGATCCTTATCCCTGGCAAGGTTGGTGATAATACTTGACCTGATGAAAAGCATTCGTCTAATACAGTGCTCCGCAGACATGTTCGATGATCGCACATCTTCCATTTCAAGGCTATTCCGTGAAGTGAAGGCAGAACACCATCTTGTTCAGCTGGACGATCTAAAAGAGCGACCAGATACCCCAGGTCTCACGCCCAAGGGATTTGAGAAATGGGCCTCTTTGATGATTCAAGCTCACCCTGATCGCGAGCACGAGCGACTGCAAAAGGCCGTACTGAATATGCCCATCAGCAACCCAGATGACAGAAAAGAGCGGTTCCCCAAGGAGCTACCTCGTCGCCTGTTCCCCGAGGTTGCTGATTTGAAATTACGAGAAGAGATTGAAGACTATATTATGAAACATTGCGGTGTCGACTTGCCTTACATCACTGATGAGGAGCGATCAAAGGCTAGTCGTCCCAAGAAGTCTTCCAATAAGACATCCTCCCCTCCCACGGCTACTGCCGGAACTAGCTCTACGGCACGAGAGCGATCATACGAACGAGGCCGGCCCCCAGCTACTCCTTCGCCAGCATCGGTTGTTGATGAGGAGGACGAAATTATCACTTCCGCGCCAATCGAACGTGAGAGAAAACCATATACCTCACAGCCTGGACGGGGAAAGAAATACGATGAGCCATCATCCGCTCGTAGTTCAACAGAATCTTTCACTACCCGTTCAGAAACCCGACCGCAGAGTTCCTCTATCTGGCATGATAAATACGATCCACTGTACTCTCGCGCCGGATCTGGGCATGCCCCGTCGCGCCAATACTCTAAGGATTCACGCAGCCCTTCTCGTGCCTCTCGTGGGAAATCTCACACCACTGACTATCGACACTCAGAAAGCGATCTGCTTGGTCGCGACCATGTCCCCAGATATGGCGGTGTGTCTGCCAACGATCCGTATACAGAATCCCCAACATCTGTCCTTCCCACCGATACAAATGATACTCGACGGTACAGAGACCATACTCATACTTCGCATGCTCGTCATGGCAGCCGGACTGGCGAGGACGAGGGCTATTACCGTGGCATGTTGGGTGGTGATGGCGGGGGATCCGCCCCTGAATACAAGTACTACCATTGATGAATAGTATTTTCGGCGCCCCCTTTTTATTTGCCCTTCCATAGGATATTTGGTTGATCTCGGCGTTTCCTGTGGTATGAAGATACCTGTTGGAGTTTTAATGACTAACGATATCTCATGTCCGACTATTCTACCTCTGCTTTTCTTGATACATATTACTTTACATATCTGCATTAAGGTGTTTCAATTCAAATATTATTGAGCGAAATCAGCTTTGACGGGGATTTTTCTATCAACTTCCCAACAACCGGTAGTATGATTAACCGTTCACAGTGGAAGTCGAAAGATTCGGATCTTTTGTAGTTTCACGTATAGCTTCTGAGATCAGTCCCAAGACGACGCTCATTTCTTCAAACCCCTCTTCCGCTGAATATCAGCCATGAGTCGAAGACCATCCTCTCTACAAGCCGCCGCCTCTTTAGCCCTTTTTTCCTCCTCCCTCGCGTACCGTTTCAAGATATGTCGTAGATCCTTCGCTTCCCTCTCAGCTTTCCTCTTAGCCCTACTCTCCACCCTCCTCCTATGCTCCAAAGCCTTATCATCTTCCCCAAGCGCCTGAATCTGCAACTGCCTGATATCCTCATCAAGCAACACCCAAGGCTCAGACAATACCCCAACAAAAAACTGTAATCGTGCATCGATAAACTGCAGTTCCGCATTCGTGTCTCTCACCTCTGATACGCGCTCAAGGTTAAGTTGCATCGTGGACCGAAAGTTGCTCAGCGTACTTTTGACTTGCACTAGCTTTCCAGGCATCAGGTTTGAGATGTCGATGATATTGCAGTCTGTCGTGGTGATATGTGTTGTTTGACCAGGTAAATTGTTAGGAATCCCTTCCGCTGAGGGCTCAGCTGTGTAGAACTTTGTCTCATCTTGAGCGATAACTGGCTGGACGAATCCTGTCGTTTGTTTTTCTTTTTCTTTAACCTCAGCATGCAAGACAATGACATTGATTGTTGCGCCAGTACTATCATCTATCGTCAAGATAGTGCGGCGATAGACTTCTGACCGGGCAACTATCATGCCTAGCACGCTGACATAGCGGATTGGGTGATTTTTGAAGAAGAATAGGTTTTGGCCTAAGTAACAGTTACCATGTCTGCTCTAGTCTTCAATATGTTTATCATTCCTTACCTTCAAATTGGATTGGTCTTTGTAATTGGTGTACATCCGCAACAGACATTTTCACCCAGGTGAAGTATGTAGGGGACGCTTGGAAGCAGAACGCGGGGTAGAACACTGGCTCCACATCTTTAGTTGTCGCCATATGGTCATCTTTTCTGGTGCTCTGTTCTAATTCCTACTTTAGTGAGAAGGGAAGGAATGACGGTCGAGTCTATTTAGTCTAGAGGTCACGTGTTAATATAGACTTGTCAAAGGCCCGATTCCATTTACAGTTAGTCTATTTTTAGTCAGCATTGGAATCCCACAATGGGATTCCTACCATAGTTACACACACACATACTTTTCATACGCCTACTGCACTCTCATTTGCCCACTAGAATCCACTATTCTTTGGTAGTCAGACCTCCATTTGACAAGACTTGACTTTGATAGGGAATTGCTAGGGACACCACAAAACCAAAGCTTATGTCAGCCGCCCACCCCATCAAAAAAAATAACAGCCAAGTCCCATACGAACGGATCACACCCCAGAACACCATAGTAAACTCGAAAAAATTGAATATCATATCTCGAAAACCACGACTCCGATAAGATTCAAATATACGGTGATATTTTACGATAAGGTTCCTCATAAAGAAAAAATTCATTTAAGTAAATTAGATGGATAAATTATAGCGGTACCATAAGTTACAGTGTAATTTATCTATTTTAGTTTTAACTACACTTCACTTGATGATTTTCTAGTCTTTCTTTCAATATATATATTTATTTTCTTAACTAGAAGTAATCCAGATTCAAGATTTAAAATGATTTTGACGTGCGGTTGTTGAGATATATGGTGTATTAGGTTGATGCGCTCGTCCGTGTGATCCGTTGTATGGGATTTACTTTAAGGGCTGTTATTTTTTTTTATGGGGTGGGCGGCTGATATAAGCTTTGGTTTTGTGGTACCTAGCAATTCCCACTTTGATATGACATCTTACATAAGCTGACCTCATCAGTTAGTGTCACCTGATTCGAACTTGATGTTGACTTTTAGAGGTGAATAAGAATGAGTACTTGGATATTAGACTGGTCAAAAAGGAGGGAAGACTAGTGCAAATACTGCAAACAGAATGACTAATAATATGACACTTGATCGCTAGATTCGTGGGTGACTAGCAGCATGAGGCGTTTTATAGAGCTAGGAGACTCAAGTCAAGGTAGAACCAGACAGTCGCTGGCCATGATGTTCGAGGCCATGCCACATTTCGCTAAGACGTCACAGCAGTTTCGACGCCGCAAAGGCAGGATAAGGCCATAACGTAGCTCTCAGTTCGTTTGCAGGAAATGTACCGATTTACATTTATGAAGAATGGATAGAAATATAACATGAGATTAGTTACTGAAGCCTCCAGGGCTGCATATCGCTTTAAATTTAAATGTAACACCCTACATCCATCCGTCGTCTGCACCCTGATGGCCCCTTTAGGAATTCCTTTCAGTATCCCTTAGAAGGTTCAACTCCTCCTCTTCCTCGACACTATCCTTACTCCATAGGTATTTGATGGCCAAACATTGACTATACCTGTATGTGGAGGCCTTGAAGAATAAAATGCAAATCGCTGCACTAATCAGGAAACCTGCGATAAACGATTCAACAAGCAGCCCAGCTCTTGCATTCATGGCAGCGGTTAATCTGGCGAATCTTGCAGCTTTTGCGGCATCAGAGACTTTCATAGAACTTGGATCATCGGCTTTCAGCTTTGGTGCACCCTCAGGCCAGTATGCTGGAGGGTTTGTATGATGAACGGTAGAATTCCCCATGGACTCATATTCACTTCCCAGAGCCTCAGCAGAAACCCATTCCATATACCCCCTTGCAATATATGTAGTTTCGAACCCTTTCTTTGGAATAGTCCCAATCTCGGTGCTGACATTTCCGTTCCATGAGTAGAAACGCCAGTAAGATATTCCTGTTGCCCCGTTCCAGCTCACATGGAAAGCTGTGGTGCTTTCTGATCCATTGACACCGTAGCAGAATGCAACAAGATCAGGAGGCCATTTTGGTCGACCCACCCAGGGGAATTTATACGCTCTGTACGTATCAAGTCTGTTCGATGCAAACCTAGCCTCCATAAGTAACGTTCCATCATGGGCAAACTCACTCATATAGGCGGCCGCGCTCCATGACATAAGCACATTGTTATTTGGAAGTGTTTGCATGTTTCCACGTGCAAAGCTTATTCCTTTATCTGGACGGGGATACCGATTCAAGAGTCTGGCTTTCAGGGTCATCAAGTTGAGTTCGACATACATGCCCGCAGATGTCGACTCAATGGCTCCGTGGTTGTCGGCACCGTTGTTCAAGAAAGACAAGACCACATGAGTGGAATTGCTAGAAATAAACTTGGCGTCATGTTGTCGGTGAAATTCAAAATCCATCTCAAAATCGCTGAGGAGGCCACCAAGTCGCCATATGATGAATTGAAATTGACGATCAATGAGATAGATTGTGTCTAGATGGCGTGCTGAAAATAAAAAGTTCCCATCGCTATCTGTGTCAATAGAATTGCCATGTAACCAGTCTCGGGCAGGGTCTGGTTCTCGGGGGTCTAGGACAAAGGACTCCATAAGTTGAATCTCATCTGGGAACCATTGGCTCCTATAGAGTCCGGTTTCTATATCCAGTTGTGCAAACCCAACACTGTAGGCCCATACATTTCGGTCTTGGCCAAATTCAGCCATGCTTCTCCATTCATTCCGGGCAATGAGAGTCAATGCCACTGGCGGCTCTTTCACCATAAATTCATGCATATCTTGGATCTCCGTTGGCCGATTTATTTGATAGATGGGTTCATAGTGATTGTTGTATATGACTGCTAAGCCGTCTTCGGGTGAACCTTCGAATGGCGGGTGCATCTGCCAGGAAAGGTGTGGTGAAGGGCCAAGCGTATTGACCACGCGGAAGTCATAGGCATTCCTGTTCGGGTAATCGCAGGCGCCGGCCCATACAAGTTCCTATCATGAAAAACAGTGAGTCAATGATAAAGGTGAGTGATTTCATAGCTACATACACCATCTTGATCAAAGATATAAGGTCCAACTTGGCACGGCATCCAGCGATTTGTGAATTCTTCACCTCCATATTTGAAGTATGGAGCAACAAACCAGTAGCCAGGAGCAACACGAGATCTATCGTGGTACGTGATATCCCATTTCAAAATTCGATGTCGAGGGAGCTTTTTCGGGACACCATGTCAGAGACTGGTATAGAAGTGATATCTGCTTTGTGTACTGACTGTTAAATAGGAATTGAGATCGTCATCATTATAAGGATCAAATGCTATCACAACATGGACAAACAGGAACAACAAATTCCATAGAGCCATTTATTCGAATGTTTTGTTTATCGCCCCGTTGAATCACGACATGGAATTTGTGTTTAGGAAGAACAAGAGCTATGATATAGATCCATCTCGCATATATACTTTTTTCCACTTTCCATCGGAGGGCGGAAACTGATTTTGGAAGCAATTTAGTTGTGAAGTCTCCACACACAAGTAGATCATGGTATTAAACTTCGTACTTGGCGTTGTAGTGAAACGGATACAGCGGCTTTGGCCCCAGAAAAAAAAATATGGGGCGAATCCTTCCAGGGCTATCATTAGACTCGATCAATTAAAAGCCTCTGAATTAAGATGGCTAATGTCTTGCTTACGTCCTCTCTTCGCTTAACTTCTTGGCCTGATGATATGGCCTCGGCATATCGTTTAGATGCTGAATATGTACAGAAGCCTGTGTCGGGGGCTTAAATCAGTTGGTCAAAAAGTGGGTTGAATAGTACACATGAGAGGTAGCTAATATTGTTGAGGCTGATATAGAAATTTGAGTTATCTAGATATTTGACGAATTCCGAATAAAAATCTATGATTTCCGAAGGACAGCTTTTCAAGGTTGTATTGATGTATGATGTATTGGGTATTTTTTCAAAAAAATATGGACCCACCGGGGCAAGCCCTAAATTTGCCTACCTAAGAAGGGAATCAGATCTGCTAGCAGAAATACCTCTTAAGGTTACAAAGTCGGTTACCATAGGGCGTGGTGAAATAGGATAATGGACCAATTCATGGATATCAATTATTTGAATTAAAAACTAAAAAGATAAGGGGAAAAAACACCAAGTAGAATCAAACTTCGCTGCCGGCAGTGAACGCTTTGGATAAGTTTAGTACACTAATATTACATTCGATATAGGACATATTAATCACTCAAGGACTGCCTGGACAGGAGTCAAAACTTTGTTGCCTGTCAGTGGACCAGGACCACACCATCCATATAAATCACAGCGGCATTTTGCCTCCGTGGGACATCTAAAGAAATATCAGTAAGGGAAATCAAAACACCATGTGGGTTCACATACAACACAGCAGGCATATGGAAGATAATATGCCATAACTTTTCTGCTAACCAGCCAATTCCATAATTGTCGGTTGCATCAGTTGTTCCAATCCACCGCATAATCTTGTGGTAGGTTTCCTTTGAATTAGTCTGTATTTGTTCCCTTGACAAGGCAAATTGTGCACAGCACTGGTGACCAATATCCTCGGGGAAATCTTGGTATTTCATCCCAATAAGATTGTTGAGGATTTCCGGGAGCTGATCGAGAAGGTATTGATATTGCTGATCATGCTCTTTAGGATCTTTCTGGTGCAAAGTACTCGGGCAACCCGGTACTCCTGCACACCGTAGATTCACATAGCCGTAAGCTTTTATTGCCTCAAATCGCAGACTTCGAAGCACCCTAGATGTCTCAGGGCCCGCGATATCGTTATGCCATTGCGTCTCTCTCCCGTGAAGGAAGACAGTATATGGATGAAGATGGTCATAATGGTCTGCAATATAAGAAAGATAGGCGCTTGCCTCGTGGCCTTGGTAGAAGTGGGGGACTTCTAGACCTTCTTCGGGGATAAGGTCCATATTGTAGATATATGGTGTGCATCCACTAAATGAATCATATGTGGTTAGAGAAATTTGTCCAAGATGCTTGACGGAATGGAAATATCTGCTAACCTTTCTCTGCAAAGTTCATAAATCCATTCAACGTCGTCATCAAATGTTTTGGCTGCGACAATCGCCCAGTCAGGTTTAAAAATTACTGCCTCCTTTCCAGGGTCCTCAGTTTCATGCTTTGTGATGACCGCAAGGGCATCTGTTTTCACGCCATATGCAATGAAAAGAGAAACAAACACTGCTAGTGATATCAGCAACTTGACAAACCGAGGTTTACTAGTCCAGACATGGAGCATGTTTGTCCCTGAAGATCTGTGTTTTTTGGATTTTCGATCTGGAGATATTGACATTGGGAAAGATAGTTGGAAATGATAAATGGGTCCTGGAAGTTTTTAAATATTTATCAGTTAAATGTCGGGTTTTAGCACCACGGGCGATCTTTCGGTATCCCAAGCAGTCCTATATTTAGGTGTGTTATTTATATTACGCAACAGGAACAACAACCCCCAAGTCTCGCTTAATATCACTTAGTTCATCTTTCATAATTCAGCTTTAATCGGCTTTCATAATTCAGCCCCAAATCATGTTTGTTCTTATCTTAACCCCCAATTGTGCTTACAATACGGAGTAGACCGCTAGACTAATATCCCGTCTTGGCCCCACATCTGATAGACCCTATATATTAGAAAAGCACATCTTAATTTCGTGCAAGTAGTTCAAACCTGGGGCGAAATCCTTTGAACCAAAATTAAATGAAGAGGGACATAATCGAAGGATCAAACTCCAATATGAATGGCCATGAAATTCTGAAGGATAAAGCGAAGGCAAAAAAGTGATGTAAATAACCCTGACAATCTTGAGCTTTTAACTCTGGTTCCGGCCTATTTTGAGGTAACTTTGCCCTCTTGAAAAAAAAATCTCGCTGAGTTTCATCAAGTTCCAAAAAAGTCATCATGTTATTTACACATATTCTCTTTCTCCTCTTAGGTGCTGTCGCTACAGTCACTGGCTCCATCGTGGTAACTGGTTGGAATGCTCTTGCTTGCGGTAACGAACCACAGAGAGGGACAGAACTCTTCACGATGGGTTTCGAAGATGCGATGGACGGATGCACAAACACCGGACTTGGAGAAAAGATATTCTCAATAACGGCCACATCAGACACAGATATGTCTGAAATCTGGGCCTACGCGCTTCCTAACTGCAAAGGACAGCGAAGATTGATCGAGCCGGAGACCTGCCTTAATCCCGACATCAACATCAAATACTTCCAATCCTATAAGATTACTTTCAATTTCTCATAATGATTATATTATTTCCGGTATGTCTTGAATTGACTTCAGTGGAGTATGACAGAAACACTGACCAAGGTTGAATTTCAGGTATACGGTTTCCTACGATGCTACCTAGGCAGCGGCTTAATGTCCATATTTTCAACATTCTCATCAACCCTGTGGCCCCAGGGCCGCTGTTTCTTGCACCCCGTTGACCACTTTGCTACTGGTTCTCCCCGAGGTCGTCCTCGACCACTTCGGGTTCCACCCACACCTCTACCCGCGGTGCTACTAGAAGTGTTGTCGTCAAAATGGATGCTGTCTTTGGCAGTGATTCAATAGTCCATGGGTGTGACCCTTAAACTGTGGACCTCGGGACAGCTAATGTGATATTGAGTCATATTAAGATACTTATATTTTGAATTCGCACGAAGAGTGCTTGCGTTGGAGCAGGAGGTAGAAAGTTCAAGGGTGCTATCAATTCAATCCATCCAATTTCTTATATATATTCCACTGGAGCAATGATGAACCTGCGTATTCCAAGCTATGACTGCTTACCCAAGGATGGTGCTTACTTATCCACGGATTGTTTGACTATAAAGTTATTATGAGCGTGGACCTTCCGAAAAATTTCGAAATTTCAGCAGGAGCTTATGAAGTATTCATGGATGGGTGTAAACGCTTTTCTTTCCAAGGGCTTGAACTGAAATATATAAAAATAGTACCTGATATATCACAAGCATCGAGGAAAGCCTAGTCAACCCTTGGAAGATATCATACATGGACGGCACCTACGTAAGCGGTGTATTCGACAGAATCAAGAATCCTCGTACTATACGATGATCAGTCTTGAATACAGGTTAGCACGCCTTTTTTTAGTCAGGTACCATTCGTACACTTCGAGAAGTTCACAGGTCTCGACCGTCTCGTATAGCTGCCCTGGGTCGCTTAGAAGATCGAGATCGGAGATTGGTCTGGACCCTGGTTGTCGATGGTGAATCCTTAAAGATACATAAAGCCCACATTTAGCAGTGCCAAGAGCACACCAGAACACTTCTCATGTTCGGGTGTGCTCTTGGCAGTGTAGTGAGCTCTTGACAGTGTAGTGAGCTCTTGGCAGTGTAGTGAGCTCTTAGCACTAGAATACAGTTCAGGCAGGCGGTCTGTACTGCAGAATCGTGTTGAACTATAAATTTAGAAAATAGTCATAAAATGAATACGCATACACCTCTCCTCATATTTTTGACTCACTATCTTCACTGTCCTTTCACTTGTGGTTTGTGGTAGTTTTCTTCCGAGCTGAATCGACCTGCACGTCATGATCGTGCTGCCTAGAGCGTTCCCCATTTCACTAGGTAATGAATGTTGTGCAGGTGGGCAAACCTATCTGAACTCAACTTCGGAACTATGCGATTACCAAAATTCATCTTATCATCAATACGAATCAATTCGTCGGCCTTCATGAAGTTTCAAGGTTCTTCAAGTCGAAAATCCACCTAGGACCTACTACTACTACCACCTGGGCACTTCAACTTTGGCTCTATGTCCCAAATTTAGCATTTTCTACATGTCATAAGCCGTTTGGATAGTAAATATTAGTACGTAGTACTCAGACTCGAAACCTTGGGACCTCACCTGGGCAAAAGCTTGTAGCCCTATCTATAACCTGGGAGTTGAATATTCAGTACTCCATAGACACGCGCAAGTATTTAGTATACTTTTTTTTTTCAATTAAATCACAAAGATTAGTGAGTCCTTTTCCATATCAGAATCACAAGTCTAATAAAGAAGATTCTCACCCTCCATCATCCTCTTCTTTGGATTCCTCGGTGCTTCCTCCTGCTTCCTCCTCTCCTCAACACTGATATCGTCAACATTAGTCCCCATCTTGGCCAAAGCCTCCTCAACCTCAACCTTTGAATTCTCATGACCAGCTGTAGCAACAGTGAGAATCCGTCTTTCCAACCCAGCCATATGCTCCCACTCAACACCAGCAGCAGTAAGCATCTGACACCCCTCAGAATCCCCAACGAAAGTCGTCGGCTCCTTAACGCCGAAGTACACTTTATGGATGCCCTCTCGACCACCTTCACGAGTCCGAGTAATGCGCTGCACACAGGGCGCATTGCCTGACAGCCGTTTTCCGCAAGGCTCCATTGTGACGTACATGATGAGTTTACGGCCCTCTTCCACTGGGAGGGCTGTGCCTACTTGGTCCTCAGATACGTTTTTTGAGGCGGCAAAGTTGGCAAAACAGCATTGCTCGGCGTGTGTGTTGCCTTCTAGCTCCATGGTGTATCCGGTGGAAAGGACACGGTCTTGGGCAAACGTGGGGTCGTTATCCTGTCGGGAGAGAAGTATGGCGCCGACACGGAAATTTGTTGGTCGGGGAGGTGATTGCTCAGCGAGGAAAATGCATTTCTGCAAATAGGGGATATGAGGGGACGTATTGGCCATGGTAGGGTGTTAATAGATCTGTGGCGGTATGATTGACAGGTAAATCGGGAGGACTCAAGAAGAAGATCAAGAGCAAAAAAAAGCGAAAAGCGAAAAGCGAAAAATAAAAAATTGATTGAAGTTCGAGAGATGATTGATCTTCTTGTAGTGATATCTCTCGTATCTCAAAGTAGACCGTCAAGTAAATAAGAAAGTGAAGATCGGACTGAAGGCGGGGAGTTGCAGCAGAATCAATTATGACGTGAATCGGCGCGTCAATTCTCGCGTTTAATTGAATGCGCGGTTCATCTGTTTCCTTCTCCCTTTCCACCTCATCTTTATTCTACGGACACTTATTTTCCCTCTATCCTCCACAATCAGACCGTTAAAATGGATTTTCTCGATGACCCGCCCAATGTGGACCAGGATCTATACCTGCTTCTCGGTGTTACTGCCAATGCCACCACGGCGGAGATCAAGACTGCATACAAGCGAATGGCTCTCAAGCACCACCCTGGTATTCTCTCGCTCAACTGGCCGGCTTGACAATATGATCTGACATAGCTAACCAATTGGTTTATAACAGATAAGGTCCACGAAGCTTTGCGCGATGAAGCGAACTCCCAATTCCAAAAAATCGCCTTCGCATATGGAATCCTTTCTGATGACGCTCGTCGTAGGGCATACGACGACACTGGCCGTACCACTGACGCTGAATTTGAGTGGGCCGATTTTGTGCGCGAGCAGTTCAAGGCTGTCATTTCCGACGATATGATCATCGACTTTAAAAACAAATATCAGGGCTCCGACGAGGAGAAGAATGACTTGTTGGACGCGTATGTGAAGAGTAAAGGTAATATGGGCAAAATTTACCAATCTATCATGTTGTCAAACCCCCTCGATGACGAACACCGCTTCCGTGAGATTATCGACAAAGCTATTGCCGACGGCGAAGTCGATAGTTTCAAAGCTTACGTCAAGGAGTCTGCCAAATCCCGAGCGGGACGGTTGAAGACTGCTCGCACCAACGCCAAGGAGGCTGAACAGAGCAAGAAAGAATTCGCCGCTAAGAAGAAAGCTGCTTCAAAGCCTGCGTCTGACAGTTTGGCCGCCTTGATCGCTAATCGACACGCTACACGCGAAAGTGATAACTTCATTTCACGAATCGAGCAGAAGTATGGTGGTGGGAAAAAACGGAAATGTAAGGAGCCGTTGGAGCCGTCTGAGGAGGCTTTTGCTGCTGTTGCTGCGCGTAAACGATCCAAGCCATGAGCAGGAGATCGAGCAGCTTAATGATTTTTCTTTTTCCAAGTTTACAATACCCTACGGGAAATTGGACGAAAAATGCGTTCCATTTTTCCCTTTTACTTGATATTTTATCTCCGATTTCTCTACTCTCTCCTTTCGATTCCCTGCGCTTCAATAGACTTAGGGCTGAGATAGGAGAGCTCTCTCAACATACTTGACATGCCTAGCCACTACAAACTCGGATGGCAGATCTGATAAAAATATTTTTCAAGCTCTAAGTAGATTGCAAGACTAGACAAGGGATAGATTGAGGGATTACCGGAAGAAGCAGACGCAAGACCAGGGAGATAAAACAACGTCGCAACAAGTACAGGCGCATGAAAGATATATGCAATAGGAACTAAGGGTCATGCAGGGAAGATCGGCTCCGCGTTCTTGTTTATTCTGCGAAACGGCGCAGAACATTTGAAAAAGAAAGCCCGAGATAATTGGAATACATAAGTCACAGTATTTAAGCGTCGATCAGATTTCCTTCACCGTGCTTCTGTTCTTCAGTAGAGTTATCCCGAGTGTCCTTGCTGGCAAGCTTGCGGGCTGAGCGGGCGTAGAACTCGTCCAGTACACGCTTGGGGATACGGTTCAGCAGTTCCTTGGGGTAAATGCGGAGCAAGTTCCAGGCGATGTCGAGAGAATCGTAGATAGTGCGAGACTCATAAGCAGATTGACTAATGAAGGTGCGCTCGAACTTCTCGAGGAACTCCAGAGAGAGCTTGTCTTCGGAGGAAAGAGCTTCCTCACCGACGACTGCCTTCATGGCGGCTGTATAGGGAAAATTTTTGTCAGTATAGGAAGAATTGGAGGAAGAGGGAAAGACTCACCAGCATCACGACCGATAGCGTACTTGGCGTACAGCTGATTAGACACATCGGAGTGGTCCTTGCGGGTACGTCCCTCTCCGATAGCAGACTTCATTAGACGTGATAGCGAAGGCAGCACGTTAATGGGAGGGTAAACACCCTTATTGGCTAGTTGACGATCAATGAAGATCTGACCCTCGGTAATGTAACCAGTCAAGTCAGGAATGGGGTGAGTAATATCTAGCGATAGTCAGTAAATTAAAGGTTGGTCGTTAATAACGGGGCCTCTCATACCGTCGTTAGGCATAGTCAGAATAGGAATCTGAGTAATAGATCCGTTACGGCCCTCGACACGTCCAGCACGCTCGTAGATGGTAGCCAAATCAGTGTACATGTAACCGGGGTAACCACGACGACCGGGGACTTCTTCTCTGGCAGCAGAAACCTCACGCAAAGCATCACAGTAGGCGGACAAGTCAGTCATGATAACTAGGACGTGCTTCTCCAACTGGTAGGCGTAATATTCGGCGGTGGTCAAAGCCAGACGGGGGGTAATGATACGCTCAATGGTAGGATCATTGGCCAAGTTCAGGAAGAGAGTGACACGCTCCATCGAGCCATTCTCTTCGAAATCGCGAGTAAAGAAACGAGCAGTCTCCATGTTGACACCCATGGCAGCAAAGACGATGGAGAAGTTCTCCTCGTGATCGTCGTGAACGCCCTTGGTAGGCTTGACCAGACTGGCTTGACGACAGATCTGAGCGGCGATTTCGTTGTGGGGCAGACCAGCCGCAGAGAAGATTGGAATCTTCTGTCCACGAGCAATGGAGTTCATGGTATCGATGGCGGAAATACCGGTAGAGATCATTTCCTCGGGGTAGACCTAGTCAATTGCATCAGTAAGAGCTCCAATATAACCTTTTCGGTGTTATAACTGCATACCCGGGAGTAAGGATTGATGGGTTGTCCGTTAATATCTAGGTAATCTTCCGCCAGCACCTTGGGTCCCTTATCGATGGCACGGCCTGAACCATCGAACACTCGACCCAGCATGTCTTCAGACACACCCAGCTTCAAGCTGTGACCGGTGAACTCGACCTTGGTCTGATGGTGGGGTCAGCGAATCCATTATCATAGTACACATCGTTATCGAACTGTACCTTCTTCACATCGATACCGGAAGTGCCCTCGAACACCTAGTCGCCGAACAGTGGGTTAATATCCAATTCTCTAAAAGGAAGTATTGCTATCGGCTCATACCTGTACCACAGCTCGACTTCCTAAAGTTTGCAAAATACGATGTCAGTATTCGTCCGACGTGCTCATCGCAGGTAAGCAAGGGTATACGTGAGCTTACCTCGAGCCTCCAGAACCTGGCCGGAACGCTCTGTGCCATCAGGAAGCGTCAAGGAGACAATTTCATTGTAGCGGGGGAATTTGACCTATACCAGACAAATGATCATCAGTCAGGAATGCCCATTGTGGTTCCGATGGCCAAGCGGGTCTCTCACATTGTCAAGGACGACCAGCGGACCGTTGATACCTCCGATGGTGTTGTAGCGGATACGGGGCTTGATATTGGTCATCCGGGGATCAACAAACTCAGCCATGGCGGGCGATTAAGGTCCTCCACGGGCGAATGAGACAAGAATGGTCAGAGGGGGTGAAGTAGAAGGCGGGATGCCGAACTGGGGGGATCCAGAGCCAAGCTGTCTCCGAGCTTGGGCGGTGACTCATCACGTGATATCAATTCACTTTTGCACTTCTTATGCTCGCAATATAACAAATTATGGGAAATTGTCTAAATTGTTAGTCTGCATAAAACTAGCTACTGAATGGCGAATGACCTGAAGCCCAGGAGAGGGGTGAAAGGAGTGAAATTAACAAATGTCCAGGCCATGAATATAAAATTACAAGTTTCTAGTCACGAAGCTAAAATAAATAAATTTTGTGATGCATTCACGAGCAATGAGGTTTCTAAGAAACCAGGGTATCAATATGGTTTAAGAAGTTTCGCTCCATCAATGTTGCAAGAAACAATCAGTTTCTCCATGCTTGCTGGGTAAGGGATAATTGGAATATAAAATAATGCGTGGGGATTGAATCAAGGCATACTCAGTCCACCTTAGCTTGAGTGAGGCTCTTGGGAGTTCTGAGGTTATTGGTAAGTCGAATGGTTTTACCCTTCGACGTGTTGCGCTTCAGCTTGCTACGTGCGACCATTACAGGAGCCGACGAGTTGGTAAGAAGATAGTTAGAGAAGGAGCCGAGAAGAACGCTGTTGCGATATGTAAGTCACAAGATTACACATCCTTCGAAAAATAGGCCACTTACCCCTTCAAAGCGCTCTGGCCCCGCGCACCTACAATCACCAAAGTGGGCTCGATCTCGTCAATCTGAGATGAGGTTAGCCATTGCTATAATCAAACGAAATTTTGGAGGCCATACAGCTTCGGTAATCATGAACTTAGGGCTCTTGCACTGAATGACTTCGACCGCGACGCGAACCTGCAACAGTGTCTTTCGCAGCAGTTTCACAAATGTGTCTGACACGGTTTCAACGGCCTTGACCCGTTCAGCTTCTGCAGGAAGCACTCGAGCATCGGAGGCAACACGACTACTGGCAGATCCGGGTCTAGCAGATCCCGGTCCCAATCGGCCCAGAAGATTGCGAGCGGAGATTTGGGCGGCTTCTTTAGTTTGGGTACCGACGACGGCAGCAGCATCTTGCATGGCCTTGCCACCCTCACCAACCTGCACAGAGGATCCATTCAAATCCTCTTGCAAGCAGTAGATGGCATAAACTGTATCACCATCCCGGAGAACAGCGCCTATGGTCCATTCCAATGCATAGACGGATTCTTCACTGAGGTCTGTTGCAATGATGTATTTACGCTGGCGGCGGCGTCCACCATCGGCTTCTTCCTGTAGGCCGGCAAAGTTACCACGGATTATTGTGCGAATAGACCGGCTGGGAACACTGTTATCGATGGCAGACACTGTAATGCTGAGCCGTTGAGCACGGTGGATGTCCTCCTTTTCAGCCTCATCCTCCGATCCGTAAGGCGTGCCAGCCGCTGATTGCGTGTATGGGGTTGGGATATCGAAGCTTGTCTGGGGGCGAATGGTGACTTTCAACGCGGACTTCCGGGGCTTTTTCCCCTCGACAACAGATGAGGGTGAGTGGGGTTGCTTTTCTAGGGAGATGATTAGCCAATGCTAGAATTGAAGAAATTTGAAACACGGCAAATACATACCACCTTCTTCTGAGACCGGAGAATGGGTCTTCGGTTTTTTAAAATCACTGGGGCTAATCATAGTGATGTCGTACTTCTTCTTGCGGCCACGGGAAGGATCAGGACTTTCATCCCCACTGGACTCTTCGTCGTCATCCTCACTACTCTCGATGAGGTTGTTGTCACGATCAAACATATCCTTGGCCATCCGCTCACCAGGGTCCAAGTTGATGGGCTCTTTCACGGCCTGCTTTCCTCTACTTTGCTCAGAGCGAACATTTTGCGATCCAGTGGAGGGAGATCGGGCGTCGAGAGAAGAAGCTCGCGATGTACGTCCACGACTACTATCTCTTCCACGAGAGAAACTCTTTGGAAACAGCTTCGACTCTAACCCAGACATCAGTCCAGCCATAGGACCCCTGCTCTGTGATCGCTTTTTGCCAGCCGCAACTTCCGGGACAGGTCCAGCCTTATTATCCACATCCCGATCTGTAGCTACCCGTCGGTCCTCCAGGGTGAATTGATCCGATAATCTGCGAGGCGCATCACCATTTTGGGGCCTCTCTGGGGAGCTTGGAGCAGAAGCCATAGCTGTAGATGTGATGCGAAGCGGGGATGGTGGAAGGGGTTGACTTCGCGATCCCCCTCGCGATAAGGAAGCCCCTCTGTCACGTGATAGTTTTGTAGGGCCGTGAAGAAGGTTGTGGAGTAATTTGGATCTGAAAATGGTTTTGTGGGGTTTGGTCTCTCTAGAAGAATTGGCTGGATCTTCAGAAGAATTAGAACGATCAGGGCGGTACGACATGATTCGAGTACTGCCGGATTTTGACAACTTCGTTCGGTGGAGCCCGGCCCGATCTCCACAATTCCGAATTGTGGAGTGAACCACCTTTATATGACGTTGATGTTATCTGATCATAGGGAAATGGAAGGATTTCAGATGATTCTGGCTGTTGGTCACATTTGCATGGAATCTATGGTGAAACTGAGAGAATCAAGACGTTCAAGCACTGAGACTGGACTATTTGATGAGAATACCTCAAAAGGAAAGATCGACTGAAGAGCACCTACCTAGGTTAAGACATCCACAGAGCAACTAAGCAGTTTAACTACTTAGCAGATAGCAGCGACTAAGCGACTACAAATCTGTGACTACAAATCTATGGTTAGGTCAGCGCCGAGACGCCCAGCCCGGCCATTCTGGGCCATCCTGTCCTATAGCGAGGTGCCTAGTGGCTATGAAAAGAACGATTGCAAGTGTGGAAACTTGTTTTGCAGATGACAAGCTCAATGAATGATAAAGGGTCACTACTAAATATTTAAGTGATGTATATATAGCAGGAACAAACAGTTTCATTTGGACGTATCCATAGGTATATAGGGCTTCATAGAGCCTTGGTTGAGACCCCTGGCCTGACCCTCAATACGACTGAGGCTCCGTCCATTTCTCTCATGGCAATATCCACATACAAAGGGCCCATCGACTGACCCGACAGCCACCGCCACTATCGACTTGAAATACTTTATGCTATGATACTCTCGGGCTACGACCACGAAATGTATTCGCAAGCTCGATACATGTTATAGCTACGAGGTACCTATTTGCTGCCATTATTTGAAGCGAGACCAGCCCTGACCTTCAAAGGTTTCTACTATAGTAGCTTCTACTTTCGATGGCTAGTCTACATAGCTTGATCGAAGTATGAGTTTTTATATGCATAAATATACCTAGGCAATCTGAATCAGAGCGTAAGAAGTCAACCTTGTAAGGTTGGACCTCGGGAAAAGTTCATCAAACTTCCATTTCATGATCTCAGCTACCTAGGCAGTATAATGCTCAGAGACAGGCCCCGAGAATGTGAGTATCAACATTGAAGGATAGGTAGGTGAATATGAACACTGAAAATCATCATTGAAAAATTAATGGTGAGATGTCAAAATTTTATGCTTTACTTTCAATGTTGATGCTCGACCTGAAATCTTGGTTTTTGATTTCCAGTTTTCAGAATTCACATTTGATCTGATACAGATCCGTGGAGTTATCCAGCTCAGAAGTTAGGGCTAGGTTGTTGCTTACTAGGCTCTTTTGGACTTCTTCGAAAGGCTTGCTTCATTATAATCTTAACAGGTTTTCAGTTCTCTGTCTTCACTTCAGAACATACACGGCTTCGATATTATTCCCATCCACATCCAATAAGAAAGCTGCATAGTACGGCTGTCGACTCATCTCCTTCCTAATCCCTGGAGCACCATTGCCGCGCCCTCCATTCTGTCTAGCACATATTGAGCATAACAGCAAAAAATTAAAAGAAAATGAATACTTACAGACCAACTTCATAGAACTTGTCGACAGCTTCGCGATCTAGTATGAATCAATGAGCAGAGCAATTCACCTGCGGAGATAGACGATACTCACTTGGTGCATCGAACGCAATATGGGTTGGCATTGTTGTCTTGCCCTCAGGCAATTGCTTAAGCCAGAAATAAGGATAGTCACTACCATATCCGACAAGTTGGTCACTACCTCGGAGCATCTCGCTATAGTGTAGCGGTTGTAGAATAGTTTGATAGAAAGACCGCAGGGCTACAAAGTTGGCCGAGGTGCCCCAAACGAAAACATGATTGATTGTCATCTTTGAAGACTCCTAAAGCTTAGGAATCAGAGTTGATACGATCAATTTGGGGTTTTAAGTGGCAATGTGCGGGGTTTATGTATGATGTTGATAAGCAAGCCACAACCGGAGTTCCTCCACTCCGTATTCCGATGCACAATGGAAGACGGAAGATTCAATATCGGATTTGTGCTGTTCAGCCAAAGTACCGTAGGTGATAGATCTTGCATTAGCATGTACTAACGTAGCATAGAGCATGGAGTATAACACATGGCCATTGCTGAGTCGCCATTTAAAGAGTTGTTGCAACAAACCTCAATCCTTACTACAAAAAGTCTGCAGTGAGTGTGTTGCAAATAAGACAAGATGTAATCGTAGCCGACCAAGTTGCTCAAAATGCTCGTTGTGCAACCATTCTTGTCAACATACCGGCCTAGAAGCAAGCGATGATACTGCAACATACACTTCGTTGATATTCCAGCCACCCTCGATCCGGGTCCCTTCCATTCATTCTTTTTCAATTATATCGTCAGATCTAACGTAGCCACCGGGTACTGCTATACACACCTCAGTGCGTAAATAGCCTCGGAATATTCCCATTGAGTCACGAGGGAGATGGGACTCGACAGAATTTGACTCTCTGTCCGAGCAACCTTACCTCCAATACTTCACGGAATACCGAACTAAGCAATTCAAATTGCTTTAGCTATTCATAGTTTGGTATTGATCTTCAGAGTTCTTCGTTCCTGACCAAGGATGCTGGCCGAGGAGTTCCAGCTTCCCCTATTATCTCATTTCACTCATATCGCACCAGAAAATTAGCTACCATTGCCGCTAGTGAATTGCATCACACTTTCCAAGATGTGGCATGGCCGATGCAAAGAGGTGGATGACTATGTCTGAAGAAGAAATATAAAAGAGCTGGATCATATTGTGAACCAGAGGATATACCATTCTAAGGTTCCCTCTCTCTCTCTCTCATCGACTAATATACCTCAACCTTAGAATAAAAGTTACTATATATTGATTTAATCAACGTAGTAAATCTGGTTATCAAATTTCAAGCTTTTGTCTTAAGAATAAGCGATCATTTTCCTTTCCCCATCAGCAAGCTTATAGGATCAATTACCCGATCCGGTCACAACAACATCTTTCGCAGAATCGAACTTCTTGTCTTTCTTGTTCTCCCCGCTGGTCTACATCTCAAGGAAGAAAGAGCCCGAACTAGACTTTCCCGGGAGGAGTGGCTACACGTCACGCCAAAATGCCGCACGGTCTTCTCGTATCTTCTGCACCGGGCATACTTGCTCTTCCAGGTGCTGTGCTTTGACCGTCGTGATATGGGGCTCATTTCTGCGCTAGCTGCAAATACGCTTTGAGAATGCGCTTTGAGAATGCGCAAGCCGAGGCAGAATTGAATAAATGATATCTATTGATTAGCTCGTTGGAGCGGCCAGGGCTTTCTACAAGCTAAGTTTGAGAAGATACAGCCTGGAGCCTTTATTGGATATGAGAGGCTGATGAGTTTGGACTTCTTGTTATCTCTATTGTTCAGTGGTTTAAAACTTCGGGCTTCGTTGAACCTTTTTGACGTTTTGCAGTCAATGCTGAATATGAATAGAAATTCATGCGCAGGTGTTGAGTCCCAAGAATCTGAGACTGGGGGGCTCAACTGACCTCGGGGGAAAAGGTAGTAATTCACACAGGTAGAAAGCTGTATGCTCAGGTTGACACGAGTAATCTAATGAACCCAAGCCCAGTTTCCGCTACCCCAGATCTAGATTGGGACGATGAAAGCAGTGGCTATTTTCGCTCCTTCACCTATTTCGATAGCTTCTACAGTAGGAACAAGATCATTAATTGATATCATTTCACGTATTTTCCAAATGTCCAGTATAAAGTCTTTAGTAGGAAGCTAGCCCAAACGAAGAAGAGAAAAGAAACAAAAAACAAGAAAAGGAGCCAGAAACCCGCTTTTTGTATATGATCCATTCCCAGTACGGAGTATAAATGACAACAAACATGATCCCATCTAAGAACAGGGCGACGAGTCAGAGAAAAGAAGACAAGAAAAGGTTATTTTAGCGCCGGAAGAAAAGAAAAAGAAAGGGTTCATGATCATAAAGGGTTCATGATCTAGAAACGTAGATCCCAGCCAATCTTGGGTCCCAAACGAGGAAGCTCATCAGCAACGCTCTGAACATCCTTGTCACCACGACCACTCAGGTTAAGAACGATATTCTCGTCCTTATTCATAGTCTTGGCTAGTTGCATGGCACCCCAGACGGCGTGCGAGGATTCGAGAGCGGGAATGATACCCTCAGTCTGAGAGAGAGTACGGAAACCGTCGAAAGCCTGGGCGTCGTCGGCCGCAATGAAAGTTGCGCGGTCAGAATCCTTCCAGGCACTCAGCTCGGGGCCGACACCTGGGTAGTCGAGACCGGCGGAGATGGAGTGAGTTTCGGAGATCTGTCCATGCTCGTTCTGGAGGACGTAGGTGCGCACACCGTGCAGGACCCCCTTGGATCCTCCGGACAGTGTAGCAGAGTGGCGGTCAGTATCAATACCATCACCGCCGGCCTCGACACCAACCAACTTTACGCTGGTGTCCTTGGAGAAGGGGTAGAACATGCCGACGGCGTTGCTACCACCTCCAACGCAAGCAACAACGGCGTCAGGGAGCTTGCCAATAGCTTGAACCATTTGCTGTTTAGTCTCTTGACCAATGACAGACTGGAAGGTACGGACAATGGTAGGGAAGGGGTGAGGGCCGATAGCAGATCCAATGATGTAGTGAGTGGTATCAAGCTCAACAACCCAGGCACGAAGAGCCTCGTTGACAGCGTCACGGAGGGTGCGGCTACCGGCGTCAACAGCAACAACTGATGCACCGAGAAGCTTCATGCGGAACACGTTGAGTGCCTGGCGGCGCACATCCTCGGCACCCATGTAGACAGTGCAAGCCATTCCAAACTTGGCACAAACAGTAGCAGTCGCGACACCGTGTTGTCCAGCACCGGTTTCGGCAATAATACGGGTCTTACCCAGTCGCTTGGCGATAAGGATTTGGCCAAGAGCGTTGTTGATCTTATGGGAACCAGTGTGGTTAAGGTCCTCCCGCTTCAACCAGATATTAGCGCCACCAACGTGTTCGGTCAGGCGGTTTGCCAAATGGAGGCTACTGGGACGGCCCATGTAGGGGTAGTATGAGCGGAACTCTTCCCAGAACTTAGGGTCATTATTTGCCTCTTCAAAGCCTTTCTCGAGCTGAGCCAAACAGTCCATGAGTGATTCAGGAACATACTGACCACCGAACTCGCCAAAGCGTGAGGGCGAGGCAGAGGTATCTTTGGTAATGTTGAGGGCCTCAAGTTGATCAGCCAGACCAGGACCGGCGGGAGTATCAGCCTCAGTGATCACCTTGGTGGGCTGGGCTTCGGCAGATGGCAGAGCCTTCTGAACGGCCTCGAGCACGTTGACCTCATGAGTCAAAGTACCCTCGGCATCACGCTGGCGCTTGCGGCCAGTGACGCTAGACAGATACTCCTCAGCAGCCTTGGCAGCCTGGCCAGCAGCAGCCTGGCCGACTACAGTGATGATTTGAGAGCCAATGACAACGCCCTCGGCGGTATCCTGGACTGACAGGAAGTGCTCACGAGTGCTGACACCGAATCCGAGCGCAGCTGGGACATTGCCAGAGTATTCGTGGACACGCTTCAAAAGTTCAGGAATATTGGCGCTCAACGATCCGGTGGCACCGGTCACACCCATGCGGGAGACGACGTAAATAAAAGAATCGGCGATCTTGCAGAGCAGCTTCATGCGCGCATCAGAGGTGGCTGGCGCAATGAGGGGAATGTAGGAGAGACCAGTGCTGGCGCAAAGATCACGGAAGCGTACAGCCTCTTCTGGGGGTAGATCGACCATAATGAAGCCATTGACACCGGCTTCCTTGCAGTCCTTCAGCAAGCGCTCCTCTCCATACCGCAGAACAGGGTTGTAATAGCCCATCAAAAGAAGGGGGGTCTTCAGGCCACGGCTACGGGCTTTACGAACAAAGTCGAGAACTGTTGTGAGTGTGACACCATTGAGAAGAGCTTGGGTGTTAGCGGTTTGAATGGTCGGACCGTCGGCAATGGGGTCTGTGAAAGGGATTCCAAGCTCGATAATGTCTAAATTGAAAATACAGTTAGCTTGAGAGTCTAGAATACCCTGTGTTTAAGAAAGGTCCTTACCAGCACCACCATTTTCCAGACCGAGAAGAATGTCTACGGCCTCTTCCACGGATGGGTATCCGGCGGTGATATAAGCCACTAGGGCCGCCCGTCGCTGCTCTTTGCACTTGGCAAACGTTTCTTTGATCGCTTCCATATTGTAATTGGTTAGGTGAGGGGAAGTAGAGGGGAGGAGGGGTCAATTGGGACCAAGAGAATATATATACTTGGCTCAATCGAATCAAAGAATCAAAAGCAAGCGGAGAAGAGTGTGCCCCAGGTGAGTCATCCGGAACTACAATTATCCATATTCTCCACATTTCCGTATCAAAAGGTGGATCGAACCCTTGCCCTTTCAGTTTTAGACTGACGCTTTTGCTTCATAGTCGATCAATTTCACTCCATTTGGGTAACACCTGGGCAATCAGTGGAATTGATCTGCGGCAGGGATCGGATTCTGCAATCAATCACTCAGATACGGTATGCTACTACTTAGTACAAGGATACAAGCAATAGGAGTATGATAAAAAATAGGATGAACGATTTCAAGTCAAACTACACAGTACAGGGGGGGGGCGTGAAGCAACCCAAATTCCATAACGCCAAAATGATGCTGCGCAAATAAAGGTAGCCCTCAGCTCAAACTAAATAGATGAAAGAGAAAAACTCCTAATTCCAAGTTCCAACTGGATTATAGGAGCCGGCAAGGAAGCACAAGTGAGGATATGACAAAAGAGATCTAAAAGCTCCCTGATACCAACACCAAACCTGATCATCCCGTCGAAACAGCCCATCCCAAATTAGGGGGGACCAAACAAGCTAAAGTGTATGATATCCCAAATTCGCCCGACGAATGCAAAAGGAATGACTGCAACGCCTATGCTATGCCGAGTACTCATACAGTAGTGCAGAAACCTGTTTTGAGTGTGACCAAAGGAGAGGAAGCCCCAAATACCCCAGGTGTAAATGCAAAATCCGACAAAAGGATGAAAAGGTGGGAACAGAACGCGAAACAATAACAGGTCTCAGAACTTGATCAGGAGTTAGATGGTCGGGGAATATGCAACAAGCAGTGATGAGTGGGGGCATCCAGGCGTCAGGTGTTTTATATCAAGGAGGGACATTAAATCGTAAAAATAAGTAAGCACAAGGTTGGTCCGGCGACGAGGAACAAGTCCAGGACACGTGAACCGATGGTTCTGGGAGTAGCGTAAGGAGTGACAGGAAAGGAGAATCGTATATCTTCAACAGAGCAGAGGGGGAAAATATGAAAATCGAATGGTAATCAAAAGCAGACGATATGATCCAAAAATTAAAGCCAAGAAAGCACAAATTCAAGGGATCATGGACCCTGAGCGGCATGGTGCAGGGGGTATACAGGTTCCATGTAGTTGTAGCATGCGTTGACCGATGCGGCAGAAGTGGGAGCACCGAGGCCGTGCATGTCCCATGCTGTTCGTGGAGTAGGTGCAACCAGACTGTGGGGATTTTGGGGATGACAGACGGCCGGGTATGAGTATGCACCAACAGAAGTGTACGACTGACTGGAGGGTACCACTGAGCGAAGATCAGGGCCAGTTGTCATCGGGATATACGCCTGACTGGGTTGCTGGTAGACTGAACGTGCCATGCTAGTAGCGTAGTTGGGACCAGAGTCAGAGACCGACTGGGGAGAAGTGGTAGTGTGAGGCTCGGTACCGGAATCAGAGGCAGTACCATGGCTGACATACGTTGTCATTGGTGTTGGCAGCGCACCTGCTGTCGAGGAGTAGCTGGCAGACTATTAAACATATTAGTAAATGAAGGTCGATGGCCCAACACAGACCAGTGTATACTCACATATTTGCCAATAATCTTCTTCAGCGCGAGGCTAAGAATCTTCCAGGGGAAGACCTTGACATCCTTTTCAATGTTGCGCGGCTTGGGGGCAGGGAAGCCCATGATGACCTTGAAGAAATCCTCGCTGTCCGACTTGGCCTTGGATACTGTGAGCGGGCGGAAACCTTCTAAATTGCGACGAATGCGGTTCTTTTCTTCAACAGTGAATCGCACAGCGACCAATGACTCGAGCAGGTAGATAGTATCTACACTGGTGACGAAGTACTCATCCTTACCCTCCCACATGATGCAGCTGATGCAAATGCTGTTAGGGGCGCGCTCCTCCGGGGTGACCGGCTTGAACTCGCCATGGATGGTGCTTCCAGTCTGCGAGCGGGTGAATTGGACAAGGCGGCGCTGGGAAGCGCGCTCCTCCTTGCTCCAATTCTCGGTCATAGAATCCAAGTTTCCGCCTAACTTCAGAACGGCCTTCGTCGGGTACATGGCGTAGGGGTTAAATGCCTGTGTTTGACCCATACCGTTCGAATGCTGCAGAGTGGAGGTGCGGATTAAAGTAGGGTTGGAGGCACGTACTGTGGAAGCCATTGGCATTCCGTGGGCCACGAGACCCGAGTTTCGGGGATCATGGGGCACTGAGACGTATGAAGGGCTCCAGGAAGGAGTAATAGGGGAGGGAGCACGCATTGAAGGCTGAGATGTGGCGGAGACTGCGGAATATTGGACAGAGTTGTTGCGAGAGGGGACGGTGTTGTAGGGTGTCACAAATCCATTCATGGCAGGAAGAGGCTGCAAGTATGGAGAGTACGATGCAGAACGGTTATCTCTGAACGTGTAGTTTTCCTGTGGCTCGATCTTGGGCATTATGGGTCCAGTGGGACGCTTGCTTGGAGCAGGAACACCAGTGTCGGAGTAGGAAGAAAGCTTTCTCTTGCGGTCTCCTGACGAGGAAGAAGCAGGCTGAGGCACCTGCTCATAAGTGTAGACACCAACCTGTAGATTGGTAGGGGGGCAGTCACCCTGGCCCTCCATAACAACCTGTATGGGAGTGGCAAAGGATGGCGAGCCAGTCAAGATGAAATCAGGGGCATCAGCTGCAAGAGCATACTGGAAGCTTGAGCCCTGGAAACCCAAGAAAGTGGGAAGGCATTCGCACTTTTTGGAACCAAATACCACGAACAAGGCCCCATAAGTGGAGGTGTGGAGGTCAAAGGGTGACTGAATTTGCACCACTACCCGAGTGCCCTCACTTCCATGCTGAGGACTATAGGTGACAATCTCAGGCAATTGCCGAGTACGAGTACTAAGCAAAGGTGATTGCGCTTCTTCGTATGAGCCGCCATACTGGCTACTGGGAATGTAGGGAACACAGTCTGAGATTTGGCTGGCCTGGTCGGCCATAGGTGATGGGACTATCGAGGTGGTCACATATGGGGATTGACCGTAGGTGGAGTAAGAACCAGCATCATGCAAAGACCGTGTAGAACCGTAATCTGGAGACTGGGTGTCAGTATAAGAGCTATAGTGACCAAAGTGGAAGAAACTTACCTAGTACAGAGCCGACGGGCTTCTGGAAACCAGACATGGGTAGAAAGGGCTCAGACTTGGCCCACAGGCCGTCTGAAAAACCGACGAATTGTGTTTCTTCAGAATCCGAGAATTCCAATGACTCGCCTAATATTAAAGGCGTTTGGAAATCCGGGTCAAACTGGAAGAATGAAACAAGTCAGCTCAGTGTTCGCAGAGACAAGACAACAGTGACATCAAACCCCAAAGTTTAGACCAAAATTGGACCAAAATTGGAAAATTATGCCGATATCCAGCGAAACAGGACAAGGAAGCTGGGGAGGATTTTTGATCTTACCAAAACACCGTGTGTCTTCGAGTAAGCCAGCTTGAAGGTGTTGCAGCAACTGCAACAAGACAGAACCGGTTGGAGAAGCGGAATACTGAGAATTTATCCTTCAAACGATTTGAACGTGGTAAAGTGCACACGAGACAGGGGCACACTCCGAGACAGAAAGGGCGACGAAATGAAGCTCGCGGTCAGTCTCACAATAGGATCGGTAACAAAATATCTCGAATCACCATTCAACAACTTCAGGACTGGGACTGAAACGAGCAATGGCCAGCTGCAGAAGGAGGACTCAGATGGATGCCCAAAGGATCATAAAGACCAGTGAGGATTGCGTTGGATAAAATTGTCGGAAGGCGAATAAGACGACGAGCCACCGCTAGTTGTGGTGGAGGGGAAGACACGGGCACAAAGCACTGACACTGGCAATGTTTCGCTTTCCTTTCTTTTCCCTTTCCAAGAGGTCTCGGGAAAGAATCCAATAGAATGAGGTAGTAAGAAGCGAACTACTCTAGCAATTAGTACGAATTTCTTTAATTGAAGAGAGCGGAATGGTGCATAGAAAGAGAGTGGAAGAAACTGACCCAAGTGAATCAAGTAAAGTCGAAGTGGTTCTAATATGCAAAAGGAACTAGTAACTGTAAAAAGATGGTCAACAACAACAACAAACAGTGATTTCCGCGAGGGGATCATTATGGAACGGGGAAAACGACCCGGCCAGACCAATGTCGATGCTCGTCATTTCTCGGATATTGAGGTGGGAAATTAGGGCAAGGCTGCAAGGAGATGGGGCAGGAAGTCCCAAATAGGAAATAATGCAAGGCACGAGGGGGAGGGTGAGACCGTGGGCGAAGGGGCTTAGTATGATTTCACTAACCTTAAGCTGATAACCCTTTGAGACCTTGCCAAACAGATCATTCAATAGTCCGAAGATTGAAGATCGTACCGGTGCTTTCAGCCGAGACAATTGGATATAGAATCCAATAGAGTTGATGAATGGAATATGGTCGATTCCAATGATGTAGTCCTTAATAGCTTCCCAGATCAAGATAGATGATGTCGTCTATCTCTTTTTCTTTTTATTTGAAGTTGAAGTCGTAAGGTGAAGCAAACGGTACTTCGTTTTCTTTTCGTTCTACTTGCAAGTCGTAGGTGCAAACGGCCGGCGATTGTCAACAATCTCCGAATCCTTTTCTTTTCCTTTTTTCCCCTTTTCGCTTTCGCTTTTCGCTTTTTTTCTCTTGAATCTCCTTGATAGAGAAGATCCAAAATGTTGATGATCAAAAAGATCAAGGGTCGATTCACCTGGCGTAAGGTGGATTAATTAGATATTAAGAATATTCGGAATATAACCAGTTTCCTTAGATCGTTATCCATTCATCCAAAAGGATTATCTAGTTAGTTTTTTTCTTTCCAGGTAGCGAACGTGGTTCTCGTAGCAGCAGAAAGCGAGCGTAAGAGCGAACGTGGAGGTGAGCGAATGTGGACCTCAAAGTATCATAATCAGATAATAAAAAGAGGAAGGGGGGAGGAGATTTGAGGAGAGAGAGATGCAAGGATGAGGAAGGGTTAAAAGCAAAAAGATCATATACGAGGTTGTGCTTATTATTAGCAGTCAGAACAGGTCAGAGTGCAATCTCTCCGGCCTAATACTGTAGCCCACGAGCCAGTGGAGTCTCTACTTTTCTCCCCTCTCTCTTTCCCTTCTCTATTTTTCCCCCCCCCCCACCACGCTTTTCCTTTTTGGATTATTAAATAATTCTTAAATAAATATTATTTTTGGGGACAGAAAAAGGATTTTCAATTTCAATTTCAATCTGGGTTGACTAGCGGGAAATCGTGGCGGGGATGCACAGAGCAACCGATGTCGAAGAACTGAAGTATTTAACGTATTAAATACAACAACTCATACACACCGGAGCATTTCTTTGGTAGTACGGTATTTTTGGTTATTTCGGTCATCTTGATGTACTTCATACATTCCCATTACTTCCGAGCCACTTCTCTCTCTTCCGAAGAGTCCGAGTTTTATTTCTTTTTCAATCATTTACTAGGCATATTGGACTTGTATCTCTAGTGTAGAGATTTCACAGATTTTACATCTGTACTCGGGTCATCACCAATCTGGTTTACGCCGGGAAAAGTGGAACCAACAAGGCTGGGAGCGCGGCATGTAGTGGAAAGGTAAAGAGAAAGAAAGAAAAAAGAGGGGGAAAAAAACATAGAGCAATAGCCACGGGTTCCCAGGGAATAATAACATATTGGGTTGTAAGGAGAAAAAAAAGACCTTACACAAGATGCAGCCTCTGATTTCACCAACCACCCCAGGGGTTTAGGCAGTAGACAGTATGGAGTACGAAGCAATACTTCATTGTAAGGTTGTAGCAAGAGTATCGAAATACTTTTTTCCATTGATTTTCTTCGATTTCTATTGTTTCTATTTCGAAGTCTACTCTCTATCTTCGATTCCCTTTTTCTAACACTACTCCATACTCCATACTCAGATATAATTAACTTAACTGAATGAAATGACCACCCCCACCTCCATATGCCTCCCCTTGCTGTCTCCAAACAAGTGGAGGGCATAATAAGGCCTGAATTCAACCAAACGGGACCCTTGCCAAGTCCATATACTCCACACTTGATCCTATGGTACCAAGTCAAGATTTCTAATTGATACTTCACACGCAAAAGTACGCCGTTTTTCTCCTCGTGCACTCCAGTTTGTCGGGAGAATCGGGAAGGCAATGCACAAAAAGCAACGGTGCAGGATCCAGGTCATATCTCCTATCTCCTATCACCTATCACCTATCACATTTTAACTTACCTGCACCTGTATTGTATTTCCTTATTAGAAACAATGCATGTACCTTGTCATGGAGAGAGCATCTGATCTGAATGTTGAAATCGGGGAATTATCCCGTGTGAAGGTTAGGGGTAACTCTTCCCATACAACTCACAACACAACAATGAGGGCAGCTCCGGGATCTAAATATAGACTCGTACACATGACCATGGCCTGACGATCAAATTTGGGTTCTGATTGGTTGGAAGTATACCAATCGAGCACCACCGGAATAGTTAGTAATCAGTAATCCCTAAGGGTATGATCGTATCATCGTCACTCTGCACGACCATTGTGATACAGGTCTAATTCGAGGTATCTATAGACGATCAAGAGTACGATCTGAGATGTACAGAGTACGTACTCTACCCAGGTAGTATTACTACAGTATTGCTACTAGGAAATCCCATGGAGGCTAGTTACTGAGGTTTAATAGTTACCTAATATTCAACTCCATACCGTGTAACTAACTAATAGATCCAGTGCAAGGGCAATAAATAAGATGGGACTTACCAAGAGGCTGGAAAATCACTGATCGCCGATCATCGGATTAATATTCTTCCAAAACAGACTTTAACGCGAACCAACCTTAACATTACGATTATTTATTTACATCTATATTTACTTAATATTTAGATCACATATTACTATCATATCCTGTCATCTTGAATATTGAATGTTGAGATAATAAATGCTTACGAGATAATACATAGGTTCCATTGATGCTCAATCAATCACTCTCCATTCCAGGTTGCCACGTTAAAACCCTGTAGTGGATACCTGTGGACACAATGCATGTCAGAGTGGATGTAAATAAAATTCTGATCCTGAAGCGGTAGCTCAAGATAAATCGGTATTGTACAGAGAACAGAGTTGGAGTGGTCCGTACAGGCTTGGTTATCAACAGGCACTGTAGTTAAATCAAATATCAAATGTTAAATTCAGAGTTTCTCATCCTTACTCAACCTAAATTTCAACCGGACTATCTTCGGCTTCTTCGTCCACTTTTCAAATGCTTGGGTATCACTGACTAGTTACCCAAGTATACCTAATTATATAATTTATGAATAATTTTATGCATGAACATCGCCACCTGTACCGGTTGCTACGGAATAGAGAATAGTGCAACCCACCTGGACACCGATTCAGGGTCTCGAATATATCAAATACATACTATGTACATTATACCCTAAATGCGGTGTACAATTTCCATTTTGTAAAATTCTTTTTTAGGAAAGTGTAGCCATTGTATTCGAATTAAACACTTCGCTAGCGCTCCTCCTCAACCTACAAATGATTACGAAGGGTTATTGTAAAGCTCAACCGCCCACCCCACTTCCAAGGCTCCAAAAGCTTCATAAGGTCAAATCGAAAAAGAATGCTGCAAAGTCTAATAGATGAAAATACCTGTGCTCATCATGAGATCTTTACACCGCAATCAACATCACTACGAGCTTCTAACACGTGAAAAAACCGTAGTCGGACAAGAAACGGTACCCTTTGCCGCGTTATCACCCGGATCCAAGAAGACCAAAAATTTCGTACCTCTAGCTTTCCCGTCTCGTGCCGACTGCAGACTGATCTGACCTCAGACCTCGTTTGTCCGATGTCCGACCATGTGGTTATGAGTAGTGGACCCGGTAGTTCATCTTAGCGCAGCCACAGTACCTAACAAGTTTGTTTGGATCTTGAAATTTCGGGTTCGTTTGCTACATTCGGAGCATCATCGGTAGAATAAAGGGTTCAGGGATTGATGAAATCGTGTCAGGTATTTTGGGGTACGGAGTTGGAGTTCCTTTCAGGTTAAAGGGTAACAGATAAAGATCTTACTTGTTCTACTTAATGGTGAACGGAGAACGGAGGTTAATATTTTCCCTTCTTTGGGTTCCCCATCGGGACCGGGCCGAAAGTGACCACTCACGATTCCTGCTTTTTGAATTCTCGCTTGATTGTAAGCGCTAACACTTTAACCTTCCGCCACCTCGTCTACTATTCCAAATTTGTATATTCCTGTTTATTAGAGGTCAACGGCTCATCAGATCACGGCCCATCTTACCACCTTACTGGCCCATCTTTCAAGGCTCATTCGGCCGCCTTCCGACATCTATACTACCTCTATATAAATAATGCACCTTGCACCTACTCCTTACAAACTGTTTTTCAAAAGGCGGTCAAGCTATCTTAGTACCAGTACTTAGTACATCGTAACAACTACCCTAATAGGATTCAAAACTCAAGATACGAGTATTCAATCGCGCCACCAACATTCCAAGTTAACTAAGAGGCATATATACACGGGAAAAAACGGTTCGAACTGCATAATAATAAATCCAAAATCCGCCGATCGACAATATCTCCATCACCCTGTAACTTTCAACTTCTTCCCCTGCCTTGAAGCCTGAATCCCCTCAGGGCGCTGCATGATCCCGCCTCAAGCCGTTCCCAAAACTCTAGTGAGCGGTCAAGCGGCCTAGTGTTTCAGTGCTGCTTAGATCATAGGAGGGGTTTCACCACGACTTTGCTTTATGCAGAGTAAGGCCACTATAGACTTCTGTCACCCGCGTCGATACCGCTACGCAGTGCTGAGAGTCCCCAGCCAGATTTCACCCGTTTGTCTGATCACTAAAGATGGGGTTGATGAAGATTTCTGCTTTAGCCTAGAGCGGGAGAGCCTGACTTAACCTCTCAGCCCTTCTATTTCTGACACCTTACTTCTGAAGGTATCTTCATCCTGGCCTTCCTTGTTGGGATCATGCATGTTGCTGATCATGGCTCGTGAAACTGATCTAACTTTTACTGCTACTACATTGGAGTTGGTCAAAGCAAACCGGCCCGGGCCTACTCCATAACACCAACCTCTGCTCAAGTGCTCTAGACCTAGGTAAGTGATATTTGCTTTCTCTTAACACAAGGAACTCATAGGTAGAACCCGGCTGTCTACACTGAAAAGTACCTAGGTACGTATAAATACTTAACTAAGTAGATATGAATAGATTGAGTCTATGTACGTCCATAAATATATCTTTTCAAGTCCTGGTAGTATATCGAGGTTGCATAGATCTGTTCAATGCAGAGACAAACCTTGGAAGATGCCGTCTGCATGCAAGCCTCTCGACAAAACAATACCTAATTGGCCAACCCTCAAGTCTCCACGTGCAACTTATCCAGTTCCACCAACACAACCTTGGTCAGGACAATATACCGCCTGAGCAGCGTCACCTCACTCTCGAGCCTTGAATTCAGCCCAATTATTACTAAATGTAAATGGAAACAGCGTAAAGCAAATTACTGAAATAATTTTTCAAGAAATCTGGCCCTGCTATTGACCTGGACAGACCGAGATCAGGTTCAAATCGTGAAACCTCCGCTGAAGAGCGACCGTTTCAGGTTTAGATAGCTGGTTAAAACCCCTTAAGTCCTACCATTAGTGAACTGTAATTCATATTTAGATGTCTATATTGTAGACAAATCTACGTGGTTAGGTGAACGGGACCTAGGTACATCCCATAGATATGTAGTTGTTTTGGTTCCAAGGTTGTATAGTACTATGTATTTTATGGATTACATCCCGGAAATATTGATCTGTAAAAAACCCTTCACTACTCCGCCTTGGAGAGCTGTGGAGCACACGCCAATTGATCATCAGTGTGGAGAGAGAATTTACAAATCACGACCTCTTATTTTCCTTCTCAATCAGTTCTTTCTAATTTTTTTTTTTTTTTTCGTTTTTCACTCGGGTCCGAAAGGGTCGGGACGGGTTGACGGAGCGTGGTAAACTTATTCCAACATACTAAGTACTCTCCTTGATCGGGTTTAGCATAACCACGGCCCGAATGCTCTTCCTTTTTCTTGCCAAGTCTGTCGTAGGCAACGCGGGAGTTCAATGTCACTGTGCGCGCAAGCTCCAAAACTCCCGAAACTGCGCTGGTGGATCATCCCATCAGTTTGGTTCCGAAGTCATAAATAAACCCGCCAAGATAATAAGATAATCAATAACTGTGGCACTGTTCACAAGGCAGTCGAACCCTCTACCAAGGGAAGCTGAATCCCCTTCCCGTACTAGTAAGTCCGAATCTCGGCGCTGCCTATACTAAACGCCGACATGCTGACATCGTCTGAAAAGGCCCTAAACCTCTTTATAATCCATCAGACCCGCAATACCAAGCCAGAAAGAGAAGAGCACAAAAAATGGAGTTCAAAGGAAGACACTAAGAATAACTAAAGAACCCCCCTAAAATTTGGGATGAAAGGCAACAATGATACAGTGAGCCTAGGTATCTTGGCATCCATATTTTTTTGTTTAAACAAGTACGCTAAGGGCTTACTACTCGCTAGCCTCCAAGGTTATTGAATAGGGGTTAAAATAGGTACTTAGTAATACTCCCATATGCTTACTTGAGTCAAAAGAAGACATCATGAGTATCGGAACTCAACCGAACAGGGAACGAATCGGGGACCCTGAATCGGACCCATGAGGATGTTCTTTATTGGACGACCATTATACCACGCTAGTTCGTCAGCGGAGGTCCGGCTTTCAGAATCAGCACTGTATGAACGAGGAATTCACTTTGTTTCACTCACTTTGTCACGGCCAGGGGAGAATTGTAGTTACTGAGTACCTAGATAGTAACTCTAGAGTCCGTACTTTGGTACTCGTACAGCTATACTATTCTTAGTAGTTATGAAACTCGAACCCGGGTTGGGATTGTGGATGCTTCCAAACTTGAGGAAATGGATGATGCTATCATTAGGGGTGTTCTAGGCAGAAGCAGAGAAACAGAACTATACTATACTTGTAGAATGAGCGACATTGATGAAGTCGCTCTGGTCATCAATTGTCTTTAGCGTACCAGCGACCTGCCTATTTTAACTGGATCCGCTTGGTCCTAAACAATATGCATTGTACCGTGCAGTTGTGGCGTAGCTGAATGCCTGAAATGATCTACAGAGAGTCCCTTGAAAAAATAAGTTGGCATCAAGACCGTTGAGCCTGTTGACTTGTGGGGAATTGCTTATTTTTCAGGATTCTTCTTTGGGCTAGACAATAACGGCTTGTAATGGCTTGTCTATTTGTACTTCTGCTAAATGAGTAAGTACTAATGTGAGCTACCAAAATGCAAGGATGTTTCTTCTGCTGCAGCACGCGACCGTACTACGTAGTATCAGACCATCTCCATATCAAATGAATGTTGCGCTTGACCTGTCATTCAGCAGTAATGATATCTATCTACTTTGTACATGTAAAATCAATCCAATGACTGTAGCCCATTAAGTCCTCCTTACCAGAATGAGCGATCCTCCCGCCGAAAAAGAACCGAAAAAAACTCGCTTGCTAACCACATCTATCAACACAAACTAGAAGATGCAGGCACTCTTTTCGACCGTCCGACCATAGCAAACTGGGTACAGCTTGGCCCAAAACTCATATTTCTCAGGCTTGTTCTCCCTCTCTTCAACCAACCACTTTGCAAAAGCAACTTCGGTCTGAAATGGGTTTGGGCTTCGATACGGAGCGACCTATTCCATGTCAGTCAGTACAAAAGCTCACACAAATCCTTGACAGAATCCTTACCTCGGAGTATCGTTGCAACGCCTCGTGATACATCATCGAAAGACCAAGTCGGTATATGGTGTTTGGCCAAATCTGCTTTGCAGCATCGGTGTAGACACGCGAAATCTTCTCCCGATCAGCGGTATTGGCCTCGCTGATGGACATGGGCATCACACGGCGCTGTGTACCATGGGCGACTTCAATCAGTCGGGTCAGGATGTCGGCTTCCCAGTTCTCGAAGAGAGGATGGTTGAAGTCCTTGATATGCCGTTGCAGTAACCATATTTCGCGCCTCAGACGTGCTGTGTTGGTTTGCAGCTTTGCGACACGGTGGCGAAGGTCCTCATTTGTGGATTCGAGTGCTTGGAAAAGGGGATCGTGATCTTCATCGAGATATGTCTCTGCCGAGAACTTGGACTCTTGCCATGTCAGGGGTCTTGGGCTATTACCTCGGAAGTCGCTCAGAGGAGGCAAGTTGCCAGAGGCGGTGCGTCCGGAGAATAAGTTACTGAGGCCCATTGCGGAGAGAGTGTGGTTGCAATAAATGGAAGGTAACGATTGGTACTCTTTAATGAATGGATGTGATTGTTATTAACTTGTAAGTGATGGTGGGTAAGAAATGTGGCGGTTGAGATGGGACTGAAGAGGGAAAGACTACATGATTCCTGATTCTTGTTCTTGAGGACTCATAACATCCCAGCAAAAAACATGGAAGGTGCAGCTGAGTAGTCGCCGGCGGCAACTACCATGAGTATAACATCAAGTACCACGCATGGAGATCAACCGTTTGCACTACTTGAGTATTGATGGGTATTTGACTGAATACCATCAGATGAATCATAGGACCTCTGCCTTTCTATATATGCAGTCTTTATCCAGCTTGACGCTGTATGACCGCCTCGGCTTCGAACGCATGATGTCGTCTATGAGGCCATCGAGTCAATCACCGCACCGATGTTTACACTGTATCCCATAGCCCTATACCTGCATCTTTCCCCCACTTTCCTTCCTTTTCCTTTATTTCTTCTTCATGATTAGTGTAAATGCTTTGATATTGTCTAATTAGGCACTATATCCCTGTTATCATTCTCCGTGTTTATATATCAGTGAAGAGGTTTCTGAGATTACATAGACTATAGCGTTGAATACTATCACCACGCGACCTCTGCCTTCGTGTGGGTAAGCAAATCTTTACAATAAAATTGTGGTTTTATCACTCTCATACTTATTTTTATTGCTTGATAGCTCTTGTCTGCAGGCAAAATAAAGACAGAACTTTTGGTCCGTAACATGAGCCTGGCCAGTTAGAAGCAGCTATCCGACCGAATCGAGGTTCATCAGTCCTGGGGTAAACAACCTTCAAGAGAATAATCTTCTTGCTTCTTGTAAATTTTGACATATCCCCAGCATTCAACTTCACTTAACAGCTTTGTTAAGTTGACTGTTCATGTCATACTTCCTCGGTTATCGATAAGGTAACTCCATATAAACAACGCAAGTTGCCTTTAAACAGAGCTTTTCTTCCTCGAACAAAACTCATCAAACAGACTTCTCAAATCCCTTGAATAATGTCCAAAGCAGTGTACATCTCACCTATTGACGGCAAGCCGGGCAAACCAGGCCAAGTCTACTACCCACTTACTGTACGGACCCTACCCAAACCAACCCCGCAAAACAGCGAGCTACTGGTAAAGCTGAGCGCCGCATCTCTCAACCACCGCGACCTCTTCCTCCGCCAGCACCTATACCCAGGTGTAACATTTGACGTACCTCTATTAGCCGATGGAGTTGGCGTGGTCACCGGTGCTGGTCCTAATGTGTCAGATGCGAACAAATGGCAAGGCAAGCGAGTTGTCTTGAACCCGGGCGTGGGCTGGAAAGACTCGCCCGATGGTCCGGAAGAGGCAGGTGGCTACCGTATCATGGGTGGTACGAAGGCCTATGATAAGGGTACCCTGCAAGAATACATTACTATCGATGAATCGGAGGTTGAAGAAGCGCCGGATCATCTCTCAGATGCAGAGGCTGCTGCTCTGCCTCTTACCGGGTTGACTGGATGGCGTGCTCTGGTTTCTAAAGCTGGTGATAGGAATTCTAAGGATGATGCTGCCGTCCTGATTACTGGCATTGGGGGTGGCGTGGCGCTGATGGTGTTACGTTTTGCGGTGGCCCGAGGAGCCAATGTCTTTGTTACGAGTTCTAGCCAGGAGAAAATAGATAAGGCTGTCAAGCTTGGTGCGGTTGGTGGAGTAAGTTATCGTGAAGCAGGCTGGGAGAAGAAGCTGCTGGGTATGCTTCCGTCTAGCAAGAAAAACTTTGATACTATCATCGATGGTGCTGGTGGTGATTCTATCGAGAAGGCCGCGAAGTTGCTCAAAGTAAGTATTGTCAAAGAACAATCGATATCTGCATTTTTATAAGGTCGAAATACTCACTGTAATAGGCTGGTGGTGTTATCTCTATCTACGGCATGACAGTCTCCCCCAAGATGCCCTTCTTGATGCAGGCTGTTCTCAAGAATATCGACGTTCGTGGCTCGACTATGGGTTCACGGAAGGAATTCAAGGAGATGGTGGAGTTTGTTAAGACTAAAAGGATTTATCCTGTTGTATCACGAGTGCTGCAGACTGAGATTGATGACTTGGTTTCTATCGATGGACTGTTTGAGGATATGAAGCAGGGGAGCCAGTTTGGAAAGCTGGTAATTGACTTTGGAAGCTCATCGACCAGCAAGCTCTAGATTGGTCGGATAAAAAACCAAGAACTCAAGTGCTCAAGCTATTCTCTCCAGATTTCCAAAATGATTTTCAATTTTGAATATCTTCGCGGGCCAATTGAAAGCTACAAATTGACTATGTTACGTTGAATCAGAAATATCTAACGGATTATACTTTTTTTCCTATTTTAATAAAACGGAATCTGAGAGAAAGCAAGAAAACAATCATCGCATGTCGACAGCAGTTAGTCTCGCGCAAGGTTTAGACTTGCCATACTCCATCACTCTGTTAAAAACTCCACTCCAACAGGAACAACGGGAATCGCCAAAAATAGACGGCCACATCGACATTCATCTCGATCGTTCTGGGGAGTAGGCTCAACCGAGAATTCAGAACGAGTATCTTCTGAAGCATTCGTAGTGAAGAGCGTATCGTGGCAGTTATCTGAGTGACAGCAATGGTGACCGTGACTCGTCTCAGGCGAAGGAGGAGGCCCGCATGACTTGGAGGTACACTTTACCTCAGGAGTCTTATTGCTAGCGGACTCAGCCTGCTGATAGTTCCTCACCGAGCCTGAATGGTGGCAGTCATGAAAATGGTCGCTAGAAGCTGCCACTGTATGACCCTGAGAAGAGAATTCATGATGACAATGTCCCGGAGATTGTCCCATTGCTGGAGTAGACCTAAGGTGAGAGTGGCCTGGGGTAGAAGGAGTAGAAACTCCAGAGCCAGATTCACACGGAAATCCCCTGACCTGCGAGAAGGTCTCCAGCTCTTGTTTAGCAAGCGGGCAACAGCTACAGCACTTCCGGCCTGAGCTGGAACTCGTGGCTTCACTGCTGTTGGGGGTTGGAGGCCGGGTCTTCTCGTTATGCATCCCGCAACGAAAACGAGAGTGAGATGGCTTCTCGGCTGGTGAAGCCCCCCGTAAAACACGCGAAGATCGTGCATTTTCTGCAAAGGTATCGCTGACTAAAACAGGGCGGATTCGCTCCCCTCGGTAGTAGCCTTTGTAAATAGGCTTACCAAACCAGAACCAAGAGTAAGGAATATCATTTCTGGTGTGGCGCATCTTGCGAGAGGAACAAAGTATCTCACAGACTTCGTCTTATGAGATAGTGGTGAGAAAGGCGAAGATTAAGAGAGATGGGCTGTTTTCCTAAGCAAAGGAGAAGGTTATATAAACTGTCTTGTCCACAGCAAAGAAGAAAAATGGAATGAACCAATAGAGATTTATATGTCTAGAATACATTTCAAAGAGTGCTGCAGATTGGTCTGCAGAAAGCCTTTGATATTTTCCCTTTCAAGACAGTTTGATATCAAGCAGAACTCTAGACAACGAAGTTTCATTATGATTTCCTCAGAAACATAGCCAAGCTTCAAGCTTGAATAATTGGAAGACAAGAAATAAGATTAAAGAATCCAATTTAAAATCTGACCAGGTGGCCCAGATATTGGCCTGAATCCAGATAGAAGACATATCTGGACATATGTTGTAGTATCCAAGATTGTGGGCCGGATGAAGGGATGAAGGAACCAAGTCAGTATACAAAGGCTCAAAGGAAGAGTTCAGGCCCTTTGATAAGTTCATATAGTAGAGGATGACTATATGAAGTAGTCCATAGTGGAAGTTTGTAGCACAAGGGCAGCAGCATGAAGAGAAGCATGAAATAGGACGTATCAGATATCTCACTCAAGAACCGTTTGAAAGCAGCTAGAATATCCAATGGTAGGCTGGACGTGGTATTAGCAACAAGACACGTCTATCTAGCTACTACCACTACTTTGATTGCTTATCACATAACAATTTAAGACCTTAAATATGGCAGAAGTAAGTAAAGACAGACCAAATCAAATCAAGAATGAGATTGTTTTATCGAGTTTCTAGAAAAGCCGCTGTGTTTCTGGAAACGGAGTGGGGAAGGTACACGGTACTTGACTTACTGAAGACGGCAATGTGTGTATGATAGTACCAAATACCTCTGCAAGATGTGGCTTGCAATATGAGCAATGTTGGTAATTACAATACAGACCGTGGTATCTAACCGGGTTAATAGTGTACAAACACCTCAAATCTTTTGTTATCAATACACTGTAATTTTGCATTCGTATTGCCACGAACTACCGCTAAATCAATTTTGCTCCGGAAACTCAAGCGAGACCGAAACTCGATCTTTTCTTGACCTTGACCTTAGACCTTGAACCATTAGGCGCTCGCACTCCTGACCCTTCAGTTTCTTTGAATTGACCAGCTTCCGCTGTCATCAACTATTCACCTCCTCACCGCTTTTCAAATCCTTGTTTTGCGTCAATCCCCTTCGCATTCACACTACTCTATTCAACGTCTTCGCGATAACCTTGTTCTAGAACCTTTTACTCTTTTTTTAGAGATTTTTGATTCAGAGCAGCCTTTTCACAATGCCTACACCACTTCCTTCGAGTTTCGCTTCGGCCGCCGCTGGCAACACCCAGGACCCCAGTCGGAGAGGGGATGTCAGTTCTGGTGGAGAATGGTATGTAACCTCAAGTCCCAACCTCTACCAACGATCATATCTGGCCTGGATCACTTCTCAGACACTTTCCGAGCTGTCTCGTCGGTTGTTTGACACTCAATTTCCCCCCACTTCAAGTCATCGGATGCTAATTGTCTTGGGTAATTGATAGGTCTAGAACCCGCATCAACGGAGCCACTCAGACCTTCCGCCGCCCGTCTGTTGCTACCAACCCTTCTCATACTAGAGAGAGTAGTAGTCACGCTGCATCTGCCTCGGTCTCGACACCCACTTCGGGAGCGTACATCCCTCCCCACATGAGCTCAAATCCTTTGTCTAGTGCGCTGCGGAACGGGAACATGGATGCCCGATACTCCAAGGACCAACTTCTAGACTTGTACAAGCTACAGAGGGAGAACCTGAGCAAGAACGTGGAGGATTATTTTGTTGCTGACTGGGACCCTCATATGGTCACTAACCCTGCAAATGGAGCTTGGGGGAAGCGAGATGACCACAAGACCTCCGCGGGGCCTGAAGTTTGCTGGGATCATGATGGCCAGGCGGAACCGCTAGGGTTAAGTGATATGACAGATAGTGAGAAGGAGTTTTTCACCGCATCCGTCAACTCCCCCCTCAAGCCACCGCCAACGAACGCCTCGAAAGAGAATACCGGTGTCACTCCTGGAGGTCGCAAAGGTTCTATCTCTTATCCGCAGGGACATATTAATAACTACAACACCTCTTCCCCCACCCCCAACCGCCCAGGACCTCGACGTCGAGAGACAGGCGACTCGATGGCTAACCCCATGTCTCCTACTGGAACTGGCTCCCGCTTTTTCCACGATGCGAATACCTCCACTCCTCCCCCGGCTCTTTTGCGTCGCAAGACCGATTTCAAGGATCAAGGCATAAAATCAGACGAGAAATCCAAGGAAAACGGCGATCCTGCTTCTCCTTTCGGTTCTCTTAAGCGCAGCACCACGAATCCTTTGAACACGGCTGTCGGTGGTGGGCAAAATTCACCTTGGGGATCTGCTTCGCATAATGCAAACTTCTCCCCCATGGGTGCTTTTGGTGCCTTTTCCCTTGCTTCAGGCACGGGCTCGGGCTCGGGCACGGGTGCAGGCAGCACGGTGCAGACACCCACAGCAGAGAAGAAAAGCTATGGAAATCTCCGCGGCGAAAGCAGGTTCAAGGGCCTACTTTCTAAGGATAGCTCGGAGGATATTGGGGGCTTTTCGAAGGTGGCTGCGGGCAACCTCGAGCGACTCACTGAAGATGAAAGTGGCAAGCGCGCCCAGTCACCATGGGAAGATGCGGTCAAGACACGTGTGGTGCGGAGTGAAACTAATCCATTCGACGAACCTCGTAGCGGGAGTGCTGCTCTTGGAGGATCTCAAGACGTGGAAGCACCGCCTCAGGCTGATCTGAACTTTGGCACGTTCGGGATGACCTCGAGCATCCCTGGTTTCCGAGAGTTGATGCAGAGTCAAGAGACTTCTCGCAATCCTACTCCGAGCTTGCTGCATGGCCACGAACCTACTAGCCCGACCAATACCAACCCTTACCAAAGCCCGCACGGTGGTGATCGCGCAGATGCGGATGATGTGGACACCGATGGATCTGACGTTCAGCACCCTCAGCACGCTGGCCTCAGTGGACTGCGCGATCCTATCAATCCATTTGGATCAGTAAGACGGGTTGCTACTGGAATGGATGTTCCTACGGTCGACCGCAGCCAGAATTCCAGTGTTAATGCCAATCGCGGTTTCAGTGGCATTGGTGGTCTTGGTGGACTTCCCTCTCTTGGAGGACCTTCTACCTGGTCTACTAGCGGTGCGATTGGCACCCCCACTCGTGAACGTTCGGCCTTTGCTGGCGGGTTCGGTGATCCTATATTTGGTGCTATGAGCGATCTCCAGTCTCCAAGTCTGTCAACATTAGGAGCTGGTGGTCTCTTTAGCCCCCATGGTGGTCTTTCTGGTACTACCAGTATTGGTCGATCCAGCAAGCTGGGAGCTCTCTTCTCTAGCATGCAAGAGGAAGATCTCATTGGCTTGGAAACGGATCTCCAGCAAGTAGACCAGCAAACTGGATCCCTCTCTGCATCGGAAACACCCTTGTCAGCTGGCCAAGACGCCATCCCGCCGAGTCATACTCCCGGTGGCTCTGTGCCTTCCGCTCAACAGCGAACCATGGTCATGCCAGATCGTATGCGCTGGATCTACCGTGACCCACAAGGAAACGTCCAGGGTCCGTGGACTGGGCTTGAAATGCATGATTGGTTCAAGGCTGGTTTCTTCAGCCCTGACCTACAAATCAAGAAGCTTGAGGATATTGAATTTGAACCACTCGCGCAGTTGGTGCGTCGCATTGGGAACTCACGGGAACCCTTCCTTGTCCCTCAGATCGGGATTCCCCATGGTCCAGAACCAGCACCTGGTCAGTGGACCAGCGCTGCCACTGGATCTGCCCAGCCTCCATTCCCTGGCAGCTTCCCAAGCTTCGGTACCACTTTGACTGCCGAGCAGCAGAATGCACTAGAGCGACGGAAGCAGGAGGAGCAATATCTCATGGCCCGCCAGAAGGAGCACTTGGCTCAGCAGCAAGCTATCATGAAGCAGATGCAGGTCCCTGGGGCCCCTTCCACGATGCAGCCTCAACTTCAGCATCAGTCTAGTGCTCAGAGCCTTCACAGCCAGCCCTCATTCAGCAGCATTACCTCCCCTAGTGGCTACCAACCCTCTCCAATCCAGGCTCCGATGCAACAGCAATCCCACGGCGTTCCTGGTTTCTTTGATGCCGCCGGTCCCATCCGACAAGGTGGACTGTCCAACGTTGGCCCCGGAATGCTAGGGATTGATATCGGCGGTGGACCCGATCAGCTTCCCGCCCTACTAGATCGTCTGAATGTCGGTCGACAGGATCCCTTCGCATTTGGCGGATCCCCGTTCAGTGGTCGCCAGCCTGATAGCTTCCTCCACTCCCAGCAGGTTATCTCGATGCTTCAGGATCGTGCTCAGCTTGAACAGGAGCAGGAGGAGTTTGATAGAAGCAACGCTAATAATGATCCGTTTGACCAGGAAGCTCGCGAGGAACGACTCCGCCAGTTCCATTCCCTGCGAACCCAGGAGGGTGATTTGAATGTGCGAACTGTTGATGGCCTTCCTAGTCATCCTGCTTCACAGCCATTTGATGCTGAATCCCTCGCCGAGACTGAAGTGGTGAATGAGCCTGAGCCCACTGATGTGGAGCCTGCGCTGACACTCTCGCAGCAAGTTCAGAAAGCTGCCTCTGCTCAGCGCCAGCAGCAAGAGCAAGAGCATGAATCCGTGTGGGGAGTCAAGGACAGTGCCATGCCCCATCCCTTCCCACCACCTCCATCTGCGTCACCACTTCCCGCACCCGCTGCTCAGCGTAATCGCCAGCATGTGGCTGATGCTTTGGCCGCTGGATCTCGATCCCAGACCCAGACTCCGATTGATGCTCCGGCTACCTCAGTTGCCCCATGGGCAAAGGATACTGTTGAGGTGCCCAAGGGTCCCTCCCTGAAGGAGATCCAGGAAGCTGAAGCTCGTACTGCCGCGCAGCGTGAAGAAATTGCAGCCGCCGCTCGCCGCGCCCAACTTCTTGCTGAGCATGAGCGCCTTAGCCAGGCTCAGGCCCAGATTGTTCCCGGCCTTCCCTCCTCGGCCAACTGGGCTAGTTCTGGATCACCCGCATCTGCTACCCCAACCGGTTCGGCATGGAGTATTAAGCAGCAACCGACACCCACCAATGCCGGTACCAAGAAGACTCTTGCTCAGATTCAGAAGGAAGAAGAGGCTCGCAAGCAACGCCTGGTCGCTGCTACAGCCTCTTCTCAGGCCTCATCTCCTGCTCCTCCCGCATCTGTCGGCAAGCGTTACGCTGATCTTGCCAGCAAGGGCCCTGCTCCTACTGTCGCCACCGCCGCTGCCACTGCCATTGCCGGTGCCGGTGCCGTATCAGGCGCATCTGGTGCCTGGACCACTGTCGGTGCTGGCGGTAAGACTAAGGGACCTCTAGCCCCACCCCTTGGCCCTCGCGCGACGAGTGGCACCGTGCCGATTTCCCCCGTCTCTGTTGGGAAGCCCCGTCCCACTATTGCTACTCGCAATGTCACTATGGGCAACATCCCTCAATCCAACCCCAACCGTGCTGTTGAGGAGTTCACCAAGTGGGCCAAGTTCTCACTGGGCAAGGGTCTGACTAGCAACATCAACGTCGATGACTTTGTCCAGCAATTGCTCTTCCTCCCCAACGAGGCAGAGATCATCTCTGACTCTGTCTACGCTAACTCTACGACTCTGGATGGTCGCCGCTTCGCAGAGGAGTTCATTCGTCGCCGCAAGCTCGCTGACAAGGGAGTCGTTGATCCTATATCTCCCAACGCATTCGCGGAACAAAGCAGCTCCGGCGGCTGGAGCGAGGTTGCCAAGAAGGGATCCGCTGCCAGTGCTACTGCTCAGCGTGAGGAAGAAGCCAGCAGCGCTTCCTTTAAGGTTGTCGCACCTCGTAAAAAGGGCAAGCGTTAAATGTATGCATCGTATACTGTATTTCTGCTCATGTTTCCATGTTTTCAGATGCATGTTCTTTTTGACTTGCGAGTTCGCGCCACTTTGCTGCTTTGTCATCTTTGTACCACCATTCGTTTACACTGTTATCTCGTACTGGCGATGATTGTACTTAGTATTTAGTATACAGTAGCTGCCAATAGTTACATATGTTAGTTAGGAATTCATTGAAACCTTTCATCCACAGACAACACTAGATTCTTCTCCAAGGTTAGATCACGTGAATCAGTGAAATTGTAAGCCGCGGCCTTCGGATGAACTATAGACATCGAGATATTCTGATGTTAGATCACAAACCTAAATGAATCAAGATGACAATATCTACATAGTAATTGCTCTAGAAGGTCCTTGGAACTCGGCCTCGGAATCTAGTTAGTTACTGCTTGCAGCGTTGGTGACAAAGCAATGCCGCGGGATGATTATCTGATTATTCAACAAATGGTCAGCTTCCTTTCATTCTCTCCCTCTGCATCATTGATTTTATTCTAGCTAAAAGCCACATAATTTCATATCAATTTGACCAGTGATTCAACTTTTATCAATAATGGCAGAAACCGAAATACCAGCTGCTCCTCGCAAAAGAGGGCGCCCTCGTACCGTGACTGATGATCAAGAAGTGCCGGAGGTGGGTTTGATTGATAATACAAGATAGTCATGAAGGCTCATCTTATCTCCAGCGACGTCGCAAACAACTTCGAGTAGCACAGCAGGCCTACCGTCGACGAAAGGAGACTACTATCAATAACCTTCAGACCCGTGTACATGAGCTAGAAGCCGGTATTGAAGATCTGAGCCAGTCATTCCTGACTTTCAGCAATCTTCTTTTAGGCGAGGATCTCCTCAGTAGTCACCCTCGTGTTGCATCTGCTCTTCAGAAGATCACGCAACTATGTGTAGCACTTGCCAGGCAGGGATGCGACGATACCGATGCAACTCCAGTCGAGGCTGAAGTTGATGCCGAGGTTGAGATTGATACCGATACACAAGCCAATACGAGTACTACCCCGGAAACAGAAACAAATCTAGACTTTGATGCGGAAATCGTGCGCTCCGATACTTCATTCAATGGACAGTCATTATTCCCAGCTTTAACACCATCATGGGAGGGTTTACCTCCCACACCACCCTATCAAGAACAAGCAGTCCTGCCATTTGGAATCGTCTTATCAGCATCGCCTTTCGACTCGCAAACCTTGAATACAACACCAACTTTCTCCTCCATAACCGGAAGTCCCGGAAAGGGTGAAGGGCGCTCAATATCACACCGTCTCGTCAGAGCATGCTGTCAGAATGGCTACAGTTTACTTGTGAACTCACCCGATAGTACGAAAATACCCGAGATCTTCGGTGCGCCTCTTTCCACGTCTGAGCGTAACCGACTCATTTCGGGCTTCTATATTGCCATGCATGACCAGGTCGGAGACTCGATTGAGCCTCGTACAATGGTTCTCTCCCCTTTGCAGACGGGTAAAAACGCGTACTCAGTCGACCACTTTGCTCGCACATCGAGAACGTGGCAGCTGATCATTGAGTCTAAGGATTCCTGGCTGGATGCTAACGGAGTGCAAAGGGTTTTGGCAGAGAAAGGAATCAGTACTCATGGCTCGATGAATTCGAGTCCACGCTTGAATTATTCTAATTTCAATACTTCGGCTTTTATAAAATGTATGTTTTGATATCTATTAAAACCCCTTGGAAGTTTACTAATGTGTTATTAGTACTCTCTATTACGTGTGTTTGCGTTGGTGCTGGACCGGCCTTCCGACGACGAGATGTTGAGGAAGCATTTGACTATGCAACTTCTGATAGTCCGTGGGAATGGGAGAATAATAATTATTATTCGAATTTTTTCTAAATACTGTACACTTGTACAAAATGCATATAACGACTGATAATGAATTGAATAATCATTCTGATAGAACTAGTAAATACCTAGTAAACATTAGGCATCAACATCTGTGGATCTGCCAGTTCATTATTGGTTCAAAACATCAAAGGTGGATTGAAGTGGACCGACAGAGTCATATTGAAGTCACACTGCTCCAGCTATTGTATAAATAAATCCCAAAATCCTTATCAATCCTAGAACATCAAAGTTAACCCCGCTCAACTTCAAGTGTCTACTTCCCTAGGTACAACATGGCCACTTCTCAATTAACGCCCTTCGGAAAGCCAATGCTTAAGCATTGGCTCTTTGACCCGTCTTATAAAAACCTCAATCATGGTGAATAGCAGAGTAGTGATAAATCTTAAGATCAGAAAATTAACAAAATCCAGGCTCTTTCGGCGCACATCCAACCGTTGTACGCGAAGTACAGCGCAAGTATATGGACATCGCCGATTTACGACCTGATCCGTATGTCCGCGTTCACCATGCAGAAATCTTAGACGAATCACGCAAAGAAGTCGCTAAGATAATCAATGCGCGCAAGGACGAATGTGTATTTGTCAAGAATGCCACCACGGGCGTCGCAACTGTGCTGCAAAATTTGAATTTCCAGCCCGACGAGACCGTGGTCTACTTCCAGTGTGTCTATGGCGCTGTGGAAAAGGGCATTGTATCGATGCAGGAGCGCAACCCATTACAAGCGCGGAAGGTGGTCTTCAACTTCCCCATCGCCAAGGATGAACTCGAACGCCTGTTCCGCGAGACTGTTCGTCAGGCCCGTGAGGACGGTCTCAAGGCCCGCGCTGCTGTCTTCGACACTATCGTCAGCATGCCAGGAGTCCGTTTTCCTTTCGAGCGGTTTGTTGAAATTTGCCGCGATGAAGGAATACTGAGCGTGATTGACGGAGCGCATGGAATTGGCCATATCCCTCTTGACATGGAAGAACTGCAGCCGGACTTCTTCACTTCAAATTGTCACAAATGGCTCTACACACCTCGCAGCGCAGCCGTGCTCTACGTCCCCAAGCGAAATCAGCACCTCCTGCGCACGACTCTGCCCACTTCATGGGGATATATTCCCGCGCCCACATCTAACACCAAGACAATGGCATCGGTAATGAGCGACCCGAACCGACCCAATTCAACGACCCCCTTCGAGGAACTCTTCCAATTTGTCGCGACAACCGACGATTCTGCGTACCTATGCGTCCCGGCCGCTTTGAAATTCCGACAAGAAGTCTGCGGAGGAGAAGAAGCCATCATGGCATATACGCACAGAGTTGCCAACGAGGGCGGAGATGCAGTTGCCGCTGCACTAGGCACAGAAGTATTGCAGGAGCCAGATCTTAAGCCTGGCGAGGAGAGCGACATGCGCAAATGTGCTCTGTCTACTATTCGTATGCCTATCGGTGTTTCTGTTGATGGAGCTGAAGTCCCCGGGTCTTCGATCACTTTGTCTGTGGAAGAGGCTGCTCGTGTTGCAGCGTGGTTCCAACGTATGTTGATGGATGAATATGACACATTTGTGTGTGTTTTCACCCATGGTCCTTGGCTTTGGGTTCGTATTAGTGGGCAGATCTATTTGGAGAAGAGTGATTTTGAGTGGCTTGGTGGTGTTTTGCGTGATTTGTGCGAGAAAGTCGTTAAGAAGGAGTATTAAACAGGTATAGAGTCTATTTCTATTCTAAGTTTTCCAATCTGGTGCTGCAATTTCGAAATAACATACATAGGTACTACTTGGATTTCAAGTCCGATACGAGAAGCAAAGACTAGGGTCAGTTTAACAGGGGAAGTGAAGTAAAAGCGAGCTTTACATGATATTCTAAAGAGCACCAACCTCGGTGAGATGGTGCTTCATGGTAAAGTAAAAATACAAACCGACAACTGCGTAGGCAAGCAGCACCAAACAAAGACTCTGGCTATGTGAGCTTGGCATCAGCTGGAGTTCACTCCTTTAGCAAACTTCTACCTGGGCACTCCCCACATTCGAGCACATTAGAGGAAGAGACGGAATCATCGCCAAGGAGTGTGAATGGGCATGATACGGATGTCCAGGGATCCAGTGGTCTTGTCTTCTGTGCAGATCAATGAAGTACTGATCTGACCGTCTAGCTCAGTGACCACGAAGGAGGAACACAAATGATGGGTATAGAGATTCGCCCATTTAGCCCCGTGAATCGTCATTTTTCACAGGATTCTGCAAAGCAGGATTGACATTATCATCCATACTTGGGCAGCAGTGGGGCTAAGAGGTATGATCCTGAGCGTGCGCTCAGGACGATAATGTGCGTGCCGGATCAAACTTCATACCTCCTTCAGCATCATCTCCCATGCGTCATGTGAATCATCAGGGATGCAGTGTCCAGATCGAGAATTGCCAGCCCATTAGAATAATAATCATAATGAACCACACGTCCATTTCCACCTATGAATGTGAAGGGCATCCTATTCCACATGATTATTGTTCAACCTCGTCACAGAGCACATATTTAGAGGTTTTGCACATAGAATAGCGTCAAATTCAGCATACTTTCGATATCTCAGTCGAGACATTCTGGACCTGCTCTCGGGTCCTCTTCTCCACAAGCAAATTGACTGTACCGCCCTAGGCTTCAACCGTTGTTGGCTATTCGAACTGATCTCGATTTAGTTCACGTCGTAACCCAATTTTTTTTTCACCGTTGGCGGGATATACGCGGGGCCTTTTCCTGGCCCAGGTCTCTTGCTTCAGTTATACTATTCTTCAAGGGTCACGCTTGGATGATCTTGAAGGATGCATATGTTTGAGTTGATCCAGTGGCTGGTTTGCACTCTCCCAATCATCATTAGGTTCTTCAGAGAGCAGCTTGGTAACTCCTTTGACGTGCAACTTCGCTCCAAATTTGTGCCCTGAAGTATAATTTGCATCTTAATGTGTGCTTTATTCAACGTTAGAATCAGATTTATAAAAGCAGATCATACTTGAAACATACCTTCAAGTTTAGAAGTGATATATGTTTGCGCTTTGCCAAATGATTGCCCTTTTAGGCGAATACTGGCTGTCACTAGATAGCGATGCGTGATGGTATTGTATTTAATCCATGGCGAGCAGAAGAGACTTCGAGCAAGAAAGCCTTGGAGGTGACAACCCTTGATTATGAGGAAGGAATGAGGTGAGCTCCTGCCACTGTTTAAATAAACAGATGCGAAGTGAAGAAAATTCTCACAAAATGATTCTGGTAGAAAGTGGATGTAGACCCATGGCGGGAACATTTGCAAAAGCGAATCGAATTTCTCGTCATAAGTTACTCGAATGAGTTGAAGAGACCTGTCAACATCTAGGATGGGATGAATGAACCAAATAGGATCGAGAAATGAAAGGAGTTGAGTATCCTAATGGTGCGAGGCAGTGTCCTGTTCACCCGAGGTCAGGACCTGTCTGTGGGCTGTAGAAGTTAGAATTTCATAGTGGGAAGAAGTTGGCTTATATAGCCATCCACTTGGACCGAAAGAGGGAATGAACATAGCTAAGTAGCTGCATACGTAGGGAATAATATAAATGTAGGAAGAATGGTTAGAGTGTGAGGAAGGGGTATTTATAGGGCAGAACTGAGTCTGGAGACTAAGCGCTGAGAGCTGAGAGATACACATGTGAGAATGAGAGTGAAAGTGAGAGCGAACCTTGGAGGTGAGAGTGAAATGAAAGCGGGATAAACGTGCATCATCTTTATTTCAAATTTTGGAGGCCTTTCATTATGTCAATGTGACACGTAAGTTTTCATCGACATCTACCGGAGGTAAGGGATGTTAGCTGGTGGACATGTTGGAAATACCGTCAATATGTCTACTAAAATAGTAAGTGTGTAAGATGAGATGAGTCGTAAGATGTTTCCTTCCCTACAAGTAGCCGAATTCTGATAAATTGATAGAAGTGAATATTCGAAAACAAATGGGGTATGTAGTAAAACAAAAAACTGAGCGCCCAAAAAGCCTAGACCGAACATGACCCCAATGGCTGACCTCAAATGAAGAATAGAAAGAAAAAGATAGAAGATAGCCGATGATGATAATGGTATATCTTAGCCCCCGCCAAATCGACTCCAAATCCAGCCCGTAATTCCACCAGTAGATCGCCTTCCAGTTGATTCGCCGGTTACTGTGGGTGAAATGCGACCAGATCGTGAAGAGCGGCTACTGAAGCTACTTCGAATGGAAAAAGGAGAACTGCGACGACGTCTGCCGGTGGGGCGCTCAGGGCTAGACTGTATCTCAATTGGATTCTCACGAGTGCCTGTGCATGTACCTGTACTGCTAACAAGAAAAAAACGAAAGACGTTCGTCAGCTTGGTCGACGGCTGTGGGAGAGCATATCTTACTCTCCAGAGCCGATGCTTCGACGACAATGAGGGCATGTGTTGTGCTGGTTTAACCAGACTTGGATGCAGTTGTAGTGGAACCAATGGTTGCAGGGTAACACAACAACTTCGGTGCCAAGCTCCACATGGTCCATACAGATAGAACATTCTGCAGTCCCCTCAGTGCCCAACATCTCTGCGTCAATATTTTTCTTTGGTAAGGATCGAATGGCACTAGCGGGTGCTGGAGCAGCACCGGCTCCAGTTGTGTTCTCAATCATCTCTGAGAGCACTCGGTCGAATTCTTCCTGTGAATACACAGCATCACCAACATCACCACGTAGGTTTAGTAGTGCTGATAATCTCGCGAAAGGGTTTTGAACCGGGGCCTGAGCTGCCGTGCCGTTTCCGTTTGATAGTTCCTGTCTAAATCGTTCCACCAGTCTAGTGTGAATGAAGATTGTTAGCGAGGGCTATGGAAACCAAATCGATGGGAGAAGTCCTACAGCCGAATATTGTCTACTTCCGGACTCAAATATTCGTGTGTATCTATGAAATCTGGCATTTCTGCACCCTCTGGCGGTGCATCTCCAGCTGGGTGAGGTATAGTTGCATGAGCTCTGACTAGATGGTCTCCATCTCTGGCTGGATGGTCAAGCGGAAACCAGAAGAAATCCGCTCCATAAGCGGGTTCGCCTTCTCTTGTTGTTCTGATACCAGGTTCAACTGGACCAGCCGGGTCTGCTAGATGCGTTGGATGTATTTCTAACATACCAGCAAAGCTTGGTAAGATCGAAGAATTGCGCTGTGGCCGGGGTGGTGGGCTATTGGCTCTAGTGCGTCTGATCGTGTCATGCATAACTGATATGGTTTCCATCATGGCGCGTGGACCAAAGAGTGTCTCCATATGTTCTCGAGGCAAAGGGTCGAAATGAGAGACAGGTGGCGACTGGACATCTTGTTGGTCCGGTGGGATTTGGATCTATAGGCGAAAGGATCAATATAAGAGTCAAGACACCTAATAGAGGAAGAGATTTACGATCTCAATGAAATCAGACTGGCACTGAGGGCAGTTCAGATTGTGGCTGTGTTCTTGTGCCGAAGTGACTTCGCAGACATGACAGTAGATGTGATTACCCTCACTGTCAGCCATGGTTGGCTGTTGTGAAGGCGAGAAGTCAATAGGAGAATGGTTGAAGGAAACAAGTCACGACGGGGCGCGAGTGTAGAAGTAATAAAATTGTCGCGTGGATCAGTCACAAGTCGCGGTCTTATCGGGTGCGGGGAGAATCGAGTATATCGATAGGAAATTTACTTGCAGTGACTTGCAGGAGAGCTAAGTATTGGGGAAAAACGAGAAGGTGGGAGGTTAAAAAGAAGAGAGATATGTAACAATAAGAAAGGAAAAGGAAAAGGAAAAAGCAAAAGAAATGAAAGAGGAATAGAAGTGTATGGAAGACACTAAATGGGTGACGTACACATACATAGACCTCGAAGTAGCTCTTATCAGTTGGCTGATTATGTATAGTTCATGGCATCAACGATGAACTCAAAGAGAAAATCCGGGTAATGAATTTGAACAGAAGGAGACTACGAGAGCTGATATTTCAGCTTTGTTGTTAAATATTTACAAGGTTTATTCTAAAGATTGCGCAAGGAGAGTGGAATGCAAATTAGAAGCCGAAGTATGGAATCCAGAAGACAAAGCTAGAATACTTATATATCTGGCAGTACGGAGGAGAGATAGGTGTACATGTCGTGGATACAAGAAAGAAACGCCTTCGAAATGCTTCCAGAATGAATCAAAGAAGAAAGAGAGTATGGAGTATAGACAAATACATAGATGCGGTTGCGCCACAACCCTTGCAGCCCACGCATTTCAGCCTTACTCTCATCGTCTTCTGGTTCCTTTCAAAATCAGACTGCCCACAACTCCCGCAGCTACTGCTAGGCCACCAACAATAGCAATCCCCATCAGTCCTTCCTTCGCCACCCTATCATCAATAAGCGAGCCTAGGCTGGCCGCTTGCAAGTTGGCCGGTTCCTTCTGCAGCAATAGATCATTGTAGCGACGAGCCTCTCCGTAGTTTCCTAGTTTATAGTTGCCTAGGGCCAAGTAATAGAGACACTCTCGTCGTCGTTCTGGTGCGCCGCGGAAGATTTCGGAGAGTAGACGGACTCCTTCTTGCTGATCGGATCGGACATTTGACTTGATAAGACCCTATAAACGTCCCATATCGTCAGCTAGCTTCCAAGATTTAAGAGTGTACATAGCAACACGGCTTGGGAGTCCCGGTTTCGTGGTCGCGCAGTGAACATACCCATGCATAGTTGAACTTTGTTTGAATGCCCACGTAATCGCCCTCTTTTTCATATTGGGCTCGGAGTACTTGCAATTCAGCGGGCTTCAGAGGACTGTAGATAATGAGTCAGTACAATGTAGGGCATTTGACAAAGATCTGGAAACGGGACCTTTCTGCATCCGCGGCATCTGTAGTAGTGGCACGACTAAATTAGCAAAATATATCAAGGAGTGTTGGATGAGAGACTTGCGGGTATCATACATGGTAGGTTGGACATGGTAAAAGTAGAGAGGAGAGTGTAGTGCTGGCCTCGAGGATGAAGATGAAGAACAATGTCAAGTTGGAAACAGCCTACAGTAAAAACGTCACTTGCGGAGAACTAACATGTGGCGGTGCAATTGTGGCGGTTGCTGCCGCAACAACCAAAACACTTTCCTGCTACATCTTACTACAGTAAACTTCGATATTCTAACCATGTTGCTCGACGAAGATCCTGGCACGGTATGCATTATCATATTCCTCTCGAACTGGACTTTGAATAACTTTCTTTCTAGCTCATTCACCACACCATTGGCAATTTCAATATCCAGCCCGATAAGCAAGCCGTCACGCGCATCAATGACTCGCTCTCCACGCTCCAACAGTCGCGCGACCTGCGTATTCGCGAGGCGGAATCTTCCATGCGCAAACTTGCCCGTCATCTGAACTCCCTGACAACCCAACATGAAGAGGCAGTGGCCGTGCATGACTCGAGTAAACACGCCGCGGAGATCGTCGAGCTCGATACCCAAAAGTTCCGAACTGCCAAGGCTGCTTCGGACTTGGAGATCGAAAGCGAACGACTCGAAAGTGAACTGGAGATGCTGAAAGAACGACTCGCTGACTTAGAGTCACAAGGCTTGGAGGGCGACGAGTCTACGCGCCGCGAACGGGAGGCGGATGATGCGACAATGTAAGTCCTTAGATGGGATGGGAATTTGAGTATTCACGGCTAACTCTATGCTAGATTGCGATTGAAAGTCTTCCGCTCGCTTGGCATTGATATCGAGCCTGACGATGCGGGCAATTTCAGCCGTGCTGTTATTCGCAATAGCCGCAAGGGCGATGTACACGTCGTCAATATCGATCCCAAGTTCTCCAGATTTTTCTACTCAAATTACTTCTGGTCAACAATGCAGGGCTAGCTTACGAAATTCATGTGGAATCTTGTCATTGGCGTTTTTGGATAGAGCTTCGTTTCATGGTCGGATTGTTTATACCCCTGAGGAATTTATGCTATTTGAACTCGTTACCTGTATATGTCAGCGTTCTCGTAGAGTCTCAAGAAGTCTCGCTCGGTCTGTTTCAGAAAAATTTCCATCTAGTCCTGTATCAGGGTAGCCGTCCGGGAATACCTTCTGGACCATATCCAAAAGCACGGTCTTGTCAATCACCTCCACCCCCCAAGACTTAACCCACTGCTCTTCAAAACTAGAAATGTCCCGCTCGACACAATCCATATCAGGGATCTCACACCCATCCCACGTCAATGCAACCTCCTTCACTAGCCCATTCTGATACCGCATTTCAACACCCAAAGGCGCAAGCCCCAATTCCTCAACCCGAGCATTCCAAAGCGCCTGTCTCAACGTCCCATCCAGCTCAACCATCATCCAACACAAAGGGTATGAGCTCCGCGCCAGTGTGTCCCGCACACCCTTAGTCGCCTCACGCGGGCTTACCAACACACCAACCGTCTGGTCAGTACGCCAACCAACGGGTGCTTGGCGGAATGTGCCTTCAAGCTCGCGCACTATATTAGGTCCGAGTTTGGCCTTTAGTGCCTTGCATTGCACTAGCACACGGACTGCCCGCTCACGCTCTAACGTGGGCAGGTGCCAAGTGCCGACTAGGTCAATACCGGCGTCATCGCGGCCACCTATACGGTCGAGGGAAAGCGCGTAGCGACGCAGAGTTTCCAGGACGGTATATTCGTATTTTGTGCCCACGTAGACTGTACTTGTGAGTGGTAGAAGTGTGCGCGACGCATATGAGAGAAATGATTTTAGGTCATTGTGGTTTCGAGTTGGTGGTGATGGTGCCGTGGGGAGCTGTAGCAGCCGTCTGGTGAAGGGAGTCAAGTCATGGTTTGCTTGGGAGCTAGAGAATAGTCGCAGAGATTTTGGTTGTGTAATTGCTCGTTTATAAGAATGTTGTAAGTTTCTACCTGCGAGGCCGAGGAGTAATCGCATGTCGCATTGAATTGTTGGAGAGAAGAGAGCTGCGCGCTCACCGCATTAAAGTTTCTCTCCGCATTTCGCGTTTATCAACGACAACCAACATCTTCAGCTCTCCACATTCACACATTGGCCTTTTACTCGATAACTCAATATTACTCTGAAAAAAAAACTTCCTTTCCAGTCGCCAGTCATGGCCGACATCCTAACCCAACTCCAGACTTGTCTCGACCAGGTAAGTTCAAACCTCAACCTCCAGACGATATCAGCTAACCACGCTGAAACAGCTTGCAACCCAATTCTACGCAACATTGGGCTACTTAACAACCTACCATGACAACTCCCCAGCAAACCCACCTCAAAACATCCCAGATGCCGCACCAGCACTAGCCAAGATCTCAAAGAACACAACATCGCCTCCAATCCCGGCTTCACTAGCAGAGACCGCTGCGGGAGGTGCAGTCCAAGGCAGCGGCTCACCACCCCCACCTCCACCCCAGCAACCAGGTGCTGCACCGTCAGGGACTGAACCCGAGGATCCAAACCTCCCACCGCAGCCAGACTCTCCAAACACATTCGCAGCCCGCCAACGCGAACTTGCGCGCGACCTCATTGTCAAGGAGCAACAGATCGAGTACCTCATTTCCGTGCTGCCGGGTATTGGAACCTCGGAGGCCGAGCAGGAGGCTCGGATTCGGGAATTGGAAATCCAGCTACGTAATGTAGAGAAGGAGCGTGCGGCTAAGGCGAGGGAGTTGAGGAAGTTGAGGGTTCGGTTGGAGAGTGTGCTTGGGACTATTTCTGTTGGCATCTATGGGGATCGGGAACGCTAGACTTGGTTCTTTTCTTTCTGTTCTTTTGCTGCTGTTCTGGGCTGTGGATACCCGGGGAGTTTTGACATTTTCTTTTAGCGTTCTAGGCTTGGTGAAGTTGCATTTTTACTGATAGATGGTAAATGGTACCCTTTATTCTCAACTCGATTATACAGTCGAATGATGCAGGAAGTATTTTGACAATAAATATCTCTTTCCTTCAAAAGGCACTGGTATATTAGCCGTGCGCTTCTTCCAATTACTGATATCAAGTGCCAAAGCACGTTCGTATCATTTGTGTGCCAGCCCTGGAGGTTGAATACACTACAAAAGTTTTACATATAGAGGAAATAAGACATTGCAACGTTATTCATTTCAAACTCCCCGGGCCCTGGGTATCAATAGTTGATAGGAAATAAGCACAAATAAGAGAATACGCAGAAGAAAGAGCAATGGGCCGGTAAAAGATAGACGCCGTGTTGAAAGAAAGATAGCCGCCCTGCATTTCAAAAATATCGATGTATTCCCTAGAAAATGAACAAAATTAGTAAATATTATAAAGCACAAGGGATATAGATGTAGATCTACCAAGGTTCATGTCAGTCGTAACCAATTGCGCCTGAAATTTCGACGAGAAGGAATAATCATGTAATGCCCTAAACAAACGAAAACGGTCAGTATATATCATACAGCTCGAGGAAATAGAAGTGTAGATCTACCATGCTTCATTTTGTATCAATGGTAATCATTTGCGCATTTGCGTGCATCCAAAATGTCAACGAGAGGGAATCTTCATGTGATAACTTGAAAACGAACAGAGTCAGTATATCATATACCCCAAGGTTCTAGAAAGGGAATCTACCAAAAATTCATGTCGCGTTAACGTAAGACCTAGAACTGACAGGATCACGCACGCCTCTGGAAGCATCAGTAGAAGAAGATCACATCGGTTTGAAGAGTTCGCGGAATTCTTCCATGCGTTCTTCAGCGTTCTTTGCCTGATTATTCTTCATCTTGATCTTGTTCATGCTCACATCGGCAATTTGCTGCTTCTTCCGAGCAAGGTCAAGAACCTTCTCTTCAAAGCTGCCTTTCATGATGAACATCACTGTTTCAACGGAGCGGGTTTGTCCCAGGCGGTGCACGCGGTCAACAGCCTGGGCGACAGATGCTGGATTGTACTGCGGCTCCATGATGTAAACCCGAGATGCCGAAGTCAGGTTCAGTCCAACACCACCTGCGCCAATTGTGGCCAAGAGAATTGTGACGGAGTTATCAGTTGCAAAGGCCTCAAGTGATTTTCCTCGGGAGATAAGAGTCATTTGTCCGTCAAGGCGGACGAAACCAGCCAAGCCTGCATTACGCAGAGCGATTTCGATCAAGTCTAGATGCGAGGTCCAGGCTGAGAAGATCACACTCTTAATGGGTGGTCCATCGAGCTTCTCACTTTCAGCAGCTGATGTTAGAAGTTTTTCAAGCAAAGCTAGAGTCTTCGTATGGGGTCCCTCATATTCACCAAACTCCTTCTTAAATTTGCCCGATTTTCTGCTCTGGCGTTCATTTAATTTCCGCTCATTGAATTTGTACAGGCCCGCAGATGTAATAAGGGTGTGATCTTTGGGGATGATCCATCCTTCACAAGACGGACATTTGATCGCAGAGTCAGATCGGGCATAAGCTGAAGACTTCAGGCCGTGGAAACATTCAGGGCAGATCACGTCAGCGCAAGGCAAGTAAACCGCCATTGGGGCATTGAGGTCGACGACACCCGATGCATTGAGAGGCTCCTCCAGGGTCTTGTTGCAAAGAGCACACTGGTCGCCGGAAGAATCCCGCATCAAGCTGAACATCTCATACGCTTTTTCGTTGTTTGCTTCTGCAGTCTCGTCGATCGGATCCAAAAGAGTTGCATCCTCAACGCCTTCAACGACGTCTTGAAAGTTCTTGCGATCTTGAAGACTGAGAAGCTCTTTGCCGTGAGCACAGATCTGGCGCAACATCATCATAGCCTTGAGTACATAAAGAAAAATCTTGCCACTAATCTTGCTTCTGTCTTCTCCAGCGATATGATCCATCTTCGTGATCTTGGCAAGTGATTCTGTCCGCAAAATGTCATGCCACATCTGTTCGGCTGGGGAGAAGTCCAACATGATGACCTTGTCCTCTCGCGGTGGAAGGTGAATCTTGTCCTTGTTACGTCGAAGAGTAAATGAGTCAATTAAGACTCGCAGAGTTGCAATATTGCCAACCTTTAAGGGATTGACGATATACTTGTTGAAGCTGAACCGATCATCGTAGGGAAATAGCTTGATAAACCGAGTGACAGATAGGAGATCCTCGAGGCGGTTCTGCACAGGGGTTCCAGTCACAGACCAACAGCGCTGCGAGTTAAGACCGAGGATTGCCTTGGTCTGCTGTGCGGCCGGCTCTCGGATAATATGGGCTTCATCCAAGACAATTCGAAACAAGTTCATTTTGATCAATGGGCTTTCCCCACGCTTAGAGCGTCCCTGAACCTCACTGAGAACTGTCGAGTAAGTAGTTATGACCAGGTCATAGTCTTTCAGCGTATCCAAGCTTCTAGTACGCGAAGTACCGTGAAACACCACATAGGAAATAGACTCTGGGGCAAGATGCTCTTTGATCTGTCCAACCCAGTTGCTCAATGTACTAAGTGGGGCTACCAAGAGCGTGGTTCGCGCATTTCGAATGCCTTGAACCTTTTTGATGAGATCAAGAGGCGGTGGTTGTTTTTCCCACTCGCGAGCTTGCGAAAGCGACGACACAATCAAAGATAGAATGCTAAGGGTCTTTCCGAGTCCCATAACGTCGGCCAATAAACCACCAAATGACTGAGGCGGCTCTTCATCGAAGATGACCCCACTGACGATTTCCTTGTAATGTCTCTGGCCTTTGCGGTTGTGCTCAATACGCCATAGAGAATTGTTATCTTCTTCTTTAGGTCCGAACTTTCGGGGTTTTTCTTTTTCGGTCATAAACCACAATGCCTGTTTTTGGTGATCCAGAAGGGGGGTGATTACGTCCACCGGTGTTTCCATACGAGGAGTTTCGGCGCTGACAAGTTGGTTAAGCATTTTGGTAACTGAATTGCTGACCTCTTCAACGGTGCGATTCTCATATCGGTAGTTGGAGCTTTGGGGGCGTCCACGCGAGACGTTGCTTGGTGCATTTGCAGCCATGGAGCGCTTCAGCTCTGAATGAGGATTGAACACTACCACGCCATTCTCAACAAAGTGAGGAGTACTGAGCCAGACATTGGACTGGCCCAGGGAAGTTCCGAGAATGTGGGCACTGCGACGTTGGCCATAAAGAGTCAGAGAAACCCTGAAGTTTGCTGCAGTGAGTGTCCCAGGTACTTCATTTGGCAACTTCTGTCGTTCATCCAGGCGAGCCACCACATCCAATTCAATCCTGGGGCTATCCAGGAATGGGCACAATGCACACGCCGTCTTGTCGTCAATTTTTCCAAAGATCTGGCCTATAGGATCTGCTACAAAAATATCATAGTTGTCCGTCTGCGCTTTTCGATGAAGGGTGAGCTTGATTGTTGGCCACAAATGATCAAAAAATCCAGCGGTTGTAGGCGTGGGAACGATATTGGCAGTTATGAAGGCAAGATCGATCTTGCCAAAGCATACCCGCTGTGAGCTCAAATTAACGGATCCTATGATCTGCAGGTCGTCGGACCCTGTAATCTGCACCTCGTCCTCATCCTTGGTCAAATCCACCACCGCAGCGACGGATGTGGGTTTAGAATCGGCCTCTTTCAAGAATTGACCAAGTTCGCCGTCGCTCGAAATGTGTTCAGGGTTGGTACGGGATCCAGCATTATCCTGTCGATCCTCAATCTTCATTCTTTTGTTGGGAAATTGTTGGCGCACAGCCACGTCATACGCTGCGTTGAGCAGGTCGTGACGACGTTGGCTGTCTTCGACATCATGATTATTATCGTGGCTGCGATTAGACCCGATCTCGTTTCCTTCGTCTCCATTGCTGATAAATTGAACTGGCATGCCAAACTCTGTATTGGGTGCAGTGTTCATTGTGAAATTCGGCGCATCTGATGACGCTGGTGTTGCTGGCGCGGTCATAAGGTTGTTAGAACGCGGAGGATGGGCTGAAAATACGGAAGAGCTTCCAGAAGGCGTAGAAGAAGTGAAGGCAGCATGAGGTGAATTTTGCGCACTTGATTGCCCTGTACCAGACGAAAGCAAGTTAGAATCATCTGTCGAGTCCAAGTCCAGATTCATGGGGTTGTTGCGCATGAAAGTGAGAGTTTCCACAGTCGGTTGTTCCTCAGTCGTTGTTTCCTCCGTCACGGGGACAGGTTCCGACAAGCTTTCAGTGATTCGAGGCGTAGGAGAGGATGATTCGGAATTCGTACCATTTGCTCGAAGTGATTTCTTGTAAGCTTTGGGATCAAGGAGCATGGCCGCCTGGGAGGCCATGGTGCCTCAGGGTAAGCGATATGCCGCCAACGATGAACGGTGGAGATAAATCAGGTCACGCGCTGTATTCGCAATGTGCGGAAAGGAAAAGGTGTGAGGTAATTGGAGGAAAGGTTATCGAGGAGGCGGGTCGTGGAAGATCAGTGTGCCAGGTGACCTGGAGGATCGAGGGGCACGATCGAAGGCAGAAGGGAGTGTGGGAAAAAGAAAAGGATTTAAGGCCAGATATTTGAAGAAAGAGAGGGTTTTGGAAGTGAATCGCGAAGAAGAAGAAGGATTCCAATGCGCTCCAGGGTCAGCGCTCGCCGCTACCTGGAAACCGAAGTGATGCCTAGAGAAAGATCGATAAAAGTGACCTCACTTTTGGATTCATTGTTCTAGTTCTCGGAAGATCCCGCGATAAGAAGTGAGAGCTTATCGGGTTTGATTTAGTGGAGTCAATGTTTGTTTATAATAATACAGTATACAGTCAAGCTGAAACTTAGCTTTAGATGATGTTATCATGGTACCTTGGAATTAAGTCCCGTCATATATGCTACATGAGGCGCTTAATCAATGCGCCGCAACCAAACCCAAACGGCCAAAGGTCTATATACAACCCAATCCCTGATCATGAGTATAGTGAAAGATCTGATAAAAGAAAACAGGAGTGAGTTGGAAGAAAGACAAATCATAGTCATGGACAACTGAAATATGCCAGCAAAAACACAAGTACTGGTTGTTCAAAAAAGGAAGGATCAAGGCCAGAAGAAAAGAAGAAAAAAAAAGGGAAGAGCGCTAAGGGAGAAATTGCTGATTAAGTAGGTGGAAGGAGATGCAGTGACATGAGCAGTAGCAAAGAAGAAAAAGAAGCCAAAAAAACCTCTGATTTCTTTTTTTTTTTTTTAGCACCAAGTGAAGACTGGATTTTTGCTCTTTACAGCCTCCAAGCGCTCCACAATTACCTTTCGCTGATTACCTTCCATACCTTCAGCGGCAGCATATCCAAGGTCACCTTCCAGATCATCACTACCAAAAGTGTTGACGTGAGGGGGCCGGTATGACAGAGAGCCGCCATGTTTGCGGTTTTTCTTAGGCCGGGAAGGGCGATCGGGCCAGCCATCTAATGATCGGGCATATGCACCATCAACAGTCTGGCGAGAGAACTCACTTTCAGGTAATGTTGCAGGGCTACCGATGGGGTCATCTTGGCCATCAAAGCGGCCACGCGAAAGCTCAAATCGATTGGGGTTAGGGAGATCATTTGATCCAAGACCCAAAAGATCGTGCTCTTGTTCTGGAGTCGGCATAGAAGAATTGGAAGCACCAATGTCCATTTCTTCATCCTCATCGCGGTAATTCATAGCGTGACGTCTCTGGGTATCAATGGAAGGTGCACGCATTGGGATGGCCACTGGCACATCTACCAAATCATCCCATACACATACTCGAGTCCGTCGGGTCAATTCTAAGGGCCCGTGATCTAGATGCTTCAAAGTCTCAACAACGTTCCAAGCCTGACCTTTCATGACCGCGATCTGTCGGGCAAACATGCTCTCCTTGAAGTCATCATCTTGGGAAAACACTTGGCGCAAGGCCATCTGTGTGCCACTCCACCAAGCTTTCGATGTCAACAGAGGTAGGAAATGATCGCGAGTCTTTTGAGAGAAAGGTTGACCAATCAAGGAAACGGGTAGAAACAACCATCCAAATGGGAAACTTCGCCACTTTTTATCAACTTAGTAAAATTTCCTGGGGCAAGTGTTTCAATGAGAAAAATAACTTACAGCATCTGGATGTTTCCAAGGCCATGACAGACTGTTGTCAATTGCACCAATCTGGACCGATGCTTGCTGTTCCGAAGAGGCTAATGGAGTGCCGGTGCGACTGACTGCCAACATAGCTTCACGTCGCTTGTAAGGGTGATAAGTATTATTACCGTTTGAATTTACAGAGGTCGGGCGAGGAGGAGGCATGAGGTCGTCCTCATCGTGTGTAGGCTGTGGAGTCTCATTGGGCGTTGGAGGTTCAGCCACAATAGATACTTGCTCAGTACCCCAGTCGATCTTGACCATCCAGTTGTCCAATCCTCGATCCGTATTGCGCATAATGTAGTCTAGAATGACCAATTTCTCAAGTTCTTCGCGGAAAGACTGTTTTAGATTTTCTGTCCAGTTGAAACGACGTTCACGGCTTTCATCGCGAGGGTTTGGCGAGGGAAAGTTAGTACGATCGTCGTCGTCTTCATCGTCAGACTGCACGCCCGACGGGCGGCATGCCTCGTTCCATGGCCGCTTCTTACGCTTCGGGGCATCCTCAGCACGGAATCCCGAGTTGGTCTGGTCGGGCCATGGATGCTCTCGTAAGAAAATATTGGCATCCTTGTAGCCCTTCAGGAATACTTGAAAGCTCCCTGCCTTGGGCGGCAGCGTCTTATTGCCTTTCCACGCTTTGCGCCGGTCCCAGAAATCATAGAAGAAAGATTTTGAGGATAGATAAACAATACCAGTGTAGGGGACCATATTCGTGCGGAGTCGGGCATCAAGAACGTATGCAGCGGCTTCAGAAACGTAGGAAAGATTAGGAATGAGACATGCGCGGCCGAAGAAACATGGGAACAAATTTCGGTGTAGCCATTTCGTCCATTTAGGATTTCTCGAGGCATAGGGTTCTTCGTCCTTGGGTTTGAAGACACCCACAACCTTCCCTTCAGGGTTTCGTGCAAAGTAGCTTCCCGAGCTGCCTTGCGCGATCATTCGTGGGTGCACGCCCATCTCAATTGCTAGCCGAACACTCTCAATGATCTCCTCGTACTCTGCTCGTGCTATCCGTTGTCGGCCCTCGAACTCGTCCGACTCGAGCGCCTCTGCAGATATCGGCCGAACGCCGTCAGGAGCCTGAAAAACGGAGTGGTAAATCTCCAACTTCTCTTCCTCGTAGGTCTTGCCCTTGACACGGCTGATCTTAAACTTGGCGGCAATCTCCTCCGCCCACCGTTCTAGACGCGCATTAATTGCCTTTATATCCACGCCAGAATTTCGACGGGGTCGGCGATGATAGCCACTTTGTCTGTGTTGATGGCCGGGAGGCGTCGAGAGGCCGGACGCCTGCATCTGGGCTCGGGAAGAAATGGGAGCATAGCGAGGGGCGGAGGTGGACACTGTCGAGGAGGCAGCTTGCAGTTCATCGTCTTCGGAGTCATCGTGGAGGTAGCCACGTTCTTCTTCCTCTTGAGCGAGACGGGCGTAGCCAGACGTGGCAGGGCGATTTTTTGGCATTGTCAAGGGCGGGGATCTATGAAGGAAGGCAATTAAGCCAGAAAATATAAAGAGAACACAAAACCCAGAAGAAAGGAAGTAGTCGAAAGGGTATTAATCCATTAGTCCATTACTGGGAAGCTTGAAAGGTAACGCGGAATAGGTTCGATACAATGGAGAAGACGAAATAGCAACCGATCATGGCTATTATGGCCAGACAATGCTTAAAGCAGGGGTCTGTCTCATATACAAGTAATTTACACAAGCGGGGACAATATCCTTGCCTTTGCACGTATTTATGCCGGATATGGCTCCAAAATACAGTAATACAGGTACCGCACAGCCACAGGGGATCCACCAAGCCCATAAAAGGGGGTTACGGCTTCGATGGCTTCAAGGACTCCATTATTACTCCATTCCTCCATTACTCCATTATTTACCTCCAGGGCTAGGTACCTAGGAAGTTAGTATGCGGAGCTTAGAGTATGGGGAATACGGAGCATTGACGTTTGCCTCCTATGTATCTACTATTAAATTGATTTTGATCAAAAGCTAAGGTTTCGGAGCTAATCTTCCTACTATCAAACTATTTGGCTTCTTTTGTTAGATTCGGTCTAATAATAATGATTACAAACATTGGAAGGTTATTTAAGTTACATCAAATGTTATTCTCCCAGGCTAGGTTCAGAAACAGAGTATCTATAGCTACCTAGATATTTAGGTATTGGAGGCCAAGGTGGCTGTTATTTCCGATGTAGACGACAGCGATGAATGCGTCATGAACAATGACTGACATACCTAGACAAGTCTGTTTTGAACACGGCTCTCTATGTATACATACCCAGTTACCTAATTTGTAGCAGTTTTATGAGCCCTGCATAGCGGTGTTAGGGTTACAAGTCAACTCCAATTTCAGGCCTTGAAGTAAGTAGAAACGATTTCATATTTAAATAGTGTATGGAATAAATAAATAAATAGGACTCTAACTTTCAGTACGCGAAAAGCGGCAAGGAGTCATCACTAAAACGGAAAGAGTACTTCCTACAGAGCAGTCGAGAGTACACAGTAAGCATGGGAATACCACTTCAAAAAGCGGCAAGCATTTAGCCCTAAAACGGAATAAGAGAGAATCGACTACACTGCAAATGACAAAAGCCTCACTAGCAAAGGATATACAGTAAATATAATTTAACCGACGTTGGGACCTTGCAGTCATTCTCCAGATGTACAAGATGACCCAATATAAGAATCAAGTTAGTCTCGAGAGCTGAATATATGATAAAATTGCTAACCTGAGACTTCAGATCCTTGATAACGTCGCACATACCACAGGATGAAACCCTCAACATAGATTGAAGAGGCCGGAAAAATGAGAAATGAAGACAGTAGAGTAGAAACCCATTGTAACCAAACTTGATTACTGAGCCAAACTCCTCCGATAAGTGATTTGGTGATAATTTCCCGCGATAGCCCAGGGTTTGGGATAATAATCGGGAAGGATAAGACTTCTTCTTCTTCGTCTTCACATCTCCTTGATCTTCACCTCAACTTCATTTTCGAGTATGATCTAATTCCAGCCATTTCTTCTTATCTTTTGGCTCTAGGGCTGTTTGTCTGACTCGGATCTTTTGTCCCTGAGCGATTATCGCAATCGGCGATAACTCGATATCTGTCTGACATTTCCACCCACGCGAAGCCTTTTCACTTCCACCTGCAGTCGATCTACTCCTATTCAATTGACACATACAGATCAACTGTTACGACAGCGATCTACTTCCTACATCGACAGTTTTCCCCTTATCTATCTCTCGTCCCCCTGTCCTTTTATTCGGTTTCGGCCGGATTTCCATTGATTCTTTCCTTCGCCCTTCATTGTGGCTTCCATCCTATATCGGGCGTCGCCCATCGACCCGGCTCTGAAACCTGCTTCGTCGGCACACCAGAATCCCGAGCTCTCCCGCGACGAAACTGCGCCATCTTCCGCAGACTCGAAACAATTCTCGCCGAAACTGCCAGAACTGAGTAGTATTGGCAAGCTTGTTAGTTCTGATTACAGAGATAGCTATCCTGGATCAGTCTCTGTGAGCACATCGCTTCCGGGTCTAGCAGCACTCGCCTCGGTCGCGTCTGCTCCCACATCCAACCTCCGGTAGGTCAAGCCTCAGGAGTGGGGTCGAATGATGTTCAAGGTCTTGTCTACTATTGAGTGGATCTTACATATTCTCATCTTATCCTTTTTGCGGGGGTCTAGTGAGTGTATCTTGAACGCGAAATTGATTGGCTAATCTTGTTCTCTCCAGCGAGTCGCGTACTTCGAATATTATGGCGAACATGAATTACGCGACATCCTCACCAGCAGCGACTACTGGGGGACAAGGAAATCACCCTGTAAGTTGAAGAATCTTCCACGTATTCCTTCATCCACCATCTTCCTATCTGATTCTCATTTTGAATCCTTATCGGGCTTATCTTCTCATTTCCGTCACGGGAGTCTTGGCACCGCCCGATCCGTGCGCTTCTTAATCTTCTCTCTTATCGAAGCAAATCTCTCCCCCCAATCTTATCATCACACTTCCCCGTCCCTAATCTTTAATCTTCCCTCCATCCATCCTCTATTGCCCAATAACTATGTCTGCACCTTTGACTGATGACAAACGGGCTCAATTACAGCCGGTCTGCCAGAATTGTGGTACCTCTACCACTCCCTTGTGGCGCAGGGACGAGGCTGGTTCCGTTCTTTGCAACGCTTGCGGTTTGTTCCTCAAGCTGCACGGCAGACCTCGCCCGATAAGCCTCAAGACCGATGTCATCAAAAGTCGCAATCGAGTGAAGACTGGCCAGGGCCCCAAACGCAAGGTAATTAATATGCGCGCGGTTAAAATTTCCACCATCGCCTCGTCTAGAGATGAGAATTTTCCCCTCAATTCTAACTCCATTCGGTCTTAGTCTACCGGTCCTGTCGACGCCAACGGTCTTCCGACCCAATTAGATGCCGGATCTCCCCTTACTCATGGCTACCGTCGTCCGTCGCGTAGTAAGATGTCTCCGGGTCATTCGGACCGATCGAACTCTCCTCTGTCGCGAACCGAGACACCTGGCTTTTCGTCCATGTCGCATAACTCTAATATCGCGCCACAACACATGTTCGATAGTGTGACTCGAGGCGATATCAATGTGAACTCGGGCCTTCCCTCTCTGCCCATGCGTGCGCAATCCCCGTCGGGCGTCGACCGTCATTTGGATCCTGCCCAAACATACGAAAGTTTGCTGGCTCTGAACACGTCTCTCAAGACACGTGTTAGTGAGCTCGACCTGATCAATGAACTATTCCGTGGTCGCGTTGCCGAGCTCGAACAGAGCGATGCCAGTGCGCGTCGGGCGGAAATGATTGCGCGTGATTCCGAAGCTCGCCTGCGCCGTTCCTTGGAAGACTCACAGCGTCGCGAAGAGGACTTGAAGCGACGCGTCGGCGACCTCGAGCGCCAGCTCACTTCTGGCGATGGCGACAGCTCGGAACCTCAGGCAAAGCGAATCCGACTGTCGGATATGGTAGAGCAATCGCCCGAGCAATCTCCGAAGAGTCCTTAGCTTTCTCCCGATCATCAGCCATTTGACCACTAGGTGGTTTGACTGCTGGTTTTTCCGATTTTTACTGGTCTTTTTGATACCCTCCGTCAATGATGACTGAACTCTCTACCCCCAAAAAAAGCTCGATATTACGATTGATTTTGTTTCACCCTTACAGCTGCCCTGGGAGCTTCATGGGTTTAATTTGCTTTTGCGCCGCGGGTTTGCGTACGAATTTTTACGTTTACCTTTAATACAATGGTTCATACTCTGTTCAACTTTTATATTATACTCTGCATTTGCGCGAAGGTTGTGTATCAGTCGTAATGATGAATAATGATTCAATTTAGCGGCTTGCCATTGTTGATTTAATCTACCTCGACTGCCCAGTGTAAGTTGCAATGGACATTGAACTGTCGATCAAAGGCTGAATAGTTCGGTTCTGTTTATTCCCAAGGACACATGGTCATTATTTCGGTTGATTTCGGACTTCAAAGTTGCCCTATGGGTGTGAAAGATACTGTAAGACATCTGGAGCTTTGGTCTACACGTGAGCAGATGAGATGATGTCGATATTGCTCAGGCAAATCACATTGAAAATTTCAATATAAAAAATACCAACACGTTATCAATGAGAATGTATCAGGAAACGTAGAGTATGTACGGAGTATTGAAGTCTATCGAGATATATATATAAAAGAGAGAGAGAGAGAGAGAGAGAGAGAGAGAGAGAGAGAGAAAATATACACAAGCAAGATATCATGGTGCAGAAGATAGAACAACTAGTCACCCGGACCAGATGACCTATTCCTTATTCGGTCAACAAGCTATTGATCGTGAGTGAGTTAGTACACAAAGCACCGCAAGGAAAGTTGGAAACATAAAAGGATGGAAAGAGGCAGCATTGCCTGTAATTCAACCAGATCAAACCTAAGATCTACTAATATAGACTTTTCAGTTACGCAAGTCGGTGGCCAGTCTTTTGTCGCATGGCATTATGAATACGTCTTTCACGAAAGATACTCCACAGGCAGACAACGATGCCTGCGAGTCCAGAGATTAAAGTGACGTAGTACGCGGTGCGGTAACAGGTTAGTCCATCTGGGCACTGGTTGTCGCCATCAGGACCTACGACGGAGTGGCGGTCGTAAACAGTTCCATATATAAGGTTGAATGCGTTGCCGCTGAAGATCGGGGCCAGGGTCATGACACCCCAGTTCTGGGAAAGGCCGCCAATGCCGAAGGTGTGCGCGGTCAGGGAGGGAATACACCAAACAAGAAGCCGTATGCAACGCCTGTGAAAGCAGTGACAACGACGAGGGTGTTTGGGTTTGAGATCGTGAAACCGGCTAGCTGGGTGCCGGTGAAAACTACGGCAGAGATAAATAGACACCAGAAACGAGACATGTTGAGCTTTTTGACTAGAATGTCCGAGCCAATTCCACTAGAAAGGCGTCCGAGGAAGTTTCCTAGCGATAGGATTGAAACGTGCATGACCTGGCGTTCATGGATGAATTTACCTGTGGCACTATCGTCGTAGTAGAGCCACAGGGCCTTTGCGCTGTTGCCAATGTTGTTGATGGTCATCAGCCCAATACCAGACAGAAGGGCCATGATCAGAAAGAGCTGCCAGAAATCAACTTCACGAAGCATGGCCAGACCGCGGATGTCTCGGTGGTGCGACTCCTGATCGACGAATTTCAAGTAATCATCGTCAAGTGTGTCGAATGATGGTCGGCCATCGCCTTGAGCGACCAACGACGAACTCTCGTCAGTTCTGTGATGCAAGTGAGCTGAAGAGACTGACTGCCCACGAGCGTGCACCTCGTTATTTTGGTCGAAAGCGGTTGAATTGTGGATGTCGTCGTTGGACTCTTCCACAGCACTGGCGCGACGCAATTGAGATTGAGACTCGGAGGGTTCTGTGGTATCACGGTGGGGAAGTGGTGCGTACGGCTCATTTTGGAAGATTTTAAGGAAAGGAGTTGACACCAGGGACAGAATCGAGGTGCCAAGGGCGAGAAGTAGAAGGAAGCGACTAGTATCATCTTTGAAAATGAGAGACGACACATTGGACCAGAACAAAGCACTTAGTCCGAAGGCAGCCAGAGGGAATGCCGTTGCAGTTCCACGATGGTCGGGGAAGTTACAAGCCGCTGTAGAAAGTGAAATTGTTAGTATACCAGCAAACCGAAGGCATTGACTCGACATACATGTCTTAATGGCAGCTCCAAAGGCCGAACAACCACCCATACCAGTCAAGAACGCGAAAAAGCACAAAAGTACAATTGGAAATGACCCCTCTCCGGATTTATAAGCTGTAGTGTGTCAGTATAATATCGGCCAGTGTATGATGAAATGCATTACCTAGGTAGATTGGGTAGTAGCCGAGAATCAGTAGAGCTGAACCAACCAATGTCATAAATCGTGGACCTCGAGCATCAGTCAATAATCCCATAGGTATACCCATGGCATACATGCCCAGGTTTCCTGCCACGCCCTAAGAAGCTGTCATTATCGCGTTCCCACATCCGGATGAATTCAAGACTCACGATCAAATTGCTCTCGGTTGACGAGAGTTTCATATGATGAGCAAACTGTGGTGCCCATGCTGAATATGCGTACTAATATCAACCTCGTTAGCCGTGAGAGCATTGAAAGCAAAGGCCAGAAAGTCGGTCGTAGCATACATTTGTTCCGCAGGACAGAGCAACCAGAGTGCCCGCAACCACGGAGGCTATTCGAGCATTCTTGTGCGTAGATGCAGCCATTTAGTGTGATAGTGATGCAATATGTATTTTCCTTCTGAAGGCGTCCCCCAATGGCCTTTTGTTAGTGGAATTGGGGGTTTGATACGGGCCGCGCGTTCGATAGTATGGGGGCTGTGAGTATCGGGTTTTCGACTCAGCGTAGGGGCCGTTTTGAATGGAAAATGAAAGTGAATCGACGTTGGGATTGACCTCGGAAGTAGATGGAAAGAGGGACAAGAGGTGGATAAAGTCGAGGAACAAGGGAGGGGCGCAAGCAATCGGAGTCGTAATCGGCCTGCGAACGCACGAGATAAGAGTCGGTACGCCAAGCAATGCCAATAGTAATGCACTGGAATAACTTATTTATTCCAGCTTATTCCATGTAATCGCATATAATCCAACCGGGGAATTAGGAATGCGAGGAAAACCCAGGCCAACTTGAATCACATTGTATTCAACCTATTTATTTGCTTTACTTTTGTACTCCCAGTGAGCTACAGCAGTCTTCTCTCGGAACACCTGTCTCACTTCAAAATGGATAGAAATACCTAAGAATAGATTATAGCTAGAGTATTACTGATGGCAGTAACTAGTATAAAAATAACAGATATTGAAACGAGTTTAATAAATCGCTAATTTTGTCTTTCTGGAAGAAGCTATAATCAGGTCAGGTGATCTGAAGTATAGGATAGGTATAATAATTTCAAAGTCACCTAGGACAATATACACTCGGGGAATCTGCATTTCAATAGACATTTCGAGTGCTTTAGATTCCTTTATGAGATTTTCACATTCAGTTTCTTCTCTTGTCCCTTGTGCTTAGAATTCAATTTGATAACTTTATAGTTGCCTTTGGTCATGTGACATGACGAAGGCGGGATCATCCAAACTCTCCACTCTTGGGCTTCATGTCTCTTGTTGTTTTCTCAATCCAACGGAACCTGTGCACTTTTGGCCTGAACCTACACCTCCATCCCTACCATGGGTGCTCTTCTATCTATTCCGCTGTTGGCGGTGCCGAGTGTCGGCACGGTAAGTCTTTCCCGGCTCAACAATATACGAGAATCACCATTAACAACTCTGCGTTTCTCGTACAGCTTTTTACTATGGGAGCATCATGCTGTGGAGCTGCCACTTGCTCTGCAGTCTGTAGCTCTTGTGGCAAGTTCCAGAACAGGTACCATCTGACAAGTTGGCTGCTTAGCGCGAACGAAACTGACTGCAGCATAGTATGGCAACACGAATCGCTTACGCCTTTATCCTCTTGATCAACTCCATCGTGTCCTGGATCATGCTGACACCATGGGCCTTGAAGAAATTGCAAGGCCTGACCCTTGACTACATGAAGATTCGGTGCGACGGGAAAGAATGTCACGGTTGGGTGGCGGTCCATCGTATCAACTTCGGCCTCGGACTCTTCCATTTGATTCTTGCTCTTATGCTTCTGGGTGTCAGGACTTCCAGAGATGGTCGCGCCTCACTTCAGAATGGCTTTTGGGGCCCAAAGATTGTGCTTTGGCTGGCATTTGTCGTGACATCCTTCTTTATCCCCGAATCATTTTTCTTCGTGTATGGAAACTATATTGCTTTCTTCTGCGCCATGCTCTTCTTACTCCTGGGCTTGGTCCTTCTGGTGGACCTTGCACACTCATGGGCCGAGTTATGTCTGCAGAAGATCGAGGATAGTGACTCGCGCCTCTGGCGCGGACTGCTTATCGGGTCGACTCTCGGCATGTACTTGGTGTCATTGACCATGACTATTCTGATGTACATTTTCTTCGCCAGAAGTGAATGCTCCATGAACCAGATTGCCATCTCGGTATATAACCCCTTCTTGACCTAGGACTTTCATTTCAGGTTTAGACTAACGCTTTTCCAGATTAATTTGGTCCTCTTCCTTATCATCTCTTTTGTATCTGTTCAGCCTGCTGTTCAGGAATCCAATCCCCGCGCGGGATTGGCGCAAGCTGCTATGGTGACCATTTATTGCACCTACCTCACAATGTCTGCCGTTTCGATGGAGCCAGATGACAATAACTGCAACCCTCTGATTCGATCTAGTGGTACAAGAACTGTCACCGTTGTCCTGGGTGCGCTCGTCACTATGGCTACTATCGCTTATACAACTACCCGCGCGGCAACCCAAGGCATTGCGCTAGGTTCCAAGGGTGGCCACAACTACTCCGAGCTGGGCATGGATGATAATGAGCATGGACTGGTAACTCAGCAGCCCAGCAGCCGCCGTGAGATGCGCGCCGAAGCTTTGCGGGCAGCTGTGGAGAGTGGCAGTCTACCCGCTAGTGCTTTGGATGAGAGCGACGACGAAGACGAGTTTGAGACCAGCAGCAAGGATGACGAGCGTGGTTCAACTCAGTACAATTACTCTCTCTTCCATATCATCTTCTTCCTGGCAACAACCTGGGTGGCTACCTTGTTGACTCAAGGATTACAGGTTGACACCACCGTCGATTTTGCACCAGTAGGCCGGACTTACTGGGCCAGCTGGGTAAAGATTGTGAGCGCTTGGGTGTGCTATACTATATATCTTTGGACTTTGGTCGCTCCTGTTGTGTTACCCAACCGCTTTTCTATTTGAAGATAACCCGTTGTGAATCGGGCATTTTGAGCGATAGTGTTTTGCTTTGCTTTGTTTTGTTTTCATTGTTAAGAAGGCGGTAGTCTGGACAGCAATACATTTTATTCTGTACCTTATAATACAATTGATATTGGAAATAATTTCCCGAGTATAAGAATTGTAAATCTACCTTCATTAAAGAAAGTCCAGTGGGGCGGGGAGCTTGATCTTGGCAATTTATACCCACGCGTATGCGACGCGTACGAATTCCACAAACGTCATGGGATAATGGCGACTATCCAGGCCATCAAGGCCAGCTCTGTATGTGCTCTGAACTCAAGGCCAAAAGTGTATATCTTCTAACTGGTCTATCAGGTTCATCAAATCCAGTCCGGTCAGGTCATCACCGACCTATGCTCCGTTGCTAAAGAACTAGTCGAGAACGGTCTCGACGCAGGCGCCACCACCATCGGTATGTAGCTTTAGTCATTCATTATACGATATACTCATCGTTTGATTGAACAGAGGTGCGATTCAAAAATAATGGACTGGACTTGATCGAGGTACAGGACAATGGCAGTGGAATCTCACCAGATAACTATGAGAACGTAGGTAAGCTTTGATATCTTGCTTCTTAATTCTCAATCCTATGTAAATACAAGCTAATTCTCTTCTTTTCAGCTTTAAAACACTACACCTCCAAATTATCAACTTTCGACGACCTCTCAAGTCTCAATACCTTTGGCTTCCGCGGCGAAGCACTCTCCTCCCTCTGCGCCGTCGCTGACTTCCACGTTGTCACCGCTCAAGCAAACCAGGCCCCGCGTGCGAATCGACTCGACTTCGAGATATCAGGAAAGCTCCAAAAGACTCAGATTGTGGCCGGACAGAGAGGAACTACTGCGTCAGTGGAGGGCATCTTCAAGCGACTACCTGTGCGCCGGCGTGAGCTAGAGAAGAACATCAAGCGGGAATATGGCAAAGTGCTAAATCTGCTGCATGCGTATGCTTGCATTAGCAGTGGTGTCCGATTCAGTGTCCGTAACACTGTTGGCAAGACAAAGAATGTCGTTGTGTTTTCTACGAACTTAAACCCTACGACGAAAGAGAACATTGCCAATGTATACGGAGCGAAGACGCTTAATGCTCTGATTCCACTCGATATGGAATTGGAATTTGAGCCTTCTGCTGCCATGAGACGAGCTGGTAGCGATGAACAGCTTAATCAGATCCAGGTTCGGGGACATATCTCACGTCCGGTCAATGGTGAAGGGCGTCAGACTCCTGACCGACAAATGTTCTACGTCAATTCGCGGCCTTGTGGGCTACCTCAGATTGCGAAGGCTTTCAATGAGGTCTATAAATCGTTCAATGTCTCTCAGTCTCCCTTCATCTTTGCTGATTTCCAAATGGACACGAATGCCTACGATGTCAATGTCTCGCCTGATAAACGTACCATTCTAATACACGATGCAGCCGCTCTTATTGAGTCGTTAAAAGCGTCCCTTGTCCAACTATTTGAAGCTGCCGACCAAACGATTCCCCAGTCAAACGCGCTTGGGTCGAGATCGGCTACTAAGCAGCAAGCGTTGGGATCACTTCCAGGGTTCGTCACTGCACGGCAATTAAGTCAGAGTATTTCTGGAACTGTAACCACGAGTCAAAGTCGGAGTCGACAATCTGCTTCTAGACCTGCAACCCCGAGTCACACTCGAAGTCAAAGCCGGAATGGAGACCAGACGGCCGAGGAAGAACCAGAACCCTCCCAGGCTGTTAGTGAAATGAGGCGTTTTAGGAGCTCGCAGCACGGCTCAAGCCAAGTAAATACTCCCACAAAAGCTGCAGTGGCACAGCAACCATCAAAGCAACCTACAAACATTCCTTTGTCTGGATCTAACAAATCTACGCCTGCTCCGTCTGTCGGCAGCAGTATCATCCAAGTTCTACCGCTAGAGATGGACAATCATCCATCGGATAGACCTGCAGAGCATTCGACTCAGCCCTCTGAAGTAGGACAAGAGACTAGCCAACAAACAAATGAATATGGTGAAGCACCGAACGTGGTTCAAACTGCTTTTGATCGAATGCGCGCTCGTCGAATGCCGGCTGAGATGGCCACTATCACTATCGGCGGCCACACCGTGAAATCTGTGGTAGGTAGTGGTATTCCTCGTAAGCGTACGTCCGATCATGGTCTATCAAAAGATACTCCGCGGCGCAAACGACTTATTCACACACCTTCTAGACCTAATATATTTGGTCAACATATGAAGGCCTTTGCAGCACCAGGAACGCAGACTGGAGATGACAGTCATGACGACGACGAAGAGCAAGATGAGGACCAAGACGAAGAATCCGCAAGCGAAGATAATGAAGAGGACCAAGATCCTACTTCTCCGCCGCCCGAGGACATGGACTATGTTCCCGAGGAGGATCCCCAGAAAGTGGGGGAAGAGGAAAAAATTGCTGGTCCCGTCGAAGACAATCTCGACGAAGCTCAGAAGAAAGCGCAAGAAGAAGCCGTCGTCCAGAGACTGATTAACCAGGCCGAAAAGGGAGCCGTATTCTCAAACGATTACAACGATAGACGTGCAAAGAAGATGAACAAAGGCGCCGCTCACCGCGACGCAACTGTCCACCTCGTAAGCACCATTGACTCGTCAATCTCTCAACTCCAATCGCAGATGGCAAGGCTTCGCGATTGTCTACGCTTCCGGAACTCACCTTCCAGGCCGGATGAAGCCAATGATCCCGAGGGTGAAACCGCTGAAGAACGACTGTCACTCACAGTGAGAAAGGCAGACTTCGCCCAAATGCGGATCATCGGTCAGTTCAACCTCGGTTTCATTCTTGCCGTCCGACCCGGCGACGAGCACGACGAGCTCTTCATCATTGACCAACATGCCTCGGATGAAAAATACAATTTCGAACGCCTTCAGGCTGACACTGTTGTTCAAAACCAACGACTGGTCCGTCCCCAACGCCTCGATTTAACTGCCGTCGAGGAGGAAATTGTTCTAGAGAACCGGGCTGCGCTCGAAAAGAATGGATTCCTAGTAACTGTCGACGAGAGCGGCGATGAACCCATCGGTCGTCGGTGTCAGCTCGTCTCATTACCACTTAGCAAGGAGGTAGTTTTTGGCTCGCGTGATCTGGAAGAGCTGATTGTGCTTTTGTCCGAGTCGCCTGTTGCTAGTGGGATTTCCGTGCCCCGGCCTAGCAAGGTGCGCAAGATGTTTGCCATGCGCGCATGTCGGTCTAGTATCATGATCGGAAAGACCTTGACGCAGCGGCAAATGGAACGCGTTGTACAGAATATGGGGACGATTGATAAACCATGGAATTGTCCGCATGGTCGGCCGACTATGCGACATTTGATGAGTCTGGGCCAGTGGGAGGATTGGGACGAATATGAAGAGACAGATGTGGATATTTGGCGACAATATGTAGAAGATGATGATATGGAGAAAGAAGCAGAGAGTCAGATTTAGTCTCGATATCCATAACAATTGAATCTGGTGCCCAGGCGAAGCAAAATATAAAATAATCACCACCATCGGAACCAACTTCTACTACTCTTCTTGCTATTACCAGCATCAACACCAAAATCCCCATCAAGATCCTCGTTGACATCCCCATTCCTCCTCTCAAGCTCCTCTCTTTCAAGTTCCACCTCCACCTCCCGCTCCTTAGCCTCAACACTATCCATCATCTCCTCCAAAGCCAATAAATCCCGCTCAATCACCTCCGCCCAGTTCTGCACATCTCCAATCTCCTTCAACCCCTGCCTCGTCTCCTCGGCAATATCCTCCCACTCTGAATTCTGCCGCGCAAGCCTAGCCGAACTTTCTTGGAGCGAGGTCTCTTGGAGCTTTAGTGCGGCCGTGTTTGATTGTATCGTGGCTGCGCGGTCGCGGAGCGGCGCTTCTAGGTTTGTGCCGACTGAGTGGAGCGTTGCTGTGAATGCTGCTAGTGCTTCTTTCTTTTGCTGCTCTTCTGCTGCTCCCGTTTCGGGTTGGGTTGTTGATGATGACGATGGTTCTGCCATTTTGGTTGTCTTGACTGAGGTATATGAGAATATACCAAGTTATGAAAATTAATCTTAGTACCGGTACAGACTGCCCAATAACTAGGATCACGGTGTCACTGAGTCCACGGGTGCTTTGAGTGAGGTCAAGATGACATGGTGAAATTTACTTGATGTTTAACTAACCTTGGAAGGGGTTTAAAGGTGTGCTTGATATAAAAACAGATGATTACCCCACACTTGGCATAACAACACGCCATAACCTTGGAACTAGATAACCTTACTTACACCACAAAAGGTTCGTACTAGGTAACTAAGAATCTTAGAGCGTTGGAACAATTTAGAGTACTGAAGACTTCAGGAACAGTCAAACACCAGTCAAAAGACCCAGAGACATTATCAGATTCAAATGCAGTTTCACGCCCCAGAAGATTAATACAGGCAGTTTTGGTGAAACCACGCAGAACAAAGATAGAAAAAGGAAAGAGTAAGAACAGGGAATAGATAAATAAAAAGAAACACCCCAAAATACATGCTCAGAGAAGCTATCATCCATGCAAAAAAAAATCGCTTGAAGAGATATATCCTAGCCGCGCGGGCTTTTGCGAAATGACCTTGAAATAATGGAAAAAGACAGCATACTTTACTAACATACGTTTAAAAACCCGTGAATGCCGTCATAGAGCATCAAGAAACGACCAACGACTCTTAAAATGAGATGTTGATGAGAAAGCGACAGTTGGCTGATTAGAGAAGACCTGAAAGGACAGCCTCGGTAGCTGAATAGATGTAAGGCCGCTTGAGATCAAGATTCACACCGAAGCGTCTCTCAAGCTCCTGCTTGATGCTCTTCTTGGTAACGGACATCAGGTCGGCAGTACTGAGGATCTCACGGATCTCATTAAGAATGGCGTCGTCGCTAGGCAGCGCGTTCAAATCGTCCATGCTTATGTCCATAGGGTGACCAAGCATCTCCGATGGAGCGACAGAGAGACGTGAGTTGGATGCAAGAAGAGGCATTTCCATGGTCGAGACGGGCCGAGAGCTGGCGTATCCTCCTCCGTACACTTGATATTCAGATTGCGGTTGGTGGAAGGGATGAGAACGGGTGCCATAGGAGTATCCTGACATCTCAGATCGGTCGTCACGCGAGGTCTGGGCCTCCCAGAGCTCTGCCTGGTACTCTTCCCAGCGCCTCTTGGGAATGGAGGCTGGGTCGAATTTACCTTCGTCGGAGATGACAACCTTGCGACCCTTTTCTCCTGTGATGACACGAGTGTTACCCCAAGAGAAGTCGTCCATGTTCCAGAAGGAATACAGAGGTAAGGCAAGTGTGAATATAGGAATGGCGAGAAGGTAGATGAACATCCAACCGATCATTTCCCACTTGCGACGGACGATGAAGATGAACGCCTGTAAACCGTATATGACACCCAGAAGAATGAATGACGTGATTGGAAGCGTGCTTGTGTCTCGGACAATGTAAACGATGAGGTAGATGATGTAGGCCATGGTGACAGGCTGGATGACGGTACTGAGAAGATCGATCATGACAACGAAACGCATACTGAAACAGCAGAAACCACAAAGCTGACCCATGGGAATCAGTTCCATCAGGTTGTGAACAGTGGAGTTAATCCATCGGCGACGCTGTGACAGGAAGACAGAGAAACTCTCAGGTGCCACAGTCCAGGCATGGGCCCGGCTGATGTACTTGGTCTTGAACTTGGGGTGATGTTTGATCAGGAGAGTAGTGAGATATCGATCCTCACCCAGATGGAGCAAATTCTTTTCGTGAAGGGTATCCACACGAATCTGAGCATAGGCATCGACGACTTCCGAGCTGACGAACAGGGCCTTACCGGATTCAGAAGAACGAATACGATACATGGTGAAACAACCGGGTAAACAGGTGACGGAGCCGAAAAGACTTTCGAATGCCTTGGTCAGGTTGTGAGAAATGAAGTACTCGTAAACCTGAATCATGGTGATGATGGATGTTTTGGCGTTGGACAAGGCAGTTTCTCCACATAGACCAATAAGACGGGTATCGCTTATGAAGGCTGAGACAAATCGCGTACCAGAATCTGGGGCTACCATGGTATCGGCATCGACCTGTAGAACGTATTCGTAGAAGCTGGGATTGACACCGATGATATTGCGGATCTGGTGGTACATCTCAAGTTCCATAGGGTTCATGGGCATGTTGTGGAGAACGCGGTTCATGAAGCGCATCAGCACCATCTGAGAATCACGCTTGCCACGATTACCAGGGCGAGAAACTTCAGATGGCTTGCCGACCTTGCAGACGACCAAGAAAGGAACGATATGACCCTGTACTTCGTAGAGACCAGAGTAGATCTTTGCCATGTTGTGTTGCTTCATACCCTCACCAACACTCTCAAAGCTGAGAGGTTCCGGGTCGATGGTATCGGGCACACCCAAAATATCCAAGACAATCCGGGGAGTGGGACGATCGTTGCCTTGACCGATAATCATACCGTCACAAACAATCAACAAGAGCTTGCGCTTATCGTCGTACTTCATACGAGCCATGGAGTCAATGGCACGGCGAAGGGATTCTTCATCCTCGGTATACGCTGGAACCTGACAAATGATGAACTTGTCGAGGTTTTCGGGTAAGGCCTTCTTACCGAACTGCAAAGCAGCAAAGAACTTGAAGCCAACGATGGAAATAATGAGGATTGAGATGGAAAGAATGAAGTATCGCGCAAACTGACACTTAGTCGAGTTTCGGGTATCGACATGGCCAACGAAGAACAGATTGTCCAGGCAGAGTTGCATCCGAGCGCGCATGTCCGTATCGAGATCGAGGTTATCAAAGTACTTGGAAACATCAACTCCTGATTTTTGCTGGAAGAGAGTGAGAAGCTCAGAGTTCATGTAATCGGTATCGATGGTGGTGCCGGTATGATTTTTGCCCTCCGGGAAACGAGCAACCCGAGGACCTGCAAGGTAGTAGGTCAAATCGTAAACCTTGCCGTGAATACTAGCAATGTTCTTCGTATCTGCGAGAGACTTCATGTACTTTGGAGTGTAACCGACGTAGCCCTTTTTGTAGTTAGCCCGCAACATAACCATCTGTTCGTAGAACCAATCTGGTCGGTAATCACCAGTCCAGTAGCGGAAATCGTGGTACTTGGCATTGATATCAAAGGAGGTTGAGGATGTCGTACTGGAGGAAGTGTTCAAGTTTGATCGGTAGTCCAAGGGCACACTAGGGTCAACCTTTCCATTCACACCTTGGCAAAGTGCTGATACCTGGAGAGGAAAGAGATTGCTTGCGTCTGTACCGGCGTATTTCTTGAGAGACTTTGTTGGTACGATGTTGGGGTAGTGAGAGTCCTCGAAGGTACCAAGGTTGAAGACAACTCCTCGAACACCAATGTATGAATCTGCACCGTCCTTGCCGTTCTTGTCGCTGAGCTCACCATTGGAGTAAACATGCTGAGTTGGACAGACTAATCCAGGGAAACCGACAATCATGAAGACGGCGACACCGCATGAAAACCAGATGATCATGTTGATAGCAAGCTTCTCACGCCAAGCAGTTCGCACATCTTGACGTTTCATGCGACCGACAAATTTAATCATGAAGTCGGGAATCCAAAAGGTCAGCATCCAGACAAGCGCCATCCAGCGTTTGCGGGTCCCTGAGACTTGAACATCCTCAACTTCCTCCATTTTCGTCTCGTTACCCTTCTCCAGCATTTGTTCTCGGGTCTCGAAATTTTGGAACATATCGCCAGAGTTGAAGGCTGATGCCCCTGCTTCGGAGCGTCCATCTAGATCCCGACCGCCGAAATAACCACCCTGCTTGGTCTCATCGCCGTAGATGAAGGCACCAGGAGATTGGTCAGTCGGGTGAAGAAGGCGGACCTTGGCATCCATGTTTCCACCGGGAGTGTGAACGTCGCCTTCGTCAGAACCTGCAGCCTTGAAGGTCGTCTGGACACGTTCCCCGAGTTTGGCAATATCTGCCCAGCATCGCTCACTCAGGAAGACACCGGTACTACCAACGCGAGCTTCATTTCCAGGCCATCGCCTTTCATCCAGGACAACCTCAGCCTTTTCTTTATCACTGCCCACCACAAGGTTGTCAATTTCAGCGAGACCCAAAAACTCAGCGAACGGGAGGAAGACGGTGAAGTCGGCATTTCTCAACCGCTGACTGATTTCAGCGATACCAAAAGTCTGGACCTGCATGCGCACGCACTTGCTGTCGAACTGGTTTGCAATGCGACGGTCATTGGGCTTGAGACAGATGACAAAGTACGGGTTCACGTTGGATGAGCTCAGGCATTTGTTGATGATGTCAAGAGCCGAGAGGAACTGACCAGAGGCGCCTTGGTTTGTTCCAGTCATCAATCCGGTCTTTCGACCTGTACTGCGTTTGGAGCCTCCAGCTTGACTCTCATCCTCGTCTACTTCTCCGATCTCCGAGGGGGCGATATTTGCCTGTGGGTTAACCTTGCGTCGGGCCATACTCGGCATGCGCAGGGGTTTCGAGGATACCTGGGCCTGCATGATGGCTGTTCTCTCCCGCGGATGGGAGACGGTCTGCAGGGCCTCCTGGCCAAACAGCTCTCGTACAAAGTCACTTCGGGTAGACTTCATCAAATTCATCAAGTCTCCCGAGATGACTTCTCCATTCTCTTCAATCAAGCCGGTTACTGAGTAGTCGACCTCACCGGCAAAGTGCTTGACTGAGAAAGCGAAACGGGAGCCTTGTGACATATAACCACCACCAACGCCACCAGAAGAACCAACAGAGATTGCTGGATTCTTACCCTCGAATCTCTTGCGAACGGCATCAAGGAACTGAGCATCGGATCTACCACGACGAGTCTGATCATCCAAGATGCTCAAGAGACCATTGCCAGGTTTCAGAAGGCCACGTACGGTATCCACATTATCGAAATAGCTGGTAGCAGCCACAGCGATATCCTCCCGGTCCAGCGTGTCAGCCTTACGATCAAAGAATGACTGAAGGCAGTAGTTATATAGGGACTCAGTGGCCGCATTGCTGAGAAGCTGATCGAGGGTTGAGCCAGTAGTAGAAGACTGAGCGAAGCCGGGGAAGTCGACGATGGAGACAGTATTCGCAACGCTATCTTCGGCAGCACAGATCTTCTGATTCACCGTCTCAATAACGTAAGTGACTAAAAGTGAGTATATGATGCGGGCGAAAGCATCTGCGTTGTTACGTGCACCCTTAGGGTCCAGCATTACCGTCACACGCTCGCGTCGGATTGTCTGAGTTTTGTAGCCCATGCTGTTTTCCAAAGCTTCCACACTAAGACCGAGGAATGCGGCAACATTGGCAAGAACATCTTTGTTCTTGACCATCGTCACAGTCTCACCACCATCACGGGAGTAACCACCGCTTTCATCCGCACCTGTGGTGGTAGCAGATCCAGAAATAAATTCAAGCTGACCAATGTGCAAGATACTGGCCAGAATCTGACATATCTCAGCGATCTCCCCACGCGAGAACTCAAGCTTTCGTAGAGCGGTCTTGAAGTGCTGGAAGCCCTCAGTATCGTTGACTCCAACCTTCAATTGAGTGGGATGTCCCAGGTAACGCCATCGTTTATGGCTCACTCCACCATCTCCGCCGGTTTGGATGTGAATCGGGGCGTTGAATCCAAGATGGGATTTCTCGGCGGCGCTGGTTCCTGCGAGAAGATAATAGAGGACATGGAAGCTTCGCTCTCCCGTAGGCACAGAAGAGATACGGCTCCGCTCCAGTCGATAATCTATAATTTTTCCACCGATCAGGGTAGGGTTGACGGAAGATGAGGCATCATACTGCAGTTCAAGGAAAAGACCAGCCTTGGAGGCTGTGGGTGTCGTGACGGATTTGGTGGTGGTGAGGGTGTCGAAAACAAAGGCGGCATAGGAGAGTTTTGAAGAAAGAGGGGTGGAGGAAAAGGACAAGAAGGAAGACAGCAGGTGTGAACGAAGAGTGGTCTTTCCAGAACCGCTCTCTCCTCTAGATTAGGAGGTTAGCCGCTAACCCGCTGTTTTACAGTGTTGAAGGGAGAAAGAGGGGGTAATATTCTTACAAAAACACCACTGCTTGGTTCTCTGCGCGGGCTCCCAATCGAGTGAAAGCACGACGAGCCAAATCTTCTGCTTCTCCCGCAGCACTTCCCTCTTTTGTACCATCTGGACCCTTCGTGGCTGAGCTGTAAGTATTCAGGGCAATCAATGCCTGAGATGAAAGGCGAGCTGTCGGCAAGCCCACATGGAATCTGACGAGGAATTAGCACGCGCAACGCGCTCCAATTTCAGGTATCATTTTGACATACCGACTGGCCAGATGAGCTGTGAGATGTGTATCCGACTGAAGGTGTGCGGGGAGTGAAGGAAGCGAGGATTGAGCGTGTGCTGGACCGGTCCCAGTCACGTTGGCCATCTTGAAAGTAGAACCTCGAACCTTGAGGTTGAGGGTCAGAAACGAGTGTAGTCGGGCTAATGGAGGCCTGTCCGACTAAGCAGCAGTGCGAAGTCTCGACAGGTCTCGAAGAATGTACGAGGGGGTTGGCAGCTGGAATGTGACAAAGAGGAATTCAACAAAAAGGGGAATCCTAGTGAAGTATGATCTCAATCATGGAAGTTAGAGTGATGAACTAGTCTCAGACTTAAAAACGAGTGAAAACAGAAGGAAGACAACTATGAAGGAAATTAGAAATTGGGGATAAGTGAGATAAGGTCCGGTCAATACGAGCACTGCGGAGTACACCAAAGCTGTACTATGTATGGTTGTATTATACCCGTCACACACTAAGAATAGCTCTCCACTCAGGATCTCCATAGTGAAACATCTATGGGGTCTTTTCCGTAGCTTACTTAAAAGGAGATTATTACTGGAACGAAGCTTCACTTGAGAAATCTAAACTATAAAAAGATGTACTGTGTAAAGGAGTTGATGAAATGTTGTACTTAGTACTTTTGAGTCTCAAGTAAACACAGATCCACTTTGAGAACTAGCGTAACCGGCTGTTTTATGGTTAGTTAGGGTTTAATCCCATGTTTTGTTCTGTTCCTGGGTTCCTGTTTCTGTTCCTATTTCTGTTCCTATTTCTGTTCCTTGTCCCTGGAATGTACATACGTATACATCTATCATATGCAAACAAAAAGCCGAAAGCATCGAAATATCAGAATATGAAATGCCAAAATGTTAAACATCGGACCTCTCTATATTAAAAAGTGAGGAGATGGTCCAATTTGAATGGGCCGAGTGAAACTAGGGGTTCGTGGCGAGTGGCAAGCTGCCCCTTTGTGAGACATCCCAAATATAGATTTGTGTATTGAAGTTTTATCGCTTTATCGTATGGTCGTATTATCGGTTGTTTGAATACATCAATACTACTTCATAGATTTTATCGACTCTATTTTTTATTCTTTATATCTTATATCTTATATCTTGTTTTATATCTTGGGTTTGATTTAATCTCTTTTCTCTTCTCTTCTAGGTAATGCTCGTTTCATAATTAGTGTATATTACGGAGTGCATTCGGAAAGCTACAAGTCAGTGCTACAGGGATCGGTATTTGTCCACTTTTCAACCCCGTATTTTATCCATCGCTTTCTCCACGCATCCTACCTTATCACTTCTGGGCCTTCCACTTTCATCTCCTCCTTTCAAAACACACCAGGAGTCTACACTCCAGTCACTCGCTCAATTATCCCACTGGAGGATTACTTTTGTTTTGGCCCTGACAATTTACCTCTTGTCCCTCATCACACTGCATCCCTCGTTAGCGGATAATCAACAAAAGTCATTGACAGAACAACTCTCATGCTCTGCTAAAACGAGAGAAAGTGTTATTTGGGCTGCAGTTTAGCACCCTCCAGCTTTCATCATGTCGAACCCAAATCGATACTCGGTTTTTTCGACCCAGTCCGCTGGTATCTCCGGAGGTCCTACACCGACCTCTCACCATACGACCCAGGTCTCGACCACAACGCTACTAAATGCTCTGCACTCGTTCTATAATGCCGGTCAGCCCTATCAACTAGACTCCAGCACAAGTTTGGTCGTCAATACATGGGTAACTGCGGCAACAATTCTACCGGATGGGCGGAATGGAGCTACCATTGATCGTGATTTGGCTGTCCGAGCGTGGGAGCATGCCCGTCGGCGAGCAGAAGATGGATGTATCGTTCTCAGGTGCGCAACCTTACTCGTTATCGCTTTGTAATCCTGATGTGATCATGTATACTAATCCTGAACTAGCTCCCTCCATCAGTCTACCCCATCGTTATTGGAGCCATTCATCGCAGCCCTCCCAATTCCCACCCCCGCGACCACTTTCACGGCCCTCGCTGCACTTCGACCATTCCTGACGGCTGTGACTTCCTTCAATCCATCGTACTCCCTACACTCCGCCCTCTCTGTTTCATTTACATTGACCCTTCAGGGCACCGTGGTCGGTTCATCTCTAGCTCTTTCGACGTCTGGCATCAACGTACAACGGGGTCTCCTCGAGATCCCGAATGAGGCTGGATACCGTGCCTTCGATGTTTTCTACTACCTCCTGACCTCTGCTTCCACCCCCGCAGAACGTGAATTTCTGGACCTGAAAGATCCCTCCGCGTACGCTCTACTCAGCCGATCTGGATCCTATAATTCTCCCCTTTATCTCCCCACCGCAGATGATACAGCATCTGCGGAGGATCTTCGAGCCAACCTCAAGGCCCTTGGCATAAAAGGCGCCACTCAACGAAATTTGCTCTCCGTCCTTGCCGGTCTCCTCAAGCTTGGCAATGCTGTTGGTCTCATGGTGGACCAAGAAGACTTGGAGGACGTCTGTGAGGACGTCGGTGGTCTTCTTGGAATCGATCCCGAGGTGTTACTTACTAATATATCTACAGATGAGCGCGAAATCCTCATTGCGGGCATTTACGAAGCCCTCGTGGACTGGCTCATTGAAAAAGCAAACCAGGCTATTGCAGCTGATATTCAAGTGACTCTGGAAAACGACTCCAACAATGGAGGCCCAGCCCAATGGTCTAACGAGGACACTGTCGGTTTGACCGTCATCGACATTCCCCGTCCTGCTTTGGGCAAAGCAATTGCAATGAGGGGTGTTTTCGATGATGACCTCGGTATCAACGCTGAGATGAAAGAGGATGGAGTCCCCGTCCCGGCAGTTGGCCAGTCGGTCATGAACGAAATGAATACTGCTGTGGCGCAGGTAGAGGCTGATCTCGGAGCCACCGGCACTCCCGCTGCCCGAGAGCGTGATCACGAACAAGATAAACGGCAGGGAGTCTTGGAGAAGGTCGGATTGGAAGCTGAAGCTGATTCAGTCCTGCGGCAGCTTCTGTTCCCCGTCGAGAACGAGGGCATATCCCTTGGCAAACGGGGACGTTTCGATCTTCCGACCACCCTTGGCAGCAGTCGTGTCTGGTACCATCTTTCTATCCACCCTACCGATGACTCCCCAGAACAGCTTGTCAATTCAAGTACAGCTTGGTCAGCGGGTACAGTCTCACGCCAGCTACGAGACTGGCGTCTTCCTGAATGGGCCAATCGTCGTCTGAAGCAGCTTGATTTCACCGCCGATTTCGATGTGGAGGAGTTCGTAGCCCGATACTCTAGACTTGGTTGTGCAGAAGGTCAAGATGGCGTTGAAAGCTGGATACTTGAGAGGGGTTGGAGCAACGGCGATGCCATTGTGGGAAATCAGCGAATCTGGATGAGAGAGGGTGCATGGTGGGAAGCTGAGAGCATGCTCGATCTTAAGCCTGACGAAACCTATGCAAACCCTTTCGGATATGGCGCTACTGCCTACGAACCAGGTCTGACCCCAGATGGCCATCCCATCGGCGAGTCTTCCAACTTGCTGGGTAGTCGAGATGACCTATTGATGAATCAGTCTGGTATGGTGGCGCCGAGTGTCATGGGAGGTGCCAAGTCGATTGCCCCCAGTATGCCCTACACCAACGCCGGCGGTGTTGGTGACTATGGTCTCGGCCACAAAGGTGATGATAATAAGGGTGACATTGCATACTACGACGATTACGGGCGCTACATTGGCGATCTCGATGCTGAGTTGGGTGAACCCAAGCACATCGAGAAGAAACCCATTACTTGGAAACGTCGAGCATGGGCAGGCGCCACCTGGGCCCTCACCTTCTGGATTCCATCCTTCGTCCTTAGATATATTGGTCGTATGAAGCGCCCCGATGTTCGCATGGCGTGGAGGGAAAAGGTTGTTCTATTCCTTATCATCTTGTTGTTCAACGCCTTGGTTTGTTTCTACATTATTGCCTTTGGTGATGTTTTGTGTCCCAACAAAGACAAGGTGTGGAATACACAAGAAGTCTCTTGGCATACCACAAGTAGCGCTTTCTACGTTAGTATCCATGGTCGAGTTTACGATATCTCCAAGTTTTACACACTGCAGCACAGCGACATCACGGGAGAGGACACGTCCGCATCGGTCATGCAAGATTTTGCTGGTTTAAATCTGGATGCATACTTCCCTCCACCACTCACCCAATACTGCGGCTCATTTGTCAATAGCGAATCCATCACGCTTCAAAACAACGACACCAGCGCTATTGTCTATCCTACCGCCAAGCACAATTGTGGTCCTACCAACTTTCCACAAACCAGCACCAAGCTTCACAAGATCACCTGGTATGGCGATGTCTTTTTGCCGAAGATTGCCGATTATTACAAAGGTCCGTTGGTATGGACCAAGAAGACTATCCAGAAGCAAGCTAGCTCGGATTCACGCTATTGGGTTATTCTGAATCAGAAGGTGTATGACCTCACGGACTACTTCTACACCCTTGACGAAATGAACGACATCGATAGTTATAGCTTCCTACCAAGCGCCGTTACTACACTTTTCAAAAACTACGCTGGAACTGATGTTACAGATAAATGGCAAGATACGACTGAGTTCAAGAACGCCGAGAGGTGCCTGAACTACGTCTTTTACAAGGGTATCGTAGACTTCCGAGGCGATGCCCGGTGCACTGTGAACAACTGGCTCCTCCTCTCGTTCACCATTCTCATTTGCTCTGTCGTCCTCATCAAGTTCTTGGCAGCCTTGCAGCTTGGATCTAAGCGAGTCCCGTCGCCCCAAGACCGCTTTGTGATTTGCCTTGTCCCTGCTTACACCGAAGGTGAAGACGCTCTCCGTAAGGGTCTGGACTCTTTGACTGCTTTGCAGTATGACAACAAGAGAAAACTGCTCTTCGTCATCTGTGATGGTATGATCGTCGGTGGAGGCAATGACCGACCCACGCCCAAGATTGTACTCGATATTCTGGGAGTTGATCCCAAGGTTGATCCACCGGCACTGCCGTTCAAGTCTATCGGCCAGGGTAGCGACCAACTGAACTACGCCAAGGTCTTCTCTGGGTTGTATGAATTTGAAGGAAACGTCGTTCCCTACATTGTGGTTGTCAAGGTCGGCAAAGAATCTGAGCAGAGAAAGTCCAAGCCGGGTAACCGTGGTAAGCGAGATTCTCAGGTTCTCTTGATGAAATTCTTGAATCGTGTCCACCACCGCGCCCCCATGTCCCCTATGGAACTGGAGGTCTTCCATCAGATCAACAACATCATCGGTGTCGATCCAGAGTTGTATGAGTATTGTTTCATGGTCGATGCGGATACCAGTGTCAAAGAAGACTCCTTGAATCGTTTGGTTGCAGCATGTGCGGCAGATGCAAAGATTGTTGGTATCTGCGGTGAGACCAGTCTCCAGAATGAAGAAGGAAGTTGGTGGACCATGATCCAAGTCTATGAATACTACATTTCGCATCATCTTACCAAGGCATTCGAGTCCCTGTTTGGCAGTGTCACCTGTCTTCCTGGATGGTAAGTCATTCCCTTGCTTTTCATTATTCTCAAGCTTTTCATGGGCCCTAACACAATCAATTTAGTTTCTGCATGTATCGTCTTCGCACAGCTGACAAGGGTCGCCCTCTCATTATTTCGGAAAAGATTATCGACGAATACTCGGACAATGATATTGACACGCTCCACAAGAAGAACCTTTTGTCTCTTGGAGAGGATCGTTTCTTGACCACACTTATGATGAAACACTTCCCAGCAATGCGATACAAGTTCCTCCCTGGTGCATTCGCACACACTGCTGCCCCGGATACCTGGAGTGTGCTCATTTCACAACGTCGTCGCTGGATTAACTCAACCGTCCATAATCTGATGGAACTGGCAGCTCTTCAGGACCTATGTGGTTTCTGCTGCTTCAGTATGCGTTTCATCGTTCTGATGGATCTGGTCGGAACAGTTATTCTTCCTGCTACTTGTGTTTACCTAGGCTACTTGGTTTACTTGATGGCTGATAAAAGCCAGCCCTTCCCAACGATCTCAATTGCCATGTTAGCGGGTATCTATGGTCTTCAAGCATTGGTTTTCCTCATTAAACGCCAGTGGCAGCAAATTGGCTGGATGATCATCTATCTTTTGGCTTTCCCTATCTTCAGTTTCGTCCTGCCCTTGTACTCCTTCTGGAAACAAGATGATTTCACCTGGGGTAACACTCGTGTGGTCATCGGTGAGTCAGGTGACAAGCGTGTCATTGCCGTTGAAGATGAGCCATTTGACCCTCGAAGCATTCCTTTGCAGCGCTGGGATGACTATGCTGCCTTCAACAACCTGCCTGGCCGACGTGGCGACGCAGGTGCGAATGAGAAGTTCTACCCGACTCAATACGTGGATGAACAAGCTATGGAGATGGATGAGATGCAATCGCAGTACTCGTCTGTCAAGCCAGCTTCAACTATCCTAACTGGCTTCCCTGGCCCTGGCCAGCACGCCAGTCCCTACATGCCTCCTCAATCGCCCGCACCATTCGTTGGCAGCAACGTGCCTGGCAACCGTAACTCGCACATGTCCAACTTCTCTCGTTACACCGATCTTCCTCATATGGGCGGTCAAAATCCTGCTGCCGCATCTCGACACATGTCTGTCGGCAACTTGAGCGCCTACCGAGACAATCCCAACAACGCCAGTCGCCACAGCATGGGGCTCATGGCAAGCACTGACAACCTTCTGGGTGGCTCGCGCTCCCGCAGCCCCCTTGCACAGTATCCATCTCGACCAACCAGTACTGCCTTTGATTTCCGCAACTCAGCCATAGGCTTTAGTGTGGATGAACAGTCTATCACCGATGCCATCCGTGGATGTCTCGCAGAGGTTGATCTTGACACAGTTACTAAGAAGCAGGGTTAGTTTCCTCACTTTCTCCAGTCACTCCCTTTATCCCTTACAATGTCACTAACTTGTACCTCTCTAGTCCGCGCCCTTGTCGAGCAACGCTTGCAAGCCCAGCTCACTGGCGAGAAGCGAGCCTTCTTGGATCGCCAGATCGATCAAGAACTGGCTAACATGTGAGCTCTGATTATATTTTTGACTCAATGTCTTTTTGACGCATATTTTCCGTTGTGACATGCATCTATGAAGATATTTCCCCTTTTTTTGATGGCAATTTTCGGCATGTCTGGCGTTTAGAATTAGGAATGGGTTTTCTCATCTTTCATCTTTTGCCTATATTAGCTTTCAATATTTCGACCTCTCGAATAAATCATACAGCGAGTGAACATTATCAACGTTTAACGTTTAATACATGAGAGAATTATCTATTCTAAAATCAATAGGTACTATGTAGAATAGAGATGGGACTTTGATGGAAATACTCGCAGGTTTAGGTTTCATAGCCGATTTCCAGTGTTTAAAAATCTCCAGGGCTTGCCCACTCGCTTTCACTTCACCCGTGGACTACTCTTACTTTTTGTCTTCGAGGTTTCACTCTCACTTTCACTTGTTATATATGTGGCTGGCCTAGGTGGATCTGGCGACACCTACATCTTCCAATGTTTCAAGTCACTCCGGTCTACACATCCCCAGCTTGTTCCAGATCAGGAGCACCCAAACACATATTGAACCTCCGGAGCTTCTTTCCTTCTCCTTTCCACTACATCACACTTACCCGCATAAGGAGTCTGTATACACCATCCTGTATTCACCACTCCAAGTTTCCAAGGTTCTCTTTACTGCCAACAAATCCCTGCAATACTAAGCCATATCAACCTGTCAGGCAGCTAAGGTGATGCTGCCGTGGTCCATTTCCAGCGCACGCGCGCAGCATCGTTGAGATAGCAGCAACATGAAAATGTTCAAAGATAAGATTGGAACGGCGATTGGCATGGAATTAACGATAACCAAGCTTCTAGGATCCTCAGCATCACCGGCACCAGGGCCATTGCCCTCGATATCAAATCCGAATCAAGAGCTACAGGCGTTATCAGGATTGCTACAGGAATCACAGAAGTACTTGAGAGCGACACTATCTGTTTAGCGGTAAGAGCATTCACAGCATTTTCATCCTTGGCTATTGTAAGAGTCAGGGATAGCTCCTCCAAAATGAATAAGCGTTGAGGTGGAATATCTCCAAGAAGAAGACATCCTGAGTCCTGGAGGCTCATTATCAATACGCTTATCTGTGGACAGATCGGATATCACTCACTTGTTTCAAATGTGGTGAGCAAGGCATTACTATGCCAACAAATTCACACACCTGACAGTGACAGTCGTGTAAACAGTACTAGGGACTCGAATGTATATAAGCCGTGCCGAAAGCTCCCTTGCCAGTATGTTTAGATCTTGACATGGATGGAAAAGAAAATTGGGACCAGCATGTGAATTTTTAAATAAGAAAATGAAGTTACACAAGTACCTAGAGCATAAAAAGGCAATTGAAATGTGATGTACCTGGGTAGCTACTACCGACCTTCCAACGGAAGTTCTTCATTGAACAATGGTATACAACTCTACTACTTACTACTAGTCTCATATAGGAAATGCGTGGACTTGGTACATATGTAAAACTTATTGGTAGAAATGCATCTGAAGATCAAAATCTCATTGGGATATCAAAAGAGCAAAAATCAACTCGGAGATAAAGGACCAATATCAAAAAGAGGAAATTTCCGAATCGGCACTAAAACAGTAATGGCACAAGAAAAATAAAACACAAAACAAATCCGCTCTATCTCACGCGGATCTTGGATATCTTGTTTTTCTTTTCTGACGCCTTCATTGCTTGCTTTCCGTGGTATCAATCAAGTGAAATCAGAGACCAAAAAAACAGTTAACCGAGACACGCTTAAACAAAAGACAAAAATAGAAAACAAATCAATCACAACTAAGGGTATACTGCTGTAAATGGATATTTTGGGTTTAACGCGGTGGCCCGATTGGGGCCGGGTATCCAGAAGTAGAATTTGAAGTGCTAGGGCGACCACTATCAAAAGAGGCACGGGGGTCGTGCTTGGGAGTCATGTCACCAGGCGCCGTGCCGAAGGGAAACTTGGCATCAAAACGGGCAGGCCAGCCGATGCTGCTGCTGCTCTTGTGGCTATGCGAGCTCCCTAGAACAGGCATGTCATCCTCGGGGAGGTTGACGCCGGAGTCGTTCCATGGGTTACGGTAGCCACTGTCTCGGGATTCCATAGAAACCAGCGATGCTTTGGAGGCATTGCTGGACGCATGCTTGAAGAAAGATGCTGGGGAAGCCGAGTGGTTCTTGCGACCAATGAACGAGGAGAAAGATGAGATACTACCGGGCTTGCGAAGTCTCTCGAAGATCGAGCCACGATCGCTGGTCTCATCGACGAAGCTTGGTCGGGTGGGAGAATCAGTCAATAACGGTGCTGGAGCATGCTGCAACAACTTGGAGTCAAAGAAGGGCAGGGATTCCTCGAACGAGTCCGACTTAGGGCGAGGGATCGCACCCTTGACGGTGTTTGCATCCAACCCATGGGCAACCAAACGAGAAATCAAGAAGTCGATAGCATCCTTCAGCCCACCGGCATTGTTTCGAGTGTAGCCAAGCACCACGAGATCCTCAGGAGCGGGTTCAGGCGAAGAAGATAATTCATCCTCTTGGCCTGGAAGATCAGCGCTAGTGTCAACGTTGATGTCAACCTCGTACTGCTCCTTGAGTTTGGTTCGAACATCCGTGAGGAAGTCTGGAGATTTGAAGTATCCCCGCAGCTCGGCAGAGCTCTGGAAGTGAAGCTCATGACTTTCCGGCACCATGCCCAGCAGAGCGTCAACGGCTTGGGGAACTTGGTACTCGGGGCCGGATATGGCCACAACGTCACTAGCAAGCTCTGTGCTGGGAAATTCGATCTTGCAATTCCATTTTTTCTCAAGTTCGTCGATCTCCGTGATACGAGCCAACAGTTCGCGGTGGTACAGTCGGTTGATGACGACTCTCTCCGAGACATACTCGGCGTCGACTTTCTCGACCATGTCCATAATCTCCTGCTTCACAAGATCCAAGCTCTGAGCGTTGCGAGCGGGTGTGCGACAGATGACATTATCCACCTTTATATCATCATCTTCCTTGCCCATGCCACCACGATCCATTGCGTTGGAGAACTTGACGAAGACAGAGTATTTCTTCATGATGCGTTGGATGTGCTGTCCACCGATTCCAATGATCCGCTTGTGATATTGGTCTGGAACGTGGAATGAGATAGATGCAGGCATCTCCTGCTCCACCAAGTCAAGGCCATTCTTCGTAGACTCGTATTGGTTCCCGCACACATCGATATAAAAGTTGTACTCGTTAAAGCCGTCGAAGATGATTTGAACATTGCCTGCTTGTGTGTTAGTGCCAAAGATAGATCAGAAGAAAACCAAAAAAAAAAAAACTTACTTTGGCCCATGATCTTGTTGATCTTTCCGTTCTTCTTTCCACTCACGAACTCCTTGTGCTCGTTGGCAAGCTCGATCTTGACGCGCATCTGGTATTGACTTCGGGTCACGAACGGAATTTGGTTGACAACAGTCATGGCGGCCTTGACGGCATCGTCGGAGCCGTTGATTGTGAAGGTCAGATTGTCAAAGCTGACCTCTGCTTCCGAATTGGTGCAGATATCGGAGAGCATGGAACGAACGTCAGCTGCCGAAGGAGATCGAAGGCCACCCTGGGCGGGGTCAGGCATGATTATCCACCACGAAGCACTGTAGAATTGACCGGCCTTTTGAAAATATTAGCTCAAACACCTCTTTCAGTTGTAGAATAATGGAATCATACCAAAGCCATAATTTCCCGAACAGTCCGCTCAACATGAAGAACCTCAGTGCCTTGAATCCTGACCATAGCACGTTGGCTACCCAGCTGCGGGAAAAGAACGTAGGAGCCGTTCATCTCCATGACCTTGCGGACCTTATCTAAGCGATCAAGCAGAATGTTATCGATCTTGCTTGCGTTCACCATGACATCCTTGACGTAGATCTTGACACCCAATACTAACTCCCGAAGCTTCTGCTTGGCGCGAGCAATCTGCTCAGGTGTTTCGCCGGTTATGTAGACTTCGTCTTCACTTCGTCGATTTGCGCCAGGTGGGGTATAGCCAAAAATTCGAGGGAAAGGAGGGGGGAAGTAAATAGCGGTGCCGGTAGCTGCTTCGATGAGCTTGATGTTTTTGCGCGTGCGACCACAGACCAAAGTGTGCATGGTCAACTCGAGTTTGATGGCATCGACGTGGCGTTTAAGCTATAATTCTGTTAGCAAAATGATCCAAGGTCGTCATACCGCACACAGAAGAAACGCACAATTTGATCGATCATGATCAGGACCCGGGTCTTGGCGTGTTCAGAGCTTTCCATGTCGCCATAAATAGCGACTCGGAAGCGTTGCTCCAAGCCATTGTCCGATGCATAGCCATAGGAAGAAACCACGGCGCTGTCTGCATCGTGGAGTTTAGGCGTTAGCAGGAAGATGTCAGTACCGGTGTAGGCAGCCAACGTGTCCATGTGTTCGAGAACGCTCGCGCGAATCCCCTTTGGCGATCCATCCATGATTAAATGCATATCGACATCGACGGTGGCACATTGCTATGAAGCAGAAATCAAAATGGTTAGTGAGAGATGTTTCTCGAGGCCACCGGCGGGGGAAAAGAGGGAAGAGAAAAATTCATCCACATACCAGCATTATCGGTGTCTCATTCAATATTTTGGATCGCATCTTGCGCACAGTCTCTCCATCACCTGTGACACACACATTTGTCACCAAGCCGTTTGGGCGTCTTTGTGGCGATGGCACGGCCTTTGGTTCCAAGGAAGTTACTGTGGCTTCGATACGTCCTCCACTCGTTTCGGTAATCTGGCGACATAGCCTTCGCAAACCTTCGACGTTGTTGGTGTGTACTGGTAACTGATGGACTGGGGTTCCCTCTAATGTGCCTTCTGGAAAGGTCCAACGTTGTAGGGCGGCGGGGCTGGCATGGATGACATCGTCAACGTCGGGACCGGCCAAAGTTGAGGAGAATGGAACGTTAAAGGCAAGGTTGACGGTAGGATCGATACTGGAGGGAGGTGTCATCGGGGGAGCACCATTTGGTCGACGAAAGGCCATGTCGGTGTGAGGCCTAGACATCCCGAAGGTTGGAGTCATTCGTTCCCAACCATGACGGGCCTGGCCCGTAAAGTTGGATATCTTGTGCATGACCGAGTGATCGGCTCTCTCTCTCTTTCTCTCTCTCTCTCTCTCCTACCTCAGCAATAAAATGTGAGGGGAAGAGGGAAAGGGGAAGAAGAGTTGGATGGAAAGGTCGTGACAGGGATAGGAATGGCCTGTGTGGGCGTTTCGGGAATGGTGGGAACGAAGATCGATCGATGAAGGGAACGGACCAACCAAAAGAGTCAGTCAAAATGTAGTCAAAATGTAGTCTGTATTAGATATAAAAGAGAATAAGATAGATGTAGAATAAGAGGGAGTCTAATTGCTAGTGTTTTTCATTTCTCTATTTCCCTTCAGATGGGTCTGGACTCTCGTTAGTCCATATGCAGAAGTATCGTCGGTTAAGCCACATCTTATATTATATAGACCATAGAACTTGGAAGCTGAAAAGAACAGACTCGGATCATTACCAGGTACTTCCATAGTATATAGATATGTCCCAATACCTGATCTTCTTCTACTGAGACAAAGGAAAAAGCATCCTGCACCGCCTCAGTGGAATGCTTCCTTTAATGTGAGTAATCAGATCAGTATTACTACTCATCCAATTCATTTCAATTATCTCGACACCCTTTTAGCTTATCTAAATGAAATAAATGGATTGAATGGATTCAAATATCTCATTTGATTCCTAATGCTATTTCGAGTTCCTGATTTCCGGTTGAATTCAAGCGAAATATCACGTGATATCATCCATTATCTAGACTCCTGGAGCCTGGAGCTGCTTCCTTTCAACGCATCTCGGTTTTAAGTTGTTGGCTAATACCTTAGTACACCGACTACAATATCCCCAATCTCGGCGGGTTCAATTCAAATGTTCACTTCTTCAGTCCTAAAACACCTACAGAAGGGGTAATGGATCCGAGTCCTTCCGCATTTCCCACGACGTACACAGACCCCTCCACACTCTTATAGGTCGCGGCCTACCTAGAGTCTCAGAAAGTCTACGTGATGTGTGGGCCCCTCATATGCATCAGCCATCAGGCATGTGGATAGAGTCCCATACCATTAATGCCTAGGGAACTTGAACTTGAATCCACATATTTCCAACACTCATGGCAACAATGTGTTTCTTTCGACCAAGTTCTTCAACTTTATGTGTGAGATCAAGCAGTCAAAAAAAAAAAAATACAGAGTACCACTTAATGAAACAAGATGTGTTCCGAATGGATGAACCATCTTCTGGTCCGTGGACAGCCGGTGGCGACGTAAAGTTGACCAAAAGCTGGGGATCTCCAGGGTTGCATATTAAGTAGAAGTAGTTTCCACTTGTTGTCTATCGACCACTTTTTTTTCTTTATTTTCTTTATTTTCTTTATTTTTAATTTTAATTTTCAGATGGTCATCACTCTCAACTAGATAGTTATTTATATTACCAATTTAATAACAGTTGACGTGTGTCAACGGTGAACAGTATTGGAAGGTTGGCCAACAGCTTCATTTGGGGAGACCTTCCGATTTGTACGGATATAAAGTACACGCCGATCATCATCGTACTTTTGTTTACCGCTCAAGTTCGAGGTTCCGTTTTTCTTGTCGGCAAATGCATTAATTGATGAGTCTATTAATAGTGATCGATGTCGGGGGCTGTGTAAGGGACACTCGGGATGCCTTACATAGACAAAGACCCGTGGCCAAAAATAATGATGAATAATGAAATTAACGTGATCAGAGTCTGACTAATATTCGAGTTTATCTAGTGAGTTCACTACCTTCGACGCCAACTGTTTGAACGACTCATCCCAGATCTTGAGCGCCTTTTCAAATTTCTCAGACGAACAAACAAACCCTACTCTGAGATATCCTTTGAAATCGGCATCGGACTCTGTGCCAAATGTCTTGCCACCAGGCACAATGAGCAATCCTGTCTGCGCAACTAGGCTCTCGCAGTAAGCGGCTTCATCTACTGGTACACCGTCCCGATCAACAACACATACAAATGCGGCTGCAGCACCAGTGGGCTTAACCCAGCGTAGTCTGTCGCCATGCAACTGGATAAAGGCATCCAACAAATTGAGATTATGATGGCATATCGCTAGCGATCGCTTGAGGATCTTCGCGCGGATGGGCGCTTCCAGGGCATAGGTTGCTATACTCTGGTCGACCTGCGATACTGAAATAGTCGTAAAGTCACTGGCCATTGCAAGCTGGTGGATGAGTTCTGGGTTTGGCGAGATTACCCAGCCAAGTCTCACACCTGGCAAGGAATATGCCTTGGAGACACTGCTTGTTGCAATAATGTTCTTGTACTGACCAGCAAATGAGAGGATTGACGGTGGGACTTCCGCAGAGGAATCGTGGAAAAGTGGTCGAAATACCTCATCGCTAAGCAGAATGATGTTTCGCTGGGCTGCAAAAGAGACAATGTGCTCCAGAGTAGCCCGAGGGATTGATGCTCCGGTTGGGTTGTTGGGAGTACTTTTGGACTCAAGTTAGGGATATAGAATTGAAAGACAAGATATTACTCACTTGATAATGACTAGCTTCGTGTTCTCCTTAGCTAGAGATGTCAACTCCGTCACATCGGGGATCCATCCGTTCTCAGCGCGAGTTCGCCAGAGCGAAACCTCCGCACCAGCTCTACGAGGTACATCAAATAGTTGCTGGTATGTGGGATACTGACAGATGACATGATCTCCCGGCCCGACAAGAGTATCGAGAACCAAGAAATTGGCTGAAATGGTTCCCTGAGTGACTTGGAGAGATAATTCCTCCATCTTGTTCACATCGTCCGCGTAGAGGGAGCGGATATTCTTGTGAAGCGCTGCATTTCCTGAACTTGGGCCGTATATCAAAGGAGCTGATACATTCAGAGCGGTGACAGATGAGTCTGATGCACCCAGTTGAGAGAGATCATTCAGGCATAGCGGATCCACGCATGTATCTATCTCGAAGTATGAGTTTGATGAAAAGATAAGGAATGTGCTTGGAAATCTACCATGAAGAGTTGAACTGGCAGAAGGCTAGAAATTAGGGGAATTGTTCCAATGTTAGTAATGTGACATGAAGTTGAAGAGGATTGATTTACTTTGAACTGGCGAACTATAGCAAATGTCAGTAAGAATTGCGGGGTCAAGAAGGATTGCATTACCCCAGTTATCAAGAACAAACGATTTTACCTGAACCATGGTAAAGGGAATATAGAGTGAAGAATAGGAAATAAAAAATTTGGGGATTCATCAAATAGATATTCCAATTTTGACTCCAAGGTTGATCCGCCCTTCTAATTGAAGCAGTGAGTCATGCCCAGTAGTAAGCCCTATGATGCATGAGTATTAAACCTAGGCACTGACCCGAGTAAAGGTAACTCTACCAAGGCCTGCTGAGTAATTCCTGGAACCTGTTTCCTTGGCTTTTTTCTTAGAATCAATTCAAGTTTGAAGCTTATAAATCTTTTTTTTTTTTCACTCTAGGTAGACAAAAGAGTAATTGAAGGAAATAACTAAAAATCGCTTCTATGTTAGGAACTAAGAAGGTTTCAATTTTATCCTAGTACTACCTAGGTAGTCGAAAATACATGACTTCAAGGAAAGTACTATAGTAATAGTGCAAATTGCCTAAGTGTTTAATCATCACCATAGTGGTTTTACGAAAGGCCTGATAACATCAATTCACCTTAACGGCAGACGATTTGCATCAGGTAGAGCTTCTGTTTTGAGCCAAGAAATGGCCTGATGAACCTACCATCTTCATTTTTGCTGCTTAGCTAGTGACTTTCCTTTGAGCTTGAGACGTTGGTAATTGAACTAAGAAAGAAGAATGAAGCTGTCATTTTCGACGCTCTGCTATTTACAGCTCTAACCCCTAATTAGGCGAGGCTCTGTAATGATAATACATGCTATGTAACATGATATCAAGGCCAAGAAATGAAAAGTGAGAGTTATAATGAGACCTCTCACATCCACAAGTCTCTCAAAGCCACTGCTTGGTTCCTAGGTGAGAGATAAACGCACCACCATCTCCGTTCGATACCGAAGCTTTGTTGATGACGGAAAGAACCGCAGAGACTGACTCCTCAGGAGTCAGAGGGCGAGTGAAGTGCGGTGCATACTCAGCAAACTTGCTAACAAGCGCTTGAACCTTTTCGGCGTCATCTGGGTTCGTTTCTATCAAAATCGGACACTATTTAGTATTGTTCATAACACTCCGAAGACGAATTCCAAAGTACCTTGATTTCGCTCGGTCGACACATATCCAGGGCTGATAGCGAGGAAAAGAATGTCTTCCTGGTTGTAAAGGGCGTTGTACTTGGCAATGGCAACATTGGCCGCACCCTTACTGATAGAGTAGGGGCTAGCAAAGGCGACTTGGGAGGCGTTGATGAGATCAATATCTGCCATACCGGTGGAAATCGCGATGACCTTTTTGCTTTTGCCCTCACGTATAAGGGGGAGGAAAGCTTGCACTGTCTTGATAAAACCGAGGAGGTTGACATTCAGTGATTCCAAGATGTCCTTTTCCAGAGTGTCGAAGTCATCATCACTGTTCATTAGGTATCAGTATTCGATAATGAGGTCAGGTGAAATCAAATTTCTTACAAGTCACCTAAGGTTTTGAATTCGCTTATATGAGAAACGATACCGGCATTGTTTATCAGATAGTCCAGGCTTCCTCCGGTGATATCTTTGACGACGTCCGCAGCTTTCTTAAGAGAAATCAGCGCAACATTCTCTAGTGATGGGGTGAAATTTCTCATACCTTCAATGATGACAGATCGGTGTATTGAGCTTCCACCATGTGGACGTTAACTCCCTTGGACTTAGCCTTTGCGTCAGCTGCAGCTTTGTTCCGGACGAGTCCTATGACTGTGTTGTTTGGGTCTTGGGAAAGGTACCGGACAAACTCAAACTATTTATGTCAGTAATTATACATAAAAATTAATGTATATAGTCACTGACTCCGAGGCCACGGCTGGCGCCAGTAACAAGATAGGAAGACATGGTCCCAATCAAGTAATATCAGTATGAAAGAGTGAAAGTAATATTTTGGAAACTTAGTCAAGCAGAATATAATCCAGGGAAGTTAATGAGTGATTGAACTAGAGGTATTTATAACTTATAATTACACACTTCCAAGGATGCTGACGATGATGAGCGAGATGAATAATGGTGATTTAGTAATGAAGGGCAACTAATTGCGAACCAATAAGAACGATGGAAGGCTGTCCCACTGTCGACTTTTAGAAGGAACTGGACATAATGATATTAGATGATTTTGATTGAAAGATGAAACCCCCACTATGACTAAAACAAAGAAATTTGGTAAATATTACAAACAAGTGCAAATAACCACATAGTTTGACAGATTCCGAGTCTTCTTCCAAAGTGTTGAGGCTACATAGTGAAACGGGACTCTAGTGCCGCCGCAGACCGCCTTCCTGGTTCACTATGTACTGCTGCATAGGGCTCCTCACTGCAATAGGTATTTATTTAGGGCCCTGACTTCCTAAGTAGGTGGATATTAGAAAGATAACTAGTTAACCTTGGAATCTGTAACTAAGCACTGCCTAGATCTTACTTCAAAAATTATTGGATCTTACTAATGTTTTCATTTGAGGTTCTGAGCAGCTCAGAGCACTAAAAGCTGATGCTATCTCAATGGCATTAAATTTATGGTCTGTATCAAGTGGCTATTGATGAAATGAAATGTTGTACATGTAGCCTTGGAAAATAAACTCCCGTTTGATGTTGTATCAATGATACAATGATAAGATGATAAAAAGTCATGTCAAGCCTGATGCGCTGATTGGTGGACACCCACGCTTAAACGTCAATCGCAGAAATGGATTAAATTTTGTGAATAATCAGTAATACTGAATGTGTTGGAAGTAATGTGTGTACTGCACTGGTCTTGAATCCCGAACTGTTTAGAATGGGCGTTCACGGACCATGTATGGCTGCTCAATGTACTCGCCCTGTCTTTCTTCCATGTACACATTGCCCTCATGATTGGGGCCAAGCGGGCGTACGCTTCCTACGCGCTGGACAAATTCATGCGGTTCATCATACTGAGCCGATTGAGGCCGAACACTAGCTGTTCGGATAACTCTTTCCTGAGGAATTGCATGCTCTCCTGTGAATGTGGGGCGGTGCTGGGTAAGATATTCGGCGCTTGCGTCGTAAGGGGCGGAAAAGACCCGTCTGCCAAAAGCAACTGGGCGAGGATAGTCTGCTGTAACATGTCTGTAGACTGGGTGCGGTGGAGCCATCTCCTGTGCATATCGGCGTTCAATGTAAGGCTCCTGGACGACCGATGGTGCGCGAACACTAGCAGTACGGGTAGAAACTCGATCATCATAGAAATCACGTGTTGGAGCTGGTGCTCGGGAGATGGGACGAGGGGGTGGAAGCATAGTATGCTGCTGACTTTGTACTGGGACCATTTCGTACTGAGTTCCATGCTCATCGACAACGATGCGGCGTTGAGGTCCCGACACGGCTCTTGGAGGAAGTTCTTCATGATACGACTGACCACGTGTAGGCGGTAGCATATCATCTACAGTGACATATCGAGGACCGTACTGGGACGAGGCTTCTTCGTAGTATCTGGGTTGCTCTGGAAGACGCCTTTCAACAACCGCATATGATGCAGCTCGTGCATGGCGGGGATCGCTCTCAATGTATCCCCGGGGATATTCTGATGCAGCGTATTGCATTCTAGACACGTCAACAAGATGGGAATCCTCGAGCACAGGGTGCTGGACGCTTAAACGAGACATTGTCCGTGGGGGACGATTCTGGTAAGGGATCTCGCGATGCTGGTCAGCCTTGAAGATTGGCGCACGAACTGGAGGTTCATGTCTCTCGATAACAGTTTCGTATTGTGGAGATGCGATGTCAATGTACATTGGTCGACGTTCGCGCTGTCGCACTCTATCGTCGGGGAACGGTGGAGGGGAAACACGCTCGACTTTGATGTATGTATCGGAGGAATCGGTATTCTGCGCAATGTTAGAGACATGACGAGTGCCATCCTCTACAACCTGAACCCATTTTCGCTTTTGTGATGTTATCTGTGGGACTGCTCCGTTGGGGCTAGTAGAGTCGATATATGGTCCTCCATTCTCAGCACGCTGGAATCGCTGTCCCTGAAGCTGTGTACCGGTGGGAAATTTCGAGTAAGCCAATGGCGAGACGCGAGACGGCTGGGGGGCTGCTGGTGAAGTGATATGATTTCTCACTACTTGCACGTTGTTTCTAGGAGCGGGTCCCTGCACATGTGAGTTTCGGTCCGATCCACCAATCTCGAGGGCTGCTGCCTTCTGTCCAAAGAGTCTATTATCAAACAGCGGTGCTACTGGGGGTGGAGAGTAATCTTGATGGGGTGGAGAGTGCGGAGAGTAAGGAGAGTAATCTGGCTCGTCTGACTCAACATTAGCAGCTTCCACTTGGTCGGGGCGCAGCTGCTTCTGAGAAGAAGGGATGCGTGGGTCAGCAACTCGGTAAGCATCTTGCATTTCCTGATCAGATCCAGTTCGGTTCAGAGATTCAAGTCTCTGCAACTCAACTGAATATTGCCCATCCGAACGTGAAATAGACGCCACAGGATGCGTTGGGGCAGCCGGAGGGGGTTTTTTGTACTGGTTGGGAGGAGTCGAGTCAGGTGCTCGACTGGAGTAGAGTGAGTTGTCATCAACTGAATAGGGATCAGACGTAGGACTAGGCGACAGAGGCTTCACAACCTGCATGGCCTTACTCAGCACCTCATCAACATCAATCTGTATGTACTGTGCCTCATATTCCTTCATCTTCTGATCCAGAGCTTTCTCCACTCTCTGTCGTTTTATTTGAATCTCTGCCCTGACCAGATCATCAGATTTGGTCAGAAAGATGGGATCAAGTCCTAAAGTAGGATTGGGAGGTATATTGGTAGAAGATGTGGAATGTGTGACAATGGCAGGGGCAGGGGAGAGCGTGCTCCCTTTTTGTAGAGACTGGCCAATTCGAGTACCTGGCTTGCGTACAGACTGCGCTGGAACTTTCAGACGTGCATGTAAACCTGAGAAGATTTGATCGTTTATTTTCAGAATTCTCTCATACTCTTGCACTTCTGCCTTTGTTATTACCGACCCAGCTCCCGATGGTCCTGTTCTAAGGTGAGTTGGGGTTCCATGAGCTGTAGTCATGGTCAAGAACTTTCTTGTTTTTTTTTTCTTTCTTTTTCTTGCTTTCTTGTTCTTGCTTTCTTGTTCTTGCTTTCTTGTTCTTGCTTTCTTCTTCAGTCTTCTCAATTGAGAGGAGCCTAGATTGTATTGAGTTGGCGTTGAGTGAATGTAAGAATCATCAAGTCCCAAGATGTAACAAGTGGTCAAATATTTGGAGACGAGTCCACAAAAAGGTGACGAGTACTTACGCTAAGCCCAATTAAACAATTCCGTAATTAATCCGGTGCCGAAGTCCAGTGCTGCTTAGTAATATAGCAGCAGTTGGTAGTTATGAACTTCATCTATTGAAGTCCGTATGAATAAAACGCAAGATTTTAGGTTTTATACTATATAAACGGAATAAAAATCAAGTTTAAGATTAATGACATTCAATTCCAAGGTTGAGACCTATAATTGATGATATAAAAAGACTCTCCGCATCCAAAAATGAGGGGTTCGGATCGGGTTAATGTTAGTTCGTGATAACTTACTCTAGGCCCATGGGTGCCATTACCTCGATTCATTGGTTGAAGTTAACTCTTCGGACCTGATTCTCCATGTATCGCTCGTTTGCTTTCCTTCCTTTTAGATTTACTTCAATTCCTTCTCGCACTTCTCCTATTTCTCCCTCTTTCTTAACCAAAATCTCTCGGTTTTCCACCATGGGGACAACCCTCAACGCTCAACGTAGCGATTCACGGCCTGTGTTCTTTTTTGACATTGACAATTGTGTACGTATTTTTGAACATATATACCGTGAAATCTGGCTAACCTATGATCGGAGTTTGTAGCTTTATTCCAAAGGTGCGACTTCCTCTACCATTCCTGATCGAGCTAGATAACAATATTAACTGGTGTCTATAGCTTGCAACATTCATGATGAGATGCAAAAGTTGATCAGTGAGTGAACATATTTTCTGCACCGAGTCTTGCCATTGACTCATTTTTGTAGATGTCTTCTTCGTTAAACATCTCAACCTTTCTGTGGAAGATGCGCATATGCTCCATCAGAAATACTACCAAGAGTATGGCCTCGCCATTGAGGGCCTCACTCGCCACCACAAAATCGACCCTCTTGAATTCAATGAAGAGGTCGATGATGCTTTGCCCCTTGAAAATATCTTAAAGCCAGATCCCAAACTGCGTCAGTTGCTAGAGCGCCTGGATACCACCAAGGTTAAGCCATGGCTGCTCACTAATGCCTATGTGACCCATGGGAAAAAAGTGGTGAAGCTTCTAGGCATCGAGGATCTGTTTGAAGGCATCACGTTCTGTGACTATGGCGAGCTGCCGTTGGTTTGCAAACCGAGTCAGGATATGTACGCAAAGGCAGAGAGAGAGGCCGATGCTCCCAGTTCAGAATCATGCTATTTCGTTGGTAAGTTGATACCCCGTCAATATTTCAAATGCTTGGCTTCATGCTCACAGTTCATTCAGATGACTCGTACCTCAACTGTGTACACGCAGAAGCCCGAGGCTGGAAATCAGTACACTTTGTCGAAACAGGCTTCCCAATTCCAAGCAAGCCAGCTTCAAGCTACTCCGTCTCGAGTCTTCATGAGCTACCGGTCCATTTCCCATCCGTTTTCAAGCAGGAATAAAACCATCGTTTGAATCGTTTTTTTTTATGATCAGCTATATAATCTTTTGCGTACAGTGTTTTAGAGATGTCCCAGGCTAGAACCTTGGAAAACTTCGGCATTTTTGGCGCATCACATATAGATCTGCAGGGCTTGATTGTGCGTTCAAAGGATCTCAAATTAATGATAATCAATGGAGTTCTATCAAATCATACGGTAAAAAGGAAACCAGTACCAGGATCACGTGGTAGTCTCAGCATGTCAACTTGGGCGAGGAAGTGGGATTATATGAACCAATCAGAAGACTTCACAATCTCAAATATGTGTGTATTCGCAGTAGTGAATCTTACTGCAGTAAAGAGCGGAAGCTGACTAATAAAGAACACTAGACTAAAATAGGACTGGCCATTTGACACCACATGCTTATCATGTGACTTCCAGGTACCATATCCATAGCAGCAGTTTCATGATAATCAACCACTTCTTACAACTTACAACTACCGCACGTACTACACGCAAAAGTAGACCACTTGCGGCGTAAGCTGAAGTCCAATAGCAAGCTATTGTAGATACTCACGACCTGAGTATCCCGACAGTGGTCGATGGGCGAAGCTTGGCCAGGCGGCATGGACGACGAGGTCGTCAACGAAATCATCAGCCATCTAGAGCATGAACTGTGACCGGGAAAAATTAGAAAGTTAAAGAGAGGGAAGAAGAAAGCTCTAACTAACCTCTTCAGCATCGGGTGTCAACATTTCGTTCTCGCCGCCACCGGTGACCTGGCGGACGAGGATATCCAGCATCTTCTTGCTGAGGACGTGCTGGCCTTCGCCCTCAAGGACGTAGCCAGGGTGTTTCTGGATAGCCGGTTGGGAAGAAATTCCCATCGAAGCGTGATTGGGACCACCAGAAAGAGTAGGACGAACAAACAGCTGGCATGGAGACAGGTTCAGGAGTTGGAACGTTGAGAGTTTTAGGAATGGCCATGTTATTGTTGCGCGCAGAAGTGTCAGTAGTGCGATTTCCCAGGTAACCCTGGGGCCGCGCCTGTTGATTATTGACTGCCTGATTCATGTTTTGCTGCTGTGGTTGTTGGGAAGTATTTGGGTTACTGTAACTTTGTGCTGATTGATGCAGAGCTGCCGACGCAGATAAAGGACGAGGAGGGCCTTGGTTGATCTGTGCAGGTCCAGTTGATGTAGGTGTCGCACGTTCCAAGTTGGGAGTTTGACTGAAAGTGACTTGAGCGCCTGATGCTCCCGGTTGGGAAGGAGCTTGTGAGCGTTGTGTGAGTGGCTGCGTGGTCGAGGCAGGAGTTGTGCCCACCGGAGAGCCCGAAGGTGGCTGTCCTACCTGAGAAACAGAAGGCCACATAACAGAATTCTGACGTGCTGCATTCACAGCTGAGTTTATGGTATGAGGAGCTGGAGCCTGGGATTGTCCCGCGTTGGGTGTTTGATTGCTCGGTGTTTGGACTGGAGTTGCGGCTGCGAGAACAGGCTGCGACTGGGCAGCTGCTGGTTAACTCATGGCTATTGGGCCATTCAATCCTGATGCCTGCATTTTGAACCCTTCCTGCTGTTCCTTGAACTTGGCCAAGAAGTCACTACCCTCCTGATACAGCAGCTCAGCAGATAACAGGCGGTTTTTGAACTCTGGCACCTCCTCCGAAGTAATATTGCCTTGCGCCGTGCGTGCTGCATATTGCTGACGCAACTTGGCCAGCCAAACTCTACCAAATTCCTGTTTCTGGAGCGCAATTCCATATCGCAACCGGGCCTCGGGAATCCATGTCTGGAGTTGTTCGTGGGTGACATTTGGTAGGAGGTAGAAGTTGAGGGCGCTAACTTTGGCTTGGATTTGTGGCAGCAGCTGGTTCAAAGACTGTGGGTTGCTTGACTGAGTTCGTTGAACATGCTGTCCTTGCGGCGCGACATTCTGGGCTTGCGCCTGAGCCTGGGCATTTTCGTAGAATCCACCCTGGGCGTTGACATCGGCTCCTCGCTCTAGCAGCATCTGTGCGATCCTGTCGTGTCCTTCGAAACAAGCAGCCTGAAGGGCATTTCCGTATTCTCCACCCTGGGAGTTGACATCGGCTCCTCGCTCTAGCAGCATCTGTGCGATCCTGTCGTGTCCTTTATAACAAGCAGCCTGAAGGGCATTTCCGTGGAATCCACCCTGGGAGTTGACATCGGCTCCTTGCTCTAGCAGCATCTGTGCGATCTTGTCGTGTCCTTTAGAACAAGCAGCTTGAAGGGCATGTCCGTAATATCCATCCTGGGCGTTGACATCGGCTCCTCGCTCTAGCAGCATCTGTGCGATCTTGTCGTGTCCTTTGTAATAAGCAGCCTAAAGAGCATTTCCGTAATCTCCACCCTGGGCGTTGACATCGGCTCCTCGCTCTAGCAGCATCTGTGCGATCTTGTCGTGTCCAGCATCACAAGCAGCCTGAAGGGCATCTCTGTAAGGTCCACTCGTAGCGTTGATATCGGCTCCTTGCTCTAGAAGTATCTGAACGGTTTTATCATGCCCATTCAGTGAAGCCCATATGATCGGGTATATCTCGGTATCATCTGGTGTATTGACATCCCAGTTGTCTGTAGCAATTAATGCGCTAACTTGCTGCTCATGACCATTATATGCCGCCAGCTGTAGTGGAGTCAGTATAGGAATATGATCATATGATCGCTCTCTTTCCCTCCAAAAGATTGGAAACCATAGCCCAAATAGCTTTTCACTTGTATCATATAATCGATTTAGCCGATCAGTCATATCCTGGTCTGAAAGGAAAGTCATGTTTCGTACATGATCGGCCCAATACACTGCTGAATATTCCAAAAAGCTCTGGGACGCATGCAGCTCCGTTTCTCGCTCTTCCAAGTCCATTATTAATAGGTATTGTACGCAGATAAGAGCCATTAGGTTCTCGGTATCGCTTAGGCCGCATGCGTATGCAAATCTGAGATCGTTCGAACTTGCCTGTTGGATAAGGAATTCCCTCGCTGTCTGGTGGATAAGGTAGATCTTGGAGTTATTAATGAAAACAAAAAGACCACATAAACGACGGAGCTTCTTCTCTAGTTGTAATAGATCTATTCCAGCATGTGCTGCCGCATGTGACTGTGGGGAGAGAGCCAAACCAAGCGCCATTGCCAGTTCCGCTGTTGTTAAAGGCCGTCGTGCTCCCACAATGATCTGTAAGACTTTTCTCACGGTACCTTTCTGGTTTGAAGGTACCCGGCTAAGAATCTTTTTGTATGCCTCATTCACCGAAGGAGGTATCATTTGAATTGATTCTTCAGCAGGCCAAAGGCTATTCTCAAATGTAGATCGAATGTCTTCCATGGCTAAATATAGCCAAAGATAAGTACGATGCTCCATATTTAGAAGCTGGTTCTCAAGGCGCTGTTGTATCTCCCATGATAATGGTGCTGTTTCAGCTAGGTCCTTCACTCGCATCTTCACGACCAAATCTATTTCCTTCCGGATTTGATCATTCTATTCCTCTCCCTTTAAGTTTAGATATGGGAAAGAGTCTGTAATCGGTCGAAAGTGTTTTTGAATATAGTCATAGGGACGGCTAGTGACCAGGAATTTCAAACAGGCATCCTGTGTCGATGAAAAGTTCTGGCGGTAAAAGAACTGGAGCTTCTCAACCAACTGATTTTGATCAACCTCTCGGCACTCATCAAGCGCATCAAATATGCATATCGTTTTTTGTGTTACATTAGCTGACGTTGCCGCTAGAAAAACCCGCCAAAGCTCATCGACCTCCTGTCGAAGCATTTCCCCATTCTTTTCCCATGAGTGCATGGCATAAGTCAGTAAATGAGGCTGCTGGTCAAAAATCTGATGTAGTATAGAACATAGAGCTTGGTCAAGACGGTTTTGCTCCTGATTGTCTTTAAAGAAAAAGTAACATATTGTCACTGCTGGACTCGAAGCTAGTAAGTGGTCATCGACAATTGATTTAGCTAGTACAGATTTCCCGCAACCTGGGTCGGCGGATACCCAGAGTAGATCATTAGAGCAGCTTTCCTGCCAACGGACATATTCACGGCTCTGTAACGCCCATTGACAAGTTCCTTCCGCTCGGCGTGGATTGATGTTCTTCTGCTCCTCGTAGTTAGATGTCTTGAAAGTTTGGTGACACCGTTGTTGCTGCTCTGTTAAAGCTCTTATTTTCTGCTCATTTTGGTGTCGCTCTCTCTGCTTATACGCTCGATCTGAATTCTCATTGGTACTTTCCAAAATATCTATATTAATCAGCGGGTTATAATTTATTAACGTGGCGATCATGAGATTGATCTAGACTAACCAGATAAAACAACACTAATCTTCTCCTCGGCCTCAACCCTATTAAGAGGTATTCTATGTAGAAGGTCTTTGGCGTATGCAGCTGCCGTCATCGCTGCATATCCTTGCCACTGTTTGCTCTTATGCGAGTCCGAGTAGTCACAGATACCCCGGATAACTAGACATGGGAACGTGTTCATCAGCCCGGCCGCTTCCATTTCGAAACAGAGAACGTCTTTTTCAGCAGCTAGTTTATCTCTTATTAAAGCATCCTTCATTAACTGGTTGGCAGAAGCAATCATGCCGTAATGAATTGCAGGGTTATCCTCATTTATAGAGCGCCCACGTCGCAAGACTAAATTTGTAGTATTATTTGCACACGATGCAGCACCGCAATCTGTTTCATGAATGGCAGTAGGCTGGAAGAGCTTATCCGTGATTGATTCTGGACGTTGGTACTTCTTGCGTAGTCTTCCGTTACTGTCAAGAATACTGTTGATAGCTTCTTCGAGCCGGTGTCCCTTCCTCTCGTATTGTGTTTGAATTCCGGTCATAGCAGTCCGCAAAATAGTGGGTGGTTGGTTTAAAAATCGTGTATGCTGAAATTCTTGGCCTTGTATCGACTTACCAAAGTCGTACTGGAAGACACCACCTTAAGCACCACGAGGTGCACTGACCACAACGTCGCCTAGACGAACATCGTGCTTTTCGCTTGGTACGCCGCCACCGATGCCGACCATGAGGCCTATCCTGACGTTGTGGAAGGTGTTCAGCATGTTAGTTGCTACATTAGCCGCAGAAGCTGTGCCATATTCACCATCAGGCAAGACGGCGATGACGATGTTATGCTCGTCCATCTTGCCTAATGTATAGTCGTTGGTGTCATTTGGCGACACAAAATTGGGGTTTTCATGCTCTTCATCGAGGAATTCTTGAGCGGCAACATATTCCACAGGCAAGGCACATATCCAGCCTACGGTGTAGTTCGCAGGGTCAGACATGCCTGCTGCTCGAGCAAAAGGCGTCGAAAAAATGCCTTATTGCTGCGTTAGAGCTTGGCTCGACGATACGACACGATACACTGATAGTGTAAGGCTCTTTCTTAAACAGGAAAATTTGAGAGAACGTTTGAAGAAAATAGACAAAAAATTGTATGAGAGAGAGAGAGAGAGAGAAAGAAAGAAAAAAACCGTCACTATTGGAATGCTCAGCCACCTCATGAACACGAAGCGTAGCAGCGGCAAGATAAAAAATGTCATTGGTGGGAGGGGGGCGCTTGATTTGGCCCCCACTTCACGAAGAAAACACCATCTTGTTACTCCGTATACTAGATATTATATCTAAATAGCTTTTTAGGGCCTAAGATAATATAAGTTTATAGGAAATTTAAGAGGTCAACTAAACTATTTACGGAGTACTCTAACTATAATTAGTGATGGAGTTTCGCTATATTAGACTAATTCCTACATATTACTTCTGATTACTTCTAATTCCCATCACCCCATGAGTTTTTTTTAGCGCCCCACGAGCTTTTTATGACTCGTCTCATTAAATGAGAAAATAATCTTGTTCCGGCGTTTTCATTAGTCAATATGGTAGAAAAGCTCGGAGGGTCGCGGGGTCGCGGGGACCCCGCGACCCGGGTCTGGCTGCTATAAAGGGGAGCCATTTTCGGCGCGGTTTGGTCGTTAGTTGAAATGAAGGGAACAATTTGCCGAGGCCTAGCACAAATATCAGCTAGAAAAATGAACAATGGCGTTTAGTGGGTGCAGAATAACGGTGGTCGAGGGCCGTCTAAAATTACGGGTGGAAAGGCGGCCGTCCCTGGCTCGAGAAGCTGTCATTTTCGTCGTCATTTTCACAGGTCCTTATATTCTCTATGTAAATTAGTGAAAGAATAGTTAAGGGTTTGTCGATCAACTACGTTGAAAGGAAAGGATTCACACGTTGCACTATCTATACTGGAAAAGGGTATGGTTCGTCCTAGATTCTTAGTATATACGTTGTGCAAAGTGGTGTGAAATGTATTCCATTCATGTAGCTACTTGAGTTCTAATATAGTTGTTCCCCCGTGACTCGGGGGTCTGTTTGTTCCGTTCCGGGTTTATGGTATTGCATGATTGCAATATCCATGTTCCGACAATAACCTTCTCTAAACTATGTGACTGAAAAGCAGCTTCTTGATATATGTGATATAGATTTGGTCTGCTTCGAATGGCCTTATGGAAGAGCTGGCAAAGAAACCAAACTTTGTTCTAGGGAGCAGTGGCTCGCGCCTCATGGACGGAAACTATGTGTATGCCGAGGAACTGGAACAAGAGATTGTAGAGTTCCACCGCGTCAAGACTGGTCTTTTCTTTGATAGCGGATTTGACGCTAACATTGCCATTTTCTCGGTTATCCCTTAGCCTAGAGACGTCATTGTCTTTGATCAACTCGTGCACAACAGCATAGACATGTGCATGGGTTGGGTATGGGTCAAAATTCATACCCATACCCAACCCATCAGGGGTAAGGTAAACCCATACCCATACCCAACCCAACCCACGTGGGTATGGGTTGGGTATGGGTCCCATATGGGTATTTTTGATGCCTTAATGCCTGACTTTCGCCTCAACCTAAACTAAATTAGGGTAATTAGTGCCTTAGTGCCTAATTTTTGCCTCAATCTAGTACTAACTAGGTGACAAATATCACGTGAAATAAAAGTCTTGGCAAAAAGATGGGTTTATGGGCTGGGTGTGGGTTTTACTTCAAACCCATACCCAACCCATATGGGTTTTGGGTAAAATTTCTGACCCATACCCAGCCCATTGTGGGTTGGGTTGGGTTGGGTTGGGTATGGGTTTACCCAACCCAATGAACATGTCTACAACAGCATCTATAGAGGATGCGGACCAGTCGTGCGACGGCCTATAGTATAGCAGTATAGAGTCTTTTCGCGAGGCTCTTACTAATTTCCATGGGATTCTGCCATCTGTATCTTCTGGAAAATCCATAGTTCTTATATCCATTGAATCGGTGTATAGTATGGACGGAGATGTTGCCCCGGTGGAAGATCTGCTTAAAGCTGCGAAAGATGTCCTTCTCCTCGGAAACTTTCAGTTCTTCATTGATGAAGCGTATAGCACTGGGTTAATAGGACCTCAAAGCAGAGGCCTTATCTATGAATTAGAATTGGAGGAGAGCTTTGCTATCCGGCTGCATCCCTTTAGCAAGGCACTAGGATCTTATAGAGGTGAGTTTTTTTCTTTATTTTTATTTAATATCACCTTAGTTAGCTAAAATGAATAGCGGTTGTCCTATGTGATCAAACGATCAAAGTTATACTCCTTAATTTTGCACGCTGTCTGATCTTTTCGACGGCTCCCTTATTTCCGGCTTTGGCCACCATTCAAAGAGGCTACGCCCTCCTTAAATCCAGCTTAGGTCTGATGGCAACTTATTACTTCTTTAAAATTGCTGAAAATCAGGATAAGCCTTGGTACTGACATACCCATCTATAGCGGCAAAACTATATCCAACCCCTCGTGAGATATTTCTTCAAAAACATTCTTACGCACCTAAATTACATCTATTCTGAGGGAGCCGGGATTCTTTCTATTCTTTCTGCTGGCCAAAGACTAGAAACAGCGATGGTTCCTCACCCATATTCTCCCCGCTTATTGTCATTTTGCCGACTTTTGCGTCTGGCCTATCGACTATGCAGTTGTTCTAAAGGTATAGGGAAGAACGCGCGTTATCTTCCATATAGGTAATACGTTTCAGCAGGCTGAGCGCTTGATTAGGTTGATTATTGAATAGGCCGAGCTGATGCTGAAGAGGGAGGAGCGTGGTGCCGAGCCCGTTATAGCTATATCAGAGGGTATCAATATAGATTGGCTCATTCAAGCAGTTACGACTATAGGCTCGACTATGAACGGGAATGTCGTCTATGCGAAGGAAGTGGAATGCACATTCCGACCATGCTGCCTAGACCGTTCCCCATTTCACTAGGTACTTTTCCATATAGTCAGAGTGAACAATTATTTATATGAGTCTTAGCCCCATGTGTTCTTTCTTCTCTATCTTGGCTCAATATCCATCCATATGTACTAAGAAATATAAGAAAGTGAGGGCAAATCAGACCCAGTGAGTAAAACAGTGAAAGATGAGCACCAATGTCGAAGGGGAATACCAAGAACTGGCATGGAAAATAGATAAGGTGTTGATAAGTCATTGTGGCCTGAGGCCATGATGGCGCGTGTTCAGAAACACTCCTGAGGGCTCCGCTCTCTCACAACGCCCCGACAACCACATCGGCCATATTTGAAGAGCGCATTGTGTGTATTTAGCTATTGCACTCACAATGTCTGGTCAGGACATCTCCTCCGGCTCGGTGATCGTCTTGACCGACGGACGGCAGGGTACAGTGCGTTTCATTGGCAGCACCCATTTCGCCGTTGGAGAATGGATTGGTGTTGAGTTGATGGATGCTACCGGCAAAAACGATGGCGCAGTTCAGGGTGAAAGATACTTTGACTGCGAACCTGGATTTGGTATGTTTATCCGTCCCACAGCCGTGGGCGAGGTTCTACAGCAAGCTCCGCGTGAAAGTAAACAAGCCACCAAACCCGCCAATGCGACAACTAGCCGACAATCCTCGAGCGATGCCTCCACGGGGGCAAGAAAGCCAGGCTCCGAACCTCTCGCGGCCAGTAAAAGAACGAGTCTCAATGCGGCTACTGCTGCAACTGCATCGAAAGGGGCCGCTCGGGCGTCTTTAAGGGTATGGTTTGATTCGTCTTTATCAGTGTCCAAAACTCATTCAATTTTCATAGCAGTCACCCTCAAAATCACCTACAAAACAATTATCTACTCCCAATCGATCCTCTTTCGGTGGTGCTGCCCGGGCTTCTACTCTGCCATCTACTCGTCCCCGACCAACTCCCGCTGTCAGATCCTCGACCGGTCCAGGAGCAACTGCAGCAACCACTACCACCACCAGAACCTCACGACCCTCAGTTGTTGGAACAGTGGCAAGAGGTTCAAGACCAGTATCACAGAGTACTGCGACAAGTACGTCTACAGCTGCGGGAGTTGCCAAACGCGCGTCACTACGAAAGACTGCGACGAAAGGATCAGATAGTAGTGAATCCGGAACAGGCGGTCCATCGGAGGAGTCTATCAACGCTGAAGGGGGAGACAGTCCACTGAGCGCAGAGAATGCGCCTGTGGTCGCGCCTGTCCCTTCAGCCAGGCCTCCTAGGCAGTCTTTGACTGCCGCACGCCCAACAGCTTCTCGACCAGGGGCTGCAGTAACAACACAACGGTCGAGTACTTCTGTTTCTAGAGAATTGGACGAACTACAAACCAAGCTCCGCATCATGGAGAAGAAACGGGCTGAAGATCGAGAGAGGCTTAAGACACTCGAACAACTGCAGTCAGAGCGCGACAAGTTTGAATCGATCATCCAAAAGCTACAGGCAAAGTATCAACCTCAACAGATGGAGGTTACGGAGTTGCGCAAGAAACTCAAAGAGACAGAGGCTCGCCTTGAGGGGGTAGAACGCATGCAAGCAGAGCATGAATCGCTCATGGAAATGGCATCACTTGACCGTGATATGGCCGACGAGACAGCCGACGCATTCAGACACGAATGCGAAGTACTTCGCTCGAAGATGGAGGAGCTTCAGTTGGAGGCGGAGGTTCTTCGTGAAGAGAATGAGGCATTCGGCGAGGTGACAAGTCCTGAAGAGCGTTCCAGTCACGGATGGTTACAGATGGAAAAGACTAATGAGCGCCTTCGCGAGGCTCTCATTCGGCTTCGTGATATGACTCAACAACAAGAAACTGATCTGAAGGATCAAATCAAGGAATTAGAACAGGACCTTGAAGAGTATTCAGCGGTCAAGTCTGATTACGAAGCTACAAAAGAGAAATTGCTAGTTGCGGAAAATAATGTGGACGACCTGAAGCAACAACTGGAGACTGCACTTGGTGCCGAGGAGATGATCGAAGAACTGGCCGACAAGAACCTGCATTATCAGGAGGAAATCAATGAACTTAAAGCTGCTATCGAAGATCTCGAAGCTTTGAAAGAGATCAGTGAAGAGCTAGAGTTCACCCACATCGAAACTGAGAAACAATTTCAAGACGAGATCGACTACCGGGATGGCGTGTTTAACGAGCAATCCCGGAAACTTGCGGTGCAAGACGAAGTCATCGAGGACCTGGAGTATACGCTTTCTCGCTTCAGGGAGCTGGTGACAAACCTCCAGGCTGATCTAGAAGACATGCGGGCTTCACAACAGATCTCGGAAGCCGAAGCCACTGACCTTACCTCGCGATCTCGAGCCATGATAGACCTAAACTTGAAACTCCAGGCTTCGGTATCAAAGGCCCAGACTAGGACCATTGATTTGGGAATTAACAAGATGGAAGCGGAAGAGGCTGCTCAGCATCTTTCGATTGTCAAGCTTTACCTTCCTGAATACTTTGATGAAGAGCGAAACTCCGTTCTCGCTCTTCTTCGATTCAAGCGCGTGGGTTCCAAAGCAATCATGATGAACAGCACCATTCGTGAAATGATGTCTGAGCAATCAGCAATCTCCGCTCACGAGGAGATGTTCAATGCCCATGAGGTTCTGGAGCTCCTCCTGTGGATTTCGAATGTCTGCGACCGGTTTGTTAGATACGTTTCGGCTTGCACCCCCGAGGAATTTAACAAAACCAAGGCTGCACTGTTCGAAATGGAACCAGTTGAGCGCATGTTGAACTTTTGGATTGAGAACCTTAAAAAAAACGAAGTCAACATGAAGAAGTTTGCAGTAGAGTTGCAGCGATCAATTGCTTTGTTGGAACATCTCGCTGAAACCACACTCCCATCGACCCCGGAGATGTTCGCAGACGAGCTTTGCATGCGTACAGCGCTGTCTCAGTCATATATTGAGCACGCCGCAGGTACTGTTGCACGCTTGAAATCCATTCTCATTTCCAAACTACAAAGCCAGGAGGAAGAAAACGAGGAGCAATCTTTTGCTCTGAGTCAAATTGATAGTTTCGTTAATGAAGCTCGCGGATACAAGGTGGCATTGGGAAAGATTCACAGGGCTGTCGAAGATTTGCGCTCAAGGTCTCTCGCACTATCCAAGGATGCTGCCGATGAACCATTCAAATCGGCTGAGAGGTCTGCTCGAAAACTTTCGGGATTGTCCCGAAAATTAGGTGAGAGTGTTCTGGACCTCATTAGTGACGAGGGTCGTGCCGAACCATTCACCTTGAAGGAGATGATAGATGTCATGTCTCAGGTGTCCACGGCTTTTGAACAGTCTTCCGATGTACCAATGGAGACGAGTGATCCATTAACGCTGCTTAATAATACCTTGCGTGACTTTTCTACTCGGCTTGAGGGGCTAGATTCAATTTCCACGGATCTATCTCACACTGCCGAGTTTGAAAGAGGTGCATTCCCTTGGATTGCCCGTGCGCAAGAGCTGAAATCCAACAAAACGATTTCTCCGGATGCCGATGAAGAAATTCAGCGTCTGAAAAATGAAGTTCATGAGGTATCCACTGCGCTGGGTGCCAAAGATAACACTCTCGAAGAGCAAGGAATCAAGATTGAGCTTCTTGAATCCCGGATGCGCGACGCAAACAAGAGAGCATTGGCTGTCAAGGAGCTCGAGGGGAAAGTTGAAGAGGCTCAATCAAGCAACGCCAAGCTCACAGAAACCGTAGAACGACAACAGGTAGAGCTCCAGGCTGCCGAGGTCGAGCGCGATGAATTCAAGACTCGTCTTGAAAGAATGAAACGGGCATCTGGAACAGTTGGCGTCACGACCACAGGTGGTGGTATCGTCATCGACAACGAGGCCTCGTTGGCGGCATTACAAGAGAATGAATCTCTTCGCACTGAAGTCGAGAGTCTGCAATCGGCTGTGCGCTTCCTGCGCGAGGAAAGTCGCCGTGCGAAACTTCTCGATCCATACTCAGTACAGCGGACAACAGACATGCGCGTCTGGCTTGATGGCCCACTTACACCCGGCGCTCCTACCGCTGAACAAGAAAAGGTGCAGCGCACAGCCCTGGAAAGCAGAGATGTCTTGACTCACTTGCTCAAGCTGACCAAGGAAACCCGGGTCTGTGATCTGAAATCAACAATGATTCCCTCAGTCGATGAAAGTGGTGATAGCAGTTCCAACCGTACTGCATGGCGCCCGTCCAAGTCTCGACTTCGCTACCAAGTGCTCCAACATCGTGAAAACTTCGAGCATTGGGCCGAGTGGCGCGATGATATTGTAAACTACGAGCGTGAACAGGACCGCCTAGCTGCTGCTAAGCAAGATCGGGCGCTGCGCCAGCGTACCTCCAAACATTCCCACAATGCTTCTGTTGAGTTTCCCCAGGGTCTTGGTCACGGCATGATGGGCCGCACGTGGCAAATCATGGGCATGCAGAAGCATCGTAAGACGGCATCTGGAAACGAGCCAGATTCTGTGGAAATTGTTTCTGTGGACTAAGACTAAGTTTAGTTTTGAAGCTCCTTTGTCTACACCCGTGGACAGTCAATTGACTCCGTGTTTGTCTGTTTTTGTACTTCTTGATACCCTGATTGCTGATTGCATATATCCATCAATATAAAATACCTATGTTCTTGTGTATTTATTTTCCATTTTATATAATTCCTGAGCTGCAATTCACCTAACCTATTATCAATATATCGTTGGAAACCATATGACAATCCACACGATTGTCTGAATGACCTTGCAGGTACATACTATAAGCAGGAAGCATTCTGGAGACTTTGATTTGAAGTGGTTGAGAATCAACAGATCTAAAAATTTACCTCCAGGTTGCCCTAGGCTGTTCCTTCCAAGGTTGGTACACCTCCAGGGCTGGACACGCAAGGTTTTTGCAAAGATTGCTAGCTACTTTTTCATTCTTTTTCAAGACCTAGATTTTCCTATAAACAATATCTTCGTGCTGACTAGTTATGCGATCCCGTGACTTGATGACTATTCACCTAATACGGGTTAGCGGCTTCATTAGCTTGACAGGACCTATAAGTGCCGTCTCCTCCCAGGTCCCAATACATTTTTTTTTTCTTTCTTCTTCAACCATCCAAGTGCATGGGTATTACGTATATCAGTGAGGAGGAATCCGAGATTATGTTTTTGCTGGTTGAAAACTATCAACCTGACTGCTCCTGGCTCGTGTGGCCAGGGAATCTTTTAACTCAAAATTGTGATCTAATCACTCTCATACTCTTTTCATTGCTTGATAGCCCTTGTGGCTGCGGGCAGAGAAGAGAGCCCTGGAGGTTATTGCAGAAGTGAGGGTTTTAATTTCACGAGCCCTTGACGCCATATAAGGGCCCTTGAGGGTTGATCAAGTCGGCAGTCAAGATATTTTCACAGCCCATTTACCGCGTTGATTGCCCAGGTATAGAGTAAGCTTACTGCAGATGTGATGGTCTATTACAACATCGTCTTTTTGTTAGCATGGATGAGGTGATGTTATATTAAACGCTTTGATTGAAAGACTAAAAATTAAGTACTACCATATCTCGCCGAGCTATACCAAAAAGTACGAAACGCAAGCCAGAATAAAGATGGGTATGTGAAGGTAAACAAATACAAAATAAAAACGCGTATATGGTATAAGAGCGGAGTGGCCATGGAAAGCTGGCATTTTAACCTCAGTAAAACCCAAAAAACGAGAATCTTGCCAAGACCTAGAAGACTACGTTGACTGTAGAGTGTCTATCTTCGGCATATGTCACGAGAGGGAGGTTCAGTGACTGCTCCTCGTGGATTGAAAATTGCTTGTAGTCATCAAGCGATTGGTCTGTGAAGACTATTGGCTTCTGATCATTAGCGTCGTTTGTTCGAGTGGTCAGATTCGAAGCGACGGTGGTGCCACTCAGAGTGCGGGTTCTTTCCCAGAAAAAGTCATTCTCTCCAGCAAGAGATACTGCTTTCGGTGGAACTATTTGACCAGGGAATGACCACTGAGCTAGAGAGTTGGCTAAAGGCATTGATGCGATTGTGTTGCGATTTTCCGATGGTGCGAGTGGGGGATGGCGTAGTGAGGAGATTTGTGGTAGCGTGCGTGAACTAACTGAGGAAGATGGAGACCCAGTAAAAAATGAATTATTAGTTGGGTCCAGCTCGTCATTCATGTTTGATTCTGGTGTCCTAGGCAAAGTTTCTTCTGATGCCCGGACTGGTGGATTGTTTGTATAATTGGGCCTCTGGGCTCCGAGCGATAGTTTGCTTGTCTCTGAGCTCGACAATATGGGATATGGAACAGGATCTTCCAAGGGAACTGCATCGTTGAGGTTGATGATAGAGAAGTGTGGAATATAAACACTCGTTATACGAGGCTTATGCGGTGACTCGAAAACATTCTCCACGTTGCTCAATGAGCGGAATTTCTCAGACCCCACAGGCTTGCGATATACTGAGAACCCAGCTGCCATAGATACACATCGCCGGGATTGTGTTCTAGTTGGTGATAGAACAGGTGAGGGTACTCTGGGGGTCCGCAATTCCTCACCGAACTGGAAGGAATCAAACGACGGAAGGTCTGATAGTTGACCACCCGACTGATGGATGCTTAGTTCCAATGGCTGATACATAGGGACTAGAGGTTGAGGGTCGTGGAACAACTGTACAGGGCTAAGCTCCGGTGGTTGGAACATTTGAACCGGGGGCTGGGGGTCGTTAAACGATTGCACATGGCGAAAGTCGGACGGAGCACTGATCTTCAACGGCATTGTTGGTGCCTTTTTGGAAAGGCTCATGCTAGCCCTTGATGCTAGTGTTGTCAGGTGTCGTCCTTCATCGATCCAGAAAGACAGCGAGTTTCGAGACTGATGCGCCACCATATTCATAGGAGGGATAGGATGCGGTTCAGCATGGCAAATCTTCCTCTCCTGTTCGATATCTGGATGCAACCGGTCAGCGCACCTTCCTGCTTTAATGAATCAGCTTACGAGCCACATACTACTTTCTTGAACTCGTTCTTTAACCCAACTCTCCTGCTTTGGGGACAGACATGACCAGCACGAGTGTACCCATTGGGTGAGTAGCGACCCTGTTTGCTCAACAACAGGTGTCATGGCGACCAGCGCTGTGTTAATCCATGGAGAAGTGAAGGAGGATGTACAGAGTATAGAAGGAAAGAAACGGCGAGGGAAGAAAAAAACAAGCAAGCACAAATAATAGTCGTACGAGGTGATGTGAGCTGAACCCCACCTGGAAAGGATGAACCCAGCCGTCATAACCTTGGTTTTGACTTGTCAGGGATGCCGCACGGGCGAGACTAGTGGCTAGTTTGATAACACTATACCTAGAATGGTAGTTCATCCTTGCAGGATCCAGAGAAGAACAGGAACGAGAGTTGCTTGTGTTTTGTGATTCGTTAGCGCCGAGTGGAGATGTCACAAATTGGGCTTATCAGGGGGGATGGAGTAGTGATGTTATTATGGGCACACGTCAGGCGTCTAATTAGTACTTGTGTGAGCTTTGTTTCGGGAAATGAAAGGATTTGGATCCCATACTCCGAGTGAAGATGAAGGGAACCGAAACATGTATTGCTCGAAATCGATATAGGCTAAGTAGATATGCTATTTGTCCCACACATTATCGTCACCTAGGGCACTGTAGTTCCAGCGGGTATTTTGGGTAGTTGTATATGTAGATGTTTGAGCTTCTGGCTCAGCCGATGCTTCCGTAGATTTGTCCTCAACCTCTTCTTCAATTTTCTCACCAGAGGGGCGCCTAATCAAAAGAGTTAGTCTAATTAAAATAAACAGCCAATCAATGGTACTCACGTAAATTGTTTGTTTGCAGCCCCTGGCCAATCGGAGCCGTATTCTCTTATGGCCTGAGCTCGTTCCTCCTCTTCAGCTTCAATATTTTCTACCACGAGATCGACCAACTGGCTGCGATGAGAATGATTTGAGTTTGTGGAGCTAGGGTTGCGCTGCAAGGACTTTCGCCGGTCGGAACTCTTCGTAGATTTGGGGCTAGATTTGCTTGATCCGACATTGTGGTTTCGCCTGCTTTCGCTGCCCGACGCTCGGCCTTTGCGGTGCGAACGTGACTTCTTCACATTGTCTTCGGTACTGACGTGTTGATAGCTTCTACTTAGAGAGAGTTGTTGATCTCGCGGAACTTCATTAGCTGTGATAACGGGATACTATGGGCAGTTAGTTCCAGGTCATCAAACAGGGATAAACGGTTACTTTCACATACGTTCCAGTCTCCAAACTCATGCGCTCGAGCATTGGCAAACAATCGTTCGTCGTCGTCGTTTAATGTGCATTCAAGCTCACCAAACGTGGATCCGTCAGCTGAACTGCGGCGTCCCTGTTCAGTCCGACTGCGAGAAATACTATTATCGCCAAGTAGCGGAGTGTGACTATCCGGGTCACTCGCTCTTCTAGCAATGTCGCCAGGCTTTGGGATCCAGTATTTTCCCTTGCCCCCTCGCTTGTATCTCATTCCTTCCATAGTTCGCTTGACCCGCGACTTAGAATCCGCATGTGCAATGATGTTGTCACCCGAATCGAAAATTCGATAATCATAATTGTCACCCCGAAGAGTCATTTTGGTGTCTTCTATCAAATCCCGAGCTCCAAAAGCGTCCCGCAGCGCATATTTGACCGGCATCCGTGCAGATGAAATGGTAGGGTCGGCATAATCATGCCACGAGAATGCGTACCAGTGGGCAATGGCAAAGAACGGCATTTCGATACAGATGAGGGTGTTCTGAATCGCCGCAGCGAGATTGTCGGGTGTATATCCCGCAACATGTCCCAGCGCCCCCAAGAATTGTAGAATTGCCAGAAAAAAGCCTTGCCAATATGATGCAAAAATGATCAATTTTACGCAGAGGAATTTAGGAACCGGGCGAAATGGTAGGAGGTCGTCGTACATGCACACCCAAAACATAGCGAGTGAATAAAGACTGATGCTGACGCTAATGTTGTAAATAATGCCAGTCCAGAGATAACCAGACGTGAGTCCCAAGTATCCCTCTTGGTAGGTATCGGTTGCCTTCATCACGATAGATACGATGGCAAGGACAGGCTTCAGCCAAGCATATTGGAGAATGCCGCGTTTAATCGTTAGAAATGTGTAGGGATCGGATATGTCGACCTTCGGTAAGAAATGGTTCATTGGCCATGCGTGCGAAACAGGAGGACGACCATGAGCCATGATAATCAACGCTCGTTCTCCACTCAAGAAGTTGATCAAGAGCTGGAAGAACGTGAAGATAGTGAATGCCTGCCCCACCAATCTGTCAATATGATTCACAGCCTCGAAACAATTCACATACCTCATAAATGTCGCGAATGGGGTCGAAAACCTGAGCCGCCTTCAGTGACACAATACCCGTCCACGACGAGATAGCATATATCGGCACCCTGATCTCGATTAGCGTAGCCCCTGAGGATCATCTTCCAATACTCACATCACCAGAATGCGCACGACATATCGTTGAAGTAAAGGTTTCCTGTAGTTTTTACTAAAGCCAAACCAATCAACACCTGTTGAAGACCTTCTCCCACAAATAAAGTTCTTACATTTGAAACCATATGGACCTATAAATTAAAGCACGGATTAGCATAGGGCTCGGAAGGATGAAGCATTGATAGAGCAACGAATTCTTCAAGAAAAACTCACACAAGGGACAGTAGTGACGCTATTAGAGCCGAGATACCAGCTATGATAATGCTCGCTTTAGCTAGGCTGGTGCCTGTTCCTGCGAGAGTGGAGATCATCATTGTGGAGGATAGAAGTTGACGGCCTGGAAGCCACAATTCTAGACAGATGAATTCATTCCATAGACTCAAGAAAGCCTATAGACATGATAGATGCGGGAGTTCTGGGACAAATGTTGTTATCTTTAGGGAGGAGAGCCGATGACGATCGGTCTCTCGTGACAGTGACACCGCCTTACACCCGCATTCGCGACTGCCACGCTTCAACCATTCAACAGTTTAAATGACCGTGCACGCACGGTAGGCTCGTCTTTTTGCGAGTCCACCTTTCACATTTGACAATGAGCTAAAGGCTTCACTCAGAGATGGCTAGTACAAGCTTGACGGCTTCTTACTTGACGCCTGACCCAAGCTTCAATTGGTCCGCCGTGGAATATTACATCCCATGTTGATATACTGACTTTGACTATAGGTTTTTTCTCCTGGAACTCATCGTTTCTTGCATTTTGTATGTCGCCATATGTATCTTGAACATTTTAGATCACTAACATGCGAGTTAGGGTATTATTCTTTCTGCTCTACTTCAATCGACTATTCGCGACTCTCCTATCATACGGAATCCGAGCATACACCTGGCATTATTACCGCGCATATGTTGACATAAATGCTCTTCAAGTTTCGCTTCTAGGTGGAAGAGTGTTCTTCAAGGGAATTCGATACCATGGGGTAAATGAGACGATTTTCATTCATGGAGGGTTCATAACATGGCGGTATTGGAAGCGCAACGTAGAGAAAACCAATCTCTCGAGTGCTTCAGGAGACCAAGATAGCTTGAATGATTCTGTAGACACCTCAGATTTCAGCAATGAGAATGGCGGTCTTCGTGATCCAGGCGGTGCAGCTAAGGTGACTGAGTTACCTTGCCGAATAGCACTCAAAGCATATGGACTCGAATGGTTCATTTACAATCGAACTCCCGCTTACGATAACATTCTCGCTGGTTTCGGCTACACTAAGGGCGACAATTTTGAGAGTGATGAGGATCTAGGACGGACATCGTCAGTCTCCCCTGAGACGCAACCGAAGCACCAGCATACCGAACGAATGGGAACTGTGCATAGAACAACGTCTAGTTCTGGAAGTGCTTCTACGATGAGTGATAGAGGGGCCCAAACTCGCCAACACACCGATATGCGCCACTCTGAGCTCTCACAAACGGTGTCAAATATGCTCGAACTCCTGCCGTTAAAGCTAGACTGCCGAAAAGGTGCAATTGTGATTGGAAACGAGAATACAAAATCTGTCCTGACGACTACTTTCGATAACGCAACGGGGATCATTGCCGCTAGCAAAGCCGGGCCTTTAGACTTGTACCGACAGCTCCTGTCCTTCCAAATCGACCACCCAGTCGTTCAGATGCGGCCAAATCCCGACTTCAAGCAAACTCAACAGGCAATGGCAAAATCTTTGGGGGATGACCGTGAGGACGAGCCTCTGTTAAACCAGAGACGAGGCAATCCCTTTAGCTACCGATTCCAAAGGCGCAAGCTCTGGCATAGTATTCGCGATTTAGTCCCTTATTTCCAGAGCTCCGTTGAATCATTTCATATCGGCCGCAAGCCGAGCGATAACCTGCCAAGAAGCCAAGCAGAATTCCCCGAAGTTCATTGGACCGGTCTCACACGATATCTAGATGAAGCCGATGGAGATGACCATGAGATATGGAACTCTGTCGAATATGCTAGATTTTCTACTATTCTTGATAGTCCAAGCTTGGAAGTGACGTATTTCTGGGATATTCCGGGTCGTGTCGTACCTCAAGAGTTGGCCACGATCGAGAAAAGAGACAATAACGTGAATCAAGCGCTACCACCGGAATGGGGCATTGATATCAAGATCAGTAGTGGAGTCCTCAACTATGGCCCATGGGCGGACAGGGAGCGTGTCAATTTACAGAATGTCTTCTTTCCCAACTTCTACCGCAGTTCGGAACCTGCAGAACAGCTTGCACCGGGTGCATTGAGGCAAAGCGTGGTTTTCAAATTGCGAGTGGAAATAAGCGACGAGCTCACGCTTCGTATTCCAATTCGGGAGCCATCCAAAGACTGGCAGTGGAAAGGCCGTGCAGATGCCATTGGAGGGGTATCGAAATCGAAGAAGCCAAATGAGAGAAGCACAGCTCGGGCTACCGAAGGTGAAAAGGGGTCATTCTGGCCCTGATATTCGCCCCTTTGGCTGGATATCCTTGCGCATGGGCCCAGATTCAACCGTTAACTATGTCATGGACATGGTAGCATCAAAGTTAGGGTTTCAGAATGAGCTTTCCTGCGACCTACGAGGAGCAAGTTTATCTTCCAGTGTCAATCATGGATTGATCTATCAATGCCCGCAGCAGATAGTCACATGTGATTTGTCCAATCCTCTCTGCTGGAATAGCCTTCGGTCGTGGAGATTCACTATTGAAAGCAAAGACATGGAGCTGTTCCTTCTTCGTGATCACGTTTTTCTGATGACAGATCTCATAAGCGACTGGGCATCAGGGCCGCCCTCAGATTATTACACCTTTGTCCCGTTTATCTACAACATCGACCTTGTCTTCTCAAATCTGCAGCTCTTCGTGAATGTAAATGATCGCAACATTATTAGCAATCCCTCGGATCTTGAAGATAATCGATTCATTGTTATCAAGGGCAAGAAGCTGACATCAAACGTACTGATTCCATTGAACAAATACAAACCGGAGCAAAATGCGGTCGAGTTCAGCGTCAATCTCGAAGATGGTGGTGTGAACTACTTGACTCCTTTGTGGGATACGCTTCATTCTTACCTGCCGGTAAAGTCAATGGCTACCCTAGACACTGTGTACATTGATGGATCATACAACTATTTTCTCTCGACTGCTCCAGATTTGACAGATACCTTGGTGCTGAATGTTAGCGGAGTTTCCCCTCGTCTCTATCTTTATGGAGTCTTGATCAAAGCCTTCATGGGCGTCAAAGAAAATTACTTCAGTGATGAAATGCATTTTAAGACTCTGGAGGAGTATCGAGAGCTGGCCTACGCCAAGGAGCCACCGTTGAATTCCACAGGGATTAATCCGAATCGAAAATCAAATGACATGGATGTCTTGGTTCGTGTTACGGTTGACAATCCATGCGCTCTACTCCCAGAGAGCATATATGAGAATTCTAAATGTTCAAGGCTACGCGCGGCTTCGCTCGAGGTGGACCTTCGATTTACGAACTACTACATGGACATGCACTTCTCGATTAGCCCGTTGAAGGTAGACCTGCAATCGATTCAACCTGATGGCACCACGTTTATATCAGGACCGCAACTTTTTTTTGACGGAGTCTCAGTCTACGGTCATCGTCTTTTTGGATTACCCCCTGATGAACCAACCTACATTTGCAATTGGGACTTTGAAGTGGGAAAAATACTAGGAGAGTGTTCTCCAGAATTCTTGTCATGCCTGGGATCTGGCCTCAAAAGCTTTGATTTTTCGTTTGATAACGAGGAGAACACACTTCATCCACTGGTTCCTCCAGTGCTCTACGATGTAACATTTCTGAGAGCTAAAGTCGATTCGATCCATATCTCGATATTGCTAGAGCAAGTTGCGCTCGTCTTCAGCTCTAAGCCGCTGAGCACTAAGTTCAACGACTGGGCCAATACCAAGTTTTCCAAACGTATGAGCCTGCTTATACCTGACATAACCTTTGCTGCAGTGGATCGGCAAGTTGTGGGTCAAGCTCTCCGATCGTCCAAGAAAACAGTGACTCCTTTAGGCATTTTACAACTGACTGTTGGGCTCAAGATGGCCGTGCGCAGGGAAGACATTGCAGAAAGCCGGCGCCTGCAACAGGAGCATATCAGAATTCACGACCAAAGAACCCACCGAGCACAATGGTTACTATCTGACTGGGACGAGGTTGCCCCCACTTCTTTGCTTCATCCTAGTGAGAACACACCGCCTAACATGGCTATACCCTCAATGCCCGAGCCCATTCATGGGAAATTCAGTTCAGTCAACGCTCCCTCATATCGCGGATTTTCGGCGACTCATGCTGCTGCCAGCTCGAGGAGTTTTCTTGTGCGCTCTGAAACGCCAAGCCTCAAAAGTACAAAGAGTCAGGGCAAAAGCATTCCCCGGCCTGCGTCAACCTCAAACTCAGATTCGACACGAAAAAGACCTAGACCACCTACCAGAGATGCAAGTAGGTCCACACTGAAAACCAACCGAGTCAAGGATAGTGAGAGTTTCAAATCCAAGGCTGGTCTTTATTCATTAGCGGCAGTCAGGGATGCAAACCCTTGGATATTGCCCCAGTTCTCTTACTACGAGCTATCATTCGATACTTCGGAGCTTCCCTCGTCAAGCAGCAGCAATTCCAGTTCACCAAAGGATGAGGATACTGATACCCACAGGTCTATGTTTTTGACTTTTGAGGATGATCAAACAACACATACCAACCTCTCCTTGAACCTGCCTTTGGGAATTAGGGGGTACTTAACTCCGCGATTTCTTTTCAGCTTGTCCGCATTGCTAGATGGGTTTGAACCCAAGCACCCACTCCAAATAATCGACTCTCTCCAGAAAGATGTCATTTCCGATATTGTGGGTTACGAAAAGTCCATAAACCAGCCAAAAAAAGCATTAGCCGTTGCTCTCCGCATACCGTCCATTCAGCTAAAACTGGTCGATTTTTCCGTGTCTCCCAACGATAGACAGGTTGAATTCCGAGATGAGTACCGCATTGAAGTTCATCACCTTCGGACTGAATTCCAAAGACGGGTCGAGCGTCATAAGAATGATCTTCTTGAAGGTGTCAAGCAAGCCATGACAGTTCATGCTGCTGCTAAGCGGCTCTCAATTGTCGTGGAAGGCAGTCGGCCAGACACTTTTCATGAGAAGGCTGCCTTCAATTGTGACCTTGAAGACCTCAATTTCTGGTTGGTCACTACACCCAACATCCGCTTCCATGTGCAGATGCGAACCTTCAATACTGTCACATCTGCGAAATCCGTTGAAAGACTGGCTTTTCTCGTCCGCCGAGCTACCACCATGTTTGACTCGGTTGCATCGTCTTTCCAACATGTCTCGACTCTGAGTACACGGCGTTTGCGGTTCCTTATTTTCTTTGCTACCCAATCGGCTGCTCACATACCGGACCCGATTTTCTTGGCCCGCATCTCGAATGTACTTAGAGTTGCTTCAGCACATCTTCGACAACATGATTCTTGGAAGATTATCTCTCGCATCCGCAATATCTACAATAGCCTACCAGCGAATCGCAAATGGGAGTTGCAGCAAAACTGCCTGGGTGACAACCCCCTTTGCCGCCTAATGCTAAGTCATTTGTATTGACGGGCTTCGACCAATGGCGCGCCTGGGATCTCGCACACGTGGAAAAGAGCTATGTGATGCGCAGAATCTGGTCATGTTCTCAGCCTGATCAGTCGGAAGCGAAACCTTCTCTAGCTGTTTCGGGTACAATTCAGACCTTCCGCTTTTCTTTGGACCCTGGGCCCAGGGAAAGTGATTTCATTATCGAGAATTTGTCGTCGTTCACATCGGTTGTCCCAGAACATATAGTCCAAGATGGCGATAGAACAAAGCTTAAGGAGCTTGTTACTGTTCAGGCGTACTGTTCTTCTGTAACTCTGCGCCTGCGGTGGGAAATTATGGATCTCATTGAGGGCATGATGAAGATCATGTCGAGTGTCACTCTCGAATCTTCTCCAGCCCAGCCTTCCGTCGAACAAGAACCAAAGGAGCCATTGGAATTGCAAATTGTCTTCGGTACAGACTTGGGATCAATCACTCTCGATGGCATCAATATCAAGCTTGTATTGTTCTCGAGAGCTCTGCGAGCTTCAATCGTTCATACCTCCGATGTTATGAAGAAGACACAGAACAAAAGCCTTGCTGTCCTGCTAGCTTCGGAAGCCTGCTCATCTGAGCTTTCAAGTCAATCAAGACCATTGATGCTATCTAAAATTACCGACCCATCCTTATACTTCTCACTTGTCTCCCAAGAGACCCATTCAGAGTGCATGCGTGACTGGAAAGTTTCTGGTTCTTGCAAGAAGCTCCGTTATGACGTTAAAGAAGACCCAGTCAGCCTAGCACACACAGTTGATCGTCTAATCGAGGACGAAATTAGGTATATTCAATATCTCGCCAACAATGCCAACTTTCCAAAGGCCGAGTCTGAACTTAAGCCACCTTCGAAAAAGCCAGCTCGTGACAGCATTCACATGGCTATGTTCCTGGATGACTATCGGTTAAGCTTCAATCTTTTACCATCCTTGGTCTATCTGGTGTACGGGGATGTATCCCGGATATCGGTCATGCCCACTGCATTCTCCAAAATCCAGGTTGACTTTGACGTCAAGAAGACCTACCACAGATTCATGTCTAGTAAAAAGAATGGACGTGATACTCTGTCAGTCATGGAAATCCCGTCCCTCAATGGTCGTATCCTTGCAAATATTTTGTCTGATCGCAAAGAGTTCGAGGTTGACATAACAATTGAAGTTATTCGTCTAGAGGCCAGCGCTGTGCGAAGCCTATTGAGCGTATTGGAGGGGCCTGATGTATCACATCTCATTTCTGATTTGAAGCAGAATGTGGATGTTCTTCAGTCTCGTCTTGAAGACGTACTATCGTTACAGAAGGTAAAACCAAAGCCAAAGTCATTTTCGGAGGAGTCAGTTGTTCTGTACAAATCGCGCCTAACAATGGCTGGGCTTGAGATCCATGCCATTGCGCCGGGTTTGAACAAAAGGAGCTATTCAGCAGAGATGATTTTCAGTCTCGGTATAATGCAGATGCGACTGCAGAATGGCCTCGACCGCGGCTATTCGATGGAATATCCGGAGTTTAGCATTGACGCCTGTCAAATAAACTTCGAATTACGTAGGTTGGAGAGAGGCAAAGCCACACCTTTTGGTGGTTTCTCGGCCGGTGTCAAGCTCTTGGGAACTACAACAACAAGCGATAATGGGGAAGTTGCAAGATCTTATCAATTCACTGTCAAAAAGTTCGACATTGAGCTCTTTGCTGAGACAGCCGCTCTGGTGGTGGACATTGCCATCTACACACAAGAGCGTATTAAGACCTTGGATCTGTCCCACGAAGTCCAACGCATTCGGAGACTTCATCGTAACAATCACAGTGATTCACATAACTCTGAGATACCTCAGATCAACTTGAACGACGATGCTGCACCTCAGAACTTTCTCGATGCGTTGTTTTCATTAAACTTCTTCGACATTCAGGTTGCATGGAACATGCCGAAATCACTATCAGGCAACCATGTTCGTCAACCTGAAGATCTTGTCTTCTCGATTCAGCATGTCGAACTCTCGAACAAAAAGAAGAATGCAGCAAAACTTCGAATTGACAACATGCAGCTGCAGATGGTCCCATTCCGCGCTGACAGAAAGAAGCGCTCTCTCACATCTGCTCTCATGCCAGAACTGGTTTTCAACATTGCATATTTCTCTAGTAGAGAAGAGGTGCGGCTTGCTTTCCAGGCTGCTGGAAAGTCACTAGATATTCGTGCAACATCTGAGTTCATCCTTCCAGCTAACATGATTCGAAATTCTATTGCATCTGCAACAGAAGCTATCCGAGAGGGCAAGGCCGCCTGGGCTACTAACCCATCACTTGATGACGACACAAAACCCAACAAAGACCGTGGTCTCTTTGCCAAGAGGCGCGTTCGATCTGTCCTTGTGGATGTTGACTTTGCCGGTGCTACTGTCTCTCTCCAAGGAAACCAAGGGCAGGTTCCCCAGACTTCCATGACAGCCAATCTGAATAGTAGTCGACTATCAGATGTTAAGTATGGAGAGTACGTTCACGGCGAGTCTGCAACTACAGTAACTCTGCGGGCCCCAGGTGTTGCGCTGAAAGTTCAATTTGACGACAACGGGACTGATGACCCAGCGCTCAACGCTGAGCTCAAAATCAGCCCATCTACCAATGTGCTCTATCCGACTTTTGTTCCATTGGTCAAGCAGATGACGGCAACAGTCAAAGAGATAATGGGGGAGCAACAAACCCGGCCACGATGCCCATCTACTCCGAGCAAATTGCAGTCACAGAAACCCAAACAAGGGACTGCATTCGGGGCACAGAATCCAAACAACATTCTTGGAAGGTGCAAAGTCAACCTTGGAGTGTTGTTCTGCCAACAAGCATTCACTCTCAGTTGTCAACCAATTGCTAGAGTGGCTGCTTCGGCTAAGTTTGAGAGTGTCTATGTCACTGTTAATACAGTCCAGTCAAGTGAAGGGCGCTTCCTTGCCCTTTCTATGGCTTTCAACAACCTTGAAGCTTCGATAAAGCATGTGTACTCCCACGAGTCCACCGCAAGCTTTGAACTCAAGTCTGTTGTATTGTCGCTGATGAACAGCAAGCATCTTGGTCTGAAAAGTGGAATGTCGGTCATATTACGTGTGAGCCCCATGAAAGTCTGTTTGAACGCCAAGCAGGTCCAAGAATCTTTACTATTCAAGGAAATCTGGCTTCCTCCCGATGAAGAGCCTCAATCTAGCGCTGAACTGCCGCCAGAACAGCCGCAGCAGCCCGAGGCGCAGGCGCAGGCGCAGGCCGACATTGTACGACGATACCAGAAAGTTTCTGCGGCATCCGCATTCCCCTGGAACACGACCATTGCCATTGAGAAGCTGGATGTTCAGCTTGACTTAGGCTCTACACTAGGCAAGGCCCAGTTTGCCATTGACAATCTATGGGTTTCGTCCAGCAAGACCTCTGATCGTGAGCAGAGCATGTGCATCAATTTCGATGCCATTTCAGCTGGGAGCAAGGGTCGTATGAGTGGCATTGTGGAGCTACGCACTCTTAAAATTCGTACCTCGATCAAATGGCCCGAGGTTGCCCGAGAGAATGGGCATACACCACTCATCCAGGCCTCAATCGCAATTGCCCATCTTCAGGCGAATGTGTCCTTTGACTATCAACCCTTCCTGGTAGCTCATATTGCCATGTTCGACTTCTTGATGTACAATGTTTGTGATGCTTCTGGCGAACAGAGCGAGCGACTTTTCAGTACCCTGGAGGGTGACAAGGTTCAGGTCTTCTGTACCTCCTTGACTGCCTCACAAGCGCTGGCATTATTCCAAGCTTGGCAACGCCTGGTGCAAGACAAACAGGCAGCATACGAAGCCTCTCTTAGGGAGATAGAGCGATATCTCCGCCGTAAGTCTTCTGTGGGCACTGACCGGATCGAGGCTAGAGCTAAGCCGCGGGCCAAGACTGACGAAGAGATGGAGGTCTCCAATATCTCGCTTCACACCGAAGTTGTCGTGAGCATCCGCCATGTCAACTTGGGAGCGTTCCCTAGCTCGTTCTTTGACAACCAAATTTTCAAGTTGGAAGCCCACGATGCTCAGGCACGATTTGGAGTCTCAGTTGAATCTGATAAGAAGATCCACACCGCCTTGGGTCTTACTTTGGGTCAACTTCGTGTAGCTCTCTCAGCCATCAACCGGCCCCCATCCGCCAGTCTTGATGAGTTATCTGTGGAGGAGATCGCCCAGCGCGCTGTTGGGTCTCGCGGTGGAACTATCCTCAAAGTACCTCGGCTTGTATCTGGCATGGAAACCTGGCAAGTTTCCGGCAGCCGCCACATTGACTACATCTTCCACAGCACGTTTGAGGGCAAGGTGGATGTGGGCTGGAATTACTCACGTATCAGTTTCATTCGTGACATGTGGGAGACACACTTGCGAGCTCTGGCAACGAGACTTGGTAAACCGCTGCCACCATCTGCAGTGCGTATCACAGGTGGTCCCGGCAGTAGCTCCGAAAGTGGTGGCGCAGGACCCGAACAGCAAGAAAAGATCACAGCCGTGGTCAATGTGCCACAGTCCAAGTACACCTACACAGCATTGAAACCACCAGTCATCGACACACCACAACTACGGGACATGGGAGAGGCCACACCACCCCTAGAGTGGATTGGATTACAACGTGATAAGCTACCTAATGTCACACATCAGATCATTATTGTTACCCTGCTGGAGATTGCCAAGGAAGTGGAAGACGCATATGGAAAGATTTTGGGAGTTTGATACCCTTTTTGTATTATTATTTGTTTCAACATTCATTCTGTACAGACATTAGACATATAACAGAGTCTTGAGACCTCTATTTTCCTATTTGATATTGCCTTCTCCACCTCTAGCTACTTGGTATATTTACTCGGAGTGGCAAATGTAGTGGGGTGATGATTTCATGCATGCCTGGATTAAAAGGCATCAAAATGCATTATTAATCCATCCGGACCCCGCCAAGGCGGTGAGATAGCGGGGCTGTGCTATCATTGGGCATCACTTTTGTAGTCGGTACTATCTGATTTTTAAGCCATAGAGAGAGTTTTCCAAGGATTTTGAAATTCTTGCTAGAACTAAGAGGGACTGATTTCTGTAATAGGATCCCGACTAACAGGTGGTTGGCTATGCTAAAGTAGGTTTGGTGGCTACTTAGTACTATGATTATCAATTATTCGGAGTACCACGGATGTACAGCAATGAGTCAAATTAGACAGTTCTGTTGATTTGGCAGTAAAGTAGCAAGAAAGTAAGCAGCAGCAATTGGAAATACAGAGTATAAGTGAACTCCGGTTTAATTATGTGTACTATAGATGGCAAGGTGGGAAGTGAAACCGCACAAAATAAAAACCGAAGGCGGGGCGAACGAGAGACTAGAAAAAGTCCCCACTTTCGCTTTTCAAAATTTTCTCCCACTTTCCTTCCCCTCCCCTCCTTCCCTTTCCTTCTTCATCCCTTAGGAGCAGTTTGCACATAGAAACTCACTTGATCTGGTCTTCGGTCCCGATCATCTGTGTGTGTTCCTGCCTCTTTTTCTTTTACCCTCTCGGGCTTATTTAAGAAAAAACCGACAAAATGGTCAAGTAAGTGATTTCTCACCATCAAAACTTGATGCTTTGAAAGCTTCACAACTACGAACAGCATAGCTAACATGGGGTCGTTTTCTTTTTCTAGCTTCACCATTGAGGAGGTGTGTACTTGAAAATGAAATAATAGCTCCTTGTGAGCTCGAAGGAGGGCCTCCAGGCCCTCCTGATGAACCAGTCACTAACCAACATCTTCTAGATCCGGTCCCTGATGGACAGACGGGCTAACATCCGTAACATGTCCGTCATTGCCCACGGTATGTATCTCTGGCAGATTGACCAATTTTGGATATGGAAGACTAATGAAGAATTTTCAACCCGATAGTCGATCACGGAAAGTCCACTCTGTCCGACTCCCTGGTCCAGCGCGCCGGTATTATCTCCGCCGCCAAGGCTGGTGAGGCTCGTTTCATGGACACTCGTCCTGATGAGCAGGATCGTTGCATTACCATCAAGTCCACCGCCATCACCCTGTACGCCAAGTTGACCGACCCCGAGGATCTGAAGGACATTCCCCAGACCGTCGACGGTAACGAGTTCTTGATTAACTTGATCGATTCCCCCGGTCACGTTGATTTCTCTTCTGAGGTCACTGCTGCTCTCCGTGTCACTGACGGTGCCCTTGTCGTTGTCGACTGTGTCTCCGGTGTCTGTGTCCAGACCGAGACTGTCCTGCGTCAGGCCCTGACCGAGCGTATCAAGCCCGTTCTGATCATCAACAAGGTCGACCGTGCTCTTCTCGAGCTCCAGGTCTCCAAAGAGGATCTCTTCCAGTCCTTCTCCCGTACCATTGAGTCCGTCAACGTCATCATCGCTACCTACTTTGACAAGGCTCTTGGTGATGTCCAGGTTTACCCCGACCGAGGAACTATTGCTTTCGGTTCCGGTCTCCACGGCTGGGCCTTCACCGTCCGCCAGTTCGCCGTCAAGTACGCCAAGAAGTTCGGTGTTGACCGCAAGAAGATGCTCGAGCGTCTCTGGGGTGACAACTTCTTCAACCCCAAGACCAAGAAGTGGACCAAGAACCCCGAGTCCGATGGCAAGACCCTTGAGCGTGCCTTCAACATGTTCATCCTTGACCCCATCTTCAAGATCTTCGCTGCTATCCAACACAACAAGCGTGAAGAGATCGCTACTCTCGTTGAAAAGCTTGAGATCCAGCTGGCTGTTGATGAGCGTGACCTCGAGGGCAAGAACCTCCTTAAGGTCATCATGCGCAAGTTCCTGCCTGCCGCTGATGCCCTTCTCGAGATGATCTGTATTCACCTGCCCTCTCCCGTTACTGCCCAGAAGTACCGTGCCGAGACTTTGTACGAGGGTCCCACCGACGATGCTGCCTGCATTGGTATCCGTGACTGTGACCCCAAGGCTCCTCTCATGCTTTACGTCTCCAAGATGGTCCCCACCTCCGACAAGGGTCGTTTCTACGCCTTCGGTCGTGTCTACGCCGGTACTGTCAAGTCCGGTCTCAAGGTCCGCATCCAGGGTCCCAACTACGTCCCTGGAAAGAAGGACGACCTTTACATCAAGGCCATCCAGCGTACCATTCTCATGATGGGACGTTTCGTCGAGCCCATTGAGGATGTCCCCGCCGGTAACATCGTCGGTCTGGTCGGTGTTGACCAGTTCTTGCTCAAGTCTGGTACCCTTACCACCGATGAGACTGCCCACAACATGAAGGTCATGAAGTTCTCCGTCTCTCCCGTTGTGCAGCGCTCCGTCGAGGTCAAGAACGCCCAGGATCTGCCCAAGCTTGTCGAGGGTCTTAAGCGTCTCTCCAAGTCTGACCCCTGTGTCCTGACCATGATCTCCGAGTCCGGTGAGCACATTGTTGCCGGTGCCGGTGAGCTGCACCTTGAGATCTGTCTTAAGGATCTCGAGGAGGACCACGCCGGTGTTCCCCTGCGCATCTCTGACCCCGTCGTCTCCTACCGTGAGACTGTTGCTGGTGACTCTTCTATGACTGCTCTGTCCAAGTCCCCCAACAAGCACAACCGTCTGTACATGACTGCCCACCCCATGGATGAGGAGGTCTCCCTCGCCATTGAGGCTGGCAAGATCAGCCCCCGTGACGATTTCAAGGCTCGTGCCCGTATCATGGCTGATGAGTACGGCTGGGATGTTACCGATGCCCGTAAGATTTGGTGCTTCGGTCCCGACACTAACGGTGCCAACTTGCTCGTTGACCAGACCAAGGCCGTTCAGTACCTGAACGAAATCAAGGATTCCGTTGTCTCCGGTTTCCAGTGGGCTACCCGTGAGGGTCCCGTCGCTGAGGAGCCCATGCGTTCCGTCCGCTTCAACATCCTCGATGTTACCCTGCACGCCGATGCCATTCACCGTGGTGGTGGTCAGATCATCCCCACTGCCCGTCGTGTCCTGTACGCCGCTACCTTGCTGGCCGAACCCGGTATCCTCGAGCCCATCTTCAACGTTGAGATCCAGGTTCCCGAGCAGGCTATGGGTGGTATCTACGGTGTCCTTACCCGCCGTCGTGGTCACGTCTACACTGAGGAGCAGCGCCCCGGTACTCCTCTGTTCATGGTCAAGGCTTACTTGCCCGTCAACGAGTCTTTCGGTTTCCCCGCTGAGCTCCGTTCCGCCACTGGTGGTCAGGCCTTCCCCCAGTCCGTCTTCGACCACTGGGCTATCTACCCCGGAGGTTCTCCTCTCGACCCCACCACCAAGCCCGGTCAGATCGTGGCTGAGATGCGTAAGCGCAAGGGTCTCAAGGACGGTGTTCCCGGCTACGAGAACGTGAGTTTTTCCATTCATACTGAGCTTCTACTGAATTATCTGCTAACGTCTATTATTATAGTACTACGACAAGCTGTAAAAAAATCCCACGACCTGCCAAATTGGGCTTTTCAGCCTCTTTCGTGTGGAATCTTCTTTTATGAAATTGATGAATGCAATACATCTTCCAGGTTCAACCAAAATTCAATTTCCAACGTTCTAAAAGGCGTGCTTCTGTTATGCCTTGGTTTTTTTTTCTCTTAGGAAGTGACCAGCTTGGGGACGTGTTCGCCTCGAACTCACTTGCTATGGTCTCTTCCACTGCACTTTCATGATGGCTATATGTTTTCCTTTCGTTTTTTGCTGTTGTCTAGTTACCAGATTGTCAATGAAAATCAAAATGGTATGCTAGGCCCAGCTTTCATCGCGTATTACTCGTATCTATATTTATGTAGCAAGTAGATGACAACCCTGTAATTAATCTCAAGTCATATGGATTAATATCTGACGGTGTCTTGCCATCCTCGGCTTTATGAAGCTTTTAATGCCTACGGAGAAGGTAGCTGAGGATTACTTCCACCTTGTATTCCTGTCACTTCACTTGTCACTCAATTCATTCGACTTGACTGCTGAATTTGAATAAATTATGTTCGACTACTCTTCTATCCTTTACTCTGTATTTTGTCATTTGGTAGCGGACCGTTAAAAGTTTTTCTCTAAATTTCATATTGTTGAAGACAAATCTGCAGTCGAGGTCAAGTCGTCTCGAAGAACCTTTGGCTGCAGATGTCGTATCACGTGACCAAACCACTCGCGCCTTCGCGTCTTTTAAAAGTTGTAATCTCAGTCTTCCTTTACTCACATCAACCCACACCCTCTTTCTTAGGATCAAATTCTTCTAGGTCCCATTTTGAGATTTCATTCTCATAGAATTTGAGGCCTTCGGACTCCCCCCGATTCCACTTCACTGAGCGCCTGCAGCTCCCCGTGATACCGAATCCCTGCACCCAAGACGCTCACCAGCGTCCAATTCGTTTGAATTTTGCCAATCTTGGTGTTTGCTAGGCCATCAGACTATTGTAATTATGATTTTCACCGATGAAGAAGCTGCTGATGTCAAGAAATGGGTGATCAAAAAGCTTGAAGACATGTAAGTTCAATCTGATGTGCAGCGCCGACTCGTTATTTACCTGTCATGTGAATATTAGCTCAGACGCAGACTCCGAAGTCCTTGCCGACTATGTTCTTGCGCTTGTTAGGTCAGACGCGCCAGATGACCAGCTTCGAAAGGCGTCGACTGAGAATCTCGAAGATTTCTTGCGAGAGAGTGAGCGCCCTTGTACTATCCTGACCCTCTTACGCCTTACTAACCTACTTCTCTAGATACTGTTCCCTTTGTGAATGAGCTCTTTACAACCTTTGGCACGAAGCAAGGTGTTTCGTCGGCCCCTCCGGCCCCATTTCAGCAACCTCCCCAAAACTTCCCTCAACCTACCTCTCCACAACAGCCCCAGCAGCCATTCAATACCCTCACTAGTCCTCTCGATGAGTCCAATAGCCGAAAGCGCTCGTACAACGAGGGATTCCAGGGCGAACCGGATTTCCAGAATGGCGCACCCCAGAACCGCAACTTCAAATCGCCGCGACGAGGTCGTGGTGGTGGTCGCGGCGACTGGATGGGCCGCGGTGGCCATTCGCAGAGTGGTCAGCAATTTTCGCAAGGCCAACCCGGTACCTTCTCCTTTCAACCTGGGTTCCCACCGAATGATCCTATGGCAGCCATGATGGCTATGCAGGGTATGGGATTCCCGCAGATGCCGGGTATGCCACCCATGCCTGTAATGCCCGGTGCCCCCGGCCAGCCTGTCATGGAGCCAACTGGTCAGCCCTGCCCGTTTTACGAAACACAGGGTATCTGTTACCTGGGTACAGCTTGCCCGTACCAGCACGGTGAAGCTGGCTCTAAAAACGATGGTGGGATCAATAATTTCGTTATCAAAAATAGTGTACTGACTGCCTCGATAGAGTATGATCCAAAGACAGCAGCGCTTTCGACAGACTCATGGCGTGGTGGTGATCGCTTCGGTCGTGGCCGCGGACGTGGTGGACAAAGTGGACGAGGACGCGGCGGCAGGTCCGACTTTGCGTCCGCAGGTCCCAACGAAGATCGATCTATTACTACAATCGTGGTGGAGCAAATTCCTGATGACAAATTCAATGAGGAATCTGTGCGCGAATTCTTCGCTCAGTTTGGAAGTATCGTTGATATCACTCTGCAGTCGTACAAAAAGATTGCCTTGATCAAGTTCGAGACATATGCGGAGGCCAAGCAAGCATGGTCTAGTCCCAAGGTCATCTTTGATAACCGATTTGTCAAGGTCTATTGGCACAAGCGACAGGACGGAGACAACGAGAAGAGCCAGCCTGAAGCACCTGTCTTGGATCCAGAAGAGTTCGAGAAGCAGCAGCAAGAAGCTCAGAGGGCTTACGAAGAGAAGGCGAAAAAGCGACAGGAGTACGAACAGGCCAAACAATCTATTGAACGCCAGCGCGAAGAGTTGCAGAAGAAGCAACTGGAGGAAAAAGTACGATTGCTGGAGCGCCTCGGTGATATGGATCGCGAAGAAGCAAAGCGCGACTCCATGGATACCACCTCAGACGAAAACGGAACTAAGGAATCATTGCGTGCGCAAATAGCTGCTCTTGAGTCCGAAGCACAAACTCTAGGCATCGATCCGATCGCTGCACGTGGCGGCTATCGTGGCCGGGGTGTTCCTCGTGGCCGAGGCGGGTACCGTGGACGCGGTGCCTTTGATCCCTCATTCCGCGGTGGATATCGTGGCCGTGGCGGACCTGCTCGTGGCCGGGGTGGTGTGTTGCGACTTGATAACCGTCCACGACGAGTTGCTGTGGCCGGAGTAGAGCTCAACTCGGACAAGGATGAAGCTCTGCGGCACCACCTACTTGTAAGTTATTCACTAACGAATTTAATCAATGATGACATGCTAACTTTTAATCCCAGACAATGGGTGAATACGAGTCCGTTGAGCAGAATCCCAGCCAGCCTGATTCAGTGGTTGTGACCTTTAAGGAACGATACCAAGCCGAGAAATTCTGGGTCAGCCCTCGAAACATTCCCTCCGTTGGTGATGTTGAACTCTCGTGGCTTCCCAACCTTCCCGCTCCTCAGCCGTCTGTCACAACTCCAGAGCTGGACAACGGTATTGGGTCGTTGGGCGATGATGGCAAAATGGCCATTGACTCCGAGGTTCGTACTGCTCCACGTGCGGACTTGGATTACGACGTTGCTGAAGATGATACTTGGTAATTGTGAGGTTATTTTGTCTAGTCTGCAGTTGAAAGGAGAGCATGCTACAATTGGTACAACCTGCAAGCCGCGCAATAGACCTACTTTTGCCATCACGCCTTGTCTTCTGTTATATAGATAGTTTTACTGTATGTATTCCTAACGTTATTCCCTGCAGTACTAGCGTGTACCCTGAAAACGAGCCCTCCCTAATATCACCTGCACCAATCCCCTTAGAAATTTCTCCTAAACTTAAATCATAAAGATACTCAAAATGGGATATTTACTCCCGCCAGAGCTGACTGGCCTCAATTGTTTTGCATCTCGTTAATCCGGTGACTGCTTGCAGCAGTAAACTGTAGATATGCAAAACTGGAATCATGCTCCTTGTTCCAGCAGATCGGCATAACTATCCAAGGACCTCCCGATAAGACTGACCATTTCCCAAATATAATCCGCCGTAAAAAGCCTCGCCCAAAGCCTCGTCACAGCGGCACTAAGGCGAGTATTCTTCTCAAGCAACCACTCACGACACCCATCCGGTTCAGAAAACTTCAAAGAGAGCGAAGGCGAAGCCTCCATAACCATCTCCAAAACAAAATCCCGCAAACGAGTTTCCTGCTCCGTCAGCACAGGGTCTGGATTTGCAACAGTCACCGCTTCCAGCCACTTAGCCAACAGAACGGCGCATTCAAGCGAGCAAAGCGCATGCTGGTTTGACCAGAGTGCAGCTTGGGAGTGGGCGACGAAGCCAATGCCCAGTTTTACGGGCGTGCTGAGAGCGTGTGCGCAGTGGAGTGCTGCACGTGTTAGGCGGTCGCCGCGCTGGACGGACAGATTATCTTTTAGACTTGTTGCTATCTGGACTGGGTCCCACGTTTGGAGCTGGCGTGCGGAGCCGCAGTCGGCGTTTAGTCGGATGTATGCTAGTCTGAGGAGCGCAGCTGAGGTGAAGGATAGCGGGCCGTGTGGGCTTAGTGGGTCGATTGACGACTCTTGATTGCGTTCCCAGCATTGACACCATCGCTCTAGAGCTTGCTCGACTGCCATGAGTTCTGGTGTCGAGGCGATGGATGATCCTAGGCGGTTGTACCGGAAGAGAGCGAGTCGACTAGCCTTGGTGGTCAGCCATATATCTTGAAGCAGGGCGTGGATGAGCACATATCCTCCCAGCGTGGAAAACCGCTCTAGACCGCTGTTGGGAGTAAATAGTGCAGATAGGGCATCTTGTATCTTTGGTTCCCCGGAACTCTGACTACGAGCCGCTTGCCACATTTCGGGTCCGGTTGCCTGCCATTCCCTTTCGGTGCATGGCAGCTCCAAAGAAATTTCTTCTGTTAGGATGACTGGGGGTAGATCGAAGACGATAGTATGGATGTTAAAGAAGCAGAATAAGATCAACTTTGTCCGCTTGACGTGTTCACGATGTATCCAGCTGGTCCACGACCCGTCACACTCAGGTAAGCGATTAAAGCCTCCTTTTCGCAAAAGTGCTGCAGTCAGACTTTGGAAAGATAAAGCTTCGTGGTAAGGTGGATTATTGATGAACCAAGATGAGACTGAGATTAGAAATAGAAGAGATTGTATGCTTTCGAGTGTGTCAATATCGTTGGTTGCGTCTACTTCAGGCGCTGTGCCTGACTGAAAGACGCGCCGCACATGTTCCAGGGTGACTGGTTTGGCAATTTGAAATAATTGCATACTGGTGTCTGGCTCACGAGAGTACCGTGCGCCCAAGGCAGCCATGGAAAGGAAAAGTGGGAGAGTCATTGAATCGACATCTAGTGTTGGCTTATGTATCAGTGGGTAGTGATCGTGAAATCCCATCATATATCCCGTCAAGCATCTGGATAGTGCATGTCGAGAAGGGAGAGAGGGGTTTGGGACCACATTGGCATAATTGGCTAAGAGAAGAAAAATCTTATCTCTGCATTGAGCAGTGACGGGAATAAATCCTGTGGGCTGGCGAGCTTTGGCTGGAGTCTGAAACCCTTCTGGCTGAAGGGATGGTAATTGTGCATCATGTCGCGGCAATACTGAACTAGATGGAGTTGACATTGAATCCGCTGCTGTTTCTGTTAGCGGTCCTATATTAGGCGTTTGCTGGTAGTCTGTGACAGGAATGAAGGATAAAGACGGAAACAATGGGAGTGGTTGAAAGGCAGGCGAGAAAGGATGGCTAGGTAATGAGACACTATCAAGGAACGAAGTGAAGTCGTTTTCGTCGTAGGAACTCGACGTAATTCCACTCAGAGGGTATCCGAAATCAGATACGGGAAGAGGAGTGGTTGGTGCCCCGACAGATGGAGTCGCTGAATTGGAAAGGCTCAAGATCGAGGACTGATGTGCAGACAGAGCGTTGGTAAATTGACCACGAGGCCTCGATGATAAACTATGATTTGATGCATGATTTGCTGCTGAAGCCAGTGTATTCAACCCATTTGATGCTAAATTGGCGGAAGAAATTGGAGAAGATGAATGGGGCTTTTGATTGACGGAGCTAGTCCCTTGATGGGAGAGCCTGTCATGTCGTGCCAGCAAGTCTCTTTAAGATCCATATCAGTATATGAGCTCTATTCCGCATTAGTAGGCTTAGCGTCTTACTTGCGTGTAAAGGCTTTTGGACATTGGGCGCAGGCATATGGCTTCTCCTTAGTATCTGTACGGTATTAATTGGGGAAGTAGATATGCATAGATCAAATTCCAGTCTTACGCGAACGATTGTGTCTCTGTAAATGCTCTAACCTAGCAAATGCCCTAGGACATCGCTGGCATTGGTAGGGTTTGCGGTTCATGGCTTATACCCATCTATGTAGTTCCAAGGTCAAGAGTCTAAATTTGTGGTTAAAGTCGGGGAGGAATGAGCTCAACTCCGGGACTGCTTACATCACCAAGAGCGACATAAAATTGATTCGATTGATTTATGCTCCTGATTGATGATAATAAGGTATCATAGGTATTACTAGTACATAAATATCAGTTGGAACATGAAACATAGGAGGTTTGCTCTTTGGATAATACTCTCAAATATTGAATATTGGACGAGCGTTCTTTCCCCAAATTGGAGATCACCAAATCCCTATTATTAATCAACCTAAGTATTCGGCAATAGGACATAATTTTCGGCAGACGGATTTTAATGGAGTTCGATTTACTACCATATAGCCAATCACCTTTGATCTGGGATCCCAAGTTTTATCTTATTATCTCCATATTTTCGCCATTTCCCCAATTTCCCCAACTTTTATCTTAACTCCAATGACTCAAATGGACGAGTTTTTTTTTAAAGGGAGATTGAATGCCCAAATTAATTAGATTACTCAATTCAATGCTACCCAAAGCTACTTTTTTTGGAAGCATTCGTCATGGAGAAAAGGAATTCTAGCTCTGACTGCTCTCTAACGGAGAGACTGGAGATCGAACATCTTTACCTTGAATTGGAAACGCCTTTACCAACTCCAAATATCACTTTACCTCCAGCTTCAGATCAATCGCCAGCACCTGAGGCCCCAAATCTAGAAAAATATGGTTCTCCATTTCTCTGGCCGGAATGGCGCAAAACAACAATGACCTGTATCTCATGCGCGGTGACTGGGCTGGCTGGTTACTCTGCTGGTGAGGTTAGTCCGGCGTCTGATGAATTGACCAAGAGGTGGGGGATCAGTGCTGTAGTGTATAACTTGAGTATTACTGTTTTCTGTATCGGTTTTGCACTAGCACCGATGGTTCTTGCTCCCTTTTCTGAAATTAATGGACGGCGACCTATCTTCATTGCTAGTGGTGTTCTGTTTGTTGGTATGTATAAACTTTGATCACTTTGAATCTTTCGAATGTTGAACTGTTACTGACATGCTTTTTAGCCTCGTTGGTTGGATGTGGAGGAACCGAATCATTTGCTGGATTGGCGGTTGCCCGTTTCTTTCAAGGTGTGGCTGGATGTAAGTATACGCCCAAAGTCCTTGAGAGCACGGTAGTACTCTGTCTAGGTATTGACCACTTACTTTCTAGCTACATTCTCAACCATGGTTGGAGGTGTCATCAGCGATATCTATCATGCAGTAGATCGAAACACCCCAATGGCATTTTTCTCCGCTGCTGCTTTGTTCGGAACCGGTCTAGCACCCATGATATCCGGTATCATTGTTACCCACACTACCTGGCGCTGGATCTATTACGCACATGCAATCGTCGCTGGAGTCTTTGTCCTGATCATTTTCTTTTTCTTTTCCGAAACCCGCGGCAGCGTCTTGCTCAGCCGGAAGGCGACTGCACTGAATCAATACTACGAGAAGCTTGAAGATGCAGGTCACTTTGGCGTGATAATATCTAGTGACGACCCTTCAGAGGCGAAACAAGTCCGCCGTATTCGATGGAAGGTGAAGAGTGATGAACAGCGAGAGTCACTGGTCAAGGCGGTTCAGATCTCGTTATATAGGCCCTTCCGTGAGTACTTTTCTTCTTCCCAAATTCTTTATTTGAACGATTTGCTAACTCGATATCGAAGATATGCTGTTCACTGAACCAGTTGTCTTCTTCTTCTCCCTCTGGGTGTCCTTCAGCTGGGCTGTCCTCTACCTCCAATTCGGCTCTATCCCGCTTGTGTTCCGTACAAACCACAACTTCAACACCGAGCAGACCGGTGCTGTGTTTACATCCCTATGTGTCGGTGTCATTATCATCACCATTATCAGCCTTTCCCACGACTGGATAGGCACGCGTTTCGGAATACATAATTCTTCACCCGAAGGACGATTGTACTTCGTTTGTGCCGAATCCTTCCTCTTGCCTATCGGCCTCTTCTGGTTCGGCTGGACCTCCTACTCTTCTATTCACTGGATTGTACCATCAATGGGCGTAGCCTGTGCGACTATGGGCATCTTCTCAATCTACCTTGCCACATTTAATTACCTAGCTGATACCTATCACCGCTACGCTAGTTCGGCGATTGCTGCGCAGTCTTGCTGTAAGTGGTTGAAATTTGTGATTCACTAAAAAAACATCATTGCTAATATCTTCTTGCAGGCCGTAACTTGCTTGGTGGGGTGTTTCCATTAGTGACAACTGCCATGTTTAAAAACCTTGGCTTCCCCGGAGCATCAAGTCTCTTAGGTGGACTTGTAAGTTTTAGTTTTCCTTATAGAAAGAATGACTGATTACTGACCGAAAATTTCAGGGTATCCTTTTGACTGCTGTTCCTTGTGTATTGGCCTTCTACGGTCCAAAGATTCGGGCTAGAAGCAAAATGGCTAGTGTAAGTACTTGATATTATCTCAACACTTATGTCGATACGTGCTAATAAATTAATAGGAACTCGCGCACCATTAAGCGGACAAAAGTTACCAAAAGTTACCAAAATTTAATCATATAATTAACTAGATGATGTGATTACGACGTTTCGGAAAAAGACATACATACACATATAGAATATAGATCTTAGTTCTAAGGTTTGTTTCAATGAACATCGATAGCTTCAGGGCGCCAGCTGTGTCTTATCTTGCTTCCATAATCTACACCTCCACTATTTAGCCGTCCAACATATGAAAAAATAAAGGGCTGTCAATCAATATTAGGAAATAGACCATTCTTTCCGAAATTCCTATATTCGATATAGACGTCATTGTTGGTGGGGCGTGGGTCTGGGGTCAGGTTTGGTTTGCCTTATGGGTCACGTGAGGGATCGCCCCACGATAGATCTCCACTCACACAACAGTCTCCACTGGACACAAAGTGAATCTAAACGAACTTCTCTATGCCTTTCGGCAGGGAACCTTGAGGTAAGGAGACTACAATTCTTCGTAGAGCACAAGAACAGAGAGTATGAGGAAGCGTATCAAGACGTGTGCATTATTCATGAAAGCGCCAGGAGCTAATATAATAACCCGCTGACTTCACGTGCGAAGGGCTAAAGCTAATCTTAGATTCAGAACTAGCTAGGCACAAACTGTGTACAGAATCCTTAATGGACGTGGAAGAGTCGGTGTGGAATCGAGGATGAAGGGTTCTCGAGTCATGTTATCTTTGCTGCAGTAAAAAGAGGCTAATGGGCACCATTATCCATTTGGCGGGCATCAGCCTGTCATGGTGTTCCCATAGTGCGGGAATTATGTAATCATAACCACTTAAAATCCCGTATCCTCTTCGGATCTACGACTGATTCCTCAAGAATCAGTCTTGAATACAATTGACCTTCTTGGCTTCATCTTATCTATTCTTTATCCGCTAGACATCCTTACACAGCCCGTTACATCACGTAACTACTATCTTGAATAAAAAAGGCTGACCCTGAGCGCCCTCATAAAGCGACGGCACCTGAAATAGGAAAGCCATAGCAAAGACGGTATGTAAAGCTACTTAGGTCCTAGGTACAGTTCACTTTTCGCTTGTTGCTTATTCTACTTACTAGGAGAGTAATGAAAAGGAACAAGAAGATCGAGGCAATTCTCGTCTACATAGGTATCCGTGTATTTTTATATAATGGAATAAACACAGCTAGATGCCAATAAACCAGCATGCTTTATTTAGTTGAATGGCATGCATTGCACCATCATGCTGATTATTCATCCCTAAAATGGGAACGGTACTATACAGCAGGTTTATACCTGATTCAAGACCACGAGTAAAATCTGGGCAATGTGCATGGAATTACTTCGGCTGGCTATGCCCACCAGGAGCCGATAGTTTAAAGGGGAAACGATGTGATGCATAATGTGCATCCTCTTCACTATCACTTCCCATCTGGTCCAGGATGCGGTCAATCTCATCACCCGCATGAGCTTCGAGTCCTAGGTCTGAATTTCGCATATGTGAAGCTTCTCCAGACTGTAACCTATCATTTTGAGAGTGTTGATTCTGGTCAGTTCCACTACCATTCCTATCTGAGTAGATTGATGCATGCAAGTTACGTTGGGTGGGGGGTTGCAATGGTCGAGGGCTGGCGCGGTAGCCTGAGTTTTCAGGACTAGACATGAACATAAGAGTTTCAATTGCGTCTTGCTCAGCCCGGGCATTTGGGGGTTCTTGGTGTGAGTTGTTTCGTCTGTGACGGAAATATGGACTGTGACCGGAATATGGACTTCGGCCATATGAATTCTTTATCAAATTTGAGTTTGCCCGCAGGTATGTGTCGCCGTTTGATGCTATAATATCGACAGGTGGCGCCAATTTGGGGAAATTACTGAGTCTGTCGGAGGCAGGAATAGCGGATTGAGAGCGGTGATGGGATAGAAAGGATCGAGGTATATTTGATGGTGATGTGCGTCGGGGATTTACTGGCGGAGTCAAAATAGTACTATTTGCAGGCTGGACTGCTGATGAAAAGCTAGCAAGCCCGTGAAGGGCAAGTTGGGAGTTGATATCATTCGACCGAGACTTTTCTAGATTGGCGGCCGCCTTTGACAGTCGCGTGCGCATACGAGCAGAAAGCTAATGATCAAATGTCAACGACATTCGAGCATAAAAATAGGGTGTTCTTTTTACCTGTGCGATCTTGCTGTCATGGGCTGACAAGCCCGTGCTCTTCGAACGCCTTCGCACATGCCCATTCAAGTTGGATTTGTGAGATAGTACAAGGCCGGGCGACGGCTCTTGAAATTCGGGTGATTGTTTGTATGTAGTTGAGTTATGTGTATTCACGTTCTCGTTGAAAGAATTGACAAACTCCATGGGTTGAGTGTTGAGCGAGGACAGAGGAAGACTATTTACCGAGTCTGTAAATGTACTAGTAGACTGAAGGTCTTGTCGTTGGCCATCGCCAGATGTCTCACTACCATGTTCGGAAGATTCAACAACAGAATTAGAAGTGTCTTTGTCATACACATGGGCATTTAGCCCATCTATTTGTAACGACAAGGGCTGAGGCGACCGCGGAACTTGAATCTCTTCCACATAACTTAAGACTCCCGGTGATCTCGTCATGGAGATATTCAAAGTCTCGGTATTTGTCATGTTAGTATCCGCATTAGGAGCCCCACGACCTGACGGCACAAGATGGATGTCGTTCATACTTCGAGCAACGGGCTGGAAAACGAAAGAAAGTCAGTTAGAGGGAAAATGAATCAAAGAAGGCGACCAAGTCGCAATGAAATTTGCGATTGTAAACTTACGTGACCAAAGGATCTATACACGTCAATCAGAACTTCGCTGCTTGCGCCGAGTCACCGCATCTAATCGGGCACCTATAATGGCCGACGCGGAGCAACCAGGGATGTAATAGAGCCAACGGTCTGGATCCAAATGTCCCAAAGAATGGGAATATGCAGCGGTGCTGGGGAACAGGCGTATCTGCCCTAACTGGGGGGCGGTCGTCTAGTAAGCGCGCGATAAGACAGTGAACTGGTGGTCTCCACTGGGGACGATGGGTCCAAGCGACTAGGACTAAGCCTAAGAATACCACAGACTTGCGAAAATGGATAGGCCGAAGAATATTAAAAGAACCAAAAGATCTAGAAGCGCGTTTGCTCTGAAAATGACTTGAAGCGAGTCTATGGCGTCGTTGATCGGCTTGTTCTCCTGCGGAGACGCGTTCGAGACACGGTGGTCACGTGCTACTTACGCAATCTACATTCAGTAGTGAATATTGACTGTTTAGAAGATATTGATGATTTTATAATCAAGACGTAGGAATTCCCAGGTGGGTTCCATTGTTGAATGAAAGGTCTTATTCAATAGCTATGTGGTTCAGCCAATCAATATCTTTTAGAGCATAGAATAGAGCTAGGAAGCGTATAGGTGCTAGATTTACCAAAGTATAGAAATATCTAGTTCAGAAAAGGAACATTTGGAGAGCGCAGGTATTGAACAGGCTTCGCCGTGTAAAAATCACTTAGCCCTATCAAATTCGAATGAGGAGGGTAAATGCACAAAGTAGATTTTTGGTTCAAACGCCAAGTATGCAAGAACAATGTGTACAAAAATTTTCCGGGCGTTTATTTGCTGCGCTTCTTGAACCGGCCACCAGATTCACCATCGGTATTCTTGCGTTTCTTACCCTCGCGCTGCCAGTATTCCGCTTTCTCTCTCTTTTCACGTGCAGCCTTCTTCTCAAGACTGTCAGCAACCTTGGCACGGTATACCTTACGGCGCTCTTCTTGCTTGATTGCCCGTTTCTCCTGCTTCTCGTTGCGCATTGTTGTCAGCTTCTGCATGAGGTCTCGTGCCTTCTTCTCCTCGCCACCTAGGACCACAGCCCGCTTCTGCATATAGGTCTGATCCTTGCGTGCCTTCATCTTTGTGATCTGAGACTTGTATGGAAGATCGGCAGCCAGTTGGCGTGGCACACGGAGAGGATTGAAGTGACGAGTTTCGCGCTCAATCTTGTGGTAGGCTGAATCCTTGTTCATGGGAGTTGGGATACCTTGATCGTGGCGCACCTCACCAGTCAAACGCATCTGCTGCCAGCCACTGTCTGCAGAAGCACCCTCTTCCAGATCCAGAAGATTGGTGACCGGGTTGTAGAAGCGATGCGGCTTGATAGGGTACCAGGCGCGCAGGAAGACAATATCACTCATGAGAATCTTGTCCTCGAAAGTGGCACGGAAGCAACCCTCGGGCTTGCCGAGCGCCTTCTTGATCTGACCACGAATGCCTGAAACAGTTCGAATCGAAGCACCTTCAAACTTGGCAATTTCCAGCGAGGAGTTGAACATGTCCTTGATAAAGGCAGTGTTCTTGAAGATCTTGTATGGTACGCCAGTGAGCTTCAGTTTCTTGACGATCTCAGTGTGCTCTTCCACACTCTGCACGACACCAGTTGCCGCAATCCGGAAGCCTGGGTTCTTATTCGAGAACGACTGAACGCAGCAGAAACCTGTGTTGGGGGCCACTAGTGGACCGTAGAAGACACCCATGCAATGCATGTGTTCGGGTGTATATTTGAGCATACGGTTTCGGGTCCGACTGTCCGAAGTGCTGTAGATGGGCATCGACTGGAAACGACGCCAGCCGAGGGAGAAGATCAGGGGGTCACTGCTCTTCAAGATCTTCTTGTGCCAGCGGTGGCGCTTGATGCGAACTTGTACGTATCCGAAACGGTCTTCGGTAGGAGAGAGACCTCCGACGATAACAGGGAACCGAGGAGTGAACTTGCTTGCAAACTCGTATGGGACTTTCTCCAAGACGATACGAGCGTAAGTTCCTGCTTTGAAGCCCTCAGCTCGGGCACGAGAAGCGGGATCAAGGGTGTCGAACTCGGCGCGGTTGATGTCGAGCTGTTTTTGCATTTTAGCCTTCTGCAGTTCATACCATTGATCCTCGCCGAATTCCCCATCGCCACCATCTCGAGCTCCCTCTTTAGCGTTTCCAAAGCCCTCCCGATCTTCTTCTTCAAAGCGCAGCTTCAGCTCTTCTTTTTTCTTGGCATTACGTTCACGCTCAGCTTCCAAATCTACTGGGCCTTCGGGCTCTGCATCCTCGTCGTCTTCGTCTTCATCTCCCTCTTCATCGTCGTCCTTGATTCCATTGAAGACGTCACCCGTCTCCAAGTCCTCGAAGGCTCCATCACCTTCATCATCCTCATCTTCATCGAAGACGTCATCCATATCATCATCATCAAGCTCATCGAGATCGTCGAAGCCACCAACAAGTTTGCCAGTGATGAAACGACGTTTGAGTGACTCGATCATTTCTTCATCCCGCCATTTACGCTCCAATTCGTCGTAGTCATATTCGGGAACTGCACGGAAGTCGGCTTCGTACTTTTTCTCATTGTTGGTCTTCTTGAAAAAATCGTCGGCTTCCTCATCGGCGTCCTCATCTTCTTCATTGTTCTCACCGCGCCACGTTTGCACAGCTTCAGCAGGACTAATGGATTCATCGTACATCATCCTTGAAAGGTCAGAGACACGGAAAGCGGGGCGCTTGCTATGAAGAGCTTTAGCTGTGGCCAGCATGTTATCCTTCCATTTGGCATTGCCCTCTTCGTCTTCCTCATCATCCTCATCATCATCCTCGTCGTCATCTTCTTCCTCTTCATCCTCATCTTCTTCATCTTCATCACCGCTCTCTAGCTCCTGATCCTCGACTGAAGAGATTGAGCCAAGGTCAGAGTCACTGTCTGCAAAGGCAAGATCCTCTCCATTTTCACGGTTGCTTCCGTTCTGTCTTTCTTTGAAGTTGTCCTCGAAACCTGACGGAGCAGACACATCGACCTCATCTTCATCATCCTCACTGAGATCCTCGTCGTCTTCATATTCGGCAAGTTGTTCGTCTTCGTCATCGCTACTCTCGAGGCCCTCATCGTCTGATGCCTCTTGACCATCACGTTCAGCATCTGCAATGCGCGCGTGTCTCTTGTGCTTACGGCCAGTCTCTTCGCCATCTTGAGTTATGGTTTCACCATCACGGAAAAGACGGACACCCTCGTCGGCCTCACCAAGCAATCGTCGCTCACCCTGCAGACCAACTACAAGCTGCTCGCCAAGTCCACGGTCCTCGTGGTCTTCTTCCTCGTCATCCGAGTCACGGTTAAAGTTGGTAGTTCTGACATCGATGTAGACCGCATCCTTGTCAACCAAGACACCACCAACATCGGACATGGGAGCAAAGAGGAGCTTTTGCTTCTCACCCAGCTTGCGCCGCGACGACTTTCCAGATACTTTTGCAACTTGCTGGTCCATGAAGGGAGTAGGGCAGGGGTCAGGCAATCCCTCAATGCCAGAGACTGTCAGATCACCCACACCAGGCACGTGCACCCGCGCACCATAAGCTGGGAAATTGGTACCGCGGAGATAACCATACAATGCCACAGTACGATCACACTTGGGATTTTCTTCGATTTGAGTGGGAGGGGTGATATCCAAAAAGCGATCCGCCAGCGCGTACGGGTGAGAGTTACGCCAAATAAGCGGACGAGGATTCTTCATAACGGACAAGAATCGCGATAGGTTATGGACTTCGCGATCTGGATATCGGCCGTTGATCACACCGGAAAGGTAGAAAAGCTTGGCACCCTGGTAGAGTTCACTCCAGAAACGCTGCTTCAGGCGCTTCTTGGTCATCTTCAAAGTACTCTGCTTCTTGAACAGGTCGAGATGGGTCAGAATACCGAAGACATTTCCGGGCATACCACTCGTCGACAAGGCGTTCAAGAACTCCATTGTCTCCATCTCAAAGCCGTAGTTACCATCAATCATGAGAAGGACAATATCCGCGATTTTAGAGACATCAATCATGGCTGCTAGGGAATCTGAGGGACATTCGATGAAAGTGAGGCGCTTTTTCTTGGAAGTAACTACAGTCAATGGACCTTGGGGGGAGCTCAGAGTCTGCTTAGTGTAGCGACGAATCAGTGACTTCAGAAGAGTGGTCTTGCCAACCTGCAAACGCAACAAGATATAAATTAGCATTGTGGCTCCAAGTATAAGATAAAACTCCAATTTCGGAACTTACGCCTGGGGGTCCAACGAGTGCAACCACAGTTGGAGGGGCCTCTTCAGGCATGCGATCCACCTGGGGAACATGTAGTCTTTTTTCCTTGACATCGTAGGATCGAGCAGCCTGTCTACCAAGCTTTCCAGGATTGGAATAGGCGAAAGCCTTCGGATTGCTTCCTGTAACATGGGTCAGTGACTCTACTTCGATCAATCCTCGAGAGAAAACCCCGAAGCCCTGAGATGTTTCGTACCTTCAAATTTCTTCTTCTCCTTTGCAGGCCGATGGGCCCGATTTGATTGCTGCTCCATTTGCAAGCAAAGAGGTCACGGACCTCACAGCTGCTCTGATAATTTAGAAAGAAAAAGAGACAGACAGTAAAAGCGACAACAGCTTGGGACGTGAAGATGGCCGGTCCAAAATTATTATTTCGGGGCGGAAAAATGTGGATCCCGGTTTAAAAAAATAAAAAACCGAAATTGCGGTAGATTTGATAAAAACTTTGAGCTGTAAAGATCGTGAACTCGGCTTAGCAGTTTAGGGGTATAATTCGTGCTTCGGGTTGGCAACCCAGAGCTGTCACAACTGCTTTTGTATGTGCGAGGTCCCAGCTGAGCCCTTAGTTCTCTTTTTATGACCTTTACAAGGATTCTAGTTTAGGCTTGGCGTAAGGCAGTATTAACACCTGAGGCAAAAGTTATTTGATATGAGATAAACGGTCACGTGGTGATACTAAGATCACCTGACTTGCCTGTAGAGTGACGTATATGCCCACGTGATCTGCCCCGCGTTCGAGAATCGCGTCATAGGAGTCTTTCATGCATTATTACATCAACACAGCTTAAATCGAAAAGCAGGAAGACAAGAAGGGACAGGTCCATAGGTGGATGGTCATTGGATTTCTCAGTTGAAAATATATCACTAATTACGATGTATTCTTATCTCAAACTTGCAGAATAGATCTTTGTTGATTCAGATCAGAGTACTCCGTACTCAAATCACATCTTCATTCGAGCCCGCATAACATTTCAAATTGATTTAATTACTGTGTAGTGTAAATTTGAATATAATGGAAATATCTGAAGTTAAAAATAAGGCATCATGGGCGTTTTCATGGCGTAAGACTCTCAGCCCATTCGGCTTATCAGCTCCCATTCCAGGGTATAAAACACAGACCACCCCCGCTCCTACATCCACTCTCTCCTTTCCACCTTCATTTCCTCATCACCTCTACTCTCTTCTACACTTTACACTCGGTGTCTTTCTCCATACTAAATACTCCGCAGTCATGCCCCAGTACAACGTATGTCATGTCTCATTCCTTTTTTTGACGTCCCTAACCATTATTTTTCTCAGGTTACCCTCAAGACCGATGCTCCCCCTGAGGAGCTTGAGAAGTTCGTTTTCCTCTCATTCAAAATCTGTCTCGATACTCATGTTTTTATTATCTAGGGCCAAGCTGAGCGTGCAGCAGCAGGGTGGAACTATCAAGCATGAGTACAGTCTCATTAAGGGCTTTGTGTAAGATTCCCATCATAGAAAAACTGCCCCGGCTGCTTCTTATTTAACCCCCAACCCTCAACCCTCAAATACTAACTCCGGAAATAGTGTTGAATACCCCGAAGACCACGTCAGCGTTCTCGAATCTTCCGAGCATATTCATGTCGAGCACGACTCCGAGGTGACAACCCAGTAATTGGCGAAAACATGAATACTGCGGCACCCATATCAATATCAACCTGCTCTCTAATCGTCTAAGATTTAAAGACTGGTTGCCATGACTGGGTGGGCCGTATGATGGGTGGATTATCTTGCTTCGGTGTGATATGAGGCAAGGCATACACGCAGCCATTATCAACTATGTTATGTATACTTTATAACCAACGCGCCTGGGCTGCCAGGAATTATCCCTGTAGCAAGATATGACTTACGAATTACAATCTGCTTTTCAAAGTTTATATCTGGTTGGAGTAACTCCCGAGATCTGTAGCCTGTACCTAGATATATGTAGCTGCATCTTCATGTCATTTGGGCAACCTCTATTCCGATCTATGGATACCTAGGTATCCACCCACACATTTAATCTCCTCTCCTATTTGAGCCAATCTAGCAGGATGCTTATGAACAGTGTAGAAAAACCAGTCTGGGACCTCGGAATTGAAGACATTCCGAGATCAGGATTCAGGACGCTCGGATTCTTTTTTTATATGAATGTTTCAATGCTTCTTGTTCTTTCAGAAATTACCCGACCTTGCAAGTAATACCCTGGTATCGGTATCGGTAATTCATCCTAGAAATAGTTATTTACCTAGTACCTTTTCTTAATCTCCAGGGCCCAAATTTTGTCAACCAGTGTTTCACAATGGGCTGTAAAAATAGGCGCTTCTATGTTGTAAACCTTGAAAGCTAATAAGAATGTCAGGTTATGGATTCAAGTTCACTTTATTCAGAAGAAATTCAATTCTTTTATTTTTACTCTAGATTATTCATTTAAAAAACTCTCGATTATGCGAGTATACGATTGGTTAAGGCACCAACTTTATAAGAATTAAGGCCACAGTATCACGTGACAGATTGCGGGTCCTGCCGATCGATCGTAAGGACGCCCAACTTATTATACACCTTCCAATTTTCAAAGGCAAATCAGTCCCTGGGATGAGGCAGGCCTAAACAAGGACTTGATCTGGCTAGCTGTATTCTAATAGGTTTTCTAAACAGCCAAGCTCACGATATAGCTTTCTGCAAGGTCACATTCCGCAGTATTATCCTTTCACCATTTGATCTGATACAAATACCTGGGTTCTTCCAGAAATGATAAATCAATTGAAAGATTGAATACATCTCAGACTAAGATATCTATGTAAGTTACAAACACTCCGGTATTTCTCGTCACCGCTTAGAGAGTCACCTTTACTGCCCATGCGGTTCTACTTTCTGCTTTCTGCTTTCTCCTTTTAAAAGCCAAATCAGCACTTGGACATGACTGACCATACCCAACAGATCCCTTCTAGGGATTTTGACTCGCCTGAGGAAAGAACAGTCAGACAATCCCTCGAACACTACCTTGCATCGCAGTAAGAGATGCTGCATAATTGCATGCATTTTCAACGCGTTAATCCAATTCTCTAGAAAACGCTGGGAATTACCCAAGATTGGAGCTTCAGACTACGGTAACATTCGTCACTCACGCAACTCTGATCCTCTGAGCAACTCAAATACCCTCATCACAGAGCTCATTGGGTTGTTGGATGCAGACGAAGAGTTTCCTAACGAGCGACCTCTGTCTGAAATCTCATCAACAATCTCCGGAAACACTGGGTCCTCTGATCTTTTAATTGCTTCTGCTCTTCGCTTTGATGAAGAACTGAAGCCCCGTGACTGTGACGAGAACGCAACTGCACTTCCTTCACCCCCGCTTTTTCCCTTACCATTTCCCTCCTTTTCGCCTATCCAACCCTCTGTTTCTTACTACGATCTCCCTTCTCCTAAACAAAATCTAGATTCTACGTTCAGGAAAGGAATTCGTGATAAGGTTTCTCACCCTTCTCTCCCCTTTTCTCCCCAGACCTTTGCCAACAAAGAAACTCCCATCATCTCAACCTTCCAGCGCAATATTCCAGCCTTACCAGAAATTATCCACTTGCCCATATCTGGTCCTTCGCCGCTGTTGGCAGCTTATCCATCATTGCAGCGCAGTACTTCAGTGAAAGCAGAAGTTAAGGACAGTTTCAAGGCCCGCCTTTCTAGATTTATCAAGCGCAAGTTTCAAATCCCTTCTCCCAAATAATTCACATCAAACCATCGAACATGGGTCCACGAGACTCCTATTTCCGGAATGCATCGTCCGCGATGGCAGCAATTACCCGGCATAAAACAGAAGCGATTAAACTAGCTCGAGAGCAAAGCGTTGCAGTGAAGGAGATGTGTCGCCGTGCAAAGACAGAAGTACCGCCATATGAGTTTGAGGAATTGATTGGGAAAGGTGCATATGGTCGTGTCTACAAAGGTCGACAAATGCCATCTGGTCGGCTTGTGGCCATCAAGGTTCTAGACATTGATTCTTTGGATTACCAAGCGCTGCGTGATTTCAGTGATATCTCTATCAAAGACTTCATTCACGAGACTAAGGTCATGACACAGGTGAAGGACTCTGGTGCAAAAAACATCAATGAAATCATCGAAGCCATATCTATCCATTCCCAGCTGTGGTTGGTCTGCGAATATTGCCCGGGTGGCAGTGTGCGAACTCTGGTTTGTATACATGATCTGTCTTTGTCTATGATTGTCACCAACTAACCAACTATAGATGCGAGCAACTGGGGATAAATTAGAAGAACGATTCATCATTCCTATTGCCAGAGAACTTGCAGTTGGTTTGAATGCTATCCACGAAGCTGGGATCATTCATCGTGATGTAAAAGGTAATATGAATCCTGAAGTCTGATGTCTTTTTCTCATACTTATCAATAATATAGCTGCCAACATTCTCATTCATGAGGAAGGTCGACTGGAAATATGTGATTTTGGTGTGGCTGGCGTTTTAGAATCCAAGAAAGACAAGCGTTCAACTTGGGTTGGCACACCCCATTGGATGCCACCGGAGATGTTTGCTTCTCGAGGACCCGGACCAGCCCATAAATACAGCAGCGAGGTAAAATACCAATTATCAATATTTTGCGTTGGAGGTCTGACTAACCATTTCAGTTCGACGTCTGGGCATTTGGTTGTACCTTGATCGAGTTTGCAACCGGTAACCCTCCCAACGCACGTCTTCGAGAGCCAATGCAAATTGGACGCCAACTGAACCGAAACATTCCCAAACTCGATAGTGATCAGTACAGCCAGGGGCTCAAAGATCTCATTGCATTTGCTCTTGACTCTAATCCCGCGACCCGGCCTTCCATGGCAGATATCCTCGCTCATCCCTATATCGCTGGAACCGAAGAGGAATACCCCACATCATCTGTCGGCGAACTCGTCCGGAACTACTACCAGTGGTCACAGCGGGGCGGTCATCGTATATCTTTATTTCATCCGGGTGGTGCAGCAGCAGCAGAATTCCCCGAAATGGAGGAGTCAGAGGATGATTGGAACTTCAGCACAACAGATGGGTTTGAGCGACGGTTCTCTGTTATTGACCTGGATGAGATAGCTGCATCCTTGGCCCAAATAATGGACGATGACTCGGCGAGTCCCGCTGCCTTAACCCCCTCATCCGAGTTCCCCAACGATGACTCCAGCCTCACCATGGATCCCGAGATCCAGGCCAACTTTGATGAGCGTGTTCGTCGGGGTGCCGCAGCCATGGAAAGCCTGTTTGATAAAGACGGGCCCAGTTACACCTACGAAACCAAGAATGACTTTGTTCCAATTGAGCCACCTGTATCCCCGGTATCAGACCTCCCTCTTCGAACTGAAACCGACAGATCGTCTGTTACTTCCACTTTTATTGATATCGATATCGGCTCCTTTGACTCATCACACTATGCCGCCGGTGCTCCATCTGCGCATCCCTTCCAACTGGCGGATGCAGACACCATTCGTGCTAATCGTTCCAGCATTCGAGTCAATCGAAACTCCAACGATAATAGCTCTCAATCATCAAACAGCGGAAATGAGAACTTAGAGCCTCAGGAGGAAAATTACCAACCCCAATCTGGCCCACGTCCACCCACTATGGACTGGAAGTTTCCGGGCTTCTCCTTCCAGCATGAAGACGTTGAGGTCGAAGTGGAGAAGGAAAAAGAGATGACCCCTGAGCCGGAGCCAGTGCAAGAAAATACTTTCCAAGCGGAGAAACGTGCGACTATGCAGTGGACTTTTCCCATCATGTCAACCACTGATGAGGATCCCACTGATGGCCAACCCAGCATCGATCCTCACGACACTGTACGAGCTCCACTACCAATACAACGTCTACAGAAAACAGAACCCGGCGACTCGCGTCCGTCCACCTCGGCTTCAAATTTATCCATCGTTTCCGAATCTGATGGTGATCCATTCCGCTTTGATCTTGTGCATCCACTCGACTCATATTCCTCTGACAACCCGGGACCAACTGAACCGACCGACGATTCTTTCATCAATGGAGCTACGATTCGCAATAGACTTCCTTTACTTGGCACGCATTTGGAGACGGAAGATAAAGAAGACGAAGATAGAGAGGACGAAATTCATTCAGTCACAACCCTCGAAGATCTTGAAGCCATGCTTGCCAGTACCGAACTCGGCTCGCGTTATAATCATGACACAAATGACAGATTTGCCATTGACGACGAGGATACAGATAAAATACTATCATTTCCAAGTCAAGGAAGTGTTAGCCTCGATGGACCAGGTCCTGATAACGAAGAATGGCCTCACCCACTGTGGGGAGACAACCAGGAAATCATTCAACCAGAGAATCACCCCCCACTCTTCCCAGGACATCCCCCGGATGCCACGATCTCGGAGCCTGGATCGGGTGAATCCACAGACGTGGAGGAAGGTGTTCGGTTCCCAATTCTGGTTCCTCCCAGGGAAGAGAGCCTAATGGAGGGGGCTGACGATGCAATTGTTGCTATTGAGTTGGATCGTTTGTTGGAGGATTTTCTGGATGCCCTTTCTGCCACTTCTGAAGCACTTTCTCGGGCAGTCCCTTCATAATTTAATTAATGCCTAGATTGCTACCCAGATAGCTAACATTATTATCTAGTCTCTACGGAAAGAATATGATTCTATATATTTAGAACTAGATTAACTCCTTATTTATGTAATAAGGGACTATAATATCCTCAGATGTAATGCACAGGTACATATTTAGGGCATGCATGCCATGACGCTATGCTACGATCAATCATGAAGTATGAATACATCCAAAACACGTGTATCTGCGTTCATCTGGACACTTCTGAGGCCCGCATTATGACCTCGCCGGCGATGTCATTTAAAGCACATGATCAACAAAGGTAGAACGCATACAACCTCATTTATCCTACCTTAAGAATCCCTCCTCCATCCTGCATCCTGCAACAACCACCTTTCATCAAAACCACCTACATCCGTAGGTATAGTCATCAACTTCATCATGTTAGGAGGGTTTTCAAGTCAGTATGGACCACAGTCCTTTGTCCCGACTCATCCACTACCTCCAAAGTCTTTCGAGGAATGGAACAAGGTCTCTGTGGAGATTAAGCGAATATACCTACGACAGGATTTCAAGCGATGTGCTGAGCGCTGTACAGATCTCCTCGATCAAACAGCTGGCCAGGTAAGTGTCTTTCATCAGACAAGTTCTTATTCTCAAGATGATAAACTGATAATGTATTTTCTTTCAGATCCGTCCAGTCTATGAATGCTACCTCAATTTTTATGCTGCTGTGTGCTTCGAATGCATCGGTAGAATTACCCCTGTTCATTCTCGAATGAAGATCTTCTGGCTGGAACAAGGAATCAAGTACTACAACCGTGCCAGCTTTTCTCTCCCCGACCCCGATAAACCTGGTGTCGCACTTGCTGCACCTAAGTCCGCTACCCTAGATAGCACGTCTAATATTGACTCTATTCCTGGGTCCCTTCCCCAATCTGCAATCGAGGTACTTTATCAATACGGCTGCGATCATCAGCGCTCTGGTGCCATTGCTCGACTTTCTCCCACCGAGCCGGCTGATCAGGCTAGTTTATCTGACGATGAATCTCACCAAGTAGAATCTAGAACCGGTGCTATCGTTGCACCCCGATTCAGTTATCGTGACCCTGATCACGCTGCTCAGCTTGACGAACCTGCTGCCCGGGGTAGAGCATCTGATAATGAGCGTCACTATGGGTTTCTTCCTGACTCTGCAATCGCAAAACGTTTTGCAGCAAGATCTAGTTATGATGGCTTCCGCAGCATCATTCCATCTGAACACATTGGACCTGCTGCCTGGGGTGGTACAATTAATGGCTATCTTCATGATGATCTCACTGAAATACTCGCCGTATTACTTGAACACGACTATGGTTTTGATCGCCCTAACCCCATTGCCCAGCTTGCATTCCCCGAGTCTTTTAATACTCCAAACTATCCTGTTGTCCTGAAAAGTGCAAATAATGGCTTTGTCCAGGGAGATCTCGCTGAATCTAGAATCGATGGCTCATCTCTGTCATGCTCTCGTTACATTTTTTCTAAGCCCACTTGTCGGCTTGATGCCTATGAACCTGTTTTCCGAGGTGACATGACTAATAATGGCACCGTTGAGAGATATCGTGAACTCGCTGCACCAGCATCAGTCTCTGGTTCAATTGGTTCCCCTGGTCATCCGTCTGGTAGCACTCCTTCTGAGAGTATGACTCTCGTAATCGAACACCTGCTCGATCATTTTGAGGATCCTTTTGTTTCTCTTGACGGAGATCAAGACTCTAGATCGGAATTCATGACGAAAATTCTCTCATGCCTTCCTTTGCACCTACGAAATACCAGAGTCTATCACCAGCATTTGCAGCGAAGGAGAAAGAGGATCATCATTGATAGAGATCTTTTGCCTAATCCTGTCCATGTTACCGATGAGTTGTCTGGACTTGGACCTCCTGGCGATGAGGTCGCATGGAAGTTAGTCGATTTTCCTTCTGATTATCATTATGAACCTTTCATGTTTTCGGGTTACAATGGCCCTAATGAGGAAGGCTTGGTTCAAGATGAGTCCAGCGTTGATGGTCATTTCAGACATGGATCCCCACTTAGAAACATCTGTGATCCTTACAACAATGGTTCTGTCGATAACCAAAATCGCGACAAAGATCGTGGAGACCGCATGCCCGCTTTTGAGGATGGCCCTGGCCTTGCTGTATCCAATAACGATGATCGTTTCACCCATGAAGCCAGCCCCGGTCAAGTTCGTGGAGCTCAACGTAATAATTTTGAGGACAGCACTGAGCCTACAGAATACGGTCTCAATGTTCATCTCATTTTTCAAGTTAGCCCTGGTGGAGGGAATGGCAACTCTTTTGAGGACAGTACTAATCTGGATGGTAATGGAGACCTTGACGAATATCTCGGAGAACGCAACCCAGTTCAGGACGCCCTTGTCCTAGGAGATCTTCGTAACGATGATCATTACATTTATCAATTTCACCCTAATCAAGGTCACGGAACTAATGATCCCTTTGTGAGCAACCATTTTCCAGGTGGATACGATATTTCCGGCCTTACCCGTGGAACTGGACGTGACTTTGTCATTTTTGAGGACAGTCCCATTGCTAGTGAATCTGATTCTGTCAGTCGACCCCACCTTGATCTAGGCTGTAGAACTGAACGCAACCCCTTTGCGGACGATCACGTTTCAAGTGAAGAAGATATTACTGATCTCCCCGATGGAGCTGAGCGTGGTCCTTTTGACGACAGTACTATTACAAGTGCTTACGATATCCTCGATTTTCCCGCTCAGCAAGCTAGCAACTTTTCCCAGGTCACTACTTTTGGGAGTGAGGAAATTGTCGACGCTATTGTCGATGATGTAGTCACATTTGCCGAATATTGTGAGAATGGAAGTCTAGGAGAAAGCGCTTACGGTGTCGACGATGAGAATTCGAACTCAGTCCCGATTAAATCATCAAAATACCCTCGCCGTGCTGTCCAGATTTCATTTGGTGGGCTTTATATTTGTGAGATTTGTGGGTTGGTCGTTTGTCACTGCCCTTATGAAATTGGACCCGACGAGACTCCAGACCCGATCAGACAATTTTTGAGCCATCACCCTCGTGTTTGTGTTCCGCTAAACAAGATCCACGTTTGTAGAAATTATGGACCTCTTGATTACCGGTGCCTCTATGGCAAGCATCCGTCCAGTGGAACGCATTTGCTTGGTTTTCTCGATTCTGGACGGAATGGGCCTTCTGAACGGACAGTCGAAGATGCTATTCAACATCTTCGTACAATCCGCTCTCCTACCTCTATGACTACTTGTCTTGAGTGCTTCCTTCGCGGATACCCGTATGATCATCCGGAAGACCACTGTCCCTATCGTACTGCCACAAATCATGGTTATCCATTCTATGGTATGCACGATTTTCAGTGTTCTCAGGAGGCGGAATTGACTCAAGACTACGATTTCACTCCAACCCCTAAGTCCTACGTGTCTACCATCCAGTCATCAACTCACTCTGAGAACAACTCAGTTCTAAATGCTGATGATATAGAAACTTCTAACAAGACAGTCGTCTCGTCGACTCCACCTGAGAATGTAACTCCCTGTGTCAATGCCAAAGAAATCACAGTTTCTAATGAGTCTATCATCTCGTCGGCTCCTGCTGAGAGCGATTCAGTTTCCTCCGCCATTGATATAGAAAGATTGAACATGGGTATTTATTCACTCCACGGTCATATCGAATCGAATATCTCGAATCTCGATAAAATGATCAACAACGTCAAAATTATCCAAGAGGCCCACAGAGCGCATCAGCATGCACACTCATCTCCTCGGCCTGGAGAAGAAGAGGACCAAGAGTCTGAAATGGACATAGATGAGTCTGGCAACATCTATTTGAAGGAAACCAAAGCCCAGCGGATCAAGCGCCTACGTGCTGATAACTGGAGCAAGGTTCTGGTTCCCTGGAAGGGCCCGGAATATTACCAGAAGTTATGCGACATCATCATACAAGAAATGGATGAGAGACACTAGATTCGATCAGTTTGTAAGACTATTTGAGGGTCCTGGTTTTACACCTGATTTTTCGATTGATTAGTCTGAGATTTAGTCAGGCTACGGGAGTGGCTTCCAAGGTTTATCCTCTGGATGATATTTTGATATTTTCCCACCGTACGCCTGATGTTGCGAGTGACTGGCTGTGTCCAGCTGTGGTGGTTTTTATCTTTTATTACCGCCATTGATTTTATAATCTTGGCCCACCACACGTCTGATTCTTTCTGGGAACAATGATTTTATTTCAAAATTTGCCCATGGCTTTGTAGATTTCCTGCTTCAATCTCTATAAAAACTTATGTAGATGTGCATCCTATTTGCAGGTATAGAAACCGCTAGTATATTCGCGTGAATATTAATCAGTAAGACATGACCTTTCATGGGAATATTCAAAATCTTATAACGGCGGCAACAACACTATATTTGTGACCTCTTCGGTTTTAACCGCCAAAGGTCCACAGGTGCCCAGGTCCACAGTATTTTGAGAATAGTATACGAAACTGGACCTTAGGACGCTGTATAACTATATTCTAGTCTGACTTAACCTGGGTCAGATCTCGGGAGCCTTAGAAGAAAACCTTGGAATGAATGTCATTATTTATTGATAAACTGTTGCGACAGCCGAGAAACAAGGCCATCAACAGACGGAAAGTATTTCGGCCGAAAAGGCTTCTGCCGAGACAGCGACTCCGGAACTGGATTAGTATATCACGGCATCCTTGAACGATATGCATTCATCGCAAACGACACCCTTGAGCGATGCGCATTCGCGACAGTAATGTCCCGTCTTCACCGTCTCTTCTGTCTCGGACGAATGTTGACATTCGTCCAGAGCAGAGGGGCGCCCATGTACTATAAGTAGCTAGTTCTTTCATCAATGAAAAAGCAGACTTCACAACAACCACAATATTCAGTACTGTAGAGACCACTACACTTGGTGGTTTGTCTACGGTGTTGAGTAGTGGTTTGTTGAAGCTCACCAACTCCTTTCTACTGCAGTAAACTCCAATTCCCTTTTACTGTAGTAAGAACTCGAGCACCGTTCTTAGTTATCGGCGACTAGCTAGCTACGCTCGCTAAGCGAGCGACATAAACCACCTGTTGATCATACCCAGGTAAGTTTCATCAAGCTGTCTCATAGAGAAATCATCCACTCCGCTAAACACTTCAACTTTACGGATGTTCTGAGCACTCTAATATCTTCTTGATTTTATTCATCCCTTCTTCTATAATTCTACCAAAAATTTCGAGTCTATCTACAGCTGCACCGCTAACCTTGGGATGGAGCCCTAGAGAACTGGGAATGTCGTGAAGAAAATCACTTCACAAATCTCACGCCTCGTTCATCACATCATCCCTTTACCTTGGTAAGTCAAGTATCTTCATGATAATTTGAAAGAGCACTTAATTAACAACATATCGTAGTCAACAGGCTGAAGAACTGGAGATGGGGATTTGAATGTCGTAGCTGCTGACGAACTCATTTCAAAATGCTCAACTATAGGCTGAAGTTCAGCTTTAAAAACCTTCAACTCTAGATCGCAAGTTTATGGCTGGTCCAGGGTGGATATGATCCAGAAATTTGAATATTGTAAACTCCCCCAATCGAATAGAGGTAAAAAAAATCATTACTATTTAAATAACATTTAGAATTTTAGATTGAAAAAAAAATTTAAAAAAAAAATAAGAAAAATAAAGAAAAATGCACTTGTTGTGTTTGAGCCTGCGGTCCTGACCGGCAAAAATGAGTATTCCATGACTCCCAACCTAGTACATGGGTGGATTCACTTTGAGCCATAGGAACTCGTTACAAAATAATTCACCTTTTTATGATGTATATCTCGGCTTAATATTATCCCGCAGTATAAAATAGTTATTCCGGTACCACTTCTGTCAAATGGAGGTCTGACTACCAAAGGAATAGTGGATTCTAGTGGGCAAATGAGAGTGCAGTATGCGTGTGTGTGTATGTGTAGCTATGGGAATCCCATGGTGGGATTCCAATGCTGACTAAAAATAGACTAACTGTAAATGGAATCGGGCCTTTGACAACTTCCTTTTGTCACATGACTTGATCGAATGTATATAAAATTAATTCACCTCTCACTTTATTTTCACTCCACTTTCAATTTGCCATCGACGTTAGATACAAACCTCTAGAAATTCAACATTGAACTCCAATCTTATATTGCTTCCCTACCTAGGTATATATGTACTGAAGGAATCCATGGATGTTTGACTCTGGCAGTGAGTTGAAGGTCCATGAACATCTGAAATCTGCAGTAGGGTATTATTTAGGTATAAATTAACGAAATGCTCAATAACTCAGGATGATGAAAACGAATCAATGTTGAGATTTAGAGTACACGGCAAGTCTAAAATCTAAAATCCCGAGATCCGTAAAACTTACTTAGAATAAAAGGTGATTAGTAACTAGTTAATTCTATAATTAATGTACAGGTACTTTTGACATGCAGTTGTCAACACGAGATAACTTAGATAGGTTAAGTAGTTCGCAGTCAGGTACTGTGGGTAGCCTCGTAGGCAGAAGGCAATTCTAACCAACCAGAAAGCCCCAAAGACGCAGACCAGAACCACAGCTGTGGCGGTGCAAGAGAGAACGGGTCAACGCGTATAGGCCCACTAAACCCTACAGCTTCAAGCCTTATCGCGTCTGAAACTCCTTTATTTTTATTTTTTCTATTTAACTATAACCTCGTTATTCTCTTCTACTCTCGAGTTTGTGACTTTCAAACATCTCACCACTTCCTAGTTGGTATGCTTATTCCCGCCCCTTTGAACCCTTCTTGACGACATCTCACCCCCGCTTAACCCGCTCTGGGCTGAGATCTGTCGTTTCCACACGCTAACTCTGAATTTCTTAAAGGATCATCTCTGCTCAGCTGAATTCCTCCTCCCACTCTTCTCTTTGATCATTGATCAATTCACATCACCCTTTCATCTGTCCTTTTTCTCGTCTCACCCCACCAAATCTGCTGCGGGGTTTATCAGGCCGCTTTACTATTTCTCAATCGCAAACAATCGACTAGGGCGCCTTCCCTAACCCTACATCATGAGTTGTGAGTCGGTCCTCTACACACTTGTTTGAGTTTTGTTTTGTCTCCTCGCGATATCTATTCAAAACATATGTTGGGTCTTTGTTTTCAGCCTCAGCTTTGATCACATGCCAAGAGCCCTGCTTGATCGCGATCTTGACATTGATATTCTTCATCTAGAGGCTGCTTTTTGTCTTGAGAGACTTGCGCTTGCCTTGCCTCTTGGTTCATGAGGCAATCTAGTCTTGGATGCGCGTCTTCAAGTCAAATAAAAACAATGTTGCCCCGCTTGTTTTCTTACCACTTCCTTCGCGTCGTTATTCTTGATTTTCATGCAGCTTGCTAACCTTCCAAACCCCCAGTCGCCAATATGCTCAATAAGCTATCTGGGCAGCCAGAAAGCTATGATAAAAAGTATCATCGCCGCCCTTGTTCAGTTTGTTGCATCTGCTGACAGCTTTCTCCTTCCCTTCAGGTCCCTTTACAAATTTGGACGTACCCTAGGTGCTGGCACTTACGGCATTGTCCGCGAGGCCGAGACGAACGACAACAAGAAAGTGGCAGTGAAAATCATTCTCAAGAAGAATGTTCGCGGAAACGAGGACATGGTCTACGACGAGCTCAAGATGTTGCAAAAGCTGCAACATCCCCATATTGTCTCTTTCGTGGATTGGTTTGAGTCAAAGGTGTGTATATTATAGCCTAGTGAGATGCCAGTGGGATGAGTATTGACTTGATGGCCAGGATAAATTTTATATTGTGACCCAGCTGGCTACTGGTGGCGAGCTGTTCGACCGGATTTGTGACTACGGCAAGTTCACTGAGAAGGACGCTTCTCAAACCATTCGCCAGGTGCTTGATGCCGTGGACTATCTGCACAAGCGAAACATTGTCCACCGAGGTTAGTTCATTTAACCACTGCCCAAATGTGTAGCCCTGCTCATACGTATATAGATCTGAAGCCAGAGAACCTCCTTTACCTGACTCGTGCTCCCGACTCTGAGCTCGTCCTGGCAGATTTCGGTATTGCTAAGATGCTGGATAGCCCCTCAGAGGTACTTACCAGCATGGCTGGCTCCTTTGGCTACGCTGCTCCCGAGGTCATGCTCAAGCAGGGTCACGGTAAAGCCGTGGATATGTGGTCTCTGGGTGTGATCACCTACACCCTTCTCTGTGGTTACTCTCCCTTCCGTGCCGAGAACTTGAACGATCTGATTGAGGAATGCCGTGCCGGCCGCGTCATCTTCCACGAGCGTTACTGGCACGGTGTCTCTCAAGACGCCAAGGAATTCATTCTGAGCCTTCTTCAATGTGACCCCAGCAAGCGGGCCACCTCTGAAGAGGCTCTCAAGCACATTTGGCTCACTGGAGAATCCGCCAGTGACCGTGATCTGTTGCCCGAAATCCGTGCCTACAATGCGCGTTCTCGTCTCCGCCGTGGTATTGAGATCATCAAGCTTGCCAACCGTATTGAGGCTCTCAAGATGCAAGAGGAGGACGGAGAGGATATCCCCTCCGTCGTCCCGGTGGGCGAGTCTGGAGAGGCCGAAATTGCAGAGCTGGCAGATGTGTCAGATGTTGCACCAGCAGATGGAGATGCCAATGTCTCCACTCATGCCAAGAAGCACAGCCTGGGCAAGATTGCCTCTGGTGCTATCTTCCGTGAAGTGGTACTGGCAAAGGTACGTGAGGCCAAGGAACAAGAAGAGCGAGAAAAGGTTGAGCGTGAGGCTCGTGAAAGGGCTGGCAATCCTTGAATTCCATTCTATTTTATTCTGTGTCACTCTTTGTGTGTTTACACTTTGGTGGTTGTTCATACCGTGTAATTTGGTCTCATTTTGGACATAGTTATTTTGATTCCCCATCGTCAGTCAATACAATGATTTACTACTAAAACATATCACGTGCAATACAATCTTATCTTCCCCACTAAGAAATCAAATCCACTCCAATCACTCCGTAGTCTTTTTGTCTTCATCTCACTCTTATCCCACTTTTCCCCTTGATTTCTTGCCGATGCCATAGTTTGGGTCTGACAAACAGCCTTGGAACCCCACTACCGACCATTTTGATCCACTCAAGCTCTTGAGGAACAGCGGAGCATTCAGCTCATATCGTGAGACCTTGGCACCATGGCCAACTTCGCCAACAAGCGGTTAAGCAAGGTATATAGTCTTTGAACCGACTCTGTCTTGTCAAGCAATGCAACAAAAAGGCTAATATACCTTTGTGATTATTTAGGAGCTTCTTAAGGTACAAATTATCAAACCCCGCACGTCCAGCCGCACTGAGAAGGAACAATTTAATCTAATGTTTGAATTTGACTTCAGATTACAATGGAACTTCCCCCTGGTATCTTCTTGGTGAAGGCGGAAAATCTTGAGGAGTGGCAGATGGATATTAAAGTGCTTGACGATAACCCCCTCTATAAGGACGAGACTTATCGGTTGAAATTCACCTTCAGCAAGAAATACCCAATAGGTAAGCTTTGGATCTTGACCCTCTCATGGTCTAAATTGTATTACTAACCATATTCCGTTCGTCACAGAACCCCCAGAAGTCCAGTTCATCCAGCTCTCCGAATCGTCTGATACCATCCGCAAAATTCCCATTCACCCGCATATTTACAGTAATGGCATCATCTGCCTTGACCTACTCGGCTCGTCTGGTTGGTCCCCCGTCCAAACAGTCGAGAGTGTTTGTATGAGTCTCCAAAGCATGTTGACTGCAAACACGCGCGACGAGCGACCACAGGGTGATAAAGAGTTTGTGACGATGAACCGTCGGCGTATTCGTGACATCTCATTCGTCTACGAGGATGATACTGTCTAAACGGAGTTAAGAGGTGAAGCGGGCTAGCGAGAATGCTACATTCTTTCTGCTTCGGGCAGGGTTTCATCCTAACGCCGGCTGACTCATTCTGATGAATTATCTACTAACGACGCGCTAAAGGCGATATTCTCTCTTTTTCATCCTTCTGCATTTTTTTTTGGCGCTGCGGTTGGAATTCTTTCACGTTACATGGAGTCTTGGAGCATGCAGCTGTGCCTCTTTTTGGACTGCAGATATATTTAACGTGCACAAATCTCAATGTTATATCTTCCAAGGTTTGTCCATGGGCTCTAGGCTGTCAAAATTTACTCTAGAGGTTACATGAGATCAATTCCAATGTATGTTGATGGTGGCAGATCAACTAAGACCTGATATACGGCGATGCCGTCTAGGAATGCGTTACTTGATCTTTCTACATGGATTGTCTCATTACTTCACAAGATGAGACCCCCGAGCTACTTACTTACCTAGGTACCTAGGTAGATAGGTATATCCCGGTACACACCTGGCAGTGACTTATATGGGTTTGACTGTAGAGAGGAGAAGATTAAGCATCCTTGGAAGCTCCAGTGGAAGGCTTATACTATACATATTCAAATGCTTCCAGTGGGGTGATATCTCCGTGCCCAGGTGTACACTAAAATAGCGATTCCAGTCCCTCTGAAGATCTCTGAGGTTTTGGTGAATTTCAATATTCTTAATGGAACTTTCAATGATATCCCTTGAATACAGCCCTGTAAAGTTGTTGAATCCAATCATTTATACTGCCTAAGTGCCGTACAGAAAGAAACCTCAGAAATCCAATTCACATGAATACTCTCCTCTGGGCATCGTGGTAACATGCATACTGTAACTATTAGTCAGTTGTTCAATCTTGTTTAATTCTTAGTCTTCCCTAGGTAACCTTGGAAGCTCGTACATACTACGCAGTAATAATTTGTATATTCAATACCACTAGCTAAAAAGCAAGGCGGTAAGCACCAGACCTGCTGTGATGTCAAAGCGGTATAATACGACAGAACGTATCAGTAAAAGATGCAAATAAACCATCAAATGGGCCGATATATCATAACCGGGAAGAATGGTCGAATGAGCAAAAACAGAGAAAGTTAGCATGGCCCCTGCATATAAGATGATATGCTTTCACAGCAGACCACCCATTTTTTATTTTTTACTAATCGGCCAATAGAGCGTCATGAGGTTATTCCAGTTTTGCTGAAGATATAAGGTTATGCTTTCGAAACCGAGTGCGCGCTTCTCTTTTCTTTCCTTATTTCTTGATGTCAAAGCGGTAACTCTCATATGGCAGAATAACAATGAATAAGCTTAATTGTTCTGCCATAGGCGGTGAGTAGTTACGACCTCATGTGTTGGTAGTAACATAAGCTATAAGATTAGAATCTTGGAAATTCGAGTCTAAAGACTGAAAGCATTATGGCATAACCTTGGAAACTCGGTCAAGTAACTCAAGTCTCAAATTGACCAAATAAGGCTGTGTTTAGTTTTCCCCGAGGAGTGTGAGGTCTTCGCAGTCTGCCTTTTTCAGAGTATGCCTGCCCCGGTGGAGAAATACCACCAAGATTTTGAATTCTCAGATAAAAGATAAATTGTCCAGAGTGATCCTTGAACTTGCCTAGATGCCGCATATACCCGCCAAGTGCCCAAACGACTACCAAGCTTATATCCCCATGGGTTTCGTGGTATCATTCTATCTCTCTGATTGAAAGTCACATGCATGTGCGGAATTCGATCTATGATTCAAGTTGCTTATAGAGAAGCTCGAAATGATATTAATCTTCCCATAAATTGACCACTTGGAAGCATTAAAATCTTCAAGTTGATATTATTTGAAGATCATACTATTCTCTGAGAGATAAATGGGTTTCATTTCTGTGTTTATAACACCAAATGAGGCCAAGGTTTCCTAGGTATACATACAACCCCAGCTTCACCCCACACTACCGGAAACTCCCCGACAAATGGCTGGGATAATGAAAATCATAGCCCCTTGAGATTATAATTCAAGTCTTCAACGGAGGAGATGTGAATACAAATTCAGCTAGCTCTGGGTACAGAGATTGATCCGATTGGTGCCGGCTCCATGAGGTTACTAAATTCTTGATAAACATAGACCAGGAGCTCAGGGTCCTTGCATATCAGCAGACCCAACGTCAGATTCTACCCAGCTAGGAGATAAACCATAAACCCTATGGGATGATTCGTCTGTCGTAAATTTTGCCCCTACATTCCGTTCTTTTTAGGTCACCAAGACTAACCATAGTTGGTAAGATCAGCGGGAGCTTTCCTCCCAGGTGCCCAAGAATGTATAGAGCTCCAACAATTATCCGATAAAAGCTCCGCGTATAAAATGATACAAGTTGTATCTCTGATATACAGTTAAAAACTTCAGCTTTCTGCGCCCATGCAATGATGTCGACAGCTGGGACTAAGGATAATGGGCTTCGGAGATTGAATCTGGGTATTGCATTGATGCTGTCTGCATCGGCGACGTCGGGATACAATGCTAGTCAGATCAATAGTCTTCTTGTCCTTCCGGAGTGTGAGAATACTTGAACTTGGAATACGAATGCCAAATACTGATAGAATCTTACCTAGTCACGAAGTTTTTGAGTGTACTCAATTCAAGCGATACAGGTCTCATCATCGCTGCGGTTTCTTTGGGCGCCTTTCTATCCTTTATTCCTGCCTCGTACGTTGCCGATATCCTAGGTCGAAGAATCAGTGTTTTCATCGGCGCAATACTGGTCATACTCGCCGCCATTATCCAAGTTGCAGTGAAGCACCCCTGGGTCTTCTTTGCAACTCGAGTAGTTTCTGGAGTTGGTGTGGGATTCTCACAAACTGCAGCCCCATTATTGATTGCCGAAGCGGCACATCCACGCCAACGACAAAGACTTACTGGTCTTTATAATGCAGTATGGTTTTGTGGTTCAATCACAGCAGCAGCCATTGCCTTCTCGACCCTTTATGTGAAAAATAGTTGGTCCTGGCGTGTTCCTTGCTTGATGCAAATACTGTATCCATCATTGCAACTAGTTGCTCTTTGCGTCATTCCTGAAAGTCCACGATGGATGGTATCGAAGGGTCGGAAGGAGGAAGCACGTACCATGCTTATAGATTATCATGCCGATGGGGACGCTGATAATCTGGAGGTCCAAGAGGAATTTGATCAAATCTGCTGCAGCATCAGTGCCGAAGCAGATCTTAAGTCTGCTTCAGGCTGGAGTGCATTCAAAAATTCCAGGGGTGATTTGCATCGTCTAGCAATATGCATCATCTTGGGCTTCATGCAAGAGTGGACGGGAAATGGTACGCATCACAATATTTACATGGACTGGGGATTTTCTCTTGCTGACATTTTTTTTTACCTTGCTATTAGGCGTTACCTCATACTACCTACCCCCTATTCTCGCATCAGTCGGTATACATGACGCTTCCCACCAAGCCGCGGTCAACATCAGCCTTCAAGTTTGGAACTTGGTATTCGCCGTGGGTGGAGCGAACATCTCGGGTCGCTATGGAAGACGCATTCTCTGGCTTAGTGCAACAACACTTATGCTCATATTCCTATCAACCGCCGCCGTGATGGCAGGTCTATTTGCAGAGCTACATATACTAAGTGCGGGTATCACCGTGGTCCCAATGCTTTTCCTCTTTTGCGGCGCGTACGACGTTGCATACATGCCTCTATTTATTGCCTATCCAGCCGAGATCCTTCCCTTCCAGCTTCGTGCCAAAGGTCTCGCTATTACGCTCACAACAGACTCCCTCGCATGTTTCTTCAACCAATATGTCAACCCAGTGGCATTTGGCACCCTTGGCTGGAAGTACTTCCTCGTCTACTCTGCTTTCCTCGTTTTTGTTCTTGGTGTGGTGTACTTCATATTCCCAGAGACTCAGGACAAATCTTTAGAGGATGTTTCACGGATCTTTGATGAGGGGAAGATTCTCCAAGTCATGAGTCCCCGCGAATCTAAAGAATTTAAGACTGAACAGTTGAAAGAAAAGTTCAAGTCTGAATTCTACGAGGCTGAGATATAATATGGACTATCGCATGTGGTATCTAGGTATACATCGACTGATACCCATGATATTTGTACACGAATCCTTACTTCTCCGTTTTTGTCTCTTCACATCCATGGATATGCAGTCTTTCAACCTTGAATCTTTGTATCTAGTTGCATGATCTGTCTCCACTCGTCTTTTCACTATTTTATTACACTAGCTAAAGCCTTAAGTGCTGATAACTTTAAATCATAATTCAATAATTACACGTGACATGGATCGATACAACGCGTTCATGGATATTTCTTGCATTTCAACTTTGGGAAGACTCAGATAATGCTCCCGAGATCTTCACCTACCATGTTGGTATATAATACTCAGTGTTTGCCGCTGGTGACAGTTATTGGCGATCTTGCCACCCTATGTCCACCCTCTCCATTCATCATGTTCTTGTCATGCTCCGTATATAAGATATCATTCTTGCTTGGTGACTGAGCGCGGAAGAGAAGCCAGCCTCCCGTTATGATAACAGACATGCTAATTATGGCCCGATTACGAACACTAAAGAGATGTTAAATTTGACCTAGGTAGGTATAGTGTATATCATAGTCACTAAAACTTACCGAAGTGCCTCGATGCGGGCATTTGGGATAACGGTGGGCATTGCTATAGGTTTCCAAATTTTCCTGTCGGTTCAAAGTATTACCGGGAAGACAGTCTATCATAGTAGAGGTATGCGAATGGTCAAAAATGTAGTGCTCGGGTCAGGATTAGTCGCTTGTGTAGGTATCGACGGGCGGTAGAGAGTGATGAAGCGTTGGAATTGCCACTTTGTTTCAATCAGTTCGCATTAAAAAGAATAAGTGGGTCCATGATTAAGGTTTAAGGATGCGGGGTGATCGTCATGGAAATGGTTTGCTGACATACTCTGTCGATATATTCAGACAATCTCAAGTCTACCCATCACCGAATTTTCCATTCCATCATTCCGCTAGAATGCTTTTGGCTGCTAAAGACTATGTTCTTAGCTCCGTCTGCCGTCGAGTGATCTGAGTATCCAGCCCAGGAATATTTAGGTTAACACAAATGAGATCTTCCTCTTTTAGCTTTGATGATTTAAAACAGATTGAAACAGATTGAAACAGCCGGTTTCGGCCTATATTTTCTCATTGTCATGGATACTCGTATCTCAGAAATGGCCTTTGATGCCTAGAAGATGAATTCAGGGTTCGAGGAGGTTAACTTCCTTACTATCGATTTCAACAAAACTCAAAGCGTTGAAAGAACCAGAACTTACAGATATTTCAACATTACCTTGGAGTGGAGATTACCTCGTCCAATTGGTGAAGAACAAAAGGTTTCAGATAAGATGACGGTGATTGTGCCTTACAACTGAAGGAGGCTATTACGAATTCACAATAGCCTACATGCTCTATCCACTATCCACTGTGCTCTGTCATGAACGAGGTTTCAAAAGAGCAATGAAATTACGCTAGAGTTATTAGCAGAGGTTATAGCATAGCTACTTTGGCTTCAGAGGTGTGAAATATCATGTAGCTTTGCTAGGGCTTCAAGGTACTAAGACGCTATATTTATCGAACGCGAATATTCTCAAACTTCATGTTCGGAGCGACATTAAAACCGCCCACTGTCGCTTGTTTCCCAGGCAGCATCATCAAACCCTATATTTAATTCTTGAGACTTTAAAAGCTAGCGTCGAACTGTAAAGCAAATGAAATCATATATTTTAGTATAGAATGAAAAAGCAGCACCCTTTCTGATGGCGGAAGGGAGGAAGAGTACATGCGTCTTCAAGTCTTTAAAAAAGTACTCCACTATCGGAATGAAAGCAGGGCCGGACACGTTGCCAACAAAATGTCAGATCTAATACCGCAGGTTTCAAGAGCCTTCAAGGACCACCTAGGCAGCTTCTCCAAATCGATGGCTAAGAATGAATTTCCTTCCAATATTGGACCTCTGGACTAAAATTTTATTTTCCTTGCATTCATTTCCTTTCATATATATTTCTTGAATATTCTAATATGTGTTTAACCGTGGAAGCTCTGCCATGAAAATAGTCGATGAAATGATCCCATTGACAGTAGGTAGTTCTTCGTGGCGTCTCACAGGCAGATGTAGGTGTCTGAGAAAGAGTTCAATGTTGGTAGATTGGTTGTCTAGGTAGGTGCATATCCAGCTGCTACTGCAACCGTGGGTGAAAAGACCAGAAGGGGAGCCCTGTAGTTAAATAACTTGGATAAAGTCGAGACAAAACCAAGATTTGTTTATTGGGATGATACCTAGGTGAGTTATACAATTCGGTTATCGACGAAGGCGCCGAATAGTGGGCGAGTTTTGTAGCGCAGTTTTCAAGAGATCTAATGATTAGGCAAAGGTTTGGACTGCGGACGTGGCAAATATTGAGAAAGGAGAATTTATTGGGAGATGTGAACATGAAAAAGTAAGGGGCGATGAGTCCACAGCTTAACCAATATTTCAAAGAAAAAAGAAAAAAAAAACTCTAACTAGATACTAAAGCCCTGACCTGACATATTGGTCCACAACCAATATTATAAAGACTAAATCCGGTAGGTTCCAAGGTTTACATTAAGGGTCTGTCCAGAGTTATATCAGGAAAAGTACCTACCCATAAAATGAGGAAACCCCCAAAGGTTCTCCTGATATCGTGAATGGCCTCTACGACTAGTTTAAAAGACTAACCCTTATAGGAGAGAGTTCCTAGGACTATATTAAAACCCTAATTCATATAAATCCCTCAGTCCACGGGAGTTACCTAATTTGGCAGATTGAGTGGGCCGAAAGACCCTTAAATATGTTGAACGAGACTGATTTGCTAAATAACTTTCAAACTGTCCAATATTATTTGTCGGACCATAATATGTGGAACCACAAATTGTTCAATTTTACCTTCAAACTATCAATCTAGATTGTCCTTTTTCTATCTCTAAGATTACCCGGGATACCCGGGTGTCCCAAGTTTTAAAATTTTCTCGTATTCCGAAGTTTACCCAATGGCAAACTCTTTGGTTAATGGGATCTAGTTAATTGAATAGATCGATGCCTATACTGGGAAGTGGGTGTGGAGCACGGGGATTTTCCGGGACTATAATAGAAGGGTCTTGGATAAACTACGGGATACCCGAGGTGCACGGTCAAGTCAAATATGTCAAACCAGCCGAGACCTCTTTGGGGGTTAGTTCACAGATAAGCTGATAATATCTTCGTTTTTTACTATTCAGATGGCCTATATTAACTAGCTTAACATTGCTTAAATCCATGGTAGGATGTCGTTCATTAATGAACCTTAGGAATAGCTTTTAATTGCCGTACAAATGGTATAAAAGCGATGATAATCCATCAGGTTGAAATAGTAAAAAGTGGGTACAAGAAGAAACATACCACGTTTCGTATCAGGGTTCATCCAACAACAGTGGTTCAGGCCACTGACCTTCACCTAAATGATCAATTTTCTATTTTCTTAACCGATATTTAGACTTCGAAACTTGGGCGCCACATCAAGCTTCCAAGGTTGGTCCCTGGATCCTAGAAGGTGAAATGCAAGCCAACTATGATGCCGCTAAGATTCTATTTCTTTTTGGTATTTCCTACTTCTATAATATATATTCCCTGTTTCCTGCTTGATTGACGTCCATACTTCTACTGGTTTTACCATTATCACCGTAGTTGGTGCACGAAGATGCATGTACCGGCGGAAGCGGTTTCGGCGTTGGCCGTAACCAGTATCTTCACCTTCCTCGCTCTTTTTACTGTCATCACGCGTATCTTCACGCGCGCTATATTCGTCAAGGTTGTTGGTGCCGAAGACTACATTATGATTGCAGCAATGGTAAGCCAATATATTGATGCCTCTCATCAACTGATCATGGATTAAACGGAATAGCTAACAAGTTTTATGCTTAGGCCGCGTCCATTGTGTTTATGGCTGTGGTAATAGTTCGTGAGTAATATAATCCCAACTCCTTCCAGATGCTTCTGATGCTTATAGCGTGATATTATAGAGGTGAAAACGGGCCTAGGGCAGCAGATCACCTTTGATCAATTGCAGGCGTTTCTAGAGGTAAATATTTCAATATGAAGTTCCCAGACTTCTCAAAGTTTAACTTAACCGTTAACAACTGATCGCCAGGCTGTCTGGGGCATTGCACCAGCCTACTTCCTCAGCTTGGGTCTGTGCAAAGTCTCCATTGTTGTCCAGTGTTTACGCATCTTCCGTACTTCAACCACACGAAGGGTTCTCTACGCTTTCCTTCTATTTACCATCGTCTATACCATATGGGCAGTACTATCCGCCATTTTTAACTGTATCCCACCACAAGCCGCCTGGGGTGCGGCTCCGAAAGGAAAGTGTCTGGATGCAGAGGCTGTGGGATTCGCGAACGCTGCCATCAACATTTTCAGCGATATATGCGTCCTGGTTATTCCCATTCCACAACTCAAAACACTCCAGATTCCTCGAAAGCAAAGGATCATTCTTATTACGGTTTTTTCCTGTGGTGGATTGTAGGTTTCCTTCGACCCCGCTTTCAGATTGGTGGCCATTCACACTAGGTGTTATGCGAAAAAGGCCTGGATAGTTTGCTAACATATTTTACTATAGTGCGTGTATTACATCAATCATTCGTCTCTATTCATTTTGGGTTGTTAGCACCTCACCCGAAGAGATAAAGTCCACCAAGGCTGTTGATATTGCCATTTGGTCCGGTATTGAAATCAACTTAGGTATCATCTGCGCTTCAGTGCCCACACTGAAGCCTCTGGCTTCCAGATTATTACCCAAGTTGCTGAGCTACGATCTGTATAACACATCTGGTCGCGCATACGGTGGTGATCGAAGCACCCGGATAAAGGTTACTGGGGATTACGGCAGACATACCCGGCTCGAGGAGTCGCAGAAGACAGCAATTGATACCACCATCATGGTGGAGCAGTCTATTGAACTGCGGACGGTAGCTGCACCCTGCACAGAGGATTCGGATAAATTGAGCCAGGATGGCAGCCAGAACGAGCTTGTTGACGGCACGGGCTGGCACTCAGCAAAGCTGGCCGGTGGAGGCACTAGTGGAACTAGGTGGGATATTGGGTCAAGGAAAGAGTGATGTTGTGAAAAAAGAAATGACAAAATATCTAGTATCGAGGTACATAAAAGCACTACGCCTTTGCTTGACAAGTTCAGATTGCGTTCGACTTCGTACCTAGGTAAGAACACAATTTGAGACAGAGGCTTGACAGCAAATTTTCCTTTGTTTAAGATTATACGAGATATTTATAAGGACTAGATGTATTTTCTTTTGCTCAGAGAATTTATCAGACACTGATAACTAATCAAAGCTGGATATTCCAAGGTTTCAAAGTTAATAAAATGGCCTAGACGGCAATGGTTGCATCACTTTCTTCGAGCTCGCTCTTATCAAGGAAGGCTCATGAAGGGGAAGAGCGCCCAAGTTAGAGTCTGATAAGAGAAGTTTCAACCTTGGTGAAATTTTCTGGATACGAACTAGATACTTAGTATCCTATAATGGCTCTATAGGCTCTATGTATCCATAGACATTGCAGGTATATCAAGATTGATAGAACTAATTAGCTAGGTACAAAAAATCAAAGTAGAACAAACCTCGCAGTCCCTGGTATAATTAATTTCTAAGCCACCCAATAAGACAAGCAAAGCTAATCAAGATATATATCTATCGGGATACTCAGGTCGTGAGTATCTACAATAGCTTGCTATTGGACTTCAGCTTACGCCGCAATTGGCCTACATATGCGTGTAGTACGTGCGGTAGTTGTAAGTTGTAAGAAGTGGTTGATTATCATGAAACTGCTGCTATGGATATGGTACCTGGAAGTCACATGATAAGCATGTGGCTTCCCACCCGATAAGCGGCGAGTGATCCCATGATAAGCATGAGATGATAGTACCAACAATATCCATGGTGTGCTCTTAAAAGTGACCAACAACGAATATTCGTAGGTTTTAGAGATCGATATTTCATCTTCTTCTAAAGGAGGTATATAGCCTTGAGGAGGGGCAACTATTTGACCAAATGGGAGGCCTGTGGTGTTAAATCTGGTAACTCCTAATAAAGCCACAGCATCGAGCTGAAATCGATAGTATCCACAGTCGATTGATTGCATTTTGATGGTGCGAATTAAGTCCGAATTAATTCCGAATTAAGTTTTTTTGCTTTTAGCTGAGTTTACTGTGGTCTGTCGTTGTGGTCGCGTTAGTGTGGTACTTCCAAGCCCCACTAGAGAACTCTTTTTCTGCCACTTTTAAATACCGCGTCGTATATTTGAACAATAATATTACGCACAAATATAATAAATTACAATAAATTATATATCCTTTAATTCAATCTAACACCATTTATTTAATCCAACACCATTTATTCAGTTTAACACTAATTCCATTTGACTATCTCTAGAAATTGATATAACCACCATTAGCTACAATAACAGGTTCACATCTCTCCCTCATCAGACCAATCTGACGCTCTAGAAAATCCTCCGGCACTGCCTCCCACGCCGCTAGTACAGCTTCACGAAGCTGATCATATGTCATTTTTGTATCGACTTGGAGATAATGTTTTCCAATCCACTCCTTCATCCAATTCCAGACTTGCTCAATTGGATTCAAGTCAGGGGAATACGCTGGCCACTGAAATAAGCGAACTCCGCGGCCACGGAGTTCGTTCATTGTCGATGCTGCCTTATGCGCTGGAGCATTATCCTGCATGAACTTAAGTTTAATTCTATCTGTCTGCTAGCTTTACCATACCATCAATAAGAGGCACAATCCTCTCACAATAGCTCGCAGAAGAGATAGTTCCCCACTCTTTTTCCCAAAAAACACAGGGTCCCTTTTGAGAGCCGTAAAAGGATCCCCAGAATAACCATCCTGGTGCCCGTTGAAGACGTGTTCGAAGACAAGAGCACAGAAGTTAACTAGAGGGGGGAATTTATAGGAACACCATGTATTCTCTAGAGGGGCCGGACTTACGTAACACGTTGCCTAGGAAAGCGAAGTCCTCCCGCGATGGGACTCACATGATGTTGTAGCGGAGCTAATTCCGCCGACAAATCTGGTAATTAGTAATTACCAATCATCGTTATTTATTTACCTAATCCTAGTTAGTTAACTAGTTAAATAATATCATCTTCTTTGTAGTTCACCACTTTGCTGGATCGAATTTATTGTCAATTGAGGTCCTAATAATAACTTCGAAATTTACAGAACATGGCAACTACAGCCCAGATTCATCAAAATGGTACATCCGACGGCTGGCATGGAGATATCCCGAGCAGTCAATTCCCCGCCGAAAAAGGCCGCTACCACCTTTATATTGGCCTTTTCTGTCCCTTTGCACACCGTGTGAATTTCATCCGACATCTCAAAGGCCTCACCGACTTCATTGATGTGAGTATTGTCAAGCCGTATCCCAAGGGCGACGCCGCGGGCTGGCCAGGATGGAAGTTTCCAAGCTCTGATGATGAGTACCCTGGGTCGACGGTCGATCACCTTTTCGGAGAAGATTATATGCATAAGCTGTACTTTCGCGCGGATCCAGAATACAAGGGAAGGTATTCTGTGCCCTTGTTGTGGGATAAGAAGACCGGTACAGCGGTTTGCAATGTAAGATCCAGCCCGATTCAATTCTCCTCGCATTAGTATATGGAATAATGTACACGGTCAGACTGCTAAACTAGCTCGATTAGGAGAGCACTGAGCTTCTTCGTTGGCTTCCTACGGCTTTTAACGAATTTCTTCCGACTTCACTCGCCTCCATTGATCTTTACCCGTCTCATTTGCGAGCAAAGATCGACGCTATTACACCTTGGATGCAATCTGAAGTGAATGCGGGAGTCTACAAAGCTGGATTTGCACCTTCACAGGAAGTATATGATAAAAATGTTGTCCCTCTTTTCGGTGCGTTGAATAAGCTTGAGCGTATCGTAGCTCAGCATGGTGGCCCATTTGTGTTAGGACAGGAAATAACCGAGCTGGATGTTCAGTTGTATGCAACTTTGATTCGCTTTGATACGGTCTATGTTCAACATTTCAAGTGCAACCTCGGCACCATTCGACATGACTACCCAGTGTTGAATAACTGGTTGAAGGGCCTATATTGGGACATTGATGCGGCTAGGGAGACAACTGATTTCAAACATATCAAAGAGAACGTGAGTATATCTTCTCTTTCAGTGTTTCTTTATTTTCGAACACGAATTGATTTCGATTTAGTATACTAAGAGCCATGGGGATATCAATCCCAAGGCGATCACACCCTTGGGCCCTTTCCCCGATGTTGAAGAAGGCGTCGAAAGAGACTGGAGCAAGTTGTCTGTAGGGGGAGTGAAGCATCCTGCAGTCTTACAATATGAGGCAACTATAGCAGATGTATGAAAGGTTTATTGACCAGACCATACCTAGATAGTTACAGAGCAAAGGTATAGCTTTGTAGCTCATATCGTGCTATTGAATCTACATATCTAGTTAGATCTCATACGACGAATACTGTGACTGTGTCAGCGGTGGCACCGTGGCACTATCCTAACCGTGTCGATCTTTACTGGGATTTACTCAAGTCATACTGCTGGGATGTACCTAGGTACTTATTATATCTTACCAACGATGAATCTATTCCTGTTGTGCCATTGATCGAAGTCCCGCTATCAACGACCAATTTGACAAATTTGACAAATCTAACGAAATTAAAGAACTAGAAATTGATGAATTCTGTCATCACCCGAATTGGCCAGAACGCTAGGATCATCTAGATTTTCCCAAATGGTGTAATGAGGGGTGGAGGTACATACACATCGGGTTTTACCCATAGGTTCTGGGGGGAAAAATCTGCCGATCGAATCTCTCTTCTTTTGGGACTATATTCTAAGGTAACCTATCGAACAGTTTATACGTCTGAGTCTGATTAGCTATGGCCTATTGCCATTGAAATATTGACCTCGTATATCATGAGGGTATTGAAATTTACAGCCGCCCTAATAGGCAGAGACAGAATTGGATGGGAATCTCAGGATAATTACCTATATCTAGCGCAGGTAGTACATGAATCACACAAAGATGTGATTTATTCTAACTCGGCAAGGTTCAATAGTGCTGGATCGAGGAGGTCCGTGAACATTTTAACGAGTATCTTCGCGCGATCAAACAAGATAATGGTCATTGCCAAGGCCAGCTTGCAGCATGCCTTCATGATTGACGAGATATCGCTGAAGTCAATTGTTGGCTAATTCTGTGGGCTAACAGTTTCCTGAAATGGTTGACCCGTACTATGATCCAGAGAGAAATTATGAGGATAACTCTTATAACGGCTTCGTGCGAGTTTATGTTGGAGACTTGTTTTCTCTTTACGTGAACATCGATTCCAATCGTATGTACGAGGTATACCCGCATTTTAAATGTGCTCCAAATGGTTCAATTCGTGTTTATGATAATGGGTATGGCTCGGCCAAGGATGGAGTTGGTAATTTTGTTGCTTCGGACTTGTCTAAAAAGAGGGTCTACGCTAACCACTTGGGTGTTTCTTGAGTTTTAATTTTACCTACCACATTATCATTGACCTTGGGAGACGGGCGAATAGACTTCTATTATTTTCTTGAAGATCAATAACGACTGCAAGGTATGTACTGTATTCTTTTGATTATCAAAATTATACTTACACTTTCTTGGTGGAGCACCCATCACACCCAGGTATCAACTTTACCCAGCGTTATGCTGGAAAGATCCTCAGTCTACTTGTTCATATGTTCTCTAGTGCCACTGATATTTCACCTATCTAATCAATGCTGCTAAGTAAACGCGGAGATGCTACTCGAAATGATCGGATCCAGGGGAAAACTTTCCTTCTTGGATAATAATTCTCTAATGCTTGACATCTAAGAGATATGAGATCCATCTAAGGTTGGTTGGTTCAGCTTAATTTTAGCTTGGTATTTCTATGTTTTTTTCAGAGCTCTGCCTAATAATATACCGGAGCTTTCCTTTACTTGTTTTCTTATTGTTTTCTTACTTGTTACGTTATTTCAAGCCCCTTTCGAATTGTTTAGTACATACCATTATTGGACCCTTTTTCATACTTATTATTGACTATGGCAATGTATCGTATATATTCCAAGATTGTCGTACAAGAAAAAAGCCCCGAACGAAGTCGACGAGTACTTCAAACGTCGGTAGGCCAGTTGCCCTTCCATCGTACAAAGTTCTCATCCTCCTCATCATCGATCACTACAACCATCCACACACCTACCTGACCATTGTTGGCCAGCAATGGCGTACAGTGAATCCAGCGGTATCGGCCTTGGTCAGTATAGCGTGTCACCCACTTTATGCGAGCCGTGACACCGCGACCTGTCATCATTGCCTGTAAAATACTGTCTCGCTTTTCGCCAGTGTCACCGATGCGAGACATGAATGAAGTTTGCATCATACCGGGAATCTGTAGAGATGGAGAGGTGAAGAGAATTCGAAGGGATGGATATGGCCGGATGAGAAGATACTGCGTAAATCAATCAGTTAATAACAAAAGGTATATATGCCAAACACTGAGAGTTGAAAGAGCATACATTTTTATAAACACCAGCTAGAGATCCGCTTAGGGTCGGAGACTGGAGATCACTCAGTCGTACCTCACCATCATTTTCGGGACCAGGGATGAATAATCGGCTATTTTTCGGATTAAGTTGATCAGGGACAGGGTGGAATAACATCCCTCCTTGCTCATACACAAGCCGTACTTCTCGTGGGCTGAGTAACTGTCCTAGATCTTCGAAGAGGCTCTTGGGCTTTTGAGGCTTTTCGGATTTTTCGGTGTTTGTAGTGTATTCAGAGGTGTTATCGGCAAGTTGCGTTTTTTCCATCTTTTGTTGAAGATTCTGGAGATTTTGAAGCGATTCCATCTGTGCACCCTCCATCGCCAGTCCAGAGACATCGACTTGAGCTCCAATAAAGTATTTAACCTTACCTTGACTATCGCACAACGGAGAGCATTGCAACAGATTCATAAAAGGAGATCCATCACGCCGACTATGAATGTCTGGTGAGTGGGGTTTGACGAGAAACAGTGGTAATAAAGACTCACTAATTAAGGAAAAGCTCTGAATGATGCCGACCAGCCTGAATTGCTTCTCTAATACGTCTCACACTATTCGGATTGGTTTTGGGACCTTGCAAGAACCGACAGTTTCGGCCTAGAACGTAGTCCATGCCATATTGTGTGGTGCGGTGGAATTCTAAAAGAGTCATTAGTATCCACTTTAGAGTTACATTCGAACTGGGGAACATTTACCTCCAGAAGCAAAAATAATGGGGTTATCAGGTCTCGATGGGTCTGTTAAACAGAATACTTCGGCCAACGCATCCGCAGTCCTTTGAAACTTCTCGGGAAGAGTTCCGCGAACACGTTCTTCAACAACCTTACTTGTGATGTTAATGCAAGTCGATGTAATGAAAGCCGGCAATTCCTCTGCTGTCAAAGCTTGAAGCGCATCCTGCACCCGCGCCTCTAGTGCAGGGTTGGTGATCGAGCCCACAGGGGTCTTTGCGGTCTCAATACCCGCAGTGGGTACGTCTACCGACAGCCGAACTAGGGCATTGGCATATTGGAGTGCTTTCATCGCCTTGGCTGTATTGAGATAGTATGTGAGAGCCAAAATCGACCTTGGGCGTTCTGCCAACAAAAACTCGCGAAACCGTGCCAGATATTGAGGATTGGTCAAGATGACCAGCATATGCTCGGTGGAGAACATCGTATCGGCTTGACGCTCGAGCGAATGTAGTGGGGCTTTGTCCCCTTCGTACGGGGCAAGAAGATCGTAGGAACACCCTGATTCTTCAGATTCCTCATTTGTAGGGTTGAATTGATCAGAGCCATCGTGTGGGTTTGTAACTTGGAGGAGAGGAATGTCATTGACATTAAAATTGCGGCGCATGGCCCTGATCGAGGCCTGGGAGCTGTGCTCCGATTCAGATTCATTGGGTGGAGTGGGGCTAGATAGTTGGTCAGCGATGCCCCGAATCAATTGTTCAATCGCACAACTTTTCTCACCATTGCCTATTCTGTTGCATATGTCTTTTGAACTGTGAATATTCTATGTTTGATTCATCCCGGAGGATAGTCGGTGCGGATGAAACATCCGAGTCCACCCTCTTAGGCATATTGTCAGGTATATTGGAAATTTCCATGATGATACTCGTTTACAAAAAGTAACAAAATGTTTGGTCTACGAGGCACGAAGACTCGCGTCTTTTTAAGGATGATATGGTCACATTGCGTGGCGCTGTATGCCTGCAGATATTGAATTCAATTCCACGGTACCACCCTTGCGAGCGGGGGGCAAATAAATCAAACAAATTGACTGGGGAAGATCGGCAGTAGATATAGTTATAGAGGATGTGGTTGGCAGGATCGATCGATCGATCTTTCGTACCCACGTTCTACATGATGTCACGCCAGGGGGAGTTTAGTTGCCTTTTTAGCCGACCTGAACCCTAACTCAAAATAGACGATCGCCTGTAGATCGACACATAAAATTCAATAACTCGGAGATTTATTGAATTCCTCTCCTTTTCAATTAACAACTTTCTTTGTTCTTCTTTGTTACTGCCCAGGTTGTTTCAAATATCCTCATTCACTTCGACTCTATCTTCGTCGATAGGCAGGAAATACGCAGTAAAGACCTCGGTAACGAGTGGCAATTATGGAAGTCTGGGTGCCACTTAAAGTCATAATTATCATCTCATTGGTCCTAGGCCTAAGCCGTTACAGGACAAAATAATCTGGCAGCAGTCGAGAAGAAAAAAAAAAAAGGAACCGAATAGCCCTCAGTGGCTCCGCTGGGAGCTTTTATGTTATGTACCCAGGAGTTTTATCTGTACTTCGTTATTCCAAGGTTGCATTTGCCATAGAGCATCCCAGGTAATGAAGTTTCTTAAAGGCTAGCAAATCCGCACCAAGGTTGATATGGAGCTTGGGATTTGAAAGTGTAGCAATGGAAAGCGTGGCATGAGGTTGTTTACTCTGAAGTATTTTCAAGATTTTGCTTACACAGGAGGAGCTCCAAGGCAGACACCTATCTGATGAAGATTACTCCATGACTAGCCTTTTTATTGAAAACGGTGGTGCTCTAGCCCTTCTCTTTCTACCACGAAGGGAACCAACGGTCCGTATATAGGAAGACACCTGAGCAAGGTACTACGCGTACTTCATACTTCGTGATCATAACCACCGAACATGACGTAATGAATATTACATCCGAGATTATTCCCAAAATGTGAGAGTTACGCTAAACCAAATTGGGACGAGTAACCACCCCAGTTGCGACTACTGATTTTGCTTGACGCGCTGTATGGAACTTCCAACTCCTATTCCAACCAAAGAGTTCCGAGAATTCAGACCTTTAAACCTTCAACTCTTCACCGAGTTTGTTACCTTCACCTCATCCATGAGTGATCAAGGTTACTTCGATCTGAGATCATTCACACTTGACAACTTATAAGCCATAAGCTGGAGTCTGCTGGACTTTCATAGTCCTTACCTTCGAGATGCAGGGATTCAGTCAGTACCGACCGATCCTGCTCACTCATTCAAAGAGCTAACAATGCGCGTGATATAGATATGGGACGGTATGCAACTGGCACTGCTACATCGAGATAGCTAGGTTGATAAGTGGGACCTATATACTAAGTGCTTTTTCAGATATGTACCTCCAGACGAGGAAGGTGTGAAATCCGGAAACCAACTTGCTGGCAAGCACGCGCTTGGTGCAAGAGCTCGACACCTGAAAACGACCGGGGCCTTGATCGTACGTTTTGAAATGCCATTCGCTGTGTGGTGCACCACCTGCAAACCTCACGAAATGATCATCGGCCAAGGAGTTCGCTTCAATGCCGAAAAGAAGAAAATTGGCAATTACTTCTCCACACCAATTTACAGCTTTCGAATGAAGCACACTGCGTGTGAGGGCTGGATAGAAATCCGAACAGACCCCAAGAACACGGCCTATGTCGTCTTTGAGGGTGGTCGCAAGCGGGATACGGGAGATGACAAGGAGCTACAACCTGGGGAGATTGCAATCAGACCCTCGGTTCTCGGGCAAGACCCTGCGGAAAAAGATCCATTCGCGAAAACGGAGAAGAAGCTTGACGATAAGAAGCGTGCGCGTTTGGAGTCTTCTCGTATTGAGGAGCTGCAGGATCGACAGGATCGGGATTGGGATGATCCATACGCCCAGTCGAAGCGATTACGCCGCACTTTTCGTGAGACAAGGAAGGGACTTGAGCGACTAGATGAGACTCGAGAGGCTCTGAAGGATAAAATGAGTCTTGGAATTGATATTGTTGATGAGACGGCAGAGGATAGGCAGCGAGCCCAGATGATTGAGTTTGGCAATGATGAAGCTCTTGCTGCATCTCAATCTCGGGCAATTCTTTCAAGGCCCATTTTCGAGCAAGCAAAGCACCGTGATGAAAAGCCTAGGGTTCACCTAAACAAGGCCGATCAGAAGCGGGAAGAACATAAGCATGCTCTTCAAACTCAAATACTAGGCTCTAACCAGGCTCGTTTCGTTACCGACGACTATTGGAAACCACGACCAAAAAAGAAAAAGATTTCTCAGCTAAAAAGTGCCCCGAGCGACTCGGTAGTGGATTCAATCGAGCCGGTGGTGGCACCGCCGACGCTGGTACCCTATGGTTCGGACAGTGATTAGTAGAAGAATGACTGCTAATGATTGCAAAATTTCCTTTATACGTCTTCTATCCTCATATATTATTTTACGATGTGGACCTTTTACAGATAGAGGCCAACACAGACGGCGCTGTGCCCCGTCTTGACTAGTTAATACCCCTGAGCCGATCACTTTTTTTTTAGCTTGAATGAAATATTTCAAACATTTCAACTAAATCTGTTCCTGGTAGATTTTGGGTATCACGATCATATCTCATTTGGCCCATGGAGCCTTTGTTGACCCGAGGTCGTCTGATGGCGGTGGCGGAGCTGTTCTAGCGCCCCAAGGAGCTCGTGTGGGAGCCATGGGACCTGGAGGTAGTCTAGAAGTATCAGGAAGAGTGGTGTTTGAGAGACCATTACTTCTGGTAGCTGCCCATGGTGCGGTTGTTGATCCAATTGGAAGTATGCGAGCTCCTGGCCCTGCGGTAGCCCAAGGTGCCTTCGTACCAGCATCCATGCTCGGTCGAGTTGTTGCAGATGATGCTCCAGTATCTGGTACTAATGGCCGTGCCTGTGGGCCAGAGGTTGCATGGACAGTGGTTGGAGGGACGATTGCATTAGGGTCACGCTCCCAGCTGAAGAGAGATCCAAATGGAAAATGCTGGACAACGGGGAATTTGGACAATACCTCAGCATTGTACATTTTGACCATACCCTATTACAGTTACCATCAGTGACCACTCCAATTAGCGGCTGGACGAACTGGAAAACTTACTTTATTAATCTTGGCCCATCCAGCTGAAATGCCTGAGATGTCATAAAGCATGGGGCTATGCTCCCAGAATGGTCCCCTTTTCACATCATAAATAAAGCCAACTGCCGAGAAATACAGATTGCTTTTCCTCTCCCTTTCTACTATGTTAGCCTTTGTAACTCCAGCGGGATCCGGGGCTTCGGCGAATGAGCCCTCTTCTGGAGTCAGGTCGCTCTCGGTGATGGCTGGGGATAGCTGGGCGGATCCAAGAATGTATGGGATAAAAGAGTGGTCGTCAAGCCCCCAGACTCCATGTGAGCCTGCAGGTTCCAGTGTGTACGTTTTGATGAGTAGTCTGACGAGCTCCAAATACCTATATATATGATCAGAAAGATTTGAAGATGTCTGGTGACACGTGAATGAATGTACGCACGGCTCAAGGACACCAAGAACTATAGCTCTCTCCTCAACTCCTGGCTCCGACATTGGAAAGCCGTTGAGCTTCCAAATAGCGGCCAAAAAAGCTAAAAAGCTCAACTCATGGCCAGTGCCATAGTCCAATCTCTGACCACTGCCCCAGCTGCCAATAAAGTATGCCTTGAGTTCCGACTCGGCTGTAAGCCCATCTGGATTCGACGAAGGCATTTCCAGAAGCTCTTGGGGTAAGCACTCTTTTAGTAGATCAGATGCCCGATTTTCCAGCACTTCGTGCCACTTCCGAAAGCTGATATTTCCAAACCTGCGTGGTCCCGTATCCAGCGGTGCATCCTGTATGATATCCTCGACTCTCAAAAGTAATCGCTGTAATTGTCGAACAGGCGCAGAGAACTGTACTGCATCGGTATGGATAGGCCATGTCTGAACGGATCCATTAGGAAGTCTTTCGGGGAACATTGATCGATTCAACTGTAGCAAGAATGTCATGATGTCCGTGTAAGCTTTCGAGACTAAAAAGGTAGCCACATCTTTCCCTTCGTAGATATTTTTGCGAGGTGCGATGAATTTGTGCGATACTGAGGGGTCAAGCTTCAGCAAGACACGGTTAGACCGGCCTTCGATATTCATTTTGGATGATGCAAGAGTGTGAAGATGAAGCTTAGAAGAAGGATGTGGAGACAGAATATGGAGGGGAAGGTAAAGGCGGGATGAGGAAGCTTAGCTCCGGGGCTTTTCTGTCGTACGCAAACAATTTACCCACTCCCTCATATCAACTTCCTCCACCCCCACCAGCCTTTGTGCTGTCTACTGGCAATGGTAGTCACTAGGAAGAGGAAAGCGCGAAACTCTACCAATACTTCTCTGGAGTTTTTAAACAACATCAATGAGAAAAGCCGAAATCAGAAAGACAAAAAACACGACCCCATTTGGGATATCCCTCTTGATCCCCCCGAGGATACATCCACTTCCAGACGAACTTTACGCTCTCGTTTACGGTCGCAAATTCAGACTCAGCTTCCAACCACTAAGGAAGCCTCCCGGACGCAAATAAGATCCAACGAAACTCAGGAAGACGCGTCGCCCAACACCGATAATGAAACAGTGCCCTTATCGCAATTCCAGCAAGACAGTGACGATGGATATGATCAAAATAGTGGTAGTCAAGACGTAGACGAACCAGAGGATCTACCAGAACAGGAACAATCACCTGGTCCACATCCGACAATCAACCATGACAGCGACCATGACAGCGACCATGGGGACGATCAGAATAGTGGTAGTCAAGAGAGCGGCGAACTTGAGAAACTAGGACCAGAGCAGGAACAATCACCTGATCCACTTCCAATAATCAACCAGAATAGCCCGGAGGAGGATGAGATCGATGATCCCTTTCCAGAGCGTTTTACTTTCTATTCGGAGGCAGATCAGCCTGCTGAAATAGTGCACGATAGCTCCGCCTCAAATGTTCAAGATCCAACAGACTTGCCGAGTACATCTACACCTAGAAATTCTGGTAAATCTAGCATATTGCCCGGGACACCATCTGAGATCGCGTCTGCCAGTGAAAGCGAGGGCTCTGATTTCGAGGAAATGCGGCCACTTGCCCAAGATGGTTTCCTCAGGTTTGGCAATGAGAGTGCCGATTCTGATGTTGGCCGTTCACGGTCACCTCCTCCAGATGGTGTTGCGACGGTTATCCCTTCAATTTCCCAGGAGGATCCGAATCCTGATATTGATTACTACCGAAATAATGAAGACGTTGAATACGCTGGAGAGGATGAACACTATGAGCGAGCACGATCGCCTTCCCAAGATGGTTCCGCGACGGTTATCCCTGTCATCGCTCAGAAGGATCCGGATCTCGATCCTGAATACTTCCGAGATAGCATTGAAGAGGATGAAGGCGCTGAAGAGGAGGATGATGAAGACTATGAGCGTGAACGATCTCATTCCCAGGATGGTTCCCTTACGGTTACTCGTACAGTCTTACAGGAGGATAGCCATCCCGCATATCATCCAGATTCTGATGAAAGTTTTGAAGATTCCGACGGTGTCGATGTCGATGCCGAGTATCATTGGTATCTCAATCAAGATGACGAATTGATGAAATGGTTCAACGATATGATCAACGAAACCCCTTCTGAGAGAGATTGGCGATCCTTAAGCAACAGTGGAATTGCTTTCCAGTCGCGGATTTCAGGACCTATTCCGCGTTATTTGAATCCAGCCTGTGAAATGTTCCAGATGCTTCGCAAAACTTATGATAGCACTGCCCGCCTCCCAAGGAATCAACTAGATCTGATGGATTCCATTTTCGATGAGATTAAAGGAGCAACAGATTTTCCGTCCAGCACGATTGACGATCCCAAATCAGCAGGGGAAAAAGTCTTTGAATTAGAAACGTATATGGTTCCCCAGATGGTCAAACAGATTATATTTAGCTTCAGGGCGTATATGACGCTGGGTCGTCTGGCATATGACCAGTTCCGTCAATCCTTACAGCTACTCTTGGATTGCAGTAATCGCATGAACAATTTACGGAAGAATCGATACATCGACATCGAAAAGAAAGCTCGTTACTCCTGGTCTCTGCGCGGTCCATTGAAGAATATCCTCAGGGCAATTGATGAGAACCGATTTAGACCTCAATCACCTGCAAGAACTCAGGATGTGGATATCGAGACGGAAGAGATTTGGACGCCAGAACAAGATAAAACCTTGATTAAGGCATTACAGCAGTTCACTGGTTAGTATCTTCATTGTCTACCTTGGAGATTTTCTAACATTTTCTTTTCTTTTCTTAGACAGTGCACGATACATCTTGATCAAGACTAAGTATAGCAAGATCCTCAAAGGCCATACAATCGAAGGCCTGAAATCAAGAGCTCGAAATTTCTGCGAAGCCTTAGACTGTGCAGGCAAGGAGCTACCGGATTATCTGGCCAACGTCTGATATATCCATGAAGTTGGAAGTTTAAAAAAGATGGATGCATTTGGAAGCAATATACCTATTTCGTTTTTCCAGGAAGTTTCTATTAGTCAACATTTTATTTGACCATCTAAGGAGGTTAGCTCCATAAAATAGAAGATAAGACCAAAAGCCATCAATATTGGTAAGCTAGCCCTAATTAGGAAGCCGTCAGGGGGTAAGTAGTGTGGTCAGATCAAGCCTCTTTTTCTCTACACAACATGAAATTTATTAGTTGAAAAATATTCAATTCTCATTGAGTACTGTGTAGCAGAATAACCCCACAGCATATTATTTCTGTAAAAAGTGTCTAAAGCGAAGTAAAGTGAATAATAACTAATTCCTGCAGACTTAGATCACCCCATATTAGGCGCAGGATTCAAGGGACAAGCGCGTGAAGTAGCAACGATCCCCCACCATCGACACCGCTTTCACTTCCGAGTTCTCCTTTTCCCTTGCAACCATTGTCAAGTCTATTGCGCAGTCTACTTCTCATTTTTCTTTTGTTAATCTTCTGGCAGCTATTCTGGCTAGCAGAACCTCTAACACTGACTATTGTTTATACTTCCCCCTGAAACTTCAACTTCAACTCTAGGCGCGGCGCGTGAGTATAGCCCTTTTTGCTTTCGATGAATTGAACTCAGAATGTTTCCCTATGGACATATATCCCTTCAAAAACATGCTATCTTTCTTTCATGAAATATGTCTTCTACAAAGGCCAATGGCTGCATGTTGCTGTGTTGATCCATTTCGGAACATCGAAGCTTGGACTGCTGTCTTCGACAGCCAGCATTCCCCTCTGATGTTTTGGCCGGAAAGCTGCATAACACTGCTCTGGCTTTCTTTATTTATTGTTTCAATAATGCCTACAAGTTGCTAATACTTCTCTTGGTTTTCTTAGACCCCCTTTTTGTTTACTTGTTCCCGTCTCATTTTGCTGCGTCCTATTTGAAAAGTATACTTTCACGTCAAACGCAGATTACCCAACATGGAATCTACTGAGGCGCCCATCCCCATTTCCTCCGATGTCGAGGTTGAATACCAGCCTCCAGCTACTCCGACGGAGTCGACTTTGCTCTCAGGAGGCGAAGAGAACATCAAGTCCAGCCCTGAGGCATCCAAGGAAAATATTCCTGTTTCTCCGGCCAAAACAAACACTAGTTCTACCTCAGCCACCAAGGGTCCTGTGTCTAGCACTTCAACTACCAAGCGACCTATCTCCTCATCGGCTTCAAAGACCGGAAATGCGCCGTCTACAGCGCGTACCACTACATCCAGCACATTGAATAAGCCCCCTACCCGTTCAACGACCACATCGTCAACCTCGACTGTGCGTAAACCTTTGGGTACATCGACAACCTCGTCTCACCGGTCTCGCGCATCGGTCAGCAGCTCCGCGGATGAGAAGCCTCGGTCGATCGCGAGCTCCGGAGATGAGAGGCGCGGTATTTCGGGTACAGCTAAGCGTATGTCTATGGCTGCAACAACTTCTCCCCGTGCTCCTCCGAAGTCAACATCATCTCTCGACCGACGGTCGAGCGTCATTGGAACGTCCGCGGACCGCAAGCCGACAACCACCTCGGCCACATCCCGCACTGCGACCTCCACCAGCAAGCCCGTGGGTAGACTGACATCTTCTACATCATCAGCCACCCGCCCAACCACTTCTTCTTCTGCGACCTCTACCCGCTCAACGACTCGTCCGACCACCTCCACCACTGCCCCGCGGACTGCAACATCGTCCACTACCAAGCGGATGAGCACGGCGCCAAGCGCTACCACCACAAAGAGTGCTGAAGACACAGAGAAGCTACAGTCTCTGCAGAAAAAGCTCTCTGATAGTGAAGAGACCATTGCCACCCTCAAGACTGAGCTCGACGCCGTCAACGAGAAGCTGGGTCAACTCTCTATCTCGGGTGAGGATGCTGCTAAGGATAGCGATGCCACCGATGCTATTCGGGCGGAACATGCTGCTGAGCTCGAGAAGTTGACTTCAGCCCATGCGGAGGAGCTTCAGTCTCTCCGGGTCCGACTGGAGGAGGCTGAGACTCAGCATAAGGAGCTGGAGGAAAAGTCTGAGAAGGAACTCGAAGAAGCCAAGCAATCGGCCACTGCTCAAAGTGATGATCAAGCCAACGCTGCTTCTGCGCTTGAAGAGCTTAAGGAAGCACACAAAGCTCAACTTGAAGCCATTGAAAAGGAGCTGGGAGAGCACAAGGCTACCTCTACTACATTTGAGGAACAGATCAATGCTCTCAAGGAAGAGCTTGAGTCCCAGAAATCCAGCTTGACTGAAGAGAAGGTCTTGGCTCTCGATAATCTTTCACGAGAGTTGAAGGGACGTGATCAAGTGCTGGAGAATCTCAACCTGGAACTAGAGAAGTTGGCTACCTCCAAAAACCAAGAGATCCAGGCTGAGAAGGAGTCTGTCTCTTCTCTGCAGGAACAGATTGCTTCCCTAGAAGCCAAAATTGCCGAATCAGAGTCTGCCACCCAGGAAAGCTCTGAGCAGACAACAAGCTCTCTTGCTGAGAAGGAGCAGGAGATTGTTGAACTCAAACAGGCCATTGAGAAGCTTCAAGGTGAGCTTGGCCAGGCGCATGAGGAAGCCACTAGAACTTTGGGCGACAAGCTGAACGAGTTGGAGACATCTCATACAGCTGTCATCGAAAATCTGAAGACTGAGCATGAGACTGCTTTGAGCTCTCTGTTGGCTACAGCCGAATCACTTGGCCCCAAAGACTCTGAACAACTCCAAGAACTTCGCGATGAATTGGAATCTGCCAAGGTCACTGCTCAAGCAGACCACGAGCGAGCCGTCTTGGAGCTCGAGTCTGTGCATGGTATGGAGCTCAAGTCTCTACAAGAAAGACTTTCTGAGTCCGAAAAGGCTCTTGCCGAAACTCGTCACGCCTTGGAAGAAGGACAGATATCTGCTCAAGAATCTGCTACCCAGGAAATCGACGCTCTTCGTCATAAGGTTGAACTCCTGGAATCTGAGCTGTCAAGCGGCACGAGCAAGATTAAGGCTTTGGAGGAGGAGGTAAACAAAGCACGAACTGAAGCTGAGGAACTGTATCGCAGTCTCAAAAATGTTGAGGTCGAGTCGAAGTCGAAAGATGCCGAACAGAGTGAAAAAGATAGTAAGCTGAAGGCTGCCGAGGATAAGGCTGCGGAGCTTATTCATCTCCTTGAGGAGCAGACCTCCAAGGCCGCCATTATTTCAGAGCAACACACTCAAGAATTGGAGACTCTGAAGACTCAGCATGCGACTGAGCTGGTAAAGGTCCAGCAAGAAAGCTCCGGCTCTCAGGACGATCTATTTGCTGAGCTACAGCAGAAGCACGACGATCTGCTCGCCAAGAATCGGGATCTGGAGTCCAGCCATGCCACTAAGGTTCAATCCTTGGAGGATGAATTGAAGTTTTCCTTGGAGCGCCACAACACTGAGATTACCAATCACGCCCAGTCTCGCGAAGAAGACATTGCCCAGCTTCAGAAGCAGTCTCAGGAGGCACAGGCCAAGCTCCAGGCTAATCTCGAAGCTCTGCAGACCGCCAGTCAGGCTGAGAAGGATTCCCATGATGAGGAACTTTCTGAGCTCAAGAAGACATTTGAAGAAACCAAGGCCCAACTACAAGCTGAGATTGATGCCTCTTCAGTCTCAAAATCTGCCGACGCCGATGCCGAACACGGAAGAGCCATCGAGGAACTTCTCACCGTTCACGAGACTAAGCTCAATAATTTGCGCGATCAGCTTGAGTCATCGAACCAGGCTAAACTTGAGGAGCTGCAGAAAACCCATGAAGCTGCCCTGAGTGCCGCTACGGCTGCTGCACAAGATACCTCTGCTCTCGACGGCCTGAACGCGACCATTGCTGAGCTCGAACAAAAACTGGATGCCTCCGAGAAGGCACACGCTGCTGTCAAGGAAGCCAGTGTCATCTCTTTCCAGGAACTGACCGCCAAGCACGATGATGCGATCGCTCAGATTGACGAGCTTCGTAAGTCTGCAGCCGTATCTAACAGCCATGACTCGGAAATCGACTCCATCGTAAAGCAGCTAAGCCAGTCGCAAGAGGAAATCACTGGGCTGAAGAAGAAGTTCACTTCCACCAGCCAAGAACTGGAGGAAGTGCGAGCCAAGAACAAGATGATGGAAGAAAAGATCGCTTTCGGTGAACAAAATTTGAATGACCAGATAGATAAGAACATGGCGCTCCTCAACCAACTCGGTGACGTTGACTCGGCTATCTCCGGTAGTCGACGACGCGTTCGCGAGCTGGAGGCCGAATTGGCCACTCTCAAGGCCGACAATGACAAGAGTACCACTTCGGGATTGAACGCAAGCCGATGGGCGTCAGCATCTGAGGGCAGTGCCGATGATGGGGGTCCAACCGCAATGGAAGGTGAGGACCGTGGCCCATCCATCGAGGGAATGGTGGGGATTCCCCGTTCGAAGACATCCTTCTCCTCTAATTTTGTCTTTCTTCCATTTTCGTGAAGGGGACCTAATATGATTGTACAAAGACTAATTCTTTTCATCTCCGTAGATGGCCAGCATTCAGGAACAGCTTAAACACATCCGAACGTCGCAAGATGACTGGTATAGCGAACATCGCCGGTAAGTTATTATTTCTTTTCCTTGACTCAACCGTACTAAACCATTCCCCCTTGCAGAATCATCGGCGATCTTGCCAGAATAGAGCGCCAGCCAACTCCTCCTCCGCCAACCCTTAACCCCGAGACTAAAGCATTTATTCCAGAAGCAGACAGCCGTGGTCAGCTAAGAGATATTGCTGCTGCCTGGTAAAGTCTGCGGCTGTATAGCATATAGCAAGTACTTTTATACTTGTTGGTGCAAAATACTCTTTTATTTTGTTATCCCTCTATTGCCCCATTGTTCACTGTATTCAATAGGACCCAAAATACCCTGTTTCAATGTCGGCTTCTCTCCCGACTCTTTATGTTTAATACTTTGCTATACTTTTAATGCCAGCATGAATCTTCTCTCTGTTGCACCTTGTTTTAAGAGTTTCCTACATAAATCTTGAAAGTTGCCCAGGCTTTAACCTTGCTATACCCAGTAAGTGGTGAGTATCCATGGATTACGTTCAAATGGTTGCATTAATTGATCCTTTTATGATCTGTGCTTATGAAACTATAATGTTGCCGACACTATTAATATACAGTATTGTTCACTTCATACCTCGGTCCCCAGAAATGCAACCTCCTTGAGAAAACCGATCTCAAAGGCTGCCAAAAAGATGATTTCTTGCTCGCCTTCTTAGCAAGTTGTTCTCGGTACATTGTCGGGGTGAGAATATCAGGAGGTGGCAGAGGACAGGTAGCCGGGGGGGATAACTGCTGATCCCGGTTTTGCGCGACGTTGTTGTCGTATGTCTGCGATTGGGAATAAGGATTTGGGTATTTGAAAGATTGCAATGGAGTTGGCGCAGAAGGAGAAGAAGGGAATATTGATTGCGGTCGTTCACGTTCACGTTCAGCGACACTGTGGTGGTCGTCGTTCACTGCCATATCGACCGTGGCAGCCGAACTGTTCGACTTGGGCGTATCATCGACGCCCTCCTCTTTCAACTTGGTCATGTTCATATCGAACGTCTTCTTCTCCTGTTGCGAGCCAGAAAGCGTAAAATCGTAACAAAAGTCCGCGTAGGACTTTGAAATGCGTCGCGACTTGACCGTTTCCGGATCTAAGTCTGGGATCTCCTCTTCAACGATCTCGTGCATTAGTTCGGTGGGGCTGCGTGGTTCATTGAGGAGGGTTGAATCGCGCATCTCTATGGCTATTGCTAGATTGGCAAGGTTCTTTGCGCTGAGCTCATTATAACTTGTGGCTGGGCGGCGGCGGGCGTCCAAGCTACTGGCTGGACGGCCGTCCCAGGTTGAGGCCAGGGACATTCCTAGAGACATTCTTTGGGATATTCGCTTTACGACCCATTGTTTGACTGTGTTTCTTTGACGGAGTTGGACTGGGGGTACAGGGCCGATTGAGTGCTGGACGGTTGAATAGGAGGCTAATGAGAGATTGTCGTCCATATGAGGGTAGTGATTGTTTGGCATTATGAAGAAATAAGTTTGGTAAGGAGCAATGTGATTTGCAGGAAAGAAAGTGAGAGTTGAGATATGCGAGTATGACCTGCATGTACCCTTAAATGACCCACGAGGGAAGATCAAGAAGTAGTTTTGAATTCTCCCTATCACTGGTAAAGTCTAAATATAAATATTACTTGATAATGAATTATGCTTACTTAACGACATACAGCCTAAAGATACTAAAGTCACCCGACCACTTATATCATTATTCATCCTACGCCACTTAAAAGTATGTTATACCCTTCACTTCATTGCTATTGGGCTTGTCTCACCAGAAAATAGGAAATGTTAGCCATGAACTTCCTATCAGTATTCCATTCATTTTTATCTTAATATCAATAGATATGTAGATTGAAAAATCTAAGATTTACATTATTAAAATCCTGGTTATTATATTCAACCCAGGTACTGGAATTTTATCTTCCACGGGTTGGTCTTATCGGATGCTGAAACTGCGTTGGAGGCTGAACTGAGACACGCCTTTCTTACCGATATCCCTGATAAGCCTTGCCACACGTATACAGGTATACAGGTATACAGCCCGTTTACTCCTACCACATGCATTGCCTCCCAAATACGAATAGTCATTCTAGAAGATGTTGCCCCCGGGACTCTAGAAAGGGTTATGGATGCTTATGCCGAGTCCTTCTAGAACCTTGGAAGATGTAGACCCTAAACCTTGGAATTCTTAGCATAAACCTAAATCTAAGTTGACTAAGCCTCTTTCGGTAATAACACCTTAAAGTAAGGCATATAAACATTATACGGCTCTGTACGGGGTACGTATATCTTTTCATTGTTATTCTGTCCTATGATATTGCTTTAATCTATTTCAAGAAGAAGAAGAGAGAAAATAAGAAGAAGCGCGCAGTCGGCTTCAAACGCATAACCTCATTTTTTTTTAGTAAAACGAAAATAACCTGAGACCTCATAATACCTTAATTAAGGCCGTTTATTAAAAATTAAAAAATGGGTGGTCTGCTGTGAAAGCATATCCTCCTATATGCAGGGCCCATGCTAACTTTCTCTGTTTTGCGCTCATTTGACCATTATTCCCGGTTATGATATATGAGCCTATTTTGTGGCTTATATACCTCGTCTATACATTCTGCCGTTTGTATATACCCTAGGTATCTACCGCTTTGACATCACAGCACTGTAACTTATGCCTTGCTTTTCAGTAGTTATTGAGCATTGTAGACATTTAATCTGTATTCTAAAGCAAACTAGCCAGTCTATAGTCTCACAGGGGTGACGATGCCCCAATCTTGGAACTGATTTGACAGTCCGTTAAGGTTAATATAGAAATACACATTTTCCAAGGCTAACCAGACACTCCATCTCGACCCAGGCCCCATTTCCCAACTTCCCTCATAGCCGAGTCCTCTCCCTCCACCAATCGACCATTTGCATTGGAAGGATTATCTGGGCCCAGAACACCAGCAACACATTCCCAACCACTGCGGCCACCGCCCCAGCGAAGAACTTCGTTTTTATATTTCTCGCCAGCTGCCCGATCCACAGAGGCTTCCCCTGACTCGAAAACATCCTGCCAGATCTTGTTGGCGATGGCTCGGTCGAAAATGTAGCTGTAGTAGGTGGCACCGTAGCCATACAAGTGTCCGAAGAAGCCTTGCCAAGAGGTTCGGGGCCGGATGTCATCTGGGTCTGGAAGGCTGGAGTGTTGGGAGAACACCTTGTGGTAGATGTCCGTTGTGTCGATTCCCTTCTGCGCATCGAGGGAGGACATCGAGTGATAGGCCTGGTCTACGAGGGCCATGAGGATCTGAGCCTCGTTGTCGACAGCGCCGTAGATATGTCCATGTGCGTAACGGTCTCGCTCCATGCTACGCATTGTCTCTTTTGGTAGTGGCTCGCCGGTTCTCCAGTGCCGAGCGTAGAGGGCGAGAACCTGGGGTGCTGTGGCGAAACTCTCCATCAGGACTGAAGGGAGTTCGGCGAAGTCGGTCGCACACCGAGTGCCGGAGATAGACTGGAGCGGTGTTTGGCCTAGAATTGAGTGCACGGCGTGTCCCATCTCGTGGAACAGGGTGCGCACACTCTGTTCGCTTAGTAGTGTTGGGCAGCCTGAACCATTGGGGACAGGTTCTTGGAAGTCGCAGACGAGAGCGATTGTCGGAAGCTGACGTAGAGTGTTGGTGTTCGGGTCTACTGCAGTTGCCATCCCGTCGTTCGGGTGCGCAGACTGATCCATAGATGCGCACTCGGCAATTTCCTCAGCTGATATCTCACGTGCGCAGCGCAACGTAAAGTGGGCTGGGTTCGGGTGCTTGTTTGGTCGACTGAAAAGATCACAGTAAACGACTGCAATGTGTTGCTGAGCCTCATCAACCACATCTAGACGACGAACGTCTTTGTGCCATGTCTCACCAGGAGCCGTTTCCTGGGGTACGAGTCGAACACCGTAAAGACGATCGAAAAGCCGAGATAGACCCTGCATGACTGTGCCCAGAGAGAAGAACTCGGGAACGATGCTTAGTTCACGGGACCGACGAGCTTGTGTATACTGCAGTACCCTTTTATGAACATAGTATGCGTGGTCCCAAGGCTGAAGAGAGCTTCCCTTCATTTGTTGCAGTTGGGACAACTCTTCCATGACAGGGCCCCGGTTGTTTGAGATAAGCGTAGTCAGGAAATTAGAGACCGCCTCGGGTGTCTTGGCCATCTTATCACTCAGAGTCATGTCGGCGAAGCTGTTAAAGCCAGAGACTTGTGCTAGCTCTGATCGCTTCATCAACAGGTCTTCCAGGCGATTGATCTGGCGCGAGCTGGAGGTTCGAGTGGCGAGGTATACTTCTTTCCGAACATTTTCGTCTCGTACAGACCGCAGCACCAGTCGAGGAATAATTCCCATCGTCGGCACAGGCGCCTTGTTATTCCACTTTTTTATTTTCTGCACCACCATCGGATCTAGTCCCTGGAGGCTGTTCGCATTGAAGACAACCTGGGATTTGGCCGTCTCGGCACCATTGAAAAATTCCGAGCCAACTTGACTGATATCGTTCGAGAGGTTGACGAACCGTTGTCTTTCATTCGGAGGCATATGGATCGCCGAATTGGTGAAATCCTTCATCAAGATCTGGGCCACAATTGTCTCCGCCTCGGTCCAGTGTGATGTCACGTCCGGATTGGAAATGGCTGCGCGGAGTTGCTCGTGGAGGCCTGTGGTGGTGTTTAACACGTTCATATACTCGAACATCAGGGCATATGCCTGCGTCGCTGCCTCTTGAATTCGTGGATCGGGATGAATCGTTCGAATGAAGTCTGAAAGGTCAATGACCCGGCACAGAATGTCGCTGAGCCGATCTAGGTTCCGTGCCACACCCCGGTATTCCTCCAAAGTGGAAGCCGAAAGCACTCTGTTCACGATGGCCTGGCATCTCTGCAGCGATACATTGGCAAAGGCCCTAAATCCATTTGGGCTGGTCAGGTATTGGTTCTGGACCAAGCCGGCCTGCCGCGAAACCGTGGAACTCCTCTGCTGTTGGAATTCCTTCCAGAATGGCTGTGAATCGAAAACACGGCGCAGTGTGTCATCATCTATATTTTTCTTAGAAGAATGATTGTCCGCCGGGGGGTAATGGTGATGCGATCGGGGAGCTGCTGCGGCGCTTTCAAAAGCTCGTATCTGGAGCCGCTGCAGCAGACATTTGCGGCATGTCCACGCGCGGCGCCCAGTTGGGCGAAGCATAGTAAGAATGTTATTAACAGTTGAAGATAGTTATAAAATCAAAACAGCAAAGATAGCCCAAATACAAAAGATTTAGACCTCGTATAGAGACGAAGGTAGGAGTTTTGAGATGAAGCGGAGCCGCAACCCTGGAAATGACGGAGTTTTACGGGCATCTTTCTGCCAATTCTTAAATAGTAGTAATCACCATTCCAATATCGATTAACATCAACTGGGAGAAATACCTTGATGACATATTCTCAATTTGTCTTGTTATTCCTACGTTGTAAGAGGTTTCCGTTAAATCATTAATACTTATACCTGGACGGTAATAGGTTAAATAGATAGATTTGGGCAAATATTTCATCTGAACTTCCTGAGTAGCTCAGTATCGTGCACAAAGATTAGGTCATTTGAAGCAGGCTTGAATTTAACAAAATAGAATCCATCTGCAGCCTTAGACACACCAATAAATACAGTCTAGGTGGCTGTAGGTACGAGGTCAACATTGAAGTTGATTGAACTGCCCGGGTATAGATTCATAGATTCATATGGACCATCCATGAATGTTTCGCGAGAATTCCAGCAATCCTGTCACCCGTGAACTATTTAGTTATGCTGACATCTTATAAATAAATCTTATGATAATATTCAAATAACCTTGATCTAGACTTGAATAGTATGCTAAGATGGATCTAGTCCCGATATGCGCTGAGTCAGCATACACGGCCGTTTCAACCCGACTTTGCTTCATCACTTGATCTTTGCTTTCAGATATCCTCCCCCGCAATCTCAGCATGTCGTTCCGGCCGATGTTGCAACAGGTATGATTGAAATACCCTGACTTTTCTCTGCCACTAAAGGTACAATTGATTCATCAATGGCCTACTAACGCGTTCTCAGCGGGCTGTGGCTCCGTTCGCAGCCGCTCTCCTCGCAGGAGGCATGGCTTTGTATCCCAGACAGACAGCTTACGCAGAGGACCCTCGAGAGGTTAGACCCCGAATTCCCTTCTGTAATACGTGGAGTCAATTACAGATCCAACTTGCTGACACACGACCTCCTACTAAATAGAGGAAACCTATCTACGATGATGACTTCTCATCTGAGATCCCTGCTCCCAAGCCTGTCGCACCTGAGCCCGTAGCTCCCGCGGCTCCTGTGTCAAGCATCTTGCCCTCGTTGCAATCATCTCCTTCTTCGCCGACCCCGACAGATATCCTGACCTCCCAGGTTCGGCAAGCTCGGCTCTTTCTCTATTCGCATTCCCTTGCCGCCGAGCAGGGCTTCAATGACTTCCTGTCTCGCGCCCTGAACATTGAAAACGCCTTCACCAACACCGTTGCATCGCTCGCTCCCTCCCCTGAGTCCGGAGAGCGCCTCGCCCCCGGTGGTGTCTATGTCGTCGTGGCCGCTATGGCCGGCTCCATTGTATCGCGCAACCGCGGTATTTTTCTCCGCACTATTTCGCCACTTGCATTTGGCACTGTTGCAGCTTATGCTCTGCTCCCGGTTACTATGAGAAATGTTGGAGATTTGGCCTGGGAGTACGAGAAGCGCTTCCCTGCTGTGGCCGAACAGCACATTGCTGCTCGGGAGCGAGCGGAGCGATTCATCTACACTGGTATCGCTCACAGCGCTATGGGTCGCCAGATGCTGGAAGACAAGATTGGCGAGGCTCGGAAGAAGCTGGAGGAGATTGTGACCAAGGGTCACTAGATTTATGTCTAGTCATTTTCATTTCCATCCAGTGATTGATGGTTGAGGGGATTTTCCTCTGTTGCATATGTACGCTTAGAATCCTTTATATCCGAAGATATAATCCGGACTTGATTTCCTTTCGTTCCAAAAGAAATGTCCTGTAGTCAAACCTTCTTTTGCGGAGTGCAAGAATTATTGAGATTGGTATAAGCGATTACGTCCATGGTTGTATACATAAAAACATGATCCCCTCCCATACATCATCAACTCTCTTCCGTTGGCCCTGGTGCTCCGTCCACTTCTGTTGTTTCAGGTGAAATCTCCTCATTACTGGGCGATACTCTTGCTTTGGGCGGCGGAGGAAGAGGAGTTGCTTTCCGTGATGGCGCGAAGTCCTCTTCCCGGCTCTTCTGTTCACCCTCGGCAAAATAGTCATCGAACCCGTCGGGCAAAGGTCCATTGCGGCGCGATTTCCCTGCTCGACGATTTGAGGGAGATTTCCCTTCTGAGGAGTTTGGTCGGGCCCATGGCATGAGAGGTGGAGGCGAGGTCATTTTTGCTGGCACTAGGAAATTGCTGGGTGCTCCAGTCGCCGGTCCTGGAGCGCTGTAATTTGGGATTCCGGCAGCTGTTACGTCTTCGCGCGTTTCAAACACAACCTCGCCAGGCCCCTGTACCTCTTCACCCAATCCAACTGGTAGTCGGTGCAAAGCGCCGTATCCCAATTCTGCGCCCAGGGCTCCTTCACCACCCCATCCTCGGGTCGGTACTAGCTCTACCTCTCGTACCACATCAAATTCACTGTTATAGACCCACAAGATCAACGTGCGGTCGAGATGGTCCTCCACCAATTCTCCAAGTGCGGACTCTCCGCGCAATGTCCCGCTCGGAGTTCCAATAATGTAGTCCGAGTGTGGCAGTAGCCCTGCACGGTATGCAGGGCTGAGTGGTGATGGTGTACCTAGGACGTGCCAGATATTTTGTGTGGAGGAAAGGGGGGGCTAACTGTAGGGCGATGCCGAGGGAGGGGTTATTTGCAGGGATGGGAATAGTGACGGTATGAGTTCGTTGACCCTGTGTAATATGCTTGTTAGCAAAAATTTCATGATTGAGACGTTTCAATCGTACCTTGGCGCTCCAGACTTCCAGCGTCAAACTTAGGCCGGCGCAATTGCGCACTTCTGTCGCAAAAAGGTTTGGGTCCGGGTCTTCCTGCATGATTATATTAGTAAATCCGTTTGTTCGTGCTCATATAGACTTCTCTGAACATACAATTTTATGTCCATTAATTCCCACAATAAAATCAAACCAAGGCTCCAGCGGCAGCTCTGGGTCTTTGTTGCGGAGAACCTGGAAACCAAAGGCATTATCACTTGGCCCATTCTGAGGTTGCTGTCCAGGCTCGCCGTCGAGGCGTCCAATGAAACGATTCAGGGCACCAAACATTTCTGTTTTAAGACCAATCTTGAGGAGAAATCAGATCTTCAAGGGAAAGTAACGAGGGTGGATCGAGGTGAAGCTATCCACAACGAGGCCTTAGCTGGCCAATTTGAGTGCAAATACAACAAACAATCCTTATCTCTTATCGTGTTTATTTTTATCATTATTTTTATCATTTTATCTTTTTATCGCATCCCTCATCTTTCGGGGGCTACTATGGCGGACCTTGACGAAATCCCCCGGAAGAAGTGTATTACTACGAACACATCGGTCAAGTTCCATGGGATATCGCTAAGTAATTAATTCTCTATCGTGAAACTTACCAACCGTACTGACACTCTCTAGTTACTGGAGTCGACGCTACAGCATCTTCTCCAAATTTGATGAAGGCATCTGGCTGACTGATGATGCCTGGTTTGGAGTCACCCCAGAGCCAATTGCCAAGTATTTATATCTATTGTCTATGTTTCGTTCAAATCATACTAATTTTGTGATTAGTAAAATCGCTGAGCATATTGCTGAAGCATCTCCTGCTGATCGGAGCATCCTGATCGATGCGTTTGGTGGTGCAGGAGGGAACACAATTGCATTTGCAAAAAGTGGCAGATGGAAGCAGATCTACTCAATCGAGAAAGACCCTGTTGTTCTAAAGTGCGCGAAACACAATGCTAAGATCTATGGTGTGGCTCATTTGATCACTTGGTTCGAGGGCGACTGTTTTCAAGTTCTCAAGAATGAACTTAAGGATCTGGCACAAACAAGTGTGATATTTGCCAGTCCCCCTTGGGGAGGTAAGCTGAAGATCCTCTCCATGTCCCTTTTATAACCAACTAATTCATGGTATTATAGGTCCTCAATACCGGAAGAAAAAGGTGTTGGATCTGCGCACTATGGAACCATACTCTCTTGACACTCTTATGAAGGAATATTCTCTCTTTACGAAGGAAATTGTCCTGTTCCTTCCCAGAACCTCCAACATCAACCAGATCGCAAAATATGTGCCAGACGGTAAAAAGGCCACTGTTATGCATTACTGTGAGGAAGGTCTGAGCAAGGCAATGTGTGTGTATTATGGTGCATTCAAGCCACTGTAAGAAGAGTCTCAAACTATCATGACTTTTACGATATTTTTTAAAAATTATGATACCTGCCCTGCGTTTCTTATTATTCTGATTAAATATGACATTTTACCTATTCTTGCCATTAGACAACAAGCTGATTGCCTAATCGGGTTAGCGCCATTTGACCTGTCGCGGTCATCTTCAAAACCCATCTTTCCCATCCGACGTCGAGTCAATCCTTTTCCAATACTGCTATTGCGGCGGGTATCGCCTAAATACTGCTCACTTACGCCTTACTTGCGTTTCACGTGCGCCTACATCTACTTCAAGCCCACCCCACTTCACTCCATCACCCTTCTTCGACTCCCAGTATTTGATATATTTCTCGATGCGCACACCCCTCTTTAACTTCCGATCGTCTTTCCGATCAACTTCTCCCATAAGATCCCGCTATACTAAAGTACTCGCTACCTGAGGAGCCATAGCAGTCATGTCTCAGGCAACATCAAATCCTCCTGCGGGCGCCCCGGAAGACGACGAATTCGAGAATGTGATGCGACAGTTGAATAACCTTGAGGAGGGCGGTCCGCAGATGGATTTTTTGACGCGCGATTTGGAGGTTGGCGAGAAGGCAGATGATGCGATTGATTTTGAAGATTTTGACGATGATGATCTTCCCGAAGAAGAGGAGGCGCCCTCACAAGCGCAAAATCTGGCAACCGATACAGGCCAAGGGGCTGAAAACCTGGACGCAGATGATTTGGAGCTTTTCGGAACGGGAGACGACCTTTTCGAGGGCCCGAATGGTGAAGCTCAACCGCAAGGCAATGAATATGATGATTTATTTGGAGAAACCTTTCCAGATCTCCCTGCTGGCCAGGTGGACGATCTCTTTGAAGACGATGAGCCAACAGATCAGTTTACCGGACAGCCTGGTGTAACGCCCGCTCCCAAGCCAGAGGCAAATATGTTTGAGGACGAAGATGCTGAAATGTCTGACGCTGATGCTGATGATGATAATATGGATGATATGGATCCTGCTACCCTTCGCGCTTGGAAAATGCAGCTACAGCTGTTTGCGATGTCTGGAACGGGGCCAGACCATGTGCCTGCCCCGCCAGAGAACCACGAAGAGCTTCTCAAGTCGTTATTTCCGACTTTCAATCACAAAGACCTTCCGCGTTGGCTGGAACTTATTCCTACTAAGCGGTCTTACTTCGTTGGAAAGCAGCCTAACAAGATCCCGAAGGCGGTCCTTCCCACGAAAGTCAATATCGAACTAGCTCCTGATCAGGATAGAGTGTTCAAAACTGGCCAGCCCAACAAGCGTGGCCTCGAGCATGATTCATTAGGAATAGTGTTCATCACTGAGGCCACCCAGGAGGAACAGGAGATCAAGGAAGATTCCGATACAGGTGAAGCAGATGCAGATATGGATGCAGATGAAACATTGCCTGGTGGTTTTACCATGCAAGACCTTCGAGTCATCTGCGCGAACTGGGACATCGCTGATGAGGAGGATTTTCCCACTGTTGAAGCAGAGGAGGAGCCGCCGAGAAACCCAGAGGATGATCTATTTGACAATGATTTGTTCGCCGATGCCATGCACCCTTCAAAGAAACGCAAGACAGGCCCCACTCCTATGGATGTGACAGCCTTATCCCATGTTGATATTCCACTCCTGGACGACCCAGAACTGGCAACAGCAGAGATTGCCAAGAGTGTTATCATTGATTTGAATGATCCCAACATTCTGGTTGAAGAACTGCGGCCAGAGTTGGTCCTTAATAAGTCCAAGCCCAATGTGCTTCGTGCTGGAGATGAGGTGGACGCAAGCGTCACTCGCCGTCTTACTCAACGCTACAACATCTCTAATGACAACGCGTACGATATGCTGAAGCAAAATCATCAGCACAAAATTCGGAGCACTCTAGGCAATATCACACTGGAGCATGCCATGCCAGCTTTGCGTTTGCAGTGGCCATACTACAAGACAGAGCTACCCAAGGCAGAGGCCAGATCTTTCCACCGGCCTTCTATGGCCTTCCGTGCCAATCAAACCTCGTGGTTCAAGAACCCAGCACATTTTAAGCGGCGGCATCAAAAGGCGAAGGACGCCAAAAGCCTCTACCCGTCCACCAGTTCGCTTTCTCTGGCAGATAATTCCAGTATTCTTTTGGTAGAATACTCTGAAGAAGTCCCCATGACCCTATCTAACTTCGGAATGTGCAACCGTTTTATCAACTACTACCGACGAAAGAATGCAGATGATCCAACACGCCCCAAAGCAGAAATTGGTGAAACAGCTGTTCTGCTACCACAGGATAAGAGTCCTTTCTCCATATTCGGCCATGTAGATCCTGGTGAAATCGTTCCAGCGATTTCAAATACAATGTACAGGGCGCCGCTCTTCCCACACAAGGCCAAGTCAAATGACTTCCTCGTCATTAGAAGCAGCACGGCAGGTTCCAGTAACTACTACATCCGGAACATTGACAACTTCTTTGTTGCTGGACAACAATTCCCCGCCGTCGATATCCCCGGTCCACACTCGCGCAAAGTCACTACTGTGGCCAAGAACCGCATGAAAATGCTCGTTTACCGACTGCTGAAGAAGAGCTCTGACGCACGACTCGCTATCAGTGAAGTGACAGCGCATATTCCCGGTACCACCGATATGCAGAATCGCCAGAAAGTCAAAGATTTCCTTCAGCACGACAAGGATACCAAATACTGGAAGCCCCTTGACTCGGTTCTTCCCGACAAAGATACCATTCGTGCCTGGGTTCAGCCTGAAGATGTCTGCCTTCTTGAGTCAATGCAATTTGGCCAGCAACATCTTCAGGACACCGGTTTCGGGGCCGACGCAGATAATGCAAATGACAATGATGACGACGAGGAAGGAGAGAGTTTCGAGCAAAAAATGGCTCCTTGGAAGGCTAGTCGAAATTTCCTACTAGCTTCGCAGGGCAAGGCTATGCTAAAGCTTCATGGCGACGGTGATCCCACTGGTCGTGGCGAAGGTTTCAATTTCATAAAGACATCGATGAAGGGTGGGTTCAAGGCCATAGGTGAAAGTGTTGAGGACAAGCTCGATGCAGCGCGGCTCAAGGAGCTCGGTGGCCACAGTTACAATGTCGCACGACAACAACGATCCTACGAAACTTCAATTCGCCGGATCTGGGATGCCCAGAAAGCCTCCCTATCTTCCACTGTTGAGCACTCAGACCAGGAGAGTGACGTGGATCAAGGCGAGGAAGAGGAATTCAGCAAGCCAACACCTCGTTCCGAAGCCCCAACTCCGGCTCCCTACCGACGTGATGACGACACATTTAGTCAGTTCAGTCGGATGAGCTTTTCAAGCCAAAAAGGCAAAGTCCTCCGAATTACTCGTCAGGTTAAGGACCCCAACAGCGGCGAGATCTTCCAACGAGAGCAGCTGATCTCTGATCCTCGCGTTATTCGACAATATATCCAACATCGCCACCGCCACGAGGCGCTTACCACTAAGTTGGACACCCTTGAGCCAACCGGAGACCCTGAAGTCGATGCCCGCAATCGCAAGCTGCTCGAGGCCGAACTGAGCCGTCTCAACCGAAACAAGGAGCGTCGCTTCGCGCGTGAAAAGCAGAAGGGCATATCCCGCTCCGGTGAGAGTGGCCCTGACGGCAAGCCTACTGGTACGCAGCGCAAATGTGCCAATTGTGGTCAGGTTGGCCACATCAAAACCAACAAGAAGCTTTGTCCTCTGCTGAATGGAACTATGAAACCCGAGGACCGAGTTACTGACTCTGCCTTTTCCATGAATGCCCCCGTTCTTTGATCTACCTTTTTATCACTTTTCTTCAGCTCTCCTTAACCGGGATGATTCATATTTTTATCCTTTCAGGAACTTAATGAACTAGCTACCAATATGCAAACAGTCTTTATGTTCGCTTTCATTCCCGAATCTAAATCTAAACCTACATTGAAGGTCTACTAAGATAAGGAGTTTTGAACTTGTATAATGATATGATATTTTTGCCATCGATAAAGAAGGGCTAGAAACTCAAGACAGGCTATCTCCTGTATAGGATTTGAAGCAAGAATAAGTGAAGCAAAAGGAATGTGGTTCCTAATACGAGGCAACAAGTCAACATCAAATTCACCTCAAGGCTTCAATCCATAATGTCTTAAAGCGCTTATAGAGGATGTAGCTCCGCCAGCTGACCTCTGGCAAATGGCTGTCGTCCTCGTTCCAGACTAAGAGCCATGGCTAGCCCTGATGGCCGCCGGTATGTATATCCCAAAAAGGCACCTCTCTTGCGTATCTCGAAGGCCGCCTTGCCAACTTTCTTATCTCGCAAAATCTTATCCCGAGGTCTTTTCTTTTTCTTCTCCTTGTTCTTCTCAAGCTCCTTGGGTGAAAGCTTTGCTTGAGCTGTGGGTACTGCACCCACAGGTCTCTGAGAAGGAGCCAGGTTTCGTGCCAGTGAGACTTTTTCTTGCTCGTCATTCGGCTTTGTATCAAGTTCTTCGCAGCTTGCATTTGATGTGTTATCATCTGACTCCTGGCCCATATCCTCCAGATCTTTCCAGTCATCAAAGTATCTGGTATCTTCCCAGTCATGGACCCTCGGGATGAGTGGTGGTTGAACCAGGTGAAGGTCGCCCCATCGGATACCCCTGAAGAATGGATGTGACTTGATATCTGATGCATCGTTTGGATACACGAAGTAGCTTGTGACACTCCTGTATTTTGAATTCATGGAGTACATATACTCTGGTGAGACAGGATGGCCAATCAGCTGATTATTCGCCTGGTAACTTGGACAGGAGAGTCGGAATTGACGCTCTTGGAGGATCCGGAAAATGAGGTCAATGGCGTTGCGAGACACAAGTTTATCAGAAGGCTTGTCCATTGGAAATTGTAAGGTCTGTGTATGAAGCTACTTATTCTGTTAGATCACGGCCTTCCAAAGGAATTGTGAAGGACTTGCAATAATGCTCATCTTAGTGTCATGTCGAGTCTCGCAGGCAAAAGGCGTGTAGCCAAACAAACACTGTAATTTATGAGAGAATTTTCAAGAAGTGAAAGCCAGAAATTTCACTCACTTCGTAAAGAATGATACCCAAGCTCCACCAGTCACATCGACCATCGTACATCTCTTCTCTAATGATTTCTGGTGCCATATATTGGCTGGTTCCAACCACACTCTTTGCGAAGCATCGCCTTTCTTTGCTATTTCGCCAGCCCAAAATGTTTGTCGACGGAGCACCTTGCTGTTGCTCGTTCAAGAAATGTGTATTCACTTGAAGCTTGGGGTGCTTTTTAGCCTCCTTTTGGTCAGCTTTATCACCTATCACTGTGATTCCGAGTTTTTCAACCAGACTTTGTCTGTAATTATTGTAATACGCTTGGTCATGAGACCAGTGTCCGTTAAAAGCCAGGCCAAAGTCGGAAATTTTGAGATGACCAGAGGCAGAGATGAGAAAATTATCTGGCTTGATATCCCGGTGAATCCAGCACAGCCGATGAGCTTCCTCGATGCACAAAATCATCTCAGCAATGTAAAACTTTGCCCAATCTTCACGAAGTATGTCTTTGCGAATCAAAAGCCCGAGAAAGTCACCACCAACCATGTAGTCCAAAACGAGATACAGGTAATTATCATCTTGAAAGCTGTTGATTAATGGAACCACCCAGCGAGATTTTTCCGATGCAACAAGAAAGTCTCTCTCGGCTCGAATATGACCCTCTTGACAATTGTGGATCATTTCAGATTTCTTGATCGTTTTCATGGCGTAGAAACTCTTCTTTTCACTGGTCATGAGTCTTCTACGGCGAATTTTGGTCACATCCACAGCCGATTTCAGCATATCAAAGGGGCTAGTACTTGGACTTGCGAGGTCAGCCTTTTCAATCGAAGCAGTCTCATCGGCAGGATCTTGTTTGCTGGGTTCCTTATCGCGTACAAGGCGCACCACGCCGAAGCTGCCCTTGCCCAAGACTTTTATGCTCTCATATCCTGCAACACTGATGGCTTTTTTTCCACAAGTGGATCGCATGCTTGTTTTCAAGGCCCGGGATTTGCGCAAGTAATCGCTCTCCTGAAGAAGCCAACTGCATCGGGTTGCCATTTGTTCCTCAGGTGTCAATTGGAACGTGTAGATATGTTGCTCAAGCTCACGTTTCCGCTGTAAGCGTGGGTTAACGTTTTGGAAAACCGAGTTGAAGTAGAGCTCCAGAAATATCTTTGCCACGGAGGCGGACTCAACAGTCGAGATTGAAGGTTTGGTGGGCGACGTGGGATCGACGAAGATGTTGGCCTCTGAACTGTGACCAGCAAATGTGGACCAGTCAGCTACCAGGGGAGTTTTCTTGTCAATCGAGTTAATGGGTTCTGCAAAGGTAGACGGAGTCGGCGGGGTCGAGTATCCAAGCGGGGAGCTGCCGCTACTCAGTACTGAAGGCTCCGAGCTGTCATTGGCTCCATCACCCTGCTTCCTTGTGGTAGATGTTATTGGGGGTTCAGGAAATATGATGTTTGCTCTAGCGCGAAGGTGGGTACGATGAATGATTGTTGTAGGGTTAACAAATGGCAAGGAGAATCGCTGAGAGAGCCGCTCTACCAGCTTAGGGCTCGATCGGCCCTGCAGTTCGCCGGGATTGGAGTTTCTCCTCTCGTTGGGGCTTTTCAAAACATCTTCATGATGTTCAAATGTTCCAGTTGCCGATGTACAGTCTGCTCCAGTGGAAGTAGAGGGAATGGCTATGGCTGGGTGGGTGCTCTCAGTGGGAGAGACAGTTGACAATAAAGTCTCTGGTGTGTAATCACTCGTCAAAAATACGGGTATGTGGTCTGGACATGTGCATGGAAACAATGGGCTGTGAGCTCGTTCGGTGCTCGGGGTATTTTCACAAGAGCCAGACTGTACAGGTACACTCATCTTATTGCCTGCAGTTGTATGGTCAGCAGTGGCTTAGAAATGCAGAACAAACACACTATTAAAAGAGCTACCCAGCCTGAGTAATGATAAAAGCTTCGAACCACTCCGTGCTAGTCGGCGTTTCAATCTATCTCTGTTGCGACTTGTAGTGATGCGAGGCTCTAGTGTAGGTGTGTCGGAGACCACTGAACGAGGTGGAGAATGATTGCATTTTCTGCTTAGGGCAACAGATTTGTCGGGGGACCAAAGGCCAAAAACGCTTCCACGGGTTCGCACCTTTTTCCTAAAAGGAACGGTCATAATGGGAAATCAGAAAAGAATGAGGGCTATCAATGGTGTGAGTAGCAACCGCTTGGTGATATCTGGTAAGGATTGGATGGAGATGACGGCTGGGAAGAATGCAGCGGAGTCTGAGCTGAAAATCGGAGATTGGCATGGCTTTTGCATTCGTTGGAAGCGACACATGACTTGATGTTGTAAGGCAGGAGCTGTCGTGGTGTTGTAACGAGGGTAAGAAGGCATCGCTACAATGGGAAATGAAATGAACAGCCGGAACGGCGAAATGGATTTCAATGCAACTGGACCAAAATTTAATCAACACAAATGGGAACTTTTTCTATGCAGGGATTCAGCATCTTCATGACGACTTCGTCCCCAAGCTCAATTGGAAGCAAATAAAAAGAAATAAAGCCGGATATCACGGGAAATGCAATCAAACCGGTAGATCCATACCAACACCCATCAAAACCAGTGATAAGAGCCAAAAACAACAGAAACGATCCGCTTACTTGATCTCAAGCAGCTTGACATCGAAGATAAGCTTGGAGTGGGCGGGGATACCCGGCAAAGCCTTCTTGCCGTAGGCGAGAGCAGCAGGGATAGTCAAGCGACGCTCACCACCAGCGGCCATACCGGCAATACCAATGTCCCAACCCTTGATGACCTCACCCTTTCCGAGCTTGAAGGAGAAGGGCTTACCCTTCTTGTTGGAGTCAAAAATAGAGCCGTTCTCAAGCTTACCAATGTATCGCATGGAGACAGTGTTACCATGCTTGGCAGCACGGCCCTGGCCGAGCTTCTTGTCATCAAGCTTGACACCCTTGACCTCCTTGACACCGAGAGTGCCAGTAGGCTTCTCGGCAGAGGGGGTAGGGCCCTGCTCGAGGTTCTTGGCGAACTGAACCTTCTTGTCGCTCTTGACATCCTTCTTGGTCTCAACGGCGGCAGCAGCTGTAGCGGCAGCGTCACCGTTGTTCTTCTTGAGCTTCTTCTGCTGGGCCTTGGTGAGAGCGGGTTCCTCTTTGGCAGCCTTGCCCTTGGCACTCTTGGCCATCAAATCATCGAGACCCTCTTCGGCAGCACGCTTGTTCTTGCCCTTCTTGGTCTTGGCCTCAACCAGCTTGGGAGCCTCCTCCTCATCGCTGTCGACTTCAGTGATGCGGGGGTCTTCAATGTCGTCAAGGTCGTCGCTGTCCTGGTCCATAGCGAGGAGCTGCTCCATGTCAAGCTCCTCCTCATCGGGAGACAGGTCGTATTCATCATCCTCCTCATCATCATCATCATGGTCATGGTCATGATCGTGCTCATCAAGGCTGATGACGTAGTTTCCAGTAATGAAAACGCTCTGGTTACCAGTGACCTTGAAGAAAACACGTTCACCCTCGCAGATGGTGATGTCAAGAGGCTGTTGGAAGTTCTATATGATTGTGTTAGATATTTTTGAAATTTTCCAAAAGAGTTTCGAGAATTCTTCTTACCTTGTCGGCGCTCAGGGTGCAGACGACGTTCTCATCGAGTTCCAGACCCTCTTCGGACTCGTCGTCCTCATCGTCCTCATCGTCGCCAAGAGGGGCCTTGCCCTTGATAAGCTTGGAAATAGCAGCCTTCAGATCAAAACCACCCTCCTCCTCATCATCATCCTCATCATCATCCTCCTCCATGGCATCTTCCAGCTCTTTTTGGGCAGCAGCCATTCTGAGCTTGCGGATCTTCTCCTTGTCGCTGGGGCCGCCGTTGACCTCCTCGTCATCAGAGTCTTCCTCGTCATCTTCCTCGTCACTGTAGTCCTCATCATCTTCGTCATCCAAATCCATACCGGGAGGAGGACGGACAATCTTCAGGGTTGCCCGGGAAGGCTTGCTGGTGTCATCATCATCCTCATACTCCGGGGCTTCATCGGGGTCGATGGCAGCCATGGTGATGCGGAACTTTAATGAGGATCAGCCATGCCTATTTCTTTCACTGGAATATATTGTACTAACCGAAGCGGAGGCATTGGGAACGGCCTCAACCATAGCACCAGCTGGGACCCGAAGGGCATAGACTGCGACAGGCTGAACGGCAGACATTTTAAAGGTGATGTGAGAAGGTAAAAACTTCAGAAAGATCAAACTACTTTGATAAAAAATTGAGAATGAGAAAAAAGATGAACCAACTCGGTAATATGAGAGGTGAGTTGAAGAGAGAGAAAAGATGGAAAAGATGCGACCTAAAGAAAGCACTAGCAACAAGATGGATCCGTCAAAGCTCTTTTTTTTTTTCCTTTTTTGCCCAAATTCTAATCCAATGATAATGTCTGAATAGCTTACACCGCCTATGTAATTTGCCATGGCTGACCGCTCGATACACCGCTTAAAGTCACATGAGTTTTGCCAACGACAACGCGTATTCCCAGTGTAGAAATTGATTGCTGTTTATCAGATGCTTTAAAGACGTTCAAGTTCAATATGGGCTCTCGTCTCGATTCTAAGTCCAGTGAAGTGCGCAAACGTATCGAAAACCGTAAGTCCCGTGTCCAACCCTTTATTTGACTATCCTATACTCGATTTTAACCAATCGTCATACAGATGAGTTCCGCGACGAGACAGGCGAGGAGTATGAAGCCTCTAGCTTCGGCGGTCTTGCAGACTACATGCGACGCAAAAGAGTAAAATTACAAAACTTGGACGAAGAACTCCGTGCTAGTTCCAGTGACAAGCCGCCAATATTCCGCGGCGTTGTCGCGCATGTCAATGGATATACCCAACCTTCTCTGCAAGATCTCCATCATCTCATCGTCAAGCATGGGGGCGGTTTTCTCCAATTTCTAGATGGGAAAACTGCAGCAACTCATATAATTGCGAGTTCCTTGACTCCGAAGAAACGCGAGGAATTTCGGCGGTACCGCATTGTGAAACCTGCATGGGTCACAGATAGTATCAAGGCTGGACGTCTGCTCCCCTGGAATGACTTCCGGATAGTTGATCAGAGTCATTCTCAAAAGGTGTTACAACTTGGCGGGGGAACCTTCACGAGCCAGACCAATACTGCTCGTAATAGTTACAAGGAGCAGTCAGCCACCAGCTGGTACAGCTCCCAACTCAAGGCCGTGGGCACGGACAATACATATAATGAATCTACGCCAAAATCCAACACTCACTTGAGAGCTCGCGAAGATCTATCGCCGACTCGACCGCAACTATCAACCACTGGCCGTATTTTTAGCCCGGCCACTGGTGACGAAACTCAATCGTCATCAGCAAGGCCAAGGCAAAATAACGAGCAACTTATGAAAACCCCTTCAAGAAAAAACGAAATATCGGCTCCCGATGATCCTGATGAATTGGAAAGCCCATGTAAAGACGACTCCGCCCGCATTCAAGTTGACCCAGTCCTCAGCAACAGTGCCCATAAACCTTTGAACCTTTCAGGAAGACAATTTATATTGCCTGCTACACCAGAAGTTAAGCCATCGCCTGTACGGCCTGATATCAGATCCAAACTTAAAGCACAGGCAAAGCCTCAGCATGACCGACCTGAGTCCCCATGTCCTTCAAATAAAACTCCTAGTGGGAAAACTACCGACACCGACATTCCTCTTCAGACCGAACTGGATCCTGAAATATTGGCTGCGCTACCGGATGATATTCGTAAGGAGGTAATGGGCTACTATCAATCTACTACAGCTATAAACTCGCCGCGTCCTTCTACTTCGCGCTCGACGCCATCCAAGCCCGTCAGGCAGAAAAAGCCATCTTCGCCATCTAGAAAAAATAATAACCGTCCACCAAAAGTGGCGTCAAATTCCAGCGGAACCTTGATGCAACATGGTTTCATTTCACGGTCCGCGGGCACCTGATGACACTCCATTCGTCTAAGAGGACGCTATACCTGCAGGGCAATCAAATGCTACAACAAAAACAGCCTCCAAAACAGCCTCCAAAACAGCCTCCAAAACAGCCTCCAAAACAGCCTCCAAAACAGCCTCTCAGTTCCAAGGTTGTACATCCGCCTCCAGCGATTTTTCATAGTCACATCTCAAGGGTTAACAGAGTTAGATGACGTAAAATAAGCAATTCGTGCCAACACAAGTGGCATTCGACATATGATATCGGTGGTCCGTATGAATAGTGACAATGTGGAAGAGCTTCAGGACCATGTACATTCCGAGTGCTGTTCATACAGCTTACTTATTACCCAAGATCCATTGAAACGTGACACTACGCGCAATACCATTTCCCTCTTCGGAATCCATAACAACTTCATCAATCTTCACCTCAAAGCTAGTATCTATGAGAATTCTTGTCATCTCGTCTCTACCTCAACCACTATCATGAAGCACAGTCTGTTCTGCGCGTAATTCAAAGGCTCTCGATCGAGTTGATCATTTTTTTTTTCAGAGTAGTACCCAGGTGAATGAACTTCCAGGGTTTCTAACAGAGTATGTACTTTGGAGCTTGTAGCTCTCAGCAACCACGGCTCCATAGATAGCATTAGTATTGAGCAGTGTATAGTTTGACCCTGGATCATAATGTCAAAAAATTTGTCTGAACTTCATCAAATGGGCTTGTGGTTTAGTGGTATAATACTCCCTTAGCATGGGAGTGGTCCGGGGTTCGATTCCCCGCGAGTCCATTTTTTGGCGCCTGTAGTTTTTGTTTTTGTTTTTGTTTTTAACTACCCTCTGCCTTAGCAATCAACCAGGGGTTTTTTTCTAAAACAAAAGATAAAACATGTTTTTTGATTGGTCTAGGTTGTTTCATTTGAATCTCAAAAGACATCAAAAAGTAGCTAGGTGCTTTAGTTCCTCCAGGAACTGTTGGTATAAAATTTTGCATTGAATATCTCGACCTAGATATACCTACCAGGTGATCTGGATAGAAGTCCTAACTTCTTAAAATAAAAGTTCAATGATATACCTAGATATCCAACATTTGAAGCAAATTGATGAACTTCTGGGTTTTGAATCGATAGCGGGTCTAGTGAGATAAAAATGGATCTGGTCATCAATATTTGTGCTTCGAATTTTTCCGAAAGTTCCGCTCCCCTATTTACCCATAAAACTTTGAAGCTGTTTGACTTCTGATTAGGAACAAAAACGGCCTAGCCTGTCCTACCGTCGCCTTCCGGTGAGGTTAATTGTTAGTTTCCCGCAATAAGCTGTGGTTGTAGCCGAATATCTGTTTCTAGTTACACTTTCCTTTGCCCTAGGGATTGTTGATACCTATCAGTACATGCAATTATTTTTTGCTTTCGTTTTATTCCAAGGTTGAGGGCTGTGATAATCACTGCCGCCTTTCCTTTTGATCGGTCTACTTGCTATCTACACTGTCCATAAGTCAGTATGGCTCGTCATGTACCTGATGAGCAACGACCACTGCTCGGTGAAGAAATCCAGCCTAACGATGGTACTTTCGAGGAGAACATCCCCACTGGGGAAATTGTAGAGGAGCCATCGCTCAAGAAGCTCTCTACCATTGTTGGAAGCTTGTGGCTTTCTGGATTCTTTGCTGCATTGGGTGCGTCTTGACTTTCGGCTTTGCAATATCATTTGTATAGTGTAACTGACTAGTTGATGCAGACTCGACCATTGTCGCTACTCTTGCTTCGCCAATCAGTGCTGCCTTTCACTCTTCAACGTTGTTATCTTGGATCGCTTCCGGATATCTTATTGCCAATGCCGCTATTCAACCTCTGTCGGGTAGAGTGACAGACATCTATGGCCGCAAAGCAGGCGTTGTCTTTGCGTGCACTTTCTTCGCGGTAGGAACTCTCATTTGCGGTCTTGCTGTTAATGCGCCCATGATGATTGCTGGACGAGTCATTGCGGGAATCGGTGGAGGGTAAGTCGAAGCCTGTCCTGTTTACATACTATGGAATCTTGATTCTGATCATTGCTCAATACAGGTGCTTAAATACTCTCAATGCCTTTATCACTAGTGATCTGATCCCTCTTCGCAAGCGCGGACTGTGGCAAGGCTTTGGAAATATTGTCTACGGCCTCGGTATGGGTCTGGGCGGCACCTTTGGTGGTTTCATGAATGACTACCACAACTGGCGATGGGCCTTTTACGTGCAGGTGCCGTTTATCGTGATCGCCGGAATTCTGGGTGCCATTTTCATCGATATACCCGTCAAAGATACGGGCAAAAAACGCCTGGCTCGTGTCGATTTTCTTGGCGCCTTTACCCTGTGCGCCAGTTTGGTGCTGCTGCTCCTCGGTCTGAACAGTGGTGGTTCCCTCGTGCCCTGGACGCACCCGCTCGTTCTTGTCAGCATCCCCCTCAGTGTAGTCCTCTTTTTTATCTTTGTTGTCGTCGAGGATCGATTCGCTGCTGAGCCTGTCATCCCCGTCCGCCTTGTTCTCCACCGCACTGTCCTTTCCGCATGTCTGACCAACTGGTTCATGACCATGTGCGTGTTTGCAATGTTCTACTATGTTCCGATATACTTCCAAACTGTGATAGGGATGAGCTCAACCGCAGTTGGTGTTCGTCTGATCCCACAGTCGGTCGGATCGGCAGTAGGCTCACTCGTTGCGGGCCTGATAATGCGCACAACAGGCCGCTATCATGGATTGAACATGGCAACGCAGGCAGTTCTTCTCACAGCCCTCGTTACGATCATGCTGACTTTCAACGAGTCAATGCCTGCATGGGAGCCTTTCGTCGTTCTCGCATTGTCCGGATCGGGCTACGGAGCTACACTAACCGTGACGCTGCTGGCTCTACTTGCTGCTGTGGGCCGCGAACACCATGCTGTCATCACGTCTGCGTCGTACGCCTTCCGCTCGACTGGTAGTACAATCGGCATCACGATCGCATCGGCCGTGTTCCAGAACTTGCTTCAGAGCGGGCTATGGAAGCGGTTCGGGAGCGAAGAGGGTGCTGCGGATATGATTCGTCGTATCCGTGAAAACGTCGGCGGCGTGACGGATCTGCCTGAAAGTTGGAAACAGGGCGTTGTGGACTCTTATGCAGAGTCATTGAAGGGTGTCTGGATTCTGGTTACGGGTCTGGGTTTCATGGCAGCCTTTTCAAGTCTATTTATGATGCAGCACACCCTACATGCTAAACTAGATCGGAAATAGATAAGATTGGGGTTGAAGGAGTAAGAAGTCTCGATATCGGTAGGTTCTATAGAAGATACTTACCTAGGTAGGTGGTGACCAGGCCAGGCTATCAAATTGCTAGGTTAGACCTCCTAAGTAGGCATACGTGCAGACTTCCTGGGTATAAAATGTCGATAGTAATAAACAATGTAGTCTGAATTCAATGCAGATAGTGAGATCAGACAATGGGGCGTTTGGGGATAAATTTCAACCATGATTTTGCATTATATGACCAACACCGATGGTCGAAGTCGCCCAAGTAATGAAACATTAAATTTTAGAATGCATTGTAGTGATAGAAACTCCTTAGTGAAAAGGAAGAGAAATAAAAACAAATACCACCTTAAAAAGCTGCTGAAACTAAATGGTGAACGTAGATGTATCATTTGGAAAGTTTGATAGGGCCTAGGTCAGGTAAGATTAGAGACTGAGGATTTTCTATCAAGAGGTCAATTCCATACCCACGAGTCAAGTTGAGCCCACCATATTGAGCCTTCTAAGTTTTCAAAGAATCCTGCATCCTCCACAGGGTTTATTGACCCAAGCTCACTGGCTGGAAGCATTTCAGGAATAGATAAATCGATGTTGTCGGCAAAAGAAGCGGTCGAATCACCTCCTTCATGACTTATTGCAAGCATGGTAGCAGCATGATCACGTATAGCAGACACCTGACCAAATTTGGACCGATCATCGGATCCGATCTGTCTATGGACTTCTCGCCTAAGTTCTTCAAGGATAATGCTATACCGCCGACTGGGACAGTTCTTTCTTGTAGCCTCCGCAAGATACTGCTGACAGGACTCAGCAAGTGCGAAGAGGGCTTGCATTTTGCTAATATTTGCCGGACTTCCACCCGAGGGACTTGGAGCCGTCGACTGGCGGTGTTGTTGGATAATGTGAATATAAACAACCAATATAGCGCAGAAGCATACGTAGTGGGTGAACCAGAAAGATTGAATAAAGACCCTTTGCTGAGCGAGACCTTCTACGAGGGTCATAACTTCCTCTGCAGCTCCGATACATTTTTGAACATGTGCACTAATCATCGGATGGGGATCTCTGGGTCTGCGGCTGAGATCGGTGAAATCATTTAGCAAAAATGAGCGTGTGACATGGATCATTGCATGTGAGTATGCCATTTGGAGAACCTGGCTCTGTCGGCAGAGAGGTGGGATCAAACTAGAAGGCCGAACACTGTTGAACAGGGGCGGTACGCTCTCTTTCCACCTTTCCAGTTCCGAGGTCAGACGCGCGGCGGTTTCTAGTGGAGTTTCCCGAGAATGGGGTTTGATACTGTAGAGCTGGCGAGATATTTCACCCAAGATGCGTCCAAGTCTGCGTTCCATATTAGAATGTGAAAATAAAGGAGAGCATGATGTGACCGACCTATAATGCAGAACGGATGCTATCATCATGCTGTCTGTAGAGCCTGAGCGTCGCGCTGGGTCTTCCTCTAGCAGATCTTCGTCGTTCATTTCCTCTGGCAATTCCTGATCGATATCTTCATCGTGAAGTAGTCGTGGTCGTCCAAACATGATGCTGAGGTATTTATCCAAAGTGTATACACTCCAGAATATGCGTTTACGCATTTCAGACTCAAAACATGAGCCTCCATATTTGGAAAGCTTGACAGGCCATTTTCTATGAAGGCCAAGTGCAGTGACGACCTGCAATGCCGTACCAAATGAGTACCAGCACTCATTAGCTCGAGATGTTGACAAGAGATACAAGCATTGAATAAGTCTCAATTGGATAGTCTCCAGTCGCGGAGGACCAGACTCCAAAGACGACATGTATTTTGAGGCCATGAACCATTGTTCACCACTTATATCGCAGTCAGATAATTATTTGTATACATAGGGAACGTTCGAGAAAACATGCCTTTGACTGTACCCGCTCACTAATGTATCACCAGGTTGAAGTTGATGAAATAAAGTACTTACAGCCAGTATCATTAGAACAATCGCCGTCCTTGCAACCATGTTTCCCACTGGTAGATTTGTAACTGAAATATTGTGGTCGTAGACTTGTTTGACCCAATTCTCTACATTACCTCGATGCAAGAAGCGATAAGTAACCATTGAGAAATCAAAGTATATCGCCACAAACTCCATGGCTTTATCAAAGGACGGTAGGATGAAGTTTACATGCTCATGGTTAGAATAAGGCTTATCACCAAACATGAACACAGCAGTATTTATGGAGGATTCGTTTTGAAGCTCGTTAGGAAGCCGTGCTTGATGGTTCAATCGTCCCCAGACACGATTAATGAAGGATATCCCGGAAGAAGGACCAATGTAGTTCCCCTCAAAGTCCGTAAACCCGGGCTCTGGCGAGTGACGCAGCGGTGCTACATGAGAATTCAAATGTTCATGTGCATTAGCTGTGTCCCTGGCAGTCAAGTTCGTACCACCACGAGAGTCCAATGGTTTAGATACGTCGGAAGTATGCCTAGAGTCCGGAGCAGGTGACGGCAGGGGGTCCGGTGGCAGACCTCTCGAGTAAGCCGCATTGTATCTGCATTGAAGCAAAAGGCGCGTACACCTGGTACATGGCAGAGTACCTGTACACTTTGTCTTTTTGACTTTACACGAGTCACAGGCTCTGGTGATCTTTTGTCGGCCTTTATTTAGTGGCGGTGGACTGGATGCTTGCCTCTTGCGACCGGGTGTGCGCGCCACAATCCCGGCATCTATGAGTGTTTCAGGCCCTTCATTGGCTGATGACGCCACCATTTTGGGACTGGTCATATATGTTTGCTTTTCCGAGTTGAGGAAATTGGAGAAGAAAGGGAGGGAAAAGAATCCGGAGAGAAGTGGAGGTGAGGGGTAAATCCACAGCCGGATTCTCGCGAGAAATGGATTCAGATTCTCCCTTTTTAAAGACCAATAGAGTAGATTTTTAATTTCAATGACACAAGTACGAAGTACGTAGATACATATCGCTATGCAAGGAGATAAAAGGAGATCAGTTGACCTAAGTCACCTAACCGGACCTTAGAAGGGCCTAAATCTACCCTGGATATAACGAAGCTAATCACCTGTCCGGACATTGTGTGAATATTAGAACTGCGAAGTGAATAGTTTTTTGAGAGAGAATTGAAAGCTTCAAAGGCTTCAAAGGCTTCAAAGGTTGAAATACTGGAATTTCCTACCTGGGTATAAGTGCACTTCTACAGACTGAGAAAGAGTCTATACTGTATAACCCTAAACACAATCGAGCATTACTTCCAAGTTTGAGGGATCAGAAAATGAGCTTGCTCGCGAGATGAGGGCAATGAATTATACCCAGGTAACTCTCAAGGTTGCAATGATGATACTATCATAGAAGAGCTCACCTTGGGCTAAAGAAACTCATCCATAAACGGGTCCCCGAGTATCCATGGATGCATCGAGGACAGGCACATAGTACTCCTTGATTTTTTTCCAACCTACGTAGATCCTGCTACAGTCAAGGCGGCGGAGATACTCAGAAAGAGAATCTAGAAGGACTCCATGTCGAGGAAGGCTTTCGATCCACGGGTGTTTTTTTTTACTGGCACGGGGCTAATATTGTAAGTATCAAAGTTGACGATCAAGCATGAAAGGCACCTAAACAGATGCTGGAAAATGAAAGTGAAAGCCTCAATTGAAGAACAATCATTGGAAGTAGTTAACATCGTATATAGCAGCAGGAGACGTGGGACATAATAAGTAGATATACATAGGCCTAGAGGTAAATACCTGCAGTAGTAGGTCAAAAGTCCGGTCCCCTAAATTTCCCCCATACGTAAGGAGATAAGCATATTGCACCCGACCTAGCTAATTAAATTATATCCTCTCTCTTGATCAAACTCTTTCCACTTTTGTCTCATTAGGTCATGAAACTCAGTCCATGTCACCTTTGATCGACTGCTTTCCCGGAGGTCAGGTCTAATTTTCAAAATTTGACGTTTCCATAGAAACTACACGTTTTCAATAGGGCTCAAATCAGGCGAATGCGGCAGCTATTCCATCACCTCTATTCTATGTATTCCAAAGCACTGTTGGGCGATAAGAGAATTATGAATAGCAGAATCATCTCACTAAAACACCATTCCAGATTTGTAGATAGGTAAATTGTCATCTTCTAAGCTATCAAGATATGAATTATCAGTATAACCACCACGAGGATAAAATTTATCCTTTCCCATGATCATGAGCTTAACTCGCCCACTACTTAGATACCTGTCAATTCTATCTAGTTAATATGTTTACCTATCATATAACTCTATAGTGAAACAAACAACATATTGAGTACTATCATTGGAGCGTCTTTGGACGAAACATTCGTGAGAAAACATTAGTCGCCCAAGCATCAAAAAGTTGACATTTTCAGCAGAACTTGAGACGGCTTTTAGCATATAGCTTCGTTAATGGGACTCGATGTTCAGAATTGCATTTTCTTGACCTATATGCGTAGAATTCTCTGGATAGTTGATTTAAAGACGTTATTAGGAGAGTTTACGACCAATGCCGACCACGCCATTTTAGTATTCCGGCGAACTATAATAATAGATATAACGGCGAGCTCTATGATCTGGCTCTATTGGGCGCCCACTTCTAGGCTGAGATTTGAAATCCCGATGTTTTGAGAAACACTTTAGCGTCTGGGTTATCCAAAATCACGTGCATTTTGGGCGATTTTTATCCCGAAATTTAATGCCGATACAATAGCTGTTCGTAAAGTTTCAGATAGTTCAGTATTAGGGCGTCGATTCCCACTAATTGTAGAGCTAACTTGGTGCATGGTTGTGGAGTTATGAAATTTACTAAGTAGAAGTTGGTGGGGTGGGAGGGGAAAATTTTTTAAAACACTAGACTTTTGAACCAGCATCAAGTACCCGCGGATGGCTGTAAAGACGAAATAGAAGCATTGGAAGGATAGAATGTAGAAGCAAGTACTAGTAACACCCCCAGATGCTCGAATATAGGTACCTGCATAGCCTTGGAATTCCTCGGAAGACTACCTAGGTATTATCTCTATTCATGGTACCAGATATATACACAAGTGATTATATTGGGTACCCTACCAATTGGTAGGTTAGAAAGGTTTCAGTGCAAAATGGGAACGCAAGCAGACAAGTGGTGTACAAACCATTAAGATATTTGGCTTTTCAAAGTGGAAGAATTTCCACAATAAGTCCATGAGGACTTTAGTTGTTTCCATGATCGAGGAAATTTCCAGGGTCCATAGTGGCTTGCATATTATTAGCCAGGTCACCATGTAGGTCCTTGATGTAGTCCTCAATTCTATCAATTGGTGGATGGGTTCTGATGAACTGGACCAAGTTATCTACAGTTTCCCTCTCAGAGAAGCGGATGACCTCTATGACTTGAGTTTGGAAATCCTGTAACCTCTTTTGAGTGACCTTGCGGCGACGGTCTTGGTCAGGATTGAATTGACAAGTGCGACCTTGCTCTTGACATGAATTACACGGTGATGGGGCACCACTGCACTGAAGTCCATGTTAGCGATCAAATAGATCACGTAGAGGGTCAAAACATTTACTTTGATCTTACTGATCTTGCATGAAGTACAGGCGGAAGAGGTTCTTGTGGCTGGAGATACTCCTCCTCCCCCATTGACGGGTGTTGGGTCATTTGTGATGGCGGGATGTATTTCTTTCGTACTCACACAAGCAATCTTCCTATAAGGTTGTTGCCGGAATTGCTTCCCCATTGTGTGGTAGAATTAAGGAAAAAACGGAAATTGGAAAAGGTGAAGGAAATGTGATGCCCACATGCAGGAGGTGACAAGGGAATATATTCCGTTGTCTGTAGATGATATAGTAACGCAAGAAGGTGGTAGGGGTTAGGCCAGAGGAAGAAATCGGAAATCTAGACTGTAACGGGATCGAGCTATGAGATTGTGGCGTGAAGGATCATCGACATTCCCGTTCTCCAGACCCCTGAATAATGTCGTGTCGCAAAGAAATGTGTGCTTCTGTGTACCAATTCCGAGAGGAATAGACGAAGATATCGGAAGTGAGAAGAGCGAAGTGGGAAATTGGAAGTTTGGAAGTTTGGAAGATGGTCTAGACGGGGTTGGTTATGGTGTTCCAAGGTTATGTATAATATTCCTGACCACGTCAATGTGGCAGAAGTACTAGTAGACCTCGGGCGTCCTTAAATCAGAAGGAAATGCCCTTGTGGATCAATTATCCAGTGCTTTTTATTGGTTAAACCCTGGTCGATTTAGTCTCACATTCTGCAAATGTATTTTTTTCGATCGGCCAATCTGGTTTGTATTAAGCCGTAGGCTGTGTGGTTCTATACTTGGTTGAGATGAAAGATGTCATATGTACGACCACTAACCATTGACCAGGAATGCTTTAGTCTAATATGGAAGCATATTTGGCCCTTTGGTCGCATAGGAAACCCTGGAGGAATTATAGCTGGTGTACGGAGTACTAGGTGCAGGAGTTGTACTTGTTACTTGGAGAAGACATTTGCCACTCGCATGCAACAGCTTATGGAGTCAAGACTCAAATGGCACATGCATCTCTCCAGCCGAAGTATTAACACAATGTGACGCGTCGATTTTCTCCACAAGGGATCCCTCGACGTCGATGTCAGGGGCCTTTTATGGAACTGGCAGTGAATAATACCAGGACCTTACTGACATTGAACAAAGTAGCCTTGACTTCAATCCAGGGCTGAATAGAACCCAGGGTTCTGGGACGTGACCCACCTGTACATATGTCCTGTCAACGGAAACTGTTTAATCATCACAACTAGGGCTTACTTTCCTACCTAAGTAAGTACTTATGAAATGCATTTTCAGCCTGTAGATACGAAAAGACTTTTGACCGCTTCTTGACGTGCATGAATATGGCGACATGCCCATATGAACATTTGGGCAAACACCCGAGTAACCGTCTCATACCTGGGAGGACTCTGTACCTATAGCGAAGTGAAGCGGCCCCACTCTCCTTCACGAGATTCAGTGTCACTTAGCATGTGGCTGATCCTATCTGAGACTGTTGCATCCCCGTAATTTATGATCCAAATCGAGGAATATGTGGTGTGCTGGATCTGCAGGCATGGGCAACATTCGAAGCAAGCTAGGTACTACTGTCGGGCTATATCATTCATTTGAAGCCCTCCTTATATTTTAACTATTCGGACGGATATGGGATGGTCAGACTTAGAAGGGGGTATTGAGAATTGCGTTACTAATGATAAACAGCTATATGGAATAGTTATGTACTGGGGTAACTGAAAAGAACAAAGAAAGGAAGAGAAGTGAAAAAGTTCATATGCCATGAGGATCATAACAAGCTGAGATTTTAGAGTAAGCATCTCATCCAAGACGCAAAGCTACCCAAGTCAATCAACAAGTGGGGTTAGTAGATTGGTCGACCTTCGTCCCAGCGGCGGGTCTGCCTTGGGCTTGTTGCAGTTTCGTTTTTGTCGGCAGGTGAGTGATGATTGTTGTGATCGTGACTCAAGGGCGATGATAGAGACAGGCGGGAACTACCGACTTCCCCGCTCTTATCGCCGCTTGCGCCAGCGCTACCAACGCTACTAACGCTACCGATACCGCCAATCCACTCCCAGCTGCGGGCGACGTCACCGCTGCGGCCTTCGCGAACGGCAGCTCGTACGTTGGCGTTGCCCTCGACGATACGGCTTACCCGGCGCCACAGTTCTTCGCGCCGTTTGCCATGTAGCTCGGATCGCAGGACGTCATCACGCAGCTGTCCTATGGAGATATATGGCTCTATGGCACCACCGCGGGCGTGAAGTGCCGCCTGAGTGGCCAGACGGTCAAGTGTTGTAGCGACCAGTTCAGGAATACGAGCGATATCTGAGCGGCGGGCCCGAACACGAGCACGAGCATAGAGAATAGCACTGATGCTAAGCACTAAAAGTAAAAGAGGGAGTCGATACGCGAAGAGAGCAAGTCGGAAGTAGCGGCGGGCGGCACATGCGAAGGGGAGTCGGGCAGTTGATGTGGAGGTGATGATAAGGACGGCGGAAGCTCTGTAATTACGAGGGCGCCTCTGTTAGTTCCAGTACGCGTTGTCAGAACCAAAATCTTTTGTCAAGAAATATGCTGGGGGATAACAAGGCATTGGAAAATTTGAAGGAAAGGGGAGTAGCTTACTTGTTGGTGTTGCTCACAACCTCCTCCTTGTCGAGAATCTCACCGATGGCTCCTTTCCATAAGTCATCAAACTCAGTATCACTGAGACCCTTACGGCGCTTCTTTGCGACCTCCTTCTTGAGATCGGGTTCGCTGATCTCGGGAGACGCTTCATTGTCACCTTCCTTCAGCTGGCCGCATTCCCATTTGGCTCTTCGCTCACGAAGTTCCTCCACAGCCTTGTCAGCAACAGCCTTCACGCGGCGTGCTTTCTCGCTGTCAGGCTCACATGTTGGAGGTAGAGGTATGAGGCCGGCAAGTGAAAGAGGGTGGGATTTTAGAAGAAAGTCGTGTTCACAACGTGCCTCAAAGTCGGGGTAGCAGAATGCGTGTGGCGGGCATGGCTCACATCCTGGTTCCAGAACACTAGCCCATTCTGGTACTTTGGTAGCAGCCAGGGACCAAGTAGATTTTCCAAGGCCACAATAACCGATTTCAATCTTCTCCTGACGCCACCAGGCACCAAAACTGACAAGCACAGCGACGATAACAAACCAAGAGGCCAAGATGGTCTTGGATCCTTGCTTTTGAGGGCTTTTGTGAAGCCGAGTGAGAGACGCACGGGTCTCCATATCAAGCTGTTCATCCGGTGTAAATTCTTCACCGGCACTCATTTCACTCTCGTCTAGCTCCTCCACATCTAGCTCTTCTTGATCCATTCCCTCAAATTCCTCAGGTTCTTCTGTGGTAGATCTCAATCGAGGGTGAAAGTCAAAAGATTCTCTGGTCGGGGCCTCGATACCATCTTCTTGTTTGAAGCTGGCAGGTGTAGTCGATTTGCGGGATCGTCGTTCGATGGAGAACCGTGAGCTCTTACGCTTTCCATCATGACTGGGGGTTCTACTTTTGGGGATTTCCGAGGGACTTCCACTTTGGAAAGGGTTGTCGTACGTGAAAACGTTCTCATCTTTGGCCTCAGCCTTGACTGGTGTGAAGTCATGGAGCTCCGTCGAAGGTAGGATCTCACTGCGCCGGAATTTCCGCGCCGTAGATTTCCGAGGAGAAAGGCCACGAGCAGTGACCGGAGTGGCGAATGAGTCTTCATCCATATCTGTATCTGAGGCACGAGGGTGTTTGCCAACTGAGCGAACGAAGCTCTTTCGTGTCGACGCAGCCGCAGGAGTAACGGGTGCGACATTTTCATCGGTATCAGCGGTGGAAGCGCGTGTGCTTCGTCGCGTACTGCGACTAATGTTCTCATCAGGCTCGGTTGATGGACGAACACTCCGTCGAGAAGTGCCACGCCGGGAAGTAGACGCGACTGATGATGGTGTTGGTGGAGGGATGTACTCGGGGGCTCGCGTTCGCTACTGTCACTGGCGACGGATGTTTCTCGACTGCTCACATCTGTTATCCCAGCGCTCGTGCGTCTGACCCTCTCACGCTCCCGTAGAAGTTTTCTTGCTTGGGGGATGACCTCGTCCTCCAAAATACGAATCAGCTGGGCCTTTTTGGCGGAGGCAGGATAGGGAATATCGTGATTGACGAGGATATTGCGTAAGCGAGGAACTGTGAGCGAATTGAGATCGAAATCTCGTGCAAGGTAATCTAGGTCATCCGCCATTATGGATAGCTTCGTGAGTGCACAAAGTCGCCTTGCTGAGAGTGATGTCACAGTCGTCTCACTTGCAAATCAAAAAGGTGCAGGGTGGATGGTATGGTAGTAGTAGAGCCAGTCAGATTTGCAAGTGGTGTCAGAAAGACCACCGATCGCTCCTGTTTTTGGAAACGTAATCATGGAATGGGACAAAGGAAAAAATGGAGTGGATGTTTTCCCGGCTGTCAATTAGGCTCGAGACTGGTAGCCACAGCAACGGGCAACAACAGGTGGGGTCAAGGATCTCCCGAATAAGCCAAGTGAAGTTTAATAATCGAAAAATCAATGATATTCCTGGTGTGAGCCTTGAAACTTATAGTCGAAGGTGCCTTGGGAAAGAGAGAAGAGAGAAGGGAGAGTTGGTGACGTAAACAAGGCGACTAGACCACGTGATCTCTACATGAAAGCAAACCGAGTCACTGATTAGCATACAAGTTGGACGATAATTCAATGATGAGCCATAAGCGATCTTAATCTGATATTGCATCTGGTTGAAGTTTTTGATCAATTTCATCAACTGATGGGCTAATACTACATTATTCTTCATATCTCTCTGTACGCTTGAACGTACGGGTGCAGATTTCAATATCAACTCTGGAGTATCTTAGCCCATCGAATCTATCTGTCGTAGCCGAGGTCTGGGTTTATTTTTCGCCAGTATCAATCAAATTAAAGGATCTTTATGGTTGGAACCCAAGTCTATCTAGTGTATATGATCTCCAATTTGGTCCGTTAAATCCGCATCTCCTCAATATAGACTGACCGTATCATGACAATTAGTTAACGATTCAGCTGATGAGGTTGTTTTTGTCTTACCAGATCAGAGGTGACATGACCGTTACCTTTCATGGTAGCTCATACCATACAATCTAGCCTTGGAAGGTATCTTCACCGAGATCTTAATCAGTTGTAGAGAAGGATCTAGAATGACGTATACCTCGTCATCCAATTGTGAACTATCAATATGATCAAACATCTAAAGTAAGTTGAAACTCGACCAGGATTGGGCTTAATACGGGTTCATATTGAAGGTGAAAATGCAAGAGGCTGGGGTGGAGGAGACCCACTTTGGCTTATTGATGCCTTTATCTTATCGCTGTCTTGTTTGTTTTGTTTTGGTGAGAAATATGAATTCATCTAGAAGACATTGAATAAGATAGAAAGAAATATGAGTAGCATTTATTGGAAGTAGGGAGTTCAATTATTTAAAGACATCAAGGATCTACTATGTGCAGTGTATATATAGTACATCTGCAACGTGGGTTCATAGATCGGACCAATAATATGAAAGTGGACGGGACCCACATATCTCGAAATGGAAACAACAGAATCAAAAACAGAGGAGGCTGGCAGCTTCCTTTTCCATAAAGAAATTCCATCTTCTATTATTGAGCCGGGATTTTCACCTTGACACTCTCAACCTCTACCCCTTTTCACCTTTTCACTTTTCAATATTCCACCTTCTTCTGTATCACCTTTCCCGCTCTTCAGTTGTTTACCCGCCATATCCATATTGACTACTGTGATACACACTGCCCATCATGCGATTCGCTGTTGGTGCAACCCTGAGTCTTATTTGCTCTTCTGCTATTGTTCTGGCTCAGACATATACAGAATGCAATCCAACCGAGAAGAGTAAGCTCAGAAACAAATATGGAATCAAAACCACTTCTCTGACCAAAATTAGCCTGTCCTGCCGATACGGCATTGGGAAAGTCTGACCAAAAATACGACTTTACTAGCGGTATCTCAACCGATTTTTCTTCATCTGGCAATGTCGCTTACGATGGCACCAATGGTATGAGCTTCAAAATTGCCCAGTCGGGCGATGGGCCTTTGATCCAGTCGGGTTGGTATATCATGTTCGGCAAGTTGGAATTCACAATCAAGGCTGCACCTGGAACTGGGATTGTCAGCAGTGCCGTGCTACAGTCTGACGATCTCGACGAAATTGACTGGGAATGGCTCGGAGGCGAGGCAGATCAAGTGCAGACCAACTACTTTGGCAAAGGAAACACCAGTACCTACGACCGTGGCGCTAATATAGCACTCACGGGAACCCAATCGACCTTCCATACCTACTCTGTGGACTGGACGAGTACTCAAATTATTTGGGCGATTGATGGCGAAACAGTGCGGGTTCTCACTCCTGAAACCGCCGACAGTGGCCAATATCCACAAACACCGATGATGGTCAAGGTTGGTGCGTGGGCTGGTGGTGATTCCAATAACACCGAGGGGACTATCGGTAAGAAAAGACATCTTTCAAGCGCCTGAATCAAGCATTTTTCCTGAGTATTTATACTGATGTTTCCATTAGAATGGGCTGGCGGTGTAACAGATTACAGCAAGGGTCCCTTCACTATGTACATGAAGTCAATGACTGCGACTGACTACTCCACCGGAACCGCATACAGCTATGAAGGGACGTCTGGCCTTTGGACATCTATCAAGTCTGAAGGTGGTGAGATCAACGGCAACAGCGCAGATGAACCCAGTGCAGTTGCGTCTGCTCCGACTGTGACTGCGACAGTTGATATTCCAATTCCATGGAGTGGAACTCACAAGGAGACCGATACTTGGACAACTCCTGATGTTTGGCCATGGGTCTCCACGGCTACAAGAGCAAGCACAACTTTCCCAGCTGGCTGGGAGTCTAGCTCGAACCACGTTCAACCCCCTGGAGGGGCTTCTTTGAGTGAGCACCCAACAACTACCAACACTTCAATGTATTACAGCACTAAGACCGACATTTTATCTTTACAGTCTACCTCCCAGTCTATATTGGAGTCATATCTTTCCTCGCAAGCTGCTTCACCTTCTTCCGGATTTGAGGCTGGCTTGAAACACACCACACTGCACACAACAAGCATTACTTCGCAGACCACCATAACCGGTGGAGACAAAATTGAGAATAGTCAAGAAGCTCTCACTGCAACAGCCACTCATTCTTCATCAACCGTGGCTCCTTCGGTTGAAGGTAGGATGAGCTCGATCCAAGTTCCTACACTTTTTGGTTCTCTTTGTGCACTCCTTGGTAGCATTTTTGCTATGATTTGAAAAAAGAACAGGCATTCGTGGCATTAGTCGACCTGTATTATTATTAATGATGGAACGAAGTCGGCACGGCGTTTATGATTTTTTCTTCTCCACGCGATTTACGGAGTACACTTGCGCAATTATATTTTACGGCTCGCCATTATACACTTCAAGCACACATGCAATGACGCTGATGGAATTTGGAACTGTCTCTTGCATTTCTAGACAGTATGACCCTTCATGAAAGTACTGTTCCTTTCTCAGTGCCATAGGCATTTACGAACCAGATACCTTTAATACGATTCAAACAGTTTTCAACTTAATGAAGCCCATGATAAGCTCCACATTCCACAGATAGTCCACTTAGAGTAACTAACGCAAGGGATGATGCCTTCAACCAAGCAAATACAACCTTGGAAATCGGATCATGTGCTAACTGAAGCCCTGATTCCGCATATATCATGTGCTAAATAGTATTAACTACCGCTTATAGATAATTGAAGGGTAATCAGACGATTTAATTAGAGAGACATGACCGCCAGTGTATTCTGTGTAAGCTTTTAGATCTTTCGACAGAAGAACGAAAGCCGTACAAGCTCCTCCAATGTCATCATTTTTCTTTTCTAAGACGTAGGCTATATATTCCTAGGTAATATGAGACTGTATTACTGCGATATAAGCACATCCAATAGCCATCAGCAAAGAGCACTTCAGATTTGAATTCTATCTCCATAATGGTCACCAGCATACGTGACGTGGCTGAGTAAATGTTCAATTGCCCTTGCCCCTTCAATGCAACAATCCAGGGAATTCTCATTTGTCACGACAGATAGGGCTTGGAAGAGCTACTCGTGATAAACTTTGGAACGTATGAGTATCTAGAGAAAGACAATGATGAAAATACTCATGTGACTGAAGTATGAAGATCATTCTAGTCATGAAGGTACCTATGTGAGGGTTACCGTCGACGTTCTCTTCCTTTACACGAGAAAAGTATTGAGTCTAGAAGCTGATAGGCAAAATATGACCGTGTGTTTGTAAAAACAAGGTCCATTTGATTTGGGTCACCGGAGAATGTCGATCGAATTCTGCTTTTCCTGTTGTTTTGACTTTGTTTTCTCTCCCTATTCTGGAGATGGAGCATTCCAGAAGACACCACCCATTTTGCACCACTAATTTCCTTGGAAGAGCGTACTTGAAATCCACCGGTCCTGAAATGAGTGGTATAGAAGCTTCTATACTTCCATTACCCCTTAGCATCAGGGTTTCAGGAGACTGAAGGCCATGTCAGGCTGGGTTGAAATTTTCTAAAATGTCCAACAATCAGAAAATCTAGAGGGGAAACCATTCCACAGCTGGTGAAAGTGTATACATTGGTAAATGTTGAATTTAGGCGTTGATACCGCAGTTTCTATTACCGAGTGGTTCTGAGTGCGGCTTGCTTTTGCATCAAGGACACTTACCCGTGTCTAACGCCCCGGGCACTGAGTGTAGATCTGAGATTGGAATTTGCAAAGCTGCCGTGGGCATCCTGGGAGATCTAGATGATACAGATAAGGAGAGTTCGCTCTCAGAGCTAAGGAGAGTGTAGATTCTACAGAAATTGAAAAGGTTGCGAAAGCTCCAATCAAGTCCTGTGAATTGATTGTGATGATGTATGTACGGTGTGGTAGTTTTTCTTAATTGAGCTTGGTCTTTAACAATCAAACTCGTCATAAAGACTAAGTTCTTGCTTTTCCCTAGATTTAACGGCAAGAGTCCAAGGCTGGAAATGGAGAATAAATTCAACGATGGACACAACTAAGTATTTAAGTGGAGTAAGTCTTGTTCCAGAGTTTGTCATGTGAATATTGTAGCTAAATACAGCGCTGGAGGTATGTAGAGCTACTGGTGAAAGGCACATAGACAATAAATCTACCGAAAACGAGGATATTCCTCTCCCTGCTTCACAAACACACAATTGAACTCTGAGCCAGGGCTTAACGTGACATCAAACTGCATCTCAGGGTCATCAACACAATCCTTGCCACTGACAGGTAGCGCAAAAACCCGCTCATAAGCTTGCAAAATACGAATAATAACATATCCAATTTCAATAATGGCAAATTGCTGACCAATACAGATGCGAGGACCCCCATTGAATGGAATATAATGCCACGGAAGTGGCTGCCAGCTAAACCAACGTTCTGGAATCCACTTGCCTGGATCGAAGTATTTTTTTGAGTCAGTGCCATTGTAGAGATCGGGATCGCGCTGCATCAGCATCGTTGAATAAATAACACGAGTATTTGCACGAACGCCAACTGGCTCAAGTCCGTCAGGGCCACCGCCCCGAGGCAGAGTTGTGTCATGGAACGAATATCGAACGTTGAAGGGGACAACTGGATAAAGGCGAAGGGTCTCGTTGATTACGGCGGCGAGGTATTTCATTTCTTTTATATCTTGGTATGTTGGTTTTTTTCCATCAGAACCAAGTCCAAGGAGATTATGGATCTCATCGCGTAACTTGATGACAATTTCAGGATTACGAGCGAGCTCAAAGAAGCAGAAGGCCAAAGTGGAGGCGGTAGTGTCACGACCTGCAAGGAGAATAGCAATGAGTTGATCGCGTAAGACAACTGGGTCACGCGTGAAGCCAGCCAAGGATTCAAGGAAGTTCTCGGGCTTCGAAAGCTTCTGGTTTAGCTCGGCTGTTGACAAAGACAGGACCGTTTCGATATATGGTTGCATGAAGTTGTCCATGATCTTGAGATTACGACGAAATTCCTTGCGTGACATGAGGACATTGAAAATACTGTATTTTGTGAAAGATTCAGATGAGCACCCACTAATCTAGTAGGAAACAAGTTGAATATCGCACATGATCGGATCTCACTTACCCGAAGCGGAATAACTGGGACTGTCGCTTTTGTACATAGTTGAAAGCTTCTGCAAAACGGGTCTCTGGGTTCTCTAGACTGTCTGTACCTTGGCCTAGCAGATAGTCTGTTGCTGCATCAAGAGTGAAGCGGAAAAGTAGAGGTCCAATATCAACTACCTGCTTACCAGCTGGGGAGTTACTATCACCAAGGAGTGGAATGAGTTTCTGGACATGTTTCTCAAAGATTTCGGTGTTTAAAATCCGGTTACGCACAAACATCGGGCGAAGAAGTTGTCGAGAATGTAACCACTGTTTGCCATCGGTAGCGAAGATGCTGTCTCCCAGAAACTCTTTCCACTGGCGATGAAAGTCCTCGCCTTTTCCATAGTCAGCAAACTGCCCAGTCAACAAGGCCTTGATGTTCTCCGGGTCTATAGTAATGATAACGCGATTGGAGATACCGGCGTCTAACTCCGCAGTCTTGCAGTTGGCTAAACCGCTAGCAGTCATAATCTTGTTGCGCCAGAACTCGTGGTCTCTGTTTGCAAAAGCGGCCTGTTGGCTTTTATATATGAAATCAAAAGCTGTACACAGCTGTTAGTCCCCTAGAAGTCATTTTAAGTGCTTATAAGACAGAATTATACCATAAGGAACCCAGAAAGCGATCTTGGGAGCCCGTACTCCAAGGCGAGACACCTGGAAAGAAACATGGAGCTTGCGCAATAAACATAAAAATGTAAAGCCTCCACAAACCCATAAAATGGCCTTTCCAGATGTCATATCATTAAGAAGATATTCAATCATTTCTAGGCTGTACAGTGTAATGTTGGCTTTGATCAATGTACAGGTATCAAAGGGTTGAATTTGAGTGAATTCTGGCACATTGATGTGGCGGGGATTCAAATTTGATCTACATACTGTAGTAGCTACAGGAATTCAGATCCCAATTTTGTATCCTCAAGCATAAACTGCTGAATGAGGGCCTCGGGATTGGTGCATTAATTATACAACTTGATCATCTCTTAGTACAAATGACTTGCTTCAGGTATCATGGCGAGGTCCGTGGGAGAGCCCCACTTGGTGATATCATACCATCACATAGACAAGGCAATGGTAGGTACTCGTCATTTTTCTGTTTTTATTCTCAGTTTCCTAAAATTCCAAGCTTGCGACTGATTAGATGCCACTTAGGCAGACACTACCGGTATAGATATGCCTTGCCTTCGATTTGCCAGATACTTCATTCTGTATAGTCATGCACTTGATTAATTCAAAGGGAGTAGTTGGATGCCTGACCTCGGTTTGTTTTTAGGTACCGAGGTATGGATGATCCCGAGGTTTTATTTGCTGAAGAAAAAAAACGCATAAGGTATGAACCCATTTCATGGATCGAGGTTATTTCATCGCTAGTAAGAATTGAGATGGCTCCGGAAGGGCTGAATCTAATGCCAGGGTTGGCTCCTACCTATGTAGGTGAGAAGCCATTATCCAAGTAGAAGGTTAAGATGATTTTTTAATTAAGCTCGTGATATCATGAATAATGAGATAACTGGAGCCTTGGAATGGCGTGTGTATATTGAGAAGTCAGATCTTTAAGCCAATGAATCCGAATCAGATTGTCGTACATCAACCTTTTAGTAAATGAGCTCACAGGCAAGAAAATCGGAATCAAGGGAGCTCATTGAAGTTGATAAGTATGTTATGTTTGCACTGTTTGTATAATGCAGCACGTGACATGATCGCATTTTCATCGCCAATCCCTACCAATGACTTCCACTTCAGCTTCCGCTTTAGGCCTTTGCTTCAAAGACTTGATCTTTGGATAATATCCTACTTTACAACCCCATCTCTTCTACTGACTGGAAGAAACACAATCACAAATTCAACCTGCAGCTATACTTTATTGCACTCAACCCAGTAGAGCTCTTTTATCTGGGTGGCGCAAAACATCCGCAGACCTACACTTTCCGTCATCTCTTCACAGCTTTTTTCCCAACCTTTTTCACATTTTGAACTACCTACCGCCTCATATCAATATGCTCCCAACTATCACTCAAGATTCGCCCCTTGCGGCAGCCGTGGCCGGTGCCATTCAACCCAAGTTGATAGAGATGGGCTGGAGTACCGATGACGGTCAAGAATCAGCCCTTATTGAATACATCGTTCTTATGTTGGTCAACGGCAAGACTCAAGAGCAAATTGCGACTGAGCTTTCTAATGATTTCCTTGGTCTTGAGGAGGGAGATACACAAGCTTTGGAGTTTTCTAAGTGGCTCTTCGGACAAGTGGAAATTCTTCACGCCCAAATTAATGGAGGACCAGCTGAGAGCACTCCCAAAGTTCCTGCAGTTTTCATGCACCATGATGGTGCAAACGACTCTCCATTTGGCACAAATGGGCAAGACTCGGAGATGGGCGAGGCTGGTGATGTCATGTGAGATTATCGTTTATTTAACAGCGTGCGGATTGTACTGACTTTATCTTTAGCCCAACAGGACCGAAAGCGATGCGCAATGGCAATGGACAAACCGGTCGAGGTGGTCGAGGGTATTTACTCAGCCAAATCAACCGAAACATGGATCGTGGAAATGACAACCCTCTCCATCGAGTGCGAGGACAGCAAGGAAATGGTCGCATTGGCGGTATCGGCCGTGATAAGATGAATCGTGGAGGACGCGGAGGCCGTGGAGGTCGGAACATGCCAGGAATGGGAATGCAGGGCAACATGGGTGGCGGTCCCATAGTGCAAATGAGCCCTGAGAATCAGATGCAGATTATGACTATGCTGGAGGAACAGGCACGCATGATGTCGCAACTTATGCCCGGTTTCGTCCCCGCTGTCAACCCAGCTTTCCAAACTGGTCAGCAGAACGGTCGCTCACTTTTCGATCGCGTCGAGCGCCAGGGTCAACGCGGTGGAGAACGTGGAGGACGTTTTAATAAACGAGGCCAAAACCAACGACCCCAAGATTCAACTACTGCTGAAGCAAGCGTTGATGCCGAGATGGGTGGTGAACAGAATGAGGGCAACACCAACAGTGTTTGCCACTTCAACCTTCGATGCACTCGCATGGACTGTCCATTCGCACATCAATCTCCCGCTGCCCCCGAAGGCACCTCGGTCGATGTCTCTGATACTTGTTCATTCGGTGCGGCTTGTAAAAATACGAAATGCACTGGTCGTCACCCATCGCCTTTCGTTAAATCTGCCCACCAGGCTGAGGAAATGTGCAGATTTTTCCCTCATTGCACTAACCCCAACTGCCAATTTAAGCATCCCAGCATGCCTCTTTGCCGCAACGGTGCTGATTGCAAACTCGAAGGCTGCAAGTTTACCCATCTGCAAACATCTTGCAAATTTAATCCTTGCATGAACCCTAGCTGCCCATACAAACATGCCGAGGGCCAGCGAGGCGCCTTCCCCGGCAAAGTATGGACCCCCAAGTCCGCAGTCCGTACTGCCGAGCGCAAGTTTGTCGACGACGAGGAAATGGAAGAGCTCGTCAAACCTGAGACCACCGCCGCTGAGGGCTCCCAGGGCAGCCATGATATTACAGTATGACTACGCCTTAATTAAAGTTGAGGTTTTGAGGGTGATTTGGGTTTTCTTTGGGTTTCTCCCTCTTTTTTCAAGATACCGCTCTTTTTTTTTTTTTAGAGCAATTTGATGCGAAATATCAACCGTGATGATGAATGGCAGGTCAGGGATGGCGTTCATACTATTTGCTTTGGTTCGTGGACATCTCAATAGAGTCCAGACTCCCTTTCTGTACATAGATATCCCCCAAAATTGGAGCAGAGCACGAGCACAGAACTTTTAATGAGTCATTTACTCTTTCCTTGTAGTCAAAATTAAATTATTCCAGGGCTGGTATCTAACATACTAACTATTGTAGTGGGGAGCCCTATACAGTATGAAGGAGAAAGCGGTCTGCGACGGCAGAACCATCTGGTACCATTTATCTAGAAGTTGTGATAGTTACAGATTGTCCACCTTAACACACTTCTTAACTTTTTGACTCCCTACTCTCACTGAGCCTTCCCTTGTGATTGTGGTTGGTTTTTCCTAGCTGAATCGACCTGCACGTTCCGACCGTGCTGCCTAGAGCGTTCCCCATTTCACTATTTATTAACTATTTAGTTAGGAATGGCTTAAGTAAGACGGGTACGCGGGCCCCGAACCTTTAAGGTGGGCCGAGCTGTCAAGGTATTCTACTTTCTTAGGTGGGCAGACACTGAGCTCCCTACAACACCCTCCAGTTCTATTGAGTCGATATGCGGTTACCAGTATCTTCGACCCTCAGACCTAGGCGAAGCCCATTGATCACCGTCGCTCGTTCCAAACGCGCCTATAATGTTGCGGTGCTCGGAGGTGGAATTACTGGCCTCTCGGCAGCTTGGAGACTGATGCAAGACCATCAGTGCTCGCATGTTACCTTGTATGAAAAATCTTCGCGTGTTGGTGGATGGATGGGCTCAGAGATAGTCCCAGTCGACGACGGCAAAATTTTATTCGAGTATGGGCCGCGTACATTCCGAAGTGCATATCCCGGATCACAACCGCTGCTCTATATGGTAAGTGCACACACAATTGGAATAAAAGCAAGCGATTGACCTCTTTTTCCCTCAAGGCCTTGAAGATGGGACTTTTGCCAGAATTAATTGCGGTTCCTCCAGAAGCGCCATCTTCAAACAACCGATATATCTACTACCCAGATCATCTCGTTCGAGTACCTCAACCTAAGCCTGGAGGTACCCTTTTGCAGTGGCTGAAGGAATTGGTCACAACGTTGTGGAATGAGCCATTGTTTGATAAACTCATACCGGGTATCATCAATGATACGGTCTCACCAGCAAGACCTATAGATCAATGGCAACAGGATGAATCTATAGCCAGCTTCATCTCGCGTCGGTTCAACCCCACTGTTGCTGATAATATTGTTTCATCAGTCATTCATGGTATTTATGCTGGAGACATCGATAAGCTAAGTGCTCAAACTACACTGGGTGTTGTTCGTAATATGGAGGCCTCCGGTGGTATTTTAGCCAACGCGACAACCATGCTGCACAACGATAATAGGACGAGAATGATGGATGATTACTTGGCTATCAACGATCTTAAAAAACTGATCACGAAAGACGAAGAAGCCATGTCAAAACACTTGTCAAAAAGATCAAGTATTTTCACGTTCGAAAAAGGAACGCAGCAACTTACCGATCGCCTCGCTGTCGTGTTGCAGGAATCTGGCAAAGTTGACATCAGAACCAACACCGAAGTCCAAAAACTGAGCAAAACACCAATGGGCACTTTAACGGTATGCGATGATAATAGACCACCATGTTATATAACTAATTTCTAACCGATCTTAGATAAATGACGGGGAAAAACAAGAGACATATGACCATGTTATTTCGACTGTTCCATCGCCAGTTCTGGCGAAGATTTTGTCCCCAAAAGCAAATCACCCAGCTCACCTCGTTCCCAAGACCATCGAAAAATTGAAACAGAATGACTACGCTACAACTGTCATGGTAGTTAATCTGTATTATCCAAATCTTAAACTGCCCGTGGTTGGATTTGGATATCTAATACCACGATCAATCTCAATTGACCAAAACCCCGAACATGGACTTGGGGTGCTTTTCGCCTCGGCGTCTAGTACTGCACGGGACGTCATAAATTCATCTGTTACCAAATCGCAAGACAGTGTAAATGGTCAGAAGATCACAGTGATGCTCGGAGGCCATTACTGGGACGACTGGAAGAAGACTGACTATCCGGATCATGAAACCGCTGTTGCGATGGCCACTAAAATGCTCCAAAGACACCTTGGTATCACCGATGTTCCTACAGTCACGCGAAGTCGCCTGCAATATAAAGCAATCCCCCAATATACTGTTGGGCATTTGGATCGCATGTATGACCTGTCCGCGACTGTCAAGAATGAATATAACAGACGGCTCGTGCTAGCCGGAAACTGGTATAATGGCGTCGGTGTAGGTGACTGTGTCAGACAGGGCATCCTCGCTGCAACTTATGGTATTGGCCGAGGAAACCCAAACTTTGATAGGGAGGGCCCTTGGACTACTTTCAAGGTCCAAGCATGGGACCTACAGGGTGGCATTCCTACATCTCCGGTCAGACTGGTTGAAGTTGACAAGAACGCGTGAATTTGGAAAGACTCCGTGTGCCATAAAGTGGCATGTGTATATTACATGTAATCATATGATTCATTAGAAGGCTGCTTTCAATTGTTCAATTGTTCTTCTTTTTGTATTTTTAATGGACCAATTTTGGAGGCAAATAGTTGAGTGTCGATATTTCCTCATATTCCACGTCCATCAGACTTGAAATTTGCATGCGAAACAGTCGATTATCTTCGTGGATATATAGGCCGTAGTCAACGCGGAGCACGTTGCTGATGGTAGAAAACATGCCATTGATTGTTTCAAGAGATATGACCTTTCTCGCCGTTCTTAGGGCGGTGGTCATTGGGGGAATCGGGGACTTCTGAACCATTTATAGATGGCTCATCAAGCAGTCGCAAGATTCGAAGGGGATTGGCTTAAACGACATGATTGTGCACGGCAGAAACTCATATGAGCGCGTGATCACGCACTCTCCTTGCTATCGGTGATATTTTTGTTTCCATTGGAATCAAATCCGAGTGATTCCAACTGGCGGACCAGCTCGTGGATCTTGATGACTTTTTCCAGCTGCTCAGGAAGCAGGGATTCACCGTCATTCTTCTTGTCTCGTAGCTCCCGTGCCTGTCTGAGCTTCTTCTTGAGGTTCCGGGCCTTCTTTTCCTGCTCGGCCTCTTGGTCCACGGGCTCTTCGGCAGGCAGCTCTTCCTTTTTGGCGGGGACACGCCAGTTGTCTGATTCGGCACCCTTCTTTTCTGTCGTAGCATCTGAGCCGGCTTCCTTAACTTTGCGTTTAGCTTCCCTGCGCTTTGCATTCTTGTTGCTGGTAGCTGAAGTAGCGGTCTGCGCGGCTCTGTCGTCTTCGCTGCTCACAGCTTCCGCACCAGGCACCCTGCCGTTTCCTCGGCTTTTCCATGCCTCAGCGGCACGGTTCCTATAAAGCTTGATGTCTTCTTGCGGTGTAAATCCCGGGCGTACTTTGATCTCCTTGCGCTTAGAGCCATCTGCACGAATAGAGGAGGGAATAATGCGATCGCCGGTGGTAGAATCGGTGGTAATTCCGGCCGAAGAAACGTTGGAGGCCATGCTTTTTATTTAATGATTTCGGGTTCAGATGTGGCGGAGAGTGCAAGAATTGCAAGTGAGTCGAACTCGTCCGAGGACTGAGCGCTCGTGGCGAGTACAATAGAAAACAAAACAAAATCTCGAGAAGATGGACAAACTGAGATGTACGGATGCCCGGAGAGTCACTTGCGTTGGCCAATCAGCTTACCGGGAATTCCCGCAGCTTTTTGTCCGCAAACCTCCATATCCTTCACTGTCTTCCCCAACCTCATTATACTGTCCACTTTCCAGTCCTTTACTACCTACCGCTGGTCGCATTAGCATATAATTCTCCTCTCACAATGGCCTCCGTATGTCGATCTTTCTTCCCTTTATCTTTTCGTCCAATAGTGAAGCACTGCGCAATCTAATGACTTTAACTAACCTTCATCGCATGACAGATCTCCAACACTCTCTACCAGCATGTCTCCCTCATCCTCGATTGAATTATCGCAATTATTTTTGTACATCATCTAACTGTCAATTCTTCGCTATCTTTAGAACCTTCATCCGCCGTAATGCGGTCTTCCTGACCACCATCTTCGCCGGTGCTTTCGCTTTCGAGCTGTGCGTTACATTCGCTGCTTCCCTACAACTCTTACAAAATATCTGACAAGTCTATTGCGAAACAGTACCTACGATACCGCCTCAAACAAGATCTGGGACAGCATTAACGCTGGCGTATGTGCCCTCTGAACCTCATCATCCCCTGATAACATTCAATTTCCACGTCAATACGACTGTACTAACTGTCTTTCCCCTCTAATACAGCGCCAATGGAAGGATATTAAGTACAAGTACATCCAGCAGGCCGAGGAGGATGACGAGTAATGGAGTTCTGGTGACATTTTTGGCTACTATTGTGGTAGATCTACGGTGGTAGAAGACGGAAAATCAATCAATGGGCTCCTTGTTATTACTCATTCCATATGCGAAGCTGTACGCGATAGAATTATGGAACACTGTATTTTGATATGGTTATTTTGCCGGTACGAAGTAGGCGGAGGCGTTGAGTGCAGGTGTAAATGTAAGCGTGGATCGCAGTGGCGTATGGAGCGAGACCGCTCTGTCGATGTCATAGTCAAAAAACCACCTTCCACCTTCGTTCTTACTCTCTTGGCCGAATTTTACCCTTTCTTCCATACATTTCTAGGCTAAATCAAGCGACTTCTGAGCACGATCGTACTACAATAGACCGGATCCCTTGTGGTCCTAGTCAGTATTATCTTTCCACTTGGTGTTGATCCACATCTTGCCTCCCCCACTACAATTTCTAATGAAGACGGCATATCCACGACTGACTATTCCTCACACCTTTTGTTGACTTTTATTTGTGCTCTTTTCAATCCAACTACCGACTATATCATCTCAAAGTCGCATAATTCCAACATCATAATTCACCCTCCATTCCGCGCGTTTAACCGCGCCACTCAACATCCTCACGAAATCTCAAGCCATGCCCATACTCTCAGAACGTGAGAAGAAGCTCGTCAACGGTCTCTTGAGATTACCATCGCAACACAAATATCGATACACACCTCATGCCGAGCGAGACCTACTCCAGCTGCTCTTCCGGTCCCTCGTCGGCGACGACGATGAATTATTAAACCACCTTTTCCCCGATGCCGCATCTAATGGAGTCTGGAAGCTGGCCGAAGTCCAAGGTGGTGCCCAAGAAGGAGCAGAATACTCGGATGCCGCGCGCGGAAAGCGCTGTGGCCACATCTTTCGAGCCCACGAAGCCACTTATCGTTGCCTGACTTGTGCAGCTGATGAGACATGTGTGCTATGCAGTCGATGCTTCGATTCATCTGATCACATGGATCACCATTATCAGATCACCATGTCTTCTGGTAACTGTGGTTGCTGTGACTGTGGCGATGATGAAGCATGGAAAGTACCACTTTGCTGCGCAATCCATACTGAAACTGGAAACGAGAAGCAGAATGAGCGCGCACACCGGGATTTCCCCCTGAACTGATGGCATCTATTCGTCTGACTATCTCTCATGCACTGGACTACTTCTGTGATGTCATATCCTGTTCGCCAGAGCAGTTACGCCTACCGAAAACCGTCGAAGGTATTAAGCAGGACGAGGAAACATCGAGGTTGCGCCCCGACTGGTCGGATTCGGGTGACAAAGTGGAAGAAGAGCCAGAATTTGCAATTTTGTTGTGGAACGACGAAAAACATACTATTGGTGATGTAGCCCATCAGGTTAGTCGTGCTTGTCGTGAACGGAATAGCTTTGGCACCGCCCGAGCAAATGAGACGAACGATATGGGAAGAAGTGTTATCAAGCACGGAAGGGATCTTCCACGACTGCTGGGAGTGTCGAAGATCATTGAAGAGATCAAAGTTACTGTTACTGTTCGTTCTGCTCGTGACACTTTCCGAGAGCAAATGTGCGGAACAATAGTTGAATGGCTCTCTGATATAGCTCGCTGCAGCATTCTTGACGATGTCGAGGTTTTCCGTCAAGTCATTTGCGAAGAGCTCCTCGATCCATGGCGGAAAAGCAGTGGGGCTTCCAATGCAGGAATAGGTCTCATGGGTATCGATGATCATCAGAGAACTGAGAGCGCTGGCCGTACTGTCCTGATCGCCTTGCCCAACACTGGTGGATGGACTATTGCGGAAGATGACGATGAAGATGAGGACGATGATGAAGACGACGACCTTAATGAGCAGGACGAAGAGGATGAAGATGATGTAGACTTTGTGGAAACCCATGATGCAGATGAAGTGGACTTCGGAGAAACTAATGACGATGCAGATGATGAAGATGACGATATGGAGCTTGAACTTGCTCGCCTGCAGGCTGATTTAGATGGAGATGGAGATGAAGAAATGGACATGGGCGTTGTTGACACTGGAATTGACACCGAGCGTCTTTTGTTGCGTCAACGAGAGATCTCTCCCGCTGCTGGCGAACAGCTTGAGCAATTCGCTGAGGAGCAACAGCAACAGGATGAGGAAAGTGTAAATGATCCTCACAGCTTTGTGTCTATCCCGCGAACCCCTTCAGGCGTAGTCAGACCGAGACCTGCAAGATCAGCAAACCACTGGCAAGTCCCGCCACATAACCCAGTTGCGAATCGAAAGATCGCTCCTTGCGAAGATTTGGGGATTCGTACCCGTCTAGACTGGCTGATTCTCTTTGATTTGAGACTGTGGAAGAAGACTCGCACTGACCTGCGAGATCTTTATATCAGCACAGTTGTCAATGTTCCTCGGTTCAAGCGCATCATGGGGTTGCGGTTGTCTGGTTTATACACAGCCCTCGCTCAACTCTACCTGATTGCTGATCGTGAACCGGATCATTCGATCGTGAACCTCACGTTGCAACTTTTGACGACACCGACCATAACAGAGGAGATCGTTTCACGAGGAAACTTCCTCACTAAAGTCATGTCAATTCTCTACACTTTCCTCACGACAAGACAAGTTGGTGAGCCACGTAGTGTGAATCCCAATGCAATTTTGTCTTTCGATACTGGCTCTGTCACCAATAGGAGACTTTATCATTTTTTCCTTGATCTTCGATATCTCCTCCAGTCTGAGTATGTCCAAGCCCGTGTACGTTCTGAGCCGCAGTACCTGCCTCAATTTTTGGACCTTGTGAAGCTGTCACAGGGTATCTGCCCGAATGTGCGCGCAGTTGGTGAGCATGTTGAATATGAAACAGATGCTTGGATAAGTGCGTCCATCCTCATGCGTGAGATTAACCGGCTTTGCCGACAATTCTGTGAATCTTTCCGTAACCCAGAGATGGACACAAATCAAAAACTTCTACGAGCCATCAAAACCACTGCAATCACAACGATTATCCATTCGGCGGGTATGGAGCGAAAGCGTTTCGACCATGCCGAGATCAAGCATGAGGTCTATTTCAAGTCACTACAACCTTTCGATTTTGAAATAAGACACCCCGCACAGTTTGCATCAGATCCGAGCGTGAAATTTCCTTGCCACAAAGTGGTAGAATTTGTTGTCGACAGGGGATCAATAAGCTTCCACCATGCCCTCCACTATACCTTGTCATGGCTCATTGAGTGCGGGCGTAATGTGAGCAGAGAGGTGATGCGCAACGTTCTTTTTGAAGCTGCCAAGGTTGCTCGACGCTCAATCACTATTGAAGATACCTCAAATTACAAGGACGACTCTCTCACACCGGAAGATCTACTCCTGGTAATGTTTGACTACCCTCTGAGGGTTTGTGCATGGCTTGCCCAAATGAAAGCAGGCATGTGGGTCCGTAATGGCCTCAGTCTGCGCCATCAGATGTCACAGTATCGTGGAGTGTCCTCCCGCGACTTTGCATACTACAGAGACATCTTCCTACTTCAAACGGCCCTGGTGACTTGTGATCCTAGTCGTGTTCTAGCATCCATCGCTCATCGCTTCGGAATGGTGGATTGGATGTCTCGCTTTTACCAGTCATATTACGAAGACCATCAGATGGTGGATGTTGCCGAGGAGTTTGTACATTTGCTGGTTATTTTGCTCACTGATCGATCATCTTTGACCGCAATTGATGATAGTTCGCATCTGACTGTTGAAAATATCCGTCGTGACATTGCTCATGTTCTGTGTTTCAAGCCGCTTTCATTTTCTGATCTTTCAACTCGCTTGAGTGACAAATTGCTCGAGTCTGATACGTTCTTAGACACTCTGAAAGAAGTCGCCAACTTCCGTGCCCCTGAGGGCATGAGCGACTCTGGAACTTTTGAGCTGAAACCCGAGTACCTCGATCTCGTCGACCCATACAGTGCACACTACACAAAGAATCAGCGAGATGAAGCGGAAAACGTCTACAAGGAGTGGATGGCCAAGAAAACCGGCAAGAAAGCGTCGGATATTGTCTTCGAGCCGAGCCTTCGAACGATCAAGTCCGGTGTCTTCTCTGATCTTCCTCGATTTACCGCAACGCCAATCTTTGCTCAGCTCGTCCACCAGTGCTTGGAATATACCGCTTGCTTCAAAGATTACAATCCATCACTCCCCCACACTCGTGTGGAGACATTTTTGCAAGTTATTATACATCTCATCCTTGCTGCGGTATTGGAAGACAATTCCCATGACAGTGACATAGAACAGGAAGAACAAGACTCCTTCAACCTCAACGCACTTTCCAAACATAGGCAGACTAAAGCTGGAGATCTAACTATTGTTGGTCTCTTAGAGAGAATCTCGGCCACGCCCGAGTATGCTTCATGTGGCCCCAAGATTCGCCACATTCTCAAGCGACTTTGGCAGAAGCGCCCTCGAACATTCACTATGGAGACAGCCTCTCTCAGATTTCCATTTGATCGCATAGATACAAACTCGCCTGCCATTGATTTGGACAATGAGAAAGAACTCAAGAAGAAGCAGGCATTAGAGAGACAAGCGAAAGTCATGGCCCAGTTCCAGCAACAACAACAAAACTTCATGAACACCCAAGGGGATATTGATTGGGGCGAGGAGGAAGTCAGTGACTCCCAAGAGGTACCTACAGAAGCCCCCGAGACAAAATCTTGGAAATATCCCGGTGGAACCTGTATCTTGTGTCAAGAGGAGACTAATGATTCTCGACTCTATGGTACCTTTGCTCTGATCCAAGACAGCACTATTCTGAGACAGACAGATGTCAGAGATCCTGATCGCATTCGGGAAGTCCTCAAGACACCCACAAGCTTAGACAGATCTGCTGACTCTTTGCGTCCATTTGGTGTGTCGGGAGAGAACAGAAACACCATTCGCCGACTTGACTCCTCGGGTGGTGAAGTGATTAGTGAGAAGGTCGGTCTGAGCAAAGGTTTCAACTCAAAGAGCACATTGCGTGGGCCTGTCACGACCGGCTGTGGTCACATCATGCACTATGGCTGCTTTGAGCTCTATTATACGGCAACACAGAGACGACATAGCCAACAGATTGCTCGTAACCATCCCGAGAACATACAGCAGAAAGAATTTGTCTGTCCTTTGTGTAAGGCGCTTGGCAATGCTTTCTTGCCCATTACTTGGAAGGGAAAGGATGAATCCTACCCTGGTGCGCTGGCCACAACGTCTTCCTTTGAAGATCTGATGGAAACAGGGCTTAAGAATAAGCTGAGCAAATCTCAGAACTTCTCTCTTCTCATCGAAAAGGGTAAATTCCAAAACCTCTATTCTGACATGTTCGTCGAATACCTCACCAACAGTTTGGTACCTCCGCTTGCCTCTAAGGTTCATGAACTTTTGCCTTCCTCATTACCACGACAGACCGGATCGACAAGATCGCATATAATACCGACACTGCGGATAAACATGCCGATGAGCCACCCCATTATGGATGAAACGTCACCATCTAGTCCACTGGCCGGCCCATCTGATAATGCCATGACAGAGCTTCTTGTGAGCTACAAGAGATTGAAGAAAACAATGGAGGTGAATCACATAAATTCAATCTTCAGTTCTGGCCCTGATATTAGCTTGGGTGTCGACGACCTTGGATATATGGATTCTTTGTTCCGAAGCTTTGGACTCAGTGTCTCGGTTGCGGAGATTGCTCAGCGCGGAGTTGAATCTGTGCCTGGGTTCACTTTGTTGGATACGATTCCGTCACTGACTTTAACGAATTTACGTGTTCTGGCCGAGACGGCGTTGACCTATGCAGCCGTTGGATGCATTTGGGGGGAACCTATCCTGAATCGTCCTTCACGTGAATTCCAGGAGATTCACAGGCAGAAAATTGGCCAGCTACTTGTTGGCCACCCGTGTTTGGTCGACACGCCGCTGTTGAATGATATCCGAAATATCGAGCCTCTACTCGCTATTGACACATTTGTTTTCCTTGCCGAATCCTCGATTTCCTTGATTCCAGTTCTAAAAATCGATATGCGCCATCTTATCCAGATGTGCTACGTTGCTGAAATCGTCAAAGTCGCTGTCACGTTTATTCTTTGGCCGTTAGGACTGAAAGAGGAGGTCTCTGAGCAGAAGATGGACACGATGGACCTCGATGTTTCCGACACTCAATATAGTGTGACAAAACATTTCTTCGATACCATTGTCACTGAGCTTAAGTCAAACTCGGTTGGACGTGCCGAGGGTTCCTCCTGGCCTGCTGCGAGTGGCTATGTGAAGGATAGAGAGGAGCCAGCGACCCCGGGAGTGATTCTTGCTCTGCGTCGCCTAATTTCTAGTTATGCCCTCACCTTTTTGCGCAAGAGCGTTATTCTCCTTCATGTGCAGCATGGTGTTGACTTCCCTAATACTGGTTTCGCTGATGCCGCTGCACCTGAGCTCGACAGACTTACCAAGGTACTACAGCTGCCTGCGCTGGATGAAATACTTATTTCCATCAATCCTGCAGCCAAAAGTGGCGACACTTTCGATACCATCATCTCGGGATGGATCTTCCACTGGAACGCATCACGATCAGGTATTCGGTTCGAGGATCACCGTCTTTGGCCAAGCCTTTCCCATCCTGCTATTTTCGAGCTTGTCGGTCTTCCCAAGTTTTTCGACACTCTAATTGAAGAATCAAACCGACGTCGCTGTCCCAATTCCAAGAAGGAGCTCAGCGATGCTAGTATCTGTCTGTTCTGTGGTGATATATTCTGCTCCCAAGCTGTGTGTTGTATGCGCAATAAGATAGGCGGCTGCAACCAACACGTTCAAAAGTAAGTCTTTCCGGTAATCCCTTTTATGATTGACATTTAACAAATTATTTTCTTAACAATAGGTGCGGCAAGAACATTGGTCTGTTCATTAACATCCGCAAGTGCACTGTGTTGTATCTGTACAACAACAACGGCTCCTGGCATTTCGCTCCCTACCTTGACCGACACGGAGAAGTAGACCCCGGCCTGCGACGCAACCGTCAACTCATCTTAAACCAGAAGCGTTATGACAAGCTTTTGCGTGACGTATGGCTATCACACTCTGTTCCTGCAACAATCAGCCGTAAACTCGAGTCGGAGATAAATCATGGAGGATGGGAATCAATCTAATGGCAAGAACAGAAGCCAGTTTCTGTACCGCACTCCAATATTTTGAAGGCGAAACCTAGCGAGGTTTTTTTTCTCGTCTCATTGAAACTATTTTCTAGGGCTTTTCTCAAGATCAAGATGTTGTTATATTTCCCACGTTGAATTCAAATCATCTATTTCCTACTCCTTCGATACATATCGATGCTTCCAAGGATGTACATAGTAGAATGCTGAAAAGCTGGGAGTGATTTTCAACTTACGTAACCACACTCAACAACGCGTAGACTTTTAACGTGGTATATCGCCTTTTCACCTGCGATTTACAGCTTCTATTCTTTAAATATATGGATCGTACCCTGTCAAATTCCTCTCAAACGGGGCCAACTCCCCAATCCAGCGCGCAGAAATATTTGTGTTGAAGCGAGTGAATGGCTGGGGTGCCCGACGCATCCATCGAGTGTTCCATGACATCCCATTGTCGACTATTTCCTATACTCTGGAAACGGAATCAAAACGTGTTGATCATACACGCATCGTCGGCTCTAGTGGGCATCATAAGCTTACTGAAGTAGAGAGAGAAAGTATATATACTGCAATCGAAGAGAAGCCTTTAACCTCCACTAAAGACTTGCCCTCCATGATTGATCACAAGATTACACGCAATGCTTTATATAAAATGTTAAAAGCAAGGCGGTTGAAAATGATCACTTCTCCTGCAGCTCTGGCTTCGCCTCCGTCAACTCCACAACCCTCTAGCACAGACGCATGCTGAAGGGAACTTTCATTTAGCGGAACAACGCTTCTGTACACACTGTGTATGCTACAGACCACTATGATAGAGCTTGAGTTGATGGTCATGACCAATAGAATGGCCACTATCGGATTTGATACCAACTGAGAGTCTGCGAAAATCCAAGAGCTTTGCCCTGAGTTACACACCACCTTGGAACTTTTCTGACGAAGAGACCAAAATCCCTTGATATCGTGCATCGAGCTTGGGATGGTATTGATGTAAGTATTATGGACATTCTTGAAAACCTATACTAGGAAGTAAGCTCCAGGGCTGTCATCCGGGGTGCAGGTGATATTAAATAAGAACAGAATTAAATGGATCTATCTAATTATCAATATCTACTTATATTAAGTGAGGCATTATAGTACCTAACCTTAAACGCACAGTTGTCACACCATGCCACGGTTCCACTCATTTGAAGCTGTCCCGAGAAAATGTTGAGGACTCACTTCTCTCTTCCACTCGCGCAAATACCCCTTCAGGCACTGCCCTTGGTCTTGTTTCCCTTAGGAACTCGTGCCAACCAATAGATTCCAAGTGCGCCCACCACGTTGAACACCAGGAACACCCACATCAGTCCAAAGTTCCGCCACGCGTCACTCCATTCAGAGAAAACCGAAGCAAGGAACGTGTCCGTCGATGACATACTGCAATACGAGCATGCACTTGTTGCATCTGGGTTCTCAATATATCCTCCGGTCGAATTTGCGTATGGGGTCAAGTAGTCGTAACAGGACATGCCAGATGGCGGGTCCATGACGAGTGTTTCAATCGAACTGCATTGGACTGTTGAGCCACTAAGTGCAGTAGAAAGCATTCCAGATACTAAGTAGGTGAAAGGTGAAACGCGGTACATGAAGATCCAGAACCCGGGCAATGCTTTCGGCGTGGCGACAACACTAGAGAAAGAAATGTTAGTACTATTATTGAATGGATAGACGATTATTTGGAAGTAACGTACCCGCAGAACAGTAAGAGAAGTGCGAAGACTAAGTTCGCGATGTTGCCTCCAGTTTCTGCCAAATCCACACCGGCGATTACCATATGTGTGAACGTTGATGTAAACCACAAGAAGGTTAACAAGAACAAGAACATGAGAGCACCTCGCTCATGCACAGAATCGGTCGGCTCGGCATTTCTGTATAGACCGACTGGGTAGTACCAGCAGAAGAACATCAAAACGGCAACAAGGAAGTTCCAAGGAAGCTCAACGATGATATTAGCAGTCATGAATACACGCCATGAGTACATCTTAGAGGGACGCTCGCGCACCTCAAAGATGGACCGTTGGATGACGAAATTGGGCATGATCTGCTGCACAAGGTTACCAAAAATGGTCATGAGCATGAAGATACTGAACATCTGATTCTGGAGGCCTTGCTGTGAGTTCTCCGCATGGAAGAAGGAGAATCCATTATACAGTGCGGTTAGAATTGACAGAACGAGCTTGGACCAGATGTAGGATGGAGTACGCCAGTATTGGGCGAAAAGACGAGTGAGGCACTCCCTAAGCTGTATAGTCGCTGGGGCTGCAAACTCATGATAGTCTGCTTCCGCGCTATTGTCTTTTTCTTTCTGGGAAAGTGTAGATTTCAGCTCGTCTAAGTGTTGGACAACAGCCTTCTTTTCAGGGCTGTTATTCCAAACCTCTGGCCAGTCGATATCGCTGTGGGAACCAGGCGCAGCACCAATAACATCAAGCATCCATTCCGCTGGGTTCTCACCATTAGACAGGGCATGGCCGCCATTCCGCTGGAAATAGTCCGCTAAAGTTGTAGAGTTCTCTCCGATCTCTCCGAAGTAAACAGTGCGTCCACCTCGAGCGAGGAACATAAGCCGATCGAAACGTTGGAACAGCATTGCCGAGGGCTGATGAATGGTACATAGGATAGATTGACCATGCTTTGTGAGGGTTTCAATGAGATCCAGAATCGACCACGAGGTTTGACTGTCAAGACCAGAAGTAGGCTCGTCAAGGAAAAGCAGCAATTGCGGTCGGGCAGCCAGCTCTACACCAATAGTCAGGCGCTTCCGCTGCTCAACGTTCAATCCTGAAAAGAATTAGTTACTGAACCTGGATGAATGGAGATTTTGCAATCGTTTTTGCAACGAGAACATACCTTCACCGGGGACTCCGACAACCGCATCTGCGTATGTCTGCATACCGAGTAGCTCCAGAACTTCTTCCACATAGTCCAACTTCTCCTGGCGGCTCAGATGGGCAGGCTGTCTGAGTAGGGCACTGAATTGCAAAGCTTCTCGAACGGTTGCAGTGGGTAGGTGAACATCCTGTTGTTGAACATAGCCGGTTTTGCGCTGGAAAGAATCATCTCGGGGCCGTCCGTCTACAAGAACATCACCAGTAACAACACCCATAGTCACTCGGGTGGCAAGAACATCGAGCAGAGTAGTTTTACCAGCACCAGAAACACCCTGACGAACGTTAGTTTGATCGACCTCGGGAATTTACCAAGTTCAAGAATAAACTTACCATCAAAGCAGTTGCAGTACCAGGTTTTACCCATCCGTTCACATTATCCAGGATACGGCGCGGTTCATTCTTAATTTTGATGTCATAGCAGAGATCTTGCCACTGGAAAATAGACGTCTGTCTCTGAATGTTCGCTCCGGCAGTTTCAGATTTCTCTTCTTCCGCACGATAGACTGCATCTGGCGGGGTCTCGGTATCATCTTCTGCTTGTACCTGCTGGTGGTGTCCGCGGCGGAAAATGAGGACCTCACCCTTGGATGGAGCTTCGGCAATGTACTCAGTGCAAATAAGATACACAAACATGAAGAATATCATGAATGCAAAGACAATACCCAGATTTCGCCAGATGTGGTCGGCGCGATAGTCATATGCGGATAGTAAGTAGGCATCTCCGTCGATATAAGAAACTCCTGGCTCGCCTGAAACAGTGCTGCAGATAGTGTTGATGGCATCCACATTTTCGTATCCTTCACCAGAAGGGACAAATGATACACATGAGAATTTCCTATTACGGAATTCATTTGCCATCATACTTTCAAAAGCGTAGGCAATAGGATCGATATAGTTCATCCAGCGAGACCAACCCAACATGTTTTTGGTGGGAATAACAAATCCTGTATAGATCACCAAGCCTAATATGAGCAGAGCGGCAGGAACAAGAGCTTGGGCCAGAGAGCGTGATGCAGCACCGAAAGTCCGGAAAACCATTGACATGGTCAGGGTTGTCACCAGCGAGAACAGCCAAAAGATGAAGTAAGCTCCTGGCTCACGCTTGAGGTTGGACATGAAGTATATAGGGAGATTGAAAGTGATTGAGTTGAGAAACTTGTACGGCATATCGCATACCATAGATGCAATTGCTTCTGTGAATGGATGATAGAACGCGTATCGGGATTGCTTTTCCACAATCGGTCTTTGGGAATAGAGGGTCAAAATCTGAGACAGGGTTGTTAGAGAGGGTTCAATTAATAAAAAAAAAAAAATCTCCGACGGTAATGACCTACCTCGAGAGCACTGGCAAATGCAGCAAGAAGAACTGCGTAGAAAAGCAAAACTTCACGCGAGTAGAAGCTAGCTGTGGTGTTGGCAAGGTTATAGAATACACTTCCCAAAATCAGGGATATAAAGAAGTTTCCGAATAGAGCTGTCAAGGTCAAAGACGCATCGGCTTGAAGACGGTGGAATGCACGAATGAGATTAAGCTTGATCTGTTCGAAGACGGACAGTGTGTAGGGAGATTTGGAGCGTCTATAGAGTCAATTTTAGCGAGCTGGACAAATATTAAAGTTAAGAACGATGAGACTTACTGCTGTTTTGACTGCATCAATCGACGCGCCTCACTGAAAGAAGTAAAAGAATGGCCACCGATAGGGTATTGCTCATCAAAGTGATCAATCTCCTGCAGAAGGTGGGCACACTCGGGACTGTCTCGCCAGCGCTGCGCGAATTCCAAAGGTGTTCGGGGTACTTTGTCCTCAAATCCTGGTCTAACCCTGCGCTCGCTTGGGCTAGTCAATGAAGTCAGAAAGTCAGCAGTGGTTTGACGCGACGGGCACTCAAAGCCCATGTTGACGAAGAAGTCACGAGCCTCGCCAGTAGGGCCAAAGTAGATTTGCTGGCCCTCGTAAAGCACGACGACCTTGTGGAAAACATCATAGGCGCTCTGCGATGCTTGGTAAATAGCAACACAGGCTGTAGTTCCCGCATAGTCACTCATCAAGCGAATATTTTTGCAGAATTCCAGTGCATTTGCACTATCAAGTCCACGAGTACTATTATCCCAGCACTGGAGAGGAGCTCCGCTAAGAATAGCCTCAGCAATACTGACTCGCTTACGCTCACCTCCACTGACACCTCTCACAAAGTCATTACCAACACGGGTGTTGAAAGTGTGTTTGAGTCCCAACATCGCCATAACCACGTCGCGAATATGTTCCACATATTGTTGCCGAGTCAAATTAGGGAAACGCGTACGGGGTGCCCGTGCCTTGGCAGCAAAGGTCAGGGTGTTGCCAACGGTGAGCTGAGGGAAATGTACATCATTTTCAGCGCTGAAAATGGCCTCACCACGGAACTGTCGGTGCATATCTGGGGCCGAGATTCCTATTCATCGTAGGTCTGTTAGCTACTGGTTTCCCATTCATGGATCTCAATTCGCGAAACTTACCTTGGTAATTCATATAACTATCGTCACTGACGTAGATACCATTCATCTCACCGGCAATTGTCTTGAGAAATGTCGAGCAGCCACTGAAAAACCATTAGTTAGAAGACCAATCCGCATCATAGTGAGTTCAGATCTACTCACCTTCCAGGACGACCCAAAACCACCAGCATCTCTCCACTACGAACAAGTCCGTTGAAATTTTGCAGAATCCGGACTTTCTGCTTTCCATTTCCGACCATGTTGCGTACCATGCCGGCAAAAGACAAAACAACATTGAAGACATCTTTCTGATAGTCGGTTGGACTTCCGAAACCATGTACATTGAGGTTCTTGAATGCGATACCGGCCGAACGTTGAAGGAATCGTTCTGGGTCTTGCGACTGAGCCGCAATCAAGGCCCTAATCCAGTCTTTTGCCTTGAAGTTTGGACTATCGGGATGCCAGCTAGCTCCCTTATCATCTTCGAAGAAAGGATTGTTTGTTTGATCCGAGGCAAACTGAGTAGATTGACGAGTAAGTTGGGAGTTACGAGTGAGTTGCCTCACCATCTCCTCAACCTCGTGCTCTAATTCATTTCCACCTTCGGTTGAGACCGATGAGCAGTAGTCTTCCTTCACACCAGCAGCATCTATCGGCTGTTGATGATCCATAGAGGGAGTTCCTCCTGGGGCCGACATGATGTGCAAGAAGTAGACGCTCTATTTTGCTTTTTTTTTTTTTACAAAGTCAAGACCAGGGATAAATCGAATTTCTATTGTGAGAATCCCATAACTCGTAACTAGAGCTGATTAATTAATTAGCTCAGGGCCCAACCAAGATCTTATATATCATCTCCACTTAAACAGAGTACATTGTATGGCATTTCACGTTAATACAACTCAGGATTGACCAGACCCGAATCAGAGATTTGCCCGGAGATTCGGAATCGGTCTTTCCATGATTCAGTAGCTCCTATGAACTACTTGAATTGATAAGATAAAGCCTCTGGGCACCAATTGGATGTCAGCCTGGAGAGCAATAGACCCATGTGGCCCGGCTCCTTTGAGAAACAATCTTGGAAAAAACGGTTTCAGCCACGAGGTGCGCCGGAGGAATAGACGACCCACATGGAACAAATGGCCTTGAAGATCTTGTCAGCCTGACATAGGCGGATGGAATTAATTTCAATCCCTCCGAAATTTACGCTAATGATACCTGCGGCATTACCAACTTCCGGCCGTAAGGTCGCTCGGAAAGGCATAAGTACTTGGAATAGTTCAGGGGTAGGGATTTGAGTCCCCACTTGCTTTGAAATCTACCTAAAGCACAGATCCTTTTTTTCGTTACGGAGCAAAAATCATGATATTGCCGAATTTGCCTCAATATACATCCCCTTTTCGTAACGTTATTCCCGAATTTCATAACAAATTGATTCCAGAAAGTTCGAAATTATCATACACATTAGTAGTACTTTTGTGTCATGCGTTGAAGTCCAACTTAGCATAAGAGCCCAACTCAGAGCACAGGGAAAGCCAATCCATCACCTCTTGGGTCACTGCCAGCACTATGAACAAGCTGTCCTTCATCATAGTGTAAACGAATGATCTGACCCCGGCCGAACATCGCACGGTCCCAACCATTCAGTACCTTGATTTTATGTCCAAGGAGCTGGAGGCCCTCGATAGAGCTCTGGCTGATGCCCTCTTCCACGTATATCGTACCGTCATTTTCCTTTCCATTCGATACGGGTGCAGCAATGCAGATCCGTGGTGAATCAAGAGCAGCCTGGGGGTGGTATCCAAATGCAAGCATATTAAGTAGCACCTGGACATGTCCCTGAGGCTGCATGAAACCACCCATAACACCATATACCGAATGGAGAGAGCCGTCCATATTGGTGATCATTGCGGGGATGATAGTGTGGTATGTACGCTTTCCCGGTGCTAAACAATTCGGGTGATCGGCGTTGAGTGAAAAGTTGGCACCACGGTTCTGTAGGGTAAATCCACAACCGGCTGGGATGATAGCTGTACCAAAACCCTCGTAGTTACTGTTGATAAAGGACATTCCATTACCATCCTTATCGGTGACAGCAAAATAAACCGTATCGCAATGGTTATGGGCAGGACTGCCATGGTCAATAATCTTGGCTGCAGAATCCGATGAGAACAGTTTAGCTCTCTCGGCCAGATAGTCTTTTGCCAGTAGACCCTGTGATGGGACCTTTTCGACGTCAGGATCTGTGACCCACCAGGCGGCATCAGCAAAGGCGATCCGCAAACTTTCGATCACAGCATGAAGATATTCCGCCGAGTTGTGTTCTTCTTGACTGAATTTAGGGATTTTGCCCGTTTTCTCAAGCTCTTCCATAATTCCGAGCGCTATCAAGGCCACGATGCCTTGGCCGTTTGGCGGATGTTCCCAGACTCGAACACCATCTTTGTTAGATTCTGTACTGCGCTGGCCGACAAAATCAAGAAAAATAGCTTCAGTTTCCTGTGTACCAACTTCGGCATGATGAGCAAGGTCCTCAAGACTTAGGTAACCACCTAAATCTTGAATAACTTTCACAATTTGCTGAGCAACTCGGCCTTGATAGAAGCCCTTCTTTCCTTCGGTTGCCAGAGCACGGAAGGTCTTTGATAAAGTGGGGTTTTTCATGATTTCACCTGCAAGTGGGCTTCGAACTCCATCCTTTGCTAAGGGGTCAACCTTGAGCATCTCCCGAAAATTAGGCGATGCCGAACGTATATTGCTCTCAGCATTCTGCCACTATAAATATTGTTAGCATTTAAAGAGTAATATCCATCCTCAACTTTGGAATACTCACACCGTGAGACGATAGTTCTGAGACTACAAACCCTTCTTCACCCATCTCAATGGCAGGTTGAAGGATCTGTTCCAAGGTAAGCTTACCACTTCCAAACTTCTCAACTGTATCGACCCATCCAGCAGCTGCTCCAGGAACAGTTGAAGCTAGAGAGCTAAGCCTTGGTATGCTTCCATCTTCTCCAGTTGCAAGGTTTAGGTCCTTGCGCACCTGTTCTAGAGTAGCTTTGCCAGGGTATCGACCAGATCCATTCAGTGAGTAGACCTTCTGATTCTTAGAGTCATAGTACAGGCAAAACATATCGCCTCCAATACCAGTTGAACCAGGCTCAGTCATATTGAGAGCAGCCGCTAAAGAGAGATAATCAGTTTCGTACTTGGCCGTAGGATCTCTCTCAACCTACCAACAGCAACAGCAGCATCCTAAGTAATTGAGATTAGCAAGAGCTTCGTACGCATTTATAGAAAAAATCAAAATACCGCTGCATTTCCACCTTCACTCAGGATACGATGACCTGCAGCCGCTGCCAAAGGCTGGGTGCACGCAACGATGCCATTCCGACTGTGCACAGTACTCCGTCGACTTGCGAACGGAACATATTCTGCGTTCGGCTTAGAGTAGATATCCTTTGCATTAAGTGTCATTCTGTTAACTTTGGAACGGGTATTCAAAGTTTCTAGCATTGTAGACACGAATTCTAGGAATCTTCGATGATTTATATAAATGAGGAGCTCCTTATCGGATAAGCCGTCGCACAGAGCAGGGAAGGAGACGAAAAGAACAAACATTAGACATATTAGTTCATGAACCGAGATAGTATCCTACTGAATACAACATTGGAGCTTATTTAACGCAACGATACAATAATAGCTGATAACAAACTACTTAGGTAGTAGTTACTCTGAAGATTTAACCAATGATCCGATCTTTTTCAACATAACTGATCAGGCTTCCCTTATGTTGTTGAATTTCTCCTCTTGTACGCCTCCTCTACTTAGATGAGAGAGTATAAAGTGAAATTCAATATTCTTAGTTGAATGGAGATCGTTAATTATAAAGTCAGACTAATTACTAGAACTGTACTTATGCCTATAAGTACAAAGTTATACAGCTTAGTAAAGAAATTATCTGTATGGAGAATAAGCTTATCCTTATCGGCCGAGTTCCCATTCTAAACTTCCCTTCCCGTCAACCAGCCTCTTAATCACAGCGTCGCAGTCATGAATAACGAGGATTTTCGGAGGTTGATTTTCGACTCGTCATCCCAGTCAGGGGATAAACCGAAACGCAATGAAGGAACTCCGACCGCACTCGGATCCAGCCGATCGCGATCGAGCTACACTCCCATGACCCCGTACATCTTTTCCAAAATCCATTTCCTCCAGTCTAGTTGAGTTAACTCTTTTCTAGTCGCTCTACATCTACGATCAATTTCTCGCAGCAGCTAGCACAGCAGCGCGAAGCCAACCGACCCACTAAGCGATTCAAATCTGCCGCGGTGCCAAAGGGTACCAAACTTGCTGCTGGCTACCAAGATCGCGCGCAACTGCGAAATACCGAGGGAGAACAAAAAGATGATATTCAAAAACGAATCCAAGCACTGGAGGAAATGGTGAAGCTAGGTCAGATTGATCAGCCAACATTTGAGAAGCTTCGTGCGGAGCTCGGTGTTGGTGGTGACACCAGCAGCACACATCTGGTTAAGGGCATGGATTGGGAGCTGTTACGGCGAGTCAAAGCTGGCGAGGATGTTTCAAAAGCTGCGCATAAGCCAGCTCCGGAGTCTACGGTAGATGAAGTTGCCGAAGATCCGGACGAGGCATTTGAGCGTTTGATGGATGAGAAGGCCCAGGAAGAGATTCAAGCTTTGCCTAAAGAACAAAGAGAGAAGAAGGGACATATGGCGCCTCCTCCACCGCCCAAGAAGACCCGCGAACAGATTCTGAGTGAGCTCAGAGCTCGTTACGTCGAACCTACAACTGCACCCGCACCGCAGCGCGAGTTGACGCTCGGCTCCAAATTTAAAAAGATAGGCAGTTATCAACCTGAGAAGAAACGTTTCATTGAATCTGACAAAACCGGCCGCCGACGCGAGGTGCTACTAATCACGGACTCCGATGGCAAGACGAAACGTAAGGTGCGGTGGCTGGACCCTGTTGTTGACCCTTCCGAATCTAAATCTGCACTACTCACGCCTGATTTAAATACCAAGCCTCTTAATACAGAGGTTCCTACTAAATCTGCTGCTCTTGAAGCCGCCAATGTCTTGCAAGATGACGATCTGAATAACAATGACGATGATGATGACATTTTTGCCGATGCGGGTACAACCTACAATCCTCTTGCTGGCCTGGGGCAAGAGGAAGATTCTTCATCGGACGAAGAAGACAAAGAAGCCGGTACGGCCGCCAAGAAACAAAAGACGCCTCTCACCACGAAGAAACAAGACAAGGCTCCTGCCACAGACGACCCCCGTGAGGTAATCAAGCCGCGCAATTACTTTGATACTGGCGATTCTTCCACCGCCGAGGAGCCAGAAAAACATTACAACCCTCTCAATGACCCGGTTATCCTCGCCGCATTCAAACGAGCTGCGGCTCTGGAGAAAATTCCGCCCTCCGAAGAAGATAGCATCTCAGCTGAGTCCTCTCTTCGACACAAGAAGTTTCTGGAGGAGGCGAAACGTCAGGAAGCTCTGGATAATGCGGATATGGATTACGGTTTCGGTGGAAGTCGTGTCGAGGATGGCGAAGATGATGATCAACGTTTGTTAGACTTTGATGATAACGGCCCCAAGAAGCGCAAGCGCGGACCGAAAAAGAAGAAGGGCGATAAGAATAGTGCGGCAGATGTATTGGGTGTCCTTGACCGTCGAGCAAAATCCTCTGCATAGTCTTATTTGCGATCTTGCTGATATGCTTGGTACGGCTGATTCTTTCGAAGGACAAAAAAAAGGAACGACCATTACCATGCAGATAATTTCTATAGTTAGCAGAGTGTCGAACTAAAAAATATACTTTTTATGCTTAAGAAAACATGAGATTTAACAAAAGCCCTTCAGAAGATCCCAAACATTGTGATGTTGGTAATAATTTGAAATCCCCTTCTCTATATTTCGACACCTTGTTTTACAGGCAATAAGATGTTTGGATTATGTAAGATATCACAGGACTCAATCAGAGAAATAGAGTGAAATTGATTACTAGTAAGTACATGGATTGTTCCCTTCCATAAAGGGGCTCTTAAGCCATAGACTTTCATCGAAAAATCTGTACGGTCAACACTGAAGTACAGGTTAGTCTAAGATTGGACTTCGGATCCAGAATACCGCTAAAATGAAGCGTAGTTACGAGGTACTACTATCCTTGGCCCTTGACGCGTTCATTCTAACAAAAGATCATCTAGAATGCATTAAAGCTCCTGGAGACACGAAGGCGGAAAGCTAGACCTACAAAGCTCCCAGTATCCATCACTTCTCAGGATATTGCGCCCAGCGGTGCTCCAACCGTCAAGGGGGTATCTAGTTTGTTCGGCATGAAGGAATGGCTGCAAGCCCTAGGACACTCGGTAAGAGCACTTAAAGTTTACGTGTATAGTATTGTAACTGTTGATCTAACCAAGTCACAGGAAAACGATGTCGACAACCTGAACATTATCCATGTTTCTGGGACCAAAGGGAAAGGCAGTACATGCGCTTTTACCCGGTCGTTTCTTCGAACGCATGGACTGAGAACAGGGTTCCCAAAGCGAATTGGACTTTATACTTCTCCTGATTTGCAATGCATCCGAGAAAGGATTCAGATTGATAATCAACCAATTTCGGAAGATCTTTTCACGCGGTACTTCTTTGAAGTGTGGGAAGCCCTTGTATCTTCCGATAAGGGGATTGAAACAACAACAAGACAGCCACGATATTTGCAAATTCTCCTTCTAATGGCTTTTCACTCCTTCATCAAAGAAAATGTCGACGCGGCAATATTCGAGACACACCACGGCGGAGAGTATTGTGCCACGAACGTCATACGTAAGCCTGTTGTGGCTGGAATCACCTCTCTTGGCATGGATCATGTTGCACAACTAGGTCCTACTATCGATGACGTTGCATGGCATAAGGCAGGCATTTTGAAATCTGGAGCACCTGCATTCTCCGTCATACAGGAGGATGGCCCTAATGAAGTTTTACGGAAACGGGCAATTGAAAAAAGCACAGAGTTGACATTTGTCGCACCCTCCAGCACCCTTCCAGCCAACAAAAGAGTGTTAAGTGTTCCAGTACAGCGGCTGAATTGCTCTTTGGCTCTCCAGCTATCTACGAGATTTCTGCAAATCAAGGATCCTGAGCGTCCGCTGAATGACGATGATATCTCCAAGGGCATCGACAGCTTCTCGTGGACAGGTAGATTTGAGACTATAGAAAACGGCAATTCTCAATGGTTCTTAGATGGTGCGCATAACCCTTTGAGCCTTGAGCAGGCCGCAGAATGGTTTTCAAAAAACATCAATGGTGTAAATGCACCAAAGTAAGTTTATCCTCTGTATATATATGTCAACTTTCGATGGTTTAACCGATTTATGATTCAGGTATCGAGTTCTCATCTTCAGCCATTTTTCTGAAGAGCGCGACGGAGTGATTCTTATGGAATGTTTGGCGCATGCGCTGTCAGAGCACAATGCTAAACCTGATCATGTCATCTTTACAACATACCAGGAGAGAGAAGATGGATCTACAAGAATAGGTAAGATTGATAACTGCAGCTTCTGGGATCAACAACTAATCTGATGCTATTTGCCTATCAGACAAAACCCTCAAAGTCCCAGAGACGCCTTTTCCTGACATGTGTGCAATTTATTCTTCTCTTTGGAAGAAAATCCACCCCAATACTGAAGTATCAATTGAGCCGACGATTGAGGGTGCTATAAGCCTTGCGGAAGGCCTTAGTATCAAGCACGGCGGTATGCAGACTTTTGTTACTGGCAGCTTACATTTAGTTGGAGGAGCACTTAACCTACTGCGTCCTTAATCTCAATAACAGCTGAACTGCAGCACTTGAAAAACCCTTTCCCCCTCTATTTCCGTAGATTTGAATTTAATCCTGGAGGGGCGACTCCAAGGTCCACTCTCAATCTCACCACCTTTGTAGTTTGGAGGCTCTTATTAGCACATCAAAGCTCAAAGGTACCTGGATATTTTGTGGCCACTGAACCCCCACTCTTGCACAGATAAGGGAGATTAATGTCTCGAAACAATATCCCGGAATATGATAGGTCACAGCATGACAAGTAGCAGGGTAGCTCGGCTAGTAAGTGAAATGATTGGTACGCTGCAATACGAGATAATGCACAGCCTCTCAAGCAGTAATACACGGCATAAGATTACCCGCCTGGCTAGGTAACTTCTTTCGTCAGCTACACCTGTAACCAAGCATATCCCAACTTTTGAATATGGCCAGGCATAATGGCCTCAAATTCAGACGCGTTCGAGAGCCTACGTGTGGAGATTAATGCTAATATCGTTCGGAAACTGTTGAGACAAGGTGAAGCGACAGCTCAGTTTGCTCCGCGAGGAACTTCCGAAAATGTGCTGCTGTCGTCTCCCACTACTTTGTGGCTATTTTTCGACAGCCTTCAATTGTCTGAGATCCAAATTCCAGACCAGGCGAGCATCACCAAAGCGAATCTGTTTCGAAACATCCACGAAAGAAACCTCTATACTTTCCTAGCTATCCTGATCTTTAGTCATTGCTCTTTCGAGGCAGTGCGAACCTTCACCATTGAACTCCTCGCCAAGGATGAGAATACATGGCGGATGGATGTCTGTGGACTACCGGTGAAACGTAAAATACTACAAAATCTCTTCGGGGAAGAAAACGCGGAGAAATTTTTGCGTCATCAGGCGTGTTTCTGTCCTGTGGTGATCGGGGAACAAGATCTGTTCACTCAAATTGACCTCAAAGAACAAAGACTTCCTTATTTGGAAGAAAAACTCATCATCAAGAAGGAGATCGGGCAAAAGGCAGAGATTTACGCAGTCATCGTTGCCGAAGGCCACTTCCGCTACCGTGATGGGAATACAAATCTGAGTCCCAAGACGATAGCCCGTAAAGACTACGAAGTTAACGAGGAACAAATGGGGCATGAAACTATGAAAAAGATCCTATCAGCCGACAGAAGGAGCGAAAACATCATCAAAATTTTTGGCATACTAGACATTGGTCAAGGAGAGTATAGTTTGTTCATGCCTCTTGCCCTTTGTGACTTGAAAGCGTATATGGAAGACCCTCATGCACAGCGTGTGGAGAAGAGCGACATGATCAACTCTGCCCGGGGAGTTGCAAGAGGACTGGAATTTCTTCATCATGAGATGAAGTCGGATGGCGATGATATCGTCTGCTATCATATGGACCTCAAACCTAAAAACATCTTGATATTCCCAGAGAAAGTGAATGGGAAAGTATATCATGTTTGGAAAATAAGTGATTTTGGAAACTCATGTGTGGTGATCAAAAGCCGCAGGGCAGCAGAAGTTCGCGATGACTCCAAGACATGGTTTGTCCAACGAAGAGCAAGAGAAGAACAAAGCCAACCGGGTCCTTCAACGGTGAAACAGATATCAAGCACATACCTGGGCCCTGAGTCTCTCTTCAAAAACCCAAGTATGAATACAAGTAGCGATGTATGGTCCCTGGGCTGTATAATCAGCGTTGTGTTCACATATATGGAGGAAGGCAGAGAGGGTGTCATTCAATACGCAAATGCCAGAATGAAACGAGGGAGATTCGATCGTTTTTTCCAACGTGATCGAATGTTTCTTTCCCATGCTCCTCACCCGGAGGTCTTAAAATGGCATCATGACTTGATCAAACAAGCAGAACAACGAAGCCGTGCGGAGGGAGAAGCTGTGAAATCGATTCTTAAGTTTGTTGAGGAAAGGGTTCTCCTCCTTGATCAATCAAGACGATGTGATGTCAGGGATATAGTAAGTGAGCTTCTCAAAACTCAAGACATGTATAGGGCCTTGGAAAACCCCCCAAGGACGCCAACTGCATCAGAGGAGACACAATCTTCTTCCAGCGAAAGACCCAAAAAATGGCGAGAAAGGCTTCGAAGATTGCCTAGAGCCGAGCCCGAGAACAAAATACGATGGTCAATCAAAACCAATGAGTACTTTGGAGGCTGCGAAATCTCACCTTTAGGATCCATCATTGCTTTATGGAACGATAAGAAGATATCACTGTACACCTCGGAATATGCACATTCGACAGGGAACGGGATCAACGAAGCAGCCGTGGCGGAACCCTTGGAGTATCTAATTGATATGTCCGGTTGTGTCTGGAAAAGCATAAGTTTGACAGATAAGTATTTGGTCGCTTCGGTCACTTCTGTCACTGCAAGTGGTCCCTCTGTGGTAAGTCAATCGTGAGCTTGAATTTCAACTCAAAACCTTAGCTGATACCCAAGAATTACCAAGGAAATGTGTTATATCTTCAAGCTACACAATTCTCCAGTCTCTTCGATACCTATCAACTTCAGGTTAATACGGCGGGTTTCTATGCCATCCACGGTTATGAAGCTAGTAATCTCATCGGATAACAAAACAATTCTATGCGTTCTGCGAGAGAACTCTGGAAGCTTGGAGAAAAGCTCGCTTTATGAAATTCCTGTCACACAATCTGGCCTTGAATATCGAAAGCTTCGCACAGCAGATTGGCCAGCAAAAGAAGTTACTCAACTTTCTTTCGTTACAAACACAGACGCATACATTATCATTCGCCCAAGATGCGGTAGTGATCCCAGGGTTTACCATTATTCCCTGACAAATAATACTTTAAATGGTTTTGAGCTGCGTTCAGAGGTTAGTTTCTATTATCACTACCAAACAATCGCAATGATTATTCTGACTGCGAGCAATGATAGGGACCCGACTACCGTAGTGATGCAACACTCTTTACCACCTTCGCCCCCTTCTACAGAGCTCCTCATACTTGCACTTTTGTTACTCGTGAGAAAAGGCTGGAGATCGCTAGCTACATATCAGGGCCTCCCGAAAGAATTCATGCAGACATTAATAAATATCGAGTAGGAAAGTTGATGGTTACCCCGGATGATAGGAAGTTTTATGCATTGGGAAAACAGTCCGGGAGAGCTCCGATGATTCTACTGGAGCTGACAATTCCTCGATCCCAAGATGGTGTAGAGAAAGTCAAAGGGAAAGAAATTTCTCAGTTACCAGATTGGGAATACGATGAGGTGACGGCGAAACTGTCATTTTCAAGTGAAGATAATAATCATCGCATCCTGATTGTTAAAAAGGGTAAGAGTGAATATGAAATATTTAGCATTCGCCTTCCAGGGCCAAATACGTAGGCAATCAAGCCTCATAATCTTGCCGGTCATTAATTCCCCCTGTGAACCTTCTTAGCGGACGTTTGAAAGCCTGGAACCATACTCCTTCAGAATGCTGGCACTTTTCTCCCCTCTTGGTAGAACTTCTCAAAGCCTGAAGGAACCCTTCTGAGCTTTTAATTAGCTTGAAGATAACCGAGCCCTCACTGCGACGCAGCCAGTAATACATTAGGAATGTAACCACTGTCAGTAAGGTTGCAGAAAGGAAGAATATCCAGATCATAGGCGTTGCAACAATGCGATTATTGTCCTTGTCCATACCAAAAAAGTTCATTCCAAAAATGGTCTGTGATAAGATAAAATCCAGTTAGTTATGAGACAATGATCTTGATAGACGAAATTCATACTAACAGCCAAGAATGAAGACGGAAGATAAAACAGTGTAAAGGCCGTGAGAATAAAAGCCGATTTGTTCAACTGAAATATTTGCTGATTTTGTTCCTTAGTCAGGATCTGGTCTCGAAGCAGTAACGTATCAGCCAAAAGTCCGGCAACAGATTGCACACGCTGTTGAAGTTGTGAGGCGGTACGAGAGTAGGATACACAGCGACGGCGCTGATTCTTGAAAGCCTCGCAGCTAGTGTGGCTGGATTCTAGGTGCGGCATGGAGCTCAACAGTGAATCAAGCTCGTCTAGAGCATCTTTTGCCGCCTCCAGCATCGTTGGGATCTGGAGAAACCGACCTTCGGTCCGTTTCAAGCTGCTTAGAGCATCGTATCCCAAATTCAGAGACTCGTTGATGAATGTTGCAAATGCCTCATTAGCGGGATCCAAGAATCGACGCTCCAATGACACTATATACCCCCTCCATTCTGGAAAATAGATTGAAAATAGTAGCCGATGAAGCCAGAAATGATCAGTTCCTATTTTCGTCTCGAAATTTTGGAGCCACTCTCTAGCTTCACAATGTGCCCGGGAGTTGGGAGTTGGGCTGAACAAGATGAATAACGACTGAAATGTTTTCGTGTTATATCGGTGATAGACTCCGCTTTGTCGAATCACCCATTTGGATTTATTAGCATCCTTGCACTCAGGATATCGTAGTGTATATGACATCTCTAATCACCTGTAAGTTATCGACGAAGATATGACACTTGGGCATGTGAATAGAAGTCTTACCTATGACAGAACCAGAACGAATCTCTGTATATGGCAGGAAACTGGTTTCCTCAATTTCTGGATCCTCTTGCCAGAAGAATGAGGGCAATTCCCAAAATGACGAATTGATATCATGTTTAGCTACTATGTGACCCAACACTGAATTGGTAACTTGTAATGGGCCCCATGAGGTCTTCGCACAGATCGATCTAGAGTGTATCAGTGATGACCAGGGGTCGAGACCTTGAAGCTAGTTGTGTGACTAACATGAAACGGCATCTGTAATTTTCATTGTCATTTTTATCAAAATACGCACTGAGCTCTTCTAGAGTAAAGATATTTGACGGGTGGGAAGCTGACGCATCTTGGCCGACATCCATTAATTGGACAGGTTTCGTTGGATTTTCATCACAGTAATTAGAAAACGCCATGGCTCTAATCCAGGCACAGATTATAATCTTGGAATAACTAAAACTAAATAGTCGGGCTGGGTCTTAAATTGTATATTCCGTACGTCAACCCTGAGGCGTATCGCCTATTCAATCTCTTCGCGCCCTGCAGTGCTCAGCCTCAAGTACCCGCATTATCATTCGTATCCCGAGCATCCCTACCATAAATTGTCAGCTTGAGGAGGTCAGCTAGGTGCATCGCCTCTTCCGGTTCTTACAAAAGTTCGGCCTATGGTGTTTCAAGTGATTAGTTACAAGGATCCCTTTGCTACAGGTAAGAAGTGACCTCTGCTTACAGCCTCCACAATTCTTGGAGCGTCGAAGATCCACCGGTCCTCTCTCATCTATGGCAGTCAGCCTTGTGCCCAGCAGATGAAGTGGGATTTGATTACCCGAATATTGAATTCTGTACATCCAGGAAACAGACTCTCTAATTTTTCCTGGAGTTTCTCTTCACTCAGATACCTCTCTGACGTATTCTGGCGGACTTGCTCTTGGGCCGGCATTTCTGATTATGAAGACCTGGAGGGAAGTTTAAGAACCTAAGTTATAACGAACAGGGAGAGAACTTTAGAGGTTAAAAAGTGACTGATACTTCCTGATAACATACCACTTTATCAAGCCCAGTGTCTGCCAATGCCACGTCACCCTCGTGATTACGATGTAAGTACTTGCAGGGGTTTGTTTTACTTGGTGCCGAGGTTTCAAGGTAGGGCTGTGGCTGAGTGGCGCAGTCACCCTTCGTATGCGGTATTTACCTGGATTAACCGAGATAACGACGTGGCACCAGTTGTGATTCTCTTGTTCAGCCTCAATCTCGGCTTGGTTGTCCAAGATTTCAGATCAGTCCTTCACCCGGGCAGTGTGGATAACTTTCCAGGATTTGAAGCATTGCAATTGGATCGCTTGCATGAATCATAGCAGGAATCACAGCAGTATCATTTAAGATGCCGGGGTTTTTTCTAAATCGGGAGTTGCGAACCTTCATTATCGTCTATGTGGATACATAATGTTGCCTGCATTTTAATTTGAACTAATGACTAGGTACATATATTTCGCTATTGGCTCCGTACCCTTCTACTCTGCTGCACTTTCGTCTTTACAATAGATATCATTTATATTTTACAAAAGAGATTTCTACACGTGTCGACTGGAGAATTTATTCGAACATGACACTGTCCTCGGGTTCGGGTGTTATTTCCGAGGAAGAAATTCAGTCAACTCAATCAGAAGAACATTACCAGAACCAAATACCCTTAGTCATGTTGAAAGAGGCTTCCAGTGAGGCCAAAGGTCCATTAATCTCAGAGCAAGGCGCCTCTACTGCACCTCTATACTCCCAAAGTATAGAGTCAGAACCTGAAGTTGGAGAGATTCAAGTTTTGTACATTCCACAGCCGCCAAACAGGACTGTTAGCAGAAGTTTGAGCGGGCTACAGATATTTGTATGTTGATTTCCAATGCTTCAATGCACTCGTAAACTCTTTCTGAAAAGGAGTCGAGTGAGTACCTATATCTCCATGGGTAGCATGAGTATACTTCCCTGAGTTCTTCAGGTGACACTGGCTATATACTAGGTTCTACAGCTGACTTAAATGATCCAGATGATAACAGTCAATACAACACTTGGCACAGGCCTTTATTGGCGTGGTGGCCAAATACTGGGGTTAGGCGGGCCCTTAGCGGTTCTATTGTCCTTTCTCATTGTTGGCTTACTATCTTGGGCCATTATGCAATGCATTTCAGAGATGGCATGTATGTGGCCTGTGCCCGGTGCAATGTCATTGTATGTCGCTAAATTTATTGATCCGGATCTGGGAACAATCGTTGGCGCTGCATACTGGTAAGTTATTAACTGAACCCCGAAGGTCCACCTGAGCAATCAGATGAGTGAATTAAGGGAAGATGCTGACATCCCATACCTAGGTTTACATACACAGTGGGATTTCCTACACTTATAGCCACCTCAGCTGCCGAGTTTAACTTCTGGGATGGGCTAAAAGACAATAAAGCTTTTCATGGGGCAGTTGTATACTGCCTGATCCCGATTACGATTGTTGGTATCAATGCATTCAGGGTTGAGGTAACTTCCAAGACCAATACCAGTTAATCTTATCATTTTATATCTGGTGACTGATTTTTTTCAAGATATACGGCTGGATTGAGGTGGTATCGGGCTTTTTAAAGATTGCTTTCCTCTTCGTGATTATTAGCGCTCTAATTGCGATCAATTCTGGAGGTGAGCGATGAGTGCTTCCCAAGGTCCCTATCATTTTTTGCAGTGAGCTAAAATTTAATTTTATAGTTGGGCCAAACAATCATCCTATTGGTACTCAGTGTAAGTGGTATCTTGTCCCTGCTATCTTAATTTGTCAGCTCTGAAACGTTTAGATTGGGATAAACCCACACATTTTGACCACTCTGCCGCTGATAACTGGTTCACTGCTCTATTGTAAGTAACTGTGGATGCTGATACGAGTAAAATCTTACATGCCTTGCTGACAATGACTTAGAATGAGCATATCAATAGCGACATTCGCCTTCGTTGGCATTGAGGTTGCTGCAGCATCTTCCCTGGAGGCAAAATGGCCAAAGAGATCTTCAGAATCAGAAAATCCAGAAGTGGGCGAAACCCTCACAGACGAAGTCCCTGGGCGTACTATTAAAAATTCAGCTGTCTACACCTCATTTTGGGCTACTCTGATGTACTCTTTAAGCGGGGTGCTTGAAACTTTTGACATCTCGTCCGAAGATTGTCAGCTTCCTAGAGTCAGTTGGCTTGAGGAATCCGATAAAAGAGTTTGCAAGGGGTCTGTAAGCCAAGCTGCATTTGTCACGATCGCTAAAGTTTCCAAAATTCCATACTTGGCAGATGTTTTCAACATATTCCTTATATTCACTTGCCTTACTTGTGCCAGTACGAATCTATTTGTTGCTTCTCGAACTCTATTCGGTCTCACTACTCGATTAGATGGCAGCAGAGACCAACCACGGTACATGCGCTTTTTTGCATGGTTTGGAAAGACTGATCGCCGCCAGGTTCCCTTACGAGCCGTGATAGGTTCTGCGATTTTTCTTTCGTGGGTCCCCTTCTTGCAGCTTATCGGAGGTGGTGAAAACACTTATTCACCAATAAATACGGTAGATCTGCCAAACAAATTTATCAGTGGCTACCTTGAAGCTAACATATGCCTGCCTAGTTTATCGACGTACTGGGAAGTATGTGTTCTTGTGGTGTTTTAATTGTATGGGCTTGCGAGTGCCTAGCATTCATTCGCTTCCATTACTGGTAAGTTCGTGGGATATTTCTCGAGCAGCTTAGAGATACTAATATTTGCAGCGTTTCCAAGCACCGTGATGAGATACTGGATGAAAGGATTGTATACTTCCCTCGCAGCTCGAACTATTATCCTTACCGCAGCCATTTCCAGCCATGGCTGGCTTATATTGCCTTGATTGGCTGTCTTTTCCTATTACTTGTCGCCAATGGAGCCGCCTTATGGAACGGGTTCCATCTTATACCTTTTCTCTCATCATACTTTACCGTAAGAATCCTGCACTGAGACTAACTAACAGAAACTTTTAGAACGCTGACAATTTATGCTAGGTACTCGTGTTTGTTGGGTCATGGGTTTGTTTGAAGCTGATTAGAGGCTCTAGGTGGTCTTACGTTGATCTATCAGATCCTCAGAGAGTTAAGACTATACTGCAAAACCTACATTATCTTGCAAGAGAAGCACGGTCTTGATACCTGCGAACTACTTGAATTCTCTTGAACACGTGTATTATAGATATACCTAAACATCATTGAGTATTAATGGATGGATGTAATTCAGATTCAACTCTAAATAAATACTAGAATGAGAGTAGTTACTGGCACTACTTGAGTCTATCAGTTAGGTAGGTGGTTTCGAGGCTACTTACTACTTAGGCTAGCAGCAGCACTGCAGCAGCCAGTGATGAGTAGTTAATATGGATGTGAGTATGATCAATAACTAGGTAGTAAATTTCCTTTCCCAGCTCTTGGCTTTCCCCTTCTGAGGAGCTGAATAAGCCACCTCAATATAATGCGACACGCTAGCTTCATTACCCTGGCATCTATTACCCAATAAACCTATGGAGCTCTTCCAATCCAATGTTGAACTAATTTTCTGATTATAAAATATATATATTTGATACCTAGGTATATTTGGTAATCTTTCTACATTCAAATCAATCTGGAGCTTACAGTTCATGTTTTCGGTTGAAAAAAAAAACATTGTGGAGTTCAACTTGGAAGATGTCTCAAGAAGGCGCTTGTTCATAGAAGGCGTCGATTTTTAACAAAACTCCACCTTTTGATGTTCTCCCACTCACAACATACCGGTATCAGAAATTAAAGGTCTATTGTGAATAATTTCTGATCGAAATGCCAGCCTCAAGTCCTTTCGATATAACGGTTGATGATTCAGTGACACTGACCCAGATTCTGACAAAAATTGATTCTTCAAACGTGACGTTATCAGCCACTCCTGGCGCGGGAGAGACGCAGATTGCAAACTATTTGGAAGAATGGCTGGATTATCGTGGGATTGAAAAGCACCGAATTGAGACTGTGGCCGGCCGGCCATCAATAGTAGGTGTTATCCGAGGTTCCGGTGGTGGAAAGTCACTCATGCTGAATGGTCATATCGACACCGTCAGTTTGAATAGCTACGAACACGAGCCTTTATCCGGCCATGCATTTGATAAGGGTGGTCACAATGCTATCTTTGGCAGAGGTGCCTTGGACATGAAGTCAGGTCTTGCCGCAGAAATGGCAGCTCTTGCCTCTATCAAAGCCCGCGAAGCCCCGCTGCGGGGAGATGTCATTTTCGCTGCTGTCTCGGATGAAGAAGATAAATCTCAAGGCACCCAGGATCTGATCGCCGCTGGCTGGCGTGCAGATGGTGCTGTAATTCCGGAGCCTACCAATCGGGTTCTGATCACTGCTCATAAGGGCTTTATATGGGTCGAGGTAGATATTCTAGGCACTGCGGCTCATGGCTCAGACCCGACCTCTGGAATTGATTCGATCCTCCAAACTGGCTGGCTGCTCACTGCACTGGAAGAATATCAATATCATCTACCAGTTGATGAAGTTGTCGGTTCTTCGTCTCTACACTGTGGTCTAATTCATGGAGGAGAAGAACCGTCTTCATACCCAGCAAAATGTACCGTGACGATTGAATTCAGAACTATCCCGTTGCAGACGGATACCTTCATTTTACAGGAGCTCAAGACTATCTTGGACAATATTTCCAAACATCGACCTACTTTCAGGTACTCTGAGCCTCGGATCACGTTGTCGCGACCGTCGCACAAATTGCCTGTTGAGCACCCTTTGGTCCAACAGACCGCTGCCATTGCTACTGATGTCTACGGGTACCGTCCGTCCATCGAGAGTATGGCCATATGGTGTGATGCCGCTCTTCTAGGTGCAGTAGGTATTCCGACCATCGTTATTGGCCAGGCTGGTCAGGTCAGGGATTGCACGCAAAGGAGGAATGGGTTGAGGTAGAAAGCATTAGAGAGACAGAGGAAATCTTTGTTCGACTGATTGCCGAATGGTGTAAATAATTTACAGTTCTCGTTTCGCTCCAAAGTACATTGAAATTAAACTATTGAATGACTTCAAATGAGAGCTGTCTAATGAGGGAAAATTACCTTGTAGTTAGGTAGCTCACAATTTGTTGGACAGTCAGCCACCTGGGCAGAGTTGATTCATGAACCAGCCGAATATATACATGAAGCACTTGTGGTATATTGATTTTCTGATCTAATAATCAAATTTCATCATCTCAATTTCTCGACCGCGCAATCTCTTCAGATCGCTCAAAAAGACCGAATCTATTCTTAACGGCCCTTACATCTTGTCTCCTGAAGCTTCCCTTTTCGACATCAAGTCTATCTCCCCTCTTTACATTTCTTATCAATTCCTGAAAGCGAGTGTTCTGCAGTGTAATTAATATAAGCCTTTGATTCTTGATTCGATAGAGATTATTTCAATCCCTATCCCAATCTTCAACCCCCCTCTTCATTATGACTACTACTGGTACCGGTGCTACGCTGGGCTCATCCAGTAGCTTCACAACTTGTATCTCATTACGATGGATCCCCAAGCCTCCGGAGGAGACGATTTAACTGTTGTTCTATCTGTTAGAGAATGGCTTTTAGACCTGCGAATGGACAAGAAAACCAGTGAGATCGACTGGGCAATGGCTGGTACAAGGGTCGATGACAACCCAAAAGAAACATCAAAAACATCAAAAAATCCTGTTTACGCGCTAAAAGGCTCATTTTACATGTTAAAAACAATATAAACATTCACCTAAGATGAAAAACATTCACCCTGCACCCTGTGACTTGGTTCCTTTTTGTACTTAATCCCACTGTCTCCCTTCTCTCTTCTCTCTAGAAACACTTTGTTATCCCACTCCGCTATAAAGGTGACAAATTCATCTAAGAATACCTCGGATGCACCAGACCCTAATTGTCACGGATCTAAGTAGGACTTTCCTATTTGAGGGGGCGCTCAGACTTAGTGAGTAGCTTAGTGCCAATCAAATTATAGATTAGTAAGTTTACTGAGTACTCAGAGAATGCACTAATAGCTATAAAGAGGGTGAGATCGGGATGAAACTAAGCTAATGCACGATCTCAGCACTAGCCCTCGCTATTTGAATACCATTGGATAATAATCCCCGGGGCCCCCTTGAGAACAACATTCCCTGCAGATACCAGGGTACATAGTAGATACTGTCTTAAGTAGGTTGTAGCTTTGTATGGCGCAAATCGCGTTGGAACATAAATTGGTGATTCGCAAGCCTATATATTACATGGGATGAAATAGCCTACTTTGTATTTAATCTTCGGAAAACCTTCCTGTTTTCTCTACTTCTAACTATTTCAATGGAGATCTAAACAAATTTCACCATATTTGCACCTCCAGCGTATAATATCAACTATTCAATATGCCCAATCAAATATCCATCTCAGTCATCATTCCCTTTGCTGCGGGTAGCCGAATTAGATCATGCATCCGACAACGTCTAACCCTGCTCGTTGTTGTAGATCCCAGGCTAAGCCGCGATATGAGTTTGAGCTGGGAAGTGAAAGTCCTGAGGCTGAGTGGGAGTCTGGTACTGCGTCGGAAACTCGGTAGTATACTGATTGTCACGCTGGTACAGTGTTCCGTTCTTCTGGGATTTTACCCTGTTCCGATTCTGGTATTGGGAGCAGTGATAGGACGGATCAGTATCATTCGAGGCAAAGGAGTCCTCACGAGCCTCCCACTCATTGTAATCCTGGCCGGGATTTATCTTCTCCCAGCGGACCATACGGAGTGCATGATAGAACCCACATGCGAGGAGCGAACCGAGAAGAGGACCGACCCAGTAGATCCAATGATATCCCGGGAAGCTGCGGTTGATAACATCGGGTCCTAGGGAGCGGGCCGGATTGAGGGAGCCTCCGGTATAATAATTGCCTAGCAGGAACATATTAAGTCTGACTAATATATTAGGTCAAAAAGAAACTTCTTACCAACGAGTTCGCAGAGGAAGAAAGCAAGACCGATACCCACGGGTGCAAGGTAGGTGGACTTGTGCTTCACGACTGCTAGCATGATAATAACAATTACCAGCTGTGCAGTCAAAAACATCTCAATGAAGAGACCTTGGACGATAGAAGCACCACCGCCAAGTCTACTTGTGTAGTTAGGCGGACCTGGGAATAAAACGCTGACCATACCAGCAGCAGCAATACCGGCTATCAATTGGGCAGGGAAGACCATCAGGCCTCGGAGAACGGGCATACCACCAGTTAGGCAGAGAGCGAGGGTTACCTAGTATAGTCAGTAGAGAAACTAAGAGATATTCGTCAAATATAGCTGTCATGCCAAATACAGGGCTTTTTGGAGTATATCTTTGTAGAGGCCAAACGACGGGTCCAGAGAACCCGAACTTAGATGGAAATAAGAAAGGGTGTCTTACAACTGGGTTAAAGAGCCCACCAGTCACACGGAAGAAAGCCCAGCCATTGACTGTGAGGGAGAAGCCGAAACACAGAGATGAGTACAGCAGGTTAGATGTGTTCGGGTTTGAACCGTCAGCCGGCACAGGAGTGTTTGCAACTTGAGCACCGGCAAAAGAGAAAAAGAGGAACATAAAGGTGCCAACAAACTCTCCAATCAAGCAGAGAACATTATTGTGCATCGTTTTTGGGGAGCCTATCATAGGCATCTGGGCCCGGCCAGCATTGGGTGTTCCAGATTCCATGTTAGAGGCATTTAGATGCTCCTGAGAGGCCTGGTGCTTATTTTCAAAGGCCATATCGTCGAAGTCAATGTTTATTCAGTCTATTTGTCTTGAGTGGAGAGGAAAGATGATCTGAGAAAACAGGTCAAGATCTCAGTTTATATAAAAGCTATCGAGAGAGTTTCCTGCTTCAGACCCAACGCAATTCTGTTCTGCCTAGGCCACTCGCAGACGTCACAGTACGCCTATGCTCCAGCTTTTCTCGAACTTCGATCTGTATATGATGATATAGGAACTCTCAAGTTATTTTCCTGGTTTTGGCTGAGGCAATTTTTCCCCATGAGCGATTCTTAGGCGTCATTGTAGATCTATGCCTCAGCTTATCTCGATCTGCATATATTCACATAGATCTATGAAGCCATTTTCCTGTTTCAGTGGAGGCAGTTGATTCCCATTAGGCTGCTCGCAGACGCCACTGTAGGTCTATGCTTCAGCTTCCCTTCATCCTCGATCTGTGTATGTTCATATAGGAAATATCAGACTATTTTCCTGTTTTTGACACGGGCAATTAAAGCAGTAGACTCCGCTTAGACCACTCACAGACGTCACTGTAGGTCTATGCCTCAGCTCTTCTCGATCCTCTAGCATCGATCGATCATCGCCGTCATAGAATGCAGAGAATGATTCAACAAATGCTGATTCTGCATTTGGGACAGCTGCGATTATTATCATTCGGAATGGAACCCTGATTCTTGGGGTGTTGGACAAGCCTCTATCTAGTGGGGAGCTTACTACAGCTTCCGTCATTCAATAATGGGTATCTAGGGCTGATATCGCCCTTGAGAGAAATATCGTTGACAGCAATGCTCTAGTGGAATTAGATACTGTGGTCAAAAAGGCAAAGGAGATTTCATGCAAGTCACATCAATAATCGTCACAATTTAGGCACATCAGTGTAGTCATTTGGATTTTTTAAAACGTCCTCCATCTAGTACGTTGTTTCGAATTCAGCCACCACTGTCAGCACATATTTCCCCTGTGACTAGCCTCTAAGCCTGGAACGTGTTATACCACCCTGAAAGAATGCCACTTATGTCAGGAAGAAAATTTGCACTTGATCAACCCCAAAAGCTCCTTTCAATATCGCATCGGATCAGTTTATTACCGTTGATAACCGAAACAACGATTGTACAGCTATTCTTTCGGGCACGGATTCTCACCCAAACTCCAACCTATGTGCAGTGTGTCAACGTGAGCTTTTTATCAATAATCGCGAATTTATGACCAAGAACTTTTCCCTGGCATTTGATAGTATTCTTTCATGGAAATTATATGGACCATGGTAGTTCTAGAACACTGCAAGCGTTCATATCAGGCCAAAACCTCCAAACAATCATTGATGCAGAAGATCACCCAGATGATGGGCCAGTCATGAAAGAAGATAAGTATTTCGATATCATCGGCTTTGATCCTCATGGTCAATCTCTACGGCCGCACTGCTAGATTTACTCCTGCAAATTGTTTGACTAGCAGCGCCAGATATTGCCGGCCAGAGTCCGGGATAGCTCTAATTCTAGCCGCGCTGAGGTACTTAGAAGTATCCACGGATTAGATTTGATTCTGCAAGTATAAAACACTGGCGCTGCAATCTTTGAAATTTCCAAGGCTCTCCATATTACTATGGTGGCTTCCAATTTCCAAGATTGTTTTTTAAATTGATAGATAGTTTCATGGTCTGAGGCAGGGGTCATTGCACGCTAGAAATAGACTAATAGTTTTCTCGATTTAAATACTAGTATATGTATAAGCTCTCGTGGTATACGATGGCCGGTGATCTGAATCTATAGTATCCTGCTGTGACTGGCATGTCAGCAGCTATTATTGGTTCTAACATAGAGTTTTCGGCCCTTTACCTAGCCGTCCTCCACATGGCGTGGTTATCAACGGGTAGATAATCTACCACGGTGCATGGATGCCCTATAAAGCACCTCATGATTGCCTCTTCTTGCTCTAAAGGAAAATAACTGAACAAATTTAAAATTCAACCTGGAAAGAATAAATCATCATTATCATCTTACTCCTGTGTAACCAAAATACAAACAAGATATCTGCATGAAAGAGGGGTATGCATGATTAATGCAGCATTCAGAGGTAAGGAGGTCGGTGTTGTAGCATCATGGGTAATACAGGAAATAGACATGATAACGGGAACGGGAGCGGGCGGAACAGGGTGACTATTATCCGATCCTGAAGAAGGTTAATCTCGGCTGCAAGAAATATTTGTATTTCAGTTTACATCAACCACTATTAGGAACAGTCCTTATCTCTATTATAACGTAGCTGGTTATGACAGTGATTAATCCACGAAGCAATAGAAACTGGGGATGATGTTGAACAATTTGAGAGTAAAAAAATGTTGGAAACAAAGGAATATTAGGCGCCCGAGTACCCCGAGGTCAATCTACTATCCGTCTTGGTTATGCATTGCATAACGTATGAGTTGCTTGGTCCACTAAGATTTTGCCATAATGACTTTTCTGAATAAGACCCACATCAACTAGCATCATTGGTCTAGTGGTAGAATTCGTCGTTGCCATCGACGAGGCCCGTGTTCGATTCACGGATGATGCATTTCTTTTTTGCTGAAATCTCGGGTAAGTTGCGCCACCTAGCGATCGGGGAATATCCCCAGCAAATCAGTTTGTCCTGCTGCCGTTTTTTCAACAATTAAAGATCGATCGATGGGTGTTAGCTCGAGATGCTTTACGAGGTCTCAGTTGAAAAATATCTTTTTATAGATAATTCTACATACTTGGGAGATGCTATGTAGTGATTATTTTGAGCTTGCTTCGCCTATCTATATAAAAGTAATTGAGTCTTTGGTCAGACCAAAAAGGGCTGAAATGTTACTACGACGTAGGCATAGAATCCAATAGGTGGATCTCTGTTGAGCACCCCATCGTGGGTTTAGGTTAGGTTGGGTCGAAAAACCCATGGGGTATGTACAGGTCTGTGCAATATCAAAGAGCAAGGAAGCTCTCGTGAACAAGATTTTGTTTAGTATCGATCAAGGCCTTGTGATTTGAGTCAATTGTCTCGATACAAACCACCTGCACAGCATATCAACCTGGCTTTATAGAACGCGTATGAGGACGAGGAAACGTACCTTCTTGCTACATATAGTAGTTCACACTCACCTCTATATCGATTATGGGATCTAACCACTGATACTCCCAGGCTTATAAGGTTGATATCGTATATATAGGGAAATGTATTAGATAAGATTACCTAGAATTACTAATATTGGTATGACTATAGCCTAAAATGATCGTTTTGAAGGGATGTTTCTCATGAGGAGAAACTGTATTTGAATAAATTAAGTTGCTAACAAGATATCTACCTGAAGATGCTGACATTCAATACGATTGATTGCGCTAAGTAGGGTATATAGTGGAGTCATTTGCACATGTTATAAGAGCTAGTCGATGCCGTAAAGATATTGGCTCCGTATAAATCGTTAACCCCTTGCCCTACAATCTTCTTTAGTGAGGAATTCAGCGCTTATTTAAACCGCCGCGAGATAAGAAGCTGAAGACCTCGTCGGCCTAGATGTATCTTATGGTTTTATGGTTCCAACCCGGCTGTTTAGGGCAATATTCTCATTCACCGGTAGTTCACGCCCTGGTAAAAGTCTTCTCCTCGCATCAACTGGCGGTTCATGCCCCGAGCCAATCCTTTTTGAGATACGGTGATCCCAGGGACCATACTTTTCCTCTTTTTATCCTCCCAAACTGGACACTAAACCATTGAGATGCCTTTCCATTGGTGCTGTTATCGAGAATATCATTGTTGACCTCGAGATATTCAATCATCATGCTTATCCAAACTGCTAGATAGTCCCCCCATCCTGATTCCATTTTCAAAAAATCATGATCAATGATATATGCCTGAGCAAAACTCTCAACCAGTGCTTCCTCAAGAGGATAGTGTATGTTCTTGAATATGTCATATTTTTCCATCAACTGGAAGTCTCGCGAAAGAATTTGGTGCTACAACACACAACAGCCCTGCTTCTGGATGGCCGTCAGGAAATTTGAATGATGTAGTTGACTGGTCAAGGAACACATATTGGTTAAGCCACCGTTTCAACCCTTCAGGTCGGTCTTTTAATTTTTAATGGGGCAGGGGGTGTCCGATCAGGAGTTATTGGTAGAAGCCCGGAATCCTTTAGCTTTTCACACGCTGTCGCGTAATTTTCGTCAGCGACAACTACCATGGCCATCTTTATTATCCTCATAGTTATTAGCGATAAATTGTAAACGAGGGAGAAGGGTACTTACACCTATAACAGTTGGAACACCAAGATAGCGCATCGCAAGCTGTCCCCATGGATACCATTTCATCGGCGCAAGCCTCTGGTCGATATGAAGATGAAGCGATCGGGTTCAGTTTCTCGTGGGTATCTGAACATTTTGTAGATAGGTGACTGAAATTAGGAATCTTCGAGAAAGTGAAGTGCTATTTAGATGTTAGTTAGCTCCACCAATGACCGCCTGCCAGTGCTGACATAATTTGGCCTGCTGTTTTAAAATGAAACATCTTTAAACGTCATAACTCATAAGTTAATTGCAATATTAATCTCGTTTTCAGCACAGAGTACTTCTTCCCTAGTTACAGTGGCATACAATGAGTCACTGAATTACTGACTAAGTAACTGTTAAATATGAGCTGATGAGACGGGACCTGGACGTCGTAGAATCCATTTCACAATTTAGGGAGGGATACTACGTCTCCATGCGAAGATGCACTTATCTGGATTTTAATCTTTATGGGTCTAGATCCTTTCAAGGAACATATCGCTGTCCTATTTGGTTATTATCCTTAATGCTGATGGGTGGCCATGACAAAACTTATGCAAGACTTCCAAGTTATAGCCAAGAATTATGAAAGAGATGTTCACCGATGTTGACGATACAATCAGGCTCCCCAAGAAATTCAATCAATTAGTTGGCGCCAAAAGCACCCGGACATTTGATCAAGGCCTTGAGTTCGTCGGCAAGTTCCGGTTTCTTGCCCAGAAGGTTACTCAACGCTTGCTTTAGATTGTCGTCCCCGCTAAAGTCAAGCTCACTTGCTCCAGTCTTGCAAAGTCCCATCATGCTCTTAACATCCTTGACATCTCTTCTTTTCTTGCCGCTTCCCTGTCGCTGGAATTGCGAGAGAATCTTCTCTCGCAGGATCCACTGTGGACCAAACATCTTGACGCCTTGTTTGTTTATTTTAACAACCTTGCGTGTGGCTGAGCGCAAGTTGTACTGAGGGTGCCGGGGCCATGATTCTTCTTCTTATTCTTCTTCTCAGCCGGTGGACCCTTCCGAACATATAAAATTTCACCTCTATGACAGGGCTTAAGGTCGTAGATTATTAGATTTCCCAATATAGATCACCACGATGAACGATAATCAAAGTCAAGACTCGCATTAGTACTAATACAGACTAATGTAAAGCCTAATTAATAGGGTTGTTTGATTAGTTTGAATATAAATCAACTTGTATCTAGTTTTTATTTCCAATCAGTTTCGAGAACTGGTTTTGAACTCACATCCTCAAAACTTATACACTGATCTAGTTTCCCATCAGATCAAGGACGCATAGTACATCCTAGCCAGCTGAGGAGCTGTAAATCTTGAGCTAGTTCTACTAGGAGCTGTTAATTGTGAGCAAAGAGGAGTTGGAGGCATCATATTGATCGGGTAATCTACGACTATATTGGTCCGAGCAACCAGAAGAGCACTTTAGATCACTTAGTTACATTTAGAATGACCAGAACTTTTGCACTTTCGTACACCTATAAAATCATGGATAGTTCCATATACATAGTAAGATTACGTCAATTAATTCCGCCCGAAAGAAGCTAAGGCTGAGTGATGAAGACCAGATTTCACTAATGGGAATTGTTAGCGGGTTGTACCCGCAGTGGTTTGGGGAAGAGAGAGGGGGAAGGGAGATAAGGAATTGGTGAGGGTTCTCCAAGGTTTACTGCAGTAACCTAAAGAGTTGGCTGGTACGGTTCGGGAAGCGGCCGAGAGCCTCAATTCTCAACCCTTGGAATTGGTGTCAGTGCTATTCCCAAATGGGACATTTAGAACTTCCAACCATAAACTAACCCTCAAATGTAAGTTAATAGAGGTTCTATGCCAAAAAAGGATTAGTTCTCTAGTTGTCCATGTAGTGAAATGGTCCAACTTGTGTGCCCATTTTGGTGTCTCCTTTCTTCCATATCATCGCTTTCCATCTTCCCATTTTCCAATCATCATTGCCACTCAAAAGCCATCACTATAAAGTTTTCAGTGCCTTATCAGTACGCCATGCTCTCCAAAGCATGTGGCATTTTTGGCCTTTCTCTTGCTCTGGCTGCCCTGGCTCAGGGAATTGCAGTTCCTGTCAACACTGAGGAGTTGTTCGGAAAAAGCCCGGTAGACCATCTCAGCCCTACTCTCCCTAAGGATCCTGCTCTGGGTCTTGTGTGTGTGAATAATACAGGTTGCTACTGGGGCCATATCTGCGTCGAAGGCGCGTGTATCAAGGCTTGCAATGTTGACATGGACTGCCATCACACACAGCGCTGCAACCATACCAAGGGCAATGGCAAGACTGGCAAGTGTTGGTGGAAGTACAATTCTCTTCATAAAGGCCAGGAGTGCCGAGCATTTGGTGACAAATGCTGGCAAAATAAGCAATGCTGCTCGGGCACTTGCGATAAGTGGGTTGGTCATTGCAAGAAACAGAGGATGCGTTTGCAATCTGACTTCAACTCTACTGAGCCTATGGGTGATGATGATTCTACTAGCTAGAACCAATTAGTGTTGTGTTTTTTTAGGGAATGTCTTGCTCTTGTTATTTCCCATCGATTCTCACCCTGGGTCCGCAGGTCTATAGCTAGTTCAAAAAATTGCGTTCTACGTCAATAGATCAAACTCTTTTTTCAATGTAGGTTAATTTTGACCTCTCCAATAAACCCCCAGGGCTCTTCTACCTACTAGTGAAAGTAACATCTACGAAGTTATCACGTACTACCTAAATATGGATATGGAGCCGGTGGGGCACGTGGTGGGGCTCTTAAGCTACTACACAGTAGTTTTTTTCTAGTTAATCCTAACGTCACCTTCACCTACGTGGTCCGCATCTCACCAAGGATCCATGGAATACTATGTGTGACCATGAAAAACGGCATTCATATTTGCAAAAATCTGCAGAAGATGGCTCCAAAGCAAGAATCTCGAAAAAAGCGCCTGCCCCTGACACATTTTCTCTGTCTGCCTCTGGTGAACACGACATCAATCCCACAGCTCGAAGCATCTATCACGGCTTTTAGAGCAGCCTATCCACCAGTACGGGTTGTAGATCTGCCGAAGTACTCAGAAGAATCAGGGAATGGCCATACTTCCCACCCAGTTATCCCTGTAGGGGCAGTGCGTCCGCTAGGAACGCTCCATCTGACATTGGGAGTCATGAGTCTTCCGACGAAGGAGCGATTAGAAGAGGCCCTTGCCTTTTTCGAATCGATTGATATAGCAAAGATCATGCACGAGGTAAAACCTGTCGCTTCCCAGCCTCAAGATAAATTCGACACTCCATTACATCCAGTTCAGTCAGGATATTTTTCGGTACCGAGCAAATCCGGACAATCCGGACAATCCATCCTTAACACGGATCAACCATTCATCGTGAATCTAGAGTCTCTACATGCCCTACCTCGAGCAGAAGCCGCAACTGTTTTATATGCTTCTCCATCTGATCCTACAGAGCGTCTTTACCCATTTTGTGTAATGCTCCGGGATAAATTCATCAAAGCAGGCTTTCTACAGGAAGAAATGGCTCAGAAACCAAATTCTCATTCTCGAAAGCCAGAACCGCGCCCTTTACTTCTTCATGCTACTCTTATAAACACAATATATGTCCGACAACCAAAAAATCACCAAAATTCCACTCAAAGGGGTAAAAGACCAAAGCGTATTGAAATTGATGCTCGAGATCTCCTAGAGCGTTACCAGAATTATTACATAGACGAGCAAAGGACGAAGCCTCGTATGGATACTACGACCTCCATTGAGCCTGAGAATAAGGGATCCTCCACTGAGAACACAATATCCGAACCTCAATTTCCTTTTTTGTGGGCGAGGGAAATTTCACTTGAATCAATTTCCATATGCGAAATGGGGGCGAAGAAGCTCCCTAAAGTTGACAGTCGTGGCAATCCCCAGACATTAAATGCACGGCTGGGTGAGAAGTACACACTTGTCGCACAGCGAAGCTTATATTTTAAGCAAAGGCCTTTATACTGATGTCTTTCAATGGCTTTTAATGGAGAATAGTCCGAGCAGTGCGAGAATGATAGTTATTGAATGACCATTCGACAATTGCTAACTGGCGAGCCATAAATATCCTAAAAGTAATTTCAAAAAAAAAGAAATGACCTTGGGAAGCCTAGAATGCACATATCAAATGGCCACCAATCGCTAGTTCTCCTCTCTCAAAAACAGGGACTCACTACCTAGGCAGAGATCGCAACCTTGCCCTCAACATATGCTTCTCCATAACCATCCATTTCTTTATCACGTTCAAGCGTTCATCAAGATCCTCCAAAGGATGATTTAGGCGGCCTAAAAAAAGACAGTTTCCAAGTCTGCGGCAGACGAAACTATGGGCTCTGCCGCAGCGACACAATCCTCCCGGCTATTCTTTTCTTCGGAAGGGTCGGCTTGCCAGATCGCGATAGAAAAAGTGCTGGGTTCTGCTTCTTCGGGGGAGGTGGCTTTCAAGTCTGTAATAGACGAAGTGCTCGGGTCTACTGCGGCGACTGTGTCGGACAAATATGCAACAATGGGGCTTTTCTTCTTCAATTCATGAATCCACCATCCTTCATGGGCGGGGAGAATGTTGCCATCTGTATCGGTCATAGGAAGTGGCTGTTTCCCATCATCACGGTTTTCCCACTCCTTTCCAGTCTTGAGTTTGTAAAAGTCCCTGAATGTAGTAATAGCCAGAGAAATGTCGCTTTTGCGAGGAGCCAATATTTCCACAGCTGAAATACCCTTGCGGTTGTACTTAGCATAGCATGAGTAGGTGCGATTTTTCAAGGAATTGCATTCAAAGACCTAATCGGTGTTGGAAAAGATGCTCAGAGGGAGGTTTGTTATTTCACTTACTGCCAATGTAAACTTTTCACGGTAGTTTGGCTTCTCCATTAGCCTAACAATATCTACGGACCAGATGTGGTTGCCTGAGTCGATGTAAATCACATTTGCTATCAAATTTGGTCAGTAAACTCGGACTTGGGAATGAGACCTGCCTCCAAGGCTGGAAGAGATTAGCTCACCAGCACGAGAAGACTTGGTTCTCTTGCGGGGAAATGGATCCACTTTATTTAATATAAAGATTAGATAACTGGCCAAGTAGATTTCAGAAAGGAGAAAATGCGCACTTACCCAGAAGGTTTTTGACAACTCGAGATCCGACAACTTTCTTCAGCAGCTCCGTTTCCGGGTCTTTCTTGAATCGCTCTTTGGCATTATCTCTGGCTTTCTTTCTGATAATAGCTTCCCAGAGAAAAGGCTTTGCAGCCTTAGGTCGGTGGTTTTTCGAACCAAGGGACTCCAAAAGCCAATCGTAGGAAACAATATTGATTGTTCCAATATTTTTGGCCTCCTCAACTAGAGACACCAATATCATCAGTTTGGGCTCATTTAAGCTTCCAAAGAGGCTAGCTAATGGGTCCTTTCTATGTATTGTACCTTTTGTTCCTTTCTCCAAATATGCCTGTTCAGTAGCAATGAGATGGGTGGTATTGGAGGTGATTTTGCTATCAAAAGCTCCACCATTGGCCCGAACCCACTTTTCGACTTTCTCACTTTCTTTAAATTTGCCGACTGAACTCACAACGATCCCCTTGAATAGATCCATCTTGGGAAATGACAAATATCAATTGGGAAGAGCGTTGGTATGAAATTTGGATTGTGAAGTGATGTTTGAGTGACGGTAAGAACTGATAAGAAAGGGAGAAGGATGAAAAGGAGTCTTGGAAGGATTGTGTTGCAACTATGAAGATGAATTGATCTACTTAGCAGCAGTTCATGTGTTCAAATTGTATATTGTATGGATGAAGAAAAATGAACTTAAAAAGTTCGAATCAACCCTGCTCGGAGATTCGATTGGTAGAAAGGAAGTTGTAGGAGGGATGATGTAGGAAGAGTGTATGAAGGAAGCTGAAAGGATTGAGATGAATAGGAAAATTTCTAATAAAGAGCAAAGAACCCTGGAAGTGAACAGCAGGGTTGTATGGTTGTACGGTATGAAGTGAGAAGTCACGCTGGAGTAAGATGAAAGTGAGACTAAATGAAAGACCTACCGATGCAGATTATTAGCTACTATACCTGGCTCCAAGCTATGCTTATAGAACTTCTTCAACTGCTGTAGGAAGTCATTTGATTGAAATTAATGATGAATGATGATTTTCATATTTTGAAAGTCAACAGAAGTGTACCTCCTCTCAAGACATATACCCTTTGCAACCCGCCTATTGCCCTTTTCCATGCAGATTTATATACATTGTTTGCGACTTTTACGATCTCATTTGAAGCAATACTCATGGAAAGCGCTTGGTCGACCATTCTCAGAATGTAACGAACCCTCAAATTGGAATACGGGTGTAGTTAGCGCAGAATTCTGTGATACAGGGTTCGGTTTTGATGACTACATAGCAGAGCATGAAAATATCTTAACTTAGAAGAGAACTTGACAGAGTCAGTTGAACGTTCCTCGGATTCAGGCCCCAAATATTGATGCTTCAAGTAAGGCTTTGCGAAATGGTACATGGAAATGTTGCAGTGAGGCAATCATGCGCTCTGGCTCACTTTTGATTGCAAGCCAAGCCTTGGACACATTGGTATATGTGCTAAGGTGCGCTTGGAAATCTGACCAGTCTCAGGCAAACTTTGCCCATGATGGCCATCACCTTCATCGTCCTCCATGCTTTCCCAATCTCGGGTTGACATTTGCGGTATATATAGTAACACCTAGGTGGTTCATTAGAGGCTAAGAGAACAGGGAAGTGAAACCTTGGAAGTCAAAGTTAAAGTGAGGTTAGAGTTAAAGTAAAGACTTGAAGAAATAACAGGTGATCTCTAGTTCAGAGATATCGGAGGAAGATACCCAAGCCCCGAGGTGCGAGACCTGTAGCTTGATGAATCCCTACCTAGGTAGGTACTTCCAAGGTTGAGAAGGGGTTGTACTGTAGCAAATTTAGGGCTCTAGACAGAAGGAAAGGTTTTTCATGATTTCTGCTCATATTGCCCAATAAACCGTTGTAAATTCACTATGAAGTCAATATTATATGCGAGACAGTGAGAGAGAAATAATTTTCTATTAATTGTGGCAAGAAGTTGCTTCCAATGCTAAATTGTCGACGAAAAAAGGAACTCCAGATCCCAAGCCAGCTTGAGCTCATCAAAACCCCAGATGCTCTCAGATATGCATTAGTAGAGTACAGGTCATACCATATGACACCAGTAGCCAGTTTAGTTAATAATATAGACCATTTCACCTCAATCGGCTCATCATAGTCTCCATACCTCTCTCAACCGACAATTCAGCAGCCTTGCCTTTCACTGCACTAATCATACTACGCTCAAAGTCATCGCGAGTGCGCAGCACAGCCTCAACCCAAGACAGCTGCAGATCCCAGTACTCCTCCTTGAATGACTCGTAGACATTGACAAGGCCCGGACCCTTCTCCGCTTCTAGAAGCTGAACAAGCCAGTTCACTAAGCGCCACTTCTGTTTGATGGTGCCCTCGAAGGAATCTTCGAATCTTTGGAAAAAGGCAAACACGGTGAGGACATCGTCTTTGAATTTTTCTGTGTAGGGGTCGGCATTGCGGCGGAATTTGACTCCCTTGTTGCGGACCGATGCTAAGTACCGTACTAGTAGTTCGTCTGAAAGCTCTTCCACGAGGATATCGATGAGGGAGGGGTGTAGGACTGGGGTGTAGTCTGCCATATAATCTTCAAAAGTAGAAGTGATGCGCTTCACAGCATATTCACTGTACCATTTCACTGTGAACAGATCTGGAATGACAGTGATGAGATCCACATGGAAGATAACGGCCACAAACTGCGCCAGACAGTGCGTGCTCAAGTCGACATAGCCATCACGCAGTGCATCCAACTCGGCCATTGCCCTTGTTGCCATGTATTTGGGTGTGACCAGCTGCTCAAGATCACGCTTGAATTTGGTCAGGTAGCCCAATTGGCCTGTCTCCTCGTTGTCGTCGATACAGGCAATCTGGTCATTAGCTACACCAATCAACCAGTCCTGCAGCAACTGCACTCCTTCGGCTTGATCGATACCAGGGATCTTGACCTTGTCACACTCCTCGTCTATTAGAGTCTGCCATGCGCTCTGTCGGCTCTTCAGTGCCCGGAACATGGCATCGATGACACCTTCCACGACATCGGCCCTTTCAGACGCCCCTGCGGCAAGAAGCTGCTCGTGGAGCATGCGCCACATATCTGCCAGCATCTTTGTGCGGAAATGACCTTCTCCGTTGGTATCCAGAGCATCTGCTTGACGTTCCACAAGACCTTTCTTGTCTGTTTCGAAAATACGATCCATCCATTCTTCCACCGCGTTGACAATAACACTTTGCCATTGTCGCACTAATTCCGGCTCGCGATCATCGAGAAGGTTAGGTTGAAGATTCGCCGGTGTCCAGCCCAGCTTCTTCATTTTCTTATAATACTTCTCGCTCCAATTAATGATCTTGAGCAGATTATCAGCAGGAATCTCAGGGTCGTCGATCATGCCAACAAGGAAGTCGTGCATCATGCGGTGATAAATATCGGTATACGACTTGTAAATCTTCCACTTCTTTGGAACAAGGTTCTGCATTCCTTTTTGCACAGTGAAGAGATCGTTAAAGTACCATCGGAAACTCTTTTCCAACAGGTCAGGATCGCCAAGAAATTCGTCCTTCGTGTTGTCGAACTGACTTTGGGCGTAGAATTCAATTGCCTGGAAGAACTTCTCCTTGTATCCACGAACGGTCTTCGGGCCAATATTCATTGACTTGAAACGACTCGCTAGATCTTTATGGTCCTTCTGGGCTACCTGCAGAGCCCGAACGGTATCATCGTTCTTCTCCTCATTCAGGACTACCACTGCCAGTCGGACAACCATACTCTTATTATCTTCTTGAACAAGTGGAATCAAATTCATGCAGGCTGTACCAAGGTGGTCATCGAACCAATCAATCACAGCATCCAGGTTTTGGAAGTACTCTGTCAGCGTCTCCTCGGCACTGGGATCGTTCGCCTTGCGAATCTGATCCATTGCTTCGTCGCGGAAGTCTCGTAGCCGAGAAATGTTCATATGCGCCTTGAGTAGGTTTGGCTGATTCTCAAGGTCATCGTCGTCTTCCCTGAGTAAATTCTCCACTTCCTCCAGATCACCACTGAAGTTTTCGAGTCCTTTCTTCATCATCAACGTAGCATGAAAGTGTCGCTGAATCCTAGCCAGCTTATCTATTTGTGCAAAGTCTCCCACGCTAGCCTGCGACTCGGCACATAGCTTGTCGATCCCTTGCAATTCATCCTTGGTCTTTGCAACTTGTCTTTGCCCTTCTGTCAAAATGCCGATACTACGCTGTACTGCCTCAAGTTGTTCGCGGAGTCCCTCTCGAAGCCGGGAGTCGACAGCGGCCTTCTTGCGCTGGTATTCAGTCTTGAGACCGTTGATCTTGTCCAGGTCCTCGGGGTGACGCAGAATATCCTCCAATTTTGGTATGGAGAAAGTGCCATCGGCATTTGAAGTTTTTGCCATAGTTGCGGATAAGCGTCTGGGTTAAATCGATAAGGAGAGGAACGGTAGTCAATGGTCGAAATGGCACCCCAGTCCCGCTCGACCGTTAGATGCGCGATCGAGTCGACAGCAAGCCTGCGTTAATGTTTTCAAAACCAGAACTGTATATGGATTGCACAATAAATCTTCAAGCAAAGCAATGTATAGGTACTAAGTGCATTCAATGCTTTCCACCAGGTTTACTTCCAAAGCTGTAGACACCTCAAGCAAGTGTAAACCCCCCAGTTCCTGGCAGAATACTCCACGTGATTTACCGCCCAATTTTTGCGAGCCGCGAATCCGAATAGAATCATTCGAGGCTCATTTGACCCTAGAGGTATATCCTGCTGCTTACGCTTTCGGTGCTGTGCCAATTCCACTCCAACCCCCTCCATCAACAATCTGTGATTCAGCGACTCGCTCCTGCAAACCCAGCTATACACATTTTCCACAATCCAACAGAACAACTCCTTCAAATTCTCTATAACACCACGGGATAACGACGACCTTCAGTTCCAATCTATCTACCAAAATCAATCATACCCGCCAACATGAGCTACTTCCGCATCACCCTCATGCGCTCGGCTATCGGTCTGCCCCGCCGCTCATCAGACGTCCTCAAGGCTCTCGGCCTCAGGAAGCGTATGGCTACGGTCTTCCACCGCGTTTCTCCGTCCGTCGCTGGCCAGATCATGAAAGTTAAGGAGATTGTCCATGTTGAGGAGGTGGATCGTGCTCTCACTAAGCAGGAGGTGCACTTCCAGCGCAAGCCTGACCCTGGCTATTACATTGAGAAGCGCAGCGTCGAGGAGCGGAGCGAATTGAGCCAACAATAAGCTGGCTATTGGCTTCAAGGAATAATTGAATTGAACCTCTTCTCTGAGACATATCATGTCTTGATTGATATGGGCTCTCGGACCCTTGTCTACTTGAAGTGTTCAATGGACTGTTGAGATTTCTTTTACTTTTTTTATCGTTGATTTATCTTGCATGGAGCGGGCTTCTTTTAATGTCAATGTATTCTACTTCTTGTCCGATTTCCCCCACGCTGACTACTGTACTATACGGGGCGCAGAATCAAAAAAAAAAAAAAAAATTACTCAAAGAATATGTACTATATGAATTAAAGAGAGACGCCATTCGCTTTTTTGTGTCCATTATGTACGGGACAGATGGATCAGGCGACTATGAATATACTGTAAACGCTGTAGTGACCCAATGAATTAAGACCGGCTCCTAAGAAAATGTTGGCTGGACTTACACAAAGAGTGGATATTGATATTGATAGTGGAGAAGAAAAAATCACTGTGTAGGAAGAGGAACACCTATCCAGTGGATCATGCTTTGTATAGAGTGTCAAGGAAGCCTTCGGCCAAGCGACTGACAATGCTCTTATCAGGGATGCTACCAGCGATGCCGTAGAGAGCGGAGGTGTCACCACGCTTCAAGATGTATGCCTTTCCTTGTTTGCGACGCTCCTCAGCCTTCTCAAGCTCCTTCTCGATAACCGCAACAACGTCCGTGATAAGCTGGTCGACGGCCTTGGCAGTGGGAATGGTAAAGGCGCAGTGCAGGGCTGGTGGAGACTGCAAAGCATTGAGATGCCAGCCCTTGGCGGATAGGTCATCGGCAATGTCGTAGGTATCAATGGCACCGTTCTTGCTACGGAAAGCCACCACACTGACTATCGGCTTACCCACAACCTCCATGTGAAGAGCGATCAATGGGTGCTCTCGAACAGCACTCTCGAATTTACGTGCAGCATTAATAATCTCTGTGCAGCTGTTTATATAGCCGACCTCGCCAACGCTCATTAAGCTAGCCCAGCAACCGGCGATCAAGGCACCGGGACGCGAACCAGCCACGGAGGGTGAGGCGTACACGCCACCGGACCAGTCTGGGTAGATGAAGTACTGATAGCTTCGGTATACTTTGTTGCGGTAAAGCAGGACAGAGTTGCCCTTGGGTGCGAATCCATACTTGTGAGTGTCCACGCTAATACTAGTAACACCAGGTTGACGGAAATCGAAACCACCTTCTTCTTCATAGGGAGATGGGAAGCCGGCCTTCTTGAGAAGTGCAATCACAAAGGATCCTAAGCAGCAATCCACGTGGAGGGGAATCTTATACTTGGTTGCAAGGCGCGATAACGCGGGGATATCATCCACGATACCGTGAGGGAAATTGGGTGCCGATCCTACAAGCAGAATAGTGTTTGGATTGATCAGACGACGCACAGTGTGAACGTCAACTTTAAATTCGGGCTCAGGGCAAGGAACACGGTGCAGCTTAATCTTGAAGTAGTTGCAGGCCTTGATGAATGCTGCGTGGGCAGTATCTGGGATGATCCTATGAATTATCAGTCACTGCATTTCAATTTATGGGGATAGAATCTCACATTTCTGGCTCGGTTATGCCTCGCTCCAGGAATCCCTTTTGTCGGGCGGCCAAACAGGCCATAAGAATGGATTCAGTGCCGCCGCTGGTAGTGACACCAGCGCCGTCGCTGGGGGAGTTGAACAGGCCCAAAACCTTTATGAAATGTTAGCAAAACACATTCAAAATTTCCGATAGCTTCTTTGTGACAGAAAGAGCAGACATCTTACCATTGCGACTACCTCAGCCTCCATTTTCCGAACTCCAGGGAAAACATCCGGGTGGATAGGATTAGCGACACCAAATTGGCCAAAAGCCTCAGCCTGAAGCTTCAAAAGATCCTCTCCTCCATGATAAACTGCACCACTAACTCGACCATCCTCCCAACGGGTATGTTTCAAGCCAGCCAGTTTTGTAAGTTCGGCGCGGATCTGCTCTGGAGTCCATCCTTCCTTTGGAAGGGCAAGATACCGACTCACATCCGGACCACTTAGCACAAGCTTATTTTCGAGGCCCTCAAGAGCGGTCGAGACCTGTTTATCAACTTGTCCACGAACACCGGGGGCGCGCAAGAAGACGGAGTAACAGAAGAGACGAATGGCGCTGTAAATGTTACGAACGCTTCCGATGATACCGTAGCCGCGGAGGGAGTAGAAGGTCTTGCGGGTATAGCGAATAATGAAGAGTAAAAATACGATGTTGCGGATGCTGTAAGGGTGCCTTGGTTAGTGATTGCGATCGTCTGCGCGGGGAATCGGCCCATTGCCTCTTGCGTCACTGACAGGTCCAGATTGTTTAGGGAAGCGAGGTGTGCGCTGGAGACTCTACTGTATCCCATAAGCTTGCTCTGCAGGCCAACTGAAAGTCTCGAGAGACTCATGGTGTGTAAGCTAGGGTTAGCGAAGTAAGGTGATCATGAAGGAAGGCGAGTGCTAAGGTAAAGTCGGAATCCGCGGGTCCAGCCGAGGCTCCACTTCAGTTACTCTCGTTATCAATTTGATCTTAACTCACCAAGCATTACATACGTCACATAAATTACACTTTTATTTCAGATCCTCTCTAAGTATGTAACTACTCTGTACTGTACAAAACATGTTGAAAATTATTCTAGTTTTGGTTTATTGTTCTGCAGCCTGATTGGCCAATGCGCTTTATATACAGCATAGACAATCCTCCTCGAGCACCCCAGTGATGCTCTTTTGAAGTCTCAGTAATCACTTTTGAAAACCCCGGGTAAAAATATGGAAAAAAAAAAAAAAAACATAAGAAAAAAGTCCCAGACGCATAAATCACATCAAAATCATCAGACATTCCACAGCAATATTGAGAGCGAGAGGGGGCTGCCCCTGCACAGTATCATCGAAAGCGGGAAGAATCTGGATAAAAATCGCACGCTATTGAAACATGGAAATGGCGAGTGAGCTTTAAATGGCAACGCCGGCGGCGGCGGCCTCGGCCAACTCCTTCTCCTTGGCAGCGAACTGGATCTGCTCCTCAGCAGTCAGGTCCATCAAGGGCTTGTTCTCACCAAGCTTGAGGTTGCGGTGGTAGGCACGGATGATGCTGTCAGCGTCATCAACGGCGATAGGACGAATATCAGCCAAAGCCTTGACCTTAGCAGTGCACTCCTTGTATTCGGCATCGGTCATCTCAAGCTTGAGCTGCTGGGCACGAGACTTGATAGCGTTCCAGCCAGTCAGACGTGAGGCGAAGTGCACGTAGCGGGTCATGCCGAAATCAGCCGGGTTGATGATCTCGTATGTGCTGGGGTTGTTGAGGATAGCCTTGGCGTGGATACCGGCCTTGTGGGTGAAAGCACAGAAACCTGTGATGTAGTTGTTGAAGGGAATGTTAACCTCGACGGCCTCGGCGACAAGATCTTCAATATCCTTGAGCTTCTCAAGCTTATACTTGCTCTTAACGTAGTCGCGGTCGGCAACCATCATACGGGCCATCAGGCCACCGAGAGGGGTGATACCGTTACGCTCACCAATACCCAAAACTGAGGTATCAATGTGAGTGGCACCAGCCTCAAGGGCACAGTAGGCGTTGGCAATGGCGCAGCCAGTATCGTCGTGGAAGTGAGTCTCGATATCACAGCCGACAACACCACGCAGCACGCGAACGAGCTCATAGACCTGGCGAGGTGAAGCACAACCGACAGTGTCGGCAATACCAACACGGTTCACGCCGACCTTGTCAACAGCCGAGTAGATAGAGAGCAGGTCAACAAGGTCTGAGCGGAAGGAATCCTCAGATGAGAAACGGACCTCAATGCCCTTGGACTTGACGAACTCGATGACTTCAATGGCAGTGTTCTTGATGTAGGTCATATCCTTGCCGTGGGAGTGCTCACGGAGGTATGAGGAGGTGCCAATAACGACATCACTATGAAAAATTAGTAACCAAGTATGACCAATATCCTCATGAAACGGAAACTCACACTCCATCAACACCAGTCTCAACAGCAATGCGGGCATCGTCCATGTGGCAACGAATGTGAGTAAGAATCTATATCATCATTAGCATAGTAACCGAATTCGCCACCCCAACACCAGACATACCTTAGCCTTCAGTCCAAGCTTGCAGATAGCCTCACAGTCAGCACGAGACTGCTCGGAAGCGCAGGGGCTAGTCAGTTCAATCTATCTCGGCCAGTCTTGTCAGTAATTAAATTCCTGGTAAGTTAGCTATTCACTGCAGATGACTCACGTAGTCAACACCGAAGTCATCGAGGGCCTTGGCGATCTCGATCTTCTTCTCAGTATCAAAGAAGGCGTTGGCGAACTGCTCGCCCTCACGCAGAGTGCTCTCAATAATCTTAAAGCGGGAGACATTGCTCAGGAAATCGGTCACGCCCACATTGTGGCCGTAAGGGTTGCGGGAGGCGGAAGGGTGAGGGTTCTGGCGGGTCTCGATGCCAGTGAAGCCGGGGTGGTCGCCGTCTGTGATCGTTAGTTATACGTCCTGAAACAATATATAGCAGAGCTGAATACATACTAGCACCATTGGCGTGTCCATTGGACTCAGTCATTGTGGATAGAGTTTTATAGAGTGGAGGGGTAAAGGGTAGTGAGGGGGGAGAACTTGGGAGTAATTAGGACTTCTTGGAAGTGAAGACAATAGTTGATTGACTTTGTGTGTTTCTCAAGTATTTATTTTAGAAAGGAAGAAAGTAAGAGTCATAAATGTCAAGTGGAGTGGGCGGTGTACTTTCCCATCTGTTAATCATTTGGCAAAAAAAAAAAAAAAATTGGGGGAAAATTTCGACGTTTAGGGATTCGAAAGTGGAGTTGACCGGATTTTCTCATAGGAAGCCGATATCGGTCTAGCGGGACCCCTGATAGCCACAGAGATCTTATATAAAACAAATCAGATACTAATCAACAATGAGCTGTTCTGAGTTTATAGAATAAAGATGGAGTATTGATTCCAACGTCCTAAGTCTTAATCAGAATCACAGGCTGCCCTGCCTATACCTGTAAAGTAACCTGTTGTGGTAAGCCCGGATGAGTGTCGTCATTTTACGCCCCACTCAAGATCTAGGTTCTGCTTACTATCACAATCTAGCCCTAACTACTAAGCCTTTATTATTAAGTAGATAGAGCGAGATCATCGGGGTCAAGACGTCTCACAGTCTTAATAATGTAGTAGCTATGATGAGAACCCCTGCTGTTGGAATCTTATCAGGGTACTTTATGGACTTTGGCTTGGGAGAATGTCCAGTTCACGTTTTCTTTTTCATTTATTTTTTCACCGGAACTCATCAACAGTCATCTTTTTTTTCCTTTTCTTTATACCACTAGACAGTTATGGTCGAAGCCTTTCGGTTCGAAGGCTTGATCAATACGGTGATGAAAATCAAGCATGATCAGGCTGTTTAGTTCCATCTATTACCAAGATATCTAGTGTGTATCGATCCAACATTACCGTTAGGTACGATCAGCTTCATCCGGGTGTCATTGTTAAAAGTCTTTCTGGGTTGTCACGTTCTCTTAATAGACATTACCTAGGTACATATGTGAATATACGATAAATATACCGTGGCTGGATACAACCTTAAAAAACGCCACGGTGCCTAGGTACATGTCCAAGATCTCAAAGATCAGGTTGTAAGAGCGGTTTCCAAAGTTAAGATATAGAAACAGCTTTTCATGAACCTCAAGATGATTCCAAGGTTGGAGATACCGGGGAACTATCCACCCGGGACCAGGTATATTCATATACCATGTAAGAATGTCTTCCAACCGAAATGAGGACTGCAAACACAGCTAAAATACTGATCGAGAACCAACCCTAGGTAGTTCAGAGAAATAAGTATTCGATCTACTACCTAGGTCTTAGGTGTCATTGTGAATTACTAAGTTTGAGCATGAATTATTTATGGAGTAGGAAATAATGATCTCAATTTTATGGATTTACTTATCTCTGAACTAGGGCTGAGTAGAAGATACCGGATCGTTGGACTTCGAACTTCAGAACTTCTAAGTCTTGAATCCATATCACTGAGTTTCCACTATTCCCCAGGGCTACCCCAAGTTTTCAGGTAAACTTTACAATAGAATTCTTTGTATTACAGGTTTCTACGTATTGATAAAGAATATATTGATCTATCAAGATTTTCTTAAATTACTATCATTTTATAGCAACTAACCTTGGAAGTTTTTTGGATCTAGATACTGAACTAATATTTGGCGGTATCCAAACCCCCTACCTAAGTAATTCTCTGCTAAGGTTGGTATATGATGGGCAAAAGTCAAGTGGAACCTTGGGGGATCACTCAAACGACGAGGTTGCTAATTGATGAATCCCTCGGATGTCATACTTAAGGGCCAATTTTCAAAATCTGTTGTAGACACAAGAATGGAAGTAGATGACTACTGAGTTGTTCTAGCGAGCTCTTCTCACATCTTCAATACACACCGTCCAACACTATTTTGCATATAAAAACATCATCCTAAAAGAAAGGGGACAACATATGATTGAATGATAAATAACTCAAATTAAAGTAGCATATGCAAAAAATCATCCCGGTACTTTTATAATGAGACCAAAAACCAAGAGATTGAGTTGTAGATCTCATGCTAACGTAATCTGAAATGGTGTATTCCCCGCGTGTGAATCTCGGAGCTTTGATTGGGTGAAGGAGCTCAGGCCATCATCCCGGCTTACTTGGCCTGTTCATTTGGAACTTAACTCTGTTATCCCCCGGAGTGCCGCAATCAATCTGCTTATTGATAAAGGTAAGTTATCTGATCCTTTGAGCCTATGCTCTCACAAGAATCTGTATACTTTCATAATCCTTCCATTCTTACCCTCTTTCACTCTGTCCCGAACTAATAGATGCGTCACAGTCAAGATGCGTCTCACATCACTTGTAGCTTTCCTTCCTGCTCTGGCCCTGGCCCAGGAACAGGTTCCCCTGGCCGATCGTGTCCAGGGTTGGTTCAACAAGGCCAAGTCATATGTGCCTGCTGCTGCCCCAGCTGATCCCGTCGTCAAGGTGGCTGAGAAACTGTCCGAGACCCGTGTCACAGATGTCACTCTGAACAACTGGGAATCTGTCCTTGCCCCTGGACCCGAGGACAGAGACTTGCTTGTCTTCATCACTGGAGGCAATAATACCTGCTTCAATCGCTGTGAACACGCCACCAACGCGTTTAAAGTGAGTACCACGCCACTTCCTGTTGAGGCCAAGAAATCCATGTCTAATGTATACATATAGGAATCGACTCTCCTGTTCTCCGCTGATGCCACGTCCCCCGAACTTGCTCTGCTGGATTGCGAGAGTGAGCGCGTTCTCTGTGCTGCCTGGGCCTGTGGCGCTCCTTCCGCCTACTACTTCCAGATCCCCAAGGTCCAGCCTGAGGGTGAGGAGCGCCCGCTCACCCCATTGCACGTCGTCTATATGAACTCCACCACCGTCACCCCCGAGGAGCTGTACCAGATCCACTCCAAGAAGACATTCCAGCAGTCTCCCGCCTACGAGGGTATCATGCACCCTATCGACGGTGTTTTCGCCAAGTACAAGGTGGCTATTCCTATCGGCTATGCCATTTGGGCTACTGGCGCCATCCCCAGCTGGGCCTTCATGATCTTCATCAGCATGTTCAGCCGCACCTTTATGTAAGTTAAATTTATCTATTCTGTTGAGCCAGGTTACTGATCTTATACTCTAGGGGTCGTCGCATGACAAATGTTCAGGGATCTGGTAACGCTCGCACTGCCCCCGCAGGCAGCGCAAACTAGAGTGCTATCCGGAAATATTCGGCTTTTTTTTGGACTGTACATAGTTAGCTGGTTCTGATTGGTCAGGTTCAATCCATTGGCTTAGCTTGTTCTCTTTCCAAGTTTGTTTATTTGGATATGTGTGTGAAAAAGCCGCTGTGTATTAACTATACTATTCAGCTCACCTGTGTTAAAGTTTTAATCAAGAACACGAAGCCGATGCATCATTGAATATGAGTGTAGACCTTCAGTGGAAGTAGTAGTGAGAGTCGCAACTTGGAACCTACAGGGCTTTTTTGGAGGTGTCCCCAGTTGGAAGAGAGAATGGACGACAAGCTCCCAATATGAAAGATTATATCCATGGATATCTAGGGTAAATAACGTTGGAAAAAACCTTGCAGTGCTATGCTATTTTCCAATAATGAGTGTAAAGAGATTCAGTCTGAAAAAAGAGCTGTGAGATATATGGGTGAATCAAGGACTGCAGGCCTATCTTTGAAAGTCGAGACATCAATTGAGGTGGGTAGAAGGCGTTCTTTTGCAGTTCGTGGGTATGAACCGTGGAAAGAATATGTAATCAACTCGGCAGCTCCGCACATGCACTAAATATTCTTTCAGCACTAATCGACTCTTACGACCTCAATATCTTCCACAACCTCTGCTCTAAAATCAAAATGTCGGCTCCTGTCTCGCATAGTATACCCCCAACAACCACTGCCTACGTGATCGCGACTGCAATTCTTGCCGGCGTGACAGGGTATTTCATCGGCCAAGGTGCTTCACTGAACTTATTCAAAGAAAAACCCGAAGATGGCTACGATGTGAAGGTCCACAAGGACACATCGGAGGACGAAGAGGACTCAGACGAGTACGACAGCGATGAATATGAGGGTAATGGCGAGGAGCTGGCCAGCCTCAAGGACAGCGGCGAAGAAGTGAAATTGGTTCTGGTCGTCCGAACAGATCTAGGCATGACCAAAGGTATGTGCTTCAAACAGATTCTTCAAATTCTCTCTAATCTCTAATCTCATTTAGGCAAAATCGCTGCCCAAGCTTCCCATGCTACACTCGCCTGCTACAAATACTTCCTTGCGCACTCGCCCGACTCCCCCATTCTTCAGCGCTGGGAGCGGAACGGCCAGGCAAAGATCGCGCTACAAACTAAGTCGGAGGATGACTTGCTCACAATGCAAGCTATGGCTATGAGCTTGGGACTATGTGCGCGCGTTATTCAGGACGCGGGACGGACGCAAATTGCTAGCGGGAGCCGAACAGTACTTGGAATTTTGGGACCGAAGAGTGTTGTTGATGGGGTGACTGGACATTTGAAGTTACTGTAGAACTGATTTTTACTCCTGTAATAGACAATAATGATCATGATATTGACGACAGATTATGCAAGCAGAGTCTTCAGGAGCAGATTCCTGAGGTCAGATGCGAGAGCAGAGCCTCTTCCAAGAATCTTCAATCTCTTGAGATCACTCAAATCGTTAAGCTCATTCAAGCTCTTCGAAAAAGCCCTACGTGAATTAGTTACAAGCCATGTAGTTTCCAGGCTTGAGTCTACATTCAAAAACTAGTACAAAAGGATGTTGGCAAGTCATGGTTTTTCCCCAACCTCATGCGCCAACGGCATCGGTGAAGGGATCAGGAATATGACGCCATCTACATCCGGGACTCAAGCCGAGCTCACCAGAGGGAGCTCAAGACCCAAGCCACTCCCGGCGCAGACATTTAATATGAGACCCGTCGACTGGATACCGTAAGTGCCATACATTTAGAAGTATGGCTCCGTATAACGTCGAGCTGCCCAGCGCTCAACCGTAACACAGGGAAACCAGCAAGCTGGAATCTCCGTGGACAGGAGTTCTGGACACGGATCTGTGGTTGTGTAGAGAAAAGAAAAAGAGAAAGCGACGGAAGGGCCTTTTTATTTATGGCGGGCGGTGGGCCGCTAAGATTTTATCACGCTAGCCTAATTGGGATAAGCAAATGTCAGGTGACTAGCCGCGATTAATGACGGAGATTCACTTCGTGAAGCATTTACCATCTCTCTTCCCTTCACACGTTTTTTGTTTGTTGTTTTTATCTCAATTTTTTTTCACACTATTTCAATTATGGCAGACTCCGCCTCCATTGAGGAGGCCAATAAGATTCGAGCCAGTCTCGGCCTTCCAGCACTCGGCGTCCCCGGCGCAAACCCGACGTTTAAAGATGAAGGCGAATCCGAAGGTGAAGAACAGGCGAGCACTGTTGATACCCGCCAAGCCCAGAGCTATGACAACTGGGAAAAACACCAAGAGGAACAAAATGCCAAGCGCCGCCGAGACGAGAAGGCTGCCGCCATCAAGAAAGCACGCATCATCGCCCAGCGAAATGTGAAACTGGAAGGTCCCACACTGGGCGAGGACGACGGTGGCGATCTCGATACGAAGGCATGGCTCATGCAGGCGAATAAGCGACAGAAGAAAATCGAAAAAGAGCGCGCGCGCAAACTTGCCGAGGAAATGGCAGAACGAGAGCGTCTTGAGGCTATCGAATACACTTCTCTCGATCTGGCTGGTGTCAAAGTTGGACATACTCTCGGCTCTCTCGAAGACGGGGAGGATCATATCCTTACTCTCAGGGATGCCGGAGTGAACGAGGATGCAGAAGACGAGCTTCAGGATATTCACTTGGTTGACCAAGAAAGAACCAAGGAGCTGAACGAGATACGGAAACGCAAGGCTGTCTACAATCCTAATGACGAGCAGGAAGGCATTCTCCAGCAATATGACGAGGAGATTGACGGCAAAAAGCGAAAGAGATTTACGCTCGATGGAAAAGGATCGACCGCCGAACAACGTGAAGCCAAGCGACAAGAGATTTCGGAGAAGTTAAAAAGAGAAGTTATCAGCCTCGACTTTCAACCTGATGCTCCAATCTCCGACTACATGGATATCTCCGAGATCAAAATCAAGAAACCTAAGAAAAAGAAGGCTAAGAGTACACGACAGCGACCTGTCAACGACGAAGACATTTCGCCCGCTGATAATACGCCGATTGCGGATAATGGATCTATGGACATTGACTCGACAAACGGAATCACAACTCTGGCACCCCGCAAGTCAATTGATCACAATACCTCCTTTGTGGATGACGACGACCTTCAAGCGTTACTTGCGGTCCAGCGACGTGCTGCATTCAAGAAGCGCAAGAAGATGCGTCCGGAAAACGTTGCCAACCAGCTGCGTGAAGAAGAATCTCAGACTCCCATGGAAACGGATACTCCTCAGGATGATGAAGAAGAACCTGGTTTGATCCTCGACGAGACGAAAGAGTTCCTTGGCAATCTTTCTACCGACCTGATTAAACAAAAGGAGCGAGATAGCCGTCCAGTTAAAATTCCTGCTCCTCAATCTGATGAGGGTTCAATGGCGCTGGACGAGGCACCCACTGTGGTAATTACTGAGGATATTGACATGGATCGACCCGATGACCAAGAGGATAACGACAGCGAGGAATTCAACAATCAAACTGGGATTACCGGTACTGGAATGGAGGAACCTAGTTTGGACGTGGGTATCGGAGCTACTCTTAACCTGCTACGCCAGCGTGGTGTTGTGAAGTCAGACGCCAGCGCGCAAAACGCACTTGAACGCGATCGTGCGCGCTTCGTCGTCGAGAGAATCCGTCGCGAAACCGAATTTGCAAACCGGGCCAAAATCCAGCGCGAGAAAGACCGTCAATCTGGCAAACTCGACAACATGTCTGCCCGCGAGCGTGAAGAACACACGTCCCGGGAGAGTAAGCAGCGTGAACAGATGGAAGCTCGCCAAACGGCCGAACTCTTTGATCGTGAGTATAAGCCCAATGTGCAACTCAAGTATGTCGATGAATTCGGTCGCCATATGAACCAGAAGGAGGCGTTCAAGGAACTGAGCCACCAGTTCCACGGCGCAGGAAGTGGCAATATGAAGACAGAGAAGCGTCTCAAGAAGATCGAGCAGGAACGAAAGCGCGAGGCCAAGTCTGTTTTTGATCCCGTCTCTCTGAGCACTGAGGCTGCCCGCAAGAAGGGCCAGGCTGGTGTCCGATTGCAGTGATGGGAGAAGCCATCGATAGTTAATTGCCAATATCTAATATCCAAACTCCATCTCTATTACTGAGAAATGACAACATTATGATTACCTTTATCTCTTCTACGGTCTAGCTTCATTGGCAAAATCACCAACGATCAATCTGAACTATTCATACGATTGTGTATGGCATGACACAATAGGGTAATTCCTTTCCCGTAATTAACCGATATCAAAAGTCCATAAGAAGTGGAACCTGCGTCAACCCTGTTATCACAATCTAAATATACTACTTAGTAGTTAATCCTAATCTTCTCTTACCCCAACTGTGAGTGAGGGGAAAGAGTGGAGAAATACGTTTAGATTTAAATAACTCACCGGGAAAAGGATTCCGCTTTGGAAAGTTGAGAGTTGAAGTATACGGAATAGCAACGAATTATAGAGAGTGATGAATTATTATCCAATTAGCCGATGGAATCAGACTACTTTCATGTCCGTAACACTCCGTAACGAAATAAATCATCCCTTCTCAGGATGATCTTACGAGCAAAACGGCTAAGGAAAAAAAAAAGAAAACAGTCCAGCCCTTGGGCAATTCTCGTCAGGCTCGGAGGTACCCGGTACCTCCAATCATAAGGTTCCCCACACCAATGACGAGGTACTCAGTACCGTTTTACATGACTCAGGCAAAACAATACGGCATCTCCGATCTTTTTTCTCATTCTCCTCCTTCACTTCCCACCCTCAAATACCTTGGTCTTCCCTTCGTGTCAATTCAATTTGATACTTCTCTCTACTCTCAACATGCTTTCCACTCTACGAGTCGCTAGCCGTTCGGCTGCTGTTCGCGAGGCTAACCTGCGCACTGTGGTTATTGCTAGACATGCTTCCGCCTGGTCCAAGGTTCCCCAAGGTCCTCCTGTAAGCCTCACAAGCTTCCTTTTGAAGCATGCGAAGTCTCGATTGAGGAGACCAATTTTTTTTGAGATGAATACTGACGTGTTTTGCTCAATAGGATGCAATTCTCGGTATCACCGAGGCTTTCAAGGCCGACTCCTTCAAGGAGAAGATCAACCTGGGTGTTGGTGCCTACCGTGAGTAACACTAAAATTACATAAAAAAAAAACACAAGCAGAAGCTGCTCTTGTAAGTGCGCAAATGCTAATTGATGCGTAGGCGACGACCAGGGCAAGCCCTACGTTCTGCCCTCTGTCCGCACCGCCGAGGACAAGGTCGTTGCATCGCGCGTCGACAAGGAATACGCCGGCATCACCGGTATCCCAGCCTTCACTAGTGCCGCCGCTGAGCTCGCCTACGGCAGTGACTCCTCCGCCATCAAAGACGACCGTCTCGTCATTACACAAACCATCTCCGGTACCGGCGCCCTCAGAATCGGTGGAGCTTTCCTCCAGCGCTTCTACCCCGGCGCGAAGAAGGTCTACCTACCCAACCCCAGCTGGGCCAACCACGCCGCCGTCTTCAAGGACTCCGGCCTCGAGGTCGAGAAGTACAGTTACTACAACAAGGACACCATTGGCCTTGACTTTGAGGGTCTGATTGCCGATATTAAGGCTGCTCCCAACAACAGCATCATCCTGCTCCACGCTTGCGCTCACAACCCTACCGGTGTTGACCCCACCGAGGCTCAATGGCGCCAGATCAGCGATGTCATGAAGGAGAAGGAGCACTTCGCCTTCTTCGACATGGCCTACCAGGGCTTTGCCAGTGGTAACGCCGACAAGGATGCCTTTGCTCCCCGCCACTTCGTCAAGGAGGGCCACAACATTGCCCTGTGCCAGAGTTTCGCTAAGAACATGGTGAGTTTTGGTCATGTAGTTTTGCATTTCGTTTCATAGCTAACATTTGACAAGGGTCTCTACGGTGAGCGTGTTGGCGCTTTCTCCCTCGTCTGCGAGTCGACCGAGGAGAAGAAGCGCGTCGAGTCTCAGATCAAGATTCTCATCCGTCCTTTCTACTCTAACCCTCCCGTTCACGGTGCCCGCATCGCTTCCACCATCATGAACGACCCCAAGCTGAACGAGCAGTGGCTCGGTGAGGTCAAGGGTATGGCTGATCGCATCATCGAGATGCGCGCCCTGCTCCGTAAGAACCTCGAGCAGCTTGGCAGCAAGCACGACTGGTCCCACATTACCAGCCAGGTAAGATGAATAATCCTCCATTTCGGATCCCTTTACTGACATGTCATATAGATCGGCATGTTCGCCTACACTGGTTTGAAACCCGAGCAGATGGATGCCCTCGCCACTGAGGTAAGCTAAACCCATTATGTCTTGTGATCACAGTCATTAATAACCTTTCTAGCACTCCGTCTATGCTACCAAGGACGGTCGTATCTCCGTCGCTGGTATCACCTCCGGCAACGTCACCCGACTCGCCGAGTCGATCTTCAAGATCACCGGCTAAATCCCATCGCATCTATTCGAATATCAAAAGTAGACGATAGAAAAAGAGAGAGAGAGAGAGAGAGAGAGAAGAAGGGATAGACATAAAAAGACCAAAAACCAAGAATGGGGAAAATGTCATGTCATGTTACTGACTGGAGGGTAATCGCCCATCTAAATCAGGGCAAACAAAAAGCAAAATAAAAACAAAAGATAACCATTTTGTTTTTTTTGCCCCCTGTACTGATATCTAATGTCTCTGTGTTGTTCTATTTAGCATCAGCTTTGTCCATATTCTATCTCAATGGAGTATTTCTGTTTTGCCTTTTTTCTACGGTTTTCGCTTCGCCTCTAGATTCATCAGGTTCGCTTCGATATGCCCATTCCAGCCTTCTTTTAGTATTTTAGTCCACGTAATATTACCGTATAGAACAATACCAGTACCGAGCCACGTGCTTACTAAAAGATCACAAGACCAAACACGAGACTTTGCTGATCCGGGGTAAAAAAAACAAAGATCATCACTATAAACTCTCCATACTTGACGAAAGTAAAAATTTGGATCTACGCATATATTTGGACAAGGATATTTGATATTCTGCAAGTTATATTTTTAGGCCTCTTATTGACCAAATAAAACATGTGTTAAGGAAAGGGGATATCGAAAATTTGCTGTGATAAGAATGCTGGGGGAATTTTTTTTTTCTGTATGTAACAAATCAACTGAGGGATGTGCATGGTATCTTTTTTTTTTTTGTTTCATGGGTAAATTGAGTAATATCATGTTAGGAAGAACATAGGAAAATGATAAAAATGATAAAAGTCATAAAGAATAAAACGCCGGGCTGAAGTGGGTAATAGTGTAAATGTAAGTCATTTCTCGCCATGTGGAAATATAAGATGCGACTCGTGGTCGTCATGCAGATAAACGATAAGAAAAAAAAAACAAGGGAACAGAGTAGTAAAGTTAGGAGAGAATGCCTTCTCGAAGTCGTTGATCTTCAGCCCAGATTTCCTCTTTCATGGTCTGCAGACGCTTGCGCTGCTTCTGCAGTCGGTCCAAGTCCGCTTGGGATGGATTGGCCTGTGCTGCGAGGACTTCATGCAGGGACTGGTATCTGGCATAATTTTTCTTGAAGGTTTGCGACTTGTCGCGCAGTTGCTGTCGCAGGAGCTCGTGGCTCATGGGTGGAGAAGCACTGCCCGTGCTGCCTCCGCTCGAGGCACTGATGGCTCGACGTCGCTTGTGCTCGAGGTTTGCGGTCGTGCGTGCGGCTGGCTGTGCCAGACGTTCGGGTTCCGCCTTGCGCTTCAAGGGATTTGTAGCAGGCGCAGACTTGGCGATGCCATTGGTCTTTACTGCAGGCTTTTGAGAGCGAGCAACAGCAGTCGTAGTTGGTTTACTAGATCGAGAGAGTTGCGCAATAAGAGGAGAGGATGACGAGGAGCTTGACAGATTGGTGCTGTCAGAGCGATTGCGGCCTTGGACATCAGATGAGTTGGTTGGCGGAGAAGACCCGAGCGGAGAAGGCTTCTGTGGAGAGTTTGATAGGCGAGAAGGAGGTCGCTTGGAAGCTGCCTTTACAGGTTGGGACGATTCCAGCTTGGGATTCGGTGCCTCTGACTTGGGAGACTTGAATGAATCACGGGCAAGAGGTTTGGGAAGCGGCTGGCTCTTGGTAGGACTCTTCTGGGCTGTAGCCGAGGCCGGGGCCTTCTTAGGTGGTGCGGGCTTAAGATCTTCCTTTGAACGCTGCGATGGAGCGGGCGCAGCACCAAGCATATCATCATCGTCATCAGAGTCAAGCACAAATTCTGCAGACTTGATCTTGCTCTCCGTCTTGGCCGGAGGCTTTCTTTCAGTCTTTTTCGTAACGCGGCCTGCCAACGTACTATTGGTGGTAGGCTTGCTCTTCGTAGGTCGCTTGGCCGGCTCCTTCTCCAGTCGTGTCTTCGGCGCCGCATTTGACCGGGGTGTAGCGGTGTTTGATTTCGTCGCAGTAACACCAGAGCCCGGAGCCCGCTCGATATCATGACCGGCATCATCTTCGACACCGTCGAGTTGCATTCGTGATGCGGCAGCTTTCTTGATCGGCCCGTTGCTCAGGTTCAGTCGAGATAGGCACTTGCCCTTGCCTCGTTCCTCCTTGGGAAGCAACATTTGCCAGAGTTTATCAGTGCGAGAGATTCGCATCCGATCAAAGGCCGAGACAGCATTCTCAATTGCTTGTTGGCGATCCTCTTGGTTCGGATAAGGGAATTTCCAAACGTCAAGGTCTTTGTAGCTCTTATCTTTCAGGTCGAACTTCTCACGGTTCAATCGGTTCTCTGAGCCGAGCTTCTGAGCCAGGCTCGCGCAATCCTCAATTGAGGAACAAGTTTGGCGGGAGAGGAATTTGGTTGAAACGGCACGAACGGCGAGCAGGTGAATAAAAGGCATCTTCAGAGCCTCGAGACGAGCATTGGACTTTGTTTGGGAGGCGGGAGCCGATGTTGGAGGAATTGGTGAGCGGGAGGCCCCTAGAGTTGGACTTGCATTGAGAGATCGATTGGCGGAAGCTCGAAGTACTCGTTCCCTTTCCAGGTCCGCCTTTGTTTTTGGAGCGCGGGCTTTATTCCCGCGAAGACCCTTGAACTCGTCTGGGTGGTGCATTATGGTGGTTTTCTTCGCATCTTTGCCCCTCTCGAAAGCACTCAAGCTCTCCTTGAGGCTTTCTTCCAGCGTAGCCAGGGCCTGGTCTGTGGCTGCAGTTGCCTTCTTGGCCTTTTCCACTTCCAGACTGTGGCTCATCACACCGGTGAAGTAGAGGGATTTCTTATCAGTCGAAAGGTGGTAGATCTCGGATCGGTGAGTTTCGGGGTAGGCGTGGAAGGATTGGGATTTGCCAGCGTAATGGAGAGACGGGTGTTTTCCTAGGCGGACACGAGCAGGTTCGTCATTTCGTAGAGTCAGAATGAGTTCGTCGAGAGTACTCTGAACCAAATTGAGCCGCATGATTTGGGCCGGTTTGGTGGAAGCGTCCCCGGGCTGTTCTCCGGTACGGAGAAACAGCCCAGTGTCAGGAATCTCTATACCATCCATCTTAATGAGAAGAGGTGTGGAAGAGAGATTGGAAGGGGAGGTTCGAGGTTGTGTTCAGGGTCGGACGGCAGCGTCAGAGCTGCAGGTCAGGCGGCCAACTGCTTGGAATGAGGCAGCACCATCCATCAAATCCGCACCAGATTCAAGCCAGAGAATGGCAGGGGGGTACCCTCAAATTGAAGTAGAGCAGAGTAGAGAGTAAAGTGAGTAGGGGTGGGAATAGGAAAGTGAAGAGGAGACAAGGCGAAGTGGAGAGTGGGGAGAGTAGCTGACGGGCGTGTATTGTACGGAAATACAGAAAATACAGAGACCGGAGTACAGAAGTAAATTACAGGGGATTTCCTATTCTGTTTTTTATTTATTTGATTTATCTTGATTCTTAGCGAATCAATTGAATTCCAATTCCACTCAGTTGGCCCTCTCAGATTATTAAATCTCATACTGATTTCAAGAGCTGGTGTCTATAAAAAGAAAAAAAGCGCTTTGTTCTATTATAATAGGAGTGTAGGAACAGAAAGAGAGAATAGAAACGGAGACTATAATTATTGTTAAATATTAATCTTTTTTTATGTCTTTTTAGTTTCTCATCCAGCTTTTCCCCTCTTTATGTTATTTTTTGCTCTTTTCTCATTTCTATTTCCCTTTCCTCCGAATTCAATCCGATAAGTTCTACAACGCTGTACTCCCTCGTACTGATCCTAGAACCCAGAATCTTAGTAGTATCTATACCTATACCGATTATAGCTATTAGTACCTGTCACGACAAAACGGCTCCCAAATAAAAATGGGTCTCTTGTTATATCCTATTCTACTTCTGATAATTACGGGTGCGGCCGGGATAAAAGAATCAAAAGTGGTATGTCCCATAATTGACGATCACCCGCATTCACTGAGGAATGCTATACCCCTCGATGGCAAATCGGCATCAAAATCAGTACGAAGTACTCATAGCTACTTCATTTCAGGAGTGTATAATAATATAAGCTAGTTATTCGTTGCCTAGTCAATGGGGGCCGAACTCGGACGAAATACTCCGTAGAAGTATTAATTGAAATAGAGATAGGAAATAGTTAATGCATCTCCAAGTGTACGAAGTAGTCCCCGTTACACGGACTCTCATGTCGTCACTCTACTTTGTACTCCGTTCTTGCGTCCGAATCCACTGACCTTGATTCGATCACGTTTCTCTACTCTCTTTCCCTATTCCTCGTTTAGGATAATACATTTATGTATTAAAATGTCTTCACTTCGTCTTTCCCAATTTGAGCTTGTAATCCGATTTCCGAGAAGGGGCATGTCCGTGGATCCCCTTGCTGCAAAGCCCGTACTGTAAGCCATAGTTAGTCTATAGTCTGAGCCTGAGACAGGGGAACCACGATTAGAGAGTAACTAGTTACTAGGCTGTGAAGATCTTAGAGATCGACTCACTATTTCTAATCCTATTTCTATTTCTATTCTAGTCAGATTCTATTTTCTTCAAGTCGTTCTCCGAAGAGTCTCCGTGTTTCAGCTTCAACTTCCTTGATGACCTGTTATTAGATTACTTCTTTCCAAGGTCCTTCTCCTGACCCACCTTTCACTAAACACTTGGACCATTGGGCATTCTGTGCAATCAAGGTTGGCTTGTTGAATTGGAAGACAATCCACTGTGTCACCGCTGAAAAAGGGTCTATCCCCGACACGACCCACCATGAAACACTGGCGAATGAGCTAGGACACCGCATTCTGTGCCCTGAGACCTAGATTCTGTTTAGACCATCATTGCCACTTATCCTTCGTCTCCTGGGCACAACCCAGGAGGCAATAATTTAGTTCACGTGATACACCCAGATCTATAAGGATTGGAAGGATTACGAGATCGGCGGCTCTTGCTGAAGTTTGTCTTGAACCCACATCACATTTTGATCTCGATGAATGACTGCAGGTGGCTGAGAGAATCTCGAGGCTGTACGAAGTACCTAGGTACCTACCTAGGTACCTAGGTAGTAGTTGCAGGCGCTTCTAAGATCTATTGAGAACCGATCACATACCATTTGTATACAATGACTTTACCAATTCATTGACTGGACTAATTATATCTGTTCCAGTCCGAATGAACATGGATCTAGCTGATCTAGATTTACTACGATTCATTGCCACCACTTCACAACTCAATACACCACATTCTGTGAGATACGCAGTCCAGTAAAATGAGAATAAGCTATGAACCTCAAAATCCAAACATGCAAGATCTAGATAGTGAAGGTAATGCCGAGTATAGTCAACTATCATAAAAGAAGCTCTATAGATCCTCGGATCTTCAACCGACGGGCCGATTGGCGGTGAACCGGATAACTATTTCGGCATATGTAGACGACTACTTTAATTATCGCCTTAACACAAACTAGTCTAACCTGTCTTTGATTTTCTGCTTCTAACCTTGGAACTCACTAGTCACTATTGGAACTAGTAAATATTTCTACAATTAGTGAGTCAGTCGAAGACCTACGTAGCTGAACTCTACACTTCGCGACACCTACACCATCACTAAAATTGAAGTAATAGAAGACTAATAGAAACATTAGTACTATCAGTCCTAACAGCTTCCTTACTTGACAATCCATATTATTCATCTCAGTAATCACATCATGTCGACCGAAATGGAATACACCCGGTACGACCCCGCACCACGCATAAACATCACAGTTCGTACTGATAGCAATCCATGGGTGAAGTCTGGGCAAGTCAGGTCTAAAGATCTCCAAGATTGTCCTAGGCACAATGGGTTTCGGAAGTAGTCAATGGCAGGATTGGGTCCAAGACGAAGAAGAATCTATCGCGCTGATCGAGCACGCCTACAAGAAGGGCATCAACACTTGGGACACCGTAGGTGTGAAGACTACAAGAGAGTGGGACAAGCTAATCAACCTCCCATCTACTTAGGCTGACGTCTACTCCCACGGTCGATCCGAGATCGTCGTTGGCAATGCTCTCAAGAAGCTCAACATCCCCCGTAGCCGCGTGGTTATTCTGACCAAGTGCTTCTACGGCGTCGACGACGAAGGCAACTTCCCCCGATCGCAGCCTCCACCCGCAACCATGGTAGCTTCGTCAACCGCGTCGGTCTTTCGCGCAAGCACATCCTCGAAGCTGTCGACGCTAGTGTCGAGCGTCTCGGTACCTATATCGATGTCCTGCAGATCCACCGTCTAGATCGCGAAACCCCCCGCGAGGAGATCATGAAGGCACTCAATGATGTGGTTGAAAGTGGCAAGGTCCGCTACATCGGCGCCAGCTCGGTGAGTAGAACAAAGCCACCATTCCTGCAACGACCAAAAAAAAAAAATACTAATCCAAATCCATAGATGGCTGCATGGGAGTTCCAATCTCTGCAAAATATCGCCGCCCGTAATGGCTGGCACCAATTTATCTCCATGCAGAACTACCACAATCTAATCGCACGCGAAGAAGAGCGCGAAATGATCCCATACTGTCTCGACGCCGGCATCGGTCTCATCCCCTGGTCACCAATGGCCCGTGGAGTCCTAACCCGGCCATGGGGCACACGCACCAGCGTGCGCGAAAAAACAGACGGTACGCTGAAGGGCCTTATCCGCGCGCGCGAGACAGAAACTGACAAGGCTATTGTGGACCGCGTCGAGGAGATTGCTGGTAAGAAGGGCGTTAGTATGGCGCAGATCGCGCTGGCTTGGTCGCTTAGCCATAAGAATGAGTGCCCAATTGTTGGGCTGAATAGCGTTGCGCGGATTGATGAGGCTGTTGATTCTTTGAAGGTGGTGTTATCGGCTGAAGAAATTACATATCTTGAGGAGCTTTATGCTCCTAAGGGTATTCATCCTGTTGAGCGGTAGATTGCCGCGGGTAATTACTTAGGTATGAGAGGTGAGAATGATGTCCTTGCCCAGGTGGTAAGACTGGACTGAGATGCTTTGAATGAACATATGAGGCGATTAGAGGGTTGTATTCCCGTGCTCCACGAGCATATGACAAGGCTATGTCTGCTTTGTCCTGAGATGTTATTACAAATTAGAAGGAAGATATACAAGAAGAAAATCCACATTTACAGTCAATGGTTGATTCTAATTGCAAGATTGGGCTCCAAAGGAGATCAAATCAGAGTTGAACAGTCTTATGTACAATTAAGTAACCAAGCCAGATGCACATCCCAATTTAGTAAAGTATCGTTCCCACTGATAGTAAACTAGCTCCTCCATTGATCATTAACATGTAAATTGATAACAAGGAGAAATTGAATTTCGAATCTGTCAAGTTAGCTCTACGCAAAATAGCTCTTCCATAGAACACCAGATAAATCTTCCAGCTGATCAGAAGTAAAAGCCTAGAGAGAATTCAGTTAGCGGAGGATATTGAGATTGTCGCATTAGATGAATGATTCTCACCTTGGCATCGATGTGCCAGGTATCTTGCCTGGTCTTTTTGAAGTCGCTGATGATCGACTTCACACTGGAGCCAACAATGCCGGGGTCGTTAGCGGCACGGATGCTCAACGAGGTTAACGCTTCGGGCATCCAGTTGGGCGGAGGACTGTCGTATGGGAAAGCTTGGATCAAAGCACCTAGACCCAACACCGCACCGTGTCGAACGATGACCAGTCGGTTGTGTTCGGGGGTAGGAGTCCCAGCGCCGGAAGGAACAACAGACGAAACAGCTGATCGAGGGTTCTTCGGCTTCTTGGGGAGAGGGTTTTCTACAAGCAGCTTCGTAAAACGCTCCTGGAATCGCTGAACCATCCTGTTTCGCAGGAATGCAGGCGAGCAGCGGATCATGCCTGAGAGCGTGGCAGATGCACCTGCACGAACTTCGTGCTGGGAGTCTTCGAGCATAGAGGCAATGCAGTCGAACAACTTATCGCGATCGGCAGGGTCCAGTAGGAACAGTCGGCGGAAGTAGATGATCTGGATATTGATCATTACACGCAATCGCTGGTGCCAGGATGGAGATGTCTGTCCGATTCTGATGAGAGATTGAATGAACTCGGAGTTCTTCTCGGCGGGATACGGAATGTTGGGGAGGTGGCGGAAGACATGATACGCGAGGGATTGTAATTCCGGGTCCTCCTTGACATCCATCATGTGCAGAAGCTGAGCGGTGAACACCTCGGGGAAGAATGGGACAAGCTGCGTACACTCATGAGAGGAAAGGGTTGAATCTAACCAGAGAAGAACGGTCTTGCTACCAGATGTGTAGGATGAAGGGGTTTGCTGACCTGGACTTCTCAATTGTCGCCACTTTTCAATTTGATCGAAGACTCCTCGAATCATCTTTGAGAAATCCTCTGTTGGAGCATAGGGGTAGATTCCGACTGACGACGAAGACTTTTGAGCGTCCAAAAGCTGCTTGAGGTCGGGGTACGACTCGTGGTATCTTGTACGATAGATCGTCGCAAGGGTCTGGCCCATGGCCTCTCGTACGCCCTTGTATGGGTGGTTTAAATGAGCGAGGAAATCCTCGACAATTGGTTTCTCCAGCTGGAAATGCCATCCAGAATCGATGATGCACTGGTGAAGAAGATTGATTTTCGAGCTCTCCTTGAAAGCTGCGTTGGTGGACATGTCCAGACGGAAGCTGGAAAGCCAATCAACTAGAGGCCAGGCTCGGCGAGGATCACGGCACTGAAGGATCATATGAAGGAAGGTTGTCCAATAACCAGAGTTTTCAGGAGTGAGACCATCGGTAAAGACCTTCCTCACAATGGGGAAAGCATACTCCCAAACCAAGGCTCGGTTCTCCACGCTAGTCTCTGTCGCCGAGCTGATTAAGGCCCCGAGAATCTCAGCAGTGGCACGATGTTGGTGCTTGTCACTGCCATCCTCATAAACGGCCTGGACTTCTTCCTTGATATCCTGGAATGACGCAACAGTGAGGCCATCCCGAAGCATGAGCTCAAAGGCATAGAGCAGTAGCATGGCGGATGACATGCGGAACTTGTCCGCAGAGGGATCTCTTGGCTCCTGCTTCAGGTACATGAAGAATTTGTGAAACCAGTCGCGAGTAAACAATTTGCCAACCTGAGTTCGTACGTTCCACTCAACGTCGTCATATTCGATGTCCCGCTTCACGTTGGATTTGTATGCGGGCATGGTCTTTCCCCAGACCAGCCAGCCTGGAAAATCATGATCGATATAATACTCCGCTTCGGGGTTGGCAAAGCTGTTTAAGTAGTCCTGGGTCCACGCTTTCTCATGAGGTTTGGTTGCAACCTTGATCTTGGAAGGGAAACGTTGGTGACCCAGGATATAATTCTTGTAGTCATGGGTGCAAATGGCACGAACGTCAATGATGGTGAACAGTGCAATGAGAGCCTGAGAGTACATGCCCCGCAAGCCTGGATGGTCATCGATTGAGCCCTTTGTCACCAGGTCAATGAGATTTTGACCGGCGATGTAGTCGAAACGCAGACCCATGGTGATGACAATGGTCGCAGCACGGCTAGCGATCTTCCAATGAGAGATACGCGCCAGGTTCACCAACTCTTCTGCCAGATCGGCCTTTTTCTTCTCGATCATAACACGTTTCTTGTTGATGTTACTTCGCTTTTGCTCGATCTGACTGCTGACATCGCCACTAGGTGCAATCGCTTCCACAATGTCACGGTCCAAAATAGACATCCTCTCCATGGCACGGCCATAATCCATAATCTGGAACACGGCGCTGGAACAAATTTTCTGTACGGATGGCTTGTCTACTGCGCTGGCCTCGATGAAGGTTCGGATCAGACTGGGAGTGTACTTCCAGTTCCGCCCGACAGTCTTTGCCACGCTGCTCAGAAGTAGCGAGAACAAGGCGCCCTTAATACGTGCATTGTCGTTCTCCTTGACGCCCCTCTGGAGTGCCTTGAGAAGAGGGGGGATGATGAGAGTCCGGGCACCCCAAACGGACTTCAGCGCCGATTCACCTGCATTCTGGGCGTTTCGACGCGTCTCTGTGTAGACAGAAACACAGGATTCGGCAAGATCAAACAGAAGAACCTCATCAACCTTGGACCGGGGTCTCGGCGCAGCGTTGTGTCGCAGACGTTGCAGATGATACACATTGGCCCTACGAACCAACAGCGCCCGCGGGTAATCTTTTCGAACACCACTCATCTTGTATGGGTGAATATCTGCCGCCAAAAGACGTGTCACGCGATCTAGAACATGAGCAGATCTTTCGATGCCAACGTCGACAAACCAAGAGCGGAAAGCAGAATACAAAGCTCCGAAGCATGGCACATCATCCTCTTGGTTATCAGCCAGGAACCGATGGGTTTCATGCAAGACCCAGCCTGCTCGCTCACGAGTTTCGTGAATGGTCTTATACAAAGGATCTTCTTCTTCAAGGGGATACCCTGTTGGGTATGTAAAATTTTCCCTGATTGTAGATTCATCTGAGGTGTCAAGATCTTCATCATTGGAGGCAGCCGAGTCATCTTGCATTATGTCAGCTTCGGATGAGGACTGTGAGGCAGCCTTCGGATCAAAGAGCACTGAGATACCAGACAGAAGCAGTCGTAGAAGGACAAGATTTCTTGTGACTTCGTCGGACCAATCCTTGCCGCTTCCGTCACGCTTAATGCTTGAAGTCTCGTGCGTCAATCCAGACAGATGCTTCAAAGCCGTTCCAGCCTGGTTTTCGAAAATTTTGACTGCAAATTCCAGCTCTTCGCGCTTGGGCACGTGCCAGCGGATTGTGAGGTTATTCATATCAGCCTTATAGCTCCAGTGTTGTGGTTGAATGCCACCCTCAACGTCCGCCTCCTCGTACAAAGAGTAGTCCCTGGTGTATGTTCCAGTCAAGTTAAGCAGAAGGTGATGAATGAAGTTAGAAATATGTACAGTAGGGATTCCTCGGCAATTTTGCTGCATGTAAACTGCAATGTCAAAGAGCTCCTCTCGATGGGCAAGAACAGCATCACCGACGTGCACTACACACATACTTAACATGCTGACGTTCCAGACCAAGCCACGATCACGCGGGAGAACATCCGTGCCAGTGGTTCTAGTCGAACCGGCCCCGTTTTCCTCTATTTCACTTCGGATAGCCGCTGTCAAAACTGGAATGAACCGCTTCAGGGCCTTTTCAGGGTTGACCTTGCACAGAGCGTTGCAAATGAATGCCATGGCATCTCGGGCTTGGTGAATGACGTGATTGGATACAAAATCCACAATTTTTGACAAGGCAATATCGTAGTACTCCGGAGATAGAGAAGCAAGAAGAGGCATAAAAGTGGCAGGCAATGTGTTCACGATGTTCTCTTCTGGAGAACTGTTACGCACTCGTGTGACATCTGGCAGGTTCTCCAGGAGTGTGAATACACGGCCAAGTAATGAGATGATGAAGTCTCCAAAGCTACAAGTGGATGAGCGGAGGATCATTTCTTCTGTCTCATCATCTAGCTCGGTGTCGTAATTCAGCTGAACAGCAGCTCCCTGCTCCTCCATACGCTCCATTTCGCCGGTAATCCATTGCAAAGCGAGCATGTTACAGTTAATGTCATCTCTTCCCTTGGTCATGTCTGCCATTGGAATATTGTAGCATGCGGATTGAATGAATGATAGAGCGTGAAGAGACTTTTCAAGGTCATTGGCATCGATACCGGGCAATGCAAGGCCAAGGAGAGTGGTCATATGGCATCGGTAGCCTTTGGTCCGGGTAATAACGCGAGAAAGAACCTGCATGGCACGAAGCGACGACGTGGTTCGATGCACCTCAACGAGACCCTGCAGAGCAGGGTAGATCCTCTGCAAGGCGCCAGGCAGAATAAGATGTGGCTCCAGGTAGGCGAGTCCCTGTAGTGTAGATAAGGAAAAGGTCATTGCAGTGCTGCTCTTGGCGTAGATGCCCATAAAGACTACATCCCTGAGGCAAAGAACAAAGCGTTGCTTCAATGGCTCATTGAGTCGTCGCTCTTGTGGAATATCCATCTCCCCACTTTGCTCACGATTCCAACGCATGACAAAGAAGTCAGTTAGGTAAAATACCAACTGCGACAAGGTCTTTGTCCAGCTGCCCGAGTTAGAAGGGTGGAAGAAAGTTTCCACAGCCTGTATTAGACCCTCCAGTTGACTGAGAATGGAATCTTCCGACTCCAAACAAGTAGGCGAGAGAGACATGACTATCCATCGGGCGATGTGATGGGCCACAGGATGCTTGCGAGTATCACGATCAAGCATGATGCCCAGACCGGAAGAAATATCAACTAGAGCGCTGTATGGAGAGGTAGACTGTCCCACGGGGATCTCTAACAGCCTCAGTATCGCGGTGAAGATAAGTGCAGACTGTTCCTTAGTAAAAATACCGTGCTCAGAGAAGGTGATTTGCCCGGCTGGTAGTGAATCGCGGGCTAGTCGTGAGAGGTAGTCCACATATGTCGTATCAAAGGTTTTTGAGCGACCAACAAGAGACCACAAGTGGAAATGAGTGGGCAAATAATTCTGAGGGAGCAGATCCTCACGGTTAGGTGGAGGGGGCGATGTTGGAAGCAACAGATTGATCAGACCAGCGACCACAAATGCGCCCTCGGAGAAGGAGGTAGTGTAGTGAGGCAAGAATTCCTCAAGCATCGCAGGAAGTTCGCGAGGATCGATGAACAGTTGAGCAAAGGCACATAGCTTAGTGAGTGTCTTTATATTTCTCTTAAGATTAGTCGAGTGAACCAGGCCGGATTCGGTCGGGAGCACAAAAGCCTTGAGTTCTTTGTATAGAGGTTTCCAATCTAGGGTAAGGTCTTTGACGGGCCGAAGATAGTGCTTGCGCCTGTAAAGTATCACGGTCAGTGTTCTTGTTGGATAAAGCAAAGACCAGGGAAAATATTGGGTTGGTTTGGCTCACTTGGTAAGTAGCATGAACATGCTCGCAAATCGCTCCGAGACATTAGGGTCAATACCAGGAGCCAAGGCAAGCTCATAGTAAAGCTTTACTAGGTTGATCCGGTCCTTTCGAGTTGGATCAAACTTGAGTGATAACCATCCTCGGAGCTCACGTGTCCAGTGCACAGCTCCAGGATTGAAGTCCCCAGCTTCGACCGCGATATAAAGGTGCTTCAAAATCTCCTGAAGGGTTCGATCTCGCTCTGGTTCATCTTCAAGCTGGTATGGAAGGTATTTGAAGTATGGGTAGGTTCGCGGTCGGACGCGGGCTTTTGCATCGACATCACCATTCATTGCAGCGGGTTCACCACCTGGCGATGTGGCGCGTGAGAGTTCTTGTGCATGGAAGAAATTATCAGATGTTAGAATTGTCTTGGGTGTCGAGGCATCCATGCTCGGATGCGTAGGAGGAGGTGGTAAGGTCGAGCAACACGGCGTATGATGATGAGGAGTTGAACGTCAGACGGGGCTCTAGAATGCAAAGGTTATCAACTTTTGCAATTTACTATATTGAAATCTGCCGGATGCTTCATCGGCATTCACGATCAGAAACATACATCAACCACGAGATTCGAAATTACCCAAAGGGTGTAGAAGTTGAGGAAAGTATGTTGCACACGGCTGGGTGTGCATGAGGTAGTCTGTGGTCGTTCGGTTTGGCCAGGAAAAAGCTTTCGATATGGGTGTAGGATAGAAATCAACTAGAGGTTGGGGAAGGCTAATGGTAAGCAAATCAGCTAGGATTTCTAGCGCTTCCTTTAACAATCAATTACTGAGAGAGCTATGAATGGTCAAGAAGATGTTACCTTTTCGGCTTAATCGCGGCCTGATGACATAATAGTTGAGAGGATCAGCTTGGAGCTTGGGAGAAAAAAAAAAAAGAAGAGTCCAGAACGATACGTAGTAGATTAAGCTTAAAATAGTACTTGGTTAGATCGTAGATAATCTCTAAGAGAAAGACTAGAATACTGAGATAATGAAAATTTTGATTCGGTTTATAAGTGGGAAGAATACTATGTAGGGCCCATTAGGCTGACGCAAGCATACGTGGTAGACAAGCTACGAAGCAGAGAGAAAGATAGTTACATAAGGAGAAAGGAATTTAATTTGTTGCACATTAAACAAGTTATCTGTTTCAAGCAGGGGGCAAGAAAGAACCAAAGAGAACCCCTTGGATCAACGCATAGACCACCATTGCCTGAGCCGCGACCGCTAGGCTGCGATGGCGCTTACGAGGATCCTGAAGATTGACCATGGCACCGGATACTAAGAACCAGTACCACAACGGATATCCAGACGATATTCGGTTAATAATCTGGACGTGATAGCTGGTCAAAGCCATGATTGCCAACAACAATTGAGGTATTGCTAGGCGAAAGAGCATGGACCCGGGACTGAGTGAAGACTGGGATAGACCTCCAGACGCCGAGCTCAAAGTCACAGGTGCCTTCAAAGCCCATAGAGATGACTTACACAATATTGCAAGTACCGGCGCTGCTAGCAGAAATAGTGGCAGGTTTGATATGGTCCAGTATCGAAGAAACCCAACGTTCCTAAAGACAGTCAGTGGGTTAGTCATCATTGAGTAAGAAGAGTACGACTGACCAGTAAAATCCCTGGACGAAGGTATAGATACTGGGCACAGTCCAGCTGCACCACGGTCGAGCTTCCATCCCTGTACAATAGATATGGTATGCGGAGATCTGGGGTACTATCATCCCTAGAGCCACGATACATCCTCCCAGAACAACCACACCCAACCGACGAAGGGTGTGGACAGAGGGACCCTGAGTCAAAGTTTCCCATGCCAGCAACACGGCATCATAAGCAAATAAAAATCCACTGAGGATACCGTTGCTACGGACCAGGGTGGCAATTGCAAAAAACACAGATGCTACGAGAACATTGAAGTCCCGCAGAGCCGGAATGCGTTTGCGCTCCGCAATCAGGGAAGACGAATAGAAGTAGAATCCTGAAAAGTTGAGAAAGGAAAACGTGGACTCTCCATATGGGGCAGAAAGAAAAGCTCCAGCGGGTGTGATGATATGAAGTGTAGCTGATAAGAAACAAATGAGTCTTTGGGTGACTGTCTCGTCACCGAAGATATTGCCGGACAAGCCATATAGAGCTAGAACCGAAAGATAGTGCGCAAAATGGGAGACGGCAACCCCGACTACCACGGTAGTGACCGTCCCATCTTCTCCTCCCGACCAGCGAATCACTAAGCACTAGTTAGCTGACTGTATCTCCCAAAGAAATCAGATCATCTCTACCAGAAACAAAGAAGCTCAAAAGTCTCGGCCAGCTAAAAGCCCACTCTTGCTCAAAGACATATCCCTGCTCAGAGGTATGGAGAAAATATATGGAATCCCAGCGGGCGAACTTCAATGACATAGGAAGTGACCCGTCATGGCCAGCATCCAATACCAAAGAAGTTGAGGTGTCATAGCCCGGACCAGGGCAGGCAGCAACCACGATGAACAATAAAGCTTTCCATAGCCAGAAAGCAGCTGTCAAGCTTCCAATAGGATTATCTAATTGGAGTAACTTGGCGAAGCGTGGGCCAATTGAGGACATTCTGTCCCAAATGGGAAAGAGAGGAAGGTTAAGGCCGAAGAATAAAGATGGATATGTTGATGACTAATAACAATACATCAAACCGAGGTTGGATTAGTCATCGGAACTCGGCTTACGGGCCGAGCAGACCGTGTACAGACCATGTATAGACCAATCAACCTCAATTCTATTCTGTACTCCGCAGCTCGATGGAGTAACGAACCCCTTCATAATTGTGTGGCAATTTTGACGAGTGGACACAGGTCAGGTGGGCTGACAGAAACTGTGGACGCAAACCCTGCTCAGCCCTGTGAAGCTATCACCGAGGTATGTATATTGTTGTACGGAGTACCATTGCTATAGATAACTATCTACCACTCCTCATAAGACATTGGATTAGATTCTTGGAAGACATCATCTAATATACTACCTTGGTAAAGGAGTATTAAAGTTTCATATAATGAGAATAATTTGTGGGGGCGTAATTAGTCCGAGTATGGCCGGAGTCTATACTTAGTAGACAATTAATGTGCTGATTACCTTGGTAGGCAAAAGCACTCCATTCTCTACTTACTCAGTACTAAGTAGTAAAATAATATTGACATTATCTAGATATATTTAGCTAGTTTATACTTGACAACACTGAAACTAACCCTGTATGTACATTGGCAGGTAAACAGTACACAGTACTTGTGCTATAGCCGCGTCACAGTTCCACCTGAGCCAAGCCACACAATATAAGGAACTAATCCATATCTATCGGCGGTAAGGTCATGACGTCTTGGTTCGGAGGCTGAGTTCCTCCTTCTTAACTCCGTAGGTGGAGATGATTTGATTATTTCATTCGGACCGGATGTGATCGGACGCCGCCTTGCCCGATTCCGCTTTTCCTCTTCAATTTTCACTTTCTACTCTCCGAACTAGGATCGGACTCCACCTTAGTATAAGGCTGACCGCCCATTTTTGGGATTTGTGATTTGTGGTTTTTGATTTTATACAATGGGGGTTCTATCCCTAAAATCTCTTATTATCCCCCTTGCATTCCACCCTTTTCCTTGTCATACCACTGACTTATTTCCTTTCTTGTGCTACTCCTTCTCCTTTTACTTTCCATTCCCTTTCAGCTTTCAGCTTTCAGCTCCATTTTCATCCTTCCCACACTTGACCCTTACATAGTAGATGTCTTCTTCACAACTCTGTACTGGAAGCCTATAACCGACACTCTCAACAGGAGCTCAATGTGGCTCCACTAGACGGTCAAGAATGCTGCTAAACCTGGGTCTCACCGCCGATGCTGCAGCTGCTCATACCACAGATCTTAGCGTCCAGCTAGAGACGCCACCAACTACTCCATCATACTATTCAGCGTTCTCCTTTCCAAAACTACCATTCGTTGGAAACCTCTATAATAAATCACACCAGTTGGATGGTCATACTCCACGACCAGCCTCTATCACCGCCATGAGTGCCCTCGCCTTGCCGAGCGGGGCCAACTCGACTCAAACTGTTCGTATCGGCCGATCAAATACTACACGGAAATCTACGCGACGAAAAACATCATACCAGCTAGCACATCCTGCTTCCCATGCTCGCCACAAACGCCTCAAGCTTCGCCCAAAATTGCTACTCCAGCTGCAACAAACCTCACAAACTCCTCGGCCCTTACCTATCTTAGATATCTTGCCCTCCACACTATACTTGCCTCGACTAGCTCGGAAATTTCCCACCATGTTCCGAGGAAAGAATGGCCTGGGCCCTAACGACTTGATAATTGTCCTGAGCGATCTATACGAACGAACGGCGGTCAATATCCCCAAAAATCCGTCGTCGGAAGATGAGGATGAAGATCAGCGCGAAGTGGTGGCGACAATCTGTCAGATGCTTCAAGATGATGCTCGTATGCAAGGGAAGGCTGAGATCTGCATGAACTTCGGGCCAGTGTGGGAAGCCACCCCACTGCCCTCAGGTTCATATGAATTTGTCGCACACATCGGAAATGATGTCAAGGTATTACGTTGGGCCTTGCGTGGAGCTAAGAGTCGCCGATTATCTGCACCCACAGGAGCCGTTCTGCGTGAAGACACCAAGAAATTCACCTTTAGCGTCCTCGATCCAACCACCCGCCGCCATCCAGTCATCGCCACCATGACTCGCAATCAATTGGAAGTCTTTGACGAATATTCTACATCGGTTCGATCGGATCTAGCAACGCCAAGCTCAGGCATGTCTGTAGTCAGTGACTTGTCCGATGCGGATGCACCCTTGGACCCAAGAGAGAATGTTGTCCCACTTGAGGATGGCCTGCGAACTTTGATTATTGTGACCAGTATCTGGGTGGCCTTCCGTGAGGGCTGGTCTGACATTTTCAGCTATGACCCGGTCTCATCGATCGCCAAAAGTCCCGTCCAACTGGCTTCCCAAAGCGGCTCACCAGTAGCCGCCAAGAACGAGGTCAGATCTGTTGATCAGGATGATTGTTCTCCGAGGGACCTGACAAATAGGGCCAAGCGCTGCGTCTCTGTGTCTAGTGTCCATCGTGCCGTCGCAACACCCTCCGCTGATAAGTCCTTTGGTAGTCTGTCTAAACGGTCAAATTCAAGCGGTGCTGCTTTCATGGAGCGAGCCAAGCAACGTAGCACCTCAACTGGAGCCCGATTGAATCGCCACACAATGGTCTCAGGCCCGGCTGACAACGGTCACATTGTTGTCTCTCGTCCACCGTCGTTACGACAGAACTCTACCGGACCCGAAGAGATTTCACAGCCTATTCACAATCGATCACGAAGTAGCACCAAAACTCAGTTCATCGTCCCCGACACCTCCAAATTCAAAGTAGATCGGGCATCAACTCCTCCCTCGCATCACTCTCAAGCTCGGACCGCCGAAGAACCCAAAACCCCTGAGGACCGTCCAGAACCAGCCAAGGGAAAACGGCGTCATCGGCTCAGCTCCTTCTTCCATATATTCCACCGAAAACACGAGGTCCATTGACGACCTTGTTTACGTCATCACATGTATACCCCCTTATCATTTCAAAAGCGACCATATTACCTTTCTTACCTCTGGCATTGCTTCGGCTGGCACGAAGCACTGGCCTTTTTCAACTGACATTATTTTTCTTTCAATTCTCCCATCGCAACGCGCGGTCTTTCATATACTATTTGGGCATTTCATTGGCATCAACCTTACTCTTACTCTTCTCGACATCATCTCGGGCCCATCATGATGTATATGGATACGAATATACCCTATTTCTTCACTATCACAATTCTTCTTTACATAACTTAGTCTTAAGTCACATAGTAGCTGAGTAACCAACTTTCATCAAGTCACAACCTAGATATGGATTTACCTATGGTTAGACGTCAAATTAAACTAACTAACCTCAGTTTACTCCCTTTGACGCGAGTCTGCTAGCGGCCTCAGGTAGCGACAGTTAATGTACCCCGTAGGTGAATATCTGGGTATACAACCCCGGAAATCACCAGCTTAGCTTCTTCCTCCGTCACCCATCTACAGTACATACTCCCGAAGTCTGCGCCAAGAAGAGAAAAAATGAAAAGACAGGCAAAAATATGGCAGCCTTGAAAGCGAGCTCCTGTATACCCCCCAGTGGATACCTAGGATCTAGCTCTCTCTCTCTCTGGCTTGGCGATTTTGCCAAGTAGCAGCACGTTTGTTCCTCCAAAATGTCTTGCAAATTTTATTACTTATATGGAGAAGGTAACAGTATCTCGGTGGTTATATCGGCCTACACTTCACCCACTCTATTTCTTCTCCAACTCTCATCTTTCTGTTCTGCTTCAACCTCCCGAAATCCATTAAGCTCACAAAATATGACCTTGAGACCAGTTCAATTTTAATCTATACGGAGTTCACTATGATGAAGGAACCATTCAAATCAAAGTGGCACTTTCCACGACACATTTTCCACCCACACCAAACGCCAACTCGGAAGTCAGCCTACGCAAGGTTGATAAAAAGAGTCTGCATTCTTCACTTCGCTGAAATGAGGATTGTTGCAAAAGAGTCCAGGCTTGAAGCGAAGACTCAAAGGCAGTTAAGGATGCCCCGGAAGACCTTTTGCTATCGATGTTTGATGCTCTGAGTCAATTGGCCCCATATGAAGTTGAGGAAAAAGACCGCAGGTATTTCCACTGACCCAAAAAAATAGGGACATTAGAAATTTTAGCCTCTTCGGTACTCACTAGATCTTTGAATCCGGTTTTTGGCAGGTACTCTAGCGTCGATCGAGATTATGGGGCATCTCTTCATGAGTCCAAGGTCTCCTCTCACCACTAATATCCACCCATAATCCAAGCACCAGTATGGCAAACCAATTCGGCCACATTTATGTCCCCAGCAGCTCACGGACATATATCGCCTTATCCAGGAGTGGTTGCACTCTACCTAGCCAGCTCCTTCGCAGGATCTGAAGTTATGTTCAGTGAATGATCAATAAATGTTTCCCTGGTACCCTGATACCTTGAACACTCTTTTTAATTTTCTTCTAGGTGGTTCAGCTTCGAGTATCTGGTTTATTCGTCGCGCCTGTGGATTGAATTAGCGATACTAAGCTGAGATATCATGGATAATTACGGAGTACACGCTGGCCAATTATGAGATCACTTTCCAGTGTACAACAATGCTAACGACAAGTCAGATCATATTCGGAGACGTGAGGAACCCTCATATTCCCAAATCATGCCTAGAGAGTCCTGAGTGAAACAAACCACCGGCTTACCCCAATTCAACCTACAAATCAGATGAACAAACTCACACAAAACCAGACCTCTGTTAGAATATTTTTTTGCGCGCAGTATGCATCTGGGCAGTTGAGAAGTGCCTGACAGCCTTAATATCAGCGCCTTAGTTTCATTATTTATTAGGGCTGTCTTAAGTTTCGTTAACCACTCTGCCTAGTTAGTAGCAGGGACTATCTGTCCGAAGATTGCTCTCAAGACTAAAATCCAGAACTTGGTTCTTAGCCTTTATGTCAAAGGGGCACGCTACTGCCCTTGACTGGATGACAATGTCATTTTTTACCTTTCAAATTTCCCTGTTAGCGACTATATGAGGCTGATTAAAGGCTCGTTCTTTTCAAAAATCGAGACATATTAATCTAGTAATCTTAGACAAATGATGCGATGCAGTTCCTTTTGCCATCAGAACAGCTGGTCTGGAAAAATCATCTGTTATCAAGAATGCACAGCAGCATGGAAGCGATGGCTGGAACGTTTTGCGGCAAAATCAACATCACCAAAACTGCCTCGGCACATTATTACTAATTGAGCAAAGGAGCTCAGCTACAAGATTTTATTATTAAAAGAAAAAGATCTGTAGGGATGGTAACGGATTGACGGATTGACGGATTTGAGATCCGTACCACCCCTCATATTTGCTGGGATATGTCTTTCTTCTGCGGAAGTATGTACCGATTAGTTGGAGTTATAACCTTTTTGTAGAATATTCAGGGCCACAATACTCTCCCATGAGATGGAACAGGCTCTTTACAGCCAACAACAGCAGGCGTAAGATACAACCTAGAAATCTACCTACAGTAACATGCCCTGTGATGACTAGATGGATCAAAGTCTGCACGTACAACTATGCACCCACCTAAATGACCCTAAAAGTTTATCACTTCCTAAACTACTACCTAGGCATCATACACATCCCTTTGCTGAACGTCCCATTACCATCAGTTACGGCTTTTTCGCTCAAGGACAAAGAAAGTAAACCGCGATGTGTATATCTCGATGAAGTGAACAGTCGGAAAGGGCCTATTCGAGGTCGCTCTTGGCTGACAAGCTCTGCGAGGGGCTGCTTGACGACTCCGAGTTTGACGGCTACTGGGTCTGGATTGCGCAGATGGGGTTGCGGAGATAGAGCGCATGGTGGAGATGTGTGGAGATGTGAAGGGTGCCCAGAGGCCAATATGACCAACCTGAGACCCTTCATCCGATACTCCTTTGACGGTCAAATAACTGAAACTCCGATTTGAATCCTTTTTCACTTCCACCATCGTCAGGACTTGAAAATTCAAGTCCACTCTGGATTCTTCTAATGTTGACAACGGCATCCTGCAAAATGGATGCATATGAAACCGACTTGATCGAGCAGCTCGACATGTAGCCAGTTTATTGAAGGCAAATATCCAAAGTTATGATGCAAAGAAACATTCAATTAGGAAAAAATAATACCAACCCCATCATAACATTTCATGTGCACTTTGTCGACTGGCTAGTGTATCTCAATCCGATAAGTATCTGATGGAGACAGACGGCTAGGCTACTTTGGTAGAATCTGCAGAGAAAATATGTAGGAACTACATGATACAAAGAAACTATTCTCCGGCTATGCAGATGGAATCGTTGTTGTTCTGAACCTGTCTGTTATGAATAATGGAACTTTTCTCACTGACGAGGGCATTTCTCTGCTGTTTGTTCGGGCCTTTCGACTCCAGCAGCACGACGCTGGTAAGATTCTGTGGTGTCAGCCGGAGAATGAAGAAGAACAAATAAGACTATCTATCTAGTCTAAAAAAGATATGCGAGAAAGCCCAGCATAATGTCGTTTACTTTGTGCCTTAGCGGGATTGTTGCCTCAGGCCTTCAGGTACTGGCAAACTATGTAGGTAGAAGGCAGCTTAATATTGGATCACCCAGCTTCAAACAACTACCTGGGGGATCTTGTTTCAGCTTGGATGAAAGTTCTCCATATTTGTCTATCTAATCTTGAATAATCCCCCGTCAATACTCTTATAGTGATCCTCATATCATTTCCATCAAAACGAACATCTTTAATTTCAAGTGATTTGAATCAACCATTTTACCTGGGTACCTTAAAACTACAATAATTAAATATTGAATCAGAATCCAGATCCAAAAGATGTGGACTCGAGGCCACAAGCTATAATCTGTGTAGATTTGCTGAGTTGTTCAAAACTAATTAAACATGTACTACATGTTCCACCATGTATGACACATGAACTCAACATTTGAAGCCATTTGAGTCTAGATATGCTAATTGGCTAAGAGTCGCTTAAAATGATCAAATTTAAATCATAAGACGAGTGATACAGTCTGTACAACCCAAAGTTCCGGCCATTTTATGCTCCAGGGCTTCCACATTTCCGCATCCGGAAAACTCGACAAACCCATGCGACGTCGCCATGACATGATATCCTTATAATACCTTTTGATTTCTCTTCTCACTACTTCTCTTTTGGCTGGTCTTCTCTTCATATTAATTCTTTTTCCTTTTTCTTTTGTGTTTATTGCTTCTTTGCTATTAATTGCTATCAATTCTTTCTGTAGCTCCAAATCTCCACCCCCAGACCCCATGTTCTAGACTACCTTCTTTTCCTGAGTGATCACCATATTTATTCTCATAATGTCAAGTCATGGTCGCAATGCCAGGGCCAGGTCTTCTTCACCTACAACGCAAACAATTTTGTGGCTTGGCTGTCTTGTTTTCGTCCTCACCGTCATCGAAACATACTCCCACTTCACTGCACACCCTGACGTATCATTTATTCGCTGGATCTGTCACCAAGATCACAAAAATCATAGAGTTATTCGACCGGGACAGTATCGTGAGACTACGAGCCATCAATATGCTGTGAACAATCCAGATGACAACATAGAGGACGAGGACGAGGACTATGGAATGGGCACCGAGCATGATGAAAGGTATTTGATCAACATAAATCTCTATACCAGCTGGCTAAGAATTAACTTTCGGTTTTTAGAGATCCATTATTCTACATGGGTGGAACATTGACTCTCACCAGCACTCATTCCACTGACCTAGACCACCCTCACCCCATTCCCTCCATCTATGACCCGTATCCGGCATACAATAGTAAAGAATGGAGAAAAAAGAATCATGGGGACTTCAAAGCTTGCTTAGGGCCGCGTGGTCGTGACTTGGACCGCATATCTTCTGAAGACATGATGCTCGTCTATAAAGGGAAGCAGGATGGATTCCCATCACCTAAAATCGGATCATATGAAGCTATGGATCTAGATGGTGATGTCTGCGCAGACAAATACTCTCGTTTTGGCGCGTATGGCTTTGACGAAGACGAGACAGAGGAGATTCCGGGCTTTACTCGTCCGCCAATGGTTAGCTGGTACGATGTTGATTGGCACAAGTTGCAATCTCAATGCTTCGAGAGAAATATCAATCGCTACGCGCCTAGTAGCTTGACGGAGCAGTCATATCAGCAGCCACTCTCTTTTGAACTGAGAGAGCCACCGAAGAAGATGGACGGCTCGGATACTGCTTCTTCTCTAAAGCCATATCATCCGCGATCTGCGCTCTTGATTCGTACTTGGCATGAAATGCTCTGGACTAAGAACCATCGGGAATATCTACGGGCGCTGATCATGGAGCTTTCTCTGCATTCTGGTGCTGAGTATGAGGTCTTCATCCTGGTTCACGTGAAGGATGATGAGCTCCCGATGTTTTCGGATCCGAAAACAGTGGCTCAGCTTAAGAAGTCGATTCCTCAGGAATTTAGAAACATGGCTGTCTTCTTCAACAATAAGCTGTTGGAGGCATGGTATCCTAAAATTCCGGAACATACGTAAGATTTGGGTTGTATTCCATTGGAAAATGACAGACACACTGACCTCTTCCTCTAGTCCAATCTATCAACATCACCAGCCTCTGCAAATCTTCGCCCAACTATATCCCAACTTCGAGTATTATTGGCAATTGGAAATGGATGGTCGCCACACAGGCCATACCTATCACTTCCTCGATAAAGCCATATCCTTCGCACGAGACCAACCTCGAAAGTACCTATGGGAGCGTAACGCCTACTTCTACGTTCCAGGTGCACACGGTCCCTGGGAAAACTTCACACAGATGGTGGACGAAGAGCTGAAAGACAAGTCCAACTCAACAGTATGGGGCCCCATTGGAGGCACTGGAATCCGCCCCCAGGGCCCCGAAGCACCAGTATCACCCGACAGTGACAATTACACCTGGGGAGTAGGAGAGGAAGCAGATTTCATAACCTTCCTCCCAATTTTCAATCCAAAAGACACGCAGTGGACCTTTCCTGACATGGTTTGGAACTTCAGGAATGGCCTTGACACACCCCGCCGCGCAGCAGTTATCACCATGGGCCGGTATTCTCGCCGACTGCTCGATCTAATCCACCAAGCGCAAGCCACGCGTGGACTGGGCCTCGTGTCAGAGATGACAGGCGCCTCGTGGGCGCTGTATCACGGACTTAAGGCTGTGCATGTGCCGCATCCCATCTACGCAGATGGAAAATGGACACCGCGTGAGCTAGCTAGGATTTACAATCGCGGCGAAGCAGATAATATCAATGGGGGCGACGACAGCATTTGGAACTGGGATCATTTGTACGATCATATCATGTATCGGCTGTCCTACATGTTTACGACTCATACCGCCGAGGACCTTTACAGGAGGTGGATGGGGTACCGGACTGCAGCAGGTGAAGGAGGGAAGACTGTGAGTTTCCCTTTTAATTATTCTCCCTGTTCCACAAATAATGCTTCGTGGTGAGGGGACGCTTTCGGAGTATACTTGCTAACCTTTGCCTTCTAGTCCTCTGAACTTCGGTATGGGCGACATTGTTTCCCGTCTATGTTCCTTCATACGGTCAAGAATGCTGAGATGGGTATTGTAGGTAATAGCAAGGCTGTGCCTTGAATTATGGGAAATGATTTTATTCTATTTTTGATGTTTTGTTATGATTGAATATCATAATGACAGTTTTAGCTAGTGATTGCAATATTTCAAGATTTCTTCCTGTGCCCACTTCGTACAGCATACCTTGATAAATTAATTCAATATCTGCTTTCTACCAGTACATTCATATCTAACTATCAATGGTTACTAGGTAGCATGGGATGACTAGAGAAATGCCCTCCCGAGGTCTGGTTTCAGAGATCCACAACGACTAGTACTCAAAAATCTCACTAGGTCTAAGTTCCGTGAAGCCCACTTAATTATCTCGTGCTTTTACGGGCAGACGGAAGTAGGTCAAACGAGTGGTATTTTACCTAGGAAATTGTGCAAAAAAATGTATTAGTAAGGACGTATCGAACGCTATCAATACATGTAGTATAAAAACCTCTTGTATGCGTGGTGCGCACAAGGGCATAGTCATGAGTTTATGACCCATTTTGAAAGAATTCATTAAACCCCGGGAAAAGGTGAGCTCTGGTATCCGATGCTTGAATCAATGAGCCCTTGTAAATTGCTTTTTTCTTCTTCTCGGATTCACGACAGTTGAAAGGTCGAAAGGTCGAGAGGAAATGATAGTCAAGCAATCAGGTTAAGGAAGGATATGGTTGTAGAATAGGTAGGATTGGTGGATCATAGAACTTGAAAGTATGGGCACGCTTCAATAATCTCCTCATCGCCATTCGCAAAGTCCCATCCCACAATGCGTGGATCCACACTGGCGCAAATGATTTTGCGCGAGTCAAATTGAACTTTGAAAACCCTTGACGCTGATAGTGAAGATTGAAGGCGATGATGACCGCGAACCTGACGACCGGGAGCGATTTGAGGTGCTGGTGTAAGTACAGCGACGTTATTGGGATTGATATTGGGATCGATATTGGCGTTATTGGCGTCAGATGCGGCTAGGACCTGCGCGGCTTGTAATTGCTCAGCTTGCGTTGATACAACAGTTCGTGCTGCATCGCTGAGATTGTCACGGGCAGCACTATTCACGGCATCTGGCTGTCTAAGTCGATAGCTCTCTACCCACCCATTGGGGCCTTTGTGCCAGACTATAACTGTTTCATCGTATGAGCCAGATACGATGCGACTCCACTCATTACTTCCACCACCGGGAGGAAGCTTTGCTCCGAGAGCAGGAAGATCCAGAGGATTTTGAGATCCGGCCGTGTTGGTGTAATGACCGGCACGTCGCATGGCCCTGGGGCCCATACCTACAGGAACACCATCCTGCTGCGCCTTCCAGAATGCACTCTCAATTTTCGATACCTCGTGGCGAAATTTCTCATCGGCCCCTGGTGGGTCACCGTACCCAGCTTGGACTGTACGGACAAGATTATTGTGGCCTTTAAGAACTGCCACTTCCACTCCAGTGATATGATCGAAGATCCGGACTGTGTTGTCATTGCTTCCGCTGATGATACGGCGGCCATCAAACTCAACACATGCAATACCTTTTGTATGGTGGCCCATCAAGGTTTTTTTGCAGGTACCATTACGAATATTCCAGACTTTGATCGTACGATCGCCTGATGCAGTGACGATCTCATCTCCACGAAGTTCCATGGCATTGATCGCGGCATTATGCCCTTGAATGATCATTAGAAGCGAATAGGGCTTCAAAGGCTTGAATTCCTCATGGAATAGTCGGGACTGGAGAATATCAGGTTCCATACCATCCAGGTCGATAATGTAATGTGGAAAAACAGCTGGTGTGCCGCGGGATATGCGCGGGTAGTTCTCATCGGTCACCGCAAGCTCTCGTCGATTCCAAACTTTGACCATTCTGTCTTTGGAACAAGTGACAAGGTAGCGATTATCAAATTTAAGGTTAAGTACCGAGTCGGTATGGGCATTGCAGATTTGGTGGAGCTTCTCTCCAGTAGAAAACTTCCACATTATCACGGACTGGTCACTGCTACCGGAGATGATGATGTCTTCTTCGGGGCTGGGATCAAATTGGAGGCACAGTACTGATCTCTCATGTCCAATGAGCGGGCGGTGCCATAGACGTTTGGTCTCCAAGTCCCAGACGCGCACTGTCTTGTCGCGACTACCACTGACCAGCCACTTTCCTTCGAACTGAATCGCATATACGCATTCGCCGTGAGCCTCTTCCGGGTGTGAGGGGTGAGGAAGCTGGAAATTGGTATGTCTACCATGATGCCAATTGGCTTCGAGGCGACGACGCTGCTTATAAAGATGAACCCAGTTGATTTTTGGACTACCGTCCGGGGCGCACGTCACAAGTGAAGACCGTAGTGGTGGGTATAATACGGATGAAAGGTGGGAGGCAGGCTTCGAAGGACTGAGGCCGAGCTCATCAACTTCTACTCCAACTTGGTCGTCCACATCAACCATTTCCTCCTCATTATCAGATTCTGCACGACCTTCGCCATTAGCTTCAGGATCACTTGAGTCTCGCCATGACGAAGGTACGCGTTTCTTATGCTGTGGCTCTTCTAGATCTATCTCTGGGTGTCGAGGGCGTGCCTTGCGCGGCCACACCGCCCCAGCATTTTCCTGTTCAAAAGTCCGAATTGCTTGGATGTCCGCTTTCCATCCTTCATTAACAAAACATCCCCTGAAAATACTCGAGCTAAGTATTCGATGGCGCCATGAGCGCGACGCGAGCGAGGCATCCAGAAGTGTGCGTGGTTCAAGGTAGGAGAATATTTGGTCGGTCAGTTCCGTAGGTAGCCTCAAAACGGGGTCCATATGGAGCAGCGGATTAATTCTTTCTACAACGCATGCAAGGGCTGGAGTAGATAGCGAGCGTAGCAATTCGTATGCAATTTCTAGTGGAATTAGCAGAGAATCCAAAGGGAGTCACTAGTACAATTTTGGGATATCGCACCAGCTTTTTCTTTCTCGCTCAGGTTAGTCAGCCAGTCAGGAAGGGTCATGGCATCAGACACTAGTTCCTTATCTATCTGGCTCTGAGTCTCATCTGAATAGCCTTCGTCCAGCTTGAATGACGATGAAAGTGATGACACAGGGAAGTCGGCAGTACTTGGCTGCAGCGGCAGATGTGGAGGTACAAAGCATTCTGGCATCATCTCCCGATCCATTGTAGGGGAACAAATAGCTGCGAATGGAGGGCACGTGAAATTGCCACTATACCATCCAGTTTGAGGTAATATATGCGCAATATGGAGCTCCTGTTGTAGTTTCTGAGTTGGAACGAGCCTCCTACGTTTGCTAGAGCAAATCTAGAATCTGTGATGCATGTCACGTCACGTCACTTTTGAAGGAGAAAGGATCCACAGAAAAGTGATTGATTTGATCCACAAGAGAACAAGATATGGGTAAGCTAGAGATTATAAAGAATCTACTGAGTGTTATTTCCAAGAACTGAATCAAGGAGAACACATAGATTCTTCATAGTTGCAATAGAATGAGGAATTAATCAACCAAAGACATCACGGATGCTTGGTCGAAGTGATCGCCTTGGCATTCAGGCGGTAAGGCCTCGGGAAAACAGTTTTACCGTTGCTGCGTAATGTTTGGTCTGTTTGGATTAGTTAGTTAGTTCCACTGTGGACTTGTAACATCTTTCATATCTCAGCAACCAATCAGCACTAGGTTACCGACTCAATCCAAGGCTGGAAACCCAGCTCATAGTCCACTGGAAAAGGATAGACGATATGCACGCTAGGCATCGGAGATATCAATAGTGATTGCCGAAGCCTACGCATCATAACGCATGAGCTTATCAGATCAGTGGGTTGATTAGTCCAGTGGTGACATTGGAAAGTAGCCCCGTCAGTTCAACTGGAGATTCAGGATTTATGGGATATTCATCTCCAGCAGCACCCCAGCGGAGTGAGAGTTCCAATCAACTTGTATCGTGGTGATGCGCCCAAACGATCATATTGAAAAGATTTTAGCGTTTCTGGTGTCCAGATTTCAAATTGCCATCATATGGTAGTTTACCTAGGTACACTGATTGACAGTACTGTGATAATCTGAGATAACATAACTACCTTTTAGGACACCACCTGGGTATATGCTGTTTCATCATGCTACAACAATATTTCAAGGTTTCAAGGTTGAAAATTGGGCCTTGCTGTCTCAACTGCCGCTTGGGCACTCAGCCCATTGGAGTCAGGCCCAGGCGAGCTGCTCAGTTGTCATAGAGTGGTAAGTCAAAGTGTACAGTCATAATCTGACTCAGAATTGAAGTCTAAAGATATTTTGCTCACGAGATGGACAGAAAGCGTAATTGCTCGTATAGTATAACATAACCTTAGGCTTAATGTTATAACTACTTGATATACACTAGACGTATCATGTGACTAAAAATCGAGATCCCATCCTAACTTTTGAACTAAATATTGCATATGTCTCTTTATTTATTTTTTAAACAAATGCATATTGCATTACTCTGTAATCTTCAGAATAATTTGCATATCTAGCTCTGGAGTTTCACGGACCAAGGTACGTGAACCGGTATGAAACATGGAGATGAACGAGTGCGGAGTACTTAACCTCCCAAACCCTAAGTACATGATTTTGCTATGAAAATTGAAGAAATTAACTCCTGATAAATTCTGATGAATTTTTAGAGGTTCTTTACTCTTATAATATAACTCAAATCACTATCAGCAGCTTTACCTCAAATCAAAACCGTTAACATGCAAACTGGTAGTAAAAGATGATGTCTCTGTCTCAGGTTAATACACGGACTCGTGCCCCTCTCCACATCCCACCCGATGGAACACGCGCTAAGCCCTAACAGGGAACCTAGTAGCCCCTTTGATAAATCCATGTATTCTTGCCATATACTATGTGCTATAGTAAGTGAGAGATCAGGAAACAGTCTTGCTGGGGAGATGGAAGATCTTATCTGCAAGAACTTGTTAAAGGCTGCAGCTTAAACTCTTCGTATATGACCTTGAAGATTCTAAGGATAGTATTGTTGATCACGTGATATAATCAAATGGCGGAAAACCTCGAGATTACTCCGTACTTGTCGCCCTTAACTTTCTTTACATTGCCCTGCAGCGTTAAGTTACCCGCCCAGTATTTCTTGTCCCATAGATTGGGTCACGTTGGCTGCTGGATTTGAGATCTCTTGTTTTTTTTTTCCTTGAACCGTGAACGGGCCCTCTTATCACACCATCGAATAAAAGATAAAGTGGCGGCACGGTCTAGATATTCTGCCGGCTGATATCCTTGACTCCCCCTCCCTACCACAACCGCATATCCACTCTCGACAACCAACGTTGCGACACAGGTGAAACCATATCCCCGAGATTTTGAAAACACCCTCGATATTGTCCTGCGCGAAGCCTTGTCCATATCGTCTTGTCGTGGGAAATCGATGATCGGCAATTCTATCATCTCGACGCTCGTCGCCCCCTATACCTGATATTATATACATACCCTAGTCTGCTGTGCGGATATTAACTGAGCCTGGCTGGTCTAACTCACACATACCGGATTAATGATTGCGACCGCAAACATGAGTGGTGCCCCAGTCGCTGAGGACAACATCATCAACCGGCGCGGCGGAGAGTCGATCTACCAAAGTTGCGTCAACTTGAAGAGGCGACTTTCTGAGGTCCCCACATTCGAGCCCTTCCTGCAAGAGATGGACGAAGAAGATCACGCCAATGGAAATACAGACCCGGTATCTTCTTTGTGGAACTGCCTTCGAAATGGATACCCGCTTTTGAGCATCTACAATGCGTCCGGTCCGGACGAGGAATTGATACTCGACCCGGCCAAGGTGCCTGAAGCAAAACGACCGAAAGCTGCGACCTTTAAGTTTTTGCAGGCCTGCCTGCAAGATCTAGCCTTCCCTCAACAAGACTGTTTCTTAATCACTGACTTGTACGGCGAAAGCACAACTGGTTTCATCAAAGTGATCAAGATGGTGAATCGCGTGGTGGATATTCTCGAAATGCAAGGCCAGCTCAAACGGTCTTCGCAAGCATCTCAGGATGCACCTATACAAGGAACCGTGAAGCTCACCAAGCGACAACATATTCTCAAGGAGCTACTAGAAACGGAGCGCGACTATGTTCACCATTTACAAAATCTCCAGGCGCTCAAAAAGGAACTGGAAGAGACTGGTGCTCTGACTGGCGATGCGAGCCACCAGATATTTTTGAATCTCAATAACCTATTGGATTTTGCTCAACGCTTTTTGATTCGCATGGAGCAACACTATGCTTTGCCAGAGGAGGAACAAAATTGGGGAATTCTATTCTCCTCTCATGAAGATGCCTTTAAGCAGTACGAGCCATTCATCGCAAATCAGATGCGTTGCGACGAAGTTTGCATGCGAGAGTGGGATAAGATCAAGGTGGCACCGCGCCATTTGGACCTTCAGCAGATGGTTGCGCAGCCGAAAACTCTCAACGGCTTCTTTGTCAAGCCTTTCCAGCGATTGACAAGGTATCCACTCATGCTGTCGGTAAGTCAAGAAGTCAAGTCCTTAATTCTTCTCTCTTGTGGAATATCAACTCACATCTTTCTCTTCCATAGGAACTACGAAAACAATCAGAAGATCCGGAAATTACAGCCGACATTACCCATGCGATCGATACCATTCAGTCTTTGCTCGATGGAGCCAACGAAGCGATCCACAGAGAACACCTGCAGGCGGCAGTTATAGATCTGTCAGAGCGAGTGGAGGATTGGAAAACCCTCAAAATGGATACATTTGGTGACTTGCTTCGCTTTGGCACTTTCGCAGTGGTTAAAGGAGACAGTGGCAAGGACAACGAAAGAGAGGTTTGTCTTAATATCCATTGTTGGAAGGAAAGCTTGGAGATCATTTATTAACTTGGATTGTTCGCTTAGTATCACATTTTCTTGTTCGAGCGCATCCTTTTGTGTTGCAAGGATATAAATCCTAACAAACAAAAAACCAAGCTTATGATGTCTAAAGATAAGAATCCAGTCACAGGGAAAGGAAAAGCTCGCCTCCAATTAAAGGGCCGAATCTATATGGCCAACGTCACAGATATTGTCTGCCTTCAGAAACCAGGTAGGTGTTCCAGCCTCGCCCACGATGACATGTTTCTAACTACAGGCATACAGGAATGTATCGGATCCAAATTTTCTGGAAGGGCGATCCAGGAGTCGTGGACAATTTCATAATTCGCTACCAAAATGAACCCACTATGCGCTCTTGGTACAAAGATATCGACCAGCAACGAAATATTCAATCAGAAAAACGCACCCTCCGGCATACTGTTACATCTGACAGTGAATTCATGTACTTGGAGGGCATGGCCCACATGCCCAACCTATATCAGCAAGAGTACGATACGGATGGAACGCCCAATGACTACTCGGAATTCACCATGAGCCGCAATCCATCCAGCACCAGCTTGAGGACTCGATCAGCCACCGGAGGCAGTACTGGTTCTGTTCCCCATGCCAACGGCCGGCCGCGCTACCCGAACGATCCGTCTCTCTCTCTGCATACTCAACTCTCAGCCGCCGACGCCATGTCACCTGGCGATCGGAACATGAATTCCTACTTCTCGCCAGCCACGGAATTAGCCCCCTCCACCCGCTCCAGCTCTCAATCTACCAACTTTTCATTCGGCCGCCAAAACACCAACTCGACAACCCCAACAAACCCTTGGGATGAGAACAATCGTTACACTGCCCCGGCAGCGTCTTCGTCTCGCGAACGCGTCGCATCGCGGGATGGCACTACAGGATACTTTCCCATCCAATCTAACGGAAGGAATTCTGCACAGCGTCCCTCTCTTTCTTCATTGCCGGGTCAAGGACCCAACGGTACCCAGCGGATGCGCTCAGCCAGTAGTCCTGATATCCATAATCACATCAATGCTTCCCCCGAGTCTCGTCGATACATGGGAGTGCACACGATGCAGACTGTTGATAATGTTCCGGTTCCACCAATCCCCGCACATATGGCCAATATGAAGGCACCGGTCAGTCGAAGCCAGAATAACTCTCCCACAAGTAACCAACTTCCCCTCCGAATGCAACCGCATCATGTCCCCACCCAGTTCGCTGAGCCAGAGTATAATGGTTCTCGTAATTCGGGGCAGCTATCCGAGCACGCCACTTCTCCATTGACTGGCGAGCCTGATGATGATCCGTACATGCCAACTCAGCTGAAGGCCAAGGTCAACTTTGACGACAACTATGTGACGCTGGTGATTGCGACCAACATTCTGTTCCGCTCGTTGATAGATCGTGTTGATGCGAAGCTGGCCCGGTTTACAACTCGTTCTATTGGCAATAAGACTGTCCGCCTGCGTTACTGCGACGAAGACGGAGACTTTATCACCATTGATAGCGACGAGGCGGTTCAGCTTGCTTTCTTGGAGTGGCGTGAGCAGAACCGCGACTCGCTTGCCAAGGGCTTAGTGGGCGAAATTGTGCTATACTGTCAAGTTGTGGACTAGACTTGCGGATTATCCTACCTCCATTTTGTCTCTGTCTCATCTCTAGCGACCCTTCTGAGCCTCCCCTGACATGGAGCTCCTTGTAAAGTCATGCTGTGCTTCCACCACCCCCATATCATTTCCCATCCCCATCCCCATTTCCATCCTCATTTCGATCCCCATTCCCAATTCCCCCTCATGTGTCTTGTCACCCCCATCATTTCCCAACTGGCTTGGCTTGGGTTGAACTGCCACTGGGCAAATGACCTCTGTTCCCATTTTGATTTGTCCCTTCCCGATATCTATGTTCTGACGTGTTCGGGCTTTGGCGTTTCAGCGAGGGCGTCTGCATATGCATAAGTTTGAACGTGGCATGAAGGGTATTGAAATCACGGAGAGAAATCTCCTGGATGACTTTCTGCTTCACGACCCGTTCCCTCGGTTTAATCCTTGGCGGGAACGCATGAACTTTTATTGATCTATACATGTTCCTTGTGGAGCAAATCTACATGATGTACGCATAATTTTGGAATTTGTACTTTTTTCTGCGACTTTTGCTCTAGATCTTGCCGATCGGGATGCCGCCTCGGCAATCTCGGGTCAATCCTTCTGGGCCGAAGTAGAAAGCGATTCTACTCCGAAAGTAGATATGTAGTGTAGTAGCTGGACCTTTAGTCTCCCCCTGTAAGTCAACTTAGAAATGAGGTATTAATTTGGGTGCCCGATGAAGATGAAACTGGTGCCCCAAAGCCTTGTAAAAGACAAGTATTCGGCGGAGGATTAGACCTCGGTGGTTTCGTCAAATCGTTGGTCAAGTACAGCCCACTTGCCCACTACATCCACCACATCACATCCACTATCATATACGCCCAAGTAGTCCAGCCCTTTCTTATAGAGTGCAAGGATATTTCTGCCCCCATCTCCTCTCCTTTCCCTTAAATTCATCTCTATTCTCCTCTTAGACGTACCAAGCAGACTAGTTTGTATACACTACGCCAAAAAATGTCGTTCTCCGGAAGAAGGCTGAGTTTACTTAAACCCACCAACCGTCGTTTCTCCCTTGGCAAAGACCTATCTGAGAATGGTGAGCATATACAGCTGCATACTGCATCTTGAAATTCTGCAAGCTTAAATCTAACAATTAAGCTACACAGAGCAACGCTCCGAGACCCATCGCCAGTTCCGTACTGCTCATGAAGGTCACCGCCCCCACGCTGGCCTCGATGCCACTCGAGTTTCCACCGGTGTTGTTTGGTGCACAGAGCGAGCCTCTGAGCATGGCTTTTCTGAAGACCCTTCTAGCTGGGCCAATCTAGGCCAGGGTGCTCCCGAAGCCGACGATGAGATCGAGGGCAGCTTCCCCCGCCCCACTTCCATCCCCATCACTTCTGCTGCCCGTGAATACGGTCCGACCGCCGGTATCAAGCCTCTGCGCACAGCCGTCGCAGATCTTTACAATGAGAACTACCGCCAAGGGAAAGAGAGCCAGTATACATGGGAAAACGTCTGCATTGTCCCCGGTGGACGTGCAGGTTTGATCCGTATTGCTGCCATTCTGGGCAACTCATATTTGTCCTTCCCTATTCCCGACTACTCTGCATATTCAGAGATGTTGACTCTGTTCAAGAACGTACGTTTTAAGTTAAAAAGCGAGGCTGAATGCGCTGTATACTAACTTCTACATAGATTGCTCCCATTCCTATTCCTCTCTCCGAGGAAGACAGCTACCACATCCATCCTAACAAGATTGCTGAGGAAATCGCCCGTGGTACTCAGGTGCTTCTGACTTCCAACCCCCGTAACCCCACTGGAGACTTCGTGGGCAAAGAGAAGATGGCCGAGATCCAGGACATTGCCCGCGACCGCGCTACTCTCATCATGGACGAGTTCTACGGTGGTTACAACTACACCACCGACTGCGACGGAACCACAATCAGTGCAGCTGAGAATGTGATTGACGTCAACCAAGATGACGTCCTCCTGATCGACGGTCTGACCAAGCGTTTCCGTCTACCAGGCTGGCGTATCGCCTGGATTGTCGGGCCCAAGGAATTTGTCGACGCACTCGGCTCAGCCGGTTCATATCTAGACGGAGGAGCGAACGTACCATTCCAAGAAGCTGCGATCCCGATGCTGGAGCCATCGCTAGTGCGCCAAGAGATGAAAGCGCTGCAGGTACACTTCCGCGAGAAGCGCGACTACGTTCTGAAGCGTCTGCACGATATCGGTTTCCGGGTGCGAGATGTACCGCAGGCGACCTTCTACATCTGGCTCGACTTGACGTCGATTCATCCACCGCTGCCAGCTGAGGCGAACATCTCGGACGGACTGAACTTCTTCAATGCGCTGCTGACTGAAAAGGTCATTGTTGTGCCTGGTATCTTCTTCGATTTGAACCCGTCTAAGCGTCGTGACCTGTTTGATAGTCCCTGCCACCACTTCGTGCGTCTAAGCTATGGTCCTAAGATGGAGGTGCTGAAGATGGGTCTGGATGGTATCGAGCGTGTCATCAAGCGTGCTCGTGAGATGACTCCGAAGTGGGAGGATGAGGTCGCCGTTCAGGATGATTAGACATAGTATTTAGCATTTATGAGACGTGTCAACGACTTTGCTATAATTGAGAGCATATGTGAACTTAAGTATTCGATGATGTCAATCGTCTGCACTTTCCGAAAATAGTTTAGTGCCTTGTATTTCCAATACAGAGCACAAACCGTGGAATGAAACCGCCTTGGGATATTTCCACAAGGTTTGGCGCGAAGTATAAGACCCAGCGCTGATGATATCCACCGAATCCACAATATTTGCCGAAAGAGTTCGATTGACATGTCAGTTCCTCACTGGAACATCCATGAACGTATTGAACGTACGGAGTACTCCGTCGCCATCCTTGATTCCAAGAGTTGGTAATTATTCTACAGGTAGTTGAGTCCCTTATTACCCAGGTACCTACGCTAACTACACTAGTCGTGATCTGTTGTTATTACAGCTGTATTGTTACTATCAACATTACCTAAGTTTCTCACCTGGAGGTAATTCGAGATATTGATATTGGATGTAGAGTTAACGGAGTTCGCGGCTCATGTCCTGCCTGAACTGGTAAAGATCTAAGTCTTATATTGAACTTATTCTAGGGCAACAGACATTCCACTAAAGCTTGTTTTTGTAGAGTTTTGTTAGTTTTTTCTATATTGGAATAAACCATATCTACTCTGTAGGTAGCTACTATCTTGACATGTCAGGCCCGGGTGAATCTAACTGCTGGGATACAATCCAGCGATTCAGGACAATACACATCCGTTACATCTCCACTGTTCGGAGTTTTCTGTAGTTCTAAACGAGATCAAAAGACCCACTTGTGACCTTCCAAGGTTGGAAGTCGAGAGGAGAGCGTTCGCCGCTTTTACCAAGTAGAACTGGGCATACTTCACCTACTACGATAGACTATATACGTCCATTGCAAGACCATGAATATTTTTCAACATGCGAGAGAAATACTGTTGGTAAATCGACTCGATTGATTAAAAAGCTATCTCGTCACCAAACCGCCGCGAATAAATCAGGGTTTGACGCGATAAATATTACAGGGCATTCTCTCGACGACTTCAATGTTTGGGTATAGGACTTTGGAAAGTCTACTTGTCTGTCTGAAAGTGCAATCTCACATAGGCACTGAATCTATTTCACGTTTTAGGTAAAGCAAGTTTCAGATAAAAGGAACTGAGGGAGATGGCCCTGGCTTTTATTGTGCAGATTTGGGAGCAGATATACCAGAGAACCTTTTACGTGAACTCTCTCCAGCTGTCGAATGCTATTTGAACATGCCTTCCGTTCTTGGGTCAAGCGCATGTTTTAGTCCAAACTTCATCATTAAGCAAACTAGTACGTTACTCGATCTCTCAGATGAGACCCTGTCCAGAGTTTCTATAGTCGATTACTTAATATTAGTGACGGTTCGTGAACTACCAGCTTCAAACTCTGACCCGGGTAATGATGAAGCTGTAGTCTGCTGGGATAGCGATGTGGAGGATCAGGCCCCACCTGTTGTGAGGAAGAGCGGGATTGCTGAGCCAGGGAGATGTCGGGTGTAGTTGCGGGGCAGAGGAGGGCGAACTGCTGGCTCAATATTCATCACCAGGCAGATAATCCATGTATTTTCCAATCCATGACAGTCCGATAAGTCTCAGCACAATTCTTGATTTTGGTTGAAATCCGTCCCAATACCACTGTTTGTGGCAACGGCCTTCCTCAACAGTGATGAAATATCACACAAATCAATGAATGTCTCATCTCACAAAAGACTCGTCACTTCAGCATGCAGCCAGCCACCATCGGAGAGCTGATTCCGGTGCTCCCGAATCTCCATTCAATCACCATCTGCCTGTGCTGTGTTGCCATTGTTAAGGATATTTTCAAGATACTGGCTAACGATGAAATCAGATATGGATCTGTTAGTACCTTCGGGTCTTCAACCGTGTTCTCGAGTCTTGCATTTATTCTGAGCATTGCCCTTAGGCTTAGCCATCTTGAAGACTAGATGTCCTCTCAATGGGTTCACAGGAAGCCGTTTTCATGGAGTGGACATTCTCTCCCTCTTGTGGTCATTGTTGCTTAATTCTGTAAGCTCCAGTCAAGCTGAGATGGTCCACAAATATCAGAAATTACTTTGAAATGACTTCCTCATTGGCTATAGACCATTAACCAGGTCACGGGCGGCATCGTCACCATTATCATCAGTCTCAAAACATCTAGGTGTGGAGGATGAAGAAAAAGAGAGGGCCTCAGTCTTAAAGGGTTTACACCCCTGGAGCTGGATAAAAAATCTAGAAAGTGAATGCAGATATTTCATTTCCAATCTGGAAGGTTGAACTTTTCGTCTGACTTCACTTTCACCTTCACCTTCACCTTCTCTCGTCAAGAATCGAAGCTGCATGAACTAAGTGGGGCTAATCGGCTATTCTTGGATAGCACTTGATAAGGTAACGTGACGATACCAGTATCATCATCACGTGATATAGCCCATTCCCCCCATTGTAAGCTGAAAACTCGGTGAGCTGATGGAAACCCTCGTAAGGCGCCAGCTGAAATAGGAAAATGCCCGGCAAAGGAAATTTGGTAGAGCTACCTAGGTGTCTGTATATAGCAGATTTCCTTTCCACGGTGGGGCTTTCCTAAAACAGCAACCGCCGCTTTAATGAGGACGCTCAGAGTCAAGCTCAGTGAGTAAATTTCAGTCCGGGCTCAGGCTCAGTAAGCTGCTCAGGCCTCATCACGTGACAGATCACTGAGGCCCAATGAACGCTCAGTGACTACTCAGTGAGCATGATTGGCTGCTCCCTGCTTACTCAGAGATCGATCAGTGCCATCTATTGAGCACTCAGTCTTTTCTCACGCTACACCGAAAGAGGACTAGTGGAAACAAGGTTACAGAGGTGTTTAAATCTTTCCCTCCACATAAACACAAGATGACGCAAAAATGTGAATGGGTCCATATCGTTGATCATGAAGAGGGTAGGGGAAATTTTGCTCACTCGGAGAGACCCAGGCATAACCAGGCGTATATAAGTTGAAATAAAACCCCTCTCTGAAGCATCATCATAACTACTTTTCATTCTCTCATTCATACACTTATCTTGATTTCTCTTGCCGGCACTTTTCTAGCAAGTCACCCATGGGCCAAAGACAATATCATGGTCAACGAGACCATATCGCAAAAGAGAAACGCTACGAACGATTGCAGGAAAGTGGCTATGTTTTCGGAGTGCATGCAAATGATGATGCGATTCGTGGTAAAGATAAGAGACTGGCCAAGACTAAAAGGACATACCAGCAACATGTAAAGCTATGGAAAGAGTATGCTGCCACTAATTTTAGATGCGAATGATAAGTGGATAAAAACTGACCTGCTGCTAGATTCCTCGAAAAAAATGGTAAAGGAAGCCATGAACAGGAGGACCACAAAACCAATGTCCCTGATCACATACTCATCAAAGAGTTTATTCGCTGGTACATTCATTCCACGCGCGGAAGGATCAGTGAAAATAGACGACCAGTCATGAAATCAGTTCTGTCATTTGCGGAGCGGTTTTTTGGTGGCCTCGAAGAAGACATGCAGATTAGCATTGTGCTGGAAGATCGAAGTGAGATATTCAATGTGAGCTTATATTTCTATGTCTTATTCCTTTCAGTAACACAAGCCCACACTAATTTCAAACCAGTGGATCAAGAGGTCACTGACGGGAGAAGGAACCATTGAAAACATCGAGTCTCCCAACCATAGTTTTACCAGAAAAGATTTCATCAGGACTGTCTCATCCCTATGGCAGATAGACCACCGTCACTTCATGCCGGGATTACTTAAAGTTGTCATTCTTCTGGCTCTTCAATTATATCTCTTCACTAGAGCAAGAATTGGAGCCTTCATACCTGCTCATGAGGATAAATTAGAAAGAGGCCTTCGATATAAGGTGAGAACAGTTCAAAGATGATTTGTTTCTCATTAATTCTTTTCACAGGATATTGATCTAGTTTTGTTCCCGTGCTCTACAGCACCTTGGAAGGTAGAATGGAGAGTCAATCAAGTATGGCTCAAAAACAACCATGACCCAAACTATACAGTGTAAGCTTATCCTTTTGAACATTACCCAAATTTGAGAGTTCACATGCCAATTTTTTAGATTTAGGATTGGGATCCGTGACACCAAGAGGCCGCAGTTTGCATCCGGCTATATTCTTTTGGCTCTCGCACTTGAGCACGGTGCTCTTTTTGGCATAGACAATGTAGAGGATCTGTCCGAGTATGATCTTTCAAAGGGGCCGATTCCATTACGCTGGAAAGACGAATATCTAGGAAAGCCTGTTCTTAGAAATGTTACAGCTGGTGGGCCTCAAGATATACCGCTAGCCAAGGACGCATTTGGCAGATGCCTGCGTGAAATATTAACTGCTGCTGGTTATAGCAAGAGACCCAAAGTTCACGATATTCGAAAGAACCTTGGAAAGATGATTGAAGGTAAGAATGAAAGAATTAAAATCTGGTTCGTCATCAACTCTCTAACATTTGGCAAAGGAAAACATGGATCAGCGTTGGTTTCACAGATATATGGCCACAAAGGGCCAGGAACATACCCTAAAGACTATTTGCAGCATTGCTCTTCCATTGACATAGTTTCAGCTGTTTTAGATGAGCAAGACGAATCTGATCATATTGAGTATTTTCAAGGATTTGAAAGGTTTTATGAACCTGGACTGCCAGGCGAGCTACCGGCGGAAATTGAGCAAATCATTTTGGACAAGCCAGAGCTATTGGAGATCAGAAGCCGGATCGAGAAGCTTGGATTGCAGGACCTCGACAAGGAGTCTAGATCTGTGGAGAGATTGCGCTATAAAAAGGCCTTGATTCGATACCGCCTTCTCGAGTTGAAAGAATATCAGACCCGCTGGGTCCGAGAGAGAAGAGACCAAAGAATCCTCAACAGAGGAAAAGGAGACCCGGTGCTTATTGAGAATGACATTTGCACATAAGCTCAAGCATTGATTATGCCCGAAACTGCCCGCATAGCGTCATTGATGTCTTGCACTAAAGAGCTTTCTTTTGACGAGATGCTTCTTTTTGTACAAGACCTTAAAACTCACTATTCTCGTGATTTTGATGTTGTCTATCTGCCTAACGAAAGGCCTTTTCAAGGTCTCTGCCCCACAAGAGGTTGTCAACAGAAGATTGAAAGGTGAGAACCCCGTTACTATAACGATACAGGATATTCTGACTTTATCAGTCTGAAAAAATCTGAAAGAAGTGCTCATATTCATGAGTATGTTCGGCATGAGATAGCCATGAAAAACAAAGTCTCGGACATAGAAGTGTGCTATTATTACGAGTGCATGAAATGGCTCCTTTTAGATCAATGGCGAGATCATTGTAAGACGCATCTCTAGTTCTGGAAAACCCAGCACTGTGAAGTTATCATATATCGTCACACAGTCATTCGTCCTGGCTACTGCCCCTTTTGCTTATGGAACACAGATCTTCTCGTAGAAGATCGGTTACAATGCTGGCTGCAAAGTGGTAATCTAAGGCGGCACATTAAAGAACAGCATTTTTCGGGAAACCAGTGTCCTAAAAAAGGGCATGCTTGTGGCTGCAGTCAAACCTTTCAAAATCAGCGAGACCTTCGACATCATTTGCATGATATACACGGTTTGAATAAAGCCATATGGCTAAACCCAATGGCCCCGAGAAAGACAAAGCGCACTTGTCAGGTGAAAGCGCAGGCACATTCGACAGAGGAAGAGAAGCATTGCCCCAAGAAACTCCGCTTTCATCCATATTCGCCTCCGCGTTCCGAGTTTAAGCATATGCTCTCAAATGAAAAAAATATGCCGATCCAGACATTGCATTCGTTCATTGAGCAAAATTCCGAGCAGACTCCTTGCTTACGTTTCAGTGAAGATTCAAATGAAAGCAGAAACATTAAACTCGTCGCTCCTTGCTTGTCCGCGATAACTTCTTCACTCCGCTCTCTGCCAACAACTTCCTGCCTTGATGTTATTGATCCTCAGATTCTCAAGCCCATAAAATCTGGAACTCAGGATGAATATCAGTATTACGACCAAGCACCTTTTCAGCTGGACGTTTCAAATTGCCATAAAGATGAACTTAAGAGAAATAAGGAGAACCTGAATGACACAGCGCAACTGAACTCTCTTATCCCAAGCTTCATCACTCTATCTAGCGAGAAGTTTTCGGATACAAATACGAATGCGGAGCCAGATACTATTCTAGAAACGGATAATATCGTCATCTTCGACAACAATGCAGCAAACAATAAGCATGAGCAATCTCAGCTGCAGGGAGACCTCGGCAATAAGAAATCATTTGATGATCAAGCCGCTATCAGTGTTATTAGCGGGCCGCTCACGAGAGCTAAGAGAAGAGCACAGCTGTCGATTAAAAACGTGGATAACCCGGGTACTATCAAGCTCCGTCACAAACTAACCGCAAAGGAAAAACGAAAGCTTCTTCAGCTCAAGGACCAGAGCTTAAACTCAAGAGAGATTATAGCACATTTTGAGGATATAAAACCAGCTGCTTTGCATCAGGCTTGGAGGGAGATGCAGGTCCCTCAGCGATGCACTAGATCACAAACTAATCGGATGTGCCATCGTCGCAGTGTTCGTTGACTGAATTTTCTTTAATCGAATACTAAACAGTAATTTTTAATATACCTACTGCTTGATTTCATTCCACACGATATCAATTATAATGTATTCCTAGGCTCCATCGAGTGTCTGATTCAATTTGTTTAATTAGATATAAGAATCCGTTATCAATCAAAAAGCAGAGTCTTACCAGTGTTACCACTTGAAATTCCATCAGCGTGAGATAGTTACTTTCATATCTAATTATTCCATTTGTTGTTGGTCGGAATCGAAGTGGTTGAAGGAAGCATTAGGAAAGAAGCATGACTAATGCAACTCGTGGCTGTTTCCATGAAAACCTATTACGACAGCCTTGTCACAGTATTTTAAACAATTACATTACAGTTACAACGTACGCACAGCCACACCTGAAATTAAATACCCAATGCTGTATTCGCAAGCCTATTCTGCTTACTAAGCACTATCCGCAACTGAAATATTGCGGATTTCCGCAAATTCGCAAATCATATAATATATCATGTGATATATTAAAATCGTTTGTCACAGTATCTGTGTCATGTGCACACCCGACTCGTTTTTTACGAGTCGGGTGTGCTTCACCGGTTCTGCCAATTTCACCGGTTCTGCCAATTTAAAATATTATTTTACTCTCTCTCTATTAATTCTGCTTTAAATACAATTCTGCTGCATCTGTTTAAAATATAGTATATCCCTTTCCATCGCCTCCAATATTTGGCCATTTCCCCCTGAATTGGCTCCTGAATCTGCTCCTGAACCTGCTCCTGAACCTGCTCTTGAACCTGCTCCTCGGCCTGTTTTTGAGCTTTTAGAGCTTCTTGGGCCTGTTTTTGTAATTTTTTTTTCTAGTTGTAACTCCTCCTTGGTTTTCCTGATTTTCACAAAGCGTTTTATATGGTGTAGGTTTAATACACCAGTCTGCTGGAGGGGTGGTTGGTTAAGCTGTCGTTTGGTTTTAGAGCGCCGAATTGGTTCTTGCGCAACCCTAATATTCTCAACCGTAATCTTAAGATTTCGATACTCTTCTTGGATCAATTGGGAATGGCGAGTAAGATATTTAAGACCCCTTTAAACCCTTAGTTTGAGGAGGTCTATATCAATATGCTTGATAATCTTCTCTTGGTTCATCTGAAGTCTAGACATGTGCATGGGTTGGGTATGGGTCAAAATTCATACCCATACCCAACCCATCAGGGGTAAGGTAAACCCATACCCATACCCAACCCAACCCACGTGGGTATGGGTTGGGTATGGGTCCCATATGGGTATTTTTGATGCCTTAATGCCTGATTTTCGCCTCAACCTAAACTAAATTAGGGTAATTAGTGCCTTAGTGCCTAATTTTTGCCTCAATCTAGTACTAACTAGGTGACAAATATCACGTGAAATAAAAGTCTTGGCAAAAAGATGGGTTTATGGGCTGGGTGTGGGTTTTACTTCAAACCCATACCCAACCCATATGGGTTTTGGGTAAAATTTCTGACCCATACCCAACCCAATGAACATGTCTATACGGGCATTGATGTTACTAAAACAGGATTTCATGAAAGGGAACTTTAAAGGACTCGACATCAAAGAGATCCAGGCATCCTTTAATGAAGATGATCCAGAGACAGATCTAGAAGATTAGTTTGGTAGATAGTGAACGAATGAAATTTTCCTATGTTTAACATATGTTTTTACTATAGTCTCCACTTTTAAAAAATATATATATGCCTAGATGATTTCAACCACTATAGATATTTCACCAAGAACTTTCTTAATCCTATTGTAATGGCCGGCCGGCGACCACAGCGTCAGTTTGTCGAGATTCCTTATGACCCCCGAAGAGTTTTTTATGAAGGACTTTCTATTAATCATTTCAATAATCGCCTTATTGTTCATCATGGCGCACCAGCACAACAACCTCGAGTTAGGGTTGGGTATTCTGTTGGCCCAATAACCAACCCAAATCCTGGCTGGCATTGTCCACAAGTCCCGGGAATGCCTGCTCCTAAAAATCCTCCACTTGCAGAAGATATTCAACGAGCTATGGAGGCTGTACCATATCTAGGCCCTCCAAACCCTCCGCTTCGCTGGAACAAAGAGAACTGGATGGTCTGTCCTATTCGAGAGTATGCAGATCAACCGGTTTGCGGGCTTTGGTTTGTTGATCAGCCCTCAATGCGACGCCATTTTCGTCAATGCCATCCTGGTTGTTTCTTAAATCCAACCAAGTCAAAAAAAACCGACGAGGAGAAGCTTTATGGTATCGCTACAATTAAGCATTGTGTGCTATACGGTGACTGGAAAAGAATGGATTTTATAAATGAACCTGGCCGGGGAGCGGTCACATCGCTTATTGGTTACTGTCGATCAACTACGTTGAAAGGACAGGGTTCACACGTTGCACTATATACACTGGAAAAGGGTATGGTTCGTCCTAGATTCTTAGTATATACGTTGTGCAAAGTGGTGTGAAATGTGTTCGATTCATGTAGCTACTTGAGTTCCTAATATAGTTGTTCCCCCGTGACTCGGGGGTCTGTTTGTTCCGTTCCGGGTTTATGGTATTGCATGATTGCAATATCCATGTTCCGACACTGGAGCAACTTTAAAATCTCGAGTCGCTATATACATGGATCGATAAAATAAATGAATGTGGATAGGTGCACGATATGCCCCCGAGTGCCCTGCATATTGTATCTGTTGGGTGGCCGATTTTTGTTGAAGAATCAGCCTTTGTGCGGGGTAAAGAAAGTGGTGAGTGGGAAAAAAAATAATAAAAAGTGGACAACACGAAAGTGGGCTTTTCCTAGAGAAGCCAGTCTCCATTTCGTCTTCTATCCGTGGTCCTCTCTGGCGGCATTTTACTGATCCCCTGAGATCAGAATGGCAAATGGTATTCTGTTGCCTTATTCATGATAACGGCGGCGTTCGCAGGTTGAGCCGTTGCTAATTCCCGGAAAAAGGATAATATGGCGGACTGCCACATGGTGTACCCTCCTTCTGAGGATTCCAGTCTGCATAAGGTGTTCGGGAAGCGAATCGGATGCGGTAGGAGTCTGATTTGGGCGTTGTGCTTTTCCCGCTGGACGGCTATGTATTCCCTGATGAGCTTTGGGTCATATTTCTTGTCCGTTTCGATCCCCGATTCCGTCGAGTGGATTGTGATTAGCTGTCGGAATGCCATCATCAGGTTGCCAGCTGCCGCCTGGGCTGCTTCGGGTGCGGTTTCTGCCCAGGTGAACGCTGCGTTGGTTGCTCCCGGTGTGCCAAATGGTGCCGATAGTCCTTGACTCGCATGTGTTGCGGCAGGGTCTGCATTTCTGGCGTAGTCCATAAGTGTGTGGAATGTCCAGCTATCGTATTGGATTCCGAACAGTGGTGGGTGACATGTGGCTTTGCTAGCCCCTCTGCATCGGTTGCATTTCTTGCTGGCTATGGTATCGAAAAGGCAGTTGAACGTGGGAAATGTTTCTCCTTCCCAGTTTGTGTTTTCGTGTCCAATGCATCCAATACACGTCATGAACTTTGGCTGTTCTGGTATCGCCCGTGGGGTTGTCGGCGATAATACTATGGCGGGTTCCGCTGGCACTGCTGGTGCTCCTGGGGCTGGGGCTGGGTCTGCTGCTGGAGCTGGACCTGCCGCTAGACCTGCCACTGGACCTGCAGCTTTCGCTCTTTTAGGTCCTCTTGCTCCCTTTCCTTTTGCTTTCGTCACCCTTCCGGCCATCGATCGGGTGGTTTGTAGTGGCTTCTGGGGGTGGCGTTCTTGTGGGAAAAGGAAGGTTTTCGGCAGTTGGGGTCTTCAGATAATGGGTGGAGGAGTGTTCGGGTGATAGACGAACGGAGAAGGAGAAGGGGGCTTTTCTCTTCTTTTATTTCTGGGAAAAAGGGCGATTTCCGTGTCTGATGCGGGGGAAATCAGGGATTTTTCCTTTGACGGTATCGTGTGATCTGGTTTTCTGAAAGGAAAAATGGCCTGGTGTTTCCGTCGCCAAATTGTCATTGAATGGGTGTATGAAAGAAGTATGTTGGATACCGAAGAGTGGTTGAAAGAAAGTGGTTGGCGATGATATTTTTAGGGCCGTTTGTCATCGCCGGGTGATGCCCGATGTATGGTGGGTTATGTGGAGAGATTTTCCTCTCTTTTGACCCATTCGACGGTTTTCAAGTTGATTCTGTTGGAGTCTATCAACTTCGTCAGTGCGTCGCAGGGTTTTGACTTGGTCATTGCGTCAGCCGGGTTGGAGTCGCCTTCGATCCAAAGGATCTCCATTTGTCTTCGCTCATATGCCTCACGGAGTGCCATCACGTCAATCATGAGTCGTTTTTCCGTTGTGGAGCCTAGTTTCACGAGACAGTCATACAGGGATTTCGAATCCGTGCAAATGGTGAGTCGGAGGGTGGTATTCAGTATCCGGTCTAGGCTCGTTTTGATGGCGATAGCAGCATCAAAACCATTGGCCATTGCGTATAGTTCTGACGCGAGCACGCTCCGGGTGACCCTCTTACACTTAACGGATGCCCAGTGTAGGATGTTAGCGTTTTTGCCCTCGGCTTCTGGGGTTGCAAGGACAATAACGAAGCCAATTTGCGATGTGAGGTCCGGATTATTTGCGAACGATGCATCCACGAATGCCAATATTTGGAGTGATTCGCGTTGTAATGGTATGAATGATAATCCTCTCGCTGCATTTTGAATCTGCCATGATAACCGCTTATCCAGGTTATTTGCATCATCAGCTGTTGGGTTGATGATTTGAGCTGCGTGACTCAGGTCAAACGCGGCTTCTGGCTGTGAGACGGTCGCGATGTAGGCACCTCTCGCGCGTTGGGCAATGTACTGCTCCTTGATTTTGGCCGGTTCGCGCTGGGTTTTTCCAATTATGGACAACTTTTTACATTGCCATTTTTGGGATAGCGTGATTCCTTCTGGGTTCAAAGAAATCATTCCTCCATTAAACTTCAAGGGCGTTCCGTGGTCGAGTGTCTCACGGTCTTTTGCCAAGAACTTCGCT